AGGCCCCGCGGGTACACGACGGCAAGGATTAGGGTTAAGCTTCTAGGTTGTTTTTTTTCGCTCGGAGCAAGCCACTCACAAGGATCGAGGTGGATGTCATGCACGAGAGTTACATGGCGCGGGACGGGTTGCATCCACCTACGAGTGTTAGACCTGGTCTAGTTTCGCCTGGTCTGGATTGGTGTGGATTGGCGTGTTCTGGATGGAATGGTTGGAATTTGACTCGATCTCAGGGGAATCCTTATTCGTCGAGCATAAAGCCTTATCTGCCGATGGTCACGGATGACTTGCCTATTCTGGTCTAGTGCCGGTCACTCTTCTTTGGTGGATGGCGTGATAAGCCCATAAGTCTGGGGTAAAAAACCATGGTCGTTTGGTGTTTTCTGGATAGGTCCTTTTTATCATTTTATTTTCCAATTTCTCTTACTTTCTCTGATTTGTTTCCTCGCGTGATATGGCGTGCCAAATTAATGTAAAAACGTAAAAACAATAAACTAAGTTTCCGACCACATGGAGTCCGTCGCGGACTCGGTTGTGTACTCCATAGATGGTTGTTTGTCCTGGGAGACGCCAACCACCTTGAGACTACTATAAGATTGCCTCAATTTCTCTTTCACTTTTCTCCTTCTCTTCTCTCTCCTCCACGCTCTCCCTCTCCACAACTCCCCCCTGTCTTCGCCTCCTTCCTGCTCTTTCCCCGCAGGTCATCACCATGGCGACTTCAGCTGAGATCCGTTCCAGCTCCTCGGACATCCAGGAGTCTGATCGTGCCGTGACCATTGTCGACGAGAAGCTCTCTGACCCTGGTCGTCCTGAGAAGAGCCTCGTCTCCGCCTCTTATCACAACCAAATCGGTGACGAGGATCCTACGGCTGATGAGCTTCACGGCCCGAGTGCCTTGCGCCGAGTCTCGGCCCCGATCCCGTGGGCTGTTTACACAGTCGCTTTCGTTGAGCTGTGCGAACGTTTCTCTTACTACGGAACTCAGGTTTTGTGTATGTTTTGATTCAGAATTCTGTCTGATTGGTTGAACTCGTACTAACATCGAACCTCTTCACCCCAGACTCCAACTTTGTGAACCACTCGCTGCCCCAGATCAATGGCCCACCTGGCTCCAACCACTACACTGGCGCCGGTGGTGGTAGTGACCAGGGTGTTTCCGGTGCCCTGGGCAGGGGTGTGGAGACTGCCAATGGAATCAACACCTTCAACACCTTCTGGTGCTACGTGATTCCCCTGTTCAGTGCCTACATTGCTGATGAGTACTGGGGACGATACAAGACCATCTGCTGGTCTATTGCCCTGGCCATTCTGGGTCACATTATTCTGGTTATCTCGGCTATTCCTCCCGTCATCACCAACGATTCCGCCTGCTTTGGTGTCTTCATGCTTGGTGTCATCATCATGGGCCTGGGTACCGGTGGTTTCAAGCCCAACATTTCCGCCCTCGTCGTCGAGCAGATTCCTGCCGTGAATCTCAAGGTTCGCACTCTGCCTTCTGGTGAGCGTGTCATTGTCGACCCTACTATCACCCAGAGCCGTATCTACCACTACTTCTACCTCTTCATCAACATCGGTGCTCTGGTCGGTCAGATTGGCATGGCCTACGCCGAGAAGTACGTCGGTTTCTGGTTGGCCTACCTCCTGCCCACCATCATGTTCCTGACTACTCCCTTCGTCATGTGGTGGGGACGCAAGCGTTACCGCCAGTCTCCTCCTCAGGGTTCCGTTGTCTCCAAGGCTGTGCGCGTCTTCTTCTTCGCTCTGCGTGACCGCTGGCACTGGAACCCCGTCAAGTTCTGGAAGCGCACCCACGATGGTACCCTCTGGGAAGCCGCTAAGCCCTCCAACATCCCCTTCGGCTCCCGCCCCGCCTGGATGACCTTCGACGATGCCTGGGTTGACGAGGTTCGCCGTGGTTTCGCTGCTTGCGCCGTCTTCTGTTACTACCCTCTGTACTGGCTCGCCTATGGTCAACTGACCAACAACTTGACTGCCCAGGCCAGTACCATGACCCTGAACGGCGTCCCCAACGACGTTGTCAACAACCTGGATCCCTTCGCGCTGATCATCTTCATTCCCATCTGCGATGCCTTCTTGTACCCCGGTCTGCGCAAGATGGGTTTCCAGTTCACTGCCATCAAGAAGATCACCGTTGGTTTCCTGCTCGCTGCCCTGGCCATGGTCTGGTCCGCCGTGATTCAGTACTACATCTACCGGGACTCCCCCTGTGGCTACAATGCCAACAGCTGTGCTACTGACGACGGTGCCATCATCCCGGCTCCCATCAACGTCTGGGCCCAGACCGGTGCTTACGTGCTCATCGCTCTGTCCGAGATCTTCGCCTCCATCACCTCCCTCGAGTATGCCTACTCCAAGGCCCCCCGCAACATGCGTTCCCTGATCCAGGCCATCTCCCTCTTCACCAACGCCATCTCCGCCGCCATCGCCGAGGCCCTGAACCCTCTCTCCAGCGATCCCCTGCTCATCTGGAATTACGGTGTGTTCGCCGTGATCTCCGGTATTGGTGGTCTGCTGTTCATCATTCAGTTCTGGAGCCTGGACAAAGAGGAAGATGAACTGAACAACCTGCCCGAGGGCCGTATTGAGGCTGATGAGAAGAGCACCCAGGGTATCCTGGAGGCTGCGGAGATTGGTCCCGTCCGGGGCTAAATGGGATGATCAACGGACAGGTTGACGTCTCTAGAAATTTTGAATTATCTTTTTATTTTTTCTTGAGTTTTGGGGGTTTGTGCTCGAGTCCATTCTGGACCTGGCTCATGATATCCATGCTGATGTTCCGATACGACGGGATGCTTTAATGATTTGATTTTAATATCATCTACATCAATATTTCAAACTCATACCTCTTAGTACTGGTAAAAATGTGTATCGTAGAGTAAAATATTTCCAGGATCAGCTGCGCTACGAACTAGAAGTCGCCCAACCTCCTCATCTGAGGCATAAATTTGGCCGCGGATTCTGGTTGGAGGGAGGTGCCAGTCTGAAGCATAATGAAACAAAAGACTCTCAAATATGCAACTCTCCGGTTGGTTGTTTACTATGCTAGTCGCCGCCGCTCTCCGACATGGCGACCGGCATTCAATTTGCGGGGAATTTCCTTCTGATTGAAACATCATGTTATGTTGAATCAGGTGATTCCCCTTCTCTCGGGCATCTATATGAAGCCCCCAACCTCTTCTCCCCGCAAAAAAAATCCTCCATCTCTCAACCACTCCTCTCTATATACGAATGCTCTTCCCCATGAAGGTACTTTATTTATCTATTGTCTTCCCAAGCTAGGGGAATGCGCCCAGGGCAAGCTCATGAGCAAGGTCACTGAGATCCTTGGTGATCAACATCTCTATGACCACCTTTTATTCAGGCCAGGAGACTGGATCCAATGTGGAATTACGCCGTCAACCCTTCCCGCTGTTCCAATGTGCAACGACCAAGTCATGATTCCGCTCCTTTCATCGTCGGAGTTACCATGTCTCGGCCACCTCGACATCCTTATCGATAAGTCAGCTTTCTCGACCTTATATTGACGTAACCTGGCTCTGGTGTGCAACGTTTGCCGGTCCTGAGTCTCTTGCTCGAAAGGGGAATCGTCGGCTTCTAAAGCACTCTTTGCCGAGCACTTCGTCAATATTCTTGCGGAACTCTTTGGGGAGCATACATTTTCATCGCTCCTGAGGGCGTTATAATACCCTTCTGCCTGCAGCCAGTTCCTTGAAAGGGAGACGTCAGAAACAATACGCCCATTCGAGACTGTCTTTGGGAATCTCACCACTGTTCGGGACCGTGGCTACGTTGATGATATGTGTATCATGCGAGACACTCTTTCTATCATGGGCCAACCGGTGCTTCGACGTCTGCATTTCCTTTTAGGAACTATCTCCAAGCAGACGGGCGGTATAACGCTCTGTGAAGTGATTAAAATGTTTGTTTACTCCTCAAAGAGTTCCGCGAGAATATCGATGGAGTTCCCGGCAAAGAATGCTCCAGAGGCCGATGATTCCCCTATACGCTGCTCGTGATGCCCCTGCGCAGAAGAACATAGTTGTCCGGCCATGCTTCGTTCAAAATCCAACGCAGAGGCGCACGCAAAGTCGGCGCACAAAAAAGTGCGATATCCGTGCCCCGTTCCCAAGTATCAGAAGGTGTTTACCGTCAAGCGTTATGTTGCGATGCAAGTCAAGAGAGTACACCACGTGGTATACGGACACGACCATTCTCTCGCGGGGCGTAACCACAGCGGTTCGCTCAGCCGTTCCTTTGGGGGCTTGCATAGGTCCAGGAGTAGCTCTGACGGCATAACTGCACTCAGACTCATCTCAGCGGGTGGAAATCTCCCTGCATGATCTACAATGAGGGCCGGATGTCTGTACAAACTACACTTCATCCTCTTCGTCCTGCCGAGCTGTAAGTCACCCGTCCCTGATAATTCCTCATCTCCCTCACTCACGACCTCCCTGAAAAGCGAAGTAAGGGAGCCTGGATATTTCTTTCTCACCTCCAGCAGACCCTGGATATCTCATTCCCGAGAAGAAGGCCTCAATCTGAAAGCTTAGCCTCGCAAGAGCTTCATGTGCCCGTCGACGGAGGAGTCTTCGAGCCTGGGGATGCTTACAAGAGTCACCAGAGGATATATACAAGTCCCGAGACGAATCTCCACGTTCTTGAACCTCCAGAAATCATGATCAGCGACTACAGACTGGGGCCATCAAGCTGAGAGAGAGACGGATCTGACAGCGGCTGTGGCATCCCAGTCTTCCAACATATATTCCTTACTGTTCAAGCGATGTTATCATGATCCACTTGCTTGAAGCATTCTGCACCCTACACTTGATCGATTCTCCATTCTATAGTCTTGCAAGCTGTGGTCGGTAACACTCGTTTTTTTGGACTTCTTACCCCGTGCAGTCGCTTACATTCTTTGAATTACAGTCCGCTCTCATATTTCATGCGTCCTCCTCGTGTCTCCCAACGCCTCTTCGATGGCCCTCTTTGACCCACTCTCACAATCACACCCTGCTCCTACACAAAATCAGCTGGCAAGTGGAAATTCCCTATCTGCGCGGTCCCTTCCTATCAAGGAAGTATGTGAATATGCTGGGATCTCCATGACCGGCCCTGACAGCACCCCAGTCTCAAAGGTCCACTGGCGTTTGGAGTCAGAGACTATCATCTTTCATCCCTGGCAGCCCTCTGCCATTGCATGGGTAATGGCCCAGGAAGGCATTCCTATCCGTAGTGGGATCTTGGTAGATGCATGTGTTCTAGGGAAGACACTCTCGGCCCTGTGTCTAACATGTTTTGCCACAATGAGGAAGGCCCAAACACATGGACAGGAACGTACCCAGAGGGTGAAATACCGCCCTTCAATCATTATCGTGCTTGCGAGTGTCATCATGCAATGGGTTGACCAGATTGACCACCTTCTTAAGCAAAAGCGTAATGTGATGATCTTCTGGGGTAACTCGGAGCATGTCAGCGATACGTCGCGCAAGGAGCGCACGGTCAAATACTGGGATGCACGGCGGACCAATCTGGGAGGACTCGACGTTGACGATCCTGAGACTGGATGTACGGTGGTGATCACATCATACCAAACATGGGCCTAGCGAATCACCAAGTCCAACAAAGTTCCTGGACGCTCCAAAAATCTTGAGACTGGATACGCAGCGGTTCGACGACTAGACCGCCCTCAAAATCCGTCCACAAGAACAGTCAATATGGACCCTTTTCAAAGAATACTCTATCGATGTAAGTCCACATGATGCCTGAGAATATTTCTCCGTCGAACAGCTTCTGAGATTTTGGGACCCAGTCTGTGGACGGAATGGGATCTGTTCAAGATTACCAAGAAGGAATACTTCAATGATCTCGGCACGGCCGAGGAATCACTCCGTATGGCCAAGATGACCATTGAAAGTGGGATGCTGGCACTCCGGCTCCATGAAACAGCCCGCGCAAGATCGTATTTTACTAACAAAATTTCTCAAAGTGCGGCAGAAGCCAGGCTATATCTACTTACAACCTGGCAAAACGCGGTTCCCAAGCGGTGTATTGCTGGAAATATCCAGCAAGCGCGGAACGAAACTCGCTTCGTAGCCAAGTCGCTGAAAACCGCACGCCAACGTTACATCTGTCTGGTATCCTATAAGTAATCCATTCCCATGTCTGGAATGGATGAATAACACTCGGAAGTTGGAAGAGCTGTCTCGGTAATAAGCTCTTTCCAGAGAACCACCTCAACTACGGCTTTACTGGACGTTAGATTGAGTAAACCGGAGCAAGCGGGAAACTGGTAACCAGGACGGTGAGAGCAGTGTCACACCGCCGTCTGCACTCACCATGCTTCGAGACACATCTATCAACCTTGGATCGATCATCACTCGGTCACTGGATAAGAGAATGGCCACAACCTGAGGTTTCTCTCAGCGATGTGTCACTTCACCAGAACTGCTACGAGGACAGTGAGCTGCTGGCCCTGGTCTTGGCTCCTATTATTTGAGTGTGAGTAGATGACTGGCCCACAAGCTTGCAAGCAGCGAGTACTGATTGATCTTGTCTGCGCAGATAGATTGTCCAGGGCGAGGCTTCCGTCTTCAGAAGTGGGTTCTTCTGCCATTGACCCAACTACACCTGGACGATATACTCGCGACAACGATTTATAAAGCCGGATTCGGTTCTTGTATGGATATAAAGGCTATCTTCGAGCCTATGTCTTCTATGTGGTCTCTGTCCTTTTTATCAAGCAATTATTGCTGCAAGGTTTCCCCGAAGCAGGTGGTTGCCTATGGAAGAAGAACCCAAGTTCTGGAGTTACAGGCTTACGCAGACGTCGCCGCGAACGCTGAAGACCATGTGTGCGACCCGGTTTTGCGGGATAGAAAAACATGCTGGTCTACGCAGTCTATCCTCACTTCGAACCCACTGGCCGGGCCATGCGAAAAGCCATTCCTAAAGGTGGGATTTGTTGCAGGGGAGAATTGCCTTTTGGAAAGCCGAAGCAACCACCGCCCCGAACCATGTCGCAGGTCTCCGAATGTTCGTCACCAAACACCTCATCGGGGCCGAGACATGGGAATGCTCTTGTGAATAGAAGTCATGCCTGGAGCAGGTCCCTGATGGGGAGGGTGGGAGGGTATTACTTCTATTATCTGCATTCCATCCACATTGGGATTAGGTTGCAGGGTGATTATTAGTATTGTATTCTTCGTTCTGTCAGAAATCGAGATACCTCAGTTGGTTCATTCTGTTTTCCCTGTAATTCTCTCGAGTTAGCTTCTTGAGAACGCGACAGAATCTCGTAAGAGTAACATTCAACATGAGCAAGAGAACTCTGAAGACACGAATTATTCAACCACGGGAATCAGCACATTGTTGAACCCTACGGGAGTACTTCGGAAGTACCCTCCTCTCTCCTTCCCCTTCCGTACATAACTTCCAAAATATGAATCCCGAGTGGGAGCCTAATCTCCACAGTTCGCGCTAAGCCCACTAACACAGTGAACTAGCTCCTTCTGCCCCTCAGCCCAAACAGCCAGGCTACCCGGCAAGCCACAGCCACGTTGCTGCATCGAGGCGAAGCTCACGCCCCCAAGGATATTTTGGATCTTGGGTGCATGAATAGGGTATGGTTCAGAATTTCAGCCACTCCCGACCCCATATATGTCTCTCGGCACATTTCCAGTCGATCCAATGGCTGCGAGGGAAATTCCGCTGCCTGGTCGGGGGGCCCGTGAAGGGCGTGAAGGGGTAGGTACATTACTACATAACGGGTTTCGGATGTCTACGGGCACCGTTGCGAGCGTGTGGTTCCCACTAGTGTTCACAATTTGGTCCTTGATCTCATCTTCCATAGCCGAAGGGAGGATCTTTTGGGTGGATTGACGGTCCGGGCCTGATGGTAGTTGGTGAATCGAATTAAGGGGCGGAATAACTACAACACAGTAACAACTCGAGTGATATAGCAGGATGTGTTCATTCCATCGTGATCACTTAGATGCACCATTGTAATTTATTTGTGGTGGGGCCAAAATGATCCATTATGAGCATCCGTAATTTGCATCTGCAGTCCTTCGCTCAATTAAATACGGAGTACGAGGATACGGGAATACGATATACGATGAGATGATTGGAAAGAATATGCAGATGCCTGGCCTGGTTGAATGATATTGAGTACATACGAGAGTAAGGTAGCATATTGGAAAAGTTAGAAGAGAGATCGTGTATGAGCGGAATCTTTATCCAATGGATTTAAACTCCACGAGAGGCAACATTGGGGGCCTCATTTTGTCAAGTATTTATTTCTCCGAGAAAACTCTCTTTATGCCTGATATTATATACAGCTAAAGATTCAGTCTGATGTCTGATCCCTTAAGAGACCGAAGTAGTTAGAAGATCGACAGAGTCGATCCCGTTGTCTGTCAAGGGGTGATGACGTTTTGTGCAGAAAACACGAGGACAAAGCTGCAGAATCACTGAGCAGAGTATCATCGCGGCTCAGGCTCAGGCTCACCTCAGCTCAGCCCTGTAGGGACAAGATCCCAAAATATGATCAATACGGCCGTAACCATTGCCTGAGATGGAAATATGCCGAGTTATGCACCAGAATACACCGCTACTACAGTACTTGGGTCCGGAAAGGTTCATTGCCCATTTCCCAGCTGTTATTTGACATCACCAGCTCCACCACCGACACCTCCACCTGCTGCGCCATGCTTAGTGGTTCCCCGGGAACCAAATTCAATCCGATCCTTTTTCAATGATGCCAAGATACAAAATTGAGACCCTAACGAGTTGGAGGCTTCTAGGATTCTAGGATTCTAGGAGTCGGGCCTTGGCTAAGCTTCCGGCGTCCCCGGCCTGCATAAATAATAACAATCCAGGCACCCCCTCGCTGCGCTGCATACATTTCCCTCGGATCGTCACCCTCCTGTCAATCTCTTCCAAATTGTGAAGGCGGAGGTTGTCAAACATCATGAAGGTCGCTGGAATAATCTCCAGTCTCGCGCTGGCCCTCTCTGGTACGTGGTTGTTGTTGCCCTCGGTCGGGCCACGGCCTTGGACCTCCTGCGGTTCTGCAGGGTCCCGATGAGCTCACGACTCTGTGCGATCACAAGCCATTTGCTAACAATCCAATAATTGAGTAGGTGCCATCGCTGCCCCGGGTGCTATCGACCCCGACGAGTTCTCGCTGGCTCTGGCCGCCCGAGCTCTACCAAATGCACCAGATGAATATACCCCGACCAGCGTGAGCTGCCCAGCCAGTCGCCCAACAGTTCGCAGTGCTGCCAAGCTGTCTCCCAATGAGACGTCATGGCTGGACACTCGTCGCAGTAAGACTTTGTCGGCTATGAAGGATTTCTTCGGCCATGTCAAGGTCGGCGATTTTGATGTGACCTCATATCTGAATCAGCACGCGAGCAATTCCTCCAATCTGCCTAATATCGGCATTGCCGTGTCGGGTGGTGGTTACCGCGCGTTGATGAACGGTGCTGGTGCCCTCAAGGCCTTTGATAGCCGCACAAATAATGCAACTACTAGTGGTCACCTGGGCGGCTTGCTTCAGTCGGCTACTTATCTCTCCGGTCTGAGTGGTGGTAGCTGGCTGCTGGGATCAATCTATATCAACAACTTCACCACCATCTCGTCGCTGCAGACACATACGGATGGTGCGGTATGGCAATTTGGCAACTCCATCCTCGAGGGCCCGGATACCGGCGGTGTTCAAATTCTGGACTCGGCCAGCTACTACAAGGACCTGGCTACCGCTGTCGAGGGAAAGAAGACTGCTGGCTTTGACACCTCTATCACCGATATCTGGTATTTAATCATCCAATTTCATGTCATTCATTCGCACCATTGTTGCTAACCATGTGATTGCAGGGGTCGAGCTCTTTCCTATCAAATGTTCAATGCGAGCAATGGAGGTATTGACTATACCTGGTCATCTATTGCCGAGACGCAGGACTTCATTGATGGCAACTACCCCCTGCCTCTCGTTGTTGCAGACGGTCGCAACCCCGGCGAAAAGGTCGTTGGCAGCAACTCAACTGTGTATGAGTTCAATCCCTGGGAGTTTGGTACCTGGGACCCGACCATCTTCGGCTTCGTTCCTCTGAAGCACCTCGGTTCCAGGTTCGTGGGCGGCTCCCTCCCCAGCAACGAGAGCTGCATCGGTGGTTTCGACAGTGCCGGCTTCGTGATTGGAACTTCATCCACTTTGTTCAACCAGTTCCTCCTCCAACTCAACACCACCTCACTGCCCACCTTCGTGAAGAACATCTTCGTCGATATCCTCGATAAGCTGGACAAGGCCGACGACGACATTGCGGCTTATGACCCGAACCCCTTCTACCACTACAACAACCATTCCTCCCCGTATGCCTCGCAAACCGCTCTTGACGTCGTTGATGGTGGTGAAGACTTGCAAAACGTCCCTCTGCACCCTCTCATCCAACCCGAGCGCCACGTCGACGTGATCTTCGCTGTTGATTCCTCCGCCGACACAACCTACAGCTGGCCCAACGGCACAGCCCTAGTCGCCACCTACGAGCGCAGCCTCAACAGCACCGGCATTGGCAACGGCACCGCCTTCCCCGCCATCCCAGACCAAAACACCTTCGTCAACCTCGGCTTAAACACACGACCAACCTTCTTTGGCTGCAACAGCTCCAACCTCACCGGCCCGGCACCGCTGGTCGTCTACGTTCCTAACTACCCTTACTCAACCCACTCCAACGTCTCCACCTTCACCCTTTCTTACAACGACACCCAGCGTGACGATATCATCCTCAACGGGTACGAGGTCGCCACCATGGCTAATAGCACTCGCGACGGGAACTGGACTGCCTGCGTGGGCTGTGCTATTCTCGCCCGCTCCTTCGAGCGCACGGGCACTACACTCCCCAGTATCTGTACCCAGTGTTTCTCGAATTACTGCTGGGATGGAACTGTCAACTCGACTAAGCCTCATGAATTTGAGCCTACAGCCTTGTTGGGGGTTAAGTCGAGTGGAGCGGGTGTTTTGATGCCAACTGTGTTGTCCGCTGTTGTGGCTACTGGTGTGGCGTTGTTTGCCTTTGTGTAGAGTAGATAGGGTGCATATTGACGTGCTTTTTTTTTGTTTTTTGGGTTGGGGTTCCTGGCGCTTTCATGCGGGCTTTCATGATGTTACTGACAGCCATTATGACCATTCTCTTTTTTTTGGATTCTAGACACGGGTCGTATTTTACTCGGATTCGTTCAAAATTCACAGATTCCGTTCGGATATTTTAGAATCGGATTAATGGAGATGTCTAGAAAAATGCAAAATATGTCAATTATTTGAGATGATTTGGGATTTCTGTCTCAGATGACCTTCAGAGGAATGACTGCATTTGCACCGAGTACCTTGGTAGATGGTGCGTCAACTGTGGATATAACAAACTCGTCTCTGGATCTTGTGTCAAGTTTACATCCAAGCAAGCCTATATGGATCGAAGTGAGACGAATGTGTTGGTTGGAGATGAATACCTAACTCTAGACTGTACTTTATCCAATATCATCTCTCAGGCGTTGCGTCATCAGTGTTCAGGTGTCTACTTCCATAGATTGTCAATAGTTCCTCGAGAAGGCGATACGATTGTTCATAGCGGATTACCCTAGGACCCGTGGTAATTGTTTAAAATGTGGTGTATATATTTGAAGTCACTGTCAATATGGCATGCGTAAGATCGGAAATCAAGGTCTTGTCATCTTACGGTGCAAATGATGATACCGACTCTCATCAACATCCTCGTCTAGTTAGTCAAGTAAATCCTTTGGCAGTCCTTACAACAATTCCTTCATTAACAGCGACAAGAGCAGGGAGTGGACTTCATCTTCTCAGATCCGGCGATTAGAAATCCGTTTCCTCCTTCCTCATTTCCTTCGTTATTTCGGCCTCACCTCGGCTCTAGGAAACTTCCTTTCTTCAACAACCCTCACTACAGACCGAAAAACATACCTCCGAACGATCCACACGCGCCTAAGAGTCCCGCTACTAGGAGGCCTTCGCCGAATCCTGATCTATCCCAAGAGCGACCGAGTCTGGCAATGATGGACGATTTCGACCTGGACAATGGGCAAGAAGATTCGAGGATGGGAGGGTCCCTTTGGTTGGACGATGGTGGATTCCAAAGATGTTCATCGATGAGCTCCCTGCAAGCTCGATAATTCAGAAGAGGTTTGGAACTATGTGGATGCAGACTTTAACTGAGTATGGGAGACTAGCAAGCCTCTTCGAAAACTGCTACTGCTTCGTTCCACGCTTTGCGAAATCTCAAGGGTTGGTGTTGGGTGCTGCCTTTACAGCCGACAAAGGCCAATGGCTACGTGCAAGTGTCCTGGCGCGGGGTCAACAAGGTGGTGGTGTTACAGGAGCTGGCCCTCTGGGCCAATGATACGGTGGTGGAGAAGGGGCAGGGTGCCTCGCATTTATGTCAGGTGTTTAAGTTTGTCTCTTATCATTTCAGAGGCAGCCACCTATAACCAAGCCCGGAAAGGAGGTCGTGCTTGGTTGAACTGCCGCCACTGAGCGAAGACGGTTCAAAAGACGACTCAAAAGACATTCGAAACAGGCTTAGGAATGGGTACAATTCGCGTAAACGGATTGATAAAACTTCGTATACAAAGATTTGTCACTGGTCTATAGACATTTCATGAAGAAAAATGGCGTTTTAGTCCGATGAACCTGGATTTCCCAGACCAATCCAAGCGGTATCGATTCCTAAACAGACAAATGGAACCCTCTCTCAGAAAACTGCCTATTGCCATGGGAGTCTTTACCCAATTCCCAAGAGCCAAATGCAAATGAACCATATCTGCAAGACAAGAAGAAGGATGAAAAACAGGAGGAAAAAAACAAAGAATAATTCAAGGCTTGCATAACCCCGAATGAAGCTTCACAATACATAATACACAGGAGAAATAAAGACAAAAGGAAGATCAAGAGACCATCACAAACAGAACTCGTTAAGGCGGTACGGCCCGTGCCAGAACACGGATATTATCCACGAAGCCCTTTACCAACTCCTCATACTGATTCGACGGATCCCCAGACATGGCAAGATTACCTTGGCGTCGGATTTCTGCAGCAGAGACTTCAACCTCGAGCTCGTGCTCGAAATCGTTTTTTGTCGGCGCCTGTTTAGAAAGGTCAGAAGATCGGTTCATAGTTACACAGGTGGCTCATAAAGGGGAATATGCGGGGAAACTCACCTCGAGTGTGGCCACTTGTGTCAGGTCAATTTGGTAGGCCAAGTGTCGGTAGCTCATGCGATCTTTGTTACGCTCGCCGCGACCGCCCTTGGAGGCGTCTACCATGGGTAGGTTGGTGACATCGCCATCGTACTCCATTTCGAGATTGACAGAGACACGCCAATCGACATGTGTGCGGGGACTGTACACATCGATGTCGGCGACGCGACATTTGACAATCTTTGCGAGGACTTCGCCGGTCTTGGCATCGGTGGTCACACGGACTTTGGGTTTGTGTCGAGGGTTGAGATTTTGCCGAATGACGGGTGGGAGTTCCTGGGGCGAGACCTCGTAGAATGTATCGCGCTCCTTTTTATGCGCATACGAGATTGGAATGCGAGATGACTCGTTGGCCATGGAAGCTTTGACTTGCTCATTCAAAAAGTTGTTCATCGCCCGATGTTGCTCCTGAAAATAATTAAAGTCAGTTCCGTTCGGCAGTGCGAATCCACCGGGATACAATTTTACTTACCACGCTCATGCTGCTTTCAAATGAGGTGCGCAGCCGGGACTCACGATTGATGACACTTTCAGTGAGAACGGGCAGGACCAGCCTCTCTCTACGATCCTGGTCCACAAGACGACCGAGCTTTGCTTCCACTTCAATGATCGCACCTTGTCCCGCAGCCGCCGAACCCGCTACGCCGACTGCCACGTCAGTCCTCACCACCACATGCTGGAAGAGGAAGTCACAAAGTTGTTTAGTGGTTTCTTCGAACGGGATGAATCCTGTAATTGAAGGCTCCCATGGACCAAGCGAGCCTTCTTGCTTCACGCGACGAGCAGCAGGAGCAACAACAGGAGGCGGCGGCGGAGGGCCATTTGAGCTGGGCGGGGGTACCGCGGGCCCAGGTGGCCGAGCAGTGCGCGTTGTCGTCGTTGCAGACCCAGCAGTTGATGCCAAGGACTGCCTGCGAGAAGCCCACGGATCCTGGCCTGGCCCTCGCGCGTGTCTTGGAATTGGTGGCTGCGGGTTCGGAATCGCGGGACACCTGCCCTTGGTACGGGCTGAGCGTTGAGCATAGATCGGAGGTTCATTATACCGTCTCCGCTTGGGCTTGGGTTGTTGAATTTCGGTGCGATCCGCGGGTTCTTGGTCTACTTCCATTTTCAAGGGATGAGAACCACTTCTCGAGGCTGAGGGGGAGCTGGTAATCTGTGGGTATGTGGTGGCAACAGGCGAGCCGCGTGAATCTGACCCTGGCCCCGAGGGGAATGCTGCTGTTGGGCTTTCGTTCCACTTTCGATCTTCAGATGACCGGAGAGAAGCTGCGCCGGCGATATCAGATGTAGTTGCGGTGCTGTTTTGCCGAGAGGCCTTCGGACTCGCGATCTCGGAGGGCTCCTGTTTCACACCGGTGGGGGGAAAGTGAGGGGCCGACTCAGAGTGACGAGAGGAAGGTGAGATCTGTCGCGAAGTCGAGGGGGATTGTGTCTGCTTCGTGCTCCGTCCTTGAGCTTCGTGCACTGCGTAGGGGCTAGATAAATTGTTGCGCGGAGAGTCGCGACCAGATGACCGTGGGCGCGCGGAGGAAGGCGACTGACGAGAGGAAAAGGCGGGAGGTGGACCCAGGGGAGTTGCTGGAACTGAACGATGCGCGGATGGAGAAAATTGATGGGAGGGAGGTGGTTGTGAGGTGGACGGGGGGCTATCTCGAGGGCGGAAGGTTTCACCCGCGCCAAGCGGGTTCGTCATCACCGACTGCAGCGAATTTGACCGTTGTTGCGCGAAATAGGACTGCTGCTCCGCATGCTGAGGTCCAGCACTCATGGGTTGTTGTGGCGTGTATGGGGAGGCCACGGGGCCCGCTGAGGCTTGGGGATGCGAATTGTAGGCCGAGCCGTATGGATCACGCGCAGCGGAACCGTATGGGGTCGACACTTGCTGTGGGCTTTGGCTTGGATGCGATTGTACAGCTGTATTCAAAGGCGGCGGTGCTGGAGCGAACTGCTGCTGGTAGGGCGACTGGGCAGGACCGAATGACGATGATCGACCGGGCGAGGCGTGCTGGGCGTGTTGAGCGTGTTGCAAGGGCTGGGAGGACCGACTCGAGTAGTCTGCATACTGCTGCGGCTGCGGCTGTTGTTGCGACTGCTGCTGACGAGATGGATCAGACGGCGCATTGGACGATTGACTGGCATGCGAAGCCTTGGAGGCCCCGCCGCCGTCGGTGTTCATAATCGTGCGCAAGTCCATCGCGACAGCTTGCCCACTTTTTTTCGGGTCGGGACCACCACCACGATCACCAGCGCGAGCACCTAGAGTATTATGAAGAAAGACACGCAACTGGCGATCGCGACATCCAGGCCGTGGAGGGGTCGCGATGCTGGTGGAGAAGTGGACAATGACTGAGGGACAAAGAAGGAAGGAGAAGTTCTCGGGATGGCGCGAATCAGGGAGCTTGGGAGGATCATCGCCGCTTCGGGGAAGGGGGCCAGCTAAAAGGCCACGATTACGGACGACGAAGGGAATGAATCTTAGAATGATCAAATGTAGATGGTATTCTAGAGATGAATATGTTTCTATCCGATTAGTGGCGTTTCAAGTTCTATCCAATCTATTCCACCCTCGATGCTCAACACTATCGAAGCTCAATCCCAAAAGGGGAGAGCTAGTGCAAGCTCCAGAGCTATTTGCTGCCTATCGGCTCTGATAGTTTCCCAAATGCATTGTACTCGTTCAACTATCTATGTCATCTGAACAGCATTGGATGTTTGATTCATCTAATTACGAGTAATCATCCAAATAATCAAGTATCCAGCTTGAAGATGTGGATCTCTTCGACTTCCAAAAGGCCAAGTGGAATTTCCAAAGATAGTCACGTGTTATATATGACTCAGCGAGAAGTATAAAGTCACATGATTGACGTATGTACCGGAGTCTTCTAAGATGAGGGTTAATAGGCAAATATACCGATACAAAGAGTACATATATGATAAGAGCTCATGTTCGGATTAGATCTTCCTACTGTATGGCAATTCACAGTCTCAATTGATAAAGTGTGGTCCTAACATTGATCATCCCGCAGTCTGACGCGTCACCGACGGAGTATACCAGGATCCGATCGGACACTGGCATTCAGCACAACTCGGCTTAGAAACCATCCCAATGGCAAGAGTAAATGAATATCGTAGACTATAGCACGATCTATATCCTTGATAGTTAACTATTGTTTTATAAGCTAACATAGAGTAAAACACCGTCCAGCTCCAATGATCCCCAAAACCTAAGCAAAAGTCCACCTACCGCAATCGGGCCAGGGTGCCCGCAAAAGCCATGAGATCAACGGTCTTCCTCCTCTTCTCTTACCACTTCCCTGAAATTCCCAGTCATTCGGGCCCTTTGTCTCTCTCCAGCAATACACCATTGTTGCTAACGGTGCCCTCGTGTTTAGAATTGACCTGCCAAGAAGACGACCCTCAATTTAAGAAAACGCCATCCCGGTGACGTATTATTCCGGGCCTTCGGGGCATTTTCGACCGCGTTCTGGCTCATTTGACTTCGACAACTTCCACATACACCACATTAATAACCCCCCGAGTTGTGAACTCAACAACACGAGGCTATACCATAGCCGCAAGTCAAGCTTCTTCAATCCATCGAACATACCATATTCACATCCAATTTCAATGCGCGACTCGATTTAACAGCCTCCAGCGCTAGGCTCCCGCCGCACCGCACCCTCCTCCGGACCCCTCAGACCCTCTACATCATGGCTCCATCACTCCAAGATCGAGCCTCGACATCGGCTTCAGATATCCCTCTCGCTGACCTCGAAGCCGGACCTCGAGCGAACTCAAACTTCACTGGAACCTCCCGCTGGAACGGTTTCTCCCAATTCCACCCTTCCAATATCCTCGCGAACCCCAATGGGCTGGCCCCGAAGGTGTCGCAGGAAGATTGGCTGGCCTATATCGAAGAGTTAGGACATAGATTGACGGTCGCATTGACTCCAAGCTTCCTACAAGAATATGTCGGTGGCGGCGCACACCAACCTACCAAGTTGCATGCTATCGCTGCACTCGATGGACTACGTGGATGGGCCTGTCTGCTGGTCTTCAACTTCCACTTCCTCTTCACATATACCTGGAAGGTTGCAATTGGGTGGGGATTTGCAGGCGAGAACTTTGGAATTCACCAGCTACCCATATTACACATGTTAATCTCAGGCCACATCATGGTGGCTATCTTTTTCGTCATCTCCGGCTACGTTCTCTCCTACAAACCCTTGAAGACCATTCGATCCCGGTCATTTGAGGAGACCTTTACCGTTTTGGCCTCGTCAACCTTTCGACGAGCACTCCGCCTTTATATCCCTTCCATCGTTGGTCTCGCATGTGTCTTTGTGGCTGTCCGGCTTGGCCTGTACAACTACTCGTGGGGTGTCATTAAGGAGGGCCATACCATTGTCGGCACGAATGAACAACACCCACCCATTTACCGGTCTGTCTTCAAGCAGTTCTGGGACTTTTATTATACCATCGCACACCTGCTAAATCCGTTCGATTGGGGTCTCTACTACAACAACTACAACCCGCACCTATGGACCATCCCTGTGGAATTCCGGTGTTCGCTCGTGCTCTTCATCACGACGCTGGCTACCTCTCGCCTAAAGTCTGTCATCCGGATGCCCCTCGTAGCCAGTCTTATCTGGTTCTGCATGCGCTATGGTCGATGGGATGTCGTTCTATTCTTGTGCGGCATGTTGATGGCCGAGATTGATCTCATAAACGGAACATGGGAGCGCCCTGCAAATTCAGCAGCCAGGGACGATAGGACACACATCCGCTTTCACCCTGGCGGCAAGATCATGGCTACTGTCTCCCGTCGACGCTTATGGATCGCCATCTTTGGTCTGGGTCTCTACATTGGGTCAACCCCAAATCTCGGATTCAAGTGGACGCCCGGTTACATGTGGCTTTGGAAGATCACACCATGGACATATCCCGAGCCACACCGATTCCCACAGACCATCGGCGCAACTTTGATCGTCTTCAGCATTAATCACTCCCCCGACATCCAGAAACTCTTCACCAATCCGTTGTCTCAATATCTGGGCAAGATCTCATTTGCTTTTTACATTGTTCACGGCCCTATTCTGCATTCCCTCGGCTACTCGATTATGCCTAGTATCTGGGCTATGACGGGCAAGGAGAGCAATTTCCAGTACTGCTTTGGCTTCTTGATTGGCTGGTCCATCTGTCTGCCGATTTCCATTTGGGCAGGCGATGTTTTCTGGCGAGCCGTCGACATGCCGAGTGTGAAATTTGCACGCTGGATTGAGAGCCAAGTCATTGCGAAAGGCTCACCAGCGACTGGAACTCCGAGTTTGTCGACCCCAAGGGCACAAACTCCGAGGAACCAGTGATTTTGAAACGTTGGACTACGCCTTTTATCTTTCCCCGCGGGGAATTAATCCTTGCCAGTACATGTCTCTCTTGTACTTCCTACCTTTCTTTTTTTGTTCTTATGTTTTTATACCAACTCGCTGGACGATTTCATCCTTTAATAGCCTATGTATGTATAGACAGCAATACTCATGTGAATAGAAGAATCAAGACGCAATTTCGGCCTACAGAAGTACACACTCTAAACCAAGCTCATCAAGCTGAGATCAGATGTCACTACATACTTTACAGGAGAGAAGGTGCACCACGGCTAATACAACCAATATTTTCAATGTACCGTATCGTTCATTCATTCACTCGTACCAAAATCAAAAGTAGTTCAAGATGCTACTATCCACCACCTTGCAAACCGTGGTCAAAGAACCCACGAACGAACTTGAGTGGGAAGAGGGAGTAACGTAGCCGAACTCGATCGGCCCTCAACCAGCCTGATGCACAATATGTTGGGAAGAACGGGGGGCAAAATAGACAAATCCACCGATCTAGCAAGCAGGGAATATGGGGAGACGGGATGAAAAAGCGGAGCAAGATTGATGGTTGATCGGGGCCAAATCAACCCGTCTAATGCAGTCAAATCAGGCATGACAAAAACGGTGTGGAAATGGAGGATCCTCGCTCGCAAGTTAAAACTTGAACAAAAGCAAAAAAAAATTGGATGGCAAGAACAGAATGCGAAAAAGACATGTCCCCCACCCTCATATGCTTTCTTTTTAGGTTCTTCGTGTCCTGTCCTATAATGAGACGCCCCATATCCCTCGGCCACCGCAGACGCCGAGCCATTCACGAGGTTGACCGGAGTGGTTTGGTCCGCCCTGTGGGGACCAGCTGATATTTGAGACTTCGTAGTCACACTGCCATGCAGCAGCGGGGCCGCGCTCGGAGGTCGTGGCTTGAGCAGGAGCGCCAGGAGCCTGAGGTGTGGATAAGGGCGCGGCGTTATGTTGGTTGATGAGATCCCAGATCAATACGAGGCTGTCGTCACCTCCAGAGGCAAGGACGCCACGTCGGTTTGGAGACCATTCGACGCAGTTCAGGGAGGCGGAGTGGCCCTTGAGCTCGAGAAGGGCTTGTCCAGGTTGCCGCACGTCAAGAACACGAACGACATTGGAGTCCTGAGAGAATGTGGCCAGGAGGTGGGCATCGTGAGGCGAGGCTGTTGCAAGGTTAGTGAACCGCTCCCGATCAGGGCAGGAGAAGGGCAAGTCTATCCATACCGGCAATTCTCAACAATGGCGGAGGCCAGAGGCCCGACTGTGATGGACCGGACGGGCTGGAGTTACCAGGGCTCATCACTGCTGTAGATGTTGTTAGTATGAATTCCCACATCAGTAACATCGTATCACCAGGAGAACTTACGCTTCTCAGTCTTTTCTGATGGCTCGTAAATGATAGTGCTATGCTCCAGGCTTCGCAAGTCAAACATGCGCACACTTCCATCAGCGCCACAGCTGACAAAAACATCCACGCTGTTTGCACAAAAGCGAACATCATAGACTTCCTTGTCGTGAGCGATGAGCTGAGTCTTTGCCGTGAGGGTCGGAATATCCCAAATTGTGCAAGTTGTGTCAATGCTGGACGTGATGATAAGACTCGGGGATATAGTGTTCCAGTCAAGCGAGGTGATAGGGGCAGTATGCTCAGGAGATTTAGAGTTAGATAAAAGCGCCAGTGGAGAGAGCTTAGCAGGAGGGGCGTCTCTTGGATTGGAGGGCCGGGTGATCGAGTTGGAGCTCTGCAAGGTTTGGGTATTAGGAAGTGACCACAGCCGCAGATGATCGCCCGAAGTTGCGAGCAAATCAGTAGACTGCTTTTGGGATGATGGGGGTTCCCAAAGAATGCGAGTGACGGGATAAGAGTGTGTAGCCTCAGCGGTCTTGACGTAGTCCAGCTTAATCTCCCCCGCTGCGGCATCTGGGGTATCCGGATCGGGTTGCGTCCAGTGTGTATCGATAATTTGGATCTGGAAGTGCGGTTAGCATGAATCCTGAACAAAAACGCAAGGTAGTCTAACATAATTGTGGTTGTCTTCTAGATAGCTCCCTAGGGCCAACTTGCCCCCAAACGAGCTCGAGCTTCCCGAGATTGGCCATTTACACCAATCGACGGCATAAATAGGCCACGGTGCCACGTAGTTGCTGTTTGTGGGGATCTGAGTATCTCCATTGTAAGGAAGCGACCCCGGGCTCAACAGCGATTCACCCAAAAGATGGTCACCCGGGGGCCGAATGTCTGCCAGCCCCAGCGGGGAGTACTTGGAGCCCTGCGGGGTGTGTGGCGGGAACCCAGCACCAGGCGAAGCGGGATACTTGGATGCTTCCGATGCCCCGTGTTGCTTGTACATGGGGGATTGATCAAAGCCAGCAGGGCTGGACCGTGAATGGCCGTGGGAGTTTATCATACTTGTGCGATGGCTGGCTTGTTGTGGTGTCGACTGCGGCAAGGTGGGAATCGCGGACGGAGCTGTGTTGACCGAAACAGCAGGCGGGCGATGCTGACCTCCGGGGGTCAGCGATCCAGGCAGAGTAGCGCCGGTGTGTCCCCCAGCGCTACCACTGGTCGCATACTGCATGGCGGCGGCGCTGGAGTGGACGTTGATCGCGGGGACTTGGGTCGAAGCGCCTGCGTCGGGCGTCGTGGGGTAGTCGTGGGATGCCGGCTGACGAGAAGCAAGATTGGGATTGATCAGCCCCGTTGAGGGAATATGCAATTCCTCTGGCTGACGCCCAAATACGGCCGACCGTCGATGAGAGTCGAAGGACTGTACGGGATTCGACATGGTGCGGAGGTGCCAACCAAGCTGGCTGGTCTAGGGAGAGGATAAGGGTCGGGGGTGTCTCCGTAAGCTCCACTCCCCCTAAGACGAGAACAAGGAGTGGGAGAGGGGCTCCGAATTGAAAAGCAGATGAGCTGCAATCGAGCTCTGGGCTTCTGAGACAGATGAGAACAGCGATTCAAGTCCAGCTGGGGGGATCGAAGTAGGCCCAGCTTCGCAAGTCGAGGGCAGGCAGCTGGTCCCGCGCTGACTCAGCTAACCCCGGCCTCGGGCAGATCGCCATCAAATTTGGTTTCAGTGGAGTATCGAATAATAGTGGCTTATCATGCTAATTTCTACCTGAGGAATATTTCTGAACCACCTATTATATTAACTAATGATGAATGAAATGACAACAGAGCTGTGCTGATGGAATCCTGTCTCCTAGCAAAAGAAAATCTGAGCATCATTCATTCATCTGTCTCCAAAGGACGGTTAGTCCAACCTGAGATCCATCCATCCCGCCCAGGCCCCCATGGCCAGATGTTGTAAAGAATATTCTCGAGTCGATTAGACATGTAGAACTCTTCCTTCTCCGGGAGTTTCTTCTATCGCCAAATTTCCTGTGCCTTTTTCCCGATTTCTATCACCATCAGTGACCCAGGGTTGTGTGGATTATACTCTCTTGAAACCAAAAATGACCGGGATAAGCAACCAAGAAGATACCGCTCGCCACAAATAAAGAATTCATGCCCAAAAAGATGCCACACGCAGACGGCAATGATTCTTGGCACTACCGGATGACATGAGGTCCCAAATTCCGAAAGCGAGTTTCTTGTCCGTTGCAGCATTGGAAAAGGCCTCTTGAAGCACAGATTCCTCAGTTTCTGTGGCTAGCCTCACTGGAATCCGCCGGGGGTCATAATGAAGGTCCGAACTAGACTGTGCAGGTTGGTAAATTTACTGAGAGCTATGCACGTCTGGCAATCTTGTCGACTGCCCCTTGATCTTCTGATCGGGACGCAGAGTTCTTCCAAGTTTGGACAAGTCTGCACCATATGACTGATATCAGAAGCATCTAGCTCGGGATATCTATAACCACGGTCGTGTCTCCTGCGCATATATGGGCCTTTGGTAACGGGTCTAGGATGAGTCCCCTTAATGATGGTCCATGAATGTTCTAATATTCTTTTCAGACTTGACAGGCTCCGAAGAGGGCTGATCTGGAGATATTTGAGGGGAGAAAATGCTCGGATGGCGGCAACAGAATCATCGTTATCATCGGGGGTATCTGTCAAGGGAACAAGCAAGGGGAGTGGGTCGATGAAGAGCCGCTCTAGGTTAGGAAATAGCCCGGCCACTTGAATCAAATCAGCTGGATCGCAAACGCATTCGATCTGTAGGGAAAGAAGTTTCGATAGATTCGCAACATTCGCGAACTTCGCCAAAAATCCCCTGGTGGATATTGATGGATGGTAATTGACTCTAACTTAGATAGTGATTGAGGAGCAAAGGTGGCAGCCAGATCTTGCCATTCTTTCTTGAGGATGGCGAATGGGAATTCACTTTCTCAGTGTTCTGCTTCATGCTCAATGATTAAATGCTTCAAATTCGGCGCCATGAATAGAAACGGGAGCATCTCATCTAGGTCGTGGGGGCGTGGTACACGGTCATCCCCATACATAAGGCTAACAGCGAGCGTATGCAGACCAGGGAGACGAAGGAAATTGAAAACGAGGTTGTAGTTATTCCATGTTCTCCCACTCTCCCGTACTTTAGCTTCCAACGGCGGTGCACTGTATACGATCCACAGTCTCCCCCACAGGTTGACCTGACAATTTGGATGATACATGAACATGGCTTCCATCAGGGGCGCGGAAAACTCATTTTGCATGATAAAGTAAAACCGCTGCAGTTTGTTCAGACGTGCCAGGAGGGTAACTATTGGCTCCCAGTCCTCTTCCGCGTAATGTGCGTCGCGATTAGCGGAGCGTCCTTTGTATGGAACGAGGCGTGGTTTAGTAAATGAGACTCTAGAAAAGTGTCTCTCGTGGTTGGTTCTCTGTACCGTACCAGTTCCTTTGCCCAGGGCACCATTCCGCTCGCGGATCTTTCCCGTTTGGCTGCTATTGTGGTTTGCTCGACACAGATTAAGGAGAGTCTCCTGGCGTATTCGAGAGATGGGAGTGCTCGGGAATCCTCGGTCAGTGCCGAAACCGCTGCCCTAAGAGTTTCACGGTTCGAGAACACCACATCAAGATCTTGGTAGATCACCGGGATGGCTGCAGTGTAGCAACTGTTGAGCGACCTCAGGTTCTCACCGAACCGTGGCGGTCGTTTCCGAGCTAGAATCCATTAGTATTCATGCCATAGACCAGCTAGGTGTGTGTAATGCTTCTACATGGAGACATATTTGCCTCAAGAGTTCTGGTGGAAGATTTTCCATGATTTGGTTCCTGTTTGATGGTTATTGTGAGGTTTTACCAAATAAGGCAGGCAGCTGGGTACTCCACCAGGGCTGTGGTGGAAGGCCCGCCTAGGCTGACTAAGTGGTGTAAAGCGGGGAACATTCGACTGTACCAGCTCCATGAATTTTAGTGCTTGGGCTGTTCGGACCTTCGGACCTTCAACTCTTCAAAAAATCCATTGATTTTGCAATTGTGGCACTACCTGGATATATCCTCCTTGATTGATCCAGCTTAAGCCCGTCCAATTCTGTTCCTCTTCTCTCCCGGCCGGCATTGTCCTGTTATTTGATGGCATCTGATCCCCCCACATCACCCGCGGCTCTTTTGCTGCTTCCTCCGCCAACATCCTTCACCTTCAGACCGGTGAAGGATGTTTTCGAAAAACCTCTCGCCGAGGTTTTGGTGAATCTTGCGAAGGCTCTTAATGGATCCAGCTCCATCGCTACCCTCGACATAGTTTTGCAAATTCCTGATCTGCTCTCGTCATCCGCCAGGCCGCAAGCCAAAGTCTTTGCTTCGCTGCAGCACTATCTAACCAGCATCTATACTCTCACCGGAGCTGTCGCGGCTGCACACAACATTGAATTGGATTCTCCCGGTGGGATTGATGCCCGGATACTATTTACTGGAGACTCTTCTTCCAGCGCGTCTACTGCCTGTGGCCTGAGGTTCGGACCTATTGTCGATTTGCAATCTTTAGTGACCTCGGGCCGACGGTGGAACCATGTGTACTACCTCAACAACGAGGCCGGCGGCAGGCTATTCCAGGAATTTTTTCGCATACACGAGGCTCAGAACGTTCATGCTGTGATCAACGAGCAAGCCATCTCAAATATCTCCAATTGGACTGCTCCGGTGTCTCCTCTACTCCCAGAGGGCCATGAAAGCGTCTCATTTCAGCCCCACTACTCCGTGATCGTTGGCGGCACTTTCGACCATCTTCACTTGGGCCACAAGCTTCTTCTCACCGCGCTGGCGCTCACACTAGAGCCGCCAAGTGAAGCTGACCAGGGACAGGAGAGATTGCTGACTGTCGGAGTCACGGGAGATGCCCTCTTGAAGAACAAGAAGTATGCCGAGTTCCTCGAAAGCTGGGATGCTCGCTTCCAGAGCACCGCTGCCTTCCTCCGTGCAATAATGGACTTCTCCCCTGGTAATGCGCCCCGCACTGAGCGCACCACGGCACCCGGTCCCAACGGCAACTTTGTGGTGATGAAGATCCAGCCCAATCTGATCTTCAAGTTCGTGGAGATCTGGGATCCCTATGGACCGACAATCACCGAGGAAAGCCTCACAGCACTGGTCGTCTCCAAGGAGACTGCCTCTGGAGGGGCCGCAGTGAATGATGAACGGGCCAAGAAAGGATGGAAGAGCCTGGCTATCTTCGAGGTGGACGTGCTTCAGACTGGCGAGGTCACGGATGTCATGGATGCCAATAATTTCGAGTTGAAAATCAGCAGCACGGACATCCGGCGACGACGGATGAACTTGGCCAAGGTATGAGGACAAGACTTGAAAGTGATCATTGGAAAGGAAGCGCAGAGAGGAGATGGCGAGAGGGCTCCAAGACATGTCCTGCTAGAGGGCCTCGCTCTAAGAGAAGAGGAAATCAGCATGTTGCAGGAGTTGTTCCTGTCCGAAATGTAGATATTTTGTTTGCTATGCCTTTGCCTTACTTGCCTTGGGCCTTGCGAGTTTCCTCGAGGACTTCCAACGAATTTCCAACAGGATTCCAATCGCTGGCTATTAGTTTGATGCTAGACTTACCATCCGGATGGCATCGTGTCACGATAGCCTATAGTTTAGACCTGGCGATGCATCTGTCAGACCTTGTCACCAACACATCACCAACATAACTCCGCATTCCACGCCGTTTCGATTTCGGCCAATTTTCCCCCAATCCGCAGTGCCAATTGCCCCGTTTCCTCGTGCCGTGTCCACCAACGCGGGTGCTCGTCACTCTGCAGAAGATGTGACAAGAAGAGCGGGGCCCTGCATTGGCCTGTTCTTCATGGACGACTTGCGACCACTCAAACTGCTCAAATCACCGGCACTTTCCCCCCACCATCATCATCCTCCGCGCTCCTCCCGACGCTGTTATCCAACCACCCATCGTACCCTCCCTCCGTCTGCATCATCCACATCATCCGCATTATCCACACCACCCCCCCTTCCCCCCTTTAACCCTATCCAACCGACTCGCTGCTTGCCTTCCTCCTGCTGCAGGTTCGCGCTGGTTGCGCTGGCAGGCCGCAGCCCAGTTTAATCATGTGATTCGCAACGAGTCTCTCGTCGCCAATGGAACTGTCAAGATCGTGATGCAAAGGCCCGACCGGGAGAGCGCCAAAGCGCGCTAAACAAGGGTCTTGATGATCATCCCGGTCGCGGTGAGGCATCCTGAGGGCGAGAACACTCCCTCTGCCGCCATGGTGAGACAAGGCCTGGAGTTGCGACGAGTCCACTCGAACTTCGACGGTTTGCTTTTTTCCCAACTTCGGCTCTCGAGCTCCAGTCGGGGCTTTTCGAAGGTCATGGATTTGAGACTGGATTTTTCTTTAGTTGTTAATTCTCTCTTTTTTTTTCTTACGTCCTATGTTAGCTCAATTGTCTTGCTGCTTCTCTACTGCTCCTCCATTTCTCTTTGCTTTCTCGTTGTCTTAAATTCAGCGCCATTCCCACCGGTCGTGCGCCCTTAAATTCACGGCGTCATCTCTCCTTCTCTTCCTGACCTCCTGCACGGCGGTCTTGTAAGACCCAGGCTGCCAGCGAGCGCCTGTCGCTATCGGCCCGCTCTTTCGCCTTTCCATGTTGCTGCTACTCGTCCAAGCAGCCGAGTTGTCGGCTGCCGCGCGCGCCAATCATGACCCAGTCACGTCATATTCACGATCTTGCCGACGAGCTGTTGAGCGAAATTCTATCCTGCTTGCTAGAAGGACCTGGATTCCGAGCCTCTAACGGCAATACCGGCGCAAATGGGTGTAATGGCCATTGCTTGGGGGAATACAACGACCACCACGCGAGTGCCTATGGCGAGGCATCTGAGCTGGATCGCTTTCGACTTGTCTGTAAACGATTCATGCGCATCGGTACCCCACGCAAATTCTCGAGGTTCAACCTGCGGTTCTCCGAGAATGGCTTCCGCCGTCTAGACGATCTGCTGGAGATGCAGCTGGCCTGCTATGTGAAAACGGTGACATATCTCGTGCGACCTTTCTATCAAGGCAGCGGTACCCAATGACTCTCACACCTGTCCACAAATAAGAAATGAAAAGCCAATGGAAAAAGCTAACATACCTCACTCTTCAGACTGGACACCAGTACTTCGCACGCTCGGCGCCGAAGCCCCCAAACTCGCGCAATTGCATAGCCGCCGACTGCGCGAACAAACTACCCTGGTCAACACCAACCACGACCTAACGCAGCTGCGTGCTGCAATTGCGGCATTCTCGGCACTGCAAGAAATCAAGCTTCTTCGTTTACAAGATGAAGCCGACGAGCAAATCCTCGATTTCATTCGCGACCAAGCCATCGGCCACACCACGTCTGACGCCCATTTCAACTGGGAATCTGCATGCTCACGGGCCGTCACCAACTTAGGCATTGCTCTGCTCGATTCCCAACGCACTTCAATCCGCTTCATTGGGCCGCAAATCAGCCCCGAAGCAACCCTCCAACTTCTCGAAGCCCCCTCGACCACTCTGGCCGCAATGGGCAGCCGCCTCACAAGCCTGGACATCAACTTCCACGCCCATGTTGACATCACCGCAACCATGTCTGACCTATCACCCGTCTTCAACCGGTTCTTTACCGAGGCCAAAAACCTAGTCGCCATCCATATTGGATTTCCTGCCAAAGCCCCACTCAACTTGAACCTCGAAGCGATCTTCCATGGCATCCGCTGGAAGACTCTGCGCACGCTGAGTCTACAGGGCTGGCGTCTCAGCGCAGACGAAATTATCTCGCTCGCGCGCCGGCATCGCCATCATTTGCTCGAGTTGCGCCTCTACGCCGTCTACCTCCGATCCGGCAGTCACTGGAGTGACGTGCTGTGCATGCTCCGTGCAGAAATGGAGCGACTGGCGCGGCTAGACCTACGCGAGATCGACTACGCAGCAAACTTTGATGCGCTGGCTATCGACAGCGGCGTGGAGATATACGATCCTCACCCCGTGGGCCCGGTATCATCGTCCGTCTCCGTCGCTGCGGGAACTTCCCCGCCGGAGAGACCCTTGCTCCCTGCATTTGGGACCAATGGCCATGGGCATCACCCCGCGCTAGCTTCGGGTGGGAGACTGTCGAGACGAAGGTCATTGGAGAAGGTTCGGAGCTTGACCGTGGAGGAATTGGGGGATGATGGGATGCGTGTGCATCGGGATCAGGTGCATCTTTGGGAAGCGTGGGTTTTATCTGGGATGCAGCGAGAGATGCAGAATGGGAATTCTCATTGGTGTTCGCGTTAGTACGGTCACTGGCAGTCGCTGTTGCATTTACATGGATTGGATGATTTGGTATTGAGCCCTTGGCATGGCACCTGAGCTTGAAACACGACAGTATGACTGGAAAATGATTGAAATGGATTGGATGACGGTACGGAAGTGAGAGTGTGAGGAGGATTACCATATCAGGAGTTGGCGGCTGTTTGAAAATCGATTGTGATGAATTTTTGGTTTTGTTAAGGTCTTATGTGTCATGCATTAGCCTGTTCTGTCTACTTTGTACGTTTCGAGTCATATTGAATGGTCACTTGCAATCACCCAAAAGGGAGCATTCTATTATTTCCCGAACTTGAATATTGATTGGTATCTTGACAAAATTTGAGCCTTGGAAACTCATAGAGCCTATGACCCGAGAAGAAAAGCAACAATATGTGCATGACATGCCCGGTGAGAGAATGTCATTACAATGCGGGCTATCCAGCCTCTAAACAAAAAGACCAAAAAACGCGGGGCCCTTCAAGTCGAGCTCGACTTGTCTAAGAAGAATGACAGCTTGCCCAATCCCCACCACTCCGCGCAAAGCTCAATGCACGCACGAAATCGCTGCGTCGGCACCGACCCAACGCATCAGCCTTGCATCCATGCAGCGGGACCACACGGTCATTCACCAAGACCCGAACAAGCGGCTCAGATCGACGCGAACACTGCATCATCTCAATATATGCGCGGGCCGCGAACGGCACGGTCCATGCCGCGGAGTATCCATCCGCCTGCGCCGCAGACTGGATATGGTCCTCCGGCAGCGCGCCGGTACCATTATACAAGCCCAATGCGAAGAAGATAGGGATCATGCCATTGTCGTGCGTAAAGTCTGCGTATAAAGTGCGGTTGACGGGGAATGTGGCAGCACCGGGGGCGTCGAGGGTGTGGTTTGTCGAGGTCTCATCTTGCACAGGAGTGTGTGTCATACGGGCGATTAGCTCGTTGACGAAGCCGACCCCCTGGGTGGGACCTAGGGGGTTACCGGCGCCGTAGCCGTAGTATTTACCCAGTGATTGGAGGTAGTTGTACTGCGACCATTCGGCGTCGGTGAAGAGGGCGCAGAAGGAGGATTCCTGGCTGGCGTCTGGGGTGGTGGAGACGGTGTCGTAGGCGCACATGTCCATCAGGTAGATGACTTCGTCATTGGAGAGGGTAACACCTGGAAGACTGGCATGGAGGCGTTTCGCCATGGAAGGTGCGATGATCGCGGTGTAGTTCTCAGAGGCTTCGTCACCGAGCTCGCTAGCCTCGAATGCCGTGCAGGTGTTGTGGTTGAGGGTGTTGTTAGCACCGGGGTCTTCAGAAATAACCACGTTGATCGTGGCATTCGCTTGGCTATGGTCTGCGGCCTTGTCTTGCAGCTTGGACTGCTGAAGACCCTGGATGAAGAATCGGCCGGACTCGACGACGCGGGAGGAGTCTGCGGAACGGATGAAGGGGACATGTTTCCGAGTCAGATCTTCATAGCGCTGATAGAACTTGATACCGGAGTTGACCATTTGGCGCTCGCCAAAGGTGGTCAGGTCATCGCTGCCCAGGGTGTAGTTGTAAGATTTCAGGAAGGCAGTGTTGCCCTTGAAAGCAGTGGCATTGGCTTGGATAGCCTGGATGAGCGTCTTATATTTCTTGCTCTTGGATGCCGTTGGGTAGCGCGCGCCATGACGAGACAGGACTTGGACGAATGTGACATCGCATTTTTCTGGCACGGTATTTGAAACGCCCTCGCCGGCAAGAGAGAAGTAGGGGGAGTATTGACCCCAGCGGTGCGAGATGCTCGAAAAGCAATTGTAACCGCCGTCGACAGTACTGCAAGCTTTCGAACGATGGACAATCTTCTTGGATTGGCTAGATGACGGGCTCACGACCATCAAGTCAGGACGTCCTCTTTCATCCACGGGCACATCACGCGAGGGTTCATACTCATTCACCATGTACACGGCTGCCACCGAAACCAAGCTCAAGAGCGCGACAAGGCTCACTAAGGTCCAACGACACGATTTGACCGCTGGATACGGCGTGGACGAGCTCCGTTTATCGCCAGCATTGCCCAAGAGGCTCTCCTCTTCATGTCGATCTTTGTTGCTATACCCCGCCATTTTGAACCAGACTTAGCAGCTTCAGCTGTTGATTGGGCTCTGCGTGTCCGGGAGAGGTTCCACGAGTCCAGGAGAGGGCATCACGGAAGAAAGAGAAAGACAAGAGTCAGGAGAACACGAGATGTTATACAAAAAAGCTGAGAATCACGACCTCCTGCAGTAGTTAGCGGGCCGCGTTGTCGTTGTGATTTAGTCCGCCTTGGCCTGAAAGTTGAGGCTTGCTTCACTACATTCTTCACCCCCCGTGAGTCGTTGTGGGCTTCTGATTGGCTACTGATCCGCCCTACGGCACGTGGGGCATGTTTAGTGTGGGAAATGGATCGCGACTTGGAAATACTTCAACCAACATACAATTCACTATTTAACTCAATGTACATTTTAGTACTCTATCACTTCCGTTTCACAATAGGATTATCTTGGTACTTGAGATCTGTTTCTCTCCGAAACCACTTCCTATTCGAGTCGTAGATCTAGCACTACTATCGTAACTATACCCACTCATGAGCCATTAACACGGAGGAATGTCTACTTTGTCTGTAGAACATCACTTAGTTCCGTGACTAGTAAAGCTCTCGATCACGCTAGAGCCGGAATCTCCTCGAATCTCCCCGGCTACACTTACACTTCATCGTCGCTAATGCATGACACTTTCGGAATAAACCCCATTAGCTCTCTGCGCAGGGTCAATCATCACTATCGATCCCTCGTCGGACATTCTCGCTAACGCTCATCATAAATATTGACCCTTGGCCCAACGGCCCGCCACGTATTGGCCGAACATGTAGCATGCAGATAGGCTACTGCTCCAACTCCGAGACGAATCACTCGCGCGAGCTGTCAAATGTGTCACATTCGGGCCGGATCGACATACAGTAGCCTCACACCTCCTGCGCAAGGGGGTTTGCTGGGGTTGTATCAGGCTTAGAGACTTTGCAGACCCATCATAACGAGTCATTATTAAGTGGTACAGGATGCATTGCATTAGACAAGTAATCAGTATATAACTCCTTAACAAAGATACCGCCCAGTGAAGACCGCTTGAAGATTGAAGCGAGCTAATGCAGAACTAGTGCAGGTGCGTTGGAAGATTATCCCAGCTAAATGATGAGTTACAGTAGCGCTCGCTCGGAAAGAGTCAGCCGGAGTTGATACATCAAGTCTTACCTGTCAACGGTTGGGCCCGGGCCGCGGAATCGGGATGGGAAAAGGGTTGCAGATCTGAGCGCCACACAGTAAGGGCAATTCGCAGAGTACTATGTATGTGAATGTATGCTTGATCTAAAGCCCTGTGTATGAATGATGGGCTGGTTTCCTGGACGATGCCCGGGTGTATAAGCCTCTCAGACGCAGTGCATACTGCGTCACGAATGCTTTATGGACACCAAAATATTGGACAAGTCATATTGCAGGAAACAGCTCTATATTCCAAGGTCACATCACATGGTCACTCATTATGACGGGGATTCTTTAATGGACAAGGAGAGCTCTAGTAAAGTGACAGAGAAACCAGTAACAAGACCAGAGATACGAAAAGCAGGAATATTCAACTCAATATCGGCCAATGGAGGTATCACCGCTGTGCAAACCAAACACCGAACAAGTAGGTAAATGCAGAACAGGATGTGCAGGGTTGGTTCCTTCCCAGGAAACCCCGAGTACATGGAAGGCAGCTTTTGGAAAATCAGATGCAATGTCCAAATAAACTCCGGGATTGATCAGGCTAGAAAAATGGAAACAATAAATGCGATAACCAATATCCACATATCCATACCGAGATCCAAGGTCAACGCACATATTAAAACCAGACACAAGACATACTATGATGATACACCAGCCAAAAGGTCAAGGCGAGCAAGTGAGAGAAAAGGTGAGGGAGGGATGTTTCTAATGCTGGGGGTGTCGGGATACAGCCATGCCAGTGACTGCTTGCCCATAATGGTGAAGAGGGAGAAGTATTAAAGAGGACTTAGGAATTGCACAAAGCAAATCAAACATATGAAAAAAAAAATAAAAGACAAAGGGGGGAGTCAGTTTCATCTACCCTCCATTTTCCAGATATCATGATCGTGACCAGGGTCCCTGAAACGGTGGGAGAGTTACACCAGTCACCGACTGCGATCCCGAGTGTGGTGGAAGACTCCGGCCAGCCGAAGGGCCAGGCGAGTATGACGCCGGACTGCCAGTGCCAGACCAACTAGCCTGTGACCTCGTGGAATCCAGCACCCGGCTAGATGAGGACTGACCCTGGCCTGCCGTTTGTCCAGTCCCAGAAGTAGGCGTGTCCAACACCGGGACCAGGCTGGACTGCGAAGGGCGTGGAGAAGGAGGCCTCGGCGACGAATATATAGCATTCCCCGACCGATCAAGCGTATCACGGAAGAAATTTCGCTCAGAGCGATAATGATCTCTCTGCAAGGCGAGGAAATGAATCTCCTCGCTCTGGCGCCGAATAGTCTCCGTGTGGCGCTGGATTTCCTCCTGCTGCGCACTGAGTCGCTGCTCGAGCTGCATCTCGTTGCGCTTACGGTTGCGGAAACGCCTCGAGGCATCGCTGTTGGCCTTGCGCTTCTCCGCTTGTGTCGAGGAACCAGATTTCAGGTCTAGCACGCATGGTATCATGCCCTGAGCCCCGGACAACTCCTCAGCAAGGCTACTGCGTGGGCCCGCCGTGGCTGGAACACCCCGGCTCAGGGATTCGACAGTCATGTAGGGCGCTGGCGTTGGGTAAGGTACCGCGCTGGGTGGAATAGACACATTTGTAACGGCTGGTGATCCACGACCGTAGTGACTAAATGTGGGGTGCGGTGTAGACGGGCTTGTTTCCTGCGAATTGGGATTCGTCAGTAGCCCGGGACCGACGCTGGTGCGCCTTGAGTGGATGCTTGATGTGGAGTGTAGCGATGCGGATATTGGAGGCTGCGTGCCTGGTAGTGATGAAATAGGTCGGAGTGTAGCATCCAGCGGTAGAGGTGAGCTAACAGGAGGTTGGCGCGGTCCCAGCGGTTCATGAGGAACCAGCGGGGAGTGAGCGACGCTCGAATGGCCGGATGTCCTCCCACTGGAGCCAACAAATCGTGCGGAAGGTGAACCCGGGTTCATTAGAGAGCGTGGAAGAGATCTCGGAGACAATGGCTGTTGTACAAGCGGATACGACGAACGAGGTGCAGGAGAAGAACCCTGTCGAGGTCTGGGCGAAGATGGTAGTCCTGGTCGACCCAACTTCTCACGGCCTGTACTGCTCCCCAGATCGGCCGTTCCTTGTGTAGGAGGGTTCAGGATAGCATGAACACCGATGGACCGCGCCAAAGAATCTTCCAACGGTGGTTCAACCGGTCCGTATGGATGCCATGACTGTGGCCGCGCGCGCAGCGGCGGCCGACGAGCCGATTGACGATTCCCAGGAGTCAAATCATCAATCAGACTTCGGTCATCAGAGGAGGAGTGAGTCGCATCGTCGGACAATGGACCAGCGCGCAGAGTCTTCTGCGACATAGGCGGAAGTGCTTGGGCGGGCGTGGGATTAGGGCATGACCGAGTCCCCCCTCTCTCTGTGTCACTGGAGATCCCACCGAAGTTATGAGAGAGGGAGGAAGCCGGATAACGAGAGTCTGCTGGTGAATGCGACAGCTTTGGCAAATGGAGCGGTCTCGAGTAAGGCGCAGTTAATACGCTGAGGCCTAGGGTAGCCACGATGAAGTAGTGGGCTGAACGGGGGCAGATGGAGCGAGGTTGGCCTTATGAGAAGGCAACAATCCGTATTCTTTAATTCCCTGTCGGTTTCCCTTTTGTCTGATATTCTTCTTTTTGGTTATACTTCTTTGGTATGGGTGTAGAAGGAGAGGTATGCAGTGTTCGATCCCGGTTGACTGCAATGGTCTCGATCCTGGGGAATAATGAAGTATAGAGAAGGGAAGTCCAGATGATGCAAGATTCACGGGAAGTAAAGTCCCCAGCTTATCACAGTGCCTCTAGACCCAGACGTATAAAGAGAGATGAGATGAGATGAGATATAGAAAGTATTGGAAATGCCAGAAATATAGGTCCAATAAGAAACAATGGCTGACAATTAGGGCGCGAATGGAGGAAGTATGGAGTACAAGGTACGAGGGGGAGAGAGTGGAAGAAAGAGTGGGAAAGTAGAATGGGATTTAGAGCAGAAGAAGAAATTGAAGGTTAGAAGGACTCCAGAATGAGGTAATGATGGAAATAATTCACAAAATAAATTCAAATCACTAGCCGTTGAGATCCAGCGGTGAGAAGTGGGCAAAGAGGAACGAGAGAAAAGGCAAGGCAAAAGAGAGAACCAGGACCAGGACCGTATCCCGAAAGCATCCTAACTTCTCCAGTGTGCTTCAGTAGTCAGTGGGAGGGGCTCTCCCATTGATTCATCATCTTTTTTCTCTTTTTTTTTCTTTTTTGTTTCTGACTGACCCAGACTGTCGGATTGAATGTTGGGCATTGGGCAGGGACTGGCCTCACCTCTTCTCCTAATTCTTACCTCGACCTTTGGTAGCCTACATTGGCAAGTTGGTACTTTGTTCACTCCTATAGCCCCCAAACACTCTTACATACTCGTGACGTCCTTTCGTCACAATAGGAGAATGGACGTGTTGCTCAGGTCTAGAATCCTGGCAGGGGATTTGGTAATTTATGCCCTGGTATAGCAAGACTAGGTAGGGATCATGAATTCTTATATTACTCATACTTCATGCCCTAGTAAGTCTACCAGAGCAGCGGCAAATGCCCATTTTCTACTATGTATGACATTATTATCTCCCATCGCTGAATTGGCGCCCTGCCCGCCTCAGCCTCGATGGGGCGGAAGGGTTTGCCTTTCTCTAGTCCAATGCCCCAATGCCCAACCTCGTGGCCTGGCAAGACCAAACCAGACCAGACCTAGCGCCAGACGCCTGGACCCGGGAGACTGGGGGCAGAAGATTGGCGGTCTCGAGTTGTGTGATGCGACAAATGGTCCATTCTCCACTGCCATGCCTTCTCGACCCTCTTTTCATCCACTTTTACCCACAATGAGGACCTGCCTGGGGAACCAACCAGCGATCCAAGGTATACTAAGTACCAATCACCTCCGATTCTATGAGTGGGGAGGGCAGCTGCAAGTGTGCAGGCGCCGTCACCATGGACATGGACAAGGGACGGGTGGAGTCTGCTACAGAAGGTTGTCGGGCTCGTTGAGTTTTGGGCTAATTATCTTTATTCTTCTCCTTTTTTTTCTTTCGAAACCCCTAGTCATCTATCTATTTATCGCCATCTTTTCCGATGACGATGAACGGTGGATAGTGGCGATGTTCATGGTCCAACGAGAGAGGAGGAGTATGGAGCTTTTGGTGGCTTATTGGTCTTAGCTCAACTTGATGTACAACACGTTGCTGTCTGTCTTAATCTGCCTTCCATGTCTTCTTGCCCTGTTCATGTTGATGACTGATGTTTTTGTTTTTTCCCTTCTATCCATCGTGGGCGCGGGTTCAGCGGAAAGTGAGAAAAATCACGATAGCAAGATAGGTGATCAAGAGAAAAGACCACGGCTGCCAGCAGGATAGTTATCAAGGCCCGGAGCTATCCAGGACCTCCGGGTGTCGGTGTCAACTGCTCCCAAAGAATTAATGGGGTGGGCTCCGGCCTTGGCAACCTGATGGGCGATTTTAAGGGGTGGGCCATTCGTTCGATCTGTGACGCAAAACACCGATGACGGTGGAGGAACGATAGATAATTATTCAATGTTTATGCTGGCATGCCTCTCATCCCTACTTTACAGGGCTTAGTGTGTGATTATAGAGGCAATGAGGATCAAACTCCAAGCCCGAGATACTTCCTTTACTCGGCCGATCCTGTCATTTTCCAAGCGACTGGCGACTGGCACTGAGAGACTAGTCTCGAAGAATGAAAGGGGAGGGGGGGAAGAAGATTAAATTGAAATTAATTCAAACTATAAATTTGGCATTTATCCAGGGTAGGTCCACATGGCATTGGCCGAGCAACCATTGAGAGAGAGAAAAGAAAAAATAAAAGAAAAACAAGGTCTAGGCGACACGTTCGTTGTACAGACTGAAAAGAAAAGTGAAAAGCAATAATCAAGCTAAAGCTGCATGCAAAGAATTGTGGACGAACATAAGTACCTTCCCAACCTCAGAAATAGGGGGAGAGAAACAGACCAGAAGAAAAAGAAAAGAAATGCACACAGTCCCCAATCTGCACAAGCCTGTCGATATACAAAGGGTATAGCTCAAACCTAAACGAGTCCGTGGTTTAGTCTGAATGATATGCATGCATCACCAGCGTTCCCCGTGTCCCGGTAAAGGGGGGCCGCCGTTAATGGCCGTTAGGGATAAACTCGGTGGGGGTTCCCCTCCACTTCGGGGTCCCTCGACCAACACTATTGGAAACTCCCTTCACCGTCCATCCGGCCCTTCTTTTCCGCTGAGGTCGGTGGTGGAGCCCAGAAAAGAGAAATTATAGTGCTCAAGAGGTTGAGGTCAACCTTGCAAACTAAACCCGAGTGGTGATATCTCCGTGCCCTACGTCACCAGTCAGTTGAGGGTCATTGGAGCCTTTGGAGGACCCGTCGAGGGTAACAAAGATGTCCGAGTCTTTCCCGGGAAACCAGTATCCGTGCCTTCCAGCGCACCCATCCGCTCCCGCGTATAGGTGCGCCACGCTTTTATTATTACCACCCTTTCATCATCAGGTGCCTTTTGTATGGCCTCAGTATATACAAGATACTTTCCCAATATTTTTCAGTTTTTCTCGAATATCTTAGTATTTTACTAGCGATAGGTATATTTTGAATAGTAAGCTTATAATTGTAAGGTAAATTATATTTTTTTTTATACTAACTTATAAATATTAGCTTTGTGTTAGTAATAAAATAGGTTTAAATTCGCTCCTAGTAAATTTTTCTTAGACGGAAAATAAATCGCTAATTATTTGAACCATTTAGACTTAATTTGTATCTAAGATAGTAGAGGTAATTAAAATATATAGCAGCTATCTATAGTGGAAAACAAACGGGCACATATCTCATTTCCCACCAAATTATATACAAAAAACGATTTTTGATAATGATGTATTATTTGTATGGCGAGGCTATACAAAAGATACACTGGTGATGAAAGGGTGGTGGTAATAAAAGCGTGGCGCACCCATACGCGGGAGCGGATGGGTGCGCTGGAAGGCACGGATACGGATTACGGGGTACAAACTATCAATGGCCATTAACCTTTGACAGTATGTATTCCTCGTGTCATGGTGATCGACAAGGCAGAGACGAGGGTGTGAGCAAAACTCAAAAGTACCATCCAGCAAAGAGACAATACATAGCTTCGGCAAAAGTCCAGTCTCGAGAACTAGAATCAATATGAAATCAGGCTATATACGCGCTCAATCCGGCGAATATCAAGGATGGTCGGCATAGGAACTTAGAGCCTCGCATCTTCACAACGCCATTGACGATCTATCAGCCCGAGTCCGTGGCCGCTGGATTCCAACAAAGAGCTCCCCGGAAGCTTCTCTACTCTTGCATGTCATATGCATAAACGAGCCGGAGCGAGAACATTGAAGAAAAAAGAAGGGAAAAAGAAAAGAAAAAAAAGTGGGTAGCTCAGCTTCCCCGTCCAAACAACATAACCACAGAGCAAGTCAGCATCTACATCTCGGCCTAGCAACGGTATCCACAATGCGACCCCCTTAGCGCGGAAGAGAGCTTCCGCGTGACCGGGTTGAATGATAAACGACGATCCAAACTAGCGTGAAAGCGGCTGCAGGCGAATTGTGGATGCCAGACTTCCTTCGAGAGCACTTGCAACTTGACTGTGTGCTTATTCACGATCAAAGCCGCCTGAATTAGAAACGATGGTATGAGGTGGATCGCAGTTCAGCTAAGCCAAGTTGCCTATCCGCACTGAACACGAAAGTTCATTTTGCCTTGCTGGTGCTGGTTGTGTCTCGTTGTTAACAACCTAGCTTCAAAAGGCTAGTTTATTTTAGTTTACGGGACTACTGTAGTCCGGGGCGGAGTCACGATGCGATGGCTTCTCCCCGATCGAGCCACAACAATCGGTGTGCCACGCGAGATCGGCGGTCTGACAGTGACAGCTTGAAAGGCTAGATATGGTAAGGAGGGGCGATGAAAAAAAGTATGTGCATCGTGCTGCTAGAACTAGTTAGGGAGAGGGTAGCATATTAAAAAACACAGGATCGATAGAGAGTTTCTGCCTAACAGAGGTAGAAATGTCTTCGTTGTCCGAGAAGCTTGCTTGAGGATTCCATTTCGTCACGACATGAGTACGGCAACACTGACATATCCGAAGGACTTTTGTACCGTCATACCCACGGATAAACCAGAGCCAGAGCTCTAGCTGGAGCTGTCATCAAGGGCGTGTGGGCATTGCCTTTTTTGCAACTCGAGCAATCGCTAGCCGCCATTATGGTAGTGCGACGAATCACCTTGCGTTGCCGAGTGACAATTGCGGTCTGATAGATCCAGCCGCTCTGACTGGTCTACGGCCTCTCACATTTCCCCCAGTCACCTCGATCTCATTGGATTCTTCGAATTAGTCTGGGGTGCGAGACATGCAGGCAGGCAGCATGCAGCGGCGCCTTCAAAAGAAGAAAAGATAATCGGAAAGAAAAATAAAAACACACAAACCTAGAATTTCCTGACCATATCATCCTCACCATGGATCGTTAAATCCACAGAATCCTTCGGCCTCGATTCTATTCGCTAATACGTTCGCTAACTAGCGAGTCCGTTAGCTGGTTCTCGAATCCTTCAGTCCAGTGCCGAGTCCCGAAATTAGATATCGCCATCGGACAGTCTGGCGTGGTCTGCCTATCTCTATCCGATATGGTGGCTTGCAACCTCAAACCACTACTACCAGAGTCTCGGGTCGCCTATACAGTAGTGCCGCTGGGCAGGTAATCTGGGCTAGGCAGGTGATTATTGAGTCTCCGAGACCCCGGTTCGCGTGATGCGTGTCATAGTCATAGCTCCCTTTTTTTGTTTTCTGCGAATGATGCACGACGTGGGTCAGGGGAGGGAGGCCGAAACAGACTCAGACCGGGGTGTGCTTGGTCGGGGTGTGCTTGGTCCCAGGTATGTGGTACGTGGGTAGCTTGTACCAAGGTTGAGGGCAATAGGTACCAGTGACTGATAATCACTGTTTAAACTACCACAACAGTTAGTTCTATTCTATTTAGCTACTCTAGAATGATGATAACTATGTAAACCCACACACAATATACAATGAAATTTCGATCAGAAGCTGTCTCAAATCCGACTGACACCTGCCTTTTCAAGCTTTCACTGACGAGTCTCTAACCACTGGACACTTTTTCCACAATGAACTATTGTTGCTTTTTCCCTCAAATTTGCATGGACTCTCTCAAGGTTTTCTTTCCCTTCCCTCATCCCCTTCCCTGATCCCGACCCCGAGCGATCTACAAAGACCTTGGGGGCTATCCATACACAATGCAGACGATGAACCCATTATCTCGTGTCCGCTGCAACCGCGACCGAGCAAATCAGCAAACAAAAGCAAAAACAGCAACACACAAGCACAAGTCACACCCCTGGAATTCCCGATCTCTGAGGTCTAGGCTGCGTATTTGTCTTCCGATGCTCGTATCGTGGTACTGCGCGTCATGGCTAACAGCAGATAGATCACTATGTATATGTACGGAGTGCGTAGTTTATAGTATGTACCAGTATGCGCTCCATTGTACATACAGGAGGGCTCAGATTGATAGCGCATACTGAACAGGTCCCGTATATTATTTCTCTTGTTTCTGACAAAAGGACCAAATGATGCACCCCAGGCCCGACTTTCCCCTTTTTTCACCGACGAGTGTCCGAAGTACATCCAGAGAACAATAGACCAGCCGTGATGCACATGCACAGAAAGATATTCGTAGATGGCCTTACCATTCATCCGTCCCTCTCTGTAGGGAAGCACACCGACAACTCACAACACACCTACTGTTACGGTGCCTGCATTTCGCCCTGCAGGGCAGACCCTCCAAAGAAGTGGCAGTGCCCACGCACCGCATAGACGCAAAATTAAAGCAGGCGATCGGCCCCATTGCGGACCTGACTGACCGGAACGCACTGCACTGCAAGTACAGGTCAAGGTACAGCGCAGAATTGGCTTTACATACCGACAGGGCTATTCTGCGAGGCTTGCTTGCTTTCCCGGTTAGCTAACCCTGTCGAGGTCTGGGGCGGGCCAGCCTGGTTGTCGGCAGGCTAGTCTGATCTAATGATGATGATGGCATCGCCGCCTGATTAACTCCATTATGGTCTGTGATCTGTACTCGGCATGTCGCCTGACTGGACTCTGAACCTCGGTTACTAAACTCCCATCGTGGCCCACTACGGTGGAGGTCATACACCGTACCCTGGCGATCACTTCTCACCCCTTGCGCTTCGCAGAGCCAGAATGAGAGGTTGGACTTGAATTTGGGCTTACGGAGTTGACACTTAGCGAGCCGGTCCGTCACCTTCTTGTCCGCCGTTGAGTGATCGACGATCCCCACTCTGCGCTAACCTTGGAGGCTGATGGGTCGCGGATCTATCAAGTCATTTCTTGTAGCTTGTTGGGACTCATCAAGGGGGGAACTAAACTATGTACTTTAGCTAGGAACCTTCTGGGTAGGAGGTTCATTCTCGAATCCAGTGCTCTCCATAGACTACTGCGTGGCTGCTGTAAGTGAGTAAAGTACTTTACAGTAGACGAAGATCTGCACAGTCGATCGATTTAGGTACATGTGAAGTATTCCGAGTCGATCCATGTATGTATGAGTGTATTTACGCATAATCGACTCGACGATCTCGACTGTATACAACAGACGCCGACCAAACTTATGAACCATCTCTACTGACACCTCATATTTAGATCAGACATTCACTGCAGCCCTCTCTTCACTGCTGAAACCGAAACTCATTCTTCGGCTTTCCCCGAACACCAACGTCAACCTTGAACAACCGGCCTCCATAACGCACCGACTGCGGAAGCTTCTCATCATCACGATCATCCTTGGCTGAAGTAATGAACAACTCCGTGCCTACGAAAGCCGGACACGTCGGGTTCCGCGTAGGCAAATCAATCTGACCAATGACTTGGCCCTCGGGCGAAATCCGCAGCACCTTACCGCCACCGTAGATGGCAGTCCAAATGCAGCCCTCGACGTCAATAGCAAAACCATCAGGCTCCAGCCCGTTGCCGACATCAAAGTGCACACGTCGATTACTAATAGCACCAGTGGCGGCGTCAAAGTCAAAGGCAAAGATCTTGCCGGTCGGCGAGTCAGTCCAATACATGGTGTCGTCAGCATCGTTCCAGCCCATTCCGTTGGGAATGGTTACTGGGGCCAGCATCTCGTGCAGAGTGAGGTCTGGGTCCAGGCGGAAGAGGGTACCCTCGGGCTGGGGTGATTGGACATTGGGGTCGTTCATAGCGCCGGCCCAGAAGCGGCCGTGGCTGTCGACGGCGCCGTCGTTGAAGCGCATCCTATGACGGGCATGCTTGTGAGTGGGCGAATGGGAAATGCCGTGAAGCTGGTGCTGGAGTTGGTGGGTCGCTGGTTTTGGGTACTGGTTGCTACTGCTCGATATATTGGGGCCATGGGATTGGAGCCACCAATTGAAGTCTCGAGCAGTGCATCCGCACGCCAGCATCCAGGCCCAGCTGGAAGAGAGGGGGGCATCATTCAATTCAAATCACCAGGGAAAACTTACAACTTCTGCTTGGACGCATCCTGTTCCCAGGGCTGTGCGATGTAGGAGAGTTTCCCGGTGGTTTGGTTCAGCCGGGCAAATCCATGCTTGGCTCCGACAATGAGCTGATCCTTCTCGGCCTCGCCCACGATATTGGCGGTGACACTAAAGTTTCCATAGTCAGTCGATGAACGTCGTACAAGAATGAATCATATCGTATAAGAGACAGGCAAGAGGTCCTGCGTATCAACTAGAATGGAACCTACCCGATTGAAGAGTCTGTATCAATTACCGTCAACGAGTCAGGTCCTCTGGCCAGATCGAGGCGATAAAGTTTGTGGTCCCAAATGTCGACAAAGCGGAACTCGTCGGTGGCGGCATCGTGGTATGGGCCCTCAAGCAGCGTTCCCGCTATGTCAAGATAGGGCTAAGGTAGGTTCGTTAGCATTGTTGGCATGGCAAAAAATGAGTGGTCTGTTTTGTGGAGCTGTAAAATTCTTGATTGGACCGTCGACAGGAATTGTTTTTCTTGTTTTAATTTCCCTTGTGCCCTTGCCGTTGTTCTTCTAAAGATTGGGGGCCAACAGTAGGATCACAACTTGTTTGACCGACAAATCGAATCCAAAGGGAAGAGGCGGGAAGAAAAAAAAAACAAATAGAACGAGGCACCCGGCAAATCATGATCGAAAAAAATAAAGAAAAAGGTCCAAAAAAAAGAAAAAGAAACAAGGGAATATGTCGGAAGCCTGCAGAAAAAGATACGAAAAATCATGAACCGACCTCATTGACCGTCCATCTTTGAATTTCGGCCATGTCGATCCCGGGGGTGTAACTTGACCAGAGAGAATCGAGCAAAAAGAGCGAAGTACTAATGTGCTAACGTGTCAGGATGGAGAGGGGCCGGCGGGGGATGAACAGGAGATCAGAGGAAGTTCGGAGAGGACAGGATAGGATGATGACGGACACCGCTATTTGGGGGATATTTGGAGGCTTGGGATCTCGGGAGAATGGGGGAGACTCTCCGGGGAACGGGGGGGGGAAGCAAAGTGGAAAGGTGGACAGATTGAACAACCTAAGTCTAATTGGGTTAGAGGCAGGCGGGATCGGAGCCCGGAAAGAGCGAAAAGGGAATACAGTACGGAGTAGATGTTGAATGTTGAATGTTGAATGTTGAAACTTATAATATCGGACTCTCTCCGGAGAGACTATGTTCCTTCAAGCCACCGTCAGAGAACCCCTGTCCAAACGACTGCGAACCTACAATCCTGAAATTGAAGCTATACCAGGGCTTGAGATTTGACAATTTGGATATAGAGCACACGGAGCTAGTAAGATCACTCTAGGCTCCACACAGTCAAAAACTTGCTGGCGGTGCTGATCGCAGGAACTACCATATCCACAAAATGTCTTGAGGAGTCACAAGTCAGCGGGGAAGATCTTCCTGTTCCGTAGTACTCATGTATAAGTTGACTTGCTTGTAGAATCAGACAAGAGCACAGAAGAAGCGGTGGATGAAGATGAACGGCTTCTGCCAAGGCGCCCCCACACTACCGGGGATCCTACCGGCATTCTCGGACTACGATCATCCTCCGGAAAGGTAGAAGTATCGTGCTAGTCAACTGGATTCTAGCATGCTGACTCGCTAGGCCCATATAAACCCTGCAAATGAGGGTCATCCATATAAAATAGTCTGCAGACTTTAAGGCAAGCTCATCACACTGGCACATGGTCACCGTTTCACTTTCCACTCGGCACTGCAGGGGTAGAGTCCTAGATCTCACCCGGAGTATCTTTCTTTCTTGTACATAAAAATAATGTAGCAAGTACCTACATACGATTGAATCATCAATGTCATGTATAGCGATGTCTCTGAAATAGGTCCTATGTCTACTTGAAATCTTCATATCATAACATGCTGCATAGCAATCAACGCCACGTCTACAACCCACCTTACATCCTTACTCAGTCCACGCTCTTCCCAAACCAGTCCAAGTGCCCACATGACCACCACTGCATGCAATCTGCAAGAGATTCATGTACGTATGTGCTGGTGCTTGGCCGGGCGCTAAAAAAACCCCACACTGCCCCCTCTCTCCTCCAACCCAATGGCCCCAAATTTCATGCCTAATCTTACGCCAACATGAAAAGACAATCAAAAAATGGAGATTGGGCATGAAGGCACGACTAACTGTCCAATCAGAAATGCTTTTCGTCGAATTTACAAGAAAATTGGAGAAGAGCCAGGGTCGGAAACTCAAAGGTGCATTCGAATTAGGTTTGTGAAGACCGGTATTCCGGAGAGTACTCTAGATGTGGTGAAATACACTAGATAGGAGGATATGTCTCTTTGGCCGGGCGTTGTAGCCTAAGGATCTGGAATTCCGTCTCTGATCATTATTTGACGACTTCTCGATCCGAAACCAACGTAATTTCCCGACTACGCGATGATTCTTGGGGACTGTTCATCCATGCGAGCTGCCTCCTGCGCCGCCCGAGAATTTCCACAACAGGCCCCAGCACCAACACGAACATTTGCACTGACACTCCATGAAACTCCGTCCTGCAGGAGAAATGTCTCATGTTGACATCCGTCCGACAGAGCAAGAGGGGAATGCGGTCCGGGCTTAACCTTGGACGGACCCCGTAATACAAAGTATATTCCATAACGCCGTATAGCCACATATTGTGTTCAGTGATATCGATCCATGTCTATAGTGATGGAGTAATAAAGAGAACCCCAGGGCCCTCAGACCTAGTGACTATCCCCGCATATACCAACTTGGGACATACGTATATTCCAAAAGTTATCCAAGGACAGCAAGCCCAGACAAAGAATAGACCAGATCATTCGTATACGACATTGACTTGATGTAAGCCACCGCATGAACACCCCATTTCTTGGAAAATCTCCCAAACCAAATCCAACACCTGGCACATATACGTACTCCAATCACACCTGCAGACCAATTCCCAGGCTTAATTCGCCGCTGTTTTTCTCGAAATTGACCCAATCACGTCGTACGCAGGGCACCATGGCCGTGGATTATTTCCCACGCAATGCACCTCATTGCTGTTCAATTACCTCCGTTGGGTTCCCAGTGGAACTTGGAAAAAAAGAGTAAGGCTTGCATGCATGCATAGAGTATGTATGTAAGAACTTGGTGTCCTGCCTGGTAAGGTTAGTAGGTATCTTGTCTTATACGGGGCTACGTTGGTTCGTCTAATGGGCTTCGTTCGGATTTGAAATCTGGCTTTGGCCATGATATCAGAGTGCCTACGGGTTCAATACGTGGAATTCGGGATTTTCGAATCGAAAATTGAATTTGATACAGGGTGTGCAGTTACGAGCACATACATACTAGAGTCATAAATGCCAACCTCATATCAAAAAATAGTTCCTGTGATGCAAAGTGCCCCGCTAGAACCGGGTATGCACGCCAACACCATAATATGTTCCCAGCAGCTGCGGCAGTGTTCGTGGCTCCGGCCTCCAAGTGGAGAATCGGGCATCAATCAAAGCGAAAGAGAAGCGTTGAGGCGTGTAGGCGCAGCGAGTGCGTCAAAACAGCGTGTAATGAGCTGTATCCAGGGTTAGTGATTAGGTAGTGAGGTTCCTGTTTCATGAGAATAAGAGCCAGTTCAACCTATGAGATATTGAAGACTTGTGATACAGATACAATGCCTATTGGACTAGAAAATCAAGGCTAGCAACAAAACCAATCCAGGAATAAGCTTGCGTGTCCAAAGTGAGAGATGGTTGGATATTTGGTTGGGTCATCAAAACATAAAAAGTTGTCTAGTTACAAGCAGAAAGAAACCAAGCGCAAGCTCCCATATCGACGGATACATATATCAAATCCATATATCCGAATTCGATTCTTTACAGACGGCTGCCCATGTTAACGTGGACCGCCTTGACCTGCGAGTAAGCGTCGAGGCCAGCCTCGCCTAGCTCGCGGCCAATACCGCTCTGCTTGACACCACCGAACGGCACCCGGAAGTCGCTGTCGTTGCTGCTGTTGATCCAGACCATACCAGCCTCGATGTCCGAGGCGACGCGGTGCGCGCGCTCAATGTCGCGCGTGAACAGCGCAGCACCCAGACCGTAGGTGGTATCGTTGGCGCGAGTGACGGCCTCGTCCTCGGTGGTGAAGCTGGCAATGACGACGAAGGGACCGAACACCTCCTCGCGGTAGATGCGCATGTTATCCTTGACGTTGGTGAAGATGGTGGGGGCGATGAAGAAACCACGGCCGTCGCCGACGTTCTTGAACGGCTCGCCACCGGCAGCTAGGGTCGCACCCTCGGACTTACCAGCCTCAATGTACGACAGAACACGGTCGTATTGGGCCTTGGTGACCTGGGGACCCTGGAAGGTCTCGTCCTCGAAGGGATCGCCGACCTTGCTGGTAGTCTTGACTGCTTCCTTGAAGAGCTCGACGAACTTTTCATACACGGACTCGTGAACGAGAATACGCGAGGTGGAGGTGCAGACCTGACCCTGGTTGTACATGATACCGATGTGGGCCCACTTGGCGGCCTGCTCGAGGTCGGCGTCCTCGAACACCAGCAGGGGCGACTTACCACCAGTCTCGAGGGTGATGTTCTTCAGAGTACCAGCAGCCATCTTCATGATCTCGCGACCGGTCGCGGTTGAGCCGGTGAAGGCGACCTTGGCCACGTCGGGGTGCTGCACCAGGGCAGCCCCGGCCACGCGACCGTGACCGTTAATAATGTTGATGACACCGGGAGGGAAACCGGCCTCCTTGATCAGCGAGGCCAGGTAGAGGATGCTCAGAGGAGTCTGCTCAGCGGCCTTCATAACGATAGTGTTACCACAGGCGAGAGCAGGTCCAAGCTTCCAGGCGGCCATGGCCAGAGGGAAGTTCCAGGGGATAATCTGACCAACAACACCGATGGGCTGGCGCAGAGTATAGGCGAACTTCTGGTGAGTGGTGCCAATGGTCTGGCCGGTGACCTTGTCGGCCCAGCCGGCATAGTAGCGGAGGGTGTTGGTGACCTCACCGAGGTCATCGTTGAGCGAGACCTGGTACGGCTTGCCTATATCAAAGTACGTCAGCCTCAATCCCTGTCGTTCCCGATTGAAATTGCCACTAACCGTTGTCCCAAGTCTCAATAGTGGCCAGGGTCTCCTTGTGCTGCTCAATCAGATCGGCGAGCTTCAGCATCAAATGACCACGGTCAGTGGCGGGCAGATGCTTCCAAGAAGGATCCTTCAGGGCCTTATGCGCAGCCTCCACGGCAATGTTCACATCCTCCTCACCGGCGGCATAGACCGAGGTAATTTCGGCTTCGTTACTGCCAGCGAGTCAGCATTCAGTGTCGCGTGTGGACAAGATCGCCCGGCCTTGTGGGGTAGGGGGAGGAACATACGAAGGGTTGATAGAAGTAATCTTCTCACCCGACTTGGACTGCACAAACTCGTTGTTAATGAAGAGACCAATGGGCTGGGTGTAGGAGCGTCCGTTAGGAGCAGTCAATTGCACAGAGATGTCCGACATGATGGCGGAGTGGTGGAATCGGCCAGACGACGAAAAGAGTCTACTCGACACGCAAAAGACCGAAGAAGATGGAATAGAAAGGCAGCGCAAAGGCCGAAGTGTGAACAATGCAAGCATCCCCAAATACTGGGGGGGAGGGGAAGGAGTCGACTTTAAGGAAAGCTTTCCAAGTCCGGTGCCCCCGCCCACGATAACGATAGCGATAATTGATAATCGGGGAGGATCCACAGGTTTCGGTCCGGTCTAGTCGGGTGCACTTACTCTTCGTGGGTAACCAGATGAGCTTGAGAACCAACGAGAATCAACGAGGGGGCCAACCTGCTCCATTCGTCTGCTGTTGCAAGCCCCGCTATCCACTGGTTGGTTGCATCCGCCGCTACTTTGCAAGTCCTCCTGGTCAATCATTCCGAGGTTCTTAGAAAGACACTCCGCAATATCCGAGGTTCTTAAGAAAGACACTCCGCAATATCACCGACGGCGATTAATATTATTAAGAGATTGAGCTTGGTTCCCCAGATGCAAGCGTACCAAAGAAGAAAGTCGGTGCTTGTCAGTCGCGGCCCAGTGCATATCTCCTGCACGTCAGTGTGGATCGACGAGGCGATAGGAAAGATGGCGGCCGCGCTTATGCCTACACTACGACGGAAAGGGAAAGAAAATCGTCCAGTCCAGTGAATTAACCGAATTTGGTGCTGATGCCTTTAAATGTCACCCGCAACGCCTCCTCGTCCAGAAGAAAAACCAAATAGATCCTGCCGAATGGCAGTTGCCTCGCTGTTATCGCCTTCATTCGGACACCTAGGCCTTCGCTTGTGGATCCTCGCCGGCCAGTTGGAGGATGTACTTCCATTGTGCTGGGGTCACCGAGGATACACTGAGCCGTGATTGCTTGAGGGTTTGGAGGTTTTCGAGGCCCTTGCCAGGCTGGGCATGCTCCTTGAGATCGCTCAGCGTGACCTGCTTGTCGAACTTGCGGCGGAACTCGACGTGCACCACCACCCACTTGGGAGCATCGCGGCTGGACTTGGGATCGTAGTAAGGGTGCTTGGGATCAAAGGCGGATTCTATCAGATGAATAGCAAGGCAAAGGTCAGTAAATATTTCGAAAGATACGGAAAGAAGGACAGGCTATCGAACCATCAACCGAGTGTTCTTTCACAATTTCCATCACTCCAACCACTCCGGGGACCTTGCAGTTGGAGTGATAGAAGAATGCATAATCTCCTTGCTTCATCTCCTTCATGATATTCCGTGCTGGTTTTCATCGTTAGCTATATGGGCCGGAGAACATCGTCCCGAGTCAACCTTACCAACAGGGTTGCGCACTCCTAAATTCAGTCGTTAGCATTTGCGCAATTCCCATGTCAACTGATCAGACTAAACATACCATCCCAGGGCTCTGGCGCCTTCGCAGCAGCCAGATCATCAATCGAGAACTTGACATCGACCCCCTTCTCCAAGCGCGACTCCGGTTCCGCCTTCATCAGCCAGTATGAGCGACCAGTGTCCTTCAATGGTGCTCTATCGGTGGTAAATTCGGTGGTAGATTCGGTGTTCGGTTTCGGCTTCTCGTCGGGAAGGCTTCCCTCGGTTTCCTCATTTGCCTTGGTTTTGGGCTCAACGACACTTGTTGCGCCATTGGTAGGCAGGCTCTTGCGCGGTCGCCCGCGGCCGGCTTTCTTCGTTACTGCTGGGGACGTTGGTGCAGACGCTACAAAACGATCAGAGAACCACCGGTCAGCAGCCAGACATGTATGTAGCTCGAGATGATTACTTACCAGGAACCTTGCGGGGACGCCCGCGACTTTTCTTCTCAGGAGCTGTAGTGGAGGTAGCTGCGGCTGTGCCTAGACAGGCAAAAAACCTTGCGGTTAGCGACCAGTCTCGAGCAATTTCTAGGGCTTGACACACCTGGCTCTTTACGGGGGCGCCCACGACCATTCTTGGGTGTTGTAGACGGGGTAGCTGTCGCGGTGCCTAGAGTGCAGAAAGATAAGCGTTTAGCAGATTATTTTTAACCATTGCAAGAGCATCACGTACCTGGCTCCTTGCGCGGTCTTCCACGCCCTCTCTTGGCAGCTGGCGAAGCTGTAGCTGCAGCTGCTGCAGCAAGATCCGCTTCGGAGAGTACCTTTCGAGGACGTCCTCGTCCGCGCTTAGGTTCATCGGAGGGCTCAGGAATCGACTCCTCAATGCTTTTGCGTGGACGACCTCGCTTTCTCTTCTCGCCAATCTGGGGGCTGCCAGCGGTCTGTTCGTGAACAATTAGGTTAGCAACACTTGTGGATCTGGGGTAAACTGAAGAGGGGGTTGAATCGATCAGCCCCTTGGATGACGCGCTCACCGAGGAGGTTCCTTTGCCTGAAGCTACAGCATTGGTAGCAGCATTGCGAGCACGCTTGGATGGTGTGTTGGCGCTTTCGTCTGCCATCGTGGCTCCTTCGGACTTGCGCTTGGGTGGCATGTGAGAAATAAAGAGCGGCCGGCGCGGCTAGAAAGTAAACAGAGACCAGGATGCGCGAAAGGACTTTCTGCGCCACAAGTTTTGAGCTCACCAAATCAGGCTGCGCTCACAATTCTCGCAAATGTTAATTTTGCTGCAATCCCAGAAATGATTGAGGTTAAGAAATAACTTCCTTGGGGGAGCTATCGCTTGCCGGGTTAAGCTTGACGCGACGGTGGGTCCTGGATGCTCCACGTGACACGAGCTTGATTGCGGTCTTCAGGAAATAGAATCAACCCCTCGGATATTGAGATTAATGAGATAGTTCGGAATTATGGATTGACTGTTACGTTATCTCTCGCTTTCACGTCACATATTTTTCTATCAATTCCTGGATGCCATCATGTTCTTGCACAACTACCTATGGTACTCCGGACTAACAACGGCTATTGAGAAGCGTGGAGACAAGATAAATATATCTACCCATCCAGTTCAAGCAGGGAGATGTAAAACCGACCATAATCAGGCCCACTAAGACCTTAGGAATTCTCAAATATAAACGTTGAGTGACGATTATATCTATTCATGTGTTTAATCCTTCTCCTGAAATTTTCAACTCTATAAATACAGAGGAAATCATTTGGACCGGAAAATAGCTACCCGCAACCCATCCCAACACAGAATGGAGCTACGGCGCTTGACATAGGTGGGCAAATATAGGCACGGAGAATTTCGGTTGGCTGAGAACTATGCATGAGCATCTTTGACTAAGAAATTTCTATGCAGGACCTTCTATTGCTCTAAGCGTACTACAAATTCCTCTTCGTAAGTACGTGAGTGCCAGGATTGATCAATCTATATTCCGACCACCACGTAGTTCCACACCTAACCAAGGTTCTTTGTATAGTTAGCGGCAATGAATGAGACCAGATACTATCTGGGATACCATAGTGCTAGCATCAAAGAATTAAAGCGCTCCAGTCATAGGTACCTAGCTCTTCGAAACCTTTGGCCTTTGGCTATTAAGAGTATCCAATTTAGCGAGCCGCCCTCAGCTGTAATCTTCTAGTTAGTCTGTCATCGGGCATGATTGTCTTGTGAGAAATGCGTGATAAGACATGGTGCAGGCTTACTTCAGCACTCTAAACAGATAACAGTGCTTATGTTTATTGTATCTCGACCCGAGCCTTACGCTTAGACCATCTATGTTTAGAGGCTACCTATCTTAGCAGACGGAACGTTGTCTTGTCCTGTACGTATACATCCCTGCATGATATGCGAGGACAGCACACATCACAGACTTTATGTGACGGCTGTATTGTCTACAGCAATTATTTCCTAGCTTTTGCTTACTATTTCCGCACAGGCTATCAGGTTTATACATACAAGGTGCCTGGGATCATTGAAGAAGGTTGTCGAGATTTGCCCCACCCTGTGGGTCCACGGCATGTGGTCCGGTCCCTTTGACATGGCATCATTATTGAGCATCTGGAGCAGACAGAATGGAAAGCTGAATACTGCGCCTGGGGCATGGAAATTACTGCCCTTAGGCCTGCTTGATAGGCACTGTTATCTACCGTATATCTCGCTTGAGGATCGGCATGTCACTGAGAGATTATTCATGCGAGACCAAGATGGTGTATACAATTGCGCCATCGTGCCGAGTCTCCATTGGCCGTAGGTGGGGGAATGACTTGCCGACTCAGACCTACACGAGTACCGCTCGGCCGATACAGAGACTTCGGCTAGTCATTGAGCTAGAGATAATGCAATTGCCGTGTATTGAAGCGACTTTATCGAGGTTACAAGCTAACAGGTTGTAGAAAAACACAGGAACAGGCATAAAGGTGTAGTATAGATTGTTGCTCAGTTGGGGCTAGTAAAGATGGGGGAGGAGGGGAGATGGAGGGGTCAGGCCAAAGTATAGCATCAACAGTATATTCCACGCTAAGCACGCTATAGGCTTGAAATGGTTCCTCCGACCACCATATGTAGTATGTATGTACCATATTTTGCCCCTCTTTCTCCCTCGAACCCGGTTAGTCCGTGCGAGCCATTCAAAAGAGCTGAACGAGCTGAGCTGGCCAAATAACACCAGGAACACTAAACAGCCCACTTTGTCCTTCAGCCAATCATGGGTGTTCTGCCCGAGGGCGGTGGGTAATTGCGTGATAGCAACAGCCGGATGAGGTAAGGCGATCACCGATGGAGGAGGTGTATTCCATCGCGACCAGGCGGGGTGACAACTATTTGAACCGCCAACTCGCCCCGTCTCCCCTTTTCTTCCTTTCTGACTATCCAAACTATCTTCCCTACTCTCCGATAACCTCCATCTTTTCTACCATCATCCACAATGGCTGCTGAGCGCTCCCCTCCGTATGTAAACCCCTCCATTTACACAACCTATACTTCCCTTCCAAGGTCCCTCACCTCACCTTTGCCAGAAGCTGACCAATTCTCCTATCCTAGTCTCCGTCTGGGCTCCACTGCCCCTAACTTCGATGCTGAGACCTCCAACGGCCCCATCAACTTCCACGACTTCATCGGTGACAAGTGGACCATCCTCTTCTCCCACCCCGATGACTTCACCCCCATCTGCACCACCGAGCTCGGTGCCTTCGCCAAGCTCGAGCCTGAGTTCACCGCCCGTGGTGTCCAGCTCATTGGCCTGAGCGCCAACAACGTCGAGTCCCACCACCGCTGGATCAAGGATATCGATGAGGTCTCCGGCTCCCAGCTGAAGTTCCCCATCATCTCCGACCCCGAGCGCAAGGTCGCCTACCTATACGACATGGTCGACTACCAGGACACCACCAACGTCGACTCCAAGGGCCTGGCTCTGACCATCCGCTCCGTCTTCATCATCGACCCCGCCAAGAAGATCCGTCTCTCCCTCACCTACCCCGCCTCCACTGGCCGTAACACCGCGGAGGTCCTCCGTGTCATCGATGCTCTCCTGACCACCGAGAAGCACGGTGTCACCACCCCCATCAACTGGCTCCCCGGTGATGATGTTGTCATTCCTCCCCCCGTCTCCACCGCCGATGCTAAGGCTAAGTTCGGTGAGATCCGTGAGGTCAAGCCCTACCTCCGCTTCACCAAGGACCCCAACGCCTAGAGGGTGTTCTTTGGATCTTTTAACTATGATGTGACATGAGCAAAATGCTTTCAGGATGTTAGCTTCTTTTTTTTTTGGCCGGAATAGCCGACTTGATACCAAATATGAAATGACTTATCCGCCACGCCTGTACCTGTGCCACTTGTAATTGAGCTACTACGTAGAGCTGGAGCGTGAGCGAGATTGCTTCGTTCTGTCTTGAGCCTAGACACGGTTTTAATTGGGAAAGGGGACTGCTGCAAAGGTTCTGATCAGATATACATCATAATTACGTTCTCCCAAAGTGTCAATGGCCCCTGAATAGCGTACATAGGTCTGATACAAGCTGGTGGACCCGCGGGGATACGAGCAACGGGAACAGCACAACTCCATTGGCTCCCCTCAACAAGGGTTCGATACATGTGCAGTTTCTAGAATAATCAAAGAACAAGATAACAAGACAAACTAAATCGGCTGCATTTCCCCCATACTAGTCTATCCAATCCCATCAGCCAAACTACCGAGGAATAATGTGATTCTAATCTATTTCCTCGGGGCTGTTGCCCAACGTGTGATCGAGTGGGCGCGGTCGTATCCGCCCCCAAGCCTGACTGGGAAAAGGGTTGAGACCGCCTTTTTTTAATGCCGATCCAACGTTTTGACGGGATGACACTTTTCCTCTCCACTTCGAAGTCGTGTTGTTTCGTCGTCTCAATTGCGTCTCTCGGAACTCGCTGTCAGACTCTCGGCCTCATCTCGCGCCCTCGACACGGCGGGCTTCGAAGCGGCGGGGAAACAACCCACACCTATCCTCCTTTCCAACCCCACAGAGCCACACTTCGAGCCCGCACCGGAATCTACGATCAGCGGGAGGGACTTATACGGACGTTACACACTCGCGAGCCCACCAACCAAGGGGTCTCCTCGTTATATGCGTGTCGTCTGACGGCAATACACAATCGGGCGGACTGACCGAGAAAAAAGGGGTTGACAAAGCGAGAAACTACCCGCCAGTGATCGCATTTCTCTCCTCCCAGTGGGGAAACACCCAATTCACACACGATGATGTCTAGAAGTCAGTCAAGTCTGGGATACTTGGACGCTGCCCAGGATCCCTCGGCGCAAGGTATTTCCCCGTCATTCCAGCAGCAGTCCTCATCAGGCCCGATCAACCTGTCTGGTCTGGTGTGCAATGTGCGCCGAACCACTGGCAAGGAGCCTCACCCCCTGGTCGGCGCGACCACAACTATTTTGGGTGACAAACTATACGTTTTTGGAGGCCGGATTCTCTCACGCAGTCGCCCGCAATTAACATCGGATCTCTACGAACTCGACCTCATCCGGCGGCACTGGACTAAGATCGAGGCGACCGGGGATGTCCCTCCACCGCGGTATTTCCATAGTGTATGCGCCTTGGGTGACAATAAACTCGTTTGCTATGGAGGCATGTCGCCTGCGCCGACCACGCCCAAGGACCCGTCGAATCCTGCTGCCTCGGGCTCAGAATCTCAGTCCCAGTCCGAGGTGGTCGTCATGTCGGACATTCATATCTTCGACGTCCCTACACGGGAATGGACCCGGGTCGCGGCTCACGAATCGCCCCAAGGACGATATGCACACTGCGCTACAATCCTTCCCTCTAGTGCCTCGTTTACCTCGGCCAGTGCGCCGTTGTCGGCCATCCACCATAATCCAGAGTCGACCACGCCGCACCAAGGCTCCATTGGGGTCGATATCGATGGTTTCGGCGGAGCAGAGATGGTAGTTGTCGGTGGCCAAGACAGTTCCAACCATTATATTGAGCAGATCAGCGTGTTTAATCTTCGCAGTCTCAAGTGGACCAACACCAGTCCCCTGGGACGCAGCTGTGGCGCATATCGCAGCGTGGTTGCGCCCTTGGTCGGCATGGACGTCTCCGAAGTAGGCTCAGCCGCACCCGACCGTGAGACTCACGAGCCGATCGAGGAAACGGAGTCGCCCGGCTGTCCTATGCTGATCTACTCCAATTATAACTTCTTGGATGTTAAACTGGAGCTGCAGGTGCGCCTGCCGGACGGGCGCCTTGTTGAGCGACCAATGCAGAGCCAAGCATCTCCCCCCGGGCTGCGTTTCCCCAATGGTGGCATTATCAACGGCCATTTTGTGGTTAGCGGTACTTACCTGACTTCATCGAAGCAGGAGTATGCACTTTGGGCTCTGGATCTTAAGACCCTGACCTGGGGACGTATTGATGCTGGCGGGTCCGTCTTTGGCCATGGTAGCTGGAATCGCGGTATTCTCTGGCCGCGTCGCAGTGCCTTTGTCATTCTTGGGCATCGCAAGCGAAGCCTGGTTGATGACTATAACCACCGACGCATCAACTTTTCGCACATTTGCTTGGTTGAACTTGAGGCCTTTGGGCTCTATAACAACCCATCACGGACCGCCTCTACGTCAGGATATAAATCATACAGCTCTCCCTCCGTTCCTGCATCTTTACAGCAAAAGCTTTCTCAATTGACGACCAGTGGCCGGCCTCTGTCCGCAGCGTCAGATGAATTAGGCAAGCTGGCCCTGTCATTGCACGAAATGTCAGACATGGAGCTACAGGCTGTGGGTGGAGAACGAATTCCGGTCAACTCCCGTGTCCTAGCGCGCCGTTGGGGTCCATACTTTATCCAGCTTCTTCGCGAGTCGTCCGATGGCGGCGCTGCGGACGTTGGCACCCTTCGTCCGGCTCAAATGCACCCCAGCCGAAATTCAAGCATTACCATTACTCCATCAGTTGGACATAACAGCACCTACTCCAATGCGACGACATTGGTAAACCCTTCAGTTCCTTCCAAGGCCCTCCTCGAGAACTTGGAGGCTCCCTCTGCCCATAGCCTCGCGCCAACCTCGCGGCCGCGTGTCCTTTACCTCCCCCACACTATCCTCACCCTTCAAGTGCTTGTCCAGTACCTCTATACCTCAGCCCTTCCTCCCCCTGGCTCCTCCCTGTGCACTCCTCAGATTCTCTGCTCTCTCCTCCAACTTGCGCGCCCATACCAGATTGACGGCCTACTGGAAGCGACTGTTGAACGTCTACACCAAGTCCTCGATGGACGCAACGCCGCAGCTGTCTTCAACGCCGCCGCCATGGCCGCAGGCGGAGGTCGCGGCACTGGATTCACCGGCGGCCTAGGCGGTACCCTGGAAGCTCTGAACGGAGCCAACAGCACCCGCAACGGCACTACCCCCGGCATGTCGGAAGGCGGCACCAACTCCCAACAGAGCGTACTCCTAGCCTCCGACTCCTCCGACACAGAGCACGGCGGCATCACCGCCCCATCAGCCTCTAGCAGCACCAGTGACGTGAACAACCTCACCCGCGGTCTCCCAGCACTACGCATCGACACAAACTTGTCCCAGTCACGTAACCGGCAACGAGGCCACCGCGAACGCGAAGACTCCATCAGCAACCCCAGCACGGCGACATCTGCGTCCAGCGCTAGCTTTGGCCAGTCCGACTCCGAGTTTGTTAGTGACAGCGAGAGCCGGGCGGCGTCACGCGCTCATCACCGCCGCGACACGGACGCCGAGCTCCGCCCCGAGCGTGAGATATGGACTGGCGATTTGAGCAGTGTTATTGGTCTGCAGAAGCGTGGACTACGCGGGTTGATGGAGGGAAGGAGGATGCGTGAGCGTAGCGCAAAGCCGCCTAGCATTAGCAGCGGCTCGACATCTGTGCCTCCGTCGGCGGGCTCAGATCACCACCTGCCCCTGCAGGGCGTGGCTGGTTGAGTATAATGTCGATGTTGATTTGATTTTGACCCTGTCTGGACCTGTTGATTGTGAACGATTGATATAACGCGTTGGCCCTTGGATTTGTGGGAGTCATGATGCACAATTTCCTTACCCCGTTCTACCCCTATGTTGATATTTTTCTTAACGTGACCTCGAGGCTCTTGTGGTTCGTTTCATTTGGATATGAATGATTGGTCCATACGTATTTCCTTTTCATGCTTCACCCCCGCAGGCTGGCGAGGTGGGGATCCGTTTATATTTGGTTGATTATTTACAGTACCACTCCGTAAGCAAGGGAGGAATGGTGAAAAGTGGGAATGAATATTTTTCAAGGATCAAAGATATTGGATTGATGTATTTGCCTAAAGATTTTAGGGTAGTTCTTGTCTATACTGAGCGGACTTGGCAGAGGCCTTCGGAATGTGTGCTTTGTAGCTATGAGACGATAATTTAGTTGTCTTATGTACAGATTGAAGAGATGGCCACTGAAGACCCGATAGAAAACCATTCTTCCCTACGAGGAAGTCGACGAGGAAGAAGTAGAACTAGACGAGTCCTGTTGCGACGGCTGTTGTGGTATCAACCTCCGCGGGCTCTTGTTCCCATAGACTAAGAACAAATGTCAGACAAGGGCCCATAAGAAGAACGATATAACACAATGCGGCTCCGCACTAGAAAAAGCTGCAAAGGACAACACTTACCTCGCTCATACAGAATCCAAGACGTGTACATAACAATCGGCAACGCCACAATAGTGGACAGCCATCTAATCGAAGACATTTATCAGCACACCACACACCAGCCATAGTACCCAAGTCTGAAGCTCAACCGAACAATGAAAACACGCAGATTCAAATTCAACATAATAATGATAAGCAAGCACCAAGACACAAACACGATTCGAATACTTACCGCCGCGCAGCAACCTTATACTCCTTGGTCTTCCGGATCTCCGCCGGATTCACTGGACGAGGTGCTGGCCTGGGAGCAGGTGGTGGCCGGACTGCATTTACTTTTGGGTTCTGCACAGGACGTAGATTTGAGGGAGCTTTAGGAGGCATTGTGTAGTTGAGAGAATTGATGGATTGAATGTGGTGGAGGAGGGTGGGTTTATTGACTTATTCGAGGAAAAGACTGCGCCTGCTGAGAGGTCAAGGGAGTGGAGTGGAGAGGACTTGGTGCCTCAGGCAGAAATAATCTACGAGCCTGATGCTGGTCCTTGCTTTCTCTTGCAAATGGGGATACTCTCGGATAGCCATTAGAGCCAATTACTTATATAGATGAGCAATTGAGTATTGGAAATGTGTGCTGTTCATGTTCATACGCTCCAGTTTAAGCAATTTGGTATCAGATATGAAATCATACAAGGGTGGCATATGCCCTTATGCAGAAACGCCAGAATGAAAAAGGAAGACTCGAGATCAGAAGATACATGTCATAAATGAAGAAAAAAACAAAAGAAATCAGACTCCACGCTATGTTCCCATCGCCATTCGTGTTGGCTGGAATAAAAACAAAAAAGCAGTCCCATATGTCCCTCACCACCCACCGAAAACGCCTTCTTCATCATATCAAGCTGAATTCAGTTCTCAGATGAACTCAGCACAAAACGAAATCACCGAAAGCACGAAACAAAAAGGAAAAAGAAAAAGAACGGGAGAAGGGAGGAAACGGAAGAGAAAGGAGAAGGGGACGAAAAGATGAAAGAAACCGGGGGACGGCGGTTTCATGATGCTCCTCTGCCCCTACCACGCTTTCCCCGAGAGCTTGAGGCGCCCCGGCCTCGACCTCCACCCCGACCTCGACCACGACCACGCTTTCCAGCATGGCCACGGCCGCGTGGGGCGGCAGCAACGGCAGTACCGACCTGAGAGTCAGCAGCCCGTGCCCGCTTGGCGGGCGACGTTGGCCTTTCGGCCACCTCATCATTGGAGATGAGGGCTGCTGCTCTCTTCTTGCCCTTGGATGTTGCGGGCTTCTGGGTCGATTCAACCTCAGTGGCGAGGTCGGCTGCTTGCCGGCGGCTTTGTTTAGCCGCAGGTCGTGAGACCGGGAGGTCCTCCTCCCCGGACGCACTACTCTCCTCCTGCATCTCCGCCGCGGTGGGAGGCTTCACCGTAATCCGAAGGCGCTGCACCTTATGTGGTGCTTCCTCCTCCACGGGAGAAGGAGACAACGCCTTCGTCTTAGGCTTGGCCTTTGCCAACCGCGAAGCGGACGTCTTGCGCGGTGCCTGCTTAGAGGATGCAGGCTCGGAGACTGAGTTCTCTCCACGACGTCGCTTCTGCGGCCGCTCACTACCTTCAGCAGGAGCGGGAGCAGACGAAGATGCAGGAATCTCGGCGGTTTCGGTTCCTGCTCCAGGCAGGCGACGCTTTCTGCCACCCTTCTGCTGAGCCGGCTCAGCGGGTGTGACAGACTGCTTCTTGCGTGCCTGTACCTGGGCCTGCTCCTCGGTGACGTCCTCTGGCTGGAAGTCGGACTGGACACCAAACGGGATGTTCCGGTCACCGAGGAGAGGCGGGAAGCCGAGGCCAATGTTGGCCATCGCCTGATCGTCCGGTTGAATTCGGACGGGAGGATAGGGCAAAGCCTCGTCCCCATAGTTGTGAGGGGCACGATCGAGGCTGTAACCGGAGGGAGCCAGTATCACCTCCTCGCCGTGGTCGTTGACGCAACCTGTGTGAACCCAGTTATCCTGGGCCACGCGCGCCACGACGGAGGAGTTGAAGGTGAGCATGAGCTTCCGCTCGGGTTGGGTATCCGGGGAGTTGCTCTCATCAACAGCGGCAGGGACATCAACATCATTGATGGGATGGATGTCTTTGCCGCCCTCTTCCTCCACCATATCAACCGTTGACTGGGCAGCTCGTGCATCCTGAATGAACTTTTCAGGATCGGAGGGAGCAACGAACTCAGCGCCCAGGGCGGCTGTGGCCAGCTCAAAGAGCTTCTGGCCAGCCCGGCCAATGGTGATCTGGATGCGGTGGAGGGAGAGCTTCAAGGCGTTTTTGCCTTTCTTGCCTTTGCGAGTGGTCGCCCGAGCAGTTGGCTTGCTCGTTGACTTTGGGCGGGACTCGGGAGTGGAGGTTGACGCACTCGCAGACGTCGGGTCTGAGGCAGGCTTGATAACGTTCTTGAAGGTGATCTTGGGGAAGCGTTTGGAGGCAGGGGCAGGGAGAGGGGCAGCAGAGGAAGGGGAAGGAAGGGGAGCGGGGTCGGGGTCAGAGGTAGAGGCGCCGGCCGAGGAATAAGCGACGTTGGCGGGGACCGGGGCTGGTCCGTCTTTCTTGAGACGGCGAAGCTTGGGCTTTTGCTGTAATTGCATTGCCTCACGAGCCTTGGTGGTGGGCTTGCGGAGGCGGATCGAAGCCCGGGTCCCCATGGATGAGACGCTGGGAGAGGGACGGGAATCCATCGTGCCGTCCAGACCGAGACCACCCATGTACTGGGAGTAGGTCCAGCCAGTCGAGGCGAGGGTGTCAGACATGTCGTGGTCTGAGAAAGAGGTTTGAGGAGTTTCAAGAGCAGCGGTACGACGCGTACGGCGGCTGCTATGGTTGGAGGTTGGACTCTCCACTGCTGGGGTGTAAACAGAAGAGAGACGAGAAGGTCTAGCTTGGAAGGTGTTTCGACGTGTCAAGGGCAGGTCAGGAGAGGTGTTCCTTGAGCGAGTGTTGGTGGAAGGAGTCTTTGGAGTATAGAAGCGGATGTTGAAAGTGTTTTCAGGAGTGGTGGAGGAAGAAGGAAGATCAAGAGTCTTGGAGGAGCGAGCAGAGGTATTTGAAGCTTTCTGGGAGGCCGGGACTCTGGGAGAACGCCGGGAAGGCACCAGCAGAGAAGAGTCATTGCTGACTCGTTCATTGCTGACTCGTGCAGGCATCGAGTTGCGGTTTCCCTTTTTGGGCGGCATGGTGGGTGGTTTGCCTGGTGAGTCGATTCCCAATTCGAGTGTCAGTCTGATTCTGTGAATGACGACAATGGGAGGGGAGGCAACTGAGCAATCAGACGGCGAGGCAGGGCAAACAATATGGGATCAGGCAATGATAGAGAACCAGGTTTGACCTCAGCCACCCACAAGGCAAAGAATGGATTGAAATAAGAAAAGGCAAGTATCGTGGGATAGTCGACGTCGGAAGTTGCTCACATGTCGGGGAAGGGCAGAGAAGCGCGGAGTTGGGGTTTAGGGCCCAAGTTTTAGGCCAAAGGCAGCAAATACTCACGAGTTAGGGCTCACCCATCAAGCCAATATTATTCCTAAGAGTTCCAGCAGTATCTTGATTAGACTGCACCCGTTCTTCCCACGAAGATCAGGTCGACAGGGCGACACAAACTTGAGGGGAGGTTGAGGTCGGGGCAGAAAAGAAATTAGGGCTAAGGTTAGGTTGATAGGCCGGCGCTTATCGGCCGGCCTCAATCATCCCGTTCCGCCTTATTCTGCAATCGTTAAGAACATACCACCTATACCCTCCCCTCTGGTCTTCACACTTTCTTTGTTTTGCTTCCATTCTTTTCACAATGCATCTGTGGCAGGCCACTACCTCCTTCTGTCTGCTGGCTTCAGCTGCCCTGCCCCCTGTGGCTGCGTCAGCTTGGGGCTTTGCTGATGCCACCGTGGCAGTTCAACCCAAGGGTGCTTGGATCAACGGCGGATTCAAGGAACAGTAAGAATCCATTGGAGTTGTTGGAACAATTCTGAAATGTATACTGGAGCTAACATGTCATCGCAATTAGGTTCACTTCCTCGAAGCCCTTGTCCAAACCCGTTGTATTTGCCGGTGCCGATACATTGCGCGTCATCTTGACTGCGCAGGATGGAAGCTCCGCAAAGCGACCACACCAGGCATTCCTCCTGCTGAAGGACGCTCAGAGTGGCCTGGATGTCTCCTATCCTTTCAGTGTCAAAGAGAATGGAAAATCCAGAGTTGAGCTGGTATGCGACTCGAGAATTCAGCTCTGGAACCAACAATAAGCTAATGCAAGATCTCATCTAGACCCAGAAGGAGCTGCCGGTCCAATTCCTCTCCCTCGCCGAACCCGTCGATGCCCATGTTGTCATTGGATCTTTTGGAAGCTCTGATGCCTATGATAGCTCGGTCTTCAAGCTGGCTATCGAGCGGGATCCCAGTGTGCCTGTCCCGACCGCAGAGACCGCGCGTTACGGCAAGCTCCCTGAGATCCACCACATCTTCAAGGACTCTCCCTCCAACCCCCCGATCATCATCACCCTCGCCTTTGTGGCTGCCGTTGGTGCTACTCTTCCGGTTCTTGCTGGTCTGGTAAGTTAATTGTGGTTCTCGTTGTCGTCTACCTAGCTAACAGTCCTTCTCGATCAGTGGCTCTTCCTCGGCGCCAATCTCAGCCACCTGCCCACTGCGCTCAAGTCCGCTCCTCTACCTCACGCCGTCTTCGTTGGATCTTTGATCGCATTCGAGGGCCTCTTCTTCCTCTACTACACTTCGTGGAACTTGTTCCAGCTCCTGCCGGCCGCCGCTGTGGCTGGCGTGGTCGCATTCCTGAGCGGTAGCCGCGCCTTGGGTGAGGTGCAGGGCCGCCGCCTGGCTGGCCTCCGTTAAGTGTCTCGGAAGATCCTATAGTGCCGTATGCTTGCGCCTTTTGAGATCGACCTCTCTATCTTTTGGAAAAGTAGGCACTCGAGCTCCACGGGAGCCACCTGTTAGCTGTGATGATATCCGTTCTGTTTCAATTGAACCAGCACATGCGAATGAAGTAGCTGCTGCGCATGTATATCTCTTTCTTCAATGAGCTTTTAGAAGTATGTAAATAAACCTTGACTGCGTACCTCGTTGCTTAGCTGGTTTTTGGAGGACTCGAGACGTACCCGTCCTCCTACAACGATACATTTATACTATCATCGACTAAAAGTCTCATGATCTCAGCTATTTCTCAAATTCAGGAGGGGGCAAGGTACTATACCAGATTATTTCTCATTGAATGAGCCATAAACGCCGACAACATACTCTCTCATGGTTATATTTTGACGTCACTTGAGTGGCCACACCATGCCCGCGAATGCCAAGGCGGACCTCCGCGTTTCTCCCCGATCTCCACTGCAAAATCACTAAAGCTTCAGCACTTCACCCCTCCTAATCTTCACCAACAACTCCACACAAGGTGCAATGGGTTCAGCTGCATCGAAGCCCGTGAAATCTGCTGCTGGCGCAGCTGCGCGCCGACAATATCCTAAACAGGCCCCCGTTCCGCCGAGGGTGCAGTCAACAGCTCCGAAGCCATCGCAAACACCGCAACCTGCTCCTCCTACGTCTACACCATCGCCGAGCCAGGCCCCCGGCCCTATTTCTCAAGGACCTAAATATCACTCTAAAGAGCAGCCTTCCGGTACAAGATCAAATGGTATGTATCCCTCGATTGGTGCGCAAGAACAAGTGCAAATCACAGAACGAATTCCATTGAATGTCCATATTCTGCTCTCATTACCTCTATCTAACATTCAACCTATCCAGCCATTGACCTCGACGGTCGAGACCCCGACTTCGCCGCCTCCCTCCGACACATCGGCCCCGTCAACCCCTTCCCAACCCTCTCCAACTCCAGCACCGTCAACCGCGGCTCCATGCAGACCGTGTTCCCATCAGCCTCGAACCCGGCCCTACTCGCTGTGACAGCCCGTACGAGAATCGGAAAGGCTGCGCAAGAGGAGATTGATGCGATTGGACGCGGCGACTTTGCTGGGAGGCAATTCCTGGATGCGTTTACTATCTCGCAGGCGTTAACTATGCGTGACCAGCAGAAGATGCCGAGGCGGGAGATTGAGAGGTTGTTGAGGATGAAGGAGGGAGTTATGGATCGGTTAGGGAAGGATGGGCTTGTTTCGAGGGTTTCTGTGTGAGGGGGAGACATACGGCTGGCCAGTATTTGGCCATATAATTGATCATCAAAAGGTGTTTTGGTGTCGTTGGCTTTCTTGGGAATTGGTGTTGATTGCCTCTTATTGGCACAATTTTCTGTACGTTATTCTACCTGGTCATTATCACGGCCGCATCCATCTCTCTTCTTCTGATACGCTGAATCGGGTAATGAGTTCGTCACAATCTCCTATGAGTGCATGGTAGCACATGTAGAACCGGCTTCCGTCGAGTCACACAGGACAATAAAGTAGGGCCCACATCGGATATGTCGGGATGATCCCAGAGGATGGCGGACTTGGAAATATTGTTCTCCAAGACGAGATATAGCTTTTCCAATTGTGATGCTGATACTGAGGACTCTATCATTTACAATATTTGTAAGCTTGGTCTCTCATGGAATCATCTCCGCGGAGTCACCACGCCTTATCGGCTACGACTGCCAAGGTGAGCTTGACTCATTGAGCCAAGAATTTCGGACTGGCCAATGACTGCTCCTCTTTTTGAAAATATGAAGAGAGATTAGAAATATAGCCGTTGTTGTTTCGGCAGCAACTGCCAATTGTAGAAGGAGGATGGGGCATGACAGTCAGATTTTTAGTCAGTCATGGAGTCGTGCAATGTCATTCCGCGAGATTTGGACAAATGGACACGCAGCAGAATCCATCCCGACTGTGTTGTATACTCGATTGTGTTGGAATTGGTCTACACAGATAGAATTACATCCTGTGTTTTTGTATACCTTCAAGCTCGCAGACGGGAGTAGCTTCAACCTGCTGCGCTACACCATGCACCTCCGAAAAGACCACGCCGAAGACGATATTTCTGTCCTGCAGAAATTCGTCCATGACAATCCCTTAGGAATCCTCACGACAGCCATCAAATCCACCGACCACGCATTCATCCAATCCAGCCACATCCCCTTCGTCCTCGACCTCGACGCCAACGATGACTCTTCACCAGGCATCCTCCGCGGACACATCGCCAAGCAAAACCCTCAAGCCAAAGCCTTAATGGAAGCCCTTGCCCATCAACAAACCCAGGACCCTGACAGCCTCGAACTCCCCGATGAAGTCCTCATCCTCTTCAACGGCCCGCACAACCACTACGTCACACCAAAGTTCTACACCGAAACCAAGCCAGCCAGCGGCAAAGTCGTGCCGACATGGAACTACTCCGCCGTCCAGGCCTACGGTAAGATCAAGGTCTACTGTGACTCCAAAGCTCCCGAGACTGGCGCTTTCCTGCAGCGACAGGTTGAGGACTTGTCGCGGCATGCGGAGAGGGATATCATGGGGTATACTGGCGGCGAGAAGCCGACGGCTTGGGGTGTTGATGAGGCGCCGGTTCCGTATGTGGAATTGTTGAAGAAGAATATCATTGGGATTGAGGTGAGAGCGGAACGATTGCAGGGGAAGTTTAAGATGAGTCAGGAGATGAGGAAGGGGGATCGGGAGGGGGTTGTGAAGGGGTTTGAAGGGTTGGGAACGGAGGTTGGGGATGGGATGGCGAGGACGGTGAGGGAGAGGGGGGAACTGAAGGATTGCATAGGTGAACATAGGTGAAGTTAGATGGTTGATCTGATGGGAGGACGTGTATATAGATTAGATGGGATATATCTTGAAGGACTCCATGTATCCTTTAGATCTTGAATTTGTGTGACGTGCGTGACAGATGAATCCGTTGGAAGAGATTAGGGCCCCGTCAGCAATGACGGCTTCTTGGGTTCGTATACACTTGGTAGATGAAAGCATGGAAGATATATCTGATGATACAAATTCCATAAATCGCAATGCACGCGACCACTTTCTTGATTCAAGCTAAAGTTGACGCTGATCGGGGGTATATTGGAGGCTAGGGCTGAGATAGATCTCGGGGGCGAGAAGATGGATTCATACTAGCACCAATTATTGGAATTCTTCACCAAGCTTAAAAGGATAGCCAGTCCTTTCAAATCATGGGATAGAAATCAAGTTCAGGACATTTTGATGTTATACAACTTTAAGATTAACGCGGGGAACCCTGGGACATTGAACCTTAACCGAGCTAATAATACCAAGAGGAAGCAGTACAAATTATAATTACCCTAGCCCCTATTATTAATACAATACGGAATGCATACTGTACCTAATAGTAAGTAACGTGTATTATTCTTAGCGATGCTTAGTCGTGTCTCCATACTCCATACTGAGGTCTCACTTTAGCGCGCCATGACCAAATGAGGCGCAAAAACAAGGGTCCATGTCCAGCGCAAAGAAAGTTTACGCCTAACCTGCTATGGAAGTTGAGCACGCTAGTTCACATCTACAAGAAACCTCGGAAGCCAGCTCGGAAGAGAACTTGGACCTTCGCTGACTTGGCCATTTCAGGGCCAGCTGTCGCCACAAGATCTGACGTACGGGGCCACGTTCGGCGAATCGGGCGGACTCTGGTGTTCGGAAAGTTGGCCAGAGACAACTAATTTTAACTGTTGATCTGAATCAGGGTCTTGCACAGAATTCTGGCCCCATGTTTTTCCCACAGTTAATAGTGTGAGTTGGATACGAAAGAACAGGTATATAGTCGTGTGATTAATATTGTATGTACGGGATGAGTCGAATATGCGAGAGGAGATTATAGTATTGGATCTGTCTCTTGAGTCTTTTCACTGATCGGGCAGGATCATCCGGGTCCACAAGGCTGATCAGATGGTGTTTGTCCCGAGGCTGATCACGTCAAAGGGAAGAACAACGATCGCTGACAGAGGTGAAAAATCATGGAGACATATTAATAACAATGAAAAATTGGGGCCAATGCACTGGTCCGAGTGTATAGCCCCTTTGACCTTCCAACGGCATACGCGATATCAGGCTGCGGCTGGACTGGCTTGGTTCATAAGGAAGATAATAATACACTGTCAGATGGGCAGTGCCAAGTTTGTGGGGTTAGAAACGGCCTCTCGGGAGCAAAATGGATCCCGACGACAGTACAACGCAGAGTCACATCGGGCCTGTGAAGTTGATTGGGTTCGGGTCGCCAGGATCCTGATCCCCCAGAGTTTCAGAGTTTGAGGTCGCTGCAGTTGGACGATCAACAACACGAGGATAAGCAAATTGGGACAAACGTCGCGTGCATAGTGACCCCTTTCAGCTTTCAGGTGCCAGAGCTGGAGCTTGTTTGATGTAGCTCGATCGTTGGAGTACTTCTAGAATTAGAAGGCCCATCGTAATAGCTTGTATCGACTCCGTAGTGGCTCCGAAGGCTGAGGCCAAATGGGGCTGTAAGATTAGAAAACAAGGGAATCATGATGGGAGGTGGATTATTGGAGGCCGGCGGCAGGGAGTGTTCCACCGATGAGGTGATGAAGACGCTGATGTCTCAGCTCGGCGAATCAGACGTGTTGAACCCAGGCAACCGTCAAAGGCGCGCGCTGCAGGGTCCACCCAGTGGTGCGCGCCTCATCTGCGTACTATTCAGTGCAACGTCGGGCAGAGCTCTCACAGGCGGTGTACGCAGTTCACCAGGGTCTCGAGAGGCATCTTAAAGATACTTCGTAAATACATTGCATTGTACAGCAACAATGGGATATCCGACGGGTGGGAGATTCCGTGGTATCTGGACAGAACGAGGAACGAATCTGGGGGATCCACTTGGGTAGCACGGATGGCCGGAGCAAACCGATCAGAAAGAGGTTCAAATGTCTTGGAAAAGGGTCTAAAGGGCTGTGGAGTTTGCGCTGGGAGTAGTGGTTAAGGAGGCGCGAAAAGAGAGGAAAAAGAAGGAAAAAAGAGGACCCTGGTGTCAGTCGATCCCAAGCTTTGTCGCGTGCCTCGATTCCTATTGGAGCCCACAGCCAAGCGTGGACAGGGGGGACTTTTTTTAGTTCATTGTATTATTTAGTACATTATGTACAGTATTACAGCTTAGGTATACGAGAGGATCCCCTATCTGATGCTATGATTCGATGGATTTTTCATTTAATTCATAAGAATTATTGAGTCTGGATTCTTGAATTTTTTGTATTAATATTCTGTGACTTGTTCTGGGGGCGAGTCTTACTGTACGAGAGGGTCCCAGCTTGCATCCAAGAATATCCCTTCCATTTTCATTTCCATTTCCCTTTTCTTACCTTGTTTCGAGGATCATTCGTTTGTCAACTGCTTTTCATATACTTCTTTCTCTCACTCTCTTTTTCTCTGCGCATATTCGAAACATTCCGGGGTGCTTTGTCCCCCATTCCAGTCCTTCGCCGCCAGCCATTCCACGACATCCCTCTCCTACAGTACCTCCACCCCAGATCTTTTTTTCTTGCTCACAACTCGCATCGACAAACCATGCTATGATCTCGTCATGAAGCTCCTCGCCTATCTCCCGCCGCTACCGCCCTTTTTGTTCGCGACTTTGGTCGTTGGTGGTCTCGCCTCCAAGGCCTTGCACATCGCCCTACATATCCACTCACTTCCGTTCCTCTACTTCGTCCTCTACTCGCCAACTCTCGTGATACCAGACCTCCTAGTTATTGCTTTTGTGCGAGTGCTATTATATACGCCATCCCCGGAAACAAAGTTGCAATGGGTAACAACATGCCTGGGAGGATTGCTCTCGTACGTAAACCCAAGTGCGGGAAAGATTCAGATGATCGGGATTAGCACAATTGGAGGAAATTAGAGACTCTGGGACTGACCGATCTATTTCAACCTAGCATAATCGTATGGGGCGCGTCATCCATTCAATTCGGCTTCTTTATGCAGACCGGCGCCGAAGTTGCCTGGGCCGCCAGCAATAGTTTCCTTAGCGATCCCGCTGCCATGAAGATCTTGTTGAGCGGCATCTCGACTGTTTCCGCCGCCGCAACAGTTTTTGGCCTGGTCGCCTGGCTCATCCATGCGAAGATTTACCACTGGACTGGTCTCGGGTTGCAGGCGATTCGAGATCTATTTACCGGAAGCTACAGAGCGCGATACACGTTACTCGGAGTCCCCAACAAATCCTGGCTGACGATGATGGATCTTCGAACCGTACGCCGTATCGCTATCACCGTTTCCATCTGCTCGTCATTATTGTTCCTGGAACTGACCCGCCCCTCGGTTCCATATGATCACCTCTCAGGCGCGTTGCCATTGACTTTGTTGGATGCATTCACGAAGAAGTCGAGTACCACCGAAGGATGTCGCCAATCCCCGATGAGATTTCCTCTCTGGACGGATGTCAAGACGGGCTTCATGGCTAATAGCTGGTCGCGTCCCTCCTGGCTTCCGCCGAACCCGCCGCCCGGATTCAGTCGTTATGAACATACACCCGACGAGCGCGCCGAGAAGGATAACCACTCATGGTACTTGTGTAACGACAACGAACCCGGCTTCTACAACCCCAAGACGGACCCACTGAAGATTTCAAACCTTGGCGGCGATATATACGAACCTTTGAAGGCCGCTTTTGAGGCGCACGCCGTGGAGATCGACCATGTCATCCTGTTAACCCTCGAAAGTGGGCGCAAGGAGCTCTTCCCCATGCAGCAAGGGACTCCTATGTTTGATGCTTTGATTGAGTCGCATGCCAAGGAAGACCGAGAGGAAGCGATTGACCGTCTGGTGACAATGACGCCCATTTCGCAGATGCTGACGGGCGAGTATGCCACCGATAGCAAGGGTAAGAAGGTCGATCTGAGCGGTGCGAACTGGCAGGACTCTGCAGATGAGGGAATGGGCGGACTGAATGTTCGGGGTGCCCTCACCGGCAGCTCTTTAACATTTAAGAGTATTCTTGGAAGTCACTGTGGTGTGCACCCACTTCCTGTCGATCTTCTGGAGGAGACCGGCCTCGAAATCTACCAGCCGTGTCTGCCTCAGCTCTTCGAACTCTTCAACACGGTCAAGAATCCAAACCCAACCCCACAGATCCTGGAGCGTGATGACTCCGCATCCGAAGCTCTGAAGAATCCCTGGAAGTCCGTCTTCATGCAGTCTATCACCGACGACTACGACCGCCAGGATGTCCTGAATGAGAACATGGGATTCAAGCACAAGGTTGTTAAGAGCACTCTGACCTCGCGGAAATCCAAGTATCGCGCCAAAGGACAGGAAATCAATTATTTTGGCTTCGCCGAGACCGAACTGAAGCCTTATGTCCGTGATCTATTCGAAGAAGCCGCCAATAACAAGACTCGCATGTTCCTCTCTCACGTCACCAGCACCACCCACCATCCGTGGAACACTCCAGACGACTTTGCGATTGAACACTATATGGGCAGTGAGGGCAGTGTCAACCACAATCTGATGAACAACTACCTCAACTCTGCCCGCTTCGTGGACAACTGGCTGGGCGACATCATGACGATGCTCGACGAAACAGGTATCGCCAACTCGACGCTGGTCGTTATTGTCGGTGACCACGGCCAGGCTTTCGGCGAAGATAACAAGGACATGACCGGCACCTACGAAAATGGACATATCAGCAACTACCGCGTCCCCATCGTCTTCCGACACCCCCACATGCCCCGTATCAACATCGACGCCAACGCAACCTCCATCTCCATCATCCCGACGATCCTCGACCTCCTAGTCCAGTCGCACTCTTTAGACGCCCGCGACTCCGAGATGGCCTCATCCTTGCTTCCCGACTACCAGGGCCAGTCCCTCATCCGTCCTTTCATCCCCTATATCAAAGAGGGCCAAGACACCACGAGCGAAACACCCAGCGATATCGCTACTCGCTCTCCACGTAAGACCCAGCCAAAAGTGGGCCACCGCACCCGGTATAACTGGAATTTCGGCATCGTCAATGCCGGCGGCTCCATGGTCTCAGTTACGGCTGCCGGATCACCCTACCGACTTGTTCTGCCTCTTAAAGAGGGCTTCGAGTACGTCTTCAGTGACTTGGACAAAGACCCCGGCGAGCTGCACCTAGTCAAGTCGTGGACAATGCATGATCTCGTTGATAATGTTTTGTCCAAGCATGGCGAGGCGGCTGCCGAGTGGCTCGAAGACGCAGAGCAGGTTGGTAAATGGTGGGTGAATGAGCAAAGGAGGATTTGGGGATACCGGGAGGCATAGGATATGCCCTCGGCTATTTCACCAGTCGTCTTTGACACTTTTGCACGATCTTGAAGTCTATATATGTGTTTCCTTTTGTTCTGTCTACATTACCGATGTGCTTAGCATCGTCTACTCCCGGCATACTGCTTGCCTTTCATTTCTGCTGTCATGATTCCATCCTCCGAAAATTTATCCGGCATGGTGTTACGGGTTTGCCCGCGCTTGGGCTGCATTATTTTCCTTCTACCTCATCATTTCTCCCCCCTTTCCCATCAATCACCCCGAATACCTCTAATTCGGGATTCTTGGGCTGTATTATATGCCTCTGCCGCATTTCCGGATTCTTCGATGGGAGCCCGAATCTGGTTGATTGGTTGATCGGGCCCTCTTGTACATAAATGAAATATTGGGTGGGCTATTTGTTGATGAGATATGGTCTGTCTAATAATTCAAATTGATGAGATACTTCTCAAGAACCAAGTCGAATAGGCGGTAAACCTGTGGTCAGCCGCACTCACTTACCCTTGTCGTACGCTGCCAATCATAGCCTCAAGCCATCGCATATAGCGGCGCTTCGCTTCGTCCTGAGTGAGGCTCATACTGCCGACACAGCCATCATGAGGCGCCTGAGCGCTTCAGCTCCCGACTATGCCCGCATCCCCTCCCATGGTCGCACTGCTAACACTAATCTCTTGCAGCTATCTGCCGCCGTACCATCACACCTCTGACCTGTTCGACCGCAAATCGCCATGGATGGATTGAGTGCTGGTGCCAGTGTGATAGCCGTTATTTCGCTAGCCGCCCAGCTCGGCGCCGGCGCCCACACTTTGATCAAATTCCTCAATACCGTGTCAGACGCACCAGCCGAGATACAGCGCCTCGAGAGCCTCCTTGATCAAATCTATGCGATCGCAACATGTGTTCGGAATGCCCTCGAATATCAGCGCAAACTCCACGGTGAGGAGCACATCTTGGCAGACGATGTTCACATATCGTTATTGAATTGCCGGAAGAAGGTTCAGGGAATTGAGCATATTTTGTCGATCGATTCAAAGAAACCGAGAAAGGTCGCACAGTGGTCAGTCGGAAATGGGCGTCGTCAAGTTGGCTTTGAAGGAGGATGTGCTTGGCCTTGAGCGGCAGCTTGGTCTGGCTATCCAGATATTGGATATTTCGCTTACGACACATTCACTGTAGGTAGGATGCCTATTCTAGAATATGGCATGGATCTAATACAATGGCTAGGGCATCACAAACTCGAAACACGCTCCTCTTGGTCCGCAAGCTGGACTCGCTGCCATCCACTGATAATCAGGTGGCAGTGGTCAGTTCCGGATCATCTTTGACACTGACCAGTGCGCGTAGACATGCTCCAGTCAAGAATGATAGAGCTGGAAGGTCGATACTGCCCCCTGGCCAAGTCAACGCATGGCTTCTTGATCATGGAATATTTGGGCCATTGGCAATAGTTGTGCAGAATCTGGCAATGAAGCCCGAGATTGCCATATCACGTTACCCAGCATGGGCCCAACAGGAATGGGACGAAGTATTAGAGGGTGCTGCCCAAATGGAGGGATCCACAAAAACGCCAGTCAAAAATGATTATGCATCGACTAGAGCTATGGAGCTTTGTCAATAAGGAAACAGTCAATATTTCACTTTTTGCGATTGTGATTCCTCCGGCATGTATTTGGATTTGTGGCCGTTCCACGGGAGCACGCATACCCTCTGTCAGACTGGAAATAAATTGCATCCTGCGTGTCTTGGATCTGCAGGCCCATATGAGTTAGGGGAACGTTGGTGTAAGATACACAGATGCAGATTTAATCATGCGAGGTTTGAGAGAAAACAGGCCAAGAAAATTGCCAAAGGCCGCAAGCGCGAGGGGAAAAAGGTCGTTGAGTTCCCTATGCCAGGCGCTTGGCCAAGTTGACTCATCCTCGAGAAAGAATTCATTGGGTAAATGTAATTTGCATATCAAGAGACATATGTACTCCTAGGGGAATTCCACAAGCTATTCATTTACGCAATTGAAACTTTACCACAACTTCCACCTTCTATTAACCAATGAATCAATTCCAGAGAGTGCCTTTTGCCATGCCTTTCCTTCATCCAATTGGAGAATCCTGTTCATGCGAGCATAGTTCCGAGCATCTTGATCCTCGGTTTCAGTCTTCAACTCGACCTTATTATCCTGTCCCCAAACCATCCAAGATGTTGAATCATTTGCCCTCCAAGGCTCAAGCCCATTTGCAAATTTGATCCAAGCTGCAGAAAACTCCCGTGCCATCTTCCTTTCCTCATCATTCATCTCTCCTGTCAGGTTTTCGAAGAGGTAAAGCAACTCATGTGCATGATATGCCGTCCCTTCTAGCGTATTAGGGAGACGAGACCGCTGGTCAAAATGATACAAAAACGGAGCTTTTCCCTCCGGCAGCCTGTCCTTGGTACACTCCTTTGCCAGGGCATAGTTTGGTATCTTGAAGATGAAATCCCCACACATGTGCTCCACTTTCTCAAGAAGCTCTGGTTGTGGCAGGTCGGCGGTGATCTCATAAGCCTCGAGAATTTGACCAGTCAAAGACTCGTTCTCGATATGAGAATTAATGACGCGTTGAATTGAGTCATATTCATCTTCAAGTAAGTTAACGTGGAAAATGATGCCCTCGTGGTAAACGTCACCAAACATGTATCCCTTCAACCACGATGGCGGCGCAGTGACACCTCGTGGGTCTGATTCGGGTAGATAGAACCAGCCATCAAGACATGGATTTCCAGTTCCTGCAGGAATGCCTTGGATTTCGGGTGTTGCATCTGCAAGTTCTTGCTGAGGTATAGCCCGGAGTTGATCCAGCACATCGAGAGCTGTGGGATCGATCTTGAAATGACGACACACAGCTGCAAAGAAAATATCATGCTGCTGCATGGTCCACGGAGGGATAGCTGCAGACAGTCCAGACATGCAGACAGCACGGTGGAAGATAGCAGGCTGCGCTGCTTGGAGTTGATTGCTGATGGAAATTCCTCCAGCAGACTCGCCTACCGCAGTCACTTTCTCAGCATCACCACCAAAGTACTCGATATACTGTTGCACCCAGTCAAAGGCGACCTTTTGATCCGTGAAGCCAAAGTTGCCACTGCCTGCATAGCCGTCCTGCTGCAGCTCTCGTGCAATAGCTTCGCCAGCAAGAAATCCGCCGATTCCAATTCGGTAATTGAAGTTGACGCATATGATTGGAAGACCAATCTCGATGCTCCTTGACACGAGATTGACAGCGTCAAAAATGGGAAGGTTTGCACCACCATAAAGCAACGATCCGCCGTGGACATAGACGAAGACAGGGAGAAGCTTGCTGGTAGTGTCAAAGGCACGCGGAATGACGATATTCATGACCAAGCCGGATAGCTCGTTCACAGGTGGAGGCCAATGCAAATGTGCAGCAGGAGGAACAGGAACTAGGTCACTTGAATTGTCGCCGTCGACTAGACCTGGCATCGGGCAGTCATTTCTGTGCGATGTGAGCGATAGTGATTCATTTTCAATCGAGGCGAGTATAGTACCCTAGCTTTGTTCCATCGTGATGGCCGTCATTCCACAAAGTTTTGAGAGCTGATCGTGTCCAGCGCTTTGGCAGATTTGCGTAAGGAATACCGCAGAATTGTTGTACGCCATTGGCATACTGCAGACCATCCAAAGTCCCTAGGCCAGGAATGGTGGTCCTGCATTTGGAGTTAGGAGTATGGAAAGACATTGGGAGATAAGCTCACAAGTAACAAGTCTATCATAAGACTATTACTGGCAAGGATAGGGAAATGTTTCTATCCAGGGCATGTCCACGCGGGAAGTTTACAATTAACTATAATTTGAGTATCGCTTTAACTCTACAGCTTATCTTCCCAATCCGGCAGTCCGACCCGATATCTGCCGGTTATCAGTTCCAGTTCCACTTCCCCGCATTTCTTATAATGCCTGGCTCATTTCACCCGCCCGCATGTCGCACTCAACTGATTTCTCCCTGCATTCGGTATGTCGACCCGCAGCTATCAAGGGTGTTGGACCTGCAAGCGCCGTCGGCGCCGATGCGATAATGCTCGTCCAACATGTCGGAACTGTGCCCAGCGTGGAGTAGATTGTGAGGGCTATGAGGTACGACTGCGCTGGGGAAGCGGCATTGCCTCGCGCGGTCGATTTACCGGTGCTGATAAGCCATTGGAAGAGAATGTACCACCGAGGCCAAAGGGAAGACGGAGGGATTTGAGTAGAGAGAGGAAGAGGCTCGAGACTCAGGCTCACACCCAGAGGGATGTTGGTCAGTTCATGATACCTTGGTCAGTCCGTGACAAATTTAACAAATCGCTAATAGAATTCCATGAAATGATCAATCATGTGGAAGAGGATGTTTCCCCCAAGACAGAGCGATCGGAACATGATGAAATTCTTTTCAATGAATGTGAGCTCGGAAACGCAACGCCAATATGTGGTCCCATGGTGTACTAATCACGCAAATATCAAGTCCTAACAAATGGAATCAACATTCTACATTCAACCACAGCGCCTAAGAGTATGCTACAGCCCAGGCTCCCAGAACTGTGTCAAGAATCCAGCGCCTTGTATAATATCTGTCTTACGTTTCAACTCTCTCTATCTGCTACTCACACCCCTCAATTCTTCGAATACTTGGATACGTCATTGCGAGAATTCCGATCCGAACTAGCTCGCTCCACGACGCTCGCTGATGGAACACTGACCGCGGGACTTCTTCTATGTAGCATTGGGGTGAGTGGCCTCTTTTCCCCGGTTTATGACCCGATTTGGCTTGATAGGCTGACCCTTCTTCTCCACTCGCGCAGTTGATGCACGGACTGCCATGGACCATGCATATAGAAGGCATGCATAACATCTTGCAAAGCCGGATTCCCAAAGGCACGCCTATCACAGCCACACCAACTCCATTTCGAGCTCATCTTCTCGAAGTCATGGGGGTCATGGACATCCCTTGTCTCGCTATAGGGCGCCAGACGCCCTCAATCGGCATTTGGCGCCGATTTTGTCAGCCGACAGGACCGAGGCACGGCATCGAGCCGGTGACTGGAATACCGCGCTCTTTGTTGGATCTACTCGCGGGAATCGGTCTAGATACAACTGAGCAAAGTTTCTGGGATTGGCCTGGAGAAGCTGGGAATTTCTTGCAATGCTATCTATGGGAGGCATATCGGTTAGCGGGGATCCTGTCTATCCGTCAGTGGGAGCGCCTCCACAAGCCATTCTCGGATAGTCCCCAGAACCTTTCAACCTGGCGGCAACCGAATTCATGTCCGGCAGATTCGAGTACGCTCGTGTCTCGTGTTCTTGCTAGCGTGGATGCTCTTCGCATGGGCTGCTTAGAGCGTCCGAACGAGGACCCTTTCATCAAGAACTCGATTCTGTTCCCGTTGGTCGTTGCGGGACTGGAAGCTGACATAATGTGTAAAAATCCGCAGTGGCAGCAAACTATTCGCCGTTCTTCTCTAGGGTCGCGTCAAGATCATATCCTTCTTGGTATCCTGGAGGAAGTGTGGCACCGGGGCGATTCTACACTTGATATAAATGCCCTGGCCCGGGGAAAAGATATTGAGATGGGCCTGTTATGAGGATGCCGAGACACATTTGTGTTGTATGTACCATGCTGTTTCGTACATATTTCCTATTCAATGTGGAAGGCGGCGACCGGAGTTCGTTATATGTATATGTATATTGTTCCTTTCTAGGCCGCAAAGTCCCGACCTCACTATGTGCTATCTGTCTCTCGCACCATCACCCAATACTTGAGTTTCCCATCCTCATTGGCGTGCGCTGGATTATCTGTGAGCTCCACCTCCTCTATTGTCTTGAAACCGAACCCTTCATAGAAGCCGATATTCTCCTGCCGGGTGCACTCCAGGAAAATTGGATTTCCTGCAACTTGCTCGAGGATGGCCCTCATCACGGCACCCCCCAGACCGCGGGACTGTAACGACGGATGGACAGCGATTACCTCGAGATACCACAACTTGGGATACCGTGCCTGCAGGGCCTTTTTTCCGGAGGTGTGTCTCGCCATAAGTTTATCCACTCGCTATTCAAATGTTTGAATTAGTACAAAGATTTTCTTTCGGGCAACAGTCATGGGATTTTACCTCGTCCTTGCAAGAGTTGTCTTTGACTGGCTTAAACATTTCCAGAATCCACATTTTACAGGCAAGCCACGTAGTGGAGAGTGACCATGGAAGATGTCCATTTGGAGGGAACAAGAACACCACAGCGCCAGAATCGTGCTTCTGGTTGAGTGGAATATCTGTGTCCTCGGAGTTCAATACCTGGGCTGCCTTTTCAGGCACAACAGCCGCACCCGAGCACTCGATTGTGTTGTTTCTGCGGGGATATTCGCGTGCCATTTGGCTGACGCCGGCGGACTGAAGAACAATACCTTCAGTCATTACATTCTGCACCCTTCTGTATTGCCATTGTCTCGCCGTTGCATCTTGATAGGCCCAAGGTGTCGCGCTCGGTCGAAGCCATTGTATCAAGGGATCGGATGAAAATGCCGCGTTGACTGTTCGCGCGACTGCCGATATTGATCGATCTGGATTGTTTGCGTGTCAGCCAAAATAGGATATTTACTACACGGATTGTTCCAGAGGGAGGGATAACAGACCATTCCGGACCGGGAACAGATTGACCGTGATCTTTTGTTTCGACATGGCCTTAGAAAAAAGCTCCTTCAATGCTCAAGAGAAGATGATAGGTAGGAGATAGCAGGAAGCGCCATATTTTCTATAGCCGTGGGAATATGGAGAGACTAATTTAAGTCTGTCCTCGCCGAAAGTCTCTACAGTTGAAATTGGCCAAAGTGGAGCTATCAAGGCTGCTATCATCCTGTCTCGCGTCGGCATCCTCCACTTGGCGATCATCAGAAGTCCAAGGGCCCAGAAGCGTAGGAGTGTCTACCTTCCATCTAAGGACAAGTTTCCACCGGCCTAAAATCGCTTCAAGATTACCAGGTACCACGATAGGGCCCAAACGGCGAGCCTCACAGGTTAAACGCAAGTACGAGCGCCAGGCGTCTCTCGTCGTGGATAATCTATACCGTATTAGGAAGGCGGACCCTCTGCCGGACACTAAAATGAAGTGGCGTCGGAATGCCCACTTAGACTGAGACTGAACTCTCTCCGCACTTTCTAGGAGCCGACATGAACTGCCATATCCATTCTTGCCCAACTTGTTACCTTATCAGAATCGCTCGTGTGCTGTGTCCTTGTCACGGTGGCGCATAGCGATATCAACGGCCGTCATGTGGACCAATCTGAGCGGAGTCTAAAATCTGGGGAAGACAATTAAATATCTCTTCACGTCGCCGTCGTATCTCACTGCCCTCAATTTGATTATTGTTTAATTCTGGAACAATGGCTGCTACTCACGTCAATATTGATGGATCATCCTTCGAAGGAGGGGGATTGCTTCCTCCAGGAACATTCCGTCTGATTCAAGGTACCGTTGAATGGGTCCTGGTTGTGGGAACAATTCACTGACTCGGCTCCACAGAAGATGGATCGGAGCTCCATGGCCAGCGGGCTGTCATGCTCGATCCAGTGCCTTCCAGTGATCCCAATGAGCCCTTGGTTAGTCTGTCGTATATACCTCTACAACAATTCATCTCCATCTAATTCTTGCGGATTCTAGAACTGGAGTGCAGCTCGCAAGGCTGCGAATTTTACTATCGTTTTGGGAATGACAGTCGTGGTCTTTACAGCGTACGCTATACTCAGGGATACCATTGAGGCCAAGCTCACGATACTGATTCAATTTAGTCTCTCAATCCAATCAATCTTCTGGCAACAAATGGTCCTTGATCTCAATGTCACCTATTCGCAGCTCAATCAAGCCATGTCGGTCAATTTTGTCGGATTAGCAACTGGTTGCGTGCTATTCATCCCACTGGCTAAGAAATTCGGACGGAGACCAATCTATATCGTGTCTACAGCTCTCATGCTAGCGACTGCTTTTTGGACAGCCAGACTTGAGAGCCTCGCGGAGCTTTACATTGCTAATCTGCTACAAGGATTAGCCGGTGCCACTAATGAGACCATTGTGGAGATTACGGTATGAATTGGTCTCTACATTCTGACGCGTCCACCACTGACTCGGGACTTAAAGATTTCTGATTTATTTTTCGTGCACCATCGAGGAAGTATGAACGGTCTGTATATGACCATGGTCATGATTGGAGTACGTCTTTTATTCCGTCAACATGGAACTCGCTAACAACTCCTGCAGAGTTTCTTGACACCTATGGCAGCGGGAGCACAAGCAACAAGACAAGGATGGCGTTGGTCCTATCAAACAATGGGCATATTCAACGCCTTCTTCTTCCTCTTGTTTCTCTTCTGTTATGAAGAGACCAAATATGTTCCAGTCCTGAATGGACAAGCCAGAGCTGGCCCGGAGACGGAAGAAGACCTTTCTGTCCCTGTCGATCCAGACCATAAATCTGCCGTGCAGTCAGACACAAAGGCCGCGCTGGCAGTCGAGCCAAGCAGCCTTCACCATGAACTGGATTTCAGTATCGCAATTAATCCCTGGCAAAAGCGTCTTGCCCTGTGGACTCCCACCCCTGAGCCCATATGGCCCTACTTCTATCGCCCCTTTTACGTGTTGTTCACCTTCCCCACCGTATTTTTCACCGGACTCCAGTATGCCTCCGGCGTAGTCTGGCTTACTATCACTGCGAACGTGCTGTCGCTTGTCTTCCCATTGCCCCCATACCTATTCACTCCCGAGCAGATTGGCTTCATGAGTCTTGGCCCATTCATTGGAAATCTCATCGGCGCCTTCTATGGTGGACTACTTGGAGATCGATCCATCCTTTATTTTTCTCGGAAGAACAAGGGTTTCTACGAGCCTGAAATGCGGCTGTATATTTTGCATCTCCCTACTCTCTTCATGGCTGGAGGTCTAATAATGTTCGGAGCCACCATCTCGCGGGTAAGCTTGCACCTAATCCCAACCGCTCATACGATTGAAGCCCTCTTCCACGCACGATTCTAGGAGAAGCAAATGCTAATTTACTAATTCCAGGGCATGCACTGGATCTACCCAAGCATTGGAGGTGCCTTTTTCGGATTCGGACTAGGCAGTATTGGCGATGCCACTTTGACCCTGGTCATTGATAGTTACCGTGATGTATGTCTCTCCAGACTCAGGATGCCTCGATTGAATGTGTTTCTAATTTTTCCCTTTCAACAGATTACTGGCGACGCGTTTACGGGAATAGCATTCCTCCGCAACGCCATCAGTATTGGAATTCCATTTGCCATTAGTCCATGGATGGAGCGCGACGGTCTCCAGAATATGTTCATTACCTGTGGATTTATCAGTTTGGGCATCTCATTGCTCATTATTCCGATGGTGTTCTATGGCAAGAGGTCTCGTCGGGGCTTGGCGGCACGCTACTATCGTCTTGTTGAGCAACAGGGTCATAACCATAGTGGGTGACGGAGATTTGTGCTTCTCATGCAAACGAAGGGATGGATTTCGGGGGAAATCTTCCGGCCTTGGAACGTGTGTTCGGATCATTAATGTAAAGCTTAGTACCAATGAGGAAGGAACGTGCTGTTTCAATATGATTCTGAGTTATCAGGAAGAAGTTGCCCGTTCTCAGAGATTCATGATCTTGGAGTTATGGAAGCTATGAGCTTTAGAAAAAGAGACCTTATATTTGGCTATGAACAAAATGAGAGTCCCCGGTGACGAAGGTCCTAATTTAGTAGATACGAAGCATAGATTCAACCTGGGGATACGCAGTAGCTGTTCTTTTGAGGACAATTCCTTTTCTATTGCTCTGAGCTATTATCAGAATTAGACTGATTCATCAGGAATAATGCAAACGGCCCAAAGCAGATGACTCAACCCATCTATTCACATATTAGATTGACGCCGATTATCAGACATAGTCCTCGGCATTTCTGCCTCAGAAATCCTCTTCTCCGAGACCAGCAACTGGTCCGGGAACCAATTCAAATCTGGGTCTGCAGTAGAGGCAAGCTGATCGTCACGCTTGAGAATCATCGTGGCCAACGCTTTTCCGCAAAGCCAGGCTTGAACCATACCCTCGCCACCAAAGGCAGCACATACCCATTCCGAGCCTGTTTTACCACTTGCTGATTCAGGCCGACCTGTGGCAGAGCTGGGTAGCCGTCCCACCCAGGGGAATCCGTCTGTGCTAAAAGCCATGTTACCAGTCCACATGGCCTGAATAGGGTCGCCCTGCACCGGACCCCAAGACTCGTGGCCAAAGACTGCACTCAGAGCGCCAGATAAGTGAATGTCAAGGTAGACACTCATATCATTGTCTTTGGAGATACCTAGATCGGCGACGCCGCCACCTTCGCCGCTTGCAAAGCCACCGCCAAACATCATCTGGCCGCTGGGTAGCTGGGTCAAATAGTCAAAACCACGGTCATAGTTGAAGAGCCACGAGTGTTTCGTAGCCTGGAATGGGAACTTTTCACCGGGTGTCTGGGCTGACATTTGACCACGGACGGGAAAGACGCGGCCTCGGAGCCCGGGAACTAGATGGCTGACATGCGCGTTGGTGCAATGAATAACGTGCTTGGCAAAGATGGTTCCCCGAGATGTTTCAATCTTGTAAGGTTGACTTGGCCCGTTGTTGGAGTGGATGGCCTGGACGGCAGTATGATCTGCAACGTGCAAATCCTCCGGATACGCAGAGAGAAGACGTGAGAGAACACCTGTGACGAACTTATATGGCCAAAGGGCCCCAGCAGGGCCAGCAACAACACCGGTTGCCCGAGATAGCTTGAACTCCTGTAGTAGTCAGATTAGTATGATGGATCATCTAGTCTTTGTAGAATGCACAAACCTCTGGAATCGAGCTACCCTCATACGAAGTCCATTCCGCCGAGTCCTCTGGCATGCCCTCCTTAAAACGACGCAGTCTCTCTACCGCAGCTTTCCACGGCTCTTCACCAAAGTAAGCACTTAGGAATTGGACTTTCCTTGCCTGGGTCACCTCCGTCAGCCCCAACTCTTCTGCAACACTCAACATCTCACGCAGATGGGCCAGCCGGAAGCGTAAGAGCTTGCGGGCCGACTCCTCGCCAAACGCATCCGCGAACTCGGCGTACTCATCGGCTGTCTCAAGAATATGGCCGCCATTACGTCCGGTGGCACCGCTGCAAATATCGCGCGCCTCCAGCATGACCACAGCCGGATGGGAGGAAGTAGACGATGACTTGGCGCGGTTTTGGAGTAAAGTTCGTGCGATAGACGCACCGGTGACTCCAGAGCCAATGATCACGACATCTGCCTCGGTGGGTAAGGGTTTTGAGGAGGGCTGAGCGAAATCTGGATGTGGGGTTTGAAGCCAGAATGAAGAAGTTGTGGTATCGCTGGGGATACCTGGATCGGAGTAAATTCGATCCAAGGCGCGTTGTCGCTCAACAGGCGAAACCGCAGCACTGGTTAAGATAGAAAGCACAACGGACATTTTGACAAGTTAAACATAAAAAAGTGTATAATAGCTGATCTCTTCAAGATAGAAGAGTTGAAGAGAAGTGTGGTGGAGAGAGATAGTGTAAGGTGGTACATAGTTGGAGAAGCTATCAGCTCAAATAGGGCCAGCATGGGTGCTGGCAATGAAGCGCCGAGGCGATTACTCGCTAATCGGATGCATCCTGTTGTACCTACCGCTTTAGTCTGCAAAGGATGAATCATACCACTCGGTTCATGTTAGTTGAAACGTGTCTCAAGATCATCGTAAAGGTTGATAAGGTCAGGGGGACAACCTACCCGATTCGAAACTTCTCCACTGCGGGGAAAAGAATTTGGGTTTCACGAGAAGCTCGCCGAACTAAACTTGTCATTCGTCCATATTGTATAGATCTTGAATTCAAGGCACGATAAAAGCCACGGATTCCTACAATGATGGCATGGTATAATTCGACTTGAGTGTTCAACTTGCAATCGTGAAAACTCACCACATCAATTCTGCGCTATCACCATGTCTCCCGCTCCATCGCCCGGAAACGACGTCTTTCCTGACGGTCCGTCTATGCGACAACCTGCCTTGTCCTGGCTGTACAGGCTGGAATGCGATATCGCCAAGGAGGAACTCAACGTCGGTGCTCCTCACGGCGCAGGGATCATCCGCAGTGTCGCGAATATCGTGCGCGGAAGTATCAAGGGCCCCGGCATTGAAGCAACGATCCTGTCACTGGGAGGAGCTGACTGGGCCACTGTAATCAAGGGAACGCACGTATGATCAAGAATGAAATATCCCGCTAGAGGGGATCCTGATCACTAACCGTATCTCTCCAGTCAATGAAGCTTGACGCGCGGTACACTGCGCGCACCTCTGACGGCCACTACCTCTACATCCGCGCGCATGGGCTTTATCGCCCCGGTCCAGGAACCGAGTACGCGAAGCAAGTCGAGCAGGACTGGACACAGGCCCCGAAGGCCGTCGTCACTCAAGACGATGTAGAATTCTTTTCGCATTTACGCCTGGAGGCGGGACCTGGGCCGTACAATTGGTTGAATGGACTGGTGTGCCTCGGTGTGATGGTCTGCGAGGGCGAAAAGATCTGGATTGATGCGTACCATCTCACGAACTTCCCAGGTATCAAGCCGGAAGATGTAGTGGCCAAGGCATGAGAAACCATCGTGGAGATGAGGATCCCGGCAGATAGGACAGAGTATGAGCCGATAGAAGCCAATGAGAATTCGTCATTTGTCGTTAGTCCCAAGCCAAGCAGCTATTCCCAATTAGGAATGCGGACGCATCATCACGTCCAGCGAATCAACAGCGAAGAATAAGCCAATCAAAGAAACAGCTTTCGGTAGCTCTCACGCGTCCGCGGGGTCCGGTGGGAAATGTGGGGGGATAAGGGAAGCACCGAGGATTAACTATAGGAGGGGAAGCTGGCATCATGCTGGTCATAGAAGACACATAAATGCGGTCGTGGAACCAACGAGGAAAGAATATGCACGACTTGAAGTCAAATTCCTCTCTCATGGCGACAGAAACCTCTCAATCTTCTCATCCCACCAGCGACTGGCAGGAGTTGGTGGCTCGAAAGCGCCGCGAATGCCAGGACAAAATTCCCCGTGAATGGACACTAAGCGAAGATGTTTTGAAAGAAGTCCCTCAGCATCTGCTGGAATACAATCTCCCGCGTCGCAGTGGCCTCTTGTCTGACATTGAGCTCGATATCACGGAGAACTATACGGCGACTGAGCTGTTGGTCAAGTTAGCCTCGGGTCAAGTTAGCTCTCTGGTGGTCACGACGGCTTTTTCGAAGCGTGCAGCAATTGCACAGCAGGTGGTAAGTACCCTCGTCAAAACATGTTTTCTCTGGATAATTAAGAGTCATCTAACGCGCATTCCTTTCGGGTTGTAGACTTCATGTCTCACGGAGACCTTCTTCCCGGAAGCTCTGGAACGAGCCCGTTTCCTTGATGAATACCTCCAGCGAGAAGGAAACCCCATCGGTCCCCTCCATGGATTACCGGTCAGTCTCAAGGACAGCTTCTGCCTGGAGGGCGTCCAGTCAACCGTGGGATACGTGGCCTGCTTGAACAATCCCCCTGCGACTAAGAACTCAGCACTGGTCACGATGCTCCTGGAACTCGGTGCCGTGCTATACGTGAAAACCAATATCCCTCAAACGATGATGGTAAGGATGCCAAATAAGCAATTGCAATCAATACCTGCAGTGGAAATTTCAATCGGAACTAAAATCTTCTCAATCAGACCGGAGACTCGGAAAACAACATCTTTGGTCGCACCCTTAACCCGCACAATACCTCCCTCACTGCAGGTGGATCAAGTGGCGGCGAAGGCGCCTTGGTGGCATTCCGAGGCTCAATTCTAGGCGTGGGCACCGATATCGCAGGCTCGATTCGCATCCCATCTCTATGCTGCGGCGTTTACGGGTTCAAGCCAACCACTGCTCGAGTTCCGTTCGGTGGCCAATTCTCCGGTGTAATGGAGGGCTTGCCTGGACTCATCCCTTCTGCGGGTCCCCTGGGCCACAACCTGATGGACTTGAAGCTATTCATGGACACGGTCATTGGATCAGGAAACGCCTGGGAATATGATCACACAGCTGCTGCTGTGCCGTGGAACAAGACTGCAACGGTCGGTAGCGACCGTAATGGAAGTCTCACCATCGGCGTGCTATCTGAAGACAAACATTTCCCCCTCCATCCTCCTGTGAAACGCGCCCTGGAGCGTGCTGTCGAGGCCTTGACCAAGGCGGGTCACCGGATCGTCCGTATCGAAAATGATAGCAAGGAGAATCTGTCTGTGGCATATGCCTCGCGATTGGCATTCCAGTATTTAACCTACGGTCCTCATGTTGATAACATCGGACCCAGCGGCGAGCCGCTGGTAGCTTCGGTGGCTAAGTTTGCTTCGCCAATGTTCTCGGGCACTTGGCCTGTGGAGCAGGAACAGGATACACTCTATAAGGTGAGTGAGCTACATGTGGCTCGGGAGAAGGTCTCGAATGCCTGGCGTCAAGAATGGGTAGAGAAGAAGTTGGATGTTATCTTGGCTCCGGGTTCACAGAACACGGCAGTTGGGTATGATACTTATGGCTGGCCACCTTACACAGTGATGTGGAACTTACTTGATGTGGGTTTCTGATTTAATCCAACAATATGTCGGAGAGGAGGAGACTGACCTGATTCTTAGTACCCTGCTTGTATTATTCCATTTGGAAAGGCATCCAAGGAGTTGGACCCCGAGGAGATGAAGACTGGAGACGATGTACAGCCTGATTGTGAGTGATTCTAGTTATATCTTTCCTGATTTACTACTAGCTAACACGTTGCTAGATCACCCGGAAGAAGTAGATGGAGCCCCATGTGCTATTCAAATCGTGACACCCCGTTTCCAAGACGAGAAGTGTCTTGCCGCTGCTGAACTGATTGAACGAGCAATCCGGGACTAGCTCCCACCATGCATTTTCTACCGAGCGCAAGTTAAACATAGAATTAAATGAACAGTTTCATTCAAAGCAAGACGTATGTACAATATCTACTTGGTCCATCGCTGCATCCATGATTCAATATATCTGTGTATCAAGCCCTCAGCAACGGGATCCTTAACAAGACCCAATGACGGACAATCTTGAACGGTACGATCAGTTTCGAAGTCAAGACCCGCCGCTTTCTGTGGTGGAGTAGAGTCATCAACCTGTGCCTCGGTAGCCTTTCCATATTTGCCACGCCAGAAATCAATCAGCTTGATACTCGGGTTTTTCTCTGGATCCTGCTGGCTAGAAGCCAATCGCCGAAGCCACTCCTGCGGCGAAACAACCTCAAACTCCGGCAGAGCCGAGCCCTGTTTCAAGGCAGGAAGCAAGTCATCCTTCCAACTGAAGGACTTGGGGTTAATCAGGTGGTACACCAGATCCACCTCCTGACTTGCCGTCGCTCCCTTCATAGCCAGGTCTGCAACAGCTTGCGCACATTGGTCAACAGGTAGCCAGGTCGGACTCTCCGAGAGTTCAGGAAGTGCACCCGTGGTCAATGCACTGCGGAACATAAGCGCCACGGCCTCAGTTTCATTCCATTGAGCGCTGATGGTGTCGCCGCCGAGTTGCCCAATTCTCAGAACTCGGGCTTGCATACCAGTCTGACGCATGGCATTGCGGGTGATATGCTCGGTGACCAACTTTGAGCGACCGTAGCCCATTTTCTGTGCGTGGTTCAAGTTCTCGATTGCGATCTCGCGAATGGAGGCGGGCTTTGGGGTACCGCTGGCCGTGCTGACACTTGAGCAGAAGAAGAACTGTGCAGGGGCAGGTAGCTTGGAGCGGAGACAGAAGTTGATGAGATTATATGTTCCGCGAATGTGTTGTTGCTCGAAGGATCGTACGCCAAGGTTGAAGTTGACAGCCCAGGCGCTGTGGATCACGCATGTCAAGGATGAAAGAAGGTAGTCGAGGACATAACCATCCAGGCCCAGATTGGACTGTGACAGGTCACTGGGGACAGCCCGAAGTTTAGCGGCCTCGTCATCTGTGAGAGTAATATTGCGGTCGGCTAGTGCCTTCCAGAGACGGGCACCTGCTGCGACTTGCCCAGGAGCACGTGCGAGAGCCCAAACTTCCGAGACGTTAGGTCGTTTGAGGACCTCAGCAACAATGAAGGCTCCCAGGTTGCCCGTAGCACCAGTGACGATCACAACCTCCTTTTCAGGTTTCTGCGCGATCGTTGGGTGATGCTGAGTAAAGTGAGAGTATTTCTCAATCATCTCCTGCATGATCTGAACTTCGTCTTCGGCTTCAGATTCTTGGCCGGTGCGCAGCTGGTATAGGTGCTTGGCAAGTGCACTGACTGTGCCCTTCTCAAACACGATGTTCTGACTCAATTCATCCGCACTCTCTCCCAGATCCAGGTCGCGCACAATGTATCTCCAGATTTGTGTAGTCTGCAGACTGTCAACGCCTGCAGAGAAAATGTCGGATTCAGCATCTGGTAGTGGGACATCGAGATCGTCACGGAATCGAGCCAGTAGCCAATCCTCCAGGTCAGGGACACTGAGCGCGAGATCACCCTTCTTTCCGTTTCCACCAAAGTTGGCATAGGCTGTCTCAATGTCGTCGGCAAACTGCTGATAGACCTGAGCCCGGATAAAGGTTCCTTTGTCTGTCGCGGCGTAGGGTATATCAGCGCTCTTCACCACAACCAACTCCCTTGGAATGCGAGAGAAGGTTTCAGCTCGAGCATTCGCAGCCTCTACAGCAGGCCAAATGGCGTCCAAAAACTCCTCATCATTCAAATCCGTCGCCTTGTCTGCTGCACGGAAGATCAAGGCGCCTGGTACAGTTCGTTGGAAGCCAAAGACAACGCACTCTCGCACGAGCGCCTCCTCTCGAATACGACCTTCAATAGGGATTGGAAGCACTTTCTCGCCGTTGACAAGCGTAATTCTGTCATCCAGTCGAGACAGGTATTTGTAGTAGTTTCTCTTCTTAGGATCGGGATGCCGAGTGAATAAATCAGCTGTCCGGAAACTATTCTCGGGATTCTTCTCGCTAAATGGTGGCTTTGAGTTGGAGGGTCCTTTGCTGGGCAAGCCATCCAGTGCAACGCACTCGAAAACACCCGGAGAAATCTCGTCCATCAGCGTAAAGTCAGCCACTGGACGATGAAGTCTCATATATTGCCATTCGTTGTCGCCCGGAGGCCGGAAAGAGGTCATGATCTGACCAGTCTCGGTGGCACCGTAATTTGCAACCAGGTTGACGCCCTGTGCAACAAGGCGATCACCCAAATCATCTGGGCAGCTGGATCCTCCGAAAAGTACAATCTGAGGTTTGGCTAGCACCTTGATTCCCTCAGGCTTCTCAGCCAGTAGCTTGATGACATATGGAACAGCGCTGAATTGCTCAGGTTGTGCCACCTGGAGAGCATCGTAGAGATTCTGATATGTCGTGGGAAGAGAGTGGTTGCCGAAATATGTTGTTGCTCGAGTATAGAATGCCCGTCCAAGTTCCATGAGGGCAAAGGAATGGAAAAGGGGACTAGCTGTGAAGAATCGGAAGCCAAAGCTCTTCCGCCAGTTGGCTAAGGTTTGGAGATTGGTGAGGAAGATTGGCTTAGGATGGCCAGTGCTGCCAGAGGAGTGTAAAATCCAAGCGATCTTCTTTCCCTCCCGCGATGGGTCAACATTAGATCGTGCGAAACGTGGTGAACTCGCTTGACGGTTGAACCAGTCTGCTCGCTGCAGGATGGGGAAGCTACTGCAGCCAGGTCGCTCTTGACAGATCTCATGTTCTGTCTGCTCGAACTGTTTGGCGATAACCATCTGTGTGCAGTTTGCGAGTTCAAGCAACCGTGCATATGCCGGTGCTGTGAGGCGTGTAGATAGGAACAGCACAGCATATCCGAGGCGGTTCAAGGCGAACATGGTCAGAATGACCTCGAAGCTGGAGCCAACAAGGATTGCAACCACGGGCGCCTCTTCGAGATTGGGATCCTGTACATGGTCAGTCTTCTGAATTATTCTGATGATAGAAGCTTTGATTCTTACTGCCGGAGGGAGACCTCGCTCCATGTAATATCGAGCAACGATATCGGTATACCGGTCGATATCGCCAGCCGTGTGCTCTTCAAAGTCGGCAGCACCCCGGATCGGATAGCAAATCAGTGGGACCTTCGAATCATCAGGTTGAGCCGCATGCGACCTGAGCAGGCCATCAATGGTCGCAAACTGTTCAAACGGAGGGTGACTGGCGTGGAAAGTGCCATTCAGCAAACGAGTCGCGATATCTTGGTTTTGCGACGATTGCATGTCCACACTCGTGGTTGTTTCTGTAATGGTCGCCATATCGATGTTATTTGATGACGCCGTCATCTTTCATGAGACATCAAGATGTCTTTATATCACGCAGAAGGTAAAAACCCCGCGATATTCCATCCCACGTCCCGAGGGTGAGCTTCTCCGGATACATTTCCGAGGCTAGTTTCCCACCAGGCAGCCCGGAAAATAACACGATGATCAGCTCCCACATTGCAGTTTGTTGAATGAGCCAACCACTTGTCGTTAATTTTGTGGGGTATAATGAGATAATAACCTCGTCAGGAGATATTTCCGAGGTTCTAGTCTCAGGAGTATGGGGTTCACTTGGTTCATAGGATATTACTATGATGAAACTCTTGGAACCGGAAAAGACCAACGTCAAGGGGTCGTTTGTGTAGTAATCAGCTTCTGGGTCCCATCCAGCCAATCAGAACTCTTCCACCAAGGACTATGATGGCTGGGGTAATGGCAGTCACTATTTGCACATGAAGGATTACTTGGGTAGGAGATTGATGTATAGATTATTCCTCCTATTGGAGGGTAGCGTCTATTAGCGAACGTGTTCACCAGTTGATTAGGCCGTCTTACCCCCTTTTGGGTCGGCTCTTCTCGCCTGTGTGATGCTCATGAACAGCGAGCAATCCTTAAATACTTAAAGCCTCCTCAGCGAAAATTGGGTTAAGAAAAATTGCAAGGCCACAAAACCTCCGAAACTAACACTTGTGCTCCGATATGCAATGCCCAGAGGCTACCAACGCTTACTGCGCATTCGCTCCATCGCCCTCTTAACTCTCCTTGTTCGTGTTTCTTCCAGAATCCGCATAACCTCTCCCCGCCCATGTTGAAATGCGTAGCGCATCGGAGTGTTGCCCCTATTGTCGCGTGCAGAGACATACAGTCCTAGCTTTATAAGCCGCCGAGCTGAAGATTCCCGACCTGCCAAAGCTGCCAAATGCAATGCGGTACAACCATCATTGTCCCTATCTCCAACCTTCGAGCCAGCCGAGAGGAGGATTTGTAGACATCGATGCGACCCGTAAAGCGCAGCGAGCATAAACGGGGTACGGCCATTAGCATCTCGCAGGGCGATATCAGCGCCGAATTCAAGAAACAGTCGCATACAATTAGCGACATCGTGGGCGACCGCCTTATGCAGTACGGCAAACCCATTTTTATTGCGAACACAAGGATCTGCCCCGGCCTCAAGAAGCATCCTTACAGCACTCTCTGGATTCACCTTGAGTGACATATCTCGGGGGCTCGGGTCCCTGTCAGCGTCAAACAACGTGTGTAAATTCTTTCCACACGCCTCGTGTAAGGGTGTTTCGTGACAGTGATCCATCGCGGACGGGTCTGCGCCGTGGTCTAGGAGAAACCGGATAATCCCATTTGCGTCTCTATCGCAGGCAAGATGAAGGGCAGTTCTGCCGTGTTGATCCTGTGTCGATATCTCGGAGCCAGCGCGAACTAGGGCTTTCACCATCCGTTGATTTGCGGTTCCGTCTGCTTCATTGGCGTGCCCGATTGCTTGATGAAGAGGCGTCCACCCTTCGTATTCAGGGATGATAGGGCTCTGTTGGATCCATCTCGCGAGGGGTTCGATCAACTCATCAAGCCCCTGTTCCACAATCAGGTAAATTATATTGTGTTCATCCTCGACATGGGCTTGGATATGTCGAATATGCAAAAGGGAGGCGATTTTGGGAAAGCTTCGAATTAAATTTAAGAGATCCGAAGATCGCAAAAACTCCGCGACTGTCAGGATTAACTCCAAGGGGAGCCTGAGAGACATTTCAGCCACCAGAAGCACATGGTAGAAAGGCACGTGGCATGAAAAGAAGTTTGAGGGTTTATATGGCAAAGACAATGGACAGCTACAAGCCTGGTCATACAACCTGCGGGGCAATGGGGCAACGGGGCAATAGCAGCACAGGGATTATCCAACAGTTTACCAACAATCGAAGCTGGACCCTGGCCCTGGTCAATAATAGTCCCTTCAAGGATTCTCGCTTGAATTTTCAAATCTAGCCTTCCTTCATTAATGGCCCGCATCTTATTGACCTCTTTGGCCAGCCTTTATTGGTGTCCCTTTCACATCTCATCCATTAACCTTCTCAGGCACAAGCTTCGACAATCTCCGTATCCGCGGTCCATATTTCATAAACAAAAATGGAATTGGCAGCAATACAGCAGCGACAGCGCCGATAATCGACACACCCGGGCCAACACCCAGAGCCTGAATCATTGGCCTGGCTGCCAAAGGAAGACCAGCCGCCATTATACTTCGAAGGAAAGTTACCGCAGCTGTGGAACTGGCAGCATAGATTCCATAAACATCAACGAGGAAGTTCAAACACTGTTGGAAAATGCAGTTGAAGCCGACTCCGATAAACAACGCTGCGAGGCAAGGTAGGATCCAGTGGTGAGGAGGTTCTGCGGTCCAAGCGAACCAAAATGCACCAATGACGAAGAATACAGAGCCGAAGGCCATGGGCGGTAATCGAGCTTCGGGGACAGCTTGTCCATTGGCTGCTTTGGCGATCCGGTTATAGCGGTATTGGTTCCAGATGTTAAGACCAACGGAGGATATGACACCGATCAGTAGTGCCAGGAAAGGCAGGGAACCGATGAGAGGATTCCATCCTCGAATTTCCTGGAATACGATAGGAAATACCTCCAACGTGAGGTACATCACACCGTAGACAAAGGAAGCGTATATTGCAATGCAGGTTACGATCGGCTCCGTGAAAAGCATCTTCATTGGCCGAGAAAGCTGTTTGGTCACGATGGAGTGAACATCAAGTTGAATATGCTCATGCGGATGGAAGTATCGAGGATCATTCCTCTCCTTGCGAAGCGTCTGCGCCTTCCTCTTCAACAAAACCAGTGGATACATCTCGGGTAGGAAGAAGTAGGCCATGATGAATGTGACGAAGACCCAGATAGCCAAGATGTAACTGCACCAACGCCAGTCAAGACGTGGGTTCAAGATAATTGCAGCGCCAATAACGGGACCAATTGCCGGACCACCGTTCACAGCCACTGCGTACAAGCTGACAGCCACGCCTCGTGTCTCTCGACTCCAGATATCACCGAGTGCAGCGATGACATTGCTGATGGGAGCAGAGCCGAAGAAGCCAGCAAAGAAGCGTGTACAATACACCGAAGCCGCATTTGTGCTTCTTGCTGTGCCAATAGCAAGAAGGGCCTGGCAAAAGACTGGTGGAAGAATGCTCACTCTGCGACCCCAGATTTCAGAAACGGGCGCCCAGATGATAGGCCCGAAGACGAAGCCAACGCTAGAGAAGAGGTTAGCAGTATCCAAAAAGAAGACAACCTAATCACTCACAGGTACAATGAGACATCTAAAACCGCCACCTCACTACTCACCCCAACATACTCGGCAATAATATTATCGGCAGGAGTGATAATACTTGAACCAAGACTCCCAGCCAAAGCAAGCATCCCCAACTGAAACGTCACCCACCACTTGAACGAAACAGGCCAATTTTGCGGGTTTAACTGGTCATTAGCATCCCATTTAACCATATACTCAGGGTCAAGCGTGATTTCGCTTTTCTCGCCCGAATTCTCAACGACATCGCGACGAAACCAGAAGCGCCACATCGTATATACTGGTCATTCCTAAACCGTCTAGTTCAGCCCTCGTCTTGCCACGGCCCTCACCAGGATGGTTTTTTTACAAAGAAAAGAAAAGCTACCCCATGGATTGAGGGGGTTTGATGAGCGGATCTGAGCTCGGCATTTGTTCTGTTTAGCCGAGAACTGGAGACTCGGGCGGCCGGTCCCGACTTCGGAAATTCGGCGTGGAGATTGCGCAAGAAATGGAGTTGGAGACTAATGAAGACTAACGCGAAATGGGCGACCTCGGCCGAGAAGCTAGTGTCCATGAGATAGACAGTAGATATGATGCAAGATATGATCGAGCAGCGGACATCACTATGCTGGCGAGTCATTAGTAGGGCTACAGGGTCAATCCTTCATGAAACTTCGCACCAGGATTCTCTCAAATGAATTTTCATTTGCAGCTGTTCTGAAGAGATTACGTCCAGAGTTCGAAATAGAATACATATGTGAAGCAGATCCCACCCCCATTCAAATCTAAAATCCATGCTGTGTTGAGTCGACGAACTTTTTGCAGTGTGTCGGGACGGTGTAGAACTAGAAAGGAACGAGAGACATTTACGGGCTCGACGTGCCCTCGTCGTAACGAGGACCACCATCATCATCGGCATAGCCGGCGCCAGGGGTAGCAGCAATGCCGCCCATCGCTGGTGTGGGTGCGTCAAAGGCTGCAGGGGTAGGAGCATCGTAGCCTCCGCGCTTGGGCAGTCCACCAGGGGTTGGAGCACTGAAAGCTCCGCCGGGCGTTGGAGCATTGTCAGCCCATGCGCCAGGGGTCGGCGCAGAAGCACCAGGAGTAGGAGCGCCGTAGGCACCCGGGGTGGGAGCAGAGTAGCCTCCACCTGGTGTTGGGGCATCGTCGAAATCACGCTGATCACGGCTATTGGGCAAGCCACCCCACGCAGGGGTACGGTTACCAGCACCTCCGGCACCCCAAGCTGGAGTGCGCGATCCAGAAGCAAAGGCATCGTAACCAGAGCCAGAATCATGTGGCGTGCGAGATCCAGAGTTCCAGGCTGGCGTGCGGTTGCCCAAGCCACCATAGGCGGTACGATTTCCTTCCGCATAAGGATTGGAGGTACGTGATCCATCGTTCTTCCAAGCAGGAGTACGGGAGCCGCTCAAACCTCCCCAGGCAGGAGCTACAAAGGTTTGTTAGAAGGCGGACCCAAATTAGAGGAGCAAAGTACGAGGCCTTGAACTTACTTCGGGATGAAGAGCCACCCCAGGCCGGGGTTCTTGAAGAATCGGCCCCAGCCATAGGAGTACGGCCACCCTGCCAACCACCACCTTGGGCGCCAGAGCCCGAATAGGACGGGGTACGTGAGCTTGGTCTTCCACCAATTTCCAATGTCTGCTTAGAGACCGGACTAAACAAAGAATTAGTGATGAGAAATTCAGCAGCAGACAAGAATGACATACTCTTTGGGAACGAGAATTTCCCGTGGTAATAGAACTGGCTTGTTGGCTGTGTACAGTTCGACTGTGGCGGTCTTATCGTCAGAGTCGCGAACAATACCAACAAGCCCCTTGTAACGGCCCTTGCGGACAGCAACAGTCTTTCCGATCAGTCGATCCCGACCACCCTGACGAGGAGGTGGCATGTTTGGATTACCACCACCCGGAGTCTGCATAGCCAGAGCAGGGTTCATCTTGGTCAAATCAGGGCCAGTAGGGCGGCCACCTCTGGCAGACACGGTAACAACATTAGTGGTTCGCACGACTGAGATACCGGCGTTCTCGGTCTGGGCTTTGTTATGCAAGAAGAGGAAGGAGCGGTAGATGTGAGTAATAACTCCACTTCGCTGCTCTCCATAGACCTCACGGACAGTATCACCATTCCGGATCTCTGCTCCATTGCGATCAGTTGCAACAGCATCTCGTCGAGGAGCAAGCTTATTAGCAATCTGAGTGGGCAGGACATTTCGAAGAGAACCGTTCTGGTCCACAACACGAAGAGATTCACGATCGACCTTGATCACACACGCAACGGTCGCAGCACTACGCCAGGTTAGCACTATTCAAAGTATAGAAAAGGCCTTGTCGTGTACTCACTCAAGCTGAACAAGATCGTGGACATCGTAAATGCCGAGTTGGCCATCAGCGGCCATCTCAGCAGAAAGGCGGAGATCTTTGCTGAAAACTGTGATCTCCTGCATACTCATGTCGCTGAGCAGGGTAACAGTGTCGTCCTTGACTTGAACAACCATACCAAGTTCATTCTGATAGCGACTGCCCCCGATGACCTTGACATGGTCACCCTCGCGGAAGCGCTTGCGAAGGGTGCGAATCGGAGCGTCAATGGTCTGGCCAGCCAGGTCGCCCTCGGTGACTTGAAGTGAGACAATATCACCCCGGGTCGAGACAGTTCGGCCAATCAAGCCCTGCTGTTCTCCACGGTACACCTCGACAGGATCACCAGGCTGATAGGAATCCTCAGCGGTGGAGTTCTTCAATGTCTCCGCGAGAGATGCCAAGTCCAGGTTGGCGGTTCCATCTTCTCCTCCCCGAGCAAACATGGTCACTTCCTCCAGCCGGGGGTTGACGTTCTTCGTGATCAAGTGCTGGACACGCATGTCCTTGATGAGGAAGCCATCAATGTAGGTATCGTTGAGGTAGCTCCATGACTTGCCACCCAATCCAGATGTAGCGGAAAGGTGCTTGGCATGCTTCTTCTTGGCCTCTGCCTCGCTGAATGGGCGTTGCGGAGGTCTGACTTTGTTGACGGCAGCACGCTTTCGCTTGCCATCAGGGCCGAGCATAGGGGCATTGTCGTCATTCATACCGTAGTCCAGGCGGGGGACCAGTCGTACGGTGACGTTCAATCCGTTAGTCTCGACTTCCTCAATCTGGGCAAGATCAAACTGGTATGTGCCTCTCTTGATGCGGACCCAACCACCAGGCATAAGCTCCTCAGATTTCTGGACGCGCAACAGATCGGGCATCTCCTTGACCGGAACCAAGGTCATCTTCTGAGAAGGATAGTAAAACGCAATACCTTCCAGGGCGTCGGTGACATCGGCTTGGCGGCGCGCCTCACAGTAGAACCAACCCTGCATGATGTTTCCACGCTCGAATGCGGAAATGAGTCGGATTGGGTTACGCGAATTGGCGGGTCGTTCTTCCATGCGCTTCTGGATAGAGTAGATGACCTCCTTCTCCTTGCCGGGCTTGCAGCGGCAGCCCCAAATGCTGGGGTCCTCCACACTAGGGAGGAGTAGTCGTTTGGGAACCACGAGGGCATCCGTTGCAGCGGCGCGGTTTCGTCCGTAGCGCTCCTTGAGCATCTGTGCCTGCTTCTCGGCGTCCATTGTAGCGTCCAGCTCACGCTGGCGATCGAGCTGTCGGTGACGGCGATCATCGGTCTCTGCGCCGGCAGGCAGAGCATCGAGATCATCGGGATGCATTTCGGTACCAAACTCGGCGAGCTCATCCTCCTCATCTTCGGCTTCGTCTTCTTCTTCATCGACACCAGCCTCTTCTTCGAAGAAGGAGTGAACACCGCCTCTCCTGCGCTTGCGAGGATGTTCCTAGAAAACAGAATCATGGGTTAGGACCGATGCTTTGGCTAATTGAAGCTGAATAGGAAGTACAAACCACAGCCTGCTCATCGTCCTCATCCTCCTCGTCATCGTCCTCATCACCGTTCTCCTCGCCATCCTCGGCGCCTTCATCATCGTCTACGGCCTCCTTGGCGTCGTAGTCTTCAGCAGCGCCGCCGTCGTATTTCACGTCATCGGCGGCATCTTCGGAGCTCGCGCGTCTTTTCGCGGGCTTTTCATTGTAGCTTTGTCAGTGACACCCCTCCGTACCATTCCATACAGCCTGGTTCTCACCTTGGCATCCTCGACGTCAGACTCTTCCGCAGGGGGGTTGAAGTCATCGTCCTCCTCGTCCGATCCGAAGTCCTGATTGAGGAAGTTTGACATATTGCCGCGTAATGTCTAGACTGGTGTGTGAAAGGTGACTCGGATCGTATCCGCGAGATCGCTTCGGTCTCGGTACAATGCGTCGCAAGTCTGTATTGACCGTTCAGACAGATCAGTACGGGCAAAGAAGGCGTGCACGGGCAGAAGTGAGAGATGGGAAGATCTGGCGTACCCAAGCCGTGCGGCGAGTCGCAGCTTGGGAGACAAAGACACGGGCGGAGGAGAGTCGATTGACCCACAAATGTCAATGTCCAAAGCCGGCGCTCAACTCACTTGGATGAAAGGCTACCGGACAAGGTCAAAGGGAAGTGAGAGTAACCACCACGTATGCGTTGGATTCAATGCAGTTCGGCGGACTTTGCGGGCTGTCACCGGGCGACCGCCTACTTGAAGGACGGGCGCAACCCTGGATGTGTGAAAGGAAAAGATGAAAGAGAAGAGATTAGAGACACAGCGCGCAGGGAGACAAGAGTTCTTATACACTAGGAGGCTGTGTCAGCAGATGCGGGATTGGGAGAAGTCGAGGAGCTGGTCATCAGTTCGCGGCGAACTTGGGGCGGGAGGTTGCGCAGTTGGTCTATATGCCTCCCCCTACCCACGCTGTCTACTCCAACGGCAAACCTTAGCTTACCACAACCCATTTGACAGACAGACAGATCAGCCAGCATTCAGTTTGAGCATCCAATAATAAACCATGTGCTCAGTAATCGCTCAGGAAGTACAGCACATCGAACTCGTGGGTACCTTAACTCTCAGTCACAGCTACTCAAGATTCGATTGAGACTCTTAGACGATACGCTTGCGAGATTGGAGACCAATACTCAGACCATACATTCAAAAGAATTGGGGTGAAAAAAATGTTCTCATTTATCTATTTGCAGCGATATGCCCACACAAAAAAGCATCTTGAATAACCTTATATTCTGATATCATAATAGAAACGAAAAGCCAATATGCATGGCAAGTAGTTGATAGTACAAGGTAAAATCATAACTCAAGAAAAAGCGTCACACCGGACGGGATATCTAACTGAAAAAAAATTCCTCATATCAACAAGAAGAGGAACGTGAGAAAAGATGTCCTAGACATGGACAAGAGAAAAACGAGATGGTCTATGACGGCCAATCTCTAATGCAAAGACTCCATTTACAGCTTCATGCCAAACATCTGGTGCACACGCAGACTCTGGCGCATGCTCAGATCCAGCATGATCTCTTCACTTCCACCAGGGATAGCGTAGGCACGGACGTCACGGTACAGGCGCTCGATCTTACCACCCTGGCCGCCACGGCTGTAGCTGAGACCACCGAAGATCTGACTGGCCTCACGGGCGCAGAACTCGAAGGTCTGGGTAGACTGGGCCTTGAGGCCGGCGATGGCACCGCCGAGCTTGAGCATGGCCTCGGTCTCCTCCATGCACTGGCACTGGAAGATGATGTTCTCCAGCCAGTTGTAGGTCGCCTCGATCTGGCGGGCCATGTGGGCCAGCTTCATGCGGATGACGGGGTGGTCGATCAACTTCTTGCCGAAGGTGCGGCGCTTGTGGGCGTACTTCATGGACTCCTCGTAGCAGACACGGGCGAAGCGGACACACTGGATGACAATGCCGATGCGCTCGTGGTTGAAGTTGGTCATGATGACTGCAATCATGTCAGTTATTTGCTTGTGATGTTGTCGATGGTAGCTACGTGGTTAAACTCACCCTTGAAGCCCTGGTTCTCCTTGCCAATCAGGTTCTCGACAGGGACCTTGACGTCCTCGAAGGTCACGTAGGTGGTACCACTGCTCCAGACACCCTGGCAGTCCATACGACGAGTGCTGACACCGCCAGCTTCACGCTCAATCAGCAGCACGCTGAGGCCTTCCATACCAGGCTTGCCAGTGCGAACAGCAGTGGTGAAGTAATCAGCCCAGACGCCGTTGGTGATCCACTTTTTCTCTCCGTTGACGATGTAATGCTTGCCATCCTCGGAGAGCTTGGCTTCGCAGCCAAGGTTGGCGACGTCACTGCCCGCATCGGGCTCGGTAATAGCCAGGCAAATACGCTTGTCACCAGCCAGAATGCCGGGCAGGATACGGTCAACGAGCTCCTTCTTACCAAACTTGACCAGGGGCGGGCAACCAATGCCGTAGCCACCGATCAAGTTCCAGACCAGACCACCGCTACCAGCACGAGACAGCTCGTCGGTCAACAGCATCTCGTGGAAGAGATCCCAGCGCTCCGGCGCCACGGACTTGACCCGGTATGGGGTGTGCTTCTCGGGGTACTTGACACCCAGCAGACCGGCCAAGTAGCCGCGCTCACCCATCTGCTTATAGATCTTGTCGGGGACATTCTTGGCCTCATCCCACTCGGTGACGTAGGGCTCGATCTCGGTGTCGACCCATTCGCGGATTTCCTCGCGGAGTGCGGCGTGAGAGTCGTTGAAGTAAGGGGAGGAGTACTATCAGGAAAATGAAGTCACACGTTAGCGCTCTTGTTTACACCACCAAGAACTGCCAGTGGACAAAACTTACACCCTGGTACCACGAGGGGTCGGCGAAGGGAATCAGATCACCATAAGGATCTTGGGGTTCGGCAGTGGCCGCGGGCTTGTAGTCGGCAGGGGCAGCTTGTGCTACTTGGGCGGCCTTCTTGGGCTCCGGGGCGGGAGCTGGCGTAGGCTCAACCACCTTCTTTGTGTCTAGCGAGCCGATCTGCAGCTGGGCCTTGTACTTCTTCAGAATTCCCTCGTTGTGGTACTTCCAGAACTGCTTCGAGGCATCCTTTCCGGCAACTCGCTGGAGAACTGTTCACATGTTAATTTCAAACTCTCGGCGACATTTTGGGCTGAGCTATGACGTACTCTTCTTTCCACCTATTTAGCATGTTTTGGTCAGCGCATGTGATATTTTAAGATGCGCCCCGCGCGATGCTCGTCGCATGGCCTTTTTTTCAAGATAGAAAGAACTTACCAGGGTGCTCATCTTGGAACTTGGTGACATCGTAAACATCCTCGTCAATCACAATCCACAGGCTGTCGCCCTTGTTATGCGACGCCACCGCGTCCTTGCTGAAGGTCTTAGACATGGTGATGTGTGCTGGTCGAGGGACGGAGGGTAGAGGGAAAAAGAGATAATGCTTTTGATTCTACACGACAGAGACCGGGAGATCTGATATGGTCCAAAAAGGAGATTCGTGGGGGAGAAAAAAAAATGAGGGTCAACTCCGGGGTAGTTGGAGCGCACGCGATATATAGGCCCGGAGACCAGCGCCAGATTCAGCCAGCCCCCGTGTCCACTACGATGCGACTCAAGCTCTGGGATGCCTCGGAGCATCCACCTCGTGCATTTCAACGTGATTTTGGGTCTTCAGCTGCTTCTCCTCGGTCGCTTACAGGTGCTGATCAGGTTGGTCATCACGGTACTTGTGGTCGGTGATTGGCTCCCACTGCGTCATCATTGTCACAAAATGCCGAGGCGCCCTGCTTAGCTAAGGCACGCATGTGAACATGTGAATAGCCCATGAGTGGGAGCCATCGGCACATTTGCGATTTGTGCCCGGACATGGGCAGTATGGGGTAATTAATTTGCTACAATACTACAGAAAATATAAAAAATTTATCTTTCCAAGAGAACTCAAGAGGCTCATTACCATTATCGATTCCTCGTCTGATCGGTTTTCACTGATGGAGGAGAGGATAATTACAAGGCCATGATACGGCGGTAGTCATGGCACGTGACTTTCGGTCATGGCTGTACACCTCCGGGTTCTTAATTCTAGACTTCTCCAATCAAGCGATCCAAGGTTGGGTCTCAGAACTTACGCCTACCATGGATAAGGCACCGTCTCCTTGGTGGTAGAGTTCTTCACATGAGTAGGGCGTATTTTAATATGGATGATGTTCTCCACATGGCTTTGAGACTACTGTACTAATGGGAAGGACAAGGGGGGCTGTTAACGCCTAGGTCATGATACGATAGGGACAAGGGCCAGCACTGGAACTTATAAAGAACACCGAGAAGTACGAATACAGACGTAGGTCAAATGCTGCCTCAAGCAGAGAGACTTTTCGATTTCCATTTTAGAAGCATGAGCTTTGAGATATATGATATCTACTAACGAGGAATATTGATTCTATCTAATGGGAATTCAGTCCTGAGTGAAGGTCTAGAGAAATATAACAAGCAAAGCTCAGAGCGTTGATGAATGATTGTTATTGGTATGTACGAAGCGCCAAATAAGATGATATTTGAACCGGAAATATCGTAGATCGAAGAGAAGAAACATTCATCGCAGGGTAGCGAGACCAGTTGATGTTGATATGTCTCCTTTCGGCGCATTGTCGACGACCATAAAATGAGGTGGTCTAAGTCGGGTTTAGAACAAAATCATCAAGTTGAATAATTACAAGGGTGACAACTTACCATTCCAGATCAAGAGGAATTGCATAGTACAAGTGCAGGGATCGAGGATGTCTTGTAGATGAAGGTTGTGAAGAGTTGAGGTGAGCCCTGTAGAGATGGGAGATGACAGTGATTGAAGGTCAATGTGTCAAGTGGTGGATAGAGAAGCGAGGCGACGATTTCCAGAAGAAAGAGGCGGCGAGGATTCGAAGGGGATTTGGCTGAACTCCTTCGTGAATTTGTCCCGACATGCAAAACGATGGCTCGGCTACATGACGCCTGTCCACTCAGGAGTTCAGTGAGTCGAGGGTCGGATATCGGAATTGTGGTTGTCAAGAGTTTGCTGTGGCTTAACTCGATTCCTTTTTGAATTTGTCCTGATACGCAAACTGGATAGTACCAGCTACGTGACGCCTGTTCAAAAAGGAAGCGAACCAAACCGGAGGAAAGTCAGGAAGAAGTGGAGCGGAATGACAGTGATTGAAGATCAATGAAATGTGTCATGTGGATGTAGGATGAGAGAAGGGAGAGCGTGGGGGAAAAGGTCAACTCAACTCAATCTTGAATTTGTCCTGACACGCAAACTGGATAGTACCAGCTACATGATGCCTGTTCAAGAAGGAAACAAGTCAAGCCTTGAGTAGATCGTCTAGAGATGTCAGGTGTGCACCTTTGGGATGATGGTCAATAATCTGAAGGTGGAGAGCAAAGGGGATGCGAGACCATAGAGGTATGTCAAGGTATTGACGTGTCGTGACGTGGGAGGACATATGGATGATGAAGGTGGATGACCATGGACATGTCGATGTGTGGACGTGTCTAAAGGTGAAAAGACGTAAGTCAAAACATGTTGAGGGTGGATGAGTGTGTTGACTTACCATGAAGGTGGAGGGTCAAAGAGTGTGTGAGGCCAGGTGGAGGTGTCAAGGTGCTGACGTGTCGTGACATGGAGGTATGGGCACGGTGTTGACAGTGATTGAAGTTCAATGTGTCAAAGGTTTGGCGAGCCATGATGCGTGTTGACGTGTTACAAGTAGAACAATGTCAGGTGGGATGTGTGTGGCAGGCCTTGATCAGGGACAGGAGGGATAAAGAGATGAAGATGTGAGGAAGAAGGATGAAGGTCAAGTGGTAGTGGATGTTTGTGACCAAATCCTGGGAGGATGGAGGGTCTAAGGTTGCAGGAGGAGGAGAGTTTGAGTGGGAAGAAGAAGCGGAATCTGGGGGGGGGGAGAAGAAGCCTTTATACTCCGGAGGGCAAGGGGTCGGGAAAGTCCTCATTTACTAACTGGGGCGTTGTTTGCTCTTTCTTGCTGGATCCAGCAGGCACGCTGGATCGTGCCTTCCCAAACTAGAAATGTAGGCAGCTTCAGGGCTGGGGGCAGGTGATGGTGGAGGACTGGGCCCGCCCTGATTGCCTAAATGGGAAGTTCGGCCTCCACCCACACACACAATAACAGAATGATGCCTGGTGCTGAAATTTATTGGGTTGCTCGGAGACAATATGTCGACCACAACAAGAAATCCACTTGCAGTGATCTTAAGAGAACAATATTTATTTTGAGCATCATTGTACTTTGATATTGTCCCCTGTTGAACAATGCGGCTCTCCTGCAGGTTACCTTGCTGCCACAAGGTTCGGCCCGGCCCCACTACCCCAGAATCCACCAAGACTTCATAGTTCATACAATATCGGTCATTAAGCATATTGTATTTTCAAGCCGACCAGCAAGAGTTTTGTTATTGAAGAGATGTACAAGCTCGCTAGTCTTTTATGTCGGGCCCTCTTCAACTAGCCTGATCATAATACTGCTTCGGATGCTGGCCTTGTCTCAGTTATGGAACCTTCTTAATATTGCTTTGTTGCTCTGTTAACCTGGTGTGTCCCATTATCAAACTGATACGGCTGCCTTGATTATCGGTCCTCTTAATCATTAAGCAGGACTGGAACATTCAAGACTGTGCCTGCCTGGGTAAGGCAGTATATCAACTTCCAGCAAGTTATCTTCATCCTCAACCACCCATCCTACTCCCCGCTTACCTCGTCGACTCCATGATTACCTCGTCGTCTCCCGCAGATCCGCCTAACTACCTATCCCACCATGTCGATCCCGCCTTCGCTCATGCTATCGCCCCCGACGGCCAGAATGCCAGAATTTTACAATCACGTCATCTTCGTCGCCAGAAGCTCGGTCGACCGAGGCCCAACCGGAAGCTACAGAAGAGAGAGTGACGCCCAGCTACGTGCCAGTCTTGAACACACCCGGGCAATCTATGAACAGGCGTATGGGCCAATCACGGGTATCTGCGAGTTCCACACTTTTGCATGGTCATCATATGATGAGTTGCCTCCCAACGGAGAAACTGTCCGCTTCTTTGCCCAGCGCCTCGCAATCATGGAGGCTACACTCGGAAACATGATGGTTGTGCTCAACGGCTGGGACGGATTGACCTCTCATGCGGGAAGCTTCACCACGCTGTTCAGAGCGCATGCTCCCCAAATCACCCTCCGCGTCTTCGCTAGTCGGCCTCGCTCGTTCTACCAGGTCAACGTGGCGCAGATCTTCCAGTTGTTTGATGGCGAAGTTCTTATCAATCCCTACCTCGACTGCATGCCCCACGAAGAGCTTGATGAAGGGGTTATGGAGATCCTGAACCGCATGGAGAGCCAGCTGGAGTACTCGACCGCACTGTTCTACCGCTACTTCAGAGCATTCGGAACCCTCCGACTCAACTAATTTTCCCCACACCGGACCCCCACGTCGACATTTGCGAGCGAATCGCACAGACCTACATAGCAGACGACGGAGAACATGCCCCTAGACATATCGTTGGGGAAAGTGCTGAAGGACGTCAACGGCTAGGGAGATCCACGTTTTTGGGAAGGGGGTTAGAATTGAGGGGGCGTAAGGAACCAAGGCGCATATGTGGTATGAATACAGGGTTTCTACGGAGTGAAACATCTTTTTTGTTGTTAGAGCGAGCGGCCATGTCTAATGTCACTCATGAACTACATACATCGTTTTGAAGGGTCTAAATGATTTCCAACATAGTTCTGACTGCTTTCTGTTCCTCCTGATTTTACAGAGAATTTGGTTGACATAAACTACATTAGGCCACACTATTCTAATCAAAACGTGAAGTGTATCTGAGAAATCCTAGTGAGTTATATCACTAAGAATGAGGCGTCAAATCACACCCTTGCCCTCCTAGACGTCGAGAGCTGTCGGCATTCAGACCTCGTAAGATTCCCACCTAACAACGTCCAAGCTTGGCTATTTCAGATATCAGCGAGCTGCAGTGTTGCGTACACGTAAAAGCAGGGCTAGAAGAAAACACATACCCAAAGTGCAGGAACTGTCAGTATAGTGTCCGTTGACATAGCACCTATCCTCTTCGAAGTAATCCCAGCCACTCCATGGAGTTAGCCTGCAAGTCCAAGACAATATAGCAAATATCGTGCTAATGCTTACCAGTTAACAGCACCATTCAACGTAACACACTCCCCAGACTTCACACAGGTGAAGTAATACCCGCGCGTCCAAGACGAAGACAGTCCAACTTTGATATCGTAGTTTGTGCCAGGTCCAGAGCGACAGTTGACATGTTCACTAAGCACTCGACATAACTGGCCTGATCGCTCGAAGAGCTTTTTTCCATCAACGACTTCGCTCTGCCCGGCATCGTCTGCGACGGGAGCGGCGTGGAGACCCAGGGCAAAGAGGGTGCCGATTAGGAGGGAGGAAAGCTGCATAATGGATGGGAATTATGGAGACTAACTGGGGGCTATTCAAGATATGGGAGAACATCTTACTCTTTATATTAGGCAATGTGCCTCAGCGATGCGCCAAGATACCGGCATTTTTCAGTTGGCACTTCTCCATAACTTCTCAGGAGCGACTGTCATTGCTGAAATGAGCGGCCTCCCCGCTGGCGCTTGAAGAAATACGGGCCCTTGGCATCTTGGCGATGAGTATTTGAGGACAGACAGTCAACTAAACGAAGAGGTGGGCCGAATACGAGGTTTCATCCCGCAAGCACTAGCCTTCATGCAGCTACTCACCCGTCCGCGCTCTGATTCAGAGGCTCCTACGCTTGGCTAGGTAACCCCCAGCGGGTTTGACATTAAGGTACCTCTCAGCGAGGGGTTGGGTTACATTGAGGTCTACAAGTTATGCAAATCGGAAATCATAGAAAAGTAGATAAAATGCTTCATATCACAAGGCGGAGAATCGCACTTCCCAAGATATCAGGTTGATAGAGCCTGATGGTTCTAGTAATACATCCAGCGTTCAAGTTTACGCTGTATTCCTCCTCTACTCCTCTTCTGCGTCCGTCTCATACGTGAACTCGTCTGGAACGGGCGCATCTTCCACTCCCTCCTCATCTTCATCCACAGCAGTCAACACACCTGCAGCGGCGGCAGCACCGCCCATAGAGGTGTAATCAGATAGGGCGGCGCGAGCAGCGGCCCGTTGAGGGGTCTGCAGGGCGGCCGCGCCAATGGCAGCCTGGAGTCGGTCCTGAAGAGTCTCGCCGCCAGTGGGTGCAGGGGCTTGAGGCTTCTTGCGGCTTGCCTCAAGCTCAATGGTTTCGCGGGGCTCGTCGGGCTGATTGTCGAGAACAACAACAACACCACCGGTAGGCTTTAGGAAAGAGTTAGTGATTGATCCAAAGTGAGATGGCAGAATTGTAGAAACATACCCTCTTGACAGGCTCGTACCGCGGGTCGGGGAAGGTAAGGTACTTGAGTTGAGCTGGCAGAACTCTTGACAAGTTATCCAACTCGTAACCGACCTTCTCCCGCTCAGCCTTCTTCTTCTGGCCCTCAGCAGCGATCTTCTCCGCGTCCTTGGCCTCTTCTCCCTCGACGGCTGCCCCCTCCTCGACTTCCATCTTCTCTGGGAGCTGATCTGACACCTTGGGTGTGGTCGGTGTCTGGTCAATATCCATGCTTTCCCGACGGGCCTGCTTCTCCCGACGCTGCGCACGACGCTTGGCCTGAGCGGTGGTCGAAAGCACGGCAGTCTTGATCTTCTCCGGGGCCTCCTCGGTCTTAACCTGCTGCTCGGGGGGATAGTCGAATAGGCTGGGGCGAGTGTTGCTGTGGAACTTGAACTTGGGAGCCTCCAGCTTCTGGTCCACACCGATGACGGCCGTGGGGGTGAAGCTGAGGGACAAGAAGTGGGAGAGAGGGAACCAGTACCAGTACTGCACGAAGACGGCGGCACCGACAATGCCGGGCATGTTCAGGTTGCCAGTCTGGGTCTGCAGGCTGATAGTGCAGTTGCGGCCACCGGCGTCGATAATACCCAGGGCAACGGCACAACCGAACTTGGCCATGGCATCTTCATGGCGGTCACCAACCATCTTCAGCATAGCCTTGCGAAGGCTGGTGACGCGAGGGTTCATGGCCTCATTCTGCTGAACAAGAACCATGGAGAGGGCAATCAAGGCACCCTGGCGCACAAAGTCGGTCGAATCTTTCAGCATTGGCTCCAGAAGGTCGATCGCCTCATCCAAACCAGTTCCAGCGCAGGAGATACCCAGCGCCATGGCTGCACCGTACCGAACATGGGGGTTGTAAGACTCCGAAAGCAGCTCCACCATGCGGGGCACACTCTGGTGCTTTCTGAACAGAATGAAACCCAAGCTCAAAACTGCAACTCGGCGCACGTCATCATTGACATCGCTGACAGCAACGTGGAGGAGCTTGCGAACAGCCTTGTTGCTGCCGCTACCACAGTAGGCCAGAGCAATAGTCATGATACCACCGTAGCGGAGGGTGGGATCGGGGTCGCCGAGGAGACCGTTGATAAGCTCATCAGCAGCCTCCTGGCGTCCGTACATGATCAGAGCCATACCCATGGCCAAACCGCGGACGATCTTCTCATGTTGTGTATCGTGTGCGTACTGAATCATATCCTCCAAGACCTTCATGTTGCCAGTTCCAAGCATAACCAGACCCATAGCAAGACCGACAGCCTCACCGTTGAGAGCAGAATCGGTGTAAAGAACATTCCGGAGGTCTTCATAGATGCCTTCATCACCAGTAGCCATACCCGCAACACCCAGACCCAGGGCACCACCGTGCTGAACAACCTCTTCCGTGGCCTTCTTGAAGTAGTCGCGAATGATATCGACAGCCATGCCACCGTGATTAGCATAGATGAGACCGTAGGCGTACAAAGAACCACCTTGGCTGTAAACCGAGTTTGAGCTGCCGCCAACACCAGCAATCTGATCCTTGGGAAGGTAGGGCTCCAGGAGAGTCTGACCTTGGTTCAGGTTGCCGCGGTGGATCACACCAAGAGCAGCCGTAGCCGTGAACTTGGACCAATTCACAGCCTTGCCGAGCCACTCTAGGTTATCACGGAAGAACTTGTCGCGAGTCGTTCCGGCGTGCATGAAAGCATTCGAGATGGTGACAGCGGTGTGGAAGATTGAGTTGCGAGCCTCCAGACTGTCACGAACCTTGTCAAGGATGGCCATGTCTGTCCTGTTGTTCTGATAGAGGAACTCCAAATTCAACTCGATCGTTTTGAGACCATCCAGAATCTTGAGAATGTTCTTGAAAGCCGAGCTTGCCTCATCCGAAAGCTTGCTCTGCTCACCCAATGGCCGAGAGGAGCTTGACTGATCGTCAAGCAGGCGGTCAGACTCCTTGGGCTCGTCGTTCTCATCCCTGGGCTGCTCAGTCTCTTCCGGCACCAACTCAGCGATCTCTTGGCGAACCTTCTGGAGGAACTCCTGAGTGCTGTTATCGTAAAGGTCGAAAGAAATCTGGTAGGCAACTGCGAGAGAGCGCGAGTCGCCCTTCTCGACCAGCTGTTGGAGAATATTGGATGCCATGGAGTGCTCGTTGAGGTAGACCACGCACTTTGCGATCGAGAAGTAATCCGGGGCGAGGATCTCGTTGAGGAGGTCGAGGATGAGTTTCAGGATCTGTTTAACATGACTGTGTTAGAGCCACCACTAAATTTAAAAAGCACGATACGGAGAATAGACAAACCTCATTGCGGAAAGCCCGCTCTTGGACGATTCCCATGCAGATATCCAGAACGTACTCCATAAGTTCTTCACTACGGCGGAACTCGCCTTGCTGCTGCTTCTTCTCGTCGTCGCTAGCTCGGAGAATGGCCATGCGAAGCACCTCCAGGCTCTTTGCCTCAATAGCAATACCAATGACTTGACGGTAACGCTTCTGACGGAAGCACTCCTCAAACAGTCGCTCGATAACAGCCTGCAGCTGTCTTTGAACGCCACGCTTCAGGACCAGTGGTGTTTCCTCATGCTGAACACTGGAATCATCGCCACCGGGGTGAGCGGCATCAATGCCAGGGACTTCTTGACGCGAGAGCAAAGACTTCGAGGGCAGGGCAGACTTGGAGAAAGGTGTGATTGGGGAGGTCAAGCTTGCAGATGTACTTGTAGCACCATCGCCGGATGCTGGGAAGGAGTTGTTCAGGTTGGCGGATTGGTCACCGGAGCTGCGTCGCTGGGCGGCGGATAGGGAGATGAAAGTATCAACGCATTTGGCTGTCACAAGGCACCCGATCGTTAGTAGGCTGGCCACGAAGTCTGTGGATGATACAACACAACTTACCGATAATGGTCTCCTCGTACTCGCCACCACTGTCCAGCTTGAACAGCTTGCCCGCGCCTAGTGCCAGAACCATACTCTCATTATATTCCTGCAAGTGATAATATACCTTCGAGGCAACTAGAGCGGCCAGCTCGCGTTCCGGGAAAGATTCATCTTCGTAGAGAGCCTCACTAGATGGAAATGGTTAGTCCGGTCCGAGGCAACTGGGGGTCCTGCTGGGAGAACGGCTGCGTGCGATAGAACAGGTATCGCGTCCCAACAAGCTCGCAGGATCATGCTACTTACATCTCCGGAACGGCATTCACAACCTCTGTCCATAGCAGATCGATCTGCGAATCTAATGACTTCAACGCAAAGACCTTGAGCTCTGGGTCAGGCTCCGAGAGGAAGCCGACCAAACCGGCGGCCGAAACAACGCCAACCATCTTTATGAATGAGGACGTCTAACGTCACAAGATTGATTGAGAGGAGCTCAGGCTCGGAGGATGTTGTTGTTGTTGGGGTGATGAAGCAACGTCGACGGGAGGGAGCTCGGGGGAAACAGCGAACGAGCCCCAGACCAACGATGGTGTAGAAGTAAAAGAGTTGGTCCTAGATCGGATAACAGCAGGTAGCACAAAGACAAATTAAAGGAAATGGACGAGATGAGATGAAGTGGACGTGCGAATGGAAGCTGGAAGCAGACAACAGAAGCTTTACAGGCGCGAGTCAACGTCAACGGAGGAGCTGACTGTTCGGGTCACGTGAGCCAATGACGCCCATTGAGGTCCGAGAGCATCGGGCGTCAGCTGGGGAGGTCCGGCGGACATTCGTGAACTCTCAAAACAGACGATGTCGATGGCATATTAAATAGGCCTTTCCCACCCAGGAAGATCTACCAGAGCTTCAGTGTACGACTATCTCCTTGTCTGAAGCCTGGTACCCTCCATTCATCCGCCATGTCAACACTTCTCCCGTTTCGAGACAAGCGGCTACCACCCGTACCAGCTGCAACTTCCATGTACCACCACGATCCCCTTTTACAAGTCGAGCGCCAGACGAAGTACATTCAGCGGAATCTGCAGACTTTGATTGATGCTCAGAGTGAGGGTCTACTAGCAGGTCTTGCGCGATCCCAGCCAGAAGACATATCGGAGGGCAGCTTTACCCCGACATCCTCGGCAGCTGGTCGAGCTCGGTCTCCGTCGACCACGCCCGCTCGGCAACCTTCAGTCAAGAAGATTGGGCTTCGCGCGGCACGGCAGGGTATATTTCTATCCATTTATGACCTACTGAAGCTGCGAGAAGAGGAACGCGACATTTTGTTGTCCCAAACGGACGAGCGAGATAATGCGCTTCGTGAAATTGAAGGGTTCACTTCCAGAAAAGATGGTCTTGAAGAGGCCATATCATCTATACACAATGACCGAGAGAACCAACAGGCTAAACAATTGCAAGAAGAGGCTCGAGGTCTTGAAACTGACATTCGCGAGCTGGAAACCAAGCTATACGAGATGAAGGCCAAACATCGAAATCTAATCAGCAAGATATCCAATATCGAGAACTCTGTTGATGCAAAGCTCTCGTCATATACTGAGTCGCTATCCCTCCTTCAGTCTGATATTCAGAGCTATCTCCGTGACCCTCCTGTCCAGCCGCTCCCACGACGATCAAGCGAGTCTTCGTTCTACTCCCTCAATCCCAAACGGCGTACCCTTGATATGGCGGAGGAACATTGGAAGCTGGAACGTGAGCGTCTACATAAGAGACAACATGAAGTGGATGCGGAGATTCTGGCTCTGGAGGAGGGCGGTGGTGTCTGGAAACAAGCTGTAGCTGACGTCTCGGGCTTCGAGAAGCGTCTTCGGGCCAATATGCGGCACTATATTGAGATTCAATCCTCTGCGACAGATTCAAATAATGCACAGCTGTCAGAAACGATGGCAGAAGTCGCGACAAATGTATCGGATGACTTGGACAAGACTATCCAGCGGTTGGAAACGCATTTGGAGCTTGCCGAGAAGAAGGACTGGAAACTGCTCGTTTGCTGCATTGCTGCAGAACTCGAGGCGCTGCGCGAGGCACGAGGAATGCTTCTTCCAGCCTTTGGTCTGCCAGTCCATGATGATGCGCCTCCCTCCCAATCACCGTCGTCCTCTGAAGGGCAAGTCTCGGAGGAAGCCTCGGATGTACATGAGCATTCATCCGACAATGATGACTCTGAGCCCCCGGCGGATCTGTTCAAAGATGAGCAGGCTCACCATACAGATAACGCGTCAAGATCTGAGGATGACGAGCCAGATCCAGCCTGGCTCTGATTTGCATAAGATAGAAATATATATATCAGGCGCTGAATTACAATATGAATAATGATTCACATCCAACCTATTCCTCTTGGGTACATAGATATATTGCCGTAGTATTTCCACTCTATAGTCGGGTTGCCGGGCATTTGGGCACGGGCGGGAAAGCTTCCCATCTGGTCGTGCAGAACATCAACTTCCCTCTCGCTCTCGTGTCTCTTGCTAAACAACGAACGGGAATTGCCAGGTACTCGACTATGTGAAGAGATTTGTCGGAATCATGGACCTTCCAAGCCCGACTTTCTCCTTTAATCTTCCCTCGGTTCATGATGACTGCCAGCTGGAATGTCGACTGTATCTCCCGCACCAGCTCCAAAATATAGAATCGGCAACACAATCATCTGTTCACGGTGCCATTGTCGCCCACCCCTACGCACCACTCGGTGGATGCTATGATGATCCCATCGTGGGGTTTGTCGGTGGCGAGCTTCTACAAGCAGGGTACATCGTGGGGACATTCAACTTCCGGTGCATCCCCCATGCTCAGCTCCGAGATTTGCAAGATAGCTAACAAGTATTACAGCGGAGCTGGGAGTTCTGAAGGGCGGACTAGCTGGACTGGAAAGCCTGAGCTGGGCGACTATGTATCCTTGTATGGATTCATGCTGAACTATCTTCAAGAGTTACATTCTACACTAGCAAGCAGACAGAATGCCCCGCCCAGCGAAGCTATCCACCTAGTAATCGGTGGATATTCATTCGGATCCCTAATCGCCTCGCATGTCCCACCACTTGATGTCATGCTGGACCTATTCTGCAACGGACCAACAACCCCGACAACACCGATCTACGAGATTGGGAGCGCAGCCCAAAAGATCGCTGCGCAGTCCACACGGCATCTACCCCCAGCCAAGCAGAACCCTGACCAAGACAACCAGGCTGACCAACCCACATCCCGCGTGGTGACTACAATCTCCTACCTCCTCGTGTCACCATTGCTGCCACCTGTGAGCCAGCTTCTGACTGCTTTCTCCGCCCTATCAGTGAGCGTGGGGGGCAAGTCGTCAGCTCAGGCCCGACCCGCCGGCCGGCCAGCCGAGCAGCTGAGCGCGCACCGGACGCTGGCGCTATTTGGGGATCAGGACACTTTTACATCTGCGAGGAAATTGCAACGGTGGTCAGCCGAGATGGCCCGCATGTCGCAGAGCGGATTTACTGGCTGCGAGATTGAGGGCGCGGGGCATTTTTGGCGAGAGAACGGGGTGGAGACGCGGGCGAGACGGGCTTTGCAAGAATGGCTTCAATCTCGACCTTGAGGGGTGTGTGATATTATGCGGATATCCTTGTTCGTCCTTGTAGCGAGAAGATGTGACTATAGTATATAATAATGCCTTGATAATGGTGACTACACTATACAATGCTCTCCATCTTGACCGATATCGCATACTGTATCCTACATCCCACACTACTTACCCTATCGAGCCACTTTGAGCGTGGCGCATAACAAGCGTGTCTCACATGTGTCTGCATGTGAGCCGCTGCCAGGCTCCAGGGACGCGATGCCCCGCCGGAAGGGCCGTTCAGATGATCGTGGTGGAGTGAGATCATCGGGGATGTTTGCAAGGTTGTTGGGGAAGGTTAGAGTTCAGAGAGTCATGGTATATGCAGGAAATCAGCCAGATCAATATCGATCGAGGATCAATGCAGACATTCATGCGAGCTATGCAGTAGACTGATGACTGTAGTACTGAGCTGAGCACATAGAAAAAAGGGGGGCAAAATTAAAGATTCCCAGTCCTCCGTCATGAATTTCCACCGAAAGTTAGTCCCAGTTTACTAGTTTACCCCATTATTTGTCGGGCCGCTGGGGAAAGAAAAAAGTTGGGGTTGGGTAACTTGGTAAACTTGGGTCATCGGGCGAATTTCCATTGGCCCTCGTGACGTTTGTCCTCCTTCAGACTTGCAGACCGCCAGATTTCACTCCATCTTGAAATCCGGGGTCCTGTTCATTTCTACTTCCATTATTACCCTCATTCTCGATATTCTCTTATTCGTGGTCCCTCCAGACACCCTTCCTCCCTTCCCAACTTAAGGTTATCGAAGCGATCGCCCCCCTGTTCTCCAAGTGGGCCACAGACCCCGGCTGGATGGCTTGCTCCCGATGCACAGGCCTGCGATGTCCATGTTGGGCGACTCCACAATAGTCCCTTCGAAATGCCATAAACGTGATTCGGATAGCCTGGTCTCCCTTCCCTCGACGCCGAGCCGATCCCTCCGCAAGGCCATCTCTATCCCGGCCGTATCGTCGATCGTTAAGGAGTCGTGGAATTGGGCCGGTGAGACGCTGCACACCTATCGCGATGGGCTCTCGGCCGAAGAACGGAGGCAGAAAGCAGAGATTGAGGATCGGAAACAAGTTTTGTACCTGAAAATTAAGAATGTGAGTCAAAATGAGCGCGGCTGGCCGTGTCCCTGACGGGCAGTGGCATCTGCAGAGTGACCCGACTGATCGCGACTTGGGCTGCAGGCCGTGTCGTACGAAGAGTGGTGTACTTGCGCTACCGAACTAGACGTGTTGGAGGACAATATCTCTTGGAAGCGCACATTGGAATGCTCAGAATACCACCCGGAGTTGGTCCAGGAACGGTTGCGACAGCTGGAGGAGGCGCGGATTAGCTGCGATGTGAGTCGCATGTTGTTTCTCGTTCGCACCGCCCTCAGTCGCGACTTGGGAAAGATGAGCAATGCGTCCTTATATCGACACTCGCATACTGGGACAAAGGACTTGATCGATCGGTATATCACGACCGCGCTCGAGACGATCAACACGTTGGTGGATCTGTCGGTACATAATCGGTGCGATGGGCTGGAGCTCAAGTATATACTGGACCAGCTGTTGGCAGCGCGACAGGCATTTGGCCGAAGCGCGCTTCTGTTTTCGGGAGGTGCCACTTTTGGAATGAACCATATTGGTGTTCTCAAGGCCCTCTATGAATCAAAGCTCATTCCGCGCATCGTCTCGGGAGCCTCGGCAGGTAGTATCGTTTGTGCGGTATTTTGTACCCGCACCGACGATGAACTCCCAGCTCTATTGGATACATATGCGCATGGGGATTTTTCAGTCTTCAGCGAGCAAGGACAGGAAGAGAATATCTTCCAGAAGACGGCACGTTTTTTGAAATTCGGATCCTTCCTTGATATAACTCATTTAGCCAATACGATGCGGGCATGGTTAGGAGACATGACGTTTCAAGAGGCATATAACCGAACTCGCAGGATTTTGAATATTTGCGTGTCAAGCGCAGGCATGTACGAGCTACCTCGACTGCTCAATTACATCTCTGCACCCAACGTGTTGATCTGGTCGGCAGTGTAAGTTTCGCCTTTCCTCTATGTCCATTTTAACCAGATCTAACATATTGCAGGGCCGTATCTTGCTCTGTACCATTGGTGTTTCGGCCCTTCAACCTGATGGCCAAAGACCCGTTGACAGGAGAGGCGATACCTTGGAATGATCTCCACAAACAGTATATTGATGGCTCGGTGGACGGCGATCTGCCCATGACACGACTGTCTGAAATGTTCAACGTCAACCACTTCATCGTCTCACAAGTCAATCCGCACGTTGTGCCTTTCTTACCAAAAGAAGATGGCCCAACGAACAACCCCGAGCAGGGCTCGTCCTTTATCCCTCGCTGGATGAACACAATGACTCACCTTGCTAAAGACGAGGTGCTTCACCGAATGGCCGTCCTCTCAGAGATGGGAGTCTTTCCCACATCCATGACCAAAGCCGCTTCAATAATGAACCAGAAGTACAGCGGCGACATCAATATTTACCCTGAATTAATCTCATCGAACTTCCCTCGAATCCTAGAGAATCCAACCACCGAATTCATGCTGCAGGCTTGTCTGAGTGGAGAGCGTGCGACATGGCCCCGATTGAGCCGAATCAGGAATGCCTGTGCGATTGAACTGGCTCTCGATCGTGCCGTTCAGCAAATGCGAGCCCGGGTTGCCTTTAGCCCTGGCCAACTCGAACTGCGCATGCCCGGCTTCATTCACCATTCGACGGAGTCTATAGAAAGCGGCATGGGACGAGGGCGTATCCGGAACCGCCGACGCGGCTCTCACAGTCATGAGCTGGAAAGAAGACGCCTGTCGCGCAGCAACACCGCCCAGGGACTACGAAAAGCACGCAGTACCATCTCCCTCGAACATCCCTCCTTCACTACATCGAACGATCTTATCTCCGTGCCTACCCGACCCAAGGCCCACCGTCGCCGATCATCCATGACCTTTGGTACAGGTGTCTTCTCAATAGAATCGGACAGCGACGATTACGAGAATTGCGGTGTCCCTTACTCCAACAACTCTCGGCCGTCCCATCACCGAGGCTCGTGGGACGCCTCTGCATACGGAGAAGAGTTAAATCGTGGCTTGCACAGTCCCGTCCGATCTCGGCGATCCTCATTCTCGTCTGGGAGGCGGCAACGGTCTGGTTCAGGCCATCGAGGCTCGCCAAAACAGGTTCATGCTGTTTCGGCGCGAGAGATCTCCATGGCTTTGTCGCCTTCGTCTCGTCATCTGCTCAGTATGACGCCGACGGTGCATCCGACCTCTCCTGACTCTTTGACACGCAAAGCGCGTTCGTGACCGCTCTTGGACGGAATGCAGACTCCCGCGAGACAACATCCCTCACTATCACAATACCCATTTGCTACATTCTTGATACCTTTCACTTCCCCTCCACCTCACCCTTCTCCGTACATTCTTCTACCCGTTACACTGGCTTTGAGATTGGTGCTCGATATCCATTATCTTTCGGGGTCTCCTTTTGTCTAGACCGGCTTGGCGCCGTACCTTTCGGGAAACACTTTTTTAACCTTTTTTGGCCTTGACTTGGGGGAAATAGAGCTTGCTTTCTGGGCCCTTGCTGTCACCACTTTATGACAGGTATGTGGCGGTTCCATGTGTACACCGCTGAGATGTGGCTGCGTGGACTTTCACACATATTTCTTATGCATTATATAAATTACAGTGACGGCGAAGACATAGTCGTGCTAGCAAACAGAATACCTGTTCATAGAACTTTGGCTTACAAGTTGTGCGCTTTGTAGATTTCCTCTCGACTTTGATCTCTACGGAGCAAGGCTGGCTGGCTTTGATCAGTACTCTGATTTCAGTTATGATTACGGAAAACGAGTGTCCGCCCTTGACATAAATACAGTATTTCATCTTGGAGGTAGACTCTTTTCCATGGATGCTCCCTTCAGAAGATGGATAGGCCGTCGATCCCTGAAATCATGACTCCACCGAGCAGGCTAACAGACACCTTGATGCAGTGTAGACTGCCAGGTCCCACCCGCACTAACCATAAACAACTGCAGGCTGACGACGACAAGGTGGACTCTCCTCAAGTTTACACAACTTCAGTCTCTTAGGAACCATGCAGCCGAAGAAGCAGGTCTGGGGGAGACTTGCCGCTTGTCCCTCATCTTGAAACACCGCCTGTTTCCGCCAGTGTTCCATGGGGTCTGGGCCGTGTTGTCTGAAATTCTACGAGAATTCCGCAAGATGATGATCATATTCGCAAGATTTGAAGGACACAGGGTCTATCGCGACATTGAAAGGGTGTGCATCGTGCTCAACGACTTCAAAATCGTGACCCTGAATTGTTGTTCTACACTCTGTGCAACAACTGTCCAAACCCCGAAACCAAATTCCAGCCGAGCTGGCCCACTTGCCGATCGATTGCTGGCCATTGGTTGCTGTTTATCAATCAGTAGGGATCGTCCATCGTTCCCTTTTCCGCAAGGGGCAAGTCAAACAAAGAGTCCACCTGGATCAGCTCCAGCCCACAATAAACGTCGCTCTGATACATGCCCCTGTATCAGCTACGCTTAATGTCCGCCATGTGGCGAATGGATAAAGCCAGATGATGAAAGCCATCATGGCCATTATATGGCAGGGGTCTTGCAGAATGTTCCGGGCCTTTCCTCAAACCTTATGCCAACGAGATACAGTGAATTGAGCCAAGAACAACATCATCCATATCCCAACATTAAGCTTCCCGGCCATGTTCCGAACTTCGTCATTGCCTCCGGTTGCTTTATCAAAGCCGTTGATTTACTTCGCAGCGACCGTCATTGAGAATCCTGATATGATCAGACCACTACGGCGCTGATATACATGGAACAGGATCGTCGCACTATTGTCTGGGTCATATGGATACGCTACCCGTTCAAAGAGTCCAAGCGAATGTTGATACTTACCCCGTTGTGTCCCTGCAGAGCCAATTTTTTCTCAACGTCCCCAGTTTCGCCATGATCTGACCAGTAGATATCACCGTCTCACTCGTCAGGGGAAAAATGTCTCAGCCTTGGACGTGAATTGCCGAGATCCTGTCCCCGTACCTGACGGGCTCAAGGTCTTCAGGACCCATCCGAACCCTCAGGTTTAGCTGGGATCGACAGCCCCGTCTTTAAGCTTGTCCCGTGCGAAGAGCATGGCCCAACCTTGATAGCACCGAATTCTTGAAATCATTACCCGATCACGGAAGACATTAGATGAGATGGATCCAGCGGTCTGTAGCCAAGATGGCTGGTGCTCCTCGTGCTCCGAGCAGCTCTATAAAGATATCCTCAATCCGCTGTCTGTTTCGGTCTCCGGTCTTCTTTATTTGGACTATCACACCCTTCAGGTTCCCGATTTGTCCTCATCGATTGTGATCACCCTTTCAAATTCCGTCCATCCCTTTCAGAATCCCGCCACTTAATATACATATACCCTTCCTCCCCGACTATCCAACCATACACAATGAAGTTCACCAGTTTCGCTGCTATGGGCTTGATGGGCTGCGCCCTCGCCCTGCCCCATGGTCCTCCTGGTGGCTCATTCGATCAGCCCACGCCTTCCGGTCCTCCTCCCACCGGTCTCCCAACTCCTTCAGGTCCTCCCCCGCCACCCAGTGCCAGCGGCTTTGACAAGCATCAGTTTGGATCTTTCCCCGAGCCATCTGGCGGCTTCGGCTTCCCCAGCGGCCCTACTCCCTCGGGTCCCGCTCCTACAAGCACCCCCTCTGCCTTCCCAGAGCCATCTGGTAGCTTCGGAGGTTTCGAGCGTCGTCAGGATTTTGGAATCATCCCCAGTGGGGTGCCCTTCTCTATTCCATCGGGTTTCCGTACCAGCCTGCCCTCTGCCTTCCCCGGCTTTGGTGGAATTGGCAAGCGTCAATTTGCTGAGCATAGTGGCTCTGCTCACTCGGGTCCTGCCCCTTCTGTGACTCCTACTGGCGTCCCTCAGCCTAGCGGTGGCTTGCCCAGTGCTTCTGGGGTTCCGTTTGGCTTTCCGCCATCTGGAGAATCTTTCGGCAAGCGTGAGCTGCCTTTTTATCCCCGAGCCTAGCGGCCCTGCTCCATCTGGTCCAACTCCCTCGGGCCCACCTCCTTCTGGCTCCGCTCCTTCAGGCCCTACCCCAACTCCCCGCGTTTAAAGGATAACCCCTCATGGCGCACCATCATCGGGGAGCCTGGAGTACCAGGTGCCCGACCGAGAACTGCTGGACGGCGGAAATAGATGAAAGAGAGTGCTACACAGTTCTGGCGCAAGGTAGAATCCCAAATCAGGTCCAGATGGGCGATTCGTCCAATCTGGGGTTGAATGTACGATTAACCGACCGGCGTGTTTAGAATGTTGGACTATTGCCGCATCCAGAGTTGGCATCCAGTGTGTACAGGCTCAATATTTCGAATCGCTTCCAGATTGCTCAACTAGAAGACGTACTTTCGCAATGACAATATACACTCGTTTTGACTTTTATTGGCAGAAGAGAATCTCCATTGTAACCTCGACTGTACATATATATTAGCGCTCTCTAGTCTTGCATGTCTTCCGCGGAGATACCCATTACGGACAAGGACATTGTACAAAAGACCAGGCGAGAACGTTCTCCAAGTTGTCGCGCGCTACCCTGCAGTAGTACTACTACATAACAGACTAATTATGCAGGCAAAAGCATGCAAAGTCAGTCCTCAACTGGAGATAAGTTCTAAAAATATCCCCATAATTAGCCTGCATTAAGTAGGGTTACAATGACCAGGATTGAGTAAATTGCCACTAATTGACTTCTATTTTGGGGGCGCTGACCTTCTTCAGCTGCAAGGTTTGCTAAATGTGTGCTAATTAGGGAACGCCCTGTGCTCTCGTCAGTCCGTTAGTCGGCCGATCTCTCCGCATTCCTGCAGCGTCCCGGCGCCAATGCACTCGTTCCATTGGCTTCATCCTCCACACCGGGGCTGCGTTGGTACTGCGCTTCCCGCAGCTCGTGCAGCTTGTGCAGCTCTCCCGATGCTTCACGTCATGCACGTCGGAAGGACTAAAAGATGCACGGTTTGGCGATCAAGCTTTATATCTGGGCGCCTCCCGCTGTTCATGAATCCCGGACTGGTCCTGCAACGGGCTGGGAATCTGCCACTGTTCGCTCCTGGCTGGTATCAGGAGAGGAATCTGAACACTCGTGCTGGGATTGAGCAGTCATTGCTCTTTCGACACTTTCGTGCCTTGTTTTTATCCTTGAACTACAGCTGAGCTGTACTGGAGTCGCCCCGGCTATTGGCTGCTGACCCCTCCACCCACCCTTCAGGCCCTTGTTCGCCTCGAGTCTGGCCTCGTCCAATCCGAGTTGAGCCTTCTCGTTTGTGTTGGTTGGTCTTGTGCCTCTATGCAAGCCATAGGCAGATCCCCTGACGAGAAAGAAACCCAGGATCTATCTGCTACGACTCAGTCTTGGTGATTCTCGGAAGTACCGGTATCAGTCTGCGTCAGCTCAGCCGGGGGTTGTCCCGCATTATTTGAAGAGACACATTCGCATCTCCTCTCTTTCTGAATCGGTTGGGTCTCTCTTTCTTCGAGTCATACCCCGCTACACTCGAATGTCAGCTGCTGCCCCCACACACCACTGGGGATTCCACAATCAGCATGGCGGGGATTGTCAATAAGCCTCTGGCCATGTTCCGCCGCTCAGATTCCCCCAAACCCCTTCATACTAGATGGGGGGATGTGGCTATCTCGGTGCCCACAGATGGCTCATGGAACCAATATGAAAATCCACATCGACCACCTGCAGAGAGACAGCCCTACGGGCCTGGCTTCGTGCCAGATAGTCCTCCGTCAGATCGACTCCACGATAATCTAGGCAGCCATTCAACCAGAGAAAGCGTGCTTAGAAGTGGGGACCCCGATGAAGACAACAAAAGTACTTCAACGGGGAGAGCCTCCGTCGCATCTGTATCACGACGAAACTCGCTTTCTCTGGGAGGGCTGCGATCGACCAGACTCTCTGTTCGCCTGGCCTCTCGGCCAAAACACCTAAGAGGCGAATCATCATTGGAAAGAGCAAGCCATTATGCAGAGCACAAGAAGCCGGAGTTTGCCTACAAACCAATCCAGCAAGACTACACAGCCGAGATATCTGACAAAAGCGAGCGACCTACTCATCGCTATCGCTACATTCCTACCAACGGGCGATACTTGGAGGACATCCCGTCTCCTCGAAGCTCAAGGAGTCAATCAGCCACACCATTCCGTGGCTCACATACTCGGCGAGACTCATTCACCGAGTCTTTAGAAATGCAAGAACGAGAGCGCGGCCGCGAACAAGCAAGGCTCAGCTCGCGACAGAGCTATTACCCAGATGATGACCACCAGAGTGTCCGGTCCAGTATCGCCGGTAGCTCTGACAGCTCCGGCTCTGAGTCCAGACTGAGCTTTGGTATGCCACCGAGACGCCGAACATCCACGTTTGTCGCGGCTGATCGGAAGAGGTCATCATCTTTGAAGCCAATGACCTTGGCTATGGTCCCGGATCCTGAAGAACTTTACGAGTGATGGATATTTGATACGACAGATAATGATTTTTTTTTGTTGGTAGGGGGTCAGCCCTGGAGTCCTCAACGGCTGCCTATTCATTGCGCGGAGTTTACGATTGGCATTTAAGGCGTCCGGATGGCGTTTTCGGTATATCTTTACAACATACTATCTACTACAGACTGCACCAAATATTATCTCTTTCCCTGGAATGGAATTTACTTCTTGAACTGTAGATAAGATAAGAGATTAAACCTGACTCCGTCGGATACTCCCTTCCGCTGGAAGCCTGTCAGACGTGGTGGAATGCGAACACCTCATTCTTGGCGGTTGACGTCAGTCTGATTCACAGCCCCAGGTGCATGTCTGGACCCCCCAAGCTTGATCGTAAGGACTGCAGTGCTCAATAATCCGCCTTGCGAATGAGAAATTCAATTGGTGGGCTGTAACTCCATTGATGTGCTGATAGCTTTGTCAAACAAGGAGTCTTTTCTTGTTCCCACCGCCTCTGGGTCGGAAAGGTCCAACAGGACCTTGCTCACGATGACGGCATGGATGGGGTCTATTAAAGATGGATTTCTAAAATTTGTTCCCTTTCTTTGTATTCTACAACATAAATAATCTCAATTGAAAAATCTCTGTTGCTCTCATCAGCCGCTACTTATCTCATTCCATTCGCCGTCATTATAGATCGATTGCTTTGACATTTGCCATGGCCGACGCGGTAGTCCAGCTGAAGTGCGGTGTGAAGGTGTGTATACTCGAGTCGAAGATTGGATTTGATTTGATGCTCATTCTCTTTCTACAGAATGACGACTGGGGAAAGAAAGGAAAAAACTCAATTGTGGCTCAATTATGGTCCAAAACGCCGGGAAATCCTGGAATCGACGAGTCCAAGCACTACTCCGAGGTATATTTTCGCCGCCCCCAGCTCCAAGATATAATGAGAGAACTAACAGCCCGTTGTACAAGATGTGGATGGGTACGTATCCGTCGAATCCATCTTACCTCTTGTCTACGGGTGAACAACTGGGTGATTACATCAAGAAGAACCCGCAGTTCGTGGGCAAGTCAGTCCTGGATCGATTCGGACCTGAGATTCCATTTTTGCCCAAGGTAAGATCATACAATTGTAAACAGATTGTTCTCGGACTGAAAAAATCTATCTAGATCCTCTCGTTCTCCAAAGCACTCCCCCTCCAGATCCATCCAGACCTGAAACTCGCGGAAAGGTTGCACAAGGAAGACCCAAAGAAATACGGCGACAACAACCACAAGCCCGAAATCGCCGTCGCCCTCTCCAAGTTCGAGCTCTTCGCCGGCTGGAAACCACTGAAGGACATCCAAGCTCTCTTCAAACTCAAACCTCTAGAGCAATTCGTGCCTAATTCACGCACCACCTTTGACGATGAAACCCTACGAAAAGTATGCATGTCTCTACTCAGTGCTCCTCCAACCGAAGTATCCACGACAATCAAAGAGCTACAAAGCCTCCCAGAGTCGCAATTCGGTTCTGAGCCATACATCCCTGGACTCCTGGACCGACTTAGCAAGCAATACACCGACACAGACAATGGCAACCTCGTCGCCGCACTGTTAATGAACTATCTCACCCTCGGCCCAGGAGACTCCGTCTTCGTCCCCGCAGATGGTATCCACGCCTACCTGGAAGGCGACATAGTCGAATGCATGGCCCGCTCCGACAACGTCATAAACACCGGCTTCTGTCCCGTCGCACAGCGCGACAGCGTCGAGCTATTCGGACAAGCGCTCACATTCGTTCCCCATGATGCCCAGGGGGCACTTTTACCCCGACGCAAGAGTGATAAAGGCGTGCAGGGTCGGACGGATGTGTATGCGCCGCCGATTAGTGAGTTTTCGGTGCTTGTTACGACGCTGGGGGCGGGCGAGACGGAGACGCATAAGGCAATTTTGGGTCCAAGTTTGTTGATTGTTACTAAGGGGTGTGGGGAGATGAAGGTTCCGGGGGATAGGACTGTGGAGGTGAAGGAGGGGTTTGTTTTCTTTGTTGGGCAGGGAGTTGCGCTGGATTTTGGGACGGAGAAGGGATTGGCTGTTTACCGCGCGTATGCGGAGTAGAGGATGGGTGGATGGGCTGGGGGGTTTGAATTTAACTGTATGACTGGGGTTATGGAGGGAAAATGCGCTGATGAGTGCGTGGCTTTGGTGTGCCAGGGAGTGAGTGCCGTCTTGGCTTGGTTCTTGTTTTGTTTGTGGCTTGTTGGAGTGGCATAGATGGTATCAGACAGTGGGAATATGAAGTGCTTCGAATCTGTATGCGAGAATCGCTCTCTATTCTTCTGATGTATGAAAACAGGAATTACTACCTAGTGGATGCTGCAGTATGCCATGTCATACAATTATCCTTCCATATACTTTGTCTATACTACTTCATAGTCCCTTTCCAATCAGAGTCAAGTATAGAGACAAGCCAAACATTGTTGATTGCCGATCTCTCCTGCAATTTAGATTGAAAGGGAGTAGCTAGTATGCTCGTCAAAGCATGGACACCCAAGAGTTAGTAACTAAGTCTTGTGTTGGTGTTGGTGTTGGTTTCTACAAATTCCATGATTTGCCCGTTCCTCAAAGGCGCTTACAGCCAACCACTCAGAGCGCCTTCGGAGTGTTGGTTCTACGAGGTGCATGGATGTGATTTGACCCGCTGCAGTTTGGGCGCTTTTTGCTTTTTCCCTTCTTCAATCCTCTGAGGACTTGAGGAGGTCTGGGCCGAGGACTAGTCAAATTAGCGTAATGCAGGCAAACTGCGAAGCGATGAGCTGGCACCCCATTAGGACGAATTGTGGGCTAATTATGGTGCATTATGGGCCCTTTTGAGGCTTTCACGATACTATCTATAGTCTGTTAATCAGATTGAATTGATACTATCTTTACCTCAAATTCCCGGCTAACTTGGCTAACTTTGCTATCTTTGCCCCGTTTTGGGCGGGGTTAGTGGACTCGTCTCAAAATATCTCACCTGAAACAGGGTCCCTGTGTCAGGATCAAAGCTTCGCGCTTGATGGGTAGGCGGCTCTACCGAGAGAGCCTTGTAGGCTTACAAGGCTTATAAGGCTTAGAGGTGCACTTCAATCTGATATTCTGCCTTTCGTCTCTGTGTGAAGGGTTTTTGGGGTTCAACCTTCTTGGTCGACTATATTGGGGCCCAACGCCAGTTCTGGTGGGCATGGGGATTCGATTTCGTATTAATTTGTTGCGCCCTCTGGATTGACTTGATTCCCCAATATCCACCAAATCGACTGACCCCTGGTAGTTGATTGTGACTGCCATCTGCATTGAACTGGTCACTAGCTTCATTTTTGGCGGATTTTATTGTTTATTGTTTTTCTGTCGCTTCTCGCCAACGGACCAGGATATGAGAGAAGTTCCGACTCTCATCACACGATCTGCCGACCAACGCCTCCTCTAGAAAGACTCTAATTGGCGTGGTGGCTCCAAGCATCTCAAATCCTTGCCAGTAGGTTCGCTTGCGGAGTATCTAGCGGCCAGGGGTGCATCGGTGCATCGGGGCAGTCAAGGTACAAGAGTGAATCACGCACGCTAACCCATCGCAACCCCACAGTGACGGGCGGTCTTTTACACCTCTTCTCTCGCAAAGAGAGAGCGAAGCGAAAGCAACAGTCCCAGCAAGCCGAGCAACTAGCGCAATTACAAGTGCCTCCGGCGTACAAATCCGACTTTTATGAACCGCTGAATGGGCCCCGCTCTGCGTATCCCCGGCCACTATCCTCCTTTGCTCCGGACTACAGTCGCCAGGCCCACTCGGGCCAGCATAATAATGCCTATGGGCATGGGGGTCACTACTATCCCCACCAGCAGTCTGGCAGCCATACCAATCACCATGGACAATATAGCCAACAACAAAAATCATACCAGTATGGCAATCAGATCCCGCAGCCGCAGCAACAGCAGCGCCCAAGAGCATCCTTTGATGTGCCTCGATACCCGGCCCTACCAACCTACGACCCATCCAAGTACCAACCCATCCGACCATCCCTGACACCAACAGCCGATCGATTTGCCTTCCACTGGCCTAATGCCAGGGGCCAGACATCCCGTCTGAGCGAGGTACACTATAATGATGCGCGGCCCTCGTCGATCTACTACCAGCCGCCCGCAGCAGCCCCGGACTTAACCTCCGCACCACCAATGCCCCAGCGGAGATTGGCCGCGCACGCTCGAACTCAGTCTATCATGCCTTTTACTTCCGGCGACTCGGCCGACCAGCGCGTGTCCAGATCGGGGGATGGGAGGGAGCGGAGTATCTCTGAACCAATGCCTGCGGGTGATGGGCAGGGGAGTAGTCGCGGGCCACGACGGCCTAAACCGGTGCTTTCACGGCTTATTACCAACTTTAGCGGCTAAAGGGGATGGGGGGGAATGGGAAGGGGGAAAAAGAGAAAAAGATGGTTGGAATAATTGTGGTGATCAATTTTTTTCTTTTTCCTTTTCCCTTCTTCTCTGGATTTTCGGTTATCTATTTTTTTTTCTTATTGATCCTTGAAAGGATGAGGATCGAGCTTGGCAACAGCTTTCGAGTTCCTTTTATGAATGTGATGAACAGCGCGGCGCATGGTGTTATCTTGGATATTGGATTAATTAACTAGTTGATTAGGACTTTTGAATCACGTTCGCCTGACTGGACAGGAAAATTAAGAATGAATTTGAAATATTCCGAAGGATTCTCTTATAGACGCAGAATAGAGTCAACGCGATGTAACTCGTATGTACCTGCTAAACTTTAGTTATAGTTTTTCCCCCTCGATCTCCGAACGATTTCCGCGCTTGTTCAGTGAGACAGAGCTTCGGATGAGAAGTCACAACGGTTTGGACTGTCTAAGTTACGGGAATCTTTTCATGACAAATCACCGACTCCATCGTAGCGGAGTGACTTGAAGCCATTGAAGCCAACGGAAGTGATAGCGAGGGCGCCTGTGAACTGGCCTGTGCCCTCCCCCGCGCCGTCGATCTTGCGCGGCCAACACTTCTCTCCATTTTCCAACACCTCCTCCAGTCCCACTGATCGAAGCAATTACGGCCCCAATGATTCTCATTATTCAGCGGCCGGTGGATTTGGTGGCTGCGCTACTCACAGACTCGCAGAATGCCTCGCCCCGCTTTTCTCTTCTGATGTGATCCCCACCTCTTCTCCTTCTGTTTCTGCTACAGTACATACTAGAGTACTCACTGGATGTACACTTCCTGGCTGGCGCCTACAGATAAGCTCGGGGCATGATGTACTCCCGCCACGAGGGTCAACGGGACGATCAACCTTGTTGTCTTCGGAACCAAGGTCCATGATCAAATCAACCCACATTTCAGTCCACCCCCAAGGCTCTCTGACGGTCTGATCCCCCCTTCAAGGCGTAAAACCCCATCATCAGGGTTCTACTCGAATCTTCTCCCATACTGGCATTACTCGTTGTCCTCGCTGCATACGCGGTATCCTCAACTCCATCAGGATCTCCACTCGCGGATGCAGGGATCGGAATGCGTCATAGTGAAACAGCGTACCCTTTTTGTCAACTTTGACGATGGGGCCCTCGTCCACCCCCTCTTTTCATGATCCCTGCCTGCTGCTTCCTAGTGGATTTTTTCCTGGATGCGCCTACCAGAGACGAGAGCCTCCATGCGGACAGAAAACGAAAAAAAGTGACATTGGGAGGGTCAGGCGGGGACAGAGGAGCCTCCCTAGTTGACGAGTTGACAGGGCTCCATCAGATTGTGGTTGCACCAACAGGGGAGGGTTACAGGGCCAATAACGGCCAATAACGGCCAATCCTTTTTCTTTTTCTTGATAGATCCACAGGATTATCCGTAAGTAGTCTGTCTATCCTCTGCCCGAGTTCCCCATTCAGGTCTTTCCCGCCCCGGTTGTACACAGGCGCAGATCCCAGAACAAGCGCCATGCCAAGACGACGGCGGACGATGGTGCATCGATATTATGTGCAACCTATGCCTGACTCGCCATCATCTCGGTCATGTCAACTGCAAGTCCTGCGCCGCAAAAGCTGCAACTGACTTCCCTCCACGCCCCCATGCTCACACGAACCGGGAGAACCAGACCAGGGTGTGTGTGTGCTAAGAGGGGGGTTATGCTGCATGTACCACCCGTACCTTTTGGCCCCCGTAAGTTTTTCTTTCTTTTCCCATTTCCCTCGTCTTTTTCACCTTGAGTTATTGTAGTTGAAAATTTACCCCTCTTAGTTCTTGCAAGGGCGTAGCCAACACCTGCACTCCTCGGAGAATCCCACTCCAATCCAACCTGGCCGCTCGCTGGGCTTTCTCATCCTGTCAAAAGGTTTCGCGCTTGCAAATCGATACTTTGTCCCTGCTTGCTTGCTGCTTGCTGCTTGCTATTTGCTGAAGCGCTGTTGACTGTGCTGGACTCGCATCGTCTTCAACCCAAGTGGCGTCCCCCGGGGCCACCGCCAGAGGGGTTGACCCATAGTGTCGGGCCCCCAACTCGAGTCGGCCTCATCGTTTGCGGTTTGGTTTTTTTTTCCAATTTCCAACTTCACCTGTGAAGCCCTTCCAGAAGATCTTTTCCCTTTCTTGATGAATGTACAGACATGCAGTGGGGGCATAGTCTCTCTTCACGGTCTTGGACTTTATTGATATAACGACAACTCATGCGTGCGCGACCTCGTTGAGTCCCGTTCTGTTTGTATATCTTCCTTCCTCTTGGCACTGATTTGGGTCTGCCACATTTGAGCCGCGACTGTTGAGGATCTTCGGGAGTTGGATTAACCTTGAGATGAGCACCGGATTAGGGAGTGACCATTCCTCCCAGTGAACCATCATACTTCGACTCGAAGATCAGAACGGAGTCGCCAAAAAGCCGCTTGTGCTTTTGGGCTTCTTTCGATGATCAACCCATTCAGGGCCATGGTGAACATTATGAAGAAATTTAGGAGGAAGCGCAGGCTTTCATCTGAGCTGGATACCCGTTGGGGCGATCCGTCCATCAGCTATCCAAATGAAGGATCCTGGAATCAGTGGGATCAACCATCTGGCTTCGTTGCGAATGCTACGATGGGATCACCTCGCAATATACAGACACAAGAGACACGGCAGGTTGTGCCCTTGGAGTCAACTCCATCCCAAAATCCGGGCGCATCGAGTGACTCGGGCTATCAAAGCTTCAATACACGAGAGGACCATGCTCAATCAGCCTCCACTATTCCCAAAGGATACTTCAACGAAAATATACGGCACCGGGCTGACAAAATACAAAGAGCTCCAGTCAAAGGGCTCGGCATCGATGGAACTGCCCACGAAATGGGCAGCACAAATGGACACACACCTCCGGATGACTCATGCGATGAAGACGACGACGACGACGACGACGACGACGACGAAGAACGAGATACCTTGGGAGACCCAAGTGGAGGACTGATCTTCCGCAACCCGCTGACGGGAGACCCGCTACGGTATTCCCCACGAGAGGACCAAGACCCTTATTTTGACCGCGCCTCCAAATCACCCCCGCTGTCCGTCACCCAACGTATGCGCCGCTTCAGTGGACAAAGTTCCTCGACCGAGCCATCTTCTTCTATCGCGGGGACAGCTAGCTCTCGACGGACCAGCTATACTGCTGCTTCGTCAGTATCGGCACCATCTCTTCCACCTGATACGCCGCGATTTGCATTTACCATTAGCCATCCTGCACACGAAAAACGATCTGCTCCCCGTCCGAGGCATCGGGAGCCCGAGCCGCAGGCTCGGCAGGAGATGGTCCCGTCCTATGATGAACTCTACGGGTGATGAACCATGGATGACCTTTTTTCTTTTGTGCACGTTATTTTCTTGTTTCATTGGCGACCTAGAGATTGTTTTTCTTGTACTTGGGCGGTCCGCTTTGAATTTCGTAGTTTGAGTTTGGTCTTGTTATCTGGACACCGAGTGTCAATGTCTTCTTTTTGGACAGCACTATATCTCCCCCCAATCATCTGGTGTTAATTCCCTGCATTCAGTGCCTGTTATTAAACTCAATACTTTTTTATCTCATAGCTGTTGGCTATTCAATTTATTCAGGCAGACAGGCCAGAAACCAACGTTCCGTGGTAAGGTCGGTGTTGGCGCCGCTTGGTGTTCTCCACTTTTGCTCTTGTTGACTCGCCAGTCTCCACTCTGCGAACTATACGCAATGTAGCACTTTGTAGTACTTTGTACTGCACCAGCCAACTTGCCTCGAGATCTACGGGGTTTGGTACTTTAACCTACCTTCCTCATTCCAAATCAATATCACCACAAAGAACACCACCGTAACCCACTATCCGCCTCAAAAACAGTCTAGCAGGGACTAATGCCACTGGGCAAAACCTGCGGGACTAACAGGGCTAACAAGCTAACAGCGAACACCCGCCCGGTCCGTGCAGATTTATGCACACCGAGTCACAATCACAACCGCCTATCACCAATCACCCTCCAACTCCCATCACACTCGTCACGTCTCGGGGAGATCCACCTGCAAGCCAGGATGTGCGATCCTGCACCCTCCACCAACCATTACCTTATGGCTAGTGGCTCATCAACCAGCCTCTCGCCGAGGAGCTGTAAGCGCCCACCCCTATCACCCTGGCAGGTCGCTGCTTGATTCGACAGGGACTTTTCACATTTCTCCCCCCTCTCCCCTCCCCAAAGTAGCTAAAGCGCTGAAGGTGCCATTCGTCTCCTCATCTGCATATTTTCCTCGCGCTACTCACAGCGCCCGTACTTTCTTCCTTGACGGTAACCCTCTCCACCTCGAGCATCCCACCCGGTGACGGCCGCTGGGGAGAGAGAGCGAGAGCTGCTGGACACTGAAAAAAGAAGCTTTGCCCTCACGAACTGCTCTTGCCTCCTGCGTTGTTCCTGTCCGATCCTGCATTGAACCTCGTTTCTTGTTCCCATGAGAGCTTGATCGCCATCTCCCGGCGCTAGGCCTCAATCCTTCATCTGCCCCTCACCATTTCCATCCTGGTCTTGTCTGTCGCAGATAGAAGCAAACGTTGTCGAGTGTACATTGCGCCCACGTCTCATCCATAATGACTGGGTCGTGGGGCTATAATCTGCGATCGCCTGGAAAGCTGGCGATTGCGCTGCTTACGGCCCTCATCAGCAATCCTGTACCGGGTGCCCTTGGATTGAAGACGACGGGAGGATCGCCATGTGCGAGTATCTGCAATAAAGTATCCACCAACACAACTGCGTCGGAAATTGTCTGTCTAGACAATCACTATGACGAGACCAAGGGAAAGACCTTTGAGGACTGCGTCACCTGCCAGTTGAAAAGCACGTATGTAGATCGGCTGAGCGGCGAGACGGATGTAAACTGGGGTCTCTGTGAGTCAATCGCAATGAGCCCGCGATGTTTGTGCAGATGGCTAATGAAGCGCGATCAAAGATAACCTGCGATACGCATTTACAACGTGTGTATTCGGATTTCCGGCGTCCGCAGCGAATATCTCCACTCCATGCACTGTTGGCTGCGGCAGCATTGAAAGCGCCGTGGAAGTCGATCTCACCACTCCCAGCGCGAACAACTTCAATGACTGGTGCTCGGCAACTGGCTTTGCCGACAATGTCATCAATGATTGCGAGTTCTGCTATAACCTGACCTACCGGCAAGTCAATCCGCAGGTGTACATGGCGAACTGTAAGTATGCCGCTTTTGTCCCATTAGCAGAGCAACAAAAACTGACCACCTCGAATGACCAGTCCTCGAATCCATCCGGTATAATTGCCATTACAAAGCCACTATAGGCTTTCCCTTTGACATTGCCCCATCACGCATTTTCACCGAGACCCTCCTCCCCTCGAGCATGTCCCTCCCCACTCCCACCTCCACCGGGTCCGGCGTAAACCTAGGCGTTGTCATCGCCGTGCCGATCGTGGGCTTCATAATCATCCTCTGCAGCCTGGGCGTCTGCTGTTTCTTCTTCATCCGCTGGCGGCGCAAGAGCGTCGGTCGCGGTCGCTACCATGATCATCTGTACGCCCGCTGGAATGATACCTCAATCAGCACACCCCAACAGGTCCAGGGTGGCTGGGGCTCTCCTCAGCAAATGCACGCTGCTGGATATGGCACTTATGATCCCGGGTACGGCCCCGGCTTTGGGTTCACCGATAACCACGGTCAAACCCATCCGACCGGGTACGGGAATGATTATTCCAAGAATACGTACTCGTACGAACTGACGGAGACGTCTCCGTCAAACTACCATGCCACGCCACAAATGGGCGGGTATGGATTCGAGCCGGATCGCAAAGATCCATACTCGGATGAGATCACGCAGTCACCGCCGCCGCCTGCGCCGTATGTTTCACCGCATATGGGTCACGGCGACTTTGAGCCGGATAATAAACACCCTCTGTGATGGAGAGCTGTTTCTGTTTCCCGGATAGACGGTGAAAAGTAAAGTGTTCTGTGCGTCTTTGGTTAGCGAGTTTGTTCTAGAGCAGGCTTGTCGCACATGTTGAATTGTTGATACCATGCCACACCTAATGTTATGATTTTATGGGATGGCTCTGAACTGTTTGGGAAGTGTTGTACTTACCAATCACGTCTGACGGCGTTGGCGTTGTCTGGTTTGATCTCCTTGAGTGGACTACTGTTATATCCCCTCCACGTTGCGATACCATATTCTTCATTCCTTTTTGAATCGTTCAGCGAGAGAGAGTCGAATCGAATACTTGTCTTCAAGACCATCATCATCCCCTTTGCCATGGAGTAGTCGACAGTAATCAAGTAGAATGGAAAACCACAACGAAAACTAAACTACTCCCACCGCAATACTGGGCGGCAACACGAAACTATTTATCCCAACCTCCTCCCTCCCATTCCCCCTCATTTCTCACTCCCGAACATAAATCATGCCCCAGAGCCAAGAATAGATCATCTAGATAGACCAAATCTTAAAATAACCCACAATCCCCCCCGCCCAGATCGGCTATCTTTACTCGTGGGATAAGAGACTCCAGCATCGGGCAGGCTTGCGATTGGCTTGGCTGCCGGGTGTGCCCCGTTTCAGTAAGCACTGCCAAGGAAAGATCGGAGGGGTCTAAGGGTTCAGGGTGGTGATTTAACTCGTGGAGAATCGGAGATGAGAGGGTTATTTTTGGGGGCGGGATGGGTGTGGAGGTTTTGGGGGAGTTTATGAGGGTGGTAGTAGTGCTTGTTGGGGGTGTGGCTGTTTTGGTTGTTGAGGGAGGAGGGAGGGGGATTGTGTCTGTACATATTGGCTCATTTCATGGGGAGGGGTTCATCTTATGGGCGTGAAGAGGCGAGGAACTTTAGACTGGCATGTCTCTATTTCGCCGTGCAAAGGGGACGAGTTATTGATCTTGATAGGGATTGTAGGCTCCATCTAGACTGATGTGACTCTCGACCAGGGATAGATGCGTTTTCCATTCGAAGGTCTGCGTAGAAAGAATTTTTGCCATATTGATTGATAGTAGGTAAGCATACCTTTGCTGCTGAGTATACGCACCCTTCCTTGAAACGGAAAGAAGCCATAGAACAATCATGAACATGCCGCCTGCTTGGAGCGCTGAGGATACTCGAGGGAACTTCCATAATGATTGCGGAAGCTAGAGGCAATGTGAACTTGCTCTGAAGGACTATACCGTCGGGAAGACATTGATTAGTGTGTACGTCAAGGAGGTAACTTCCATCCCTAGAGTCAATCTATTCCCACCTACAAACTGGCTCCAGAGAGGAATCTACCAGATTGCAGCTATGAATGGCAATTCAGCGTTCCTCAACTTTCTTTATTCTTTCACTAGCTCTTCTCGCCGTTCTTAACATAAAGTCTTTTCTCTCGCCGCTATTCACAACTACCGCTTTCTATCAAGGCCTAGTTCATACTCTAACGGGTCCAGTCCCTTCGTGTCTCTGATGATCATTACATTCCCAAAGCTTACGCTCTTCTAGTCGTGGACACTAAACGACTCTTGGAAGTTGGATCATAGACATGTCTGCTCAACAGGTCATCGTTAGTGACACAGAACCCAAGGAGTAAGTCGTTCGGTATCACATCAAGATATAAGATCTCACATAGACGGGGTTTAGCTTCTCCGGGGGCCTGATAACGGTGCTTGTCGGGACTGGCCAAGAGCCGTTGACCGTGCATGAAAGGTTGATCCGCAACTCCTCTACCTTCTTTGAAAATGTCTTGACGAAGCCAAGCAAAGAATTATCAAGGCGGCGAGTGTCTTTGGGGAAGGAGGACCCCGATATCTTCAAAGCGTATATCCACTGGCTCTACCGTAATACCATTTCAGTCCCGGACCGGGAGTTGAGTGGTCATTTCGACGATGGATACCTTTTTCTTGTAAAGACCTATGTGCTCGGCAACAGATTACTGGACGTCAATTTTCAGAACGCGATTATTGATGCTATTTGGGAGAGATATATGAGCAGAGATCCAGAAGATGGAATGAGTTTTGGTCCTGGCGCCTCTCCGACGACATACGCATACAAAAATACCAGTGAGCGGTCACCACTACGTCGCCTACTTGTGGATATCTGTGTCCATGACCAATGCTGTGAATGGATCGACGACAAGACGGAAAGCTACACAAAAGCCTTCCTCCACGATGTCGCTACTGGTCTTGCGTACCAGAGGAATCATGGCCCTCCTGAAGACCTCACGTTGGCGAATTATTACGCCAACTGACAAAGGCAGAGCCACGGTGTCCAGAGCTGATGGGAGAAACTGGGACAGCTCGAGGATATGCCCACGAACCCGGTTAGACTTCAATACACTTGATAAATGGACGATGTGTTGCACAATGACCTTGAGTAATAGTTTATTTGTCTTGGAGGCTGGCCATGGATCCTGAGCTGGGTCAGTTCTTGTTATGTTGCTACGAAGAGGAGTTCGGCAGTCTTACATTTGAATGCAGTCTTTACTTATGAAGTCGGTCCGCAATTTTGAAGGCAAAATAGTTATGGGTTCCTAGTAAGTGTTTAACATTTGTGTATCAAATGAGAAGTATGATTGCCCTGGTTGAGGATTGATCAAGATCCTTTGTTTTACTATCGGCTCATGATGAAGAGGGTTTTCTTTAGGAAAGGGCTGAAAAGGTTGGAGCGGAAAATACCACCAGGTATTACCTTACGAAGATGAAGCTACCTGATATTTATTCTTGCATGAATACAACTGTTCTAATTCTTAGAGAAGAATTTTTATTTGTTTCAGGTATTTACTACAGTTATTTCTACCGAGACAACATACATTATGAATATGATATATGTGAACTCAGCGGAAAGTGATCTTAGAACGATCGCATTTTGATCTTTCCTTGTATGCCTTATGAAGCATACTAAAGTATATATTGGTTATTGAAGCAGTATAACCGGCGCAGCTTCATAGATATTCTAGGGAATTTTGAAGACCGTGCTTTCTAGAGATTTCTGACAGGCTTGAGTCATCGCCTGTGAGGTGGTGGGTTGACCCCGAAGGTGATAGAATATCTCTTCTTTCTTGGTCTTATAGTTCACTATACTTAATCCTTTAACTCTCTCTCCTATACACCCCAAGAAACATTATCCCACCGACCTTCGATCTTCCTACCTTCTGAGCCCATGCTAGAATACTTTTATCGCATTTCACGTCTTTCTTGTTTGTTCTTCACGCCTAACCCGAATATCCTTCCTTAAGACATTTCTGCAGGGGGTCCTGAGACCAGACATGAATTCCTGAAACGCAGGTGTATTTTTCAGTCTCGATAGCAAGAAAAAGGCGTCTCTCGTGATAAATAATGATTAGAGACTCCGGACGTCCTTAAGATTTCTCTTTTACACCTCTAAGTACTAGTGACGCCGCCAGTTGAACCACAGCACTAGCTGGTAGCTGGATGAATTTACATGGATACCCTCGTCAAACATCTTAATGCCTCACCATTTTTCCGTCGCTGTCTTCTCTCGCCACGTCTTCTGAATCTCTCTCGAACTCTCCTCGTCGGGCAAACACCAGTCTCATCCTTATGCTCACCTGCATTTCTCTCAACTCCGACAGCCCTTCAGACTTTCTCTTCCTTCGCCCTACCTTGCTGAGGTTTCCTCTCAACTAAGACGTATATCGTCTCAATATCTCCAGACACACTCCCTCCTGACACGACCGACCCACAAGCTATCAGGAACTCCCATAAGTCAGGATGTCATCGAATGCAAATCCGAATCAGATAGAGTAAGTGATTCTTCGAGTGCCTCTTTTCCCTGCTAACAAAACGACAGCTTGGTCGGCGGTACATTCGATATCCTGGTCGGACCTGAAAAAAGCTCTTCAGTGTCGATGAGGCCCTCCTCCGATCTTCTTCTTTCTTTTTCGAAATCGCATTAAGCGGACCTTGGACGGAGGCTACACAGCGGAAGTTCGAGTTTCCTACCGACAAACCTAAGACTTTCAAGAACTACGTCAACTGGCTCTACTATGGCGACCTTTATCTCCCTCCAGCTGACGGCATAGCCACATCGGATTACATGGATATCGCCAAGGCCTACATCCTTGGGACAAACTGCTGGACCGAGGTTATCGGAATGCAGCAGTTGATAGCTTGTTCAAGCGGACCTTTACAGCTGCATATGGGGAGGATGAGACTACCCTTCCAGACTCGGTGGATCTCGTGTCGTATATTTACGAAAATACCATGAAAGGAGCTTGGCTTCGGCTTGCGTTGATTGATATCTGGATTTGGTGGCAAGGCGGAGACTCATTTTGGCTCATGCAGTGTGACGCCCAAGATTTCCCCCACGATTTTCTCCATGAGCTATCCGTGATCCTCATGGAGAACATTGGCTCCGGCGAGGAACCAAACCCCGCTCACTACTTTGAGTTATCGTGGTCTATCTCCTTGTTCTCATTCTACTACTACAAAGGTTGAATTATCGGGACAGACTCAATACAAGATATCTCGTGGCTTCCATTAAGTGAATTAGATAGCTGTGTGCCTCTAAGGGCGCCAAGATATTGTGTTTACTTTCCATATATCTGAATCTTAGAACGTATAGGAGTAAAAGCCACGGTGAGAGCTGAGAGGCTTGCGGAATCTACCCTCAACATTTTGTGTGGCCTGCCTTCCTCTTTCAACATCCATCCAGCCCGAGCCTCTCTGCCTATTCTTCGATCTTCGTCCAACCTTCATCTCATTTTGCATCCTCCTCCAACACTATCCTTTCTCGCCTCGCCGCTCACGCCCGCTTCCATCTTCTCCAACCTACATCCCCAAAGCGCCAAGACTCAAACTCAGTCATTGAACAAGCGTCTCTCAACCCTCCAACTCTGCACTCAAATCCACCTTACTGTCTTTCGCCATGCCCGAAAAGGCTTCGGGAAGCGATGGGTCTCAGAGACCTCTTAAGAGAATTCGAGTCTCCATGGACGAAGCAAAGGAGTAAGTGCCTCGCCAAACATCTGAGCCGCCTTGTCATGCGCTAACTTCAGGGAAAGCCTATCCGGTGAAACGGTTGCGGTCGTCGTCGGGCCTCAGAAGGAGGTTTTTCACGTTCATGAAACCCTGCTTCGGCAATCCTGTCCATTCTTCGATAAGGCCATGGGCCCACAGTGGAAGGAATCTAAGGAGAGAAAGATCACTATGCCGGATGACGAGGCCGAGGTGATGAAGATATACGTGTACTGGCTGTACTGTGGCGCTCTCCTCATGTACCCTCCCAAATCACAGGAATCGGCCGAGCGCGAGGATCTGAGCTACGTGAAGGCGTGGATTCTCGGTGATAAGCTTCTGGACTTAGAATTCCAGAATGCAGTCATCGATGGCATCTTCGAGAGGTATCATACGGAGCCTCGGGATGGGAAGCGTTGGAATGTTTGGCCCGGCGCCGTTGACTACGCGTTTGACAAGACTTACAAAGGAGCACCACTTCGTCGCCTTTTCGTGGATATGTACTGTCTGTGGTCTAAAAAGGACATCCTTGCAAGCTGGGGGCGGGAGGAAGATATTCCTCATGCTTTCCTTGTTGAGGCTGTCCGAACGCTGGCCAAGCGACCTTTTTCATGCGCAAACCTCCTCCCTTGGAACTATTACATGTATGACTAGGAGGAAGAAGGAGAATGAGAAGTTGCGGTACTGCAGGGTCAATCAAGCCAGACACTTTCTCCGTTAATGACACCAAATAATTATGCATTTTTTTTTAATCTAGATTTAGTAAGACCGACTAACATAATTCTACGAACGATGCCTTGTTCCTATCTTGGACTTATGTATAGGTGACTTATGTATAGGTTAAGATTTCTCGCACGACACGCTATACTCCTAAAACACGCATCAGATTTCTGTCTCTCAAAAGATCTTTCTGAAGTTCTTTTGAACCATCGTTCTTGATAGCCTAGGTTTCTTCTTAGTCCATCGTTCAAGCTTGTCACTGGTAAGGTGCTTTCGAGCATCTGCCGGGGTTTCACAATTATTGATCCCACTGCAAGATTCTGGTATGTATTATGCGGAAGAAGTTGATTTACACTTTCTTGGTACATATCACCTGAAATGGGTATGACGGGCGTGTCGCGCAAAAAGCCTCGACTGATGTGTAGTGTGGGAGGGATGTGTAGTGTTGCTCCAAGCTTGGCTCGGCTCTTATCGCCCGCTTGAGCTCTCAGACTCCGAGATCCGCGCATTCATCCGTCTTCAACATCCCCTCGCGCCAGGACACCGACATGGCTCCCCTCACGTCAGAAGAGTATAAGGTACTCGAACAATCGCGACAACGCCTCGTTCAACTCACTCGCTCTCTGGGCTCTCTAGTAGCCAGTTTAGAACAGGGCGATCCCCTCCCGCCATGGTGCGCAGCTCCCCCCAAGCCCTGGTTTACTCTCAATGAACTCCAAGCAACAACTAACAGTCCAATTCAGGTCCTCACTCCAATCTCAAGCGAGTATCATCTCAAATAACCTCATCAGCGTCACCGATCACCTCTCCGATCACCGTGACCTTCTCTCCTCAATTGTCGCATACCCCGGTCCCGAGTACCCCGGCCGCACGCAAGAAAGCATGCTTCAGCAACTCCTGCGCACCAAGCTCGACCCTCGAGTGGAAGACTGGGTCGCGCGCGGCCGCACTGCCGGTACTGAATCTTCCCAGTCTTCACGCGGCTTTCCTGGCACGATACCGAATCCAAGTGGCCCCGCAACTACGAAACAGCTCAGCGAGTCAGAGCTATCCGAGCTTTGGAATTGGGCTCCCATCGAGGCAAACCAGGAAGCCTTGCAACGGAATTGGGGTGGCAATTACACGTTGGAAGAGCGCGAGGCGGGGATACAAAATGTTGTGACGGGGTTACGGAGACAACTGGAGGATGACGATGCTAGTGAGGATGAGGAAGAAGGTGACGAGGACGAAGGTGAAGATGAGATGGATGTTGTAGGTGTGCATCGCAAGTCCGGGGGTGGTCTTGAGTTTGAGATTGCGCCGCACCACCCTCATGCAGTCACGCCTGTTGTCCCGCTGGATAAGATTCTTCGCTACATGACGACAGGACACATGCCGTGACGGCAACACATTTCCAACATTGGCAAGGCGTTTATGGTGATTTACTGGAGTTCATGCTACTTAAGCGGAAGAGCATGGATGAACGTGTCGGGACACGGCTTCCACAAGCAAACTGCATGGATTCCAAAATGCATTATTAGGAGTTTTATAACGAATTTTCAAAAGAAAGAAGCATGGTCAATCCAAAGACACATATATCCTCTAACCCCGTCGTCGCGTGGTGGGAGTCTTAGAGCCTGGTCTGGGTGAGGCTCCGGAGCTTTCGGCAGAGACCGGCTTCTCCGCGATCTTTGCGCGGGGCGCCTTCTTCTTGGGCGCGGGGCTGTTCCAGTAGTACACCATCTGTGCGGCCAGGATCAAGTTGAGAGAAAAGCCGGCGATAAAGCCATAGAGAATGAGCTTGTCCTCGACTTCTTGGAGGGTGGTAAAGATGCGGGAGAGGGAACCGAAGAGGTAGTTGAAGACCTATAGACAGAAAGCAGGCGAGTTAGTTGGAGCCCTCGTAGTTGGGATGTAAGTTTTGAACATACCGCGAATGCACTAAGCTGGCCGGTGCCTCCCTCACTCCAGATCGCGTAGATTTGAGGCAATTTGCTAGTAACACCAAGAGCCCCAGCTCCGGTCTGCAGATAGGCCATGGTGTGTCCGTCAATGAGAGTCTGGTCGAAGAGCAGCGCATACACGGAAGCTGCGACGACAGCAACAAAGGCAGCAGCCGCGGCGGGCCGACCGGCAAATGTCAAGACAAGAATACCGATCGCGACATCCTGGATGGCGATGAGAGCGCTCTCGCCGAATGTGCTGAAGGGGAACTCGTTTCGCACACTGTAGGACAGAGTGATGAGCAGACTGGCGGTTTCGAGGGCGTAGGACACAAAGGAAACACCGGCGGACGAGCGCGAGTTGATGAGCTTCAGGATCTGCGGGACCTTGACAATAGCACTGGCACCGACAATAGCAATACCGAGGGCCTTGGAGATAGCCAGGGATGTGCAACTCGGATCTTCCACCAAGCTTAGGTCAAGGAGCAGAGCGGCGTGGCAAGGTGCCGTGATCAACGAGATGATCGCATCATGAACAGGCTGGGGGAGTGCCTCGACGATGGGCTTCAAAAGTGGCTGGAGCGGGTCCACAACGGTCTTCTGGAGGATATCCATGATGGTGTGTATGTTTGAGTATCGAGTAAGAAAGAAGGAGAAGCTGCGATGTGTTTAGTGTTGACATTCCACGAACTAAATTGCGGCACCTGGTCCGTGCACTCACCGGGGAAATTGTGCGACTTTCCACTTTTGTTCCTTTGCTTCCTCCTTCGAGACGACCTCCACTCGACGCGCCATGCTGCCACTAAGGTCTGCCATCTTGCGACCAGGGCCCTCTCAAGAGGTGCTCCTGTGCTCACGATGTCTGCTCCGGTCACGACCGCACCCGCTGTCCGCGACTCGGAGCTTCTGGTCGTCTTCGCATCGCCGAATGGGCATTGCGGCTAACCCGGCCACCTCCGCCTTCCATAAGACGTACTTCTCAGCCAATCGTCTTTATGATGCTACGGGATTGAAGGGAGGCTTCATCTCTTCCTTTGCATCTACGACATCCGACAATTCATCGTCTCCTCGCCCCTCAAATACCACAAAAGATACATCAGCCAATACAGCCGATCCGTCCGAACAAGGATCGTCTGGGTCAATTGGTGCAGACGCCCGCCAGAGTGAACTGCCACATCGACGGAGGAAGCGTCTCAAGGAACAAGCGTCACAGAATGGCTCAGCTGAGCAAGCCTTGCCGCTTGACGCTTCCGCGCAATTGTCCAATCTCTCGTCCTCTCTCCCCACGACCTCCATCCGCCGCAAACTAGCCGCTTTCCTTGCTCTTACGAAACCCCGACTCTCCTTCCTAATCGTCCTTACTACAACATCCGCCTATGGAATGTACCCAATCTCGTCGCTACTCGTCCTCGACCCGACCATGACCCCACTCCCAACCCTCTCGACCTCTACTCTCACCTTCATATACTTGACAGCGGGGACATTTCTATCATGCTGCAGTGCCAACACGATAAACATGATGCTTGAACCCAAGTACGATGCGCTGATGTCGCGCACGCGGAATCGCCCGCTGGTCCGGGGGCTCGTTTCACGCCGCGGGGCGGTGCTCTTTGCCATTGGCACTGCAGTGGCTGGTCTCGGGCTATTGTACGTTGGTACTAACCCCACGACAACGGCCCTTTCTGCGGCGAACATCATCCTCTATGGATTTGTCTATACCCCGTTGAAGCGAATCAGTGTCATCAACACTTGGGTTGGTGCTGTGGTGGGCGGTATTCCACCATTGATGGGATGGGTTGCGGCTGCAGGACAGACGGCAACGACTGGCCATGATACTTGGCGCGACATGCTTTTCAGCGAGGATAGCGTTGGTGGATGGTTGTTGGCTGGCATTCTCTTTGCCTGGCAGTTCCCCCATTTCAATGCTCTCTCGCATCTCATCCGCGACGAGTACAAGGCCGCGGGGTACAGGATGCTGTGCTGGGTGAATCCGGCCCAGAATTCCCGTGTTGCCCTGCGCTACTCCTTGCTGATGTTCCCCATCTCCATTGGCCTCTGGTGGGTCGGCGTAGTTGGACACGGCTTCTTAGTTGGAAGTACCGTCGCCAACGGCTGGCTTGTCCGTGAGGCCTATCGATTCTGGCAACACCAAGGTGCCCAAGGCTCCGCCCGTGGCCTTTTCTGGGCTAGTATTTGGCAACTTCCAATTCTTCTTGTCGGCGGTCTAGTCACCAAGAAGGGTCTTTGGGATGGCGTCTGGCGCAACATCTTCGGACAGCCAGAGGAAGATGAAGATGAATACCTATATTATGAAGACGAAGAGGAAGCTGAGGATGATTCTGATCTTGTTCAGGGAGAGAAGACATCTCATCCATCAAAACGGGCTAGTGTGTTGTCAACCGCATAAGGCTTTTGTGGTTGTTAAGAGAAGGGTTTAGATGGTCCGGCGCCTTGGTCTCTACTCTTACTCATTTTCTCCCGTCTCTTTTCTCTTCTTCTGGTCTTGTTTTATAAAGCGGTTAGAGTGGCGTTTTCTGCTTACGTTTCTTACTATCGTGTATAACATTGTCCATACGAGGCCTTCGATGGTTTATCTCACCAGAAATCTTTATATTCACGTGCCATATTTTGAGCCGTGCAAAGACAATACCTGTTTGTATATGTTTACTCTCCTTTCATGTCCCTCCCTATTGCTTGAATGCGTACATTGTCAATGGGTTGCGGCAGGTCGGTCACTTCTCAGAACCAGATTCCTCGCTCGATTCGCACCCCGAGGCAAGGCTCCTGCGTCTACTAACAGTCTGGCCGTGGTCTTGTTGCCTCTAGCCTCCGCATACTCCAGAGCTGTACGACCCTTCTTATCCATCGCCTTTATGTCAGCACTGGCATCGAGGAGTCTCTTCACAGTCGTCGTTTCGCCAGCCGCAGCGGCATAATGCAGTGCTGTGAGCCCACTAGGACTCCTCATCTCAATATCAGCCCATCCTCGCATTAGCATCAACGATACGATCTTCACACATCCCCATCTTGCCGCAGTCAAGAAGATATGAACATGGTGCTCCTTCTCACTCTGCGCTTCAATATCAGCCCCCAGCTCGACAAGGGTTGCAAACGCCCCGGCCGAGTCGGTGTCCAGCGCGGAATTGAGATAAGTATGCCCGTCATCCGCGACGCCGTTGGGATCCATTCCCCAGCGGACCAGCTCACGAATTGTGTCTACTCGATCTGCCTCAATGGCACAGTCTAGCGCATCGCCGTACCAATTACGCAGACGTGGGTTAGCGCCATGGGCCAGTAGACTTCGAGTTGTTAGAGTGTGTCCGTCGGCAGCGGCCATAAGCACTGGTGTGGCACCCATCTCCGTCAACTCGTTAACGCTGAAAGCGCCACTGTCTAGCAGCTGATTCACAGCCCGATCAAGCCCTTCGCGCGACGCATGATGGAGCGCTGTGTAGCTCCAGCACTCGCTCGCGATCCAGTAATCTCTCCTCAGGCCCAGCGAGTATTGTCGCACTTGATTCGTCACGGCCGTGGCGACAGAGGAGGAGAAGAATGTGAATAACGCAGACCACACCTCTGGGTCGGTTTCTGTCTGCTGGGTAAAATGTCCCCAGTGCCTTGCGGCCCAGGCAAGGAAGGGATACATCTCCATCTTTGACTTGATTTCACTTCTGTCTGTCCACGGTCCGTCCTGGAAATTCTCAAACACAAAGTAGCGAAGACAAGTCACAGCGATTGTCGCTTCCGCCCGTGGAAAGAGATCTTCCGAATGCTCTGTCAAGTACTCCTGAATGGCATAGTGTGCAAGACGTACACGACCTTCCGTGTCGACAGTCGCGAGACCCTGGCAGCATTCGAGGATAGTCTTTGTAGTTGGCCGATACTTCACGTTGACTGCGTTCTGCTTCTCGTGAATGGCCAATGCATCACTGAGTTCCGATTCTGTCATTGCTTCCGTTGTAAGGGTCAACCATCTCAGCGCGTCCAGTCCGAGTCTGCTTCGGCTTTCGGGCAGTCGTTGAATGCGAGCGATGGTATCTGCGAATGCATCGTCGAGACTATGTGAAAGATCTGCGAGTCTGTCCTCCATTTGGCCCGGCGTTGGCTCCTTGAGTATTGTGCGGAGTCGCAAAACTGGGAGAAGAAACCTGATTTGCGTTGTATATTGGTTAGAGTCGTACGGCTCTCCAACATGGCCATAGAAATGGGAGATTCGAAAAGGAAAATAAAAAGACATACATTCCCTCTGCCCCTTTGGTCAGTTCCCGGACCAATCTGTTCATAAAGCTTTGATCCGCGATATCGTATTTCCCACCTTGCTCGAGCTCCCGGTAAATATAGGTCTTGAGATCTTCTTCGTGGGCCTCGATCATAAAATTTGGATGCTGCTGGAATAGATCTTTCAGGTCCGGTATATGCGGTCGACTGGTGACCAATAAACGGACATGATGACTTCGAGCCACATTCAGGATGCTCTGAAGAAAAGGTCTTCGTTGGCCTGATTCATCAAGTCCATCAAAGACAAGATATACACATTTTAAGCTTGAAGCAACGTCTGTGAGTAGCCGCTCGCACTCGTTTGGTGGTATTGGCCCTTTGTCGCTGTTCTTTTCGTACAGTTCAGCGACTGGATTGGGGATTGTCGATATCTGCTCGAGAAGCTGTCTGAGAATACTACTTAGGACGGCAGGTGTACTTTGAGAAGATTGGTCCTGGTGATCAAAGTAGAAGTATGCGACGGGCGAGACCTCGCTGGAGGCTGTGTTGAGAAGTTCGTCGATAATTATCGAGCTGGAAGATCAGTCGGAGTCCCATGAACAAGGATGGAGAGTTCTTACGCAAGGTTAGTCTTGCCTGAGCCTTGAATGCCATGACAAACGAGAACATTTGACGATGATGTTTCGTCTTGCCATTGAATAAATTCCTCCCTTTGGAGGATCCAGGTGCCAGTATTCTGTGCCCTCGACGCTTGAATGAGCCTGTGTTTCTGATAGTGCTTCGAGGTAGATATCCAGTCCAAGATATTCTTCCTAGTTTCTCGCTCAATATTGTTCTGAATAACACGCTTCTGGTCAGTAACAACATCGAGGATTTTCCGCGTGTCTGCTTCAAGTGCCTGAACAGTCTTGAATTGTTCCAACTGCTCCGCCATCAACTTCAAAACGTCGTCGGACGTCCGCGATAGCAGCCGACAGCCATCAACCGACAAGGCAAATTGCATCCAACTAGAGAAATTGCGTAGCTCTTGAATGGTCTTCTGGTAATCCTTTTCGGTGAAAGGCCACAGCAGCCGACTTCTTTTTCCCTTTCCCTCTTGGCTCAGCTTCTGACATAGTGACCTCAGTTTTGCCGAGCAGGCCTCGGAGCAGGTCTGGAGGACCGAACTCTTATCGAATCGCACAGCATTATCGCTCAGTGCATCGCCTTTCAATAGCTCGTGTAGATTGGCCACGTTGGCTTGTAGCACCTCGAGTTCGTTGATCAAAGTCGCGATTGACTTCCTTGCTGAGCGTACATTGTCAATGTACTCCTTGGAAGTGGTGATTGCAGTGGCGATGAGAGGCAGGATTCCTGCGATGCCGAGGGATAAGGAGAGGGGGTCCATTTGTCCTGGATGGGTGGGTTTGCACAAGATAAAACTCGTCGTGAGGCTGACAGATTGAGATGCCCCGCGTTGACTAGCGCCCAATGTGTATACTAGCACAGCCACATCCATTTTCAGGTGCACCATCGAGGGAGAGGGTTATGTTTTCCCAGCCCAGGTAAAGGGCGGTGGTATATATCAGTATGGCCATGTATGGTTCGAAAATCAGGAGTAGGGGAAATATTAAGGAAATAGGGGACGAGGGACTGGGACGAGATGAAAGGGAAGCAAAGGTTATCACCAATGTCCAGGTCAAACAATCAACTTCCCCCTCCCCCTTTGATGGCCTAGTTGGTATCCACCATAAATTGGTGAACCATTGGTGTGCCCTGGAGGATTGGGCAAACAAAAAAAGAAGACAAAAGTACTGGGCCAGTGTTGACGCTTCGAGCTCCACGGAGGGCCGGGCACACCCCTAGGCGGGGGGAGTTCATTGTTTTTGCAACTTTTTGGGTAATTTCATTTATTAATAGAAAGGTTCAAATTAAACTATTCCATTACCTTAATCTTTTTTTCTCTTGATAGTCTTTTTGACAGTATTGGAACGGTTTAAGGGCTGTATTAGGGTACACTAGGAACTGGAGATGTTCTTCGCTGTCCGGGGATGACGATGTAGGAATAGGGCGAAGTATATAGGGGAAGCGAAGGTTGACGGTTCGATTCATGGCAGATGCAGTCTTGTTCCTTTTAAATTCTGCGATATTTTGCATGTGGCCAGTTGGATGTGACTCTGTGCTATCGATGAAGCAAACATTTCAGCCAAGCCTGTTGACGGCATTGCATATCTCGGCTATTTGGATTTGGTTCTTCTCGCTGTTCTCACGGGCATTGCTATTAATGGCACGCATATATCTTGAGCTGCCAGGTCCTTCGTCAACCTGTGCTTTCTTGGTCAATACGGTTATTACAGTTGCCCTTTCCTCCAGGTAAATGACTTCATGAGCATATCAAAATCTGAGGTAATCCAATGCATTTCCTAGCCAACTTAAGGTCCAAGCTATCCCGAATCCAATTCTGCCACCTCCTTCATGTCCGCATAGCGTCCAATCTCATGATACTCATAAGGATTTGAGAATGTCGCTGACGCCAAGAGGACCAAGCTCTTTGATTGTCTCCTTCCAAAGCCGCTCCATAACCTCTCTTCCCTCTTTCGTGTACTGGAAAGGGGCATAACTGTTTCGAATAATTAGTATTATTCCCGGTATATCAGGAAGAACGTATATGACTCACGGTGCTATCTCCCAGTTCATGAGAATACTTCCATGTGAGTCCTTCCCTTTGACGATCGCAGCATCAAGATATGTCGACGCTGCAAGCTTAACATCCCGGGCTGACACACTTTTCAGTAAAGCGAGAAAAGCTTTCACGGCAACAGGGGCGTCTCGCTGGAGCTCTGTGCCTTTAGTAGAGCCAGGTTCCACCATGTTGATGATAACATCATCACTTGATACCAAGTCTGTCAACTTCCAGAGGCACAGTTGGGTCAGGAACTTTGTTTTCGGATAGTTGTCGATGGGATCAAAATTTTTCTTATCGTCAAATGAGGGCAAGAGCGGCTTCGCATTCTTATTGGCGAACTTGGCTGTAATTGAAAGCATAGTCGTGGCAACTGTCAATCGTCCGGGTGTGCCAGCTGGTAACTTGTCTTTGAGGGCAGGAAGAAGGAGGATAGTGAGAAGCACGGTTGACAAGTAGTTGACCTGCAAGGCCTCCTCATGCCCAGTGCTGGGGACGATTTTGAAATCAGACCCAGCGATACCGGCATTCAAGACGGCAAGATCCAATCTGGAAAGATGCTTCTCAGCCCTTGTTGCAAAAGCTTGAACGGACTCGTAGGAGGTCATATCCAGCTGCCAAACTTCGATGGTGGCCTGGGTATACTGTTTTCGCAGCTTGGCCGCAGCATTTTCACCCTTTGCTGCGCTTCGAACGGCTAGAATCAACCGAGAAAGTTTGAAGGAGAGAAGTTGTTGAGCACATGCAAGCCCCAGGCCCGTATTGGAGCCCGTCACGATAGCAACCTGCCCGGAGAGATCGGTGTTCTCGGGGGGATACTGAGGCTTGGAGCGGAATTGGTTCTTGATGAATTGATTGGGAAAAAAGGGTGTCGGTGAAGGCGGCAGCTCCTTTGATGACGGCATTGGGAGCACAATCTGTTGAGGTGGCTAGTAGTAACAACTTCAGGTCCATCAAGATAGTTTGGATAGAACATAGTAAGAGGGACCCTCCACATTTATATATCTTCGTGCTGAAAGTACTGAGCCTACTTTCCGTGGCGGAGTTAGGATGAGAGGTGAATATAGGTCCACCAATAGGGAAAATGGCACTGTACATCGCTGTGTAAATGAATCTTGAATTATCAAAAAACTTTGGTTTCGGTCGTTTCTGTCCCCAATTCTTGATGTCGCTCATCCCGAAGCTTTGATAGAGATTCGAGGATAGCCCCACCAGTCTATACATTTGGACCAATAAGATGGTGTCTTTTACACGCCCTACCACAGTAGGAAGTCAATCTGCTGCATTAGCGCCATTCTTGAACCAAGCTTACAGTCCGGACTTAGCGGAGGCACGGCTTATCCTCAGCGAACCTCACAAAATCTCGTGGATCGTTCATACTCTACCGACGACCGTATTGGAACCCATCTGTATCAGTTCTGACATGACTCATGACATAAATGGGTTGATCAGGTGAGAAAGATGCCTTCGCAATCAAGTCGGCGATGAGCTTTCTTTTACACGATTCGCTGCTCCCTTGGCGCCGCAGTTGATGCGGGACATCCTGAAATGTAAGCCACGTCTTGCGAGGTCCTTCCTTCATTGGGGCATCTACTTGATTCTGACTGAAGCCGGTCCATAGTCTCCTTGATGGCAAAGAAAGTCATGTATCCATTGGAATCTTGCATTGAATTCCACCGGAAAGATAAAGTTGACACATTTTACTTTAACCTTATGACCTACGATCCGACATATCTGCACGCCGTGGCATTCTCATGTCAGGCCTTTTTCAACAAAGCATCGCCTCGAGAAACAGCTGAAATGACCAGAAGAAGTGTTACACATCATTCAGAAGCATTAAAGCAGCTCCGGGAGAGACTTGCTGATCAAGAAGAGCCGATCAAATTCTCAGATTCCACCGTCCTTGTCATTCTATGCTTGACAATGCATGCCCATTTCACTGACGATTATAATACGGCGAAACAACACATGGAGGGGCTGCGCAAGATTGTCGACTTGAGAGGTGGCTTGGCTGGTTTCAGCTACTACTCAAAGCTCGTCATGGAGATACTCAAGTAAGATCTCGCGAGATCCCTGAATACATTCTGTACGTCCATCTAACACCTCCTAAGATGTGATTTGGGGATCGCACTATTTAATGGGACGGAGCCATTCTTTTTCAGGGATCCGTCTTCAGAACCTATGATCCATTGTGAGCTGGGGTCTTTCGCGGTTGAATCGTCGGATAACCACGAATCTGAAACTTGGATGCCAGTCGATTGGAATCTTAACGCTGATTTACTGCGTGCCTGGGCAATGATGAAAAAATTCTGCTCAATAATAAACTCGGCGAGCAAACGTAACCGCCGACTCCCAAAGGAAATATTGCTGAATACCATGGGGTCGGTCATGTACCGTCTACTTGACATGAAAGACTTTGACACAAATTCCCCAAACGAAGTTATCCGCCTTGGCCTGCTCGCTTTTACATCATATATATTCCTCAATTTCCAAAACATGAAGCCTCCACAGACACAATTTCCACGGAAGTATCGGAAATGTCTTCAAAACGTCGAAGGTTCGGCAAATGCGGCGTCCACAATGCTGTGGTTGCTTACAATCGGAGCAATCTCAGTTTTTGCAGCGACTGATGACCATTGGTTAATGCCCTTGTTAAGGGATCAAATGAGGCATTGTCAACTTTCCGAGTGGGAGGACTTGCATAGTCATCTGAAACATTTCCTCTGGATCAACGTGTTGCACGACCAACCCGGGGAAAGAGTATTTAGCACGGCTGGACTGCCTTTGAACCGTGATCCTGAATAGACGATCCCCGCAACAGATGAAGGTAGAATGGACGATATGCCTCGTTCCGTTTTGAGTGTGCTCATACCATACCCAGGAAGATTATTACTTCATCAGAAAAGGTCCTTCATCGTCAACCACCATATATATTATTGAAAGGAGATTGTGACTGGGTATCTTAATCTATGTTATACACAAGCTATAATACAGTACATATTTTCGATCACCTGGAGACTACTCTACCTTCCTCAACTGCAGATGATACGTTTCCAGCGAGGCCTCAGTCATAGGACTTGGCGCGCGCACCATAGCATCATCACCACCCTTGCCAGTCTTCGGGAAAGCGATAACATCCCGCACAGACTCCTTACCCAGCATAACGGCAACTAGTCGATCAAAGCCCAGCGCCAGACCTGCGTGTGGCGGACAGCCGGCGCGAAGAGCATCGAGGAGATGTGAGAAGTCTGCTAGGCGTTCAGCTGGCATTTTAAGGATGTCGCGGAAAATGAACTCCTGCACGGCGGCGTCGTGAATACGACGGCTACCACCGCCGAGTTCAACGCCGTTCACGACGAGATCGTAGTGATCTGCCAGAGCTTTTGTGGGATCGGTGAGGAGCAGTTCTACGTCGGCGGCTGTCTTAGGTGCTGTAAATGGGTGGTGGGTGGAGGAAAAGCCTGCGGCGCCACCCTGGCCGGGCTCTGATTCGGAAGACGGCGAGAAGAGTGGGAAGTCCACAACCCACATGAAGTCAAAGCCAGTCGGTGCGTCTGTGAAACCAGTGGAGACGGCATAGGAGTGCAAAGCCCGGCGGAGGTCGCCAATCGGTGTTGAACCCCCTGCGAAGGGGGCGCGAGACCGAGCCTGAAGGATAATCAAGTCGCCGTGGTCAGGGTCAAGAAGTTCCTCAACCTGTTCAGCAGCCTCGAAGCCAAATGGTTGTAGACCGGAGAGTGGCTGTTTGCCGTTGAACACGAACACACCTGGGCCTCCATCGGGGTTATTGTTGAACGGGGCACCCGCAGGCGAATCAAGGAATTCCGTGATGAACTTGAGCGTCTCTGCAGGATTGTTGTTGGCATTTTCAAGTTTGAAAGCCTCAACGATAGGTTCCGTGAGCGGCGAGATCTTCATAACTAGATCAACAGGCAGCAAATGGTCCAGTCGCATGATTTCCATGCCGTATCTGGTGTCGGGCTTGTCCGAGCCATACTTCGCCATGACTTCCTGATACGGGACGCGACGGAACGGTCCTTCGGGCGCGGGGTCTTTCATCAAAGTAGACCACAGTCGACGAATGACTCCCTCAACGGTACGCATCACATCGTTGCCAGTTGCAAAGGACATCTCCAGATCCAGCTGGGTAAATTCTGGCTGCCGATCCGCACGAAGATCTTCATCACGGAAGCAACGCGCAAACTGATAATACCGCGGCAAACCACTAGCCATGAGGATCTGCTTGTACTGCTGAGGGCTCTGAGGCAAAGCATACGCCAGTCCTGGCCGACGAGTCGGTACTAAAAATTCGCGGGCACCTTCTGGTGTCGACTTGAACAGCAAGGGAGTTTCAATCTCTACAAATGCCGGCTGGTTGCTCTCTTCAAGCTCCTTCTTGCAGATATTCCGGACCTCTGCACGGAACCGCAGCGCTTCACGTAGCTCAGCATCGGATCGAAGCTGGAGGTATCGCTGTTCCGGCGCAAACACCGTCTCGGGAGTCATGATGATGTCCTTGGGGAAGTCATTGAGCAGATGGATATCCTCCAATGCCAATTCCCATGAATCTTCAGGTTTACCCTCGCCTTCGGATGCCTTTTTCTTTTTTTGTTGCACTGTTCCTCGCACAGCGACGGGGCTGTTGGCGTTGATAGTCTTGAGCTTTTCAAATGCGTCATTCTTGGCGAAGCCTACTACCTGTAGACTGTGTTTCATGGTGGGATCCGTGAGACGGACGAAGGATAGCTTCTTGGAGAGATCTGCGCGCTGGCCGAGGTAGCCATGTAGGACGACTTCGGTGTTGGGCTCGGCCTGCGAGAGAAAGGTTTCGAAGTCATGGGTGGCAGGAGGGAATTCCACTAGAGAATACAAACAGCTATATTAGCAATTGACCTTACCCACACGTCGTGCTATATTCTCGAATTACTCACCAGCTTTCTTGTATGCCTCCAAGAAACTGGGAAGCTTGGCGGAAGCATCCTGCTCACGGAGGCACGCAGGGCGATGGAAGCGCCTGGTAACGGGAGCCTGGCGCTGCCATGACCTAGGCAATATCGATCTCGAGCTCGCAAAGCTCGGACGAAGCCGTAAAGGCAACTGTACACCCGGTATCCGCATCATGATTGGCAACTCAGTACACCCAAGCTGGGCCGATCGCGCGAGTCCCAAAAAGCAGCAGCTTCCGCCCGCCCAAACGGGACTAGCGCGGGCCTTTTATTAGGGCGAATCTTTCCGCACTTTTTCTTTCTTCTTCATCCTTCCAAGTTTTATACTTGTGAGTCTACCTGGTCTATTTCAACATATGAGAACTTATTTACTGACCTCTTCTCATCAGATGATGAAAGCCTAGTGTGTTCTATATGATAATCTCTCCTCCCTGAGACTTGTGGCTCTCCCTCTTCGGAGGGCTTAAGGGCTGCTTGACTCGGGATGGAGGGAGATTGAAATATGCGTTCGGCACACCAACCTTGTTAATTTACGGACGCGATGAAGGCATCTCTGATCCATTTTCGAAACTTGAAGGTGTTTCCCATTGGCTAGGCCGTGGGTGTTACAATATTATGAGGGGTGGGAGTTGGGTCGTGGAATGGCAGTGGTTGAACTCGACAGTTTGTCTGTAGAGTCTGCTTGCTTGCCTTGATGACACGTACCTCTCCCCTCCTCTATACAACATGATTATATAGCTATGATAGCACAAATGCAGATTCTGGATTCAATTTGTGTCAATTTATGTCTTCCTAATCTGTCCGAGACCCAATCTTTAGTTCCTTCCTAGTATCCTTCCAATGTCATAAATAAATCACACTTTGTATGCCTTCTATACAATTTGAACAGAAAAAAAAACAACATAAACTCACGAACAGAGGGAAACAACAAACACGCTTTTACTGCTCACCGAAAATCATTTTCTCCAAAACAGCCTTCTCTCCACTGTTATCCACCAAATTTTTGAACACCCCATTCTCAATCCCCATTAGATCCTTCGGAGACCCAAACTCAACCGCCTTGCCTGCATCCATGACCAAGATCCGGTCAAAGTCAGCAATAGTGCTCAGGCGATGAGCAATGACCAGCAGAGTAGTCGCGTTACGACCGAATTCCGCACGGATAGACTGCTGGATGAGCGTGTCGGTCTCCATGTCCACTGCAGAGGTGGCCTCGTCCAGGACCATGATCTTGGGTCGAGCGACGATTGCACGGGCGAGGCAGAGAAGTTGCCGTTGACCCTGGGAGAGGTTCAGACCACCCTCTGAGATAGGAGCAGATAGGGAGGTGAAGATGTTTGTGTTAGCTCGCTGTGTGGTCGCTGTGTCAGGCGTAGTTGCACCGTTGACGCTGGACTGCGCGGGTGTCGCGGCTTGAGAGGTCAGTGTTGCCTCATCGTCCTCGACGGCAGCAGAGATAAGGTGCACACGAGCCAGGGCGTCCTTTAGTTCAGTGTCACCATACTCGTCGAAGGGATCGAGGTTGGACCTGACAGTACCAGAGAAGAGGACGGGATCTTGGGGGATAATGGCAAGACGGCTTCGGAGATCGTGAAGTTTGATCTTTGAGACATCCAGGCCGTCGATGAGAATTTGACCCTCTCGGGCTTCCAGGAACCGGAACAAAGCAAGAGTCAAGGACGACTTGCCCGCTCCTGTACGGCCCACAACGCCGACACGCTGATTCTTCTCGACTGTGAAGCTGAGTCCCTTGAGAATTGGTGGCAGTTCAGGTGCATAGCCAACGACAAGGTCATTGACTTCCAAGCGACCCTCAGTAGGCCAAGCAGCGGGTGCATCAACACCTCCCTGGTTCTCGAGCTCGATCTTGGAATATTCAATGACACGCTCCGTAGCATTCATGTTGAGCTCAATGTTAGCATACTGTCGTAGAACGAAAGCAATGGCAGTGTTGCATTGCAATGCAAAGCTAAGCGCGAATCCAGCAAGCGAGGCCGAAATGCCAGGCAAAGAAACCACAAGAGCAGCCGTCAGGGTTGAAAACACCGCGCCCACAAGATTCATGCGAATGCCCAGCCAGCGATTGAAGAGCCACATCGTCCACCATGCTTGAGCATGGGCGTTGATTTTTCCGTAGATGATCTCGATGAAAGTTTCGCTCTTGCTGAAAGCGCGAATCGTAACCAGACCAGCCAGGCTGGATCCGAATTGTTCGAAAACGGGACTCTTCGCGGTACTCTCCAGACGCTTGATTTCTCGTGCACCTGCCAGGTAGGTCATGGAGAGCTTCATGCAGATCACAAATAGGATACCCGCTAGAACGAGAACCAAAGGAGAGACAAGCACTCCAGCGACCAAGATACCGCAGACTTCCAATACCTGCGAACAGAAGAAGCCAAGCTCATAGCCGATTCGCGAGTCGATCATGTGGAAATCAGATGTGAAACGGTTTAGGATACGTCCGAGAGGGACAGTATCCAGCCAGCGTAGTGGCGCACGTAGGATAGCATATGTGAGGCGGTTGAAAAGACTTCTCGATGCGCGCACGCTTGCAGAGAGAATGAAATAGAAACGAGCCGTTCCAATGATACAGGCGAGAACGGAGATTCCAATGTAAACACCGAGATAATATTGCAAGTTGTCGTCCTCTGTAGCTGATCGCACAGGCGACATGGTATGTTGTAACAAGGCGGAGTATTGTTCGGGATTCACTTTCGTGCTGGATGATGAGCCAGTCCAGACATTGATCCACCAAGACTGTTATACAAATTAGCAACAATTCGAAAGCAGGACTGTCATAGGATAGTTTGGGACTTACCCGCCCGATCATCAAACTGGAATAGCTGAGATACACCGCTATCGTAATAAGCCAGAGAACAATATGGCCACCCATAGAGAAGTAACTAGCATAAACCGAAAGCCGGACGGAGCCAACTTCTCGTTGCTCATCCTCAATAAACTTCTTAGGCGGTGCAGGCTTCGCCGCAGTGTCATTCTGTGAGTGACTTGGTCGGCGACGTGATGTGTTAGAGATCACTTTCTGAAGGGTAGTCTCCTCGGGGTTAAGTGCCGCAGATTCCTCGGTGGGCTCAATTTGGTCTTGCTCTGTCGCTTCACTCTCTTCCTGGAGGATATCGTTCAAGTGGTTCTCCTTACGGAGATCATCAATGGTTCCCGCGTACTTGACGCATCCATTTTCCAGAAGCACAGAGTAGTCGGTCCTTGGGAGACACAGTGCGACGTGATGAGTGACGAGGACTCGAGTCCGGCCTTGACCGAGCTCGCCCGTCAGAGCGTTTTCGAAGACGTGGCGACCAGTGTGCGCATCCAGAGCGCTGAAAATGTCATCCATCACCAGGATGCCTGCTCTTGAGTACAATGCACGGGCGAATGATACTCGCCACCGCTGACCACCACTGAGGTTGACGCCGTTTGCACCGATATCCGTTAGTTCACCATCGGGCATCATCTCAAGATCCTTCTGTAGGGCACATGCGAAGAGGGTCTTTCGATAACGCTCCTCATTGTAAGGCAGACCGAACAGAATATTGTCCTTGATTGTAGCGTTCTCAATCCAGGGACTTTGCGCAACATATGCAATAGCGGAGTCGATATTCCAATTTGCGCTCGTGGCGAGGTGGTCGAAGCGTTCTTTAATAGGGGGTGGAACAGGCACTTTGATGGTTCCCTGGAGGACATCACACTCACCCAGAATAGACGCAAGAAGCAAACTCTTTCCAGATCCAGTCCGTCCGGAGATCACACTGAGACCCTTCTTGGGGAAAGCCAGATTCAAGTCTCGCAGGAGGAAGCGATCTTCGTCCTCTTCTTCGTCGTCATCTGCCTTATCCGCGGGCCAACCCACAGAGACATCTTCGAAAGCAATGCTATCAGACGGGACGGTGTTGACAATCTTCTCTGCTGAATCCATGTACACATCAATACGGTCTGCGCTGACCTTGGCCTCTAGACCATTGGAAATGATTTCAGGCAAGATAGCCAGAGACATCTCCAGGGCACCAAAGACGGCCATCGCAGTGAAAGCGACAGAGGCAGTTAATCCACCATGAATCAGGGCATAAGTGGCGAGCGAGATAGCGGAAAGACCGATAGGACCCAGAATCCAGATTCCCAAGAGGACGGTATCATAGAGGAACGAGATCCACAAGGCTCCAAGCTCTGCATCTCGCGCCTGGCCAATCTTCTTTTGCCATTGTTCCTCCAAGGCCGAGAATTTGATTTGACGGATTCCCTGGAGTACCTCGGTGACGATGGCCATTTTCTGGTCTCGAAGCTTCATGAGCTTGTCCTGCGCGCTGGTATATTTCTTCGCCGCAAAGATGTTGAGTGGAGTGACGAGCAGTGACACAGCGATTCCAGCAAGAGCACTGCGCCATCCGAGGATCTTGACCAGGAAACTGCAGCCAATGATCACCTTCAGACTGGCGAAAGGGATCAAATAAGCGTAAGCAGTAAAGTCTGAGATACGTCTCGCATCAACTGCTGCAAGGTTAATAATGCTCTGTCGGCTCTTCTTGAGCGAGGCTTCATCGTCTTCCTCTTCATCTCCATCTTGTTCCTTCAGTAACGCCTTTGCAGATGCTTCTGGATCATCCTTGGCTTTAGTCCCTTTCGCGTTCTTTGCATCTTTTCGGCGCATCGACTTCGCAAAAACAACAGCTGAGAGCTCTGCGTAGATCGGGATAAAGAGCTTGGAACAGACAACCCAGAATAGCCACGCCTCAAAAGTGGAATGAAGCAACATCAAGCCTCCAAGCGCAAGAACCCAAGCAATTGTTTGAGCCAGATTAAATGCGTCAGTTCCACGAGTCTCCAGTGAACTAAGAATGTGAAAGAGGGCCAGTTGCGGTCCAAAGCTCAGGATACTAATAACCGTGGTCAGGAAAAGCTGGAACAGCAGTGAGTCCCAGTGCGCGAAAACGAGAGCCTTCCAAATCTTGCGTCCTCGTTTAGCCCGTTCAAAATGGGTGCGAAGGCTCTCTGCCCGCTTTGCCGCCCGGAGCTTGGGTAAATCGCTAAGTGCTAGTGTTCGGTTCTTGACAGCATAGCCGAGAATGTTTCCTGCCCAGGAAAAGGTATAACGGCCAAAAGCAGTCACAGTTAGTTCTCTATCGACGATTTTCCCGTCGGAGAAGACGTCGGGTCGGCGCGGGAGAAGAATGGTGAATAGTGCACGTAGAAGCCCACTGGCAAGCTGCGCTGCGACGAGGGTAATCCATGGCTGCTCGCGTAGCATAGCATTTTGGGAGTCCCAGGCTAGTCGAATTTGAATACCGGTGATCGCAAGAGCAGTTAGACTACCACCGAAAGCAAATTGACCCAAGACGAATCGACTCGTTGGACGAGGCTCAGTGAAGAACGCAATAGCTTGAACAGAAAGGAAGGCCTAAATTTAAAATCCGTGTCAATCAAATTCAAAATTCAATAACTATGAAACTCCTTTTCCGAGTTCTACAGCACATACCCAAATCCCAAGTTGAAGCCAGGCTAGAACCATATAGTCTGTTTCATATTCCAGCGTAGTGAGAACGGCCAACCCGAGCGTAACGAGAAATCCAGTGGCGGAGAAAACCGCAATCGCGACTCGTTGCCACAGATCTGAAAACGCCTTTAGAGATTCCGGCGTCGCTTCACCATCCTCATCGCGATAGGCGGTCTTGGCTAAAGTGGCTTCATCTTGGTGAGATGATCTGCGCGCGATCCGATCGACGATACTTTTGATAGCAGGGATACTGTCCACGCCAGCTAGGAACAAGGCGACGGACCCGGCCGCTAGAGACGCAACCTGGACGTTAGGAGGCATTCCTCGTCACCGTGTAAAGGGGGGATGATGAAGAAAAAAAAGAAAGAAAGAAGAAAGGGAAGGAACAAGTAAGTAAAAGGGGCGGATAAAGAGAGGATAATACGCGCTGCCCATCTTATCTTGATCCTCGTCGGTAGTCATCCTCCTAGTCCCAGAAGGGAGTTATTAATCAGAGTCATCATCTATGGCGAGTAGTCATCTACATATTTTTGTCAATTTATGGAATACTTCGTTAGTGCAAAGGCGCAAGGTGACATCCACGCGCCGAGCGGGGAAAGGCTTCGCCCCCCTAGTTCGGAGTCCGCGCTAGGAACCAGATGCTGCTGCTGATGTTGCTGATGCTGCTGCTGATTTGCTGATTCGTATGGATGAACGGTGTGAGTCAAACCCGGATTTCGCAGGCTCGTATTGCCTAATATGTAGGACTCGATCTGTCCTGAGATATGTACATATGTACCACCTTGGTTCTTGAATATTTGGCAGCATATTATACCTCCAAAACTATGAACGGGAACTACTATTGATGCAGCCAGCTCCCAGCACACCTCCTTCATCCAAAGTGGCGTACAGCCACCCGGCGGTCTGAGAGTCGAACGACAGTCGAAGAAACGGTGAAGAGCATTGGGACACTCGCCATTGGCAGGGAATATGAGTGAAGATGACTCACGGGTCCATCGGATTGCATGGTCGCATCTTCTCCCAGTCGGGGTCCCGATAGGCGGGCTCCGTTTTGGGGTGAGTCCGTGGGAGTGGGGGGAAGCAATATCAGCGGAAAGCCGGGCTCAAGTGGCGCCCATGCGTCGTGGATGATGGGGGGCTGGGCCTGGTCTAGTGGGGGTGGTCAGAGTGGGACAAAAGTGTGGATGTGTGGAAAGCTTGCGAGTCTGTGAGTGGAGTCCGATCGAGGTACAATGCATACATTGTGCATAGGATCGGTGTAGGGTGGAGGTAAGGAGAAGGGAGTGAAGAAATGCAAAGGTAGCAATCCAAGATCTTGAGATGGAGATGGCTTCTTTTTGTGTCTTCGGTCGGCCTGGTTTGGCAGGTCAACACTGTGCTTATGATCTACCGCAGAACAGCCCTCCACCCTTTCCGAGCTATAAACCCTTCCACCCCTTCATCTTCAAGAACATCCTGTCCTCGACGCCCAGTAACAACACTCCGCTCAATCTCAGGTCCACGCACATAAAAAGGTTCGAATCCGCTCAGCTCTGAACCATCACTAGATCGGACCCACACCCTTTTCGATCTCCCATCTCCAGTAGAAACTCTCCTCGGCTCGAATCCAGAACTTTCACGATCCATGCTGAGATACCATCTCCGTTGGTGAATAGAACCTATCGTATTCGACGATCCTGGGTACGCGTTATTCTTCCGGATTTGATAGTCGATGTCATCGTCGGAATGATTTGCGTGGTCGGCTTCAGATCTGGAGTCTTTCGTTGGTAGTTGGTTATCGGTGGGTTCTTGCTTCTGTGTGCCATCCCGGGGGGGAGGGGATGGTGACCTGCTCGAACTGGAGGTGGATGGCGGCGGTGGTGGTGCAGTAGTTGATTGCAGATTACGTCTCCGTCGTTTTGGCACTTTCCTCGCTGGGCGGGCGTAATCGGTAGATTTGTCCATGCGTAAAAGTAAAGTATAACCCGCTGGCAGACGAGTACCGTGAAGACGAAGGCGGATTTTGCGCTGCATACCTCGACATCAGCAGACTTTAACATCGAAAGTTGGGGAAATACATTGTCGGAACTAACATTCTTAAAGGCCTCTTGAAGCCTTGCACTATCCGAGATCGGTTCTTTGGGTGAAACTTCACCATCGGAAGAATCTGACTTCGACTCCTCGGTCTGCGGGCACGATGCATCCCTAGTATAGGGCAAAATTTCATACTCCCCAGAATCCCAGATAATCAAGCTTCCAGTCTTGGCCGACGCAGTTTCAATGAGATGGTTCTATCTTCGCATTAGCTTTGCCAAACCTCGTTCTCAATATATATATACTGGAGAAAGTATCATACCCATAAACAATGAATCCGAGTCTCAGTCGCATTTCTGTTCAACTTCTCGCTATTCGGATCCCCCGGTAATCCGTACATAATAGACCAACTCACCGAACTCGTCTCGGAGAATTGGAGTCGAAGATCGTAGTGCAGTCCTGCTATGGGATGATCATGTTGATGAATGACAAAGTGGCGACCTGTAGGATGGCTGTTACGCCGATAAAGATCGACATAGTCATCGATTGTTAAGCGTGGTGTTGATTGCGAAATACTCAAAGGTCTCGTGTGTTGGCTGAGCTTGGTTGAGAAAATCCCTAGGTGATCCGTGACTTTGACTTCTCCGGCTTCGATGGAGGCGAGTTCATGGGCTTCCGGGTTGGGAATGGATTTCCTTCTTGACGGTGGTGGTGAGACTGATGCGTTTAAGCTTGAGACAAGCGGTGCTGTCCGCCGCCTTGCTGGATGTGTTTTGGCTTCGAGCTGCTCCTCCTGTCTGTCTGGGCTCCAGGAACGTTTCATTTTGAACATAATCTGGTTCCGTCTGAATATCCGATCGCTGAAAGAGGGGTGATACCAGGAAATGAAATTCAATGTGGCGGAGAAACATGAAGACACCGGGATGTCAACAAAGCAGTTGATGAAACAAGATGACAATGACTATAAGAACCCGTGGGAAGTCCCGTCCCGGGCTGTGGTAATCCACCTCATATAACTAGTTACATAGCTTACTAAATCTTATTGAGCAGCCTACACAAAAATGAAGGTCTGGAGCTGTTATTTCATATTTCGACGTTTCTTTCTATTAAAAACTTGTCTCTATTCATGCCGTGGGGTATCAGATACTAAGAAAATCGCTGCAGGCGCGAAAAACTCCAAAAAGATGCCAAATATCAATGCCAAGGCCAGTTGACGTCATTCGTCTCTCGTGCCACCACCGCGTTGTCCAAAAGTACGTCTTTCAACAACGTACCCTAAGGTTGGTCTGGAACAACCAGGACACTCTGTGGATTGTGGAAAACATCACTCGGGTCAATTTGAGCTTTGACGCTCTGCAATCTCGGAAGATTTGACCCCCAGTAGGCCTCCTGAGCATTTTCAAGCAAGGGATCAACATAGCCAGGATATGCGCCATGCGAAACGCCTGGCTGAGAGGTAGAGACCACATCATTGGTGCCTTTGAGGAATTCCTTGGTTGTCTGCGAGACTGGTCCCAGAAGGTTCACTGCGTACGACTGCATCCACATGATTGTCTCTCGATGCGCGTAGGCTGTGGCATTGACTGGAACGTCGTTAGTGGCACCTGCTTCCAGATCGAAGATGATGAACCAGGTTGGTGTCCCCTTCGTTGCAGAGTCCAGGTATTTAAAGAGGGAATCAATGCCATCGTTTGGGATTGGATCCGTAAAGGACATGGACTTGGCATAGAACGAAGTTGGAATACCCCCCACAACCTGATAAATGAAATCCTCCGCTTGGCTCGTGATCATGCCCAGCCAATCCGTTAAAACGATCACAGTGCCATTATCCGTAGCCGGGAAGTTCATCTCCTTTTCGAAGCTCTTCCACTCACTGGCAGACCCAAAGAAAGTCCCCGAGAGCAAGATCCCGGACTCAAACACCAGGAGCTCACTCGAGACCCGGCGAGTAAGGTTCTTGGTAAATATGAACCGCTGCCAATCTTTGAAGAGCTGAGCTCTCTGTGCCGTGGTGCCCAGGTTGAGTGTATAGGAGTACTGCACAGCATGTGTGGGTGCTGCATGAGTGTGCAACTTAAACTTGGTGACAATGCCCAAGCTTGCAGCAGCCCCCTTGATGGCAAACAGGACATCCTGGTTATGGGAAGAGGATGCATTGACGATGGTTCCATTTGCAAGTACCACTTCAGCTTCTCTGATGTGGTCAAGGGCCATTCCCCATTGTCGCGACATTGCTCCTAGGCCTCCAATTGTAAAGTGCCCACCCATGCCGACATTCAGACAGGCGCCGTGCGCCACGGCTCTGTGACCAGCATTGTAAAGGCGTGAGTGAAGATCTCCAAGCAAGGTTCCGGATCCAACAGTGGCGATTTGCGTGAAGGGGTCAATTGAGAAATCTTGGAGATTCTTCAAGTCGACCACCACCGCGCCATCAACTCCTCCCAGGCCTAAAATGTCATCACGCATCAGATTATGCAGAGGTTTGTTTTGGAGTGACTGATCACCTACCGTAGTTGCCATAGCTGTGTCCGCCGCTGCGCGCCTGAACTTTGTAACCGTTGGTAGCTGCGCATTGAACGATGCTAGCAACTTGTTCCGAGTTTTCGGGGAAGGTGACAGCGATGGGAGTCACTGGACGGTCTAGGTTGTAGACGGGAGGCGTTCGCAAGGTGAAGAAGGGGTCACCTTGGAAAGCCACAAGACTCGAGTTTTGACCGACTGCCGCGAGGAGGCAGTCGTGGCCGGGGATACTATGAGCGTTTCCCATCTTGAGCGCGCAGCCCATAGCCACAAGGGCGTTGATGGCGTTGAGAGTTGGTTCTCAGACAGAAAGGTGATTCTGAGCGCGAAGGGTTGAGGCGAGGGAGGATCAAGGGTGGAAGGCACGAGGGAGGGCGCTTGCACCTTCCACTCCCGTGAGGAATGTCCAGCAATTTATCCTCAAAAAAGCAATTTCCTCAATAACATTCTAGAATAGATGATTCCAAATCAAGGATTGATGATAATAATACCGATATCAATTGCCCATGAACAGTTCTGAGTTCTGACCATAGCCCCAGGCCATCAGCAAACGCTCATCAAAGTATAGTATGGTTGGTTACACAGTATGGTTAAATACTCCGTCCCTAATACCCGTATATTGAGTTCCCCATACTTCCGGTGGCTTGACCAGGAACGATGACCACAACCATGCATGAATACCATAATCAAACCTTTTTTGACCACTTGTCGTATGTTAGTCACAACCAGTCCACCAATATGGTTTAACTCTCTTTGTCCTGTCCACTTCCCTTACTCTCCCTCTACAGGATACTGTACTTCTTCTCTTTGTCCACTCGGGGAGTTTTGTGGGCTCGGGGACCAGATCCGCACGGCTTTGGTCCCCGAATGCGGCAATCTTTTATATGAGCGAAGATCAGTTCAACATTGCGTGAGTTGAATAAAGTCTATTTCGTATTTTTTCAATCGGCGACGGGGAACTAAAGGACGGGCTCTCGGACGACTCGGGTTCCTTAGAAAGGCAATTTCTTTGTCACTTGCACGTCCTTATATCTCTCCTTCCTTTGATCTACTATAATAATCCCTGTCACCTTCCAATCTTCTTCTATCAACCAAATCTACAAAGATCGACCCCCTTTGGCCATGCCACTCGCATGACATCAATCTCCCGTCCTGGTAAACTTTATTCATCCACGAGAGTTCAACGTCGTCCATCGCCATAATGTTCACCCCTGTTCACACCTCTCTCGGTGCCCTGCTACTCTTTCAGGGTTCATCGGGGTTACTCGTTCATAACGGAGCGGTCTTCGGTATCTCCTCACTCCTCTCTGGATCAGTCTTCAATCCAAACCAAGACAATGTCCCGATTATCGCGGGCCTGGTCTCCAGCGTCCTGCCAGTGTACTTCCTGGCCCCGTCCTTGATCCCGAGCTATCCTGCTGCTCCGCACACCTTGGCCTCGGCAGTGGCAACGCTGGGCGTGGGCATGTTACTAGGCTGGGGGACAAAGGTAAGAGAGCCAAGAGTCAAGTATACTAAGTATTGAATTTGGAGCAAAAGCTGACTCGTACTTTTCAATTCTATTAGAATGGCTGTGGCTGTACCTCGGGCCATATGCTTTGTGGTCTTTCCCGCCTCTCGCCACGCTCGTTGATTTCAACCGCTCTCTTCTTCACAACCGCCCTGATCACAGCAAACGTCGTCGCAGGTGGTTCCAATATCCCGGCTTGTGGTGATCTCCCATGCTACACTCCAGTCTACCCATCCTCGCCGGAGATCGTCTTCATGGCCGGGTCACTGCTCCTATCAACCATCACGAACTTCTTCATCGTTCCAAAGGCACTGCAACGATCAGAGGAAAACAAGACTCTCTTCGCGTACCTAGCAGGGTTGGAGTTTGGACTTGGTCTGTTGATCTCGGGGATGGCTGATTCCGCCAAAGTTTTGCGCTTCTTCGCCATCGCGACGGACCCCTCTCGTTGGGATCCGTCGTTGGCATTGATAATCCTGTTTGGAATCGGTCCATCGCTGGTAGCATACTTGACTCATAAGCCGGGTCAGAAGTTGGAGAAGGAACATGAACCTGCAAAGCCTACGCTAGCCGAGAAGTGGCGACTGCCCACAGCTACGGTGGCCGATATCAACTGGCGTTTCGTTGCTGGCTCGGTCGCCTTCGGTGTTGCCTGGGGTCTCCAAGGAGTGTGTCCTGGTCCGAGCATTCTCCGCTCGGTCCTTCAGCCTACCTGGGGACTGGCGACGATGACCGGATACATGCTGGGCAATTTGTTTTAGATTAGGCGCAGGAAATATGGATAATAACTCATAGAGATGCATTGTAAATATATGGAAAGCCACCTAGTGGCGAAGCTCTGAGATGACATTGACGATAACTTTATTTACTATTTTGCAAAACCGAATCAGCATGGGTTCACGACGCTGGAGATTGATACATGACTTGAAAATAAAATCCGGAAATACAAGGATTTTCAAGAATGAACTGGGTATAAAGGATGCAATGCATGGAAATAAATCGAAACTAGAACATCAAGTAGGTGTGAAAAAGAACGGAGTAGCTTACAACTCGGTCTTCTTGTTTAATCGGATAGCCTCCGACTCTTCAAGCTCCCCTTCACGCCGCACATTGTCTTGATGGTCAAGGTATTCTTCCAACTCCATCCACTCAGCAGCGAATGCAGTCATCAGAACGCTCCAATCTTTGACGGTATCCATATCCAGGTGCTCAGCATCATCATCGGCCGTATGCCAAACAGATGGGAAGCCCTTGAAAGGTGCAAAGTCAATGAGATGGAGGATTTCCACCCCCCTTGCCAGAAAAGGCAAATGGTCATCCTGGATTCCACCGAATGCCATGACTTGATGAGAATCCTTTGATGTATCAATGAACCATGGCTCAGCTGGCGGGGATTTCAATTTCCCAAGAGATCGAAGACGCTTTTCGAGGGATCCGAGACTTTGATAAGCCCAGTGGGTTGTAGGGTAGTAGGATTGGATATTCGGGTTCTTTGAACCAAGAAGATCTAGTAGAACGAAGAGAGATATAGACGACAGTGGCGTCTTGAATGTCGACATAGCCGGGTTCATCTGAGTATCCCAGTGTTCGGCAAGAGCGCGAGCACCATATAGTGAGTCTGTAGTGGACCACTCCTTGAACGCCTCTTCGCCATCGAGGAAGAGGACCTGTATTCCATGGTGTTCTTCCAAAAGGTCCATGCCTTGTTCCTTCATCGCTGCCCACTTCTTATCCAAAGCGGAGTCAATACTGCGCATGGCATGCATGATCATTGCACAAGGCGCAGCACTGTCGATGGCTCCAATGAATCCCTCTGGCTCTAGCTTGCTATCATAATGAGCAACCAATGTCAATCGGCCAACATCGCCCTTTGAAGCCCCTGGCGGATCCCGGTATGCGATAAAATTGATAAATGGGACATCTTTCCCATGAGATATCGGGGTTTTTGCGGTCGAGTTTTGGAACTCAATCTCCCACTGTGGTAGTGTTGTCCGGAAGAAGCTTGCGAAGTGTTCGAGTACTGCTGTATGGCCAGGGGTGCCAGGGACGCGAGGTTGTAGAATTGGCGAGAACAGAGCACCAGTGTGAATGTCAAAGTCTTGACTTGGTCGTGGAAGTGCTTTCAGTCTGTCATCTGAAAGTTTCTCGTAGGCTTCTCCGGGGATTAGAAGCAGTAGTAAGCCGAGGCATAGGTAAAGGATGTGGCCACGAAGGCCGCGGAGGTCGCAGTAAGCCGTAGACATGGCGTCGTAGCGAGTGACTAGCGGTTCATGACTCTGCAAGCTGCATCAATAATTAGCTTGACGCCCAGGCCAGCTAGGCACGCCGAGTATAATCTCAGGACTGAGTGTAATAGTCGACAATGAAATCAGTCCCTGTCGTGCAACAAAGAGAGAGGCCCGCCAAGGCGGTCACAGCCGGCGACTTTGGCGCGACTTTCGGACAAGCTTGAACCTCCGAGCGCATCACCGACAATTGCGACAATCATGCGAATCCTTCTCCACCCTCAATTGCGCGCTGCGCTTCCAAAGTCTATTCAAAGAGATATCCGTGCTCGAGTATGGACTCGATTCAAATCTCAAGCACCCCGCCCATCCCGTCGCCATGAATCTCTTTCGCCTGCACCTAAAGACCTAATCACTGCGACGACACGAACTACTTCCCCTGCAAGCGCTGCCGCTAAGACAACCGTTCGGAGAGGTATGGAGCCCACCTGAGTCTCAATATCATAGACTGATGCTGTATAGGACCCCCGGAGCGCATTTTGGTATACTATGGTGGAACTGGCCGATCCATGTTCCTAGGCATATTGCGGGTGACAACAATTCTTCTCTTTGGCGGAGCTTGCCTGATTATCGCCCCCTCTTGTTACAATGCTGAGAATGCATGGTACATTACACCATTAGGTATGACTACTCTTCTCCTGACCTCCCTCATTTTCCAAGAATATCTTTATTGACACCTTCTCTCCTATAGTGATTGCCGGCGGCGCAATGCCAATGCTCTTTGTCGCCTATACCTCTGCACCCTACGTCAGCTTCATCCACCTAGCCCTCCCAGCATTCGCAAGGAAATCTCGCGAGACGGCTATTCACTACGCAAAAGAACTACCACCCACAACCATGTTGATTCTCACAACGACAAGATTCAACGCAATTCCACGACAGACCGCCGTCCGTCTGGGAGATCTAATGCCTGATAAAAGTCCCTTCCGGCCTGTCACTTTCCGAAATGTGAACCCTGCACCCAGGTCTTGGTGGATGGGTAGGCCCACGGCAAAATTCTTTGCGGCTGGTCAGAGTCAGCCGGGCAGACAATCAACGGCATTCTATCCTGAGCTATGGCCAGATATCTACAAGAGGATACAGAGTCAAGTGGCTCAACGGCGATGAATGGACCATTTTGTCAATATTTCTACCTATGGTAAGGTATATACTTTAACTTTCCCTTTCATAAAAGATCTTTCGAATTGTCTTTTTAATAGCTGAAGTCAAAGGCTTAGTAGGTATTATGAGGATATCTAGGTGCTCGATGTACCTATTATCTTTAATATCTGAAAATGGAATAGTCTGTCATGCAAAAGCATGAGTTGGCGTACGATTAGCCCCAGCCTCTAGATATTTAGCTAAATACTTTGCACCCTATTTCAAGAGAAACAGCAAAGAAATCGTGAATTAGCATTGAAAAACGTGACCTAGCAAAAAAAAATCGGGACCAAGTAAAAAAAACCGTGAACTAACAGAAAGAATCGTGAACTTGCAAAAGCCCGCATACTAACTGAACGCCAAGAAGTCCATAATGCTATTAATGGTATAATACCATCTGGCAGGCGTGGGTCTTCAGCTAACTATGAATCCCCTTACTGAATGCCTTGCGGATACTCCATTTCAAAGCAAGCAACCAGAGGAGTGAAACAGCAGCAAACGCTGAAATGTCCCAAGTATCCCGTGTGAAGTTCACAGATCATCCCCGGCAATGCCAGTGTCCTCATCGCCGTCCTTCACCTTGACCTCGGATTCTTCCAGATTAGCCTGGTCGTTGCTCTTGGGGTCGGTGGTAGCGGCGCCAGTGGTAGTAGCGGCATCCTTGTTCTTGCGAGGACGTCCACGGGGACGACCACCACGGCGAGAGGGGGTAGAGCGCGAGGCCGCACCAGTCGAAGGGCCAGCGTCATCTCCCTCGTCCGGGGTGGACTCGGGGTTCAGCTTGGCCAACTTCGAAAGGGCGGCCCGGTGCATGTTTCTAGCGGAGGGGACGGTAAGTCGGGCTCGGGCAGCGAGATTGGTGACGTCCATCTGTAAATACGCAAAGAAAGAAGCCATATTAGTCAAGTCACATAGATAATCAAATATTTCAAAATTTGGGTTGCATGTGAGAAGTACATACCTTGCCCGTCTTCTTGTCGGTGCAGAGGTAGGCGAGCAGCAGCAGGCGGACCTCACCAGGGCTCATCCCGAGCATGCTGTCGACGATGCGAGTGGAGGTGGCCCGAGTAGAGGTGGGAGAATTGGCGGAAGACATGGTTGTGTATGTTGAAAAATGAGCTGTGACTGGGCTCTGGTAATGGAGGATGCTTTGTCGAATGAAAGATGGTCAAGGCTGATGATGAAAGGAGAAAGTGGTTCGGAAGTCAGGGTGTTGATAAAGGTAGAGTGACAGTAAGAAAGAGGCTTCTGTCTCTGCAGAGTGTGCCGTAGAAGCTTTGTCGAGGTTGTGGAGGAGAGAAGAGCAAACTGAGAGATCTTTGAAAAGATGATTTTTATGCTTAGATCCAGCACGAAATGCAGGATCCTCAAAGACTGTATATACACTAAGCGAGGAAACTGCTGTTTTGAGACTTGACTATGTCACTTTCCCTTCAAATTCGCACTAATTTTAGATCATTCTAAGCTATCGCTTTGGCTATATGCTACATCACGCAACCTTTGGCCTACTCATTATTTTTATTCACTTATGCTCGTCGCTTGTTCCTCTACAAATCTCTATCTAGCATCCAGAGCAGTTTGTCTATATCTTACTGAGTAGGGTTTTACAATACTAGCCTCTAAGTCATATTCGAGCCTTCATGTTGTGCGTAGCCCTAAGGCATCATGTCAGGATGAGCATGAAAGGATTTGTTTCAAGGTAGCTATGAAGTCGCACCTTTCCAACAATTATCTGCCATCTGGCAGTTAGTTGATCGTCAGTCTGGTTTTTATTGACTATTATTATCTCACCAAAGTCTCGTCAATTGAACCAACACACATAGAGTGCAAGATTTACTTCGTTGACCAACTGGGACGTATACTAAGTTCTGTTCTCCATGTTGGGGCAACCATCGAACTACCAAATCCTCCATTTGCAAAAAGTCAGAAGCACCCTGACCTTAACATCCGTCCAAGGAATCAGCAAACACCTCCTCTCCCCGGTTGCGGCTGATAGTGGAGGAGCGGAAGATTCAAATAATACGGTTAAGTTGAAAAATAGAGAATAAATCCACTTTAAGTGAAGAGTAGGTAGGAATCCTGGATCGCAAGTGTTCATGCCAAAGGCCATATGATGATCTTGATAAGAAGTGAGCTTGACTTGAAGTGATAAATTGACAAAATGAAATTGCTCATAGGCTAATAGACGAGCTATTGAATGACAGAGAAATCCAGAAGTAGAAGTTCCCACATTCAGGTAAGAGATAGCCCCAAAACACCTCTTGACCCGAGATATAAGATAAACAAAGTGAAACATGACAAGTAGTCAAAGCGGATGCACAGCCGACAAAGAATTATACCTAGGTATACGAACCCAAGCCCTGGATACAGCACTACAGAGCTTCAATGGCCTTGCGCAAGACCTCCAGGCCCAGATCAGTGACGCCACCAGCCTCGTCGTCATCTTCTGTAGTTGACTCACGGAGGGCCCAGGCGACATCACTCCACCATCCCAGTCCAATGAAGCTGCCACCCTTCCGACGCTCAAGACTCTCCTTAAGTCGACTGGTGTGCTCCCACTGCTGAGCCGCAACCTCCGCACGTTCGATAACCTTATTCGAGATACCACACATTGACGCGCAGTGCATACCGAAACTGCCCTCTGCGATGCCGCTCTCCAATTTGTAGAGGAAGGTGACACGCCGCTCAGCATCGTCTACGTGAATAGCCATACGCTTGGGAGCGATCTCGGGGTGATTCTCGAATTCAGCAGCCAGCGAGTGGTAATGTGTCGCAAAGAAACCCATTGCACCGATGTGGGTGGCGATATGGTGCAGGACGGCCTGCGCAACGGCGACACCATCGTAGGAGCTGGTACCACGGCCCAGTTCGTCCAGAATGACGAGTGAGCGCGGAGTCGCTTCAGACAGGATCTTCTTCGTTTCAGACAATTCAACGAAGAAAGTCGATTGCGCGGCAAAAATGTTGTCATTTGCTCCCAGACGGGACATGATGCGGTCGACGGGAGTCAGGCGGGCAGACTTGCAGGGCAGGTAGCAGCCAATTTGGGCCATAATCACGGCGACACAGGTCTATGTATTGTTAGCAATAGTTCATAGGCAAAAATTGCGGAAGTCATACGTACCATTCGCAAAAGAGTGGACTTTCCAGCCGCGTTAGCACCAGTGAGCAAATCGATGTTTGCATGCTTGCCACCAAGCTGGACATCGTTGGGAATGAAGTCCTCCACGGATGAAAGAAGACACGGGTGCCGCAATTCCTCAAACTCCAGGACACTTCGCTCTTCTTCCACAAAGACAGGGCGGCAACTAGGCTGGCCTAGCGAAGCGGATGCCTTGGCTAAACTAATCAAACAATCAAGTTGTGAAATAATTCGAACCGCAGCTAGCCATGTACCATAATGCTCATCGAATCGAGCGTGGAATCGACCGGCAACTTCCTTCACAATTTGGCTGTGGGTTTCCTGAGCTTCTTGCAACTTCCGGATTAAGCTTCGGAGTTCGGGGAAGTAGTAGCGCTTCACCTGCTTGGTGGCAGACATTTGATCCCAGTTCTTTGGAACATTTTTGACCTTGACTGGCACCTCAAGCTGGTAAATTTCCTTTCCATTGTCACGGTAGCAGATGGCAGTGGAGCACAAGTCCCGGCGGGCCTTTTTCAGAACGTTATCAAGCTCCTTGTGCAGCTGTTCAATGGTGTCTTGGGAATTGTCAAAATCGGCCTCGACTCCGGTCTCCGGAACCAAGATTCCATTGTCTCTTGCCTTGGGCCGATCAAATGCAGTCTTCCAGTATGAAAGCAACGGGGTCAAATCCGGCATTCCTTTGATAAGGTCTCCGATGATGCCATCGCCGGCACCACTGTCCTTAAGAAGACCCATAGTATATTCGATTTGTTCAAATCCTTCCAGAACACGAACAAAGTCCTGGGCCTTGCAGACTCCTGCATGAACACGGGAGATCAGACGTTCAAGATCGGGCATCTTGGTCAACTGTGAAGAGAACTGGTCGCGGGTGCTAGGGTCGGCATTCAAGGCATCAACAGCGTCAAGCCTGGCGTTGATCCGCTTAGCATCCATCAATGGGTGGCAGACCCATTGCTTGAATGTTCGCTTTCCGAAGGGTGTAATGCAGCGGTTCAAGAGTTGGAACAGAGTGCCCTCTTGACCACCATCGAATGAGTTTGCGAAAATTTCCATGTTGATCAGGGTCTGGCCGTCCAAAACCAGGCTAGAGGCCTTTTTAATGGGGTCATACCACGTAAAGTTGCCAATGGTAATCAGGTCTCGTGCAATCTTGAGAACTCGCAAATACTGCGTAAGAGCACCGAAAGCAGACATGAGCAACTCTTTCTCACGTGCCTCACGAAGGACCTCAGGCCATGCCTTGACATTATCATCGTCCTCGGAGACGAAATACTCGCTAGCATCAAGTTCCTTGACGGTGATGTCTGCTTCCCAGAATTCTTTGCCCGGCTTGAGATAGTTCCAGATAGTTGTGGGCCCAGTGTTGTTCTTGAGAATGCGCATGACTTTTTGCGAGACACATCCCTTCTCGAGCAGCATTTCCTGAGGGCGAGTCTGAGCGACAAAGGTCTCAAACTTGGTCATGTCCACATCGTCGACAAACTCTGACACGAAGAATTGGCCCGTGGCCGTATCAACAAAGGCCAGACCAAACGCTGGGCGATCATCCACAATGGCTTCCTTAATAGCAACACAGTACGTCGACATATCATCCTGCAGCATCGAGCCCTCGACTAGAGTACCAGCAGTAAGAACACAAGCGAGTTCTCGCTTGATAATTTTGTCTTCTTTCCCTTTCTTGGCATCTCGCTCACGCATTTCCTTGCCCAGAGCGGACTCGGATTGGTCAACGCGAGCGATCTTGAAGCCCTTGGCAACAAATTGATTTGCCCAATGAGACAGACTCATTTCAGGGACACCAACCATGCGCATGTTGACTCTGTCAGTGAGTTTGAGGTCGAAGAGTTGGTGACCAATCGTGGCATCGTTCTCGTAGAGCTCGTAAAACTTGCCCTTCTTAAAGAAAACCACAGTATCCCAGAATTTCTGCTTGATCTCCCAGTATTGCTTCTCAAAGGGCGAGAACTTAGACCAGGCCAGCGGGGGGATGTAGATGGTGCGTGGGTCATGGTCAGGATGGCCTGGAGGGTTTCCATCAATGTCCTTGATGTTTGCAAGCCACGGGTATCGTTCCTCGGGCTCTCTGGTGTGGGCTTTCTCTTTCTTTGCACTGGCGGGTGTCTTCGTAGTCGCTTGGACTTCACGCTCCTTTCGAGGTTCGGTGTTTTCTGGGTCGAAGGTCCACTTCAGCGCGGTACCAGCTGTGGCCTCGGGGATATCCAAATCGAGGTCTTCGTCGGTCGGTCGGGGTGGAGGTGAAGAAGGGGCTCGGTTTGAGTTCTTCCGCGAAGGTGTAGTAGCTGGTCGCTTGCGCTTCTTTGGTGCGGCTGCATCTTCATCAGAGTCATCGGCAACGATGAAGTCGTCCATTTCTATACTCGGTCAGCAGTGTTTTGGAGCGCGCAAAGAGTGATAGACTTACCATCATCCGAGTATCCGGCGTCTCCTGCCTCCTGGAACTCGTCCTCACTCTCAGGAGAAGTCTTCCTGCGCTTGGCAGCGCGCCCATTCGCATTACTCTTGCGACTGGGGCGGAAGATAACATCGTCGTCGTCCTCGCCCTCCGAATCGGTTTCCTTGTAGCTGACCTGCTTCTTTTTGGCCTGAAATAAAAACGATAAGTCTATGGCAGATATAGGCAAGGGCTATATGCAGTGTACATACTCTTCGCGAGGGAGACATGTTGGCGTCCTGGATTTCGTCGCGTCCTGACTGAAGGGGAGAGGAAACGTTAGCGAGGGAACATGTTGGGAAGAGAAGAGGATCCAGATGTACCTTCACCTTGTCACCGTTCTCCTCATCTTCCTCTGGAATAGGAAGATCACTGCTCGGCACCGGGGTCAAGTCCTGGGCGAAGCTGGAGAAATTCCTCTTAGGTGTAGGTTTCACGGCACTGGCTACACGTTTCTCGCTGGCTCGCTGGGCTGGGGACGAGGCGGGTTCACGAGGTTTGTCGTTGGAAGGAGTTGCCGGCGAGGATTTCTGAAAGAATCCCAGGATTGACTTCTGGTTCTTCATGTTCTGTGTGCTCGAAGTTGTCCGCTTTAGAGCTGCTTGGGGTGGGGTCGCAGTCGGCGATGAGGCGGAACCCTTCGCCATTGTCGTTGATCCTCTATATCGCTATACCTAAGATCTCAATTGAGGTGTAAATAGAGTGTTCAATATTGAACGTCTCACAAGAATTCTGAATGTGTGATGAACAGACGAATTGACAAGGGAGAGGATGGATGAGACATGAGACGATAGGAGATAAGGCGCGAATCGCGTCGACGCGTAGAGTGGATCTCAGCAGAAAGTCTTGGCGTCTCCACGTTCATACTCGACAGGTCAAATTTAGTTATTCGGTGGTACAGACGGAATTTGATCAGAGTATTGTTGTCATTTTAGAAAATCAAGAGGCTCAAGATGCATATTGTACAGGAGATTATGCGACACCAAGTCTAAAAATACAAGTAGAGATATCATCCATCATCTTTACAAATGACCAGCAGAATCACTCCTTCGACTCGGTCGATTCCGAGGGCTCCTCCTCCCATCCGGGGGCAGTCAGCCCCTTAGCACGGAAGTCCTCGTCGCTAATAATTTCGACCATCTTGAACTTCCACTTGCCGAGCTTAAGCATCAGAAGGTTGTCGCCGATGATGTACTCCTGGGTCTTCTCCGCAGGCCAAGGACGAATAGGAGTAAACGCAAGATCGTCAGACATGGGCCCGCTGTCGCCAGGACGGCTACCCACATAGGCACCGTTGTTCACAATTACACGGTGGCCCTCGCCCTTGGAAGCCACGAGGCCAGCAGACCACAAAATCTTGTTGAAGGATTGGTTGTGAACTAAGGATTTGGGAAGAGTGACCCGAGCATTAGGCATGTTGGCGAAGTTGGTCTGGGACGCGTACGGGTTTCCTGACTGGGGAGTCGCGAAGCCGGAGGTAGAAGATTGAGCGTGGCTGGCAGGGGGGTTCGTGGTCCGAGGCATCGGGGATGGCTCGCCGGTTGAGGACCGAGGCCGGAACAGCTGGCGGTGCTGAAGCGAGACGGCATCCGCCTCTTCTTTACCGTGGACCAGCTCAACAAACTCATAGGCTAGCTTGTGCTGAGCCACGCGCTTCGAAGCATCCTTGTTCTGCTCCTCCATAATCGAGGCAATCTCGGGCAGGGGGATGAACGTAAACAGCTTGAGGTATTTCTCCACGGTGTCATCAGGTGTGCGGACAAAGAACTGAAAATTGTTAGTCATGTATCAATAGAAGAATATGACAACTTCGACTCACCTGGTAGAGCTCAAAAGTAGAAGTCATGTCCTTGTCAAGCCAGATAGCATTACCCGCAGACTTTCCAAACTTCTCTCCAGAGGGCGCAGTTAGAAGAGGGGTTGTGAATCCAATAGGTCGGTCAAGCTCCGATTCCAAAGGATTGCGGAGCTGTTCGTCAGCAGTGTTGCGGCTGATCGCCTTCACAGCATCCATTCCAAACAGGATATTGCCGTATTGGTCGGATCCTCCAACTTGGACTTGTGTACCCTTTTGGAACATAGTCCACCAATCCCATGCCTGAAGAAGTGGGTAAGAGAATTCGGCGAAAGACATGCCGTCACCCTGGCTCAACCGAGTCTTGACACTGTTCGGGTTCGTTAGACCATTCCTCACTGACTAGAAGAGACCATGCAGACTTACGTGTCTCGGCCCAGCATGGGGCCAAGTCGCATGTATGCGCCCAAATCCCGTAGAACCTGAATAAAAGGCATCGAGTTCCACCAAGTGTTATTGTTGAGCAGCGCCCGTTTCCAGATAGGTTTCCTCTCATAGCCGTGTCGTCGGCCGTACTGCTCAATGCTGGAGCCCAGCTTCTTCAACTGCATGTGCATGCTCGCCATGTTCGCTTTGCGAATTGAGGAATGAACTTGCTCACGTCCCTTCAACCGTCCCGTTGGGTCACCCACTCGAGATGTTGCACCACCAAGCTTTATGACGGTTAGTCCCTGGTTTTTCCATTATGAACAGGTCGTATAGACTTACCAGGAAAGTCACTGGCAATCCCCAAACATATCCCCAGGCCAATACCATGAAAGGCAGCATGTGTCCAACATGCATCGAAGGTGCTGTGGGGTCGATTCCGACGTAGATACCAGCTCTCTTCTCGGTGAACACTTTGTGTAGTAGTTCGCGTTCTCTATAAGCCAAGAAGTATGTCAGTCTTCGGTACCATAGTAGACCAGACTCAGTAGGATGAAGCCAAAGGGAATAGCACTCTTACCCGACAACATCGTGTATCAAACCTCGGTCCTCCAGATGGGCCGCGAAGTTCTTCCGCTCTCCTGCCTTAATCTCCTCAGCATGTCGAGCCCACTCCTCTCTTCCCTCCTGCATGCGCTGGAGATATTTTTGCGTAATCCATCGCCTGTGTTGCCTTGGATCAAATTGCTGTGAAGAGAGAGCTGAATGGCGGGTTTTGCATCGGAGTGGATTTGTTTGCGCAGCAACCCCAAAGCTGCGCGCTCCGCATGGTGCCCTCGGAGGGAGATGGGCGTTGCGACAAGTCGCCCGGGGAAGCGATGCCGTCCTTGGCCACATTGGACCGGTCTGTAAGATCAATTTAGAGCGACAAAGCTCACAATGATCTAGAATGCGATTCGAGTTGTTCCGCAGCAGCTCCGAGAATCTTTCGATAAGAGGCCGGATTATCGTTGATGCGAGTTCCCTGACTGCTTTAATTTCAGCAACTCTCCCTTTAACAAGCCGGCAAGCATGATAGTCGACGTTTTAAGAAATGTGAAAAACGCGGTTTATGTTTGAACTGATGCTAAATCTAATCTTGAACATTGTACTATGCCATGAAAATCTGGACAAAGGCCTGGTTACTCCACCCGCTGTCCAGCTTCATCGCCTTCCAGGCTGCAAGAACATCAATAGCCAACATATTGGCATTGTCTCCGCCCTCTTTCCAAACAGTCTTCTGCGGCACTGGCTGCCCGAGTATCATGACCATGAAATCATCGGCAATACTACGGTCTTGCAGATCAGAAACGTAAAGCCCAAGCGTGCCAAGTGCCTTCAAATGAACATCACAGCGCAAGCGCCCATTTTCGACAACATGGATGTCCGAAGAAACCACCGCTGCAGCTCCAGTCATCTTTCCAAGAAGGCCAAAAACCGCTACATGAGTGAGGGCTTCACCTGAAGGGCTGCTACCGCGGCTTCCCTTCAGCGCGAATGATCGAGTCGGATACGCAGTGAGGATCTCCCATCCTTTTTGTTCCAGCAAAACAGACACCAGGGCATTTTGAGCCAGCGGCTTCAAGCGATCGGTGACTTTGCCACTTGTATGGGCACGGATGGCATACTCGCCGTCGGAATCATCTTTAATCCCAGGAAAGTCTGTCAAAGAGACGATGCACGACGCCTCGGCTGAATGGATGTTGAAAAGACCCAAAATGCCGCTTCCAGTCTTTGCCCAGCCTGTATAGCTTCCGACACGCAGAACATGGCCCTCATTGTAGTCATGGTAAACGTCAATGGTGCGGCCAATCACGCTTGGGCGCAAAATGACAGTGGTACCTAGCACAGTGAGTGCCGTCATCTGATCAATGACTTTGAGATCGTGCTTTCCAGGCTCGTCCGTGATGTAAATTGGTCCGCCAGAGACGCAACGAGCTGCAGCATGGAAAGAAGCGTACGGATGACTGGTTTGGAACATATCCCAGTCTGGTACAACGTTGAGATACCGAGTGAGAAGTGCATTGTGCGCATTGCAGAAAACATGCCAAGGATGAGATGCTGGGATTTCGGGGAAGAAATCATCCGAATTACGCAATATAAGGGCGGGCTTGTTCGTTGGCAATTGAGAATGGAAGATCATCTGCGGTGTCATTGACATGCAGGAAGTGGCCCGACTGCTGAGGTGTTTCAATATGGCGAGTGACCAAGCATCCTGGTAAGATGTCATGAACCTCTTGCGATCTTCCGGGTCGTCGAGGAGATCAATGAAAAACTGGGCATCGGCTTTGACAGAGTCAATACCTATCGATTTAAGGTAGCCGTAAAAGTCATCGTAGAACCGTTGTACGTCATCAGGATCAATTGCAAGGATCTTTCCATCTGGGATATTGTCCGCAATGGGGCCTCCAGACGCAGGATCTCTTATCTTCACTTCCTTGGTCTTGTATCTCTTTGCAAGGTCTCCGTCCGGGCAGATTCCGCCCCAGTAACCGAGCAAAGCGTGCCAGACTGCGATATGTCCTATATTGGGATGAGATCGACGGATCATCTCAACAGTTTGCTTGAGACCTCGCGGGAATGCCTTGGGATTCGCTTCAAACTGCTTCCATCGACGCTTGAACTGAGACTCGCCCTCATTATCGAGACTCTGCCAGTTGTCGTCGATGATGAGATTGACAACATGAATCCCATGTGCTTTCATGGTATCAAGTGCGTCTATAATCTTTTCCTCATTCAGATCCTGGCCAAGACTATTCCAAGTGCAGTATGTCAGGCCGTCGAACCAGTCAGCAAGCCACTGGATTTTCGGGTCTTTCTCCAAAACCACAACATCGTCCCCTAGCGGTGATAACGGGGGCTGGTCCACAGACTCGCTCGACAAAGTGCCGTATGGCCTAACGATCTTCCTCGACTCATATATCACAGCTGACATGGCGACCTCGAAGTTCTCCGCGACCGCGGCTAAAGCTTGAAACTCGACGACCTCGGTATTGTCGCTTCTGGCTTGTATCACTACTTCTCCATTATCACCCGATTGGAGAACAGTCAGGACGTCGTTGATTCCGGAAATGGCCAGAAGTACAAGATTCGTCCCATCTGTTCGAAGGAACGAGCATAGTATCGCATCCTCGGTCAATCTGAACTTGTCCTTGCCATGTCGAGGACCTAGCCATGGTGTCCAAATTCGTACCAAGGAGAAATACTTGATCGTCGATGAAGGCGTGCCGAGTGCCAATGTTTTGACTCCAGAGATACCTTCCTCCGCGGCATCCACGTCTCCATGAATCGCCCATATAATAGATCCGGGCGCCTCCGTACGTCGTGATTCAACCCGCACCTCTGATGACAGGTTGTCGATATATTTGGCAAGCTCTGCTTTGGCATCAGCTAAGGATGTATCAGGGGATAACGAATGAAGATCAATCCCGTCCTTGGAACCAAAGACAAGCTCTCCATCATTAATTGATTGCTGCTGATTGGCCCACTGCCATTGGGTATCTGGGCTGGTTCTAAAGCGGACCGTAAATTTTGCATGCCCACTTGACGTCGGCAGGTGGATTTCGTCTGAGAAAACATAACGATGATAATTGTATTCGGCATCTTTTCCATTCAGCAATGGTGCAATAGAAGGATCGCATTTCTGAAGCGAAAGAGCAGTCCATTCAGAGCTAGTGATGTTATGCCAGATCTGCGCTTCCCATGATTGCGTTGGAAGAGAGGCGCTGGATTCAATCACAACTGTAAATCGAACCTAGCCAGCAAATCAGCATATAAAAAAAAATAACTGCGTCTCTGGCCTTTAATGATAGGTGAGAACAACGCCTTGTGCACGTACCGTATCATCTTCCTCGGGCTTTAATTCTTTCTGCCTCTGCAGGCTGGTAACTTGTCCCAGAGGCGGGTAACACGACACTCGAGCAAACAGACCCATTTGAGCTGGGCGAATAAACGTTGCCTGACGTATCTTTTGGTACTCGCCCGGTCCGATGATGGGGAGGGTGGAAGCTATATTCCTAGTTCCGGCCTGCATCTGGGGCCGTGAGGGGTAGATCTATTTGAGGGTCACTGGTGTCAAGGAAAGGTGCCAAGTAGTGCAGTTAATTGAAAAGTTTTGTAAAAAATATGTAATATCTGTGACGTATCACAGTTTTATCCGGAAAGATGTACGTGGGAGGGTATGGATGAAGAAGCTTGTTGGTGTGGGGGGTATGATGATGGTATATACGAGAAGGCGGGGAAGCTCGCCGATCTTACCTTCGTCGTTCATATCTTATGCCACTCTACTTTCTAACAAACTCGTCTCATCACATCTGACAGCTACTGAAATTATGGAGCAGCCTCATTATTTACTTTCAATTTTTTTGCCTCATAGTCTGGAAAATCCTTTCTGCAGACGATGCAGCTCGGCCTTCTCCGTGTCTGAGAAAATATATCGGCCCTTAGTTGACCTTGATAGTCAATTTTCCAAAATGCTTTTGTGCCCACTGTGCCATTTGGTTAATATACGACCGGAATAAAAGGGCATCATATTGACTTACCATGTACTCATAGGCGTCCCGGGCTTGATCAAGAGTGAAGACCTTCTCATCCACGACCGGGTGGATATCGTTGGCCTCGATCGCGCGGATCATGTCCCGCATGAGAGCCTTACTACCCACATACACACCACGGACGGTACAAATGTTGCTCAATGTGTCCAATACTGCAGGCTGGTCCTGGGCATTGACGCCACCCAGGAAGCCAATCACGCTGATGACGCCCTCGTACTTGATGCAGTTGAAGCTCTGTCGCAGGGTTCCAGGTCCGCCAACCTCAATAACATGATCCACACCTGCGGCATCTGGAGTGAGCTTGCGAGCGGTTTCGCCCCAGTGCGGATCGATCTTATAGTTGATGACGTGGTCGGCTCCGAGCTTCTTGAGCTTCTCGCCCTTCTGGTCGGAGGAAGTCGTTGCGATCACAGTGGCACCAGCAGCTTTGGCAAACTATCGGACACGAAGGTGTTAGCGATTACCGTGACTGTTATTTTGAAGTATCGAGAGCATACCTGCAAGGCGAACATGCTGACACCTCCGGTTCCTTGAACCAGAACAGTCTGACCAGGCTTCAACGGCTTCAGGCCATATAGAGCATTCCAACTTGTAAGGGCTGCACATGCAAGGGTGCTATTTTCGAGGGCACTGAGGTTCTTGGCAGCTTTCACGAGTCCCTTCTCGTTGAAGATACCATATTCACGCAAAACACCATCAATCACACCACCCAAACCAGTGTGTGTCGCGGGGATATCGATTTCGCCATACTGGTGTCCTTGGTTGAAAAGAGTCGCCACCCTGTCACCCTTCTTGAACTCGGTCACCTTAGAACCCACCTCGACGACCTCGCCGGCCCCGTCGGAAGCGGGAACGACGGGCAATTTGGTCGGGAATGGGTACTTGCCCTAGAACATGGTATTTGGATGTCAGAACATGAGTGTCCGAGAGATCTCACGCATCTCGTAATCGAGTATGCTATGTACCTTGGGAATGATCAAGTCACGGTAGTTCAGCGAAGCAGCTTGGAGCTTCACCAGTACTTCGCTCTCGCCAACTTCCGGCACTGGCGCATCTTGATAGACCAGGCCGTCAAAATCCTTGTCCTTGCTCTCCACCACCCATTGCTTCATGGTAGACATTGAAATATTTTGATTTGGGCTTTTCAAAAATATAGCTTTTATCACAGTCTCAATGATTGTCGGAAATTGGAGATTGGCGGGGTGCTTTATATGGTTGTCGGGCTCTTGACGTAGATACCGGTTTGACGACTCCACAATTCATGACGGCACAATGAATGAGAACGAATAAAATCGAGTCACCATTTCCGCCTCTTTCCCTACTCTGGTATGATTAGTAGCTTCCATCGATCGGCTTGATTAGAGCAACTCCTCGGAGACATAATACAACAAGCTGACAAATATGCCTTTCTACCAGTTTAAAGGCCAGTGATGCTGTGCAAAATGACTTATTAAGGTGTCTGCTTTCTAGACATAGCTGCCAACCAGTTTCTTCTTGGAATGCACATTGTCAAATAGCAAAAATACCATATACCATTTAGCTGAGATTTAACAGTTTTACAATCTTGTGCCGTCGAGTGATAGCCCAAAGCTAATTGGTTGGTGCGGTAATGGAAGACTAAGTAAGGTGTAAGCCACCCGTGCCCATTGTCTTTATGACGAGTGCACCGTGGATAAACAGGGTTGATTGGTTGAGCTTCACATCCTTTCCATTTTACTCGGCATTCCGCGCTTGGTGAAGGTGATATGCTGATCCAGCTCAAAACCCAGTCTGTTGCATATCTCTAACGAAGGAGTCAAGAAATCTCTGTTGGAAGTATTGGAGGTCCTGTCATGTCCGGGCTAGGAGGCTGAGGGTGCCCGCTCATCCACATTTGGGTATACTGACGGGTCGAGGGGGCGTTGTTGGTTGCAACCCGGCCTTGCGAAATCCCTCAATGTCCTTTCCGATCCATTCGACTGTCTGTTCAAAGCCCTTTTCATATTTTCTCATGTATTCCCACTGCCCCAAAGCGACTCCTCGGGGGGTAGATCTCCCGCGCCACCAGAGGCAAGAGTCCTTGCCAGCCATGCTCAATAGTGCGGAATGGTACACAGAGCTTGACCAGGGCCTTCCCACATTGAGGGTATTACCCGCGCCCCAGTCATGACCAACCCATATGGCTGCGTCGTGGCGCGTATCAGCTAGAAGAGCTATCTTAGCCTCGACAATGGCCTCTTGGGGGTAGTCATCAAAGATCCGACGGGCAGTCGACTTTCCGTACCTGGGCATATCAGGAGCGATCGCACGAAATCCCACAGAGGCGAAGGCATCCAGCTGCGTCTTCCAAGTAATGGCAGTTCCCGGCCATCCATGAATGAAGAGAATTAGCGGGCCATTCACAGAGCTGCTGCCAGGTAGTGTATTCATTTTCGTCTGCGTAGACGACACAATGATTTGTAATTTCTACCAGCCTGGCAGGCAACAAGTGCGTGTGCGTGTACGATTCAGCTTGTAGCACCAAAGACAATGCGGAAGATAAGGTACAGTGGGTTAAGATCTAAGTGAGCGCTAAATTCCACTTTAAGCCTGTACCCGCTATTCGCGGATTGGTTAAATAGGAGTCAGCCACATCGCCGATCCCGTTGACGATCTACAATGGCTAAACCATAATTCCCCGGGAAGGCATCCAACTTCCATGGGTAGCCGATGCAGTGTTTCGAATTCAGTCGGCAACGTGGTCCTTGTTTGCTACCTACCCCTGTTTGCCGGCATCCCCCCGGTTACCGTTACTGAACGGAATTAGGCACCGGACTTAAGCCCACGGCCGATGAAATGCTGGTCCTATTTCGCCTTTATCGATGAGATGCCGGTGGTATATCGGCTTCGTTGTATGAAGTCCGTCAAGGACGTCCACGGGTAGTATTGAAAAAGCTGGCATGCTCATCGTCGAAAGGCATGCTACCCATCAGCTCTACACTTTGACCGTCACACACCTCCCCCAAGAGAAATATGCCTGCAATTGTCGGAAAGGAATTTGGTCCCATTGGCTTCGGCCTGATGGGATTGACCTGGCGAGCAACACCGCCATCGCAGGAGCAGGCCTTTGAGGCTATGCGCGCTGCGGTTGAGAATGGATGTATGTGACGAGCTTTGCTAGCGGCGACCTATGTCTTGTCATGTTCACTTCTCAGCTAACGCTGCTATAGGTACTTGTTGGAACGGTGGTGAATTCTATGGCCCACCTGACTACAACACCCTCGTTCTCCTCGAGCAGTATCTGGAGAAGTATCCCGAAGATGCTGATAAGATTTTCCTCAATATCAAGGGTGGAGTCAACCCCCAAACCCACCAGACCGATGCCTCGCCGGAGAATACGCGCCGGAGTATCGATGATTGTATTGCACAGCTGAAGGGCCGCAAGAAAATCGACATCTTTGAGTTTGGCCGTCGGGACCCAGCGGTCCCTCTGGATATGACTTTTGGTCTGATCGAAAAGGAGTATATCCAGACCGGCAAGATCGGAGGCATTGCGCTTTCCGAGGTACGGGCTGAGACTATCCATGAGGCCGTCAAACACACTGCGGTCGTCGCGGTAGAGGCTGAGCTCTCCCTGTGTGTTGTCTGAGCCCTCAAAAAACCTTTGATGTGTATTAACAGAACTAGGTTCTCTACTGATATCCTAGAGAATGGCGTCGCAGCGGCGTGCGCCCAGTATGGGATTCCAATCATCGCCTACTCGCCTATTGGCAGAGGCATGTTGACCGGTCAATTCAAAAAATGGGACGACCTCCCACAAGACTCTTTATTGCTCTCTTTCAACTTTCCGCGCTTCCAGAAGGAGAACTTCGACAAAAATGTGCAGCTGGTAGAAAAGGTTGAGCAGATGGCGAACACTAAAGGCTGTACCCCGGCTCAGCTTGCGATCAACTGGACCAGAGCGCTCTCTAGACGTCCCGGGATGCCCACTATCGTTCCCATTCCTGGTGCCACCACTGCGGGACGGGTGGAGGAGAACAGCAAGCTGATTGAAATCTCGGATGAGGAAATGGCGGAGATTGACGATATCCTGGCCCAATTCCCCCCGCAGGTGGACGTTACCCCGAGATCTTCCAGACCAACACCTGAATATTATGTCTAGATTGCATTCAGTTAGATATCAACGTCGTGAAATTTTGCAAATTCATTCATTCCATAGACCCCTGAAGATCCGCAGCGTTGAGCTTCTGCCTCACCCTGGGGACAATTAAACCGCTTCCTTCTGTTGACCCCTACCTAGCATTCACCAATTCTACTAACTTCTAGAGTGCGCAAACCACAATGACTTTCCCCAGCATCGCCGCATTCGGAAACGCGACGTATCGTTGGAGTAGCTTGGTCGCACCCTCCTACGCCGTCGCGATCCCCGGCCACTGGAGATGATGTTGCGAAAGCGGTAGCCAATAAAGTCCTTGAGTTGAAGGTCAATGGATTCTGACTGATAGCATTCTAGGTGAGGATCGCTCGATTTCATAAATCTTCCGTTCCTGGCGGCCGGCGGCCGGCATTCGTCCAGCACAACTCTGAGCAACGTGAAAAATGGTGTCGCCATTGACTTGAGCAAGCTCAAATCCGTCGACGTGGATGCAAAAGCAGGTACTCTGACAATTGGCGGCCGCACCTTGTTCGGTTTCTATTATTCGTCCTGTGTATGAGGCTGTTTATCAAATGCGTCGGTTCCTTCGCCCTATCCGAATCTTTATGTTCCGCTGTACTGATATTAATCGTTCCAGCAATTGGATCCTGTGCATGCCTAGGGATGGTTGGGGCCACCGAGTGGTGATGTTGGTCGGTTTCAGGGCGTTGACGGCCTGATCATTGACAGTCTCTTGTCTGTCCGCCTAGTGACGGCGGATGGCAAGTTGCTCACTGTCTCGGAGACATCTCATCCGGACTTGTTCTGGGGGCTTCATGGTGCTGCTCTAAACTTCGGCATCATCAAGTGGGCCACGTACAAGTCGCATGCCCCGAAAAACAACGGCCAATCGTCAATGCCGACTTCATCTTCTCAGCCGCCGCGAATGCATCCTATTTTGACATCATCCAGTCCCTTCAGGGCACGATACCTGCCGAGCTCTCCGCCATTTCCATTCCGGAGTACAATGACACTGTTGGGGAGGTGCGTCCGTTGATCCAACCCTCTTTGTCAGACCAGAGAAGCCCTTGCTGACCTATCGAACAGCCTCAAATCCTCTGGAGTTTCTTCCCTTGCTAGTTTGAGGTTTAAGGGATGTCAAGCTTCTCCAAGCTTCCCAAGCTTTCCCAAGCCTTCCCAGACCCTGGTCACAACGATCTATGTACGGTAAGTAGTCTCCATAAGGGCCCAATGGACGGGAAAAACTGATATAACATAGTATCACAACGTTAAGTCCAGCCGACAATCTCCCCAAGTACCGACCAATCCCGCTTCTTCCCTGGTGGTTGCATCAGATGGGCGGGGATCAATGCGCACCTAGGTAGATTTATCGAATGATAGCGCCGTTGAGATTTCTCAACCTACGCAGTACAAGCATGTGGCGTCAGACCTATCTGGTAAATCCGTCGATACCTGGGGCATGCATCGGCTTTGAAGCGGTGCACCGAGTTGTGACCTTCCCCTTTGGGACAAGTTGTCAGCGTATGTCTCAAGCTAACTAGGCCATAGTGCTCATACGCCACCACGGGCTAGCATGATTGTGATATCTCTTGTCTTGCTTGATCAATGGTATATGAGAAAATACTTCCCAACACTTGCTACATGCTGAACATCATTAATTTTTATTTCTATTAGCCATTGGTTTTTTTGTCCATCGTTAACATGGCTGCAATGCCAGAAAAGATAGATGGCCCGATTGAACCTGGACAAGTTGCAGGTATTGCCGGTGAGAAAGATGGTTTGAAGGATACTTCTGCCAAGGAAGCTCTCAATAATTAAAAGGGAGCTTCCATTCACGAAGTCCCCCTTCCGGCTTACAGCGACGCCGATGCTCTCTCCAAGGAGAACCAAGGTCCCCTTGAGATTGCAGAGGAGATCATCACTCATGTCATTCATGTTGACGATGACCCAACGCTCAGTCCATGGACCTTTCGAATGTTCTTTATTGGTGAGTACATGGAAAATACCGATTCAACATTGAATATGAGCCAGGGGATATCCGTTAACCCAAAATAAGGTCTCGGATTATCGGGGTTCGGAGCCGTCCTCCAAGAAACCATTTATTTCAAGCCCCAAGTCATCTCAGTCATGTTCTTGACTGTCCTTGCGCAAACACTTGGTACTGCCATGTCTACGTTCATTCCCAGAAAGGGGCCCATTGGTCGGTTCCTGAATCCCTTCCCATGGAATCGAACGGAGCACACTGCAGCAGTCTCAGGCATCAGCTGCATCGGTCTCTGCTTTGTCGACAGAAGCTCTGGCTGTACAAAAGCTTTAGTATGGAGGATATCCCAACCAAGTGGCGGGTATTTTTATTACCCTTTCTTCACAACTCATTGGGTATGGTGTTGCAGGCATCATGCGAACCGTTTTGGTGAATCCCACTAAGATGCTGTATCCCATCAACTTACCCATCACCACTGTCATGGAAACACTGCACAAGCCTAAAGCAGAGACCAAACAGAGATTTCAGGTGTTTTGGCTTGTATTTGTGGCCGTCTTCTGTTGGGAATGGTTCCCCGAGGTTCGTTGGCCCAATCACATCGGTCTAAACCTTGTCCTAACATTAATTAGTACATCTTCCCACTTTATCCGCGGTTTCGATCTTCTGCCTGGCCAACCAGAATAGCCTTGTCTTCACAAACCTATTCGGTGGCTCCCAAGGTAATGAAGGAATGGGACTTTTGTCCGTCTGCTTCGACTGGAATAACATTGCCCGTTTCGGGTCACCACTTTGGATGCCTCTTCAGACCTTGATCAACAGCTTCATCGGTTATCTAGGAGGTATTGCCATTTCCATGGTCCTTTACTACGGCAATGTTTGGAGAGCTATGGACTTTCCTTTCATGTCTCAACTTCTCTACGACCAGAGCTCCAACTCCACCAGCTACGTTCAATATGATGAGGCTGCAATCATGAACGCAGACTTTACTGTCAACAGCCCTCTGGTTGATCAGACTGGGGCGCCTTACCTCACTGCAACATATGTGAACTATCTCATCACATCCAACGCTGGTCTCACCGCCACGATTGTACACATGTTACTCTGGAACTATGCCGAAGTGAGTCTTGGATGGTCTTGGATTACGCTGAAGGGTCTGAAGAAGCTTTTAGACCCTTCGCTTTACATGTTCTGGCGACACACTGGCGTTCGAACTGAAGAAGATAAGGAACGAATCCGTCAGAATCCCACCATTGACCCTCACTAGAAGTTGATGCTTGATTATGACGAAGTTCCAAGCAGTTGGTATTTCTGTGTCTTTATCTTGAGTTGGATTGTTGGTCTTGTATGCTTATATGTCATGAATTCAACCCTTCCATGGTGGGGCTCTATTATCGCGACCCTCTTCTTGGTGACCTTTATGGTCTTTTTCGGGGCGCAGTTTGCCATCACAGGCTTCGGGTTCAACTTGCAACCAATTACCAAATGCTTGCTGGGTACATGATGCCCGGACACCCCTTGGGTATGCATATCACTATCACTCCTTGGGTTCGTTTATGTACTCTGACTGACGAGTTTCCAGCCAACATGTACTTCAAGACTTATAGTTACAATGCCCTGAGTCAAGGATGGCTGCTGCTCCGTGATCTAAAGCTAGCCCAGCAGAACAAACTGTCTTCGAAAGCTACTTTTGTCACCCAAGTCATTGGCTGCATCATGGGAGCCCTTCTTAACTATGTTACGATGATATCGTGAGTCAACAAAGGCATATCATATTGACACTTAGTCTAATCAGTCATTAGGATTGTCCAAAACCAAGCAACCATTCTTGAGTCCGCTGAGGGTACCAACATCAGGTCTGGAGCCCAAATCCAGCAATTCAACACTCTCGCCATTGCTTGGTCCATTGCTCCCAAGATGTTCTCTGTTGGCGCTCGCTACGAATGGGTCACCATCGCATTCTTAATCGGCTTCATTACTCCACTGCCTTTCTACATTATGCACCGTCACTTCCCACAACAGCGAATTTGGCCGTACTTGAACACGTCCATTATCCTATGGTACCTTGGATACCTGTTTGTGGGTCTTAACGCGTCTCTCACGAGCTACTACATCCTCGGTGCCTTCGGTCAATTCTATCTGCGACGTTATCGACCACAATATTTCGTCAAGTGGAATTACCTCATCTCTGCGGCACTAGACGGAGGCACTCAAGTCATGGTGTTCTTGGCCACTTTTGCCGTCTTTGGTGGGTCCGGAAAATCAGTGCCCTTCCCAACATGGGCAGGTAATCGTACGGACCATTATGACTATTGTGCGTACAATGCTCTGAGTTGATCTATTCTCTACTTAGTTCCTCTCAGTGTTTTCCCATCATGTTGATGACTGTGTACTGTGGCTGCTTTTCCGTTGGAACGAATCGGATATAGCACGAAGTGGCTGCGTTTTCCGAGACGTACCTAGCATTCACTTGATAACCCAGAGTCTTGCTAATTCATAATTTATCTTTCTACCCATTTTTCCACATGTTTTGTACTCCGAAGGACATTAATAGTCAGTACCCCTGTGTTATTAACTATACGCTACAACTTTAATCTAAGCTCCATGCCTGGCCGTGTGGGGCCGGCAATTGTGCCATCCAAAGCTAATATCGCGCATGTTTCTAAGCATCCACTCGACCCATGGCTATCAGATGATTTTGGTGAGAATGAGATCAGCAAACTATGTGGCAGCCCTGGTCTGGCGCAATGCGATCACTGATTAGCGTGGAGGGGGAGGGGTATTCGGCAGCGATGCAGGAGCATAAATAGATCGAGTCCGTCCGTTCGCATCTGCTCCTGAAGCATACCCAACCTTGTTATACGTTTTGTTCAATCTCATTCTCTGAGCCAGTCAAACATGTCTCTAGGACGCACGTTCAAACTGAACTCGGGCTACGAGATCCCCGCTGTTGGTCTCGGAACTTGGGTAGGTGATGCTTTATTCTCAGTATCATGAATTTTCCACTAATTGATTCGCCAAATAGCTCTCCAAGCCTAATGAGGTCGAGAACGCGGTCGAGGTTGCTCTTCGCAAGGGGTACCGTCACATCGATGCGGCAGCGTGCTATCAAAATGAGAACGAAGTAGGAAATGGGTGGAAGAAGTCGGGTGTTCCCCGCGAAGAGATCTTTGTATGTTCGCCCTGGAACTATAAGACAGGGCAAAAAACTCTCGATCACTAATCGTAACTATGGTCGCGTATAGATCACCAGCAAACTCTGGAATACCCATCACCACCCTGATCACGTCGAAGAAGCCCTCAACAAGACACTGAGTGACCTCCAGACCGACTATCTTGACCTTTACTTGGTATCATTTGAGATCGCCTCCAACGGTTCGGTTCGGGCTGTCGGCTAACTTCTCAAAGATCCACTGGCCCGTCGCTTTCGAGTATACCAACGAGACCCTCACCCCAGTCGATCCGGTGACGAAGCGATTCCGCATTGCCGATGTCCCGGTCGCTGATACGTGGGTTGTGTTGGAGAAGTTTGTCGAGGCTGGTAAAATCCGCAGTATTGGAATCAGCAATTTCACCGTCGAGGCGACGCAATCGCTGCTCAAGATGGCGAAGATCCCTCCCGCAGTGAACCAGATCGAGGCCCACCCTTATCTGTTGCAGCCTCAGCTGTTTGACTTTTTGAAAGAGAATGTAGGACTACCCCATGTAAATGGCGTCCTGAGATCACTTACTGATTGTCTCTTGTAAATATAGAATATTTTACCCGTCGCTTACAGTCCGCTTGGAAACAACATCTACAACCTGCCACGGTATGCAAAGAAAACCCCACGTCGATATGCCGTTTTTGCATGCTAATACCTTTATTTCCACAGTGTTGTTGACGACCCAACCGTGGTGGAAATTGCTAAGAAGCTAAACAAAGATCCAGCGATTCTACTTATCTCATGGGCTGTCCAGCGGGGCTCTGCAGTTCTCCCCAAGAGTGTCACACCTTCTCGCATTGAGAGTAATTTCCAGGGTACGTCTAGACAATTTCATAATCCTCTGCATAATTTGTGTGCTTCCATAGATTGACAAAACAATATTAGATTTCGTTATCCCTGACGCGGAATTCGAAGCTCTCAACAAGCTGGACCGTAACGAGCGGTACAACTATCCCTTCCGCTGGGGTGTTGATGTCTTTGGCGAGTTGGGAGCTGCTGAAGCTGAGCGACGTGCCGAAGAGCATGCTGCAAAGTTGCGCGAGAGCTCATGAGAATAGATGGTATTATGGCAATCGATAGACAGCCCAGGGGTCAATTGGACGAATAGCCACTCAGTGGAAGCAGGTGCCGCTAAACCTTACCAATATATATAGCGGCAATGTTCCCCCAACAGGGCGGGTATATTGGACAATCTCGAGATAAAAGTAGTCAAATATAAAATGGTATGGTAGAGCTCAATCATCACTGGAAATGTGATTGAGGATATAGGTAGTAATGGAAGGTAACGAAGAAGGCCTGCGCGTGTCACTATAAGCAGGGATATTCGCGTATAGACACATCCAGAACGCGGAACAGGCGTTCTTCAAACTCTAACCCGAGCCGCTCAGCTCTCCTCCATACTTCCCATTGATACACGAAACAATTCTATCAAATAGGAATAGCCACCAAATCAGAGCCAGCATCCTTTGTTCAATTGCACTATCTGGTCGATCATGCCAGCAACGAAAGAGGGTCGAGTCATGAAGGCCAAGAAAGCTCATCGGTCGGTAGAAACCCCCACCAGACGCGTCTCGGGTGCCGCCAAAAGTAAGTAAATAACTTTCCAATCTGCTTGTCCGGATGGACATCGGATATTACGCTATCTCTAAATGACATGAGAGCTTAATACCAGATGAACATGTTGATTAAACCGATCAATCCGACGCGTGCTAATGCGATATCCGCGAAGGCCTGCCGCTGGTTGAGCGGACAAATGAACTCACCATCGAGGAATTCGCAACTCGATACGTGACTCCGCTCATCACAGGGACGCAGGAAGACACCCAAAGTGACTCTCTTGAAAAGAAGACGTCTATCGCGGCTGAAACACCACAGCTGGATGTGTATTCCGCAGCAACCATCTCCCGCGCCGATCTGGAAGCATGTCTCGATCTAGTCGAATTCACATCTGGCGCAGACTACGCCTCTTCAGGCGTAGGCTGGTCTCGCCCCAAGAAGCGCAAAGAAATGAAACTCCCCGATATGAAATACCTGATCCTGCGGGGCGACACGGGACACGCCTCGGATGCATCGCAGCGCGATGACCCCGAAGAATCCGACAAGCCGAGCTCACCATCGGGTCTCGGGAATCACTCCAATGTACTCGGCTTTTTGTCGTTTATGGTTACATACGAGGATGGGAAAGAGGTTGTTTATTGCTACGAGATCCATTTGTCGCCGAGGGCCCGGGGTCGGGGCCTCGGTGTGTTGTTGATGACGCGGATGGAGGAGATTGGCCGGCTTATCGGGTTGGAGAAGGCCATGTTGACGGTGTTCAAGTGCAATGCCACAGCTAGGAGGTTTTATGAAAAGGGTGGTTATGAGGTGGATGAGTATTCGCCGCAACCGCGGAGGTTACGGAATGGGACGATTAAGGAGTTTGATTATTTAATTTTGTCCAAGCGGCTGGGGGACTGAGTTGATGTTTACTATTTCTTTCTTTTTGTTGTTTCTGAAAAAAAGGAAACTCATGCAGTGATGAAAATGCTATGATCAATATACATTAGACTTGTTTTACTTCCTCGCCCTTGCGTTCGGGGTGATCTTGCTCCCACTCGTCTCTGAGCGCAGCAAAGATAACATCCGCCAGGAGGATCGAGAATCCTAGGCTCCACACAAGGGTAATGGCGTAGAAAAAGTTGGCATTGCCGGATCCAGCGTAGATCCAGAGGTGATAGAAGGCGGGACCAAGCAGACTCGAGTAAAGAAGAGCCGAAATGGCAAAGAAAGTGTACCGCATCACTAATTTGAAATTTAGTCAGGCCTGGGCAGAAGTCATGCATGATACTTGGATACTTACAGGGGAAGAGATGCCGATACAATGGAAGCAGCGCGAAAAATAGCGAAGCATCCGAGATACTGGGGTAGGGCTTGAACACGGCAAAGACACCCAGAAGTGAGGTGATAATGAAAAGAGGCTGGCGGCGCAGCCTTGCCGTGAGTCCACCAACATAGCTGGCCAGGTGAAGCCAGAACACTCCGAGGAAGAACTCCCGGAAGGAGTCGAACATCTCGATAAAGAAGTACCACCACAGGCCCACATTAGGGGTCAGGTCAGGGACCAGCAGGTGGAAGCCATACGTAGCTGACATGAATTCCCAGAAGTTCCCCGCGATGAGGAGAGAAAGTCCAAGTAATCCAGCAATGCCACCAGACAGAATGGCGCCATGTTGCAAGATGAACAGCGCAGTATTGGACGCCTGGGCGGACTTTTGGGCTCGCTGGTCGTAGCACAGCAGGGCAAGCGGGACGAACAACAGAGCGGGATAGAGGGAGAGATATGATGCAAAGCCGAGAGCGAGCATTGCGTTCAAGCTGTTACCGCTGACGGCACTCGAAACAGCGAACAGGATTCCCGAGGTTGTAAAGACGCTTGTTGATCGGGCCAAGCACGTTGCAATGGTGAAGGGGTTGAACAGGAACCTAAATGGACTGTGAGTAATTTGCCCAGACGTGGAGACAATTCAAGAGCTCAATACCATGCTGCCACTGAGGTCCCGTCCCACCGAATATGTTTCCGCATCGCAGAGTGTAACCTGCTCTGGACCGACTGGCCCGACGCGGAGATGGTTGACAACGCATGCGCGTTTAATAGATCGACAAGGAAATAGAAGATAGCCGTAGGGACCGGATTGGTTGTGACGTCGGGGAGTAAAGAGAATAGAGGGAGGAGGAGCGGTGCCTAGATCAGCCAGTGGTTAATCGAGGGGGACCAGTCTCGATGGATAGGCGTTGCTTTTCCCACCTGGTGGAAGACACCACCGTCGTACGGCGATACATCGCGTGTATAAAGATACAGGCCTTCTTGTACTATTCAAGGAGGTTAGCTTGTTGGATTACAGCGCCATTGAACTATTCGTAATCGCGTACGTCGCTTGAAGCTATTGACCGGCGTGGACACCTCAACTCGGCCAGTGAGCAAGTCGGGCAATGATGGGAAGAGACAAATGAGAAGCAGTCGCAACACAAAGGCTGCTCCAAAGACAGCTATCTTCCGTCGGTCCACCGCCATGACAGAGAAGCTGGCGGGTGGAAGAGAAGCTGTGGTCAGTCTAACTGTTGGATCTGTTGTTCCAGCTGTCCCTTAAAGCCGCCGAGGGACGAAAGGCGGAGGAACCACGGACGGCCGTCGTGCACGGGCCACCCGGGCCTTGTCGAAAAAAAGTTATCGAGAAATTTTCTTCTTCTTATCAGCAAGAACTGTTTGGCTTTCCAGTTATAGGACTCCAACAGATTTCACCATGGCGAAAATTAAGAAGAAGGGTATGCATTGTCAATGGATGGATCAAGTGAATATTGCTAATTATCTTTTCAACAGGTACCTCTGGCCAGGCCAAAAACTATATCACCCGTACCCAGGCCGTGCGGAAACTTCAGATTTCTCTGCCCGATTTCCGTCGCCTTTGCATTTTCAAGGGTAAGATCATTCATTTTGAGGTCTTGGATGGACTGCGATCCTAACCATATGCGTGATGAATAGGAATTTATCCCCGTGAGCCCAGGAACAAGAAGAAGGCCTCCAGGACTTCCACTCCCAACACCACCTTCTACTACACCAAGGACATCCAGTATCTGCTCCACGAGCCCCTACTTAACAAGTTCCGTGACCAGAAGGCTCTTGCCAAGAAGATCGCTCGCTCCCTGGGTCGTGGCGAAGTCAGCGACGCTGCGCGCCTCGAGAAGAACCACGCTCCCAAACTTACCCTTGACCATGTCATCAAGGAGCGCTACCCGACTTTCATTGACGCCCTTCGAGACCTCGACGATGCTCTTTCTCTGCTGTTCCTGTTTGCCACCCTTCCCTCTTCCGACCATGTCCCCCACAAGACCATTGCGCTTTGCCAACGTGTCTGCCACGAGTTCCAGCACTACCTGATCACCACCAACTCCCTGCGCAAGTCCTTCCTCTCCATCAAGGGTATCTACTACCAGGCCACCATCCAGGGCCAGGATATTATGTGGCTGGTTCCCTACCGATTCGTTCAGCGTGTCAATGGCGATGTTGACTACCGTATCATGGCCACCTTTGTCGATTTCTACACTACCCTGCTGAGCTTCGTCAACTTCCGCCTGTACTCCTCGATCGGATTGAGATATCCCCCGAAGTTCGACACCCGGAGTGATGAGAACGGTGCTGAGCTGGCTGCCTTCACCCTCGAGGGCCGCAACGTCACTGAGGCCCCCAAGGCGATCGAGTCCAGCAAGGCCAAGGCCATCGACACTAACAAGGAGGTTTCGAAGGAGGTTCAAGCCAAGGTGGATAAGGTTATCAAGGCTGCTGGCCTGGATAAGACTACCGATGAGCCCATGGCGGATGCTACCGAGGAGTCAAACGATGCCATTGACCGTTTCGAGCCTGCTGCCCCCGAAGCCGACACCCTTCCCCAGCCTGATATGAGCGGCAAAGATGCTGGCGCTCTTTTCGCTCCCTTCACCTTCTACATCTCTCGTGAGGCCCCCAAGGCCCCTCTCGAGTTCATTCTGCGCGCTTTCGGCTGTAAGCGTGTTGGTTGGGACGCCGTGATGGGCGACGGTGCTTTCACCCACGATGAGACCGACCCCCGCATCACTCACCAGATCGTCGATCGTCCTCAGCTCCCCGAGGGCTCTCTTCCTCCTGTCCCCGCCGCTGCTGAAGGTGCTACCCCCAAGGTGAAGCCCGGCACTCGCATCCCCGGACGCACATATGTTCAGCCCCAGTGGGTCTGGGACTGCGTTAACGACGGCAAGCTGCTCCGCGCCGATCTTTACGGCCCCGGTGCCACTCTTCCCCCTCATCTGAGCCCCTGGGTCAAGGCTTCTCGTGGTGCTTACGACCCGCGTGCCAGCTTGGCTGAGCAGGAAGACGAGGATGAGGCTGAGTTGGCCGAGGAAGATGACGAGGCCGAGGATAGCGATGAGGAGATGGAGGATGAGCCTGCCGCTGTTGAGAAGCCCGTTGCTGAGGAGTCCGAGGACGAGTCTGTCGATGGTGGTATGGATATCGCTGGAACCGATGACGACGAAAGCGAGAGTGAGGAGGAAGATGAAGAGGAGGAATTCCCCGGCGTCGAGGAGGAAGCCGCCTCTGAGTCTGATGATGACGACGAGGCCGCCCGCAACCAGCACCAGCGCGAGCTCGAGGCTGAGGCCGCCGGTCTGCCCTTCTCCGCCGGTGCCACTGATGAGTCTGCCAAGAAGAAGTCCGCCAAGTCCAAGAAGGTTGCTGCTAAGAAGCGCCAGGAGGACGAGGAGCTTGAGCGCCAGAAGATGATGATGAGTCGCAAGAAGCGCAAGCTGCTGGAGAAGATGATGTATTCGAACAAGAAGACGTCCGACGAGGCTGCCAAGCTCCGCTCAAAGCGACGCAAGCTTGAGAAGGGTGAGAAGGCTGGTCAGAAATAGATCTGAGCTGGGCCGTGTCAAAACTGTGAAGAGTGTTTATTTTTCATTATGGCGTTTGCGGATGGGAAAATCCCCTGTATATGCATGTCTAAAAATTTATGTCATCGAATTTAATCGTTTCATCACCACATGCATTCTCTCGTAGTCCCTAATCCCAATGTACTGAATTGTAAACATAGTTTGTGAGTGTCATAACTGCCTCTGGTCGATTTCTCTCCAGTTGTCTCCGAAGAAATTCCATGTCACGTGACATCATGATGCTGGTCCACTCGGTCAAATTTTTGATGCCTTTATGCCTTAACTCCTCATCAAACTCCTACACAAATGATCGGATCTTCATTTTTCAACCAGATCACCAATTTAGCGTGATGCTTGATCACTTCAGACGACTCAGAAAGCAATATTTGAATTGGAAAACACTATCAACGTGATATGAACAAGCCACGGCCCTTGTGTATCATACATCAACCACCCAAGTCTTCGAGGCATGTCCTCATTCTCAGATAATCAGCAACCATCTTCATCTCAGTTCTACCCACCACAGTCAGCACAGCCATATAATTCAATATTTGGCGGTCCAAGCAGCGATGTTGATACACCACCATCTTCTCTGCCGGAGCCACTTCGGAGGTCTCGAAGATCTCTATTCGGCGGCCAGAGCGGACTTGATGTTATTCCAGAGCAGGGAAATCTCTCCAGCTCCATGGATGTGGGTAAGATCGAGGGAGAAGAAGAAGAAGATGAATTTGACGTAATTATGCGGGAGAGGCCGCTGGACGCCTATTACGGGTCTGTCGGAGACAGCTTTCGAGGAAGTGATGAAGCCAAAGACGAAGATGATGACGATAGTGAGCCCGAATCAGATACCGGCCCTCAGTGGAAGGGCAAACAACCGATGTTGCCCTCTTCGCCCGTGGAGACACGACCTCCGCCAATGGCCACGACATACGTACTTGATCGCGGCCTTGATCTGCCAGCTGGTGCGGAACGTCCAAATCGCTGGACTGGAGCCCCTTCCACGTACAGGCGACTTACTACCGACGAAAGGGGAGCCTACGAAGCAGTGGTCACAAGTCGAGCTAGAGACCTTGCAGCTCACCTTTACAGCGCTTATACAATTCGCACTCAGCGTAATCAAGCCCGAGGCACGTCTCAGAATCGTCAAGAGGCTGATGCACAGGAGCGAATCTTCCCTCCTCGGCGCTGGGTCGCATGGCCGAGGCCTGCTACTTATGTGCCACGCCCTGACGAGACTATTCACCGACAATTGGATGGACCCGGTACGATACGAATGCCACCTGATTTACGTCCCAGCTCGGACCTGGAAGAGTCTATTATTGCAAATATGATGAAGCATGCCAAGCAAACATTCATGGCACGTGAATGGGATCTGGAAGAGGTGAGGGTTAAACGTGTGAGGAGAGAAGGTGACCCCGAAGACATGAAAGATGAAGACATGAAGGATTTCGAGGACGAGAAGGATGAAGATCCCAAACCAGATGCAGTATCGCTTCAACCAGTGGTCCAAGCCGATGACGGTACATCCAGACAACAGCTTCGTCCGCTATCCCGTAATATTATCACTCAAGTGGACCGCCTTTTGATGGGATTACACCATTCTGTGAAGACCCGCTTTCACGATGACGACTCCGGTAGTGACTCCGAAGGCGAAATGGACGATACAGACTACAACGAGACATCCCGATCGCGATCTCGACCGACGAGTGGGAGCAGAAGCCGGTCACGAGGCCGTAAACGGGCCCGCCGGCAATCAACTCACTCGCGGACGTCTAGTCATCGCTCTAGAAGTATTCGATCATCTACTGCCCCCAGCACTCAGGATGGAAGTGTGCGCAATACTTCGCGATCTCGTGGAAGATCCCGTACCTCTCGAGGCAGTGGTGATTCCACGATGAAATACAGACTTGGTCTTCGTGACTGGAGCGAGGTCATGGGCATTGCTGCTATGATGGGTCTCCCAAATGCTGCGGTGATGCGTGCCTCCAAGCGATGTGCCGACCTCTTTGAAGAAGACATGACGTTCCGTACCTTCCACGAAGGCCGATTCAAGAAGATCTCACGCCCAGAGGAAAGATCTCGGTCTCAGTGGGAATGGGAGTACCGTGAAAGTGCATCCGACGCCGAAGTCATCCCCGAGTCCGAGCCGGCAAGTCCACCACCAGGTCCTAGTACAGGCCCAGGTCTATCCCCGCGTAAACGCAAATCTCAACCCAGGGTGCGGTCCCGGTCGCAATCACAATCACGGCGACAGCGCTCAACTTCAGTGGCGGCTCCGGCAGCTTCGAATGTTGCAATCGTGATACCAAGCTCTGCTCCTGCTCCTGCTCATGCTCCTGCTCCTACTCCCGTTCTCGAGAATCAAATTGATCCTGAGAGCCAACCCCCACCCCCACCACCTCAAGCCTCACAAGTGCCTCAAGTGCCTAAAGGCAAGGGCGATCACCGTAAAACAGATATTGTCTGCCCGATCAAACGATGCTCTCGGCATAGGAATGGCTTCTCACGAACATGGAATCTCAACTTGCATATGAAACGGGTACATCCAGGGTATACGCCTGGAGATCGTGAGCGATCTCGGTCCCAAAGCACGCCCGGAGGTGTTGAATTAATTGAGATCGACTAGCGATAGACTTCTTGTACATAATGATATCCAATCTTGAGTTCTTCTCCAAAGTTCATGTTTCGTCGTGTTCTAGATGTTTTGTTCTTCTCTCATTTTAGTTCTGAATGTTCACCAAACCCGCTTCGGCTGGTCCTTCCTAAAACTGGATGTATAGTTACTCCATACTAATGGTGTGTTGGAGGAGGACATCGACATCGGTAATTCCATTACACTATCTAAGCCCGGGGGAAACTGTATGGAATTTGATTTGCACATAATCCCGAGTCTGTAACATCCAAAGCTTACGATTGGATAAATCTGCCGGTCGGAGTAATTTATGAAATTCAAATACGAAAAAGTGGAGAGCTCCCCAGCACACTTCAAAACCATACTTGCCATTGAGTCAATTGATCAACTATTAAAGGACATATAAATGAGATAAAAGAGAAAAGATGTAGAGAAAAAGAAAATATTCTGACTCTCAATATCTACCAAGTTGAGCATCAATTCTTTGGCCAAAGGGGAAGAAACCAGTTCCCCTCAGGAATGACATCAACCCTCAATCAGCGTTCTTCCCCAATCCGCAATCTGCCCCCCGCTTAGCATCTAGCTTCCCTTCTGAGCTCCAGGTCCAGCCCAAGTTCAAAACTCTTGACACATCGGCGTGAACCCCGTCCTCGGTGCTTCTCGGGCCCAAAGAGCAATCACCATCAAGCGCCACAGCTCCAGAAAAACGGCGACTGTCCCTCCGTGAAGACCGAGCAACCCTGCATAAAGCCGTCTCCAAATCCCCTCCCCGCACATCTGACCGATCTGCTCCGCGGCTTCTTCTCGCTCTTGTACTATTAGTCCCTCTCCTTCAGTCCCCCGCAGCCCTCGGATCCCTTCATAATGGACCGCATTGTCCGTCCTGTCGCTCGCCAATTGCTGCGACCTCGTCCGCGTTACCCTTTCTCCGTTCCTTCTGCGCCCGCTGCGAAGAGACTATACACCATGGGACACAGCAAGCCTGAGGTGCGTTGCCTGCTGATTGGGAGATGTTAGAGGTGCTCGGGAGACGTTCTGACTTTGGATATGCAGTTGAAAGATAAATCTCTCTTCATTGAGAAGTGCTATGTCAATGGCGAGTGGGTTGATGCCCAGTCGGGCCAGACCTTCGAGGTCCACGGTAAGGATTGAATCAATGGGAGAAACTAGCGGCGCTTCATACCGATGCTAATTCCCTGTCTATATGTACAGATCCCGCCACTGGCGAGCTCATCGGAACATGCCCTGAGCTCGACACCGCCGACGTTGAAAAGGCCATCCAGGCCGCCTCGGAAGCTTTCCCTTCATTCCGCACAACCCTGGCTCGCGAGCGCGCGCGCATGCTGCGTCGGTGGTACCAACTCATGGTTGATAACGCAGAGGACTTGGCGAAGCTGATTACTTGGGAGAACGGCAAGCCATTGGCTGATGCTAAGGGCGAGGTGAACTATGCCGCCAGCTTCTTTGAGTGGTTCAGTGAGGAGGCGCCTCGTACATACGGCGACACTATTCCCGCCACGGTGCCAGGTAACCGGGTCATGACCCTCAAGCAGCCTGTTGGTGTCTGCGGCCTGATTACGCCGTGGAACTTCCCCGCTGCGATGATCACCCGCAAGATCGGCCCGGCCCTGGCGGCTGGCTGCACTGTCGTCGCCAAGTCTCCTTGCGAAACTCCCTTCACTGCCAACGCTCTGGCCGAGCTTGCCCACCGGGCGGGTATCCCCAAGGGTGTTGTTAACATTGTTACTGCTTCTAAGAACACCCCCGCCGTTGGTGAGCTTATCACTACCCACCCGGAGGTGCGCAAGGTCTCCTTCACTGGCTCGACCAACGTCGGCCGCCTACTCATGAAGCAGTCTTCTTCCACTATCAAGAAAGTCTCCTGGGAGCTGGGTGGTAACGCCCCCTTCATCGTGTTCGACGACGTTGAGGACCTCGATGCTGCCGTGAACGGCGCCATCGCCTCCAAGTTCCGTAGCTCCGGCCAGACCTGCGTCTGCGCCAACCGTATCTATGTGCAGAAGGGTGTCTACGATGAATTTGCCAAGCGTTTCGTCGCCAAGGTCAAGGACTTCAAGCTCGGAGGTGGCTTCGGGGAGGGCATCACCCACGGTCCTGTCATTCACGAGCGCGCTGCTGCAAAGGCCCACGAGCACGTTCAGGACGCAACCTCCAAGGGCGCCAAGGTCGTCATTGGTGGCCAGAAGGCGTCCGCTCTGGGGCCTAACTTCTACGAGCCTACCGTGCTGACTGGCATGACCAAGGAGATGCTTATCGCCTCCGAGGAGACCTTCGGTCCTGTGGCCGGTCTCTTCCCCTTCGAGACTGAGAAGGAGGTCGTCGATCTTGCTAACAAGGCCGAGGTGGGTTTGGCTGGATACTTCTTTAGCGGTAACGTGCGTCGTATCTTCCGCGTTGCCGAGGCACTGGAGGTCGGCATGGTTGGCGTCAACACTGGGTTGATCAGTGATGTTGCCTCGCCGTTCGGTGGTGTCAAGCAGAGTGGTTTCGGTCGTGAGGGCAGCAAGTATGGTATCGATGAGTTTATGACCATTAAAAGCGTCACTTTTGGCGGTATGGGGGAGCCTCTGCAGGCATAAGCTTCCTATGTATAGTGGACTTGATTTAGACTTGAAGTCTTGGAGATTTACCGCGACGATTTTCTGCGATATAAAAATATAACGAACCTTTCCTTCATCTTCATACCTTCCCTGCGAATCCAATCAAATACCGATGAAATACACCCCGTAGTTGTTCTACTATCCTCTTATACTCCTTTGCCACACTTAGGCCTTGTCACGTGACGGCGCAATAACGGTGCGAGAAGGACGCGGCCTCGACCGCCTTCATTGACAGCAGCCAGGCCTCGCAGATACATCGAATTCACATCTAACCCTTCAAGGGGTTGACAGTTTATGCAATCTTCTGTAATGACATGAAACTGCCAATATGCGTCAATCATTAAGTCTCCTGGCGGCTGTCTCCCGCACCCAGCCATCAAAATTGAAGAAGCCAGCGATCAGTCTAGACCATGTAAGTGGAACGCGATCCGTCCCCCAAGCCCAACAATGCATGAGAACGAAACTAATAGGATGTACAGTTCATCCAAAGACAAAGGGTACTGTCATTATGGCGTGAGATCATGAGAGCATTGTACAGTACGATGACCCTTGACTACCAATGGTACCCTCTCACCCCAAGCCACTAATCTCATTTTTACTATTAGAAGCTCCACCTTCTCCGACAAGAGATGAGCTGCGCGCATATGCTCGACATGAATTTGAGCGGAATCGTGACGTTTCAGATTTGGTACGTAGCCCTCCCTGCCCCGGGTTCCAGGTAAACGAGGTTGGCTAATTTGGTCTTTGACAGTCTCACATACGCTATCTGATATCTGTATGTTGGTAGTTTTAATTGAGAAGAAAAAGTGTTTGAAGTGGATGCTAACTCTCAGAAGACAGGAAAATCTGAATTCGAGACTATGAAACGATACATCGATGAGCAAATCGCTAGGTGAACCTTCTTTTTTCAAACGCTTAATATCCATGTTAGATAGAATACTGTACATTATCAAAGAAACCTTTATCTCATAAATCAAAGCTAGGGGTATCAAATCGTTAATATCCGTGACCATCTGTCACGCGATCCCGTCGTGCTTAAGCTCCTCTTATGGCTTCCACGCGCGAAGGCTGTGAACCGCATCCGCCTCGTGAATCGGCCGAGACCCAGCTTCCCAGAGTCCTCGAGCTGGATCGTATTCCGTAATCATCGGTCTTGACTCCATATCTGGAGAATTTGAGTATGGATTTTGGTAGGTCATCATGGGATAAGTTGAGGGCCCATCCGTGGGAAAGATATTCAAGTCATCGAGACCGGCCAAGCGAGTGCAACACATTAGGATCCCGATATAGGTGATCACAATGCAAAAGAATGGGAAGATGACTTCGATGTAGTGGATCCATCGCGGGAAAATAGTTCCACCATACCCCAGGTAGGCGACGATATCCCACTGAATAGTGATAATCGCCCACATCAAGTTCATGGCGAAGAAGCCGATGCTTCCAAGCAAAAAGGAGGATGCGGATGGCTATAGTAAACAGAACGAGTTAGTCAGGTCTTGACCTGGATAGTGAGCTACCTATATCTGACATACCTTTGCCTTCCTATCAATCCTGGAAGTTCTAACCATCAAACAAATTCCCCAAATCATAATTTCCAAAGACGCAAGCCAGGTGTAAAGCGGTCGAATAACTTGTATCCAATGCGAAGCCAACCTCTCCCGCGGGTTAACGTCATAGTCTTTGACTGTATTTAAGACATATGTAGCGAATTCCGCGACACAGATCGGAATCATCAAGCCAAATATTACTCCGTGGAATAGCATCAAGCCGTCTGATACTCGACCGGTAGACCGCTCCTGGAACAGGAAGGTGAGCCGGTAGAAAAGATAGAGTATCATGCATAGGGCGAGGAGGTAGGTGAATTCTTGCAAGATCAGAGCAAGTTGAAAGGCCATTTTTACTGTTGCATCGGTTAGATAGATGCAGTTGACGATGGCGGATAAGAGGTGGGATCTAGATAAGTTCGGGTTTCATGAGTATCAGGTCTGTCAAATAGGAGATTTGACAGATTTGGGGGTCATGGGAAAAGTAAACGGTCTCATTACTCACATCATGTATAAAATGATTGATGCGATGAAGGGCTTGAAAAGAATGGCGGGGCGTTGCAATCCACGTTTACGAAATAGGATCGCAGCAGTCAGAATTCCCAGCAAGGCGAGGATGAGGAGAAAGTCGAACGCCGTCCGAACTTCATAGAATGTTTTCCATCTTCCCAGAGATCCAGCACGGTATGTATCATTCCAATTTTGTGGATTTCCGTAGCGTTTAGCGAGCATCTTCGTTATCTGTATTGAGTGTGGTCCGGGCATAGACCACACTACGTGCTAGGTAGGAGATCGAGATTAACGGGTACTGAATGTTTGCCGTTGAGAATTAGTTCGGTGGTATTGTTGCGAAAAGGAGTAACAAAAACACGATTCAAAGAACAAGAGTCGATGGTCAAACATCTCATCACTGGCAATGTCGTTATTTGTATAACCATAATCTTGCTCGTATTCTGAGGCTGTTTTTTGTGGGGGCGGAACCATTTCATGCCCATTAGACAGCGCAACAACCGGTCGGCACATAATGAACCTATCACAAGCAATGTAAGTGGCCTTAGTAGCTGTCCAAAAGCTGGCTATGTCAGTAGTTGGCCCTAGGATGGCTGTACCTGGGCACTGTCAAACCCCGTCTGTGAGCCTTACGGGGAATTGACCCACGGACCAAAGTCCATGCACCCGCTGCGCCTCATATGAAGTGCTTCGAGTGTCTGGGCGCCCAGATACTAATGCCGGGCAAAGGAGGCGCATTTGTGCCCTGGGCATCATTTTGGTTTTAAGCGTCTATTTCAGGACGCGCTTGGTCCTCGGAGCGTCATATTCATGACAATAGTGGTGATCTATCTACTGTACATTAATGATGATGCCAGGGTCTGACATGTTGAATGTTCCAACCAATGAGATTCTTCTATATTAATTTGTAGACTAATTATTCACACGTGGAAATCCTAGAGCGGAGAGATCTATCACTAAATATTTTCTATAATCACATCTTAAACACGCTATGCCAATTCACCAAAGAGGAGAAAAACTGATCAGGACTCCATCTGGGGCTCATTAGCCTCTGGCTTCGCGTGGGCGAAAGTCTCAATGAGAGTTTTGGCCGCATCCTCGCCGAAAAACATTTGTTCCACGTTCATGCCATCTTGAATGTGCTCACGTCCGCGAGGGAGCATCTCGGCCTCATATGCAGTGATAGCTCGCTCCAGCGCCTCTGCATCCATCGTTGCATCAAATTCCACATCATTCTTGTCGCCTATTTCCACGGATATGCTCTCAAACAGTCGCAATGCGTCGTACATGGCTTCATTGACTCCCCCGCCATTTGGTGATGCAGGGTGCGCCGCATCTCCCATGAGAGCAACGCCAGGAGAACGCTTCCAGACATCCTTGTTCTGGACATCATCGTGAGCAGCTTTCTCGGCCTCTGGCACGAGCAAATCAGGGTTAAGTTTGCTCCAAGGCCAAACACGCCAGGGTCCCTCAGCATGGGCGACAAACTCGCGGAGATGCTCTGCCCAGTTGCCATAGAACCCAGCAGGTGCAAGTAGCGCGGCACGAGTCTTGTCGGTATTGGTCACGTCGAGTTCACCCCCGGGTCGAGTCAGGTCTTGTGGGCCCTTAATGCCCATGTAGACACGGTATGAACGATCATGCATTTGCTGCACGCATAGAATGGCGTCAGCGCTCATGGCGATCGAGTTTCCGAGGCCAACCATCTCATGCGCAGCCTGGTACCGTGGATTGTCGAGGGACAGCTGACCCTCGATGAACATTTTCCCTGCATAGTGGGGCTTGGCAGGCGTGATCTTAAAGAGTTAAGCGTATGGTTTGACGAAAGTCACTGCAAAGATCATGCTTACCAGTTGTCGCACTTTACTCCAAGCGCCATCAGCACCCACAACAAGTCGGAATCTAGTCTCTGTCGAACCATCTGCAAAGTGCAGAACGATGTCTCTGGCATCGGTCGGCTTTTGGTTCGTGTCACGCTCGATAGCACACAGGGCCTTCCCCCAACGGATCCGATGCGATGGGATAGAATTCAAGAGTATCTGCCGCAGTTGGAGACGGTCGATCTCAGGTGCATCGCGTTCTTCGCCGAATTTCATGAAATGTTCACCCTTGTAGCTCTGGACAACCATACTCGTGGCATCTCTTCGGGCAAGCTTTTCGAATTCACCGTGTAGACCAGCACGTCGGAGTGCTTCCTGGCCTGTGCGGCCGTGAATATCCAAAGTTCCACCCTGGAAGGCCGGTGCTGGGACTGCCGATGCATCGCGTTCGAATACGATGTAGTCAATGCCAGCACATTCGAGGAGGCGTGCGAGTGTAAGTCCACAAGGACCGCCGCCGACGATGGCGATTGGTGCAGGCTTTGAGTTGGACATCAGATGAGACTGCAAGTGACACGTTCTGAACTTAAGATAAAACGTTTCGCTTTCATAGACACTGCGCTAGGGAAGCTGTATGACGATTGAATGGTCAGATGAAATGTTTAGCAGTATGGACTCAGACGCTGCGACGTCGAGACTCTTTATACTGACGATCGGGTTTTGGTTTTGGCTTCTCCGGCGCCATTTGCGGACTTTGACGATGACCCATATTGATCTAGAGGTTTTTGAGGCTCAAATGTATTCCTTAAGTGTGCATCGACGTGCAAATATTGATACTCGGGTGGTAGTAAAGCCCGAAAAGTATAACTGTGGGCCAAACTCAATGCGCCGTCGGACATTAGAAAATCCCGAGGTTGAAAGGGAACGAGTCCGAGATCCCGAGACCGTTTGGTTGTTAAGGACCAGGGCCCAACAGATAAAATGTCTCTAGGAGAAAAATTGCAGCATTGGGGTCCCTCATCAAAGGCTAGATCGGCAGATTTAAGATATCCAGAATCTTGCTATCGTCATTTGTTAGCCTGTAGTATAGCAAAGTCCACTGTATATTGTATGACAAAGGCCAAGGTCCCCCGCGCGAGCGGAAGGTATCTCTGTACACCAATCCAGGGTCATATCTCAGGCCATCCTTGATCTTTCATAATTCGAAATATGATAGGTATCAAGTTCTAGCTATCCTCTTGTTCAATGCCAGGACTTTGCTTGAAAATGCCGAGTCATTGAGGAAGATCACCATCGTTCGGGGACGTCGATCATTCGAACTGATACGATCAGTGGAGTGGAGCTTTGATCTCTATGATATCAACAAAGGGGTGCGAACAGAACCTAGTCCGAATCCTTGCTCTACCTATAGCTCACTACCGACCCAGCATCGTGTATCATCGATCTACAATTGTTGTTCCCGTGCCTTATCACAAACACCCATTGAGGAAGTGTTGATCGTTCGGGCTCTGGTTTGCCACCCTGCAGTACTCGTCATCTCCAACTGACCACCACCACCTCCATTTTATTCCCCGCGTACCTTGAATGGTCTGCCAATAAAATTGCTTTTTGCGATGGTGTCAGGCACCTTTGGACGTGCAATAATGCCATGGTCTATTGGTCTTGGACCAAATTACAAGACGATCATATTCCTTGGCAAAGGAACCTAAACAAGTACTTTCGACCAGATGCCGCTTAAAATTCCCGCCAGTAAGGTTAGAGCGGCCGAGCTCAAACGGATCGGAAGATCCTTGTATCATAATTTCTAATTGGCTTTGGGACGAACGGCTGAGGCATCCGTTGCTTTGAAGGTGGGGTGGCAAAACCCTGTGCTTTCGTTTACCAGGTTATGCTTCAAATCAAGCCAGCCGTCCTTGGCGTGCGCGCCTTGGCTAAATAATAATCGTCATACACCCGCACGGTGGTCTCCGCTTTCCGCGTGTCATCTTTCGTTGTAGCCCCTTGAGATAGATTCCAAATATTAAAAAGTACGTACACCTTCCACAACCTTATCTTTTCAGTTTCCTCATCCTATCGCTTCGATATCAACCAAATATACTCTTCTCTCAGCTATCAACCCACAATGGCAACACTACTTTATCCTCCCGACTCGGGCATCGCCCTGGGTGGTTCAACCAACCGCTCTTCGCTACAGCCATTACAACCATTACAGCCTTCTCCTCTGGGTACAACTGGACTACCATGGCTGTCACCTTTTACTCTATCACAAAGTGAGAAAGACTTTCTTCTGGGGAAGCCATATGAACAGCAAGTTTCGAAGGCCTCCAATATGCCATCTATAAGCCTACAGTCCGAGCCCCCAAAACAACCAGTTCAACGGTCTCGTCGGTCCTCGACAAGGTCCACCAAATCCAACGAGGATATCAGCCCCGAGAGGGCCAAGCATCTCGAGCGCAATCGCATTTCCGCCAACAAGTGCCGAATGAAGAAGAAGAAGGAGCACGCAAGGATGCAGACTTTGCTGAACACCGAAACAGCCAAGCGCGATTCCTTGATGTCTGAAGTGGGACTATTGAAGGACGAACTGTGGTACCTCAAAAACATGATCTTTGAACACGCCAAATGCGAACATCAAAGTATCAACAACGAGCTGGCTAAGATGACGCAAAGCATCCTTGAAAGCAAGTCAGGGCAGACGAAATGCCCCTCTCCTACCTTTTCAACAAGTACGTGGTCCGACGGGTCGGTACTGGAGGAACCAGGGGCACCAGAGCACCCAGTTCCCCTTCCGGCAGGGGGTGTTGGCTATGGTGGATGTCCCGAAGCGATGTTTGATAATTTTCTTAATCTGGCAACCCTGTAGCTGGTCTTAGCGCCAGCTTGACGACACTCAAAACTTGCAGGACTTGTATTATCGCGTGTTTTTTTATCGAATTCATGATTGAACGTGACACGACACCACTGATGTCATACGACCCCCGAAGCTATAGCAAGCTAGTACAAACATAGCTATGTTCCTTGTACTCGGTACCTTGACTGATGGAATTCAGGTTCCATGCATGGTAGCTCAAGTCAACATCGCATATCAAATCCGCGGAGTTTCTAACCGGTTGTGATACACAGACATCATTCAATTATTTCGGCTCAACTTGCCTTCCAATCAAAATATCATACCAGTGGGTCATCTGTCTCGATGGTTGGTTCACCAAACCCCGCAAACGAAAGCGACAGCCGCGTTGTCAGAGGCGTGGTGATTAATCACCAATCATGATGGTTGGAAGAAACGTCTTCCAGTTCCGGATGCCATCGGGTCAAACGGGATAGTGGAGAACGGCGGCTGGTCGATTGATTGGAACAAACAGCCGACCAATCAATTCTAAAGGGTGCGCCGATCATGTGGGGCTATGGGCGATCAGCAAAGCAGCTTTAAGAACTGAAGCCCAAGAAGTCAAAAAATGATTATTAAGAGCTTCTGATCTATTTTTTCTCTCTCTTCTCCGGGTTTCATGTATCAGCCACCGATGTCACATGGTGGCCTTGCCACTAGCCACAGACATAACATGGTTGTGGATCTATGTATGGTCATCTTTTGATATAACCGCATCATATCCCACCTATTACTTCGTCATTTCTTCGATGATCCACCGAAGCTGAACACTAGCCGCAAACTACTCCATGTTTACGATAGGAAGAATTATCAATTTTCCTGAAATTACTCGACAGTCACCATGTCTAGATCATTGGGTACAACACCTATCCCTGGGCAGGGCATGGCCCAGTTCACCCAGAAGAACATAATGGGGACACTGTTTGAAACTACAGAAAGGTTCGATCAGCTCTCCCAACTTCCGCTGAAGCCGTATTCTGATGTTCTTAAATCCTAGGTATCAACATTTGGAGCCTGTTGGTATGGGTATCTCTGGACTTGTTTGGTATGGTGATTACCTCAATCGCATCCATGGACGGATGGTGCCTGACTGAAGCTAATTGTATGATTCCAGCTCCGCCCGAGACCAAATTGGGCACCAAACTGTTGCAGTAAAGAAGTTGTGCGAACCCTTCAAGACAGACAACATTGCAAAACATATGTATCGTGAGGTCAAATTATTGAAACAACTTCAACATGACAATGTTAGTAGTCCAGTAAATTCCACTAGATACTGTAATACTGACAAGTATGCAGATCATTCATTTAAACGACATTTTCATATCTCCATCTGAAGAAATGTAAGTATATTCTTGCCTTACTTAAAGGGGCTGATCTAATACCTCGGAAGTTATCTCGTCACCGACCTGATGGCGACAGATCTCCACACTCTTTTGGAAGCAAAGAAAGTCGACAATCAATTTACGCAATACTTTTTATATCAGATAATGGTAATCATCAATCACGAAGCCCATCCTCAATTGTCATTCTGATGCTGACTTTATTCCTAGCGAGGTCTCAAATACGTCCACTCAGCCGGTGTCGTCCATCGTGATCTCAAACCAAGCAACATCCTAGTCAACGAAAACTGCGATCTCAAAATCTGTGACTTTGGATTAGCCCGGGTACAAGAATTACAAATGACAGGTTACGTCGCGACGAGATACTACCGAGCACCAGAGATCATGCTCACGTGGAGGCGATACAACGAGAAAGTCGATATCTGGAGTGCTGGATGCATCTTTGCCGAAATGATGACGGGTCGACCACTGTTCTTAGGGAAGAATCATATTGACCAGTTCTGTGTTATCACGCAGCTTTTGGGGAATCCACCGGATAATGTTGTTGCCAACATTACAAGTCAAAATGTTAGTGACTTAAAACCCCATCCCTACCTACCATGAACGGTTTATTGACTTTCGCCCGACCAGACTTTGAATTTTATCAGATCTCTTCCTAAGAGATCTCGTAAATCTTTAGCCACTCTTATCCCCACGGCTAGCAGAAAAGGTATTCAACCCTTCCATTCTATAAGATCAAATTCCGCTGAGTTATTACTAACTGGCATAACTAGCGATCAATCTACTGGATAAGTTACTCCAATTCGATCCACAGAAACGCTGTTCTGCCGTCGACGCACTCGAATCCCAATACCTTGCTCCATATCATGACCCTGAGGATGAGCCTGAGGCACCACAATCTTTTGACTGGTCATTCCTGGAAGCCGATCTTCCTGCAGATGTCTGGAAGACTATCATGTACGCGGAGGTATTAGGTTATCATGAGAAATCCGGCGCGCCGTTCCAGTTGACTGCGCCATTTGATGGCATGGACTTAGGTTGATTTCATTTATAATGGTGGTTTCTTATCTCTTTTCTTTGTGAGGTCACTTACACGTTGTTCGAAATTCTCTTCTCATCTTGACGAATTGGCGGGGTGTGCTGTCCTTTCCTGGAGGCATTTTCTTCTCTATTTGCGGTGATCAATCTTCCATATGAGCACTTTTGCTTTAATTTTGAAATGTATGAAGCATTCTGACCGCCTGATTTGATTCCACATAGTCTCGAAGTTAGAATCCTCGAAGCTAGAATACGTAGAGATCTAAGCTGCCCGATTCTGTACAGTACAAGGTGAGTTGCCATAAGAATGTAGCCTAGTATGCAATGTAGGAAATAGAAATGTATTCATTAAAAATATCATTATTGAGATAATCAAGGTAAAATCAGATATATGGTATCCACGTGGAAAGCCTATCACATGAGGCTCAAGAAACACGTCATAAAACAACATCACGCCGATGATCAATGAGCAAGTTCCCCGTAGATCCACCCGAGTTTATTCGTAGATTCGTGTTAATCCATGCGTCATTGTTATGTATTATTGAGCATTAAGTTGTTGAGTCAGCCGATCCAATGCATGTTTGACATATGACAGATGCCAGTACATGCAAGTTATGACTGTCTCGGTCTGTGGTTTTATGTCCTTGTCGTCCCCTTTAGACGCTCTCTGGAGCAGTCACTTCGGAGACGGCCGGTTGCTGCTGCTCATGGTTGTGGTGGTTGCGGCGCGAATTGGCGACGTCCATGAAGGCGTACACGTTGGTGAAAGCGAACAGAGCCCTAGTTTTCAATGTTAGACCTTCCTAGTTTAGACAGTTACAGCGCTTTTTGATGCTTGACTTACCACTCAACGGCGGCAATGACAATAGTCGCCTGGAGGGCGTGGCAGCTGGCATAGTTGCAGACGTCGGGCTTGGGAATCATAGCTGCCATGGCGATCCAGCCACTGAGCCACAGGGCCATGGTCACAAACTCCATGGCCGGAATCACGAATTCATGAGAGAAGCGCGGCAACCAGAGAGGGGCGAGACCCAGGTAGGGCACAGCGACGACGATAGTCCAGCAGCCATTGAACAGCATGAAATAGATGACATTCGAGAACGACCATTCATCGTACAGGGAGGCAATGACTATGGCGAGATTGTCAGTAGGAGTCACTCTTTCACGTGTCAATCGCATCTGGTGGGCACTAACTGTATGCAGTCAAGCCAATAATAGCAAAGGCAAAGAGAGCCTGAATCAGGCGGACAGGATAGACCCAGCGCAACATGATGGGTGTGTAGATGTGACAATTGCTGATTTCAAGACTCGGGTATATCGTTAATCGATTGCGTGAAAAGAGACTTCGTGTCTTGATCGCGATTAAGATTGTAAGTCGAATTGTGATGGGGAAAAGAATCAGATCCACTTCAGCCTCGCCGGGTGTCCACTGGGTTATATACTGGGAAGAGCAGATCCAGAACTTTCGAGCTAGCATAAAATTGAGAAAATTCTAATCCAGACTTATCCCAAACCGAGGCGTTCCTGACCGTGGCGAGACGTCATGGGGTCGGTGTATGCCTCGGAGTCGGCGAGACCCTGCAGGGCAAGCACTAACTAAGTCCAGTAGCCCGAGTAGTTAGTAGTTCAAGAGTTGCGAGTTTGGGCGTCCGGGAACAACCCGATCACGGTGGGACACAGAATCCCCGCAGGGGGCTTTTACTGGAAAAAGCTTTAGGACAATAAACTATGGAAAGTGTGGTCGTTAGTTCCTGGTACTTTTGGTAAGAACCACACCTCGGCACGCCGATATTAGGCTCGGCGGTTAGGTTCGTGCCTTTTTCCCCAGATTTCGACCATCTAAAGACTGCAGAAGGCCACTTATCTCACGACTTATTGGCGAAGAGTAAAGTAACACCTATCCAGAAATTGAAGAGTACTCAATTGCTCATGACTGAATTTTGAGGGTACTTTGGCGCAGCATCGTATTAGCAAATCTCTGCCGAGTCTATGACGCTGTATTTGTCGATCTCACATGAAAAGGAACCGAGGCAGCCCCGAAGAGGATGGACAACGGGCGATCTCTGCATCGGATCCCCCGATTCTCATAAGACAAAAGTAAATTTTCAAAAAGGAAAAAGCTTTTACGCTCATCAATGCCTTATTCTGATAAGGTCGGCACTATATCCGCCAACTATGCATGCTATACTTTGTGACTATAATGGCTAGCCATATTAGTTCATTGAAGGATGGCCTCATCTTCCCGACTCTTACCATGCCACGAGACTAAACCTTCCGGTTTACTACGAGTCTCAAGAGCAGAACCTGATCCTAATATGCACCATGAAGTAATATCCACCTTCTAGATCTCAGATCATTCTATCGGATGAGACTATCATGATTTCAAAATGAATTGACACAAAAATCATGTATGGCGTGGAGATTGGAGCACCTATATACATAATCATACATCTCTACCTAGACCTCTCCCGATTATTTTACACGTGCCAATGATCGGCCTAAGTACATGGAGTACCTACATACATAGTAGTACATCCTCCATACTGTACTCCATACTTAATTCTCTCTTGACAGCAAGGCCCGTACGGCATCCATAACCCCGATCGACTTTTCATCCGCCGGCTCAATAGCTGACCGAGCCGCATCGGGCTCCTGTGAAGAAGAAGCAGACGGCCTCTGTCCAGCCTCCTTGGCCGCCGCCTCAATAGCCGCATGTCGCTCTCGCCACTCACGGTCCTCCTTGTCACGGATTTCCAGTTCCCGGAGCCATGCATCGCGCTTCTCCTGTGCCTTGCGCTCTTCCACTGCTTGCTCGAATTCCCGGCGCTGCTTGCGCTCGGTCTTGAAGTACATTCCTCCGGCGACGAGGGCAACTAGTGTGAAGGCTTGGGCGTAGATACGGGCGCGGAACATGCGATTCATTTCGGCGGAGTCACCGGCCCGCATGGATCGGTAGGCTCGGTAGAGGGCGTAACATGTTGCGGCACATCCTGTAGTAATGGGAAGGAGAAGTTAGTATGCTAAGATAGGAACACTATAGATGTGTCTAGCGCAAGAACTTACCGAGTGGAATCAAGGGCTCTTCCTTCAGACGTCTAGTGAATTTCTGGGCGCCAGTCTCCTCCTTGAATTGACTGTTGTAAAAGGACGTGTTAGCGCACAAGCTCTCTCGGTCACAAATACCCTCCCATTTAGCTCTCATTGCATCTCGAGCGATTGTAGGCATGTTTTGACATACGGATTGTCCTCAAAGGACGAGGGAACAGGCTCGCGGTTCATGATGTGAGGGGGTCGTGGAGCTCTCGTGAGCTGAGCGGTCGCCGTGTAGGTCGGTCGCGATCGGAGTACTCGGCTGGGGCTGGTTTCGAAGGACGTAATGGTATAGAGGCACTGGATGGAGTAGACACTTCAACTGTCAAAGCCGTCGAGTTTCTCCAGTGTAGGTTTAAAGTTGGGGTTGATGATCGTGGTATGCAAGGGTTGCTTGGTCGAGCATGACGTCGCAAGTTCGCCAAGAAGTTTTTTATCATGCAAGCAGATGGGCAGCAAATTTAGACAATACGACTCGCCGCATGTTTGCTTTGTTTAGTTTTATCACCCTAATCGGGCACAACTTAATCGATGGGAGATATAGTGCAATTCATTATGCTATATTCATTCGTCCATCAATTTGGTACAAAGTAGTCAATTCGAATTTAGTCTACTACAGTACTCTGCTAGGCAGTTGGCTACAACAAAAGCACGCAATCCGGATTCACCGCCATTAGCTTTTGTAAGATATCAAAATCGCATTTTCTACTGCTCGTTCTACATCTTACCACATTATCTTTCCAGAAATTAAAGTGAAAGTAATGGTTTTTATTGTATACAGATGAACCAGGTCTTACCAGCTATACACTCGTGTATTTAAATTCAGCTTCTGCTTAATTAAAGGAGTTCCGATGTTAATCCAAAGTGGATGACATAAGTCTCGGGCTCCGATTACGGTCCCGCCTCCGCAGGAAAAAAGAGTCAGAGGGGCAAGAATAATTTAAGAATTTCCCCCCATTGGCCTTTGTATTCTCTTCCCAAGCCATTGACTTTTTTTAGTTTCACCTTTCCCGGTGAATTTGGATCTCTCAGAATCACGATGTCTGAAGAGCACATCACAAACGGGACAACGTCACCCGTCACTCCCAAGATGAGTGGCTTGGCTTTGACCGAATATACCGCCGCTCCCACCCCCCCTCCGAGCGCGCTGAGCGTATCCCCGGACTGCCTCCCAACTGGGGCATTCCCAGTGCTTTCCTACTTCCCAATGGGTACCCTGATGTAAGAAACAGCTCGAAGTCTTCAAGTTCAATTGACTATTATCTAACCAGCTCCCACGCTGTTCTAGTATCTCCGATTGATCCTAACATCACGAGTGTACGATGTTATCGACGAGAGCCCTCTTCACCATGCCGTCAACCTCAGCAACCGGCTCGAGAGCCGAGTCCTCCTCAAGCGAGAGGACTTGCTTCCGGTCTTTAGCTTCAAGCTTCGTGGCGCTTACAACAAGATGGCTCATCTGAACCCCGAGCAGCGGTGGAAGGGTGTCATTGCTTGTTCTGCGGGCAACCACGCACAGGGTGTCGCCTATTCTGCTCGCAAGCTGAGAATCCCCGCAACCATCGTTATGCCCTCCGGTACCCCCGCCATCAAGCACCTGAACGTTGCCCGCCTGGGAGGGAGCGTGGTTCTCCATGGAAACGACTTCGATGCCGCCAAGGACGAGGCCCACCGGTTAGAGAAGCAGCATGGACTGACCAACATCCCGCCGTTCGATGACCCGTACGTCATTGCTGGTCAAGGAACTATCGGTATGGAGCTTTTGCGCCAGGCGAACTTGGATAAGCTGGAGGCAGTGTTCTGCGGTGTGGGCGGTGGCGGTCTGATTGCCGGTATTGGTGTCTACCTCAAGCGTATCGCACCTCAGGTCAAGATCATTGGTGTCGAGGCTCACGACGCCAATGCTATGGCCCAGTCATTGGATGAGGGTGAACGTGTCTTCCTGAAGGAAGTCGGTCTCTTCGCGGATGGTGCTGCCGTGAAGTCTGTTGGAGAGGAGACCTGGCGGGTCGCCCGGGAGGTCATTGATGAGATTATCCAGGTGTCGACGGATGAGATCTGCGCTGCCATTAAGGATGTCTTTGAGGATACCCGTTCCGTCATCGAGCCCGCTGGCGCGCTCAGTCTGGCTGGTCTGAAGAAGTACATCGCCAAGAACCCCAACCCCGACACCGGTCGTGAGCTCATCGCCATTACCTCTGGTGCGAACATGGACTTTGACCGCCTCCGCTTTGTTGCGGAGCGTGCTGCTCTGGGCGAGAAGAAGGAGGCTCTGCTTAGCGTCAAGATCCCCGAGAAGCCTGGTGCATTCGCCAAGCTTGTCGAAGTCATCCTGCCCCACGCCGTGACTGCCTTCAGCTACCGCTATGCTCATGACGACTCGGCTGATGTTCTCATGGGAATCTCTCTGTCTGCACAGACCGGCCGTGACGACCTCGCCAAGATCTTGGAGGAGCTGGAGAGAGCCGGCATGTCCACTCGGGACCTGAGCGACGACGAGCTCGCGAAACGCCACGTGCGTTTCATGGTCGGTGGCCGCTCCCAGGTCGCCGACGAGCGTCTGTTCATGTTCGAGTTCCCCGAGCGACCCGGTGCGCTGGCCAAGTTCTTGACCACCCTCCGCCCCAACCAGAACATCTCCCTGTTCCACTACCGCAACTATGGCGGCGACGTGGGCAAGGTTCTTGCGGCAATCCAATGCCCTCCTGCTGAGAAGGACGATCTCGAGTCCTTCCTTAAGGATCTGGGCTATCCGTTCAGCGAGCACACCGATTCGCCTACCTACCAGACCTTCCTTCGTCCTTGAAGAGCTTGTTTTTGTTGCATATGCCCCATGTCCATAGTGCAGATATCCAGATGGGATTTTTCGGTTGATGATGCATGTTGTTTCTTTGTTCTAATTTAGCGGTTTAAAGTGCAACTCTTGTCTGATGTGCTTTCATTCCCCCAATTTCGGCGTTTGGTCTCAAGTTCAGAATAGACTACTGGGAAATCGTTTACATGCTTTTTGTACATCAATATAATTCATATTTTCAATCCTTCGTTGAGCTGTTTGAATTAAAAGCTCTAAGTCAAAAGAACTGCATTTCCGAAGTCAATACTCGCGAGTTGTCTGTACGTACTTCACGGACCCACCTACTCCTACAATGCGGGCTCGGCGACTCGGCAATACAGAACCTCCGGGGCAACAATCTTCCCATCACGAGAACCCGCGGAGCACAGCGTCAACGACGACCCTGTATCTCAGTCGCTTGATCCGGAACCCAAGATCACCGAGGCACTGCGCCTCATTACCGTTACCCCCTTCAAGCTCGATATAACCGCAATTATGTTCTCGCTCCGCAGCGTCCTCGGCGCGCCCAGCGCCCTCCGCCAGCTCCTCCCCTCCGTGTCTCGCCGATCAATTCCTGGCGCTCTGTCTCTTCGTCCTTTTTCGCATATGATCCGGAACAGCTTGACGAGACTGCGGGCTACTTCTTCAGGGACGGGTAGTGCGGCTGCTGTCACCGTTGGGGCTACCCGGCAGATTGAGCAAGTTCGCGGCATGAAGACCCGCTCTTCGGTCAAGCGGTTGTGTGATGGGTGCAAGGTATGATTTTTCCCGATACAGTTACGGCTGTTGGCTATTATTTGGGCGATATTGGGGTTTGAATATAAATACTGACTCTGTGCTCTAGCCTGTCCGTCGAAAGAACCGTGTGTATATTATCTGGTAAGTCCAGGACTATGATTACTGTTTAAGTTAGACCAGAAAGTACAGTTGTGCTAATTCGACTGTTACTTTCCAGCTCGAAGAACCCCAAGCACAAGCAACGGCAAGGAAAATAGAGTGGAAACCAACAACTCTCCTCTCTGCTTTTTGTTTCGACGGCATGCATGATTTTGATACCTCCGATCCCGGCCTGATTTGCTCGATACAACACATGATATCTAGAAAGGTCTCGCTATGATAGACATTTTGTTGGGTGTCTTTCTACTCTGGTGGTGTATGATCTGCCTGATCAGGCCGGAGACATGGAATTTCGTCTCGACTCTTCAATTGGTGGCATACACCCTGCATACTTGTTTCCAGCCCATAAGTTCTTTGGGATATCGCGGCGCTTGGGTCTTTACACTTGTACATTAGCTTTCCGACTAGAATTGCTGGTCTTCTATGTTTCAATCAACTCGATCAATTTCTATACAAATTTGGCATAACCCCCATCATTGAGATCTACTAAAAGACATGAATGGTACATGACTTGTCTCAACACCGTTATGCTCAATGTAAAATAGCCAAAGCAATAAACCATTACGTGTCGAGCATCTACATCATTTAATGGTCACTCGTAATTCGCCGTCCCCGGGAAGCCGATCATCACGTGATCTGTTCCTGGCTTCCCCGAACTTTTTTTTCCGCAATAACAAGCGCGGATTCAACTCGACTTGATTCGACCAATCTTGGTGTAGATTGATCGTCGTGATGAGGAATCCTTCTTTTGCACGGTTGTCCTACCGTGCGGTGTCTGGCTTGACCAGCGCTACTCGTTTCCAGTCCCAGAACTTCTTGCGTTTGCGATGCGCATCCACGGCCGCTTTGCGGCCCTCCGGAGTCGCGCCGGCTTATCAGTCGGTCATGAGGCAATGGGAGCAGCGCCGCAATGCTTCTGCTAGTGCTTCTGCAGTGTGAGTTTTGATTATACAATGAATTATTTCTTGTCAAATGCTAATTTCTTGGGGATGTAGCCTCGAGGCCGCCGCCGCTAGCCCGGAGAGTCTGTCGCAGGCCGCCATTATCGACAACCTCGATCCTATTGAGGCTGCCCGCCTGGACAAAGTTCGGAACATTGGTATTGCGGTATATTTCACCACGGAGGTTGCATACCTTCTATCGTGCAAGTGCTAACGGGTTTTGCATTGCAATAGGCCCATATCGACAGTGGTAAGACCACCTGTACCGAACGAGTCCTCTTCTACACCGGTCGAATCAAGGCTATCCACGAGGTCCGCGGACGCGATGCTGTCGGTGCCAAGATGGACTCCATGGATTTGGAACGTGAGAAGGGCATCACCATTCAATCTGCTGCCACCTTCTGTGACTGGGTCAAGAAGGATAAGGAGGGCGTTGACCAGAAGTACCACATTAACTTGATTGACACCCCCGGTCACATTGATTTCACCATCGAGGTCGAGAGAGCGCTGCGCGTTCTGGACGGTGCCGTTATGATCCTGTGTGCTGTGTCCGGTGTCCAGTCCCAAACCATCACCGTCGACCGTCAAATGCGCCGTTACAACGTCCCCCGTATCTCGTTCGTCAACAAGATGGATCGTATGGGCGCCAACCCGTTCAAGGCCATTGACCAGATCAACACTAAGCTGAAGATACCCGCCGCTGCCGTTCAGGTTCCCATTGGTGCCGAGGACGAGTTCGAGGGTGTTGTCGATCTGATCCGCATGAAGGCTCTCTACAACAAGGGCGAGAGCGGTGAGGAGATTTTCGAGACCGATGTGATTCCCGAGCACCTCAAAGAGGTTTGCGAGGAGAGGAGGGCTATGCTTATCGAGACTCTTGCCGACGTGGACGACGAGATGGCTGAGATCTTCCTTGACGAGGCTGTCCCTACGGAAGACCAACTGCGCGCTGCTATTCGCCGCGCCACCATTGGCCTAAAGTTCACTCCCGTCTTCATGGGTTCGGCCCTGGCCAACAAGTCTGTTCAGCCCATGCTGGACGGTGTCGTTGACTTCCTCCCCAACCCGTCTGAGGTTGAGAACCTTGCTCTTGACCAGAAGCGCAATGAGGCCTCCGTTAAGCTTGTCCCTTACAACTCCCTTCCCTTCGTCGGCTTGGCCTTCAAGCTGGAGGAGAGCAACTTCGGACAGTTGACCTATATTCGCGTGTACCAGGGTACCCTTCGCAAGGGTTCCAACGTGTTCAACGCCCGCAACAACAAGAAGGTCAAGGTTCCCCGTATTGTGCGCATGCACTCCAACGAGATGGAGGAAGTCAGCGAAATCGGCGCTGGTGAAATCTGCGCCGTGTTCGGTGTTGAATGTGCCTCCGGTGATACCTTCACGGACGGACAGCTTGGTTACAGCATGTCTTCCATGTTCGTTCCCGAGCCTGTCATCTCGCTTTCCATCAAGCCTAAGCAGACCAAGGATGCGGCCAACTTCTCCAAGGCCATGGCTCGTTTCCAGCGTGAGGATCCTACCTTCCGTGTGACTTACGACAGCGAGAGCGAGCAGACCATCATCTCTGGCATGGGTGAGCTTCACCTTGACATTTACGTTGAGCGTATGCGCCGTGAGTACCGCGTCGACTGTGAGACCGGTCAGCCCCAGGTCGCCTACCGTGAGACCATCGGCAGACGTGTCGACTTCGACCACTTGCTCAAGAAGCAGACTGGTGGTGCTGGTGACTACGCCCGTGTTATGGGCTGGATGGAGCCTACCGGTGTTCTCGAGGACAACAAGTTCGAGCAGCAGATTGTCGGTGGCAGTATTTCCGAGAAGTTCTTGTACGCTTGTGAAAAGGGTTTCAACCTGTCTTGCGAGAAGGGTCCTCTTATCGGCCACAAGGTTCTCGGTACCTCCATGGTCATTAACGATGGTGCCACTCACATGACCGATTCGTCCGAAATGGCATTCAAGAACGCTACCCAGCAGGCCTTCCGCAAGGCTTTCGTGGAGAGTAACCCCGCCGTCCTGGAGCCCTTGATGAAGACTGTGGTTACTGCCCCGTCTGAGTTCCAGGGTGACGTTATTGCCCTGCTGAACAAGCGTGGCGCCACCATCAACGACACTGAGACTGGCGTCGATGAGTTCACTATCTATGCCGACTGCAGTTTGAACGGCATGTTCGGCTTCAGCTCCAACCTGCGCGCTGCCACTCAGGGCAAGGGTGAATACACCATGGAGTTCAGCCACTACGAGAAGGCTCCCCCACAGGTCCAGTACGTCTTTACCTAATCCCAAGATCTTGACATAACGTTCACATGCTAACAATCTCTCCCCTCCTATAGGAAGGAGCTCATTGCTAAGTACCAGAAGGCCCAGGCCGACCGGAACAAGAAATAAGCTTGCTCAATGGTCCGGCCCTACCTGCAATCCCCAACCTGGCCCTCCTCCCTTCACCCTTTGTAAAATTACCGCCATATTCCTCATATTCGACTTCCTCGGCCCAGGCGGGATCTGGGCTTGCGCAAACCACCTTTCTTATAAATGACAAGACCATGTTTACGGTGCTGCTGTGGTTGACTCAAGGCGCTCTTCTACTTTCCTGCGTCATGGCATTATATCATCTTGCGTCTTTTCTTTTGCCGGGACATGTACTTTAAAAAATTTGGGATATTACTTTCTACTCTCCTGTCTGAACAATACATCTGAAGAATAAATAGAGCCTTGTACCATCAAACACTTCCAAGCATCTCTTCTCATATCCGTAAGATTTTTTCGGCTATCAATGTAAATTTCTAATTTGTTTTTGTTATCAATATCATGAAAAGAACTTCTATTACATACCTGTTAAACGTATCGTCTCCACGCTGAATTCAGTCATCACCTCTCAAGGAGTCAACTAAATGAGACCTAGAACGTCGTGATCCTGTTAAATATCCATCTCTGGAAAGCTCATTCCCAGAGAGGACATCCCCCCTCATCACGAACATCATAATATTGCAATATATCATTACAAATAGTAACATACGCCTCACACCGATCAACCATTTTCGTAAGATGACAACCGAGATGATCCTAACGCCGATAAAGCATGTTCACAGGAGACTCACCGATTTGCTTCATACTAACCCCAGATTGTGCCCAGTGCACCAAAAGTCTATGCATTTCGACTTCGTGCTTGAGGTCCCCGTCGATGTGGTTCTGCCAGAGTGCGGAACGCTTCGCTCGGCGCTTGCGGGTGGTTTCGTCGATGATGACGTCGACTTCGATGTACTTGCCTTGATCGGTGGGGGTGCTGTTGAACCAGATTGCGTTTTCAAGGTTATCACTTTTGCTGTGGTGTTTGTTAGAGTTGGATTTTGAGGGGTTAGTCATGGTGTTGGGTGGATCGACTGGTTGGTTAGTTGAACGAGGAGAATGCACTGTGAATGGGAGAGGATATGGTCTTTGTCAGTAATACCTTGCGGTACAGAGGACTTTTCTGCTCGAAGAAATGGAATCTGGATGTTGAGGAGGGTTGCAGGAGGGTACTTATGCTTGATCGCGGGAGAGATGCTTGCAATGGTTTGATGGTACGAGGATCTACAGGAGGAAGAAGGCCACTTAAGTAGAACCGGGGCATGGCAAAGAAAGAGGAAACGAAAGGACAATGATAAGGTCAAGGTCTCAGAGAATCTCTTTTATGCTTTATGCCTTCTCAAATGCGCTTCGTGGAATCGTTTGAATGGTATTGTATTAGTTGAATGGCATTGTGTTTTCAACGACTGCCAAGGATGGTCAATGGTTTCGACAAAGGCAATGTTCTCTGTTTCAAGTTAGTGCTTATTTTAGGCTCGCTATTCTTTGTTGCAGGGATGGACCCTGCTTTGAAGCATACCCGCATACACTACTGGTCACATCTCGTTGCAAGTACCACGAAGACAAAAGGCAAGGGTGGGTACATTAGACCAAGACCTTTAGGTTCAATATTGACCATGTTGTCCTTGATTAAGGGGGTTTCTGGAGGACTGGAGAAATAATTCTGATTGCTACCATTCAGCATCATGTAGACCATAGTATGTACTTGATAATGCTAAGGTTCCAGATAGATGTAAGTATATGACAGAAAGGTTCATTAAGACGTGTATGTTGACATCCATAAAAAGCACGATAAAGCCAGAAACACCGAGATAAAGGGTATATGCGCGCTATGAGCGTAAGGACAAAGCCACGGGCCAATAATTAAAGAAGTAGTAAGAGATGAATCGAGGTGGTAACAAGTCTTTCGTCGTGTTGTATTCCCAAGGCCCCATAGTATCGGACTAGAGCCAGAGAATCCATCTCGCACCGGAGAGGGCTCCACGGAAGACACCACGGACAAGCTTAAAGGCCATGACAATAAGCCACACCCACCAAAGCATGCCGACAAGAGCCCATTCCAGGATAACGAAACCTGCACGTCGGACCCAACGCAGTCGTCGACGACGCTTTCGAACACCTCTGTCGAGAGCATCACTGAGAGATTTCACGGCGAGCGTACTGGTGGTATTAAGTTGGACACATAGGTCCTCGGCACTATCGGCAGTGGCTCGAACGCGGGGTGTGAGCGTCTGGTTGACCAGGATTTCCAGATCCTTTAGCTGTGAGCGGAGAGGAGATGATGTAGCAGTAGAGAAATGATGCATCGATTGTTGAAATGAATACTGGGTCATTTCAAACCGGCGCAGGAAATTCTGGGCAGCGGTATCAAATTCACTAATCCGAGCGACTCGGGAGACGGAGGAATTGTTGCCCATGGAGTTTGTGAGCCAGTGAGGTGGATCCCTCGAGCTATGGGCTCGGCGGGTAATTTCCCGAGCTTTGATGCCGGATGATAGAAGGAGAGTACGAGTACGCTCGATTTCGGTCTTGCCGGGAACGCCAGAGTCGTTCAATGAGTGAAGACTGCGTCCTGAAATGCTCCAGGCCCGACTAGCACCCGACATGGCACCAGGCCGTTTATCGGGAGGCCCTGGTGATGCTCGAGCTCTAGCGAGTCCGGTCACAGGGGGTTGAGTAAGGCTGAAAGGTATAGCAGGGTCTTTGATCGCATGTGATCCTTTCATGCGACCACGGGCCGATTGCAGAGCTGGACCAAAGTCGAGCGTTTTACTACGAGACAGGGCAATTCGTTTCGGCCCTTCGCGCTCATCAAGTCGCCGAGATGCGACTGAGCGCTCACGAGGACTGCTGACATCAACAGCATCGCTCGACGCTCCACTCTTATCATCTTGTCGTAGCGGGGACGTGAAAGTTGGCAATGTGGGTTTAAAGGCTCTTGATGATGTGATTTTTTCGGTTTCCCGACGAATGAGACGACCAGGCTCGTCTGTGAGAGTGGGGAGACGTCGTAGTAGACCTTTGGGCCCAGAGCGTTTGTCTGTTCTCTTCTCATCTTCGTCGGAATCGCTATCTTCCGAAGCAACCGTAGTCGCAGATGATGATTTGCGGGAATCAGGAATTGAATCCTTCTTCAGAATCAAATCACCAACCTTAGAGACCTCATTACCAACAATCTCCGCAATTCGGCCGGGGCCTTTGAAGATTCCTCGAAGCCTGGACTCTGGCAAATGCTGTCCCTTTCGCCCTCTATAGCCATCCATGCGGCTCTCGGAAACTCCTTGGTCATCGAAATAAGATGAAGATACAGTATCCGGAAGAGGGCTGGGTTGAAGCTTAGACGGTCGCTCAGAACGCTCCTGAGATGGCGAAGAAGGTTGGGATTCAGCCGCATCCAAACTCTCGTCTTCTTGCTCACGGGTGTCTCGATAGCCTTGCTTGCTTTTGCTTCGCTCGTGACGAGAGACGATCTTGTGACGAAGTCCCTTCTTGGCTGGTGAGGGAGACCGACTTGAGGGCGGAGACAACTTAACCGCGATGCTAGGGAAATAGCCCGCGTGAGCAGGAGAGTTGGGTGCGGTGCTATCCATTGCCTCCAATGACATTCTCGGATTCAATTTATCATCCAAACTGCCAGTGGATGAAAAGGAAGCTTGTCGGCCGACTTGACTCTTGGTACTGAGTGGTGGAAGTTTGGACGTTTCAGTTCTTCTTGTGTCTTTGATACCAGCAGCGGGAGACTTGGAGCGAGATGTTTGCGATTTGGGGACATTGGAAGCTTCCTTCTGCGTCTGGGCCTCGGACTCCTTTCGCGAATGTCCCCAAGCCCGAGGGCTTCTGTCTGAAGACTTCCGCCGCTCTGGGCTGGAATTACTAGATACACTCCCAGCACGCATTTTGACCTTGTCCCACCGTGAGCGCTTTCGCGAGCTAGAAGCACTGGGACTTCGTGTGCTGTGGGAATGGCTCTGGAACCTGTGTTTGTGCCGACCTCGACCAACACTTTTGAACTCGGGTTCCAGAGCCGGCCGAGCGCTGGACAAAGAGGTGTTCCGCGACGGAAGCTCCTCTTGGTTAAGGTATGCCATCTCAACCGACAAACGTGGTATCTGCTGAGCGCACTCCACACTGCTGTCCATCAAGACCAGCTCTGTAGGGTCTGGATAGAGTTTATTGCCATCCCTATCGACGATCTTAGCCCGATTAGAAGTGTCCTCGAGCCACGCAACGTCAGCTAGGAGCTCTGCTGGAGAGCTCGTCCAGTCAAGACGTGGGCGTGTTGTTTTGATACTATTAGTACGACTGACACGTCGCAGACTAACAGGAGGCGAGACGGACACCTCGAAGTCCTGTGCATCCCCATGAGAAGCATGATGTTGGCCTTGCTGGAAAGATGGAAGCTTGAATATTTGCATCTCGTCATATGTCGTGTCGCTGTAACGTTTCTGGATAGCGTTGACCCAGTCATGAACCCTGTCGACGTCATGCCAGCCTGCAGCTTCTGGGTCAATTGGGCATTTCTCTCGGTATCTAATCTTTCGGTTGCGAATCATCTGAAGCGGGTTATAGCCCCGACTTGTTGATGCGACGGGAGGTGGGACATCCGAGGAATCAGAATCGTCGGCGATTTGGGGTTTTCGCAGTGGAGGCAACGAGGGAAGCAGTCGTAAGTACTCCTGGAAGAGCTCAAAATGACGACGAGCTCGATCTGCACGGGCGAGGGTCCTTTCGGAAAACTCGTAAAACCGGTTGTCGTTCGCAACAGTAGATGGCAGAAGATCCACCACCGGGGACTTTGCGGTTATTTGCGAACCTTCCAGGGATGCATCGGCCGGGATCTGAGTATAATCACGGTCTGAAGAGTCGCGCTGTACATGCTTCCCCGTGGAACTCGGTGGGAGAAGTTCCAGGGGTGCAGCCGCCGGTTGCGACACCGAGAGAGGTCTCCGCGCGTGGGGACCAGGGGCGAGCCCAGAGGCTGTTCTCCTCCGAGACTCATTCAAATTGAGAGCCAGATTCACAATCTGAAGAGAGTCCATGTCCATACCAGGCGCAGCAGCCTGGCTCTTGCCATGTGTTCCAGAGGCCGTCCGGGACGGGGTTTTAGTTTGTTGGTCGTCATGGGGTGGCGTCGGGGCTTGTTCAGCGGCCGTTGCAGTTGACTCGGAAGTCGTTCGAGCTGTTTCGGATGTCGCATCCTTATGACGACTCCATGGAAAGCGCGATCTTTTCTTAGGTACCACGATATCACCGTCGGGGACACTGCGTTTCTCTATTGATGGCTCCGAAGGGCGAGACCGATGCGACCCGATCCTCAGGCTTGACGAGCGCGGCAAAGAGTCTAGGAGAAAACCACTCGAGCTCTGTGTCCTGCGCTGACCTGGTGTCCTTCGCTCACCATCACGAGAGCTGCTCCCCAGTGTGCTACCCTCGAGCTCCCCGCTCGCTCGGCCGTCGCTCGTGGAGCCAGCTGGTCGCCGGAAGGAGCCACCCTCTGATCGCCGTGGAAGCGAAGGACTGTCCTGCAACGCATCTTGGGTACTTCCATCGGTATGAGGCATTGAACTTCGCTCGCCCGGGGTATTGCGTTGTTGCGACATCGATTAGCCGATGGAAGGGCACGCGCGTCAGACAGACCGATTATCTAAGCATATCTAACTATACCCTGGAGGTACCTATGTACCTACCCGTTCGTTCGTATATATGACGGTGCTTGGAGCTCACGCAACATTTCTCTATCACGCTCCTTCCCCAGATGACTTTCTCCTCCATCCTCTAATCTTCACGTCCACGCATCTCCTACTTTTGTCCCTTACAATCGTTATGCCGGCTATTTCCTTGACCCCCTCGTCCGTCTCGTCGAGGACTGTGGTGTCTGCGGACCAGTTCAAGATACAGCCTCAGTTTGAAGAGGCTATTTTTCAGACTCTTCGCGAAGTTCAAGGCTTTCACGAGCTTGTTGTTACGGACCTACCTCAAGGGTGGGAGGGTTTTCTCTGGGAAGTCGAAGAGTCTCTTCCCCTCATCAGAAAAACCCACGACCCAACAAGCCGTACTTTGCGACTTAAGATCATGCCAACTTATACCCACAATTGCGTCGCTGAATGGATTTCATCCTCGATCTCTAGAGCTTCTGCGACAGGATTTCTAAACCTAGCGGAGCTAGATCTTCTCCTTCTCCAATCGGGCACATGTGAGTATAGCTGACGACTCTTATCGTACCCTTGCTTATAATACGACTACAGTACTTTCTTTTGTCAATGGTTCATATCGCGGTCTCCGAAAAGAGCCCGATGCGCTTATCCATACCCCATCCCAGCCTTTTCCAACCCTTGTCGCGGAAGTAGGATGGGCTGAGTCTTACGAAGACCTCTTGGATGACATGAATAAGTTGCTTGTTGGCGGTAATGGAGCTATCAAGATCGTCCTTCTTGTGAAATGGACAAGGCATTCAAACAATTCGGTCACCGGAGTTCTCGAACTCTACCGGAATGACCGACAAGGGATTCCGCAACTCAGACAGACTGAGGTGATTTTCCCACAGCCAGCCGGCAACCCTCCCCAACCTTTGGACATTCAAAGATGCGACCTCTACCCTGCCCGCCCTCCTAGGAATCCCAACGAGCATTTTCCTCTACTCGTAAACCGCTTACGCTACCATGCTCAGATCAGCCTTACTAGACAGGGATACGTGCCTGCTTAGCGGACAACTATTGTGATATTACTAATAGTCCATATCGCGGTCTCCGAAAAGAGCCCGATGCGCTTATCCATATCCCATCTGTCACACACCAAGCTTGCTTAACTTAGTCGTTTTGCTTATTCAGCACATTAGGATAACTAACTTAGCTAGTTCCTCCCATTCGGGAGAGGAATCAACTTCATTATTCACCCTAACTTGGCTTGTACCACCATCCCAGCCTTTTCCAACCCTTGTCGCGGAAGTAGGATGGGCTGAGTCTTACGAAGACCTCTTGGATGACATGAACAAGTTGTTTGTTGGCGGTAATGGGGCTATCAAGATCGTCCTTCTAATGAAGTGGACAAAGCATTCAAACAATTCGGTCACCGGAGTTCTCGAGCTCCACCGAAATGACCGACAAGGAATCCCGCAACTCAGACAGACTAAGGTTATTGGTACAGTTCCTGTAGACATGAACGATATACAGGATAAATTGGAATCAAGAACGCTCATTTTACTCAACCCGCAAGCACTGGAGGCGAGCCTCAGTCTCAATAACCTATTAGAGATAAGAGGTTAGCAATTAATTCTCCTAAAATTCAAGAAAATAAAACGATGGGAGATGTAGCTTACCTCGAGAGCCTGCTTGACCTCAAGAACGCGGCGAACATCGCCCAGCCAATCCTTGCTCAGGATCTTGGCCCAACCCTGGAGGGTGTTCATCTCACGGGCAGCAGCATCAAGGTTGCCCTCCTCGAGCAGGTTCTCGGTGCGGAGGAGAATGCTCTCAACGTCGTCTCCGTCGGCAAGACCATCCTTCTTGAACATGACCTTGCTCAAAACCAGGCTAGCAGCGTGGCTGGCAATACCAGCATCCTCGGGCAGGAGGCTGGCCTTGCGGACCTCACCTGCAACACGACGGAAGCGCTCGATGATCTGAGTGGGGGAAGGAATACCACGCTGGTAAGCAGTGGGATTGATGGAAGCGATGGCAGCATCAACAACAGGGTCGTCAGCGGCCAACTCCTTGACGGCAACCAGCTCGCGGACGAACGGGCGAGAGGTCTCCGAGCGCTCAACAACGGAACGCACGGCGTCGACGGCAACCTGGAGCTGCTGGGTCTTGAGGTTGGTGTCAATGACGTTGCTCCAGCCAGTAGTCAAACTCTCAAGCTCGGAGATGTTAGCGGTAAGCTCGTTCAGCTTGCTGAGACGACCCTCGCGCTCACGCTCGACCAGATCCTTGACCTCGTGAATATATTTGCGGTTCAGCTCAATGGCCTGCTCAACAAGCTCGTTCTGCAAGCGCTGCTCGGCAAGGGCCTGGGCACGCTGAAGCTCGACCTTGATCTTGTCCTGATAAGCCAGGGCGAGCTTCTCACGCTCAGCCTCGAACTCCTCGCGGAACTGGGCGACCTCGGCATTGCGCATATCCTCGAAACGACGGATCAGCTCACGGGCAGACTCATCAAACGTAGCGTGTGCCTTGTTGATTTCTTCTTGAGCAGCCTGCTTAGCCTCATCCCGCAGTGCCGTGATCGTCTCACCAATCTTGAGAAGCTCCTCCTTAGCCTTGGCGACAGGAGCAGAGTACTTGCTGGAGTTCTCATCGGCGCTAATCACGGTGACAATGTCGTTGAAGGTCTTAACCAACTGCTGCACCACGGGCTCGTCGCCATCCTTGGTCTGCAGCAGCTCAATGGTACTAGCAGCAACGGCGGGCTGGCGAGGCGCATCAAGAGACACGGGCTTCTGCTCCTCCTCCTTTGCAGCGGGCTTCTCTTCCTTCTTAGCCGACTTGGCCGCCTTGTCCTCCTTGGCCTTGATAACAGGGGCGTTGCGGTCCTCGGGCTTGGCGGCCTCGGTCTTCGTCTGCGCATCGTGGACCTTGGCGCTGTTGTGAGGGCCGCTCTTGGAGACGTCGCTGGCGGGCTCCTCCTTAGCGACCGTCCAAGAAAGGCCGCTGTTGCTAGGAATTGTGACCGGCTTGCCCTCTTCGCGAGGAGTGACCTGGATACGGTTCGAGTGTCTCGAAGCATTGGGGAATCGGCGATAGAAGTCGCGCTCCTCGAAGTACAGGACACACTCCTCACCGTATGGGACGTACTCGGTGAAGAAATCATGGAAGTTGTCGGACTTCAGAGCCATGAAAACGCCGCCGCCATAAGCGAAGCCGGAAGTCAGGATCAGGTAGAGCAGGAATCGGCGGAAACGACCAGTCTTGGGAGGCGCAGCTTTGGGGATTTCAGCTTCTAGAAACAGGTCAGTGTACAGGCGATTTTAAACATTGGCGTCATCGAGGTGGCTAGTGGTACCTTGCTCCGTAGGCTTTGTCGGGATTTGTGGAGGGACGACCGATTGAGAGGAAGGAGTAGCAGGAGTGGGAGCATCGGTGGGTGGCAGCTTGGAATCAGCGAAGAATCGCTGGATTCAAATGACTGTTAGTGGTATATTTGGTGGCACATGAGCAGGGGAATAGGTTCTCGTACCTGAGCCGGGAGCCGGCTCCTGGCACCGGCTTTAGACAGCCATTGTGACGGAATCCGTTGGCGGGCAGGAGACGACAGCAGCTGCCGACCCGGAGCAATTGAAGAGCGCAGCATGACGAGCTGCACAATCGCCAAGGGAGTGGGGAGGGATGCGATAACCTGGATGAGTAGGAAAACTGGAAGTCGATGTTCAGTCGCGATCCGCTCCGACAATCCTGCGGGCGGTCAGCCTGTTGCACCCATCAATCCCGCACGCACTCTGGAGACAGGTACTCCGGGGACTTTGACAATAGAACACTTAACGTGCATTTAGATTATTAGTTTTCTAGACAGAGTATATATCTAGCTAAGTGGAATATGCGGGACTTATCATTAGTATAGCTTAATCAATTCCTGAACGGATGCATGAATTCTTAGTTCTCAAGAAAGTGCCGCATACTTCCTTCGGCTGCCAGGAATATATTCATCAGGGCATCCAATCGTTCCAGATACAGAACCGGACAAATCGGACTAGCAGTGAAAAACAGAGCATATTGCCAGCATTCTCATGCGACATGGATAAGAACTCAACCAAAAGTAGATCAGGAACGAGGTTTGTAGTGTATCGAGCTTTGAATAACGAGAACACGGATTGAACAGGGCCTCTTTCAAGCACCGTGGAAGAACTCACACCTACAGTATCAAAATAGAACTGCTGGGCAAGGCTATTATTCCCAATTAGTGATTAACTACGTTGCAGAGCAAGAAAAGCTTCCATAAATAGGTACAGTCTGAAGACAATGTATTATCTGGGCATAACATACTAAGAAGGGGTCTGGGAACGAGGACGAAGACAACGGGAAATAGTAACATGAAGAACTCAGCCCAATAGACAAAGGAGAAGAGCAGATGCAGGACGCCGGGTGAAGAGGTACCAGAAGTACAAGGAAACAGAAGCAGGGGGAGGTAATTCCTGCCTCAGAATGTCTAAAGCCAACTTCCAGATGTATCCGTGGATGAAGTAGAAGTTCATCTATCGGCGCCAGACCCGGCGGAGTCATCCGGAAAGGGGAGCAAGCAAAAGATCAAATAACCACGAGGCGACCGAGAAGGGTAGGAGGACAAGGAACTGAGAGTCTACCTCTCATGTCGAAGTAAGGTGGTGAGGGGGTGAAGCCATAATGTAAGTAGATTCGATACCGCGATCGTGAGTTGGAACGGGACGGTTGTCGGCACCGGGGACAGGCAGTAGGGAGTCGCAAAAGCTAGTTGCGGAGGAAGATATCGCTATTAAGGGCTTTAACAGTTGCAGGCACCAGCACCTTGAGTACCGGGGGCCTCGGGTCGCAGGTCAACTCCGGGTCGTGGGGCTGTCCGTAGGTTCCGGGGGCCGGCCTGGTCGAGTGGCAGCTTCTTCGCGATGGCCGTGAACAGCTCCCGCACATTCGTCGAGGACTTGGCTGAGGTTTCGAAAAAGAGAAGGCCAGCCTCACGAGCGTAGGCCTCGGCATCGGCGGTCTGGATGGCACGCTTATCGGGGCTTTCGGTGACAAGATCCAGCTTGTTGCCGGCCAGGGCGATCACAATGTTCTCATTCGCTTGGCGCTGAAGTTCCTTCACCCAGGACTTGGCCTTATCCAACGATGACTGTAGACACGGACGAACAGAGGCGATGGTCAGCAAAAAACGATCCAAACGGGTTGAACAGGGCGAACATACGGCTTGGGTGATGTCATAGACCACGACAGCACAGTTGGCGTTTCGATAGTACATCGGAGCCAACGACTTGTATCTCTCCTGACCAGCAGTATCCCAAATTTCAAACTTGACCGTGGTGCTCTCGTCGAGGGAGATGGTCTGTGTCAAAAAGGCGGCGCCGATTGTCGACTCCCGATAATCATCGAATTGGTCCTGATCCGGCGAGTCAGCTACATTTCCTTCCAGCACTACCTGTCTACAACCAGACAACAAAAGCTAGTAGAGGGAAGGATGTTCGCTGTCGACTCACCTTAACGAATCTCAACACGAGCGAACTCTGGAAGATAACATAATTGTTAGCGCCTGATAGCGAAAGCTAGGAAATGTCAGCGGGACGCCGAACCTTTCCGACTGCGGATTCTCCTACAGAAAGAAGACAATATATGTTAGCACTCATCCGTCAGACTTCCGAATCGTCCATGGTGATCGCCTACCAAGCAACACAAGCTTGAACTGGGCGAATTTCGCCCCGGGACGGGCGCCTGCTGCAGGTCGGGAGGCCATGGCCAGTGGTCAGGGGGTGAAGCGAGAGGTCGGAGAAAGGCGGTATGAAGGAAAAAGATGTCTCAAAGCAGTCGACTAGGTCGGGTGCAATATGCGATCGAAGGCCCTACTCTCTCTCGGGTCTCGTCGTTCGTCGTGGATGGAGAAGAGAAGAGTTAAGGCAGCCTACGGAGTGGATGACGGCAGGTCCAGCCACATGAGCAGCGGGGCGGTGTGGCGGTACGCTACATTACAGGCGGCCTTAACTACTGTAGTTGGGGCGGTATGGGCGGACTACACAGGCATTACTATGGAATACTGAGGCCTGGTAAGGGGGACTGATTCCCCCCAATAGTTTGACCAGGTGGCCCGCGCCTGCCCCCGTGCCGCACTTTTTGGTGTTGTCCTCCAATAACGCCGCGGCTGATCATGTGTTCCTGATTATTGTTCTCCCTCTACGGAGCTTAGTCTTCCCCACCACCTCTTCCCTGCTACTACAAGCCATTTATTCAAATCCGAGACTACTAACCCTCCGTCTCATTTGTTTCGGCTGCCCGCCATGGCGCCTCAGATTCTCCCTTTTAGGGATGTCAATTTACATGCTTCGCCCTCCCACTATGCGTTTACCTCGCCTTCATCGCCCCAGGCACCAACGCTGGTGGTAGACCGGCCGACGGGCGACCTTCGTCTGAACGATGGCCCTTTATCGGGTGCTAAGCGTATCTCCAGCATTGCAGGAATTCTGGGAATCGTTAAGCTGAAGCTAGGTAATTGGCGATCGCAATGGAATCGGGATAGGGGCTGCGCTAACCTCTGCGAATAGACAAGTACATTATTGTCATTACCAAAGCCCAGCCCATGGGACGTCTGCGCGGCCACATGGTGTACAAAGTTGCCTCCACCGAGTTCCTCCCGATGCGCGAGCGCCCGCTCCACGATAAAGATGAGGATACCTATCTGGCCCTGATCAAAGACCTGCTTCGCACTGGCCCCATGTACTTCTCCTACTCCCTGGACCTCACCAACAGTTTCCAGCGGCAATCACAGAGCCCGTCCGATATTCCTATGTGGAAGCGCGCCGACGACCGTTTCTTTTGGAACCGGTTCATTCAGTCTGATCTGATCGATTTCAGCCTGGGAGAGAATAACACAAATGGCATTCGTTACGGACCTCAGCCGGGCGCTGATCCCTACATCCTTCCAGTGATGTTTGGCATGATGCGCATCACCCCGGCTAAAGTCAAGGGAACTTCCTTCACATTTGCTCTCGTTACACGTCGATCCCGACACCGCGCGGGCACGAGATACTTCTCGCGTGGCATTGACGAGCAAGGCCATGTGTCAAACTATAACGAAACCGAGCAGATTGTGATCTTGAATGACTCCACTGGAGGGTTGTCGGGCTATGCGCCAGGTCAATCGATGACGAACGGCAAGACGGGCCAAGATCTCCAAGTGTACTCCTTTGTCCAGACCCGAGGCAGTGTTCCAGTCTTCTGGGCTGAGGTCAATGACCTCAAATACACACCCAAGCTGCAGGTTCGTGGTGTCGAAACTGCCGTCGAAGCTGCGCGCAAGCATTTCTCAGAGCAGATTCGTCTCTACGGAGAGAATTATATGGTGAACCTAGTGAATCAGAAGGGCCGCGAGGAGCGCGTGAAGAATGCCTATGAGCAGCTGGTTCGCATTCTCATCTCTTCTTCTACGGAGACGAGAGAAGCCGATGATAAGACATCGGAAAAGATTCACACTCTTGAACCAGGACTGAAGCAAAAAGAGTTGGATCGTCTGCATTACGTTTATTTCGACTTCCATAACGAGACCAAGGGCCTGAAATGGCACCGTGCTGAGCTGCTGATGGGTCGCCTTAATGATGGCTTGACCCAGGGTGGCTACTTCCGTGGCGTTGAGAGCCCCGGCGCATCTAGCGGCCAGCTAGATATTCGGTCGACACAGACAAGCGTGGTACGAACCAATTGTATGGACTGCCTCGATCGAACCAACGTTGTCCAGAGCATGCTCGGTCGCTGGGCGGTGACTCGCCAGCTCATGGATGCTGGTGTGCTGCGCCCCGGCGAGAATGCCAACGATGACCGAGAATTTGAGGATCTGTTCCGGAACATCTGGGCGGACAATGCCGATGTTGTTTCCAAATCCTATTCTGGTACGGGTGCCCTGAAGACTGACTTCACACGAACCGGCAAGCGTACTCGGGCTGGCGCTCTCCAGGATTTGAACAACTCCATTACACGTTATGTACGCAACAACTTTATGGACGGTCCTCGACAGGATGGGTTTGATGTGTTTTTGGGCACCTATCTCCCCTCAGACACATCCTTTGCCAACATTCAGCTGTTTATGGATCGACGACCACTCATAATCCAGGCAATTCCGTATATCTTCGCGGCCAGCTTGTTCATGGTTTTGATCGCCACTTTCTCGAGGCGATTGCCTGACGCAGCAGTCTGGCCGCTTCGGCTTTTCATGATCTTCTGGATCGTCATCGGCGCCTATTCCTTCCGGTTTATTCATGGACATGGCATGCTCTATGTATGTGACATCTTCCCCCACAGACATGAATTACTTGACTAACTAAATCTCAGGTGAACTGGCCGAAATTGAACACGCCCGTTGCTGGCGCCGAGGGATACCAAGATGCTATCGTAAAAGCTCGCTCTGACCCCATCATCGGTCAATGGCTTCCTTCCAGACGACACCAGCGCGGCATCAGCAACGCTCGTCTTGTCTTCCTCGAGGAGGGCAAAACCAGGATCGAGTAATTCCACTCGGTCATTCAACACAGCATGGCGTGATCTCTCACTTCAATCCCCTGTCCATCCCTGTACACTTCACGGCTTGTATGATTTACCATCATTGCTTTTCACTCTGACGGGTTGTCTTCTACCTTTCTTCTTCTCATTTGTCTCTTTGGTTGGTGCCATGCCCCTCCTCTTTTGTTTGACCCGATAGAGGGTTTTTCCCTGGATACTTTTATCACTTCGTACCCTGGTCCAGTTATTTCACTTTGCTAATACGGCAACCCGTTGTTCTTTTTTTGTCTGGCGCCTCAAGAGGTAGATGATACCAGGGGTGCTTGGGATCACATTTAACCGTGCCAATTGAACAATTGTTCCTTTCATCTTTGTTTTAGACACAGTAATGCCGCTGTAAAGCCTTGTGCTTTCTCCCATCTGCTGTAATCCTAATTACCTCTATCTCTCGGATATCTCGATGCCCTCCAATCAAGTGCCGCAGAGATAGGCAGATGGAAACCACGTGACATTCCCGACATCATGACTCCCCGGTTTCCCGAGGAGAGGTGATCGGCACCAGAACCAAATAATCTTCGAGCTTGCTGGTGTTTCTTTTCGAGAAACACCCCGCCTGCTCACTTGAAATCGCAGGCAAGGGTATCGCTTGTTCATGAGGGGGATCTGGAAGTCTCTTCGCTGGTCTGGTCCGCAACGGCGAGTCTCGACTCACTCGCCCGTTATGACTCGCTCATATGAGGTATGTCGGGAACTCCCCCGCATCAACGGTCTTGCAGCTCAGCGCAGGACTGCATGATAAAGTCTACGTCTTTCTGATCATGAATCCTGACATGATATTTGTCTAGGCTGCAATTGCAGCGCTCAATTCCTTACAAACCAACTTTGCGATCGTGGAGGAGCTCAAGAAATCGACCTCGCGAGAGGATCTGAATAAGCGCTCACTCCCAGAGACGGTTGAATGGCTTCGTCGCATTGGATACAAAGTACGCACATGCTCATGATCTGCACTGATACAATATTGAGACAATGCCGTTCTAACATGGAGGACTTTTCGCTGCAGCCCTCCGATCTGGACCGATTGAACCTGATCCATGTTGCGGGCACAAAGGGTAAAGGCTCAACCTCCGCATTCATCTCATCGATTCTCTCCCAGTACACCCAGTCCGAGCCAGGTCAATCCTCTCCGCGCCTTCACAAAGTCGGACTCTTTACCTCCCCCCACCTCCGGTTCGCGCGCGAGCGCATCGTGATTGATAATGCCCCGCTTTCGGAAGAACAGTTCGCGCGGTACTTCTTTGAAGTATGGGACCGTTTGGAAACCGCAGCCAAGGCTGCTGGCGAGGATCCTGTCTCGCTGAGCACTAAGCCGCAATACTTCCGTTATCTTACTCTGATGGCATTCCACACATACATGAGCGAGGGTGTTGATGCAGCAATAATCGAGTGCGGTATCGGAGGAGAATATGATTGTACCAATGTGATTGAGCAGCCCAAGGCGACAGCTATCACCAGTCTTGGAATCGACCACACTGCTATGCTGGGCACTACGATTGAGAAAATTGCATGGCACAAGGCCGGTATTATCAAATCAGGAGCTCGGGCTTTCACGGCGCCGCAACCTCCAAGTGCAGAGCAAGTGCTGGCTGAGCGTGCCGCCGCCAAGGGTACTCAGTTGGATGTGGTGTCTGAGCATCCTGAACTCCGCCCAGGAACCAGTCATGTGAAACTCGGTCTGGCTGGTGACTTCCAATACACCAATGCCTCCGTTGCCGTTGCAGCAGCTGCCGAGTTCTTGAGAAAGACTGGTGTGGCCAACATTTCCGAGAATGTTATGTCTGAGCCTCTTCCTGCCAAGTTCAAGACTGGACTTGAGGAGACCCGCTTGGGTGGCCGCTGTGAGACTCGCTTCGAGAAGAATGTGGCTTGGTATATCGATGGAGGACACACGCTGGAGAGCATCCGCCTGGCTGGCCAGTGGTTTGCCTCGAGAATCCACTCCGATTCGTCCAGCGAGCTCGCTGCGATGAAGCCGCGCATCTTGATCTTTAACCAGCAGACTCGGGACAGCACAGCTCTGGCTCGTGCTCTCCACGAGACTCTTGCCGCTGCGTTGGGATCGGGCACGCCTTTCACTCACGCTCTGTTCTGCACAAACATCACATATAAGCAGGCCGGCTTCCGTCCCGACTTGGTCAGTATGAACACCAATGCCGATGATCTCGAGTTGCTCCGCGTACAGAAGTCTCTTGCGACTGCCTGGAATGAGATCGACCCCAAGGCCGAGACCCATGTGTTTGGAACCATTGAAGAGGCCGTTAATTTTGCGCGAGATGTGGCTGCCCAGGAACGCAAGGTCGTCCAGAAGGACGAGGCGCCCGTCATGACTTTTGTTACTGGCAGTATCCATCTGGTGGGCGGCTTCCTCGATGTGATCGAGACAAAGCCATACGAAGAGACTGCTTGATTCTCTGCTTGATTTCTTTCCTCTCATGAGTTGGAACTCAAATCGATGGGCAGCCTGGAGCTTCTTGCCCGTTCTAGTTCTTGTATCAACACTTGACATATAATTAACGACATAGCGAGATGATGAGGGCTATAGAGGTGTTTTTCCTTTTTGTGGATTTCAACAATTCGAGATTTCCCATACAATGAGTTTATCAATTGAAAGCCATAGTGTTCTGTTGGATACGCTCGCGTGTTACCTTGTAGTGCTCAGCTTACCATGCCGAGGTTCATTCTTTCCATGTTCAGCCACCAAGTAAGTAGGAGAGCCACAAACGTAGTAAAAACACCCATGCCGATAATAACAAAGTGTATGGAATTCTTCTACTTTCCAGGTTCTTCTCGTTTAATAGTACATACTGTAATTCAAATGCCAAGCTATCGGCGACTAAAGACGGGGCAGGAACCAGTTACCCCTCGGCTCACCCCACCGATCCGCGTTTCATGCGACTGACGTGGGGCCTCAACGAAATTCCTCCTCTTTCTCCCACTCACCACCGCTTTCAGCTCGCCCCGCATACCCCCAAACAGCGGCCATGTCGGACTCCAAGGATAAGGGCAAGGCCCCCAAGCGTCGTGAGGATGACGCCGAAGATGCCGGCGCAGATACTAGCCCAGACAGCAGCAAGGGTATCCTGACTCCGCCCTCCTCCAGCTCTCCCGAGCCCTATGCTGATCCCATGGATGATGTAGCTACCTCCTCTAGCGGCGCAACGAAGAAAATTCCCGCGAAGATGCTGGAATCAGTCCTCGAATCGAACCCGGCTCTGAAGAACGAACTCGCAAACATGGACCAGGAAACGGCGACGAAGACCCTTGCGAACATCGACATCGCGCAACTGTTGACGGGCCTCTCACTTGGCAGTGGAAAGAATCAGAAGGATATGGCCTCGTACAAGTTCTGGCAGACACAGCCTGTTCCACGTTTCGATGATCAAGCGAACCCGACTCCTAGCAATCAAGGACCGATCAAGATGATTGACCCGGAGAAGGTCTCGAAGACACCCGATCCATTGCTGGAGGGCTTTGAGTGGTGCACCCTTGATTTGACGAACGAGTCTGAGCTTCGAGAACTCTACGAGCTGTTGAACAATCACTACGTGGAGGATGATAATGCCATGTTCCGATTCGCCTACTCGGAGTCGTTCTTGCACTGGTACGATAACACAGTGTGACACCTGGCTTTTTGCATAAGAATTACTGACTTTGGATGCGTTCTTCTCCAACAGGGCCCTGATGTCTCCGGGCTGGAAGAAGGAATGGCACGTCGGTGTCCGGGCGACCAAGTCTCGTAAATTGGTAGCGTCGATCTGCGGTGTTCCGACGGAAATCCGTGTCCGCGGAGAGCGCATTAAGGTGACCGAAATTAACTTCCTCTGCATCCACAAGAAGTTGCGTGCCAAGCGATTGGCACCCGTTCTCATCAAGGAGATTACTCGTCGTTGCTATGTCAATGGCATTTTCCAGGCTATCTACACTGGTGGTGTGATCCTGCCTACCCCCGTCAGCTCTTGCCGATACTACCATCGTGCGCTGGACTGGCTGAAGCTGTTTGAGGTCGGCTTCTCGCCTCTGCCGCATGGCTCGACCAAGGCGCGCCAGATCACCAGGAACCAACTTCCCACGACTACCTCAATTCCTGGCCTGCGGCCAATGGAGTCCAAAGATGTTGATGCGGTCCATGAACTTCTGGAGCGGTATCTGCTCCGCTTCGACATGAACCAAGCTTTCACCCGGGAAGAGATCGACCATTGGCTGGTGTATAAGCCGCAGCCTGGCAAGGAACAAGTCGTTTGGGCATATGTGGTGGAGGACCCCGAGACCAAGAAGATCACCGATTTCGTCTCCTTTTACAACTTGGAGTCGACTGTCATTGATAATGAGAAGCACGACCTTGTCCGGGCCGCTTACCTTTACTACTACGCATCTGAGACCGCATTCAATGACAACGCGAAGGCGCTTAAGGCGCGCCTTCAAGTGTTGATTAATGATGCGCTTATTTGCGCTCGGCAGGTATGGAATCACGTCCTTCATATCATTTACAATCATTCCCTTCTAACATCATGATAGGCCAAGTTTGATGTTTTCAACGCGCTTACCTCTCACGACAACCCCATGTTCCTCGAGCAGCTCAAGTTCGGTGCTGGTGACGGCCAACTTCACTTCTACCTGTACAACTACCGCACGGCCGCGGTTCCTGGAGGCATCAACGACAAGAACCAACCCGATGAGAAGAAGATGGGTGGTGTGGGTATTGTTATGCTGTAGGCCGAGGTGCTTTCTTGTGACTAGTGGCTCTCAAGTATTATCAGGCACCCCATCACACGATTTCCCTTTTGTTACTATGAAATAAAACCAAAGAAAGACAATCAAATCAAAACATAAATGTGACCAAGTGCTAAAGTACTATTATTAACTTATTCACTTATTAAGTGGCCTGACATGGTTCCAGCCAAATGGAAAAGGTCTGGCCCGCCAACATGGACACCTCAGGCAGCAATATCTGACGTCGTCACCTCCAACGTCGCCGTCGCTTTCCATCTTCCTTTCATTCCACCAACTCTTTCTATCAAAGTCATCCCAGCTATCGCTCTGATTCATTTGTAAGCGAATTTCTGTCCGCTGTTTCTTGACAGCGACTTGGGAAGTTAGTACCGGAATTGAAGCCGTGGGGTGTTCCCCGCATCTGCAACAAGAATGGGTGCGGGACAGTCAACCGATTATAGTGGAGCGTCTCCAGGTTAGTCCTTCTCCTGAGTATCCCGTCTGCAAATCATGCCCTCCGAGACAATGGATGCATGTAACTTACAGAAGTGTCACTTTCGACACCTTCCGATGTCTTGAGTCTGAGCTAACCTTGAATAGAGGAGCTGAGCTACATGCTGGCGGAACGCTTCGCGACAAAATGTTTCTCGCCATTGGAACTCACACATTTCAAAGACAACTTCTTCTCTCGGGCCTCAGAGCAAGGGGGTATCCGTTACTGGAATGAAAAGACTTTATCAGACTTCCTGGGGGTCCCAGACGGCAGCTTCTCCGGTGCGGATGAGGCTCCGCTTGATGCAGGACCTGTTCTATTCCGCATGGTTTCCTACCTCGGTGCATTTCCATTTCAAAGTACCTTGGCACCGAGCGTTTTGACATTCGAGGCCATGGTCAAAGTGGTGGTGCTCCTAACTGAGCGCTACGGAAAAGTCCTCCGGCGAGGGCGCAAAGATCGCATCAAGCTGCTCTTTGGTAGCCTTGCTGATGTTGGGAGGAAAGATGTTGAGCTTCCGTCTGATAAGCATGCCGAGAACAAAGAGTCGGGATCTGAGGAAAGTCCTGAGCCCTGCCCTGCCAAGTCCCATGCGCCAGGCTTCTCTATCGACGAGCCTGCCAATGACGAGTATGATGAGGATGAGGATGATGACCTTGCCCTCGCGGCATTAGAGTCTCTTGATGCGATTGAAGTGTTCAAGCACGATCATCGCGTGGACAGGACAGTCTATGAAACACGCATTTCTGTTGATACCTTCCGTCGACTGCTCATGTTGTTGCTCGTCATTGCGCCTTTGAAGCCGCTTGAACCTGTCAAGACGTATACGTCTGATCTTGATTCCGAGCGAATTGAGGCAATTCGAAAGGAGGCAGACAGTATACTTGCCGCATTCCGACCAGAAGAAAGTGATGGCGGGATAACCTACAGAGCATTTGCGCGAACAATCTCGACATCCTTACCGTATCTCTTCGATCCTCTAACGGCATTGTTCGAGCACATGCTGTTCAGTAAGAACCTGAACCTTTCTCAAAGACGACCGAGCGAAGGTACACCCGAAGATACAGGAGAGGAAAAGCCCGAGGAACCCCCGTGGCAAAACCAATACTGCTCCCAGGAAGCTTCGAGTCGGCAATTCTCAATTCGACGATCCTTTCACACATTTCATTCTTCCTACCCTCAAAGGGGCAATCCATGAACCTCTTCAAGAGTGGCATTCGTCTCCATCCCGTTTTCTCCACAGCCACCCACGGTTCCTCGTTAACGTCCTTCTCCCACAACGTTCTCACCTGGCAATCAGCCAATCTCCTCATACTACAAGGTGCAACAGAAGGACCGAATGAGGAAACCGTTACAATCGGCGCCTACCTCCCTCAATCCTGGAAATCATCCTCATCACACAGCTCATCCTCTAGTTCCGACCCACTTCCATGCCTCTTCCAACTCTCGCCCAAACACCAAGTCCTACCCGGAAACCCATCCCCATCAGTCCAAAAACAAGCCAACCTCCCACCAGCCTGGTTCTCAACACACACCGGCATAGCAATAGGCTGTCAGATCCCACCAGCCTCACGCAGCCACCACACCCCTCCCGCTCCCCACGGAGCCGCAAGTCTAACAATCGACGTAAACCTCGAATCCGCCGAGTTCCGCATCGAACCAGTCGGCCATGACGGCGTCTTCCTCCCATCCGGAACGACATCAATGGAAGATCCCTCCGTCAAGATCCGTCTCGACCTTTATTCTCTTGAGATCTGGGGCGTGGTTCCGGATCCTGAGCTGGCGGCTTCTTCGGAACTCAATTCGAGTGCCGTTGAGGTTCAGCGGGCGAAGTGGGAATTTGAGGCTCGGGAGGCTGAGAGAAGGCGCAATATTAATCTTAAGACTGGGGCGGGGGATTCGGCAAAGGAGAGTGCTAGGTGGTTGTTGGAGACGGCGGGGATTATTGGGGATCATGGACAGTATTCGGGTGGTAGCACTTGAGTCGTTGCGGGAATGTGGCTTTTTTTGTCCTTGGGAATGGTGCTAGGTCTGGGTCTTTTGGGTGGTTCATTGAGTTATTTGAGTGATAGCCTAATTTGATTATTTCCTCAGTCTTCTTGAAGAATCCGAACGGGAGAGTAGAAGCCCGGATGTTGCTGGTATCGTAGGTCTATGTAATTTCTACACACAATAGCGGAACTGCACTTGGTGAATGGTAATACATGTTGTACATCAAGATATGGGTTATAATGAAACTATCTAAATAGCATTGGAAAGACCAGCCCAGGAAATTGTCATCTTAAACTCGCAAGGGCGGCATTCCCATCGGCGCACCATAGAAATCCATCAAATCCTCCTCCTCTTCAACCTCTGCCACATTATTCTCAATCTCGGATTCCTCCTCGACCAGCTTCACCACAGCCTTCGAGGGACGGTTGCGTGAAGTTGCGGCGGTTACCGCCGTAGATGCAGGTGTACTTTCCGCCTCGAAAGCCTCACGGGCATCTTCATAAGGAAGCCGGAAAGCAGGGAAGCCATCCGGTGCACGCTCAGCTCGGTCCATAATCTCGTTCATGTACTTGCGAACTTCATCGGCTGGCTTGACGACACGAGTCAAGGGCTCCAGTATCCGGGGATTCGCGGCGTGAATGCGGAAGGTAACTGGTTGCCAGTACTCTTTGAGGTTTGCCTCGCTGGACGATTTTCCAGCGGGCGTGCCCGGCGTTTCTGATTGACCTGGTTTGTCATCGGCTTTATCATCCAAAGGCTCTTGCTTTGGAGGGACGTCGGCAGGTGTGGGTGTTTCAGCGGCTTTCTCTGCCTTGGCGCCCTTCTTCGATTTCGAGGCACCTTTGCCCTTTGCGCGTCCGGTTCCAGCATCGGGTGCAGTCTCGATTGGGAATGGCGTGTTTGGATCGACCTTCTTCACAATAAGGAAAGAGGCTAGGATGGTATTCTCGTTGGGAAGCCATTCCAGGATCGAGTGCTCCGGGAACAAGTAGCGATCACCTGAGCCAGCGTGGCCAGATGTACTACTTCCGTAGGGTGTCAATGGTGATGTGAATTCAAAGACGACAGACTTGTAGTTCAATGGCGTAGGCGTAGGTCGCGCCGGTGGCACCTGGGGACGATAATAGGGCGTGGGAGAGCCATATTGTGGTGGACGTGACTGTGCAGGAGACTGTGTCGCGTACGGCGCTTGCTGTTGATATGGAGGCTGAGGGGGACCCGGTCGTGGTACCTGCTGTTGAATATTGTTGGAGGTATGAGGGGGTTGCACTGCAGGACTCTGAAGCTGTGACGTGGTGTTGGGGGCTGGGGTGCTAGTACGAGCAGGGGTTGCTGATGGAGTCGAGACTGCCGGCTGCGCGGAGCTTGACGGAGTAGCCTGCGTGTTCGTTGGTCCCGTTGTTCCTGGCTCTTGCTTCACTGTTGGCGTGGCGGTAGAGTTCTGGCTGGAGCCGGGTTGTTGTACTGAAGTTGCAGGGGCAGGGACAGGGGTCTGAGGTTGAGGCGGCGCTTCGACTGGCGTTTTCGTGGAAGCCGTTGTTGTTGATGGTGCCTTTGATTCTGACACCGGTTGTTGTGGGGGTTCTTTGGTTGGGGTTTGAGTTGGAGGCACCGGCTGGGGTGTAGTGCCCTGCCCTTGCGACGGGGTAGTCGTCGTCGAGCTCGACTTTTGGTGAATGACAACCTGCGGCACGGGTGGTCTATTCTGTGGCGCGGGAGTTGCTGGCTGGGACGCTGGTGACGGCTGTGCAGGTGCAGCAGCAGCTGCTGCTGCATTTCGCTGACGTTCTTGTTGCTCTCTTGCCTTGATGATCGCATTAAGCTCGTCGATATGGGCCTGGAAAGCACGGAGCTGCTCCTGCGATGCTTGACTGGAAGCGACCACTCTCATAAGAGCCTTCAATTCCGGATCCGCGGCAGCTCTCGTGGCAAGCATTTGAATGACTGGATCCGGGCTGGGCTTTGCGGGTTGTCCGGATGGACCACCTTGTGGAGGTCGCTGAGGTTGTGCCTGCGGGCCACGGTGTTGAGGCGATGGTGCATGAGTACCTGGGTATCCATGTGGAGGGCGCCCTGGAGGTGCGGGAGGGTACGGAGGTCTTTTCTGATTGCCTGGGTATGGCTGATATTGTTGGAAGTTTGTCGGATGACCGTAGTGGACCATTTGTTTCTGCGGGGGAGCATATTGGATGGCTGGCGGTGCGTTGGGATCTTTCACAGTGTAAATCATCGCGTCGAAAAGATGAGGTCCAACAGTCACGTCGCAAGCACCAACTCTTGTCATTGAATCTTTCGGTGGGTTATTCTTCTCGATGAGTTCCCGTTTCGTCTTCTTCGGCTTCGTATAATACCGAACCAGGATGCCATCGCTCAGCCACTTCTTCTTCGATCGCTCGAGGGCCGCAAGCATTACTGCACTGTAGGAGGTGAAACATCTCGTTAGCGCCGCTTAAAGATCTGGACAAATCGTAGGATCAAACCTTTCCGCGTATGACTGGTACTCCTTGTCCGATAGGGTGGCGGACTGTCGCTCACGCAAGACTGGCACAGGCTCACCATCTTTGATTGATATCGGCAAAGGAGCCTCGACGGGTTCAGGGGGCGGCGGTGTTGGTGGCGATGGGACACGAGGAGTTGGAGCCTTTTTCTTTTGAGAAGGCGTGGCTGCTTCGGAGACTCGTCGCTTGGCCGCAGGCTCACGGCCGGCGCGTGCAGGGAGCTTGCGCTTCTCAGCCATCACGAACTGATGTATATGCGCGTCGAGGTGACCAAATTCCAGGCAGAACAAGGCAGCTCGTCGCGTTGGGCGATGAAGTCGAGATAGGGTGGAAGGGGAAAAAGCGTGACGCGATAAGTTGCAGCTTATCGGTGCATCGCCTCCGCCTCCGCCTTTCTCCGCCTCCGCGCCGAGTGTTGACACTGTAATCAACGATGGTCGCATTACAGCCCATCTTCAGGAAGGCCTACTGGGCCCTTGTGGCCGGTGGACTTGTATATGTCCTTTTCGTCACGGCCTTGACATTTCCAACTGTTCAGCGATTGTACGAGATACTTGTCCCGAGGTGTGATTGGCCTAACTAACATCGTTACAGCTTCCTTTATGCGAACAAGGTCAACCCTGCATACTGGCAGGATGTCAACCAAGTCGAGCAATTTGGCTTTTTGAGTACGTGAAATGTGGTCTCTAGTCTCAGGCAGAGCCCTCAGTTAACAAAACTAGAGACCCAAGTCCAGCCATTCCATTTAGTGACGCCCGATAACGAAACGCTTTATGGATGGCACCTGATGCCTCTCCACCTCTGCCGTGAGCATGAGAAGGAATTGATGGAGAATCCCCCATCAGGGCCAGCTGCAGATTACACAGAGACCTCGGCCTTCAAGATCCTAGCTAATGATCTTAACGCTCGAGTTGTAGTGAGCTGTATGTCTAGACTAAACCTCCTGTCCTTATGAGAGCGGTGTCTGATTTTAGAATGTTGCAGTCCATGGAAATGCGGCCCATCTCGGATCTGGCCAGCGACCAGCTACTTACAATGCTTTGCTGGGACTTTCCACCCCATCGCATCCAGTACACGTCTTTGCCATTGACTATCGTGGATTCGGTGTTTCAACTGGTAGCCCGACGGAAGAGGGCGTTATTACCGATGGAGTTTCACTTCTTAACTTCCTGACCGCAGGTCCGCATAAGATCCCCACTTCACGGATTGTGATCATGGGCCAGAGCCTAGGCACAGCGGTCACGGCAGCGGTAGCTGAGCGATTTGCCTTTGGGTCTCCTGATCCAACCGCTGTTCAACCGGCCATCAAGGATGCCGAGCCGTTTGCTGGGGTGATTCTGTTGGCATCTTTCAGCAATCTGCCCAGTCTCATCCAGTCCTACAGTGTGAAAGGCCTGACTCCTCCTATGCTTTCTCCGCTCATTGGATACCCTCGTTTCCAAAACTGGATCATGAGCCATATTGTGGACAATTGGGACACAGCAGCGAGAGTGGCTCGACTGACTGGCGTCCATTCCTCCACTTCTGATGTTACCAGGTCAGATTACGTACACAAGGACCTCGACCTAACAATTGTACATGCCTTGAACGACATTGAGATCCCGTGGCGCGAAGGCCGTCGCGTCTGGACGGCTGCGACAGGGGAGAAGACCAAAGGCGCCCCTGGAGCGGTAGTTTATCAGAAGTCAGAAATCGCCAGTCCCTCTCAAATTGAGATTTGGGAGAACCAAATCACTGCCCAGGACGGATCTCAGGTTGTGAAGAAGGTCCGCTGGGAACGTGTTCGATATGGAGGTATGTCAACTCCTTGGAAATTCCCTTGGCTCACATTTAGCTTCATGTCACTGATGCGTCGAATCCAATAGGTCATAATCGGGTTGCATCATTCTCTGTTGCTGGCCTTGCTGTTCTAAGATCATTCGAAGAGTGATTTTATAGACGGCATGGTTAGCCAGTCTATCTACATGGGATGGGATTATTGGTTAAGATGCGGGGGAAATTGTACTTCTTCCCAAACCATGTATATACCATGAATTTTATATGTTCAGTCCGTCTGCAACATCGGCTGATCAAGAATTTGTCTAGAGACGTAAAGACAAAAGTACATACAATCCTGGGACTAAACACCCCGATTTACCGTCTGTAGAGTTCAACAAGCACTCCAGAAATGACAAAGAATAGCAAGTGGCTCCTTGTAATCCTACAGTTCTCGACTCTTAATGCCTCGACCGCGATCGATACTTGGACCCCGTCGTCCCCGTTCTGGGCACATCACTCGCCCGATCCCAGGACCGATACTCCGATCGCTGCCGACGTGAATGGCGTGCAGGAGCACCACGACTTGTAACCTGCGAATGGTCTGGCCGCTCTGTCGGATCCCGGCTTTTGTCTTCAGTGCGTAGATCGAGGATGGGAGTGAGATTCTCGGCGGACCGGTAAGGACTGGTTGATCGGGATGGCATGGCTCTTGGTTGAGATTGTACTGGGTAAATATTGTTTTTGAGGATAATGTAATGTCCTGTAACAATACCTGGGGAAGGTTTAAGTAGGATATGAAGAATGTCCTCATTGGAATGGTGGACGGCAAATGGTTGGGTTACTCATCATGAGCACATATTGATGCAACTGAAAGATCTTTGAGATCAACACAAGGGAGCTTGAGACTTACAACAATCATTTTGGATATAATTGTATAATTGATGTCCTAGAGTCAAATGCATTAGACTCTCACTCCTACAACCGGTTCGTTGTATTGAAGGAATATGGTTACATGGAATTATCTACTTGCTTCTTTTTGGCTGAATCGTCACCAAAACTTATGTTTACCGGATGAACTAATTTACACTAAGAAAGGATTGTGTGATAGATGTTTTAATGCATTGTGAGGCTTAACTGATAGTAGAAGTCAAGCTAAATCGACACCGTCATGTCTCATGTCTCGTAGCCGATCCCTCATCTCCCCATTATCGGATTCTTTGTACATTGTGCACATTTTATGAACGCCACACTTATGGCCACCACGACAGAACCGGGAATGTACCCGATCTCCCATCTCCCATTTATCAAGCTCATTGTACATTGTGCACACTTTTTGAACGCCACGCTTATGGTCACCGCGACGGAACCTGGAACGGATTACTTCCCCCGAATCCAGGTGCAAAACTGCCTGAAGCCTTCGCCAACGTCGATTCTTCGACGTGTCCCCTTCGTCAATCTCTTCCTTTGACGTTTGGGGGCTTGCGGCGTGATTGGGCCTGGACCAACCAGCTGGTCCTGACCTCCAGCTTCTTTGTGGTCAGTTTTTTCCATGCCTGTCGTGGCTTGTTGACCATAAGCTTCATGCGGCTCAGCTTGTCTTTGGGCTCATAGAGACACTCGCTGTCGCGGATGGGCCGGAACTTCGAGCACACTATGTGTGCATCTTTGGATTCCCAATTGTTCCGGCCTGCCAACATCCAGCGATCTACCTCTCGACTGGCAGCCAGGCTCTCGATCCGCACTGGGGGCGAGATCCGAGCTCCATTAGTCGGAGTGAGTCGCCGTATATCAGGGTACATTTCGTACTCCCTGCAACGCTCTACGAAAGAGCTGTAGTTGGCCGCGAGCGTAACCGCACAGATCGGGACAAATCCCAGCCTGACAACTTGGTTAGGGGGCCCGGGAGTCCTGCCATTGTGAGGCTTTGTTGTAGAGAATTCCTTCACTAGCGCCCATAAGTCACCGTGGATGCGTTCGACGATGTACAGCTTGCCTTCCTTCAGTTCAAGCTGGTCGAGTGGCTGCACATCGCCGGTGGGGACAACATAGCGTGGATTAATCCCAATGACAAGAGAGCCTTCTCCAATCGCCCATCCGCCGACAGCATATTCGTTGTCGTGCAACGCGCGGAAATCGGGGCAGGACTCGAGGTAGTCATACCCCAGGGGTTTGTGGCAGAAGACATAATTCTCCCACGCGAGCCGACTTGATGTCTCTCGAGGCTGCACCTCTCGGCTCGTTGGCGGAAGTGCCCCTGTGGCCTCTGATGGAAGAGACTGAGAAAGTGTCAGAATGAATCAACATGCGTTCATAAATGAGAAATTACCATTGAGGGAAGAGTTAAGGCTGGACTGGGGAGCCTCACACTGACCATATCCCATTGACTATCTTTGAATTCCCGGGACTTTGGCCTGAGATATTTATAGATTGGCTAAGCGGGAGTTAGTGAATATCAACAATTGGATCTGGGTTGTAACTTACAGGAGTAATAGGAGGTGTATTGGGAGAGTTGGGGATAATGCAGTTGGGCTGTCCGCATGAGCATCTTTGGAATGAACTGGATTCTTTGTCTAGTTCAAGATTGCCATTTTTCTGCCAAGAAGGTGTCAGGTATCAAAAATTGTTCACAGATTGAAACTGACCATAGAGGAACCCGTCAGTGCGGGACTTGGGAGCATTACTTCGCCCTCCTCCAATTGGCAATCTTCCAATGCCACGGACTTTTCCAGCTTCCCAGCCATTCCATCAGCCTGCGAAGGAGAGATGGGAATAGGCGACATTGGGATGGTCCCATTACCAAGCCGACATGGGTGTCCTTCAGATGGCCTGGCCAATTTCTTTTGTCCAAAATAGCCATCACGCTGCTAAGAGAGTGTCAGTCAGAAATAATCGAAACCTGATTATGTTTTGCGACTTACTGTAGGACTGGGAATTGGAGAATACGAAACGACGCAATTCTCGTCTCCACACCGGCAAAGTGTCATTGCATTGAACTGTTCCCTCAACCGCTTCAGTCGCTCCGGCTCCTAAGCAAGCGTTAGAGGATGACAACACATGATCGTAGATTAAAACTTACCCCGTAAGAAGTAGTAGTAGATGGACATGGCAGAGTGCCACCATCCTGGCCACCTTCGCAGCATTGGTAGTCCGCACGCACGAAGTTCAGTCCAGTGGACTTAACAGGCTGTCAAGCAAATGTCAGAGGATGTTAATAAATGTTCATCGATTGGAACTCACCGTATGAGGGGCAGTCAGGGGCGGACTAGGAGCCAAACAGTCCTCCTCCCCACATGAACAACACTCAAATGGCACAGCCGGAACCTTTCGTCCATTCCGCTCAACAGGCTGGCAGATAAGTGTCAGTAGCTGTCAACAATTGTTCATAGATTGGAGCTTACCTTCGAAGAAACCCTGCGCGAGCGGTGCTTCATCGGTCCATCCACGACTGAGTTAGTGGATCTTTTGACCGAGGAGCTGCCAGTCATGCCAATGGTCATGCTAGTGTTCTCAAGACGAACAGCGGATGCAGTTGTCTTGATGGACAGGTCAAGGCTGGAGGAGTTGCTAATGGGCTTCACGGGGTGATGGATGACAGTTCCGGCGGAAAATTCGGATGGAGAGGTAGAGGCCATATCAACGGACATGTCACTCTTCGCGGTAAATAACACCGAGGTCATCTTTTTCAGAGGGCCTCGAGGCGAGCGAGTGGGAACTCCGACCCAGTTCCCTCTGTGACCTGAGGGGTGCTCCATCGTCCCACCCACTACTGAGTCAGTGGATCTCTTGACTGAGGAGCTACCAGTCATGCCAGTGGTCATGCTGGTCTTCTCAAGACGAGCAACCCATGCACTCGTCTTGATGGTCAGGTCAGGGCTGGACATATTGCCGGTGGGCTTCATGGGGGGAGGGATAACGCTTCCGGTGGGAGTCTTGGATGGAGAGTGAGAGGATAGATCACTGGAAACCCCCCTCTTCGCGCTGAATACCGCTGAGGTCATCTTTTTCAACGGGACTCGAGGCGAGTGGAAGGGGATTCCGAGCCAGTTCCCTCTGTGACCCGAGGGCTGCTTCAAGGTCGAGTCCATGCCAAGGTGAGCGCGATCGATGCCGCTGATACCGACAGGATTCGGAGACATGCTCTCGCGTAAGAACATGCTCAACAAATAGATGATGAGATACAACAACAGAATGATGAAATACAAATCTTAAAGGTCAACAGAGATGTGGAACAGATGAAGAAAGATGTGAAGCTCGAATATCGAAGCTGGGGATGGTGAAGGAAGAAGAGAGGAGAGGAGAGAAGGGAAGAGAAGAGGAAGGGAAGAGAATTGGGTCCAATTTATAGAGCAGGATCTTGGGATAGAGCAGGAACTTTCCGGCTTTCTCTAGGGCAAATAGTCGCGATACACGCTTTGGAGCTGTGACGTGAGGTGATATTTGGGCAAACATTGATATCTACGTGTAAGGCCCCGTGATGCTTGTTTGGAGTCATACGTGTACGTGATCTGGGTGGGCAGAGGCCAGGGAATCAGGGAGCATCTATGGGGGATTATACACAGACCGGCAAGATTGAGTGGCATACCAGAAGAGAATGGGAATTGAATTAATTGGCGTATCAGCGATATGAATCTGCAGATACTAAAACCTATAGTCTATACTCGAATCTATAGATAAGCTTAATTGAACGTCGGAGCCTCGGTTTCAGTTGATATAAGCTGAGTCATCTTGAAGATGGCGGGCCGCGGATACGATCTGCGGGGGGAATGAAGCTTAAATTGAGGACCATCCCCGCAGGATCCTTGGAACGTTTCTACTCACATCTACTTGCAAAGAGATAAAGAGATCCCCGGGCTTACAGAGCCTCCACAGCAACAGCACACCATGGCACCTCCCAAGATCACACTTTACTTTGACATTATCAGCCCATTTGCATATATTGCCTTCCATGTGCTAAGGGTAGGCAGGTTCTCTATAACCGGAGTCCTTGGTTGTCACCAGTACTGATGTCAATGCTCGATTTAGAACTCACCAACCTTTGCAAAGTGCGAGATCAACTACGTGCCCATCCTTCTGGGCGGGTTGATCAACTTATGCGACAACAAGGCACCCATCAGTATCAAGAGTGTGTTGAATGGCCACGCTGGACACCATGATACATGTGCTAATCTTGTCTACAGATAAAGACAAATGGATAAACGTGGAGCGCGCACGATGGGCAAAATATTTCTCTGTCCCTATCTGTGACAGCCCACCTGAGGGCTTCCCAGTGCGCACTCTGGCAGTTCAGCGGGCTCTCTGTGTTGTCTCGCAGAAGACCCCCACAAAGCTGCCCTCCGTCATTGAGGCACTGTACCATTCGTTCTGGGTTCAGTCAAACTCCAAGATTGGTGAGCCTGCAGTGTTTGCGCAGGTCATAGAGAGCGTACTCGGACAGGAGGATACCAAGGAGGTCTTGTCTGCAGTAAGTTTTGAATCGTCGTGTCTCATAATGGTTCACGTCCTGACATACTGCCCAGATGACACAGCCTGAGATGAAAGCACTGCTGACCTCCAACACTGATCATGCCTTCAAGATAGGCGCCTTTGGTATCCCGTGGTTTGAATGCACCAACACGGCAGGCCAGACTGAGGGGTTCTGGGGCATTGATCACTTGGGACAGGTGGTTGACTTCCTGGGGCTGGATCGCAGCCGGGACCCAGGCTTTAGGGCATTGCTGTGAAGGAGAAGAAGGCACAGGGGTAGGGGTAATCACGAAGGAAGTGTAGGGGAAATACTTCTGAGTGAAATACCAAGGGATCTGTATATGTTTGTGTCCGAACTGGCAATATCGACTTCATGACATCGTGATTATCATCTCGTGAATTCACCGACTGGCCCTTTTGATAGTTGTAAACAGGGTAGAAAATTAGGAATTTAGTGAATGGAGAATATATGCAGGCTATAGATTTTGCAGATGTAAAGCACCTCGAAGAAACATTGCCATTGATTTGGGTGATGTACATAGTACATCACACGTGATGCATGAAAGACACCCGCGTTTGGCGCGATAAGCGAGCTCATGTACGCAATCGGAAGAATAATTTTCCGTGCCGGGTGCGTGGCCTAGCGGTCTCATGCTCGGTATTGTCGGAGTATGCACTAGACGAGCGTTGCTGCGTTCTGTCCCTGCAAACCCGTGCAATAATCTTTGGAACCACACCCGTTCGCGTCACAGCCGAAGCGCCATCTTTTTGTTTTCCGAGTCTCAGTCCCAGTGGGTACCTTCCCAGGGCTGCATATTAGAGGACTAATCATGAGTACCCGGGCCTGCACTAATTGATTGTTGATTTCATAAGAGAGATGCATTACTGTATCAGGAAAATCTGATTATTTGTGTACAATTATTACCAAGACCTGTCTTGATCCCCAAAAGATACATCATCCGTTGGTCTGTCTGCCTCATAACCACTAAAGAACAGCTCCAGACATAATACATGATCAGACTGATGACATTTCCGACAGTATCAATTCTTCGATAGTGGTGGCGCTGTACTCCTATGCTTATCTCTCAAGAAATCACAAATTTGTTCTTTATCCATCTGGTCGATCAATTGGTGATCGGGATGTGGTGAGTCCGTTTCTAACCGAGACCCGAGTCTCGATAAGTAACAAGCAAAATGATGACGAGACAAGTACACGGATGAAACATACCTTTCTCTCCTTGTAAATCGTTTCCTGTGGTAACCTTGCCTGCAAGGGTATAGATGCTCTCTTGAGCAGATTGCAGCGCCTCACCTGCTGCTGGGATGATGTTATCGACGACAGCCTCTTTCACGTCGGTGATCTTTTCGCTCGCGAGGGCTGTGACATTTTGCTGGAATCTTGTGGCAGACGCCCCGGCCGTTATCGAGTTGATTTGTTGTTGTACACTGGTAAGGACACCGTCCCCATTTGAGTCCCTTGAGCTGTCCGTGGAGAGAGAGTTATTCGAATCGCTCATTCTGTAGCCTTGGCGCTGGGATTGGAAGTGAAAATGGGAAGTGGAATGTATGGTCAATTGCGAGACCGATCTCCAAATCGTGAACGGGAACAGTTGAAATCACAGAATGAAGGTGGACAGGGATGACAGACACCATAGGGCTGAGGAGACACGCAGTAAGTCCGATATTTAGCGGCCTTGGAAGGGCCTATGACATCTTTCAGTGGGTAGAGGGCCCCCAAGTGTCTGGTCCAGGCAGCAGAAATCTGGGTGCTTGATCAGATTGGCTAAGATCATGGCGCTTTTGGTTTGGTTTCACTGAGGGTGTTCCAACCTGGATGGACCAATCTGTGCCAAGAGATGACGTCGCTGGACCCATCGGGCGTGCCCGGTATTTGAGATGAGGCTGACCGTGGAACAGTGAGGGTTGTGCGAATGCTGATTTCGTTTCGAGGTTTGAACCTCACCGCGCTTTGGAAATTTGGGCGCTTGTTTGGTATCGTGAGAGATGTTCGAGGGAGAATTTAGATGGTTTGTTTTGAGTTGATCGCCAGTGGCCTGTGTACTGAGTGAAGGGTCAGGTTGAAGAACCTAAGGAGGATAGAAATGACTCGTCTATATTCTCTTATTGCTGAGTCTCTCACATCTTTCTGCCATTGACTCCCGTACTTCATCCCGACTTGCCTGTTGGGACTCGGGAAGTAGAGCGGTGGTGGACTCAAACTGATCGATATACTGTACTTGGTCCCATCCATGCACCAATCATAAGTGGCCAGTCCCTCGCCCAAAGTTAAAAGAGTCTGACCCCACCAACCCCCCGCCTAGAAAAAGTTATTAACGCCAACGCCGCATTTCCACCCTCATCTCGAGTCCTTCTCCCCTGTTCATTGCAAGTCCCCTCTAACCTTGAAGTCTACCCTTTCAACCACATCTACTACTACGACCACCACCACCACACACTGGGCCGCCAAGCCCCTATCCCACCCAAAAATGGCACCTATCCCAATCACAATCGTAACCGGCTTCCTCGGCTCCGGCAAAACCACCCTCCTCCTCAACCTAATCCCGCAACTCCCCCCAACCTACCGCCTCGCGCTCTAAAAAACGAATTCGGCGACGTAGCCGTCGACTCCCAACTCGCCTCAACAAACTCCATCTCCGGCGTCCGCGAACTCCTCAACGGCTGCATCTGCTGCAACCTCGTCGGCCAACTCAGCGATGCCCTCGAACAACTCCGCACAACCGTTTCACCCGATCGCATCGTCATCGAGACCTCCGGTAGCGCATTCCCCGCCACGCTGGCGATGGAAGTAAACCGGCTTGCGCGGGAGGGTGCGGAGTTCGTTCTTGATGGGGTGATTAGCGTTATTGATGTGGAGAATTGGGCGGGGTATGAGGATACGAGTTATACGGCGAAGTTGCAGGCGCAGTATACGGATTTGATTGTTCTTAATAAGTGGGAGGAAGTGGGGGAGAGGAGGTTTGATGTTTGTTTGGATCGGGTGGGGGATTTGGGGATTGAGACGCCGTGGGTTAAGTCTGATAAGGGGTTTGTGGAGAAGGATGTTTTGTTGGGGATTGATGGGGCGCTGTTTGCGAAGGAGGAGGGGTTGGTCGAGGGGGAGAAAGACGGGCATGCCCATGGTCATGGGCATAAGCATGATCATCAGTCTGAGGTGGAGGTTTTGTCTGTGCAGTTGAAGAGTGCGCCGGGGAAGACGGTGGATGTTGAGGCGCTGGAGCGTCTACTGCAATTGGCGCCCAGAGAAGAAGTGTACCGCATCAAGGGTATCTTCCGATGCTCGGCTGCGACGCCACCCGTCGACACTTCGGATGATATGAACTCGAGAAAAACAGGGGATGCGTCGGAGACGAGGTACTATATCCTCAACTGGGCGTTTGGCCGGTGGACATGTACCCCGTCGACGGTCGTTGCCGAGTCGGCTGATGAATCTGTGGCGGCACGGTTGACGCTTATCCTCGCGCGGTACGAATCCGGCAAGTGGAAGAAGAAGTTGGAGGCTGGTGGTTTCGTCCAAGTCGCTGGTGGAGAGGCGACCGAGTTGGCCGTGGAGCGATTGGTTTGAACCGATGTGGAGGCAGATACCAGCTACAGCTGGGTTTGATGGATACCCATGATTCATGTATAGATTCTCAGAGACTGGGACTGGGACTGGGACAGAGCTTTGATTTCGTCACGATACACAGTTAGACACGTTGGCTAGACTAGATGATAGACACGACCACAGCCATGAAACATGCAATTGCATAACTGATACAGCGTTCGCGCCAATAGCAAGATGCAAGTCTAGATATAGGACAAGTCTACTTCGTGGCAAAGGAAAAGGTCAGGCCAACGGCAAGCACGCTCTATTCTAAAAAAAAAAAAATGTCTAGGACAAAGAGAAGAGCGTCGGTTATAAATGCAGCAAAAACATCAACTATATTATCGGGTCCTCCAAGGAGAAACAAAGCCAAAAGAGAGTTCAATTAACGCAAAAACAAAAAGGCAATTTCAAAAACAACACAAATATATGAAAATCCCTCTCACAGAGTAGACTAGTAGTTCAGCAAAGCCGAGGCACCAGTCTCACTCGAGATGTAAATCACCTCGTGGTTGTCAGAGAAGCCATTGAAGCGAGTAGCACTGCACTTGGTGTAAGCACCCATCTCCTCAAAGTACAGCCAGTCCCCGGTGTTCAGGAGCCCCGGCAGATCGATGCGCTGAGTGATCACATCGATGCCGTCGCAGGTAGGGCCCCAGATCGAGTACGAGTTGTTCTCCATCACCGCAGAGTTGGGCGTGCCGGGCTGCGAGTCATCGGCCGCGGACAGCAGCACCTTGGCAATCGGGTGCTGGTGGTCGAAGATGATGTTGGAGAAGTTGCCATACACACCGTCATTCAGGTACAGCATGTATGCATCTCGTGAAGGGTCCAGCGGGTCGGGAACGTCACGGCGGGCGATGACGTTGGCCGCAAGCGTGAACGCGCTGGCGACGTAGTAACGGCCAGGCTCGGCGATGATGCGGATATGCGGCGGGAAGTAGGTCTCCAGCGCGTCGCTCAGGATGCTCGAGAACTTCTCAAAGGTATCCTGGCAGAAACCACCACCGACATCAAGGGTGTGCAGCTCGTGGCCAATCTCGGCGGCCTGGTCAAACACCAGACGGGCGTCCTGAACGGCCTTGAGGAACGCACGCGGGTCTTCGGCGCCGGAGCCGACGTGGAAGCTCACGCCAACGACCTTGAGCTCGAGCTGGTGAGCAAGCTCCAACAGTTGCTGGGCCACATCCAAAGAGGCACCGAACTTCATGCTCAGTCGGCACAGGCTGGTCGAGTCGTCGGTCAGGATGCGAAGGTACAGCTCGGCATCCGGGAAGTGAGCCTTGATCTTGTAGAGCTCATCGGCGTTATCGAAGGTCATTTGCTTGACGCCGACCTGCGAGGCATAGCGCAGGTAAGACTTGGTCTTGCAGGGTTGAGCATAGATGATCCGGCTGGGATCAATGCCCGTCTGCAAGGCAAGGTCAATCTCTGACTTGGAGGCACAGTCGAAGCCATTGCCCAGCTGGGCCATAAGACGCAGAACCTCGGGGTCCGGGTTACACTTGACAGCTGTTCAAGATCGTTAGCAAAGATATCTTACGACATGACATCTCCAATGGCTGACGGAACTTACCATAAAAAGGCTTGACACGACCCAGGTTCATCTTCCAGCGCATGTGCTGGCGGTACACCTCTCCCATATCCGCCACGTAGAACGCATCCTCCTCCCCAGGCTCGCACCGATCGGTATCCACCTCCGCGGCGCGCTTCTTCAGCACATCCAACACCAACCCCTTCGCAGTCAACCCCGATTGCAACAATTCGTCCCCATGCTTGCTGAATTGACCCAGAAGGTCACGACTATTCAAGTCGTTTTTGATAGTGCATACATCAGTAGGCGATACACACGCAGTCGGTGCCATAACCGTGCAGCTGCGATTCAGCACGAATGGATCTTTTTTTAGAAGAAAAAGGGTAAAAAAAGGAAAAAAAGAAGTGTTAAGTCACAAAAAGTATGCGACTGCGTTAGGGAGGACGAAAAGTGTCGCAACCGTAGTTGACTGGACTAAGCCTCTTAGACCCTTCCTCCTTAAGAGGAAGAACCTTCAGAGAAGTCCTATGCGGCAGCTCAGGAATTGAGGGAATATTCTGAGAGGGCGTCAACGGGGTGAAAAAAGGCGCACCGGACGGACTCTCAGAGGGCAATAGCAGCAGGTGGTGGAATGTTGTTAAGAGTGTCGCGTTGACGGCGAGTGGAGACAATTTGGCTGAGCAGAATCGAGGCTACGGGAGCCGTGGTGACGTGGGGTTGCCTTTGGGTGAAACCAAAGGCAGGGATTTTGTGTTTTCGCTAACGATTGAGCGATTTCTGAGTGTTTGGAAAACTGGTCAGTTGAACCCAAGTTTCCAGGGGGGCCAGCAATGATTATGAGAGAAAAAATTGGACGGTTGAGAGGGAGGGAGAAGGGAGGGGGATCAGATTTTTAAATTTTGGGGAGAGTGTTCGGGGCGGTGTTTAGGGCACGGCGGCCACTGGTGGTAATGAAAAAAAAAATGACGCACGGGTACGGAAATACCCTCAACAGGTGGGTCGTGTGTGGATGTGTGACGGAGATAAGAAAGACAGCTACTCACCAGGACGCAGAGATCACACCCCAGAAAACAGGGTGGTCAGAATATTTGAAGAGAAGGTGGTTGGTGAGAAGGAAAAGAGCAGTGGTCCTGGGGGGAAAAACCATGAGGTTGAGTGTCGTGGGCGATGCTTACGGCAGCATCCGTCAAGGCAACCTTACTACAGTACTGTCTTCCTCTTCTTACCTGGTTGATACCACACAGGGTCTAGTTCGTCTAGTTCTTCCGCGGGCTCAAGTTTGGTACATTGTTCGTAAGGTTATTCCGTACCGTGACTGGACCCGACCAGGCCTACTGTAGTCCCTCTGGTTACTGCCCCGGAAAGGTTATTTACAGGCTTCGTTACTTAACATTACACTACTATAGCTTCCAACTTTTCATTCAGCTCCACATACAAACTGGGCAGCAATGATTATTACTAGCGTATAGTCGATGTATTTCAGGTTATCATAACAATCATATTGTCAAGGTTAAAGAGTTTTCGTTGATTTGTTTTTAGCCAGGCAGGCGTCACTACTACACTATGAGCGATTTCTCGTCCCCTCCATCGGTCTAGCCCAATCCCCAGATTTTTGATTCTGTTATACACCCCTTACCCCGTTGGCATTTCAAGGCATCATGCATGCTGCAGGAGGGCCAATCGTGCCTGCGGATCATCCTGGCCTTCGGAATTGCTATTTTCAGAGGTGAAAACATGCGGTGTGCTAACTTCCGAGTGTGAGACCCTCGGTCGTGTGCCTGTTCTGTCCGTGGGGGCGCACTGACTCTCCGTAGCCATTGAACGAACCGGACACGTCGAGGGCTGCCTCATAAAAGTCTGCGGTGGTCAACAACCCGAAGAAACTGTTGATCAATGTGCCTTGACTGCGAAGTTTCGGAAAAGCAACCACAGACAACAGTACATGCAGCAAGTAGGGTGGAAAAGTACGGATACAGACTCCGTACAGGATATAATACCGTGGAAGGTCGATGATCGGCGGGGGAGAAGCTGCGAACAGCTAAGGAGATCGGGCGGAGCAGGCAGAAAACGGGCGAAAACGGGCCTCGATGACGCACAGTAGCACGGACCACCATGCGCCGGGTATTGGTATTTCAACCCTTTTCAATGCCGTCTACTGTACTTCGTATAGGACATTGTACCAGAATACTGTGACAACTCTAAGCTCTCTTTACTCCAGACTCCTGCTGGTAGCAGTGCATCTCAATTTGATCAACCTGCTCCCACTGCGCCGGCAATGACACCTTTGTCTGCAGGGACGCAAACCCTGCACGGCGCATCAAATCGAAAAAGACTGCCTCGCTCTCGTGCCGTCGCTTCAAAGCTACCAGCACCATAGCTCCCGGTGAACCACGGACCAAGCGATCGAGGACAGACACCAGTGCGGGCAGACTATCCGCATTGTATGTACAGTCCGACACGAGAATCAAGTCAATGGGCCCTTGAGTGAGATTTGGCGTCGGGTCATCCCAGTCGAGCGTCTGAAACTTGATTGCCGCCGACGACTTGGGAGAGGCTTCATTGATGTTGCGAGTCACAATGTCGGAGACCTCAGGTAGGTCGGTCAGGAGCACCTCACAGTTGGCAAGCATTGTTGCAAGTGCAATGCCCACGATGCCACAACCAGCACCGAGCTCGACGACTTGGAGGTTCGACTTGCCAGAGTTCAGGAGCTGGTTTAGGACAGGCATGCTCTTCCCAGTGCCAGTAATGACTTGCTCGAGGAAGATGATGTTTGCAAGAGCCGCGTCCCTGTATTTGAGAGATTTGAGATTAAATTGCTTGTAAATGACCGAAGAAGTGAAAAGGAAAAAGCACGGCTTACCAGATGTGCCGCGCAATGCTGTTCCCCGTTTCCTCCCAGATCCTCAAGGGTCGCACATTATCTCCAATATTCAAATCTCGTCGGATCAATTGCTCGGCAGGCTCCCGTCCCGGTCCAAAGGGCGCGCTGCACCCTGATATCACCAATGGTGTAGAATGCTCTCCCAAGACATCTTTCTCAACATCGGGGAGACGAATTTTTAGCACCGCCGTTTGCCCGGCCACGTCATTGGGTGAGAAAGGACCAAGCAAAATAGACAATTGGCGGGAACCAGCCTGCCATTGTACAGCTGTCTGATATCGGACTTTGTGTGAGGGATGTTGTATCCAGCTCGCCGTCAAGTCCACATTCTCGGCGAGAAAATCGTCGCCTAGATCCGTAGTGATGCAGATCAGAGCGGATATGAAGACGGACTTTTTCTGCTGCTGGAACCGCGGTGTCTTTAAGAATCGGATATAATATACCATTTTAACAACAATTCTCCAGCAAAGAGGAGATTTACCTCATATCCAATAGTCCCAATTTCTATTGCTGCTGGGGTCCCGACCACCTTTTGGCTTTTACCCCAGACCAGGCCCCACTGTGGTCTCACGTGCCCCGCTGACTAACCGGAGATGACATCGCTAGTATCCCAACGTACCTTCAACACGCAATCACCCAGCATTCCAATCCCTTCGTCTTGCCAATGATGGCCACGGCGCGCCGATGAAGCCAGAAAACCATTCAATCCGCGCACCCACACGCTTTCCCACAGCCGGCGCCGCAAAATGATGCGCCCGCGCGACCCACGTATCCGCCAGCGGATCAATCAGATCTCGCATAATCTAGAGTCTGCCAACGAGTCCGCTCAGGAGGGTCTATACACCTTCTCTCAGAACTACCTCTCCCCATGCCTGGCCAACATTGGAAATTGTGTCCAGACCTGCACGGCGCCATGCCTGCCCAGCCGTGAGGACCAACTACGGCGCCGTCGACGCGGCCGTGCTGAGGCCAGCTTTGACTTCTACGATGATTGGGATAATGAGGAGGGTGAGGAGAGTCTGCTTGGCTGGGGCACTGGTGAACTTGACCGGCTGCTTGCGGGTAGTGGGCTGGCTCGCGGTGGTGGCAGTGCGGAGCAGCCTCGGCGGCCGAGGAAGATGAGCTATGGGACTCGTCAGACGAGAAGGCGGAGCACGGTGCATATCCCGGATACCCGTGCTGATCCTACGGTTATACCAAGTTCGTCATTGATAGGATTTTTGGAGCGCTTTCCCTGGCGATTTGGTGCCAGAGGCGTCAAGTATCGGCCCTCTGCTGCTGATTTGCAAGAACATCCGGGTAGTCACCGTCGTCATGAACCGGAGGACGAGCCATTGATGGAGGCTGCAGAAGATGACGGGGACTTTGTGTCTTATCAAAATAAGGGGAGGGAACGGAGCGGTACCCAGTCGTCGCGGGGGACATCTAATTCACTCAGTTCCCGAGGTGATCTATTTCCTAGCGACGAGGAGGAAGACGCTGTTCCGCTGGATGATGAATTTGCGTTGGTCTTTGGACGGCGGAACACAGGACTTGAGTCGGATGATCAGTCTGGGACGAAGCCCGAGATGGTTAGATCGGCCTCGGGCACGTCGAGTCTAGGCGATGCATCGTCCAAGAAGTCCAAGCGGAAGAAAAAGAAGAAGCGCTCGTCGACCAAGACAACCATGAGTGCGGACCAGGATGGCGTTTACAGCATTGGAACGCCGTCAACTGCGGACCTGAAAATGGAAGAGGAGCAGGTAGCACGGGAAGAAGAGTCCATGGTCCAGAAAAAGCGACTCGCAGCACAAGAATTGGCTTTGAAGCGCGGCCTGGAGCCGAGCAGTGCTGATATGGTGCGATATTCACAGCCACCTGGTCTCCAAATGAACGATGGTCTAAATTTTGTATCACAGTCCCCGAAAACTACCATCCCTACCAACCAAGCAACCGAGCCGTCTCCAACTCATAGCCCCCAAATGGCAGCGCGAGATCAAATCTCAAAGGGCCACATCAGGCAATCAAGTGACTCGTCCGCTCACCAGTACTCAGTGGATCAGATCGAGCCTTTCCCGCCGTTCCCGCTACCAGCATCTTCTTTACCTACTGACTCACCCGGTACCGCTGTTGCTTCTCCTCGGCCTGGCTCATTGAATGCCGACAGCGGCACCGAAAATGCCCGTGAAGCCGATGACGAAGCACCCCATTAAACTTAGCTGTGCTTGAGTTGCGAAAAGCAAAGCTCCCGGCGTGTATGAACGCTGGCTTGTACGATATAATGACTTCCTCTTTTGATGTACCTTATACCCCCTCGATGATGATTCAGGCCTTTTTTATTGATTGCAATTTTATTTCAATGCTGGGAACCAAATATAGTAGGCGATGAAGCCATCTCCCTGGCTCGTTGTCTCCCTGGCTAGTTGTCTCCATGGCTAGTTGCGTTCGTAAAAATGTTAGACGTGAAGATCACTAGGGTATTTACCGGAACTGGAAGGAGAAGGAAGAATAGGATGTTGGCTTCGGGGTTTTCTTGACTAAAGTGACCTTCTCCGAGCCTTTTCAGCTCAGCTCAGCTTAGCTCCGAAGGGGAGAGCTGAATACTAAGCTTCCACTTGTGGACCTAGACCTTGATTCATTTGATGCGCCCCGGGCGGGGCCTCAGTCAGCCTTGATATGGACGGACAACTCTCATAAATTGCCTCTTCCTCAACGAAACGGACCTTTAGGTATTAGCCTCTGCAGGAGACGGTTCTGTCATTGAAATCTGCATCCCTAATCAATTATTGTCTCATGCTGTTGGCATCCACAATGATCGAACCCGATGCCAGTTCCAACCCGATGCCGAGCGAGAATTATGAGACTCAAAAGTTTCTCTGGTACGAGCCCAAGCTCACTGAGGTCGAGTCCGAAGCAAGAGAGCTTCTCGAAACATATAGCCATATTCCGTCCGATAAAGTTGTGCAACATGTGAATAGCCTGGTGTGTGGCCCCCTGCGTCAGTTTCAATCCCGAGTGGTACACGTACTAACTGCATCGGCAATATATAGCGAGATCGAGCATTTGCGATAGTAAGTGGATTCGAAATTCCATTGGTTGAGCTAGAACGCGTTCTTCTTCATAACAAGATGTAGAGGCAATGCTGATACACTTCAGTTTCCATACCCCTGCATCGGCGCCTTCCGTTTCCTAGACATGAGTATCCCCCAATTACCGATCTATCCAGAGATTCTCGAGCATCTCAAGTCTGGCCAGAGGCTATTGGACATTGGATGTGCCGTGGGACTAGAACTGCGTCGATTGGTAGGCTCATGATGTTGAGACGTGGAAAAGGCTTTGGAGACAGGTCGAGGAGGAGACTGAAACCAAGTGGGAGGTTGAGGCTTGAGTTGAGATTTGGGAGGGCGTTAATTCGGCGTTGACCAAGTATCATCCTGGTGTGGAACCTTTGAAGATGCGGTTTGTTTCGAGGAGGCTATAGAATGTATGCCACTGAGTATTCAGCACCGGGAATGGCTACTCTTGATGTCATTGCAAGCTTCTCCTTCCCAGAATCCTAGCCAGTGGGTTCACACCCCACAATTCCCGTATGCTCCCTGAGATATGTACATTAATCAGCCCAGATATCTAGTTAATCTTTGAGCCCCACCGCTTAGTGTTAACTAACTTAGCAATCTTTCTTTCCGATGACAAATCCAACCATCTCTCCACTCAGTAACTAGTTCGCTGGTTAGTTATAGGGTTGTTATTGGTCAAGAAAAATTTATTTATAAATTTGCATACCTTGTTTTATAGTCTCGCCCTCTCGATTTCGGGATCTCTCCGTGTTTGATCGCTTCATTTCCGATTGCCCATGATGACATCAAACGAAGCCGCCTGGATCAAGAAACCCGGCGGGTTGATTGAGGTAGAGACCGTTGAGAAATGGATTCCAGACGGTGTTGAACTTTTGGTCCGGGTTGAGGCTGTTAATTATAACCCAACTGACGCGAAACTTCGGAGGTACGTGTATGGACAATGGCGTTTGGAACTTGTACTGATCTTGAACTGCAGGTCTGATTTATTTCAACCTCAATTCCCGCTCATTGTTGGATTCACCTTTGCGGGGACCGTTATCTCTACTGGACCTGATGTCAGTTCGGTAAAGCCCGGCGATCGAGTAGTGGTAGCCCGATGGGGCCAGGCTGGAACTGATAACAAGTTCGCGGCGCTGCAGAGATATGCACTGGCGCTGGAGGAGAACACCTTGAAACTCGAGCCAGAGATCACCTTTGAAGATGCCTCGGGGGTTATCGCCAACTTAGCTACCGTTGTCTCCGCTCTCAACATCTATATGGGCCTGTCCTTGCCTCCAGTTACTGGAAGAGCACAGAAAAACGGAAAGCGGATAGGTATGGCGGATCATCAGCAGTCGGCGGACTGGCTGTCAAGTATGCTACCGATGCTGGATACGAGGTCGTGACCACCTCATCGTCGGCGAATAAGAAGCTTGTGGAGGAGCGCCACGCAGCCCATATTATCGATCATTGCCAGTCGAAAGAAGATATTCTCCGGGAACTACGGGCCCATGGCCCTTACGAAGGACTCTTCGAGGCCATTGGCTCGCAGACGACCACATAACTCATGGTGGAATTGCTTCGAGAAACTGACGGCCAATTTTTGGCAACCAGCCCTTCTCCCGGGGGTGATCAAATATCAAAGAACGTCCAGAAGACGTGGGCAGGATATTCCGAAACCCTTGCCTCTGAAGAAGCAAACCGGGCATTACGTGTGTGGTACATGGAGAGCTATTTACCGGAAGCCCTGAAATCTCCCTCAGTATAGCCCAACCCTGCATTATGGCTCAAAGGAGGACTAAACTCCGCCCAAGAGGCGTTGGATTTGCTGTACGAGGGCAAGGTCAGCGGAAGAAAGGTCTACCTATATCCACAAGATTAGCTTGGTTTCGCGTTGAATCGCCCTGTACCTTAGTTGCTTCAAAAATCTCACAGTACACAATTCAACGAGAGCCGCGCGATCAAGGTCACGAAGATGGACCACCCTCCTCGGCTCAACATGATTTTGCCGCTCTCTCCAAACCATCTCTGCCACGGCCATGATAATGCTCTGATCTGGCTTTGAAAGTATAGAAGAGCTTTTAGAGTAATAAGTTTTAATCAAGCGGGGTATGGACCAGAGTCCGTCTTACACCTTTCCGGCCAGTGCAGCTCTTATAATTCCAATTGATGGCGTGCTTTCTTTTCAAAAATTCACTATCTTTGCCCCGCAAAGAAATCCTCCAGGACTGACTGTCATTTATTGCGGAAACAAAGCTTATATCTGAATTTGTACATACATAAAATCTGCGAAAGCTTTAGACATCTTCGAGAACGACTTCTCTGTCAATCCTTTGAACAACATCCAGAAGATATTTGGAATCGTGTCCAGAATGATGTTTAGAATGATGTTTGAAATGAGGGCTAAAAGCATTTTTACATGATAGAAAATAAACCTTTTGTCCATGCATAATGGAACCTATTATCAGTGTGGTTATCTCGGTATATTAAATGAAGTTTGATACTGAGGGGTAGATACGAGATACGCTATGCTCTGTCCCAAGCACGCCACGTCGAAGAATGCTCCGTCTATCTTGCGCCATTAAAGGTCGTGATTTCGAGGTGATCGCATTAGAAATCAAACTTTCTGGAAGAGTGCGCCAAATCTCTTAACTGAGATCAAATCCTCATATTTTACTCTCTTGACGCTGCATTTAGGACGTGCTACCTCCGTCTGTCAGGCTTGAGAATACCCTAGTCAACATGGCCGAAAAGATAGATAAGCTTCCTACGGCGACATCTTCACCGGATCTCTCCAACGGGGAGTCTGGAATTGAGACAACACTTCCTCAACATAACAAAGTTCATTATGTCGATCGTGATCAGAGCGGTCTTCTTCCGGCATATGAGGCAGAGCTCATTCCAGGCTACGATGCCAATCTCATGGGTGCGAGAGCGACTCTGAGTAGCGCTGAAGAGAAGAAGCTCCTAAGACGAATTGATTGGCATCTCATCCCTCTTCTAGCTGTGATGTATATGCTCAAGAGTGTTGATTTCACCAATGTAGGTTCAGTCATATAAGCAGTTGACTTTTAAGCTAATTTGGGCGAACAAGGTCTCTTATGCACGAACTATGGATAAAGGCACACCTCACAACATTCTGACAGAGCTCAAAATGACCTCCAATCAGTATAATCTGGTGACAACTATGTACTATGTAGGTTTATCTGCTTGTAAACAAAAGACTGGTGCTGACTACCCCAGATACCCTATATTGTCGCCGAAGCTCCATCCAACCTGATATTGAAAGGCGTGCGACCGTCAGTATGGCAGGCTCGAATCATGGTGGGTCGTTTAGTCCAACAATACTTGAATACCGCACTAACCATGATGAAGGTTTCTTGGGGTATTGTTCTTTGTTGCCACGCTGCTGTGACAACCCGGCAAGGTTTATATGCTGTTCGGTTCTTCCTCGGCCTGTTCGAAGCTGGCCTTTGGCCGGGTATGCTAGTACACATATGCTACTGGTATAGACCGGACGAAATTGCACCAAGAGTTGTACTTGTTACTCTCCTGGGAAACTTCAGCTCGGTCATTAGTGGAGTGCTCGCTTTTGCTTTCAACGGCGTTGTCGCGGGTGGATTGTCGGGTTGGAAGTGGTGAGTATGGATGATTCTAGGCATATGGAACAAGGGCACTGATAGTCTCTGCAGGCTGATATTGACTGAAGGCATTTTTACCGTTTTGCTTGGAGTTTTCACCTATTTTTTCCTGCCTGACTGTAAGTTAGTCAACCGCTCAAGTTGACTCCGACTAATGGCGTTTCAAGTTCCGTCTACTGCCTCATGGCTTTCTGAAAGAGAGAAAGCATTTATTCAAGCACGCCTTCCTAGCAACTCTCCGCGAGCATCAGAAGCAAACTTCAACTTGCAGGAGCTGATAACAACTTTGAAAAACAAGAGAATCTGGCTTTTCCTACTATGCTGGGCCTTCTTCACGATAGGCACAACTGGTCTTACCTTCTACCAGCCGACCGTCATCGCCAATCTCGGGTTTACGTGAGTTTATGACCATTTTTTCGAAGACGTTGCATTCTAATGAATTTTCAAGTTCAATTGGTCAAGCGCAGCTTTTGAACATTCCCTCCGCTGTATTTGCAGTCATTTTGACCATCGCATTTGGAATCTTCTCGGACACTGGACGTATTCCACAGCCAGTTATCCCGCTCTTCTTCATGATTGTAATTGAGGCCTGCTACGGTGTTCTCTATGCTTTCCCCAGCAATAGTGGTGTTTACGCTGCCACAATCATAGCCGGTGGATTTTCAACTGCGTGGTAAGTCAATTGGATGGCTCTCACGACCCAAAATTTGTACTAATCGAAATAGGTACACCATGATGTGGCCCTGGAGAGTCCAGACTACCGAGGGGGCAACTGGCTCAGCATTCGCAATTGCCTTTGCGAATAGCTATGGTCAGATCGGAGGAGCAGTTGGATCTCAATTGTTCAACTCTCGTTACGCACCGCATTACACTACTTCCTTCGGAATCGCTATGGGATTTATTGGCATGGCTATAGTCATGAACATTATTACTTGGGGATTTACCTGGAGAGTTGATGTCGATACCAGAAAGCTGAAAAGAATCAGGATCGCAGCGGCCAAGAAAAACCAAGCTGTGTTGGATGACGTTGACATTCATGTCGGAGAGAAGAAAAGACAGTGAGATGGGAGATTGAGATGGGAAGGGATGACTATCTGAGGATACACAGGTGATTATACTATGATTGATGAAGTAAATGGAAACATATCAGGCAAGACGATATAATTATGGCGAGATATTTTTTACATTTATTCTCTGTTTCTTTTCCTGGAACAGTTTACCCCATCTATCATCCGATTCTAGAATGCAGGGATAAGGCTACGATACTGCAACTAAGCTGGTCCAAGGTACTTGCAGGAGTGTCGCTGTATTGGCGCCTTGGGGGCGGCAAACAAGAGCTTCTGAATGGACGGCATGTAGGCATGATCAGTGTAGGGCACTGTTTCGCTCTCTTCGGGGGTCCTAGGAAACTTTGCAGTAGAATACATACAATAACAAAGCGAATGGCTGAGAAGTTTATAGTCATAGCTCGGTTAGTGCGTCCTATGTATTATTATTACTTCATTCCCAGTGATTCCACGCGTCCATCGTAACTGCGTTCTAGACCATAGACTCTCTGCCCAAGTTCGCTTCAATCGGTGATGTACTAATCCCAGTGAATATCGCACGGTCGCGCGGGACAGTGGCGCTGCTTTTATCTCGCTCACCTGCGTTTATTGTGACATGGACATACAGCTACGTAGGAGGGGTGAAGTCCAACCCCGCATAGGCCACACATGTACAGTTGTCGGGGTCCATAAGCTTGTAAGCTTGAACCTGCATAATTGACGACATCTAATGTGTTAATCGGCGCTGACTACAGGTCGGCACACCCTCCCGAAGACCGGCGAGCGATACGAATAACATCTTATCGCACCATCAACTAATTTATGGCGTAGAGCCGCCAGTTACGGTGTTCTGTATTAGAAATACTAAAGAGAAAGCTACGATAAAGATAGTTAACGGTATAACTGGGGAAAACCACTTGGGTTTACGATCCCCCCGCACCCCTTGCTTCTTGCTTTTTTTTTTTTTTTCAAAAGTCCTGTCAAATTATAAAATTGCTTTATTTCACGACTCTCCTACTGGCAACTACGAGACCACTTTCTCTGAAATAACCTCCCAATATGAGAATAAATCACCTCTGGGGCATCACTGCCCTTGCAAGAGCAACGCTCGGGTCCGATTTGCAACAGCCGTTGGGTGGGAATCTCCCGCCTGGAACAGTGCATCCGTCTGAATTTGACACCATCATCGCTTCATCGCCCCTTCTCGCTTTTCACAGAAGCATCGTGGAGATCCCATCCGTAAGTGGCGATGAGAAAAACGTCGGGGAGTTCGTCCTGGATTTTCTATCATCGCACAACTTCACCGTGGAGAAGCAAATCGTCGTCCCAGAATCTGATGACAACAAAGAGCGATTCAATATCTATGCCTACGTTGGAGAGAATCGATATCCTGACGTGCTACTGACAAGCCATATCGACACCGTCCCACCCTTTATTCCTTATTCTTTGCATTCACCAGCTTCAAGATCCAGGGGAAGATCCTCATTCAATCGAGCGGACTTGATTATTGCTGGCCGTGGCACGGTCGATGCTAAAGCCAGTGTCGCGACTATAGTCTTCGCTGCTATCGAGATTCTCCATGAAAATCCTGATGCCTCGATCGGATTACTATTTGACGTTGGCGAGGAGAAATTCGGTGTGGGAATCAAACATTTCTCAGACTCGGATCTCAACCCGACCCCACCCAAGTTCCATACAGTTATCTTCGGAGAGCCTACTGAGCTCAGCCTTGTTGCCGGCCACAAGGGCTCGCTAGGGTTGAAGGTGATCGCCAAAGGCAAAGCAGCCCATTCGGGATACCCTTGGCTCGGAGAAAGTGCGATCTCAGCCATCCTCCCTGTTTTGACTCGTCTCGATAATCTTGAAAATGTCTTGCCTGTAGATGGCGGCCTTCTTCGAAGTGACAAGCTGGGCAAATCAACGTTGAATATTGGTCAGATATATGGCGGTGTCGCTGGCAACGTCGTTCCAGCTTTTGCCGAAGCCTCGGTGTCAGTCCGTCTTGCAGCGGGGACCCCCGATGACACGAGAAAGATTCTCCAGCGGGCTGTCGATGAAGTGACTGGAAGTGATGGAACTGTAGTCCTAGACTTTGGAGGACTGAAAGCGGGGGGTGCGCCGCCTCAGTATTTCGACGTGGACGTGGACGGATTTGATGTTATTACTGTGAACTACGGTACAGATGCTGCATCGCTACATATCCACGATCAAGGTATCCAGAAAGTCCGCAGGTATCTCTATGGGCCAGGAACTATTCATGTTGCACATGGTGATAACGAAGCAATCACCGTGGGAGAGCTTGAGGAAGCGGCACGCGGTTACAAAAGATTGATTTCGGCTGCTCTATAATTGCTGCGACGGCTTTCCTGAACAAGACAGGCCAGGCGCGATCAGGAAATTCATTTTATTTCGCGCGGAGAATCTGAGGTGGTATTATGGCTCAAATTCCCCTTAAACAACTATGAACCTGAAGTACAAAGTGTCCACCTGATTAGAAGCCCTCAAAGGTTCAGAATAGACCCGCAAATCCGACGAAGAATGACTGTCCACGTCTGGGAACGGGTCTATTGATGTTCTCCCAGCATTCACTTTTGTAGATCCATGAACGAAGCTTGATCAATCCAGTTGGAATGATATCAAATCAATCTATTTCCATGATTTGCGTTCTCATTTCCAAATATTCTATTCAACGTAGATGGCAGTGCACCAGGCAATTGTTCCGCGTTGCCCCATTGGTTACTGGCTGAAAATTGCTGGGCGGTGTGTGTCAAAAGACCAGAGTCATAGGGCAAGCCATGCTGGACATCTGGAACTGTTTGTGTTGAAGGTTTCTGCGTTTGTGGAAAAGGTGTTGGGTCTTGGAACAGCCAAGGCGGATTAGCCAGGGACATGATTTCTTGGTCGAAAATAGTCCATGAGTCATCGACCATTGGTCCAGGGAATGCTAATACTGAGCTGGTATCCGGGGGAGTGTGCATGGCCTGCATGCTTGATTCGAGGCGCTGGGATAGAACGGTGTGAATGCTGGCTGCCGACTGATGACTTCGTTCGAGGCTTTGGAGATGTGCTTGAATGAGATGAAGATCTGTGGGATGTGTAAGTTAAAGCGAATGTCCCTGCCCTGGGTTATGGTCAATACTAACCATCTTGGTGTGTCATGCCATCTTCTACACCACGTAGCAGTAGCATAGCGGCCCAAGTTATCATCTGCGTAGATCGGAGATCAGAACATATCAATTTTAGATCCAGCAAGGTTCAACTCACGATTAGATCCCAATTGGACCAAATGCTTGCATCATCTTGCCGCAGCCTCAGCACAGCTCTTGCTGAAACAAGCAGCTCATGTCTCTCGACAGGGGTGATCTTTGCGGAGCTCAAATCAAACCCCCGAGCAGGGTGGTATATTGACAGCACAAAAAGCTTGTGTAAATGATACTGTAATAGTATCAGAATTCCCTGTCGATCTGAAGCACTAGGCTCTAAACGGACGATTTTGTCAGATAGACATCAAATTATAGACCCCACGCTCAAGCACTTACGGGATGTTCCGTTATATCGCACCAGCCAATCATCTAGCTTACGTGCCCAAAGCCGAATGACATCAGAATCGTGGTCCGAGAACGAGGACTGTGGAGCGGGGATATTGCCGGAAATGTCGGCATTTATTGAGCACCAGATAGTCGGCAAGCCTTTGCCAACAAAATGGCTCAAGCCGTAGTGCATCATATCAGCGAGACCTTGGAAGGCGTTTCCATGTTGAGTTTCTAGACGCTGGATATCAGATTTCGGTGGCTGTCGAGGCAGCAGGGGATGGGTCATGTGCATTGACGCATGCTCGATATCAATGACCTAGTAAATTGTTAACCAGCCCATTCTATGACGGAGGTGGGTTCAATCTCACCTGGAGACCACAAAATAATCCTCGCCAGTCAGGGGTGGAAGTTTCCATTTCCGAGGGACAATGATCTAGCCAGAGACGGTATGCGATTGCGATCCATGAGCCAGTTGCGTCGATATAAGCTTCAGAGCTTAGGCTCGCCATGATCAAGCCTAAAATGTTATGAAAGACCTTGTCTTCCTTGCTTCTCGAATCGTCCATTGGCTCTCCATCAGTACAGGAATCGCTTTCCACAGTTTCATCTCGCTTTAAGCACGGCGTCACCAGCTCGGCGATTGCGCTGCATGTGGCTGCAAAGTAGCCTGATTCCATAGCCGCCAACTCGGGCTGGTGGTGGTGAAGGGCAGAAATATAGAGCACAGAAGCTAGAAGTAATGGTGTGGGCGACGTAAATACATCTCGGTCTTTCAAGAAATGAAGAAGTGGCAGATTATTCAGGAATCTTCACTAGAGTCAGCGAGCGCGATTCAAGGAAATTATCATATAACTTACGAGCTCCAAAGGCGTTTCACAATTGGCCTGGACCACATACTTTCATCCGGCGCAGGGCGTGTTATAGACCTCAGGTGAGCCACTGCTTTCCAGACGCCCTGCAGGGGTACTAAATATGGTTCATCATCCAAGTCCAAACTCTCAGTGACCGAGACACTTGTTTGCGGTGCATCCTGGCTAATTCCCAGTGCGGCCTCAATTCGATCTAGTCGGTCGAGAACGGATCGTTGATCATATGTTGATGACCGAGAAGCCTGAAGCTCACTGTGGGCCTCTTCAACCAACTCATGCAATGCAGACGCCTTATCAGGTGTCAGTAGGCTGCACAAATCAAGCAATCTTGGCTTGGCACATACGTTTGCTCTGGGTTTAAAGATACATGGCGTCTGATTGTGTCGGCAACGACGGCATGGAGGATCCCCTGAGACCTCACATTTCATCTAAGACCCGTCAGCCAATCGGCGAGGCTATATACTGGAGTATGCCTACTGATAGATACCTTCAGTCTCCGACAGTTGACTGAGGATGATGCCGTTAGATCCGCGCCAGCATTGAAAGCTCTTTTTAACACTCACCGCATGCCTTGGTCGGCTTGGGCCCCAGAACCATATTGGCCCGCTTGATCATGGTGTTCTGAGATGGTTACATCGTACGAGGAAAGAGGAAACCCCGACTTGGCGCCTCTCCACGGTTTCTTATCGGCAACCACGTGAGTCGGAGCTTAAAGTAACCCGCTCATCCGGGGAAGACGCTAACCCAGTTAGGCGTCGCAGCTGAACGGAGAAGATGAGACTGCGTGCCATAACTTCGATTGAATTCATTATTAACGATCATGCTTTGGGAGGGCAATTGTACAATATCTATTTTTTGGAATAATTATTGATCATGTTCTCACGTTTTTAGTCCGCCCTGCGTAGGCTGAAAGTGTATCCAGGGCGGTTCCGATAAACGGAGATGAGAAGTGTACCTCAAGAGGTTCACGTTCCTACTGTTCTTGCGCATGCATCCACCACCGTAGGTGATAGAATGCCACATCTTTCAATCAATAGGAGCAGCTGATTGAAGACGTGAGGAAAGCTCTGGTGCTCGAAGGCACGTATAGATCTTGATGCGCGGGGTGTGTAGAGTTTGAATAAGAAAGGAATAAGAGAAGGAAAGGAGGACCAGGGATTCATGCAGGTCATATAGTATACATATATGTACAGGAAGATGCAGAGGAGTTGGGAAAATGCAAGGGTGAGTAAAAGTACACGGGTTAGTGAGCAGGGTATATAGTAAAATCACCTCCCTCGGCAGATGCCAATACGCACCGAATCGATGCATCGTGCCGGACGGCGTTGAAAGAGACTAGGCTTCTAAGCAGCAGGAGCGGCGTCTTGCTGGCCCATGGACAGCTTGCGCACCTCCCACTCAGAGTCGGCCCAGTCCTTCTTCTCGCCAAGGACGCAAGTTGTCTTGCGGGAGCCGTTCACCAGGAAACGATCAGCCACCTCGTTCACATCCTTGGCAGTGACATCCAAGACCTGTTCTCTCCAGCGCTGATCCATCTCGTGGGTGACGCCACTCATGAAGTAGCGAGCACCCTCGTCGTCGACGCTCACTGGAGCATCCAGGCCTTGGAAGATGCCAAGTTTGGCCTCCTCGATCTCCCGCTCGGACCAAGCACGGTCTCTAGCGAAGATACCGCTGTTCTGGAACACCTTCAAAGAGTTTGTAGGGTTGGGATCCCGGTAACTCATGAAGGTGAAGATGCCCTTGAGCGGGCCGTTGCTAGCACCCGCTCCGTAAGCACCGCCCTTCTCCCGAATTTCAGGGTGGAGGTAGTTGTGAGTGAGCATCTGCGACAGGACGGTAAGGGGTGCGCTAGCCGGGTCGGTGAATGGAACAGTCTGAGTAGCCTGACCGGAATAATAGACCTTGTAAGGGAGATCATAAAAGGCCTTATCAACAGACTTGAATGATGGCGCGGCAGATGCACGTGGTGAAGCGACCTGTGGCAGTCCAGAAAGCCACTTCTGGAGGACGGATTCGTTCCGAGCGGCGCTCTCTGCCTCACATACCATGCGGACACGGAGGTTGGATGACCTCGAGATAGCAAACGACTGGATCAAACGCAGCTTATCGATCAATTCCTGAAGGCGCTCAGGAGAGGTTTCCGCGTCGCGAAGGAGGTTTGCAGTAGCTTGCAACTGCTCCAGACCGGATTGTTGCTCCTGAATCCACAAGCTAGGGGAGAGGCTAGCCGCGGCGGCGTTCACAGCGAACCGATGGCCAGTCGAGGCAACAGAGTCCAAAGCTCCGTTGGTGGTCAAGCGCAAGAGTTCTTGGATCATACCAGGGGCGGCGGGACTGGAGAAATCAGTCTCCGTCACCAGGGTAGAGAGCATGTCCAGCATCTCGGGGATGTTATTGTCCAATGCAAAGCCAGAGAACTGCATGCCCTCCTTGAACTGGTCAAGCTGAGTAGGAGAAGAAACGAGGAAGGACGAAGTGGAGATGCCACCGGTCTTCAACTTGATAAGATCCTCCCACTGCTCCATCGAGCGGTTTGCGGTACCCAACCGCATGACACAGTCATTGAAAAGGGGCACCAAAAGTCGCAAATCGTCTGGAAGATCCTGGAAAGCGTTCACGGCTTGGAAGTAGGTCAGCCCGTTGGTGGGAGCCTCACGCCAGACAACTTCCGTGTCTTCAACCTTTGACTCGCGCACAGGCTTGCGCTCCTTCTCGCGGGAGATATCCTTGACTCGGAGGGTGGGGAGACAGCTCAGGTCAGCATTGTGAGCGTCCTCTTGAACTTTCAGCAACTGTAGCTCTGCCTTTGTGAGATTGGCCAGGGCATTTTCAACAGAACCGTGCTCCTCAATGAGCTGGGCAAGCTTCGTTTTCTTGCGCACAACTTCCTTCTGATCAAGCTCCTTGTTGAAGGTCGGGGTACCAACCATCGTGAACGTCATACAATGATCATTGAGAAGGTACTTCTCCACCAAGGATTCCAGGTAGCCAGGTTTCTCATACCTTCTCTTGAATTCCTCAATAACATCATTCCAGGCCAGCTCCTTCATTGGGTTGGCACCGTTGAACCAGGATGAAATAGTCTTCTCCATTACGCCAATACCAAAGTTGGCGGTCTTGTGACGGAGAGAAAGCTCCAACTGGTGCAGGAATCCACGGACCTTCTCCTCGCTGAATCCAGTCTGCACAGACTCACGGAATGCCTTCTGGATCACGTCTTTGACGGTGGGGGCCTCTGCTTCACTGACACCAGTGACACCGATAGAAAATATCGGGACCTTACCAGAGGAATCCAAGCCAGTGTTGGGTGTGAAGGAAGAGCCCAGGCCGCTTTCGATCAAAGCTCGATACATCGGCGAGCCATAGCCATCGAGGAAAAGGGAAGAAATGATACCGACGGAGAAAGTCTCGACGGTATCCGTTGAATCTCCCATATACCAGGACGTCGAAGTCTTATGTTGCTTGTCCTCGCTCGAAAATGTGTCGATGGGTCCCGGTACGGTAATGTTCAAACCTTGGCTCAGGTCGAGAGGCAGCTTCACCTCTGTATCAGCTTCTCCCTTGTTGAACCCATCCAAGACAGCTCCAATTTGTTCCAAGTGACGGGCAAGAGGCATATCTCCATAAGTCAAAATCTTGGAGTTGCTTGGGTGATAGTTGCGCTTCGAAAAGTCGGTAAGTTGCTGGTGAGTGAGGTCCGTGATATACTCTGGGTCACCTCCTGAGTTGTTGAGAGCTGGTATAATGCTCTCTTTGAAGCGAATGTAATAAAGGTAGTTCGAATCCGAGATCTGGCCCTTCATCTCATTGTAGACAACACCCTTGAACACAATGTCTTCCAGTTCAGCCTTCTTCTCAGGTTGTCCTTCTGTCGGGAGCAAGGCACGTGGATCCTCAGGGCCCAGACGCCAGCCCTCTTGCCGGAAGTCATCTGCCTTGAGCAGAGGGTGGAGGGTCGCATCGAGGTACACGGATAGAAGGTTTTGGAAGTCTTGCGAGTTCGTCGTCGCGAAAGGGTATGTGGTATGATCGGACGAGGTGAAAGCATTCATGAAGTTTGACAGAGAGCGCGGGAGCATCTTAAAGAATGGATCGCGTATAGGGTACCTAAAAGGAAAAAGATCAAGTTAGCGCACGGTCAAGCTATAGGCACCAGGACTAAACATACTTCTCACTTCCACACAGTGTGGTATGCTCCAGTATATGCGGTACACCAGTCGCATCGGGAGGATTGGTCTTGAAACCAATACCGAACACATTGTTCTTGTCGTCTCGGGCCACATGGAGGTAATCCGCATCGGTCTTGTCATGGGTGAGCCGCACCGCGGTCAAGTGTAGCTCCGGGACATGCTTCTTCTCCCGAACGGTAAACCCATAAAGCTTCTCGCCAACGGCAGGAAAGCTTTCAAGGTCAGTAACCGTAGATGCTAGCCTTGTTGCCCCAAATGGCCGTGGAATCAGCGAGTTCAATCTGGAGAAACGGCCAGGGATCGGTTGGCGCAAAGACGGGACCCGGGCTCTGCCCAGGCCCATGGATGAGCGAAGCATTGTAGGATGGTAGATTCAGCACACTCAATAAGTGTTCATGGCAATCAAGAATAGCAATATGCATAAATCTCACAATGAAAGAATGTACCGTGTGGGTGATGATTCGAATAGTCTAAGAAGTTTTCAAGATAACAACCAGATCGTTGACGGATCTGAGAGATCGGACCGAGAACACCGGAGCTTATGTCATCCGTAGTGCATTCCAATGGAGCCCTCGTGACTGCTGCGATGTACACCACCCAAAAAGAACTTCCAGACAAATCTCTACTTAACTTTAGACACACCTACTCCTCGCAGATTGGACTGCAAGTTTCGTTACTCGTCTGGAGTGTGAAGAACTCCGTGGCTGGCCAGTCTGCTTGGTGTGCGGCTGGTTCGATGACTAAGGACCCCCTCGTCGAGTTCTGCGAGTACCGCAAGAAGAAACCATAAGTTGCACTCGCCTCAAGAAGCGCTGCGATTCCCTCACTGTTGACCCAGAGGTGTTCTCTCGACGGAGCCCGCCTTGCCTCTGGGGTCATACCTCGTTTACGTTCCCCGCAATCCGATTGAACCCACCCCTCCGTTATTCGACGTGTTTGCCAACCCGGCGCTGCACAGTTTTTCGACCTCCGACTGCCCACACGACCACCGCAAGCATTTTCAAGACCGAGTTTGACGTACAAGACGTGTCATCGTCTTTGAAAACGGCCTACCATGTCGTCCACCACCATAGCAAAGAAGAACAAGGGGAAGAAAGTGGCCGACCCAAACGAGACATCCAAGTTACTCGCGGCCAAGATCTCCCAACTTGAGCAAGACGCGGCTGGGGAGAAGGATCAGGAACAAGAGATCGGTATGTGGCTATTCCGGGCGTGTGGCAGTGTTATCTTCTTTGCGTCTATCCGCGCGCTTTTGGGCCACGTTCACCGGACATTGCTAATCTAGGTCTACTATACAGAGCGCGAAGTGAAGAAGGCGACTCGAGATCTGAACCAGCTCCTTAACAACATTGAATCCCCTATGACCCGTCTGGAAACTGTCCACAAAAAGTACACCGAGCTGCTAGCGGATATGAAGAAGCTGGATCGAGACTATTCGAAGAGCAAAAAGCGCGCGGATCAACTACAGAAGGACCAAGAGAAAGGGAAATCAGAGTTGAATAAGACCGTGACCATGAAGGATAAGCTGGAGAAACTCTGTCGCGAGCTGACCAAGGAAAACAAGAAGGTGAAGGTAAGGCAATGCCACATACATCCCGTCAACGTTATGTCACCTGACAGCATGCAGGATGAGAACAAGAAGCTCGACGACACCGAAAAGAAGGCTCGTCTGATCGTGAACGAACGGCTCGACTCTCTCCTCTACGATATCCAAGACGTCATGGCTGCCAAGGGAAATCCTCGCAATGAGAAGGTGGATATCGATCTGGATGAAGCGTACGGTTCCACAATTCAACTGCCATGTGCAACCCCGCGCCTACATGTTTGCTAACCTTCTCCTAGCCTTCGTGCAAAGCTGAAGACCATCAGTGAGCAATTCGATACACGCGAGCTTCATTACAAATCCCTCCTCCGTAGCAAGGACGCCGAGATTCAGAGCCTCACATCCAAGTATGAGGAGCAACGCCGAACAGCCGACAATGAGACCGCTCGCGGTCGAGCTCTAAGTGCCCAGGTCTCTACCTTTTCCCATACCGAAGCGGAGCTACGTAGTCAATTGAACATTTATGTGGAGAAATTCAAGCAGGTACGGAAGCCTCGGTTACCCTCTTTCTCATACTCTAAAACTGACATCTCACAGGTTGAGGACACCCTGAACAACAGCAATGAACTCTTCTTGACGTTCCGAAAGGAGATGGAGGAGATGTCCAAGAAGACCAAACGCCTTGAGAAGGAGAACCACACCCTTAACCGGAAGCACGAACAGACCAACCGCAACATCCTTGAAATGGCTGAAGAGCGTACTCGCAACCAAGAGGAACTCGAACGCTGGCGCCGCAAGTGCCAACACCTCGAAGCCTTGTGCCGACGTATGCAGGCCCAGGGCCGTGGTGAAGGCTTGGCTGAGGGTGACGACCACTTGGACCATGATGACGAGGGTACCGAGAGCGAGTATGACGATGATTACGAGGATGAAGACGACTTGAGCGAAGACGGAGACCTTGACGGACATGATCACGGTCGTGATATCCCCCGAACCAATGGCCCTACTGAACGACCTGTCTTTGGGCCACCTCCGCCCCCCAACCTCTTGGAGGCGCGGGCTACCAAGAATGCCGTCGTCAATGGGTGCCACTAATTGAATTCTATGTTCCTAAGGATTCCATGTTATCATGTTCAATTATTTCTGTCAGTCTTCATCGCGGCGACATCGAACACCGCCCTGTCGAATTCCACTTTTGCAGTTCAAGACGTCCAATGAAACTTTTTTCATGTGCAGAATCATGTTGACCCGCGGGTGTACGGACTTGATGCATCTTCGAGGTCTTACCAGTGATTTCCAACCAAGGGGCATGTGATTGTTGGTTGGGATCACCCCAGGTAACAGTTACACCATGCTCTTCCTGTGGGACCCAGGCATTTCCTCTTGTTGTGGCAATCATTACCTGGAGTGCATTTAGATTCTTCAAGCCGTTTCTGTACAAGTACATGTCATATTAACAATCAAAGGATATCTCTCTGTATCACCTCCTTCCATCTCATGTAAAAACCATCCCCTCCACGGTCTATAGTTTACTCGAATGGTTCCCCGTGATATATCCATTGCCTGTCTTCAAGACATCCACAGCCTGCTCCACCATCTCTTTCACGATGACACCAGCCGGCTTAATCTCCTTAACACTAGCCGACACATCGCCCATCAGGAAAGGCATGTCGATATCCTTCTCATTCTCCAGATCATGCATCATGGGCACAACACCCTTGGCAGTCAACGCCGCAATATCAGCAGGTCGACTCTCCCACTCCTTAACATAGTCATTAGGCAACATGCGCAAAGGTCGCCCAGAAACAACCAGCGTCCGACGAGTCTCGCCATATTGCGCCCCGACAACAGCCTCCTTGTGCAAACGGCTCGCACCACTCTCCTCGGACGCGACAAATCGCGTTCCAACCCAAACACCAGCCGCACCCAGCATGAGCGACGCAGCCAGACTCCGACCATCATTAATACCACCCGCAGCAACCACTAGCGCCGGCTGTCCTGTCAATGGACTGCGATATTTCCGCGCCACGTCAACAACGGCAGGGACCAGGACCGAGAAGGGAATATCACCAGTATGACCACCACCTTCTCCACCCTGCGCACACACAATATCCACACCCCGCTGGAACGCCTTCTCCGCATGCTTCGGCGCACCAACCATATTCATAACCAGAATCCCAGCCTCATGCAGCTGCTTAACGGTCTTCTCGGGGGGAACACCGACAGCGGAAACGAAGAGCTTCGCGCCGTGCGAGATCGTCACCTCGATCAGCTCGTCTAGCTGGCCGTGGGTGTAATCGTGGTTGGTGGCTCGCGCGCCACCGCCAACCTGGGGCAGGGCCAGGTCCACGCCGAATGGCAAGTTTGGGTCTCTGAGGAGGGACTTGAGCTCGGTGAGCATCTCTGATAGTTGTTCCGGCGTGTAGCCGAGTCCGCCTATGACGCCGAGGCCGCCGGCGTTGGAGACGGCTGCTGCGAGGGGGGCGCCGGAGGCGCGAGCCATGCCGGCCAGGAGGACGGGGTGTTGGATTTTAAGGAGGCTACATAGGGGTGTTTGGAGGGACATTGTGGCGGGATGGTTTTGTGGAGGACGCTTAGTGGTAGGTGTAGGTGTAGGGACTTTGGCGACCGTGGATTGTTGTTAGGTAGTATATTTGAGAAGTAGATATGTGTTCCCCGGTCTGTGTTAACTGCCGTGATCAGTGCAGTTTAATCTGGGATATCTATACTCCTGAGATCGTCGAACAATGCGGGGAAGCTGTTGGTCAAGTCCGGCGGACCGAGGCATCCTTCTCAGTAGTAGTGTCAAGTTGTGTCTTATTGGGTCGCTTTCACACGAGCGCATATTTTTGTGCGTAAATTAGATCGGCTATATGCTATTCCCTTTCAGCCTATCAGATAACAATCTTTTCTAGCCAATGCGAGGTTTTGAAATCTGTCTACTCTACAGCTAAGAGTGTTAGCACATGTATTGCCCGCTTAGCCGAATCGAGGCTGGATAATTTGAAGCCCAGTCAGGAGTATGTATACTAATTGTTCTTTGAACACATCCATAGGTTCCGTGTACCGCGGGATACTTTGAATTCCAGATTTGAGATTTTTCTACAGTAAAAGCTCTGTTAGTTGAGGATATTATTGTAGCTCCATACTGCTCCCCCAGCCTTGATCCATTTGATCGCTGACGCGTCTTCCATCATGCCTACAATTGTGATAGCCGACCTAGGCAAGTAAGGAAAAAAGATCATTCGTTTATATAGTAATATTTCAAATTATTTCAATTGGACTTTTATTGTGAGCCCAGATGGCCAGTTGATTTAACCTTCTAGGTGAAGTACTCCGTACTAATGGCGGTAAGGCGCCTGTCCCGAAAGGGGAATGTAATTAGACGCGCCAAATCGCGTGGGGCTCGCGTCAAAGTACTTCTGAGCTTCTGTCCGCAACACCAACCAAAACCCTTCCAACCAAACTCTAGGACCTCTGGCTGCACAGCTCAAAATGGCTTCAGCTGAGGATTATGGCTTCTTGCGGCCTCCCAGGTATGTGGTTTCCCTATTGTGTCCGCTATCCTCCACTCTGTTCACTACCCATGCTTGCACGAGCTCCGCGCGCTGATAGTTGACCTCTCTATCCACCCAGTAATGACGAATATGAGCCCGTCTATCGCAAACCATCCGCCTACAATCCTCTCCAGACTTTTACGTTACCCATGGGTAGTGTCCGACACTATCAACAGCAATATGGTGACATGTACTTTTTGCGTCTCGCGAAGCTAAAGCCCGCGGTGGAAAAAGTTGCGACGGATGCCTGGGGCGAGCTCACAGTAGGGATATCACGATGGAGCTCTAAAATGTCCAAACTTGAAGCCTCTAACACCGCTGTGACTACAATTAGGTTGCCGGAGAATCTGCGCGACGCGTGGACCGAGTGCTGGATGTGCGACAGGGAGAGCTCTGCTGGATGGCTGGCACAGTATATATGGACATGCCATTGAAACCCAACATTTTGGAGGATCTGACACGAGAGGTGTGTATAATTTCATTCACGGCTGCTATTTTGCGGTCCCTCTGACTCTGATGCTAGACCTTCACGTCCGCTCCTCCTCCCCGCCGTACCTATGCCGACCCGTCCAACCCGTCCGCGACTCAGGTCATGATGGAGGATGAGTCTGGCCGTATCCGCTTGACTGGAAACCTTCTGGCATCCACGCAGCTGGCCACAGGTGTCATCATTGCTGCGCTGGGAACAGAGACTGTTAACGGAGAATTTGAGGTTATCGACTTCAAGGTTCCTGATCTAGCCCCACAGCCTCAGCGATGGGAGCGGGGCGAGGCCGCCGCAGCGGCTTCAGAGCAAAGTGGCCAAGACGTGTCTAAAGGCTCAGGAAAAATTGCCTTTCTGAGTGGGCTAGGCATTACAGGCACATCAAGTGATACGCTTGCCTTGGAGCTTCTTACGGATTATCTTCTCGGCTATACGAGCATTGATGGCAGCGACGCCGCGTCAAGAATCACACGGCTCATCATTGCAGGCAACTCGCTCGGGGCCAGCGTGACCGCAGATACAGCGTCAGCGGGTTCTGACAATGCAGCCAAGAAGAAGCTGGCACCCAAGAAGTATGGCTACGACGCCTCTGCATACAACTCATCACCCATCACTCAACTAGACAACTTCCTTGCCGAGATCTTGCCCAGCATCCCGGTGACCCTGATGGCCGGCGAAAAGGACCCCGCAAATGTGTCTCTTCCCCAACAAGGGATTCATCGTGCAATGTTCCCGCAATCTCGGGCATACTGCGCGCCTCCGCCATCTGGCGAGAATAAGGAAGAAGTTGGATGGTTCGACAGCGTGTCAAACCCTTGGGAGGGTGATGTAGAAGGATGGCGACTTTGGGGATGCAGTGGCCAGAATGTGGACGACGTTCTCCGGTACTTGGACTTTCCTAGCGACGACACCGACCCTACAGCCGAAAGAGATGATTCTGAGGCTCGGCTGCGAATCATGGAAGCCATGCTGCGGTGGCGGTGCGGTGTCCCCACGGCCCCCGACACACTCTGTACGTTGTGAATTTCCTTTTTCCATTCAAGATTGCATGCTGACGGTACCTCTAGGGTCATACCCTTTCCAAACTGTCGACCCATTCGTTCTAGAAACCTCACCTCACATCTTTTTCACGGGTAATCAGCCTTCCTTCAAGACTGCGGTGATTGAGGCCGATGCTCCCCTCCGACTAGATGGAGACGTTGAAATGACAGACTCTTCCGGTGAAACACCCACGGGTCGTGTACGACTACTATCGATTCCCAAGTTCAAGGAAACCGGGGAGTTGATCTTGGTGGACACTGAGAGCCTGGAGGTCGAAGTAATCCGATTTGGTAATTTTGCAGGCCAAGAAGAGAAAAAGTAAATCAATAGACATAGCATTCAGGAGCTTCGGATAATGACATGATATCACATTTGCAATTCTTCCACGTTCTTGAGGATCGATGTTTATCATCATCATCTCTTTCTGGTTGACACGGGCATCGATGAGATTCGCCCAAATTTCGCCAAGCCCCACAATTGCAAGAATCGGCTCGAGGTGGGATTTCGTCGCGACAACATCGAAAGATCTCTCCACCAGGCAGTCAGAATACATAGAACCCAGAGTCGTCTTTGTCAATTACGAATACGGAAATTCAATATTACAAGAGAGCTCCCATCACTCCATACAAGGAGTACCGTGACCATGTTACTCAATGCTGAAACCGGTGCGCACTATTCATCCCACCTGTCACCTCTATACTCCAAAACTACGCTCCAGACAAGTCCTAAAAATGAGCTAACAATCCTCCCGGGCGAAATCAAACAGCCCTCTCAACTTCCAGAGTCCTCTTGGTACCATACTCGACATGGCACGTCCCCCGCTACCATGAATGGATGCAGGACGAGGTAAGCGATGCTCTTAGCCGTAGTCAAACCAATACATCACAAGGGTTTAATCAACGTCTCTGACATAAATTAATAGGAAATTCAAGAAGCAACTGCCTCAGAACCATTATCCATCGAAGAGGAATACGCTATGCAGCGTAGCTGGCGGCAAGACGCGGATAAATTAACATTCATCGTCTGCCGCCCAGTCACTTCATCCGAAGAAAAGTCTACTCAACTCTCCGCCGAGAGTGACTGCTCACAAAACATGGTCGGAGACATCAACCTATTCCTTCGCATCGACGACGGCGAGGAAGGAGACGCACCGCCCAAAATCGTCGGAGAAATCGAGCTCATGATCGCCGAGAAAGCGAATCAAGGGCGCGGCTTTGGAAAAGCAGCATTGCTTACTTTCTTGCGATATATCGTCGAGAGAGAAACTGCCATCATTGAGGAGTTTGTGAATGCCGACGTCCAGGCGGAGACAGCGGAGAAGTTGAGGGCTGCGAAGGCGAGTCTTGGGTTCTCTTGTTTGAGTGTTAAGATTGGACAGGCGAATTCTCGTAGTTTGGCACTTTTTGAGAGCCTTGGGTTCGAGAAGGTTTCGGTTGAGCCGAATTTCTTTGGAGAGTTTGAGTTGAGGAGGATGGAGTTGGATATTGGGTATATTAATGAGGCGCTTGCTGTGGCTGGTGTGAATGATTATCAGGAGATAGCTTATACTCGTAAAGAATAGACTATAGGAGATTGTGCCAAATATATGGCATTGGTTCAATGGAGAAATCCAGTTTCTTTATCGAAAAGTACTTATCAAGCATGAGACGAGGGTTCGCTAGTTGAACAAAACCAGAAGAATGAAACATAATTCTCATGCAAGCACTATTCAGAATCAAGCCAGCTCATCCCTAATAGTCTCACTCGGGCAACCTAAGCGCTGTACAATGCCGGTCCGGGAATAACATAGCTGCTCAGAGCCGTATAAATATTAACCAGAATACCCGGATCACTATCAGTATACAAAGCCTCACCCAGCGTCCCCTCAGGCGCAGCACTGCCACCACCAGTGACCTGCAAATTCAAGCACTGAGGGTAATTCTGCGCACCATCCTTATTATTGGCAGAATGCAGAGCAATAATCTCATGACGCATCACATAGTTACCCGACGAAATACTGCTGGGAATTGTCACCGTCCAGCGGTTCCCAGCCGCAATGAGCTGATCAGTAGCCCAAGTACCGGGCGGAGTAGTATCATCGATCAGACCGACCTCATCGATCTTGAAGAACTTGAGAGTCGTCTTGTCGACTGTGTTACAGTCCCCGTTGCAGGAGGCTAGGTATGTGATGACCGGGCCGTGGTGCGAGTCCGGCCATGTTGTCCACTGGATCTCGACCTTGGAGCCCGCAGTCACGGCGGCTGAGAGTGCGCCGTTGGTGCCGTTGCGGTGGCAGATGATGTTTGGGGCTTGGTATTCTGTGCCGTCTTCGAAGCCGAGATCGGTGGCAGTTGTGGCCCAGCCAACGCTCTCCGGGGGGTCACTCATGTAGGGGTAGGAATTGGCGATGTAGCCAGTGTAGCTGGATCAAAGGGTCAGCATATCCCGAAGGAGCTGTGAGTGAATGATATAGACATACTTTTGGCCGTTGGCCAGGATACTTGAGACAAAACCATGACCTGCGACCAGAGAGGCAGAGGCCAGGACAGTAGAAATGCTAGCGATCTTTGACAAGACCATGGTGTTGCTCTTTTACGAGGAGTCTTCTTTGTTGCGGTCCCTGGACTGAGAGAAGTGCAAAGGCTTTACTGGGATATCAAGGCACTATTTATATACCATCATGGATATCTAGAACTGCCGATCTCCACCTCGTCTCATGATCCCCTATAAAAACTCCGTTCTGATACTGGAATAGTCTCACGGACATTAGCCGGAGTATCGACAGGGGGTCTTCATGCAATGACCTTCGTTTCACCCTTTCTGCGGCCAGTGGGTCTTGGCCCACGAAGACAGCCACTTCTGCAGCACGCCCCTGCGGCTAGTCCCGACACAATGGAAGAATTGAGACATGCAAGAGGATAAAGTCATGGGGGGCTGGCAAAATGCGGAGAAAAGGCGCTAAGCCACGGCTGCTTTCTGCAGTTGAATACGGTAGTCGATGACGATCCGGGGCCACGGGCCGATAGTATGGATGGAATATTTGCTAAAGTGTGATGTCAGCTGGATCAATTATATAGTGGCCAAGAGAGATGCGACATGCCAAGTGGTGCGGAGTTTAGTTATATCTGTGTCTGTTCCGTGGCCCGAAGAGCAATGATCAACGGGGTTTAGATTAATGCGGGAGTTGATTCGAGGGTAATTGTATTGCAACTATCCAGCGTCACCCTGGATAATGAGGTGTGCAAGAGTCTAATTGGAATTCTTTGTCAACCCCACTACAAGACCGTATGCATACGTGATGGAGATGCTCATGCTTGCAGATTGCCTAATGTATGAAGTATCAAGTTCTCGGGATTTGGAATGAGACAATAGTTGTTTCAAACATGCATTCTAGTTTCAACGCAAATCTCATATTAAGTCTACAGAGTGTATTATCTACGGCGTCTATTCAGGAAACCATGATGATTCAAAAGATATTTTGTGTTTTCATTGTCAACAAAAGCGGATTTCAAGAAGAAAGGTGTCGAATTGATTTGACAAAAGGACAAATGAAAAAGTAAAATAAAGAAAATACATACCATCACGATTCCTCTACCCAACGGTAGACACACTTTGCCAGTTCCTCAAATCGAAGCTCGTTAGCAAGGAGCCGTGCATGTTGATGATACTTGATTGTGAGAACCAGATCGTCCTCCGCTGCTTGATTAAGATCGTTCAAATTCGACATGGCCAAAACAGACCTACACTTCTCAGCCGCGATAACTTCACTCTCTGCTCGCCAACGATCATAGTCTCCCGCACCCGATCGCATCTCGATATCCTTCGTATGCAAGGCAACGACCATGTAATATAGCAATGCACTGACGTAGACGGGGCTCAGAGACGTACCAGGTTCGATTGAGAGAAGCTCGTAAACGATGTAAGCGCTGTCCTCCGAGGTCTGCTCCATTGCAACTGTAAGTTCGGTAGTTTTGTGAACCTCCTGTGAGACTTTAGCAAGCCCGTGCGTTTTGAACCACTGTACCACGTCGAGTCTGTCTTGGGAAATGGCGAGGCTCAATGGCGACTTCCCTTGCTTGTTCCTGAGATAAGGGCTCATGGGCGAAGTGACCCTCATGTACTCCAGGAAATCTTCATCGTTCAGAACGGCACCGTGCCAGGAAGTTGATTTAGATTCCGAATCGCAGGCATCAGTAACGGGTACGCCCAGCGCTTGAAGCCTGCGAGCCTGGTTTGGGCTGATATAAGTGCATAGCCAAATGATATCGTCGGCAGTGAAAGCCCCGCCGACAACACTAGGAAGCATAAGGTTAGCCAATCGGTCTTCCACCAGATCCAGAACTTGATCTAAGAACTCCCTGTCACCGAATCTTCCGAAAAGACCAAGAGGAGTGGGCCGAGGGAAGTTGACATTTGCAGGACCGAGAAGAAGAATGACCAAAGTGTGAAACAAACCGGGATTGATGAGCATATATTCCAGGATCTTGATAGTTCGGCTAGCAACAGCGAGAGCGGCAAAGCTCCAGCCATTACAATTGCAATGGCCAATATCCATTCCACAATAGTCCAAAAGATACGCAAAGCAAGAAGGACAATCCGCCTGAATGACTTTACCAAGGAAATCCTCAATTTTGTGGATGGGAAAGTGGGCCGCGTGCCCGGGATACCAGCTCTCAGGGTTGTCACCTTCCTCGTAAGGTATAAGTTCGATATCACCCAGTTCACGGCGAAGGAAATGCTGAGGCTTGCGGCGTGCAACATACTCCTCAACGTACTGGTTTGACCGGCGGTCTACCTGAGAGAGACTAAAAACCGAGTGGAATGCTTCGTGCTGCAGAGTAATATTTCCATACTTGAAAAGACACTGATCGAGCATGGTCCAGAAAATATCGAGAGGCAACATGCACCTACCTGCGGAGTTTTCTTGGTTTGAAGAAGGGTTGTATGAAAACTGAACAGGCTTGAGATCCTGCATGGGGTCATACTTGAAGTCGTACTCCACCTGGGAGTCGATATCCATGGGTGTGGGCTCCATAGTTGCGGTGATTGCTGGTTGCGAAGAGGGATGAAAAAGATTCAACGCGAAAAGCTGATATGCTTCATAAATTGTAAGAGAGGCTTGTTGTTCAGAGAACTGGAGGATTGAGTGTGATGAGACTTAACCACTCGTGCATCAAGTTGAGTTATATAACTGCGAGTGGAGTCCGAGGACAATGGACGTTGGTGATGGTTGCCAGGATTTGAAAGTCATAGTTATCGAACATAGCCTTGGTGCATGTCTTTCATTACGGTGAGCCTCACAAAGAAACTCGGACAATGGGTATTTATTATTGGCAGGTTCTCTTTCAAGGTCGAGACATTCCGCGACTATTCACAATGACATTCACGATGTCTCAAAGGAGACAATGGGGACCTTAATTTAACATGAAAGAATTGGAACCCCATTTTATCAAAGAAATCTCGAACACTCGACTGAATCTAAATCTTTGTGCAGCAATGTGGCTATTTTTGCATCAAAGAAATTGAAGGATGGTTGGGAGTGATCAAGGCCATTCATCAAAGAACATAATTAGATCAAGAACAATGGAACATCCTGCTCTGAGGGACTACATAAAACGTCTTGCAGCGCCCCTTGGTCAAGTTTATTATCACCACCACTCCCAAATATCCCATCCTCACTATGCCTCAGACTACCAACCCTTGTATTACCCAATTACTACCTGCGCAATGACACGCTATCAAACACCAAGCACTTGGAAGACCACCACCGGTCTAGACATGCTTCTAAACGGTTTAGCTATTCCCATCTACGCCCTGGCTTGGGTCATCCTATGGCTTGTGGGTACCATACTCGAATTCGCGGTCTTTGTCTTTAACGCCGTGGCCAGTGGGCAATCGCTTTCGAGCAAATATTTTGAAGTCTCTTTGGCCATGCCTGTGTTTGCATTGTTTTGCCTTGGCATGTTGTTTGCGGTCAAATGCATCGAATACTTGATCGAGTTTCTGTGCTTCTTGATTAGTGAGGATCCTGAAGAGACCGCGATTGATGATTACGAGAAGCTTGTATTGAGGAGGAGACTAAGAGGGAGAAGGGGTTACTGAACTCTGTCCTGCTTGTTGGTTTGCTCTAGGCGTGGCAATTCTACATAGCTTCGCATCCCATTCTGTTAGATTGAACAATACGAGAAACCACACAAGGTGATTGAAAACGAGGAAGACCCAGAGAGCGTAGAACCATAAAGAAGCATTCCTGTTAGAATAATGAACAAGGGCGAGTCTCGCAAAATACAATAAGAACCTCATCCCCAGTAAGGATATTTCAACTGTTTTTTTCATTGGAAGTGTAAGGGACTGAAAAGCTCCGACAAAAGCGATTCCATCTTTTTTCATCGAGTGTCCGGGAAAATGCGAGTCGTCTGACCGGTGGAAAATAACACAGCGGCGTACAGACGCAAGGATAAGGTCTGGAAAGAAACAACAAAACCCCCCCTCCTCAGCACGGAAGCTCCGCGCCGTCGGAGCCATCCCCGTGTCGGCCCGCAGAGAGATCAAGCCCATGCCATGTGTCCCTCCAACAGTTGTTGTTGTAGCATTTCATCGACAACCAATCGCGCCGCACTCCGAGCCTCCATCATTTCATTGTCTCGACATTTACAGCTTCTTCTTGTCACCCTTGGCAACATCGACGACCTTCAGGGCTGTTGAGAGAAATTGAAGGTTAGCATGGATTCGTAATTGGAGCCAGCGTATTGCATAGTAGTCTGTCCATGGAGTATCATTCGCTGATCCTCCACATCACATAACGGGTAATGAGCCAAGCTGGTGTGGGGTTGTGTAAGGTGACGTACAAGGAGGAAGAGACTGCTTGAGCTTCTCGGCCTTAGCGGAGTCGGTCAGGGCGAGGGTGTAGACGAAGCGCTCGCAGCGGACCTTGAACTTGGTCTGCTGGTTCTTGCGGTTGCGCTTGATCCGGGCGGCTAAAATTCGGGGTTGAAGGGTCAGTTTTTCGAGGTTCCAAACAAAAAATTCCCGATTCTCCAATCTTTTTTCGATCGTCGTTCAATCGGACCAGTGACGGCGGCACGTACAGGAGGCATCCTTCCGGCGGCAGATCTCGATGAACTGCTTGATATCGGAGACTTCGCGAGGCATGGTGACGGTTTGATGCTGATGAGGTGCGATAAGAGAGGAAAGGTCGCTGTCCTTGCAGATGTTGTGTGGATACAATCGGATTAGGGTTTCTGCTCGGGGAAGCCCTGGGAGTCACGTGGATATGTGGCGGTCGCAAAGTGGCTGACGGTCCCGGGAGTTGCTGCGCGTTCGAACGGATTCTCGGGGATGGTCGCTGCAGTGAAGGGAGTGAAGATATTGGTTGTTGGACTGACTTGTGGCTGAAGGGGATTCGTTCTGCTCAGAGGGTATGATTGCCACCGCCTGGGACTCTGCAAATTGTCCAGTCGTGGATGAAGTATCGGCGCCGGTGCTTGTATAACATCTTGCTCGGCGCTTTCCAAGTCCCGGTTTCGAGTTCGTCCTTGTCGCTCATGAATTGACGGGTCTTTGTCGGTGATTTTGAATTGAATTCGGTGCTTTCGCCAGAATGTGAGACTGGACAGTTTCCATTCAATTAGCAGGCTGGTTTGGTCGCAATCTCATAGAGAAATGGAGATGAAGCCTTACATATTCACCCCAGCCACGATGAGCGCGAGCAAAAACGTAAACGAAGCCAGAACAGTGATCGCCTCCATCTCGAACTCTCAATGGATCAAGGAAATGGATTCGCAGCGGGTTCAGTTCGAGGGACTTTTGAAATGCGAAGTATAAAGATAGGACGTCTGTAGGGACCGAATAATACTTCCTAGGGAATGGATAGAGAAAGTTACAAAAACTACCATTTTGCCTCGGGTTCTCACAGATATAATTGACTATGTATTGTATTCATGGGGAAATAATTGCTTGGAAGGCACTACCATGTCGTCCCCTGTCTATGGTTCGGGCGAGATGGAAGGAAGGAGAGAAGAAGAGCTGGCTGTCCTCGAGTGGCGTCGGTGGCGGTGGAGCTGTCAGTGATCAAGCTGTCCAAAGTTACTTGGACAGATCGCATCATAAATCTCCAAGGCTGCCATTATCTTGCTGTTGTCATTAATTTTGCTACGGAAGAAAACAAAATATCAGATCTTCTTTTGTCTTCGAGACGCACCTTTGCCAACCAAGCTGCACAAGTTTCAAAGCTTGTAACTCATTCCACCATACGTCAAGATGCCGACTCCACTAGATCGGGCCCTGAAATCCCAGGTACGCAGCCTCATGTTCCATGCTTTGAATAATTACTAACATTGTCTAGAATCTTTTCCTTGGTAAGCTTGCAGGAAGCTTGTTTCAATAGCATATCATGTATGGCTAACCAATATTCAGGCTTCGCGGGCATGGTGACTGCGGTGGCAGCCTGGTCAATCTGGGGAAGCGACGTGTTCCCCGCAGAGGCTGATCCCAAAGGGAGTAAGGAAGCCATTGACTATTACTTGTGCTGAAGGAGAGGCTAACCCTGATAGATCCCGAGACCTGGACTGAAGATGAGATGAGAAGATGGCTGCGCGCGGTAAGTTGGATCTCATTTTGCGGTGATATCCTCTTTAATAGGTATATACTATTTGGTTAATATACTAATGAGCATCTCCAGAGAGGTCTCCTGCCTAGTGACAACGCGACTCGCGAAGAACTACTAGAAAGAGTCAAGGCAAATCTACGCATACCGCGCAAGACTGAGTCTTCAGCGTCGCAGTCCTGATGGTGCCGAAGGCGTGGCTTCAGATCTCTCACTGAACGATGAGTTGTGATCGTTTTTACTTGATTCCCCCGTTTATTGTGCTACGACCTATGCAGTGTCCTTGAATGACATATCTTGTTGAATTGAATGGTCATAATCTTCTATTTGTACATGCCCACGGAGCAAAAAGGCTCCGATACCTCGTAATATCGTAACAGCTCATGATTATCATATCCACCCACCCCTGGGCATTTTTCCCCCCATCTCACAATATCCCAACCAGAAGTAAGACTAGACCACCAGACGGAAGTTCTGGCTCTGAATCAGCCAGTCCCGCCGGCGCTTGCGATCGGAGCTGGGATTGGGCACCAGCACGAAAGTCTCGCTGAATCCGCGCGGCAGCTGGTCACGGTTCTCTCCATACCGCACGTTTCCACTGGCCATGACAAGGATGGACATGTCCTTGACGGTCATCTCGGTGGTTGGCTTGAGGCCTGTGGCGGTTGTGGTCGGGTATGCGCGGTTGATGATTTGGCAGTCAAAGGACTGCACTTCGTAGAAGGCTTCGGGCATCTGACTTTGGAAGATGTCCTGTACAGCGGCGCCATCGGCGACCGTGTTGCCGTTGAAGAGGATGCTCGTGGGTGTGGGAAGGTAGAAAGAGGCAATGGAGGCGCGGTCGTTTTTCAGCGCGGGGTAGAAACTGTTGACCAGCTCCGTGGCAGCTATACAACATTTTGGTTAGCTGAGTCTTTCAAAGCCAGGCTCGAGGCAGAAATTTACCCTCGGTGGACACCTTCGTCAAGACATCATCGGTTGCTGTGGCCATTGCGACGAGTGACTGCGTAGTCGGACGGACAGAGGTTGGCAGGAGCGTGATAAAGCCCCAATTTTGGTGATGTGGTATGCAGTGTTCTTCTGAGCCAAAAGTCCAGAAACAAAGTAAAAGAAGCAACGTGAGGTGGAGGAATGCGTTTTGTGGTGAATGAGTAGATGAATGAGTCGAGTTGCTCAAAGGCGGAGCCAAGGAAAAAAAGATGCGCCGGGCGGAGCTTGGGCCACTCCGAGTAATGGACAATGCGGAATAACATACGACCTCCGGGCCCTCCTCTTCCTCCGCAACTAGACAATGGCAACCTGTCGAACTGCCTTTCGCTCCCTCTCGAGGGCTTCGCAGTTCATCACTGCGAGGCGACCCTGGACCTGCTCAGCATGCAGGAATGGTGTTCCTCGGCGCTTCCAGCGCGGAGTTGCGACAACTCCGGAGGTTCCCAAGAAGCCCTACTATGTGACGACGCCGATTTTCTACGTCAATGCCGGTGAGTCGCTCAAACGAGCGGGAAATTATCGAATGTCTCTAACACTTCCATCGAATTTGACTAGCCCCCCATGTCGGCCATTTCTACACCATGATCATTGCCGATATCCTCAAACGATGGCAGGTTCTACTCGGCAACGATGCTCGATTGTTGACCGGCACCGACGAGCACGGGATGAAGGTAGAGAGATAAAATCTGCCTTTCATGAACTGTCTACTGACGGTGCCTTGCAGATTCAGCAGGCTTCTGTGGCAGCCGGGATGGATACACAAGCCTTCTGCGACATGAACTGTAGGACATTTGAGGTAGGTATACCTTCTCACCTACCCATGGAGAGGCAATTCACTGACTCGTTGCATACTAAAGTCGCTAGCCAAGGCTGCGAACCTCAGTAACGATCACTTCATTCGTACCACCGATTCCGCCCACCGCGACGCCGTTCAATACTTCTGGGTAGGCAGACCCGACTATGGACCAGTCCGGGCGGAACTGACAGAATCATAGGAAATGTTGAATCACCGTGGTCACATCTACACCTCCAAGCACGAGGGATGGTATTCTGTCAGTGACGAGACATTCTATCCGCAAACACAAGTACAAAACTCTTTGGATCCAACAACGGGCAGGAAGCGCATGGTAAGTTCTCGGGCGGCATCACATCACTCATACTGGCTGGCTCACCAGTAGACAGGTCTCGATTGAAACAGGAAAAGAGGTCGAATGGTCATCAGAAATCAACTACCACTTCCGTCTTTCTGCTTTCCAAGATCGACTGCTGGAGTTGTATAACCGACCGGATTCGTTTATCACACCATCCAAATATGCAACCGCCGTCATCCAGTCGGTTTCTTCCGGGTTGACAGACCTGTCGATTTCGCGACCAGCTGAGCGACTGACATGGGGTATTCCGGTTCCCGGCGACGACACACAAACCATCTATGTTTGGCTGGATGCACTCGTCAATTACCTGACATATGCAGGATACCCTTTCCCTCCTGGGCAGGAAAAATCATCTATCTGGCCTGCCAACGTTCACGTTGTCGGGAAGGACATCGTTCGGTAAGCCCCACGCTATGACCTACCTGAGAAACCCGAACGTGCAGCTGATCATCACCCCCTAGCTTCCATTGCATCTATTGGCCAGCCTTCCTCATGGCTCTAGACCTTCCTCTCCCTCGGAACGTTTTGGTGCATGGGCATTGGACAATGAATCGTGAGAAGATGTCCAAGTCTACCGGCAATGTGGTCAACCCATTTTTCGCCATCGATCGATTTGGCGTGGATGGAATGCGATTCTTCCTCGCTTATCAAGGAGGTCTGTCTGATGACGCCGACTATGACAATTCCTTCATAATCCGGGATTATAAGAAATGGCTTCAGGGCGGTATTGGCAACCTTGCCTATCGCACCATTGGGTGTGCAAAGGGAAAGTTGCGCTCGTATATCCAGGATGCCACGTCTGATAAGCTCCCGGCGGCCTCCATTGCCGATGAGGAACACCAGGCCATGCTGATTGCTACACCGCTGAAAGTTGCCGAGCATATGACCGGACTCAATCCGCGTGCCGCGCTGCAGGAAATTATGAGCATAATCGAGAAGGTATGTAGTAGGGGGAAGGCTAAAAATGGACCCTCCCATCATCCCCGCACGACCGTCGGAGAAGTGGCTAACTTATTGGATTTTTTCCTTTGCCTCCCCTCAGTCTAACAAATACTTCCATGCGGCGGAGCCGTGGAAAAGCGCCAACCCCCAATGGGTCCTTTACAACGTGGCTGAATCGCTTCGCATCTCTGCCATTCTGCTTCAGCCGTTCATGCCCGACAAGTCACAAGAGCTTCTCGACCTTCTGCGCGTAGATCCATCCAAACGGGCATTTTCGGCCACCGTCTATGGTTCAGACCCGGATTACGGTGAAGGCATCAAGAAAGGCATGCTTTTCCCTCCTTTGCTCACTGAGGAGTAATGGCCGTGGGCACCGAGCTTTCGATTTGATAAGAAGAATGCACCAAAGGCCAATCATGACCCACAACAAGACCCGTTCGAATAAAGCTTTACATCATCTCCGTCCAGGCGTAACAGCTCCATTGAGACGACTTCCCGGTTCCCCCCCCTCCTCCACACGGCGGATTGTGAGTTGCCAGGTTTTCCAGTGTGACCCCAGCTTGGGGCCGCAAATGTATGCAAGAACGACTAGACCATGATTGGCGATACCCACAAGGTTATCAGCGGGAAAGGATGGGCCAGAACCGTGGAAGCGCGGCCTATCTCCAACTGACGGGCTGATCGGGTCGGGAAAGTCGCCCGTTTCCCGTCGGAAAACCCAAATGGCTTTGCTCTCCGTTTGTATATCAAAACATGTCACAATTATTTGTATACTAATGAGTCTTCTGGAAAAACCGTAAGGATTTTATTTTATCTCTGATTTCTGTTATCTTTTCCACCGGGCGGATTTCATTACCCTCTTCTCATCTATTTTTGTGTGATTTTATACTCCACCGCTGACTGTGTAACGGCGTCATTCATCCAAAACATATTCCTATTTTAGGTGGAATTTTCTTGTCGTCTTGATATTTGACTTCACGCAGTTCCTTTCCTTCCGATCGATTGCCTTCAACTGAAGACCTTTTTTTCTCTTTCTCCTACCTGATCAACTTCAACACCGCCACTATGGGAAGCTTCGTGCCTTCCGTTGAGGACTACAAGCCCAACTTCAAGACGCCATGGATTGAGACTCCCCTTGTCGAGTCGGCCAACCTTTCTCGCGCCGCTGGATGCCGCATTTTCCTCAAGCTGGAGAATGTCCAGCCTAGTGGCTCTTTCAAGTCCCGTGCTATGGGCAACCAGATCCTTTCTCACCTCCGCAAACCCGAATATGCCAATCGCCGGGTTCACTTCTATGCCTCCTCCGGAGGAAACGCTGGACTGGCAGCTGTGTGTGCTGCCCGCAGCCTGGGATACCCTTGCACCGTCGTTGTGCCTCTATCGACCAAGCCCTTGATGATTGAGAAGCTCCGGGCAGCCGGTGCTGCGGACGTTATCCGCCACGGAGAAACGTTCTTCGAGGCTGGCTCATACATGAAGGATGTTATTATGAAGACTAGCTCCGGTGACGACGAGGACGTGGCTAAGATTGCCCTTCACCCATTCGATAACCAGCCCATCTGGGAAGGAAACAGCACTATCATCGACGAACTGGAGAAGCAACTCCCTGTTCCTGCCAACTCCGACGAAGAGGAAGTTTACCGCGGGCGGGCTCTCCCTCTGGATGCTGTCCTCTGCAGCGTTGGTGGTGGCGGTCTCCTCAACGGTCTAGTAATGGGCCTTGAGAAGCGACGATCCCAGAAGCAGAGCGTTCACACCGGATCCTCTACCACCGGCCACGCGTATATGGACATCTCTACCTCCGAAACAATCTCTTCTCGCCCCGTGGCCACTGAGCCCCGCCCTATTCACCTACTCGCCATCGAAACTGACGGCACGGACTCGCTGGCCGCTGCCATTGCCAATAACTCTCTCGTCTCTCTCCCCAAGATCACATCCCAAGCTACCTCTCTCGGTGCCATCCGTGTATCGGAAACCACATTCCAGTACGCCGTTGCCCCTCCACCCGGCATCAAAGTCCACAGCGCCGTCCTCACGGACGCCGAAGCCGCCCGCGGTGTACTCCGTCTCGCAGACGACGAGCGACTCCTCGTCGAGCTGGCCTGTGGTGTCTGTGTCGAGGCGGCCATTGGCGATACTGCCGCCGCTGCTGCTGAAGCCTCCGCATCGGCGAACGCCGTGGCCGCCGGTCAAAGCGCCAAGAAGCGCAAGAGAGGCCCGAACGACTCTGTCCCTGACCGGGATGAAGGCTACGGAGATGACCGATGGTCCACGACGGATGTCGATAACGAGACCGATCCTGAGATGGAGCCGGAGGTCAGCGACTGCACCAAGTCGGCCTCTCCCGTTCTCAACTCTAAGCTCAAGCAGTTGGTGCCGGACCTCAACGAGCAGAGCAGGGTTGTCATCGTCGTTTGCGGCGGAAGTAATGTTACTATCGACATGGCCAGCGAATATAGACGGCTGTTGTCGGAGGGTTGGGTTTAAACTATCATGCCACGTTGATAAAGATTTCCTTTCTCGGTTTCTCTTGTTGTCTTCTTGCTCTTATATACCTCTTATTGCCCCTTGGCTTGTCACGCATGAGTGTTGTGCTCTATGGCTCTTGATGTCTTTGGATTTCGTTACGAATATTGCATTTCCTTTTTAATGTTCATTTGCATACAGGTTAGCTTGTCCTTGTTAGAGAAAAGAAAGAAAGGATTAATATGAATCATTTTGAAATTTCACATGACTTGAGAACCAGCAGTAATAACGCACATTGCACCGAATAGATCCCATTTGATCCAAAATCACGCAACTTCTTCCAACTGACGAATCCGATAATCCCAATAATTCTTCCGAATGGGATCATACTTCTCCTTCAACATCGTCAGCATCTCAACAGCCTTCACCTTCTCCGCCTCAGCATAAACATCCGCCAACCACTCCACCGCATGACTACTCTTAACCACATCCCCATCAACAAACTTCCCCACAAACCCCTCCCACTCTCCCAACCCCCTCCCCGCCGCCCTTAACGCACCACGCGCATACCACCACGGACTCCGATTCTCCGGCGCCCGGACAATCTGCTCCTGTGCAAACTTCAACTCCGCATCAACCAAATCCTCATCCACAACAGGCAATCGACCCTTCTCCTCCGGGCTGATGTCCGCATTACCCGCGTTCACCATGCCCGCGTCGGGCACGTCGTCGCGGGGCCCGAAGCGAAGCATATACCGATGGTTCCAGGCGGAGTTGTTGCGGACGTCGGCTTTGATGAGGGCCTCGACGTCTTCGAGCTCGCGGGGTGAGTCCCAGAGCTTGAAGTGGCGGACTAGCCAGTGGCGGTAGGTCCAGACGTGGTAGTTTTTGGAGTCTTGGGCGAACATTTCCATGAGGAAGTCTGGTTCTTTGGCAGGCATGCTTGGGAAGTGTGTCTGTGAGGAGATTAGGACTTGGCGGTGGTGCCTGTGAGGATTAGTTAGAATTTGGTGTTTCTCTTGAGAGGGGATTTCGTAGGGTAGGTGATATCGTACCAGATTTGGTAGTTTTTGAGGTATTTGAGAGACACTCCGTTCAGCCAGTTGAGTTCCTCGATGAGGTCCTTGTCCAGGGCGAAGAGGATCCTGGCCCGGTAGATCCTAGAAATATGTAAGAAAATATTCTTTAAGTGAGATGATTAGGTTGGTTTTACTTACCACACGGTATAATGTGCTGGATTCATCGAAATCACATCTTTGGTCAAGTTCAGTGCCCGTTCGGACATCTCATTCGCGGCCATCACGGCCCGCAGGTACGACGTTGCTTCAAGGTACTCGGATGGATAGGCGATAGTGGCCAGCGGCATTGCACCAGAATCAGAGCCATCGTTAAGCTCGATGGGAGTGATATCTGCCCACTCGGGGTCATTGGCATAGCCCTCGGCCATTTTGAGGGATTGGTTATCCACGATATCAAATCTGCGGGGGGTTGCGTTCGGGAGATAAGATGCCAGCTGCGGCGAGTTGTCACGGCTCTGACAGGAACAGCGAGACAATATCAACCGGTTCTAGGTTAGATTTGTCTTTTGGCACACCGGAAGATGAATTGGACACTCTATCCTGCTGGGAAGTTGCTTGAAATGCGTCGGGTTGGCTGAGAGGTGAAAGGTGGGGCGCAGTTTGTGGCCTGAGGCGGAAACAAAGAAACGGAGAACAATCGACTCGCTTGATATTGTTCTTTTCTTATTTTACACAACTATCGACTAAACTCGACAATATATACATTATGATTGGATTCCAATGAATCATCCGGCGTGGTTATACAGTCTTTTGCTTTCCCCAACCCACCACTTGCCCACTTTCTCGGCTTCAACCACCCACTGCCCAGCTTTATCTCCATGTGCACTCTTTACCCGTGATACCAAGTCATCCAGCGACCATCCACGTAAAAGGTTCTCCTCATCAGGATCTGTATCTAAGTTTGAAAAAACAAATTCAAAATCTTGTGTCAACGGTAGGATCAGTCGATATGGAACAGCGGCAGATCCAACGCTGAGCATCTCCCCGCCAGCAGAAATGATACCGAAGTTCCATGATTGTCGTCCATCGTCGGTAGCTTTGTATGAACGAATTAGCGATTGACCTTCATATTCATTCATCAGGTCCAATGCAATGCCCAAGTCTTTCTCGTTGAGCGATTTAGTCTGCACCAACAAGTCGAGAATTGTCGGGATGATGGACAGTGATGTCGTGTTGGCTGTGATTTGGATCTTCGGCAGCAGTGGATGTCTAAAGACGAGAGGAACACGGAAATTGCTAATGTGGCCGTTTTCATAGCATCCTGTCACTGGTGAATCTTCTTGGAAGGCTTGGCCACTGAATTTCTTGTTAGAATGTTGAGGTTTTGAGTTCATAAGTCAATTATATGACTTACTGGTCTCCAACGAACACAACCAGCGTCTCATTTGAGATGCCCTTTTTATCTAACAGCCCGAGCAAATCACCTAGCCAGGTATCCACGTAGCGAACGGAGTTGAGGTAACTATTCATGTCCTCATGCTTCCCGATCAGACTCTCGTCGGAGAAGTATTGTTCGCTTTGGAACCCCTTTGGCAGGCCCCATGGGTGGTGTGTTGTGCTAGTAAAATGTGACAGGAACAATCTTTCATTGTTCTTGATCGCATCATCAATCGCGTCTTCCATATATGGATATACCTCTCGTTCCGAGTAGCTATTGAGAGTTAGTATTCCACGCCAGACCTTACGCCTGCAGCCGATCATCAATGACTTACCCAAAGTAATTGATCTCTTCCATATCATCATGGTAATGCTTTGCGTCTTTCTGACCAATATCCTCGCGATAGACCGTCTTTTTGAATCCAATTTGGTCATTCAGGATATTCTGATCGGCATAGATTCCAGTCACAGCTTGTATAAAGATGGATGTCCACTTGCGCTCCCGGAGGTCCCTCAAAGAACTGGCGGATGGGTTCTCTTTGAACTTATTGAACAGTTCCAGCACCTGCATGATGCACGGTTGATAGATATCGGACTTGATCTCTTCCATAAAGTCCAAAGGGAGTGGCCACACTCCACAGTGATTCACAATCTCGCTTTTGAATGAGAGACTGCTACCAGTCAGGACGCCATTGATATTGAGACCGCCCATTCCTGCCTCGGTTGTATCTTTCCAAAGCGATGAGTCCATTCCCCTTGTGCTCTTGGGGAAATCTCCAGACTCGCCAGTCAGTATCTCGGCGATGGGTGTCAGATGAGACAGGTTGGCGTTCAATTGGTGGATCAAATCTGGATCTTGGGACTTGTAGGAGTTGAGAATCTCGCGGTGTAGGTGGGAACCTGATCTAAATGGAAACACGTCTTTTCGTGTACTCTCCATCATCACAAGTACCACGTGACTGATGGGAACGTCGTGATCTTTCAGAGCCTGAGTCAATGGCTCCAGTAATTTTTGATCAAGGTTCGTTATCCGCAAGGGATCGTTGACTGGATTGTAATAATTCTTCATGGCTGTCGCATTCTTCCCCTTACTCCAGCGTTCAAACCCCGGAGGTAGTGAACCAGAAGCCCAATCTGGCAGGGATTTAGCCCCCATATCGAAGTTTGGTGACCAGCCTTTGAAATGACCATCTGGAGCTTTCCAATGCCCCTCACTAATGAGTTCTGGCAACGGGAATGCGTGGTTCGAGGGTTGGCGCACTTCTGGAGTCCTTGAAACCAATGCCTCGAGAAAAGTAAAAGGAATAGCGCCTGAAATGTGGCTGTATGGTACTTTGGGACGGATCAACCAAAGCAAAAGCGTTCCGATAAGACCAATGATAGTCCACAAACGAGCTGGACGCTTTCTCTTAGTAACGATTTTTAGATCGTCGAGCATAGAATCCTCGTGGGCATCCTCGGTAGAATGGATGCCAGGTAATGCAGATAGCCACAGATCAAAGACTGTGGAGCAGACTCTTGTAAAGACCCAAGACATGATGAGCAGCATGCAACCACTGCCCAGAAATGACTTGAGCCCACTGAGCATCAATTTCCTTCCTTCGGCATCATTCCCAACGCTGGTGACTGCATCCCAACGGACTTCGCTTCCAGTCACGAAGTAGAATCCAAGCTGAGAAGAGCAGAGACAAAATGTCAAGAGCCTATGGTTGGAGGTCAGTATAGAACTGTCATAATACACATGCTCCATGCTGTCTTACGCCGTAGCTGGGACGAAAATTAACCCCATAATGGACCTCAGTCCTGTGGATTTCTGCAGGAGGAACCACGTCGCTCCAGACAGTAAGACTTCCTGTATGAAGAAAGTTGGGAAGTAGAGCGCTAAGAGCCCAGCTGGTATGGAACCCGCATGTTGGAAGAGATGTAGCAGTTTGGAGGTTAATGTTGATACCACTACTATCGATAGCAAGAATGGCCGAACGAATGGTTGATGGTGGGCGATCATGATGGCTAGCAGGTATTCGATGTGAGCAAAGCGCTGGTATTGCGACTGAACAAAACGTATTATATGAGACCACTGACAGTGACTGTGGTCAGTGGTAAAAAATGGTTCTCAAACGAAGTAAGAAGACCATGATCAAGGAATCAATGACTATATCTTTCTATTTGGACTAACAGATGCGGTAGGCATGTCCTTGAGATTCTGCATCCGGTTACTCCCCAATCTGGGGACTCCGCACATTCAGTAATCCGGGGATGTGGATCCAGCTCTGTTATTGAAGGACCCGGTACATGGATTCAAATCTGTGAATTGCCTGTAGAAGAAAACGACTCTCTGATCATTCGATTCAACAGACTGTTCTTTTCAAGATCGACTGAGGGAAACACAATCCACCCTACAGCTCTAGCAAACCTCAGTAGAGCTGTCAAGCCCCAACAGAGAAAACCAGGGAGGCAGGCATGTGGTCAGACCCCTTCCCCTTGGCCGGATAAGGAAGGGGGTCAGACGAGCTGGTAGTTTACGCTATTTCGACTCATCCTTTCGCAAGATGATGGCCATTCCCACTAGACATCGCAGAGCAGAGACATTCAATAAACAAGAATGAGTGAGAATTGGTTGTTATATGAGATCAGGATATTATTAGATATTATTATGAGCTTGGTGATATGTGTCTAGGAATGGACGTGGCTCAGCATGGTTCGTAGAAGCTAACTTGAAGCTGGATCGTTAGACCAGAGCTGTGCCTGGGCATGCTGGAACTCAGTCCGTCATCCGAACACACGACAACAGACGGCGAAGAAGGAAAAGCCGATCACAAGGCCTAACAAAGTCTGAAAGCACTCATGTAAAAGGTTCTCTTTTTAGGTCATGAAAATGCTGGTGGGGCAACAGGGGAATGCCTGGTTCAAGGGATGTCGTGTGCTCCCTTGCTGGATTTGGAAATGATCTATTCCACATTCCAGAGCCCCGAAATCGTCTCCTTGGGGCTCCTTTGCGGTAAACGAGGGACAGGCTGAGATTTCAATCAGGTTTTTCTATCAAGTCTAAGACTTGGAGGTCATGGACAGAACCCCACGGCTTGTGTTCTTAGTGACAGAAGATTTCAATTAATGATTAACTTGCAGCTGATATCTCACATATTCCCATAGAAGATTAATACAATTCCCATCAACCAAAGGTCTCCCCACCATTCTTCAAATATTCGGTCTCCTCCGCGGTCGGCACCCTACCCAGTGCTTGATTCCGGTGCGGATACCGCCCAAACCGCTCGATAATAACCTTATGCCTCTTCTCAAAATCGAGTAAATTGGTCAATAACGCGCTGAGAGCATCCTGTTTATTCGACAGAATCCCATAACACTTCTTCTCATCCTCACTCAAGGTAGATACATCCCTTAGGAGAAAACGACCCATATCTTTCGCCGTCTCCTCATGCTGCTTGACGGCTTGCTCATGTACGGCAAGATTTTCAGAGTGCATCAGTGGCATGTGAAACCAGAAGCGACGTGCGAGGCGGTATCGCACTTCTGAATATTTGGTCGGAATACCGGCATCGATTGCACGAACAGCAATCTCTTCCGCAAGTGGGTCAAAGCGGCCGAATACAAGCTTTGACTCGTCTCCACGATGGCAGTTCCGAGGTACTTGGTCCAAAAGGAGGATGATACTCAGCCAGTCCAGGGGGGATGAGATATCGATTGCATCCAGGATATCTGCTGCGGATGCACTGGATTCAATAATGGTGTCTAGGGCAGGTTGGAATTGTGCACTAATCGATTAAATGAGTATCGATTGCGAACTGAATATATAGTAGAGGTTCACTCACACGCAGATCTTGTCGAAAGTCTCATCGCGAGTAAACCAACGCTGCATATCACTCTGGCCAGGGAGGATCAAAGCGTCCTCATCTTCCATGTGCTCGAACCAAAATTCGCGAATTTCTTCCAGAAGATCAGGAGTCAAGGTCTCCTTCAACTCTGAAACATTGCTCATCATGGCAAACCGTGCCGAATGGAAGAAGCGAGTCGGTAGTCGAGAAGGACAGGAAGCTCGCGTCTTGAATCTGTACGTCAGAGGCGTGGCACGGTTCACAGCTAGGGGCGAGAGATGTGGCTGGGCGCTAAGCGACCAAGTTGATAAATGGCGCGAGGAGAGTCTCGTCGTGCGTAGCTACTTTCAGCATTAATTGTTTGGTATAAGAGAATCAATATTGATATATGCTTACCGTGTTCGCGCGCACCAGGTGAGCCATAATGTTTTTTTCTCTGAGATTTGAGCTTTCCCCGGATTCATCACTTGGCTCCAGATCCGATCGCCCGGTTCAATCGATGAGTCAGCATCGGCATTTTCGGCCTCCAGGACAAAGTGCCGATGCCGATGGAACATAAGCAGGAATAAATGTCAATTATGAACAGCTAGCTTCATAATTGAAATCTATCAAAGCTCATTGAAGGAAGCTACAATAGTTCAAGAAGCTCTTGGTATCCTTACCCATTGATCACCTCATAGAAGTCAATATACTACGCGCATTCTGAAGATTACAGTGTCATTTCCTTCTGATCTAATGAACGAAAAAACCATCTAAATGCTAATCAATCCTAGATAATACTCGGCTATTATGAAAAGCTGAATATCTCTAGTCCGAATTTCCTATGCTTTGAATACCTAACCAACACCCATCTCTTTACCCAATTACCAAACCCATGTAAATGATCTCGGAAACCGTGGGTTCATCTAAAAAATAAGGATGTTAGGCTCAAGGAATACTGTACTAACAATAAACTCTTTCGTCATATGGCACATATACATGTACATGAGTACCTTCCTATATTCAACTCTAACCACTCAATGGTGAATGTACTCTATATTATAGTTGCACAACTTCCTGGCAACTTTATTACTTGACCCAAAAAGGTAAAGAAATCCGGCCAACTCTAAACTTTACTTGACATGTTTATCAAAAAAGATAAGCGATCGTGACCAACCAGTTGGTCTCCCCGCACTCGACCCCAATTTCCCATCTGCCCCCCTCAACTTTACGCATCCACCACCATGTCGGATCCAACTCTTCACAATCCCCCATCGAGCCATTCGAGCCATTCGCCATGCGACGAGTCAAAAAGTCCCGCAACGGCTGTGCCAGATGCAAAAGTAAACGGGTTAGTTCACTGTTGCTATTGCGGTTTGCCCCGGATCTGTCCGAAAACTGGAACTCCGCTTTCCTTTCCCTATCGGTAATCTATCTAACTGCCGGAAACAAATAGGTCAAGTGCGGAGAGGAAAAGCCTCATTGTAGCCGCTGTACCCGTCTAGGTGTTCGTTGCCCTGGGTATGTCCAGTCTTTACGCTGGATCACCAAACATGAACAACCCAGTCCGGGCGCTGTATCAGATGGGAGAGTCGAGAGCCCAGAGGCTTCGGTGAAGCCGCCTAGACAGCCATCGCATCAGGCAAATCATGCATTGCCGCTGGATGAGGCCAATGCTGGCCAGTCGCAGAATCTAGATTCGTCAGGTTTTGGACCCGATGCGCCAAATGGACTTTGTGATCATCTTTGGGATCTCCCTGGCAGTGGATCACTGCCTGAATTAACGGATCTATGCCCGCCGTCGCCGATGACGGCGTCGGTGTCGGCCTTTTCACAGCATCGTGACTCGGTATATGACTTTGGATCATCGGGGGATACTGCGGCTGATCTATCCCGTTTCCTGTCTTTGATAGGACCACCACAGGCCGAAGAGAACGGTGCCAGCGGAAGCGTCTATCGAGACTTTTCGCCCTCTACTATTGTCCGCAGTTATCCACCATCATCACAGGCACAACGATCCCCCGCGCGTGACTTTGCGACTATATCTCGATCTCTGAACAACCCTTCATGGACACTCATCGAGTACTACTTCAAAGAAGTCGCTGCCCTCTTTTCCAGCTATGACAGCCAAATGAACCCGTTCCGCACGACCGTCTCCCGCCTTTGGGGCTCATCACTAGCCATGTGCCGTACAATGCAAAGCATGGCCGCAGCAACGCTAGTCAATGACTTCCCACAATTCGGCCCAATGGGTCGGAAAATGCGTGACGAAGCCGTGGAAATAATCACCCGCGAGGCAGTCATGGATGACAAGGCACTATTGGCATTACTCATGCTAGGTCAAACAGCTAGTTGGCATGACCCCAAGGATCTGGGAATCTCTTTCTTCAATCTGCTTCGCAAACAGGTCAACTCTCTAGCCTCGTCATCGAATGGTCCAAACTTCGGATTCGTCAAGAACGTCAGCAATAACTATCGCTTCTTCGAAGAGGCCCTCATCTACTGGGAGATGCTTCTCTCCTTCGTGACGGACAATGAGTCAATGGTATTCTCAGATACGAGCACCTCATCAATGGGCGAAGCGCTCGTTCTCCAACGAATCCCCCATCCATGGACCGGCATCGCGCGAGACACCCAATTCACCGTCCACGAAGTCGGCCGTCTAGTCCGCCGCGAGCGTAAACGCATTCGCGCGAGACAATTCACCTCGCAAGATGAAATCGCCCGCGCACAGAGGGCTATTAAAAAGGCCCGGGAACTGGAAGAACGACTCCTCGGCCTGGCCCATCCATCCGAAGCCGAGATCATCAGTCCCGGCGATGAAGAAACACCCGTCTGGCATCTTCTCACTATGGCTGAAGTATACCGCTGCACGGGTCTGATGCAGTTGTACCGCGTCTTCCCAGATCTCTTGCGGAACCGCCTCCCAAATTCAGATGCACCACAGTACCCCGGTGCAGGATGTTCCAATGCCCGCGACCCGTTCTTCCCCATCGACCTGGACAGCATGAACATGTTCCCCGGATTCGCTGACGCAAATTCCAATTCCACTGCGAATAATAGCAACCCGCCAAATACTCAATACACACCTTCCTCCCCTCCGCAGAATACCTTCACATCGCCCCATTCCCAGTCACACTCTCAATCCCAATCTCAGCAACATCCCATATCCACCTCAGACCCCTCCAACCCAGATCTCTTCGATAAATGGCTCACCGAATTCGCCGTAACAACCCTCTCCCGCCTAAAAACCATCCCCATCGAATCCCGCACCCGCTGCCTCCAACCCTTTCTCCTCGTCGCTTCATGCAGCGAACTCCGTCTCCCAAAGCCATGCCCATCCACAGACCCTTCCTTCCCCGCCGGTATTGGTAGCGAGGCAGGCGGAAACGGGGATGAAGCTAGTACCGAACCGCCGAGTATCTCGATGGAAGCTATTGAAGTCTCGCGCACGAGGCGGTTCATTCTTGGTCGGCTTACGTCTTTTTTGCATGTGTTGCCGCCGAAGCCGATTAATGTTTGTGTTAGGCTTGTCAAGGAGGTTTGGAGGAGGATGGATGCGGGGCAGGTGGATACTTATTGGATTGATGTTATGATTGAGAAGGGGTGGGAGACGACGATGGGGTAGGATAGGACTGGGACTAGGACTAGGATTTGACAATGTCGAAACACTGTCATTGACTGGGATATCGTGGATTTGGAACACCTGAACTAAGTCTGGAGATCTGGGTCATGTCATGACCACTGCAAATACTGTATCTGATACTGCACATACGATTTACGAAATGCATCACGCTATAGTATGCGAAACACTATTCATACCAACAAGGAATCATATTATGTATTTGTATGGGATGTCCAAGCAGCCCCTAGCTATCCGTCGAACACACCTGCGCCAGACATGCTCATGCCAAAAGAGAACCCGAGACGGAAATGCAAAACGTAGAGTCCAAAGAAGTTGAAGAAGAATGAGAATGATAGAAAGCAGACCGTCAAAGACAGAGACACTCACACGTAGACGGGGCGTAGTCCAATAACGCTCAACTCTCGAACAGGGTCCAATAAGAAAGGGGGTGTATAATGCATAGGGTTGATAATGTGTACAGAGAATGAAACATGAATGGTAGAAAAAGAAGACGCGGAGGACTCATTAAGTCTCCAACTGGCCAGTGGAGTCCTGGGGGAGTTGAATATGATAGTGAAACCGGGGCCTCTGCAAATGCACAAGCCAATATCAAAAGGGCGTAAGCGATAGAAGTGATGGACGTGTAAAGTGACTACGCAAGATAAAAACCGCATCAATGCGTAGCTGTAGCCCGCTTCCAGAACTTCCATCCCTCGCGCTTCTCATGGTACCCAACACCCACAAGTTGCTCGATACCCTCGGGCCCATCGGCATTCTCGAATTTTTGCTGATCAATTTCCACGCCGCCCTCTTCATCAGAGCCATTGCGCAGCACTGCAGGCCATAGAACACCGACACCGTCGCCGCCAAGAGTAGTCTCGTACTTGGTAAAGCCTTCGGTATCAAGTTTCTGCTCGAGGTCACGAACAACCTCAGCCTTGGCGTCCGGTCGGAGGAGGGTAATAGCGCAGCCACCACCACCAGCACCAGTCAACTTAGTCCAGCCAATGTCGGCATAGTCGACAAGTTCACGAATACGTTCCAGGCGCGGGTGTGACACACCGAGAGAAACGAGGAAGCCATGGTTGATGCGGATCAAGGTACCAAAGTGCTCGAGGGTCTCTTCAGAGTCACCCACAAAGTCGGGGGTTTCGAGCAGACGCTGCGCCGAGCACGTCACATGGTCAATGGCATCGAGAATAGACTCGGTCACCACGGGATGAGCCTTCTTCAGCTCACCCACCTTGGCGACCTCGGTCAGGGTAGACCGCGACTGTCGCGTATCGACCAGAAGCAGGGGCAGTTCCGGGAAATTGGGGAGCGAGGTCACCGTCGGCGGCTTGGTGTAGTCTGAACGCTTGAAGATCACGGCCTTGCCGCCCGCGGCCACCGTGTTGTCCACTCCACTAGGATTTCCATGAATGCACATCTCGCCAACAAAGGCCCAGCGATTGATGCGCTCAATCTGGGTCTCGGCCTCCTCGCTCGGCTGATCCGGGTGAGGACCCGAGAGGGTGCGAATCTGAAGGAGGAGCGCGGCGCTGATACAGACGCACACACTGGCGCTGCTGCCCAGGCCGGCTCCCGTGGGGATGGTGGAGCGAAGGGTGTAGATGGCGCCTGGGCTTTGCGAAGAGCCCAACGAGAGGAAGAGGTAGAGGAAGGACGAGGCGGAACGGATATGGATTTTGCGCTGGTCTTCGGGGAGGTGCTTGGAGACGGCTCCGACGTGGGGTTGAATAGCCTCGACCAGCTCGGGGTCGAGCTCGGTGACGAGATCATAGTAGAACTTCTTCTTTGACGGCTGCTGGAACACATCCCAGGGGAGAGTATCAATATTCCAGGTATGGCTCAGCCCAATATCGCGGAAATTCAAGGTAACGGTGCGCTGGGATTTGGAGAGGGTCGTGACAAGGAGGTAGGAACGGAGGGAGATGGCAGCGGCCAAGGCAGCCTTGCCGTGCACCACGGCGTGTTCTCCAAACACAATGACTTTGCCAGGGGCAGAGACCATGAAGGCCGGGGCCATCGGCGAGGAAGCCTTGCGAGACATGTTGGGTCGTCGTGATTTCGTGCCGTTTTGAGTGTGGGAAGTGGACGAAACGGAGCTGCTGTCGGAAGAGTGGTCGAGAGAGTCTGGTTCCATGCCGTTGCCATTCACCCGGGAGCGGTCTGGCAGTCCGTTTTGTATATCGAAATGGGCGACCGGACGTCGCTGGTTATGATTATGACCGTTTGCGCCTCTCACGCTGCCATTAAGTCGACGCGCATTGGTACTGCTGGACATGGCAGGATTGAAGATTCAGGGGTGGGGGAGGAAAAAGGTGGAGGTGGAAATCCTGGGAGGAGAGGGGGGAGGGACTGGGAATGAACGGAAGGGGGAGGGGAAAGGTAGTAATTAACAGAGTCGCTATAGGGCAATGGACATGGTTTGGGCCAGAACAATGGCAATTGACAATAAGCAATAGTCTCTCTCAGTTGTTGTCCAGAGTGCTCGGATATACAGAGTAGCGTCGAGAACACGCGCCCACCATCACAGCCACGCTAGTCTGCTAAAGAACTCCAGAATTATACCCTGGTCCACTCGATTAGATCCAATCAGAGTCCCTAGAATCTCAATTGGTCATCAGCCCCGTTTCCTTCCATTTGTTTTCTCCAGCTAGAATATCTTGGAGCTGTGGTAAATGCTCATTTTCTTTCTGCCTATCGTGTGTGGCGCAGGCTTCGCTTAACTCCGGATTCAAGCGGACTATACGGAGTAGTGACGAACCATAGCTAGCTATTATTAAATACGTGTTCGATATTTCTTTATTTCTGTATGTATGAAGGACATAATTCTACAGTATAGTACATAGTATAGTAGTACACGCTTAACTCGGCACTTGTTCTTTGTTTTTGACTTTTTTGGCTCTCAGACATCTTCGGCTACCTGCACCATCCCCCTCCAACCTTACTACAGTAGTACTAGGGCTACTGCATGATGATTCATCCCCCCTGCTCCGCTGATCTCCGGGTGGTGGCGCTGACTTGCAGGAGCTGGAATGCGTTAGTAGCAGTACAGTAGATCAAACGTCACCAGAGATATGATAGGCATCTCTGCCTGATGTGCGGGGATTCGAGGTTTCAACCTAACCCAAAACATAGATCGGTAATAATGTGGCTGTGATGGAAATCGTGGGGAGCTGGAGATTGTGAATAACTCGCAGGCTCGCTTAGAGTTAGTGCCTGTTTCCCAAAATATATACTTCTCCCGATATACAGGTCCAGGTCGACGTATCAGGTTTGAGTTAATCAATTCGAATGTTGTACAACTGTACTCTTCATAAGAATAGAAATGTACATCCAAAATGATATCCACTGTAACAAAACCTAAGCTATGAAACAAAACTATGCACAATCATCATCTCATTCACAAGTTCATCGTCACAGTCATACTATTGCTGTGCACCAACAGACACGGCGGCAGACCCTGCCACAGCACTTCCAAATCACTCAAATACGACGCACAATCCTGCTCACTATGCGACGTACCATGTACCGGAGAAGGCAAGGTCGTGAAAATCACCGCCGTCTCGCTGCTATGCTGTACCATCAACTCGTTCAATATCAAATGCTGTGCCCGACTGGGCAGGTCATTGAATGCCAGCGGGACCGAAGCAGACCCGGGGAACCCTGATGCGGGTTGATTGGTCTGAGCGCTGGGAGAAGTCGGCGACACTGCAGACTGGCGCCGAGCGTAGATGGATTCGAGTTTTTGGGAGAATCGGGGAGGAGAGGCGTTGGCGGCGAACATTATTGATGGGCCGGCTCCTTCGTCGGTGTTTACTTTTGCTTCGGGGATGGGGGAGGAGCTGAACCGGTTGCTGGAGGCCGAGCGGCTGAGGGGTGGGCGGGGAGCTGGGGATTTGCTCTTTGGTGAAGCACTGTCGCCAGAGGCGATGATTGACGGTATGGGCTGGTGGATTGTTGGCGTGGGACCGACTGAGACACTTGATCGTGCTGGTGGGCGAGTAAACGGGTTTATTCCCGAGCCAGTTGAGCTACGGTCATCGCTCTTAGTACGACCACCGAGACCGACTCGCGAGGGGCCGGGGGAGATCTCGTTCCCTGGTTGACTGCTGGCCACGTCCTCGTCATCCTCTTCACGCTCGTCGTCTGCTTCGTCGATCTCGGGGTCGCTGATATAGGGTTCCAGGTCGCTCTCGTCGCTGCTGCTTTCGCTGGACAGATTGTTCCCGTCATAGTCGACAAACGCATCCAGCAAGCGGTGGGTCTGCATGCCCAGATTCACATTTCCCAAAGTCCTGAAGCTAGACACGGATCCCCTGCGTCGCTGGATTAACCTTCGTAAGCCCGTCACTCGTTGGTTCAAGATCTTGTTTCCACTCTCTTGGCTGGCTGGGCCTTGCCAGGTCGCGACTCGATCCAACCGGGGCAAGTCGTCCTTACCCTGGCCCTGTTCCGCGGAGCCCTGTGGGTTGTTGCGAGCTCGAAGAAGTCCTTGCCACCAGTCCTCATCTTTCAATACGGAGTGGACGGTGTCTTGAGCGACAGCCATGTCCGGTGAGGTATCGCCATTGACAATGATTCGATATGATTTGACATCGCCGCAGGCGAGCCAAAAGACCAGAACTTCAGCTTGGATGCGAAGCTTGTCAAGAAGAGCTTCCACTCGGCCTCTCTCATCGTCAACGTCAGTTTCATACTCGACAAACACAGCAACGCGTAATTTATAGGTTTTCTTCCACGAGGGGACGGTGTTTAAGATGCAACCCAGTTGCAAGATCAAGGTGTAGGTATCGAAATTGGTTGTCAGCACATTTTGCTTGCTCTCGCTGTCCGCGCCAATTTCCGCAGACATTTGAATTGGCCACAAGTCGATGTATTTTTTCGTATGACGCCCATGAGGATCAGGCAGCTCGAGATCTTCAAATCCTTTGGCGACAGCAACGTTGATACGAAGATTGAACAAGAGGTCCTCGAGAATAGTGACATAGCTTTGACAAGTCATTCCCTTGCTTGGGGCATCTTCGGCTCGGTCTTCATACTGCGAGCCGAAAAGAGAAGAACGACGTCTCGACTTCGAGGATTCCCGGCGGTGGTTGCCAACAGAGATGGTCTCTACCAACGATTGATTCTCACGGTATTGATCAATCACAACGATATTTGGTCGCATGCCTCCCAATCCAGAATTGAGGACAATATTCCGCACACCCCATTCTGCAGCCGGAGAAACGGCAACGTTGACAAAGGCTTTGATTTTAGAGTATTCGACCAACTTTGTCCAGACAGTCTGTTGTCGACGGGCCTCTGGAACCGCCGTCGAGAAGTCGTCCGTGACGAGAACATGGCCCAAAACGAATAAGGCTCCTTTCTTCAGCGAATTACAAAATGAGACCATTTTGTACTGACGGTCAAGGTCGCTGACAAAAAGCAGGATCTGCGGTCGCCAGAATTTGACATGCTCTTGCTTCAGGCGGAGCAAATATTTGCGTACTTGATGATAAATCAAGCTTTGACTGACATCACCCCAGGCTTTCGGGGGCGAAGAGTAATGAATTAGCAGGAAGAGCATGACGAGAATACCAACACAGCCCGTAGCATACAACCCGTCAACAAAGAACATGCTAATCCCGCTGACAAGCGTGCCAGCAGCTGCAGTCTGCCAATTGAAGTAGTGGAACGAGGGCCGGAAATTAGGAGCAGATCCAATCTTCAACAGGAAGCAGGCCAAGTTGGTGACCAAGAACGTCATCAAGTAAGTCATGGTCACGAATGAGGCAATTTGATTAATGTCAAACAGCATGGTGAGCTGTGAGAAGATGAACGTGACTATGATAGCGTAAATAGGCTCGTCGTTTTTCTTCGTGCCTTGACCGAAAAAGTTGACTCCTGGAAGGAGGCTATCACGGGCAATGGCCTGGAGGAGCTTGGCAGAGCCGATCACTCCCATAAGTGCGGAAAAGAAACAGGTCGCAAATTCTCCAACAAGGATGACAGTGTCGGAGTAGTTGACCTGCAGAGATATTAGGGACTGTTCTTCGAGTCGGCATAGCATGGGCTGCTTACGATCTGAATAACATTTACGTTATTATAGAAAGACTGTCGAGTGATAGAGGCCGCCATGGCCAAAATGACAAGCAAGTATGATACGAATGTCAGGGCGAGACCGGCAAGAGTTCCTTTCGGAATAGACTTGCTAGGATTCTTCAAGTCTCCCGACATACTCGCGCCTCTGTGTACGAGTTAGTTGTCTAATAATATCAACTGTGAACGGCAGTGTTCACTCACGCAAAGATACCACCAGTGGCGGGGAACAAAATGCCAAAAAGATCTTGGAAAGTCTCTCGCCCCTTCAATTGGCTGCCCGCAGCACCTTTTGTCAATTGAGGCGTGAGGTTCTCCTTTAAGGTCTGCCAACTAAGGCCGGTAAATACGACATTGTCCACTGGGGAATTAAACGGCTTCATCAGGATAGCAGATAGTGGAATGCTGAAGGTTGCAATGAGAAGCAGAACCAAAAGGCCGTTGCTGGCTCGAGCAAAAATCGAGCTTCCTGCCAAACAAATGGCTGTGCAGAGAACGAGAACCACAGTTCCCCAAAGGTACTGCCACCAAAAGCCCTCCTGAAGAAAATGACCCAGTGTACCCGACACGGTTCCAAAGTTTTGTGTGAAGCAGTCTACCAGGCCGACCGCGTTCATGCCAGTGTTGAAGACGAGTCCCAGGTAGAAAACCACTCCGATAGAGCCACCGAACTCGGGGCCCAGGGAGCGAGAAATGAGGTAGTATGCACCGCCGCCTCGGACAGTACCGTTTGTTGCAATGGCAGAGAGAGACATGGTAGTGACCAAGTTGATCAGATATGAAAGCGCAAGCAGTCCTATCATCGATTAGTTAGCCAGATGCGCGGTATTTAACCACATTCCATATCGGAGAATCACCTAGTATGCCCAGTAATCCAGCCTGGCCTAGGATGAATCCGAAACGAAGGAACATCAGAATACTCAAGACATTCAAACTCGTCGGCACGAACACGCCCGAGAATGTGCCGAGCTTCTTCGTCTCCTCAAACGAACGAGACCTATGCATGTGTTTGTCCTTTCTGTCTGCGCTGTTGTCTCGAAAGGGACCAGCCAACGTGGACAGTCCTTCCACTCCAGCGTCCTCTTGTCCTTGTCCATGGTCTTTCTTCTTATTCCACCATTCCGATATCCCGTGAAACGGGTTCTGTACCAAATGTCGACGGTGCTCTGCCGGCTCAGTCGAGGTCACTCCCTGGTGTCGGGACCAGAGAGTTGGCGGCCAGTGTAACAGTCCAGCTCTTTCTGCAGGGGCAGCACCCTCAGAATCGTTCGGATCAAGGCGTGCGACATCTTCTTCGGGGGTGCGAGTCGAGAAATTTGGGCGTCGGCGAGACATCGCGGGATCTCCTCCGTTGACCGTTAGAACCGAGGGGGCATGGGGACGGCAACCACACTGGCTCTCAATGACTGTATCGCAGTACTATGTTGCAGAACTTTGTAAGGAGGAACTGTAAATAGAAATCAAGCGCTCAATTAGAATGCGAAAAAGTGTATACGCCAGTCTATCGACACTCGCGAAGCAAGTGCACCACCTGCGTCACCTCGCGTCTCCAATAGAATTAATCGATTTCCGTTTGTTCCAGTGACAAGCGGAGATGACGTGGGGAAAAGGAGACAAACAGTGCAAACACACAACGTCAAGCGGTCCAATGTGGACACGCACTTCAGCCGCTGACTGCGACGCACTTAGCGCCCTTAGCGCTACTGAGACCAAGTTGAACGACGATCACACGGGTTCCTCACGTCTCCTTCGCCTGTTTCAGCCACATCCTGCCCCCCGTCGAAAGCTGCGCGGAGCTGCAACCTGACTACATGCACTTAGGAAATCGTTACGGATCTCCCATTGCATGCTCTTGCCCCTGACACCTTCTTGAGCACGGAATACCCCGAGACCCCGACCTCGACCACGCCAACGATGGCAGATAACGGTGAGGGCTCGTCATTGATCCCGCCCCGAGCAGTGCCAATTTCCACCTCGTCGGTTCGATCTTCGTCTCCTGCCCCGGAAAGCAGACAGGCATCGATCGCTCGTTTGGCCTCGCCAGTGCCTTCTGCATCCCTAGGGACCTCTCTCTCGTCGCGACAAGGTCTACCCACTGGCCGACCCATTAGCACCGCCGCCTCAAATGCCGACCAGAACTTCAGGGCCGTCGACAATATGGCTTCCCTGCCAGGGCCTGGCCAGTCGATGATCGCCTCCCAATTGCAAGAAAGTCTCGGTCGCTCGCCCCCGAGGTTTGGCACTGCTTCACGAATTGCGGGGTCTCCTTCGATCCCGCCGACGCTCGACAGTCGGCCCGTCGCCTCCCAGTACGGCTCCTTCGACACCCCCAACAATAACAACTATGGCCCGGATGGAAATGGAGCAGGTGCATATGAGGATCCAGAAGTCGTAAGGAGACATCTGGTCCTCCCGCAAAATGTCTCGGAGAATCGAGACACCGGCTCGGAGCTCGGAACTAGTCATGGCGATGAGGAATTCTCCAGTCTGCAACTGCAGGGTGGTGATATCACTCGTCAGGTCTACCGCTGGGCAGAGGATGCGGACAGCGGGCGGTTTGCTCGCAGCAAGAGTTTCAGCATCAGCCGACCCGCCCCCGAGGCCGAGACCGAAGATATCCATACAATCCAGGTGCCAGGTGGGTTCCGGAGAGACTTTCTGCGGAGAACTGCGGGGAGCCCGCACCGTGGAAGTGTGCATGGGTCAAACGCCGGCGCTGCACCTGCACAGCCTCAGCTTCCAACCTCGAGTTTCTTGGAGTTTTTGACGCTTTACGGCCACTTTGCTGGCGAGGAGCTGGAAGAAGATGACGAGGTTTTGGGACCTGATGAGTACTTTTCATCTGACGCCTGGGATGAACATGATGAAGCCAGAGAGTCGGGTGAGGATGCGGCGCTACTTCGAGGAGATGGTGCTGGTCGCAAAAAGCGCAAGCACAAGCAGCGTGCTCCCCCAGGAAATACTACCACCACTGGTGCCGTCATGCTACTGCTCAAGTCATTCGTGGGAACGGGAATCCTGTTCCTTCCCCGCGCATTCTTGAACGGTGGAATGCTGTTCAGTAGCCTGGTCCTTCTGGGTGTTTCGATTCTGAGCTACTACGCCTTCATCCTGCTGGTCAATACCCGCATGAGAATTGAGGGTTCTTTTGGTGACATTGGCGGGATCTTGTATGGAAAGCACATGAGACGCATCATTCTTGGGTCTATTGTGCTGAGTCAGTTGGGTTTCGTGTCTGCATACATTGTCTTCGTGTCACAGAACCTCCAGGCATTCGTGCTCGCCGTGAGCAAGTGCAAGAGCTTTATCGACATCAAGTACCTGGTGCTACTGCAGCTAGTCATCTTTCTGCCGCTCTCCCTGATTCGTGATATCGGCAAACTTGGCTTTACTGCACTCATCGCGGACGCCTTCATTCTCCTAGGATTGTTGTACATCTACTATTACGATGCTCGTACCTTGATTGGCAATGGTGGTATTTCAGATATCAAGGCCTTCAACCCGTCGACATGGTCGATGTTTATCGGCACAGCCATCTTCACCTACGAGGGTGTCGGTTTGATCATCCCCATCCAGGAGTCCATGAAGCAGCCGCGACGCTTCCCCGGTGTTCTGGCCGGTGTCATGGTCGTTATCACCTTGATCTTCCTGTCCGCAGGTGCTCTGAGCTATGCAGCCTACGGATCTGCCACCAAGACCGTCATCCTGCTCAACTTGCCCCAGGATGATAAGTTTGTCAATGTGGTCCAGCTCCTCTACTCGATCGCCATTCTGCTCAGCACACCGCTCCAACTTTTCCCCGCCATCCGTATCTTGGAGAACGAGTTGTTCACTCGCAGTGGCAAGTACAACCCTTACATCAAGTGGAAGAAGAACGCCTTCCGTTTCTTCTTGGTGTGTGTCTGTGCCTTTGTCGCCTGGGGCGGTGCCGCCGATCTGGACAAATTTGTCGCCCTGGTCGGCAGCTTCGCCTGTGTTCCGCTGATCTACGTGTACCCGGTAAGTTGTCTTGCTAAACCCTCTCCATTTCCATGCTAATCAATGGTCCTTTACAGCCCCTCCTGCATCTCCGGGCATGCGCCCAATCAAGACGCCAGGCGATCGCCGACATCACTCTCGCCGTTCTTGGAGTAATTTGTTGCATTTACACCACTGGGCTCACTCTCCAAAATTGGGTTGGCGCCGATGTCCCTGAAAGCCCTGGATACTGCGATTCGCAATAAGGTCCTGTTACAGGACTCCAGATGACATGACTGTTAATCATATTCCTTTCTTGTCTGGGCTCTTGTGGCTCTAGATTGTGGCATAGCATTTTGTTTTGGCCTTTCCTTGCACGCATGGTCGGGTAGAGAAGTACGAGTCGCGATATTTATGCGTCTTCCTTGATAAATTGCCTGAGTTTTTTTATTTTTTTTGGCTGGTTTTCTTTTCGCTTCCATTCTCTCTTTGGGTCCGGCGTTGACCCGTACTGTATACATAGCTTATAAGATATGTTCGTGGACTCTCGCTGGGTTGAATTCAACATTTCTGGGATATGATGTCGTCACCTGCAGTCGTCCAATGTGCGATTTAGTCTCGGTTTCCGATTCTATTTCGAAGTACAGGCAGTTCGATTTGATATAGAGTCTATGTACAGTGACTGGAATGAGCTTGCCGGAAGTAATACAGGCCGTTCCAGGAGCTCACTCCCGCCGAAAATGTCTCCTTCGTCCCCGTCTTCCCCCTAGCGCCATCATTCCCCCAATTTCTGCAAGTTTTGCTTACATACCTCTCTATATCTTTCGCCTCGTTCCAGATAGATCATCAAGACCAATCACCAGACCAAAAAGAAATTGTAGATGATAGGGATATAGAGATGCAAATGCTGCAAAACGAGGTACAAATGTTGAGAGGGACAGCCCCAATCCCGTAGGCTTTTTATGCCTGCGCGGCGACGGCGCCCTCCTTGGCCGCCTTCTCAGCTAGCTGAGCTTCCCGACCACCCCAGCTGTAGTTTCAAAGAAAAAATGGTTAGCACAAATTATTCCGTGAGTCATGAATGCAAAGCCAAAGCAGACAGTTGATTGAAGCTTTCACGGGGTCATAGGGGTGACGCACTTCCAGTATGACAGGTAACGGTAAGCCTGGGTCGTCTGGGCGCCAAAGTTGGTCAGATGGCAGGCGAAGAGGAGGTAGTTCTTGGGAGTGACGGCGAGGGAGTAGCGCATGAAGGTACAAGCGTAGATGACCAGGGCGCCGGTCATGGGGCCGGAGATACTGTGTAGCGGATAAGGTAAGCGTACGAATTCACCTGCAGGTCGACTTGGCGGGGAATTGATAGGATGGAGGTATGCTTTGCCGTGTTAGACGTACATTTCGGGGTCCTTCTGGGTGTCCATCACGGCCGCAATGGGGATACCGAAGTTGGAGACGGGGCCCCAGAAGTCTGCGAAGAAGCATTGTCAGCGAATCCAGTCATCAAACATATTTCAACCCCAATTTCGCATTATTTTCTTCCTTCTCATTTCATTGTACAGCCTCCTGAACTCCTCCTCTTTCTTCTTCGCATTATGAGCAACGCATAGCCGCAGGCCGATCTCGGTCCGGAAAGCGCGGCGGGAAACCTGGGAACGGCTTCAGGTTGAACGTACGGGTTGAGCAAACATAGTCCAGCACCTTGTTGGAGCGGATTTTAGCATTGATAGCCTTGATAGCAGCAGCCATGATGACGTTGCTGGAGGGAGAGACACGGGGAGAGAAAGTGAGGACTCGGTGAGGGTTGAGGTTGGGGTCTGCGGGTTGCGGAATTACCGCCTCTCAACCGGCGTTGACCGCAGGTCACGTGTGCAGTCAAGGGTATAGAAAGGTTCTTATCTCCGTTGGATCACTGAGATATGTGGAGAGAATCATTCAATATATAAGAGCTACTTTGAAATTTCGTTGATTTGTTTTATTTATCTGTCAACTATGACTTTGGACTGCTGCTGGTTGTTTTGGATTTTGTTGCTGACAGCCGATGGCGGAAGTGACCGTTGATCCAAGTATGTACCTTCATAGGCAACCTGTGAAATGACAAAAAATAGCTCTAGACAGACAAATAGAATGGCAGTTGTATAGCAGGTATTCAGTGACCATGAGCTAGGGCTTATGTACATGAATGGAGTAAGTTTGCTGTTCAATCAAGTCTATATTTCAAGTTTTTGTTGTGGTGAAAAAGTACCATGTCAACTGCAGCTCCTAATATATAGCAGGAAAGTGACACCTTGAAGGACATGTCCAATGTCAAAGGAGACACTTCAGAACCTTACTCAAGCAATCAAACTCCGAATGGAAATCGAATATGTATTGCATTGTTGCGACAAAGGGGTCGTAGGAGTGAGCTAGCATTATTTTGGGTACTAAATGCAAATCTGAAATGGGATTTTCGGCTTTTGTTTTCCTATCCTTGGAAACGACCTCCATCCGCATGCGCCGCAACGCCTTGCCCAGTGAAAAGGCTATCTAGCCTATTCACGAAATGTTTTCCTTGCGCTGGAAGTGCGGCCCGTACCTCGCCTGTTCTCGAACGGTTCATCAGCCCTTCGCCTTCCCACATAAAAACATATCACTGAAGTTATGAAGCATCAAAGATCCTTCTCAAAAACAATTCTATCCATTTAACGGCCTCCGAAGCCGGGAGGAGGGTAGCCACGTCCCTGGCCTGGGGGCTGGAAGCCAGGAGGAGGCTGGAAGGAGCCAGCTGCGAAGAGAAACGTTAGCTTTAAAAAGGTACAGATAGGAACTTGAGCGGTATAAGAGAGAAGACTTACGAGGAGCACCTTGGGGAGCGAAGCCAGGAGGAGGAGCGAAGCCAGCTAGAAAGAGGAGAAAGTCAGTATACGTGTAGACAACGCAATGTCCTCGATTGATTGAACTTACGAGGTCCACCAGGGGGTCCTCCGCGACCAGCGAAACCAGGAGGTGGCGCGCCGGGGAAACCACCAGGAGGGAAGCCTCCAAAGGCACCTGGAGGAGGCGGGCCACCAACACCAGCGGCAGGACCACCTAGTCCAACGGGCAGGCCACGACCAGCGGGCTTGCTGATACCGGGACCGGCAGCCAGAGTGGCAGCAGCACCGGCGGCGCCAGGACCGGTAGCACCGAGGCGCGCAGAGGGATCGGCAGGAGGAGGACCGTCCACGGAGCAAGAGACGACCTGGGTACCACGAACGATGGTCAGACCAAGAGTACGCTTCTCCTCAGCTTCAACCAGTGGGGCGTTGGAGGGACCGGCGGCGGGCTTTGACTTTCGCTTGGTGCGACGGAACTCTTCTGTGTCGGCGAGAACGAGGTTCATGTGCTATGAGAGATTCCAAAGTTAGTCAATGATCTCGAATGGTCACAAAATGCGACGCACCTTATCAAAAGCCAGCATCTGGCCGGTCATCTGTCGACCATCGTTCAGAGTAACCCTCATCCGGTAGTTGATCTAGAAGGCAAGTTAGACTAATTAACGGAGTGTGTTGCATCTTTTGACTAGAACTCACGAGGTTTTGCTAGAGGGCAGAGGTTAGCGACAGCCATTGACCACCCTACTCGGGGAATTGCACAGAGAATCGGGGAGAGACTTACCATCTTGCCCTGCTTATTGGCGGCCATGGTGGGCAAGGGGGGAGCGCGCACGAATGCGACTTGAGAGATCCAAAAAGAATTAGAAAGACAGCAAGGATGCTCTCTTCACGTTGTAGGGATCTAGCACGACGCGGGATCCTTGAGGTCAAGCTTAGCTCTTGGATGCCAGGCTCAATTCTGGAGATTGGGTGAGTCAGCAGAAATGACTCACGTGACCATATCGAAGTCTGGTGGAGAAAATGCATTTGCTGACATAATTGCCAAGCCCTGCGAGCCCTCTCGCTTCCCAATTCCCGTGACTCGGCTCCCGTGACCGCCGCCCACACAAACCGCTTTTGTGCTTTTCGAAGATTCTCTCCATCTCGTCGCCAACCCATATCCCACGCCACACCAGTCGCCATGGTATGTTACCACCACAACCACCACAATCCCTTCTATTCCATCGCATCAACGCCAATTCTAACGAAATATGTAGTCGGACGCCAAGGACAAGACCGCCAACCCCATGCGCGAGCTGCGCATCCAGAAGCTCGTGCTCAACATCTCCGTCGGCGAGTCTGGTGATAGACTTACCCGTGCCGCCAAGGTGCTCGAGCAGCTTTCCGGTCAGACTCCCGTCTACTCCAAGGCCCGTTACACCGTCCGTACCTTCGGTATCCGTCGTAACGAGAAGATCGCCGTCCACGTTACCGTCCGTGGCCCCAAGGCCGAGGAGATCCTCGAGCGTGGCCTCAAGGTCAAGGAGTACGAGCTCCGCAAGCGCAACTTCTCCGAGACCGGTAACTTCGGTTTCGGTATCTCCGAGCACATCGATCTGGGTATCAAGTACGACCCCGGCATTGGTATCTACGGCATGGACTTCTTCTGCTGCATGTGAGTGCTTTCAACAACCGGACGAAATTAGCCTCCGTCTCGCTCGTCTCCTACGAGTATAACTCGCAAAAAGGAGCAACACCACTGACAGATATATCTCTACTAGGACCCGCCCCGGTGAGCGTGTTGCCAAGCGCCGCCGCGCGAAGGCCTCCATCGGTTCCGGCCACAAGATCCACCAGACCGAGACCATGAAGTGGTTCAAGAACCGCTTCGACGGTATCATCCGGTAAACGTCCAACAAAGATGTGAGGAAGCGGGGAAGGCCGGTTGGAAACTTGTGATTTACGATGCATCGAAGGGAGCCAAAAAATTTTCTCCGCCCGAAACAAAAAGAAACAAAAATCGGCCCAAATGACAGACCCTCCGTGTCGAGACAACCGGCCGGGCTCCTGATCTTTGCGTCGGGTATGGTGTTCTGAAACTCTTTTTTATTCTCTCACGGCAACCAGGATTAGGCGTGTTAGAGACATGAATTTACTACCACCTTGCAAAATTTTGCGTTTCCCCTCTTTTCACAATGAAGGCTGCACGAAAGGTGTTGTTCTCCGCATAACCATTGCTGAAAAGACTGGCTGGCATTGGACTTGACTGTCTTGAATGTCATGCCATGACTCGCTTGGCTTGGTCGAAATGATCTTGCCAAAGAGTCGGGTTTCTATGTCTCCTCGATATGACTTGCAAGGTCATCTTCGACGAGGTCAAGAGTACCCACCTGGCCTATCTCTCTTGTCTGTTCCTGTCTACACCTGGTGCCGCTCTTCTGCGTAGTCGTAGATCTCGTAGTCTGTCGTCGTAGATGGTTCGTCATCTTCTTGACCATCACCATTGGCTCTTAGGACCTCCAATCGGCCCAATGAGTTTCTCTCGCCATGCCCAATATGTCTGGACTTCCTCCTGGATTTCTATCATCAACATGCCCCGTCGAATTCGACGCTCCCTCGTTATCCTGCGAATACAGCCTGCTCCATTTGCATGGTTCTTTGCAGCATGATCCTTGAATCCATGTCCACCAATTGAACTGCATAGGGCAGCTCGGCAAAAGTCATTTTCATCTACGATAATGCAGGCATATCAGCCACTCTTGTTCCCTCTACTCAACGGAGTCTGCGTAGATAACGCAAATGGCTGTGATCAGAATGGGTAGGTGGTATCATAACACCGGACTTGGACAATCCTTGTCGAGGGTGAGATGCTAGGATGAAATATGTCTCTGTAAGTATGGGGGCATACTGTATCGTCCCACGGCAGGGCCTGGTCTACTGTTTCGAAATTGACACAAATTTACAAAGTATCACCAACATCCTTTCAGATGTGATTATATCCAAGTTTACTTCTATTCAGTATTTGAGCAGTGATAAAAATAAAAACAAATCCTCACATTGTTTAATCCTAACAATTGTGTGATCCCTCGGCCCCCAGATGTAGACTCCGACACCGAGTCCAGCGGGGCTTCTCCCCGCAATCCGCCGTCCATCTCCAACTCCCAAATAGCCGATCCGAATCCGCTCGTCTGGCGTACCCAATCGGGGTGGTCCAGTTGGAGGTTTATCTCGGCTACCGTTATCTTTGGTTGGGGGTCTGCGGAATGCAGTCCGACTACTCCGAGTATTAAACTGAGATAAAAGCACCTGAGTGCGAGGGTACTGTTATACTTTTCACTTGCTAACAGGTACGGGGATCAGGAACCAACATTCAGGAACAAGCATCCAGACTAATCACGTCCATTGGTCTAGTATAAGCTTAATAGCTACTCTGCCCTCTTCTCTCTCCTCCCCACCATCCCAATGGAAACAACAAACCGTCCACATCTCCATTCCCTCGCCCACCGCGGCACCATCCAAGGCCTCACCATCACCGCCACCCAATCCTCCACCGATCTCTGCCATTACTTCGGCGGCGTCCGCTATGCTCTCCCCCCTCTACAGCGCTGGCGCCGTGCCCGCCGTCTCCCATCCACATTCACCTACGGCAGCAAAGATGCACCGGGTCGATGTGATACCGGGGCTGGGCTGTGTCCGCAACCTGGGTTTCTGAGTCTTTCGCCGATGAATGAGGATGCTTGGACGGAAGATTGTTTCCAGTGTAATGTTTGGGTGCCTATGGGGGAGGCGCCGAAGGGGGGATGGCCTGTTTTTATGTTTATTCGTGAGTGGATTCGTCACTTTCCTCTTCTGGTTTGGAGAAGAAGAGTTGAAGGCTAATGTCCCGGCTGTAGATGGAGGCTGGTTGCAGTTCGGCTCACCCAATGGCTTCAATGCAGCGGCCTTGCTGGGCGAGACGGATTTCAAGTGTGTGATTGTCATGCCGGCGTACCGGGTCAATCTATTCGGTTTCTTGTACTCGGCAGAGTTGGAGCAGGATGCTGCGGCTGTTGGAGAGACGGTGGGAAACCACGGGTTCTGGGATCAGCGATTGGCGATGGAGTGGACCAAGGAGAATGTGCATTTGTTCGGTGGTAATCCAGATAATATCACAATCTCGGGGTATTCTGCTGGTGAGTGCAAAGGCCGTTAAGGAGAAAGACTTCCGATACACTAACCACCTTCGCAGGTGCAAACTCCGTCTTCCATCAATTAGCCTACGACCTCCGTCAACCGGACGACAAGGCCATCGTCCGCCAGGCCTGCATCTTCTCCAATTCCCCAGCAGTCCAACCCAAAAGACCAGCCGAGACACAAATCCAATTCGACCAGCTCCTCGCCGCACTCAACATCCCCTTAACCCTCTCCGCAAACGAGAAACTCGCTCGTCTCCGCGCCCTCCCACCCAAACAACTCCTCGACGCAGTCCAAACCATCGAAGTCCACCAATTCCGCCCAACAACCGACAACGGCTTCATCCTACCCAATCTCTTCACATCCCTGGATAACGGCGACTTTGCCCGCAAACTACTCGCCCGCAATGTCCGGCTCATCCTCGGCGAATGCGCAGACGAACACTTCCTCTACAGCGTCTGGTTCCCTCCAAAAGCGAATACCCTGGACGCACTGCGCACAAGACTCATCGCTGATTATCCTGAGTGTGCTGTCGACGCTCTTATTTCTTTGCACTACCCTAGAAACCAACTCCCACCGGGGTGTCAGAATTGGACACCCGATGCATGGGGCCGAATCTACGCTGATATGCAGGTGCACCATATGCAGCGTGGCCTGATCCACGCATTGACGGATAACACGGCCGGAGTCGATGCGTCGCGGTTGATCTACCGGTATAGAATTGAGTTCCGGGCAAAGTGTATTGAAAAGGGGATTCCGTTGGAGTGGGGTGTGACGCACTCGTCGGATTATCCGTTGTGGTTCTGGGGTAATGGGGATGTGTTGACCACTGCGGAGAAGAAGTGTACGGAGGAGGCGTTTATTGGGCCGTTGAGTCGGTTTGTCAAAGGCGATAGAGAAGTAAAGGGGGTGGATGGGTTTGGATGGGGGACGAGTGGAAAGGGGGTTAGGGCGATGAAGGCTGATGGGGAGGTGGAGATTCGGGGGGATGATGCGTTGTGGGAGGAGGGTGTGAAGGTGTGGAAGGCATTGAGGGATGTTGGTGAGAAGGCGAAGTTGTGAGGATGATGCAGTTTGGTTGTTCTGAGAGCTTTCTCTAAGTGATGATTCAATATGGCTTATAGATGGTTGATAGTAGGTGAATCTGGATATAGTGAGACTATAGTAGTATCATATTGTACTACTACTATAGTAACGTATCCATATGTTCCTAATGCATCAATCCACCATTGATCGACCGATTCCGATCGGTTAACCTTGATCAGATTGATCTTTTAATCGCTGGTTCTTCACCTGTTCTTCATCACTGTGATAATCCTCGATCGACAAACAAGTGGGTCCTAAGAAGGTACAGAGTACATGCTGCTGATGTGGATTCGTACGAGTATTACTATGTAGTAGATCATCTGCAACAAGTATTCAGTACCTGCAGCTCTGATTCGTCCTTAAGCTTTCCCCGCATTCTCTCTTACGTCAAACTGCAACATTCGAAAGCTGTAACCACTCTTACGCCCTCAGCTTCATGGGAGATATGTGCGAAGGTTCGGGGAATTAATAATCTCTGTATAGCTGCAATAGCTTGATAAAGAGTATCATCGTCAAATCCGTCAATCAGCTTAATTCATCAGCTTAGTAGGTCTGTGTCTAATCAGTAGAGTATATCCGCACTTCCACCATGTATCCCAATTACCAATCACCATCCATGTCGGTGCTCGAATGGAGTAATCCAATCAGCAGACCAAAGTCCGTGGGGAAAGCTTTAGTGGACTCGTTGAACAAGCACCACAATTAACACACGCGACATTACTGTAACGGGTTCCTTTTTAAGGACAGCCTTTCCCCTCTTTTCTCAATTTGCCTTTTTCTCCCCTCCCTCAGATATCACCACCACATACACTTCAATCCACAACTGTTCGATACATTAATCAAGTAGCAAGGTACGTATTAACGTTACCCAGACCGATCCTGTCATATCTTCCCTCCGTTACTCCTCCTTCTCTATACACAATCCCCCCATCCACGGATCGCACACCTGCATTCCGCCCTTCCTTCAATGACGTCTTTGACTCAACCCATCTCGATCCATCTTCATTTCTCTATAAGAGAGTTTATTTGAACCATCTACCCAGCATCAAGTTTCTTCTATTCATCGTCATCAATCTACATATCAATTTATTCGAAACTACCGCATATATCATCCACTAATTCATCTATATCAAGACCATCCTGTCATATATTCTCTAAACAACTTCATCATCTGTCCACCCATCATGACCGACAAGATCCCAGACAACATCAAGCGCCACTGGCACGGCAACGCTGGCGATCGCCACGAACACCTCAACGTCTGGACACACGGCGGCTCCAAGGGTCCCGCCAGCCGCGCAGCCTGGGCCTTGACCCCGGAAATGATGGCTGCCGATGCAAACCGTCGAGTACGTTCTACCCTAACACCCAACACCTAAAATCACCCTCTATACCAGCCCCATTCCATTCCATATGACTCCATCTAACAAACCACCTCATTCCAGGGCTCCGCCGGCTCCGCCTCCTCACCCAACAGCGACAACTCCCCCACAACCCCGTCTATCAACGACCGTCGCCGCTCAAGCGCAGGTTCCGGCTCGGGCCTGTTCTCGGGTCTGAATACGCAGAAGCGTGAGTCTGCGGATGCGAATATGACAGCGCGCAGGGCGAGTTGGAATGAGCAGCGGGAGCAGGGGGGTTCTTTTCGAAGTTGTGGGAGGGGTATACTAGGGGGAAGTAATCGTATATTGGAAAGTAAATTGGATGGAACTTGGGAGGAATTGGAAGTATATGATTGATTGGCTATAGGGTTGTGTTGGTTAGTAGGATGGATGGATCTGATTGTATAATGATCTTGGTTGTTTGTGTTAAGTTATGATTTTTGGGTTTGGTATTGTTGTATTCGGGGTGATTGCTTGATTTACTCTTTTTTATATGAAAATAAATGAATATTGTTATCGATTGTTTCTATTGCTGGTTAGACTCGAGCTTATTGTAGATGATCTGGTGCAGTCGGGACCCCCGATCTTCGTAGTTAATGAAGGAGATAGATTGGATCCGAATGGGCTGGAAATCGTGGGAAAGTATATACAGTTGGGCATACTACCCCCAAAAGGAGCAAGTCATTTAGACATTGGTTATCTAGGACTTGGTTCATGGAGGAACCGTTGGGACCATGTTACTTATGAGCTTACCATCTCAAGATACTACAACAGTCCATCTACATCATCATACCACACACCCAACAAAGATACAAGTTAAGTCCGAAAAAAAAGCGAAGATAGAAAAAGAACCATTCATCATTTCAATAAGAAACAACCAAAATAAGAAAAGGAATACCAAATCAAATCCAAACAAATCGAGTTGGGACCAAAGTAACCAACCAACGCTAGAAGCTATCGTTCACATCACATCACATCACGTCTTTGCGCGTGTTTAGTCGTGCACATCTTATACACAATAAGAGATGGGGAAAAAAAAAGAAGATTCAAGGAACATCCAATCCAAAGCCACACACTTTTCTACCCGTCTTAAACCCAGAAGCTAAAAAAGGATTTCAACCGCTTTAAGCCTTGGTAATCCGGCAGATAAGATCCTGGCCATCAACGGAGTCACCCTCCTTGACGAGCAGGCCAGAGACCTTACCACTGTGGGGAGCGGAGATGACCATTTCCTGGGATAAAAGTTAGCAACTGTATTAGACTAAAGTAGAAAGAGGATCTGCTTACCATCTTCATGGCGCTCAGCACCGCAATAGGATCACCCTTCTTCACATCGTGGCCGTCGCGCACGCGAATCTCAACCACGACACCGGACATGGGGGCACCGACCTGGCTGCTGTCGCCAGCGTCGGCCTTGGGACGAGCAATGTTGTCCACAGAGGCCTTGTTGTCATCAACCGAGACCTGGCGGACTTCACCGTTGACCTCGTAGAAGACCTCACGCTGACCGGTCTGCTCGGACAAGGGTCCGATAGCCAGCAGCTTAAGGATAAGGACCTTACCCTTCTCGAGCTCGACGTGGAACTCCTCGCCGATCTCGGGACGGGCCAGGAAGTAGCGAGTAGGCAGGACGGACAGATCACCGAACTTCTGCACGAACTTGCGGTAGTCCTCGAAGACCTTGGGGTACATGGCGTACGAGGCGACATCGCACTCGGTCGCGGCACCGAATTTCTCGCGGATCTGGTTCTTGATGCCGGCCAGGTCCAGAGGCTCCAGGTACAGACCGGGACGCTTGTCGAGCTTGCGGCGGTCACGCAGAGCGCGGGAGCGCAGGGGCTCGGGGAAGCCACCGAAGGGCTGACCCATCAGACCCTCTAGGAACTCCAGGACGGAGCCGGGGAAGTCGAGCTCAGCAGCGCGCTCAACAACGTCCTCCGCAGACAGCTTGTTGGAGACCATGAACTGGGCCAGATCGCCAACCACCTTGGAGGTAGGGGTGACCTTGACAATGTCGCCGAGGAGGTCGTTGGCCGCCTCGTAGGCCTTCTTGGTCTCGGCCCACTGCTGACCCAGACCCAGCTGGCTGGCCTGGAAGATCAGGTTGGTCAGCTGACCACCGGGGATCTCGTGCTCGTAAACCTCGGGGTCGGGGCCGGTGAGACCAGCCTCGAAGGGAGAGTAGAGCAGGCGTAGCTGAGCCCAGTAGGTGTCGAGAGCGCGGACCTGAGCAATGTCGAGCTGGGGGTCCTGCTCGGTGCCAGCAAGAGAGGCCAGGAGGGCACCGATGCTGGGCTGAGAGGTCATACCGGACAGGGAGTCGGTAGCGGCATCGACGGCGTCAGCGCCAGCCTGGGCGCAGGCAATCATCGAGGCAACACCGGTACCGGCAGAGTCGTGGGTGTGAACGTGGATGGGGAGATCGGGGTAACGCTCACGGAGAGCGCCGATCAGGATGCGGGCAGCCTGGGGCTTCAGGACACCGGCCATATCCTTGATACCCAGGACGTGGGTGCCGAGAGAGACAATCTTCTCAGCGAGAGCAAGGTAGTACTCCAGGTTGTACTTCTTGGTGGGGTTCAACATGTCACCACTGTAGCAGATGGTAGCCTCGACCACACCGCCGGCCTGCTGGACGGCCTTGATACCGACCTCGAGCTGGTCGACGTCGTTGAGGGCATCGAAGACACGGAAGATGTCAACACCGTACTTCTTGGCCTGCTTACAGAAGTGGTAGATGGCGTTGTCGGGAAGGGAAGAGTAAGCAACACCGTTAGCACCGCGCAGCAGCATCTGGAAGGGAATGTTGGGAACGGCCTTGCGGAGCTTGCGCAGACGGTCCCAGGGGTCCTCGTAGAGGAAGCGCATGGCGACATCGAAAGTGGCGCCACCCCAGCACTCCAAACTGTAGGCGTTTTGCAGAGCGTAGCTGGTCTCGTGGGCAATGTTGAGCATATCGATGGTACGCACACGGGTGGCGAGCAGCGACTGGTGGGCATCACGCCAGGTGGTGTCCATGAGCAAGCAGCCCTTGTTGGCACGCACAGCCTTGGCGAAAGCAGCCGGGCCTTCGCTGTCAAGGATCTGCTTCCAACCCTTCTGGCAGGGGACGGAGACGTCGATGGGAGCGCCAGAGGCGTCCTTGAGGATGGGCCTGATGATCTCGCCCTTGAACTTGGGCTCGCCGATCTGACCCTTGATGCTGCTGCCGTTGACAGCGACATCACCGAGGTAAGCCAGCAGCTTCTGGGCACGGTTCTGAGAGCCGACCAGAGCGAACAGCTCGGGGGTGTCATCGATGAAAGTGGTCCAGCAAGTGCCATCGATGAAGGTAGGGTGACTCAGGAGAGAAGCCAGGAAGGGAATGTTGGTCTTTACACCACGGATACGGAACTCGACCAGGGCACGCAGCACCTTGCGGCGAGCAATCTCGTAGGTGGAACCACGGCAGGTACACTTGACCAGCATGGAGTCGTAGTGAGGAGTGATGACGGCACCGGCGAAACCGTTACCACCGTCGAGACGGACACCGTTACCACCAGCAGAGCGGTAGACCTCGATCTTACCGGTGTCGGGGGAGAAGCCCTTGGCGGGGTCCTCGGTAGTGATACGGCACTGAATGGCGAAACCGCGGGTAGAGATGCGGTCCTGGGTCAGACCCAGCTGCTCGAGGGTAGCGCCGGCGGCGATCTGAATCTGGGCAGCGACGATATCGATACCAGTGATCTCCTCGGTGATGGTGTGCTCGACCTGGATACGAGGGTTGATCTCAATGAAGTAGTAGCGGTTCTGCTGGTCCACCAGGAACTCGGCAGTACCAGCGTTGCGGTACTTGACAGACCTGGCGAGCTTCACAGCATCGGCCAGAATCTTGTCGCGGACATCGATGGGCAGGTCCTTGGCGGGGGCAATCTCAACGACCTTCTGGTGACGACGCTGGACGGAGCAGTCACGCTCGAACAGGTGGACCACGTTGCCCTGGTTATCACCGAGCAGCTGGACCTCAATGTGCTTGGGTTTGTCAAGGAAGCGCTCGACAAAGACGGTGCCGTTACCAAAGGCGGAGCGGGCCTCGGAAGTGGCACGCTCGAAGGAGTCGCGCAGGTCAGCCTGCTCGCGGACGACACGCATACCACGGCCACCACCACCGAAGGCGGCCTTGATGATAATGGGGAAGCCATAGGCGTCGGTGAAGGACTTGACCTCCTCGTAGCGCTCGACGGGGCCTTCGGTACCGGGAACGACGGGGACACCGCACTTGATAGCCAGGCGACGGGCAGAGACCTTGTCACCGAGGGCATCGATAGTGTCGGGGGTCGGGCCCACGAAAACAATGCCGGCCTTTTCGACATTTCGGGCAAACTCGGCATTCTCCGACAAGAAGCCGTAGCCAGGGTGGATCAGGTGCACGCCGTGCTCCACGGCGATCTTAATGATCTCATCACCGGCCAAGTAGGCACCCACGGGGGTGTACTGACCGCGCTTACCGATCATGTAAGCCTCGTCGGCCTTTTGACGGTGCATACCCAGGCGGTCCTCATGGGAGAAGACGGCAACGGTCTGCAGGGACAGCTCGTGGGCGGTACGGAAGATACGGATGGGGATTTCACCACGGTTAGCCACCAGGATCTTCTGGAAGTGCATAATGGTGGAGTTGGCGCGGAGACGACGGTGCACAGAATCCTGGTGGTGCTCCTGGTGGCCCTCGATGAACTCGGAGTCATCGATGGCCTCCTCGGGCTGGCGGTGCGGGGCAGCCATGATGTATGAAGGGGGGAGGGGCGGGATAAGGTTAGAGAGAAGGGATTCAGGGAAGCTGGAAGATGGGAGAAAGAAGAACAGGTCAATTATTGCTTCCACGTCTTGGAGAAGCCAATTGAGGGGAAATTGGACGGAAAACGACGATAGTTTTGCGCCGGGGAAGTGACTCACGGTTCACGCAGTTGTTGGGGCAGGAGAGAAGCTCCGGATAGAAGACCCCAAGGCCGATTTCGGCAGAACACAGCGCAATCACTCGCACTGGCAAGGGTCAGAAATAAGGACAAGACCTCCCACGGTAGACGAAGAAGAAGGAATTGAAGAAGGGTATTTGAGGAAGGGGAAGAATTTCAAATAAGAAAAATAAAAAAGAGGAGGAAAGGGAAAGGTTAAATGGGATGAGGGAAGGGAGGGGCAAGATAAGTAGTTCCTAGAGTCACGGGTCCAACACTAGCAATACTAGTAACTACTGTAGAGTAATAACCGTAGTCACTATTCTACTGATACCCACAGCCCAGCCATTTCCCGGGGTTGACTCCATCGATGAGGTAACACGTACTGCCGAGAGGTAAATCATGGGAAAATCACTTACCGCCTGCGCAATCGGGTCCCTTGCCAAGTCACGTTCCCAGCTCTGGTTGTCCGTCAGTCATGGTCAACTTCTCCAAGAGGTTCACCGGTACACCGGACCTTGTCACTTGCAAACGCTTAGGGGATTTTCTTACTGGATTCTATTTGCTTTTCTTTTCCTTTTTGTCTCTCAATCTTGACTGTATGTAGGTCCCTCCGGCGGGGCGGGGACATTTTATGTGCCTATTATTTTATTTTCCTTTCTCTTGGTTACGGCTACATGCGTCTGTCTGCTCTGGCGAGGTCGGCGACGAGATCCTCCGATGAGATCATCCATCAGGACCCGTGATAACCAGCGATTCGCCATGATTTCCCTTCTGATACTCATTCCTCCACTGATTCAGTCTCATATCCTAGTACTATTACTAGATATCGGGTGGATTAGGCCCGTCCATCAACCTCGGGTCCTCGGACATGGTATGAAACTCCCCATGGTTTACTTTTTACATTTTATTTTTAATAGAAATAATAAAAATAAAATTCGACGAAGATCGTTCCAGCCCTAGCGCCTTTCCAGATCGCCTACTCGCCCGCTTTCCCCCCCCTCTCCTCCTCTGCCCCTCTGCCCCTCTGCTTCTTTTTTCCTCTATGCGACGGATATTGACGGGAAACTTTTCAGAACCTGGAGTGGTCCGGGGGAGACTCGGAGAACTCTCGACTTGACGAACCCCACTGAAGGGCCAATCACAGGGCCTGAGGTGCCCATTTTCTTCCAGTTTCTTAACTTCTTCCACGTTCACCTCGGGGAAAGTCATTCCGAATCTTCATCTAGGCCCTCCTCCTCCTCCCCCGTTTCCCATCTTGGTTCCTGGGACCTTGGTGACCTTCTCCGATCAATTTACGTTTGACTCATGAATTCAATGGACAATGGACATGAGGGGGGAAGAAAACGGGACTATGATCTGCTCTGCATAGTCCCTGTCCCTCCAGCCTCTCTCTCCCTCTCTCTCCCTCTCCCCACGAGGGGAAGTTCTTGCCCCCTCTAGGCTGACGGTCCCGCGAAATTTGTAAATTTGTGTCGGGTCATGCGTGCTCATTCTCTAGAGGAAAGGATCTCCTGTCTTCTTTTCCGATTCCGCTGGAATTGGTTCCTGGATTTTCTCTTCGAGAATCTGGATGCTCATCGGTGCCGCCTTCTGACCCTTGCTTTGCTCATTTACTGTAGGACTAGTAACTGTAGTTCAACCCCCCTCCTCCCTCCTCTTCCACTTGGCGCTACGGGTGATCTCCCGTCGGAGTATGACAGCCTCCATGGACTATAGATGCCAAGGTCCAAGCAATAATAGTCATGGAAATAGTGTGTAGTAAAGTCCATGGCTTTCTCTAGTCTTTCTATTGCTCGTCGTGCCCACGAACACTGCGGTTCTCCCTGTATGATCTGGACAGGGGGGTAGCAATTGTGGAATGTGCAGGAATCACCCAAGCAGCCAAGGGACCAGCCAAGCGCCGCGGCATACCGAGGTGCAATTAGCAATAATCGCCAATTCGATGTTCTCACAAAATACGGAGTACTTACTAGTATTACAGTGCAGTGCTAGTTTGACTACATATCCCTAGGCGCACAAAACTATTGAAACGCCCCCAGACCGACAATGCCAAGGTCCTGCCACATAGCAACGCATTCTCCAGCTGCCGACCGCAGAAGTATGCGAAATGCGATTCACATTTAAGCATAGTCAGTTGAGAAAACTGCTGTCTCACTTTCTTCAAGCCCTACACCGATAACAAGCTCCTACTGTACAATGTACATACTACATACAATGTACTTGGCGTAATCCCCAACCAATCCAAACCCCCCAAACCCAAACCCCCAAACCCTCACGTCCTGCACGATAAGCAATCCCCCGCGGCCAATTACTCTTCTCCTAATGAGATGATTCTAATCAATCGCCCATTTCCTCCCGGTGTAGGGTGCTTATCTCCCCCTCCGTAACCGCCCGCCGACGTCATTCCTCCCCCAGAGCGGCCCAGCTGGAGATCAGTTGGCTTGCACGTTCTGGAACCTGTTTTTTGTATGGAGTATACACTCTTTACTCCAGACTGTCACTATCACTTGGCTTCTGCAATTATTAGAGAATTAACTTACCATACTACTGCAGTAGGTCGCATTTAAGGATTCTAGAGTATTTTACTATTCACAATCTACCGAGTACAATCTCCCCACACATTCTCTCTACCAGTAACCCCCTCTCCCAAATATTCAAGATTTCATTATTGTAAACACGTCTCTCCTGTCCAGTCTCCGCGTCTAGCCATCCTTCATTGCTTCTTCTTCTTCTTCTTCTTCTTCTTCTCCTCCTCCCCAGCCTAACGGAATAATTCACAGCCCTAAGTCCAATAATTCTTCCGTTCCCGCCCACACTCCACAATCACGTCTACGCATCTAGAACCTAGTCCCTACGCGTCCCTCGACAGGGTAAAAGTCTTGCCCGCTGTAATCCCTCCCTCACCGAGTTCCATCCAGCCGGAGGCCGAGTTTAGGCCATTGTCTGGGAGTCTCAGGATCTATTACGGGACGCTTTACCCCGTACTTCGGAGTCTGTGGCTCCGTACAAAAACTACATCCTAAGAGCCGATCCACGGCGTACCGAGTCCAATGGATCCCGTGACTAGCACAAGTCTTGGCCATCAGAGCTATGACCAGGCCGCAACCCCCAAGACATCCATCCATCCCTGCCTAGGCTCTAGAGTCAGTCACCCAGAAAGCAAACAACACACCTCCTCCATTAAGCCAAGAAACCCATCAGTTTCAAAGATTCCAAATGATCACCATCATCCGCCCCGCCAAGCCCAGTCTCAACCCGGAGGAAAGGAAGGGAGGAAACCGCCAAGATATATATTGTGCAATGTGCAACGTAGCGCCGGTGGCGGAGTTTCAAGCTACTGTAGTCAGCCAGCATCTATATTGCAACTGCATGGCTGGGCTCTGCAGATGATCTGCACGGTCTTGCAGATAGCTGGACCTATCTGAGTACTGTAAGACTGATCGGGAATGCATTGTATGGTTACGGCGTCGGGCACCTCCTCATTGTGGTGTCATGGATGGGTTCGGGAAGGATTGAGTCTTACTACATAGTGCGAGCTCTCCGTTCATCCGTAGAATACCTAGTGAGGATTGGTTATAGTAGAGAACGCTTTTGCTAAGCGGAAAATTCGCGCATTAAGCTATTCTAGTATCAAACCTGTCAAGAACATATCGTATCATAGCGAACCGAAACAGCATACCATCCATCCATCTACGCCAGAATCCGAGTAACACGCTCCCTCTCCAACTCCCTCAGTTTCGACTGCGAAATAACCAAATAAATCTCCCTAATATCCCTCAAAGCAATCTCAAAAACCCCATCATCCATTCCATCCCAAAGATAAAACCGATCAACAGCCTGAAAGATCGTAGTCCAGGCCTGAACATCCTCCATAACCGGCCGTCCCGGTGAAAGACCATGACATCGAGCAATAGTCTGACCTTCTGAATAAGGTCCTTCCCATTCTTCGTGCTACGCAGGACTTAGAGGGTTTGTGACCCAGCCTAGGGGGACTGTGAATTGTAGTATAGTCACTGCCAGTGCCCACTAGTATTAACTAACTATACATGACACAACTTAAATCAGAAGGGAACTATTTAGGCTATACTCACTAGTGTGAAGAAGGCGTTCTCTGTGGAAAACTTGATAGGTGAGATAGATCCAGAAGGTGGGGGAACAATTCTGCAGGATGGCATTATTTCATTTTAGCAGATAGAGTGTTCGTTATTGGAAAGTTGATCGATGCTTTCCAGATGCAGCAGCGGGCCTGATGACCCTTGGCGCGCTTGGCGGAGAGTCTCACCGGGTCGGCCAGGCGGACCTTGGCAGCCTCAAGAATGGAACTACCGTGGCACAATGAGTCTAGTAGTTGCTACGTCGCGACATACAGCCAAATTATTGGGTCTTATTGATATCCGGTTGTCCGCGTGACCTGCAGGCCAAGATATTTCAAGCTAAGTAGGGAGATAAGAAACCATCAAGGGTGATTGATGGAATGGAGTACAATTACTGAACCAGGCTGATCACGGCCTAGATGGAACAGGCCATAACGAAATGGCAGAAAAAATGCTTATCAAAATACATTGGGATGATAAAAACAGCATGAAAATGAAGAAGAAAAGAAAAAACACAATTAACGGGTCGGCCATGGGTATTCCCCCCGGAATTCATGGCTAATCCCTGACTGCTGCATATCCACCAGATCCCATGTCTTTTGCTCGCACCAGAAAGGTCATCACGTCGCTGTATGTTACACATAAGGGGAAAATCAAAAGGGCAAAAGCGTCACAAGTAGAGAGCCTCGGAACTATGGCATCTCTAGAATGCGCGATATCCGGTAGCCTGCGGGGCGATCCCGTTGGCTGGTTGGCCATAGGGCATGGGGCTGCCCGGGGCGGCAGGGCCTTGGGTCAGCATCAGTCGCGAGCCACCGAGGATAGGAGTGTTATCCTCCTCAGTCTGTTGGCTCTTTTCCCTAGACTTGCGCTCCTCGTTATCCTTCTTGAGCATCTCAATGGTACGGGTCTGCTCGCAGAGGAAGTTGATCATGTAGGGCATGGTGAAGTCGTGCAGGCCCTTGCGCCACGAGATCTCCATGATCACATCAGGGCGGATCAGGTCGTAGCAGGCATACAACATGCCAACGTAGCACTCGCGGCTGCCAATGTCGACGAACTATTAAGTACGGTTAGCATTTTGTCTTAATGGAACGAGGAAACGACAGTCAGAACTTACGTAGCGGAGGAGATCCTCAACCACCTCGGACTTGGCGGAAATGGCAGCAGTCTCAATGGCATCCTTGTAGAGCTTGTCCTGCTTCGAGAGCGCAATCGACTTCTCCCAGCGCTTGTTGTTGCGGTAGATGCTAGCGGCAGTCTGGCGGAAGAAAATGAGCTCGTGCTTCTCCAGACGCTGGGCCAGCTCCACGTTGTCAAAGTTGTCATGGTTGTCAACAGAGTCCCGCAGAGTCTTGTGGTCCTCTTCCTCGATGAGGATCTCGTTGATCGCGTCATTCACAGCCCGCTTGTTCTGGCTCTGGACGTTGAGCATGAACGGCTTGATCATAGGGATGTTGTCGGACGTCTTGAAGAGGCGCACAACACGGCTCACATCAATACGGGGAGTGAGAGCCTGGAGCAGGTCGGTAATGAGAAGGGGCTGCTCCTGCAGGTAGAAGCTCAAGGCACGGTAGTAGATCTCCAAGTTGGCGACCTTGACGACAATGTCCTTGAACGAGTGGTGCTCCCATGCATCGGCAGCGCGCTCCATCATAGCCAGAGCGGCGTTGTCATACTCGTCGTAGTGGCAGTAGAGGAAGACCAACTCGGGCCAGAGGTTAGCCTCCTCGCAGGCACGGATCATCTTGGGGATGTTGATGCGGGACCAGAACAGCTTCAGGTGCTCCATCACACGGTCGGGGTGGTACTTGGACAAAGCGATACCCAGCTCAGTGAACATGCCCATGTGAGCACGCTCGAGACCGAGGCCATCTTCGAGGACCGAGATAAGCTCGTCAAAGTAGCCATTGCGCTCGTACTGGCGGACAAGAGCCTGCAGCTCCTCGGCGTGGACAATCAGGTTAAGACCGCAAATCTGGGCAAGACGGAACTCCTTCTTGTCAACACAGGCTTGGTTGACCTGCTTCCAGACCTTGACGCTGTTAGCTTTGCGAGCACACTCAACGGCGGCTTGGTACTCCTCAAGGTGGACGAGGGTGGTAGCGAGCTTGGCCCAGTTGGAGACACTGGTGAAGAAGATCTTGGCAGCCTGGTGGTATCCCTCCTCGTAAGCCTTGTCACCAGAAGCCTCAATGTCAGCCACGTTGGTGGAGCGGAGGAAGTCCTCGAGCTCGGCAAGCTGGTCCAGACGGGCAAAGCAGAAGGCAAGACTGGTATCAATAGCAGGCTCACGCAAAGTCTTACGGGCCATGCGGAGGAACTTGACGAGATCCTCATCCTTGCCGGCATGCGTGGCGGTTTCGATCACCTCGTTGTAGTTAGAGGGATCATTGGCGCGAATGTAGGACTCAATCGAGTCGGAGACACGGAGGCCATCCAACTGAGCCTTGGCAACCTTGCTCCAGACCTCGGGAAGCTCAACACGCTCGGCAAACTCCTGAGCCCGGTCAATGCTAACAATGTTCTCAACGAGGACATTGACAGCGGCGAGCTGGTTGTTGACCTTCTTGTAGATCTCCAACGCCTCCTCATACAGACCAACACTAATACACATTTCAGCGATCTCATCAGCAGAGAACTCGTTCAGCTGGTGGATGTAGTCCATGAGACGGCCCTTGTCGGCCTTGGCAGCAGTCAGCATCAGAAGGTTCTGCAGGCTGGTGTTGTCACTGAACGGCGAGGGCTCCAGGATAATCTTCTCCAGCAGCTCGATCAGCTCGCCGGGGAGGTCAGCATCAAGGAAGCACTTGACGGCAACGGAAACCTTGTCGGGCTCGGTGGACTCGGGAACTGCAGTAGCAATGACCTGGTCAACGAGGGAGCGGCGGTGCAAGTTGTTCTCGCTCAGGACAAAGGCCCAGATCTCGGGGTCGGCACACTCAACCAGGTAACGAGCCTGGGCACGGTACATGGAGTTCTCGTTGGTAATGCTGATCAGCTCCAGGTCGTTCTGGCCCTTACTGTAGGCAATGTACGCCAAGTTGGGGTCGCGCTTCTCGCAGTACTTTCCGACAATCAGGGTATCGTACAGATCGTTCTCCTTGAGGAACTTCTCGGGGTTGTTGTTGCTATCAATGTAGATCTTGGCCAGCGCATTGTAAACAGCCTGCTGCTGGTTGCCGGTAGCAAGAGTGGCCTCGAGGAAGGGCAGGAGCAGCTTCAGGCGGTTGCGGCTCTCAACCTCCGAAACGAGCTCATCGATGGGAATGACGGCCGGGTCCACAGTAGCGAGCAGGTTCTTGATAATAGCCTCGTCGCAGTCAACATCAAGCAGACCGCCAACAACGGCGGGGGCCCGCGAGGGGTTCACGCGCTGAACGTACACCTCAATGGACTTGAACTGTTGGTTCTGGTAAAGATACAGGACCAGGTCATGGATGAAGTTGAAACGGTCGCAGACAATGATCAGAGGGAGCTGCTCAGTCAAGTGGGCCTCCTTGAGGAAGTTCTTCACCTTCTCGGGGTTATAATGTTGGCTTTCACGGCAGATACGCTCAACCTCGGTGAGCTGGCCCATAGTGGTGGCGGCCTCAATGTATTTGAAGTGCACTTCGGAGTCCTCGCTGAGGTTGACAATGCTACCAAGGTAGTAGTAGAGACCCTCGGCAGTGCGGTACTTCTCGAAGAGATCGATGAGGCGGTTGGGTCCAAGGAGATCAGAGAACTTGGTGGCAATCTGAACAACAGCCTGCAGATTCTGGCGAATGTTGGCCTCAAGCATGAAGTCCATGCACTCCAGGGTCTGCTCGACAGACAGACGGCCAAAGTAGTTCATCAACCACTCGGGGCTCAGCTTGTCAGTCTTGACAATGTTACGCTTGATAAGTGCGGAGTCGTCCGAGTTCTCCAGAGCACGCTGCACAAGACCGGCACCTTCGCAGAGCTGCGCGATGCGGGGGCGATCGTAGTGAGTGAAGATCTCGTTGCCCAGAATAGCATCTGCGACCTGAGGGGCGTTGACAAGGTTCATCTCAAGCAGACGAGTCTGCAGGTGGCCATGCTCGGGCTTGTTATCCTTGAGGGCATCAAGGAGGAAGGAGGTTGCCTGCTGAATCATGTTCTGGGACAGGAAGACATCCACAACACGGTCAAGGTCAACAAGAGCACCACCCTCCTCATTGGCGAGCTGGGTAGCAAACTCAGCGCCCTTCTCAGGGTTGACTCGCACGATGTGCTGGAGGAGCTGGGTGTAATCAGGCTGGTAGCCAACCTGCTTGGAGTAGGAGAGAATTTTGTCGAATTGACCAGTCTCGGCGAACCCAGCAACAACCTTGTGAGGGACGTTGGACTCGAGGTAGACATTAAGAGCCAAGCTCATGTCGTATGGCCGGATGATATCTCCAAGCTCCTCAGAGGCCTCCAGCTTCTTCTCGGTCATCCACTTCTCCAGCAAGTGCTTGCGATTCTGCTGCAGGACGGGCCGAACAAGCTCCACACTCTCGTACCGGTTCAGGGATCCCTTGTCAAGCAGCATACCGAAGTACTGCAGAATCACCGACATCTGACCGGTTTGAGGAGCATTCTTGAAGCGGTTGATTGTCTCGGGTGTACGAAGGAATCCACGGGGGGAGTTGGCAGCAACCTTGGCAGCTTCAGAGAAGTTGCCCGCGTTGATGAGGGTGTCAAACTGCTGCTGGTAAAGGTGGTCGGCTCCCGGGAGACCTGCCCGCGAAGCAAGCTTGACCGCAAGAGAGGACATTGCGGGGTTGTTCATCAAGTAGTCGATGACTGTGTTCTCGTCCACGCTGACGGACAGAACCTGACCCTTGCGGTTGACACCGACTAGGCCGGCACCGTCGGTATCCGAAGCAGTGGTGAAGATGGTCTCGCTGGAGATGCGGTTCATGAAGATGCAGGTACCGCTCTCGAGGTCGTAAAGGTGGATGAAGCCATACTTGGTAACGAGGTAAACGATGTCGTACTTGCTGGAAACCTGCATAGCCACGGGGAAGTCATTGACCGCTTCCTGGGGGAAATACACCTCAACAGCTTTCTTCTGGAATCGAGGATTGGGTTCTTGGTGGTCAATCTCAGCAATCTGGAGCTTGGCGCCGGTCGGGGTTCGGACGGCAAAGGTGAAGAGGTGGTGGGGAAGAGGGGAGCCCTCAACGTTGATGTCGGCGAAAGCAGCAGCATGACCCTCGATGAACTGCGAAATGCCGCGCTCCTTGGAATAGAGCTGCATCGATCCAACTACACGGCCCTGTTGTTGACTGATACCGACCACGACCATCCACTTCTCCTCGGCGTTGACGCGGTAGTTGATGATTTGACATCCCTAAGAAACATTGAAAATTAGTATGACATTCCAGTTCAGTTGATCCAATTTCACAACAGCATATCCGACGTACCGCAAGGTTGGGGAGACGATCAAACATCTTGACTGGGTTCTGCTGGGTAGCGTCATAGACGTCCCAGTGGTAGACGGATGTCTCCGTAACCAGACCCAAAGCCTTGTCGCTGAACCACTTCCAGTACACAATATCCTCGTTCATTACCGCAGACTTGAGCTTTTGCTTGACGGAGAGGTCGAAAATCTGGATTGTGCGGCCTTGGGCCTTGAGGGCGATAATGTTCTTGCTCCAGTGCATAATCGCACTGTCGGCATTGATCGGCCGCCGCATGACCTCATTGTTGTTCTTCAAGTCAACAATGATGACTTGTGGCTTGTCGTCCTCTTCGAGCTTCTGGCGAACACAGACATAGTGATCCGATTCAAGGGTCTGTTATGTGGTCACATCCATGGTTAGCCGTGTTTCCACCGCCAGCTGTCTTGAGGGTGGGTCATTGGGAAACTTACACATGAGGCGAAGCCAATGGATGGTTGCTGTAGGCGCAAAAGAAGTTAGTAAGCTCTATCAACGATGCTGGGGTGTTTGCCGGACGCGACCGGCGTATCCGTCTCGCAATGGAAGCTCGTCGCGACGGAGGCTCCGGGGGAAGCGCAGCTCAAGAGAGACATACCGCAATGCCAACGTTGGTCAACTGTAGTAAAGCCAGAAAGTCAGTAATCTTTAAGTGAAGCAGCGAGTCCAATATGAGGGAAATCGCAACGTACGTTGATGAGTTCTGTGAACTTGATGGGTAGAGGTGCCATATTTACTTAGGCCGCAGCACGACCTTGTCCGCCCAACTAAACGCCACGCAAGGAAACCAGAATGATGGGAAGGAGAAGAGAATGATGAAAATGGGAGTGAGATAGGAAAAGAGAGTCAAGGAGACGAAGAGAGAGAGTTAGGAGGGGGAAATGGGGGGGGGAATCTGTAGATGCGGAAGTGACCTCCTGAGGTCCGCTGTTGTCGTTGCTGAGGTGTCGCTTATGGGGTGATCACGTGAAACAGGGGCAGGGCGGTGGAGAAGGAAGGAAGAGGTGGAAGTGGAAAGGTGGAAACTTTGGAGGAGGCCGCAGAGGCCTAGAGGCTGGAAAGGAGGCGGTGCGCGTCATAGACGGGAATCTGCCTGGGCGGTCAGCCCGTTTGACACCCACGTTCCCTTTTTAAGGTAAGTGCGGATACACACTGTAGGGATTTAGCAGTACTGTACTTGGTACTGTGCTTTCTTTGTTGTTAACCTCGGTTTGTATGAAGCAATAGCAGTCGGTCATCTTTAAATAGTACCTTCCAGAACCACTGAGAAAGACTGCTAGGATAAGACAAGTCTGAAGAATACACAGCCTATCTTCTTCCAAAACTACTGCCTCCTTCCCTATCTAGCAGGAGACATCGTGTGTCATTGAGCTGAGTTGCATCTCTGTATGACTCCGCCTAGTGAGTGGAAAACGGGTTTTTACTGAGAGAAGAAAGGCACCGCGGCGATTTTCAGAATGTCTTGCCAAGGATAGGCCCTCCAAGCCCAAAGCAAACAGCATGCCAGTATGCGCCCACCTCATCCATCGCCAGTATCAACACCACCCAGTATCGGCGAACTTCCGTGAGGTTTTTGTACTCGACGAGCCTCCAGAGCCAGTTTCAACAAACCTTAACAGCCGCCACCAAGGTGCATAAGAACATTTTAACTCTGTACGATACTCCCCGGCCTTTGCACCATTGGCCCTACACCACCGAACACCCGATTCTGCAATGGCGGCTATACCTACTCCATGCCAGCCAAGGGCCGAAAGGATCTCGGGGTATTACTCTCCCCACGCTAAGCCGGCACACGCATGGTCAAGGACGGGAGACACACCGTATTGCAACTTAGCATTGGGGGGTATGGCTTGCCTAGATCCTTGGCAATATCTTGGCCTGCCATCGGAGTGGTATCACCCCCGCGTGGTCATCTGTGATATCTCTGGGGTCGGCAGCATGCTGCGGCTCGACCACGAGGAATATGCGGAAGAAAAGTGCGGGGGTTGAGCCCACGAGGGATGTATAAGTAGGGGGTGTTTTGGATTGTTGGCCTGGAGGAAATGTGACATATCCAAGCCTCTCAGTCATCTTCTTGAATCATCTTTCAGCTCATTTTTCTCTTATCGATCGACAGTTCAAAACCTCGGTTATAGCTTGTTATGGCGTCCAATGAGGTTGCCGACCCTATCGCAAAGGGAATAATTCCCGCCGCTCGTCAGTCTTTCAAAGATCTGTTTATCTGGAAACAGCGTGTCGAGGTGACGAACGAGTATGGAGAGACGTCTCATACAGAGTGGCAAGCCCCAGAGCCAATCAAAAATCCGTTTAGCTTGATGGCCCAGCTATCTGCTCGAGACTGGGTCTTCTTCCTTGTTGGTCTTGCGGCGTGGACAGCTGATGCATTTGATTTCCACGCGCTATCAATCCAGACCAAGAAGCTCTCTGATTACTACGGTCGCTCGAAGACAGACATCACAACGGCTATCACGCTGACTCTGTTATTGAGAAGTGTCGGAGCGGCCTTCTTTGGATTTGCTGGAGATAAATATGGTCGCAAATGGCCCATGGTGCTGAACATGATCGTACTGGGTTTTCTTCAGATTGCTACCATCTACAGTCACACGTTCCAGCAGTTCCTGGCAGTCCGCAGTCTTTTTGGTCTGTTCATGGGTGGAGTATATGGAAATGCTATTGCTATGGCGTTGGAGCATTGCCCGTAAGTCTTCACCGGCGCCCTTGCTGCCCTCAAACTAATCGTTTCTTCCGAAAGTGTGAATGCTAGAGGTCTCATGTCCGGAATTCTCCAGCAAGGATACTCCCTTGGATACGTGCTTGCAGCCTGTGCCAATCTCGGAGTCGGCGGTGCTACTGATAGTTGGAAGACGGTGTTCTGGGCTGCAGGTAAGCAGATGCGGATATTGAGAGGAAATTCATAGCCTGTACTGACATCTAACCCAGCGGGCATCTCCATCGGCGTCGGCATTATTCGAATCTTCTTCCCGGAATCGAAGCAATTTCTCGAGGCCAAGAAAGCAGGGAAAAGAAACATGAGCGCAGGTGAATTCTGGAAGGAGACCCAAGTTATGCTGGCCAAGGAGTGGAAGATGTGCATTTACTGCATCATTCTGATGACCTGGGTAAGTCCACAGTATCCTTGCCCTTTTTCATCACTCAGGATCTAATTTGACCTTTACAAAGTTCAACTACTACTCCCACACCTCACAAGACTCCTACACCACTTTCATGCTCACACAAAAGCAACTCGATAATTCCGGTGCCTCGAGAGCATCGATTCTGATGAAGACTGGCGCCTGTGTGGGTGGAACAATCATCGGTTATCTATCACAGTTTGTCGGACGTCGTCGGGCCATCGTCGTTTCAGCCCTTATTTCCGCAATCCTCATTCCAGCATGGATTATGCCAACGGGAGAGCCGTCGCTCAGCGCCTCGGGCTTCTTTATGCAATTCTTCGTTCAAGGTGCATGGGGTGTCATCCCAATCCATCTAAACGAGCTTTCTCCACCTGCCTTCCGGTCTTCCTTCCCAGGTATCACTTACCAAGTCGGTAACATGATCAGCTCTCCTTCAGCTCAGATTGTCAATGCCATCGCCGAATCTACCTGGGTCAAGACCCCATCTGGTAAAAAGGCATCTGCCTATGGTCCTGTCATGGGTGTTGCCACTGCCATCATTGCCATCGGCATTATGGTCACCACTGCTTTTGGACCTGAGAAACGTGGTCGTCGGTTTGAACTTGTCGTTGCTGCTGTGGATGAGCACCCGAGCACAAAGAACGCAGATGTGGAATTGGGCGAGGACCGCAAGGCAAAGGATGAACAAATTGAATTGGCAGATCAGAAGAAGTAGATGGACTCTGGGTTGGTGGGTGTCCTATTTGTGGACATACACGCTGACCATGTCGGTTCCCTTGGCCACCTCGTATGATCGGGCAGGTTTTACGTACAAAACTCTGCGGAAATCTCCGACCTCTGAGCTAGCGACCTTCCTTTCTTTTCCACCTTCCCCAACTTCTCCGGTAATGATACCGTCGCCCCCTTCAGCTAGCAGATTCCAATGAACTCCTTTCAGCCCCCAAGGCGGCCCTGGCAGCTTCGGATCCTTGTACAATGGAAATTCTAAGCAGACAAGAAGACCTCCGGGCTTTGTCACCCGAGCCATACTTGCCGACCACTGTCTCCGTTGCTCGGGGTGTAGTGCACATAGGAACTGCCAAAGGATATCAGCAACTTTGAAAACACCGCAAGGAGAATAATGAATCTCACCGTATAGTCGTAAATCACATCGAACTTGGTGTTCTCATCAATCCCTCCTTTAAACTCCCATTGAGAGGAGAAGAAGTCGCCCTGGAAGAATGTCACCAAGCCAGGTGTACGAGACGAACGCTGCTCGCTACCAAAGTGATACGCGGATGGCTTCGCTAACTCGGCAGATGCGTACTTCTCGGCTTCCTTCACTGCTGTGTCTGAAATCTCGAGTCCATACGCATCAAACCCATGCAATGCTAACATGACTACATCGTAGCCGCGGCCACAACCCTTGAACCTCGGAAGTCAGTAGATTGGTTAAGCTTCGTCGTGGACAAGGAAACTCCTCCTCACAGGAACAAGTGCCTTCTTCCTTTTACCATCTGCAGTAAAGGGGTTGAGCAGCTCACGTTCTTGCTCGACAATGTCTACCAAGGCTGGTGACGCTTTGCCCCGGTCCCATAACCCACTTTCTCCCGAATCCCAGAGATTTGACCACCCTGAGCCATGATCCTCAACGGGGCTACCTTAGTTAGATATTGTTCGTATTATCTCTTATGCCGGTAGTTTCCGGGGCGTGGAGAGCCTGTCTACTCACCGATTTAGGAAGGTATTGAGCAAGCGACCACCTCCGCTAGTTTGTGATGTATTCGACTGTGTCATTGTTCTGAAACACTGCCGGTGTGTGAAAAAGAACTATCCTGACAGGATATTCAGAATGAAAAGGTGGTTAGAATAGAGTCGAACCGTGGAGCGATTTCACTAACACGTGACGATGACTTTAGAAAGGTCATTAATTATAACCTCAGACTAACTCGGGTTTGGTAAAGTGGAAATTAAGAGAGGATGTATGGGATAAAATCGATATGAATTGATTTGTGATATACTTGGATCTAGATCTCAAGAGTTGGTCTGGAATTTGTCACGTATTTTGATGACTCAATTGGGTATCTTTAAAAGATGCCCGGACCCCCACCCCGAAGTGGGGGATGCAAGGGGTCATAAAAGCCGAGAACCCCGGCATTGTGTGCAGGTTCTATGTATAAAGAAGACAGTTAAATATCCGTTGACTTAGCAAAGTCCTCCCAAGCTTCCAAGTCCCGAAGTGTGTTCTCGCACTTCTTGCGAATAAGAGACACTGCATCGGACCCCAATGGAAGTGAACTGGGCCACGGCTTGCCACACGCATCGCTCTCTCCCTTCACAACGTCAACAATGCGTTGAACTCCCTTCACAGTATCACCAGGTTGATTTCCGTTGAAATCGTCGAACTTCTTGGCCACAGCCTCCGAAATGGCTCTGTAATCACCAACCTTGGATATAGCCCTGCTGCTTGAGGGCTGGTTGAGAAGCTCAGTGCGAAATACCCCGGGTTCAACGAGGAGCGTTCTGATCCCAATTGGCTCGAGCTCTTTAGAGAGAGATTCTGCGGCGTCTGAAGGCAATTTTAGTTGTCAATATTTGTCCGAGCGAAGGGCTGGAAATCACACGGAAACATACAGTGGATCGCAGCTTTCGAGGCACAGTAGGCTCCGCCAGCTGGTAAGCCGTCCCAAGCAGCCATCGAACCAATGAATACCACTATTCCAGCCTTGTTACTCCTCATATGTGGTAGAAAGGCACGAGTGGTGTTCAGAGTCCCGAAGACATTCGTATTGAACTGACTGAACCACTGATCATGGCTGGTAGATGGTAGACAGTTCATATCAGCATTAGGACTTTCCTACAGGCTCATAGTGTCAACCTACCTAGTCTCTTCTACTATGCCAAACTGGGTATATCCAGCATTATTCACCAATATGTCAATCCTTCCATAAATTGAGATTGCTTCTTCAGCCTTGCGGTTGAGCTCATCCTGAGATGCGGTGACATCGAGTTGTAAGATTGCGGCACCGATATCTCTCATATGAGAAATTCGCTTCACATTTCGTGCAGTTGCAATGACTTTGTCACCACGCGCGATGACTTCTTTGACGAGTTCCGCACCAAAGCCGGAAGAAGTACCAGTGATGAGCCAGACTTGAGGCGACATGGTGTAGAGATTGTAAGACAAGCTTTGATTCCAAGATTCAGAGAATAATCTGAAATATCGAGGAGAATTTGGACAAAATTTATGCTTTATTTATATTCAAAGGCCTCCCATTAAAGGTCTACTACTCTTGGGGCTCTTCCTACAGTAGGTATGGGGATGGCCCCCGAAGAGCTTCGGCCTTGCCGTCCATTATCGGTATCGCCCAGAACAAGGAAATTTGACGGCCATTTGAACATTTGAATCCGACTATCTCGAACACAATCTAATGGTATTCAAGATCGGGGGATTATCAACGTCGATAACCACCAGTCGATTCTCTGCCTCAGGCAGAGTATCACGCATGTATGGTTGGCTACGGCAAGAAGCCTACTGTTGGGGAAGCACCTCGGATCAGGTAGCCACTATTATCCGCGAATGTACAGTGGCGGTTCACAAATCCGAGTCTAGAAACCAGACAACCACCCACCAGATATGCTTCCACTTCTTACTTCTTGAAATCTCTTTCTAATGGTCATTCAAATCGACTTTCTTGATAGCTTTGGTGATCATGTTTCAGTCTATTATTCGACCTGTGACTAACATGATAATTCTGAACATTGGTCGTAGTTTCAAACTTATGAAGCCCCACTGTACAAGCTGTGAAGTATTATTGACCTAGAAGCTTTGAAAGTGTTCATGTTTTATGTTCCTGGTAGGTTTGCGGTCACTGCGCTTGCGACCAAGAGACCTAATGAATCGTGGTTCTGGATCCAAGGAAATATAACATGGCTTTGGCGAGCTTACACCGAATTAAAGTGTTCCTACAATAATCTTCTAAGGCGTCTAACAGCTTCTTGAACTCTACATACATTGCAGGGCCCTATTTTGTCCTGAAGCAATGGTAAAGACCCCCTCTCCGCAGCAGTATAGTGTGACGTCATCACTCTCGACACGTTTTGCGCATGAGGCCCGCAATTCAACGTTTCTATCCCGTCGCACATCATGCAAAATACAGTATGACGATGGAAACCTGGAAAGTCATCAAATCCAGACAGTTATCATGGAAATTTAATTGGTTAACTTCACATTTCGAGTGGGCAAAGCCAAACTTTACAACACATTTTAGGCAACTTGATTTGCGCACAGCCGGGGCGAAGGTCCATGATGCTCTTTAGTGGAGAGACGGCCTTGGAAAGAGAGATTGACAGCGAATGACATTTGCGGATCTGATCAAGTGCTCAAACAGGGGCCGCAGGTGTCAATCTTAATTAGCCATGCCCCAAAGACCCCCAAGAGGCTTAACTTCGCGCGTCGTCCGCCTGACTTTTTCAGACGCTTATTCCTGACACGTTATGAAGTCAGGAAAAGTTGTCTACTCATGCCTAGCTGCGGCGACATGTATCGCTTTAGTGACTTGTCTCGCGGGGGCCTTAACTCATCACCATGCTAGTTCTGGCTCGGTGAATCTGGCGGTCGGAAAGGATGGGGGAAACAAATCGAGTCCGTTGCTGTATGGAATGATGTTTGAGGTAAGACATTCGCATACACTTTTCGTTGCAAGATCGCTCATTTTTGTTTGTCGCATAGGAAATGGACCATTCAGGTAAAGCCCCAGACTTATCACGAAACGGATACGGTGACTAGAATACGACTGACATGTTCGACCAGGCGACGGTGGTATTCATGGACAACTACTCCAAAACAACGGGTTTCAAGGATCAACGCTTGGCCTGACCTCTTATGCCCCAGTGGGAGACGCGCAAATATCCCAGGATTTCCTAAGTCCCGTTAGCGCCGCAATCAAGTCGTCGCTCAGTGTCTCGGTGCCGGAAGGTGTATCAGACTATGTCGGCTTTGCAAATACTGGTTACAACGGAGTGCCAGTTATGAATGCGACATACAATACTTCATTCTGGATTATGGGCGACTATTTTGGCACCATCAATATCCAGTTGATTGGATCGCATAGTGGCATAGTCTATGCTGATCACAATCTGACGGTCCAGAGCATGGCCTCTACATTCAAACAATTCAGCACCAGCTTTGAGTCGAAGGAATCACCGGATGGAGACAATGAGTGGCATTTGACTTTTGATGGATCAAAGATTGCTGGAAGTTCATTGAACTTTGGCTATATCCAATTATTTCCGCCTACCTATCACAATAGGGCGAATGGGTTACGCAATGATCTGGCTACGGTTCTGGCGGAAGTCAACTCGACATTTCTTCGTTTCCCAGGTGGAAATAACATCGAGGGGTTGCAGGTTGACAGTCGATGGAAGTGGAACACAACGATTGGGCCACTTGTCGATCGGCCTGGCCGAGATAGCGACTGGTTCTATCCAAATACCGACGCCCTCGGGCTGGACGAATATCTATGGTGGTGCGAGGACATGAATATGACCCCACTCCTCGCAGTCTGGGCTGGCAAGTCCTACGGAGATATTTTATCAGGTTCCGAGCTGGAACCATACGTTGAAGACATTATGAATGAACTGGAATACATCCTTGGCAACTCGAGCACACCTAATGGGAAGTTACGTGCGCAGAACGGACACAAAGACCCTTGGAAAGTCGACTACGTGGAAATTGGAAACGAGGATGATCTGACGCATGGATGTGCTACCTACCCTGATCGCTTCAACCAAATCTACAAAGCGATACACGACAAATACCCCCACGTCACCCTCGTCGCATCAAATGGGGACTACAACTGCCTTCCATCGCCTCTTCCCGAGGGTGTCATTATCGACTTACATTTATATCGCCAGCCGGACGATTTCGTTGCCTTATTCAATCAGTTCGACAACCAGCCACGAAATCAGTCTGTCATGATCGGTGAATACGGTTGTCGCAATACGACGGACGCCAAAGGCACCTATTGGTCGTTTATGCAGGGAAGCTGCAGCGAGGCGGTTTACATGATTGGTATGGAGCGAAATAGCGATATTGTAAAGATGGCAGCTTATGCACCTATGCTGGAGCACTTTGGGATTATTTCGTGGTCGGTGAGTACTATTATCTTTCAAGACACTCTTCATCTACATAAAGGCTAATACGAGACCTCTCTTGTTCAGCCAACGCTTTACGGTTTCGACTCGAGCCCTGGATCGATCACACCCTCAACTTCCTACTTTGTGCAGCAGATGTTTGCATCTAATAAAGGGGACACGATCCTGCCAGTAAAAACATCGTCCGAATTCGGGCCTTTGTACTGGGTGGCCTCCCGAACGGGATCGCAGTACTTTGTCAAGTTAGCTAATTACGGCCCTGACGAGCAGAATGTAACCGTTAGCATTCCTGACACTCATGCGGGAAGGCTGGAGATGCTTGCTGGGACACAGTTTCAAGGGAACCAACCTCATAACATCGCAGTCCAAACGGTGACAAGCACGGTTCAGGGCGACGGTGGAAAGTATACGGTAACTATGACACCATGGGCGATCGCCGTGTTGGTCGTTTCATGAGTATTGGATGATTTCGGGGTCAATTGGGTTTTACGTTCCTGGAGAGAGGGTGTGATCCATGGTGACATTCTACATACATCGGCTAGACAAGCAAATGAGACAGCTGGAACAGGTAGAATTGACTTCTTTCAACCTTTCTCATAGGTGATCAACAATAAGAATGCGGACAAGGATGTGGCACGTGAGTAGAAGTGAGGGGGTTTCGCAATTGGGTTTGTATGAACCAATTAGTTGGGTCGTGGTGTTGCCACCACCTGCAAGAATGATGATTGGTATGGTTCCGGATGGGCTCGGCTGCTTTTTGAGTAGGGAAATCCGGGGGTTAGACGCCCCGCTGAGTTGTTAGCTCCCCATCAAGTGCGAATCTATTATCCACTTCATGGACCACTTCGGGGAGTGTTAGACTACTGTTAGGGAACCCGAATATCCGTAGGCAATGTCTGGAACCTGGGGAATGGGGTACAAGAATATACAAATTGGATTTATTGAAGCTAATCATATTGATGATGTCCTTTTCCCCGCAATTCCGAACGAGCCAAAATCAGGCTGCATCCGTGGTTCGACCTGCCCATTGGCCAATTGTGTCATGCGACCGTGCCCGGTATGACCACAACATCTCCAGATCGATTGCATGTACGAGTCATCACACGACCATCTCAGGTGGTGTGATGTACCAAATGTACCATTGTACTCATGTACTCATGTACTTCCTGCCTGTTTACCCCGCATTTTGTCCTCATATATAACCTCGAAGCAGCGTCGGATCACTCTTGCTTCTGTACTGATATCTACTGACAATCCATCATCTACTACACAATACACTCACACTCTACTCACAATGACTTCTACCCCCATGGAAGAACTGAACAACTATAACTCCCAATGGGTCTCCTTCCACATTCGTGACCATCTCAAGGATGGTGACATTACAGTGCAGAACACTGTCATTGAAGGGTACCGTAGCCTCCCAGGGTTTATCAGGCATCATATCTCTCTCTCTACTAACATCCCATCAGCGGTGAATTCCACAGCCCAACTGATCGTCGTAAGTCTCTCCACGAGGATGAGATCGACTACATGACTATCGAGTCCGATGGCGTTGGAGAGATCTGTGCTCGTGGCCGTCGTGGCAGCGAGGGCCGTCTGGACCTGTTCCACGGCGATACCAAGATCTGCGAGCTGCACTGGGAGAATCGTGGAGGAGAATTCCACAACCTTGTCGAGGTGTTGGATGATAATTCCAAGTATAGAATCGAGCATGGGGGATGGAGTCCACAGGCAGGTCCCCTGGGACATGTCTTTGTGGACATCTCGGAGAAGAAGAACAAGAAGTGATTCTTCGTTAGCGGTGCATGGAGTGAGGGAGACAGTGGACTTCTCCCTCCTTCGGTCGATAGACTGCATGTCTAGACCATTTCTTATCATCTATTGTGTCCAGTATTATTATCTGTTGAATATCCCGAAACTACTTGGCTTCAGAACCAAGACCGATGATTATGATTGTTTTAATGAATATGCCCTGCTCTATGACTTGCTTCCCCCTATTTCGTCTAGTCTTTCGACTCGTCAGACCATCCCCCTCTCAATTTTGAGGCTGTGTCAGCCTTGGGTGACGAATATAAGCAGATGCCCCTCATTTGCCATGATCTCTCTCCTTCGCGGAGGATGATTCGGTGATGACACATTAGGTTCAGCCGGGCCGGTCTCCTTGAGGGGTCATACCCATCCGGATTCAGCGAGCTCAGCAAGACCACATTCTTCTTGCGTCTTACCAGGATGACATTCTAGTTTACCTATCTAGATAGTAGCTCTGGGAAAACAAGCACGCTATATTTCCTTCTACATGATTTCGGGCTGAATACTTATCAAGATTTCCACCATTTATTTCCACACCTTTCGCTGTGCCTTTCCCCCCCCCTCTTCACTCTGAATAAAAGGAGACAAGGCCCCATTATCGACTATGCCGTCCCTCATATACGCTTCATGACTTTCAGGCCCCGCCAATGCTGCTGCAAGCAAAGTGCGACTGCCGATTTCCGTGGAGCGTACAAGGACCAGCTTCAGTATAGTGTTCATCCGGCTCTCGTCTTCGCGAGTCAATTGAGAATAGCAAGGGCCAGGTTGCAGGATATTCAGAATCACTCCCGAATCTGTAAGTTTCGACGCGAGTTCTCGGGCAAGGAGGATTTGCAGTAGCTTCGACGCCGCGTAGCGCGACTGCATCTCGGCTGTTTCTTCCCAATCGAGGGTTCGAAAGGTGTCCTGCGTCTTTCACTCGGGCAGGTTTGTCCATGCATGGACTTCACTCGTCACGATTGACAGATGAGGCATCGTCGATGGGAATTTCTTCACCGTTTCTTTCACCTTAGGGAGGAGTAACAATGCTAGAAGAAAGGTGCTGATGACGTTGACGGTAATGCTTCTCTGATGCCCTTCTGCACTCTTGTACCGTGTGGTTGCAATGCCCGCATTCTCGATGAGAATGTCCAGTCGAGGAAGTTGTGTGGCCCGCGCTGCAAATGCTTGCACAGACTTGTAATTTGTCAAATCCAGCTCCCAGAAATCGCAAATTCCAAAAGTGGCAGTCGACTCTTCGATTGAGTTCTTCGCTTTCTCGCCAGCTGCAAAAGTTCGGACGGCAAGAACGCATGCATTTATCTCTACCTAGCCATCAGCCTCATCATACATAGTTCAAGTTGAAATATGAAATGGAATCAACTCTGATCAACTATCGGAACACTTGAGCTTCAATTATCAATCAAGATAATTCACAGGTTGGTACTTTGGTGGGCGATTTTGGCGAGGTCTACCTGCAGCAAATCGGATTTTCGGACACCGAGGCCTGGTCGGCCGAGCGAGACATGCCCCAAAAACACAGTAAATACGATAATTTACTACTTCGTATCAAAGCAACCAGATCTATTCATAATTAAAATCAAAGACACATGATCCAGATGGTATCTCTAACCTACTAGCCAAGGACAAGAAGATTACTGGAAGTATTAGTAGGCAGCTTATATCGCCTAAGATATCTGATTAGCAGGAGAACGTATCTGGAGGGTAGGTTAAGATAGGGCGGGAGAATGATAAGGCCAATCCAGGAGATAAAACTCGGCCGAGCTTGGTATCGCCAAACTACTTATTTAAATGAGCAAGGTACAGCCCAGTATAGCCATCCCGTACTGTACATCTGCACTGCAATTTTATCATCGAAATGACACAAAAACCGGCAGGGATGCGTCGTGGACCTCCAGTCATTGATTTTGCCCGTAGGTTTTCTCAATAGTGACTTCATAACCCTACTAACCACACCGTCAGCCTTCTACGGGCAGGACGAACGCGCACGATCAAATCTCAAAGACGAGATCCGCGACGCATGTCTAAACTACGGGTTCTTCCAATTACGCAACCATGGTATTCCGGAGGACCTTCAGAGAGAAATTCTACGTCAATCTGAGGATTTCTTCAGTCTACCAATTGAGACCAAGGACAAATACAACAAAGGTAGGTGCCCGCCACAACTTGATCTAAGGGACGGGTTGAAAGTTCTGACTTCAGGAAGCTGTCGGCGGATTCGATCGCGGCTACGAACGACTACGGTCCCAGAATTTCGAAAAGCTTGCAAAGGGAGATCTCAAAGAAGGGTATTTCCTGGCACAAGATCTTCCTCTTGACGATCCTTACGTTCAGGCAAGGAAATGGGCTCAAGGGCCTAATAAGTATCCTTCTGAGGTAAAGGACCCATATTTATGGAAGAAGACAGTCGATGATTATCATTCTGTGGCATCAAAAGTCGCGAAGAATGTGCTGCGTATTATTTTTGATACCCTTGGAGAAGGGCATGATTTCCTTGATGAATTTTGTGAGCATCCAGTTGCTGTACTTCGTCTGCTTCATTATCCTCCACAGGATCCAAATGCTTCGGATCTAGAACGAGGTAAGAATTCGATCGTAGTCTAAATCCCTAAACATTTTGTCTTCGATACACTGACAGTTACTAAAGGCATTGGTGCTCACACTGACTTCGGTGCTGTCACAATCCTCCTTCAAGACTCTACGGGCGGTTTGCAAGTTCGAGACCGCACAACCGGAGAGTGGATTGATATTGAACCAATCCCAGATGCAGTTGTCGTCAATACGGGCAACTTGATCATGTGTTGGACCAATGGCCGTTATGTCTCTAATCTGCATCGCGTTGTAAACAAAACCGGGGTGGGGAGATATAGTGTGCCCTTCTTCTTTGACGGCAACCCGGATTTCCTGGTAAAGTGTTTCGATAGCTGCATCAAAGACGGCGAGGTGGCAACACACGCTCCTTTCACAGTGTCAGAGTGGATGAAGGGACGGTATGCGGACTCTTTCGGAGGGTCTGCAAGCAAAATCGCCAAGGAAATGGTGCAGATTTAGATCCTACGAACATTTTTGGTATTGTCATATGCGGCTTGTGCGGATCAGGAACTGGGCCGCAGTATCAGAATTAGGCCCCGATCTGTTACAAGAAGTATCAAACTGATTCCCAACCACATTTGTCTTCTAGCGGTATATAGCCTCGTCAATACCCTCCACAAGAAAGAATCAACGGTTTTTTTTTAAATAAACTTTCCGTTAATGGCCATGAACTTGCTGTAGTATGGACTGAGGTTCAATTTAAAATATGATTCGCCAAAAGACGTCATAACGATCTATGCGAATTATTAAACGTTTATTACTTACCAAGCAATCAGGTCAAGGATCGATTTTTGTGTCATAATGTCCTACTATTCAGACCCAGCGGCATGAGCTGCGAACAGGTTCAAGAACCTTGTGAGCTCTCCCTTGTGATTTCTTCACTATCCCCTTTGGTCCTGTGTTAACAATGTTTTTGGAGTCGAAAATTTTCCTCTTCCTGTGCTTTGTAGCCTTTATAGGCAGGAAGGGTTAATTTCAGTTTGCGCTTTGTATCATGCTGATCGTGACTTTGTTTTAGGGTTTACAAAACCTAGTGAACAGAGTGGGCCCCAGAGGCTGGGGTAAGTCCGTTGGCCACTTTCACTACATGTTGGATACTGATACAGTGGCGACCGTTATTGCCTTCCATAATGGGCTACAGAGAGACTTGTTTTAAACCCTAGTCACATGAGAAACTAATGTATGATTAACCCTGTGTTTTAAAGCTTGTTCTAGATTTGTATGGTACAGTACGTTGCGAAACCGGTGCAACCGCCTCCACTCCTCCAGTAACTCTCCAGGCTCATCGCCAAGAGACTAGACCATATGAGGACTAGCTTCGGAATATCAAAACTCCTTTACCAGTCTCGATACTTTGATTTACTTTCATTAAATACGGTGCCTTGTTTCGTAACAGTATTTGCGACCTAACGGAACTAGAATATTCCATGGAAACGCAAACATATCAAACACTAGAATCTGGGGATTGCCTCGAGATTAGTGACGGAAAGGGGGGGAAACGATAGTATTTGGATTAGTGGATACTGCTGGCTAAATACACTGACGGACCGGAACAGCTTTGCTCCGACACACCCTCCCAGCAATAGGCCTCAGCTGCATCAACCACAGAGAATGGCCCTCTGTGACGACCACAAACCTGCTGGCCCTAGAAGCTACCATATAATCGTGGGATTGCTAGCTGGGATATTAAGCCTGAATCTAGGCCGTGATATGTCTTACACTACGTCCTCAGAACCACCATAATACAAATCCAAGCTCTGTACGGAGTACAAGATAGCTGATTCTAGACCAGCCGGACGTACATTGAATGGTGGATGCAACTGTTTTAGCCTACAGTATCCGAACTTGGCTGGAATTAGTCTCACTGGCTGCAAACGGCTGTGGTGTAATTGGACTACCACCCATGGATGTGCTGTTATATGCTTCTGGAAACATTCCTTGGCGCCAAGAGCTTACTTATCATCGTTGTGTTCCATGAATATCCTACGGCTGATCTTGCTCGCTTGGCCGGGCCTATTGTCACTGGTGAATTTAACCTTTCGAATAAAATTAAAAGAGACCTTTCGTATCCACGGCTAGTTTAATGGTCTAGAACATATGATATTGTCCGGATAGAGACGTGTACTCCGGGGGTGGTGGGGGCGGGTAGATTACATACAAAGACAGCCACTAAGGTTTTGAGTGCAGCTTTTCAACAACTACATCATCTAGACGATTTAGTTATTATTACTCTTAGTCTTGTGACTTATATTTTGTGTCGACATTCAAACACGTCGTAAACGGATTATGTATTGCTTGCGTCACATGATCGCCACTTCAAAAGTTCAGATATAAATCCGAGGGGTTGGTGATAATTTTTAGTACTACTTTTCGTATTCAAGCTGTCCGAGATATTGAAGACAACTCAGCCTCCACGTGAGCGTGTCTTCCTTTAATTTATTCCATATCTTACATTCTTACATTTCACTACTAGTCCTTCGATTACATCCTTGGAGTCAACTATATGGCGCTAGAAGGCTATTTCAACGTGAAGGATTTCGGTGCATTTGGCGATGGAAAACGAAGCGACACTGAGTATATAGAAAAAGCCTTCGCCGCTGCAAATACTCAGGGGGAGGGGTTGTTTGGTTTCCACCAGGCCTCTACCTGATTGATCAGGGTTCGACCGTCGGAAGAGGTTTCACCATCAGCGACTCAATAACTTTGGCTGGAACAGGAACTGGCAAACCACAATTCGATACTGAAAAAGAAGTTGACCCCTTCGCAACGAATGGCTCGAAGTTATTAATCAAGAACCCGGATATAATTCCAATTTTCGTTACTGGTTTGGGCTCAGTTATCCGTGATCTCGCGATTTACCACCAACATGACGATCTTTCGACTGTGCCATGGTTGCCCAAAACATTCAAAGAGGCCATTCATGTATTTGGACATGATGTTCTCTTGAAAAATATTTACTTACGGAATCCATATGTTGGGGTAGTATCGGAAGGCGTTGGGAGGCTGAGCATCGATCGTCTTTTCGGCCAGCCACTATATACCGGGATCGATATCGATAACGCCACGGATACTGTGAGAATAAGCAACGTTCATTTCTGGCGATTTTGGTCCGCTGCAGAGTCCGTGGCAAAGTACACTTTTGACAACGCCAATGCTATCATAAGTCGACGTAACGATAATCCACACTTCTCTAACATCTTCGCAATCGGTTACAGGACTGGATTTGTATTCCGGAAATCCGACTACGGCATCACTAGCAAATTTCGTATCAATAATGCAGATATCGACAACTGCAAATACGGAATTATTATTGAGTCAGACGCGCAACGAACGACTGGCCAGGTTGTTAACTACACGTTTCAAGGGACGAATGAGTCGGAATCAGGCATTAGGATTGAAGCTCCTGATGTAACAGTCCAATGTGGTAATATTAGGATACAGAATGTCCGAACAAATGGTATTCTGGTCCTGGGCCCTGCGTCGTTTTTGGCGATCGACAATGCTTGGGTCGAGTCTTGGGATAAATCAGGTCAACATTTTCCTGCTATTGAAGCTGCCGCGAAAGGAGCCATCGTGTCAGTTGGGTTCAACTTTCTTGCTAGAAATGGGGGGGATATACAGGTGAAAGGCAACTTTGGCGGTAACGTCATATACCCAAATAACAACAGCTGGCCAGAGGCCGCGCCATGGTGGTGACTTGCTCCAAGGCCAGGGGAACATCCTATCTCAAATTGTAGGGTGCATGATATGTGACTGTCTTGTACTCTACCACACTTGTCAGATGCTTTTGGGGCGTCTATTGATTGATCTGTGTTTAGTTCATTTCTATATGCGAAACTCAAATTGATTATACTTTTCATTTCTCACTTGGTTTTCAGTTGAAATCTTATCGACAATTAGAAGTATCACATACATCCATAACGGCTCGTTCGTTTAAATCTATGTCAAACACTGTGATACTGTAGGGGGAGTTCGTTACGAGTCAAGATAATGATCCTAGATCAAATTGCACCATTCAACGAAGGTATCAAGGACGAGGAAAGTAGGAGGAAGAAGCACAGCAGGAAAGAGAGAGCGTCAGTACCTGGCAAACGAGCAGCCTTTCCCACTAAGCAAATACGCAAACGAGGCTATCCCTAATACCGAAACAGCAAATTGGCCACGATTTGACAAATTTAGATACTATAGTGGATCCTATGCCCAGCTCCCACGACCGCTACGTGCATCGACATGCCGCTTTGACCATGGAAGCGGCCTACAGCAGACTCTTCTTGGCCATTCGGGACCAGTTACTCAATGGAACTTTTCCCTGAAGGCCAGGCGCTGGCTTCCTACTGCAATGATTACACGGAGCGGCTCACGGGCACGGCAACGGGCACTCTCAAGAGACCTTGTACACGAAGGGGACCGTTTCCAAAATCGTAAATCGCGCAGGCCTCTTGACCCCATGAGTCTTGCATTCATTCAGATAGCTGATTGTAATATTACAGTTGCACAGCAAGGATTCAGACAGTCTTTCTGCTACCGCCTTCCCGTAGTAGCCTTACCGCCCGGTATCGTTGGTCTCTGATTAGTGCAGGTCTCACAGGCAGAATTAAGGGGTCTTCAAACTCTGTTACTGTACTCATGTCACTATAGGATGGAGGTGTTAATACGATGTATACACAGGACCGGTAATTTACGCGAAATCCATCCTGGGTTAGCGTATCATGTGATTAGGGTTTGAAAGAGTGTTTTTATGTTTCCGGAAATGGAAGGCAATAGCGGTCGGCACTGTATCTCCTGCGTTCAAAAGTGCTCGTTGACAGTGGGATTTGACATCGAAATGTCTTGTCCGTTTACGAATCTCGGGAGTAGGGCAAGGAAGGTTTTTACTTACCCGAATGGTAGCCCTTTTGGAAAATGGGTTGACTCGTGGACATTGTGATGTAACGATTTTGCTCTATAGTCATTAGAATCATTTTTCCCAGGAGGTCAGAGTCGAACCTTCATCTTACTCAATCTCATACCATTTTGCACCACTCGCCAGCCATCAGCAAAAATGAGTGTCCACACTTGCTTCCCGCCATATCCTTTCTTAAAAGGATGACAGTTCACGACCTTCTATGCATAGCATTTGGACATTGCATCTGGAATTTCGCAAGATGGGTCGCCTTGTTCAGCATTGGAGAGTTTATCTGCGATGGCGACATCAGTAGTAATAATTTCACTATCATATTTGGCATAACCATGCTAGGCTTGGTCAAGGCTGCTGCTTGTGGTTTCCTTCTGTCTGTACGCGCCAAACCAGCCTCATTCGGACTAAGATTGGCGTTTCATAGCGCTCATGGCTGTGATGGGTTATCTTCCTTTTGAGTTCTGTCCTCCATGATAGGTATGCAGTTCTATCTCTTCTTGAGTTCTGGGCTAAGCCTTGTAATAGTATGTTGCCTAGGGGTTATGGCAGTACTCTCCTATTCAAATGCAGACACTGGCTATTGGCTTTGATATGACATGATGCTGGGATCGATCTGTAATTTTTCAAATTAAATCGAGCCATGATGTTCTATTGGCTTGGCTCTGTTTGTTGCATGCAACGAGAAGTGAATCATCCTCGATTCTGCCTGTGCCATATGACCTCTCTCTGATATCAATCAATAATTGAAGAATTTGTGGTGTCGCTGGGGTCCAGGACTCAAGTAGTACTACCACTTAGCGCAATTTTTGATTCTTGTCCTATGCAACGCTCTGTTCAGCTTTAGGGCTGTCATTTCACCATTCAATTTAGTGGTGGATAAGCAAAGTCAAGTCACGGGAATCCCGGACTGGCAATAGCCGGGTAGTATCCAGGGTACCGGGAGTATACGCATATCATGTGGCCATCCTTCATGGACTGATCAGTCTGGACAGCGGAGGTACGAGTGTCTTCTTTCTTATCCCACAAATGACATTATCTCCCTTGAAATAATGAATTTCTTCTATACGATGAATCGCCGACGCCAAAATTGGAACCGCCTCCCACAGATCATAGATCCCTCGCTATTCATGAAGTCGTTGGCAGGAACTATCTTGCTTTATTTTTCTTGAAATATTGGGACAAGACTACACCCCACGATACTATCCCTGTCTCTCCCTGGCTATTTGTGACTGTTCAAGAGTCCTCGTGAGTCCCACTCAAGAATAGCTTCTACAACGAGTGCTAGTGATATTCTTTTCATAGGTATGGGGGCTCTTTGTGTGGTCTTTGGCCTGGCCTTTGTCATCGTCCCTGCTCAGGAGAATTTGGTCAGACCCCGTTCTCACGGTCGAGGGAATTTCAACCAAGCAATATCACGTTTGGAGGCGCTGCTTGACGCTCTGACCAAGCTACTCCTTTTATCTGGCGGCGTTTCAACAATCATGTTATTTGGTGGGGCGGGTCTTGTCTTGATCTGTCAGGCCGTTTATCCACCTACATGGCTTGGTATTACCAATTGCGCGTGATTCCTAAACCGGTGTCGAGAATGTTTAGTATATTTTGGGAGCTTGCTTGTGATATAGCTCCAGGAATTCTTGTTGTTAGCTTGCTTACTATACTTGACAAAAACGAGTCAATGCGAATTACATATGTAATCACTCAAAGACCCTTCCCTTTTAGCATCATTGCTCGACCATGCTGACGAAATTAAGGCATCCAGGCATTCAAACCTTCACTATAAAACTAGGCTCGCTTCATAAGATAGTCATAGTCTTGAAAGACAAACCAGGGCCGGCTTGAGTTCCTTTCCTCAAAGCACCCACCAACGTGCAGGGAAAAGAAAATCGCCAATAGTCAAGTTAACTTTTCCATTTCTCGGATCCTACAAACGCCTTTCACGACTCTCGCAGGTGCATGATCTTCTCTTCTAGGTCCATACGAGGCGCAACCTCAATATCTGGGTCGGGGTTACCTACTAGTCCTAATTGGGCATGCCGAACTAACTAAAGGCATCACACTATGGTCATCCCCATGACTCCCTTTCTCTATAGACTTAATCCAGCCTTATTCTAAAAGTCCGGGCTGGTACAGTAGCGACCAGTATTGCATTCCATGTTGAAAACATAGATTAACGATTTCAAACCCTAATCGCATGCCACGCTAAGCCTTATATAGATATTTCAGTAATTAATGTTTTGTTACAGGTTTGTATGGTAACACTGATGAAAGTATACCATGTACAGTTACATGTCCAAAAATAGTCGCGTCCCAGGAGCCGCCATCGTAGATTACGTATCAGTCAATCAGATATATTATCTGATTGGTTCGGAGGCTTATGCATGCATTCGCGTTCACACGCTAAGTGCGATGTATCACACACACATATATGTTGACAGATACTTACATTAAGTAAAAGTACCACACTAACTGCCTCGGCGTCCGGTCCGTGTTCTGCTAGCGTCATATTCGATGCCGCTGTCACTGTTAGGCCAGACATTGGCACGGGTGAGACCCCACCGTGGTAGCTGGGGACTGGGCGCCTTAAGCAGAGTACTACTTATATAAGGACGGTGGAGATGGCTGACACCCTGCCTCTCTTCTGTAATAACAAATCGACGCCTATCTATGCACCTACCAAAGTACTCACTTCAACAAATGCCAATTTAAGGACTTTTAAAGTGGAGTGAAAACCAAGCGATTAGGTCCAGTAATGATAATGGAAACGCAAATAGCTGACCTGGCCATAATTGGTGCTGGTAAATTCGCCCCTCTCATATCCTTAGACTCTTTTACCCTATATGTTCATCAGGAGCTTCTGCAGCTAACCACAATTAAAAATTGATCGCGACAGGCTGGCACGGTCTCGCGACCGCCAAATCAGCTCTCGCGCTCGATCCCAGTGTCAATCTGGTGGTTCTGGATTCCGCCGCATCAGTGGGGGGTGTCTGGGCAGAGGAACGCTTATATGCGGAACTCAGAACGAATAACCTACTGGGATCATACGAATATGGTGACTTTCCTATGAGGGACAACGTTCCCGGTTTAGTTAAACCCGGTGAGCATATGTCAGGCAGAGCGATGCATGAATACCTGAAAGCGTACGCTGCCCACTTCGGGATCCTCGACAAAATTAAGTTGAATTGTAAGGTTGACAGCGTGGAATACTGCGAGGGAGATGATGGAAGGGGAAAACAGTGGGTCATTAAATGCACAACAACAATAGAACCAGGACACGAGAAGAGCAATACTATACGGACGCGGAAACTGATACTCGCCACGGGCCTTACCTCGCAGCCGCGTATTCCTACATTCTCTGGCCAGCAATCTTTCGGCGCGCCATTGTTCCACGCAAAAGAATTTGCCCTTTACCAAGACACCATCTTCGCTAAACCCAGCAATGACAACACAGGCGACCAACATGAAGGCGCCCGTGACGACCACACACCAATAACGGTACTCGGCGGAAGCAAATCCGCTTGGGACACCGTCTACGCCTGCGCATCAAAGGGACACCGCGTCAACTGGGTCATTAGAGCTTCTGGGACTGGGCCCGCGTGGGTGAGCCCGGCCGCTGCTTTCTCGCCCTTCAACCTCCTCCTCGAAAGCCTCCCTCTCGTGCGTGCCTTGGGCTGGTTCAGCCCCTGCATCTGGGTGAGCCACCCGATACGCAACTTCTTACATGGGACATGGTTCGGCTGTATTATTGTGCGTCTGTTCTGGGCCTGCCTGGAGTGGGATATGGTTCGGGTCAATCGATACAGCGATCATGAGGAGACGGCGAAGCTAAGACCCTGGTTTAAGCCTATCTGGATGGGAACCGCGGTGAGTATTATCAATTTCCCGGGTGATTTCTTTAGATTGATCCGGCGGGGACTGGTGAAGGTGCATATTGCCGATGTTGAGCGGCTGGAGCCTTATAAGGTCGTTCTGTCCAACGGTGGCGACAGGCTGGACACGAAGGCACTTATCCTGTGCACAGGCTGGAAAGTATCTCCAGGCATTCGGTTCTTGCCGGATGGAACCGAACAAGAGATGGGCTTCCCGTGGGCTGCGGACCCAATTGATCAGGAGCTCGTTAGGCAGGCCCGCAAAGACATATACACGCGTCTGCCCATGCTCCACACCGGCCCAGAGAGCAGGACTTACCATACGAAGGATGCGGAGGGTCAAAATGAAACCGTTCTGCACCCCTTCCGTCTCGCGCGCTTCATTGTCCCACCAGGACTATGGGACGACCATAGCATCGCCTTCCTAGGGACCGTAACCACGTTCAACACATCCTTTGTTGCCGAAGTGCAAGCCCTGTGGGCGCTAGTCTATCTTAACCACGGCTCTGAGCTTCACCATCATCATCAAGACAAGGAGTCAATACTTAGCGAGACATCACTACACACAGAGTTCTGTGCGCTGCGCTCCCCGGCGGGCCATGGAGTACGGACTGCCGACTTTGTCTTTGAGGTCATGCCGTATTTGGATCTCTTGCTTGGGGATTTGGGCTTGAGGACTGCGAGGAAGGGGTCGTGGTGGGAAGGTTTGTTTGTTCCGCATCGGCCGAGGGATTATGCGGGGTTGGTGGAGGAGTGGAAGGCGCGACTATCTTCATCCCTGGAGGGACGGAAGATAAAGGATACTTAGCTCTATAGAGAAGACTCTGTACGGGGTGGCTCTGCGTTACTGTTCATGGTAAATACTTTGATGGGTTTCATTTATGAATGTTAGCACAAGGGGATCTCAATGACCTTAGCCACTAGGCAGACGGCATGAATCTAGATTACGTATCACACTAATAATGTTGAAATCCGTTGACCATCTTCCCTCAATCAGCTTTCTCGCTAGCCTTGTCTATGATTCCGAACATCCAGCAACGCACTTGGGTTGGAACCTCCGAACACGGCGTAACACACCGTCAAGGCAAGAAAAGCATATGACACAGCCGATTGGGAAAAGATCGGATGGGAGGTGCGGACATTCATGAGACCATGAAAAACCCTGACCCAATAGAGGCGCTTCATGCTAAGGTAGAAGGCTCACACAAGAAACTGCAAGAGCGATCGACCATCAGACTTCGGGCCTGCAGTTGTCTCTCTCTGCAAAGCGGTGGTCCACCGCGGACTTGAACCCTCCACAAAAAGAGGTAACCATGCGCGGCGTAGATAGCAAGAGCGCTGCGCGTGATAGGGCTGGATAACCCTCACGCTTTGGCACTCTTCGGAGACATGCGCCAGAAGCGACAGAGGACGCGGATAATTGAGAAAGCCAAGACATCACCTTAAATATATTTTCTTGACGACACGGGCAAAGGAATGGAAAGAGGCAACATACATGAAAGCTACCGAAGTAACCAGGAGTCGGGGCATCCTGCCAATTTGCTTCCGATGGGTGGATTATACGAGGTTGATCTGCATTGTCACCAAAAGAGCTACTGGTCTTGGCGAATATTTCCAGAGGAGGGGTAAGCTCCAGCATCCATTCAACAAAAAAGTCTTCAGAAAACATAATCTCATCATTGAAATTCGAAACTATACACTACAGCTACATGCTTTCCCAAAACTAAAATCACACAATCTCTGGATATCCTGGGAGAACAAACATGTCTCCGAAACAATTATCAAAACATGAAGCATGATCAGACAAATAGCGTACCGCGCATTAAGCCACGACCCCAACGCAATACACAAGTCAGGCGTGGTGACGTGGGTGTTTTTGAAGGGCGAGGAAGACCGCTTAGTGCTTCTTTGAGGGCTGGGTCTTGGAGAAGTCGAAGTCGCCGTCCCAGTGGAGCTTGAGGGCTGTTGGGCTTTGTTAGTATGGCTTGAAGAGGGAGGACTAGGTAGGATTGAGATGGAACTTACACGTTGGGAAAGGGAAGTACGATGTACCGTCCTGGCGGAGGTAGACGTAGTAGCCGCCCTCCTGGGGGACCTTCTTGAGTTGACCCTGGGCACCGAGAGCGCGGCGGAGGTTCTCCAGACGACCGACGACACGCAGCATGGCAACGAGGGCAATCTTGGTGATCTCCTGGCCGAATCCAGTGCTGGGGCCTTGGCCGTGGTTGATGTATGAGTCAATAGGGCGGTCGAGCTTGACCTCGCTGGGCTCGGGGAAGACGCTGGGGTCGTGATTTGCCTGGACGAAGGAGGCGAAGACCTTGTTGCCGGGCTGAATCTCGATGGTCTTGCCGTTTTCCTCGACGGTGACGGCATTCTGAGCCTCGCGGTAAGCGCCAAAGGTACCGTTGATGCGGATAGCCTCCAAGCAGTAGCGGTAGAGAGTCTCATCGGACTCCTTGCTATCCTCCTTAGCGAGATGGTTGATCTCAGCCCAGTGCTTGCTGCCCTCGGGCGAGGTGTAGTACTCGACAATCTGGGTGAAAACCTGGCCCTGGTTGGGAATCATACCGACAATGGTCGGGATGATCTGGGACCAGGTGATCTCGGAAGCGCTCAGACCAGACTCCTCCAGACGGCGGAGAGCGGCAGTGCCGTAATCGCGGAGAGCGTTGTCGTGGGGACGGAAGTTGTCCAGCAGACCGGACAACAGGCCGCTGTTGGTATTAGCCTTGACGGTAGCCTCGATGACATTGCCGAGCTGCTGGGAGACGGCAGCTGAAGCACGGTTCAGGGAGAATGACTTGGTAGCATCCACGTCGAAGAAGAGAGCAGAGTAGATGGTGGTGAGGATCATGTACATCTCGTGCTCGGTGAAGAGGCCGCGGGGGTTCTCCTCGGTCTTCAAGGGCAGACCAAAGAGGGCCGAGGCAAAGTGGACGTGTGCAAGGTTGCCAACGTCCCGAGTGATGTCAATCTGGTTGATCTTAGCCAGCTTAGCGCCCTTCTCCTTAATGAGGCGAAGAGTGACATCCTCGTAGAACTTCTTGACCAAGGTGGGGAAGTCCTCGGTGTTGAAGGCCTTGCCCATGGCCTCGCGTTGCTTAGCATCGAACTCGCCCTTGCCGAACAGATCCTCCATAGCGCTGCTCCAGGCCGGCTTGAAGTCCTTCTGGTTCTCCAGAACCAGCTTGGCGTTCTGGTGAGAGGTGAGGTTGATGCGCGACGGAGTGAACGCGGGGCGATCGTAGGAGTAATCCTGCTCACGACCCAAGTTCTTCATGATGTTGCGGTTCTCGCTCGGGATGGTCATCGGGTAGTGAGCGTAGATCGAGTCGGGCTTGAACCAGTTAGGGAAAGCCCGGGTGGCCAACTTGTAGAACACACAGCCCTGGTTGATGTTCAGGTCATAACGGCACTCGTTGTAACCCCAGTTGGTCAAGTTGCGAGGGTTGTAGTCAACGGTGTAGTGACGGTCACCACGGACCAAGGCGACGGCGTCAGACAACACAGCACGCGAGATGGTGTAAGTTGGGGCGATACCAACACCGGGGATCATGGGCTCCTTGGGCTCCTCGCAAATGATACCAGGGTACAGCTCAACGTAGTCGGGGTGCTCGTACAGGTGGCGCAGGTTGTTGGCAATCTCGGGGTCGGAGTTGATCTCCTCGAAAGTGTCGTAAGTCTTCAGGCCGAAGTGCTTACGGAACTCATTGAGGGAACCAACGTGCCACCTACGGGAAGCCTCGATACCGAGGATCTCGATGGAACGAAGGGCCTTAGGGATGTTACGGGGACCGAAGGAGCTGGCAACATCCTCGCAGGCGTGGGTCAGAATCTTGACGAGCTCTTCGTCCTTGAAGGTTCCGTCCTCCTGGCGCTCCAGGCGGGCGAAGGTGCGCTTGGACGGATCGGGGTCCAGCAAGCTATCAACCTTCTTCATACCCATCAGCAAATCGTGCATGCTGACCTCCTCAGCAGGCTTGCCCATGAGATCGAAGTAGACCTGCTCAATCCACTTCTCATCACCCTGAGCAATGGTAGAGTGCCAGCGGTAGGCCAGGTTGAACTCGACAGAGCACTGGTTACCGAGACCGGAAGGAGTAGCACCGGCCTTCTCCATCTGCGCACGGGGATCCAAGCACCAGGTCGAGTTGGTGCGGTTCAGGTTGACGATGGTACGGAGGTAGTCATACAGAGTAATGTTGATGTACAGACCGCAGGTAATCAGACGACCAGTCTGGAACAAATCCTCGTCGCGTTTGGCCCAAGCCTTCTTAGCCTCCTCCTCGGGTAGGCCATCACGGGGCTTGGTGAAGCGGCCGCCCTCGTTGATCTCAGCCAGCTGCTCCACAACGTGGTTGTGGAAACGGTTAAGCATAACCAGCAGGACACCGCAGGCAGCGGGGAGGGCCTGCAGACGGCCCTCGGAGAAGCAGTCAGGCTTCAGCTTACCATCCTTGTGAGAACGAATCAGGTCCTGTTGCTCCTTGACATCACCGTACAGAATAGACAGATCAAGGTAAGCAGAGGTCTTGTTTAGGTGCTGTTGGCGGTAGTCGGTCTGGAAAATGTCTGTAGTGATTATTCATTAGCAATTGCGCCGGAGTGCCCTTACAAACACCAAAAAGACTTACCGTGAATGATAAGAGAGGCCCAGTCGAAGAAAACACTAGACACCTTGTTGGGGTGAGGGGTGAATTCTTGACGGGCAAACAGGCTGTCGAAGATCAGGCCCGCGTCGGGGAGACCAGTGGGTTGAATGGTCAGAGGAGGAATAGTGCGGCAGTAGGGAGTATTAGCTGCGCCCAACCAGGGGAGAGTAGGGTTATTGTTGGAGCCGTCGGCGGAGCGGTACTTGTAGTCATCGCCCATATAGCTATTTCGTGCGTTAGTCAATCGATTACCCGCATTTCAAACCAATTGGGCATAGGGACTCACGAGAGAGGGGGTGGGGAAGAGAGTTCCAGAGCTCATCCAAGAACTGATTTGTGAGCTCGGTACGGTTCTTTGAGTGGCCGGGCATGTCGGCGACAAGCTATGATTCGAATCGGAGTTAGAACTCAATCAATTTGGGAGGAATTGGTTCCTAAAGGACAGCTCGTAGCTCATACCTGAATAATGCGCTCCATGAGGTAGGTCTTGTCATCGATCAGTTCGCCAGAGGCCTTGTTCTTGATCAAGTCCTTGACAGTGTTGAGATCGCGGAAACCGAGCGACTTGATGTCATTGAACAGACCAGAGGACTGGTCGTGCTTGAGATAGGTGCCATCGCCGGTCTGGTTGGGCAGAGGCTCGCGCGAGGCGTGAATAGCTTGCGCATACTTTTCGAAAACAGCAACGACTTCGGCGCGGTTCACGGGTTGCTGCTTCTCGTGCTTCTCATGCTTCTCTTCGTGAGAAGAAGACTTGCGCGCGGGTTGTGCGGCCTTGGAGAAGCGCTTGCTGTTCTCCTTGGAGCTCTTGGGCTGTTCGGCGTCGCCATTGGAATCCTTGTTCCTCTTGAACTGGGTAGAGAATCTCCGCAACATTGCGACGGCTGTTTATGAGGCTCTCTGACACAGATAGGAATGTCACTCAAGAATTGAGCGCTGAAAGGTACAGGACAAGGAAAATTATTAGACAAAAAACACAGGAAACAATTAACAATGGCTACCAAAGGCCAGATCAGGGGGGAAAAGAGGAGGGGAAGAGTTGACAAATATTGAGCGCGCGCATCGCCGGGTTTAAAAACGAGCTGTGCGGGCAACCCAAGTCAGCTCCTGCAGGACTGTGGAGCATCCGCAGTGGCGGATTTGTTATCACCAATAGTTGATTGAATGGAAGGGGCTGATCTGATTGGGAATGGAAAGGTTCGTGAGACCGGCTAGCCTCGATCTGCCCAGAGCCCGTGGTTCAGGGCGAGGACTTTGGTTGCCAATCACACCTGTGGCCCCGCGTGGGACAAGCTCAAGAGCTGGACGAGTGGAGCCAGCTGGAGCTGATTCGGCAGTGGAGCCAGTTAGACTCTTGGAGAGGAGGATGGGCCATGATGGCACCTGCAATGACGAACCACACTCAACACAGGAAGAGATCATCCTGCAGGCCTTTTTCCCGTGGCTAGCAGTGGGGGAACAGCTCCAAGTTTGCTTAGTTGCTTGAGAAAGGGGGTGGGCCAGACAACTTTGACACGGCACGTCGGGGAGCAACGCTTTAAACCGGGTCTTTTTTGATGGACAGGACTGTCCTCGGTGCAGTACTTCGTTTTGAATCAGTCATGTAACCATCTTCCATGTATACTTTGGATAGAACATTTTTCTGCCTTCATCTGACAGCATTATTGCGAGGTGGAGAAGCCAGCTAGAAGAAGCCAGTCATGTTGGGGACTGGTAGTCGACGTCACCTAGTAGCATCAACAGCGTCTCCCCTACGTGATGATGGGCAGAGCTCACCACGAGTCGGGTTCAATGTGATCAATGACACCCGCTAGTGTGTAGCGGTCTGTTACTCGAGAAAATGAATCTCGGAGGGATTCATAGCGCGATCCAACGAGACGGACCAGATGGGGGTAGTCGAGGCGCTAAGTGGGGGTGCTAGTGTGCCGCGCTTGACCTCCCGATCGGAAGCATCTCGTCCAGGTGGCTGGCTGGACACGATTACAAAACGAGCAGGCTTGAAGGGGGGAGATTCCAACCGAGGGAGGCTGGTTGGGTGAGAAGCGATAGCTATGAAATTGGAGGGGGCCTGTCATACACTGGCTAGTGATCCAGTGACTTTTAGCCAGCGACGCAAGGGAAGCGTACTTACTGCACGGAGTACTTATGGTGGAAGTATCCCCTACACCTGCGCTTTGTAGTGTGAGCCTGAATAATACAGGTCAATCGTGTGTATGGAATTGTCTTACTGAACCTAATATTATGCACAATTACTATTTCAGTTCAGTTGCAGGTGAAGATTGGAATTGTACGGACTCCTCCTATCCTATCATGAATCGATTGTTGATGATTTTTCCCACATCGGATCGGCAGACCCACCTGTTCGCCCACCGACTATGGACTTTTTAGGGCCTTTTAGTGCAAGTTAGTGGCGACCAAATTTGTATTTAGCGGGCTTTTAGTTGACTTTTTAGTGGCGAACGGGCCGACAGCACGAACCGCATTACGGCCCTGGTCATTGGCAGTCAAAAAATCGATGCTGCCTGTCATCATCACCAATTCATCAGAATCTGATTATCGCGTGCCCCGGCCATCTTCAGGGTCTTGTTGTACCCTTCACAGTAGTATTTCCCCCTTACTATGTTATTTCTTCCTCGTGATATTGGCGAAGGGCAGGTACTTCGACACAAGGAGAGCGTAACCTCCACCAGAAAATCTATGATTAGTACGGAGTATATCTTGATCCTCCGTGTAGGTCGTGGTATCTCTATCGCAAGTGTTCTCCATCGCGCCAATAAATATCAGCGAAGATACGATTCCAGATCCGATCCAGACAAGATCTCAGACCTTCCGGGTATCTGGTCACGGTGTGGGTGGTTTATCAAGGAACTGAGATCCTGCAGAGTCCTGACTCGCGTGAAGAACTAAACCACGGCTCGAGCACTGATGGTACGGTAAGTCTGGGGCACGGCCGCTCCCGAGGCTGGCTGCGACCCCTCCTCCGAGGATGTATCAAACGTACCAATTATGATAACAGAGACAAGAGAAGAGGAGCTTTTAGCCCCATCATCGTAGCATTTTGCCCCCTATGCGAGCACAATGCGAGTTGGAACGATCAACCAGGAGGGTTCAGAAGGTGCCACTAACTTTACTCCGTGTTGCATCCTCCGCCGTCAGAAGACGCCAGCTGAAGCCAAGGATCCACTCGCCGAAAATTCTTTCCTCCCTTGGCTTTTCTAGCACTTCCATCATCTTCACTGCAACTTGATTTGCACGATGATAGGAGAGGAAAAGAAAAGTTGCGGTCCGCGTCAATAATATGGCCACTAGCTCCGCAAAGTTCGCGGGGGGGGCATGAATCTTCAGATGACGGCACAGACAGGTGGAGACGGTGGGTGGGGACGACAGGTGGATCACGGCCGAGCCAGGCTAAGTCGTCCTACTCTAGTTAGTTCATGCTGGCCCGGCTTGAGTTCGTCGATTCACTCGATTCATCTAGGTTCATTGCGGCTGGTCTGCCCGTCAGAGCCACTCGATCGCAGTCTCAGCAGAGCTTTTTGATTGAGAACCCAAGAGTCACGGCAACTCAGGATACAGCTTTGATCCAGTCGTCCATCCCTTACACCCCTGGACCAAAGCACAGGCACCACATCATTGGGAACCCGATGTCAATCCTTGTCCGCGTGGGGAACGATCGACAAGAATGTCCCGAACCCTGGCTATAGCGCCGATATCCCATAGGCTCAGCTTGAACGCCCACTGGGTCCAATAGTGGCCATTTTGTTGTAGCAACAATAAACAAAAAGGACGGCGGTTCCCTTTTTTCCAGCAAGCCCCGTCAGGCCCGGGAGGAAGACCATACGCCACTTGCTAGGTGAGATTGGATTCTCCGCAAATCAAATCGGTACGGAGTACGGAGTACATACGGGAGTTGTACAGGAGGCTTGGTGCTGGAGGTACTCCAAGCTCGGTACGTCGTACATTTGGCCCATCCTCCGCAAGGTAGGCGTCCAGCCTGGATGGTAAAAGCAGCAAGATGATCCGAGGCACGGCAATTATTGGATGGGAAGTGGCCTCGATAGAGATCGATCATGCGTGTCGAGACGTAGGGTTCTTTTTGTGCGACGTGAACAGGGGGATGGTCGGTCACAGATCCGTGGAAAAAAATGTCAAACAGTCCTGTGAACGTGGAATTGAGGGAGAAATCTGAGCTTTTCTGGCAAGGATCAGAGTGTCATAACTTAAAGGTTGTCATTTTTTGGATTTATCAAGAAAATAATAAGAACACGAAAGAATAATTGAAAAATCAAATAATACGAGAAGAGCAAAACGACCGTGCAGTGAATCCGCGATTGGAATGTGCCAGCCCCCCACCACCCACCACCTCGCGGCCCACTCCAGCTTGACGTATTCTTTCGGCCGGCCTGCAGCGATCGTCTCGGTGGGTGACACCTTGCGAACATTCCTATCCTGCCAATCCTGTTTGAGGCGATTCCTCCGTTTGCTGATTCCTCTTCTCCGAAACCCTGTCGTTCGTCGTGCGCTTGGGTGCTGTTCGCGCAGAGTGTTTCTCTATCGCGTATATAGTCCGCGTCCCGTCGGACAATCCGAGTTACGCCCTCGATAAACCCGCATCATGGCTCAGTACACGGGTCCTACCCATCCTCACGGTCCGCCGAAGCAGTTTGTGCTTTGCTTCGATGGCACCGGCAACAAGTTCGCAGGTGACGAGTCTGATAGTAATGTGTTGAAAATCTTTCGCGTATGCTCCTAACTCCTCCCCTGGCTCTCGACCACTCTACGGGAGATAACAAGCTAAACAAACCGGGTCCCAAATCTATAGATGCTGGATCGTAGTCAGAGCCATCAATATCACTACTATCAACCCGGAATCGGCACCTACGTAACCACCAAATCGCTCACCAGTCATGGTCGCATTCAACGCATCAAGTCCTGGTACCAAAAGGCCAAGGATTCAGCTATCGGCTCCTCGTTCGATGAGCATGTCATGGGCGGCTATAAATTCTTGATGCGATACTACTCCCCCGGCGACGAGATCTATTTCATCGGTTTCAGTCGCGGCGCATACATTGCGCGATTCCTAGCCGAGATGCTGGATTATATCGGCTTGCTCGAAGCTGGAAACGAAGAGCTCATCCGTTTCGCCTGGAAGACATTTGCCAAATGGCAGCAGCGTGCAGGTGACAGCGACGCCGAGAAGGAAGAGAAGAAGAAACTCTTCGAGTATATGAAGGCCTTCCGGGAAACCTTTAGTCGTCCGATTTCGCGCATCCGCTTCATGGGTCTCTTTGATACCGTCAACAGTGTACCTCGTTTCGAGAACGCCTGGATGCAACGCAGCAAGTTCCCTTACACTGCGCGCAGTTCCGCCAAAGTCATTCGTCACGCCGTTGGCATTGACGAGCGCCGAGCCAAGTTCCGCCAGGATCTCATCTCAGGTCCAAGGCAGCATGGTAAGCACAAGCGACACCGCCATCATCTGGATCCGCGTCGCTTTGAGCACCATTTGATGAACCGACATGCGGACGCCCACCACCACCTACACGTTCGCCATCAAGATCATCACGAGGCTACTACCGAGCCGGAGGTCCCTGCCATCACGGTGAACGACAACGGTGAGCTACCCCAAAATGGTGATGCAGAGCCCGGTACAGCAGCGTCCACCTTTGACGTCCCCGGATGGGGTCCCGCCGCTGGCGAGTCATATTACCATGCCCCGCGCTACCACTCACCAGCCCCGGGTAGCGAGAGCAACGCAGGGGAGAAGACAAGCCAACGCTACCGCGCACCATCTCCTCGACGCACCAGTCTCGCCGTGCCAAAGCCCGCCCCCTCAGTCGACGACCTCCAATCTGTCTGCAGCGGCCATTCCGGCAACCTATCGATCCAACTCCCCAGCCAATACGACGAAGAATCCGAGGATGAAGACGACCAGGACATTCACGAGGTATGGTTCCCAGGCTGCCACGCAGATATCGGCGGAGGCTGGAAGCTGGGAGGCGGCGAGATGTGGGCTCTCAGTCACGCACCCCTAGTCTGGATGGTGCAGGAGGCAAAAAGGGCTGGTCTGGAGCTGGACGAGCGCAAGATGAAGCAATTCCAGTGTCTGGAAGAGTTTGATGGCGACTATACACCCATCCAGGAGGACCTGGCAGCGCGTCGGCCCAGCCAGTGCGTCGAGGGTCACGGCGATAACCGGGATGCCTTCCGGATTTCGCCTGATGAGAAACAGCGCTCTGCTGCGAGTCGAGATTTCTGGCATGCATTGCACACTTCCAGCACGAAGGGTTCTTTACACGACTGCTTGATGTTCAATCAAGGTCTACCAGCCATGTCGGTCATCTCGTGGCGGATCATGGAGTGGCTGCCCTTCCGACGGATGGATCTGCAAGAAGATGGCTCATGGAAGCCGATTTGCTGGCCACTACCGCGCGGCGAGGTGCGCGATGTACCACTCGACGCGGAGATTCATGTATCGGCTATCCGTCGCATGCAAGCAGACCCTAAGTATCGCCCCGGCAACGTGATCGTTGGTGGCGGTGGTCGTGGTGTGCGTGTTGCACCAGAAGCGTATGGTATGGGTGAATGGATCGTCCTCAAAAATGAGGGCGACGGTGTTCGCGAGACTTACGTTCGGAAGAGCGTGGCAACCAAGTGTAGGGAAGCACTGGAGCAGAAGCAAAAGAAGGAGTGCTGTGCGGTGCACTGATTCAAGCGTTATGTCTTGTTGAGTTCTGATGATGCCGTTCACCTTAATACCTTCTTCATGTACCCCACTCTGTACCTGCTATACCTACCCACATAGTACCCCAGTTATTCCCACACAGTTGTACCAAATGGATATATACCAATCCTGTGCAGTCGAGACTGCGTCGCCTCCATCGAGGTGCGTAGAGCTGTCTAGAACTCTGTAGTCCAGATCGCAATCGCCCATCTAGCCCATCCCTGCAGCTTTGAGCTGCATAGACAAATAAGATCATGTGGAACAATAGCGCCTGGGTAGCCCACGTAACTGGCAATATCCAATATAGTTTCACTGCGTTTATGGGGTTGCAGACGGTGAGATCATGGCAATAATTAACAACGCTGAATCAAAAAAGGAAGGAAGAAGGAATATTGTTGTCGGAGCCGACATGCGCAGAATCTCAGGGACATCAACCTACAGCGTGTCAAACTGCATCTTAATTAGAATTATCTCAAGCAAACCTCAGCCTCGGCGTCGCCGGTCTCAATTTTGTATCTGCTCCACCCGTGGCACTAAAGTTGTGGGGTCATGGCTTGGGAATCCATGGTTCTTGGTGCATATCCAAAGTAACTTTGCAGTATAACGGTTGCCAAGGCTGAGCACATGTCGTATTTAGAATGGTGTCGCATACATTTTCTGCTGCACACATGGAGTGGGTTTAAGAGAGGACATTCAGGTTTTGTATCTTTAGAACCAACTTTCTGATCTGACCCTGTAGGGCATCGTTCAAGGTATAAGTCAATACAGATCTTCTAATAGAAATAGAACCCGGCTTCGAGATTCTAGGAATGGAATTCGATTACGGAGTGAAACGGTCAACTGGAGTTCTGGCTGAATGACTCGTGTAGATACTTACACAAACTAATAGACGTCAAGCACAGCAACTGTAAAGCCTTGTCTCGACATTGAGTTGAGTTACCATGGACCAGCTCAAGCCACTGACATACATTGTTCAAGCTATGTTTGTGATTAGGCCGGTCATAAAAATAGACTCAAAGCGGGAATTGAGCCACTATCAGAACCATTCTTGGCTTTGCAACGGTATCGAGATGTCTGGAACAAAGACATTTGACATTTCTTTGCTTTGGGAATGCTCTTACAAGCATGTTCTAATCCCAAAGTAATAATGGCTCATTGATGATTCATGGGGTAAATATAGAAACAAAAAGAATAAGCAGGAGATCTGTTTGCTATGACAAGGACTCGAGGGAACACTTTTTGCATGTGAAAATCACGATACAAACCCATGGATACACAGCTAGTTCTCTACAATCTCTACAAAGTCTGAATTTCCGGATAGACTCCTGACGTCTGCAGGGTTCTCAAATATCGAACTAATCTGCAACCAAACGTGGCTTTTATTGGCGGAGGGGAGGATTCTATCTCCGTCTCGCATGAGGAAGTGTTCCGGGACAGAGAAACAGTTCAACGAGGAAGGCTTCAACCTCTATTTGTTGAAAGGTCTTTCCAAATGTATTTTGAATTGTGTTTTATAACTGCTTACGTAGTGTTTTATTTAGTTGATCGTCCTAAGATTTGTCAGATTTGTCAGGGTTTCATACCGGCTCCTCTAGAAACTTCTTTCTTTATAGAAAGTATCTAGTTGATTGCAAGATAGAATCAACAGAAACAGAGGATTTCGATATTCTTGAGTAGCTAGACGTGTCTGACATAAACAATGATCTTCTCGTTACAAATTGAGATCTTACTAAAAGAGTATTCAGCCTGACATACGCAGGGCGTGTCAGGTCCCCAATCGGTCTGGGCCTTGGCTCCGTTTCGCCGCAACCTTTTTTTTTCTCTCCCGAATCTTTGACCTCACCATTTCTCACTCTCTCTCTCTCCTTTCCCCCTACACTCATTTTTTCTCCATCCAAACGTGCACTTTTCTCTCGGAGCTTGGCCGGTCCAAGGTTATTGATCTTTTTTCCAATCCCCCCCCCCCCCCCCCCCCCCCCCCCCACCTTTTTCCGTCTCTACATGATGCGCCCGGCGTAAAACCCCCAACCGCTCCTTTCTCCTCTCACCACCTGTCCCCCCTCTCACCTTCCCTCTCCCTCTTCGCCTTCCACCCCCCTTTTTCCCATTCCACCACGATCGATCGCCTCGGTCGCAACAGCCATGGATGGGTCGCACCCACCTGAGGCCATGCGCTCCTCTCACTCTGACTCCAGAGACCCCACCGGGCCCAACTCCGGAGGTGCCCCGGAACGAGTACCAAAAGAGGACGTCATGATCACTCTGTCGCTCTCTCCCGAACCCCCGGCTCCTCCTCGGACCCGATCCCCTTTGGCCCGATCGCATCTACGCTCACGATCACTGGTGGGAATCCCCGGCATGCCTTCGATGACGCGCGCCTACTCCTCCCCAGGGATGGACTCGCGAGGACGATATATCTTCGTCAACGGCCGCGGGGTGCCAGCGCCGCAACCCACCATCGACTACGCGAAGCGATCCACGCCCTTGCAGATGCGCTCCGACGATCACATCGAGACCCGCCTTGGTTCGCTGAACATTTCCGAGACCATTTCTGAAAATGCCGAGCTCGAGACAGTACCGCGATCTCCATCCTCGCAGTCGGGCTCCTCGCCAGTTTTGATGCCACAGACTTTCCCGCGCATCGGTCGCCTGCGTTCCACCTCTCCTCTCCATTTCCAGCAACCCATCAGCAGTCTCCCCTCGATCCATACCTCGCCTACTCTCGGCGGCCGATACAACGAGGCCTATCCGGTTCATTCAGCCTCCTCCGCTTCCTCCGTGCCTTCGACCCCGACCAGTCTCCGCTCTCGCAGTCCCAGTATCTCATCCTTGGAGACTATTCCCGATATCCCTGACGCCGAGGCTGAAGCACTTGAAGAAGAGCGGATCGCGGAGCTCAAAGCTGCGGCAGATGCGGCCGATGCAGCAAGCACTGGCCGACGACGCGGCGGATCCGACATGTCTACACCCTCTTCGTTTGGCACAGTCCGTGGTGGTGCTAGCGCTTACGCGCCACGGAGTGACAAGCGCAAGCGTTGGAGTGTCTGCGGTGCCGAGCGCCGCCAGGACCTTGACCTAGAGACCATCTGGGAAGACTGAGGAAGGACATCCAAGCTTGACTTCACTGGAGGCTTCGTGAAAGCTCTCTCGTCGATTTCGACACACTCACGGCACAATCACAACCCTTGTCCGATCCGGCATATCTCTTACTGGAGCTTGCCCGTGGTATCAGAGGACATTCATGAGATTGCAGCATCCTCCCAGTACCCTTTCGTCCCGAACACACTTCGAAACTACCCACCTCACATATCTACTTTCTATCCGACGACGTACATACCACCCAATCATCTTCCCATTTTTCACAGCGATATCATCACACGAAAAGGAGTTTCGTTACGGGCGCTACTGTGCTTTTTGTTTCTCTGCTTTCTCGCGGCGCGATCGGAGGTGGGCCAAGGCGTTAAGCTTCTCATCTATCCATTATGCTGGCCATAATTCTTCATTCTGCTTTGTATCATCGTCACTTCATGTTCCATCCCTTTTTCTTGTTTCCCTGCTCGATACCCAGTGTATCCTATTTTCTAACGTATTTGCTTGTGCTACGCTCCGCAGTCAAAGACTCAGACTCGGAGTTCAATGATGATTCTATTTCCAAAAACAAATTACATCACTGCATAATCTCTCCGTAGTCTTCATCAAATAGCCACCTAACCTTTTAACTAAAATAAAGAAAGTCAAATCAGTGGTACGTAGTGACCCAATCTCCGTCTCCGTCGGCCCATAGATCCAACCTCAGCCAATCATCCGCGCACTGGGGGCCCCCGCCTTCTATCAACGACCGCGGTCCTCCAAACTTATCTCTCTCGCGGATGAAAGTCGTCCTAAATCCGGAGTACAGAATAGAACTGGAACCAAATCCTCGTGCAAGACCCCGCTTCCACAAATCACCTCTTTAACAGACTCACCCCGCCGCGCCATGTCTACCAAGCCCCACGTCGGCATTATCGGCGCCGGCTTCTCAGGCCTACGCTGCGCCGACATCCTTGTCCAAAGCGGCGCGCGAGTAACTATCCTAGAAGCACGGGACCGGATTGGTGGGCGAGTAGGTTTTTTCCCCGCAGTCCACGCTAAGTTTGCTTTTTTGTTGGCTTCCTGTCATGGCGAATCGGAGATCGTCGATCTTGGAGTTTTGCTGATTGGTCTTGTTTCTTTCTGTGGTTAGGTGCATCAGGAGGTGGTTGGAAGTCATTTGGTGGATCTGTATGTTTCTTTTTTCCCTTTCCACTTACATTTTTTCCTTTGATTGGACTCCTTGCCGTCGTCTGACTACAAACTAATATCAATACTAGTGGTCCAAATTGGATTCATGGCACGGGTGAAAACCCTATCATATCCATTGCGGACGCGACGCAGACTGTCGCGCATGACCCAGAGGGGCGGAATATCTCGATCTCGCGCGATGGACATCTCCTCGGTGAAGATGTTGTAACTAAGGCTGAGGAGTTCATGTGGACGACTATCGGGCAGGCATTTGAATATAGCAAACAGCATGGGGATACAATTCCTCCAGAGCGGAGTCTATATGACTTTTTCCAGGAGAAGCTGGAGCAGTCTGACTTCTCTGAGGAGGAGAAACACCTCTGTCTGGACTCTTGTAAGCTCTGGGGTGCTTATGTGGGTGATCCTATTGAGAGGCAGAGTTTGAAATTCTTCTGCCTGGAAGAGTGCATCGATGGAGGTGCGTAATATCTTTTGCCTGCGTACATCAACCAATTGTCCTTGTTGTGTTTATCTGCTAATATGTACACTCGCAGATAACTTCTTTGTCGCATCAACTTATAAACGCATTTTGGAGTACGTCTCCAGAAATGTACTATCACAGGCGGATATCCGATTTAAGCAGGCAATCGTGAGCATCGATGCTCCACCACGCAATGATGCGCAGTCTCGGCATCAGATAACTGTAGCCACAGTTACAGGTGAGCGCTACAGCTTCGACAAGGTTGTTGTCACCTGCCCGCTGGGTTGGTTGAAACAAAACGCAGAGGCATTCTCTCCGGTCCTTCCTATCCGATTGCTCGAAGCCATCCACAGCATCTCCTATGGCCGGCTAGAAAAGGTCTATGTGACGTTTCCACGGGCTTTTTGGCATACTCCCAGCATAAACACCAACGGCCAGCATGCCGGTTCAACAAGTGGCTCAAATCCAGTGAAAAATCCCGTTTTCGCTCAATTCCTCAACCCTTCCTACGCAGAGCACCCGGAAAATATCGAATGGAACCAAGAATGCATCTCTCTCGCCGCAATGCCAACACCATATAACCACCCAACCCTCCTATTCTACACCTACGGACCCTGTTCAACACACATCGTCGAGCAAATCGCCTCATTAGACCCCCATTCATCAGAATACAGGAAAGTCTTAGTCGGTTTCTTCGAACCTTTCTATTCAAGGCTGCCGGGATACGACATTACCTCACCGGATTGTATCCCCACCGCGGTCATGGCAACTCGTTGGCAAAAGGATTCTTACGCGGGTAATGGGTCTTATTGCAATTTCCAGGTTGGTCTTACACGGGCTGATGAGGATATTGAGGTGCTTCGTTCTGGTGCGGGTGTTGGATCTGAGAGGGGGCTGTGGTTTGCGGGTGAGCATACAGCGCCGTTTGAGGCGTTGGGTACGACGACTGGGGCTTATTTGAGTGGGGAGAGGGCTGCGGTGCAGGTTTGTGAGAGTCTTGGGTTGAGGATTAGTTTATATGGTGTGGGTGATTGAGGCTGCCCTTCTACTTTTTACTTATCATCAGCGGTTCCATAGGTTGGCCTGCGTGGATGCCTGGATTTGTGTATCTCTTAGCTTTCTTATTAGAGGCTTGCACGTTGGTCTACCTGCTTTGTCTTGGAAGCCTTAGTGAGGTTTGCTGCATCAACAAATGCTCTTACCTATTGACTGCCCGAGGAACCTCGTGTAGTGGGATCGAGATATATATACATTAGTATCTCCGGCGCAATACGCTCAGCATAAGAGAAAAAGTCTGTGTGTGTCCTCATGAAAGGTAGAACCTAAGTTATCATCTGAAGGATAAGTGAAATTCCAAATCCATTGACCAGGTATATCCAGAGGGTTTGTTTCTGTGCATCATGGGAGGCATTGTGTGTGAGGGCTGGATGGACGGGTCGGGTCCTAAGCGGGTCCAAGCCAATCATCTGACCAATCATATTGTTTTGTGCACCAAATCGCTACCATCCCGTCATATATCCACAAACTCCAAAAACCTCCACCCACCCACTTGGCCTACACGTTAAGGACTCGGGCTTCGGCCGGCTGGCCCAATGGCAAGGCGCTTGACTACGAATCAAGAGATTGCAGGTTCGACCCCTGCGTCGGTCAATTTTTTGCATTTTATAATCATGTTTTGGCTTTGAGACGTCTATCTTTTTGCATATGGATGCCCAGGGTAAGCGTGTGATAAAAGTCTACAAGAAAAAATGTGTGGCAGAATTAGGCGGGAAATCGAGAGGTATGATAGCCTTACAGGGTCATTGATTGCGTTTAGCCTGAGCTGTCCAATGTGTTAAAATGCCCATCTGATCATCTAGCCAATTGAGTCTGCTGAGTCAAATTCTGTAGTTGTTTGTGGTAAGGAACCTGAGCCGTTATGTGATTGGTTATTATCAAGTATTAGAGACTTATACAGTAGGCCTTGTTGACGAGTACCTCGATGGTGGTTCATATGTTCCAGATCTTGGTTCAGAGCCGTAGGTAAAATTCACAATACCAGATCTCCTTCCAAAAATATATCTCATTCGACATAGGTATAGTCACCTGGCCATGGTTCCGGTGCGGTCGGACCGATGCGCAAGTATCTCTGCCTTCCATCCCAATTGGCTTTTAGACCGAGGTAGCCGATTTAATACTGGCCTTGATGCTTCAATCCAATGTGGATCGCAGATAGCACTAAAAGTTACGAAGTATAAGGATAATCATCCGCCGTCAAATAAGACTTCGTTCATATAGTTGGTATCTCGATGAAACTGTAATAGAGTAAACTATAGTACTGCCAAGCGCCATGTCAACTAAATTTCGGAACAAGATTTGAACTAATCAACTGTCTGGAATAATGGTTCATGGAAATGCCTGATACATTATTTGGTACTTTTGGTTAATCTCAGACGTCATGCATCGATCATCAGCTGCGATGTTGCTTTGGTGAGCCATACTATGCTCTGAAAACTCATCGCTACTACAGTGGTTGTGTGCGATGAAAGACAGGAACTCCTTTTGCCGGGCTCTGCAGAGACAAAAGGCAACAGGAAACGCAGCATTCAAGCTGTTCCGACTTTTTGGTAGTTCGAGTGTTACTTGGTCTGTTCTGATGTGTAGCATGTTTTCTGCTGAACTTATCAACTGTAGTATGAAAGGGTACCTAGACCTAGTCAGATAAGTCACAAATCATGTAGACAAGACACATGATGAAGTTCCATCAAGCTGAACCAGTTCATAGACTCGATTGACTCGCATGACCAAGTTTCCTGCGATTCAGAGATTGGTAGATCTTGCCGGCCTGGTGACTAACGATTTGACTGGCGCTGCGACCGTGTCGATTAGGTTTTGCGATTGAGGCCCACAATCTACTACTATTCTACAGCTCTATTGCTACCCTATTGCGGGGTTTTAGATTGGCTGATTATCTTGGTTGATTTCTTTCTCATGCTTAGAGCATCTCTCTCGAATAGTCATTGAGAAGAATTGTCTGAACAGGAATCGTTTAGTCCGTGTGCTAAGTGCATGTCCTCCTGCCCTCGTGCTCCCAAGGTCGATAGCAAGACTTGATTTACTCGGTTTGATGAGCCTATAAGCCAATCTTAAGTACAGGATCTATCATACTCGGATCTGTCAGACGGAGCAGTCTCTAGGGTCGCGGGTATGGCCGGCCACGCAGAAGCCTTTACTCGGGCGGGCCGGTCCGCAGAGCGTGCTCGGTATGACATCACAACGTTATACTGCAAGTTGATAGGTCCACATTTAACTGGAAGTCCTTGCCGAACCCTGAGGATTTGGAAACTTATCTCCATGGAGGAATCCCGGGTAAAGTTTTCTTTGAAAAATGTGGTAGTGTCATCGATCATGCTCTTCAACCTACCAATAGGTGGAGAGCCAACCAAGTTTTAAAGACTGAAACGTGATCAGACCAAACTAGACTGTTATCTTAGCGTTCTAGGGACGGTGAAGCCTTGTTTTCGAGGCCGACCCAAGCGATGAATCAATAGAGAAGTGCAACAAGGAAGCCGGTGGGTCATCCCCGGAGATCTAGACTCTGGATAAAATCGCAAGTACCTTTTGTGGGGTGAGATTCTCAGTGTATATGCCAATCGGATTGACACGCCATTCGGTCTTCCTCGAATGTTCCGTTCGCGTCACAAGACTACATTATCTACATGCTGAAATTCACGTTCAAGAGATATATCGATATCAGGATGAGAGTTTAAAAGTGTTTAGCATATGGTTTGTTGTAGGTAGTTGAGTCATAGACAGGAAATTAGGATATGGGTTAGCCAGCTAAGCTGTTTGAAACCTGAGTATAAAATATTGCTAGGTGCTGACATGAATAGATATTATCATTCAACTAATTATCTCGATTGAAAATCTTCGGAAAGCACAGTCAAGATGAAGGGAATCAAGGCATTCGGCCTTGCCTTGGTGTACTCGAGCTTTGCCCCGTTTACATTGGCATTGGAATACTCCTTTACCCAAAACGTTACTGCCCAAGGTATGAATGGCGCTGTATCCTGTGAGAACAGTATATGCAGTCAGGCTGGGGCTTCAATGTTACGACGAGGTGGAAATGCCGCGGATGCTGTAAGTGAAACTTGACATAGAATTGCTAGTTGGAAGCTGACAGTGAAGCTATAGATTGTTGCCACAGTTCTTTGCGTGGGGGTTACTGGTAAGACCTTCAAATGACCTGGTGTATCATGAATAAACGAACTGACAGTAACTTTTAGGACTGTATAACAGTGGAATCTCTGGAGGAGGGTTTGCCCTTGTCCGACTTCCAAACAACACATACGAGATGGTCGACTTCCGCGAGAAAGCACCAGGTTATGCAAGCGAGACAATGTTTGTAAACGACAAGAATGCCTCCCAGGTTGGTGGAAAAGCTAGGTGAGTCGTCAAGAGCCCTAGAGTTTTATGAAAATCTGCTAATGCCAATGAACAGTGGCGTCCCTGGGCAGCTACGTGGTCTCGAGTATATCCGCAAACGATATGGCAAATTAGATTGGAAAACTCTCATTGCGCCAGCCATTGAGGTGGCTGATACTGGTTTCCTCTTTGGCCATGACATGGAGTGGATGGTGAACTGGACATTGAAAAATGCCCCCTTGTTGAATTCCTCTCAGCCAAATCTATTCACTCAGGATCCTGCTTGGAAGCCGGACTTTGCTCCCAACGGGACGCTCCTCAAAAGAGGAGATATCATGACTCGAAAGAGATACGCAGGAGCGTTAAGGAACATCTCAGACAACGGCGCCGAGGACTTTTACACCGGTTCAACTGCCAGAACTATGCTACGAGCAATAAGGCACTATGGTGGTAATATGACAGAGAGAGACCTGATGAATTACACCGTTGTCCAACGGGAACCAAAACAGGTCCAATATCGGAATTACACCTTGACCAGCACAGTTGCTCCCAGTAGTGGCACCGTTCTCCTCAACATTCTTGGCGTTTTGGACAATTATGATGACTTTTTCACAAATACATCAACAACAAATCGGAGCACTCATCGGATGGTCGAGGCTATTAAGTTTGGATATGCTTATGTATGTGGTTCCTTGTCATATGGTATTGCGTCGATCCTCGAGATGAATATGCTAACATAGGATCTCCCCAGAGAAACTCTTTTGGTGACCCAGGATTTGTTCCGAATGTTACCAATCTGGAGACCACTATGTTGTCTCAAGCGCGAATTCAGAGGATTTATCGTAATATTGATGATAATAGTGTTCATGGGAACGTCAGCTTCTACGACCCTGACCATAAGTGGACTCCAGAGTCGTATGTGTAACTCTACATACAAGAAGATCGCAGCACTAATCTTTGTTCCAGGTTTGGTACTTCGCATATGGTGACATCTGATAAAGATGGCTTGGTTTTCTCCCTGACCACAACGACAAATCTTCCCTTCGGTAGCCATGTCATGGTCCCTGAAACCGGAATCGTATTGAATTCCCAGATGGATGGTAAGTGAGCAAAATGTTTACTCAAAGATACGAGACTGACAAACCTAGACTTCTCTACTCCTAACACCACTAACGGATTCGGGTATCCTCCTACTCCAAACAATTTTATCAAACCCGGAAAACGCCCTCTGTCTTCTATCTCACCAATCATTGCTGTTCGCGATGATGGCAGCTTTGCATTTGCTACAGGAGCTGCTGGAGGAAGCCACATCCCTACCACGACTCTGCAGACCTTGATTCATGCTTTGGACGAAAATCTGTCGCCAAGTGACGCCTTGGCTCGCCCACGGCTGCATGATCAATTGTTCCCAAACTATGTTGAAATCCCTGACACTTACAACAACGCCACTGTCGACTATTTAGTAAGCCTCGGGCACGAAATCAAGAGAGTAGATGAGTGGAGTTACGCACAGGCAATCTCCCAATCTCCACAAGGTCTATTCGTTGCTGCAGCAGAACCGAGACAGCTTGAATCAGGGGCCTTCGCGGTTTAGTTGAACTGGATCTTGGAGATTCCGAACCATTCAATATGGTATCGAGATCATTTAATGTCTAATTGGATCGGGCTTGAGATCTTCACATGGGCCCTCGAGTGATAGCTCTGTAATGGGCTCTATCAAGAAGAAAACAGAGCGCAAGTGGTTAGTTTGAGTACTAGGGGGCTTCTGGGTTTAGTTGGAATGAACAGTCGTTGATATTCTGATTCTCAGGAAGTATACGATGGCAAAGTCTTGATCAGCTCATTGCTAGCCCAAGCTCAACTTTGGAATCCCACCCCTCAGTATCCCTCAAATATTGATATAATTCAATATACGAAGTCTCTAAACGGCCATGTTTGAATAGGCTCGTCGGCTGTTCCCTCACTACAATATCGAACTTTATTAGAGCCTTCCCGAACCTCCTGCGAACTCTACACAAAAATTAGTTAATCAATAACTTTTCATTTTTCATAGTGAAATTATCGTCACCTACCCGGTATTCGTTGAAATGACTCTGAAAATTTAATTCTATTGGAGATATAGAATTCATGTTCATTCGGATGTTTAGTAGGATAAATAGTAGAGTTGTGTCTCAATTTCAGCAAGGAAAAGTTAAAAAAAAGGAAAAGGAAAGGAAAAGAGTGACTTACCAATCCCGCGCAGGAGATCCCAAAGTGTCACCTGTCAAAGGTTAGTACATACAGTAAACAAACCTATCCAATCCGTTCGATATCAAACCTCAACTGGGGTGAGAAGTTAGCATCGGGCCAAAGAACGACTCGTGCAATTCGTCGAGTACCACGAGCAAATGAATTCAAGACAAGATGCGCGACAATTTTGCCAATTGGAGTTCCAAGCAAGATTTGAAACTCGGGCGTATTGGATTCCATTATCCGGGGATACTCATCAGTACTGGGCCAGAGAACACCTATGATAAACCCACGCGTTACGGCGTTGGCCACGTCAGCCACAAACACATACCTGAGAGTTTCAATGTTGTAGTCCTTTTCGTATACAGCCTTGGTGATTTCGGATATAAATGGGTATTGCGAGCCTTTAGGGCGATTGACGTCCTCCAGGAAAACCACGCCCTCTGCAGTGCGGCCTGTCCACCAAGAAACCATGTAAGGCTGATTCGGTAGAGACTTTACCATAGAAGTCCAGCGATATGGGGTTTTCCTCGGTGGAGAACCCTTTGCGCCTGGGATACCAGGAGGAAGAAACGTTGCATGGGTGGTGTAGTTTGTTGGCAAGTCGGCAGGCTGTTCGAGAAGCTCCCATTTGCTACTCAAAAGCCCAGGGAAATTGCACCTTGATAGCGAGATTGGGCAAGGTGCAGACGGAATATTGATCCATTGAAGCAGTCGCATACCCGCCTCCTGTTGCTCGCGGTAGTTCTGCAGTGAGTCAGATGCATTGAAAGGGGTATCCTTGCCTTCCTCACGACCATCAAGCTTGTCGCCATTTTTACTAAATGGTCTGTAGCCAGGGCGGAAACTAGATGAACTATCGTTAGCCTTCGTGGATGTTTCGGAGCTTCCCCTCTCTCCACTCATTGAATTGATAGGAGAGGGTGATTTAGATGAGCTAGAAGCTGAACCACCAGCGAAGAATTTGGGACCGGAGAGTCTTGGTCGGCGTGACATTGTTTTGCGTGATTGACTTTCTTCAACGTGACGAGTAGACTTACCAGACATGTAAAAATCAGTGACAAAGATGCAAAGTTGATCAGAATCCGAGTGGAGACTCGAAGGTATGATCGAGGGCAAAATGCCAGGAGTTGATGGCCATTTTATACCTTTTCTCTCGGGTTCACAGAAGTGTATTGCGTGAACAAAACTCATGCGTAACAAAGGAAATCAGAACGGCATTGATGAAAGACCGTGAATGTCATTTTTAGGCATAATGAAGAGACTTGACAACATGAATGACACGCCGAGAATAATTCTTTGAGACAAAGATCGATTGAATACAAAGAGATTGTCGGTCATAACAATGGCTATGACCGTTCAAAGTAGACAAAGTAAGGCAGAGTCATGATCTATAGATAGACCCAAAGGAATCTCGGGATAGGCTGTATATAGAAGTATGAGAAAAGACTGGAACAAAGACAACAATACATTTTTCTTGACCAACCTAGTGAACTCCATTCTCATTTTTCCACCGTCCTAGTCTTTGCTGTAGTTCATCTATCTGCGCAATCGAGGACAGGGATGGTCTCACTGAACGGGCCGGATACGCTAAACCCATTTAGTCAACTTTCAGGACTTTTGCCGCGGCCCTCCCAGTGAGACTTCTTTCCACTGTACTTTACCTCCAATTCTACTTCGTGAGAAATGCGTACAGCCGATGATCGCCGGTCGCGATCCCCGGCAACTCGCCGAAACGGCACGCTGCAGTCATGCGAGCCATGTCGGCGGTCGAAACAGCGATGCGACCATGAACGGCCCGTTTGCCGCAGATGCACCGCAAAGAGGATCACCGACCAATGTTTCTACCATCCAGCCCCGATGACCCGCCGGAGAGCCTCGGACCATACCGGTTCGAATGCAAATTTGGCCTCATCGAGAAGGCTGACTAGTCAGCCAACCTCCAAGTAAGCATTGATAAAGACCGAGGCACACTTATTCAAAGAAATTGACCGGCCATATCAGTGCTTCGAGTCCCGGCTCAGGCCCTTTGCATGGCGGGCGTTTATACGCACCATTAGAAGCGCCTTCTGCACTGCCGGGATACATGGGCTCCACGAGCTTCACCGCGGTCCTGGCAGAGCATCGTAATGAGATCGCATTTGAGCAGGACGAGAATGTGGAGTCATGCCCGGTGTTGGTTGTGGAGCCAGATCGAGTCCAGTCCGGAGCCGAGGTTTTGCTTTTCCTGTACAATCTGAAAGACCGTCGCAAACTAGTTGACAGGTTCCACCTGCGGTCATGGAATACGGTTGTACCAAAGATTGTTCTGGATGCTATCATGGACTCCATTGACGAAATCTTTAGCGGGTTTAATGCCAATGATCTGATGCCCCAACTGCAGAGTCTGGCCACTCAGATCTTTCAGAATTCCTCGCGAGCATTGACTACGCATCAGTCAATGACTATAAAGGAGTATTGCGCTTCGTTCACAGGCCGGAATACTCGTTGGGAAGCACTGGGGAATATTTTTACTCTGTGCGGCCAGCAGCTAGTGATCACCCCCGATAACGACCCTGCCGTTACCCAGGGAGATGACCCAGGAGCTAAGGATCGATTATTGGAACAAGTGACAGTGGCCAGTACAATTTGTCTCAATTTTTGTGACCAGGCCTCCGCTGCTAATGAAATGCTGGCGTGTCTGCAGTATAACGATGTCATGTTACGAACACAGCTCTATGGAGACTCGAGTATGCCTTCTTCCTTCTGTGCAATTCTCGAAATCTAACTGACAATGGAATTTAGGCTACCAAGCATGGCGACGACTTGGTGATCTCACAGCTACCATCTACGCCGCTGGATTGCATGTGGAATCTGAAAACTCAGATGATTGCCCTTTCTTCCTTCGGCAATGGCGCCGATGCTGCTTTACATCAGCATTTTACATGGACAAAATGATGGCTACTTTCGTTGGCCGGCCACCACTACTGAATTACCGATACTGCACGTTAACTCCTCCTTTGGATTTAAGTGATGAAGCCCTTGTAGAAGGGGGCGAAGTTCTGGATCAAGCTATGTCAGAGCTTGACAGTGCAGGCTGGAGCACAAAGGGGATTCGTCACCGAATGTCAACGGGGCGAATTCGATTTCAACTATCCGTCTTTAGAGAAAGAACACTGGAGATCGCATTGGCTAGCCACGAGCCACGGGATTTGATTCAAAAGTGCAAGTAAGTGGAAGAAAAGCAAGGTTGTACTGGTAGGTGGGCCCAGACTAACACTTTACAGTGAAATTCGTGATGGTGTACGTGCAGTGTGGGAGTCGACTCCAGACAACCTCCGATATGATCGAAGGCCAAGAGATGATTTCCACCATGGGTGGTTGACTATTGTTTACCTCTATCTCAACTACTTGTACACCTGCTTCCTGCTTCAGCGAGCCTTGATCAAGCATACGAATACTGGACAGGAGTCGCTCTGTGATATCTCGCGCCAGGTTCTGGGTATCGTGAACAGCATCACCACAATGCGCAATCCGATGGTGGACCTTGACCGGCATTACTCATGGATTGTACGTTTACCGTTCGACCTTGATATCAAAACTTGGACGTCTGGTTTACTAATCGAGATCAGGCTCTTACATACGGTGTCCCAAGCTCCGGTGTTCTTCTACTGGAACTTCTACATCAGTCTCACAAACCCGGACCACACAAAGTTGTCCTTCCACGAGCCGAGCTAGTCCGCAACCTAAGCGTGTTCATCTCGATGCTTTCTTGGATTGCACGACCCGGGCATGGCAATTATCGCGAATGCAAAGAAGCCGAGAAGAATCTGTCTCGCATCTTGGACCAGGTCCTCGACCCACAGCCTGTTCATCCAGAGATGGTCCATGATGTCACGTCCGAACTATCTAGCTTCTTGAATTGGTCAAATTCCAACAGCTGGGACCTTAGCTCGGAATATTTCCCTGCGGCGAATTCGTTTGTCCCATGAAAGTGGGATCATCGATGATCTACGTGAGAGTATGTGCACATCTGCAGTTCATCAAATCATGAATATTAGCGATGATTGGGGGTATGCAATTAACACCAGGAGCGATCATCCAGCCAGAGAGCTGCAGCTTCCCCCGAAGTGAACGCCTTCAGACAATGATCTCAAACGATCATACCATCCATACATAGTCATTCCGCGGAGGATGCTCTGGCACATAATACGCCCGGTGACATAGAGGGCAGTTATAGTGGTCTCCCAAGAACCACTTTTCGAGACACTCCCGATGAAAGACGTGCAAACACCGCAGCTCGCGAATTTCTTCCGAGCGAGCCACTTGTTCCAAACAAACGGCACTGAATATTTGTGTCAGATTCTTTGCGCGGAAAAAACGATGTTTGTGATCAAAGGGCATTCAGGTCTTACCAGACAAATTGGCTATCCACGGCTTCGGACAGGCCCATCGCACCCTTCGTGGTAGTCCACCACTGTTCCAAGGTGCGAGTCGGTGAAACAGCATCGAGGCTGCGCAAGCGCTCATCTGGATTTTTCCTCGATCGCAAGAACGCCCGGTGATCACGCCGGTTGATGACAATAGTTAGACTGGGAGAGTCAGTATCAAATCTGTGTAACCCAAACCGGGGTATAATCCAAAGATTAAAAATCAAAGAAGGAGGGGGTGTGTCAAGATTGAACAGCGTTTGATGTATCCAAAATGACAATAGTTTCCCATAATATAAGTCCAAGGAAACAGTAGAGTACTTACATTAAGCTCAAGACAATCAGCAGCACCACGCCTAGTCCGATCCCTAAGACGATAGCCATGTGGCTCGTCTTTAAACTGTGGTCTTCTCCCATGGCCGCGGCGTGCCGTTTCTAATAAGCGACAGCCAGTTGGTGAGTTGGTAAATCCTCAACCTCCTATGCTTGACGCAGCTTCCCGAGCCACCGAGGCTTCACTATGGATAAAAGGAAATCGAGCACAGAGCCTCACTGGAGAGGGGAGGTCGGTGGGAAAATGCAACAAGCGAACAGACACTTGAACAGCGTTAGCCCGGGAGTTTCAAAAAGAGAAACCCCTTCAGAGTAGTGGCTGCGATTTAGCAAAGAACAGCCGATCACAGTAATAATAAAAGGCCTCGCGCCAGCGTTCAAGGAGCTGAGCTGATGATCGACCCGTCAAAGCGGGGGAAGTTCGCTAGTGGAGAAGACACGATTCCAGCGATAGGATTCATTGGAAGAATCATGGACTCGATGGGGATTATGGTCGTCCCCCTCCCTTGTCGATGGTGAACCAATCGAAGCGAGTGGCGCTGAAAGGGATACGCGGGCCAAGGTGCTAGCGGCTGGGAATGTTGATCGGCTGGATTGCCCGTTTTCTTGGAGAGTTTCTGGGCTGGGCCTGTGAGCTTGTGGAACGCTGTCACTGAGCGACATGATGAGGTGTGCCGCGTCGTATGATTGTTGGGTTTCCAAGCCTGTTGGCTGTTGGGCGGGTTGATGTTTCCATGGAGGAGGTTGTTGTACGACGAAAGATGAAAGATGAAGCGAGGTGATGGGTGCTGTTATCAGGCTGTCAGACCTGTCACCCGTTTACTCTTCGGTTCTTTGGTTCTACGAGTACCACAGCTTTTAGCTCCTTCACTCCTCGACTCGACTCCACCCCCGCCCCCCACTGCTCTCCACCGATTTACTTTATTTTGGAGATCCACGAGACCACCAGAGAAACGCTGACATCGGATTGCAATAACAAACTACTCGTGAAGTCTTCCAGCGTTCTCAATATTCATCGCCGTTATCCCCGCTTCCTCCTTCCCCGACCGCAAGTGCACCACATTGCCCTCCTCGGGAATCCGCTCCACCACTCGCTCAAACAGCTGGTCGATCTCTTCGAGTGTCTTCTGTTTGGTCTCCGGGAAGTAGAAGTAAATGACCGGGAGTGACACGCAAAGATCTGGAACGAGATTTAGCAGGGGGCAAGCTAAACACACAGGGATGAGACACTGACTCCAGGCCACAAACACAAAATAGAACTTCCATTGAAGTTTCCCCAGCGCAATGGGCGATACCTGATTCCACAGCGTACTCACTGCCCAGTTCCCAATCCCCACCGCGAAGGCGTTGCCCTTACCGCGAATCTGCATAGGCATGACCTCCGCCATGTACACCCTGCAAACCCCTGCGTCAGTCTCACGGGCCGCACCGTACCGAATCAAAGTCCAAAGGATGCACATACCAACCAACGGGCCCATACGAGAGCGAAAATATCACCGAAACGGCGAAAAGGAGAAAGACACCGCCGATGCTGTACCCTGTGCGTTGGCCATCTGGGTTCTGCGAGTTTAACGCTGCCTCGCAGATCAGCGCGAGTGAGATCCCTATCGTACCGAAAAGTAGCGGCTTGCGGCGACCGACGCGGTCGAGGATGAAGACGATGAAAATGAGGTTTGAAATTGGACCTACGCAGTTGTACAGGCCGGCGACGAGTGTGTTGCGATTTCCCGTGAATCCGAGCGCCTTATACATGATTGTTTGGTAGTAGCCGATCACGTTGATACCAGTCATCTGGGTGAAAGCTTGCACCGCGAGTCCGTGACTAAAAGAGTTCGTCAGCCTGGGATCTAGTCACCCTTCCGAGGATCCGAGACGAACAGCATCCGAGTCCGCCATTGAGGAACGGTGAACATGGGCAGCCAGCCCTGCGCAGCTACAGATTGCTCGGCTTCGATCGTCCGGCAGATCTCGTTGTATTCCGCTTCAATCCAGGCCGAATTGGTCCCGTCAAAGTGCAGCTTGTGGAGCACCCGCTTTCCTTCCGCATATCTTCCCTTCTCGATCAGGTATCGAGGGGACTCGGGCAGGAAGATCATTCCAATAACCAAAATCAATGCTGGGACCACTTGAAACGCCAGCGGGAAGCGCCACTGGAACTGGCTGGAGTCTGATGCGTGAAGGGACCCATATCCTATCCATCTGTATTCCCCTTGGGATCAGCTGCTATCCCTACATAGCCCCAATATCATGCATGTCTTTGGGCTCTCGGAATTGGAAGGTTCTTACGTGCTGACAATAAACCCAACTCCAATCATTTGTTGTGCCAACCCCACAATCAGACCACGCGACTTGGGATGAGCAAACTCGGCTTGATAGACAGGGACGGACATGGACATGAGCCCAACGGCCCATCCTGCCAAGATGCGACCCACTAGGATCATTGCCAAGTTTTGAGCCGCTGCTTGAAGAGTTGCACCAACAAGGCATATCAATGCGCCCATTTGGATTGTGAATTTGCGGCCGAAGCGATCCATTGTCAAGCCACCTTGCAAGGCCCCGATGACGGCTATACAACATCGAACCAGGTGAGAAGGCGATTCGCAGATTCGTAGGTATTTCAAAAATCAAGACTTACCTCCACCCGAAAAGGTACTATTGATTGCACCTATAATTGCCGACGTCTGCGTAGTATTGAAGTACTGCAAGAAATTAGGCGATTCAATCACGTCCGTCATGACCCCGCTATCGTAACCGAACAGGAATGAGCCTGTCGCCGCCAACACGGCGACCCAGATTGCATAGAAGCGGCCCATCACGAGGTCTGAGAATGTCAATTTCGATCTCAATCTCGATCTCTCTGTAAAACGCGTCAACTGCGGGAGGACCTTGCTAGTCTACACCACTACATGGGTATAACCAGCTGCAGCACGATCATGGTTCTTTAATACTGCCGACGTCGAGACCCCTGCACCCTGAAAAGGCGGGGCAATCAATCGAAAAAGGGGGATATAATCTCTAGCGCAGAAAAAAAAAGACCCTAACCGAGATCCCTGCTAGTAATTGACCGGGGGTAGGAAAGTAAATGAGTGTGAAAATGTGCAATGCAGAAATCCGGGGATGTGGACGGCCCCATCTCCACGACATCCCCGAGCTGGTTTCGGAGGATCCGCCTATCAGAATGCCCGACTGACTTGCCTCAAATCCGTCCCCGGTGTGCCGAACCGTTAAACCCCCGCACAAAAGGCAAGGATATAGGACCCTCGGTTGGATTTATTGGGATATTGGCATGCTAGTATCCTCTAGTCTGACTGTATCCCGGCATAGAATGTTTCTAGAATCTGCGGTAATTGGTCTTTTTTGCTTCGGCTGGGTTGACCAAGCCACCTGGGAAACCCCGCGGTGACGCCCTGCATGAAGGTCTTGGTGGCAAAACGGTCAAAACATACGATTGTTTTCTCTTTATTGGATTCTATTTATCCATCTATGAGAGACAGAGACTTTAACTCGTGGTCTTGGTGGCTTTGTTGATTGGTATTATGTACGCAGTACTGTGTTGGCTTCAAGTATACATCCCATCTGCCACGTGACATGGACCCTCGTGAATGGTCACGTGAAGACGTGTCTCAGCGCGTTCGAAGCTTTGGTCCTGTTGAGCCACACACGTCAGCTTTGACACCAGAGACCCAAGTTGATGATGATACACGCACTTTGACAATTAAAACATGGAGAACACCATTTCAAAACTCCCCCAGAGATAGTCAACATTCCTCAGATCTCACACATTCCACCACACGTGCAGACACGCGAGCGCCCCATCGGCCAGACCAGACGGACTCTAAAGTGGAGATCCCGAATTACCTCCAACTGTATGGATGGAAGCCCGGCGCGTTCATAGTTAGGAGAATAAACCAAAGTATCTCGTAATAAATGAAGTCGAACATTCAAACTATGAAAATCACATACATAATATAGAGCTATAGAAATAAAAAAGTAAAGAATGAACCCAATCGCGTCTCGAAAGCACGGTGCAAGTCACAGGTACTTCGCGGGCGCACGTCGTGACTAGCGCGGGCCACGTTCTTGCTACCCTCCGCGTCCACATCGCGACGCGATTCTCACGGCCCTCTTCTGCATACTCGCTTCGACTTCCAGCCTCACCCCATATTTCCTCCTCCTTTTCCCTTCTCTATTCAATTACACAGTGGTTGCCTCCTTTAAACAGACTTACCTTCCCCCAATGCACTCATAGTCCAACAACCATGTACGACCCGGAGCTTTCAATGGCGGCGGCCTCGTCCTCGCCGTCATTACCGGCTGCCGACTCCAATGCCTTGACCTACGCCTTCTTGGTACACTCCCAGAAAACCCTGACTCAGAATCTACCACCTCGAGTCGATAACAAGCTGCTGGCTCGTCAAAAGCGGCGTCGGACGAGGTATGTTTTTTTTGTTTAATCGGATCATCAATGCAGCGGGACGGGCTGTCACGCGTCGTTAGACACAAAAAACTAACCATTACAACCCCCACGGATAACAGCCCGGAAGACCATGCCATCTTGGAGTCTGAATACCAAATCAATCCAAAACCAGACAAGCTCGCTCGCACACATATTGTGAATCGCGTCTCGCTCGGCGAGAAAGAGGTCCAGGTACGCGATGCCAAGACTTGGAGCGTCCACAATCTTCCCGCCGTCCGTGTGGCTGATATTTTTCTTGTGTGCTTGTAACAGATTTGGTTCCAAAATCGTCGCCAGAACGACCGGAGGAAATCGAAGCCTCTCCAACCGCACGAGCTGCTTGCACCGCACTCAAGTATGTCGGACTCGTCGGGCCACCCAGCAAGTGATGATAACGCGTCCGCGGAACCGGGGTCGTCGAGTGGGGCAGAGCAGACTGAGGTTCAGGACCGATCGGAGGAGTCTCGACCAAAGTCATGGGGCGGGGAGCTGTTGCAGTTATCAGATGAATCTGATCCGATAATGGGCGAGAACGAGAAAGATGAGATGGAAGCTCCGTTACCGAGTACACAGACCAGTGTCGCCACGGAGGCTATTGACGAGACCCCGCCAACCACGCAGGAGGAGTTCTTTGGGGCTGAATCACAACAAAGTCTGAATGAGGTAGCAGAAGAGGAATCATCGCTCCAAGTGCCCAAGCGGAAACGGTCCATGTCGGATATTCGGGGAGAGGTGGCGAGCGAGCAGCCCGCGGTGCACACACTAACCACACCCGTCAAGTCACCACCTTCGTTGCGTCTGTCACTATCCTTTGATGGCGAGGCCATGGTGCGAAAGGAGGATGAGATGACACCGTCGCCGCCCAAGGGTCGGAACTCTTTGCGTATCGCCATGTCCTCAGACGGCAAGGCCGTGATCCGTGGGGAGAATGAACCCTCCCCGTCCAAAAACCGTGTGGCCATGTTCTCTGTTCGCCGGCCCAAGATCTCAGGCCTGCGTCGCAGCAGCAGTGCTATCTTCCCAACCACGCCGCGGGCCGGCATGGCCGAGCCCGATCGAGTCTTCGGTCGCTCTCGCGACCCTCGAAACTGGGAGTCTGCCTTTGACACGGATGCACGAAGTGCCCTGTCCACCCCAATGTCCTCTCAAACAGTCCCCACCTCTTCCCCAGGCCTCTTCCAATCGCGCAGCCAGCGCTCATTTACACGGAGTGCATCACAACGACACAGTCTGATCTCAGTCCATGCCGATTCCGCCCGCACACCAATCTCCCAATCAATGGGCGAAAAGAGGCGAAAGCTCTCTCGGACCGTCTCGTCACTGGGCAGGTTAGAAACAGAGCGGAATCGAGGGTCCCCCTACCAAGTATCCAAACTGTCCAAGAACATGACCTCCAAGTCTGGCAAGCAAGATCTCGACCTTGATCCCGGTGACTCGGACAAGGAGAATTGGATCCCAGGTACTCGAGCCACACAAGTCCGTCGGCGCACTACCTCACACGTCCCACGGCCCGCCCTGCGTGATGCCAACCGCAAAAGCGGCCTCGGCATCATGTCCGGGAGTAAACGCAACCGGCAATACCCATCCGGTGTCCAGGGTAAAGCAGGGCCCGATCTGAGCGCAGAGGTATCAGCCTTTATGGCCGGCGGTGCCGGCGGTAGTCAAGAAGATGACTTGGACTGTGTCCAGGGTCTTCTATCCCTCAGTCAAGGGGCATGGCGATAAGACCCGATAAAAAGATAGGGAGAAATGAAACAAACAGCCCATTTGTCGAGGTCAATGTCATTTATCAATCATCGATTCCCCCCTTGTTTTTCCCTCTATTTCCTTTGTTTGTTAACACCCACCTTTTTCTTTTTCTCTCTTGTCTTCATGATTTTCGCGATGTGTGCTTGCAAGCGGTCGTTGCCACATCTGTCACGTGAATGAATCCCTTGTTTCCAAGGTCTGTCTGTCATCTTGTCAAGGCGCATCCTCCTTTGATTTCTCTCCTGTACACCTGCTTTGTGTGGTTTAAGGTCGATCTCCTGTTTTCGGGTGAAGATGGCCTTCGTTGAGTAGCCGCGGAGCTGTGAGTTGGAGAAAGTGATGTGTCTTTCGGCGGGGTGCTGATTGCGGGAGGTAACTCCCGGTGTAGATCTACTAATCCTGGAATGAAATCCCAGTTACGACCATTTAAAACTAGATCTTTCGTATAAAGTACCACATTGTAACCGAGCTGCTGTACAGACCTATTTAATGGTCTTGATTAAATTCTATACATGATGTGCTGATTATCAAGCTCGATTAATCCAACCAAGAGAACAGAACCTCATAGAAAGCTTGAGGATCCTGGAGGAAGGGCGCATGGCCGAGACCGGGGAACATATGGAACGTGCAGTTGGGAATCATAGCTGCAGCCGCAGGACCGAGTACATCATAATGACCCAGCTTCGCAGCAACAGTAGCGGACGACCAAGCCTTTCCAAGGGCTGTAATATCGTTTTGTCCAACCATGAGGTAGGTACGCGTTTGCAGGTTAGGCAGCTGGTAGATAATCGGCTGGCTGAGCAGGGCGTCGGTAACGAGGGCCATCACATACGCATACTGTGAGCCATAGTCGCCAGCGTAAATATTGGCCAGCATTTGGACCCAAGTATCGTACTCAGGCTTCCAGGTAGCATTGTGGAAGTAGCTGGCCAATTCATAAGCCTTGAGGCTGGCAAAGTTCTGCACAACCTGGCTCGCGTAGGTCTGGTCAATGGGCAAGAAGGGGACGCCCTTGGCGACCCAGTCTTCCAAGCCTAGAGGATCGACGAGGACGAGCTGGTCGACCGCAGAGGGGTACATCAGACCGTAGCGGGCGGCGATCATACCACCCATTGAATGGCCGATGACAGTGGCTTTTTCGATTCCGAGCGCAGTGAGTAGGCTATTGATGTTCAAGGCTTGCTGGTTCACATTGTAAGAGTAACCCTGGGGCTTGCTCGATTTGCAGAAACCAATGTCATCGGGCAGGATGACGCGATATCCAGCTGCCGACAGTTGGCGCGCTGTGTCCGACCAAGTCACGCCGCAGAAGTTCCCGCCATGGAGCAAGACTGCTGTCTTGCCATTGGCATTTTTTCCTGCGGGGACGTCCATGAACGCCATCGTGAGCTTCTGGCGCTGATTGTAGAATTTGAATAGCTTCACTGGCCATGGGTAGGTGTAGTTGGACCCGTATAGGTCGTTTGGTACACGGCCATCGTAGATTGTGCCAATGGGGTCGGGGCTGGACTGTGCGGAGACGATAGCCGTGCAGGACAGGATCGCGGAGATGGCGCTGAGGACAGAGATAAACTTCATAATGTGACAAGTTGCTGGGGATGACCAGCTGAGGGCTCTAAGTGGCTGGTTTGGGAGAGCACGAAGGGCTCTCTATCAATTGATTGCAAGCGAGCAAGGAAGACGTGCTTGTTTGTAACTTTGTTCCACCCCCTGCGCGATGTGAACCTATATGTACCCTGCTGGGAAATCTGGACCCACCTGTGTTGTGCTTCTCCATCTCATTACACCCATTTGGCACTAGCCCGATAGTCTTGAGATTGCATTTGTAAACCCTTCTTATTTCGGATGTTTCGGACGCAGAGGGTCAACTTTATTGCCTAGGTGATGAACTACCATAGATTCAATATTGATTGTAGTTAAAAAGTCAATTGTAATAACTACTGCTGCTTACTCTGGAACTGGTTGTAAGTTGTCTCCTCGTGTTGCAAATACCAACTTGAAGTTAGTGTAAAAATCAAGTGACCTAGTGGGGCCCATCAAGCCAGGCTGGATACCACAAGAGCCAAGAGCCAAAGGAAATAGATTCCATATATTAAAAAGAAATAAAATATTCCGTGTTGCTGACTTCTCGGACCGAATTATCCAGTCTGTTCAACACGTTTGGTGGCTCGGTTCCGGTTAGACGGGTTTTAATCAAAAACCACTGCAACATCACTAGAACGTACTCGGAGTAGTCCTCCGCTAATGGCGTTAGTCAGGTACCCCAACAGGCTGTGAATAGATTACCTAGATCCTTCGCTGAAGTCAAATCTCCATTTCTTACGAGGGTCTCGAATCCAGGTAAACCCTTCGATCAAAGCAGTTAGGCGTCCAGATAATAATGTCGCGGAGTCCGGAATGCCCTTGGCGGGTGCCAGTCAAACTTCACTGTGTAGCACGCTATCTATATTATTACGACAATGGAACTACGCGGCCGCGAGCGAGGGGAAGAAATGGAATCCATGCTGACACTAAGAAATGCTTCCCTAAATTCATTTTGCTATCCGTCTCGATCGTTGTCCACAACGACTCGCCCACGGCGACTTTGATCAATCTGTGATGTCGCAAAACACTCCAGGCCCAAGCAGGGCATTGGAAATTCAAGTGCCATGTATTGTCTTCTTGGTCATCACGCCGGCCTTCGTGGCGATTCGGCTATGGTCCCGATTCAACTCCAAGTCGGGCCTGGGCGGGGATGATTGGACTATCTTAGCATCTACTGTGAGTTCTTCATGCGTGACTTTAGGCTGCATTAGCACACTGACAGTCTCAACGACAGGTCTTTGCAATTATTGTTATGGCATTCATGCTCGCGTCCTGTACCTACGGCTTTGGCCAACACATCGCCAATCTTACAAGACCAAATCGGAAAATAACTTTGAAGGTACCTTGAGAATTGACTTTCCAAAAATTTTCGCATTGTTGTCACTTTTCGCTGGCTCTATGCGTCCTCATCTATGGGCTGCTAACCTAGGTCTTGTCAGCTCTTTTTCGTCAGCCAAGCTTTCTACAAGCTCACCATGAACACGACCAAGATGTCTATCCTCATGCTATACCTGCGCATTTTTATCCAGCGTTGGTTCCGCATTACCTGCCACACGCTCCTGGTTATCATCGCCTCTTACATGGTAGCCGCTTTCTTCGCTTCCGTATTTCAATGTACCCCAGTACCAAGAGCCTGGGATAAAACCATTGCAGGATCATGCATTGACATAACTACCAATTGGTACGCCAACGCCGGCTTCTCAATTGCTACCGACATCATTATCTTGGCGCTGCCGATGTATCCGATTTACAAATCGAAGACGCCGTTGAAACGAAAAATTGCCTTGATGATTGTGTTTGCCCTTGGTGCATTGTGAGTTTCAAATATCTTGGTAAGACAGCGAAGAGTTTGAAACTGACTTCGAGCCTCTCAAGTGTCGCCGTTACAAGCATTATCCGGATGCAGACTCTCAACTTTTCGTCCACCAGTCCTGATACTACCTGTAGGTATTCTCACAGGGTCGCCCTCCTCTTGCTCGGACACTCACACAATATCCTCCTAGACGATATCGCCTCCTCAGTATGGACGATAACCGAAGAAAACGTCGCGATAATCTGCGCCTGCTTGCCAATGATGTGGGCGCCACTAGCTAGGCTCTTTCCCTCATTCTTTTCCACAAGTCAAGGAGGCAACAGCCATGTGAGCTTGGCTGTCAGAAGCCCGGGGCCTAACACCACGTCACGGTCTCGAAGTAGCTGGGCCCAGCTCCACGGGAACTCTGGTGAAATGGGCGACAGTATTAACCACCTCAACGATTCACAAAATCGCATCTCGGAGGATAGCACGGGCCAGATCCTGCGTGCCGGTCCGAGTGGCGAAGCCGAGTACCAAGATGCGAAGGGCATCCGAAAGGTAACGGAGTATCGAGTTTCTTATGTGGGCACAAAAAAACCATCTTCAAGCTAGACTCAACGCTAATAGACCGATGTTTTAATTTCATCTAAATTCTCGTCAAATTCGTTTAATGAACAGTCTATCCGGAGTAGAGGATGATCAAGCCTGCGAAGACGTTAGATACGCGTGTGACAGGAATCTTATCTTTCGCGCGTCCGATAATCCGAAAATCCGAGCTACTGTTCCCCATATCGTGTCTATCTCGCCCGAATAACAAATAGAGTTCACGCTGCATCGGAATAAATCCGGAGTAAAACTTGACGTCTGATTGGCCCAATGTTTTATTGTGGTAGGCTGAAACCTGACTGGCGGGAGGTCGCAGTTGAATGTATTCAAAAGTCACTGTCATCAAGCGGTCGCAGCCCCTAACATAATATCATGTCTTCAAAAAGTCCCGAATTAAAGGTTTGGAGCTTGCAGCGGTTCAAATCGACCTTCAGCTCCAGCTGGCTCTAATTAAATCTGGTCAAGTACTGGCATCCTTGCAGCTTTGACTTTGCCGCGGAAAACACTTTGTTTAAGCTAGCCACCAATTAGAGAAATGGCCTTTCTGCTGCTGTTACAATATGATAGGAAGTGGAGATCATGGCTATATACCATGACAGCAATTGCACTGTAGACTCAAGACTCAGATAAGAATGGACTCCGATTTCATTCCGGGATATGTGGAGATCGGCAAAAAATATAGCTAAATTGGGCTACACCAGCTTTGATATCTCAATGGACTGTGGCCGAGCAGCCAACCTTGACCCACCGCGGGGTGCAATTTCGGAGTTCGACTCGGCGTTCAAGTGGAGTAAATCTATGGAATTGTTGCTTGACGGCAACAATTAAGTCTAATAGCTTGGTAGTAACTACGTGAACTTCTCGATAGCTTGAGACAATTTCTCCCTTGTTTCTTCTCCTTCTCTCCTTGCTATATCTCTTCCAGAGCTTCAATACATTCACACAAACGACAGCAGGTTGAGTCTCTCAGTCTAGAGTCCCTTCGCAATGCTGAACATGAACACTCCGGCGACCCAACGCACGACCACATCCGAGCCATCATTTCAATCATTTCGCAATGTCTCCGCCTGCAATCGCTGCCGTCTACGCAAGCATCGCTGTGACCAGCGCCTCCCGCGCTGCGAACCCTGTGAAAAGGCAGGGACGCGCTGCGTAGGCTATGATCCACTCACAAAGCGAGAAGTTCCGCGCAGCTATGTGTGTTTCCTCGAGAGCCAGGTCAAATATCTCAAGCAGCTATTGATTGACCACGGGATTGAGTTCAAGGCGACCATGCCATTTGATGAGAAGGAGCCATCGCGAATGGGTGCCATAAGGCATAGCCTATCCCAAAGGCAGGAACTTTCCGCTGGGAGAGCTGGATCTGAGGCTAGGATTGAGCAGAAAAACGACCGCGCCTCGCTTAAGAGAAAGCTCGGTTCTTCACCCGCCGATAATACTTTGCCTCCGCGACAATTGAAGCGCGTCTTGCAGCTAAACTTGATTCTCAAAGACCTGCTCACTGAGAGCTATGCGTCTTACCATTGCGACAGAGAGCATGTGCAACCTTCTCCACGGACTCCTGTATCCACGCAAGCCATGCAAGGCATCTCGATTCCGCATGATCAATATTCAACGCCAGAACTAAGTGACGACCACGCGAGTTCTGATTCAGGATCTGGGTCTCCCGAGTCACTACAAATGCACTTTGATGACTCGAACTCGGCGCACGATATTCCCGTCATGAGCGATGAATTCCAATACAAAAGACCATATACACCACAAAGGAGTTTCACACCAAATCTTAACCCGATGCATCCCAATTTGGACACCCTTGAGACGAAGCCATTGCTCAACACGAGCTCTCCAAATATTTCTCAAGGGGTTCCAGTGAAGCAACCCGTCTCTGCTGAGCCAAAGGAATTGCAAGCTAGTTCTGAGATTGGATTTGGCTTTCCATCGGAAGCAGATCAAAAGCAAAGCGATCAAAACACTTACGACTTGTTGGATGAATTTCTTGTTGGCTGGGACGAAGACCGGCTAGGAATATGCTAGACGGTTCTTGCATGGCATGTCTAATTCCTATTGGGTTTTCCAAAGCTCTTTCCAGGGGTCTTTCCAATGGTTGTTTAACCGGTCGTGGCTAGTATGTCACCTTTAGAGAAGGATCACGCCCAGGGCAAACTCAGCAATGATATTGCTAAAGGGGATTTCCTATCCTTTGAAAATGCCCATGAACGCGGTTTATGGTATGCACAGCATCTAAATCTTGGGGAAAATAAGCCTGTGGGCCATCTGGAAATATACAGATTAGTGCGGAGAACACATCGCTATGTGCCGCATGCTATGGCAACCGGGCCTACCCGACCAAGATCAAAGTCTACACTATTGGTTACTCGTGATAACAATCTATGTATCTAGTACAAATATCATATACTGCATGTCTTAGAAAGTTTCTCTTTGCGCCAGGGCGTATTAGTTCGCCTCACTTCAACCCACCGCCTCCTACAAGCAACTACCACTTATTCTTAGTTGTGAATGAGGCAGCCCTTTAGCAATATTTCTTATGCAATGACCTTCAGCTCAACGCTGTTGTAACCCAAGTGTTTTCTGGAGTCTGGAGTAGCTAACAACCGTATTCCGCCTATAAACATCTAGCGCGATGCGATAAGGCTGTGGATGAGGTTGCAGAAGCATGTGATGTCAATAGGACGCCTGGTTACCGGTGGAGGAGGTTGGGGGCTAAAATGGTCATTATTGCCGAGCCCTGGTGCTTTAACTCCTTTGAAATAATCAATCTGTCATCCGTAACATCTCAAATCAATTGACCTATTCTCTCTACCATGAGTCCATTCAAGATAGTGGAGCATACACTCCCAGGACAACACATCCGCGAACATCCCCACGCTCTCAGCGGCCGGCAAGAAGGCGTGGTGCAGCTCGCGATCAAACAGTACATTCCCCTCGACCAGCCTACTCCAGTGCCCGACAATGCAGTTACTGTCATCGGTGTGCATGGCAATGGCTCTCTTAAGGTAAATAGTCTTTCTCTGAACTGATCCACAATCACCTGGCCGCTAACCAGAGCAGGAATTGTTTGAGCCACTGTGGGAGCATTTCTATGAGCACTTAAAGAAACGATCGGTGCCGTTACGTGCCATATGGATCGCCGATGTCTCCAATCAGGGGGCGAGTTATGTCCTGAATGAAAAGATCATAGGAGATACTCGTAGGGCCCAAAACGCTCGGTCGCAGTAACATTTTGCTAACCCCGACTAGCCAGTTGGTATGACCACTCGCGCGACCTTCTACATATGATCAACCACTTTCGCGATGAGATGCCGCGCCCAATAATTGGTGTCGGACATAGCATGGGCTGTGCTCAGCTGTTCGTTGTCCAACCCCCCCATTTCAGGTCAACATCCGACTAAGACTTTCTAGTATCAATCTCTCCATAATCCACCCACGGCTACTTTCAACTCTGGTGCTCTACGAGCCTGTCATCTTTGACGAAAACATCCGTTCAGTCGTCAATCCTGCACGATTTGTCGCAAACAGACGGGATCTCTGGGAATCACGAGATGCAGCAGAAGCCACGTTACGCAAAAGCCTGCGAAAATGGGATCCTCGAGTCGTCGATCGCTATCTAAAATTCGGGATCCGATCTGTCCCAACACGACTATACAACAAAGAGACCAACCCTGATCTTCCTGACTCTGCGATGACCCTCACGACTACCCGACACCAAGAGTCTTGGAGCTACACCATCCCCAACCTGGAGCCCGAATCGGCAGGGCTGGATCGGCTATTACTAGCCGACTGGGATCCCAAGACTGAACGTCCTCTCAGTTTTGGCCGACCAGAGTGCTGGTCGTGCATGCGTAATCTGCCCTACCTTCGTCCCAGTGTGCTATGGGTCTTCGGAGGTCGCAGCTATCTCTCGCCACCGGAGGCGCAGGACTCCAAGGTTCGTTCCACTGGCACAGGTGTCGGGGGAAGCGGTGGTGCCGATCAAGGTATGGTGAAGAAGGTGGTTTTTGAGGATGCATCACACACCTTGGTGTTCGAGCAGATTGACCAAAGCGCTGACGCGGCAGCCGAGTGGGTGCAGAGTTGGTTCCAGGGCTGGCTAGCAGATGAAAAGCTCTTGGCTGGATATCAGAGTAAGAGATCTGAGCCTGGGATGTTCAAGGCCTCAGAGGGCAGCTTAGGGACTGCAATGATGCCACCTCTTTCTGAAAGGCCCAAGGGAAAGCTGTAGAGCCTACTTTTATGGTATGCGGTCAACACTAAGGATTTTGAACGGTATATTTCAACCTGGACAGAAAAACTAATTGAAAGAGGTACCCATTGGAAAGTGCCATTTAATTCACATCAGTCTCTATAGAGGAATCTGGATCAACCCGAGAGTTAAAGTGAAAGATCCACTAATCACCGAACTCTACCTATATTTTAGACCTTCAAACTCTGCTATCTGAGATTAACTTTTTAGGCACATCCTTGTGAGAACTACGATCAGCTATCTGCGTTTTTCTTGTGCAAAAAAACAATGCATTAGCCAACCGAAACGAATCTTCGTCCGAGGGGCTCGGTGCACGGCCGAAAGAGAATCCTTGGCTCCAACTTTTAGCCTCGAGCTTATTTGACCACCACCACACCACACTGGCACACGTCGGTCACCCCGTAACCACTGGGGATCAGACCTGAAAAGAAAAAAAAAAAAACAGGCATTGCTGACATGCCTTCTAACGGCTAGTCTCGAACGAGAAAAGTCTGCCAAATCCAATCGTGATAGGATCGCCAGCTCTGGCATGATGCGTTGTGCCCATGAAAATGTTACCCGCTCATCCAAACGTCCCGTCCCAAGCCAAGCCCACTCGACGAGACAAGCGCGTCTCTCAGAGGTTCCCGTTTTAAGCTTGGGGTCAGCTTGGCAACCGCTTCATTGGCTCGCTTCGGTGGGCTATTCAGACACCTGTGACTTCCAGGGTCCAATTCCGTCAAGGGCGGATACTGCACCCTTTGTCCCGCCATGGCTATTAATATGCTGACATCCTACTCGAGCCCCCCTCTGGATCAATTTTCGCAGATTGTCAGACGCCGTGTGGGAATGCACGGGCCGATTGACCGAGCAGGAACAGCCAGGAGGGACCTTTACTTACCGCGAGGCACGTACGTCGGAACCCGTGTCGCCTGGAATTGCTGCGGTGTCATCAGCGCCCAGACTTGTGGTGCGGGCAAGCTGAGCCGCACACTTTCTTCAGATCTCACTCGAGACTCTCGGCGGGCGTTTCGGGGCGTGACGGGCGTGATCAGTGGCTCTCACAGTTAAGAAAGCGCCCACTGGCGCAGAATGAATGACTACGACACACGATTAAGATCATATACGTGACAACCACCTAAATCCTATCCGGGAACCTGCCCGACAGCCAGCGCATCGATTCGGGGATGTGCATCATATCATCCACGAGCAAATCCTCACCATGGTTGGCGTTCCAAAAAGCAAAGGATGCCAGACATGTCTCCAGCGGCGGGTGAAGGTAAGCACCATCTCCTCCCCGCGGGGAAACCAGAATAACCATATCTAACGGCAACAACCCTGGCTATAGTGTGATCTACTACGCCCGGAATGCACTCAGTGCACGCGATACGGCGCCGACTGCCCTGGCTATACTCGTCCCCATAAATTCATGGACGAAGGCCCACAACTCCGCCAACGCTTCAAAAAGAAGCAATCCCAGTCTACCCCTACCCCTACCCAGCCTCCCGACTCTATCGACGAGCGCATCTTACCGTCCCTAGTAGCACAATCAATGGGCAAACAACAACCCGTCGTCTTTGGCTCCTTCGTCCTCACAGCATTCACACGCTGGTTCGGACTAAATCGATACCGAGTCCATGTGCCATGGACGGAATACATCGCACAGCATGGAGGCCAAAGCCCCGCCTTTGACGCAGCGATTTTCTGCCTCAATGCCATTTTCATGGGTCAGAAACATAGCAATACAATGCTCAAGCGCTCAAGTCGCGAGGTATATAGCAATGCGCTGCGGTTATTCGGTGGTCGGATTCGCAACGCAGATGCGATGAAGTCTACCGAGAGTGTGAGCATTACTATTGCATTGAGTCTGTTCGAGGCATACTCGCGCACGAACCCGGACTCGTGGGCTCACCACGCAGCCGGCACTGCATTGTTGATGGAGCATCGCGGTCCCAAGGCGCATTTAACCGGCTTCGACCGGTGCCTCTACCTCTCCTTCCGGAGCTTCCTTGTCGCGGAGGCATTCGTCAGTGGGAAACGGTGTATCTTCGAACTACCAGAGTGGCAGCAACACATCGACCAAGTGCGAATGGAAGATATGGCCTCACCACGCGTCGACGGACCTATCGCCCTCTTCATCGATTTACAAGATCGGATATTCAAAGAAGTCGTCAAAGTACCGGGCTTACTAGTCCAGGCACGCCAATTACACACCACCGACGACCCACCACAGACAAGACGAGCCTTATCAGCGCAAGTCCTCCACAGCAGTCAGTCCTTGTATACTCTATCCGCGCATTTGCGCCTCGCTGCTGCAGTACAAAGCTATCAATGGTGTAACGGCGGCGCTATCAACAAGAAGAAGATGCCTTTTATCGGGCCCATCCCATCCACATTCCCACAGGAATTCGCAAACAGCGTCCTGCGTGGCGCGGACCACTGCCTCTTCATTCTCCATCTTCTACACGATTATCTTGAGAGTGACGAAGTATCTGCAAATCAGGGCAGGTCAATTGAAAATGACGATACACAGCTGGCAGACCCGCTGCCTTTTCGGTTTGTCTCGAAATTGAATGTTGAAAAAGGTGGGATAGACGGGTCCGATGTCAACAGCCAGATTGAAGATGATCTTCCATCCCCGGACAAATGGCTCGATGTTGTGGCTGCATCGATGGGATTGGAAGCATTCGACGTCATCACCTGCGCAACGGGGAGCCCCGATTCGGTTTGTTCTGGACATCTGAGGAAACCAGGCGAGTGGATCACCGCTGCATCCTTATAGTAACGATTATAAAGTCACATAATACATATTGCCGACGATGAGGGTACATGTGCCCTACGTCATTAACACTACTCAATGGATAATGGATAATGGAAATGAAATGAAATGAAGAAGATTTGCACGAGCTCATGAAACTAATCGTCGTATCGCGTAGAAATCAAGGCGGACAGAAGCCGCGCATGCAGAACACCATGCCGTGACCGCGAGAGGACATGAACAGCAGAGACTGTAGACCAATCGAACAGGGCCACGAAAGCCACATATAGTGGCGAATCCCCCTTCCTAGCAACCAATTCAACATATCAACAATCAGTGCAACCAAACGCCGCGCAGAACCAGCCCGGAAAAACCAATGATTTGTGCGCCATGAAAACAAAACCATAAACAAGAATTGGTAGAAACCAACAAGAGACGAAATGAAGAAAAGCATTAGACTGTCCAAGATGCAGCGGGAGAAAAAGGGTATGCAGAATGTTGTCCCATAGGGACAGGAAGAATAGAAGGTGTCAACCGCAGGAAGGTAATAGACATGCCAAAGCATTAAATGGCTAGCATCCTGGCCACTTAAGCAGCAGCGCGAGTAGCACGAGATGGGCTCGAGGTGCTGCCAATACGGCCACTGGGCTTGCGCACTCCTCGGGACTCGCTCTTGTTGCTGTCTGTGACCCGCCGGGGGCTGGACCGAACTTTGCTGACCGAAATGGTCCCACTGGCGCTCTTGCGACTAGCCGGGGTCTTGGGAGCAGCTGAGTCTACCCAGTTCTCACGGTCCTCGTGAATGTCGTCGGTGAGGGTATAGCTGGCTGTGACAGTGGCCGAGTAGCTGATCGACCGCGAGGTTGTCGTCGCGACAGGAGATCTAGATGAACGCTTGGCCAGCATTCGAAGTTGAATTTCCTCGTCGCTCTCGCTGCTCTCGTTACTCAGGCGATGACCGCGAGGGGTGCGCGAGTCTGCCTGCTTGTGGCTATCATGGTCCACAGCCAGTGAGCCGGAAGCTGTGCGGGCATAAGGGTGGTGGCGAGAGTCCTTGCGGTGTGACTTCCGCGGCTGTCCTGGGGTGGGTGCAGGGAGATTCTCCTCGTGGTGGGTGGCAGCACCCTCATTGTGATCAATCTCACCAAGCGCGGCGCGCTTTGAGTGGCTGTTGTTCGGAGGAGTAGAGACCACACCGTTGCTTCCGCGCTTCTTGGCAGAGACACGGGCAGGAGTAACAGGAGCAGACTGAGCCAGCTTCTCACGCATGCTGTCCTCGAACCACCACTCGCGGAAAGAGCCCTGGTTGAGGTGCAGCCAGTGCTGTTGGGGGCCGACGACCATACCAGGGCGCATGAACCGCATGAAGGCAATGACTTCATTGGCAGTGAATCCATAGCGGTAGATCAGATAAGCACCGATTAAACATCCCGTGCGACCCAGACCAGCCTTGCAGTGCACCGCAATGCCCTTGTTCTTCACAGTGATCATGTCGTGTGCCATCTTGATAAACCTCCGGACGAGGGTGAGAGGAGGGCACGTGCCATCTTCAAATATCATGTCGATGTGCTGGATGCCCAAAGCGGTGAAATAGGATGGGCTGTACAGCTCAGAGTTCAAGCGAACAACGAGACCAACGTTGCGGGAGGTGAAGTGGACGAGGACATTTTTGAATGGGAGCGGCAGCTTGGAAGAGCAAATTTCGGAGATGGAGGAGGGGAGAGCGTCGTACTCGGGGGTGTTCATAGGAACGGGCGCAACCGGTTGATGTTGAGGAGAGGCGAAAGCAAGGAAGTTGGGGGTGACCCAGTTGAAGTCACCCATGTCGACTCGTTCAAACTTCTCATATCTGCATTTCAGTCAGCACAAGGAATGTCATGTCGAACAAAAACAAAGGGTCAAATCATACTCTTCAAGGTTGAAGTCACGGAGTCCACACAAACCCTGCTCCTTGGCCTTCCAAACACCATACACGACATCCTGGATGTTCAGGATAAAGTCGGCCTGGCTGTATCCGGCATCACGGAAGGGCATGTAAGGGGGGTCGGCCTGCGCAATCGGAGCTAAGGCCAGGTGGGGTGGCCAGGATTGGATAAGAACCATATAGCAGGCCACGAGGCAAGCGGCGTTTGCGCGGCTTCGCGCATCGGTTTTACTGTAGAAGACAACCGGGCGGTCACTGTTGGCGGGGTCTCCGAGGATCTCATGGAAAAGGACTGCGAATCGGTACAGGTGACCAATGTGGAGCGGGCCGAAATCCGCATGGAAAGCATTGTAGAGAAGGGTATCGTCAACAGTGAAGTAGACGGGAGATCGGCGCTTGGTCGTCGGGGTAGTGGGTTGTGCCCGAGCAGCACGCTTGCTGGGAGACTTGGGCTGTTCGAGCGGATAAGGGAATGGAGTGCGCGAGGACGGAGTCGAATCATAAGAAGCCAGGTAGAGGCGATCTGTGTTTGTTTGTTGTTAGATCCCAAACATTGGTCCGATTGTGGGACTGCAGCGGCTGGACCATGCGATGCACGAACCTTGGATGTACTCAATCATCTGGCCCGCGTGGCCAGCGTCAATGGGCATGATGGCGGTTTTCTGAAGACCGCGGAGCTAGTCAAGTGGTAAGAGATAAAAGATCGAGTCCGAAGACCACAACAGCTCCGAAAGTCGTGCGATTGAGTGTGATATGGCGGGCCGAACCAATGTCCGACAGCAAGTCACAATATGTCAATAATGGCAATGGAGTTCAAACGCCCATGATCTGGTTGATCCCAAGTCCACGATTGAGAAGAATGGAAGAATGGAGAAGATAATGATAGTCCGTGTAAGAGATGCACTGTACAGGACAATGTTCTAGGTAAGAGGGGAAGTTGGAGAATCAACAGCGGTGGGAGGAGAAGAATAATAATCAATCTCATGGCGTTGGGGCAGCTGCCATGCCACGCTAAGCCGCTGTTATGTTATGCTGTGCCTATTTGGGACTAGTTCCGGGCGTTGACTCGACAACCGCCTGTTTGCCTCAGGCATTCACAACGTTCTGGATTATGTCATCACCGTTTGCCCCCCGGAAACAATCAAACAATCAAACAGGACCAAAACAACCAAACAAACATCAAAACATCAAAACAAAGTGACAGATCCATGGATTGTGGGGGCCTGTTTGACTGCAGCGGAGTTCAATTGATTTGCCACATATGGACCTAGCAACCACTCAATGCAACGAGACAATTGCAAGTCATGGTCTCTATCAAGCGACATCCTTCCATCGTCATACCCTGAGCTGGCCGGCCTAACAATCAATCCCATTGTCTTGTGGTTAATCTTGGAATAACACATGAATGCCTGAAAGGGGCAACCCCTTTTCGTCCAGAGCATTCCAGATGATCAGATTCAGGACTTTAGTGGCGTAAATGCCTGGTAATCTCTCGGCTATGCTTGTGCTTCAACAATTTGCCTTGGACTCGGGGATGCAATGGGTTTCCGCAGGCACGATATACCGTCATGCCTTTGATCGGTGCACATTTTAAAGCTGTCTGCAGCCCTTGATTGAGACAATGGGCTGTCTTTATGCTATGGCCTGAAGAAATGTCTGCCTTTTCCTAGGTCACCTTAAGAGCGTAAACATGCACTATCCATGGCCCTCCTAACCCCTTGACAAATTCATTGTGGGATCAGACAGCAAGCCGGTTCTTTCACCATCTGAGCGCCATTGTCAGGTGCCATGCTCATTATTTGGTGCCAGATGCGCCATAAACAGTATTCAAAGGAAGGTTGCCACCTATGTCCTCTTGACTCAAGATCCTATGTAGGTAGCGATCAACCCAGCAAGTACGGGTGTATACCACACCTATCAGAAGGTTGCGTCGTCTTGATAGCCGCCGGAATGATCGATTGGCAAGATATATATCCTCCACAATTTCACACATCCTGAGTGTTCATCCTACGGGATGTATCTATACTATCTTGTGCAGATTGGCCTCAAGGTCTCGACATTTCCATCCGAGGCGGACTTAATACAAAGCGAATTCAATGACTTCTCTTCTCTTTCATGACAGAGAGACTCGAGTTGACATCACCTACTGTCGCCTTGGTCTAGTTTGTTGATGTCTCTACAACACAACATTTCAAGCCGGGTTTGCGGGGCTCCCCTCCAGCTGTTGTCTCGGACGCAAGGACAACGAACGGTCTGTTCTCTCCTCAAAGTTCACCGGGAAATTATCCTCGTCCCTGGTTCCTGACAGAGTCACAAAGAAGATTTGGTGATCGACAGACTACTGTGGAAGCTATTCGCCGCAGCCGCAGCCCTTGCCGACGCCTCGAGGGTTCACTAGCCGATGTATCACACCGCGCCACACCCCTAGCATAAGAGATGAACAACAAACTTGATCACGATACAATAGTCTCTCCAGGTCTTTTCTTTATTTTGCCTATCGGTTTCCTGGAATGATACCACCAATCTCAACGTTCACGGAGTATGGAAGCTTTCGAGTATGACCTGGTCTCCCTCAAAACCGCATCTTCATGAGCAGTCCAAATAAGCGGTTCACCAAAAGCAGCTCCAGTAGCAGTCTAAGAAGTATTAGCGCGTTACTGAGACCAACATTGAACCTTGCCGCCACCAAGTGGAGTTGTTCCAGATCGAGAAACTTGATGGGCCAAAGGCGCTATAGCTTTGGCATTAAGACTTTTCAGTGGAGTTCAAGTGGAACATCCCTGGCAATTGCAGAGCGTCAATTCAGTGGACTAGCAGCCCGGATGGCAGGTTCCGAGATGTTGATCGTGATTAATCGCGAACTTCATTAGACGCACGCGAAATGAAGCCATGAACAAAACAGAGGCCCCTGATAATCTTGGCCGCAGTTCATGCGAGGAGTCCTCAACACAGCATGTGGGAACTCACAATAACACCACCGACAAACTGTATATAAACCAGTCCTAACTTCGTCCTGTATTGACAGTCCTTTCTCTACTCAGCATTTTCATTCTTTCCAGTCGCTCCTTTCAGACTCTACAGCCTTCGAGCTGCTCAATATTCTCTCACCCACGTCACTCTTTTGACCTATTTTTATCCCAATATACCGCAAGAATGAAGTTCACCCGATTCACCCTTTCCCTGGCTCTGACCAGTATGGTGTCTGCCGCCGCCATTCCTGCCCTCCCAGGTGCTGATGGCGTCGTTGGTGGACTCGGGGGCGCCGCAGAGGGTGTTGTCGCTGGCGTCGCTGGCGGCCACCTAAAGCGTCAGACTCAAGTCCTTGACCCTGTTCATGAGGAGGTGACGAATGCAAACATTGACAATATCGAGCATGTTGCAGTAAACACGTTGGGTGGTTTCAAGCGTCAGGTTTTTGGGGTCGACACTATCAAACATGATCTTGACAACGACCTTGCCCCTCATCTCAAGCGCCAGCTGGAGGCGGTTCAGCCGGTTACCGAGGGCGTTGCGAGCTCGTTGAACGGTGTCACCGGTATCGCTGGTAGCGCTGTTGGAACCGCCGAGAGCACTGGTCAGGGTGCCGTTGGTACTGTTGAGAGCACTGTTGCTGGTGCGGCACACGTCAAGCGTGAGCTCCCTGGCGTTGGTACTGTAAAGCAGACTCTTTCTGATACACTTGGACATGCCGTCAAACGTCAGCTGGAGGTGGTTCAGCCCGTCACTGAAGGCGTTGCTAGCTCCCTGAATGGAGGCACCGGTATTATCGGGAGCGCTGCAGGCACCGGTATTATCGGGAGCGCTGCAGGCACCGCTGAGAGCACTGGCCAAGGTGCTGTCGGTACTGCTGAGAGCACTGTTGCTGGTGCCGGACATCTTAAGCGCCAACTCGAGGCCGTTCAGCCCGTCACTGAAGGCGTCGCCAGCTCGTTGAACGGTGGCACTGGTATTATTGGCAGCGCTGCAGGCACTGCCGAGAGCACTGGCCAGGGCGCGGTTGGCACTGTTGAGAGCACCGTCGCCGGTCTTGGATCCGGTATGTTGCCTACCAAGATAATCCTCTTTGACAGTGATCCAGCTAACAATGACCCAGTTGCCAAGCGTCAACTCGGTAACCTTCCCGCTACTGCCTCTCAAACCGGTACTGACATCATGGCTGGCCTCTCTGGAAGTATGTTTTCTTCTCATCCGTCTTGAATTACTCTCGCTAATCTTGTACCCAGACCCCAGCGGCATCTATGGTGCTCTCGCCAACCTCCAGATGCTTGTCAATGCCGGCAAGATTTCTCCCAGTGATATTTCCAACATGCCCGCTGCTGTCCAGCGTGTCATTGCCAATCTTGCTGTCGCATAAGTGATCATCCATCGATGGATGAACACTATGCGGGACGTTTGGATGCATGCTGATCCTCGCGGTCTTCTCTCTTTTTTACTTCTTGTCTTCATTTACTTCGACTTCCAAGGGCCAAATCCCGAGATTATATATTTCGAAAAGCCAATGTACAATATTTTCACGAGTGTGCTCCTATACTTCAACGACTCCCGCCACAATAATATTGGACGGGAATTACTTCTCTGCGAGAAACCTTTTATTTGCCATAATACCAATTTACGCAATCTTCCTCTGAATTACGGGGATTTAACAAAGCATTCAACAATGTGTTTCCCACTTACACGATATGTCCATTTTTTGCTTAGCCCTTGACCTTCACCTCGTTTCCCTTGATTTTCCCAAATGCGGCTAGCTGTAATATACTGTTTGGCATTACGCAATTCGTCAGCCAGTTACACCTGTGTACTGTAATATATACCACAGGATTACACATTTCGAACTCTTACTTGATTCTTCAGATCGTTGCAGTCGGTCATTGCTCCACACAGCGACAGCCAGGAATTGTTCCAGTCTAGCGTCGTCGAAACTGGGTCTTCTCGTCGCTCAGCTTACGAGGCGCCAATAAATTTACACTTACAACTACAATACCTGCACAATGGCTGCCTCGCAATCCTCCGACACCGAGTTCCCATACTCACTGTACGATCCCACCCCGCCTTTCAAGATCGTCAAAGAACAGCTGGCGCACATTACCAGGGCTACGAGACTGATGCAGTGAATAGAACCATCTCTCTCCCACTCCCTACCCACCGCCTCGCGTCCTCTGCCCTCCAAACCCTCGAAGTCGACACCGAGCTCTCCCCATTTGTGCGGCGCACCTTTGCCCTAACGGCCCCTACCTCCGATACCCCCAGCGAGCCACAAGAAAAGAAGCAGAAGCAAGACCCAGACGAGTCCAAGACTGTCCTGCAGACTACCTACCGTGCGACCACAAACCGCATGCTTCGCGTCGCGGTCAACGGGTTCATGGAAAGCCTGGGCGTGGTTCTGGGTGTGATGGCCGAGCTTGATGTGGATGTGCTCAAGGCGGAAGAGATTGAGGGGTGAATATCTGGGAGGGGTAACCCCTCATCAAAATCTATCGCTTGAGAATCCTTCGCTTCGGAAGGGTGGGCGATACTTGGACCCTGTGAGGATGGCATCCCCTCGGCATTGCGGTGGTGGCTGTGCCTGTCCATGCAGGCTTCGGAACGATACGAAATACGCCGTGGGCTGTGGGATACGCTACACCCATTTGCCCGGACACTCTGACTGGGAGGGACTATGATGGAAGGAAGTCCTTTCCTTCAAATGTGTCTATGTGTCTCCTTTAGGCGAAACCCCCGTCAACTGCGATTGCATACGCACTACTATGTGGGCCGTGGGACCCCTGCATTTTGCAAGGGATTGTGTTTATTGGACCACTGGGGGAATAAGGCGCCATTCAACGGTACGAAACTGCCGAGCTTCTTTTTCTAGAAAAGGAAAGCTGATAGAAAATTGGAATCGCGTAGTCCCACGTCATGCAACTGATCGTGAAAAGCCTCCCGGGTGGGCGTGGGGTCGAGACCGTCAAGGTCTTCTAAGCAGAACCTATCCACTTTTTTTTATGCCAAATTGTTCCAAGTCATTAACGATTCCAAATCTTTGTTCGCTGGCAGAGAAATTGTGCAGTGCACACTAGCCTAGTTAAGCATAATTTCCTTTTAGTCGTATAGAAGCCACTGGAGAATACTCCGTGGTGGACACTGGACAGGCCTAGTGGAATCGAAATGTCCAAAAAAAGTCGAGAGAGAATCGTCAACCAAATCCGGTTCTGCCAATCAGCATGCTGAGATTGAATCGATCGGGTCGGCGTCAATATGTAACCGTCGGCTTTTCGAGCATTCCGTGCCTGGACCTTGAATCATTGGTAATGTGAGTGCTTCCAAATATCCAACTGGGCACTTGGGATAGTTTGCTTAGTCTTCTAAAGGGACCTCGGCTTGATTCCTACAAAAGCGGCCATCATGCGCCCGTTGGTTTTATACCGCCAAGCTCCTCGCGTCTTCTGCCGTCCTCAATTATCTTTCCTTCGGTCTTTCAATCCTCCCCGCAACTGGAACTTCTCTACGACGTCATCTTGCCACTATCACCACTTAACCGTCAAACGCATTCTCGCTCCTCAACCTCTCTCCTCTACCCCACGCCTCTTCCAAACCAGAACCATGTCTTCCGCGACCACCTTTTTCGAGTTTGAGCCCGTCGACAGTATGTACACCATCGCAGATCCCCCTCCTCCCGCGCCCACGCCCCCGTTCTTTGTTCCCGCATCCCGGGCCGCGGTCCGTGACAAGCTCTGAAAAAAAAAAAAAGCAACCAACTAACACACTTCCTCTCAAACAGAGAAGGGCACACCCTTTCCCCTCTCCTCCCTGAAAGGCAAGGTCGTCCTCGCCATCAACACCGCCTCCAAGTGCGGTTTTACCCCGCAGTTCGAGGGTCTCGAGAAGCTTTACAAGGAACTCAAGGCGCAGTACCCCGAGGACATCGAGTTCCTCGGATTCCCCTGCAACCAGTTCGGCGGCCAAGACCCCGGCTCCAACGACGATATCCAGTCCTTCTGCCAGATCAACTATGGCGTGAGTTTCCCCGTGCTGGGGAAGCTGGATGTGAACGGTGACCAGGCTGCGCCGGTCTTCACTTGGATGAAGGAAGCTATGCCCGGTGCGCTGGGTCTGAAGCGCGTTAAGTGGAACTTTGAGAAGTTCTTGATCGCTGCGGATGGTAAGGTGGTTGGCCGTTGGTCTTCCCTCACTAAGCCTGAGACTCTGAAGGACAGCATTGTCCAGGAGATTGAGAAGGCTAAGAAGGCTGGTATCTCGGCTTCTGCTCAGAAGGCCACTGAGGGTGCTGAGCAGGCTAAGCTCTCGTGAGCTTGACCTTTCGCGCTGCTCTTTTTGATTCTCTGTTTTTGGTGATTTTGCCTGCTCGCCCTTGTCTTTCTACCCATATACCTGTACTTTGGCGATTTATTCCCTGTACGAATTACGCACGTCCACGTGCTTTACGATGGAACTATAGTACTCCATAATACGTATCAAAAATCTGTTTTGGATTTGGTGTCGATATCCTCGTAACTTGTCCTCGTAGCTGCTTGTCCCGGCTCTCCTTGGCCCTTTTGTTCTTGTCAATTCGTCATTCATGCAGCAGCACTGCCCTTGGAGACTAGACCGCGCAGCGACAGATCGTAGACCACATCCTCGACCTTTTTGACCTATCAACCAGAAAGAACGAGCCAGTTAGTTCAGACCACCCATGTAACCATATTTTTGGACCAAGGTTGAACTCACGCTGTACTTAATGCCATCGCTCCGCTTGCGCAGAATATCGTTCTTCAGGTTGAGCAGCTGGAAACCAGCGAAGAGGTCCTTGATAAAGTTACCGATCTGAAGAGGGCGTTCATAGTCACCCAGGGTGACCGAGTTCACAGCCAGGCGCGACTGTTCAAATTCCCACAACGGTTAGCGATTCAACCACACTTAGAAGGGGAGAATATAGGATATGACTGCTTACCAGCTCCTCAACCACAGAGATCAAGGCCAGGAGATACTCCTCAATGGTGAGGTGGAAGGCATCTTGCTCCTTCAGGTTAACAGGGACTAGCGCAAGAAGAAAAATACGTTAGTCTGGACAGCCCAATTTACAGTCGACAAATAGATTGAACATACCCTCCAAGAACTTACCCACTTCTTCAATGGTCAGGAACGAACCCGAGCTCGGGCCCTTGTGCTCCTGCAGACCACCAAGCCAGGCGCACAGCTCGATCGAGGTAACCTAGAACAGGCGTTATGATCAGATCTTAGAAACATGAGGCGTTGCCACGAACCAGGTTCTGCAACTCGCGGGTCCAAAGCGCATTGTACTTGTAGAACGGATGTTGGTCCGCGACGGCCTTCAGCCGTAGGACCTCCTGCTTCTGAGCCAGGATCTCGACGGCAGCATCGTCAAGAACAGGCTTGACTGTTGATTAAATGTTAGCGAAACTGCGACCAAGCATCGCCATATCAGAAATGATTCACATACGCTGGTCGGCAGGGGTAGAGTGTGCCCTTGAGAGAATAGCCTGCGTAGACCGGCCTGTAAAGAGCTGTATCAGCTCCATTCTTCAACAGTTGAACCCCCAATAGAGAACCGGCGGCACCTCCACCACATGAACAAAGGAGCCCGCAGTTCTTGATCAATCCCTCGGAATCTCTAAATACCTTTTCTGGCCAGAGTCTGGATAATCTCGTGAAGCTCCTATTCGCCGAACGTTAGCTCTGAGCCAGAAATTGTGCGGGCAGCCGCCTTTGCTGGAGCTCGGGCTTGGCACGCGCAGAAATCATTTGTAGGGACTAGGCAGGGCGCGGATTGAGAGTACTCACGTCGCGGACGGTGGTCTCCTCGTCGATCTTGGTCTGGAGATCCTCGAAAATGCGTTGGTCGATCATTTTGGTGGTGGTATCTGGTGATGGGAAGAGAATATTGTGGTTGGATTGTGGGAGGTGTGGGATGTGGTTGGTGATGCGTGCTGAGTGAGTTACGTCAAAAGTTGGAGGTCAACTCCCGGTCTGAGATTAAGGTCGCTGAGATTTGAGAGTTGCTTGATTTTCTTCTTATTTGGGGTTTTCCGTATCTCAAATTCAATACTCTAAAAGAAGTTCATTATTTGCATAATTGCTGGCCGGCAGGGAGGTCAGGTAATCCTGATGGAACTCTCAAGGTCATCTACAAACTACGGGCCCAGCTACTTCAAAGCTGGGCGTTTGCCACGGACTCATTGCGCCCACTGACTTCGATGGAGGCCTACCGCTTGAAGATAGGCCCAGTTATTCTTGAGGTCATTATAGAAGAAAGCTGTTTTCAATGTTGGCAGGCATGAATAGCCGCCAAAAAAAGCAATGCTGTATCTGAACAACTCCAATAACGCATATCTCCAAGTTTTATGTTGTATTCACTTCCTTCCCAGCGATAATAGTCGTAATATTCATAAAGAGGCGCGGTCGCCACCAAGCTTTGTCGGTATCGCCATCCGTCGGCCGCGCGAGATCGCACTTAGTATCGGTATCTCGTCGAATAATCTGTACACTAGTCAGCGCATGCCATCCTCGGCTTTGCAAGAGCCGACTGATCTTACCCTTAGGACTAACAACCAGACCACGACCCTTCTTCGCGCCCTTGTAGATGGTCTCGATGATGTCGATCAACTCCTGCTTGTCCTCCAATACCCAATTCAACTTGTTATTGTTACCCGTTCCGAAATCGCACATCATGTGTTTATTGCGGTAGAAAAACATGATCGTCATCGTATCGTAGAGCTCGTACATGGAGTTGAAATCAGGGACCTCGTCGATGTCGCACAGGTAGATGACGGCGAAGTCTGCGGACAGTAGGTGTTAGCGGCTGGCTTCCCGGCTCGGGCATGGAAACTCACTCTTCACTCGCTCGGCGATCTTGTAGAGGACTTCATCCTGGCGAATACCTGTAAAGCAACGATTAGTCGTGCGATCACTCGATGGAGGGGACAGCGGGCTCACAGTCGGGATCGTGATCGCGCCCGAAGCGGATCACCACGAGGCGTTCTTCCTCAGAGAGGATTGCCTGGTCAACATGCCAGGCAGACCGAAGGTGAGGCAATACGATCGAACCCATGATGACGTGGTGAATGGCAATGAGCGAAGCGCAACTTGGAGAAAATTGGAGAGCTCTGAGCTTATCGCTGGAAGGCCCCGCGATAGACTCGGGTCATGTGACTGATATGTCTTCGGCCTTGGGCTGCGACAGCAAGGTTCACAATAGCGAAATGTAGAGATTTCATCGAGGACTACAGTCGCTGGCTATTGGAAGTGTATGGATCTTGAATCAGTTTACGGTGGAATTTTCTATTCCTAGTCATACTATTAGACAATCCGGTGTTGGGAGCCGGTCCTCTAACTGAGGCTCATGTATAGAGAGATATATATTCGAGTGCAGTCGACCGCGTATCCACATCCATGTCTGCATAGAGACCTCGTACGAGTTCACGCTTTTTAAAACTAGAGTACTTCTTGACGGACTTAATCTGGATAGCACAGATGATCTTTCTTGAAAGTTAGTCCGACTGCTGTGTTATGGTCACGAGCGAGCCATCGCGTGGCACAGAGCCTCCCTGACGCACTGCCTGATTTATGCATACTACAATTTTTGATTAGTCTAAGTATTCTTCAAGTCTCTATCGGCTTGCCCGCACACGTGAAAACCAGCGCAAAAGCTGCGTACGTAAACACGAACATATCTAGGAGCTAGGGTAGTGATTGGCTACTCGAATTAAGATTGATAAACGAATGACGTTGCAAAATTCGGAAGCGGAGATTTCTTTAGGAGGAGATACCTCATTTCGAATAATCCAGTAATTGAGAAGAGTTGGAGACATCGGACTACGAACTTATATTAGGAGAAAAAGTCGGTAAGACGTATAAAGGAATAGTCAAGCACGAAGTTGAAGTGCAGGAGTAAATACTTATCCTATTAGTTTATTATATGGCTTTAGGTAGAGAATTTTCGTCCTGCTGGGTGTTACGCAAGGCCCTTTCAATATACTCTTCTTGCTCTCCTACTGGGACGACGTAGCGTAGGGCGGCCTCGGCGGCTTTGGAATTGAATAGTCGGCGAATAACCCAGGTGGCTAGGTAGTGGGAGGCGAGGCAGCCACCAGCAGTAGCAACGTTTCCACTAGCGCAGAAGGGTTTATTAATGACCTCGACGCCGGCAGCGACGACCCACGGTTTGCTGATGTCGTCAGTGCAAGCTGGAACACCGTTAAGCAGCCCCAGCTTAGCTGCTACTAGGGTGCCGGAGCATTGGGCGGCAATGAGCTGGCGTCGTGGGTCGAGGTTCCTTAGGACGGTCATGATATTGGGGTCCTCGACTACCTCGCGGGTCTTAGCGCCGCTGCCGATGATAACGGCGTCAGCAGCGCAGGCGTCCTGAAGCGTGGACATTGCCTCTATTACAACGCCGTTCATAGAGCGGACCTTAGGCGTAGGACAGGCAATGGACACCCGAAGGTCGTCTCGGTAAAGCCTGTTGAGGATGCCGAGCGCGATCAGCGAGTCGAGCTCGTTGTAGCCGTCGAAGGTGAGGATCGCGATATGCATAATTGCCGTCCCGCAACGGTTTCTGCCAGCAGAAGATGTTCAAAAGGGAGTTTAAGATCCTTTTGAAGGTACTTCGTTATAGTATACTTGAGCAATAGTGTGCTTATGGAAATTGCTAAGATGTGTCAAAATTAATATCAAGCTACCCTTAATTACTGACCCTGACTTGGGCGGGGGTGACCGCCCTGGCACGTGATCATAATACACCAGGAGAGCGAACGGAGGACGCAATGGTGGGTGGGGTGGGGTATCGAACAGGTCTTATTTTTGGACGAGTAGCAGTACAGGACTATGTGTTTGGGGATATGGAAGGCAATAACGGTCAACACTGTGGAAGATTTCGGTAGAGTTAAGCTAGACTGGGGTTTACAGCTTCAAGAGACAGGGATCGAAACACATTTTTATCCCAGCAGGGAGGAACGATTACCTGAATGGTATGCATCGCCAGAGCGCCACCATCTCTGCAGTGTACCTGGACGGACCGCGCCGAGTTACGTGGTAAACCAGGCCCAGGATCTGACCGGCAATCAGGGAACCACCCCATCAACAACAAAACAAGAACAGCTTCTTCTCCAAGCGGTTGGACAAGCCAACACAATTGATGAAAAAGGGTGTTCGCATCGATCGGGGGTAGTGTAAGCCCGATGACACTGTGCAACGAGGCATGCGCAAGCACAGAGGCCAAGTTGCGGGATCCAAAAATGGGAATAATCAAAGTTGTTTTCCATTGGAAAACTTTCAGAGATTAAACTGAAAAGAACAGATACTACACTTGATCTAAGCCAATAGGCAAAGAGAGCTGGAGAAGAAAAAAAAAAGAGGAAGGACGGCCGGGGGGAGGAGGTATTTAAGTAAATCCAGGAGTGGGGCCTAGCGAGCTAGGTGACTAGTCTTGTTTAAGCGAGCCAATAAGGACCGAAAACATCCAGGATATGGGTCCCCACCCCTGTGACTCACCGGCTGCCTGATTCGGGTCATGTGATAGCCATGTGATATTCGGGTTTAATCACATGACACCACCTGACTCGGCCAGCCCCATACCCTACTCTACTCCCAAATAGGCTTAGCCCACACATCGGCAGACGGGCACTGGCGAATTTTGAACCGCAAAACGGGCTCCACCACAGTGAAAGCGATCTTCTTCCGACCAACCCTCTCGCCGGCGCAGGATAATCACCTCTTTGCGACCAACTTCAACCCCAAGTTCTTCACCCCCCAAATCATTTACAATGGCTCCCGCTGCTGTACGTTGAAAGACCACCCCACGAACCGCTTTGCTGTTCCCCCCAATGGACAGTCTCGATGGACTTGGATCACCTTGAACATGCGGGTCTGCTGGATATTGAAAAATCTATCCGGTAGTTTTCTTGTTCGAGAGAATGAAGAATGTACCATGTCCATTGAGACTACCACTGGGGTTTCCAATATGATGGAGCAGTAGGCTAATTAGTTATTTCCCCCCTGTAGGCTCGTGGCCGCAAGGCTCAGAAGGTTACCAAGAAGGTATGTGACAACGAATTCTTCCTCAACTCCCAGTTTTGGTCCGAGTTACTAATGATTGTTGCCTCTACAGTACATCATCAATGCTTCTCAGCCCGCCTCTGACAAGATCTTTGATGTCTCCGCCTTCGAGAAGTTCCTCCACGACCGCATCAAGGTCGAGGGCCGTGTCGGCAACCTCGGTGATGACGTTGTCATCTCCCAGGCTGGTGAGGGCAAGATCGAGGTCGTTGCTCACATCCCCTTCTCCGGTCGCTACCTCAAGTACCTGTACGTTTCGTTCGATACAATCCCAATATTCGAGACATCTAGATTCGGTCCGCTGACAACTTTTTTTCTATCTCCACAGGACCAAGAAGTACCTCAAGAAGCAGCAGCTCCGTGACTGGCTCCGCGTCGTCTCCACCTCCAAGGGTGTCTACGAGCTCCGCTTCTACAACGTCGTCAACGACGAGGCTGAGGAGGATGAGGAGTAAATGCGCTCCTTCGGCTTTTGACCTGCTTGTCGATCGATGGGATGGGTCTGTGATTATCGCACGTTGAACTTGGTTGGATTACCGCCGGATCAATTGGTGAGTGTCACGGGGTTCTGTCGTTTTATGATGTGTGGGAATAGACTAGCCTACTTAACTGTAGGCTACGAATAAAAAAAGTTTATACCCTCTGACATTTCTTCTCGTTTCGCCATTGTAGAGACAGTTCCTCGGGAGTACATGTAGCGTAGACTCCTGCAAGTACTAACGCCAGTCTTCTACTCAGTTTACATCGATCTCTCAGCCAAGTCTATCCAATTGTGAAGATTGAGAATGCAGGCAGGCCTTTGGGCCTATCAAAGTTGCGATGACATTAACTGTTACTTGTATCATCCACGCCCTTACCTATCTCATGATTGATGTGCACCTTTCCTCGCAAATTGACATGCGCCTGGCCCAGTCATGTCAAAGATATCGGAAAGGTCCCGATGTATATACAGTCCGAGATACCCCATCTGTCGGTAATGATCCTATGCAGCGCTGTCATCAGTGGATGGCTGCTTCCTCTTCTGTCCAGTGTCACTAAGTTCAATGCGCTCTTGCACACTTTTGGCATTGGCGTGCGGTCCCTGACCGGGGACATATATCCCTTGCCTGTTGACGTAGTAATTCTCCTGGTTGGGCGGCGAGACCATCTCGTCACCCTCGAAATGCCAACCATTGCGTTCGTAAGTTTTCCACGAGTCGCGAACCATGGCACGCACTAGATCGCCGGTTGTGACGGCGTCCTCTTTCGAATCGTGGCCCTTGGCGCCACCCGTCTGGATATCACGTGAGAGGAATTTGCGAGCGAGGGCTTTGAGACTCATGCGATTGGGTAGACCGCCCCTTGGGGCTGGATACAAGATGACGGTGTCGATGATTGTGGGGTGAATGATTCGGCAGACATTGAGGTCGTTTTCGATGGCATGGCCGATCAGGGGGGTTTCGGGTTGGAGGAATCGGAAGAGTAGTTTTCGAGCTTCGGCGGGCGACTCGACGACCTGCATATGTTTCTGCTTTTCTTCGCCCTGACCATATCGAGGAGGAGATTTCAAGATGGCATCGGAGGTTCCGTAAGGGATGGCGTTGGCAAAGTGCTCAGGATAAACTCCTGAAAATCGCGAGTTGAGATCCAAAACCTCGCCAATGGGCTTGACAAGAATATCGAGAAGTTCACGGCCTTCAGGCCAGCTGACGGCAGTGAGACGAATTAATTCCATGCCCTGTGTGGTATAACCCATCTCGCAATCGAAGCAAACAGGGTCCAGCACTCCTTTATCTGGTTGTTGAGGTGTTGTCTCAAACTGAAGAATAGAAGCAAGGCGTTTGGACTCTGAGATTTTAAAGACGTGGTGAGTGCCTTTAGTGCAACCAACTGATGCCCCTATAGATTCACTGCAACAAGGAAAATATGGATCTGAGGCACCGGTGTAATTGTCCGTCTTCTTGCGAGCCGGAATGATGGGACGACTGGGATGGTAAGTACATTGCCCGCCCGTCGTCAACGCCCCATCCTCGCGACGACCGGGGAAAACCTGAAAGCGACTGGCACAGCGCTCACACTTCTCCCAACCCTTTGAGTCAATAACGCCTTGTTTGGCCGTCTCGACTTCTGCTTCAGTGGGCGCTTTTGTGACATAACCAAATTCCTCGAGACCGTCCAAGGGAGTGATCAGTCTTAGAGCGACGGCAATCTCTTGCTCGGTCGTGAGACCGGTTTCAATCCGCTTAGGAGCATCTGGAGTTGGGGCGACTGGTACTTTGTAGTACCTGGTGTTGAGATGCTCCATGACCTCCTTGGCCCATTCCGCTAAGCTCATTTTCGTCAACTTCACAATACGAAGCTTGATCACATTGGAGTAGACACCCGGAGAGCCCTTTGCCACTCCCTCCTCCTCATCCAAAGCCATAGTCACCAGCTCATCGGCTGCCAAGACAAAGCATTTATTCGAGTTTTCTTTGCTTTTGGCTAGCTTCTCATTCTGCGAGACCATGACGGAATGTAGTTTCTTAAGAATTGCACTCCTGGTTCCATGAGGAGCGGGAGCTTTTGTCAGCATGCGAGGATTGAGGCTTTCCTTGCGCACCTTCCGAGGGGGAAGCTGGGACGATATGGTCTGGGGGGCGACCGGAACGCTTGAAGGCTCGCCCCTTTCGGGTTTCGAGGTTGAGCGCGATGGCGAAGTTGATGCCCCCTGAGGAGTAGTAAGCGTTTGGGAACCAGCCTGGCCAGAGGTCCGCCGTGGTGATTGTTGGCTTGGTCTCGATTTTGAGGCCGAGGCTTTTGCTGTATTTCCGAGACATGATGCATTGTGAAGCAAGCTTGACGAATCCGTGGTGGAGATGCTCGCTTGGATTTTGAGCTTCTTCTGGGTATGTGTGTCGACCACTTTCGATGTTGTTTTAGTACCAGAAGATGCCTGATTCATAACGGTCAAATCTCGAGTGTGGGAGAACATGCAAGCCAGAAGAGGGCAGTGCTCTCCTTGCGGACAAGCCACCCCTGTGAATAGGCCCAGCGTCGAGAACATGGTGGAATATTGGAGGGATGCAGAACAAAGAGATTTAGTTCATATTATCAACCCTTTGAATGAGATAACGTCAAATCCCAAGTTCAAAATGTCGCCAGGTTTAATAGAGTGCACGGACAAAGAGACCGCTTTGAAACTCGAGGAAGTCCTCCTGGGCAATGGCTGTCTATTCTTCTGGGCTCCGATGAGAAGCTCAGGCTGAATGAGGCCCGAGCAACATGATGACTGTGTACCTTTGGGTCTCAGGGATAGAAAGGCTCCGGGTTTGATTTCCGGAGAAAACCAGTAGAATTGTCGTTACTGTCTGCGAATCAATTTCAAAAAGACAAGCCCATAAAGATCGTAGCTTGTTTTATGTGAGGATGAAAGTACGGAGTAGCTCAATAATGAGATCAATGGAGAGCGGGCCTCGGGCGGAGAACATCAGAGATGCAAACCGTGCAAACTAGACGCCTGAAATAGAAGGCCTGAATGCCGGAAAGCTTATCGCCGGGCTTATCGGCAGCCGGGGCATCAATCAACCCGGTTCCATGCTTAACTCCGGAAGGCAGCGCTTTAAACAGCTTACGCCCGCCAGGCAGGGAAGTTTTTTTCTCATCTCAAAAATTCAAGATCAGAATACAAGATGTCTGAGAATACAACGAAAGCGGACCACCTCTGTGTCCTTGTGCATGGGTGAGTGTCCCATCCCTGATCCCTGCGGATGACGGCAGGGTCTCGAACCAAACTAACCGTTTCTGTGGATAGGCTTTGGGGGAACCCATCTCACCTGGATTATGTGGTCTCTGCCCTGAGGGAACGCCATGATGAGGACACTGTTCATATTCTCTGCGCCAAAAACAACAGTGGAAATTGGACGTACGATGGAATCGAGCTTGGCGGCGAGCGATTGGCGCACGAAATCGAGGAGACATTGGAGAAATTGGATAAGAATGGGCAGAAGATCAAGAAGCTGAGTATTATTGGATATTCTCTCGGGGGGCTCGTGTCCCGATATGCGATCGGCCTGTTGCATGCTCAAGGATGGCTCGAGAAGGTGGAGCCCGTCAACTTCACAACATTCGCTTCTCCCCATGTTGGCGTAAGAACGCCGCTCAAGGGGATTCGAGGTCAAATTTGGAACGGATTGGGACCAAAGACGGTCTCCATGTCTGGACAACAACTTTTCATGGTCGATTCATTCCGAAATACCGGTCGGCCACTCCTCAGCGTCCTAGCCGATCCGGAAAGCATCTTCATCCAAGGGCTGAAGAAGTTCCGTAACCGATCTGTCTACGCAAACGTTGTTAATGATCGCACCGTTGTGTTTTACACCTCGGCGATTTCTAAGACGGATCCCTTCAAAGATTTGGATAACATCAACATCAACTATGTTGAAGGCTATGATCAAGTTATTGTCGACCCTGGCAACTATCTACTGCCAACAACACCGGAAGAACCAGAGAAAGCACAGTCTCGCTGGTGGAAGCAGCTTAAGACAGTTGTGCATGGATTGCCTTTCTGGCTACTTATCATTCTGGCGGTGCCGCCTGCATTGACAATTTTCCTTGCGAATGCCGCCGTGCAAACATTCCGCAGCCGTCAGCGGATTCGACTTCACTCAGAAGGCAAGAATGGCCTGCGCTTTGGAAGGTACAAGGTGCCTCTACTCGTGCAGGACGTTCACCATGTGATGGAGGAAGTCTTCGAGAATGTCAATGCTCGGCAAGAGCCTTCCTATCTCTCGAGTACCGAGGAGGATGAGCTTTCTGATTCAGCGAGTGAGAAGGGTAGAACAAAAGTGCAAAACTTTCCTAGTGTAGCATCAAGTGCTGGTTTTGAAGAGCCCTCCAATGCTTATATTCGGGACGAGGAACATGCCATCGGCCACCATCACAAGCTTGCATTGACGGATGATCAATTCGCCATCATCGACTCCCTCAATGCGGTGGGGATCCGGAAATATCCGGTCTACATTCACAATCACCGACACAGTCACGCGGCGATTATTGTCAGAGTGCGCAAGGATGGATTCGACGAAGGCAAAATTGTTATGAAGCATTGGCTGGACAATGAGTTTGCGATTTGATTCAACCAGATTATGTTTTGCGTTTTGGCACAGCATTTCTCGGCGTCTATTCACTTGGCACATTGGCTTGGCGAGGATTTTTCTTTTTGGAGCGAGCGTTATACGTGATCCTTTTCAGCAACATATAGTAGATAAAGTTACACTCTAATACATACACGACACTATGCACATATATCGCTTTACATTTCCACTGGTACCTCATAGGCAACCCGACTGATCCCCTTTTGCCGACTGATCTTGCGTATCGTGATCGGGCCCACTAGGCTGGTTGTGGGAACATGAGTTCCGCCACAGGGATTCTGATCTAAACCACCTATGCTTGCAATTCGAACGGGACCATCTCTCAAGGCTCCACGACCCTCGAGATCCGAACCATCTTCCACCCAGGAGATCAGAATGGGTAAGTCCTTCTGGACCAGCTCATCCACTTTAGCCTGAATCAATGGCTGCTGCTCGTTATAAAGCAGACCCTTATATTCCATGCATGCTTCTTTAGGGAAGTGATTGGCTTTGACTTTCTTCATCTCTGGAAAGAGAAGCTCCATCGCCAGGCCGACGACGTGTCCTCCCGTATGCAGTCGAGAGTAGTAATCTCGTTTGGCACCATCGACTTGCTGAACAACGCTTTGGCCTTCAACAAAGAGAGCCTCTGGGTCTGAAGACTTGCCGAAATGCAGAATCCGTCCATCCTCTGTCTTGCGTACTAGGGAGACAATGAAGCTGGGTTCCTGGTCTACCAAGGCGATGGACCCAGTGTCACTAGGCTGTCCACCTCCCTGCGGGTAGAGGATAGTCTGGAGCATAGTGACCGCCGAGACCCCCGGATCGGCATTCTTGATCAAGCTCTTTTCATTTTCGGGGAGTGATGAGAATGGTCGGTGGGAGATGATCTCTGTCGTCAAGGTTCTCAGCGAAGCATCGTGCAGATACACTGCTTCTGTGGATGGAGCCTGGATTGAAGTATAAGCATCTCTTTCCGAATCCAAGGGAGATACTCTTCATACCATTGATTCTTGAATTTACAAGCAGTGACAGAGATCAATTTGGATCTCTGTCTTCTCGGCCACGAATGTTCCCCCGCTAGGTGGGTCCTGACTCATGTCATTCTAGGGCGCATATTGATGCCCGGTTTCTCAGGCTACACAATCATCTCCAGCGATCAAAGATTGATCAGATAATCTCTGTATGCATATTATGAGCTGATCCTGCTAGGACAATGCATTCAGATCGATTTGAAGGGCATTTAACTTATCAGTGCCCTCGTGTCGCCATTCTGTGAGGCTGAGCCTGCCGCGTCAATGGCAAGAAGGATGAACGACGACCACAATCATCTACGGAAAACTACACTCACACTGTTCAGTTCGTTCTACGTACTCTAGGTCACGCCGATAATTCCATTATTTCAACGGAGCACACCGGAAAAGTATGACATGCGTGGCACAATAGCCAACCTTAAATCGACAACCTCCACACCCACACACCCGGATTTGCCCCCGCCATCCACCATTCAACGCCCCTCCTTCAAACCGCCGAGTCCAACCGAATTCCAGAAAGGCCAAATTACTTTCGGGTTTCCTATTTTGTCTCTTCCGTTCTGCCGTATTCGCAGGTCTCTGATTTGTTGCTAATGAACAGGGGTCACTTTCAGGCGAGCCATTATTACTTCGTACCCTCCGTGGATAGTAACATCCGGCTTAAAGCGATCCTACCATTGTAGCTCGGATGTCTGGGTTGTTCTTATATGCGGGGTAGTATGTACATCATGTCAGTACATGATGGGGCATTGTTTCGCTGATTGGGAAGCCTCTCGGAAATCCGGGGTAGGATTATCTTGCCGGAACTCGCTTCAACGCGATTTACTAGCGCCGTACGAGGAGTGATAGAACTGTTGTATTTTAGAAAAAGCCATTTCAACAATCGATGAGATCGAAGCATGGAAGAGAAAAGCAAACAGGGGCTGTGAAGCTACTTGGGAAAGAGAGAAAACTCAGGAATTCTATGTTAGTATCATTTATTCATCAGTTTGTAAGTAGCCTAGAAGGATACAAGTTGAAAATCACAAAGACGCCCCCATGCCCCAAATTGCAGATAGAGTAGAAAAAAAATATAAATCTCGTAAACTGGGAATCATTGTAGAAAGACCGTGAAGAGGACATCAGGTTTGGATAGAGTGCATGATCCTGCAGAGGGACCCAGTTGAGAGGCAAGGTACTCGGATAGAGAAGAAATCAACGGGCAAAATGGGACAAATGGAAGATCAGCACCCAGAAATATCAAAGAAAAGGACTTAGTTCTTCAAACCGTTCTCTGCCAAAGGATCTTGCAGGCCGTCTCTAGCAGGGCCTTTTTGCGAATGGATCTTTTGCTGTTCCCGCTCAACCGCAAACCTGACCGCATCGTAGATGTTGTTCACGATCTTCTTGGGTGGGAAGCGCGGGATGGTACCCTCTTGCCAGACACCAGTTCCGACTAGGATGGAGTACCATTCGTTCTCAGAGATCTCGTTGAACTCATTGGTTCCACGAATGTCGGACTCGGGTGTATCGCCAACGAAGTAGACTGTTGAAGGTGGATGGCCGATACCATGGGAATCCTTGCGCCATTTTGACAGAAGCCTGGTCGCAAATTGGAATGTGCCCATCTGCGGCTTGCCAAAGGCAACGGTCTTCAGCTCTTTGCCGGTGACGGCCTTGTAGAGAGCCTCCAACGAGGCACGTAGAGCACCCATGCCAATACGTGTGTGCTCATGCGACGTTGACCAGACCACATCGTTGTGGGAGAAGTAAATTGGCGGGCCTTCATCAAATGTTTCCGACCGTGTACCAAGTTTTCCATTCACGGACATCAGGCAGTCCAAAATGATTTGCTGATCACCGGCCCAGTCGCGGCTATCAGCAAAGACGAAGATCGCCTCGATTTGGACCGAGTCTAGATCGAGCACTCTTGAGTTTTTGTACTCCTCGTCAGTCAATTTGCGGAAAGGCGTGGTGTCGTGGCGTGTCTTGATAATGTCGCCGGGCGTGATCACATTCCGGAATCCATACTCCTCGGCAACGATGCGACACTTCTCGCCTTCACCTCCGACAACCAGGACGGTGTCGTATCGTTCGGCCATCTCACGCATGGGAGTGTGTCCACAAATAAATTGACCAGGACAAACCTCATAGTCGAGCTGGCGACTGAGATCCTGGCATCGTTCTTTTTCAGTTTTGCCACCACCATTGGTGAGGAAAATGTAGGGTCTGATCAGATAAACATTAGCCGACCGTTTACCCAGGAAGCTGATAACAAAAAACTTACACTTTAACTCCATAGGGATTTTCGCCATTGATGTATCTCATGGCATCGATAGCCTCAGGAATGGCCTGGCCGCCTCTGATAAGGACGCCATCGATATCGAAGGCCAGTGCAAAGTCATCGCTAACGGCCATTGGCGGGATTGTCAAAGGGGTAGTCACTGCAGAGGACTCTTCTTCTGAGGAAATGGCCTCTTCATCTGAGTGATTTTTGTCCATTTCAATGTCTGAGACGAGGTCACGACCCCGGGTAGAGGCCATCAAGTATTTTGGAGGCATGACGACGTTGGGGCCACCATAAAGCTCGGCCCGATCGGCATTAAGACTGGAAAGTCGGCGGACCTTCTGGGATCCGAATCCATCGGTAGTAGCCATTGTGAATGATGAAAGAATTAGGTGGGTCTAGAAGCGGATCTGATGCAAGATTTCACGGGAATTGATCATTCCTCTTGAATATTGAGGCACAGTAAATCAGGCACGGGAAAAGCGCGAGAAGCACACGTCCTCTATGGACGTAGGAAAATAGGTTAAAGAGGCTCGAGAATGTCTCACGATAATTGTATTATCGCGAACGGTGTGCACACTGCAGGAGGAAGCAGAGAGTCATGCAAATCGTAACGGAAGCAAGTTAGGACTATGGAGCATGTGGGGGGGGGATCAGGGCCATTAATATAATATCCTGAGGCATTGCATCTGCTCGCTTGCTTCGATGCTTTCTGCTCGTTCTGTTGTAATACAGCAAGGCAGACCCACTATACTCTTTGCTCGGACACACCCTTCGTCATCATCCTGGCCATCTGTCTGTTTCCCACGGGTGACGCAGGATCGACCCTCCTCAAGCGTCTCAAAAAAGAAGAGTATCGGTTGGGATCCACATCGACGTGCCCTGGGCGCAGTGACCCATACCATGAGCTTGTCGACCGGCGCTGATTGATCCGTACGAATGGAGAAAAGACGCAAAGTGACCCGATTTTACGGAGTGGAGTCTGCCGGTCCCTCTTTACCATGCATGAATGGACCGTTGACGTCGCGGGGAGGGCTGGAATTTTGCCATGATAAGACTCCCGATGATGACATGGCGATCATTGCTATCATTCTGGTCAAGCGAGATACAGGCGGAGAGCCATGTATGAATCTCCGAACCGATTGACGTTCTTGAAGATCTATTCTCGGTGAAGCATTTGCGTTGATTCGGCAGATAGGAAGTAAAGTAGGTAAGAACCAGGCTTCCCGGACATCTCTCGTACGGTTTTTGTTGGATTCGCCCTGGGAACTCAAGAGAATTTCCGTGATCCCGATTCGATCAACCAGTCCATGGCCCCCATGGCCCCTGTCCATCCGTTTCTGTTCAGAGTATCCCGAGAAAGTGAATAATCATTCTCGATGTGTGTTGTCGGCGGGACGTTGGTCGAATCAACGTGAATCAACGCGCATCACCACGGGGCATATCGGGACATGACGTCATGAGCTTCCCGATGGCTGGACTCCACAGCCTCAGGAACCGAAACATTTTAAATGCTGGAAGATGTAATTACTAACACACTAACTTGGTAATGGATCAGTGCGTCCATTTGCAGACAGCCGCATTAATCCAATCAAAAGTGATGTACCCGCCCTCGTTTCATGCGGCAGCAATGGTGGTGGTGGTGTGAACTAAAACACTAACGCGAGTTGTGGTATGTGGCGCCGCCAGGTGGGCGTTCGATACCACATCAGCCCAACGCCATTCGGCCTTAGTGTTGAGGAAGGACAAGCCACCACTGCAGCCAGCCTACCCGGGAAAACTTGAGGATGTTAATGTACCTTAGCTGGCGTGAGCCTGTTCTTAATTGCACCGGAGAATTCAAAACCAGACAGGAAATACATTTGGTGCAGCAAGAGGTAGACCAGGGTACGTATAGATTCCGTTAATGATACATTCTAAATCATGTGTGTTCAGAATTTCCTCTCGGTTCAACAGTTTGAAATAAATTGACCCTTAGATATCCTGTTGAACCCATTGGCCTGCGATGGTGTCACTGTGCATACAGCAGCCATCCTGGATCTTGTTATATTTATTTCATCCAACTTAAGTATTATCCAGCCAGAAATCAGGCCGTGATCTTGGTCGCAATGATCGTTATAGTTCTGTAGAAAGCAGAAGAGTGATTAGAGTAGGTCAGGACCTCGACATTTTTGACCACTTGAAGCCTTAATGGTGAACCAGAGGAATAATCATTTGTATGTATTTGGATTAAGCGTAGCCTGGGCACGGTGAACCAGAAATTTCAAATGCATGTGAAACTAGGTAGGGTGTAGCCGAGAGGCCGTCGATTATTTATGCTATTTACAAGTACGATGGGTGATTGCACGTATCGCCAAGCCATTAAATCGCGGCCCAAAGGCCAGGATTTTCATCAAATAGCAGATAATGTGTTGATTCCTGTCAAAAACTAAGACCCTCAAGGTGCCGTGAGGAGCAAAGGAGGAGGAGGATTAATCCTGCGAGCATACAAGCTTTCATCTCGTACTAAAGGCGCCTTCCACTCGTTCAACCTCGCATCATCCCAGAGAGCATACCCCCACGACCATTCCTTATCCTCAAGATTTCGCTCATTTTCCTCAAACAGCACATCCTCTAGTTCTTGTTCCGGGGTGTGCGGAATCAAACCGAGTTCCCTCCAGCCCAGATTAGGTTGATCAATAGGCGGCAGGGTCGACCAGAATTGCTCAAAGTTTCGCACCTGATGTCGGTCTGCCGGTTCGGTGAACGGAATTCGGTTATCCCAAGATCCTATGCCGAGTCCAATGAAAGCCCAATGAGAAGTGTTGAGATTTCCGATCACCATGTTGCGCTGTGGTATTTTTGCCGCGTGTAACACACGGTATAGGAAATCAGGTCCCAAAGAAGTTAAATTTTCTGTATAATCGGGAAGGGTTTTCAGGTCGTGAACAGTGTCAATTACCGCGGATGGTGGACACTCGTCACCGAGTTCATTCCAAAAAAATTGACTTTTGGCATTTTTCATAGCGTCACGCAAATCGTTGGAAATATTTTTGATGACAGGGTCATATTTGGTCAGGAGATATGACCATACACACCCCATCTCTTGGTATTCCCAGGGGGGCATGGCACCGAAGAACAATCGATACGCTGGTTCATCCTCATACATATTGCCAATGTGCTCATGATGAGGCTGTGGATATAGAGAGGTATCTTCAGGACGCGGTAGACCTTCGGGTGGCCCAAAGATATGGGCGTGAGTTTGCAGTCGACATAAGGCTCTCATAAAGCGACGCTTCTCGGTATCGGACATTTTGATGGGTAGTTCTTGCTCCCACTGTGCAGGGTCAATCCATGGGGGTCGTGGTAAATTCATCGTGTAGTCCTCCAAGAAGAAATGTAGTTTCTTGTGAAATTGCAGTAGCTTGATGATTTCCTCCAGGCCATCAGGCCGATCTACCCGAGTGATTGGAGTTGAAGAACTTTGGCGAGTTTCTCCTCTGCGACGCCAGTTGTCTAAGACGACAATAGCTTGATCCTTATGGTATTCAAGGAGGAGACCTTTTGACCTGATTGCAGTTATTGCCTCGGATAGGTCTAGAATTGCCCCGTATTGTTCCATGAGTAAATTGTGAAGGACTTCGTGTCGAACTGTGAGATACACTCGGTGGCATACTGGCGATGATAGCACAATAGACTTGAGAGTATCCAAGTCTGAGATTTGTGACAGAATGATAATCAGTAGCTCGGTTGGCAAGCCTTCGAGCGTCGGTTTGGCCTGTTATAAAATCAGTAAAGGACGATCCGAGAGACTCGTTTACCATACCATGATTTGCAGGTGTCTTTGAGCTTCCGAGTTTATGAAGAGAAAGGGGCAGGCCTTGCATCTGGGTGTCCGCACATGGGTTAAAACAACGTTAAGTAGCTAAGGTTGGAGTGCCCAGCCAGCCCCGCAGGAAGGTGACAGGCCCCAGGCACCCCAACCTTACGGAAGGTTCCAATAAGGGGCTAACTAGTTAGCGCTGCTGCCACTGACTGACTCAGCCGCACATCCCCGCCCGCTCGCAGGCGGCTAATAATAAGGTACAGTACATACTGCACCCACCAATGCATTTTTAACGCCGGCCCCATTCCAAGAAATCTATAAATATTAGATCTGTGAAACAAAGCTTCGCTTCCAAGTTATCAAGATAACTGAACTTCCACCTGCTGCGCGCTGGTAGAACTGAGCTAGGATACCATCGAGCTGCATATAGCTGTTTCATTGTCAACAAGAATCCAGAGCCAATTGTTTTGTCTATTTTGAGGCGGCGCCAAGTTGGCATATTCACTAAAGTAAGCGCTTTCTTGCACATGAAACAAATTCTTGCAGGAGCTCTCTCAATTGAGAGTAGGCGAAGCATACGAGCGAAAGCTCCCCAAATCATGTCGACGTGCATACCCCAGCCCTGGCAGCAGATTTGAGCGAGTAATAGAAAGGAAAGCAAGTCATGCATTGTCGAAACCTCATACCCGCTGTATCCGACCAGAAAGTTCTTTTCGATATCTGAGCGCGTAAATTGAAGTTCGATACCTCCAGTGTGTCAGAATGTCAAAACTCTCGGGGTTGACCACAACTAGCGTGTCCTAGTTTTAAGATATAACTAGCCTCATTGTCCCAAAGTCATCATAATGATACAAGTCTCTCTATCTCAAGAATTCATACACTGTTGTACAGGATTCACTAATTGTGGAACATTGTAGACAATTCGTTAGAATTGCAACGCTATATTCTGCAATCTATTTCTTCATCTCTTCTTTGTACGATGGGTCTATTCAGTCAAAAACCCAAGGACAAGTACAAGGTACTGCACCCCGACAGTGATAGACACACGAGACCAAATCCTGGGAGACGAACAAGTGAGACGGCAGCCAACACCCCTTCGCCTGGCTATCATGGTCCTCACTTCCATCAAGGGCCAGCCCAGGATGAGATATGGAATCGGCGACAGAACGGTTCAGTACCCTACGAGGACATACGTGGTCGCTCCCACTCGTTCCACAGTCCCATCAAGCAGCATGAATTTTCCAATCCCTATGAGGTGCAGCCGGATCCATGGACCCCAAGGATGGAGCAGGAGTACGCCGACTATAAATCCAAGGTGGAAACTTGTAACAAAAATATGCGTTCCGTTAGGGCGGCGAAACAAATTCCTGTCGGCCGGAAAGCCGACCCTGAGGCTAGTCGGGGTCCGCAAATTATGGCTGCAGTTGACTTGGCCATAGAGGGTCGGATCCAGGCATCCACGTGAGTGCGCATTCGTCCTTTATTTGTGAAATTCCTTTCCAAGGCCTGAGTAACTGAAATCATTTCTCTAGAGCTTCTCAATCTAGGGCAGGTTTCCAGCATAAATATCCCCAAGCATATGCGCAAAGGAGTAAGGTTGATACTCATTGGGGTGAAGCCTTCGGCGCGAAAAGTACCGCAACAAAGTTTCGGACGGGCGAAGCTGAGCTCCGTCAGAAGTATGGGCAATGGGAGCACAGAATGGGCGAATACGAGCAGCAGCAGATGAACCGAGGCTCATCATCGAGGCGCTGAGAGACCAGCAGATTATGCTCTGCCATGGCAAGCTATGAAGGATTCAAAGTTTCAGGCTTCTGTGTGCTTCTTTGATTATGTTGCGTTCTTGAGTTGATCTAATCCTTGCGCTCTAACACACTCGGGTCTCTGTCTTTGAACTCTATATTTGTCACAATCTGATTGTCTCTGGTTTTGTTACCTATCTTTGTTGTTGCGATTTTGTTTGCATCTTTTCAAAGAGAACTTCTCCTTGGTTCTGTTCTGCCTTGCTTTCCTTTGTTGTTTTTTTCTTTGTTTCATAGGCTCATTGATTCTCTCTTTACTTTCCATATGTCAGATAATGTGAATTTCGAACTTATAAACCCGCTCGGCCATTGCTCTGGTTATAGATATTTTCCATCACCTAAGGCTATAGGCAAACTGTCATAGAAAACCTTATCATATGGAGTCCGACTAAGATTCCAGCCAAAAATCTCGACTATGTCTTTTCGCAGCGGTAAGTCTTCTGGGCCCCTCATTGGCCCTGGTCTCGAAACCCATTATTCCGATGAACCAAGGCTATGGGAGGACTTTGTAGCCCTAAGTGCAGGCAACAGCAGTAGATAGATGACCACTGCACGTCTTGTAAAAATCCCGCACTCCCAACTTACAATGCAAGACCTCCATGGCTAAGTTTGGTATATCAGTAAGCGAGCCCCAGAAGCTGTCAACTGGCTTGACTTTGATGAGCTGCAAGCTCTCGGTCTCCCCTGTGATCCCATCAATCTGACCAGAAATTTCGACGTCCATAGATATGCAAGCGAGACCTGGGGGGTGAATGGTGCTGACTGGGTTGGCTTCACCGGTCCCGGTGTCATGATCATGCACAACATAGCAAGGGCGCCACATTCTCTATCTCCTCCGATGTCGGAAGTGACAAAGGCTGTCTCCGAGAGAACCTTTGACATCAATGGTCTTCGATACGTCATCATTAAGAACATTATGAACGAGCAGACTTCCAGGTTGATTAAAGATCTTCTCTATACGTCAGAGAGGGGTGTTCCATGGCCCGGGGAACATGGACAACGGGATACTTGGGAATGGAACACTTCTGAATATAAGGCTCTACTAGGGACTCGCTTTGGCAAACTAGTGGCATATCTTGTTCTGGGCTCATACCAGCGTGGAAGAAAGAGAATCCCACGTATTGTAGCTTACAGAATTGGGAACTCGCAATGGCCTCAAATGCGGTTTGATATCGAGGATACACCGGCAAGGTAGTGACATCGAGAGCTTGGGGCATTGAAATGAGTGTTGTGATTCTAATTCAAATTGATAGAAACGTTCAATCTCTCCTGATTTGTTCTCAAGTCTATTGGACACGCAAAGAGGTACCTGCTGATCTAGCTCCCAAATGAATGCTGTTTCCAGTAGAGGCCTAACTACTGAAAGAGATCATTTTCTCCACTGCAACTCAAGATCTAGACCAAGTAAATTCCTTTTTTTCGAGTCGGTTACAGGCTGATATCTCACTGCTCTCATATGCAACAGACAGCTACAATGCACTACAACTCATCGTCATATCTATATAATAGCATCTGTCATCACACATCAAGCCAGCAAAAGGCCTATAGACAACCACAACAAGTAATACCTAATGTACAAGAAGGAAAACCAACGCTAGACAGACGATCCAGCCAATCCGGCACAAAGAACAAGGCAATATTTAAAAAGAAAGGAAGAACATAAAGAAAAACAAACCGCCCAAACCCCATCCCCTAATCAACCCTTAGTATCAAATCCTGCCCCCTCCTTGAAGGCGTCAAACTCCTCCCAGTCGCGGACAACCTCTGCATATCCTGCGGCTTCCTCTGCGGACTCCGCGGATACAACACGGCCCCCGGAAACGCCTCTGACGGATACGGGAGGCCACCCGGGGCAGTAGGCACGGGAGCCTGGCTGCGTCCTCTCTCGAGCCAGAAGTCATCTGGACAATAGGGAACGACGACCTCGCTGGGTGGACGGGGACTGCTGCGGATCTGTACGCGCTTGATATCTTCTCGGCGAACTATGCGTGGCTGGGATACGATTTCTGTTGCTGCGGAGAGACCGAGGCCGTTGGATGGTGGGGTTGGTGTTGCTAGGCCCGGGCCTGATATTGATCTGCCTGTTGTGTTTGTAGTTTGTCTTGGACTTGGCCTCGGGCTTGGCCTAGGGGCTGGAGCTTGAGCAGGACCAGGACCTGGGTTGCCATGGGACGTGTCGCTTAGGATACGGCCTTGTCCTGTGCTAAAGGGTGTTGTGAGGAGGGTGTTTGCGGAATTGCGGCGGGAAGAGCCTGAGCTATTATGTGGAGTACTGCTGGAATTTGACGGTGGAGAGCCACGGAGGGCAGTGGTAGAGATGGCTGGGCCGAGTGTTCCCCCGCTATAAATAGCTTGTTTAGGTGATAGTGAAGGCGTCTGGCTTGGTATTAGCCGTTGTTGAGGTGAAGGTCGAAGGTATTTCTGGGCTGGGAAACCATTTTTCAGAGCGCGAGGATTGGCCGGCAGCCCAGTCATTGCGCGTGGGGATTCGGTTACTTGCGAGATATTTCGATGCGGGCCTTGAGGTTGTTGGAGTTGGTCTTCTTCAAAGAGTGTTTCTCCACTGTCGGGTCGATGGCTCCATTTCAGTGGTTTGGGATATAGCCCAGTTGTTTGGGAGGAGATTGGTTCAGCAAGTGTATGTTGCGAAGATAGTGTCCGAGGTGAGTTGTGCCAATCCTCTGCAGAGCTGACAGCGACTCCAATTGGCACCCGCTCTTGCATTCGCTCTGTATTTGGAACTAACATCACCGTAGCGCTGGTGGGTGGGTTATGTGAGGTGGGTGTGCGACTACACGGTAGCTCTGAAACTTCTGGACGGCCTGTGCCGTGAACGAATGAAGATGGGCCCGGGGGGTTTGGTTCCGGAGAGGGCGAGGAACGGCGCGAAGACGGCCGTGAAAAGCCTGGAGGCTCAGACATTGTGCCTCCAATTTCGAAGTCATGATCTGAATTTGACCCGAGTGAACGGTTCCTTTGCCTCCATCGCTTGCAGCAGAAGAATACGGCCACGCCAATGATGAAGGAACCGGCCACACCTGATGCGACGGAGACACCGATAACTGTGCCGGAACTGACATGATGGTTTGAACTTCCATCAGCCGACGGGGACGAGGTAGCAGTATTACTAGAAGTCGTTGAGATACTTTCGGTGCTGGTAGTAGCTGGGACTCCGGAGCTTGATGATGTCGTTTGCAAAGTGATAGTGGAATCGCCTGTAGATGATAGAGATGTCGTAGATGTTGGCAATGTTGATTTTGATGAGCTAAGTTGAGTCTGCGAGGTACTTGCAGATGCCGTTGTAGCACTTGTTATCGTTGCATCGCCGGTCGACGTAGCCGAGCTAGGAGGGTCGAACGTCGTCGCTGTAATTGTAGCGTGCGTCTCTTTTATAGCACCAGACACCGAGTCACAGACATGATAGACACTATTCCCCTTGCTGGAGATATCCTTATCCGAGCATAGAGCATATAGGCAGCTTAGAGCAGCCTCTCCCAAGGTAAGCCCAATATGTGTTTTTGTCCGGCACAGGCACTTGATATCATCTGCAGACGAGCATTCATCCGACGTATACTGGCCCTCGATGAAGTTCCCAACACATGTTTTGGCGCAGTCCGGTATCGTATTCCACAGCGCAGCATTCGAAGTATCGTTTGAGCCACTTGCCGAACATATGGCGACTAACGGAAGAACCGCAGCGAGGATCCTGTAGGCAGGATGGAGGAGCATTCTGCAGCAACTGTATTCCTCCCTGTTAGCTCAGACTCCTCCTCTCCTTGTATTGGACGAACTGTACTAACCTAAAACCAATATTGCATGGGAATGACTACCCTTGAAGCCATAAGATCTTTGAGGTTACCATCATCGACTTCACAAGCAAAGCAGCACAAAACGAACGCAGTACGATGAAGCGAATCGTAACCCAAAAGCGAAAAGAAATGGAAAGAGAAATACATCCCAAAAGAGCCCAGAAGCCCCATAATTAAACACCAAGGCCCTTATGAGGCGCGATCCTACGCGCGAAGCCAATCCCATCTAGTATGACACCCATCTGCCCAGCGGACCAAGCAGAGAAGCTCTGCGCTGGACCTGAAACACGGTCGTGGCGGCGGTCCTCGAGTAGGCGCTGGCATGAAACTAGATGACATCGTGGGGGCTCTTTAGAGATTTGTAGGAGCCAATGATCATCGATCTGGTGAGTTCAATCCCATTTTTGGCGCTGGTTGAGTGGCTGCGGCGTTGGCGCCTGTGATACGCGCCGGGGCGAAAAAGCGAAAGGGCGGGCGCTTACGGTGCAGGGCCAGTCAGCTCTTGTCTTAGATGCGGTTTCAGATCGTAAAGCATTTTGCCGATCAGTGGATTTACTTTTGAATGGTCGAGGGGCATTTAGGAGGGTGTTGTATCTCAAGATCGTCTTTCATCTAGGTGGATGGTGATATGCATTAAGCAGCATCCGAGGTTGTGCTTTACCTCCCGAGGAGCTCACCCGATTGTGTAGCATATCGAATACTTTCCCTTGTGCTCAGTAATTTGTTAATCCAGGATGGTAGAACTGCCACCGCATGTTCCCAATTTCAATCATTATTTCATTCTTTGTTCTGCAGAGCCAGTTCTTAGACTAACCGCCTATGACGATCATGAGCTCACATCGGCCCCACTCAGCTCGTCCCGAAGCATCATTAAAGGGGGTGAAGTGGATAATTTGATGATCACAGACTAAAAGCCATATCTACACAAAGAATACATGCAAGACTGCAGTTGAAGGTTTTCAAATAATTGCCATTCCATCATTCGTAAAAAGCTAACCGACCCCCGGGCGAAGAAAGCGCAAGCCCGCACAGGTCATACAATATGAGGTGGTATCACTTGAAAAAGCAAGAAGAGATGACAGAACCAAGATAAAAACGCAACCCGGCAAAAGATCATAGACAAAGGAATTAGGGAATCATCGGCAATGCATAGCACAGTGCCGAAATTAGGGAATTATGGAGATTTGCAGCGATGCCAAGAACAGGAGGGGAGCTGCAGGAGGCTGGTTGGTCGGACCGCCCGCGGAACCACGCTGACTAGGATGCTCTGGACACCTTCGGTGCAGCCACGACTCCTCGACAGGCTTTCATGAAAGAATCGAGGCATGGAATACATATCGCATCGTGGGGTGGTCTTTCCGAGCAATATTGACCGAAGGGGGCGGAGGAGCGGCGGTCAGCGGGTTGAGTTGGGGCGATTCTAGTATTTGAAGATAATGTAGCTGCGAGCGGGTCAGTAAGTGGGGATCTTTTTGGGAGAAGACGATGGAAAGGGATCGTCGCAAGGGCCGATCACATACATGGCGTGGATAATACCGGGAATCCAACCCAGGATGGTCAGACAGATGTTGATCAGGAGGTCAGAACCACATCCGCGCTCCAGGAAGACACCCAGAGGAGGCAGGATGATGGCGAAGATGATCTTGCAGATATCACTGTAGAATCAAGTTAGTCGCGTCTCTTTGACGTCTTTTGCATGATCGGATTGAGGGTGCGACAAGCCGAGTGCGCCGCTTTACGCAGTTCACGATAGTCGGCCGGCCCGGGCATTGGAAGGGAATGACGACAGAGATAGGACTTAGGGAAGGACTCGGGAAGCACTTACGAGGCAGTGAAAGGCATGATGGCGGTTGTGATTGAGACTTCTGGGGATGAAGAATGAGGATGATTCAGAAAAGAGGGATTGGAGAGAGGAAAAAGGGCGGAAATGCGGAGGAGGAGTGGGCTCTTTTTAAACTGGGAGCAGCTCAGAAAAGTGGTGGAACTCTGGTGGCTTTTCCTCACCCGGAAGCTCTTTTCTATTGCGTCATGGCCCGCCACTACTTGTGGCTCAGTCGAGTTTTGATCATGGATCATTTCATTCTTATTGGTCAGTTGCAGCGGTCAAAAGCGGCTGCCTGTGGCTCAGTTTAATGAGATAAGCAGGCAATTCCAGGATCATGAGTTTAATCATCGTCATAATGTGAAACATGGACAATTTATAGATCAACTTTATAAACCAAGTCTACAATTCCCGAACTATAGTATGACCGTATTGCTTTTCTTGATTTTTACCATGTCTTCTAAGTAGCGCTATTATACTCCCTCGACCCTGAAATCCACAAGCCGAAATTGCGATAGTCCCCGCCTCAGCCTGGCCGCGGTTCACTGCTTGGATTCGACAGCAGGGCGTGCAGGATCTGCTGCACGTTCTCCTGGGCTGCAGCCATAGGCCCCGGTATACTTTTGTACTGTACATGGCAAGAATGGAAACCTGCCCGGCTCCATTTCCAAACGGTCCTATCCGCGACCTCCGTTTGCTCGCTGCCTGGCGAGCCAGGCTTGGCATTTCTGGACTGTGGCTCAACGAGTCAACGCAGATGGGACTGTAGACTGGTAAAAATAAAAGACAGAAACTATCAAAAACGGTTGTATAAAAATAATGAACAGCCTCGTTACTTGTAAAAATAGCATAGAAGGACGACAGCGTATTCTATAGCTCCATAATAGCCTCACGTCCATTGCCTAGATTCTTTAGGAAACTACTCATATTCCCGCTCCAAGATACTATGTATGACCATCGATCCCATGATAGGTAGCGCCGATCCTTGGCCGCTTCGTGCAGGACTTACATCCATCGTCACCTGTGGCGCAATCCTGCCAATGCCAAATGTCAACGGGGCCAGCCCTACAACGAAGAAGTACCCTTGCCCCCACCTGCCAAGGCCCTACGCCAGCCCTATTGGCCGCCAGTGACTTCACTCTATGTAATTAGAAGCAGGTTCGTGCATGTTGCGAAGGTGGCTGGAAGGAAGCGGGAGAAGAAGAACGGGAAAAATAATTGTACTGTACGAAAATTATACTTCCTTATACAAAGTCCCCCAAATGATGGTAATCATCTGGAGATCTCGTCGTGGCAGACCTTCTGTTCAGTGTGGCAGTACCCTATATACGATCCAGCCAGTGAGAATATCTGATGAAAGAGAGTGGATCATGGGGAAAAGAAAAGGAAAAGTACCCCAGTCAGAACGATTTGGTCGATCGGGTTTCTATTCTAAAAACACACCTAGAAGATATTCAGCGGCGGATTAAAATCGACATCTTCTAATAACGAGCTCCACTGCGGCACGTCCAGCTCGGGCGCTACAGCCACAAATTCAGACCACAGTTGCTCCCAGCCTTCTTCGTTAATATCGTTGATTAAGGCACCCCCACCATCGACTAACCCATTCATCACCGTTGTAGATGAAGGTTGTACCGTGACTGAGTGACTCTGGCCGCAGCTCGAGGATGGTAACACAGACTCGTGCGAGTTGTGGATAGTATGATCATTTTTGTGGAGTGTGGACATCAGGGTCTGAAGATTCTTTTGAATCCCTTCCAGCAGGTAATTTGATTCTTGCTTCGACTTCTCCAAGGTCTGGTACGCAGCCAGGACCTTGGTCTTACGATGCTCTGCGTCTGGCGCAGAAGGATTGAACGAGACGTCCATAGCCAGAATGAGGGCCGCGAAACAGACGTGGTGCATTACAGTTAAGAACCGTCCTGCTTTGAGTCCAACCTCGAGACCGATCTCATCCATTGAGCGTCTCAGCTCCAGAATGGTTTGGGCAGATCGAATACACACTTGATGGGAGTATGCGTATTTAGTGTTTGTGATACCCTCTAGGTGATATGGCCGGTGGAGTCGGCAGAGCCGGGTGTGGATGGCGAAATGGATGCTGATCCGCTGCCAGGCAATGGTGGGTCGGTTTTTGCATATCTCCCGGCTTTGCTCAATGCTAGTAGGGTCCGTTTTGAAGTAGACGGGGAGTTCGTTGAGATGATCCTGGAATTTGGCATCCAGTGCAAGAATGGTATCATAATCTGGCTCGGTGGAGTCGAGGAGTATAGATGGTAGAGTATCGATGACTTCTCGACATAGTGCAGCACACTTCACCCGCATGATAAAAGCAGACATGGAGGTGGGGACGGATAGCGGATGGTCCTGCTGAATTCCAGTCGACGTGATGAATTCATCATCAGTGTTGCTGGGGAGGTTTACATTCATGTGTCTGGGGTGAAATGTGTATGCTCCTTCAAATGCACTGCCATGAAATGAAAGTAACCTGTGATAGTTAGCGCCGATTCGGGGAAGTAAAGGTTATTGGATCGACAGATACCAGTCAGATGCCACCATATTCCACCATATTCGTCTCTGAACCTCGACATCGATCATATTACATCCCTTCAATCGCCGCTCCTTGCAGCTTTTTGCCGTGTCTAACCGATGAATTTGCATCTCTCGTGACATCAACAGGCAACGATGGCGAAGGAGGTGGACTTTGAAAGGAAACCCATCTGTGTTCATCAATAAATGAGCCATAGTCCCGATAGCCACGAGAGACGTAGTCGATGCCTGGATGAGCCGAGACGGATGATCCAAAATATCTAGGGCAAGACGGGCATATGCCTGGAAAGCCGTCTTGGCTTCTTCACGAGTGGACTGCAACTTCACAAGAAGCTGTGGGGTCCAGACCAATGCAGCCCCAGCAAAGATGCTAAAAAGCAACATCAAGTTCTCTGCAGAAGGCGCATCCCCTTCAAGCAGGCCCTCGTAAGTTCTTTCCATCAACAAATTAGTCGAGGGGATATGTAGAACTCCAAACGTGGGCTGCAGTGTTGTTGCAAAGTGGTTGAATAGTTGTTTAGCCTGTCGTAAAGGAGGAAGGTTTCGTGAAATATCAAGCATGGTTGGACTTTCTTTATCTGCCTCCTGGGTGGCCAGAAGATGGCAACTGAATGGGGTAACATAAGGGCTGTGAGAAGCCTGTTTATTGTCAGTGGATGTATAATCTAGGCGATCCATAGGTACATAAACCATTAGACTTACCGACACCGATGCTGGAAATATGCATTGACGCTTACTAGTTGACTCTCGAGATAGATCTGGTCTTTCAGCCAGTGCTTCTTCTAGCCTGCATATTCGGAACAAAAGCTCATCGGAGTTACTTTGAGACAGTGAGCCAGGAATACATGACACCGAAGTTGCACTAACTTACTGCGAGGCTAGCTCCACCTGAGCGGGGTCCTGTTGTACAGTGTTTCCATTGGAGTGTAACGAAGTAGATTCCGTCGATGCTTCTGGGCCACATGTGTCTTCTGGGCTCTGGCCCGGGTGTTCACAGGGGATATTCCTGATGACACAATTCGAGCAGGGCTGTGCACGGTCACAACGGCGTTTCTTTTCCCGACACTCGCGACATGATAGCGACGGTCTGTTCCATCGGTGAACCGTCGCAATAGGATTTCCTCGGTTATCCCGCTTCATGCTATCCTATACCCGAAATCGGGTGTGTTGTTAGGGTTGAAGTAAGTAGATGTGGTGGTCCGCGGACATCCGCGGGCGCGCTTTTCTTATATATGGCAAGGAGACCCCAGTGACAAGATCTTGAAGCCAATGAGAATGACTTACATGCGCAATCGTAGCATATGACAAGTCAAGCTGAGGCTGGATGGATGTCAGATTGGGAGTCCGCGGAGGTCCGCGGGCTAATCTCCCAAAATAGGTTAGCGCTGTATGTAATCCGTGACAGGTGAAACCAGTGATCCAACCTGCCGATTTCATGATGAATACCCTTGTATTATTGGTCATTGAATCTTGCGAAGGGAGTAGCTTGATTCCCGGCGACCAGTGCTCTACTTGTCGATCATTCTCCCAGCAATTGTTGCGGACTTGATCTCTTGCCTCCCGGGTCTGTCCTGATTCATGTCAATCAGGCTAAGCCCTAGGCGGGGCGCGCTGCGCGTCGCGCGCAGCTTACCACGAGCTTTATCGAGCTTCGCCTGCTCGAGCAGATGGTATGCCACCAGCAGCTCTCCTCCATTTGCATTCACATGGATCACAAAATCGCCGGAAGCTCTAGTAAGCTCCTTGCTCCTGGATAACCCATGTCCGTACTGACAAACGTCTCAAGAGCACACAGGATATCCTATCTTCCCTTCCACCTCCACAGCTCGCCCAAGATTCAGTCCCATTACTCCTCGTCACCCCGAGCTTCGCGCATTGGCTCGATCCCTCCGATGACTTTCTATTCCAATTGATGCGCCAGCTATATGGCAGCGACTCCAACGTTAACACCCTCTACGCCGTTGCCGCTATAATCGATAAAATCCCAAACCATTCAACGCCAGCTAAAGGATCACCTGTTCTGAATAAACAAGAGTCTGAAGGCTTGTCTCTCTTGGTTGTTGATAAAGAGAGTATGCATGGCAAAGCTGTGCCTCTTCGTCGTTTTGGAGGACCTGCCAATGAGGAATCCGACCTTTTGGTCTCGGTCCAGGGCAGACAAACCAGCCAGGGCGCTACAGGCACTGCTCACGAAATCGGTCTGCGTCTTGCAAATACTGTCTTTGTCAATGGGAAGGAATCAACACTTTTTGGCATGCGGTGGACTCGTGATGCTACTACGAACGCATATACCCTGGACAATACGATAGACCTGACAAGTTGCGCTGTCACATCTACACCATCTACCCGTTTCAGCCCCAATCTGACCCTCCCTCTCTATCCTATTGGCGAACGGAGAAAAGTGATCGCTAGCATGGGAAATATTCTGCGGCAGATTTCCAAATCAAGCGACCCAATTTCGAACGAGACAATCCCTGCATCCTCGGAGTTGGAAAAGGATCTCCCTCGGTATATCAAAGAACACAATATCATGGATCAAAGGGTTTCCGTTTGGGCTCTGGTAGAGAACAAGGATATCACGGCCGCAGACAACAACTTGCCTACACAGGACTACCTGATCCAATCACTAGGCCGGGGCGGTAAATTACATCGGGTGGTGAGTGGAGGTGGAGGATGGGGAAAGAAGGCAGGCCTCCTCTCCTTGGACCCAGAGATTGGCTTCTCAGGCTCTGCCCAGCGGGATGCACTGGTCGGCCTGGATCAGCTCTTTGATTCCAGTGCAGATGGCGAATTGGATCTGCCACTGTCCCTTGAGAAAGGTTTGGTTGGAGAGGACCTTACCCTGTTGTCGCAAGTCGCAACAGCTGGTGATTTCATTCAATTCTTCGTGTCGGTGGACCCGTCGAGTACATATGATGCTGCTCCAAGTGATGCCAGCCCTTCAGATGGCAACATTACCTACCGCTTTGGGATGGTATCGAATGCTGAAGAGGTGTCTTCATCAGATGCCCTCGATGGGACTGGTAATATCACTGTCGTGCCGAATTCCTTCGGGGCACTGTCTGAAAAGGCGATTGCATACACTCAACCTGTGGCCCAAGGTGGAGAAACATCCGAATCTAGCACGAAGCTGGACATTCCGGGATGCCGCGTCGTCCTAAGCTCTGTATAATAGTGGAATTGTAAAGCAAGGCCACATGTAATATTAGCAAATATCCACCCTCTTGAAAAAGGCGCACAAGTAGTAGAAAAAGCAAGACTGGCAACTTGACGTATACAAGCTGGTGGAGACCCTTCGTAGCGCCAAGACCACGTGACCAAAGCACCAGCGTGGTGGCCTCTGACCTCGTAGCACTCTCCAACCTCTCCGGTCAACAGCAACATCCTCGCCCACGGCTTGAGTCAGCACATCTCGAGTCTTCCGTCATCAATCAAAAGCTCTAGATTCCCTTTGAGACTCCTGCCGAGTCTCTTATACCATCAAAATGGCCACTGAACTTTGGTAGGTCGTCATCGGCCCTCAGCCCCCCTGGGTGCTTGACAGCTATCAAGCTTCGGCCCTGCTGTCTTGCCGGTCGGCATCTGCTAGAATTGATGAATATTCGCTAACCTATGTTATTCCAGCCCCGTCTATGCTGTAAGTCTAGCTCCAGCTTAGCTTCTCCGATTCCGCAGCGCTCGAGTCCGATCCGGCCCTCCGTGCCCGAACAGCTTCCCCCTCCATATCAATGACCGCACACATCCAACGAAGCTCAACAGCTTTACTGACTCTTGCCTTCTAGCCCTTCTTCGGTGCGCTGGGCTGCACGTCCGCCATCGTCTTCACCTGCTTCGGCGCTGCTTATGGTACCGCCAAGGCTGGTGTCGGTGTTTGCAGCATGGGTGTCCTCCGCCCCGATCTGATCGTTAAGAGTACGTCAAGCTCAAAACCTGGATAGAATAAGCTATTGCTATTCTCCGGCGACGGTTCGCTAACGAAGAGTCTTATAGACATTGTCCCCATTGTCATGGCGGGTATTATTGGTATCTACGGTCTGGTCGTGTCGGTCTTGGTCGCCAACGACCTGACCCAGAAGCTCCCCCTCTACACTGGTTTCATCCAACTTGGTGCCGGTTTGGCTGTCGGTCTGGCTGGTCTTGCTGCTGGGTAAGTCGGCGACTCGTCTTCTGAACGACTCACCCATTTAACTGTTTCGTGTCTAACCGTTGTCATGTGCTACAGTTTTGCTATCGGTATTGTCGGTGATGCCGGTGTCCGCGGAACTGCTCAGCAACCTCGTCTCTACGTCGGAATGATTCTGATTCTCATTTTCGCTGAAGTCTTGGGTAAGCATTTCTTAAATCTCTTGTTGGTCGCCCGGTGGACAGCTCTTAACCGCGTGTTACAATTTAGGTCTGTACGGTCTTATCGTCGCTCTACTCATGAACTCCCGCTCTAAAGCTGTTTGCTAAACGAGACCCGTCTCGTCGCACGCGGAAACCGAATCTTGTACCTATCGACCCTTTGCGAGATGGGCGATGCTTCGCTTCCGACATGCTCTTACTCAAGGCCCTCAGACCGGACAACATGGTGTGTCAGGACCTAGGACAAACGCGTTGCGAAAATCGAAAAGATCTCGGCTATGATAAGCTCATTTGACTCTGGAAAGGGACTGTTTTTTTGTGATCATCAGTGGTATGTAGAATCGGGGAACAGCTATGAAGCATTCGATCCCGAGCTGGTGGAACTGGTTGTGGGTAGATATTGGCTTTTTTTTTGTTTAACATTGCATGAACGCGCGCTGGATTACTGTACTTTATATGGGTCTCATCTCGATTTGGGACTGGATCCCCCTCCCTTTTCATCTGCAGTGGTAGAAGGGCTTGACAAGTTCCTCGTCGGCCTAGATGCCCTGTGGACAAACCCTCTCTCTCTATCTCAATTTTTTTCTCGGTTTGGCTCTTTCTTGTCCTTTTTTTCTTTTCTTTGGTCTTGTCGGGGCTTTTGTATTCGGTATGATATAACAATCCCGATTTGTGCATTACATTGCTGTCATGCTACTCGATCTGTAGGATAAGGGTACTTGGTTTTACTTGATCAAAGTCTTCATTGTAGTCTCTAGCGCTACCAAGCAAGAACAGCAGGAGAAGACGGATTTCAAATACATAGCAGCAAAACGGATATCAAAGAACATATTCTATTGTGTAATCCGCAATGCATGAGGGCAACAATGCCACACAAGAAATCAACAGCATTGGCCACGGCAAGAGACCAACCAGCAAATCTGGTCGAAGGAGATGGAGGGAGAAATGGTGATGATTGGATATTTGATAGTATAGGAGAGCGGACAAGAGAAAAGAAAATTCACGCAATGTACGAAAACCAACAGAAAGGGAGATATATGCCCGGCAAAACTCAGACAAAACTAACCCTCAACCCAAGACGATGCAAGACGCAGGCCAAAAGATGCATCCGATGGAGAAACCGATCAAAAGGAGAAGAGAAACAAAGGAAACGAGAAGTGGAGACAAGGCAGGAATAGTCTAGGCCTTGTCGAGTTTCCGTCTAAGGGTGCGTGTCCTCCGCATCAGCTTCTTGAACTTGTGCTTCTTCATCTTGATCTTGCGACGTCTCTTGGTGCTGATTGCATGCATAGTCCGGTTGTGGCGCACACGCTCCATATATGTCATGCCAGAGGTTGACCCGGTAGGAGCATCAATGGTGAATCCATGCTCGGGATCCTCCATATCACTGCGAACAAAGGGGCCAGTGGAAGCCTCGTAGGTCTTGCGACCGTCGGCATGGGTTTGCTCCCGGATCGTCAGGACGGTGGAGTAGGTGGAAGTTTCCTGGTCGGTCAAGGCATCGGCGGAGGAAGTCATGTCCATGGGGACAGGAGGAGGGGGAGGGCGGAAAGGCTGGAGACGGCGGGTGTATTCCTCCACGGTCATGCCGGCCTCGGGGCCATCGAGCATGCGAAGCTCCCCGTTCGCATCAGTTGTGAAGCTCTGGTGCAGCTGGTTGAATTGTTCTTCGGACTCAGCCATGACGGGTGTCGGGTTTTCCATGGTCTCAACGGTCGAGGAAAGGGTGAAAATGACATCGTCAGCCTCGTTCTTGAGGAACTTCTTTGAGAAGATCGCATCGAAGGCTTCGGGAGTCGCGATTGGGGGGACCGTGGTGGTCACGGAGATGGGGCGGTGGATGGAAAAGAAAGAGGCGACATGAACATCTGTCACAACTAGTTAGCTACGATCCCAAGAGCGGAGCACATGAGGGAAAAGAATATAGTAGAGCTCCAAGGAACTAACCATGCGGCTGGCGGTGCTGGGTCGAGGGGACACTCGGAAGCTTCGAAAACGCCGCATGTTGCTGACTAGCTTTCGAAGAACCGTTCCGAGCACCATTCTCCTTCCCACGTCGGCGAGCAGACTTGCCCTTCTCGCCAGACGAGTTCACACCCTTCGCCGGGGTCGAGGTATCCATTCGGCGAGAGCCATCGCTGGGCGGGACCGGCGGTTTGGAGGAGGAAGAGGAGTACTGACGCTGGTGCACATGTCGGGTTGCGCCGAGCACGGAGGAAGGGACATTCTGGGTGGAACGAGAGATGCCGGACAGAGGCGCCCATGCAGCCCGGCGTAAGGACGTTGACAACATGGTTGGTGTAGGACCCAGTAACTGGGAGGACGGTGAAGATGAGTCTGAACCGGAGGCGAAATCGTCGGGTCGGAAGCCGGCGTCTCTGATCATGCGGGCTTATGTAATGTTGATGCCTCAGGTGTTATCTAATGATCAGGCGAATCAACATGCAGTGATCATCAATTAGAGTTGCCTTTCTGACAGTCTACGTATGGTTTAGTTGCGTGAATGGAGTTCTATTAAACTTGAGGTATTGCCGTAATTCAGGGGAAGAGTAATAATTTGAGTTCATTCGAGATGAGAATATTGAATCAAGGAAATTGTGATGATACAGAGGCACAGTCATCAGTATAACACATCTGAGGGACAAAACAAGTGGTATCATCCTGCATGATCAACAGGGGGAAAAAGATCGAAGTGAAATAAAATGACAAGTGTCGAAAATGAAACAAAGTAAGAAGAAAAAAAGACACCGTCGCTGAAACCGAAGCATAGCATTAGGTAGCGAAATCGACCGGGCTTTTGTATGCAACGTAACCGACCCAAGGATTGCGGCAGAGAGCCGACGACTCCTCTAAAAGACGCCTCGTAAAAGATGATAGTAGAAAGAAAATAAAAGAAGAAAAGGGAGAGAAGGAGACAGAGGAGGAAGAGTAAAAGACAAGAGAGAAGGAAAGGTATGTCAGGTTGCAGGTAACAGAAGGAAATGGAGCCGCCGAGGTATGCAACACAGGGAAAAGGTAGGCTAGAGAGCTCGACAAGAAACGAAAATGAACTTCGTGGCAACAATGACGTTCATAACAAAGGCCACCGGTACTTTTTAAAAATGCCGCTGCCTTATAGTATTAAGGTATGCAGGTTCTTCTGGATAATCATGTCCTGTACTGAATCCATGGTGGCCTTCAGCAGGGTAGTGTCGGTGGCGTTGGTTCGGTGGATGTAGATCTCGCGGTCAGGAATGCGGTTGATACCGCGGAATCGGTCGGAAAAGTATCGTACAGCAGCATCAAAGTCGGTGTTGGAACCTGTGTAATCCGGGAAGTGTTTCGAGATGTTGGAAATCTCGAGTTTCCCCTTGAACAGATCCATCTTGTTCAGGAAAAGAATGATAGGCTTGCGCTTGAACCACTCGCCGTTGACGAGTGACTCGAACAACATCATGGCTTCATGCATTTGGTTCTATGTGAAAAGGTTAGTAACCAATTACGCCAGCTGGACATGCAAATGCTATTGGCACACTTACCGCGTTCTGATCTTCGACCAAGCACTGGTCGTATCCAGACAAAGCAACCATGAACAGCAGACACTGTACACCTTCGAAGCAATGAATCCACTTCTTCCGTTCTGACCGCTGACCTCCAACATCCATCATACGGAAATTCATCTGGCCCAATTCGAACAATGTTTCCGTGATACCCGTTGTGCGAAGTCGTGCTTGAAGCATGTCCTGGTTATCAGGAAGCCAGTTCGGTGTGAAAATGCGATCCAAAGAGTCGTAAAAGCTAGAAAAAAAACATATATCAGCATGAAACTCGATTCGGAGTAGCTTGAGGATCTGACTTACTAGTACAGATTATCGTGAAGGGCGAATTCGTGTCCTCGAGCAACTGCCTTTTGAACACCCGCATCGTTCCACATTTCCCTCATCGCATCGCGGATCTTCAGGTCGGAGAAGGCCTCGTCGGACCCTACATCTGGTTCTGTACCTTCTAGAAGGTCCGCCGATGTCTGTTAAGGATGAATTGATCAGCCTGTCATCCGGCGGAGCTGCGTATAGAGTGTAGATTTTACCTTTGTGGTCTCGCGCTCGAAATTAATACCTTCCGAATTCATGATATCCAGCAACACCTTGAAGGCGATGACAACATTCGAGTAGATGACCGCTCGCGTTTGGTGACGCTCTTCCTCGGGGAAGCCTCCGCTATGAATAATTCGCATTTGCTTGATGATGGTCGACTTGCCGGACTCTCCCGCACCCAACAGCAGAATCTTGATCGTCCGGTCCATTGTCTTCTTGTCATTCTTGATGGATCGGTCGATACGGGCATTGCGCGAGATGGCTTCCTTGTCCATCTCGACGGGCTTGGAACTGATGCAGCCCATGATTCCGGATTGAGGGATACCACGGACGAAATTCAAATGCTCTAGATGATGTTGGTTAGCAACGGATCGAGAGAACTCGTCGCGGCTTTAAAAACCCGCGCATCAACGGTGCCCCGGTCAGATCTGAATCAGGGATGCGATGGCCTAGCGCCACACCGGACGAGATGCTGAGACAACGAGACGCGCCGGACTCGAAATTACGAGAGCGCCGCGAGGGGGCTTTGGAGGTCTCAAATGCCCTTTTGGTGGGTAATGTGCGCATACCTGATATGCAAAGACGTTTGTCCTCCTTTCGAATGACCCACGCGACAAATGAGAGTGGCCGTATCGAATAGCCTACCCGTGCAAGCTCTGGTCGGTTCGTTCCCCACACCTAGGACCTGCCACGTTCCGTGCAGGGTTTCTGCGCCGCCGAGTTTCCAATTGGGCTAGATTATCCTCCGAGGCCAAAGCACCGAGTCCGTAACGTGAGAAGTACGACGTCGATTCGCAGGGCAATTTAAAGGGCACGGAGGCGGCGAGGAATTGCGGGATTGAGGGGGTGTCTCGGTGCTGAAATCGCGTAGTGATGTCGATGCGCGGGAGTGATCCAGAGTTCTGAACTCCGAGGTGAAGATCGATAGCTGATTCGGTCCGATTGGTGCCAGAATTTCCAGAATCGGCGTTTCCTCCAAAATGTAGTCCAACACCAACAAGGTAAGGGAGGATCAGGTCCAGGGGTTGGTGGATGTCACGAAGGGAAATTCGTGAACCCGATGGGGAGGGGAGGGGAGGGGAGGAGTGGAGGGAGAAGAAGGGAAGGGAGGAAAGAAGATTGAATAGGGAAGATGACCAAACCGTCGGGCATAATTCAGCAAGTGTAGGAGTAGTAGTACATCTCTCTGCCGTCCCACGAGAAGCCCACTCGGAAGAGAGCGAAGACGGCCAGACCGTCTAGTGTCTCGATGGTTTATCGTCTCCGAGCGGCTTGGCTTGACTGCGGAAGGTCCGTCAAGGAATGTGTATTGATGTGTATTGAATAGTACCGTACAGCAGTACAGACTCATTATTACGGAATATAGATCCTGTGGTAATCTGATGTCTCCGCGGTTTTTTTGATCTTTGATCTTTGCTTTTGTTTCATTTGCTTGTTCTCGTTCGTTCTAATTTATAATCTGAGCTCACTAACTATGATCTAGAGATCATTTTAGAAGTCTTTTGTCTCGTACAAATGCTCCCTCATACGGTAATCCGTCTCCGTCTCCGTTCTCCGTACAGCGAGTGAACTAGTGTGGCATTTGCATGGACGCAGAACCAGCAGAGAGGATCACAATGGGCACTAGGCTGATCCACCAGGGGAATGGGGCCATTGCCCCTGTCTGATTTGCTCCAATAATACCAAGCGACCATGATCAGATACGCAGATTACTGGACTATCGGGATTCCTGCATAAGTACGGAGAGTTACTCCGTACTTCGTGCATGGACGAGCTAACCAAGGAGAATTATTATCAGGTCTGAAGTGTAAATATTAAATGTAACTAAACAAATGTACTTTTGACGATAGTATTATGTAGTTATGAAACCAGTTTCTGTATACTGAATCCTTCGCTTCGAACCGTGGGCATGTCTGCATCTACATAATTTACTATTAAACCCCAGGCCTGTCTGGCGTCTGTCAGGCGTCTCCAGGTTTCATCTTTCCTTGGTTCGGTTCGATCGATCAACTTATATTCACAGATTGACTCGTCTATTCTCTCTAGTCATCCAGTTTCTCAAGTGCTGTCTTCTTTACAACACGCTCTAGTATAAGCTTCCCACCTGCTAAAGATCCGACCGATCTATCGTAATGGCGTGGCAGACTATTGACACACCCCTCGAGCCCCCCCGCCACCAATCAGAAGCAAAAGGCTTCTCGAACTTTGGGAAATTCTTCTTTTGCATAACGCTCTCCTCCCTTGCATTTGGTTCTGGCTTTTTCGTCCAACACATACAGAGTACTCCGTACTCCGCTTACAGTATTCTGTACAGGAATCATTCATATTACCTCTTGCAATCACATTCCTTGGAACCAGCAGCCCATGTGAACTCGTGAAGTCCCACTGTCTCCATCCAGTTCGGTGACCGAAGCCCTGATCAGCCGCGGTGACCCCAGGGGACGGGCAGGGTGGATAAAAATTGTGGCGCCGCTCGTGGTTTTCGATGGTTCTTCGTCTGCGAGCCAAGCCACCATGCGGTCTGCATGTTAGCGATCGGCATTAAATTGCTGAAACCGTTCTGGCGGGATACCTCCAGGAGGGTCTAACTCTCGTTAGGTAACGCAAGGAAAGTTCTGAAACGTTGGCGGAATCCTGGCCCCGAATCCCCGACGACGATGGCCCTTCGCTAGGCCTACGACTACTACATACAGTAGGTCCCTACTGAGACTACTGATGCCACCCCGTGCACTACTCCTGATCGTTACGTCGGGCCTTCTCGCTACTGTACTTTATGTACGATTATTAGTTAGTTATACGAGTACTACTCCAATTACTAACTAGTCCCCCACAAAGGGAATCTGCTCCGGCGACCACCGGCGCATGTTCGTTCTTCGTCCTTAGTCTGGCTCTGCGTTGAGTTTGTTGACGCCTCCCACGCCGACCCGGATGAACTAATCGCCCCGCATCCATTCTCATGACGCCTGGTTCATTTTTCTACCGAGGTCCACGTTTTGACCGCAGCCTCATCGTGGCCTCGAGTTTGATTTTTCTTATCCTCCGAGGAACGATCTCCTCGTGGGTCATCTCTTGGCAGATAGATCTGTCAGATCCCAGGCCTAACTAGGGGAGTCGTGTTTTGCGAGCATAGCACCTTTTCGCTTAGTAACGGACATGTCAAAATTCAGGAACAGCCCGAGATTGGAAATCATGGGAAATTTGACCCGTCAAGCTGGATCCAACAAAAAGTTCGGCAATAACAATACCATTGTGGAGCTTGTCGTGAGCAGTCCAAACTCCACATGAAAAACCAAAACCGCCCCCTGGGTCTCTCAGAGCCTGTGCTTCAACTTGAAGCTTCCATAGCATGAGACATGGCTTATGATCAGCACCTAGCTTGTATGTATAATGTATGAGATGAGGATGTTGACTGGGTCTCATTCACAATAGGGAGAACATATGAACAGTTCTACGAAGTACAGCACGAGTTATCAGAAGAGCTCTTTTTACCCCTGATCACAGATGACGGGTCTTCCGGGTCTTCAATGTCTGTTGCAACCCCACACAAGACATCCTAACCCAAATCTTTACTCACGATTGTTGATCCCATGGTCCGTTCGCTCGTTGCTCTTCTCCACGCCCATCGAAAGCATGCACCAAAGAGGACTGGTCCCCCTCGGTTCAACATTTCCGGTTTCATGGTTTGCCATCCGCCGCCATGCACGCCGTGGTGAAACTAACGCAGGGGTCAATCTTTGCGCATCCATGCTGGGGTGTCAATATGAATTCCCCTATCATGAAAGCCATGCGTGTTAGATCGACTGTTTAATCCCGATCTGAGAGCGAATTATCTCCGAGTTTCCGACTAAGCGCAATCATGGAAAGAGATCTCCATGCATTGCTCCTTTTGACCGAGGGCAAGTTCCTCCTCGGTTGCTAGGTATATACGAAATGACAGTTGATGTGTAGAAAAGCAAAGTACTGTAGATGACCACATGTCTGAGCACTAAATTCGAAACCTGGGGTATTCGGTCAGTAGGCTTGACCTGCTATGTTAGCATTTAGACGAGCTTCCTCAGCTGTGTACTCCGAACTGTCGATAAAGCCGCCATTAATCCGGAAGCAGGAGAAATCGGAGCAAAAATACGACTGGAGAAACGCAAGCCCCTGTATTTATGAATAATACCTCCTCCATTACGGAGTACTTAGGGAGATAATAATGATAAGCTATAACGTTCTCCGCAGGTCCCGTTCCCTAACGTGACGAGTCCTGCTTAATTCATCTCTAGCGCCCGCCAAAAACCTGGTTTAAGCACCTAACGAAGATGTGCAAGAACAAATGCTTCGCATCTCATTCGCTGTCCAACCATGTTTACGACAGTATGGAACCAAAAAAGCATTTCCGCCACATGGTTAATTCCATTCAACGGCGATCACCAGTTCTGATTTCGGTCCTCCCTTCCAAATTCGTCAAGAGATGATGCACCACGAAAACTAATAAACTTCGGCACACTACTCTAATGTTTAAATACCACATCCTCCGTGCCAGTGGAAGCTAGACGACATGGCGCTCTTCACTAATAAGTAGTGTGGAAATACATAGACCGAAATAGAGAGTCCAGACCGTTGGTATATCACAATCACCTTATGTACTTTACTGTATGTATTCCCTGGCTATGTACTCCGTACTTGAGGGGCAAGTATACACATCGTCGTCGGGAGGAAGATCAAACGGACAAACGTCCCAAAACCGTTGCCTAGTGGAACCTAGCAAATTAAAGGTGGGCGATCAGCATTTGACAGCAAGTCGGATCCCTGGTCTCGAGTCTTCAGGGGGGAATGTGCCCTGGCCTGGCCGCCGGGTCTTCGGGATTTGCTCCGGTGGGAGACGCCCAACTTGGAACCCCTCCCCTGTTAACTTGTCAAACTGTCGTCTTTTTCTAGGAGATTTTCGTTCTAACTTCTCGGAGAATAGTTGTTGGTATTGTTGAGATTTTTAACACGACTTGATTCGAGGCCTTCTGTTTCTATCTTTAGATTGGGTGGTTGGAAATGGAAGCTTTCCGAGTCGCTGGTGTTGTTGGGGTTTAGACCGTAGCTTCGATGCTGAGATAGGCAGTCCTTGATGCTAGAAGGGTTGACTCGTCACACAGTATTGAGTGTTGATGAAACTGGTCCATATCCCAGACTCTTCCTCTGCTCGTATTATGGGGTAATAACGTATGGAGTATACAAAGTCATCCCATTAACCCCCAGGGATTATACGAAGCATATTGTGCGTGCTCTACGCAGGATTATGGTGCATCGTCCTTTAGTCTTTGGGTTTTAGATCCCTGTCAAGCCACTAAAAATCCTGGAGGCGAGTATGTAATTGTCATGGTATGCTGTGATTGTCATTTCATACGGCTGTATCGTTCATGGGTTCCTTCCAGCTCCGCCGAACTTTATACTACTCGTCATATTGGACGCTATTTGCTTCCAAGGTAAGTTGTTTACTGATGCCTGAATACTTACTATTCTCTTAGCCATCGAACTATCTTCTAAGATAAGTCATGTTTTTGGGATGCATCAAGTGCGTGTGGAATGCTGTTGTGAATCGCTTGCCGCAACCTTACAGTATTGCAAAGAATCTTCGAGGTCTCTTTATGCAGGATGAATTACTGAGGGTTTCTTCTTCGAGATCAAATTTACAAATATATGTTAGACGTAAACCACCCGGTCGTACTGAAGCTGATCTCCTAATCGTATAACGTGGAGGTATTAGGTGGGGCGGGTGGGATGTATATTCTGTATCTTCAATAATGATGGAATCTTCAAAAATGGTAAGTTCGAGAAGTTGACAGGAGGAATGTTACAGTAAAGAAAGAATCTACCATGACCGAAATTACAAAACTCTAAGGTATCATGTCCAAGATATAGTCTTATATCCTCTGGAAATTGAGATATGTGGAACCAGTCCCTAAAAGTAGGTATGCATCCAAGAAATGCCTTGGCAAGTTGAGGTCATTCTTGTGAAGGTGTTCAGGCTCATTTGTTTTCCTGCTCCTAACAAATCAATTGCCTGGATTCCTAAAGCTCAAAATCCAGTTTCTGTTTCAACATGTTTGTGTTTACATCGCGAGTTCTCTAGTAGTCACGTTCCTCCTTCCCAAACGGGCGATGTTGCAGCTGGCTGACTCATCCAAGGGGGCATGTGACGCCATCCCCTCAAGAAACCCCAGGCAGTAGTGCGGAGAAGGCGCCTACGATCTTCATCAGTCAACAACCAGCAATTACATTCTCAATTCACAAGCTTGATATCCTGACTGGTGGTCAGGCATCTATTCATAACGATGGGTCAGCCATTTCACGGGTTTGTCACTCTATCAATAAACTGCGATGAGGAGACGATAGCTAACTACAGTCTAGCGACGACATTAAAGAGAGGGCGATATATCTCAGCAGTGTGGAGATTGAGCAAGGAGAAGGGCTTCTGAGCGATGAAGATGGACTTGAGACTAATGTCTTTGTGCAAAGCACGTCAACGCCTCGGCGCTGCTGTAAACAAAGATCTCGTCTCCGCACGGCCAAGAGAGTCGTGACGGTTGGCTGTATAAGTCTTCTTCTCTATGGCCTTCTTCAACGGTTCTATGGTATTTATCTACTGTGTCACCGGAAAACATTGGAAGATGATTGCTGATTCAATGGCCCTTATTAGGCACGCTAACTGATTCCACCGAGCCAACTTCCCCGCACGCGGAGTCACGCCCAGCCATCTGCCAGACACCCGAATGCATTCACGCAGCGTCAGAGATACTTTACAACTTGGATCCCAACCACAAGAAAGTCGATCCTTGCACCAATTTTGACCAGTTCGTTTGCGGTGGATGGCGGGAGCGCCATGATATGCGAGCTGACCAGGGCTCAATCTTTGCTGGAACTATTATGGCAGAGAACTCTCAGACCCGACTGCGTCATATCCTAGAGCGCTCAGAGCCTCCTGAGAAGGTTGATACAGACAATTTCAAGAAGCTCAAGGCTGGATATGATGCTTGCTTGGACGAGTCCGCGATTCGGAAGCGTGGTACCAAGCCTCTGGCTGACCTGCTAGCGGAGCTACAAAAGATTTACCCTGCCAAGAGCGATCTTGTTGCTGGAACAAAAGACCATTTGACCCCGGCGCTCTTGTTCCTGATGAAATCAGGTGTCGACGCCCTAGTATCCTCGGGTGTTTCCGTAAGTCTTCCTTTTTATAAATGCTGACCAGAGCTGGCCTACATCCAACATGGACTGATGGATTTAGCCTGATGATCGGGACCCTGATAATGTGGTGATCTTTACGTCTCCACCCCGAGAGATTGGACTCCCTGCACGAGAGTACTATAACAACACCAAGACGGTTGCCGACTACACCCAGGTCTTGAAGCAAGTCCTCCCAGCATTTGGTGGGAACGACAAGATCGCCGAGAGTATTGTTGCTCTTGAGACCAAGCTTGCGGATGTGACCCCTGATACCGCAACTCAAGAAGACGTTACCAAGTACTACAACCCGCTCAGCATCAAAGAAACCGAGTCCTTGGTCCCCGAGATCTCCTTCGAAGATGTTATTACAGAGCTCGCACCACATGATTACAAGAGTGACCGCTTGATTGTGGGTTCACCGTCTTACATGAAGGCCTTGTCTAAGATCCTGAATGACGCTTCCCGTGAGACGGTGTCGTTCTTCTTGCAGTGGAAGCTCATCCAGGCATACTCAGATTTTATTGAAGATGACGTCGTCACCCCTCTCCGTCAATTCAACAATAAGCTTCAAGGCAAGGATCCCCAAGCAAGCGAAGAGAGATGGCGCAAGTGCCTCAGACGTCTGGATTCAGGCCTCGGATGGAGCTTGAGTCGATTCTACATTCTCGACTCATTCTCAGAAGAGTCGAAGAAGCTGGGCGACCAAGTCGTGTCTGATATCAAGGAGCGATTCGTTTTCACTCTGACCCAAACTGCTTGGATGTCACCCGACGTGCGAAAGCTGGGTATCAAGAAAGTGGAGAACATCGTGCAGAAAATTGGATACCCAACTAAGAGTCCCAATGTGATGGATGCGCACGATGTGGGGAAGTACTACCACGATCTGGATGTGTCCAACGACAAGTTCTTTGAAAACGAGCTTGCCGTGGCTAAATTTGACCTTCAGAATGAGTGGTCTAAACTGGGGAAGCCAACCAACCGTGATGAGTGGGACATGACTGCGCCAACTGTCAACGCCTACTATAATCCTCCAGGGAACGAGATTGTCTTCCCGGCGGGTATTATGCAGCCCCCAGCGTTCTACGGTCCTGCTGCCCCATTGTATCTGGCCTATGGCGCCTTTGGTGCCGTCAGTGGCCATGAACTCTCGCATGGTACGTAAGACTCTGTCAAGTTGAAGACTCAATCCTCCCTGGTCTGGCATACTAACCATCTGTAGCATTTGATTCCACCGGTCGGCACTACGACGAGACCGGCAACTACACGAACTGGTGGGATGACGACACCGTCAAGGCCTTTGAGGAGCGAGCCCAGTGTTTCGTGGACCAGTATTCAGCATTCACTGTTGAAGGCCCCGGTGACAAGGTTCTTCATGTCAACGGCCGGTTGACGCTGGGCGAGAACATCGCTGATGCGGGTGGCCTCACGGCCTCATTCCATGCATGGAAGAAGCACGATGATGCGTCTCCGGATCTCCACCTGCCCGGATTGGAGGACTTTAGCAAGGAGCAGCTGTTCTTCATGGCGTATGGAAACTGGTGGTGTGGTAAGACCACCAAGGAGGCTGCCGAGCAGGCGATCTACAACGACCCGCATGCGCCCAAGTCTGCGCGAATCATTGTGAGTTTGGACCCATCACCTTTGACTGTTGAAGAATCAAGAATCCCAGGGCTAATGTAACGGTCGCAGGAAACCATGGCCAACTCACGAGAGTTCAAGGATGCATTCAGCTGCCCAGCGAAGAAGCCCGTCTGCAAGCTGTGGTAGATGACTATCGGGCTTTACTACTATAATGGAGCTGTCATCTGATTTTCGGGAGAGCTTTTGTCTGGTGTTTCTGTCTTATTGTTGTTAGAGTATAAATGATTTTGTATTCATTCGGTCTTCCCTCAAGGGGTTCGACTTTCCTGTCCTTAGGAGATCAAACATGTAAACGTCCATAGCTACATCATCAGCATCTGTTCATTTCATTTCATCCATTTTCTCACCGCTGCGAGGCATCCGTTGTAAGATTGACAAAAAGCATCTTTCTCCGCAAGCTTATCGTGCAGCTTCCCCTCCCGTGGGCGATCCCTACGATCCCTGCGATTGCTTTTTCGAGTTAGCCTATTCCAGGCAAGCAACAAAGATCCCGTGTCCCAGCGAACCTCGTAGATCCTGAGGGGCAGTCAGCTTGAAAAGGGAGATCAGCTCGTTCAGATTGGATCCGTCTGGCCGAGGAGAGATGGAGGAACTCCTCACTCCGTTCTTCCCCCGTCTTGCCCCCTGTAGTCTCAATATCATTCAATATGTCCTGCAACAGGCAATTATTGCTCTGTGAGGAAGGGAGTTGCAATACCGACGATCTCCGGGGCAAAGATTATCATGTGAAAAAGCCTTGACCATTGAGTTACCAACCACCTGACAAGGAATTAATTAAAAGCGACACTGAGTGCACCAAATAATGGCAAAAGCACCACCAAGCTCACGGCTTGGCATTGGCGGCTGGTGGAACCGACGTAAATTGAGAGACATTCATCACTCAGCACTGTATCACGATAATCACACCGATCATCACCATCATCATCATAAGCGTCCCGATACGCTGGGTAGAGTAGTGCCATGTCAACAGTGCTTCCCTCCTCCCCCCCACTGGACTACCTGCATGAGAGATCACTGCACGTACAGTATCGCCATGGGACAGGTCCAAGAGGGCTGCAGACAGATCAAGAGGTGAGCTCCATCTATCATCTCTCGGCAGGATCCAGAGTCGCGTCACACTGACCCGACTAAGTGGAGATGGCATAACGGCGGCAGCAGCGGCCAACCAGCGGGCGTCCTGTCAGCCTAATGGGGTTGAATGGAGTCCAATGGAGTGCCAAAGAGGTTCGCTTCACCGGGGCGAATAATAGGAGAGCTTCGTAAACTGGGGCGATGACCTATCAACTCAGATGTGGTGCCATTTTGGATCGCTGTCGAGTTCCCTCTTGGAAACTTGTGGGCTTTTGTCAGCCCATCGCAATCTGGATGGTCACCATGGTGGGTGGGTGGGAAGAGTGGACACTGGAGGGGTCAACTGTATGCTGGTTTCAATGTTGACCTCCAGAAACGTCATACCCTAGTTAGTTTTGACCAGGCACTGAAAGTAAACCAAGGATCAAAGTTGAATAATTACCACAGCCCTAGAGTTCCAGTAAATGAGGTTTCAGGGTCAGGGGGCCGTGGCAAAAACCAGAAGTTGTAGTAGTCAAAGTTAAGAAAACGGGGACTTTTTACCCAGCGTTCGCCCAGTTCCGCCGCGCCGGGTCAACTTCCCCAACTCCACTCCGGGCAAAAACAAGAGCTGTCGTCCGCTCCATCCTCCTCCCTTTCCCTTGACTCCGACAGACGCTGGCGCCAGGTCATGTCGTGCAAGCGTCATCTCCGATCCCGACCTGGGCTGCCCATGCATTCTTAACCATCTGAATATACTAATCTAAACGAAAATAAGGTTCCTGGTCCTTCTAGACCTTTGGAGAGCTTCTTTCGCGACGCGACGGAGCGGTTCGCCGCAGAGCTGTGGTCTGGTAGCTCTCGCGAATCGCCCGCAATGGAGCCCCTCCATTCAGCCATCGACTCCCCGACCCATTCCAGAGACAAGTCGGCAAAGTCCCAGATTCGCATCGATGAGCTGCCAGCCGTGAACCGACCCCGTCATGGAGGACTTGCCAACAATGCGATATCTCCTCTACGCCGTGCCAACACGGTGGCACAGAGTGGGAACCTCATTAAGAGGAACCTGGAACTCAAGGCTACACGAGACAAGACCGACACGACTACGGGGATACGTGCTAAAGATAGCCATGAAATGTTACGAAATGCCCCATTACAACGGTCTAAGACGCAGATACACCGGTCTGCACTGGAAACTCGCCCAGCGGGACGTAAAGCCGGTCATTTTACGGTTGGAAGTGTCGGCCAAAACGGAAAGATCTTTCTCAGGTACGATCGCAATTGATAATCTCGGTGACTGCGCTCTGTGTTGCACACCGTCTACTGTTCGAGCTGACAACTGCCCCTTCTATGGCCAGACCGATTGCAAATCCGCCGCAGAAAGCCCCTTCAATAGTTCCATTCTCCTCGATCGATCAAGTGACGAGCGACCGTCTTCAGCCGCAAAGACACGCACCAGTTCGAGATGACCCATCACGGTGGTCGAGTTCGCAGCTGTCTGAACTTCGCCCACGCGGAAACCCCGGCGATGATAAGGAGTCCGTCTGTTCCGAAGCACCGCGGCCCGAATCCACCCTCTACCATCGTCAACGAGCCAACTCCTTCTCTACAATCTCAGAGCAACAGTCGGTATCGGGCGCGGGAAAGCGTGGAGAGTTGCGCATTGTGATTGACCGATCTGAAGACCGACCCAAGTCAGCAGGCGAGAAAACTGGCAACTCAGCTCTAGAAGTCCCCATCCCCCATTACCGGCTCGGTTCCCCACGTTTCAACACTGAAGGCAGTGCGATGCTGCATAGTTCCGTCTACACGCGGACCTCAATGTCCGACAACTTTCGAAACTCGACCCTGCTGGGTGGCATGGCCGATCCTTTGCCAACGCATCTTCAAAGCGCGTACAGTAGAGATTCCTTTTCTCGAAACCGGCCCTCTTTTGCAGTCTCCTTGTTCTCTGGGACTGGGGCTATAGATCTCAGCCGAGCTTCCCCCATCCCGAGGAACTCGGTGGTCTATGAGTTGAAGGGACCCGTCGAACCCTCGATCTATGAAGCCTTGGTCTCGGATATGGATGGCCAATCGGTCGTGCGGTATATTCCCGGCACCAAAGACATAAGTGCAGCTACGCCCGCCCGCATCGTCGCACAGATCTCTTCCGAGTCGTTCATGGACTATGAGCTGGTGTCGGACTTCTTTCTCACATTCCGCTCTTATCTTTCTCCGAGCCACCTGCTTGCCCTACTCCTTGCACGTCTGCAATGGGCGATCAACCGACTCCAGGAGGATGGACGCATTATTCGCATTCGTACCTTTGCAGCACTCCGCCATTGGATCTTGAACTATTTTGTCGATGACTTTGTTGCAAATTATGATCTTCGAACCCACTTTTGCGAAACTATCAACAAGCTATATACTGATGTGAAATCACGGGAGACCGGCGGCATGAGTGATTTGAAAATTCTCATCGACTTGAAGCGGTGTTGGAATGGCAAGTGCTCTGTCTACTGGACAGCTGCAGAATTCTCCCGTGCATATAACGACCCCGATACCCCCATTGCACCCGGAAGCATGCATATTGAATTGTCTCCCGTCGATGTGCTCCATCAGAACCCTCCGTCCGAGGGCAGTATTCCCCAGTCGGATACGAAGTCCCGCGATAGCCTCCCTGTTTCCATACAGCATGACCGAAACGATTCTGCTGCCACCGCTCAAAGTATACCCTTTTCCACCAAGAGCGAGCAGAGCGTGTTAGCACTCTCTTGCTCACTGCCACCCAAGTCCTTGAAGCGCTTGTCCATGCCCTATTCGAAAGGCAAGGCACCGCATCCAGTACCTTTAGGCCTCACAAAAAGCACGTCTCCTCACGAACAATCTCCAAGCTCACCCAAGCTGTCACGGTATCCATTTCATGGCCATGCGCACAAGAGGAGTGGCAGCTTCTCTGATTCTGTGCGAGATGACCGAGTGCCGATATATGGCGAATCCGGTTCGGCCGGACCTGCACCGCAAGAGATCCTGGATCCCGTCAGCTTCATTCGCGGGGCCTTATATCCTCCGGCAGAGTCGTACATGACAATGATGGCACCGGACTCGCCTCCGTTGGCCCCACCTTCAAACTCATCCAATACGGATCGGCGAAGCATCCCAGATGGTGGGCCCAAAACAGGCCCATCAAATTCAGGTGTCAGAACTATTATTGGGTCGATCAAGCGTGCTCTTCATACGAGAAATGGCGGCCAAAGTGTCTCTGCTCGGATTGGAAATGCTTCCGATGCTATTTCGCTCCCCTCGCGTGGGAAGACATCCGCGATGCCTAATCATATTGCATTGGGATCTGAGTTTTACCGCGAAAGAAAGATGGCTGCCGGCCCTAAGCGGCCAGCTCGGATTGACTTGCTCTGTGATGAGTCTTTGAAACAATATCGTCAGGTGATGGGTACACATGATGTTGGAAAAGAGACAACTCAGCAGCTAGCCACTGCTCCTGGCCTGCAAAATACCTTGGCCGATGCTTATGTAGAGCCACCCCACCTGCCGTCTCTCGAAACCCCCAAAGCGGACGGGTCCAAGATCATGAGTGGTTTAACTACAGGAAGTGGATCCATTGTGATTCTACATGACACTGGATTTGAATTTCCTGTCATGTCAGGAGCTGTGCCAGCAGTCCCTGATAGTCATGCTCGGTCCAATTCGGATAGCAAAGTGATGTCAACCATGTCAAATGTCAAGTCACAGACATCGACACCAGGAGAGGGAGAATATTTGCTTCCAGTCTACTATAACGGTAATGCACCAGAGGTCAATGTCCCGCCCCCTGTCCCTTCGATCCCTCTTGGCTCTCTGTCGCACCGGCGGTCTTTTTCAACCGAACGCCAAGCCACGCCCACTAAGCGAATGTCGCTCTCCCTTCGCCTTCGAAAGTATGCCTCTTTTCAGAGCGGAATCTCCAAGCATCGCCTGTCGATGAATAGCGATGCTAGTAAGTCCAACGCCGGATCAATTGCTACACAAGATCTCGCGGATAAGCCGATGGGCCCATCGCTTCGCCGACGGCCTGGGGGCAACTTACGCCAGATGCAATTTGTGGATGAGATGGAGCCTGGCTCTGGCCGTGATTCGTTTGTGTCCACTGGCTCCTATGGCGAATCTTTGATGGCCGAGACAATTTCCTCAACCGCCGATACTATTGAACGCCCGCCATCGGCTCTGATCCCTCCCAACCCTCGATTCTCCTTAATCCAAGGCGGTGGGGGCTCGAATCGCAACCTGCGGCGCTCTTTCGAAGCAGCTATTGCCCAATTTGCCCAAATTCCCGATGACGATGATGGAGGCATCGAGTCAACCTTGCTCAAACTCGAAGGCAAGTGGAGAAGCCCTGGCGACGTTCAAGAAATCAGCAGACACGAGGAAAGCCCTCATACTGGTATCGAAAGGCAAGCTAAGCCTGGCTGGGAAGTTCTTTCTCGGCGCCGACAGACAGACAGATCGGCCTACTCCACCGTTGGAGGGAGACTTGCACCTCCTAGACCCTACTCGGACTCTGTGGCGGATTCTGAAGAGTCTTACAACTCCATTCCTCTTCTCGAGCGAGGATTGACGGACGAGTCAATGAAGCGGCCACCCACGAGTCGACTCCACGTCGCCGATGCTTATGGAGCTCCTCTCAGCCTCATTTCTAGCCGGGATACCTCTGAGCTCGCCTCATCGCACCCGTCGATTCAGATTATTCAAAAGACGGAAAGCATACAACGCATCCCCCGTGGATCAACGGTCCCCGAACTCGGTTCTGGCTCAGTCGGGCAGAATACCCCCAAACGTCGATCTGCTTTGTCCTCGGAGGTGTCTGTTGACCTAATCGATTCACGTGAGGTCATGGACGGCCGTCTGTCTACGGACACCCGCAGCCTTACCGCTTCGACTGTTGATATCGCGCCTCACCCACTAGCACACCCACCATCGCCTCCAATGACGATTCAACATCCGGGCTCATTCGGTTCCTCTGTTTCCCCCTTGGACAAGGTGTTGTTCCAGCCCCAGCCTCTCACGCCTGAGACATCACCCAGGCACCGGGAGTTGGATACAGCCAATATTAGATCCAGAAATGTTCCCCAGTTCTCGACTGATGTGCTCTCCAATTCGGAGAAGAATCGCCCCATCCAACCCACCCTCAATGAGACCGGGCCCGACCACGTTCCTTTCGTCCTCGCTTGTGAGTCACAAATGCTTGCTCAACAGTTAACTCTGGTCGAAATGGCAGCCTTGAGTGAGGTTGATTGGCGGGACTTAGTCGAAATGAGGTGGAGCAGTGCTTCTCCGGCTATCACCAGCTGGGTGCAGTTCCTTTCTGCGGAACACCGCAAAGGAATTGATTTGGTTGTTGGTCGCTTCAATCTGATGGTGAAATGGGTTGTGTCCGAGATCGTCTTGACTCGCGACATTCATGAGCGAGCCCGCACTATTATCAAATACATTCATACGGCTGCGCATGCGCGTCGCCTTTGCAATTATGCGACAATGCTTCAGATTGCCATTGCTTTGTCTTCATCGGATTGTACTCGGCTGCAGAATACCTGGCAACTAGTTCCGATGGAAGATAAGCGGCTGTTCAAGGACATGGAATGTTTGATTCAGCCTGTGCGCAACTTCCATGACCTTCGTGTCGAAATGGAGACGGCTAATTTGCAAGAAGGCTGTATTCCATTCATTGGTAAGTTGATATTCTATTCTAGCTTCATCTGTCGAGTCCTTTTGAATCTAACCGTCGAGCAACAGGTCTCTACGTGCATGACCTGACTTATAACGCACAAAAGCCAGCCCAGGTCAGCAATTTTGGCGGAGGACTACTAGTCAACTTCGAACGGTATCGCACCGCAGCCCGCATTGTCAAGAGCCTTCTTCGCCTCATTGACGCTAGCACGAAGTACCGCTTTGAGCCAGCTCAAGGTATCATCGAACGGTGCTTGTGGATTGCATCTCTCTCCGAGGAGGAGATCTCAGTCCGGAGTAAGAGGCTTGAATAAACCTACACATAATATCTCTTCCATGAGATTCACGTCTTGTTTTTTGTTTTCTCTTTATTTATGATTGGACCCTTCATACCCCCTTTTGCTGCAGAGGTTTTTGGACTCCCTGCCATATATCCTGTATCTATATTTGCATCAGTTGATCTTTCTTGGGATTTGCGCGCTTGGTTTATTCTGTTTGCGTTTGAAGCGAGCATTTGCATAAGATTTTGGGAATTTGGAAATATCACGGTTGAATGGTAGTCACTGTTGGTTTGCTTTCTACCTTCGTTACATACACCATGGCATATCCGAATACCCCGGTTGCTTGCATTGCAACGTGTCGATTGAATTGAGCGAGATCATTGTTTCATAGTCATGCCTCAATTACGAACACAGTAGATCATCCTGCAATAATCTTTAATCTTGTCTTGGTATCATCTCCTGGTGGTATTATCGAGTTGTGGTTTCATATTAAAGTGGGCTCTAACGTGCGTCATAAAAACGCGGCATCACCTGGCAGAGTGTGGGAGATCTACGGACCCGACCACCTTTTCCAGCGCCCCATCATCACCCTCCACAAAGTCCGCCCGAAACCTCCATACCCGACCGTAGGGTTGCCCTCCATTCCGCCGTTTCGCACCTCCAAGACATCTTCTTCTCCAACATTTGATGTCCTGCCTTCGGTCTCAGGAACTGCAGGCCCGCCACGATGGACACGACCGAGCCACGGCGCGGGGCTTCCGAGGAGGTTGATCGCGACCCTGCCCACAGCCCCGCGTCCTCAAATCCCCAGCAAGAACTCCCCGATGACCTACCCAAGTCGCTGGACGATCGCCGGTCGGTGCCGGTCTTCCAGGAGACCGAGATGTACGATGCGTGGCAGGGTAAGCACCTATTCCCACCCACTGCTCCCTAAGTGCCATCCCGCGGCCGTCTTGCGGTCATCTCGGACCTGCCTGGGCTTGCGGCATATCGGCCAGAATCTCACAGGACAAATGCTAAAGCATGATACGGTTTTTCTAGGGCAATCCCAATTCCTCACGACCCCGGTCGCCGCGAAACCCCTGAGTTTCAGTCTCGCGCTCGACGACCACATGCACGATTCCGAGACCGATCTACGAGCTCGTGACCTGGAGGACAGCGATGCCCGACTGATGGAGATGCTTGCAGCGCAGGCCGCTCATCGCGAAGTGGATTCCCTCGGCGCCGACGAAGAAAGTATCGCGGCGGATGAGAAATTGACTACGGCGGAGAAACGGGATATCCTCCAGAAGAGCCTCAATATGGCTGCTAGCAATGGTGACGTCGAGCGCGTCCGGAAGCTGGTGGATGGACCGGCCAAGAGCTATGTTGATGTGAATATGCCGGATGAGGAGGGCACAGTGCCCTTGATCTATGCTAGCTGTTTTGTGGGTGATCCTTGCTTGCGCGCCTTGGGATAAAGACATATTCATTTGTCCATTTGGGCGCATGAAAATAGGGATTGATGCTAATGAGTGACTCTTATAGGGCCATCAAGACGTGGTTTCCGCACTTCTCGACGCCGGTGCTTTTGTCGACCAGCAGGATCGCAATCAGTGGAGCGCGCTGATGTGGGCCATGACCAATCGACACAAGACCATCGCAAAGATCCTTCTGGACCATGGAGCCTCACCGGATATAAAATCATCTTCTGGTGGTACGGCATTCGACTTTGCGCAGCCGGGCAGCGAGATCTCCGAGTATCTACATGAGAACGGTTATAGCTTCGGGGCAGCCGGTGTTATGCATGATTTTTATGATGCGGGACTCGCGCATGGTCGATTTGAGGAAGAGCTCGCAGAGAATGAGATGAAGCGCCGTATGATGATGGAAGAAAGCGCAATTAACCTGGAGGTGGATCTTTCCAGTCTTGGCCTGGACGAGAAATTCGAGGTTAGTACCATTCACATATTGCTACTTTATGGATGATGATGCTAACATGAAGACATCTAGCCATCGGATGACGAGGACTTGGATGAGGAACAACAGGAGTTTGTCTGGGACAGATGCCTCAACGATCAGATGTTTGTGTTCCAAGATCACGAATTGGAGCGTATTCTGGATATGATCATCACCAATATGACTCCACAGCGGTCTCCATCTCAAAAGCCCGTTCCGGCCAATCTCCTCTTCCTCAGTGCGCGCTATGCACACTATCATGCTAGCCCTGAGCTCCTTGCAATCCTCCTTCATTCTGCGACGGATAAGATTAATGACGTGGTGGAGCGTTACCAGTGGGATATGACCATGCAAGCGTTCTGGCTGTCTAATGCGACATTACTACTTCATTATCTCAAAAAGGATTCTGGGTTGGTGGAGGCTACGGTACAGTTCCAGCTCCACTTGGCGGAGCTTATTAATGAGATTTTCGTGCTCATCATTCGTGATGCCGAGCGGCGAATGAACAAAGTCCTAGATGCGGCAATGCTGGACCATGAAACCATCCCTGGACTGGAAGATATTGCTTTCCAAAATGAGTGGAAGCTGTTCCGGAAGAAGAAGTCTGAGGCCCCCGAGCCTGCAGAGAAACGATTTCGGCCGCCATCGCCTCGCCGACGTGCGCAAATCTCGCCTCGTAATATTACCTCGCTCCTCTCGTCGACCCTTTTCGTGCTTGACCTCTACGACGTGCATTCTGTGATCACAACACAAATTATCTCACAACTCCTATACTGGCTTAGTGCGGAGATCTTCAACCGCATCATGAGCACGAGACGATACTTAGCTCGCACAAAGGCAATGCAGATTCGCATGAATGTCTCCACTTTGGAGGATTGGGCCCGTACCAACAATCGTCAACCTGAACATTATGAGAATGGATCTTTGACAACGACCGGAGAGACCACGGTGGATGCTGCTCGCCGACATCTGGCCCCTGTTATCCAGCTTCTCCAGTGGCTGCAATGCTTCTCCTCACTTGGCGAGGACCACGAGTCCCTTGTGACGACTCTCCTGCAGCTCCAACAGCTCACCCCTACTCAGCTCTTGCATGCTGTCAAGTCCTACCGACCCGAAGTTGGCGAAAAGGGCCTCACAAAACAAGCGATGAGGTTCCTTTTGGACGTACAGCGCGACCCCGAACTCATGTACCGGGAACAATTTAGAATTCAGGAAGAGAAGGCGAGAGCAGATGCGGGTCCTATCGCCCCTTCAACAATCGAAACTCGCCCGAAGACGCCCACGAAGGAAAAGCCCAAAGAGGATGGCTTATCACAAGACCCTGGAGGTCCAGACCCCGGACTGGCCTCCCCGGCTCAGTCGCTCCATCCTCACGACCCAATAGCATGTCCGGCCCATCTCGAAACGACGAACGCCCTGGCAGGGACAATGTCTTCCTCGATCCTACCTTCTTCCTCCCCTTCTCTCTACCCACAAGTACCGACATGCTCATCAGTTACGGCGCCGGGCTGGGTGGAACCAACCGCGAGCGTGCACGCAAGTACATACCTACAGTTCCGCCGGAAGTGCTCACTCGATTGGATCGTGGTGCCGAGGTATAAATACAAGATGAGGACGTCCTTTCATACCTGCCTCGCCATTTTTTTTTTCGCTTACATTTATATGGCATCGTCATATCTTGGCTCTGTCCAGCCTCTAATTTTGGGTTTTGGTTTGCGTGTTACGAGCCATTTGGGCCGAGCTTGGAGGATGACATCGACGCGGGGATACCCTGGCTTCCTCGCTTTTGGCCCGTTAAGTACGTCTAGATAGAGGGACGTGTGGACGACGAGCTAAGTGTAAATATTTCCCAATGGATATTTCGTCAGGACTATGGGAGCGTTTCTGGAATATGAGTGATAGTACATAGGCGTACGCATAGCAGATATTTGGCGACAGAAGATACGTACTTCAAGATCATGGAAAATCCTTGCTAGAGATCTGACCAGACAGGAGCTGGACTTCTAGATATCTCAGAGCGTCCCAAATAGTTAGGTTGTTCAACACGGCAAAAGAGGTGGTTACGACCACTAGGGGCCGGAGATCTCCAGCGCCATGTTCGTTTGCATTGTTTACTTTTGTTGAGGTTCTCATAAGAGGCCTGGCTCTGCTAGATCTTTCCTTCTTCCTCTCCCCAGGCTCCTGCTCCAGATATATTGCATGGTGCGCTGTGGGCGTTCTTTTCGCTCTTGCTCTCGCTGCTAACTACCTATATTTAGACCTCTTTGACGTCTTTACAAATGATGTACCAGCGCCTTCCGATAGAAAGGTCCCAATTAAAATCGAAAGAAAGCACTAAAGAATGCCAAGATATGCTACGAAGGTATGGAAACACATTTTCCCAGAGTGATGCTATTGTTACTGACTTCGTTGATGGTAGAGGTCACGGGCTTGCGTGGCTGGAAGCCAAACTCTCGGCGTGGAACGATCGCCCCTTTCCCAGGGCCACACCATGTTCACTGAGCTTCAAAGGATGGTTAAACTTCGACTAGAACGGCCAGCAAAGTCCTTTTACTGAATCCTTGGTCCTTTGGCTCAAACGCTGGGTCGGCTGATGGCTCGTTTGGAGGGATCATCCAAGATGACACTAGCTTCACGCACCTCACATAAGAAATCGAGCCTTTCCTTCTTGAACGTGAACTCTTCGCTACAATCCGCTACAACAAAATCGCCTTCATTCCAGCCCCAAGTGAGCGGAGGCTTCACCTCATCCCTTTATAGCCAACGAGGCTTTGCCAAAACCGTGGGCAAAGGCCCCAGACACGAATCTATTTTTGGGAATCACCCCCATGCTTATCGATTCCTTTCGTGAGCACAGTCGCTTACCCGGGTTTTGGCGACACTGGAAGACAACACACAGCTTTTCTCCAAATACAACAACCACTCGTTTCTTTACACATCACGCAGCACTGTTTTGAGGGGGCGACTCTGGATAACACCGCGTGTAACCGTCCAACGTGGACCCAAGACGGAGGTTCCGACTACGCCTACCTTCCGAAAAGGAGGAAGCCAGGTGGATATCGTGGAAGCGGCATACCGATCATTATTTGAAGCAAAACACATCTCAAGCCAGCCACTGATCAAGTGCCTGGGCAATTCGATCCCGAGTTCACAGGCTTGACCGTGGGTTGTGAGATATTGCCCAAGGGAGCATGTTTCTTTCCTCTTGAGAGACAGACTTGTCATTTTCGAATTGCTTACAGAATAACCTAGTTTATTTCCCCCCTTGATCGTTTCTCCCCACGTACTGCCTTCTTGTAAATCAAGATTTCCTTGACAAACTTGGGCTTAATGAGAGCCAGAATTCAAACAGGCCCTTCCATAGGAGTGGTAATCTGATAAGTTGTATGAATGCCGTGGTATTGACATAATTAAGAAATGCCCCTCACTTGCATTCGAGGACTGGGTGTCCTCTTGAGGAGCCAGTACGTGCCAAATTGGGATGATCCAAGTTGCGTCGGTAAATTGCTCCATAGCCGAGAGAGGCCAATATTTTCGTTCTGTGGAATTGGTGAATTTCGACTCAAACAAGACGAATTCCCCTCGGTTGAATTAAGAGAAGTGCGTTCTTAATTTAGAAATTTAAGCTTACTTTGGTACCGCGGTGGCTCGGGACGCGCCACGTGGGGGCCAGACATGACGTGTAGTCAGTAGTGCGGTAAACAAAACTACATGTGGGAAGTGCCAATTTTGAATGTTTGTTTGTTTGAATGCTTGCTGATGTTTAATATAAGAGCTCTGGGATGCGTTCATAACTTAGAAGATAGTAGGAACATGAGATGCATAACAAAGTAATGGGGGGGGGCTATAAGATATGAATGAATATACCCTCAGAACCTTTGCTGGTTAACTGTAAGCCGACTCGGAGAGGCCTTGTCATCATAAGGTATTTTCGTTCACAGGCCAAAAGACAAGATATCTTGATAATCAGGAATTCCCCCATGCCCACAAGTTCCCTCGTTGCCCAGAAGATCCCTCGTGCTCACAAAGTCCTTGGGTGCCGATAGGTTCGTGTCGTTTCGAAGGTCGAGGTCGAAGTCTTAGTCGAAGTCGTAGTCGTCCAATCCAATCCACCCATCCCCAATCTCCCAAATCTCCCAAATCTCCCAATCCAAGTCCTCCTCCTGACCCAGGTTCCAGGCCGTCCACTCCAAAGCCCGCCCACTCCACCAGAGTCAAGTAGTCGAGGTCGAAGTCGAAGTTGTCGAGTCCAGGTAAGGGGAGGCCCAAAGGAAATGATCGGAAGAAGCATGTCGTGAATGCAGGCGTAGTCTACGTCCACCCCCAACACCCCCAAGCAAGCTGTAGAGGAAGCGAGCTATATCCACCATCCCACTCCATCCCCCATCCTTCCATCCCACCTCTTGCGCCTCGTCCCACTGCGCCTCTTCCTCCACTCAACCACGGTATCGATGGATGCTTAAAAATGCGCAGAGCCAAAGGAATAAAGACGACCCACAAGCCCGATGGATGCTCAAAAACTCGCAGAGCCAAAGGGGGGACCAAACACTACCTGCCGCCAGACCAGGTGTAAGGAAAGGACTCCAAAGGCAAATGAAGGTGGGGAGGGGAGAGAAGAAAAGAAGAAAGCAAACGAGGAGGAAGGACGTTTTGTATTGACCCTACTAACCCAAATAGGAAATACAAGGAAACTGCAGTCTCTCATCCACCCCCATGACATGATAATTGGCCAGAATTCGAGATTGATAGATTCAAGGGTACAGTTCTGAGTGTCTTGAGCTGCTGGTTAAAGTTATGTAGAAGTTTTCTGGGTGTTTATGGCATATCTGGGCCTTTACAAGCGATTTTATACGACCAAAATGGAAAATGTTGTCAAAAGTTGTTTCAAATTAGCTGAAAATTCGCCAATAGATAGAAATGGGCTCGAAGTATCGGAAAACAGGTTCCCAAGATGTGAGACCTTGCGTGGGAAGAGATTATCGACTTCGAAAGGGTGCAAAATGGGGTTGGGCGTTAGAAATCCGGCGAAGTTGTGTAATCGATTATTGAAGCTTTAGTTTGTGCCCAGCAAACCCAAGAAAACCATTATTAGAGGGAACGCATGATTCTATGTGATCTGTATGCACGCGCAAATCAAGATGAGATAGTTTTGATATTCCTGCTATCTATTCATGGCCTGCAATATAGGAGTGATTCACATGGGCTGGGAGTAGGTATAATCTGATGGATAGGCTGTTGATATCACCGGATCATGGGTCTTATACAGTATGACTAGTCTTGGAGTAGATCGCGGTCCCACATGGATGTCCGTGCTCCCATGGAATGGTACTGGACTACGATTGGAGTGATTAGGTTTTACAAGTAGGGATCATCTTCCTGGGCGAGATCTTCGACAAGTCAGATGTAAAATAGTACAGAAGTGCCTTTGCAGATCTCTCCCCAAAGCAGTAGTGTTGAAGATGCATAATATAAGGTTAAAAAGAAAGTCATGGGATGCTGGGCGAAACCGCTTTATGACTTTGGTGGCTGTCTGCCAGGAGGCAAAAGGAGCCTTGCGATGGGCTACACAACGTCTGGCTTCCAGAGCCCATTCAACAGCGATCGATCATACGCAGAAATTATGAACTGGCATCGACATCAGCAGCGACAGCAGCACGGAACAGAACTGGCCTCCGATGCCCCCTGATTGAGATGAAGCAGACCGACAACAACGAACAGGTTTCTCCGTGCTGGGTAGTCCGACTATCGAGACCCTGAATACTTTCAACCCCGTGTTGGACTACTGGTTTCTCTTGAGTCTCCAGCCGACAGCCGTTGATCATTGGATGTCTGGATCGTAAAGGAACCCACCACACTGGATCGATCACGAACGCACGTCCATCTCTTTGGGGGCGGCCGGTGCACCGAGTTCCCACTTGGAGCCAAAAGTCAGCCGTGTTGAGAGTTCTCGAGTCTCAGCAGGTTGCTACGGTTGCCTTTTTCGTGATTTCAATCCCCTCAAGCTGGTCAACCTTTGAGTCGCCGGAGACTGTCGCACCTGGCTTATCCTCCGATCCGTCGCACTGGTTGCATTGGAAGTACTCAACCTCAAACACTCGCGATGCCTCGACGACCCCTCGACCCCTCCTCCGACCCTCTCAACAATTCAACCACTTTGAACCCTTCCCGAGCGCTCGATCTCATCAAGCTCCCGTCTATTCCCAACCGGGATACGATTGGCACCATTGCCGAACCGCGCCGCCCCCTAAAACATCCGGATCGGCGCCATGGCTGGGTGGCCCCAGCGCTTGCGCGGAATCTGGAACCCGCCCGCTTCTACAGCTCTGCTGGGCATCGCCATTGGTGCTGGGAGTATACAAGTGCCCGTACGAGGCGGCTTCTAGTTGAGGCTAAGAGCAATGGCAACGCTGCTCTTGCGCACCACAATCGGTCTCGCCCAATTGCCCACTTGTGCGCAAGCTGTGTCATCGTCCTCGTAAGGCGATCTCTTGCTAACTAAGGTTCGCCTCGAATCACCGTTATGTACAGTCCTGAACTCTTTTCCCCCCCCTTTTCTTTCCACATTCTAGTTCCTTACTCTGTACTAATCCTGTTCCGCAAGACTAGGATCCTATCTTCGCTTTTTGAGAAGAGATTCGACGCGTTCTATCGGATCGGCTCGTGCTTTGCTTCCGGGGAGCTTATGGCTTCGTTTCAGCTTGCCTCGGATCTCGTCTGCCCCGCCTTCTAGACGTTCCATGTTTGAACTATTCTGGGCTTCCCTGAGAGCTAGCAGGCCCTTCCTACGTCGTCTTTCGGTTCACCCCCTTAAAAAGCCTGATAATAACATCGCTTCTCCGTTCGATTACGCAAACTCAAGCCCCCACAGGCTTTGACGGTGACTCAGCCCATTCTGGACGTAACGTTAGAGGGTAGGTGTTTTCCTAATTGGGTAAATTGAGAGCTGCCTCATCGGGTTGATGGGGCTTGCAAATCGTGGCCGGTCGCTTCAGCACTGCACTACTCTTCTCCACTCCCCACTCCCCTCCGCGGCCATTCTAACCTCTGTATTTCCGGTCGTTCACCATCTTGCTAACTCATAAACTTTCTATCAACAGTGAATCCAATGAGTACGCAGTCGCTGATCCAAGGAAAGCGCTCTCGCGCTCTTCACATTGCTCTGACTATCCACCGGGACTCGTTTCTTCTCCCGTATTATCCTTCCATAGCAACCTTCCCCAGCTCCTGGTGAGCTGTGTTTTGCCTCGCAATCCAACATGCATAACCTTCCCCCAGCGCCTGGCCCTTGGGCAGGCCCCGAGACAATGCAGCGTTGGCTACAGGCCAAGGTCGAAGAGGACCGTCGCTGCCAAGAGGAGGAGAAGACTCGCCAGGAGACAATGAAACTGGAACGGCGCAAGGTTGATCACGCGATCCTCGTGGATGCCTTACGTGCAGGTGTGCCACCGCACCTGGCCCCGTTGGTTGTTGGGGGTATAGACGGACCCGTTGACGCAAAGCTTGCTACGCCAGAGATGATGCAGGACATGGCAGATATGACTCGACATTCCTCAGTACCACCGCATCGGCCTCAAGTACACCCCGGTGCATCTCAGCCCGCGACGCTTCCTTCACTCAGTCAACAATTCTCGACACAACCGGCCGGAGAATACCTACGGGACATGCGCACCCTTCCTTCCAATGCATATGCTTCATCTGCGCAAAATCAATCACCAGTTGTGAGAAACAGTTCATCTCAGCTATCAGCTGGAGGGGTTGGCGGCGGTAGTGGTGGTCGTCCCCCATTTGTCTCAACTGTCATTACTTCAAATAATACGCCTACTGGTCATCTTCCACGTCCAATGGAAATGACCGCGCAAAGCCGATCGAACAGTGGATTACACACTGTGCATGCCCTTGGTGCTCCACAGCCGCCGTCGAACCCTCCTCCTAGAGGTCAACATGAATCACGACCTCGCCGTCCTTCCCCCCTCTATCGCCTTTCATCACTGGATTCCTCCCGGTCAATCACAACCTCAAGCATCGTCAAATAGAGTACAGGAGGAGCATGTGCTACCATCGAATGGCTCAGTACATATGCGCCCCGAGATACAAGGATCTCCAGGTCGCAAGAGGAAATCGCTATCTATCCATCATCAGTTGCCTCCACCATCCTCTCGGTCCTCTGGTCTAACGGAGGGAAGCTCCCGGCATGGTCGACAAAGCCCGGCTGGCAGTCAATCCGGCCAAACCAGTGTACAAGGAGATTCCCGACGGCATAGCGATGTATCAAATCCTCAGGAGGCTCCAGCTACAGAGAAAGGACATACCGACAACCACTCTCAAAGTGTAGAGCGACCCCGAACACATACAAACTCATTGGGTACCGCTGAACGCGGCCCTCACGAACCCAGGAGGCGCTCTACGGGTGAACGCGTCACGCAGGAGGACAATAACCGGGGGTCCGATCGAGAAGAGCAAAGGTTTTACTTCTCTCGTGGACGGGTGCCGGATGCTGAAGACAAATATGATCCGTCCCCAGACTCGGAAAATGGCACCAGATCTAGTGCAATGGCCCATTGGGGTGACAGAGAATAGTCCTTGGCCTTGTTCAAGCGTCCACTGTTTCAGATTTCTCACATTTCCCGTTCCGGACACCACATTGATTAATATGTTGAGAAGGACTTTATCTGCGGGGATCACATATCTTGTTAACAGCATTTACATGCATTGTGCTCGATGCATTGCGCAAAGTGGATCGAAAAAAATTTCTATCGGCGTTGGTGGTCGGCTGTGGGGTCTGTTCCATTATGGAATCGATGAGGTTTCATGCTGGGCTTACATGATCACTCATGCTCAATATTCATCCAATTTCCGGAGGATGAGCGGCTTCTGTGAAGACATTCCATTCCCTGATCTTTGTACCCCGGGTGGTTTTGGTCCTTTTGCCCGGCTGGACTGGGCAGTGGGCAGCTTATTTGACAGTTAGATACCCTTAACCAACTTCGTAATAGCCACCGAACTGCATTTGATCATGCTTACGGGAAAAAGTAAACTTCATTTCAATACTCAATTTATACATTCGTGACTATATTACTTAATTCAAGAGGATTGAAAGACTAAATATCTTGTTCCATCCACTTACTTCATACCCTCAGGTTGCTTTACAGCATATACCTGAACAGAGGTGACCTATCTCCCAGCGAATCGGGATCACTCGGATACTCCGAAGGATCAAGCTGATCACGCTTCTTGTTGATGCGCTGGTAATTGAATCGCAGAAGGAGGACTGCGATCATGCCCATGATCACGAAGCCGAGCTCGAGAGAGTGGCCGAGGATGTATTTGGGAGCGTCCTTCGAGCGATAGAAGTTTGAGGACATGGCTGGTAAGACGAATGTTAGAACATGATACTGAAAGGGCTAAATGACAAGCATGTAGAGTTTCGAGTCTTACCTCCTGCCAGATTACCGATACCAATATGGATAGCCATACCCGCTGCACGCTTGTAGTCGCCAGCAAGGTTGACACTCAGCCAGGTAACGTTACCCGGGAAAGCAGGGTAAATACCTGCGATGAACCGATTAGATTTTGTAAATTGTGAGAGTAGGCGAGTTGATCGAGGACTTACCGATGACTGCGATGAATACTCCGAAGTAGACCACACCAGGCACGCCGCGTCCGGTCGATGCGATGACAATAATGAAGCCGATAGCGATCAAGGACATGAAGAACAGGATGAAGGGAGAGCGTTGCTTGCGGCGATCGGAGTACCAGGCTGCGGCCACGGCGACGATGGCAGCGGTGATGTAGATGGGAACCTGTGAGAGAGTTGTCAGAATGGACTCATTCGCGTACAGAATAGGCGCTTTGTACTCACAGTCAGTAGCTGTGCGGTGGAAGACTTGTACCCCAGATCCTTGATGATAGATGGGAGGAAAAAAGAGATACCGTACAGTGGGCAGGTGATACCCCAGTACACTTGATTGAGTGGGTCAGTAACATTGTTGCAATAGAGCCTCCCTTCTTCTCCCGGAAAGTAACTCACTCAACAATCCCAACCAAATCTGCCAGTCCTTGAAAGCGTCAATCACATATTTCATGTGAAACTTGGACTCGTCCTGGACCATCTCGCGCGCGTCTGCCGAGTTTTGAATCCGCAGAGCGTGAATCACGAATGCTCGCTCTTGCTCTGTGAGGAAAGTGGCTGTCTCGGGGGAATCATGGATCGCGAATGGCGCAACAAAGGCGACGACCACGGTGAGAATACCTTCCAAGATGAAGATCCAGCGCCAGCCAGCGAGGCCACCGACTCCGTCCATTTTCTACAAAAGGTGTGAGATACGTGTATGAGAAGGAATTGCAGAACATTGAACTTACGGCGATACCAAAGGCCAGAAGTCCGGAGAATGCACCAGCGATACTGGCGGCGCTGAAGAACATGGCTTGTCGGAATTGAGCGCGGTGGCGAGGGTACCACAGAGTAATGTAATAGGCAACACCGGGGTACAGACCGGCCTCTGTAGGAGATTGTTAGTGTGATGTCTCTCTCGCCAGGATATTTGGCTATCATACCAGCAATTCCCAGGCAAAGACGAGTTGCGAGGAGTCCACCGTAGTTTTGAACGATACCCATGAGGGTCTAGCAGGAAAGATTAGTCCATCGAAAAGTAGAGACGAATCATTGATCGGTCGGTCGCTTACCATCACAATACCCCAAGCGACCATGATCAATGGCAGCCATCTGGACGGTCTCAACTTCTTCAACAGCAGGTTACTGGGCAACTCGAACACACAGTAGGTAAAGAAGAACACCGTCACTATTCGCAGAGAGCATGTCAGTAAAATGCGATCTCTATCCTTCCATTCGCTTCTTCACGTACATGTCCAGTTATACTGCGGCCCCGTCATGTGTAGATCGTCCAACAAACCCTCAATCTTCGCATTACCAATGTTGCCTCGGTCCAAAAAGGCCAACAGGTAGAGCGCACTGAGCATAGGAATCAACCGAATATCCATCTTTCGCAACACAGCTGCTTCATCGACGCCCGCAAAAGAGGGAGGGCTAGCAGCGGCGGACTCCCGATCGGGGTGCTTCTCATCGTAGATGCGCGCATCCTCGAATTGGTCATCGGTGGGTTTGCCCCCGAGGGAGGTATCGGTGGAGTCGGGCATGGCGAACAGATGTGGAATGGGCGAGACTCGTAACCTGTCTCTCTCTCTCTCTCTCTCTATAGATGAGATGCGGAGCTTGCATCTGGGGTATTTATATTTGGTTTTAAATCCTGTTAGTGCTGTTAGCCTTTTATTCCTGTTCAGACCCTGCGGGGGAAGCTTACCCCACGGATTTCTCCCCGGAATTGTGGACCTGGCGGAAGTTGTGTAAATTGTGGAATCTCTCGAGGCCCAAGTCGGTTTAGATCATCGTTGGCTTCGTTTCTGATCCTTGTACGGAGTAAACGGCTAATGAGGGGTCGTCCCCAGCCTCATGCGTCCTTTACCGTGGCGGGGAGGTATTTTCCGACAATTTTGGCTTTCGGTCGGTTCAGGTGGCTCGGCCTTGGTTGCGAGGTACTAAACTATACAAATTGATATCTTTGTTACCTGGCCTGGGTGAATAGTGTTAGGATGTAGCGAGTTTAGGATCCGAGATCTAGACCTACACGAAAGACAGCTCAACTTTCCTAACAACCTGTCAGCTGGGTGTTCTTTTAGGAGAATTCTAGCATCCTTAACCCTCGGTTCCGAGGTTAATCGGCTCTGATCCGAAACTTTCGGTTCTGAACCGCTGAGAAACGCCACAATCGGGGTCCATCTCATCGTCAATGCTACTCTACTATTCTCCAACCACCTGGGCTTTTAGACCTGGGGAAGGCCTCAGAATGTCAATGCTCAACATTCTCAGACCATTCATCCCATTTGGCCATTATTGATTAATCTTCTAACACTTTTTACTGCACAGAACATAGTTACTTTAGGCGAGAATCTTCTTTCCTTCCTCCACCGCTAATGGACGCAGCCTCTCGGTGCGATAATGCACATCCTCACTAACCTCTAGGCACATTCTACTTGATTTGAACTTCGCAGTGACAGCCATTATCTGGAAAGCACGCAATGAAGAAAAGACTGTTTCTCATGAGTTGGACCGTTGCCACGGGGCTAGCCACAGCTGCCCTCATAGTTATATCATCCAATTCAGTCATCAGGTGTCATCTCTACATCATAATGGCCATTGCCATCTATCTCTCTAGGTAAAATGGATTCAATTGCCTCAAAACTGCCAGTTTCACCAGCGACTATTTACTTCCACCATTTTTCTCATTTCTCCCTCAACCCCAACCACCCACCATGGCCACCACGACTCCTTGGACCAAGCCCGACACCACCTATCGCCCAATCGCGATCATCGGCGCCGGCGTGATGGGCCGACGAATCGGTATGATGTGGGTGGCCGCCGGATTCGACGTGATCCTCTGTGAAAAACAGACCAGCGACCACGATTCCGCCCTCGAATACATCAACACCAACCTCGGCACACAAGCCGCCAAAATGGGAACCAAGCCAGGCACCGTCAGAGTCATCACCTCGATGAAAGAAGCAGTCGAAAAGGCCTGGATGGTCGTCGAGGCCGTCCCCGAGATCCTCGAGATGAAAATCGACATCATAGGCCAGGTGGATCAACTGACTTTGCCGGACTGTATCATAGCGACGAATTCGTCTTCGCTGCGCTCAAGCCAGATGCTCGTCAATACGAAGAGGAATTATCGCATCTTGAATGGTCATTATTACATGCCGCCTGATCAGCTTTACTTTGAGCTTATGTCGTGCGGGTATACCGATCCGGATATTTTCCCGTTTTTGATGGAGAAGGCTACCGTCGCGGGCTTTAAGCCTGTGCATGCGCAGAAGGAGTCAACCGGCTTGATCTTTAATCGGATTTGGGCTGGTATCAAGCGTGAATGCTTGCTTGTGTTGGCGGATGGTGTCACTGATGGCGCGACGATCGATGAGATGTTCAAGTCGTGGTTCCAGGCGAGCAAAGGCCCTTGCCTGATGATGGATACGGTCGGATTGGATACCGTTTACAATATTGAGAATGTATATGTGAAAGAGCTCCATACAGATCCGCGTGCGAAGGATTGGCTGAAGACTGCGTATGTGGATCAGGGTAACTTGGGTGCGAAATCCGGAAAGGGGCTATTGGGATAAATTTAGATTGATCTTTTTTTCATAGAGCTCTGGGGTATCTTATGTGGGAGACAAAAGGGGCCGAGAGCATTGGATCTATGATTTTATGCAGAAAATAAACGACGATGGTGATTACAACCGTTTAATGAGGGAAGATCAGATCTTCAGAGTATCAGTTATATCTGCGTTTTTGAGCGCTCTATGTAGTATTATTTCACAGCAAGATATGGGTTCAAGTCAAGACTAGGTCACACGCGAGCAGCTAATCAGACAGGGCAGGAGCTCATCCTGATGATGTACACTTGCTGGGATCTGAGACCCATTTGGTAATTCGTACATCAAGAGTTGATCAAGCCAGATGGTAATGAGAAGTAAAGGGATGTACTGTGCATCGCATGAGGGGAAGAAAACCTAAAAAGAGAATGTCGAAAGAACGTGGAGGGATGGGTGGGTATCATCAAAAAAACCCACACGAGCACAAAGGCACTCGTGAGGCAATATTAGATGTAAAAAGGGGAAAGGGAATCAAGTACATAGGGAACGTGACGGAGGTCAAAATAGGGTAAAAAGGGGTATTAAGAAATTAGGGACAGCCGCAATGAGACTGAGTCTTCCACAGAAATCAAATATCCCACAAATTTGTGGGTAACCGAGACAGGTGAATGGGTATAAGGAATTAGACATCAAAAGGGGGTTCTCGGTATGCACCCCGATCATTAGGGTATCAAACGACCGTGAGAGCAATGATTAGTGAGAAGATAGACAGTAATGTCATTCGACCAAATGATTAAGTCGCCTTCTTGCGACGGTGGACCTTCCACTCCGCTTTAGCAACGCGCATGAAGATTTCAACGTCCTTGATTGGGACCCAGCTGGTGAGGACCTTCATGCCGTTTTCGAAATCAGATTCGAGAATTATCTCGCGCATACCATCGATGAGGGCTGCGGATGTGGCGTGAAGCACGTCGAGACCTTGTCCGAAGGTGCTAGAGCGGGGAACAGGCAAATCCTTCTTGCCCTTTCCAGACGAGGTGTTTGGCCGGGCAGCAGCAGTGAGGTCGTCTGCATCTCCAAGGAGCATAAAGACGTCCCATACCCGAAGCTGGGCAGGGAAAGGAATAGAGTAATTGAAAAGTGTGAGATACCATCGGGTTCCATATGTTGTGGGTGGAATCCCGACTTCGTTCTGTACCATTGACATGTGAGTATTTGTCCCTCCAAATTTTCATTTTGGGATGGTTTGCTTACCAGTTTCGAGGCCACTTCACCACCAGCGAGCCACTCTCGTTCGAAATCGTCCAGGGCCTCCATAAGACCGGCGAATCCAGATTTGTACAGCTCCTCGAGGCCTCGTAGTTGCCAAAGGCGGGCGAGCATGACGAACGCATGTTCCTCATCATAGTATGCTAGCAACGTTGCCGCCAGAGCCGCCATACCTTGCACGTAGCCAGTGTCGGGAAAGTATAATGACATGGCATGAAGCACGCGGAATAGCAGCCTTTGTCCACCGCGATAACGCCGACGGAACATGATGTGGCTGGTGATCGTGCGGGGCACGTCGATATCAATTTGGACATCGTCTGGCGAGGAGACATATTGGTATTCATGGAAGGCGGCAATGAGCGTGTCTTCAGAGGGGCTATTCTCATGACGCTTCGCACTGCTCTCGAGGAACGAGTACCAGGCTGTCGAGCGCCATCGGTCAGGGATGCCCTTCCAAGTCCGCTCAATCAACTTGGTGCTATGCGTATCAAACTCGAATTTCATACCGCCACCGTCACGGGTTTTCTTGACCGGTTTCGCCATTTTGGTCCACTTGTCCTCGCGATCCCACTCCTTCCTCCGCATCGCACGCGCAGCAGCCGTATCTGGGCCTTCACCGAGGACATCACCAGGTAGAGTTAGCATATCGCCTGCTTCGTCCGTAACCTTTCGGTCTCTATTATGCGGAAGGTGATTAGCCGCCGAACGGAGTCGCGATGTGGACCGCCGGACTGGCATACTGTGTGTGCTTGCTGATGAGGTTGGCCGAGCCCCTGCAGAGCTTTGAGAAAGGTTGCGAGTCGGCGATCGAGCACTGAAGGAGCGGTTGCTAGCTCGAGCAGTTGGTGGTCGAATGGAACGTTTCCTCCGAGGTGTCTCAGAAGCAAGGAGAAGGCTCGTTGTCACTCTTTGAATAGGGTGAGGTTCATCGGCTGGTGCATGAATGAACCCATAGCGATCGACTTGTCCTGCCCCCACATCTTGCCAATACTCGATGCCCCCTGCTAGTTCCCGTGTCTCTCTCTTCATCCTGATGCGCTCTACTTCTTCGGAGGCTCGGCCCTTGAGGTCGGTTCCATTCATCTCGGGGGCGGGTGTGGAAGCAGTCTCAATGTCGGGGGTAGTTGGCTCTTCCCAAAGAACGCCATTGTCCGATGCCATTGCCTTTGCGACCTCCGCGTCAGTGATATTGTCGTCACCCTTCTCATACATCAGCCGAACCCGTCGAGATAGCATATCCTCGTCTGCAGAGATGGCTCTACTCTGGAGGCTCGTTTGCCTTGGCCGGAGAGTGCTTTGGGGTCTGACACGGGGCACTGCCCTGGGAGCGCCATTTGTCGCATCGTTCTTTTCACCATTCGTCACATCCTGCTTTTTACCATTCGTCACGTCTTGTTTGTCAGACGTCGGTGTCTCGTCTTTTCCAGTTCTCGTTGAGGGTGTAAGCTCCGGTACCGTGTCTGCTTCCGTGGCCTGTGGGGTAGATGGCTCCTCTGGGGCCGGTGCCAGGCTCTTTTCAGTGGCTTCCTCCAAGCTCTTCTCCTTAGGCAACGCAGGATATGGCCGCTTTGATCGGTCTCTGATGAGGCTGCCTCGGGTCGAAAATTTCATACCCTGTCCCAACCCACCCAGGGATGCCGTCGGTATATCCAAGCTGATTCCACTAAACTCAGGCTCGATTGGCGGCACAGGAGGAAGTTCCTCCATGCTCATCTTGCGTTCCAACTCCGCTGACCTCTTTCTCAAGCCACCCCACTTTCGCTCCGACCATCGAGACCCTGGCCGAGACCCTGGGCGTGAGACTGGACGTGAGCTGTCATGAATGACAATGCTGGGCACGCTGCACAACGAAGGGGGAAGCGATTGATCATCCTCCGACTTTCGTGTGCCGAAGCTTTCGCCCGCTGGGGTCGGCGGCGTAAGTCCTCCATTCTGTCTGGTATTGCGCACCGAACGTGCTGTCGCGGGACGATCGTTGGATTCAGGAGAGGCAGCGCTGGTGCTGAAGGACCGGTCATTAGGTTCTAGTGGCGTATCGTCGGACGGTGTGGGCAGTGAGACTGAACGAACGGCAATGGGCCGCTGGGCTGCGACAGTCTCGTCAAAGGGCACAGCTTCAGTCGCCGGGCGCAACTCCGAACCCACTGGCGATAACGATGCAGGAGCCTCACCCACCATTATCCTGGCATGACTTGCAGGGCAGGAATGCGCAAGAGAGCAGTAAGGAGTGTGGGACGATTGACTGGGAGCGATTGAGCAGCAAAGTATCAAATGGCGATCTAAAGGAAGGACAGGTACAAGACACGCATCACCGTTTCGTCAGGGTCTGGAAATTAATAAAATTGACTCCTGGCGATGGCCCGGAGATGTGGAGTCTTGGCGCGGGCCACTTTCATTCCATACAACAAAGGAAGGACGCAATGCGCCGCTGAAATGCCAGTGCGCAGGTTGGAATATGAGACGAATACAGTGTAATTGCTTTCTGATGAAGCAAAAGAAACTCTCGAGTCTCGTTTTTGAGGGGGGTTATATTTTTAGGGGAAGGGCTGTCCCACCAGGCTTTTCGGGGCCGCGCAGCAGTGGACCACTACGAGGCCCGACGAGGAGGTTCAGTGGAGCACGCTAACAATTGCTGGTGCTTATATTAGAACACAACCATGGTGTCATGCGTGGAGGGGGAAGGTTTCTTGAAAGCCTAACTTTGCTTTGGGTAGGCATAATTGCAGAGGAAGTATGCACGGAGTAACTATTCGTTACTAAAAAGTTTGTACAGGCAAGATGCCCTCGTGGATCAACAGTGGAGAGCCTCTGCAGATCAAACTAACCAAGGTACAGTAGAAATCAAAAATCTAAACTACAAATTAAGGTGTACAGAGTATGAAGTTTGAAGTATATTCTGTTCCAAAAACCTGTTCAATTTTGGCGCATCCTCATTAGACCCGTGTGGACACACTGTACACAAACAAAATAAGACAAAACGCGTGAAACTCCAGTAGCCGAGGCTGTAAATCCAGTAGGCCATCAGCTGCCAATGCAAAGGGGGCGCCGACAACCCCGGCTATACCAACAAATATCATCGTAGCTTGGAAAGGGAAAAGGGGAGATGAAACCCAAAAGGGGAGACACGAGAAAATAGCATAGAATGGTCATGGTGATCCAACGGCCCAGCATTAGATCCATGTAGTTTAAGCCACCGCGGCTGTGTTGGCCCCGGACTGGGATTGAGTAGGCCGGCCCCGATCAACGGGCTCTTTGGGAAGGAGCTCAATCTGGCGCACCAAGAAGCTCTTCTCGTCCGTGAATTGGTCGTCCTCCGTCCGGTCTTCCAAGAACTTGGGCAAGAATCTCAAGAGCCGGTCTCGATTGTTGATGAGAATTCGTTGTACCGCCACCGATTTGTTAGGGTTGGCGACGAATACCTGTTTCGGTCAGCGCATTCCCCCTCCCCCTTGGAACGTGGATCGCAGATCGCCGAGTGATAGATGGTGGATCAGCGAGCCTGACATACCTTAAAAACGTGGAACCCTTCATACTGCACCATCTTGCGATCATCGCGCAGCAGCTTCATACATAATTTAAGATTCTCCCCACTCTCCACGTAGGCCATCATGACGTTGTAGTTGGCACGGTCCAACAGGATCTCGCCCAGCAACTTGATGCTTTGTCGTTTGGTGACATAAGAGTCAGACTGAATAAGGGTGTTATTGAATCGCCCAAAGAACAATTCGAAATTGGTCGCAAGATAAGCAGTCACCAGGCTCTTGTGACGGGTCAAGATTTCCTGCAAGTAAACCTGTCAGTCCCAAACCCGCAGTCCCTAGAGAGATATTTATAGATTTCATACCCGGAATGTCGTGAATGCATCGGCGCTGACTTCGAAGTTGCCCTTATCAATCCACTCAAAGAAATTCCAGAACACCCCGTCGCCATTTTGTGGAAGATTGGGCTTCAATTCCGAGAGTCGGACCGCAGGCTCTCCCTCATGTGACTGGTCATATAATATCACCGCTGTGACCACGTCAAACTTGAGGGCCTCCCGTAGAATCACGCCGCATGGCATTGCACTTTGGCTCTGCATATAGCCTCGACATAATTCGACGAGGATCTCTGGTCGGTTATGAACGATGTATGAGATGACCGGAGGGTCTTTATCGGTCGCATACGAGGCGGGCCGGAAACGTAGGATATGGGAGAAGATGGTCTGCGTATCTTTTCGGGCTTCGAAGGGGAGAAGGTGGATAGTTCGTGATAAATCATACAGTAGATCTTCTTGTAAAGTCGCTTGGACTAAAGCGTGGACCTGATCGGGTGATGTGTTGATCTCTACCGGGGCAAAGCAGCGTCAGTCATGCATTCCATTCTGATCCAGTCCAGAACGACGGCAGTGGCGGTGGATCAATGAAATGATCAATGATATGGCAGGTAGGCAACCGACCTTGTGTTCCTTGTACAATAACTTTCATCTGACTGAGCTGCTTGGCCAGCTCCTCGTCGGCCTACTAGGGTTAGCGGGTGTCGCGCGCCGGCTTGGAGCTCGGGGTATCCGTACCTTGGGGTTGCTGGGTGCTTCTTGGACCCTGAGCAACAATTCCTTTGTGGAGCGCACCACATCTGCTGGTTGCCGCGACCGACCACGATTGAAGAAGAATGCCATATTTCCCCGGGCGAGCAGAGTTGGGGAAAAGAAGAATCCGATGATGCGCCGGGGAAAGCCAAGGATGATTACGGCGATTGGGTACGGGCGAGTCAAGTAATAAACAAACGGGGGCGGGGCAACCGTTGGCCTGAGGCCACAACAACTGATAACGGATTTTTTTTATCAGTCAATTTTCTGCCCCTCCATTCTCCCTTCCCTCTTTGGGTATAATTGACCAGCTTTTGTTTCTTGTCAATTGCATTAATATCACCATGGCGTCCTCTAGCTGTGTCCCTGAGCCTCCTGTCAACGAGGTTCCTGCCGATGCTCGCTCAGTATCGGACGAATCGGACTCTAGCAACGAGGAAGGATGGGAAGATGTCGAGCCTGAGGATGATTCCCAACCGGTCGTGGGACTGTTTTCGGACGTTGTTTTCCCTGATGTGCGCTCAATGCTGAAGGAGTGCAAAGACAAGAACAACTTCGACCTGGTGAAGATCCAGAAGGACCTTGGTATGTTATTTCGTTGTTGTTTCTCAGTGTCTGTTGTCTACGTGTTGCACTTTGCAATTTATGGGATCAATCTACTAGAACCCAAATACAGGAGCTCATGGCTAACATTGAATTTTCACTGCAGATCTGGATTTCCTGGACACCATCAAACTGGTCAACTACGTTCGATCCGAGGTGAAGGCAGGAAACCTCTCCCCCGACGTTTCCTCCAAGGAGAAGTTCGCCGATGACGCCTACCTGAAGCCTGTCCTGGAGGACGATGCTGTCTTGTATAGCTTGGATGACATCAATGAGGATCAGATCGAAGAACCCGCCCCCGGGACCGAGGCCGAGCGCAAAGTTCTCGAACTCCAAGAGGAGCTGGAGCGCTTGCAGACCCAGTTTTCCGAGTACCGGCTTGCTGTGCAAAAGTCGTTGGACGACCAGTTGAACAAGGAAGATGAGAAGCTTGAGCCCGGTGAGAATGCAAAGAGGCCTGTCAAGGATCGCCTCGAGGATGCTGAAGCCGACTACTTCACCTCTTATTCCTACAACAGTATGTTACCGCTGAAGCGCCCTTTTATAATAACCCCGACTAACACATGTCCCCTCGAACAGCCATCCACGAGTCCATGCTGAAGGACGCCATTCGCACCGATGCCTACCGTGACTTTGTCTACGAGAACAAGCATCTTTTCAAGGACAAGGTTGTCCTGGATGTGGGCTGTGGAACTGGTATTCTGTCCATGTTCTGTGCCAAGGCGGGTGCGAAGAAGGTCATCTCGGTCGACAACTCGAACATCATCGACCGGGCCCGCGAAATCGTGTACGACAACGATCTGGGTGATGTGATCACGTAGGTGTATCTACTTTTATAATTTCCGTTATGACCGTCCGCTAAGTATCTTCACAGATGTGTCCGTGGTAAGATCGAAGAGGTCACCCTGCCCGTTGATCAGGTCGACATCATCATTTCCGAGTGGATGGGCTATGCCTTGCTCTTTGAGGCCATGTTTGATTCTGTCATCTACGCTCGCGACCGCTACCTCGCTCCTGGCGGTCTGATGGTCCCATCTCACGCCACCCTCCGCGTTGCACCCTACGCTGATTCCGACTTCATTGCATCGCACATCTCGTTCTGGAACAACGTGTACGGTTTCAAGATGAACAGCATGCAATTGAACATCCACGACGAAGCCCTTGTTCGCCACGTCCCGACCACCTCCATTCCTGCGGAGTCGGCTGTCTTCCTGCCTTTGCCCCTGCACACCATCACTGTTGATGAGTTGACCTTCTTGAAGGACTTCAAGGTCACCCTGAACGAGGACATTGACGCTCTTGATGGCTGGGCGATTTGGTTCGACATCTTCTTCATGCCCTCTGCGGATTCCACTGTGCCCGAGAACGCCGTGCCTGCCGATATGCAGAAGAAGGGCTTCGTTGGATTCACCACTGGTCCCTATGGAACCGAGACCCACTGGCAGCAGACAATCTGTCTGATCGACCATGGAAAGGAGGAGCCCAAGCCTTTGAAGAAGGGCCAGGTTCTTACTGGTAAGATTGGCTACCAGAAGAAGGAGCAAGGCTCGCGTCTGCTGGACCTTAGCATCCAGTGGCAGGCCGATGAGAGCAACAAGGGTGAGCAGCGCTGGTCACTTCAGTGAGAGGCATGCTGCCCCAAAATTGATTGATGCTTTATGAAGTTTACCTATAGATAACGCCTTGGATATTTTCCATGAAAAAGGAGTACATGATTCTATGACTTGAACAAAGCTTTGAACGGAGCTTTTGCTAGACGACGTACCTTGTGCCTCCGAATTCTGATTAGCCGCCTTACCCGACCACTATCTCATAAATCGTACAGCCGTTGTATTCGTAGATAAAACTTGCAAACCAATTTTGTGGAAATGGACTCCGAAACTAAGAGGAACGTCGGAGTGTACACTCCTGACAAATGGAGGCGCTCTCGGCCGCCCGCCGCAGGCTTTAAGGGCGTTATCGATAAGCCAGCTTCGATCAGACTGCTGCTTCCTCACTCAACCTATCTACCACGATGCCGCTGTGAGTGCCTCCCCTGCTCCGTATTGTCGCTATCACTGACATCTTATCAGTCACCTTCTTGGGAAGAAATCATGGAACGTTTACAACCCCGAGAACATCGAACGTGTCAAGCGCGATGAGGCCCAAGCCAAGGCCCGTGAAGAGGAGGATGAACGTCGTATGCAAGAGGTCGATGCCGAGCGTCGGATCCAAATATTACGTGGAGAGCGACCATCTACACCCCCTCCGCCCCCGCCATCTACCTCAGATTCGCATCACGGACCGGAGAGGAACTACACCGATAGCGCTGGGCAATACAGGAAACGGCGACGCCTTGCAGGGGAAGATGACACAGACAGGGATATCAGATTAGCACGGGAGAATGCGACGCATGCCATTGCAGCAAGAGATAGGCTCGCTCTTACCTCTGGCCGAGATAGTAAAGATGCACAGGCACCGCTGGTGGATAGTGCCGGTCACATCAACCTCTTCCCAGCCGAGAGTGGCAACAAGAAGGCAGAGAAGAATGCCGAAGCGGAGGCTGAGGCTACAAAGAAGAAGCGAAGCTATGAAGATCAATATACGATGCGGTTTACCAACGCCGCAGGCTTCAAGGAGAAAATCGGCCGGCAGCCATGGTACTCCTCTTCCGGCCAGGATCTGGCCGCGCCAGACTCTATGCCAGAGAAAGACGTTTGGGGCAACGAAGATCCAAGGCGCAAAGAACGAGAGAAAGCACGCCTGGACTCCAATGATCCTCTCGCAGCGATGAAACGTGGCGTTCGGCAACTAAGAGCCACGGAGCAAGAACGAAAACGATGGAATGAGGAGAAACGGAAAGAGCTTGAAGCTTTCAAATTTGATGAACGGCACCGATCAAAAAATCATTCCAGGAGGCGGTCCCGATCTGTAGACAGCCTGGAGGGGTTCAAACTTGATGCGCCTGCAGTTAAACCACGCGATCAAAAGGAGCATAGAAGCTCCGGTCAACATCGCCGACACCATCGTGAGGATCGAAGTCGAGATCGTTCACATCGAAGATCGTATCACCGCTCAGATCACTCTCATCGACATCGGGATAGATCCCATGGAGATGACAGACTTCCGCCGCAATCAGAGAAGAGCTCGGCTCATGACAAGCGTTAACACACTGAATGATTAGAGATGCAAAATGATACCGGCTTCTTTTTTTGATCCCAAGTTATCAGAAAATTTACTCCCGTTTATTTAATTGCTAAACGGCCTTCAAATACTATACAAATTGATAGACAAGAGCATCAAGAGTTCGCCGTACCTATTGTAATTACGCCAGTTGAAGCCGAGAGGCCAGTGACCCTCACTATCCGGAGTTTGCCTGCTGGCCTTATCGATAACGCCCCGCCGCCCACGGTGTTCCCGGAGTGACGGAGTGACGAAGCTCCCCAGGTCATCTCCGACTCTCCTCTTCAACTATTTGTCTCTCACACTATTCGAAATGTTCAATCGGAACAACTCCCCCTCTGTGCCGAGTCCCTTTGGGAACAGATCCGACGGTGGACGTCCCTCCCCTCAGGGATACTCGAACCCCAATCAAGCACCGCCACGGTATGATTATGGCCACGGCCTTGCCCCAAGACACAGCCCAGGGCGAGCCCGCGACGACGATGTGCCTATGACTGATGCATATAATGATCCAAGGGGATATGGAGCTCCACCGCCAGCAGCAGGAAGACCACCACAGCAGATGGCCGCACGCCCGCCGGTCGGCGGACGACCAAGTGGCGGCGTAGCGGGAGGACAAACCTGGACACTTCATCCCAGCAAGAGCCCGAATGACAATTTCACATTTGGCAATCTGTAAGTGCCCTTTGATCTCCAATTTTTGCCCCAGTAATAACCCTTGGTAGCGTCGCGGTATCACCACAGGATATTCCTCCTTCTCGAGACGGTGCCGACATCCTCCTCCTGATCAATGACCTCTACGTTCTCTCCGGCCGTCCCCTGGAGGGCTTCCCTCCTGGATATATTAGCATGTCTGACCCTCAACGCACGTGGGCGAGCGTGGGAATGCGCGATGCTGTCAAGGTGCAGCTGTATGACCCATTCAGCCAGGGAGGCCAGGCGTACTTGGGATCAGCAGACATTGAAGTCAGCTTTGCATCCACAAAGAAGCGGACGGAGATACCATATGACCAGGAGGATCTCACAAACGCCGTAATTAGAGTGAGTTGATGTACAATGTGAAAATGGAGAGTTGGGATACTAACAGAATCAGAACTTTGAAAATCAACTATTCGCTCCCGGACAAAGGATCCTTATGGATCACAAGAGCATTCCACTGTTGCTGCTGGTGAAAACTGTCCAAAGAGTTGATCTGACCTCGGAAAAGGTCGATCTGAGCTCGGGAGAGATTGAGACCGGCGCAACAGCTCGAGGGATTATTACCCGCCATACCCAGCTCAACTTCTTCAAGGACACCCAAACCGGAATCAATGTGAAGCCATCCAATCGCCGTCCAGCTGCAAACTCCATCATTCAGCCTGGTTTCAAGTTCGAGGACATGGGCATTGGTGGCCTCGATTCCGAGTTTAGCACCATCTTCCGTCGTGCTTTCGCTTCCCGTATCTTCCCTCCCGGCCTAGTTGAGAAGTTGGGTATTCAGCACGTTAAAGGTCTTTTGCTATTTGGACCTCCGGGTACTGGTAAAACCTTGATTGCTCGTCAAATCGGAAAAATGCTCAACGCCAGGGAACCGAAGATTATCAACGGTCCTGAGGTCCTGAACAAGTACGTTGGTCAGTCGGAAGAGAATGTCCGAAAGATGTTCGCCGACGCCGAGAAGGAATACAAGGAGAAGGGTGACGAGAGTGGCCTCCACATTATTATCTTTGACGAGCTGGATGCTGTTTGTAAACAGCGTGGAAGTGGCGGAGGTGGTAGTACTGGCGTGGGTGACAGTGTCGTCAACCAGCTTTTGTCGAAGCTGGATGGTGTTGATCAACTGAACAACGTTCTGTTGATTGGTATGACTAACCGTAAGGATATGATTGATGAAGCGTTGCTTCGCCCTGGTCGTCTCGAGGTGCACATGGAAATCTCGCTCCCCGATGAGAAGGGCCGCAGTCAGATTCTCAAGATCCACACGGAAAAGATGCGGACGAACAACGTCATGGACCATGACGTCGACCTGGAAGAGCTTGCTCACTTGACCAAGAATTTTTCGGGTGCGGAAATCGCTGGTTTGGTCAAGTCGGCTTCCTCGTTCGCCTTCTCCCGCCATGTCAAGGTTGGAACGATGGCCAGCATAAACGAAGACGTGGTGAACATGAAGGTCAACCGAGCTGATTTCCACCATGCTCTTGACGAAGTGAAGCCCGCCTTTGGTGTTTCCGAAGAGGAGCTTTCCAGCCGTATTCAATATGGTGTGATTCACTACTCGAACACTATCAACGAGATCTTGCGGGAAGGTGAACTGTTCGTGAAGCAGGTTGGTCAGGCAGAGTCCACTCCGCTGTTCTCTGTCTTGCTCCACGGCCCTCCTGGAAGTGGCAAGACGGCCTTGGCGGCGCGTATGGCCATTGAATCCGGCTTCCCCTTCATCAAGTTGATCAGCCCTGAGGACATGGTTGGCTTCAACGAGGCTGCTAAGATCTCACATATCAGCCGAATCTTTGACAGTGCCTACAAGAGTCGAACCAGTATCGTCGTTGTTGACAATATCGAGCGTATTATCGATTGGGTTCCTATCGGCCCTCGCTTCAGCAACAACGTGCTCCAGGCTCTTATGGTGTTCCTCCGCAAGCCACCAACTCACGGCCGTCGCCTGCTGATCCTGGCCACGACCACCGAGCGTGCTCTGATGAAACAATTGGATATCTACAATTCGTTTAACTCGGATATTCTGGTTCCCAACGTCCTGTCGTTCGGTGAGCTTCGGTTTGTCATGGAAAAGTCTGGCGCATTTGATGCGCAAGAAATTGCGCGTGCCCTTGAAGGAGTCGGCGGACTGGCGGAGGATGGCCGGCTCAGTGTTGGTATCAAGAAGGTTCTCCTTGGTATCGAGACTGCTAAGCAAGATGTGGACGACAAGGTGGGCCGGTTCATCCGTGTGATTAATCGGGCTATTGAGGAAGAGCAGACCTTTGCTTAGAGCGTACATATATAGAATTGTTTTGATCTTTCTTCCTGCTATGATGAGTAGTATAGCACCCAAAGAACTTCCTCGTCTTCCACCTCTCTCTCAACATGTATTTCCAGCCATCACCTCTCCGCTCGATCCGAATGCCGTGGACAGGTGGATACCACTAGGTAGTGCAAGCAAGCTAAAGCCATGGGACACGCGAGTTCCATGCGAGTTCATTTAGAAGTGGAATACTATGCTTCTTTCTTAAGATGCCAGGCAATGGCGGTAGGGTTGGTGGTCTCTACTCGTCTCAATGTTCTAGATAGCTTTGTGACTCGCAATATTCTCTCTGAATGGGCAAGGCATTCATCCCAGATTGGGCAAAGCCTGACTCTTCATCCAAAAATACGTATGGATGGACATGCTTGGTTCATATGCAGGACTTGGGGATTGAAAAGCTCACTTCCAATGACATATTCTTTCAATGAATGCCTGGCAATGAAGCTACCACGCATATCCACCATGAACGGATCTGACCAATAGGTACTACCAAAGTAACCTAGCCCTATTTTTAGACAATTAATGCCCAGATTATTCTCACAAGTGGGTCGCAAGTCAAGAGACAGCCTATGATCATTTTACATTCAAGTGAATAACCCTACTTAGGGCATTACTACAGGCGATACCGAGCTCAATACGACAGATTCATGCTACAATGCCTAGTGAATGGCTGTAAACGCTCATCATTACAGTGACACGAGTAAAACAGATACAATTCACAGTATCCGCCCCAAATATAAGGCCACAAGTCGCACAATATCCCTACGTCACGGGGAAAGATATATACATAAAACCCAGTCAAAACACGCCAAAGCCGTCCCAGAAAAGCAGGTTGTCCCGTCCCAGCAGTTCCAAAGATCCAAAGATCCCGATTTTGTCCGAATTCGTCATCACAGTCGTCAAAATAAGCAAGCACATCAAGCATAAGCACATCAAGCTCCCGCGTGCTGAATCAGTACTCGTCGTAGGTGTACTTCTTCGCGGCCCGGCGGTATTCCTCCGGGTGGGCCTTCTCGGCCTTGCTCTTCAGCGCGCTATTGGTACAAAATCCGTCAGCCATGTTCTAGAAGACGCATGCGGCGCTAATTTGGTGCGTCGATCTTCCCCAGACGCACGTGCCAAGCGCTGTCCCCGGCGGAGCGGAGGCAGACACACATCCCTGCGCGGAGCGGGGCGGAACTTGGAACGTCCATTTTAAGGGGCGACGGTTGTTAGGGGGAATCTTTCGCATTCTTACCTGACACGCTTTTGAGTCCATTCCAGATCTCGCTTCGTCTCTCGTGCCGTCTTCACTCCCTCTGCGAAGTTTGCGCGGACGCCCTTTAGGCGGCGCTGAGCGAGGGCTTGCAGTTCTAGCAGCTCGCGTTGCTTTGCGTTCAAGTGGCCGGAGCTGGAGGTGCAGGCTGTTAGCTTGAAGATTCGATATTTTCGAGATTGCTGCAATTGCGCAGCGAGTTATCGGCCATTGCCCGTTCGGGAGCGATCTATCGCCGTTTGGCTGGAAATGATGTTGGAATTGCAGTATACTCACGTTTGCGCCTGCCTCGCCAGGCCCTTGTCCAATGGAGTCGGATCGAACGCATCTTGCATTCGGTCGCTCAAGACATCAACGACATCGACGCCGGAGTACGAGGCAGAGCTCGACTCGTAGTCCCCGCTTCCACCGGCGGAGCTGAAAGTGAAGCCGCCAGAGGTGCGGCTGCCGGCAGTGGTGCTTGCATCAGAATAATCGGGTGGAGAGCCTGGTACCCGCGAGATGGGGTACATGCTGGCTGGAACTGGTGCCTTGGATGGCATGTTCATGGGGTAAGCGGAGGGCTGGTAGTAGTGACGCTGAGTGGCCATGATGGTGAGATGTTGATATCAATGTCAATTGTTGGATGAATGGTTTGATATGACGACGAGGGTATCTCAACGGGATCAAGACAGCTAGCAAGAGGGATGAGAAAGCCTTAAGTCAAGGTAAGGCAAGCAATATATGAGGGTAAGGACCAAAGATGTTGGGTCTTGGACTGGGATGCAAACGAGGCCAGCTGGGAGGGATGGAAAGGGAAGAAGGAGGACAACCGGGTCCCCCGGATCAAACGAGGGAATTTATAGGCGTCTACGGAGAGTCTTCCCTCCGGCGGGGACATGATCAGACTTTCCATCACAGTTGATCCATGATGAGGAGGCGTGGGTGGGAGGGCAAGGGTGGACGGACTTGGACGAGAGCCATTGGACCACCGGAGGCACTTGGGATTGCACCCCCTCCCTCTTGCAACCTCCAATTTTGCCAATCTCCCCAATCCCCGAGCTTCGGCTGCATCTCCTCCTCCGTTCCTGCCCGCCGATTCGTCTCTTGGACCTCGCGGACCCCGCTCCGAGTTGGGAACGAGGTGTGTCTGGCCCAGCCCACTAGGGGTTCCGCTCTCCGGTGGCTATTCCTCCCTGGGATCTTCGGTCTTGGTCTACGCGGCCCCTCTCTTCTTTCCCAATTGTGTGCTAGGCCCAAGCGGAGCCTGAAAGTATCCGGATGCTTGCAATGGAGGGGCAAAGAGTCGGTTGACATCGTTCATGGAAAGAGGTGGAGTTGGGCAGAGAGAGGAAGTATATAAAATGCGCACTCTTCCCTCCTCTGCACCTAAACTGCACCTTTGCACACCTGAACCTCCCCATTTCCGAAAATTTCCATATTTTCCTATCACCCCTCCCCGGTTCGACATCCCGTTCCTCAAAATTCGGGGGCTGGGAAGAGGGACGTCGAGTCAAGCATCGTGGTTGATTCGCTCGTTGGACGAAGCGCCGAGACGAGCTGCGAACTCTACAAGAACTGGTATCACATACAAGCCGTGTGCTTTCAACCACGCTCCAAGCCCCATAATTGCCAGTTTTGAATATCAACAATATTATAGGCCTCCATACTTGCCTTGAAGTCTTTCTGCAGACCTTGAGAAGGCCGACTGAATACCCGTTGGGTGTTGATGTGCTTTTGCCTAGTGGGTCCAGTAAGCACTGAAGACCGCAAAAACGGAATTGCCTCCGAGTCATTTTCTTCGCCAGTGATAAAGGACCAAAAGAGGTGACAATGTCTTACGGCCTGACTTCATCGAGAATGCCATGATTCAACAAACGAACACTCAGGATGAAAGAGGACGGCAGACAAGGCAGCAAAATGGAATCCATTTGGTCACACGGCCTGAAGATCCCAGTGTTGGACATCACTGCATTGCCCGACGAACCGTGGAGAACCCGGCAATACTTTGAAGCCGCCCAAAGGGCCAGGCGAGAACCGGCAGTACCATATTGGCTCCCAGGAAGAACCTGGTATGAGGAGCCTGGGTACCCAATGTCCCAAGGAACGGAGAGTGATATTGCGTGACCAAAGCCTGACGGCATCCCACCAAACGAGGAAGTGGAAAAATATGTGCGAGAAAAAAGAAAAAAGAGTGCCTTGCCATGAAGATCCCTGTAACCTCCGTTTGCCCGCCCACCCATGCGGCTATTGCTACGTCCCGAAGACCAGAACGCCTCGCACCAGCCCACAAATGGCTAGAAGAGCAGGGAAGAAGAGCAGCGCAGCACGGACAAGCGCTCTAGACGCCCGTCACGGCATGGCAAAAGAGAAGCATGCCACCCCACACGCCATGCACATGGGCAATGACTTGCTTCTCTACGTGGACCGGACCATCAAACAAGAAGGCATCCCTCTGCAGGGCCCCGTCGGTAACTGCAAGAGGCCCGGAAAAGATGGTTGACAGTCATCTCGTCATCATTGGTCCCAGATTGGCTGCTGACAGGGACACTGCCCAAGCTTCTAGGATGCAGAGAAAGAAAGAAAAGCAACTCGGCTCTGTGGCAGGGCACCAATCTGATTTGGCAATCCTGCACTGCCTTACGCTGGGCTGCGCTGGCCAGCTCGTACCATTTTCGCTACCCTATGTACCTTGTTCACTCGGCCACTGGGTACCCAAGTGTACCGAGGGTTTCTGGAATGGTGGTAGTAATATGCTGCCTCGTCTCCTCATTGCACTGCGCCCTAGTCATGGACATTCTGCATGCCTTGCAGCCTGACGAAGGACGATATGCCCCGTTGACTCGCATGCAACCACCGAATTACACCGTGCCACCACCCTCCTTCCATGGAATACTAATTTTTCCCCAATTAACCTCCAAAAGTCCGCCAGGGATGCAACTCTTAGAACGCCCTCCGCGATTCCGTTTCTCCTCATTTTACTCTGCCTTCCCAAATTCAGGGCAATCGGGCAGCATATCAATGACGCGCAATATACGACAACAACAGGACCTGCAAATAGGAAAATACCCTTCCGTTCAGCGCTGTGCATCGTCATAGGCCGCCCGGAACAGTCTTTTCATCCACCAATCTCTAATTCGCCCCCCCTCCTCGAGTCTCGCTATCGCGATTCCCGGCCAAAGAAAAGCCCTCGAAAAACTGGACCGAGGACCTAGTCTGACGATTTTGCCTTTTTTTTTTCGCCTTGCCTTCCCGTGCTTCTTAGCATCGAGGCCATTGCGACGAACCTGTTGTTCGCCCGGAGTATACATGCACAGCACACACTCATCTGCACTGCACGCTGTCAACAACGGGCCAACAGAGTTGCATACGTTACACAGGCCCACGCTTCTGGTCCCAGACGATCGAGAAGTCACAATCCCTTGAGTTGTGTCATCCTGTCCTACACTCATAAGCATCAGTCGTAAGGCGAAGCTGGGAACCATATTATAACCCAAACAAGCGCGAAACCAAGAACCACAATTTTCAGACACGAGAAGATCTCACTCCAGCAAAAATAATGCTTTGGGGATTTCTCACTAATTATTATTTTCTCCAGCAGGAAGTCAGTCATCTGGCGAGTCACCGAATGAAATACCCAGAGTCAAGTGGGGTTGAGGCGGGGATTATTTTTTCTCTGTTCCTTCACCGCCACATGCAGCATCATGACTGGACGGTTGGTCTGGCCAACTCACTCTCCCTTTCCTCTTTCGGGGTGGTTCGCTTTTGGTGCGAGGTGGTCAAATCTACGGCCAGTCGGACGTTTGGTATGTATGTACTTCATAGAAAGATCGACTGGGGGGTTGTCCGCGGATACTCACGGTGTTTCAATTCAGTATCAGTGCATTAACTTCCTTCCATGCAATGGATATTAACTGTCCTCTACACGAGAGGTTAAATTAGGTATATCTCATCTCGTGTACAGTCAGTACTTCGTAACTTGAGTCTTGTATTTCTCTCGCCTTCTTATCTTTTCGGCTGTTGGGAAACTTTGTCCTTTCCGATTGGCTTGCCCCCGGAGCTAGATGAATCACGCCTTGCATCTCGTCTTTCCGTCAATAACCTTTTCAGTCTTGAAGTCTAAAGTCATGGTCAAAGGCTAAGAGAGCTCTGTCATACTTATCCTCGGCCTTCGTCAGACCGCGTATGCAGATCGCGCTTGACCTAGGTCTCCGTATTGGTCATGTGTATATCATAAATTATTTGTATAGGATGATCGAACTGAGTAAGAAAAAAGTTTCAAACAAATTTCCACAAATTATTAACAACCACATTTAATTCATGACAGACGAAGAGGCAGTCTGGTATCTCTATCATATGAATCTCCCTCTAGACTCACAACACAACCAGACAAGAGAAAGGAGATAAACAGTAAAAGTTGGATTATTGACAAATACAGATCTAGAAGTAAGATCCATATCGTTACGCGCTCGTAGTCTGGTATCACAAGAGAAGAAAGAAACAAAACGAGGCTCAGAAAGGGCCCAGACCAGACATAGAAGAAGAAAAAAATACAGGCATAACAACCAGATCCGGGCATTGACGCCATGCACTCGAGGTCGAAAGGGTCAGAAAGCAAAGTCACCCAAGGGCACGGTGATGAAAAAAGTCGATAATACAAGAAAGAATAGCCTTTGCCCCTCGACCCAGGTAAACAGATGCTTGAAAGTGCACCAGAGATCCAATGCCCAATGCAGATGCAGATAGCGCGCATGGAATGATCAAGGCCCGGCAGACGGGACGATGCGATAAAAAGGAAGATCGTAGGCGAGCGCTTAAATGGTAAACTCGCATTAGCGTTGGGTATGCCCTCTTTTTCCAGAACCCCAGATCCCACCTTTACCGTTCCGTAAACCCGTATAGTTGCACCGTAAGATAATCATGAAAAACAAGAACCAGAAGCCCGCTCAACCAATCGTTTGCTGGAGAGGGAAAAAGAAAAGGACTGTTCAGATGTTGAGAGAACCAGGAGGAGGGGAGAGAAGAAAGAGAACCACCAAAGCACGAGGTAAAGGATTGGTGATCGTGCATCGACGGAGGGCGGTAGTTGCGTCAAGGTGAGGTGATAGAGTCTCTAGCGACGGTTTGAGGGAGAAACCTCGCCTCCTCCGCTAAGGCGATCCCGAAGGAGCTGAAGAGGTCGGCTAGGGTCCAGCAGCCCCATCATCATTTTGCCCAGCTCGTTATGCTTGATGGGTTTCGTGACATAGTCATTGAAACCAGCACGGGCAGCATTCTCGATTTGATCTGTCATCGCATTGGCCGACAGAGCCATGATCGGGATTTGAGGATAGTGGTTCTTCTGTTCCCATGCACGAATGTCTCGACACGTATCGTAGCCATTCTTGATTGGCATTTGGATATCGCACTGGTGATCACAAAGGTTAGTTGACCAAGCCGATTATAGGACAAGAAAGGCTGTGACTCACAATGATGAGAGAGTAGTAGCCCGGTTCTTTGGAAAGCACCATGTCAGTGCACTCTTGCCCGTTAGAAGCAGTTTCGGACATGAGCTTGATCTTGTCCAAATATTTCAGCATGACCTGGATATTGATTAGCAATTGGATCGATCAAAAAGTATGAAGAACCGAGCTTACATCACGATTGGTTTCGTCATCCTCAACAAGCAAGATCCGATAACCCTTGTTGCCAAGCACCTCCTTGACCATCTTGGACACGGTCTTGAAGTTGTGGTTGATTTCTCGCGCCATGTCCTGATTGCGATCTTTGCTCAGTTCGCGTTTGCTATCTGGATCAAAGATGGTGGAGAAGGCTGAGGGTTTGACGGGTTTCGGCACGATAAAGACTTTCTTCCCCGTTGCGGCCAACTCCTTGACGCGGGTGCTGATCTGGCGTTTCTGATACAAGTCCGAGATGATCACGACAACAGGAGCAGTGCCCGGTTCGGATTCAGACACGTGCTGAATGACCTCCAAGATGTCATCAGTCGCAGGCAGGTTTAGAACTAAGTGGGTGCAAGGAGTCCTAGAGCCGGGCTGCATCATGTCCTTCCACTCGTCAATATCCGATAGAGTCGTAATTGTGAACGGAATTTCATATGGAACAACTTGTTCAATATGTTGCTTGGTGGCTTTGCGAGCGTTGTCCAGGGGACATAGGATGATGATGGAGAAAGGACCCTGCGGAGACGCGGGTGGTGATAGAATCGAGAGTCTGCTTGGAGATGAAGAGCCGTGAGGAGGTGGCTGTGTCAGGCGAACCGGTGCACTAGTTGCCCCGTCCTTGGAATTGGTCTGAGGCTGAACGCTTGAAGGAACAACAGGTGGCGCGTGCGCTGTAGAAAGATCTGGCGTGGGCAAGGCAGATGATGCGGCAGACAACGGGTAGAGGCCTTTTGATCCAAGATCATATTCCGGCGACTCGAGTCCAGGCGAGAGGGTTGCGAAATTCAGCACAGGATTCGGGGCCAATGAACTACTTTGGTCATAGGATGTCGTCCTAGATGTTGCCGGTCGTCTCGAGACCGTGGAGGCCTGACGAAGTAGCGAGGGCCGCTCGGAAGGTGATGGAGGCGGAGGAGCATCGACCTTAATGTTGAAGGAAAATTGGGCACCCTGGCCCTCTTTGCTGCTCGGGGTGAGCTTGCCGCCGTGCATCTCGACAAGTTGCTTCGACAAGAACAAGCCCAACCCGCTGCCGGCATGTTGTTGTGAACCATTTTCACCAAGTTGACTAAATCTTTGCATGAGACGTTCTGCATCCTGTGAGCTGAATCCTTTGCCAGTATCCACGACGTCGAAATTCAAAAATGCCTCGGTATTCTTGAGTTTCGCCGATGATTCATGGGAAAGATTGCAGGAGATGTAGACTTCGCCGTGTGCAGTGAATTTGACAGCATTACCAACCAAGTTGATCAGCACTTGACGAATTCGGAACCGATCACCAATCACCATTGATGGAACATCCGCCTCCATCAAATAGTTGATCTCCAGGCCCTTGTCGATGGCTCGGGAAGCCACCGTATCAATCACATCCTCAATCATGGACCGAACGTGGAACCAGGAATTGACCATCGACATTTTGCCAGCTTCAACGCGAGAGACATCCAAAATATTGTCAACCAATTCCCGAAGGTTTGTAGAACTATTTTGGATAGTATCAAGCATTCGCCGTTGGTCGGTGTCAAGTTGCGTATCCAGAATGAATGGAATGGTGCCAAGGATACCATTAAGAGGCGTTCGAATTTCGTGAGACATGTTGCTGAAGAACTTCGTCTTGGACTCCATCTGACTATTGAGTTGGGTCATTGCCTTGTTCAGCTCCCGCTCAAGATTCTTCCGGTCGTTGATGTCAGTACACGTGCCGTACCATGAGGCTTCCTCGCTGCCGAAACTGCCTGTCTCAACTCGGACTAGGCGCACAAGATGCCATCGGAAGTCACCACCTCTAGACCGTAGGCGAATCTCGGTAGAATAGAAAACACGTCCATTCTCATCCTTTTGCAAAGAAGCGACACCGCGTCTCACAAGTTCGTCGAGCGCAGATGAAACCCCATGACTTTCTGATGATGATCCTCCTTGTCCACTGTCGGTCGTTGATTTGGCTTCTTCGTTTGAAGTCGATTGGTTCGTTTGCATTGCAAGTCCACCACATTTCTCAAGATCATTGGGGTGAACATGCTTCGAGAATCCAAGGTTAAGAGCCTCCTCTAGACTTTGACCTGTATACAGGTTCCACTGCTCGTTGACGAATATCAATCCCCGGTTCTCCGTGGCTTCGAAGACAACTTGTGGAATTGAATTGGAGAATGCTCGGTATTTCGCGTCTGTAGCAAATTTCTCCCTTTCTTGGGTGGCCTTCAACTCCGAAATGTGCTGTTCATGAATGTCAAGGAAGGAGCCGATCCAGTAGAGGACCTCACCTGTTGATGACAACAAAGGATTCGCTCGGAAGATGAACCACCGATAGGCAGTCTCGTCATTGAACCGTCTCACGCGAACTCGCTCAGTGAACTGAGAGCCTGTACGCAAGGCATTTGACCACTCGCTAGACACTTGATCTCGCTCGCTGCTGTGAATATTCTGCCAAGGGTCCCGTACTCGCTGTTCCTGGGGTTTACTCCTCCGATAGGCATCAAATTTAGCGTTGGTCCAGATGACTTCGCCACTCTGGGGCTTGGCCAGGAAGAGATGGAGAGGAACGGAATTGAGCATTAACTGCGCAATCGTGTCCGAGAAAGGACGGGGCATGTCCCGCTGAAGTTGAGCATAAAAGGAATTTGTTGACCCTTGCCGCGATGACTGCTGGGTTGGAGACAGGACATTTGGCGGTCGCACTTCCTGTAATGGAGATGTGACGAGTGAAGCTAAATCTTGACCATTGTGGCCCTCTTCCCCGGCGCAGGGTTTGTTGGGTAACCTGCCCGGAGATGTCGGGGTTGAGGACGAGAGGCTTGATTTTGTCTTCGAAAGACGGGATCGCTGAGATGGAATATTGTCACGAGCGGCCCTGGTATGTTGGACATTGAAATAACTGTCCGTGGCGTCTCCAGAGCGAGAAACCAGGGCTGGAGATTGAGTCGCCGAGTTCAGCGCCACCTGACCAAATTCAAACCCGGGCGTCCCGAGGCTTGATATGGCTGGACTAAATTTATTCGATGATCGATCACTGGGACTAGTAATACTAGCTTGCGCGGACATGGAGCTGTCATCGCCGACTGAGTAGCTCACATGACCACTAAGACCCGCCACGAGCTCCAATTCACTGCTCGCGTCCGAGAAAGTACCACCGAGTCCAAGAAGATGTCCGTACCGAGGTGTGTCCACTTTAGATGTCAACTGTCGCTCCAGCTGACTATATTGTTGTGCAAGGCAGAAGGATGTTGTGAGGTGCGGCATGAGATGTGCAAGAGATTGGCGGAGATTAGGCGGAAATGGCACAATTGTAGAGAGCATAGAAATGATGGCGACCGGAAATCGCAAAGTCGAGTTAGTGGCTTGGTTGGCATGGCCACCATGTAAAAGAGGAATATGGATGACCGTTTTCGAATGATCGATCCCAATGGCCTCTAATGATTGCGAGTTGGAGTAGTCGTGGTGAGGCGGGTTCTTCGAGAAAGCGCTTTCATCGACCGTGTGACACGTAAAGAAAGGATTCTGGTCTGCATGCGTTCGAGGGGCTGGTGAAGGAGCCGGGGATTGAGACCATGGAGACTGTGGAAACTGCTCGTATTCGTCATAGTGTCGCAGTCCAGCTGCGCCTAGGCTGGTTAGAGGTGCACTATGCCCATGATCAGCGGTCGTATGGGGACCATCTGCATTGGGGGTCCTCTGAATGGTCTCGTTCGGACTCCGAGGCACATTATTACCACCCGCTTGCTTATCAATCGCATCCGTGGAGTAGTCGCGAGTCAGAACGACAGGGTTAATCCGTCCGAAGAGCTTGACCACACCAGCCCGCTTAACCAAAGGGTCCGATTCTACTTCCAATGGCCTCGGGATTGGGAAGACGGCTTGTCTCAACGGAGAGGCCGCTGGATTCCGAGGCTCGTTCGCTTCAGAATGAGTGGTCGGTTGCCTCCGGCTGCTCGAAGCTGTCATCGCCTCCACCCATCTGGAGGTTCCTACAATGCGAGCCTGCTTTTTCTCCGACTTGACGGACGCCTTTGGAGTCTGCTGATGGCGGTCTAATTCTGACATTTGAGTGGGCCTCTTGCCATACCCAAATCCAGCAAAAGAGTGGCGTGATTTCAAAGGTGGCCGCGATGACGCAGGACTCTTCAAGCTAGGAGCCAATTCTGAACTTCGATCGTGGCATCCTTCATCATGATATGTCCGGGCGTCAATCGTAGAGTCCGACAACGTGGCTTCAGGAATCGTATACGACGGTGTATCCTCAGGCACGGAGGTAACATTCTGATTAAAGATTGCTTTCTGGCCCCAAGGCACGTTTTCTAGATCTGTTAAATCTCCTGGGACAGCCAGTGATACGCGCTCTGCGCCGTAGTTGGATTGCAACAGTTCGATCAGGTTCGACCACCAAGCTTCCAGTCCCGGGTCAGCATTCAACTTGAGCGTTAAATCGTATAGGCTGGGAGTCGGGTATTCCGAATCATCAGCGGGATGACAGCTTTGGGGCGGAAGAAATGCAGGTTGGGCGCTATAGGGTATAGAAGCAGCCTGGTGGTCCTCCGAAGTTTGCGATCCGGGTGTTGATGATCGAAGCCTCTCCGAAGGAAGCTTCAACCGAAATTGTCCCTGGCGCCCTGATTGCTCGTATTCCGGTTGTGTGTTTTGATTTTGGACCCTTGGAAACGGATAGGAGGGCGTTTGAAAGACTGTCTGATCCGTAGAGGATGTGCCTTGGCTGTCGTCTGCTTTGATCGTCCCTCCTGATCCGATCGAGCCCGAGGACGGCTGCACAATCGTGGGTGAGATCTCCGTGGGGGCGTTAAAAAGCCGACGTTTCTTCGGTGTTTCATTTGAATGGCCGAGTGCGATTTGATTTGGGGCCGCGGAATCAGTGTGATGTTGCTGCATTTGTTGATAAACGAGTAACTCCTCCATCTGCCTGCGCAATTCCTTCAATGTTTGCGAGCTCCGTGCCTGGTCTTCCTGCTGTTCGTTGTCCGGTCGTGAATCCTCCGTGATTGGTGTCAGGCCATTAAACTGATCTCCAGAGTCTCCCCGTGAAAAACGAGGCATTCGGGGGCCCGCTTTCAATGGGCCATCCACGCTGTCCACGATACTGTCCATCGATAAATTGCTTGCATGGTCATGATCGGCGATTTGATAGCTCGACAACTGGGTCGGCTGCAGGTGGGGAAGCTGAGGTACGGCGACGGGTGACACAGTTTCCGTTGGCGAGGGTAATGGAGGACTTCTCCTGCTATGCACGTCTCCCATTCTCGCGCCTGCACCGATCCGTCAAATACAATTCAGTGCTCCTGGGCAATACAGACAGCGCAGGAGCTAAGTCGGATGATCATATCTTGGCCAAAGCGGTGCGTCCGGAAGGCCTCGTGGGCGTGGGATGAGGGGAGAGAGGCGAGTGAGGTCGGCGGATGGAAGCCGATATCGAAGATCCGAAGGAGGCAGTTGAACAATTATGCGGGTACGAAGAGGAGGCGAGTTGGGTCGATGTAGAATCCGGGGATTTCGAGACGAGGGAATAAGGTTCAGGCGGTGTATTGTCAGGAGATGATTATATGGGATGGGAGGTGGTGTATAGGGCGTCAACAGAGCGGCATGGAGTGATTGATTGTGTGGTCCTTGAGAGGGGGGGGGGGGGGGGTGGTTGTAGTGGAGGATGGTAGGGTATTCGGGATCGAAGGGACAAGCACAGAGGTCGTGACTACTCTGGTAAACTGTGGAAAGTCTGGAAACTGGCGTCAGTACCCGCCGACCGAACTGCGTGGGATCGCCCAGTGGATGGAAGGAGAAGAGGGAAAAAAGTGGACTCTTGGACTCTTTGGCTGATGGTCCGTCTCCGGGGGAAAGGGTATGACGTAGCCCTGCCCTGGAAATTTAAAAAAAAACCTTTACGCCCTGTTGCGGACTGGCTCCGCTTACTTCGGTGAGTTCGATTACTTCGACGAATATATTCGATAGATCGTACTTGACTTATATCCATGGCTATATAAACCAGGTATTTGATGTGTATCTATATAATGAGAATAGGTAAATATTCAAGTACTCAAGAACTGAAAGACTTGACCGTCACTAGTGGACGGTGAATGAGCCCTTTCTCCTGGGTCTGATGATCAGCTGATTAACCCAGCGATGACGGAGTGCCTCCGGTTTACCGCTCAATGTCCCACGAGACATTCTTCCATGGGTCCATACGGTACAACAATAGGCTTATGTTGTACTTAACTACGGAGTACAGTAGTAGCCATGATTTCCCGGTAACTGTATCATTCTCTATCTTGAAACACACTCCTCTCAGTGCACGAGCAGTACTTACCTTTCCTATTTAAAAGAAAGAGAAAGGAAAAGGAGCCCAAGAGCCTCAAGTCCCTTCTCCCTTTTCCCAGTCCAAATGTAAATCCTGTCTTTGCTCCGGTGACTACTCGTGCGGAACTGGACCTATTATTGACCCTATAGACCGATTATTACTGGAAGGGCTTAGAGCCCCAGGTCCAATGATCGTCCATACGTCTCGTCTCCAGTGATCGTTCATGCGGATCAGCTCGTGTGTACTAGCCAGCTGCATACCACAAGACGGCGTAGTCATCGCGGGCCGATCTCACTACGCGTGATAGGTATCCAGATAAGGTATACCCGAACGGATCCTTCTATTTCTTTGTCTGCAAGTTGGAGACGCCATTCGTCACGATCGACGTCGTCCTACCAGAAGCAAGTTCGCAAGGGGCAAGGGTAATCTGGCCCAATGGTCTAGACCTGGGGTTATGGGCGTCGTTCCTTGGTGATCAAGTAGACTGTAGATCGGTACCAGGCGCGCACTATTATTCTAGGTACTGTAGCGAGTTCCTCTCCGAGAAAGCATTCGTCTGGAGGTGGCTGCGCAAAGACAAATCCCCTGGCAAAACGAAGCGATCGATTTGCGGTGGCGCATCCACCAGCCGCCCCGGCCCCAGTCCCAGTGCGCCTCGATTTCGGTTCATTTAGCAACCATTGGACAAAATCAGGGCAAAGGGTCAACCAACGGCTTGTTCTTCCCTAGCTGTTCTTCTGCGGGTTTGTGACTATGGGGTAAGCCGCGTTTGGGCGTCTTGAGACGCGGCGTTCCCCCTTTTTCATGATGACCTAGCTTTTCAGTCATTCGATCCCGCGCATTATAACTGAGGCCACTCGCCATTCGTCGGCATGTTGGGGCGGTCGGCTGGCGGCTCTAGGAAGGAATACACAATGTGGAGGGGTGAAATTCAAAATATGGATCGAAAGAGTCCGTGGTTTGACTGATTTGGAGGAGTCCTCCGATAGAAAAGATAGAAAATCGAAACAGTCGAGTTCATCCTCATGCGTATTATGCCCATGTAACAACAGTACGTCATGCTGCCGCTCGTGGACTAGACCAGTCAAGCAGCCTTGGCAGCACGTTCTTCTGTCAGATTGTCAGACGCCTCTGAAGCTGACTGATCGACACGGATGGATTATTCAGAGTCGATTCCATGCATGCGACAGATCGGGATTCAGAAGAGGCTTTTTTTTTTCTTTTTTTCCTTTTTTTTGGTTGAAGGAACAAAGGAAAAACTAAAACTAAAACTAAAATATGGTGTATTTTCATGGACTGGATGGACATGTCGATCGGGCTTTTTGTCCTAGTTGGCTGATTGACCACTTGTAGTACCCGTTGTCAAGACGTGGATATATATTTCGCTCTGTTGTCTGACTTGGGACAATAGGTACCGATAAGGTTGCAACTTTGACGGCGGCGATAATCACCTAGCTGAATAGAACCATTTGATAGAGCTATTTCACGATCTACGGATGTAGTCATGACAGTGTATGGGAATACGTACTGGATATTTCGCCAGATACCTACAAGATGACAGCGCTTCATAATCCGGTGATCAAACGACTCCGTAGGTATTTCCCCCCAGACGCCACCCGATGTTAAACTGGACTGGAAGCTGTAGGTTGAGAATCCCATCTATACAGGGCTGTCAAATAATGCGGTGGTTTTTCAGGAATGATTTGATGGTTTGAATGAACGATCTAAGTCTCAAAATCTGATGTTCTCGTCGCATTCCGTTGTATACACTCCCCCCACCTACAAGTCTCCGCCCTGGACCAGTCGCAACGGCCAGGCCCCTTCGTAAAAACAGATTTTCCGAGTTGACTGTGCCGTCCCACCTGCAACGTTTCGAATTATCCGGTGCTTAGACATCTTCAACTAATATCTTACGGTCTTCCGTTCCCCCTCGTGATCGGCTCTGCAGGAGTCACGGCCGACCTATTGACTTAATCTCTCGAACTCCTGCTGTGCCGCCGCCGTCTAGGGGCTAACACACCTCCACTCTCGATAAGACGCCAACGCCGCTTCCGTCCATCACCCATGTCCGTCCGCCGCTATCTCAATTTCCCTAACATTTTCCACATCGTCGACTCGCCAGCAGTTTTAGAGGGAGAAAAGGACCGGTGGAATGCCATAGCGGCCTCGGACATCCGCAGATATCCTGGAGATGGAAGAAAGCCATTTGATCGGCGACGATTTGCCGCTACCACCCGCTCGACTTTTTGAACGTCTCGGCCATCTACCCGGCTATACCTGGGACCAGTCGGTTGAGCCGTTTCACTCGACCTATAATCATTGGCATATCTATGGGTTCCGTCATGCGATCGAATCGGATATTTTGACTCCCGTCGCAACCTCCTCCAACCCGATTTCCTCAGGGCCATCCAGTCTCGCTCGCTACTCACCACGAACCGAGCTTCGCCCATCCTCGCGCACACCACGAAGAGCTAGCATCAGCGAAACTAGCAGCGAACTGTCACTCTCGCGAGGTGACCAGGAACAGATATGGCTCCCCGTTGTCGCACGCGTTTCTACGAATGTCATTAGCCTCGAACGGGAGTTTCACATGATCAGGTCCATTGTGCAATCTTCCGACCCGGACTGTAATCACACAATAAGGCCTATTGACTTAATACGACTACCTCCAGACCCAGGGGATGCGGGAACACTCCTAGTAGCGATATTCGAATCTCCAGGTCATGACAGGTTGCGAGACCTGGTCACATTCGGTCCTGCGTCCTTTGTTGCTGGGGCCAAGGGTGATAACAACACCACACCCAGCGAACAAATTCCTTTGCCCGCCTTTTTGGATTTTGCGATAGGTGCTTGTGACTGCTTGGAAATTCTGCACTATGGGGTGAAAACAGTGCATGGAGAGATTCGCGGTGATGCTTTTCACTTCAGCGCTGAGAATGGGTCTGTGAAACTCGCCAATGTTGGAAATGGCGCACGATCCTTTGACAACGTTTTAAGTGAGGGTTGGTCCTCCGTGTCTCGTGAACTTGGCGCAAAGTACAAATTACAATTCATCGCCCCGGAACAGACCGGCAGAATGCCCACAGAACCAGACAGTCGCACCGATATCTACGCCCTCGGCCTTCTCTTTTGGTCAATGTTGGTCGGGAAGTTGCCCTTTGCAGGCGCCGACCCCGTCGAAGTTGTTCAAAATGTGTTGGGCAAGAGGTTGATTCCCGTCTCCGCGAAGCGACTAGATGTCCCCGATGGTCTTTCTGCCGTGGTTCAAAAAATGACACAGAAGGTGGTCCATGAGCGATACCATACGATATCCTCGGTCAAGAGGGACTTGATGCAGATAGCGCAATTGTTGGGCGACGGGGAAAGCGAAGCATTGAACAACTTCCAAGTCGCGCAAGGCGATGTGTCGTCGTTCTTCACTCTACCGTCTCAGATGTTTGGGCGTCAGAAAGAATACGATATGATCTTGAACGTGATTCAAAAGGTGAATAAGCGTCAAGCATCTGCCTTTGCGAAAGCATTCACCCAAAGCCCTGGAACTGCGCATGCACTCGCCTCCAACTCTTCTATCTCAGAAGGGCGTGTGGATAGCTTCGAGCTTGCATCCGTCTCTAGCGACTCTGGGTCTTTTCATTTGCCCCCAAGGACAAATTCCAATGCTACCAGTCATCAGCTGTCTCAAGTCAGCACCCCTGATTCTGGAGCAAATAGTGACGTGACGTTTCAAACCTCGAAGCAGGTCCAGACGCCAACCAGTCAGGACATGCCTTCTCAGACATCAGCCCTACCGCTCTCCAGCAAAATGAAAAGTCCATCACATTCTCGTTCCTCCTATAACACGGACCGAGAAAGTCACCCATCCATTGGCACTAATACCAGTCAGCCATCGACTCATACTTTCAGCCAATCCGAGTCCATGGGTTCCCTTTCAAAGACAAAGGCTGGAGCAAAGTATCGCCGGAGCGGACGATGTGAAGTCATTACGATCAGTGGAGCTGCAGGAATTGGCAAAACAGATCTTCTGAATAGAGTACAGCCCATTATCCGCAAGTCGGGTTATATTGCCATCACACGCCTGGACCGAGCCAAGCGAGTCCCCTTTGAACCATTTGCCAAAATCCTCGCCAGTCTTCTGCGCCAAATCTTCTCCGAGCGTGACGTGACTACAGATTATCATGACAGCGTTCGAAGTGCCTTGCGGCCTATGTGGCCAACTCTCCATAAAGTGCTAGACCTCCCGGAGCAGCTAATGTCCCCCGGGTCGAAGTACAGCCAAAATTCACCGAAGCCTTCAATTGCCCAAAACATAGCCAAGGCTGATCGTGCCAAGAATGAGCGGACTAAACGTTTCCAAATCCCTGGTATGGACCATGGCCAAACATCAGCCGAATTCTTCTTGTCAAACGCTGCCTCGAACAATATGCGGTTGATGGACATATTTATCGAGATTTTGAGAACACTCTGCCAGTTCCAATTGATGGTAGTGTGTCTAGATGATCTTGAATACGCCGATGATGAGACTTTGGAACTAATCTTGAACATCATCCGCGCGAAATTGCCCTGCGTACTCATTCTTACTAGTCGCAAGGATGAGATTGCACCAGACAATGTCAGGGCGCTCTTTGAGGCTGAAAACTCCAACATCACGCAGCTCGAGCTTCAGCCACTTAGCGAAGCAGAAATTATGGAGTTTGTGGCTGCAGCAATGCATCAGGCTCCCAATCCAACGCTGACGCCTTTGTCAGCGGTGGTTCAAGAGAAGAGTCAAGGAAATCCGTTCTACGTGAGAGTCATGCTCGAAACTTGTTACAGGAAGAATTGTGTTTGGTATTCTTGGAAGGACTCTAAATGGCTCTTCGACCTTGATCGCATATTTACAGAATTTGTGGCTCCTGCGTATGGCGAGGGACTTGGACCCGGCTTCCTCACCAAGCGGCTTCAAGAGATTCCACCCGCTGCTCGGTCTATCCTGGTTTGGGGTGCCCTTTTGGGAAGCCCGTTCTCTTTCTCGTTGGTTCAAAAGCTTCTAACCAGTGAATTCCTGTTCTCGTCCGACGAAGACGACGATGAGGGATTCGATCTCACATGTCCCCAAAATGCCACATTGCTCAGACAATCCGAAGGCGACATCGTCGTTGGGTTGCAGTACTTGGTTCAGTCAAACCTTCTCAACCCAGGGAAAACCGATGACGAGTTCAAGTAAGTACCGTATAGAAGATCATCTGTCTGGCTGTTCTGGAGCTAACTCGTCCCGCAGATTCGGAAACGACCGGCTTGCGCAGGCTGCGCTTTCTTTGAGTGAGAGCCGCAATGTGGAGAAAATGCACTTCATCATTTCACAAGCCTTGATGAAGTATTATCATGACCATCGCAGTCGCTACTCCATGGCCCATCACGTGGCACTCTCGTCGCGTATACTCAAATCTCGCGTCCCTCGGCGCATTGACTATCGACGGATTCTGTGGGAGGCTGGGCAAATTGCCGCCCAGTCTGGTGCTCGTCCAAGCGCCCTTTGGTACTTCCGCCACTGCATTGCGCTTCTTCAGGATGATCCTTGGAATGACCGCCAAGTCGACGTCTACTATGACGAGACCATGCGCCTTTACATCGCGACCGCCGAAATGTCGTGGTCCCAAGGCCAGAATGAAGAAGCCCTCGACCTAATCGAGGCAGTATTTGCTCACGGAAAGGACGCAATGAGCAAGTCACGGGCTTGGATCATCAAAGCCAAAATCTATGCACAGGTCGGAGATCATCATCGATCAATGGAATCTTTACTCACCTGCCTTGATGAGCTTGGTGTCCATCTCCGCACGCCTACGTCATTCGAAGAATGTGACGCTGCCTACCTGAAACTCAAGAATCATCTTGAATCTGCCGACATGGAAGCTATTGCTCAGAAGCCCATCAGCAAGGATCCCATTTTGGTGACCATTGGAGCCGTCATGGCCGAGGCGATGGCTGTCACCTACTGGGATGACTCATTGACATTCTATCGCATGGCCATTGAAACGATGAACATTCATATTTTCCGAGGCGGGTTCACTCACATATCGATTGGATGCTCACATCTTGCAATGATTGCCCTCAGTCGCTTCAAAGACGTTGAATTCGGGTTTAGGCTCAGCGACTTCGCGCTTTCCCTCCTAGAGCGCTGCCCGGAACTTTGGACTCAAAATCGAGGCTCCATTGTGTATAACCTATACGTGAGCCATATGCGTGTCCCCATGGCATCGGCGCTGCCTGCACTGGAAGCATCCTTGGAGGCATCTTTCACAATCGGTGACCCGTACATTACCTTGATCAGTATCTCCTCAATGGCAATGACTAGACTGTATCTGGGTCAAGATATGGCTCAACTTGAGGCATTCTGCCTGGACAGCCCTGAAGAAATCCCGAATTGGACACAAGACACGCGTGGGGGTGCCAGCATTCTCGCAGTCAGACAAGTGGCTCGCGCTCTGCAGGGAAAGACGGAGTATCGGAGTGCGGACAACGTTCTGTCAGATGATGAGCACAGGACAAGTGAATACATGGCCTACCTGGATGCTCATGCCAGCAATGTTGACAGACCCCGTGACATCTACTTTGGCCTCGCTATGATCCCGTTGTTCTTGTTCGGCCACCACACCAAAGCGATCCAGGTGGGCACCCGGTTGCTTGAGACAACACACCGACTGTGGTCTGCGCGTGTCTCATATGTGGTGTACTTCTACCTGTCGCTGTCACTCTTAACTCTGCACAACGACAACCCTGCCCAGGGATACCTTGACGGCAAAATGGATACGGTCCTTCGATACAAGGCCGAGATCGATTTTGCCCGAAGCTGTTCCGATGCAAACTATGGCATGTGGGCGTTGCTTGTGGAGGCCCTCATATCTGAGCTACGGAATGACCACAGCGCTGCCATTCAGTCTTACGAAGCTGCGATCGACCATTGCCAGGTTCATGGATGGCTCTTGGAGGAGGCGCTTGCCCTCGAATTGCAAGGAGAGTTCCTTGTCCGGCGCGGAGCTAAGAGAGCTGCACGTGCCGTGATGCAAGAGGCTATCTCCGCATGGAGCTCCATCAGTGCCAGTGGAAAAGCTGCCATGATTGCAGAGAAACACGAGTGGTTACTCAAGACAGCAACCTCTGCCAGAACAATGGATATTGGGTGTCAGACTGTTGACTCGCTACTCGAAATTACACGGGACGCCGTCCAGGAAGAAATCGTGATCCCTTCGCAAATCGAGGAAGAGGATAGGCGGCATCGCTGGATCGAACAGAATGGCGTCACAACCGGCGAGAGATCCTTGGACATCTCGAGTGTGGGCCTCGACATTATTGATCTTTCCAGTATTTTGGAATCTAGCCAGGTCATGTCATCTGAGCTTCAAATCGACAAGCTCTTCACCAAGATGCTGGAGATTATCCTGGACTCATGTAACGGCTCTGATTTTGCTGTCATCGCCACCGACTTTGACGAGCAGGGCTTTGCAATTGCCGCAGCGGCGGATGCTGACAAGGGCCAAAAATATTTCCCAGAGGGTCTTCCGCTCTCAGAATTGGAAGGTCGAATGGCTCAAGAGATTACCTATTATGTCATGCGTACGAAGGAAGAGGTCCTTGTCCATAATGTTCTGGAAGACGAGCGCTTTTCCAACGTGAACGAGAGCTATCAAGCCAATTTCCCATTGGGTCGATCTGTCATTGCTTTGCCTATTGTTCAGGCAGATCAACTCCTTGGAGTTATTCACCTTGAAGGAAAGCCTAATTGGTTCACACAACGGAATGTCGTTGTGCTCCATCTTCTTTGCAACCAGATCGGCATCTCCTTGTCCAACGCGTTGCTCTTCCGTGAGATTCGCAAGGTCAGTGCCAAGAATGCTTCGATGATCGAATCTCAGAAGCGAGCTCTCGCACAAGCACGCGAGGCGGAGCAGAAAGCAAAGGTAGCAGAGGCCGAAGCCAAACACAACGTCAAGCTGAAGGATGACGCCGCTCGAGCCAAGTCCATATTCCTGGCCAACATCTCCCACGACCTGCGAACTCCAATGAACGGTGTGATTGGTCTGTCGGAGTTGCTCAAAGGCACCACCCTCGACAAAGAGCAGGACGAATATGTTGAGTCCATCCGTGTCTGCGCTGACACACTCCTTACACTCATCAACGACATACTCGATTTCTCCAAGTTGGAAGCCGGTAAGATGAAGATATCTACGGTTCCGCTCAACCTGAAAGAGACGATTTCTGAGGTGATTCGCGCTCTTCGGTACACTCATAGGGAGCGAGGGCTGCAAACAATTGAGGATCTGGAACGCGTGCCTCCTGAACTCGTCGTTCTTGGCGACCCCGTTCGTCTCCACCAGATCTTCATGAACTTGCTAAGCAACAGCTACAAGTTCACTCCTAAAGGCTCCATCACTGTCAAAGCAAAGGTCGCCAGAGAAGGGAAGGGCCGTGTCCGCTTGGAATGCTCCGTATCTGATACTGGAATTGGTATTCCAGATGAGCAAAAGGCCCGACTCTTCCGGCCTTTCTCCCAGGCCGATCCATCCACTGAACGGTCATACGGTGGCAGTGGACTGGGTCTCAGCATTTGCAAGGCCATCATCGAGGATGTTCTCGGCGGCGCCATTTGGTTAGATTCAACCTTGGGGGTTGGAACCACGGTGACATTCCATCTGGTCTTCAACAAGGCACCAAAGAAAACGGCCGTGAAGACACCATGGGCCCAGGATCTCAGCCACGCAGAAGCCAAGGAGCCCCCCCGAGCCAAAGCACGCGACCTTTCTCACATCCCACGTGACCAAATCCGAGTCTGTATTGCCGAAGACAATCCCATCAATCAGAAGATCGCAGTCAAGTTCGTCACCAGCCTCGGCCTTCAGTGCGAGGCATACAGCGACGGAAAGCAAGCCGTGGATGCCTTGCGCGCGAAATCCAAAGAGGGCAATCCATTCCACGTAGTCCTGATGGATGTCATGATGCCCACTCTCGATGGCTACAATGCCACTCGTGAACTGCGGCGCGACCCAGATCCCAACGTCAACGAAGTCCTCGTCATCGCCATGACCGCCAGCGCCATCGAGGGCGACCGAGAAAAATGTCTTGATGCTGGCATGAACAACTACCTTCCCAAACCGGTGCGATCTCCCATCCTGAGCGAACTGCTGGACAAGTATCTCGCACCGGTCCCACACCCACGCACCCGCCTGGCAATTCGCGAAAAGAGCTCCAGAGGCAGCATTAGCTTTGATGCGGGCACACCTACCGGTTTCTCCTCGTCGGGTTCGGATGAAGCTCAGAAGCATCCGCTACCGCCCACGTCGGAGCAAAAATGATTTCACGCACCTACAAATGATACCCTGCATTGTTGCACCAAGATAGAGGTGATGAGGCGTCTAGCAATCGTTCTTTCATGTTTTTTTCTTTACGGATTTTTTGGTCAATTCAGTTTACGATCTTCAATTTTGCGGGCATCAATCGTACTGATTTACCTTGGGCTATTTGAAGTTCTTTGATAGTCTATTTGGATGAGGCTTTTTTGGTGCTTCACAATGTGGTTTTGGAACGGCTTTACGATTTGACTGCATACTGTTTCCTTAGTTGCATGATGGGTAGTGCGGATATTTTTCTAGGACTAGGAATGTAAAGCAGCATTGCCATATTGTTTCCCTAAATCGTTATGCACTTAGTATCGCAATACATCTCCTTGCTTACGGCTCCCTGGCAGAGGCGGGGATTGAATTAGCAAGGAGGAAGGGGGGTGTTCACCTGGCTAGAGGGGGGGGGGGGGGGGGGGAAGGAATAGTGGATGAGGAGATGTATTATATTGGTAGTTCAGAGAACATGTACCTTCTCTTTCTCTAAGTGCATACTAGCTGGCTATCCACCTATTTCTATTCAGAAACAACTAGCAAGCATGCCTCTAGGTCTGTTGAATCAAATGCTTGAACAACTTGTCCAAGTAGTGAGCGGACTGCTTAGGGTAGCGCTTCTTCTCCTCCGATTCAAAGTCAATAAACGTGCACCCAAATCGATCTGAATACCCAGCGGCCCATTCTATCACAAACAGTTAGTCAGATGATCTAGTCATTCTCTGTGAGAGTAATAGAGAACAGTGACTTACCCCAGTTATCCGTGAAGGTCCACGCGAAATAAGACCGAATATCAACCCCATCTTCCTTGACAGCTCGAGCCAATGCATTGCCAACATAGCCCTCGAAGAACTTGATGCGGAACGTGTCATTGAGAATTTCCGGTGTGGGAGCTACTTCTCCCTTCGCAGTAGTACCGTTTTCTGTAACATATATTGGCATCTGGTATCGCTTCCAGATCCAGTTCAACAGTTTTCTGAATCCACCGGGCGCGGCGCGAAGCCAAGGTGTGTCACTTTCTTCGCCTCGTGAGATACCTTGTTTATTCTCATCATGGCTTTCCACATTGCCCTTGTGGTCGTTGATATCAGGTGGCGTGTACTTATGCTTCACGAAAAATTGTGTATAGCTATTCATGCCATAGAACTCAGAGCTCCCGAAAACAAGTTTCGATTCCTCTTCTGTGAAACGTGGTAACCGATCGCCGAGCTGCGCACGCATGGATGCAGGATAATCGCCTGTCTTATACAAAGGGTCGGCAAACCATGAGATTTCGAATTCACGGGCCCGCTCAGCTGCGGCTTGATCTAAGGGATCTTCTTCGTCCCAAGGTTCAGACCAATTGCCGTGGAGAGTAATTCCAATAGTTCCTTTCTGGTGTGGCTGGAACTCTTCGCGGTACATCCGAGAAACATGACCATGGGACACTAGCTCAGTGTGAGCGACAGTAAAAGGCTCAGTCGACGAGTCGCCTTCGGCATTGCGATCGCGGAATGATGATCGTGCTGGGGCATGAACACCAGCGGCGTAGCCAGCCAGTGTATAGACTCCGGGCTCATTGTAAGTGATCCAGTACTTAACACGATCGCCGAATCGCTCAAAACAGACCCGCGCGTAGCGTACAAAATCCGGGGTGTATGCTTGCTGGTTCAACATGCCCCCATACCGATCTTCCAATGCCTGGGGAGTATCCCAGTGGAAAAGAGTCACAAACGGAGTAATGCCATGGCTTATGAGCTCGTCTATAAGATCGGAGTAGTATTGAATACCCTGTTCATTCACGGGATCGTCGCGACCACCTAGTGGGATGATGCGCGACCAGGCAAGGGAGAATCGGTAGGCGTTCACACCATAAGACTTCATAAGTGCCACATCTTCACGGTAAAAATCGTATGCTCGGACGGCGTCGTCGGCCGTGCTCCCATCCGAGACTTTGCCGGGGGTATGGCCGAAAGTATCCCAAATCGAGACTCCCTTGCCGTCTTTGTTCCAGGCGCCTTCAATCTGTGCTGCGGCGGTAGCGTAACCATGAAAGAAGTCGGGCCGAAGCACATCTTTAAGATCCTCGACTGATTTCAAGTCCATATTTTGTTGCCAATGCGTTATTCTTAGTTCAGTAGGCGAGATCTTGAACTAGCGTGGCGTTTTCGATGGTATTTGTCAAGCTTAAAAGGTCTTTATGAGCTTTGAATAATGCCAAAGATCGGCTGCTATGCGGCTAATAGCACAAAGTTGGGTAGATCTACATTGCTTTTTTACCTAGCAGTTGCAGCAAACGGAGACTCCGTGACAATTTGGGAAAAGCCGAGCGAGCAGGGATTATTAGGTGGGGCGGGGCAGAGGGGCAAGATGCGGGGATTCTCGATTGCATGGACATGGTGGTGGATTGCATGATAAAGGTAATTTGAGCAGAAAATTGAGAGGGAAGGTGGGTGATGGGCAGAGATAAATTTCCCACAACGATAGTAGATCGTTGATCTATATACACTGCGTTGAACGGAAGATAGAAATAGACAATACCAAGTCAGGATTGTGGATATAGCACTTCTCGCCCAAGCACATTTCAAGGAGAACAGAGCGAAATTTGCTGCTTCTCATACCTTCCCATATCTCCATGTTGAACGCTTTGAATAAGTAACATTCTAAAAGGGATCTAACAAATAGTATACAACAACTGACTTGACTGTTAATTTCTGTCTTTGGTGTCTATAGATCTATGTTTTAATGATAACATGCACGCCGGGTCCTTCAACTTCTTGCACTTTAGTTTCATCCCTTTCTGGGAAGCAAATGGAAACCTTTCCACCCGGATTGGGTAGCATTACAGTCAGTGAGAGGAGAGACAATCTATCCCAACTGAAAGCCAATTCAACACCACCGCGTGCCCGTACGCCTCGGATAGAGCCTTTCCAATCCTTGGGACAAGCTGGAAGTAGTCGGATCAACCCTGGCTCATGAGACTGAACCAACATTTCGATGATACCCGCGCCCCCGCCAAAGTTGCCATCAATCTGAAACGGAGGATGGCTGTCTAGTAAATTTGGTAGGGTAGAATGAGATAGAAGCAGATCCAAGTGCCGACTACATTCCTCCGCCTCAAGCAAACGAGCATGTAAATTGATGAGCCAAGCTCTGCTCCAGCCTGTATGACCACCGCCATTCTCTGCTCGCCGACGCAGAACCGCTCGACAGGCTTGAGCCAATTCAGGCTCCTTTGCTGGAACTATGGCGTCACCAGGATATAATGCCCATAAGTGTGATGTATGTCGATGGCCCGGCTCAACCTCTCCGTAGTCAACAGCCCATTCTTGGAGATACCCTGAATCACTTATTGTCATCGGCGGAAGTCGGGCTCGTGCTGCACGAGCCGCCGACAGGAGCGAACCCGATTCGCCGATTTGATCTGCACACGACTCGAAAGCGCTTAATATAGCCCGAACAATCTGAATGTCGACGGTAGATCCCTCGCATAGCACCCCTTTCTGGCCTTTCAAGTCAAAAAACGAGTTCTCGGGCGAAACAGACGGGTTCGTGATAAGATATTTGCCAGTGGCATCTTCGATCAGAAAATCGAGTAGAAACTCCACGCACCCCCTCAAAATTGGAAACATTCTGGAGAGAAACGCAAGGTCTTGGGTGAACTGAAAGTGCTCCCAGATGTGGTAGCATAGCCAGGCACCTCCAAGGGGCCATATCGTCGCCGGCATCCACTGGTCAACGGGATCAGTGTCGGCCCAAATATCGGTACATGAATGGGCAGCCCAGCCTCGGCAGCCGTACATAACCTTAGCGGTCTTCTTTCCAGACTCTGCCATTCGCTCAAGAAGGTCGAACAGTGGCATCTCGCACTCCGAAAGATTGCACACATTGGCCGGCCAGTAGTTCATTTGTAGATTGACATTGATGGTGAATTTGGAGCCCCATGCTGGGTGGAAAGAAGGATTCCAAATTCCTTGCAAGTTGGAAGGCAAAGCTTTGTGTCCAGTGCGACTGGAGGATATCATCAGATATCGATTGTAGTTGTGGTATGTTGCAATCAATTCGGGATCCCGCGAGGTCAGTAACCTCTTGTTTGTTGGAATGTTTGGCACATCGGACGATAATTGTAAACGCATCCGGTTATACAGTGACTGGTAGTCCTTGACATGCCTATCCCATAGCTGTCTCGCGTCGTAGCCAAGGCTCTTCGCGAGATCTTCAGACGCTGTCTGATCGGGGTCTTGATGGCGAAAGGTTGTTTGAGAAGTAATCCGAATCAGAGATTCCGAGGCCTTGACTACCAAGTTATTGCCAATTCTGGTGACTGTACCCTCCTGGCTGCATTGAACGTGAAGAATGCAGCAAGCGCTGTTGCTATTTCGGCCTCCCGGCGTAACGTGCATCGTGATGGAGTGATTTGAAGCGGCAACATCATCCAGGTACTCGTTTGTCTCGAACTCCAGCTCGCTCAGTCGGGTTAATCGTACCACGTACTCGGTATTGGCCGGAGCGAGCACTCGAATTGCCAGGACATCGTCGGGATAGCTTGCGATAACTTGTCTTCGATGCTCGGCTCCACAATGATTGTATGATACACTCACCGTGGAAGTTTCGAGGTCTAGTTCACGGTGATAATTCGTTACCCGATCGGATTCGTGGCCGAAATCCATGAAAACAGTACCGAGGGGCTCATAATGTCGTTGGCTGATTGGGTTGGCGAAGAATGCAACTTTTGCCAGCCTTTCCGCTTCTTTATGATTTTCTGCCCGAATCGCTGCTCTCAATTGTGGGAGATATTTGAGAGCATCTTGAGGAGTCCGATCTTGAGATCCACCGTACCATACCGAGTCTTCACTCAACGCAAGAAGCTCTTGGTCGGTGCGGCCGTAGACCATCGCCCCAAGACGACCATTTCCCACTGGAAGGGCCTCATTCCAATTACTTGCGGGCTGCGTGTACCAAAGCTTGCTCATTGTATATCCGTGTTAACTTTTGGGCCCTCCTGGCGTGAACTTCCAGCGATATCCTTCATAAAAAGTGAGCCATTGTCTCGGATACCGTGCGTTGATCTTTAGGTGAGTCGATAGGCCGAAGCACCGTGAGATGTGAGCTGTGTGATCTTGAAGTGAGCTAGGGTAATAATGAATTGAATCAGCGCTCTATCAAGCCTATATTCAACGAAGCCCAATCAGCATCTCTCGGATAGATATCGGGTAAATTCTTGCCAGCCCCCGGATTTTCCGAATCAAAGATTGGCTTTGGGCTAGACACCTAAACTACCGTGAAGCCATGATAATCAATCTAAAGAATACTCCGCATTTACCAGGTCTGGCTACCCATATTGACTAGGTTCCCCGCATTCGCTTCTCAGTGGTGGAGAATCTTTTGCATTCGTTGCTGGCCACTAAGATTCCAAGGACCAATCGGGGCGTTTTTGGCACACAAAGCTTTGCGTTGGCAGGAAGGACGAAAAGACCAATCAATACTGTTTGGACAAGCTCCACCTCGGAATAAGACCGGCGTGACTCGCGCCAGGATTCCACCGCCGCAATAGAACGCCAACGGATATTTGCTTTTGGTAGCTGGGTCGCGCCATGGCGAGTCAACCGAACCTGATCATCAAGCTCACGCGCTTCCTCTTTTGATTCGGGTTGTGTACATATCCGTGGCAGAATTGGCTGAGGCAATCATGAGACTGGCGTTTGAATGAATATCTTCCTCGGCTTGGTCAAGCTACAGATGAAATCTTGGAGCAGAAATACCAGGACATAGCCCCTCCCCCTTGCATTTCACTCAATCCCGACAGAGAGCACACCTTCTTGGTCCACAAGTCTCGACATACTTTTTTTTCACCTGGGTCTAGCCCCGCTCATCAACCAGCGACTTTGATCTTATATTGCTTGGTATAATGGCCAGGACGGATCCCCCGGCCTTCACCGAAGCCGATGTTCTGAAGGAGAAGGGACAGGAGCACATTGAAGAAGTAGTGCTGGCACGCTTGACTGAAGAGGACCTATGGAAGCTATCTGAAGAGTCACTGACGGTTTGGTCATGGACTGGATTCCGTCTAGGTCTCATTATGTTTGTGCATGGCTGCAATCAAGCCGGCTTCGGCATCGACTGGGGCGTGATCAGCGGTATCAATTCCCTCCCTGCATGGCACTCCTACTTTGGCTTCGGCACTAGTGGGGGTACATACGGCTTGATTAATGCACTGATGAGTATTGGCACAGTCTGTGGTGCTCCGTTTATGGCTCTCGCTGATGTTATCGGGCGTCGTGGAATCAATTTCTTGGGAAATGCAATTGTCATTTTCGCCGCTGTGCTCCAAGGCTGTGCACCAAACCTCCCTGCCTTTATGGCTGGTAGATTTTTCATGGGCTTCGGTACTGCCCTTATGTCCAGCTCCCAGTACATTGGCGAAATCTCCCCTATTCACCTTCGTGGCCGTATGGTTGGCTTCTTCGGTGCCTGCTTCCAGGTCGGAAGTCTTGCGATGTTGGGCGCCATGATTGGTCTCTCGAACCTCCCCGGAAATGCTTGCTGGAGAATTCCTCTCATCCTCGAAGCTTTTTTCCCGGCAATTGTCTGCTTGACCATCTATGTATTGACCCCCGAGTCCCCTCGATACTACGTCATGCGAGGCAACCGTCAGAAAGCCAAGGAGGTTGTGGCCAAATATCACACTACTAGCGCAGATATCAACGAACCAATTGTTGAAATTGTTGTTTCTCAAATCGAGGAATCTTTGGAAAGTGATCGTACCGGGTTCAGGGCATTCTGGGATTACCGGGTGTTCTTCACAAAGATGGCTCGGTATCGTCTACTGGTCTTGGCCTTGTATTCTATATTCCAGCAGTGGAATGGAGGCTCTATAATCACATACTACGTGAGATCAGATCCATACTAATGTTAAAAGTTGCGCAAATGCTAATGAAACTGTTATTTGCAGATGGTTGATGCGCTGGAGACTGTTGGGATCACAGGCACGAAGCAGCAACTGGGCATCAATATCGGTACCACAGCAACCTACTTTGTTTTCACAGCTGTTGGCGCTCTTCTGGTCGATAAATTCCGCAGAAGAACTCTCATCTTCGCGGGATTGATCACTATGGTCATCTTTCAGACAGCAACAACCATTACTTCGTGGCAATACAGTCTTCATGCGACCCATGCCGCCGCTGGACTCACGCTTTTATGGATATTTTCCTACCAGACTGCGAGCGCTTTATTGATCGCTACTATGCATAATCTCTACCCCGTCGAGATTCTGTCTTTACCGTTGCGTGCGAAGGGAATGGGTCTATACAGTTTGATCCAAGGCGGTGCCAGTGCAGTCCAAACCTATGGCATCAGTGTCGGCATCGCCAAGATTGGATATAAGATTTGGGTTGTTTACATCGTTTACAACACTGTCCAGCTCATCTTGTCATATTTCATCTTCCCTGAGACAAGTGGTCTGAGTTTGGAGGAGATTGATACTGTGTTTGAAACGCCTGGCGTTCCGCCTGTCAAGATGTCGCTGGATATCCAAAAAGCCAAAAAGGAGAGACTTGCAGCAGCGAGAGATGAGGAAGCTAGGTCTAGGTAATGCTACTGAGCAGCATTGTTTAGCCTGCCTAACTATTGATCTCCTCATGAATCACTTCATGTAGGGTATCAGAATGGTCACGTGATCTCCAGATGGATAGGTATACATCACCATCACCTCTAGGTCTCCTTCAGCCCCGTTAGCTTTCTCTCTTCTTACAGATTGCTTAATGAAATAGGTTTCGCTTGTAAAATTCTACAAAAATCCCTAAATCTCTGCTTTATGGCCTTGACGCCATTGAGTATCCACCAATCCCATCCCCCAGTGCTCGGCTGGAATTGACAGTCTGCAGCTATCCGAGCCCCCGATTCCCAGAGTGCAGTTACCCTATGTATGAAGCTCCTTTCCGATGAAACCTATTCTTCTCTAGAATCACGTCAGTCAACTTAAATTAACTCGGAAGGTCGCCCGATTTCCTCTTCCATACCACATATCTTCTGAGGTCAAATGACCAAGCGCAATGGATGAAACGAAATTGAATCCGACGCAGCTGTATCTACCCGTCATGCATGTTCTCTCGCACTGCTTCTGTCTTCCATTACCCCTAACGGCTAGCCTTAGAGAGAGAAACGATTGAATGAGCCTTGATCACTGCCAATGATTCAATAGCGGCTCTTTGTTGGTCCTTGAGCTCATCCAATTAAGCGCGGATGCATATATCATGTATTAGCTTCGAACCAGCATTCTGGATACAAGTGGAACATTCCTTAGCTCCCTTTTCTCCGACAATCAATATTACTGGCCCGATTCCGAATTGGGTGCTTAGAAGTCCCATGTATGTCGGCAGGCACGTAACACAGATCAGGTACCGAGTGAAGTGACCATATGTTCTTGCTGTTTTCTTTTTCTCTTATCCCCTCTTGTCAGATACTATCGTCGTTCCAAAACTTGATGCTTCAATTGTGCTATTCCAAAGGCCGTTCACCGGCTCCTGAATATCATGACTGCCGGGAAAGCAGTATAGCCAACGTACCACTGGAATCCGACCGTACTGCTGAGGAAATATCCCGCGATATATAATAGTGATATGTTTCCCTCTGGGAGCGAGAGCTTGAATGAACGAGGGTTATGCCGTTTTCGAAAGCTGAACAATACATTTATGCCATGGCTGCCATCTCGGAAAATTCCCAGATGTCTGTCGGCTTTCCGATGTGGGCAGTCTCTCGGGGTCCACGGAGTCTACTACATCTGTTTGGGGAAACACAGCATTGGATTACATCCGTGGCGTTTTAGATGATCACACACCGGAACATTGGCAAATATTCAGAGTTCCCCCTTCATTTTCTCGCTTCCATGTAGCGACCGAACGTTCTTGGCATGAAAGTGGGTGGTAGGCAATTTTGCAACACCATTCACTTACATCATTAAAACGAGGGGAGAAATAGAATGTAGGCATATTTAATGACAGGCTACACCAACTCTATTCTCGTGTAATTCTATTGTGTCACCTATAAGAACTTTACTAGTAGATCAGAAACGGTTTTGCAACGCTTGATCTTCCTCGTGGCAATGACAAGTTAGGTTAATATAGGGTCTTGCTGTTTCAGATGCCCGTCTATGTTTTTGGGAAGTTCAAGCTAGAAAAGTGTCTGCGTACCCCCCTTCTATTACCAGAGAGAAGCTGCTCGGAAGATGGGCATCTATGCTTGATAGATGTCGACTCTGACACACAGGCCTCCTCAATATGCGCGCACGGCCATAGAAACTGAGACGAGATTGCTGCATCGCCCACGCCTCTGCTTCTAGCAGATTCTTTTGGCGATGCATGTCCAGTTGGGTGGATGGTGGAGGAAGACTGTGTCACCTTCGCGCTGCCAATAAGCAACCCAGATAGTACTGTAATGGTGTCAATTGGTTGAATGACCATCATCACGAGACAAATCCTACTTCTTTAGTTCTATGATGAAGCAAACAGGACGTCGCCACTCCATATGCCTCGAGTCCCAAAAAGAGGAAAAGCTAGAGAGGATTAATGTATGAGGAGACCTCATGAATTAAGTGCCTTTCTCTTAATCTGATCATTCACCTTGGTCAGCTTTGTTCTGTCTATAGCCGCAAAAGGGTGATTGGGCCGTCGCCTTCTCCTACTCCTTGGTATCACCCTGATGAGGGGCTTATTGGCCGCTAGAGGGCCAGCTCCTTCGAGAAGGGCAACCAAAGTGGGCTTGTAACTAATTATGATATAATAAGAGAGCATGTCGCGGCTCGTTTCCCATACTTCTTACTATAACTTCCCAATCTCTGTCTTTTCCTGCTCGTCCTTGATGTCGCTCCCCTTGGGCCACGGTTTTAATTCTTTGCGCCAAAAAAGTCATTGTTTGCCTGAACCAGTCATTTTATCGAATTTGCTCAGGAGTTAAATACATCAGTTTGAAGGGATTTAATAGAGCATCACGCCCCTCCTGCCTCCCATTCCTCTCTAGTTGTGACACCCACGAAGCCGAAAAACCCCCGGCCGAGATTCGGTGTTTAATTCCCTGAAAGCCCTGTTCGTATCCTCTTTGTGTGCTTGGTATCTCCAGAATGCCACCTAAAGCCGCCCAAGATGCCTCTGCCGTGCCCGAGGCACAAGGGCTCAAGTATGACGAATCCGAAATGGCCCTCTTCCACGCCAAGCTGTCATACCATTCCACGATTGATGAACGCATGGCTTCCCAGGATAGCAATCTCGCATCTATCTCAGAAGCTCAGGCCAAGATACTCAAACGATGGGAGATGCTTAAGCAACTTGAGAAGGAGCTAGCAGAGAAAGGGAAGAGCTTGTCGCCGGCCGACAAAAGGCAGCTGGCGCAGTATGAATGGAGGTACAAACACCTGGAGAAAACCGCAACTATGACCACTACTGGATAGAAGGCTAAGAAAAGTGCTTTTTCCCCCTGTTTCTATTCACATCAATACGGCTATTGCACAAGATGAAAGCATTAATGGCGTTTATTTAGATCAAGATTCTTCCTTCTTTTTGCTGTGAGGTTCAATGTAGGAGCATTCCTCCAAGTTTCGAGAAACAATCATGCTTTCTCTCATTTCTTTCCTGAGTTTGATTTTGCGCCATATCTCTGTCTTCATAGTTTTCTATCATGAGAACACTCTTTAAAGCAAGCATTTTTTTCTCCCCGGCATCAGGAGACCAAATAAAAAGAAAGGTAAACCCTTTCGGGATGTTCCGCCACATTACTATCTTATGGCCGATAGGGAAAACCTCATACGGATGATCGATAGACAGTAGCAACGGCGTAGCAAGAATTGAGGGGCGCTCTATCTAGTGTTACACAAGCAGCCTAGCAATCCGGTCAATATTGCAACAGTAACGTAACTAACTCTCCATGCTTCATCTCGATCATCAAGCATCAAACAAAAAGAGCTGTGGCATCACATCAGAAACAACTCTATTTAGCTCCAACTTCGTGGTGGACCCCAGAGCTAAATTTTAGAGAATGGGTAGTTACCAGTGGATGATGCCGCATGGAGAAGTAGATTCAATTGCACCACCCTGTGCCACCCAAGTGAGATCCAGTGCTTTCTATGGAGCATATCGCAATCTGCCAGCTGCATGGTCTCACTGGTTGCCTAAGATTAGCTTTGGTAGAGAATAAATGGAGATACTTCATTGAGCCAGATCGAGAACAGAATTTCTATCACAACATTTCAAGATACTTCCTCGTTTCCTGGGTTTAGTCTCGAATACCCTCTAGATTTTTTGAAGTCTCTGGTCTGTGAATACCGAGGCAAAGTATCCCTACCCTTTGGATGCAGTTATAAATGTCTTCTGTGGTCACATTCTTCCGCATAGGACCTCCGGACGGGCAGCTGGGAGCTCATACAACACTGAAGAATTTACATGCTATTGATTTAGAAGTCAAAATTCAAGGAGCGACTGCAGTTTTGCGCCCAATGCCAATTACGTAGAGCTCGAGAAGCATCGTCAACTCTACCTGGGCTGGTCGTCTTTCACGAACCAATCTCATCACAGAGTATTTTGATTTGCTGACTTGGCCCTCAAACCGACTGCCAAAGTCTCCGCTACTTTATGCTCCCTTCAAGCTTCTCTATAAGTCCCTCAAATTTTACTATCGTGTTCACTTCGGCCGAAAAAGCATGGGGTGGCTTCTGAAAGGGGTCTAGCAGTTCGCAGTAGAACGTCATAGTGAGTCCTTCTTGAGCCGATGACTGTACTACCTTTGAACGTCTCTTTTTAGCTGCTCTTTCCAGTTCCCTTTCTGGCTACTTTTTTAATTCCTCTTTCGATTTCCCTTTCGACTTCTCTTTCGATATGGCCAACCAAGAGGAAATGGCACAGGATACACTGGAAAGCCCCGTACCTTTTCATGGCGACCCAACATCACATGACATTTATGACCTGTTAGGGGCAATCCACAAGATTGAGACCCTAGAGGGTCCACAGGTTCTACTCTCAGCGTCAGAGGACAAGGAGCGTGAAACCCCTCTCTCGCCATTTCCTCACTCAAATCGAATATGCAAAGTTCTGGATTCCCTTGCCACCTTGTGCGTTTCGCAGAGGAAACATGAGGTGATTGCCCTCGCCACCCGATACGATGCAACAAACCGGACTATCAGGTTCATGATAGCTTCTGACGCTGATGTCCTACCCGAAACTGAGAAACCTTTTCAAAATATGTGAAAATTGGTTGGTTCAGGGTCCGAGCACAGCTCGTCTTTAGCACTCTCCGAAGATATTGGATTCCAGGCACTCACTGAATGAGAACTTTTGCCAACTATGTCTTAGCTTTGTGTGGCCGAGGCTGCGATTGCTAGACCCTCCATGTGTGGAAGCTTCCTGATCAACTTCTGGTATCTCTCCTGCTTCGACTCACTGAGCATTGTAGGCGGCCTTTGTCCGCCGGAGCCGCTCGAGCTCCTCCTCCCACCACTTTAACTCTGCTCCCGCTCTCTCAATCGCTGCAACGAGAAATAGACCAGAGTCCTTGATCTCCTTTGGCTTGAAGTCTTGGAAACTTCTTGTATTGGGTCGTGGCATCAGATCCGGCTCTAGGCGTTGATGCTTTGCAACCTCCATAAGATCTATGGTCTCCCCTCTCCTTTAAGGCTCGCTTTGTTGACCCAAGTTCTAGGGAGTCCGGCCCATCGCATGCATAAAGAACCAAATTACGACTTGGAGTGGTGTCAGCGGAGATCAACAGTCCCGGGTTCTCACTGGGTCTTGTGTCCTGGTTGCTCGTAATTTTCACGAAAGAGCAGCGGTGCTTTTGCTCGCCATGATGACAGTTGGCACACTCCGTCATAACCTCTCGCAGCTCAGGAACTACACACATGCGTTATACGGCCCCTCACCCCTTTGGCAGTTCCGGCACATCTGATCATGGGGAAGGGACACGCTAACAGCCTGGGCATGTAAAGCCTCGGTATTTGCCCTCCTCAAGCCGACGTGCTTGTCGAATTGCTCACCACTCCAGGGCTCCTTGCGTACCCTCAGCATCGGCTCTCTCTTTGCTTCGGTGGCATTGAGTCTGTTCAGGAGGGTTCCCGTGACGGAGAAGTCTTTCTTGCCACGACTCCATAGATGCTGTTTGACCATCTGTGCCCAGAAACCGGTTGCAGCTCCTCGCCCCGTTGGCCCATCATAGACGGCTGTATGTCCCACATTGTAGAGATCTCATCTGAGCGGCTCTCCTTCTTGCATTCTTTTTCGGAGGATGGCATCGCTATGCGCTTGTCAGTTCTGGTTAAAATAATCCCGCCACGGTTAATGAAAGATGGCTCACTTGGTAGCTTGGATTGCTCGTAGTTTCTCGTATGAAGGTCTGGGCAAGGATGGTAACGTGACCTGTTGTTGATATAAGCAGATGACTCGGAGTCGGGGAAGATTAGAAGGAAGAGAAGATGGGAACGTACAGGAATTAGATCAGGTGCCTCTGAATGCGCCAGCATGGGCGTCAAGCAAATTGGTAGAGGAAGAGAGAGAAAGTTGGGGGTTGCGCAAGTGAGAGGAAATCTCAATATCAGCTAACATTCTCAGGTCGAGGTAGGGTAGAAGAAGAAGAAGATCGACACCTATGATGAGCAGGGAAAGGCCACTCTCTAGGCGTCCCGTGATGGCGCAAAGGAATTTGGGTAAAGAAAGAAATCGGGACCCGTGGAAGTTGAACGAAATGCTAATATCAGAGTTCCTGGATGAAAGTTGAACAAGGTTGGTAGAAGTATCTGCTTAGGACGCGTAGAATGGAGAGGCTATGTCTACCTCAGCATAGACATGGACAGGTATGGGAGGAGGGTATTTCTTGATGACCCGAAGCAACCGTTTTCCCGATTACAAGCAGCAAAGATTCATAGCCGGTTGTCGATGAGATATGTAGCAAACATCAATCCAATACGTAAATCAAGTCTACTTTGTGTGTCCTTGATACCATGTTCCTTGGTAGATATCGGCATATCACCTGCAGGGAACAGAGTAGTTGTTCGTATAGGTACACCAGCGTAGCGGGAATTTGTTCGGTTGTCTCGATTATCGTCTTCTTTGCCTTATATCATGCTCCCGAGGAACAAAAGGGTGGAATCTTGCAATCCCACCTCCCATGTAGGGCTCCAAACATTCTGCCAGGCTGGTTTGCTACCACATGGAAAGTTCCCTGGACCTTTTACTCCTTCACCTTTTGCTACTTTACCTCTTTTCCTTTTCTCCTCTTCTACTTTTCCTTTCTTGTCCTCCTGTCCTCCTCCATCTACGCAAGAACCACCACAGCCATATTATCCTCAAGGTACGCGTCCCAGTCTCCCCAATATCAAGTCCCCCTTTCCAGGGCCACTATTCCCATCACTCCGCTCTGATCTGACGGTCCTTAGGACGCAACCGCTGTCCACTGCTGCGATCCTTACTTCACTTTAACTCTACGAAACAAACTACGGTATGAATGGAGATATTTCCGTACTCACAATATCCTTCACCTCCTCGCATTCCCTCACTCGTGTTATGTTTACTGGCTGCTGAGCATTTTAGACTTCGCCATTACCAATGGAACCAAAAATCCGCCAGGCCCTGGACCAGAGGTAGGGAACAACTCGGGTGGAGAGCCAAGCAACAACACCATGAGCTTGTATGAGGCGATTGAAGATATGGTTACCCAGGCACGCTTCTCGTTGGCGGCTCCAATTGCATGGCGGTCTCCCTCGACCTCGGCAAGCTCATTCACGATAGCAAGCCCGATGGCCACCTTATCACCAACCTCAAGGTCGCTCGCATGACCCCGGAATATGTCACGCGCAAGGATCTCGAGAACCTCAAGGCGGATATTGAGACATACCTCGGGAAGATCAGGTTTCTAACGGTGCACATCATCGATATACTTGCGCAAAAAATCAAGGATCTCCAGGCCGAGATCAGATCCAGAGAGCCATGAATAGTCTCATCCTCACCCACCGTCCCTGGCTATTCACACCCTCGGCGTATTTGATTTCCTAACTACATTGATACGGCGCGGCTTTGAGTTCCCGACACCATACGATTCCGATTGCACTTCTACCTTACGAGGAAGGAAGTCCTGGGTTTCTGTTGATGGAGGGAAAACAGATCCGCTGTTTCTACGATCCCCATGTGACCACATATTATTCTCCTGTTTTTTTGGGCGTCCTTCATCCAAGATGAGACTAGCCAGAATCCCTCTCGGAATAGGCGAGCGTTAGATGACTTACATGGAGTGGCAGGGTCAGCCCACAAAGCTGATTTCCTCCCCTCTCCCTGATAGTCTTTCATGAATCTACGCCATCCACATTTCATCCTAATCCTCGTATTTTTCTGGTATTTGTATTTCTCATGTTTCATTGTCCTGAGAGCCATAAAAGCACTCATCAGGCCCTCAGAGTGGATTCTCTCAGAATTCATCGACAATAGGAGACCTCATCAAAATCCTAGTAATGAAAATGATTTTATTGAACCAAACATATTAATTGTAGCCATCTTGAGAGATCCCTTTTATAGTCGACGTGTAAGCAGGACTTATACCTGTTTCCGTTCCCCGTTCCACTACCAGAGTTTATTAGAAATGTAGTCTACCATACCTCGTAGGCTATGTGCCTGAAAGGTCAGGTATCAACGCCATGGCGAACTACAAAGCGGTCGGTTAGCAATCATGCGATGAAGGTCAAGTTGGCGTCTATCGGTCGCCATGCTCAATCATTGTCTCCTCGAGATTGCGATCGGGAACGTGATCACCGGTTGAAGTAAAAGTTTTGTTCCATTCATCCCCGAGAATGCGCCTTTCAGGCTACGAGATAAACATTCGCCCACCGCGAAACTGCATTGCTTGTCATCTTTGAAAATCACAGGTCATCACAAAAGTCTGAAAAAGGAGACGCTAGAACATATCTGGTTGGAGTCGCTCAGCGAGCCAATCACCAGTTCGATGGTCGATGCGATACATAACACAGAATTGGGGTCTGTGTCTCTTCCGAGGCATGTTTTATGGGAATGGCTTCTTTTGGGGTAAGTCCTTGCGACTCCTTATCGGCTAGCCCCCGCACGACTCCAACGAAGAGGAGCTCGGCTCGGCAGTCAAGTAGTGAGCCGAGTAATCGACGATAAATGACAGAATCCTTGAAGTGCAGAAGTTTCTTCTTCAATCTTCCTCGAGGACGGTGAATATTCTAAGTAAAGGACGAAAGAGCACCGCAATGTCTGACGAAGAGCCAGTCAAACTAACGTTGCGGGGAAGCCCCCGAGAGGTACGGAGCATTGTTCTTGCACTCAAAAAAAGGTCAACCACATCCTAGAGAACCAGTTGTGAATACTAATGTGCCTTTATCTTTTCTCCAGATCGGTATCAAGCATGGCCAGTTATTGAAAGACCAGATTCACAGTCAAATGCGCATCTACGAAAGCATGTTCGAATACACCTCAAAGCTCTCCTGGCAAGAAGTCCGCGAAGTCGCCAAGGAATTTCTACCTTCTCTTCAAAACCTGACACCTCATTTACTTACTGAGATGGAAGGAATTGCGGAGGGAGCGGAGGTTGACATACTCGATATTGTGGCTCTGAACTGTCGAAGCGAAATCGCCCTCGGCAAGTTCTCCGATGGGTGCACAACACTGTGCTGGAAGAAGAGCGACAATGTTCGTGTTCTGTCGCAGAACTGGGACTGGACTGCAACTGTGAAGAAGAACCTGGCCATGGTATCTATTGAGCAGCCTGATAAGCCTACGATATACATGGTCACTGAGGTAAAACATGATACTCCCTTCTAAATTCACCATGGGCGATAACTAATTCAGCGTCCGGATTTGTATAGGCAGGAATCATCGGCAAGATCGGATTCAATTCCGCCGCCGTGGGGACATGCCTGAATGCCATTCGGGCTAAACCGATGATTAGCAGCAAGCTGCCAATCCACGTCGCACTGAGACTATGTCTGGAGAGTACCTCTGTCGCCGAGGCTGTCGACACACTCGAGAGACTTGGCGGCGTTGCGTCTGCTCAGCATATCTTGGTCGCAGACAGCACAACAGCCCTGGGGCTCGAATTGTCTCCAGTCGGCAACAAATATATCCCCGAGGACGCATCTGGGCTGATAGGACATACCAACCATTTCATCGAAAACCGATACGTAGAAGAGCCCCCGTGGCTGTCTGGATCGCCGATTCGACTCAAGCGGCTGAGTGATCTCACAAAAGAGCTTATATCTAACGGGGTGAAGGGAGATGCCATTTCTCCTGCCTTGTTACGAGAACAGATTTTCTCGGATTCTTATAATGCTCCGCAGGCAATCGCCTGCCAGGAAGATGAATCTCGCCATATCTCAACACGTAGTAGTTCATTGTTCAACATTATCATGAATTTGGACACTCAGAATCTAGGTGCTGAGGTAGTCTGGGGTCGTCCATGTTCGGGGGAAGAGGGACCTGTTCTTAAGATGCCCTGGTAGATATACTGCTCTTGTTTGAGAGAATTATCTCAATCATATTTTTCATTGCCTCAGGATTAAGGGTCTAAATCATATTTGTCTTGGCTTCCGGCTCAAAATGCTCTAGGGCCAGCATCACGATCCTAAATCTCTTCCCGCTGCTCTCCATACCTCCAAACTTGTGCCGCAAAAATATTGTGATGGTGATCTCCGATAGCGACCCCAGGATTCGTCGATCTGGTCAGGTGCCGGACTTTCGATGCCTTCGGTGTGCGCGCTGCCTCTGGCGACGTCTCCTCCCCTCTCGTTCACGGTTGTACCCTTGAACTTCCCGAATTCCGAATTTCCTCCTCAAGCTGATCGATTCTGTCAAGTGCCGCTTCTAGTCTCGCCTCGAGCCAAGTAGTGCGGTCCCAATCGTTCCATGGGCTAGCTGCTAGGGAAGCCAGTGGGTTTGCGAGTGTGGCAGGCGTCACTGGCGCGGGAATGAGACTTTCAGGGCAGATCGAGTAGGCGGAGCAACATATTGAGGGCTGGAAAGGTGCGCCGTGACCGGTTCAACGTAGCAAAGGCTTTGCCCGATCATCTGCTCCGGGTTCTGACCTATAGACAAGCTGTTGTCTCTTAGACTTGGTTCTGGCAGGTATACCGAGTTGGAAGATTCACCCTAATGGGCTAGATGGTAGTCAAGCCGCTGGAGGTGACTCGCCAAATGGTCAGGTGGGATACCGATCAGGGGAATTTCCACAGTTGGTAAGAGAAACATCACGAGATACGGCGGCTGAGATGTCATAGGTCTTTGCCTGCGGTTTTTGACATTAGTATATGTCTTGGAGAGGAGTTAAGCTCACCTACTCGGACATCTTGATCAGAGTTGGTGAAGTGAGGTGATATGTAGACTTGAAGGTAGTCAGAAGGTTGGCTGACGCTGAAATGGTGGTAGGAGAAATGAAGGGCAGATGGGAAGAGGCGTTGACAGATGTAAGAGACAGCCTTCTTCAATGAGAGATAGAAGATAATAAATGAAGAGAAGAAGATGGGAAAAAGTATCAAAAGATGTAAGAAGGAAGCTTCCTGGTTGAGGGATGCTCACATGTCGAGTCTGGCTTCATAAAAACAACATTAAACCCATGTAATCCACCCTTGTCTCTCCATTCAGGCAATCGTTCTCTATCATCGAGGGGGATATCAATTTCATCTCTGTCAACCTCTTCCTGGACATCAAGGTCCAAGCTTATGAGAAATATATACAGAAGTCGTCGTCATTGAAAAGCTTCGTGGCTTGGCTCTCTTTCTCCATAGAGGTCTGTTGCCATGCGGCTCTCAACACCTGCACACAGTAATGGAAGTAGAGGTATTGTGCGACGTCGAAAGCCGAAAGGAATCAGAACATTGCACAGTCTATTCGACCCAAGATCAGTGACGAATGTCCCTCAATCCGTTCTCTAAAATGCTCCCACGAGGGATCTAGAATTGGTCAGTATCGGGCTGGTTTGAGAATTTTGGAACACCCTTCAATTATTTGAAACCTTTCTTATGTGCATAATCCCATCGAGAACTCACCTATATTTATCCGTTTAGAAAAGAAAATGAAGGCTCGAAGAGGAGAATACGCACAAGGCTAGAGCCCAGCACTATAAGTACTTAAGAATCTAAGCAGCTTCATTTTAGCAAAGCCGGCGAGCTCGTTCAATATAAAACCCGTCTTTAGTTACCACTAAAATTATGAAGAGTGGAAACCATGATCTCGACCAAATAATCAGATATAAAGATCAGCCTGTCTTGACAGACCAATTATTACTCGATGGATGATCGGCGATTAGCAATCCACGGTAGTTGAGTCGTGCTAAGCGACCTCCACGTACCGATTGCTTGCATGCGAGGTCGTCATTCGAGCCGACAATCACGCCAAATCAGGGCACTCGATCGATCGTTCTGCATGGGTTGCATAGACGACCATGATTATGGCACTCTATGATTGGTGGTCATGCATAATATCCTGTGCTATGCATTCTATTGTGTACCGGGGTGATCACCATACCTGCAGATTTGTGATCATCAAGTACCCCTCCAGCCAATTTAATCCTGAATCAAGATCGATCGGTTTGACTATATAAGCAGCAGCCACTTCGTTTCCAGAGCTTCCAGCCTTCCCTCCTTCAATTCGATATACACCTCCAAGATGGTGTCGGTCGCAGACGAGTCTCGAGAACAGGAACCCCTTCTGGGCTCGCCTAGCGCAACGACGCAGAAGCAAGATCCTCATATTGCCTGGAATTTGATTACTGGTCCGTATTGAACACATGGGTTTATCTGTTGGCTATGGATTACTGACTGACCACTGTCAATGGTCCAATAGGCACTGCCAGTGTTGCACAGGCGGGGATTTGGATTGTAAGTGCCCCTCAAGATGATTCAATTACAATAGGAGTACATTCTAACAAGTAAACAGTTGGCTGCTCTCGTCTGGTCCAATGTCTTAACTCTGCCCTACGCGCTCTTCACGGGACATCCCGTGAGTGACTCTGATCATCCTTGCATATTTTCTTGTCTCTTAACCAATCCCACTTCCAGCTGCTGGCCAGCACCGCCCTCCTCCTGCAAGTCCAGGCTGCTCTCATCCTCCAACCGACCGCCACTCCCGACCAGAAACTGCTGGGCACCCGCATCCACTATACCATCCAGCTGCTCAGCATCCTGTCCTTCCTAAGTGCCTTCCTCGTCATCGAGATCAACAAGGGCGACCACCCTCATTTCGTTTCTCCTCACGGTATCCTCGGTCTGGTTACTATCATCGCGATAGTCCTCCAGGCCTCCGTCGGAGTCATCCAGTTCTTCTTCCCCGTCACGATTCTCAGCAGCGTCGACGCAGGCAAGCGAATTTACAAGTATCATCGCTGGGCTGGATATGTTTTGCTACTGCTGGAGGTTTCGACTGTCTTGGCGGCGACCCAGACACCCTACAACCTGAATGCCATCCACATTCCTACACGGGGTGTCGTCATCGCGATCATTTTGGTATTGCTGGGGGTGGGTGCGAGGATCAAGAAGGGTAAATTGGGACTGGGTGATGCTTAATTCGGGAGACTGAGAGAAAGAGTGGGGAGAAATTTGCAGTTTTACATTAGAAATGCCCTGGACATAACCGTGATGAATACATGCGATTTCACGATCTATCATTCGAATTCAATCTCGATGCTTCTTTAGTCAATTAGATCGTCTTAAGATATAATAGATAACGAAAGTCTTGTCCATACTGTAGTTCATACTTGCACAGCTCTCGGAGTGGTGATGGCCCCACTCCAGCCAAACCCGCCCGAAGACAATCTCCACTCCTTCGCTTTCTCCGACTGTTTCTTCCTCCAACCGCTCTCGCCAATGGCGCCCTCTCCCTCCCCGTATGTCTGCTTCAACTGCAGATTGACCCCTCGAAATGTGCTCCCTCGACTCCAAATATATCGCTCGTTCTCAACGACTCGCCGGCACCAGCAGATCCTGCGACCCGCGACAGCGCCCAAACCCACGCCGGACGTGAAGCACGTCCGCCAGAATGCCGAGCTCTACGCACAAAATTGCATAGACAGGAATTATGCCGGTCATGCAGAATATCCATCCAGAATTCAAGCTTTATCCGATGAGGCAAGGCAACTCGATCATGAGCTCAAGTCGCCGCGCTCGCAGATCAAGCAGCTGGAAAAGACCATCGCGAAGCTATCCATCGCGGCACGACAAGCTTCGACCGACAGCACAGAGAGTAATGACCAAGGGAAAACAACGGCAAAAGAGCTAGAAGGCCTGAAGTCAGAAGCGCAGCGCTTAAAAGACGAGTCGCACGCCATGATGGCCCGCAAATCCGACTGCACCGACGAGATCAACCGTCTCGCCCTCTCCCTCCCAAACCTCTCATCCTCCGAAACTCCCATCGGCGACGACCCCCGTCTCGTCCACTATCTTAATTTCGACCCAGAAGCACCACCCGCCTGGACGCGTCAGTCCCCTACAGAGCTCCAAGCTCGATCGCACGTTACCATTGGCACCGAACTTGGTCTCCTCGACTTTACAAGCTCAGCCACAACGACAGGATGGGGTTGGTACTTCCTGATCAACGAGGGCGCCATGTTCGAGCAAGCGCTCGTCCAATACGCCTTGAGTGTAGCGCGCCGCCGCGGCTGGAAAGCCGTCTCCCCGCCGTCAATCGTCTACTCCTACATCGCCGAGGCATGTGGCTTCCAGCCGCGCGATCAGCACAATGAGCAGCAAATTTGGTCAATTGAGCAGAACGAGCGCGACCGCGATACAAAGCCACCGCGCTCGTTGACGGGAACCGCAGAAATCCCCCTCGCCGCAATGTATGCCGGCCGCGACATCAATGCTTCCGAGCTCCCTCTTAAGTTGGTCGGTGCCAGCCGCTGTTATCGCGCAGAGGCGGGATCACGTGGCGTCGACACAAAGGGCCTATACCGTGTACACGAGTTCACCAAGGTTGAGCTTTTCGGCTGGACGGATAACCTCGCTCCCGAGGCGGCAGCAGACAAACCCACCTCGGACATCCTCTTCGCCGAACTACTAGACATCCAAACCGAGATCCTCACGTCTCTCCATCTTCCCTGCCGCGTCCTCGAAATGCCCACTGGCGATCTAGGCGCCAGTGCAACCCGCAAGCGCGATATAGAAGCGCTCTTCCCATCACGATTCCGCCCCACGCCTGACTCCACGAGTCCTGTCGACCCCGCCGCATCAGAGCTCGAGTCTGCTTGGGGCGAGGTTACTTCGGCGTCCATCTGCACTGATTACCAGAGTCGACGTCTGGCGACTCGGGTACGTGGCGGTGCGCCCAAGGAGTCGCGTTTCCCGCATACCGTGAATGGAACTGCGATGGCTGTTCCGCGGGTGTTGGCCGCTATTCTGGAGAATGGATGGGATGCGGAGCGTGGTGTGGTTGTCGTGCCGGAAGTGTTGAGACCGTGGATGGATGGGATGGAGATGATTGGGCACCGGGAGTAGGATGGGACTGTATGGAGGCCAGGAGTTGAAGATTCTCCGTTCTGTATTTTGTATATTATTTTTGTAATATTGGGACCTGTGATTTACTATATCTGGTAAGTTTTGCCATTCCCGGGTTGGCGGCCCAATACATTGTCATGTAAAACGTGTACAATACATATGACAGAGCAAAAGTCTTCTGAGCACCATATCCAGCTTGTCCAGACTGCTCTAAACGGCTACATCGTGACTTTAAAGGTTATGCAGCTCACCTTTTTCAATATCCCGGCAATCCTCGTTGGAAGGTACCATTGGAACTCTCTGAAAATTCATCCCACTTAGCTACTGGGATACGCCCCAAGTTTATGGTTTGTCGAAAGTGACCTACCTCCCTTTGGTATCCCTGTATCGTGCAAGTCCGAACGTAAGTGAGGGTTAACATTATGCTCAATTTACATACACCAGCCACTTATGGAGAACTTTCTACATTGAAACGCCGAGTCCTTACGCTCTCTTGGTGTTCACAATTTCAAAGTCATTGACCAGGGAAAACACACCTATTTAACACCGGCACAAGTTATGGTCAGGTTACGCTGACACCATTCGGAGCGCTGGTTTTGTATCGCGGATAGAGCCATCACCGATCTGCAACGGAAGCAAGGTGTAGCTTCCGAAGTGTTATAGTGACCATCATAAGTAATAGATATGTAGTCGGCCATGCTGCCTTATGCAATACAACAGTACACGTAACTATGCAGTGCGATTTATCTCAATCAGCTGATATATGCTACTGAACAATCCGATTTCAATTCCTGTGAGGGTGATAGATATAGGAATATATGAAACCAGTTAGGAAACATAAATCTGTTGAACCTATTTTGAACATGTGACCATTCCCCTCCCCCCTTCTCCTCCATAATGACATGGTTTGTAAAAATCGTCTCTTCAGAAGCAGCTAAATGAGGCACTGTCGGATGTCTTCCTAGCCAAGAAAATAACTCTTGCACGCCCTTCATGTGAGCAGGGTTGTAGGGCGGATTTAGCACATAGCCTTGGAAAGTAGCAAACCGCACGCTACAACTCCCGCTAATCCTCCAAAGGAAGTAGGGGATACCATTCCAGCTGCTGCACCTTTAGATGTATATGAGGATGCAGACGCAGTGGCTGCTGAAACCGTGGAAGCAGTGGAAGCCGTGGAAGCCGTCGTAGAGTTACTTCCGCCATTGTCCTTGAGTGTAGCTTGGCCGAAGTTAATTCCGAAGTGTTCGCACCAAAGACCAACAGTGCTGAAGTCGGCAGTCGTTTTTCCCGCATCCAGCTTGATAGTCATGTCGGTGGGCTTCGTCGTAGCCGTCGTGATATGGTCGTTCGAGATGCGGAATCCGTCCTTCAGCACCCCATCCGTTGTTCCCCACCAGTATAGGGCCGGTGCTGAGGCATCTTGTAGCTCGTAGTTGCTGATCATGAGAGTAGTCGAGTCGACGACAGTCACGGTGCCTTGGAGACCTCCAGAGAGAGAAGACAGTGTCCCCGAATCCCCCATCTTGTTATTTCCCTGGCCTAAGGCACTTGAGATGAGGCCGGCGACAAGGATAGTTAAGGACAAGGAAGGCATAATGGTTGGCAGGACCCGCGATGGTGTGTAAAGTAATGCGTCTTAGGCAATTCAAAAAAATGTCCCGACTGATTTATAGATTGAAGGGAACAACCGACTGGACGATGAGAAGGTTGCGTATTTATATAATTCCTAGTTGAATTCTTATTCTTAAGAGGATGTAAGACAGCGAGGTGCCCACTGGAGTATTCCTACCGCAACACTAATGTAATTATTTATTATACCGTATTTGGAAGCGAGTGATTCCATAATCATTGATTGACCATTCGTACGCTGGGGATACTGTGGATCACGGGATGATTCCACTAATTAACTAGACCTGGGGAACCATGATTCCATAATCATTGATTGGACATGTTGACTGAGACATTCATACGCTGGAATAACTGTGGATGACTCCACTAATTAGATCTGGGAAACCATGATTCCATAAGCCTCCACTACTCTAATTAGCTAGTTTAGGTAGGTATCTTCTACTTGGAAAATGATGATTCTGTAATCGTCATACTTTTACCATTCTTGAAGTTGTTTACATTTTGATCAAACTTTCCCTCACCATTCGCGGATACCGAGTGTTGTAGGGAATTGAATTCGGTCCATATCAAGTCCACATTTTTGTGGCTTTGATCACCCTACCCAGAAATCAACAGTATTCATTCGTCTCCATTTATAATGTCTCTAAAACTGTTGGATAAAGATCAGCGATGATCATGTGGATATTTGCGCGGCATTTAATTTGGAAGAAATGTTTCCACTCATCAAAATTGGAGGAATCAGGAGCTACTTCTAAATTTGTGATCAGGGTCACGGCAACAATCAATCCAATGATTTTCTTTATAATAGAACTTGATATTCTTATTGACCCTGTCTTCCTGATCCTGAGCCGAAATATCTTGTACATCAGAAAAAACTAAGAGTATCATGGAACCATTCATCAGTGATCAATATAGAACCGCCCAGGGGTACTTTTTGTCCGTCCTGGGTCTGGTACTTGTTGATTCTCTGGTTCGTGTCCCTCATAATCTGATGTTCATGATAGATCAAGGTATGCTATCCTGTGTTTTTGCTCTGGTTTTTGCTTATTCGGCGTTCAGCTCGTGGTCGTCGTTGTCCAAAACGTTCTTCGCCTCGTTTCCCGGCGTATATCCTAGCCCACAAACTTTTGTTGCGTCCTTTGCCTTTTCCATCTTTCGTCACCCATCACTCTATTCCCGATCTTCTCCGGATGGCTATATTTTTTGGTCTTAATATTATCTTCGCCTGGAACCGTGTGCAGTATTCAGGCGACTTCAACCAGTATGGCTATCTCACGATCGCTAATGGAGGTCTTGCGCTTCTATTCGGTTCTCGCAACAATCTCCTTTCACTTGTGACCCGAGTTCCCTCGACGACTCTGCTCATGTTCCATCGCTGGGTGGGAAGAGCCGCCGTGTTCTATGCCAGTCTTCACTTGTATGGCGAAAGTCGTGACTGGATCAAGGAAAGGGGAAGTTTCCACTGTTTTCGCCAACATGCGTATCCAAGTGGGTTTAATGGCATGGCTGTCCTTGGCACTTATCTTCGTGACATCGCTCAGCATTATGCGACGACAGCAATTTGAAGTCTTTTACTATGCGCATGCTCTGTTCATTGCGTTCATTATCGGAGCTCTGATTCATGCAGATCACGCACCGGAGTTTCTGCTCCCTGGGCTGTGCCTGTGGGCCTTGGACCGTGTGATTCGATTTTCACGCAATTTCCGCCGAATTCAAATACTCTCTGTCACTCCATACGCCACGGACGTCATGAAGATCAAGATCCGTGGGTTCAAAACGTCTTATCCTGGTCAAATAGCCTGGATCCAGATTTCAGAGGTGTCGTTCCTTAATTGGCACCCATTTACAGTTGCCTCTGCTCCTGGCGATGATGAGGCAATGTTTCTCATTAGGGGGCTTGGAGGCTACACCAGACGGGTCCAGGACCTGGCGAAGAAAAACAATTTTGAACAGGCTTCAATTGCTGAGATTCCCTTTCCATGGAAGATCCGTGTTGATGGCCCTTACGGGGTCTCTCACACGCAGTGGGAAGCCTATCCTGTCATAGTTCTCGTGGCTGGTGGAGTTGGCATCACACCAGGGCTTAGCATTGCTTCCCATATCCTCCGCCACGCGACTGGAACAGGCGAAAACATTGAAGGGAGGCCGCCCTGGCATGTGCATCTTTTGTGGGTCATCAAAGATGAACAGCATGTGAATTGGTGCCAGGAAGAATTACAAAATTTGTTTGCGATGTCTGCGTCCCCCACTGTTCAAGCCACCTTTGATTTGACGATTGCAATCACTGGAAGCGCAAGGTTGGAAGCACGTGCAGCAAACGACGATGAATTTATTGCTCTTGAGGGTCAAACTAGCCACGATTACAACGGTCCTGGAGAACTGATCAGAGGCCGGCCTAATATTGTTCAGTGGTTCAGGGCTCTCAGGTCGAAACGAGATGGGCTTGACGGAGCAGTCAATGTTTGTGGGCCTAGGTCACTGATCAGCATGGTTCGAACAGCAGCTGCAGATTTAAGTGGACGAGGGGGCATTTTCCATTTGGAAGAAGAAGTGTTTGAGCTTTAAACTTTTTGTTGCAGTGTTGAAGTAACCTGCAAACTCTGGAACATCGAAAGTATCTTTTTGAGTCTTTGTAGACGCCCCCATGCACCTGTCCCTTCGATGTGTAGGCTAATACTGGGCACATGTCAACGGTTCCCCAAGAGAAAACATGGATGGTGTTTGTTTGCTTACTCTATGTGTGGAGGAGAGGATTAAAACACGAATGAGAGGAAGAAGATGGATAATTCCCCTTGCCAATGATAATAATAATGCCACAGTGCTTCAAAATTGCCCCTTGGGGGCACACATTAACCCCACATTACGGAGCACAAATTGGCCAATAATGTCGGCGACCTGGCGCTGACCCATCTGGATGCAACATAACAGCGTATTTCATTGGATAGATTAGTGGGCGTCTCCCAAACAGGAAACTTGGCGATGATGGAATCAAGATTGTGGAAGTTGATTGGTCGCAATCAGCTTGAACAGCAGCAGCTCAAGGCTGTAGCTGCCCTGGCCCTGAACTGACCCCTTCAGCTCCATGTCCCATCGGCCGGGTACAAATTCTCGAAATTGATTCCGGAAGAAGAGTCGCGATGAGCATGCTCAAGAATCTTTCCAGCCGGTGGTCTTCAAAAGGAGGTAGTGCCCAAATTGGTCTCCTCGGCCAGTAGCCAGCTTGTCCAACTTAAGTTAATATATTGGACAGATGATCGCCCCACGGATTCATATCTGAGACGCAGAGAACAGGTCCGGAGAGCACAAAAGCGAGCCAAGGGCCTGTTCAATTCATATTCTGATCGTCCCTGCTGACGGTGTATAACAGGAACCACCGCAGGCGCAAGGAAGAATACCACAAGTCCCTCGAGGCCGAAGTTGTGCATCTTCGCACGCGCGAATCCGACTTGCTCAAGCAGACCTGTGAACTCTCAGCAGAGGTGGAGTGGCTCAAAACCATCATAGTGCAACACTGTATCACCATCCCTTCAAGGCCAGCTGAAGCTGCATCATCTGGTCAACATGATCTTTGTTGCCACTCGTCCGTTATAGTCAGCGTTGATAAGAACTATTTGAGCTGCGAGCGGTTACTTGTCCAGGACTTCGTATCTTCCGAGCCTACACATCACAACCACGATGGTAGTTATCTGGGAGTGGGCGTGGCGTACCCTGCGCGATCGGGTAAGGAAGGAAAAGACCGTTGACTCCCGAAGCTGCGAGTGAAGCTAACATGCCTGGCCTATCATAGGAATTGACGAGCTCGAGGAACCAAGCAGCAACACGATTCTCGATGAATTCAACAACAACGCCGGCCTGGTACAGGAGAATAACATCATTTCCGCCATGGAATTCATCTTGAGGTCGGTGTTAACCAACAGATTCCGGGAGAATGTCAGGACTAGAACCTAACACTCGTTTCTAGTCTTGAAGGTCCATGTCTCGATCATGTCAGAGCTGCATTGGGAACGCCACAAGTTCCAAATGGCCATGCGCTGACTCTGACAGCCTCTATGCTTCATCTTTGCGAAAATAGCGGCTCATCAGCCCAGAGACTGGATCCGACTCAGATTCCCAAAAAAACTGTGGAGCGGTTGCTAGAGCTGTCATCTGAACTGAGCACTGAAGACGAACTTACCCCAACCCAGGCTTGGGTTGTCCTCTCTCGACAGCCGCAGTTTACGGGCACTAGCAAAACCCAGATTGTGGATCTCGCAAATGCGCTCTTGAGTCACATGAAATGCTATGGGTAAGTGCAACACCACGACTCCTACAGAATTCATCACTAACACAAATAACAGATTCGGGGCAGTGATAGAACGAATGACCCTAATGAACGAAATATCGCGTGTTCTAAACTGCCCGGCTCGGCTCCAATTGGATTGAACTTCACAGTAACGGGCATAGAATATCAGGAAATACACCACACTCGTCTGGCTCTGTTCCTTGGTCTTCTGGGCGACACGTGGCTACGATATTCCCGCCATTGCCTGCTTTTGTATTTCGGGTTTTGCTACACATAAATCATGAACTTACTTCCTCCGAAGATTTGTAGCATGCTTTTCTAGTCTGATCAGCTGACATGCCATGGTATTATGGGGATTGGTGGATTTGCGCGTCGCTTGAGACATGCAGAAGGCAGAACCAATTATCATCATGGCCGTGCGAAGTGCAAATCGTCAATAATATCTAGTTGGGAGAAAGTAAAGCCAGATTAACCTACATTAGACATGTAACATGAAGAAATTAAATACTGGCAAGAAAACAAAGAATTCTCACAAGCCGAGAGGATCCTGGCGAAACAAAGAGCGACTATTTGAAGCCATCAAAAATACATTCCTTGATTCACCTGCAAATAGTTCCCTGTAGCGCCAGTGCCACCGCAGGAGGATGGCTCGAGGCTTGGCGGGTGCAGAGTAGTGGTAGTTAAGGGTGATCGGGGGCCAGGCGGCGACCTGCCGCTGGAAGTTACGGGTGGAAAGGCGGCCGTTTCTGGCGCTCTGGCGCCAGGAGCTGTCATTTTCGGCGTCGATTCCACAGGTCCTTATATTCTATATGTAAAAAACTGTGAGATGGGTGTATGATGTATGCTTGGATGGTGGGCCGTATCGAGACTAAATGATGGCGATTCTGGGATTCTAGTAAATTTCCGCATGATAGATGGCATATCAAATCTTCATCTGCCGTACTAATACAAGACTCTGCACGATGTCGCTACAGCTTGATGTATTCAATTGAACCGGGTACATAAGGCAAAAAATATGAACTAACCACCCATTTGGTATGTTATAGTACACGTAAAAAGCGCTGAGCCTCGAGCTTAATACAAGTGAGTGGTAGAATTAGCACACCGCTACCAACCCCATCGCAGGTCCAGAATGAAGATGAAAGTAAAAAATAACGAAGATAATACAGTGGGGGAACAAAGAAGAAAAGTATCCATCGAAATCCAGGTGATAGTGACCCGCCCTCTTGCCTATAATTCTGGCCATGGGTATCGTCGGCGATTGAAAGTAAACAAAGAGATTCCCGCCCAGTCATCAAAAAGTGAGACCTAAGCTCACTATACATGAAGTTGCTGTGATTGTATTCATTAGAGCTTTCATGAACACCAGGGAAGGGAAAAAAGAGGAAAGAGAAGAATGAATGGAAGAAAGGTAGGGAAATGACTGTCAAACGCTGCTCAAAAAAATTACCAAGTTCCAATTATGCCTAAGGAGTAGCTATTTACCTACGATCAGGCGGTAGTCCCATTGGTCATGGGTACACTTGCCTGATCTTGCTGGGTCATGCTGGCCTCACCCTCAGGCAAGTTGCCCTCGTCCATGGACTTCAGATCCGAAATAAGATCTTTCGAATCGCCGACGTCCATCTGGTCGGCATCCCCCTCGTTAAAGTTGGGCATCTCCAGCGCCACCCCACTGTTCTTCTTCGCCTTTTTCTTGCTCGGCTCTGAGGGGCCGGCCTTGGCGAGGGCTGCACCAGGTGGTGCAGGGCGCTTCTGAGGACTCGAGGTGTTTCCAGAGACACCAGCCGGAGGAGGGATCTTGCCAGACGCGGGCAGACGGGTCTTGGCAGGCATGGGTCTCTGCTTGAGGGGCAGCTCGAGATCTTCCACGAGCGGCTCGTCATGGTTCGCATCCAGCTTGCCCTTCAAGAATTGTTGAACCAGCCCGATCTGGTTACCCACGTTCTCAGTAGTGATACGAGCGTAGGGCGGGGGCGGCGGGAAGGAATCCTCCGTCTGGATGGCTGTAGTATTCTGCGCCTGTGCCGCGTTGAACATCCGACTGGGCAGCAAGTGCAGTGGCACGCTGTTAAAGGCGATACCGAATTCGACATCCAATCCAAGTTCCTTAAATCCAAGGAAGTCATCATTGATGTCATCCGCAAACGTTCCGGTAACGAACTGGTCGCTACCATCTGCAAACGCCTTGGATCCATCTTCACCAGCATCCGTGAGAGCTGGGCGCAGGAGCTCAGTGAAGAGATACTTTAGGCGATCGTGAGCAGACGCAAGCTTCGTGCCAAGCCGTTCAACGTCATCCTTGATGTAGAGCTCAAGTTCTTCGATATCCATGCCCACAGCAGCTAGAGTGTGGAGGACAACCTCAGGTTCACTGTATGCAGCCTTCCATTCGGCAGACGACGAAGCATCCTCGGTTTCAGTAACGGGGACCTTGGGTGTTTCCATGTAAGACTTGATGATCCGACCGAGTTTGTGGAAGTGGTCGGCGGCGATATCAGTCGCAACATCAATAGCTGAGGGCTGGTATTCCTCAAAGCCAGCGTGATAGAATATTTTAGCAACCGATCGTTGCAGCGCCGCTCGGCACACGCCTGTTGTCATGACAGGGCCGTTGTCGTTCATGACGTGAGGTGGAATGTCCTGTTCAACAAAGGGCTCGGGATTGTACTTTTGGAACTGGTTCGCATACATCTAGTATTCCTGTTAGCATGAATTCCTTTGAGAAACCTTTGTTCTTCAAAAACGTACCTGAGCCTGAAGCTGCATCTGCTTCACGATGCCAATCTTGGAACAAATCTTGCGAGTGTCTTGCATCTGCCGCATGTTGGAATCCATCTTGCGGGACAGTTTGCTATCGGGCTGCTTGAAGCTTCCTGGAGGAAGAACCCGGAGGAACTCCTCGGATGTATCGACAATGTTTCCCTCGGAATCTTCCTTCCAGGCAATACGAGATGGCAGGTCCGGTACACCATGCATGACGTCGTAATAGTAAGGAATCATCCTGTCTTCCTCAACCTCAATACCCTCCGCAAGCGATGCACCAGCAGCTTCGGGCTCTTGGGCACCAGCATCTTGAGCCTTCTCACCCTCATTAGCTGCTTGCTTCTCGTGGCGAAGCCAGCGGCGCATACCAGCCTTGCTACGGAGCAGAGCTGGTTCATCCGGGTTAAGCTTGTCGCCCTTAAGAAGGCGATGTCTCTCAGCAGCGATGAGAGCTCGATCTTTCTTAGTAACTTGCTTCCACACTTTATACTCGGGATCTTCGACTTCGAGACCGGGTACCGAGAGGGCACTAAGAGCAGTCATGTCCGTTGTTGGGCCATCAATTTCCATGGCATCACCCAGCTGGCTAGCAGCAGCTGCACCGGCCCCGGCTGGATCAGAAGGAGTATTGAACCCAGGAGGCGGGGTTGAGAAACCATTCTGGCTCGCTTCCATGGCAGTATCCGAATCTGCACGTACGGGACCTGAGGGCTGACTGGAAGATGCACCCGCGGGACCTTCAGAACCACTGGGGGTACTGCGAGAAGGAGCTGTACCCTTCTGGGATGTTTTCTTTCCGGGAGCCTTGCGACCTCGAGAGGACATGATGGGTTCATCGTCGCTCTCCTCGCCTCCATCTTCGAGCTCAGCAAGCTGCATCCGACGTTCCTCAGCCTCAACCTCGGCACGATCTCTGATGACAATGTCTGGAATGAGAGGCACGAGCTTGTCGGTCTCTTTCCGCATGATCACAGCCTTTCTTCGCAAGGGATGGTTGAGGTCGGTGTTGTACTTGAGACAATTGGCCCAGATGAGATTAATATCATCCACAAAATCTTGCTTGGACTTGTAACTTATAGCTTTTAGCTTCTTAGTCATAGTTCCAAGGTCCATTGGATGCCGAATGACTGTAATAGAGAGATTAGCGCAAGATATAGTAGCATGGAGACAAGAAATACTCACTTAGGTGATAATCGGGAACATCACGCTTGTTGACCTTATTCAAAAAGGGTCCCGAGTTCTCAGTCATGGCTTTCAGCTCATTAAGGACCTTCTCCGCGGCATCGTAAAGCTCCTCCTGGCCAATTCGCTCCTCGTTGTACCACTTGCTGCGATTCTTCCGGACCTCACGAATTAAACTACGAAGCTCGGCGTCAGATGCCTCGACCATATCACGCTTCTGATCAATCCTAGCGAGTAGGTTCTTCAACGTTAAGCTAGACGCGCCAAGGTTCGTCTGGCTAAGAGTTCCATGGCCACTGGAACCACCTGACGTGTTGTTTGCACCACTAGTTTGGCCAGCAATCTCGGCATCAACCTGGCGCTCCGATTCCTCCAGCCGCTTTTGGTCCAGCATCGCGTACCGGTCATCTTCCAGAGTGTAGAACATGGTGTGGAAGCTATGCTTGACAGCTTCTTCGGTAGCCTTCTTGTCTTCTTCCAGCTTCTTCCGGATATCCTCCGCGGTCTCCTTCTTCTGTTCTTTCGTCCCATCGACATTGATGGAAACTGCGGTGCCAGGACGTTGCACCGGGATCGCGACGACTGCGGTATCTTGCGACGGTGGGATGGACTTTGCTTTTAGAGGGGACTCTGTCGAATCAGGCATATCCGCGTCTTCGTCGTCATCATCGTAATCGTCGTAGTCGTCATCCATTTTGCGGGCAGGCTTCGCGGATGCCTTCGAAGGGGGTGCCGGCGCATCGACGCGTTCGAGTTGACTATCCGGTTGATCGGAGTCCGCGATGGCGGCGCCGGCCACATCGTCCTTGGTATAATCACCCGAGAAGATCGCGTTGATTTTCGCTTCACTGATGCGATATAATTCGCGAAATTGGGCCAGGCGCGGGTCCTCCTCGGCCGCGATATCGGGGTCCGATGTCATACTACCGGGGTTCGGACCGTCTGCGCTGATGGAGCCGCGTGTTTGGGGGGTTCGCGAGCCAGACAAGGTTTTGACCAAGCCATTGACAGGTCGCGGGGAGTCCTGATGCTCATCCGGAGGGCGAATATTGCCCGGAGGCCAGGCGTGGTGACCGAGCGACATGCTCGCTCCAAAACCCCGGCTCTGGGGGCGGCGGAGACTCGATTCTCCACGCTTCGGATCGCAAGCCGAGAAATCACAACGAAGGGGGTAAACGAGATGAAATAGGTATAAAATGAAAACTCAGATCTCGCAAACGTAGCAGGCAATGTCAGAAAGCCCAGAAACGATGGCACGGCGGAGAGGTTTGATGAAGAAGGTGACAGCTTCAGTAAGGAAGATCTTCTGGATGGGGATGGACCTACGCCAGCCGCAAAGGCGGCGAGACGCGGCAGAATACAGAAACGGCAGATGGTGGAAGCCTTGACAAGATCGATCTCTCCGTCATTGTCGCAAGACTTATTGCCGAGGTTGATCGAATGATTTTTTGCTTCTCGATACTGCCTGTCGAATGCATTGATAGTCCTGCTATCATCATATCAAGGTCTCGAGACTCGCGATTGAAATCCACATATGACGCAGAGGCCACAGCCGGGCCCAAGCGATCGTCGTCAGCTGTTGAATACCACGTCTTCCGCTCTGTCTAGCTAAGCGTTGTGCTTCAACACAACTCATTGAAGGAGTGCGAGAATCCAAAACAATATCCGACGGGTGTCATCGTCACAATCTATCACGATGCAGATCCGCTATCCTTTTGCAGGTACGTGTCGAGCTGTGGGGGAGCTAGTACAGCAGCCTTCCACAAGTTCACTCTAGCTAACAACCAACTCCAGGAGCTTTCATTTTCCTCCTAATCCTCGCCGGATATATTGGTCTTCTCCCACATAGCACCTCGTCGTCAATCCCCACGAGTCTCCAACCAAATGACAAGTTCCTCCACCTATGCACCTTCTTCTTGTTATCCGTCACCTTCTACTGGATCTTGGACACCACGAGGCGACGCACTCTTCATATGACCCTACTAGTCTGCACACTCGGTCTAGGAATTGGTTCCGAGATTGTACAAGGCTTCCTTCCCAATGACCGAGGCTTTGACCCATTCGATGTCGTCGCCAATGTTGTCGGTAGCCTCGGCGCTGTGGGTCTGTGCGGCTGGTACCACCGTCGCATGCTAGACCGTCGTCGCAAGAACCGTTTTGGTGTGATGGATGGTGGAGAGGAGGATGTCGAGCTTGGTGTGGGTGTGGGTGGCTCCCGGGAAGAGGATGGGCTGGGACCGCAAGAATCTGGGGTGATGAACTTGGAGCAAGAGGTGGATAATTGGGACGAGAATGCCGTCGATAATTGGGATGACGAGGATGGTCCGGAATTGACCGAGCACCAAGCTGCACCCCCGGGTTACCATGAAAGCCAACCCGCTGGAGAGGTCACTACGAAACGTAGCGACTGATAGAGCTCGGATTGAGCTTTTCCAGTGACAGATTCACGCACAGCCAATGTTGATACTGGCTGGCGTATTTCCCCGTTTGATGATGATTATGGACTGATGCATTGATCGATCTCACGTTGGTATGATACCAGTCATTTAGTTCTGATGTTAGTTTCGCAGCGATTGTGCTTTTCTTTTTCATTTCTTTTCCCTCCGTTTTGGGGCTGGCAATCCTTTTGCATAGGACCATGGGCAAATGCGAATGGAAGTTCGTGTCTAATCTTGCTTCATACTACAATAATCATGGATGCCCATCAATATCCTTTTCTCAATCAATGTGTACAATCCAGATTTTCTCCAGATATTGTTGAGTCTTTGACCCGCAATTTATGCGGCTGTCACCGGCTCTTGTACGCCAATACGTCCCCCGGATTTATGCCCCGGAACGGCCATGAACCTTAACGGAGTCTCTAAGAATAGACATCCGGAAGCGGAAGCTTGGTCAGAGATCAGCATAGATTACAGAGTAAGCTCTACAACATCGATAGATACAGCTGGCTGCGCAAAATATTTGCTTTGGTCGACAGAGGGAGAGCAGACACAACTCAACAAACCGCTAATATACAGCCATTCTAATGCAAAGACTAGGACTTGGAGTCAACAGGTATAGAACTACAGAAGAGTGCAAGGGAAATCATAACATGTGGCAATGTAGACTGGGGGTATTCAGAAATGGGCAAAAGGGACATAGACAAGGGTACTTCGGACAAATGCAGGAATAGAAAGACAAGAATGGTAATCAACACAAGTACAAGAAGAATGGAGGTAAGGGGCAGTGGGACAATGATAAAGCAGCAAATACACAAACACCGGATGCCATGATATGATGCAAGAGGAGAAATGAAATCGAAAGTTCAGGGACTCATGATCAAATCATGACGAGTAAGAGAGGGCAATATGACCTCGACCACATCTCGCGGCAGATATAACTCCAGCCTTTGAGAGATAGTGAAGCCGGAGAAAAAGGCGATGAACACGAAGAGAAACTCATTACTCATGGTCGGAGGACTCGGGCATTTCAGTCGGGATTGCAACTTGGTCCGGGACAGCCTCCAATTCAGGCTTCGAAGCAGGCAAATAATCTGCCTCGTCGCTCAACTTGGCAAGCTTGGCAGACCGAGGTTCATCCATCTGGCTGCCAGGCGACTGGTTGTTCTGTCCTGGCATCTTGCCCAGCTTGATATCTGTTTGCTCTCGAAGTACCTCGTAGATGAACTGCATTTGCATCTCGTTATAAACCATCATCATGCGTTGTTCGCGCATCTGATTGACCGTCTCAAACACAGGGTCGGTCTCGGGATCGGCTACCTGCAGCAGCTGGCCCGATTCAAGCTCCTGAAGGAGGTGGTCCAGGGCGATGAAGGTTCCCGTGCGGCCAACTCCTGCACTGCAGTGGACCACACGTGGATTGTCGGGTCCCCCAGATTTGGAAGCCGTCAACTTGATCAATTCCAGGAGTGCTTCACGGTCGCTACCTTCGGGCTTGGAATAATCCGCCCAGCCTGCAAAGAGGAAATGCCACACAATCTTCGACTCCGAGCCGATAGTCAGCTCGAGCTTGCGAATCTCCGAGCGTGACTTAGCATCAAAAGTTGACTTCAACAAGGTGACCTTCCCAATGTTCTGAGGAGGTTCCTCTTGGCTACTCTCATCTGTCACGAAAGGATCCGACTCCTCTTCTAACAGAATCATCGAAGCCTGCTCTGAGTCCAACGGGAAGTATTGTGCACATTTCTCCCGGCCAGCCTCGAAGGTCTGGGTCAGCATAACAATGACAGCCACATCCTTGCTTTCATGGAAGACCATATGCCAAAAGTGTGAGAGGTGTCCAAGCTTAGGTCCCTGCCGATCGAAACAAAGCACATGTTAGTCGAGAGCTTCCAACGGTAGTCTAGAACAGGGGGCAGAGAATGCCAAGGGATTTGTCAACATACCTGGGTCGCAATGTAAGTCCTCTCCTCCTCTGTGACCGAGTCCTTCAGTATGATCGGCGAGGCGTTGATGAAGTCACACTCGCCCTCGGGCACCCGCAGATGAATGCGGCAGTTGGCCCATGCCTGTACATTGACATATCGATTGCGTGCCTTGACTTTCGGGTCGGCCTCGAGGGCAAAAGGGTGGGCGGGATCGTTGGACAGCATGGCCTCGGACAATCGCGCCCTCTGCATCCATTCGAGGTCCTCAAACTTGTCGTGAATCTCTACAGATACAGTCAAAGCGGTCAGTCAACTGGGTTCCCACGTGTGTGAGGCGCACTCTCTATCTCTTTACCCCTTCCTTCTCTCTATTCTCCGATAGGGCGCATGCACCCCGCTTCGCTCACTTACCCGAGACTGATTGGCACAAAAAGGGCGGGACATCGTCCGTATTGCCAGCATCCAACCGGGGATTCCCCTGTTCACCAGGCACATCGATGGCATCGCCGTCGGCCGGCAAACCGCGTTTCGCGGTTTGGACGTTGGTATCGATCTTGATGGAAGGATGCGCCATCTTGGCGGCTGCGATCTTCTGGAATGCGCGAACCTTGCCGATCACGCCGCGGGCTTTTCGGGAGACGGCCTGACCTTTGGAGCGTTTTTTGGTGCTGCGCGGGGCAGTGGAGGGGTCGGGGGAGGGTGTACGTGAGGCTTCGGGGTTGGTGCGGACCTCGAGCTGGTCAAGACCGTATGCGGCAGCCGAAACCTGAGATATCTGCAACGAGGACAGATCGGGACAGCTATAGAAGCTGTCCCGGGAAGGTGTGTCCAGGGCCAGGATTTTTTTGGGAAAGATCGCGCGGGGGGGCCTTTTGGTTTGGGCGTCGAACGGAGGAGGGGGGGGCTGAAGGGCCTCTTTGCAATAGACCGGGGGCCAATCGTGTGACCCTCGTATAAGGCCGAAACGCGTTTCTGTCAGCAAGAAGCCTGCAGAATCAGAATGTTCGGTGCTTTTTCTTGGCTTTTTGAATTTGGGAGAAAAATATTCCACGATCGGAGAAGCCGAAAGAACGAAAGCGACCCAGAGGAACCAAAGAAATAAGAATTAGGGGGGAAAGAAGGAGGGGTGTAATCAAATGACGAGGGAAGTGAGAATGACCCGAGGTCTCCGCTGGCAGAAGACGAAGTATAAGAAGTGATAATATATGGAAGTAGAACTGCGTAATATCAAGGGTCATAACCCTCGACTAGGATTAACTAACTGTATGTACAAATGTCCAAGTGTATGATGTGCTCCAGTCTTGTCATCCTAAATTCTAATTCCAGAAAATAATTATAGATTCAGCCACACCAGACCACTTCTTTTCGGCATTGTTCATTGGCCGCAGTCAGCGCGTTGCCACTTCCACTCAGCTGCTTGCGGTCGATCCACTCAACGAGCCCGCAGTAGAGACAGAGAGAGAGAGAGAGAGAGAGAGATCAAGGAAAATGAAGTCCAAGTCATGCTACTGGCTAACCTACAGTACTAACCTAGAGACGGAGATTTCCAGGAACCGGAAAGACTAGGATCCGCTTGTGAAACCAAGTTTCGAACATCAACATTCCTATCGGAAATACCACTCCATAGTACATACTATCTCCTACACTCAACTCCGCTGGGGCGCGGCAACACCAAAACATCCCGCTCCTCGACAAAAACCCTGAAACATCCCGCACGTCACACCGGAACCCTGAGATCCTGAGAAACTCTCGGAACTACCCTCGCGCATGTCGGCCTCCGTGAGCGCTGGAAGGTGTTGATCGCCGCGTCTCTCCCTCTCCTCGTTACATGGACCGATGACCACTGCCCAGCGTGTGCGCACTCGCGAAATGGTCTCTTCCGCGCAAATCCTCGATCGCATGCCCCTCCAAAGCGCCCCCTCTGTCGTGTCGCGACCCTCGCAATCGGCTCGCCGACATCATCGTTCGGGGCGCTCGCATCATGGCGGCTCCACGCAGTCCTCCTCGAACGATTTCCCGATCTTCACCTATACCGGCGACACCGAGGTCGTGATTCGCGCCGGCGCGCAGGAACGCCGCTATCTTCTCCACCGTCTGATTCTGGCACAATGTTCGGGGTTCTTCGAGGCAAGCACAAATGAGGACTGGTCGGGTCAGACTTCGCCGCCGCCGGCCCCGACAAAGGTAGATGGGTCGTTGTCGCGCGTGAGCGAGGAGTCCTTGTCGAATGGGTCGACCTTGGTCCAGGGAGATCACGGCAAGGTGACGGCGCGTGGGGGTGACAAGCGGCGGTGGAGATATGAGCTCGATTGGGAGACTCGTGGGGAGGATGAGGAGCCGATTCTGGTTCAAAAGGCATGATAAACAATACCTTGCGCTCCTCGAATGGAGTATAGACCGCGAACCAGGCTAACATATTCACCTCTACAGCAACCCTCATACGCTCCAATGTTTGGCGGCGATCAACCCGCATTCTCTCCAACTTCGACAAAACCGTCGAACGCACAGGCAGGGTACTTCCGGTCTATGGCGAACCTGGCCGGAATGCAATCCGTGGTGCACCTACCACAGACCGGCAACATTGACCACAGCTCCGTGGATCCATTGATACGCGACTACGATAACCTCTTCCGGTTATTCTACAATCATGCACCGGTCCTAAACAGCGTCAACATTGCCTCGGCCTACACAGAATGCAAGTCTCTCCTCGCCTTGGCAGACATGTATGACGCACTCCCCGTGACAGGCCCGCGAGTCGACCACCATTTGCTGGGATTCGGCTCACGCCTGTTCAAGCAAATCGCCAAGTACCCACCCAGTTACCTTAAACTAGGATATCTGGCCCGTAGCCGGGTCATTTTCTCGGAGGCCTTGATCCACGTCGTGGGACAATGGCCCGCAGCCCTACCAAACCTGCGCAACGGCTCCTACGCCCCCTTACCCAACTCCGTGCTAGATCTGATTGAGGACAAATATGAGGATCTCGAGGACCTCAAGGCCCGCGTCGAGTCCAAGCTCTTCCGTCTTTCACTAACAACCTCCCGCGGCGAACGTGTTGGACCGTCAAACGCATACCTGGACTGGCTCACCGTCTCACTTTTTCGCCAATGGCTTATTGAAAACACAACTCCCCCACCCGCCCCAATTCTAAAGAACCCCTCTAGCTCCTCTGGTGCTGCACCCCCACCACCCATCGGCGCAGGCTCCCAAACAACCTCCACCAAACCTACCGCCCCGCCAGACCCAACCGCCCGCGTATACCGATTGATCGGGTCCTCGTCATCACAGGCATACCTCGCCCACGACGAAGTCAAACGCTTCCTCAAACTCCACCCAACACCATCCTCCGACGCGCTGTACACGCGTGACACCCTGAAACGCTTCGAGCGCAAGATGGATGAGATCAAGCGGCTGGCCCGCGAGATCGTCAAACCGTTGATGCGGAACTTCCTCGAGCTAGAGTTGAAGAGCGGCGCAGAGCAGGCTAGCAGTGCCGCCGGCTCTCACGAGAGTAGTCCATCCACCGGACTCCCATATCTAACCTGCACCCGCGTAGAAGAGGCCGATCTACCTTGGGACATTTGATTTTGCTTTGATAAAGTGGCGTCTTGAAAACGTGGCGTACATGGTTGATCTTTTGGCCATATATCTTGCTTGATCTGTTATGCATTTGCTACGGCAACTGGTACTACCCCCGGCGTATTTTGAAGGATTTTTTCTCCGTCTTTTTCCCTGAACTGCTGGCTCTGTTCGAAGGATAAAGTGTTGAGAAATGGGTGGCTGTACTCCTATCTATCTTGCCGCGATGATGTGATGTGTAGTTGATTGATGTTTGCATTGTTTTACCAGCTCTATTAGTTAATGTGTCTACGATATCATGAATGACTTTACATTGGTTAAGCTGAGGCTAATCGCACGACAGACTGTACACTACAGTGTACCATTATCGGATATGGTGGTATATGGTGGATAACAAGTACCTCGAGTACCTTGGCACCCTTTAGGCTTCTATGGATTTCTGTCAGAAACCCTGATATGGTTTCACGATTGTGTTATCAGTCACGACTCTAAACGATAAACGATAAACGATAAAGAAACATTGAGGATCAGAAAAGACGATCCAAAAGACGATCCAAAAAACGCTTCAAAAGACATTGAGAGAGATCTTCCACCAAAGAGAAAGTTGAAGCATATATTCATACAGTAAACCCGTTTCTCCGGTCTAGATGCTAAGAATCCAGATGTACCTCTTCTCCGCTCTACCCAAAAGGGGATATAGGGTGTCGTGCGAAATCATGAGTTGTTGTGCGATTAGCCTGAGCCTTAGTCTACCATAATAGATAAGAATGCGTCTCCATTATCCTGGCATTCAGATGATCATGGTGGCACATAGAAATGTTGCCCAGTGGGAAAGGATCCAGGATAAGGAGGATACCCTTGCATATGGTATGACTGCGCAGGCAGGAGGTTAAGGGGGCCTTACTATAGCCATGGGCCGGGTTTTACTCTTCTTCCTCTCGACTTGATTAAGGCAAACCTCCGAGTCAAGTGAAATTCGGGAGGCACTTGAGGAGAAGACCCTATTCCTGGCTCCTCGCGCGCTAAACCCCCGTGAGGAGGAACCAGCGAAAGGCAAGGCCAACGAATCGGCAGAAGATGCCAGCGAGCAGGACGATGGCCAACTGGGTCATGGTTCAAAAAAAAGCTATAATAGCTAAAATTGTTGTAGTTATTACTGAAGCACATGTTATTATATGTGCTCCACTTACTCCAACTTTTCTACCGAAGAAACCCATCGTCCCTCCGACTTGGAAGCTCAAATGGCCCGAGCCCGGGACGTCTTCGACGGTTAGCTGGTCTCATGGTTCGTTCTATTGAGGTAAGTGATCAACATTCATGTCATTTCTCGAATTGAAGTGACTAATCCAGATCTCACATCTAGCGCCCATTCCACGGCTTCGTTTGCCTTTCTTCCCTTCCCGAGTTGGCCCATATGGTGCTGTTCACGCAGACACCACATCGCCCATTCCACAGTTTCTTTTCTTTCCAGGCACTGATCGGAAGTACGAAAATAGAAATGGGTGAGACAGGCCGGCAGATTTCGGCCGGACTCTGCCATGGATACTTAAGCCTCCCTTTCTTTCATTTCCAATCCTTAGCTTTAGGTGCCTCGTGAATGGTACAGCGATTTCAAAGATTCGCTTTCGACCGAGTAACATTAATTTCTTTCCTTTGCACAATTAGCCCCTATATTTTTGAGGTACCTGGGCTAGTTTGTCACTCTAATGGTAGGCTCTACAAATCAGCTACGGCTGCGTCTCAATAATTTTACAGAGGGCATGGGGCATAATGCTGGACTCCGTGACTTGAACCAACATTGAAGAAATAATCCTGTATTTTTTTCGGGTCCTAATTCGCTGCTTCTTTAAAGACATGATTCATGACTGCAACGAAATACCCATCATGATCAATGGGCCAACTTTTCAGGATCTCAATTCCTCTTCGTTACACGTTCAATTCAAACACACACAGACAATGCACAGTTGGGCAATACTGGCGACGACAGATATGTAGATAGATCAAGCTCAGTAACAGGCATGGAAGAAGACGGTCCGACAATGCGACGCTCTGGATTCGAAACACATGTGTGAATGGGGGCAAAGATAGGTCAAACTTGAATGTGAAATGGAACGTGAAACTCAACATCGTCTCGGCGTTTGTGACACCAAAAATGATACCAAGTCGGAATCATCAAGAGTCGTCGCTGCTGGTGCAACCAATTAGACATACCACATCCGGAATGGCAGATGATTGGTGTTGCTGTCGTCGATTGGCAGCAACGGAATATCGCCGCGATCCGACTCCTTCGGGTTTGCCTGCATGGCGTGAGTCATTCCACGACTCACCTTGACACCACGTCCATACTGGGCTGGCTTTCCCTTGACCATGACATTCTCGTGATGACGAGCACGAACGGATATCAAGTGAGCATAGTAAATGGCCGGGTGAACCGAGACAGAAGTCGTAGAGCGAACATACTGGTAACACTGCTCATAGATCATGTTGATCAAGTGCTCTGGCTTGTGCTTGACTTCGTCCAGCAAGACAGTGTAGTGGACGGGGCGGGCAGTACCCTGAAGAGCAATGTGCGAGTAGAGGAAAAAGTCCCAGCCATGAGGACTGGTAACATCTCGATCGACCAAGGTGCTTGGGAGGGGATTGCCATTCTTGTCACAGCTGTTGCGGCTCTTGGTGTCTGGGAAAGCCCGAACATGGTGTCGCTTGTTGGCCACGACAACGCACATCTTTCCTTTCCATTCTGTCTCGGCAGCTGCAGACATGGTTTTACGAATGGTTTCCACTTCCTTCTCAAGAACTTCGTTGTATTCCGTTTCGGAAACGCCATCGCGGAAGTAGTAGATAATTGAAGGAGGGCTCTTCCTGCCAACTGTGTCGATCCACTTCTCGAAGAAAGGCGTCAAGATTTCCTTGATGTTAGAATCGGAAATGATCTCCTTGCGGGCACCATTAACTTCACGACCACCCCAGTAGCTGATTCCCTGGAGATCATTCGAAACGGACATTGCAGCCAGCGACGGAGTCCAAACACCCATCATTGGGTGAGTGACATCAGCTCCAATGATCATCGAGGAAGGTCCAAGGCCCGTCCCAGCAGCTGTGGGAACAGCACGAGCCGTCACACCTCCCAGCTTGGCGTTGACTTTCATGGCGACGTTGGAATGAAGTTGAGGCTTTCCTCCACCGCGGCACCGGTCGCCCTGAAGGACCTGAGAAGGAACTCCATATCGACAATCGCAGGACTTCTTGAGGCGAGAGTATTGACTAACATCCTGGCTGGATGTAATCATAATGATAAGCTGGGGAGGTTGACCGTAGGCTGCCTTGGCAGTTTCGTAAAGCTTGGCCACTGAGGTCCCGATATCCTCAGTCATCATCATCGACACTGGAACGTTTTTAACAGCGCCGCCATGCAACTTGAATGCCTTGACAAAATTGATCCGCCATTCCTCGATAAGCCGCTGATCCAGGTTATTGCGTTCATTTGGAAAGTAACCGATTGCCCAAGAAAGCAGAGCTTCGCCGTGTGGCTTGTAGAACTTTTTCCCTCGAAGATCCCAACGTCCATTGGTGCCTGGGTTGTGCTTCGCATTTCCAAACTGAATGTCTGGGCTGGGAAGCAGACGTGCCTTTGTCTTGATCATGGACTGCCCGATCTCCATGCCGTAGAGTGCCAGATTGTGGTCTTTCTCATGCGCAAACAGCTTCTTGCAGGTGTTGATGTGATCCATACGATCCTGCGGCTTTTGCGCAGTGTACTGGATCATCTGCGAGGTCATGAGAACGCTCAGCTTCCTGTTGTATCGCTGGAGACCCTTGAGCTCCAGAAGCTCGGCGGGATAGACGACATCGCGGTCTTGCATCTCCACAAGGCGCATGTTAGGATACTCGAGGTCAATTTTGTACTTGAGCTTGAAATAGTCCAAGACTGACAGCTCCTTGACGGCGCCCGTGGCTCTGTCCTCAATTTTGAGCATGTATTCCCGGGCGCTGCCATTCACCAGCTTTCTGATCTTGAAGGTTCTATTCGGATTGGGGCATCCTGGGAACTCAGGATTGACCAACAGCCCTTGGATCATCTTGTCGAGCTCGACATGGTGCCTAGACAACTCCCACCAATCCGGCTTTAGTTGTGGTCGGTGAACGGGCATACAAACCCTTGTCAGATCGTCTTGGTGGTTGAGTCCAAGGAGCCCTCTCATGACTCCCAAGAGACCTATCCGAGAGAAGAAGACACCATACGCAGTATCTACGTTTAGCATCAAACCACGCTGTTGGTTTCTTGGTTAGTCCAGTTTACTAAAGAAAATTGTGCTTGTAAAGCGCTTACCGGGCAGGCTCTGATTGTCTGGAATGCTCCGCGGTAAACAGTCGCAGCCTGGGGCAGTTGGAAATGAAAGTTATGCGCCATTTTAGCAAACTCTGGACCAAGGCCGTGGATGTTCTCGAAGAAGTAAGAGCGCTTGTGCTCAAAGAATTTGGATCGAGGCTCGTGACGAAGAAGATGGTCAAGGAACACTGTAGATATCAACAACAATAACCTCCAAAATGGACTTGAAAGTATAGTTCACAAGACACTCACTGAATGACTGAACCACCTTCTCGTCAAAGTGTCGCTTCTTTTCAAGCCATTCGTAGATTACCTTGAGCATAAGCTTGTGCTTTGGAACCACCCGGAATGTAACCTCCGAGAGCAGCGTGAGGAATTCTCGAGACTTTGGATTCTTCGCCTCGATGCCTCCAATTCTCTTCGGGCCTTCATAGTGTCTGTATGGAGGGTCAAAGTAAATTTTCTCCCTGATACCGTTCTTCGCCTCTTGTAATGACCTATCTAAATCAGAAATGTTCACTTGCCATCGGAAGGGTCCTGGGCTTACCAAACAATGTGAGCTCCATCATTAATAGCATCAGGGAGCAATTTCCCGAGCTCCTTACTCTTCTCGAAACACAGCCGCACGAGTCGCTGATCGAGTGTTGGCAGAAGTCTCTTGTCCTCTCGAGCCTCTATTATGGCAAGAACTTGAAGCTACAAACATCTTAGTTGAGACAGCACTTGACAAGGACCTGAATAAGCGAGACCCCCACTTACCTCGTACATGAAAACGGGCTTCTTTGGGTACTTTTTAATTGGATAGCCATTCACAGTCACCTCGATCTCCTTGCCGGACTTGCTGTACTCATTTGCCTTCTTGCCAGCAATCTCAGGCAAGGGAAAAACGACATGATCCCAATATTCGTTTGCCTTCATTCGGCGGTTTCCTTGTTCATCGGTGGTCGTCGCCTCTGTAATGACTTCGCGGTCTTCTACGGCACTGGCTAGCTTGGGCTCTCCATCGCACTTGCCTGCCTCACTAGCTGCACCGGGGCTATCCATGGTGGACAATTGAAATCCGTACTGAAAATCATTGTAAGTAAGTTTGTTTCATACATTATCATGGAGGTAATGAAAAGGGAATGGAGGAGCGGAATGATGTAGATAATAGGGAATATATTAGTTCGATAGAGAAGGTACTCTCATCGTCTGGCAGCTTTTTTCAAGCAGTACTCTGTGAAGGATACCTTGTATATCACTTACCAACCAAGGTAGATTAAGTATTGCGGTAATATGGATGAAGCTTTTCAGTCTTCATAGATCAAAAAAAGATTAGAAAATGAATAACAATGATTCGGTAAAATTGATTCCTCGCTAACAGTCACAAGGGTCTGAGCAAGAAGAAGTCGAATGACTAACAAGAGAAGAGACCTGCTGGACTCTGTATGTGTAGGATGGTGGAAATAGGAGTGTAAAAAAGGAGGAGGATAGATGAAGGAAGAGAAGATCTCGATGGGAGTGGAAGTGGGAAACAAGGGACTTTGTATACCCTGACGAGGAAAGTCTCTCAAACCTGGCAAATGTAAGAATTGATGGAAATAACCACATTCAATATGGCGGAAGCTACCAGCAAACGTGATTATTCTATACGAATTTCTTTGTGATGCATTAAGCGGTACTTTCAGGGCATTTGTACGGAAATTGTCGTGCAGGTGCTTTGAGTAGTTAGTGTCCACAAAATTCATTCAGTGTGGTGGGAAAAGTCCCAAGTCTCTTATTTGTGGCTCGCAGACTGTGGAAACATTGTTGTTCGTGAACATGAGCAACGGCTTATCTAGAAATGGTTAGTGTCCCTCGTTGGCAAGATGGGACATGCAACAAAGCACCCAAGAGCACGTTGTATGACGTCCGTAGTTCCTCGAATACGTGCAATAACTCTACTTTTGGATCCTCATAACAAGTTGGAAACTCCCGAGCTAATCTGCCACGATATTAGATAGTTTTAGATACGAGACACAATTTACGCTCACGGCTACTAAGCCCCATTGGAGAAAATGATTCAAAGAATGAATTGTGATTGAAGTATCTGCACTATTTTGGTTGGAATGTACAGATGCATGATGAAGCAGATACTCCGCCGTCGAAACTGGATGCTCAAGTTGAGGACGAGACCAAACCACGCGGCGACCGATGCCCATGAAAAGAGAAAGAAAAAAAGCCAACCAGACCGACGCCGGCAGATGCAACGGGTTCAAAGACAATCGAAAGGAGACCCAGCCACATTCTCGAGGGGTGATGAAGCAAAAGCTCCACACAGACACGAAGGAATGTCATCAGGCAGGGAAGCACGTGTCGCAGATTAGGAAGGGTATTTCAAGTGGTAAGTGGCGAAAGTATGCACAAATGAGAAGCCGCAGAGATTTGCTGCGCAAAGACCGAATCGCTCAGCGATATGATCCTGTTAGATCTTATATGTTAGCTAATGCATTAACAAAGACGGTTCATCGGGAAGTGAAATGTCTGTTGGCGCAACTTACCACCATATTGGTTTTGCCCAGAGCTCTGGGCAGCCCCAAGCCCTAGGACGTTGGCCGGGAGTGGAATTTGATCGGTACTAGCAGGGATTTCGGTGTGGCGAAGGAGGTCGACCATCTTCTCCGGCAACAAACGCACGATGTGATAGGAAGATGCGGGAGGAATGATGCTAAGCAAATGGACGACGTCCCGGGGAAGGGGAGCTGCAGATCCTTGAGGTTTGTACGAGGACGTAGTCTGCCCATTTAACTGGCCCACTCTCTTCTGCACATCGATGCGGCGACCCTGTGCGCCCTTCAGCGGAGATTCCGCACGGGCAAACTTGCGCGGACGATCAGAATCATAGTCAAAGTCATCCGCAGGGTAAGCTCTCTTGGGCGAGGTCAAAGATGTATCCTGGAATGGTGCCGGCGAGACCCGAGTCTCCGGTGCAACAACATGATGCAAGGTTTTCGGACGGGTCTGCGAAGGTGAAAGAATATGGCGGACGGTCATCGGGTCGAACGTTGGTGTCGCGTAGCGATGCGAGAATTGCTGCAGAGAAGGATCCTCGGGGTAGAGTTCGCGCATCCGGCTTTCCAGGTTGATAACTTGAACCAAGTCACCGTAGCGCGACTCATATTCGTGAAGAAAGGCGAAGATGGGCTTTGCTTTGTGGACATTCTCGGGACTAGCTGCCAATTTGCGTACAGTTGTCTCGAAGACGGCCCGGGCATCTGTTATGAAGGTTAGTAACCATTCCACAAGTTTTAGTTGATTTCCAACTCACTGATAATATCGTTGATGTCAATCAGATGCTTCAAGTACTCCAGAGCAAAGTTCTCATCTTCGGGGAAAAGCTTTGCGCCTCGCTCAAAGATCTTGGTTGCAGCCGGGTCTTTGTAGCAGTGGTACTCCATAAGAGCACTGGCAATGTAGACATCGCTGGTGATACGGCCTCGCTTACGTGCTTCGGCAAAGACCTGGCGGGAGCCGGCTAGTTCTCCGGGTTTGCCCTTGCCCTGAAGACGGCGCATCGCACGCATCAGCGCAATCCAAGCGAAAGAAACCGTCTTGGACAGGGTGTTGATCCGCATGGAGTGAGCCTTTCGAACGGCATCAATCTGTGCCTGTTTCGCGGCTTCTCTCTCCTTTGCTTCGCTTGGAACTCCATCGTCATCTTCGTCCTGCGGGGCCTGAGCATCGGGGTGTAGCTGGGCATAGGTCTCCTCGATACGAGTGACGTCCTGGGTCTCTTGGTTTCGAGCTTTGTTGATCAGCTCGTAAAGGGCATCGAGGAGCTTATCGTAAGGTTCCCTAACTTTGGCAGCTCGCTTGGAGGAATCCTGCTCAGAGTCTGAGGTGACTTCGAGCCGATCGGCCAGCTTGAAGGAAAGAAGGCAGCTTTCCGGGTTGGCCTCGATACCCTGCTTCAACATATCGGTACCCTCGCTCTCCATGTCGTTCAAGAAGCAAAACTCAGCAGCGTCATACCAGATCTCCGGTACAAATCTGAGAGCCATGAGAGCCTGCTTGTAGACATAGATCACACGGGCCTTGAATGCAGCCAGATCGTCCTCTTTTAGGACTAGCGGGTCGTCTTTCTCCCAAGCAATCCAGCGTTTCCAGATGTCAACTTGTTGAGCAAACTCCACATCGCCCTCGCATCCAGGAACTGGAGGCAACCGCGGCAGCGAGGTGCGGACCAGATCGCGAGTGATGTTTTGGAGCTCTGTGTAGGAACTACGAGCGGTCATGTACGACGGCGACTGTTCTTGCAGGAACTTCCGACCCTAGACATGAGAGTTAGTCAATTTGAACGCGCCACAACCGAGGGATTGAAGGGTCTGTACTGTAAGCTTGTTGAGACCCATCTCGAACTGATCATATTCCTTCCACAGAGCATTGACTGCCTGTGTCGGAACGCAGAGAGCTTTCTGGTAGGCCTTTCGAAGCAGGTCCATCTTCTGCTGGTCCTGCCAGCCTGAACCTCCAACGGTGCCTGGGCCGGAGCGAATGAATTCCACGTAGTCGCTCCAGATGTTGCCGCAGTCCTTGTCCATGCCGACGTATTGAATTGCGAGATCATAGGCGGACGAGATTGTTCGTCTGGCTTGTCCACTGGTATCCGTGGTCAAAGGATTCCGACGACGGACATAGTCCAGGTAAACAGACCAGAGCTGAACACTAGGAATGGTGAGAAGGGTTCTGTTGAAAATCTGTTCCAACCTGAAGAGCTCGTTCAGCTCTGACTCCATAGTGGCATAGGCCACCCATTGATCAGCCTGTTGAATAATGTCAGTGTTTTTCATTTAAAATGCAAAGCGCAACTTACCGCCATGGGGAATTCCTTGAGGAATCGTTCGTAGACCTCGCGCGCACTGTCCAACCGGTTACGAGCTCTGTGCTCTGCAATCAACTCCAACCAAGCCGAGAGATCTCCACGGGGATCTTCGTCAACTCTGTCCTGCAGGATACCCACACGGTCATGGGCCAGGCGGCCTTTCGAAGAAGGGGAGTCAGGTACAGGGGTAGGAGCAGTACTGTTCTGCACACTCGGGTCATGCACCCACTGATGGGAAACAGAAGGATCGATATTGGAAACAATGGCAGGAGAATAAGAGCTATTGGCAACATCTAGCACGGAGGCAGAGGGCTGCACCATGTGCGATGATACATCAGGGGAAGTGGTATGATTTTGATTTCCTGAACTTGGATCTTCAGACATGGTCATAGGCATGGCATTTGAATCATCCACCCCCAGTACTGCCGGTGGCTCGTAGTCCGCCTCCTCGTTGTCATCCTCGACCTCGTCCTCGTCATCCTCAATGTCAAATCCCCCAATCGTTCTGGTCTGGGGCTGCGCCGACACACCCGTGGGTGGGACCGGCGTGGATGTCTGAGACTCGGCACGAGAGGAATTCTGGGCAGGATCTGGCGCATCACTAGCAAAGCCAGTGTCGATGTCTGATGAGATCGTCTGGTTGGGGGGTGTCACTTCTGATTGTGGGCCGTTCTCATCATTATCTCCGAATTGCTGCAGCTGTTCATCTTCGGTAGCCTCTTCTGTCTGCTCGGGGCCAGGCTCGAAGTCTTGGTACTGGTCATCGAAGGTTCTGGAGGGGTCGTATTCGTCTTCATCGTCAAAGTTGTCCGGTTCTTGTTCCTCGTTCGCCGGGACCGCGGTGTCTGATTCCAGGGCCTGGGCCCGGAAAAAGGCCTGCTCAGCTTCCTCGTCCGCCATGACTGGCGAAATCAGTCAGACTGATCTCTTTGACCGGAATGTGAGAGCTTGCGAACGGAGCTTTGTTGATGAAACGGGGCACGAGACTGTAGTGGTAGTGAGGTTAGAGGAAGACGATGTTGTGGGCGAATTATCCCACGAGGGGTGTCAGCTAAAGAAGCGAAAGTCAGGTCAAAGCGACGAGACGGGAGGGGTGATGGTGGTGGTGGAGTTGAGGTCGGAGGAAGCTCATTACTGAATCCGTGAATTCATCCCGCCGAGACTGCAGCAAGCTGTCCCCAGTCACGTGGGCGGTCAGCGCGCAAGGGACGCGAAGGCGCGTCGAGCGATAGGCTCCTCCTCGCATATGCCCTCGTTGCGGTCCTTCAGACTTACTTCCCCGTGCATTCCTTGCGGTGAATCTGTTTGTTTCCCTTTTTCCCCGTACCCACAGCCTGGATTTCTCCTATAAATCCTGCATCCTTCCTTCACATCTCCTCATAGAGTCCCACTCTCATACATAACCGCATTACACACACAACCCTATCACCATGTCCGTCGTGTCGCTCCTTGGGGTTAAAATCCTCAACAACCCGGCCCCTTTCACGGCCTCCTATCAGTTCGAGATCACTTTCGAGTGCTTGGAGCAACTGCAAAAAGGTGAGCCGTCCAAATCAAAATCGGTTTGTCGTTTTTGGAAGTTCTAACCAGGGCCTACTTAGATCTTGAGTGGAAACTGACCTATGTCGGTTCCGCCACTTCGTAAATCCACCCGCTCACCGCGTCTGTTTGCCCCTCATTAACCCATCTTGAATAGCTCCGAGTATGACCAGGAACTCGACTCCCTCTTGGTCGGCCCCATCCCCGTCGGCGTGAACAAGTTCATCTTCGAGGCCGATGCGCCCGACTTGCAACGCATCCCCTCCTCCGAAATCCTGGGTGTTACCGTCATCCTCTTGACCTGCAGCTACGACGGCCGCGAGTTCGTCCGTGTTGGCTACTATGTCAACAATGAGTACGACTCCGAGGAGCTGGCAGCAGAGCCCCCAGCCAAGCCCGTCATTGAGCGTATTCGCCGCAATGTCCTCGCTGAGAAGCCCCGTGTGACTCGCTTCGCGATCAAGTGGTATGATTTCTATGAATCCCTTCAATGGGTTGCCCCCGCAACGATACAAACTAACATTTGCATTAAAGGGATTCCGAGGAGTCTGCCCCAGCAGAGTACCCCCCTGACCAGCCTGAGGCTGACAGACTGGACGATGACAGCAATGCCTACGGTGCTGAGGAGGCCGAGCTCGAGGCTGCCCTCGTCAAGGAGCTCGAGGAAGCCAACAAGCAGGGTGATGACCAGGAGATGGAGGGTGGCGAGGTCACTGCTGGCAATGACGACGACGATGTCTCGGACGCTGGTAGTGAGGACCTCGAGGAGGAGAGTGAAGATGATGATGACGAGCTGGATGAGGATGAGGCTGCTGATGGCGATGAGGACGTTGAGATGGGTGACGACTCGGAGCAGAAGGATGAGTCTGGCAAGCCTGCCCACCAGGCCCAACCCGAGGTCATGGTGCACTAAAAGCTCCCTTTCCCTATGGATTGATCCTTTTCTCGTTTCCCAGAGCCATGTTCTTTGCCTCATTCCCTCTTCCCATGCTCTTTGATGACCGTCAGTATGCAACGTTTATGACACCTTGACCAAACTATTTTACCCTCATGTTCTCCTCATTTTATCATCTTACCATGCTCTTAGTTCAACGTTGGCGTTGAATTGGGTCTACGAAATAGAACTCATCTTGATTTTAAAGAGATCAGCGCTCATGCACCTAATTAAGTGTGTAAGTAGGGGAGAATCCATTTTGTTGGGTATGTAGGAGGGATGGAGCTATTCCCAGTAGCCTAGATCTCGCGCCTAGGAGCAGGTCCACGATGAAGTGGAATGCTTGCCTTGCTATTCATGTCTACCTCCTATTGACTGTAGCTCCGTACATTTGGCTTCAAAAGATATCTCCGCATTCTGTCCATCCTCAGAAGTGGCGAGTATGGATTGACCGGTGGAGTTGTCAAAATAGACAAACATATTTTGAAATCAAGTGTGGATATTCTACAACAAGACTGCAGACCACAGAGGCAATCTGTAAACAAACAACCCAGAAGCCCGGGAAACACCTTTATTGTGTGATCAGGACTTTCTATACCACCCCACTGTGCAAATCAATAGTCTCTCGACGACTTAAGCGAGAACCTAGAACCCAAACTTAGACCCAAGGGCTGCATCAAAAAGGTCGGTCAGTCTCATGTACCTCACGATGCAAGGGGCAATGTTGACAAGGGTCGTCCCCCGGACTACAAACTGGAGCTAGCTACTTACCGCCGAAGACTGCCTTCCGCTTCTGATTTTGAATGTACTTGCCCACATCGGTCGCGAAGTTACTGCTATTCTCCTCGAGCCGGTCCATCGAGTCGCCGACGATTCCGAGACGCTCGGTTCGTTCTTGGACTTGGCGTGACATATATGCTAGGTAGCCCTCTTGACTACCTTGGGGTTCTGACGGCGGTGCGCGACCTTCTCGAAGGGCTTGACGGCGCTCTTGCTCGTCGAGCCTCATTTGCTCGATCATTCTTTTGGAGGGTGGGCGATCGGGACCGCCAACTGGTGTTTATTGTTAGACAGGGAGATTCAGATGTAGAGGAATGCATGGATAATCGAAAAGGGTCACGTACTGAGCAAATCCATGTCTGCTGGTGAGACATATTGAGTACCGGATATCCACTGGATGTTAGTGATGGTAGGACGCGTGGGAATAACTTTCTCGGGATCGTAAAGACGATCTTGCGAGGGGCTCCTATGAGAGTTATTAGCGTTGCCCAAGCTTGGAAACTTGTGTGACAAACGTACAATTTATGTCCAGATCCCCACAAGTTGAACAATCCGACCTCCGAAGGACCAACCCATGTCATGACATTACCACTGGGTGTGATATATGCCTCCGAGAGCCGTCGCATATCGGCAATGTGGTTGATTCTGGCACTACCAATATCCCTGAGAGCGGGGATAGAGAACGCTCGTGCATTTCCATCCCCGAACAGACCGACTAAGCTGTAGCCGCGGCCTTCGACCTTGACAACCGCGGCTGAATCGCAGAGATAGTCGTCCCAGGTTTTGTGGGCCCCTTTGGAGGTTGGAGGCTTGAAGATTCGGCAGCTTGATGGGGTGACTGCGATAACGACGCCGTTAATCTTCGCGCCAGTTCTCAAGCCGCCGACAGCGCCGGGTGTAGCAAGAGCCTGGCCACCGGAGTCCGCATCAATGGGAATAAGATTGATGACCTTGTCTTCGACGGCCGAAAATCCGGCGAACGCAGCTGAATACGTGCCATTGGCTGCCGGAAGGATCTTGAAAGTAGCTACGTTGCCTCGGTTTGTACCAACAAAGCAGCAAATGCTTGAATAGTCTGCAGTCAAAACATGGAAGAACATAATCAGCTTAGACTCCCAAGTTTTTGAAATGACGAGTCCATACCTTCTCCTTCCAGAGTCATCACGCCAAATTCGATGCTGGTTGGCCACTCTGCAGGGACTTCCTCTGCACCACGCGTCTTACGGAAGCTGCCTCGCTTCGGAGCCTTGATAAACTCGGCCAGATGAGCAGTGTGGATGATTGCAGGGCCACGCAAGTCAATAATAACCAAGCTACCACCCTCGAACCCAGCGGCGACAAATCCAACTTGGCTGTGCTTCAAAGCCGTTACCGGCCCTTGTTGCATGTTCAAAAGAGTCAATGGGAGCATACCCGTCTTTAAGCCAGGATCCGCCCGGGTGGTGATCGGAGTCAGAGTCCCAGGACCCTGGTTGGTACCGGGAGGTTGTTCGTTGCCGTATGAGGCATTGTTACCCCATCTGAAGACAACCACCTCACCGCTGCGGAGGCCAACTGATAGCTCGCCAGTCGTGCTCGCAAGTGACATTTCAGTGACCTCCACATTACCAACCCGGCCGACGGCCCGCGCCAGATCTACCTGAACAACCTCACCATTCTCAATTTCATCATCGTGGCCAGCATCCCAGAGCCGGATGGTTCCATCGGCATGTGCTGTAGAGATAATGTTCCGGTTCTCGAAGCGCTTCAGCGGATTCTTCGCTTCAGCACCCCCAAGGACAAATTTGGGTCCCTGTGCCCGGCGTTCTTTCAACCCTAACCAGGCACTTCGATCAACTGGAGTGAGTGTAACCCTGTTCACGAAAGGATGGACAAATGACAAGTATGGATGGATCATATTGGTGGGTGTAATGGCGTGGCCACTCGGGAAGCTCATCGTGACCAACTCGCCCGAAGAGAGCACAACGATGATTGCAATTGGGTCATGGGCACCGGCGAAATATGGAGTGGTGCGAGGAATGAGGCAGAAGTTGATAGCATGGGCAGCTGGTGGGATAGAAAGGTTGATACTGCGGCGAGTCCTTTCAAAGTATGCCGACAGCACCTGCCAGGAAGATGTGGCATAGTTGGGAGTAGGACCCATATCCAAGAAAGTGAGGCCTTTATTCGGATCGCCTACTGGCTTTCCACCCGCGACCAGAAGACCGGTATCATCAGGATTGTCTTTGGCGCACCACACAACCTTCGTGATGGGCTCCTTGGGCCCGGTAGGTCCACCCGCCGAGCCAGGCCTGCCGGAGGATCCTGGCTGATCAACATTGGCAGCCTGCACAGTCCTGGCATGAAGCTTGCGGCCGTCCTTTGAATCCCAGAGAACAAGACTGGTATCCTCATGGACTGTCAACACAAAGATACCGTTCGGATGCCAGATCGCGTTGGTCAGTCTAGGTCGGCGCACACCAGCAGCCGACAACTCGGTATCTCCGCCCGGGGCCCCAACCGGAACCTCATAGGTAAAGAACTTTTGCGCAATGTTCTGCTTAAAAGAAAATGTGACGGCACCCTCCGGGTATCCGATGAGGATCTTGCCAATGTCTCGTGTGGAGAATGCTAATGAAATGACTGGGTTCAGCCGTGATCGGGGCTTGCGTTCCAGCCACAGGTTCGGGATCTTGAATGGCGTCAAGGTCTGTCGGTCGAGATCGTATGCAATAGTTTCACCTAATGTATAGTCAATGGCAAGCTCACATGGACGTTAGTACCGGGGCCAACGGACCATTCGACAACCCAATGAAGGCGTATTCCAGGCTCGGATCAGTAGCGAGCGCAGTGGGTTGGCCTGGCGGCGCATAGGACGTCACCAGATTCTTAGTCTCTAGCGAGAATATACAAATTTCATTCTTCGAGTCCACACTGATGAGCTTGTCGGCGCAGAATTGGAGGTGCTTTGCTGACGCCTTGCGCGGGAAGTCAAAGACGACCAACACGCGCCGTTGCCCAAAGACATAGATCTGCCCACTTCCGAACGAGGTATCACAGGTGCCGACGGCAAGAAGGGATTGGACGGGATCGTATGCAATCGCACTAATCTGTGAGTTCACTCCGCATCGTGCAAACTGCGAAAAGATTGATCTGTAAGTGTTTCACGATCGTAAAAGAGGATGCCTGGAGCGCCAAGAACATACGTCGTCAAGCCCAAAGTCGTCCGGGGACAAGCCCTCGGACAGGTCTTTCTGAATACCAGCTTGCTTGCCCCTCAGTAAATGAGCCATTTCTAAGGCAAGTGAGTGGTGAGCAGTCCTTGGGAAGTAGAGAGGTTCAAAGAGGTGAAAGGGAAAAAGGTGGTGGAGCTGTCTGCGGAATGTTCCCAGCTGACGACATGGCGGAGAGGCTAATTGGATCTGCCCCGCTTCCGCCCTACCGGCCCTCTCTTTCCCCCCGGCAACTTGCAAGCCATCAAACCAAATCAGATGCACTAGACTGGATTCTGACGGAGAGAGACTAGGGGTTGAATACGGAAATAATTGTGGTATTTTTTTAAGGTTAAACAATCTATACAGACCGATCCACAGTCACAATCTGTGGTTGTATATGTGGGAAACCCCGAAACACATGCCGAACTATATATAGGGCTCCACACCCGAATGGTCTGGTCTGCACGATTTCGGAAATCGCGCTATTCTATAGATTTGATATCCAAGGGTATCATGTTCTTGTATCTCTGTCCGTCACCCATCGCATATCGCATGCAATTGTCGTTTTGTCTTTGTCTAATGATCCTCAAACCGATTCGATGGCTACCATGTTGGCAAGGTCGGTAGTCAGTCGCCTGCGAGCATCAAACTCCTTGGATTCATCACGGTTTCGATAGTATTGTGTGGTGATTTGGCAAATCAATCGGTAGCACGAATACCTAGCCAGGTAGAACATGTCAGTAAGATAACCGGTCATGTGCAGGGAATGAAGAAACAAAAAGAGGTTGGATCAACACTTACATCAAAACCCGAATATTCTCTCTCTTCGTTCTGATGCGGGGTAATCCAGCCCCTTCTACCACTGCGAGTGATGGACTTTCGAATATCTCTGCCATCAGCATGTCGCCCCAGAAGGCGCTGCTGAAGTCCACCACCCCGGATAGTTGCTTCGACTCATCATCCAGGATGACATGTGTCGACCGACCGAATCCAACCACGGTCAGACGGGGTAAAGTAACCTCGTCAAGTGCAGAAGCTAAGCGGACCAGCTCATGTCGAAGCTCTGCGTAGGGTAGATGAATAAACATGTCTTCGGCATCCCGGAGCACGCTTTCAACCAACGCACAGAATGCCTCACGCCAGGATCGTTTGCCAGCGCCGATGGCTACTTGTTGCAACGAGCCAAACCCGGGAGCCACATTTTGGCCGATAGTGGTAGCCAGAAAACCAAGGTGACGGTCAATATCGTTGCGTTCCCGAACACTTAGTTGGCTTTCCATATCGGCAAGACTGGATCCCTTCACATACTGGCGGAGTAGAAAGGCTGAACCAAAAATGCTCCCTCGCGGGTCGTAGTGATAGAGTTGAGGGATGCAGGGATTTGCATGTTGGCCCAGCAGGGCCAGAACCCGTGCCTCGGTTTCAAGATAGAAGCGTTCTTGTCGAAGTAGTGGGGTACCTGGATAGGGCGAGCTTTTCAATAGTAGACGAAGTCCATTGGACAGGGTGAGACGGCGTAAAGAATGAATATGACCGGTGATATTCCGCGACTGTTGCACCCGAACGGTGGAAGGAAATAACAATGATAGCACGGCATCTAATCGTCGGTATTCATCGTAGTGGACGGCTGGGGCGTCAATATAAGTAGAGGGCATATTAGATCCCTTCAGGGACAGACAGGCAGAGCGAGTCGTCACATCGGAATGATGCATCCTGATATAATTTAGGACTTGATGGGAAGTCCACTCGAGGGGGCAAGGATGATAAATAGAACTAGGATCAATTCAGGATACCGTTCATACTAATCATGGATCATCAAACGCCGGCCTAGCCCCCCCTTCTTCCGAGGAGATGATTACTAGTTGACACGCAATGTCCTTCGATCTCGGGTAGTTGTCTCGACGAGGCTGGCAGTTACGAAAAGGAAAAGAAATCAAATCAAATCCGCTTAGCAAGACTTAGCAAGACTCCACGGTAGTATCCAGGAAAGGAAGATGCTTCGCATCCAACAAGGGGGCCACCAGACCGCCATCGTTGCATGCCCACGTAACCCTCAGATATTCAGCAGGGAAAGTGGCCACGGACCCCAAAGCGCGCCATGACATAGACTAGAGTAGGTTTAGCTACGCGAGATACGGGACCGGTGGAGGCGTAAATCCGAGTCTTGTCCCTCAGTCCCTGACAGATCGTGGTTGGGCGGTGGACCATGGTTGATGGGCCTGATAGTAGAATCATCACCGTACTTGGGCATTGGTCTAGACAGAATTTTGACTCGCGGCGTGGTCTCAAAGACTGTGTCATTGGTAGGCACCAGTGTATGATCGTCGAATTAGCCGAAGATAATTAAACGCATGAGCAGACAGTAAGCCTGTAACAGGCGCTGGAACCTCGAACCTCGGGAGCTAGAAGTGGAATTGTTCGGACAGAGTCCGTAGAATAAGTGGACTACCAATGAATTCAATTCATTGTGAAGGGACTAATCGAAAGAGGCGAGGAAATGTCAGGGTCAGCAATGGCTGCGATGCTGTCTCGCCTAAGGATCCCGCTTGAAGACAACACGAGCATCCGAGCCCACGCCCATCCACCAATCACAACTTCATCTTGCCGAATCGCTTCCCCCCAAGTGGATCTGCCGTTCTCCACATCCCATACGACCCATATTATCCATTAAGTCCAGAAGACCATCATCAGGTCCCCGAAAAAAAAGACACTCCAAATACTTCATTTGGCATTGGTAAACCAACGCCAATAGTTGCGGGTGCGGACGCTAACCAAGAGCTGGAAAGTCTGAAAGCCCCTCTTCGTAACGTTCCCGATGTTTCCAGATGTTCCATGCGTGACCCGGTGTCCACTCTACCGTATCCATTATTATGCGATCCATTGTCATCACCCTAATTTCCTGCCTGCATGGAATCGCGCCAGTTTGTTTTTCGCTTCCGATTGCTGGAATTCCATGGGAGGCGTCAGCCAAAAAAAAAGTCTCCCCACAAAAGTCAACGAACCCTTGACACTCCCGAAATGGGTATGCAAGCCTGGCACGGGCTTACATGTGGAGTACCACAAGCGAGAGTATTAATATGTGACTTCGTATAGAGGCATTGTTGTTCGTGTGCTGCTTTTTCTACCGTGGATACCTTCTAACAACGCTCCTCCCCGGGATAGTCCTGGTTCGTAAGCCATGACCCATGATTGATCGGCATTCGATACAGGGCCCCTCGGTTCTTAGCGAGGACCCTGAAACTCCATGGAGGAGTCTTTGACTCGCTGCCGTTTTGCCGTGCAAGCGACTCCTCGAGTTTCACGATCTATGTGGAAGGGTGCCTGAATTTTGTACGGGTTATCGTGTAGATAGGGACCAACACTGCCTCTCGAATGTAGTGATTGTGGCTGCATGATATCGGTCCAGTCTGAGAAAGTTGATAAATTGAGGAAGCGGATTGACCCGCACGCTCGTTATGCAAGGATACCGCAATATATCATCTCGGTTCATAAGTACGAAGTATTTGTTTCTCGTCCAATTCATCTTGAGCTTGGGAGATGCTGCATCGAAGCGACCACGCTTCGTGGTGATTGGCCTTGTTGGGATGGGCCACAATGTATCTATGACTTGGTCTCTGCAGCCCCCTCCTTCGAGTCTTCCTTGGGTTCCGGCTTCGGGGCTGGATCATAGATCTCGGCCAGGTTAAATCGCTTGAGCTGGTCGTAATCACTGCCGACGACACTCATTCCAATGATATTCTATCGGAATTGTCAGCGTTCCATTGGAATGACTCGCTAGTCAGAATTGAGAAACCTACCTGGCAAACATCAACCAGGATCATCTGATCGTAGTTTTTCAAATTCACGGGGTGCTCCTTGCCCACAACATCGGCAACGGTTTTAATAATGGCGTCTCGATTGAACTTGTTGTTTCCTCTTACTGAAGGCCGAATGGCATACTGTAAAACATAACCCGCAAAATAACATCAGCATAAATTCACGAAAATTTCATTCTTACACTTGTCATGCCGCATCAATATGCAGGCTCGGGAATTCTTCCTGCAACGGTACCAAGTCCGACGCAGGAGCAGTAGTCATCGTCACTGACCTTTTTCGGTGGGCCTCCCGAGTGGAAGTGCGGCTTGAGAATCTCACGGGCAAAGGCCTCAAGATCCACGCTAAGAGTCTTTCGGACCTCAGTAACCGGGGTCATGCGCTTAACGTATCGGCTCTTTTTCGTTTCCGGATTGGCTTGTGCTTCAGCACATAGCCGGTGGACCAATTCCACAGGATCGATGGACTTTTCGAGTCGCACGAATATCACTTGTCAGGGATTATTATTAGCAGGGCACCATGAGGTTACTTCGTGAAGCGAGCGCCGATGCACGATGGCACCAATTGAACGCACCACAAGGCATTTCTAAGCGAATAGCTTCGAAGGGGCGCTTTTTGTCCTTGTTGGGTTTCAAGCCCGCAAGCTCCCTTTGGATCTGGGCCTCGATGTCGCCTTCGTCCTCATCATCCTCATCGTCATCATCATCTTTCTTGAGCTTTCCCATTTCTTCTAGGGCCTGGAGCATGGTAAACATGAATCAGTGGCTGCTGAGCTGGTGGCACCTGTATAGCACTTCCACGCAATGCGGGACGCGCAATCTAGGGTGCACTAACCTGAGAGAAGATGTCCAGGGTTTCGGCGACACACTTCCCTTCTCTGCCCATGTCGCAGGTCACAATCACACCCACATCGCCAGTGTCAATGTTGATTTTGCGGGCGGATGCCTGCCATGCTGGTTTCCCACTCTATGCGAGCGTTCAGCATCTTGGTTGATTCTTTACTAGCAACCCCAGCAGTTGGCTAGAAACAGGTACTGGATGGAAACGTACCTTCTGGCCCTTCTGGCGCTTGGCCGACTGATTCGCGTTACCGGGCATACTACGTTTCCCTCCAGCCATGAGGTTGGAACAGTCAGTCTCGAAATGGGGGGATTTTCTCTTTCCAGAGAAGAGATGAACCAGACTAATTTTCCGCGATAAATTGATAGGCGGAGTGAGGAATGGTGGGGAAAGAGTCCCGAAGTTGCGTTTGTGTGGTCCCCTGGTCGGCGATCAATCGGGTTTAGCGGGCGGATCAAATCGAGCTGGTCTTGAAAGCTTATTGCCTGTTTACCTTTTTGACTTGTGTTTCATGATAGCTAATTCAAAAGCATAGTTATGACAATATCCATCGTACTACATTGAATCACACAATCAGCCCATTCAATCTAACAATACTTTTTCAAAATGGTTCACCAACCTCGTGGGACGGTAACGGTCACAATGCGGTGATCGGGTGGCATGACATCAACGGTCCAATCATGACGTAGTCAATGTTCTTCTACGCATCGCCAGGGCTTATCAGAAGTCCAGAAGCCTATTTTCAGAATGATCCGGCAAGCCGGATGCCTTGTTTTCCTTTTGCAAGTCCTCCGATTGCTCCGTATCACCTTGATGTAAAAAGAAGGTACATTGCTCACCACTGCTGGGTTTTTAATTTGATCGTCCACGATCTCTCTCTGCTTTTTCTTCTTTCCTCTCCCCCAACTCTCCAATCTTTCCCCCTCCATCACACAGTCCACCATGACGTCTACCGATATCGCTACACGGGAGCTGGAGAATCCCATGGACCTCACTGAATACCTGTTTCGGCGCCTGCACGAGGTCGGTATTCGCGCCGTCCACGGTGTTCCCGGCGATTACAACCTCTCGGCACTCGACTACCTCCCCAAGTGCGGCCTCGATTGGGTCGGAAACTGCAACGAGCTCAATGCTGGTATGGAACTAACGCTGCCAATGAATTCATGGAAATATTTCTAACAAAGCCTCTGATACTTAGGCTACGCCGCCGATGGCTACGCCCGTGTGAAAGGCATCAGTGCTCTAATCACCACATTTGGTGTCGGAGAGCTGTCGGCTCTGAACGCCATCGCAGGCGCATACTCTGAGTTTGTCCCAATCGTCCACATCGTTGGTCAGCCAACCACACGATCGCAGAAGGATGGGATGTTGCTCCACCACACTCTCGGAAATGGCGATTTCAATGTCTTCAACAAGATGAGCGCGGCAATCTCTTGTTACGTTGCTCACCTGAATGACCCGCGCGATGCGGCAACCCTGGTTGATAGTGCAATTCGCGAGTGCTGGATTCGGAGTCGCCCCGTCTACGTCACTCTCCCCACCGATATGATTGCCGCCAAGGTCAATGGAGATCGCCTGAACCAGCCAATTGACCTGTCTCTGCCCGAGAACGATCCCGAGAAGGAGGACTATGTAGTCGACGTGGTTCTCAAGTATCTCCACGCGGCCAAGAACCCGGTCATCTTGGTTGACGCTTGCACCATCCGTCACCGTGCCCTGAAAGAGGTGCAACAGCTGGTCGAGGTTTCTGGCCTACCTACCTTTGTCGCCCCAATGGGCAAGGGCGCAGTGAACGAGTCCTACAAGAACTTCGGTGGTGTCTATGCTGGTAATGGCTCGAACGCAGGTGTGCGGGAGGTGGTCGAGTCTTCAGACCTCATTCTCAGCATTGGGGCCATAAAGTCGGATTTCAATACGACCGGATTCACGTATCGCATTGGTCAACTGAACACAATTGACTTCCACAGCAACTATGTGCGCGTACGGTATTCCGAGTATCCGGATGTCAATATGAAAGGCGTTCTTCGCAAGGTCGTTGAGCGCATGGGCAAGCTGAATCTCTCCTCCATTCCTCAAATCCACAACAAGATCCCAGCGAGCGAGCAGAATTCCAACCAGACCATCAACCATGCCTGGCTGTGGCCAACCGTCGGCCAGTGGCTCAGGGAGAAGGACATTGTCATCACGGAAACCGGTACTGCCAACTTTGGCATCTGGGAAACTCGCTTCCCTGCCCATGTCACGGCAATCAGTCAGGTGCTCTGGGGAAGCATTGGGTATTCGATGGGTGCTTGCCAGGGCGCCGCGCTGGCCGCCAAGGAACAGCAAAACCGGCGTACTATTCTGTTCATCGGGGATGGAAGCACTCAGTTGACAGTTCAAGAAATCAGCACGATGCTTCGGAATAAGCTGAATCCTATCATGTAAGTGCTAGCCTATGAAACAAGGTTGGGTCGCGCAATCGCATAAAGCAAGTACTGATGATGTATCACCTTTAGATTCGTCATTTGTAACGAAGGTTACACTATTGAGCGGTACATTCACGGATGGGAGGCGGGCTACAATGACATCCAGCCCTGGGACTATGCCAATATTCCCAAGGTCTTTGGGGGTGCTGAAGGGTACAAGAGCTACCGCATCAAGACCAGAGACGAGTTGAAGAACCTATTCGCCGATAAGGACTTTAGCAGCCCAAGCAATCTTCAGGTAAACCCCATCCAGTGTCAAGTTGTTTCACCCAAAGAAAGTTTCGAGTATGGCTAACCTGTTGGACAGCTGGTTGAGCTGTACATGCCTCGCGATGATGCTCCCGCTGCCTTGAAGCTAACTGCTGAGGCTGCGGCCGCGCGCAACAAATAGGCGACTTTTGTTGTGAGGCAGGATATGTCCTTAAGATGGGTCTATACCCAGTGCGATCAACTCCTCTCAGACCGTTCGATCTGTTGCCCTAGCATTGCACCTCTCCTAGCTGCATTATTATCTTCTCATTGGCAAATTGCTTCGAGCGGGTCGCGGCTTGCTTGTGTGCAACTCGCCGCTTGGTTGAGATCATGATTTACGGCCCCATAGTTTCTTTCAAATTTAATACTGTATGGTTATTTCTATCTCATCGAAAAGCAAATTGTAAGGCATGCCCCTGAGTCTAGATTGTTGGATTTCCCCTTAGGACACTGGCGGAGCGCAAGGTAGTATTAGGCAGAAAGATGGATGGCCACAAAGTTAATCATTTGATTAGCTAGCGAAATACAGATTGCCACGATCCATGAGGACTTCGTGCTGTGTACGTAGTACGGAGAAGTTCCGGTTATGTTGGCATGCTGACCGCTAGACGCTTCCTGGCCACTTCTGCAGTACAATCGCAGCCACACGGGGGACTTGTCAATCACGGCGGTTTCATACTGAGCAAAACGGGGCCAGGGCTCGCCAGTGCGGATATGACACCGACCGGAGCTAGCCAGGCTAGCCAGGTGTTGAGCAGGGGGTTGAATCCCTAGTTGACGCTTGGTGTCCAGGGGGAAACATGATGTTTTCGTAAACAAGACTCTAACATGTTAGAATTCTGTCGTATTGGCTGTATATGTAGCTTCTCTCGGACTAATCTGCTAGTCCCTCTCGAGTCCTTGACCCCTTCTGTGTACTTTCGTGTACTTTGGACAACCAAATCACCAGTCTCCACCCTTCAACTGCGGGCCCCACGTGACGATCCCAGGCGTCCCAATCTAGAGGGCATCAGAGCTCTTCTCGAGTCCCTTTGTCTTCCAAACAATATCTTTCTCTGCTTGAATTTTGGCTTCGGTAAGTCTTTGACAGTGTGTGCGTGTGCGTCCATTCCTTCGGGATGAAGTCTCCGACGCAAGGAGTCTATGGTTGGAATGCGCTCCTGTCGCTGTGACTTGTCCCGAGTTTACGATCGGAGGGGGATCGCCCTCGCCGTTTCTTTCCTCCAGATTTGCTGACGATAAGCCCTTCTTGAGCAGCACCCAACCCCAGCCCTCGTACAGCTGGTTATATCCCGGTCGGGCACACTACGACATCTCTTCTACTCGCGACTCAAGTCCTGGCGTTCAATAACAGCCAGGACTTCGCCGATAGCTTCGGAGACGCCGATATCGACCATGTCGGCGACAGGGCTCGCTTCCTGATACCATAAAACTAGTGTGATGCGGAGACACTGGCGATAGAATCCCGAGACTTTCTTTCTTTAACGGCCGCCTAGTGCTCGCCGATCGAGATAACGCGCTCGGTGGAAACAGTCCATCATGGACGGTCAACGACAATACATCCCGGGACCACCACCCACCCAGCATCCCATCAACCTGCCTCCGCCTCCTCCACGACACCCCCACCAACATCAGCCCGTACAGCTTCAGACTGGGGTGCCACCACCACCCCCTGGGCCCCCTCCAGGGACGGGATACGGAACAACCTCTGGATGGCAGCAAAGCTGGGGTAGACAGGCGCTGCCTACTGGGTTTCCCCCTCCACCTCCTCCGCCGCTCCCACAAAACCAACATATCGCAGCATATCGTCAACCAGCTCCACTCTCAATCGTGACACCGCACGACCACCAGCCACTCACTTCCGCAACCTATATACCTGGAAACGACACCATTGGTGTCGGTATCCCGCCCTTGTTCGAGACCAATGGGCAAACGTATGATCCCTACACCCAGCAACGGCAAGCAAGTAGCCAGACATATCATCCTGGCACTGATGGAACCTATAACCCCCAGACTCCAGGGACTCGGGTGACTCCTCCGTTCGCCCTACACAACAATGTTCATGAGTTGGTGACGAGCGACAATCCGCCGCAAAGCTCAATTCCCCAGAGCATGGATCTTACAAAATCGCCGAGTCACCGGCATCAGACTAGCGGTGCTTCATTAGGTGGAATGTCACCTGGCGAGGCTGCGGTGCAATGGCCGCTCGACCGAGTACTTCTCTGGCTTGCAAGAAACGGGTTCTCAAAAGATTGGCAAGAAACTTTCAAGTCCCTGGAGCTACAGGGTGCTGATTTCCTTGAGCTTGGTTTGGCATCCGGTGGACGTGGAAACCTTGGGAAAATCCACAAGGTTGTGTATCCCCAATTAGCCAAGGAATGTGCTCAAAGCGGTACTGGATGGGATTCAACCCGGGAGCGAGAAGAGGGCCTGCGCATGCGCAAGTTAATCCGCCAGATTCACGATAATGAATCAGACTCTTCAATCTCAACGCCTATGCGCGGTGAACCACCGGCCTGGGCTAGCACATCGGCTGAAAGTGGGAATGGATTCTATTCGAGTCAACTGACTGAGCCCCGTTCGGCTGGCCCGATACCCGGGGTCAATGATATCTCTCCAGAGCAACTTAGCAGTGCCCAAAATGCGGCAGCTGCCCAGAAGCCTGCGCAGATGCGCTCTGTGACTTTGCCAATCCCTTCCGGTCATGATTCGCCAATGTACGAATCTCCCTCGCGTGAATCTCCTAGTTGGCTGCGCTCTGACTATTCCAGAAACGCTTTGGCGGCAGTCAACGAGCACAGACGACAGAGCCCCTCTGTTTCCAGTGAGAGCGCTGCTCTACCACCATCGCTGCGGGCTCAGGATAGCCCAAAGAGTGGCAGTCCCGCCACCCAATATGTGTCTCCTGCATACGCGGGGCTAACGTCTTCATCGACTGGAGATTTGACGTTGAAGTATGAACATTCCCGTGGGAATAGCACAGAGTCTATTTCCGGTGTTGGACGTGGCTCTGCTACGATGAGCCGGTACTACGACAGTCGCAGACAAGGCCAAGATATCCCTCGTCCGTCGCCACAGGATGCAGGTAAGCCTTTTGGTGGAGAGACGCCTTCATCCTATTCTAGAGATCATGGCAAGAGCATTTTGAATCTCTTCACAAGGAAAAAGGGACACAAAACCGACTTCTCGAGTCATCCCTCCCCGGAGGATTTGGAGTCTCCCCCAAGTCCCGAGCCTCGCGCAAACGGTAACGGCTACCTTCCGTATCAACCTGCCTTCAATTCAAGCGACATGTCTTTGGGCGAGCGTCCCTCCTCGGCCACCACGGCCAAGACGAAGAAGTGGATCTTCGCGACTATGGATGGTGTCAACTACCGCCTGATCGATGTTACAGATTGGGACTCCGTGGAAGCCGTACGCGCTGGTATCTGCCAGAAGTTAGGGATCTCCGATTGGAGCAGCGCACAGATTTTCCTCACCCAGCCCGGACAGTCTGAGCATGAGGATCCCATGAGCGATTCAATCTTGGCAGTTAGCCGCAGGACCAAGTCCGACGCGTATGGGTCGTTGAAGGTGTTTGTCAAGGGCGCCCCTAGTCACGCCCCAGCGAACCTTCTCCCCCGGTTCGATGGTCTTGGAGTTTCGATACCCACTGATAAATTGGCTCAGTCTCCCACGGCAACTCACGCACCCATCCATCGGAAACCACTGGAGGAAGGGGCACTGAATAGAATATCACCGCACGCCCAGACGAAGTTCAATACCGACCTTCTAGGCTCCCGGCAGAGTACATTGAAAGCATCAACTGGCAAAACACTGCCAGATGGTTCTCCAGACCCTAATCAGACTGTGGATGCCGAAAAGATGGACCTGCTTGCACGCCACGAGGCACACATGCGTGAAGTCGAACGCAAACAAAAGGAGCATCGCATCTCTCGACTCCCGCCGATTACACAACAACCGCGGAAGGATACCTACGGTGAGACTGGGTACAGGCGTGAAGGTGTGATTGACTTCGATTCGCCGCGCATTTCTCCGTACGAAGAGAAGAAGTCTGAAAAGGCTGACACACTGGTCCCTCTCCGAAAACCACCAGTTGCGCCGAATGAGTCCAACACACTTACCAAAGTCAACTCATTGAGAAAGGCTCCGGGTGAGCGAGCAGATCGTCACCGACCTCAGCCCCACTCTGCAGGACAAACCCATGGGCTTGGAGCAGTCCTGGCAAGTGTCGGTCGAATGACCAGTGCGATTGGCACTCCATCTCCTTCGGTCCCGGTTCCTTCGACGCCTTCATCGAACACCCAAGATAGTGCCGGTTCTGATTCGGACCGAACAAATACGATGGATTCTGCTGCAACGGCTTCAAGCAGGACGACGCTAGGTAAGCCAGAAGAGCAGACTCGCTATCATCAGACAACTCTCTATGCTGGTGCCGTCAGTGCTAACCCCTTGGTCGATCTAGATTCCGGGAAGACTGCTCCCAGTTTTGCCGCAGAGCAAGTTCAACGGTCACCCTCTTCATTCGCTACTCGGTCCGCCACAAATACATCTTCCCCTCAGAGTGCAATGTCGCAAAAGCCATCTTTGCAGTCTCGCAAGTCATTTGGACCCGAGTTCGACTTTGAAGAATCCGAAGTGTCCTTCTTCCGGAGCCCACCACAGTCGACTGAACAACCTGATGATGGCGATGATGATTCTTCTGATGATGGTCTCTTCGCAATTCGACCTTCAAGAAATGAGCCCCAGACGCCCAAGCCTGAACCTGAGAAAAGACGGAAGCCTTCCCTCAGCTTGGATACTGACAATACCAAACCGCGTCGGGTTGTCAGCTTCATCTCCCCGAATACTACTGCTGCCAAGAGCTTTGCCACCCCGGCAGGAAATACCTCTGGTGGTGACACTTCCGAATCGCCAGAGAAGTTCTCGGGCACCTTTTACGGACCGGATTCCTCAGACGACGAACAACCTCCGCGCAGAGATTCGTTTGCGAATGGAGACGTCTGGGCTAGCAGACCTGCTGTGGAGGGCGTTATCGATAACCTGGATAGCTTCTTCCCGGATGTCGACCTCGATGCTCCTTACCTAGAGGAGCCTCCGTCACCTAATACCAGTAAGGCCGATGTTGAAAGTGGAGCAACCATCAGGGGCAAGCAGGACGCTTCGCCAGCGCCACAGCCCGTTGTCGATCTCAGCAGTTTCACCCCGGATATTTCGACAATGCGTCCCCCGCCACCCCCTCAAGGTGCATCGATCGTTGCTAGACGCAATGTAGATCGCAGTGGTGGCTTGTCACGAAAGAAGTCCATTCGTGAAGTGGCTAGAGGTGCTGCGCACAGAACCAAGAGCATTGGCTCCGCCGGACCACAACAATCGAGCAACCTGCTCCGACGAAAGAGCACCAAGATGTTCGGCGCGAAGATCATGCAAATCAGTCCCAAGCCAGGCACAAGACTCAGCCAGCTCGATCCGATCCCTCAAAATGCCCCCGCGCCAGGGCCGAGTGGCTCCGTCCCACAACGCCAGCCTACATTCCGCATTATCCGTGGTCAGCTTATTGGCAAGGGAACCTACGGTCGTGTGTACCTGGGCATGAACGCAGATAATGGTGAAGTCTTGGCGGTGAAGCAAGTTGAGATCAACGCCAGAATCGCGGGAACAGACCGAGATCGCATCAAGGAGATGGTGGCTGCTTTGGACCAGGAGATTGACACGATGCAGCATCTGGAGCACCCGAATATCGTCCAGTACCTGGGTTGTGAGCGAGGAGAACTGTCGATCTCCATCTACCTCGAGTATATTTCCGGTGGTTCCGTTGGAAGTTGTCTTCGCAAACATGGCAAGTTTGAAGAGAGTGTCGTGAGATCGTTGACACGACAAACTCTCGACGGTCTGGCCTATCTGCACGACATGGGTATTCTCCACCGTGATCTGAAGGCGGATAATATTTTGCTTGACCTTGACGGTACTTGCAAGATCTCCGACTTTGGTATCTCCAAGAAAACCGATGACATCTACGGTAACGACTCGACCAATTCTATGCAGGGCTCCGTCTTTTGGATGGCACCGGAGGTCATCCAGTCGCAGGGCCAGGGATATAGTGCCAAGGTTGATATTTGGTCACTTGGCTGTGTGGTGTTGGAGATGTTTGCTGGTCGTCGGCCGTGGAGCAAGGAGGAAGCCGTTGGTGCTATCTTCAAGTTGGGTAGCCTTAACCAGGCTCCACCCATTCCCGACGATGTGTCCATGAATATCAGTCCTGCAGCGCTTGCCTTCATGTATGACTGCTTCACTGTGTAAGTTCTGCCATGTTTCGAGTCTAATATGTCGGTACTGTTACTAACCTCTCAAATAGGGATTCATCTGAACGTCCCACGGCGGGCACTCTGCTCACCCGTCACCCCTTCTGCGAGCCGGACCCCAGTTACAATTTCTTGGATACGGAGCTTTATGCCAAGATCCGTCACGTTTTGTGAGATGGTTCTAGCTTAACAGGCTAGTGGGAAATGCTGTGCATTTTCTCACCGGGTCCGTAGAGCTATGGCCTGCTTTTATTACTTGTCAAGGCATCGTATATACATACCCTTTTCCAAGTTTTTTTTCTATCGTTCAAGCGAGGATTCATCAGGCTGAACTGGTTACTCGGTGTTTATGAGCCAGATTATTGTTGTACATATTATCATTCCTGCAGATACCTAATGATTATGCATTGCGGTAAGAGCTTACAAAGCATGAGTGCCTTTCGTCTTCTCCGCCATCATATGGGCATTTTTCACAGTCTGTAGAATAGCATCTTTACCCTCAAGTCCGACAGAGACCCGCACAATCGTCTCCCTCAAGCCATGACTAGCCGCCCATTTCTTTTCTTTCTGCAGAACCATCTGCACATAGGGCTGTGCCAATGTGATATTTGCGCCGAGCGATGGGCCCTTCCACACGTCTAGACTATCAAAAAAGGCCCGCGATGCGTCAAGCGTATTAAAGTCGACCGTGAAGAGGCATCCATATCCCGGCGTGAATTCGTCGGTTGCATTACGCATACGAGATTCGTAGTGATGCGCGGACTGGCATGTTTTGGGGTAATGAACCGCGCTCACGACGCTGGATGGGTCGGAAGCAAATGGCGATAGATAGTCGACGATGGATTCGGCCGTAGTGTTCATCTGCGCTGCACGCTGAAGGAAATTGCGGCTGTTATGCTCTAGTTGTATAGCGTCGTCGATATAGAGATTGTTGGTGTAGCCTTCCGTCAGACAGGTCTTAAGGGCACGGTAGTAGCCAGAATTGGGATTCAGGGTGACGCTATTCTCATCGTGTTAGATCAGGCAAATAGTCCAGTAGTAAGGATTAGGTTTCATACCTTCCAGCCAACAAATCTGCATACCCATTGAACGACTTGCTCAACGAGGTGACCACAATATCCGCCACTCCCAAAACATCCACATTGGCAAAACTACCGATCGTCTCATCAACGACGACGATAAATCCATATTTGTCTGCGAGTCTTCGAATTCTCCCCAGGTCAACCGTGTAGAGTAGCGGGTTGGAAGGACATTCACACCAGACAGCCTGAATCATCGAGCCGATTCGCGCCTTAGTATCAAGGTAAATCTCAAACTCGTCAATCTGTTCCTCGGTACCCAAGCTGTAGAACTTGAATGACGGGCCATATGTCTCCATCATCTTGATGGTCAGTTCATAAGGGAACCCAATAACCACGCTCTCTAGACCCCGCCATTTGAGAAGCGTTTGGTGCGTATGGTAGATTGCGGACATGCCGGATGGATAGAGAAAGACGTCTGAATGCTTCACAGTCAGATTTCTAGGGGTCTCAGCCGGAGCCCGATCCATTAGGTATGCGATGCGAGTGCGTATTGTCTCGTATACTGGATGGACGGTGGTCATTGCAGAATAGAATCGTTTCACGGGTCGTTCGACTCGTTGCATGGAGTCAATATTTTGAAGACAATGCTCTGCAAGGCGAGATGATATTCCGGTTCCTGTGAGTCGCCAAAATAGAGCTCCTGGCTTGGCTGATTCTTCCGGATATACCACAGCCCAGAGCGTTGGCCCTGGTGTTTGACCAGCATATAGGAATGTTGGTTGAGATTCACCAATCTCCAAAGCGATAATTGATACCGACTTGGATGGTACAGCTTCATTTTTGTGAATAGTAGATGATGTGATATAGTTCTTGCATGTTTGGGCGCTTTTTTGATCGGGGAATAGTAGAATTTTTGCGGGAGAAGAAAGAAATCGGCTTTGGCATGCTCGACATAGCTAAATATATAGTTAGCACCAGTTACTCTCGTACATGTGGAGAGTTGGCTTAGAAGTACCTTTTGAATGGTTTGATGAATAAAAGTGCGCGGATATCCATTTTGCAAAGCTTCCATGATCTGAACATCTCCTCGTCCCATACCGCACATATCGCTCCATGTCGGAATTTGAACTGATATCGCGTGAGGCCCTTCGGGGATAGCCTTCCCTAGAGCCAGTGATGTCGTGGTGATAGTCATGGTATGTAATTGCCTCGCGGTATAATTTTCGAGATCAGAATTGCCAATAATAAGATCTGTAGATGAAGGTGAGTGATTATATTATTGATGCACCCTACGAAAGCGGATAATCGCAGATCGACAACAGCATTCCAACGGACTGTCAATCACTGCCTGACACAGCCACCAAGAAGCCTCCAAAAGATCCCACGATAATCAGTTCCCCATGCGATAATCATATCATGGTTTCTTCTATTTTCAAGAGAAAAGATCATCGGCATCGTTCTCGGAAATATTATCCTTGGTGCCGCTCGATGCAAGATGATCGACGTTACCTTTCCTGTACACAGCCACAACACTACAAAAGGCTACCCGGTTGCCTATGTAGGGATGAACATTAATCGCCGACCGGGAAGCGAAAACAGTTTCTTGTAAGACATGACATCATGCCTTTGGTATGACTTCGGACAGTCAGAAAATACGCTACAAGGTCTCCCAGCCACGCTGAATGCAATGCAAGTTCGGGTCAAATCATGACTTGGTTTCAGATATATACAAACCAGCACGATCCCACATGGTATCTAGGCTCAAGATGCAAAATTCAAACAAGGACAAGAAGAAGGCACGGCTTCTAAGAGCGCGTGCTCAGTACATCGTCGTCATCCTCAGCAAGGTCGTCTACCTGCTCAGATTGCAGACCCGCGACGCCGACTCGGAATATCCCCTCGCACCACACTGCGAAAGTTTCAACATCCCACACGGCATCGTCCCCACCCTTGCCAATCTTATTGACGGCATGACCCCTTCCTTTCTCGGATGACGTGTACTTGTCGAAGAAGTCCTCATATATCTGGATTGTGCGATCCTGCACCGCTCCAACAAGGGTTTCCTTCATCCTAGTATCGTCGATGTACTCGTTAAGGATCTTGCGTAGAGCCGGGACTTCCTTCTCGATTGTGCGACAGGAGGGATGAACGAGTTCTCCGTACTGCAAGTTACGGGTATCGATAAACTTTGTGGGTAGTGAAGCTGTCATGCGAGAGGCGAAGGCATTGATAAAGTCGTTGATAACCGTTCGAAGACGGCCGTCTAGTTCGACTTTGGCGTCAAGCATATTTTCAACCACGCGCGGAAGAAGGCCATGGCCGACAAGACGCATCAGATTGCGCGGGTTGAAGAGACCGCCCCGCTCGCGGAGTTCCCAGAATGTGCTTGTTACGCCCGAGAAATCAAATGACACCTCCGGGGCCACGTACTCGATATCGAAGGCGACGATTTGCTGCTTCAGGATGAGAAGATGGCTCATAAGGAAGAGCTGGCCATCTGCACCAGTAGATTTGCTGGAGATAATCGTGCTGGCGCTATGAAGGGAAAGAGTAGTTTGATGGACGATTTGATGAGCAAGATCATCAAAGACAGTGGACTGAAATGGATGGTCAGTGGGGGTGTCAAATTGAGGTTCCAGACGCGAAACTCACATTTACTAGACGGTAGATCCGACTGAGGAGCCAGATCGCCTTTCGCAAGGTCGGATACCACCCCTTAAGTGCAGTCTGAGTCTCGAAATCCCACTTCCCATCCTGCTCTGTGGCAACGGTAGTTTCATCCCCCCTTGGGTAGGCTTGGTCATGTCGATCATTGTGTCCGCAGATGTATCTTTCTTCCCAGATATTTGGGTATCCGTCACGGTCAGCGATACTTGTTTACTATGCATGGGATAATCCACATCTTCTGGGCGGGGTTTGTATCTCTCGATTTCGTCCCGAAGCACCGCCTGAGCCCGGAAGACTAGGCGAGTCTGAACATCTTGTAAAGCCGGCTGGATCAGAATGGAAAAGTCGAGTTGATTCGCATCAGTTTGCTCTGGCTCTTCTTCGGGATCCAGGAAGTACCGAGTCTGTAAGAGAGTGCAGAGTTGACAAAGATTGCGAATATCGGTCTCGTGGATGATTCGAGGACGAAGGTGGTCATAGAGTGGCTCACAAATGGTCTCAAGGAAATCATACAATCCTACCTGACCATGGAACCATTCACCCCACAAGTCGTATTCGTCCAAGCATAGCCCACGAATGTAGCTGATACTCGCCCGAGCAAACGCGACCAAATCCTTGGATGAACTTGGGGTCCGCGTGATTTCACTGAGTTTCTTGCGAGCCAGCGGTACGATGAGTCGTACGCGCGTCGCGGCGTAATTGCTGTGCAATTCATTCATCAAGCTCTGGTATTCTGCCTCGTTGTTCTGTTCTGAATTCAATGGTGGGACGGCTCTTTTTTGAATTTCCACCCCAATTTGTTTCAGCTCTGGAGCCCCAACCCTAAACTTGGCATAGAGAAGGGCGGACAGAGCTGTGTCATTCAATGACTGATCTGATATCTTCTTTGAAACGCTTTGATAGATATCCCGAAGAGACGACACGAAATTGCCTCGAATCAGCGTGAGGGCACGGGTCAACAGTAACCGGTATCTGGATCGATAAACTTCCGCCTCCTTTTGCTCGGGCTACAAACAGCGTTAATAAAACTTCCCACGGCAGTATAAGTCTTCGTAGAACTCACATGCGTTTCCATGTAGTCCAAACAGACGTCGAGTCGTCGAAGCATGTCGGAGAACTCCTCATCACGAACCGTATTTCCGGCACCCGGGGCATTGAGTCGCCGTGAGGCAGGATCCAGGAACTCGTAGTAGTGGAGATTGGTCTGTATGCCATTCGCAAGCTTTGTATCCCGTTCCTGGGCAGCCAGGAGACCCTCGCACTGCTTCTCGAAATTGGAGGTTTGCGACTCGACGGAATTGAACTCTTTAGACAGATGTGAAAGAGAGTCGAGTAGGGTCAAGGTGTTCGCCAAGATGTCATCAATATGCTCACGCGATTGTTGCAGGTCGTCCAAGCAGTTTCTGGCACAGATTAAATGATCACATTAGCCAAGATCAACATCACCCCCCGCGTTCACCCAACATACTGGTATTGGTCGTAGCTCTCCTCGATCAGGTCATCCTTCACGCCATTGAACCATTCGGAGAACTCGAGTTCATTTTCCCACTTAGGGATGCTCGAATCCAGGGCAGTGTCTGGGTGTTCTGTTGGTGGCTCGAGTGTTGATCGGGTTTCGTTGGCGGTTGGCTTCCGCGGGGGACCAGATGGTGCGGTCTGACGGCGTGCTCGATGCTGCTTGGTAGGCGGCATGGTGAATTCAGAACCCTGGGTGAAACTGTGTCACCACTCTTTGGTTCATGACTGGCATGAAATGATGGAGAGGAAACCAACTAAACTCCAGTGAACTTGAGGCCGAAAGCGCGATGTGTTAACTGCCGCGGCTTATTCTGCCACAGGATCCCGCCCGATACTGACGCAATGAACTTGAGCTTCCCCGACCTCCTCTCTAAAGCACCAAGGACATGCACTAACGAGTCTTTGGACGTTCATCGATAATCATGGCAACCCGAATGCGGGGCTCAGTATCCCCATCTGTGCGCATCCTCCTCCTCCGCCCAACCGCTGTCACAACTCGCATGCCCGCTCAGACACCATGGCGCAGACTAGCAAGCAATAACTCAAAGAAGTCCGGAACCTCTCCCAACTGGATTGTCAACTCACTCGGAGTAGCAGTTGCCGGAGCTGCAGCATATTTTGGGTATTCATACGTGAATGGCGACTTCAAGGGCGCATGGATCGAGAGTCAGACTGCGCCAGAGAAGCAGGTGATCAATGTCAATGACCTTCGGGCTCAGTTTATCCAGGAAAAACGAAGCTTGAAGAGTCCGGCTGTCTACACCTGGGGCTCAAACATCTACAAAGTGGTGGACCCAGGATCGAAGGATACTGATATTAAAACTCCTCGTCGTTTCAAGTACTTTAACGGCCAGGTCCTGCGTGATTTCAAAGTGGACGAAAAGTCCGGCGCGGCGATCACTGAAGGTGGCGATCTCATCCAGTGGGGCAAGGGATTCTCGGAGACAGAGTATAAGCCAAGCAAAACCTTGACCGGCAAGAACCTGAGATCGCTTGCGCTTTCGGAGAATTGCATTATAGCTCTATCCTCAGATGGCAGCGTGTTCTCTCTTCCCATCTCCAAGGAAGAGCAGATCACTGGCCCAAAGCCACGGGAGAGCTCCTGGGTGCCCTTCATGGGAAGCCGGTCTGGGTTGAGCTATCGCAAGCTGAACCCGACTTTGGGACTCGGTGAAAAGGTTACGTCCATCTCAGCCGGCCAGGAGCATGTCGTTCTTTTGACCAGCTCTGGTCGTGTCTTTACAGCCGTCGCGTCTACCGAACACTATCCTTCACTTGGTCAGCTCGGTGTCCCCGGGCTGACTTGGACTACCCGCCCCAAGGGCCCGGTCGATGTATGCCATGAATTAACGGCTTTCATCGGCTCTAAAGTTACGCAGATAAGCACCGGTGACTATCACTCGCTTGCGCTGACTAAGGATGGACGCGTGTTTGCCTGGGGTGACAACTCTTTTGGCCAACTGGGTGTGGATTATGAGCCCGAGTTGCCCTACAAAGACGCGCCCGTCGCCCTTCCTTTGCACAAACTATATCGCCGAGGCTTATTCACATTACAAGCAACCAGCATCGCGGCTGGTGGAGCTGGCAGCTTCTTCACTGTCGACGCAAAGCGAACTCTGGGTCCCGAGGAAGAACCTAAGGCAGTCCGTGATTTGGGCAACGTGACTGCCGATACTTGGTCTTGTGGTAGGGGCATTTGGGGCACCTTGGGCACGGGCAGGTGGGTTCACCTTCAAGACTCGCCTTCCAAGGTGAAGGACTTGAGTGGACTGGCTGAATATGACGAAACCAAAAACCAAATGTCACCAATTCGCCTTCGCAACATGTCCGTCGGCACAACTCACGTTGCTGCTGTGATGGACAATAAGACGACCGTCAGCTCGAAGCCTACAGATTCCCTTGACAAGTCGCACGACTTTGGCCTTGACGTGCTCTTCTGGGGAGGCAATGAGCATTTCCAACTGGGTACTGGAAAGCGAACCAATCTGCCTAAGCCAAGCTACATCAAGGCACCCTCCGAGGCTTCGAAGAAGGATGAGCCAGAAGCACGGTTGCAAATCATGCCTCCGCACAAGGGCAAGGTTGGTAAGCGCTCAGTAAAAATGGAACAACGAGTTGAATGTGGGCGTCATGTTTCCGCGATTTACTCGGCGACTGTCTGAGATGCGACTATACAAAAGCGATGTACATTATCCGTGTATTTATATCTATTCGGTGTAAACTAATGACCCCTTTCTCTCATTTCCTTATGCACAAATGCCAGCCTCTCCTCTGCTCGATAGTGATTTGTCCGCACAAACTGGCCTTGCTTCTCGATGGATATAATGGGGATCTTTCAGTCGTAATGTGATGTTTTTGATCTCAACAAAACCCCTGCTTGTCTCAAGAGTCATTGCCCTGCAGTTGCTCCTTTGCCAAGCTAAGCTATCAAACCCGTTGATTTCCCCATGCAACTTCTAGTTTAGGTTTGGCGCAAGCGAACCTGGGACGTTGCTGTAGGACTCTCGAACCTTGCGGAAACGAGGAGCCGCCAACTGCGGCGTGTTTCCACTACTCCGATTTCCCCGCAAGCATGGCGTGGGGTTGGCTTGCGCAGTCTCCTATGGCGGCCCACCGATTGATCCACTATACCGATCAAAGTTGGCAACATTTCCGCCATGGATGCGAATTAGCTCCTGGCAATTGAAACATGGGTCTGCCACTCTTCTCCACGTCTCTCCACTGAGGGAATCATCGTACGTGGTTGGGCGGGTTCCTTTCCACTGCAAAGAGATTCCATGTACAGCTTGGTTTATGCCGCTGTAGCCCCTATAGTGATTTAGTTAATGTCAGCAAGAGCAATACGGCGTCATTGACACGATACCTCAATCTTACTGCAAGAAATGGACGAGAGGGTAAGTTTCTGCACAGTTCCCAAATTTTGTCTGTACGTTGGGGCGCATGCGCGCCGGTGAGTGGTTAAATGACCACCCGTGCAGCGACAGGAACTCTCCAGCGACGAGTCTATATCTCGCTTTTTGTATCACTTTGAGCCATTGTCCAACCAAATCTAGCTCGGCGTTGTATCCCGTCAATGAAGCCCCTAAGAAAAAGTGGGCTTGTCCAGTCGCGCCCACACGCCAGGTGCAGTTGTACATAAATGCTTTCGTTCCTATGAGCTGGTTGACCCATCTTCCAAACATGGCTGTCAATGGGAGAAAAAATGAGCGCTTAGTTGCTGCTGGGGGTGCCGGTCCCGTCTTCGCAAGAAACAAGCCAAGTAAGTCCGCTGGGCTCCAATAGGGTATACCCCAGTGGAAATGCTTGGATACTTTGAACTTTGACAGCCTGGTCTGAGCCTGGGGTGTGGCGGTCCAGGCAGGATTGACGGAGCGAGAAATATGTTGACTTGGTTGAAGATGCGGTGCATTGTATTCATGTCCACTCGGTAAACTAACATGTATCAGACCACGTAACGTGAGCATGATAAGAACTGCCCGTTACCTGAGATCCCTGATTTCTTGCAAAATCAGTGTCAACTCAGGGACGTCTGCGGCTGCTACACCATGTAGCGTCGGTGATGCGATTAATGCAGTAAGGAAATTGAATATCTATGAATCTCAATCAGTATTGTTATTCTGGGAGTAAGGAGCAGAGGACTGGGATACCTGCTGCCTATTCCAACTATAGGCGACCCGCACATTCAGTTGACCATTGCATGCTGGCAACGTATGCTCAACGAACGGAGCGGAGGCAGCCGGACCGAGGCCAGGACGGAGTGTTGGGGAAGGGTTCTGCATATCTTGACGATGCCAAATGTGGTGTTGACAGCAAAGTAAATTGATAACTGGCAACTGAATGGAGCTAGAAGAGTACTCAGGCATGAAGTCCCGCAAATAGGCTTTCGGCAACTGTTTGTTTTTGTTCCGAATTAGGTAGGAACGATGCCACTATCATTACAGTCGTTTCGTTTTCAGTCCCCGGAGCCCCTTCCCCTTCATCACAGCAATGATCTCATCCAACGAAGTTGGAGAAATGATTTGACAAAGACCACCAGCAAGCTGATCCAATTCGTAAAACTTCCCACCAGCCATGAAAATCAAACCCCCCCAATCGGGTCGCACATAACGGGGATACATTTCCCGAGTCCGTAGTCAACACCGATCTGATACCCCCAGCTACCTTCCGGGGCCCAATCAGTCTCGTAGTCGAGCTCCTCTGGATCCATTGACCATCCTGGAGGAGGGGTAGCCTGAGAGTTCTATTAGAATGAGATAACCATTTGCACGCTGTTGGGTCGACTGACGGGACGTTTAGAAGAGGCGGCCATCACAAGTTTAAGGATCTGGTCCTTGAATGGGAATTTTTGCAGAGACCGAATGAGGATCAAAATCTTGGAGAGTTGAGCTGAGTGTACGGAGTCGACGGGCAATGTCAATGGTGACAATAGATGGCCGGGTGGATCCGTCAAGATGACATAAACACACCTGCAGAATGTACTATCCCTAGGTAGGCTAGGCGAACCAAACCACAAAACCTTATTATCACGTGATAATTACTGTTGACTGACCCCTTCTTTCTTACTGAGGCTCCACATCATTCCTTAATGTAATAGGTTGACTCTTCTAGTAATCCAAGCATTTGATAGGTTAAGCCGGCAGAGCTACCCGTAAGCAGTAATCTAAGCTAATAATATTAAAATCACTGGGTATTATTCGCATATCAACTTATTATCGTGGTCGCAAATGTAAGTAAGCAATTCAGGTTCGCATTGTGGCGCCTCTCGAAGCCCAAAACAGAGCCCATAAATAAGCAACATAACAAAGGTTTGACGAGTTAGGCCTCAATCGTTGAATTAATTGGCGTTCACAGGGTCCGCCTCACAATGAAGTATGTACCTAGTCTAGGCTGTTTCCGCGTCAGCACTAGTCCAAATAAGCTGACAGGAGCTGACAGGAGCTGACAAGCCATAGTGACTTGTATTTCTCAACCCAGAATCATGACTCGGTCTCTACTCTGTACGAGTAACAGAACAAATCGTTTCTCTTGCCTACCCGCTTGCTGCTGTTGACTTGGCCTAGCTCATGATGGCCGAAAGAACGTCTACAGATAGGGGGCTAGTGGCTGCCAAATCTGGGGTTTGGCTCGAACATCCCGCTAGTAAGGCTGACGACAAATCTCTGCCTTGTTCTACCAGGACCAACTAACACAAAAATAGGCCGGTATCAGAGAGAATATTCTCTTTTGAATCATTTTGGTATGCAAGCCAATGTGATCATTGCTGCTACCTATGCCAATACCAAGGCTGAGAGTACCGTGCTTTCCAAAGAGCTCATATACGCAGCCCTGCAACAGGTTGGTCCTCAATACCCCGAGCTGGGGACAACTACCTTCTGTCGCCCATCGGAAACAAAGTCTGGGCAACACCGGCGCTGGTCGGCTTTTTTGCAGCAGATCAATCTGGATGACCATGTCAAGTTCATCAATATCCCAGCAGAGGAGGAAGCACAGGGACTGACTGCCACTCTTGAGAGATACCACAACCTTTGGTTTGAGCCATCGATAAAACCAGCATGGCAGCTGGTGGTTGCAAACGGAAGACATTTGCTGTTCGTTTACGATCACTACATCACCGATGGGCGCGGTGGTACTTACATACTGGAGAGTATCTTGGATGCCCTCAACTCTCCCAAGCAAGAACTCGTCAACTCATCAATCCTCGAGTTTACAACTGATATCAAGGGATTTCCCGAGGTTGATCCAATCAAGCGGGCCCCAGCACCACTTTCTCTTTTTCAGGCAATCCTGAATTATCTTCGTTTCTGGGCCATCTTGCTGCTCTACAGAAAAAAACACCTCTTTTTTCATGACGTTGTCATCAAAGACCTGAAATTGGACTACAACAACCCACAGAAAGAGGCCAATCTGGTCAAAACACGACTTCACAGCCTTCGCCTCGATGCCTCTACAATACAGAAATGCGCTCAGGCCTGTCGAGCCCATCAAACCACTTTCACAAGTCTGCTGCACACCCTGATCAAAGTGACATTAGCAGCAGACTTCTACCCTCAAGCCAAGTTCAATCATTCAACAACGGTCGTTGATATCCGATCCTACCTGAAGCCCCATGACAGAGAAAAGACTATGGAAACTGCGGCTTCTATCGTGTCAAGCTGGGACTGGTTACCGCAGTTCCGCCAAGCAGGAGAACAGACAGCCTCTAAAGATAACACGGCGTTTGAAGCAAATTTGCTCTGGGAGCTGGCGCGCAAGCATCGAGCACATGTACTCAACGATATGAATCACCGAAAGACGTGTTTCACCGCTTGGCAGTCTGTCGATCTCCTCGGGCAAGATGAAGAAGACTACATTACCGGCTTCATTCCTGGTTTGAAGCTTTGCCAGCGAAATGCTTTCTCCCTTTCTAATCTGGGTGCTTTTCGACCAAATCAATCGGTCGGGCAGGACGGGCGCAACGCAGATTGGACCATTACCAATCTGGAGTTCTCTGCTGGTGCTTACAAAACTGGGTACGCGGCCAACCTGGTGTTCAATGTGGCGGGTGTCCAAGATGGCCCGACTACTGTGCACGTCTGCTATGAAGAAGGTGCCTTGAGTGACGATTTTGTCGATTCGGTTTTAGAGCGAATCAAAATGCGGATGGATGCCATTATTTAGTGGGATGCAGAGAACGCCCAGTGACTATCCAGTGGCACCAGATATTCACCATTCAGTAAATATCTCTGAAGACTACAAATGATATCAAAGATACTCCATCAATACCAAAAAGATCAATTTAGTTCGATGTCCTCTATATTGGATACTGTAGCCCTCGTAGACACTGGAGGTAATTGTCCAGTTGAGTACGGAGTACCGATAACCGATAAGGTTGCAAACTAGACAAACAGTCGCCGCGGAGACGCTTGGACCACTGCTTATCCAAAAAATTTCCCAGCGCAGCCTTCAGGTTTTACTTTACTCAATCACCATATCGCCATGCCCCGTGAGAAGCAAAAGAGAGGCCGTCGGGCCGAACAGAAAGCTCAAAAGGAGGAGTCGAAGCACCAGGACGATGATGCCCTCGAAGCTCCCTCCGCCAAACGCATGAAGCCTTCCAACGACACCGACGAGACCGCCGAACCATCTTTCGCGGAGGGTGCAGACTATATTTCCCTCGATGTTGGAGAAGACCAGCAGGTTGTGGAAGAGACCGGAGATGTCGTCAATGGCGATACCCCCTTCTACGGATTGCTCGACACCGACGAGCAAGAATACTTTTCGCGCGCCAGCGAAATGCTCGAAGCGAACCAATTCCACGATGCCGAAGAGCGGAATTTGTTTGTGGAAAGCGTATACCAGGAGGCCAATGGAAAGGAATTGAAGATTGCTTGTAGTCAGGGTTGTTCGAGACTCATGGAAAAGTTGATCTCCATGTCAGATGTCAAGCAGATTCGTCGGATCTTTGGCAAATTCATTGGTCACTTCCTTCACCTTGTGCAGCACCGATTTGCGAGTCATTGTTGCGAAACACTGTTCATCCACGCCGCGCCGGCTGTTATGCAAAAGACCGCCAAAGCCCCAGTCAAGAAGTCGGAGGACGGTGAAGAGGAGTCAGAGCTGTCGCTCGCCGACATGTTCATGAGTGTGATTGAGGAGTTGAAGGAAAATTGGGGCTATCTCTTGACCGAGCGATTTGCCTCGCACACAATTCGAGTGCTGTTGCTGGTTCTTGCTGGAGAGCCTGTAGATGTTACGTCGAAGGATTCGGTGGTCGCAAGTCGGAAGAAGGAAAGACTGGGTCTTCCGGCTGCTGGCGCGCAAGAAGAAAGTGGCCCTACACAAAAGCGGAGCGTACCAGAATCTTTCGAGCCCGCGCTGAAGAAGATCATGGGCGACATGGTTTCCGGACTGGATGACACTTATCTGCGGGCTTTGGCCACACAGCCCATCGGAAACCCCGTTCTCCAGGTTATGCTTTTCTTGGAGCTCTCTCACTTTGGAAAATCTAGCGCCAAGGATCCAAAATCCATTCTTCGTCGACTCGTACCCGATGAGTCCTTCGAGGAGGGCACTGACAGCGCAACCTTCATTCGTGGCCTGCTATACGATCCAGTCGGATCTCGCCTTGTGGAGACGATGGTACGATACATGCCCGGCAAGGTGTTCAAGAACCTATATAAGAACAACATCCGCGATCGCATCGGGTCCCTTGCTCGAAACAGCACTGCTGGCTACGTCGTCCTGCGAACATTGGAAAGACTTGGAAAGGACGACTTGCAAAGCGCTATGGATCTCATCATTCCCGAGGTCCCAGGCCTGATCGAGCGATCCCGTCTTGTCGTTCCTAAGGTGTTGATCGAGCGTTGTGTGATCCGAAATGTCGACACCAAGCCTTTCGCTAAGGCGCTTGAGGAGGCGTATGATGCGGATCCCACGGTCCGCCTCCGACAGATGCTTCGTCTTGACGAGTCCACAGACCAAGCTTCACCGGAATCAGAGGATGAAGAGATGGAAGATGCAGATGGAGATGACTACAAGCGACGCAAGCAAAAGGCACCGGCTGGTGGCTCCTCTACATCTGCTGCGGAGAAGCTGCACGGGTCCCTCTTGGCACAGGTGATGCTCACAGTTCCGGGTCCTATGAGCGAGCTGGTATACTCCAGTCTTCTTGCGCAATCATCCGAGACAATCGTTCAGCTTTCTAAGGAAGCTACATCCTCCCGTGTCCTGCAACAAGCCTTGACTTTGCCCACTTCCACCCAGCAATTCCGACGACAGTTCATTCCCCGCTTCCAGGGCCATCTCGTCGAACTTGCTCAAGATAACAGCGGATCTCACGTCGTGGACGCTCTCTGGCCTGCATCCAAGGATGTGTTCTTCGTCAAGGAGCGCATGGCTCAAGAGCTCGCACAAAGCGAAATGATTCTTCGCGACTCGTTCTTGGGTCGTGCGGTGTGGAGAAATTGGTCGATGGATCTTTACAAGCGCCGCCGCGGCGAATGGACTGCCCGTGCCAAGGGGATCGAGCGAGAGGCCACAGCCACTGAAGGCAGTGGAGAACGGCCCAAGTCGAAGCTGGAGCTGGCGCGTGAGCGGTTCGCTGCTAAGGAGGCCGCGGCTGCGGCTGCAAAGGCCTGAAACGATTGACGATGTATATAATCCAATTTGATGACCCTGTTTAAACCACCATCATATCCGATGCCAAAGATCAGTCCGATAGAACCAAGCTCCATAGAAGGCTGCATGCAGGTGGAAGGTTACATTGCAGGGAAATTGCAGACCCACGCACTGCCGCATCTTTTTCATTGGCTGGCTATAGGTTCTGAAGTATATACCATTCTTTGCAAATTCTAGAGAACAATTTACCTACTTAATGGGTACGTACGACATGTTCATGCATTAGAAGTGGGATGGGATCAACAGTGCAGACTACAGTACGATAAGATTGTCCATAGTGGGGCATTTGAGTGACAGTGGAGGGGCATTTAAGGCAGACAAAATCAATCTGCGACTCGAGCACACGACATTGATGCAAGTTATAGTGTATGATATGATAGTCTTGAGATATCTGAATAGATAGATATTCACGTAGATCTATAAACCTGTAAATATAGCCAGTATTTTACTCTCCCGAGGTCCTCATCGGCCGATGATGTCAGGCATTCGGCGAGTGTCGCCATCTCCGGAGATCGGCTCTTCTTGAGAAACTTTTTTTTCGGCTCTTACGGGGGATGACTCAACTTCAATTCCTATTCTCATTCATTCATTTCATATAATTCGATCTTTACGCTTATAGACTCGCCGTTTTCCAGTCTTTGTTGCATATCTACACTTCATAGATCAGCAAAATGGCCGACGCTCCGTCCAGTCGCGCCGACGAGGTGCAGACGGTGAGTTCTCTTTTCCTACTAACTTGGACGATTCCTAAGGTTATTTCCTATCTTTAATATCTTGCTAATATTCAATGGAACCAAATAGCTCTTAAAGGCCGTCGAGGACCTTCTCATTCCCTTCATTCGATCCGCAGACGAGCCTCCAGTCCCCGCGAAGAAGCACACGAACGGCGTCAATGGACATGCTACCCCGCAAGGAACATCCCTAGTCGACTATAAAAAGCCAGAAGATCTGCGAGACATTCTCCAGCTGGAAATCCCCGAGCAAGGCCGGAAGCAGGAGGGCTTGATCGAAGTCCTGGAAAAGGTTCTGAAATACTCGGTCAATACCTGGCATCAGGGCTTCCTCGACAAATTGTATGCGTCTACAAATGCCCCCGGCGTGGCAGCGGAGCTCATTCTTGCGACCTTGAACACCAACGTGCACGTCTACCAGGTCTCGCCTGCTCTCACGGTTATTGAGAAATTCACTGGCCAACGACTAGCAAACCTTTTCGGGCTGAACGGTCCTCGTGCAGGAGGTATTTCTGTCCAGGGTGGCTCGGCTTCAAACACTACATCTATTGTCATTGCTCGCAACAATTTATACCCAGACACAAAGACCGAGGGTAATGGCGGGTACAAGTTTGTGCTTTTCACCAGCGCCCATGGCCACTACAGCGTTGAGAAGGCTGCTCAAATGCTGGGATTCGGTAGCAGTGCCGTCTGGCCTGTACCAATTGACAAGCAAGGTCGGATGATCCCCGCTGAATTGGAGAAAATGGTGCAGAAAGCGCAAAGTGAAGGCCGAACGCCGTTCTACGTGAACGCCACGGCCGGTACAACGGTCATGGGCTCCTTCGACCCTTTCAACGAGATCGCCGCCATCTGCCAGAAATATAACCTGTGGTTCCATATCGATGGATCCTGGGGTGGTTCGTTCATCTTCTCCCGCAAGCAGAGACATAAGCTGGCCGGTTCAGAAAAGGCGAACAGCATTGCGATCAACCCGCACAAAATGCTCGGCGTACCGGTGACATGCTCATACCTCCTGGCCGCAGACATTCGCCAATTCCACCGCGCCAACACCCTCCCCGCAGGCTACCTCTTCCACAACGATGATACCGAGCCAACCCAAAACGGAAATTCCAACGGATCCGAACTAGAGGTCGATTCACCCGAGGTGTGGGATCTCGCAGACCTAACTCTCCAATGCGGCCGTCGTGCAGACTCGCTCAAACTCTTCCTGGGATGGACATACTACGGAACCGAAGGCTACGAGAAGCAAATCGATAACGCATGCGAAGTAGCCGCATACCTGGCTACCCTAGTCTCGCAAAACCCCAACTTCACCCTCGTCAGTGAGAACGCGCCTCCTTGTCTGCAGGTTTGTTTTTACTACACGCCTGATAAGAAAATGGTCTACCCGCGCGGTATTGTCTCGAATGAGACGCAGCGGGCGAAGAACAATAGCAAGGTCACTGAGCAGATTACGCATGCGATTGTGCGGAAGGGCTTTATGGTTGATTTTGCTCCTCCTAGTGGGGATGAGGATGAAGTTGGGAATGGCAAGTTTTTCCGCTGTGTGGTCAATGTTTTGACTAGTAAGGAGACGGTTGAGAATCTTGTGCATGCTATCGAGGATGTTGGTCCTGCGATTGTTGAGTCCTTGACTTCGGCTGTTGCTCAGAAGCGGCTTGGTGAACGTGGACATGGTCCTGTTGTTCATCACCGGTGATTGCAATTTCTTGATTAGACATACCCCTTACTACATGATAGATCTCTGTACTGCAATTTAGAATTGTTTAAAAATCACACATGTATAGCAGTCGTGAGTCGAAGATGTAGAGCTTGCAAATATAAGACCCGATGTATACCTAGGATCCATTATATTCAAATAGTTGCGTGGCTTCTAGGTCTGTCAGAGTAGAGTCGTAAGATATAGATGCTACCTAATTACCGATCTCAACCCTTTTCTCCAAGACAGATCGTGCCTCAGCTTCAGCCAGACTATCGATCTCAAGTTCAGCAAGGACAGCACGGGCACTCTCATTGTCCTTAAAAAGCCTCTTCTCCACATCCCCCAGTCCCAACGCAGTGCTATCTTCCTCCACATTCTCCGCACTTGGACCTGCGGCCGCACTCAGGTTCAAAATACGCAGACCCTCATTAAGCTTCTTGACAATCCGCGTCGAACCACCGACATGGCCGGCCACACCCAAAGCATTATCGACCACACTGCAAAGGTGATCAATATCGCTAGCAAGCTGTGCGGCGCCAGTTTCGGAGAAGTTATTCCTCATCAACACGTTGTCCCAAATGTATGTCTGGATCGACAAGAGGAGCTGACGGGAGACTCGTCGGAGCGGTGCAACTCCTAGAGCTCGAGCGAGGAAATTCAGCTGAGTTGACAGGATGCGCATTGCATGTGCTAGGTCAGAAGAAAGGGATAGAGAAGAGGTCGTTACACCAGCCGAAGGGGTAGAAAGCGTTGCCCAGGTAGCCAGGCGTGAGTAAGGCTTCAAGGCTGCAGTGATATTCGAGGTCAATGTTGATGTAATGATTGATTCGGATTGCAACCGTAGACGACGGTATGCGGAGGCAGTCTCATCGAAGAGCGCTCCCTCTGATGTTTGAGGATTAGCCGCGTCGTGATTCGCAACGGCTGGCGATGTGCGTAATGCAACTTCCGCGACAGACATGGTGCCAGCCACGTTACGGCCACCATCGCGGTTCTGCTTCACTCGATCTTGAAGCTCAGACCACAGTTCCACAAAGAAAACGTCGTTGCTCCAATCCTCCATCTTTTTCTCGAGGTATTCTGCACTACCAAAAACCCGACAAAGCCGTTCAAGGCCCGCAACACCTTCAACGCTAGCCTGCCCGTCAGCTCCCTGGACTGTACGGCCAAGAGCGGAGGTCATGGTCCGATAGGCATCCAAAGCCTCACGAAGACGCTCGTGAAATTGGTCGAAAATGGTGATCTGGATGTCAATGAGGAATCGTAGCTTCTGACTGAAGGAAGACAATGGCTGGTATCGCTCGGTGATGGTTTCAAGCAGGTCATTCACCCGTATTGCAGCCTTTGTAGGTTTGGTTGCTGTGAGCTCGACACCATCATAGTCGATTTCTCCGCTATCTGGTGTGTCGATGATATCCCGGTATCGCGCCAAAGCGAATTCCTTCTCCACCTGGAGCCAGCGATCATACCATCCTTGTTTTGTGAGAAGTTCCCAGGTTATGCCCTTCCAATCATCTTCAGCGTAGGGATCTGGTAGGTAATTCCATGTCTCCCGGAGGTCGTTGTCAAAGTTCATTAGCTCGTGGATGAAATGGCTGAGCAAGTGAGGATGATTTGAGATCTGGGGCATGAAGGTTTCGATTTTGTGTCTCAGCATTGGAAGTAGAGCCGTGATGAAGGCATGCAGAGCATTGTAGAAGTTCCATTCCAGAGCTGGGCCAGCCGATTGGGCCTTTTCATCGAGGATTGGTTGCAGATAAGATGTGAAGAACCCTCCAAACTGGCTGATAAGATCCATGATGTGGGCAAGGAAGTATTCGGGCTAGACAAACATAGAGTTTAGCAGTTGTGTCGTCTTCAAGGGCATAGATATATTCACCTTGTCAAGTCTGTTCGTTGGCTTGTCGCCGCTGAAGTGATACTTGAACCGTAGGTCTAGAGGATGTACCATCACCTCCAGGGGGAACAGAACCGGCGGCTCAAGACCATGATCTGTGTCCAAAACATCGCGACCTTGTAGTTCCCTGGCAGCACTGTTAGGAATGGTTCAAACGGTACAACAACATCACGAGAATCCACATACGGCATCTGCAAATCAATCAAGAGTTCAACGTCCTGTGTCCATTGAGCTAACAGCGTATCGGTAATGTTCAGCTCTCGTGTCGGCCATTTCAAAGCCTCCATCGTCTTCTGCAATCGATCGCCGAAGAATTTCCGCAGTTGTTGTCGCAACGCTGACGCCAACTTCTCCGTGTAGTTGATGAGGTGCGGGGCGGCTCCCTCGGCGGCAGGCTGAGCTTCTTTCAGGGACAAGACGATGCTGCGTAGTCGAGCATATGGGTTCAATGCGGCACGAGGATCGGAGGATATACTGGTAAGAGCTTCCTTGCTGTAAGGTTGCCTTCAGCGCCTGTCCTTCATCGTTGTCATCTCATCAGCGAATCATACCTTAATTCCTCAGCCTCCTTTAGCAGCTGTACATATCCCTTGGAGATCTCCAGACGCTGGAGTCTTTCCATGCTCTTCTCCAGCCGGTGCACAGCCTCATCGCTCGTCTCTGATTGTGTAATGGCCTTCAGTCGGCGATCGATGTCCGCCTGCTCGGACGCGAATGCCTCGGCACGCTTGCGGGTGGCCTCAGCATGGTCGTTGGAAGCTTTTGTCGCATTCGAGAGTGCTTCATGTGCCTCTGCTAGCTAATTGCCCGCTAGATTAGTCGTCTGTGGCAGCGGAGATTCGTCGTCAGGGATGGAGGGGGGGAAAGGTACCTGCTTCCGCTGAAGCTCCTGTTGGGCACGGAGGCTAGACAGCAGCGAGTCGAGGCTCTCTAGATCGGCAGAGACCTGGATCTTGTCATTTAAATAGTCTTCCACTCTCGTTCGCTCGTGCGACGACAGGGACGTGGGGGGCGCCATGGTTGTGGAGGAAAATAATGGCTGAAGCGCAACGGTGTCGCGATTGTTTGATCTCCGCCTTTGCGGACTGACGTACGTCTGGGGCTCCGCGCCGTAGCTCCAGCGGCAACATGCTCCGTTCCCTAGACACGACCACACCATGAAACATGTCCAGCCCGGCTAAAAAGCGCAAGAGAAATGGCGCCGAGCCATCATCTCAGCAGACGCGCAGTATTGAATCGTTCTTCAAAGGACAAGCGACCAAGCAAGCGAAACAAGCGAAGCAGGCGGAGCCAGAGCCGGAATTGGAGCTAGGGCCAGAGGTGACAGAGCAGACCTTATCGGATGAAGCTTTGGCACGACAGCTTCAGGAACAATGGAATCAAGAAGGTGCAGTTTCTTCGAATACGGAAACAAATCAACCTGTCGCTGCAGACTCCGAACCAAAGACAGCTCCATCGGCGCCTACGATAGCACCTACGATACCAGTAGATGCGATTCCAGCAGCTCCGTCAACTGCAAAGAAGAATACGCTCTCCTTGCAATCATCCGCGGGAACGGAGGATACAGTATCCCTCGCTGTTCCATTTGATCAAAGCCCGCAGACATTCGACGCAGGCAAATATGCTACCGAATTACGGTCGCATTGGGCTGCTGAAGGTGGCGACGCCTCGTACGCACTGCTGACGAGGGCATTCGTGCTTGCAAATGCGACCACCAGCAGAATCAAGATTGTCGATACACTGGTCAATTTTCTTCGAGTTTTGATAGAAGGAGACCCGTCCAGCCTCCTACCTGCAGTCTGGCTAGCAACCAACTCGATTACGCCGCCATATGACGAGAAAGAGCTTGGCCTCGGAGGTTCCTCTCTCTCCAAAGCCCTGAAGAAAATATACGGCCTCGATAACCAGGGCCTCAAAACTCTCTATAATAAACATGGTGATGCAGGCGATGTCGCGTTCGAAGCTAAGAAAAGGCAGGCATTTACTCTGGCTAAGCCGAAGCCTCTCAAAATCAAAGGAGTGTACCAGTCACTACTGAAGATTGCTACCAGTAAAGGATCTGGCAGTCAAGAAGCCAAGCAGCGGATTGTTGAGAAACTACTGCAGGATACACGGGGCGCGGAGGAAAGCCGATACATCGTGAGGACTTTGGTTCAGAACCTGCGAATCGGAGCCGTCAAAACAACTATGCTGATTGCTCTTGCCCGCGCATTCCTTTACTCGAAACCCGATGGCGCTGAATACGCTATTCGATCGCGAGATGACTTGGCTCGACTTAAGAAAGACGAGCTCGCTGAGATCTACAACAACGCGGAAGAACTTGTCAAAGCCTCTTATGCAAGGCATCCGGACTACAACGACCTTGTACCATGTCTTCTAGAAACCGGCGTGACCGAGGAACTCCTCATACGCTGTGGCTTGGTGCTGCATATTCCATTGAGGCCCATGCTGGGAAGCATCACACGCGACCTCGCGGATATGTTGACAAAGCTTCAAGGGAGAGACTTTAGCTGTGAATACAAATACGACGGGCAACGTGCTCAAGTACATTGCGATGAAACGGGCAAGGTCTCCATCTTTTCTCGACATCTGGAGCTCATGACAGAGAAATATCCAGACCTGGTATCTCTGGTTCCTCAAATTCGCGGAGAAAGTGTGTCAAGCTTCATTCTCGAGGGCGAAGTCGTTGCCGTGGATAGTGAAACTGGAGATTTGAAGACGTTTCAGACACTCACGAATCGCGCGAAGAAGAACGTTGAAATTGGCGCCATCAAAGTCAACGTGTGTCTATTCTCATTCGACCTCATGTACCTCAACGGGGAACCATTGCTGAATCGACCATTCCGAGAACGCCGTGAGCTACTCCGAAGTCTTTTCGTCGAGATACCAAACAGATTCACTTGGGTGAAAAGCCTGGATGCAACATCCGCAGACTCGGAAACAGTACTAGAGTTCTTCAAAGGCGCCACCGATGCCAAATGCGAGGGCATCATGGTAAAAGTTCTCGACAACACCACCAAAATCAACGATACCATTCAAATCACCGACGTGACAGATCAACCCGATATCGAAATTGAACCCCCAGAACTCAAAAACACCACCAAATCCGCCAAAGAAAAACCCACCCGCCGCAAAGCCCTCCTCTCCACCTACGAACCCGACAAACGCCTCGAATCCTGGCTCAAGGTCAAAAAAGACTACAGCACCTCCTCGGAAACCCTCGATCTCATCCCAATAGCAGGCTGGCACGGCAACGGCCGAAAAGCCAAATGGTGGTCCCCGATCCTCCTCGCAGTCCGCAACCCCGAAACCGGCATCCTTGAAGCAGTAACGAAATGCATGTCCGGCTTCACGGATAAATTCTACCAAGCCAATAAAGACAAATACGCACCGGGGAGTCACAATGTCATTTCCCGACCTAGTTATGTGGATTACCACGGTGAACCGGATGTGTGGTTCGAGCCGCAGGAGGTGTGGGAGATGGCGTTTGCGGATATCACGCTTAGTCCGACGTATACGGCGGCGATTGGGTTGGTGAGTGAGGAGAGGGGGTTGAGTTTAAGGTTTCCGAGATTTTTGAAGGTTAGGGAGGATAAGTCCATTGACGAGGCGACTACGTCGGATTATTTGGCGTTGTTGTGGAGGAAGCAGGGGGAGAAGGTGGAGGCTCAGGGGGAGGCGGATGGTGGGGAGGAGCAGTTGGGGTGGCAGGAGGAGTGAATCGTGGAGAATATGTAGATCAGTCAACTTCTTATACATGCAAGTAAAGTAATTTGATAGACCATGGCTGTCTAGAGAGCAGATACAACCTAGATATGTTCTCTAACACTGTCAATCAGCTACTTGGAAGACGACGAGGACGAGGCATGGCGATACTAGTAAATCGTACTGTCAGTTGAACAAATCTAGATTTATAACATGGACCATATTGCAAAATGCAAAGAGTCAAAGCACATGTAAGTATAGTAAGAATAGATTTAAACATGTTGATTTTATCAAAATTAGATACACAATGCAGTTTTGTATCATCACTCGAACAAACTCAACATCATTCTCGGATTTTATCCAACCACACAGCTGGACATGATTAGGAAGCCTTGTCATCAGAGGCCGTAGGGAATAATAGATGGGGCGCAGAGCATCATCACAAGGCATGTTGGATGCAAAGAGAAGCACATATGCAATGCTGGCAGAAGAAACGCCAAAGAACAGAATCAAACAGATGAAACAAGCAGGAGAGCAAAGGACTCGAAGACATATCATTCGTGGGAGTGAGAAATAAGAAAGAATGGCTGGAGCCATGCAAAAGACATTAACAATGGGGGAACGCCATGGATGCAGAATAAGAGGTGCTGTGGAAGTGGGCTAATTCGAGGAATATCTCAAGGTGGAGATGAATCAGGTCCTCGGCTTTGACAGAAAGAGAAGAATTACAAAGTAGAGTGAACACCGCAAATGTGGGATGGGTACATAACAGAATCGTAAGCCGTAATAAGGTGATAGGGTGGTGAAGGGAAAGGAGCCAAATGGTATGAATCGGTAGAGAATGGAAGAGCAGAACGGATTTTTGGTCCACTCTAAGGCCGTAGCTCGCCACCAAGCTGCAAAGCCAGTCCGGTCTCCTTCCCTCGGAGGTGGGGACTCGAGGTACTGGGTGGAACGAGGGCATCAAAGTTCAATCGCTTGCGGGCATCTTTGGTAGCGAGAGGAGTGCGACCTGGGTTGCCAGGAGTACGGCCACCCCAAGCAGGCTGAGCCGGACTGGGGGTTACGTTCACGAAATCAGCAAAGTTGAACTGCTGACCCGGAGTTCCCAGGTTAGGAGTGAGTGTTGGCAGGACAGCATGCTGGCTTGGAGGAGTAGACGGCGGGAACGCATGCTGCGAGCCTGCGGCCACACGGGCAGGCGTAGGCGAATTGGCCAGGTATAGAAGCAGGTCTGCACCGTCCTCGTGCTGCGAGGGACGGTCAGCCCGGGGCAGACGGGCATGCTTGGGAGGCGGAGTCCGAGGCGGCGAGGAGCCCACCATGGAGCTCACATGGTTGAAGCTGTGTAGTGGCAGATCGGGATCATTCTCCTCATCAGAGGGAGCATGATATGCAGGAGAGGACAATTCCGGGATTGTGGCCTCGGACATGAAAGGGGCCGGGTTTCGGCGGGTTGTCATATGGCGATTAAGGCCCGGAGAAGACGCAGGTAGGTGGTGAGAGCTCTTCCACGACACTCGAGCTGCCTTGGCCGGACGCTCAGTATCTGAATCAGACCGGACACGTTTGCGGCTGGCCGATAGCATTGGCTGCATGACACGGGAATTGAAGGTCACGGCATGCTTGTTGCGAGCTGATCGAGGGAGCTCTCTGGAATAGGTTGCGGCTCGGAGGGAAGGGGAGGTCATGGGAGTCTCGCAACGGCTGCGAGAGAAGTCGGACGAGGAGTCGGAGGGCTTATCACTGCTGTCCATAGCGGGCATGGTGGGCATCAACCCATGGATTCGGCCATGCTGATACTTGAGCTTGGCCAGGCCCAATCGGTCCTGTAGACTGAGTGAAACCTATGAGAGAACAGTCGAAGTCAGCATTGGTTCGTTCATAGTCTGCGTCGAGTGCCGACAAGTAGTGCTTTAGATGACTGCCCCTGCCGAGCCTTGCTAGGGCTTGACAGTGTAAATGCAATCTGCACCCCAGACCTAGACGATCCACTTGGATGCTGTGTGTTTTTTATGTGTTTTTTCTCGGGTGGATATCATTCTCCAGCAAAAGGCATTCTTACCTGGGCAATATCAAGCTTTCGAATAGCCTTCTCCGCCGAGCCAGGCTGCGGCGACAGGGTCATGGTGGGCAATGGGATAGGGAAAGGAAAGTCGAAGGCAGGGAAGAGATGGTCTTTGCGTCGGGAGGGTTGGGCTTAGTAGTCGGCTTGCAAGGGCGGGCTGAGAAGAGGGAAAGGTGAGACCCAATTGGTGAAAAATAAAAATGGAGCCACTTGGCCCAGAATCGACTTTTAGACAAATTGGGAAAGAATGGGAGTAGAAAGAGGATACAATCGTGCAAATATTGAATACCGAATAATCCGGGGAAGAGAGATCCCAATGGGATGAAAGCTCATGGGGGGTGAATCAGAGAGGGGAAGAAGTTGAGAGGAGCTGAGAAGTGAACAGGCAAAACGCGTGCCGCGCAGATTTGCACGCGATCGTGTTTTCCCGCATTTGCTCGCGGACTTCGGTAGGGCTGTTCTAAGTACATAGAGCACACGAGTAAACAACTCTTCTAAATGACTACCCTACCTGCTATATTCACTTTTTACTACTTGTCTCTCGCCAAAAAGCTGCCCTGATTATCTACTTTCATTTTACCTAGTCTGGCCTTTTGCCAAACACGATATCAATTTGAAAAACTCGATCTCGCCGTACTCCGTATACTAGCGGGACTAGTGGCCTCGCCAGCCTCGTTCTTTTAGTTGTAGTGCCCCCACATCTGCCGATTCCAAAGCTCTTAGAGCGCCAACTTTGGCCCTTTGGAAGCCTGTTGATATGAAATTAAAGAGCTCTGCATAGATTCCCGAGCCAACTTCTGTACCCGAGTTCCTTTCCAAGTGGGACTGGGCTTCCCCTTAGAAACGATCTGGCATGCCATCCAAGATTCCCGCTCCACTTAGTACCTGGCTGCCATGGCGGGATTGGGCGCCTAGCAAGATGGAGCCACCTTGCACGATGTCATCGCTTCAAGTGTCCCCCTGGTGAAAAGGGAGATGGAATTCTGTCCACGTACTGTGTCATCAGTCTGGCATGCTGGGATCTTCTTGGTGATGTTGAAGCCGCAAGTAAAACCACTCTGTCACAGAATTAGATCCCACAGGATTTGTGTTTGTGCATCTGCAGGATGTCAATAAGCAACACGAGCTCGGACGGGGGGGGGGCAATTGGAGAAAAAAAAGCAAGCTCTGCTGGTTTGTCAGTTAGTAGTACTAGTTACAGTAAAAGCAAAGGATACCCCTGCTATTGCGGCTCAGAATCGCGGGGTCGGCAATTTCGGCCTAGGAGTAGAACTTGCGGCCTCGATGATGCCGTCCCGACCGACGTTATATCCATGATCATGCTCTCCGTTGAAAGACCATGTGAACATGAAAGTCCATCTTTATCTGTTGACGACAATGGCCCCAGTCCGATACAGATAACATGCACAGATCGCGTGTCTGGCGGCAAGCTAATGCGAGTGAACGGCCACTTGTCTTTGATGTCAGGGCCCGCCCGACCAAGGCAGACAACAATGGCCCGAAGATAGAGGTGGAAACCGGGCATTCGTCAAGGCTAACGATGTTCCACGTCTTGAGTCGGTAGAAAGTTGTGCGCTAAGAGACGAGGTTAAACTCTGGGCGCCGAGGCCAAGTAGCTCCTTCCACTGAAGATCTGAAAATGCAGCATAGTTGGGACGTCAAGCAAGTTTTCGGGTTATCAGTTGGGGGGAGGACCAAGCCCTGGTGGAGAAAAGAGTCCTGTAGAGAGAGCGAAAGTATCACAACAGCGGCTATGGCGCAGGAGCCGGTCCGTTTGGTGTAAGATCAGCCCTCGGGCCAGTCTGGAGCTGGAGATAGTGAATCTGAGGATGAGAGTTGCGTGGACTGTTGGTTGGCCATGAATATAGTCACGATGATTCTGCAAGTCTCAAAAGCAAATTGACTTGCCAAAAACAAGGAGTCGGGGCTGTCCACGGGCCTTGTTATGCCTTGGTATGTGATGGTTTAGCCCAGATCTAGCGTCCGAGCTAGGCGTCTTAGGGCGATCATTCAAGATCCACCGGTGAAACATTGCGACTCCTGAGCTGTAGGACGAGCCTACGAGGAGGAGCCATAGGCCTGTCGTGAGGGGAGGAGAGGTACGTAATGGCTGATAGGAGGCTGCCAAGCGGGATTATCCACCACCGTTGGGGGCGTGTGCTAAGTATAGCTGTTCTGCCCCTCGACGATGTTCCAGTTGGATGAAAAGCATTTGCATGTCTGAATGTACATTGTTCAGTGTCAAGTCAGTTTGGTTAGAGTCTGTTGAACTGTTCGTTTCATGTTTAGGAGATTATTATCGATGAAAGAGAGAAACAGCCTCTTGACTACTCTCTTCGTGTACACCGTGGACTCTTCACCATCTTGATTTGGAGCGAAGCTAACTTCAAGCTTGTTCTTTTTTCCTCCTCCACTTCCATTATTTTTCTTCGTTGGCTTTTTTTTTCTTCTCTCAGACTTTTTGAATTTGGCATCTTCAAGTTCTCCCTTTTCCCATTGACCTCCTTTTTACTCCCTTTCTCCTTTCCTCTCCTAATTAATTCCAATTGCTCCCATCTCCGGTTCTTGCGGGGCGAAATCTCCAGCGGCGTCGTCACCCGCCGCAAACGGTCGCGCTCTCCTGTTCCTGACGCCCTCCCAAACTTCCACTTCCCACCCCTCTCCACACCAGGTAGCCTCCAATTACGGAAGCTGCCCGGGTTAGATCTGGTGGTTCTTCTCCTGGTGAGAAGTTTCCTCGCCTTTGCATCACCGCTGGTACCTCACGGGCATACGTCCTCGCTTCATCATGTCGTTCTTGAAGCAGTTGCGCCGACGCTCCAAAGCAAGCTTCCACACTACTCCCGCCGAGTCGAAAACCCCCTCGCATCAGGTGGAAGTGGTATCCGGGAAATCCTCCTCGACGATTGACACTTCCTCCCATGCTTCCATTACTCCGCCCTCCTCGATCAAACCGACTCTCTCATCTCCTAATCTCCCCTCTTTGACCGAATCCAATGACGACAGTACCATTAGCACTTCGTTGCCGCCACCTACGCAACGGCCAGGACCTTTCGTGACCAATTCACAGCGGAACAGCGTCGTGGTATGCTTCGCTCCTCGCTGATGCTTCATGATGGGAGCTTTGAAAGCTGATACCGGAGTTCTATATTCACAGGGTAGCTCGTCATCGTCGATCAATGGGGTATACCGGTCGCTGACCACAGGCTCGCCTTACGCGCCAAGAATAATATCCATCGCTGATAATTCATGGGTCAGTAGCTTCGAAATGACCCTTTGACACAAAACCTGCCCGGTTGGGGCTTACAGAAGCTCACAATCTTATTCCTAGGTCCATCAAAAAGTCCTACTTATTTACGGCCAGATCGGAGATCCACGACATCACCCATTGGATGGAAGTATCACCGTCTACCATCACCAAGATAATTTCCCGTCGATTGGCTGGCCCGTCACGGCATCCCATTTCAAAACCCTCGTTCATCTCGTGCCCGGTCCCAATCGCCTGCGTTTCGATTTTCTCTCCCCGAAGCTGTCATCTGGAAGTACTCAGCCCGTGATCCACTCGACCTGGATTTGCATCAACTATCTTCCTCTTGTCAATTCCCCGCCATTGCATCTGGTGGTACTACTCGGCAAGGATTCGGACGGAACATATGACGCAGTGCCGGAGCGAGTCGAGCGCGAAGGAAATGGCTTGGAAACGGCACTTCGAAAGTATCGAACAGCGGCATATCTATGGCAGGCATTTACGGGAGAGCAAATGTTCCGCAACAATTTGGGCCGGCGCTGCTTCCGCTTTGAGGAGGAGTGGCAGTCGGGCACTCTCAGTCGACGAGATTCGGCCATTCGACAAATGCGCAACGAGGCGAAGATTCACGTCATTCGCAGCGATAAAACCGTAACGGAGTTGCGGGATCTCAACATCGCGCAACAGCATGATGGCGCCAAGAAGAAGGATGAGTTGTTTAACATCGCCAAGGATGCCGTGCGCAAGCATTTCAACCCCCAGCCTGGTCAAAAACAATACGTCTCGGTTTTGCTACTGGATTCTCACTGGGACACGCAAGCTCAGACTATCACCGGTCACGCGGCTCTAGGATCTGGAGATGACGATATCAAGATGGCTATATTCGGGTCCCACTGCCTTCAGAGTTACCCGTCCTGTTTGGAGGAGGTAGTTGATGCATTCTCAGACTGCACTCGGACGGATACCAACTACGTGGCTAACGATTGCGGTGATGCTGGATCGAACTGGGAATCCGCGAACCTTGGTATTGGGGCACACTTGCACGAAGTTGGACATCTCTTTGGATGCCCACATCAAGAATCTGGCGTCATGCTCCGCGACTACGTTCGTCTGAACCGCTCTTTCTTAATAAAAGAGCCTTTTTGCACTCGCACCAAGACACAGGGCATGAAGGTCTGTCTACCAAACGACGAGTGTGGGTGGCATCGCTTGGATGCGCTCCGATTCCGTTTCCATCCGTGTTTCCGACTTCCCAGCGATGCTTCGGTGAGCAATGACGACAGCGTTCAGGTGTGGCCCGTGGAGAACGGGAAGATTCTGTTTACAGCCTCGTCGGGAATCGCATTCGTGGAGCTGTACGCTGAGGGTGACAACGTCTGTCATCATTTTATTGAATACATCAACAGCGAGTCCAGCGGCAACGGTTTGCCCAAGCAAGTGGCCATCACCGAAACCGAGCTGAGGCAACAGGTGTTTGGAACTGAGAAGGAGAAGAAAAAGAAGATCCGGATGGTGGTCTTCTCCGGTAATCTGGGAAGCTATACCGTGGAGGATGTCAGCGCTCTCAAGTCCAAGAACTCGTTGGTCAAGCTTCCCAAAGGCCAGTCTGGGTACAAGAGTGGCCAGCTTGGACGCTCCTCTATGGAGGGTAGTGAGCCAGAGCAAGTGCTTTTGGAATGTGCCTTTATCAAGACGAAGCTTTTGACGTCTATCAAGGTGTATCATGGCACTGCGGTGGATGGTGTTGAGTTCTGCTACGAAGACATGACCAGCCAACTCTTCGGCAAGCGTGGTGGGAAGCCCGGGGGTGATGAGTTTGTACTCGGTAAGCAGTCTCTCAAACACCTCGTTGAAAGAAGCGATTGCTAATGGTTCTAGATACCCGCCGCGGTGAGATATTGCTTGGTTTCTACGTCCGAGCTGGACTCTGGATTGATGGAATCGAGATTCTCACCAGCCTAGGGAGGAAGTCTGGGGTCTATGGAAATGCCAATGGCGGATCAGGGTAAGACGAACGATCCTTCCCCTAGCGATATCGAGCAGAATCAACATCAGATGCTAACCAACGTCAACTCCCAGTCACACATTGATTCCGCCTCTTGGATATAAAATTGCTGGAGTCGCAGGCTCGAGTGCATCGTGGGTCGACGGGTTCTCTCTCATCGTTCAACACTGAACCGGATCCGTTCATTAATATCCTACGCGCGCCTTGGAGACACGTTTCTCTCTCATCCCGACTATTTTGTTCCTCTTCCCTCGATAGGATCGGTATTCTCCAAAACTGCAGCTGGCCCAGGCTCGGTCAGCACATATACACGCGGTTCTGTGGGGCTCCGGGTGCGTTTGTTTATATGCTTCTTTTCTACTTTGACAGGCGTTGTGGCAGGCGGTGTTGGGTTGGTATATATTCCTTGTACTTTGTTCTTTCTTGTTCTCGGCACGTCGAACATGCATTCGAGGACATTTCTAAGGTTATCAAGCGCACGAAGAGTTGATTCGTGCCAGGGCCAGGCTTTCAGTATTGGGGCATTTTGTACAAGGGACATTCATAACATTGGGCTAGACAGGTTATACATAGTTAATATCAACAAAGAATGGGCAATGCTCAGTTCTTGTCAAAGATACCTCGGTTGCCAAGCATAGTCCATAGTAAGCTATGCTGCTGTAAGCTGTAAGCTGTCGCCACCTTCGATTCGAGCATCTCGCATAGGCACCACTATTTTGGAGCCTCTCCGCGTAATGCGAATGTCATAAACCTTCATGCAGAAGCATAAAAAATAAAGACTGTAGAGGGCGAAGTATATTGAACATTCGGTCATCCCACACATCAACTGGCAGCCACATCCGGATCGATCATGGATCCGCGATCATTCGATCATTCATCATTCACTTACAATCATTTTCCTCCTTAGGCTAACACGACAAACAGAAAAAGGTATCCGCTCGAGATTTTGCCACCAAATCTCCCGTCTGAAGGATGGTTGTCAAAGCACTGGGAACCAATCAATTAGATCGAGTTGTTGGGATTGAATTGTGGGGTTGCGAGGCTTTTGGGGGAGGATCGACATGAGGTGGTTGAGGTCTCCGCGGGAGTACTGTACGTACCTCAGCTTAGATGGGGATACGCAGATGTACTCATCATGTACTTCTGTAGAGGGTGTATGGTTCTTGACTGTAGTGGAGGGCAATGGATTCGATATGTACATTAGTTGCGATCGTCATCTAGAATGTAAGACTTTTCTTCTTTTTGGGTACTTTGTGACTCATTGATTGTATTCTTTTCTGATCGCCGTGACCATCCGATATTGTATCAATGTAGCTATACTCGGTCTCCCTCTCTCTCTCTCTATCAGGTAACACCGGGACCTTTGCTTCTTTTTACTAAGTTCTGACAACACCTTTAGCCCTCTCAAGGACTTTTGATTTTTGACTTTGAAACTACGCACCATTAACAATAATAGCCATCGGACATGCAGGACCCCATTTTAATTTTCGCCACACCTTCTTCCGCGACCCTCCTGCACATTCTCATTGGTAAATTGTCTCATTCCGTCCGTTCCGCCCAGCTTCGTAGCTCCAAAGAAAAACGTCAAAAAATTCGTAGTGTGGCCCCCGCAATATATTGTGGCTGATGCCTCTTCCTCCCCGACGAGAGAAAGGAGATGGGAGTATTATCCGCGGCTCAGTATCCAATAATGATAATCAACCAGCTATGGCCAAGCACCCACTGTGGCGGTGGAGCGACACATTTGACTACTGTTAGTCGGATACCACAATCCGAAGTGGCAAGGCCGTTATATATCATGACTGGCTACACCCTCAAGGGCCCTGGTCGCACATGGTCGAAAAATACATACACGCAGCCTGCACGGTCGTCCGGGATTCTATGACCACCGACACTCCCAAGCGCCGTCTTGAGCCGAAGCGGAAAAGGCAGCCGCTCCGTTTGTTGTGCCGTCTTTCGACTTCGTAAAACCAGATTGTTTTTCCCTATCTACCGTATGAGAATATACCCCGTCGCAGGCACCGTTAGGGGCGCTGATGGCGCGAGAGATCTACACGCCTGCACCGGCTATGACTGGACGGATATCTGCTCAGTTGTGTACATGGCTAAATGCAATCTATACTGTCGAGATACACCGATGATAAACGAGGGTCCGTGACCGTATCCGCGGTCGATGTCGTATGTTTTGGCATTTGACATTGCAGCATGCTCATTTGTCTGATAGTTGATCCGCGATATCGCCCCGCCCGCTTCTTCAATCCGACCAGCCAGAGGAGGCGTACATCGTGGCTGATATGCACGCTAATATGTCGATCGCCCCTCGTCTCCAGCTTGTTCCCCCTTTGTCAGAGAGCGATCTACCAATCAGGATGTCTCGATCAGAGAAATGATGAGAGAACCGACTCTCGATATCGATATCGTTGCCCTGTGCTTCAGGTTCCACTTGTGCTTGGTGCATCGTCAAACGATAGACGAGTTACATAAAGTAAATGCCGCTGCCTACTAATAATTCGACGCGACCCCCCGCGGTCCCGTTTGTTTGCTACGTTACTTGGATATACCTACTCCACGCATTTCCCGTCCATAGTATAAACACGAGTCAGTTACTGTACATCCTCTGGTCCACCATGTTTCCCATTCTCCCCGGTGGCGTCTGCCCCTTTGCCCCACTGTCGAACGCCCATGACGTGGTGGCTGCTTTAATTGCCCGGACTACTCCGTATTATTTGTTTGCACTTTGGATTTAAGAATTCTGTCGTGATAACTTTGGTTCAATCCGCAATTCGTCCGAGTCACCTATTTCGATGCCACCGGAAAATAGTTCTGACGTCAGGCACTGGTTGAGGGTTCGCGCGGCGACCGTTGGATGATATGTGGGGAAGGTGCCTTAATCGGGGAGCTCGGTAGGGCAGATACCTTTTCGAACCGTTCCAATTAGTATCGCAGGGATGCTTTGTCCCATGCTCCGAGGGTATCCCGAATTACTATCGAGTCAAAGAGGCAAGTGATATTCAATGGTTCCGTTCATGAAGCAGCCAATGCTTACGCGTAGTGTGGCGAGTGGAAAATTTCTCCTGTAACTACGGTGTGGCTGTTAGTGAGGCACGGAGTACTTTTGTATGGGTGTAGCCGTCATACAAAAAATTTTACTGTAGGTTATACTGAAATACAATGATTCATTGTAATATGTTGACAAAGATACACACTAGTGAGATACGCATATGATTACCATCGTGGAGCATTCCCGTATGCTGTAGCTTGTAGCTTAAATGCCATTTCCACTCGGGCTTTCCGCTTGAATGCCCGTGCTGAGGTCCTAATACCTGTGCGGAGGAGTCCTTCTTCCTGTAGAGGGCATCCTAGTTAATTACCAACTTTTTCTATCACCGTGTGTTAAATTAGTAGTTTCAAAAGCGTGACAGTTATCTCTTTAAGCACTGAAAAGTACGACGGTCGGCGATTATACTGTCCATGCACATATGCACTTATGCAGAATTGCAGTACTGGAGTATCTTATGGCGGACAAGGCAAGTATCCCTGCCGCATTGGGACACCTCCCCTTGCCCTTGATTAGATATTTTCTTCTTCAGAGAGCCCGGCCTCCTTAGCCGACCAATCAGAGGCCAAGCGTACAAATATACACTAGTCCGTATTTGTCACGATCTTCAATTGGCAGTTCTGAACTTCATCAGATCGATTTTGTCATTGTGTCGCGGCTCCAGTCGGGAGAATAATAAGGGATTACGACTGGAGCCTCGCAATATTAACCCCATCAGCAAATCCCGTAGCCGAGGGCAAATAATATGGACGGCGTCCACGGCATACACATTGAATCTGGCAGTCAGACGCCGCGACAGCCCCATCGCGGGGCTCCAAGCTCCGTGCGCGTCAGGTATCCACTTCGTACTGACCATGTACCGTACCGTTTTCGGCACATGCGCCGAGCCGTCCGACCCGCGGTACCAGCCTTCTGATTGGCGGGTTCCCATGCCAGCAATGAACAGCTCGGACTAGACGTGCCAGACGTACTGTTATGGACAGGTATATATTACGGTATTGGGGCCGGAACAATACGACCTACGAGGGATGACCCTTGATGTGTATGTGATATTGGTATCTCTGCATTTTAGGCTCGACAAGAGCCCGTAAAAGCGTTAATTGAGAGCTCTACCTGCAAACGTCCACCTGCATTGGATCCGTCCCAATGGTCCTGGACCCTGTCAGGTCAAAAATAAACTGATCGAACACTCACTAGGGCCAGGGCGATCCATGGAATCGTCTGCCGATCTTCCAATTCAAGCCACGTTGGAGTCGTGTCCACGGGGCTTTTTTAAACCACCGCCACAAGATGACAATGTGGCGTGCATGTCTCAACAATCTCGTTCTTTAAATTTTGGGGTACTGTGTGATGCTATGTGTGGAAACTTAAATATTGCGAATTCTCCCATCGCAAACCAAGGTTGCGAAAGTTGCCCTCGCGAAGCAAAAAAACGCCAAAGGGACCATTGAAGCAATACGTCGTCAGGCCAAAGAGCTACAGTAACCTCGATGACAATGCTGTACTACTCCCCTCGGCCTGACCAACCGCCTTTTAGACAAAGCACGGCCACAGAAGCTCGTTCCATGGGCAGAGCATTTTAGCCACACTTCATTCACCTAATCAAACTCATCTCTTTCATGCTAGCCGCTCGAAACAATTTCGTTGCCTCCGCGGTTCATACCGCCTGCTTTTATCATGTGGTCAGGACAGTAGGGAATACATTTCCGCACTCACTCTCATTTGTGACAGGGATGAGGGGCGTGCCCCTTCAGCCACAAGCAGCCGCTGAAAGCCACCAATGACCCCTGGTTGTTGACTAGTATGGTGCGTCGTAAGAGAAAGTTAGGTAAAGGCTTAGGGCCACTGACACGTTTTGGTGGGAGATTGCGTCTAGCATAGCCAAATTTCCAAAATACATCAATATCTCTATATCAATGCCCTTCAAGGTGCATATCCTCTTTATTCTTTATATCACATTCTACCTGTCAGGCCATAAGGCACCGCCGTTAGCAAGGTGTGGCGGGAGTGGGGGGAAGCTCGAACCCAGAGGACTGGTACTCCCTTTGCAATCGATAGACGGAGTGCATCCGGCTGGTCCAAAGTGTCCCTGGGGTCTTCAGGGCCCAAGAAAAGAAAAAAAAACAGAAACCCAAAAAAGGAACATAAAGGACAAATACCATCATTGAGGTTTATGGTCTGATATCATTTCACGCGGCAGGCCGTGGTTAAGAAAAGGCCGCGTTATGCTATGATTTCATTTTAGCAATCGCCATGCCCTTCCTTATGCTACTGTCTTTATTTGGTACATACATAATTGGATTAATCATGATCTCGATGAGTGTGTATGGTACTCCGTACCATCTCGAGGCAGGTAAATACTCCGATAATACATTGTATTTGATAAATTACACTCCCTTTCTCACTATGTTCACCTCCATTCAGTTACCGTATGTCCCATTTTAATTCCTTATTTTTTAATTTTCCCATTCTTTATTTCCCCACTGATTCTTCCTTGGGTCTGGCGTCTAAATCCCGTCCAATTAGCCTTCCTGATCAGCCCGATCCAGCCAAGATCCATAATTCCTTCCATTTCCTTCTTATTCATCATTTCGTTCGTTGCCCTTCCCGTGCTGTTCATCCATCCACCCCTGGTACCAATCATTTCTATTCAAAGGAGCTGAAATTAAAATCAACTAAAAAAAATATAGATCGAAATAAGAAAGAAAGAAAAAAAAAATTTACCATCTCATCAGCCTTTTGGCGCTTATCGATAGGCTTGCAAGTAATGGCAATTACAATATTACAGACTATAGCCTATGGTAGCAGTAGTAGTATTGCAGTAATAATTGCTCGCTCCTGTCTCCCCTTTACAGTGTTGCTACTGTACCACCTTTTCTCCTGTGATTTTTGGCCTCGAATGGAAAATCTTCCGAAAGAAAGAGACCAGCTCGCTCTGACCATTCTCCATTCTCCATTCTCCGTGCTCCGTACTCTCTGTACTTTTCCATACACACTTTACCCAGGCTTACGCACCTTACACTATTCCCATTATTACAGCATTTTCCATTTTCCCTTGACTCCATCCGTATCCATTCTTACCCAACCACAACCCACCACCTCTTCCCCCCGATCTACTACACTTCTTTCCACTCACCTCACCATCCCCCCCTCTCTCTTCTCCTTCCCCCTACCACATCTTCAACTCCTGTGGCTCAGTTGATGTCAGTTAGTTCCTCAGGCCCCTTCCTATACATCGTCATTGGAGGGCTCGATGGACCGTACCGTCTTTACTATTTTTTCCTTTTCCCTTTCTTAGCCCGCTCGTCATAGGTCTCCGCCCCTCCTTCCACCACCCCTCGCCTCTTCAACATTTCTCATCTAGATAAAAACGGGGCGTTGTCACTATTTTCTACTTCACTTTGGCTCCTTGGTCGACACATAAACTCCATTTTGTACAATCAATATCGTCCATTACTTCGGCATTTGGAGACATTCCGCGACCTTCCCTTGACCGTGACATCTACGCCTTTTTTTTTTTTTCGAGGCTCGCATGTCCCCGACCCCAAGAAGATCGCGCGTCAACCTCCGACTGTCCTTATATTAAATCAGTCTCAACTGGATATCTCTCGATCGACCTGCCCTTGCTACCTTCGGTCCTCTGACCTGCCAAACCCTCCATCTGATTTCCGCAAGTAACGAAGCTCAACCGAACGACCACTCCAGCGTTCGGAAACCCGGGGGAGAGATAGCAGACCTTCTCCTCTGCCACTCCCCGGACCACGACAACACAGCGCTCGTGGTCTTGCCAAATTAGCCCACTTCAGATATTGCAACAAAGTCTGCAGTCTTCTCTTTCCATTCTACCCGACACTTCTTCGAGATCCGGCGCATACCTCGGCGCAAACTACTCGTAGAGTTACTCTCAATGTTCCGCAATCGGTGCGTGCCCTTTCTTTTTTCTGCACATGCATAAATGGCATTTGAGCCTCTTCTCTCAGAAAAACGAAAATAAAATGGCCACTAACATATTTTCTTTGAACTTTAGCAACAACACCCAGAAGCCTGATGATGAGTTCATCAGTCGCTTCCAAACCACATTCGCGGATATCGTTCCCCGACGGGCCAGTCAGGCAAATGCCTCACACAGCACATTTCCCGCCGGGACGGCAGATCCCATGGTCTCGAACAGGTATGCCGCCCAGTATTATGCCAGTCCGGGGCTAGAAGCTGATGTGGCACACGGTTCCAGACCGATGGAACACCACGATCTGAAAATGGAAGAGCACGACATGAAATTCCCCAGCGAACGAACTCCCCGAAATCTTCAAGATCTCAACTTTACGCCCTCATGGATCGATTCGCAATCAATGACGATGATGTCTCTTGCCGGGCAGCACCCGGGATTCTATACGCCCAACTCGGGGGGAATGGGTGCCATTTTCCACAATCAGGCCGGTGACCTACACACACCCACCGCTGGGTTGAATATGATTACGCCGCTTTCCCTCACCAACCCGATCCCCATTAACCAACATAATGGCCCGTCTACGATAAACCACTTCAATCAGCAATACCTCGCCCAACACATGCCCGATATGAATCCCTACATTCAACAACAAGCTTTTGCGCCAAGTGCATTCTTGCACCGCGACTCATTTGAAGCTATGGATGAGTCGGTGGACAGCACGTCTATCCACAGCCTTTCAATTGATCAAGCATCGAACATTTCCGCCCCCACGGAATACTCGGGTGCTCTCAATCCGAGCTACGTCGAAGGTGAAAAGTACGTGATTTCTTCCTGTCAGTTCAACTGTCACCCTACTAACTATACCTTCCGCGCCAGTTTCCGCTATAATGTCTCTCTACGAGCCCCGACGGCAATGGTAAAGCACCCCCGAGAAGTTCCGATCTCTTACCTCAACAAGGGTCAAGCATACAACCTCACAGTCGTGGACTCTAACCCGCCGATGGTCGGCTCTGAGCCGCTTCAATACCGAACATATGTACGAGTTTCCTTTGAAGAAGAAGAACAGCGTTCGAAGCCGGCTGCTTGCTGGCAACTATGGAAGGAGGGCCGTGGCATGAGCGAGTCACACCAGCGTGGAGGTAAGCTTCTGGCAGTGGAATACGTGGACCCACACCAAGGTGGTGAGGACCACAAGCACCGTCAGATTCAGGTTGAGCATGCGTCTTTCGATGGATTCTGCGTGACTTGGACCGCCAATCCCTCTACCGTCACACCTGATTGTTCGATTCCTGTGCGATTCAATTTCTTGTCTACCGATTTCAGTCATTCCAAGGGCGTGAAGGGTATTCCAGTGCGATTGTGTGCCAAGACGGAGCTCCTGACACCAGGCGATGAGTCGGCCAGCCCCCGCGAAGCGGAAGTGTGTTACTGCAAAGTGAAGCTTTTCCGTGACCACGGTGCCGAGCGCAAGCTTTCCAACGATATCGCGCATGTCAAGAAAACGATTGAGAAGCTGAAGCAGCAGATCGCTCAGGCAGAGATGGGCGGTGGTTTTGGCAAGCGCAAGCGCGGAAGCAACGCCACGGCGAACATGAAGCCGTCAGACCGGTCTAAAAACCCGAAACACAAGCGTACATGGTCCATGGGCTCCCAGGATGGCCAACAAGAAAAGTTGTCTTTGGAAGATGACTTGCAAGCCAAGCTGGTCATGATGCAGGACATGTTCTCTTCTACCCGCACTATGAGTATTCTTGCATTGCGTGGTGACGATGAAGATGACCCTGACTTGTTCCCTGTTCGACTACCTGCTGAAGGCGAATCCATCAAGGTGGAGCCTCTTAGTCGGCAGAACACGGGTGCTTCACACTCTATGGAGTCTTCAATTCTTTCTCCAATAAGCAGCAATGTTTCTTTGAACTCACCCCAAGTACACGAGAGCAAATTGGCTGGTATGAAGGATGTGAAGAACCCAACGACTGTTCCGCGGGTTACAACCGGTGATTCCATCTCGAATGGATTCATCGAGGCCGTTGATATTGACCCGACATACCGGCCACCCGCGGAGCGTCCACCAAAGCCTAGTATGTATAATTCCACGACTCTTAGTCTCTTGTCACTATTCTAACTATATCACAGTTGCATGCTTCTACGTCCGCTTCGCAGGTACCGACCAGGAGCCCGATTACTACCGTGCCATCTATCTCACCGAGCGCACGGTACGGGACCTGATGAGAAAGATCTCCGAGAAAAATCACCTCGACCCCTCTCGCATCGTGCGTATCTTGCATGTCAACCAGAACGGCCTTCGAATTATGGTTGATGACGATGTTGTCCGCGAGCTCCCGGAGGGACAGGATATGATTGTCGATATCTACGAATCTCCGGCTCCTTCGGCTGCGAGCGATGATTTGTCGCCTGGTACCCCGGTGGAAATCAAGTTGACATACTGATTTCGCCTTCGCCTCACCTTGCTACAACTTTTGATCTTTCCTTTTCTCTCCGCTCGGTCTCATTCTCTGCCTTCCTTGGCATCGAGTTGCACCTGGTGTGTAATTGCTTTTTTTGGAGACCAATTTCTGTGGTCTTCCAATCTTTAATTATCTTTTTTCTTTATTTTTCCTATCGTCATTCGTCATTGGGTCGACGGTTCTTCATCATTTACAGGGAGTTGGATCCGGAGGTAATACACGAGTCTCCGAACAATGATACCCTGTCGCCATATGTTATTTTTTGCTTTTTTTCTGATGATGTCATTGATTCTCAGTAAGGGCGTTGGTATCTATTTCATTCCTTCGCCGACGCTGTGTCGAAGGGCGACAGTGCGAAGAGTCGCTGATATACAAATACTGCGCTTTGCTACTCTCGATACCGCGATGATCCGCTTCTACTTTTCGATCTTGTTTTCTAATCCTGTTTCGTCCGTCTGGTCTCGGTTCGACGCACAGGATGTTGATACCCCGTTCCAAAGTCCTGATCTATGTCGCGTGTGTCCTCTCTGCATTTCTTTTTTTCTGATCTATCTCGTTCAGCGTTTTGATTGCTCTTATCTATATGTGACGCTTATTTCTCTTCTCCTCTTTTATTGTTGTGTTGGGGCGCATATACACGGACTTTGGATCTTTTTGATACAGACAGTCACTAGGGACGGGGTTATAAATCAACATATTTGATGCACTAGGTACAAAATACGACAACCTACTGATTCATCAAAACCTTCTTTCCACATTTCCATTCCTGATCATTAGACTCGTGTAGAAAAAGCCTACGCCGTCAGCGTCTTAAAATTTGATGCTTGGCATTACTCGGTGTTAATGAGATAGACACAAACCTAGTGGATAGGTCGAAATTAGAATTTCGGACCTAACACCAGCAAAAGGACTGACATTTCATAAAAAGCATAAATCTAACCTCCTTGTCAAAGTAGCTTCCACCTCCATGCCAGACAAAGATAAAGAGGCAACAGACACCCACGAAAACTCCAGCTCTGGCCAAGGATACAACATAGATAGTGGCTTGAGCTTCCACCGCCCCTTTACGGAGCAGTACAGGAGATTAAGAGTTTTTGGGTGAAAGACCCACCCCCAGAGCCGGTCCCAGTAACCAGGTAACTCGCTTAGGGCTGTCTAGTCCACAAATCCAGTGAATCCACGGGCTGGCCGCGGGTCGAACCACGCTTTTCCATCGTCTTCGACTTAGATCTGTGGCTTGTGTGCCATGGGTCGAGAATGGGTTAACGGGTGATAGTGTCTTGCATGAAACGGCGGTATGATCTCGGAGCTCCGGCGGGTGTGATTGGTCGGGGCACTAGGCCGTCTGTATCTTGGAGGTGTGATTGACGAATCTGGGCCTCGGGACGTGAGGAGGTTGTTTTCCTTTCCCCTTTCCGAGGCTTGGTGGGACTGGGGAGTGTGTGGCTTTTTTTGGGCTTGGGGGATGATGTGTGCCATGTGGGCGTTGATTAGGTAGAGTTTGATTGATGATAATATCAATGTTGTGTCACTGCTCTGCTCTTATTGCTCTGCTGGATAATTTCTCCGTTGTCTGATGCTTCGAGAGAGGGTCTTGTCTTGCATTAGTTAGGCGTTGGTCTCGGATGACTGTTATTTGGTCGAACTGGTTCGCTGTTATTGCTACTTCGAGTTCGAGGCTTGCTGTGCCATGTCCCATGGCGAAATTAGTGTTCTGTTACTGGGGCCAAACCGTTTGACGGACACGTTTAGGAAGCATACTGTAAATGGTCGTTTGAATACCTCATTGGCTTACCATTTGATAGTCTCATTTCGTTTAAGATTATCAAAGTAGATCACTTCATTCCCTTGAGTCTAGATATTCTGCAAATCTCCGTTGTTACCACTGTGTGAGACCGGTGTGTTTCATATTCGTTGACCTTCTCTTGTAAACGGTTCTATACCCACAGTTGCGACTCCCACGTTCTTCATCCTCCACTGCAGTAAATAGCTATGACGTCAGAAACACCCATTCTATCCTGGCACTCCCGAGTCATACCCCAGCATACGAACACTCCCAGCAGGCATCCATCCTGAATCACCACAGCTCGATCCAGAACGTTCTCCGGGTGCCTGCCGATCCAACCCCCCTGCTAGACTAGTAGACACACATCCCTTCCCTCTAGCTCAGTGGACCTCCGATCCATGCACAACCCCCCTCCATTCATCCCTTTCATCTATCATGCATGCCATTAGCGCTCATCTCTCGGGGAGACTTCCCAGCAAATCCCATCACTGCTTATTCTTCCTCAAACCTTCCCTATGACATCATTTTGTAGGTTCCTTGGCAGTGGGGCATTTAGGAATACGCCTCCTCGGTATTCCCTACAGTACGGAATTTCCGTAGAGTCCGTACACGCTCTAACCTGCCAGAATTAGATCCACCCCGCTAAATCTTTCCACGCGGGACGACCCGTTACATTACTTGGTCCAAACACGGGATGAAGTTGTGATGCACGTCTTTATACGATATTTCAAATGCTGGCTGTGAGGTACAGTATTTCGCTTTTTCGGTTCGATGGCGCCGTTTGTATGGAAGTACTGTACTGTGCTATTGTGGCTTTTCATTCCCCCGTTTAGCCAGCACATCCATGGATGGTTTTGGCGTTTTTGGCACTGCTGTACTTATTACTTCCTGTATGCGATATGCCCCGCTGGCACTGAAAGATGAGAGATCGTCTGCTTCATTCCCCTCTTCTGTTCCGCTTTTTTTGTGCGTCTGGACCGGTCGAGAAGCCACACTCGCTTACCGGCGTGATATGTATTTCCGATAGTGATCCATGTTTATGATTGGTATGATAGATAGTGAGAACAGCGGTCAAATGTGACTTTGACTCTGTGGTGTAGATAGTTGTAGCCACTATTCAGAGAGGCGCCCGTGGCGGTTTCAAAAGGCGTATCTAATAGTTTTGAGAGGCGTATCTTCCCCTGGTTACACAGAGTCTAGCCGGCTCGATTTGTTTTCCCCTAATTCTATCCTCCTGCTTCTAATCAAAGGAAATGATGTTTGATGCAACGCTGTGGCTGGTTTCCTTCGACTTAGATAGGAAGGCCCTTGTCCTGAATTTACTATATTCAATAGATCTGGTAAATTATTTAGTACAGTTACCTAGTGGAGCTTCCCCTGACAGCATGACCGTGGCGTTGGTGCTGCCTTAGATGTAGGGCTGGGAAATATGACATGTGTGGCTGGGTAGGTTTGTAGTTTAGTACGGGTAAACCATAGCATCGGGACTATATCTGATGGGTAGTGTGTTGATTGACCCTGTACCTTATTCGCGCTCATTCAAGAGAATTTTCTTGCGTACTGAGTAGAATTTAGGTCTTTCTTTTTGCTAGAATTATCTACTCACCAAAATGGGTTGTCTGGTGGGATATGAAGGTATTCGGATAACTACATGGTTTCTGTTACTGACTAGGGTTTTTGATATCTGCCCCTAGGTAGCTGTAGCACACCTTGTTTCAAACATCATTTGTCCGGGGATTTATAGAACCTTCCATGACTGAAAAATCCCGTCTTTCGGAGGTTCGTCTACTTATTAAATTGTAAAATGTTTCTGTATGCTTCGCCCTTATTGTCATCCAACCTGTTATCATTTTCTTCTAATCTACTTTTATGAAGACTATAGCTCATCATGTAATGTCCATCATTGCCGGGGAACGAATAGCAAAGAAGCTAATTATGCCTGAACTTGTCACTACCTCGATGGTAGAAAATAAGGTAGTATCTAGGACGTTGATCTCATTCTCTACTCTGAATTACACAAGCTCTTTCGGCGTGTTTACTCCTGCGTTGTACTCCTGGGAGGTGTAGTACATGTAACCTCAAATCTCCTTGTAACCACTATAGACAGCATCTTCCTTCTTAACGCTGTATGCCGATTTTGCCGGTGGTCACCATTAAAGACATCGGCACGAGGCAAGCACGTCGCCAATGACTCCGGGGGTCGTGCCTTCCTAGCCATGGGGGCACGACGGCCACCCCGTGACCCCGGTGCTTTTCTCTCTTCGTCTGGCGTTCTGACTCTCTTCTTCTTTTCTTCTCTTCCATCATTCTCTTCATCACCGCTCCTCGCGTTTTCCATCAAAAACACACTCGCTTCATCAATTTCGAGCTAACAGCTCTATCGACATTGGTTCCATCACTTCCTGTCGCGTCGAGATGTCTATCATCGCGAGTCTCCGCTTCGTGATGCTCCTGCTTGCCATTTTTATGGTGGGCGGGGGCTTCGCCCTCAGTAAGTTCACCGGTTGGACCCGCCTTAGGGACTTTCGCTCACATGTCGGTACAGATGTGGACGTTTTCGACGAGGCCCATGATGTCGTTGCTCGTAACGCTGCTGGTCGTACGTTTGTCTTCTTCCACTCCAGTCTCTCACTTCATCCACTCCAATCTCCAGCCAAGTCAAGCTGACCTTGTTGATACAGTGGATCGCTCCTTCGGTATGGCTGCTAACGCCTTTGTTCATGCTGCTCGTGGTAAGTCCTTCTCTGGTTTAACGAGGCCTGCATCATCGAGTGCCTGTCCTGACCTTGTAGTAGCCGTCGCCGAAGTCACTGGTGCCACCCTCACGGTTAGCGATGGCAAGCCTACTGAGACTTCCAAGGTCTCTTCCACCCTGACTGGTATCCCCGGCGTTACTTTCACGGTCGAGCCCACCAGCACTTCTCATGTCTCTTCCACCGTCATTGGAGTAACTCGTGTGACTGCCACTATTGAGCCCACCAGCACCTCGGAGGTCTCTTCCACCCCCATCCGTGTCACTTTGACTATCCCCACTGGCACTTCTGTGGTCTCCACCACCGAGACGGAGACGGAGACTGAGACTGAGCCTTGCGGTGGTGATGAGACTAGCTGGACTTTCACCATCGTTCCCACCAGCACCTTTCCTGCCTTGACTCCCGCTACCAAGACCGAGACCGAGACTGAGACCGAGGCTGTCAACTGCTCTCACACGACTCCCTGCCACACCTCGCAGACCTCGTCGACTGGATTTGGCATCACCATTTCCCTCACCAACACTGTCACTGGCACTGTCACCGGCACCAAGATCACTACCTCTTCCGGAGTTGCTGTTACCTCTGGTGTCGCTGTTACCTCTGGTGTCGCTGTTACCTCTGGTGTCGCTGTTACCTCTAGAAGCACTCTTGTCACCAAGTCTTCGGGCACTGGCAGCAAGACTACCGTTGAGAGTACCCCTGTCAAGTCAGGTACTTCTGCAGCCGGCACTGCGACTGCTACCACCGTCTTCAACGGTGCCAAGAGGCTGAAGGGCTTCAACTACGCCACTGGTTTCTACCTGCTTGTCTGCATGTTCGTTCTGTGAGCTGTCGACAGCATGCCTTTTCGGCTTCTCTACCAAAGCTACTAAGCGTGGTCGGTTCGGATTGCTAACGCCTTCATGTGCTTATGAAAAAGGCGACTCGGAGTTTGTTTTGCTTTCCTTTTCTGGGTGTGCCTGGGATACCATATCGGCTCCCTTCTATTTTCAATGTTTTCCCCTAATAACCAAACAACCATAGTGCGAGCATAGTCTACACCAGCTATTCAACACCTGGTCAACAAATTTCCAACTTGAGTGCCTTGTAATCTTGATTACTTCCACAGGTCTGGTCAAGTAATCCTGCTCTCTTAACATGGCCCCTCAGCAAAGTGAAGTTTAACGCCGATAATCAGGCCTCACTGAACTAACAGTGGAAGGTAATATCCTGTCGAGAGATCGCAATCCAAATCCTCTTGAAACTCCTTCCTTCTTCCAAGCCTGACCAACCTCGTCCACTCATTCCTAACAGCACTCCCGTTCGCAGCAGCAACAACCACATTTTCGTTACCAGGAACAATCCTCTGCACAGTAAGAGCCGCTTCCCCCAGGACAAAATGTTCATTAGGGCTCAACTTGTTCCCCTCGTTCCCATTTAGCAGGATCCGAGTATACAACGTTGTCTTTGGACGATTGAAATGCGCGACTTGGCACGGCATTGTACACGTTCGGGCATATCCGTGGTGTACTTCCATGCACCGTTGACTGACAACAGCGAATGTTGCAACGTCTCTGGCATCTTTGATGACTCGTATCCAATTGTTGGTTTCCCCGGTGGGGGAGGAGGAGGACGGGAATAGCTCGATGCGATGGGTACGTGGACTTCCTGTGAAAGGCCAGTATGCTTGTAGATGGTTTTCGTGGTCGACGCCGGTGTCTTCGAGGGCGATGATTGAGTTGAGGATTATGCGTCGAAGATATTCAATCCTTCTCGGATCTCCCTCTAGAGGGATATTGACTGGTGTGTCAATTTCGTCGGTAGAGAAGAGTTGAGTCCAGCAGGATTGTATACATTTGGGATCCGCTATTCGGTGTTCACAGGAGTTTGGTTCTTGTCGTGGTGTAAACATACTCGCGTGTCTCCTCGCTGTTGTATACGAAAGGCGAAGTGCATCCCAGAGTGTCACTCGGCGAGCATTCCCAGTACAGGCACTGACTTCCAAGCCAATATTGTGTGATAGAAGGGATCGTAAACGGGGCCTTCCATATTTGCAACTCTCAATGATCGATGTTTTCCATTTGCGTGCTGGATTGCGCTTATATTTTATCGTGCCACCGGCCTGAACGTAATTTCCCATCGTGGCTTGCATGGTCAAATCAAATCCTTCGAGGGTGTGATATGCGTTGTGTGCGCCGGAGGGCTGGAGTCGAGAGAGGATGCGTGCTTGGAGGTGGTTAATTGGTGCTCGACATCCTTCGTTGACACTCAATCCTGTCGTTGTAGACGACCCTGTGCCAATGAGGATCCGCGATGAACTGCACAATATAATCGGGCTTGCGGTTTCGTAACCCGTGTATGAGCGTGACCAATGACACTCAATCTCCGCTAGGGACTTATCGGTCTGCTTGTCGTGTGGAAGGGGAACAATGTATCCTGCCTCTGTTCGGATGAAGACGCCTTCATCGCCTACTCCACCCATTAGCCATACGGGACCCCACAGTTCTTGAAGGTCTTTGACTGTGAGTGACACCTTCAACCCATCCTTCTGTGACACATCTTGACCGGATTCGAGGATCCAGGCTGGTCCACTAACGAAGTCTTGCAAACAGGCCAAATCTCGCAAAGCGAAGGAGTGTCCTTGCCCAACAATGATCTCACTTAATTCCTCTCCCCAGAGGTTCTCGTCGAATCGGCAGACATGGGAGCCGGTGAAAGACACGAGGCCAACTGATAAGGCGTTGGTCAAAAACTGTAAATACTCAAGCTGATCCCAATTCGAGTCGGAAGAAGGGTCGCCAAAAGTATCGCGAAGCAATGGCCACTCAAAAATGGAGATAAACTGGGAAATCCCAGCTGCAATAGCGAGAGGCGACATTCTGTTAAGGGCGTCGTCAATGTCATGGATAGAAACCCGGACAGCGTTTGCAACGTTGGATCGGGATTGATCTCTAACCAAAATAGAGAATGAATTATCGCAAAAGCCCGCGTCCATCAGGTTTTGAAGTGCATCCCTGTTTCGCTGCATGGTGTCTCTGCATTCGAGGAGAGACTTTTCTTGCAGGTTGCGGCTCTTGATACCACAGATCTCTGCTGTTTTTTGCTCAAGAAGATCCAGCTTTCTATAATAGGCACTTGGATGGAGGATGTGTTCCATGTCCTCAAAATCTGCGATGCCAGTGTCGAGGTCAAAGTCCTCTTCTAGATCAGGCCGGGTAATGCTAGTTTCCATTGAAGTTGATTCTTCATCATCGGACTGTTGAGATGACTTGCTTGTATTTGAATCCATTGGTTTGAGATTGGGTCTTGGTGATTGTTTACTGCCTGTGTTCTTAAGAGGCACAAACGGTTTTTTAGCCAGACCCATGTGTGTATTGTCGTCAGATAAAGTGGTTGGCATCTTTATCTTCTCACCCGGACTCCATATTTCCTCGTCAATTGAAGCGAATTGCATGCCTTTCTGCCCCTCTCCACTGTTCTGGGAACTTCGGTACCAGAGTCCAGGATCCTCGTTTGCAGGTAACTCATAGATGGGTTCCATAGTTCGGGGATCATTCGTCAGGGTATCTTGCTTTGCATGCACCTCTGCTGGTACCTGGCTTTCATCTTTCTGAAGAGAGGGAATCTGCTGAGGTTTGTGTTTTCCATCCCCAAGATCACTTCTGGACTCACTGTCACCAGGTAATACCAAACAGTGCTTCATTATACACTGATAAAATGCATCCCAGCCTTGAACCGCGGTGGAACAGATAGCACACCGGTGTGAACATATCTGTGGAATTGTAGCCCTATCTAGCTCCTCTTGTCGTAGAAGTTGGCGGTGCTCAGTGTGGAAATGTCTCGTCAATTTATCCCGTCTTCGATATATTCTACCACACCCTATCTCCGGGCAGTGATACTCGTGCGAGGGAAAATGCCGGTCCATTAAATGCCTTTTGAAGACACTTCGGGTTCTCTCAGAGGTATACCCGCATAAGTAACACTGGTAGTGTTCTTGCGATGTATTGGGAACGGAAGACGCGACTGGGGCGACAAATTCAGGTTTGGGTTGCTCAAGGCTTTCAGTAGTAGTCGTTTGACGAATCAGATCTTCAACGTGGCTCATAAGTTCTTGCAGATCACTTCGTAGGTTTAGCAGTTGGGATTGAGGCAGTGAATGCCCGGCCTGCAGATTTGCGCCCACTCTCTGAAGACGTCGACCCAGGCTTTCAAATATCATATCACGAGCGCTATCTGGGACCGGGTGTATGCTCGGCAGTTGATTTGAAATGTGATGACTATCATCAATCTGAGCATCGAATGCAACACTTGCTGGCCTGGAAGTCATCGGGGTACGATAAAATCTTCCATGGGCTCTGCCAGTTGAACTGTCACCCGACCTGGTACTTCCTGAATACATCGACGGGTTGCTATAGGACGTGCTTGTTGGGACATTGTAGCTCAGTGACCGGTCATGGATATCCGTGGGTGGGGGAGGAATTATAATGTCGTCTTCAAGAGGAAGTTCTTCGGGAACCAGATGATCCGAGAGATTAGAATTCAGATCTCCAGTACCTAGAAGTTCCGGGCTATGAGGTCTCAGATCTCCAAGATGGAGGACTGGTCGATCCAGGTGATCAGGATAAATAGCTCCAATACCTCGAAGTATTTGGCTCTGAGATCTCAGATCTCTAGTGCGTAGCAGTTCTGGGCTGTGAGGTCTCAGATCTTCAAGATGGACGTCTTCGAGAATCGGATGACTTGAGATACAATAAGTTGATGACTGTTCATGACGATTCGCCCACTGGGAATCAATAATACTCTCATAGTCAAGAGGAAGTTCTAGGATCGGAGGATCCTCCATTTCGACGTCCAGAGGTGGCTGATAGTAGGACATCGGCGGCGGCCATTCTGTATCATCCTCGTCCATATTGGAACGACCTGAAAGAGGCACGCAGGAAGTTTGAACACCATAGAATAATTCAATTCGTTCTGAATAATCGAAGTCGGGTCCCCTCCACCTTCTTAAGGTTGCGTGTCGGCAGCAATTGCCTCGATTACCCGGGTGCTGTCAGCTGTCTAGTATTGGTCCATCGTGTGACTAGGATGCATGAGCTGCCGATGAAGGTCCAATGAAACTTATCTTACGCGACGCCTTGCAAACCCTAAATAGCAGTCAGTCTAGCCAGAAGGAATATCCGATCTATCAGCCAATCTAAACGAACAAGAAATGCCACGGACACGACATTGAGCCTCCTCGTGTAATGATTTCGGGAGGCCTGACCTATTACTCCCAAAGAAAGTCTGCCAGCACAGCCTCCTATGAGGCTATGTTGGTTAGAAAAAAGACTGGTCAGATAACCATCTACAGGAAGACGGAAAAGCTGTGGCTGTGCACTAACATGTATAGTATGCCTTACTATACCCTAAAAGTCTGTTTATATTGGTTGGCTCATTGTGGCTGTTCCTCTGCTTCCTCAGTCATTGTCTATAGTGTTGGTATCTTGATTCATCAAGCATACAAAGGGACGATCGATTGCCGACAGTTTTTTACCTGCCATTTTGTGCTTGATTAGGAAGGCTGGGCAAAGGATAGAACGTGTCCAGATTCACACTATATCCTGATAGCCAACGTCGTTCATGCTTTGATGACAGGCCTGCCGCTTGATTTTATCGTCTCGGTTTGTTAGAACAATACGCCGACTGGGACGGATAAATCTGCCCAGAGCACATTTAAGATACTCAATCCCGAAATTTCGAAAATTTTTGCCGAGTTGCTAATTGTAAAAAGACATGCCGGATCCGAGAAAACAAGGAAGTGACGTTTGTAGCCACCCCTTTGATGACCAAGGTATTAGCATATCACTTGAAAGCTTGTAAACGTGACTTGACAACTACATAGGATTTGCCTTCTTCACAGCATCGACAGGTGGCCCGAGTAAAATCACAGGGTATCTCAAAAGAAACAAAGGGGATGCAAGATCATTTACATGCAGAAATGGGTATATGAAGAGATTATTCAATTAGACTTCGCCTTCGCTGCCAAGGGACTCGATTTTCCTTGTCAGAGCACAGATCCGACACCCGTCGCCGATCTTGTCGCGCAAAAGACGTGCTGTGGTAACCTTCGGGCCTACCGTGCGAGAGGCACTTGATGTGGTGGGCTCCTCGGAGGGGGATGAAGGACGGGGCGTGCGATCTGCAGACCTGTTCGGAGTGCCCACACTGGATGGTTGCTGCGATCCCTCTGAATGCAAGTGCGAGAGATGGAAAACGTGTCCGCAAGCAAAGCCAACGAGAATCTCGCGTTCTATAAAATAACTTGTTAGCCATGGACAATTCCACTGACGGGTTGAGACTTAAGAACTTACCATTTGGTTGGAAGGGGGCATTGCAGCCACCACAACGTCCTTGGCCAGGACCCCCGCGCCGGGTTGAGCCGCTAGATACTGACTTGTCATCACCTTGGCCGTTGGTTTGTGCGATGTTCGGATGCTTCACCCCATCAACACCCTCATCATTGATGTTGAATTTGATTCCACGTCTTTGTCCTTGGCGCAGTGTGTCCATTCCCAAAGCAACCTCACTCTGCATGACTCGAGCAGCACCCTGGCTAATACTGGTCTGTAGATCATGTTCACGAATCAATCGAGTAAGGCCGTCCCGCAAGCCCTCAATCTCCAGTCCGCTTGGAATTCGGCGGACTAGCTTGATGGGATCAATGGATGTTCCAGCCTCCACAAGCAGCCCGTGGATGAACTTTGGCTTATCCATAGAGTAATCAAGAAGGTCCTCCCATAGGTCTGGATCATCTTGGGTCTTGGCGAATGAGATGGCCTGTGACACATCCTTCAGGTCCGATAGGATCAGGTTCAAAGCCCGCTTTGTCTGGCCCACCTTCGATAGCAGGTAAATCAGCTCTTGAGTAAAGTGGCGCTGTTCACAGATATGGGTGGCTGTCTCGAAAGAATATGAAATGCTGGTTTGCAAGAATTCCATCAGCAGCGGCCGATCATAATCAGCAAAGACCTCCACAGCAGTATCGGCAAAAGCATCAATGAGGGCTTTCCCTTCGTCGGCTGCTAATTTGCTTGCTGCATCACGAGCATGAGCTCCCCGGCCTCGTCGGGGTTTGGAGGTATCGTGGGGCAAGGCTTCACCACGCCAGAGAGCACGAAGATAGAAGTAGAGGAACAAGATTCGGTTTGCAGCCTTGAGCTGGGATACCACTGTCTCAGGGCGAACAATACCAGTGTAGGCTTCGCTAACCAAGAGCTGTATTGGCTCCGCAGCCAGCTCTTCCAGTTCTGACTTTGGAGCCGATTTCATCTGCTCTTTGGTTACTCGAATCATGATAAAAGCAGGGATATCATCCGACACCGCGTCGACCAGGTGATGTTCCTTTATCAATGCCATGGCTGCTTCCGCATCTTGAAGTCGAATGTAGCAATGCAATGCCTCGCGATAATGACCGCCCATTAGGTACAGCTTGGCAAGACTATCAGTAAGAATTTGCCAATCATCTGACTGGACTAGTATTGAATCCGATTTGATTTGGTCCTCAATAGACAGAATCACGCTGTCTGGTTCGAACAAATCCGAAGGCCACGAATCAACTAGATCTTTGAACCGGCCAAGATCCCGCGAAGCATAATGGTTAAGAACAAATTCATAGATTTCCGCAGAGATGGAAGGGTGTAGGTTGATCGGAATATGGGGGGTTATCTCATCCACCCTGCCTTTCTTGATGAACACCCATGCCCAGTGTTCCCAGCGGGGGGTAGCGCGTAGAACCTTCTCACAGATTTCAGCAGCTTCTGACCACTTGCCTTGGTCAATTAGTTGCTCAATCCATCGTTCACCGATCCGGGCCTTTTCTTGATCGGAAGCGGAAGCTTTTGCTGGACCAGCAGTCAAGACTGACGATCGATCGTCTGCAAAAAAGTCTCCCAAACTACTTTGCGACCTGAGACCAGGGGGGATTTCAGCCAAGTCTGGAATCGATCCTGCGACTTCAGGGTGCTCATCGATGAGGTTCCACGCTTGCTCGTATTGGCCCCGGGAATTCAACCAAGCGAGTCGGTCTGCAAAATCTCTCTTCATTGCAACAACACAGTCGTACGGGCTGTGGACAAATATCTTTGCGCCCGGGGCTCCTGAGACATCTTGTACTTCCTTGGGAGGTGGGTCATCAATGGAGAGTTGCCTTGAAATAAATGACGGGGGAACTCTGGCCGATACTCTGTCACCGCTGCTCGTAGTGCTGCGAATGCTAGCACCAGAGCTAAAGAGCCTGGCAGAGTACATTGTGGCATCGAGAAGACCATGCCCAATAGTGCCAAGAGCACCTCGCTGAACCACCTGTCCTTCCGGTGTCTTCCATGGCGGCAAGACACTCAAATGATAGTCCGAAGATGTTAAGCCTTCAAAGCGGCTAACAGACAAGGTGTCTGCACTGAGCTCTTCCTTTGTCTCGATATCGATGATCCGCAGTTCAGGCTCCAGACTCCTCTGCCGGTGACGTCTCCCAGAAGTCTCTCCGGCACTCCCTGGAGAATCACTTTCCGCCTCGATGTGTGCAAGTACAACAAGGAGACGAGGGCTATACAATGAGATGCCAGATATCACACAGTCCGTTCGTAATCTGGATTTGAGAAGCTTAGCATTGAATCTCAAAGGGTCGTGTAGCGTGCAACTTACATCGTAGATACTTCCGCAGAACCATACCGTTGGCCCTTCGAGGACTTGCATGCTCGGTCAGGAAAGACATCAATTGCCCACACAGTACCTCCCCAGCCCACGACCAGCTTTTCAGTCTTTTCTGTTGGTACGGTTGAAGGTGTATGTTTTGCGGGGGTCGGATCGCCAGGATTTAACAGGACATCATCGTCCAATGTAGTTTCATCGATCCACTCGGCGCGTGCTTTCCAGACACTAGCCATTTCGTCCCACCCAGGCCCGTTTGGACGATCAATATGACTGATCCGCTTCCACGCGAACTCCGATTCAGACGATTCGAGATGCAAGTTGGATCGCATGATCTTGATGCCCTCCTCGTTCACCCAAGTAACGTATTTACCAGACAGGGACCATCTAATTGTGCTAATGGCGCCTTCGCCGCTGTGTAAGACAGTGTCTTTCCCATTGCTTGCACCCAGGCCCATGGATCCCAGCCAGCTGGAAGCTGTAGCAGTTGCACCTCCCATTGTAGTGGCGTTGGAGCTCACCCCAACACGGCCGCCGGTTGTGAGAATCAACTCGCCGGCTCGGCCACCGGAAATAAATGACCGATCGTTCTTGTAGTCGGGAGAAAGCGCGACCGCTTGAACTGGTCGGCCAAAGTTCCGCTTGAGGATATCTTTGGGGTCGATCAATGAGGAAATGCATACATTGCCGTCAATTGACGATGATGCAATGTGTATTGAGTTCGAAGGCGTCGGTGGAATGGGTCCCTGCTGACTCGACTTGGGATGCCCGCGAATGCTACCCGAGCTGGTCGATGTCCGTGTCGGTGGTCGCACATCTTCTGCAGTTGGTCTGTTGGAGGCATCAACCCTGAGTTTCGGCAGAGGAGGGGGAAATGGCGATATAGATATGGACGTGACGCTTGCTGAGTGTGCATGGTATACGCGAAGGGGCTGCAGAAAAGGCAAAGATAGGACATGCTGGGTAGGATGTATTAGTGCTTGCTTTAGGTGGAAGCGACAGGGTATAGATCGCTTACAATAACGCCATTATGAGTCCCAACAATCTAGCAGTAATTGTTAGCAACTTCCGTCATGAGAATCCTAAAGCCAAACTCACCATCTTGTCTCCTGCGACCAGGAATGTGCTGGTCGCATCGCCGTTGCGATATACTGATCCCAAGTGCTTGGTGAGGTAAGCGTATTTGAGTCGGGGCTCCTCGTCATCCTCGTCAGAGTCCTCCTCATCTTCTTCTTCCTCCTCTTCCTCCTCTTCCTCCTCTTCGTCGAGGTCATCACTCGCTGCGGTATCGGCGTCGCCATCTTGATAGTCCTTCTCGTGTTCGTCAGGGTTGGCGCCCGAAGAGGATCGGCTCCGTGCAGAGGACACATCAAGCTCCGGAGCACCCTTTGTATCCCCCTCGTTCACCGTTCTCACACCAGGCGCATCCATGGCAAGACCTCGTAGCGCCTGGGAGCTCCAGGCGGGTTAGAATGGAAGTGCGACAAGCATAAGGGAGCTGGTGGGACCTGGATTGCAGCTGGGAGCTGGGGTTCGGAGTGGAGCATAGCTGACTAAGCGGGTGGGATCCTCGGCTCCTGCAGGTGATGACATTGTCGCGCTTTTTTTCACTCGACTATGCGCTGCGATGTTTGCTAGAACATCCCTCTGCTCAGCTTGCAAGCGACCGGTGGCCGCCCGCCTGTTGCGGTCTCCACAGAATCAATTCCTCCATGCATTACCGCGATTGGGTCTCCCGCGCCGGAAAGACTTCTTCTCCTCCAGCGTTTACCTCGCGCAGCAGCAGCTAAGCACAGATGACGGGTCCTCAGACAACCTTGATTCCCAGAAACAGCGACAGCGCGGCGGGAGAATACCGGCTGCCCCTACATCACTGCGACGAGTTGCAGTAGAGGCACAAAGATCGAAGGATGGAATTCTTTCGAAGGCCCAGCTCAAGGAAAAGGGCATTCACCAATCCAAGGTAAGCCCGCCCTCCGAGATCTTTGGCGACTCTTACTAATTCTTCTTTGTCTCTTATAGACAGTCACTGCCTACGCTGTAGCCGAACAATTCAATATACGCAAAGTACGCGAGATCCTACAAGAAAAGGGGTATGAACCTGATCCGCTGGCCACCGGGCTCTATCCACAAGTGGTTCACGTCCAAATACCTATCGACTCAATTCGGCGGGTGGGAAATCCTTCCACTACTGGTCTATCATCGGACGAGGTTGGCGATGTCTTTGTTTTCCCGTCTGGGACAGTAGTGGCATGGTCACTCCCGGATGGGTTTACCTCATTCTTGGCAACGAGAACTCTACTTCCGGCTGCTGAAAACGCCCACGTTGACGATTTTGAAACTGAAGATCTCGAGTTTGTCGAGGATCCTCAGCGAGAAAACAGCAGCATCAAGGGCGACACAATCATTCTCGGCACTAAGTCGGGCGATCTAGGCCCAGAAACACCCCGCCTAAATCAACAATCAATTGACACGGTTCTAACCAAAGTTGCATTCTCATCGGGCCTGGCACGGAGTACCAAGCTCGCAGTTCTTGAGAGCCTTCTATCGAACTATTTCGAATCGACTCGCACCATTCCCACTCTCCTCTCGCGGGGCTCGCGCCTACCCTTTACTCGGGATTTTGTCCTTCGCAAGACAGGCCAGTTGCTCAGTGTCCGCGCACAGCTCAATCTTTACTCGGAGCTTACCGACTCTCTTCCGGACCTCTTTTGGGACAGTCGACATGAGCTTGGCTTGGAGGAATACTATGAACAAGTGGGCCGAGCTCTGGACGTGGGAATCCGCATCAAACTTCTGAATGAAAAGATGGATTATGCGCAAGAGATAGCAAGCGTGCTTCGCGAGCGTCTCAGTGAAACACATGGACTTCGGCTTGAATGGATCATTATTCTGCTCATCGCTGTCGAGGTTGGCTTCGAAGTGCTGAGGTTGTGGAAGGAGAGGGTCCACGAGCAGCAAGAGATCGCGCAGAAGCGATCATCTGAAGCTGAGAATGTGTAATATTTCACATACTTTCGGTTATACAATGTAGCATACAATGAGATACCCCTTCACTCTTCATTCATTTTGACTCCTGTCTCCACTGCGGAGCTTCCCATGGATCGTGACCAGATCCGATCACGGGGTTGGGGCTGGTGATCGCCTTAGTCAGCGAAGCTTGGCGCATGGGCGATAACAACCTCAACCTCCATTCTACTTGTCTTTCTTTTGTAATAAACACAGTAAACTTCACCTACAATCCCGTCGAGATTGCTGATTGAACACTTCAACAACTTATCAACACTCTACCATGTGGAACCCGGCCCAGCAGGTCTCGGGGATCCCAGGACCCCAGAAGATCCTCAAGACGTTGGGTACCTGGTGGATATCGTCGGCTACAGATGATAAGAAGCCGACAATCGGAGCTTCGAATTCTTGCCCTCTGACTGAGATCAGCTGTCAAACGAAATATCATGGTCAGGACACCTGCTGTTTCAATTATCCGGGCGGTCAGATGCTGCAGACGCAGTTCTGGGATGCCGACCCCGCGGTTGGTCCCGATGACTCCTGGACTATCCACGGCTTGTGGTAAGCCGTCATCCAGACCAGAATGGACGAGCTTCAATTTTATTCTAACGTTCCATAGGCCTGATCATTGCAATGGCGGCTTTGACCAATTTTGTGACTCCAAGCGGAGATACAGTAATATCTCGCTGATTCTGGTCGACTCCGGCCGCGGAGATCTGCTCGAGTACATGAGTGAATACTGGAAGGACTACCGCGGCGACGATGCTCACCTATGGCAACATGAATGGGAAAAGCACGGCACCTGTGTCAGCACTCTTGAAACGCACTGCTATGAGGACTACATCCCCCAGCAGGATGTGGTAGACTATTTCGACAAGTCGGTCGAGGTCTTCAAGCAGGTCCCTTCATACGAGGTATGTTGTATCCCATGTCCAACTTGATGATCGCCTCGCTCAATCCTTGTGCAGTTCCTTGCAGCGGCTGGGATTGTCCCGTCACACAGCCAAACCTATGCACTTGCAGATGTCGAAGATGCGCTGGAGCGTGCCCACGGTGCCCCCGTCACAGTGCATTGTCGTCAGGGCTCTCTCAGTGAGATCTGGTATCATTTCAATATTGCAGGAAGTCTACAAAATGGGAAATTTGTTTCCGCACCCCCAGGTTCGATGGATCATGCAATCTCTCGGTCGCACTGGCGTGCTAACAATACCCTAGATGGCCAAACTTCCAACTGCCCCAGGCGAGGCATTCGCTATCCGCCCAAGCGATCAGCGCCCGAGCCAACCAAGACCACTACACACGGGTCGGAACCTACGAAAACGGGAGCTCCCTTTTCAGGAAAAGGAAACCTGATGGTATCCACCCTCAACCAAAGACGAGGCTGCATCATCAGCTACGGTACCTGGTACGCCGCTGGAACATGTGCTACTTTCCGGGCACAGAAAGCATCAGGTTGGTCTTTCTTCTCTTTTATTTGCGCGGAGATGTCATTGTGTTTTTCTATACTAACATAGACTTTGCAGACGATACCTTTACTCTAAAATCTAGCAAGGGCCTCTGCGCGTTCGAGGATGACGCCCTGAACTGCGGCAGTCATGTCAGCAAAGCAAGCGAGTTCACGGTATGTTATGTATCTTGAACTTATGTCTGTCGGTTTCCATTGATGCTAATCAGCTATCCAATAACAGGTCCAAGATGACAAGCTCACTTATCTTGGAAACACTACCTTTTACGCGGACAAGGCCCCCAAAGGCCAGGTCCAGAGCACCGTTTTTGCGTCTCAGGTAGAGCATTTGATCGAAATAGAAATTCTCTGGAAGTCGAAAGATGCATTCTGATGTATCTTTGCGTCCAACGCTGCCAATCGCTTATTTCGTTATAGCATTATCTCATCTATTTTGTGATATTATTAGATTCAGTGGCTAGGGTTGGGGCGAATGTTTGCGCCTTATGTATAGCTATATGCAAGCAGTATTTTTTGAGCAGGTTACCAGGCCCTCGAATAGAATTAACATAAACTATTTTTGGTACTTGATGAGGTCCACTTTGTACGCCATGGATTGTCCTTATGTGACAGTTGGACTAGTAGTGGCTATAAATAGCTTCAAATGGATTTCTGATGGGGCTCAGCAGTGAGATATCGCAAGTTTTCAACCTTCTGCCTCACTTCCTCTCCTTATCTTCCCAAATAAGCAGTTCAATTAGATGTTCGCCGGTTGTTGGCAGCGGCAATTCTGCGGTTGCCCATCACCTTCGCCGCTACGAAGCATCAATTCGAGCTATCATGAGTTCCACGATGTTAGTAACAATCTCAAACAAGGCAATATCTCCAGATATGACTCACCAACTCAAGGTCTCCCAGAGCCTGGCTTGGGCTCTGTTCAGGATTCACCTTGCCCTCTGCAAGAGCCTGTCCCCACTGTCGAACTTCTGGTGGCACGCCTGTCCGCTCGTCTTGAACATCCTGAACATCTTCTTTACCATCCAATGTTCGCACGGTGATCTTGGAAAAGTCGACAGAGACACTGCCATTCTCGCACCCAACGGTCCATTCAGGACCTACCAGGCTAGTTCCGTTCGACACTTGGAAAGTACCCTGAACTCCCGTATTGGTCTTGAGAATTGCATCAACCGTATCAACAGGTGGCAAATACTCCTTGAGCAGAGTTGTAAATGCGGACAGTCGAGTGATGAAGGTGTCGGGTCCAAGTAGGTAACGTAGTCCAGCCGTATAATGCACTCCACCGTCAAGCAGGAAGCCACCTTGGTGCGTAGGAACCTTTCGCCAGTCGGTGTCTAGATCGATGAATGTCAGCTTCTCATACATGCAGAAATAAAAAACGGGAGTCTTACTGAAGAACTTTCCGTCCTGCTGGATGTTCCCATAGACCTTGACGCGGAATCCAATAATCTTTCCTAGGCCCTGGACTTTCTCCCGAGCCTGTCGGAAGCTATCGAGATAGCGGAAATTCTCGGCTACACTCCAAGTAGCCTTCTTCTGGGGCTCGATTTCCTCGCGATACCATTTGATCAGTGCCTCTGCCTCTGCAACGTTTTCGGCCACGGGTTTCTCAGACAAAACATGCTTTCCTGCGGAAAGTGCTGCGCGGATATAAGAGGCCTGGGAAGCGATAGGAAGTCTGAATACTTTGTGAGCTTGAATTCAAAATGCACCGGTCGAATGGGTACTCACGCGATAATGACTGCGTCGACATCCTCCCGCTTCAGCACATCGTTGTATCCCTGATTCGAGTCCTCTGAATACAGCTCAACCAGCTTCCCCGAGGCCTGGGCAGTATCTTCTGCAGATCTCAGCGACCGAGAATAAATTGCCTTTAGTTCCAAGTGCTCCGATGCGAGCACCGCGGGCTATGAAAGACGAATGAGTCACCATCTCCCTCATTGATTACCAAGTAGCCAACATACCAGATGCTCTTCCTTCGCCCAGATTCCTCCCCCGATCAATGCTACGCCAAAGGTCATTTTCGTTCAAAGATGGTTTTTGAATTGGTGAGCAGGTTTTCTGTGACATTCAACCTTACAGACAACTGTCAAGTGGGATGTTGCGTGATAAATAACCCGTATTCGGTGCGGGGAAGGTTGTGCAACCCAAGTCGGAGATGCTCCGACGGATGTTCAACAGACTCTTTCGACACGGAAGTTTCGATATTGTCAAAGTCCCTTTTAGCCTGAATCGCTCACCGTTCACGATGCGATGCTTAGGAATCAAGACTGCCGAGAGCTCTGCAGCTAAACTTTATTTTGGAAATTATCAGAGCCACACATGTCACCCCAGTTCATCTGCTTGTACTCCAAAGTCCTAATCCTTCGCGACACAAATGCAAGGAGGGGTAAGAGGGGCTGAGGCACACGGTTTTCGTTTTCGTTTAAACCCTGACGTGAGGCTGTGACGCTATTCTAGCAACATGAACTTTGTATCATTGTGGAATCCGAGGCATCGAATGTTCCTAGTTCACGCTCCGCCAACTGGCGAGCTCAAATCGAGGAGCGGATCAGAACCCGAAGTGGGGACCTGCAGCTCACTAACTCAACTCCGTAGTCGGCCACACCTTAAGTAACCACATGATTTTTCGTGAATTGAGGCTGTTCACGCTGTATTCTTCGATTATAGGATATCACACTCTTTTCGTGCTCGTCAATCAAGCCTTTAAGGTCTTGATCTCTTCGCGTTCGGTTTCCCCGCCGCCTTATTCAAGTGCGCGACTCAGACGCGGCAAAGCAATCTTCACTTGGATTTAATATCCACAATAACGGCATGACGAGTACCCAACATGGCCTCAAAAGATGCATCGATCCTACCCGCAGACATCATAGAGTCTCAATTGGCTACAATTGATCTCATAGCGGCGATGTACCCATCTCCCGGGGAGCTGGAAATCCCTGAATCCACAACAGAGTGCATCGAAAGGCTGCGCGATTGGTGCCAGGAACCTACCTCCACACCACCTAAGATTCCTACCAGTATATCTCTCACTGTGTGTCTACCAATTGCAGATGAATATAAGACAATACAAGTCAACATTTCGGTGCCGCTGCAATCTGAAGGTCAACAGTCAATCGACCAACCCCCACCATTGGGATATTCCCTTCGCCAACCGGACTGGATGTCCAAAGCTGAAGTAGCAGAACTGGCCGCCTCAATGCCAAAAGATGACGCACTAGAAGCTTTCGAATATATCCAAACGGAATCCGCCCGCTTTCTTGAAACCAAGCAAAGCCAAGCTACGGCTTTGGAGGGACCCAACACAAAATCCGGCCCACTTGTGAGAGTGTGGTTCTACTTCCCCTCTTTATCCACTCGGAAAAAGAGAGACGACATGGTCAATCTCGCACCGGGGTATTCTCTGACGGGATTTGTGCTTGCCGGAAAACCGGGGGTATTATGTCTCGAGGGTCTGTCAGTGGATATCGATGCTTATATGAGCTTCATCAAGACTCATTCTTGGGGGGATATTCCGAGTCATCAAAAAAAAGTCAGTGAGCGGTTTCGGGAGACGGAGGGTGTTCAAAGGGTTTTTCCGGGGATGGAAGAGATTACGGACTCGTTGGGGGAACGAGGTGGGCAACGGGCTAATCGAGGGGATATGCAAGCGTTGGAGGCTTGGTTGGGGAATAAAGGGTTGCAAGAGGCGTTTGAAAAGGTGATATTCTAGATCATCTGGCTTGTCGGAGAGGTTGAAGTAAATAGTTTGTGTTGAACACTAGATCATAGAACAGAGGGGAGTACTAGTTACACTCTACAGCTATAGAATACAAGGTCTACATGAATTGTTAATGAGAGACAGAACTATACTGTAATTCGCGTCACATCCGTCAACGGGAGTGATCAAAAGTCTAAGATACAGGCTAACAATATCGAGAACGCTTCGCTACAGCAGATAAAAAGAATACGCCAGGAAAGTCTGCCCGCATATAGCTAGCTACAGAAATTTCCATTCATAACACATCAAGTACAAATCAAATGGTAAGGAGGGGGTGAAAAATTAAGGGAGAGGGAAACACAATGAAACGCGCCATAAGGCAATCTAGCAATCCCAGGAATCCCATGGGTAGCGACAAAGCCACCCGGGAAGAAGAAAAGAAAACACCATGTTCGGAAAAAATAGGAATGTGGAACAGAAGAGGGAATACAAAATTCAAGTGGGTAGATGGGCAAACAGATGGGGGAAAGTGAAAAAGAAAAGCAATAGTCAGTACTCCCAAGGCCCAAGTTACACCAGAAATTTCCCCAAACCCCTCGTCAGAAGGGGTATTGTCATGTGCGCTAAAGTCCGAATGTGCAGAAGAAGAACATCAAACCCCGAGACAGCTGGCGTAGAGAGCCAGGTCAAGGGGCATACCAAAAAAAGAAGTGCTCGCAAGTATTGTCGTGCATCGTCAGATTGTACAAGCTCGTATCGTGTCATCGCAAAATTGCGCCGCGCCGGAAAGAAGAAATAAAGGCAGTCACATCGTCTAAGTCATGCTTTTGATCGAGAAAAATGAAACGTGGTAGTGATTTCGTGTAGGCCACACTCAAGGATCAACCAGGAACTCATTGGAGAGCGAGTCGATTTGGTCCGAATAAGGGTCATCCAGGGGGTTGAGCCCAGGGAAACTCTTCTCGGGCATGTCGGTGTAGAATGAAGAGGTGGGGAAATCAGACGAATCGACATAAGAGTATGTGTTTGAGAAGCTAGACAGTGCCTGGGTGGTGATGTTGCCAAACTCCTCCTGCACTTGCTCCGAAGGATCTTGAGTCATGAAGAAATCAATCTCCGAGCCCACAGAGGACTCGGCCAGTGTAGGTGCGGTGTGCGGAGAAGACATGTCGTGAGGAGGAGAAAGGGCAGGGTCACTGTATAGATACTCTTGAGAGGACCCTCCAACCACGTTGGGGTTGAACTGAGCAATGGCTTGCTCGTATCGAGCGTGGGCCATTTGTGGAGGCGACAGAGGCGGAAGCAGGTCATCGTCGAATTGAGATGAGAACGAATTTCCAGCCGGCAGCGGTGACGGGACGTCGTTCAGACTAGCACCGGGAGAGGTAGGCGGGGTGAATGATGAGATGCTGTTGGATGGAGCATAGTTAGGCGATGCGAAGACAGGGCCTTCCTGGAGAAGAGCACCCTCAGCCTTGATTGGTGTGAACGACTCGGTCTTTTCGGCAACGCGTTGACGGGTCCGGGTGGACTTGGTTTTGCGGGTTTCGATATCGGGTCGGTTCTTCTTAGGCGGACGACCACGTCGCGTGGTCTTCAGCGTGTGGCCATTGTATCCACCAACGCACATATCGCGCTGACGGTGACGGGTCAGGGCATCTTGACGAGCGAAACTAGCACCACAGCGGCAAGCGAACGGCTTCTTGCCAGTGTGGGTCTTCAGGTGGCGCTTGAGATCGTGGCCTCGAACAAACTTCTTATCGCAAACATCGCATTTGTAGGGGCGATCATCGAGATGGGTCTGCACATGGGACTTGATATTCTCCTTGCGACCGAAGCGGCAATTCTCGCAATCATGCCACAAGCACACCCACTTTCCGTCCTTAGGATCAGGGCCAGAGATGTACTTGTTGATCTCATCATTGGAGACACCCGTCTCTCGAACGGATGCCTTGACACGAGCATCTAGGTCAAAATCATCGATGGGCTCGCCATCCATTTCGGAGCCAGATCGCATAAGCGAGGACTCCATCGAGTCAGCACGCTCGTGACGGCCACCCAACGAAGGGGTTTCAGAGCCATCAGATAGACCGCAGGAGCCTGGAGAGGGCATTGCGGCCAATTCGGCGAAAGCAATAGACGGCGATTCCGCGGGCGAGGGGATATGATGCTTGAGCTGCACGGGACTAGCCAAAGAGACTCCTTGGAGAGACTGAGCTCTTTGCATTTCGGAACTGACTGGGGTACGGGGAATGGAGAAGCTTTGGGACTTGGTGGGGGTCTGGTCACTGCTGTACATGGTAAAATCAAAGGAACCCTTCATCGGGGTAGACTCGGGGGTAAGGGGGGAAGAGTCTGTCAGACAATGTCAGTTAGTGATTAATGGGATGAATAAGTATTGATCTTACAAGACAAATATGGGTTCATCTTGGGAGAGATACCCTCTGGTTGAACAGAGAGTGGTTGCATCAGTCGAGGGTGTCCGGTGGCTTGCTCTCTCTGCATCATTGAAAAGTTGCGCTCCTGGCGCATACGGTGGAGGGCACTCTGCAAAGATGCATTCTTATCGGAGCTTTCACTAGCGGACCTTGAAAGAGCTGGGGCAATTGTTGTTGCAGGGGAAGTCGACGCAGCGGATGCCGAGTATAGTCTATGCAATTCCTCCTGGCTCCACATGGCGGAGGACTGATATTGATACTGTTGTTGCGGCACAGGGAGTCCATTTGACATAAAGGACTGTTCTGATCGTTGAATGTAGGCAGGGAACTGTTGCGCATTCCTTGCTTGTTGTTGGGGAAGACCTGCTGATTTTGCGTTAAAGTAGTCTCGAAGCTCCGGCACTGTCTTGGAGGCAGGTCGTCGGTCAACGGCGGGAATCTGTGGTTGACCATACGAGCCGTAATCCATTGTCTGTCCCCGGCGATGTGTTCGGCGGGTAGGCATTGCAGACATGGCTTGCGGTGGGATTGCAGCGTCGAAGGGTGCTGGAGTCGAGAGCTGACGGCGGTGGTGACCGGGTCGCAGCGACGTTGAGTTGGTGGAAATCATGGCTATCCAGCCTCTCGGTGATCACGGCCCTGTCACGGTGTTAGTCTGTGAACACCACTAACCAACGCAGCAACTAAAACAAAGAAGACGAAAAGGAAAGCAACGCTAGAGCCTCAAGCAAGAGAACTTCAGCTATCAAGGTAGGTTTTGTGTAGGTCTTGTAGTGTAGAGTATCACCAATGCCCTACTATATGGCAGTATTGGCAGATGATGCGACCAGGTCCAGGGATTCTGAACTTCAAGGATTTAAGAGAAAAGCAGAAATGAGACTCAATAAGTGTAAAGGTCCGGACCTTGAAGCGGGCCAGTGGGCGCATTGGCGATCTATCAGCTTACTACCCACGGTTCCATCAACAAGCCGCTTGTTGGCATAGCAACGGGCCGTGATGGGAGTCTGGGAAACCAGCCGAGCACTGGATGTGACGAAGGGCGGGCCCACTTCTGCCCACTTGAACGATCATGCTATTTCGTATCTCAGATCCAGGCCTCGCATATATCATACAGCCGTGGTGCTTCGAGGCTGTCCCTGGCTTCCCTTGGTCTCCCTGCTCGCCTTCTCTGCAAGGGTTTCTCGATTGCGCTGTGAGGAGAGTGTCATCGCCTACTCCCTGGGTAGGGGTGAGGCCTCCTAGTATAGTCGCCATGGTAATATCCCTTATTGGGCAATAGTAAATAGCCGATCTCAGCTGCGTCTTAGCTTCTCGGGCTTTTTGGGCTGAAGTTCCTGTTGTTGTTGCTGGGATGCTGAACGATGTCATTGGTGGCCTCAGGCACTAAGGCTGCAAGGCACGAGCTGTACTCTTATCACGTGTGTTGCTTATTCAGACGCATCTTGCCGGATCACGGATGATCTTTGATCCCCATTTTTTCTCACGCTAGTCCAAAAGTAGTTATATCGGCTCACACGTGACCACACAATAATTTTAACCGCCAGCCGAAGTCCCGCCCACACTGAATTTCTTCTCTCTTGCAAGGTTAAGGAAGACAACTTGTCGAGGTACGTTGGACGCCCCAATACCTATGCGTTTAAGCACTAGGAATGCAGGAGAATGATGCGAATACCATGCGCTCATTTCGCCCGATATTTTCCGTCGCCGCGCGCACTCTGAAATGCCCATCTTCAGCTGCTAACATCCCGCCATCAGGCCTTCATCAAGATGCAGATCTTCGTCAAGACCCTTACGGGTAAGACTATCACCCTTGAGGTGGAGTCGTCCGACACTATCGACAATGTCAAGTCCAAGATCCAGGGTACGAACAAATCTCCCTTCCATCTCGAATTTCGAACGTTGAGACTAACGGTTCCGCCGCACAGACAAGGAGGGTATTCCCCCAGACCAACAGCGTCTGATCTTCGCCGGCAAGCAGCTCGAGGATGGCCGCACTCTTTCGGACTACAACATCCAGAAGGAGTCCACCCTTCACCTCGTCCTCCGCCTGCGTGGTGGTGGTAAGAAGCGCAAGAAGAAGGTCTACACCACCCCCAAGAAGATCAAGCACAAGCACAAGAAGACCAAGTTGGCTATTCTTAAGTACTACAAGGTTGACGGCGATGGCAAGATCGAGCGTCTGCGCCGCGAGTGCCCCGCCCCCGAGGTATGTGAATGCCCTATAAAAGACTTTGGAAAGACGAGCGCAGTGACTAACCTTTCTACTTCCTACAGTGCGGTGCCGGTGTCTTCATGGCTGCCATGCACAACCGTCAGTACTGCGGCAAGTGCCACCTCACCTACGTCTTCGACGAGTCCAAGTAAATGGACCCCGTCTGATCGAGAGGTTTCTGTGATCGGTTTCGGGCATGGGTTATTCTGAGCTAAGATACTAGTTGTGGAGATCTCACGATAGGATGTTAACAGTTGATGGGCACCTAAGCTAGGTCCTTGACAACTGTGAATACAAAAAAAGTCACCCCAAAATTGGTTCCGGCCAATCTCGATTGGCCTTCTGTAATATGTAAACGATAGACTGCATTCACTGTGCTGATGCGTAAGGGAACGAACGACTATGAACAAACCGCCTCGGCCCGGTCCTATGTCATGCATATTGCATACCTCCTCGCCGTCATGCACTGATAGTGATAGTACGATCTACTTACTGGCCGGGAAACCCAGCACGCAAGTTGTCATACTTACTCTCGGGATAATCGAGAGCATTTTCTATGTGCTCCAATGCACCGACGCCCCCAATGCCATTCACAAAGGTGCCGATCAGACTGCCCTGTGCTGCATCACCCTCCTTGCCTCCCTTGTCACCGCTACTCTCCCACCACATACCTCCACCGAGCTGCCGATACTTGGCAAATGCAGCCTTCCTCTGGCTCATCTCGACATTATCATACGAGATCATAGTGCGCGAGCCACCGTCATAACTCCAGGATGCGTCCGCTTCCGTATCAAGATGCTCTGTAGCACCAGGACGCGGCAGAGCCTTGTAGTCCCAAACTCCATTCTCCCAGCTGCCCTGGCCGACACCGCTGTACGGGTGGCCAGGCCCATCGGTGTTCTCGAATGCACGTCCGTACAGCGGCATTCCGAGAATCATCTTCTTGGGTGGCACGCCACCCACTTCGGTGTAATGTTCAAGGGCGGCGATGGTCGAGAACGGCGTCGAGGGCGGGTTCGACTTGGATGGGAACATGTTGGCCTGGTGACCGGCATTGCGGTCCCAGCTGCCTGCATAGTCGTACGCCATCAGGTTGTAGAAGTCCAGCAGAGGCGTCATGTCGCGCAGCTTGAGCTTGGTGAAGTTGCTTGGCCCTGCAGGACAAGCAATCGAAAGGTAGAACTTGCGGTTGGGACCAGCCGCTCTGTCAAGGCTCTGTTGGCTTCAAGTTAGTCACGGGGCTCATTCAGAATGCAAAGGATGAGGAAAGGCATAAAATCGTACCTCGCGGCATGCCCGCAGCAGGTCGACCAAGTTCTGAGCTTGGCTTTCGTCTAGATAGGATGTCAGTGATCAGCATTTCCTTGGAGAGGAGGTGAGGGGGAAAAATACCTTTGGGATACTCCCAATCAATATCAATACCTGCAAATATCAATCAGCCAATTCCTCAACCACGTTCTAGGATTATGCAACACACCGTCAAGTCCGAGATCAAGAACAAGTCGAGTAGATGACTCGGCAAACCTCGCCCGACCTTCTGCAGTGCTAGCAGGGCCAGCAAAGTTGGCAGAGTACGTCCAACCACCAATAGAAATCAGGACCTTCAGCTTGCGATGTTGCTTCTTCAGCAGGAAGAGCTGCTTGATGCAACCATAGACATTGTTGCCGGTATCATTCCATGAGTCACCGGGGTAGTGCTTCTCGACGTCAGACCAGCTGTCGGTCAAATAACTGCAGACACGTCATCAATTCTCTGTTTTGATGCGCAATTCGTGCAAGGGTCAACGTACACTTCACCACTCTCTGGATTGATGTTGGCAAAAGCGTAGAGCACATGTGTCAGCTTTTCGGCGGGCAGATCTTGTGGGTTGTAGTTGCGCCCATAGATGGCCTGCAACGCGGGGTTAGCATGAATCATCCATCAGCAATCAATCGTATATCAGCGTGGCAATGGGCGCCTCCAGGCATGTCATAACGGGGAATCAAGATATTTGATGTCAATAAGACTAATCATAGATCAACATACCCAGTTGACAAAGTAAGCAATAGATTTCATCCCAGCCGACATGGTTGGTGGTTCGGGTGTGGTTGTACAAGGGAGAGATAAATATTGCAAAAGGACAGCCGCAAACACCCCAAAGGTAGTGAGCAATACAATGGGCTGAAGTCGGAAAGCCACAATCAAAGATACCTTCAACAATCAAATGTCAAGATTCGTAAAACCCGAAGCAAACAGACCCTGGAAGCGGATCTGATAAATGATAAAATGGAGGGGTACCTAATGTCGCAGCCTAACTGTTAGCGGGACTTTGTACCTGTCTGTTTAAAAATAACAAACCACGACGTCATTGGGCAGGGCTTAGTGGCTGTGCCGCTTAAACGTGGCTGGGGATTCGGGGCTTCCGCACCTGTGGCTGAAGTATGTATATATTTAGTGGTCAACAAACAGAATGTCGAGACAACGTGTTTGGGCTTGGCCAGCAATTCTGGATCATAGCTTACGACAAATTCAATCCTACAAATGCCCCATCAGATTGCCATTCTTATAGGCAATTACACAAACTCATGAAACTGTACAGCGTGACTTCTCCACCTGCGCAGGCTCTCTGTGCGACCTGAGAAATCAGTCATGCTGCCTGCAGATCTTTCAGTATGGATATCCTCGAGTCAGCGCTCTCTTTAATAGACCAAAGTTTTCCCTACCACTAGAAAAGGTAGCGTAGGAGATCTCATCACCTGCGGTAGCTCGGCACATCAGTGCCGATGGAGGGTTTCCATCGTCTTCTTTTTTATTCAGGACAGTGTTGAGGCCACGAGAGCCATCATTCCTGGGTATATAGTTCCATAGTTTGGTTCGCTTAGAATGATCATGAGGACACAAGATACTTTACCTATATGAACAACATTTTCAGGTCGCGAGTAAAGCACTATCTTGACTAGGGCTTCCGTTTGAGACTCCCGTCTGCCCATGGAAGCCCAGTCTTACCAAGTATGTATCTCGATAGACCAGCTAGAAATTAAGGAATTGATCACACGACAACGGCAACTGTCCTCATAGAAGTTCAATATCTCCGGAAATGTGGCTGGAAATTCTTTGCATGTGGAGATTCTATTTATTGTTACATCATGCCCATGAGTTAGTTAGCAGTAAAAGTGACCAACTGTGGACTATCGGAGTGTTTCAAATTTGACGGTAAATGGATTTGTCAGGATGCTTGTCTCATCGAGCACCTTTGGTAGAAAAAGGATTGATGACGCGAGAAACGAATAAGGTCTTCGGCCACGTTTGGCTTTGTTCACCATCGTTAAGCTAGCTTCCCGTAGTAAGCCACACTGGCGATGTCCGGTCGGTAAGCGGGAATGGTAAGCATGAATCATGACTATGAGATTGAACCGGAAAACAATGAAAGATCTGAATAAGCACATTAAGTTGAGAACTAAGGCCTAAAAGCTACCTAACTGCCCACAAATAATGCCACATGGGGGTGGAGCAAAGACGGACAGGGCCAAGGAAATGCACAATTCACTCATAGCAACAAAATGAAACAAAAAAACAGAAACCAACAAGTAACCATGACCCACTGACTAGAAGACCTGCTACGCACCGTGGAGACGATCTAAAAGCCTCAGGCAACACATACCAGCTGAAACGGCCCCATCGGCCAGCAAAGAGAAAGGCTTGACAGGCCAGGAATCCATCCGACTACTTATGACGAGTCTCCACAAAGTCATTATAAGGTTAAATTGGAGACAGAGTGAAAATTTTCATTCCTTGAAAATCAGGACACTACTCAAGTGGAAAGAAGAAAAAAATTAAAAAAAAGAAGACAAGCGACCAACACCAGCTGAACCTGAGCCGCCAGACGCCCGATCTCAACAGCCATTGGCAAAGCGCTTGGCAGACTAACAGTTTAGGGCCCGAATCCACCCAAATTCAACCCGCCTCTATTTTCCATACATCCAATTATTCCCCCGGTTACAGTATGCCTCGCTGTAAATCCATGGCACCAAAACGGTTCGGTTTGTTGGGATATCCGCCACTCTGGAGTATTCTCCTCTTCGGGTACATACCGTTGTCCCCCTCCTTCTCCCTCTTTGCAGAACGCCATTTCGCTGTAATCCACTCAACACTAGTCCCTGTAACCTATACTCTGTTTGGGACCGAGGTACTACCCAAAGCAGTTCAAGGTCGTAACCCCTAACATACATAATCATAGCCTGAATAGCCTGGACCGGTTGCAGTTGGCCATCGCTAAGTTCATTGTTCGTTTTAACTGGGTACCTCAGGCACAGTGGGGGTTTACGCTGTTACATTATGTAGTCAGTGGCTGTACTTCATAACCTATTAGTACTAGTCAACGGTACGCCGAGAGAGAAACTGCCGGGTCGACCGCAAGCATGATAAGGTTCCTGATTTTCTCCACCGGGTCCTCTTGTCTCCTCTTTCTCAGCTGGCATGTTTGCCTCGAGACCCAGGTGTCTGGATCTCGGTCTATCCCAATTACCAATCGCCGGTTGAAACGACCCTATGCAAGGGCTCTGGCGTTCTTCCATCCGTTTGCTAGGTTGCTAGTGCCTCGACCTTGGCGTCCATTTTTTTTTTGCTCTGGAGCAGAGCCAGTAGTCGGATAAACTTGTACTCTGAAGAAAATACCAATCGGACACGGCAGTGCCGTAGTGGAGCTTGTTAGGGCTGTGCCTCGTTTCCCCCGAATCCTCCGTCTGAGTGTGGAGGCGAAGGATATAGTTTCCATGCCTCCAACCAGTCGGGCATTGGAATAGATCAAAGCCGAGTTAAAGCAATATGTCTTCTTATTCCCTTATACACACAAGAGTAGTAAACAAAGTGATAATCAAAAAATGCACATTTGACAGCCTGAACGCCTAAGCAAATGTAAACCAATGCAAAGGATCTAATTAAACAGAATAAACTCATAGAACATCATAGGAAACCAAAACAAGAGGGTATATCGTCGCCATGCTCAACAAGCTCAACAAAAACCCACACTTGCCTTTTTCTCTCATTCTTCCCTGGCCAGGCTTGCGACCTGCACAAAGTCCGCCAAAGCAATGTATAAACCCGAAGAAAAGAAGAAGAAGAAGAAGAAGAAGAAGAAGAATGCCTCGCCCACGTATGTTTCTTCGTCACAAATAGAATCGTACAATTGTCCCGAACACCAGCCCGCCGGGGGTGAGCTTTCGGGAACGTAATGGGAACACATAGATGTGTCTCTACCGGCCCACAATCCAGCGCTGTATCACAGCCAAGGATGGGTCATCATCAAGCCAATGACCTGCCCGCAGGTCGGCAGCTCGAAGATCAGCGACAACGTGCTGATCAGTGATGCGACCCAATTCCTGTTGTAGTGTAATGTGTGCGGCTTTCAGAGACGGTCCATGTGCTGAAGTTGGTCGTTGGCCGCCCAGGATATTCGCTCGAGTCATGGCCCATCGTCGTGCTGCTGCGGCTCGGAGGTAGATCTTGTGTGCTTGAAAACGGCGAGCGCTGCTGTCGATTATGACTCTAAAATCAGGGCTTGAATGAGTATTTGGTTTTCAGAGCGAACAACTGATCGCAATTGCATTGGAAAAGGGTTGTCCATACCTTTGAAGCTCTGCTTTCTCTGTCTCCGCATTCCCTCCCCCTGTCATCGGGCAAGGTTGATAGTTGGCGCTGAGTAGACGTTGGGCGGCGGCGTGGCATTCTCGAAGCACGCTGAATCCTTCTTCGTAGTGTTCTTCGGGGGAAGCGTTGGCTTGCTGTTGGGAGATGTGCAGCAACAAGGTCCGATAGTCATTCATGAGTTCGGCTACTCGCACCGCGCGAGCCTGGTTGACTGTAGTCCAATTGCATAATCAGCATTTGAAGTCGTGAGATTTATTGATTGAAATGGTGCGAGGTGGATCAATGCTTACGTCCGTCTGCCATTGAGAATAGGAACTGATATTTGGTCGTGGTGTAACGTTATTAGAAAGAGAGTATAACACGATGAAGTGATGGTGCCGCTTCAAGGAAAGATCGTTGGAATCACACCCAAAAAGATCAATTGAGAAATGAAGGTTAAGAGTCCGAAGAGAGTGTATAAGAAGAGATGTGCTTAACGTTTTCTCAACGGTTGTGGGGGAGAAAGGAAGAGATGAAGCGATCTTTATAAATCTAGAAGTAAAGAGAGGAAGACAGTAAAATAAGGACAGAGCTTCAACTATTTTCTTTACCCCATACATAACTTACTACCAACTGTTTCTGGAATAGGACGTCCCAGTAAAGCAAGCGCCAGGGCCCGTCAAAAAGAAAATGAGATAAAATGGATTGCCACGATAGAACCAATCAGGGCAAGTATTAGGAGTTTACTACAATGAATGGGATAGATAAAAAAATAGTAATAAACAAAATAGTAAAGAGCAAGCATGAAATCGAATAAAAATAAATAAATTATGGATCCTAAAGTGGACTGTTCGCCCGTGACAGCGGAGACGAACCGTCAAGAGGATCATCGGCCTGTGCATAACAGACTAAGCCAATGAACGGTGAGATACCACGGATTTAGCAAGGACTTATCCAGCATCCAGCTAGGATCTAATGCGAGGGTGGATCGGGCCTAGCTCCCGAGAAACCGTCCCAACGGCAGACAATTCGACTAGACAGAGAATATCCCTGTTTCTGGGTCCCAAGGGAAGGGGAGTATACAGTATGTGTACATATTGTTACATTGAATTGATTTTGTTTGGCTACATGGGCCATACTCGTAGACGATTAAATCGATACACTCGTGTCTAATAGAGGCATCATTTAACCGGCATATTTAGTGGGTAGTGGGTAGTAGCTTAGTTAGGGAGCCTTCAGAAATGGATACATAGTGAACATGGGAACTGAAAAGAGGGGCGCCATGACGAGTGTGGAACCCAAGTAGACCGAGCGATTAGGTTCCTGGGCCGATTGATTACTCCGTCGTCATTGTAGTAGTATCTAGTATCCAGTACAACACTAAGTGGTCAATTTTCCACTTTCATAAAATTGGGCATAGCGAAGGAACCTCGTTTTTGGGAACTGATTGGTGCTCATGGAGCGAACGACCAGTGGAGACGAGAGAACTTTGAAACTTTGACAGGAGGACCGTGTGCACTAATGGGGCCTGATGAGCCCATGAGGGCCTCATGGCTCGTGGGACCCCTGCCAGCTACAGTGACCTGGCCCCGGCAGTTGACTAGAACCTATAAACGTCAAGAATTGGAAAAAAAAATATATTGATATCCACTGCACAAAAAGGCCGGACCTGCATGATCGGATGCCCCGAACAAATGTGTAGAAGTAAAAATAAAACTACAGCAACCACGTCGATGTCTAGCACGTAACCCCGACCAAGCCGAGCGAGTTCCAGGCCAACAATTGGCGGTTTGATAGGGTTCGTTTTGAAATCAATAGGTTCATAGGTTCGTTCTGAATTCAGGTATGCTAGTTCACTAGTTCGATGCCTCAGCTCGATGCGAACTCAACTATCAATAACTAACGAGTCCAATAATAACAATACTAATCTACTTTCCGACTAGACCCTATCCCCCTCCAAGCCACGAACCGGGCTAAGCCACATATGGCGCCCCGTGGCGCTCGCACACAACAGCTGAAGCGTACGAGTTCTCCTTACCTAGAATTCCTGTATGGGAATATGGAGATGTCAAAGGTCCTGTGTATAGATCTGATGAATATGGAGAGATGTGTGATCCATCATGCTCTCTGTCCTTTCCAGACTCGGTGGCGATAAATCGTGCCCCACTCGGCTTGCTGAATGAAGGCTTCGAAGCTGAGGTGGTCCCCAGCCGGGCGATTTACCATGGGCGCCAAGCATCTACACTACCTAGATGTATGCCGGCGTTGTCACTTCATTGTTGCAATGCAGCAGAATAGTAGTTCAAAAAAAGCACGATTGGTAAGTCCTGGGACTATGTGCATATGAAACAGGGCCAAAACTCGAGATTCGTGCAGGGGAAAGGAGGGAGAGGCGAATTGTCATTCATAGATGATTCATTGGATCTTTCTCTAGTGCAAGTAGAAAAAAGGTAAAAAATAGAATATCAACCAGCATCGTCACTGGAGCAGCACCTCTAACCCTTCCGGACCTATTCGGGTTCATCTCTGTCGTGGTTGTTGTCTCGCCTCCATCAACCAGTCCATTCATGCTGCAGGACACGACCCGCTTAGTCCTTCTCCGCTATGGCCTGCAGCCGTTCATCAATCTCCTCCTCCGTCAGGGCCCGGAACTCTGTGGTGGTGCCCTCCTTGCCATCTGTCCGGGGGCCACCAACGATGCCAACCTCCAGCTCATGTTTCTTAAAATCAACGCTCAGCACATTGCTCAACGCCGTGATACCCAGCTCCACAACTTCCTCCCAGCTTCCGGGCGCCGCATCCTTGTTCTTCAGCTTCTTCTCCAGATAGTTCTGCGCCTCCTGTTGCTTGGGGCCAGAGGAAGTCGCCTTGTATCCAACGAAGTAACCGGCCGGGTCGCACTTGTAGAGCTGCGGGCCATTCTCATCATCGACCGAGATCAGGGTCACGGCCACACCGAGTGGTCGCATGTAAGCCTGGCAAGAGAGAGGGTATCTGTTAGCCAACGGAGTCGCCGACGAGTACCAGGAAAAAATACGTCGTCTTCAGGGTTCATGACGTGGATAATATCTTGGTACTTACTCGTTGTGTGTAGACCTGGTTGATATTTGCCAATCGCTTCGCCAGCACATCGCAGGGCATCTCATAACCGAACTTGTAGCGGAACTCAGCAGCCTCTCCACGGGCACGGTCGACGGAGGCACGAGCATCTGCTATCGAGCCGGTCATCACGCAGCCGACAGAGGGCGAGATCTTGAAGACATGTGAGACGGAGGAAGGGTCGATGAGTTTGTCCTTTTGAGCTCATGGGTTAGTCACTGGGAGCAACCGAAGGGGAGCCATCATATCAATTTCAGGATCGTGCTTACAGCCACTTTCTTCTGGGAGACGACGATAGCACAGTCCTTCCCCCTCACACCGATGGAGGTGATGTTCGCGGAGGTGATAGCCTTGAAAGCATATTCTGGTGGGACGCAGATTGTTGGTCAGCGGTTATGATGATGGGAAACGTTGAGCAGCAGTCGGCGAGTGGCCACGGCCGGACATTTGATGGGGGAGAATTCAAAGTACGTACCAACTTGGTACAAGCGACCCTGGTCGGAGAAGATAGTGATATGTCTATCGTAGCCTGCGCTTCCTAGTGCGGAGAAGATGGAGGTTAGTCGGGGTTGAGGTCATGGGGGCTGACCATGTCGGCCAGCATCAGGATTGTCGTGACTGCATACCGGACATTTTGGCGGTATCTGAATTCTTCTATAGGGAAATGGGTGAGATGTCAGGATCGAGGGGAATGGCGGAGGTTAGGAGGTTGATGAGAAGAGTAATTGACAGTTACGCGTGCCAGCGGTGCCTAAGCCGAAGCTCGAGCTTGAGCTTCAGCGCTCTTCACCGCCTTTGTTCATCACCAAGCCCGGGCTTGCCTCAACCTATCCTAATTGGGAAGCTGAGTAAGAGAAAAGCATCTAACTCATGGTCTATATATCTGAGTCAGAGTATTATACTTATGGGTTTTATTCTACGGGGGAAATATTTTCGGCCATTCCACGAGACCCATGAAGACACACTGACAGGACTAACATCATATGCCAATTCTCATATAGACACTAGAGTATGATACATCATCATGGTATAGGTAGATATGCAAGTAAAACAAGAGGAACACCCAATAGAAAACACCCATGCAGAGACACAATCCTAGGTCAACAGCCAAAAGCGACTCCTCAATCACTATCGCTCTCGCTGCTACTCGAGATCTCAATCAATGCAGTCCGCACTTTACGCTTCTGCTTCTTCTTGTTCTTGCCGGGCGCTGGCGGAGCGGGTTCTTCCTTGAAGGGAGCAGCAGGCTTCGGAACAGGCTTCTTCTTCAGTGCGGACTTGGTCGGCGCAGGTTTCTTCGCGGGAGGTGCTTCGCTCTCGCTCTCGCTGTCGCTGCCATTGCTGCTGGTGCTATCATCGCTGTCACTTCCACTGCTACTGGTATAATCATCATTGCTCTCCTCCTTAGCAGCGCTCTTCTTCGCCTTAGCAGGCTTCTTCTCCTCATCGCTATCGCTCTCACTGCTAGAGATATCCACAACGACAGTTCTGTTCTTCCTCTTCTTCGATTTCTGTGCCTCTGCCTGCGCGGCCTCCTTTTGCTTGCGCACAATTTCTTCCCGATCAAATAGTTCACCCGTGACAGCGAAGAAAACCAGCTCGGCTCGTTGTCTCTTCCGGAGACGCTTGGTTGCTTCCACGTCCAGGCCATCCACCGAGTCAGCGGCGTTAAGCTCTTCTCCACTGCCGGGTAACAATGACCGGAAGGAATCCACAGCTTGTTGGTACTCGGCGGCAAGGTCGTCGCCGTCCGTCTTGAGAACTGCCATCGCGCCCTCGCTCAGTCGTGTCTTGGCGGCGTCACCCTTCAGGCCTTGAAGGTAGGTTTGGAGGGGGAGGTTGTATTGCACAGGGACGTGCTCAATCGAGTAAAGGTGCTTGAAGAGGTTCGTTTCGCGGTTCTTCTGGAACTTCCACGACGCCCGGTCACGGTAGTACCAGCTCAGATAGCCCAGGATGGGAGACTCGTGGATTTGTGCGGTAGATGTAGATGTCGACGAAGACGTAGGTGTAGATGTAGACGTAGCGCCAGCCTTCCGCGCCTTCTTCTTCTCACGCTTGCGCTTCTTCATCTCCTCAATCATTTTGTCCTCAGCTTCCTTAGCCTCGGCCTCGGCGCTCGTCATGGCCTCCGAGGTATCCTTCTCGTCGTCGTCATGTTCGTCGTCCGCAGGACTGTCGCTATCACTGTCTGCATCCTTGGTCTTCGTGCCGGGTCCGAAGGAAACTCTCTTCTTCTTTTTCTTTGGCTTGTCGTCCTCTTTATCCTGCCTATCGTCCGTACTGTGTCTCCGCTTCTTCTTGCTCGTCACGTTGCCGTCGGTCTCGCTGGATGACTTCTTACGCTTCTTCTTGTCTTTGGACTCGGACTTCTGTGTCTTTTCGGGGGAAGCGGATTGTTGCATCTCGACGTCGGCGTCCTCTTTGGCGTGTTTCGGCTTTGAGCCGACATTCGATGTGTCTTTGGCCATTGTTGCCGTCGTGTAGAATATAACCGAGGTCACAGCAGAAAGGTGAGTTCTGGTCGCACAATCTAGGAGATCAATTGCAAGAGAGACCTGTCTTTCGTGTCTCAGCAGAGTTCTCCAGACTGTCGTTGCTAGGTCGGTCAAGGGCGGAGTCGATTATTTTTTTTCTGCCGGATCCACGTGAGGGCGGGTCCGCGATAAGCTTGGGCCGTATAAAGTCCGGATGAGTATCTAGCTTCATAGATCAAACTTCACTTGTCTTCTCTACAGAGTACAGAACAAAAGGAATCGTGGATTCATCTCACATTATGGCTGCATCTATACGGTATCATTCAGCACCTGAATATAGACCACCCAAGACAACAACTATGCCGTAGCCCCATTCCCATTCCCAGGCTCAGAGCCACCAGCAGCACTCCGCTCTCGCCGCATCTCTCTTGATGATTCCGTGCCCGAGCCAGTTCCAGCATTCGCCGTCGCAGCACTGGCCGCAGCCTTGCGCTTCGCCCGCTCCCTCTCTCTATCTCTATCCCGCACGCCAGAGGTCGGCTTAGGCCGCCTCCTGCTAGGTTTGTAGACGTCGTTGAAGTTCATCACGACAGCGAGGAAGCGCATGTCCACATCGGGCTGGTAGGATAGATCGCTAAGTAGGGTGGTCAAGCGCGTTCGGAAATCAGCGGAGAGATCACGCAGTCGGATCCTTAACGAAGCAAGCATATTATCGTCGGCCGCGAGGTCCTGTGCTGAGAGCGAGAATGGAGTATCGATGCCGTCCGGGCCGGTACTGGCGGGTCGAATGTCTGGTGTTGATGCCATGGATGCACCGCCACGGCTATTCGCGCGGCGTGGTAGCACATCGCGGTCCGTGACACCCCAGCGACCTTGTGCTGTGCGAGTTTCAATTTTCGCGCTAAGTTCCTGGCGACGAGTGAACTCGGCGACGGAGAAGGAGTATAGACCATCCACGGCGTCTTTGTATGAGAGCATGATCTTGAGGATATGGTGGAGCTGGCTGAGGAAACTTTCTTCGGGCTGTTTGGCGGAGGCAGAGGTAGAGACGCCGTATCGAGATGTAGTAGCCGAGCCTAATAGGCCCTTGTGCGTGATAGAGTTGAGGTATTTCGTGTGCGCTTCGATGAGATCGTCTAGTGTGCAGCCCGGCTTGGAGACTTCGGCCTGGAGCTGGTCCCAGCTAGATTCAATCACCTCGAAGAGAATGTAGTATTGCAGCTGGCAGACGAAATGAATCATCTCGGCGATAACGCAGCGTGCACGTTTCCAGTCCGGCCCAACCTTGTCGTCCACACTGCGTAGTACGCCTCGTGCACCGGTCATGCAGCGGCGCCAGGTGCTGTTGAGGGCAAACTCGACACGCTTCACGCGCCAGAGGAAGTTGAATACTTTCAGATACTGTGTTGAGCCCCATGGTGTGATGACAACGTCGACAGGGGCGTCAATCTTGTACTCCAGAGTGAAGCAGTCCCAACCGATCTCGCCGTGGCTAAGCTCGAGCATACGTGCATCTAGCCGGCGGAGCACATCGGGGGAATCATACTGCGCATTCGAAGCTCGAATGGCATGTTCCAGCTGCGCGGTGAGCGTGTGGCGGTATTGCGAGTTTGCAGGGCGGTCCAGGTTGGAGGCCAGCGACTCCATGAGGAGAGCGATAAAGTCACCCTGTCCCAGCAAGAGATACTTCTTCAGCGCCCGGAGATGATCAAAGAGCTTGAACTTGTCATCCATGAGGTAGATCAACCGCGCCATGGTTGTCTTGTAGGCCTCATCAATGGAGGTCTCGAGGGTAGCGGTGTCGCCGTATCGTAGCTCTTTTGAGGCTTCTTTGGAATAAGCCTCCACCCATCCAGAATCACCGCAACCATATCGAATAAAGTTGAGAGACTTTCCGATCAAGAACACCTTTTTGGCGAAGTCCTGAGTAATAATAGACGGGACCATATCGTCATCCAACTTATACTTGTCTTCCCAGACACTGGTTGCAGTACGTCTAGGGTCGGTGGTAGTCCTGAGATCAGATTCTGCAACAAAGAACTCCTTATATGGATCAGACAGTTCACCATCGTAGATCCACAGCCGGAGCATGTCGTAAAACGGACGAGTAACATGAGCCAAGAGCTTCTCTGCAAAGGAGCAGACGAACGGATCCCCATGAGACGACGAGAAGCCGTGGATTAAGGAAATCAATTGACCGCCCTTTTTATCTGCATCGAATATCAGTACCTGCCTGCAGTTCAACCCAAGATAGTCCATTCTTACCACGAGCCTCCTCCACAATCAGACTCATCAGCCTCAGCGCCATCGTAGCATCCCTCGTCCACACCATACACCTCTTCAAAGTAACACCACCCTTCCTGACACCCTGCATCGAACTCGCGTCCCCAACAGCAGCCAATGCCTGTCTAATCTCTGCCTCCAGCGTCGCCACCAAGCCCAAATACGAGCGCAACTCATTCGCAACAGCAGCTCTCAAGCTCTGATTCACAAGTCCCCCCTCCGCACTTTCCACAAACCCAGCCAACTCTTTATAGAGCAGACACGGCTCAGCCAAAGCATTCAAAAGCGAAATAATCGGAGCTGGCAGATTCGAGGGTAATTTCAACACCGACGGCGACTGGAACTGTAAATTTGTTGACGACAGACCCTGCAGATTGAATGGCAGATCTCGTAAAAGCCCATTCTCTACAGAGGCCGCCGAACGAGGATGATTGCCCGGCGTCTCCGTCGCCGACGCCACATCATCGTGCTCATCCCCAGTCTCGTAATGGCTAGCACGACTTGCAGTAGCCCGTTCCGTAGACTCCTCCCAGTCCCTGCGCAAAGAACTCGGGCGCTGCGGCCTGGACTCACGAGATATGCGCGGCGGTTGCGACGCAGACGAACTCACAGCAGGACCCTCATCATCCTCCGACTCCACGAACGTGCCACGCCTCGGCCGCCCCGCGCCTCGACCAAGCATATTCTGCAAATTCCCCTCGTCCATGAGCGGACTGCGACTGCGCTCGACGGCCTGTTCCTCCTCCGTCTCGCCCAGCTTGTACAGCAGATACAAGATGCCCCATTTCTGCGAAAGCACAGGCTGCGTGAGGAGGCGGGTGTATAAATTCGAGAAGCGCACAATCTTCTCCGGGCTAGCATTCTCGCGCCTCAACTTGCGCTTGATCAAATCCGGGGCGTGGTTGACGTCTTCGGCGGCGAAACTGCCGCGGCGACCAGCTGGGGAGCTTGGATCTGCGCCATTGCTGGGGTGCGATTCGAGGGTGCGCCAGGCGCGTTCGAGTAGAGCGTGGTGTCGATGTTCCTCGGCGGCGGCGATGGCTAAGTCGTCATCGGAGAAATCGTGGTCTTGGGGGAGCGCGGAGAGTGGGATCTCGGGGAGTAGCGAGTCGACTAGCTGGGAGAGGGCGTCGTCGATCCGGCGCGGGCGTGTGGTCGGGCGGGTTGAAGTCGACATGATCTTGCCCTTCCCCCGCCGGTTGGGCAATGTCGAGTAGTGTTTTTAAGTGTGAGGTTTCTGGTGTTGGGGTCAATTGGCTGTGGAGAGATGGTGGGTTGTTTCCGGAGAGGATTGGGGGACGAGATCCGCGGGTTGGGCGGGGGGTTCTTCAAATATTGGCAACCAGTTCAATTCTTGATTATGCGCTGCTGCAAAGCTTCGATCGTGCTATCGGAATGTCTTTGAGTGATTATCGCTCATGCTTCAAGATGGAGTTTATGCAATGCGGTGGGCTCGTGTTTGTGATGTTTGAATTGTTTGGCAAGGACGCGTCGTGGCTCTTATCAAGCTTATCATCTCCCTATCAATCTACAGCCCTGGATCGAGTTTATTGGATTGTTACGACTACAAATCACAAGATTGCATATTCGGAGCAACGTTTCTGATCATTTGCTCAAGCATCCTGTTCAAGGAAACTAGTCAGACACATAAAAACGAAAGCACAAAACCACCTGTTAACGCCGCCTTGAAATCATGTATCTCAAACACAGAAGCAACCCGGATCAGAAAGAAAAAGAACATGCACCCGCGGGTCCTCCAAGTATTAGACAAGCGAAAAAAGAAGAAAAAGAAAAAGAAAAAAAGAGAAACCAAAACGAAAAAAAAGGGTGATCTCTCGAGGCCATGAACAGAGAGAGGGAAAAATTAGAAAATGGGTGAACGGGTAGGAGTAGAAAATACAACGGGCGGAAGAGGGGGCAGCAACAACATCAACATAAGCCATGGCAAAGAAAAGAACAACCTTGAGAAGCCAGTAATAATACTCTCAAAGACGCCGAGATTGACGCGCCTTCCAAAGACGATAACGAAATTCTTTCGTTTCCAGACCACCGGAATTCAGCTTGTCGGAATTTTTGAGTCGTGTGGATCGTTAACACCTGCCCATGCCAGAGCTTCGGCGAGGCCGTAGCCATATCCGAAACAGAAAGAAGAAAGGTTTGGGGTGTAAAGAAAAGGATAATCTGGATCACCCTCAGAAAAATTGAAGAGTTTTGCCGCCGTGTCTAGGCATCAAGGATCATTATATCCTCGTTGCTATGCGGTGGAGCAAGGAAAAGAGTTTATAACACCGAAAGCAGGAATGAGAAGCGGCTTTTGAGACGCTGATATATTCCCTTTTCAATCACCTTCATGCTCGGCGCATGCCCTGGGCTGGGATCGGAGCACCCGGTGGCATGCCCATTTGGCCGGGCATACCGTAAGCGTGCGGGTCAAATCCAGTCGACATGCCATTCATCATAAGAGGTCCTAGGCCTTGGGCTTGGGAGACGGGGCAATCTTTGTGAGCCAACAGAAGGGTCTTCAAGTTGACAATCTCCTCGCGGAGTTGGGTCACCGTAGCGGTCAGTGCATCGTTCTCTGTTGTGAAGAGCTCAACCTTGGCTTGGAGGTTAGCCAGCCATTGCTTCTTCCGTTGGCGACACTTCAGGGCCGCGACACTATAGTCATCTTAGCTAAATCTTGATCATTCCACGAAGCACCCGGTTCAAGAAGATTGACATACCGATTCCGTTCCAGGAAGTTGCGCCGTTTCTCTTCATCAGTCATCTTCTTCGGATCCATGTTGGAATTCCTCATCTCCTCATCCTCGGAGTCATCCGACGGTGACTCTGTCATCTTCGCCTTCTTATTGGGGCCCTTGGTAGCAGCCTCATCGGCCTTGCGCCGATTGTTGGTAGCATTTGCCTTGGGGGCATTCTTCTTGCCTTTACCCTTGGCAGCGGGCTTGGACAGATCCTGCTCCGATCCATCACCACTCATCTCGCGCGCATGAGCACCGTTGTTATTTTGCGACACGCGTCGGGCGGCCGCACGCGTCTCGTTTTGCATCGCGGCAGCCTGGTTCATCTGCATATTGTTCGCCTGGCCACCCTTGGCAAGCATGAAGAGGCCATTGGCGGCATCAGCCGCATCGTGCTGGGTAAAATCTGTGGCGGTAGGGGGTTTGGTATCCATGGTCGGGTTCGAGGTTGGTTCTTGGTCGTTGGCATTGGAGGTGGGACCGTTCCCGGCGTTCTTCTTAGCGGCCAGCGCGGTGCGGTGGAATTCAATTGTGGACGGAGTGGCCCCACCGCTTTGCAGTTGTTGCAACAAAGCTTGGGAGTTCGGGCTTGGGGCTGGGAACATGGAGCCACCACCGCCCGGGGTCAAGCCTGTCCGGAGCGATGACTCGTTAGGAGTCGGGAAGCCTCTACCAATACTGTCAAAGTAGTCATTAGAGCCGGTTGGGCCGGGGAGCATTGCCGGGCTGAGGGGCCCTGAGCGCAGGGAGTTGGACCAGTTGTAGCCACCGCCTGAGGATGCGCCAGGCAGGGCAGGAGAGGTGAGGGCAGCCACGGGAGGCAGTAGCGACTTTCCGGGAGTTTCGCCTGAATTGCCAGTGCCGAAGGACTGCTCGAAGGGATTGGGCTCGAGCGAGAAGGGATTGTGAACGGAATTGAAGTAGTCGGGGGTATCACTGGCACCTGTCGCAGTAGGGCGGGGAGGTGGCGCCAGCGAGTTGGATGCTTCTACATCCGATCTTTGATCTTTAGTGTCTGAAGACACGGCCTGCGAGTCTGTCGAAGGAATTGAATTAGCATTTACGAGGGTTGATGGTGATGCGACAGCGCAAAGGTACCGGCAGGACGAGAACGAGGACCCTTCATTGTGGAGGTGGAGGGTATGGGGAAATGATGGTGGAGGGAAGAGTGGTGGAAGATCGATGACGCCAGTTGTGAGCTCATCCCAACGGCAGAGGGGCTTTAAAGTATGGGCAACCCCCCAAGTGGCGTATTACCAATCCGAAAGGGGGTGTGGAAAGAAGAATATAACCCAAAGGATAAAGTATTGTGTTATCAAACACCACTGAATTTTCCGGCGGCGAAAGACAATACAACTTTCTTTTCTTCGAGGATCATAATGCGACCGCGACCGTATAAGGAAGAGAGGCCGCGAACGAAAGGGGGAATGGGAAGGAAAGTTGCAAAGCGAAAAAAACAACAAGCCCAAATGATATGGGTAAGTTGGTAGTGGTAGTAGTGATGATATGTATGTGATAGGGTAAAAGGCAGATAACTCTCAAACCAGCATCACGCGATTTTTTTTACGAACCTTCTTTGGCAATCTTCTTGGTGTCCATGGAGGTCAGAGTGTTCGAAAGAGTCGACACACTGGGAGCGACTGCAGCAGACATCACCAGTCGCGTGTGAAGGTCAAAAAGAGTGGCGAGCGCACAACTAACACGGGAGCGTGGCTTGCAGCAAAGGAAAGAGAAGAGATGGGAAGGAAGAAAGTGACGTAGAGGAAAGGAAGATGACGACAATTTTAGGGGAGGGAAAAACATTAAGTAAGGTGGCAGAGTCACCGAACGGCTTCGGATGATTCGATTCTTCGGTATTGCTTGATGTATTGATGGTTACAGTACAGGTTACAGAAAGGATACATTGACACTAGCTAGATTCTACAAACTCTCCCTATGTACTCCATGTGTTTGTCTGCAACGGGGGGGAATCTCTTACCATCTCAATACAACCGGACCCACACGACTCTCGCCTCCTACAGTACGGTACAACACTACACTCCAATACATATGGACAGCACTACATTAATCAATCTCTCGGTACGGTAATGCCAATGTAACTGGGCCAAAAACGTTGATCCAGCTCGAATCAGGGAACTGGCAAAGAGAAATTATTGTATGGGGGGTGGCCGTCCATCGTGGTTGGCTCTGGCTTCCTCTACGCGAAGGCTGGCCTAGATCGAGTTCCTCGCGGGCTGGGGACTCCTCTATCAGGGCAGACTTTTCTAGACTTTGCTCGTTCCTTTCTTGCCTTTTCAATCTTCTTCCACTCTATATGCACACAAGACATTTGACTAACTCAAGAACTGTTCAAAGGGGGAGCTATAGTCTGGCTGTCTACAATCTTTCTATAAAGACGATCCTTCCTACACGAAAAGAGAAACGAAAAGAAGAAAAACTTGACCAAGGAGGGGGACCCTCGCACGTCGATGTTGAACCTGGAGAGCGCTAGTGGACCCCCGGTATCAACCGTGGTCCAATCACCATGGTGCATAGAAGAAGCGGGGACCCTACGCTACTCGGACGGATTGGCCACTCGCCCCTATGAAAAAAAAAATTGCGTAATAATTTGGTCTGTTTGATCAATCGGAAAGAGCATAACGGTCATTCGAAGAAGTTTCTGACACGAAGAAAATTTCTTGAACGCTGGGAATGGATAATCGAGCAGATCGTGATATTGAAAGCTACTCGCGTGCCGATAGTTGGGTGTATTATTGATAGGACGTATCAAGTATAACGCGAGCTGGCATATCCTGGGCGATGGATGATTTCACGATGACGACGACAGGAATGTGTCCCGGCTGTGGAACCAGTTTAAGTGGGGTACTTGCCTGGGACATCAACCACTCATGTTGTAGACAGGTGGACGGAATGTATAGTGTGGAAGTCTAAAGTCAACATGATTTGTCTGCACAATCAGTGTGGGTCTGGCTGGATTCGACTGAAGCAGTTGACTGGGTGCGGTGTAGGAAGGATTGAAGTGGGTTGGGGCCATGACGCAATCCACGTGAGACAGCGGGAATCCATTGCTGACTCATCAGGGACAGGAACTACCCCCAGATCTTCAATGACGTGCGTGGCCCTGGGACTGGGCCGAATCTGGTAAGCACCCCTACACAAAAATGCGGAGTACATGAGCCACCATGTACTACTATACTAGATATACTTAGAAAGCACAGAGGATAGCAATGTACATTATGGGGTTGAAACTGCATTATGCGCCCAAGCAGATTATCAATTCAAAAAGATCTGATGGTTCTCCAGTATCTATATACTCCACATCTCCATATCCACACTGACCCATTGAGCAGCGATCAGATTCAACTCTATTATGTATCCTCATCCTCTGCATTCATTGTCTCTATGAGGATAAGTACAATGCACAGTATCCGTCGTATATCTACTCCGTACACCAGCAGGATTCGCTGCTTATCCCACCGAGTACCGAGTATCACAACTCGCCAGCTCAAAGCAATTACTAAATGAAATCTACGAGACAACAGACCTTGCATGCAGTCCATAGCTCCGCTGGATCGGCAGTTCTGCTTACTCCGTCTTCTGCACAAAAGCATCGCAACAATGTGATAAGATGTGGAGCAGCCTTTCCCCGTACTCTTGGCTATGTCTATACACCTTAAAGATACGGCTTCACAAGTAGCTAACATACGTGATCCCCATTCCTTCAAGGGCTGCCCGTTGAAGATACTTTGGCGATGTCCTCCTCACTCCATATAGTCTTCCGACTGGCACCATTTCTTCTTCAGCAGGTTAGGGCTGGGGAAGAATCATCAACTTTTTTCAACCCCGTTTGGAATAATGGGATTAGCATTGAGATGCCCCCGGAGAGGCCTCATTGAAGGGCACCGGTTTCTGGCCAAGTGTTGAGGTGAGCTTAGCCCATCAGATTCGCTCCACCAGTCCTCAAGGCCATTCGATAGCCCTTCTTACGTATGGCTCTAACTCGTGCATGGGAATTTTCTAACATTCGCTCCGGTCACTTAAGACGTCACTAGAGGTCCTTAACGGGCATCAGCATCCTGTCACCGAGTAGGTGAGTGCAGATTCCCCTGCTAGTATTTCCTGCTACATTCCCATCCTTAAAACCCCCATAACAGCTGGCATTAATAACCAAACATTGGTGCATTTATATTTCCCGGTTCATTTCAAGCTTTGCGGGGCTCCGTTGCCAATATGCCGATCCTCCGCGGCACTTGGCTGAGAACGGTACGGAGTTGGCCTCACATGAAACACTACCTTTAATTATCCCCTGAATAGAAAGCCAATATAAACAAGCTTTGACTCGTTTTCGTCAGCCAGAGCTGTCGGCATCTCTTTTCATTATAGGAAAATTAATCTGTACGCAATAGTAGTGCTTACCTATTAGACCACCCTTGATGTAGATGTGAACCGGCAGGGCGAGGAATCCGTTTTTCCAGATTGACATAAATAGTAAGAAAATGGACATATTCTAGCTGGATTTTCTCCCTCGATGTACAGAGAGCCAATTCTACCATCACTCAGTTGATTTAAGCCCTACCAAGATCACAGGCATAATGCATGCCAAGAACCTTCTACTTGGCCTTGGCTGCGCCTCCGTCGCATGGGCACAGCTTGCAGACACCACCGACTACCCAATGGGACCATTAACTTCGTCAAGTACTAAGTGGGCCACAAAAGTATGCGACATCACCAAGTACGGCGCTGTAGCGGACGGAGCGACAGATGCCGGGCCTGCTATCCTGGCTGCCTTTAATGCATGCGCTTCGGGAGGAGTTGTGAATATTCCGTCGGGAACATTTGCAATGGCAACATGGGTCACGCTCAGTGGGGGAAGCGCCTGGGCTATCAATCTTGAAGGCACTATCATTCGTACCGGAACTGCTGGGGGTAACATGATCTTCATTGAGCATAGCACCGATTTCGAGCTCTATTCCTCCAATGGCAAGGGTGCGATGCAAGGCTATGGCTATGAATTCCACTCTCAAGGTAAATATGGCCCGCGACTTCTGCGTCTGTATGAAGGTAAGTAATTTTCGCGTCATGGAAGACCAGTTAGCCGCGCTGACTCTGTGAAGTGACAAACTTTGCCATCCACGATATTGCTCTCGTCGACTCTCCCGCTTTCCATCTGACCCTCGACACGTGCAACCAGGGCGAGGTTTACAATATGATTATCCGTGGTGGAAATGAAGGAGGTCTTGATGGCATTGATTTGTGGGGGTTTGATCTTTGGGTACATGACGTGGAAGTAACCAACAAAGACGAATGTGTCACCGTCAAGAGTCCCGCAAACCATATCCTTGTTGAGAATATCTACTGCAACTGGTCTGGTGGCTGTGCGATGGGCTCTCTGGGAGTTAACACTGGTAAGCCCTTGTTTTGCATTACTTAACGTTTCATTGGAGTATAGATGCTGACTTGGATGATCAAAGATATCTCGAAGGTTGTATACAACAATATCTACACTGTGAACTCGAACCAGATGTTTATGTTCAAGTACGTATTCTCTTCAAATCCTGAGCGCAAGTACTAAGACACATGATCTTACTTTATTTATAGGAGCAATGGCGGAAACGGTACAGGTGAGCGCCTTCTACTTCTCGGATTAGCCGCAAAGCAAGGCAAAAACTAATGCTACCATCGATAGTGACCGAGGTTACCCTGCAGAATTTCATCGGACACGAGAATGCCTACTCGCTCTATATCGACGCATACTGGTCATCGATAAGCGCGGCTGAAGGAGACGGAGTCTTGTATAACTCCATCACCTTCAACAATTGGAAGGGAACTTGTGCAAATGGCGCTACACGGGCCCCGCTATACGTCTTGTGTCCCTCTACTCAACCGTGTACAAACATTGTGATCGAAGATTTTGCCATGTGGACTGAATCGGGAAGTACGGAGTACTACAAGTGTGCAGATGCTTGGGGCTCTGGTTACTGTCTACACTCTGGATCTGCACATACCTCGTACGGTACCGTGACTTCGACGTTGACAGCCGCTCCATCGGGATACTCAGCGACGACGATGCCTGGTCAGCTTACGGCTGGGTTTGGACTCAGCACGTCTATTCCAATCCCAACTGTTCCGAATACCTTCTTCCCGGGTGCTACACCAGCCACAGCTCGGGTCTATGGCAGTTAGCTAGTGGATTCAATATTCCATAGCTACAAACGATCGGCCGTTGTCAGGCTCGTGATTGTCGCTTAAATATAATTCTATACCAGGACTTGTAACTTATGGATACTTGTCCCCACGGTAGTGGATGATGTAGTAGGCTTGAATCTTGGATAGTCCGCAGACAACTGTGGCCTCAACTTGGGGACCATTTCCTGCCATTGTGATCTAGGTATGGCAGCATGTTCTATTTATGATCAACTCCTGCCCACTCCATCAATACAATCGACTTCTTTCCACCTCCTCTACTTTCAGAAACCGATGCCCAATCTTTGAACGTACCACCCCGTATAAAATTGTTCTTTTCAAAAACCTTCTGGCTGCCTTGGTTGTCCTCGAATGCCCAAATCTTCAATCTTCGGACATTCATTCGAGGAACTGCCCAATCATGAATGACAGTCCTCACGGCGAGTGTCATGATGCCCCTACCATGGTGACTTGATGCAAGAAAGTCTACAGTTGGTATCTGTCAGTACAGCCTTAGAGTAATTCTTTCCAATCTCTTTCTGCATACCTCCGAAACTCCATTCAATCTTTTCGTCTCCAGCGAGTAACCCGTCGTTTTCTTTTTGGGCTTGGGCTCTCTCTTCACTTCCCTCTGGATATTCATCGAAAGTTGAACGCGCTAACCGAATATCTCCAATGAGAATGTCTTCAAGAGGTTCCCCAGTCTCGGGATTGTTCTCGAGCACTTCCCGAATGCAAGTGAAGGGACAAATGTCGAAGAACTGCCTCTTTTGATGGAGGTCGCCTGGGTTTTGCGGTTCTTCAAGCTCTTTGCGCAAGATGGACAGGATATCCTCCTGGTCTTTGCAATTGGCTTTGACCCATTCTTCACCGTCCGACTTTGAATACGGATAAGGGGTACGTTGTAGACGAAAAGCAACGTCAGGATCGTTGAGGATCCTCGCGAGAGCCGACGACGTCTCGTGAAGGCTATGAGGACGGTGTGCTGTGATTATAATGTTTGTATGTGGTTCCGGAAGCCTCAGGTAAGGTTCCTGGGTCTCCGAGTTGTAATGAACAGCCATTTTTGCTTGCTGCACCACGAAAAGTGAGGCTGTCGATTAAGTCTGACAATGGACCTCTTGCTGGTTAGCCTGCTATAGTTATGAGCAAATCGATTGAGTGAGTCACACCTTCAAGGGCAACGCAACGGCGCACTAAGTGTGTCAGACGGTATTTGGAGTCATATCCGATAGCTATAGCCATTCGATGGTCTTTCGATTAGTGGAAAGAGAAATAATATGGATAATGGCTCCGCAATGAACCAAACATGACAATGCCATCGTGGCTTGAAGGCTTACTTCACCCCATAGAAACTGCATAGGATCATAAATCCAAAAGTTGAGCGATTCTCCATCAAGTAAGGCAAGATGGCCGAGTTGGTCTATGGCGCACGGTTCAGGTCTACCTGATCCAAACTTCCGTGTCTCGAAAGGGGCGTGGGTTCGAATCCCACTCTTGTCAAAGCAATATCTTTTTGTCTTTTCTATTTTTGACCTGGTTGGATACACTAGCTATGCCAGGTGTGTCTTTGTTCTTTTTGTCGTCTGGTGTACGGAGTAGACTTGAGACCAATCAATACATTTTGGTGGTTGGTCGTCTGAATCCACTGCATTGTTGGACATTTGAAGTAATTGCTCATTCATTAGTCTGCCTCTGTCTGTGTTTCATTATGAGAAGACAACGGGCACTAAATTAGGCTCAAGTGCCATTCTGCAACAGACATTTTGAACTATGGTCAGAATAATGTTGGAGCCTTCTAGCTTGGGCGACGCAGGAAGACCAATTTAGTGTCTGCCTGGTCACAAATGGGATGAATCCTTGAGCGTCTAGAATAGGCTCAACTTGGTCCTCACCAACCTCTTAAAGATATCTTCCTCGCAAATCTCTACATATCCTTTTTGAACCCCAGTTTCCGCAGTCTCCATCATACCTGATCGACAGAGTGGCAGTTCCGAGTGGCTTCCGCTTTGTTTTGTTTGCGTTTCAACGGTTGACCGCCCAGCATCCTAGCTAATCAGCCGCGTGTACACCTTTCTCTTTTTGACCACTACACCTCCAGACTTTTGGCCTTCTAACGCGACAGTGATTCCAGGTTGAATCCGCTCTTGGTCGCTATTGCTATTCTAACGTCTACTTGCCCATCATGACTCTCGCTGAGGAGTTCCAATCGCGAAACTTCAGTACGTACCCCTCTTGCTGATGCGGCGGCGAACGTCGATCAGTCTCATTGATTCAAGATTGGCTAACATCCCACTCTTATAGGCATCTATGGCCAATGGTTAGTTCCTTGAATAATTTTGTCTTCGCTTCTTCTGAACGTTTCCGCCGGGTCCCATTCGAGCTTCGACAGCTATGCAGGATAGAGGCAATTGTGGCGAGATGTCGGATGGATGCCTGTTCCTCATGGCGGGCTTCGGATATCTCTAGTTTTTGTCAAGTTGCGAAGGAAACAGATCTCTGACAGCCTTCTTTTAGGACCGGTGTGGTGTGCATGATCCTGTGCTTTGCCCTCGGCATTGCCAACATCTTCTCCCCCGTCATCCGCATCATCTTCTCCGTCATCTGCCTGTAAGCTCGGCCAAACTTCCGCGATGACAATCCACCATTCTAACCATTCTAGTGCTTGCTCGTTCATCATTCTCTTCATTGAGGTACCCTTCCTGCTCCGCATTTGCCCTACATCCGCCAAGTTCGATGCCTTCATCCGCCGCTTCACCACCAACTGGATGCGCGCCGCTATGTATGCCATTATGTGCGGTGTCCAGTGGGCTAGTCTCGTCACTGGTGCCTCAAGTCTGATCGCCGCCGCCGTTATGCTCTCCATCGCTGCTATCTTCTACGCGCTGGCCGGTCTGAAGAGCCAGGAGTTCGTCGGCAGCAAGACCCTCGGTGGTCAGGGTGTTGCGCAGATGATCGTCTAAATTCCCGTTGCCTCCCGACAGGTCTCTGGCTTCTTCCCGCGTCGGGTTTATATGTGGGATAGCATGTCCCCTGGCTGGTCCAATGTCTGGGTGGAATGATGGAATGCTCGATGCGAAATTCTGGATAATGACCTTTGGGTCGAAACATATTGGAATGCGCCACGACCTTGCTTATTACTCCTTTTATCATCTTGTACTTGTATGTCGCCTTTGGTTTGGCGACAGCCTGCTTGGCGACTTCCTCACTGCAGACATAATGAACATCCTCTTCTATGGTTCAGGTCTGCGTTATTCGGTTCTGTTACGGTTTTTAGAGCGAAACTAGGTTCAATGTCAATGCATACTTATGCTTCCTTTCGATCTGGCCCATTTCTATCTAGTTAAAACTAGAAGAGCGTTGTGTCGAAGTAAATGCTTGAGGCCCTGGGTACTCCAGTCCCTCTGTCCGGGCACGATGTGTCTGCGCATGGTTGCTACCTACCTGTCCAAGTGAGGGTTTGATGTTAGATTTGATGTTACTTCTTCTGGCTCCATGTGTCCGTAGGCTGTCAGCCTTTGATGTCCTCGGGAGAGCCTGCAGGTGAACCTGGTTGGGCTGTACCTTGACTACATGAGTCGCGAATACCCGGATATATATTCACAGACAGAGCGGATTCATAAACCCGATAGTCTATACTATGGATCAAATTAATGTAAACCAAGCCACTTACACAAGAAAATCCCTGAACCATCGCATACAGGGGGAAATTAGGCTTGAAAAAGCAGATATATGGGAGGTCATGGGGGTATATGAACTAAAGCAAGACGTCATGGATTCACCTTAGCTGGTGTTACTTGAAGTCATCGATGTAGCCAAAATCTGGCAGACATACCATGAAGTTGGTAAGATGGCCGAGTTGGTCTAAGGCGTCAGGTTAAGGTCCACCTTAGCATAAATTCCTGATCTCGTTTACGGGGCGTGAGTTCGAATCTCACTCTTATCACTCATCTTATATTTTTTTTTTTTTTTTTCCCCCTCGCACTTGTCAATTGCCATTCATTGAATCTTTCTTTTTTTTCTCATTTCCCGTTCAGCTCGCCCACCAAAAGTCGCAAGTCGGCAAGTCATAAGACGCTTCAAAGACCTCCATTGACATGAGTAATCCGTAGTCAGTACACACCTACACCTGGGATTGCCGCGGAAGTAAGTTACATGAAATGTCACTCTACGCTCAGTCCTCACCAAGAGAAAAAGAAACAAACGAAGAGGCCAATGAAGCTCGGTAACAGAACTAGTTACTCGCCTTCACATCCTCGGTCAACAACCATTCTTTTTCCTCCTCGTTTTCCCTTCACATCCCATTGATCCCAACATCTGTGAAATGATCCGAGCTCTTCATCGGATGACTGATTCTCCCCATCTGACCTGTCTGTACATGTATTAGCAGGATCGTCACCCCGCAATCTCAGGAACCGCTCAGGTAAAACGGGGGAACTCCATCGGCTAGAAAATTTCAGCAATCCACATGACCACCTTCCCCCTCTCGACGCACCCCTTTTAATATTACAGTTTGTGTATTTCAGTATAGGGTAAATCTGTCCAGGAACCACGTCAGAACATCCGGTTACCTATCCTGGAGCCCCGCGCGTCATACACCAGGTCTTGGTGGCGGCAATTTTTACAGGGCTACCGGCTATGAGGGCGAGGATCAGTAGTGAAGTGGGGGTCTAGTCAAACACCTCTGCTTTAAGCTCTGTCTCATTTGATCTCATCATCATTGATCTCTGGAGATTCATTGAAGAGATAAGGAAAGATTCTTCCAGACAGAGATAACTATCAGCTACCAATTATTTCCTCTGTATTGTACTCTATTATCTCAACGGACGGGTTAGGAAGCTTTAAATGGGGTGGACGCTAGATGATGCAATCCCATGGGATGCGGAGAATCCTTTCTTCATTGCTCACCGCCTCGGTCTTCGTGGCCAATCCCAAGACAAAGAAATAATCTGGGACGGCCGATACAAGTTGGTCCTTATCACGACCAGAAGGAAAAGATACATTGTTCTTACTTCTAGAACCTCTCTGTTGCTCTCCTGTCCCCCGTAGAAAAAGTGATAGTACGTAGAGAATTGAATTATCACTTCTTATGCCCCTATTAAATCCCCTTAGCACAGCCACTCGAGACAACTACCAGCGCTATTAATATACTTTGGACCCACGGTCTAGCCACCAGGGATTATCGGTCTAATGTCCTCATACGAAACGAGGAGACGCCTATGCCTGCACGCGATCCCCAGAAAGCGGTGGTTGGACAAACTGCACGAGGCATGATTTGCCCCCGAAGCTGAACGATCTCGACCACTCCACTTGGCGACCAGATATGAGGTATTTGCTTGAAAAATGCCGCAAAAGCATGCATTGCTCAATTTCAGGACGGGGGGAATAACTCCCTCGTAGAAAAGTCGTTCAGCGCATGATTCAAACGTCTAGAGTTTTCATGGAAAGAGAGACTGAAAGATCACCGAGTATTAATACGAGTATAAAAAACTGGTTAAAATATAGTCGATGAGCCATTGGCGTCACCGTAAGAACAAGAGCCCTCAGCACCGATAGTAACCTTACAGTAATCTGACGGTAAAACTGGACTTTCGCTTGGACTGGATGCGGTCAGAGCACGTCACGCGCCCGGTGGGTCGTGGCAGAAAGAGACATACATCATGCTCTTCGCTCGCCGGATTGCTTCATTCTCTGCTCATTCTCTACCTTTTCTGTACTCCGGTACTGATTGACCGCTACCTTATCCTTCTATCCTGATCCAATTGGGAATCTCCCAGACCTCGATATCGGGTATATCAATCTGGGTAAGCAAATCATCCTGCATCCGCTTATCAGCTGCAGCCCTCTCCCCTCCTCCTTGGCTATACCCGAGTTATGGGGCCCAATCTCCCTTGCATCAATGCAGGTCCTTGAATGGCCAACCCCAGAATACTCCGCCCGGGACCAGGTGGTTGCTTCTTGGTCCCAACGGTCAGCAGGGAAGGAATGGCCTAAAGCTGTCCCACCAGCTCGTGAATTGTTGGGCTAAAATTGCGAGTCATTTAGCTAACATCCCAAACCTGGTAGCTTCTGAACATCCTCCATCATGTCTACTCAAACAGCTCCGTTCATCCCGCCTCGACCGGCCCGATCTCCGCAACCACCCGCCTCAATAGACATGCCGAAGATCCCCCCGCGTCCGTCAAACCGCCGCCTGGACCGGTCCGTCTCCCCCATGCGAGACAGCTATGCGCCGTCTCCCTTTAATGAGTGGAACGGACCAAGCATAGCTCGTACCACATCCAATGATCTCCCTCCGCGCCCGCCGAGCGTCACGATTCCCTCCCTGGGCGAAGAGGGCATTGAGTACGCCGATCTTGATGTCGGAAACATGGCGGACAGCCATCAGCAGGCACCGACAGAGACCCGCAACGTTAACACTGACCTCAAAATCCATGCACCACGCCCTTCTTTGCCCACCTCAAGTGCTAAGGCGAGAGTTCAGGCGGTCACCCGCACAGATTCCCGGCAGGCTGCGGCCGCGGGACTAGGCCGTGAAAGCTCCAATTCTCCAGCCTTGGATGAGCAAGACCGTCCTCGCCGAACGTCAAACTCCCGGGCGAGCCACTCGCGGGCCGACTCGAACGCCTCATCTGACCGCCGACTTTCAGCACACCTCGGAGAAGAGCATGGCTTCCGAGTTCCCATGTACCCGAATGCCGGTGACGTCCAGGCACCTTCTCCAAGCCCTTACCTTGAACAGGGCACCCAGCGACAAGGCCGCAACCATCACCGCAGCCGTAGTGCCCGAGATTCTTCTCTGCCTCCGGGCAGTTACGGTCTGCATGGGCACGGCGTTCAGCACGCTGATAAGTTCGAGAAGGCCTGGTACGAGAAGCACCCGGATGAGTTCGTCAAGGAGGAGGGCCAGTATGGCCCAGGTGTGGGCACTCCTCGGCCGGATTGGGCTCTCAGTAGCGATGATCTGAACAAGATCGTTCGTGGTCCCAGCCGCAGTGGCCCAGGCCTTGGTAAGAAGATTAGCCGCGGTTCTAGCTTTATGAAACATGAATACTGACTTCTCGTTTCCTCTAGGCACCTCTCCTGCGGCCACAGGTACTCCAGAGGAAGAAGTGGGATACCTTGCCTCAGATGAATACATGCATCGCATGGCATCTCCGCCTCCCGATGCTCGCAACGAGTCACAGCCAGTGGTGGAATCTCCGCTTCGACAGATGAGTTTCCCAGCATCCGAGATTGAGCCCAAAGTTCCGGCCTCCCCATTGCGCCATGGCCGGAGTAGCTCTCATGGACACCGTGCGGACGGCGAGGTGATTCACGTCGATGACCCTATGCACCCTCTTCACCACCCAGACGGATTTGCTCCAACCCCGGCACCGTATGAGCACACACCTGATGTGCAACAGCCTCTCGAAGACGATGAGCCTATTCTGGCTGCTGATGAAGTGCGCCCCGATTCCGCCTATCTGCACCCTGCCATCTCGCCTACATTTGAGCACCGAGGAAGCCTTGACGAGGAGCGTAGCCGCACCCCAAGTGTCTCGCACAGTCGCTCTAACAGTAGATCCGCAAGTGCTCAAGGTGCTCCTATGCTGACTCGCTTCGATTCCCGTGAGCCGCATGAGGATATGTCCACTCCTCTGGAGGATGTGGAAGAATATGAGCCTCTCTTCCCCGAGGAGGGAGATTCGAAGAAGCCACGCTCTCTCTCGGCCACGGAACGTTTCAAGAAGCGCCCAGATGTGCACAGATTCCCGAGTGAAGACATCTGGGAGGATACTCCGAACAGTCTGCAACTCCACGCTACAGTGACGACCCCTGATATCCCCAAGCGCGAGTCTTCAGAGCTCTTTGAGACACCGGAACAAGAGGCTGCGCGAAGAATGCAAACGTCCAAGGTTGATTCTCATCAGGTCGCGCGTCATATTCTTCACGGGGATGGTGCACGTGATAAGGCCAAGGTGCCTGCTCGACCCGATGCCGTCAAGCAGCGGTTCCCCAGTCGGGACATTTGGGAGGATGCTCCTGATAGTCAGCAACTGGTGACGACGGTCGACCCGGCAAACGATGAAGTCAAGAGCCCCGATGTGCCTTCGAAGCCCTCAATTCCTCCACGCCCGCAGAAGCAAGTACAGGCAACATCCCCAACCGACAAGCGTCCAGCGCCCCTCATTCCGGACCGTCCGAAGCCTCAGATTCCAGCTCGGCCCGCTAAGCCTGGCTCTCAGTCAGCTGAGGGTGCTGCCGCACCCAAGGCAAAGCCTGCGATTCCCGCGCGCCCTGGTGGTAGTAAGATTGCGGCTCTGAAAGCTGGCTTCCTCACAGATCTGAACTCGCGTCTCCAGTTGGGTCCCCAACAACCTAAGCCCCAGGAGAAGGAACCGGAACCACCCGCCGAGAAGCAGCCGCTGAGTGATGCTCGTAAGGGAAGAGCCCGTGGCCCGACCCGGCGAAAGCCTGCCACGGAGAACGCCAACGCTAGACTGCCCACTATCCCAGAGATCAAGATCACTGAGACTTGGAATGTGTGGTCGGTTGGCCAGGACGGTAATCTGACTGTGGGTAGCGAGGACAAGAAGCCTTCTGTTCCCGCAGCGGAGCCTTCAGTCCCATCTGAGCCCCCAATGGCCCCCCAACTGGCCAAGAACACTGCCGGAGAATCGGTCGACCCTGTTCCAGTGACTAAACCCGCGGCAGAGGAGGTCTTTGCCAACACTGTCGCTGCTCGAGAAGCCGAAGCCGCCGAGCCTCAAGTTTTGAAAGACGTCCCAGCGTCAATCGAACCCCCTCAGCAGCCACCGAGCTCCCTTCCAAGCAACAGGAGCCCGAGCCAACCACAAGTCCAGCCGGAGCCCAGCCTCTCGCAGACCACGTCTCAACCTCGACCAAAATGGATGATGTTCTCGAGGACCTGGCTGCATCAGCCGATGGCAAGAAGACCTCTGATGGTGACATTCACCCCACAGAGTCCTCTGCTTAAATAAGCGTTTTGTTCTTATTTTTCCTTTCAAATTGTGTCTTCTTCACTCGCTTGTTCTTGACGAAGCTTCATGCCCGACAAGAATTTGGTTGCAAGTATCTCACTAATAATGGACCTTGCCAAGCCCAACTACCATCTTTATTATCACTGCGTTCTTAATGAGTGTTGGTCCTTAGGACCTTGAATACATTTTTGTTGTGGCATCTGAGTTAGATGCGCAAGACCCAATTCTGCGTGCCTTTCCCGCTTATTTCATGGTATCCTATCCATCTTTCCAAGTAAAAAATCCGAATTGTTATGGTTGGTAAGTTACTACTAGCCTGGCCCGTTGCTAGCAAGGGCCATAGATATCAGCCATATGTCCGCGGTTCTGCCTAGTTGAGGGCGTGCTCTTATAAGCACATCATCTCCGAGATACCTGGGGCATATCCATGTTTCGTATTGAATCTATGTACGCTGTACATAACAAGAATCTATCACCGTGTAGTGGCGCACTCATATGGACACTGGGGTTGATATCGTGAGATATCTAACACGTTTTGCCACACCTGCGGGCTCGAAGGTCTTAGTCCACTAGATCTCTTCTGAGCTCTACTGTGGGAGACCCATTGCAGGCGGGCTATAATCCGTCACATATGGATCTGTGGAGAGGCCTCTTGGTGTCCTTAATTCGCCTAGATTGCATACGTTCAATATGCCTCAAACAAAACCTCGGCATCGGAGGGTGATGATTCCCCTCAATAGTAGTCAGGGTATAGGCATTGAACTTTGAAAATGTGCGAATTACAAAGAGGCTAGGTGATCACGCTGTTTTCTTGACCTTCTACTCTTGATAGGGCTTTGTGTCCAGTACAGGCCAAAGCACTGTTTCCGAACTCGCAACCAGATACTCGATAGTGCCAAATTGGTGACTGTTGCATCGCAAGAGGGAGAAAAGATTGGCTCAAGAACAAAGGGAAAGAAATTCAATATTTCAAAGGTGGTCTAATTTACAAGCTTCAGGACCTGAGGAGGCGGCCAGATATTGGTGCCGGATGCATGCACAACCGTCCCCTCATATTTCCCCAGACCTTGCTAAACGAAAGGGAGCATTTAGTGGGCGGCAGCAGCCTCTTCCTCCTCCTCCTCGAACCAGCTCTCCTCGGCGGGGGCGGCCTCGCCGGCGGCAGCCTGGCCCTCAACCTCAACCTGCTGGGCCTCGTAGGCGGACAGCTCACTGGCGAGGTTGGCCTCCTCGGGGGAGGGGGGAGCCTTGGGGAGGTTGAAAGTCTGGACATTGCCCTCGGCGTCGCTGGGCTTGACGGGGGTGGGCTTGTAGGCCTTGAGCTCACGGAGGTAGAGGTCCTGAACCTGGTCGGCTAGAGTAGAGATATGCGAGTTAGTGACGGGTCGATCATAGATTGGTGGAGAATCTGTCCGCCAGGAACGACTTGAAGGATCTTGGAAGTAGTGACATACCGCGGCGGACAGCGGAGGTCAGGAAGGTGCGGCGAGCAGCGACAGGGACCTGTTGCCGAGAGGCACGGGTGAAGAGGGAGCGCTAGGTTTGCAGTGTTAGCCAGGCGGAGCGGCGCAATTCGATAGTCTATATCACTCACCGAGGCCCGGAGAGACTGGGACATCATCTTGACGGAGTGGGTGGTGAAGATGAGGGGGGTGGAAGGAGGGGTGGTGGTCTCAACAGGATGGATCTGATCCGTTCTCCGTGCAAGTCGAGGTTGGAAACGACTTCTCTTCGGAATCTCGGCTTGGCGCTGAGTCATCTGACCCACTCCCCCCACCACGTGACCAGTGCAACTCATCTGCCTCACTTCTTTGTTCGCCTCGATCGTTGCCTTGGACCTAACCACCTCTCTCCCCCTTCTTCTCTCTCACCTCCGCCCTCTCGATCCACCCCCTTCTCTCTTCCTCCGCCTGTCTTCCCTGGAACTTTGACTTCTTCCTGCTTCTTGCCCCAGCATTTGCAGCGATCCGTCAGGTTTCCTCGACCCTTTTCGTGAGATATCTCTCTTACGGAGACCTTGACTGGTTATCGTGGTCGGACAAAGCCGAGCTTTTGAGAAATCGAGAAATCTCTCTTTCGCCGGAGAAAGCGCATACACCCTGGTGACAGTTCTTTCACGTCTTCGAAGAGGGGGGTGATCTTATCGAGCTGCGACTGGTCTTGTTCTGAGAAAAGGTAATGCCAGCTTCACTTTTGCGAAATTGGAGAAACCGGTGGCGTCGGGGATAATACTTTCACCTGGGAGATGATACTCTCCGTGGATGCGTTATTCTCACTTCTGACCTCCGAATCTTTGGGAATCTACCAGAACCAGGCTAACCGCGACTGCGCAAGTAGTGGCCCGCGATCAAAGAGATAGCTCCGTGCTGTTTCTTGCCCCGCAGTCCATCTCTCTGCTCAGTCAGGGGGCTCTTCACCTTTTCTGCGATTGTCCGTCGCAGCCGCCACGACGTATTCGCCACTGTTCCTTCGCTACTATACTCGCAAATACCGCATACCTGTCTCCCACAAGAACATCACCCAGCGACGTCAGGCACGCATCTCACAATTCGGACAAGTGAAAAAAATGGCGACCATGTCCCCACTCCAAAAGGAGGCGGCCACGGTGCCCTTCAGGAAGAACCTCGCGGCACATGTCATCTGCAGTGAATGCAAGGAAGTGCCACCCAACCTGGAGTTCGACTCCCACCAGACAACCTGTGGCAGTTGCGGCCTGGTCCTTGGAGATCGCGGAATCGACATGGGCTCCGAATGGCGCACTTTCTCGAACGACGACCAGAACTCGGACGACCCGTCTCGTGTCGGAGATGCCAACAACCCGCTCCTGAATGGTGATCAGCTGGAGACCACGATCGCCAGTGGCGCCACTGGCCGGTCTCGCGATCTGTATCGCGCCCAGAACAAGCAGTCTAACGACAAGCAGAACAAGGCCCTGATGCAAGCCTACAAGGAGATTGGCGCCATGTGTGAGGGGTTTAATATCCAGAAGAACGTGGCCGACACTGCCAAGTACCTGTTCAAGACTGTCGATGACGCCAAAGCCTTTAAGGGCAAGTCCCAGGACGTCCTTATCGCCGGCTGCATTTTCATCGCCTGCCGCAAGTGCAAGGTCCCCCGTTCGTTCTCTGAGATCTTCGCCGTCACCAAGGTCAGCCGAAAGGAGATTGGCCGGATCTACAAATCCCTGGAGAAGTTCTTCACCCAGAACGACGAGGCCCGCAAGGCTGCTGTGGTGGCGAGCGGTGGTACTCCCGATAACGTAGTCTACGAGACGACTACCTCGACCAAACCCAGTGACATGTGCAACCGGTTCTGCAACCTTCTCCGTCTCGAATACCCCCTCCCCCGCATTTCTGTGCAGTTGTCGGACCGAGTCACCGCTTCGGGTATCTTGGCTGGACGTTCGCCACTTTCCATCGTGGCCGCCTGCATCTACATGGCTTCCCACTTGATGGGCCAGGGCAAGTCTCCAAAGGAGATTTCCCAGATCGTCCACGTTAGTGACGGGACCATCCGTGGTGCTTACAAGCACCTGTATGCAGCCCGCGAGCGGCTCATCGACCCGTCCTGGATCGAAAAGGACAAGGGAGATATGAGCAAGCTGCCCGCTGCCTGAAGAGGTGGATGCTCGGGTGCCATGAGGCATCGGTGATCGGAACTGACCTGTGCTGTGCTAATTTTTTTTCTTTCCCTTTTTCTTCTAGCTGTTTTCTCATGCCAAAAAGGGCATGAAAGATATCAATGATAAAGCTGACCTTTGCTGTTTTTTTTTTTTTTTTTTGATTCCCAAATGGATGTCGCCGTAGCCAGCGCGCGGCTTGACAAGATATGCTCATGCACAGTCACTTCACAGGTCTCACAGTGTTCCAGTTTTCCTAGTTCTTATTTCCCAATTGGAAATGACTTAAAATACTGTGCTCATGCTCCATTCAGTACTGCTTTTCTTGCTCATGTTCATTTCTCATAATCAAGTCGTCGCTGTGGAGCTTTAGGTTTTATTCAGTCGGTTTAGATAAATCTTCAAGCCTAGCTATGCTGGGCAACACCCGTTCTTGAAGATTTGTAAGCTCTGCGTCGGGATTATGTATGAATACAAGTGCTAAAGAGAATAAAAAAGACCTGCAAGTGTTTTCAATCACAATCTTAGCCTTCAAGTAGGTAGGCTCTGAATGGAACCAAAGGTTCGTATGACAAAAAAAGAATTGATTGATAAGAGTGAGATTCGAACTCACGCCCCGTAAACGAGATCAGGAATTTATGCTAAGGTGGACCTTAACCTGACGCCTTAGACCAACTCGGCCATCTTACCAATTCGATGGATGCGTTCTCAAATTCTGACAATATGACTTAGTAACCTATCTAACATGTCCCTCCTGATGAGGCTCTCTTTAGTGATTCCCTCATTCGTCGACGGGAAGGCCGATGCGGGCGTCGTAAAGGTGGATCCGGGCTGAACACCACGCATCTTGCGCGGCGACGTGGTGTACTTTTGGTGGAGCAGTCGCTCAAGCTTATTTCCCTTTTCCCCCTGGTCAGCCTCGTTTAATCCTGTCTATTGTCAGGTCCCGTCAGGCCGATATTGGGTTTTGCTTATTTGAGTTCACAGCCACCGAGACGAGACAGGTACAGTAGGTCATGTATGTGGCTCCCGTCTTACAGAGAGCTATTGACATTCGTGCCGATGGCGCTGTGGTACTGTAGTGGGCGCTTTCCCTGCATCTTTGACGTGGCAGCTGCGGGGCTAATGGGCTGGACCAGCAGCATGAGAATTCACCAGGATCAATTGAGTCAATCTTGAGCGATCGAGTGGTCGGTCTTTACAGGACAGATGGGGGGTTCGGTGGACGGGTTGCGCAAGCCGCTAGACGTTCGGGGGCGTCTAGACTGCCGGTGTTGGGCGCTGGGAGGTGGTTAGATCTACCGACACGAGAGTGGATAGTCGCCCAAGTCAAACTAGCTTGTGGGTGTGGTGTATCCGTGGATAGAGAAGTAGTTGCTGGCGACGAACATCACTGTGGGGATCTAGATCATTAGGAGGGCTGTTAGACTCGTCTGGCCACCAGATAACTATAAGTATTGTTCAGGTGGAGATAAGATGTGCAAGCACCTGAGAGTACTGTAGTCGTCATGCGAACCACTGCCAGGTGTGCCTATCTCTAACTCTGCATATGATACAGTACTGTTGATTGCCTTTGTCCTATCAACCTATTAAGAATGCGGGGCAACACATCACGCTCTAATCCTTCAACTTTCCAGAGTTCGCACTCTCCTGCAAGCCGGGGGGTCACACTTTGTTGAATCATGAATGCACGCTATCGATTCTATGCTATGCTATGCCATGCCCTGGCTACACATGGACTACTGCAATTGGGCTAGTGCCATGACTAGCCGCTGCTGTTAGGGCTGATGGTGGTGTCATCCGCTTGGACCCGAGGCGGACATTCTCGAGCAAAAGGGCAGTCTGGAATGTGCATTGGGGGGAGGAGGTGGAGGGGCAAATCATAATCCATGATATGGTACCATACTATGTGATGGTGAGTTTATCAGGGTACTTGGCGGGCGAGAAGAATGGGCAAATCCACGGGTCAACAATAATACGCTTGGGTGTCAGCGGAAGTGGCGGATCGGGTAATAAGTCAATAGATGTCCATGGATGAAAGGTAAACAATTAGTACATTGATCTATATCAGTTCCTTTCTACTTTTCATGTACAGTCTCTGTTGGAAGGAAGATATTTCAGTACTAAGCGAGGCTGTTCTCGGCATATCCTGTCTATCTATAATCTTCCGGAGTGGATACGATTGGTGGTAGGGCTTAACATCGGGGCTGAGAGAGGGCAGTGCGAATCACGACTCGTCCATGCAGGACAGCGAGCGGGCGAAGGGGGTGGGACAAACACCTCAGCCTTTCTGAGGATTACGAGAGAATGACGGCTATCACCTATGGATCCGTGGATGGACTGAAAGGGAGATCATAAAACAGATTACGCTCTCTATCTTGTGTGATGTACAGTAGGCAAAGATGATGTATGTAGTTACAAGGCCGAGTTCCGATTAGGAAAAAGTGGAGTGGATAAGGCAGATGGATATGGTGGACAGGATGTCTCAGATGTGGAGTGGATGAGTGGAAGGGGGTTGAATCAGATTTCACATTATTCCATGTCATTTCCCTACAGTAGTGGGTTACTTAGTACTGTATCAATTTCCGATGATGACGGGAGTTTTGGAAAATCGAACGATAGTTACTCACATAGTAATACTAGACTAGTTAACTGTAAGTCTTGTACGAGACAACTCAGCCAAGAAGGCTGTAGCAGAACACGAGAAATGAGAATCTTTTAGAAAACGCTGAGAGTTTTTCCCTTGTCATCTTTTTTTATCTCATTAACCTTCTTTTCTTTTTACTCTTTATCCTCACATCTCTCTTTCTTTTTTCTCTTCCCTTTTCCTCCCCTTGAAAGTCATTATTGATTGTTCCCCACTCTCCTCTTCCGTGCGGGCCTCACCTCTTCTCAAACTGGCCCCGAGGATCTCCCTCCTAGGCTTCCCCCCTCTTCCCTCCACGCCTCAATTATTTCCACTTTGATACTCTCCTCGCTTCCAAGTCCTGTTCCTGCTTCCGTTCCGCCTTCCCCGCCTCTCTCCAATCTCAAAACCCCGACAAGCTCGACAAGCTCGACAAGCTCAACAACAATCCCAAGAGATCCCTTGTTCGGACCCTGTCGAACCGCTTCCTCCAAATCCTTCCTAACCGCCGATCAGTTGCTATTTTGGTGTTCGTGGCGCCCTTCCTTAGCGGGTGTGCAGCTGCATAGACGATCGATTTATTGTTCCCTAGACCGACTTCTCTGCGCGCCTATCTATTAGCAGACGAACTCTAGCTTGCGTTCGTGTGTGACTTATCATTCTGCTCGAGTCGGACTGATCGAGCGTGGTTTTTGGAAGCTTGCGGTGTTGTGTACTCCGTACTTGTGATTCCCTTCCGTCCTGCCTAGCAATGCTGCGCGTCTAAGCACAACCGGCCTCAACACCACCAAAACGACAGGACTCAAACTCGGTGTGCATGGAGGAGCTGGTCTTCTTCTACACCACTCTCGCGTCTGTCTGCGGTGTTCCCGGAGGAAATGTGCCTGCGTTGACAGCTGTTTCTCGAATCCGTTTCCCCTCCTCTCCCCTCCCTTGTCTCCCAGACAATGTCTTCGCCCGCTCTCAAGATAACGACGACGACGAGCAGCAGCTACCCAGCCGACGACAATAATGTCTTGCTTTCGCGTGCCGCTAGCTATACCGACCTCCCGAGCCAATCCCCGGAATCCGGTCCTCCGAGCTTAAGACGAACCTTCTCCGATTATGCAGTGCCCACCCTGTCCCAGTCGCCGACAAAGGAGGTCGTGGCTGCAGGCAAGGATATTCTGCGTCGGACGTCCCTTCGCTCGAAAAAGAAACCCGAGAAGTCGCCCGCCGCCGTTGCCCACTTTACACTCTCTTCATCGGAAGATCTGAAGGACTTGGACACCCAGAATGTGACCGCGACGAAAATGCCGGAAACGAGGGCGCCCGAACCTGTAGCTCGGCCATTGAAGTCCCGTTCCATGTCCGGACGGATCGTCAATTTGGCACGGAAGCCATGGGGGTCTGCGTCTCGTTCACCGTCCCCGGCAGCAAAGAGGACCAAACAAAGACCTGAAGAAGAATCTCCTACCCGGTCGAGTACACGCAAGACGGAACAAGCTGATATGGATGGGGCACAGCCGTCGCGCAGGCGAACGGTACTATACAAACGGCCACGACGGCCAATGGTAGCGGTGGTAACAAAGGGCAATTCGGACTCTCCAGATTCACCCAACAGTCCGTCGAACTCATTACGAAACAAGACTTCTTTCGAGAAATTCACAGCATCTCTCTCGGTGACAACTCCGGTTCTACCTCCTATGCCCAAGGGTGCTGCGGCAACCGTGGCGTCCTTTACAAACAACAACAGCAGCACCATTGAGCATTCACGCAAGAAGGATGAACTGTGGGGTATTTTCCGCGGCCTCGAAGCCGATTTCCAGAAGTGAGTAGGAAGAAACGTCTTCGTAATGCTTGCCCAAGGCTGATCAAATTTTGCTTGCAGGTTTCAATCCAAATCGAGCTCCCTGAAAGCCAATGTCATTCGCACTTCACTGCTCCCGTTTCTTGGTCGCCATCATCTCCATGGCTCCTGCAAGAACCTCCGACCCGAAGATTTGGATCGTCGAGTCAATATTCTCAACAAGTGGTGGATTGGAATGCTGGAGATGCTCAATGGCAAGAATAATCAATCGATATCCGGCACTGACCGGCCGGTCTTTCTTGAGGCCGTGGTGGGCATTATGACACGACCTGAATGGCGAATCCCATTCCCTACAGCCCAGCAGAACGATGCACCGACGGATTCGTTGAAATATGCATCGACTTCAGTATCGGAGACCTCTGATGGGTCAGGCTCATCTGGATCGGATTTTCTGGTCGAGTCCATTCACCACAATATTCGAAATGTTTTCGTCCAGAATCTTCTGTCTCAAATGGCATTCGTGGTGGAGCGGATGTCCATGAGACACGCACCCGCCAGCCTGGTGGCCTTCTGTGGAAAAGCATGTTCTTATGCCTTCTTTTTCTGCCCAGGAGTGGCAGATATCATGGTGCGCCTGTGGAACACGCCTCCGACTGCCTTCCGTCGCATCCTGGCGGAAACATCTCAGTCTCGGACTGGAAACATGCGTGCCTTCACCCAGGAGCTAGCTTTGAGCTTCCCACCGGCTCTGCGATCTCTGGCATTCCACTCGCATGCACCTTTGCTGCGGTATATGAGACACAAGCCTGAGCCACCTCTGAACACCACCAATATTCCTTGGAGTGGCCCTTGGATTGCACGCTGGTGCGGACGTGACACGGATTTGTTCTTCGTCTTTGTCAAGTATATCCACATTCTGTACGCGGAGTACATGCCGCCGGAGACGGAGAAAGCGAACAGGATTTTGGCTCCTGGATTGCTTCTCGTTCATGCTCAACTTCTGATTGCCATCGAGGATACGATCTACAAGCAGTCTTTGCACCAGCCGGAAAACGCTCATGCTGCTGCCGCGATCACTTTCGACGATCTCATCGAATCGCCAGATGCCTCCGCTTCTCCCCACTCCCTCGCAGGTGGTAGGAACAGCCATCGATCCATGGCGGAGAATCGTCTGATTATACTTCTACGAGACCTGCTCTCAGAATCCTCTTCCGAGCCTAATCGTGCACGTCTGCTTTATGCGGAGACTTTCTGTGGACTACTCAAGGTTGCGGCCCAACGGATCTCTCTATTCGATCATAATGCATGCTTCCTACTATGCGATTTCCTGGAAGAAGTGATCCCGATCGTCACGCGATATGCGCAGTCTATTGAGACTGAATTGTTCGATTGGAGTTTCTGGTTGGAGGTTTGCCGGCAGATGATGCAAAGCCATAACTCACTGACAGAGGTGCGGGTGTTCTCTTTCATCTACAGCATCTGGGGCACCTGGGCCGTGACGGAGGAGCGGAAGGCTAGCCTTTGCTTGAACTTCTTCTTGCATGAGCCGGTATTCTATCATTATTTTAATCATTGGAGCCCGATGGTGCGCGCCTACTATCATCGTGTGTTGTGCTGGAGGATCGGTCGTTTCAGTGGAGACCCTTCGCCGCTTGACTCGTGAGCATGACCTTATCCTTTTTGTCCCGAAAAAGCCTACTAACAATCGATTCATAGAACAATATATGAGACGCTATCTGACAGGCTGTTACGGGTCTGGGAGTTTTACATTGGATTCCAATCCAAGGCAGAGCAGGGGCTTACTGCGCCACTGTCTTCTGCTCCTTGCACCCCGGCGCCAGGCCGGCGGATCATCATCATTAGGTGTGATACTCAGCTGTCGCCAGTCAACCTATTCGTCTCCTTTGACCGAGTGGTCCCGCCTGTTCCCCCTGAAAAGGTCACCTCACATCGACGATCCAGCTCTGCCGACTCCACTGGTTCAGACGGCCAGCCACCGAAGCGACGATGGGGCCTACTTCGCTCCATGTTTGGTGGTTCGGCTAAGTCCGATTCTGCGGGTGGCAGTAGTTCGGACGAGGACAACAGTGCTACGGATCTGACGGTGACTCCGGATAGTCGGTGCATGGACGAGCATGAGAAAACTCCAAACCAGAGCTCGGATGAGCTTGTTCGACCAAAGACACCGCACCAGCCGTACTTCTTCAAATTCTCTCTAGAATGGATGGACCGGCCGAATTGGCCCACCAAGAATAAGCGACTGTTCACGCCCTGCCTCCCGGTGGCTTCGCAACTCCATGTGCAGCACTGCCGATCTCGGTCTCCCTCGAAGTCTACCGAGTTTGATACCGCGTCAGAGAACTTGTCTACTTCAGATGAGAAATCGACGCAAGGAACCAACCAGACAAACTCCTCTCAACTAGCTGCGGATAGCCAGGCGAGGACACCTACCACCAAGAACTCTCCACTTCCAGAGCTTCCGTCTCGTCCTAAACAAGACTACGTCGTGACCAGCAAGTACGCTGGCCGCGCTTTGGCGGAATGGGCACATATCGTCTCCGAATGTGACAGTTTCTTCGCCCGTCGCCGCGACGAGGGCGTCCCATCTGACCGCATGGTCGAAACGCCCAGTCTGGGCGTAGAGAGCTTTCGGAAATAGAAAGACTCTTCCACTCCTCACCTGAACTCCTACTCAAGTCTCCTCGAGACAAGAAACTCTACCACCGCTCCCTCATCTTAACAAAAAATCACCTTCCCTACCTTTTTTTTTTCTCCCTGAAGCGAATATAGACGTCATGTGGCTCCCCTAATGGAAGATGCCGTTTTTAATACTTTTGTTGGCTTCCCCTATTCTCCCTCCTTCTCTCCCTTTCCTTTTTTTCCTTTTTTCATTCTACTTCGATACTGCACCGTGTGCATCACAGGACCTGGGGGCATAGGATACCGGCGTTTTTTACGGGCCTGATTTCTTCTTTTTGATAGGCTTGGTTGGGTTGGTCTACTTTTTCGTTTTTATTGGTCTTTCCTTCGTCGACTCTTGTGTCTTCTCTTTTTTTTTTGTCTTTTCTACTTTTTTTGGTTGCGGAGCGAGATACACATTTTGGCCGTGGTAATCATAGTGAGATCACAATCAATTGGGATATTCCGGATCCTTGAATCTGGAGTTTTGAATCATGTTAAAACTCCGAGTCTGTTTCGGGGCAAGCATTGTTTTCCAAATTCTCTATTGTGCTGATGTAGGCTCTTCATCTTAATCTTATAGTCGTTATGTTATCCAGATACCCCTATTCTCTCCATCATTTCCCCTGCTGCTTCTCCTCCGCAATTTGCTTGTTGAGCACCCACAACAACACACCCTCCACATCCTCACGCTCCATAAAGACCTCGACAATCCGTACACCACTTCCACTATGCACCTGCTCCTTCTTCAATGTCTCCTTCAACTCCCCACACGTCCAAGCCTGAAAAGTACTATTCTTAACATGCTCCTCATCCGCACCAAAATAATTCAACGCCTGCGTATGCCGCCAGAAAGGCACATCATTGTACGCCTGCTTCCGGCCATGAATAACCCGCTCAATAGTATATCCCTCATTATTAATGATGAAAATGAGAATGTCCAATTTCTCCTTAATCATCACGCTGATTTCTTGCGCGGTCATTTGTAAACTGCCATCGCCGATGATCAACACGGTTTGGTTCTTGGTGTTGGTGGGTTTATTGAGTTCCCTCTTTGCGAGGGCAGCGCCCAGTGTGGCGGGGAGCATGAAACCGATAGAAAGCCAGGTGACGGCGCCGAAGAGGCGGGATTTCGGGGGCAGTTTGAATTTGCGGCCGCCGTAGGCGGCGGTGCCGGTTTCGGTGAGGATGATGTCGCCTTCGTTGAAGAGGGGGTTTATCAGGCGGTAGAAGTTGTTTTGGGCGATGATGTCTGTGTCTTTGATGTCGGTGGTGGTTATTTCGAGTTTTGGGGGGCCGGTGGCTTGTACGAGGCGGGTGGAGTCGAGGGCTTGGAGGAGGTGTGTGAGGACGGTGCTGGAGGACATGTCTCTGTAGATCTCGTTTTCGACGTGGATGGTGCTGTCCTTGAATAATATGGCTGAGGCGGACTTGGGCACCGTTGTGAAAAAGTAGGTGTTGGTGTCGCTGTAGTGCGGGCCGAATGTCAAGATTAGGTCTGCGGACTCGAAGTATTCTTGAGCTGGCTTGTCGCCGAATGCTGCGGCGTATAGGCCATAGACGTTGGGGAGTTGCTCGTTCACGAGACCCTTGCCGTAGACAGTAGTCCATGTGGGCCAGTTGGTAATCTTAATGAGAGACTCGATTTGGTCCAGGATACCGAGAGCTCGACTCTCGCCATCGACAAAGATGACCGGCTTCTTAGCACTGTATATCCGGTCTAGGATCCGGGCGATGACTTGTGATTCATGGGAGGCACTGGGAGTCACGGGCACACGGATGGGAGTCTTCAGATTCTCCGAAGAGACAAGAGTTTCGCTCATATCATCGGGAATCTCCAGATACACAGGCCGGCAGTGAATCAACGCCTGCTGCAAGATCCAATCGATCTTATCCGGGGCCGTGACCGAGTCAATCACATTCGTTTGGGCTGCCGTGATATGTGTGGACATGGCTGCAAAACGGCGGTACTCGCCATCGGAGAAAGTATGGTGCATCAAAGTGCGAGATTGCTGCAGTGGCCGCGGGGGTGTTCCCACGATGTGCACCACAGCGGACCTCTCTGCATATGCGCCAGCAATTCCGTTAGCAGCGGAGAGCTCGCCGACACCAAAGGTGGTTACCAGCGCGGACAGCCCGTTGATCCGGGCATAACCATCAGCGGCATATGCAGCGTTGAGCTCATTGCAGTTGCCTACCCAGTGGAGACCCGAGGGCTCGACATGGTCTAGTAGGCGCAGGTTATAGTCGCCCGGTACGCCAAAGACGGAGTTTACGCCGAGTTGGAGTAGGCGAGTGAAGAGATAATCGCCAAGCTGAATTGAGTCTGGTGAAGACATGGTGAGTTCATATGTAAAAGAGCTCAATGTAGAAGAAAGAGAAAAAGGAAAGAGAGAAAGAGAAGCTTCTCCGTCTTTATACCAGGTCACCAACCAACTCCGCACCCAAACTTCTCCAACGTCCCAACTTGTATAGGAGACCCGCATTTTTGCCCCACTTGCGCGACGTGACTTTGGTTTCTTATCGCCGACTGGCCGGTCCCCGCTGGTAACCGAGTGACTTGCATTTTTCCTTCTTTTTCGGAGCTGTCAAGCTTTCATTTCAATCTACGGTTGATACATGGCCTCGCGACTAGCAGCATGCGAGTCCTGTCGCAAGGCCAAGCTGGCCTGCGACCATCAACAACCAGTGTGTTCGCGTTGCCAAAAGAGTCGCGGCGTGTGTATCTACCGCACGGCCCCATTCAAGCGGCGGCGGGTCGAGAAACCGAGGTAGGATCTGAACAATCGTAGGGCGCCGTAGGGCGTATCACGGCACTTACAAGTTCCCCTCCCCCCACACAATCGTGAATAGATACTAACTTAATTCGGGACTGCATAGCGTGCGATCGCCTGATCCATCTCCCTCATTTGAACCCCGGCGCAATCTGTATCCGAATCCTGGATACTTAGGTTCGTCGAGCCATGCTGCTATTTTCAAACATATCACCCCGTCTACGGACGGTGAGCAAAGCACAAGTAACCAACTACTGGGCTCTGACAATGTGAGCTCACAATGGATCGGTGATAATCACCTCTTACTCCAGGGCGCAGATGTCCTGCGACATCTATTAACTACTTACTCCCTGTCGGCGATGAAAGATCTCGTCCTGTTCTGGCTGGCTAAGGGTGCGAATCTAGCCCTCGCGGAACCATTCGTTGCACAATGTGCGGACAGTATCAGTCAATTGTTTACCTCGCATGATGATAAATGGCATTTGGTGTATGCCCAGCGTCTACTACAAAATTCCGCTCGACTGTTACAGTTTGATGCGTCTTCGGATCTCGAGAGCTTTTCAGCGCAGTTTTTAGATCATAATGCGCGGTGGGAAACATTGGGTATTTTCTTTGCGGCTGTGAGCCGAGCGACCATCGATATTCCCTTTTTTCCACTGCTCTACAATACCGAGGAACAGCAGTATACGTTGAGACGTCTGGCCACTAAACTAAGTGATTTCTCGTTGGAGATCTCGCTCTCGCTGGACTGTCTCAATGATCTGCAGCTGATGGTGCAGTATGAGAACTTCATTGTACATTCCTACGTGGATGGTGACCAAAGTGAGTTTCAGTTCCTTGTCGACTCGAAAGTTGACCCACGTTGCCATTTTCATCAACTAATTCTGTCTAGGCTATCACACCTGGCGCAAGCTTGGAGATGTAATTTCATCCACCTTCGCCCTGGGATATCACGAGAATCTCGAAGCGAAGCCTGGAATCCCAGTTTTCCTCATGGAATTGAGGAAAACGGCTTTTGCCCGGATCTATTCTGCGGACAAGAATATCGCCATCTTCCTTGGCCGCCCACCACGCATGAACAAACGCTTTTGCCACTTCCAGATTCCATCTGATGGCACAATTGTACGCTCACTTGGAAGTCGCTTTACTTGGAGCCCGGATGCAAGGGCTGGATATAGAGCAGATACATGCTGGTCTGCTCTTTGTGCTTCTTTGAAAGAGGAAGTCTGGGAATTGCTGCAAGATAAGCAAGATGCTGAATGTGTGCGGAGGGCAAGGTAAGCGTGACTCCCGTCTTATATACTCCAAGATAATAGTTTAAAGATAGAATGTATGGACTGACAGAGAACAGCATAATTCAGCGAAGAGCCGAGGAGCAATGGGAGGCCCTACCATCCCAATTCCGACTGGAGAGCAGCCTGAAGCAGTGCGCGCAGAGCCCATTCGACCGGGACTTCCTAGCACATGTTCGGCTCAACCATCTACATGTCCTGTTCTTGCTTAGGCTGCTACTTCTAAAAACTCTCACCGAGCCCGATATCCCCATCATCGAGACCGCGGGACAAATGCTTGCTCTCGTGGTGGAGCTCATCCTACTACGCGACCAATTGACCAACTCTGGAACTGGTCTCATTTGGAAAGTATGTATTCTATCACCTATACTGCATTCTAGACCGCAGAAACGCTTGATTAACAGCACTAGGTCGCATACTATGGCCTCCCAGCAGCGGGCATTGTCCTCCTGGCATTACTAAAACAACACTCCCACTCAGCACCAGGGATATCACGAACGAAAATCTTGCGAGATTTGAGTGTCTTCGTCGCAGAGGTACAAATTGGAACGATAGTGAAAACAGGTGATCCGAATTATGCGTTATTATCCAAAGCCACGCAGACGATCCAGCGGTTCCTGGACTCGTTCAATTCGGATACAGGACAGCCTCATGATGCCGGAACCGATGATGCGAATGAAGATTGGGCGGCTCTACTGAGTCAGGATTTGTGGGATTTCGAGGCTGGGTTTTGGCATAGTTTGGCTGATCATCCGTCTCTTTTGGTGCTGGATCCACCATTGCCTAGTGTGTGATCGCTTTATAGACCGGAAACTATTTGGTATCATTCTCTGTCTCTCGAGGCAGGTCCTCCTTTGCTTTTTCTTCTGCCCTTCTCATCAATTCATGGCGGAACTCTTCAGTATACTCGTCCGGGTCCCACTCCAAGACTCTATCTCCCATTTCCTCAAGTTTCCTCTCTACCAGACGCTCAATCTCACACCTTTGAGTGTCATCCAGCAAGCCCAAACGCTCTCTCCACATCTCGTTAGGATCATCGGCCTCCGTAGGCCCGAAAAACCGCTGATCGATCTTTTGCCAATAGATCGCATCAAATGCAAAACTGTGCAAGATCGCATACACCACCCAGAACTATCCACTCTCCCAGCCCCGTTGCATGTGATTCGAGAGCCGGCGCTTGCCTTGCTGAGCGGCTATATCCTCCTCACATTGCCTCATAGCTGCGAGGAACGTCTTCAAACGGCGATCGAATACCTAGGTCCAGTCATCGAGACCTTGAGCCCAATACTCAGGTTTCTCGATAAGAAGCCACCACGGTGTCGCGTATGAAAACTCTGCTGGTGCTGCATATGCGAACTCCTAATCTACCACGCAGGCAATATGCATATCATCATTTAGAAGGACATTGGCTGGTCGGAAATCGTCACGCCAGAGTTTGAAGGGCGCATTCTCATCGTAGGGCGAGAATAGTTTCTTGTCTCTGGCAAGTTTGTAAAATAACTGTTTTGCTATAAACTTGCGGCGACAGTCATCTGCAGACTCTGCCGAATCATTCCTTTGATAGGCTAGATGCTGAATATTGAGCTATGCCAGGGCTTCTATGTATAAAGACGTTGCTTCGAAAGTGGCATCTAGCAGCGGCAGTTTTGATCGAGGTAGTGTTCCTAAACGCACAACCTCATTCATATTCATCGATAATGGCCGTCGATTCACTTCCCAGGAAAAATCATCTACCTGAGTGAGGGACCCGATTTCAGGAAATGCTGTCTTAGACAGCTGAAGCAGGGTCTTTGCTAGTTGAGTGTATATCAATCTAAAACGATCTTCATCAGTGTTTGGGTCAAGGACTCCCCACTCCTCTTTAGGACAGCCCGGTGTGTTGAGAGCATCATACATGCTGGTCGTATATTCAATATGGCTCATCATGATAAAAGGACCTAGTTTCAGAGGACTCTCTTCCCTTGTACCCGAGTGCAGAATGAACGGAACAGGGATCGAGGTTTGATCTGAGATGAATCGCTTCACAGCGACTTCGTTCTCAACTTTCTCTTCGGGAAACATAGCGGTGCCAGGCTGTGGGAAACGGATGTTGGTTGCACTATGTGTGAATTCCATTCGTAAGACGATGTTGAAAGATCCCTTTTTCAGAGTTGTAAATTCCGAATCTCGGCCAGAGTCATGCATTAGCATGAATAGCGCGATCGGTCTCTTGACTTCGATGTCGAGGAATTGAAGTAACCAATTGTCGGAGACATATTCGGATTGTTCCCATGCGACATTGTCGTAACAAGTGAGGGGCTCCATGTCGCTAGATGCAAAGAAATTAGAAGGCCGACTTTCGTGTTGAGTTGATTGGGAAGACCCTGAAGGAATAGGGGTGGTAAAAGAAGCGCGATGGATAGCCTCAATGATGGGGTTGACAAGAACACTATTATTGATTGAAAGCTAGAATCAGAGCTTAGATATGATCTTGTGAGAAAGAAGACGAAAAGCTGAGAGGCTTATAGAACTCAGGAATATCCTCGTTGAATCGCAAAAGACAGACAAAGCAATCATGTAATAAACAGACGCCATCCCATCACGTGCTCTGATAGACTTGCATCTTAATCCATCCATCATTGATAAGTCAAGCGGTGCCGCCAATAGATTACCCTACTTTCACTCAAGTTGACTACTACTTGAATCTATAACGAGTAGCAATGCTTCTTGATTAGAATGGCATGACTTTAATGTGGCGCCGGCCTCAACGGCTGGTTCAGATCAGCCACCGTCCAGGCTTGTTTATGACAGCGAGACTGAAGTAGAGAAGTTAACAGGTCATGGCTGGTCACGGCTGGCCAACATCTAAATACATGTGTAAAATCCCTATGCCGATCATGCAACACCCCGCACTTAAATCATGTCAACATCACCATGTCCAATGTAAACACAAAGCCGTAGATAATGACGTGGGAAGATCAACATGGTCACTTGTGCCTTTTGAATTTTGCTCCTAGCTTCAAACTCTCTCCATTCTTTTGTGAGTAGCCAAACAAAACAAGCCGGAAAGCATTGAACATAATTCGTACCCAAATTTTGTGCACTCATGGTTCGAACCAGACGTACAAAAATAGAATGCCCGCCGTTGGCCCGAGTTCCGAGTTGGATCCACCGATTACATTTGCACTTCATCATAAAACCCCTCATGACCGGATTCAATCGCTTTGTTTCTTTTTGTCCGGAACAGGTTTTGATTCATTATCATGGGTCCCGAATCTGATATTGCATCCGAATCGGACCGGAGAGGTCTGTTCTTCGAGCCAATATTCTTACATAATAATATTCATGTTCCACTCAGCTTCTGATCGATGTTGCTGAAACTCAATGAAAATCTTACCTCAACGGAACGATGCGTACAAAAACCTACTCAATTGATTGTATGGCTACTTATGGCTACTTGAGAAGAATCAAACAGTTCCCCCATGACGGAATCATCGATTTGTGGCAAGGGTTCGGTAATCGCGGGTGGAAAGGGTCTTCCATGTTTATGCCTTAGCTATTGTGGGGTCTCGACTACTTGTGAACTCAATATGTAACATTGTCAACAAGAATCAGAGACATTCCTGCTGATCCTGTGGATACCATCGCTTACATCCGAGGAATACTCGATGCCGCCAATGAATACACGCAGATCGAAGCAGCGTTTGAGCTACGAGCCGTGGTAAGCGAGGTCGCCACTGCTAACACTACTGGACTCTTCTAGTCAATGCAGAAAGCTCAGGTTCAAATTGCTTTTGGGGCTCAACAGTAGCAGATCTTCGATCATTCCATGGGATCCGAGGATTGGAATGACGTCTACCATGGGATCCGCATCGCAGCCTGTTTGGACAGAGTCCACTGGTCTTTTCCTCGTGGAATTGATAGCCCTTTCTCGCCTCCTCTTAAGTATAAAGTTGCTACAAAATCCCCCCCTAACAACTTGTAATTATTCATTCAGCATCTTAAATCTTTCATTGTTATTCGGACGAGAAACCATCCAGACACTGTCGTTTTCACCTGAATTCTTTACCAAACATGAGGACCTTCTTCAATATCGCAGCTTTTGCTGCCGGCTCCCAGGCACTCATCACTCGTGGTGATAGCTGCTGCTTCCATTTAACCGCCTCAGGTGGTGCATCTGGATCTGTGGGACAGCTTAGTGATGGACAGAACCGTATTGGTGACAACAGTCTATCCCCTGCAGAGTTTTGTATCAACTCTGGTGCTATCACTGATGGCAATGGACGCGGCTGCATCCTCACACGTAAGTGATACAATGAATTGATATAGAGATCATACCGACTAACGAAACTATCAGCACCCACTACCCAGCTCCAGTGTGACGAGGGTGCCACTCCCACCGGAGGCTTCTCTATTGACTCCTCTGGCAAGCTAGAGTTCCAGGGCAGCTCCAAGTTCATTGCCTGTGAGACTGGCCAGAATGGCGGCTTGAACATCTATACAACCGAAAGCTCCGCCCTCAGCAATTGTAAACCTATCGAATTGATGGCCGACTCGTGCGCTGCCCCCAAGCCACAACCCACATCTACATCCACATCCACTGCCGTTGCCACATCTGCATCCACTGCCAGTGCTACTGCTACTGCCCCTGCCACCCCTCCTGCTAATAACGGCTGTCCCACTACTTTGACCTCGGGCAACTTTGAATTCCCTCACTTGATCGTCCCCATTGACTCATCCTCTCCCGATACTGCCGCTGGCACCCAGTTCAATGGCAAAGTGACCTCGACCGTCTCGAGTATCTTCAACTTTGACATCCCCCAGTCAGATTCTGGCAAGACTTGCAGCTTAGTCTTCCTGTTCCCGAAGCAGGCAGACCTTCAGACCTCGTCATTTACCTTCAGCGGCGATGGCAAGATCGATTTTGCTGCGCTTTCCGGAATTGCTACTAAGTCTACTACCTTCCACAACGCTCCTTCTGTCTCCAAGGATCTCGGCACAATCGCTGTCTCGCCTGGCAACCAATATGTTGTCTCTACCTTCTCTTGCCCCGCTGGCCAGACTGTCTCTTATGAGATGAAGAATGCTGGAAGCACTAGTCTTGAGTTCTTCGAAGACTTTAACCCCTCTCCGTGAGTGCACCATGTCCAGTGTGGATTCTGATGGAATATGTGCTAATCTTCTCATAGTATTGGTTTGTTCATCACGGTGTGCTAAAGTGATGGCACTTGATCCATGTTGAAAAGCATGCCACGTGGGCATGAGTGTGTATGCTGATGCATTTCATGCCATTCAAAATGTTCAAGTGATGGTATAATGTGATTATTTGTCGATACGCTGGTTCTACTCCACCACCCCTTTGGATTTGTAATTTAGTCCTATTTCCCCAAAGCTCATGTGATTTTAGTGAGTGTTTACTGTCATTAAATGTAATATCAATCACGTTACTAGTTCTCATTGAAACCTTCAAAACTCATATGTTGTCTTGAGTGTTAGATTGGCGTTGAAAAAGTTCAATTGATACTGTTTTTTGGTTGCGGCGAGGTGCAGGAAGCTGAACGGTACTTTTGCAAATCCTGACAAAAAAGGGTTCTAAGCTGCGACCGGTGTACAATGTCTTCTCGAATATCAAATAAAATTGGCAGTATTATCAATATATTAAATAGAATAGTGATGAGCTACTTATCTAGAAAAACGCCATATGATGTTCATCCCACATTAAAAGCATCGCAATATTATACCCTCTATACATCTTCCTCCCGCACTAGGCAAGCAAGGTATCTCAAACTCCAAGTCATAATGAGATACATAAACCAGATTCCTACTCATCAGAGAGGGCAAACTTGCTCAGAGAACGGAGTCGGGCACCATAGTAGTAGAGCAGCCAGATTCCGACAATACCAATCACACTCAGACCACCAAGGAGACTGGTACCCCGAGCAACACCAAGGTTGTTAAACAGCGGATGGGCGAACAAGACACTACCACAAGCCAAGGCACTGCGGAAGAAATCGTTTGCAGCGAACAGGCTGGCAGCGTACATTGGATAACTCAATGGGATGTAGACAAACAAGCACTGCATCACGATGAAGACTGTCGCACCGTAGATGGTTATGCCGATTGTGGGTACGATCCAATGAATCGAGGCACGGGCCGTCCAGGCAAAGAGGAACAAGCCAATAGTGGGACCAATAGCGGCGGGCAGAGCGGGAATAAGACGAGACTCCTGGGGCGGGAAACCGAAACGTTCAATGCGAGGGTTCATCCAGAAGTAGAGGTAGGAGAAGTAGATTGCGATGCCGATGATACAAGACACCAGGATACACAGGAAGACCAGGCCGACTTGACCAAGGTTCATGTTGTAGTCGACGGGGTAGACCAGAGGGAACACCTCGAAGAAGGAGTAGTAGATGCCGTAGATGATAGCAGTGTAGATCTGGACGAAGAGCACGGCGGGGTCCTTGATGGTAATTTCCAGAGGCTTGATGAGGGCGTCGACGGCAATGTCGGAGACCTTCATGTTACGCTGGTCGATCTCGGACTGAGCCATGAAGCGTTCATTGTTGTAGATCTTGCGGAGGCGACCGGCGCGGCGGAGCAGGATGGTTGCGCTGCTGGTCTCGGGGAGGAAGAAGAACATCAGAATGAGTATGGGGGCTGACATCCAGATAGATTCATAGAGAGACCAGCGCCAGCCCATCGCGGGAACAGCGAAGCCACTGATGAGAGGGCCCAAGGCAGCTATTTGAATGATATTAGTATCTTACTCAAGATTCAGGGGAGATTGAGATGCTACTTACGACCACAATAAGCTGCGCTGACCCACGACATCATGGCATAAGGGAGGGACATGAGACTATACATGTCACCAATTGAAGCACCTCCAGAGGCGAGGCATGGCGAGCCAAAGAAACCCTGCAGGAAGCGGAGTACCATGAGGCCCGCAAAGTTACCCACAAAGGCAGTGGGGATGGAGATGATGACGAAGAGGAACATGGTCACAATATAGACGGGATTCCGGCCAATGACAGGGATCTCGCTCAAAGGTGAGAAGACCAGGGGCCCAGTTCCGTATCCAAGAACATATAGTGACAGTCCTAGTGTAGCAAGCAAGTCACTAACACCGAATTGCTCCATGATTCCCTGCACCGAGGATGTATAGATCGCAGATGTCGTATATACCACAAAGGTATAGAGACAAATGAGTGTCGTCAGCAGGGCACGCTTTGTATTCGACCAGTTATGTGGGTTTTCGGCATCATCGGTATAGTACCAGTCGACCAGGATGGCACCATCCTTGGTCTTTTTGGGTTGAATGGGGATGGACTTGATCTTCTCGATTTCATGCCGCTCGTCGGCTTCGAGGCGAGCTTCTGTGAAGGGAAGGGAATTTTGGGTCGACGCGCGACTGATAGCCTCGGGGGTTGCATCATAGCCTTCCGGCTCTGGTTGCAACCCAGTTTTCTCAGGATCAGGTATCGTTGCGGCGTTGGACTCATTCAATAATTGGAGCCATGTCTCGGGGAGCTCGAAGCCGGGCTTCTCTTCGGGATATTGGAAGTATTTGTTTTTGGTCAAATATCGGACCAGTTGCCCGAAAGGGGCCTCTCGCACGACGGATGCAATTGCCATGTTTTGTTTTGTTCTTCGTATAGTTGTTCAAAGAATTCCTCAACGTCTTCTCCGTAGTTTATATTGTACCTCTTAGTGTGAAGGCTAATGGATGGGACCCTCTTTGTGGAGCTGATTGGCTGGTGGAACGAAGAATCAAGCTTAAGCACCAGAAGGAACGCCAGAGGAATTGGTGATGATGGAATGATAGAAGAGAGCTACGAGGCAAAACAAGAGACTTTATAATCTGTCAATCTATCATAACATCATGGAATACTAATTAGATCGGTAACACGCCTTAACGCCGATTCGAATCCTTTCGAAAAAACCTAACGCGATCATAACGTTAGGGTGTGGTAGATCAGCGAATCAAAGATTAAACTAACAACGAATTATAAATCCGAACTAAATTCCAGTCCCAACCCATGGAAGCCACATGAATATTATTCATCTCCTTAGAAATCTAGCCTCTTGTCCAATCAGCATTCCCATCACCAAACAAGGCTGCACTTGGGGATCCACTATGTCGATATTCTTGCATGGCGTAATTGTTCCGAGCCCCGACCCACGCGCGTTAAAACATCTTATCTCCGTGGCGGCCATCTGCTTAAGGACGAAAAAAGTTTCCGACCAAGGACGAAAACTCGGCAGGCCGAATACGAGGCTAAGTTGCTGACAATTCGAGATCTCGAATCTCGAGATTAATTTGGTTCTTGGCTGGCTTGGCATGATTCCATCCCTGTTAGTGTTGGTGATTCATTGCACATGGTGCGTTGGAACTTTATCGCCGCTCGGGCATATCTTATGGCCTAAGCCCGGTTTTGACAGTTTGACAATCCGAGAGGCTCAATTGACTCATCTAAGATACAGAACAAATCATATCCACCCTTTCTCACCCAATAAACTCCACCATTTACCCCTTTTAGGTATCCCGGATGACTCAGGAGGAATTCGAAATTCCGGCCGCCTGAATGAGAAATTGCGCCGCCTCCTTGGCATCGCTGCCATAAGTCAAGTGTGCCATCACGTTAAATCCATTCTCGCAGACAGGGTCGCCGCTAGCACAGTATTCCTTGACCTTGCTGCTGGCCAGCTTGCCGACAGCCTGAGTCTTGAAAGGGTCACCGAAGAGCACAGCGCCAGCGACCTGGTCTGCGGTCAAACGGCTTGCTGCGTTATGTACGACCATCGAGCCCTGCGAGTAACCTCCAAGAACGACCTTGGTGTCTGGGCACTGCTTGAGAGCGGTCTCGACCAGATTGGCCATGATAGGGCCGCCGTTAGCACCAAGCGCCATGTTGCTCTGCATTGTGATTCCATCCGTCAGCTTATTTTGACCCACTCTCCTGCCATGCAGACATGACTAGATATCGCACTTTAAAAAGCACACTAGGGTTAGCACTTACCTCAGCAGTCGCAGCATATGTCACACCCTGGACATTGACCTTGTTGCCAGTCAACGACTTCAGTTGGGTAGCAACGGGCGGACCAACGACAGAGCCCATATTACCCATTTCGTCGCTACCACGCGCAAAGATAAAGGTAAGCTCCTTGCAGCTTGCCTTATCGGTGACGTCGTTGGCAGTAATCGAGCCTGTGAGCTGCCGCTTAGAAAGGCCTCCAAGCAGGCTGCTGATGCCGGAACCGGAAGTGGAATCACTCAGACCTGAGCCCAGGCTGGGAATCAAAGATGACAGCGCACCCAGGCCGCTGTCGCTGCTCGATCCACCAAGGGAACTGAGACTGCTGAGGTCACCGAGGCCACTGAGGCCGCTGCCTGAGCTAGGCAGGAGAGAGGCCAGAGCACCAAGACCGCTGTCGCTGCTGGAACCTCCCAGGGACCCGAGGCCGCTGAGACCACTCAGTCCACTGCCCGAGCTGGGGAGGAGAGAGGCAAGGGCTCCAAGGCCACTCTCGCTGCTAGATCCTCCTAGGGAACCGAGTCCGCTGAGACCGCTGAGACCGCTGCCGGAGCTGGGAATGAGGGAAGACAGAGCACCCAGGCCACTGCTAGATCCCAAACCGCTGCCCAGATTGCCGAACTGGCGGTTCTCAATGGTCCTGGTGGGCGCTCCCAAAGCAGCACCAACAAAAGAAAGAGCGACGACGGTCTTCATAATGATAATGATAACAATAAAGAGAGAATAGAGTAGAGAAAGCACAAAGAGACCAGCTCTTCTGTAGGATATTCAACGAAGGAATTGATAAACTGAATGAACGCACTTGAAAGACTCTCCTGACACGACCAGATAATAGCTTTTATATCTTTTCCTCCTGAATTATGAAACATCACCCATCATCCCAACCGAGGATGATCGAATTTTTCCATTTCCTCTTCAGGATGTCCTGAAGGTAGCTCGACCCAAGTTCGGTCTACAGTTGTGTACCTAATATCGACCAATCGGGTAATTGACAAGGCTACTGAAACGGTGGACCCTGTTTCACCGTCCGATGTTTCACCGTGTGACAGGGCAAAGGGCCAAACTTTGTGGGAGTTTATCCTTCCCCGGTGTAGATCCTTCCTCATCGTTATCTTGTCGCCGAAGCCCTAAAATCCAGATTCCTCCTCTTTTTGGGATTTGGCTTCTGAGCTTTGCCTAGCTATGTTGTTAGTGTACTCCGTACTTTTAGTGTTGATCTCTTCCGAGGATCAACCGGGCCGGCGGGCTGTTTCAAAAATGGAGGCAATTCGTTGTTGGATAGGATAGTTCCAAAAACAAACACTCCGATCTTAATTAATTTCAATCATAGAAGTACCGAACCGCGGTATTCGTCATCTGTATAGATGATAAAACATACACAGCCAGACCCTGAGATGTAGGAAAGTGTTTCTTGTAGATTGGGGATTTACTTCGATCGCCTAAAAATTGAGTCGTTCGTGCCGAATGGGGAAATCCGGCCGATGACCTCAAATTCGGGCATTGATCGGGTGTGATGTATCGACATGCTTAGGGAGGGATGCATATTACTCCATTATCCAGTGTTTCTGGTGCAGCCCGACGAACAAAATACCTTGGTGAGTCACGCTCTAGTGTTACGAGCTACAGAGGTGGCCATAGATCGACTCCATGAGCATGTGTTGTGATCAATTGAAATAAGTACTCGGGTCCATAATTCTAGAGCATTTCGCTATGAAAACAAAACGCACAAAGGGCAACTATAGCTCGGATGGTATATGACACGCGAAAGAAACGGGTAATGGATCTTCCAGATATGCAAGGACGGAGATCCAAAATGCGAGCAACATGAAAAAGGATCCAATCGGAGCTGGACTGTACAATGCTCGTAGAGAATCCGGGATAAAAAAGGGACACGAGGTGCCGAGAAAGGAGACAAGAAGGCGTGCGGGGTATGCATGATGTTGGAAGGTTGACCGAGGAGAGATAGAAAGGAAGGAGGGTGAGGAATTATGGGTAGAGGGGGAGCGAGGCGCTGCGAGAGGTAAATTACATTTAATTCAAGAGTTTGTTGCTAGCATGGTGAATAATGTTGGCGACCCGGTCAATCCAATGCTGGGCGAGTGACCAGTTCCCAGCGTTGATACTGTCGCGAATCGCAGGGAAGATGGAAGCATCGTAACCCGACCAAAGTTCTGGCCCGAAGACGACATGGCGGAATTGGGTTCGGTTGGGAATCTAGAAACAAGATATACCGTTAGTCAGAGATAAACATCCAGGTAAATAGGATAACGGAGCCACATACACCGCCGTCCGCTTCTAGATCCAAAAGATGAGTGTCGAATTGGGCCATTCGAACGTTGTGGTTGACCCGCTGAATCGCCATGACGTTGCTCTCGTATCCACCAGAGCCCCAAACACTATCGTGCCAAACCTCGTTCCAGGACTGGAACCGTGCCGTGCTGGTCTCGAGCTCCGCTGCAGCGTTATACATAAGTTGCATGTCGACCTCTGCATTCTTAGCCTTTGCGAACTCGTCCAAATCCTTGACCCATCCGGTCACAGATTTGCCGTAGGCTTCCATGTCGAACGGCAACATCGGGTTCTCCGAGACATCCAACAGGAGAAGAGCCCAGAATTGAGCGAGGAGTTTGTGATATACGAAGCCGGGATCGCCAAACTTCTCCATCCAGTCGTATGATTCATAGCAGCTGTGGTAAGGGTATGCCTCGCCTTCGAATCCGAAGTCAATGCTTGAAGTGCCGGCAATATCCTGGAACGCAACGTAGTCACTGCCGGCACCGAGAGGCTCAAGCCGCTGACCTCGGTCATCCCAGAGTTCTTTCAGCGTCTTATTGGCGAAGGGGTCGGAGAGACGGCCCAGGATCTGATGTACTGAGCGCTCAAAGACTGGGGACCCTGATGCGCGGAACTTGGAGCCTGAGACACCCACATCGACATTCAAATAGGCGTATCCGTTGGCTCGGAGATTGTCGATTTCTTTCTCGACATGCTCAGTTGAGCCAATCAGGTTATACTCTTCTCCATCCCAACTGACAAACTCGATCGTTCGAAGTGGCCGCCACCCATACGTGAGCAGCTCGCCAAAGGCTCGCACAATTTCCAGGAAGACTGCAGTACCACTACCAGGATCGACGCTTCCCAAGCACCAAGCATCTCGGTGATTACCGACGATGATTTTCTTGTCGCGCTCCTCCAATCCGATAATCGTTCCATGGACATTATAAATGGGCCGTCGCTCGACTTCGTCCTGCAGATTCATCAAGTGAACAGTGGGCGAACTTTTATCGCCCGTCCACCATTCCTGAACTTTGGGCACTCCGCCAACCCATTCATCCGGTACCTTGGAGCCATGGCCTTCGATCGCCTGCAAGAGTCGTTGCGCATCGCGCCAGGCGATGGGCAAACTTGGGATTTTAACCAAGGCCGGGCTGTCTTCTGGAGAGAGTCGCTTCTTCTCCTCCGGAGTGGATGCAAAGCCCGGGCTGAGAACGTCGCCAACAATATGAGACATGAGACTGACGCCGCCTCGCTGTACACCATCTGAGGGCATAAACCGGCCCTTGGGGTATGCAGGACCTTGCACAAAGCCATCCTGAGCTGGGTCAGAATAGATGATACAACCCACAGCTCCTGCCAGTTCGGCAGCCTTGATCTTCAGTGCGCGATCACCCTCAGTTCCGTAGTACCGTACTAGAGCGATCGAGCCGTTGACCTGTACGCCCTTATCGGCCAAGAGCTTAAAATCGTCGCGCGAACCAAAATTCGCATATACTAGAGGTCCCGTGACATTCCCAGATTTGGAATGCCCATGGAATACAGGGTATTGTGCCCCGTTTTCCTCCAGGGTGGCCTCCCAAACCAGATGAGGCGGATCCACGATGGCCACCTTGCGACCATCGTCGCGTGGGTAGTTCAGGTAGACCTGGAACTCTTCTCGCTTCACCTCATCAAATCCAGCCTTATAAAACTCATGCTCAATCCATTCTGCCAGCACAAAGCTTCCCTCTGTTCCCGCAACACGAGTATTACCAGCGACCAACTTCAAGTTCTCGGCAATGTTGGTTTCGTTAATGTGTCCCTGAACGAAGTTCTCCACGGATGATGCACTGTAGGACTGGCCCATGACCATGCGATTGTTCAGATTGAAGATGTCTCCGATAAAGAAGACATAAACCAAGGAAACAACCAACAGCAATGCGAATAGCCGCAATAGCATGATACAGCCATGGTCCTTCATGCGCGCCCGGGTATCGCTGAGGTTTATCGTGAAACGGAAACTGGGCATGCGCGGGAGATATCGTTGCAGGGGTCGTTGGATCGCTGATAACGTGCGGGTAAGACTGGAGAACCGTTTGGAGAAGTGATGCCGTAGCCCGGGACGAGTGCTGCTGGATCCGGAGTCGTCCACATCCATCTGATCCAGTTCCCTCCGCAGTTCATCGGTCGACCCCCGGGTCGAGCCCGATGCGGAGGAGGCGAGGCCATCGAGACTACCGCGTTCGGATTCTACCGTCGGGGGTTGATAGTTGGAGGCCTCGCGACCGAGGAGCCCTTGTCGTTCGGCATCGGTGCCATCACCCAGGTCGGACCGGGAGGAGGAAGCATGGGCGGTGGCTTCCTCATATGTGGGAATAGGGAGGGATTTGTACTCGAACTTATCGTCGCCCATGGTGGCACGGGGTCAGCTCGGGGGAGCCGGGGCAAGCGGAAGACGCGGATACTTCGATCTGGAAGATCATGATCTGCTTGTCTAGGAAGGGTAACGAATGGCCAGCATCATCCCCACTTTGTATAGCGCGGGAAGACGGGGGAGAGTTAAGACGGGGGGGGGGGGAAGGAGAGTTGTGGCGGTGGTGGTTGAGTGAAGTTCGTGAGATTGCCGATCGTACGGGGGAGGAGAGTTTGGCTGCCTTGAGGCCTTCCCCCCCCGACTCTCGTGGCGCAGTGACCCACGCCGAGGCCTTCTGGCCAACGCGCGTCGTTGTACACCATTGGCGAATATTGGCAAAATTGGCAGTACATCTCGCAATAGCCATGACGACCTATGCTTGGGTTAAGAAGTTTGAAACCACCAGAAACTTGTACTTGTAGTACTGGATGATGCGTCAGGATGCTTTTTAAGGCGATCGTTTCCTAGAGGACCAATTTACGGGGTGGTCCACTCGGTGCAGTTCGTCTCGCCACTTTGACAGGTACATCTAACGTCAAGTACATTTTAACGCGTATGTTGAACGGATATCAAGGACTCGAACCAGGCTTCTTAGGCAACTCTGTGATCCGCTGCTGTAGTTCTTCGCCCTGTTGAATAGGAATCTTTTACCTCTACCACTCGCCTGAAACCTGCTTTGCGGGGGTCTTTAGCATCCGAAGTGATGCCACTCAGGGAATGTGTTATAATTATATGGTACGGAGGCCATCGGATCGAGTGATCCACCTCTACGGTGAATATTGATTCGTTTCTCAAGCAAGAAGGAGAGAAAATAGCCCCTCAGGCTCGGACAGAGTGGATAGTGGATACATACCAGATCCGAGATAAGATGCCCATCGGTGATAACTTGTCATCTCTTGGAGCGAACAGCAATAATAATATGACCCTCCGAAAACACCGGGGCCAAGCGTACAGTGGGGTTCCATAACTTTGAAACCCCGACAACTTTTGAAAATCATATTTGCAGTCACGATTTGCACGATAGACTAAAAGATGAGACCTCAGCTATCAAGAAAGAAGAATGAAATGACCTTTCGAAAGACCTTTCCAAAAATCAGAACCGGAAGCATATCTGTTGGGTGGTTTCTCTGGTTTCTAGACTCAGACTTTTGAACTACCACTGTAGTAGCTCCATATGTTTGTAATAATGAATTACAAGAAATTGTCGCATGAGGAAGGGGGTCAGATGGCGGGGTCATTTGGAGACAGCACATTGATTGCAGGGGCAGTTCTATGGAGGAGGGGAGGCATATACCATATGCATACTTAGATTGATATGCATATTTAGATTTCACCTAGGAAGGAATGGACATAACATGAAGCAGAAAGCTTCTGGAAGATCATAGTAATGGTGCAAGCAAATCCAATCTAGCCCACTTATACCTCAGGCCCTCCATAGAGTCCATACGCAAAAGGGGTAAACTCCGGACCAGCGAACATTATTTCAAGGTAACAGTTGTGGGAGCGGTGAAGATGAGATAGCGTGGTAACCTAACTATACTCTACTAGTTCGAAGATGGTTAAATCACTTCACGATTACGGAGTCTTTAGGAGCAACCAATTACAGTGGATGGAGCATAGGGAGGCTCGTAGGACTCGGGAGGAGATATACCCCCAGCGGGACACGGCAGTGGCGGAGTGTCGACTTAAGGGACAGTGTACTGTACTTTGGTTACTACCGTTTAGGTATTGAGCTACGTTATTGAATGAAATAATCACTCTTGGGCTGATATGCGCATAATATGTAATACTATAGAACCGAAGTACTAGAAGTACGATGTACATTTTAGTCTTGATTGTAAAAGTGGTCAATGTATAGGGACGGAAGCACGAGACCACCACGCATTCATGAACAAGCAGACATTCTACCAAGAGTACGGAGTACCTCTACTCAAGTTGATCTTGAGTTAATCAAACTAACCAAATTAACCATTAAATTTTATCTAATCTGGTTTCAACGGAAGAATCATAGCTCGGTTCAAAGGAAGAGAGCAGCCGTCAGTCTGCCTTTTTGGTCTCCACCGCCGAAAAAAATAGTGACGGTGACTGATCGTACACGGTAGATCGGAGTACACAACAACCTCCTTTTCCTTGTGGCCAAGCGATATTTCCCCGGCAATACTTCTGGCTTGTATAAAGATTTCCCTCTTTTCGCCTCCTATCTTCCTCTTTCACTTTCACTCCTTCAATTCCTCTTGCGCCTGTGTTGTGTTGTTCCTATTCCTCAACCCCTCCAAAACATACACAACCCCTCCCCCACCATGTCTGCCCGCCCCCAGAACATCGGCATCAAGGCCATTGAGGTCTACTTCCCAACCCAGGTGAGTGTTTTTGAATAGTCAATTGCCCCTGACATTCCCGATGCTGACTTTCTCTTTCAGTGCGTCGACCAGGCTGAGCTGGAGCAGTACGATGGCGTTAGTGCTGGCAAGTACACCATTGGTCTCGGCCAGACCAAGATGAGCTTCTGCGACGACCGTGAGGGTATGTAATGCCAATGGCAAAACCGATGAGAACAGCTATACAGAGAAACAGACACTAACATCCTACTTCCTCAATAGACATCTACTCCATGGCTCTCACCACCCTCTCCTCCCTCATGAAGAAGTACAACATCGACCCCAAGTCCATTGGCCGCCTCGAGGTCGGCACCGAGACCCTCCTGGACAAGTCCAAGTCCGTCAAGTCTGTCCTCATGCAGCTCTTCACTCCCTCCGGCAACACCAACATCGAGGGTATTGACACCGTCAACGCCTGCTACGGTGGTACCAATGCTGTCTTCAACAGCATCAACTGGCTCGAGTCCTCCGCCTGGGACGGCCGCAACGCCATTGTTGTTTGTGGTGATATTGCTCTGTACGCTAAGGGTGCTGCCCGTCCCACCGGTGGTGCTGGCTGCGTTGCCATGCTGATTGGCCCCGACGCCCCTATCGTCTTCGATGCCGGTCTTCGTGGCTCTTACCTCACCCACGCCTATGACTTCTACAAGCCCGACCTCACCAGCGAGTACCCCGTTGTTGATGGCCAGCACTCTCTCCGCTGCTATACCGAGGCCGTCGATGCCTGCTACAAGGCCTACCACGCCCGCGAGAAGGTCCTCAAGGCCAACCAGAACGGCACCAACGGTGTCTCCGATGAGTCCCAGACCGCTCTGGACCACTTTGACTACATCCTGTACCACGCCCCTACCTGCAAGCTGGTCCAGAAGTCCTACGGCCGTATGCTCTACAACGACTTCCTGGCCAACCCTTCCCACCCCGCCTTCGCCGAGGTTGCCCCCGAGCTGCGCGATCTCGACTACACCGCTTCTCTGACCGACAAGGCCGTTGAGAAGACGTTCATGGCTCTCACCAAGAAGCGCTTCGCCGAGCGTGTGCAGCCCGGTCTTCAGGTTGCCACTCTTTGCGGTAACATGTACACTGCTACCGTCTACGCCGGCCTGGCCAGTCTCCTGAGCCACGTCACTTTCTCCCCCAGCGAGCCCAAGCGCATCGCTCTGTTCTCCTACGGCAGTGGTCTGGCTTCGTCCATGTTCAGTGCCAAGATCGTCGGTGATGTCTCCGAGATGGTTGAGAAGCTGGATCTTAAGAACCGTCTCGAGTCTCGCACCGTCCTGGCTCCCCAGGCCTACGATGACATGTGCCAGCTGCGCGAGCACGCTCACCTGAAGAAGAACTTCAAGCCCACCGGTGGCGTCGAGACTATCCAGAAGGGTACTTACTACCTCACCGAGGTTGATGACATGTTCCGCCGCCAGTACGCCATCAAGGAGTAAAGAAAAACTCAACCACGCCATTCTGTCCCATTTCTTCTGCCGTTGGATATGACCCTTGTTTAGACGGTTTCAGAAAAGATTCCCCCAAGCGTTTTTCATGCGTTTCTACTTCGGTATAGATCATGCAAGGTCTTGAGCTTTGCTAATATTGTTTCATTTCTTTTTTTTCACATTTTTTCCTTACTGAGATTTTTAATGGCTTGAGCCTTGAGCTATTTTTCTCGCCTCTTGGCGACGATGAACGTGATGAGATAAGCAGGATCCTGGTCCAATCAGAATTGAGGCCCGGAACTAAATACCAAAATTCAATGAAGATGATATGAACATTTGCCCTTATTTTCTCTTTCTCCACTAATTCATTCTTTCTCTTTTGCTTTTTCCCGATTGAATAATTAGTCCACATTTCTGAAACGTGAACAATTATTGCTAATTATGGGACATAGGAGACCATTATCTTCCAATTATGTCCAGAGGGTGACGATCACCTCGGCGCGTATTTGAGACTGGCCATACTGCTGTAGCCGCCGACCTGTGCATATCACACCTCCACATTCCCCCACGAACACCTCGGATCAACGGTCTCTGCTCCTTTTTCTTTCGTTCCACCTCTCAAACCCCATTGAACTGGATTCCTGGGGCTCCATGCACTGTCACAGCACACGCCGCGCTATTTTTATCCTCCCTCTCTTCCTACCCTTTGACTCTAACCGCCCACCTGGCGATTCCTGAGGCATGGCGCTCGCATCAGGAAACACCTTGCTGACCGGAGATGCCGCTAATTACCCAGGAAATGTGACCTAATTGTTGCTGAATTTAGAAGCGTTTGCTCGTTCTGCAGCCCGCTAAACCCAACGTGGTATCTGAAGAATACCGTCGAAGCTGATGCAAAATATAGCAACACTTTAACGCGCGACTGTCCGCTGAAACGGCACTATGCCCAGAGAAAAAGCCCCTAGTCGGAGTTTCAGGCCCTGATTGCTGGCCCCTGTCGCGCGACCTCTGGCATCATTGGCATAATGGTCGGCAGTTTCGCGTTTCATCGCCTGGGAAGCTGTCTAGATCGGAGCCAGGATCCCAAAAAAAGAATAGGAGCCTCCGTTGGCGTCTGGATGGAGTGCTTCTCCATGTTTCAGGTTATCCAGATCGGCTTGGGTTCATCAGTGGGCCTGCTTGCTGCTGTTTGTTTATATACGGCTTCGGGCTCTTGGATGTTCTGAAACTTGCCTTTGTCGACAAGCATTTAACATCCAAACATTCTCTCCTCTGGATCATGCTCTTGGATCTTCTTGAACAAGAGGCTCTTAACTAGACAGTCCTGCTTCGGTCTTCGACTTCGACTTCGACCTTGATATACATTCGTTGCTGTCTCTCTTCACGACATTGGACGCCGTGATACTTGCCCTTCCTATCTCTATATAGGTGCACCTCGACGACCTGGCTGCTTACTCACATCATCACCACTCCGACCAACAGTATCATCATGTCTTTGGAATACGCTCCTTATCAGCCGACCACTCCACCGGGTGTTCCTCTTCAGGTTCACATTGGATCAGCGCACAGTCGTAATGCGTCTGGCTCATCTGTCTACTCCAATGATTCATCTCCATGGTCGACAATGACGGGCAGCACCAGCCCAACCACGTCGCCAACTCGGCATCACCATGGCCCAGCTCTGCTCCCTAAGATCCGCCCTCAAGATATTGTCATTGAGCCCGTCTCTGCTGGTGGGCCATTGCGCCATCGACGTGTCTTGTCAAATACTCGCAATCCACCAGGCTTCGTGCCTTACCCCAGCCGGCCACCTCTGCAGCGCAACAGAGAAGATGCATCAGACCGGCTTGCCTTAGCATCTCCAATTTCGCCCATTGTCACTAACGGCCATGGGAGCTCCTCGGCCTTGTCTTCTCCAGTGACCATGAATCCTTCTCACAGGCGCAGAGCTGGTGGAGGCCACTCTAGGTCAGTGTCGACTTCGGGCATTGATGAAGCCACTCTCAACCGGTATGGATATCCCACCTACCGACACCTCCCCAAGTATGTACCGACAATGCAGGCGCAAACTATGCCAAACACTCCGGCTACACCAGTGACCCCAATCACTCCAAACATTGTTATTCATCCGTCCTATTCCCAACGACAGACAGCAAAGGTGCCGCAACCATCACCAGTACAACCTCCACACCCATTGACATTACGATCACCTCAGTACGACTATCATCAGACTTCTGAAGCTCAGCAATCTCCGGTTGCCTTGTTGAGTCCCCAGGAAGACTTGACTCCTCCTTCTACCAATCTACTGTCTTACCTGACCTCCCCAACGCAAGCTATCAACCTTGTCCGTAACGTGAGCGTAGTCCCCACCCGGGGCATGCACGACTATTTCTGGTGGGATATTCGCAATTTGCGAAGTTGGACATCCTTCTCGATCCCAACATTCGACTCCATTCACGGCCTCACTCAGCTGCTCAAAACAGAGATCTCGAGCTCTCTCGTCCCCCCAGTCAGCGTTGTCCCTGGACGTCTCGCGCCCGAATCCGAGCCTGCCCTAGTCAGCCTCATCAGGGATCTCTATGCTCCGCGCGTCAACGCTGCGCTAGCCGTCTCTCAAGGCACTGAGCACCTCCAACTCTACGCCGCACCAGACATGCGACACACTGGCCACAAGAACCACGGCCACCCTCATTTCCTGGCCAATTACGCCTCGGACTCTGAGCGCACAAGCGCCGGTCTCCCTCGCGGTCGCCTCGTCGGCATCGTCAAGAGCTTCGACCGATGGAACTCCGGTATGCGCAATGAAGCTCCGCACCGACGCGTCGAGTACCTCAACGGACTCGCACACCTGCAGCGCTGCATGCGCGAACACTCCTGCCGCTACGGCTTCATTATCACCGAAATCGAACTAGTCTGCGTACGAGCAGGCTGCGACACCGGCGACGACGTCCCCTACTTCGGCTTCCTAGAAATCGCCGCACCAATTCCCCTCATGACAGCCGCGACCCAACCGCACACAATCCATCACGAAGCCCCACCCCTCGCAACCCCCATCAGCGCGCGCTCATTCTCATCCTCATCACACGGATCCTCATCACATTCGCGCCAGGACTCACCAGCACCAGAGGGAAATGAAGGAAGCTTCACAGCCCCGATGACGGCAAGCATGGCGCTTTACTTCCTCCTCATGCTCTCAAAATCCGTACCCTTGCCTTACCAGCCATCCGCGCACCTCAACGTCGGTGGGCCGGGCGCACTCACGCGACAACGGATCTTGCCTGAGCCAAAAGATAAATGGATTCCTGAGCCGCAGATTGGTGAGCGTCGGGATGCGAAGCGTGTGCGTGGTTGGGTTTGGCCGGGGGACGCGTGGCATCGGAGGGAAGGGGGTGGTGTACCCAGGACGAGGGGTGGGGATGGGAAGACGAAGAAATGGCATAAATGAGAGTATTTGGTTCTTTTTATCTGGCATGGATTGGCGTTGGATATGAGGATTGGGATTACTTTGGAGTTTGATATTTCTTTTTGCTTCTTTTGTTGGTATGGTGTTTGAGCTGGGGGATTATGGAGTTTTGGTGGCCTTTGTCTTGGTGCTTATTGCTGGATTGTTCGGGATTCCCCTTTGGCTGAGTGGTTTTTTGCTTTGATAGTAATGTAATTTTTTGTTCTATTTCTTCCCTTTTGATGATCTATGCATTACCTGTGGGTATCTGTAGAGTACCCGAGGTGGGCATTATCACTACCAGCCTTCTATACTTCTTGCCAGACCATCGGATCAAAATTATTCTATCATTCAATAGCTTCTGTCAAGAAACCTCTCAACTATACATAAATTTCGCTCTAGAAACATTTGCTGAGGAGCTATCCATGAACAAGATCGATCAATCTTCCACAAGGTACTCAAGACGTTCACAGCTCCCAATTGGCGCCCTGGTCAATACTTACCGCTGTGGGGTATCAGACCTTTCCTCTTTCGGCATTGATTGTATCACCAACTACAAGGACCTTGGGGAAAGAGTACCTCGATGGCCAGACATACATTGAGGACATTGCAGAAGACATTGGGCTACAACCTATAAATGATTAGAGCCCTCTGGAGAGTTCCTAGTTCGTAAATTTAACGTACAACTCATCTACATCTAGACATTCGTTTCAACCGCAATCACACATACTACGATGAATTCAACAAGTGAAATCCACGATGTGATCATCGTCGGCGCTGGACCCTGCGGTCTAGCCGTGGCAGCCCGTATCCAAGAGCAGACCCCCTCAGCCGTATTCACAGACGAGGAGCACCAGCGATACCACTGGATCCAAAAGCACACCGGTAAGATGAATCTCGTCCAAGCAGGACGCAGCAAGAAAAACGGTGTCCGAGCAGAAAAATGGAATCGCGGACAAAGAACCTGTCCTTGCAAAGACGATACGAGTACAGGGTCTGATCGCCGCGGATCTGCCGATTCGACATCATCCGTGCCATCGCTATCATCAGACTCGTCGACATCGTCTGCAGCGTCGATTTCGACACTGGTTTTGGATGGAACGGGGGATCAGTGGATGCAGCGGTGGAATAATGCTTTTCGCACGTTGGAGATTAAACAGCTGCGGAGCCCGATGTTTTTCCATGTTGATCCTGGGGATCGAGATGGGATGTTGGCTTATACGCAGGAGGTTGGTAGAGAAGAGGATCTGTGGGAGATTTCGGGGTGTGTTGGGAAGGAGATGAGCAAGCATAAGAAGAAGAAGAGACGGCAGAGTGGAAAACCTCAGTACGTGAAGAAGTTGAAGTTTGCTGTATTGACCAGCTTGACAAACCAAGACTAACTGTTCGATTTTCTACAGGACACTAGGAGTCGAAATTGACGAACGAGATCGCAAAGACTACTTCTCGCCCTCGACCGGTCTTTTCGCCGACTACTGCAATTCCATCATCGACCGGTACGGCCTGAACGAGCCCAGCCAGATTCTCAAACAAGAAGTCACGGACATCACCCATGGATACTTACCAGATAATCTCGATATTGCGACACCCAATTCCAAGATATTCACTCTCACTACCTCGACCGGGCAGAAATTCTATAGCCGGGCAGTTGTGCTTGCTACGGGCGCCGGTGGAGCTGGGATCCAAAAGATCTTCCCATGGAAGCCAGCGAATGAAGCTGAAGGGGCTGATGCTTGCTGTCATAGCATGGAAATTAAAAATTTCCCGAGTCCTCATGTGCGGAGCAAGATCCAGCAAAGACGAGAGACTAATGTGGTCGTCGTGGGAGGGGGGCTTTCGTCAGCCCAGATTGTTGATATGGCTGTGCGAAAAGGTGTGACTAAGGTTTGGTTCCTGATGAGATCTGAATATAAAGGTTTTGTGGTCTAACCTGCCTTCATCCCATATATTGAAATCTATTGCTAACGCACAAGACTAGTCAAACACTTTGATCTCAGCCTGCCCTGGATGGGAAAGTATAAAAACTGGGAGAAAGCAGCATTCTGGTCAGCAGACACTGATGAAGGTAAGTTGACATACCGTCTATGAGTCTGTGACCGAAAAAAGGTTTATGGTGACTAACATTTATCACGTTTCCCTTTGAATAGAGCGCCTCGAAATGATCAAGACAGCTCGTAATGGCGGTAGCATCACCCCTCGCTACACAAGAATCGTCAAACAACATGTCGCCCACCACCGAGCATCCATTCACACACGCACTGAAATAACTTCCAACAAATATAATCCAGAAACACGGACATGGACACTAACCACCGATCCGCCAATCCCCAACCTACCGCGGATCGATTACATTTATTTTGCAACGGGGGCGCGCTCCGATGTTCGCGAAATGCCACTATTAAGTAATATCAATGATCAGTACCCTATTGAAGTCATCGAGGGTCTTCCTTGTATTACGGATGATCTCATGTGGCGGGAAGATGTACCCCTCTACATTACAGGGCGACTAGGGGCTCTACGACTGGGTCCTGGAGCTCCAAATCTTGAAGGAGCCAGGCTTGGCGCAGAGAGGATCGCCTGGAGCTTGGAGGAGATCCTCGAGAAGAACCGGAGCATTGGAGATCAGTGCGAGGGGTTTTGTGGACTGGGAAATCTGTATGCTTCATTGGTTGGGGATGGCGAGGACGATAACGAGGAGGTGTAGCTAGGGCTGCATAGCTCGGGCAGTATCTGATATAGTTTTTTCCTCCCCTTCACGTCAAGCAATTCCGATGATTTCTTGCTGGGGTTTACCAAATGACATAGTGTCATGTGAGTACTGTATCTTTCTGCTTGCTGATATGGCGTCAAGGTCCATTGGACCATTGGTGCTCGGCGTCTCTCCAAGTACTTTCCGAGTTGATCTCCATTCCTCCCTTCATTCTCCGCGCTTTTAAGTAGATCATCGCTTGCCCCACGCCCACTGGGGGAGGGAAGCTCTACGGACATATATGGGAAAGAATGTGGCTCCCTTGTTCCGAAGAATTTTTGACTGGAGAGCTTCATCCATTATAAAGCTTATCAGAAGCTAGGTCGTGTGCGATATGATTTACTCATTATATTTCTTGTGCTGTGTTTCAGGTCTGTGTGGGTGAGGTAACTAACTAACAGGACAAAATGGCACCTTCGATGAATCCCAACGCACCGGTAGAGGCGTTGAAGATCCTCCCGAACAAAACACACCAGAACTGGCTCAAGGATAGGGGTCTACGAAAGTTGAACCTTGGTATTGCGTTTATGTTTGCGTCTTCAGCTGGCACGGGATATAATGGAAGTCTCATGAATGGTTTGCTGGTGCTGCCCGAGTGTACGTTCTGAACATCCGGGACAACAGAATAGCTTCAAGAGCCATCATGCTGAACATCTTCCATATAGTTGCCATGATCATCGGCGGCTTGAAACCTACCATCGTCGGGCTCCTTATCGCTGCCACCTCCCTCGGGGCATTCTTCGCCTTCACCCCGGCATCTTATATTGCGGACACTCTGGGAAGAAAATGGTGTGTTGGCGTTGGATGTTGTTTGGTCATCATATCCTCGGTCATGCAGATCTTTGTACAGAGTCACTGGGCATTTTTCGGCTGTCGAGTCCTCGCCGGTGCTGGTGTGGGAACCGCTCAAACTGCTGCACCGCTACTAGCAACGGAAATCGCTCATCCACGTCAGCGACAGACAGCAACGGCCTTGTATAACGCATGCTGGTGCATTGGGTCGATCACATCGGCTGCTGTATGTTTTGCGACCTTGTCTATGACTACCAGCTGGTCATGGCGAGCTGCTTGTCTTCTTCAAGCTTGTTTTCCGATAACCCAGTTGGTCGGTCTTTTGATTGTTCCGGAAAGTCCGCGCTGGCTGATTTCGAAGGGGAAGAATGACGAGGCTCTGGTGATCCTGGCAAAGTACCACGCAAATGGGGATAAGCATGATGAACTGGTTCAGCATGAGTTCCATCAGATCTGCAATACTATCAGCATCGAGGCGCTGGAGCCAAGAAGCTGGGGCTCGTTCTTCTCGTCCAAGGGTGACGTGCATCGTCTGGTGATTTGTGTCATGGTTGGTCTGATGCAGGAATGGGCTGGAAATGGTAAGATCTATGTTTGAAGAGGAAACTTGAACAACCCTGACTGATATCATACAGGAATCATTTCCTACTATCTAGCCCCAATATTGGCTTCTGTCGGTGTAACCCGCGCCGCAGACCAAGCATCAGTCAATGTGGGCTTACAAGTTTGGAACCTCTTCCTCTCCGCAGGGGGTGCTGTGGCCTCTGAGCGATATGGCCGCCGCATTCTTTGGCTTCTCGGAACAATGATCATGCTCTTCTTCCTTTCCCTGATGACCATCGTGGCTGGTGTCTTCCAGGAAAAGCATATAGCCGCTGCCGGTTTGGCTGTTGTACCTATGATCTTCCTCTTCTTCTCTGGGTTCAATCTCGCATACTCGCCATTGTTCATTGCATATCCCGCCGAGATCCTGCCATTTCCTCTCCGCGCGAAGGGTATGGCCATCACACTGTCAACTGATGCGGTTGCGTGCTTCTTCAATCAGTACGTCAATCCGGTTGCGTTTTCCGCGATCCAGTGGAAGTACTATCTCGTTTATGTGGGCTGCTTGACATGGTTCTTGGTGACGGTTTATTTCCTCTTCCCAGAGACCAAGGGAAGATCGCTAGAGGAAGTTTCCCGAATCTTTGATCGCAAGGAAGTTCGAAGTGAGGATTCTAGTGACACCAAAACGGAGGGGTAGGTACGGGAAGTCTTGTTGTCATCTCTGTCAATTCTCGACCCGCTTCCGAAGTACATGAGTGCGCTATGCTCATATGGGAAATTGTTGAAGGTTTACACTGTTACAAAACTAATCATTTGCACCTTGTACGAGAATGAAATCCTGTGTTACATATGTCTCGCGTTGATGTACATCAAGTTCTCTTACGATATCATTGAAGACGCTCCCTTTGCTTCGCTCATTTCCCCTGAACTTCCAGTTACCGATAGACTATCTTGTCTTTGACCTGTCTTCAATACTTGAAACAATTGATCCGCTGTGAGATGGTCATTCACCCCCTCCATCAGATGTGCATATCGAAGCCTTCCTCGTTGAAAGATCCATTCGCCTCCCTGTTGGTTCCATTTCCCACCTTTCAACCCTGCCCACCCGCGTTTCCATATTTGCTTCAGACATTTGCCCAAAGCACTTGGAAACGAATCCGGTGTATATGGCGGCGGGCTAGTAATTCCCTCCATGGTCCTTTTCATATGTAGTGTCTCGTATATTTTCCCCGTTGGATCGGTGTAGATGGGGAATGCATCGGATGTTTCTTCCATGTAGGGTACTATGAGGGAATGGTCGCCGCACCCGATTATGATGACCTGGGCTGGTTTGGCACTGGCAGGGATAGTATCGAGGAGGGTCTGCGTGAGTTGGCGGGATAGTGTTTTGACATAGCCTTGATCGTATAGACAGAAGAAATGGCGTACTAGATGGTTGAGGTTAGTTCTGGAGAGCTGGCATTGTAACAAACTCAACGCACCAAAAATTACAATCGTGGTCACTGAGTCTCCCTTTCCCGCTACAAGCTCACCGAATCTGACATGAGCGCCATTCTTTGATTCGATGCTCAGTTCATAGGCCTCGTGGAGAGTCTCATCTTTCAAAAAGCTGGGGCTGTCACCCGTAAGAATGCAAGTAGACATGATGCGACCGGACAGAGTCTCGCATACTCCTCAAGAGACGAGCGGAGAGGATTAAATATTCTTTACTCAGGTCCTCAGTCATTGGCGGCTTGTTGGCCGCTATCTATAACCTTCAAAGAACCAAAACCATATGGAAAGGAAAGTCCAGATGCTGCCAATGACATCATGACCTCCTGACAGTAGAATTTCTGGCGATTCCCGGATAATCAATGGCCGATACTTGCTTTAACAACAATCAAGTCCCCCTGGCTCGTAGGAATAAGGTTTTGAAGATGACCTCGTGACATTAACCTGCATTTCTCTCCCTTGAAGTTAGTTGTACTTGTGGTTAGTTTAGATGATAGTTTTGGATGGAGTGGAGACTGGCCCCTGTTCTAGAGGGGTCTCCGATATCACTAGACATACTCTTCCTCAAGTTTGGATATAAGGCTGACTGGCTGATTTCTGTCGTAGAATACTTGACACAGTACCCTATTCTTGCTAGAGAAGGAGTGTTGTTGCCCAACGATGATATACTTGATCAACGGCCAATAGGAGCGGCTCCGAAGCTGCTGATACGTTCCCCGCATTGCAACACAACCATCCACCAGTGCAACCTCGTCCCCTCTCGAGTCTCTATTTAGAGTGACGAGGCGCCCCCGCCAGCGTCAATCTGACTACTGCTGAGAACTTCTGGACAGTAACACCCTCGAGACCTGAAACAACTCAAATTGAAGCAGGAAAAGGCCATCTCTCAAGCCTACACGCCCAACCCGCTTCAACAGTATCCAGCAACATGAAAGAGCCTCAACCCCCACCAGCAGACATCCCCGTCAGCACTGGCAATTCCTCCACAGCTGCTACACAAAGAACTCCCCGCTTCATCGTCATCGGCGCCGGCTCTCGAGGAAATGCCTACGCCCGCGCTGTGAAAACAACCACCCCTGGCGTCATCCATGCCGTGGCCGAGCCACACGATTTCAAGCGTCGCGAATTCGGACGAGACTATATATGGGGAACGGACGGGTCTCCAAGCGAAGGACAAGAATTCACAGACTGGAGAGAATGGGTGCAATGGGAAATTGAGCGACGGAAGAAGACCATCGCTACCGACGGCGACGATAGCTCCAGTACTGCAATTCCCCTTGGGGTAGATGGAGTCTTCATCTGCACATTGGACGAGACACATGTCGAGATTATCCAAGCCATCGCCCCTCTGCAACTCCATATTCTCTGCGAGAAACCCCTCGCTCTCTCCCTAGACGATTGTCTAACCGTCTACCGAACCCTCCAACCACAGCCCCAATCCGCAAGCCAACGACCCAACCCACCAGCAACAATCTTCTCCATCGGCCACGTCCTCCGCTACAGCCCGCACAACACCCTGCTTCGCAAGCTCCTCCTGACCGACCGCGTCATCGGCGACATCGTTTCCCTCGAACACACCGAACCTGTTGGCTGGTGGCACTTCTCCCACAGCTACGTCCGAGGAAACTGGCGACGCGCCACAGCCAATGGCGACGGCTCCCTCCTCACAAAGTCCTGCCACGACATCGATTTCATCCTATGGCTACTCTGCTCGCCGACTTCTCTCGAGGATGCGCGCCACCAGCCGCATTTCCCGCGATCTATCTCGTCAGCGGGCTCGTTGACGCAGTTCCGTCATGCGAGGAAACCCGTTGCGGCTGGTGATGCGACGAATTGCGTCTCTTGTCCTATCGAGCGGGAATGTAACTACAGTGCGGTGCGGATTTACAAGGATAGACACCTAGGGAAAGGTCATCGTAAGTGGCCGGTGGATATTGTATGCCCAGACATCGAGGACGTGTTTAGAGTGTCAGGACGCGCAGCCGCAGAAGAGCATTTACTCTCGCGATTGCGGGAGGACTATGATGTCCATGTCCAGTCAGACGCTGACATCGCCACGAAACCATGGTACGGGCGATGCGTGTACGAAGCAGACAATAACGTTTGCGACGACCAAGTCGTGACACTCGCCTGGGATGACGAGGACTCCCAGCCGAAACGACTAGCCAAAACAGCTACTTTCCATATGATCGCGCCAACAGAGAAACAATGTGAGCGACGCGGTCGTGTATACGGGACAACGGGGGAGATTGAATATGACAGCAACACCATCTCGATTTATGACTTTGCGTCTGCAACGACGAGGAAGATCGATGTTCCCCGTCCACCACCGGAGAGGGCTGAGTCTCATGGTGGTGGTGATTATGGTCTTGCGGGACAGTATGTCCATGCTGTGAATGCCGTGATGAATAAGGGGATTGATGTTGAGACTGCGCAGGCAAGGTTCATTGGGTGTACGCTTGAGGAAGCGGTGCAAAGTCATGCGGTGGTCTTTGCTGCGGAGGAGGCGAGGAGGGAGGAGCGTGTTGTTAAGTGGAAGGAGTGGTGGGAGGAGAAGTTGAAGTTGAAGGACTCGGTTGTTGCTTAGTCGGTGTGATTTCGATGGGGACTGGGTTGCCAGGCAGATTGCATTCATGATATTATGGCCTTATGATTAATGACAATGACTTTGAAGGATTGAAGCTTCTGGTATAGTAATCACCATCCCGAAGACGAAGGCTCGCAAGGGATATGGTATAATCTAAGCCATATCTAACTCATCCGCAAACCATCCCCAAAAGCCAAATCGAATAAAATCTCCTCAGCTCCATGAATCGAACCTCCAGCCTTCTATTTCCCTATATACTTCGCCCTGTTAGTGCATCACCATCCGAGGACATTGAAGAACATCGCCAGTCCCCAGTGCCAGCCCTTTACACACTGCAACACTATCAAAAAGGCTATTCAGGAATTGTAAATGGTACAATCTAATAATCTAAGATGAATATACTCATAAGAAAAATAAAATTACTAATAAAATCTCCAAAAAAAAATGAACTCCTCCCGCCTAGGGGTATGCCCGGCCGTCCGTGGAGCTTGAAGCGTCAACACTGGCCCTGTATCTTTTTTCTTCTTTTGTTTGCCCTTTCCTCCAGGGCACACCTATGGTTCACCAATTTATGGTGGATACCAACTAGGCCATCGGAGGGGGGGAGTTGATTGTTTGACCTTGCATCCGATTATAACCCCTGTATGTTCTTGGATGTGCCTTATTGACTCTTGACTACCTTTTGTGCTTTGGGTAATCATGGGAGGGGATATTCATCTTGATAATGATTTTTACTGTTGCTCTATTATAGAGCTGGTAGATAGAGGATCAACTCTGGGGATGTTCACATCTTATGCGTCAAGGAATCCAACGTCGTATTCATATTCATATTACTCGAATAAAAGGCCTCGCACTATCCAATACATCCCCTCAACGCATCATCCGTTTCTTCATTCATCATCATAAGTTATAAGCTCATTACAAGCATGAACAAATAACAATACCAAGGAAAGAAAGAAATGATTAACCTCGCGATTCCCATCCAGTGGATCACGCAAGCTATCCAAAACACAGGATATCATCCCCAGCTTAAGTCTTAACATCAGGCTCCTCACGGCCAACATACTCCTTGAACTTGAGCAAGTTCAGAGCAGCGGTCACGTTATCGGCCAGGTACTCCTGAGCACTGAGGCCGAACTTGGACTTATCGCTCTCGTAGCGCTCGATATACAGACGGATAGTGGCACCGCTGCTGCCGGTACCGGACAGACGCACGACAATGCGGCTGCCGTCGTCGAACTTGGCGTACAGACCCTGGTTCTTGGAGACGCTGCCGTCGAGATCGGTGTAGGAGAAGTTGCCGGCGTCGACAACCTTGCGGGTGCCAACACTGGAGCCGATGAAGGAGTCGCTGGCAACCAGATCGGCCAGGGTGCCGACAACCTTGTTGGCACCGTCGCTGTCGACGTTCTCGTAGTCGTAGCGGGTGAAGAAGGTACGGCCGTAAGTCTGCCAGAACTCGTTCTGGATAGAAGCGATGCTGGGGGTCTCCTCGGGCTTCTGCTTGGCGACACCGGCGATGATGTTCAACCAGGCAACAACCGCCCACACGCCGTCCTTCTCGCGGATGTGGTTGCTACCGGTACCGAAGCTCTCCTCACCACAAATCGAGATCTTCTTGTTGTCAAACAAGTTGCAGAAGAACTTCCAGCCGGTGGGCACCTCGTAGCTCTGCAGACCCTGGGCTTGGGCGACACGGTCGACGGCACCGGAAGTGGGCATGGAGCGGGCAAGACCGTACACGCCCTGCTTCTGGAACCAGGGGATGAGCTTGGCGTGGTGTGCGATAATGGCCAAGCTGTCACCGGGGGAGACGAAAGTCTGGGCACCGTAAATCATGTTACGGTCACCATCACCGTCACTGGCGGCACCAAAGTGCACACCGTTCTTGTCCACGGCCTCGACGAGTTCGTGAGCGTACACGAGGTTGGGGTCGGGGTGACCGCCGCCAAAGTCCGGCTTGGGCACGCAGTTCATGGTGCTGCTGGCGGGCAATCCGAGCTCCTTGACGAAGATGTCCACACCATAGGGACCGGTGACACCGTGCATACCGTCGAAGAGCACCTTGAAGTCCTTGTGGGAGCTCAGGAACTCCTTGATCAGGTCAAAGTCGAAGATCTCCTTCATCATGGTCACGTAGTCGGCGGTGGAGTGCACAACCTCCACCTCGAGGGGACCGTAGGTCTTGGAACCAATGGTGGAGAGGTCAACATCGGGGATGTCGGCGTATTTGTAGGAGGTCAGGGTCTTGGAGGTCTCGTAGATCTTGTTGGTCACACCCTCGGGGGCAGGGGCGCCGTTGGCCAAGTTGTACTTGATGCCAAAGTCGTTGTCGGGGCCTAAGCAGTGATCACAATGTTAATGAGCTGGAACGAACGCGCCCAATGGAGCAGAATAATCAAGCATCGGATCTCTTCACTTACCACCGGGGTTGTGACTGGCGGTCAGCAGAATACCACCCGTGGCCTTGCGCACGCGAATCAGGTTGCTGGCCGCGGGGGTACTCATGATACCATTCTGGCCGACCAGCAGCTTCTTGACACCGTAGGCGGCGGAGATCTTAGCGATCTTGTTGATCACTTCATCGTTGTAGTAACGGCCATCGCCACCAATGACGAGGAAGGAGTTCTCGACACCCTCGGGAATGGACAGGAGGATACTCGTAATGAAGGATTCGGAGTAGTGAGGCTGCTGGAAGACCTTGACCTTCTTGCGGAGACCAGAACTGCACAGAGTGGGGGGAATCAATTAGCATTCAAACAGGGAACGGGACGAAGGGGTGGGGGGAGGAGAAGCAACATACGTGCCCGGCTTCTGGTCAGCAAAGGGCTGGATGGAGACGGTTTGGACCGACATGATGAACTTTTTGGAGAGGGAGTTGAGGAGGAGTCGAGAGGAAAGAAGAGGAAGGAGAGAAGTTCACCGACAGAAGAGGGAAAGAGAGAGGAGGGGCTGGCGTCATGTGTTGATCATCCCACTTGTACTTCGGGTGGCACTCAGACTAAGTAAACTAAAGCCAACTCGGTTTGGGTTCGAACTTGAGCTTCCACATTATCGACCTGACCAACTGAGACAGCTCAATTGTGCATGGGCCTGGGCCCCGTCCAGGATTTTTGGGAATAAAAAAGCTACACAGTAACACGGAGCTTTCAATTGCGCCTAAATTGGTCTCTACGCAAGCTGAATATTTTCAATAACCGTGTTCAACGTAAAAGAGAAGACATTCTCCCTCCCCATTTGGCGATAACAATACCAATCACAATGGCACGCCCCCTCGAAGGTACCATAACTACTCCGTACTCCGTGCAGTTACTCCAATGAGAAACCAAAAATAAAAACTGCCCCACGGAGCAGAGAGCTCCCCCCAACAGAACTCAATTGGTATTAAACATAACGAATCAATCTAGCATCCACCTCCCAAAAAAAGAAAAACCTTTTACTTAAACAACCTCTCCCGATAAAACCGCATCTCCTCAATACTCTCCAAAATATCATCCCTCGCCAAATGCACCTCCCGCTTGCCAGGCACCTGCTGTAACAACTCCTCACTCCCCCAGCGTCGTGCCGCCTCTTTGATACTACTCACATCCAGAATCCGATAATGCAAGTAGTCCAGGACCTTTGCGTAGGGGCCACGGGCCAAAAAGGCCTTATCGGCGTGGACACTGTTCCCGGCCAGCAGGGCGGTGCGCTGGGCGGGGACGTGGCGGCGGATGTAATCCAGCAGCGAGTCGGCGGCTTCGGCGGCGCTGGTCGTTGAGGCCCGCACCGAGGCGGTCAGGCCTGTGCGGCCGTGGACGTCGATGCACCAGGCTGACATGTTGTCCAGGATGGAGTCTGGGTGGTGGATGACGGCGTCGAAGCCGTTGGGTTCGAGGAGGTTGAGGTGGGCGTCGGTGATGAAGCAGCAGATTTGGAGGATTGTGTCGTGGTCTGGGTCTAGGCCTGTCATCTAGGAGGTTTGTGAGATGATGAAGCGTAGGGTATGGTAGGTGGGGGGAGGAACTAGAAAGAGACATACCTCGCAGTCGATCCAGACGAGAGGATCATTAGAGCGGGCGAGAGGCATGATGGAATTGGTGCGGAGGGTAAGAATGGGCTAGAGGGGAATTGTTAATGATACTGTGGTGGAAGTCGCAATGCGAACTTGCTTTGGAGAGAAAAAGTCTCGAGGTGCAAGTCTGGATGTGGATGTGGATGTAAATGTGGATGGGCGGGATTCACCTGGTGGGGAAAACAGCCACCCTGGACCAGCGGGAGTCGCGCAGAGAAGAAGAATGGCTTAACGGGTCGAAGACATCGGAGAATCATTCTTAGAACGAAGCTGAAATTGGTAAGGAAAGGTGATGAAAGTGGTCCGAAGCCAAGTTCACTGATCCTTGCCAGAGTCCACTAGGTAGAGTTTACTACGTCTATGACAGCTTGCCCAGGTGACCCTTACAGATTTACAGCCATCAATCTCGACTTGTACTCTTACACACAAAAATCATGACCAATTCATAAACATGCCGCCGAGAGGCGACCCAAGCTAATGTATTTTCCTTCCAAATCCGAGGATGCTTCCTGTAGTGTAAGGGGGGTGGTGGGACATAACGGCGTCACAGTAGTAGTAATCAGAGAGAGGGCCCAAAAGAGAACAACAAAAAAAGAAGAAAAGAGACACAAGGGTTCAGGGTTCAGGGTTCCAAGTCGCTCCTAGAACACTCAAGACAGCAGAGACAAAAAGCCAATGCTAATGCTGCATGGATGACAGCGCTTTGCACAGAACCAACTCTCCTCATTTCTCATGAAGAGGAGAGGCTGTCTTGTCTATCAATTCAAAGGCCCGTTTAGGGTGTGGTTGACAAAGAACAAAATCCATAAAAAACTCGGCTTAACGTCACAGCTCTTCGTCTTCGTTCTGTGGAATGGCGGCAGGTGGCTGCGAGGCGATCTTATCGCCGAGGGACCCGGTGCTGGCCGTCTTGCCATCACTGCCATCTCCCAGAACTTCGTTGATGCGGCCTGCTGACTCGGCAATCCGACGACGCAGGGCATTCTCATCCGCACCCGAGACACTGGCCCGTTGCTTCTTCAAGGGACTGCCCAGGAAAGCTTCCGTGACATCCCCGGTAGGGGGGAGCAGGTTCCGACGGTTTTACAGGGGTGGCCTTGGGCGGCGTGATGGAACGTCCAATACTAGCAGGAGGAGGTGTAGTCCCCGAAGCAGGCGTGTCGTTGGAAGTAGCACCACCGCTAGAGAGCGGTTCGGCAGAGTGCTGACGCTTAAGCTGTTGCAAGGTTAGCACATCTCAATCACGACAACTCTTAGCTCGGTCCCATGGAAACTTACACGAATCCGTTCGACACCCTCAGCCAACTCTCCCTGGCGCTTGATATCGTCAGGAGAGAGGAAGCGATCGTCATCCTTGGCCTCCTCCTCATCCGCCTTGCCTAAGATGGGGTTGTCGGTATCATCATCGTCGCTGTCCATCTCATCGTCGGCTTTTTTGCCCTTTCGACCACTGTCATGGTCGCGGAAGTTGAGGAATCCAACGGTTCCTTCAGGCTTGAGGGGACCGAGATTGGCAAAGTCCGCCTGCAGTGATTTCCGCTTAGCCGCGGGGGTATCTGGCACCTTGGGGTCTTTCAATATGCCCATCTTTTGCAGTTGGCCTGGAAAGCGCAGAAAGGTTAGCAGTGCACAGACCTCTCAAAATCAAAATTGATAGCACTTACGCTCGCCTCGGTACATGAAAGTGAAAATGGCGTAGGGCTTATCTGTAGGATCAATGCCAGTCACCGTCTGGGTGCTGATGGACTTAGGATCCAGTGTCTTGGGCTTCGCAAAACTAGTCGTATGGTCGACATCGGCATCTCCGTTGCTACCATTATTTCCTTGACCACCTTCCTCGTCGTCATCGTGAGCATCAAACTGCGGAGAGTACTCGCCCCGTTTGATCTCGCCGGAAGCCAGCACACGGAACAAAGCAACCTTAATCTGGCCGGTGGTCTCGGGAATAGGGTCGTCATCGTCGGAGTCAGAGGAGAAATCGTCGTCAGAGACATTCTCCAATGGTGCCTTCTCGTCATTACCATAGCGCATGATATCCTTGGGTTTGGAGCTGCTAGCTTCCGCCTCCATCCCATTCGCATCTTCCGCCTCGCGCTTTGCCCGGCGTTTCTCCATCTTCTGTCGTCGTCGCTCGATTTTGGCTGCGGCGTCCTTGCCCTCCAGGTCCAGCCCATTAAGCCAGCGCTCCAGGCCAACCTCGCGGAACAGGAACTCGCGCTCAGCGATACCGCCGCCCTCGGAGTCCGGCACGCTCACCCAGCGCGAGTTCACCCAGGTCTCTTCCCCTCTCCGTAGTAGTGTAGCCACCTCTTCCTTTTGTCTACCATCGAAGTAGATGTAGGCCGCCACGGTTTCGTTCGGAGAGTTCGTCAATGCCTGGTATGGTGCGACTGATCCGGAGTATTGACCGCGCTCGCCGGTCTGGCCCGGCAATCCTCCGACGACCTTGGGTGTAGGGGAGGGGCAATCGGCTGTCGGCTTCGGGGTCGAGTACGGCACATCCTGACCGGGGTTCAGGAGAGTAATGGAGATTGCAAAGGTCGATTGTTCGGGTTTACCCTTGGACTTGGAATCCGGGACTTTAGGAGGAGGAACCGGGATGAAGCAAGCTATGCGCGATGCTCGCGACTGACGCTGGATCGAGTATTCGGAGATTGGGCCATCCGGAGTGTGGATGCTCACGGCCAAGCCTTTGAAGCACGGCATGGCGGCGCCCTCGAAGGAAAGAAAGATCGAGTGGGGAAGGTGTGTTGATATTAACAAAGCCCGGAAGCAAGGAAAAAAGGAAAGGGGGGAACAGCCCCACGCGCTCGACGTATTTGATTAACCCCAAATAGCGATGGAGAAGGGGAAATAGGGTCTGACAGGCGGGGAAACAGGTGAACAGTGCTTTGTCCCTATTTTTTTTCTGCTCTGAGGCTTTTGAAGAAGTGCGTGTTAGCTACAGGATGAGAGGCGGTCAAAGTAGCGTGGATTTAGTCTGGTTTGGAGCACCCAGCAACCAACTGGGTCGGGACCCCACTGTTATTGTTGCTGGTATGGAGATACGGAGGCTGGTGAAGCTTTTCGAGAAGCGATGTGGGGAAGTGCAGAAAGCAGATCGAGGGATCGGGCAGCCTTCTTAATCTCGGTAGGAATCTGGGATCTTACACCGAAGTCAGGTGTACCAGCACATATCCGTGGAGATCAGAGCCGGAGGAGGTGGTGGTGGGTTGCTTAGTTGGAAACTCTTTTGGGCAGATGAGGAGGGGCGGAACCTGAGAAAGTGGACCAGCCAAAACACAACAGCAGTTGCCAGTTGCTGAGTTGCCCGCTTGACTCGTCCGAACTCCTGGTCCACGTGATGTACTTTAATTAGGGACTAAGCCCTAGCTAACATCAAAAGAACCTTGCTGTAACAACCATCTGACTAGTTTACGCCACTTAAATAAGTATACCAGAGTATCTTCTGATGTCCTTCATTTATCCTCCTGAGCTCCAGGCTTGACCTCGTCATCCCCCACGGTGTACCCACATCACCTGACCCCCGACCATGGATCAGCTGCGAGTCCCCCAGGGTCTACTGGAGGAGGTGAGAAGACAAAGAAACAGGTTCAAGAGCTTGAATGATTGAGACTTGACGAAGACTTGACATGAGAGGCGGTTTTTATCTTTCATTTTTGAAAATGAATTAGATAGAACTACGATATACACGAGCATCACATCTACCTGGAATGTCCAAGTGAAGTCTAAATAGCATGCCAAACCCACCAGCTAAATACTAGCAACTCCCATAGGGTTCATATTTAAATCACAAGCATTACTGTATGCCTCTCAGGGTATAAGGCGTTTTCTTTTCATAAAGCCATTTCCGACGTGGTCAAGAATTATAACCCAAATACTTGTTATCATGAGAGCATCCAAGCCCATAAACTTCAAGCCCATTTAAAAGCCACAAACTTCTATACCAATTACTGCTCTCTCTTGAGCTCGGCGATGCCATTAGTAACACCAATTCCACCAGCTCGCCTTGGTACGCCAGACGTTCTCTGTATTTCTAGGTCAGCCACTTAAGCAGTTTAAGCGTATTCTATCCGCCGGCCTATACAATCTTCGTGGATTCTTTGGGAATGACTCACCATTTATTTACAAGTTCTACATTTTTCTGTCTAGAGCTGTCTTGGATTCTAAGTAGTCCTGGTTTTAATCTAATCGATAAATCTTTCTTGTATTGTGGTTTCAAGCCTTCAAAATCACACTACCTCATGCTGCTAGCACTTTCTGCTTTTTATAATGCCATATCATTGTCCTTAAAATTAACCCAAAAAGTATATACATTGAGAAATCCTCAAAATGGCTTCCTTCCTCTCTTGTAGCGCATGGTGTGATTGAGAATATCACTCTCCCCTCGGATACGTTCAACCTTGTCCTCAGATAAGGCTCGTTGAGAATAGCATCCATCTATTGTTTATCCGTCTAGTCATAACTTATATGGCCATACGCCTAAATTGACAAATGATGATTATTTTCAAGGTTTAGATGGAAAGAATACTATCGGTACTATCCGAGAATGGAACCTGAGTTGCGGATGGAATTCTAGAGCCAAAGACTTTCTACGTTGCCTTGCGTGCTATCAAACTGTGGACATAGTATATGTAGCTCTTGTAAGAGATATTGAAGAAGATGCTCATGAGTCTTTGAACTGGGGGCGGGATATAACCGTGCGGGATCAGAGGCTTGTCTATAGTGAATGGAGGATAAGGGACCAACCCTTTAGAGTCTAAGGTCGTGGTTCTTATGGGAGCTCTGTAGTCCAAGTTCTCCCTTTGCTCCATCCGTCGTACTCGAGTCTTGAGTTACTTAGTAACAGTCTTTGATTTTTTAATTCTTGTGGGTCGTCTTTCCAAACCTCTTTCTAAACGTCCACTCGACCTTAATGTCTATCTTTTCTAAGATTCTATAGCTGGATACATAAGCGGAAAGAGGAGTATGAGACTATAAAGTAGGGTAGCACCAGAGCACTCTAGTCGACAGTTGGTCTCTTGGATATGTTAGTCTTTCCTTGGATGCTATCTATGTTCTCGCATAAGAATAGATGCTAAGGGCAACTAATTCGTAAGGATGAAAAGTCCCATTATTGAATGATGTGATACTAGTCCTAATCAGGGCTGGAGTGGGTCCAAGGCATGAGTCAGATGGCCCATGCAGAGGTTTCAGTCATATGACTAAAATTCCCCCGAAATTTCAACAACTAGCAAGCTGGCGCATAGGAAGCGCGTCGGGCTCATAACCCGAAGGTACCTGGATCGAAACCAGGGTTTGCTATCTTTTTGCTTTTCTTTTTTTCACCTTCGGGACCACCACATACCTACCACATACTGCTCGACTTACTTCTCTCTCACGCTTCTTCAAATTCATGGTAGCTATTTCGGATAGCAAGGAATTACATCTTTTTTCTCGAGACCAAAAAATGGTAAAGTCCCAGACCAACGAGAGATCATGGTGAACGAGGTGTGCCATCCTCGAAGGACGGACGGAGCCTTCGGATCTGACCCACCACCACTATGTTCTGGGTTCCGGTAGGTGGTGAAAGAAATGACCTCCCTTGAGTCCAGAGTATTGTGGTGTTCAAGGCCCGGGGAATAGGTTGAATGCATTCAATTGCGTATCATAGCATGTTCCGGTGTTCGGTTGAGAAGGTCGATGCAATATATATATTGGGAGCCACCAGAGATCGAACTTCAAAGCCCGGCAAACTTCAACCACTTCAGTAGATGTCAACGAAGGGGTATACCGACTCCATTTAAGCCCTGGATTCATGCCAAAAGAATGATTCCTCAGCCCATAGAAGCCACTTTCTAGACTGTACCCCGAGGACCGGGGACAGTATCCCACTATAAATCGTCCGGGACAGTAAACGTGGCAATGCACTTATTCTTGAGCAAGTGATCCGGAGCAAACTGGGTATACAGTACCTATACTCTAATGCCAAAAAAACATCGCATGGAATCAAGAATAGTTACATTGTGTAATGCTTGGTCATAAACACAGTCAAGTCCTAGTTAAGCTTCGCGGGGATCGGGATCGGATTCGGGGCGAAAATGACATCATTACTAAGTTCGCGGTGATGGTTTCATCGTAGCTCCGGCTGACAAATTGCGCACTGAGCGGGGGTTATACTTATCTGGCTTGGAGCTTGAATTTCCGAGTTCGTTGTATATTTAATCTCTCTAATTACACTGGGAATGCTCCCTCGTAATATCACCAACATCGCATTCAAAGCTGCTTCCCGATTCTCCAGCATTTCCTCGACCATCCGCGCTTCCTACTACACCATGTCGTCCGACCTCACCCTCTACACCTGGACCACGCCAAACGGCATCAAAGCTTCTATCACCTTGGAGGAGCTTGGTCTGCCATACAAGACTGAGCCAATCGACATTAGCACCAACATCCAGAAAGAAGAGTAAGAAATTTACCAATTGAATATTGAATAGGAATACCCCTGCTGACAACACTTAAATATAGCTGGTTCTTGAAAATTAACCCCAATGGCCGTATTCCCGCCCTCACCGATGGCTCACAGCGCGTTTTCGAGAGTGGTTCCATTATGCTCTACCTTGCCGACAAGTATGACACCGAGCGAAAGATCAGCTACGCGCCTGGCACCCCCGAATATATCGAGCAGGTATCCTGGGTAATGTTCCAGATGGGAGGCCTGGGTCCTATGCAGGGTATGTCGAACAGAATATAAATGCATTTTACATACCTAACTCATGTATTCCTCCCCAGGTCAAGCAAACCACTTCCGGCTCTTCGCCGGTGTCCGCTCCGACTATGGTATCAAGCGATATATCGACGAGACGAAGCGTCTCTACTCGGTCCTGGAATCTCGCCTGAAGGAGAGCCCCTATCTGGCTGGTTCAAAGTACACGATTGCCGACATTGCCAATTACTCGTGGGTTCGCAGCGGCCCCGGTGCCCTGGAGATTGATCTATCCGAGTTCCCGGCGCTGAAGAAGTGGGCCGATGAGATCGGGCAGAGGGCCGCGGTGCAGAAGGGAGCAGATGTGCCTCACACTGGCCGCACAGATGCGGAACGTGCTGAATTCTTCAAGAGTGCGCGTGCTAGAATTGATGGCTTGGCTAACTCTGATAAGCAGTAAGTGGGCATGGTACGAGGAGTTATTATGTAAAGACCCTTGGATTGATAATACATAAAAATCCCAAATATTCCCCCTAGCGACCGGCTACATAACTCAAATATAGAACAAGATGGATATCCTGGTAGCGAAACTTGCAAATGAGAAGTATAAGAGACATGCCACGCGCGAGATCCTCATCTGGGAACACAGTCATTTCGTCTCGGAGGAAGCACTCGGCCCATGGCTTGCTTATTGAATCGTTGGATCCCTCTCAGAAAACTAGCAATACGACGCACCATGTGCTCGGTCTCCAGGTCTGATTTGCCCCATAGGAAGAGAGACCTTAGCACGTATAGCCAGGGTCGTCTAAACTCCCACCCTTGATCCGACTGGGGAGGGATCAATTCATGCTTATAACCACACACTTTGCGGAATAACCTGTACCAGCGCAGACTAGTGAGATTGCTCCATACATAGCTTGACCAAGTGCCAAGGTTCCACAAGATACACATAGTGTTGTCGGGTACGGGTAGCCCAAACATGTTCACGATTTGATCGGCTAGAAGGCCTAACTCCCACTGGTATCGAATAATTGATGTGATTTCTTCTGCTGCTGGTGTTTTACCCCCGATGGGTTCCCCTTGATAGAACGCCTTGAGATCGCCTCCCAGTGCTGCTGAGGGGTGACGGTTCCAGTCGCCTGGGCAGGTGTTTTCATGGAATAGTCGTGCCAGGATCTCGACTGGGCCTTCTCTGAGGTAATATGTCATTTGTTCTTTTAGTTCCACCTCGTTCAAACGATTACAGGTCTGTATGTCTGAAAGTGGATTCGACATTCTCTCCATTTTTGATCGTGAAGGTGAGCTCTTCAACTTGAATAGGTGGTTATACTCAGAGATCAAAATGGGAACAAAAGGAAATAAAAACCTCGACGGTTCTTTAATGATGAATACATATCTGACCCAATCCTGGCTAGTTGCATAGATTTTTCCAAAAATGGAGGGATGCCGCGTCCAAAATGAGATATACCAAAACGACTCGAGATTTAAGGTTGACACTGGTTGACACTGGTCGAACAAAGCTGCATTACGACTGTATCTTAGCTTTGTTTCTGATGAGACCTATACCCAAACTTAGAACATTTGAACATCAGAAGTCAGATGGAGTGCTCTCAATTCTAAATCGAACTTTATCAATATTGATCACTACTGTAGCTTTATCGTCCCAGACGATGAGACGTTGCATCCACCAAGTGGATCCCCAGGAACGCGGAGTGGCTCTCATTATTTATCGCTCTGTCACTCCCCGCGCCGACCGTCAACCTTTCGTCTATCAATCAGTACAATGGCATCGACGGAACTTCAGAAACAAGTTGGACAGGTATGAAAACTGCTACTACAGACTCATGGAGACAGCATATCTGACGATAACTTTAGCTCTTCGCGGTCGGCTTTCACGGCCAGACGCCGAGCCCAGAGATCAAGACCTTGATTCACGACTATCACGTCGGTGGTATCGTTCTCTTTTCGCGCAATTTCCAAACTGCCTCTCAGCTACGGGTAAATCTCCTAGAATACTGGATTTCCATGCCGAATAATTCCATGCTAACTGGTCTACCAACAGGCTTTGACGCTTGCTCTGCAGAATGAAGCACGATCCGCGGGGCATACTCGACCTTTATTCATTGGGATAGACCAGGAAAATGGGCTGGTCACCAGGATCACACCCCCAATAGCCCCTCAAATTCCTGGACCAATGGCTCTCGGTGCTACTCATGACCCAGAATTGGCCTACGAAGCCGGAAAAGCCACTGGTGAGATCTTGAACTTCTTTGGAGTCAATATGAACTATGCCCCAGTTTGCGACATCAACTCTGAGCCCTTGAACCCTGTCATTGGTGTTCGTAGCCCTGGTGACGATCCGGAGGTTGTCGGACGTTTTGCTAGTGCTACGGCAAGGGGTTTGCGGGAACAGAAGATTGTCCCGAGTGTGAAGCATTTCCCTGGACATGGAGATACTGCCGTTGACTCGCACTACGGGTTACCTGTTATCCCGAAAACAAGAGATCAGCTAGAACGCTGTGAGCTGATCCCGTTCCGTCGGGCTGTGGCAGAGCAGGTTGAAACTGTCATGACTGCCCATATCTCCCTTCCTAGCATTGACGACAAGTACCCCGCTACGTTGTCGCCAAAGGCTCTGGGTATTTTGCGGAATGATATGGGCTATGATGGCATGATTATTACCGACTGCTTGGAAATGGACGGTATCCGTTCTACGTTTGGCACGGAGGAGGGCTCGGTGCTGGCTTTGCAGGCTGGCAGTGATAGCATCATGATCTGTCACACATTCGAGGTGCAAGTGGGCTCTATCAAGAAAGTCTGTGACGCAATTCAGTCCGGTGCGATTGAGTCTTCACGTCTAGCAGATGCGTGTCGTCGTGTGGCTCATGTGAAGGACAAGTTTTTGAACTGGGAGGATGCTCTACGTGAACAGAAACTTGACGAGCTTGATGCCTTGAACAAGAAGATCTCACCGATATGCGAAGAAGCATACGATAAATCAGTGACGCTTGTTCGCGACGGAGCCTCAATTCTTCCTCTTTCTAAGACTGCAAATATTGTCCTCCTGTTCCCAGGAGGCAAGACCCCTGCTGGTGGCGCAGTCGATGGGGAGGGAATAGGCCGGCAAGGATCATACGAGGCCACAGCCTATTTGGACGCCCTTCGACGGTACAATCCATCAATCACAGAAATTAAGTATGGCGAGGCTGGTCTGCGTGACGATCAATGGAGTGTCGTCAAAGCAGCTGAGGCTGTGATTTTCGTGTCCGTCAATGCGCGGGAGTCTCCGTACCAGGAGTCGCTAGGCAAATTGCTTCCCAAGAACGCGCAATCGCTGGTCGCCATTGCTGCCTGCAACCCTTATGATTTCTTACAGGCTCCAGAGGTTCAGACATATCTTGCTACGTATGAGCCGACCGTTGAGGCCTTCTCTGTGGCTGCTGACATCGTTTTTGGCGCAAAGACCGCCAGGGGGTCACTGCCAGTCGGGCTGCCCGATCCGAAGAAATCTGATATGCATGTGGCGCAGTTTGATGCAGAGAAAGATATCGATTCCATCGAATCTGTGTGGAAGGAAGCCTTGCCAACGTACATCTTGCCTGCGGATGCTTTGCGATCTTTAATTGATCGGAAAAATGCGCATCATTTTGTCGCTCGTATCGGATCCGAGCTAGTCGGGTTTTGTCTTGCTTATACTAATGCCCACGGAGGTCCAAAGCCCGTCCACCTTGCAGTGCTGGCCGTGACCCCAAAGTATCAAGGACAGGGTGTTGGAACTGCGCTTCTAACCGAAACGCGCTCGTATTTCCGAACGCAGTTTGACATCAATCAATTGAAACTTGGTAGTTCCTTCCCTCGATTCTGGCCGGGAATACCCCGGGAGCTTCCAGAAACGGTGCAAGAATTCTTCGTTCATCGTGGATTCCGACTTAGTCCGCCAGGCGCGAGGTCAGTTGACTTATACCAGGACATTCGGAATTTCCAGGCGCCGGAGAAATACATCACGCGCGCGAATGAAAGAGGGTTTCGCTTTGCGCCGTTGCGACCAGAGGACTATGAGGCGTGCTTGGTCGGGCAGAGGAGGAATTTCTCCGATAAGACCGTATGTACCCGACTATACGAAACAACCACTCAGAGATCACGAGCTAACAATCATAATTGTTCGATTAATTTAGGGTTGGGTAGAGGCTTACGTCACACTCGATCCCAAAGACTATCCCGATTGTGTGATGACTGCCTTTGATTCTGAAGGTCAACAGGTCGGATGGACTTTGATGCTGCCCCCCGTCCCAGCGCTAAACAAAGTCTGGGCATTCCCCCAGATGTGTGGTCCTAACACTGGTTTAATTGGCTGTGTGGGCATTGATACATCTCACCGCAAGTCGGGCATCGGGTTGGCGATGATCTGTCATGCGATCGACAATATGAAGCAGCGAGGCATCGAGGGAGTCTTTGTGGATTGGGTGGCATTGGATGGATGGTATGAGCAGGTTGGATTCAAGACGTGGCGCAGTTATCGACCGGGTGAGATCTGATACGTAGCTCTTGGCTATGATTCAGACGAGATTCCGACGAGTAGTACTATGTATACGACATAGCGGCTAAATCACGAACAGTCTAGTTAGCGGAAAACTTTGGAGTAGGTCAGTAGGATTCCGTAAGTTTGAGAACCCCAACTACAATAGACTCCAAAATCATCTCATTGATAACACTTGGAAATTTGAATTAGGAGATATTGTCTAAGCCGTCTGGGAAGATAGTTATTAGGAAAACATTTGGGAGAATCCTTAAAAGATATTCAGAAAATGATTCAAAAGATATGCATATTTAGCTAGACCTTTGGCCCGATCTCTTGATCTTGACTCGTGAAATGATACTATATCCGTTAAGCATACCACTAAACTCTGACCTGGATGTCAAAAAGAAATCATTCGTTTCAAAAAAGAAGAAGAAAAACAGACCCCATTAGAGGGGCGTCCCTGAGAGCAGTCAAGCGTCCTCATGAGAAATTTTGATTTGGCCCCTATCGACTGTCGTGTGTATAGGTACACTCAGAATGATTAACTATGACAACTCAGAAATGGGTGTCCGTGGACTGTGTCAAGTAAATGGAGGAAACTAGTCCGTAGAGGGATGCCCGAGCAGATTTGGCAACCTTGGTCCGAAATTTTGACCGACTCACGGGATTGACAGGGTTTGAAGGCCCTAAGAGGCTAAGACGGGGTTCTTCGACCGACTAGTTCAGCCGTTTCCATGGGAATTCACCCGACTCTTATCTCCGGAAAGCCCCCGAGAGGCCGAGCAAGGGGGCAGAGTGACGGCCTTGCAGCCTAAACTTACCTTCATCGGTGTGCTGCTCCTCCGTTCCAGCTGGACCCTTATTGTAACATGGACCACAAACCAGGGAACAGGGTTTAGTGCTTATGTGACTCACCTTGACTAGTACTGAAAAGGGCAACTCGCACTTGCTTCCATATTATGCCCACTTGCACCGGGGAATTGACGCGCTGAGGCTAATCGAACGCCTCAGAGCCAGCTGATTGGTTGATCTAGAAAATCCTGACTCGTATTTGCTTCACGCTACTGCGCCAGCCGCACCTGTCTTCCATGTGTCTGCAGGAAATTAACGTAAATCGGCCAGAAGACACGCCGATGTCCGATCTCGTAAAAAAGAAAGAGCATCGTCATAGATCACTTTATAATGGTTCTTCCCGTCGCGTGGTCTGAATGTTCACTGAAAAGAGAAATAACGTGTTGGTGATGTGCTATATCTTCTAACTAGCACTGTCGGCAAACATACCCACCCCCGATTTTAGTCTGCAACGCTCAGACCTCGCCACCACGACAGTACAATCTTCAAAAAAAAATTCCAAAAAAAGTCGAAACCAGTCTTTCCATCGTGAACTTGAGCAATAGGACCTTGAAAATGACGGCGGCCAGCAGTACAACGGAGGTCGACACGACACTGGAGAAGGACATGAAGAATATCAAGGACAATGTTACGACACCAAAGGAGCAAGAAACCTCTTCTTTGGCCAAGGACGTGGAGGATGTCAAGGAGCAGGGCGAGACGCCAACTGAGCAAGAATATCCTCCTTTGGCCAAGGTGATCGTTATCATTTTGGCTCTTTACCTCGCCGTCTTCTTGGTGGCCCTCGACCAGACCATTATTGGAGTCGCGATTCCCAAAATTACCGACCAGTTCAAGAGTATTTCCGATATTGCCTGGTATGGTAGTGCTTACTTCCTCACATCAACGGCGCTGCAGCCGTCTTATGGTCGAATCTACAAGATTTTCAGCGTGAGTTGCCAGCACCACCCCATAAACCAACATCTTGCTAATTAACGTGAATTTATGCAATACAGGTTAAATGGGCCTTCTTAGCAGCCGTTTTTATCTTCGAAATTGGTTCTCTCATTTGTGCGGTGGCTCCTTCTAGCACCGTCTTGATTGTTGGCAGAGCGGTTGCAGGAATCGGTGTCGCGGGTATCTTCTCCGGTGCCCTCGTCATTATCTCGATGACAGTGCCTCTACCAAAGCGACCTCTAGTCTTCGGCATGTTCGGCATGATTTGGGGATTGGCTTCGATTGCGGGACCTCTTCTTGGAGGCGTATTCACCGATAGTATCTCGTGGAGATGGTGTTTCTATATCAACCTCCCGATTGGCGGAGTGTCGATTGCGGTCATCCTCTTCATCCTGCGCCTTCCTGGAACGAACGAATACGCTGGAAAGCCTATCCTGGAACGCCTCAGACAGCTGGATCTCATTGGTGCAAGCCTGCTTATGCCCGCCGTTGTCTGTCTTCTCCTTGCGCTTCAGTGGGGAGGCAACAAGTACGCCTGGAACAACTCCCGAATCATCGGCCTGTTTGTGGGCTTCGGTTTGCTGGCAATCCTCTTTGCAATCTCCCAAGTCTACATTGGCGAGAAGGCTACTCTGCCGCCTAATATATTGAGACAGCGCAGTGTGCTCGCATCTTGCATGTTCGCCCTGTTCTTCGGCGGTGCATTCTTCCTGCTTGTCTACTACGTGCCAATCTTCTTCCAGAGTGTGGAAGGTTCTTCAGCTATGAAGTCTGGTATTCAGCTACTCCCTATGATGCTGGCCACTGTCGTCTCGTCCGTGGTCATTGGTGGTCTGATTACTGCTGTCGGATACTACACGCCGTTCCTGATCATTAGTGCCGCCATTGCAGCCATCGGCACCGGTCTCATCACCTTGTACGATATCGATATTTCCGCTGGAAAGTGGATCGGCTATCAGATTGTGGTTGGTGCAGGTGTTGGTGCAGGATTCCAGGTCCCAATGACTGCCGTACAGACTGTTCTCAAGCCGGCAGATATCCCCGTCGGCACTGCCGCGGTGATGTTCTTCCAAACACTAGGAGGTGCTCTTTTCATTGCCGTTGGTCAGGCCGTGTTCCAGAACGGCTTGATTAGTGGAGTTGTCAAGTATGCGCCTAGCGTGGGTCCCGAGGTCATCGTCGGGGCGGGTGCGACGGAAATGCGCCATGTGCTGACCCAATTGGGACAGCTCGACCAGCTCGACGGCGTTATCAAGGCTTACATGAGTGGACTCCGGGATGCTTACCGTGTCAGTCTTGCGATTGCTGTGGTGGCATTTGTGGCGAGTCTGTTCTTGGAGTGGAAGAGTGTGAAGGCCGGTGGTAATAAGGATGAGGTGGCTGTCCCCGCCCTGTGATTTTCATACTGAAGATAATCCGGGTCTGGGGCTTTTTGCATTTGAATTCGCTTGAAAATATTTAATGACTGTAATAATATCTATAGATTGCTAATAAATCTCCTATTCATGAGCATTTTCGAGATTCACCTCTATGATTACTTCCATGTAGGGCGCCATACCAGGTAACGTCTCAGCACTTACCAGCTCGGGTAGCTAAGGTTACCTTAAGTTTGTTGCAGGGTTCCATGAGAGGGTGCCAATGTTACCTAACATCTGATGATACATAACCTTATCACTCCAACCTCGTCTAACCCCAAATAGTGGATGATAAGGAGGGGGAACAACAACGACTAGCTTGGTCGTGGAATGCGGGGTAAGGTTCACGAAGGAGAAGGGGCACGATAGTCTGATGTGAACGAGTTTGACTTAAATTCAATCTCCTCTCACTCCCAAACTCCCAACGCAGCGACCAATATTGAAAATTCAACGATGAAGAATCGAAGAGAACAGGGGTCCAAAGCAGACGCCACGGTGGAGGTGGCTGCTACGCCAGCCCAACCAGAGCATACCCTCGAGGAGTACGAGCGGCTATTTGGTGTTGACGAAGAAGCGTATGAGCAGCCTACCACAACTCGCAAAGAACTCTGGTCTTACTACCTCTACTACAACGGTGAGCTCATATCTTGGGAGAATCCTCGCCTCGTCTCATATCGCGCTGATACCAACAAATTCAAATCTAGGTGACAATGGTGTTGGTCCGGGCTCATACAGCCAAGCCCTGTACGTGTGCCACGCTAGCAAATGAAGTCGATGTACCCAGATGAACTAATATTATTTTTACAGCTTCCAATGGGCGCTGAACGGGGCAGGCTATCAGCCCGACACAGAGCCACCGCTGCCCTGCACGAGCTCCTCGGCATGCGTGGTACCCTGGGCAGGGGGCACGCGATCTGTCTCGTCGGTGATTCTGATCGCCAATGGCCTCTGTTTTACCTTTATGACGGTCATATTTGTGTGGCTTGGAAGTGCTGCTGATTACGGTTCGTTCAGTCGGTGGCTACTCTTGGGCCTTACTGTGGTCTGTTGGGCGCTGCAGTATGGTATGATGGCCATCCGAGACCCGAGTCAATGGCCTGCAGCGATGGGAATGTACGTCGTGGCATACATTTGCTACGGAGCCACCCTGGTATTCTATGCTGCAGTTTTCCCTCGATTGGCGCGGTATATGCCTCATGTGCGAAAGGCGCGAGAGGAAGACTTGAGAGAAGGCAAGATTGACCAGAAGGAGTATGATGCGATCGAGTCGCTGGAGCGAAATCATATCAGGTATTCATGGATATGCTGGAAGTTATGAGGTTCATGCTGACAGTCTCATTAGTAATATTTCAACGGCACACAGCAATATTGGATACTTGCTTACTCTGGTGCTTAATCTGAGCGTGCTTCTACCGATGCAGAGCAACCAATTTTCAAACAATCTGGCCTTGTGTCTGACGAACTCATGTGAGAAAAGCAAGTCTCTGATTCTTACTAGTTTACTAATACTCTTTTTCGAAAGACTGGGTAATCCTAGGCATTTGGTGGTTCCTATTCCAGCAAAAACGCCCTGGACCTAAAATTCCCAAAGGCTCCAGCTATGCAACCATCGGGTTCAAGCAGATCTGGCTGGCCATTCGCGAGATAAGGTCCCTCCCACAAACATTCCTCTATTTCTTCGCATATTTCCTTCTTGCGGACGGCTTGAATACGACTGGTAAGTCGGACTACAACCTCGGAAAATGAAGAACTGGGCTGATCATTCTTAGGAACTCTCGTCAGCATTATCCAGAATGATCAGGTTTCATTTTCTTTCCTCCAGATTACCTACTTGGGAATCACGCAGGCGGCTTGCTCGATTGCCTCGACCTTTGGTTTCTGGTATATCCAGAAGTACTTCAAATTCAAGACGAAGAATATGTTCTTGTTTACCAATTTTTTTACCGTCTTGATCCCCTTTTGGGGCATGCTCGGACTTTGGACAAACCGAATCGGGTATCATCATACTGTGAGTAATAGACTTCTCAACCCTTCGAAATTCCAATAGCTAATCCTTACAGTGGGAGTTCTATTTCTACAATGTCATCTTCGGACTTTTTCAGGCTCCCTACTATGCGGTAAGATCATCTCCCAGCGAATCTTGCTTGTAATCTTCTAACAATTTCGTGGAAAGTACGCCCAAACAATGATAAGTGAGTTAATGCCCCGCGGATACGACAACATGTTCTTTGCGCTCTTCGGAATCACAAACCGCGCGGTAAGCACCAATTCACCACTCGTACACCTCTGGTTCTTCTTTACTAATTCAAGCAAATTCAAAGTCCTCTATCATCGGGCCAAATGTCATTCAGGCCATCATCAACGACTCACGCAACAATTGGATGGGCTTCCCATTCCTCTTTGCCATCTGTGCCGCGGCAATGATTGCTATCTGCTTCGTGGATGTGGAGAAGGGCCGCGAAGATGGTAGGAAATTCACGGAGAGGCGTAAGGTGGATCGTGTTGTGGCGGAGACGGGACTCAGTGCCGATGCAATTGTCAAGGGCAAGGGTGTCATGGACAATGGAGAGATGGGGAGTGATATCAATGGCAATGGACACTCTTCTACAGAGCCTGTGGAGAGAGGAGAGTTGGCTTGATGCATCGGTCAAGTTGGGTGGAATGACCGTTCAGTAAATACGTATGGCGACCTAGAAGCTTTAATATATCATCACAGGTTCAAATGATAAGATCAAACGTGACAGTCATTATTCATTTCTATAAATTAAAGCTCATTAAACATTCATGGGTTCCTAGATATATGCACCCCCACCAATATGGCATGTGAACGCCTTATACTTCAGCAGTCTTTCCAACATTCCGTTCCCTAGGATTGTCCTGTAACTTTTTCTCCTCCTTGCGCTGATTCCTCTCATCAACATTATTGCGCCACTTATCACCGAAGATAGTAGTAGCCCAGACACAAAGACCGGAGACGATTAAGAACACCGCACTAATCGTACTAAACCACCCGACGCCGATAGCTTCCACGGCAGGAAGAACAGTACCAGAGCCGAGTGCAGCGAAGACATACCTGAACATGTAATTTCCTGCTACAACTTCGGCACTTCGACCTTTAGACTGCATCACGTCTAGACAGTAGGTATTCAAACTCGGGAAGCAGAAGAGCTGTCCCACGCCCTGAAGGAACATAGCCAACACGGGGACGGGAATGCCACCAACAGCCTTTTCAACTGTCCAGCCATAGATGAGGATACATCCCGGAATAACGAATGTGATGAAGATCAGACACGACTTGAGTCGGTCCTCAGGTACACGGATACCACCACGTTTGCGGATCCATTTCTTCACGATATGGTCCGCCCATCTCCCACCCATGAAGGTTCCCACTAGATACCCGCACCCAGGGGCGATATAGAATAGACCCGACTGAATGGGGCTGGTGAGATGAAAACGTGGGTTGAGCACGTATCGAATCGGAGTGAGTAGGGAATACTGGTTCCAGACCAGTGCACCAGCAGCCAGACCCGCGAAAAATAGATTCGGATATGAGAAGAGTAGGATGCCAACACGTAATGGGTTGACTTGGTGACATAGGTACTTTGCCTTTTGAATCGGGGTCTTAGAGGATAGGTCTGACTTGTTGAGGTGTGGGTATGTCTCTGGGAAGAAAAAGAAGACAAGCAGTGTGCCGCAGCCGCCGAGGGCAGTTTGTAGCCAAAAGACTACTCTCCAAGAGCGGAATGTGACGATGACACCCTATTGTGAAGGGTTAACGATTGAAGAATATAGTAACAGAATGTGCGAAACTTACACCGATGAATGGACCAAAAGCAGGGCCGATGAGAGTGCCGGATAGGAACCATCCCAATGCCGTGGCACGGGCTCGGGGCTCATAAATATCTCCAAGGGCAGAGCTTCCTACCACCAGGAATGACGTCCCTTGAAAGGCTGTCAAAACCCGGAAGATATAGTAGGACGGCAGGTTTGGCGCCAAAGCAGTGCCAATACTAAATACGAAGAACAGGAAAGCGCTTGCAAGGAAAATCTATCAATTGCATGTTAGCACCTAGATTCTCGATAGAGACTCCTAAAATACCGAACAATGGGGAGTATCTATTCACCGGACGTCGTCCCCACACTTGACTAAATGGGCCCCAGAACGGGGCGGAGACCCCCATAAATGCCAAGTACAAAGCATTGCTAGCATTGATGACGCTACCCGTAGTATGATAGGTCTTTGCAACTTCTGGAATACCAGAAAGAATCGACGTTGATGAAATGGGAGCCAGGAACGAACAGAAGGATAGCACAAAGACGATGACTGCTTTGCGTGCTGGCGAGAAGCGTAGGTATTGCTCGGCATCCACTTCGCGGAACTCGTCCGTGGTCACGGGCATATCATGGTGTGATAGATGGCTCTGTACGAGATGAAGTTCATTTTTTGTTTCTTGACTTTTCTGTGATTTGGAGCCTTGGTTGGTTCGTATGGCCTCCATTGGTGGCGAGGTCTCTTCGATGCTATCGAGGGAAGACCGCGAATGTGAAGTGGACATGGTTGAATACAAGGTTGACTTGCTTTATAGACGAAGATTCATGTCAATCAAGATTGCTGGGTGAATTATCCAGCATGAAATTGGAATTCTTTTCAACAGAGAATTGAATTCTTCGGTGATAGGCACGAGGGTATGTAGTGTTGTAAGGTCACCGGTGTCTTTCCGAAAACATACTCCCCAGACGGACAGTTTCCGAAGCGGGTGATATTAGAGAATGCTTCAATTGAATTGAGAGACAAGTATATTTGGAAGAAATCTCGAGATGAAATAAGAAAGAGACAATGACAGTGAGTCACAAAAGAGAAGAGAAAAAATTCAAACGCTTCGGCGTTGGTTATCTTTGGCCGAGGATCGGCGTGCTCGGGGTGGCATCCAGACCAACTCTGTATGTACAAAGTACAGTAGGGCCGGAGCAAAGAGCGATCCAGAAACCAGCCAACGGCCTAACTTGGTGATATTATTTGTTCAGCGTCCATCTGGGTACCAGAATGAAGGACTCTGTGACCAATGATTCGGGTAGAAGACCGTGGAGAACTGGCTGGGCTGGTTGGTTGCCACTCCCGACTGCCGAGATAGAGCAAGCATCGCGGAAAAGAATCCGTGCGAGCATATGGGATGTGTGCATGGGATAGCCGACCACTAGTTAGTTAGTTTCAAGGCTCGAGGATTAAAGATAACGCGGACAAGCATGATTGTATCTGTGGAGTTGGTCAGACTTGGTTTAGAGTCAACCAGTTGGTGCATGATCTTCAGTAGAAAAAACCCCTGTCAAGGGCCAACCTGATCGGGGTGGATCCATGCGCAACATTGTTTCTTGTATTCAAGGTTAAGCCCCCCCTCAAAAGAGTTGGCCAGGCACCGTCAATGACTGGCTCCACCATAGTCCAAATCTGTCAAGCGGCCGATAGAAAGTGGACGGGGAACGTGACCTGATGTGGTGCCAGTGATCTAGCAAGGTCTTGACAGATCGAGTTAACACGATATCTCATCTGTTGGTCCCAATCGAAGGCAAGTCGTAATGTACCGAGAACAGACTTCCCTCGAGAAGGTCTGTGAGTTTGGAAAGTGGCCAAGTCCCGGCGATCCCCTGGCGCCATGACGTTATCCTCTTATCCCCTCTGACCGCCAACCATCGACGACTTCTCCCCCCACCATATCTTTTTGGAGACCGACGTCAGGACCTTCCTTGTTCGACCGTTTTTGATATTCGCGAAATTCCCCCCTTATTTACAAATTTTGAATCAAATCTACTCGAACCATGTCGTCCAAGAAAGAGCCCCAGAGCCAGGTTCCTCCTCAAAGCAAGGGCTCGTGGTCAAGTTTCCTTAAGGTAAGTGCATACGTGACTCTCGACGGGATCTCGCAGGCAGCCAGACTGACGCCTATGATCGCGATAGTCAATCGCCTCCTTCAACGGCGACCTTTCCTCGTTGACTGCCCCGCCTTTTATCCTGTCGACTACATCCCTCACTGAGTATTCGGCCTATTGGGCCGAACACCCTTCCGTCTTCGTGGCGCCCGCTAAGGAGGCCGATCCCGAGAAACGTGCCCTCCTCGTGCTCAAGTGGTTCCTCACCACTCTACACCAGCAATACTGCAGCCGGAGTGAGAAGCTCGGTAGTGAGAAGAAGCCGCTGAACCCTTTCTTGGGTGAGCTTTTTATTGGCAAATGGCTTGCCGGTGCCGACGCGGAGTTGGGCGAGACCACTCTGATCAGTGAGCAAGTGAGGTAAGTTCCAAGAATTCCCTGCTGAGCCTGGCGAGGCGTAGAGTATAGCTAATCAGTATTATAATTCAATAGCCACCACCCTCCCGTTACCGCATACGCGATCCAGAACGAAAAGCATGGAGTCGAGGTAAGTTGAACAACTCCGGGTATCCGCTACATGGCCAACAAGAACCTCATCTAATTGACCCATCACTGTAGCTGCAAGGATACAACGCCCAGAAGGCCTCATTCTCAAGCACCATCCAAGTGAAGCAAATCGGCCACGCCCAGTACACCATCACTCCTCCAGGCTCCAGCGAAAAGGAGAAATACGTGATTACCCTCCCCAGCCTGCACATCGAGTCTCTTATCTACGGCACGCCCTTCGTCGAGCTGGAAAAGTCCACCAAGATTGCCAGCAGCAGCGGCTACATCGCCAAGATCGATTATTCGGGCAAGGGCTGGCTGAGCGGAAAGAAGAACACCTTCACCGCGAGCTTGTACAAGGCCAGTGAGGGCGAGAAGAAGCCTCTCTACACCGTTGACGGCCAGTGGTCGGATACCTTCACTATCAAGGATGCCCGTACCAAGGAGATCGTTGACCGCTGGGTCGTCAAGGATAACGCGACCACCCCGCTCACTCTAGCCCCGCTCGAGCAGCAGGATCTGTATGAGAGCCGTCGTGCGTGGGCAGATGTCGCCGACAACATCAAGAAGGGTGATATGGACGCTGTTTCCGGGTACAAGTCCCGTATCGAGAACGCTCAGCGTGAATTGCGCCGCGTCGAAAAGTCCGAGGGCCGGGACTGGGAGCGCCGTTTCTTCAACTGCGTTGAAGAGAAGGACGATGACCCCTTGTTCCAGCAGGCCGCAAGCTCAATTGATTATGCCGGCTGTCTCGAGGCTGATAAGACTGGCGGTATTTGGCGCTTCGACACGACACGCGCTGCGGGCGCCCAGCCACCTTATCACAAGGTTGGAGGTGAGGGACTGGGCCTTGAAGAGTAAGGAAGTACTTCTTTACCCTTTGTTGCTCCATCAAATCTAGTCAACGTCAATCGGGGAGAAGCCGATCATGATATTTTCACTTCTTTTGGATTTCTTTTTTCTATTCTGAAGGAACCGCTCTTGAATCGCGGAACCAATTGTCTTCACACATAGATTTGACCGTTGTGGGGAATTCTGGGTCCTATTGCTGCTATGTTCTTCCTAGGAATGTGTGTGATGGATGCTGCATTTCGATTGTACATAGTTTCTAGCTCATGCAAGCCTGTTTGGTTATATGCTTGTTCGAGCGGCGATAATCCTTTTTCATTCCAGCCGAGAGAAATCTGCCAGACCTATCATCAAAACAAACGAGTCCACAGGTACCTTTCGATTTGTTGTTTAAGTGGATGAACAACCATAAAGAACTGGGGAGCATTTGAGAGCCACCGAGGATCATTTATACCGCACCCAAAGCCTGTTGACAGCTACTTGGTTTACATGCCAGATTGCCAATTTCTACATCTCCGTTTGAGTATGTTATATCTATCCGTTCACTAGCCACACCTGGGCAGTATGCTAATCTGTCTTTTAACAGTCATCTGAATTCTCTCCCAACACCGAATCATTCTTCGAACAGTATCCCGCCGCCACTTCTCATCCTCAAATGAGTCATTTTCTGGAGAAGGGCAGCCAAAAAAATGCGCATATGAGCGCACAGAAGGGAATTGACCTGCGGGCTGAGCTAGTCCAACGAGTTGCTTTTAACTACGAGGATCATGAAACCGCATGGATATGGGGAAACTTCTCATTGAAGGTCTTTCTCTTGCCTATTCAAGTTGCCCATTCAGGCAGAACCGTGTATAGTACCCCGCAATTTTATAAAGTTTTGGCAGCAAAAATGGGCCGGGGTGCTAGCCTGAGTATTGCCATCTGCCGATAAAATCCGCTTGTCTCGGCAACAATTCTGGATCACTAGGTTCCTGAAACAGGGGGTCATAATCCTACCCTGGGCTTTATACTTCCACCAAACAATAACTTTGTGTCCTCTCTCTCTCTCTCTTTAGGCATGACGGCCCGCACGGGCCGGATTTTGGCTGTATGTCCGACCATTCATAGATAGTAAAGTGAGGGTAAAGTAAGTTTGTTTTAGATGCTGACTACGCTTCTTCAGGCACGGTATGCCCGGCACATTTTGGATGCGGGTCCGAGGTCCGAAGTAATATCAGAATATGATCTGACTCCCTTATAAGAAGGGTGTGTTCTCTTAGACAAATCATGTACAGTTGAGGACAAGCAAAGTCATCGATTTAATCATGTTTTTTGCTACTGTTGTCTTCACTCTGGTTAGTGGAGTAGCAGCCCAGTCTGCTTGTGCTTCTACTTGGTATGATCTATGATTCGTATGCTTCATGGCTACGTGATGTCTAACAGTTCGCAGGGCCCAATGTGGTGGAAGTAATTACAATGGAGCAACCTGCTGTGTTAGTGGAAACACCTGCTCTTCTATAAATCCATACTATTTTCAGTGTATCCCAAGCACTCAGGTCAGTCGCTCCGGAGACGCTTCCCACCGTATTATTCCTGGGTTGCTTATTCTAGAAGGTATCGGGATCTAGTTCTACAACCTCTAGCACTAAAATCTCTGGCACTATCACTACGACCTCTACTCAAGGAGTGACTACTACTCACGCAGTGACTGGGACTTCCAAGTACACGACAAGCACTTCTTATCCCGCAGCAACTGCTACACAGCCAGCATACCCCTCTGTAGATGCTAGCTCCTGTGGAGCGTGGACCCTCGTTGACAATGCTTGTTGTCCGTCTTACTGTCTATCCAATAACGAATCAGAGTCCTGTACTAGCAGCTGCTCGGGTGGGTGTGGATCTCCGCCCTCGTCAATGTGCAAGTCTGGCACTATGTGTAAGATCTCATTCCACTTTTTATGATCACATTCACCCTCAAGCCTGACTTATATTGGGAACAGGGGGAGAACAAACTACAGTGGGAACAAATGAAGCTTGGCACTACAGTGTAAGTACGGCTAATTTCTAGTATACTTCAGGGCCCATGCTAATAAACACATAAACACAGCGCTCAACACATTTTGGTCTTACCAGCGGAGGTGCTTGCGGTTTTGGGCTTTATGGTCTCTGCACCAAAGGCAGTACCACCGCAAGCTGGACAGACCCAATGCTCGGCTCGACTTGTGATGCATTCTGTACCGCATATCCGCTCCTATGCAAGGATCCCTCAAATGTCACCCTAAGAGGAAACTTTGCGGCGCCAAATGGTGACTATTATACCCAGGTATTTCATACAACCCATCTATAGCACTAACTCAGTGCCGTATTTTTATACGTCCTCAATCACTAATTTATATGCCTAGTTCTGGCCTTCATTAAGCGCCGGTGCACCAGGCGATCCGGACAACTATCTTTCGTGCGGAGAATGCTTTGAACTCATCCGCACCAAGGCTGATGGAACTGACTACGCGGTTGGAGAGGCTGGATACACTGACCCAATCTACTTGGAGATCGTGGACAGCTGTCCCTGCAGTGCTAATTCCAAGTGGTGCTGTAGGTGCCCTTCTCAATGGTAATACCCACGGAAAAGAAATCTTTGCTGACATCTCATCACAGGCGGTTCTGGTGCTGACCACTGCGGCGAAATCAACTTCAAATACGGCTGCCCCCTCCCCAAGGATAGTCATCATATGGACCTGTCTGACATTGCAATGGGCCGCTTGCAAGGTAACGGTAGTCTGACTGACGGTGTAATTCCCACTCGCTACCGACGTGTACCTTGCCCCAAGCCCGGAAATGCATATGTGTGGTTGCGAGACGGTGGCGGTGCGTACTATTTTGCTCTAAGTGTAGTCAATACGAACGGGGTTGGGTCGGTCACTGCCGTCGAGGTTAAGAGCGCCGATTCGAGTACCTGGGTTGCGCTTGAGCACGATCCAAACTACACCAGCAGTCGGCCTCAGGAGCGATATGGTGCTTGGGTTCTGCCCCATGGTGCTGGGCCGTTCGCACTACCCGTTGGTATCCGAGTTACATCCCCAGACGGACAGCAGATTGTGAACGAGGCGGCTATCTCAACCTTTACGGCGCCAGCTACCTCGGTCGCGGGATTCTACTATATTGACCTTGGCGTGCAATTTACTTAGTATATGCAGACGTTGGAGGCGACAAGCACTGTTGGCGTATCTGGTTCGCTTGTCTGTCTCGAGAATCGATGCTAAGTGAAACCCTGCAGTCTTTAGGATATCCCTTACAGCAAGAACCAAACTATCATTTGATAGAAGATCCTCTGATGTTGCCTGTTTTCAAAACTCATTCCATATTCAGTAGAGGTATCCAACATAGTAGATCCGGCCTCACATAGGTGATTATTTAACTTATTCACGGACCCTTCGGAGTACTAGTCCGGATATTATTCCTAGGATTTGACAAATAAAAAGGGATTCATCCCATGTACGGGGTATCTAGTGTCAACCTTAGCACAGCGGGGCTTGAGGGGTCAACCCGTGCCGAAGTTAAAATCTCATATTTTCCGGACTAAATTCTCTCTTGCATGAATTGGATTGTCAAGGATTAAAATCCTATCAGGGCTAGCCAAATTCAAGCGGCTAAAGTAATTCACCCTTTGCCGGGTCGACCTCGGAAGTAGTAATGAATCTTCAATCCGTCTCATCAATCTTCCAAACTAGTGTACGGTACTAAAAGCCGAGATCAATAATAGCCTTAACATTCGAGCTTGGCTAAGGCTAATTGCACGACAACCTATGCTTTCGCACGATAGACTATACCCTTGGCCGATATGGCGGATAATCAATAGACACGTTAAAACTACTGAACATTTGCTTCTTGATCACATAGCGCATCACCTTTGATCGACTCTATCAACATTTGAAGGCTCACCTCCCCGTATGTTCTCGCCTCGGATCCTGCCCTTTATCCATCACAACACTTAGTTCACTTCTCATCAATGCACCAGGATCGCAAAACTACCACCACCACCACCATAGCCGTGGCCGCCGTTTCCGCTAGACCCTCGTTTCCGACACAATGAACGATGTGAGTAAATTAGACTTTCCCTGCGCCAGCGATTTCCCACCTGCGGCAACCTTAAAAGTCTAGGCAATACATACTGTAATATTTTTCTCCTGCCTACCGCAACATTCCCTTTCTTCAACATCCTGATTCTACAGCCTTCTTACAACAATGTCGTCCCCGCCCTCGCACTGGTTTCCCCAAGGAATAGACCCTGGCACAATCATCACCCTAGATCAACCTGTCCCTTCGCGGTGGAAGATCCTCGAGAAGCTCAATGAGCGTGACTTCCAGGCTAGTGAAGAAATGCGTCGTCGTCACGACTGTTACTCTTACGCTACGGCTAGACTCCTCTGTTGCGATCCAAAGAAGCCCTCCAGGAAAGCCTTCATGCGAGTTTATCTTCAGGTTCCTATCAAGTACACTGAGATACAAGACCCGAAGACCAGATCCCGCCAGGCCACAACATACACGCCCCCAGAGTTAACTGCCTATCAGGAGTTTACTCGGCAGGATTTCAGAAATGCGCCAAAGCTCCTAGGATACATGGTCAGCACTCAAGATAAGCCAGGGCCGGTCCCAAACGGGTTTGCGATCTGGCTGGCGTGGGAAATGGTCCCAGGTCTACGCCTCGGTGACAAGCTTGGGAATGATCCATACTGGACTCTGTCCGCTGCTGAGAGGGAGCGTGTCCGTATGGCCTTTATGACGGATCTTCCGTATGTCGATCCTCCCGTTTCTTGATCATGCTAACGATAAATTTAGTCGGGCGGTCGCGAAAGGGTTTGGACCTCACGTGGTCAGTCTCTCTAGATTAGTCTGGCACAGTCAAACAGGCACCCTGTATGTCTATTACATGTTGTGTTTCATGTCAAATAAGTGGACTAACATTTCCATTCTCTTCAGTTACTTCATCGATTACTTCTACGGCATCAACGACGCGCCTAAAGACCCGAGCAAGATCAAGATCGGTCTTGAGGCCCTAGCACGCTATGGCCTCGCGAAACCCTCTTCGAATGAATGGCTGAACAAAGATTGGAATGGGGATACCACAGGCTGGAAAATGTAGAGGGGGAGTCCATCTAGCACATCGCTTTCTAGCTTCATCATTGTTCTTAACAAAGGCTCTTCTCGAATCCAAAATGAATATGGCTCGCTAGTACCGGTAGCGACTATTCCATAGAGGACAAAACCTTCCTATTGTGGTGATATCCAGCACCTCAAGATATTCATAATACTACTGAATCATAGATTAGTATGTAATAATCTTTACGTTTGCAGCCCGAATAGATTTTCATGCTAGCAGTAACGACATTAAACGATAGACCATAGAGAAACTTTAGCTATTGAAAACGACGGTTCAAGAGGCATTTACAAGTCTTTCACAAAAGAGAAACTTAAACTATACTTAGTTAAGCCGTTTCTTTAGTCTAGATGTCGAGTTGCCAGATGTACCTATTATCTACTACATCCAAAGGAGCATAGCGCGTCGTGCAATTAGGCTCAGCCTAAATCTACAATGCGGGGTAGGTACCTTCTAACTAGATCTATCCGACAATTCTTTACGGGTACTAGAATAGCCAGATATGGTCCTGGAATATCTGATTTGTATAGGTGCGTACATAACTCATCACACTTTTAGCCGTTAGCCGACCCCGTAGAACCCACCCAAGCAGTGTCCATCACGATCTCCCTCTCGACCCGATCCAGCGCAACCACCATAAAGATATTGCAACACGGCGAAAGGACAGAGAATGATAATGATAAATAAACAGGGCATCGCATCAGAGAAACATAAACCCCCCATTTTCACATAATGACACCCCCGGACCCAAATTGACACCCGTGAGCTAGGTTTGGAAGAAACAGGAACAGAAAAAGCGGGGACAAGAGGAAATAGAGAAAATAGTAAAAGGAGAAGAAAAGACATCATCCCGAAGGAGAATTGGTGGATTTAATACAGACAACATCGGAGGATGTAGTGGGAGCAAAAAAAGAGGAGAGGGAGGAACAGATGGTAAGAAAAGCAAGACGCGAAAAATGAAGAAAAGACCAGGAAATGGCAAAAAAGAAAACGCGAAGACCTCAATTCCCAAGCCCAGCCCAAAGCTCCCAGAAGAGAGAAGAGATTACACAAATGTTGAGGAAGGAAAAGATGATGAGAAATTTCAGGGGTTGCTTGTCATGATTTGCTCTTGTCTTGCTCATCTCAAACGATTTTGTAAGGAATGTGATCATCCTGTCTGGATGATGTTGAAGACAAGACAAAAGAAACCCACATACCTCCCCTTTTTCTTCTCATTTCACCTGCAAATGCAACGCCATATGTGTGTTTGTGATAGGCGGGGAAAGGTACAGCATAGAACAATGGAGATTCTCCTCAGCTCTAGTGGCCGTAGTTACCACCCCAGCCACCGTTGCCGCGGCCAGTGTTGTTGCCGTAGTAGTTGCCGAAGCCAGCACCGTAGTTACCATAACCGGTCTGCTGCTGCTGCTGCTGCTGCTGCTGCTGCTGCTGGTGAGTCTGCGAGGCAGCACCCTGGTGGCCGCCAAGACCACCGAGGCCACCATACTGAGGGTTCAGGTGAGGGTAGCCGCTGAAGCCCTGCTGGCCCTGCTGGCCCTGCAGAGGGGGGAGGCCAGACTGGGTCTGAGCTTGACCAGGGGTGTTGGTGGCAGAGCCGGGGCGGTTAGCCTGGGCGAGGGACGGGGAGGGACCACCAGTCTTGGACGCGTCGAATCCCTTAGATTCTTCAGCGGTCACTGGGGGTTGACCAGCAACGGGAGGGTTCTGGCCAAAGCCAGCCTGGGACCGTCCGAAGACGTCCGACATTCCGCTGCTAAAGGCATTGGAGCCAGCAGCGGTCTGCTGGGTGTCGGAAGGCTGGGCGGAGCCAGTGCGGCCGTACACAGAGTCGCGACCAGGTGCGGTTTGGTTGAAGCTACTGGCAGCAGCGTTCGCGGGGGAGGAGGAGTGGTCGTAGGAGAAACCATGGGGCTGACCGTACATACCGCCCTTGGCACCAGCAGCAGCACCGGCGTAGGGACCGTACTGGTTGCCGTAGCCGTACTGGGAGGTGTGAGGCATGCCGTAGTGTTGCTGCTCATCATAACGGCGGGCATCATCGTAAGGACGACCAGAGCGGCCGTAGGCAGCACCGGCGTGCTGACCCATCTGGTTCATGTACGAAGCGTAATGAGGGTTGGAGTAGTAAGGGTAGCCGTAGCCGTAGCCGTGGGCACTCTGCTGACCAGGCATGTGCTGAGCAGCGGGGGTCTGAGTAGCACCAGGCAGAGTCGGGTTAGGGGTGTTGTGACCACTGTTGGTGGCATCAACAGGACCGTAGCGGCCAGCAGGCTGAGTGGTGGGGATCTGGGGCTGGGCCTCAGCAGCAGAGACACCGCCGAAACCAGCACCGCGGGGACCGGCATTGGCATCCTGGGACTGGCCGTAGCTGCCGTAGTAGTTGTAGGGGAAGCGCTGCTGGTCAACAGCATAGAAGGGAGAGTATTCGCTGCCAGTGGTGGCAGTAGGCTGAGCCGGGGCCTGGTTGGCGAAGGGCTCTTGGATCTGCGGCTGGGGCTGGCCGACTTGCTGGGTGAAGGGGTCGAAGGGCTTCTGGGTCTCGGAGGAGTAGCGAGCGAAGTCGTTGAAGGTCTCGGCGGAGGCTTGGGGAACGGGAGGAAGACCGGGGGCGGGGCGAGTCTCGCCGGCACCCTGGGTCACAGGAGGAAGGGAGGCACGAGGAGCAACGGGGGAGTGCTGAGGAGGTTGAGCGCGGGTCTCGGCCTCCTCACGGTTCTCATCAATGTCCACAGCGTCACCGTTCAGGCCCATGCTACCAAACTGGACGGCGGCACGGTCCACAGCATGGTTGCCGGGCATGACAACAGCCTGCTGCTGCTCCATCACACGACGCTGGAAGCCGGGAGCACGGCTGCTCTGCTTCAATCCGCTACCGGGGAGGGCGCTGGGGGGCGCACGGGAAGGAGTAGCAGCCGCCGCAGCGGCGGGGTCAAAGGCGCTACCGACAGTGCTGGCAGCAGTTGCAGTGGGCGCAGGAGCGGAAACATCGGGAATCTGTTCGAGGTTGGTCTCGGTCAAGTCATCCTTGGGAGCCTTGACGGTGGTCTGGGGAATGACAGGAATGGTCACTTCGGCGGGCTTGGCGACGGGTGTCTTCTGTGCGGCGGCGGGGACGGGGACGGGGACGGGGACAGGAGCGGGAGCGGGTTCGGGGGCCTTTTGCTGCTCAACAACAGGCTCTTCAGGCTCTTCGGGGGCAGGAGCAGGAGCGGGCTCGGGCGCCTTCTTTGGCTGGGGTGGAGGAGGAGGGGGTTTGGCGAAGAGGCTGGCCCATCCCTTCTTTGTGCCCTCGGGGATCACGCTGGTCTTGGGATCAGTCGGCTCTGAAGCTGCCACGGTGGGCTCGCTCTCAACTTCTCCCCAAGCAGCAGTTGAGGGCTCAGCGACTGGAGCAACAGTAGAGGCTGAGACCTCTGCAGGGCGGGAGCCGTTCGTGACCTGGGCACCAGCCCGTCCACCGCGACCGCCACGACCACGATCTCCACGAGCGCGACCACGACCCTCGAAGCCACCGCGACCACGGCCTCCACGAGCAGAAGCTGCAGCAATATCGGTGGGGGTGCTCTGGACATCCTTGGGCTTGGGCCGAGTTCGGTCTGTGGTCTTCTTCTTGACCTCACCCCACTGCGACACGTTGCCTACATCAAAGAATCATCGGTCAGTATGTAAGACCCTTTGGAATCAAGGGGTAAAGAAACGAGCGCTATGGGATAGATGAGGAGATGTAGAGAGATACCGACCTTCGGTGATGCGCTCAATGGCTTCCTCGATCTCGCCATTGGAGTCCTCGAGTGCAAACACGAGATCCTCATCCTTCCAGTCGGGGAACAGCTCCTTGAGAGTGGGCAGAGCATCGGAGTATTTCTTCTTCATCTGTCCAATTTCACCCTCATCGAATGGGGCCAGGTCTGGGTTGTCGGTGTTTGCGGCTCTGCTGTTTCCACCACGGCCACCTCTGGAGCTATAACCACCACGGCCACCGCGGGTGGATACTCTGCCGCGCGCAGACGACCGGCTCTGAACTTCGGACATTGTGATAGATGGATGTGTGAGATGGAAAAATCGAAACGGGGAAGGAGGTCACGATGGTCGCAAGGGTTTCGTGGTAAGGGAGGGAAGGATCTGAATTGGAAACGAGTCGGGATGCAACCTCGCAAAAGAGGAACGGCACCAAGACCACAAGCGGGCCAGAAAGAAATCCAGAGACGCCTGGTAAAGAGAAGCGATAATGGGGGGAGGGGAGGGGGAGGAGAGAACAGCAGTTGAATGGAGATGGTAAAAGCTAAGGTTCTGATGTGTTGCTCGCAGTCACAGCTGGTCTTGGCACCGCCTGGCTTTTTAGCGAGTGGCGCCTATTGGGTCGATTCCCTCTTTGGCCTTAATCTCTCCCCCATCTTTCCCATGATCTTTAAAAAAGCACGGGGTAGATCTAAATCAATTATACTTGATCGTGGACTCAAAGATTCCCAGCCACAATCTATACTTCTCTTTTCTTTCTCGTGAATCCTACTCTTTTCTTTGTCAATTCGTCGAGTCTTTTTTCGTGCTTGCCTGGTCTCCTCGTCATCCACTTCGGGCACCCTCACCGCCCACCCCTCGCGGCGATCTCCCTTTAACGATTCCCTCCCCGTGCATTATACGCCATACTCACGGCTAGATTGGGACTCACCGACACCGCAACCATGAAGGGCACCGCGATTTTCCAATTCAAAACATGGCCGAAGATTCATCAGCCACTACCTCGAACTCCACGCCAGTCCCAGCAACTGCTCAACGCCCTCACCTCTTCCTTTCGACGCCAGCTGGACCACGCGTATCCGGCCCCCAGCAGTTCCAACCCCAATAGCGATCGACAGCCCTTGAATACCAACTCATCCATCCATGCAACCGATCAACACCTGCATGCGATCCTGGATAACCCTTTGTTCCGCATTGTGCCGCAGAAGACCAAGTCAACCTCTCGTGATCATGCCACCACAGCAACCATCAATGAGTCCAAGCAGGCAGTTCAGGATCCCATGGTTCTCTTCGATCAGGCTGTCGCCTCGGGTTCTGCCACACCTTCTTTCATCACAGACTGTCTCAAGTCACAACTACTTCTTGCTCGGTCATTCGGTGAACATGGAGTGCGAGATGCCATGAAGATCACTCGAGCGGGCTCGAAAGTGGTTGAGTGGTTCTGGGCTTCAGACGGCGCTTCTAGGCAGATGTTGTTACAGACTCGGGCGTCGACAGGCTCTCTGACCAAATTCATGGTCGCGGAAGATCTGCAAGATACCGTGATGGAGTGGATGAAAATGCTTGTGAGCGGCAATCTGGGGGGTCTCAATGGCCAGATGCCTGAAGACCGAGCTCGCATGTCCTTCAATCATCTTCTCCAAGATCTGATTGATGCCGAAATTCGCTACGGAGCCGGACTCGGATCGGCTATCAAGTACTACCTGCGTGCATGCCATCTGCATTTTTCCTCTGTAGAATCGCAGGGTGATTTGAAGGTCGCCAAGTCGATGTTGCTCGCATCCGGGGCTCAATTAGCTCGCACGCTCATGGACCAAAAGCCCTCCAGCGATCAGATTCCTGTTCATACTTTTGAAGAGTTTGCCGAGACCATCTCGACTTTGTCGTCCTCTCGGTCCTTATTGTTCTCGTCCGTGGCCCTATGCCACCCCACCCACCCGGACCCAACTCCGTTCATTCATTATGTGGACAGTTTGTCTCCCAACAAGTTTCAGAAATGGAACCAGGCCCGGCGGGATGCCTTCCTTCGGATCAGCTGTGACGCGCTTCGCACGCTGATTGACCGCAAGAAAATCCGCCTTGCGACCAGCCTGGGACACCAGATTCAAGAACTGCTTCCCGAAGAGACTGCCACTGCGAGTGTTGAAGCGTCTCGCTCTCGCGCTACTGTCGAAGAGGATCATCTCTTGCAACGCCTGGAGTTGAATTGGACATGATGAATTTTGTGTCAATCTTGCCACTTTCAACATCCATTTATATCTAGGTCTTGAATCGGTCGTTTGCCAACATACATCTCGGCACATCAGACTTTTTTGGATTATTTATCTTCTAGGCAGCATTGGTCTTGCCTCACCCCTCGGCAGGTCTACGTCTCTTCACATATTATTGGGAACAAAATCCAGTATTACCACTCTTTTCGAAACACGAAGAGGCCCAAGAACGACGATCAGTGCCTGGGATTTCCCCTACTTCTCGGAGAACGGCGGTGCGATGACGATATTCGCATCAGGTACTCCGCATTACTCCACCGAGGCTTTCCATTATTAAGATCTGAGTACATAATCGGCGCCCGGTCTTGGCATTGCTTACATAATGCTGGGTGCCCCGAGCCCGCTTTCCAGCGGCTCGGGGCTACTCAATGTGGAGGGAAACGGAAATTTGTAGGGCAACCGCGAATGGGGGGTTTTTGGTTGAGGTTTGAGGGGATTTCTCCATCGTGTGACAGCCAGCCACTGCAAGCTGGAGAGGAGGGTTGCAGAGGGGGGCGAATCGGTCCAGTTTGTGGATGAATGGGGTTAGCGTGACCAGCTGCTCTTAGTAAACGTCACCGCGCAACCTCACACCTCGAACCTCCCTCGAATTCAATCAACTTCATTCCATTCATTCTGCCTTCTCTAGTAAATCCTCTATCTAGTCTGAACAGCAGTCGCATTCCCTTTGCGATCCCATTCCTCCCTCGTGAACCCTCCAGCTTTGAAAAGCACGTGCCCTTGTCTGACATCATCGATTCACTATGGCCACCGAGGGCTTTCCAGAAAAGAACGCTCCCCCAGCACCAGGTATGTTCTAGGGAGCTATCACGGTACCCTCGCAGGTGAATTGGACTCTTTGTACTTGTCCAGCTTCGCCCATCCATCCGGATGAGAGCACACCAACACCCGCTACTTTCTTGTCTGCCAACTATATATGCTGACTAAGATCCAGCTGCTGTCGCGCCAGCGCCTCCGAAAATCAGCGAGCCCCCTCAGCCAATTCACAATGTGTTGAACACTTGTCAGACGGATACCGAGTCTGTTGAAGCCGAGAAAGCCCATCTCGGCACTGGGATCGAGCTCCCGGAAGCTCCCAAGCCCGTGCAGAGCACGCATGGTCCCAATGGCCCGACCTCAAATCACCCGCTAGGCCGCTCCGTTGCAGCTTCTGAGCCCGAAGTCACGGTAGTAGGTCATCAAGCCCCAGAGCCCGCAACGGTAGTCCCACCGCCTGTCACAGAAGCGCCAAAGCCTGCCGAGGAACCCACTCAGCCCGCGGAGGAAGCTCCAAAGCCAACCACGCAAGAGCCACAAATTGGTGAGAAGCGTGACCTTGATTCTATGGTGACTCAAGCGCCTGCTGAAGGAAAGCCACCTGCACCTGAGCCTACCGCTGAGAAGGTTGATGGGCCTGAGAGCAAGAAGCAAAAGACAGAACAGGAGCCCACCAAGGACACCAATGGTACTGCACCTGCTCCAACCAGCACAACTACAGCTCCTGCAGCTGCGGCCCCCGAGGAACCAAAGAAGGCTGTCCCCTCCAAGAAGGAGAAGATCAAAGAGGCTGTGAAGAAGATCATCCCGACCGATGGACCCGGCAGTCGCACTCGTAGCCGCACCAAGGATACCTAAGGATTGAGGGAAGTGCAGGTTATGCTCCAGTCTTATCTCTGTCTGTAACTGGGTTTCATTGGTTGCACCGCAAAGGTTCCTGATTTGAATATGCTGGTTGCAATGCAAACGCTATGATGCACCGGAAATTCTTCAAGGTTATCTGATGACTATTAGGTTAATCAAAAATATTTCTTACACGACTGCCTAGACTACTCAGTAGATAAAATGTTTTTCCGGATATGTCTCCCCTCTCAATTGTTAACAGGCCCCATCAACTCGATGCAATTATCTGTACCAACAGTATTTCGTATTCACTACTTATACTTCATGCAATGCCCTAAATCACCCGATGTGCTCAAGCGGGGCCGATCATCGGGGGCTGACTCATTTTGCCCCGGAACGGAACAACCACCCCCGCTATCAGGGTGTGTGTCATTGGTGATAGAATATCATTCCCAGCTGCTTTGCTTTCCCTAGTTTTATCTTTTTATTCCATTGACCTCCAATTCCCCTACAATCACAATGGCTGGACAGAAGATTTGGCTGCGTGCTGAGACCAAGCCCGCAGAGGCTCGGTCTGCTTGTAAGTGCCGACTGCCCCTCCCCCACATTAATTGAACGGTGAGGTTGACTCATAGCTTGTGATTCGCAGTGACCCCGACCACCTGCAAGGCATTGATCGATGCTGGATATGATGTGACTGTTGAGCGGTCTACCCAGCGTATCTTTGATGGTTTGTTCATTCCTCCGAATAAGAATTGTACAGAAATGGGACTAACAGATTCTTGATAGATGACGAGTTCGCCAAGGTTTGCCCGCTCTCGCCCTCTTACCTTCCTATAAAGATCCACAGAGGTCCTAACAACCGTCAATGGCATTAGATTGGAGCCCCCCTTGTTGAGGAGGGCTCATGGGTCAAGGATGCGCCCAAGGATGCCGTTATCCTGGGTCTCAAGGAGCTGCCCGAGGATGATTTCCCTCTGGAGCATGTCCACGTCACTTTTGCCCATTGCTTCAAGCAGCAGGGTGGCTGGGAGAATGTTCTGAGCCGCTGGCCTCGTGGTAAGGGTCTCCTGCTGGACCTGGAGTTCCTCACCGACGAGTCTGGTCGCCGTGTTGCTGCCTTCGGTTTCTCCGCTGGCTATGCTGGCTCTGCTCTGGCTATCAAGAACTGGGCCTGGCAATTGACTCACCCCGAGGGTGAGCCCCTCCCCGGTGAGGTTCCTTATGCCAACCAGGACCTCCTCATTGCTTCCGTGAAGGAGAGCGTTGAGGCTGGTAAGAAGATTGCTGGTCACTACCCTACCATCCTTGTCATTGGAGCGGTGAGTACTTCCTTATACTCTATCAGGGGCGTGCGCTTATAGATATTTTTTAGCTGGGACGCTGTGGCAAGGGTGCTGTTCAGTTGGCTAAGGATGTTGGTGTTCCCGAGTCCAACATCATCCAGTGGGATATGGCCGAGACCGCCAAGGGTGAGTTTTTTTTGCAACCAAACATATCTAGAAAGGGCTTGTTGACTGACTGATACCCGTAGGTGGTCCCTTCAATGAGATTATCGAGAGCGACATCTTCGTCAAGTCAGTACCTCCATATTAATTTGACTTTTACTGTGGTAACTAATATTGCCCTCCAGCTGCATCTACTTGAGCTCTCCTATCGCTCCCTTCGTCAACGTCGAGACCCTGTCCTCTCCCAAGCGGGCTCTCTCCGTCGTCTGCGACGTTAGCGCCGACACGTAAGTTATTCTCATATCCGGCGGTGCTCACGGAAATCACTACTAACAAAATTCAAACAGCACCAACCCTCACAACCCTATCCCCATCTACGACATCACCACCACCTTCGATAAGCCTACCGTGCCCGTCAAGCTGCCCGCTGACACCCAGGGCCCTCCTCTGAGCGTCATCAGCATTGACCACCTGCCCTCTCTGCTCCCCCGTGAGAGCTCCGAGCAGTTCAGCCAGGCTCTTCTGCCCAGTCTCTTGCAGCTCAAGGACCGCAGCACTGCCCGTGTTTGGACCGATGCTGAGGCCCTGTTCAACGAGAAGGTTGCTACTCTGCCCGCTTCGCTGCGCCCTTAGATAGGCGGTTCAATTGTAATGAGTGGTAATATTAAGAGATATGACTTGATGGCACATTGATAGAATTTGGATTTGAATTGAAAACGAGAAGCAGGGAATGCTATAAAAGTTGTTGCATGTCCACATAGTATGTTTCGAGAATACCATGCCTGTTGCCGCGATCCATATGAAATTATCCCAGAGGTTATTTGTATTTCCTTTGAAATTCGGCAGTCAATGGATTGTATCTATAATCTTATTGTTATACGGTAGATAAAGTAACATCACCGGGTGTTGTCCTGTTGGGCCCAGCTGGGAGTCATATGCACTCTTATAGCACGTAGTGTAGGACAAGGTACTTGGTTCGAATCAATATTCAGAACCAGAAAATATTGTATTTAAAGCATTGGGAATTCTCCCGCTCACTCTTTCATCTCATCCATTTTTCCTTTGAAATATGCAATCTGCAAACTGTTGTACGGATATGCTATTTTCAACACACCATTGGTGGTGGCTATCGCTAGACAACACCAACAGGTACAAAGCACCAGATCGAAGCCCCTCCACAACTTCTCCCGCATTTTACCCGATACCAACCCTTCCTTCCAGTCTTCCAGACCACTCGGCGTAACCGCAACCGTCTCCTTGGGGTGTCGCCCTATCGAGCGCAATGCGGGGTCTCTCATCTCCCACGGACATCCGGAGGATCCGTCGCGGGGAGATGACTTAATGCAACGGCGTCTTGGCCCAAGAAAATGCCCCGGCCTCTGTCCTTACCATTGGGCGAGGGAACCCCAATTCCAAACAGCCCGAAGAGCGCAGCCTAGCAGGACATGAACCAGTAGGCTCTGGCTGTCTCTCTGTCCGTCTCTGCATATTGCTGTGTCGGTGTCGAAATTCGCTGAATTGACCGGTCGGAGTTTGCCCCGTTTGGCTCTGCGAAATTCCACCGGAGGACACTGTTGCGTTCTTCAGGCGATTGCGTTCCCCATTCTCTTTCTCCGCATGAACCCTTCGGTCCACTCTCCCCTCTTCCCCAGCCGAAACCCGCTCCAACTAGCAGAATTCTTCACGACTGGTGCTGAGCCACGATACTCTAGCGGAAGGCATCAGGAATCACTTACCGCCTCTCCTCACTTCTCATATCGATCTATCGGGCGCCTTTCCTCGCCACTTTCACAACCAATCCGAGAATGGGGCGCTGAATACGCTGAGCTGACCTGCCTCGAGAACATCACCTACACCACGAGCCTCTTCCTCCCCCTCCGCACCTCGCCCACAGCAATTCCAATGCAGGAAAAGCCGAGCACGGTTGCGGCCTACGCGGCCGGGGCCTCACTCGCCGCCGTCGCTTTATTCTATGTCTTCGGCCCGAATTACACAATCGATGGGGACGAGTCCAGCGACAGTAACCGGAAAAAGAGCATTGTGGGATTGTCAAACCTGGCCAATGATTGCTTCATCAATTCGGTGCTGCAGGCTCTGGCAGGTCTGGGAGACCTTCGAGTGTATTTGATCCGCGAGCTACACCGGCGCGATCTGGACGGCCCAGAGATCTACAACGCGGTGCCGAGCCCGGATGAGCTATCGCGCGCTGAGCGGCCGGATAAATTGCGGGAGCTGCAGCAGGGCATTATTACACGGGCATTGAAGGAGATGCTGGACCGGTTGAACGAGCGCCCGATTTATAAGAAGATCATCTCGGCGCGCGGTTTTATCCAGGCATTGGAGTTCGCGTTCCGCACGCGCATCAGCCGCAACCAACAAGATGCGCAGGAATTTCTCCAAATCGTCCTGGAGCGGCTATGTGATGAGTATCATGCTGGAGTGCGCGCCAGGCAACGCGCGCTCGGTCCCATTGCCACACCGGCTGGCTCGGGCACGGCTGTGGAGGCCTCGGTGGATGAAAATGCGGCCTCGGTGGAAGTCCGCATTGACGACGGATCATCCAACGGTCTGCCTGCAATTATCGACAACAAGTTGAAAGAAATTGACAGTGAAGCTGGATTCCCGTTCGAGGGCAAGTTGGAATCGCAGATCGTGTGCCAGCATTGCCAATATCAGTATAAGCCGAATCAGACGGCTTTCGTCAACCTGACTCTGCAGGTGCCACAGAAGAGCTCTGCTACGCTCAATTCGTGTTTTGACGGTCTTTTGAAGACCGAGTACATTGATGACTTTCGATGCGACCGGTGCCGTCTGCAACACGCGATTGAACTCAAGACGCAAGAGAAATCCCGAGCCTATTCTCAAAATGAAAAAGACCGACTTGACGGGGAAATCGCGCGTATCCAAGAGGCATTGGAGTCGGACCCCGAGAGTGAGCTAGAAGGCATTGTGATGCCACCAGCAGACCTCGCGCCGAAGCGAAAGATTGCCCGCCACATGCGCATCGTGTCCTTCCCAAAGGTCATTGCGATTCACCTTTCGCGCTCGATCTATGACCGCAATAGTTCCACTAAGAATGCGGCCAAGGTATCATTCCCTGAACGGCTACCCTTGGGTGGAATCTTGAACCAGACATGGTACAAGCTGCTCGCAATCGTATGTCACAAGGGCAGCCATCACAGTGGTCACTACGAGTCCTTCCGACGCAATCATCTTTACGCACCATTCTCGACCCCCGAGGCCTTCAGTTCCTATGCCCAGAGCCGCGTTGCGAGCGAGACCCCATCGGTGGCTCCTAGTCCCCAACTCGCGCCCCGAAGTACCCCAGATATCGACGTGGAAGGCGAAAGCAGCAATCTCTCATCAACGCCCTCATCCACCTCCCTATCAAATGTATCCCCGGTCTCACAATTGACCCCTCCCATGCCCCGTCCGGCAACCTCCAGCTCTCGCCGCTCTATCCACAGTACCAACTCCCGGTCCTCCACGCCTCAACCCACCTCCGGATCAGACAGCAACCATAGCCCAACTCCGGACCAAGGGCGATTCAGTACCTCATCTGCTCCCCGTCCATCACGTACTATCCCTCGATCCTCGGGGGAAGCCATCTCGGGCGTGAGCTCACGGCTTCGACGCCGACGCCAGCCGAATGATCGCTGGTGGCGGATCTCGGATGAGAAGGTCAAGGAGTGCAAGACTTCGGACGTGCTGGGCATGCAAAAGGAAGTTTATCTGCTCTTCTACGAGATGGAGCGGGCTGATTCGAGCCGTGCGGCTGCCGTTGGGCGGCTGTGATTTGCAGTTTCTGTTGTTTTTTTTTTCTCGTTGTAGATGACCCTGTCAAGTACATAAACTCTTGGAAATTCTTGTGTATAGGGGGATGAGTTGGGTAGAAAAGCGATATGCTGCAAAGGGCCATTTGTTGATATATGGTTGGCGCTCATAGAGGAATTGCTTGTGTGGTGAATGTACTGGTTGGTCATGAATTGAGGTATGTATGTACTGGTAAAGGCATGTGTACACTCAGTTGCATGATCTCTTGGAGAAAATCGTTCTAGCACCCCAATCCCATGAACAAGTTTGTCATACATACTTTGCTGGCTGATGCACATCCGGTTGCACTCGATAGAAGTGGGGGCATCATGTCATGTGCCACTCCGTGACTAAGAGATTTCCTTGAGGAACAACCGCTGTAGGCGGGAAACGAAGCTCTCCGATGTACTTGGAGATGGTAGTATAGTAGCTGACTATAGACGATTTGAACTACTTCGCTGGAGTTAGTAGTCCCCGTCCCAGAAAGGGATCTTGAATCCCTTTAAGAGTTGAACATCTAGACCTCCAGCATCCACCGTACCGTAAACCGGAGGATTCCAAACGCGCCCGTGTTGAAGCGAAGCACGGCGAATGGCCTCGAATTCCTCGGCACCCCGCTGGCGGACGAACAAATTACGGAGAAGACGGGAGGAGCCTGGATCAATTCTTTGCAGTGCAGAGGTCGATCGGGATTGGTGCTAGGATAGCTATCAAGCTCGAGGTAGTTTTTCCGGATACTATATACCATCGAATCCCTCGAAGAATTGCTGGTTGCTGGACCGCTAGATACTCTGTTGCTTCCCGAAGAATGTGGTCGGGTTGGGTGGAAATACCCCGCCAGCGGGAGCTTTTGCGAAAGGTTCGAAGATTCGAGTCCCGTTTCACAGTTGGACTTGTGTTATTATTTAGAGCCGAACGGCAAGGAGCATCGGGCTATCACGGAGAGAGTCGGAGAGGAGAGAGCTGGAGTGGACTCTGGGGACTTGTAACCTGCCACTACATATACTTCCTTAGACCCCTCTTTCGTCTCTCTCTTGAAGAAACCACCAAAAAGTGCATTAGATCATCACTCCCGCTGATTTCATCGTGACCTCAGTCCGTCTGCCCGTTTCCACAGGACCCAAAGCTCCACCGACCGGTGAGTTAGTTGAACCCAGTCCATCATCCAGTTAAACTCCAATCATCCAATTGCCCAGTCCCCTCCCTTAGCAGTGCTGTTCCAAGGTATACCCAAGTGCCTCACCGATGACGATTCTGCCCCTCCATATTCCAATTTGCCCCTCCTGATTTGTCTGCCCCTCGATTCATGCATTCGATTTTAATTATTTAACCCTGCCCGCTTTCGTCTTCCGGTAAAGCCCAGAGCTTATATTCTTTTAATTTGGAAAACTGACCTCCTTCTCCTTTTCTTCTCTTCTCTCAGGTCCATCTCCAACTCTACTTTCCAATTTTAATCCACGTTACTATCAACATCATTCAATATGGGTGTCACTGAAGTTCTCAGCCGCAAGTCCGGCGTCATCGTCGGTGACGATGTCCTCCGTCTCTTCGAGTACGCCCAGGAGAAGCAGTTCGCTATCCCCGCCATTGTAAGTGATCTCTCTCTCTGGGATGACGATGGTTGTCGTCCTCCCCACCACCACCATCGTCATCACCACAATCAGCATCAGCAGCACCAGAAGCTCATACGCATTCCAGAACGTCACCTCCTCTTCCACCGTCGTCGCTGCTCTCGAGGCCGCTCGCGACCAAAAGTCCCCCATTGCCCTGCAGGTTTCCCAGGGTGGTGCTGCTTTCTTCGCCGGTAAGGGTGTTAGCAATGAGGGCCAGGCTGCCTCCATTGCCGGTGCCATCGCCGCTGCTCACTACATCCGCGCCATTGCCCCTACCTACGGCGTTCCCGTTGTTCTCCACACCGACCACTGCGCCAAGAAGCTCCTCCCCTGGCTCGACGGCATGATGGATGAGGATGAGCGCTACTTCAAGCTCCACGGCGAGCCCCTCTTCTCTTCCCACATGATCGATCTGTCCGAGGAGCCCGTTGAGTGGAACATCTCTACCACCGCTGCTTACCTCAAGCGTGCTGCCCCCATGAAGCAGTGGCTCGAGATGGTAAGTTTTTTCAATACCCGTTGCAATTGACCGGAATGAACATATGCTAATGCACTACCATAGGAGATCGGTATCACCGGTGGTGAGGAGGACGGTGTCAACAACGAGGACGTCGACAACAACTCTCTCTACACCCAGCCCGAGGACATCCTCGCCATCCAGCAGGCTCTTGCCCCCATCTCCCCCTACTTCTCCATCGCCGCTGGTTTCGGTAACGTCCACGGTGTCTACAAGCCCGGCAACGTCCGCCTGCACCCCGAGCTCCTCTCCAAGCACCAGGCCTACGTCAAGGAGCAGATCAAGTCCAACAAGGACAAGCCCGTCTTCTTCGTCTTCCACGGTGGCTCCGGCTCCTCCAAGGAGGAGTACAAGGAGGCCATCAGCTACGGTGTTGTCAAGGTCAACGTCGACACTGACATGCAGTACGCCTACCTCTCCGGTGTCCGTGACTACGTCCTCAGCAAGAAGGACTACCTCCTGACCACCGTCGGTAACCCCGATGGTGAGGACAAGCCTAACAAGAAGTACTTCGACCCCCGTGTCTGGGTCCGTGAGGGTGAGAAGGTCATGAGCAAGCGTACCCAGGTTGCTCTTGAGGACTTCAACACCTCCAACCAGCTTTAAATTCGTTGATACCACCTATGCTATTCCTTCTTTGGCTTTTGTGAAGGGAAGCGATGACCTTATTACCCAATTCTCTTGATTGAATCATTCCATGCTGCCGAAAAAGTGGGCGCGCACGCCAGGGGACGTCGGGCGTACCGGTTGTATGTAGCGATGTATTTCGACACGTTGTAATGAAATGAAATGTCCATATTACGGGCTTGAACCCGTTGGAAACAGAAAAAAAAAACTCTTCCTTCATTGTTCTTATCTGTAGAGGTAAAAGGTGTTAAGGTAAAGGAGTGACCAAGGCACATCGAGCATCAAACAGCGTTTATGACCATCTTCCAGGTCAAGCAATCAACCCCCCCCCCCCCCCCCCCACCTCCGATGGCGTAGTTGGTATCCACCATAAATTGGTGAACCATAGGTGTGCCCTGGAGGAAGGGCAGACAAAAGAAGAAAATATACTGGGCCAGTGTTGACGCTTCAAGCTCCAAGGACGACCGGGCACACCCCTAGGCGGGGGGAGTTCTTTTTTTTTTGGAGATGTTTTGTAATTTTATTGTTCTAACTGTGATATTTATTTGATGCCCTTTTAAAATAGTAGTTTGAATCTTTAATAACCTTTTGAACGGTGTTAGGAGGGTGTAAAGGGCTGTATTAGGTGCCACTGGGGAGTGGTGATATTTGTCGGTGTCTGTGGATGGCGACGAAGTAACAACACAAAGTATATAGGGGAGGAGAAGGTTACCGGTTCGATTCATGGGGGTGAGGAGAGCTTTTCTTGAACTGACTCTCTGATGGTTGCATGAATTGTTCGTATTTAGATGCACGAGTCTCGACTAACTTCTTAAGAGAGCCATGTGACTTTGTCAGGTGCTCTATCCGGAATAGTGGCCTTAGCGGTCTGCCAGAGTGCCTGAGGTATGATAGACATTGTTCCCTCGGATCGACACCTTACATATTAGGCCCTTGGCATCATGTCGTCAGTGGCATTTCAGGAAACACACACACAACTCAACTTCCCTCATCGAGTACGGAGTATGTACGGAGTCCTCCTCCACTACTAGTCCACTCATGTCTCTCGTCATCTCGTGGCCCACGAACTGGCGTGTGCATCCTTACGCTGGTCCTCCACTCTGTCCACACATTGTCCACATTGTCTAACGTGTGCCAGCGTGACCGTGGATCATTGCGGGAACCTTTTTGTTACAAATGTTCCAGACTTGTCCCCGCAAGGCTTCTGATTGGATCATTGCGAGTCACCCTGAGTCTGTTGGCCAATGAGATGATGGGGAATGGGTCTTAGAGGGGAAGACCAAACGTGTCGATACCGCCACCAGGTACACATTGTGCTGGAGGGTACACAGTGTTGAGTCTGTTGACAAACATTCGGCTATTCAAGTCCACAGGGGACTAACTGAACTGCTGACACTATTTTGGCGAGGTCAACGGTTGCATTGGATTTTACTTCGGTTAACGGCCACGGATCGGCAAGACCGCCGAGAGGGTATCATTTGTATGGACTATCGACTATCGATCAGCTACTGTCTCTTCTAATTATAACCGAGCTAAACCAGTCTGGACTGTACTGGACCCCTCCCCGAACCCACTTTTCTTTCATTCTTGGACTTGCTTGTCTCACATCGCTGTCCGTTGATCTTCCTTCGTTTTTCCGTCATCAACTCCGCTTTTTCTCTCTTGCTCGGTGTCGTTTCTTTCTTGTTCAATCTCCTCCGCTCTGTATCTTTGTCGGTCGCTTCAATCTCCGCTCGACTACTACTCGTCCACCTTCATGTCGACTTGTCATTCGTTTTTCCTGTGATCTCTTCTGGCGGGACGTGATGGATTTGGATCTGCACCAGAGCTTATGGCCGAGGGCCGAAGAGTCGGGGACTGACAAGTTTCTCTCGCTGATCTCCAATCCCTTCTACTCCCAGGTACGTTGCAATGGTCGCATACAGAATTGATCTTTACTAACCACATAGATCAACAGTTCCAAGTCAGCGCTATTTGGGCCTCGCTAGGCACCTCCATCGGCATTTCCGTCCTCCTCGCCTTACTCTTCTCCCTCTTCCGACCCCGTCACAACGTCGTTTATGCACCCAAAGTCAAGCATGCCGACCGCAAACACGCTCCGCCCCCGGTGGGTAAGGGCTTTTTCTCCTGGGTCAAGCCCGTGATCAATACCCGCGAACCGCAACTCATCGAGACTGTCGGACTGGACGCTGCCATCTTCCTGCGCTTCACCAAGATGTGTCGCAACATCTTCATCTTCATCAGCATCATTGGATTGCTGATCTTAGTCCCCGTCAACATCTCGCAGAGTAAAGTCCAGCAATCTTTCACAGTGACGGCGTTGAGCAAGATGACTCCGCTCTATGTATCAAATCCAACCGCGATCTGGAGCCAAGTCGTGTGCGCCTACTGCTTCGATATCATTCTTGCATTTTTCTTGTGGAGGAATTACAAGGCTGTGAGGGATCTCCGACGACAGTACTTTCAGAGCTCCGAGTATCAGCGGAGTCTGCACGCGCGAACCCTGATGGTGACCGATATTCCTCCTGCGGATCGTACCGACGAAGGCATTTTGCGCATCACCGATGAAGTCAATCCCACGGCTGCCCTGCCTCGGGCTGCGATTGGCCGTAATGTGCGTGACTTGCCCGTCATCATCAAAGAGCACGAGGAACATGTCCGGGAATTGGAATCTGTGCTCGCCAAGTACCTCAAGCGGCCGGACCAGTTGCCTGCGAAGCGGCCCACCATGCGCCCGCCTAAAAGCCAGCGGAGAAAGCATCCCAATGGCAAAGTAGATGCGATTGACTACCTGACAGTGCGCATCCGCGTTCTAGAGGAAGAAATCAAGCACGGTCGTGCCTCTATCGACCGCCGTAATGCGATGCCATATGGTTTTGCTAGTTGGGAGAACATCGAGCACGCGCACGCTGTGGCCTGGACTGCCCGAAAGAAGCATCCCAAGGGCACCACCATTGCTCTCGCACCTCGACCGAGTGATCTGATTTGGGAGAACTTGCCCTTGTCCAAGAAGGCGCGCAAGTGGAAGCGTTTCCTCAATGTGATTTGGGTCACTGCACTGACTCTGGTGTGGATTGTTCCCAACGCCCTTATTGCGGTTTTCTTGTCAAACTTGAACAATCTGGGCGCCGTTTGGCCAAAATTCCAAACTTCGCTCTCGGCTGATCCCAAGGTTTGGGCTGCGGTCCAGGGTATTGCCTCTCCTGCGATTACTTCACTGGTCTACCTGGTGTTGCCTATTATCTTCCGACGCCTTTCCATCCAAAGTGGAAGCAAGACCAAGACTTCCCGCGAGCGACACGTCTTGGGCCAGTTGTATGCGTTCTTCGTGTTCAATAATTTGGTCGTTTTCTCGTTGTTCTCTGCTGCTTGGGCTTTTGTTTCCGCCGTGATTGACAAGACGAACACCGACGAGGGCGCTTGGCAGGCTATTGTTGACAGTAATCTGTACTACAAGTTGATGAGTGCTTTGTGCACTGTCTCGCCCTTCTGGGTGACTTATATCCTGCAGCGCAATCTGGGAGCCACCATCGATCTTGTCCAGATGATCAGTTTGGCCTGGGTTTGGTTTGCTAAGACATTCCTTGCACCCACGCCTCGTCAATCGATTGAGTGGACTGCTCCGCCGTCGTTCGACTACGCCAGCTACTACAATTACTTCCTCTTCTACGCAACCGTTGCATTGTGCTTCGCCACCCTTCAGCCCATCGTGCTACCCGTGACTGCGCTCTACTTTGGTGTCGATGCCATGCTGAAGAAGTACTTGTTGATGTACGTGTTCGTGACCAAGAACGAGTCCGCAGGAGCCTTTTGGCGCGCTCTATTCAATCGACTTGTCTTTGCAAGCATTCTCGCCAATGTCATCGTCGCACTCGTCGCAAAGGTCCAGGGTACCTGGACAATGGTGTACTGCATCATCCCCTTGCCATTGTTGATGCTAGGCTTCAAGTTCTACTGCATGAAGACCTTCGATGACGATATCATGTACTACAACCGCGCCAACCTCACCGACGCCGAGGCCATCGGCGGAGGAGCAAAGCTAAGCAAAAAGGCCGCCGATCGCCTGAATTCCAAATTCGGCCACCCAGCCCTCTACAAACCCCTCATGACTCCCATGGTCCACGCCAAGGCCGCCGAAGCCCTGAAAGAAATCTACCAGGGCCGCCTAGACCAGGGCGACATGAACAACGAATACTCCGACATAGCCATGAACCCCATGCTCCCCTCCCAACCCGGCAAAGCCGCCGAGCCCGCTCCCTTCGAAGTCGTCCCAGAAGCACACCTGGACTTCTCCTACTTCAAGGACCGCGCCGACTTCCGCGACGAATTCGGCGGCGGCATCTACGGTCGACCGGAGGATTTGATGACGGAGCGCTCGCAGACACCACGCAGCATGCTCGGCGGCGAATGGTCACCTTCTTCATCGCGCGCTTCCTCACCCGCTCCGTCTTTGCCTTCTTTGCCGGGATTGAAGGTAAATGAGGGATACCAAGACCCAGAGCAAGCGCATATCCACCCTGCATTCCGCGTCCCGCTTTCAAGGGGGGATAGCGGGAATGGAGCTTATCAGTCTGATGAGCTTGAGAATCGACTTCTCAGTCATGCACAGACGCCGGGACAGGTGGACACGAATCCGTTGGACCGCTGGCGAACGGGCGGATATGGTCCTGTTCATCAGGACGATGATCCGTATCAGACTTCGTACGAATCGTATCGGGGAGGGCGGTAGAAGCTCTACGATACCGGCGTGTCTTATCTTTGTGAAAATCATCTCTCTCTGTGTGCATATATTCTTTCGGTCTTGTTTATTTTGGCGATGGCAATCATTTATTATTATTATTGGATCTTGAGTTGCTGCCTCGGCGTTGGAGGGGCCTGGCTGCTGCTCTACTGTATATACATCTGCTGGATACGATATCACGAACTTTTATATAACAACCTACAATAAAATGTACAAAAATGATTTCATTGAATGAATTTGGAGCTTGGACGAGACGTAGAAGTTAAGTTGATGCCTGGAAGACTTAATTCGACTCTCAGTATACGACGATGTATAGTTCCCTCAGCTGGAGAAGAAGATAATGATACCAAGGATCTTGGACTCTCCAACCTTTCTATTTACAGTAAATAAGGAAACTGCAAAGAGCGACACGGTCCATGAACTCAATTCGTCAAGTATAAGGCTGATCTTAGAACAGACTCCTCAATAACTCTCTTTCTGAACCTCACCAATCGACACAACACTCTGAATCGCATTCATGATCAAAGATGGAATATTTCACTACATGAAAGGCTGTATGGCCCTTGCATTGTATGTTACCGTTACATATTAGAGATGGCCGAAAATGATGGGCTAATGTCAACTTAGATACCTCATTATCGTGTTAGGGCTGTATATCTATCCCTCTGACGTCTACGGTGGGTGGATGGAGTAGTGACAAGAGGGTGAACGGAGGGGAGCATCAAAATTGCCAGACATTATCCTGTCTACACATGTTAGAGAAGAGGGACCAAAACTCCAGGGATAGGCTAGGCCAATAAACCCCACAGGCAGTACAGCTGACCTGGCTAAGCTTACATGGAGTGGCAGCCCGTTTTGGATGGCTTATTTCTACATCCCCCGCAACTATAGCCCCATAGCAAGGTATCTCCAAAACACAGCTCAAGTTGGACATGCATCTTGCTAAGCAAGGTAAAATTAATTCGTTGTCATAAACATTAGGCCGATAATGCATTAACTGGGGTATCGATAAATAGAGTGATAAATGCGACGTCGTCCTCAGTGATCACTGATCGGTGGCGGGGTCGCCAAAGTTTCCGTAGACTTCTCTGCAAGTCGTATCTTCCGCAGCTCCTGAATCTGTCGTCGTCGATCTTCAAGAGCAGCCTGTCGCTGTGCCGCTCTGGCCGCCAATTTCTCTCGCTGCTGCTGGGTATCCTCGCGAATTTTCTTCAGCGCCTCCATTTGCTTCTTTCTTTCCTCTTCATCGCGGGAGAACGCATAGAAGCCCGTTCCGCGATTTCGCACTTCACCATCCGCATCGTAGTGTAGATACTCTGGCTCGGGGGAAAGGTCTCGCTGGGCTGCGAGGCGGGCCATTTGCGCCGCGATGGTCGCCTCGGGATTGAAAGCTTCGGATTGGATGGCCTCGCCGTAGATCAGGTTCTTCGGTCGTGAAGGTCGCCAGCGTTCCTCTGTAGCTCGACCTCGGTTCTCTTCTTCCTCTTTGATGACGGCTGCCCTTGCAGCCTCGAACCTGGTGCCATGGCGTGTTCGACCAAACTCGTCTTCGTAGGAAACTATCGATGCATTTTCGTCGTCTTCGTCCTCCTCATATTCTTCCCCGGAGCCAGCTTTCTTCTTGCGCTCCTCATCCGCCCATTTGGTATCGAAGTCGACCAGTCCTACTTTCTCTTTGCGTCGCAATCGTGATACGTAGTCGTCTTTGAGGTCATCATCACTATCTTCACCAATGAGATGTAATCCCTTCTTCATGTCCTCGTACATGCGCACTTTCTTGGCCATCCGTTGCTTGGATCGATTCAGGGTGGCGTCATCGATGGCGCCAATGTCCTTGCTCTTCTTGTGGACTTGATTGGAAACATGGTGATCGTCTTCCTCAAGATCGGCGGCGGCACGCTTGGTGGCACCTTTGTTTTGCTTCCCGAAAATGTCGCTTTTGGAGGTCTTGGATGGTCGTGGGCGTCCGTGAGAGGTGGTGCTAGAGCTCTGGGCGATAAGTGAGGAAAGTTGGCTGTTGAAGGCGAGGTTGGACGATGAGGTGATCTCTTGAGTTTTTGAAGCCTTTGCACGGGGTTTCCCGTACAGTGAAGACTGTTCCGGAGCCATGATGAAGCTTTCGCGGCTCCGCAAGAGTTGGAAAGATGGTTGGAGAAAGACGGAGTGAAGCGCGATCTCCGGACTTGATAGCGATAGCGATTACGATAAGAATTGTGGCCTGGTTTCACAGGCTGCAATGGCTGACTCACCCCGCTGACTGATCCGATGCCCCGCGTGCCCCACGAGGTGACGAGCTCGAGGATCTTTGACTCAATTCTTCAATTCCTTAAGTTCCCACTTGAAATTTGTAATTTGCTCAGTACGGTCCAAATCTGTGCATCTTCACATATCCCCGGCTGTGAATATACTCCTAAATTCACTCAATTGACCATTTCCATCAACATGTCCGCCAGCCCTATCTATCTCGGCGTTGTTGGTAGGATACCCTCCGCGATCTAAAGCTTCATGCTTTCTCCATGGAATTTAATCTAATCCCTTATTCTAGGCGTCGGCGGTGTTGGCACTGCATTCCTCTCCCAGCTTGCCCACCTCCCCAATGCCCCCAAGCTCGTCCTCCTCGCCCGTTCTTCGCAGACTCTCCTCGCTCCGACACCGGCCTACTCACCGGCCATCCCCGCGGCCGACTGGGCAACCGCCGCGGCAGGCCCTTCTCTGACCAAGACCGGTGCCCTACCCGCTGAGGAGATCGCCAGCTACCTTGCGTCGGCTCCCGGCCGTGCTATCCTGGTTGACAACACCTCCGACATCAACCTCGCCCGCCAGTACCCCACATTCCTGAAGAAGGGCATCTCAATTGTGACCCCCAACAAGAAGGGTTTCTCCGATGACCTGTCCTTGTGGAAGGACATCTTCGCGTCTGCCGCGGAGGGCAAGGCTCTCGTCTACCACGAGAGCACTGTCGGCGCTGGTCTCCCCGTGCTGTCGACCCTCAAGGACCTAGTCGCGACTGGCGACGAGGTTACTCGCATCGAGGGTGTCTTCTCCGGCACTCTTTCCTTCCTCTTCAACACCTTTGCCCCGGCCTCTGGCTCTTCGGACGCAAAGTGGAGCACCGTCGTTGCCCAGGCTAAGGAGCTGGGCTACACCGAGCCCGATCCTCGTGATGATCTGAACGGTATGGACGTCGCCCGCAAGCTGACTATCCTGGCCCGTCTCGCTGGTCTGGAGGTCTCCAGCCCCGACTCATTCCCCATTGAGTCTCTGATTCCCGCTGAGCTGGCCTCGCTGCCTTCTTCCGCAGACGGCATTGCCGAGTTCATGAAGCGCCTGCCTGACTTTGATGCCCAGATGGCTAATATCAAGGACACTGCTGAGAAGGAGGGTAAGGTTGTGCGTTATGTTGGTAGCATTGATGTTGCTGCCAAGGCCGTCAAGGTTGGGCTGCAGACCTTTGAGAAGGATACCGCCATTGCTGGTCTGAAGGGCAGTGACAACATTATCAGCTTCTACACCAAGCGGTACGGTGCCAACCCCCTGATTGTGCAGGGTGCTGGTGCTGGTGGTGATGTTACTGCCATGGGTGTTTCGGCTGATCTGATCAAGGTCGTCCAGCGCCTGCAGTAAGGGAAGTGCTATACAGAATAAAAGTACCTAGATATCCAACGAATTATAAGTTCTTCATGAAATGCAATTGAAATGTTAGCACCTGAAGAAGAATACGATTACCATATATTGCATACTCGTTCAAGACGTAAACTTCTCGTACATTTTCCTCTTGGAAGTTGCACACCTGGAATGGTGATTTCCTCGTGCTCCATTTCAACAACATCTCGTTCTCCGAAACTGAAAATCGACGAGTACCTATAGAATCAGACCGCAACCATACCTTTACGGATGACACGAATCGGCAATCGGAACCGGAGTATAAAAGATTCGTAGTATATATTCACAATGAGTATGGCTAAAGCTCGGTAAAGGATGGATCAGCCTCGATCGATGAACACAATCCTCCATGCCAAACAATTAATAGGAGAGACTGCCAAAACGGGTATCACCTAAGCAGATGACAAGAAATCAACACCATAAACGCCAGGATGACATAAGCTCGCAAACAGACCGTAATCTGTATAATAATCAAACCCAAACACCGTATCAAAGGGTCCTCAAATGAGGAAGCAATCAAGCTCGACCGGTCCCTCGGCGCTTCAAGTCTCCGTCCGTACCAGAAGAAGTAGAACCATCAGCAGCGGAAGTCTTATTCTCCCTCCCAGCATCTTGGCTTCTCTCCGGAGATTTGCTGCTCGTCGCACTCCCCGACTTCCCAGAGTCACTATCCGCACCATCTGTCTCGACGCCGTGCAGCCCAAATGCCCGTCGTTGGCCATCTGGTCTTTCCTGCAAGCTCGGTGCGCGGGGACGTTGGTGGCCGCGTGCGCGTCCTCCGATCCATGGGAATTCCCATAGTATCATGCGGTATAGGTAAAGACCAGCGTCGAAGATGATGAAAGCAGCCCATGGGACAATAGTGATGAGGCCGAGGAGGAACTATTTCAAACGGAGAAGTCAGCCGATGCCTTTAAATAAGTTCATACCCTTGATCTCAGGATGGGATGGATATCCGAAAACATACGAAAATACGCACTGCCCAGCTCTCAACTTGAATGAGCTGCGGCGGGAGAATGGAGTACCACGCCATAGTCTATGTCCGGCCAGTGGCTACCCTGATAACGTCTCGATGACCGAGTCTGTAGTCGGTGCTTGCGAAGCTAGCGAGAGTCCTTCCTTGAAGCCTCCCTCTCCTAGACCTTTGTATTGCCGGCCAGCGATCCCCTCACAGTCCTAATGTCTCGGGTATCGACTCAGTTCCGCTGGTCCCGTGTGGTGCTGTGCTCCCCACTCCCCATAATCCGGGGTAATAGGATAATCTGCCCGGGGCAGCCGAGGGGGTCAAGTGCGCAGCACAGAGCGAATAAAGTGTGCCCTCCAACTTGAGTTGAGATGGATCTTGTTCGGCAAAGGCGCCCCTCCCCGCACGGTCCCTTAGCCTGGAGCCTGGGGAAAAGGAAGATGTTTGGACAGCTTGCGGTGCGGAGGATGAAGGCGGTGGCGGAGTAGCCGAGGGAGTTCGGGATGCAAGGGCAGGGGGAGCTGTAGGAGATTAGAGGGTCGGCTTTGGAGGGATCGAACAAAGTGAGAGGGTGGGTTTGGAAAGTTCAAGGAGGAGCTTCATCATCGCAGCTCGGAAGGAGGGGGGAGTCAGGAACGGGTGGAGCAGGGCAGAACGAACCGCGAAGCCGAGTGGGCCCAATTAGGCAATTTATCAGCAGCGAAGATACAAATCTACGTGAGCTCTATGCGATGCAAATTCCCGCTCCAAAAGAGATGATAATAATGAGAATCATCAATACAGATTTGATTTCCAAGAGAGAAGTTAAACGGCAAATATTGCCTTGAAGCTGAACCAGCACTCCACCACCCATCCCAGCATCCAATTACAAGCCCACGCAGTAGGACCTCCAAAACGGGACAAAATACTAATAGCTCCGCCATGAGAAGTACAAAAACCCCTAAAGTCCAACTTTTGATCTTGCTCATGACAATCATATCAGCATAAACTCATCAGTCATAACCAAGGCTTGATGGAACGTTGTTGCCAGAAGCCTGAAGAGCAGCAACACAGTTGCGCTAATATTTGGCCGCCAGGGCTTGCATTTGGTCCAAGAAGGCATCGGCATCTAGATTGCAGAAAATTAGTTAATTGTGGAATGATGTATTTGAATGGATGATGACATACCTTCGAGGGTTGCAAACTTCAGTATGTGCTCACCGCGATTGTTCTGCGGTGGTGTATAGTCATCAGTCGCCATCAAGATTATGGGTTTCAAATCGCGGATGATGACGGTTCGGTCGTCTACGATACGCAGCCAGCTGCGACGGCTTAGGAGGGAGGTAATGAAAGCAGTCCAGACGGGGGTGCTACAGTCATGCAATTAGAACAGCGCTCCGAGGCCTAAACCCATATGGCTCATCACTTACTGGTCCATGTCGCCTTTGTGAACAGAGGCCTGTAGTCTGACCGCTTTGGTTGTCTTGTCACGGTAAACACGCAGAGCATGGTGGTACTCGTCGTCGATAATTTGACTATTTTTGGTTAGATGATGTATCTGCTAGTGCTGTCTGAAATCGACTCACCCTCCATATATCTCTCGTTCACCATCCAACTCGTAGTCACGAATATCCTCGACCGGATGACCGGCGTCTTGGGAACGGAGTGCCAAAAATGCCACGTAAAATGCAACCATGCCTAGTAAGTAATGAGTTAGTCGGCGTTTGGCCTCGTCATCTCCAATTGCTTGCCTGGCGAAACGTACTCTCGATGGTTGTAAATTGAATACTTGCCCACAAGACAAGCTCACTACCGCCATGACGTCTCCGGCACAGCTGGAGACAGGACCCTTCCCGGATAACTTCCAACAGATTCAAAGGTAGACAATAGTAGTCGCTGGCGCGGGACCTATGTGGGACCTTGCAAACAATACGAACACGGTGATCTCGCTCTCGTAGGTAGAAGTATACAACCATATTCGAGTCGTCATTGAAGGCTCTGTGGGAGTTTGTTAACCTGTGAACTCTCGTGATCATCTCTCGCGATGCCTTACAATTGAAGGAGCAACTCAAATCCTTGCTCCCGAAGCCAGGGTTTAATACCAGCATGTGGGTCGCCAAAGCAGCCGGCTCTATCAAAATGATAGTCAGTAAATTATACAAGGACAACCAACCAGTTTCTGGCCGAGGTCCTCCTCACCTTTCTCGTCCCGGGGGAATTGGTGTCTCAGTCTCATATGTCGAGAAGACATCCTTGATCCAGTGGTAATCAATCGCATCCGAATGGGTGGAATGGCTAGTACCAGTTGCCGAAGCAGATCCCAAAGGTGAGCTCGGCACCTCCGGTACAGATGGAGGGAAATCGGAAAACGACGCAGAGGACGGTGATAACGGGGCTTTGGGGGATAGCTGCGGGGGACGACTTCGCTCGTACGATCGTTGCCTAAGCGGCGGTCGACGTTCATTTCGAGGACTGGGTTGATCTGTGCTAGTGCTGCTTGTAGATGGCGGGTTACGACCCAGTGACATGCGTGCGAGTCGCGGTGCGAGACGCTTCTCTTGCTCCACGAGTAACATCTTCATGCTACTGCGGGAGCCGGCAAGGAGCGGGGACTCGTGGCGGGGGCTTACGATGGTCAGTTTGGCAATTTCCTACAGGACTTCCTTTTGACGATGGCATCTGCGGGGTTGTGCTTACTCTTTCACCGAGTCAACGAGCTCCCTGAGAAAGCTCTTATATTTGGCCAAGCGAGTGCCCAGGGAGTACTGGGCCTCGTTCCAGAAGAACCGATCTATCGACAGCCATGTCCGCTGGTACGTATCGGGTGTGGTATGACCGCCATCCAACCGGTTAAAAAACTCCAAGATATCGTCGATGGTATACTTCAGACTCGAGCGCAACAAATCCACATCTTGGTGGACCAGCGCCCAACTACGGCGATAACGAGCATCCCGGGAGAGGTTATCCAGACTCAACAGCGATGAGCTGATAGCGTAAAAGTCGGAGATCAGACTGGTGATCTCTGTGGTGTGTTCGGGAAGAGGGGCACGAAAGGCCGTCAAGCCTTCCGCGACTCGTTCAGCCTGCTCGGCAGACAAGCGCAGGGCCATGAGCGCGTCAGGCCATCCGGGGATTTTTGATTCGGGAGTCGCAGAGGGAGGCGGGTTTGGGGGATACGAGGTTTCCTCAGTGGAATGAGTACTGTAGCGAGGACCCTCTCACGTGCAATGCGGCTCTTCACACTATTATTTTTTTTCGGTTTGGACTCCCTTGCGTTCTTGACGTGGTCGCGCGGGAATGGCGGGGCTTGGTGGGGTAGGAGGGGGATGATTCACCCAGCATGCGTGTGCAGTGCACAGTGGTCAAGTGTAGTCCAGGTATCCTGGTCTTTGGTCGGTGCTCATCACGATGGTGGGTAAGAAGATAAGGGAGGGGGAGGTCCTGCAGTACGGTTAGTATACTAGGTAAGTATAGCTGCGGTTTGTTTAGTCGAGTTGCTAATCTTCCCCGGTTGGGGTCGATGTGTTTCCATGGTTCTTCTCCCCGTCAGGTCACCCCACATGGTCATGTACCGAACCCAAATAGAGACACTCCCTGAACTGCATTAGTTGAGAGACAGACTGAGAAAATAAACCCAGGGAAGTGTTCGTCAGTGAGAATGAATATGAGCCATAATAATAGTTTGGTGCCAAATTAGACACTTGAAGAGGAAAACTTGATTAGCGGTGAGAACACAAGCAAGCTCCTGCAGTCCGGACTATGTACTCCCGTACCTCGAAGGTAGGAAGAGTAAAAGAGCAAGCATGAATAAACACAGGGCACATTGTCTTATATAAAGTTAAGCGCCATCACTTGACTCACAAAAGCAATAACATCGCTGCCTGCTTAGCCCCATTCTTCTTCAACTTTCGTATTGGGGGCTGGGGCTGTGCCTCCACGATCATACAAGCATTCATATGAGTGGTCCGGAGCCAGAATCCGCAGTCCTTGTCTTGCCTCGGAGAAGAGCCTCATTTTGCCCAGGGTGTCATATTAAAAAGTACTGCCAAAATATTGAAGTCTGATTTGACTGAAACTTCGCCAATGTTAAGCCTCGTGCTTAGATGACGTATATTGTTGGAAAGTATCTTCTTCCTCCTATCTGCTTTATACAATGACTCCCATGCCCGTTCAAACTCTTGACTCTTCAAATCACTTTCGAGTAAAGGCCCAGCGGTTTACTTCACCCTCTTTTTTTCACGAGTTATAAGGCTTGACCAAGCGCAGTGAAATCGGAATAGCAGTATCATCATCGGTGGCATTCCACAGCAGAGAATAAACTCCCTCGCCCTCAGACGAAGCCTTGACATAGAAGCTGGAAGAGATATCCCCAGACTCGGTCTCAACTCTCACCCACCGCCTGTAGAAGATAAAACCACTAGTGGTCTCGTTAGACTCGGCCTTGGAGGTGAAGCCCATCTGGTGAGAAAAAGAGGACGACCTGGGGATGTACAGCATTTCATCGGACCAGCGATCAGTAGTGTTGGTGGTAGTAGTGATGTTGGGGTTGGCAATCCACTAGCTGGAGAAGAGGAGGAGGACCATTTGACTAGAAAGCTGTCAAATTGGGTTGGGTGGTATCAAAGAGGGGCCTTTACTAACAGGAGACCGGGATGGCGGAAGATGAAGTCGAGTTAGATGGGTCGCCGACGAAAGCCTTGCCTGTTTCAATCAATTAGCAGAGCTTCAACTTATAGAGTATATCAAGCTAAGAGCAAGGAAAATACTACCATTGACGTAGAAAAGTGAAAGTCCACCAAGAGATTCACCATAGGCATACAAGCCAAAAATCTCGTCAACGCCAGGTGCGGCCCGAGGTATGAAGCCAGAGGCCGATGCCAATAGGCACAGCATAGCACCAGAGATTAAATAGCGAACATAATAGCGGACTGAAGTGTATAAAATCCCGTAAGAGGTGTATCAAATCAGTGTTTGGACGTATGTGAACTCCACTTCCTGGGCCGCGTGTTGGCTGACCTCGGTGCTACTAGAGTTGCGGGTACATGGGTAAGGTGCCCACAAGCTTAGCATTAAGGCCTGGAGATCACTTTAGACCTATAATATTACGGTGAATGACTTGTCTACTTGATACTCGGAGAGATACAGATCCCGATTCCCATATGTTTCGTTGTACAATCGTACTTGACTGCTGTTCGCCGAGCCGTAGTTCAACCCAGGAGAAAGATCTGACATCTTACTGTATACCTAGGTATGTGCAGCTCCTCTTTGCTTGATCTTCTTTTCTGAATTTCTGAAACGTGCCAAGATATGACTCCCCGACTTATTTCACGAGCTAACGGCTGCCACGCAATCTACCTGATCTAGAGACTTGACCAGGCACCAGACCCACGATGGCCGCAATGGCGCGAACCTCTCTAGATTGAATATCAGATTCCCGGTTTATCGCATGATGAACCCCCATAGTTTAAAAATAAATGACCAACCGAAGCACTTTCGGACCTGCAGCCGGAATCTCCGGTTGCGTGGCGGGATTTAAGCTTACGATCCATGAAGCGTACCTGGCGCCACCTTGTCCAATGGGGAAGAGTAGAATTCCAATCCAAGCAAGATTATGATCCATCATGTTGCGTGAAGATATACTTGGTTTTCATGAATCAGCGGAGGGTGCTGTCTAGTGGACTTATCCGAGCTCTTCGAGGACGGATATCGGGTATGGATACGATCTTGAGGATATTTCATTAAGAGCGCTTCACTATCTTGGTTTGAATTTTGTCACTGTGTTGGGATCATTCTCTTCTTCTCTTTTCTTCTTCTGCAGCTTTTAATTGCTGCCATATTCCTTCTTTGGTACTCTTCTTTCCCTTCATAGTTCACAATCTTTGTCTCTTTTTGACCCCCTATTTTCTGTTATCTCCCCTCAGTTTTCTAATATTGTCTCTTGTTTTCTCACGAACTACCATGAAGGCCATATCCCTCTTTTTTGGCCTCATTGGTGCAAGTACCGCAGCTTCTCTACACCATCAACACCTCCATCTAAAGATCAAACGAGATGTCTGCTCCGGAAACACAGCCAGTAACAGACAGACATGGTGCAACTACGACGCAAGCACACATTACTACGACGTAGTCCCCAACGGGTGACCCGATAATACTACTTCGATATCCAAGAAGTCACAGTCGCCCCCGACGGCTACTCCCGATCTGTCATGGCTATCAACGGTTCCATCCCCGGGCCTACCATCCACGCCGACTGGGGTGACCACGTTATCGTGCATGTCACCAATAATCTCGCCTCGGCGAAGAACGGATCAAGCATTCATTTCCATGGGATCCGTCAGAATTATACAAATCCTAATGACGGTGTTGTTTCAATTACTCAATGCCCAACGGCACCGGGTAAAACAACGACCTACAAATGGGCAGGTATGGCTCGTCGTGGTATCATTCTCATATCGGGCTGCAGGCCTGGGAGGGTGTGTTTGGTGGCATTGTGATTAATGGACCAGCTACGGCGAATTATGATGTTGATAAGGGAAGTTTGTTTTTGAATGATTGGAGTCATCGGACTGTCGATGAGTTGTATGATTCTGCTCAGTCGAGTGGTCTGCCTACCCTGGATAATGGGTTGATCAATGGTACGAATGTCTGTGGTGATGATAAAATTCGACTAGCCAGACGGGATACCGATTCAACACGTCTGTCACTGCGGGTACTTCGTACCGGTTCCGTCTGATTAATGCTGCGATTGATACGCATTTCAAGTGTTCTATTGACAACCACACGCTCACTGTGCTGGCGATGGATTTTGTTCCTATTGAGCCATTCAATACTACTGTCCTCAGCATCGGCATGGGTAAAATTGCAGTGCCCTTTCACTTCAGTTTGAATGTCAAGCTAATATCTTCTTTTGCCTAGGCCAACGATACGACATTGTCGTCCACGCAACCCAGTCTACAGGCAATGACAGCTACTGGATGCGCGCCATCCCCCAAGAAGCCTGTTCCGATAACGACAGCGCCAATAACATCAGGGGAATCATGTATTACGGCAACACACCCTCGACCCCACCACAACCGCATACACCTACACCGACAGCTGCGACGACATGTCCATGTCCGATCTAGCCCCCTACCTCCCCCAGAGCGCCTCACTCCCCTACTTCAACGCCAGCGAACCCGTCACTCTCGGTACGAACTCCGAGAACCTCTTCCGCTGGAAAATGAACGGGACCTCTATGCAAGTCGAGTGGGATAATCCCACTCTCCTTCAAATCTGGAACAACGACACTAACTTCACAAATTCCAGCGGTGTCGTCGAGCTACCCGTGCCAACGAGTAGTGTTGAGCAGGAAGATGATGGGATTTGAAGGGGTCCTGCGTTATATCTCTAGGTGGCGAGTTGGACGGCACGATAGAAGGAGGCGGGAAGTTCCGGATACATTGATTGGCACTGCTTTGATTCTAGGTATAGAGGTTAGATAGCAAATGAGCGAAACCATGTTGCTTGACGATGAACTGACCCTGGGTGAGCTCTTGATGACGAGGCAAATAAAATGTGGTTAGACACCTTGGTCGTTGCAATAAACAATCTTACGTGGTACAATGCCTAACACCGACTCGGGACGTGTTTGTGCAGTATATACTTCTGTGAGGGAAGCTTACATAGATGGGGACATCCAAAGCAAGCAAGTATCGATGTCCTCGACTGAATCCAGAAAGGAGCCTGGCAGTTCCATTCTAGAAGCTCTAATCAGGCACTTGTGTCTGAATATCTAGCTCCATGTAGAACACGCTGGATATTCGAGACAACATGCTAGGCACAGTGTTGAGTTCAGGCAATAATAGGGGCCTCAGGCCATGATCGGAGATCCCCCGGACGCGTCGGGGTAAACAAACGGGGGAAGCTCGGGAGCTTGGGCCATCTCCGAAACCGCGGATGTCACGTCCACAGAGGAAGAGACCAACAAGACATGCATGCTGACACAATTATCTACGACCAGGAAGTAATTATATTTCAATGAGACGTAGCATTGACCAAACTAAATAATGTCTATGTCAGACGGGGCTTGCAATTGCATCATGCGAAGCAACCACGTCCAGGCCATTCCCAAAGTGCCAGCTCGGTCTCACTCCATCGCCCGGACTAGACGGAATGACCAGTTCAGGCAGTAGGAGGAAAGCGAGAGGTAACAAAACAGAACGGAGATTGGAAAAAAAGCCAGTCTCACACACAAGACACTAAGCCCACCGGCCGGGGCGATCATAAAAGCCAAGTAAGAACCACCGTAGAGACCATTCCTTAAGACCCATGAGTGATAAAACGCAAAAAGACAACCAGAGAGTCAGCGAAAAGAAACACAAACGCCAGCAGCTGCGCAAAGGATATTTGCAGCGGGGCGTTTAAGAAGACTCCTCGTCCTCCTCGGCCTGCTATAAGGGGGATCAGCATCGGAGTTCGTTGAGCCAGTATGGCCATCGAGACCCGGGATAGTGAACTTACAGCGTTGTACTTGGCCTTCTCCTCTTCGTAGCGCTTCTTGTCGGCGGCAGCCTTAGCATCGTAGGGCTTGCGCTCAGTCTCGGTCAGAGCCTTCCACTTGTCACCGAGCATCTTGCCGACCTGGCCTATATGGGGGGTTAGTTGGGATTGACCAGCGTGAGTAATGGGGAGAAGCAAGAAAGACTTACCGAACGAGATGCCGGGGTTCTCCTCGCGAACCTTGTCACGTTGGTCGTTGGCGAAGAACATGTAGGCGGACAGGCCACGCTTGGGGGCGTTGGGGTCTGGAGAGAGAGTTAGTATCTCCGAACAGGCAAGACGAGTCAATTTTTTCTCAGGAGCGACTTACCCTTCTTGCGGCGCGGGACGCGCTCCTTGGCGCTCTTGCGAGTGGTCTTCTCCTTAGGCATTTTGAGCTATATGGAGTGGTTAGCGTCGTTCTGAGAGCACCTGAGATGAGAGGCAATGGCACCCAAGTGAGGCGCAGAGCAGGAAAGAGAGCAGTGGGATGGTGCAGTAAGCAGGGTAGAGCTATGCGACCACAGGCGACTGCGATGCGACAAGCTCTGAGGGCAGAGAGTGAAGTAGAGTGGTGTGGTGTGGTGGTGTTGGTGCCGCGACGCGACTTCGTCACAAGCGCGCCGGAGGTCCTATATGACCACCTCACAACGGATAGAGACGGGACTTACTCTGTTTGAAAGTGGAAAAGTGGTTGGTTGAATGGAAACAGATCAGAGCGAATCTAATAGCAGTAATCTCCAGTTAGTGGTGGTGTTCGAAGTAAACATGGGTGCTGAATCGCGCGACCGTGAGAGGTCGCGGTCGCGCGAGTGAAAAAATAGCATTGATGAGGACAGGATGACAGAATCAAGGGCGATGAGAGTGAAAAAAAAGGGAAGAATAGTGGTGGTAGTTGTGTCGAGAATCGGGGCCAGCAGAAACGGGATATAGTAGATTGGGGGTGAGGATATGCAGTACCTGAGTTGTATGGGCAAATAGTGTGGGAGCGGTTGGTAGTGTAGGAGAGATGGGAGAGAGAGGGAGAGGGGGGAAGGCAGTAGTAGTAGGGAAGGGCGGACTCCCTCTCTTTCTTCTGACGGGACTAACTGTGGGAACGGTGGGCAGCACAGAGCAAGGGCAGCCCGCTGTTTGCTGACTGGCTGGGGAATGTAACATACGCCGTATTCAGTACGAGGGTCCGTATACCACCCAATACTCAGCAGGTATCTCCATTTACCAAGTACTCTCTACATCCAGTCATGCTCATTATTATTGTCCTTTTACCTTATTATAGACGGTAGCCATGGGAAATACGTTGAATTAGAGATATACTCTATCCTTTTCATCTTAGAGACCAAAGTTATTCCCTGGTGAGCGCACTATAACGCCTGCAAGTCCCTGCTCGGCGCGCCATTTATTATGGCCATCTTGGGCTACCTTGCTCTTACTTGGCCGTTTTTTTCTCGTCACTTTCACGTTATGCTATCTTATCACCACTTAACTTAGGGACATTCTAATATTAATTTTATTTCTCCGTTGGTTTTGTGAGTGTTGAGAGAGCTGGGACTGCAATGTTTCTGGGTGCTGCTGCGACCATACAAAACGGGTAACATACATACACCATCTCACAGTGGAGAATTACGCCTTGATCCATTCCCCAAAAACCGCGCACCCGTCGTACCAAGTACGCTGTACCGCCATAGTCAAGTGACCTCCCGGGAAAGTACCCAGTACCTGGATGATACGCGTTCCCTGAGGCGAGCCTGCCATCCTGAGGAGTGTTCCGGCGACTAGTCAGGGAGAAATACAGTCAATAACATGCGCAATCGAGATTCAAGCAGTGGACAATATTATGCTTTTTTTATGAATATATTTTTAGTCCGTATATTATTGAACTCAATTTGGTTATGAAGATATATCCAACGTATTTGATATCAATTTTCAATGCTGAAATAATAGGAGACAGAATAATTCAAAACAAAGGTTCAAACCATGGCGCGTCGTCTCGTCTCGTCGCAGCCTGGGCGCTCACCCTTCAAACTAAACATGCCATGTATTGCAATACCCGTTTGCGCCGGAGCAGGGTTGCGCGATGCCCTTAGCGGAGAAATTGCGATCGCACAATGGCACCTTGGCTGTACTGGCAATATGTCCGAGGCGATACGGGGATGGGTATGGAGAAGAGGAGAAAGCAAGCTAGTAAGGATTGACCAGGCACAAGTACCGCAAGTACCGTATCTGTCTCTGCCCATGTCTCTAACTGTCCCCGGCAAAACTTGTACTGTATGCCGGATGGAGGAGCTAGGACGAGAAGTACATCCGCCAGGGAGAACAGAGTCTGGCTAGAGAATTTTAATAGCGCAGCAGATCTAGGCGCGGTTCGGTCACGAGCAGATAAAAAGAGAAAGGAAAAAAAATACCAAACCAAACAGCATTGGATCTAGAAACTACTAAGTACAGTGTCTACCCAACCGACAGGATCTCAGCTTACATCTGTAAGTAGGATGCCGCACGTAAAAGCTTCCCTAGGACAAGACTCGACGCAGTGACCTACTATGTATTTATGTACATACATGTGTAGTCGTAGCAATGGCCAATCCACACCGTGTCGACTGGGCATGCAGAGCAATGCCGCGACCAAATTAGCTCGAGGTAAGGGCCTGGAGTTTTGCAACCGCCCGGAGTTGCTCACTTCCCAGTGTGGCGGACCCTGCTGAACCGCCCATTGCAAACACGGCCATAACAAGCTGTCCTCGATTGTAGTTACGAAGAAAAGAAAAGAAAAGGATATGGAAATAAAAATGGATAATTGTCAATTACAGAATGATAGCAGAATTTCTAGGATATTGAATTCTCTGTTTATTTCCATATTCTGCGGAAATAGCTGTGAACGGGGAATACCCCGATACCATGATTATGGAGGAGGGGAAGCGTTATTACGATATGTCCTCCGTAATATAATCTGGTATTATCAATCGTAGCAGTGGCTTTCTGTGCCAGGGCTCTTATCGCCGGTACATTTTCTGAAGATCGTACTGTAATAATCCAGGTCGCTGGGCCAGCAGGATGGGAGGGGGCCGTACATAGTTGGAGGTGGAGGTGGAGGTGGAGGACTCGATTATTGGAGCAACAGGTTCCGTCCTTGCTTGGATCACACCATGATCACAAGCTCAGGATTAGCATTGGCGTATCTACAGGATACTTTACCTTCCCCATAGTAACATACTGTTTGGGAGGAGGAGTCGTAACGCGGTAGTGGTGGTAGACCGGGGGGGGCTGCTGCTGCGACGCGTCGAGTCCCTCGGTACATACTGTGACTCTTAGGCAGTCGGTACTCAGAACCTTGAGGGTTTACATGCTAAGTCTCTACACCTATGCGACCACCCTATAGGGCATAAAGGTCCCTGTCATGTCAAGGAGTGGAGAGAAAAGAATGCAGAGCAGACTGGGCTAATGCGATGCCCCTGCTAGGAAATAGCAGCGCCCAACATAAGCCAGAGAGAGTTTAGTAGAAGAGAAAATGCATTTGTTTTGGTCACATTCCCCGGGGAAAAGAGCAAGTAGCTTTTGAGCTTGCGTGGTACAGAGCAATCTTAGCGTGTCCAGTGTCCTGGCAATGGCTGCAATAATAGAAGCCTTAGTACTTTTCTCCCTCCTTTTTCAAAGTAATGTACTGGTGTAATAAATGTGACAATACATCACAGTGCCCGTACATTCCTCCCGTGTGAATCCACTGGTAACGTTACCAGCTTCCACTCCTTCCGAGAGGAGAGCGTCATAGAGTCGTTGCGTCGCGTCGGTATTCTGGTTCCCCCCAATAAGATGTAATACACTCGAAAACTCTGCGTGATAACCCCCATTGCCCATAGCCACACTCTGTGTGATCCGTACTCCGTTCCCCATAGTGGCAGTCCCAATGTTGGTTGAGCATTTTACCGCATTCACCCCCTCTTTTCGGATTTGATCGCTGATCCTTTTTGAGTAGCTACGGTAATTTAAGCGAGACTTGCTCTTACATAGGACTATTTAGATTACAGTAGTATTATATGATGTAGTACATTATTAATTCCTTGCTCAAGATCTCTCCTCTCGGCATATGTAATTCGTTTTTTTTTTTATATCTATCGAAACCAGGATGGCCCCGAACCTCCGAGCGCCGACTGGCGCCCGTCAACGATTTCCCTTTCTGCTCTCTTTCCGTCATTGCGGGTGCCCTGTGATGTCGGCGTGGGTCAATGGTCCTACATGGCCACACTCGACCCTGTCCTACAGTAGTACATTGGACGATTACTAACGGGAAGCTTGGGCCTACTAAGTTAGCATCGGTTATCCAGATTCGATGCTTCTTTCTAGAAATAGTCAGGTCCAACTAAGAATAACACTCGTCCCCATGAGGCTAGTGGGAGGGGCTCTGCAGGGCCTAAGATCGCCATAGAAGAAATGCCATTATTAGATGGACAAAGTATCGTAGTCTGTAGACCCATCTGTAGCACCTGAAACGCCAATATGCACATGAGGGTATCCCGTCAGATAATCACCCACACCCCAATTGACCCATAAAATATTAAGAAATCAGTCATCACTTTCTTCCAGTACCAATGCGCGGAGGGTGTCGTCGTCGGCCCAGTCGAGTCCGCTACCAACCACCATCGCACTAGCAATGCTCTTCATGGTCTCCCATTTCGCTTTGCTCTTCTTCAGCTCAGCCTCAAGCTGATCCAGCTGGGATGCGAGATCTGCGTCCTGGAGCCGCTCGCGCCAGGAGGAATCCTGCTTGGTCAGCTCGAGAAGCTCGCGCACCAGTTCCTGGTTCTCCTGGTTGATTTTGAGGTTCTCGACCTCCGCATCAGATAGCTGTTTGAGTACTAGCTCATGCGCTGATGCTAGATTCTCCTGCGCGAGGGCGAGCACGTCGCGTCGATTGACTAGGCGGAGTAGAGCTCTGCGGGTTGGATGAGATAAGAATCAGATAACAAGAGCGATTAAGGAGACCGGTAGTTCACGTACCGTTCAGGAGGTGTAGTCGCTTTGAGGTGAACTGCTTTGAGAATAGGATCTGTCATGAGAATTGTGCGAGCAGCTTTCCTTCTGACAGTGTAGGAACCGCGCGCCTCGAGGAACTCGCGTTCCGCGATCGCGAGCTCTTCTTCAACATTGTCGCCCGATAGTGATTCTAGTTCTACAGAAAAGTGTAAGTAATTTGAATTGAAGTACTTGAAATGGCATCAAATAAATTCAAACAGCACATGACACGGAAGAAAGTATCATAGAAGAACAAGCAATCAGGATTTGTTCGGAGAAAAAGGACCTCCCGCATCGTAGTAGATCGTACCTTGCTCCAGTAATGCTTTCTCCAACTGCTGTTCCTGCACTTGACCAGCCAGCTGAAGCACCAGCGCCTCCTTGTCAGACAGGGTCACGATATCACGGACATCATCTGCCGCATAGTCCAGCAGGGCCAGCTCGTTAGAGAGCAGGTGAGGCCTCACGGAGCCCTGTTTGGTCGCCATGGAAGGATCTCGTGGGCGGGTGGGCGTGTACCTTGTGATATGAGCGGAGGGCGGTGGAGAGTCACTCATTTGGAGAGAGCTTTAGCCTCCTCCCGATTTACCCTCGTTAAACCCGCCTCCCCTCCCACTTCCCTAGTCTTTCGAGCTCTTGCGCTCGGTGGTGAGGAGGGGGATCATGTCTTTGCATATCTATATTGCTCATTCCGGTGAGCATTTGCTGGCGGATCCGGTCGCTTTTGCTTCGTATGTTGATTCCCCGACCCGATGAGGGGGTGCCTATTGGGTCTCGAGCGCTCCGAATGAGCTCAGTATGCAAGCTAACGCTGTTCTGATTGTTCCAGGCCGGATTCCTTAAAAGCATGGATTGTTCGAAATGCCTCGATTCCGCCAACCAGGCAGATATTGATGACTGCGCGAGGGAAGAATGTCAAGACCCAAACGCTCGCCACCGAGGTATGGAAATGTATAGAGTGGATCAACGGCCCATGATCATCCCAAGAAGGCAATAAAAGAATCCTAACACCGAGAACCCAGACCGAGATCTTTGTCTATGACCGGCAGTACGTGAGCGAACCCGCCGACTTTGAGCTCCCCGAGCTTCCTGCCCCGGAACCATTTCAACCACAAAGCCCCCCAGCCTCGCTGACGGACCAAAACGACCTACAATCATGGCGGAACTTATTCATGACAAGGAGGACTTGGGCGATGGATCTATCTACTCGCTGTGGATCGATGGACAAGAACATCAAGGAGCATAACGAGAGGACTGATGTCATCAACCGTGCCGTGGGTGTTGCGCTGGAGAACCTCAAGTCGCACGTGGGCACACTGGAACATCGCTTCCAGGAGGCACAGTCGTGGGCAAATAATCTCCTTGAGGAGCAGCAGGCTGCCCTCGACGGCTGGCAGCGCGCTCTTCAGACGCTGGAGAACATTCCGGCTCGGAAGGACTTCCCTATGCTCGGGCGCCCATCCACCCCCAAGAAAGACAAGGATCAGCCTACGGGCACGCTGCGGGACTTTATCGATATCAATGAGGTTCAGCAAGCTGGCTCGGATGCGGCAGTCGTATCCCCACGCTTTGCAGGACAGGCTCGGGACCTTGAACAGGCTGTCGGCGATATCGCTGCGGATACGCAGGCTTTGGTGGACGAGGTGGTTCCCGTATCAGTTGATGACGAGGATGGCTTGCTTGAGGAGGTGGAAACCCTAGCAAAGAAGATTGGTTCCGATTACGAACATGTTCTCGGCTTGCCTAATAACCAGAAGATGCTGGCCAACGTCTCTAGGCTCGCGCTCAACCATACTCAGAATCTGCTGCCTTCCTTGTTGGACCTCAGTGGCGATCTTTATCACGCCTTGGAGCAAGCAGTCGGTCGACGTGCCACTGCCGAGAGGACAGCCTTACAGCACATGCGCACGATCTCATTCATTGAGTCACGCCTTGCCGATGCCCATACACAGCTTGTCAATTTTGGGATCGATAGCAATGCGTTTGATATCCTCTACGGTGTTTTTCAAATGCCAATGCTCTACGGATCGGTCCTCATCGAGTCTGTCCGGCGGCATGAGTGGAATGATAAAATCAAATCCGACGCTTTGACTCTAGCCGAAGAGATGGCCATTTTGAGAGATGAAGAACAGCGCCGTCGGAAGAAATGGGTAAAAACCATGGGTGATTTTATCTCCTTTGGAGACTCTACAACGCCAGGAATCGAGATCAATCTCCAGGGCCAAGATATGGACTGGCCTGAAGTCAACCGAACCGAGATTGAAGCATATATCGAAGACCTGCGGAATAAGCACTCCTTGTCGAATATCGCAGGAGATTTAACCCAGCAATTCAAGGACCTTGATGCACCAAGTCGCAAGCTAAATCGACGAGCTAAAGCGTTCAAAAACGGGAGCGTCTTCGACTTAAGTCGGAGCTCTATGCTCCTACGCGGTGACGACATGGTTCGAAGTCTGCAAGAGGAAAAGGGGAAATTGGAGGAGAGGCTAAAGGGCTCTGACAGTCGCATTCGTAAATTGGAAGACCTTCTCCATCGCCAGAGCCACATGAGTCGGCCCTCGAGCGGTAACTTTGGACATGATTTCCCCATCTCGCCTGCGTCGCCGCACCCCGATGCCCTCTCAAGGCGCTCTTCTGTCTCGTCGAGGCGTGTCTCGATGACCCAGTCCCCCGAGGACAGAGCTTTGGTCCAACGTATTGTCTCTCTTGAAGCGGAGCTCAATGTGGAGAGAGAAACAGTACAAAGACTTCACAAAGAAGCTCATGCAGAGCGTCAGTCAAGCTCCGACAAGTACCAAGAGGCTCAATCCACGAAACAAGATCTCATTGGGAATCTCGAAGCGCGACAACGCGAGTTCGAAGATGAGCGAAGATACTTGGAGGCAGAGGTCAAAAAGTTTAGACTTCGCACTGAAGAAGTGGAAGAAGAGCTAGACAGAATTGTTGATAGTCGGGAGCACGAGAAGCAAGAGGTCGACGAGCGAATTCACCAGCTCGAGACTGCCCTGCAAACCGCTCATGATAACTCTGCCGAGGCAACTCGCAAACTGAGTGATCTCAAAGAGCGTGTTGAATCGTTTGAACAGGAGGAACAGCAGCTTCGAGCGAAGATTGAAGATCTCGAGCGTCAGCGTGGCGAATGGACCCAGAAAGACCAGGAGCATTACAGCGCTCTACAGTCGGCCTTTATGCTTCTGTCTCCTGGAGGAATTGTTCCTACTGAAGTTCATGGTATTATCAAAGCTATCGAGGTCCTTTCTGAAGGCTTGTCTATCCATGCCAAGAGTGCAGAAGACAGCGCTTCAAAGTTGATGACTGAGAACAAGGCCCTCGAGGAGAGAATATCTCAACTAGAGTATGAGCTCGAGGGACGGTTGAAGGTTGCCGAGGACCGCGAGGCCGAAATCGCCCGATTGACGCAAGAGCTCAAGAAAGAAAAGTCGAACGTGGACGTTGTTAAGGCTGAACTAGACCAAGAACGATTCCGGCTAAATACATTGCAGTCTCAAGTTTCAGCTGGCGAAAGTGGTTCTGACGCCCTTCGAGAGCAAATTGCCGAGGAAGAGCGGAAGCAGGCAGACTTGACGCAGAAATTGGCTGATGCGGAATCTTACGCCCAGGATCTAAAATCCAAGGAGGCAGACTGGGAGAGAAAGATTGAGGAAGTATCCCAAGCACGACAGCATGCTGTGGCTCGACTGGATGCCCGAGGTACCAAGTCTCACGACCTGTCCAAGCAACTGTACTCACAGGTTGAGAAACTGGAGCGCATGCTTGAACAGCTCGGCTTTGCCATCATCCAACAGGATGGCCGGTTGATTGTCCAGCGTGCATCCAAGCTTAGCACCTCATCTAGTCTAGGCGAAAGCATTGCTCAATCGGGTATTGTCACGGCGAGACCAGACTCGAGCCTTTTGGGCTGGATGCACGCAGACAGCCCTGAAGACGAGGAGACTAGATTCACAGCTTTCATGGAGAGCCTACACCATTTCGATGTCGCCGTCTTCGGAGACGTGGTGGTCAAGCGTGTCAAGGACATCGAGATATTGGCCCGCAAATGGCAGAAAGAAGCCAAGGGCTACCGAGAGAAATATCACCGAGTCCAAAGTGAAGCGCACGAGAAGATCGCCTACCGATCCTTCAAGGAAGGTGACCTTGCCCTGTTCCTCCCAACGCGCAATCAAGCCATCCGTTCCTGGGCCGCTTTCAATGTTGGTGCACCACACTATTTCCTACGTGAGCAGGACTCTCACAAACTGCAAACACGCGATTGGCTACTGGCCCGTATCAGCAAGATCGAGGAACGGGTCGTCGATCTTTCCAAATCTTTGAACGGCGTCGCCCCCGACCGACGCTCTCTCGGCGATGCCAGCGACGGTGCTTCCATCGACGAGAATCCTTTCGAACTATCCGACGGCCTACGTTGGTATCTCCTCGATGCCACGGAGGAAAAACCTGGTGCCCCGGCGACCCCTGGCCTTGCAAAGAGCACTGTTGCATCCGCCCATGTCGACGCGAAAGGAAGCATTCGTCTCAAACGGCCCAAGGAAGAGAGTACCGTCGCGCAAACCTTATCCAGAAGTCTCGAGAGCCGTCGCAATAGTTCAAACTCGAAACGAGGCACGCCTACGCCCTCACAGAGAGCCAGCGACTCCGCTTCCGACCTAGTTCGCCCAGCCGAAGCAGACGCCAACTCCCAGCCTCGCGAGTCTGCCCCAATCTTCGACGAGGTGCGCCGTGACCTGCTCCTCGGCCCGTGAAAAGTACGACGCAGATCTATCTTTTCCCGGGTCTGATTGAAGAATGACAACGCTAACTGGGATCTTCTTGTCTAGGTACAGAATCGAGCACGGGGCCCGATGTCTGCTAGTCAGCCTTTGTATGTCGGCGACATCGCTACATCCCCGGCCTCCCCGCCTTCTCGGTCAGCCTCTACACGTCGTCAAAATGGGGCTCGGAGACCGTGGGAGAAGTTGTGGTCTCTTGATTATCGATTTGAAGATGCAACGCAATAGAACGATTGTGACATCCAAGCGTTCATGTTGTTGGTTCTGGAGTAATCGGGGTTTCTTTTTCAGTTCTTGTAATTTGCTTTTTGGATGCTTTTTGTTCCACTTGATTTTTTGCAGTTCCTCCTACCAGGCCACTTGGGTCGCTGGGGGAGATTTATATGCCCTTCCTTGATGGGAGTTAGTTTGAGAGATACCCAATAGTACATAGCCTTATCCCCATGAAATTCTTCGTTCCGCTGAGCAATCATAGGCGTAAACGCCGGCTTTATGATCTTTTGGGAAGCCGTAGTCGTGTGTGGTTCTAGTTTACGAGTAGGGTTATTTTACGAACGTGGCAGAGATCTCTAGACGTATATCATGGAAGTACCCTTGAAGAAATGTTAAAATTCGTAATGTAACCAGCCCAGCTATATGCATTTATGAAATAAAAAAGTCGAATAGAATCATGTAAAACACAAGACCAGATCACGTTGCCTTCTCTTGAGCGCCATCCATGCCCCCTAGTTCATCATCCCAGAACTGACTGAAATCGACATTCTCCTCGTCGAACATCTGCTTAGCCTGCACCATAGCAGACCGCTGTCTCTCCGGGGTAAATCCGCCAGGCTGCGAGCTTTCCCACTGGACCAGCTCAACCCAGCGGAAGAACAAATCCTCCTTACCCATCGCAGTCAATCTCTCCCTAAACGCTAGGATCTGATCTCGCTGAGCAGACTTTTGACGTCCAGCAGGGGTGTTCTCATCCCCAACGCGCCAGATCAACCACCCATCCGAGTCAGTGTGAACCAGCACAGCAGTACGGAACTCGTCTAGCTGCACGCCCTCGCCCTTACGGGTCAAGTCGACTAGCGCATGGGCGCGTCTCATGGCGCTATAGTCCAGATTCCAGTCCTCGTCGACGAGCAAGTACCCCGTCTTACCGATCCGCTCGGGCGTCACAGCCGCAACGATCTTATCACGCATAGCCTCGTTATCACGAATCCACTTGTTGCGCTCGAGCTTCTTGCTCCAGTTGCGATGGCTGCGACGAACGATGATCTCGCGGTCCCGGAAACCGATGGCGCGGCGCCAGCGTACGGGGCCGATCACGAAGTAGATGGGCCAGGTCAGGAACAGCGTGAGGAGGTAGTAGTCGATCAGGATGGTGCCGACGCGGCGGAGTGTGATTTGTGCCAGGTCCGTCCACGGTGTTGAGGCGATGTCCACGCTCAGCGAGCTCTCCATTCCCAGTAGGATGGCGACTAGTGCTGGGTATGTGCTAAAGCCCCAGTATACGCGTAGGGCGATTACTGCGGCCACCACCACGTTGACCACTGTTGGTACGATGAAGGTCTGCCATTTCAGGTCTGTGCCTGTGGTGTCGATGTGAAGTAGGTATACCTCCTCTGGGACGAGGGGGTCGAGGAAGGGCTTGAGGATCGCGGGAGCTTTGGTGAATGGTGGGATGGGTCCAGAGGAGACTGAACTCGGGGTTGAAGCCCCCGATGAGGCTGGTGTTGACGAGGGCGTCTTCCGCCGGGACGATTTCGCCATGGCTGGTGTATTCTTGACTGATCGCAGACTCAATAGTGGTTGTTTGGGTTATTTTGTGAAACCAGTATGATTGTTCGTCCTTGTCAGGTCGTACAGCAGACTGGAGAGGCTTTTATCAGGCGTGTAAATTGAAACTGATCGATGATCGAGGCAAGTGAGCGGGTCACATGTCACAGTATCGAGTCACTTGCGAGGCGGCTGGCGATGCTCGCATGATATGGCACTCGCTAAATGAGGCAGCAGGCAGAAGTGGCTGCGGACACGAGGTGGCAGTGAAAAGGGAAGACGTTCTGGAATATCAGGCAGAAAGGAAAAGTGGGAGTTGGTGGATATTTAAAACACGTACGGACTTCGGAGTAATAGTGAAGCTGTTGCGGGCCCGCTCTAAGCCTCTAACCCCTTCGGGGAATGCGGGAGCTGTGTATTTACGTGAAGTACTTTGTAGAAGTTAAATCAATCTAAGCACTCGATCTATATTAACCAACGAACATAAAAAGGGAGAGATCTTTGCTTAAGATCTGGCGGGAGAGCTGCCTTCTCTGTTTCCCTCTGCCACCATGGCCTCTCCCCGCAGAGGCGACCGAGCTGCACTCGCGCGTCACCATCAACCGCAGTCGCCCTTTGCCCGCGCGCGAGAGCCCAGCTACGAATTCGATCTCGATAATTCACATTTTCCCACGCCTTCCAAACAGAGCGGGACGCGTCCTAGACCCAGCTTTCGCACAGGCACACTTTCCGGCGCGTATCGAGCCACTTCACGCACGAGTATGTCCGACGACGGCGCCGGACTCGGTCTAACCACCAGCCCGCGACAACCCCGAAATTTTGTCAGTGCGCGCTCGCCATCGTCGGATATGTCGAACCCACCCGAAGAACTCGTCGATGTATACAGGAGGATTGAGCAGGACGGAACACTGGCTGACCTGCCGCTGGACGATTGGGACGCTCCCCTCGAGACGCGTCCGGCCAGTCGGCCGAGTCGCTCGTCGCCTCGAGCAAGAGACAGAGAGTATGAAGGTCGCGCATTCTCGGAGGCAAGTTTTGTCAATGAGAATTCACCACGCAGGAGGACCTCCGACTATGCCAGAGACGAACAGCGACTTCGACGTGTGACGGGCAAGGATTCGCCGGTATTCAGCAAGGCCAAAGTCGGGAACCGTGCGGCCCTCACAGCGGACAATTTGCAACGAAGGGAGGAAGAGGAACAGGTTCATGTATCAGAAGAGGATGATGGCGAGCCGGGCCCATCGTTGAATTTGCCGCGGACATGGGGAACCCGAGCCGGACGCCGCTCAGAATGGCTCAGGAACGTGAGCGGAAGCACCGACTCCGAACCACAAGAGAGGAGAGAAGAACAATTGCCCGTCAACAACGTCTCACATATGCGAGCTCAGGCGGAAGATAACGTTCTCGCGAGATATTCTGCCCGCTCATCCTCACGAGCCAGTGAACGAGGTAGCTTCCCAGCCCGGAACGCCCTTGGCGAACGTACAGCCAATTTTCATGCCAAGGACGCACCGCAGGACAAGAAGGAAGAGACATCCAGCTGGGACCAGAAGGCACCTCAAGGCGAAGGTGTCCACGTGCCAAACACGCCCATCGTGGTCTATAAAAACCCTAGCTTCACCAAGGCAACTGCAGCGAAGCGTGATTCGCAAAATTTGCTTCGCAAGCTCGCACGAACCGAAAGCCCGAAGCCTGAACAAATGCAGACTCCAGATCAACCGAAGCTTTTCGAACGGAGGATTTACGACAAGACGCCCAGAGTGACGGGTGCCTGGATCGATACACCAATGACCGAACGGGTGGCAGAGCTTCCTCAGGAATTGACCAAGGATATTGTCCTGCCATCGGTGCCTGCAAAGGAACCCGAAGCTCCCAGACAGGAGCAAAAGCCGCCACCGAATGTTCAACCGCCAGTCACAGAAGTAAAGCCAGAGCCGAGCACTGTGGAAGAGCCCGTCTCTGAGCCCCAACCCGCCAAACGGAACAAGTCGTTTGTCATTCGACCCAAGCTACCAAAGAGCGGCCTCCAAACAGTCATTGAGGACGTGAGTTCCGGCAAAGAAACTTTGGACTTGGGAGACGACACAATTGAATCCCTTCAGGCAATTATGGATGACCCGACTGAGCTCAAGACCGAGGAAGAGGAGGAAGCTGCCTACGAACAGGAGGTGCTGAAGAGACTTGAGCTGGCAAATGCAAATGGACAAGATTCCGTCGATATTGATCGTCTGAACGACAAACTCCATTCCCTCGTGAGAAACATCAACGAAGTGAAGAAGGGCCTGAATAGCTTGGAAGAGCACGTCATCCGAGATGCGGCCATTGTGTCCCGGCAAGGCTCTCCCAAGAAAGCAGGCCCGCAGACACCAGACTCGCACTCAAGTGAGAACTGCGAGAAATGCGTCCATGACGATGGCCGCGTATACGCTGCTATTCCGCTCCCTCGCCTCTGGAAATGGGATCCCGTATCGCAGCGCCGTCAACTCACCAAACTAGGCTGGGTGACATTCGTTTCGCTCAGCTGGTATATCATCGAATGTCTGATGTGGGATATCTATGCCCACCCCTTGATCTCCGAAATATGCGATGGCTATTGCATGCAAGCGGATGCGCCTGAATTCCCATTCGTTACTGTCACGATGCTCTGGCGGTGGTCCCATCTGGAGTATCTTTTGGCGCCTGTTGTTACCATCTCTTTGGGCTTCTTCCGTCTCACGGCACAACTGCTGGGATTGTGGGATGGCTATGTCGATGAGCCACCGCAACTGAGCAACATTGTTGGCGAGATCCGCGTAAATGGTACTCCAGTCTCATTCCCTTGGTTGACGTCTCCGGGTCAAACGGTTGCACCGACACAGTCATCTATAGCTATGCCGCAACAGCCTGTGTGGACTCCTCGCAATGAAGTTCCGCAGCATGAAGCTCCCATCCAGTGGTCTGATGATCAAGTTTCCATGGAGGATGATGAATATCTTTGATTTGTGTTTTGTGGGTTGATTAATGAGGATGGGCATCAATGGCGCTCTTCGGGCTGTATTTTTTTTAGCTGGGAAAGGCATTTTTGATTTGGGAATGGAATGGGTATGAAAATTAGGGCTTGTTATTAGCGGAGTATTTAACATTACAATTCATCATTAAATATCCATCAATTTTTGGCTTTCTTAATGGTCGAAGGATCTCAATCGTGGTGCTCGTTTTGAGATATCTCTCGAGGACTGCTCCTATTCTACAATGAATGAACTACCACCATATAGCTTAACCAAATCTATCCCAGCGTAGCCACAAATCAATGAAGCTCCCTACACTCCCCCTTTTCTACCTCTAAACTTGACTAAGCGACCCGCAGACCTTGGCACGACCCATTCAAGTCTACAAATAAACCAGACCAAATCCAGCCACAGATGCGCAGATTATCACGCCGATTGTGCTCTGCGACTCAATCTTGGCTCAGAACCCTGGGGTGGTGTTAGATTATTTCCGGCAAATGAAAGCCCCGGTAAGTGACGAACCAGTGGTGATTGGAGACTCTGGCTGTAGAGCCCTGACTCGAGCAGAACTTCTAGGTCGACATTGTTCTGATGTAGCCCTCTGGTGACCAAAGTTTTGGTGCTGGAATCTGAAGGCAGGTTGGTTACTGTTGCTCTCAGCACTCTAGAGGGCTGACCTTTCAAAGAGATCCTCTTGGGACCATGTATGACGCGATCCCATATCGCAAGAAGGGACGAGCTTCCAGTGACGAAAAGCGAAATCAATGATAGTGTTGTGTCTATCGACCATGGCATCTTGGATGTTTTTTGAAGAACTACCGGTGCCTTAATGCTACTGAATATTTATATTCTAAGGATCAACTCAGATTTTGGATTCCGCTCGCAAAATCCCGTGGAAGCCAGGCCAGGAAACCAGATTATGGTGACCGTGCAAGAGCGGTACTTTTGTACAAAAAACAGAAAAGCAGAAAAACAAATCAAAATCTAATTCATAATACTAGAAAACCCAAATGAGACAGCTCTACTTGTCCCTAGCAGCCCCAATCCTCGAATTTGGGTGTCAACCAATCATAAGGTCGGCCTCGTCTTGGGGCAGTGCCCGTGAAGCAGGATTGGGCATCGGCCAATCAGGATGTGACATTGCCTGTACCAGCTGGACACTGCAGCGACCAGGATATAAAGATAGCTACGTCGCAGAAAGAAAATTTCGTCCAAGCAGTTCCTCATGGCCAAAATCGAAGTTTGCACTATCGGCCTGTCTTTGCACCTTCTCTCACAATGCCAGCACAAGCACCCCGAATCCAGGACAATGTATGGGATCAACACAAAGAAGAGATCATCTCTTTCTATTTGACACATTCATTGGACCAGACGATGAAGCATATGGAAGATAAATACGGATTTCGACCTAGGTACTTTTTCAGTTCCCTTGGTCAATCATTTGAATAACCGAAATCTGACTTTGTGATGGTTGCTCTCAGTGAAAACCAATACACCAGAAAGCTGAACTCGTGGGGCATAAGGAAGTATGTTTCTGGAAGCGACTGGGTCAGTGTCTCCTCTGTGAAGCGAAAGCGAAGCCAAGAGGGCAAGGATAGTGATTTTGCTTTCTACGGATGCAAAATCACACGTCAAAAACTCGACAAAGAAATCGCACGGCACGTTCCCTTGAGTAGGAGTTGGTGCAGCTCTGAACAAGCTGTTCTTCCAAATTATATCACTGTCTCTACGCCCCCGGTAGAGTCAATTGGCATATCTCGCATGTTCCTTCTTCGAAATCTTCCTTGGTACGATTACGCGCAGGAAAGACAAGCACTGGGTAAGTCCTTGGCTGCTCCTTACAACCTATTATATGATGTACTGCTAGTCTCTTTTTAATCACACTCAACATTTTGTGTATAATTGTCTATTATTGTTTCCATCATTATTGGTTGAAACTAACGAGATGTCTAGTTTCGGGAGGATACCGAAAAAATGTCATCTACTCAATCCCTGATACATTCTTGGAGCTGGCCATAAAGAAGCTTTCGTCTCAATCCAACATCGATCTGCCAAAACTTGACGTACGTGTAGTATCGGATTTTGGCTTCAGGCTCAACAGCGATCTTCATACCTATCTTCCACCTGAAGATATGGGGACTCAAGATTCATTGAACGGGCTGGGGACAAAACGGAATAAGCCTCCTCTTTCGGTCCTCGGAGTGTTCCTTAAACACTTTGTGTTTTTGTCTACCAACAACCTACTCTATGAATCCCAAATCAACAGAATCTGTGACTGGATTGTTGGTAAATGTGGTGCTGATATCCTTCTGTTTCTGTGTCGGCCGGGGTCACTCTCCAGGAAGGTTTTCGCAAGAAAGGTCCTCTGCAGCGCAGTTGAATCCGGAAATATGCTCCTTGCTAGCAGAATAATCCAATGCGGGGCACAATTACAGGATGTTTCTTCTCAGAGTCAACGTTGGGCTGAACACCTTTCAACGGCCGTATACAAAGGGCACGAGGCTATGGTTGAGCTACTGTGTAAAGCTGGGGTCCCACCTACGGTCCAGAATCGCTGGTCATCCATTAAGTGGGAATCTCACCTTCCGATTATACAAACACTCCTCAAATATGGTGCCGATCCAGAGACCTTCATCACGAAGGAGAAGCCTGGGTTCCCTCTGATTGATGCAGCAGGGAATGGTAGCCTAGGGGCCGTGAAACTGCTTCTAAATGCAGGAGCTAGAATTGACCTTTATCTTCCTGAGCATTGTGGAACGGCTTTACAAGCCGCAGTTTCGAAGGACCGCTTAGAAGTGGCCAAATATCTCGTCCAATCTGGAGCGGACGTTAACGTTCCTAGAGTTGAACATCTCCGGCATCAGCGATGGTCTATATTATTCAACAATAAAGGAAAGACGGCTTGTCAAACTCCAGTTCAGCTTGCTACTAAAGTGAACAATCTTGCTCTTCTTCGAATTTTGCTGGAGAATGGAGCATCTGCGATGGCTTGCCCAGTCTCCATACTTCCTGACTTTGAAGCCATTTGCTGCTACCCAGAAAACGAATTCTACCGGTATTGGCCACTGAGATTTACACCTGTATATGACAGTGAGTACGCGGTATACACTGCCCTACAATACGGGGTTTTATGCCGAAATTTGGACATTGTCGCTTTTTTGCTATTCGTGGGAGTTGATCCTGATTCCCAAGTAGCACCAGGTATCGGCGACACACCTTTACAGATGTCAGCAAGATTAGGCAACTTTCAATTAGCTCAGCTCCTTCTGAGCGGCGGTGCTGATGTCAATGCCTCTCCTGCGGCTTTCAATGGCCGAACAGCGATTCAAGGGGCAGCGGAAAGTGGAAACTGGGAGATTTTATCAATGCTTCAAGCTGCAGGAGCGCAAATCAATGCTCCAGCAGGAGCGAGGCTAGGGATGACTGCATTGCAGGCGGCATGTTCGAAGGGCCATTCTCTGATGGCGGGGTGCTTGCTTGCTCATCAGGCGGATATAAACGCAGCCCCGTCGCCGCTGGCAGGATTTACACCCATTCAAGCTGCATCTGTTCATGGTGATATCAGTCTAGTGAGAGATTTGATTAGCCTTGGAGCAGATGCCAACGCTCCAGCAACTGAGATGGGATCGACTGCTCTTATGGTTGCTGCAAAGCATAAGTCTCTACCGCTTCTCGAGATACTTGTGAAACATGGTGCAAATGTCAATCCGACAAGGGACTATGCTCTCAGCACTCCTCTGGGAAAGGCTGCCTGTATGGACTGGCTCGAGGGAGTTGATTTTCTCTTGAAACACGGAGCAGATGTTGATGACACTCCATTTGAATTACTAGAATCGGATGAATATGAGGATTTCCTCACAGAGCTGCTGAGCCCTCTGGGCTGGGCTATCTCCAATGGCAATGAGGAGATGGTAGGTCTATTGGTGCAACATGGCGCGGATGTTCTTTCAACTGCCATGCTTGATGAAGTTGAGTCGCTAAGCGGCCTGATATATGCAATATGCTACGGGTCAGATTTGGCCCTCGTTGAATTGCTTCTTGCAAACGTCAAGGACTTGAAAAATTATCCTGAGTGGGAGGATGCGCTAAAGTTCCATTTCGAAAATTCAGAAACCTTTCATATTGATATTTGTGAGCTGATAGTTGAGAAAACAAGCTCACTGGCGTCGCCTCTTCGTCACAAGGTGATACAAAACGGATGGAACGTATTGCCTACATCGGGCTTCCACGACGATGAAGATTTGCTAGACGTCATTGAGCTTCTCATAAAAACAGGGGCAGATTTGGATTCTCGCTCCGAGGATGGAAGCACTCCTTCAACGGATAGCTAGAAGGGGGTATCTTGAACCCTGCTGTTTTCTGGTCGACCGTGGTGCTGCCATTAACACCCATGCCGGCGAATCATATGGAACAGCCCTTCAAGAGGCCATCAAGAACAATCACACGAAGATAGCAGATCTTCTACTGGAACATGGGGCAGATGTGAATTCTTTACCAGCACTCGACAGGGGTGTTACAGCACTTCAAGCAGCTTCCATCAATGGGATGCTCGAGATGACTATACGACTACTTGAACTCGGGGCAGATGTATGCGCGCCAGCTGCACCAAAGAACGGAAGAACGGCAATTGATGGAGCTGCAGAGCGTGGTTATTTGGAAATGGTCCAATTGCTTCTAAACGCATATGGAGAACAAGAAGCGCTGAGGACGGTATGCAATCAGGCGGCGGGTTATGCGGAAAAGGAAGGTCACTGTGAACTTGCCCATTGGCTACGAGCGTATCCGCCTGTTTGATTTGCTGTACATGATTCGAGTCAAACTTTCCATAGGTCTTTTGTGAACATCCAATTATCTTATGATTCCTAGCATTTATCAATTTCGGATAGAAACGCGAGAAAAGGAGCAATGAGTGCACCAGCATCAGCACTTGTCTCGGCAGCTGGCATTGGCTATAAATCTTATCCACCATGAAGGGCCATTGCAGTGAAAAATGCTCTGTGACAGATGATTGCCAGTCCAGTCACAGTCACGGAAAGATTTGTAATTCAACTTCAGAGGAAATTTGAGGTTCTAAAGCAGGCATTTTCGTAGGGAAGAAGTTGAAAACTCCCAAATGAAGGTGGTGTTATTTAGATGCTTATAGTGGACAAAGAGCATGGGGTATCCATGCTTCATGGCTCGCATGGCCTGAGGTCAGGCCAAAAAGCCATAATTATTGTAATTTTCAGGCCACTATATCTCAATAATTAATGTTACTTGTGCGGGAGAGACAGGGACTGTTGATTTTAAGAAGGCGATGGTGGTACTCGCGCAAGCTTGAAGCTGGAGGGTTTTGGTACATAGCGTTCGCTTGATTTCTTTCTGATATATTGCGCTTTTCAAGCCTGATTGACCCTCATGAACAAGTCTTCAGTATGGCACAAGATAAAACATGGGTATAGATTGAAATCGACCTCTGAATTCCTCGAGTATTTACAGCTTCGCCTGTGCACGCCACTCCTTCAACAGCGCCTCCTCATCCCGAACTCTCCAACCAGCAGCCTTGGCCATTCGAATATCAACTCGGTCCTCATCCAGCTCGGACACCTTCTCCAGCGGGTACTGGCAGGAAACCTGTAACCCGTGCTTAAACCACGTCCAATCTCCGGTTGATTTCACACAGCCAGCCGCAGCATCTCGACAAAACTCGGATATACTCTTAAAGAACCTCTTCCCAGTCGGGGTAGAGATCATCAATATTCCATGGCAATGCGGCATTCCCTCGAATTTCTCCGCCACAACAGGGACGCCTGCCTTGTGCATGCGCCGGGCCAGAATCAGGCCTTCGTCTGTGAGTAGTTCTTCGCCGGTTGAGATGAAGACTGGCGGAGAGTCTTTCCAGAGTTCCGGCTTCGCTGCGAGCGGAGATGTGAGAGGGTGGAGCATCATGTTTGCGTTGACGAACATGTCTACACGGGGCGGAGTTACCGGCCATATAGAGCCGGGTGGGAATGGCAAAGGCGTAGATGGGGCAGGTTCATCTGGATCGTCGGATGGGACAGACTTCATATCGAGATAGTCGTATTTGGTATTGTGAATGATAGATGGCATGGCACGAGTCATATCGCACCAGGGTGAGATAGTAGCTACACCTGCGGGAAGCTCAATGTCCACATCCTGGCCGTGGAAGCGAACCGATCGAGAAGCTCGCTTTAAAGTGAGCAGCGTCTGTAATAGGACCAGAGATAGATTTCCACCCGCAGAGTCACCCGCAATAATGATCTTGTTTGCTGGAATGGGCTTGTGGAGAGCACCTGCGGGCGGGTGAATCAATGACAGATATGCCGTTAGAGCATCGACCAGCGCCGCAGGGAAGGGATTCTGCGGCGCCAGTCTGTATCGCACTGAGAGAATTGGGGCGCCTGTGAGACGTGACAGATGTGCCACTGGCACGCGATGCGTGCAAGGATCCATCATGCTGCAACAATGAGTATTTGACGAGACCATCAGAGCTGGAAATTGACCAACTCACAAGTAGGCACCACCATGGAAATACAAGATGGTCATATCAGAAGGAGATTCTCTCCGCAGCTCATTATACTTCTCTGCTTCGGACAAGTCAGGCTGAGGTGTCTTCTTGCCCACTCCACTGCGATAGCCTGTCCATTCAGCCTCCACCGCTGCAATCGGGGGCATGTCAAAGGTCTCGTTGCCCGTCGTCATGAGATCTTCAATGGCGCGTATCACAGCATCACGCACATCGAACTCTGGCTGGGGCAGAGTTATCTTGGACACCCACATGGGTCCCTTGATACCAGGGTCACGCATGCTATTCTTTTGCGTCTTATCGACTGGAGCGCTGAAGGTCATGAAAGAGCGAATAATGGATGTGGTCAGTTCCGTGCGAATATTTTGCTTCCCCTTTACGGGAGACATGTTAATTCCATGGAGGACGAGAGTCTTCAAGATCAATGGGATTCGGACTAGTAGCTCCTTCAGGAGGTGAATGGTGTGTTTGAAGTCGCCCATTTTGGGGAGAGTAACAGAGTGGCTTGGAGCACTCCTGGTAGGTTGGAGAAGTGACGACTGAGAAAGATACAACGGACCAGGAGGGCTTTCCTGGAGAGATCCAGTCAGTAGAGAGACTCCACTGGGTTATAGCTCATGAACTGTTTCCAGCTGGTCGAACTATTGGGGAAACCGGATCCCTGGAAGTGGCGTCAAACGAGCCGAGGTCCGGTTTGCGGGGTCCACTCGTGCCCACTTCTGATCAGTTTTGAGCTTCTTAGTTCTTACTGTAAGACAGACTAGAGATAGACTAAGTTAAAGTTGAGATACAAGCACATGATCCTGATCCTGTAAGCAACATTAAGCAGTTTTCTTTCGGAATTGGAGAAGAGATATCCGAGTTTATAGGCTTGTGCCAGCCCTCCGTATATGTCCGGCTGGTATAGTCCCTGTAATATGCACAACGCCAACCCCCTACCAGAACGCCCTTGCAAATCGTAAACTCATAATGCTAGATGATCAAAGGCAGCAGATCTATGTAGATCAAATGTCAAGAATGTGAGGGAAGATCCTCTGATCTCTCCGCATGAACTAGTGGTACAGTCCCTACAGCCTCCGGACCTGGACTGCCCAGGCGATCTCGCGCCTGTTGCACCTCAGGCACTCCTCGAAGAGGATGGAGTTCCTTTTGATAAACAGCCTCCTCTTCCTCTTTCAACCCCGAGCCAGTTGGGTCTCTACGAATGAGGAAACTCTGCACTCGAGCATCATTGTGCGGCATCTGGGTGACAGTGTGCTGGCGACGACCACTTAGGAACCGCATCGAATCCTCGCTAACCTCGCGCAAACGCTGCTCATATCCAGAATTCAATTGTCCGATCCAGGAAGCCTGGACAGCACCACCGAACAAAACGAGAAGGATGACCAGCCGGGTAAAGGTACGTTGGTCAACGACGTGCTGCTGTTTCCCTTGATGGCGATTATTCCATCGTTCCCAGTCTTCCCACGTTGCATTTGCATAGATAGTAGGCCCGTAGGGTCCCCTATCGGCCGAGGCATCAGCCACGGTGTTGTAACGTTCAGAGTTGTGGCTCCATCCAGCGCCTGTTTGGTCGTAGGCAGCTCGCCTGGTCGGATCGGAGAGGATCTCATGGGCAGTGACCACAATGTGATACCGCTGTAGACGAACTTCGGGTGTGATGTTTCGACAAAGGGGGTGCTCATCACATGGCCGATCTGGATGGTAGATCTTTACTAGATCATAGTACCGAGCTTTCGAGTACGGGGCGTTGCGGTGCAGGTTGAGAACTTCATACGGGGTGAAACATGAGCTTTTGGGCCACGAGTACGGGGGATCCGAGATGTCCGATGCGGTGGCATAACTTCGATTGGACCGTGAGCTCCAGAGCCCAGGGCATGAAGCACTGAAGCTCGCGCGAGTGGGTGGCAAAGTCGTAGCAGATGAACTCAGGAGCTGAATACCCCCGTAGCTAAAGAGGCTGGCCTTCTTGAACATGGCCGCATGATTCTAAGAAGAGAGCAGGGTAAAATTCCCGGTAGCTCTCTGGTGAAATTGGAATGGAATCGAGTAGTGAGGGGATTCGTCCCCGTAACAAGAAGGTTGGAGAGGGTCACGTGGGGCCGGAGCTTGATTTCCCGGAGAATTCGTGAACAGCTCCAAGTGGCATCACTCTACAACTTTCTCATTCTGGCTTGTCTCCACAGAATGGCTGGGTCGCAAGAGGACCATCGAGATCGCCGGCGGCGCTCGCCTTCAAATTCTTCAAATCGGAGCCGCGAACGGCGACGAGACACTCGAGGCGAGTACAAGAGCTCACGGCAACGAGACGATGACCGTCGAAGCTCTCGTCGAGACAGTTCCCGGCGCAGATCTTCGCGCAGTCCATCTGCGAGAGAATCTACTCGAAGGGACCAAGACCGAATCCGCCGGGAACGCAGAGAACGCTCTACAGACCGTGCAGACGAGGATCGCCGAAGAGACAGACACCGCAGCCACCGACATCGCGACGATCGTGACCGTGACCGTGATCGCGAACGATCATCGAGAAGACACCGCAGCCCACGACCTCGGTCTCGCTCCCCACGCCGATCACAAACTCCTCCGCGAGCTATACAACGGCGCGGCCCTCTGCCATCACAATCCGACGCCTTTACGGGCGAATTGGTGCAGTCCGGCGATGCACCTCCCCCGAGAAGATCAAGCCCAATTTCAACCAGACTGGAAGACTTGCAGCTGAAAGTAATACAATTCAGGTCCAAGGGGGTGAAGGGATTGTCTTGAAATACCACGAACCTCCCGAGGCCCGCAAACCACCCGCCAAAGAGGCCTGGCGATTCTATGTTTTCAAGGGAGAGGACTTGCTCGAAGTGGTCGAGCTTGGTGAACGCAGCTGCTGGTTGATCGGTCGTGAGAATCGCGTCGTGGACTTCCCCCTCGAACACCCAAGCTGTTCAAAGCAACATGCTGCACTTCAGTTTCGCTACGTCGAAAAGCGGAACGAATTTGGGGATCGGATTGGCAAGGTCAAGCCTTATCTCATTGACCTAGAGAGTGCGAATGGCTCCCATGTCAATGGTGAGGCTATTCCTGCAGGTCGTTACGTGGAGGTCATGGACAAGGATGTCATCAAATTCGGGTTGAGTACCCGTGAATACGTCCTGATGCTGCCGAGCTGAACACTCGCTTCCTACAACATACTTTCCAGCAAACTGGAAATTTACGACCCTTAATGAGAAGATGTCGAATACAATCTTGATATCATGATTTGTGTAATGTACAGTACAGAACGTCGAGGGGCGAGAATATCCCCAAGAGGAAAAGATCATGCAACAACCTCAACCTCAACCCAAATGCTCCCGCTTAGCCTGCTTGGCCTTGCCTTCCACCTCGTGCATCTTTCCCTTCGCCTTCCCGGCAAGTTCCTCGGCCTGTCCCTTGCCCTTGCCCATGTACTCCTCCGCCTCGCCCTTCACTGATTGGGCTTTGGATTCGGCCTCTGCACTGGTGGTGCCGACGGTTTCCTTGACCTTCTGGCTAGCCTCGCCTATGTAGTTAAACATTGCAAATTAACGTCCGACTCTTCGGGATCCTGTGTTTCAAAGGTGGAATAAACATACGGCCGAGGTCAATACCCTTGACTGCTGCGTCGGAGACAACCCGGTCGGCTGCCTTGAGGGTGTCCTTGGTAGCATCAACGGGGCCCTTCTCCAGTCTGGCAGTTGTAGTGATGGATCGCAAGGTCACTGAAACTGGGGCAGCGGTAGTGGCCACTCGGGACCTGACAACAGGGACAAGGCGTGCGGCAGACATGATGGATAGATGTTTCGTGGAAAGATTTGAAGATGTTTTGAGTTTGTAGATGGTTGGTGGAATGAGAAAAGTTTTTGTTTGATACTTGAAAGTAGTGGGAAATTGTTAATGGTGATTTATACTAGCTGGAGTGGATAGTTGGCCGTACATTGGCTGATTCTTGGAAATCGCCGACGTCATCGGCATCACATTCCTGACGTCGACAAACGATCACAACCCTGCCACCAGGACTTGCTTTGCTTGCTTTCTACTTGATCGGCGATCACTACGGGGGGAAATTTGAAGCCAGGCCTGATCCGGTCATTTTCGTTGTTCTTGATCATCATGTGGGTTCTAGATTCCGCGCCTGTCGTGAACCTCTCCTTGTGGAGTGCGAGCTAGGGTCGTTTGAGTGGACGCACAGACTACATGTTCCGAAAGCTTTACTATACTAAACATCTTTAACCATTTCCAAATCATCTCGGCAGTTTTAAACTCATGCAGTAATAGTTTTACCCTGCGCCAGTGCAAGGCGATTTTGATGCCACTGTTATTCCATGTCAGATGTCAAGTCACACAACAGAAAAGAAAAGAAAAGACCTACCTTCCCACAAGAGATAGGCTCATACAACGCTGGATGATCCTCATCCACGCACGATGGCACAACCGTACACACCGAATCAGGATTAAATCCCAAGAAAAACGGCATCGAATACCTCGACGTAGTCTGTCGGTTATACACCCGATGCACCGTCGACTTGAACCGATTATTCGAAAGCCGCTGCAAAAAGTCCCCAATATTCACCACTATAGTCCCGGGAATAGGTCGCGCATCTAACCACTCGTCACTCGCAGAGAGAACTTGTAATCCGCCCGACATATCCTGCCATAATAGAGTGACGCATTGAATATCAGTATGCGAGCCGATCCCGACGTCTGTCTCGGCGTCGTCGGATATAGTCTCGGGGCAGCCGGGGTAGTGGACGTATAGCCCGTCGGCGCCCGGGTTTGTGGTCACGGAGTCGAAGTAGTCTTCGGGCATGTCGAGGGCTAATGCGAAGATGCGGATCATTTTGCGGGCGAGAGTTAGGCGTCGCTGCCAGAATTCAATGGTTGTTTCCTTGAAGCCGGGGATGTGAGACGTCCCTTCCCATAGGAACTCGTCATTGCCATAGGAATAGCTTGGATCAGAGAGCAGGGCTTCTGGGTTGGACATTGTTGGGTCATTTAGAGGATTGTAGCGCAGTGAGAAGGTTTCCTTGCGGTCTGAATGACACGAGTTAATTCGATATTCAGTGATCGTATTCCTCTCGAATGAGAAAACCTACCTCGCGTCTCTGTCTTATTGACCTGTGTACTTCCCACACCGTGAAAGCCATCTGCATGCTTGGATCTCTTATTCGAGACCAGCTCCTTCTGCTCGATCGTTTGACCAAAAAACTCCTGAGCTTTTGAGAGCGCACGATCCAGGAGCTCTTCCGAGATACCATGATTCGTGATATAGAAGAATCCCGTACTCTCCGCCGCAGCTTTAACTTGAGATGCGATCGCTTTCCTGGCTTCAAAACCATTATCGATGGTGCTTAGATCAATGATCGGGATCTCATCCTCGGTAGGTAATCTGGGCGGTGCAGTGGACACTCGACGAAACTCCGGTCCATGGAGAGTCAGCAGTTCGACCTGTGTGTATTGAGTCTGAATCATTGTTGCCATGGCGTGCAGGACAAGTGTGCAACCTCAATTGCGGGGTTTGAGTTGGAAGGGCTGTAAGATTGAGAGGATGGCGTAAGCGGGTGGCTGCAGACAATCTATAACCAAGTTGCATCTAGCGAGGATATTCGAGATAAAGTATGGATAAATCAATGAGTCCTGAATTCACGGAGACCGCCGATTTCCTATTGATTGATCTTGTAATTCCATGATAAGAATGTCTCTCAATTCATGAGTCTGCGTCGGGTTTTCTCCGCACTTATCATGTTCAGTCGCAGAGGGGAAGCGTTAACTGGCGGTTCTTATCTGCGGGACACTCGTGGCGTATCCCTAACCACCGCTAGCATCTTGGCCTTCGAGGCTGTTATCAACTTATCGCTGGATGTCTTGTGTCTTTATCTGATTGCGATGAAGCCCCTCGCATAATGCATTACCTTTCATTAACTTCTGATCACCTGGAGAATGCTGGTTCGGAACTCTCTCATTTCACAATTGGAAGAGAACACCAGGCTTACAGATCTGGAAAGCCTACCACCCCAGTGAAGCCATGACAACCACACTACTATCACAGTTGAATGAGCGACTACTAGTCAAGGCCGTTGACAAGGATGGCTCGCAACGTCCAGTGGACATGTTGGACAACGACTCCATCCGTCCAACACCAACCAAAGATCGAACATGGACTCAGTTCACTTACATGATGTTTTGGTTCTCGGCGACAGCCAACGTCAGCAATCTGTACTCTGCCTCTACGGGTATGACAATGGGTCTGACAATGTGGGAGGCTATTGCCTGCTCCTTTGGCGGCCAGATTGTAGCTGGATTTCTGATGGCTCTGAATGGTCGTGCTGGCGCAATGTATCGAATTCCTTTCCCCGTGTTGTGTCGGTCTAGCTTTGGTCCTTGGGGCGCTTTTTGGCCTACTTTCAACCGGGCTATCATGTCAATTGTGTGGAACGGTGTCAACTCGGTTCAAGGAGCGCAGTGCTTATAGTAAGTTTACTATCGGAGCCGGTACAGAGGGATTCCAAAGAAAGCACATCTAACCAGTGATATTCCAGTGTATTCCTACACGCCATCTTTCCTTCCATCGACAAGATCCCAGATAAAATGGGCTCCAAGTCCGCGTTAACCTCTGCGCAGATGATGTGCTTTTTTGTCTACTGGTACTACAACCCTTAAGTTTCCCAACCTATCATTCACTAATCCCAAACAGGATCATCAATTGCGCATTCCTCGTCATCCCCGTCCCAAAAATGAAGTCCCTGGTATACGCCAAAGTAGTCGTCTTTTTTGCCGGTACCATTGCAATGTTAGCATGGACTGTTTCCCTCGCCGGTGGCTCTTCCGAGTTTCTACACATGCCGTCTACCGTTCGTGGCACGGAGAAGAGCTATCTGATTTTGAAATTCTTTTGGCTGGGTCTTGCAGCTTGCGGAACATTCGTAGCCAACGCAGCAGATCTTCAACGATACGCGCGGAAGCCCAATGATGTGCTCATCGGCCAAATGATCAGCTTCCCTTTGTCGAACTTGTTGGTTGCGATCCTCGGAAATGTGATTGCGGCTTCTAGTAAGTCGATTTTTGGAGAGGTAAGATATCGGTCATATAATCCACAGAAGCTTCTTACCGTTGCTAACCACCAAATCCTTTGTGCAGTTGATCTGGGACCCTCTCAACTTCTTGGATAAGCTGATGGAAGGCGAGCGATACACCTCTGGAAACCGTGCCGCATGCGCGTTCATTTCCTTGGCTTTCGTATATTCCAATGTTTTCTCGGCTATTTTCGAAAATTCTATTCCGTACGATTCCCTATCCATTCCAATCCAAAAATCATCCCAATGTCTAACAAATCTACAGCGCTGGCAATGACATCGCAGCTCTAATGCCAAGATACATCACAATCAAAAGGGGATTCTTCATTTGCGCCGGTAAGACCTCCGCTTCCCACCTAATCTACTACCTACTAACGACTCCCCATTCTAGTCCTCTCTTACGCCATCTGCCCCTGGTATCTCCTCTCCAGCGCCTCAATATTCATCACATTCCTATCCTCCTACCAAATTTTCCTCTCCGCCATCGCCGGCATCCTAATCTGCGACTACTACCTAATCCGCCGCGGCAAGCTGAACATTCCAGCTCTATACACCGCCCATCCAGAAGGTCTGTACAGATACTTCTACGGATTCAATCTATGGGCATTCGCTACTTATATCCTTGCCGTGGCACCGAATTTCTATGGCTTCCTTAGTCAAATGGGTGTTAAGGCGCCGCTTGGGGTTCAACGATTCTATTATGTTGCTTATCCGACTGGGTTGTTGGTTGCGTTTATTGTGTATTCTGTTGGTTGTTTGGTTTTCTCACCGAAGGGGATGGTTAAGGGTAAAGGGTGGAAGGAGCCGAAGGATTATGTGGATGAGGATGATGCGTCGGGGGATGCGATTGATGGGGTTGAGGTTGATAGTGCAGGGGCTGAGAAGGGGGGTTTCACTGTAGCGAAGGAGGTAAAATATTAAATCGGCTTATATCAGGTTATCTCAAGCTAGGTAGTAAGAATTTGCCAGAGAAAAGGAAGCACAGAGTGAGACAAAGCAAGTTATATTGGAATCGATGCATAAGCATAGCTTTTCCGTCATAGGGTATACTGTAACAGGCGGAAGAAGGGTTCAGTACAAGTACAAATAGTAATGCCCGAATAAAGCAAATGCATAATAAAACAAAACTCAACCCAAAACGCCTACCACAGAATATCATGCATAACAATGAACCCGAGGACAACAACAACGACGACAACACCCACAGATGCAGATCACCCCGTCTGTCTAGCAGGTTTTATCACCATGAACCAACAGAGCCCTGGAAAATGACACATACACAAACTCCAGCCCTCTGCAATCCAACCAAGTCCCACCACAACCAGATTAGCAAAACAACAACAAGAAAAGAATAAAGCACCAGTAATATGCAGATGCACCTTTTCCCCTAATCCAAAAATAAAAACTCAATCAAAGACGCGATCATTAAACTGCACACCCAAACCATTGAACTCCGGTCTCGACGGGGAGCTCCCACTCCGAGCACGCACTCCATAAACCTCCAGCGCCCGCGCCGGTGCATATACATGTCCATCACCCTGAACCAATGGTCCCGACATATTCGAATGATAAAGTTGATACGTCGGCATATGTCTCGGTGTTTGAAGCCGTCCCACTTCCTGTAGTCTCAGTCGTGCATCACGAACATCGACGCGGTGACCCCCGAAATGAAGAAGTTGTGTTGGGCCAACCGCCGGATCCCAAGCTAGTTCCACGTTTCTGAGACGCTCATCGACGGAGCCCAGTCGCCGATGGTTTTGTGGTAAAACCGGGTAGAGGTTGTCTGATTGGATGGCACTGACGCTGCTTGAGAGGGGTCGATCAGATGTCCAGCTTCCGGTGCTGGGCAGTGCACGTTGCTGAAGCAGTGGGGTTGGACTGCGCGTGATGTCACTTGGCTGTGCGAAGCTTGAGGCTGGAGAGAAGCGTGGTGGGGAGCGAACGGGCTCTGTGGCCCAGGACTGGTGTGAGAAATTGGAGGAGCCACGCGAGAGAGCTTCAGAGCCCGGGCGTTCGGCGGTTTGGTTGACCGTTGACTCGGACCCTGCTGTAGACAAAGGGGAGAGACCCAGGCATGATGGCAGAAGGGTGCGCTACTGCCACAAGTTTGGGGGCCATGGGAGAGGAGAAGGCAGGACCTGGAGCGCATTGGGGAACCGAACGCCTATGCGGGATGGTGATGGTAATATCTTGATCGTAGGGTAACAGCGGAGGAGGGTATTGAACCAGCGAAGGCGTACTTGCAGACAATTCTCGAGTGGGGATTCCATACGGAAACACCGAGGGAGTGCTCGCAGACAAATCTCGTCGTATAGTGGTCTCAATGTCATCCTGTATAGAAGGGCGACGAGAGTTGATCTGTGAGGTAGGTGCAGTATGCAAATCCAAGGCTCCCAGTGACTGCTCCAAGTAATCTCGGCCTGGGTCACTATATGTTGATCGAGCCAATGGCTCGATGATTTCATGAGACATCAGCTCGTGAGAGAGCGGAGACGCAAAGACACGGCTTGACTGGCTGTCAAGGGATTCCACGGAAGGCTTCATTTGTAGCCCCGAACTAACTGGAGCCTCTGGACCCAGTGTGGCTGGCATAGACGCTGGACGCCTCATCGGAGTCTCATTAGCCTCAAGCATCCGCCTAGCGGCTATACTCGCCCAAGTTGGCATATTCTCTTTATTAGACGGAGGAGTGTTCATGTCCGAGCCTGTCTTTCCACCGCTGATCCGCCGAACGGCAGCCAGTGCTTTTTCAGCCGCAGAGGCCAAAATCGAAGACCCTTCACTGTGATCAGAGGGTACGCGACTGGAGGATCCCCGTCCCTGAATTTGAGACACTTTCACCACCGGGGTGTCTGGTTTGGCACCGCGAAATCTACCAGGCCCGCGCGGCCGCTTGCTTGGTCTTGGCCCCGTGGAACGGGTTCTTGAATGGCGATCAACCAGCTGCCACTCTTGCGTATCCTCGCGAGGAACGGGTGGACTCGCCGAAGGTGGTGTTTGCTTCGACATCTCCGTAGGCCTCTCCATAGGTCTCTCCGGAAGCTTCTCCGTAAGCTTCTCCGTAAGCCTCTCCGTGGGCCTTTCCGTAGTTTGACTCATCTGTGAGAGTGCCGGAGATATGCGAGGTGCTTCTTTCGCTTCGCCATCGGTTTCATAGCCATCCTCTGACTCAGAGCCAGCTTGTTGTCGGAAAATATGAGGAGGAAACAGCTCTAATTTAAACCGAGGCAGACCCATCATTTCCTCCGGTGACTCTGCACGAATAGAGCCCGACTCGGTCCAATTCCAAGTGGACTGGCGTGAAAGACCGCCTTCATCAGCTGATGATTCAGGGAATGAGGAAGAGGAGCTGCTTGATCGGTCAAACACGGACTTCTGGTTGCGAGCTGACTCTTGTGAGGAGCTGGGGGACATGCGATCAATCTCGCCGCTGATACTTTTCATCAACTGTCGCAAGCTTTCGTGTGCTTCACGCAGAACGTACGGGTGATTTCCGATTGCGGATTTCTTAGGGAAGAGCTCAAGCAGGCGAGATGCGTGGGTCTCATACTCGCGGTAATCACGGACGAGTCCACAGTCATGGTAATGAGCCATTCTTTCCTTGGCCGTCTCGTAAGATCTGCAGAGGAACCGAGTAGCAACGATCAGCCACGAATCGTAAAATCCCGGATTCTGCTTCAAATCCTTGTATTCTTCATCCTTGATCTTGAGTTCATCGCGACAAAAGCCTTGCACGACGCTGTGAATCTTGACCACGTCCACTACCGAGTTTCCCCGGTAAATGGAGAAAAAGCCATCTTGACTGCTTTCCGTAAACGAATCGGTCAACTGGGGAGTAGGTTTGGGTTCAGCGTGCATTTCATCACTCGAAGTTTGCGCCGATCCATTAGACTGAAAACTAAGATCCGCATCTGAGGTCCGCTCGACCAGACCATAGTGGATCAAGGTGCCCAAAGTGGTGTCAAGGTCAGGGTCTTCCCCTGATTGTGCACTGGACATGATCTCTGCATTTTCCACAGTCATAATAGATCTCCCAAGCATAAGCAAGCCGACAGGGACGTGGTGACCGAGAAATGAAAGCAGGTTGATCAAATTCAAGGCCTCCCGCTGGTTTAAGCGATATAGATCGTTCATGATGCTTAGAAACGGCTCGGCAAGCTTCTTGTCAGTCACTTGGTGCTTGACTCGGTATCTCTCGATCGGCTTCCCCGTAGCATTGAGGCGATGGCCTATAGCGTGAATTGCGAGAGGGAGGCATTCATAATGTTCAACTAGCTCCGTAGCCTTGGAAGCCTGCTCAGCTGTGGGTCTTCTAATACCGAGGTCCTTGTAAAGAAGCCTGCAGGCATCTTCAACCTTCAAACGCGGCATATGCAGACAATACGGTTCAAAAAGCCGCTGTTTCTTCCGCAGCGTAGCATCGATGGACGTATAAATGATGCTGCATCTCTTATTCCAGGGCAAAAATGGTCGGAAATCATTGATATCATCATCATGGTCGAACGTGATTCCGTCAAAAACCAACAGCCACTCATTGCGTGATTGCAGCCAGTTCCGAACCGCATTCACGTATGTTCGGGACTTTTGGTAGTTGGGATCTTCTGCCTCTTTGTGGTCCACGAGTGTGGCGGCTTGTGCGATCTCCCAGAAGCACTTGTATGCTGACTCGCGGGACTTGGCGTCAACCCAGAATATTCCGCCTGTGTAGCACTCGCGCTGTGCGAAGACATACTGGCGTGCAAGATGGGTCTTCCCAGATCCTGGGACACCAGCTATTAGGACGGCCATAGCCCGCTCTGCACGCGCTTTGGCCCTGAACAGCCGTCTATGAAGCTCCTCGAGTTCCGTCTGCATTCCGAAGAAAGTGGCGTTCGGATGAAATCCGGGCGGTGCGACGAAAAGCGGAGGGTCATTTTGAGATGGAAGACCTGTAGAAGTTAGTTATAAAGATCATTCAACGTTTTTACAAGACACAGGGCAATATGTGGGGACCGAGATTATATTACTTACTGTTTAAAGAACGGGAGAGTGGCAATGTAACAGTTTTGCCCAATTCACTTGTTGAGGGATTGTAAGCATCAGTGGCAGACCCTCGGCGCAGGTCCGGTACAGAGTAACCTAAGGAAGGATAGTCAGCGTTGGCCTGACTGGGAAAGATAGATATTGGAAGACCAGATTGAATGATATCAGCTAAATTGAGAGGAAAACAAGAACGGGAGCCACGCTGAAAGACAAACACAGCAAGCTAGGTACACGAAGTCGAATCGGAACTCATAAACGGGGCGGAGCCAAATAATTGCAATATGAAGCGAGGAGGGGAGAGTCGGCGTGAAACATGGATATCATGTGGCCATCCTGCCTTGTAAGATCATAAATCATCGCCAGTAAAACTTCAAATAGCCAAACAGCAAACAGCAAACATCAAACAGCGGGCTCCTCAATCTCATAATCCTTCAATGTAACCGAATCTTCCGGTGCAGGGAGGAGATGGATTCCCCTACCAGTGGCAGGCGTCTTCAAGTCAGGCATGCTCTGGCCCACGGTGTCATCGGTGCCGTCGTATATCTCGCGTGCTTTGGCCTTCTTCTCCAGAGTTCGGGTCTTGCGCTCTTCGATCCAACGATCGGCGATGACGGAGGGCGCTTGGCGAGAATATCGGAGGATCGCTTCAGCGACCACTTCATAGCCTGATGAGTTTTCATCGTCGAACTTGCACATGTGGCTGTGGTCAGCCTCGATACCGCCTCGCTCGACACCTTCAAAGTAGGGCGCCGCGGATGCCTCGTCGACAATAATCTCCCGCGTACCTCGTACATCCATTGATCGAGTCTCGTGAAAGAGATATATGTGGAAGCGGCTCATAATATCGGCGAACAGACTGTTAATGTGTTGTAGGGTCTCGTTGTTTGTCTGAAGTGCCTTGATCAACTGTGGTGAGCCCTCCATAACCTTCTTGGGCAGGACAGCCGTGCAGATCTTGTGTAATAGAAGACCCCATTTCGCAATGTCCGAGCCATTGTGCGGAGTGCCGAGGAAAAGAATGCCAAAAGTCGAGACATACACCGAGCGCAAGTGTTCGGTCTTTTCATTCGATAGGCTGCGGGAGTAGATAAGGGCGCGCTTTACGACGAGGCCACCGAGAGAGTGACAAACAAAGATGATCGGCCGATCGGAACAGCTGCGTAGCTATAGAGGGAAGTTGGTTAGTCTTGACAAGGACGCCGAGGTGCATAGTTTGGAGAAACTGAATAGACATTATTCACATACATTCCGATTTGCGGCGAGGTTTGACGCTAGCGTTTCTGCATGGCTCACGATGGAGTCGCGCGACGCGCCATCCGTAAAAGCAGCGACGTTCGCGTTATAACCGTAGGTTAGAATTCGAGGTCGCAACTGTCCTAGCACATCAGGTAGAAGATCAACTGGCCAGAAGCAGCCAGAGGTCTTGCTAGTCCAAGAATTCTCGGGGTGACCGTTCAAGCCATGAACAAAGACTATATCCACGGTGGGGATCTCCCCGCGCGGAGGGGCGTAGACCTGCGTCAAGCCAAATGGCTTGACGGAGGGATGATGGGTCATGATCAGATTGAAATGGTTGGGTTTGGATCAGAGAACAACCATTTCTGCAGAGAAGGGAAAGAAAAGAAGTAGCAAATGAAACTGCCACCATTGCCAGGCAGGTCCGAGCACTTTTATAAGAGGAAGGCAGACTCTGGGGGGAGTGGCTGGCACTGAGCTGCAGGTGATACTGGCCCCCCCAGAGAAGTTCCCCTGACCCATTCAGATGACTGCGATCCCACGGGCTGAACGGGACAGGTACACTAGAGAAGCATACTAACAGCATACAGTTAGTAAGTACTCCAAGTAGTCAGTCAACCCTGCCCATTGCCCACTGACTGGCCACTGACCCTTCACCCTGCACTCTAGTGGAGTTCGGCCCGCTGCAGATTACTCGATCGCCCATTCCTCCCCGCTGCGCCCGGTATCGATGCACGTAGTGGACTGATCTCATTTACACCCGGTCAGGGCTGACAGGGTGACCGGGGTAGAAGCTCTGCGCCACAGGAGGTACCCGTACATACGGTTGTTTGTGCGATAGACTCATGCAGGAACCCTGGGTTGAGAGGTTTGCCCGATAATGATGGGTGTGTGCCCCGAGGAATATGGGCGCCTGTTCATGACTCACGGGTTATTTTGATCGGCCCGAAAAAGGCGTAGATCTTTTTTGGAGGGGCTGAAACCGTGAAGGAGAGATGTCTGAGATGTCTGGGTCGGGGTCTCGAATCGGTGTGTGAAGCAAAAGGACCCAAGTGATACAAGTGATAGAGGTGATGGCATCTGCAGGCCTAAACCGACGTATCCACCGAATACGAGGGGCCAAAAATCCAAGGCAACGAGGGCGAAACTAGTCTGGTGCAGTGGTGGTCGATCATTTAGGATCAATATGAGTATCAATTAGGAGAGGTATGGTACCAAGAAACTTTATGTATACATCTTGTTCTCTGTCTATAAACTGACACGAGACCAAGTGCCTGGCTTGTAGCAGTAACAATATAGAGAGGTAACGAGTCCATCTCCTTGGTCATTAATGTCGAGGAACTCTAACCTTACCTGGATATCTATTACATACCACTCTTGTAACGGCTGGTCTATAACCTATAGTGGTACTTCAAAAGTCCGAGTCTCGAGACCAGAGAAAGCACCTAACAGATATACATCCACTTCTTGGTTTTTGAAAGGCCTTTCTAAAAGTCATTTCAATCGTCTTTCTTGATGGCTTGGGTATGATTTTTAAGATGATTCTGAACATTGGTCATAGTTTCAAATTTATGGAACCCCTGCGCTAAGAAGTATATCCTGTAGCAGAGAACAAGAGAAGCAAGGATGCTAATCTAAATAGACAAAAGAGTAACTTCATTCATACGCATCTAACACCAGCATTCCTACTTGACTCGATATGGGTTCGCGCTACCATAAGGTTTCGGTATACACTACGATCCATGGGTGGCCCTGCTGTCATAGCTGATGGCCCAGAACGTGGGGATGGACCCTTCTGCCTAACACACTACTATTCGATATGTATTTGTTTTTTCTTGTCTATTTTTTACCCTCGTTCGTTTCGGGCGCTGGAATCACTCCCGGCATCCGCGCAGGCAGCCAAGCCATTGCATGGCTATACAGTATACACCTTAGGACGGGGCAACGTCATACTGTACATCTCGTCTATCAACAGAACAGAACAAGTGTCCACTACAATGATTAGAAACTAATTACAAACCAATCCAATTCGCCAATACTAATTATACCCTCTCAAACAACGAATCTTTAACATCTACCGTCCCCTAAAAGCAGGCTTCCGCTTCTCCGCAAAAGCCCGCAGAGCCTCATACCGATCCTCAGTCTCAATCACCCCCTCATACGCCTGATTCTCCGCCACCTCGCCCAAGGCAGATCCCTGCACAGCCAGCAACGCTTGCTTCAGGGCAATCGGACCACCCTCACAGATATCCAATGCCAACTTGATACTCTCCCGGAGAACCTTCTCACGCGCCACGCCTTCTTGTTGACCCTCCTCCGGCAACACCTCCACCAAACGATCACAGAGCCCGATGAAATACGACTCGGGTCCGGAAACCCGTCGCCCGGTCAGGATGAGGTCGCGTGCGCGGGTGGGCCCAATCAGCGCGGGTAGACGGTAGGTGCCTCCCGCGCCTGGGATAATCGCGAGTCGGGTCTCGGGTAGACCGACTGTGCTGGAGGAGCCGAATACTCGGAGGTGAGTGCAAAGCGCGAGTTCGAGACCGCCGCCCAATGCCATTGAGGAGATAGCGGAGATGGTCGGGATTTGCAGGCCGGCGAGGCCTTTGAAAGTGGCGCGGAGCTTTTCGAGGAATTGTTCGGTTCTGTAGAGATGCATGTGTTGGTTAGCGGACGGGGTTGTCTCGGTTGAGGGTTATTTGGGTTCTTCTCACTCCGCATGGGTCATCTTAGCACGCTCCTTGAGATCTGCGCCGGCGCAGAACGCAGCGTCAACGTTGCTTGCCACCACCAAGGCCCGGGTCGGTCCGTTGCCATTCTCGGCCGCGATGGAGTTCACCTGCTTGGAGAGGGTATCCAGTAGGTGTCGCGAGATCGCATTGCGTGCTTTGGGCCGATTGAGCAGCAGTACGCGCACATGCCCGGAACCCGGGGCTGGAATTTGCTGGATCTTGATGATATCTTCTTCGGCGCTCGTGCTGTATCGTGAGGCGAATACCCGGGTGGACAGGACGGTCGGGCGAGAGAGTTGACCGAGGGTGGTGAGGCGGACGAGCCGCGGGGACAGGGTGAGTGTTGCCATCGCCCGGGTCAATGTGGGAGATTGTAGAGGCTCTGTCCCGGATGTACACTGCACGAGTTGCCGTAAGAAGGATATTGAACAAGAAAAGTCGAGTCTTGAGTGTTTCAACGTTGAAGAATCCAAAATGCGCGGAGCTCGGATGTGGGGAAAGCTTCTGACGAAACGCCGACGCTTGCCGAAGCATGCGGAGCTGGTCAAGTGGGGATTCCGTGTAGGAGGCCAGGATCATACAGTACGACCACTATGAGAGTAACCACCCAATTTGCCCTTCATGAGGACTATTCAGGTGCGCTATTGATTCTTCAAGGGGGGTGACTTTAACAATCCCCTATCTTTAAGGAGCCGGAACGGTGTGACAACTGATGCGAATAGCTTCTGGGTGTGCTCATTATGTAGACTCTTTGGACCTAGATCGTGGACAGACCAGACTTCTCAAAGAATGAATCTATTTCAAATTGCTTTTAATTATCATCAAAGTAGTGAATCAACTAAAACGAATTAATATCATAAGGCAAGACATCCCATCTAAGACGCGTCGTGACGTCCTCCGACGAATCCGAGTCAAATGGTCTGTCATGTTCCTTGAGGGACACTCAGTCGCACTCTTGAATGGAACACTCGACTGGACTTAGATCAGTGGGCTGCTGATATGGCACAGGAAAGCACTCTACTAGAGGCTATGGCCTTTGAACAGGCTTGATATACCTGGTCTTCATCGTTGGGTACAAAACCATAGCATCTGTCTAGTGAGTGCGTGCTACTCTCTTTACGATTACGGTAGTAGATCACAGGGAATGTTACTTTCTCCAGCTGCTATGATCATTGTCTCGATGATTTCAAATGTTCAAGTCTTCTCCGCGTTAGACTGGCTAGTATATTTACGCCTGAACCCAAAAATTCACGCTAGAGTCATGGGGTTGGCAACAAGCTTCGGAGGCCTCAAAAATGGGTATCACAATTCAAATCGACAAGCAGGAAATCTAAAAATACAAATAACTGTACACAAGCGAGCTGGCTTGAATCACCGACAGTAATCCTCAACCTCTTCGTCACTAGGCCATTCCCAGCCCGGGGTTTGGCTGATGATATCGTACGCCGCCTGCACTTTCGCAGGATCCGACGCTATCCGATCGCAGTCGGTCGGCCCGCGATGCAGTCTCTCCAAGGTTAGTCGAACTGCGGCCAGAGTCTGCCGCCGCATTTTGTCGCCATTCAGTCGCTCCTCGGCGGCTGCATTCAACGAAGAGGCCGATCGGCTCATCCACTGTAATAAGTGCAGTACTCCATCGTCATCGCCCACTGCGCCCAAAACCCGAACGAATCGATGCAATATCGCAAATGATGGCACGTGCAGAATCGTGGGCACTTGAAGTTGTGAATCGACTGCACTATTCTCGGTAAAGACGCTCTGCTCCACTAGTTTTGATGTTGAGGAGACAGGGAGAACGAGGGAATCGAACAGTGACTTCAGCACGAGCAGTCCATTCTCGACCATTGCGTCAAAGTGCTCATGTCCAAGAACCTCACTGTCTTCATCGCCATGGGTAGCTTTTTGGATCAGTGTGAACGCTTCCTCAGCCTCATCTGGGTGCTTGAGCCCCGCATTGACAGCTTCATTGAAGACCTTGCACATAGCATGGAATCCCTCTAGACTAGGCTCGATATCATGGCCTTTCATCCATTTCTGTGCCAAAAGAACTTCGTGCCATGCGAGAATCCGCCTCCAAGCTTTGTTTTCCTTTAAATACTTGGAGCTTGTATTGCCCAGCGCGGTTTGTATGTGAGTCCAGGCCGCTGGACAGGGATCCTTCCGAGCCTTGACCAATTGAACTGCATGCCAGAAAGCCCTGGGGTGGCACCCCTGTCGTGGATGATCTTCAAAGTCGGGAAGCACAGTCACAGGGCATCGCGACTGATCGTCTGTTGCAAGGAAAGGGAATTGGTCAAGCGTAAGAGACTTGGGTCCGGCGTGCAAAGTGGAGCTCGAGGATACACAGAGAAATTTGACGAAGGACGCAAATACACTGTCAGGCACGGTCTGAAGAGCATCCATGTGCTGCGATTCGTAGTCGGAGGAGTGGCCCAGTACAGTGAACAGCATTTTGATTTGCTCCTCTGTGAGATCACTGGCAATCAGATACCGCAGGCCGGTGCGAAAATCCACTTTAGTCCGAAGCAACAGGGCGAGTAGTCGACCGGGGAAGCGAAGTCCCTGAGAAGTCATTTGCTGCAGGAAATCTTGAAGCACCGGGGGTTCGGTGTGGACATAGATAATATCACGAGCGGAAGCAGGCTCGGCGTAGACTTCCCGGCCATCGCCAGGTAAGACGTGATCTGACTCGTCGAATCGGTTCTTGATAGCTAGTTGGCGATAGATCAACTTTTCAGCCATCTCAGTGTATATGGCCGCATTGAGAGGAAGACCGCGGTCCTGATAAGACAAAAAGCAAGCCCATGCTTCTCGAACAGTTCTTGTAGCACGGATACGAGCGACCCAAATGGCGGGATGATCGGGATTGGTTTGAGATGCACGGTGTAAAGACCTCGACCAGCGCATAAAGCTTCTGGTCTGAATAGTTGGACTTCGATCAGTGTCCCAGCCAGCCAGGATTGAACATACATCTTCCCAGAGCTTGCTAGAATAGCCCGCCTCTCGCATTTGCGACAAGACGTTCATCGCACGACTGTACATGCCTTCGTTACCCCGAAGAGCATCTATTCCCAACTTGCCTTCTTTCCAAGGCGGCCACGAAGGAGCCTTCAATTCAGCCGACTGCCGCTCATCTGACGTCTTCTTGTGTGCCAGCTGGATCGCAGCAACAGCTCGATAACCCTTCCTCGTGAGCGGAAGGACCGGCTTATGACTGGCCATGGCTCGTAGTAGTTCAAATTGGGCTTGTTGCTGGAGAGAGGTGGATTGGAAGGGGTGAATTTTGGATGGAACCGAAAGTAGGCGAAGGAAAATGTTGAAGTTCTTGATCCTGAGACGGTCGGCATTGGACTTCTTGAGAATTGAATTCTCTGCCTCGCCTCCATCTGTGGCCATCATAAACCGCGAAAACGCACTTGCAATAGTGGGCATTGCCTGTGGCCACACAGTGCGAGCATGTCGAACCAAGCGGGCAAACAAACGCATGCCGGTAGAATAATCGACCCGGGGCTGGAATTGCCCCGATGGCAGATTCAATTCCTCTTCCAGAGGCTCTGCTGACATCCTGCTAGATGGTAGTGGCTGGCCACTAATCAGATGTAATGAGTAGATCAAAAGCAATCGAAGGGATTGAGCCTCTAGATGCTTCTGTTTCAAAAGGAAAAGAACGATAAATGAAGGAGCAACGGGAGAGCCAGTGCCAAATTTAGACTGGTAATCGACTGCGAGTGCAAATAAACGCGGGATAGCCTGGTTGGCATCTTTACTCTTCAAAATCCATGCCCATGCTACCACATCGCCAGCGTCGTAGCCGCGAGTGGTTAAATAGCGATAGTTATTGTCTCTGAAGACTTTGCTGAGTGCAGAGTCTAAGCGGCCTGTCGAGTTCTGTTCTTTAGGTGATGAGAGCAACGGATCCACCAATCGTATATATTCCCCGAGTGTAGTCTGGAGGGATAGTCGCGCGGGGCGACCATATGTCGGCTGCAGCGCTTGTAGGTGTCGAATGATATCAGCATGTTGGGAAGCACGTTGAGTGATTCCCAGAGGATGACCCGCGAGGCGGAGAGCTTTGGCCAGATACTCCGACGGGGTAGGTTTCGTTTGCCCATGCGCTTTCTTCAAACGTCGCCTCGAAATCAAAATGTCGGACCGCGTTTGGTTTGACGCACTTGGATGCTGTGACTTTGGGCCACGAGGCTCCTCATTTTCGCTCCTCGGTAAGTCCTGAGCATGTTTCGGCGGTCCTTGGGCTAATTTGATATCTGTAACAGGCGATTCGGGGCATCGGAGAGTGCCCTGAGAACGAAATAGGCGTCGAACGCCTCCGGGGGTACTCCGCGGCAGGCCAGCGCAAGTTGCGAGGGTAAGATCACCGTGATGGCGTGCCTGAGGTTCATCAACAACAGATCAGCATTTTCCAAAGCCACAGAATCCAGATCAAAATCAGGAAATGCCTTACCTTGCAACATTGACGGCCAGCCAGCTGTGCCGCTCTCAGAGATACCCCCGAAAGGCCGCAAACATGATTGAGAGCCAATGACATCCATGAATGTCGTCATCCACAAGCCCTCTCCAATTCGACACACTCCAGCTAGGAGACCAGGAGTTTACAGTGTCTCCTTCGCCTCGAGAACGCAGAATTGAGCAGCGCTAAACTCAATCAAACCGGGTCATATCAGGAACTCGAAAAAAGTAACGCGGCTCCCGAGCGACACGGAAAAGACTGGGTCCAAGTCACGTGAGTGATCGTCACGGGCTGCGGTTTTCGGGATGGCGCGCATTCTGAGAGTCTCACGAACAAACGATATCCGCATCGCCTTTCAAAAATCGTCTCAAGGTACCAACTCGACCCAGTGGAGGTCTCGGCTTCACTGTGCCTCGGTCGATTAATACCTAGAGTGTATCTGATTCCTCCCTCATCCATTCTTTGCTTATTTTCGCGGCGGAAAGGCAATCGGGGTCTTGTTTGGTCCCTCTCGTCGCGATCCCATCCTTTCCTGATCTCCCCTCGGGCCTCACATCAAAATCTATTTGGCCACCGGTTCTGAACAAGCTCAAACACCACCCTCAACCCCCACAAGCCATTGAATATCCACTATTCAGTCGCAAACTAAACATTTTTCTACTCGGTCGTTCCCAGGGTCAATTCAGAACGCCCGTTTCGTTTGAGGGGATCGCGTCGACGCAAGTACTGTCAACCCTGTCACCCGTTGCAGCTTTTGCGCAAACATGAGCGCCGACGAGAACGGAGATACCCCAATGATGCCGGCCCCCAACGGCGAGCCCCATCCTGACGCCTCAGCGACCGCGACCCCGGCGAAGAGAAAGCGGTCTGCCCAGGAGGAGAACTTGGCTGTCGACTCCAACACGTCCACCACGTCGCGTGATAAAGCAACTCTCCATGAGAATCTACGCAGCCTCGTGGGCCTCCTTATCAAGTGAGTTCTAATACAGGAAGTCGATGGTCAGTTCTCACTAACAGCATCGATATAGACATGACACTGAGCTTCAGCTTCTATCCTGCCCCTTCCCCACGTCCGGAATGAAGCCACGAGCGAAGCGCGCCAAAACTTCAAGCGACCAAGAAACAACCAACGTACAAATTCGAGTCGAGTCCGGTCGTTATAACACACTGCAAGAGTTCTTGGCCGATATTGAAAAGGCCTCTGCAGCCGTGATCGAGCGCAACCAGAACCAGTCAAATGGCACCAAAGCTGATGGCACACCCTTGACGGAGGTGGTGAACCGCATCGCGGCTTTCAAAAAACATATGAACAGCCTCGTTGGTCAATCCTTTGTCAATCAAACCGAGGTCAAGGCCGAAGCCTCCGAGGACGAGGCCGAACAATCAGCGGAGGCTCTGGCATCCATTCCAGGTGCTCGGGAGGACCGACAGGCATTGACATTTTTCGGTTCGAACCCTTCGAGCCAAACAAATCCGAAGCAGTTGTTCTCGAGTCTGCAAAAATCGGTCAAGGTACCATTACAATCCTCTGAATCCGACGTGGAAAAATTCGTCGAAGTTCAAGAGCAACTTCGCGAGACCGCCCTCCCCGCCGGTATCATATCCACCAAGGTGGTTCCTTACAATCTCAATGTCACAAAGCCACAAAAGAGGACCTTTGGCGAAGTTTTTGCTCCTCGCTCAGGCCTGCCACACATGCAGCCTCCGCGCACGCGAGGTCATCGAAGCTCTTCAGCATCCTGGATTGATCCGTTTGATGCCGTCTTCGATACGAAAAACTTCTTGGGAGATCGCAATAGCTACTGCCTGACACCCCTCCCTGCTGGCCAATGGCTACACTACGGCGGCGTAACATCGTCGCCTTCATACTGGGCTCGTGTGGAGAAGCAGCATGCCGAGGCAGACACCGGCCCGAAGCACGGGGATCCTGCACTTTGGACTGGCGATGACCCTTCATTGCTGCAGGGTGTCTTCTCATCATTTGCCCCGTCCTATGACAGCTCGGGGGCTGTTCTGCAGCTTGATGCGAAGGACTCGGTGTGGTGGGAGAAGCGAGGCGCAAAGCGCTTGCGGACTTTGCTCTCTCTCCAAGATGAGGAAGTTGAAACATCAGTGGTGCAGCCTGGCAGCATCGGTGACCTCGATGAGAGCACGCTCGATGAAATGGTGAAACAGTTCAATCCCGATGATTTCGCTTATGACCCCACTCAAGACGAACCCAGCAAAGAGGACCCTGAATCTCGAGAGGTCGAAGAGTTGCTCCAAGAGATTTCTGAATTGCTAGACACTTTGAGCTCGTATCAGAAAATCCGCAATCTCCACATTCCCTCCTCGGCAGGCGAAACCTCAGAATCAAACGAGCCTGTCACCCCCATGTTCGGTACTCCTGAAAGCCCCTCCGAAGCTGAGCGAACTGTCTACGAAACCCTCAAGGCGAGTCTGTACGCCATCATCAACAATCTTCCTCCATTTGCAGTTGCGAAGCTCAATGGCGATCAACTTGCCGAGCTAAACATCAGCCAAAAGATCCTCGTCGAGAATCCGGATTACAGCGGCACCATGGAGAAGGATGACTACACATTGCATCAGGATCGTGCAGCAGCAATTGCCGCTGCCGCTGCCGCTGCCACAAATGCTGCGACCGCTGCGTCGAATGCCATGAACCGTGCCTCGACGCCTTCTGGAGCTCGACCTGGATACCAACAAACCCCACAAAGCGCATACAACCAACGTGTTGTCCCTCCTAATCCTCAGATGTCACAACCCAGGCCTGGTTTCCCGGTCCCACAACCAGCGCGACAGCCCTCCGCGGGAGGCTCATACACCCCAGGCTATACTGGAGCTCGGCCCCCGAGCACTCCTGCGCAACAACGGCCCGGCTACATGCCTCAGCAGTACTCCCAAGGGAACCCACAGCACAGTCAAGTGAACAACACGCCACAGTTCCAACGGCCCCCGTCTAATGGCTACACGCAATCTCCACAACAATACACTCCGCGACCTGGGCAACCGGCTGCTACGTACAATGCCACACCCCAGGCACGCACACCTTACGCCAATGCAGGCGCCCCTCAGCCATATCAAAATGCAACCCGTACACCGTCGCAGACTGCGTTCCCGAATTCGGCTGCCGCGGTGATTTATGCCCGCAGTGCTGCTGAACAGCAGGCCACAAAGGCGGCTCAGCTTGCAGTCCAGCAACGGCAAAGTCCCTCGACTCCGCAGCCTCATGGTCTTGAAGCTCGCTCGTCCCATGAGGGTAGCCTTACTCCCGGCAAGCAGAACGGTACTCCCGTCCCAGCACAACAGGCGACCTGAAGTTAGGACAGCTATCAGCTTTCCTGGATCGTGCGGCAAGGCTCACTCGATGTTTCGTGAGAAGCAGTTCTTCCTTCCCGGTTAAGCTCATCAGTCTGTTCATGAAATTTGATCTTGATCCAAGATTTGCGTCACTTCCTTCTGCGTTTGAACATGGCTTTCGTAATGCCTGTCTCCGTGTTTCGATTCTTTTTCTTCCGATTCTCTTTCTCCACTGTGTTTTTAATGGTGTTTGTCCTTTATTTTTACGAACTTGTATTGGTTCTGGTTTTCGGTGTTCAGCTGCAATGACAGCGACTGGCGTGTAGAGGCGTGGGTTTTCAGGACGGTTCCAGTCGAGTTTTACTGTAGCCCTGGTGGTCTGGGCTGTTGGGTGGCGAGGCAGTCTGTTCGCTGTGTCTACAGTCTACACTGGTTTAGCTTTTTCTAGATATGAAGAAGATTCACTTACTCTTTTCCCAACATATGGACAATGGACTGTGCCATGTTGAGACCATATTCTAAAACGTATATCTTCCTAAAGTATCATCGATCATATCCACACACCACGCAAGACCATCATCCACCACCACCATCACCGTCATCATCATAATCATCATCCTCATCATCATGATCATATTCATATTCATAATTATTAAAAATAACAAAAAAAGTGAAAACCGAAACCGCTCCGCCCAGCCCGGTTTCCGGGGCCGCTAACTCCGCCCCACTGACCACCAGTAAATGAAACTCGAATGATCATGGGGAGAGTGGCACAATTCTGCAAGTGCATTGATACCACCCGGTGTCGAAATTCCCACCGCCGAAGGTTGGACGACGACCTGGTTGTTTTACCAACTAGGCCGTGGGTGTCTTCTTGAATGTTTGGGGGTTGAGGTCCTATTTCGCCTGTCATGGCAAACGAATGCGTGCTTGGTTTCAATTCCGGGTGGAGGATCCGCTTTTTGTGGGTCTGGCAAGCTTGATGGCTCTACCGAACGGAACATGACAAATTATAAATGGGAAAGATGAGTTTTTGAGACTGTGTATTGAGGTGTATGTTCCCCCCCCCCCCCCCCCCCCACGGGTTTGGTTTTGATATTGGGTGGATACCGATGCGGCTCAGCCTTACATATGAGACCCACATACAGTACCCGGACTACAGCATATACTTCATAGGTGTCTGCAGGTGGAGGGGAAATATATATCTGGAGATATTTCTATCAAAAGATTGGAATATATGTACGATGGTTCACGATGAAGAAAGAATGTCAAAATTCATAATCCCGGGATTCATTCATATCAAATAATTCGTACATCAAAGAAACACAAGATTCAGTCGAACCACGAAGATTCTCTCCAAGCAAAGGAAACAATCCATGCGTATCCGCTGTATGCCCCGTTCCAAGTTTAAGAGGTATCTTCCATGTCAATAACTACCAGCAGAGCCAAAACCAATCTACCTTGCCATGATATCGCAACAATAACCCAATGGTATAGTAAATTAAAAAGAAAGAATCGATTTGCCAAGAACCCTAACGCCCTTAATCTCCCTACTGAAAGAACTTTTGTTCAGTTTCTTGGGATTCTTCAAGTTGGTTGGGAGTTTTTTTCCCCCCTCTCCAACAAGAAGCCGAGTGGGTGGGTGAGTGAGTGAATAAGGACGTGCCAGGATCCGTTACGGCGGGTCGATGTCGACGCAAATATGGGACGAACATAGGGAATTCGTGAGTCGTTACATGATTCTCTATGTTATTCAGGGAATGAACATGGCCGCAATGGTCATGAAGCCAAAGTATCTATCGACGTGTTAGTACATCCATCAAAAAAGCCAGGAGAAAGGATAAACATACATAGTCGCACACCTCCATCCGTCCCTCGAGTCCACCAGAGCTTCAATACCAGAAGAGTAATTGGCCGCAACAGCAGCCGCCGCACCACCGGTAACGGTCACCACGACGAGTCGACCCGAGAACTCGGCAATCATGCTAAACGCAAGAAGAGGCATCAAAAGAGCACCCGAGGCGATAATGATGGCCATGTAGACCGGTGCTGCGGCGGCGGATGCTGCCAGTCGCGGAGTGAGAGCGACTAGGTCAGCGTCTTGATCGAGGAAGCGGGTTTCGGCCGCGGCGATGGGGTTGTGTTCTTTCATCCAGGAGCGGTAGTTGGTGATGTCGTCGTCTGAGGCGCGGGGGAGGGTTTGGAGGACTTTGCTGTATGCGCTTAGTGCGGTGTCTGTGGGAGTGTTAGTTATTTTGCTAGATTTATTGAGAGGTGATATGTGGACGAACTGTATTGCTCTGTCTTTTGAACAAGGGCAGCCATTAGATCCATGCGTCGGTAGTGAAGGGATGAATACGCCTGAGATTGGACGTCGACTCGGCGTGACGCAGGTAGAGGCTTGGTACCCTCTTTCTCGGCAGTAGCGACTCGATGCATCTCCTCGTACTCGTCAAGGGTGTGGAGATCTTCCTCCATCTGGGAGATCTCATCCTGAAGATGTAATAAGACGCGGTGATTCACGCTTTCAAAGCGTCGGTACAGTGGTGGAAACGCTGCTTTGTCTTGGGTGGTGGAGTGGGTGAGGTGCGATGCGACAAGTCCATATCCTGATGTGACCTCTGGCGCACTGGAGTCTCGTCGTTTGAGCGCTGTGCCTCGGTGGAGGCTGTCTTCGGGACTGCTCGGTGGGGAGGGAGGGAGAGGAGGTCTGTGAATGGTGGTTGCATCTCTCGATGTATAGTAGCTCTCTGGCCGAGTAATTTGTAATTCATGTTTTCCCGGCGAGGGAGGCTCTGTCGGAGAGGCTTTGCGAGATGGTACCTGTCTGCGGGTGATCTGCACTTGTCTCTCCGAGGGTGCTGGTGCAGTCGGCGCCGGTGGTGGTGGGCGCGAGTCACTAGAGCTTCTCGATATCGTGGTGGATGGGAGAGGCTTCTGTGAAACCAGTAGTGAGTGCGGGATGGGACTTGATCGAGGCTTTGGTGACTGGATCTTGGCGATAGCTTGGGCGTGCACTGGAGGTGCAGGTTCATCGTCCTCAGAAGATTCCAATTCTGACGACGATGGAGATGACGATGTTGAATCACCTTCTTCTAGAAACTCGAATACGTTGGGAACTTTCCTCGCTGGTTCAAGTGGCTTGTCCGGCGGGGACTCAAGCGCCGGCAGCGGCTTCAAGGCTTGTTTTGATGCATTGAACTGGTCATTTGGTGATGATGGTTTGTTGGTGATTTTGGGACTTTGCCCAGGACCAGCCTGGGTGACGGTTGTGGCATTGGAAACGGTGGATGAGGTTCTTTTCCTCCCCTGCTTCTGGGGCTTCCTTGAGCGTAGACTATGCATGATGATCGGAGAAGGTCGGAAGTACCCGGTTCATCACTTTAACCCCAAAAAGCAAATTCAAGAATACAGTACGCAGTGTCAATTAGGCCATGCCCATAGTCGGCGAATTTGATGCACATGAGAGTGTCGCAGAAAATCACGATGATAGTGAAATCCAAAGCGTCAAATGTATGGGGGCCCGAGGCATGACACAAGGGAGGGGCAGGAATTCCGATCAGATCACAACTCTCCACCGCGCGGAATCCAGGGATGTTAGTCCTGCGCGATGACCCAGAAAGTCAAACAGAGTTACGAAAAACAAAGGAAGAATACGCAAGAACACGAAGAAATGGGTAGGGATGGTGGGACACGATGTGATGTCTCAACTCTCCCCGCGTTGTCCCCTTGACAGGTATCTTCCGAGGAGTACGGAGTATAGTCGAGTAGTTATATCCCCCAGGGCTGAGACGATCCCGCCCCAAAATCAATCAGTTTCGATAGTCTGGAATAGGTCAAAATGATCATAATCACGGCCCCGTCAGCCCCCAATAATGCAACAATGTTGGTGTCAATGCCAATTTGGGGCAGGACTAAAACGAGCCACCTGGGGCGAGTCGCTGAGGAATGGAGAGTTGCAATTCGTCGCACCGGGAATCCCCAAACAATCTGAGGCAGATGAGAAGCGCCGAGGGCTTCAGATCAACAGCCAATGACCGTGGGGTCGTAAGGAGGTTCCTGGAATCCCTGTCGATCTGGAAAGGAGAGGGAAATGGTTGTTATTAGGAGAGTCAGTGATCCTTCTGTTTATGACGCTTCGAAGAGATTCACTTTAGTACGGTTGTACACGATGTGAAGAACGAAGGGAACTAACTAGTGGGATGACGGCAGCTGCTCGTTGGGCCTCTGGTGATCCCATCGAGTGGGCCAATCAGGCCAAATCAGCCGGGATTTCCTATCCGATCCGGATGATAATGATGCATGTGTCTGAACAGAGTCAACCCATGCGCTGGCGATTCGCTCGTCGATCATCTTCCTTGCGTCCAGCCCATCTGGCGGTCTAGCGGCCCCAATTATTGAGCATCCGAACTGGGGGACGAAGCATGGCCACGTTGATGTTTTCTGATCACAATCCCTGTATCTCGTAGTTGTGTCGTGCAGGATTGATTGCTTCTGTCGCGCAGTGTAGTGGATGTAGTGGAGGTTTCTAGTTCTGGTGAGAAGTTGTCCACGATTGTATTTCCCTGCACACGGAATCCCAGTGCCTAGTCCAGGACTCCAGTTGCATCCAAACACGAGTCCAGCAGATTTCCCCGCTTCTTGGAGAGTCAATCGAGTACTGAATGGTTGGCATTACAATAACTGTGGTTGACTATCAATAGCTATACAAAATAGTATAGTTCTTTTTAGATATAGTGTATCGTATAGTCTTTAGCTAATTTAGCTAGTGTTACATAGTGTTACTATAGTTAGTTTAGAGACCCCCAAACCAACTCCCCAAGCTGGGGCCGCCCCCGTCATCATCGCGGGCGGTCCGCAAATCGGCTTCCTTTCGAGTTCTGCAAATTAACATCCTGGTATCTTTGAACCCTCCAACGGCCTCTGCACCGCCCACAATTCCCCCTCCATGCTCCGGCCATGGCCCAGCGGCGCTGTCCGCGTTCTTTGCCGGGTCAATCGGCCCTTCCTGGCTCGCCCCCAGGCTAATCCCGCTCGTTTCCCTTCGACTCGCAGTCTCCAGTCCGCCGCGACAGACCGCGTCCCCCTCCGCAAGCAGCTCAAGCAAGAGGCTAAAGCTCTCAAGGCACAGAAGAAGCTGCGCAAAGAGTCCGAGGAGGCCTCCAGGCAAGATTGGGAATTGACCGTGGGTGTTGAGATCCACGCGCAACTGGATACCGAAGCAAAATTGTTCTCTCGTGAGTCTACACCGATACAAAGACATCTTTTGGCTGTACTCTTTAGCTTACGGTCCCTTTTCTGAAACAGGTGCCCCAACATCCACGAGTGACACCCCCAATTCCAATGTCGCCTTGTTCGACCTGGCCTTTCCGGGCAGTCAGCCGGTGCGTGTTGGACTCATCCCGCTGCACGGCGAGGGCATCCAAAAGCTCATGCGACACAGGAATTCCAAGCCGCTACCCTCCTTCCAGCCCTCCGCGCCGCCATTGCCTTGAATTGTCAGATCCAGCCCGTCAGCCGATTCGATCGAAAGCACTATTTCTACCAAGACCAGCCGGCTGGTTATCAAATAACACAATATTATGGTTGGTGTCATTCCACTGACTATTATCGTTCGGCTAGGATACCAATTGACTCGCTACAGAACCGTTCGCACGGAATGGATATGTCGACCTACTTGACTACGATGGCATTGCCCCCGAGGACGGGGGTCGGGTCCGCGTGGACATCAAGCAGGTTCAGCTCGAACAGGATACCGCCAAATCCCAAGAATACCCGCCCGCGACGCAGCTCCTCGATTTCAATCGTGTCTCCCACCCTCTGATCGAGATCATTACGATGCCACAAATCCATACCCCTGCGACCGCTGCCGCCTGCGTTCGAAAGCTCCAAGCGATTCTCCTAGCCTGCGGTGCCGTGACAACGGGAATGGAAATGGGTGGACTACGTGCGGATGTCAATGTGTCGATCCGCCGTCGAGGCGAAGCCCCAGGGCAGCACCGATACGATGGGATCGGCGGGCTGGGCCAGCGCACGGAAATCAAGAATCTGAGCAGTTTCAAGGCGGTGGAGGATGCCATTGTCGCCGAGAAGAACCGCCAGATTGCAGTTCTGGAGAGCGGCGGTGTGATCGAAGGTGAGACCCGTGGATGGACCATTGGTAGCACCGAGACACGCAGGCTGCGAGGGAAAGAGGGTGCGGTCGACTACCGCTACATGCCAGACCCAGATATTTCCCCACTGGTCATCGGCGAGGATCTGATCTCCAGCCTGACGGAGTCATTACCGACCTCCCCAGATTCGCTTGTGACCCAGTTGACTGGTGCTGAATACGGTCTCTCGATCGAAGACGCAAAGCCTTTGATTGAGCTGGATGACGGGGCTCGACTGGAGTATTACCAGGATGTGGTGGACATCCTCCAGTCTCTCCACCCCGACCAGGACCCCCAGACCCACGCGGCTCTCACGCGAATGGCGGGTAATTGGGTTCTCCACGAACTTGGTGGTCTTCTCACCAAGGCGGACCGGGCCTGGGACGACACGATCGTCCCGGCCCGGGCACTGGCGGATCTTGTCGACCATCTACAGCAGAAGCGCATTACGGGATCTATTGCGAAGCAGGTCCTGGCGGCGGTCTTTGACGGCGATCGGCGGCCTGTGCCTCGATTGCTGGAGGAAGATAACCTCTTGCTCCGGCCGATGTCACGCGAGGAATACGTGGCGCTGGCCGAAACGGTTCTCGCGCAAAGGCCAGAGATGGTTGAGCAGATCCGCAGCAAGAACCAGCTGGGGAAAATGGGCTGGTTCTTGGGCCAGATGATGCGCCTGGGGGAGAAGGGCCGCGTTGAAGCGCCCAAGGCCCAGGAAGTTCTCCAGGAACTGATTCTGGGGAAGCAGTAGAGCCACCCTAGGCCGAAAAGGAATCCCTTGTATGAATACGTGTACTACATAGCCCAATCTTCATGATACCCGTACTTTTAGTTTGAATTTTGTCCCACTTGACCGAAGCAAGAAAGACCCGCCCTGCTGGTAGTTTGTAGATTCGCATCGTTCTGAGCACTACTGATCGGCCTTCCTTTTACCGCTGCAGACGCCCTTAAACCACTTCCAAACCCCTCAAAGTCTCTCCGATAGCATTACGACATTCCTCCGGCTTTCGCCCCTCACTAAGACGTAAAATTGCAACGCAGTGGGACGGCAAAGGGCCCTAAACGGGGCCGCTCTCCTCAACCTGTACTTAACGGAAGTGATGGAGTACCCGGCGGAGCGAGATGATCCCTAAAAGCAGTTTTTAGCGACTGCGCGGTCACAGGAATGAAAGCTGGCCCGCGACTCGGAAAGGGGGGAAAGGGTTATAAAGAAGGAGATCTGTCTGCTCTTGTGTTTTAATTTCTTCTTTTCTTCTCATCATCCTCGTGGTTGTCTATCCTTTGATTCAATTTGAGTCTTTGCTTGTATACTTCGAGCCTCTTCATACCTCCCCGTCCCACCCTTTTCCCCCCGTCTCCGATCCACTTTATCGGCCCTTTTTTTTTATCTTATCGTAGATCGGACTTTGCGATCTGAAATCTTTGGGTCGCGGAATTCTTTTTTCTGTTCTTTGTCTCTTGCTGGATCAGCTATTCTCGACCTCGTCGCAAAGATACCCTCGTGTTCGGAAAATAGCCTTGCATACTTCTGCATTCTTCCATAAGCACAATGACGCAGCCATCCACTATCCCCTCCCGCTTCCTTTCACACCCCAACCACTTGGGCGTTGTGGCCGTCGGTTTCAATGGCGGACAGGTAAGAAGCTACCGCAGACACTCGCAGCGCAGACAGGCATGCTAATACCACGGTTCTACAGATGAAGAAGGGCGTCGAGGCCGCGCCTATGGCCCTGATTGAGTCCGGTCTGCTTACCCAGCTGAGCGAGGACCTCGACTACGAAATCCACCACGACGATACCATCCACTACTACGAAAATGACATCCCCGCTGAGGACCCGGACCACCGGAACATGAAGAAGCCTCGCGCCGTCAGCGCCGTGACTGAGCGCCTCAGCTCGCAGGTCTACAACTACGCCAAGGACGGCAAGTTCGTGCTCACTCTGGGCGGCGATCACTCCATCGCCATCGGTACCGTCTCCGGCACAGCCAAGGCTATTCGCGAGCGATTGGGTCGCGAGATGGCCGTCATCTGGGTCGATGCTCACGCCGATATTAACGTGCCGGAGATGAGCCCCAGCGGTAACATTCACGGTATGCCCATGGCGTTCCTGACCCGGCTGGCCCGGGAGGACCGTCCTGATATCTTTGGCTGGTTGAAGGATGAGCATATCATCAGCACTCGCAAGCTGGTGTATATCGGTCTGCGCGATGTGGATCGTGGTGAGAAGAAGCTTCTCCGGGAGCACGGTATCAAGGCCTTCAGCATGCACGACATTGACCGGTATGTTTACTCCTTCTCGTCTTCCCCGCGCAGGTATCCCCCATTGTATGAACGACCGGCTCACTCTTCATTCTCGATAGTCACGGTATCGGTCGCGTTGTCGAGATGGCTCTCGCTCACATTGGCAATGATACCCCCATCCACCTCTCGTTCGATGTCGATGCGCTGGACCCGCAATGGGCGCCCAGCACCGGTACCCCGGTGCGTGGTGGTCTGACTCTGCGTGAGGGCGATTTCATCTGCGAGTGCGTCCATGAGACCGGTAACTTGGTCGCCATGGATCTGGTCGAGGTGAACCCCAGCTTGGAGGCCGTGGGTGCTGCTGAGACCATCCGCGCTGGATGCTCGTTGGTGCGGAGCGCGCTGGGCGATACCCTTTTGTAATGACTTGTACGATTTTTTTCTGGTTTCTTTTGAATCTTGTGAATTAGATGGAAAACAACCACACTACACTATAGACAATACAAGATTTTCCCTCGATCGATGACGCTGCAAGTGGATGCGGGTAAGCGGGTAACGCGTAAGAAAAGCTCGAGTCCTCAGTACTAAGACTAAGTATACTTCCCGAATGGCACTAAACTCAACTCAATCCCCTGCCACCCCAATTTCCGCCGATCATCAACAAACCCGCCCCTCCTAGCAACCTGCGACCTGAGATTATTTTTCTGTTTAACAACCACCCACTTCTTGGCTAAACACCCCGCATACCATCGCCGTTGCGCGCGCATTACTGCGATCAAGATTAAGGTCCTCGCATCACTACCAGGCTCGAGTCCATTCCTCGACGCTGCGCCGGTACTGGCGCCCAATGCGCTGTCAGCCCGCATCTCTCTCTCCGTCCACCTCGAAATCCCACCAGCACCGAACACTTCACTACGTGCCTCGACTTTAAGGCCAACTCGACTACATTACCCACTCTTGGGTCGCTGCTATTCGCATTCCGGCTACTGCCCATTGAAGCCCCGAAAACGACGGTGTGTCGGGCACAGGCGCATCTGGAGTTGTACATATATATCGCATTCCACTGCCGGAGCTTGGATTGACTTCAATACACTCAATCGCAACGTTCTCGAAGCATACAACTGTGACACCTTTTCTTCCCATTGACCACCACCACAATGAAGGCCGTTCGCGTGCGCCGTGAGACTCGACGCCTCCACCACTGGCCCGAGATCCAGCTCAATATCTGGTTGATCGTGGTACTTTCCGCCTCGGCAACATGTCTCGGTATCTTCTCCTGGTTTATGATTGTGCAATCACAAATGGACCTAGGTACACCCTGGTAGGTCATCGCTGTCAATTTAAGCTACCAGCTATCAGTTCCTGGATCCACTGTATACTGACTTAGATACACCCGCAGGCTCTTCCCGTTCATGGTCGTCGTTAGCGCCATCGGTGTTACGTTCTTCTTTCTAATCCAGGTCCTCATTGCACAAGGGAAGCTACTCCCGGGCATCCTGATCGTCGGCAGCTTTATTCTTTTCGTCCTCTGGTTAACCGGATTGATCGAGACCGCCTTGCAGCTGTACGGAGTCTCCGGCAACGTGAATGATAATTGCCAGATCTGGGTGGTCGAGAATGAGTCCCGGGGAAACAGCATCAACACCCTGGCTTGGTTGACGCAAAGCACAATCTGTAAGTTCCTCTCCTCACTGTCTCTTCTGTTTTCTATCTGACTGGTTGTTGCAGGTAATTGCTGGAAAACGGCCTTTGCATTCGAGCTCGTCAACACGATATTTTATCTCTGGATGATGATCATGTCGTGGCAAGTCCACCGCGACTTTTATCACTGATGTTTCTAATGCGTGATGCTCTTGATGTTATGTCCTTCCATGTCTTATACTGATCTACCTTCTTCATCTCCTGTGATACCATCTTGTTGCATGATATTGGCGTTGGAATCATCCCATGCTTTATGTTTGGTTCCATATCTAGCGTATTTCATATTTCGAGCTATGCTATCTATTTTGCAGCTTTTAATGAACAAAATCTACTGCCATTCATCTTCTGCCATACCATCCAATATAGTAACACACTTGTTCCTCACACCCTTATATCCAGTATCGTATCCAAGCTCGAGGACCATATACACATCGCCCTCCATTAACACACCCCAATATCAAAATTTTTGCCCCCGCGTCCAAACTCCAGACCACGCCGTCCCATTTAGGAAGGAACGCGTCCACCGCGAGATTCCCCAAGGCAAACACAGTCTCATACAACCCCCGATTCGGAATCCCCAGTCAGGAAATCGGTTCTCTCAGGTATAAATAGAACTTATTCATGCTCCGCGGCTTAGACTAACACTTACATTAGGAGCCTACACTAACGTTCTTGAGTGAACCTCGGTGGTAATGGCCTTGCTGCCGAGCTTGTGTAGGGCGTGCACCAGGTTCCACTGCCGACATCTCAGACTCCTTGCTGACACTCTGGTTATCTCTCGTTGGTTATTGACAGATTGGCAGATATCAAACATCCAACCGTTCTATCATTTTTGATGGCTCCCCACCAGGAACCTATTGCTTGACACATTGACCTTTAATCACTATCATACTCCTCCGATACCACAAAAATCTATTTGCACCCCGTGTCCTATGCTAAGGTTAGTACATCCCCAACCTTACTAACATCGCCTGCTAACAATGGAAGTCCTCTTTGACTACATCTCGATCTACCTAAGCTATCAGAAACCCACTTCCTAAAACAGACACATCACCATAAGTCCAACTGCTTGGACCAAACACCCTTCAAACAAACGATTACCGAGGAGTATACGACAACAGACAATCACATTTAGTACTCTGGGCAAGATCGATACTATTGGCATGGCGGGAACAAAATTCGAGTCTCATGGGCTCATCACGGACCAGATCGGATGTCCTCATCCTTGACACCACCACCCTCTACATTGTTCAGACATCACCACTCTCTACGTCCTTCCGACATGATCAGTCTCTACATCCTTCAGACATCACTACTCTCTACGTCCTCCAACATCCTTCCTCACTCTCTACATCCTTCCGACATCGCCACTATCTGCATACTTCGGCCCTTCAGCTTCTCTAGTCTCAAATGCAATAACTTGACTCTCACACATTTCACATTCAAGTACTTCATTAGCCTCCATCAGCCTCAGGTCCCCTTTCTCAGTAATAGACCCTTATTCAAGATGTTTTGCTATGCTCAAAGGACAATGGCAATTCGAATTTCTAATCCAAGAATGCAAAAATAAGCAGGGCCGTTCTCAAATTCATGCGTGATCTTGAGGCAGATTCCCAAGGGCATGGTGAAAACATCCATTACTCTAAAAGCTTCTACGCGAAATTCAAGCTGAATGAATGCCTTCATATCTCAAGGACATTTTCAATTTTTCACATACCATCCATAGCAAAATCCAGGAGCATACCACCCCCTCCTTGTATGGAACACCGGCTAACTTCCACAGAAAATACACAGATACAAAAGTAGAAAGGAAGATCAAGAAAGACTTCACTGACAAACAACGCCGCCGCTATGCCAGGCACGCATCGCAACTGCACAAATCAGACAGGACACACAGACGATAGAAAGAAGATGGAAACGGAGAAGGGGGCAGCTCTAGACTGATGACTGGGATTAGAACGCTGCAAGATGACCCCGAGTCATCGGAGTATAACAGGATGGCTTGAGGACAAACGAATGTGGGTGGTTAGCCTTGATCGGTGGATGTGGGAGCCGCACCGGATTCTTTGGAGTAATCCGGATCATCGAATGCTGCCATCATCTCGCGCTCAAAGTCATCCGCGTCCACATCTGATCCTTCCACGGCCGTCTCGGATTGTGTCTCCTGCTTGTCACCGACAACAGTGGCCACCCCCGCTTCTCCTTCATCGTCATCATCCGGGGCGGGGAATTGTCCCTTCTCAAACCGAGTTTCTTCCGTCTCCGAACCGCCGGGGGTAGCAACATCCCTAAGGCCAGTGCTCCGCTCGTATGACCGCTTGATGCGTTGTGAAAGACGTGAGCCCTTGGCATCGACCTCGTCGCCGTCTTCGTGGGTGGATTCCTCGTCCGCGTTGCCGTCGCTTCCTTCGCCGCGCTTGCGTTTCCGGCTTGGTTCGGCTCCTTCTTCCGCGAAGAACTCGCTGTCACTTTCGCTCTCGTCGTCGCTACCCAGGAAGTCCTTCAACTCGTCGTGCACTGCTGCCTGATCTTCTTCATCATAGCTGAGGGGTGAAGACTCGGACAGTCCTGCGTCCTTGAATAGCTCGTCGCTGGCGTCGTCGTCGGTCACATTCGTGGCTTCGTCTGAGGAAGACATCCACGAGTTATCGACTAGTTCGCGGGAACCGGGTGAAAGAGGCTCGCCACGGTCATCGGGGTGCACGGGTAACAGGTAAGGGTCTTCATCCATGTGTCTCCAGTTGATCAGAGAGTCGTAGAGCCATTGCGTCGTGACAATCTTGATGTTGGGCCAGCGTGTGGCTTCCCGTACTTTGGCAGTGCGGTTTCGGCCAGCGACCAGGTGTGTTACGCGCTTGCCGATGTTTTTCAGGACGACTACACCGAATGTCTTCGCCCAGAGAGAAACTTCTGCGTTTTGGAGATCTTGACCCAGCGGAATAACGCCGGAGAAAACTATCACCACACCGCCGAGGACTTGGGCTTTGTACAAGGGCATAATGTCCTTGATATCGGGCACTAGTTTCAAGTCCACGTCCTTGTCTTTCGAGGCAGCTTTCTCGCCACGGAGGGCGGCCACGCGGCCACCCAGAGCGTGGGTCCTCTTCTTGTCATACTCTTCGAAGAAGATCTTATGTACCGCCTCCAGACGATCTTGAAGTTGGAACAGCTCTGTGTCATGGTCCACCAGCAGGTGGTGTCGAGGTCTGGCTACCTCCTGAGACTCGTCCCCACTAGAAGATGATTCGCTGCCATCGGCAGACGCATCGTCATCTGCATCCAGTTCCTTTTGTTTCTGGAGCAAAGGTCGATCTTCGACTTGGTGCATGATTGTTTCTTCCTGCGCGTCGGCTTGCTCCTGCAGAAGTCTTGGGTCATCTCCACCACCCATCGTCACCAATTGTTCCAAAGCTGAAACTTCCGTCTCCGGGCCTGTCTTCATCGTTGCACCGTTGACATGGTGCTCTTGATCCTCCTTTTCCTTCCCCTTTTCTTTCGATCCTCTGCTCGATTTGGGCGTCACCACAATCTCTTGCTTTTTCGGCAAGAAGCTGGAATTGATATCACCAATTCCGACAAAGAAGTCATAAGGGACAACCTTGATCAAATTGGGGATCCATCGCCACACGTCACCACGGTCATCAATAATGACCACCATCTTGGTGTCCACCGGGAAGAGGCGCTGCAAGTTTTTGGCTGTCAAGCTTCCGCTTTCGTCACGGCTCAGAATACGGTCTCCAAAGAGCTTGCGTGTTGGGTCAATGAGGTCGGCAATGTTCTGGGCGTATGCTCGAGTACCCATGGTGTAGATGTGCAATTCAAAGAGCTCGGCGACTTTCTCCAAAAATCCCTCCAGGCCAGGTCGAAGCTTGATGTAATACCAACATCCGCGCGCTCCAGGTGTGTCGTCAACCAGTTGGAAGGACCGAACATCCTTCAATGCATCATAATTCGGGTTATCCTTATCATCCTTCCATTCCCCGACAGTCGGATCAACAGTGGCATGGATGATCGTCTGGTCCAGATCCACCACCAGTGACAGACGCCGAGACGCCAGAAGACGACGCTTAGCATCCTCCTCGACACGAGTGGCCTCCTTCTCACTGACAGTCAACGTGGTGTTGTCATGGGTCATCTGGATGGGAGCGCGGAAGGTTTCCGAGATCTCAGTGTTGTATGTTGATCTATCCAATGGAAACAAGAGGCTCAGTCAGTATTGCGATCACAACTGGATCATTCGTCTGAACTTTGAGATCGGACGCATAAACATACTCAGTCATATCTTTACCACATTCGGCGCACATCCCACCGAACTGGACCTCATGTGCACAAGGCTCCTCAACTTCGACAACATCCACACTAGATAAGAAAGACAACCAATCAGTTCATAGCCCACAAAGAGTCAACAAACAAACATCAGACGAAACGACTCACGGTTCATCAATAACATCGCCTTTAGCAATGTTCCATTTCACAACCGTCCCATCCACGGTAGACTCAAAGCGTGTCGGAAACTTGCGCTTCACCATCACCTGATTTCCGAGTCCATCGCCCTCCTCCACAGTAGTCTGGTAAATGTACCAGAAAATGGCCTCATCCCGCTCCACCGTGTCCCCCTCCCGCTTGAGGAGCGAGGTCACGGTGATGGGATAGTGTAGGCTGGGGGGCAACCGGAGCTGCATCTTGGCTCCCAGTCCGCCCCTAGGTGATCGAGAACCACCTGTTTACTCGATTTCTTAATTGGAACCGTCACCTAGTAATGTGCTGTGGTCCCAGGCTTGTTGATTCCACGTCGATGGCGAGCGCGGATGTCGTGTGAGCTTGATCGCGTGCGACTCTGGCTACGGCGCCATGCCCGACACGCGACGCGTGGAGAGAACGAACGACAACGGCGGTGAGAGAGGGTTGCAGAAAAAGTAAATGAGGTGAGTCAATGGAGTTGAAGTGATAGCAAGACTTGTTTGCGCTGTCGCAAGGACGAGTCCAGCAGTGAGTTGTTAGGCAATCGAGTGGTTGGATATCGCCACACGAACTCGCGGAGTCACAACGAAACGTGCGCTTGTGCACCCTGGCGTGTAGAATGATGAAGAGTTGATACACAAGCCAAGTGAAGCAAGCGACTGGGAGTTGATGTTGTTGGGGGATGATGGAGGGATTGTCGTTGGGTTGGAGAATGGAAGAGCTCATCCGGGAACTTGTGCGGGGACAGGCTCAACCGGCTTTCCTTTGAAGGAGCTCCGCTTATGTCAACATCCCATCCACTCCGGAGAAAACTATATTAAACGAATACTCGACAACGAAGGGCTGGATGTATATAATTGACCTAGTATAGCTATGATAGTGTTTTATAATCATCTCCAATATTTCTAAATAGCTTGGCCCGCTTGTTTGGACTCCCAGATGCTGGATAACTCTCATGATTGGCCATTTGAGCAGGAGACTGCTGCAGCCACGGACCTCTGGCTCCATCAGAGCTCCCGTCCTCGGCCCATCGCCATTGGGGGCAGCTATCAAACACACCAAACAGGTCTACGAATAAAAAGCTACTTTGAAGTTCTACTAGAATAGGATACGCAGACCAAATACAGAGCTAGGAGGGGGAATTGGTTGGTAATAGCGAGATAAATTCAACACAATGCAACAAGAAATCCATGCTCTTGACAATCTGCGCGATCCTCATCGAGCAAATTCCCAGGAAGGGGCTGTGCCGACGTACGAAACAGAAACCAGGAGGAAAAAGTAAATCAGACAGCAGTCAAGATATGCTTACCTTGTAAAGCCATTAGGTGCGAATGATAAAAGCAGAGCATCTTTACAAACCACATGTTCGCCTAGAGAAGAGCTCATGTACATAGCAGATATACGGATAATGCGCTCGACTCTGTCTCCAGGTCTGTCGGCAGCTACAGATTCCCCCTAGTGGAAATTGGATGAACGCATTTAGCTGGACTTGGCCTTGGCCAGGCCAACGGAGCCCTTGCCGTGGTCGTACACGCTGTACCACTTGCGCAGGAACGCGTCACCCAGGATAGCAAGAGGACCCACGGGCTCGGGGAAGTCCATGCCCATGAAGCTGCTGATGCAGGAACCCTGGACCTCGAGGATGTAGTCGTAGGGGCCGATGGTGAAGTTGTGGCCGGCCAGAGTGAAGGTGAGGTCGGGCAGCTTGTCACGGGCATCACACTCGACGGTGTACTGGCCAGTGAAGCCCTTCTTGGCACCGATCTCCTTGTTCAGGAGCTCGGCCATGGTGGAGGGCAGAGCAATGAGCGAGGTGCCAGTGTCCAGGATAACACCGGTGTCCTCGAGCTCGGCAGTGTTCTCGCCAAGGGTGATGGCATCGAAGTCCACCTCCCAGTAAGCCTTGCGGCGGAGGGCAATGTTGATCAGCTCGCCAGTGTAGTGGCTCTTGTCGATACCACCGAAGGTGGCCTCGGAATCGTCACCGTCCTTGTTGGCGTCGCCCAAGTAGAAGGCGAACACGGGCTCGTCCAGGAGACCCTGGTTCAGAGCGTTGTAGAAGGGAGGGACCATCTTGTTGACAGAGATGGTGTCAAAGCCTAGACCCAGGATACCGTCGAAGCGGCCGAAGGCAAAGGCCAAACCAGGTTCCTCGGTGGCCTCAGCAAAGTCCTGGTGCTTGATCTCCAGGTCTCCGATCTTCATGGTGTCCTGAGAGACGAAGCCGCTCAGGCTACCAGATCCGTAACGAATGGCGAACTCGGTCCCGTTCTTCTTGTAGGTGCTCGAAGACGAAGAGTCATACTTGCTGTGGAGAAAGCAGGCAATCGAGTTGCACTGCGACGAGGGAACCCAGAGGTTGGAGCTACCAGTGTCGAGGACGACCTTGAAGCTCTGGGGAGGAGTACCGATGGAGATCTCGGAGAAGTCTGAGAGGGTGGTTAGTATATGGTTTGGATTATGATTTGTAGATGGTTATTGCTGATTGTTGATGATTGTAAAGGAACAGAGTGGATTCATGGTTGATGTGGAGACGGGAGGCTTACACTGAGCATTCAGGAAGTTGTCGACCAGCACGTTGTGACCACCCTCGGGCTTGATGGAGGTATCCTGGTAGCTAGAAGAAGGGCGGTAACCCATGTACTTCTGGCCGAGGGACGCCACATGTCGGTCGATGTTGGCAGCACTCTGTGATGATGCTGTTGTTAGCTTTCGGATATCAGGCACCGGTTCCGGCGGGGGGCGGGCGATCTCACCAGCTGCTCGTCCAGCGGGACCTTGTTAAGCTTGAGCTTGTGAACCTCAGCAGAGGCAGCGCCCAACAGCGCAGAGGCTGTGAGCAGGGTGATAGACTTCATGATGGTGTAGGATGGGAGAGGATGATGATAACGATGGAGAGAGAGGTGAGGGAAGATAAGGACTGGGCTGGGGGCGGAGCCTGGAGGACGATCGGCATAACGTGATGGGAGTGCGTCATTGCCGGAATCAGCTGGGCCGACCATGGTCAATCTGCCAACCAAGTTGGGGTTACACTCTACTAGAACTAGTTCATTATGCCCCCGTCCAGTTTCCCCTCTCAATCTACTCCATAACAGACAAGATGCTAGTAAATGACTATCAACACCAGGTCAATACTAATTGGTGTCTTTACTACAAGAAATAACCCCCCATTCCACATCATTGGCATCGTGGAGGACGGGGGGAAAAGAGGAGGTGGCTGGGCGTTTGCCTGCTTGGCGCTAACCCAGGATAACCAGGGCGACGGTCGAAGCGCCGTACCTGGCAGATGCAGAATCAAGTGGCGACCGCTCACAAGGAACAATAATCAGCCCGTGAGCCGGTTCTCCCGCTGGCAGGTGACCATGAATAGTTGACCTGTTCAATTGGCTAGAACTGGTTAAATCACCTATACGCTAATCCAGGCTTTACCTACTTCTTAAAAATGCAAATCAAGGATTGTGTTAACTATCGACCCTATCAGCTGTAGAATCCAGAGTATAGACGGAGATAATATCCATACAGCAGATCTCAGACGGATCGTCAAGCTTATCTTCTTAGTTCTGTATCCTACGCTTATATTCAGACAAACTGAGACATGCTCGATACTAGCAGGCTGTATACTGTACCTAGTAACGTACTTTATCCAGTTTGATACTGTTTACTAGACCCTGAGTGGTACAATGCAGCCGAAATTTTGCCTGTCTCTTGACCCTTCCCTTACGTAGTACGGCTTCTCTATCACATCGCATCTTATCACGAGTCCTACCTCAAAAATTGAATCCTGAATGTATTCCCAAGTATCACAGATTATTGATAATACAACGGTCCGGGCTACACTTTCATCACCCGCATCCACGCGCTCCCAAGCAATACCGAGCTTACCGGTAGAACTCAAGACTGTAAATCGAGTCAGTAACACAACACATCGGGTATAAGGACGAGCATGGGGCGAAACAGAGAATCACATACCGGTCATCCTCGTGGCCACTCTTCACCTGGGCGGCATAGGCATCCTCCAGGTCGGTCTGGATGATATTGTATCGGTTCTTGCGCACCGCCCGGAGACCGGCCTCTTGCATAATCGCAGCGATGACGGCACCGGACAACGGCTCATTGCGAACAATCAGGGGAATCCAAGTCGACCTCGGGCGACAGAGACATCTTTGAGGCGATGGTGGTGAAGATCAGACGGCGCTCGCGGCGGTCGCGCAACGAGGGGAACTCAATCTTACGGTCCAGACGACCTGGGCGCAGCAGAGCCGGGTCGAGGGTGTCGGCACGGTTGGTAGCCATGATGACCTTGACGTTGCTGGTTTGCTCGAAACCATCCATCTGGTTCAGCAGCTCCAGCAGGATACGCTGCACCTCACGATCGGCACCGGTCTGGGCATCGAAACGCTTGGTGGCGATGGCGTCGATCTCGTCGATGAAGATGATCGCCGGTGAGTTCTCACGCGCCATCCGGAAAACGTCACGAACCATACGAGGACCTTCACCCAAATACTTTTGTACGAACTCGGAGCCGTTTACGCGAATGAAGCTGGCAGTTGTGCTGTTGGCCACGGCCTTGACCAACATGGTCTTGCCAGTACCGGGGGGTCCGTACAGCAGGACACCACGTGGCGGGTCGATACCTGTGTTGCCAGATTAGCATGGCTCCATCATCCACATATCATTATAGCTGTACCCACCAATCTGTCTATAGAGATCGAAGTGTGTCAGCGGCAGCTCGACGGCTTCCCGAATCTCCTGCTTCTGCATATCCAGACCACCCACGTCGGCATAGGTCACATCTGGCTTCTCGCTCTCGCCCAGCATCGCGATCGAGGAGTCGGCCTCCGGGGGAAGGATATCAACGAGCGCATTGGAGTGGCGGTGGAGGGCGACCGAGGATGAGGGCTTCAGCTTCTCGCGGTCGAGTGTGGACAAGATGCGGACGACGTAATTCGACCCGGTCGAGCTCTGCACGATACCAGTACTGGACGGGAAGCTGTTAGCAAGAGGTTTTCCCCCTTGTTTCCGTGTGTTAAGGTCAAGCATACTTCTGATCGATAGCCTCCATGAACTGCCCAATAACCAGTGGCACACTCTGTATACGTTTAATCTCTTCTTGTGCTCGAACAAGCTCCCTCTTCAAGCTCCTATAATTCAATCAGATAAGTCAGCAATCTATTCCCCAACCATATGGCATTTTGAGAAGGCTTGCCTTTGCTCATCCTTGATGTATTCCTCCTGCAGCTGAATGTATCTGTTGGCGGCGTCAGTGACGTCGGAAAGGACCAGGGCATCATCATCACTAACTCTAGGTGTCGCTGTAGCCGCTTCAGATTGGCGTATTCGTCGTTTCCATCGGCCCCCGTGCCCTCCAGCGAGTCCAGGCTGGCAAGGGCATCCAGGGCAGCTGGCTTCGGGAGAGGCGTGACGTTGTTCGCCGGGTTCTCCACGGCAACGTCTCCCATGGTTGCGATCGTCTGTGTGATGTGAAAAGGAAAAATCAGACGATATCGGAGATGATGGAAGTGGTTCGAAGACGGTTTCGTAGATTGACGTTGCGAGGCGCGTTGTGCAGGGTCTGGAGATGGTGATGAATCGGCCTTGGAGCTTGGATCGGGCAACATGGAGCTTAATGATCAGTCACGTGATGTTTGTCATCGGCCAGCAACGAATCTGGGTGTGATGTTATTCTTCAGATTTCCTTCCATTTCGAACTTGTCAAAAGGAGTCTACGGTATTAGAATTATATTGCCAACTCATAGCCTTATATTACGGGTAATTCAAGAATAAGTGGTGGCAAAAGTAGTCTCATATTAGTTAACTATATATTTTGAGGGCGTCCACCTCCTCACCCATCTATGCGCCAAGTTACATCCTGAAGATTTAGGCATACGACTCTCAATTCTACATGTCTACAGTCATCAACTGTACCTCGTAATCATAGCCCTCCATCCTCAGGCGCCTAATCATATCTCACAGCAGATGGTCAGCTATGTATTGTAATTATGAGTGGCTTATTTCGCCGGGGAACCCATGGTCACCAAAGAATGTATTTGGGGCCAGGCCCAACTTCAGCCCATGGCCAATCAGGCCCATGGTCGGGGCTGTCTTGAAATGATTCGCAGAGATGACGCTGCCAGCACGCCTCTGTAGGCAGATTCAGGCAGCTGATCCTGTCCAGCGAACCGAGGAAAGAAGCAAGCTTAGCATTCTTATTATCCTTATGATCCTTGGTCCTGGTTGTTCTGGCTACTTTGGCTACTCTGCCCTCGACAACGAACCCACAAACTAGAATCGCGGGGGCTCCTTCTGCCATTCACATCGCTTAGACCAAGATGTCATTTGAGGCTTGAGAAAGCATAAATCCCGTTCTGGTGGAGCCTAGGACCAGGATTGGGTTTTGTCCGTCTACTCTTAAGTCGGTAGTGGTTGGGCAGGGTGGCAGGTTTGGCAGATTGGCAGGTTAGCGGTGGTCGCAAAAGGTGGGACAGGCACAGAACCATCACGATGCCCCATGCGGATCGAGTCGGATCCTCGCACCATTAGAGGAGGCCCTCTTGGCGGAGTTTTTCATCTGGGTCCTGGAACGGCGCTGCGGGGAGTCCCTTTTTCTCCCTTTTCTTTTCTTGCCCTCTGTTCAATCCTCTGACCCTCGGATTGGTTGCGCTCGTCATGATTATCAGACGCTAGTCCGAGCTTTATATAAGGAGAGAGCCGCGCCCACTGTACCGTGATCGGGCCTGACGTGGAGATTTTCCTTTTCCCCTCGACGCTTTTCTTTCCTTTCTCTTCATTGCGATCTTGTACGATTCATGTCTCCAAATATCTCTCCTTGGGAAGACTTCTAAACACTGCATCCTGCATCTGCTAGGGTGGCCTACTGGCCGGCAAAAGTATACAGACTAACCAGACTGGGCGAAGACCGTTGGAATGGATCTTCGCCGAGCTCATTTTGCGTCTCCAGCCTGTGAAGAGGATTTTTCTTTTCTCCTCTTCTTTTATTCCCATGAATTTTACCATTCTTGATGGTTTATCTTACTCTATGAAATTATGCTTCTTATCTTCGTGGTCTTGCCTCTTTTCTTGCAGTATAACTGGCGAGACAACCACCTGACTAACCAACAGCCTCCAGACTAACCTGTGGACGAGATTCACCATGAACGGAGATATTTAGCCAGGTCTTGCCGATTCTATTCAAATGAAGAATGAACAAGAAACACAAACCTCCTGGAAGCATCCCAGAAACGATTAACAAGTCACTGAACATCCAGTACGTGACAGTACGAGAGATGTATTGGCTGGCTGGCAGCCCACAGTCGGGGGGCAAATTACTTACCATACAGTGTACTATCGGCTCGTCTTGTGTTGTTCGGGAACGGGTCTCTTTTTTTTCCCTCTCCACTTCCCCTTCCATCCCTAACTGCCTTTGCTTGCTTGCCAAAAGTATACGGTAGGTACGCCATTTTATTTCTTTGCTTCCGTGTGCTTGTATCGCGGCTTTTCTGACCCCCGTTTTACCCATTTTCTTTCCCCCTAATTTCCTTTCCTTTTGCCTGTGGCCACGCACTCACCTTCCCCCCCTTCCGGGCTGTCCACCGACAGCGCACCCCCCAGTCCTCATTTGTCTATAGTTTCTGGTTTCTGGACTATCATTATCGTGGCCTGAGGAAAGATCAACAGGCCTGGCCCCTTCCCCCCCCCCCTGCCTGAGCCTCCATCCCCAACGTCGGTCCTTCTTCCGACTTATCTTCCTCCCCCCGTGACTCTCTTCCCGCCTCAGGCTCCAACACCACGTGACCACCGGGACCTCCGTCCAAACCTCTGCCCTTCGATCCATCTGCTAATTCCGGGACCCGGCCTTAGCCATCCGATCGCAAGTCGGAAATTTGAGTAATCCAGCCTTGTCGGTATGTGTATCATTTTATAATTGCCTCCCCTCATCTTTCTCATCAATCATTGTCTGTTTCGTGGCTATGATCCTTCCCCCTTCCATCTGAGACCACCCCCCCGGAAGCGTGTCGCGACCGAGCGCGCAGACCCTCAACACCTCCGCCCCAAGACGCGTTCACACGATCTTGGGAATTGATGAGGGGGTCGACTTCCCTTTCCCATTGATGATGGAGATGGATTTCATTGGAGTGACCCCAATCGCGATGATGACGCGCCCACCCAATGGACCTTGCTAACCTGCCTCATCGGGGACGTAGATGGGTTGGAAAAACCACACGACATGAACGCTTGGCTCGCCGACGCCTCGAATATGCCTGGCCAGGATAATGGCGCCTTCAATCCTTCTACTATAGACCCCTCAGCCGCCTTTCTACATGCCTCTCCCAACCCCCAGGACCCCAATCAGTTCCAGCGTATGTTCAATGGCGTGCCACGGAATGCCTCCCCGGGTTTCCACAACCCTAACCAGGTAATTCCATCCAAGCGAGCCCGACCAGAAGATGGAATGCCTATGTCGCCGCGCCCTGCCCCCGGTGCGGGTGTCACTGGGTCGCGATCCCAGACTCCCCATCAAGTGCCATTCCCTGGCTATCAAGGCCCCGCAAATGGAGCCCAATTTCCTCAACATCCGACACCTTACCAACACCTCCAGCAAGGCGCGTCACCCAATGTCGGCCAGTCGCCCATAATCCAAGACTTTGACCAACAAAGTGCGCGCATGGGAACAGCCTCACCCAGCCCTTATTCCCCTGCCGGCCCGCACGTGGGTGGCCCTCACATGTCACCTTCGCAGTCGGATGGCAGCCGTGTGAACACACCTCAGAATGGCCAATTCATGCCTGGACAAGGATTCCCTCAGTCCATGAACGCACAGTTTCAGCAGGCGCCTGGGATGACCTCGGCAGGACCGCAACCCCCCATGCAGGCTCAACAATTCAATGGGATGCAGCAGATGCCTCAGAGCTATCACCAAGCCATTGCGGCTCAGCAGCAGCGGCTTCGTCAAATGCAAATGCAGCAAAGTCAACAGATGAATGCCAACCCTCAAATGGCGGGTCGCCCGCAAGTACCTGGTGGTATGAACCCGATGGCGAATCCTCAGCAAATGGCTGCTATTCGACAGATGCAACAGCAGCAGCAGCAGCAGCAGCAAAGCATGGGCAAGCCGAATAACCCGGAGATGTTCATGCGAACGTTACAAAAATTCATGATGTCACGAAACCTACCTTTGGATCCCAATCCTATTATCAGCGGTCGTCCCATCAATGTCATGCAATTGTATGGCACTGTGATGAAAATGGGCGGGTCGAAGAAAGTGACTGCGTTGAACTTGTGGCCGACGGTTGCACAACAGCTCCAATTCCCTCAAGTCCAGTTCCCTATGGCCGCTCAGGAGGTTCGGGAATACCACCAAAGGAACCTGGCTCCTTATGAGCAGGCGTATTTTCAATCCCAGTCAAAGCAGTTTGCCGAGATGCAGCAGCAACAGCAGCAGCAACAGCAGCAACAGCAGCAACAGCAGCAGCAGCAACAGCAGCAGCAGCACCAGCAGCAGCAGCACCAGCAGCAGCAACAGCAGCACCAGCACCAGCAGCAACAGCAGCACCAGCACCAGCAGCAGCAACAGCAGCAACAGCAGCAGCAACAACACCATCATCAGCAGCAGCAGCAGCCGCAGCCGCAGCAGCAACACCCCGTTGGGATCCCTCGCCAACCTAGCGATCCCTCAGCGATGCAATTCCAGTCTCCCCAGGTTAAACCACGCCAGGGCTTTGAACAACCACAGCCGCTTATTCCCCACACCCCTCAACACAGCACCCCCGTCTCCAATAATGCCCAGGCTACGCCGGTCAATGGCTTCGCCACACCCACACAGGCCCGAAGTCAAAGCAAGCCACCTCAGCCCGCTCACCGGCTCAGTGTCTCAAGACAGTCACAGCCACCAGCTCCTCCACCGGAAGCTGCGGGACAATTTGCCGCACCTTCGCCATCACAGCAAGGGAAGCCTTCTATGACTCCAGTCCAGCAACCGGTGCAAGCGCCGGAACCCAAGCAAGACCAAGTAGTCAAGCGACCGATTGAAGACCCCTTCAAACCGATGGTCATCACCGAGCAACGGCTTCATGGACCTATTCAAGTGGATGAGATGTACCAGATTGGCGAGGAGATTTCAACGCTTAGGCCCACTGTACCAAGCTTCCCTGAATTGGGTCTGGTAGATATCCATGCATTGACCATGAGTTTGAAGTCTGGCATTCATGCTGAAGTTCGACTTGCGTTGGACACACTTACCACCCTTTCCTGCCATCAAGGCGTTCAGATCTCACTTGAGAACGCAGAGGACTTGGTGGAGAGCTTAGTGGATTGTGCTGATGATCAGGCTGACCTTTTATCCGATCACATTCAAGAAGTCTCTGATGTGATATCCCTGCGCTCATATGAAGATGTCACCCGGGGCTGCCAGTCCGAACACACCTCACTCGCAAATGTGCCCGAATTTGGGAGCCTCGACTATGAGTTGGACCGTGCTGTGGATCGTCTGATTTGTATCACCACCATTTTCCGGAACCTTTCATTTAGCGAGTCCAACTTTGGGCCATTGGGAGTGCCGTCCGTTACCCAGTGCTTCGCAAACGTCTTCCGGAACATCGGCACTCGCGACAAATATCTGCGAACTGACCAGAATTTGTTGGACTTTATGAAAGATGCTGTCATTTTCATGAGCAATTTGGCTCATGTCATGCAAATACCTGGGAAGGAGGAGGCCCTTAGTCTGTTGCACTTCCTCCTGGCATTCTCGCCTTTGCCAGGCCCCATAGCTGTGAAGCCCGGCCAGATTATGTTCGCTGCGTTTAATCCTTCGATTCACCGGTACACTCCTGCTGCTACGGATGCTCTTGCTAAGTTGCTGGCCAGAGATGATCCGAACCGCATTTACTTCGGTGCCATCTTCTCTGGAGACGGTTCTACCCCTCCGCAGCCCGAGCTTCTAACCCGCACATTCGGCCTTGCCGCCTGTGCGATTCCGGATAAGAAACCTCTAGCAGTTGCGGATGCCCGCATGGTCTTCCTCATGCAAGGTCTTCTGGCGGCTGACGTTCTCACCACCTTTGCTGATGGGGCTTTGGCTAAGCTATGGCTTGGTTCCGTCGACGGATTCGCCATTCACCTTTTGCGCGTGTCCTGTCTGCTGTGCACAGAGCGTCTTCCGAATATCAACCCGCGCCAAGGCCGGCAAGCGGAGGCCGAAGCCTATGCCTACACTTCAATTATCCATCGTGGACTCGCCATCCTGCGCCGGCTTGCTGAAAAGTCCAAGCAAGTGGACAACGCCTCCCCCTCCATCTCCCTTCCGGTATCCTCCCCAGCAAAGAGAGCTTGCTTGGTGCCTTACTTCTCGCGAACATGGACCCCACCATCATTCGTCAACTCCTCACGTACGCCAACTTAGCAGAGTAAAGAGCGCTTCCGCGTCTTCTTTTTCTGTTTGCTTCAAGACTCACCCTCCCCATGTGTTGTGTCGGATGAACTAGTTGGTTCGGTGGCCATCACGGATGGGCGGGCGTTCGAAACGAGTTGATTTGCCGCGTGCGCGCAGCATATACGAGAATTTTTGAAATTTCTATCATGTCATTTGTACTCATGTCTCTAAGCCAGCCAATTTCAGTCCGTCCTTGCTGCCGGTTGTTGGGTTTGGTCGGGTCTGGTCGGATCAGGGCCGTCTCGATCTTGTGTTTTCTTCCCTATGGATGGGGGTTTTCTTTTTTGGGCGCCGGTGGATATCGGGGGTTTCTCCTTTCCTTTTCTTGTTTTCCTTTCTCTGACTTCGGTCCTTCGACCACTTGACTTCGATTGTGAGATAGCGTGTTTGTGTGTTTACTTTCTGTGTACAATGCTCAAAATACCCTCGGCTGAATGCGAGAGATTGAGGTTCATTTGATGGGTGTGCCCACCTGGTATTTCTTAGGATTTTTTTTTTTTTCGTAAGACGTATATAATGTGTCTTATGGACTTGTGGCCTGATGCAGTTTCCGGACATTGTTATTGTTGTAAATGGCATCCGATACTGCAAACGCAGACAAACATGTGGTCCCAATTCAGCAATCACACAACAACACCTCATTCAAATAGTGAGCGTTTCCATCGCCTGCCCTCTCCTCACCTCTTTGCATTCGCATATATCATGCACAATACTAAATTAATAATTGACTGAGATCCTGACTCTTCTCGGCTGTCTTCGATATCCTTTCTGCCTCATATACCTCGACAGACCGCACTACATGGCTACTTTTGCCCACCAGCAATGACTGCCAGACTCTGTTCAAAGGCCTTGTCTACAGAGCAGGATCTTCACATCCGCCGCCTTGCCCCCTGCAGAAGTGGAAAACAGAACCTCTTGTCTCATGATGAGTTCGGCCTCACTTCAGCAAAATCATCGACTCTACTATTCTCGAGAAGCAAGTCAGAGGTTGCCGTGAAGAAGTCTGCGTCTCGATTATACTGCCTTGAAGCGGAGATCTCTCACCTTTCCCCTTCTCAAGAGAATCATTCTTGCCCTTCTTACTGAGAGAAGACTGCGCTTCGATTGGACTGCCGCCGATGAAGGAGAGATCCCCCATCCTTCCCCTTCTCACTGAGAGACCTGCTCAACCGTGTTTTACAAAGCCATATGTTTATGAGAACTGCACTATCTCAAACTGAGGCCGAATGCCAGCAATACAACAGATGAAGCGAAGCTTTCGTGTATTGACAGCTGACCTAATCGTCATATTCCACATCTCTCATGAGTACTTGGATACAACGAGGAGATTTGTCCGGTTCCTAACGTGCTTTCGGTAACTGGACTGGAAGCTGAATATTACCATGTGTATAACCTCCTTTCCGACTACTCATCAACACGATATATTCACAACGGGAATTTATATGCAGCGGAGATCTATAACTGATCTTTTTTATTGGTTGTTGCCGAAGTTCTGGTGATAGCTCGGTCCCAAAGTGAGCACTGGTGACTGTGTGCATTGGGATGCTGCGGATGCCGGTATAGATGCACATAAGGCATGAAGGGACAGAACGACAATCGCTTAACCAGGACGAGCAATGGGAACGCTTACCAAGACCGCATCATCGTGCTATACCTCTCGCCCGTTCGGCAAGTCCTCGGCGTCAGGCTTGTCTGCTCCCATAAGAGGTTTACTTCCCACCGTGAACGGTAAACCCATAAGGAGGGACACAATTCACAAATATCGTTCTTCCAGCAATCGACAGGATGGGGGACTTCCACAAATTTTATCAAACGGCCTCTCGACGATGATCTGGTATTTAATCTTGACTTGAATGTGCATGGCAACCACTAATATGATTTCAAGATACTGAGCTCGATGATCCTACCACTATGGGTACCCTTGAAGACATTCACCAGCAAGTTTGGACGTCTGAGGTACGCCTAAGCCCGTACAACCGCAACAACAATATATACCTTTTTGGGAGCTTGAAGCCGGAAAACGGGTCACTAATTAGAAATGGGTAAGTCTTTGTTTCAGGGCCTCATCTCTTGCTCTACTCCCTTCAACATTGCCGGTTTGCAACCTGGGACCAATCGCGAGATTTTGATGAGTTATAGACACTGACTTTCAAGCTTTCCACCAAGGTGATACCAGCCGTACTCACGCTCTGTCATCAGACGGAAACGGCACTCAGTTGGGCGAGACACAGGGATTAGAGACCGATGGAAATATGTCCGATGAATGACGAAAAGCTTAACCGCTTCACTATCGCCTAGTTGGTGCGTTTCGGAAGCCCGATACTTGAACTCAACACTGCTCCAGCGAAGAGAAGCTGATGTTCCCCCTAGGCAACGTGAATTGAACATCCACATCAACTATGCTGCGTATACACACACCTACATTGTATCACTCGAGCAAGGAAGTGATCGTCTCAGCAAAGCCCCAGGACTCGTGGCAGATAATACCCGGAGACGGTTTTATTCGGCAACATACCCTGCCTTATGGCCGGTCCTTCCCTGAAAAGTGATACTAGCCCACTGGGCGCTCGCAGTCTACAGCTCATCGAGTGGAAAAGGCGCTACACTATCATCGAACCCCCTCGGTAACGCCAAGAGTCTCGAGAGGAATCGTAACCGTGGGAACCGCTCCGTATGAAGAACCTCTCTATACTTCCGGTTGCCATGCTTGCCCTGGTCATCCAGGTATGACTCTCAGAATGGACAGCGAGGAAGAGAACCTGGTACATGCAATATCTGCTCCATTGATTTCACCAGGCCGTGATCATCTGGGCATTCCTTTGGGAAATTCTGGGCTTCTTTCTGCAAGATGCGCAAAACACAGAACCTGGGTATCATTCGTCTAGGCTACGAACGCCTACTGGTACCATTCATATGGAGGATATGATCAAGGATGCCAATTTAAATGTTATTCGACTATTTCTGCTACCTGGCTCGTTGTTATTTGCAGTTTCATGGCCGCCACCGCAGGCCCCTCTAAGAAGTATTGATTTTCTCTGTAGGAGAGTCCATCATTTTATCAACTTGACCTTTTGTATCAATCAACTACCGAAGAAATCAATATCAATGATGCGAATCTTGGCCAGGGTCTTCATTCCCTCTTTTGTATCACTGATCGGCCCTGCTAAATAGATGAGGAACATAATGCCTCCAAGGATGTCCTTGCTGTTGTTCACATCATCCTATAGATGTGCTGTTTCCCGAGGTGCCGGGGTAGCATTCTGGTTCTTGCATTTTCATTTTTGACAGGCCATGTGCTGAATTGACTGTCCTGAAAGATTCCTGTCTATTCTGTAGCATGCCGTCTGGTCAGGAATTGGTGAGTGCTTGTAGTCGCCTGATTCAAGAATGGCGTCTTGGCACATCTTGTCCTTGAAGGCCAACTGATTGACAATTTTTGACTTGATATCCAGTAACCTCAGGTGTTGAGTGACAGTCTTTCTTCAATAACGGAGACCACTTCAGTCCATTCTCGCATCCCTCCAATTCCAATGTCTCCGCAAGCAAGCATTTTCTGTAGATAGGCATTAGCAAAAAAAAATACAAGCATTGAGAGTACTCCACATACCCCGATAGGCCTAAAGACTTCAAACCAGCCCTCGTCATTCTTATCATTCACCCCCCAATCTTCCTCCAACACTCTTATATGTTGCGTGGTAACCGGGTGCAACCACATAGCCACATTCATAGCCGGAAACACCACGATCCGCTTTTTCATTCCATCCAATTGCCCCGACGTATCCCATGCCCGGATCGTATCCGTCAACAAGTTATCCGACATCCCATTCACGATTTTGGCCAGCGTATTGGCGCTCAGCGGCGCAATGACCAGGATATGTGCCCACTTGCGTAGGTTGATATGCAAGATGCCTGCGCCACGGGTCCAGGATTCGCCCATTTCGTCTTTATCTTGATATATGCCGTCGACGTTGGGGAGAGACGCGAGGGATTCGATGGTAGGTTGTTCCTGGGACTGGCCGTTGAGGAAATGTGAGGCGGATTTGGTCAAGATGACCTTGATGGATAGGTTCTGGTGTTTTGAGAGAGCGGAGATTATGTTGGGGAGCTTGATTGTTGCGACGGAGCCACTCCTATGATTGCTAGAGTTAGCAAGGTGACGTCAAAGAGGTACCGACGAGAGAGCTTACGAAGCTAAGAGGAGGTGCTTTTTGCCGTCGTCTATTGCAGCTGCGACGGCGTCAGCTGAAGCTATTGAGCTTGCTCCTGACATCGTGAGATATATTGCAGTCTCCGTTCAAAAAAAGGGGGTAATAACGACGATAGGAATGTTAGAAATAGAGGTCAAAATAAAAAAAGTGAGGGAAGTACATTCTCGTCGGAGATATCGCGGGGAGCTGGCCTGCTTATTAATCCAGGCATCAAGGCCGAAAACGCGGGGTACATACTAAGGTTAACTCGAAGCATAAGATTGAACATTGACTTAGAGATCTCCTATATACAGGCTAGCCACTAAGCTTGCATGACAAATGTCTGTGTAGTAGTGTTTTTCAGGATCTCGGCCGCTCGTTTCTCCAATTCCTCACGTTGGCGCTGTTCCTCTTGCTCCTCTCTGGCCGCAGCTTCCGCCTCTTCCTCGGCATCACTCTCGGTTGCTCCAACCTTGGCGGACTCGAAATCCAGCTCGTTGACCAACTGCATCTCTTCTTGAGGGCCTGTTCGTAAATAAGAGTTTGCCTGGGTTTGTTTGATGGGCTAGATGGGTCAGCTTCAAGTCTTTCCGGTGAAGAGGTATGACTTACGACACTGCGGAACCGTTGGAATCGACGAGGCTTGAAGTGAGATCCACCGAAACAGACGACCAGTCCTCCATCGTCCTAGAGGAAAACAAATAAGGATTTGACTTGCTGTGAAAATATAATTATGCGTTGACTTACCCCTTCGGACTTGTACGTAGTCCACCCTTCATTCTTCAACTTGTCAAACGTTCCACCTCCAGCCCCAGCCTTCGCAATTCCAGTCGCAGCAATATCCAATCCAACCTCAATCTCCTTATCAGAGCTATTCGTCATATTAATAGCACATTCATCCGTCACCCACGCATGCTGAATAATCCAGATCCCATTCTTGGCAATATCGGGCGCAAAGTCCGAATCCAGCAGTGCCTGCGCATTCTCACTCGCCCACGTCGAGACAGGCTTGTCAAATGGGGCGAGTACCTTCTCTCGCATTGCGGTTGAACCAGTCACCAGTGCGGCTTTACTCGAGGTGCTGGTCTTGTGCTTCCCATCAGCCGAGACGTCAACCGGGACTGCTGCGGCGGCGGCTGCAGAAAGACCAGCAGACAGTTTAATGTGCTGACCAGCCTCACTTTCGGAAGATCGAGTCTTCCACATAGCAGCCTTGGGCTGCTGGTCCCGGTTTAACAGTTTTTTCAATGGCGTGAAGCCGTCGGCCTCGGGCTGACCTTCTTTGGATAGATCGGTTATCTGGTTCCAGCCACTGTACTCGTCGAAGAAACCCACCGAGCCAGGGTGGAACTTGCGGAAGGTTGGTGGGCTGTAGAGGTAGGTACCTTCTGGATTGCGACTCATTAGAGCAGCATACTCAATGTCAAGGGTTGTTTGTTTGCCCATAGTTGTATTTGTATAGGTGGTCACGTATGCTTTTCAGAGAGATGATGGGATTTTGAACGAGGAAAAGAGTTCGAGAGCAGTTGTCGCGGGGCTTGAGTTATATAGAGGATCGGAATAACCCTCGCTAAAAGACGCAGTGCCGATCTAGATGTCATACTGGAGACGACGTGCATGATACTGTAGATCCAGTGGGTGAAGGTGACATCAATTACTGCCATGACGGCCAATAATTCGGCCTTTGAATGCGTCTGAAAAGGCTCCAAAATGATCACATTCATTTCTATGTAGAATCCATTAAGAGTAACATAACTTTGAATAGATTATTGATTTCAATCATCTTCCGAGCCGATAAATGAAGATGAGAAAAGTGTTTGTAACCATGTCGAACTCTTCCGAGCTAAATCACGGTGGCAACATGTTCGCCAATCGATCTCAAACTAGAGATTGTTGTGGTGAACCCAGCGCTAATCAGTGGGTCAAGATTCAGCGCGCCGCTGCTTTGGAACGAGCTACAGTATGCCATGCCAGCTCAGCTTGCACACAGACCTGTTCGATGAAACCTACCACGGACGTCAGTCAACATGAAAGATTTGCGAAGCGGCGTCATGGAGGAGTGGAACAGATATTCGGGCCCTGGGTGGCTGGAAGATCGTATAGGTATCTTGTTCTCGTACATACTGTTTTGTAATTGGCAGGCGTCCAATACTCATAGAGTCTATAATATTCTGTCTCGAGAACAACTTCAATCGCAACTAAAATACTGCAATTGAAAATAAATTGCTTTGGCTTGGATTTTCGTTCTTGGCAGATGGGTGATTGTTGAGATATTATCGTTTTCGGTATAATTCCGGTTCGGTAGCCCCCGGCAAAGCACCGGGAGTGGCAGCCCCTGTTCTTACAATAAGGAATCCTGCTTCGATCGCTACACATTTGGAGACTGTTTGGGTATTCATGGTCACGTCATCCTGATATCTCTTTCGATGCTGTTCAGAGGTATCATGAAGCTATATGTCGACCAGTATGAATTCGTCATTAGGCAGTGAACTCTCCCTGCTGTTTTGGGAGGCAGCATGTTGTTGGTTAAAAATGTTCTTGTAACACCTATATTCTTGACATTGTAGGCCGACCCGACTACGTTCACTTTCGATAGTTATGACGATGCATAGATTCATTCGATTAGAAGGACCAGGGCCAACACCCATCGAGTCATTGCGCATGTACAGAGTAGGAGTGATACAGGGAGTGATGAAAAGAAACACAAGCGCCGGAAAACAGGGCCACAGAAAGAAGATACCAGAAGAAAAATGAAAAACACCCGCAATAAAAGAAAAAGAAACAGAATGACCCCATAGACTGAGCTTAAGAAATACACACCAACGAGGAAAAAGGGAAAAGGGAAAAAAAATCACCCACGGGACATCACATGCCCCTGTGCCCAACTCCGAATTCCTCCTCTTACTGGTTCTCCATATGCTTTTGTTCTCGCTTTTTGCTTCTCCCGCTTCCACGCTCGTCGGGAACCCTCGCTCAATGGAAACCCGGTGAATGCTTTTGTGTAGACATCATGCGACTGTCCGCCGCGAAAGGATGCAAAATAGAGAGGAGAATTTAGAAGTTGCGCTCCTGCAGGAACTTCACGATCTCGGGTTTCCGCCAGCCCTGTTATATACACGTTATTATCACATCCAACAAAATTATTGCGGCAATGGTAGGCTATAAGAAAAACATACCTTGACGATAACGTGACCAGTGAGACGGTTGATCGAAACATCGGGGCTTCGGGTATCAACACCCAGGGTCTGAGCCAAATCACTGCGCAACGCATCCAAATCACCCTCGGTCTTCTGGATCTTGGTGAGCTGCTTGGTGCCACCAGCTTTTGTGACAAGGTAGACGGGCAGCTGGTTGGATCCAGTCCGGCGAACGAAGTAAGGAAGGTTGGTTAGGGACAGAGTTGGCTTCGGTTGCTTGCCATGCTTAGGCAAGGGTGCGGATGGTGAGATGGGCTGTTCCTTGAGAGCTTGAGCTTCGCGGCGAAGTTGCGTCAAAAATGTGCGAGTCTGGTGGGCGGAAAGAGTGATTTGAGAGGAGGTCGAACGGTATGAGGATCGAAGGAGAGGGGCTGTATAAAGAACAACAGTTAGATATGTTCTTGTTCAACGGTCCATAATAGGATGATCGTAGAGTGAGATGCTTTTCTTGAATTTCAGGGTGGAATCTCCTATACGTATCGCCTATCATGCAAAAAAGTAGACTCGACTCAGGTGAGTCCACTAGAGCAGGAGAAATCCGCAACATTCAGAACGTACAAGAAGATAATGAAGAGAATCGACTACATGTCTGCACGGACTGAGCCAGGCGGGGAGAAGCAGTCTGCTTGCACACGGAGGAAGCGACCGAGGCCGACTGTCGGAGAGACGCCATTGAACGTCGAATGTGAGCCGGACGGAAGAAAAGCCGGAGAACCTGTGGGGGAGAAAGGTTGAAGATCAACACGAAAAAAGAACTCGCGATGCTCAACCGACGAAACAGAATGGAGCAGGTTTCTTTCGCGCCGGTTTTCTGCCACCGCCTGATCACCCAGGTCGACCGAAAATGGTTTAGCGCGACACACACCCTCCCGCACACAAATTCAAAGTGCAAAGTGCTTTTGTGCCTCGTCTTCGGCCTTCGATCAACCCATACAACCACCACCATGGCAGACAACGCCCCTCCCTCCGCTGAGAAGCTCAGCGGCGCTCAGCCGACCGATATCACCCCCGAGTATGACCTGCTCCCCCGCCTGATCCCATACCTCGACCGCCACCTGGTTTTCCCTCTGCTTGAATTCAGCGCCGGCGAGGACGACAAAGAAATCACTCGCGCCAAGTATGAGTTGCTCAAGCACACAAACATGACCGACTACGTCGCCAATCTGTGGAAGGAGATCAACAACACCGACAGTATTCCCGATGAGTTCGTGAAGAAGCGCGAGGAGGTTCTGGCCAAGCTGGAGCACTACCAGGTCCAGAGCGAGAAGATTACCGAGTTGTTGCAGGACGAGGAGGTTGTCGGCAACCTGCGAAGCGACAAGGCCGCCAACTTGCGGTTCCTCGAGGAGCAGCACGGTGTCACCAATGATATGGTTAACAGCCTGTACGACTACGGCCGGTTCCAGTACAGCTGCGGCAGTTACGGTAATGCCGCTGAGCTGCTCTACCAGTTCCGTGTCCTGTCTACCGACAACGACAAGGTCGCCTCCGCTACCTGGGGTAAGTTGGCGTCCGAGATTCTCACCACAAACTGGGAGGGCGCGATGGAGGAGGTGCAGAAGGCCAAGGACTCGATCGAAACCCGCCTGTTCAATAACCCGCTGGCTCAGCTCACCAACCGCTCCTGGCTGATCCACTGGTCCCTGTTCCCCTTCTTCAACCACGACCCCGCCCGCGATGTCCTGACCGACCTCTTCTTCTCCCCCGCCTACATCAACACTATCCAGACCAGCTGCCCCTGGATCCTGCGTTACCTCGCTGCCGCCGTCATCACCAACCGCGGCCGTCCTCACAAGCACCACGGTGCCTACCAGAAGCAATTGAAGGACCTGATCCGTGTGGTTCGCCAGGAGGGTTACGAGTACACCGACCCCATCACCGACTTCATCAAGGCCCTCTATGTCGACTTTGACTTTGAGGAGGCCCAGCGCAAGCTGAGCGAGGCCGAGGAGGTTCTCCGCAGCGACTTCTTCCTTGTTTCTGCCGCGGACGCTTTCGTTGAGGCTGCCCGCCACCTCATCTCTGAGAGCTACTGCAAGATCCACCAGCGGATCGATATTAAGTGAGTTTGAACCAGAGGAATGCGATTAGAAAAAAAAAAAAAAAAAAAAAAAAAGAGAACATCGAAAATCTAACATGCATGTCCAGGGATTTGTCCACTCGTCTTGGTCTGAGCCAGGATGAGGGTGAGAAGTGGATCGTTAACCTTATCCGTGATACCCGGGTTGACGCCAAGATCGACTACAAGGAGGGCACCGTTATCATGAACCACCCTCCCCAGTCGGTTTACCAGCAAGTCATTGAGAAGACGAAGGGTGCCTTCTTCCGAACACAAGTCCTGAGGTAAGCAGATACCCAACCGCAGTACTCGCCTATCACATTGAGAATATATCAACTAACAAACCTCCTCTAGCTCCGCTGTCGCGAAATGAGATACCTCTTGCATGAGCTGATGCCAAAAAACTGAACTTCCTCTTCCATGTTATTATCGACCCATGTTTTTCTCTGCCTACCCATTTTAGTGATCTCCCCGTGTATGTCACAACACGGTTCTATTTGAGAGATGGGGACTGTGCAGGGGTGGCATCCGGCTGGCGTTCTTAGGTGGTTCACCTTTTGTTTATTGATGTTTTTCCCTCCCTTTTTTCCCTTTTCCCTCTTAGTCCACAGTTCTCCCCCCTAACCTACCTATATTTCCACTTTCCTTCCCACTCCCATCTTCCCTTTCTCTCTGCGCCGTCAGATATGTCTATTTTTCTTTTCTTCTCTTCTTTTATTTCTTCTTGGTTCTTTTTGTTGTGTGTGCCCAAGAAGGTCTTTCTGGCCCTGGTGGTTTTTGCAGAGAAAGAGGATATCGAGGTCGGAAATGGATAGCCCTTCTACATCATTGGCTTTGCATATGCATATGCATGGGGAGGGACGGAGAGAAAGAGGGAGCATGGCGCTTCCTTGTGTCGTTCTCCTCTGATTTGCAGAAGAAAAAAGAAGGGGATTCATGTAGAGGACCATCCCCGGGAATTAGGTGGGGGGTCTGATGGATCTATGCTGTTACGAATGGTCTATAGAGATGAGTGAGAAAAATGATGTCTGACAATGTCTGGTCTGGTCCAGTTGTGGTTGTTGTATTCGAAATGTGGTAATGAAATGAAGTACTCATGGAGGCAATAATGTCAATGTCCATATAGTGAGCGCTTTGGGCAGATCTCGTCTCGGTGGGAACGGGAATAGGGAACTGATTGTAACTCCTATTGCCAAAACGGAAAGGGGTATCGTCAAGAAACAGAAACACAAAGTGCCTGGGAACGCCGTAGAAGGAGATATACGGCGAAACATCCTCTCTCTCCGTTGTGACCGAGTCAATTTTCTCCTGGTCAGATGGAAGATCCCATCCATGGAATAGATGAACCCGCGGACCTGTGAACCGGGATACAAGTCTCGCTCTCTTTCTCCGTGCCTGTGTAGAGGGGGTGGGAAACCTTGGCTTGGAACTTGGAATAGCGAGCAAGACAGTATAGAAAGAGACGAGAGCGGGAGATAACAGCGGCCACTAGTGCAAGACTTCCAGTGCAAGGCTTCCAGAAGGTCACAGTCAGGTAAATTTGGCGAGCATCCAAGGACTTCTCTCTCTCTCCCTTAGGCACGGCGCAAGACATCCATCCTAGGCTTTGACCAGGCCAGGCAGGATTGCCAATTCCTTTCCGGGCAATGGAAACCAGGAGAAAAAGTAGCACACTCGTCTCAACGGGCGCTCCGAGGATTCTGTTCCACAGGCCTCCTTCTTGCTCGATTAGGATCCACGGGTATAATCTCGTTGATATACGGCTCCGGTGGCTGTCGCGATGAGCCATCACCAGTATTGCTAGTAGCACCAGCGCTAGGACTTTGATTGGTCATTCGGAGTGCTTCCTGTCTCTCATAATCCCGGGACATAGCTGCAAGGTCGTCGATTTGCTCCTGGAATTGCGGAATGGGGTGTCAGCATTTGAGTCGTTGTCTTTATATTCCTACCGCAGTGAGATAGAACAGACCCGAGTAAGAGGCATGCCCGTGATGAGATAACCTTCGCGCCCCTTTAAACATAACAGGTTATCTGATTAGAAGCGTGTCAACCGTGGCGCATAGCGGGGATTGGGTGCCCTAAGTACCTGGTAACTATATGGCCTCACTGATGCGGATGGGCCCAAGAAGTAGTGGATGTGTCCGAGGACGATGTGTCGGGACAGGCCGTATCCTGGAAGCCAGTATTGTTGGACTCGAGACATTTCAGGTGATGTCTACTCTGCTCGTGAAGGAGGGAAGAAAGAGGTGTGTGCGTTGGGTCTCAAGGACCAAAGCAGGGCTTAGGCTTGGGCTTATGCTTCAGGCCTTGAAGGTTGAGCTTGCGGTCTGGTCTGACAAGCCGGGGTAGCAGAAACCGGATGAGGAGACGGGCAGCGGAGATCGTTTGGTATCTTTTTCATCTGGCATCAAGACATGAGGACCAAGCATGGGGGTATAAATAACCTGGCCGGGCCTGTCGAGCGGGCCCCTCTCTCTGAGAGGAAGCTCCCTCCTCGTGTTACAAGCATGCGGTCAAGAAAGAAGTATCACGCAGGTCGGAGGATAGCCAGGAACGAATGAAGACAAGCGCCCGGGCTGCAATCCACCTGCTACTGCTGCTACCCTTTCTTTCGATCTATTCGGGGAAAAGATGATCATAAATCGGCGGTCCAGGGCGAGCAAGACAAAGACAATCGCGTACAACTTTGCCCAGTTCAGGTAGTACCGTCCCTCCGACTAGCCTCGCCCTAGTGCCTTCCCGCTAGCGACATGCCGGGGGGAACTATGATGGATCCACAGGTTCTTGACCTTCGACAGTCCAGAACAACTTTGGTGGTATTTCCGCGGCGACGAGAACAGGCCAAGTCCCGAGCATGGGCTGGTGTCGAGTCTCCCACGAAACCAAGAGGGGCCAGGAAAGAGTCCACGACGACGAACCACTTAGTTCCGAACAACCTTTTTGTTGGGAACGTCTGGCTGGCCATGGAGGATTCGACTCGGAACTGTCGGGGCGAGCAGAGAAAGGGGTGTTCGCCTCACTTCGAAGCGACCACGACATCCAACCCTTTCCCTCTGTGACCGCATGTTTAAATTAAAAGTCTAACCTGACCATGGCGGTAGCGGTTGGTGGACCTGTCAGAGTCCCGGAAAAGGGCCAGTCTTGCCCGAATTTGGTTTTCCTGAAAGACCAGGAATATCAGAGGAAACGCCGAGGTGGGTGCTAAAATGTTCGCTGGTAGGTAGGGCCGTGAACCAGGAACTGGGGCGGGCCGGTGTCAAAGTGAGGCTTGCACGGGGATGCGATGCCCTCGAATCAATTCGATTCTACTCGGAATGAACAACGCATCTGCAAGGGAGAACCACTGCAGAATTGCCGAGTTGTTGAATTGCTGAAAAGTGGAAAAAGAGGCATAGCAGGACCGCCTAAAAAGGGGGTTGGTTCAGCCTTGCACGATGTTTCGCAAGCCTATTCGAGCTAGGTGAAGTAGGTCAACCAGACCCCATTTCCTTGCTAGCCTTGGCCTTAGCCAACTGAATACTCAAGTTAGTTAGTTTGCGGGTCATGTAGCTGACATTCCAGGAAAAGCAGTAACAGACAAGGTTGTACAAAAGCCTCCAATCGATGATTCGAACATTCTACTCACCGCATCTCTCTCACCTCTCTGGTTTCTCTGCGCCGCCAGATTGGCTCTACCTGCGGCTGATGTCGTGGCACCAAGGAGCCCACTTGGTTTTGTCGCGGGGCCCAAACTGAGCTGCACGAGAGAACGAGGGATATCTGCATCTTTTCGTTTTTGGGAGCCCAGTGACAGAGACCGGAGGCCGAAGGACCACAATTACAGTACAATCTGTAGTTGGAATTGTGCTGGGGGAGGTTTCGATGTCGAAACACATGGCAAGTGCAGGTGACACGGTGATGAGGGGCTCATTGTTCATTAAGACCTGTCAAGCTGCAGTCGGGCAATTTAGGGTTTATCTGATTTGCTGTTCTGACTGGTGGGGAGATTGGTTGAGAGGTTTAACAAGAAGTAGATGACAGTTGCAAGTTGGTAAGCGGGAAAAAGCAAGAGATCCTGTGGAAGAGATGGAAGAACTCGGTTTCATGTCTTGGGCTCGGGCAATCGGCTATGAAATGTGACGAGGGCTGCATATGCCCGCCGGTGCCATTGGGTCTGGCGTCTTCTACGGTCCGACATTTCTTCGACATTCTCTGCATAGCATCGACTTTTATACAGACTTGTCATCGGACACCAATGGGTAAGTGGCCAGTGGGAAAGTGGCAATGAGGCCACCGAGTACAGGGAAAGGCAAAGATTGGCATCAAGATATTATTGCTCTAGTCTTTTCATAATTCGTCTGACGAGATATCCTAGCTCGTATTCTCTTCAAGCTCCCAGTCCACACTTACTGCGGAGGCACATACGGGTGTACCAACATGTCGCTGAACCTATAGGGAAGATGGTTAGCCGAGTTCGCCAAAAGCAAAGAATCCTTCAGGACGATGATCTAGGGCCACTTACTTCTCCAGCTTGTCCTTCCCACGAACCTCCTCCACCAATAGAGGCATGCGCACCACGTTGAAGTCCTCGTAGAGCTCCTCAATCTGCTCGAGGTACTTCTTCTGCATCTTCCTCCGAGCATTGCACTGCTCGCAGCTACTTCCATCCTTGGGGAACAGCAACTGGTTAACCACAATGGAGTGGGTATCAATGCCGTAGCTAGTCAATTCCTGAATCATGCGCTCCGTCTCGTACAGCGACAGGAACTCCGCAATGCAAACACACACAAAAGTAGTCATGTCGGGGTTCTTGAACTGCTGGTTGACTTCACTAATCGTCTCACGGAGCGACTCCATCTTCTGGAGCAGCTCATCCATGTTCTGACCACCTGGGAGACCACCCCGCGCACCGAGAATCGAATTCAGCATCGGGCCGAACTGGGAGGAAAGCTGCGAGAGCTTTGCAAGAGCCTTCTCGAGAACGGTAGGGAATTGCAGGAAACGCAGAGTGTGACCGGTCGGGGCGGTATCGAAGACAATAGTCTCGTAGGAGAGCGACTTGACTTGCTTCAGGACTTCGGCAAAGGACATGGCCTCGTCAACACCGGGGATCTAAGTAGCTCGAACGTATCGGGTTAGCAAGATTGTAGCCATGGCGCGCGCCCAAGACGCAAATTGAAGATCACTCACGCTGAACGCGAGGTCCTGCATCATGTTGCCCATGCCCAGACCTGCCATGGGGTCTTCGCCCTGACCATCGCCATTCGCCAAGAGGTCCTGGATACTCCCGTTAGGGTCGATCTCCATGGCGCTCAGGTTCGTGTAGCCGTCGACCAGGCGGGCCTCCTTTCCAAATTTCTGACCGAACGCATCACTCAGGTTGTGGGCGGGATCGGTGGAGATCAGCAGGACCGACTTGCGGACCTTGGCCAGCTGGATGGCGAGGGAGCATGAAGTAGTGGTCTTGCCGACACCACCTTTCCCGCCGACGAAGATCCAGCGGAGAGTGTTCTGGTTCAGGATCGACTGGAGCGTGGGCTCCATGTCGAGATCATCGCTATGAATCACGGCGGAGGACATTTCGGCGATGCGAAATGACCGAGGGAGGAGAAAGAGGGAATGGAGGGCGGAGGAGGTGGTGGTCTGGTTTGTGGTGGTTTATAGCGGGGAGAAGGTGAGTTGGAGGTTCGAAATTGAGGATTTGCCCCGCAAACCGATCGAACGTTCGGGAAGATGGTCTAGAAGACATGACAGGGTGTCCTAGAGGAGAAAAAGGAAGAGGTTGATGATTATCGCATTTGATATTCTTGCTTGCTCATGCTGTTGGAAGATAGAAACAAATGAAAAGATTATCTGTTCTAGCAAGTTCGACCCAATGGTTTGCGGTGTCATGCCCGTTAAGCTAGATGGACTTGCAACATCGTAGTATGCCAACCAGATAAGCTAACTAACAGTGATGAATCGATCTTTAATCCCATATCTCAAGATGAGACGATAACCCTGATCGGGTATCTACATTCTACAACCGACATGAAGTATACAATCTATGCGACTCTCCCCCAGAGTCTGTTAAACCCGCTCCACCCCGCCGTGGCCGTGGCATCCTCCGCAGCTATCGGTGCTCTCCGATGGCAGAGGCCCGTAGAAATAATGGCAACGCTCTCCGTCTAGTTAATCTCTTTAAGATCTTTTCCTCCTCCCATATTCCTCTCTCTTCTCCCCATCTCATCACCAATTTCATGGACTCTCGTGATTCCTCCCAGGGCCGCACCACCAACCGCCTCGCCCTCGTTCAGCAACAGCTCTCTGCCTCCAACCGATCCACCTCAACATCCACCACATCTACACCCTCCACCACTCAACCACCCACCATGTCTCGCGATCCCATCACCTGCCACTGCCTCAACACGTTGACCGGCACACCCGCCGCCAACCTGCCCGTCACGCTGACCCTGCTATCGGCGCCCGCCTCGCCCTCCAGCCCTGTCACCTTCCACGCCACGACCAACGCCGACGGCCGTGTCGCAAAGTGGACGCCCACTGGTGCCAGTGCCAGCGCCGCCTCCTCTGTCCCGGAGATCCTGGCTGCGCTGCCCGCCGCGGACAGCAAGACCAATTGGGCGGTGCGCTTTGAGGTTGGGCCTTGGTATGAGGCTCAGGGTATTGAGAGCTTTTGGCCGGAGGTGGAAGTGAAGTTTACGGTTAAGGGCCGTGGACGGGATGGCGAGGAGGGTTGGCGCCATTATCATGTGCCCGTGCTGTTGGGGCCTTGGAACTACTCGACTTACCGGGGTTCTTAATTGTGTTCTTGATTCGATTGTTTGATCTCTTTGCCTGTTTCTCTGTATATAGATGTTTTCAATGGGATCATTGTCATGAAAAAAAAAATGTCTACTATACAATTTGTAATGTTTGTCGCCGAAATTGTCAACCTCGTGGGCATCAAACGACGACAGACCCACTGGTTCTTCAATTTTGGTGGTATCCAGTTGCATTGGTACATAGAGCCAAAGTTTGAGCCACCTTCCATCAAGTAAGGCAAGATGGCCGAGTTGGTCTATGGCGCACGGTTCAGGTCTACCTGATCCAAACTTCCGTGTCTCGAAAGGGGCGTGGGTTCGAATCCCACTCTTGTCAAACTGTTAACTTTTTGTAATTTTCTCTTTTTGTCCTGGATGGATAGGTTACTCTAGCTATTCAAAATGTCTTTTTAATTACTCTGCCTATACCGTTGATTATTTGACCTCTAGATGGGATTAATAAATTATTCTGGGAGGAGTAAGTCCAGGTGGTGAATTCGGGTGGCAACTGTATATTTCCCTGACAGCCATGCAGATACTCGCCTGATTATATACAATGACACAACTAAACTATCATACAAGTACACTCAACACAACCTAAGAAAGAGTTGAAACAATTTTAACCCTATTCAAGTCCATCCATGTATACACCAACACTATTTATTTTCCCATTCCCTCTCTTTCACGCTCCCATCATCAGTAATATGATTGTATGACCGATCATGTCGCTTATCCATATCCTCATTATGTTTCTTCACGTCCTCAGGCACGTCGTCTTTCAAGTTACCTTCAAAATCGGCAATAGGAGATGACCGACCATCTCGTAGTGTAGGCTTCGCATTGTTGGAAGGAATCGGGTGGTTGGGCATTGGATTCTCTGGAGTCCCTGCGTCCCGAGTCGCATCGTCCTTCTTGCCACTTGACTTTTTGGAATCCTGGGCATAGCTTCGCGAAGTAGCGAGACTGGTGATTCGGCCAGTGGAGGATGTGATTGATGTGCGCGCCAGGCGGCGGGCAGGTAATCGTAGTAGAGAGGCCATTCTGGACACTCTGGAGTGTAGGTAGTGTAGTGCAAAAGAATGGAAAACAAATCACACCGGGTGCGACCACGCAGCTTGATAAACAGCGGACATAAATAGCCTCTACTTAGATGATCATCCTTACTACGGGTTGAAATCAGGTTTCTCAGTTTCTGCACGACTGCATCGAGTTGTGTTATCATTATCCATGGCTATGACGTACCCTTTTGTCATGCCTGCCAAGAGCCCAAAAAGGGTAACTAGCTTGTCGATCTACATGCTACAAGTAGACAATAGCTACACCACCACCGCAAGTGATACTTTCTTTTACCTGAGGTGACTCTATTCTAGGCAGTCTTGATTGGACATAGAATGCCCCACGGCCTGGGATGCGGGATAAGGCCACCACGAACCCGATGGCGATGATCGCGGCACAATTGCAAGCACTAATCTAGCGACAAGATAGTTCTATGATATCACACAACCATGGAAATATTGTGGGTAAGTGTTGGAAATTGCTCTTCTTCTATTCCAAAGTTGTTGACGAATTCGGATTGGTGCTGGCGGTTACATGGTCTTCTTACCAAGAAGGACCACATGCTGTCATGTAATCAAAGAGTAGTAGAGGCAAGCAGAGAATCATCTCGAATGCTGGTCAGAATTTAGGCCAAAGTTTCTACAGTTAGAAAGGATCAAGTTTAGAGAGCATAGACTAGATTTGACCTGAGAGGAAAGATGCCGAGCTGATTTGGAGTAATAGATGAATCACTGAAGGCCAAAGAGACTTGGGGCAAAAATAAACACAAGAAGAAGCCCCCAGGAAGAAAACAATTTGGCTTTGAAAATGATCCCAGCCGAAGAAAACCAGGTGTCATGAGAAGTTCCCAATACCATATCCATGTGTGATCCTCCTCCCCCCGAGCATATCTCCAGCAGTGTTTGTAGATGGTGATTCAATTCCGAGCAGTCGTTGGTAGAGTGTGTACCATGAAGACAGATTTTTTGGTGAGTAGAAGGATTGACAAAGGTGACTGTCAAGTCAGAATCATTTGATGTCAGCAGACAGCAAAGTCTGAGCTAGAAGCGGACTCACAAACCTTGGAAGTGATCAGAAGTTGATAGTATGGTGGCCGTAGAGGAGTGGAAGAGCATAAAATTGATGAAGAATCCACAATTCAGGATGGGAAATGTCGAGGAACATGAGAAGGCGAATCTTTCAAGACAGAGATTGCCAGCAGAAGATAGACCAGGAGGCCGAGGTGTTTGATAGTGGATGTTGCGATCAATAGTGCATGTTCCTATTCCACATATCAGTTGAGACCGAGGAAAGTGAGTGAATGTGAACATAATTACCTCTTTGTTTAGTTCTGAAAGCCACCAAGAGTTGAAGGACCGAGACCATGATGAAAGGCCTGGTTATCCGATATCTGCCAACCTGTCAATAACAAAACCCAGAGTGTCAACGAGGAGGCTGAGATGTCGGCAGTGGAGAATTGTCAACCATGCCCTACACAGGCTCAGCAGCAAGGTCATTACCACCGAGGTAGGTCCACTCAGGGACGTAAGTGTAGGCTCCTGATGAAAGTGTTATTTAAAGCCGCGGAGTATAAGCAGGCGCGGGGGTACTGACCTCTTTGTTTTCTCTGCAAGCCATCATAGTAAGATAGAAGATCTGCCAACAGTCATTAAGAACCCAGAGTGTCAGCGAGGAGTCTGAGATGTCGGCAGTGGTACACAGGCTCAGCACCAAGTTCATGGCCACTGAGGTTCACCGAAGAACGTCAGTGTAGGCTCCTGTAGTTGAGAGGTGTTAGTCGTGATCGCGGAGCATGAGTAAGTGCGAGTATACTAACCTCTTTGTTTAGGTCTGCAAACCACCATGCAGTGACCTCGTGGCTGGTATGAGGGAAGATATAAAGTGATCAAAGATTGATATGTCAAGATGTGGAATGGAAGACCCGAAGGCAGAGATGATGATCGAAAAAGACTAGCAAAAGAATTTTCAAGTGGAGGAGGCCTTGTCGAAGTGCCAGATGACGGATAGTCTCAGACGTGGAAAGGCCAAGAGAGAAGAGAGCATCCGGCTTGTAATGAGTGTGTGTTGTCTATAAGGAGGGCGGTCATGATGAATGGGATGGGCAGGCCAAGAGGCGGGCCGGTCGAAATGTCGACGTTGCCATGTTTGAGGGAGATGGAAGGGTTGAGTGGCCATGGTGGGAGATCTTGATGTGGTGGAAGAGGTGGTGGAAGAAGTAGTGGAAGAAGTAGTGGAAGATGATGTTGTGGAAGGTCAACAAAAAGTTGTCTCTGCAGCCGCTGTGTCAGTAGCTGGTGAGGAAACCACTTTGTAGAGGGCGGCCATCTCACCTGAAGGAAGCCAGAGGTGTTGAGAGTAAGGATGTCTTTGATGAAGAGTGGTCAAGTGGGATGAACGTAAGATGAACCCAGATGGGAGAGGTGGGACGACCAAAGAGAGTAGCAAAATTTTGGAAGCCAGGTGGATGGAAAGCTTGGAGGAAGAGGAGAGTTGGAGAAGGAAGAAAAATCCTGGAGACGGAGGGAGGGAGGAGGTATTTATACCGGAGGAGGGGGGGGGGGAAAGCGTGCCTTCCTAATCGGGAACAGAATAACTTCATTTTCTATGGGAGCGCTGCCTCCCAAGCAGCAAAACGCGACGAGTCATCGGGTATAGCAAACAAAAATTATAAACAAAGCATGACCGCGTCGTGTATGGACGCGATGGACGAAGTTAGCATGGAGATGAGAGCAAACATTCACGTAGCAGGCATACCGCACTATCAGTGCCGTACTAGGGATGCGGAGGACGCTGTCTTGGGATATCTGGAAGTAGATGTACTGAGTATCGTTATGTTAACACTCTAAACGAGGAGTGGAATCAGGTTTAAATGGGCTAAAGGAAGAAAAAGTACAGCTATATTCGATTTTCGAACCATATATCTATAGGGCGGGGCTAATCATACGTCAACTTGTCTATTCACAATCTTTGGATAGGGTGGATAACAGGTACAACGAGTACCTACAGTAGATATCCTGATAATACCTACCAAGCCCCTGACTTTAGCTATCAAGAAAGACGGCTCAAACCATTTTTAAAAGATATTGAAAAAGATCTTTCATAAAAGAGAATATTAAAGAATATATATTTGCATTGTAATATTGGGTCTGGTGAATTACTGGATATGGTTAGTTTTGCCGTTCCCGGCCTAGCGCCATAATACACCGTCTTGTCACCTTCTCTTCCATTGCCCCGACATACAAGACGAGGCCTGCCCTCTTTCACCTCTCTCTCCCTCCCTTCAACTCCTCTATCTTGCACTCATCACCACCCCGGCCACTGCGCCTTAGCTTTCAGCCGGAAGCACTGCCCTTTTCATCTTACCGGAGACGTCGCTTATGTCGCTCGATCCGACGCAGCTCGTTCTCCCCCCTGATGTGGAGCAGTCGCCCAGAAGCAGAGTCACTGGGATAATCTAGCCCGTAGCTGTATTTGTGTGATTATATGTCGAGACTCCCACTTCTTCCTAGAGATTGTGACTGTCTATCATGCTACGAAGCTATCTAGACCTTTGATAGTGGGCCTTCCTCGTCTCTGAGCCCGCCACCCTCCTTCGTATCTGTAATGTGCGGGTATATCTTCGATGGTATATGACCGGCTCCATCCGCCCTATCCAAGGTTATATTATATAGCCCCGGCGTCGCAGAATGGCTCGCGGTTGCCTTGCCGTAAATGCCGTGGTGCCTAGTCATCTTCATCGTCGGTCTCTCCGGTCTATACCTAGCCGATGTATCTTCGAAAACCCTTCCTTGTAACGGGCCCATTGCCGTATAGTAACCACATGACCGTCGCCTACCCCATCCGGAGTTTGTTTTGTCGACCGTCCCCGCATAGAACGCCCCTTTTCCTTCCTTTTTTCTAAGATTATTATAAATAGTTCGTGACCTAGCTAGATTAAATCAAATCGGCTCCAGCCCTTCACAACTTTGAGACTTGGGATCAAGAATTGTCTGACAGGGATTTTAGGTCCTATTTATTCTTGACGGGCTATTGCTACTTAGCAGATAGTAGTGATATCATTTGGATGACCCTACGGCCTCGGCCTCATAGAGCTATCTCTATCTATATACGATAAAATTATCTCAGAATATTACATGTTTAAGTACTACGTCATTTAATAAGCCTCGTTCGTCTTCTATCTAACTCAACTAGTTCCAGCTTAACTAACTCTAGATAAACTTCATTCTTTGTATAGTTTTTACTCATTTCGTGTAACGCTGGCGGTCAAAAATGGGCGGCTACTCAAATATTTGGCTTCTTTGTTATATATATCACGATATGAGAAGGTTATTACTGCACGATTAATCGTATTCGAGACTTGGTCAACAAATATATAAACGTAGAGAATGTCTGAGCTTTAGGTAATGAAGTAATTCGGATAGAGATAAGGATGATTACATCGAGCTTTCGCAAACAATAACTTGCCTTCCTCCAGCCATACGCTAATTCTAACTCTAATCAAGTATATTCTCTATGACGACGACTAGGCGACTTACTTCTTCTAGCATGTCCTTCCTTCGGCTAACTATGGTTTAGACCTAAATCTAGATCGAAAATCCGTGCAGATCTCTGCAAGTGCGTTTAGACTGCATTTCGAATAGCCGTACTAGTATTTGGACCAGCGCATACTATTAAATTGGTAAAAGACGGAGTAAATCGTAAAGTAAAGTCGAGTTACACACCTATAATTGCCATCTTTCCACGCTATTGGTTAATATATCGCCTCATTTCTATCTCGAAGTCCACCGCACCAGTATATATCCAAAGTCGTTTTCCCAATCGGCGACATTAGCTAGGCTGACTCTCAGAACTACTAGCCTTTCCGCAAAAAAATCGAAATTAAAGAATCTTATCATCTTTAGTTAGCTGTGACCGTAAGGCCTATATCTGGGCCTGCTTACATCAAAATGATCCTAGTCGGTGTTAAATATCCGCTGCCTTTACTACTTATACCTGTAAGGATATATATTACTTGCAGGGTAGAGAGCCTGCCAACTAGGTAAAAGAGCGGAGCACTAAGTCAAATTATGACAGAGACTGTTCCTTGAGGAGTCCCCAGGTCCTCCTCTTCGGTCAGGCTTTGGATACAGTCTTTCTCCTCGGAGAGAAGAGGGGTAAGGCACGTAACATGGGTTTAGTGATACCCCTGTTTATAGCCTATTCCAAGATCTTATGTATTTAAGACTGTTAGATAGACAGTATAATGTGTGAATTGATTTGGATGTTATACGTGGCCGACCGCACCCCATCAAAAATATTCGCAAGATTTCGCATCCTTGCAACCACCCTTGATACTTCATAGATAAACTTGAAATTAAAACTGTAGGTAAATATAACCGAGACTCACAACAGGTGAAAATCTGATACTAGTGCGACCGATGTTTCCAAATGGAGCCCACTTCACAAACTTAAATGGAATCTACTCATGGGATCTACTCAATGGCCCCACTTTTTCTACAATATTTAAGCAATAAGCCTAATTGGAATCCACTAATTTCCATCAAACCCATAGGATAGAGCAGGCGATGCTGTTCGGGATGATAAAGGATGTTGAGTAGCAACGAAGAGAAGGGCGAGAAGGTCTTGGAGGTTTCAAAGATGCCTCCTACAACCCCTAGCGTGTCAACTTCGGAGATTCGGTTGACGGCCGACATTTACGACTAGAAAAGGCCGCTGGAGGTGATGTAGAGCATTGCCGGTCGACATAGGAGCGAGAGCCCAGCTATTCCTTCACACCGAGACTTTTAGCATCACGACGGCGCATTTCGCTACACTTAGGTATATAGGAGTGGTGTTGAGAGGATGTTCAATTTCGATGCCATTTTCGCCAGCCCCATTAATTTCCCATCCCCACAGATAAAACGTCTCGGAGTCGGAGGCGTCCCCAATCCAGATGGGGTAAAACGCACTAATTCTGGGAACGGGGTGAGCTAACCACTTGGGCCAAGTCCGCCCCCATTCCACCTATAAGATAGCCCTCTGCCAATTCAAAATGAATAATCTTACTCGTGGCTTTTTTGTACTCCTGAACAACCCTCACAGGTGCAGCCACCCAGGAAATCCTGGAAAGTTGTCGGGTTGGCATTCGCATTTCTTCTCTCCACCAGTTCTTGCTCCCCTTTTTGAAGCAATTCGCTACTGCTCCTATGTCTGTTGTCAACGCATGTGTTTGATATGCGGGCCTGACCTTTCACTTTTAATTACTCCTTCGTCCTCTTGAAGGTCCTCCCAAGTTTTCCGGCAGCACCTATGCAATAATGCCAGTACCGTCGCTCGTAATACCCCGCGACAACAGCAGCTCGGACGACACGATGCTGAAATTTGTTGATCCGACGAAGGAAGTTAACGTGGGACTATGGTGTCTATTTGGCGGTGCCTCGGTGTTCCTGGGCCTGCGGATCTGGGTGAAGTTCACCAGATTACAGGGGCTCTGGTACGATGATTACATTCTCGTAGCATCATGGGTATGACTTTCCAGTCTCCCACCCTCCATTCACACTTCAGTCGATGGCTCCGACAACGCACTGCTAACAAGCTTCTCGCACACAGGTGGTCCTCTTAGTGAACGATATCCTGATATGCTGGGAATACGCAAATGGATATGTCAGCCAGACCGGCGAGTGGGACAAACACATGCACATCATCATCAATATCACGTCGTGCGGCACGCTTATCGGGCAGGCATGGTCCAAGACGGCCTTTGGCGTTACACTGCTACGCATAAGCAATAAATGGCAGAAGTACGTCCTGTGGTTTTGCATAGCCACTATGAATATCTTCATGATCCTCAAGTGTATCCTCCAATGGGCGAAGGTCTGCGATGGCGCAGACGATTATCAGGCGTCGTATCGGCTCAAATTCTGCATTTATAAAAAACTCCGGAACGATGTTAAGGAGGGAGGCCAGGGTGCGTGGTCAATCCCTGCTTGGGAGAGGGTACGAGGAACTGTGGCCTGTGAGCTAACAATGTGATATCTAGTTTATAACGTCATTATGGACTTTGTTTTCGCGCTGTTTCCGTGGATGATCGTATGGAATCTCAAAATGAGGAGGAATGAAAAAATCGCTCTCTGCGCCACGTTGAGCTTAGGAGCTATGTGAGTTCAGACGTCCCGGACTTGCAGCGAAGTCGCTCTCAGTGAAGGGTAGTTCACTAAGACCATTCCAGAATTGCGGTTCTTACAGCTGTAAGAACGGCCTGGAAGAACGAATCGAACACCCACGATGCTTGGTATTACTGTAAGAACCTTTCTGGCTGAGTCTCTGTTTCTATTCAACAGTGCTGATTAATTGGGGATATCTCCACACAGGGAATAACGGAATATCTAACATTTGGTACTCATCTGAAGTGGCCGGGACGATCTTGGTGCAATGTATTCCTATCTTACGGCCCTTCCTGCGCGAGGTACACACCTCCCTCACTCCAAGGGAACGAGAATACCATGAGAATGGCCGATATAATATATTTCGAAGCACAGGGTATAGCTGCGAAATATCGGGGAGGCGCCACTCTTATGGCAGCTATAGGAACGTTTTGGTTGGCGACAAAGGCCACGAATTTATCAAGCTACAGAGTGTGCAAGAAGGCGCAGAATTGGAGGCTGGGAAGAAAAGGGGATCCTCTTGAAACCAGGTTGATCAAAAGTTTATAAAGAAGCCCCAGCTTTGACTAGCTGCAGCCTGCAGATGACTAAAATACGTACAAATATATTGACGGTTAAAGAGGGACTGGTTTATATTATCAATGAGAAAAAAAGAGAAAAAGTCATGAACTTCGACAACCCTACCCCCTGGATTGTATAATGTTTTGCCTGTTACAAGGCAAAGGTAAACGGTGGAAATCCTGTGTATCAAGCGAAGGTATCAAGACTGGGGAAGGGAAGGGAGATAACTATCTGGTGGGGTGATGTTTGATATGTCCCACGATATGTGCCGCCTTCTCTTGTTTATCCTTGTCATGTTTTCTGTTTATGTGTGGCAAGACTGTATATAAATTAAGCAGGAGGAATGGGTTTCAAACCCCTCAAGAAAAAGACTTGTCAAGAATTTGACTTGGTGCTTTTCAATCTTACCTGATCAACAGGCCTTCTACTCTGCAAGTAGATATTTCTTTATAGCACTGCTTCGCTTAAGGGTTATATAATCCCATACCACTTTCTCCCTATCATTTTTTCATTTTTATCAGCCTTACTTCTTAGTCTATGTCTAGGCGAGTTCTATATCTATGCGGGAGTTTCATGATATAGAAGAAGCAATATGGTTTAATAGAGAGACCAGAGTGGCGTTTATCGGCAATATATTACACTTATACTTGAATAGGAGACAGGCCGTATAGATGTCTAAAGAGATCATGAGTTTTATAAGGTCATTGGCTTCTTAATCTAATAAAAAGTACCATAACCTAGACAAGGACGGGGGTGTAGTGAAACTGCACTGTTTGGGCTTAGTGACTTTTGAGGTCTAGCAGAATAGTGGTGGTTAAGGTTGATGGGGCGGTCGAGCGGGGGCTAGGTGGTGGAGGTTACGGGTGGAAAGGCGGCTGTGTCTGGCGCCAGGGGCTGTCATTTTCGGCGTCGATTTCACAGGTCCTTATATTCTATGTGTAAAACCGTTTCTCAAGTCTATATACCAAGGGTCCAGTGCACCTATTATCCACTAGATCAGAAAATGGAATAGTCCGTCGTGCAAAAGCACAAGTTGGGGTGCGATTAGCCTCAGCCTGTTAGATCCGTGAACGAACAGGCAAATAGTAACTAGACCGACTCATTGTGAACAGTAGACGACCCAGTCTTGGCCTCAGCAGCCGTGGCTACCTCAGCAGTGTTGGCTGCAAGTGCATCCGGACCGTCGAAGATCACAGCTATTTGCTCAAGAGTGTATCCCTTGGTCTCGGGGTAGTAGAAGTATGCAGTGAGACCGAAGACCAGCAGCACGACTATAAACACGATATAATATCTCCATGCAATTCGTTCGAGGGCGATGGGGTTGACGAATGTATTGAAGAACATGCCGCAAATTGTGGCCAACCAGGTCACGGTCAGGCCTCGGGAGCGAAGACGGTACGGCCAAATTTCGCAGGGATATGCGGTGAGGAAGGGGGTGCTGCAGAATATTTCATGTTAGAATAGTGATAAAACGGCCGTTGGCAAGAGGGAACTCACAGCGCAACGCAGTATCCAGCGAAGAAGATGAAGAGGAACGGAATGACGGCACCACCAATGGCTGCCTTGTTTGTCACGGCGAAGGTGCCGGACAGCGCGGTGACGAGCACGTAACTGACGGACATGATGGCTGCCGATGCCAGGAAAAGAGGACGACGCCCCAATCGGTCAATCAAGTAAGCACCAAGAGCAGCGAAGGCGAGATCCCACATCTGCAGACAGGCCGAGATAAGAGTCTGATCCCGGACGTTGGTGACCCCAACCGAGTTCAGGATCAGAGAAAGGTAGTAAGAAATGACACCGTTGCCGGCCCATTGGGCAAATATACCCAAACTAATGGAGATCATGAGGCGACGACGGTTACCGGGGGTCTGAACCATCTCCAAGTAACTACCGTTGCTGTTGGCCTCTTGCTCAGCGCGAATGGTGGTGATGATCTCTTGCATCTCATAGTTGACCAGAGGCGAAGAGGCATCACCAGCAGCGTGATACTGGGCGAGAATCGCTTGGGCTTCGTCTTCTCTTCCAACCGAGACCAGCCACCGAGGGCTCTCTGGAGCAAGTAAGAAGCCGGGCAAGCCAATAATTGGCACTAGGGCCTGAAGGATCGAAGGGAGTCTCCAAGCCCAGGATGAAGAGTACGTTCGCGACGCGAAAACCACCCAAGCCGCCACTGTTCCACCGACATACCAGCCAGACATGAACAGCGAGTTTAAGATGCCGCGGTGTGTTGGGTAGGCAATCTCGTTGATGAGAAGAGGGACTGAATTTCCAAACAGAGCAGATGCAAAGCCCAGGAACAGACGGGCAAAAAGGAAAGTTGTGTCGTTCTGAGCGGCAGTCTGGAGAGCGACGCCAAGGGCCAGGAAGACATATCCCACGTAAACACCCGGCTTACGACCGTACCGATTGGCAATCCATGATGCCGTGGGATAGCCCACACCACAGCCAAGCCAGTAGATCGCATTGATCCATCCCAGCCAAGAGCCAGTGGGGTTGTTCATGAAGGCTTTCCACTGAGACAGTGCTTCCAAACCGTTCATCAAAGATCCATCATAACCGTTGGCCGACGAGTACATCACCAGAGAGAAGATGATGAAGTTGAGGCGTAGAAGATGCCGCTGTTTATACCAGGGTTTAGAAGCAGATGGGAGGAAAGCAGCCATTGGATCAGGCATTGAGTTCCCTTCAGCATGCTTGCTGACAACATCAACCTCGTCAATCTCGCTGGAGCCCATGGTGTATGAGAAGTGCCAAAAGGCCGAAGAGACTAGTATAAAGAACAACAGAGATAATCCGGGGAACAGGAGAAACGCAGGGCTGCCACGAGGTTTTATGCACAGCAGGTAATATGCGTTGGAGGGCCATCATCGCCCGATGTTCGGGTTCCTGGAATTCTCTTTTTCCGTGAATTCGCACCAAATGCCGTAAACGAGTGTGGCTTTAAGAGGACGAAGACTGCGAGATGCAAACGCGGGCCAATCAATTTCTCCCAAGTCAACGTTCAATTCTCGCGGCCCGTCACCTGGTCGTACAAAAAGACCTCCATCTACCGACTAACGGCATGGTCGGGGAAAGATTGTGGGGAGAGACGGGGAGCCGGGGTCGGCATCAACGCTGCAGATGCTGGACGGGACGCGGAGAAACGGAGAAAAGGAGAAACGGAGAATCCCACGATGCTTGTCTTGATGACTTGCGATGGGGCTCGGGACCTGTCGTTCAATCAGCATGCTTGCCGCAGTGGAGACAGCGACCGATGTTCTTCTCCATCGGCTGGTCTCCGAATTGGGGAATCAGGAGGAACGCAACACGCGAATCCAGTGCCGAAGTGTGGGTGATGTCTGCGAGGAAGTACTTAGGAGAGCGGCTCTCGCGGGCTGGAAAGGAGAACGCGTCGAAGGAAATTTCGCTCTTTTGTGACTTGGACTCCATCTCTTCCTAACACTAGAGAATGTCGATTGGCGACAACACACCCGTTGCGGTGCACGAAGCATTTGCACAGATCGCAAATGCTGATATCGAGGCCCTGCTCAAGCAGCTCACGCAAGATGAGAAGGTTGCATTGTTGACAGGTCTGTCCTGGCTCATGAAGCTAATCGTTACCAGAATGTGAGAGGCGTACTAAAGGTTATGGCATCACGACACAGGCGAGGACTTTTGGCACACAGTGCCTATTCCCAGGCTGGGAATCCCCTCAATTCGACTCTCGGACGGTCCCAACGGTGTCCGTGGTACCCATTTCTTCAGCAGCGTGCCAGCGGCATGCCTGCCTTGTGGAACAGCGATTGGAGCAACATTTGATCGAGAGCTTCTGGTTGAGATCGGACATCTTCTCGCGGCCGAAGCGAAGGCCAAAGGTGCACACGTTATTCTGGGTCCGACCATCAATATAGCCCGAGGCCCCTTGGGCGGAAGAGGCTTCGAGTCTTACTCTGAAGATCCGTACTTGTCGGGTGTTCTGGCTGGACACTACTGCAAGGGACTGAAAGAGAAAGGCATCGTCGCAACCCTCAAGCACTTTGTCTGTAATGACCAGGAGCACGAGCGCATGGCCGTGAGCTCGATTGTCACTGATCGCGCTCTACGAGAGATCTACCTTCTCCCATTCATGATTGCTATTGCTCTGGGTAAGCCAGAAGCCATCATGACGGCATACAATAAAGTGAACGGGGTGCATGCCTCTGAAAGCTCTCAACTACTGCACGATATCCTTCGTGGAGAATGGAGCTGGGATGGGCTGGTGATGAGCGACTGGTAAGCAGAAAAAAATCTGTTGTAAGGAAAGCCTGCTAAACTTGCTTCATATATAGGTTTGGAACATACAGTACCTCCGAAGCTATCAACGCAGGCCTAGATCTGGAGATGCCTGGCCCGACAAGATGGCGTGGTGGCGCCCTGAGCCATGCAATCACATCGAACAAGATCCCTCTTGCCGCTCTGAATGAACGCGTTCGTGCTGTATTGAAGCTCGTCCAGCGAGCGAGCAAATCAGCAATCCCTGAGCGGGCACCAGAGACACAACTCAACAGGCCAGAAGATCGCAAGCTGTTGAGGAAAATCGGCTCAGAAGCCATTGTACTGATGAAGAATGAGGAGAACATCCTTCCACTCAAGAAAGAGAAGAAGATTGCAGTCATTGGTCCGAATGCGAAGATTGCCACATATTGTGGAGGGGGCAGCGCTGCATTGAATCCTTATGAGACCGTTACTCCCTTTGATGGCATCTCAAGGGCAGCGCAAGGAGGCGTTGAATTTGCTCAAGGTATTTACGGTCATCAGATGCTGCCATTGCTGGGCAAGCAACTCAAAACGGCAGATGGAGCAGTCGGCTTTACATTGAAGATTTTCAATGAGCCCCCATCCGTCCAGTCGAGGACCTTTCTCGAGGAACGCCATGAGACAGACTCCATGGTAATCTTCATGGACTATGACCACCCGAAGCTGCAACCAGTCTGGTACGCAGACGCAGAGGGGTATTTCGTTCCTGAGGAGTCTGGCCTCTACGACTTCGGACTCACCGTTCACGGAACGGGAAGGATGTTCATTGACGGGAAGCTCGTCATCAACAATGCCGACGTTCAGAGAGCTGGAACAAGCTTCTTTGGCAGCGGAACAATTGAGGAGGTAGCTGCAGTTGAGCTCGAATCCGGAAGAAAATACACAATCCATGTTCAATGGGGCTGTGGCAAAACCAGCACATTCAGAGTTCCCGGCGTGGTTGATTTCGGCCACGGAGGCTTCCGCTTTGGTGCCTGTAAGCAGCTGCCATCTCAAAAAGGTATCGAAGAGGCTGTGAAGGTTGCTCAAAACGCCGAACAAGTTATTCTCTTCGCCGGACTGAGCGGTGAATGGGAATCTGAAGGAGAAGACCGGTCTAATATGAGCCTGCCTCCCGATACGGATGAGCTTATCTCACGAGTTCTGGAGGCCAATCCTAACACAGTCATTGTGCTTCAGAGTGGCACTCCTGTGGAAATGCCCTGGATTGGCAAGGCCAAAGCTCTGCTTCATGCTTGGTATGGTGGGAATGAGACTGGAAACAGCATTGCTGATGTAGTCTTTGGTGATGTGAACCCGGTAAGTGCTTTTCTCTTGTATTAGCTCAAAAGCAGAGGATTTACTAATGACGCATGGAATCTCCGAACAGTCTGGAAAGCTCCCTCTCACATTCCCTCGTCGTCTTAAGGACAACCCCACATACTTCAACTACCGATCGGAAGGCGGGCGAGTGCTATACGGCGAGGACGTGTATGTGGGATATCGGTACTATGAAGGACTGGAGGTTGAGCCATTGTTCCCCTTCGGGCATGGTCTCTCATACACAGCATTTGAACTGTCTGATTTGCAGTTGACTCGAGATACGCAAGGTCTCGTCAGCGTCTCTTGCAAGGTGCGCAACACAGGTTCTAGGGACGGAGCGGAAATTGTCCAAGTGTATGTGTCACCCGTCGCACCCCCGATCAAGCGGCCGTTGAAGGAACTCAAGGAGTTTTGCAAGGTTCATGTTGAGAGTGGTGGAGAGGAGATCGTGAAAATTACCGTGGATATCAAGCATGTGACTAGTTTCTGGGATGAGAAGACTAGCAGTTGGTGCAGCCACAGCGGCATCTATAACATCATGGTGGGAACCAGCAGCCAAGGAGAGTTCTTGGAAAAGCCCTTGGAATTGAGCGAAACCACCTTTTGGTCAGGCGCTTGGGATGGGCAAATATGATTGTCATGCCCTTTATAGCCTTTTCGGAAAGAAAAATAGAAACAATCATTTTGAAATTCGATCTGTATCAATCCATGTTTGTAGATGCATCGCATTCATAACCTCGCTGCTGTCAAGACGAGACAGAATATCAGTCGAGCGTTGCACATACCCGGCCACTCTTTTGGCAATGGGGTCCTCTGGATGAAACGGGCATGCTAGAAGACTCGAAGCGATATCGCGAACCTTGTTGGCGGCATGTAAGCCGTTGGCTTCCAAACTTGATTGAGGGAAGTTGTACAAGATGAAGAAGAGCTGGCGGCAAAGTTCCTCTCGATACAGCCACAAGGCTCTTTGGTCAAAGATTCCAGTATGATCGGGGGGCCAAGGGCTGGAATTTGCCTTTGTTGACGGGACTGTGCCACTTCGAGCTGATCAAGAATCAGGCTTTGTAGCCAAATATGAGTGATATGAAGATTCGCACGCATAGACGCAAACTGAGATTGAAGTGTCTCGATGTCTTCAATGCTCAACCCATCAACACCAAGAACATTTGGGACCGGTGCAGACAATTGAAGACAAGAGGGAATGTCAATAAGCAAATGCCGAAGACAATCCAGACGGTCTTGGAAAAAGTGAACTTGTAGGTTAAGATCGTGGGTCCGGACACAGGGGCAGGGGTCCTTCGCAGAAGGTTTTGAATAAGGGTCTCGGATGGCAGCCAAGAACACTCGAGAGTGATGAATAAAGCCTGTCGCCAGGCAAGGTCTGGGTGTTATAGGAGCTGCGACCTCATCCTTGAATATGAACTCATCGTCAACCTCTAATGGCATTAGATCATTTGGGTCAATGGAGTTAAGCATGCCTGGGTCAAGGTAGCTCAGTCGCTCGCCGTGCAAATTTTGTAGATGGGCATGACTGAGATTAAAAAAGGTCAGAAGCGGACTTTAGGAATCAGATCAATCGAGTGACATACACATAACAGTAGAAAACGAGCCAGAATCCCTTTTTCCGAAGTTGTGTTTCTATACAATTGAGACCGTCGTATTCCGAGATCCGATGCAGATTTAACAGCCTCGCAATTTGCATTGCTTCCACGCTCACCATACGAGACCAATTGTGATCACCGAGCTGTAGAAATGCTGCGAAATAAATGTATGAAATTGCGAATTTTTGGAAATTGAGTTCGTCGTAGTAGGAGGCTGTTCGCAAGGCAAGGATTTTTTGGTAGCAAAAGTGAACCATCTCTTTTCGAGATGAGAATCGTAGAGGCGGAGTGTGTGACTGATAAGTTCGGAACCTGTTGGCCATCGTTGCCACAACCAAAGCAGCGATAGAGAGTGTCAAGGCGAGGAACCCTTCATCTTCGCAGTCCTGATCCTCCTCAAGAGCTTTCAGAAATGATGGGCGATGTACGACAGGAACCATTGGGTAGATATAATCCAAATAGTCTTGCATGATCATCTTGAATAAACCTCGATCACACAGATCATCAGTCCCATATCGGGTGCTGGAAACATGATGTTCTTTCACACCTGGGTCCACGGATGCCCTAAAAACAACGTTAGCGGCGGTGCATAGGTTACTCGGAAAGAATATTCCAACCGCTTCTTGGGCCCACGAGTCTTGGTCGGCAATATGAATGTGCATGCAAGATTGAGTCTCTCACATCGTTCACAGCTTGAACTGCTGGGACCGGTCCGAAGATGGCACTTGACCTTGCGTCTTCGACAGATATCACATGCTTGGGGTGACAGCTCCACACGAGGTCGACCACCGGCCTGCAGCATTCTTAATGCAAGGCATTCCAAGAGGATTCATAAAGTGGTTGCTTGAAATGCAGGGAAACTGATCAGGGACATTTCCACACTACGAAGGGCTGCTGCCCCGGATTAGTCACGCGTCAGTGGGGCTGAGCATGACTTGATCTCATTGGTTCTCCTGCCAAGTATACCTTGCTCTATGGTCCAGAGTATGCAGTACTAATCAAGTTGTATAGGAACTCGTCCTTGAAGATGTGTCTTGGCTCATGTATCTAGACCAGAGTACTGAGACTACACAAATAGATATCATATGGAGCGTTCCCCTTTGGTTTCGGCGGTTTCTTAAATCATGAAAGCATCTTGCTTGCTCTGGGACGGACGGTATTGGGAGATGGTAAATTTCAGGTTCGGCAATAGATTCAATGTTATCATACCTTGCATATGGCCAAATGGTCAAAGCTCTATTTTGTAAAAGTTTATATGAGTTCGAACCGATGCTTAGGGAGTCCAGGCTTATGCAAGGTATCCATCGGTCATAGTAGATACACTGACCATGGGGACATCTCTTGTTGATATCCATGGACAATCAAATCATCTCCAGCAACCCCAAGACTTTTTTTATTCCAAGCTACACCAGCTCCCCGATCCCATGTTTTCATAGATCCTGCCCATTCCGGTCTATACACGCCCTTATTGTTGAAGATGACGTGACCAGCACGTGACCCTCCCGACAGCCGCGGGTCGCAGCCGAGATGCCTTTTTCAGGCCAGCCTCCATTCGGGGCGGAGCTCTCATTCAGCGGGCATGCTCCCCAGGATTCTTTTGCTCTGTCATCATCCTTATGTTACCCTATTGATCCTCCCGGAAGATGCCTAGCTTTATTTCCTTGCATTTGAGCTCGGTGGTCTAACTCGATAAGCAAATACTTTGCTTACTTCTATTACTTCTTCCTCGGTTCGCCGCAACTCCTTCGCCCCCATCATTACATCTCTGCCATGGCTTCCGTTCCGAGCTACTCCGCCACTGGGAGGACGAGATTGTCCGATGGTGCCACAACCTCCAGCGCCGACGCGGACATATCACCTGAGGGTACGACAGCCCAGGCGGGAATCTCGGATGATGGGGAGACCGAGACCGTCATCTTGAACCAAGACACACCCACCACATCTGCGGAGACTGTACCGGATATCGCCGACAAGACCCTCATCAAGCCCTCAAATAATACCGGTACCTCCAACAACCAGGAAGAGCCTCGAAAATGTTGGATCTGCTACACAGACGAGACCGAGGACTCGCCGCTGAACCTAGAGTGGCGATCTCCCTGTCCGTGCGCATTGACTGCCCATGAGGCATGTCTACTCGACTGGCTTGCAGATATGGAGAACCCTAGGTCCCGCAAGCGGAATGGCAGCGGTGCAAAGATGGTTTGCCCGCAATGCAAGTCGGAGATTGTCGTTACCCGCCCGCGAAGCTACATCGTCGATACCCTGCGCCTGATGGAGAGGATCGCGGGACGGTTGGTTCTTCCAGGCATGGTATTCACCGTTGCCGGTACTGTGTGGGCCGGATGTTGCGCTCACGGCATATACTCAATGTATCTTGTGTTTGGCACGGAGGAGGCAAAACAGATTCTTGAAGATAGTGTCGACGGCCCGTGGAATCCCGGCATGAACCTCGGCCTACCCCTCATCCCCCTGGTTTTGATATTCTCTCGCACTCGTTACGCCGAAGGCCTACTCCCAGCGATTCCCGTCCTATTCTTTGCTGCGCACAGCCCGGGACAAGAGCCCGACTTTGATCTGTGGCCACCTACCCCAGCTATGACTTTCGCCGCTCTACCATACGTCAAGAGCTTTTACGGCGCCCTCTACGACCGTCTATTTGGCGGGCTGGAGAAAAAATGGATCGCTGAGGTGCAGCCTCGCGCAGCGGAGGAGATCATGGATGAAGTCCAGCAGCAGGACCAGGCTGAGGGACTTAATCGTTTCGGCGAGAATATGAATGGCCAAATACTTATGGAAATTGATCTTGAGTTGCAGGTAGGAATGGACGATGACGACGAGCCGCCCGAGGGTCAAGCTCTCCCAGCAGAAGAGAACCAAAATGGCGCTGACCAAGGCGCCCAGAACGGCCAAGCACAGGGACAAAATGCAGGCCAAAACAACGGGCTAGGTCTCGGGCGTCGACAAAATGAGCTCATCGCCGACACCGGTAACCTCGCTGACGCTGTTCTCGGAGCACTCGTCTTCCCCGCTATCTCGGCGTCCATGGGCGGGCTTCTGAAGTATATTCTACCCAAGTCTTGGACAACGCCATCATCAGTCCTCGAACGAAGTCGGCCAGGGCTCCTCCAGACTCGCTGGGGTCGTAGCGTGGTTGGCGGCTGCATGTTTGTGTTGCTTAAGGATGCCCTTGTCCTTTACTGCCGATGGAAACTCGCACAGACACACAGGCGACGCAAGGTGCAAAATTACGACCGGACCAAAAAGTCCAATGGGAGGAAGAGATAGAAGATATCAGACCCAAAAGAATTCATGCCATATCTTGGGTCGTGATTTTCCTGGCGATTTCTCTTCTTTGTTACTGGCTCGGCTCGACACATTGCATTCTATGGCGTTTCAAGGGAATCTACCTGATGGATTTTGGTGGGACACGCCACTCACCTGCATGTCGTTTTGACATATTATGCCTCTTATGACCTGCAAGATACCGTGAGATATTATTAAAGCTCATCATATTTTTATCATTTTCTTCTTTAGCCCCATGGTTCCATCTCCATTGTCTCAATCAGAAGAAGGCATGATCTTATGTGTAGATGTCTAGTATGATCTCAAGGTCTTTCCAACATATAGTAGATATTGTGTATAGAGAATCCTTCTCCAGGAGAAATCTGCTTCTCATGTTGTAACTTTAGTCCAAGTGTTGATCAAGTGTCAGTCAAATCAATTGGGATGCGGCGACCTGGGTATGGATTAAGCGCGCGGCTAAACCAGGGCGGACAAGATTCTGCCATCAGGGAATTATCCCCCGTAGAGCGAACGCTGCTCTCCGTGCCTTGCATCCACCATATACCACCCACCATGAAGTCTCTATCACCAGCTCTCGCGTCCCTCGCGAATGTCTTCCGAATCCCAATGTCGCTAGCTCCGGTGCGACCAAGTGCCTCCCGTGTGTGCCAGGAAGTCCTTGCCCGGCGGACACAACAAGCCGGCCCGATCACCGCAGCCGTGCAATCCGCGCCGTTCTCGTCGACAAGTACCCTGGAGGGACGAAAGAACAGGGGTCCCAATGTGGACAAGCGAATTAGTATGTTTGTCTCAGAATCAGTGCTGCTAAAGGCCTCAATTGCCCGAGGACGTTGGCAATACTCCAAAATGCTCGATAGCGCATCGCACGAGCGATACAAAAAAGTCTCATAGCACTAACAACATTCTTCAGCTCTTATCCGCTACTTCCTCTACCACCCTCTCACTCCCCGCCCTCTCCGCTTCTCGCGAAACCGCTACCTCCGTCACTGGACCATCCACCGCGCTTGGCAATTGTTCCAGGCCAAGCAGCGCCGTGCACAAGAACTCGAGCTTGAGCGCCAGTACCAGAGCATGCAGTCTGCTTGCGAGGAGTTGCGGACTGGTGCCGGTGATGGTGGCAGACTGTTCCGCAAGTCGATGATCAAAAAGGGCATTTTCACTGATATGTTCCCTATCGAGTACGGCCGTATGCAGACCGACTACCCTCCGGCCGAAGGGTGGAACCACGATTGGAAGCGTCCCGAGAAGAAGGACCGCTGAATGTGTTGGTGGGGTGTGTCTCTAAGTGAGAGTAAGAGTGTGGATTGACTAAACCCGGATTGTGTCCGGGGCTAGTGTTGGGTATCTTGTGTATCATTTGGCGCTATGTACTATACGCATTGTTTTGTTGGCCTCTATTTCGAGAGCTTTGAGTCATCCCTTGGATGGGCATACCATGCTTTCATATGTGTTCTATAAGAGCTATTACTTTTGAATCTAAGAGCCCATGGCTCGACATATCTACTACAAGTTGAGTTGTATCAAGATAGCCAGAGTTACAGAACTGGATTGTTTGTATAGTTCTGAGAAAGCAAGAGCGCTATATGAAATGACCGGACGAAGAAAAAGAGAATCGACAGGAATTACTACACGAGAAGAAGAGAAACCTCCAAGGAACGGCAATCGCAATGCACTTCGGGGGTAACAGTGACAAGAGATGGGAATCCGGAGAGGCACGTGCATGAGATGATGGAGAACCAAAAAAAGGGAATGACCATAAGGAAAGACATGAGGGAATGTACTCCGTGAGAATAGACAGGGAGGAAAGAGCCGGAATAACAATAGAAGAGCAACAGATGTCATACTCGGACCAATCGACCCAAGCAATCACATAAACCTCCCGAACGCCAATGATGCATGATACAGCGGAGACTGCCAATCAATACGAGTCAAAAACAGAGGGACTGAGCAAAGTCCATTGACTTGCAAGGCGAAAAGAAAATAAACCGAACGCTGGGCAGAGAAAGAGTAGTCACAATGTCCGTTTCACGCGATCAGGTCGTTATAGAACAATGCAGCAGGAGCTCTTGCGCTTGTCAAAGGACAGCAGAGCAGCGCGGGTGGCAGCCTCGAAGACATCATCGACACCCTCGCCCGTGAGGGACGAGCATTCGAGATATTTGCGAGCGCCAACCTGAGCCCCCGTCTCATTGCCTTCTTTGGTCGTTACAAACTTGAGAGACTTTTTGCGCATTTCTTCAATGGCCAATGGATCTTCGCGGAGATCTTTCTTCAGGCCGACAAGGATGATGGGGACGCCGGGGCATCGCTCGTTGGCTTCTTCAATCCACTGCAACCAAAAGAGTCAGTGACTTTCATTTAGGGTCCCTTCTGATAAATCAATCTGACGCACCTTGTGTTTCACGTTCTCCAGTGAATCTGGGGAATCCACCGCGAAACCAATTAACAGGACATGTGCTTTCGAGTATGCTAGCGGCCGCAACCGCTCGTAGTCTTCTTGTCCTGCCGTATCCCAAAGAGCCAACTGTACCGATCGGCCATCCACTCGACAATCGGTCACGTAGTTTTCGAATACCGTGGGCACCTAATTATTCAAATAGTCAGATCAATAGGCCTCGGAGGCTGTGGATGGAGGTAGGGTGATCGCCGACTAACATAATGCTGCGCACGGAATGAAGATTAGCTACAGATTCGTCAAGGACTCAATTCAGATTGCAACTCACAGTTGGAAAGTAGCCGAGCGTGAAGACACTTAGCAGACTGGTTTTTCCACAAGCACCATCGCCGATGATTACCAGCTTCCTGTACACATGATTGTTGATTAGCATTTGATCGTGACCTCGAATCTACACAAATTATATTGTGGTCTTGATGGAGAACTCTTCAGCAATGCCACTTTCCATCATCTTAGAGGGGTCTAGGCTGCCGTGCCAGCTCGTATGATGTTGGGAGGCATTTCGAGGAAAGATCACAAGCCACAAGAGGGGAATAAGCTGGTTGCGCGTACCTCCGCATCACATTATCAGTCTGTTGTTGGGCCATGGTCAATGGCATCGGAAGGTCGAGCCGGGATACTCGCAATACGGGAGGATGGTGAGGGAAACGGAGGACGGTGAGCCCGATCACAACTTCAAGGCGGGATACGAAGTTGTCAAGTCAGGCCGGCGAGCACTGGATGATTCCAGATCACAACACGAAATCAGGCAGGGGTAAGGGAAGTCCAGCCCTGCAAGATGTGTCCCGCCCAATAGCGTTCAGGGGGTGAGGGGGAGGCCTAACGATGCACCACAACAGTGACGTGACGGGGGTCAAGGTTGAGGGGGGTTCAGTTATGGGTTTGTTTAAAGGCGGTCGCGTCGGGGCTCTGAAGTTCGTAGAATAGAGGAGTAAAATAAGAGGGGAGGGGAAATAATCGAGGACGAATTGGATGGCTAGGCACGACGATCCTCACGATGATCCGATCCACTGCTAACGACTGGAGCAGTTGAAATTGGGTAGTAAGCGAGAGCGGTTTAGTTGGTTTAGTAGTCGTCGTTCGGTCTAGTCCGAGGCGTTTTGGGTGCCGGGCGGTCGGTAGATAAGATGAATGGATGAATGGATTATGGGGGGAGGGAAGAATGCGGTTGTAAGAAACCCGGAGATTTAAGGCTTGCCCCGGGGGTTTATTGACTACGGACTTTGATACACACTTGGTAGCTGCCCCGACTGATCATCCTTGCTCTGTTCCTGATGTAATTTTTCTCCCGCACCACTCCAGCTGGCTCTGACTTTCTCATCATGGAGTTATTTTTAATTAGCGCTGTCCGTGTCTCACAGCGCAGTGGAGCAAATGAGGCGCCGATAGTTGCTCATCACGTGGATACTCACCGCCTGTCAGCTCATCCTGATTCCTGGCAGAAGACGGTGTATCATCACGTGGATATACACCGCCTGTCGGTTCACCCTGGCAGAGGACAAAGGCGGTGTATCAGAGACCACGTGACCTCAGACGAACCTCCGATTGTGCATGAAAGGGCCTTTCAAGCCGTGCGATGGATGAGCAAAGCGTCAAAAATAGAACATTCAAAGACTTGAAACCTTTGTCAATCCCTCGTTCGACTCACATTCCTTCACAAACCTTTGTGGTGCCTGACTGGTCAGGCACCAGCTCGCTTGCGGCGGCTATCCCGTTGCGGCGGCACGACAACCAGCCAGAACGCAGGAAAGCCCATTGCTTCATCCAGCACCCGCCATACCATTTCGCAACCTCCGATCTCCACGCTCTCAGGGCTCTGCAGCTATCCCATTCCTACCGTTTACTTACTGATCCCCTTCTTCCGAGAGTCTGACACCGAGCCGGTCTCGTCTCCTAGCACCAGACACCAAGTGACCCGCCGGAATCATTGGTCTTTCAACCCCCTCCTTAAGCCTGATCCCGCACTTCCCCCTCCCGTTTGCTACGCAAGAGGACCCCCTCACAGATAACTCCCAAAGGGTGCGACTCTACCCTACTGTCCCTCTCCGGGAATCTCCCACTGGTGGCTTGGTCCCTGCATTGGATTGAACGGAGCTTTGTTGGTAGGTTCTTTCGCCTTCCCGCTCTCCGCTTTGGCCTACTCGCTCTTGTCTCTCTCTCACTCACTTCCTCTCTCTCAACACTCTGACTTTCTCCTTCTTTTGATCTGCGCTCTGCTAACTTTGCTGCCTGGAACAGACCACTGCGAAGGCAGTCGCTTCAAGCTCCCCAGTCCACCATGGCGACCCATGCATCAGCAACCCCGACCACCACTAACGGCGACGCGCGGGGACCTTTGAGCAACTCCACAGCCGGAAATATGTCTGCACCAACGCCTACTGTGAATCGCAAGAAACAAAAGCGTCGACAGAAACAAGCTGCTCGCTTGGCGGCGGAGCCATCCGAGTCTCATACCGCCGGAGCTGCTGCGGACCACCCCGACGATCGACATGTCTACGATGATAACGCCGACCTTGACACTGCTGACTCCAACCACACGGACCCAGATACCATGTACAAGAATGGAGAGTCCAGTTCTCAGCATGATTTCAATGGAACGACGATGTCGAACGACCCCGCCGACCATCCAGATCATCCCGGCCATAAATCGAAAAAGAAGAAAAACAAGAAAGGCCGGTCTGGCTCTCGCACGCTCGCAGATGGCAGCTCAACTCCTCTTTCGACTCCCTCCGCTACATTCTCCCATCCGCCCCCGCATTCGCACTCTCTACCCTACGGTCATCGTTTCCCGGCCAGGTCAGCCAAAGGAAGCAGTATCTGGAATCAGTCATCGTTGGAGGAACGTGAGAACATTCGGACTTTCTGGTTTGAATTGGGCGAGGAAGAACGTCGCCAGCTCGTTAAAGTGGAGAAAGACGCTGTTTTGAAGAAGATGAAGGAACAACAGAAGCACTCTTGCAGTTGCACTGTCTGTGGCCGAAAGCGAACCGCTATCGAGGAAGAGCTGGAGGTCTTGTACGATGCATACTACGAAGAACTTGAACAATACGCAAACAACAACCAAGGCTCCTTTGACGAAGGTGCTCCCATTATCCCTCCCCCTCGACTGTACCAACCCCCTCTCCGATCACCTGGTCAACATACTCGCACGCACGGTCAATTCCACCCATCACGGGGCCGAGTCCAAGAATTGCCCGAGGATGATGAAGATGACTTTGAGGACGATTATGACGACGAAGACGAGGAAGATGAAGACGAGGATGAGCTGTACAGTGACGAGGAGTACGAGGACGAGGACGCGCGTGCTGCTCGGGCCGACTTCTTTGCCTTTGGAAATAGTCTCACGGTGAAAGGTTGGTCTCCATACCACGTTTTCACTTACATGAGAATGGACATTCAGCTGATTTGTTGCTTGCACAGATGGTATCCTTACTGTAGCCGATGACCTTCTCAAAAACGATGGTAAACACTTCATTGATATGATGGAGCAACTAGCCGAACGCCGCATGCAACGAGAAGAAGATACACAGTACAACATCGCCGCAGCCCACCAATCTTTCCATGCCGGTCATAACCATGGGCCTCTCGATGACGAAGACTACGACGACGAAGATGATGATGATTACGATAGTCAGGAGGAAGAAGAATTCGATGAGGACGAGATGGTGTGTTGCCATTGGCACCGTTCTGAAGAGGGATTGGTGACTGACAGCTGTGACCAGGATGCTATGACTGAAGAGCAGCGCATGCAAGAAGGGCGACGAATGTTTCAGATATTTGCCGCTCGAATGTTTGAGCAACGAGTCATGACGGCATATCGAGAGAAGGTCGCCGAGCAGCGGCAGAAGCAGCTTATTGAAGAACTCCTGGAAGAGGAGAACCGAGAGGAGCAGCGGAACGCCAAAAAGGCCCGAGAAGCGCAGAAAAAGAAGGACAAGAAGCGCTTACAGAAGCAAGCCAAGGAAGAGGAAAAGGCTCGCCGTGATGCAGAGAAAGCAGCCGAGGAAGCCGCCGCGAAGGCTGCGCACGAGAAGAAGTTGGAGGAGCAACGGATTAAGCGCGAGGAGCAACGAAAGAAGCGCGAAGCCGAACGCAAAGCACAGGAGGATGAGCGTGCTCGCAAAGAAGCCGAGAAACAACGGCGTGCCAAGGAAGAGCGCGAGCGTCAAGCCGAAGCCGAGCGGAAGCAGCGTGAGCAAAAGGAGGAAAAGAAACGTCGAGAAGAAGCGAAGCGCAAGGAGAAAGAGGAGCGAGATAGAAAGACCAAAGAAGCACAGGAGCGCAAAGCTCGTGAGGAACAGGCGAAGAAGGATCGTGATATTGCGACCAGAGCAGAGCAAGCGGCGAAGCCTTATATGCAGGCTAAGCCGATCTCGCATGTTGGCTCTATCCCACTCACTTCTGCCCTTCAGTCGCAAGCTCATCCTGGCTCATTCCAATCGCCGCACTACGCTGTGGCTACTCCTCTCGCTCCGAAAGCTTCAACCCCCAGCAGGCCCCGCCAGCCATCCCAGCAGGGGTCCCACTCTTCCTCTCCTCACTCGCAAACAGCAAGCTCAGATTTCCCATTGCAGCCTTCAATTTCTCCGCGCTCTCTAGCGCAATCGCAATCGCAATCTGGAGCACCGGGCTTTGGTCGACATTTGCAGCAGCAACCACCTCAGTTGCACCACCCTCAACCTTCCGCTCCTCTCTCGCCTCTTGGTCGCAGTAATCCGCCTGGTTTCCCGGCCCTCGGTGGTCTGCCAACCAACCCTCCGGGCCTACCGGGAATGGGTGGTCGGCCCCTTCATCCACCCGATCTGCCAATGTACTCTCCAAATTCGGCGATGATGAACCCCCTTCGAGGCTTCGGTGTCCCCGGAAGCATTCCTGCACCACCCGGTATCAATGGAGTCCGCCCAATGCCTCCAGGTCGAGGGTTCCCGCTACCTGAAACTGGGCACGGTCTGCCATTCCCGGGCCATCATGGTGTTCCTGGAGCATTCGCTATGCAGCAACCTGTTTTGTCGAAGACTCATTCAAGACAACCATCTGGCTCGTTCGAACGCTCTCCACTAGAATCCGGTACGCAGCCGTTCCCTATTTCGCGTCCAAGCCCTATCAAGCGCCCGCCGAGCACTGCACATGAACAGCCGGAGCATCATGGCCATGGTCACCCTCCACCGCAGAGCGACATTGATGGCTTGAGCGCGCAGCTGGGAAGCAGCGCGCTCCTCGATGATACAGACACTCCTTTCTCGTCGAACTTGTCGCAATCATTGCCTGGTGCTCCTGCTCCTGGGCCATATGCGTCACCAGCGAGAGCCAGTTTCCAAGGGTCGTTGTTCACGGACTCTCTGGGTAAGATTGGATCTTTACCATTCTGATGATGAACTTTTGACTGATTCTTTTTAGGAGCCAAGCATACACCTTTTGTAGGTGGTTCTAGCTGGGGTGTGCCTGCGCCTTTCGGAGGGCCCGCTTTCCCTGGTGCCTCTACCTGGGGAGCTACGACTGGTAAGAAACCCTGAAATAGGGTTATGGTTGCTGTGTTACAGTGCTAATAAGTTTCACAGGCAGCGGTTGGTCTCACAACGCTTTCGCGGCCGGTGGCCTTCACCGACCACACACCTCGCGGCCTGTTACTGTCCGCCTACTGGTAATCCAAGCCTGCAAATACCTCAACACTCTCAGCCCACGTGTCGGCTCGGGTGGTTACCATGATGTGAACGTCGTTCTCGACCAGGTTGAGCAGTTGCGGTCTCCATCCGAGCAGGCGATCTCCCTGGACGAGATGCTCGAGATTTGCGACACGGAAGGCAGTTCTCAGAATGGCGGTGGCTCTTTCTCCATCAAGAATGAAGGAAAGGGCCAGTTCGTCAAGTTCGAGCCGGACACGAACAGTGCAGTGGTTGGTCACCGAGGTAGCATCGTGCCGGGTGATATCGGTAGTCCCGTTCCAAGTCATAGCAATCCAGCCGTCTTTGGTGGATTCGGTGCGCCTACGCCCTCGGTGCTGCGACAGTACTCTTCTCCCGCGGCTGGGTTGTTCGGCGGAACTTCTTAAGCCTCTGCTTTCTTTACGAGTCCATTTGACCGTCCATGGCCTCGGCCTATCCGGGACAACCTCGACGGTCCTTTGGGAATGATTCCTCACATGCCTCTTCTTTTTCACTCTTCCCTTTTCCTACCCTTTCCCTCGTCTACGTTCCTCTTTTTTCGAATTCAAGCGTCACGGGTTAACGTCTCATCCACCACGTTCTGAACTATCTTGATCTTTCTTCATTGATATGGGTTTTTCTTATTGTTGCGTTCAAGTCGGTCGGGTGCTGGACTTGGACCTGGGGCATCCTGGTTTGGTTTATGTGTACGGTATGATTCTTTGTTTTACTGGCCTTTCTGCATTATGCAGCGATATCCGTGGAGAATGGGACAATCTCCCTCTCCTTCATCGTCCTTGACCCAATTGCATGATTGAAGGTTTCTTCGTCTGTTGTCATGACCTAGGTGCTTGTTAGATACTGTCTTGTAGAATTCTACAATCTCCTCCAAATTCACTCTAGTTCGAATAGAGATAAAACGTATGTGCCTATCTTGCCCAACTAATTGGGTGAAGTAACATATTGGTCTTGGGTAAAGAGCAAATAGGTTGGGTTGAAGGGTATGGAATGTTGTCCAGAGACAATGGTACACTTGTATACACTCAAACGAAAGAAAAAGCAACATGGCAGAGGGCCGGCTTCCAGAATAGAACAATGACGGCAAAAGAGAAAGGAGATATGAAAGGAAACAACCAAAGAGGAACCAGGATTCCAGGATCCCACGCCCGCTTCACATACACAAGAAAGACAACTTCTCACGTGAGAATCGCCTCAATCTACATACATCCAAGACCTTTGTAAGGGTAACCGCCTCGACCGAGAAATTCGGAGGGCTTTTGCTATTCGCAGTCTGCATTCACTGCCGCTCAGTCACAACACCTTCGTATTCCCGGGACCTGATGTACTCCAGGGTTCGTTCGAAGTGGCGCTTAGGGCCTTCGAGGCTGGGGTTTGGTTCATCCTCGTTGGTCTGAAGGTTAGAGTGAATGAGCTCAATCAACCCATTGAGATACTTCGTGGTGACGGTTTCGTTTTGCTGGTCGAAGTAGTAGACGTAACGGTTGAGAATCTCGACGAAAAGCTCCACGGAAACGGCCGTGTCCATGCAGGCATCAGCAACACGGAGGGCACGTTGGAGGCACTCGAGGACCCGTTTTCCATCGCGGTAGAGCTGTTAAATATTGTGAGTATTCTTGAGAATTGCAATACAGGGATAGAAGGTGGCTTACATTCTTGGGGTCCTCCTCTCCGCGCTGGGGGTTCTCCACTACCCACCAGAGGTGGCTGGCAAGGTACACAGCACGGCACTGGTCAGGCTTCTTGAGAAGCTTACTTCCATGCAGAGCAGCCTTGGTAATCAATGTATCGTAGTTCTCCTTGGAGAATCCTCGAGTTCCGTGCAAGGCACCTGCAATGATGCAGACGGCCTGGAACTGAGCCCGAGAATCACTAATCGCATCTTCGTAGATAGTAAATGCCTGCGCGAAGAATTCGTAGCTGACTTCCTCGAACCCTGTCTGATCTGCGACTTCACCGCACATCACGAACAGCCGGAGGGCTAGGTCAGCACAGCCGGGATTCACCCGTTGGTACAGGTTGTTGACACATTGGTGCAAGAAGCGATAGAGAGCGGATGACTGGGATTGCCAGTTGTCATCGTAATGCTCGCGGGACTTCAATTTACGGGCCAAGCGAATAGAGGCCGTGACAAGGGCTGGTGTGGTGTATCTGATTCGCTCGTTGCCATCGGCGTATACTTTCCGAGTTGCTTGAAGAAGCTAATCATGTCTGTTAGCGCTGGCGACTAGGACTTAAAAATCATAACGACGCCTACCTTGAGTTGAGTGTCATTATCAGGTGCCTGAATCAAGTGCACCAATCTGGCAAGCCATCCCTGCTCCTCAATCGTCTCGTCTGTCTCCCCACCACGTCGTTGAGATGGAGCCCCTGGGTATCCAGTAGACTGTTGCAGACCCTCCTTGATCAAAACTCGGGCTACTTGCAGCACGCGGTCAAGGTTCTCCGTAGTTGTGATCAGGGTCTTATTCTTAAGAAGACTCCGAACAATCTCGCCTGCGACCGCCCTACGGGTGGGATATGACTGTGATGTCAGCAGAGGCAGATAGTGCGGCAGCGCCAAAGCTGTGAAGATAGAGACATAGGAACGGAGAGGTGCACTGAGAAGATGAAGGATGTGCTGTTGGGTGGGGGCCGAGTGAAGATCGGCATGGTCGGTATATTCAGCGGTCTTTTCAGTCGCAAAATCGAGGACCTGATCAACATAGTGTAGCTCATCTGGGTAGATGTTCAGCGCCAGGTTGACGAGGGATACCAGAAGTGCCATGGTATCCTGGATTGGCAGTGCACGTGTCTTGATCAGGTTCACCACTTGATCGTAGAAGATGTCGTATAGCTTGACTTCTGCGGGAATGGCGGGTTTGGAGTCATCTCCATTCGTGGTCTGTTCTTTGCTATCGATATGTTCCTTGGTAGTTTCGGTAGACTCTTCTGTCTTTGGGGGCTCGTCGGTGCCATTCTCCTGGGTCTTCTTTGCAGCGGCCGCTTCTGCGTCTGCTTGCTTCTTTTTCCTCTCCTTGTCCAGCTCGAGCTTCTCCAACAACCGAACCACCGCTTCTTCCTCATTTTGCTTTCGCGCCTCTGGCTCCGTCGTGGATTCATTATCCTTGGTCGCGTATGTTGACAGGCGATCCATCAATCCAATGACGATTTTCTTCAGATCGACGTGCGGGTGGAGTCGAGCGATAGCAGACAGCAGGTGGTCGAGGGTATGGAGGTGGAATTCGTCGGGGAAAACCTTCGTGATCACTATTGATTCAATTAGCCTCGGATCAGGGCAGGCAATTGGGCCAGGATCTTACCTTCGAGAAGGTATTCTTGCGCTAGTACATCTCGACACTGTACCACCTGCTCCAGAAGTGCTTGCAGAATCCCAGATTTGTATCCTTCAAGATCGACCAACTGGCTCAGCCGAACGATATTGCTGCCAACCAGTAGCTCCAACTCGCGCCTTTCCTGTATCCGTCGTTCCCGCTCTCTGGATGGACCTTGGTGCTGCAGCCGAACCCAGAGCTTGTTCATTTCCACGAAATTGGTCAAAACGAAATTGATCGAGTCTTGTAGGTTGCCTTCGGGGCCATCGCCAGTGCCTAATGGGAGGTAGTCGCGCGCTTGGCCAGACAAGTAGTATCGCAGGAATAGGCCGCGGATCGGGTGCTGGATGCCACGGCTCATCTCCATCATATCCTTCATAATCTCCTTGACCGGCGCATCCTCAACCGACATGTAAACGGTGCCGACAGTGATCATAAGATACAAACGGGGAACGATATTTCCGGCATATTGGACAAGCTCGTACAGGTCCGCCAAGTGGTTGACGGGGTGGTTCTCCTTAAGGTAGACGGATAGGTGTCGCAACGCGTCAAAAACGGCCATGTACAACTCATAATACTGCTTCGGGCCGAGACTAGGGGTTCGCAATTCGGAGACAAGGGTTGACCTAGAGTTGGGAGTTCCCAGAAGGGAGCAATTAGCATACAAGAAGACATCCGAGGCCGCTGCCTGGAGAAACCAAATGTCAGACAAGCTTACCCGCACTTGAGCGCATCCATGAGTTTGCCAGGAGTCTCTAAGCATTTGCGCATCATAGTTGACTGTTGCCGCACCACCCCCAATGCCTCCTCGAGGAGGCGGCTTTGGTCCTCGGCGACCGGCGGTGGGCTCGCCATGGTGAATCGAGTGAGGGGGAGCTGGGAATGAGAGCAGGCGGTAAACGCACTGCAGAGCAATTAAGGCAGCTTTGGGCTCTGTCACCACGTGCTGTCTCAAGAACAATTCATAGACCGTAGGGAGCGCGACAGAGGTGTAGAGCGAGGCGAATGGGTCGGGGGGAAGGGGAAGGTGGGAAGTTGAAGTTGGATCGAGTGCCGCGAAGCCAGCGAGGATAAGAGGATAAGCTCATTGGGTGGACAGTGGGTCGGTCACTCTGGGGGCACATTCCGCCGAAACGTCACTGCCTCAGACCCGCGGCCATCGCGCAAATATCTCCCTGGTTGAAGCATTATGTTGAACATCCATCAATATTGCATGTATTTGAATACATTTGAATATTTTTCATTTAACTTGGAGGTAATTCGAATTTTTGTTGGTTTATGAATGATAGCCATAGGCTGTTCATCAGCTATTAATTGCTCATTATGATACTTTTGGAGGGCTTTATTAGGCTTGAAAATCCAATATCTGTGTCGAAAACAAGAGATATGAATGTATTGAGAAGGATTAAGCAAGGAGCAAATCCCTCCCTTGCATCTATATCGTATTCTCCGGTTTCCTTTCCATATGTTCTATTCATACATTAATGGACCTTCATATCATGAACAAAACGCTGCAAGTCATAAGTTGATTTAAAAGCGTCCGCTATTCTAGTCTATCGAAAATTTAAATCTATCTATACAGATGTTGCTGGAGCCAGCAGGGCTGATACCTGCTCATATACAGAGAATACAATTCCACCACTGAGGAAAAGGCGTCCGAGTCGCATAGAACTTCCTTTCCAGAACCCTTTGATTCCATAATCCTGCATGACGCTTTTGACTGCCTCCACAATTCCAGCACCTTGGACACTCTGCGCTCTCGTTTTGATGGTGTCAAAGGGTTGAGTGGCATAGACGGTTACAATTCCCGCCAAAGCTCCGGTTCCGAAGGAGGTGAATACATTAGAGGCAATTCCTTGCTTCTTGGTCATTTCTTTGAGAATGTTGTATGTTCCCATGCGTACTGCTGAGGTAGCTGACTGTTTGATTGTTGTGGAAACAAGGCCACGGTAGAGTTCTGAAGGCCCATGTCGTTTGACTAGCACTGTTGCAGCATGCAAACCAGACTTGAACTGACGATTTGTCTTTGCATCATCGATCCTGTTCAAGGGAATGAGATCGAAGTCTTTCCTTTCAGCTATATTAAGGAGACACTCACAATGCAGTTTTGATTCTTTCGGTAGGGGTGACGGCTAGAACGCTCTCAACAGCACCAGCTGCCATGCCAGCCAAAAGTCCTCCTCCTGCTGAAAGCTTCCCATTCTCATCAGATAGAACATTACGGATTGTGTCGTAAGACAAAAATCGCACTGCTGCTTTCCCAGCAGTGCCCTATTCATTGAGATTATAATTAGTTAGGACGTCGAGGCTTCATTTATCGCAAATGAGAGCGATGGTGTTCAGATACTCACCACTATTAACGTGGTACACCCCGTGTACAGAGACCGGACTCCCTCCTGTCGAGCTACCTCTAGGATCAGCCGCATGGGATTTGTCTTAGCCACGGAGCCATGTTGGACAAGCTGGACTCTCGTTTTGGAATATTCGAATGGATACTACAAGAGTTAGTGAGGGACCAAACAACATTGAAGGAGAGTATTATTCTGACTGTCACTGCTGCCTCTACGCCACCGGCTACACCACCAGCGACTAGTGAGACCCACTGCGGAGTGATATGCTGGAGAAAGAGTCAGAATCAGAACATGTATACTTGGTGACTGACCACAGATTGTGGGGAGTAATAAAACAAATACCTTTCGTGGTGTTTGTGGTGCAATCTTGCTTGCGCTTGGCTGGACTGAAATCTGAGCGGCCATGACCAAGGAAAATTGGCGATAAAATTCTTTTGGTCAACTGAAATCGTGCAATTGGCCAGCTGGGTTGGACATCTCGAACTCTCGAACACCTTGGAGATATATCCTCAGCTGTGGGGCTTAGCGGAAGCGGACTTGCCGCGGAGAGTGGCAACCGACATAACCACCCACAGATTCCATGGATTCTACGAGCCTTCATCCTTCGTCTTCCATCCCCCATCACAATTGACTCCATGGCCGATGCCAATCCGCGGAGACCGCGACGCGCCGCAAAAGCGTGTTCTTTTTGCCGTCGTCGAAAGGTGAGTTGCCGAGCTGCGACCAACAATGATGTGAAGGGTTTCGTGCTGAGCGGGTCATACAGCTGCGGTGCGATAACGGGAAGCCCGCTTGTTCTAATTGCCGGGGATACGGCAATGAATGTGTCTACCCCGCAGATATTGTTAGGCAAAGGTATGAGATTTGACCTCATTCACGACTGCGGGCGTCTATTGACAGTTGCAAAGACCCACCAAGGCCCGCCTGTCGCAACTAGAAGCAGAGAACCAACAATTGCGTCAGCAACTCGGCGCTGTTGAGACTCAATCTATCCATGAAAGTGTATCGCCCGAACATAGTCGTGCTTCATCAAGACAGGAAACGCAAGAGCTTTCCGCTGATACCCCACGCGAATCGTCTTGTGGCAGAGAACAACCCGAAGCTAGCACTGTGGAGCATTCTCAGTCGGCAGTCTCACGCATCTTCATCTCGCCGAACGGAGACTCCAGTTATCATGGCCTGACCAGCACTCTCTTCGATGATGCTCCGACTGACAGACGTGGTCAGGTGCGATCCACCGATCAGCAAGTCCCTGCTGATCATGTTTCTAAGCGCTTGATGGGAGAGGCTGCGTATCAAAGTATGTTTCAAGATACATTTAGCTATCAGTGCATCGATCTAACGAGATAAAAGGACAACTCGAGGGGTTGAATATGCGTCATGGAAAGTTGGACTTTGACGGTGTCGATCCGGAACTGGGCATGCACCTACTATCTCTTCACTGGAATCGCCAGCACCATTCGTTCCTAATCACATACCGACCCGCTTTTATGCGCGACATGGCCTGTAACGGGCCATATTTCTCTAAGCTCCTTCTCAACGCCATCTACTTCGGTGCTTCGAAGTTCAGCAATCGACCTGAGATTCGTCGGGACCCTAACGATGTGCGCACTGCAGGCTGGACCTTTCGCATGCGAGTCAAGGAGCTCCTTGGTAGTGCTCTTGATCGTAGTGAGATTACCACTATCCAAGCACTTTTAGTCATGACCAGCTCATTGTTCGCATTGGGTGATGAGCGCAGTGCTGCCTGGCTGTACGCCGGTACTGCCTTTCGAATGATCATCGATCTGGGGATGCACGTCGACGCAACAATGTTAACAAATATGCGTCGGCTCTCCGATGAAGATCTAGAAATCCGCCGACGCGTTTTCTGGGGAGCATTCGTCGTGGATAAAATTCAATCGCTATACCAAGGTCGCCCAGCAAGTCTCCAAGACTTCGATACCAAAGTATCGCTTTCCTTTCTGGACAACTACGAAGAGCTTGAGGAATGGCAGCCATTTGCATATTCAGATGTCGAGTCGTATCCAGGGTCTCCTGCCTACAGCGTGTCAACGTTCACGCAACTATGCAAGCTTTCTCTCATCTTGAACGCGATCCTGAGCAAAGTCTACTCAGAGCGAAGCTCAGCGCGGTCGCCGGAGGAGCTCCTTGCAACCTTGAAATTCTTGGATTTGCAGCTTAAAAACTGGCACGATGCAATACCTGATCACCTGCGATTCAACCCAAGCACGACTCAGGTTACACCACCGCCACATGTGGTTTCACTTCTTGCGCTATATAACGTCCTCCTGATCCTTCTCCATCGACCATTTGTAGCTGAAGGGCATCTTCACACCACTGATCTGTCAGTCGCTATTACGTCATTCAGCACATGCACTGTGGCTGCGAATCGCATCATCCAGCTTCTCCAAGCTTATGACCACACATATTCGATTCGACGAGCGCCGTATTTGATTTCATATGCTACGTACGTGGCCGCAACAATCTTTGTCCGAGTCGCGGCCCAGAAGGAAGGAGGTAGCCGAGCGCATGCTAGCCTACGGGCCTGCTTCAGCATTTTCAAGAAAAACCAGGAGACAAATTGGGCTGTGCGCAGAGCTGGGAACGTCATTCTCCATTTGATGAGCCGGATGGGTGTGAACTTGGATACCAATAGCAACGAAGCTGATGGACGAAAGCCTACCCGTCCCCTGCAGGAAGTCGTGGCTCTGGATCAAGCACCCTACATATCTGGAGATGGTTCACACCTAGATGCGATGACAGTCGCTAGCTATGGAACCCCGAGGTCTGGAGAAATAGATGACTCAGAACTCGACATCGACATGATAATCCAGAGCTTCATTCGACAAGATAACAGGTCAAATGAAAGTCAAGTCTACCTTGACAGTGCTGAACATCCACTTGCAGGGTCTGAAACAACTCCCTTTGGAACACAGGGCAATATGGCGCCTGCCGTCATGCCTCCTTACGAAGAGACTTATCCTGGGCCACGCTTTGATGATGATATGCTATTTGGCTTTAACGGCTCGCTTCAAGATAGTATGATGTATGACTAGTTTTATGAATCCAAAATTCTCTGTCTGTCATAAATTAGAGCCCGGAATGATTTATCCAAACAATTCACGTCTAATGGTTTGTAGAGAGTCTTTCTCTATGGTCAAGTATGATCCATCTCTACATTATCCTCATTCTCTTGGCCTTTATCGCTGCCTTAAAGCTCCGGAGATTGTTAAGCACGACAGAAAGAGGATTGGTCACGTATTATTTTTTGAGAAACAATAGGGTGAGTCCTATAAACTTCAAGTCTTGTAAATTTAGACTTAATAAAATACATTCCCCTCAAACAGCCGACGTGCAGTTCGTATAACAGCAACCTTTTCCACCCGTACCTCTCCAATGTGATCCATCTCCAACGTAGTCTCTGTATGAATGATACCCGAAGGATGCCGAATACCCACAGGCAAAGGTGAGGCGATCTCCTGATTTGCAACGGACATTCCGTGTTTTGGAACCATTTCAAGCTTCTTCCCGCCCGCCAATTCCCATGCCACAGTACCGGGGGTTGCCATTGCAGCCGCAATACATACCGCGCCAGTCAATTGAAGACTTGGATGTGCCCTGCCCATGGAGAAAGAAAGGACATCGATATCTGCCTGGTCTAGTTCACTGGTAATTTCTGACAAGAACGCGACCTTGGGTGTCCCGCGGATCAGACCTGCCGCCGTCGTATCTGTAGCAAGTCCGAATTGCACTGCGCCTGCACGACGAATTTCCTCCGCAACAGAAATAAAGTCGCTGTCGTTGGCTTTCAGGTGCAAAGAATCGCTCGAAAACGGTAGTGAAGATGCATCAACCAGAACAAATGGATTTGCGGCGTCGACTAGGCTTGCGCGTACTGAAAACGACCCATGGGTTTGAGAATCCACGCTGAGAGATTGTTGTTTCATACCACTAGGAAACATGCTTCCGGTCATGCTACCTTGTGGTCTGACAAAGGCAAGTTTTATCGGGCTTGCGGTACCCTTTACACCGGCAAGCTCATATTCTCCATCTTCTCGAGAAGTTCCGTCTGGGGCTACTTGCACGGTCTCAACGATGACTTGTTCTGTGTTGGTGTTGAAGATTCGAATATCAACCTCAAGTGACAGTGTCAGCATTATGATCTGTCTAGACATAAAAGTAACTATTTCATACCTCGGATTGACCAGGACGAGCCTGGACGATGCCTTCGTCAAGACTAAATGGCCCGACTCCGGATGCAATGTTGCCACAATTACCGGTCATGTCAACTCGCGGTTGATCCGGAGCAACTTGTACGAATGTATAGTCAACATCGATATTTGGTCGCTTTGACTTCGTGACAATGGCTACTTTGGATGTTGTTGACGTAGCACCACCGACACCGTTCACCTGTCGCGAGTTTGCCTGCGCAGAGCCCATCGCCGAGAGCAGAATAGAGTCCCAAAGCTTTGAGGAAGCAGGGAGATCTCTTTCATGGAAGAACAGGCCCTTTGAAGTCCCTGCTCTCATCCATACGGCTGGTATTCTCTTCCTCTTCTGGAAGAGTATAGGCGCAGGGACTTGTTCCAAATTGGTTATCGTCATGATTTTGCTCAGATGTCGGGCAGTTTGCATGAATCAATTGGTGAAAGCTCTGGAAAATGTAAGTTTTGGAGCTAAGAAGACACAGAGAATGTATTTCATATTTATTGTTATCTAATCTCAAAGGGCATGGGCAATTCGCGATGTCTTGCAAGCATTGATGGAGCGAGCCCACTCCGCGGGAACTGGCCTTCCGTGGCAGAGAATTGCCGTGGCCTTCACGGTTCATTCTTCCCGTCCCACGTTCTTTGATGGCGAATTCTCCGAATTTTAATTTCTGGGTCTGGGGTAATGCGGGGTGCATCCCTGTGCATAAAGGAGATCTGCTGTCCGTAATATCCAATGTCGACAGACTCACATCGATCTCAGTTCTATCAGCCTGGCCTTCATCATGGCTAACTCCTCGAGCGACATGGCGCACAACGCTAAACCAAACGCCATGCGCGTATATCTTCTTGCAATTGTGACCTCAATGGGCGCTTTCATGTTTGGATATGACTTGGCATTTATCGGAACGTCGATTGATCTACATTCATTCAAGAAGTAAGACTATACCCTATAATGGAGTTGGTTCTCAAATGTCTAACTTCACTAGGGACTTTGGACTTATTGGTGCAACCCAATCCGTCCAAGATGCATTCTCAGCCAACATTGTCTCATTGCTTCAAGCTGGATGTTTCTTTGGAGCACTGGCAGCTGCACCACTTGGAGACAGACTCGGTCGGCGAATTGCGTTGGCACTTGGGGCTATTTCCTTCATAGTCGGTTCCATCATGCAAGTTGCTTCGGCGGGTAGCAAGCCCTTGATGTTTGTTGGCAGAGTACTTGGTGGAATGGTACGTTATAAGATGCTGTCCTGAGTCAACTCGCGCAAATTCCAAGTGGTCACGACTAACCGTAAGCAGGGTGTCGGCGCTGCTAGTATGCTAGTACCATTGTATACCGCGGAATGCGCACCGCCCCAGATCCGAGGCCGACTAGTGGGCATCTATGAGATTGGCGTGCAGGTCGGTACCTGCATGGGTTTCTGGATCAACTTCGGTGTTGAACAACATATGGCACCAACATCTGCGCAATGGATGACCCCATTTGCTCTACAGCTTATTCCCGGTGGTCTCCTCTTGATTGGACTTTGGTTCATGCCAGAGTCACCTCGATGGATGGCCAAAGCTCATGGCAGAGCTCAGGTGACTGAGGTTCTGTCACTTCTGCGAAACTTGCCGGGTGATCATCCTGACGTACAACACGAAGTCGAAGATATTCTGCAGCAACTCGAGCTTGAGCGAGTAATGAGCCCAGATGGCACTCTATCGTCCGTGAAGGAGCTCATGCAGCCGGGTATCAGATACCGTGTGTTCCTGGGAGTGGTGATCATGATCTTCTTCCAAATGGCCGGATCGAATGCAATCAACTACTATTCTCCTCGCATCTTTCGATCGATCGGACTCACTGGAACCAAGACCACATTGGTATCCACTGGAATCTACGGGATCGTCAGATTAGTTGCGGTGTTCTTTGCCATGTATTTTGTGGTTGATCGCTTTGGCCGGAAGCCCATGTTGATCATTGGCAGTATCGTCATGGTAAGTACCATCAAATTGCCTTCTTCCTGAGTTACACCGATGGATCACTAACTGAATGACTACAGGCTCTCTCCATGTGGCTCATTGGCGCCTTTGTCAAAGTCCAAAGCGCAGAGGTCAAGACCGGCGAGTCGATCAGCGGCACTTCTTATGCGGCAGCCGTGTTCATATATTTGTTCGCGGTATCGTTCTGCTTTAGTTGGGCCGGTGTTCCATGGATCATTTGCTCCGAGATCTACCCCCTTCAAGTTCGTGGACTTGCCGTCAGTATCTGTGTGGCAACACACTGGCTGTTCAACTTCGTTATCGCGAGAAGTGTGCCATACATGATTTCGAACATTCACTTTGGAACATATTTCGTCTTTGCTGCCTGCACCACACTAGCCGTGCCCTTCGTCTGGTTCATGATTCCAGAGACCAAGGGCTTGCCCTTGGAGGAAGTTGATCTCTTGTTTGAAGACCGGATTTTCAGTCTTCGACAGCGAGGTTCATCTTCTAGACACGAGGTATCGGACCAGAAGGTAGCAGTGGAGCAGATTGAAACCGTTTAGTTGTGGATGTACATACCTTCTCCCCAGTCAGGTGAGATTCTTTTGGTTCAAATGTCCGGCGTTGAGACATATTTTTAGCAATCTATGATTTTTTGGAACGAAGGCCCTTTCCCAAAATCCTAAACACACAAGCTGAACTGAGGTTGGTGAGCCTGCGGGTCGACGAGAAAGCAATACTATGTTTAAAAAGTTTCTTCTGGATGTAAATATAGTGAACCAAGGGACTGGAGACTGGCTTTGATTCATAGTAAGTACCAAAGTGTGTACCTTCCTAGCCAACTTGAAAGAAACTGCTAGTTGAAGGCCTTGGAGCCTAAAAGTCTACCTCGTTGTTTATCCTTGACTATTCTGGTCGTCTTGCTTCCTCTCGCTCTCGCCACTTCACGTTCTCCCTCTCCTGCTCTCTTCCACTGACACTCAACTTCTGCAAAAATCATCACCCGTTCGTGGAGGAATCAGGTTCGGCCCAAAGACGGTCTTCAAGCTTCACCGCACCCTTTCTCAACTCATCAAGGTCGAAAATTCCTCTTCACCATGGCTACAATCATGAGAGGGATCACCAAGGCGCCTCGAAGAGCGGCATCTCCTCCTTTGTGCTTTCCTCCCAACGACTTCGAGACCGTCCCTGACTGGGAGGTGCTTGAAGAGGAATGGTTCGATAAGTTCAAAAAGAGACAATATTACCCCGCGAATATCGGCGAAGTGCTTCATTCCCGATACCAAATCGTCGGCAAACTTGGATTTGGGGGTACTTCTACCGTCTGGCTCGCTCGGGATCTTCAGTCAGTTACCCATCCGAAGCTCACCTGGTTCAACTGAAAATTACTGACATGGTAACACATTTAGAGGTCATCGATATGTGGCACTCAAAATTTACACTCGTGGCGAAGGCAGCCGGAATGATTTCGAGATTTACAAACAACTAGATCAGGGCCCATCGCACCCTGCCTATGATTTTGTGCGGAGAGCACTGGATATCTTCACGATCCCCCGTCCCGGTGGTGACCATTCGTGCATCGTCTTGGTACCGATGTGGGAAAGCTTCAGGGATTTTCTAGATCGTAATCCCGTCCGTCGGTTTCCTGTGAGCATTCTCAAAATGGGTCTCGTGCAGATCTTTGCTGCACTTGACTTTTTGCACACTGAATGCAAGCTCGTGCACACCGGTTAGTAGGATTTGGATGGTATTGTCAGAGAGCGTTCTATTAACATGCTTTTTTATAGACATCAATAGCTCCAATGTCCTTCACGAACTCAAAGAGGAATCACTGTTCGAAAGATTTACGCAGGCTGAAATGCAGAATCCTTCGCGTCGCAAAATTGTCAATGACATGCCGGTGTATGCCTCGCGACGTTTCGATAGGCAGATGTTGCACGGCCACGCAGTTCTCGGCGACGTCGACTCTGCCGTTTCGGGAGAGAAGACATGGAATCATGATGTACAGCCCAATGTCTACAGATCGCCGGAAGTGATGCTAGGCACTGGTTGGAGTTACCCGGTCGACATCTGGAACGCCGGCGTTATGGTAAGTTCTGCCTATTTACTTTCATAACCGTGTACTGACCAGTCGGAAATCATAGGCATGGGATCTGTTTGAAGGACGACGCCTGTTCTACGGAAATGAGCCTGATGGTAGAGGTTATTCGACCCGCGCACATCTTGCAGAAGTTGTGGCCCTTATGGGACCCCCTCCTTTGGATATGCTCCAGCGTGGAAAACGGAGTCTCGAATTCTTCACTGAGGATGGTAAGTAAATTCTTCTCTCACAAAACATTTAACAAAGACTTACCGAAACTACCCTGCAGGGAAATGGAAGCAGGACATCAACATCCCCAAAGGGATCAGCTTGGAGATGTCGGAAGAGTTCCTCGAGGGAAAGGACAAGAAAATGTTCCTTGCATTCATGAGAAAGATGCTTCAGTGGCGGCCTGAGGATAGGGAGACGGCGGGGGAGCTGTTCTTCGATCCGTGGCTGAATGGTGAGGTGGAGTAGCTGGCTTTATTCATTGCCTTGTGATCGTCCAAGAACACGCTCTCCTCTTGAGGATGGCCCGATGCCTATGAGATATGGAGCTGGCCAGGAGAGAAACAATTCGAGAGTCAAATCAATCAGAATACTCATGAAAGTAGAGTTCAATGATCGGCCTCCTCGCTATATTGTAACTGGACAGATTTCTTCTTGACTCTGTACTCGGCGAAGACATGTTTTAGTCTGAGGCATCATAAGGCATCGCTCGCAATATATGCTTCCAAAACCGCCTCGGGATCATTCGCTCGCCGTTTATTGAATTTATTCATGTTATCCGTGTTATATGTCGATCGTAACTGTGTCGGAACAGTCGTGCTCCGGATGCCGACGATATAGGTACAACAGTCTTCTTTCGCATTCTCGTGACTTTTGCATGAATTATATTATATTACATACTTCACCTATACTAACCTTCCTAAGTAAAAAGCTGCGAATGTGGATCACCAATCGCACTGAACAGACAGGGGAGGAAAAACCCGACCAATCAACGACCAACATAATATCAGAATTTTCCCCACCGACGTGAATGTGACTGTTTGTACGGAGTACGTGGAGGGGTTCCGGTCCTGCATTTTCAAACAACAGTCTCTAATGTGGTGTTCCAACCGAGCAAACTATGAAAAAGGAAAAACTAAAAAAAAAATGGTGAGAAATATTCCCCCCGGTCGGCCAGGCCAATCTACCATTCAGCGTCTTCTGAGTTGACGGACCCGAGAACGACGATAATTAGTCGACCGGTCGCTTTTTAACTCCCATAGGAGTCGAGTGATAGGCACCCTAGCAGTATAGTGGATCTGCCACGGGTTAACTCCCGTACAAAGTTAAGATAGCTGTCAACTGTACTGAGTCTCCTCCGTACTCCGTCCTCCGGGCATCTTATCTTGCCGAGCGGTTGATTTCTTGCGGTTCGTTCCGTTTGCCACCTTCGGCACTCTCGCCAAATTATTATGACTTATAAAATCATTTGTCCCTGCTTTGATACTGTAGTTCATGACCGACGGTGTTGTCTATATAAGTACCTAATTACAATATGTATGTGTATGTACCTCCACCGGGAATAGGCGAGGTCGGGCTTAAGGTTGAAGTCAAAGCACCGAGGGCAGTCTATCCGAAGCTGCGAGATGAACCTTGGGTGGCTAGATCGGGGGAGGTACATAAGCTGACAGGCGCAGAGGCGCGAATTTGCGGAAGCAGCGGTTTGCATTCCGAGAATTTGGCCCCAATCACCGAGAAAGTGGAGATAGAACCCGCATGTGTGGGAGGCACGAATATTTCCAAGAGACGAAATTCCTAATCGGGAAGGCAAAGTCAGAACAAAAAGCAGAGAGACAACACAAGCGTTGGCAGCCTTAAACATGAGCGCCTATTGGGTTCTATTTTAATAATCCACCGGTTAGGTCGCATTTTCTCTTCACACGGCGTCCTCTAAATTGAGCCATCACAGGCTCTTGGATGATCATGAGCTTGGCAAACGGAGGGCCGTTTGAATCGATCCTACAATCTCACTAGCGTGGAAAGTGGATCGAACCTTGTGAAACAGACCTCCTCCGCACTCTATCAAATTAAACAAGATGTTCAATCCTTTGTATTATTACCCAAGACCAGAAAAACACGGCTAAATAAACACAATGAAAAGTTCAAAAGTAGAAAATCCACAATATCCCATCAGAGTTAGGCCTTATCATCGGGCAACGTCAATGCATCCAAGCACCGCAGGTATCGATCCAAATCGCCGATCCCCGAACTAGAATCAGAGCCCTCTGCGCCCTGCTCGCCTCCAACCAGCATCGACAATAGCTGCAGGCTCTTCGGTCGCTGTAAGAGGAGAACTATAGACCGCCATCTCTGACGTAGATTCTGAACCTCCGTCTTCAACCCCTCGTTCTCACTACGTAAGTGGCCGACTTCCTCGGACTTTTTGGTCAATTCGTCTGACATTTTTTGATAGTTTTCCTGTAACTCGACCAACTTCGCTTGGAGGATCTTATTTTGCTCATCCCTCCGTTCGCGAAATCGGCGCTGCGCGGCGCGATTTTGGATGCGTCGGTTGGCCTGGTCATTAGTGTTAGCTGTAGCTGTAGCTGTAACTGGAATCAGAGAAAATGAAATGGCAACTTACGAGTTTTTGTCCCTGTTCTTGAGTGCTGAGATTTGACCCATTGCCATCGGAGGTTGAACTATGGCGTTCAGAGAATGTAGTAGGGTCGAAATACAGCTCAGGTGATCCCGACTTGGTGGAAGTAGGCGAGGTAAAACCACTTTTTAATCCGTCCGTGTTAAGTTCACTGAGCGACATTCGTCCTACACCGTGCTTAGCGAACTGGGACTCTAGTCCTGGGTTTTGCTGGTGAAGAGGTCAGCGATTGTAATTTTTTTCTCCGAATGATGCCATTGCACTTACCAGTCCGTAGAGCATTTGTAGATGTGACTCGGTGGCTTCTGTCGTGGGAATGTCGGACGCTCCCAACGGTAGAGAGTCAGTGCGTTGTGTAGGCCAATAGGCAGATTGATCCATCATGTCCATTATGTTGTGAGTATTGTGTATCTCGGGAAGTGTCATGAGAAAGCTGAATATTATTGCGGAGTAAACTTGCGATAGAAACGGCTTTTGTCTCATCTTAAAGGATGCGATGGGTCTTATATGTTCTCCAGCAGATTGTACGACGTGGTCGAGTATACACTTAGTATAGTAAGATTCCGCCAAAAACGATGCATCTGTCGTTCCAATGGGATGGGATCTGATCTTCACCAATCGGAGCATGAGTCTGGTCAAGTGGACATCTGTTGGGCGTGAGATTATCTGGGTGAACATAACCAATCATATCACGCTAAGAGATTTCCCAAACCGGTATAGTTGGTCTTGGCAATGGGCCCTCACACTGGTAAACTGCATTATTGGTCTCAATGACTCGACATACAAGGGGCTAGCCAAGCGGACGCCGAGGAACACACTCACCGTCCCGGGACGAGGAGCACATGGCCGACTAGTCTGCATTCAATAAAAGACAGCCACACTCGGGACCTTATTTCAAAGTCCAGACCCTTGTCATACTTTTCGTTACAGTATTGACGGAGCTCTAACTTTAATAACCGAAATTCAAGCGTTAAACCCGAAGAGAAATACTAGGAATAGACTTGCAGAAGACCTTTGTACGAAGCCATGATGAATGCAATTGGCAACAATGGCGATGTCTATGCGATAACATCCTCACCCAGACATGGAGAGACACTCTGTAAGCTCAAGAAGGAGTAGTGACAGGCTATTCCACGTGTGTAGGATAACTCTCACCCCCAAGTACTATAGAGCTACCCATATCAACCAATGTTGGCATGGAATTTGAGTTCGGCTAGATCGCTAGAGTAGATCATTCAAGAGATCTGAGTCTTTATTTCGCTAGCTGTGGCAAAATCCTCAAATATTTCTAGAAGCACTCCACAATCTGCAGGCCTTGGTGACGTTCGAGTACCCGAACAGCGTCGGATATATTTTCTCCCTCAGACTCGATGTCCTGTAAGATTCTTCCGAGGCAGATTCGACTTTATACGATGGATTGCCTACAGTATGAGCTTGGAAAGCCGACCCAAAAATAGAATTCTCAGGATCCTTATCCTGAGACTTTTGGAGCTTGGCGTGTTCTGGCCTTGTAAGTCCCATGCCGCCTCGTCGATCCTCGTATTTTCAATTTACCGGCCAATGAGTCTAATTTTCGGCACTTGAAGTACCGATCGCGGACCCCTAGAGTACTTTGGCACCGACCGTTGTTGATGTGCAAATCATTATGAACTATGCAGACTGGGTTGCTATTGATATCTTGCAAGACGCACCCAGTATGGACAGTCATAGGGTAAGGCCATCTACTGAGGTAGCAATGTGCAAGTAATCGAGACAAAAAATTGAACTGATGTGCACACAGATAAGCGTATTGATCTATTTAGTCCTCCGTGGTATGTTCTACAAATGGTTGATGACACACGGGACCCTCGACCTTAGTGGTCCACCTGACCTACCAGGGTCCAAGTAGTCTGCACCGATTAACACGTGCTGTCCTTACCGTCTCTCAATGTTGTGGCGTGACATCTTCAGCCAATATTCACGTGAAGATGAGGACTATAGCTACAAATAAGGGAAATGGTCTTTTTGAATTTGAGCAAAAAGTATAAGAGATTGACACGAAGCTACCAGCAAAGCTTCATTGATCGTGATGTGTCAGGGTCCATTACAGGTCATGTTCACGTCACAAGACCTTACCGTCGCATAGTGACACGAGCTTATATGGAGAATATGGAGAAATTCTCCTCTTTAAGCTTTTTTTTCGTGGCTGGTGGTCTCGTTAGATTGGGATTAGGTTTTGCCTCAGCCGTTCACGGGCATGCGAAACTCCTCCGGGTTGTAATCGTGAAACGTGGAGCCCTGCAAAAACGTTGCCCGTACTTTACGCTGCCCCAGCTACACAGAATCAGGAATGTCCAGACGATTCCGACTCCGGGGACCGGTTCAGTGAAGTCCGGGCTAGACTTGGGCGGGGTCGGTTGACTAGGTGGGGATTGTGGATATGCTTCGTTTATGCGGATTTCCAAAGGGGCGCGTTTATTCTACTTGTGAAGGTGTTATTTATTTAGAATGCAAAAGGCCTAGCAATCAGGAAAGAAGAATAAAAGTACCAGGACTGATTCTCAAAGCATCAGAGATAAGATCTCCTACATATACACGGATATGATATGGTTTTGAATGCAAGCGATCTAGCATTAATTCAAACCAACCATGAATCGGTAGTGAACCCGAAGTAGGGATTGATTTATGTCACAATCCAGTAGAACCCCCATTCCCGTCCCGAATATAAGCGAATCCATTCATTTGAAAGGGCAAAATGAAGTTATCTGCCTCAGCTAGCTAATGAGGAAGGGTTCACACTCCACATGTGCCCATGTTTAAGCGCCCCGATGATGCCTCACATAACCCATAACATAATTTTAGGATGGCAGTGCAAGTCAATAACTGACTAAGTTAGGCTCCATTATTAGTCAAGAAAAGCGACTAAAATCCCCCACATTTCCCCTATTAGGCATGTCGTGAATTTGTTTACATAGTACTAGTCTTCACATGCTGGAGTTTCTCTGGACTATAGTACAATCACGCCCCTGGGGTTAAAAATCCACATATCATGTAACAGATTGCTACCTTGGTCCATGCTCCCAACTTCGTTGAAATTTATGATTACTGTGTCAGTAGGTATGGTAATCACGATAGAATGGCTGCCGCTGACTCGGGTAGATAGTTGCTGTTTTACTGACCGAACAGAACGGTGTCCAATAAAGGAGTAATCGAACCGGAGTGCTCGTGCACTGCAGACCTAGTGCCGCGGGAAACTTAAAAAATTAAATCTTTTGTACTATTGAAACGGACCGAATCCGAATATCAATTTTCGAAGACCTCAAAGTCGACCAAGTACCGATGTATTACGCCCCACATATGCTAACAGCCAATTATTTCTTCCCAAGTATCTCCCAAAAAAGGCTTAGCGGCAGGCAGCGGCCGTACCAAGATTCAAAAACGCGCTAGAATTTAAGTAAGTTAATAATTTCTCACGTCTCCTGCATGAATACGCGATTCAAAAGCGGGTCTTGTGTGCCGCAGCCAAGGAAATGATCAAACTTGAGATGGTGCCACTCGACGATGGAAGCGAATCTAATGATGAAAAAAATAAAGAAAAAATGGGGGGAACCTAGCAAAACCTCCTGAATACAGTACTATTTAAAAAGTAAATGCTAGCTTATTTACTCCTATTCCTAATCTTCTAACCCAAACCCACAAAATGTACTCAAAGTCATCAATCGTTACACAGCGTCTGCTGTAGATATCTTCAGGCGCTCGCCTGCTTCAGGGACTGCTAATCCTTGCCATAGGCGATAACATCCCTCGCAGCATGCGACTTCCACCCAGGCAAAGGATTGCAGAATTTCGAGAAATCGAATATATGATGTGACCTCCAACTCATGACACAGGTCTTTAACATGTACCGTGAGCTTGGAGTACTCTGACATCCCTTCTGCCGCGATAGCCGCCACGGTCGCACACCACAATAGCAATGGACTCGACATGATCTGCGTTATTTGGTCGAGCTTGTCGGTAAGAAGCGGAAGAATCATTGCCCGAAGTAGGGATGATCGTGGGACAGGAAAGGTAACATGCGTTGCATATAAGTTTGCTGCTAATCGGCAGGCAAGGTAAAGCTCACGGGATACAAAAGTATCATTAGAAGACGAGTCACACGTATCAAGAATAGTTTCAACGGGATCATGCTCATTAGGTAGGCCGAATAGGGCGTGATGGACTAAATTGCGAAAATCAGCGAAACGGTCGCAATCCGTGGGATCAAGTCGTTGACGGTAGCGCCCTTGTATGAGCATGGAATATACGCCGAGGTGGAGGAAGACGTCTACAATGCCCTCTTTCACCGGGGGGCGGGCGGATAGAAAAGTCCTAAATCCGAGTTTTGTGACCCTGGATGGGTCACCCGGGAAGGGAAAGGCGCGCAGAGGAGGTAGAAAATAAGTCAGGTTGCCTTCAACATCAACCAGCGGGAAAAGTGGTTTCGTTAGAGAGTGGACGGCGCTCATTAGATCCGAGCTGTGTGAAGTCAGTAGATGCCCCAGCATGCTTAGGAGGTAGGAGCCGCCGATAGGCCAGATAACCTACATTGAGATCAACCAACCCAGAGCAAATAGCTTGACGGTATGGATTCCACCCAGCTGGTGGATCAGGTTACAGATGACACCCCAATGCATAGTGTGATAGTCCCGACTGCCATAAAATGACAGCGATTGCATATCCGTGAAAGGGGGCGTAAACGGGCTTGGGTCGCGAGTGAGATCTCGTCGCTCGGTCTCGTTGACAGCCAGATACAAGATGGCCATAATAACTCCATCTCGCCATTCTTCCTTGGTAAATTCAGTCACATGCTCGCGTAGCATACTCAGGATTAGCCCTTTGTAGTACAGCTGGTCCTTGATGTCCAACACTGGATCGGAACCGTAGCTGATACGCAGGACGTCACGATGGTACGAAGCCGCCCATAGGGTGCTATAGATGAATAGTTTATTTTCCCAATTCGGTGCTATCCATGATTGATAGCATCTCATTGCGTAATTGGAACGGCGAAAATTGGGCCAGATGTTCATGACCGCTAGAGATGTTCTGTCAGGTATTCGTGCGTTAACGCAAGTAGATATGCAGGAACCGAGTTTACTGACCAAACTGGAGCAGGCCATCCACACCTGGCCGGAGGCTTGGATCCACCGCTGCAAAGGGGTCTGCCCTCCCAGTGCTAGGGCTCATAGACAGGGCCGGGGAGCTGCTGCCATGCGCCTGGTGGGACACAGGGATTGATCCCCCACAACTGCTACACATGCCGACACCACTGCCGCCACCGTTTGGCGTTTGTGATACTATTGGCCTATCTCTGATTCCCTGGCTTTGCGCCTGGCCCTTGACCGTTCCCCAACAGACACACTCTCGCCATGCTTGGTGTTTAACGATCAATTCCTGTCTCTTGGTTTCTTCCTCCTGTCGGTATGTATTCTTCTTTTCTGAAATTCGGCGTCGAATGAACGCCGAGCGCGTGTTACGGGATCTGGAATCGTTGTCCCCTCGACCCAGCGACGGACCATCAACGAACAAGAACTGCGCTGGTTGGTGGGGATTGTTGCTTCTGACTAAGTCAGAATTGAAGCTTTTGATCAGCAGATTGCGGCTCTCGGTTGGACCGGAGTCTTTGCGGGTCATTATTTGATGCAGCTGACGTAGGAGATCTTTTCCTCCACGTGCGAGAAAGTGGTTCGAGCGCTTCCCGGAACCTTAGCCGGACATCATCTAATCATGCCATCATCACCCGCCTTTAGTCATCATACAACAATGGAAGCCCTTCCATTGGCTGGTCCATTCAAATTCACGTGCCTGCCAAGAGCCCTAGCCGATCCAAACTCAACGGCAACCGCCGTCCGATATATTGCCGGAATAGGAAACTTGATGCAGCACTGCCTATTTTACCAGCCAAGCCCGCAGTGGCAGGTCGGTTAGATTGAAAATAAGGTGCCAGGAATCGGAGAATTGAAAATCATTCGAATCGTGGATCGGGCGATCGAGATCACGAAAACGTTTATCATGCTTACTCAGGCCTTGTGAACGGTCAATCTCACTTTTTAGGGTGCCAATGCACTGGGTTGGAACTATGACCCAAAGAAGACAGTTTAAGACATAACCAGCAGCATCGAGATAAAAGTCATCCAGACCATAGCCTTAGTGATACTACCCAGTATGTAAATTTACCAACAGTGCTGTGATGAGCAAACCCAGTATAGCAGTGCTCATGTTCCCAGTTTCGTCCTGTTAGAACATAATTCTCTCACTAGGCTCTTACAGGATGAAAGAATGCAATTAGAGACGTGGTTTGAACATATCATTTAATATATCAATTAACAATGACTCTCATAAGTAGAGCGTGGTCTGACACCACTAAATCTCCGATGACCAGGCCGTAAGTGAATCAATAATCTACAATAATCTCAAAGCAAAGCAGAAGAACATAAGCATACCATATTTCAATTCAACTCAAAGCATCAACCTTGCAAATCCAGTCATCAGACTAGCCTCAAGATCGTTTGCCCAAGTCACTCCTTCCAATTATATCCACCCACTGGGGCGCCACACTCTGGGCAGGCAGCCAATTGCATTGCGCCCCCACACTCCCCAGTCGTGAACGGATGACCGTTGCGACAGTAGTACCAGTGACCAGTTCCCTGGAATTCCTTGGCCATCGCATTCATCACTGCCATGCGTTCTTCGCTTGTCGCTTCAGTGTAGAAAGTCCCCCCACGGAGCATTATTTCGTCACTCTCTACTTCCGGCCTCAAGCCAGCCGTCTGGCCTGACCACGTGTTGCAAAGATCCCTTGCCTTGCCAAGAGCATTGTGTGCACGCTCTAGATGGGTCTCAGCAATTACTGGGCGGGAGTATGGGAGCTGTAGCGCGTAAAGCCATATCCTTTAAGCTGTTGTGCGGGTCGCTTGTGGCGCTCAGCTTCATCGATGAAGCTGGAACACTCGTTTCGGATTTTCTGAAGATTAACTAGAGGTTTGATCTTGAAAGTTCTTACTTCGTGAAGTAAAGTCAGAAAGTCCGAAAGCATGGCAATGTCTAGGCGGAAACTCAAGGCTGTTGCTTGCAGAATACCTTTAGTCTGCAGTACACTGTTGTCAAACTTGACGTTACTAGTTGTCGTTTTACGCCTCTGAGGGTTGCCAACCATGTCATGGACTTTCTGGAAAGGCTGCTCGGAGGGTTTGACTCGGCGACAATATCCGTTGATTCGTGCCCGAAGCTGAAGTATCTTCCGCCATCTCTGCGGCTGTGAAGCACGCATGAGTTTTTCCATCTAGTCAATCTGGTGGCCTCGCGGACCACTCAATTCAACTGACTCAGGCAACTTGAAGGGGCCCTTGGACGTTGCCAGCTGGAGTTCTCGGATCTGCCCCGGAAGCTCTTTTGCAAGTGGAACATATTCCCGGTTGAGATAGAGAACTAGCTTCTTCGTGGACTCGTCCAAAAGAGCACGGTGCGCTAGACGACCATCTCTGGCAATGTGCCGCAAAGGACCGCGACATTCTGCAAATAACTTGACGCCGCCTTCGCTCTCCAACGAGAACGGCTGGAGGGAGGCAATGATGGCAGTTGGCCTTTCATTTTCGTCAACGTCGTAGTGCTTTTTGATGTCCATCTGAGCATCCACGCTCTCCATTGTGATTAAATGGCCACATTGAGGAAAGATGCATGGGGGGGGGGGGGGGGGGGGGGGGGCAGGCTGGACAGTCTTTTTTCTTGCCATGACAGACGCTTGTACACGCATGGGAACAAGTCGAATAAAGTCGGCCACAGGGCTGCTGGCAAATCGCATGGTTGACCCAAAAAATTCCATCTTCGTGGAACGAAACACAGCGAAGGCATTCCGCTTTGCAGTTGTGACCACACAGCAATGAGCCTCGACATTGTATGGTACATATGAAGTCCACCGAGTTCACGTCCACATGGCATGCAATATTCACCACATGGTTGCACCCTAGAACAACCTTGTCCACAAGCGCTGTACAGTTGCTCGGCCCACCAAGCACAGAGTCATCCATTGACAGCTCGTTGCTTCTCCTCTGCTCATGGAAAGAGCCAATGCGGCTTCAAGCTTCTTGGCCTGCTCCTGTAGATGCTCTTGGACAAGAGCTGTAGAGTTGAGATCCACAAGGCGTGAGAAAAATGAGAGGGAGACTTCCAGCTGCCATGACTTGGTTTCACCAATAGCCTCTCAAGAGATCACGTTTTCAACAAAACCGAGGATCTTGGCTGCTCTGTCGCCGTTGAGCCCAGAGAGGGCATTGTAGATAGTTCCCACAGGGCTCTCCAGTACCAAGGAGGACAAGACATTGGGATGCGTAACAGTCTCAAGGAATGGCAATACCTGCGTGGAGAACACGGCGTACTTTCGATTATTAGGCATGCCATTAAAGTCTTGTTCGACAAGCTCGCGAATACATCGTAACCCATCCTCATGGGCTAAAGTTTTGACCACAGGTTGATTAACACCGGCATCCCCATCCAAAAGCCGCCTGGCTTCCTGGAAGAAAGACCCCAGTTTGAAGAGAAGCAAGGGATGATGTGTCGAGCCCGACGGCATACTCTTCTTCCAATCTTGACGTTCCTTTTCCGAGATCGAGAGAATTTGCTGTCTTCCGGACGTATTAGAGTTACCACGCCGATTTGATTCCTCGGGAGGGGGAGCCTGGTCGCTCCCAGGTGCCGAATGAATGAATCTGCATTGCTTGCGCTTGCAACATCCTGTGGCAGCAAATTCGAAGCATATTCTATTTGGTTCAGTATTTGCCTTAATTGAAACCTGACAAGAGATAATACTAACCCTCTGGGGGCCATGACGGCCTGAGGAAAGGGCTTCCTTGATGGAAGACGGCGACGAAAAACGGCGACGAAAAGCGGATATAGAAGGTAACGCGAGAAGATGATAGTTGAAGGCGATGATAGAATGTGACGATGAAAGGTGACGCGAAAAGGTGATGATAGAAGATGGAGATAGAGGATGGTGATGAAGGGTAAGGACGAAAGACGAAGGCGTTTAACTAGTAAAACTCGAGCGAAAGAACCTGAAGCTGGGAGACCTTTAAGTAATTTGTTGAAATTTCCGTGTTTGAGAAAGCAAACAAAGGCGGGTTTTTGTCCATATTACGGTCTTAAACTGTGGGATGTGACAAATAAGGTTGGTTCATGTGAAGCAATTATCCATCGGCAAACGGCAGTATCGTATCTCATTTGCTCCGTCCACCACTATAGACGTCAGTCCAGCAGAGAGTCTCTTTAAACAATTTTACACGTTTATCAGTTTGAGGCCTATGTCATATTGTCATTTCGTGGAAGGTGTAGACTGTTTACAAAGAGAGCCATCAATGTAAAAGAGATATAGGGGGTTTTAAGCCTGGCCTGATTATGACTAGAAATACAAGCTATTCAGAGCCTTGTATCGGATGCTTCCTACCATATAAGTGTTTTTGAAGGACTACAAGACCCTGATTGTCTTGGCTAACCTTGTAAAAGGATTTTCTAATGCTTTGTTTGGTGCTGTCTAATCTGAGTCTCCTTCTCAGCTACGCACTACGTACGATTCTTGCTGCTCGCACCAGTATCAAAGATATTATTGGATTCAGCAACACATGTTAGTGAAGCAGGGATTTGAAAGGCTTCGTCTTACTTTGGTTAACAGTGGTTCAAATTCTTCACGTATCAATAAGTATCACGTATCAATTATCAAGTATCAAGTATAATTCAAAATCTTCAGTTCATTATCACATATCAAGATCTTCGTCATGCTTCTCGGAAAGTCGAGCATGACATGCACTTCTTACATACATCAGGCATGGAGTCTATTTAGCATAGGCCTCCAACCTGCATCTCTTCATAGCCGACCCCGCACGCTATTCCCTATCTTGCATGAGACCTTGTCCCAATATGGTGGTCTTATGCGATGATCCTCCGTAAATCGGACCTCAAGGACAACTACACCTCAAAGCATGATTAGCGTAACCGAGTTTGACTTCATGCTTCTACCAATTTCATAAAAAAAGTCAGCGCCGCCAAGCTAGCAAAAGACTGGCAAGACAAAATTGAAGAAATAATTGGCGTAAAAACTTGAAATGTCTTCAGTGACTACTTGCTCCAATAACATAGCATCGGAAATGACACGTTCCCCATCACGACCTAGGGCTCAAAAAAACACATGAACATTATATACACACAGGGCGAAGGAAAAGGAAATGGCCGCATAGGTGGACGAAAAGAGAAACCCCAAAATGAGACGAAATAACCACAATACGTGTCATCGGAAAAGGGAACTTCATGTCCCCATCAAACAGTTGGCAACCATTTTACATGGCTACCGAACTGAAGTTTGCCATATCGGCCTGAAGGGGTGGAGGGGAAGGCGATAGTTTTTGGTGCTAGGGAGATTGTCGAGTCCAACTGATTGATTTTTCCCAATCGCTTTTGGTGGACCCGCCAGGAAAACGCCATGGATATCAACGGTAAAAATAAATGACGGTCAAGATGGATGGGCTTCATGTGTGACTAGGATACCGTCCAGCCACTCGTATAGCGCAATTAATCGCGCATGTTGACTTCGGTGGGGGCATTGCGCTTCTTCATCATGGCCTTGCGCTCGACTTCCTTGGCTATAGAAAGAATTAGTAACTTGTTCTATGAGTAATTGATGTGGGACGGTTGTGCTTACCTTCATCGTAAACCAGGAACTCGTGGAGACCACGGCCGGAAGGCACCATGGGGAGGACAGGGACCTTGCGGGCAGTGATGACCTCCAGAAGGGCCGGGCCGGGCTGCTCAATCAGCCATTTCAGCTTGGCCTCGAGATCAGAGGTCTTGGAGACACGCTCAGCAGCGACGCGCATGGAGCGGGCAAGAAGAACGAAGTCGGGGTTCTGCTGGTGAGTGTGCGAGTAACGGTCCTCGTAGAACAGATTTTGCCATTGAGTGACCATACCCTGCTCCTCGTTGTTCAGCAGGAGAACCTTGACACCGATGTTGAACTGAGCAGCAGTGGAAAGCTCAGTCAGGGTCATGTTGAAGGAAGCGTCGCCATCAATATCGACGACCAGGCAGTCGGGACGGGCAACCTTGGCACCAATGGCCGAGGGAAGACCGTAACCCATGGTACCAAGACCACCGGAGGTGATCATGGTACGAGGGTGGCGCCAGCGGAAGTGCTGGGCAGCCCACATCTGGTGCTGGCCGACACCGGTGGTGATGATGGTCTTGTCCTTCATGTGGGCGGTGAGATCGCTAAGCTTCTCAATGACAGCCTGGGGCTTGATAGTACCCTCCTCAGTCTGACGCTCGTAGAGGGACAGAGGGAAGCGGGCCTTCCAGTCGTTAATCTGGGCGAACCACTCGGGGCGCTCAGGAACGGCCTTGACGTGGGGCAGGAGCAGACGGAGGTTGTCGGCGCAGTCACCCTCAACAGCCTCGGTGGCCTGAACAACCTTGTTGATGTTCTTGGGCATGATCTCGAAGTGGACGATACCACCACGGCCCTCCGCAGCAGCAGCCTTGGCCTGGGGGCGAACTTGGGAATGCTACCAGTGACACGGTCGTCGAAACGAGCACCGACAGCGATGATCAGATCGGCCTCCTGCATAGCCATGTTGGCGTAGGCGGAACCATGCATACCGAGCATGTGCAGAGCCTTGGGGTCCAGCTCGTCAAAGCCACCCAGACCCTGGAGGGTGGTGGTGACAGGGATGTTGGCCTTCTCGGCGAACTCCTTGAGAATCTCAGGACCATCGGGGCGGGCAAGAAGACCCTGACCAACGTAGAGAATGGGCTTCTCAGCCATGTTGACGAGGCGAGCTACACGGCTGATGGTGCTCTCGAGCTGCTTCTGGCGCAGCTCGCGAGCAGCAACGGTGGCGGCACTGGGGAGAGAGGGAATGGTGCTGTGCATGGGAATGGGGTTGCGGAGGATGCCAGCGGTAACATCCTTGGGCAGATCGACAAGAACAGGACCGGGACGACCGCTAGTGGCGATCTCGAAGGCCTCCTGGATGCGGCGAGGCAGCTCACCAACGGACTTGACCATCACGTTCCACTTGGTGCAGGCACGAGAGATACCGATCACATCGGCTTCTTGGAAGGAGTCGGTACCGATGGCACTGGTGGGCACCTGACCACAGAAGACGACCATGGGGGTACCGTCAGACAGGGCATCCTGCATAGGGGTAACGACGTTGGTTGCACCAGGACCAGAGGTGACGAGAACGACACCAGGCTTGCCAGATGCACGAGCATAACCCTGGGCCATATGGCCAGCACCCTGTTCGTGCTTGGGGAGGACGAAGTCGAAGTGTTTTGAGTTGTAGATGGCATCGAACACGGGAAGAATGGCACCACCGGGGTAACCAACTATTTGAGTCATGTATGAGCCAAATTTTGAACTCGAAATAGTCATGCCAAGAGCGAAGACAGAGAAATAAGAAAAAAAAAACATATCACTTACAGATCTGCTTCACGTCGAGGCGAAGCATCATCTCGTGGAAGATTTCACCACCACTCATGCCAACCATCCTATATTTTGGGACCAATTAGTCTCATCCCATTTCATTGCCATACGCCCATCAATGGGGAAGCCCTTACGATTCATCGAGCTCGGGGAGCTGGCGGTTCTGCAGAGGCGAGATTTCATTGCGGTGAGGTTCTTGGTTGAAAGCAGGGCTTGGGACGGGCCTGGAGTTACTGTTAAACTCAATTAGAATGCAAATCAGGATGAAGGTATTCCATAAGACTCACGAAGTCGCCGTGGCGGTGCTCTGAGCACGCTTCTGAGGAGAAGAGCGGTGGGTCGAAGCAGCCGAAGCCACGAAGGAGGTCGAGAAAGGCCGACGACCAGAGGCAAGCTGCCTCTGGAGGTGAAGGGCGCGCAGAGCGGTCTTTGACGGTCTGAGAGGCATCATCCTGACCGACAGCAGCCCAGCAGCACTTGAGTACTTGAGAAGGGAGACGAATGAAGGGAAAAATAAGATCCAATGGGCCCTTGCCGTGAATCTCTCTTCTCTCTGGGGGAGACGAAAAACGCCTTTAACCCAAATCAACCGACCGCTCTGAGTCAAGAATTCGGCGAACCTGATTGGTTGAGATCGCCTCCGCACCTCCGACCTCGGCGAGGATCGGAGTCACATGATCACTAGTAGAGTCTTATGTCATGTGATAGATGGGTGGTCTGATATTTCAGGCAACTCCGGGGGAAGGCCCAGGCGCATTGGCAATCCCACCTCTTACAGTACACACTACGGTACCAATGTTCGGTCTGAGTCTCTGACAATCAACTCATCCTTAATATGCACAGACTACCCCAACTATCCCCGCAACTCTAGCTTCTTCCCAACCCTGTCCTTCAGCCACTAACACTGGCGGGTCCTGCGATCGCCCAAGCTCCCCAAACATTGGGGGAGCCGATCCTAGCCGACACGGAATGACGGATATATTTTTTTTTGCCGAACTCCTCAAGAAAGCCGAAACAACAAACCAGCTCGGAAAGCCGTGCGGGTCCCTTGCAATTCGGCCCGTGGACTCTCAGATTCCGTCCTAAGTGCGACATGATTTGCTTATTTGGATGAATATGGCAGGATCCTAGAAGTTGACATGGACTGGCTCTGGCTTGCTGTAGCCTATCCTCAGTATCCTGGGCTATCAATCTGGCTCTACTGGAGTCTGGCTGTTAATGGATATTCCCATTTACCTATAAAAACGTGACTTACGCCACAAGGACAAGCCCGCGGGCTTTTTAACCCTAATTAGGCACACGAGACACCGGGCGGGATATCCGAGTGTTAATTTAGCATGTCGCATGCCCCATAATCCAGATTCGGTAATTTTTCTCCGCGGGTCATATAGTTGCATACTTCGGCATAAACTATGCTATAAATCCAGGGACGGGGCTTAACTTTCAAACCAATGAAGCAATGAACACCCCGCAAAGAGTACCAAAGACTACACTGCAAAGGGACACCGGCAGACGGAGGAACTTTCGCAAAGGCCACCTTCCGGAGAAAGTTGTACACCCCACTTAAATCCAAATTACCCGGGGTCGAAAAGGACCTCATTAAACTTGGCCTTGGCTGCCATCATCTCTGTCCACCTGCTCGTTTTCCTTTTCTCTTTTCTACTTGAACAATTCCATTGACACCCTGCCATCTACTCTTTCTTCCTCTTTGTTACTTTCTTCCCTCTCCCCTTGCTCTACCCCGCCATAATAAAAAGAAAAGTCAAGACCCCTGCCTGCACCCCCGCCATGTCTGCCCCGCAGGAGCTCGTCCCGCAAACAGAATCCATCGCAGAGGTCTACGCGACCGACGATGCCTCCGTGAACTCGGTCGCCCCGGCGCACCAGCAGCGCTGGGCCAATCTCATTACCCAGTTCAACAAGGAATACAACCACCGTCCCGACTTTGTGGCACGTAGCCCCGGTCGTGTTAACATTATCGGCGAGCACATCGACTATTCCCTCTACGATGTTCTGCCGACCGCCGTCAGCGTCGATGTGATCATGGCCGTCAAGGTCGTCCCCGCCGGACCTTCCGGTACGACCGTCAAGATTGCCAATGTCACACCGGAGAAATTTCCCGCGCGCGAGTTCAGTGTTCCCCATGATACCGATATCGAGATCGATCCTAAGAAGCACGAGTGGGTGAGCTACTTCAAGGCCGGTCTGCTCGGTGCGCTGAAGTTCTTGCGTAAGGAGAATGCTGGCTCGCTGGTTCCTGTTAGCATGGAGATTCTGGTGGATGGCAACGTGCCCCCTGGTGGTGGAATTTCCAGCAGTGCTGCATTCGTGTGCGCTAGTGCCTTGGCCGTCATGAAGGCCAACAACCATAATGTGTCGAAGCAGGATTTGTTGGATCTTGCCGTTGTTTCCGAGCGTGCTGTTGGTGTCTACTCTGGCGGGTGAGTATTCGGTTTCCTCCCACGAATATGCAATTGGGACGAAATATCCGAGGTTCATTTCTAACACAAGGCAATTTCTCTCTATCTATAGTATGGACCAGGCTGCTTCCATCTTCTCAAAGCGCGGCTTCCTACTCTACACCCAATTCTTCCCCAAGTTCAGGGCCCAACACGTCCCCATCCCCAAGGCCGCCGACGAAATCACCTTCCTCATGGCCCAGAGCTTCGTCACCTCCAACAAGGCCGAAACCGCCCCGAAACACTACAACCTGCGCGTAGCAGAGGTCACCCTCGCCGCGGTCATCCTGGCCAAGAGCTTCGGCGTGACCCTGCCCAAGGACAACAGCTCGCTGGGCTACAGCCTCCGCAACTTCCACGAACAGCTGATGACCAAGGAAGAGCGCTTGCACGACCCGCTGGAGTACCAAATCGACTCCGTCATCCAAGCCGTGCAGGACGTCCTGACCAAGGAAGAGGGCTACACCCGCGAGGAGATGGCTGCCCTTCTGGACACCAGTGTCGCCGAGCTGGAGTCCAAGTTCCTCTCTTCATTCCCCGTTCAGGCGGAGCGGTTCCTCCTGCGCCAGCGGGCGCTGCACGTCTACAAGGAGGCCCGCCGTGTGTTGGACTTCAAGGCTTGTCTGGCCAAGGCGTCTGGGCTTGATGATAAGCGTATCCGCTACCTGGGCCAGCTGCTGAACGAATCGCAGGAGTCGTGCCGCACCGCCTATGACTGCAGTGCGCCCCAGGTCGATGAGATTTGTGATATTGCCCGTCGCGCGGGTACATGGGGGAGCCGGTTGACGGGTGCGGGTTGGGGTGGCTGCACTGTGCACATGCTGCCTCAGGGTAAGGTGGAGGCTGTTACGACTGCCCTGCGGAACGAGTACTACCTCAAGAATTTCCCTGATATGAGCGAGGAGAAGCTGAAGCAGGCTATGGTCATTAGCAAGCCGTCTAATGGTTCCTTTGTGTATGTTGACCCCTACTGCGAATGAACTTGAGTTGAATCTAACTTGATTGTAGGATTTCTGGAGCTGCTATTGACCAGGTTGCTCTGTGAGCTTTTTGAAATAATGACCCTGACGGGGTGGATCTTCGTATATAACTGTCCTAAAAACATTCCAAGATTTGAAAGTTATATTGCCTTATGCAGTATCGATGGATACTGAACGTAGCATTCGGAGGGGAGCGTTTGGATGTACAAAAGACGCCAGTCTCCCTGCCGAGTCTGTCATCTCCTGGCGCCCATAGAGTTGGCCATGTGTAGAAGAAAACAAGCTGAAGCTGTCCCAAAGCCAAAATTGGCCTTACGAGAGGCGTCCTCTGGGCCCTTCAATAGGGACTCGCTGGGACTGGAGTGTCCGGAAACTGTACATCCCTCGTTGGGACTCATTGTGATGTCTGTTTCGAGTGACAGGCTCTTCACCTTCAGTTGAAGGGATGTTAGAAGAATCTTGTGAGATCGGCTGCTAACAACCGATCAGGTCTTCTTCTTAACAGCAGCCTTTCCGAAGAAGTCACTCATTTTCTTCATGCCAGTTGTGTTGACTTTCTTCAAATCACGCACGCCACGCGACTCAGAGGCCTTCGCTTTCTTCTCCTCTTCCTCTTTTCGCCGCTTCGTTTCAGCCCGATTCTCAATCTCTTCGTCCTCTAATCCACGCTTGCGGCTGAAGTCGGACACGCCACGCGAAGCGATGGCCTCTGCGCGTAGAGTGGCAAGCTCCTTGAGACGGTTGGTCAATGGCTTGAGGTCCAAGGGTGAATCTTGCGAGGCGAGTAGTTCATCAATTCGAGAGGACAGAGCGGATGGCAGATATGACTCTTTCATGAAAGACAATGCAACAGAGATACGTTGCAAGCGGCGGATATCGTCCGATTCTTCACCGGCAGGCTGGGGCACAGGAGTGGTTTCACCTGCAGGCGTCGACACTGAAGGAGTTGCAGTAGTAGCCGACGGCGAGTCTGAGCTCTCATCCAATTCGATTGGGCTGGCATCTTTATCCTGTGAGCCCTGGATTGTCAACGCATCGTTGCGCTTGACCGACATCAACGGAGCCGCCAATGCCTGTCGAACAAACCGCTCCTCCAAACTCGCAGGTAGCCCATGCGAAGCCATGCGTTCTGCCTTGGCGAGCAATTCCTTGAGAAGCTTGGCCTCGCTGAACCGGAACATGTTTTCATCACCAGCCTCCACAGTATCACAGATGGCCTCGGCACGCGCAAGGAGCGATTTGCGGAATGTTTCATCGTAGAGGACATGGCGGAAATGTGGGTGTAGGTCATCATTCGAGTCAATTATGTCGTCTAGCGGCTGGAAAAGTGACTGTCCAGACTTTGTAGAGGGCGAAAGCAGGGGAATCAGGAAAAAGGCTGCATCAATTGGTGTTGCGACCAGCAATTCAGCCTTCTTGACAATCGATGCCTTCGCGGGCGACTTTTCATCTTGTGACGTGGATTCGATCGATTGGTGCTTTTAGGGGTAAATAGAATGCTCCGAGGCGCTGATGCGGGCGATGCGACAACTGTAAATTCAAATATACCGCGTTCTGGGCAGAAGAAGTAGCGAGACGGCTCGCCAGACTGTGGGTTCGGTAGGGAGAGTAGACGCGCGTTGGCGCTGGTATTGGACGGAAGGATAAACGTCTTGCTGGGCTTCTCGGCAGCCGTCAATGCTTTCGTCTGCTGCTCAGGAACAGACTTAGATTGCTCTGAAGGAGCAGAAGAGCGCGTGCGTGGCATTTTGGCGACGAATTGGTGGTTTGGTGAGGGAAGTGAGGCCGAGTGGATTTAAAACGGGAAATCGCGAGGACGCGCCTAGGACGCGCCTTGCGGAATCATGTGCGGGCCGAGCCATGCAGGTGATCTCTCACATCTCACATCTCTCGCGCCCTTGCGACCTGGAGAACTACTGCATTCTTAACATTTCTTGCATCGTCACCTTCGGAGATTATCTTGTTTATTTTTCTCTTGTCCTAACTGCCTGCTTGCTCTTTTTCCGCGATCAATTCTCGACGAAGGCCCGCGGGGCGGCTGAAGCAACTGGGAATGCCGCCTCAGGTTGCTTTCGACTGTTGACTAACCCCTTGATTTCGTTCTACCAGTAAGTGACTTTGTCGTGACAATGGCTTGAGTATGCGAATACTAACTACTGTGCCAGTGGGCGACCCTTCATGGCCGCCTAAATCTCCCCGCGATGCGCTACTAAGCTCGCCGGGAGGACGAAGGAAATATGAGGACATGCAACAACGCCGACAACTCCTTTCCTCGCCATTGAAACGATCAAACACAACCCCCAACTTCCGGTCGAAAGCCGATCAAATTCTGGACGACGGCGTGGACGAAGACGACAGTGAAGAAGATGAAGAGACGCTGCAGTTGAAGCTTGCAGAGATCCAGGCCCGCCTCAAGTTGAAGCAGCTACAAAAGAGCCGAGGTCGATCCGGAACCGCAAGTTCGCACACAGAAGATGGGGAGGAGAGGCGCGCCCGCCCTTCATCCGGTATCATACGGTCTCAGAGCCATGCCTTGATCCCGAAGAGCCCCCAAGCAGTGTCGCGGAAAGCACCTATCGATGATGTCCAAGTACCATTGTCGCCGACCCGACGAGAAGCGCCCCCTCCGGCCCCGTGGTCCCCCCAGAGATACAAGATGGGCATCGATAAGGGTTGGACAGCCGCCGATGTCTCTCTTAGACGGCCCCCACGGCCAACCAGTCAACTCGAGAGCCGAAGCGGTGCCATGTCGCGATCGGCTGATATATTTTCGGCAAGACCTCAAACTTCACCAAGTAGTGGAGGGTTGAATCGGATCAAAAGTTTTAGTGAACGAATGGCCGAAGGCCGAGCAGCCGAGAAACTCCGTGCGGAGAAGGCAGAGAAGGCCGAGAGAGTTAAGGCAAGCCGAAGCTCAGGCTTCCAACTGGACAAAACAGAAATTGAGGCGTTCAAGACTGCGGCTGCGAAAGAACAGCCGTCAACCCCGGCCTCTGTTAGTCGGGAGCCGCAAGCACCAAGTTTCAGCCGTGAGGATATTCTCAGATCTATTGCCCCTTCTCGTTCTGGTATTATGAAGCGCAGCCAAACGACCTCAAGCGTCAGAAACAGTGAAGTTCACTCCACAGCCTCATCACAAAAAGCGCCTGAAGAGAGTGAGCAGAGAGGGAGTACACCAGACCCGTCCAAGTTTGAGTCCTATTCTGGACTTCACTTGTCGAATCGTATCCTGCCGTACTCCTTTTTGAGCCGCAGTCTGGCTGAAAAAACAACCCTCAAAATCCCCGACCTCCTCAAAACAGTCAAAGCACCAGCCTTTGAACTTCCAGAAGAGATAGACGGGGATTTTGTGGTGTTTGGAATCGTTGCGTCCAAGTCGGACACGAAGCAGACCAAGGATTCAGGGAAGGCTACTACCAAGACAGCCGACCCCTACGACGACGGCATGAACAATACCAACAGCTACATGGTCATGACACTAACTGATCTCGAGTGGACCATTGACTTGTTCCTGTTTGATACAGCATTTCCTCGGTATTACAAAATCTCTGAAGGAACTGTCATTGCGATCTTGAACCCTACTATCATGCCTCCTCCCAAGCACAAGCTGGATACCAATCGGTTTAGTCTGTCTTTATCTTCGTCGGATGACAAGGTCCTTGAGATTGGGAAAGCACAAGACATTGGCTTCTGCAAATCTGTGAGGAAAGATGGCAAAACTTGCCAGTCTTGGGTGGATGCTAGAAAAACCGAATTTTGTGATTTTCATGTGGATCTTCAAGTTCGCCGTACCCAAGGTGCACGCTCAGGTGTCAACAGCGGTACGGGCATATTTGGTGGAGGCGGCAAATCGGGTTCACGTACTAGTGTTTGGCAAGAGTCGAAAGGCCGTGGTCGAGGCTCCCGCTTTGGAGGCTCAGAAGCCTCACCCTACAGGTCAGCGGGCAATTTGAAACCAGAGGGTGCTCAGTATCACCTTGGTACGCAGTCTGTCTACTATGTCGCTCCTGGGCCCAAGAATGGGGGAGCTGGTCGTGCCTCGTACAATCCCGCCGCAGGGCACTCGGCAGCAAGTCTGCTAGATGCCAACGATGATCCTTTCATTGCAGCTGGCACGATGGGTCGCGGCTCAGAGAACAAGGAGGAACGAATGAGAAGGCGCCTGGCAGCTCAGCAGCGCGAGCGTGATATCACCCGAAAGCTTGTTGCTGGCCGCTCTGGTGGTGTAGGTGCAGACTATCTCCGGACGCGCACTGCCAATGAAGGCGTATCCAACGGTGAAAACAAGGAGAAGGCACCAGGCACTCCTTCAACACCCAAGACACTGGCCTCGAGCCAAAGTTTGAACTTTGTCACTTTTGGCAAAGCAAATAATGTCCGCCTTAGCCCCATGAAACGAGCTCATGATGGCGATAGACCTCATGGCAGTGGTGTCAAAAAGACTCGATTCATCACGTCCAAAGGAATCAGAGAGGCTGGCCGTGATAGTTTGGGTGGTGATGCAACCCCAGCACGACGAATATTGTCTGACGATGAAGAAGATGACCTCGAATTGATTTGATTGCATGGCTTAAGATATCACCGTGTGTTGATCTCTTGGGCCCCCGGCCCTTGGCTTGGTAGGGTTGTGATGGTTTTACGACATAACAAAAAGTCATATTGCATGAGACGAATTTCCTTTTTTACGCTAGTCGAGCAGAAATCTGACTCGCACTCCACTAGGCATAGGTCAATAGCATAAGATTGCCTTGAATTTTGGCATTCTTTCAATTTATGCACAGTACCTAACCCTGGCAAATACACAATGCTGTCGTTTGTACATGAACTTCGTTTCCCTGGTTCTATCATGGCACTTAAGTCCACCTTCCCCACTGTCAACATACAGGCTCCTCCTTCCTGATTTCGGATCAAACTTGATGCTGCGACTGTTGCGATGGGGCCCGCAGCAGTGTTGCCCAAATCATCAGAGCCACAGCCAACATCGCTAACAGAATGGGCTGCAGCACAGACACACCCTTAGCCTGCGCAATAGCACCAATCATGAAAGGAAAGACGGCTCCTCCACCCATCGAGAACGCAGCTGCAAACCCAATAGCCGCGACGTGCAAATGCTTCGGCAACATCCTAGTTGCAACAACCACAACGCCCGGAAAAATGGTCCCCAGGAAGAACCCAACCAGTGCAACCGCTACAGCCGAAACAATAAAATCAGGCACAAGCCAGAAGATCAGTTCCAACGCGATGGCAAGAACAATGTACACGATAATGGACAGTTTCTCGCCAATCCGCGGCGAGACAAATCCCAACACGAAGCGGCCTACCGTGACGCCGAGCCAGAAACCTGTTTCGGCCATACCGGATGCAAAGGGGCTGCCATGGCGGACGCTTGTCATGAACACGACGATCCATCCGCCGATGGCGACTTCGCAGCCACCGTAGAGGAAGAGGAAGATGGCGCATATCCAGGTGACCCTGTATGTGAGAGATAGTCTGGTCTGGTTGACCCCCTCTCTACCGGGGGCCGATGGATGATCCTGTTGATACTTGGAGCCGGTTTCCGTCCAGAAAGCGGCGGTGGCGTTGATGAGCTCGAGGGCAGCGGCTCCAGTCTGGGTCAATCGTCAGCTTATACATACCTCTGAGGTGGGATGGCTATCTTCGACATACCAGCAGATAATAGAATGTATTCCACTCCCAGCCCACTTGAGTGATCAAAGTTGTCGCAACAAGAGGACTAACTGTAGCACCCACACCATAGAACCCATGGAAACACCCGAGTACTTCATGAGAATTGGCCAGACTGCTAATCCACACATTCCACCCCGCGTTCTGAATCCCACTCCCCAGACCAACGAAGATATACATGATCACCAACACCGGGAATGGGGGGTTCGTCGATATGACCGCAAAGGCGAGTAAATGACATGCCGGGCCGATAAATGCCACTCCTCGACGACCGAGACGTTGGTGAATCAGGTTACTTAGGATGGCGGATACAGTGTAGCCTAAGAATGGGGATAGGAACACTAGGGAAATGACCGTGTAGTTCTTGTGGTAGGAAAGCTCGAGCTAGATAATGTACGAAATAGTGATTGGTAATCAGCAATGACAGTAGGTTGTATAGTCGAATTGTTCATGGAAGGTGGGTGGTACAAACGTAGGGAATGATAGATCCATATGCAGCATCATTAGAGCCCATCACAAATGCACACCAGAATGTGGCCAAAACCCTCCATATCATAGTCTTGGACCCGTTCCATCGCAGGGCAACGTTGACAGCATGTAATGGCGGAGTGTCATCTTCGGATCCTTGGTCTTCTGGAATAGGTGTAGGGTGTCTCTCATCGCTGGGGGAGACTGAGAGTGTACTATCAGGGACAATTTGTACCGCAGCCATATTTTCTCGTATACTCAGTATTTGTGAAGAGGAGAAGGGAGTGTTTTCGAATATGCTCGTGGTGACTTGGTGGATCCTTCTACTTACCTAAAAGCGGGGAAAATACGACGTTGTCTTGTCTGATCAGTCATAGTTATACTACAACACAATATACACTCACCTGGGGGGCCTGAGGCTAAGAGATATTATTGACGGTAGGTACTTTGAGGTCTACAAGGATCAGAATGTTTCATCATGTGAGTGCTCTTGTTCATTGACAGGCAAGCGACACCACCGGCTTCTCTCCTCTATCCACTTATGTCCGAACAACAATCCCACAGAGCCAGGGAAAGATATGCTAATGAAACGGAACACAATCGCAGAAAAGAAGAACCAGAAAACAAAAAACGACCGCAAAAAGCAGAATTCAAACTCCCCTGACCCATTCCCAGAAAAGACACGAGGTACTTGGTATCCTGATTTCCCCTTATCCCAACCCACGCGCCAAGTTGAAGCAGAAGAATTCAGTGCTTGAAACGACACGCATGTCATGACCAAGGGGTAACATTAAATCGCCGGAGAAAGGAAGAAAAAGACAAATCAAAGGAAAAAGGGGAAAGAAAAAAAATGACGCCACGAAGAATCCGGAAGGTGATATGCAGCATGGCCGCTGCGAAAAACAAATTGTCGTGCATCCGGCATCCCAAGACGCAAAGACTCCTCCTGCAGGCGAGAGAAATAAACCTGGCAGGACACAAAGAAGAAAAGCAGAAAACGCAAAAAGTCGCTGACCGATGCACCATGTCAATGAAAAATCGTTTCGAGGCAAACAGAGTCGTCACTCTAACTACTGTGAGTGTAGTAGTGAGCATAGAAGTGAGACTAAGACGAAGAAGCCGTAGAAGCACCTCCCCGAGTACTGCGGGTCTTCTTGGCCGAGTGTGGGGTCACCGGGCCGTCATCCGATGAGTCGGCCTCACGCTTCGCAGGTGGGGCAGGGGAAGACAGTTCTTCAATGGCCTGCTTCTTACGCAGCCACTGATCGAAAGGACTGATACGCTTCCGCTTGGTGTCTGCGGAGTTCGTACCAGTGGGGGTCTCCTCACCCTGCGTTGCGAACCGGGCGCTGGATCGCAGAAGACGAGTCGCACCAGGAGCTTGAGGGATTTCCGGCGACTCAGGTGTAACGGCAGGTGTCACCATCGACGACTGGACCTTGGTAGGAGGGACCTGGGTCTTAGCCACCTGCACCTCAGACACCGGAGCCTCAGCCACCTCGACATCCTCTTCGTCGGTAGCATCCTCTTCCTCAAGGGGACGGCTGCCCTCTGTCGCACCAGGGAAGAGGATACGGGGCTTGATGGAGTTGCGGGTGAGAGGCTTGGCCCGCTTCAGAATGTCTGGGTTGGCTGCCAGCAGGTCTGGGCGCGTAGCAAAGAGACCCAGGTCATCCTCATCCTCATCCTCCTCTTCCAGATCTGAGAACCTGGTGAAGACCTTCTTACCACGGCTGTACGCAATGTCGTTAGGGAGAAGTTCATAGTCATAGAATATGTGAGGTAGAGTGGGGATACTTACAAAATCATGGTGATTCCTTCCTCTGGGTTGGGCGAGGAGTCATCATCGTTAGGGACTTTTCGGCGGCGTCTGCAGAGATGTGTTAGATGCAAGATCTTGACAGAAAGTTGGGGAAGGGGAATTCAATGAAATTACCTAGCAGCAGTGACCGGAATACGCTCCGAGCTGGAACCGTCACCAGTTTCCTGGGTACGAGCAGCCCTCTTACCCCGCTTAACGGGACTGGAGCTCTTGACAGCATCGGCCTGTGAAGTAAAAGGGTTGCCAGATACCGGCCCAGGTGCGGGGATGCGATCACGGGAGTCGGTGAAGATTTGGATCTCATCAGAAGCAGATGTCTCAAAGCTCTCCAGTGAGAAAGGAGATGGTTTCTTGGTCGACATCTTGCTTGTTGATGGGAAGAGAGAACGAGAAGTAGATGATAAATCGCCTTGGATCGATCGCTTGGATGGGGTTTTAGCAGGAGTCGGCAAGGCCTGCGTCCCTGCTGAGCGAGGATGAGAGGAAGAAGAAAGGTGACGTCGAGGGGATTCGCAAATATCGGAGGCAGACTCGCTTATCGATAACGAGAAGTTGGTTTGCTGTCTGGACAGGGCGTCACTTGCTGATGCCTTCCAGTTTCTGCCGGTCTCCCCATCGACTCTCGGGCCCTTCTTCGGCAACCCTCGAGATCGCATCTTGCTTGGCGAGGTTGGGCAAACTGGTTCGGGTGTTCTCTCCATTGATCTAGCCGCACGCTGACTTGCTATTCTAGCTGATGATCGAGGCGGATATGGCTCATATTGGTCGTTTTTAGCCCCATACAGCGGTGCAGAAGGAACCCGCAAGCTTGACGGGGAGGGCGGCGGGGGAGTCTGCAGGCCTGACCGCGAAGATGGCGGAGGAGTTGTCGCCATAATGTTTGATCACACGCGATGGGAGATTCCCAGGTTTTTGTTGAAATACGCGTCCAGTCTCTATGGACCTTCAAGGGATAGGACGCTGTCTGGCACTGAGACGGCCCTGGTTCTCAATTGACGAAGGCAGCGGCTGAAACAAGGGCGCGACAATGCTTGGTCGAAAGGCGAGCACAACAAATTCAGTCGAAGAGTATAATTCGAGGACAGGCGAAAGTGAGCGGTTCTTTCAATGATGCGAGTATCGAAAGCAGAAGCAGTTGCAATGCGATGCAGAGTGTGAAGATGTGAAGAAAGGGCGAGATCCCTTGGACGAGCGGCATGTTTCGACGCCCAGCCACCCCAATTGCTCACCGCCCCCGATTCGTCACCGCCTTGGCGATATTAGACTTTCCACCCCGCGGTTCTTTGGTTCCCGTTTATCGATTTGTTGACGTTCTTCCTGATTCGATTTCCCCGGAATTGGGTGCAATTCTATGGGTCCATTGCTGGTTTACAGGGTTTGAACGTCGGCGCTAGTGTCCACACCAAAATTGTCTGCATTCTACGCGCCGAAGCCACGATCGACGCCACACATCTCGACGCGATGGCTGTCCGAAGCACCGCCGAGGAAATGGAGCGACTCCAGCTCGAAGACGAAGACACAGAGGACCTCTGGAACTCTCCGTCAAAGCGAGCAGCTCACAAATCCTTCAAACCACGACCATCTAATGATATACCTTCACCGGAGATGCGACAATCCCACGATGGGGGCGACACTCTTTTTGATAGCCAGGAGGCCCGCGAAGCAGCCTTAAAGCACGAGCTACACACCGTGCGAAACATCAACGAGGCTATTGAAGGCCTGTTGGCCAGTATTGACAAGGCCATGGGCAACATGGAGGTCCGTCCTGGCCACTCTGAATACTTAAGCATTGAAGCACAGAACCGCTGACAATTTCTATCCACAGACCGTATCGAAAACAGTCGCATCTGCATCAACACTTCTAAATACTTGGACCAGAATTCTATCACAGACCGAGCATAACCAGCGCCTCATCCTCAATCCCAACTGGCAGGGTGCCACCCAAGATGTGGCCGATATGGAGAATGAAGCGATCCAGAGACAGCAAGCGGCTGAACGGCGGGAACAAGCACTCCAGCAGCAGCGGGAGGCAGCACTGCGTAAAGCGGAAGAAGAGGAGAGGCGACGGATCGCCACTGGTCGTGGAGGCCGCGGAACTACTCGAGGCATGGTACGCAGTACTGGACTGGGGAGGACGCCCAGTGTGAGCACCAGCCGCACAGCAGCTACGAGGGGGGCTTCCACAACAGCTACGCGGCCACCGGCCAGTGGGATTGCAAGTGGGATTGCCCGAGGAAGTGGAATTGCGCGTGGCCGGGGCAAGGCCTAGATTCTTATGACTTTCTATGTATGATAAATTTTGACCTTGGAGATAGAACACACGTGCCCAATGAAGATGATACCCAAGACCTGATAATGATCAGCATAATCAATCCTCCCCAAATGCGATAGTAAAATCTTCATGCCTGAGGCAGAAAATTGGACACGCGGACACGCGACCGGCCGATAAGAACGCGATAAGCACCGGAGGATAAGGAGAAGGATAAGGAGCTTCCCCCGAATAGTCAACGAGTTTCCCCAGCTCCGCTCTCGTCGGCTTAGCTCTCTCGCCTAGTCCTCATAATGAATTTCGCTCCTTACCAGGACGAGTCTCCCGAGATCGAGCGGGCTCTGTCCCCTCCGACCCTGGACGGTCGCGTCAAATCTCCCGCCCTCCGGTCGCCGCGGGCGTCGACCGACTTGCCGTCCCCGAGCCACTTTGCTAGCGGTCGACAAAGTAACACAGGCTTTGGACGTGATTTGGAGGGTGGCCATGTGAGCTTGGGTGCCTTTGAGACTAGCCTTCCTATCCGCATGGATGTGGAAGCTGCTCTGGCGTACTTGCTGCTGCCTCCGGCGGGAGGTTTGTTTTTGCTGTTGGCTGAGCACAAGAGTGACTATGTGCGGTATGTACTTGGCTAGGAGTCTGGATTCTCTGATATGAATTGAGAGAAAGGAAATGGCTAATTTCAGATCATAGATTCCACGCATGGCAGTCAAGCATGCTGTTCGCGGTTATCTTCGTGAGTTTCCCGTACTATTTCACAAGGTCCAACTTCCGACTAATGCCGAATAGATCATTCACCTCATCTTCGCCTGGAGCAGCTTCATCTCCTGGACTCTCTTCATCATTGACCTAGCCCTCATGGGTTTCCTCAGCATGCGTGCTTATCGAGACGGTGAGTCCCAAACCATAATCGAGCAGCTACCATCCCACCCAAGTGTGACTGTCATAGCTAATTTCCCACCTTCCCAGTTGACACCCTCGATCACTTCGAAGTTCCATTCATCGGTCGCTTGGCCAATTCATTCGTTGATAATGAATGACTCGATAATGTCCGTTATTTTCTTGGGCTTTGCGTGTAATTGAAATTGTCGCCGAACAGAATCGTGCTCTTTTTCAATATACCCTTCGTCTGCCAATACTTTAATGAGTTAGATGGATATTTTTGCCGCTATTACTTCTACTGTTCATATACTTGATGGTTCTCTGATATGCACCGTTAATGAATGGTTTGAATTTGTGAGCTGGAATGTTTGGACTTCCAGTGAACCCACCGCACACTCACCATTTCTTTCATGTTAAATTATACTTAGAATCGGAATCGAGGATCGCGAGTACTTGCCACACCCTCGGTGACCAAAGATCCTAGGCTGTATTTGCGATCCCTACGGCGATTTTCCCACCTCATCCAAAGTCCGTATGCCGCTCCGGCGAACATCAAGATAACACTCATAGATATGTTGGTGGTCAAAACAGTCGAGTATCTGGGAGCCTCCTTCTGGGTGTAAATATTGCTTGACAACAACCCTGCACAGTTTCCCAGAGCAATATACAAGCCACTAGTCATAGCCCGAGTATTTGCACCATACCACCAGGAGCACAGCACCTACAAGTGCAGGAGCGACAGTATACTGAGCCCAGTTTAGCTGGGACTGGTAGGTTAAGAAGGGATGAGTCACTCACCAAGTTTGTTTTCAAAACAAAATATCCCAACCGTGCCACAACCATAGCCAGGAAATTAGCATTCGAAGTCAAGAGTGTTCCACCGCAAAATGCAAGCGCACAACGTAGATAGCCATGAGGTGTGTAGAATTCACCAAATACTTCTTTCCAGTTAAACTTTGCATCAACTGTGGAAACAGAGTCCTGCTCAAGTCACAGTACAGCAAGCTCTTTTTCGACAGGCTTCAGGAACCATGCAGACTGAGGGCTCGAGGGTAAGACAAAAGCTATAATGATTCCACACAGTATAATCAACCCCCCTTCCAGGAAGAATAAGTATGACCACCGCAAATAGGGACCACCCTCAATCTGGAACATGAGTTCTTTTTTCTGCCTTTTTTTGGTAACATTTCTTTTTTTAATAGAAAGATTTACCTTAAGCTATTGTATTATGATGATTTAGTTCTTTAATAGCATTTTTTACAGTGCCAGGAGAGTGTAAAGATCTATATCAGACGGCAGAAGGGACTGGCGATGTTTGTCGGTGTCCGGGGATGGTGATAGAGTAACAAGGCGAAGTATATAGGCAACCAGAAGGTCAAGGGTTCGATTCACAAGAGATACGATTCGATTTATTACGAAATGTTTGATATACTGGCCATGGCAAGTTGTAAATGAAGGAATGTCATTCCATTGACCATGAAGATCCTAGCAAATGTACATGGCCCTAGATCGTTCGTTCTTCGTACAATTTCCATCGAACAGACCTTCCAACAAAAAACACATATAAGCAAAAAAAAGAACACAAAATCAAATCACCAAATGAGAAGCCACAAGCACGCTAAGCTCCCAAAAATATCATCCGTGGGTAGAACACCGAAAATATTGAACAGCTTGCCCAGTGAGAGAAAAAAGAAGTAAAAAGTCAATGCGCGTGGTATACGGCGCCAAATAGATGAGAATCGAAGTGGGTTGAAACAAGGATCGTAAATGTGCAAGAAGGATTCGGAGAAAGGCAGGCATGGTATCTACGTGAGAGCGTGAGCATGACAAAAAGAAAGGTGTTCCGTCAGGACGAGCGGTTGTGAGGGTCGTGGCGGTTCGTTAAAATAGGCGGGTGGAGCATCTAGATGATTTGCAAATAGTTGCTCGGCACGAGGCCTGGGTGGCCTCGGCTGTTGGTGACTTCGGCTTCCCACCATCCATCGTCTTGGAGGCGGATGACAGCCAGAACATCACCCTTAGTGAATCCGAGCTCTTCAGTGATGGCAGCAGTGTAACTGTACATAGCGCGAGCTGTGTAGGTGAACAGTGGTTAGAAAGGAAATATACCAGGGGAAGACGGGGAACAATGCTTACCGAAATGCAGGATGGGACGTCCATCACGACTGAATTTTCTTCCTGGCTCAGCCACAGCAAGAGTACGGCTTCGAGAGCGGCCCACTGGAGGAGGAGTGTTGACATTGTCACCATACTGGGACATAGGTCGGCCATCACCACGGCGAGAGCCATAACCTTCACGGGCGCCCCCACCGTACATGTCAGGGTGGCCATTGGAAAGCTGAAGTTCCATGCCACCAGCGCTGGAAGGACGGACCTGCTGTCTGAACTGGGGCTGAGGAGAGACCGCACGAGTCGATGCAGCTGGGGAGGCCCGTCGCGCATAATCGTTGGGCGAGTATGGAGGGTCCTGTGCGCGATGCGGCGTGGGAGATTGGCTGTAACGGCTGCGTACACTGCTCGACTGGTATGCCGCTGGACTCTGGGGGGCGGGACTTGCAGATCCACTGTATTGACCACCCATGCGAGTATCAACCCGAGGAGAAGAGACTAGAGGGCTTGCACTGCGACGAGGGTCGGGAGAGCGGGCGCGAGGGACCTCGTTTCTGACAGCAGGGGCGGCCACGCTCGGAGTTCTGGCAGCGGGCGCCATGCTCGGGCTGTTGGCTCCATTGCGCAGCATGCTTTGGGTCTGTCCAGTGTATCGCTGGGTGGTCTTTTGCATCTGCTTGGATGTAAAAGCGGGCTCTGGAGCGTCCAGTCGCTTGACAGACGGGTCGTTGTACGCAGGAGGAGCACCGGAGGAGCTACCGCCATAGGCAGACGAAGGAGCCGATGGGTTAGGTGTTTGGATACCATGATATCTGTCCGCCGAGACACGTAGGGTGGACTGCTTTCCACCACCGGTCTTCAAGTCCGCCAGAGCACGGGCAATAGGGTCCGTGTCGTCTTCCCCTGCCTTGGCCTGTTGCCCAGCCTTGGCATTTTTGTCAGGCGAAGCAACGTCAAAGACGTTGTTGCCGACGTTGAGCTGGAAGTTGGCCCGAGGATCAACAGGCTCGGGACTATGGCGTTCAGGCTGAGCTTGCGGAGCAGGCTTGGTAGGGCTGGCCGACTTAGTGGGAGAGCTCCAAGGGCTGCGAGACGAAGATTGACCTCCAATGGCTGGTCGCTCCTTATCATGGCGGCTCTTGCGACGGAAAGGACTGTTACTGAAGAAGGCACTCTTCTTCTTTTGGACAGACTTGTCGTCGTTTTGACTTGGGAGCGGCGCACTGTTGGTTGCCTTTGGTGGGGACTTGTGGACGGTGATAGGAGCCTCTACGCTTGACATGGAGGTAGGGTTTGACAGGTTTGACACTTCGCTTTGAGAATCCCGACTTGATGGCCTGTACGCGCTGGCTGAGCTGCGTTCGGAAGGTGGCCCAGTGCGGCAGAACATGGTCATGCCATCGGTCGGGTAAGCATTGTGAGGCACCCTGTTGATCTCGCCATGCTGCTCAGGGTCGTAGTTGGGAGGCAACTGGCCGCCCCGGCGAAGGTCCAATGGAGCTGGCGGCTGGGCAATGGGAACTGGCGCTGGCGCTGGTGCCGGTGCTGGAGCTTGGATCGGCTGGCTCATTTGCACTGGTTGTCCCATTTGCGTCGGATGGCCCATTTGCGCAGCAAGTTCAGAATCTGGGTCATGATGGGACTCGAAAGTAGATGGCTGAGGGGATGACGTCCGGAACGCTGGGTTCATAGCTCGCTGGAATTGGGCGACTGAATAGCCTTCCCCGTCCTCGATATCAGACACATCCTCGTCTTCCTTGCAGAAGTTAATGAACCGAGGGGCATCCGGGATCTCTTGGCCAGTTCCTCGTTCTTTGATGAAGAAGACGATATCCTTCTCCACTTCGCAGTTCTCAAGCGAGAGACGAATTTTTTCGCAGGACTAAGAAGGCATCAGTATGGGAGTCCAAATGAAGGAAGGATTTGACATACGGCATCGTCGCTCACGCAGACGGTGGAGGCAATATTCGCGTAAGTCCAAAGGCTGCTCTTTGTGAAATCCAGGCGCTCCTCTTCCAAGTCTTGGAATTTCTGCGATGGGGCGTTAGCCTTAGTATCGAACATTTTCTCTTCGGAGTAGCATGACATACATCGCAAGCAGCCTTCCACTCTTTGTTCCAGCGCCCAGTGGTCTCCTCAAGTGACTTGACGGCAGCTTCATATTCATTGCTGTTTGAGGCCAGTTGGATCTGTGTCTTCTCAAGCTTCGCCTTGTTCTTGCGCTCTTCCTGACCCATCACCATATGTCCTTGCGCGAGGTAACCCTTTATCCGGAGGCAGTCTTGTTCGAAGCGATCGCGGGTCTTGAGAAAAAAGGTTAGCACATGATCCCTATTAGTTCACCAACGAGCAACCCACCTTATTAACCAGTTGCGTTTGTTGCATCTTATTCTTATGAAGACGCTCAATGCCATCCTGGATAATCTTCCGCCTCTCCTTGATACCCTTAGAGAATGCGGTTAGTGGCTCTTCGAGCTCTGTTTTCATCTGACTCGCGATTGCTGCGTGCGCCTTCGCAATGGATTCGGTTTCCCCGCGGACCACGTCCAGCGAAGAGCGAAGGGATCCTGATTCGGCTGATCCGAGGGACTTCCGGCAAAGTGCCTGTAGCTTTCGGGCATATTCATCTTCGATCGCAGCGCGTACTTTTCACCTGTTAGTATGGAAATGAAGATATTCCTTTCCGGTCGGAATTGGCGTACCGCTGTAGAAAGCCTTCAATTCATCACTTGTAACCTTCGATGCGTGCATGCGGTCAAGCATAGGTTGGAGGCCAGCATCATCTTTGCCCCAGAAGTTATTCGCGACTAATAAAAAGTTAAATCGGATCGTTTTCGCGTATAAACAAGCATGCTTCTCTTACAGGACATCGAGACAGACGGTCCCTCAGCCACGGTCCCAGGCATTGTTGTTGATGTCGAGCCTCGGCCAGCCTTTGCTCAGTAATGATAAAGAACAGGTACAATGAATGAAGGAAAAAAGAACAAAACCTAACGGTGGGGTATGATAAAAGGGAAACGCAAAAAAGACCCTGCGGTCGCTGAATGTCCAGGTGGTTGATCAGAGGGATGAGCCTTAGATGTTTACAGCGCGTCACTCGGGGCAACGGTGCTCATTTATGGTGGCATCCTTCCAATCCCGCCTAACGCCGCTTACCTAAGGTGACATCGAGCTCTGCCCAACCAAGCCAACTAAAATGTGACGCGTCACTCTTGGAAGACCAAGCACAACACCTTAGGAGGGTGATAATTTTCAAAGGATGATTTTATTCATCTATGCTCTATGAAGCTATACCGGGGCAGTCAGTATGTTCAAGTCCATTCTATGTAAGCCGGCCCCAAATCAACAACGCGAAAACAATCCCATAGTCCATGAAAATAGAAAAAAGAATACATGGTTTGAAGAAACAATCCCATAAAAACAAGAATAACGCCGCAAATGTGTTCCTATTACGAGATGCAACAAGAATAGGAACGATGATAAGAAAGATCAAACTGCAAATGGCAGCAAATGTCATCTTCATATGTCGTATGTCATCTCCGTGTCATCTTCATCGCGATTCATTCGACCAAGATCTCATCGATTCATGCAAAGTCGTACTGTTCATATTGCTTCTCTTTTTTGAAGCACATCTGTCGTAAAATTAAAACAGCCATCTACTTAGTAAAGCAGAGCATTGGCAGAAGGAGAAAGCGTGAAGCTGGAGCTGGGCGTGGCCGAGCTAGACGCGCTGGGGTAGTATTCGTTGTGGAAGTCCCGAGCAGCGAGGGGAGTGTACGAAGCAGGAATGCTCCAGCTGGAAGAGGGAGTGCTGGAAGAAGCACGGAACTCTTGAGCGACAAGAGGAGTAGCAGAGACAAGCGCAGTCGAGCTGGGGGTGGCTGACGGCGAAACGCTAGAGCACTCAACATCGAACTGACGAGCAGCCAGGGAAGGGCTCACGCTCGAGGAAGGAGTTGCAACAGAGAAAGACGCCCAGCTACCGAACTGACGGGCAACCAAAGAAGGCGTGTTGATGGCGCTGGAAGTGGGAGTCACAACGGAAGAAGAGTACCATCCGCGGGCAACCAGAGGAGTCGCGGTGACACTGGCCACAGAAGAGTCATAGCCACGAGCGAACTTCAGAGGATCACCAGCAGCCATCAGGCCACGGCGGAAGAAGCCTGAGCCAGAATTGGGAGGAGGGAAGAATGAAGCCCCAGGGGGAGGTGCCGCATGAGAGAGGGGAGTTGAGCTCGGGGTGGGCGTAGTTGATGGAGTAGCAGTGGTAGTGATGGTAACGGTCACAGGTTGAGGAGCAGCCCCAGGAGCAGTGGTCACAGACTTGATGGTCTCAGTGACAGTCTCGATTTCTGGAGCAGAAGAACTGGTGGACTCTCCGTCAACATTGACCACTTGGTAGCTGACTTTGCGGCGAATGATCCCTTCTTGAGGATTGGCGAAGGGTGCAGCGTATGTCACGCCGAGGGAGGAGAGAGCGACAAGAACTGCGGCGGTGGAGAAATGCATGATGGCGAGAAGTTGAGAGTTGAGCTTTTTGGTGCAGGTGTATGTGAAGGCGTCTGGCAACGGTGGAATTGAAAATGAGCAAGGTCGCTGGAATTGCGAGAACGGTCAGGAATGGAAGTTGGTACAGTAGCGGTTCGGGTTGAAGTGAGTTGGAAGATGCAGACGATGAGGATGAAAGAGGTCGGATTTAAAAGGGAATCACTGCAATCGCGATCGCAGTGTTGGACAGCATGAAGTATATGCGATCCACACGGCTACCTCGCGATTGGCTCCAGAAAAATCGGCAGGCTGGGATCGGCGTGGCTGGGGATATGAAGCAACTCCGCAATCAAAACCAGCCACCTTCTTGCCTCGATTAGCTCCATCACGGCTCCACATGGAAACGCCACCTGCACGTTGCAAAAACGTGCCTGCAGCCTGGCGCCTGTTGGAAACCCGTTCAACACCAATCACAATAGCCGTTGCCGGGGAGATCGCAGGTTTATATAAGCAATAGGCGTGGCTGGGGGATCCACACTGACAGCTTGATGGAGCATTCACTCTTATTCACTACTATTCAGACTCCATCATGTCGCTGCACAAACCAGCACAATACGCAGCACAAAACCAAGGTGCCTAATTACTTTTCTTGGCGCAGGAGGCAAAAAAACCGGTTTCATTGACCTCATTGGATTATTTCACCTGTGATCGCCCGGTTACTCGGATCTCACCGACTGTATTGATCCTGGATCGACATGTGCTGAGACAAGTCTCGGCCGGTGGTAGGGTAAACTAGATAGCAAGATCTTCTACACGCAACAGGCCACAGCCTGTTCCAGCACAAGCCCAGCCCGCAGATGCGCGGTTTGGGTTCCACCCCAGCGCGGTGACGTGGGCTCTTTCATCATGGACGGTGGTGAGAGAGGAGCCGAGTTGAGGACGCTTGTCGCCCGACAGATTGCGGGCCAGACTCTGGGTCTCCGCCCGATATCCCTCATAGAAACGGCTAGCACCTGAGCTGTCTTTGATGAGGCCCGGAGCCCAGTCGTGGGAGAACCAAGTCTGTTGCCAATGTTGTTCCTTGCTGTAGAGAAGCCGGCGGAATGGATTGGTTGCCACCACTTCGCCGGCCGCTGTGCCGAATAAGAGAGATGGGTGGAAGAAGCTACACGGCGCCAGGCACATCACTGAGCTAGGCATCCTGCCGGCCGATTGGGTCGCAAAGAATTTGTGGATTGGCATCAATCGACCAAACTCATTCTCATCGTAGGAGCACACCGACTGGAGGATGGGAGAGTAACTGAGATGGCCAGGGGCCTGGCGCTGGCGCACAGGGGTCGTATTCTCGCTTTCAGGGTCAATCATGGACCAGAGCCTAGTTTCACCATCAATGGATGTGGTGGCAATGAGGTGTGGGTTGGTCGGATATGCTGATGTGATGCTGAGCACATAGGACGCATGGATGGATTTGTAGAAGTAGGGGATAGGCTCGGGATCAGATGTAGGTAAAATACTCCAAATTGCCACGAACCCGTCCGAACATCCCACGGCAATATCGGTGGGAGAGAGCCATGTTAGACATGAACAGACATTGGAGGGCGATTTGGCCTCGAAGATGGGAGACTGGATGGTGACTAGATGTCGATCCCGTTAGATATGCATTTTTTTAGAATGGAATAGAACCACCATCTGCACTTACCAAATTCTGTCTTCTTGTCGGGACCCAACTTGACGTCCAAGACCTTCATCTTTCCGTCTCCCCAGATTCCAGCCAGCAGACCAATGCTCTTCATACCATTCTGATCGTCCTCTGCTCGTTTTTCACGGGCCATGGGACACCAGGCTATGCGGCGTAGATCTCCCCAATCAGTGCACAGAACCAACCGAAGTAGTGGCTTAGTCTCCATGTCGAGCGTGCGCGTAACAGGACCCGCCTGTTTCCCCGTAAATTGCCATAGCTGTATAGCACAAGGGTAAGAAGGTGCTGTTCGGAACGGCGAGGGGGGCTCAATCCCATGAGAAGGGTGTTTCTCCTTCTGTTCCGGCGTGACTAGAGTAACCACGGCTAGGTACTGATCAAAGCCATCTTGGTTTGGAGCCCATGCCAAGCATTGAATCTTCTGCTCGAAGCTGATAATCCAGCCTTCGCGAACAATTGCACTGGCTTGGTCGCTCTTCTGGGCTTTTGTCTCTCCCCAGGCATGTGCCAAGTTCATGGACTCGTGATGGCCCAAGTGAAAGGTTTTTTGATCGTTGGCAGCACCTATTAGAATGGTGTGCTTTCCCTTCTTCGGCTTTGGTAGATATTTCCGACGCGCATCTGCTTCCTTTAGCTTGGGCCCAATCTTCTGGGGCTTCCGAAATTCTTTCCCAATGACTTTGTCGTAGTACCAGTCCCAGCCGGATGTTCGCTCTTTCACCATATCATCTGGAGCGACGCCACATGTTGGGCCGTACTCATAATCATTGGCTGTTGATTGGATGTCGAGAGTATGGCGAGTGGGAAGACAGGTATCCACGCCTCGACCCCATCGATCACGCGTGTAAACAACAGCAAGCAAGTCTCTTTCATCGTCACCAAAAGTCGACATGTAATACATAGGCTTCGACACGTTCTCTCTGGGATCGATACACCCACGGGTACGTGTCTCAGTCGTAGAAGCCTTGGTGCTTCGATTGGCAGCTCCACTACTCTCCAGGAGTTTCTGCTGGCTTTGCACTGTCTTCGGTCGAGATCTCCCACCCGGAGTTCTTGGGGTCCTGGGAGTGGCTGCAGGCTCATTATCATCCATTACATCGACATATCTCTCTTCTCCTGCATCCTCGTCTTCCTCTTCCTCTTCTTCCTCATCGTTCACTTCACCGGCGACAAATTCGTCATCCGAGGCAGAATCCTCGTCGCGCCGCCGCCTCCTCTTTTCAGTCCCAGATGGTTGCCGCTCTTCAGAGTCAGACTCATCAGCGATGCCCGCGGACTCAAACAGGTCATCCGTATAGACCGCCCTTGGGCCCTTGAGACGGCCGGATCTGCGAGCAGAAGCCATTTCAGTGAGGTGAGAGTGGGGTACCGCGGATGTTAGAAACCACGATCCAGGCCCCTGGAGAGCCACAGTAGTATTCCTATCGAGCAAATGAAAATTAAAGAACAACAGCGAGCTGTAAGTGGCGAAGGATGGAAAGCATGGGCACTGGAATGTTGAAGCTTCTTACAGGATGGTACCTAGAGAAGCTCGGAAGGGCGCTATACCTGATTGGGACGAGTCCATCCACAGCACCAAGTAGACACGGATTTCACCTTTTCGTTTACCAAATCAAGTGTAAACTTAAGGATCTTAAAGTGTCAAGTGTCTGAAGATCAGTTATTTTATTGTAACATACATTGGGCAAGTTCCTTTTGGGATATGTAGTGTAATACCTCTGTATTTATCCTTCAAGGTACACTGTGATGTAATGATGTTTTGAAGAGGCTTGACTGTGTTCTACAAGGGAGTGAATGTTTAGTAACATCCGGTCCTATGTACTATTCTTCGTATATTCAGAGTGATGAGTTGAGTGATTATGATTGATCTAGTGAGCGGAGATCTTTGTTTGTGTTATACATAAAGCCTTGATACCCCAAATAATGTAGGGTCCAAACTTCAATAGCTCCCTTTAAAAAACCAATGAACGTCGTCATATTCATGCACCTTCAGTTTCAGGTTATTTCGGGACCACTTCAGAAAGGATATGGTCAAGAGAGCTGTGTAGTGTAAAATGGGTATTGTCAGAGAACTCTGTTAGTTCGCAATGAGGGAGACGCTTTGCCAGGTACCGCATCATCTCAATCGGTGCATTAGCATCCTTTGTTCCCTGCCAAATCCGTATTTTGTTATACGTCACGTCCTCAAATTTGATTCCCCAGCTGGATGTCAACAGTCGAGCTTCGTACACAGCTGGGCCTGTGCCTTGGCGGAAAGCCTCAAATATCTGGCGAGTCAAGGTTGCCCTCAAATTAGCGGCCGAACTCCCTGATTCCTGAATTCCAAAGTGCTTGACAAGTGCCTTGTCTATTCTCTCAGTTCCAGAAGGTGATGATAAAACCCTTCTGAGCATCCACAGGAATAGACTAAGGACCCCTCCGTAGCCAGAGGGCCAATAGTGTGCCGTGAAAGCGCTGAGTCGGTATGGTAGAGACATATGATGAGCTCCTGCTTCCCATGGACCTGCACCGCCCATAATGCCAACTGCTGAGATCATCTCTGGGGGTAGGTGATATGCACATGCTAGGGCGAATGGACTGCCACCAGAGCCACCGAGAACTGCAAAGCGGGTCAATCCAAGATGCTGGCCAGTCTAGGATCTTGCGCTTTGGGTCAAACGTGCTGAGTCCGAAGCCATTGCGATCAGGTGTGATAATGCGAATATTGTGGCGCAGGGCTACCTCATCGATACCAAGGGTCTCGAGACGTGAGCTGGGATATCCATGCATGAAGAGGAGTGGGTAGTCGCTAGATCGCCCATACTCAGCAAATCCAAGAACACGGCCATCGGGTAGGCGCATTGTCTGACTTTCACGTTCGCTGGCAGCACTAGCATGGCGGATCGTGTTTCGACAAAGCCCGCGAAGCAGGAGTGGGAAGAGTCTGGGGGAGACATTCATGACGAACGCGGCTTTGTTGATTTGAAGTTGTCCGCCTAGGCCGACACAAGGTCTTTAAAACCTCCATCTGGGCAGTCAGCATCCATCCGGACTCGAATAAGCTCCTTGTTTCGGCCAAGCGCACTTGCCTGGCCCCCAAGCTGAAAATGGGAATCTCGCATCGCTGTCTGACATCAGCAGGGGTTTGGAGATCTACTAAAGCTAAGCAGCAGCTAAGGAAAGCCATCAGATATGGGCCTCCTCCTTACCTAGTCCCCGACTTGGCTGAACTCAAGTGGAACAAACACTTGGACTCAAACTATCATGCCGAGTCTCTTCTCAAGGATATTAGATTGGCGTTGAGCCCCGCGGTGGGCCCAGTACGTCAATATCGTCCGTCGCCCCGCTGCCCCTTTATCTTCTCTCTGGTTCAACTCTCACAGTTATTCAAACAATGTCGTCTACCGCCAATCGTGGATTGTCACATCGCGGTGTCCTTCATGAATATGTATGACCCATGCTGCTTCATTCTAGCGAACCAACTGAGCTGACCGCTCCCCCAGGCTCCCAGGCTCGTAGCCTTTGAGTTCACGTCGCCCGCCAAAGCGAGCAGCAAGCCAAATAGCTTGATTTTCGTGGGCGGGCTGACGGATGGATTCTGTACAGTCCCATACGTGTCGAAGCTAGCAGAAGCTCTGGAGGGCACAAATTGGTCACTGTTCTCCATCCTGTTGACTTCTTCGTACAATGGGTTCGGAACCGGCCATCTCGATCGAGATGTCGAGGAACTCGGCATGTGCGTGCAGTTCATTCGAGACCTCAAAGCCGGTCGACTTCCAGGAGCACCCCCGGCGTCTGGGAAAATCGCGATCATGGGTCATTCGACGGGCAGTCAGGATGTCCTGCGTTATCTTCACGCACCCAACCCTCTTCCGCAGACTAATTACGATATCGGACTTCAGTATATTGTCCGCCCTGAGCTAGATGGTGCAATCATGCAAGCGCCAGTGTCCGACCGTGAGGCAATCCTCGCTACTGTGAAGTCTGCTCACGACCAGTCTGAAGCACAACGCGCCTATGACAAGATCGTGGACTCCGCGAAGGCGCAGCCATGGACCGCAGATGGGTCGGATTCCATTCTTTCCATGAATACGCTCGCAAAGGTTGGTCTACCGGGTGATGCGCCGATCACTGCTCGCAGGTTCCTCAGTCTGGCGAGCCCAGACAGCCCAGCAAACCCGTCGGAGGAAGACCTCTTCAGCTCTGATCTCAGTGACAAGCGTCTTGAGGAGACCTTTGGGGCGATTGGGTCTCGCGCTATCTTACAATCCAAGCTGTGTGTGCTTTATTCTGGCAATGATGAATACTGCCCGTCATGGGTGAATAAAGAGGCTTTGATTGGAAGGTGGAAGCAAGCCACCGAGGCTGGAGGTGCTAGATGGGACGCGGAAACCAGCGGCGTCGTTCCTGGCGCCAGTCACAATGTCCAGGACGAAGGCCAGCAAGACCTGATTGACCGCGTCGTCCGCTATTTGAAGAGTCTCTGAAGCGAGTGATAGTATATACAAAGGGTATTGATACTACTAGAATTGTGGAATCTGTCAGGTCATTTTGATGATATTACAACCCACACAAGGGAACAGAAACATTGGATTTTATCAACATAAAGAATTGCGAGACATGCAAACACCACCCAAGAGCCAGAGGAAATTGTAATGAGAGAAGAGGTCAAAATGGGGTATAGAGGGAGGGACTCGGCCGATGTCCATCTGGTGAGCAACGTGACCACCAGATGTAGGCCCGAATGGATGCGCAAGGCTCCTTTCATGCCAATCGGTTCACGCAAAACACAGCAGTGGGAAGCTTTAAACCTTCAGCCACAGGGTCATCACGCCCTTGAGGTATTCGACAATCTCGGATCCGCCGAGCTTGCTCTCGCCATAGAGGCGATCCACAAAGGTAATAGGGCACTCCTGAACCTTGTAGCCCATGGCCTTGGCGCGAACCATCATCTCCATCTGGAAGCTGTAACCCTTGCTCTGAGTGCTGGTAATGACTTTCTCCAACACCTGCTTCTTGTAAAGACGGAAGCTACCCGTCAGATCGCTGACACCGGGCATCAACATGACGTCGGCAATCAGGTTGGCCGTGCGCGAAGTGAACTTGCGGAAGAGATCCCAGCCGTAAACACCACCCTTGATATCTCCACGGTTGGCATACCGCGTGCCGGTGACAATGTCCGCGTCCGACTCCTTCTGGATTCTGATCATCTCGGGGATGAACTTGGGGTGGTGGCTGAAATCGGCGTCCATGATGATAATGAAGTTACCAGTAGCAAACTGCAGGCCGTGAACGTACGCGGTGCCCAGACCGAGCTTACCCTGGCGGGGCTTGAGGACAATGTGTTCGGGGCCATAGAGGCGCTGGAGCTGCTTGCCGATCTCGAGGGTACCGTCAGGGGAGCCATCGTCAACGATAATAACTTCCCAATCGAGGTTGCTATGTTTGAACCAGGGCGTCAGTCTTTTCATATCTTTCCCTCGAGGCAATTGGAGGTTCGCACTTCTCTTTGAAGGTCTTCTGGATCAGCCAGGTGATAATAGGGAGGTTCCGGCGTTCATTATAGGTGGGCAGGATGACCGAATACTTGTTCTTGGTGGCGGCCATTTTTGCGACAGATTTAGGTATTTTGGAGTTCAAGAACTGTCCCCAGGACAAGTGCAATCCAGAAAAAGAGAAAAGAAAAGAGTAGGGAGCGAATGGCTAACAGCTTGTAGCTTCATGGAGGACCCCCAGACGCGCCAACTCGCCAGATCCGGAGTCCACCGCTTTGGGCAGAATCCGATAGCTTATCGCGTCCCACGAGCTTCCCCGACTTCTTATTGAACTGGTTCACCATCTCCATCTCGGTGCTTAGAACTTGATACAAAGATGGCTTCACCGGCATTGCACCAGCGCAATGCATCCAGATGTAAGTCTGCTGTTATTAGTGGTGTTTCTGTTGGTTTCAGGTCACATTGCTAACCATATTAGCTTCGCGGCCCCGCAGCTCAACACGCGGTCCCTTAGATGCACCGGACGAGTGAGCAATCTACCTATATGGTTGAAATCATAACGCCAGTCTAACTTGATGGCAACAGCCCACTCTCGCTTTCCACATTGTCCATCTCGCCCAGTACGGATAAACATGCATTCTCTCAGAACGACGGCTTCTCCGGCTCTTCCTTCTACGAACTCGACCCGCTGGCTCCAGATGATCTGCCAGAAACACTAGGCAAAGATCTCTCCTTCCTCCTGCGCCATAACATCTTCCACCCTCTTTCACATGTCGATATACCCTCGCCGCTGCGCTCTGACTTCATCGTCCTAAACCCTGGCGAACCGCTCTCACCCTCGCTCGGTCTCCTGGAGAAGCTACTCTCCGAAGGTCGCTTTCTAGTTGCCGCACATTTCACCAGCTCTATCTTGACATCATCCTTAATCTCTCCTACGGACACCAGATTGATATTCTCCTTGTTTTACACGCGCCTAGCTTGCCTGGAGTTATCGGGGAACACAGTACTGGCGGCCCAGGAGTCCAAGGCTCTGGAGGATCTTAATTCCACATTTTACTATATCGACCCTACCTTCGACGGCGCTGAGACTGATAAACAGCATGAGAAACCTCTTGCGCACTTTCCTCGCCACATTGTGCCATGGCCACTTCGGGTATTGGCGGTGCGCCTTCAAAGCATTGGGTTCGGGGACTCCCGTAGGAGTATCGGCGGCTTGTATGAAATTGGCCTGGAAGCACGAAGGGAGATTATGAAGAAGGGGAGCAGTGAAAATGAGCGAAAGATCTGGAGAGAGAGATTAGCAGATCTTGGGATCCGAAGCGTCAATGCGCTGGTGGAAATGGGCGACCTGGATGCAGCTAAACGATCACTGGAGGCTCTCCAGGCCGCTGATGAGGATACGGAGGCTATGAAGCTAAGAAAAGCGCTTCTCTTCCTGCGAATAGGCGATCTCGATGCCGCGGAGCGGGTTTTCGGTGATTCTCGAGAGTCAAAAGAGGCTGCTCTTCTGCAGCCACTCTTGAGCATGTCTGAGGGTCGCTATCAAGACGCAGTGACTGAGTGGCGAGCTCTTCACGAAAACACGCAAAGGACAGATGGGGCTCTCGTAGGCCAAAATCTGGCCGTGTGTCTTCTCTACTCTGGGAAAGTGGACGAGGTATGTCAAGCCATCTCTTCACTGCTGTAATCCACTCACTGACAGAATTACTAGGCCCGTCAACTTCTTGAAGCCCAGATCTCCGCCAACCACTCCTTTGGGAGCCTCATTTTCAACCTTTCGACTGTCTATGAGCTCTGTTCTGACAGCGCTGGAAAGCTTAAGGGCCAACTAGCTGCTACTATCGCAGGGCAACCAGTATCTGGCCAGACCAATCTAGACCGGCCCAACACTGACTTTAAGCTCTAACACGACTGAAGAAGCATGACATGACTATTTCAAGTCTCGAATGGATTGAGTCCAATCTCTTGCCTATATCGAGCGCCAATGTGAATAATACCCAACTCCATGATTGAATGCAAAGCCGATAAGAATAAATATAGAAGGCAACCCTTTTCACACCAACACCATGCATCCAAATCCATGCAGAAACAGAAGAAAACGCCCCAAAATGCTTGATACACTTGGTCTCAAGAACCCACTGTAGTTAGCTGCGCCGGCTCCGGTTTCGCAGGGGCACGCGTCTTCGGCCGTCTGATAACAATCTTCTCGCCTTCCTTCTCCCAACCGAGTTTCTCGACTTCAACCAGCTTCTCCCACGTCCAGCTCTCATCGTCGCCCGTGCAACCGCCAACAATCCAGCTCACATGGACGTTGAGATATGAACTACCAACAGCCTTGAGCGCATGTCTCCGAACACGATCCACCGCCCAGTCCATCACTGCCTGCGTATACGAATCCACCGTCTTGCGCACCCGCCAAAATACGACCCAGTTATCATGCATCAATGCGCCGAGAGCCTGGTCGATGGCCTTGTCGCAGAACTCATAGTCCTTGCGCGCGCGAGCGCGCAGCTCAAAGGCTGAAACCATATCGTCTTGTCGACAGGCATAGTCGAGAATCAAGTACGAGACTATCTCTTTGACCTCGGAGTCTGGAAGCGGGTGTGATCGCGAGTGTAGTTTGTCGAGGCTGTAGCGCAGGGACGGGAAGTATGATGGAGGGTGCTGGGCGCGAATGGACAAGCGGATGGAAAATACATGGACGCGCTGAGTGAAATCTATCGGCGTCTCTGAAGCCGTGGCCAAAGTGGCTTCGCGGAGCTTGCGCAGAGACAGGAGGAGGGTGGATAGTTCTGATGACGGTGGGGGGATGGTTTTGTCTGCGGGGCTTCGCTTGGAGGAAGGCAGGGCGGCTGGAGGATTCGAAGTCGCATCATTTGAGGCACTGGTAGGAAGGGATGCAAATGCAGCGTCGATGTCTTTGGAGTGATCGGCACAGAATTTCATATATCGCGCAACAATCTTGTCATAGTACTCGTGTTGAGCTTGGTAGGTGAGAAGCCTGTCATGTTCCCTGTTAGTGCTTTTGCCAATCCAGCCTTTGTCTGGCGATCATATACTTCTTATCTCCCTTAGACACGAATCCGACATGTTCTAGCGAGTCAGCTACCGGCTTCAACCGGCTTCCCTGTGCCCTGGACTGCATTGCGCGCATGTGGGCAGGGACAGTTGCGCGGGGATGAAGCGGGCCGCTGCTGCCACTAACTAAACAATCGAGGACATAGCGGCCAATCCACAGTTATGTCATGTGAAGATAGAGATTAGGTTGACCGCCTTTGAAATGGGTCTCTTGTATCGCACCAAGAACTATGTGACTACGCAAACATGAACACAAAGGTCGCTCAGTCGAGCATTGTTTCTTTGCAAGTTATTCCAATTATCTTCCGCCATAGATTCTGCAGATGTTATTTCAATGGGCTATATATTCAGCTAATTATTTATCTGATTTCTCAGTACTGTAGTACATGCATATGCCATATGCCGATCCACGTTTGCCTCGTTTGCACCGAGGTTCCCAACGAGGCAAATCTTATGTTGTCCCCAACTATTCAACACTCCTTTTTGTATATAGATTCCCACTTTTTCTCTTGTTCTTTTTACTCCTTATTCAATTTTAGTAAATCACAGATCCACATTGAACCGTTGATCTGCTTACCTGCCTTGCATATTTTGTGGCTGACCCGCCGACTTCAAAAGAGCACAGCTTCCCGCCCTGCATCTGACTTGCATGTGAAGTGACAAGATGCCTCGCCAACGCCGTCCCGTTCAGGAGACAGAGCCAGAATTGGAAATCAAGGTATCCGAGGTGGCCAATTCGGCCCTGGAGGTACCGCCCAAGATCATGAAGAAGTTGCTGCATTGGGATGATCTACCTCCTTGGCAACGCGATAACCATCATATCCACACGGGATATCGCCCCGCGTCATCTTCATTCCTGGCCTCGTTCCAGTCTCTGAGTTACCTGCACAATGAGTCTGTGAACATCTATACACATCTACTACCGGGCTTAGCGGCCATTCCGGCCGGATATCAGCTTCATCGTGTTCTTGCGCCTCGTTATCAAACTGCAGATGATTCGGATATCGCGGCTTTTGCCTGTTTCTTTGCTGGTGCTGCTTTCTGCCTTGGAATGTCCGCTACCTACCACACAATCTCAAATCATTCTCCCCGTGTGGCACGTATCGGCAATGCCCTCGACTATATCGGTATCGTCGGTCTGATCGTGGGCAGCTTCGTACCCAGTGTCTTCTACGGATTCTACTGTGTCCCCGCGCTCCAACACCGATACTGGACCATGATTTGCACTATCGGGTTAGGCTGCGTGTGTGTCTCTGTTGTCCCCCAGTTCCGAACCCCCCGCTGGCGACCCTTCCGTGCATCCATGTTTGTCGGGATGGGCCTGTCGGCCGTCTTCCCCGTGCTCCACGGGGTGGCTCTTTCGGGGTGGAGCGTATGCGCCAGCAGATCGGTCTAGGCTGGCTACTGCTTCAAGGCTTTTTGTATATTCTCGGTGCGAGCATCTACGCGGCACGAGTGCCGGAACGGCTGCGACCGGGCCAGTTTGATCTGTTTGGCCACTCGCATCAGATCTTCCATGTGCTGGTGGTATGTGCTGCGGTGACCCATCTCACGGGCTTGCTGAAGGCATTTGATTATCGGCACAGCGGCAGTGCCGAGGTGTGTCAGATTCCGCGCGGATAAGTAGTCACAAAGGGACAGGGAGGTGAGAAGGGACGGTGACGAGGCTTGGAGCTTGGGGGGAGAGTTGGACAACAGGCTCATGGCAATTTGGTAACATGGGATGACGCAGTACACCTGTGCTGCTTACAAGAGATGGAAGTTCTCAAGTCCTGCCCCGGGTTGAGCCAGGTCTGGAAAGGTCTTTTTTGGTTCCCAGCTGACGAGCACCCGGTTCGTGATGTGCAACAATGACCACGATCAAAATGAGCAGTGGACAGCCTCTGACTTTGTGCGTCCGGTCAGCCGAGTCGAGACGGATCCGAGGGTTCTGTGCCATTCACATGGGGCTCTTGCTGTTTTTCTGGGGTTCGTCGATGGTCATTGGAGGGAAATACTGAGGTGAAATGTCAGGTCTTACTAGTGACAAATCGGCTGCAGCCCATGACAGCCCTAGCGGCCCTGCCCGTCGGGCTCTCCGCGATGAGAAATAAAGGGGACATACAGAAGCCAAAGTGACTGGATGCCATTGACAATGTTGCATCAGTGTACGACGTAGAGGGCTCTTGGTTGTTTCCAAAGAAATCAAAGAGACCCAACAACCGATGAGAGAGAACATAGCCGCAGCCCAATCCAAAAAGTTGCCTGTCACTGTCAATCGCATTCTCTAAAAAGGAATCGAGCTGTGTTCCAGAAGAGCAATAGGAGCCTCCACTCGAGTCGCCCTCGTTACCCTCTATCCTCGTCCCAAGTCAGACCCTAGATCCCGCGTGTTCCCGGGCGGTCCAAGTCAGTGCAACGGCCGGGTGATGTTGACAGGACCCTTTTTGTCGTGCCAGTTGGCACTCGCATGCGAGGTTGATCAGATGGGAACGTCTGGGGTTTCACAGCGGCTGACGCTTCCATTGCGGCTGGCGTCGGGCCAGGACTCCAAAATGCGAGTGTGACATCTTGGAGGGTTGGATCTTTCAGCCATGGAGCTTGAGCTTATTCGAGCTTGATGGGTTTATATAGGCGAGGTCTTGCCCGGCCGCGGGTAGGAAGGAGGAAGAAGATGGAGAGATTTTATACGTGTTGATTTATACAGGTTGATGGGTATCTTTGTATATTTGCTACGTGGAGGTATACCTTAGATTTCCAACTTGATATCCTTCACGCATTTTATTTTCTCCATTTCTTTCTTCCATTAAGCTGTTCACGTTGATTCAACTTGCTCTCGTCCGATATCATCCATACTCTGACATCCGGCGACCCCCATGTTGGCAGGAAAAGACGAACTTCTCACCTCAACCACCATCACTACAACTCCCCCTCGGACTTTTCTCTGTCACAGATGCTTGCCGACTCCATTGGATCCCAACTTGTGGGAGGCGACGCACCGAAACTTCGAACCGCGTGCGAGAATTGCAGACAATCCAAAGTCAAGTGCAATCTATCCGGCAAGAACGTGTGCACTCGCTGCCTCCGAAACGGGCTGCAGTGTCAATACGGATTCGCCAATCGCTCTGGTAAACCAAAAGGCAGCAAAAACCGAGCAACGCTGAGAAAACTGGGCCAGTTGCCGGAGGACAAGCCCGCTGTTCGGAGCTATCGTGGTAGCCGGATGGGATCTGCTGCTGTAGATCGCGAGCCGCTTGTCACGGCAGGCTATGCAGGACATATGACTGGATCAATTCTCGATGATGATGTAGGTGATTTGCTTTTCATTCCCATCTGATGTATCTAGACTTACTTACCCCTCTTTTCCGTTGGGTCATATAGGTATGCTTGATTCCAGGCCCACCGAGTCTTTGGGATAGCCCACGAGGCCTTGGCAGTGTAGCCCTAGATACACCCATATTTCCGTCGCAAACGACAGCGGTGGGCGGTTCACCCTTCGGCGGTTTTGTGAATGCTTGCCCTGCTCTCTCACTCGGCTTGGGGTATCCGCAAACTCCAGTGACCCCCACGTTTCTCTCATCGGATCCACTGGTAGATGGTATGACAAGTCCACCACTGAGTGGCTCCGTATCCTCGCCTTACACAGGCCTAGCATCGTGTGAGTGCGTGGATATGCAGTTGTTTCATATGAACCGACTCAATCAACTACTCGCCGAGTCCCAGCCACTTCGCTTCGATCACAGCTTGCAGACGATCAAAGCGACATTTTGTGCCGGGCAGATCTTCCTACAGTGCAGGACATGCGCCAAGGATAGTTCCAATCTGCTGCTTCTCATCTCTGTTCTCAATTCAACCCTCCAACTATTCGAATACTGGATATCGCGGGAGACCTCTCGAGCGCCACAGGCGGATCACGGAGTCGATATCAGATACGGATACTACGAGGTCTGCCACGAAGAAAACCTGCAGATACGCACATTTCTACTTCGGGGTCTACTCCTGCAGTGTAGAGAGTTGCTCTCCCTGTTAACGACGTCTGTTAATACGTCCTATCTAGACGGCGAGAGCTCGGTCATGGCAAAGACGACGACTGGGGAGATAGATCATCATCCCTGGTCCTCACCAGGCAGTCTCTGTACCCCCCTGCCGGACCTTGATCCCGAGTTATTGCGTGACAGTGGTTCCGAGAGCAAGTGTCTGCTACCCATCATCGTGGGCTACGAAGCAACTGTGGACGCATTTCTCCAATCGGTGTCGACGAATGAATGTATCTGCGGGTCTAAATGCGTGGAGGAGCCACTTTGAATATGTTTCACTGAGTATATCAGTAGCAGCTAGGAGGATCAGGATTATAGGAAGGATTTATGTTTGCGATTTGTATTCTATCGGGTAGGGCCCGTTGCGGACAGAAAGTCAATTGAACCTTTGATTCCCACAAGATCGACAAGTACACGGAGGTCGGCTAAGCACGAGAATTGAGAATCAACATGCCCAAATAGCCTATATGATTTTTGACGTAGGCATTAAGAGAATAAAATTTGCACTGCACACTATGTGCAGTGTTATCCCCTGGGTCCATATTAACTCCGGCGTTAACCCCACACTTTCTTCGGTCCGCGGCGAGCCTCGGCACTTTTAGCCAGGACCGAGTTTAGCCCTGCGACCTGCACTGACTAAACTGTATAAGACCCCAACCTTCCTGTTTCCCCTCACGCCTGACAAAACACCATCTAGCATACAAGAAGGAAGTGCCAAAAAGAGGAAACCATATCAGAACAAAGTACTATACAACCATGGCTCCCTCCGACCGTCTCAACCAGGTCAACAAGCACCTCAACTATCCGGCCGGCATGCTGGCCGGCCAAGTAGCCATCATCACCGGCGCAGGACAAGGCATCGGCGCCGAAGCAGCCCGACTCTTCGCCAACGAGGGTGCCAAGGTGGTCGTTGCTGATATCGACAGCAGTACGTGTGACCCTGACTACTGTACCCCCGACAAGCCGTTGATGACTCCTCCCCGCACATGGCATGACAAGCATCTGCTTCGGCTAGGTAGCTAGATGCTAGTGTACCCACCCTGGCGGCCTTGCATTGAAGGATGAGGGCATTTGCGAGCTTTCAGATCTTGTGATCGATTCAGAGCTAATATATGCCATAGAGAAGGCGAATGCCGTCGCTGATGCTATCAATGCTGTCGAGCCTGGTCGCGCGCTGGCTGTCGTGGGAGATATCCTGGACGCTAGTTATGTCGAGACACTGGTGAAGCGGACAGCTGAGTTTGGTGGTGGCAAGATTCATATTATCGTTAACAATGCTGGGTTTACCTGGGATGGAGTTATTCACAAGGTGAGTTTTTGGGAAAATATTGTTCATACTATACACCCCTGTGTTGTACCAAGGGATCTCGGTACACCTAGTACAATAATTGGGGGTATACTCTAGTACTATACATGATTCGATATGCTGACCATTTCATCAAATAGATGACCGATAAGCAATGGGACACCATGCTCGCCGTCCACAACACAGCTCCATTCCGCCTCGTTCGCGCCGCAGCACCCTACTTCCGTGTCAAGGACAAGGAGCCCCGAGTCATCATCAACATCAGCAGCACGAGCGGTATCCACGGCAATGCGTACGTCCTCAACCTACCTCCCCTTCTAACCCTCCATCCAATTCCATACTAACACCTCCTCTCCCCCATACAGCGGCCAAGCCAACTACGCCGTCGCCAAAGCCGGCGTCGTCGGCCTCACCCGCACAATCGCCAAAGAATGGGGTCCAGCCTTCGGCGTGCGCTCCAACACCATCGCCTTCGGCTTCGTGACTACCCGTCTGACTGCTGCAAAGGAATCAGGAGCGTTTATCACCACTCCCGACGGGACAAAGGTTGCTCTTGGAATTCCGGGGAAGCAGTTGGACGGCAAGAAGGGTGCTGAGGAGGCTTCTTATCCGGATATTCCGCTGCGTAGGCCGGCGAGTCCGGAGGAGGCGGCTAGGGCGGTGTTGGGTGTTGCCAGTCCGTATTTCTCGTATGTTAATGGGGAGACTATTCGTGTTACTGGGGGGAGGAATATGTAAAATTGGGTGGGATGAGGTGGATGGGAGTGGAATCAGTTCTGGATGTACCGAACCTAAGAGGGTGATGCATTATCTTATTGGTGGGTTCATGTTAATACCATGCCATGTTCAAATCTTCGGAGAAGGGGTAGAGGGTTTCATGTCCATCTTAATCAGGTAATCAGGAGTATACCTCAATAGAGTAGTTTGACCAGCAGAACGTGGATTTCCTACCTCGGTCAACCAGTCAAACCTCCTGGAGCTATCAAGCAATTCAATTCATCTGTGTACCCTCACCTCTGTTTCAACACTAGCTCGAATCACCTATCTAGTTTCACGCCACTAAACTTACCATACTCATGCCACGCCTAACACACATCCAACATAGCACCGACCTCCCTAGCTAGTGTTCGCAGCACAATGTATCCCAGACCACAACAACAACTAATAAGGGCAACAGCAATTATCTTACAGTGACACAAGCGCCACGTAGAAGCTTGTCTTCATTCGAAGAGAGTAGAGACACAGTCGTGCCGTATAGCCGGGGCGGTGATGCTTATCGGGTTCGCCCGTTCTTGCCCGGGTGTGGCATTCAGGGATCTTGAAGGACTGTAAGACAGGCGTAACGTTGTACGAGGGTGAGGGAGGTGAGACTTAGAAATTGGAATAGACATCAACACGACAGGAGAGAATAGGTGAGGTGAGGTGAGAGTAAGAGGGTAAGCATAGGGATACATCAGAGGGGGTGACTATTCAGTTATAGGGAAGGAATGTGGAGTTCGTAAAGATTGAAAGCAGAGAGAGTTAAGATGATAATCTAGAATAAACGATGTTATGGTAGATGAAATTCAATAGTCTGATCAATTCGCTCCGCAGAGTCTTTAAGGTATCATATCATAAATAATAAACAAAATCCCAATCCCAATAGATCCCAGAAATGATATCCAAATCCAAATCCAGATCCAGATCCGAATCCAAACCAGCCATGCCGCGAAAAACACACAATGGTCTATGCAAATGCCAAAATTTCCATCCAGACACACAAAAAAGCCGAGAAGATCATATCTGATCACCACCCATAAGATCGTAGAAAGAAAAACATGTGAAGAATTGCCAGCCCATTTCAGACAATATTGAAAAGGAAGCGAGATAAACCAACGCCCGAACGACCGGGTAAAATTCCCAACGAAATTGATGATGACAGGTGCCCGAACCGGGATGATTCGACTGTCTTCTTCACGTGAGCCTCCCAATATATTATGCCAATATGTGTCAAGAAAAGAAAAAAAAAAGAAAAGACAATCAAAACAACCATCCGTCCAGTATGTGGGCAAAATATTAAAACAGGAGAAAGGAAATAGCAGAAAACAAAATCCATCCTATCCTGTCCCGCGGGGACAAGACAAGATAAACAGGCCCAACGGTGTTGGATTCAGAAGTCGCACGGCTGGGCCATCAGTGTTTGGGTATAATCCAGGAAAGTTTTGAAAAGACGGGAAATATGTCCGGGTAATTAAAAGGGTCACAGGGAATAGAAAAGCTGGTGGCCGAGGTAGTCCAAATGGGCTGGCTGGGTGCGGGATTGATCAATCCTCGGCAAGCACACTTTTTTTTGGTTGCGCGGCAGCTTTTGAAGATGGGAATAATCCAGGGTAGAGCGAAGCAACCGAAATGCTGAATCGAAAGGAGAACTCCAGGCGCAGGTAAAGCAAAAATCCAATGGGGGTAATGGTGGGAGGTTGAGGGGGCGTGAGATCGTGATGCTGCGTTAAAGGGGAGAGTGGTGGGAGGGTAGTCCAAGTCCAAGAAGGGAGATCGTAAAGTAGTGATATAAAGTGGCCTCGGGGCGTTCAGCAAACCTGAATCGGGGCGCCAGCAGCGAAACAATCCACGGGGATGGGTTGCTCCACACAGATCGAATGAGGGAAGACGACCTTGCAGTCCGGTACTTGCACCTGCACCGAGATAACTGGCGACATACAGTTGTAGTCAGAGTAATCGGAGTAGTCCTCGGTGAGAGCGGACGCTTCGGAGATAGCAGACTCGGAGAAATCCGAGTAGTGCGAGGAATCCGAGGACGAAACGGAAGGCTGGGCATGCATATGCAACTGCTGGTGATCCACGGGCATGTTGAAGACCTGAGAAGGCGGGATAAGGTTCTGAAGACGGTCCCAGGCAGTGGGGACTTGAACGGGGACCTGGGGCTGGAGGACTTGTACTGGGGATTGAACCGGGGTAGAGGCCATGGTCATAACTGATTTGGTGAACCGGGGGCAGTCCACGATCAGCTGGCGCAGTTCCGGGATGGTGATCCTCTTGGCTGGGTCGCGCTCAAAGACACGGCTCAGAATGTAGACCATCTCCGTGGACAGGGGCAAGATGGACTGGAGGAAGTATGGATCCTTGAGATAGGCCCGGAAAGTGGAATCCTCGAGGGAGGCGCGCTTCCAGGGGTTACGACCACAGGTCAGGTTGACCAGCATCACACCGAGACTCCAGACGTCATTGGCGGCTGAGGCGTAGCAGGACATGGGGCGGGGATGGGGTTGTTGACACTCTGTAACGTTTCGGGTATATTAGGAGAGCCGTTTCAGATGAAGAAGTGTGGGTAAATGAGGGGATAGCCAGGATATCAATCCGAGTGGCAAGAAGTAAGACGAAAGGAAATAAAAACAAAGACACTACATCAAGTGTCCAATACACACTTACCAGGCGACATATAGAAAGTAGAACCGCAACCAAAGTCCGAGGTATAGTAATCCTCGGTCGCAAGGCCAAAGTCGGCGAGTTTGACCGTCATGCCCTGGTCCGTCACCAGAACGTTCTCCGGCTTCAGATCCCGGTGGTAAATCCCGACGGAATGGCAGAACTGTACGGCATCCAGGAGTTGTAGGAACACACGCTTGACCAAGGGGTCATTCCCGACAAAGTGGCCCTTGTCGGTGATACTGGAGAACAGATCGCCCTCGGGGCAGAACTCCATCACGACGTAGGTACAGTCCAGGGAATCCATAATGCGCACCAGGGAGACCACATTGGGATGTTGAGACGCCCGGTGATGAAGACGAATCTCGCGCTGTTGATATTTGAGTTGTCGGGGATCCAGCCCAGACTTGTTGAGGGCCTTGACGGCATATTGGATATGCGTGTGGATGTCCAAGGCAGTATATACCACTCCGTACGCGCCGACACCGAGGATGCCGGTGAGTTCAAGCCGGTTGGCCAAGATCCATCCTACACGGTCCTCGGGAGCATAGCAGCGGGGGATGGTGATGGGGGAGTGGGGAGGAGTGGGAAGGTCGGTCGGATACATGTTATTTGGATGTATATATCCGGAGAGTATCTCCAACATGGAATGTCCGGGAGAGAAGCAAGGGAGGAGAAGGGAAAGTAAGAAGAGGTAGAAATATAGTCGAACAAGGTAAGATCCAAAATGGGTTACTCCTGGGGAGAGGTTGTCTTCTTTGAATCCAGTTCTTCCGGGATTAAGTCGAGTGGCAAGTGTTCACAACGGGTCGTGTCCAAGGGATCGAGTCCAGGTCAACAAGTGGCAATAAATCGGGGGGGAGTCCAAGGATTGTGGTATCTTGTTGTTGGAGAGTTTCACACGGTTCCAAATAAAATAGAAAAGGTCCAGGGTCATTCACAGGGAGAAATCCATTCCAGGGAGTGAGGGTCCAAATTGGGGGAGGGCCGATATGGGATAGGATAGTTCCAGAGAAGGAGATGGCGATAGTGATGGATAATAAATCAAAAAATCGAAAAATAATATGGGATAAACCGGAGGTTTTCAAATGGAGATCCCTTGGGGTCAACGGGCGAGATCAAAAGGAGGGAGAGGGAAAAGGTAGAAGGGAGAAAGGATAGAAATAGAGGTCTAAGAGGAGAGAGTAGAAGTAGAATAGGGAGAGGAGGATGCGACCGCGAGACAGTATAATGATGATTGTTTATGGGAATTATGGGGGGGGCGAAGGCAACGGGACAGATGAAGGGGGGGACTACTAGTAGTTAGATAAAAATAAGATCGATGATGCCCTCTGATGGTGCGTGGAGATATAAAAAAGGATTCCACAAGAACACTAGGCTGACCCGGGCTGACTGCAGGTCTCCATTCACATGGTTGGTCTCCCTATCCTCCGTAATTCTTAGTCTACATATCTAACTATGTACCGAGTAATTATGTACTAACTAAACATAGTTATCACCTTGTCTCCTACTCTACTTGGTACTCAGTCCATAGAGTTTTTTGTGCATCTTTGCCTCTGTTAGCGGTGTGCAAGTCAACTAACTTTGACCTACTCTCACCAACTTTGCAACTAACGCGTCCTATTCCCAGCTCTGAACCAATCACCGACTCGTTAGCAGATCTGCTGTAGGCCGTGCAGGGAGCCACCTGCAAGTGTTGATTGGATAGGGCTAGGGGCAGTTGTACATACAGTACATAAGGATCGGCTTCGACTTGGGGCTTACTCGCCCCCCCTATTTTAGAATGTGGCAATAGGCAAGAATCATCGACACCTTCAACACGAGCGCTTAACTCCACAGCCACCGTGGATCCACTCTCAATCACTGATCAATCATGGATTCATGATCCATGATCAATTTGATCCACACCTTCTTTTCCACTAGTCTCGCCCCCAGTCTGTTCTTGACTCCTTCCAGTTCTTCTCGAACTAACTAACTATGTACCAGAAAGTCAACCAGTCAGCCCAGTCTCTTGACTTCTCAAACTCCCACAACAGCCTCGATCCTCGTTTTCCCCCTTGTCCTTTTGCTTCCCACTCCCCGCCACCTCACCGGATTCATCATCCTAACCAATCTGGCCCATATCGGTCCATCATGGTTCCATCTTGGTCCGTGTGTCCACACCAAGATAACTGCCATCCATACCAGCCCCGCATAGTGCGTGGTAAGTGGATCATCCTTTTCCTTAGTGGCCGTGGAATGAGGCGACCGTGTCTGGTTTCTTGCTGCTGAGTGTCTCCAAAAAGCCCAAACCCAAAGCCAAAAGTTCCCAACAGCCTGTCCTTCCGTGCCCCGTTTCAAGCCATGGGTCCTGGGGCCAAGAAGGGGGTGGAACTAGACTCTTCCTCGTTTATTTGCGGTCGCAGGACTGGCAGGACTATTCGCAGCCTGGCTACACCGTATTTTTGGCCGCGATGGAGCAAATAAGCTAATCCACAAGAGTCTAGATGAGAGTCGAGATAATCTCCGCTCTTTCAACTGGCTTCGACCTGTTGGTGCTCACTGCTCATGATTCATTCTCTTCATTTGATTGGTATGTTTTGTTTTCAACTTTATGACCCACACAAGGCAGATTTGGTGAGAATCATAATAATAATCATAGAGTCAGCAGGGAGCGTGTAGTCACAGAAACCAACATCCAGCAGAGAGAACATCAACATGAACAAGAACCGGTCTGCCGGGATATTCGGTGGCCAGCCCAGACTCAAGGAGTGAGGCGATGAGGACAGACCTCCTCTCTGGACTCCTGGACCAACCAAAATGGCTGGGGTTCGTTCGTTTTTCGAGAACGAGTGGATCTTCCCGGCTTCGCACGGGCCTGGCAAGTCTGGGACCCCTCCGACCCTGGCAGCTGAGCTGTCGCTTTATTGGGAGGAGGGAGGTGCACGGTTGCACTGCCCTTTTTCCAAGTCGCAGAAGTACTCTTGTCCTCCATGTTGCACAGCGACCAGGCTGGGGTGCTGGCGCTTACAGGATGACCTGGATGGGGTGGTGGTGGGTGGTGGGTGTGGGTGCCAGGTTCGTGATCAAAAGCCCCCTTGGCCACTTGTCCTGCTGGTGGTGGACGAGCGATGAGTTGGTGGGAGACTCTCTCTCCCCTGTCTGTTCTGCTGCACACCCCCCAGTGCTGTGAGTTCCACGCCCCTTCGTGGTGGATGGAAGACACATCCTCCTTCATCAACCACTCATCGTGAGTTCCCCTCCTCCCCCCTAGTCTCATCGTTCTTGTCCGCCTCTCACGAGCGGTGAGAATCACCTGACCGGTTCGGCGATGCATCACATCCATCAATGGAAAATAGTCTGCTGTACCCCAGAATTCAGGATTGCCATTGCAGCTGAACTCGTTTAGTCCTCCGAGGAGTGACGGTAGTTGTCGTTAGTCGAGACCTTGCTTTTTGCCCTCGCTCACCCTCACCGCTACCCGAGACTCGCGGGCGCATGTTACCAGTACATTTTTACGGTGACTGACCGGCATGGTCCTACATGGTTGAATCTATAATTCTTTCATAGTTGCTGCATAGTCCTGCAATCAAATACATATTATGAGAAATGTATCTTGTAGATCTTCATTATAGTATCGAGTACGCAGTACAAGATATGCGTATACATTGTTAACACTGCAGTGATATGCACTCATCTTCCCCCTTCTTATCATCTGCCCCAATGCGGACAACAGTCCCTGGTGCGCCCCAAAGTAAATAATGCGATCCATCCATCCATTCACTTTGCCCTCCATTCCCATCTCTCCATGATCTCCCCACCCTGCAGGTGGCGGAATGCCAATGCCGGTTCGCAGGGGCAAAGTAGCACATACAATAATTAGCAGCCCAAGAAGGCTGGGACAGTGGGAGACTGTAACTCACGAAAACACTAAACACCCCATGACCCACAAAATAAACACACGCTCGACATCATCATTGAGGGAAAAAGCAATCATCACATCACCACTTTTTCCTAAGCTATCCCAATCGGAATCCTTTGCCACCCGGGTAAGAAGGCCGCCTCAGGATGACCCAAACGTGGCAAACGGGGCAACTTTTCTCCCCTCTTTGTTCCTTGAGCTTCCGCCTCTGAGGGGCTAGACTAAACTCGATATGGGTATCTCATCGAATTCACTGTTTGCGATTTGATATGATATCAATTATGATATCAATGGTAAACATGGATCGGTGGAGATTCCATTCGGAGGAATTGGATGGGTTGATCATGGGACTATGTTGTAACTATGGGGGATCGACGGTCTTCTGGAAGACTCGATGGTATCACTTATTGATGCCTAACTGGTTTTTGCTTGTTACTTCTTTCTTATCCTAGTCTAGAAATCCTTTCTTTTCTTTTGGAAACTAAGCGAAGTAAGTAGGTATTCTACATACTGCTGTACGAAGTAATGAGCACTTCATAGTAACACTATGCTGTATCATTATTCTCCACAATTTGCAGCAAATGCAAGTGTTATCACATCACTCTTCCAAAATAGAGTTACAATAACACCATTGAATGAATAATCATGCACCTACGCAATAATAATCCACCTCCACATCCATCTCGCATCCCCCTAACCAACCGGCTCCCTCGGCAGGACCCATCCACACTAAATTTCTTTGTCTACATCGCCTCCTCGACTCGTATCGCCATCCATCTCAGGCCACCCAGTCCAACGGACACGGTGAGTGGCCAACGACCACGCAATTCCTCGATATTCCCCCCGTCCCCCGGCCCAATCGGCTATCATCCACGACTGGAAATCCCCCACGGCCCAGGTGATGAAATGCTTCCAGCACGCAGGACATGATTTTCTTCGTTGGCAGTTTTACCGGACGGCAGAGCTTACCGTTGAAAGGTCGAAAGCTCGGAAAGTAGGCAGTGGAGTACATACGTAGACATCCTATTTGTCGGATCTCCTCATGGAGTCTAATTATCCCCTCTCATGGGACGGTCTTCAATAGGGCACCACAGATGGGGATGAGTTTCCGGGTTCAAAACCTGAATAATCCCAGCTTTTCCGCCTCTCATGTTTCACATCATCTAACTCTTCCGTCTAATGTCCAATCCACGAGGCGCGTACGTTCCACGGCAACGATGGCCGATGGATGGCGCTGGCCACGCGAGACAAACAGGCGGCCTGATCGCTGGTTAATGTACAATATACGCTTTTGTGATAGGTCCTCCCCTCATCTATTGCTAACCTTCTTCCGGGCGGTACTACTGTATCCCAGGTAGGTTGAGCTGAACCTATTAGCAACGAGTATCAGCAGAATCGGACCCAGTCGATCGGCGCGACGGTTATGGTTCCATGGCTCGTTGATGTCACTTGTCAGATATGTAGATCTAGAACGCGTTCGGGTCCGACGATCTTGCCTCTCCCACCTACTAGTAGTAGTGCACTGCCCCTACCTACCTCTCTAGGTTTTATACTTTATGATGGAACTACTAACTTTGCGTTGCTTTGATTAGTTATCTCTTTCCTTTCTCGGACATCACATCTCCGGACTCGACTCGTTCATCCAAACTCGCTTCTAGCTGGTTGCTGGTTGCTGGTTGCTGGGCTGACGGCTGAAACGGCTCTTGGGAATTATGGACCCGTGGTTATTGTTGGTTTTGGATCTAGGAACTAAGCCAGGATTCGGCCTTAGTTGTGGTTGATATGTTCGCGAAGGTGCTTCCGGATATAGCTAGTCGCTCGTACTTTTTCATCAGTCCTTGTCTTAACCTCTTAGCAGCCTTGTGCTATTACTGGAGGCATATGTTCAAAAAGATCGTCTTGCAGTGGCGCTGCTGATAGGCTCGGCTGTGTGCACGCTAATCCCCAACGCCTTCGCCCGGGTTTTAATATGTTGAAGCGGGGTTGAGCTGATTGAGGGCGCCACTTACTCATGCGGAGGAGGGGCAAGGGGCTCTGGGAGGAGGCTGATAGGTACGAGGCAGAGTGCTCTTATAGGAGAACTGCTATGTGATTGGCTTTGCCCGGCTATTGTTACTTGCCTGGGTTGCCACAGGCATCAAGGCAGGATTGATATTCCTCATTTGTCTCTGGAATGCATACATGCAGTGAGGAGGGGGAAAGTTTGCGTGTTGATGGAGGTTGGTAAAGTGGCTTGGCTAATAGGGAGTGATTGATTGAGGTGTATGATATGTTTCTATGTAGGTTGGACAAGTTGGGTGGCTGAAATACGGAAGGTTTTCAGTTTGTGGTATGTGGCTGCCAAACATTTAGGTGTTTATGAAGAGGATTACAGACTGAAGTTTGCAACGGATCAAGTCCAAGTAGTTGGGCTGTTAATGGGGAATTGGCCGTATGTGATATCTGCAAAGAAGGGGCTCCTTTATCTTCGTTGTCTAATATCAGTATGTCACGCGTCGTCAAACCCACAATGCGCCTTGCAAAGCTCAACATATGCTTCACACACCCAGTGTGAGTGTATAGTCTCGAAATCTTGGATGGCAGTTCTTTGTTTTTGTGTTCATCTCTCACTAAATATACACAAATCTAATTACAAGCAGACTAATAGAGCACGGATAGAGTATTCCCAATAAAATCTTCACCTAGGCCAAGGTGACCTAAAGCGATTTCCATTTTCCCTGGGTTATCTTCAGACGTTTTGATCGTCTGAGTAGTGGTTTGGGAGGCTCTAATGAGTTCACGAGATGCTCTGCCTGTGTTTCCGAGTCGTCTGATATCCTTGAGTCGCGCGCTTGGGGTTTGAGACCCTTCACGTACTTGCATGAGCCACCGTTTTCTAGTAACTGTATCATTATGTTCAGAGCCTAAAACAGTTTCAATTGTCTGTGACGCGTGTACCAGAAGTTCTTCTGCTTCAACTAATCGCATCTGGCCGCGGTATATCGCTGCAAGGTTGCTTTGACATTGTAGAGTATCGGGGTGCTTGTTCTTCACCTAATATCCTCTTCCTTGCCTCGAATACTGATACCTGAGTCTTCTCTGCCTCATTCTAGCACTCCTGGTACACATACGTTTTCGCAAGGCAATCCCTATTATCCAGAGTGACCGGGTGCTCGTCGCCTAGCATCCTTTTCGTTGCCTCGATTACTTCTACTCGAAGTCCCTCTGCGTGGTCTAAATGCCCCATATCCCAAGAAATTCGGGCAAGGCAGGTTTTACACGCGTGTGATACAATCGCCGTTGCCGAAGTTGTGCCGTAAACGCCAGTAGGCAAACAGGCCATGACAATATTGTGGCCAGCAATCCTTCCAAGTGAATAGCTAACATGGGCGCTAACAGATGGAAGAGAAGCATGGGTCTCATCAAAAATGGTCTTGGCGGCAGCTAGCTCGAGAGGTAATGCGCAAATCCATGCTAGTCTGTAATCTTCATGGGAAAAGCGATTTGGCTCCACCATGTTGAAGCCGTAGCTTGATGGCAGGGAAATGGGGAGACTCGCAGTACCTCACAGTGAAGTAATTGTTTGAGAGCTGAGAGGAGGTTGAAGAAGGGGATAATGAGGCTTGGGCTGAAATTGGGCGACAAGACGGCCAATCATATTGATCCTCCTATACTCATGCGATGTATCTCGAGGGAAGCCTACATGAAAGACGGCCATGCTAATAATAAATTAAACTAAGCCAAAACCTCTAAGATATGCACATAAAATGATAATTCCGTCGTCCGGATAACAACGCCATCATAATATCATTTCACAACACCTACTTCCGGTTCAAGAAGGGATGCTTCAGCGCCTCAGCAGGTGTGCAGCGCTTCTCAGGATTTAGAGTCAGACAGCGATCGAGGAAATCCACGAACAGCGTCAAGTCTTTGGCATCAGCATCAGACATACCCCTAGTTCCCTTGCCCATCAGACGTGTCTTCAGATCGCGGGTCGGCTTTTTGAAATCCATTACTCTGGTCACTGGACGACCAGTGAGTTTGTCTTCTTCGGCGCTGTGGAAGTTGAGCATGTCGTCAAAGTGAAGGTGTGCCAGAGAGCCACGGCGGAGGACCTTGGGCGGGTATTTGCCGCGGCATTCCATGATAGATTTGAGCATTTGGTTGTTGTTGCGGCCCGTGAAGAGAATCTTGCCGGTGTACAACTCGAAGAGGGTGCAGCCGATGGACCACACATCAATTGCATAGTCGTAAGGAATACCCAGGATAATCTCGGGGGCACGGTAGAAGCGACTGACAAGGTAAGGTGTAATCTCGTTTTCGGATGCTGGGGAGGCAGAACCCAAGTCACAGACCTTGAGGATATTGCGTTGCTCGTTGACCAGCAGGTTGTCGGGTTTGAGGTCTGCGTGCAGGATGTTACACTTGCGAAGCAGACTCAGACCCAAGAAGATCTGTTGGGCATAGGCGCGGATGGCACGGAGGTTCAGCCCGACATCACGACCAAACTTCTTCAACACCTCACGCAGGTTCATGCTCAGATTCTCGAAAACCATGCACAGATGGCCCTTGTGTTCGAAATAGCGTACGAATTTGATGATGTGCTTCTTATCTTCTGGGTCAGCCTCATGAAGCTGCTCCAGGATCCCAATCTCCTTCATGCCAGCCTTGCGCATCGTATCGTTCTGACGGATGATCTTGATGGCGACCAAACTCCCGGTAACTGAATCGCTGGCTCGAACGACAGAGGAGAACATTCCCTTGCCGAGATTTTGCTGGACGTGGTAGCGGCCGTTGATCAACTCACCGAGCCGCACGTTGTAGTAACCTTCTGGGTCATCCCAGTTGTCCATCATGCTGATATCCAGCTCTTGGGGCTGAGGCACGGCTGTTGCCGAGGCATGCGTGGGCTGTTCGTCCTTAGTATCCTCAGCGAACATGTCGTCGTCGTCAGCGAACATGTCGTAAGGGTCTTTCTCTTTCGGGGCTGGAGGTGGTTGCTGAGCGGGGGTATCGGGGAGAAGAATATCCTGTCTCGACGTTTGCGTTTCGTCATACGCGGCAGACGAGACATCACCGTTTGTGGTTTGTGCCCCATCAAGCTTTTGTCTTTCTTCCTTTGTATCAAACATCGGATCGTAATCTGCGGCAGATGGTTCATCCTTCTCCGTTCCGTCCGTGATAGCATTAGAATTGGCCAAATCTGCATCGTTACTGATCGTGAAATCAGAGAAGGCATCTCCAATCTGCTCCCTTGGCGTGTGTACGGGTGACATTTTTGGGGAGTCTATCCGAGCGAATCGGCACACATTAGCTTTTGTTCCACGTAGTTTTGTCTTGGACCGTATGACCTACCGGACATATCTTGGGCACTTGTTGGCTCAGTACCAGGTGTCGATGAATCTGTCTCGCCGTCGGGAACCTGCAGGGCCTTGAGATGCATGGGAGTCGCTTGACTTCGGTACTTCGCTTTAATGGCCTCGCGTCGCTTGCGACGAGCCTCCAGAGCAGCAGCTTCGTCCATTGGTTCGGATGGCTCCGGTTCTTCCGCGGGTTCTGACATGGGAATATCTGCTCTGAAGAAGTTGTTAGTCTTAGATCAAGAATATTAGACAGAACCTTCAAGACATACTCATCGGAAAAGCGGGCACGTTTTGGGAGAGCATGCTGCACCTGATTCTCTCGTGTTTCAGCACCAAGCTTGGGATCCCGAGCGCCAGCTGGGGTCTTTCCTCGTTCGCTCACTACCTGTTCATAAGACAGTCCGCGCCTAGTGTCCGCCTGGGGCCGCGTGCCCTCCACATTCGGGTTCGGATCATCGTACTGCTTTGGCTTTCTGACTTCGCGGTAGGGCGATCGGCTATGAGTACGGGGTCGCTTATCCCTGCGTCGGTCGTAGTCATCGGTGTACTGCAGACCACCTCCGTAGCTCTCCTCGCGGTCATAGTCGTAGTACGATTTCTGTCGGCGGGAGGGGGCGTTTCGATCATACGGTCTATCGTCGTACCTCGACCCAAAACGTCGGGACGGCTCCTGCCGGGCGTTCCGACCCTCTTGCCCATCATACTCGTCGTCGCGTCTGCGCTTGTAACCTCTGTTGTCACGATAGGGCGAGCGAGAGTGGGATCGGGATCTTGTCCATGACCTGCGTCGGCGTGGCGATCTGCTGCCTCTCAGCGATGGAGATCGGAGCGCAGAGGAAGTACTATCTCTGGGGGGACGGTCAACGCTGGTGCCATTAAGAGGAGGTTTTGACGCAGTTGCCTTCATCTCTGAGCCTGATTCGATGATCTCACCCTCAGAAGGGGTCGACAGGGACCTCGAACGATTGCGGGACGCCATGGTACCGACCGTCACGTTGTCGAAGACGAATATCACCACCCAACGAGCTGATGTCTCTTGATCGTCCTTCTTATTTTTCTCCCTTTGCAATGTGTATGCTTCTCTTCAATCGGCCTTTGGAGGAGGCTTCAATGAGAAAGTCTCAGTTAGCTCGAACTTCAGAGAGCAGAACGACTCTTTGGGGATGTTTGAAAGTCCAACCGGCTTGATAGGCCTGCCTTCACACCAAAGCCTTGTAGCAGAGATTATCCCAGGCACATCACTTGGCCAGAGGCAAGGTTTTTAATGGGATGACAGATGAAAGCAATGATAGGCCAGCGTAAACTTCGGGGTGGAGAGGAGTAAAGCAATGGTGCTAAGAGTTGCATCTGTCAGTTGAGCTGGCCGTGATAGGCAGATTCTGCGCCATACCTAATATAGTAGGCGGTGAAACAGCCCCTCTGATAAGCCACTCCGGGGATCTTCATTTTTTTCCATTTTGCCATCGAAGTCAACTCTTGTCGAGCCTCTCATTTCTCGTTCATCTTTCGATCAATCTTTTCCCTTTTCTTTGAACATTATTCACAATGGGTGGTGCAAGCAGAGAAGGTTCGCAGCAATCCCCAGAGCGAAAAGTACCCAAAAGTACCCCGCTAACCATGTCATAGGCGGCAAGGCCAAGCCCCTCAAGGCTGCCAAGAAGGAGAAGAAGGAGCTGGACGAGGATGAACTCGCCTACAAGGAGAAGCAGAGAGCTGGTAAGTTCTTTTTGCAGTGAAAATTTTCATCACCTCATTCTAACCAGAATTCATTGCAGATGCTGCCGCAAAGAAGGCTCTCCTCGACGCTACCAAGGGCAAGAAGGGTCCCCTCAACACCGGCCAGCAGGGCATCAAGAAGTCTGGCAAGAAATAAGTGATCAACCTGGGACGATAGACAGGCGCCACGCGTCTCTCCATATTGCGACTCTTCCAGTCCACCTTTCACGAACCAAACGAGCCATGTCCCCATGACAGTGGAAACAACTGGCATTTTTCCACATTAGCAAATACATACCACTACTGCGCTTTTGATAGCTCTCTTGCATATACTTGAGTAACTCAGCCTTCGATACTTTATCCCCTCTTTGGAAATTGCTTCAACCCTATACCAGGGATCTATAACCTGAGCCTTTACCAAGTCGTCGTTACATACATGACTTATTGGTGGCTAGTTCTTCCCAGCTAGTTGAATTTGGTGGGAATTTTCACTCTTCAGTATTACATTGAAATGATTACATGGAAGATCTCTAGAAAGACTGGCAACAGTACAAGAGTCTTGTTATCACGTTTCATTTTGGAAGCACATTCTAACATCAACATTCGCTCAATCAATCATAATCAAACACGGAATTCCCAAAACAAAAAGAGGGTATCGTTGGCTGCCTCGCCCAGCATGGGAAATGGGAACGCTTCAAAAAACGCCAAGGCAAGACCAGGCACAGTATCAAGGAAATCGAAATCGACCAGGTACCCAAAAGTCGAGAAACAAGAGAAACCTCCCTAATCAAACTCACCACTCAACTCGTGACGCGCTTAACCCACAAGTTACTACCATCACCATGATTCTCCCTCTCATCCAATTTTCTCCACGCGCGAGTAACCTTCAATCCAAGCTCATGCTCTTCTCGCTTGATCTCGGCAATTTCGTTCTCGATACTCTGCACGCTGCGCTTGACCTCCGCTTTTGCAGCGAGATCATACGCGATAGAACCAGGCTGGATCACCCGAGTCAACTCGTGGATGACCGTTTCCAGATTAAATCTGCGTTTCGCGAGCTCGTCACGTCGGGCTTCTAGAGCTTCGATGCGTCCTAGTGTATCCTTGGGGGCGTCGTCGGGCTGGGATTGGTTCGCCAGGGTTGGCTCTTGCGCGGCCTCCGAGGGAATGGGCTTTCTTACTGGCTTCTTTGATGTGGGCATGGAAATAGGGACCGGGCGCCGGCGCGACATGATTGAAGCAGAGAGGTCCTCTGTAGACTTTGATACCAGATTTAGACTGGCGCGCGGGCTGTCGTTCGGGCTTCCATTGGCGCTGCCGTTGTCCACAGCAGTGATTGGCGCGTCGAAACGGCTCATAGGTTTGCCGTACATCATCAAGTCGTCTACTTCTTTGTTTAACTTGTCATACGATGCCTGTGTTCGAGGGAGCTTGTAGGCATGCTCGGTGGCCGGTCTCTCCGGCAACGGTTTGGGGTCGCCGGCGGTAATCGTCGTCACGACCGTGGGTACAAAGCCCAGATGAGTATTTTTGGGTTGGGAACCCGCGTAACCCGCGTCTTTATTGACGGAATGCTCTGCCAACGGCTGCACACGTGACGAGGAACGATTGCGGGATTCTGGAGCACGGTTCTCGTTCTTGGAGAAACTGCTGATCCGGCTCCGTGCCTGTTCATACTTCTTTTTGGGCTGTAGTTGCTCGCGGCCCCAGTGTAGGAAGTTGGTAGCATGCGATCCGGACGTTTTATGGAAAGTCGTGTTGCGTGGCTCGACTTGGCCTGCGTTCCCGGCATTGCTTGTAGTTGGCTCGCCCGAGTATGCGTCCCAGCGAGTAGGGTGTTCATCGCTATTTGGCGTGAAGTTGATTGTTTTGGGTGCTGACTGCGAGGGCTGAGGCGGCGACGGTCGAGTATTTACAGCACGAGCTGGGGCAGGAGCAGGAGCAACTCCATATCCCCAAGAACCCGTTCGCTGATGGGGGAACCCTCGATCAGTGCCAATATCTTCTATCGGCGAGACGCAGAAGCTGCTTCCACTGTCGCGTACTCGAGGTCCCAATTCAGGTGAAACGGCTGGAGATACATCTGGATACTGCTTGCTCTCATATGTATTGCCCGCTGGAGGCAAGGGCGCAGTGGGCTGGCCAGTCTTAGTATTGTGCAGAGACGTGGTTGAATCGCTAGAAACTGAATTAGAATCTTCATTCAAGATATATAATTTCTGAGGTACATACTATGGCAGCGCAGGCAAGTCCTTGGCTGTCCGCGCGGGATCCTCTGACGTCTTATCCGCCGATGTGGGGTTGCCCATCGGGCGACGCGATTTGAAGGGTCCTTTCGACCACATCTTGATCTGCGATGGAGTTGAAGTTTCCTTGATAGATGCGGTTGTCGATCGGCGATGCGATCAAAGGACGTTTATTCTCCTTGCTTTGCGCTGAGGTAAAAAGAAGAGCAGGCGACACAGGTGGGCGATCAGACCAGATAGCTCCGCCAGAGCCGGTACGGTACAATCAAGAGGAAATAGGCAATATGTATGTAATGAAGAAGCCGGACGATCCGACTATTTTCCACGGAAACAAAGCTGGCGGGGCAGCACACGTCAGATGTCAGAGGTTAGCTGGAGGCTAGGTGAAGTGTTGGAGGAGAGGAGAGAAGTGTAGAAGAGAGTTCGTCTGCGATGCCAGCATGGCATCACCAGGCTTGCCTCAGTGGGTGGGCACACAAATTAAATTGGGGGCGATGATCCAGTGGAGTGAGTTTTTAATGGAGAGATTCTAGGGACTGTTTGATGGGACTGGGCTGTGTTTTGGGCCAAAAGGGAAATCGAGCCTGTTTCATGTTGGTCGCCTGGGGCCTTTCTCGTATAATGAAAGGGGAGAGATGCTACACTAATCGGGGAATTGGGGAAATTGAATAGAACCCTAAGGTTTCAACTTTCAAGTCAGATTCCATTTCTAATTTATTTATAGTTATAGTTTAGAATGTTATTCTCAGCCTGTTTAACGTCCAAAAGAAACGAGCGAATGACGAAAAAGAAACCACAATCAGTGTAGCCTACTAACCTGTCGTTATCACGTGGAGTGGGGGGAAACATCGTCATTCTTCTCCGCAGCCTCCGGCGGATTCCTCATCCACATTGTCCTTCCGAGAAGTCCAGTATCCCGGAACATTCCATTCGTCCTTGTCTTCCCACAGCCAACTGCCCGATATCTCAAACACATCCCAACATGGCTGCTGCCGGTTAGTTAGACGCCCAATCTCCGTGGATGAACCCTGCTAACTCCTTAACTCAAGAGGGCTCCACGCCACAACCTGAAGTGTTAGTGTACTTCGCCCAACACAACCTCCAACCAAACTAACCCACCAGCTAGGATGTCAATCGCCTCACCCATCAACCTCATCCTCCTCTCCCTCTTTGTCGTGCTGGTGTACTGGCACTTCCGCCCTAAGCAACCTGTCACACTCCCCCGTGGCCCGCCCCCGGTCGTATTCCGCACATACACCCCGAAGACGCTTCTCGAGTTCAACGGCGTGGACGGCCGGCCTGTCTTCCTCGCCGTGCGCGGTCGGGTCTTCGATGTGTCCCCTGGCAGGAACTTCTACGGTCCGGTAGGTGGATGATAATGCAATGGATACCCGAGGTTCTTTTCGGGATATGGTTAGCTGATGACGCGATAGGGCGGTCCGTACGAGAACTTTGCTGGTCGCGATGCCTCGCGTGGCCTGGCACACCAGAGCTTTGACGAGGAGATGTTGACTAAGGATCTTTCCGGCCCTTTGGATGACTTGAAGGATTTGGATGCCGACCAACTTGAGAACTTGCAGTCGTGGGAGGAGCGCTTCTCGGAGAAGTACCTGGTGGTTGGAAAGTTGGTCGCTGAGGGAGACCCTGAGGCTCCCAAGTCATGATCTACAGTATATTACTGTTGGATGATTGTGATGATCAGAACAAGGCCACCAAAAAATGATGTGATGGAATCGGCTATTTGTGCGGAGCCCTTCCGCTTTGCATAAAACCAGACTTGAGCTATTTCCAGAGTCTGGGGGTTTCGGAATATACTCGGATCACGTTAAGGCATTTTAGTGCATTCCCAATTCTAACATTGGTCTAATAATATCCTACAAGGCTGTAGAATGTACTTTCAGGCACCAATCCAGGGCAATTCATTTTAAGCACTAACTACTATTGACACAGCATGAAAAGAAGAAAAGCTAAAGCCCCTGAGAAATAACATCTCCGTTTAACCCAAAATTTCAGAAGTCATAAGCATCGTATTCAAAAGCATGATGATGGCGGAACGAAATACCGGCCACCATGTCAACACGCTTACTTCGCAAACGAGAGAGCGGGATGTCTACAGCTCGCTCCGAATCTTCTCGGTCTGCTCAGCGGCCTTCTCACGGACCTTCTCCGCCGCCTCCTGGCCCTGAACGCGGCCGCTGGAAGCTCCAACCTTGAGCTTCTCCAAAGCCCAGTGAAGAGTATCCATCACCTTGGCGTAGATAGTCTCTTGCGGGTTGGTGGTACCGAACCGGAAGTAGGTCGCGTGGCGACGAGCAGCAGCGCGCAGCTCGTTGATGTTCGATCCCTGATAGACGGGGATGCCGTACGAGTCAAGGTACTTCTTGAGGTCAGATTGCGACCAGTTGTCGAAGGTGGTCTGCTTAGCGGTACCGGTGGCTTCGGCGAGGTTCTTGGTGGCAGAGGCGTAGTGCTCGCCACCAGCCTTGGAGGCCTTCAGGTAGGAATCGCGAGCATGCTTGATCAGCTCTTCGCGAGAAGCATCAGCCTTCTTTGCGGCCTTGGAGTTCATGGCTGAGAGATATTTCCTAAGCATCACCCGTGTTAGTCAAGACTCTCTTGAAAATATGCCCTATCAAAACTTACAAGAGATGCTCCTTGTCCCAGGTATCAAAGTTGTACTCGTTCCATCCACCGGCAGCGCGGTGCGCATTGGCGCGCACCTTAGCGACCAGCTCATCACGCTTGCTGTACTGGGGAACAGGTACACCACGAGCATCGAGGAAAGCCTTCAAGCGCGAGTCGGACCAAGTCTTGATCGCCGCGTCGAATTGATCCTCCATCTTCATCTTGACATCATCCGTAGCACGGGCATACTCATTTCCAGCCTTAGTAGTAGCAGCACCGAAAGCCTCCGAGGCGGCGGCAGAAGCACTAGAAGCCTGGGCGACGAGATAGGCGCGGTGCTTGCGAGCCAGGGCAATAAGTTCATTACGTCTCGAGCCCTGGGGAACCTTGACGTTGTGCTCGTCGAGGAATTCCTTCAGCCTGGAGTCGGACCAGGCGTTGAACAGCTCCTCGCTCAAGGATGCCTGAGCAGCCTCGGCCGAAGCTGCCGCGGACGCAGAGATACTCTGGGCCTGTAGGCTGGCAAGGCGGGAGTTGCGGCGGACGGAAGCGACAAGCTTGTCACGGGTCGTGGGCTGGGGAGCGGGCCATCCTCGCTCGTCAAGCCAGTCCTTAAGATCAGACTCGGACCAGTTCTCGTACAGCCAGTTACCGGGGTATGCGGCAGTTTCACCAGCCTTCTTCGCAATGGATTCGTAGTTCTCACGGGCAGTCTTGAGCAAGAGGTCGTGCTTGCGTGGTTGAGGTGCCGGAATGCCATGGCGATCCAAGAATGCCTTCAGCTGGGAGTCCGACCAACTGGGAAGATAGTCAGCAATGAGAAATCAATGTCATAGAAGAGGGGATACTTCTTACGTGTCAAACACCCATTCCTTTGCTTCGTGAAATTCATCAGTAACTCGGTCCGCGGCGTTGCCCAGGGGCTTCTGCACGCGGTTTTCCCAGTTCGACTTGACCAGGTTCTCGAGATCCCGGCGGTCGGCGGGGGTAGGGTAGGGGATATCTAATCAGAACAGATCAGTCTTATACACGTAAATTGATGAATATCAATGTCATTCATCCATACCATGATCCGAGAGCCATCTCTCAAGCTCGGTTTCATGCCACTTGTTGTAGACTGTAAGCCCAATGACGTTAGCGCGTGCAGGGATCACCCATCTAGATTCATCATCAACACTCACCAGCTTTGCTCCACCAGCTGGAAGCTGCAACAGCTTCAGTGGTCGCGAGCAAGCACACTAGGCCGGTGGCCAGATTGAGCTTCATCCTAGCGTTGTATCTTTTAGTGTAGAGGTAAAGAACTTTGGAGAAGCTGTAGCATCACGAGTCAATCGTTAGTTTAGGCTGTCGCAATCGTGTAAAATAGTAAAAGGGGGGCATACCAAGTCGAAGATTGTTAACAAGCTTGAAGTGAGAATGGAGCGTTTGTTTTATTAAATATGGCGGGCTCAGAACGCGAAAAAGGGTTGTGCAGACAGGGAAATAGCAAGCAGCAGCGATGATCGCGCGGTGACGTAGTTGGAGAATTTGCCTGGTTCCATGAGTGCATGATTCATCAAGGCCCATTCTTTTGCTGGGCAGCATTGGCGTCATCTTCAAGATCTTGCCAACTCCTTATTACTTGTTACACGAAGCCTATTATTTAATGATTGTGGCTGGCCATCTTGTGCCATACAGGTGATGAGGCGTTAGTGAGCCTCTTTAGCTATGGGCGGCTCGGCGCGGTGTCATCGTGAACTGTGGATTTAGTTGGGGGGAGCAACAAACACTCAGCCTTTACCAGATTTTGTTTATAATGGTAGCTATTCAGGATAATAAGAGGAGTGACATGACTTGATGAAGCCTAATTTGACTAAACACGTCCACAGCTGTCAACGTGCCTGCACTGTGTCGAATCCCTAGCCGTCAACCCGTAAACCAGGTTTCGCACTGCACACATGTCACGGCCACTGATGAGCCTCTATCTATCCTTTTAATAATCAGTCTACTAAGTCTGGAAAATACTATTCGAGGCAAGGAGCCATGTTGTCTTAATGTGATTTGCAGTTTAATAACCCCTTGGCTTATGTTGGTCTAGAAGTGTCGGAACAAGAAGCAGCCCGTATGACTAAGAATGTTGCCTATGGCAACATTTTTGGTCTAGCGGTAATATACCCTATCTGTGTTCGACAAGAAGCTTGAGGCCTGAGGCAAGATTGTGTACTTATCCCCAACCAATCAACACTCACGTGTTATGAAGTTCGTAGCTGAGTCAGCATGCATATCCCCGCAGCACAAAACTAAATGCGGTTCTTCAACCAGACTAAACGAGACAAATGCATCACCGAATGCAGCCCACGTCGCAGTCTACACCCGCATTGTCTGAAAGTCGATCATTGCCAAGAGCAATTTTATAGGAGATGTTACATGAAGGAGAAAAGTCCCTTAAAGAAAGTCAGACCCCGGGTCTTGACAAGACCTGTCTACCTTGGGAAGTCTGTCTCACCACGAATATATATTCCCCAAAGGAGTAGTTGTCAATGGCATTTGAATAACCTCATAAGCCGCCATGACCAAGACTGGGCGCCCTGAAGACTTCATGAGCAAGAAGCTCTTTGCTTTTTGTCTCTTTTCAATTGGATTTACCATCTTCCTGCTCTTTGGCTCCCCAGCTCCTCCATCGCCCGACGAGCTCAATGACACTCCTGGTATTTCGGGCCAGCACGGGCAAACGACATACAAAGGTCGCCAGGCCATCAGCACATTCCTAGCCTCAAAATCCAGCAAACAAGCCGACCAAAATGACAACGAAGATGCCTATTTTGTGAGCGCGCGGACGCTTATATACCAGCTGCTCCACTCTCCCACCACCAAGCTTCTACACCCAGTGCCCATTGTGGTACTCGTTACCAAGGATGTCAGAGAGAGCAAGCGTCAAACTCTTCGACATGACGGTGCCATCGTCGTCGAAGTTGAGGACGTCACACACAACACGCCCATTGCTGCCGAACGCTGGACATCTATGGCGACAAAGCTGCATGTCTTCGATCCTGCAATTGTCCCCTACGAAAAAGTCCTCTTCATGGATATAGATATGGTCTTGACCCGTCCCATCGACAAAATCTTCCAAGACTTTAGCACTGAGCTTGGCCCAATCACCAATGCCAGCCAGGTCGATGCCGAACTCGGCCCTCTTCCCGAGCAATATATTCTAGCCACCTCTCCGGAGTCACACCAGAAGGACCATGCATATCCGTTTCTCGACTCTGATCACACGATGAGCACATTCAACAGTGGCTTATTCATTTACTCTCCCTCGGTCGAGATGTATCAGTACTATATGCGGCTTCTTGATCATCCTGATCTCTACTACACCGGCATCCCGGATCAAGACCTCCTCAACTATGCGCATCGCTGGGGTGGACCGATGTCGTGGAAGCGTTTGCACTGGTCCTGGTATATCAATTTGCCTAACAAAAATGACCTTCAAGGTGGTATGGCTCTTTTGCATGCCAAATGGTGGGAACAGGGAGCCTCTCTTTCCCGCGAATCCATCGAGCAATTTGCTCTTGCTCGTAGATGGGAGATGGAGGGATATTGGATGGGCCAAGAAGCCAAGTCGAGCTCTTGATGAATAGCACTGTATGGGTCGATCTGGTTTTTTCTGTTTCTTTGTTCATTAGGGAGGCATACCATCTTGATCAGTTCAAGTTCAAAATTCCGAGTCCAGCTATTTGAGTACATGCAAGCCAGACCTTTCTGGTAATCTCTATAAACTGGCGAGACCCGATCTAGAACTGCTTATTTTGACGGCTCTACAAACATCTAGACACAGTATCTCTATATCCTTTGTATTCTCGTGCTATAAATGATCATTTACGCATAGTTTTGTTCACGGGACCCGCAGGGACCCCTTCCTCCTCTCACTTATCTCGCGCTTCCTATACTTCCTAAATAGGAAAAGCGCCCACTTACGCCTCAATTTCCAATGATTTCGAATATTATATATCCTCATTTTCTACTGACCGCGTTGCTCACAGCAACGCATTTATGTTGACTCCCACTGGTTTCGCTTTTTTTCCCTTCTTCACCGTCTTCCATTTCATCGAAAGACCCTTCATTTCGATCCAAAACCTACGAAACCGACAACTTCCATCATATTTGCCATTTCGTACAACTACCCATCAAAATGCCGTTTATGAATCTCCCAACGGAGATTGTCATCAACATCGCCAAGTCCCTCGATGACAACCGAGACCTTGTGATGCTCGCCAGAACGTGCCGGTCCCTCTACGACGTCGCCAACCCGATATTGTATGCCCGCAACGCCAAGGATGAAAGGCAGCTCTGCACTTCTCTGGGCTGGTAAGACGGGCTCGGTGGAGACCGCCAAGTTGTGCATCAAGTATGACGCCAACTTGAACGCCTACGCCGACGACCACAGGACCGCGCTGATCCATGCTGCCGACAATGGTCACATCAAACTGGCTGAACTGCTCCTCGCTTGCCCTGCCACCTGTATCAGCGCGTGTGATATAGAAGGAAATTCCGCAACCTTCCTGGCAGCGAGGAACGACAGTCCAGAGATGCTCCTCCTGTTGCTCCGCCATGGAGCTGATGCTGGTCAGGTTCATCGTGATGGTATGGGCTTGTTGCACATACCTGATCTATCGTTCCGGGTCATGCGGATTCTCCTTTGGCACGGAGCCAACCCGGGGCAGATGGACATCGCCGGCGACACACCTCTGTCCAGGGCAGTTAAGTCTCGCAGCCTTGCGCATGTCAATCTCCTTCTGAAGTGGGCCGCTGGACGCATAACTGGCCCTGTCGACCTCCCGGATGATCCTTTGGTGGTTGCAATAGAACGCCAATACGAGGACATCCTCCGCCTCCTGCTCAGACATAACCTACAGAGCTTTACCATGCATTTGGCCAATGTTACTGCACTCCCCGTGACAGTCTAAAGGAGAGGGCGGTGCAGGTACTCCTGGAGGAAGGTGCGGACCCAGACCAGAGAACTTGGAAACAGATGACTCCGTTGCATCTCGCTGCCGATGCTAAAAGCCTGGAGATGACACGGATTCTCGTCAGGCATGTGCTAACTCCTAGCTCCTTAACGAAAATAACGACACCCCTCACCATATGGCACCTCGCAACGGGCAGGTCCTTATCGTTTAATTCATACTCGCCAACGACCCTGACCCGGTCGTTTGTGAGTACTTTTTGAAGACCCCACTCAACGAGTATGACAGCCCGAAACGGAAGCCGTCCTTCTCACCAAGGGGCCGATGGGATCTCGCCTGGCGCATCTCCTTCAGAACCCTACCGTCGAGGAGAATTTGCGTGCGCCGTCAATCAACGTTGCCATACGGAAGGGGCGTCGAAAGAAAAGTTCTGGTCTGTGGTGCTGGACATGAGGTCCTGGAGAGAGAGGAGCCGGCATCGATCTGGCTATGATTGTTTAAGTATGGAATGGAGTTTGCGGGCCTTGCAAAAAAGGCTTCCAAGCTATATTGAATCTGTACTGTTCGAGTATGGACTCCACGGAGTTGTCAAGTTGTCGAGTTGTCGTTGTCTGCATCAGTGAAGATACCCGGGTGGTGGAGCCAGTCCCGTTTAGCGCCCAAGCCGCCAGGAACCCAAACCCGCTTGGCGTGGATCAGTGCGGGGGTCATCCTTGTCAACCTTCAAACCCCCTTCTCCCCTACACTTCACTGCTGCTATCCTGGTCAAATCTGTCTTCTACCACCAGAGCATGCAACGATAGGAGAGCTTGATCTGAACGAATCGGCTGTTGAATGTGATTGTGCTGGTCACCTGTTCGCTGTCACGAGAACTTCAACCCGACCGACAGCTGGAATCAGAATCAACGTCATCCGTCGACCCCGAACCGTCGAACAATCTCAACGTTATCCACGCCCGATCCCTGGAGAACACACACCAAAAACCCATTATGGATCTTTCAACACCATATTGTGGCGAGCTAGCTTCGCCTGGCTGGTTTCAGCCAACTCTTTCAGTGTACGAGCCCTCTAAGAGCATTAAGCCCCAAGGAAGATACCGACACTGACGTGACGATGACAGGCTGATCATCATCGGAATCCTAATCTCCTACCTCCCTCAACACATCCGCATCATCTCCCGACGAAGCTCCTTCGGAATCTCTCCATACTTCGTCCTCCTAGGTACGACGTCGGGCACCTCCGCCTTTGCGAACATCCTCGTTTTCCCCAAGACCGCCGCAGATGTCGCCTGTTGCCAGGAAATTAGTGGGCTTGCTTGCTTCGCTGGGCTACTAGGCGTGTTCCAGATGGGCATGCAGTGGCTTTGCTTCTTCTCTATGTAAGTCGAGCAAAGACATCTCTACAAATTACGTGCCTCTACTAACACGCAATTTAGCCTACTTCTCTTCGTGATCTACTTCCCTCGCGCGACCTCACCCACAGATCCTACATACTCGGTATCCTCAACCTCGGATGGGCCTACATATCGTACCGCGCTGGCAATCACCGCGATCTGTCTTCTCCACGCCCTGGCGACTGTCATAATCTCCGTCGCGTTCGCCATCCGCCAGCCCTCCGCCCTCCACGCCTGGGCGAACTTCCTCGGAATTCTTGCCGCTATCTTGGCTTCGATTCAGTATTTCCCCCAGATCTACACTACCTACCGACTGCGCTGTGTGGGCAGCTTGAGCATCCCGATGATGTGCATTCAAACACCCGGGAGCTTGGTCTGGGCAGCAAGCTTAGCTGCTCGTGAGGGTGCCAAGGGCTGGAGTATCTGGGGTGTATTGCTGGTCACAGCTTCCTTACAAGGGACGCTTTTGGTGATGGCGATCTACTTTGAATACTTCGGGCCTGACAGCAAGCGGAAGACGGTCTACCAGGCTGATCAGGATGGCTACATCAACGGCGATGGGCCTGATAGCTCGGACAGACATGTGTCTGCGCAAGAACCGATCTATGCAGAGCGACCCACGGAGGAAACTCCGTTGCTTCAAAGCCAGTAATGACCAATCCACGAGGACATTGCCCTTTAGCGTCTTTCTCAACTAGTCACCTTCTTTGCGTACATAGAAGGGAATTCCATCTCCACACTTGTTAAATGAAGAATATGTCCAATTGAAAATTGTGAAATTTTGTCCCACGGACCAAGCCGGGCCTGTGTCTTATTGAATCCGAGTGACCTATATCCTAAGGAAATGGTATTCCGGGGACACGTAAAAGTCCCACCTTACAAAAAGATATCCTCCCCCGTCATTGCGTCGTAGCATTCTATCTTTCTTCCTTAATGGTAATTTAGGAAGCAGCATAGATCAGGCGGAAGACGTCGTTGAGAACGAAGAAGCTGCCGGCACCGTCGGGGTGCAGCGTGAAGAGCTGAGTGTAGTTCATGGGCTTCTGCTCCTCGTCGACCTAATTACACCAAAAGGGTTAGAATACAGGACATGGTGGAACGCATGTTATTGGCGGTGAGGTTAAAAGACATACCAGGAGAGCACCGGTGACCAGGACGATGATGTTCTGACCGGAGGGCTGAGCGTCGAGGGTGGCGAGCTGGTGGCGCACCTTCTGGAAGGGCAAGCCCTACTCGTAGAAACCAGATTAGCTATTGCTCTTCTTTGATCATATACATTATTTGGCTAATCTGCCAAATTCGGGACCGTACGGTCAGCTTCTCGGTGATACCGGCGGTACCCTGGACAGCGCTGTCCTCGAAGGTGAGCATGGACTCATCGCGCTATTAATAGAAGATAATCCCATTAGTTTCCTTTTCCTCGATAGTACTCTTTCCCAAGTCCATTGGATGATGCAAGCTTACGTAGAGACCAGCAAGACCGGCGCGGTTGCTGTCGAAGGTCTGATAGTAGAACTCAACGAACTGTTCTGTGGGACAAAGGGATCACTGGTCAGATATTGCATTCTCTCGGTACGGGCAATGGCTGTCTGAAGTAGAAAGTTCTCGCGGTGCTAAGGATTCGAGCCTGCGCGGGGCTGTTCTTGTGTGCGGCGCATTGGGGTCCGGGTGTAAGGGGGAACATACGAGCGATGCTAGAGAAGTCTGAAGCACGAGAAACAATTAGCATTGTAACATATATCGAAAAGCTTAGTTAGATAGGTCTGGATTGATCTCATCGTGATCTGATATTGCATGGCGCAATACACAGTCCAAGTGGGTTGAAATTCTGAAGCAGAAACCATCCCACCTGGGAACAGGTACCGATGAAGGTTCAAGGAAGAAGATATGGGCGCATTGAGGAACTTACCGGCCATTTTGAGAAGAGAGGTGGGACAGACAGGACTGATGTGACTGAATAAGGAGGAAGAAGAGAGGCGGAGGGGGGGTATTTGTTGACGCGGAAGGAGAGGAAGAGAGAAGAGGGGATGTGTGGGGCGCGAATTCTGCCGTTGATGCCTGGCTGCCTTATTATCGCCCAAGTCGTGTATAAAATGTGAGTTGGTAAGGAATATTTACTACAAATTATATCTATGAAACCAATTGACTTGTTGAAGAGATGCGGATATCATTACAGTCGTCATTATCTATGCCAATTATGCCTGGCCAGCTCACTCCGATTCTGATGCAAACATGTCTTCGGCTTTGGGCCGTGGCCTACGTGGGCGCCGTGTTCCTTCCTCTTGCGGCCCATCTTCATGCTCAGGCTGTGGGGGCTGATCGGGTACCGATGGCAGTGTATCGCCTTCGCCCAGCGGAGGGGCATCTTCGTCCATGGGCTCACCGTCATCGTCCAGCATTTCCAGGTCGCTGTCTTCCATGGGAATCCCATCGAGATCGCTCATATATTCATCCTCCATGACGGCCTCTGCATTAGCAACAGGAGGCGCCTGGCTCTCGGAGTCGCCAGGTCGACCAGAGTCAAATTTGCCAGATGTGGGATCGTCGTCGACTGTCTTCCATCGGCTCTTGCTCTTGGAAGCCAAATGAGCGGCTCGCTCAGCTTCCGCCTTTTCGGACTCCTTTCGTAGCTCGTCTTCGGTGAGTGGTGGTTGCTCAAGTACCTTAAGGAAATGCTCCTGGTTTGTCGGCTGAAAGATGCTCCAACCTTCCCACAAATGGAGAAGGGTGCCCACGCTGCGCTTCCACTTCTCAGCGCGGAGCCTGCCCCAATTCAGCTCTTTTTCGAGCCTACCAAGGTGTTCGAAGATATTGTGGGACCGGAGGGCAGCCTCGAAAAGAGACCGATATCGCCATCCTTTGGGAACACCACTGGTGGCTGACGATGCGAGGATATCGGAGATGAGGTAGAGCCCCACCAGTTTGGCTGATGACATGTCTATTTTCTGCTTGGAGGGATTTGACTCCTTGTCACCATCATCCTGCCTTGCTGCATCTTTCTCCATTTCTCGCTCGGGATTGGCCCCGGTATATGCCAATGGATGGAGAATGTTCAGTACGATCATGTCGACAACCTCACGTGCACCAGTTCCGGCATGTTTGATTGCAAAGGCTGTGACCCGAGCGACATCGCCTCGCCGGAGCTTTGCATGGGTTGTTGGTAGTCGGGCAAGCAGATGGGTAAGCTTCGCTTTTTGTAAGGGATTCATGTAGCCCAGGCTGTCATTTTGGGCAGCGGTGCCTTCTAAAGGGGGTCCACCCCCGAGATTGCGCCTCTCTTCCTCGCCATCAGACATCTCCTCCTCGGACGAATTGTAGTCATCCTCTGATACAAATTCATCCAGGCGCGTAGTGTATTCAAACTTGATTTCCGTCTCTGGCGAAGCCCAGGCTGGCCCACCTTCGAAAATGAAGGATGAATTTTGGCGGCTCATTTTCCTTTTGCTATGTGCCCGAGGGTTGGTGATGATTTGCCACAACTTCCACCGGTAGTAGACGCCGCCGGGACTTCGTGCATCCCAAATCCATGCCCATTTCTCGTCCTTTTGCACTTCCGGCCGACTCATAAGCAACGCCTCGAATTCAGGTCCGTAGTTGAGGAGATTCTCAAGCGTCTTATGGATCAGCCTCAATTGCTTGATGTCCGATGGTGCTTGTACTTCGACCTGTGTAGAGCCTCTCCCAAGAGTCCGCCCATATGAATCCGGAGGCGCAAATCCTCGGTGAGGCCCTGGGGGTGGCGCTCGGTTCAAACTTCCGCCTAAAGTCGGTTGAATTGCCTTTGCACCAAATGGGAGTGACTTTGTTGTGGTTGTGCCAATGGTTGTTGGCAAAGTTGAATTGATGGCTGCAGAGGAATGGCCCTTGTGTATAGATAGGTAGTGACCCCGACCAAGGTACTTCTTATCAAGCATGCTGATGGCGCTATTGACGTCTGAAAGAGGAGTATCACTGGCGAGTGTAATGATAGCGGCTGCGGACTTTCGTTCGGTGGCTGATTGATTTGTTGGTCGGAGGATGTTCACATTGTCCACGGTTAGGAAAGATGGGATCAGTGACTTGAGCACAGAGGGTGAGGTTCCTAGTGGCAGCGATTCTAAACACAGAGTGTATCTAGCCGCTGCCTTCTCCGCCTCTCTTGCCTCTGTCCTGCGATCATCCTCATCGTCCGAAGTGCTGCGAAATGCCGATCGTGGGCCTGTTGGAATGGGGCCTGGCTGATCGTATCCCAAAATACCTTGAACTGAATCGCGGTTGCGCGGCGACGGCCCAAATCCTCGTTGATTACCACGCGGCGCGAGAGGACCAGAAGGAGGTGGTAGACTTCCTGGTCCACTGTTCCGTGTCCCGGAGCTTGAGAAGTGTCGCGATGGCCGCGCCCCTCCAAATCCACCCCCTCTGTTTCCAAATGTGCCTAGTCCTCCATCTGAGGCTCGGGGAGCTGTCGACGTATCTTCTTCGAATGACTTGACAAAATCTTCGTAAACCGCGGCGGTTTCGGCCTTTTCGCGGGCGCGTTTAGCTTCGGCTTCGGCTTTCGCTTTCTCGAATGGCGACTTCTTGGGCAATGCAGAGGCTTTGGCGTCCAGTTCGAGGAAGCTTTTCCCCTTGAAATCGTCCGGCATGGTGCGGAAGAAGCTGAAGCTGCAGCAATAGCTAACCAGCCAGCTATTGTTGAATGTTGAAGCAGAGAGATGGACGAGAGCTATCGTCTTTCCCAATCAGGAACCCCATCGACGCGCGGGCGGTGAGCAAGGCGGTCTCTTATGACCCTCTCTCATGGGCGTCATATCAGCTCCTGATGGAGATGGGCAATACATAGCAGACGAAAAGGAACAAGAAACACTCTTGATCGAGGACTAGTGCCCATCATGTCAACTGCACAAGTTCCAGTTCTCCTGCGCTTCCTGACCCAAGATGCCAAGGTCCCGCTCGCCACTGCGATAGGCAAGACACCAGAGCTCCAGAAAGCTAACCTTAGCAGGTGAGCCTTGCCTAAGACAATGGTTCATTTCTCTATTCGCTTACTTACGGCTATGCAGCGCAGATCAAATAGCTAAAGCAGACATTCAAGTCCTCCGGGACATTTTCAAGGATCAAAAAGTCGCCAAACAAGTACTCAATGCTGGCAAACGAGTCTCCAAAAAGCGTGGAGCCCCGACTGACACCACAGCGGCGTCGCCAGAAAAGAAAAGGAAGAATGTCAACATCACGAAAGAGTCAACTCCATTTGAGATCGAGTCAGCGCTCAGTTTGCCAACCCCATCGGTCCCCGACAGCGAGCTTCAAGGCATGGTTGTTGTGACAAATCGAGCACCTTTGGTGCTTGCTTTCGCTGTCTGTGTCTTGAGATACACGATGCCTGAACAGCCTATATCAAGCAGACTGAGTCTTGGCCAGGCGCTTGTCAGTGCCAACAGTCGTTCCAAAGCTGTCAGTCTAGGCATAGAGAATGGCCAATCAGCGGAAGAAGAAGGCTGGGGCGAAGGCCAGCCCGTTGTCAAGGTTCTTGGAAGGGAGATTCGAGTGTTAAAGCGCTGGGATTATAACCCGCGTGAAGGGCAACCTACTGCCCCGCCAATTCAAAAGGCGTCAAGTTCAAATCCGGACCTAGCAGATGACTTTTTGGGCAATGGTGATATCAATGACGCCGATAAGATGCCTCCGCTTTGGGGCGTTGATCTAGAGGCTGCGCGAAGCTCTCAAAGAAATCCAGACTCGAAGAAAAAGACCGGAGCTCTGCCAATATACACGGCTCAGTCCGCCCGGTCGTATCTTCTGCGGTCGATATCGAATGTGCAGAAGACTCCAACCCCTTCTAAATCCAAGTCAAATACGGCGAAGGGCCAAGACAACGAAGAATCTGTTGCTTGTCTTCTGTCTGCCATTGACTTTGTCTGCCGATCATGGGCCACAAATCTGAACAAGGAAGAACTGGATCGGCGTGCGTGGGTTTGGTACCTCAAGGTTCGACCAGATGTTCAGAGTGGAGTTCAAGGCTGGGGACAGAAGGGGCAAGTGAAGATATCGGACATACTTGCTCTTCGAAATGACTCTTAATATTCATCTTCATCACGAACTTTATGAATCGTCTATTATTATCAAAGGCTGTGAACAGAGGATACATTATCACGATTATTGTTCATTGAGAGGAGTAGACGCTCGATGGAATACAATATACATGGGTACCACCTCCTACGACAACAGTAGAAATAATGGTGACGCTCAGGAATCCGAGGCGATAACTCTTGCCACTTCTTCAGCGATGTTGTAATTTATCACTTTCTGAAGTTGACCACCCATCAGACCCGGAAACAGTCCTGCAAAATATTAGTTTCATCATTGAACAAGATTGGCATGATTGTACTCACCCATTATCTTCAAGAAAGTATACATAGAGTACTCTTGGACCACGCCCATATCACGCTTCTTGCTCTGAGTCTGCTGAGCATGTTTCAAGATCTCGGTAACGCGGGGCTTTCGCAAAGCCATATACTGACTAGCTGCTCTCTTGATAACATATTTCAGGCTATTGCTCGTCATCATATTCTTCCCCGAGTCGCTTTGGTGAAGATGATGCGACAAAAGAAGCACAAAGGCCTCCACATCTTCCAATGCCTGAGACGAGCCTTGTCCTGAGCTTGGAGGAAGTGCATGGGCTGCATCTCCTACCAGAACAACGCCATCGCGCTCCCACGTTGGAAGGGGAGGAACAGTCCATGTCGGGTACATGCTGTCAACCTTAAGAGATTGGATGATCTTTTGGACGACGGGGTCTTTCCAATGGGAGTGTCGCTCACATAGTTGTCGAGTGACGTCGGCCATGTCGAGGGTTTTGCGATCCGGGCACTGTTCGATCTCATACGTGGACCACCATGCTAACGAGTCACCTGGCTCTGAGACGTGATATGGCGATTCGCGATTGGGAGCAGAGATGGCACTTTCAGAGAAAAAGTATCCGAAGAAACCATTTCCACCGAAAATGAAGTTCATAGAACCATCTTCGACGAGGCCTTTCACATCTGCTGATGGAATGAAGCCTCCAACGCCCACAAGACCCCTGGTAAATCCAGATTTATTAATGTTTTATTCTCGACAATGATTCTCTTGACATGACGATTTGACTCACTCGTAGTTCGGTGGGTAAGGGTCTTCCTTAGATTCCGGGAAGATCGCCCGCTTGGCAGTGCTTCGAACGCCATCAGCTCCGATCACCAGGTCTGCTTCCACTGAGGGGCTACCATCCACAAAATTTATAACGTTCTTGCCGTCTAAACTAGCGACGACCTCAGAAATACGCTTGTTGATGATATGTTCATCCGGGATTCGTGAACGCAAAGCTTGCCACAAGGAATGGCGACTGGCGGCCACCATATGCATGCGTTGCTTCTCCGAAGAGGTGTGACCGGTGGCATCCATGGAAACAAGAGACCACCCATGCTTGCTCTTCATATTGAATGTTGAAGCAGCGTATCCGCTGCGCACGACATCCCTCAGTAGATCCTCATCTAGTCGTCGTAGGACGTTGAGACCATTTGCGGCAATGCCGAGACCGCCACCTACGAGGAGTGTCGAGGAGTGAGTGTTGCTTTCTTCCTTCTGTTGTCTTTCTTCTGCAGTCACATTCAAGTCGGTACTGTATGCCTCGTAGATAATGATTTCATGGTCTTCAGAGGAAGTTGGAAGGTGCTTGCGTAATTCAAGGTATGCTGCGCATCCAGCGATGCCAGCGCCGATGATGACAATCTTCATTGAGCTTGCAGGGTAATTCTTCAAATTTCTTGGAGTTGGATGCAAGACAGGAACGACCGAAGACGATGGCGATCCAAGTATTAAATACCTAACAAGTGCCTATCCATGGTAGTATACATCGGTAGTCACGTGGGGCTGTCGCAAAGCTAACCTAACTAGGCTTAGCCTCATGGCTTAATTGAAGTGGGTCTCTCGTATCTCTGTTCGTTCATCTTCTGCACTAAGAGGGCAACTCAGGAAGAAAGCATCAGTGCTTTGGGCAAGTCTGGCCGCGTACCAGTCAGAAGATAATAGGCAGCAGTGAAATGATTCTGCTTCGCCACAAACGGGCTTGGAATAATTCCAACGATTCGTGCCTTCCTATTGATTCCAGAGATCATGCCACGGAATTTCAGATGACATGACCCGTTGACGGCAATGATCTGAATCTCGATGAACCCTAGCTGACCAGCAGCGGGTAATTATGTTCCCTGCCGAGATTCTTCATGCGGGAACCCCCGGATTGTAACGTTGTAGTATGTAGGAAGCCACATCTCCAAAGAGTTCTCTCGAGGAAATCGAATAGCTTCCATTGTCTTCATTCTGGCCGTCAAGTCCCGGCAAAAGATCCTCAGCACTAAGTCCCATTTCCGGTGGACTCCAAATGCTGATAATCTTGAGCGGTAATCCCACCATCACTGACCCACGGCTAGAAGCAGGGCTAGGAAATGTCGCAACGAAATCCTTCGCCAACAATATCGATTTGACATGTCGCTGAATTCTGTTTTCATATAGATTCGCAGTTGGTGAGACGACAAATGACAGCCGCAAGATGATGACATTGACTGCGTGGAATAGTGCCGCTAGTGAAGCGGTCGGCATGTCCACGTAAGGGATTAGCGGGAAATGCTCGGGATCACCGTAAAGATCTTGGAATCCATCCCTTGAAGTTCCCATCCACTGTACAGCATTCGCTTCAATAAAGTTGGTTGAGCAGATGCACTTTGTCCACCAAACATGTAGTTGTGACATTAAAGCTCCGACAAGCTTGGTCAGCTTAGTTTTGAGTTGATCGGCTCTTTCGTCCGCAGAATCTATCATCTCACTCGCCACGCTTAGACATGGTAACAGAGAGAGTAAGATATCCACAAATTCGTCAAACGCAGTCTTTGAGTGAACTTCAAATGGAATTCTCAGCCAGTCCTGGGAGGAGAAGACATGCTGCTGGCTTTTGAACAACGCGGCCGTGAACTACAGCGCCACGAGGGTGTCAGTAAAATGGGTAGCTGATTTAATCAAACCGCGTCTCATTTACTCACGGTCAAGAGCCTCAGATGCCTGAAGAGCTGGTGTAGGAATCCATCTCGACAACTTGCTAGTCCGCCAGATTCGAGCATCCTTGCTGCACCCTGTACATGCTGGAACCATGCCTCGCCGGACGTCCCGGCAGTAGTCTCAAAATGAGCGAGCATCACAGCCGAACAAATTATATCACCAGTGAATACGCCTGTCTGCAGGGATAGTAGACATCGCAGTCCATGGAGGGCCTTGAGATACCACTTATTGGCTTCGATGCATATAGAAACGTCATCCACTAATGAGCCATAGAAGAACATCGAACCAGCTCTGATAGAGTTTTTGACGAGTGGTGGATATGGCGATGTGATGAAAAAGGCTAGCTTGTCTAGCCAGGTTGACGATGTTCTATTAGCTGTAGATTCCTTGAAGCCAAATGACTCGATAAAATGGGAGACAAAAAGTTGATCAAAGAGATCTGCCCGGCACGGCTGGTGATATGATGGTAGTCGAGGAGCTAAGTATTGGTCATAACTCCACAAATGAGCCTCGCTGGCCATTGATGGGGCCGTCAAATCTATCGGCACTCGCTTCGCTATCGACTTAGTTGATGTCGACTCTGGTAGGGCATGCACGAAGAAGGCTCCTGTTCGGGCTCCAGGGCAGTTCAAGCCCATCTTCAAGCACTGTGAGCATGCTGGATATGATTCATCGCACTGTAGAGGGCGTTAGATGGCAAAGTCCCGGGGTGATTTGGATTTCGACCACTGACCTTGATCTTGCGCTTGCGACATGTCACACATCCTTTGCTTCTGCCTGGAACATTGACCATGGCTATACCGTAGCATATGGTACGTAAATCAAACTCATTTCCTAAGTCGAGGCGTCTGTCATATACGTAAGAAATGTCGATGTAGTAGTGCGACGGGGAAAGTTTGATGCCTGCAGGCTGCGATACGTCTGCTGGCCAAAGTTCCCGGAGCCCTGATTGGTCGATGGAAGGCTGGGACCGTAACGTAATGAATGCCAAGACCTGGCCACACCCAAGTACACGAGCCTGCAGGCATATAGGATTTACAAGGGGTTCAATTCTGAAATATCCTATATTTGTCATCAACTTCAATGAATTCATTCGGGATATCTGGGCCAGTATATTCTCCTGCCATCGTTTCCATGATCTTCATTAAATCATACCATTACATAAGTGCGGTGTCAATCGACCCATCAAGGTTCTAGAGCTTAGGACCTCTCAGTTTCCTGGGGCTCAATTGTCTCCACATTGGCAGCAGTAGGCTTGCCGTAGTTACCTTCCTCCAGCTCCAGCTCCTTGGCACTTGGTCCCTTGACATTAATTTCAGTGTTACGATGAAGATCCATGCTTTCCTTCTTGTAGATGTTCACATAGTTAGGAAAAATCAGAGCAAGTATGTAACCCATCACGGGAATAGCCATCGCAGTATGGGCATTGACCCGAGTCTGGAAAAGAGCCTCCAGGTTAGCCGCGATGAACCAAGAAATGGGTGAATAGGAGAATAGAGAGAGAGGTGACCTACCACGACAGCTCCAGTCATTGGAGGGAAGACCATGCCACCAGAAAGGCTGCCACGAGCATGGATCCACCAAGCTTGGTGTGGCGACCAAGGCCACGAAGAGCCAAGGTGAAGATAGTAGCGAAGCAGCACTAAGCTAGAGTTAGTCATAGGACCCAATGATTGAAGTCAGATGATAAGGACAGACCGATTCAAAGCAAAGAACGAGGATCAGCATCGCGATAGAGGTATGGCCATGGGTTGTCATGGCTGCAACTGTGAAGACAAAGCAGAGTGCCAAGAACACGGTCAACATGTAGCGAGGTTTGAAGGCTGGCATCATCATCAAGCCAGAGCATACGAAACGCATGAATGCATAGAGACCTTGTGCCACAGCAAGCAGATCGGCTATAGAAGTATATTAAAAGCTAGACGATATTTGAGATCTCCAAGAGCCGAGGACTTACAGCTTTCAGCAGAGGTCTTACCGGTCTCTTTGCAGAAGTTGATGAAGTATCCAGCAACGGCGACTTGTGCTCCAACATAATAGAACTGGCTCCAAACACCGAGGAGCAGGCTGTACTGCTTCTTGAAGGGACCAGTGTTCTGATTGCCCTCAACAATCTGGCTTTCCAAGGCCTCTTGGTCGGCATCGGTGATTTCGGGGAAGGGAGCAAGCCAGAACAGAATAACTAGCAGGGAGACGAAGCAAGCAACGCCCAGATGCGTCAACTGGACGTTCTTCCAGCCAGCATGGGTGTCAACGGTATTGGCAAAGAAGACGCGGAGGCCAAGAGGGGAGCAACGAAGGTTCCAACTCCCTGCACGGCTTGTCCGAGGTTGAGCCGAATTTCACTGTACTTGGGCGGACCGCAAATGGCGAGAAAGCTGTGGAATGAAGGTGTGAGTATCAAGTACCCCCAAAGTTTGAGTTTGGTGATGAAAGACTTGAAAGACTTACGGATCAGCTTCAGTCTCTAGAGTTGACAAGCCAGCTCCGACGACCTGTCAAGCCACGTTAGAAAGAGTTGCGTATCAAGGGTGATAATCTCCGGGCGAACCTACAAACATTGCTACCGCAGAATCCACCAAAAGATCTCTTCGCACCACTGGGCCAGAATAGAAGACATCCAACGGCAAGCACAGCAAGACCTAGAGAGCACCGAGAAGTTTAGGATGTTCCTAGAATCAGAGAAACAGAAGAAAACTATGTCTTACCAGTCATGAATGTGACTTGGAATCCATACTTGCGAACAATCCATCCAGAGATGGTCTGTGGACAGATGAAATAGGCGGCGAAATATGAAGCCTGCAAGCGACTAGACTCGGTTGCACTGATGTTCAAGGTCGTTTGGAAGTGCGAGTTCAGGGTATCCAGCAATCCATATGCGAATCCCCAGAGGAAAAAAAGAATCGTGACTAAGAACAAACATCACAGTGTTAGCTGCCAAGTTTGGGAATGACTCCAAAGGTCTAATAGCGGGTGACCTACCCAGTGCGTTTGGGAGCAAAGACTGTCGCAGTGTCAAGTGGACGGCCGAGGTAATGGCGCTGTCCTCGACAGTGATGTTCCGCTTATACAACCCAATGATGAATTGGGTTTGTTGCATTGAAATATGTATGAGCTTCAATGGGTTACCCTCCAAGTCTCAAAGGCAATGTAATGAAGAAAGAAGCAGTGGACCATTGCCATGATAATGTAAATGTCTGGTATTGAACGGTGAAAAATCGGGGTACCAAATCCGCAGGGCATGAATTTTATCTCTATACCCGAGCTGGAGACCGGGCAAACACTGCGAACACCAGTATGGGTCAACAGCTAAACGTCCTTGAGAACGACCTTCCAATAGGTTTAAGAGTCAAAGGACGCAGGTGGAAGGGAGCCGGAGCGCAAGGAAAGCCGGGAGATATTTATTTCCACTTTGGTCAGGCTAACTACACCTACCCGGAACCTTAGGCAACTAGGTAGTGGATATGGCTACACAACGGGCAGTGGGCAAAACCAACCAAAAGTGTAGACCATGGATGGTAATATGTCATTTTTCATGTATATACGAGCAAGACAAGACTATAGCAGCCTGCAGCATCCATGTTATAAGCCAAGAGAAGATCGAAAGTGAACTATGCTATTCCACGAAGCAGCAAGTGGGGAGACAGGAGAAGAAGGGAAGAGGAGAATATAGCAGCGAGAACTTTTACCCACTATGTCTCAGGGCTGTCATCGTTAGTTCTATTGAGCTGCCAATCCAAAGACCCTTCTTCTGTCTTGGTATCTCCCGATTCCAAACTTAATGTAATGGAATGAATGGTCTTCGATTAATTTGTGCGGCGGGAAGAATGTGGTTATCTTATTAAATGAGCATAGCAATAAGTTATGATGATAAACGCGTTACAAGTCATTAGTGTGCGTTGATGTCTCGAGATAGACTTGATGAGAAAATGGAGCAACCCTTGCAACTGATCCCAAGAGTCGAGGCATTGGTAGCTAGAAAGTTGCAAAATTCTAGCTCTCCCTTGCTTGAGCAGAAACAGATCTAGTGATTCAATAGTAGTGAACTCCTACTCTTGCCCGAAGGAGCGGTAAAATTGATGTGTTCTCTTCGGATGATCTCATTATACAAACCGGTCCACAACACGCCCCACTACTGTAGAAAGAATACATATGTGACTTGACCAATGGCAAAGGCTTAGATGGATGTTTTCAACCATGGATTGAGCAAACAAAGGAACACTTGATGGAAAAGAAATGGTGGTCCTGTTCTGCTTCCCCTACCGAGTACCTGGCTAGGATAGGGCGATGAACGCGTGGCTGGTACCCCGAGTGGAAAGGCTGGACTGGCCCATCAGCAACTTTGATGGGGGCCGAAACGCCGCTATCCGCCCAAGTCTCAAGGGTGGTGCTTGATCAACATAGCCTTAGCCTTGGCGAGGTGAACGGAGGCATCGAATTCTATTTTGATGTTGTTGGTATTTAAAGAACTTTCTTGTTTAGGTATTGATTGTTTGTACAGAAGTATATTCTTCCACAGCCCAACGGGAAAGATCCGAAATGCTAAGTCCAGTAGTCTTCTTGGCAATAGTAGTGTGTGGCCCCGTTTCTTTCCAGATACCTTCCACCGTTCCATGGAAACGAGGCTTGTAGTGATTGTTGTTACGGGTTCTGTTTCCGACGTGATCGACAATATTTGAGGCGTGCTGGAGTAGGATGGGCTAGCATTGACGGTATCGGCAAGAGAATTATCTCTAACAAGTACTGTAAGATCCCCTCATCCTCGATCATCGAGGCGGTCGACAGAGTCTCCAGTACTCCGGTGGATGTGGCCGACATACCCGCTTGACTGACTACAGTGATTCTTTCTGACTGGCACGGGTAACGGTTAGTCCGCTTTTTAAGACATCCAATGTATGGTCCGAGATATCCGCTGGCCAATCTTCAGCCCTGCTGGGGCAGGTTTGGCCAGATTGAGTTTTCTCACGCCGGTGGGTTTGCCAGGTTTTTTTTTGTTAAGGACTGCAAATTATTGCCCCTTGAAAGGTCGTTCATTTGTACCCGCCGGTAAGTTGGTTGTTGGGTTCTACCCGAGAACGACCGATTTTAAGCAGTTGTCGTTACTCGTGGGCGAATAATGGTCCACAATAATCACACGATGAGTATGTGAAGAAGCCTTGAGTTATGGCCGGAAATTTTCTCAAAGGATGCATAACAGCCATGGCAATGTTGCCAGAAAGCAACCACTTAGCTTCTCGGGCAGATACCGAACACGCATGGTGCTTCTAGGCTTCGAGACAAGTGAGCACACTCCCATTGGTTGATAGGAATCTGATTCTAGATTTGATTATGAGAAGCGGCTGCACAACGACAGTCGAATCAGTCGATTTCCCAGGCTTGGGGTGGGTGGCGAAGCCCCGACCCACCGTGCGTAGTCAGAGGTGAGTCTAGTCACTAGTCTGGTCGCCCTAGTGGCCGTAGCGCACACGGAGGAGTCCCAGTCGATCATGCCCAGTCACAAGGGTCTGGTTTGTCCCTTTTCAGGGCCATGGGGAAACTTCCCTGGATTGGGCAGGGTCTCTGTAAAGAAGAGGAATCAGTCGAGAAAAGCAAAGACGAGAAATCAGCATGTTTGTTTATCGTAGGGTAGAAAGAAAGAAGCGGCATGCCCCGTGATATCAGCGATTACCACGTCATTTCAAGTGGTTCGTACAAAAACACCAGTCGACCTGGTCGCAGCGCAGCAATGCCCCCTCCCCCCGAGGTATTACCGCCGTAAGTCTCAAACTTGTTCCCCCCCCCCCCCAGAGGACCGCCCCCATCCCTCAATCCTCAATCTCACCCTCGTCCTCCTCCCATCCCATCTTCAACATCCTTCACCACCCACCACCACTACCAGGCAACCCAAGAATTCCCGATCGTCGCTCTTGATTGCCCACGTCGACGACCGCTCCGCCTTTCGTTCCCCTTTCTCACCCGCCACCCATTCTTTCCGGGGGCCAACCTGCGGAAACAGATTGAACCGAATCAAGAGGTGGCCCGACAGGGCTGCCGTTAACAAGGAGAAATGTCTGGACACATTTCATCCGATCACTCTCGCTCAGCCTCACGATCCTCCCAAACCCCTCGTTTGTCCCAGGGACAGGCTTTTGAGCCTATGCCTCGCCAGTCCTTCGGTCGCAACTCCCGTGTCTCCAATCCTAATGTCTTCTCCGACGAATACTCATTAGAGCCCATCGATACCGACGATCAAATCGAACGAGCTCCCTCTCCCGCCTCTGTCTCTTCCTCCACCACGCTTCGCTCTATTCACCACCCGCATAAAACCGTCAGTCAGGCCACGACGGAGAATGAAAACCCATTCGGCGATGATGCCCGAGTCTCCTTTGAGGAAGCCCGTCGATCGAGTCTTCCTCAGAAGGGCATGGGCGGTTTCTCCACGAATCGTGGCTCGGTCGCTTCGGTCAACAACAGCCCTTTTGCCGTCCAGCGAAACCAGAGCGTCTCATCTCGATTCTCGATACCCCGCGCCATGAGCCCCTACTCCGGAGCGACCGGACCAAGCCATCCTTACGCCATGTACCCCCAAGTTGGAGTAAGTCGTTCACCGAGTGTTGGAAGTACCTCGACCATTCGCCAGCACGATCGCCCGCTAGGTGAATCGAGCGGTCCTCAACATCCTTACGCTATGTATCCGCAAAACGTCGTCGAGGAAGGGATGGATGACGATATAATTCCTGTTGGCTTCCCTGGTCACAACCCACCTTACCAGCCGCCCCCGGGCCGTCGGGATAACGACGTGGGCGATATCATTGGAGCAGATGGGCACGCGGAGCCATTACCACCCTATTCACGCTATCCGACAGGGGCGGTCCCGAAGCCTCCGGGTGTCGAGACCATAGCCGACATGCACACTCCAGAGACGCAACAACTCCATTCGATCTCAAGAGACCAACCGCAACCAGTTTCGGAAACTTCAACGAGGCCTCTGGTCCCCCTGTCTTCCGGAGGTACTACGGCTGTGGACTATAACGACGATGACGACCATAGGGAGCGCAGGGCTCCCATTACGGGCATCATGGCGTTCGAGGAGAAACTAAAACAGAAAGGCAAGAAGACTGCATGCTGCGGTATGCCTGTCTGGACCATTGTTCTTGTCGCGACCGTGATGTTGATCGGCGGATCCATTGGAGGCGCTATTGGGGGTGTGATTGGCGGCAAGAGAGCAGCCGAGCATGATCGAAAAGCGGCCCAGTCAAATGGCCCGCAGATTGTGACTGTGACCGCAACACCGCAGATGGACTACTCGACAATGACGAGTACTCCGACAAATCTCAAGTCGGTGCCAACGGGCCATTATTTCGTCCCTGCTCAACTGCAAAACTCTTCGCGAATGTGTGTTGAGGATAGTCAGTTCAGACATGCTTGGGGTTGCATGGACAAGCCGACCAATTTCGATGTTGTTGTTGGCGGGGATCGTGGCCACCACTCCATAATCTTCAGCAGTACTGGCCCTACTTCCACGTTTACATATGGCGCTCAGCCTCCAATCCTTCCAACCCCTACCCAATCTCTGGGGTTCGCCATCGACACCAGCGACACCGGCTTGGGACCTGCTCTCTTTTTCTTCGCCAAATTCGACAAGCTGGTCATTGTACCTGAATCACAATTCCAGTCGTCGAGCTCTGTTTCAGCACGGTCAATCGTCGGGGATGCCTCGTTCTTGGATAGCCTTCATCGCATGCAAACAGCCAAACCCGGCGATAAGCCCTGGTTCTGCTATTGGAACCAAACGATGATGGAATTCTTCATCTACGTCAACCAGACGACTGCGGAGGGCTCGAGCACCACCACTACAACCGCTACCGACATGGGAGCCAGCACAGCCACTGCTCAATCCAATAAACGTGGAGATACAGTTCTTGACTATCCACGAAAGATCAAGATCGAAGAACGACGCGACTTCGCCGGAGCTCGACCACCTTACTGCCAGCAGATGCAAGTGGGGTCTGATGGCCATATTGTTGCTATTCAAAGTCAGGTCATTAACATCAAGGAGCGGGAGCCCACCCCGACGACTACCTACATCAACACGAGTGGTGGCTCCTCGCAGACGTACACGGCAAAGGCACAGTTTGCAACACCGTGTTATTGTCTTTCTACGACTGATTAGTGTTCCTCTTTTCTCCTTGACGTTCGAGCGAGTTTGTCCTTCTTCTTCATCATGGTTTTTCGGTCTGGAAACCTCCGGCGTTGGCGTTGATTAGCCGTGGAACTACCAAATAGTATCGGCTTATGTGCACATGATTGTCATCTTCCGTCTCTTTTGTGTCATTTTACTACCCTCCTGTTTGAGACCGTCTTTCCGAGCTTGACGGCCTCGCAAACGATATTTTGATTTCTTTTGATTTCATCTTTTGGCATTCCGTTCTTATATTCGGATTATCCGATTTGTGACATGATATGATCGTCTATTATTTTGCGTAACTTCTCTTCCCTTCCTTGGTTATATATGGTCGTCCTGACCTTCTTGATTGTTGCGTGACATTGGAATATTCTTGGCGTTCTTCGGATATCGAATATGGTGCGGGTTGGGGTGACTTATCCTCGAGGTCTGCGAGTGCCATACTTCTTCTGGCTTTTTCTTTTTCCCGATTGGAAGGGGTCCAATAGGGCTGAATATTCTTCAAACATCTCATGATGCAGTAGCGCTGCCACCATGGTTTGTCCAATTATATCACAAAATATAGCCATTACTGGGGATTCTCGCCCGTATCTCGAGTAAGGAATCACTGTGTAGAGTAACCTCGCTCTTCCGATATATATACTGGTTCAGCTGCATGGTGAGCCATTTCCCAGTTCTGGATTCTATTTCTATTTGTCAAATATCATGGTCATATAAGTAAATAGAGCTCCGTGTTATTAAAGACGGGGCCGAAGTATGTTCCATTAATCCAAGAATCTTATCACAAGTTAAGTTCTACGTACGTGATTGAGTTTTTCGTAATAGTGTACCTGGTATAAACAAACCTAAGGCCTGGACGGCACCCGCCGCCTGCCTCGTGGTGACTAAGCACATATCAGGTGACCTGGCTTGGAATCCGACCAGCAGAAACACGCGACAAGTGATTCCCTAGTACTGGCTGGTGAAACGCCAAATTTCGGCTTTTGAAGGTCTCCAGGAATATTTCATCGTGGTTGCTCACAGTGCGAGCTGAGTGAGGGCTGCCTCACTCCAATTTTTCAGCTGTTTGCACCTGCACCACTCCTGCCTGACAGCCCAAAGCTCATGTTCGTCGGCCAGACACCTGAGGCACCCACACTTCCGACACCTCGCACCTTGCACACCAATCCTCCATCCTCACCTCATCGCTCTCCCATATTCCTCTTCCACACCCCCACCCCTATCCTTTCTTTCCATTTCCCCTCGACCGCGGAAATCGCATTTTCACCCTCATCTTTCACTCACCTGCATCGGTCTCATCTACGTCCCTATCCTTAAAAATCTGTCTGTGGACCCTCCAGATCAAATGATCGCGTCTCCTAGATGACCTTCCCTCCCCCACACCCTTCCGCCCAATCCTCGATTGCTTCTGGCACCGATAAATCTTCCTCGACCAGGACCGAGATTGGTGCCTGGGGTCGGTCCTCGTCGCAGTCCGGAATCCGTCGTGGGTTGACTCCCCTCGCGACCAACCTTTCCTCCTCCGCCGTCCCCTCCACATCTGCCCGGGGCTTGGACGCAGGCCCTGGGGCTTCGACACCTTCTTCATTCTCGGCTGTTCTGAGCTCCGCCAGGGCTCTTTCCGGGGGTAGCCCGAAACCTGCACCCTCTCCGTTCACTTCGCTGCAGTCGGGTTCACAGCAGCAAGCCCAGTCACTTTCCTCACCCAAGTTTCGCGCACACACCCCTTCCTCGGGTTCTCATTTCCCCTCCGCAGCAGGCCCCATCCCCGGTAGTGGAGGAACTGGGGGCGGTGGTGGACCCGGATCGTCTAGAGGTGTTGCCTTTTCACCACTTTCGTCCGGCACAACCGTGAATTCACCTACGGGCTTCGCTTCCGATAAGCCAGGCTCAGCAGCTCACTCAAGCCAGTCATCTCTCACGAAGATTTCGATTGCGCAAGTATTCCTCCTGTTGGACTCGATCACAGAGAAGGAAGGCAAAGAAAAGTGGGAAACAAAAGCTGCTCAAATCCACAAGGTATCTCTCTTTACAACTCCAGCCGCAGTTCACATTCGGTGAATGCTGACAACGGAATGAAACAGCTTGTCTCATCCAACGGAATGGAGGTCTACTCAAAGTATTTCCGCCGCCTGCTTACAGGCAATGCCCCGCAGATCTTCCCCGGCGTGAATAAGCCTGTTGAAAATGCCGGCAACTACCCCCTCCTGGTCCAGGAAATGCAGAAGGTCGCTCTAGACATTGAACAAGCACAGAAGATTGCTGACACGGTCGACACCTCTGAGGGAGATATCTTCCGCGATTTCGACCTCTCTACCTTTTTGGATCACTTCCGCCTCGACCCTGTTATGAAGGTTTCGCTTGCATTGGCCTTTAAGCTGACGAGCAAGTCTGATCTTCGAGCCAAGGGTAAGCTATATACCTTATTTCAACCCATCTTGGGAAGTGACCCACTGTTAACATCAATAATTCTCGCCAGCCGATGCCATTCTCTCAAACTCCATTACTCCCTTCCTTTCCAGCCTGGCGAATCCCTCCGAACCGACCAAAGACTTCCCGAACTCTTTCCTTGGCATGACAATTGAACGATTCATCCTATACCCCCCGCGCAATTTCACCAATGAGGTCAAGGCGAAGCTGGTTTACGCAAGCAATGTCCGCTTCCAAAAGCTCGCCCTGGATATGCCCCTCGAGGTTTCCTCAGCCTTGCAAATGTTCAACTTTGTCGATCCCGAATACACTCTCGTCCGACAGCTTCACGCTAAGGGACCTCGTGCCACCGCGAATACCGAGGCCATCACGGAGGTTATCAATGCTTCTGGGCCAGATGCTTGGAGTGAGGAACACTTGGCCAGTGCGATGCTCTTTATGATCTTGTCGCAGTACTGGCAACAATTCTCGCTGGAGACTCTTCTGAGCGCATATGCGGGCAAGCAAATCAATTGGGCTCTGGTCCTCCGGAGCTTTGATCGCGAAGGGTTGCGAGTTGACCCCCAGCAATTCTCTCGGCTGTTTGATGTGCTCTCCACCGTCGCTGCCAGTGACTCCTCTCTGGACCTTCAAAAGCTGTGGGGCGGAGACTGGGAGCATCGTGATGCACAGATCTCTCTTCTGACGGCTTTCATTGCCTCGCGCCCAGACCCAACGGTCATTCCTAACCTGCGTGCGACATTCCCTGAAGACTTCTTTGAGGACGCCCCGGAGTTTGTCAAGGTGCAAGGTGAACGTGCCGCCAAGTCCCCTCTTCGCTCCATAGATGCGATAAAGGCGATCTTTGATGTCGTGCTGTTCTCGCAGTCTTCGTGGGCTGCAACAGAGAGCCAGCTTCTCATTAAAGCCGTTGTTCAGCTCGATCTTCCGATTTTCCTCATTTCGGCTCTCACGATTAAACAGCCATGGACCGATGTTCAGACCAACTTTGTTCTGCGTACTTTCATCGTGTTCCTCTCGAAGCAGGAAGAAGGGTACCAGCTGGCTCTGAATGGAGCTTGGCGCCAGGACCGTCAATGGGTGGCAGGGAAGCTCTTCGATGCGTTCACGCAGGATCCAACTTCCACTGCAATGATCTATGAGCATGCCGCCGAGCACGGATGGCTTGACTATCTCCTCGGATTTACCAATGGCTTGGCTCTGGATCTCGCCTGCTACTCCCACCGCAAGAGCAACTTCGACCTCGAGCAATGGGTTCGCAATGCTTCTCAAAAGGGTCACATGAACATGGGCGATCTCTTGTCTAAGTTCCTCCGTATCAAGGCTGAGGATGAGCTCCATGTGCAACGAAAGGAACAGCCGGTACCGCAGATGGTCAGCCTTGCTGTGAAGACAGTGTACACGCTTCTGTCCGTCTTGGAGGAGTACGTCGGCGATCGTGAGAACCTCACTCCTGTTCAACGTATCTGCATTCAGACCTATCCTCGACTGATCAACTATGGCGAGGGGTATGACGATATCATTGACGCGAATGGTGAGAATGGCAATTCGCTCCCCGAGGCAATTGATAAGCAGATGCAAGATCTGTTCGGCAAGATGTACCACGAGGAACTTTCTTTGCGTGAAATGTTGGAGTTGATGCGGCAGTACAAGTCATCTCGGGATCCTACTGAACAGGATCTCTTTGCCTGCATGGTGCATGGCTTGATTGACGAGTACCACTGCTACCACGAGTACCCTCTTGAGGCTCTGACCAAGACTGCAGTCATGTTCGGAGGTATCATCAACTTTAGACTTGTGGATGGAATTACACTCAAGGTTGGTCTCGGCATGATTCTCGAGGCTGTCCGAGAGCACGAAGTGCACGACCCGATGTACAAGTTTGGTGTGGAGGCTATCGAACAATTAATCACCCGTCTCACCGAATGGGCTGGATTCTGTCACCTGCTCCTCCAGATTCCGACTCTGCAAGGTACTCAAATCTTCCAGAAAGCTGAGGACGTCCTTCATGAACAAGGGTCACAACTCGGTGAGGGCGAGCGATTCGATGACTTCGGTCCTACCACCTTGCCCAATGGCAACAACGACGATGCCTCCGCGACAGACGGCAGTCCCAGGAAATTCCGCTCTATCCAGGTTGATCCACCTCTTCGTTCGGATATTTATCACGATCCTGACGAGGACATTCAAGACAAGATTCTCTTTGTTTTGAACAACGTTTCAGAGCAAAACATCGATGAGAAGCTTCGGGATTTGCGTGAAGTCTTGCGCAACCAGCATCACCAATGGTTTGCTGCGTACCTGGTTGAAGAGCGTGCGAAGTTGCAGCCCAATTTCCAAAAGCTCTACCTCGACCTTCTGGGCCGAATTGACGACAAGATCCTTTGGGCTGAGGTCCTCAGAGAGACCTACGTCAGTCTCTCAAAGCTTCTGAACTCTGAAGCTACCCTCACCTCTTCCACGGATCGTGGTCACCTCAAGAATCTCGGCGCCTGGCTTGGCTCATTGACAATCGCGAAGGACAAGCCCATCAAGCACAAGAATGTGTACTTCAAGGGCCTGCTTTTGGAAGGCTATGATACCCAGCGCTTGATGGTTACCATCCCCTTTACCTGCAAGGTCCTTGTTCAAGCCACCAAGTCTCGGGTCTTCAGGCCTCCAAACCCATGGTTGATGGACATTTTAGGTCTCTTGCTTGAACTGTACCATTACGCGGAGCTCAAGCTCAACCTCAAGTTCGAGATTGAGGTGTTGTGCAAGGATCTCGACCTTGATCACAAGACTATCACACCAGCCATCATCATTCGTGACCGTACCGCCAATGTTGGCGAGGAAGCTCTGCCGCCGGTGGCTGCCAATATTCCCGAAGGGTTGGAGCCTTTCAATGATCTGGCCATCGGTCCTCTGGCTCAAGGCATCCAGAATGAGCGTTTGTCGCCAGCTGCAATCATGTCAACACTGCCTAGCCTTGACAAGATCCTTGTCCTGCCTCCCTCGGCGAGCAGCATGGTTGATCCCAGCATTCTTCGCCAGATCGTCCACACTGCGGTTGAGCGTGCCATCGCGGAGATCATTACTCCAGTTGTGGAACGCTCTGTCACTATTGCCTCCATCTCCACTGTCCAGCTCGTCTCGAAGGACTTTGCTACCGAGCCCGACGAGGAGAAGGTGCGACATTCTGCTGGTATCATGGTCCGACAACTGGCTGGAAGTCTTGCCCTTGTTACGTGCAAGGAACCGCTTAAGGTCAGCATGACCAACTACATCCGCATGATCCAACAAGAGTACTCTGATCAGCCTATGCCCGAAGGCTTGATTCTTATGTGCGTGAACGACAATTTGGATGCTGCTTGTGGTATCGTGGAGAAGGCCGCCGAGGAGAAGTCCCTGCCTGAGATTGAGAAGGTCATCGAGCCACAGCTGGAGGCACGCCGGCGCCACCTCGCTACCCGGCCAAATGAGCCATTCGTGGACCCTTCGATGAACCGCTGGGGTCTCTTCATTCCCGAGCCTTATCGCCAAATGCCCGGGGGCTTGAACAAAGAACAGTTGGCGATCTACGAGGAGTTTGCACGCCAATCCAGAGGCTCCGTCACAGCTCATCCCCAAAACGTTTCCACGGACTCTGGTCGTCAGATTCCTGATGTTCTACAGGAGGCTTTCCCTCCACCAATCCCCAACCTGTCAACCCCCGCTGAACAGCCGGCTGTTCCTCATCGCACTCCACAAGCGCAAAATGCGGCCGCTCAGATGGGTGTTCCCACGAACGGTTTCCTCGATGCCCAAAGCCCACGGGAGCGTGTCGAGTCTATGATCTCTGAGCTCCAGCTTTCTGCTCGGAATGCTCCCGAGGAGCACATCAAAGATCTTGGTCGGGACAGTACTGTTCTTCAGGAATACAATCAGGCCATGCGCGCTATTCTTGCTTCACCAAATGGGGAGGAGCTGGCCCGTTTAACCTCACTGAAGATCTGCACCACCCTCTACTCCCAGGCCTCTGGATCTCTGGAACTTGAGATTCTTGTTCACCTTCTCGCCAAGCTCTGCGATATGTCCTCCCTCATCGCACGGTATACCTGGGCGCTCCTGGCTGAGATTGATGACGAGCACATGTTCAACGTGCCTGTCACCGTTGCTCTCATCGATGCCGGTCTGCTAGACATTCGCCGGGTCGATATGGTCCTAACTCGTCTCATTCTCCAGAAGAATGTCAGCGCACTAGAGCTTCTCGAGAACCTGATGAACCGTGTGCTGTTCAATGACGAGCCTTCGGCTCTTCGGTCCGACTTCTCCGGAAGTTTGGAAGCCATGAGCCAGTGGCTCGCCGAAGATGCAAATGTTGCTCCCGCCTTGGAGATTGTCCGCAAGCTGCGCGATGTCGGCATCCCTGAAGTGGTCAACCCGCTTCTTACCGACCAGGCTCGGTCCAAGCGCGACCAGATGGAGTACATTTTCAGCGAATGGATTGGTGTCTACAAGGCCTCCGGTGCCAGTGAGCGCACTTACCTGTCCTTCCTTCAGGACATGCACAATCGCCAGGTCATGAACTCCCAAGAAGATTCGGCCCTCTTCTTCCGTCTCAGCATCGACATCTCGGTGGCCATGTTTGAGCATGAGTCGCAGAACCCCAACGGCAGCCTTGACGAAGCATTCCTGTATATTGACGCTCTCGCTAAGCTAGTCGTCCTTCTGGTTAAGCATCAAGGGGAGAGTACTGGCGCTGTCAAGGCCGATAAGCCTTCTTACTTCCACTCTATCTTGTCCGCTCTCGTGTTGGTCCTCAATAACCACCAGGTTATGCGGGGAGAGGCGTTCAATCAGCGTGTCTTCTTCCGCTTGTTCTCCAGCATTCTCTGCGAGTATTCATTGGCTGACCTGCAGCACCATGAACAGCACCAGGGCATGATCTTCGCCTTGGCGAACAAGTTCCTGTCGCTTCAGCCTCGCTACGTGCCCGGCTTTGTGTACGGATGGTTGTCCCTCGTTTCCCACCGTGTTTTCATGTCCGACATGCTCAACATGCCCGAGCGCGCTGGTTGGGCTCCCTATTGCGAGATCATGCAAGCTCTGCTTTCGTACATTGGCGAGCAGCTCAAGGCTGCTGAAATCCACTATGTCGCCAAGGACTTGTACAAGGGTGTGCTTCGCATTCTGCTGATCCTCCACCACGATTTCCCTGAATTCGTCGCCGAGAACCACTTCCAATTCTGCAATGTGATTCCTGCGCACTGCGCTCAGCTTCGCAACTTGGTTCTCAGTGCCTACCCTTCGTCCTTCCAGAAACTCCCGGATCCGTTCCGCGAAGGACTCAAGGTTGAGCGCCTCGAGGAGATGCGGGAGATCCCCAAAATCGCTGGCGACATCGCTGCCCCTTTGCAGCAAGCTAATATCAAGCACGTCATTGATGCTGCCCTGCAAAGCGATCAGGCTTCCGATACCGTTGTGCAGCAGATTTGCGAGGCTGTCGTTACTGCCGAGCCTAGAGAGACTGCTCTCTTCTACGTCCCGATCAATGTGGATGTTGTTCTCGTGAACGCCCTGGTCCTCTACATTGGCCAACAAGGTGTTGAGGAACATGCCTCGAAGAGCAACACTCGCAGTGCTTTCGAGACCTCGGCCCATGCCACCCTTCTGGAGAAGCTTGCCCAGGCCATGCAGCCTGAGGCCCGTTACTACCTGCTGAGCGCTATGGCTAATCAGCTGCGCTATCCCAACAGCCACACTTACTTCTTCAGCTTCACAATCCTGCGCTTGTTCGGTGTCGACTTCTCCGAGACCGATGATTCTGATATCCGCCAGCAGATCATCCGTGTCCTTCTGGAGCGACTGATCGTCCACCGTCCACACCCTTGGGGTCTTATCATCACCCTGCAGGAGCTTCTCCAGAACCGAAGCTACTCCTTTTTCCGCCTCCCATTCATCCAAGCGGCTCCCGAGGTAGGAAATAATGATCTTTGGAGTCTCATCGAATTATGCTCATACTTTTGCCCACAGATCGGTCGACTCTTCGATGCCCTGCTCCAACACATCCAACAGCAAAGCCCCCGCCCCGCCGCATAGGCTCCGCCTCTTTCTCCCTCTCCCCCTCTCGTCACATCATCTTTAGTCGGTAATTCTACTATCTGCCGCACCACACTTCCCTTCTCAATGTATTCTTCACGGTGTTTTTTGCTTTCACGGTTTCATTATTATGTCTTATGGGATATGCCATGGGGATGGCATGCATCTTTTCTTATTCGTCTCACGATGTTCGCATGACCTGAGATCATATGATATTTTCTTTTCGCTCCGAAGACGCAACCTGTAATGACAAGATTGTAAAAGCTGGAGTTGATGGTTCTTTTTTCCCTCTTGTTTCTCATCTGTTTTCTGCATCAACGGTGGGGGGTTTCCTAATGCAATCTATCATTTGCGTTCGTGTCTTTGGGGCGAGATTTGATTGTTATATTGTTATTAGAGTACAAATATGATTTATATCATAAATTCTGTTCGAAATTGTAGATAAAATGTGTTTTGTCCGGCGTATATCTATATATCTAAGCTTGGTGGGTGGGTTGCAGAGCTCTTGGAGGCAGCTCCGATAAGCAGCTCTTTAGATCGCCGCGTCACGACCTGCCGAGGAACTTGCTTCCAACAAACACCCACTCGCTCCTTCACCAACCCCCTCAATATGGCGGAATCCGAGTACAGCGACGATGAGACAGAATATGGCAGCCCTTCGCACTCACAGGCCGTCATCATGGTCAGTTTGGCTCCTTCGAAGTGGTGAATTTGTCTAACATGTGATAGGACGCGCTCCTGACGCCATTCCGCGCCCTGGTATCCAAGACCGCACTCCGCATTTACCTCAACATAATCCTATTTTCTGGAGCTACATTGCTGCTCTTGGGCATTTCTGGGATCGCATACGCAATCTTCTACTTCAGATTCATCCCTACGGTCGGGGTTGGCCGCGAAATCCACTTGCAGTTTGGGTACGACTGCCCGCATCCTCCTCCCCGCACAATAACAACATACTGACTCCGGTGGTTTTCACAGCGATCTCAACCCCTGGGGAATAGCGACCTTTGATTCCGAGTTTGTCTCTTCCCAGCCCTACGATGTCGCCGTGGCACTCGACCTACCCCGCACACCTACGAATCTTGACGTAGGCAACTTCATGATCGACCTCACTCTCTACTCTCCCGAGACCGCATCCGTGCTTCCAACGACGGCAAACTCACAGAATAAGATCTCTCACTCGCGCCGACCGGCTATTCTCACATACACATCACCTCTTGTGGATTTTGCGCGGAAACTGGTTCGCCTGCCGCTGTATGTGGTGGGTTGGCGCCGTGAAGCTGAGACCCTCGAGGTGTCGATGATGGAGAAGGTCGAGTTTGCGCGAGGCAGCCGGAACCGACCGCAAAGCTTACGGCTTGAAATTCAGAGCGAGAAGAAGATGCAGGTCTACTCGGCACGTGTTGAGTTCCGTGCCAGGTTCACAGGGCTTCGGTGGGTATTCCTTGATTAATCTAGTGGTGGGAGTACTTGCTAATTGCATTTTTAGGTGGTTCATGTACCGCTGGAAGTTGACTTTCTTTATGGTGTTTAGTTCTTTGTTCTGGACTGTCTCCATGGCTTCTGCAAGCTTGACCTGGTTCATTCTGACCTGGATCATGCAAGCCGAGAAGCCAGAGGCTGCGATCAAGGAAGAGGAAGATATTCCTGAGGCTATCAAAGAAGAGCCTGAAGATAGTAGCTCATCCAGTGACTCTGTCAAGATCAAAAAGGAGGAACCCGAGACCAAGAGCAGCTTTCTTCAGAGCTATCCAGCCGAGGGCGATTACCCGGGCCTTGGCTCTGGACGGGAAAGTGCTGAAGCACGCGGGGTGCAGAAACGAAAGAGTCATACAACCGAGGGTGATCATTGAGAGCGATAGTCACGAGAGTTAATGCATGCAGCTTGAAATACCCATAATAATTAAGTCCTGATAATCTAGGTGAAGTAATGCCAAGGAGTGGTGACATGATGTGATTTGGAGGTTCCCCGATCCGATAAAAAGCGATTCTGCGGGGCAAGTCTCTCGTCTCTCCGATTTCTCTCTTTCTTCCCCTCCATTTCCCCCCAATTGCCCAACCCAACATGCACATCCTGGTCAGTACTGCTCTCAAACGCCTTGAAATCCTGCGACGTATATGACTGATTCCTACTTAGGTCACCAACGACGACGGTCCGCCCTCGAACCAGTCGTCGCCCTACGTTCATTCCCTCGTCCACTCGCTCCAAGTCGCGGGCCACACAGTCTCCGTTGTCCTGCCTCACCAGCAGCGCTCATGGATCGGTAAGGCGCATATTGTCGGCGCATCCGTGAAACCTACATATTTCCGCCCGGGTACCTTGCATCAGGAAGATGGGACGATACACCACTTGCCGAGGGGAAGCAATGGCGAGCCCGATGATGGCGGCGACGAATGGATTCTGATCGACTCGACCCCGGCCAGCTGTGTCCAGATCGGACTCTACCACTTCTTCCAGGAAAAGGGCCCGATTGACGTCGTGGTGTCAGGTCCCAACTATGGCCGCAACACCACGGCGCTGTTTGCTCTGTCGAGTGGAACTATCGGGGGCGCCATGGAGGGTGCTGTGTGTGGGAAGCGCTCCATTGCTTTGTCTTATGCCTTCAGTTCTCGAAACCATGACCCCGTCATTATTAAAGAGGCATCTGAGCATTCGGTTAAGGTGATCGAGCACCTCTGCGCCAACTGGAAGGAGGGCGTGGACCTCTACAGTGTCAATGTCCCCTTGGAGCCTGGTGTGAGCCAGAATAAGGTTCTCTACACGGAAATGCTGGAGAACAAGTGGACTTCTGGCAGCTGCTTTGAACCTGCTGACCCCGCGACTGGCGATGACCCGGAGCTTCAAGAGCAGCGACTGCGTGATGTGGGCGAGAACACCGGAAAGAAGGCCGATACGGATGAAAGCACGACTGATAAGCCCGTTGGGCAACCTAGGATCAAGCACAAACACTTTAAATGGGCGCCTAACTTCCAGGATGTGTATCGAAGCGTGGAGGAGGGGCCTGCCGGCAATGACGGTTGGGTCGTCAAGGAGCAGATGACTAGGTGAGTTGCCGTCTCGTGTTTTTCTGGGGAAGTCAGTTGCTAATATCATTTCTCCAGTGTCACGCCTCTTATAGCGAGCTTCAAGCATATGCCCGGTATCACGGGAGAGATCAAGCTGTGAGTGGAATTTTAGGCATGATGGTTTTGAAGGTTTCGTTTCAGATATACATACTACAGTGCGCTTAGCTATCTGGCCTAGCTGATAGACCTCATGCTCCCTTATTCCCATTTGATATTCTGAGTTTTCTCTTATTTTTTTCTTTGCAATGTTACTTGATATACTTGGGACGGTTCTGATAGAGGAGGTGTATGTAGATCAGATAAACAGCCAACGATATTCTCCATTGTCGACTGTGACGATCCCTACGTTCAAGATCTTGTCGAGCGAGCACTCAAATACCGTCTCGGAGATACTGCTTGTATCAAGCGCATCTCAGATCTATCCGAACTTCCCGATCCCACTGCACCTTTTTTCCAGTATCGCGAGTACGAGCGACTGGACTTTGAGCATATAATGTCGCACTCGTCCACTTCCCTTGCAAACGCATACATCATCCGCAAGGCCCTGATCCGCAAGCATTACCTGTCCAACACGGTGGCCAATTGGATCTCCAAGCATCCGGACAGTATTCTTAAACATCATTTCAAGCCGGCCTTCGATTTTGAGCTCGACTACTCCGAGTTCCTCGACGAGGCCCTTCTGGAGGCATACGAGCTTCGCGAAAGCCTGGAAAAGAACGAAGAACGCCCAGACTCCGAGAAGGAATGGTGGATCCTGAAGCCCGGGATGAGTGACCGCGGACAAGGGATTCGCCTCTTCAGCAGCGAGGACCAACTCCGCGAAATCTTCGAAGAATGGGACGAAGAATCCGATGTCGAAGACGAGAGTGGTTCTGAAGATAACGTCCCTCAGACCACAACTCCCGCCGCACACGACGATGGCGTCGTCACTTCTCAACTCCGTCACTTCATGGCCCAGCCATACATCGATCCCCCACTTCTTCTTCCCTCGTCCTCGAACCGTAAATTCCATATCCGCACATACGTCCTCGCCACCGGTGCTCTGAAGGTGTATGTTTTCAAGGAGATGCTCGCCCTCTTCGCTGCCAAGTCCTACTGCGCACCACACGAATCAGAGGACGAAGTCCAAGATCTAGCCCGCCACTTGACAAACACCTGTTTCCAAGAAGGCGGCGCCTCCAACGAGGGCAGCGTGCGTCGCTTCTGGGATCTGGATCACCACGTTCCCGGCCTCTCAGAAGACTGGAAGGGGAAGATCTTCGAGCAGATTTGCGCCGTTACAGGTGAAGTCTTTGAAGCCGCGGCCCGAGGCATGATGGTTCATTTCCAGACATTGTCTAATGCATTTGAGTTGTTTGGTGTTGATTTCTTGGTGGATGCGGAAGGCAATGCGTGGTTATTGGAGTTGAATGCGTTCCCTGATTTCGCGCAGACGGGCGAGGAGTTGAAGGAGGTTGTTGTTGGGCGGTTGTTTGAGGAGACGATTGATGTTGCTGTGAAGCCGTTCTTTGGGCTGGGTGGGGATGATGGGGAGGGGAGTATGAAGTTGGTTGCTGATTTGGATCTGGGAAGACATGCATAGACGAGAGATTGGAGATTCGGGGGTGGGGTGGTTGAGTGATTGGTTTGGGTTCTTTTTAAACTGGGATATAAAGATAGGATGGGCGTTGTGGATTGAGATGGTATACCCATCGATTAAAAGCTTGTATACACTTCAATTCAAAGATATTAGTACATTTTGAGAATACTGGGTATCTACAGACAGGCACCTAAAATCAAATTGTTCGTCATCACGATACTGGAGAATTACCAGCTACGCGGGGCACCGGACATCAAGTTTTGGAAAGATACTTGGACTCGTGTCCCGGAATCAGTTATTTCGGCAAAATTGGCATAGAATGGTTGTCATGATGTGTAACCGATTTGTTATTTAGATATCTAACTTTGAACGAAAGTTAGGAATTTCTTGTCGTTGAATTTCACATGCAAAGCCCTTCAGGTTTGTCTGCATTAGGCCAGCGTCTCGGAGTGCGGTTGAGTCCGAGGCTCTGCGCCAGGTACTTGTCAAAGATCCATGCCACTATTACCCCTAAATCCAAACGAAGCAAGCTGGCCACCAAACAGGGACTCTAGCAGGTTCGTACCATCAATACCGCCCATAGAGGCATTGTACTCAGCTTCCCAACCCGAATTTGTACTAAAGCCTCGACTGATGAATCCCTGGGTGGATAAGCGGAGCCTCACTTGCTCACGTAGATTGTGTAGAAAGGCCCACAGTCGTTCCTCATCACTATTTCCTTCTCCTGGATTGCCGCATTCCATATCCACGTCGGCAATGGATTCCCAAGCTTGTTTGCAAAGAACTTTGATATCACCTGATAGATTGACTGTATCAATTGTTGATAGCTCGTTGATTATATGGAGCATTCCATGCAGTTGGGAATGCCGTCGAATGTGCCAGTGGAAGCGTCTGATATCAGGGTCTGCTAGAAGATTCTGATAGGAGGAAATCAGATCTTTGGCATACTCCATGGCCCTATTTTAGATCAGAATCGAGCAAAGGTCCGTTGTAATGACATTGAGGAAAGGAGAGACCCGGGGGGCTATGACATACTTTTTTCGAGCCGGGCTCCAGTAGCTGTTATTGGTAGTGCCATTACGCTCTTTCAGGAATCGATGATACACAAGGAGTCGGAGTTTATACTCACCAAGGCGACCAAGCTCCAGGGTCACTCTCTGAATAGGGTCGCTAGCATGGCAGAATTGCAAGTATTGTCTCTCGACTGATTCTACTGTTCCATCAAGGCATGTTTGGATTGTATCAGACCCAGCTGGGGGAACAGGAGTTGTTACCAGCTGTCTCAGGCCGAGGGAAAGTCGGTAGCGAACGAGAGACATGGTCATATCAGTAAAACGGGCGTTAGTTTTATCTTCCCGTGTGTTCTGCATAATATCTTCGTCATTCATGTTGCGCGGTAACGCAGTCGTAACTGTTGTAGGCCAGGTTTGGATGCTGATGGGCTCAGGATCTACGCCACGTGCTTCGCTAGACATGAAGTCGAGGCTTTTCGAGTTGTTAAAGCGAGTCCCTGCTAGCTTTTCAGGGCTCAATACTCACTGGACAATGACGTGCCAGACTCGTCGGCGAACTTCGGCAACAACAGCGCTGAATGGAGCTTGTGCTGGTTTTTGGATTCGCGTCCGGTCTGCCAGCACCTCGGGGTCCACATGAAGAGAAAATGATCGCGCAACGCGTAGCAAGAGACCAGTCAAGCAATAGTGGTATGGGACATCCGTTTCTTCACACGTTACAAACTGAGACATATCGCGTTAGTACACGCCAAGAGCAGGTGACTTGAGGTATCTCGATACGTACCAAAAACAGACAGCAAGCCGAGATTGAGTTTAGGCATGGCCTTTCAAGAAACTCTGATCGGACTAAACTCTGCTCAATAGCGAGCCGAAGAGCTTTTAAACATCCCTGCTTGACCTGTGAAGGGACAGTGTCCTCGCAAAGAGGCGATGGGTCCCACTGCTCCTGCTCGGATAAGCTAGTGAGAGCACTGAACAACACGGCAAAAAGAAGAGCCTCGAATGCTGCCGTCGATCGTCTATCAACTTCGTTATCATGTCCAATTTGGAGAAAGTACTCTTTCATTTCCTCCAAAAATGTCGGCTTGTGAATGATGCGCACAACTGGGTCCACCTGGTCGAGGAAAATTGCATATAATCGCTCGGCGTCAGGCAGTGGTGGCATATATGCCTGCGGGTGAAATTCGGGGTCTGGGGCGACAAATAGATTCAAAGGCTGAATGGGCTGTACTCGTTTCAAGGGTGGGTGTGGACCTTGGTCCGCGTCTAAGAGGGTTTCGAAATCGGGGTGCTATTTGAATGTCATTCAGTCAATATCAGAGTATGTATTTACGCTTTAAACATGAGCTACGCACCTGTGCAGCCAGCTGCTTCCAGTATGACCCTGATAAGAGGCGTGGCTCACTATCCACAATTTGAACATCGCCGATACTGGAAACAGCAGAACCCTCCGGAGGAGAGCTTCCAGCCGCATTACCTGCCAGTCGCGCGACTACCGTCTCAAGATGACTTAATCGCTGTGCAAGCTCTTTGTACGGTGCATCGTAACCTTCGGGCCTTGTGGCGTTCGTCTGAATCGGCTCACTAGGAGTCGTGGGGGCATATCGGCAGGAATGACCATGACGCGCGCAATTCTGACACTCAGGTTTTTCGCGCCCGCAGCGAATCTTTCGCGCGCGGCATCGCAGACATGAGTTGACTGTCCGCTTGGTAGCGGGGATCATTGGGTTCTTGAATCTCTGGCTGCGGCCATTGGAGCCAAAGGCGTTGTTCCTTGGTGAATGTGGAGTTCGGAGATCAAAGGCCGCGACCTGAGCCGAGCCGTGATTTGGCCCCCACTCTTCATGCCCTATGCTAGACTTGTATAGACCCACTGGTATATTCTGACCTGAAACTAGTCACTAGCAGACGATTCTATCATCACAGCGGACGGCGATAATCACAACTGGTGTTTACGACGAGTACTGCTTCCATCATATGGCAGGACAAAAAGTACAACGGAAACAGCAGGAAAAGAAAATTATTGAACCTATCATATGTAAACGCGTAGTAGAAAATGCGATAACAAGAGCAGAACTCCATAAGCAAACTTTGAGGCCACCCCAAGACTAATGTTAGAATTTCTAACAAGACAAGAATCCTATGCAAGCTTCCTCTTCCATGAGGAGAGGACCCGTAAATCAATTCGTAGAGTGTCAGATTCCAGCCCTGAAAGTCAAGCTTTCAAGTCGCTTCGGGTCAAGTCAAATTGCTCTTTGGCAGGTAATTGAAACGGATGTGTTTGATCTGAAGAGGGCTTTCAGGTGTAATAAGGAGAAAGAGTGAGAGTTCAAGTGCGACATAAATACTGACTATAGAAGGAAAAATGAACACAACACTTCAATCCCTATATAGCTAGAGCTCACTAGAACATACGGATACGAGATCCGAATCTTGACATTGACCACTATAACTAGATGTAGGTAGTGAAGGAGAAGCTAAGACAAAGATTTAGATATTTTGCTCGAATCCGTCCCATGTCCCCCCAAAGGGGCTCTACACTAATAGTTCCGCCAATATCATCTAACAGAGATGTCCACAAATCCCAGGTCCATCTCAGGAGGCGCATGAAAAAACTCAGACCACAGTATATCCAGAGGCAATGTAGAAAGCTCTTCACTATTGCTCGAGACTGAGCTAGGCTCCGACTTAATTTGCAACAGTGTGCTGTTGACTTCTGTTGGAATCAAGCCTCCTGACACGAGGTCTTTTGAGATCAACGAAGTTGTATTGAGCTTGCGCTCTTTCAGAGTAGCTCGGAGCTTTTGACCCTGTGAGTGCCGTCGACATCTGGCACGGACTACTCCAGTGTGCGACAAGCCGTCAAGACTTCGTGTTGTCTAGTAGCAGCCGGTTGGGTAGAGAGAGAAGTCACTGGCTAAAATAATGGCCGCATGGAAGACGTGTTGCATGATCGACCATAAATGAGAAGGATTGATGCTCACCAAGGGGCCTGCGTCGTCCATGAGGCGCCGTAACTTGAGTACCATTCGAGCGGAGCGTATGCCTGCCTTCCGTGAATATGCATACCGGTTGTTTACCGAACTCTCCAAGTGGAAGCGCCGATGCAACCAACATAAGCGGGTGTGGGCGGAGAAATGGAGGATTAGTCTCTGCCAAAAGAGATAGGGATGCCCTTGCGAACTGAACTGAGTATCCTGAGCTCTTTCCGGCTGAAGCGGGAAAAAAGATGGAAGATTTTGCAGGTAGTCTTGAAAATTTGCGTCTAAAGCCAAGATAGTACCGTAGTCCGGCTCGCTGGAATCGAACCCATTGAATGGGAGCTGATTCAAGGCTTCTTCGCATATTTCCGCCAATCTGATCCGAGCGATGGAAGCCGACATGGTCGTGGTGGCTAAGCATGTCTTAAATTGAAAATGAGTATACGTACCGCAGGATTTGCGGATGTCAAGGTGTTGAGTGAGGTAGTCATACGATGTGCTGCTGAAGTGCTTTTTTTGCTATGGTGGAGTACAGATTCCTCTAGGATTTTGATGCGTGCAACCAGCTCTGGGACGTTGGCAGAGGAGTCGTGGCAGACAATTGCCTTTGCTTCTATACCATATGCACCGCTCGGCAAGGCGGCCACGCTTTGCTGAGTAGAAGTATGTGGCGTGTTTCTCACACGCTTCGTGTCAGCCTGACTACTATAGACACATGTTTTTTGCGTTGCTGACACAATTTGCACAAGGTTTTTGACGGTCACAACGGAGCTTCTTAGATCGGCAAAGCTCACAAGAGAGTGGCCCGACGAATCCTTTGATGTACAAAGGTAGTTTGAACGGGCTTTCTCTCCATCCTTGTGAATAGTTGAGTAGTCTAGGGCTTTGCCGTTAGAAAGAAAGTGACTATATCACTTAATATGTCAAGATAATCTACCTTCAATCATATAAATTCTCATACATACAAGTTAGGACTAGCCGTAACTGAGTCATTGACATGGATGCAGGGGGAAGTAATTTGCTTGACGGCCGACGGACCAAGCGGGCCCGCTCGGCCGCCCTCGTACGAGACCCACATTTGAGGCTAATTATATAGGGTAAATGGATATGATTGGTCATTTCGAATAAAGTGGGGCTTCATACTAGATCCGAGTCTCCATTCGTATGTACGAAGTACAGGGACGCAGCAATCAGGTTATGTAGCCTTCTGTTAAGTCCGCGGACCTGGAGACTTACCTTTTTGGGCCATGTTTTAGTACGAGGAAGCCTTCTTATAAGCACCATAGGATATCCCCGGTTCATTCCCATTAAGAGATGTTCCAGTGACTTCCTCGGAAACTCCCAATTAACTCTTCAATTATCGCCAAAATGGCTCCTGTGAGCAAGGTCGAATTCGAGCCGCCGAATGGAGGGTGGAAGGCCTGGCGAACTGTATTTGGTTCGTTCCTATTGCAGACCTCGTCGTATGGCTATGTTACAGCGTGAGCACCGAACCCCAGATTATCTTGATCAATACAAAAGAGCAAATGTATTATTATGACTACAATATCTGACTATACGATATTAAAGATGCGGTGTTTTCACTCTATACTACAAGCAGGTCATGCTGCCAGAATACTCAGCTTCTCAGCTAGGTTGGATCGCAACCATCGCTGTCTTTCTCATTTTTGGCGTTGGTATACCTGTCGGTGCTCTTGTAGACCGCTACGGTACTCGTCCTGTGGTGGCCCCGTTCGTTGCCTTGGGAATTATATCTCTCGGTCTACTCAGTCTCCGCAAAACCTACTGGCAGGTTGTTCTCTGCCAAGGGGTTGCCTTTGGTCTTGCCTGCTCTGGTACAACTCTTCCTGCTGTTATTTGTGTCACTCAATGGTTCTCAACAAAACGTGGACTTGCCGTGGGCCTGGCAAGTGCTGGGAGCAGTTTTGGTGGACTTATTTTCCCTATAATGGTCTCTCGCTTGATCGATAGTTATGGCTTCAAAACAGCAATCCACTGGTCTACACTAGTGGTTGGTGTGTGCATGATCACTGGTTTGATATGTTGCGAGGGGCCATATCCTCCGAAGCGGCTCAGAGAAAAGGAAGCAAGCACCAGTCCATCCTTAGCATCCCCAAACCCCGATGAAAACATTGACGCAGACGATCTAGGTGTATCATGCTCCGTTGAAGGTCCAACAACCCCAGCCGCTGATCAGCCTGCTGGTAAAGTTCCTGGCATGCGTCACAATCTTGGTCCATGGATAGCTTTCTGTATTGGTGTCTTCTGCTGTACATTTTCCCTCCTAGTCCCTTTCGACTACCTACCAAGCATTGCTGTGGAACAGGGTATGAAGCAGGATCTAGCTCAATATACACTCGCCATGATCAACGCCGGGTCCATGATTGGACGTATTCTACCAGGATTTCTATCTGACTATATTGGCCAATTCAATGTCATGGCCCTAGTCAGCACCCTTTCCGCCATTGCAATGCTCGTTATCTGGCTTCCTGTCTATTACTTCCCTACAAATGGCGGCGTCATCTTCTTCTCCTTATTTTACGGATTTGTCTCTGGTGGATACACCAGTCTACTATCACCTTGTGTTGTCGCCTTGGTAGATGGCCAGGTGGCTAATCTCGGTGTCAAGTTTGGCATTGCCTGTCTCTGTCTTGCATTCGGGTAAGTGATCAAGTGTCGAGTGGTGGGAAAGCATTACTGATCGATTTCTAGGGCGTTGGTTGGAATTCCTGTTAGTGGCGCCGTAGCCGACAACACTGGCAACTGGGGCGGCCTCATTGGCCTATCCGGTGCTATGATGGCTCTTGGTGCTGTGAGCTTTATCGTTTCCCGTGTTCAAATGGGTGGATGGAACCCAATGACCAAGGTTTAAAGCAGAAGAGTGGCGTGCGTCGAATCTCAACTCCAAGCCAGAAGCGATCTGATAAAAACCTACATAGACTGTTTATTATTGTCTTCAACTTCTTCTATAGATGAATCGCATAATTTGATCATTGCACAGCTTGATCCATCGATTGAATTTCAAATGCATTAGGGAATTTTAGTCTCTGGGGTGATCATGACTGAGATTTAATTAGTCTGAACGAGAAGGAGTAGCAAAATTCAGTACCAACAGTTTCGAATGTTAATATTTTTTATTTAAATATCCATCTCTTTAAATGCTGGCTATGAAAAAGCGCAAGATAGGTAGAAGCAACCTTAGTGGTTGTACCGTTCTACCCCCTCTTTGTCGCGGACCAGAACTGCGTAACTGGCCATCTCATCAGCAAATGTCCTCTCTCCTTACTCCTCACAAGGAAACAGCAGGCACTCACCATAAGTAAACTTCAGCAACGTCTCCGGCTGCTCGACGTACAAGCTGTCGATACTTTTCCTTGACGTATGGTCCACGTCGAATCCGAGCAGATCTGCCAGCTGGAGCACTTCTTCCGCGGAGAGCTGGAGAGCGGTATGGGTGCCCCATTTCAGTGCTGGGTATATACACGTCAGCCCGAGTTCATCGATGCACAAGTCTCAAGAAAACCATGAATTTTAGTGTCCCCGGAAAGGAGAGCCCTGACGGTAACGTACGCCCTAAGTTAATCCAAATCCCACCGGGTTTCAGCAGCCGATGTATGTTGCTCAGGAAGTCAATCACGCTCTTAGATATGTCGATGAAGAAGAGCGTGACGACCGCATCAAACTCACCGTCACTGGGAAACATCTCTAAGAAGTCACCCTCGACAAGCTTGACGGTCTTGTTTGGCCAGTGGTCCGGCACCGTTATGGCAGAGTAGCGCGAGGAGGGGTCGGCCTGATGGGTCCATTTAGTGACAAAAGGCTGGAAGGTGTGCTGATGGAGCGAGCTCGTATGGCTTGTTAGTAGGTGGTAGGCCAGGATGGAGCCGTAGTCTAGCTCGTTTGCCGTCACGTTGTACCCTAACGCCGATATGAGGCCTTGCCTTGAATTCAGTGAAGTTGGATGGACACACCGATATCTGCGAGATCGCTCGCCAGCCTGCCCATACCGCTTCCGGGTACAAGGACCTTGCTCCCTCCCCCGGTTCCGCCGAAATGTTGCCCAAGCGCAGATAGAATAGGCGGAAACACGGCCTGTCTCTCCTTCGCGCCTTGCGTGCTCCAGTCTCGCGAAAGAAGCGAAAACGCCGAGTCTATAACGCCAAATTCCGCGTCTTCATTGTCATTTAGCGATAGCGGGCCGATGTCATATTTCTCCCTCGCAATCTGCGCAATCTTTTCCGAGAACTGTGCGTTCGCTTCGATTCCTCCCCTGGCCTTCTCGAAGTGTGCAGGATAGCCGAGCTTCTTGCTTATCGCCATCTGCGCGGGCGTCTGCTTGGAATATCGCGCATACTTTCGCTGGAGTACTTGCTCGGCAAGAAACGGATACTGCTCGAAGGAGTTGATGCAGTGCGCCAGTCCAGCCAGAACGGAGGGGTATCGTTTCCCTCTCCCCTCTCCGGGCGCACGCACGGGGTTCTCGGGCTCAACGGAAGCTTGGAAGGGTGCTTCGTGGTTTGGTGCTGAATGGGCGGCAAGCGGGGAGGTGAGAGCGACGTGAAGAGCTTTGGCGCGCTCAGAAAGGGAAGAGAAGAGAAAATCAGTGCCGAATGACGAGTCGGAGCCACGGATCCCGAGGTAAAGGGGTACGGCAACGCAAAGGAGTATATAAAGGGAGCGGGAGAGGTAGGTCGAGATATGCATCGTGATCGTTATGCCTCTGAGACAGATAGGTATGGACGAGGATAGTTGTAGCACAAACGGAAGCCCGTAGCAGGACTAGATAGTATCATGGATAATCTATTAAATCATTCATTAAGACGTCTGTGGCACTAGAGCAAATCGGGGGCCAATGCCTGTTAGGTAGTATTGGGCTTCAAGTACTCCGTAGCTCCGTAATTACTATACATAGTTAATTTGGACTACTTAAACTGCTCTAAATCTTGAGAAGTTGAGACAGGTATCAATAGCGCAGTAGCGGCCCAATCAAGAGCATGCTGAGCAGCCGACTGCGATTATTAAACCCTGCTACTAACCTTCTTATCGTGACCTGCTCTCCACGCCCTTCCCCTCTCTATTCCCTTTTCTGGCCGAAATAATAGCGATGGGCTGTTCAATTCTGTTCCTCTGCGTTCTCTGTGTCCTTGCATGTGGGCACGCATTGAATGAGGGCCAACCACAAAAGTGTAGCAAGCTACTGACACGCAAAGAATGGCGGACATTGACGAATAGGGAGAAAGCTGAGTGGGTGGGAGCAGTCAAGGTGCGCGACATCATTCCTATACTTTAAGTAATGTACCACGTTACTTACATTGAGTAGTGTTTGGCGAGTATACGACACGAACGGCTTTCCTTGACGAAGGACAAGACCGTGCTGAAGGGGAAGAGGAGCCTCTACGACGACTTCTCGTACTCGCACGCATCAGTGGATCACAGCGCACATAGGAATGCCTACTTTTTACCGTGGCGTGCGTTCCCAACTTCCGTCCATCCTCCTTGCCCTTCCCCGAGCGCGTGCTGACAGGAACCCAGACCGCTGGTTCACTTATCTATTCGACACCTCCCTCCGCCACAATTGCGGCTACAGTGGGCCAACGCCATACTGGGACTGGTCGCGCGATCACGCAGACCTGTTCGGCTCGCCCGTGTTCGAGGACTCCCCGGAGTACGGGCTCGGTGGAACCGGTGATTGCAATTCCTCCCCCCAGGCGGACTGTACCGTCACCACGGGAGCTTTTGCCGCATCCACGGGGAAGTTCGAGCTTGCCTGGCCGATTCCGCACCCGCTGCGGAGGAATTTGACGCTCATAACCGGCTGGTACCCCAATGAGCTGCCTCAAAACCGCACCCTCGGCCCGGCCTTTGTGCGCAACGCGACTGAGCAAACCACGGGCGACTTCTTCCGATTCCAGCGCGCAATGACACTGCTGCACAACCATGTACACAATTTCGTTGGCGGCGACTTGGCGGGAGACTGCCCGAAGGCCTTACCGGAGGGTGATTGCCAGGGCATGGCAATCAGCTTCACGCCTAATGACCCGCTCTTTTGGCTGCATCATGTCCAACTTGACCGGTTGTGGAGTAAGGTGCGCCCCTTGAAACCCATGCTACTTTCTCGCTTAACAGGCTTGCTGCAGTGGTTGTCAACGCTACTGACATAAATTTGTATAGTGGCAGCGCCACCACCCATCTAATTTCGCCGCTTTCTCCGGCATGCCCTTCACCCCACACAATATGACCGACCCACGCTACGACCCTGATGCGCATGCAGATCATCAGATGACCTTTGACGTCCAAAGTGTGCCCGTGGCGCCTAGGAAGGTGTTTGATACGCAGAGTTGGCCGTTGTGCTATCAGTATGCGGACGATCAGGAGTGATGGTTACAGCACTACTGTAAACTAGTTTGACTAGTCTGTCTAGTGATTAGGTCCTAAACTGGACTGATACTGACACATATGAGGGGTTAGCTGACTCGGAAAAGGGATTCTGCTCCGCCTTGTTTCTCCACGGCCCCTCACTCGGCTGACTTCTCGTCCTTGATAGAGAAAACGAGAAGCGAGGTGCCATGGACTCTTGCTGAACTGTTGGTGCATCTTCGCACATATTCGCGGAGAGTATACGTCACGGACTCTCCCACAAACTCCTCTGGAAGACACTGCAGGTTTCGAGTTCCTTACGATGCAAAATGTTTACAGCTCTATGCTCCGTACACTATGCCATTAACTAGACTCCTTGAATCTCGTGTACATTTCCGGTGTCCACTCCTTATGCCGGCTCTCCATCCAATCATACACCTGTCTCCAGTCCCGACAGGTATGCACAGCTTCGCTACCTGCAGCGACTTTATCCCCATTAGCCAATTTCATATTCGTACCGCCCGGCTCGAGGGTTGTATCAGCGGCACAGAGAATACTCTGTCGTAGGTAATGAAAGCAATGCGCCGTATGATCCGATCCGTCGTCCCCGTTGACAAGCACCGCGCGTATATGGTTCAGGCAGTGCATTTGGTGCCACATCGACACCCCGAAAGCGAAATGCTCCTCTCCTAAGAATACAAAGCCCTTGCCGGGAGGACGGATTGAGTTCCATTCCGCCGTGGCCGTGATGCCTTCCATGCCGTAGTGCAAGGGATCATCGTGGAAGGCAGCTTGGATGGTGCGGACTTTTATGGGAAGCTCCCGAGGCCTGTCGCCAGCGAGGTAGGCTACTATGCGTTAGTTATGGATGTGAGGAGAGCTGGAGGCTGGGATACGACGTACAGTATTCCTGCGGCGTTCCGCGCGTTATGATGCGGAGCGAGTAGAAGAGGACCCCCAAGTTCATGAAGACGGATATACTCAACGCCACGAGCAGCCCGAGGAAGGGGCCGGGGAATTGGCCCGCCAGGAACTTAGGGAACATCTTGGCCTGTTGAGGGCAGCAAGAGGGTAACGGGGATTCTGTTCAGTATCAGGAGCGGGCGATTGGTGTTTAACACATGAAGGGCTGTATCCACTCCATGCTGGAGATCTCTACATGTCATGATGGATGGTCCACAAGAGCGGGGAATGAGGAGATGAAAGGGTTGAGATGCTCTATTGAACATGGCCCTTAACTGAAGGATTCAAGAAAGGGTGGCTAAAAAGGACTGAAGCCCATGCAGAGCAATTTGGCAATTTGTGACTCCACACAGAATACTACCCTAACTCATCACTGAAAGGTCCTCATCGAAAGACACATGGATGACTCTGGAGGGAATATATCACTATTATGCTTTGGACCAAAGAGGAAGGTGGCAGGGAAGAAGTAAGCCTTCACGGCGCATCCAAGCGGGGGTCTGAAGCGAAGGAATCTTCAGGTGGCGCTAAAATAAATCAAAGTCCGAGGGCCCGACGGATATCCGGGCCCCTTCTTGAACCATGTGGGGGCCATGTGGGGGTGCAACTCTAATCTGTAAGCGCTAAGCACTTAGCCGAAGCCCGAACAAGGATAAAAGTAAGCTTATCTCTACACTAACTATGCAGCAGGTTCCCCGTTTAGAGGTATAGAGCGGATCACGCGATATGCATTACATAGATTGCAATTAGATCCAAAACATGCGTAGCTAGCCTTCGGGTCATTCTAACAAGGATAGGTCGGTTAGAAGAGAATCGGATCTGAGTCTGAGTCCGAGTCCGCACTTTAGGTCGAAATCTGAGCTCACTTCGAGACTCAATGAAACCATTTGTTCTCTGGCGAATTTCGAAACGTATAAAGTCCCACAGGAACAGCGAGCACTAACAACATACACCTCGCCAACGACCCACTTCTTCGCCTCTCCCAAGGAAAGCATCCGTTCATCACTACATTCTAACAATGCGTTGCACTATCACCCTGCTCAGCCTCGTGAGCCTCAGCTTCAATGTCCTCCCTATCCAGGCCGCAGCGGTTCCCATCACTGGCTTGGCCCACGCTGAAAGGTCCGTCAGCCATGTCGGTCTCTCTGATATGATCGAGAAGCGCCACGAGTATACCGTGGACGATGACGAGATCGCGCTCACCAAGCGCCACGAGTATACCGTGGATGACGACGAGATCGCGCTCACTAAGCGCCACGAGTATACCGTGGACGATGACGAGATCGCGCTCACCAAGCGCCACGAGTATACCGTGGACGATGACGAGATCGCGCTCACCAAGCGCCACGAGTATACCGTGGATGACGACGAGATCGCGCTCACTAAGCGCCACGAGTATACCGTGGACGATGACGAGATCGCGCTCAATAAGCGCCACGAGTATACCGTCGATGACGACGAGGTCGTGAGCGTTTAGAGACTGCCCGACTGCGGATGATTGAAGTCCTGCACGGATCGGATCTAATATCTACGACTTGCTCTATAGGCGAGGACCGCAAATGCCCACCTTCCATCGCGCCTGGGCGTATTTTGAGCTCGCTTTTTTTCGCTGGTTTTGTTACATAGCTGTGTGCATATTCCTATATGAACAGAGTAAATCAAGCACATTGTTGGCGGAATGTCTTCTCTTCACGTATATGTATTTAGTCCTGTCTATATATCTATCCACGTTTAAAAGTAAACTGTACATGATTGTTCAATACGAGTAACACCTCTTCAACATGCGTCTACAGGTACTCATCCGGCATCGGGATCAGTGTCTCGTTTTGAGCCGCGCACATGGCCGGATGATCCTCAGGAAGAGCCTCTATGTCAACCATCCTGACGTCGGAGCACTATCGTTGATTCAGCTACAGCTTCGCGATTTGCAAGATGGACGCAACTGACATAATGTTCCACATTCCCTGTCTTAGGATCCGTCGCCTCGAAGTACATGACTCCCATCTCGCCGACTTCGGTCTGAAATGGAATCGTCACATTCACACACAGCTGCCCCGATGGCTCTATGGGCACATCCTGCAGAATGGTGTAGGAGAAGTCCTCTTTCTTTCGTGGCGCTCTATTCCGGGTATAGAGCGCCGTCACAAGATCTCCCGGATGGCCGCAGAATGAGAGGAAACTGCGGGAGCTTCGAGAGTATTGTTGAGGATTATGCATTATCTCGCCTTTTTGGTATCAGGCTCCGCTGCTGCTAGACTGGGAGATATAGAGGAGAGAGGAACATACCACAGAATGGATTATACCGATCTATCTCTGGCCGGATCTTGGGGTTTGGACCGCGGGTCATCCAGGGGAACTGGACATGGAAGCCGGCGTGCGCGGCGGATGCGAGGTTGATTTTGATGCTGATTATGCTGAGGGTCAGCAGAATGGTGATTGTGGGAAAGAAGGACATGGTGGACAGAGGTCAAGCGCAGCGCGGTGCAGAGAGGCTGAGTGAGGACAAAAAACGAATCACCTGCCCAGACGGTCTAATCGTCTGGCTAGTAGTAACTGCTCCTTTCGGTTCCACCTTCTTAGCTGAGAGAAGGAATCTTCACCATCCTATTATGCCCCATTGCCCCAAAATGGCTAGTCGCCAGCAGTCAATGAGGCCGACCCGCCCCCGCCCACGATAATGAAACGCCTCGTTCCTGACGCATCATGCACTGCAACCCTACTATATAATACCGTATTGGATGCAAGCGCTAGCAGCAGGCACACGAGACATGCTAGGTCTTACGCAGTCCTAATCTCCACTGGGAGCCGTTACCTCCCAACCGACAGCATCACCTGCGTTCAGGTTACGTGCTCCCACCCACAGCACGCCCTCTTCCTATTTTTGCTCCCTCTTCTGTTCTCTTTAACCCCCGCTTTAACATGTCCTCCTCCAGAGAAAAGCCCAGCACTTCGCAGTATGCCCCCCTTTCGCTACACGATGATGGGGAGGTTTCCAGCACATCTCTTGAGAAGCGCATCTCCGAGGACGACCACTCTGCCCCATTGTTAGAAGCCTCGGACAGTCTCCCCACGGATTCTTCATCCAAGCCCTCCCGGCTGCTCAAGCTTATACTCTACTTCTCTTTCGCCCTGGCGCTGCTTTCAGCCGTCAATGTCGCTCTCCTCCCCACCACGCTATCAAAGTACCAATCCTACACCTTCTCTGACTCTGATGTGAAAGCTCTCCCCTATGATGACGCTAGGCTGGGATTGGACCGGGTAGCAGACTTCGTGCCCCCTCCCAAGGTCTATAACCACGCTTGGCCCGAAAAAATTGTGCGGGTGAGCCGGAAGTTGAAGAATGCCGTGTGGGGTCAGGGGGTCCAGGTCTACGTTACTGTCGAGGTATGTATCCACATATGCTGTATCTACCGCTTTGTTTGCACCTGCTGACGCGAATGAAGGATTCGACAATCATGCGCTTCCCGATCCCTTCTGCCGACGTGGATACTAACGTCTGCGCGCTCTCCTGGCGGCCGCCCCCCGAGTTCTCCGTGCGTGCCAAAGATCTCATAACCAAGGGGGATGTAACAGAACTTGAAGTCTGGCAGCTTGTCGCACCTTCGGCCACCTCGGCCACCTCGGCCAATGGCCCTATCACAATGGACGAGCTCGACTATGACGCCCTAGCGTATTCGAGCCTTCCCGTGCGCGGAGAGCTGCTCGGTGTGCTAAACCTCACAGCCAAGCCGAATAGCACAACCCTGGATTTCTCCTGTCCTCAGGCGGAGAGTCTCGTGGTCGAGATAAGGTGCCAGCGCGTGGCTTGTCATGTGAGCTTTATGCAGATTGATATAGCGCCGAGATTTGGGTTTGAACTGGTGAGAAGGAGGGAATGAGCGAAATAGGATGGCCATATTGAATTTGCTAGAACCTACGTCATTGTTCACATTGGCGATGTTTTTTTTCCATTTGAATCACTTCGGTCACCAAGGTTTTGAAAGGTAATTTTCAAGTAGTCTCGTACATTCAGCGAGATCGCATAATGCATTGAATTCGACCCTTAATAATGAAGATATTGAAGCTTTCACGGGAGAATACCCGCTTGATTTCGTGAAGTTATGCCAATGGGAATATTCCGATAGAGGCCTGAAAGAGGAGGGCGACGGGGCTTTATCAAACAATATGTCATAACGCTAAACCCTAACTGCTCTAGTAAGCTTGCCTCCGTCCTTAACTCGCACACTAATCTTACAAGTTATGGGAGTGGTGCTCGCAGAAGACTCTCTATTGGAAATCTGACAGTATGAATCTGTTCTCATCCCATAGCTTTCAGTAGGCTACTACAACCACAGGCTTTAGTTCCAAGTTCCTGTCACACCCAGCTACATCAGCGGCAACCTCCACTCAGAGTCAGCGTCTAGGCTTCAACATCCGCCGAGCACAAAAATGGACACTAAACTCGATGGCGCCTCCATCGCGCGTGTTTCCCTACATGACCCCTCTCACTTTAGCATTCAGTACTCCCAAACCCTCCACCGCCTGGTCCTCCTGCAGCACTGGGACATTGCTCCTAACTCCAAGGTGGTAGAGCTAGGATGCGGGCAGGGGGACTGCACGACTGTCCTTGCCACTGCCGTGGGCGAACAGGGCAAAGTGGTGGCGGTTGATCCAGCGGAATTGGATTATGGTGCGTGCTTCCAAGTATCAATTCGTCGGCTGAGCCTGCTGTCGGGGCCACTTACTCTACTCTCTCGTATGGGGCAGCGGACAGCGACTGGTGGTTGAAGGTTCTAACTTCTGCAGGTGCCCCGTATACTCTCGGCCAAGCGCAGAGCCATATCTCTCAAGGCCCCCTGGGTGGGCGGATTACATGGGTCCAACAATCCCCTTTAGAATACCTCTCCTCTCTGTGCCCACCCTCTTCCACCGCTTCTGCCTTCTCGCCCCCCGCTCGCGAAAGTAAGGCCTTTGACGCAACAGTGCTCGCCCACTGCCTATGGTACTTCAGCGCCCCCTCGCTCATCCTTTCCACCTTCCGTGTTATCAAGCATCACAGCAAGCGTCTCTGTCTTGCTGAGTGGTCGTTAGTAGCGACACATCCTTCTGCCCAGCCTCACGTATTGGCTGCTCTTACTCAGGCAGCGCTGGAGTGCCGTCGCGAGATCAGCGACTCGAATGTCCGCACAGTGCTAGGGCCAAAGCGGCTCACCGAGCTGGCCCTGGCTGCCGGGTGGCAGCTTGAGAGTGAAACCCTCATTCAAGCTGGGGAGGGGTTGTTGGACGGGCAATGGGAAGTTTCTGCTTGTCTTTCTTCTTCTTTTGAAAGGAAAGTAGAGGAGCAGGTGAGTGATGAGAGGGAGCGGGCGGTTGTTCTTGCATTACGGGATGCGTGTGAGGCGAGCTTGGAAGGTATAAAGAAGGGTCGAAGAGGAGTGAGGGCTATGGACGTGTGGGTTGCGAATTTCATCTGACTGGGCAAACTGGGCGTGTCTTAGCCCTCTTCCATGTCCGTTCTCTTACTTGATGACGGATATCAAAGATTGAGCCAGGACACACGAACGAAGTATATCGAATTTTACCGGAATATTGTTTCAAAATCGGCTTCCACATGCTGCCTCGTACAAAGATGGTGCCTGGGAATCGTGATCATACAAGCACAGAGCTGACAAGCGGTATTTCCCCCATAGGCATCAAGTGCCATGTATCCTACGAATATGCTGAAGCATACTTCTCCTTTCTCAAAGATACACAGGATCATACATTTGTTTCATTTGAAAAATATCATGGACATCGGGAATGGAAACTCTCAAAGTCCTGAGAACATCACTTCAGTCTTACCCAGCGCTCTGAGATTTAGCTCCGTGTCGGTCCCAGTTCTCAATAGTCGGTTTGATCAATTTCGCAGGCAAGTCCGTACCTAGCTCCGCCAACGGACATTTCCAAGCATCCGCTACCAATTGATTCGGGTGATAGAGATCTAGACATCGAAGCTGCCACACTGCCTTGCCAGATGAGGCACAGGCTCAAATTCAAATCAAAAGTTCGGGCTCTATGAAAGTTCGTACAGGATTTACTTCAAACGGGGCATCCGACGAGCTGGGTGGCCTAGAGGTACCCTAGTTAGCTCTACTACTTCTAATAAAGGCTAGTATAAGGACTAGGAAGTCGGTGTATCTAGAGGAAACAGAATATCTAGTGCGAGAGATAGCTGGCTAATTCTTAACTCTCCAAGTGATTGTTATGCAATAACAATAATGTGCGCTACTATATATATTGGCTCCTGGGTCATATCCGCTGATCGCGGATATAGTGGTCTTTTTGGCCTAAGTGTATGATCATGTGACCCAGGCATGTATCGTGACAGTGATAGACTTAGACCTAGGATGTTCTGCGAAACAAAGTCGATAGGCGAACGAAACATATTCAATTCGGTTATTATAGTTTTCTAAAGGGATCCTATCTGATGACTCGATCCTTTTGACCTCGATAAGGTTTGCAGGGTTTGTCGTCTTCTTTGGCCCTGCATGAAGCAGGCCGGGGTTTTCCTGTCAGGACCAGGCCTTGTTTCTTTCCTTCGTGCTTCAGGGCCTTATAGACCCTGTTCTGTTCCCTTCTGCTTCTTCTTCTCTTAGTCGTCTTCGTCTTCATGTTCTAGATAGACCAATTTGACTCAGTCTCCCTCTCTCTCTCCGCTTCCTGTGCCAGCAGTGCCGTGGGCGCTGTTACTATCTTATTAAGAAGCTGGAATTTTCTCAGACTACGTAATATCTGTCGGATTTACGCCATGTGCATAAACCCTGGGGCGTGTGCTTGGAGGCGCACACAGGTCGATCGAATACCACGATTATGGAAGAGTGACGAAGGTGCAATAGAGGTGGGTCGGCAGCGAACAGGTTGAACAGTGGAGGGTCAACACAGTTTAATCAGAATTGCCTTGAGCTCTATTGGTGAGTGGAAAGGGTGGCAAACTTATGACATTGTCGTCAAACTTATTCAATTTTACTAGGGTAACAGGCAGTATTTATAATTTTAGGTACATTGCAGAATGTCACAGGAAAAGACTAATGAAAATCCGAAATAACATGGGGGCATACGAGAGTGTTAGGAAACTCGTTGCTTTTTCCATTTGATGCAGTAGTTGATAATCAGCATCGTATATCATGAAGCGGTGTATGGGGATACAGATTTATGCATCCGATTGCATTAGCGCGCATACGCATGCATGCGCTCGCTTATTGCAGGGATATGCACACACACACATGTTGACAATAGTCTCGCTTCGCTTAGCTTTAGGAAGATCCGGGCAAGATAACTTAGAGCTAATAACAGTTCGCGATTGCCCTTAACCGGGTTAAAAGCTGTATTCATCGAAGTTATATACTAGCCGTAAGGGTACGCTATAGAGAAGATTTTCTAGCTAATCGTACTAGTGCGCAAGCAAGCCGGTATCTTCAGCTTGAATTCTCTTCGATTCCTTAGTCTTCTACTTCACTAGCGCGAGGTTTATATTATCTAGAAGACGCTTAATAAAGCGATACGCCTACATTTTGCTGACCTAGCGTTCCGCCTGACCCGATCGCTTAAGGGTACGATTCGCCTACGCCTGTATAAGAGCAGGAGTAGGGGGGAGGTTCCAGCTAATCATCTAGCCTACCCAGTTGATTAAGGCGTTCTCCTAGTAGGCTTAAAGGGCATATCAGCGCGAAGCCCCTGTAGAAGTAGGCGATTTCGCACTTTTGATACGGCTTACAAGGGTCTCGCGAGATACGTCGAATTCACGCGCAATTTTCGAAATATTCGGTTTCTTCTGTCTCATAGCGGCTTCGAAGGCCTTAGCCATACGGTCATCGCTAAAATTGGAGGATTTAGGCATGTTGGGTAGGTGTAATAGCTGGGTGTAGGATTTAGTGAAAACATTGGTGATAGACGCGTTTTGGTGAACGGGGGGTGGCGCACCCAAATAGCGTATGGGTGGGTCGCAGCGTAGCGAAGGGCACGGATATAGTTTAATAGTGAATTGAGAACGAATGTGATTATGCAATGACTCTAATGTTGAAAATACTGTTTTCACCCCATCACGAAACAAATTTGTCGAATCGCTCATGGCGCTAAATCTGGAGGGGGCGTGCCAAATATCCAATTGGGGGCCCGAATATTTCCTTCCCTGTACTCGATAATGCTTCCTTTCTTTTGGGTTTTATGCAGCTGATCCAACACCGTACATGAAGGATGGCTTGGCAGATGTGGCAGCGGCTATGCTACAATGTGCCCGCCCCCCGATTTCAAGTCGAGGCCGACTACCATTCTCCTCTTTCATCATGAGCTGTCGCGTGTCAACCAGCTGTCCTTCAACGGATTCCGAATTTTCTGCTCCTTGAGAGGTGCTGAACACTTGACTTCGTTGGAACAAGTTGAGACCAACGAAGTTCACCGACAAACCACCTCAAATGGAGCAGAACCAAACCGATTGAACACTGAGTCTGAGTTGGTCCTCCAAGCTACCTCATATCCTGACCAACCCCCATCATACTCCGCCAGCGAAAATGTCTAATCCGAACGACTACAACGCCGGCTGGATATGCGCCATAAAGACAGAGTACGTTGCCGCGCCGGCCTTTCTCGACGAAAAGCACGAAGGACCAGAATATGTGTCCATTAATGACAATAACGATTACACACTCGGCAAGGTTGGGAAACACAATGTCGTCATCTCCGTCCTTCCCTATGGGGAGTACGGCATATCGTCTGCGACAGGCGTCGCAAAGGAAGACATGCTACACAGCTTTCCTAACGTCAGAATCGGTCTGATGGTGGGCATCGGCGGAGGTGCGCCCAGTCCAAAGCATGATATCCGTCTTGGTGACATCGTGGTGAGCGCTACTGGCACTGAGAAGGGCTGGTGTACTCCAGTACGGCTTTGGCAGTATGATACAATATCAGGAGTTCCAAGAGACAGGGGTCTTAATCCAGCCACCAAAGGTTCTGCGGGCTGCAGTGCATGGACTTAGGGCTCAATATGAGCTCGATGGTCATCAGCTTGAAGAAGCTATCAACAGCATTCTCAAGAAGAAACCAAGATTGCAACAGAATTACAAGCAGCCCGACCCAAGTAGTGACAGGCTATCGAACCGAAGTCACCCATCCTCTGAACAGAGAAGCGAGCTGTGCGGCAGTCTGCAGTCTGTAGTGATGATCCGTCAAACTTGATACCACGACGCGAACGGACCGAAAACGAGAATAATCCGGCAATTCACTACGGTCTGATTGCTTCGGCGAACCGATTGATGAAGGACGCTCTGCTTCGGGATAAACTTGCGAAGGAAAAAAATGTTCTGTGTTTTGAAATGGAAGCGGCAGGGTTGATGAACGAATTTCCCTGTCTGGTAATTCGTGGTATATGCGACTACTCGGACACACACAAGAACAAGGAGTGGCAAGGATATGCAGCAATGGCAGCTAGTGCGTTCGCAAAGGATCTTCTCTGTCGAATCGCCCCGACTATGGTTGAAGCAGAGAAGAAGATTAGCGATCAAGTTCATGAGAGTTAGTCATTCTAGAGTCTCCGCATCAAGGTGTTATCGAGTTTTAACAATACATGAAGTTCAACATGCTTTGTCCACAACTGGAGCAAACGTTGCACAGATGAAGTCCAAGTTGGACAAGGATGAAGATATCAAGGTCCTCAATTGGCTTACACCAATTTACTACGCTGCACAACAGAAATGCTTCATCGGGATGCGACAACCAGGAACTGGCCAATGGCTTCTAGACTCGGACGAGTACCAGGCTTGGTTGAAGGCGGATGAGCAGATATTGTTCTGCCCAGGTATACCCGGAACGGGGAAGACCATTATCACGGCAACTATTATCGATGATCTCTACACCAGATTTCGCGATGACACTAGCATTGCCATCGCATACCTATATTGCGACTTCCGCAGGCAACACGAACAGAAATTGGAACACTTACTCGCGAACCTGCTGAAACAGTTGGCTCAGAGGTTAACATCAATACCAGATGATGTGAAAACTCTATATAAGCAGTATAAGGACCAACCCCAACAACCATCGCTTGATGAAACCTCGAAAGTCCTAAATTCCCTCAGTACATTCTATTCGAAAGTCTTTATTGTCATCGATGCGTTGGATGAATGCCAAATAACCGATGGATGCCGTACAAGGTTTCTAACTGAGATCTTTAGCCTTCGAGCCAGACAGAGAGCAAGTATCTGTTCGACTTCGAGATTCATTTTGGAGATCCTAGAGAAATTCAAAGAATGCACGTCATTGGAGATCCGTGCTGGAGATGCGGATGTGCGAACATACCTAGCCAGCCATATGACACGACTACCATCATTTGTCCAGAGCAATCCTAATTTGCAACATGAAATCAGGCTACAATATCAAAGACTGTTGATGGAATGTACGTTTGATTCTCCTATTATTGAAGAGACTATAGAATTTAACTTAGACCTTAGGTTTCTTCTTGCTTCGCTTCATGTAGACTCCCTAGCTCGAGAGCCTACAGTTGGACTTCTCAAACGAGCGTTGCAGAAATTGCCTAGAGGATTAGACGAGACGTACAAGCAGGCAATGGAAATAATTGAGAGTCAAGGAGGAGGCTCTCGAGAATTGGCGAAAAGGGTTTTGTCTTGGCTAATCCATGCAAAGAGATTGCTCTCTACAGCCGAGCTTCAGCATGCGGTCGCAGTTGAGCCTGGACAGCTGGAACTGAATGACGAGTTCATTCCCACCAATGAGATTATAGGTTCCCTTCCCTCTGCGCAGGCTTGGTCACAATCGATACTCAGAGCGATGTCATCCGATTAGTCCACTACACGACGCAACAATACTTCGAGCAAACGCAGAAACTTTGGTTTCCAGAGGCAGAGACGAATATTACAAAAGTGTGCATTACGTACCTCTCATTCAGCGTTTTTGAGAGTGGGTTCTGTCAGACGTACGGCGAGTTTGAGGACAGGCTGAAGTCTAATAAACTTTTCGACTATGCTGCACAAAACTGGGGACATCATGCCCGCATATCATCGATTGAAGGGGATGAGTTTATTTGGGATTTTCTTAAGAGCCAGACTAAGATTTCTGCCCGCACCCAGGCCATAATGGTTGCCGAAGAAGGGGACAGGACCTATAGTGAAACACGGATGACAGGGCTCAATATCACAGCATACTTTGGACTTGGGCAATCGACGGTGGCCCTACTCAATGGGCAACACAGTCCAAGTCTCAAAGCTAGTTACGGTGCAACACCGCTATACTACGCCGCGGTAATCGGGCATCAAGTGGTGGTGAAGCTGCTGCTCGACAAGGACGCCGACCCCAACAGCAAGGAGGACGTGGGCGGCGCGACACCGCTGTATAACGCTGTGGAGAACGGGCATCAGGAGGTGGTGAAGCTGCTGCTTGACAAGGACGCCGACCCCAACACCAAGGAGGACAGGAGCAGCGCAACACCGCTACATAACGCTGTGAGAACGGGCATCTAGATCTCAACGGGGGGCTTTTCGCCCAGGAGCAGGTAATACGCCGGAGTAAAACTCAAGCAAGTCATTATTAGAGGCATCAGGATACGGGTACATAGATGTCATTGAGCTCGCCTCGATCAGGCCAATCCCAGCAGAAAAAATCACATAACACCAGCACCTCACCAAACCATAATAACAACGACCAGCGCCGCAGACAACATTGACCTACCAAGCCACCCTGGCGAAACAGGGTTCCCAGCCGATTCTTCCGCGCCACCGACGGCGCCAACCTCAAACCCAAGCGTCGCATTCCACTCAGGCTGTTTCTTCCTCATGAACAGTTGATCTGATCGTTCCTTATCGACCAGCCCGTCAAAACTCATTCGGATCTCGCCGACCATCTCCGTAGTGGAACTGGCTGCACGGAACAGACCCGACATCTCAACACTGGCTTGGTTCTCATTGAATGATCCCCGAATAGTGGGCACAGGGATCGGGTTGTCTGTCCAGTCGTACTCGACACGGGAATCAGGGGACAGGAATGCACCCTCAAAGAGTAGCGATTCTCCAGGGCCGCCATCACAGAGCCCGGACACATTGTATTTGAACTGCTGGTACCCCGGGAAGAAAGTCGTCATGTGGCCGCCGAATTTGTACCACAGTGCGGTGTCGTTGTCTGTGATGTTGAAGTACCAGGTGCTGTTGCCGTCGTAGCTATCAAAAAATCTTGTTAGTCATATCACTGGATTGTATTCAGAGGATACGCTGTACTCTGTATTTGTGGTGATTCGGTTCTCCTCGAAATCGCTATAATTAGCCGTCTGGTAGTTGTTGGAGAGGTTGTAATGCTTATCCCAGGCGTCGATGTTGAGAAAGAACGGGTTGACTGAGGGGGCTTTCGGCGCGACCTCCTGGAACCCTGCGATGGCTTTCATGGGGATCTCAAGCGTCTTGTTCTCCCACTCCTCTCGGCAGATGCGCCCAGTGTAGGGCTGAGGGGTGGGATTATACTTTGGTTCGAGATAGATCGTGAGCGTGCCATTGTAGTATCTACCCGTCACTCAATAAGCCATCTTATTGAAATGGAGGAGATAAGGGAACATACGAGCCGATCTGATCGTAATATTTGTAGTCTAGTCCGGTCACATTATCCGGGCGGAGATTGTCGTCAGGATTATAGGGGCTGAGGCGCGAGACTACCGGCTGCGCAAGGAGCAACAGCGCACCGGGAAGGAACGTTAACAACCGCATTTTGAGAGCGAAGCGCTCATCATCACGGTTGGGGGACGAGGTTATTTGAATAGAGTGCTTTGTCCAGGGAATTGTATGGATGCCAAGAGGGAATACGAGGAGTGGATACACTGCAAGCCACAAGCTTGATCGTGTTCGTCGTGTTCGGCATTTCTAGCCAGATTAGGTCGGATACTTGTTCCGCTCGTTTATCGGTGGATGGATCGTGCGTAAGATGCTTGGTTGAGGAAGTATGAATGGTGTCTTGCTTATCAACATGCCTATTGCCAAGCATTGTGACTATCTTCTGCATGAAATGCAGGTATTCCGATGCCTTCTATTTGATGATACCAGGTCGGCGCCAACCGAAACTTAATCTACGTTAGGCTTTGGTCCTTGCTGGCCTTACACTGCTTACTGTGATTTCAGAACTGACATTGAATTCTCCACGTGTATTGGCTCGGTTTACGTCTTTCGGCATGCTAGGCCAAAAGTCTAGCGATCGTCAAGAAATCTGGTCTTGAGAGGCTCATACAGTGGCGCCGCAAAAGTCTGAGACAAGCCGAAGTATCAAGTTAATTATGCTGCCGGCAAATAGTGGATGCAACACTCATAAATTATAATTATTTAGCGGTACCTGAGTACTGGGATTTTACTTCCGCGATGAGATACGGAACTGATAGTTGGTGGTTTCAAGTGGCCTCGTGGATCGGAGGTGATCAGTACCAAAAGGCATGCCTGCTATATGTGGTTTGGGAGCGCCTTGAAAAAACTGCAACAGAGTTGATCTACTGGACTGGGATGGTGCAGTGTCTATTCTAGAGGGTTTTTGTTTGTGCGCTGGCCAACTGATGAACAAGGAAGGGCATTATGGAACGAAATAGGCCAGCGGCAGAGGCCTTATTTGAATAGCTAAACAGGTTCTAATGTGATTCAACCGCGTTGAATCCCATTTACTTCCTTTCATTCCGTTTATATCCGCCTAAATGAGAACAGGAGGGCACGCTTTTCAACCCTGAAAGAAAAACTCTCAGTTGTTTCAGGATCCGGTTGGCCTGCGTACTAAGAATACTTTGGTGGCATATATTTGACAGACGAGTACCTTGCCCCGACACCAACGGGATCCCCCAAGGGAGACAGCGAGCTTGAGACCATCAAGAATCTCAGATCGGCTTGCCAAAAGGGGGATGAATGGGCCACAACGACGCCTTCATATTCGATCCAAAGAAGTATGGGCTTTACACGAGCCATCTTGGGAGGGTTGTTCTTGACGTCAAGGCTATTAGCATCATCCTAAGTGAGCAGCGTATACTGGCACATATCATAGAGAGTACTTACGGAGCAAGGATTAAGCGGTGGGAGCTTGACTTGAGGGCTAAGAGTTGGATTTCGTCGAGTAGGGAGGGAGTGACGACGATGCAGGGTGATGTCAGTCAGTTGGGACAGTTGTTGATGTTGACTAAACAAACAAGAGCGGGTATCTCAGCTGGAGGGATGTGACTCTGGCGATGCACCTCACCGGTTGTATAAAACCTATATCACGACAACACAAGAAGAATACCTAACCAGAACTCGACTAATGACTGAGTTAGGATGCGAAGCACCACAATTATTGGCACCAGTTGCGGGACACGGTGTATATATACAGTGATATGATGAGGTACGGACTAAAAAGCATATGCTATTCTACTTCGGCCTTAGTGTTAATCAAATACGCGATGGGTAAAGGAGTAAGATTAGGGTACAATAACTGGGTATGAATCTTCTTTCTATTTATCTATCCTTTCTTCTTTTTCTGGATACCTTTTCTGTATGTTCGTATCACAAGAATAGTTGGTGTGAGAATGAAGACTTACAAGCCATCGCTGAGTACGGGAATCTCTAGGGAGACTATGCGTTTGTCTACTGGCATAGCAGAGTAGGAATCACCCACACCGCGTGCTCAATTTCGCCCTCACTATGGTCTAAACGAATTTCCGAATGGATATTAGTTACTCGTTACACCAATTAGACTATACACAGTAAGTCTATCTGTTGGTGATGCTGACTGCCTCTATAGTGGGCAGCTCGTGCTATCATAAGGGAGTATTTACACTGAAGTTGGTGTCACGATTGAGGATGAACTAGGCAAAGCGTTGTATAGTGAAAAGTTCAGTTGGTGTTTGATAAAGGTTCTATTCGCCTACAACAAAAAGGCTTCCAACGCAGTAGATAGAACCTTTCTTCTTTTTCAGTTACGATCTAATAATAGACGTGAGCTACTCTATATATTGAGCCTAGGCATGTCAGCCGCCAAGGCTGGCTAAAGCGTATGATTGTGTGACCCAGGCAAGTATCGCAACATTCAACGAATTAACTAAATCTGGGGAAGAAAGAAAAGAAGGAATCTATCTACTGGTCGACGGCCTTTTTATTCATGGCTGACACCTCCCGTTCGGAACTTCGACTTTGTACATGCATTTGCCATTCCAACAACGCGGTATTTGGAGAATATCGTAGTGTTTAGGGCCAACCGGAGCTTCTTAAAAGCGAATTTGGTTGTTGTACTTCATGATTGGTTCTGGAATTACGAGTACATAATTTAACACAAGCACAAACCTTCCTATATATTCCTTCAGATCGCTGAGAGTCATAATGACCAAAGCTCCGGTGGTCCAAAGCCTCCAGCGTGAAGCAAAATTGACTTCGACAGCAAGACAAGCCCAGAAAAAGTGTCGCATGAGAGTAGGAGAGACAAGATCGTTCTGGAACTCTTCAAATCATGCACGGTGATTGATTGTAAAGATGTTTTCGTTATCATCACCGTCAGTCTTCTGCAATCTACCCTTGTGCGTCTTCAATTTACCCTTTTCGGCGTCAAAAATTGGGTTGATCCACATTATTTCAGCATTTTTGTTTTCAGTTCCAGTCCTGAAAATGCTTTGTGTAGCAGCTAATTTTATCTTAGCTTAAATTTATAATGCACAAATTCAAAGCGAAGCTTGACTCACCAATGCCTGTAAGATGATTATTGATATAAACATTTTCCCAATGATCTTTGGTGCTTGGTAAACTTCATGCATGATACTGAGATGTGGGTGTGATTTTGTGATGTCATTCCACCAATTCCATGCCTCACGGTGAAGTTGGCTATGTGCATATGCGTGTACATCTTCCAAGGTTCGAAAGTAGGTCGCAAACATCAGTTGATTTGCCGTTGAACGCTCGCCAATTCCTAGCCAGGAGGTTGCGCCGAGATCTATATTGTGAAAAGTGCTTAGTCTGACAGACCACACAGAAAGGAGGATATCTATAGTCTAACAGTTGTATTGCAGTGCATTGTTTGCCAGCTGAGCCTGCATTCGATTCATATAGTCCCCCAACACTTGGAAGCCGGGACCGAATATCCCCATCGGACTGTTGAGCGTGGGAGATAGTAAGACTGGATAATTCTGAATGCCAGAGAGCATGACACCACACTGGATTAGTGGAAGGAGCTTATACTTACTGGTTTGAGCGTGCGGCCAGTATAATCAACGTGACATTTTGATCAGCAGCCTGTCCTGAGAACACCCCACTCCGGTCAGGGAGTAATGCCGTGAATTTGCCAGCAATAACGCCGGCCATTTGAGGGTTTTCGATGAAGCCAAGTGTCATTAAACTGGTCTTGACAAATAGGAATAATAACATCAGAAATGGTGGTAGAACCGTGTACGAGCTCTGAAAAACTAAGGTAATGAGACCTTGAAGAACAGCTCCCAAGAGTAGCCATGTTTTCAAGGTAAAGTTGTCACGGAGTAACTAAAGCTTTGTTAGATCTGGGTTTATAACGATATAAAGAACCTCCATCTTGTTAATCCGAGCGTAGATGGGCGGCACAGACGTTACTTTGCAGATCCCATTTAGTCCGTATTCTTTCGGTTGATGGGGCAAGAAGCGGTTCCAAATTCGTCATGGGCCGCTTTGCAGTCATTTTGAACTATAGGTCGAATCTCAAGGGTGGTTATTTGAGCAAGTGCTCAGAAAAATGAAGGCCTTGTGGAAGGGATAAACGGGCAAAGAGGATGATCATAAGAGGGCGAAGCGCGGAAGACAGGCAGGGTCTGGGGCGATGACCTTTATAAACCTGTCGTGAAAAAGTGGAGAGGTTTATTACCATAACCCGCGCCCAGTCCCTATATGTTTTGTATGTAATGTGCGGGTAACCCCTCGACATCGGTATTGTCACTTGAATACTGGGTTACACCCTCATGGGACAGCTCACTCAACCTGCCCCTCTTTCCCATTCGTTTTGGATGTTTTCCTTCTTCAATCAGTCACTCTTTTCTGATGATTCCGGTAGTTCTCATTCGTCCAAATGCATACTAGTCAGCACCGATTCTGCTCGCTTTGACAAAACCTTTCAGGGGCATTCGCTTCGGAATCGGACGATCAACATTTGCCTATTTGCATAGCCATCATCTTAGGGGTCCGAGACATATTTAATGTGATATAGGTTTCAGTTCATCTGTACGCATAGTATATAGCCTTAAGGCCTACATAACTTAATCACCTAAGCTAAGCTTGTGTTTATTAACAAATCATCTACCTGAAGGCCAAAAATAATTCGATCATTGTACTATCTCTCTCTCTCACACACACACACACACACATTCAATAAAGCCACACGCCATCTTGTTCTAGCTTTCCCTCAGCCTCGATCTTCACCATACAAGCTTTGATCCGCTGCACAACATGCTCAGCATACCCTGGTCCTATTGGCGGCTTGGGCACCGTCATATCCATCTTTAACCAAGGTACAGAACTGAACTCTAGACAGGATTGACGCATCTTGTCGATGTCTTCATCGCTGTAAAGAGCCCCTGCAAAGATAGCCACAGGCGGCTTGGAATAGTCCATGGTACCTTGATCGGACTCTTCAGCAATTGGGGGGGCAAGCCCTTGCAGCAAGAGGGGTATTTCGACGGCACCGGAGGTGCTGCTTGTGACGTTGTGTACAACTGGCAATGGTATTAGCCTCAACTCCTTAATCAATTACTGATTATACTTGATTACCCACTTTCGTACTCAGGTAAGTAAAGGGGTTTGACAGCGTTGAAAACCTGCGGGTTGGTGCTGCCACACGTAATGACTGGCAAAGGTGACATTGTGGGTGAGATCAATTTATGATTGCAAGAACTTGCTCTGAAATAAAGAAAGGCTTCTTTAGACACAGGTATTTATAACAGTGAGTGAGCGAAACACAAATGATCGTCACTGCAGCTTCTATTGGCTGGCCGAATCGATTTCCTAAACGGGACGAAGCTGAAACTTTGCTGACACAATATTATTTCGACCCCTCCTAAGGCCCCCTCTCGAACGCAAGTTTAACCCACCATGGTGGCCAGGATTAATTCAGAACGGCCGAGCCAAAGAGAATGCCAAACACCGGTCAATATAGCCGAAGTTGCTATTCTTGTCGACAGCGACGTTGCAAGGTAAGGAGGCTCTGAAATATGCGTGTAGAGTGTCAACTGATCAATCGGGTTCCAGTGTGACCTTGCAAGTCCTTCATGTGGTCAATGTCTACGAGCAAAAATCTCCTGTTCGGGCTATCGAGATGAGGTTAGCATGCGCTTCCGCATTATAAACAATTCGTCGTTTCAACAAAGCACGAGACACCATCGTCGGAAAATGCGCTACAACGACCCCCCAATAACCAAAGCGGACTCGGCCAAAAATAGCGAAATATCCTCTGCCCAGATATTATACGAGCCCTCCCAAGTGTGGAATAGCCATGTGATCCCTTTGGTCCTAGACAGGTTCTCCATCGAGCTCGTGGATACAATTAAAGACAGTAGCATGTTCGCTACCATTCCTCGCATCATATCCACCTCGCAAGAAGGCTCTCCAGTCTACGCAGTCTGTGATGCTATTGCATGTGCATATCTATCTAGTACAACGGGGACGACAGCTGCGATGGTCAACAGAACTCGAGCGTATGCAACCGCCTTAAGGACCGTCAATACAGCGCTAGACGATTCTGTTCAATGCAAGAATGACAGCACATTGTTAGCGGTTTGGATGTTCGTGGTGTACGAGGTAGGAGCTATTTATCAGTGGAAATTTTAAGGACAAGAGAGCTGATTGACCCAACGTTCTTATCGAATCCTCACCTTACATCTATCGCAGGATCAGAGGAGGGAGATCGCCACTGTCGAGGCATGGCCACTTTGATTAACCTCCGGGGATCGGAACAATTCTCTAGAGAGGATGGGCGAAATCTTGTCTGGTTTGTCTGTCATTGCACTGTACGACCCTTGAACCCTGATCTTATGGTGTATGTCTCTAACAACACTAGCAAGCCAAAGCACTCGTTGCCGGCCGAGAATCCCCCATGGAAGTGCTGAGCTGGATCCACGAACTCTGCCAAAATGCGAAGCTCTCCGATTATACCCTAGTTCAAGCATGTACCTTTGCCTACCACTGCACTCATCTTCTCGGTCAGATTCGAAAGATATTAACTGATAATTCGTATCTGGTGTTGGCCACTTACTTATCTACATTTCAACAGATGGATGACATAGAGAACATTTGGTGTTCCTCATATGATTTAGTACAGCCTTCAATATGGTCTATTGGAGTTCATGCATATCAAGGGAATTTTCAAATGCATCTCTCGGCGACCGTTTTAAACCTCCTTACTCGTGCCTGCGAATCTGGTTGCTCACAACAGCGGCATACTCAATTCACCGCAATGCAAGAACGTTGCATTACAACTTTTCGCGCCACGGCTACAAAGATATTACGCATGCAGGGCATGTCACAAAGTACTAGTCACTTACCTAGTGACAAATTCAGTCTCGGATGGGCGGATGCAGTTATGGTTTACGGATCGTTGAGGACCATCACAATATCTCCTATCTCATTAGGCTGGCAGAGGAATGCGGCGAATCGGATTTGTGCAATAATCAAGGAACGACTTGGTTTTCAATTTTTGCTGTAATTAAATAACTTCCTTGTTCTTCAATCTTATGTCATTTCTGCTTCATAACAAGACAGATTCACAACCCAAATGTACATTCACGGCCCAGCCAGTGGTGAGAGCGTACGTGAGACTCTATTATTACTACAATCAGGCAGTTTATATTAGCAGGTCTAGTTACCGTAGCTATCGCGAAGAGGAGTTTGAAACTGCCCACTTGCTCAGTTTGGATTCAGGAATACATCGACTGGAAAAACATTCTCCGCCAGCAGATAACATTCCACTCAGTAATCTTGAAATTTCCCGCTAAGGAAGTTTAAAATGACCGATACCCCAATTGAGATATCATTAATTTTAACTGACAAATCAATGATCGCTTACACAGGGCATCGGAGACTTAGGCGCTGCCAGGCTGTCATCCATGATCATGTGATGCTCCAATTCACTCTGAGCGGACAATCCCTCCGGGGCTCTGCTGTGACTTATAAGGTGCGGCGACATATACTGTGGACACCGATCTCAACTACAACCGTTGATCTTTATTCAAGTATTAGATCCTCATCTCAACGTTCTAGGAATAATGAATTTTCTTCGATGGCTTACATTTGAGCGCCCGCGAAAAGGACCAGCATGTGAAACAGTACCGACTGACATGATTATGCCAGTCTACTATTTTGATGACACGCCACTTTTACGCAACAGCGTCCAGTGCTGGGCACTTCGGTTCAACGATATACTCGATCCAGATATGTTGCAGAGGTCTTTATCGCTGCTTATCGAGCGGGAGGGATGGCGTAAGCTCGGGGGACGCATTCGTTTAAATGTAGGCATCGATCGCGAAACTTGCACTCACTGATATGGATTTTCTAACGACGCTACTTCTGAAAGGCAGAGCATAAGTTGGAGATTCACGTTCCCCAGTCCTTCACTGCGGATAGATCTGCTGTCAATTTTAATCATGAAAAGTTTCACATCAGCATCAATAAACACCCACTAGCTTCCAGGCTGCCTGCGCCCACCGATGACGTTCCGTCACTGCAAGATGGCTCTTCGGTGTTTAGAAAACTCTGGGTGCCACCGAATGCACCAGTCTGTCTGGATGACTACCTTACTTCTGATCTCCCACAATTGACTCTGAATGTCGTGTCATTTACTGACGCGACGCTTGTATCGCTTTGTTGGCCTCATATTGCAGCAGATGCAATGAGCTTGCGTGACGTTGCTAAAGCGTGGAGCCTTGTGCTTGCTGGGCGACAGTCAGAAATCCCGCCGATGCTGTCTTCTGGCGATGATCCGATGGCTCCTGCCGGCAACAACCCTCTCTTCCTAGATACCCACGTCCTTGAAGAACAACAAGTCAAGGGATGGTGGCTGCTTCTCTGGGGACTTCGCTTTGTGTTTGATCTACTCTGGTGGCGGAAGATGGAGACTCGAACCGCCTTCCTACCTTGGAAGGTTGTGAACCAACTGCGGAGCAATATATTAGCTTCACTTGCAGAGAAAGCCGAGAAAAAAATTGCCACTGAAGTTACTGAAGAGCAGGCGCCTTTTATAAGTGAGGGAGATGTAGTGACGGCATGGATGTCATTGATCGTGGCCTCATCTCTTCTGCCCTCAAAGTCGTCACGGACTGTTGGCATCAGCAATGCGTTTGATCTTCGACCTCGCCTGCCATCCATATTTCCGGCCAAAGAAAATCAAGGTAGTTATGTGCAGAATGCTGTCTTTCCGTGCTGGACAAATATACCGGCTTGTGACCTCATCGGAAAGTCGGATGCTCTTGGGGTTGCGGCCCTCAAGATCCGTCATAGCATCAAGAAACAAACCACCGAACCCCAAATTCATGCATTGGCACGCCTAACTCGAATCTCACTGGAACAGACACACTTGCCACCAATGTTTGGCGATACAAGTTCTTTCTTGATTACGGCGTCGAATTGGTCAAAAGCTCGCCTCTTTGAGGTGGTTGATTTTGGCCCTGCAGTTCAAATCGCACAATGTACTTCAAAATATCAGGGGTCTACTTTGGCTATGAAGAAGAAAAGTATTGGGGGCAATACAGGATCGGGCTGTCAAGCAGTTAAGAGTAATCCGGTGTACTACTGCGTTGACAATGTAAGCCCAAACAACATGTTGGCTAGAAATGCATTCTTTTTGGCAGGCACACCGAATGGCGACTACTGGGTCAATGGATGCTTTCCGAATGCTGTGTGGAAGGCGATGGAGGGAGTACTCCGTGACAACTTGTTGACTTCGGGGTGAGAGGTTGGGAGAACGGGCTGCTCGGGTTTGGAGGTGACACTGATGTCCGAACTTTTTTCCACCACAATGGGTGTCGTTTGTGATGGTCTAATGACTCGCATGCTTTGTTCCCTCACTCGTTTGTGATCTCTCTTGCCACCTCCTAATTCAAGTCGCTTAGTTGAAAAGGTAGACTATGTATTGGGTTACCGTTGAGTGGAACGGAACGGAGTTAATGAGGAAACTAATCCATAATTAGCATTTTGCGCTAAGCATGAACCGCGAGCTCAACCCTGGGTTTTATTGCTCAATTTCTTGCATAAGCTACATAAGCTTCCGGGCGTCAGCTCATGCGCACGGGGCACGTTTACCTATTTCGGCCAAGTGATAATTTCAACGGGCTGTTATTGCCCCCGCCTAGACGCCGGGATTAGCGGTGCACTGGGCACATTTACCTATTCTGGTCAATGTGGCTTGTAGGCGAGACGGAGATATTGGAATTATGGCTCAAAGGACTAACTGTTAAGGTACGGACCTTCCAAGCTATTGGCCTCTACTATGTCTACGATTTCGGGCCCCTGAATTGAGCCTTTCTCACAAGCAGAATCTGTCGGATTGATGGGAATTAGTATGGACAAGTACATAAACCTATCAACCAATGAGAATCGGCGATTCAATGCACCTTCATCACGCAGAGGATCACACTCAGCCGTCCCAATGAAAGTTGTGTAACTCCTTTCAGAGAGACCGCATCAATAGGACTTCGCCAAAATAGTGGCTTCGCTTCTAGATCTTGACCTTCCACGCTCTTTTCAATAATTGCAGCAAACAAGCTAATTCGTTTTTAATTGAGGCGTAGTACCAGGGCATTCTCCATTATTGAAGGAAATGCGCAATCAGAGGCGTCGAGTCCTGGTACTGGGCAGGGACAAAATCGCTGGATATTAGAGTTGAGTTAGTACAATAACCTTGTTGTTTCAACAAGGAGTCCAAGAATATAGATCTTACCAAGTTTCAGGGGTAATTTTGCATCACGGGCAAGCTGTTGTATAATACAGCTCCAAAATCCACCTGCGGATATCCCACCAATGGATATTGAGTCCGATAGACCATTTATTTCAGAGGCGTGGGCGTACACCTGCTCTTTCATTAGCTGACTTGTCCGGTACAGGAAACAAACATCATAAGTACCCATTGAAGAGCAGCCCAGGCATCCTCTGCACCCTTTCCAAATGCAAATTCTGTTCAATATTAGATTCAATCCATCTGCTATAATGCGATGATACTAACCTGGATATAGACGATAGTCGACATCCACAACAATGATGCCAATTTTGTTCCTTACTGTCATACACCACTCGGCCTCACTTGTCAAGTCTCCGGAGCAGAAACCGCCTCCTAGTTGCATGATGTCGACGGCGTCGAGCGAAAATTTTAAACACGGACAACGCAGAGGCTGATAAGGAATCGTCCAGGTTTTGGGTGTATGTACTGCTTGACCATCTATAACAGCAGGGCCAAGACATGTCAAGTTTACGGGGAAGAGGAACCGACAGCCGAAAACAATATAATTTGTACGTGGGTCTTTTACAGTTGCCGGAAGAGTAACGAAGTATAATCAGGAAGCGAGCCAAATTCGTATCTCAGTGTCTGACGTGCATGCCTACAAGAGTAAGCGAGTTTACAAGTAATAACAGGAAGTAAGTGCATACAAATACCAGAGTGAGCATACAATAATAAGAGCAAGTAAATGCATATAAGTACAAGAGGAAGTAAGTATAGAAGTAATAGGAAGAGGCGAAGAAGAGGCAACAAAACAAAACTATCGAGACACAATACATGACAGAGACACGCGTGACAGTGAAACTAATGAGCGAACGAAAGGCGAAAGGCGAAAAGGAAGCAGCAAGTAGGGCGGAAAAGAAAGTCGCAGGTCAGGGAAAAGAAAAAGAAGACAAGCAGCAACTCAGAGTCACACTTGGCAAGAGAAAAAGACGAATCAGCGTCGAGAATCGCCACGAGATTTGCAGTGACAGCGCAGCGAAAGCCCGCGGGCAGGTCACGCAGGGTAGTAAACCCTTCACTCGTTCCTCGTTTCAGGGCACCACTAGGGAGTAGAGTTAGAATTGGACCCCGCCCTTGGCTAGAGGAAGGTAATTTATCTTCGCGACGCTTTAACATAATATTTTTTATCTCAATCTTAATTACGTCATTGCTTGAACTTCAGGTAACCTATGATCTAGTACTGTACATATCTTTTGGTGATCTCCAAAGCCATGACGAATTTCATATACTGATTAGGTGATAACTGTTACGCAAGAATGATTTTGCGTATGCCTTTCGACCGGGCCTGTTCATAAACGCAGTTTAGACAGCAATAGTGGCAAAGAATAGCGGAATCAAGTGACAGAGACAAAAGCTGTGCGGTAGGATTACCAGCAGTCTGTACAATGGAGATGGTGTCTGAGGGTTCCTTAGGAGGTCCCGGCGCCTCGACAGACGCTGTCTGTACGAACTGTGAATATTCATCTTTCAAAGGTGTGGCCCTTGCATGTTCACACGGCTCAGTCACATCCAAGTATACCAATCTATCTAGACAATCTCCGAAGCATACATCAATCTTCTGGCCGGATACTGTCATCGTGGTTCGTAGTAGTAGTGTGTGCGTTCTTTCCGAGACCGTGAACGAGAGATCAGAGTGGATACCTTGAGCTGTAGGCATGAGCGGGCTGACAAAGTTTGATGGCTGAGATGGACAGGGCCTCTCGAATCTAGAAGAAAAGTCCTGAAGGTAATAATGATAACGATTGCCGTATTTGATAGGTCCATCAATAAGCTCCATGCCACGGTACTGACACAGATCCTCATGCTGGAGGTTGATGCAACGCCACGGAATAAGTGTACTTGTCCCATTTGAGCCAGCAATCAAATATGGCTTAGGGATGTCGAAGAGTGGTTTCCATAATAGATGACTCGATAATGGGAATTGCAGCCGTCCTGGTCGGCCCCACCCCGGCGTTATCCACATGTTAGCCTGACTGCGTTGTCTCCAAGTGGCATTCTCTGAGGCATTCACGAAGACCGCAGCGAATGCAGATTCAATTATGTCGAGAACGCTTATCATGAATCTATCACCCGAGGGCATCGTTGGTGTCTTGTCCGAGTTGGCAGATCCGTCTTGTTCTTGTGTAAAGAGTCGTCCCATCAAATCATTAAGCTGGCGGAGGCAATCAGGATATGGCGGCCACTCATTTGGGAGGTTCGTATTCAAAATGGTCTCACAGCGCTGGTGCATGAGTATGCGATGATTTTCGCCAAGAAGATACTTGGCCGGGAACCGCCGTGTGTTAGATCGCGTTTTATCAACCTTTGCACCCTCAGTGTACACATAGGTCACATCAGCACCGGACAAAACACATAGCCCCACTACTGGTATCAAGTCTGGGGGGCAAACTATGTTGAATTGCTGAAAGGTGGTCTGGAGAAGCGCTGGAATAAGCCCTTTCCACTTAAAATCAGCTGTTATGAGGCTGTGCATGACATCATCGTCCTTTTCGTAACGAGAAGTGCAAAGCAATTCCGTCACTGAACTGATTTGCTGCGTTTGGAGCACTTGAATGGGTTCATCTTGCATCGATGCAATGATCTCCACGGATATAGAGCATGAGAGATGACCTTGATGAACAACAAGTTTCTCGATTGTCACAGTACAATCATCTGAAAATAAAGTGACCACGAGGGGATATATATACCCCATGCCACAGCATCCGCGAATTTGCACCTGGCCTTTCTCATCCCGCAAAGCGCAGGATATAGTTCCTAGCAGCTCTGCTATCCACTCTTTCCGACAGACTTCCAGGAGATTTGAAGGAACACTGAGCTGCATCAATTCATAGGCCTCATGGATGCGGCAAATATGCTTTGCGAGGGTAGTCCCGAAGCCGATCAAGGCAAGCTTATTGGCAAGTAGACCTGCCGCCTGATCCAGCTGCATGGGACTACTAAGACACGCCGACTGGGGCAAAACACCAGCGGAAAGTGAGTGGAGGATTTCTCCAACGGAGTCTCTGTATATGTTACTTAGGCAGACTGCTATCAAAGAGACTGCCTGGCCCCCAGATGATTGAGCCATGAGGGACGCGGAGTCGCCTTTTCTCCAGCCCACAGTTATTCCCAGACGCTCAATGCGCGTACTGTTGAATCGATTCAAATAGTCTGGCACTTTTATGGTCGCCGGTCCACTGACTGGAAATGCTGCACCCAGGTTTTGCAACTGAATTAATGCCATGGGTTGAACATCATCGGCGGATACAGCTGCCAGAATCGTCGAAAATTGCCCTAAGCCCGCGAGAGAGAGATTTCCAACATCTACCTGTGCGCTCACAGCTCGAGACATGATTTCGGTAGACCAAGACAAGTTGATCAATAGAAGTTGAAATTGCCAAAGAGACTGACAGGCAGTCGATAGTAGATAGAACTTCTGAATTTCAAGGAGACAAGATTGAAAGTTTAACTAACTCACCTTATTTCCGACTTGAGAAAGCATACTTAAATGTAATATAGGGGCTGAGCTACCTGGAAACCTGGATGGGGAGGCTGAATGCGCAGATTGTTCCAGCGTGAGGCTGTCATTTTGCTTGACGTTCATGGAATGGGATTCGGATGCATTGCTGCCTAACCCCGCTTCGTGTAAGTAGCCTTAGCTGTCGAACTTGGGTCCGTAGCAATTCCCAGCGGATCAGTGAGCAAAAGCGGCGAGGGGCTGAGCACTAAAACGGAAAACGAAAGCCAAGGCGTGGCATAGGGGATCCGGTACATAGGAATTCCGGGCGTCAATTCTAATTGATGCACTTATAAGTAAACTGATATTCCTGCATTCTTTCCAATCCATGTCCAACAAGCTGCGGAGGTAAACCCTGAAAGACAATGGGGAGTCTGGGGACATGTCAGATACAAAAAAAGTAGACTGCTTGGCCTTGCAACTAGTGAAGGGCGCTAGGGTCCCTCAGGGACCCTAGAGCCAAATCTCACTTCTTTTGTTCCCCAGCCTCCGTTTCTGGCCTTTGACTCGGTCAAGGAAGAATTAACTGTGTACACTCCCACGATGTCGGTCTGGCTGTTCAGGTAACTACAACCCCTCCTTACATCGATCATCTGCGAGTCTCAATCTGGTAATCGTACTGATTTCTTGGTTTTGCTATTGCTTTCAATCTTGTCTCCTGCGTTGCTCAGCTTCTGAAGCTCCGCGGAAAAAGATACAGAGCAAATGTCCCCTTTGAATACCTATCTTTCAATATCCTTAGTGCGACAGAACAGGCGATCATGTCTTATTGGTATGCCGAGTATGTTGCGAAGAAATCCCTATCACCCGGGGACTACCTTGACTGAAGGTCTCAAAAATTTATGGATCTGTCCCGAATGACGACGGTCTGGGCGGTCTTCACGTTTGTTCTGTGAGCGACCCAGGTCACGAAGACTTCGATCTTCCTAAATATATCACTAAGAGACTGCCTGGGCAGATTCTTGATTGGTGTCACCTTTAGCTCCATGCGACTCAGGTACAAGATCCCATTAATAGCGGTCTATGTGCTCCATGTGTTGCATGAATTCATACCTCTGATTCTCGGCAATCCTCGCCGTTCATCGGTTAGAGATGTTACGAATAGCTCCCCTCAGCTGCTGTTCTACACCAACCCAGCCCTTACTTATCTGGGCTTGTCTATATTTTTGAAGCGAGGTCTGATAAAGCTGGATTCTACTGGAACCCCCTTGAGCCTCGCGGCAATTGCTAGTCAGACTGCGGTACACGGAATTGTAGCAGTCTTCTGGGCTTTGATGCTCGGGCCCGGCTTGATTAGGGGTTGGAGGAAGTCTGCTATCCTGAACTGGCCTACTTGTGTCTTGCTTTGGAATCGCTATTGGTGGCCGGTGGTCGATAATGGGATTTTTGCTGTGTTGCAGGGGAAGTTGCTTTGGGTTTCTTTTAGAGGGAGGAAAGCCACCTCTAAGGAAGGTCGACATGAACTTCAGGCTATGGATGAAGAACAAGATGAAGATGTAGAGAAAGAGGCAACTTTACCACTGACAGTCTAGTGAGATTCTTGCTGCTCAATTGAGGATTTAGGAATGGTATTACAAGATATCGTACTTGGCAGGAAGCTACACCTTACTGTGTCTTGCAAATCAATGTAGCCAGCTGAATTACTGGTAATAGGTTTAGACAATATTATCGATAAGATCAATTGTGTAATAGTGAAGCCGATATCGAGAATGTCTTGTTAGTATAACTCCGCAGGGACTGGCCCCAATCGCCGAACTGTCGCCCCACACGGAATCAGACCACCGAATTGCGAGTCATTCCTTGAGTGAGTCACGGCTACATTCAATAGCCCCTTCAAAATTGATATCTTGTTTATTGTGAAAAGCAATTCTTAACTACTCTCATCTATTTAATAACGAGAGACTTCCCACTTTTAAGACCAAGCAATTGTCTCGAAGATTCACTGTCCTTATCCATCATTGCGGGGTCACTTCCGTTACTACATATCAACACTTCCCTCTCCCACCACCACCACAAAGAACTTCAAGTTATACTCAAGATGGATCGCCCAGTCGGACCCCCCCGTTGAAGTCAAACAAGCCGTTCCACCACCCACCACCCCAATCATAGGTCACTGCGTCCAACTCGAACCATTAACCCCGGACCACATCGACGGTCTCTACCCCATAATCGGACAACCCGAACAATCCACTCTATGGACCTACATCCCCAAAGGCCCCTTCACCGACAAAGCCTCCTTCACAGAAGCAATAACATCCTTCTCCACCTCCAAAGATCCATTCTTCTACGCCATCATCGACAAAACCACCAAAAAACCAATTGGCTTCTTCAGCCTGCTCCGCATCGACCTCACAAACCGCGTCATTGAAATCGGCTTCATTGTTTTCTCCCCTCTTCTTCAGCGGACCACCGCTGCCACGGAGGCGGTGTATCTTCTAGCGAAGACGGTCTTTGAGGATTTGGGGTATCGTCGGTTTGAGTGGAAGTGTGATAATCTTAATGCGCCTTCTAAGAAGGCAGCGTTGCGGTTCGGGTTTACGGCTGAGGGGGTGTTTAGGCAGCATTTGATTGTTAAGGGGCGGAATCGGGATACAGCTTGGTTTTCGATTTTGGATTCTGAGTGGCCCGTGGTTAAGAAGGCGTTTGAGAAGTGGTTGGATCCGGGTAATTTTGATGCTGAAGGGAAGCAGGTAGCCTCCCTAGTTGAGTTGAGGGGTCTTTGAGAAGTCGGTTTGCAAAGACTAGAGCGCAATTCGTGATAGATATGGATAGAATATGCATTTCACCTTACCAGGGAGCAGCAAACCGTTTAGATGATACAACAGGCATATTGTCAAACGGTCAACGCCGGTATGATATGAGTTCCTATGTAGGAAAAAGGGTATATAAACGAAAAGATCCTTCTACATCTCTCATCTCAACCAAACCGCTGCTTCGCCAACTGCTGCAGCCATCCAATAGTTTCCTCCTCTTTCTCGCGGTACTTCTGCACTCGCTCCTCTCGCTCCGCAGCCCGAGCTCGCATAATCTCCTCCCGTCGAATCTCCCGCTCATTCTTCTTCCGCTGCTCCCTTTCCTTCTCCTTCTTGAGAGACGCAAAGTCATTATCCCCCATAAGCTCTGCATCCGGAGCTGCTTCCGGGGATCCCCCGCGAGCACCGGCAAAGGTGCGATTTGCAGCAGCGGCCTCTCGGCGTTTCTCAAGCTGTCGTTCCCGGGTACCGGGTTCGGCACGTGGTGCGACTTCGTCTTCGATATGGCGTACCTCGGCTTTGTGGGAGCGTAGTTCGGAGCGATATTGTTGTCTTGAGTCCTCGCGGGCGGCGATTGCGTCTTCAATTGCGGATTCTGCAGGGTGTGATATTAGCTCGTTGTTATTAGCCCGAGGGAGGGGTTGGAAGGAACTCACCGCGCTTGAGTTCGAGGTCCTGCATGTTTGGTATAGTCGGTCCGGAATATGTGACGTCCCTCACAGACCCTGGAACCGGCAGTGTTGGCCCGTATTCCTCCTCCTCCTCCTCCTCATCATCATCATCTCCGGCTTGTGGCACCATCGCACCCACATCCTGGGACGGTTCGCCTCGTCCATAGTCCGGCGATGCCCTATCCGTCGGACCGGGCTGATATTCTGCCGCACTTTGGCGCGCTTTCTCTAGTGTAGCTGGGTCATACCACCCCTCGGCGAGTTCACCATGATTCCTGCACAATCAGCAATGCTCGTCCTAACAAGAGAATCCCGAATACATACCACTTCCGAGTGAAACTCTTCCACCGCCCCTTCACCTCCTCCTCTGGCATATCTTCCACAAGAAGTCCCTTTTGGATGTCCAGATACATCGCAAACATCGGCTGGTATGCTTCTAAATCGCGTCGTGAGAGCTCGCGCGCCTGGTACGGGAGGAGCACGGTTTGCGCCGGGGCTTCTTTGCTTCGGTGGTCATGACGGTCCCGCTCTTTTCGCTCTGTGCGGTCACCTCGCTCTCGGTCATGTCGGCGATGACGCTCGGATCGTTGCCGGTCAGATCGATGGGGAGAACGAGAGCGCGAGTGATCGCGGTGTCGGTGCCGGTGGGAATGCGAATGCGAATGCGATTGGCCGTGGCTATGCAGGCTGCGGTGGTGCCGGCGATCTGACTCGTGCTCTGCTGACGGCGATTTTCGGTGTGAGGACCTCTTGGGGGATGGCATTGTTACTACACTGAATTCGTGGTGGTTTTGATAGATCAAAGGAAGTGTCAAGTTTTTGATGATTTGAGGTAAAGCTTGTGCTCCTTATCTTATCGGGAGCCTTCACCCCATTCCATCTGGGCTACATACAGTGGCACCGCAGAAGTTTCCGACCACCCTCTTTACCGCCTGATATATACCGCCTTTGTTGGAAATTTTTGAACCAAAAGAAACACATATCAAAACTGGAGAATTCGATGTCTTCCCTTCAATCCTCCCAAACGAGACGTGCAATTGGAGATAGCGACAGTTTTTCCCAAAATTTAGGGATACTGGTGGAAATCTGGAAGTGTTTATGTCCGGCAGAATGTTATGTAAGCAGAAGGTGGTCGGAGACTTTTGTGGTGCCGCTGTATACCTGCTAGTTTTATCACTGCTACGATAGATGAATGAAACTCCAAAAAAAATGCAATAATCCCTATATGAACCAGAAGAAAAAAATTCCGTAGTGGTAAATACATCTAAGCGAAGAGGTGTACAATTTCAAGTTCAGATTTTGTCCTGAACTTAGCTGGCAGGAGCACTCTGGTCACTGCTTGAGCCAGCGGGCTTATCAGCCGGGGCAGGGCTCGACTGAGAAGAGCTCTTGGATCGGCCGGAAGCAGCCATCTGCCAAGCCGGGATGGAAGCAGAGCGACCAAGCTTGGCGAGAGGGCTGTCAGCAGCTGGCGCAGGCGTGGGTGCAGCTACCGGCTGGGGCTCCTGCTCGGCCGGGGTAACGGTGGCCTGCAGGCCGTTGGTGGCGGGGATAGCAGCGGGAGTGGGCTCGGGAGCCGGCTGGGGAGTCACAGAGGGAGTTGGAATTGTAGAGCTGCTGAGAGTGCGGCCAACAGTGGGAGCAGCGCCGCTGCCGCCCAGTCGGTTGCCCAGCAAGACCTTCAAGCTCTTCAGCTCGTTACCGAGCTCCTTCAGACGATTCTCGTTACCCTCCCGAGCGCCTTCCAAGGCCTTGGGAATTGCATCCTTCAACGACTTGACCTCATCGCTGATCCGGCGGGTGTCGTCATCCCTCCGTCGCGACGCATTCTTAAGGTCTGCAACTAGGTTCTCCACGTCCTTCAGAGCCGAATCCAAGCGCTCAGTGCGAGCATCCTCAGCGGCCTTCAAGGCTGCGGTATCGGTCGAAAGCTGGTCAATCAAGTCAAATGCACGAGAAAATTGCTCATCAATGTTTTCCTTGTCTTGCTCCAACTGAGGGGGAGTGGGTGGGGCAATCAACGGAGCAATGTAGCGCTGGCGCAGAAGTATTAGCAGGGGCATACAGTGTATTACCGAGGATAGCGAGTCATACCTTGCCAACAAAGTAAAGTCCATAGCCAACGCCACCCATCACCGTTGCCATGATAAACCAGTCCCGCCAGTCTCTCTTGGGCGGCCTGTCATGCGGTCAGTCTCCGGTTCGCAAGACAACCAAGCTCAGATTGTACATACTCTGGAGGCGGCTGCCATTGATTATATGGGGGATAGCCATATCCTTGTGGTGATTGTGGAGGTGGTCGGTACGCAACCTGTTGTGAGCTGTAGCCCTGCGATGGGGCCGATACGGTTCCAGCAGCCGCGGCCGCGGCAGCTGGGTCTTCGCCGACTCGCGATAAGGCGAGATCGACCTCCTCTTGTGTAAGATTCTTGGATTGAAGGAATGCGACTCGTTTCTCAATGGGCGATGAAGCGACCGAGGGATCCTGTAGGACTGTGTGACGGTTAGCGCGCAACTTCTCCACCTCGCCATGCCGTGGGGAATGGGGATTGATCATACAGGTCACCTAGAAACATCGATTAGCGACTGAAAGCGGAGATGGATATGATGGCAAAGTACTTACCGCAGAGGTAATGAGCTCCTCTCGAGGAGCCATGGTGATAATGTGCTGTCAATCACTGGCGAGGGCGATGGAGGAAGAGAAAGTCCAGAGGCAGGGGAAGTGACCGTCATCGGCACCGGCCGTGGACCTCGGGACTCAAGGCCGCCAAGCCTCACTTCCCCAGACCGAAGGTCTCGTGATTCTTTCCCGGTGCGACTGTTTTTCCAGAGTGCTGCCCACCGCTTTCTATTTTCGGAAGTGGCACGCTCTTGTTTACATCTTCCCGCCCAACCCTGCACGACAAAACAAGTCCCCCTCATCCAGAGTTTTGCGCCGCAGGTCCAGATTTGAACTGTCAATACTTGGACTTTGAACATAGATATTCATACATTGCACAAGTCAATTTCTAATTCTGCCGCGACTGCGGCCCCGTTGTCACTATGTCGCAAGATACTGGGTTGTTCAGTATCAGGCGCCCCCGAGAGGTATGATAATAAAGAAACGTTTACTAGCTGTCGCAAAGAGAAGTGGTAGCTAATAGTAAAATATAGACCCTCGGGAGTGTACAGAACTATTCTTCTATTCCCCAGCCGTCGTCAGCCATGAAGCGCACGAGCTCCATTGGCTTCAACAATCCCCCGTTTACCTCGCAGCACGCCCGGTCAAACTCCCTACTGAACTCAACGAGCCGACCTCAGCAGCCCAACTTTACACGCATGTCCATGGCTGGCCCCGACTCTGGTCTCTCGTCTGTACGCCGATCCGTCTCGAGTAACATGTTTCATGGTGTGAGCGCTGGGAGACAAAGTTTTGCGCCGGGCTCACTTTCATCCAATTCTGCATCCCAACAGAACCTGCAACGCCGCAGCAGTGTCTTTTCGCGGCCATCAGTGGGTGGGCCCATGGGTCACCAATCTTTCTTCAACTCGGTCCCCGCTGTCGCGGGTGTGCCCAGAGACCCCCGACCGCTTCGAGACCGATCATTCCAAGCGCGCATTGGGCAGGAGCTACTGGAGTATCTAACACACAACAATTTTGAGCTGGAGATGAAGCATTCCCTAGGACAGAATACCCTCCGCTCGCCGACCCAGAAAGACTTCAACTATATCTTCCAGTTCCTTTATCACCGTATTGATCCAGGCTACAAGTTCCAAAAGGCGATGGACGCGGAAGTCCCTCCCATTCTCAAGCAGCTGCGATATCCGTTCGAGAAGGGCATCACAAAGTCCCAGATCTCGGCCGTGGGGGGCCAAAACTGGTCCACTTTCCTCGGCATGCTACACTGGTTGATGCAATTGGCACAGTTAATGCAACGGTTCGATAGTGGAGAGTATGACGAGGCATGCGCCGAAGCCGGTGTCGACGTTACGGGTGATCGCATCATCTTCCGTTTCCTCACTGGTGCCTATCATGACTGGCTGCAAGGTGGCGAAGACGAGGATGATGAGACGGCAGAGCAACGATTGGTGCCTCATATTGAGGCGATGTCGCAAGAGTTCGCCCGCGGTAATGAGCGATATGTACAGCAGATGGAAGCACTAGAGGCGAAGAATCAAGCTTTGCGAGAGCAGATCGAGGAAATGGAAAAGAATGCACCGGACATGGCCAAGTTGGACCAGCACTTCCGCATCCTGGAGGATGATACGAGGAAGTTTGAGGACTACAACCAGAATGTCAAAGGCAAAATCGAAAAGTACGAAACTCGCATCAAGTTCCTGGATGCCGAAATTCAAAAGACCGATGGCGAGCTTCAGATCACGGAAAACGAGCGTGCCGAGCTTCAGGCTAGCGTCGACCGACAAGGAATCACCATACAAGACATTGATCGCATGAACACGGAACGCGAGCGGCTTCAGAAAAGTCTTGAGGACAGCATGGCTCGTTTGGAGGAGACCCATGCCCGGGTCATGGAGAAGGAGGCCGAAGCGAGCCAGAAATTGGAGGATCTGGAGCAGATCGTCAAGGCGTACAACACGCTTGGCTATCAGACAAGCCTAATCCCGTCCTCTGCCGAGAATGCCAAGGGCCAGGACTTTGAGCTTACTCTCAACGTCAACGAAAACAATTTCTCCGCCAGCCAGATCGGAGGCGCGCCTAATCGGATGTCGTCAGAGGGTGATCGCCTCTTGGCCGAACCTTACACGGGCTACCACCCGGCCCATTTGCTGAATCTGGACCTCCGGGGCTCTGTCCGCAATAGTCTACAATCATTGCGCAAGGAGATCAACGAGCGGCGGAAAAAAGCCATTGACGATGATCTTGACCGTCGCAATCTACTTGACAACATTAAGGAGGCGATGGACGAAAAGCGCAGTGAGGTTGAGGCCCTGGAGCACCGACGCCGAGCGGCGGAGGAGGAGTTTGAACGCACCAAGGAAATTACCACCACTCAGAAGACGGCATCAGACGCCCAGATCGAGAAGATGGAGAAAGAACTCGCCAAGATGCGGGCGACGCTCAGCGACAGTGTCCAATTGATGGAGCAGCGCGAGATGAATACCAACATCGAATATGAACAGTTGACACTTCGAGCCAATGCGCTACGAGAAGAACTACATACCAACGTTGAGACCATGCTCAACGATGTGATTCGCTTCAAGGTCCATGTACAAAAGGGCTTGGAGGACTATGAGAGTTTCGTGGTTGACGAAGTGGAGCAGGAGTTGGGTGGCGATCTGCCTGCCGACGAGGATGAGGAGATATGAGATACTTTGGTCCTAGCCATGGTTTCCCCCTTGTTTGTGTCTTTACGAAGTGATGATGAGGATTTGGCGCCGGGTTGATTCGATGGTTGTTTTTGGTATCACGTTAATTGAGCCCTCTTACATTATCTGATGTGTACATGTTTAATACCCTCGCAATTGCAATTGTTTAAGTATGAGCGATGCTATTTTAGAATGAGGACGCGCAATGCTGGTGGGCCAAGCGTGTAGCAGATCATTAGCATGAGACTGGTGGCGTATTTTTTTCTTTACTGTTTCTTTGCTCTTCCTTGTCGGCTTTTCCAGGGAGATGGAGTCCACAATATGCACGCCACGGCACTAGTCGACGCTGTACAACGGGGAACATATTGACATTGATTATTGACTGCGGAGTACGTGCTGGATGTTATTCTCTACGTACTCCCCAGAACCTCCATCTTAGCGTGTTTCTTGACCACTACTTTGTCAGGGTTTCGACCAATCAGTCAACCTCGCCAGTATATACCAGCCCCACTCTCATTCCTCCTGAATCTCAATCTGAAGCAGGCCAGCGAGCCGATCGACAGACGACGTGTAAGCTCGAGGTGGGGGAAACCTCTCTCTTGCCAGCCTCCTTCTGACTCTCTCGTTTCACGTTAAACTTCTCCACGAACAAACACATCGCACGGCACTTGGCGTGATGCCAATTGCAGACTGACGTGCTTACTTGGGACAGACTGGCAGCTCAGCGTGACGCCATCTGCTTCAGAACCTGCCCCTGGTGGCTTTGAGGAGCCCTGGTGACCTTAGCGAGCCTCGACCTATTGAGCCTCTTTCCCTAGCTGACGGCTCAACCTCGCCTCCATGACGGGCTCCTGCGTTGGCTCCACTCTGGAACTATGAAACTATATCGCACCAATATGGACCTGCTGTCGATAGGGCTGTCTGTCTATCTCCCCGATGATCAACCTGATTCGACATATTGACCCTGGGTGGTCCCATATGAGAACCCGCCAGCTGCAGACTATCAATGCCGATCTCCACAGCTCCCTCGTCTGAGCAGTCGGTCTAGATGTCTCGGATATTCCTGACAGCGGAACTGGTCTCCTCATGGACCTGGCAGTTTCGCAAACCGAGATGGGATTGCAACAAAGGGCTCGGGATACGAGGTATAAAAGGCCCTCGGAATCCACCATCAGGACATTTTTTGAATCACGGTGCTGTGCGCTTTCCTTTCACTTCTATATACTTGAGATCAATCGTCACTGAGTGACTCAGTCATCCATTCTTTTTTAAACCACTTTCATTTTCAAACACACCTTCACCATGAGGTTCAACATTGTCTTCGGCCTGGCTGCCGCTCTCGCTCTTGCTCCCAATGCCGTTGCTCTCAACCTGGTATGTTGATAGACCAGCCAACATCTTCTTCTTTGACTATATATTGTGATGCTCAACGTACCGTCTTAGTTCGGCCACCAGCAGGATGCCACTCCCACCTCTGGTGCTCAACCCTCCGGCACTGTCCCCAGCGGTCTCCCCCAGGGCTCCAGTGGCTCTGAGGGTGGCTTCAGCGGCGGTGCCCAGGAGTCTGGTCGCCCCGAGGCCTCTGGTACCGTGCCCTCCGGCGTTGCTGGCGGTTCCCAGGGTGGTTTCCCCTCCGGTGGTGCCCAGCCCAGCGGTGGATTCGGCCATGGTGGTCATCACGGCGGTCACGGCCACGGTGGTCAGGGCGGTTTCCCATCTGGAGGCGCTCGGCCCTCTGGTAGCTTCGGTGGCTCTGGCCAGGGTGGTGAGGGCGGCGCTGCTCCTACTGCTACCCCCACTGGTACTTTTGGAGGCTCTAGTGGCCAGGATTCTGGCTTCATCACTGTCTCCGGTGCTCTCCCTACTGGCTCGGCTGCCCCCGAGTCTGGCAGCTCCTCCTCTGAAGGCACCCAGCAGTTTGAGCGTGTTCACGCCCGCCAGATCCGCCCCTTCTAGGTCCAGATTTCATCTTGGGTCATCCGCTCTTTCTGGGTACTTTCGCTGTCTCGTGTGAAATAGGTCAAGGATGTGTTACTGTGACTGCTGGTTCGGTCATACAGAGAAAGTGTTATGTATCATAGCCTGCAGTTCATGCAAATGAGCGTCATGGAGAATCAGGTTAAGGGGTTCGCCTGCTAAGCGGATGGCTTCGGCCGCGCGTGTTCGAATCAGTCCATGTCGATTTCTTTTTTTTGCTTTTCCTTTTGAAACGAAAAATGTCTCTGAAAGAGGGAATGAGGTTATGGCTAGTGATCTCCCTATTCCCCAAGGCCTTAGTACCCGAACAGAGAATTTCCAGTAGATAAGCCGCATCTACTTGCTTTATGAAATAAACAAATTGACCGTCCTACATATGAGACAGACTCATATGATGACTGAAAGATATATATTGTGACTAGTCCATATTCATTTCTTCCTCAGTCGGCAGTCGACAAGAATCTGCCAACCCAGTAACTTTCCACTCCCCGTTCATTCTATAAAGTACAAACAATTGCACTCCGACATGGTCCACAACACCATTGATTTTGGCCCGAAAAGGAGCCCAGGCTGTGGCAAGGTTACCTGCCTCGTGAACTTTCACTACAGGATCCCAGATCCGCTCATCGATATTGTCTTTCAGCGTGGCCACATGCTCGATGAAGGAGCCGATTGTGCAGAAGCGCAGGGCAGTAGGTAATGGAGCGGCGAGGGACATGCCCCCAGCTCGAATGCAGTGCTTGTCAAAGTCAACTCGGGACTTGGTATTCAGCGCTGTAAGAAACCCTTGAGTGACCGCAATGATAGCTTGGGTCTCCTCCGATAGATTGGCGGAGACGTGGGTTGGTATTGTCCAGCCCATTGGGCGAGGAGGCATAGACTAAAAACGGGGTATGGGATATAAGGTGGGACATAAACCTGTTTCAAAGTTCCAGGCTTAGGCTCTCTTGTCTATTTTACATCAAATTACTTGAAGGAGCCAGCGTTCTGGATGCATCAGCTTTCTTGTGAGGGCAATGTTAGCATCACTAGCACCGCTGCACCCTCCTCCCGGCCCGTCTCGTGCAACGTTGTGTAACCATCCTATCAAATTGTAGGTTGAGATGGAATCTTTTGATCTCCGAGTGTATAGATATCCTTGATTCTCGTTATCAATCAAGTTGTCCACGTCTTGGCGTCTTCTCGATATGAAGTAAATACAGCGACTCCTATTGGCCGCAGCAGCTTCGGCTGAGTCAGCGCCCTGGATCCACCGGGCCAAATTTCCAGCTTCACGATTTCCTCCGCAATCAATTGACGCTCCCCTCCGCGACGGGATAACACAACTTGTTTCTTGACTGAGATTGATGGTGTGTCAGAAGAACAGATCCAGCGACCTCCGCGACATGTGCACATCGTGACCGGCTCCGAAATGCGCCACATTACACCCGTGCCCATCGAGACCGTGTTTCCTCCGCAGGCGCCCTCCGCGACGCTGATTGTCGTGTCATGAGAAGGTGCTTGAGCCCCGGCCGGCTTCTGCGAATTGGCCGCGTGCCAGTTGTGCCTCGCCCGCCTGCTCTCTCGCACTCGTCGGTATCCCGCCTCCAGGCCCGGTTCGCCTCGACGATAGACCGGAGAACGCTCACCGACGACGAATATCAACTTCTTTTCTCATACAATGGACCCCCCTCTATTCCCCTCGACTCAAACCAGAAGTCCAATCCCGCGAGTTGGATACCTGTATTAGAAAAATGTGCGCCGGCACGCACTGCGCCGACGCAGAAACAGACAAAACCCACCCAGCCTAAGGAGCAGGTAGGGTCTCTGTTCGAGCACGAAAATGAGCTCCGTCGGGCCCATTCGCTGATGGGATATCTATGGCTGTCGAGAACACATTCAAACTTGGATCTTTTGGGGCATCTGGGATTCGAACTCAACCAGTGGTCTGCCGTGCATGCCTACTTGACCCAGCTCATCGACGCATATGAAACCCTCCTTCCGTACATGGCGTCGCAAAATGCTTTTCAGGGATTTGATTGGAATGTGGATGGTCTGTCCTTGGAAGAGCTTACAGCTAGAGATGTTCGACGCCCAGCCCAGTCGATGAAGCCACTTCCACCGTCCGATATAATTCCTCTCGATCTTCTGACCGAACGGCCCGCTGCGCGGGATCTGGGCGATAGGTTTTTAGGAGAGGTCTTGCTCAACCTAGGCCTTATCGTGCTAAGGGCTGCCGACGCACCAAAACAAGAAGCCAACCTCGCCATGTCCTCTGTGTTCCGCATTCTTGCTCGCCTGCATCATCTGGATTTGATCTCAGACAGAGTTTACCAGTATCCGAGAAACGATCCCAGCCAAGTCTCATTCCGCCCTCCCGGTCTCAATCTACTATCAAGTAATATTATGAGTGTTTTGTCCGATGCTGCATGGATTGAACACGAAGCTGCGCTCGCAACAGCGGCCACCGAGGCTGGTGAAGAGCCACCATTCCTCCCATTCAAGGTTGGGGTCCGTGAGCTTGGCCCTGAGATCTGGTTTGAGCTGGTTCTCTGGTGCTGTGTCGAGCATGGATTCACCAAGCAGGGCGCATCTTTGGTCAAGGAGATGAGCCAGCGAACCGGCGACAAGGCATGGAAGATCGACAGCTGGGCACCTCTGATACGGGATCTCGACATCGTGCAACAAACCAATGTCAGCACCGAGACTACCTGGCGTCGGCCGAGCGAAACCAACCCCCATCAGACATTCAAGCGCCAAGACAAACCCCCGTTCAATGGTCTCGGAAAACGGACTATCAGCACGGAAGTAGTTGCAAGCCTGCGAAGTGGGTTGGTCAACAAGGCCTTTAACGGCGTAGGATTTCACGGTGCGACTCCCTCGGACATTCTCCAACAATCGGCATCTTTGAACGCATTGCTCGAACCGACAACTGCCCTCGATGATCTCAGGCCAACGAACAAGGCCACAAATTGGCACCTTATCAGGGTTCTCGAGTCGGGCTGTCTGAACCCCCATGAAGACCCAACTTTGTTTGAGCGACTATTACGGTCTACTCAACACGTGGTGCCACCGTGGGGAGGATACGGCTTTTCATCAGACCAAGACCTGAGCGACGTGACGAGAGCGCAGTTATATGATGAAAGTGCTGCAATCGCTGGGTTGGTGGAACTTAATGTCAAGGCCTATGCCTATAAACGCCAAGCTGGCCGCGCTTTCTATCAGTACGCCTGGCTACAAAATATCGTCGATGCTAGCAAGGCCTACCACATTCAAGCATTCTTCGAACAGCTCAGCCTTGCAAAGTCAGAAGTCCTTCCCTTCTTCGACTCCCAGCGATTCGACGCGCAGGAAGGCGACTCATCGTCCCTGCCACAGATTTCGAATGTGACCTTGGCTGAACTTCTTGACCTGGCCGCTGTCAACCGCGCTTATGACTTTGGTAACTATTTGCTTTTCAATGACGCCATTGATGGTCCTGCGATTCCAGCTTCTGCATACGGCGACCAAGTTATTGCGCCATCAATTCTCCGTTTTGCCTCTGCTTCGCAGAATACCGAGCTATCTGAAAAGGTCGTTTCTTCGCTCAGCATGCCACTCTCTGTCAACATGCTGAAAGCCTTGGTCAACTCCTATATCGACATGGAAAACTGGGACCGCGCGATTGTTACACTTGAGTACCTTCGTGATTTCAGACTGAAGTCATGGGGCTTCAGTAATCTCACTGCGCTAGGAGCGAAGATTATTCGACTGGATGCGTCTATCAAACACCAGGAATCCATGGGAGGTCCCGTGGACGAGAAATTCATCAAAAGCCTCGAACGTGCCAATGATCTTTTCCTACGCTTCTACCGCATGGAGTTCAATACGCCTGCTGCCAAAAATCGCCGTGTCACAGCTTTCCAGCGGAATGTCTTGTTGCGTCTGCTCTCTGTATTCCGAACCCTTCCTGGCCACATTTCAGATCTCGCCAAACAGGCCGACCTCAAGGTTCCCCCACCAGGCCACCTAAAACTCCAATACATTCCTGCGGTCTCTTTCCACAGCCTCCTGTCCGCCGTTGTGGACACGTACGGCAGCACATACGGCTTGAACATGTGGTTCAAATGGTGTATCCATCGTCTGCCACCTGACCGTGTCCGTCAACGAGAAGGCGGCCTCACTCGCCTCCCTGCTCGCAAAGAAATGTCCTGGCCCCAAGGCGACCCAACTTTCAGCATGGACTGGCTCAAACACACACAAAAGCGAGCCGTAGTCCCCAACTACAACACCATCCGCATCATCGCGCAAGCCGCCATGCGAGAATTCGAAGTGGAGCGCCACCCAAGTAAATCCAACAACCCGACCTCCTCATCCCTACCCATCCCCCGCAACCAACAACTCCCCTTCTTCGCCCGAGGCCGCATATACAAACCCCTAATCTCCCGCTTCGAATTCCAAGGCCTCCCCGTCGGCGGCGGAAAACCACCCCAAACCGCCCCCGAAGCCTCGCTCGACTTCGCCGTCTGGATGTTCCTCCGCCACGGCATGCCGCAGGATCAGATTGATCTGGAAATCCCTGGCTACATATCACGCATGTGTAGTCGTGGTGTCTTTCATAACCCAGAGAAGCGGACGCGAGATCGTATTTGGGAAATCCGGCGAGACCCTTTTATGTCATCGGGTCCGTTTTGGATGACGATGCCTCGTAAGGGTAAAGGTGGGCAACGGGCGAAGGCGAAGACTTTGCCGGAATCCCAGAATCCCAAGTGATCTGGCTTGTATATTATGTGATTCTATGATTGTAATATAAGGTGATATCCCAGAATAGATGAAGCTTCACCCGAAATTAGATATTTTATACTTTCTGTCATGACATGATCACGATAGGCTAGAAAAATGCCTGGCAAGAATGACTTGTTTTATCCACATTGTCTTTGGAAAATCGGCTATAAAGCACATGGTGATCATTCACATCTCAACACGTGAAACCGAAACATTCGACCAGTCTGTGATTGAACTATATCAATCATAAAGAAAACACCGAATGGGACCCGGAAAAAAAAAGTTTAGGCCATCATCCAAGACAAGAGATAACCACCAACGCCGAAAACCACGAATAATAAGAAGAAAACAGTCCTCCCAAACCACAGCGTTCAAGGTATCAGCCTAACCAACCAGTCACGCCACTTTTCAAGAGCCAAGGTCAAAATAAAAATTAGAACCGCCCATCCAAAGACCAATCCCATCCTCCTATATAAATCACGCCAAGGAATTTTCCCAAGATATGAACAGCAATGGACAAAGTTGCACTTATAAGCAGAAAGTCACGAAGAGGAAATAGGTTACATGATATCACGAGAGATGTCATTACCATAATTGATAAGTCAAAGAAACCCGAAATGTAAAAGCCGAACATAGTGGGCACATGTGCCAAGGAAGATATACCAGATATCAGGTTTGGACAAATAGGTTATCAAGTAGATAGAAGAAGTGGGAAAGAAGGAGAAGGAGGAGATTATGATGGGGTAGGATAAAGGGAGGAGGAATAGAGGTAGGAAGATAGAAGGGGAAAGAGATATCGAAAGGGGATAGGATATAATGAGATTCGTCTTGTTCCGAGTTCCTTCTTGACTCATCAATGTGCGTATAAGCGTTTCAAAATTTCTTTGATTTTGTTGTCACAATCACGGCATCACACCAGACCCAATTAATCAATTTGGATCCCACGATCCTTCTTCATTCGGATGTGGGAAGAACGAGCGAATGAATTCACCACTGATAGGATCATACGGGAAATACAAATCATCCGTAGTCGGACCATCGCCGGGGCGAGTGGTCATTGGATTGGTGGTAGGCATATTTCCGAAAATGGGGTAAGGCGAGTAATGCTGAACCCCACTGTTAGAAGTATCTTGGTTCGCTCCTTGGGCGTGGCTATTCAAGGAGAGATCCTCAAGGCTACCCCAGAAGTCGTTGGATTCTTGTGTGGTGGTATTTTGGTCCATGTGTGCTGTTTCAGGGAGAGATAGTGTAGATGTAGGTGCAGGGTGGTATGAGTGAGAGGGCATATCGCTGACATCGAAGCTCATGCCGGAGGCGATACGGCGCAGACTAAGGTCGCAGAGTTGCCAGGCGCGGCGGGAGGCGATGCTATGTTCGGACATGGCGTAGAGCCAGCGGATGCCCTTTTTGGAAAGCAGGAGGTAGTTTTTTTCTGAGTCGGGGGCGTGCACGGTCCCGAAGGAGAGCTCTAGGAGGAGCACGGTTACGGCTTGCATGAGGTAGTGCAGGATGCACCACCAGGGGGCGATCTCGTAGAGTTGAACTGCGTTCGGCTCGTCTGGGATCAGATCTAGCATGCGCTCGGCAGACTCGAGGGTCAACACGGCCATTTCGTGGCTGAAGCTCGTTCTGTCGGCAGGGCTTTTCTTCTGCGCGTCGCGCCGACAGAGACAAGGGCGGCCGAGGGTGATCCGGGCACTGTAGTAGTGGAAGGCGAGGGCGAGTTTGCAGCGGAGCAACTCCGGGCCTTCATCCTCCTTGCGGGTGAAATTGAGGGAAGTCGGGATACTGTGGAACCAGAGGTCGATTCGAGAGCGCAGCTCGCCGATTCGATACTCAATGTCTTTCCACGGTACCATCACGCAATCCACGGAGTACACCTTGTTCACAATCTCTTGTATAACGACTGCCAGATCGCAATAGTACAAGTGGCAGAGACCTGAGTTGAAAGGGATGCTTGTCACCCAGGAGTTGTCGCGTGAGCGGGATGAATGTGGGGCTGACTTGCCGCCAGTTGGATTCAACGGCATGTGTCGAACCCAAGCGCTGGCCATTACCGCGTTGATGCGTTCATCTCGGAGATGGGAGTTGTTGAGGACTTCGGCAGCCCGAGGCTCCTGTAACTGTTCCTCCTCAAAGGGGACTGGCAGGGGCGTGGTGCAGATACCATCGAGAATGCATGTAGCCCGGCCAGTCATGATACCAAGCATATGCTCGAATGTATATAGACACCACCATACCCTGTAACGAGCCTCTTTGGAAATGTTCGGAGTGCTAGGGCTGCTGCTCTTCATGTTAATGCCAAGTGTGATAGCAGACCGTACTGCCAAGGCGGAGATGCGCCATGCCCGATTGATCTGGTCGGAGGCGAGTAGATAGAAAGCAATCAGGCCCTCAACCTGCACTTGCTGGAGATCGGGGTGGCTGAATAGGACATCCCCATTCATACTGAGAATCCTGGCTCGAGTCAGGTACACCAAATGATCCCGATCGTCGCCTTGCCACGGTGCCTCTATCAGATGAGCATGTTTCGCTCCTATGGCGAATATCATGTTCAAGATCGCGAGCCACTTGTCCCCAGGTCGTGCATTGCTATCGAAGAACGTTCGGTACTGTGCGGTGAATAGAGGTCGGTTGATGATGGGAAAAAATGGATGCACAGTCCTCAAGTAATCATCGAACAATTTATCGGCCACATGTCGAGGGGGCATGGCGTAAAGTTCGACTGGTCCAGGCACGGAGATATCGAGGTCGTCAAGATGATAACTCACGGCATGTAGAGCAAGGTCATCGTCCTGGCGCTTGCTCTGACCTGGCTCCAAAGACCCCGGTAATCCCTTCGACCTGTGCTCGGCCTCTCGCTGGAGCCGTTGCATCCATGTAACCTCGGAATTCTTCCCCATGTACCCAGTTGCTCTCGAGTGTTCGTTTCGGTTCAAGTCTTCTTCCACCCGATCAATGGCTTCGAGGGAACCGATGGACGATGGCGAGCTCATTTCATCCATTTCTTCCTCTACCGCATCGTCATTTGGCGTAACCGAATGAGACTGGTTGCTGTTGCTGTTGGGGGAGTAGTCGACTTCCGTACCATGCTTGTCCAGCAAGCTCCTGATCCGCTCCGCAGTACGACTCTCCACCAAATGTCCCAACTCCTTGAGAAGATTTTCATATTCTTGCGCCTTTTCGGAAAGGTTTTCGACTTGTCTATTCCACGACATCCATGATTAGCATCAATATTGCACTACCCTCAGAACTACCTTCTCAGCCAGAAATCCCGGCAAACATAACATATCAAATATCATACCTTTTCGTTCTCTCCTTCCATCCCACGGGATAATTGCACGTCACCCTCAATTCTCGACACTGTCGACAAACCGGAGTATCACCACTACACTTCGTCTTTCGCGCACGACACGACTCACAAGCACGCGGAACACGACGAGTATATCTGGGAATAATGCCCCCCGCACGGGATCGGGGAATCGCAACCTTAGCCTGGCTCCTGGATCCTAGGGAGTCCGCGACCGAGGCGGGTTTGGGCGGCGGCAGGACATTCTTATTATTCTCGGTCTCGGGTTTCGGGATCCCATTTTGAGGCGCAAGGCCCGGCGGTTCCTCCATCGTCATGATCGCCGTCAGTGACTCGCGGCCGTTAATGAAAGAAAGGTCGTGGTCGGTATCGGTGGAGGGGTAGCGGTTATCTCGCCGAGGATATTCCAGTCCGGCGCGAATGCGAATTTTCTCTCGTTGCGACTGGGCGCGGCGATGGGGTTGAGAGGTAAAACGTAAGTAAGCCTTGGTGTTGGCCTACCGTTTGATAAAAGCCATGCAGGTTGTCTGTAGGTACGCAGCCCTATGGTTTGAAGGTGTATAGAACGCGAATGAAGCGTGAATCGAAGTGGCGGAAGAAGATGGGGCTCGACCCGGCCGATTGGGATTTGCTGAGGTAAGTGACGGCCCTGCAGCTGCCAAGACATCCAGCCAATCGTTCTATGGCTCGGGGAGGAAAGGTGGATAAGGTGGGCTCCTATTAGGGAAACTTGAAAGTAGAGAATACATACTGTACATACTAGTAGGCTAGGACTTCTATGGATTGGGGACTAAAAGATCCCAGTGCTTTAGAAAACTACGTTATCTCAAAAGAAAAGAAGACTTGACAAGCAATATGCGAAGAAAACTTCACGAGTTCTGGTTTTGCATTACGCCTAGCATACACGAAATCAAGTCGCTTTTTGCCCTTCTTTTAGATGATAAAAAAACCCAGTAGATCTCGATAAATCTCCATAAATCTTTCTTCTACCCTTCCAGGGTAAGACCAAGATCAAAAGGTCCCAAAACTCAACAAAGATGTATATATACAGTAAGAAGGAATTAGCCAAAAGGAGTAAAAAAAAGGAGCACGGCATGGGAGATGAGAGCCGACATATACAAGGTTCCAAGGAAGAGAGGGGTATAACGACGACGGTGGCTCTCAGGCCGACCGAGAGTGGAGAGATAAGAGAGAGACAAGAGTTTGGGGAATAAAATGGTGGCAGCAATAAAAAGGCACGTAACGCAAGCAGACCGGAGATGCAATGAAGAGAGAAGATGATATACTAGATGGGATGTTTAGATTTCGCCGAACATCTCATCCAGCTCATCAACCTCCACAGTCTCCGGGTTCTGCAGCTCTCTCCAGGAGTCAAAGATGGGCTCGCTGGCATCCATGCCAGCCAGAGACCGGGGACCCAAGCTGAGCTTCTCATGCGACTCAGTCAGATCGGACATCTTCAAATCCACGTCCGGAAGACCACTGTTCAACATATCGAGAGATCGCTTGAGAGTTGAGACAGGGGCCACCTCGGGAAGACTGATTTGGGGAGCAGAGGGAAGCATGCCAGCCCGCTCCTCGGCCTCCAACTCAGCATCAGCGCTCGTACCAGACGAGACAGACGATGCCACGGAGGTCAGCGAAGGAGAGGGCGATGTGCCGAACAGCGCGGCGGCAGCGGCCTCGTCCAGGTCCGCACCGATTTGAACAGAGGGGTTCATGTGGGTGAAGTAATCACTGAACTCCTGTTCAGACATGCGGTCACCGGCGGGCGAAAGCGAGCCACCGTTCACGGGGGAATCGATGATGCTCATCTCCTCGTCGATCGAGCTGAGGCCCTCGGACAGGACGGACAGACTACGAGCTGTTTGGTTGGCTTTTTCCTCGGAGGCGCGCTCACGGACCGCACTGGCAGTTTGAGTAAATTCCTTCTCGTCACCCTCCAGGGGCGGAGAAGCCGCACGGTGTGAGTGCATTAGGCGAGTATGGCTAGAAGGGTCTGGGAACTGGTCGGAAGACGTTCCCCGGCCCGCGGGATTTTCGAGGTCAACATCCTGGCCCTCTTCAAAGTCCGGCGATGACAAGTCCACTTCGGGACTGGGACTGCGCTGGCGCGCGATCAAGTCCTCGTCGTCTTGGTCTAGACTTGAAACGCTGGGGGTAATATGTTTGCCGTCAACACCCAAGGTAGGATCATCGGAGGGATCAGGAATAGGCTGACGAGGGAAGGTCGTCAGATAATAATACACTTTGCGCGGGTGGATGAGGATCAACTCTTTAGCCATTGGGCATGGGGAGAGAGCCGTCCACGGACGCTTCATATAGGCTGCAAGACGCGAGGAGAGGAGCGCAGCGGGATTCGCGGAACTGTAGGAAGGCAGGAAAGTCAGTAAAGCTGTTGTGAGGCATCAAAGAAGGGAATGAGAGGGTAAACATACTTTGCGACAGTCGTGTTCAAATTCACGAGGACAGCGGCCAACTGCTTCACCAGATGAGGGCGATTCCCCGTCTTCTCCAGCTGTTCGATCACCGCGACAACGATATCATCATTAATGCCTTGCGTATCGATTTTCGGAGCGACGCCACCGTCCATCGGAGAAGGTGGCGGGGTGTGCTCGAACGCTCCGTGCCGGCCGGCGCGCACGACAGATTCCCGGCGGTCCGTGGAAGGCTCGGGTGATAATGAGGTGTGCGACCTCTTCACTTTTTTGGTAGGCGGAACATCATCGGTCGCAGCTTGTTTTGAGATGGAAGGAGAGCGGCGCGACGAGTTGGGGAGGTGGATGCCGAGTGAAGGGAGAGATAGTGACTTGCGACGGGTGTTGTAGGGCATGATGGTATTATTTTGGAGGTGAGGCGGCGCGAGAAAGTTGGGAGGCGGGAAAGTGAGAGTCGGGAGTGTGAGAATGGGGAAAGGAGAGTCAAGGTTGGAGGGAAGAATAGAAACAATAGAACAAACTAATGATCCGGGTAAAAAGAAGAAGAAAACTAGAATAGAGAAAATAGATAATAACAATACACAAGATTGAGATGGAGATGGAGGATAAAGGGAAGGGGGGAGAGGATAATGGATGGATGGGATGAGATGGATTGGGGGGGGGGGATGGGAATCGAGGGAAGAAGGGGTCATCAACGATGCGACGAGCTCTTTTGCTTCGACGGGCCTGAGGAATCTCTTGGGTGGATTTCCTTTTTTTTCCTCTTTTTTTTTCTCTGTTCATTTTTTCCGTTTTCTTTTTTTACTTTACGGAGTGTTAAATTACCGTAATTACCATTCCCGTTCAACCCTTACCAGTTGAAACTGTGACCGCACGGGAAATATCGAGGTTCTGATTGGCCGGGTAAGCCATTTTTTTCTGCCACTGGGCCTCTTCTCGCAATTTTTTTCTGATTGATCTTCTTACGGAATGTCGACTGGCGAAATCTTTTGCATCCATGGCTCTTGCCTGAATCCCTCGCGACTTTTCGGGGTGCATGGGAGATGTACAAGACGTTTGTCTTCAGTCATTATCTAAATAAACTGAACCTCGGCGTTTATCTAATATAGAGTTACTGTACAATCTCCTCTACACGGCTGTCCAGAGGCAACCCAGAAATCTCAATCTCTTGCAGGGATGCGACATGCATATCTACAACAAACACAAGATCTAAATAGACCAAATTCCAGTCGGTCAGTGGAGATTGCAGTTCATATTTTTTTTTTCTTCCCGTCATCTTTCACATTTCATAGTGCCCATCGTTTTGCATCCCGTCCAAACAAATAGGAGCTTTCGACTCCATACCTTTAGCCCACTCATGGCCTAGCTCCACCATCTCCATTCCATCCTTGGCCATAGTGCATACCGACGGAAGGGAAGGGAGGCAAAAAAAAAGTAGGTGGGCCACACCATGTGTCCCATAACCCGAAATGGCCCTACGGGCTCCGCTACTCCATTTTTCACGTTATGGTTGCGTCGCCCCGTCTACCATGCCATGCTGGCTAATCATGATGCTGGGCTGTGAATAATAGGATGATCTGTCGGGGGTCTGAGTGGACTAGGGATCTGTCGGCTGTTTGTCTGTTTTTCTTCTTTCAAGCTGAAGGAACGCATCCTAACGGAGGGCGAGTCCCATCATGATGTCTTGTTTAGCCACTAGCGCAGAGTTAGTAGTGTCGTGTCCTTCGTATGCCTACAGTAGTTTGCATATTCATTTTGTTTAGAGACAAACAGGACAGTCCATTATGGCGAAATGCGATCTGTCGATAATCAAAGTCTTAGATTGGTTGCTAGGTGACCAGTCGCATTTATCACAAACTGACCGCTGCTCTTGGATCTTCCTGGACGGTGTACCCGACAGTATGTTTATGCTTAGCTATGTGCCTAGCCACAGAAATGATACTAGCGAATCGGATGCTCCGTATGTCTGATGTATAACCAACAAACCGTACGGAGTACGGAGTACATCTATCATATCCCCCGTACTGTACTTGCCATGTTTTTCCCATCCTTGACCTGTCTCCTCTCATACCCATGGTCTTTTCCTCTCTGCCGAACAGTAGCACCCGAGGTCTCCGAGCGAAAACACCGATTCCCAGAAAAAAATCCCTAGCGTCGCCGTTGACTCCATAGGTGGATCCCCGGCCGAAGCATCGAGGAACAGTCCAGATGAACGAATGTCCTGATGATACGGGATCTCCGTAATCGTGTACACGATTTATGTCAATAATACGCACAGTTATACGCTAGCAATCCAATTTACAATACCATACAGGGCGCTAGTTCCAACGGTTCAAAGGGATGCCCGCAGTAGCGCCGTCGGGGGAAGTAGCCTTGCCACCTCCGATGATGCACCTGAACCAGCTCAGCTACCAGCTGGTACATCGATTCTCCAGTCCGGCTGCATCTTGATGTGATCGTGGTTCTTGAGTTCTTTGTTTCGGTTTGAGGTTTCAGTCTGCTAGTTTGGACTACAACCCCCCTACGTTCGCAGCTTCAAACTCTTGTGGCGCTCGCGGTCGCATCTCTGTTGATCGCCTTGACTCGCGCCCGCAAAGCATCACACCAAAGAAGTGGTGATGACATCTCAGGTGAGGGGAAGTCCCCGTTCGTTTAGCTTGGATGGCCCCATCAACCGACGTCGATATGATGGCAAGCGCCCCGACAGATCTCCTTCGCTCTGCCACTAGTCGCCCTGATAGAGGTCTACTGTTTCCCCTCAATTGCTGGTGGCGTATATGAACATCAGAGGCTTGAAGTTATACTAGCTGAGCTCTTACTAACTCAAGGTCACGACGACTCCGTACACCTTCTCCATACTCTTATGATTATAGCTAGCTTGTTCGATTCGACCTCTATCATGAAAAACATCATAAATGTAGACCCCTGGATATCCCAGCAAGGGTGCGGCAAGCAGCATCTTACATCGTCTGCACGTCTACCCACTGCAGGCACTGGAGATCATTCCATGAGAAGCCAATCCCTTCCCTCATAGGAAGCCCATCCTAATGACAACTACATATGTATGTGATAATATTGTAATATGTCCCCCCAATAATCATCTACCCTTGCTGGCCCCGTTACCTGGACCACCAGCAAGTCGCAACCCCTTTTAATTAGGTTGTGCCGTTTGCATGACATCGTCCACTGTCGGACTGGATGGTTACTTCCAAGCCGTGCTCCGGTCGAACCCTCGCCGACCATGGAAAGACCTCGTTGCCATCGACTACTCAATTCATTGTTTGCATGCGTCGGTCGCATGGAAGCGGACTTTATCTGATCTACAACTGTATGTACTGTAAAATGTTGGACCTGGATTCAGGGCATATAGATACAAAAGTACTACTTTCTGTACACTATGGAGAGAGTAAGATAGCAAGTAAAATCAAATTGACTCCAGCCTTGTCTGGTACTTACATCATGCACCAGGTAGATACAGTAATTCTCCGCATCTCCACAAATATATGTGAGGTTGTCTGCTCCAGCCACTCAGCCTGCTCAGTCTGTCTGTGCGATTGCGCTCAGACACCTCCAACTTCCAAGACTGTGGGACATTTACAGGATTAGTTAGCTTCCTACGGCATTGACTTTCGTGGAAGTCTATCCGGCTTCAAGGTTGCGGAATAGGTGCAGTTGCTTCCAAGAAACAGGTCATCAGTCAGTCGCTAGACTCGCTCTTGCCTAGTCTAGTCGGAGGGGTATTCGATACAGTGGATCTAGTATGTTTACCCATGGACAAATCCAATAACGGTATCAGATCTTAACTTGAATATCATCATACAAACATAGAGTTTTACAACACTTCCATTTCACTTTCGTCGGGACACTACTATGCATCAGCTACAGTGCCTACCCTCCGAGTAATTAACCAAGCCAATCCTTACATACCTGTCTCAACACAACCCCGCGTTATGTACAAAATCGCCCTCAGAAACGAGAGAGGTGTCATTTAAGTCAATCCAACAAAGCCAGACAGATCCAAGACATCCAAATCCTGTATTTACACCCCTGCAGAGATCTGCGACCTGCATATCGCTATCGATTTAGATTGGAAGGCCGCGTTCTCCGCCCGACGCCGTCGTTTACATTGCGAGTAGGCTGGGCCGAATAGATATGGCAAGTCACTCTCCTTGTCTTGGTGTTAGCGAGGCTGATATGTGTATATCTATTCTTTATTGGATTTAGCCGAGTATATATTGGTCGTTGGTCGGGTTGCCTAGTTTGACATCCTTGTTTGTTGGCACATGTGTTAGCACATGGATGTGGAGTGGAAACTTGGTCGGTCGGCTCGGATGACCGAGTTTGGTATCGTGTGTATTAGACTTAGACTTAATCCCACTCCCACGTTACTCCTGGAGTCCCGTTGGAGTATGCCTGGTTTCTAGATTGCTCTGCTTCACATGAGACTCCTTGGGTTTGTGTGTTCCATGCATTCTAAGACGGACTTGGGGGGCGCCGATCGGACTAGTGCATTCTCATAGGTGGTTTCAGTGGGTGTTTGGGCCCGCATTCATCAGTCTGCGACGTGTGGTATCGATGGTGAAACTGAACATCGAGATTGGACAAAGTAGCCAACCAAATAATATTGAGCCATCTATGTGGTACATTAAATTTGTGGTGATCATAATTGTCCACTTTTATGTTAGAATATGGCTACTTAGAGAGACGTACTCAGGTGGGTTAAAAGGGGTTTGGAGGGTTGTATTGAGTAGAACATCCCACGATATATTCTTACAGATTCCTCAAAATATATACAACCACAGACCTTACAACATCAGAGCTGCCCATAACAGCTACCAACCGCTAACCCTCCTGTAAAATCAAGCCTTCTTATCTCCCTCTTGCCTCGGCCGTAGAACATACTTCCAAGTCGTCCCAAAATGCCACCGCTTCTCCTCCACAATCTCCAACCCACTCTCCTTCACAATAGCCCCAATATCCCGATTCCACCAACACCCATGCCGGTCCGCATGTGCCGGCGCCAGATTATCCAAAATCCGATTCAACCAGCCATAATACGACCGGCCATGCTCGAGAAGCAAGATGCGACCCCGGTTAGGCTCAGTAATCGAACCCAAATGCTGCAGCGTCGCCACGGGGTCCGGCATCGAGCATAATCCCATAGTCTGCACGATGGTATCGTAGTACCGATCTTCTCGGGCTCCTTGAGTATCGACATCACTAGTTTTCGTCACAAGGGGCTTTTCAACGGGAACCGTTGCCGCATTCTGTGCACGGAATAGCACCCGTGTAAACTCTGGCCTCAACTGACGGAACTTCTCCTCTGTGATCGCTACCATTTGCGGACTCAAATCCACCAGAGTCAGCGTTCGACATCCCTTAATCACTCCCTTTCCCTCCGAGTCCACTCCGCGCCGCTCACCGAGCTCGTAGTACTCCAAATTCCGGCCCGTACCACAGCTAACCTCCAGCACATCGCCGCGCGCCATACGGACAAGCTCAGCGCGCTTGGTTCCCATGCGCATAGCCTTCTCAGACAATTCAACCTCCGCGTCGAAAGTGGGCGCCGTAGAATTGTACCGATCCGAGACGTCTGTGGGGACGTCGAGGGATTGCGCTTTGCTGACTTCGCGCGTGTACGACGCGTACAGGTAGCCCGTGTACGTGCTGATGGTTAGGGCTGTGATACCCAGAAAGGTGAGCACGCGTGGTGAGATGCCATGATAGGTCTTTTTCTGGGTGGCTTCCTGCTCGGTGCGTATGCGTCCTTGGAAGCGCTGGAGTTCGGATTTAGGAGGTGTCTGCCTCTGTGGTTGGCTGGTTTTGGTGCTGGGGAGGTAGTTAGTTGCTGGTCTGGAGGTTGAATTGAAGTATTTAGTGTTGGAAACATACGTTGACTGTGCTGGTCGACGCGCTTTGCTTTTTATGCCTCTGGAAAGGGTGGTGATGTGCAATTTGGCCTGTAGAGAGGCGCGGCCTACACGGGGCGCGCTCATTGTGGCTGTTGCTGGTGGGGAGCCACAAGGCCCGGATCCCTGATCGAGTCCCCCGAAGAGCAAGGAATTGATACAGACAATCTGGCTTATCTGATAGTCTTTTGTAGATACTGAAAGCCGCCGTCGAGGACGTGTTGAGATGCGCGGTCGAAAATTTCAAGTCTGCGCGAAAAGACACGCGAGTGAGGAGATATGTGAGCAGAGTGGGATGATCTTGAGTGTACTTTTCGATCTCTATACACAACCCGTACTTCGTAAAAAGCCAGACTTCCGGTTATATGGACGCCCTGCGACAACGTCGGGATGTCGAATGGAGAACTCGGCAGCGGAAGCCGACCTGAAAAACCCGGGGCAACTCCGTTATCGGGCTATCAATTTCCACTTTCCCCGAAACCACACTTCCGCCTCTTTTTCTCCCCCGCACGAACCTGTACAGTGTCAATTTCTTTAACACTTTCCTCCTTACAATGGCACTGCCGCCGAAGATTTTGATTGTTGGAGGAGGTGTCTTTGGCTGTAAGTCAAACAAACCACTTTCCTACAAACACACTCTCTACAATGGTCAATGGCATATCGGCACACGACCGATGCCACCAACACTTCCCCAAAACCTCGACGCAGAATGAAAATCCAAAGTCAGCCTGTCAGAAAAAACCTAGGATACTCACTGACTAAACCCCATAGTATCTACGGCCTTGTCCCTCCGCGAGCGCCACCCCAATTCGCAAATCACCCTGGTAGAATCAGCGCCCATCCCCAACCCACACGGCTCGTCCGTGGACACATCACGCATTGTCCGCGCCGACTATGCCAATGCCGCATACAGCCGTCTCGCAAACGACGCTATCCAGCGCTGGCGCTCGACCGCTTGGGGCGCCGAGGGCCGCTACACGCAGAATGGTCTGTTGCTAGTGTACCCCGGCGACAGCGCAAGTGCGCAGGAGTATGCGCGCAAGAGTTACGCCAACGTGCGGGCCATTGAGGGCGATAAGGTAGTCTTCCTACCTACTCAGAAGGATGTCTTGAGTGTTGTCCCGCCGTATGGGGAGGAGCTGGATGTTGCGGGTGGTTATGTGAATTGGGGATCTGGATGGAGTGATGCGGCGGCTGGTGTGCGGTTTGCGAAGGGGTTGCTTGATGCAGATGGGAAGGTTGAGTTTAAGACTGCTGAGGTGGAGAAGGTTATATTTGAGGAGTCGAAATCGAAGTCGAAGCCCAAGGCGACGGGCGTGGTGCTTGTGGGTGGGGAAACGCTGGAGGCGGACTTGGTGATTCTTGCGACTGGGGCGTGGACGGGCAAGCTGGTGGATTTGCGAGGCAAAGCCGTGGCTACGGGCCAGGCCATTGCGTATATCAAGATCTCAGATGCTGAGCAGAAGGAACTGGAGAATCTGCCGACTATCTTGAACTTTGCGACGGGTATCTTCATTATTCCGCCGCGGGATAACCTACTCAAGATTGCCCGCCATGCGTACGGGTATCGCAATCCCACCACGGTGCCTGTCCCTGGTGCGAATGCATCGGGCCAGACAATGCAGGTCAGTCTGCCCGAGACAGGCGTCCCCGTTCCCCTGGAGGGAGAGGAAGCGTTCCGAGAGGCGCTGAGACAGCTGCTTCCGCGGTTCGTCAATCGGCCATTTGCCGGGACTCGTATCTGCTGGTACACCGACACGTAAGTACCTGCTACCATCCTCCTGCCATTTGAAACGAGGTATTTCACTCCCCTCAAGTACCACAACTAAAAACCCCATCCAGCCCCAACGGCGACTTTATCGTCTCCTATCACCCCGAATACGAGGGCCTCTTCCTCGCCACGGGTGGCAGTGGACACGCCTACAAGTTCTTCCCTGTCATTGGTGACAAGGTGGTTGATGCGTTGGAGGGCACACTGGAACCTGAGTTCCGGGATCTGTGGACATGGAATGAGGTAGTGGCACCTGGTGCGGCTACTGATGATATTTTCGATGGTGATGGTAGTCGGTCTGGAGCCAGAAACTCAATTTTGAAGGATGAGTTGGCTTGGACGAGGAAGGCTGCTAGGAAGGGTGTTTTGTAGATGGACGTTGGTTGCGTGGGGAACGGAAGAGGTTGTGAGTATGAGGTGTATATAGTATGGAGCGGAACATATGGATGTATAGAGCATTGAACATACAGCAGACTGCGAAGTCAATAACAAAGATGAGCTACAAAGGACAACAATAGACACTACATCTACAAGGAAACAAGTTTAATCCAACAATTTCCATTTTTGATAACGGAAGCACTGCGGCGAACAAAAAACAAAGCCGCTCTCAATCTCCCATCATCTACCAGCATAAAGCAACGACGATGTCTAGGGAGCCTCTCACCATTTTTTGGGCCTACGATAGGTCGCCCTATCGCAGGTATGTCCAGAGCGCAGAGAAAAGAAAACAGGATTAAGAGGCAGCCATTCGACCAGCGCACAGAACCGCCTCGACTGCGGTGTGCAGCAATCTAATTGTAAAAGGCAGTCGAAGATGATAAAAACAAAACCAGTGATCACCCCGAATCGCTAAAACGCCAAACAATGCTTGCATGAGAAATCGTGAGGGGAGCCACAACTCCAAAAGGAAAAAGCAAATGCGAGGTAACCTGGTGCAAGCAACAGACGGTACTCTGTGCTGTTTGTTGGCATGCAAGGTTGGACCGTCGCGTAAGAGGGGGGTGAAAGAAAAAAAGTGGGGAAGTGTTAATACAAAGATGGTTGAATGTGAAGAGCAGTGACGATCTTCCTGGTGGTGTAAACAGCCTCTTTAGACCTTGCGGAAATCTGTACAAGTCTATGTTAGTGATCCAGTATAGCCAAGGTGGAACTTGCCGTGAGAGCACAGGTGAATGCAAACTTACCAGAGAGCACAGGATAGATCAGCTCGAAAGCCGAATAGATCTCCTCGCGCACTTTGGCGCCAGTCAAGACGATCTTACCACTGACGAAAATCAAGAGCACAATCTTGGGCTTCATCATGCGGTAGATCAGACCAGGGAAGAGTTCAGGCTCGTAGGAGCTGAAATGGTGGTGACGAGAGGCCAGACCTTCCAGACGGATGGGGAACTTGATATCGCAGGAGCCAACGATGTTTTGGATCTTGAAGTCCGTGAACTTGGCATTGAAACCAAGCTTCTGGATGATACGCGCGTACTTGCGGGAAGCCAGCTTGGAGTCATCCTCCGACTTGGCACCAGTGACGACCATCTTGCCAGAGGCGAAGATCAGAGCGGTGGTCTTGGGCTCACGGATACGCATGATGACGGCGGCGAAACGCTATTTGCAAAAAAACAAGAGAAACCAGTTCAGCCACACTGTACCCTGAATGCATGGAACAATCTCAGGGAAGGTGTGGAATATACCTTTGGATTGTACTCGGCATTACGCGCGTGCAGCGCAATGGTCTTCAAGTCAAGACGGCAGTCCAGGTTGACCGTAGCCACGATGTTCCTTTTCAGGGGGAGAAAAAGTCTCAGCCGATGGTTTCTTTGGGGTGGGGACACAAAGAGACACAGGGCTTTGAAAAACAAACATGGGTGATACTCACTGCAAAGTGGGCACAATGCCACTGGGGTTGTTTTGGGTGGCAGCGCCAGGGGTCGCAGCCGGAGTAGCGGGCGTCACCCCGTTGCCATCAGTGGCATTTCCTCCAGCTGGGAGTTGACCGGTGGCGACCTGGGCCTCCTTCTCGGACGAGGGCGGGGTGAGATCACCAGCACCGCCTGGGAATGAGAGCGAGGAAGGCGAGGTGAAGGCACGAGCCTGTTGCGCATTCGACGGGTGGGTCGTGAGCGAATCCATGGTGATGATCCTTCGAGATCACAGGGATCAACGATGGAATCAAATGCGGGGTTGAAAGGAAGAGTTCACGGCTGCGAAGGGGAGAAAAGAGGGGAAGGTTAGCGACGGTGGCGAGATGAGGATTAAATAGTAGCAATCGAGTACCGAGTCGAGTAGGCGGTCGCAAGGGGCAGAATACAGATCACGTGAAGGAGCATCAAAAGACTTACCAAAGACAAGTGGGAGATGGACAAGTGAATGTATCCCCCTACAAGACAGATGCGGTGCGATCGAGAGGTGAGATGATAGTAACACGCAATCAAGATCGACCAGGAGTCGTTCGATGATAGACACGAATCAAGAAAAGCACACTGAAGTGTTTTCTGGGTCAAGATCTCCGAAGTGGGTTATGACAGAAGACGGGCAAGAAAAAAAATCACTTTTTTTGTTTTTTGCGAGTGTTTCTTTGTTTTCTCTTTTTTCGATCCTGTGCTTTTTTTGAAATGGGATTTTGTGTCTAACTTGTGCAGTGATCTGAAATGAGAGTGGTGGAGCAAGACCCTGAGGGATGAGCAGGAGAACAAGCTTCCAGATTAGGTAAGCCCGAGTATGGAAACTGGGAGAGAACCTGATGGTACTGCTGTGATTGCGACCTCTTTTTTGATTCTCTTTTTTATTTTTCCGTTCCGAAAGAAACAGGAAAAAATAAAAAAAGGATAGAGGAGCTTCCCGAAGAGAGATGAATCCTTGAGAGAACTCAAAAGGAGTCAAGATTAGTCGGAGGGAGGGGGAAGGGAAGCGTATAGATTTGCAGCGGATGCCAAGACCGAGACAGAAATCCCAAAATTCCCAGGAGGGCGCGGGCGTGGGAGGTTGGGCCTTTATATAGTGCTGACTCACTGCCCGCGTCAGGGGAGGCTGGGCCCGCTTGGGTGGCGGCAAAAGCAGCGAGAGGTGCCCTTCTCCCTGTTCCACCCATTTCCACCCATGGCCACTCAGAGCCACTCAGCGTTCACTCCACAGCCACTAACTCCCACCCAACTCCACCAGGGGGCCGCTAGCGGCTCTGAGACTGTTTGATGAGTCCAATCAGACACGACACCTGCTATCGAGGCGAATGATTTGTCGATAAGGGCCCACTACGCCTCATCCTGGCCCCCTGAATGGCCACGCCGCCCTTGCGTTCTTCCTCTTTTACCCTCGTTGACTTTCTTTTATCCACCGCAGTGCCATGGTGCTATGGGCGTGGCTATTGGGCGTCCAGTCCGCGGGCCTCCTGCAGCTGATAGTCGGATCCGTTCCATCCTGCTTCCCGTAACCCAATCACCGCCCTCGCCGCTCCGTGGCTGCTCCCTGGACGACGCGCTATCCTCTCGCTGCTTTAAGCGATGGCAACTGAACAAAAATTGTTCGGGGCTCCCGTCTTTCTTTCCTCTTCCCCCCTACTCCACCATGTCTGGAGAGGCGTTTGTGAAGCGCCAACAAACAGGACATCCTGGTTATTTCGACCATCGATCATACTGGTCGGTTGCGAATGACTCACGCCCACATGACCTGGAAGTCAGCACCCAACAAGTCGATCCTGCTGTCGTCCATGAGTCGTAACCTGGACGTCTTGTTGCGTTGGAATTCCAAGCGATGAGGACAGGTGGCCGTTTGGGGAGAGAGAGCGCAGATTTTGGGTTCGACCGGTCGACCGGTCGAACTCGCGGATCTGATCCACCCGCCCGCCAAGACAACGATGAATCTCACGGCATGCGGGTTGATGATCGCTACTTTCTCCAGGCTGTCACTTTTTGGACCTCGCGTTCTCCTCATAGGGTAAGACCGTAAGAGGGGTTCAGCCACGGCTTTGGAGGACACTCCATACATTCATACTGTATATTGTAATGTACAGAGTACGCAGTACTACATACGCATCTTTTCGAGCCAGCATTTTCCATGAGCTCGGTATGCTGAATACCATACCCGGCACTGCCATCGTCACATTCCTGCAAACTCCCGGTATTCATGCTGAATCCGTCAATACAACTACTCTATCCTGTAAATGCGTACTGCCGCTAATAATCAATCAGACTCGAAGATCCTGGAGGCAGGAGCGGTGTGATGACTGAACTTGGGCTGGAGGTGTGATTGCTTAGCATGGGGAGAGCTGACCGTGTGCAGATCGCTCTCTCTGGACAAAAGTACGAGGCTACTTTACACATACTCAACACTTGTGCCATACAGAGTACTCTGTATATTTTACTCCGTACTATCAAGAGCTAAATCGTTAGCTTGTCCCTCTTGATCATCTCCAGGATCGATGATGATGTCAAGATTGTGTCAAACTGTAAATTCACTTTTGCATGTGATCCACGTGATTGAGACTCGGTTGAAAGATCACATTTGGTGGTATCACCTGACTTGCTGTCTGTGTACTCTGGATCGACTTGAATAGGCTATAGAACAATATGATTTCTTATTGTATACCTCCTCATCAGTCTTGTTCTTCAACAGCCTACTTTAATAGCCCACTCTAGGGGAGCCATGGTGAATCTCCGAAGACCCCCGGCGGTCGGTGACCCACACAGTAATCTTTGATTCCCATCACCAGCACTCTGATTGGTGGACTGGCGGGCGCTGAGCCTCGGGTAGGCAGTTTTCGGCGTTTTGAGTACAGCAAAAAGTTCGGCCGCGCTCGCCGACAGCCTTCGGCTATTCAAGGCCCAAACGTTGAAACGTCGAAACCGTCGAAAAGGACCCCCTCACAATCAACCTTCTTCGACATACATCTCGAAACCCTCGAATTGGCCATGTCCATTGTTGCTCGGTAGTCACGATACTTGTCCGCAATCGCCTCCTCCGCTTTCTCTCCACACCTACACATCTTGCGCCCACGATGGCGTCAAAAGGTGTTGTTCTACCTCTGTTGAGGCGAGAGATGCGATGCTCCTCCTCCCGACTCGCACGAGCTACCCCCGCGCTCACCGTCCCCATTTGCTCGCCTGCCACTTCCTTTGCGACCTCCCGTCGACAGTTCGCCCGCCGCTCTGTACCATTCCTCCTGCCTACTCAGACCCGCGCCTTTTCGCAGTCAGTAACACGCCGGTCGGCCGACGAGGAGGGAACCTTTGACCCCCAGTCCATCGAACGAGAGTCCGATGAGGTGGATGTCTGCATTGTCGGTGGTGGTATGTCTTTGCAATACTCCGGCGTTTGATTCCTCCTCTCTGTAGACTATTCTCGGCTAAACGAAGCTTTTCGATAAATCTAGGCCCCGCTGGTCTCGCCGCCGCCATTCGGTTGAAGCAGCTTGCCAATGACGCTGGCAATGATGAATTCCGGGTAATTTTGCTGGAGAAGGCTGGCGAGCTTGGTGCTCATATCGTTTCTGGCAATGTTCTCGAACCGACCGCGATGAACGAGCTTTTCCCTGACTGGCTGTCAGAGGACAACCCCTCCCGCTTCGAGGGTGCGACTCCCGCCAAGGGTGACAAGATGCGCTACCTCACTAAGAACTCGTCTTTTCCTCTCCCTACCCCGCCGCAGATGCACAACCACGGCAACTATATTATCAGTTTGAACGAGTTGACCAAGTGGTTGGGTGAACGTGCGGAAGAGCTTGGTGTGGAGATTTACCCCGGATTTGCCGCCAGCGAGGTCGTCTACAACACTGATGGCTCGGTGAAGGGCGTTGCCACCAATGATCTCGGAATTGGTCGGGATGGTCAGCCAAAGGATACTTTTGAGCGCGGCATGGAGTTCCACGCCCGCGTTACCCTCCTTGGCGAGGGATGTCACGGTAGCTTGACCAAGCAGGTGATCAAGAAGTTCGATCTGCGTCGGGACAGCCAGCCCCAGACGTACGGTCTGGGTATCAAGGAGATTTGGGAGATCCAGCCGGAGAAGTTCAAGTCGGGTGAGATCACTCACTCCATGGGCTACCCGCTACCCAAGGATACCTATGGTGGTGCTTGGATGTACCACTTTGGCGACAACATGGTCAGCATTGGTCTGGTGGTCGGACTGGACTACCCCAACCCGTGGCTTTCACCGTACGGAGAATTCCAGAAGATGAAGCAGCACCCCATGTTCCGGGAAGTGCTGGAGGGCGGCAAGTGTATCTCCTACGGTGCTCGTGCCCTGAATGAGGGTGGTTTCCAGTCCATCCCCAAGTGCGCCTTCCCCGGTGGTGCGCTGATCGGTGACACGGCTGGCTTCCTGAACGTTCCTAAGATTAAGGGTACTCACACTGCCATGAAGTCGGGTATGCTGGCCGCCGAGGCTACCTACTCCGCCCTGCAAAGTGAGAACGAGGGCACGGTGTTCCTATTCGACTATGAGAAGGCTCTGCGGACATCGTCTATCTGGAAGGAGCTGTACGAGGTGCGCAACATCCGCCCGTCGTTCAACAGCTGGCTCGGCTTCTGGGGTGGCCTGCTCTACTCTGGATTGGAAGCTATGATCTTCCGCGGCCGTGTGCCCTGGACTCTCAGCCACCACGGTACGGATGCCGCCGCTACCAAGCCGGCCTCGCAGTACAACAAGATCGAGTACCCCAAGCCCGATGGTGAGATCACCTTCGACATCTTGACCAGTGTGAGCCGCACGGGTACCAATCACGAGGAGGACCAGCCGGTCCACCTCCAGGTGAAGGACTGGGAGGCGCACAAGGACCTGGCCTGGCCTGTGTATAAGGGTGTGGAGAACCGGTTCTGTCCGGCCGGTGTGTACGAGTATGTCGAGGATCCCAGCAAGCAGCATGGGGTTCGGTTCCAGATCAATGCGCAAAAGTAAGTTTCCGCTTGTCCGTCCCCGATGGGCCGAGGATATCTACCGTGGATTGGCGTATGATGCATGATGCTGACTGTTTTTCTTCTAGCTGCATTCACTGCAAGACCTGTGATATCAAGGTGCCTACTCAGGATATCAACTGGCAGACTCCCCAGGGTGGAGAGGGCCCCAAGTACATCATGACTTGAGGACTCTTTTTCTTTGAGGTTTTAAGAATGGAGTTTTCAGGGTTGTTTGAGTAAGTTAGCGAGACCTCGATCGCCTGTATTGTATGTATATATGCGAGAATACCAAAAAGACAGAGCGTTGTTATTTTCTATTATATTCCCTTTTTGTTTCAATGTCTGAGTGTCGAGGACAAAAGTACAGTGCAGCTACTGTACGTACTACTACATACTACCTTGTATGTACTCCGTACTTTATTGTCTGGTCGTGGCAAAACGGGGGGCGTTTTTTGTGAACCGTGGAATAGAGTGGAGGTCCACGAGGCGGATCAACTAAACTCATAGGCGTTGAACTAAAATCTACTTGGCCCCTTTGTTATATGGTTTAAACACATTCTATTATTCTCTTGATGAAAGTCACCACCAAAACTTGTGCAGGTGAAACACATTCTTTTTTATTCTTCTTCCCAGTGGGGGACCACGTGGATCACTGGACAGAAAAAAAAGTGAGGCGGCCAAAGTTTCGCAACTGCGCCCACCGCCATCTCGACTTTCTCCTTCTCTTCACCACCACCACCCGTCCTCCTCTTTTCTCTTCTGCACTTCCTGCATCTCCCTCTTCTCTTCCTCTCTCTCCTGCGCTGCACTAGAAAAGCGTGTGTGCCCGAAATCTAATCCTACCCAGCCTAACCTACCCCCCCTTTTCCTGACCCTGGGGTTCAAGCGCCCGTCGTCTTTCCCTGATTCGGGGGACCTTTTACTCGGGTTCTCATTAGGCCACTGTCTCTTGTCGCGCTCAGGATCGCCTGACTGACCGCCATGACCGAGGTTTCATCCACCCGACTCTATCTCGGGAATCTTCCCCGCAATGGTATGCTGGCAACCACGTTTTCCCTCCTCTGCCTCCCTTTTTCCTCTGCTGGAGTACTCCGGTCCCCCTCCAAGGATTTCCCTCTCACCTCCACTGAGAGAGGCGCGGTCCACTTTCCTATGGAGTATTTTGAGCCGCATGGAAACAACAGCTCTATCCCCCGGGAGCTCAGCCACTATGGATATGACATCCTTCTTTCAAGGCGCGTGCAGCTGACCGCGTCTGCGATCAAATGACTTGTAGTCACCAAACAGGATATCGAAGAACACTTCTCTACCCATGGCTCCGGTAAGATTACGGAGATCAAGCTGATGAACGGCTTTGGCTTCATCGAGTATGAGGATGCCATGGATGCTCGTGACGTTGTCCCTGGTATGTCCCCCACCAGCTGATCGCTCATCCCCCTCGAGAAGCTTTTGATAATCAAGGCGGACCGAACCTACCATCTGTGCCCGTGCCCTGCTAACTTTCGGGCCATCCCGTTCTAGCTTTCCGTACGTGTTACTTATCTAGGTTAACCTATGATCACCCCAATCACTCACGACTTGGATTTTTGCTCACTACCCGGCTACAGATGGCAGTGACTTCAAAGGCGAGCGACTGACAGTGCAGTTTGCTCGTGGTCCTCGACGCAAGGAGAACTTTCCTGGTCCCCAGGATCGCCCGGCGGTTCCTCGTCCCCGGCGTACCATGTTCCGGATGCAGATCTCCGGTCTCCCTGAAACTAGTTGGCAGGTTAGCAGCCCAAGCCCATTCCTCCCTGGATGCCCTGGACTTTTGCCTCTTTTTTGCATCATCCATGCCATCTCTTCGAGTCTGTGATCCGTACTGCGAGGTCATTATTGGTTTTGACTCCTGGAGCCCGCGGACCCTTTGGCACTTGTCGGTTCGGGTGATATGGACACGACTCCGTCCCTGGTGTTTCTTATACCCTGCCGGACTGTTTGCATTCGCAATCTTTGCTCCAAAATGCCCGAGCAGTGGAATTGTGGCCCTTGTTGACAACTCACGAGGATTCCCTTCCAATGAGGCGGTGACGGATCACAACCCCCTTCTTGACTGGACGTAGACTATCACCACACTCTGTTCCCTGCTTTGCCCACATGGACTTGACCGGACATTTCTCGTTATCTTCCCGGACCTGGACTCACAATCCCTTTCTTAGGACCTGAAAGACTTTGCCCGCCAGTCAGGACTGGATGTGGTCTACTCCGAGACCGGCCGCGAACAAGGCAGAGGGTAGGTTCATCATCTACAATCCGAGCTATTGACCCCAGGCTCTTAACTTCTCATGGCCACCCAATTGACAAGGAACAAGGTTTGTTGAATTCGAAACCGCAAACGACCTCAAGACCGCCGTGGAAAAGCTGGACCAGCATGAGTTCAAAGGCTCTCGCGTAACCTGCGTTGCGGATGTAAGAAACCCAGCCTCTCCAGCCCCGGACATATCAGGCCCTCGTAGCTCGCTCCCCAGGAACCAACGCCCCGTCTCATCTCTTTCTCCAGATCCAAAGCCATGAAGACCGTCCCTACCGGGACCCGTACAGGTCTCGCTCTCCACGCCGGCCCTATCCTCCCATGGATGAATACGACCGAAGGTTTCCTGCGCCCCGTGGATACAGTCCCCGGGACCACTATCGTGAACGGTCGCCCGCTCCCATGCGCCCAGGCTACTATGACCGCGATGGCTATGGACGCCGCACGCCCCCACGACCCCGGATGGAGGACTATCCGCCTCCCCGTCGTCCCTACGAGGACCCTTATGATGCCCGAGGCCCTCCACCCCCGCCGCGCCACTACGATGATCCCTATCTAGCGGCGCGGCCGTATGGCCGTCCTCGTTCCCCTCCTCGAAGCGACTACGTCGCATATGAGCGTCCACGATACTGGTAGATGGCATGCTTGTCTTCTTTGGTGATAGCTCGTATGCATCTTTGGGATCCAGCGAGGGCCTTATCCTTTCTTCCTGTTGTCTCCTCTCCGTCAAATACCCCGCGGCTCCGTATCGTATTGTGTGCTCTCACTTTTTCATGATGGTACCATGCTTTGTTTTGTCTGCCGAGGTTTTCAGCGTGTTCTTTCGCGGCCAGGGACTTCTCTGTCTTCTGGAATGATCTCTCACAAGCTCGCATTCTGACACCCACTCCTTGTCCTTGAGCTGGGGTTTTTTTGGGCTTGGTTCGGCGAAGCTTTGGGAATTGTCCGATGCCATACTATTGAAGACGCATTCCAGCAGATGGAGCCTCTTTCTTTTCCCCAGGCCGCCACTAATGCATTTGCAACTTCAATACCCTGATATACAAACCCGGTCTTCTGGTGCTTCAATTCTTATTTTTCTGCTTCTATTGGATTTTATTTGTCTGTACAGATATCGACGGTCATGGGAACACAAAGGACGGATCGGGAATTATGCTCTAATATGTGGACGGACTTTTTGCATCTTACCTAGTCGATGACAGCGTTTCCAGCTATAGTTAGCTACGATGATAACGGTGATGGGTATGATGTGACGGGATAGGTACAGACCAGCCTGTTGTGGTAATAATCTACGTCTTGTCTATGATACCGATTGTTCTGATGTTAGATACGTAGTCTATGAGTGCTGCGCCTCAAAGGATTATCTTCAATGACCAGAGTACTGATTTAACCCAGCAAAGAATCAATATCCTTTGCTCAGTGTTCTCTGTTCCTGGTCAGTTGCGTCCGCCGAATACCTACTTGAACTCTCTTAAAAGAGCAGTCGGACCCGCGGGGATCTCGTGCCGTCATGATCTACGCCCCGCCCCAAAAAACTTTCCGAGCTCCCCATTCTTTCACCCCGCCATCGTCCAACTCTGTTCCATCGTTCCAACGTCGAGAAGGAATGCTGGAAACGGACGTCGCTATTCAATTCAATCATTGGACTACTTGACAGTGCATCAATTGTTTCACAGATCTATACATACATACCCCTTTCAATCTCTCTCTCGGAAATTAATCCCGCATTGAAGGAAGCTCCCCCCACCACTTTTCTAAGTTCTCTCGGAGCACCAGCGAACTCCTTCGCAACCCATCAATCAGGATGTCCTCCCCCCGTTCCGCCGTGCATATCCCCCAAACCCCAGCTGTCCTCGACAGCGTCCGTCTCCGCGACATCGAGCTCCCGCTCCCCGCTGCTCCAGACCCATGGCACCGCCCCGATAAGCCACAGCCCTGCACCGCAAGCCTGAAGCTATCCTACTCATCCGCCATCGCCGCTGCAGAACAAGACGATGTCTCCCTCTCCCTTGACTACGGCAAGCTCTTCCGCCGTCTGGAGACTGACATCCGCGAGATGGCCCACCACACTACCTCCCCGGAGCACCCGCACCACCACATGGTCAGCGTCGAAGGCACGCAGCGCGAGGAAATGAAAATCAGCGCCGTCGGCCAAGACCCACGCGTCACGGCCGGTATCGTAGCGAACTGCGGCCTGGGTCTACTAGACGAGACAGCTGCCGGCGTGCGCCGTATGGCGCATGTCCACCAGAGCCCGCGGAATAGCTTCTCGGGTGCCTCGGTGCCTCCCGTCCCTGCGCCTAACCGCTCGTCCCCAATTGCGGCGGAGTATGGCCGCTGTGAGGTGTGGCTGCATCTGCCCAAGGCGCTTCTGCGTGCGGAGGAGGGACTCAAGTACCGGAGTGTTACGGTGTGGGGGTATAAGGATGGTGCGGATGCGGACGAGCCCTTGGAGTCGGAGTCGCGGTGTCCCGTTGTGTTGGAGGAGGAGTTCCGGATTGAGGGTATTCGCTGCTACTGCATTCTCGGTGTGAACTCGCATGAGCGGGTTGAGAAGCAGGCTGTGATTATTTCGCTGGGCTTTGAGGGTCCTGGGCAGTTGGCTTGGGGTTCGACTGTGGTTGATACGTATGTGGCTCTGACGCGGGCTGTTGCGGAGGTATGTATAAAGATCCTGCTCAATTGGAGTGATTATATATTCTTATCACCTGCACTCGATTTATGATCTAATATTTCTCGATTACAGAAAGTCGACGAGACTACCTTCCAAACTGTCGAAGCACTGGCCACCTTCATTGCGCGTATCGTGACGGTGGACTTTGGCAATGAACGTGTCACCGTTCGTGTCGAGAAGCCTAGCGCATTGGCATTTGTCCAGCGCTCCGGTGTCGAGATCACTCGATCCCAAGCCTTCTTCAAGAACCACGATGTGGCGCGCAGGTGAGGCTGTCAAATGATGATGTGCGCTGGGTCGATCGATCGTGCATGCTGCAATGCGGGTGCTCCCGCATTGGAACGGTGAATCGAAGTTTCTGGATGGAATGGAGGTTTTTGTTTGAGATGGTATAAACCAGAAATCCACCTGGAAAGACTAGTCATAATGTTTCGAGTATAATTCAATCTATTTACTTAGAGTACTTCGAAGTGAACGGGTCGTAGCCAGTCAGATTTGGTTGGATGGCCAGCCTATACTGTTAGTATCTGCTCTGATCCTATTGGAGGTTGTGGGCAGCTTCATTCTTTAGTACAAATTAAGACCAAGGTCAAGTATACAAGCAGGTGATTACTTATTTCATGAAGTTATCCAAGCACATTCCTCCTCCTTTGGATCCCTTCTCCCTATCAGCTTGGAAGCAGACCATTCATCGGTCATAGATTGCCCATGCCTTGCACGTGAACACCCAATCCGGTTTAGTACGTAGGGCCCCCGGATTTACGCCCGGGTTGATACTTTTCTTCAGCTTTGTTCTTCTGCCCTTTCCAACTCATCGTTCACTGAGGGAACACCCAAGTCTGTGCCTCTTAATTTGACCTCTCCCAGATCAACTAGATCATCCGCTCAACCACGACCAGCCCCGCGATTTCTCTATGCGTCTGTCTGCGCCATCCTCCTCGCTCGTCTCGCCTTCTTTGACCAGCTCCCTGGCCAACCTGCCCTTGCTTACTCCCGAGATCTCCAGCGACCGCACCCCGACCAACGACCTCACCGTGACTGCATATCCCCAACTTACTCCCTCCGCCTTGGCTTTCGACTTCGCGATTGGCGAAGTGATTTGGCTAGGGGTCCCAGGTCCGTCCTGAAGAAGGGCGGACGGTAAAATTACTCGAGGGATTGCGAGCTGGCTGAGAGTCAGCTAGAAAGAGACTGTACCATTCAGCTATCACGTTGAGGTTAGTCTTGGTTCCTGCCTTCCACGGACTCCGAAGGGTCGCGGTTCATTTTTTCTCATCTTCGCCGCGATTGGTGGGGCAAAAAGTCGCGAGCCAAAAGCTTTATCTTACCCCTCCATACCTATCCGCGATCACAAGCAAAAATGAAATGATTGAAGCTGACATGGATGTGCTGGACAAAAGTGGCAGCCTTCCAGGCATCTCGAGTATCTATTTGCCATACAAACACCACTTGGTGTGTCCTCAATTGCCCATCGCACCGCAGCTATCGTGGGCGCCTCTACCGGTAACGAAACCCTGAGGCTTGTTCGAAATCCGACCTTTTTTTTGACACCACCGACTGCCGTGACCATACCAGTCAAGCATCATGCCTTCCTCTGCGCCGCCCGATGATATCTCCGTTGGAGATGTCTTCACTCCGCAGGCTGACCTTGCGCAACCCTCAGCCGTCGACATTCCGGCCAATCACCGCGCCCCGGCTGTCCACATGGGAGACGACCAACTGTCCCCGCGCAAGCAGATTGCCAATTACATGTCCAACGGGGACAATATGATGCAGCCACCGGTGTTTCACCCGAACCTGTTGTCGGGCAAGCAGCGGCGCAAGGCTAAGAAGAAGAAGCAAGCTGGGCAGGCGGATCCGGCGCTGTCGACGGTCCGCGGTTTCACACCGTTGGCCTCTGCAGACGAGGACTCCGATTTCTCTACGACTAGCTCCCGCGCTGCCGAGTCTCGTCCGGCGACCTCTAAGGGTGGAGCGAGTCCGCGCGCTCAGCCTAACACAGGTCATGGAGTGAGCGCCTTGAAGCTCCAGCTCGATTCGCTGAATCTTTCCGGAAAGCCCACTGCGGGTACTGGCGGCTTCTGCTCGGGAACTCCCAGCAACGCCAGCGTGTATTCCGACAGCGATCAGACCGAGATTTTGACCAGCTACGAAGTGCCGCTGGAGCATGATTTCGTCAGCGCAGATGCCGCGAAGGACGAGGAACCAGCCAGCATGGGCCCAGCAGCGGCTGGCAACGGGGCTGATCTGCGGAGCCAGCTCTGTCGCAAGATGACCGCAGAAGATTTCGAGCCTTTGCTCTGCCTTGGCAAGGGTTCGTTCGGAACTGTCTTGCTGGTCCGTCATGTTGTCACGGGTAAGCTGTACGCCCAGAAGCAGTTCAAGAAGGCCTCGATCACCGTGCACAAGAAACTAGTGGAGCAAACCAAGACGGAGCGCATGGTCTTGGAGAGTGTCAGCCGCCATCCGTTCGTGGTAAAGCTGTTCTACGCGTTCCAGGACCACGAGAAGCTCTACCTGATCTTGGAATATGCGCAGGGCGGCGAGTTGTTTACTCATCTCGCCATGGAACGTATGTTCCAAGAAGACGCCGCGGCATTCTACATGGCCGAAATGGTTCTCGCCCTGGAGCACCTGCACCAGAATGTCGGCGTGCTGTACCGCGACCTCAAGCCCGAAAACTGTCTGCTCGATCACCACGGCCACCTCCTCCTCACCGACTTCGGGCTGAGCAAGATCGCCCTGAGCGACGATGACCGCTGCAACTCCTCCCTGGGCACGATCGAGTACATGGCCCCCGAAGTGATCCAGGGCAAGCCCTACGGCAAAGCATGCGACTGGTGGTCCCTCGGCGCCCTAGGCTTCGACCTTCTCACGGGCTCCCCTCCCTTCCGCGCCAACAACCACACCAAACTGCAAGAGAAAATCGTCAAGCAGAAGCTCGTCCTGCCGTACTTCCTCGGCCCAGACGCAAAGGATCTCCTCATCCGACTCCTCCGCAAAGACCCCGCCAAGCGACTCGGCTACCACATGCCCAAGGACCTGCAGACAATCAAAAAGCACCGGTTCTTCCGCAAGGTTGACTGGGCGGCTCTTGAGCGGCGTGAGCTTGATCCGCCAATTAAGCCGATCGTCACGGATCCTGCCCTGGCTGAGAACTTCTCGGCTGATTTCACGCAGATCCCGCTTAGTCCGACGGTGACGACCGGTGGTTTTGATGATTTGTATGCGCAGAGTCAATCGCGGTTCTCGTCGAGTCTTGCAGGTCAGACGGGTGGTGAGGGGGATCCGTTCGGTGGGTTTAGCTTTGTGGCTTCGAGTAGCTTGCTGGATCATGGACTTGGGGTGATGGCGACGGGATATTAAAGATGGATAGACTTTTGGTCTTCTTGTGCCTCGTTTCTCTGGGTGTTTCGGTTGTTTTCCATTTGCCTTTTCGTCGTCTTCTTCTTCTGTCTATGCCATGGCTACTACATGAGCATCTCATCCTGTCTACCTTTGTATCCTTTAAGACAGGCGTTCTCGTTCTCGTTTTTAGCTTCCAAGCTTCTTGGCAACAAGTCTACTTCACGGTACACTATCGCATTTCTCTTCTCTACTTTCCAGCGTCCTCGCAAGGAATACATGATCCAAGGCTTTTGTGTATGAGTATTATTCTTGATCATTTAGAAATTTCGTAGATAGTCATTGATGTACAATTCAATCCAGTCCAGTCCATCCACCCAAGCTCAAGCCAGCAAAAAGCCAATCCAATGCAACATCCAAAAAAAGAACAGCACCTGTATACTGACGCTATTCCTTCACGCCCCTCTGTCCTCCAAAATTCCCCAAGATTATGATCATTGCATTCAGATTTCACCTTCTTCGCTTCCACCCCCTTCGTCATTAACATTCCCTCTTGGTGCGGACAGTGGTAGGTCCGTTGCTTTGGATTCTGGTGGAACGATACTCGGATCAACGCCCTTGTCATCTGAGACCTCGCCTTCTTCCGGGCTTGTTTCCTCTTTTTGAGGATTCTGTGTAGAGGATGTCTGAGCGTTTGTGTTTGTGTTTGTGTTGGTCTGGTCTTGATTCTCGCGGGAGAGACGATCCGTTGTTTTAGATTGTCGGACTGCTTCTAATGCGCGCAGGGGAATGCGCGGGCGAGATGTTGATGACGAAGGCGAGGCTGTTGGAAATGCTGCAGGATGAGGTGAAATGGTGCGCTGGCGTTTTGGTGAGCGCTCCCCGTTTAGTGAGGAGGAGGATGGTTGTGTGGTTGGTGTTTGTGTTGGTTGGTTGTGTTCGATGGATTGGGAGTCCGGCTCGCGCGAGCGTTTGCGCCCGTTTAATGCGGCCGAGTCGCCTGGTGTACTGAGGGTCGGGGTGGAAACTGGGTCGGCGATGGGATTATTATTGAAGAGGCGGGTTGGGTCGTTGGGGTCTGCGTCTGAGAAGGCAAAATCTGGGTAGCCCTTGCTGAGGTTTTGCTGGACACGTTCGTAGATTATGACGATCAGTTTGCAGGCGCGGATGAGCTCGTCCACTTTGACGTCTAACTGTTCCCACCACGGCCGTCCTTCCGAGTCGTCTGGGAAGGCGATCTGGCAATGACGAGCTGCGGCGTAGAGGGCCGCTGCGGCGATGACGCGAGGCTGGAATTGCAGGCAGAGTACGGTGTAGGTGGAGTCGTTTAGGAAGGCATATGCGGAGTGGCGGAGGGGTCTGTTGTCACCCACGCCGAGGAAGAGGGAGTAATCCCAAAGGATGCGGTACGGCGACTCGAGCTGTAAATCAAAACAGAGGAATTCCAGCATGACACTCTCATTCTGGAGGATCAGATCGCGCCACTTCCAGTAATCCTTCGACTGCTCATCCACCACCAGATCAGGCTGTTTCATAGCGACACGGCAGCAAGCGACGACGAAGTCCTTCATACGGCGCATCGTCTCGTCCACCTTGAACGCCACGAACAGCGAGACCGCCGCGATGACCTTGGGATGCATGAGGTCCGCGCCCACCTCGGGGTATTGTCCGCGCAAGGAGTATCGCATAAGAAAGCGGTGCAGGAACACAGTCGCCGTCATAGACGTCTGCGGCGGCATCTTCAGCATCATGCTGACCTGCCAGATAAACTCGACAGCGCGATGCCGGATATAATCCTCCTTCTCGCGATCGATCTTGTCGATCCGCGACGGGGTGCGCTCGAGCTCATCATCGGAAAATATCCATTTTTGCTGTGTTACCGCTATGACCGGATTGGGGAGGCCGGGGATGCGGTGCTTCGGCGGTCCTGGGGATGCGGAGGCCTCCATCTGGTCGTGTGGGATTGCGCGAGGCCAAGGGGTTCACGCCAGGGAGGTTTATGTGGGTGGGAAGGGAGACGAGGGTGATCGAGAGGGCGAGGAGGAGTGACTACCTTTCTTTTGTGAGAGGTAGTAAGTAAAGCGCGCCCGCGCGCTCTTTTGTGGAGGGTTCTATAGAGCTTTGTATCCCAGGTTTGGGTGTTGTCTGGAGCAATCGAGCATTCCGAAGCTTTTCATCCCATATTCGAGGGGCAGAAACTCAAGTCACAGTAATTTTGGAGTGTGTAAATGGTGAGTATGTAGGAGAAAAGCCCTTTACTGTCGAGAGCTTGATTCAAGGAAACTGATTGACCTTGGCCGCGGTGAATCCTGCGAATGTGAAAGCTGCTCGACGGAGCGGATTAACCACTTTCTCCGGAGCCGTGCTATTGGCCAGACGAAGTATAAACTGAAGCGTCCACCATAGTGATCTTTCCGAAAGTAATGGGCTTCAAGGCTAAAAATCCAAGATTAGCGTATCAGAGAAGAATATGAGGCATAAAATATTAGCAAGAAGTCTTTTACTTAATTTTTTTTGTCTAGCTTTACCTTTTTCACCGTATCTGATCTCCTATCTGCGCCTCCGTTAACCTGCCTCTCCAAGCAGACAGGGGCTGGCCTTTGTGGGATTTTGAAGAAAGCATGAGCGTCATATTAGTTCCATATTTCCACTAAATGCGAATTTAAACCCATACACTGAATGAGAGCTTCCATAACCAAGGGTGTTACGACTTGCGCTGGTCACTAACCAAACGGGCAGGCGCAAAGGACCAAATATGGCCGAACTCGTATTTTATCATACCCAGAGCTGGATTTCGTAGTACACGTCGCACTATGAGGTGATAAAGCCTTAAATTTTACTTCTACTCATCATATTACTCAGTAGTCTGTTTGACAGGACAGGATGCACAAAGGTGGACTTGTTTTTCCTTAACTCTAGGTAGATATCTTTAACGACATCTTTGAGAGTCTCAAGACTTCTCATGGAATGAACTTCTCCTCGGTTTAGAATAGAGATATCTTTGATTTTGAGCGTATCGCGACATGGTCGTCGCTCACTTGGACTTAGCCTCAAGCTGAGCTTGGAGACGACTGATCGACTCGTCTTTCTCCTTAAGCTGTTGCTTGAGGTCCGCAATTTGGTTGTCCTTGGTGATATGGCACTCCCGCTTGGCCATGTTGGCCTTGCATGCGATAAGGACGTGGCAGGCATACGAGTGGGTGCGCTCGGGACTAACAGGTTCGTCACGCATTGGGCTAGAGTCAGCCAGGGCACTGTCGCACAGGAACAGTAACTGTTGCAGTCTGTCTGCGCAGGAAACGTTATGTGTCTCGATGATTTCGACCACGTGCTCGCAGAGACGCATAGCATCCGACGCTTCAGAATCGTCCAACTTAGACATGCTAGTATTGAGAGTTTGTCCGAAGATGCGAATATTCATGTTTGCCGCTGTAGATACGTCGACGAACTTGTTGGCGAGATCCCGGATCCTATTCAAGAGAGTTCGCTTCATGCTACCTGCCTGGTTAAACACGACGGGAGGAGCAATATTCTCAGAAGGACGCTGGACAACAGTCACAATGGACGATGCAGTGTCCTGGATCGAAGAGGGACCATGTTCATGAGCTATGGGCAACGCATCACTGGAATCGTCGGTCTTAGAAGCAGGGTCGGTGGTAATGTCAGGAGCATCATTCCAGGCATCGTTCGCACCCGTAACGTAGTCAGCAGGACGAGGCGCACATCCATCGTCGTCGGCAGCACCAGTACGGCAAGGACGTGGCAGGCGTACTCAAGTGGGATGATGTGATTGTCGTTGATCATCTCAGGGAAAGATGCTGCTCAGGTGCAAGGTAGCGACGCTCAAGGACTCAGTAACGGTAGTTGACTAGCTTGGAGCTAGAGCCGGCTTGAGCCCAGGGAGCAGGGCCAATAGCTTATAGGACCTTATGCTTTGGAGTGAGTCCCTCTGAGGTAGTCAGACCGAGGCCATGCTAAGCTTCCAAGGTCGTGGCGTCGTTGAGAGCCCTCTTGTGATGGCTTGGCGTATCAATGCTTATGAAGAGACAAGATATATATGATTATACTGAAAGGAGCAGGATTGGAGTCAAAATATGGAATGAGGAGTGGTGGAGAGATGGTTGAAAGGAGAAATTGAGAGATGGTGGACGAGGGAGAAGGCTTTTATAGGGCAACCCGGAAGAAAGTAGCCTACCAAGAAGCAGAAGGGAGACTTCCAGGAATCAACCGAGAGCAATCAATCAGCTAGGTCTACCTCTACTCACTATGCCACTACGTAGTCTTTTCCAAGAGTAAGATAATTCACAGGTGATTTATTCTCCAGGGCTACTAGATACGTAAACCAACGTTCCTTTAGGTTTGGCGTCCTCTCGCCCAGTCACATTTACGTCGGTCCGAGATGACGATATCCAAAATGTTGAGAGCTGAATGATGTCAGCCACCATTCAGTCAGACTTCTTCAGGGCGTCCAGCTTAGCCTGGAGGCGAGCGATAATTTCATCCTTCTCAACGAGCTCCTAGCTCAGCCCAGCAATGAGAGCCTCAAGGGCGACACGGTGATCCTCCTCGGCCACTCGAAGTTTGTACGCGCATTGGAAGGAGATGAGGCGATCAGTACAGATCATTCCGTGGGGAAGTTCCCCGTCAAAGCAGAAGATGACGGGAAAATTTGGCGGCAAGACAGGGTTGGTAGTGGATGACTCCATGGGCACAGGCTTCTCGTGCTTGAGGGCGAGGTTCTCTGGGATGGTCTGGCCGACACTATGAGGAGTGTCCTTGGCCGTGGCGTCGTGAGCTGGGGAAGACCCGTTATTCTGGTTCGGGATATCCATCTTCAGGATGGGGAAAGACGTATTCGGACTGAAGGTGAGGCTTGGGTGATGGATGGGTTGAGAGACGAAAGCGTCGAGGTTTTGGAGGGATGGTGGAGGAAAAAGCCGAGAGATGGAGGATGAGAGAGATGGACTTTATAGACAAACTGGATGGAAGTAGCCTAAAAGAGCACCAGGTAAATACCAAGAAATAGATCGAGATGGAACAATCAGTTCGGTCCACCGCTAGGTAGTTGCTATGCCCCTATGCCCCTACGTGTTCTTCAGAAAGAGCAAGAAACAGCATGAGCACGCGCGTGTTATCCCCAAATTCAAGAAACATGAAACAAGATCATTTAACGCTTTGAAACCTCTCGCTTATGTAGTGATATCTTCCTCAGTCAATTGAGGTATCTTCGAAACTGAGCCCGTCGTGATGTTGATGTCTTTCCCTGAGACTTCACCGGGGCCTCCAGCTGAGCCTTAAGGCAAGCAATCAGCTCATCCTTCTCGGTGAGCTGTCCCTTGAGATCCTCGATGCGAGCCTCAGCGGAGTCGCAGCCCTCACACTCCGCCATTTCAGATTTGCGCAAGGCCAGAATTTTACATGCGTAGGGGCGATAAGGAAGTCGGAATCTATTGCAATAGGGGGGCGCTCCTGGTAAGGACAAGAGTTTTCGGCAGTGGTAGTAGGCAAGGTCAGCGAGAGAGCAGGACTGGTCATAGGAAGCAGAGCGACAGCATCCTGGATCTGGTGCTGAAGCTCGAGTCCCTCTGAGGAAGTCAGATCGAGACCATGCAGAGCTTGGTAGGTGGTAGCGTTGTTGATAGGGATAGCCATGTTTATGATGAGACGAGGTGTGTGTGAATTGACTGAATGGAGCAGTATCGTCGTCAAAAAATGGAACGAGAGATGGTGAAGAGGAAAATTGAGGGATAGTGGATGATAGAGATGGTTTTTATAGGCAAACTGGATGTGAGTGGCCTAAAATGGGCAGAAGTGAAGCATCGAGAAATAGATCGAGATCGAACAATCAGCTTAGTCTACTTCTAGTTACTATACCACTACGTAGTCTTCAGGAAGAGCAAGGAAACTGCATGCGCACACGCGTGCTATTCTCAAATTCCAAAATCATGAAAAGATGGCGTGACGCATCGCGACCTGCTCGTCGCTCACTTAGATTCAGCCTCAAGTTGGGCCTGAAGGCGACTGATGAGCTCGTCCTTTTCAGCGAGCTCTCTCTTCAGCTCGGCAATTCGAATGTAGGCGGAGATGAAGTACTCTGCCATAACCCTATCAGCGTTTCGCGCGGCGATGATTTTCTGGGCGTACCCCAGACGGAAGAGCTGATTTTCGGTGATATCCTCGGGGGAGATTCGCTGAGGAGCGGCGCTTGAGGTCTTGGTCATGGTGGTTGTCTAGCCTGGAGTTAGAGCAGTCTTGGGAAAAGGGAGGAAAGTGGCAGTAGCTTTTCCAACCATAGGCTTTTGAGCTTCGAAGACCGTGGTGTCTTTGGATGGGGGAGACCCGTCATGGTCCATGGTGGCGAAGAGATGAGAGGTATTGGGATTGTAAGAAGTATGATGGGATGAAACTGTTGGATTCGGGTAGGGTTGAGCAGAATCTGGAGAGATGGTGAAGAAGATCGAGAGATGGGGGATGAGAGAGGTGAAATTTATAGACAAACTGGACGAAAGTAGCCTACACGGGATAGTAGACAAACAACCAGAAATGGATCGAGATCAGTCAAGCAGGATTGCCTAGAACATCCCAGGTGCTCTGCCTCCACGGTCTAAACTAAGCAAACTTCTCTTCAGATATTCGATGGGAAATCACAGATCATTAAGACTTATGACAATAAAATAAGAGCTAAAAGAACAAGAAAAGAGCCGAACTAATTGCAGGTCCTCCAAATCGACGACCATTAAACAAAAGATAGAATATGGTATCTCTAGCCCAATACCTGAGCGCCACGCTGATATGCAAAGAATGACTGACCTGGACCTTGAAACTGCATTGCACAATGCTTACTCTTCCTCGCTAACCTCGCTCTCATCATCACTGGCCACACGGTAATTACTCTGGCCATACTGGTGGCTGCGAGCCTCTTCCTCGCGAGCACTCGCTTCAAACGCAGCTTCCATCTCTGCAGCCAGTGCATCGTCATCTTCCATGTCATCTCCGGTATCGGCGGGAACCGAGGAAGCAGGCTTGGTATCTCTGGCCGGGGAGGGTAATCGGAAAGACTCAATTTCTGCTTCGGATTCATCGCCATCTCTATCGTCGTTTGGTGTGTTATTCGACGAGAAGAAAGAGGGATTGACTTGGAAGGCTCGTCGGGGTGGAGGTGAGCCCATGTCGATGATCAAGTCCCCGTCGAGGATGATGTTCGAACCTGGGGACGGAACGGATCGCTGCGAGCCATTGCCAGTGCCTGCATCTGACACTGACAGTCGAGAGTCTTCCTGGTCGACTGGTGGTTCTGCGCGAGAGACCGGCTCGGCAGGTATCTCCCGGGGAACCTTGGGCTTTATAGGCGGCTTCTGGACGCGCTTTGTTTCTCGGAGAGGGTTTGCTTGAGGTCTTTGAGTCTTGGGTCTGGGTGCAGGCTTCGCAGCCGGTCTGGCAGGTGGTAGTACGGGCGTATTGGCTTTGCTGGTGTATACCGGCTCTGGCGTAGAGTTCCGCGAGGCGGGCTTGACATCCTCGGCACCCTCCTTGGGAAGGAAATGTCGAAAGTCGTAGGGATTGCTCTCATCAGCCGGGCCTTCGTCTTCGCTGGTATTTCCTCCATTGCGATCATCGAACGATGTGTGATCTTCCTCCTGGGATATCCGTAACTGCTCGTACTGTTCCAGAACTTGCTTCTCCGTCTTGCCCGGGGCCGACCGTATGTTGAAATTTAGTTTGGTGGAGACCGGCTCCAGCACGAAGACTTTGCGATCGGGATCGAAGACTAAGACGAGGGTTCGCTCGCCAGTCGGGTCTTCGCTGCCTTGGTATGAGTAGGTCAGGGTGTGATCGGCGCTCGGAGGCTTATCGGTGACGGAGAGGTCGTAGAGATCGCGCGACCGGGAGGAGCGGGTGATGGTTGATCGCTGTTGAGGTGTTGCAGCTTTGGACTTGTAGTTATAGTTGACATTGATCAGTCGGTCTGAGCCTGTATTGTTGGCCAGTCGTTCACCCAGGACGATAGGGTACTCGGCCTGCTTGGTTGGGTCGATCATGGTGGACATCGTGGGGGCGGCCATGTCTCCGCGCGGAAATGAACAGCCGTGAGCAATGTAAGGAATGTCGAAATAAGGGCTGGAGTGAGGATTATAAGGAGGAGAAATGGAGGCAAAGAATAGACTGAAAGGTTAGAGAAGGGGTGAGAAGAGTGGAGGTTGTTGAAAGAAAGCCCGCTGGGTGACACCACGCCTAAACATGGGGAAAGGCGGAGACCGGAGATGGGAAGAGAAGGACTCCGCCTATTCTGACGGGTTCCGGTGATAAGGAGAGTTTGGGCTTTGATAGTCATGATTTGACACATTGGTCAATGATTGTAGGCTTGGGAGGCTCCGTATATTAATTCATTTCTTATAGAAAGACAAGAATGGCATAATGAATGTACGGAGATGGCTCATCATTGATCATGACCTCTGCAGAAGGGAGCCATCAGTGTATACTCAACATGCAGCTTCAATGCAAGACCATTCTCATAACGAGTTTCCTGTTGAACGTTGGGTATATCAAATGATTGAATTACATAAACCCCATCCACCTTTCAATGTACTGGCACTCGACTCGTCAATTGCTCCAAACGTCCGGCTAGGGCCCGATGTTTGCGCATCACATCTTCCCATTCATAGGTGATATCCTCCTCCCCTTCCAGCTCTGTCAGAATCATGCCAAAATCACCTCCCAGCCGGCCCAGACTAGCCGCACAGTATAGCAGCTGCGTCAACAGACTCTCCCTGGAGCTACGATCCCGAACATTGGGAAGATACGCCCGCAGGGTATCTGTGAGCAATTGCACCAGATGCATTGGGAAAGTCGCCAAAGCCGATGGAAGTCTTTGTAGCGGATCATTCGATCGAGCCGATTGTGGCTGCGCCTTGTGCGCCTCGGCGCCCCGGAGGCCTGAAATAGCGGGTTCCGAGTCTGACTGCTCCGAGCTGAAGATATTTTTGTATAATGAGACAATCGCAAAGCTCTGTTCACGGAAGATCTCAATGTACCGTTTCAGGTAGCGGTCCGTCTGCTGTCCGTCGGACCAGGTCTCGGACTTGTCCTTGCTATTGACTCTCTGCTGGGTTTCTTGGTCGGCCAGCTCGCGCAGCGGATCCAAGGCCTCCAGGGTCGACACCAAGTGGGCTAAGCGGCAGATCAGGACAATGGCGCCCAGCGCTCCTTCTCCAGTGCCTGCTGCTCCCTCACCTTGGAGACTTTCCAGATCCGGTGCCACTCGCCGTAGCCAGCCTACAGTTCGCATGCCAGCTGCTAGCCGTAGGTTCTGGCCGCGGAGGCCTGCAATCAGATTGGTTGTCATTTCCTTCATAGCATCTTCCGCCTGGAATGCCACGTCTTGAATTAATGGTGACTCCGGGTATAATGTTTGTAGTCGCTTAATATGTGTATGGAGGTCGAGAGCGGAGGAGTATGTGGTAGAGGCTGCTCCCGCGCCAGAGTTGGCGGAGGCCGCAGAGACCGCGGTAGATAACAATGAAGGCAATTCGAGGATATCAGACAGCCGGTCAACGTTGCGTGCCAGCTGCACGGCCTTCTTCCTTCGTTCTAGGGCGGCATTATCTGTAATTTTGCTGTATTTGGTGGAGAACTTGACAGCCTCCTCGTCGAGCTTTGGGATTGCATCGCGTAATTGTTGCGCTTCGCGGATCAACTGTGGGATATTTGAGCGCAGGGTAGAGAGATGGTCGGCGGAGGTGGTGAATGCCCGATGAGAGCGGTTGGATAGGGCTTGGAGCGAGAGGAGTGTTGAATGGGAGGATTGGGCCAGGGACTGTGGTTCGGTGGTCCGTAGTGCGTCCAAAGACAGGGTGGATAGGCGATTGAGATACTGTGACGTTGTAGCATCATTTGACTGTGGTGTCTCCAAACGAGGAGCCAGCAGCTCCAACAGCGAGTCGGCCATGTCTCTTCGTTGGTCCAGTTACCCAAGATCCAATGATGCGGAAAGTGGACGTGGTGAATGGAGACAGACGTACGGTGGCCCGTGCGGCCAGTTTGCGCATCTCCGCAGTCTCTCCAACATTTTCCGTCTTTTTCTCGTCGTTTGCCTCTTCATCGGAACTGCTGTGGAGAAGAGCTGGGCGCATTTTATAGAGGCACTGCTATCTAGACTGGATTCCGTTTCAAGTGCTTTTTGTTCTCTTCGTTTTCGTCGTCTTCTTCTGCCCCTCCCCCACATCGTCCCCTTAGTGGCCTATTGTCCCACATGCCCCTTCAACCATGGGGAAGCCACGGGTAAGCCTTACATATGATCTGACAAGAGATTTGTGACACTTGATCTAACCCTACCCTATTCGACAGATGATTATTCTGGTCCGCCACGCGCAGTCAGAAGGGAATAAAAACCGCGATATCCACCAGACCACGCCCGACCATCGAGTGAAACTTACTACCGAAGGACATCGTCAGGCTCAAGATGCGGGCCGTCGATTACGAGATCTCCTCCACCCCGATGATACCCTCCACTTCTTTACTTCGCCGTATCGGCGGACAAGAGAGACAACCGAAGGCATGCTGGAATCGCTGACCTCTGACGATCCTACGCCATCGCCGTTTCCAAGACAAGGCATCAAAGTATATGAAGAGCCCCGACTACGAGAACAAGATTTTGGCAACTTCCAACCATGCTCCACTGAAATGGAGCGTATGTGGATGGAACGGGCAGATTATGGCCATTTCTTCTATCGTATTCCCAACGGCGAGTCCGCCGCGGATGCCTACGACCGTGTGAGCGGATTCAATGAGTCGCTGTGGCGACTCTTCGGGGAAGAGGACTTTGCCAGTGTCTGCGTGCTTGTCACCCACGGCCTCATGACGCGAGTCTTTCTCATGAAGTGGTATCATTGGAGCGTGGAATACTTTGAAGACCTACGCAACATCAACCACTGCGAGTTCGTGATCATGACTCTCAAACCTGACAACGGCAAATACACCCTCCAGAATAAATTGCGTACATGGTCTGATCTGCGCAAAGAGAGAGAACGTGAGCGGGAGGCCAACGGTCAACCTCCCACACCCCCAGCTACTTCAGATCATATCCCAATCCGCCGCAAATGGGGTGGTTGTCCGGATGGATGTTCCCATGGGTTGACCGGAGATGCAAAGAAGTCTCTTCGAGCACAACTGGTGGAATCAATGCATCGGGGCAGTGGACATACACGAAACAATGTCGCTACATACCCCGATCAACCATCACCACTGAAACAAGCCTCTTCTACATCCGACAGTATGGAAGGGTCATTCCCCTTCCCCAACGACAAAAGTATACCTACTTTACAAGGCGCCAGCAACAGCTCTCAGTCTGCTACTCAACTAACAGATGAGAACAAAGATACGCGCAGGCGCTCTTCCAGCTCTGATACTCCTTCTAGCAGCACCTTCCGTCCCATGAGGCCTCTTCTAGGTCCCCATCGTGATAGCGAGGACCACCTCCTCCACCCTCCAATCTCATCATCGTCTACCGCGAACTTCAAAATGGCTCTACTCCATCTAGGCGGCCGCGACGGGGGTGGTTCCATGAGTGGCGCAAACAGTCTCGCACCATCTGACGACGAAGGGGAAGATCACGACCATCATCACCACCACCACCATCACCATCACCATCACGGTCCTCGTTCCGGAACACCAGTCCCCCACGACAAACACACCCATTCGCACGCGCATTCTCACGGCCCCTCTTCATCTTCAACGTCCAAACCATCCCAAGACCTCGAAGACGACGGCGACGACGAGCTCAGCGCCCATCCAACAGAAGACTCAAAGCGTCGTCTGCACCATCTTCCGCATCATCACCACCATAATCACACTACATCTATGTCTACACAACCAACACCTAATGCCCGTCCCACCCACCACAGACAAACCTCATCAACAGCCTCGCCACCAACATTCAGAATGGCCAACATCCTCGGCGACGGCGACGACGAACTCTCCACCAGCGGAGACGCCCAAACACCGCGTACCATTGAGCCGCAAACACCACATACCAATGCCGGCGAGAAGGAGCTGGCCAATAGTCAGAATGAAGAGGATTGTCTAGAGGCGCAGCGGCGCGAGGATCAGAGTATTCAGGGGAGTGTTTATTGAGAGAAACTAGACCTTTAAAGGAATTTGGTTTAGGGTATGGGTATCAGGGGGTATAAATCTGGTTTAGACCGGTTTTTATTCTAATTTGATAGAAGGATGGGAGATGGGGGGATTAGAGGGAGATTGTTTCGGGATTAGTGCTGGACTTCCTTCACCTTACGCGATGGTCGTCGTATCGGCAGACAGGGAATTGGGTTCCGGATAAAGCATTATGCTACGAGTATACGAATGAGAATGACAATGCATGATTCATTGATTAGAATCTCAGGTGTTGAGATATTGGTTCTTGTATGTGTAGACTTGAAGATCGGTATTCATCATGAAGTCTACATCGGCAGACTCTTACATCCTAGGTAGCAACTACTTCAATTTACGAATCTACAAATACCACAAGAACAATGCTCAGCGACAAAGTCAATAGTTTGTCACATATTTCCCGAATCATCCTAAGACAACGAACGAGACGTCCCAACAACACAAAGACACGTAACCAACCACTGAAGCAAGAACAAGCCCTAAACCCAACCCGGTTCCCAAAACCCGGGTAAGTATAACGGACTAAAGTCCACGCCACGAACGGAGTTCACAGGCAAAGGGAATTGAAAACAAGAACGAAGTCGAAAAAACCAATAGACTACATACAGGAATCAGTCATAACCAATCACACCTCGCTACCTATGTAGGTTGTAGGTAGGTGGCTCGAAAGTGAATTAACTGTTTTGGGAAAATGAAAACCCCATATCCTGAACACGAAAGGAATAGCAGAGATAGATGCCCGTTAAAAGGGGGGGCATTGGAAAAGGTGTAAACGGTCAAGGGAAAGGGAAGAGCAAACCCAGACCCACAAACGCGTAGCACGAGCCCAGATCTGATTCCCTGTACATCCTGTATGCAAAAGCCGTCTAGAGCGGATGGGGGAATCAAAAGGAAAAAAAAATATGGCTAAGTCGGTCTTTTCAGCCGAGAAGAGGGGGCCTCGATTCAAGTCAATGAAGCAAGACGAGTGAGGCTGGTTTTTTTTGGGTGACCGGACCGGACCTGGGGAATCAAGGATGGAAAGTTGAAAAGGCATTCATGAAGGCTGAATAGGAAAAAAAAGTATTTCAAGTTTGTTTGGATGGATCATGATTGAGAGGGAAAAAAAAATAAAAATAAAAAGCGGAACTGCAAGACGCAGAGCAGAGAAAGAGAAGTTGATGGAAATGCGTCGATGAGTGAAGAGAAGTATTAACGCCGGGTGCACATATGCACAGCCGCTTCGTTGCTGTCCGAATGGAAAGCGCTGGAACGGGATGTGGTGTGGAGGTGCACGGTCGAATGGAGATAATGTACCGACATGAAGAGGAAAGGGAAGAGCAAGAAGAGGATAGAAAAACAGCAATCTATGGGTAATCACCGCCGGACGAGGAATGCTAAGCATGAGAAACGGCAACAGGCAATGGAACAAGAAAGTCGAAGAAAGAAAATAAGCCGAAGATATGAACCGAAGGTCATGGGTAATAAACAAAGTCAGATTTTAGGGATTCGTGATCGTCGTGACTGCGGTCCCGGCCAGTGTGTCTCTCTGTCCATAGGGATGAGACGAGACGACAAGAAATGATCCGATAAAAGAATCATTGCGTAATCAGATCCTCCGATGACCCAAGAGAGTCGAATGGAGAGATGACAATCAGGTAAGGAACCCATGTCGTATCGTGAGGGTTGACCGGGACGTGCCAATATCGCCGCAGTGAGCGTCTTTTCCTCTTTTTTTTGGGGTTTTGAAAAGTTTTTCGCTTGGCCGACACGAACCAGCAAGTCGCAGAACAAAAAGTGTACTTTTCGGGTGTTGACGCGGAATTGCCGATCGCTCAAGTGTTGAGTGTGGGACAGCGAGTCAGAAGGAAGAAATAATCAAGGACTTGGCCAAATGGGGCGTAAACGTCGAATCGAACAGATAAAGCAAGAATCAACAAACGGTATCATCGAACAGAGAAATGAACAAAGTCGAAAGACAAATGAATACCCATGCAATTCTTCCCGAGCGTTCGAAAGTCGAGAATGTAAGAGAATAGAGAAGAAAAAATTCTAGAACCGAACAGAGAAAAGAAAAAGTAAGAGGCCGAAATGGAGACGAGACTTTTGCAACCTCTGTAAGAACGCCATGGCTCAAAAGACGGACGCTGTTCGTCTCGGATTTCGTCCAAAGTCATGAGATATAATCAGCAAGTATGCAACAATGAATAGAACACACAGAGACAAGCTTTGATTGCTCAGCCTGCAAGAATGGGCTGCAGCGCGGGGAAGGCGTTGTTGCACATGTAGTGTTCCATATGCTTGGCACAGTACATGCAGCCACAGGAAGAGCCGTGGCCAGTCCAGACACTCTGAGCGAACGGCAGGCCGTACGCCGGGGTGTGGTGGTAGGACGGGGGTTGCGAGCGAGGTGCGGACTGAGCAATATACCGCGGGGGTGGAGCGATCCAGGCCCCTTGTGAGTAAGGCGGCGGGGGGGTTCGAGAAGCCCCAGGGTCCGACAGAGTAGTAGTCGGGGGTGTTGGGGCCGCTGTGAGGAGCCGACGGCGGCGAGTACTCGGAGGCTGCAGGGTTGAGCCAGGAGTTCTCAATGTGCGAGCTACGCTGGTACTGCGGCGGGATAGGTCCCTCGGGGGACATGACTGGCTTGGCAACGGACTGGTGGTGTCGGACAACGTTAGTGTCGAGGGGTGACAGGGTCTGACGAGAAGACTCCTGAGCCCGAGCGTTGGCCTTTGCACTCCAGCTGTCCCAGTGTCGGCGCCACGAGGCGAACCCGTCTTGCTGATCGTAGATGCGGTCGTGGATCTTCCAGTCAAAGGCAAAGAGCCACTCCAGCTCCATCTTGTTCAGTTCAGCCACGGGGATGTTGCTCACTTCAGCCCACGATTTGTTCTGGAAGGTGTTATCATCCAAGAACTTGCTGCCCAGCAGCAGACCCACCGTCAACATACGGTAAATCTGGCCACTGCCAGACTGGAAGACCCGCTGAGCGGACAAGATGCGCATGCGGCTGGACATGTAGAACAGGCCCAGCAGAATAGTCGAGCTGGGTAGGCGAGTGGAGGACAAGATCTGGTAGACGTATTTCCGGAACTGAGGGGGCACGGAAGTTCCTGGGGAGATGCTTCGCGCGAAGTCAATATCTGAAAGGGTGATCTTGGTGTTGTATAAATCATACATTCCCTGGGTCATTTCCGCCACGAAGTCGGACATGCGATCCATCTCGTAATCCAGGTGGGCGGCGACACCTCCGGTAGCTTTTTCCTCCTTGCGGGATTGGTGCTGCTGTTCCTGCTGGTGGTGCTGCTGGTGCTGGTGCTGGGTATGCTCCTGGCGACGGTACTGCGGGGGGATGGCACTGTCCATGGGCGGCAGCTGGACGTTGGCCCGAATCGGGGGCAACGCGGTTGCCATTGGGCCATACATCGACTGCTGGTGGCCCATGGAGTGCATATCGCGTGTACCATGCATCGGATGCGCTGGGTGCATAGCCATCGCGTTCGGCTTAGCGTAAACCAGGGACTGCGAGTACTGTTCAATGAACTCAGAGCCGCTCTGGTGGTAGCGAGGGGGGAACGCGGTGTGACCAACCGGATAGAACGAGGGTTCATCCAGACGACCACCGCTGTTGATATGAGGAGGCGTGGGGGGGAGGCCGTGGCCTGGAGCGTAGAAGGATGGCATCTTGAAAAGGGGGGAGGGGGGATATAACCAGTTCAGGACGGGAAGGGATAGACGGCGTGATTTTCTATATCCGTCGCTAGATCGTCAGCACAATTGGCCAGGCCCGAGAAGCAGCACAGAGACACAGCTAAGACAAGTGACCGAAAGAAACTGATGCTAATCGAGTGAGAGTGAAGTGAACACGAACCGTCTACTGCTTCACCCAGCCCTGATCCTGGAGGGGAGGAGAGAGCGCTGCTCAAGGAGCGCGTCGCTCTGATATCGTCGTAGTGAACGTCTCTAGTTGAATGACATTGAGGGGGGAACTCTTCAATCAAACCGAGTGGACCGAAGAACAAATGAGAGAGAAGGAGCGTGGGTTATATGTTGGGAACAAGCCCTCGATAAATTTTCGGGACTGGTCTCTTGAGAAGGGTCGCAGTAGTCGAAGTTGAGCAAAAGATTCGAATCACACAGACACGGACACACAGACAGACACGACAGGTTAGGAGGAGGTGGGGGAGTAGAGGCGAGTTGGCGAACGTATCCCTGCACCGAACGTATAATTTTGGGGAGGGCTTCGGTGGAAGAAGGAGACGCGTTCACAGTAGCAACAGGGCGAACCCGCGGGAAAAGGGAGGAGAGGGGAAAAAAGAAGATCACAAAAAATGGAATTCCCTCGCGTAGAGGCAAACCTCACGAATGAGGTCAGCAACGACACTTAGTGAAAAGCTCGTTGGAAGATAGAGAGGTGGTTGAATAGGGGAGGGAGTGGGAAGAAGAGAAGAGGAGGAAGAGTAGCGGAAAAGGGAGAGGAAGAGAGAAGAAAGGTGGAGCAGAGAGACACACAGAGAGGAAGTAGTGCGCTGGACTGTGTGTGTGTGTGTGTGTGTGTGTGGGTTGACAATACGTGACATAATTACCATACACGGGTCTCGACTCATGGGAGACTTTTAGTCATTTTTTGGCGGTGGATTCCAGTACAGCGGATGTGTTGGGGAGTGGCGGGCGCTGTTTTGCCCGGGTTTTTTGCTGGTCTCCTGGTGGATTTTCTCCAATTTTCTTACCGTCACCGACTATTACCAACTGTCTTCTAGAGGGTTCATACATAGTCTGTAGTACTCCGGACTCTACGGATTATTCTCAGGGCCTTTCACCCGAAACCCAGCCGATCTCTCCGTCTCCGACTCATTACTTTTACTCTGCTAGCCTAATGAAAATATCAATTAGAGGTCTTTCATTAAGATCCTGCAGTTATGATGATATATTGTACAAGAATACTAGTGAATTAAACGGGTATACCCCGTATAGCCCGCCCACCTGGCATGAAAATCCTTAATCTACTTAATTTAGATAATACCAATCACAGTATCCTTAATTAATCCATCCATATACTTGTAATTACCTCATTGTCCCCAATGACAGCCCCCAAAAGTCTCTCCGGAATAGTAAGTCCTAGAAGGCAAAAAGAAAAAGAAAAAGCATCTACGTAAGTGTGTCCAGGCTTAGAAGAGTGTTAGCCACCCCCGGCAATACATCCTGCCCATACAGAAGGTACATATGTAGGTACTCCGTAGTCGTGAACGGGTGGCCATGACGGAGGGAGGACTAGTCACGTCTCATACAAGGTATGTCAGTCGCCTCCCTCCTGAGTGTCCTGCCCCCCGAAAAGTCTTCCCCCAAGCCTGTAAAAACCCTCATGCCCGGTGATGCAACGCCCGTGTCACTTAAACTAGTTAGCGTAGCAGAGGGGAAAAAATTCTAAAAAAAGGCCTAAGAGGAAAAAAAAAAAAAAAAAAAGCGGACCTTCACTCGTGCGGGCTCCACTTGACTAAGCTGGAAAGAAAAGTGGTAAGAATGGTTTTAGGAATTTCCAATCTTCCCAGTGTTAAAGTGTAATTAAAGGTAGAATTACGACTAGAGTACGCCAGCTAAAATACACTACGGGGCCCATTTTCTTCTTGCATGGGTCCAAGCGTTGCAGACTGACATTCCTGCCTGTTGCTGTTGCTGGGTCTACGGTGAAGTAAGGTCAATTCAGTCAAGAACGACTTTTGAGATTCACGATGATAGATTACAATCCATAGTAAAAATATCATGGGTATGTGAATCATCATGTCAGCCTCCTAGGAGATATCACAGACATAAGCAGGAAACCATGTCCAAGCCGTACCTCGGATCACCATCACCCCGTACAACCAAGCAAGGGCCGCCTGAGAGCCACCGATGACTGATGACCGGATGACCGACCGGATGATCGATGACTTGTTCACGGCCCCTCTAATTCCTGAACTCTCAAAACATTAGTTAGTTAGGTAACTACTGTAAGTGACTGGGTCTGACTCTCTGAGTCACCGAGTCTGGAAGTGATCCCTGCAGGGTGCATAGCGTCATGCCGCATGGTGACAGGAGGAGACGGTGTCTGATGAAAACGAGTGGCCGGAGAAGGCGGAGAGGGTCAGCGACTCTAAGAGGGTCGAGAGGGTCAGAGAGGGTCAGAGAGAGGGGGGCAACAACGCCAGTGTGTCGAACGGACGGGGGGCGGTGGACCAGTTCATTGCGCACGGGATGACTCCGTAGTTAGGCGTGGCTAAGAATTCATGTATGGAAGGCAAAAAGTATAGAAACATGAATACATTTCAGTGAGATCATGGTGATAGCTGCCTAGCAACGGATTATATTTTTATTTGGTTATTATTATTATCATTATTATTCTCTGCAGGCATCTATATACTGACGAGGCATGATGACTGCGGCTCCTTCGTATATCCAGCACTGCCAGTACCAGCCCCCAGAACTCCTATGTATATCCCCAGGTACCTCCATACCTACCTACATGTACGATATGTTCCAAATCACCTAGACAGTACTAGTAAATCCCGCATGCACTTCCCTCTCCCCAAACACCATTGGAGGTGTATCACTATATGATCCTTCCAATCAACCAAAGTGAACCTGATTACTCCCAATCCCCTCCCCTCTACCTAAGGTACGCCAGGCGCTTCCTCCACCTATAGTACAGCGCATACAGTATGTACATCCATCCTGTAGTCCAAATCACCCACCAAAAATCACTTGGGAACCCTTTCCCCATCCCTGCCCAACCAGTGGATCTAGAGCTAAAAAAGCAACCGTTTCCAATTCCAATCGTCCGGCTACATTCGGCCCAACCAGCTATTACCAACCACGAGGGAACAGGGAGTACTCTACGGAAGCAACGGGTACTAAGAACTTGTACTAGTATGTTAGTAACTGTAGTCATTGTCAGATTCAATCCCAACTCCGCTTTTTCTCTTCCTGCATCGGGCGTCGGGCAGAATATACTTCCCAACCCCGCCTAGGAAAAATCCGGGCAGTAGCATGCGCGACCCCGACCCCTCTCTATCTCCTGCCCAGCCCGGGTATATCGGTCGGTCGGACTAGAATGCAGCCGTTCCTTCGTTCCTTAGTACCTACTCCGTCTAGCCTAACTCCAAGGCGGGGAAGGCAATATGCAAACCCACTCCGGTTAAGTGTTGTCTGTACTGTACACCGTAGACTAGATTTGCATACTCCAACTAACTCCTCCAGACACGCCGCGGACCGGGATCGTGGTGTGGAGACGAGGCGTTTCAATTTCCTAAATTCCTCCAGTTTTAACCTTAGTGTTTCGACGTGGTACCTTGAAGGAATTGCCGGCGTCGTCGTCGTCGGAGGAGTTGGGGCCTGGGTCGAGGGGGCTCTGCATTAGAAATTAATCTCCGTTCCTTTTGATTACCTACCAGTCCGGGTCTACGGCAATTATACTATGGATCTTTCTTTTTCTTGCGGGTGTTTTGTGACTACTAGGTACCGAAGATAACTATACGATGAAGTACGTCAGGTATACCCCCATAATACTGCGTGTACTACCGGAGAAATATTCCCTTAGATATGCTTTGGTATTTTGTTTCTATCATGTTCAAGCTTTTGTGTATAACATGTACCCGCACCACCGGTCGAGGCTGTGCAATGGCACCGGATGAATTGATCTAGAGGGAAAAAAGCGTTCGGACAGTTAACCACAGGGACGGTGACTTGAAACTTTGTTCAGAGTCTAACAACAACCCTCGGCTCTCAACTCCCGGTGATTTCCCCAAGGAGTAACGGTAGTAGTGGTAGCGAACTACCTAACTGTCGTTAAACCAGAGGAAAATACAAGATGAAAACCGTATCCGCGCAACAAAAGAGGGGGGGGTGAAGAGGTTCCATGAACAAGGGGAGTGAAATAAATCCAAAAATTGGTTCAGGCGTCTGCCTGCCAGAACAGAGGGATATCATTAAGATTCGAACGAACCCAGACGCAAACAAACAAGGTAAAGAAAAATGACATAGACTCGTATACTCGGAGAGATCGTCAAGGGAGGGGGTTTGGGAGGAGGGGGCACACAAGAGAAACCCATTCCATTCCAATCCAATCCCTCCCGGCCGAGCACTTCCAGGGGTGATGGGGTTGGTAAATTCCAATCAACTCCCGATCCAGCGCTCATCACAGTCCTGTTCCAATCTCGATGTGATGCCGGGCATCACAGAGCCGAGACGAAATCAGACACAAAGCTAGAGGTTCTCGATGTGGGAACTCTAGAAAACACATCTCGGGCGGCAGAACAACACCTCAAATAGGCCGTGCTGTCTACTCGTCTTTCAGGCTTCCCACCAGGTTGCGCAACACATCCATAATAACCGCTTCGTCCTTGGGTTCGCCGCCAGGGAACGAGCTCTCAGTGGCATTGCCCAGGACCCGGGCACGCGCACTGCGGAGGACCTCCCGGATGTAGTTCTTATCCTCGTAGTCTTCCATGAGAACATTCTCAAAGTCGTCGATAGCCTTGTTGGCGCGCTCAGTAAACGAGGGAGATTCCGGAGCAACTGGTGGAGGACCAGACTGCATAGAATGATGCTGCGGCTGGTGCTGCGGTTGGTGCTGCGGTGGCGGTTGATGATGGTGCGTTTGAGGTCCTGGCGGTGGAGGATGTGGTTGATGTGACTGGTGATGCGGTGGTGGCACATGCTGATGTGGTGGAGGAGGTTGATGCGAGTTTTGTTGGTGCTGCTGATGTTGCAACTGGACCGGTTGTTGGATTGAGTGCTGGTGCTGAGTTTGATATTGCGGCACAGCGGGAGGAGGATAGGCTTGGGATTGAGTATTGATATGTGGCTGTGGAGTGGAAGGTGCCTTTTGTGGAGGTGGGTAAGGGGAGTGATGCTGCTGCTGCTGCTGCTGCTGATGTTGCTGCGGTGGCCCTGAAATTGGCGGTGGCTGTGGCTGCGAATTCTGCGGAGGCGGTTGTTGCTGTTGAGGAGCCTGCGGAGGCGGGTTGGAGGCGTAGGGAGAGGTATAAGTTCCTGGGGTTGTCCGAGCAAAGGCAGCTGGGAGGTTCCCACGAAGAGCACTTGGGATAGGGAAGGATGCGGGGGCAGGTGCAGGTGCAGGAACATGAACAGCAGCCGGAGCTGTACTCTGAACCGGAGTTGGCACTGATGATGGCGCTGGTACGGACACAGGTGCAGGTGCAGGTGCCGGTGCAGGTACGGGCGCAGGCGCAGGCGCAGAAACTTGAGGTACAGCGGGCGCTGGCGCGGAAACTGGAGGAGCAGCAGTTGGAGCGGGAGCAGCAGGAGGAGGAGGGACAGTGGAGACTGGAGGGGGTGCATATGGGCTAGTATGCTGTTGTTGGGGAGGCGCTGAAGCTGCAGAGAAGGAGTTGGCAGATGGAATCGAAGGGAACTGGAAATGCTGATGCTGATGCTGGTGCTGGTTCTGCATTGGAGCAGGCGCACCCGTTGGTGGTGCATACGAATGCGGCATTGGAGGCATGTAATGCTGAGGAGGCGGCACCGATACAGGAGGTTGCGGCGGCGGAGGCGATGGACGTCTCTTCTTCTCCTTTTCGACAGATGCGCCAGGGCGAAGTTGCCAGGACCAGCCCTTGCCATCTCGCTCGGCATGCATGAACAAATGGCTGTTACCATTGAGATTGTGTCGCACACTGGATGTCCATCCTTCTGTCTCACATTTGAAGCGGAAGTATGGATATTTCAGTTTCAATGCACGGTAGATCTGCTTCAGCGTCATCGGGTTCCCAGCTTCCGTCAGAGCATCAAAGATCAGGACAGCGTAGTTGTAAGGCGGCTTGGCCAGATCCTCGGGAGTATATGCAGACTCTGGAGGATAGTTGGGAGACGGAGACCGCGAGGGTTTTCGCTTCTTGACTGGTGGAGGCTTGACGTATTCTTCCGGTCGTTGCTCGGTCGTAAACTGGCCTCCTTCTGTTGAAGGCAGAGGAAAGTCCATACCATCGCCCTTCTTCCTCTTAGTGTACTTGCGCTTCTCGGCGGGCTTTGCGGAAGACGGCGGTGATTCGGCAACAACCGACTCCTTGACAGTCTTTCCAGCCTTGCTTGTTGGGGGCTTAGGTGGAAGGGCAGGGGGCGGCGGAGTGACACCACCGTTGGCCTCCCGCTTGGCAGCCATCTTCTGCTCCCTAGCCAACTCGGCTCTTTCACGCTTGGACATGATGCCATCCTTGGGAGGACGACCAGGACCCCGGCGACGTGCAGGTTGGCCATCCCCGCCAGCCTCAATGGAAGCCAGAGCCTTGGACGAATCGGAGTCCCTGGTCTTGAGGATAATCTTGGTCACCTTGGAAGAAGGCTCCCTGCTCTCACTATCACTGAGAGGCTTGTCTGTGTCATCGATCTCATGCTCGGCATCGACTGAGCCCTGATCACCCTCTTCTTCCTCGGCGAGTTGCTCCTCCATACGATCCGCACCAGTCTCACCAATGGGAACATCTGGAAGCAGGAATCGAATGCGCACCCCTCCAATTTGAATGTAATCACCGCTGTGCAATGGCCGGACTTGGCCAGGGGACAGCCAGTCAGCACCGATAAAAGCTCCATTGCGGCCCATGACTTCCATCTCAAACAAATTGCGATCAAAATTGTAGGCAATACGGACATGCCGGCGAGAAATACCACGGTGGCCTGCTGCCGTACCGTCAATTGTCGAGGGAGGATGAATAGGAATGGTCGGACAAGAATCAGGCGATGGGAGGAGAGCCAATGTATCAACCGGTTTAGGATCACCATTTCCTTCTTGGAGGCTCTGCATGGCGAGGGCATTGTAGTCGGTGGACGCCTGTAGTTGCGCCGGGTTGGCGTGTAGCGGCACCACTGATCCATCAAAAGAGGATTTTGATGATCGTCGGTTCATATCCAATTTACCGGGCATGTTGTTGCCAGAGAGGTTGGGAGGAACGTCCGGATCAAAGCCCATGATACCTCCACGGTCGCTGACTACACTGCCCATCATCGCAGCGCTCTCTTCTCGCTTCATTCGATTAGGCGTATGAGAAGTATTACCACCGCTTGAACTCTTGGCCCGAGAGCTTCGCACGGCCTGCCGATACTGATACTCTCGCTGATGCGCAGCGCGCGCTGCCCGTACATCACGACCCAGAATGAATGAGTAGGTGTTGCAATAAAAATGCCCATCATCAAACTCCAGCTTCGCAAAGGCCTGGATTCGAGGTTCTGATCCAGCCACTGAGGTCGATCCATCCTGGTACCCTAGAGCTGAAAGATCGGCGCTCTGTGAGAGATAAGCTGCGGTGAGTATTTCGTTCTGTTGGAGGGCCTCGAGGGCGTTTTTCGGGGTGACGGCGAAATCGAAGGCAGGGAGCAAAGACGGTTGTTGGTCGAGGTCCGTCTTTGCGTGGTTCAAAGGATCGGAGAGATCCATGGCAACGGATCCTCGATGCTCCGTGTGAGTTCCATCCTGCGGCGTCGCATCGAGTTGCGCAAAGATATCATCCGTAGATTTACCCCCATTCGACATACTTTGCATCCCTGCCGAAGCCGAGGTCTGTTGTCCATCCTGCGGCAGATTGAGCTCGAACGAGAAATCGTTGTTCAAGTCCATCTTTTGATCCATCTGATCATCTTCGTCGCCCATTTTCAACTCCTCCTGGTGCCCTGACCCTGTCGCTATCCCCGTTCCAGTCTCTGTCGTTGGTGACCCGTTTGTCGGGACAGAATTCGTCGGCGCAGATTGATTCCCGAGGAGTTGGGCGAGTAGCGCACCTGCGGCGGACTGCGTGTTGATATTCTTCTGAGTTTCCGACCCGGCCAGGTCCTGAGGCTCGACAGGTTCCATCTTGATTCCGATTGGAGTGGCGGACAAGCCCTTGGAGGTTGGGGCAGAATTATGCTGCATGTCGCGGATTGCGGAGTCGCTCCTAGAGTCGGTCGGAGGCGAAGGGTTGTTCGGAGAGCCGCCATAGTCGTACATGGGCGTATCGGGGCCTGGGTCAGGCGGTCGATGGCCCACTGCTGGCGCCGTCATGGTCTGCGACGACATGGCTCTGGAAGGAGAGGAGAGAGAGGAAGAACAAAAGCCGAAGTTCTCGCTCTCTTGGGGGCCCGGGCGGTGAGGGCCGATTGCCCGGTTGGTGGCTGCAGAATGCCGTAGAGTTGGGACGTTTTTTCTCTTCTGTCAGACTAACCTTGTAATTATTTCCATGATATAAAGAGGTTGTTTGGTAAGCGAAGAGAGTTTAGATTCTAGTCATTACAGTGAATCTGGAAATAAACCAATCTTGTTTCTTTTCCCCCTCTCTCTGGCACCAGACGATCCTCCGGGTCAAATTTTCTCTGCCGCCCCGCTCCTCCCGATCCACCCAGTTGGGTGCCTGGTTCCTCACCGATTGGAGATGGGGATCTATGACAGTCCAGCCATTCATCTACTAACAACAACAGGATTCTATATACTTTTGTTTATACTTGATATTCTAAAAGGACAATCTCAAATTACACAGAAAATAGTCTAGTAAATTGATCTTCAATTCATGCCCGACGGAAAACCAAAAGTGGAGTCAACCCCTCTCGCAACATCCAGTGGCTTGCCTCCGCTGCAAGACTCGGAACGTATACTCTTTAGCTTAAACCCCGACGATCAACTCGCATCCAAGTCATTCCAATTGAAAGACCCCACGTGCAAGGAATCCTCAAACCCATATAATATAATCAAAATAGAAAACAGTATTTAGGTTTATACCTGATAGTGCTTTTAATCTGGAAATAGAAAGAGAACAAGAGCGGAGTACACCCGTTGGAGAAGTTCCCCCCAAACCAAAAATCACCTGCACAACCCGAGTCCCAATCTTATCAGCACCACAATCCATCCATCATCCCTCACTCTATTTCCTCTACCCCTCCTCTCACAATATTCCCCTTCACCACTCTCTAACCAAGTCCAGTCCACCTCCAACATGCCCAAACCAAAGAAATCCGACCCCAAACCCCCTCCAACCCGCCAACCCCTCCCCACACAACCACCAAACTGGCCACCCCTCCGTCCCCTCCTCCCCACAACAGACCTACACCTCACCCCCCTCGTCCCCGACCAGATCTACCTAATCCGCAATTTCCTCCCAGCAACCCTCTGCAAGACCTACGCCTCATTCCTGTCAAACCTCCCGCTGACGACGACACCCGGCCGGCCGAAGAAGGACGAGGCTGTACGTGTGAATGATCGGTTTCAGGTGCAGGATGCGAGGTTTGCGGAGATGTTGTGGGGTGGGACGGCGTTAAGGGAGTTGGTGATGGAGAGGTTTGATGAGGATGAGGAGGAGGAGGATGGATATGAATATGAAGATGGAGATGGAATTGAAGATGAGGGTAAAGGAAGGGAAGAAGACGAACAAGCCAAAGCAGACAAGCTTCGCGAGACATGGGGTGGACGACCACTCGGGTTGAACCCAAATATACGTATCTACCGTTACTCAAAGGGTCAATTCTTTGCTCAGCATTGTACGTTCAATCATTCTACTTCCAATTCCTATTCCACCTTCCACGTTCCTTTCCATATACTCGACTCTACCTACCTACTTTACAATCTCCTACTCCCATATCACACTCACCACTCACATCCAATTCTCTCTACAGACGACGAATCCAACACCCTAACCTACAATCCCCCTCCCCCTCAACCACAAAATCAAAATCCACCCCGGCCCTCACAACCTGGACCCTCCTAATCTACCTAACAACCTGCACGGGCGGCGAAACAGTCTTCTACCCGGACGCGACGCGCGCGAACCCGAATCCAGAATCGATTGCGGTAGCCCCCGAGGTGGGTATGGCGCTTTTGCATCGGCATGGAGATCGGTGTATGGTTCATGAGGGGAGGGTGGTGGAGGGTGGGGAGAAGTGGGTTGTTCGGAGTGATTTGGTTGTTGCTAGATAATTAGAGATGAATATTCATAGGTAGGGTTGGATTGGATTGGGAGAGAGGGGTTGGATATGGATGTGGTGGATGAGTATGGTGTTTGGTGCAAGGTTGGGTTATCAATACTGGGAGGGAGATGTGCATTTTGGAGTTTGTGTTTAATTGCATTTGGAGAGCATAGATAGCATAGCATGGCATACATACAGTGATTCGACTTCGTTTCTAGAATATTCCTCCCACTTTGTGAGAACAATGACCATCTAATTTCTACAGCAGACACAGGATACAGTGATAATATCAAAAATGACTAAATTCTAATTCAATTTGCGCAGTCCTGCGAATACAGCAGACCCAATCAAATAATTCAAAGAGCAAGCCAGCAAGGTACGATAGTGTAACAAGATGATATACCTAGTCAGCGAGGGGCGGACACCAAGCTGAAGGCGAAACGTAACCAAAAAAAAACAAAAAGAGATTTGTAGATACAGGAAGTGTGGTAGTCATAAAAGAGAACGTAGTCTGATCAATATTGGGGGTCTGGCGGGAATCCGAGGGGAAAGAAAAGAAGAGAGAGTCGTGTAACATGAAACTGGAAATTAATAGCACGCAGAGGTGGTGAACAATCAAACTTTGGAATCAATATAAGAATGAGAATGAGAATGTCGAAAGGTGGACATAGAAAAGAGAGGGAAACAGCCCCCCTCCCAGGCCACATACATCCAATTCAATTCCGTCTTTTTGTCTTCCCATAGTCCATTCGCTTTCGTATCATATCACATTCATTTGGACACGGGGGTGTTGGCTGCATCCAATTGATACTCCGTTCGACGCATGATATCCTCCACCGGTCCTAACAGTCGCTTGAATCCGTCCCGACCCAATCGGGCAACCTTGACATCAGTCTTGGTGATGATGCTGGCCGCCCGAGGCTTATCATCCAGCAAGGCCAATTCACCAAAGTAATCACCACGGGAGTAGTTCTTCACCGACACACCATTCTTAAAGGCCTCGGCTTCACCAGCTTCCAAGAGGTAGAAAGCGTCGCCAGGGTCGCCTTCAGTGATGATGGTCGCCCCGGCGGGGTACTTGATAGGCTCCAGGGCATCGGCAATCTTAGAACGCTCATAGGGCTTGAGGGAGGAAAGCAGAGGGACTTCTTCGAGAAATGCCTCATACATGCGGCGCCGCTGGAAAGCCGAATCCATGAGAATACGTCGGAAGGTGATCCGGTCCAGAGCCCAGAGGGTGCTCTTCGCGTCGGTGGAAATCACAGTCGCGGCACGAGGAGCATTGTACATGAGGGCCAATTCACCAAAGGAACCACCAGGCCCAGTGGAAGTTACCTTGTTGCCCAGACCATCAGGTCCTGGCTGCACGGAGCCTGAAGGGTGGATGTAAATGTCAAAGTGACCCTTCTCGACAATATAGAAGTAGTCGCCCGCATCGCCCTGGGAGATCACCTTGATATCCTTTGCCGGGATGGGTTTCTCAACTAGAGCGTCCAAAACAGTCTTGAATTGGTCGTCGTCCAGGTGAGAGAACAAGAAATTGTTGCTGACCGCAGTCTTCAAGCGGGCCAGCTGGTCCTCGGTCTTGGGATGGTGCGGAGGTGTCCAGCTATCCGATCCCGCAGACGTGGGGTTCAATGACTCTGCCGACACCGAAGTTCGCCGACCCAGCGCATAGTTGTTGGGAAATCCGTGGTGTGCTGAACCAGTCGGGAGTGCAGCGGGTTGCTCATTGTCGCCACCATCTGCCCCGCCTCGAGGCCCCGAGTCAAAAGGACTCCGGCCAAAAAGTGAAGCTCCAGCACCTGTTCCGGCTGGTGAACCGCCCTCTGCAAATGCACTTCCTCCAAAGATGGCCGCGCCACCGGTGTTGGCCTGTTTGAATGTCACATCGGTTGGTGACGTCACCTCGAATTCTTCCTCCTCTGAGATTTTCTGAATGTTGGGGTTTTTCTCTTTGGCGCTAGTGTCGAGGAAGGGGTTAGTCCCCGGGAAAGAGTTTTGTGCCATGACTGTATAGGCTGTAGGGGCCGGAGAGGCCGCCACTCCGGCCACGGTGAAGGTGGATGAGGAAAAGGGAAGTGGGGAGAGAGGGAGAAAGCGTCGGATGGAGACCTCGTCGCGGGGTAGTGAGGATGGTTGATAGCTCTGCAAGGAGGAGGATGTTAGGAGGTTTTTGCAGACCTGATCAGGAGAGCTTGTGCCGAGAAATAATTCGGTAATAACTTGGGAGAGATGCAGGTGGACGGGAAGGTGCAGAGTTAAGAAAGAGGCGGCAACCAGAAAGAATGGAGGGGCAAGTTCCGGTCCAGCAGTGAGGGGGGTGAGTTGGGTGGATGACTCTAATTGGGAAAGGAAGAGGCTATGAAAGGGTGCTAGTCTGTTGTTTCGGGGGCTCTGCTGGGATCATATCTGGACCTTGCCACGAGCTGCAGCGGGGCAAGAAGAATGAAAGAAAAGCGATACTGACCTAAAGTGTAGTGAAAGGAGAAGAAAGCAAGGTGGGTGAATGGGCCGAGAATGGGCTTGCGAGAAAGCCAACAAAAGAGCCCAGTTCAAGTTCAAGAGAAGCAGTATGGAAGAAAAGAAGGAGAGAAAAATGGAATGAGGCAAGAGGTGGACAGAAGAGAGAGGGAGGGAGGGGTAGCCTGTTGGTAGCCAAAGAGGAGTAAAGTTGGGGCGAGTTGGTCTGAGCTTCTTCTCGTCGATCATCCTCAGTCTACCGTGTCGACCGTCTAGTCTATTAACTATGTACTACTGGCTAGCAGTGTCGACTACTGTGCCTACTGCCTAATAGTACCATTCGGCTCTCCCCCTCCTCTTCCCGCACTCCTGTCAACGAATCCGAATCGATGGACGAGTTGATCGACGTCACTCATTCCCATCTTAGGGCACTGCCCGTCTCCGAGTGGATGGGCAAGCTTGTAGCCGAGACTATAGGCTCCAGACGAGAAACTATAGAATGGTGGGGAACTCTATCATGGCTGAAAGGAAGACTTGGGAAGACCGATGGAACCAGGTGAAGCACACGACCCTGGCTGCGACCTAGAAAAAGCTTCGTCACGGGGGGTTCCAGGTGTCTTCTAGAACACCTGCGGGTTCCGAAGGAAGATGATCGGTGCACTCGAAGGTGACGGTGGCAAGAACTCCACCCAGTGTCCGTAACAAGTACAGTATCTAAGAACCTTGTACATTTCATACTTTTTAAGTGGTGTTCACCATGACAGGGAAGTGTGGACGATGGCGCAAGGTACGATACTACGATGGCGAATTTCTATCTGAGCTACGGGGAACCTATAGGCGACCAGGACTCAGGAGAAGGTCGAGGTGGTCATGACTCTTGAAGTCATGCATTTGCCCCGACAGAGCCGTTTCCGGGCGAGCTTGGCCCACTTGGGTCCAGCCTATGGCAGTGGATTTAGCCATCCATCATTAAGTAAGTCACATATGACTCGAGGGATAGATTCAATTTACAGCAAAAAATAGCTTCTAATACTAGCACCTGGTCAATGGCTGTTATTTTCTTTTTCTACAGTTTTCTCAACCTGACTATTATCTTTTCTACTACACGTTTGCCTAGGCTACTCGTCTTAGTTACTACTGTAGTAATCGGTTGACCGGGCGGGTAGTGTCGATCGGGCCTGTTCGTTAGGGAGCACCAACTCTGGGATCAAACTTTCATCCCTCCAGTACTCCGTACATACAGTATTATTGAAGGAACTCTGTTCTATAATGCGTCATCAATGCAGCCCTGCAAAAATTCTATCCTTCTCGTTTCCCCTTGCCTTCAATAGTTTTTACCTGTGAATTATTTTGTGCAGTCAATTCTTGCCATACCTGACTAGCCACAACACGGTCTAGAAGGAGAAAGTTCAAGCCACAATCCCACTCGGGTGAGGGCAGCTCTAGACTAAGCAGACCCAGCTCGACTAACGAGCTATGGGGATGAACTTAGCGGTGTAGAATTGCGATGAATAGATGCCTAAGCACAGCCTTGTTGGATCAATGAGACTCGGGTCCATTCATTATTCCGTTATCTCCTTAATCACACCTTTGTAGCCCTCAATTATCATAGCTAGTAAATTAGCATGCTGATATATGAGGTTGATTCTAGGATAAAGTACCAAGTAAGCTGGGTTCGTCTGTGCATGGCCTGTGTCACACCCCCACCCGAAACTGGGCGCGAAGCTTGGAAACTCAGCGCTTTCTTGCCCCAAACTCCCTTCTCTTTTCCTTTTCCCCCCTCCCAACCAATACTCTACCCACCTCTGCCCCTTTCTCACCCTGACGTGAGGCAGCTGACCATCCAATTCAGCCGCAATGGGGACTTTTACCTTCAAATGGTGAGTTTGACCCATGCGATTGGCAAACCGGGGAACACTGGGAGGGCTGGCTCGTGAGCTTTTCTAGCGCCCGAGACAAGAACCCTCCGAGATCCCGCTTTCCATACGCAACATGAGTTCGAATCTTCTCCCTCGTGGCACAGACACACAGCTAGGGCTGGAGCGCTGACTGGTCGGTTCCTCGCATTTGCATGTAGGCCTCACAGTGCGAACGAGGTGTTCGTCACCGGTACATTCGATGATTGGGGTAAGACCGTGAAACTGGACCGGGTGGGCGACATCTTCTCCAAAGAAGTCGCATTGCCTGCAGACAAGAAGATCCAATACAAGGTAGGCGCCAGTTCTTTTTTTTTTTGTGTGTGCCCCTCCGGAGAACCTCTGAGCCCTTTCAATTGTCCCGTCTTTCCAAGCCTCCGTCATCATTTGTGGCTTGCGCGCATAGATAAAACCGTTGCGGTGAGCATGAACAGCCTCAATTTTCAGGCCGATTTAGGCAACCCCCCAGCTTTTCCATGACGCTTCATTTTACCGCTGACGTCATCCCCGCCCCCTTCTTCCCCTCTCCCCTCTTTCCTCTTAAGGGCCAAAACTATAAAATCACGGGCGAAGCGCCACACTCTCGGAGGGGTACTCCCGTTTTTCCTTTGAACTGATCTTGCTAACCGTGAGGTCTCAAGTTTGTTGTTGACGGCACTTGGACCACTGATAGCCACGCTCGAGAGGAAAACGACGGACACGATAACATCAACAACGTGCTGCTTCCCGAAGACATCCAGACCCAGACCCAGACCCAGACCCAAGATCCTGCCACCCACGACGTCACCACACCTACCATCATGTCTGGTGTGACCCCCGATTCCACCACGGCGGCCCTCACTGCCCAGGTCCCCAAGGAGCAGCCCAATGGTGGCCTACCGGGAGCCTTCCCTGACACCCCGGGACAGGAGTCCGACCAGATCCTGTCTGTCAATCCCATTCCCGCCTCCGGTGGCTATGGCAACCCGATCAAGTTGGCCCCGGGCGAGAAGGTCCCGGATCTCAGCTCCATCTCGGGCAACACCGTGGATTCGACCGTAAAGCTGGACAAGGAGTCATATGAAAAGGGCGACAGTGTGCCGCTCGGCAGCGCTGGCACTCAGAGTGATACCGCCGGCTCCAGTGCTTTCACCGTGCCTCCAGTCACCAAGAACCTCATCCCCGAATCTAGTCTCCCCATGGGTGGTCCTGCTCAGCGGGCTGCCCAGGCCGATCAAACCCAGACCAGCATTGGTGGCCCTGCCCAACAGGCCGCCATGGCTGACCCCGGCTACACGATTCAGTCTGCGGCACCTACCTCGACTACTGCTGCCCTGGCGGCCGAGGTCCCTTTTGAAAAGAACAAGCAGACTAACGGCACTGCCGAGCCTGCTCAGAGTGTTCCCCAGGTGGTGAAGGACTCAATTGCCGAGGCTCACGAGAACCCCCGAGGCGGCTGCCAACAAAGAAGCCGTGGAAGAGAAGAAGGCCATGGAGAATGAGCTGCACAAGACTGTTGCTGTCGAGCAATCTACCGGTGCTCCGGCACCGACCACCGCTGCTGTGCCTGTCACCGACGTCCCTCAGATCGTGAAGGAGTCGATCGCTGAGTCCCACCAGAACCCCGAGGCGGCTGCTAACAAGGAGGCTGTGGAAGAGAAGTCGGCAGTGGAAAGCGAGCTGCAGAAGACCGTTCCCGTGGAGGAGTCTGCCGGCGCCCCAGCTCCGACCACTACTGCTGCTACTGCTGCTACCGCCCCCGGTGCTAGCCTGGCTGTTCCCCCAATCGACTCTACCGATGTGTCTCCGACCTCTACACCTCCCCCCGGCCGTGTTGCCCCCACCTCTGCTGCACCCACCTCCGAGCCAGCGCCCACCGAGACCCAGACTGCACCGGTTGTGACCACTGGCGTGGCTACGTCCGAGACGGCCGCCAAGTCGACGCCCGAGCCAGCCCAGCAGTCCGCCAATACCTCCGGTGCTGGTGAGATTAACGCCAAGGAGGAGAAAAAGAAGAAGCGCCTGAGTGGATTCTTCAGCAAGCTCAAGGAGAAGCTGAAGTAGATGGATCATACTCGCACTCTACTCTTCGAATTCCTCCGATGACCGTTTGTCTTTTTTATGGGTGGACACATCCCCTTAACTGCTAGCTGGCTTTTAGACCGCGACGCTAAAGAAAGCTGGAAAAAGAGGATCTTGTTTGTGAATTTCGTCGAATGTCTCGTTTCGACAAGTCGGCCGACGATACTTGTGACGATTTGTTTTGTTTTATTCTTCTCCTTCTTGCGCCTTGTTATATTTTGATCTGGATACCTCATCTGCACTGCACTGCTCTCGCCCTCTCCGCATTGTATTCCAGCAAGCCCTGTCTGTGATTTACTCTGATTGCAAGTGTTTACTCTACCCTAATACTGGTTTAGTTTAATATCTCTTCCTGGTATTTTCTCTGCTCATGATCAAGGAGTAGTTTGTAAAAGGTGTTATTCGTATTTCCGTAGTTCCTGATACCATAAGTCCTAAATGTAAAATCGACCCTGACGCCTGTTCCGTTCCATATCCCTGCAATCGGATCTGTCCAATTCGGACCTTTATATCGGTCTCACCAGCTTCCATGCCCCCGTCAAAAGGGTATAGCATTACTAACTTTCCCATTGAGTTTCACCGGATAACCCAGGACACTAGTAATTTTTCCCTTGTTAGCCCTATCTTCGCTTCGAGGGAAGGAAAGGGGAGTATTTAGGGGAGAAAGATCATACTCTCGACCTGTTTGTGTACACCCACAACCACAGAAAATCGATGCCGGCCAACAAATCACCTGTCAAATATCACACGGTGTTAGCAACCTGCTAGGGATGTACTGGACGGACTGGACTTGAAAGGTGTATGCGCGGATGTTACTCGGAGGAACATCTTTGAGAATACGTACCGCTGCGACGATAGTACAACAAAATCCTTTTCGAGGAGAAAGAATATGTCAGTATCGCATTCCTTTCCTTTTATTCGCGCGTAATTTGAATAGCAGGAAATTAGGACAAGAAAGAGAGCGGGCATATAGACATACCCAACGTCGGTCCAACGACCTTACAATGACACGGATTCTGATCAGTGCCGCATTGGAAACAGATTGGGAAGATGGGGAAGAAGGGTACGTCGCACATGTTGGATATGCGATGTGATGCGATTCGTGTGGGATTAAGATAATTGTCCCAATTCAAGTCAAGGACGCCTCTGGTGCAGATTGTGTCGCCTTTGTAATGCAGGGAATGAGTGGCAGATTGTTCAATTCAATTCAATCTGCTGTAAGCACTAGAGCATAGTATAGTATAGTATCGTGTATCGGGGTTAATTCAATTAAAGATTAAAGATGAAATTGAAGATTAGTTTATTCATGAATCGACATCCGTTCTCGATCTTGTCCTGTAGAACCGGCTTCGTCGAGTTGAGTTTGTGAGAGTTCTATAGTATCATGATGACGCAGATGAAGACTGTGGTCCACCGATCGGCCCGGTTGGTTTTGCCGTGGGGTAGGTAGTTGTGGGCACATGGGTGGTCTGTGTGGGTTTGGAGGGGTGAAGAGAGATTATTGTATGAGATGATTTCAATACGAATGTTAGGATAGCGTGGTTGTGATTGCTCTGATTTACTTCGTTGATGATGGTTGGCTAGATAGCTCGGGTTGTAGGCTGCCGAGTCTGTGGGTAGTGTCTATCGGCGTTATGGTGGTCTATGTGTGCCAGATCCGGCAGTAATAAAAGAGATTGGTATCGATTACAAGTTATTTTGTTGTTATGTAGGAGAATTAAGTACTATTGCATGCTATTTGAATCAATGTGGTCCACTATATTAAGAACGATCTAGCCCTTGTAAAGAGTACGAGAGGGAAGCCTCAGGCCCGAGGGTGCCAAGTTGGGTAGGCGCATAATACTAGAGCAAGTGTAATATAGTCTCTGCGTAATAAAATTAGAATTAGATCGCTGTGGGAATGCAAATTCATGGCTCTAGAAAAGGCTACATGGTAGAAAGTACTTTCAGAACTAAATCAAGTCCGAGCTCAACTTCGTATGAATGGCACGGTGAATGATTGATAGTCCACCAGGAAATAGCTCGGTATAGGGCATCATCGTACATCGTGGCGTGACGCATTGCCTTGGACGTGGACGAATAATAAGCAGGGAAAAAACAAATGTACATCAGAAAAAGAAAAGAAAATGCAGGACATATAGAATGAGCATAGACGAAAAAAAGTCCGAGACCATGTCCATGTGTTGCATCAAATATACCATGCTGAAGAGCAGAAAGCAAAGATAATGGTATGTTTGTATAGCCGGGTGATTTGGCAGAGAGACCGGCCTTGAGAAAGGAAAAGAATGGAAGATATTGACAGGAACCAGTCATGTCGCGGATGGAATTTCGTAGGCTGGAGCTGCAGTCGAAACGGATTACTTCGAGTGTCTGAAGAAATGAGTAAAGATGTTAGATAAGTCTGAGTACACCAGACTCGAAGCAATAAAAGACTTTACTTACGGCTTGCGCTTCTCAACACCCTCACCCGCCTTTTCTCCCGACATATCCCAAAGACGACTCTTATAAGCCGGGAACTTGGTCTGGTTCCACATGTTGACCAGGACGCTAGAATGAACAAACTCGTTAGTTTTGAGGATCCAAGGAGAATTCAGAACGGAAGAAAAGCTAGCTGGTTCTCACCTCTGCGTCCGATCCTTGTACTGCTCATCTTGGATTTCCTTCACTCGAACCTTCATCCCATCCTTGGTGAAGGCGATGTTCTTGCGTTCCATTTTGGCGCGCGTATTCTTGCTCACATCTTGAACGATTGTGTACACGACATAGCCGACGACGGCAAGGACTGCGACGAAGAGGAGGAGTAGGACAAGGGGGAGAATGTTGCTACCCTTGCTCTTAGACTTGGCCATGGTGGATGGATAGGGATTCTGGTATAGAGGTAGGGTAAGGTTTCGAGAAGAGTGCCTAGTAGGGTGCTGCTCAAGATAGGGCCGATAAGGTCTGTAGGGATGGTGGACGTGGCGTGGCGTAGAAGAAGTCTGTCAGGACTCAGCCTTAATGACGCCGGAGGGTGGAGTCTTTAAAGACGGTATGGCGCCGAGGAAGAGGGAGGGCCAGCGAGTGTCGTGTGCCAGAGTGGATGCAGGCAGGGCTTGGCCAAGGTTGTCTCGGCGCGTTTTATGATGCTGCCTGGTAAGCGAAAATAGTTTGTGCAAGTGAGAGAAGAGAGAGAAATAAATGCGCTAAGTCATTTGTCGAACTCGCAAGGATTCTCAAGATAACTGGCTGAAACTAGGCGAAACGAATCTTCTGCTGGTCAGGGGCATTTCCCCCTCTGAACCGAAGAACAATCCCTCCCCCTGTGACGTTGATTCGATTGGGGGGTTAATCGTGGCTGTGCTTGGCACTTCTAAATGAGGCGCAGTCAACGAGGTGGCTTGACAAAACTTGTGGGTGCCTGATTCTGCAGGCGGGCCCGGTCGAGTTATTAAAACCAAGTCTCTTCAATATGTTCTTCTCTAGGATTTATAATTGGAAGAAGACACTCGTGTCTTTCAGAGATAACCATGAAGTTGGAAAAATATCCGGGGATCAGTACTAACCCACCAACCTGTATCGATCTGGGATGGTTTGGGACTATCATCGACATGACTTTCCAGCAGTTGTTAGCCTAGCATGAGAAATAAGGAACATCTGTAAAAGCCTACAAAGTAATGACCAGGTTACATTGAAGATCTTCTTTTTGTTGAGGATATCACAACAAGAATTATTAAGATATGTATGTAGTATCTAGTATAACATGACTACCAACTGACAGTCTGCCTTGTAAGAAACGCCAATAGATGACAAAAAGATCAAAAGGAATAAAACTGGCTCGGCATGGCATGCGTCAAGTGCCGTTGTAAATCGTGTAAGGGTGGCGTATATAATCAAGGTAAATCCGATCCCAAAAAACGCCATCTTGAAAATAGAACACATAAGGAGAGTGAAGCGAGACAGAGGGTATAAGCCGTATATACTACTCTCGCACTCAGATAAACAGCGAGTGCGAGAGTTCGCGCGCGCAAAGAGAACAACAAGATTAGGGCTTGGAAAGTTGCTCCTTCCGGAAGAAGAGCAGGAAGCCGGCGCTGTAAATTAATTGTTAGTGATTGTTTCATGCAGGCGACATGTTGGAGGAATAGCTTACCAGACAAGGAGCTGACAGAACAGGGCGACCCAGAACCAGGCATTTGCCAATTCATGGGCACCCTTGGTCATGTCAGGGGATATAGGTCCCGGGCCAACGCTGTTAGGACCGAAGGCTCGGGCACAGATGGTTGCGATGGAACCAAGCACCTGCGAGGCAATGAGTGCGAAGCACATGTGCACGCGAGTCAAGGTCTGCAAGAGAATGACACCGAAGCCGAGGCCTTGAATCGAGTCCAAGACTCCCAGCCACAGCCAGAGACTGCGCGAAGCAAGTGCACCACCAGTCATTCCTCCACCGACCCAGGGGAGATAGTAGCCAATGCCAGAGAGGGCCCACCAGATTTGAATGAATCGAGGTGCGCCCAGGCCACAGGCGAAGACGGGAAGGAACCAACTGTGTTTCTTCGAAAATCGGCTGATGATGAAGAGGAACACACACCAAACCGCACCGAAGAAGACAATGCAGAGGATGACGATCTGCCATGCGTGGGCGTGGGTGGAGCTCCACAGGACTGGAAGAGGACGAAATTAGTAATTATAGAACTTTCTAAACGCGGAGGTGAGAGATGGAACTTACAGCTCCAGTTACGACCGTATGGTGCACTGAGGAAGAAGTTTTGCAGAATGACGGCGACAAAGTTCCAGAGGACGATCTTGCGCCGGAACAGGGACTTGTAGAAGGATGGAACCTTGCCAGGCTTCTGACGATAGTAGTTGGGCAGACCGAAGACCAGGAGAAGACCAATACCCCAAAGGAGGATGGCAATCGGGTAACAGATAGCACTATCATCAATGTTAGCTGCGAATTCATATATACCTCATAAATAGAATACGTACCTCATCTTCCAGGTGTTGGAGATGGTGTTGTCGGAGGTCAAAAGACCCTCGCTGGAAGCCTTGCTCAGAGTCGAGCCCCAATACCAAAGTGCAATGACATACGCCTGTTGAATTCCTTGGATAACGCAAGCGCGGAAAATCCAGGTTTCGACAGGAGCACCACCCTCATCACCAAAGTTGGAGGCGAAGAAGATAGATCCGCTAGAAGACGCCGCAGCGTAGCAACCACTTCCGATATTTTGGATCCATCCACGATTGAACGAATTCGGCTCGAAGTGAGCAGAACCAATCAACAAGAAAGCAAGACCATAGAAGAACCACGGAGTAGAAAGACAGACGACGGACTTGAAGTAACGGTACACCATCCACCAGCAAACGGAAGTCACTGCATAGGTGGTAGCGATACCGTACAGCTTCTCGGCTGTCTCACCCACCTCACCAGTGAGAAGAGTGATCTGGTATGAGTTGGCAGCGATGATCTGACCCAGAGCGAGGAAGATCGAGTACACGGGCCAGTCGCCAACCTTGATCTGCATCCACTTCTTAAGTCCAGTAGGGGGAACGTAGTCTTTGCCCAGCAGGAACTCGTCGTCATCAGAGTCATGGTCATCGCTCAGGGCGATGTGAGAGAGACCGTCATTGTAAGACTCGCCGGCGGGCGAGGCGTTGTTCTTCGACCGGAAGATCGATGGCGTGGGGGACTTGTGACGACCCAATTTGGCGTCGCGGAATCTGTCGAACCATTCTTGCTCACTCTTGACCAAGAACTCTTCGATACACAGCTGGCCTTCAGAGTTGGAGCCATTCAGACTCTGCAACTTCTGTTCAAAGTTGTGGTAGTACTCGCCGGTTCCGTCAGTGAAGAATGGATCAACCTTCTGAAGCTTGAAATCCTTCTTACCACCAACGACGGAGTCAAGAGAAAGAACAGATGCATTGCTGAAGCGGTGGCTTTCTCCCAAAGGACGAGGGGGAAGCAGAAGCGCATCCGAAGCGGGAGGAGTACCAGGACTGGTAGGAGGCAAGAGGAATCGGGGGTGCAAAGACTCATCACTGGGGCGGCGTCGGGGAGAATTCAAGGGAGAAGAGTACGAGACGATGCCTTCTCTGTGAGCAGCCTGGGCCCGTCGACTTTCCTCTAGCTGAGCAGGAGTAAGAGTGTACTCGTCGTCACCGTAAACACTGTGAGCTCTATCCTCGTCATCGTCGGTCTCTTCAACAGCATCACTGCTGTCTCCAGACTCTGGAATGTCGCCCTCGGTCTGACCGTTGCGGCCACGACGAGAGCGATGGCCAGGACCTGAGCGAACACCCAGCGACAGAGAGCGACTCAGGCCAGACTTGGGCAGTTCGGTCTCCGAGGGACTGATATCACGGCTGTAGATCCTCTGGGATCCCAAGTCGCTGACCTGGTTGAAGCTGGAGTAACTGCTATCTCGGGAATGTTGCAATGCTGCATTCATTCCTGGGGCAGGCAGTGGGCTCATTGGCGTCATACCCATGTTAACCGATCTCAATGTACCATTTGGTGTGAATGTACCAGTGGGTGTGAATGTACCATTGGGAGTGCTCGTGCCAGACGAAGTCACAGGGCGGCCATGGCCCTTGGAAACTTCCTTCTCGTGGACTGCAATAGCGGTGGACTGAAGAATCTCAAGGTCCTCCACCCACTGAGCAACGGGGAAACGCTGTTTAGCAGATCGAGCACGCATCATTGCACGGGTTTCCGTCTTGGAGTTGAGCGCAGCATCAATCGCAAGCTTGAATTGCATGAGCAAATGGGACGTAGATGTCGATTCCACGTTATACCACCAGCCTGGCATTTGACCCAAACCACCAACACGTGCTCCAATACCCAAGGCTCCCTTACGTCCGAACTCGACTGCAACAAGACCGAAAGGCTCATCACGAGACGGGATCAGGGCGAATTCAGCTCCAGAGAAGATAAACGGTGGGAGAGCAGTGAACTCGGGCTTCGAGAAGACTCGGCCAGGGTACACCTCCATACAACGGCTGAGCTTGAGCGCGGCGAATTTACCGTAGAGATCAATCACTGGTCCGATACAGATGAGTTGCACGTTGGGGCGTGCTTCCAAGACAGCAGGCATAGCGTCAGCAATGAGATCAACACCCTTTTGCATAGACCAACGACCGACAAAGACGAGAAGGTCAGCATCCGGGTTTTGCTCGAGTCCAGCCCACTCTTGAGCCTGACGCTTCAGTTCGGCACGACCAGCTTCATATTCGGGATCAACGGTGGCCTCTGTGACGGGCTGCTTGGTCCACTCTCCAACATCAGAAGGATCCGGGTTAGGCAGATTGCCGACCTTGCGAAGACCCCAGAAAATTGGGTAACGAGCATAAGAACGTTTACCGTACTTCTTCGAGACACCGACGGCACCAAATCCCTGTTGGTTGACCCGAAGATAGCTAGCACCGGCGTGGAGAAGGTTGAAAACTTCACCGAATTGCACATACTTGCGAGCGACGTCCTCGTCCAAGTTGAAAACCTGGCAGACTTCGCGTCTCTCCTTTTGAGTACGCATAGGCCAAAGACCCTGGAACTCGGCATTGTGGAGAGACAAACAAGCGGGAATGGTCTCTGGAAGAAGGTAGAGAGGGGCGACGGATCCGTGGTAATCGTTGATGTGGTAAAGGTCGATGGGGAAACGCTTGATGGCCAAAGCAATACACTGATTCCATGCCGAGTAGTACACAGCACTGTCCAGATCGTCCATGCGAGCAGGATAAGGCTCGGTTTTTGATTGCTGACGGAAGACCGGAGCGTCGAGCAGCACATAGGTGATGTTGTTAAGACGGTGGTATTGAACCTTGACCTGGAAGGCACTGCCCAAGATGGTAACCTCCATAGGCTCAGCTTCTTCATCAACGGGGTAGTCAACGCCGCCAACGCAAGGAACCACCCAGATCAGATCTTGATGACCCAAAGTCTTGCCCATCAGTTGGGCCATCACACCGAGACCACCGATCTTGATCTTGATGCCCCAGTCCTCGATATCGTACTCCATGGTAGCAATCAGAACCATGCGGCGCTTATCGGCAGCACCAGCAGCTCCCAGTGCGGTGGTGCTTTGCATGAATCCGGCCTTGTTGCCGATGCGCATGAGAGAATTGATAGAGTTATCGCCAGAGCGACCGTGAGCAAGCTTCTTCAAGAAGACCATTGGGGAAAGACTGGACTTCTCGCTAACACCCACTTCGTTGAACTTGACCTTATAGAAAGACATCATGAAGATGTAGACACAGGCAGCACCAGTCAAGGCGGGAATGATCCAGAAGAGAACGAACATGACGATCTGGGTGGATCGATGTCCAACGGGCAGGAGATGGAAGCGCTGAGTACCATCGTTGATCTGCAGCCTCCATGAAAGGTATGGCGCTGGTGGAGGCTCAGTGATGTTGATCAATGTGCTCGAAAGAGACGAAGGAGGCATCCGATCCAGCACACTATCATTGTCCATATCACCCAACACCCAGCTTTGGTCGGGCTTTCCATCCGGGTTGATACCCCAGATGTTGATTTGTCCAACGGCGGGCCATTCGGAGGTGAAATGATACTTCCAGTAGCCATCCAGCGCATCCAGCTGGATTTCATTGTCAAGGCCGCCATCATATCCATACTGGTTGTATGGGCCGTTGAAGAAAGCATGAGGGAAGCGTCGTTGAGTTGTGTGAACCCAGTTGGTGTCGCCTTCTTGCACGTAGGAGCTGCTCCCAGTCCAGCGACTCCAGTACTCAACGCGCACATGGTCTCCCTTCCAATCTTGCTTCTTGGTGCCAGTCCAGACCAGGCGATCAATTGTATCATTTCCACCCTTGTAAGTCTGCCAGTCAGAGAACGTAGTTCCCCAGTTGGTAGAGTACCGGTACTTGTCAGCACCGGCAGCGTGGTGCTGGATGAAGAGAGTGCTGTTACCATCATGCTGGTGGAGCAGACTGCTCGAATAGTTCGCAGAGGTAAAGACCATGGGGTTGTCAAACTGGCCAATACGGAACAGGAAGTTGTCAACTGCGTTTGTAGACGAATTTCTGTCGGCACTGGTCACGTTGTTCACAGTCAGCCTGTGAACTCCGTTGTACACGCCAGTCAGATTTGCGCTCCACCTCCAGACGCTGGGGATTTGTCCAGTCCATTGAGTCTCCCCGGCAGGAATGCTGGCGCAATTGATTGTCTTGGTATTGATGGTGGGAGATTTTCCACTCTCAGTGGATGAGCTCATGGACAAACCGTTCGTCACCGAGTCGCAGTCCATGGCTTCAGAGAATTCGAGTTCGATGTGCACCTCTTCGGATTGATCTGGCGCCACACTCGAAAGCAGAGGATGGTCATGACCGGGTGTAAATCCGGTGATCATGGGGCGAGGCTTCTGGAACAGATCGATGGGGACATATGCACGGAACTCGTATGGCTTCAGTGTCAGATTACCATAACAACCGTTCCATTTCTTCGATCCGCTCAACCCAAGTTTCTTCGGTCCATCCACCAACTCAATCTCGTCATGGGGATAGAACAGATTCTTGACACGAGTTCCCGTATCAAATGGGGATAGAAGAGCACCATCTTCGCTCTTGCAATCAAATGTGTAGTCCTTAGTGCTGTTGAGATTCTGGTAGACGAGCCAGACGGGTGAATTTTTGGCATCAGAACCGAAATCCTGGACCTCGGTGTTGAGGTTACGAAGAACAGACCACATTCCAGTTTCGGTGACTGTCTCGTTGGAACCGGGATATGTCACGCCCCACGTCTGCTTGGACATGTTTAAAAGGGTATATCCATCGTTGAGAACGGGGAACTGTTCGCGTAGCTGATACATGTGCTTCATAATATTGCGAACCGGATGGGAGGGGTCGCGGTGATCGTAGGTAACGTTGTCAAAATTGCAACCCTGACTGGCAGCCTCAATAGGCCACTGGTAGTACTGGGAGGATTGCAAAGAGAAACATCCATGTGTTTTCCAGGCGGTTGCAGCTGACATTGCCTGTCGGCCATAAATATAGTTGGATGCTGTTGCGTCCAAGATATAGAAGGCTTGCTCCTCACCCCAGAGAAGAAGCGGGATACCGGGGATCAGGATAGTGGTCACGAAGGAGCCCAGCAGCTGTCGTTCCACACCAAATTGGATCGCAGGCCAACGGAACACATCCTGGTTGGTTGCGCCAAACATGTGTCGAGGATCGAATTTACCAGTGTTGGCATTAACCAGATCGTTCGAGGTGAGCATCTCATTCCATGCATTAACCCAGTCAATAGGCACATCGTAACCGGCGGAAAGTTGACCGTCCATACCGAGGAATCGAGTTAGGGCACGGTATGTGGAATAGTGGAAGGCCGCACCGTCGATGGCCTCATGACCAACCTCACGTAGGAACCACTGAGAATCGGATTCGTTGGTCATTGCCATAGCCTCGGTAGTGGTGTTGGGATACTGGTTCGGCTGGCGACCGCGACCAAGGTAAATGGAACCAAAGGTGTTACCACCAGTGATTTCACCGGCGATGAAGAAGTTATCTTTTCCAACAGCACGGGCACACTCTCGGTAAGCGAGAGACATCTCTCCGAGCGCATCAACCGTAGCCTGAGTGGCCTTATCGTACCGGAAGCCATCGATATCCAGAGACGCGATGATCATGCAAGAGTGACGGATCAATCTCTCGCGTACGCTGGGCTCCCATTCACGCAGACGATCCTGCACGGATGCGAATTTGGCAAGCTGACGCTGCCAATCTGGAAACACACCGAAAGCTTCAATGTCACCGTACTGGTCAAAGTCACTGTCGTAGCAACCAACGAGCTGGGCAGTCTGAGATTCATTGACAGGGTATCCATCCTCAAACCAGAAACGAGGATAATCGCAAGTTTCATTGTATGTGTTTCCAATGTCGAAGTCCACGTAGCGACGCTCAGTCTTCCAGGTTGTCTGGTGCTCCTTCTCGGAGAAGGGCGTCGTGGTGTTGAGATATCCGTCGAATCCGATGAGATCACCCATGCTTTGAGATCAATTAGCGACTAATCTTGCGCATAGCATCCAAAAGAAATACTTACGTAGCGATAGTGTTGTCGAACAGAACATACATCCCCCTCTTGTGAATCTCGGTAATAGCATCGCGCCATACCTGAAGAGTACCATAATGTTGATCAAGGAGGGTTGTATCAAGAGCAGAATATCCGTCGAAGCCCCAAGGCTGATTTATCAAGGAGGTCCCTGCCAGATAGAGACCCTATAGCTTGTAAGCATTTGCTGTTGGAGAATCATCTGTGGGGTTAAGTTCTTCATACCTTGATGCCCATTCCCTGCAGGTAGTCTAAGGTATCAACCAAGCCAGCGACATCACCACCATGGCGCATTTGGGTTGAATCCAAATCATGCTCGAATAATGTGCCGTTGATATTATCATTAGTAGGATCGCCGTTGACGAAGCGATCCAAGAACAGTGTATAGAATGGGAATCGCCAGTTATCCGGAGATGGATGGTACTTCCCCTTGTGATCTGGCCATTCTCCCCAATAGTGGGCGGGATTTGTGGCCGTCTTGTTCTGGTTGAGATTGTACTGGAGTAAAGACTCGTCGTACGGCCAGCATGTTGACGTTGTTGCGAATAAGGCTAGAAGCCCACTGGAGAGTAGCCACCTCATGGTAAGAGGGAGAGTGACTTGAATGCTTGATGATTCTCCAGTGTCTGTGAAGGCCTCCAAAGAGCCTCTTGGAAGAGGAAAAGGAACTCAAGGCTCTCAGGTGGAGGTAGACATGCGCCGAGCTAGGTTGAGCTGGGGTAATTGCAAATGGTTCGTTGGAATCCCCAGATTCTCACAGATGCAGAGAGATAACGATAGATAGTAAGAAACGAGAGGACGACGCTCAGAGAAACGTAATGAGGACAAAATGCCAATGATTTTGCAGAGGAAACGAGAGATAAAGATGATACGATGGGAGGAAACGAATGTAGAGGAGGGAAAAGGTCAGATGCAGCAAGACAGTGATGAGATACTGGCCATTTTAGTGGCGTGTAAGTTCAGCTCGAGATAAAAATAAATGTTAAGACCGACAAGGTATCATTCTGGAGCAAATGAAACCCCTGGGTAAACGAATGAGGCTGATTACGGTTACAAAAAAGCTGGCGGTGATGGAGATGTCCGTGTCTTTCGGTGCCAGTGGATGCATTGGATGCACTAGGGTCTACTACGACAGTTCGAACTAGGCTCAAAATTGCAATTGTGCTCGATTTTTCTAGATTATTGATGCATCATAACTCGTCTTTGCACGAGTATGGGCCCGCAGCCAAGAGCTCACTCGTGGTTTGACGGGTAAAAGCCGCGAGAATCACCAGAATAGGCCGAGTTGGCACTTCGTATCGGTGGAAAGCCTTTTGAAAGTCTCTTTATGGATCCAGACCATAGGGCTACAGACCATGTATCTTTCTCTGACAGTCCGGTTTCACCAGTACGCTGCTCCATCTAGACTATTTCCAACCGAATACTCCGAACCGAGACAGATCCACATCGAGGTGAATCAACAAAAGTGGTCCTGAATCACATATCCCCTCTGGAGTAGAACGTTCGACACGAGAGTAGATATTTTGTTTTTTTAAGTGTGTTTCTCGCAAAAGAGCATAATGTTCACTATTCTAGCTGGAATTCCAGTCATTCTAGCCGAGTGTGTGTAGGTTCGACATCCAAATGGACCTTGATAAGCGCTCGGTGTGACTCGTATTTCTTGCTCAGCCCGATATATGCGAACCCTGATCGGACGGTACCTATACATAGAATTTCGCCGATAAGAGCAATACGGCCGTACATACGGCCCGCAATTGATGCAATCTTCGGTACATACGTGGAAGCTCTTTCGGTAGGCTTAGCCGGTGGGTCTCTCCGGCGAGCCCGGGCGTCGTTAGGGCAGCACTACTGAGACATGTAATTTTCATTTTGCTGGCTTGAAATTTCGACAGATCCCTGTGTAAAGGGGATATTCTAAGGTAACATCTATATTGACCATGGCTTGATCGTAAAGCCACTTACCGTTGACCCCTGCTTATCTCAGGCATATGTCTGCCCGGTAAGGCGTCAGAGGTTGGAAAAAGAATGGTGAAATACATGTTGTCCTTGGCTATTTTGACTTTGTCTTCCGAGACCAATTGAATCCTCTTGATGCTCAGCCCTTTTCTCGCTGTTCTGTGGAGCTATTTGCTATCTCTTTTTTTCGTTTCTATCCTGGCTAGGGGTATGGGGTGGAGGATAGGTCGAACATTTTCTCAAGAGAAGTTGTTCATGAAAACTCGACGATAGTGGTATACCATGTGGCAACGGCAATCCCACCCTTGCGTCCCTATCATAAGCATGGCTAAGAAATGACTGAGCCTCGCTAGTCGGTATGCAGGCTCTAGTGGGTTTTTTTTCGCACTAGGTCTATATAGGCCTGATAACGAAGCTACAGTAGTACATGCATCCTCTGGTTTTTATTGTTTTGTTTTTTTTCTTTTCCAAGTTCTAGTTGTTTAAATTTTCTCTGGACCCTTGGGCATCACATATCGAGTATGAAGGATGGATACTCTCCTTTTTATTTTTGGATTTTATTTGATTTTTTTTTCTTTTCGTGGAGGACATTGGACCCTGAGATCGACCGGAAACCAATGGAGATTGAGAGGCGGAACCGCAGAATTACCATGTAAAATACCCACCGAAATCCTGCATACCGCCGCGAAATTACAGCCACCCGCTGCGAATTAACCGAATTGAGAATTACCGTATCCTTTTATGTATCAAGGTACACAGATAACGAATATAAAATACCAACAAATCAGTGGATCTTGTCAATAGTGTTGGTTGGCTCTTTGTCATTTTGTAGCCAAGGCGCATTGTTCGCTTCCAAATCCTTTCGAACTCTTTTATGGAGATTGGATTCTGCTCAAAGGCCGAATAACAATCGATCTGTGCTCAGCTCCTGCAATAGGATTTTTCCAATCACGGTAGTCTCACGGAGTCGCGGTTCATCACTTAATAGTAATGTCAGCATTGTCACATCCTAACCTACCTGTGTTAGCCTACTTCGAGGGGTTATACAATAACTACTGAACAATCCCATCCTTGGACACCTTGTGCGTAGGTAATTGGCAAGAGCAACATAATGTAATGATTATTATCACAATACCATAGATATACTATAAAACTCCGGGCTAATGCCGACATTCGACATCGTGCTGGATAATAATTGAGGAAACATGGAACTCGCTGGCCTGCAAGGCGTGCCACTTTGTCACCTTGTCTCGGATTAGGAGCCACGTTCAACTCCGTCATCTTCCCGGTTTTGGCCGCACTCATGAATCAACCGGTGGGAAGTACTCCGCAGATGTCTCACTCTCGCAAAGAATGCCGCTTTTCAGACTCCAAAGAATTGAAGTTGACTCGAGGATTCGGAGAATCAAACGATTTTCGTCTCATCCATGCAAGCAAAACATCCACAATGTTTCCATCACAGCCACAAGGCTCGTATGAAGTGTACGTGTCGTCGTAAGTCCTAGGTCTAGGCTTGGGCCTTGGCCTCGAGTTATCTCGTAGCATATATTCATCCATATCTCTCGTAGTGTTCCCATTCCATGGATTGCGCCAGGCACCACCCCTCCTCGGATATGCTACTCCGCATATTCGATTCTTCTGAAGAACATTTCCAACACCCCAGATTCGAGACAGAAAAATGCATATTTTGAACTTCCACTTGTTCATGGAAGCATTATTCATGCCTTAGGGCAATAATCCATGTGACCATGTCTCCACGAAGCTCAGATCGCAACTAGTCGTGAGACTAGGCTTAATCACACCTAGGCGGGTTCACCTACCGCGGTAGCATGATAGATTCCGGCAATAGTACGCAAGAAAGATGCACCCAGAGTCACAGATTGACCCAGTGCCCCAGCACCCCCAGAGACTAGGGCTTTTGCCACAGAGTCCGGTCTTTACCCCGAATTCTTCAGTGCGAACTCTAACCGTGATTCTTGCCTGCAGCCTTTCTTACCCCAGGGGTCGGCTTCATTCCTTCCTTTCCAGACTTTCCCATCCCCTCTACACTCATTTTCCATGTGATTCAAATCCTAGTTCACTGTCATTCTTTCCTTATCACACTCGTTAACCCTGTCACTCGCTCAAAACCAATATCTACACTCTTTTTCGACGTTTGCAGTCGCGTTTCTGTCTCCTGATTCTGAATACGACTGTGGCGCGACCTAAAGGCACGCTATGTTGCCTACTTCCGCAATCTGCTATTTAGCAGGCCTTGCTTCCATTTCAACCCTCTTCGGTTCAACTTTCGCTGCACAAACATCAGAATGGAAGTCACGATCTGTTTATCAAACCATGACCGATCGGTTTGCGCGCACCGATGGGTCTACCACGTCTCCCTGTGATCTTGAAGAGGGACTCTATTGTGGAGGAACATGGAGAGGAACCATCAATCATCTTGATTATATCCAAGGAATGGGATTCGATGCTGTCATGATCTCTCCGATCATCAAAAACATCGACGGTCGGGTTTCTTATGGCGAGGCATACCATGGATACTGGCCGCTGGACATATATGATTTGAATTCGCATTTTGGAACATCTCAAGACTTGCTAGACCTCAGCAAGGCTCTGCATGCGCGTGGGATGTACCTGATGATGGACACGGTCATCAACAACATGGCCTACATGACCAATGGTAGCGACCCTGCCACGCACATCGACTACTCGGTCTTCACGCCGTTCAACAATGCAGATTATTTCCATCCCTACTGCAAGATTGTGCATTGGGAAGATTTTACCGAGGCCCAGCTCTGTCAAACAGGAGATAACGAGACGGCGCTGCCTGACCTGTTCACTGAACACAACGATGTCCAGCTACTCCTGGAAAACTGGGCTACGGACACGATTCAGAAGTATTCTATTGATGGGCTTCGAATTGATGCCGCCAAGCACGTCAGTCCAGGATTCTTGAAAAACTTTGGAGATAAAGTTGGCGTGTATGTCACTGGGGAGGTTCTTGAGCGCAACGTTAGCATTGTTTGTGACTATCAAAGCAAGTATATTGGGAGTATGCCCAATTACCCCATCTACTACGCCATGATTGATACGTTCACCACGGGCAATATTACCAAGCTTCCGAATGCAGTGGAGGTGATGAAACGCGCGTGCCCTGATATCACTGCAATGGTCTCCTTCTCTGAAAACCATGACCTCCAACGCATCGCAAACTTCACATCGGATATATCGGTACGTGCAACTGCGCCGAATATCATGCACTATCTCTGACCAAATCTCTACTGATTTAGCTTGCGAAAAATATCATATCATTCACACTTCTGTTTGATGGCGTTCCGATGCTCTATCAAGGCCAAGAGCAACACTTGGATGGATCCGGCACCCCGTTCAATCGTGAAGCAATTTGGCTTACTGGGTACAACAATGACACGGTCCTTTACAAACTCATTGCGACGCTAAACGGGATCCGGAAACATGCCTATCGCCTGGACCCGGATTACGTTGACATCCAGACGCATTCCATCTACACGGGCAGCAGTGAAGTGGCCTTCTCCAAGGGCGTCGAGGGACGTCAGGTCATCATGCTTCTATCGAACCAAGGCACCCAAGGCAAGCCCTACAGCCTCATGTTACCAGTCACCTACAATGCCGGCACGGCCGTGACCGAAGTGTTGAATTGCAAAACCTACTTGGTCAATGAGAAAGGTGAACTCCACGTCGACATGGATAAAGGAGAGCCCCGAGTTCTGTTCCCAAGCAAGCTGCTAGAGGGCAGTGGGCTATGCGGTTATTCGTCAAGCAACATTTCCTACGCCGATATCCGAACGGGTCGTGGATCTGGATCGTCGGCTTCGGGGGCCAGAAATAAAGGAAGCGCTAACATTAAGCAACCACTTTTGCTGACACTCGTGCTGAGCTTAATGTTATTAGGCCTAGTCTAACCCTCTTAGCGTGAACCACATTCTTTTTTTTGTATCTCGCATTAGCGAGTGTGCTTGTGATCTTGAATTTTCTCTTCCTGATATCCCTCGATGAATTCCGTGCCGATTTGATTGTTTTATGTTTCTGGTAGCCAGCCTTACTCACGGTCGCGTCTCTTTTTTTGCCCTTGTCGACAATTTTTTTCGCGAGTTCCTATTATTAATTTTTCATGTACATATTTTCCACTGTTTCCACCGACCCATTCTTCTGAATATACCGCTTTATGAACGCTTTGTGAAATTATCGTCAGCATAATCTGGACGTGAAAATATAGGTATGACACAGTGGATGCGACCGGACTTTGCCCGGGATATAGGGGGCTGTCTTACTGGTGTCCTCAATCTGTAAGTGGTCAGTGGTGGTATGGTATGTCTTACAATGGACTTAAGAAGAGACCCACTTGTTGAATTTTTCGGGTTTCCACTTGTCTTCAATGTCTTGAACCCTGCGGATCCCAGCGGACTCTTAGGTAACCAAATATCCGTCATCCTGAGTGGATATTCTTTTGCAGTCAAGATGCAACTAAATTTGGAAATTGAGGAATCACAATTATTCCATTTCTAAGAAGCGCTTGGTTTCGCGTTTTCATTGGTTTTGTTGCATTTCATCTTTTTAGCAATATTTTCCATACTGTGTGACTGTGTGCCGAAGGCCGAAGCCCCTGATGCTATCCTTGTTCTCGTGCTGGAATCGGCCACTTCGGCGGAGACAGCGAGTCTGGAAAGAGAAAGAAGGTCAATTATTTCCCATAACGTGTTTCTGAATACTATCATTCTGACTTGTAGCTTATCTTAATTAGAAGCAGCCAAAAACCTTGATCAACTCCCCTCGTGGACTGCGCCAGATAATACGCTAATTCTGCAGGCGTTTGAATGGCATGTTCCTGCCGATCGGCGGCATTGGAATCGATTGAAGGCTGCTTTGCCGGATTACAAGGCGCTAGGCGTTGACCAGATATGGGTTCCCCCGGGATGCAAGGGAATGGACCCTGCAGGTAATGGCTATGATATCTACGACTTGTATGATCTGGGGGAGTTTGATCAAAAGGGAGCCATCTCGACAAAGTGGGGCTCTAGGAAAGAGCTGGAGGACTTGGTATGCCAAGCTCAAGCTTTGGATATCAAGATCATCTGGGATGCGGTGCTCAATCACAAGGCTGGGGCTGATTTCCCAGAGAGCTTTGAGGCAGTGGAAGTAGATCCTAAACGTGAGTTGAGAATATTCACTGCCCTCCAGTCCAAATCTGGCGCAGCAACAAACAAAAAGGTTCGGACGGCTAATTTTGGAACTTGCAGGAAGGGATGTCGAAATATCCAAGCCGTTGGAAATCGACGGCTGGGTGGGCTTTGATTTCAGTGGCCGTGGCGACGTGTACAGCTCGATGAAGTACCACTGGCAACATTTCAGCGGCGTCGACTGGGATGACAAGCGCAAACACCAGGCTATCTACAAAGTCCATGCCCCCCACAAGAACTGGGCCTCCGATGTGTCTGGGGAAAATGGAAACTATGACTACCTCATGTTTGCTGACCTTGACCTTTCGCATCCTGAAGTCCGCGAAGATATCCTACAATGGGGAACCTGGATCACAGATACATTATCCCTCAGTGGGATGAGATTGGACGCAGCAAAGCATTTCTCTGCGAAGTTCCAAAAGGATTTTGTCAACCATATTCGCAGCACTGCCAATCCGGATTTCTTCGTGATCGGAGAGTATTGGACCGGCAATGTCCAGGCTATCATGGACTACCTGGAGAAGCTCGAGTATGACATTGCGGCTTATGACGTTCCACTGATTGAGAATTTCTCAAAGTTGTCGCATATACCCGGTGCAGACCTCCGTGATATCTTCAAAGATACCTTGGTTGAGCGCAGGCCGGACCAGGCTGTGGTAAGAAACACTCTTTTCTTCAGCTCGTCCCATCTGATATTCAGAAACTGACTTTTGAAGACCATTGTCGCCAATCATGACACGGTAAGTGGCGCCAACCGAGGCCTTGACTTTAAGTTTGTTGGGCTCAAGTATTGACTTTCTTGCTTATGGCTTAAAAGCAACCAGGGCAAATGCTCGAGGTGAGCCTCCACCAAGCTATTTCCATCTAATCATAACCAAGCTGACAGGAGAACTAGACTCCAGTGGCATCAGACTTCAAATTGCTAGCCTATGCCTTGATACTTCTCCGTAAAGAAGGCCACCCGTGTGTATTCTACGGAGACATTTATGGCATACGAGGTGGAAATACTGCGCCCCCGATGGCGCCAGCGTGCAATGGCAAGCTTCCAATTCTAACAAAAGCACGCAAACTATATGCCTATGGCGAACAAGAAGACTATTTCGACCAACCAAACTGCATCGGTTCGTCTTTCCACCACCCTCCCCCTCCCCCTCCCCCTCCCCCTCCCCCTACCCCTTAATTTCAAAATTTACAATTTCATTTTGGACTTATCGTTCCTGACTGATGTCTCAGGTTTTGTTCGCTATGGGAATGCTCGTCACCGTTCTGGTCTCGCCTGCGTTATCAGTAACGCAGGCGCGGCCAAAAAACGCATGTTCATTGGTCGGCAAAATACGAACCAGCGGTGGATAGATATACTAGGGCACCAGCCGGGGGCGGTCGTTATCGACAAACGGGGTTATGGGCTTTTCCCTGTCAACTCTATGAGTGCCAGCGTCTGGATTGATTCAGCCGTAGTCGCTGGTAGTGGTGTTGAGGACAAGTTGTATGTTCTTTCCCTATCTACCCCTATTTTCTAGCCCACGCTAACGCAGACATATCACCAGCAACATAAACATTTATGACTATTGATTGTTAGTAACTAACTCGACGGAGTCACTTAATCATGAATAATAATTTTCAACTGGAAAAAAAAAATTCCAGTTGGCTCCTTGGGCAGCACATTTGTTGGGGCTACCCATAAACTCATGTGGTAAAATCGTAACCGCCTCTTCCGCTGGCCACACTTGGGATACCCACAGTCACTTGTTTGTTTGGCCCTGAATCCAAGCCCTAACGGTGAAATGGAAACACTCTCCATTATTGAGACACACTGAACGTTTTGCTTCCTTCCGGGTGGTCCCTCAATCGGCAGAGGCTCGGTGAAACATTTCGTATCCACGTGTTGTACAAGACTGCCTGTTCCTGAAAGATAATGTGGGCCGGCACGCCCATGGATGTCTCAAAAAAACTTCCGTCGAAGTTCCGTGTTCCTGGTTCAAAACCAGAATTCCTTGTTCGCCGTCCGTTCATTATTAATTCGCCAGGATTCAGTTGTGTTCACTGGATAGGTTGAAGAGACATTTAGGACCTGCCAAGACGCGATCGGACAATTAGCCAAGGATTTGGTAATTTTCTGAAGATATGACTGGATCTTATCCTGTCTACCGGGTCGCTCCATGCGGTTTAGCGTTGATCGGAAACATCCGTTGCTGTGATAGCCAATCAATGGCCCTTGTCTAATACGAAGAGCCTCGAATCCTTCGATACACTCAATACAGCTGCCTGCATGAGATTTCGTGCAGTAGGAGTCAACATTTTGTTCTCAATAGATTTCGAACTTCATTCCCGGTGATTTCTGCCTCATTGAAAGGGAGATCTATCTCTATCATCAAGAGATATCTTCGCAATCAGGAGGCGTCACGATAAGTCCGTGCTTTGACACCAGCCAAGCAACTAGTAAGATGGTGTAACAAGATAAGGTGGCCGTTAGAGCAAAAATAGAATTTCCACTAGTTAAAAATTACAAACAATACATATACACCAGGTATGGTTAACTTACCTGTATTTCGGTAACGAAATTCCATTATCGAAGGCAAAAAGAGGGGCCAACCCTGCACCAGCAATACTTGGCATGTCTCGGTTCAGCCTCCTCAGCGCCTCATCTCGCTAGAATGCGTCTAGTGGCTTGCAGGATTCACTATCGGCCCAATCGGCTGCTGCATTTATACGAATTGGTCGAAATCACCGACCCAACACCGGCCGGTTTAACCGATTGTACTGTACTCTTTCTGGGAACCAGTCACCACCCGGGCCCATTCGGGCGATCTTCTGCCCGAAATTGGATTTTCAGTTTTGTATGACATGTACTGTAGTTGACTACGGAGTATGTACATGGCAGACAGTATTTTGCAAAACTTGGAAGTATCGCTTGGCATCGCCATATCGAGTTGATACCGAGACTCCGGACTGCACAGGTGGTACCTGATTCCGTGACGGGGACCGTGGTTTACCCTTTCCAAGGCTCGTGTTCGATATGTACAGTACTGCAGAGACCTGTCTTGTCATGTCGAGCAATCCATCACTGTCACTGCCAGGTTCGTGCCGGACATTGCCATCAATTGATTCAGATATTATTAGACTTGTCTTAGCTATTGTGCGAAAATGTTTTGATCGTCGTGTGTATCTTATGTTGGGACATTTACGTTCTTTTTCTACTTGAATCTTGATTATAATAAACTCTCGAGTCTTTCACTGTCGTTTGAGATATTCCTCAAGTCTTAACTTTCTGACAAACACCTGTCTATCATTTTCATTAAATTTTCACTCGCTATACCATCAAAATGCGTCTCTCGCTGGTCTTGTCTCTTATGCCTCTTGCAGGCTTCGTCGGAGGTAAGTCGGATTCATGCCCAACCTATAACCCTCTAACAAAATAACTAGCTCTCCATGTCACCGAGCCCGAGAAGGGTGCCGATATCAAGGCTTCCGATTCTCTCACTGTGAAGTGGACTTACGTTGAGTAAGTTCTCCCCTGTTCTATATCTCTTTGGTTGTATAATTATGGTCGTATCTAACTCTGATCAGCACCGATGCTAAGAGCTTCAACCTCTACCTCGTCAACAACGCCGTGTACCCTCCCCTTAGCGAGAAGATTGCAACCGACGTCAAGACTTCCGATGGCTCTTACACCATTGACAGCCTCGGCGTCTCTGCTGGGTATGATACTCTCTCATTTTCAGCCGCAACGCCTTCCCATTCACTCCTAACATTGCTTCCCTATATAGATCCGGCTTCCAGGTCAACCTCCAATCCGACGTGACCCAGAACACCGGAATCCTCGCCCAGTCCGAGCAATTCAACGTCACCGGCTCCGCCCAGAGCTCCTCCACCTCCAGCACTACCAGCACTAGCACTTCTTCCAGCGCTTCGACTTCGGGCACTACTACCGGTACCTCCACTACCAAGACCCTGATCACCGTCACCGGCACCAGCACCAGCTCGACCGGTACCGCTACCGGCTCCAAGACTACTGGTACTTCCGGTTCTACCGGTGCTGCTTCGTCGACTGGTGCTTCTGCTAGCGGTACCTCGTCGCAGACTGCTGTTCCTTCTACTGGTGCTGCTGCTGCTCTCAAGGTTGCCCCCGCTGCGGCCGCTGGTCTTTTGGCTGGTGCTTTGGCTTTCGGTCTGTAAGCTTGGGATTTTTGAGGATACAGCACTAGCTGAGAAGAGGTCGAAAAGACTGTCTTGGGGTGGTGAGGGGATGAGAAGTGATGAAAGTCGTGGGGATGGTAGAATTAGATGGGGTTGAGGTGTGGAATAGATATACACGGATTTAATGATAGATGGAATGGTCTCTTTTTGTTTTTTTAATTCTATCTATATTGTTTAATACGTGATGACGTCCTGCTTTGAGGTTGATAATCATAACACTACTGTTGACATGCTATTATGTTAATATCCCCCTTGGTTGACAACTGTAAATGATCCATGACAGATGAAGTCCATCTCCTATTCACTCCGGTCAGAGGTAATGATCGGACAAGAACTTCTGGAAATATATAGTGACGCTGAAGTAGTCCAATAGAGGTTCAATCACTACATGCAGGAACACATTTGGCAGCCGGGTACCATGGATGGCCTCGGAAGTTTCCATATCCTCGGATGATAGGTCTTCCTCTGCGGATATATATTGTGCGCGAGCACATGGGTGTTTAATCAGTACCCGACCAGTGAACACATATCTAGCAAATGAGCGAGGCTGACTGTCACTATTTCTAATTCTTGAACTTCACGAGATGTATATCTCTAGATTAAATCTAGTATTTATGGGTTAGAGATGACCTAGCCAATTTTGTGTGGGAGCGATCTGACTCTGATTCTTGCATTTCTCAAATCCAAAAATGAAAACTTTTGAAGGACGTAATAGTACCAGCGACGAAGAGATATCCGTAGCCAATAAAGTAGATTAGAAGAAGCATACCAAATAGCCTGCGATGCAAGATCATATTGCCTTAGGTAAATAGCAAGTCACCCCTCAGAATTTTGCATCGTCCTTTCCCTCTTCACCCTCTTACTGCTCAGCATAGTAGCTATAATCTTGGTTCAGCAGATAGAATGATTTAGGCTCAGGCTGTCCACTGCCACCCTCCCAAGTTGGGGTGGTCAAGGTCTTTGGCGTATTGTCCCGACGGATACCCGAAAAGACATACTCAAAGGTCTTGGCCCATTGGACGCGGTTGTTCAGGCCCTCCAGTCCCCACAGTTCCTGCAGGAAATGCAAGACTGAGCTGTGGGTGTATTCGGAGTTCTTGGCGTATGAGGTACCTTCCTTGTGGATGAGGGTGTTCGCTGGGATCCAGGGGCTAATGAGGAAGGCAGGAACGCTGGATGGGGTTGTTAGTGTGGAGGTCTTTTTATGAATTGAGGGAAAATGGCTTACCGGACGCCCAGGCGAGTGAAGTCGTAGCTGACCTGATGACCCTCGGATGTGCCAGTGAAGGTAATGTTATCTTCTGGCTGGGGCACGTTCAACGGGGTGGGGACGTGGTCGGCGAAGCCACCGTGCTCGTCAAAGTTGATAATCAGGAGGCTGAAGAGTATTTTTAGTCTTGAGCAAGCTCTGAAAATGCTCGATTATGCATGATGACTTACGCATTGTCCCAGTACTTGGACCGACGGAGAGCATCGTACAGGTGCTTGACCATCTGCTCACCTGATGCCATGGGACTGGTCGGGTGCATCGAGTCAATGGTGCAGCACTCGGGGTTGATGTACGAGAACGTGGGCAGAGTGCCTTGTTCCAAGTCACGGTAGAACTCGTCCGCGTGGGCGAGGTGATCCATCGCGTTGTCTTGAACCCACTGCGAAATTTAAGCACGATATACTTTTGATATATGGCTGGATGGGGCCTTACCTTGTACATGAATGCGTCGATAATGTCGGTCTCGTAGTACTAGAGGTAGATTTGATCAACGACTGCCAAATACTGCCAGAGAAAGCCAATCTTACATTCTTCCAGCTGATGTTCTTGTTGCTCAGCGATTCGAAGATCGATGTCGCGCAAGTAGTACCCGTCACATTGTTCCAGAACCCGGCAGACTGGTCAGTGTTATCGACAAAACCACAGCTGGATCCCGAGGTTGCGAATTGGCGGTTGGGGTTGGTTGGGCCAGGGTGCTCAGCGAACTATATCTCAACTTGTCAGCTTCGGCACTCCCTTTCCTTCTTGCTACCAAGACAAAACTCACATAGGCATCGAAGAAGGCAAAGTTCTGTGCCAACTCCGCCAAAAGGGCCGTCTTCTTTTGATCATAGGCCTTGATCACAAAGGCGGCATCTCCGGGAGTCGACTTATATTTCTCCGACTGGCGCTCGACGAAACCACCCATGTTGGGGACGTCATCCTTGGTGATGTTCCACTTGCGGAAGATCTCATAAGTGACACCCGCAAAGTTGTGATCGGGATCGACGAGAGGGACTTCTGTCTCGAATGGACCAGCGCAGATATCCAGAGGCTCTCCCCACACAGTCCAATTGGCATTGGTGTATTCATTGCAGTAGTCAATCTTGCGCAGGTTGTTGATGTCAGGGTGGAAGTCCCAGTAACCGGCAATGTTGTCGAAGGAGTGATTCTCCAGGGTGAGGTAGATGACATGCTTGATCTAGAAGGGGCATTTGAGGTCAGGTGCTCTGCCAGTTTCACTTGTAGGGAGATACCGTAAAGTACTCAGATCTCACTCACGTTTTCACGCAGCTTGCTCCAGCTCTGAGTGTTAGGTGGCGATGGGGCTGGAGGGAGAGCTGATGCTGCAGTGATGAGGCCCGAGACGGCCGCGATCTTCAAGGCTGACTTCATGATGCCTGTAGTCTTCTCACCTCAGTTGACGATGAGTGGTATGAGTAAGAGCACTGGCGAGGGTGGATTGCGACCTAGCAGACAAGAATGGGCATTCTTCTACTAAAAGGAGTGGAAATTGCTTTCTTGGCTGGCAGAGTCTACACCTCCCTCCTTCGGAGCAGGTACAATCCCCCCATCGGCACCTGCCGCAATTTCGCTTCATGAAGGGCTCCATCTCTTGATCTAGTGTCTTGGTCAGGAGCCTACGACTGACGCTAAGACTATACCGAGTCAGCGACGGAAGAGACCCGATGCTAGTGCCCGGGTGTGTCGGTAATGGAATTTAAACCGAGCCCTATCATAGCTTGCAGACACGGTGTGGTCCACTCTTCAGACTATTCCGTTATAGATGGGACAATATCATCCCTGTAGGGATGTAGGTGGGGTGGAGATGACAGGGTGGAAGAAGGGAGAAGGGAGAAGGGAGAAGAGGAGAGGCACGCAGGAGATTTCCCTTTCTGTCCTCGTCACTATCATGACTAGTGTTTGATTAGGCAGAGAGCGGGTGACATTGTCCGCTTTATCGTGACATTTAGATCTATACTTTGATTGTATCTTCAAATGTCGGATGTACCTGCTTTGGGACTGGCCACGAGGCTATATTTTCCCGACTCGGATACACGCGATCTCCAAAGTTAATCAGCCTGCATAATCATCCGAAAGAAACATAAAAATCAAGAAACTAAGAAATTCACGAGAGTTAAATGACTTGACTAAATGATCAAAAGGATCTAAACAAGTACGGTACCCCACCCGTCAGCAAGAGCCAACCAATAAGTGATTAGTCTTCACCCGCGATTACAATATGCCTCTTTTGATTGGCGGGTTTCTTAGATTTAAGCACTAACAAGCTCCACATGGCTCCACCGCCTGCCAATTCTGCCCCGCCGCCCAGCTGATCCTCCGCGAATCAGCGTGGCACGTGCCTGACCAACACCGACGCAACCCCGACCAGTGCCAAGCACGTTGTTCCTTAATAGGCTGGGATGCATTGCGATCGGCGGGGACTTCTGACTGTCCGCCCTGCTACGGGCACCACGGGCAACAAGTGTCCACCGATTTCTCCGCACTAGATGGTGTAACGCTTCCAAGCGAAAGAGACGAGAGGAGCACATGCAGCTCCACGCCACGCTCGCTGCTGTCTCTTAAGTCCGCCTTCTCGAATGTTTTTTCTCCCTTCTTTTTCTCTGCTCGCGAGGAAGACATTTTGAGACATTCCTGGATAAAAATTCAACAAGGGATAACAATCACTTTCATCCGGATCCAGTGATCCAGACCACTCGCTTCTCACGAGTTCCTTCTTTGATCGCCATGTCAATCACTTCAACCAGCGGCCTCATGTCAAACTACTCCCGTCTTTCCGAGCACCGCTCCTCCACCGAGGAGGAGAATGAGAAGGATATGCATCTGCGCCTGCAATCCGATGTCGAAGCTGCCGAGAGTCTGAATCGCCGGACGGCGACAGCAGACAAGAAGGCCTCGAAATGGATTGACGGACGTACCGTCTCCGATGCCATTATCGGTCTTTCAGACGGCATGACAGTTCCATTTGCCCTCACTGCGGGTCTGTCAGCTCTGGGCGACACCAAGGTGGTTGTTTTTGGCGGCATGGCGGAGCTTATCGCGGGTGCCATCTCTATGGGCTTGGGTGGCTACCTTGGCGCAAAGAGCGAAGAGTAAGCCAAGCTTTCCCCACTCACAGCCCGAAATCTACGATAACATTCCCAATGGGCCTTTGGAGAGCAAGCATAGCTAATTAAGAATAACAGGGAATCCTACAAAGCTACTCTCAAGGAGACCGAAACCCAAACAATGACCGACCCCGCCTCCATTTCCACCACCATCGAGGAGATCTTCGAGCCCTATGAGCTGCCCAGCGAACTCGTCTCCCAATTGACCGGCCATCTCGCCGCCTCCCCCATGCTCCCATCTTTCCTTATGAACTTCCACCACACTCTTCCCGAACCTTCTGGCTCCCGTGCCGTCATCTGCGCCCTGACTATCGCCCTTGGCTACTTCATTGGCGGTTTCGTACCTCTCTTGCCTTATTTCTTTGTCGGTCCCCACGATGCTTTTGTCGCGCTGCGCTGGTCCATTGCCACAATGGCCGTTGCTCTGTTCCTCTTTGGTTATGGCAAGACCTGCTTCGTGAGCGGATGGAGTGGGCGCAGGAATGTGCGCAAGGGCGTGATCGGTGGATTCCAAATGGTGCTAGTGGGTGGTGTGGCAGCCGGATCAGCCATGGGACTGGTCAAGGCGTTCCAAGCACTGGCAAATGGGCATGAACATGCCAAACAAGACTAAGACGTCTGTGTGAGAGAAGCGCAGCTGCATATGTAAAACCTCGATTCCCCTCGTTTCTTCTTTCTGACTGGGTTTGATTTGGCGTTCATGGCATGGGTTTCCGGGCGGAGGACAGTCGGGGTGTATCGGCGTTCTTTCTTTTTTCATTCCTTTCTTCAAGCCTCTGCTTCATGACATACATTCATGAATAGAGGCAGTCTACGGACATTGCGGACAAAAGCTTCCGCACCATCAATCAATATAGACATGCTTTTCTGTATCAGGTCCCCCAGATAACAATCTGAAGTAAACTGGACAAAATACCGAGTATGGTGGAAGATGAACTTGATGCGCAATGATAGTAGAATATTTACAGAAAACCAACTTCAAAGTGTATGTACATCCCAACTCCCTTCTCAATCTCAACATCAAAGCTTACTACCCACAGGCCGCACAACCCTCAGTTCATCATGAACAATCTTCGCCACCCTTCCACCATCATCAATCGCCCCATCGATGAATCCCCTCCATCCAAACGACGAATCCGAACTAGCAAAGAACACATTCCCATGCCGTTCCCGCAATGCATGCAAATACTTCGTCGTCATACCAGGCCGCAACCACTCCCACGCACCACGGGCAAACTCATCCTTATGCCAATTATGGAACACCAACCGCTGCACCTTCATGTCCGGGTGGAACGCCTCAAAGGCTTGCTTGGTGACTTGGATATCCTGCTCGGGATCTAAATGGCTGCCCGGCAGGGAACTGCCAAATGCCACGAGGTGAGTATTCCCTGCAGGCGTGGTTCCATCGCCGAATGTATACGTGAGACGTCCGCTGGGGTAATTCGTTGCGCCGAGCGAGCGCATCTCGGGATTGGCGACCTCCGCATGACACTTCACCACTTGATTAACATGGCCGGCGAGGGAAGCCTCCGTCTTCAGAGTCGGTAGGGCCGGCGTGAAAGCCAATGTATGCAGGACGTTCAGCGGGACAGTGCACACAAGACGTCTGCCCTTGAAAACCTCCACTCCATTCCGAGCAGTGACTTCAACTCCATGTCCGTGATCAACCACATCCTTGACAGGCGTGGAGAAAGTATAATCCAATCTCCCCGTGGCGACGGCTTCGTCGAAGATTCGTCGCGCGAGCGTGGACTGGCCATCGCGCAGCTTGTACGTGAGTCCGATGGCCATGAAATCAGGGAAATTGTAGTTCATCAATGCCCACCACCGCAGGAGTTCGAAGAAAGATGCTTCTTCCCATTTCGCGCCGTGCGTGATCGCGAGGAAGCCTTCGAACATGTTCTTTTCCAGCGGTGTCAGGTGCATCGATACTTGGGCCATGCGTTCTGCCATAGACATGTGGTCGTACTCCTGCACGCCAGCCATGTTGAATTCGATATCGTGTGGGTAGGGAATGACACTGCGGCCGAATTGGCCGTCCACGTTGATGAATTTCTTGAATGCGGATTCGACGGTTGCATCCTGTGTCGACAAGTTAGCAACATTCCCCTCCTTCTAGCCTTCCTTCTCAAATTCGATATTGGAGATAAACAAACCTCCTCATCATGCGACAAATGCCTAACCACCCCATCCAAATTCACAGTAACCTTCGCACCCCCTCAACATTCTTCCTCGGCGAAACCTCCAACTGATCCATCATCCCGTACCGCCTTAACTCACGCCAGACAAATGGTTGATGCCAATGCACCCACGTACCGCCCATCTCATACGCATACCCATCAATATTAGACGACCACGACCGCCCACCGATACGATCCCGCGCTTCGACGAGAAGCACATTGTTGCCGGCGAGGGCGAGGTCCCGACATGTTGTTAGACCAGCGTATCCACCGCCAATCACGATGACATCGTAGAGCTTGTTTCTTGTGAAGTGTGTGGATGGTTGGATTAGACCGGGTGTTGGAACGCCTTCGATTAGGCCTGTGGATTGGGTCCATTGGTAGCCGTCGCGGCTTTTGGGGGAGTTGGTCATGGTGGGATATTGTGTAGGGGTTTGCAATGTTTGTGGAATGTTTTCTTCAAGATTTATGGAATCAGTGAATACTTATATTCTTATACCTTGACCCATCTATACCCCGTGATTCAGCGGCTATCAAGCTTGTTGCCCTTGATGTGCTCGGAATTGGGGAGTGAAGTTCCGAGGCTGGTACCGACATCGATGCTTATCGCCCGCGCGAGTGTGGGGAAATGGCGCTTGTTTTGCTAGTTTAGGTAAAGATAAAGTATTATCTTCTCAGATCTGCGTATGGTATGATCTTCTAATTCCGAGCTTCAGATTTGGCTGTGCTTACATGGCTCTCATCGCGGTGCCTGCTAACAAATATCCCTCTACACAGCCTTTCTGACCACACCAGACTAGGAACCAATCTCAATGAGAATAAACAAATGCGTCAGTAGATTTATTTATAACACGTCTCTTTCATAACTATTGATCCCTCTTCTAAACATGGATCTCCTCCGAAACAAGCTGGGTGTTGCCTCCATAGAAGGTTGCGATATGCGATACTCCGCTTTTTCTGCACATTGTCCACTCACATCACCCCGCCACTTTGCCCCTTCTCGGTCTGCGTTTCCGCTTCCGAGCATCCTTCAACTCCCATCCCTCTTGCAAAGACACACCCTCGTTCGATTCAATTGAAGCCGAACAGTCATTCCTCGGAACATGACAAGCGAGTCACCCGATCGAGATGTGGATCTAACCACATCGTACCATCCAAAGAAGCGGGCGAAATACACCCAGATCGCTTGGTTCGTCTACCTGTCCATCCGTAGCCTCCTGCAGGCTTCCGGGATACAGCGTGCTTAAGCTGACGATGTTAGCAATGAATGTAAACGGCGCAAAATCAAGTGTAGCGGCGAGTCTACATGTTCACGCTGTGCGCGTGGCAAGATTCACTGCGTCTATCCTACGGATCGCACGCCAATACAAGAGACCGAGTTCAAAGATGCACGGTATGTGTTCATACAAGATAAGAATGGTCATAGTCAAGCCACTGATCCTGTATAGCGTCGGTCCCAGATTTGACTCCGTTGACCGGCAACTGGAGATGCTCCAGCGGGAAATGCGGAGTATATCTACTCGCCTACGAGAGCTAGAAGCTTCCAGCCCGGGATCTTCAAGACCTGCAAAGACCTCTACACCAAGGGAGTTGGATCGTATTTTGAACGCGCCAAAGTCACCGCCGTACGTTGGGCCAACTAGCGCGGAGTTTGGCCTCCGGCGACAGAGAGCTTCGTCTCGGAACACTGGTAGTGACAATGAAGCTGATGAGGACATGCCTTTGTCTACTCCAACCCGAAGTCCTACCCCAGAGGGGACAGCTTCGCATGCGGGGAGCGGGTTCCGCCTCGGACTTGATGATGCACTTCGTCTGGTGCAGGTCTACGAAGACCTTGTCGGGGTCATGTATCCCTGTGTTGATATTGATAGTGTTCGTGCTTATGTGCATGAGTACTATCGCTCGCATGATACGATATTTACTAATGCGACTGACTCGCTGGATAAAGGGTCGACGGATCAGGATTGGTTCTTTGCGAGGGATATTCAGGTGTTGAAATTGATTCTTGCAACTGCTCTGCTGGCTGAATCTCATGGTCGTAGTGAAGCTGCGGCGCAACTGGCGGATAGCGTTGAAGACCGATTTGCTAGTCGGTTCAAGGTTGCCGAGGTTGATATGAAGGAGATATTGATCATGACATTATTGGTACGTTGATGTCCTACTTCAGTTTGTATCTCTCATCAGAGATATACACCCGGGTCTAACATTCATCAACAGTCGATTTTTCACTCATATCGTGACGATGAAGTCATCTCCTGGCGCATGACACGCATCGCGACCAGTGCCTGCATGGAACTAGGACTACATCGGCAGGAAACCTGGCAGCGGACAGGAGGTGTCTTCCCGGGTGAGCTTGCTTGGACTTGGGCCATGCGACTTTTCTGGTGCATCTATGTCCTAGATCGGAAGTGGTCTTTTGGCAGCGGACTACCCTTTGGCATTCAAGACATGGACATGGATACAAATCTCCCCGAGCCGGGACACTCTACTCCATACTTGACGTGCATGATCTCGTATGCGCGGTTGAGCACTAAGATCTGGGGCTTGGTCATGGAGTGGCCCAAACACTCTCGATTGGCGACGGCTGATAAATGCGCCGAGTTGGATGCACAGGTGCAGCAATGGATTTGGTCGATTCCACGCGAGCTACGGTTCGACCCGAATTGGCAACCTGGTACAACTGCAAGACCCGAGAATTCACCGCAGAATGATCGTGCGATGATGCTGCAGGTTTTGCTTGCGTTGCAAGGAAACCAGCTTCGGATCCTAGTATACCGACAGAACTTGCAAAGTAGTGAGCACATTTCTGCGGACGTCGCCGGTGCGACGATAGCCGTCGAAACGGCGAAAAGCACAATCCACATGCTTGAGTACTTCAGCGGCGTGACAAACATTTACTTTCAACGCCCGGAACCGTTCAACTATTTCTTAATCTCTGCATTGGCTGCTCTTCTCTTGGCAGTCCTACACGCACCGAGTCGCTTCAGTCACGTCTGTCGACCAGAGTTTTATACAGCTATAGAACTCGTACGTCGCTCGGCGACTCGTGCACGAACATCGCGACGCTTGCAGAAAATCATCCGCAGTCTGAAACACATCCAATTGCATAAAGGAGGTCCAGACAACCAGGCAAACCCTCACAATCGTCCAGCAAAACTAGCGGCTCGAGGAACCAAACGACCCGCAGATTATCCAGCGACACATGTAGACTCGACGCCATCGCGTGGTCCATGGGATATCAATCCCTTCTCCACTCCAGCTTCGCAACCGACGTCCAATCTGCGCCCAAATCAAAACTACGAGACATCAACGACTTCATGGCAATTCTCACCCGGAACGATGATCGACGAGCCGAATATTTGCGAAGATCTGAGTAGTTTTTTCGAGAATGCGGGTGACCTCTACTTCGACGCACATGCGGCTTCGGACTTGCATTTGCCTAGTGCACCGGATTTATCGCTAGCTAGGGGGTGGATATGGGGTTCTTTTCTGTTCCTGCGAATCCGCAGTCGCCTACTACTGCTTTTGATGCCTTTGAGGCTGATAATGAGGAATTGACGCGTGTGATGGCTGGTCTACTATGAGAGCTACATAGATCATGCTTGGATTATTGTGATAGACTTAATCTTTTCGCTCGTTGAGCTTGGAGACATATATTTTTGATAAAAAAAAGACTGATATCTGTAGTTCTTGGTGATTAGGTGATTCGGCAGGGTGTTGTATCTTCCAAGCTGAACGCCACATATTTCACAATTCTCCAATCGGCATCCCTATCCGATCACTCGTCAGCACGCTTATCGCACAGCTTCACGGTCAATTCCTACAACACTTATCAACTCGAAGACGTGGAGACGTGGCGGCGTGGATGTTCAACGCATTGCGTCATGGCTCGCTCATCAACTATATCGCCGCAGGCCTCATCGGACTGCAGTAGTAGTTCACATCAGGTAGCAACAAAGGCTTGCTAGTTAGAGATGAAGTTCAAGTTACTTGGAGTCCCCGATCTGAACACACCTTATCGGGCATGCAGTCGATCGGTGAGGTCATTTGATGTGGAGGGGTACAACGTGATGCGATGCACATGCAGAGATATTGCGGGGCATGATATCCTTACACAGATAACCCCTAGACTATTTAAAATCTGGAAATTGAACGAAATATGAAAAGTATCGCAGCGATTTCCCCGAGTAAAGTGTGGACACTCAAGTCGTGGGGGCCGTACTATCTCTCTGTAAGATGATGATCTGGTCTCCGCGCTTCTTCAGTTGGGATCTACGAGATCTACCACGCGTCGATCATACGGTACGAAGTAGAGTAACTAACTGAACGTACTGTACTTCGTCTAGCTAATGAGTCTAACCTATATTTATCGTTGGTATCGGCTTCTTACAGCTAAATGCGAGTCACATTGATTACCTACCTGTGTGTTATAGGACAATTGGCCCCAGGAATGCTGGCTGTGCAGCCGTGCCAAGGTGTTGCTTTTACGGGCGTAAGGGATCGTGTCTGGCTGAGTACTCCGTACACAGCATAGCCACTCATGCCGACATTCTCGGGGAGTTAAGAGTTAGTCGAAATATGGGGTAAGACGAGTTTCAATGTCGACGGTGTATGTTTAGTATATGTTACTGCCTAGATCTTGTTCTATGTTTGGCATCAAGACCATGGGTTGATTTGGGGCGGAGAGATTGTGAAATTGCACGGGAAGTTGCCCTTGCGTTGGTCAAATTTTACTTGCATCTCCTAGTAGTATCTTGCGATGCAGGAAAGATCCAATGCGGTCAGTCCTTGAGTGGTACATATAGCAGAATCAGGGAAGTAATCAAGGGATGTACAGAGTTTAGGGTTTGTGAGTGCTTACAGCGGTCGCAAAGCATACTATTACAGGTGCCAGCAGACTTTAGCCAGCGAGTGAAAGTACCAAGTAAGTTGGCTCGCTCTATAATAACCAGTTAGCAGAGAGGATTTCAACACCAGCCAACACAGGCTGACTATGATGAGGTCAGGCCACGTCCCTCCCCACGCCATGTGGCGCAGCGTGCGGGAAGAAGGGAAGGACGTTCAAGAAACACGTTGATGAACGCTCGGCCAATGCCCAGTAACATGTATGAAGTATTGTAGGATAAGCTAACATCTTCCTGCTCAGTACTCGAGAAGATAATCAACGCGCAGTCATTACCCAATCCGTGGCAATTCGAAGCTCTGGAAATGAAAGGACCTTCCTCGCTCAAGCCTTGCATCGACGATGCACAGCCCATTCCGCACGCACGTACAGTATGGCGGCTCCACCCTCGCGCCAGGCAGCCATCAAGATTGGACATCGCCAAGCCAAAACGAATACGATTAGAGCAATGAGGATGGATGGTGGTTAAGCTAGGAGTAGTGCTGTAGTTAATTATAATCATGATTACGGGGTTTTGTCATGGTCGTGAATATGGGGTTGTTATTACAATGGTCTTTCACGATGTGACTGTACGAGAATGCGATGGCTGGTGGTGCCCGTGTTCTCAGGCCTCCTGGTCCCTGTGAGCGCCCTCGTGGGGATTTGACGGGAGCTTTGGGTCTTCTGATTGGGGGACGTTGGAGTGTGAAACGGGATTTGGTCTGGTACTGTAGTGAAGAAGAGGAGGTCACTGTTCGACCATTTTTGAACGTGGGTGTGCGCAGTACATAGTCTTAGTGGTAGAGGAGTTGTAAAAACAGAGTGGACTGCCATCTTGCCCATACTCTTGTCTTGGCAGGTATAGTCAGCTATACTCATCGCATAGATTGATAAAGACATGGCAATTGCCGAGTCTTTGAGATGAGAGTCAAACATGCTTCCACCCATTGTTTGTTTACTAACCACAATATAATGCAATGTCAGTTTAGTAGCTTATGAATACATTGATTAGAAAGAACATTAGCATGATGGCCTCGTAGGTAGGTTCATCTTTCACTTATTCCGCTATATACTCTATCCTCGATTAAACTCTATGATAGTCAACATCGTCACTTCTTCTTTTGCTGCCGCATCCGCACCCCAAAATGGCAATAACGATGACAACGGCGACGTCAACTCGACATGATGAAGACTCATCTGCACCCAGATCAATCTTCGCAAGAAAAGCAGAGACCAAGACACCCCAATCTTGACCCTCAAATCTATACATTCTTTGATCAGTCATTCTCATCTTGACGGGTGGTGCATCACCCCCCCCCCCCCCCCCCCGAGCCCCGCTAAACAATGGCGCCCCTCCCCGAATGGTTCCAGGCTCTCCGCCATCATCAACAAGTGGTCACCTCCGACCCCAGCTTCTCCGAAAAGGCAATCGTCCTCCTCGTCGTGGGACACATCTTGATCCTCTACACGGTGTTATGTTGGCTCGGAGCTGGCATGGAGAGCGGTCAGTCTCATCCTCGTCATGAAGCCGACCCCCAATGAAATGTGGAGCCTCAAGCTAAATATATCATGCCATCTACAGCAGATAACCGCGATCATCGAAAGACCGAGTGTCTCGAGGGCCAGTTCGAGCTCCAGCCCGAGCCACGAGAGTCAAGCAGATCCACGTCCAACGATCAGAAACACGGCCCGAGCTCCTCTGCCCTGAACCTGCATGTTTGATGACAGACCAATGTCGATGCGATGTGATTGCGATACGTCGAATTCGCTGCGAGCAAACATAGCTCGCTGGGCTCTCTCCATCCTTAGCTTCTCAGCTTGACACTTTGACAACCCGTTCGACTCGGCGAATAAAATTACCCAATGACCACTCAGGTACCGCGGAGCTTTGATGTGCGATGATTGGACGGTCGCGCGACAACGGCGATTCTGAAACTTGGGGGCGCGGGAAACTAAACCATGATGGTCTTACGGCGAACGGTGTCATATGCAGTTTGCCGGTGATACCGTGATATGATAGCTATGAGCATGCATTATTATTCGGTTATACGAGGGTACGAGGAGCCCCCCAAAACTTGAAATCGGTGGCTGGAAAGGGGATGGGGGCTGGTGGGATTTCCAATCGGCACTAACGGATGGGAAGATGGTGTTCTTGATTGAATATCGGGTGGCTGGTTACCCCTGAATTTGCTGTTCATAGGGATAAGCAATTTGACTGCTTGTATTATTGGGTGCATTTTTTAATTAGTCTTGTTGGGAATCAACTTTGAGACATGAAGCAATAGAGCTGCACATCCTCATTTCTTCAGTAGGCGCTGGGGCCTCGGCGGCTCCAGGACCCGCGAAATAGTCTTCGGTAGTGCCGAATCGATCTGAAATTTCAGCAATGTTTTCACTGGGAGTTGGGCTTGCTGTACTATTCGTTACTATTATTTAAGTATTGCGTCCTATTCGCTGGACTGGATCGATAGTAAAGCAGAGCTGTCAAGTGTCAACCCGAAGCATGAGTTCCCCCTGACTATCAATTGCGGTTATGCAGTAGTTTCCAGTCCACCTCGTCGTACAGAGTAAACTCACACGCGACCAGAAGTATAATCCCCGCGATCTCTCAACAGGAACATGTCGACACCGTTACAAATGTATCACCATGTTCCTGGATGCAGCCGCGTCACTCCGAGGCCATGTTTCCTTGGAACGTCCCTCTCGATTAGGTGTGCCGTGTATCCAGCTCAAAACCCGCTGACTAAGTAATGAAATGAGATTCCAGCTTCAGGCTCGGAGTCTTACTAACTAGGCAGGTTTAGGGACTACTGTAGTCACTAATCACCAATCACCCCGACGACCAATGAGTAGTCGGATGCTGTACGACCGTTGGTGGGCTAAGCGAAATTGGGGTCGGAGAGTGAACAGGACAAGAAAGACTCTCGTTGGCTACAAGGTGATTATGGGGGCCAAGACTAATAAGGGGGCCAACGGATCTCCTGCAATGGGCATGTTTTATTGAAAAGCTGAACCAGTGCTACAGAGGAACCCTAACAAACAAATAACACTGTACATACATAATCCTTGGTAGTCATACTAGATTTAGTTAGTTAGCTGAAAAAGCGGAAAAGGCTGACCAACCGAGCTTTGAAAGGGAAAATTTGCACCGTGCCGAGTCCCAATCAACTGCTTTCCTCTCTCTGTCCGGAGGGTCTTGTTCATTTCAGCCATTGGCCCATCGGCGGCCCTGGATTGGGTCCCGCTGCGGCGTAGAGACTCTCTAGAGAAATTATTACCTGCACCCGTGGTCCTAGTCTGCACTGGAGAGCACCTTTTAGCACTTTTAGCACCGGTTAGTACTTTTTGGGCCTCCTCCCTTGCGGTATTTTGGTTTTATACCTGCATAAGTTTCCTAGCGTCCTGTTTCGTATTCTATACGGCGGCCGATGGTGGATGTGGCTGCGGTGCCCTATGCTCCATAATCTGGATTGCTGATTGCTCCGTCATCTCGTAAGATTTGTAGGGCAGCTTCATTGAAGGAAGCTGCTTCTACTGTACTTCTCGTAAAGATCTATGGATTATAATCATCATCAAGTACCATGGTGATAACTCGTGCATATAGAGAAGCTGGTACTATTCCTCGGCCTCGGTCGCTGCATGGCCAGCAACATCCTCTTATTATTATTCGAGATTTATTCAATGCAGTCATCAGTCATTCACATTATTCTCGGTGATCTCTCGTGCATCAGCCCGATCGGCCTCCGTCAACTCCGTTCCGCCGCATCCGCCCGGCTCTCTCTCGGAGGCTTGGATGGATCGTATGGATACCGTAGGGAAAAAGATTCTACTGTAGTCTGATTATTGATCATGAGAAAAGGAATCACTGACTTGAGATCCAAATAATAGATAGCTGCCTATCTGATCATAATTCTCCTAGCGACCAGAGCTGTAATTAAGGAGCACCGCCCCTCCTCAAGAACGGGACTAGTCATGGTAAATCATACTGTAGTTAACTAACTACTTAATTAGTTAGTTGTACTGTAGTTAGTACTGTCGTGAAATGGAAAGTCTCTGACGTTATGGACTTTTTTTTTCTCGCTGCTGATTTTTGCTGCCAGCCCGAACCCTGGAACGCCGGTAATACCAATACCAGTTCCATACGGGCCTCCCAGCTTTGCTCCCCTTCTTAATCCTTTACTTCTTCCCTTCCCCCCGGTCCTCCTTCAATTTAATTAATCTTCACCTTGAGAGCTTTTCGACCTCACGGCCACCGCGACGCCTTGCATACAGACCGGTTCACCCACCACCACCTAATCCAGACAATCCTCTCTCATACCGGTCTGTTGACAAGCAACTCGCTGCCAACCCTCCCTGTCGAAATTCTTTCCGTCTCATCCCGCGCGATCTATCCCTCGACGCCTGTTCCCGCCTACTCCCCTCCTCACTCTCTCCCTATCTTCCACTACGAGTGATCCCAAGAGTCTGTCTCCGCCAGGAGACTAGCGCCGAACAAAATGAATACCTTCCCATCATGGAAGGATCGCACGCAGAACCAGTTCGGCAAGCTTCAGATCCAAATGCCATGGCGCTCCTTCCAGATGCTCGTACCGCATCGCATGCGCCGCAAGATCCGCTCAAAGCTTCGAAGCCGCATATCACCAACCTCCTCCATCTCGACTCTGCAAACCTCATTCTCACCTGTCGATACCCTTCGATCGCTCCAGTCTCATCGCTGGACTATGTATGACTTCCAGTACCTGCTACTCCTGATCCTCGGCTTCTTCTCCTTGACGATCATCCAATCCCCTGGCCCGTTGGGCAAGACCTCGATCGCGACTCTCCTCCTCTTCTCCCTTCTCCTGCCTATCACCAGGCAGTTCTTCTTGCCATTTTTGCCCGTTGCGGGTTGGCTCATCTTTTTCTATGCGTGCCAGTAAGTTTGAACTACTCTTGTCTCCTGTTTCGTTTGGGCGTGTTGCCTCCCGTACGAGCTTACGCCCGTATGGATGGCGCACGGAATGCTTCTCCGAGACTTGGGTGTGGAGGCAAAGCTTTGTTATGCTTTTGCCGCTTAAGACATGAATTGAACATCTGGGTCTAACGAATTGATTACAACAGATTCGTTCCTAGCGACTGGCGTCCCGCTATTTGGGTCCGGGTGTTGCCTGCTATGGAGAACATCCTCTATGGTGCCAACATCAGCAATATTCTGTCTGCCCACCAAAATGTGGTGCTCGATGTGCTGGCCTGGATTCCCTATGGTCTGTGCCATTACGGTGCTCCCTTTGTCGTCTCCTTGATCCTCTTCATCTTCGGACCCCCCGGAACAACCCCCTCTTCGCCCGCACTCTCGGATACATCAGTATGTTCGCGGTTACCATTCAGCTGGTCTTTCCTTGCTCGCCTCCCTGGTATGAGAACCTGTACGGTCTCGCTCCGGCCGATTATTCCATGCAGGGTAACCCGGCCGGTCTGGCCCGGATCGACAAGCTGTTGGGCATTGACCTGTACACTTCGGGCTTCAAACAGTCTCCCGTCGTCTTTGGTGCTTTCCCCTCGCTCCATGCTGCGGATTCAACTTTGGCCGCTCTGTTCATGAGCCATGTCTTCCCCCGGTTGAAGCCCCTCTGGGTTACCTACACCCTCTGGATGTGGTGGGCTACCATGTACCTGTCTCACCACTATGCTGTGGATCTGGTCTGCGGTGGTCTGCTCGCGACCGTGGCCTTCTACTTCGCCAAGACCCGCTTCCTCCCCCGTATCCAGTCCGACAAGATGTTCCGCTGGGACTACGACTACGTCGAGATTGGTGATGCGTCCCGTGAATTCGGTTACGACCTCGCCAGTCTGGATGGTGACTTTACTCTGGATAGCGACGAATGGACTGTGGGCTCTTCGTCCTCGGTCAGCTCGGGTTCTCTGAGCCCCGTTGACGACCACTACACCTGGGAGAGCGAGACTCTGACTTCGAACCACGACCTCGAGGCCGGTCGCTGAAGCACCCACCCGACATGCATATATCGTTTTTTGACTTTGTTCATTATTGCATATTCTCTTTTTTCTCCCCTTGCGGGGACGGCGTTAACACTTCACGACACATGTTGGGACCATCATCTGCATCGAGCCATTTTCGACACCTACGTTTTTAATCACCCCTCTACTATTGAGGACCTCTGGTTCATGCGGTCCCCGATTCGCTTGGACTGAAGGTTCTATTTTTACTTTTTCTGGCTGTACATGCCATTGTTCATTCTCCACCGCTGGGATTGAACGTCTTTCCCGTCTATAATCTTAATACCGGCGGCGCGCCCTGGTTTCGCCTACCCGGGCTTGTGTGACTGCGGATGCATCTCCATTCCGCTCGCATCGCCACCGTTGGACACCTTCGCTTGTACAGAAAATGGAACTCGCCTTGACCCTTTTTTTAGGAGACGATCCATGACTTTCGATTCTTCAATTCTCACTCATGTCTTTCGCTACGACCATTTTTATCCACTGGATGAGCATTATTTTTTCTATTCGCTTCACGCTCATCCAGTTTGCACAAACATTTTTATCATTCGTGTCGATCGCTTACGAACTGGCGCCTGGGAACTTTTTTTGGGAACACGGTTTACGGGGACTGGAAAAAAAGTTTCGGCGCCTTGCTTGCACTATCACTCGCTGTGCATTAGAACATTTTTTGGTTGGACATTGGCTGCTTCGCGCACATTTTTTGCATTTGGCACATAGAAGGAGGAATGGGGATTGGAGAGGATTATATTCCCTTGGTGGTGCCGTCATCGCGGGCAGGAGGAGAACCCTGCCTTGACAGGTTGAGATGGACCTGAAATTCTTTGAACGAACTGGGATGGAGAACGTTGGTGGCTACTGGGAGGTGAAGAGAGATGGGAATCTGGACGGAGCCTGTCTTCTCTTTTACACCTGGCCGGTTTAATTCGCCGATCATCGTGGCTTTCGGGAATGCTGAACCCCCTAATTCGATTCGATTCGGAATGTGCATCGCACACAACACACTACGCACCCCCCTCCACGACCTTAATGTTTGACTCCTAATGTCTCTTTTCCCTGTCTTTTTTCTCCCTCTGTTGCCCTCCTCGGGGAGACGGTGGTGGGTGCTTGTGTGGTTTTGCACTTTTTTCTGTTTTGTTGTTTCGGGTATAGCCCAGGGCCTTGCAGAGGCGAGTGGTTCTGGTGGATTATCATCGTGAGCATTATCCTTAATCCCTAGATGAAGTTATGAAGAATTGTACATTATTATTATGTCGGTGTTTTCCTTGTAAGAGAGACTCTTGTAAATGTGAGTATCCTAGTCTGCTTGTAAGAGGCATCTGTAGTCGAGTCTAGTACACCTGCACCCCAGATCTATAGAACCATTTCCAATTTAGCTTTGTATAGATAGCCCGTATTCTTGGGTTATACTGATCGTATCAATAACTTACAGACCAAACCCTTCCTTCCTAGCTCGAAAGTGACCATACAATGGCCAACACACCCCGCCTTCCGCAGATCATCCCCTCGTCTCTAACTGGCTGAACCATCCTGCACGGGTCGATCCCACGGGCCCCAAACTTTGGGCTCCAGGTTGATGGTGCATGTGCCTTTCCGAGAGATGCCGGATTAGCCTAGCGATAACTAGCATTGACTCTTGAACCTTTTCTCTAATTGGTAAGGAATACTATGCTAGGAAGTGGTTAGGTAGATGGCGGAGGTCAGGTGGACAGTGCTTGTTATGCTTGTTTTTGTGCTTGATATGCAGGATTTGGGTTTGGGTCGTGTGTGCTGGATTTGAAGGGCACATGCATGTATGCATGTCCACTGTGTCTCGTATTCGTTACCTAAAGGATGTTTTGTGTGTATTGATTAGGTTCTGGGAAGCGAGGGACGTTGGTGGGGTTAGTTGGCCATTTTGGAATGTGATCGTATGATGGTCTGGGTTGTCTGTCTATCTTGTAGGTGTCATCACTTCAAGAGTGCAGTGCAGTGGAGTGCATGAAGGCCCACGGTCTAAACAAAGCTTTCCTTCATATATACTCGTATACAGACAGAAGCTAATCGACTATGTCCTTATCATACAAGTCTCAGTACGAAAGCAATGCACTAAAAATGACACCAAACTAGCCAAAGCGCCTGTGAAGTCCTTTGTTAAATTTCATCAAATCTCTATATTACTAGTAGTCGTTCCTTATTCATCATCAAAAATCTGTACACGATCTGCATACTCGCGGATATTCGAGACGAATGTCTCTTCGATCTCGTCGCCTTTTCCGCCGGCCACGCGGAGGATAAGGTCGTTTAGGGAGGCGCGGCCGAGGATATCAACATGATCACCTAGGTGGTTTGGTCAGAATTTGAGCGTGATATGGGGAAATTGGACGAGCCGGGAGAAAGAAGATACCTGTGTTTGGTCCGCCTCGAGGTGAGAAACGGTCCGGTTCATGGGGCATCTCAAAGACCTTGATCTTCGATCCCGCGGGGTTATACCGCTTCATGCGCCATCCCTTGGCACACATGTAGCCCGTGCTAAGCAAATTGACAGTTCCGTCACCTTCGCCCATCATGACGCCGTGATCGATATTCCCGTTGGTGGTGACGGTAGTATCGATGCTAACATTAAGGTTGACTAGAGGATCAAGCTCTTCCTGGTAGAAGTAGCTCCGCTCCGTAGGCTTTCCAACGCCATAAAAGCAGTAGATCTTCATATCCGGTGCATAGGGTAACCGGGCCTCGAGTGGGTTCAGCCATGTCCGCGGGTCTTTCTCGTTCGCTTCAACTTCACGCGTGGTATGGGCTACACCGTGCGAGTAACTGCCCAACACCTGCTTGCGGTACCAATCCTCGCTCTGATCCAACAGGTACTGCAGACTCTCGGACGTTGTAAGGTTGCGGCGTGTCCAGGAGGAATTGGTCTCACGGAAATTGAGCAAATTGCCGAAGCTAATCTCTTGTCCGGGCTGGTCGTCCGGGGCCCAGGTTGCGTTGCCCCAGACGGCTTCGCCGCCCTTGGGCAGCATGCTGGAAATGCCGGGCATGGCTCGGAAGATCTCTGCACGCTCTTCCTTGGACAGGAACTTCTCCAGGCCATAGACGGCGAAGGCATTCAGTTGTGCTGTATCGCGCATCTCGCCGGACAGCACGGCGGTCAGTCCTTTGACCGCGCCGAGCATGCATCCACTGATGTTGACCCACGAGTCAATGTGTTTGTTGACCCAGTCCTTGCCACCCTTGCCGTGGTCTTCGCTTTCCACCCACTTGAAAAAGTACATCACAACCTGTGAGCCCATACTGTGCGATGCCAGGGTAATCTTTTCGCCCTGCCCTTCCACCGCAGTTTCAATATAAGATTTCAGCCGGCTGAAGTACTTGTCACGAACTTCGAGGTTGGGATACGCTAGGCGCCAGTCGTAGGCGGCAGTAAACGCATTGGTCGGGTCATAGCCGATAGTTGCCAGGTTTTCGAGAATCTTATTCCAAATCCAGTATCCCGTGATAAAGAAGTCTGTAGCGTCGAATCCCTGCGCAGCCCGTAGCTTGATACCGGGCGGATCGAGACCCGTTTCACGATCGAGCATGATATGGTTCTTCCATTCTGCCTTGTCCATCACCAGTGCCCGCATCATGCTCCAGCTGCCCCATAGTCGACGGCGGAAATATTGGCGTGAACTGACGCCCGTTCCCCAGCTTTCAAGACCAGTCGAGATGACGCCCGGGATCATCACAACGGGGTGTTTCGCTTCGACTCCTTGAGCTTGGAGTTGTAGACCGACGGAGAATGAATCATAGCTAACGGCTTCGCGTTCGTGTTGCTATTATCGCGTGATAAAGAGTCAGCCCATGTCTTCAACGCATAGAGAAGCTAGGTAAACAGGGCGCTATGCTAGGCAAGCAAACGCACCGAGAACGCCTTTGCATCACGCACAATTCCTTGGGGTATGACATCAATCAAAGATTCGAGGTTCAAGTCCATCAGCGAGTCCAAAGAAATGACCTCCTGCTGGTTCGCAAAGAACAGGGCAATAAATATGCCGAACAGGCCACCCAGCACGAAGATGAATCCATTGCGACGTTTGCTCCGCGGTCGGATGACCAACTGCTTCACTTTTGCACCATCAAATTCAGCGCGAAGCTTTTCCTCTTCAGTTTGAATCCGGTCCAGCCGGGGCCGGTCCTTGTTGTCGTTGTCGTCGTGAGAGGGGGCGTCGTGAGAAGGGGCGTCGTCTTTGCCCGTGCGGCGGCGCAACATATTGCGACCGCTCAGAGAGGGGGTATGCTCAAGGAGCTATGACCGGAGCCCGGGAGGACCAAAACACACCTTGTCCAGGGAGATGGTCGATGGTAGAAACGAAAGTCTAGGAGAGAAAAGCGAGTCAGCTCCAGGAGAACATCCCACCCCAAAAAATCAAGGAATGTTGTACCTGCGCGAACGTGAACGGGAGGATCGGCGTCACATGGCAATCGCCCAATGTACTTCGCAGCTTGGCTCCGCCCCACGAACGTCTGCTACTTGCTGCTAGTTGCTTGCTCCATCGCCAATCAACCGGACTCTCCGCCAACCATCCGACTCCGCGACCCCCTCGACTCTCAAGCTTTGAGATTTTCTATCCACCCCTCCGCATCCATGAGCTCATGACGCTGCGGCAATGACCCAAGATGCCCCTTCCGACCTCCGCTACGTGCGGTACGATAGCGCCCGCGAGAACGAGTACGTCGCCGCCATGCGCCAGCTGATCTCCAAGGATCTATCCGAACCTTACAGTATCTACGTATATCGGTACTTCCTCTACCAATGGGGAGACCTCTGTTTTCTGGCCATGGACGACAAGGGCGAGATGGTCGGTGTCGTGGTGTCAAAGCTGGAGCCGCATCGTGGTGGCCCGCTACGAGGGTATATCGCCATGCTGGCCGTGCGCGAGGAATACCGGGGACGGGGCATTGCCACTAAACTGGTGCGCATGGCCATTGATGCAATGATCGAGAGGAATGCAGATGAGGTATGTGTATCCCCGACGAGTAAGAATCTCTTGCCAGTCTAGCCCTGCTCACTGTGTCGTGTGTCGCGTGCAGATCGTCCTCGAAACCGAAATCACCAATACCGCTGCAATGAAACTCTACGAGCGACTAGGTTTCTTGCGCAGCAAGAAACTGCACCGATATTATCTGAATGGCAACTCGGCCTACCGGCTCGTCCTATATCTTAGGGAAGGAGTTGGCTCAATTCGAACATCGTTTGACCCATATGGTCTGCCTCCTGCCCCTCTCCCAACTCTCGACCAGATCTTTCATCCACCTGCTATCGCGCAAGGCAATGGTAGTTAATCTGCTTAGCGTTATTAGCAGAATACCTGATTACTTACCCCATGAAGAAGGATGGGCATGATCATGATAACCTTATGAAAAAAATGACACGAATGAATAGACTTGCACTTGCACCTGGAATCGGCGTCTGGATTTGACAACATATAGTTAGTCCTTGGGAGGGTAGACTTTCACTATCGGCCTTGTACTGGGTTAGCTTTTGCTTGTATCTCTTCATGTTCCGTGGAGTCCCTCTCACATCATCATTTTTATTTGTTGTCCTGTGATAAATAGCGTTCGTCTGTTTGCCTTCTATCTAGGTTATCTTCTATCCTGGGTGAGAGGTACCAGTACCCAGATATTCCAGCAAAGGCTCTAGGTTATCTTTTCTAGGTTGTAGCAAATAAAGCTAGCTTTTTCCTTTCAACTAGAAGATATGTATCTCGTATATTCTCTTCATAAAGAAAGGGATTCGATACGAGAATCTGCAGACTCTGACGAGACTATCTGTGTGTTATTTCTGTTACCTTGATAGTAATCATTACCCCTTCAAAATCCTACAGACTGACTGTACTTGGAGACTCTTTTAGCACAGTATCATCAAGGATCATTGGGTTTTATTGAAGGTCAACGAGAAAATCCCAGAATTCTGTATGAAATTCCTAGCAAAAGATGTAGTTGCTTCAGGAATAATACTTCACTACTGTGATGACCGCATTTCTCACACAATATTTGATCATCTAGTATTTAATAAGCCTTGTTGCTTTGATGGGATGTAATTTCCTTATTACAATTCGATTCCATCCTGTTTAGTTGCATCAAGAGCGAACAGATGCTGGAAATTAATATAATTCATCAAGTTTACGTGGCGCCCCCTACGTCATCGCGTGCATCACCCGATTGAGCTTGATATACAAAACAGTAGTACAACCAACCCTCGTCAACTTTAGATATCCACGACCACAGAGCAAACAAGAACCCAAAGTTCTCTAAACTCCCTGATTAGCTTTACTATTGCTATTCCCCACATCCCTCAGCAACTCTCCAATTTCCTCCGCGATGTCTCTCGACCCCGTCACCAGCGGTCTCGGCCGCGGCCTCCCCGCCAACAAAGTCACCGAAACAGCCACCGACACCGTTCAATCAACCGCCCAAAAACCACTACAACAAGTGCAAGAAACAACCAAACCCCTCACCGACCCAGTCATCCCAGGCGAATTCCCCTCAGAAGACGGACCCCGCGACACCGACCAACCACCCCCCGAAATCAACTTCCGCGGCATCTGGGCCGGCCTTAGACACTGGTTCGCGTCAATGATACCACAAGCCTTCGACGGGTTCGAGTGGCTTGTGACATGGTTGGTGAACCGGTACCTGCCACCGCCTAAACAAGCGGCTATGTATGAGGAGGCGCTGAAACGACCTATTGCTTCGACCTTCCTCGTGTGCCAGATGATCTGCTGCGGTGTGCCGTTGTTGGTGTTCCTGGTCGGGGTGGGAGTGTTTGCGATTGTTGCGGTGTTGTTGTATATTGTTCTGGCGTTGTTGATTCTGGGGCCGATATTGATTGTTGCGAGTATGATGGGGGTTTCGTTGTGGGGCTGGGGGTGGGTTTTGTATGGGTTGGTTAAGTGGGTGGATCGGCGGTTTTTGGGGGGGATGATTACGCGCTTCTGGTTGCCGAAGGTGCAGGGGGAGAAGGAGAGGACGAAGGACGATAAGGGAGAGGGAGAGGGAGAGGGTGAGATGGAGACGGAGGGGGAGGGGGATGGTGACAAGAAGGATAATTGAGGTGTTGTCGAGTCATGGTCTGCTTTTGAGAGATGAACTTATATGTTCCGCACTTTTTTTCCCCCTAGGCTGAATGAATCATGATACAGCTATTTAGAATTCGCAATGTACTCAGGCGCAATTTCATTAACTGCAGATAAGTAAAGCTGCTCGATTTGCTTCAATTCATCCTTTCTTATGTCTCATATGTAATGGATCAATGAGATATGCTGCACCTTGGGATATAGATATCACACGAGACTAGGGACAATCAACTTCTCCATCCAGAGATTCCAACAGCGGTAGAGTCACATGGGCACTACAGCCGTTCTACATACATGCCTCTTCCTGCCCCTGTTCATGCCGACGCCCATGCCCACGATTATGCACCTCATCTTTAGCTACTGTAGTCAGAATCAACGCCCGTTCCAGACTCAAATGTCATTCCAGCACAGACCAGCCTAGGTCAAGCATGAGCATCGAGCACGCGGTCAGCCGACAGGCAACTTGGTGAGTCTCGCATGGGCCATTCCCCCGCCAGACAGGAATGTAAGGTTCGACGGTGGGCAATTAGTATGAATTAATTTAATTACACTTCCACGGCGATCTTCTTCAACCGGTTGGCGACACTCCTAATGTGGTTAATCCTCGAGTCGATCCTACGGGGACCCGCTAATTATCCGTCAACGGGACCCATGTCATTGATAGGGAGGCCCTGAGGGAAAAGGGGAAGTAAGATAAAAACATAAAGTGAATATTGTTGAATAAATAGGAAGTATCCTGATATCTTATTGTACTCTGTCCTGGGTAGACGCATGCATTGCTGATCGTAGGCTCTTGCTTACTGATACTGGGGGTATCATGATATACAGTATAGCATATGCATATCTACGGTACTCCGTATATTATTATTCGAGTGGGACGAGAAATGTGTAAAGCGGCACGGCAGTTCCCCGGAATTCCAATTGAGGGGATTTCTGTATCGTTTATCGGTTGTCACTCCGTACTCCATATGGAGTGTGTACTGTATGTACAACAAGCTGCAACGGATCTGCAACGGCTCTTGGCGCGTTTCATGATGGACGGGAATTCGGGATGGGATGCACGTTGGCCCGTGTGGGTTTGGATGATCAGCCGGGCTGCGAGGGTCGTGGTGGGTATTATTGCATGTGTTTAACCTCGAGCGCGGACAATCCATGATTCATGATTTGTTCATTATTGCGTGGAAATGTACGGAGTATGGAGTAGGAAATTTCTGGTGATCATTTGTTATACTGTAGTATCTGGGGTCTTTGAGATTGATTATGGGGTACGAGTAGCGGGAAGTCTCATTTCCTGAGATGATGAGCATGGTACTGAAGTATTAATTACTGCTTTTTCCTTTTATTTCCCTGTTGTTGCATTTGATTTATTACTTTGCAGTTGCAAAAGTAGTACGTGCGCTACGTTTACTCTGTGCCTTGTCCTATTATTCGCGACTTTGTAAGGAGTACTCACCCTGCCATGATCCATCCTCGAGTATCTCCTGCCCTCGCCACCCCCAAAAATGTATCAAGTCCTAAAGAATGGACAGTTCCTGCCAGGCACCTGCATGTCTCAGGCAAGACGGATAGCTGCACTGCATTAGAACGGTCCTGCCATCAGGGGCAGTTGACATGTAGGACAAGACCATGTAGGAGATGCAGCAGTGTTCATCCTGGCCTACAAAGAGCCAAAGACTGGAGAGGGGGAAAACTCTCAAGGATCATGGACATGGATGGCTCAATCCCGAGAGTCCCACTCTGGTATCCACTTTGCGCATTTACCCCTGACCAGCCCCCGAAGCACTGACCAGCTCCAAGCAAGTGAGGACCAAGGCAGGGGCCAAAAAAGCAAAGAAATAGAGCAAAAGCAAGACAGAGACGATAAAAAAAGCAACGACGAGACAAGTGGTGAGTGGTCCGGTCCAGTGCACCCCCGCATGCGACTCATGCGACTCTTACGTCCATTAGGGTTAGTGTGGGTGGGAAAGAGTGGTGATTTCTGAGCTTGGGACGCCAACAGGTCCATGACGGTGTAGGCTACGTGGGTTTATTGAACTGAAATCACTATCCGAGTCATGCTATTCTGATGGTGGGAGGGTAAAAATGCGATTTGTGGGAAGGATTCATGCGGAGTATATAAGAGGAAAAAGCATGTGTATGCTTGCTAAAGAAGGTGGGTATTGAGTTGGGCGCGGAGGTCAAGTTTGCTCAGTAGGTTTGTCTTTGTTTTTTGCTTTGATGTTATTCTGGTTATTAAATCGGATGTTTGGAGCTCTTCATTCTTTGTTTGTACGAAGCACGTCCTCGAATAATGAAAGCGGACCGCAACGATATCGGATGGATGAGCCGGGATGGTCTGCCAATCCGGCTGAGATCCGCTAGGAGCCTTGCGTGAGACATCCCGTTGATAGCGTCGAACGATTGTAACACCTGCAACAGTCCAGCGTTGTGGATGGAGGAGTCGAGCAGATGGAAGTGGGGGTGTTTGTTTCTTTTTGGGGAGGATCTTTTGTAGCCTAGTTTGGTAGACACATGGCCCTGGATGAGGTCAGTGGGGGAGATAAAAGTATATAGCCGACAGAAGCAATGAGTTTGCAGAATGAAGCAAGTTGGAGAAATGTTATATGGAGAGCCAGTAATAAAGTCACGTTCTTGTAGGACTTGGATGTCATCTTGCCGGGCATGGGGATCTATGCTCGTTCTATGTACCTCTCCTCCATACCATATTGCGATGTCGATAGAATCTTGCAATTGAGAACAAAATAGCCCCCTATTTCCAACCCGTCCCAGAAATCAATCTGAAACTACGTGTGACTTGAACAAGATATTGTCTTGTAACCCATTTGGAGAAGGAGGAGAGGGGAGGGGTATAGTTCTAAGTGTCAGCTCATTCCCTGCACCAAGCTCCATCGTACTCCCACCTTCCTCTCGCTGAAGCATGTCGGAATGCAAGAAGAAAAAAGTATCCCGTCCCACATGGAGGTCTCGTGGACAAGAATCCAACCCGCTAGTCCCAAGTTTGAAACTTTGAACGGTCTTGACTGGTCGGCATGTTTTAGGGCCCTCCCCACTTGGTCAGTCGGGGAGAGTCAGTGCGGCCCCGTTCTCCTCCCCCATTCTTGCTTCGGATGCAGGTACCGCCGGGGTGGGCCATGCAGATTGCGAATGAGCAATGAGACCTGTGTAACTTTTGGAGCATTGAGATGTCCTCAAGGGTGGGTTGGTACTGACGTCAAGACTATAGAGTGTACTAGATGGGGATAGTTAAAAGAGAGGATGTCCAGAAGACGACACTTGAACCTTAGTAGTGTGAACTGGGACAGGGACAGATTTGAGGGTGGAGAAGTTTGGATGAGATGGAGTGGATGGTAGAGGGGCCATGAATCAAGAACTGTGTTGGATAGGTACGAGTATATATCTCATAGTTTGCACAGTACTAAGTAACAGTAGTACTGTAGTGCACTACTTGTACATGTATATTTGCCCATAACCCAGATAAGAAGGACTTGGATCGTCCGAAGCAAGGCAAATCAAGATCTTCCTATGACAGGCGGACCGTGCAAGGTGATTATGAAATGAAAATCAAAAGGTATATCATTGCTGAATATACCCATCGTCAGGCTTACGTATTATTATAATATGATAATATGATAAAATCATATGGGGTTAGCAAGGACGGTACTTTGCGGGACTTGGAATTGGGTGTGGCAAAGGATAAGGCAATTCTTTGGGACCGGGTCAGGGGAAGGATATCATCGGCAGTATCGGCAGTAGTTGGTACATAGTCCTTCTGACTGTGGTAGTAGAGTTCCATATTTGGATAGTTCGCAGAAGGTGGCGAACAAGACCGGTCCCTGATGAGTTTAGGTGGTGCATGGGGCCAGGGGTAAAAGAGAAAGAGAAAAATAAAGGCGACAGTTCACTTGAAGAAGGTTCCCCTTGCATAAGAGGGAAAAGTATGCTTCCCCCCCTACGATCGGGTCAAGGAAAGATAATCGACCTAGGTAATAGTTAAGTAGCTAATCTAGTAATAATAATAATAATAATAATAATAATACTTTCTTTTCTATTATCGAACCCTGACCGACTGAATAATATTCCTGAATTATAATCAACTTGTCTCCCCCTCCTGCTCCACCGCTTCTTATCCACCGCGCGTTTCTCTTTTTTCCCCAGGGCCCAACTAGTAACTAGTTCGTTCACTAACAAGCAAACTAGACGAAAAAGAATTAATCTCCCCCTCGGATCCCCCCCCTCCTCTTACAACTAGTCACTACTACTACGATTCTCCTCCCTCGTCTCCTTCTCCCATTCTACATCTTCCCCTCCTTTGGACCTTACCTTTGTTCCCCTACTTTTCAAACCAAGTTGGGCATCCTTATCTTCGCCTAATTCTGCCCTCGTATCGGCCCGCGCCAATTGAGTTGTCATTTCGCGTCCGCCCGATTTTCCCGCTCCCTTTTCCGTGGTCGTGTCGAAAACCCTCTTTACTCTACCAACCTCTTCACTTTCTCCCTGCTTGGTGCTGGGCGTGCGCCTTACTGTCTCTACGCTGGGGATAGATTTAAGGTAGGCGCCTGCAATTACTACTGCCTATCGCCTGTGATCCCGGCATAGTCAGCCAATTGATATATACTCATCCCCCCTATTTTCTAGACTGCCGCGCGAACGACATTTCCAACCATCGCAGTCCCCTGCGGTGCAGTCGAATTCGCGTCTTCAATACCCACCGGCACGTCGCCTGATCCCACAATGTCCGTAGCGACCATGCTTCAACCCGCATCGAGAATCTCCCGAGCCTCCTCCTCCTCGTCCTCTTCGTTTCAGCCCGTCGCACGACAGAACACCATGTCTTCGCACGATACTAGGTCGATCCGCCAATCCAAGCGGATGTCGGTCACCGCTCTCTACCTGTCCATGTCCGCAAAGGATCGGGATTTGGAAATTTCCGATGACCTGGCACGAGGTACGCGGTGGCATTCCCCTGGAGTAGTCTTATTAGACGTGTTGTGGTACTGACTCGCAGAAACCAGCCCAGAAATATCTTCGCGAACTCAAGTCAAAGATATCGTCGCAGTCGAAGAAGAACTTCGTCTTGGAGAAGGATGTACGATACCTAGATTCGCGAATTGCGCTGTTGATTCAGAACCGAATGGCGCTGGAAGAGGTAAGAGAGTGATGAATCGTGGACACCGTTGGAGGGCTCAATTTCATGTTACTCACACATGTCTTCTAGCAAAACGAAGTTGCGAGCCACCTTGATGATACCGCCGATCCACAAGAGGGATTCTTCCCCAACGACGAACGAACCCAGAAATATGGCAATCTTCTGTTCCTCCTGCAGTCCGAACCTCGTCACATCGCCCACTTGTGCCGTCTGGTCTCCATGGCCGAGATCGACTCCCTGCTCCAGACAGTCATGTTCACCATTTACGGAAACCAGTACGAGAGTCGTGAAGAGCATCTTCTACTCACCATGTTCCAGTCCGTCCTCACCTACCAGTTCGACAACACCCCTGAATATTCCTCCCTCCTGCGCCAGAACACTCCCGTCTCCCGTATGATGACGACCTACACCCGCCGTGGCCCCGGTCAGAGCTACCTCAAGCAAGTCCTCGCCGATCGTATCAACTCCTTGATTGAGTTGTGCGACGTCGACCTGGAAATCAACCCGTTGAAGGTGTACGAGAGCATGGTGAAGCAGATCGAGGAGGAGACTGGCTCGCTTCCTGATTATCTGGCTCGGTCCGTGACTGCCGAGGATGCTGCCGAAAACAAGCAGGTTCAGGCTATTATTGCCCCTCGCTTGAAGATGTTGACCGATATCGCGAACGGCTTCCTGGCAACCATTATCGAATCGGTGGACGAGGCGCCTTATGGTATTCGTTGGATTTGCAAGCAGATTCGCAGTCTGTCTCGTCGCAAGTATCCCGATGCTCAGGATCAGACCATCTGCACTCTGATCGGTGGTTTCTTCTTCCTCCGCTTTATCAACCCTGCCATTGTCACCCCTCGTTCGTACATGCTGATCGACGCTACCCCAACCGACAAGCCCCGTCGTACTTTGACTCTGATCGCCAAGATGCTTCAAAACCTGGCCAACAAGCCCTCCTACGCCAAGGAGCCTTATATGGCCAGTCTGCAGCCTTTCATTGAGGAGAACAAGGAGCGAGTGAACAAGTTCCTTCTCGATCTTTGCGAAGTCCAAGATTTTTACGAGAGTTTGGAGATGGACAACTACGTGGCTCTGTCGAAGCGTGATTTGGAGCTCCAGATCACTCTCAACGAAATGTACGCTACACACGCTCTTCTAGAGAAGCACAGCCTCGCCCTCACCCAGGACCACAACTCGCATCTCTCCCTGCTACTGAACGAGCTGGGTGCCGCACCACCTCAGGTCCCCCGCAAGGAGAACCGTACCATCACAGTTCCCCTGTTCAGCCGATGGGAGACTGCTCTGGACGATTTGACCGCTGCCCTGGATATCACTCAGGAAGAGGTGTTCTTCATGGAGGCCAAGTCGACTTTTGTCCAGATTCTCCGTTCCCTGCCCCAAAACTCCTCGGTCGCTCGTCGCCCATTGCGCCTGGACCGTATCGCTGAGGCGGCTGCTACCCTCAAGAATGACGCCGTGATGGTGCGAAAGGGTATTCGCACTATGGAGCTGCTAAGCCAATTGCAGGATATGGGTGTTATTGACCGCTCGGATGAGTTCAGTCTTCTCCGGGACGAGGTCGAACAGGAACTTGTCCATCTCGGCTCCCTCAAGCACCACGTGCTGGAGGAGACTCGGAAGCTCGAGGAGGTGTTTGCAACCATCCGCGACCATAATGCTTACCTGGTCGGCCAACTGGAAACCTACAAGTCTTATCTCCACAATGTGCGCAGCCAGTCCGAGGGCAAATCGCGGAAACAGCAGAAGCATCAGGAACTGGGACCGTACAAGTTTACGCATCAGCAGTTGGAGAAGGAAGGTGTCATTCGGCGGAGTAATGTGCCGGAAAACCGTCGGGCCAACATCTACTTTATGTTTAAGAGTCCGCTGCCCGGCACCTTTGTCATCAGTCTTCATTACAAGGGTAAGTCACGAATGTTGCCATTCAATTTGTTGACGTATGCTAATCAATCTTTCAATTCAGGCCGCGCCCGTGGATTGTTGGAGCTTGATCTCAAGCTTGACGACCTTCTCGAGATGCAAAAGGACAACCTGGAGGATCTTGACCTGGAATACGTCCAGTTCAATGTCACCAAGGTGCTCACCCTTTTGAACAAACGATTTGCACGCAAGAAGGGGTGGTAAAGGTCCCCAGGTTCCAGCAAACCTCGCCTTACTGACCACGGAACTCCCCCTTATGATTGATGAGACCGAGCACGAAGGAGCAGCGTTACACAATTGTCTCTCCAACCTCCTCCGTGACTCGAATAAAGTGGGCCTCACTCTGCGCCGCTACTACTCTTTTGATGATCTTGAATGGACACGGATTTGTCCGTAATATACATATACCCGTCCGTCCTCGGCCTACAGAACGATGGACTGGACTGATGCACTTGGCATGACTTGACCGCGCCCGCGTCTGCTCGCCCAGAGCTATTACCCCTCGATGAGTTGGGCATGAGCGGCAAGCATGTCTCGTGTGAAATGTGAATGTGATTGTGAATGTTGTCGATACGCGAACATAGTTGATGGAGGATGATCACAGTGGGAACCCGCTGGCTCGGGGACCCGTGGGTGATTGTTGGAATGATCGAATGATCGAGTTATATCGGATCGGTTTTATTTTCTTCTGTATTTCTCCCTTGTGGTGGATGATCTTTTTCTTGGTGGCAAGTTATACCCAGCGCATAGTTACTGTTGTTTTTTTTTCCCATTGGCTCTGGTTCTGTTATGTTGATTCGGCGAGTGGTTTCTCCTGTCTTTTAATCTTGTCTCGAAGTTGTTTTTGAATGCTTCTATCACCGCTCGTGCCCACCATTGTTTCCTGGGTCTCCTTGCGCTGTGTATAATAATCCTGCTTATTGCTGTCCGGTTGTCTGTTGATTTGAATACCCGTTTCTGCCTGTTCTTATCTCTTGCCTGTACAGAGCCAAGCCAGATGCCGTTAATAATCATTGCGAATCTATTCGGGCTGATGATTGAGACTTTCTTGTCTTCTAGTCTTTGACTGTAGTTACTATTTCCCGTGTATGATTTATTAGATTGTATAACCAGTACATATCAAAGACCAAGGACACGACTGACGTCGAATTTGCGGTGACTCTAATCCACAAGTGCCGATGATCTCGTGTTGCTTGGGTCGGTTTAGTTAGCCTGACTTAGTATGAACTAAGAATTAGTTGGACTTGGTTAGTTACTGGTGCACTAAATTGCTGTCCTAGCGTCTTGTCTTATAAGTGGATTCATTCGACACCGCCTCATGCCCCTCTTCTTATGTTTTGATTTTTTTTCCAGGGATAAGAATCGATTCCTGGAGATATTCAATGGGATGTAACCTAGGCAGAGACTGAGATATACTGGATGCAACAATCCCGTAATGAAGCAGCCCAAGACCAGCCTAAGGTTATGGCTGACTTAGAATCAACATAGCCACTCTGGGATAACAACATTGGCATTGGGCCCCACGCACCCCTATATGGCCTGCTTCTCTCCGTATGGAGTTCATACTTTTCTCCCTTTTCCTTTCCAGTCGAAACTTGGTAACTTGGGGGAATGACAGCTGGTCGATGGGCCTAACAATAACCGGCTCACACGTCCACCCAATTCCATTCAATGCACATATTAGGCCAACCCCTAATAATACTGAATAAATTGTAGTCTCATCAATTACCCAGATCCAGAGTAGGTTATAATATGTACAGAGTAAAGAGTAGTAAACAACCATAAAAACGTTAGCGTCTCTCTATTTACGCAGCAAATCCAGCCGATCTCCCCCAGTCGCCGGTTTTAAACCTCGAGGTGGCCACAATCCCGCCTTTCACCCACTCTCCACTCTCCGCGACTCCCTCTCCTCTCCCCTCTCCTTCTCCTTCTCCTTTTCTCTTTCCTCTCTTTCTCCTTCCAACCCGCCCATTCAACCCTCCTACATCCATTCACCATGGCGGCCCCTACCGAGCAGAAGCTCCCCACCGACCCCAAGTACGACCACTACGACTACCCGACCACCGCGCCGGAGAAGCAAGATGGCCACCCCGGCCACACCACCCCGGAACAGGATGCGAAGGTGTTCCAGCTCCGGACAATGCTCGAGCAGCTGGGCTACACGGAGCGATTGGATACTCTGACTCTGCTGCGATTCCTGCGCGCTCGCAAGTTCGATGTTGAGGCTTCCAAGGCTATGTATGTTTGTTTCTTTTCTGGTTTGAATCTTGGGAATGTTGTTGGGTGGCGGTGTCTGCAATGCGGGCGGAGGGGTACACGAGTACTCTGTTTTGAGACTGTATCTCTTCTTGGGATTCGATTCTGCTTGGGATTTCCTGGTCGCGGATGTTGTAATGATATGATCGGTTTCTAATTCGTGTCTTTTGTGGTGGATAGGTTCGTGAACTGTGAGGAGTGGCGCAAGAAGTTTGGCACAGATGATCTGCCTCGCACTTTCGAGTACCCCGAGAAGCCCGAGGTGTTCAAGTTCTACCCTCAATACTATCACAAGACCGACAAGGTAGGTTTCCTCTCGCCGTGGTGGAGTGGTCGTTGCTACAATGGCCCTGCTTCTTCGCTCGAATGTTTCTGACCACCCCCGCCATTTCTACAGGATGGCCGCCCCGTCTACATCGAGAAGCTGGGCAAGATCGATCTCAATGCCATGTACAAGATCACCACCGGCGAGCGCATGCTACAGAACCTGGTCACCGAGTACGAGAAGCTGGCCGACCCCCGTCTGCCCGCCTGCTCCCGCAAGGCCGGCAAGCTCCTCGAGACCTGCTGCACCATCATGGACCTGAAGGGCGTCGGCGTCACCAGCATCCCCTCCGTCTACGGCTACGTCCGCCAGGCTTCCGAGATCTCCCAGAACTACTACCCCGAGCGTCTGGGCAAGCTGTACCTCATCAACGCCCCCTGGGGCTTCAGCAGTGTCTTCTCCGTCGTCAAGGGCTTCCTTGACCCCGTCACCGTGAACAAGATCCACGTTCTCGGCTCCGGATACCAGAAGGAGCTCCTCGCCCAGGTCCCCGCCGAGAACCTCCCCGTTGAGTTCGGCGGTTCTTGCAAGTGCGAGGGCGGCTGTGAGTTGTCTGACATGGGCCCCTGGCAGGAGGCTGAGTGGGCGCGCGAGCCTGCTTGGGCTACTGCCCCTCCTAAGAAGGAGGGTGAGGAGGCCGTTGTTCAGAACGAGGATCCCGGCTACGAGAAGAAGGATGCCGAGGGTCAGGAGGGTGCCCAGGCCAGCGCTTAAGAGGCGTGAGGGAGACTGGAAAGGCAAATCAAAGCAATTTATAGAGAACGTTTTATCTTTTTTTTTCTCCCATCCATTCGCTTCGCCGTCTTGCATTCGTCCGAAGCTGGGCAGTGTTACTGCTGCTCGAGCATTTGTTGGACGCATACTCTATTCCCCTTCCATCTCCTCTCCCATCTTCTCCTTCCTTCGTTCGTACCGAACCCGCCCCTCTGGATCTGAAATAGAAAAAAGAGCGAGAGAGAAAGACAAATCGGGCACCCCCAGACCAGCGAGATCGTGGATGGGAAGATCTTGTTCATGAGTGATCTGCCATCTAAATTGTCGTTGCTAAGATCGACGAACTACAAGAAGAAAAAATCCTGTTTCTATTTGATATCCCCCCGAATTTTCTGGTTCGTTCTTGTTTGAATGCAATATCTTGTCTTGAAATATTCTCGTCTTGTCTATAATGCTAAGGTTCTCGTTGGTCTTGGAAGTACAGAATGTAATGCATGTTCTTAGCAATTGGAAGAGGTATAGAATTTCTCCTTTGTTGTCTGATACCAGGTTCAAGAAGAGTATATGTTAGGAGAGGTCATAAGAAATGGATTCAATCTCAATGATATGATAGCTCAACGAGCGTAAGAACAAAAAATAATAAGATAATGGTATCATAATCCTCAATTTCCAACCACGACACCATAACGCCTCCACCCTCCCAAAGAAGTGGAATAAAAAACCCAAAGCGCTCCAGTCATAAACCGACATAACCATTCTATCCCATTCTGCCATATCCAAATCCCAGGACATCCCAAATTTAACATCCTCACATACTCTCCACAACTTCAGCCGCCCGCCCAGCCCGCTCAGCTTTACCAACCGTCGTCGCCAGCGCATTCCCCTCAGAACCAGCCTCCTTCCCGACCTCGGAATCGCCTTCACCCTGTAATCGTTGCAGTGTTCGTAGCGCATTCTCGTATACCTCGGCCATATCACCGTTCCGCCAGCGCTCAGCTTCTTCGTCTGTGCCGAGTGGGATGTCGAGGGTCCAGGCTGGATTGGGACGGGTACGGGCAGAGCGACGGCGTTTCGTAGATGTCGACGCCGATGCAGATTGGGTGTCCACGTCCATAGCATCAGCATCAGCGTCAGTGTTCACGTCCTCCGCAGTCCGGTCTTGAGTCTCCTCATCCTCATTCTCCATCACCGTCTCATCTTCGTCCTCTTTACTTTCCTCCTCAATCAACCCAGCCAATTGCGCGGCATACACCTTCGCCGCCTTCCTGGGCGCCTCACGACGTAATTGCGCGACGGTCGTCGTTAGAGATTCGAGTTGTGCGTAGAGCGTGCTTACGCGCGAGGCGAGCTCGGAGTCAAAGGGTTCGTACTCGACTGTCTCTGGTGCGGTGAAGGCTGCTGGGAAGGGGAAGGCGGGTGATGAGGAGTCTAGCCCGTTGATGCTGATTGAGGAGGAGGCTGTTGTGAAGGTGCGGGTTATGTACTGGTTTGGAGGGAGGTATTCATTAGTCTTTGTATACTGTGGGTTCCTTTCGCCGTGTTTGATGCGTATATTATCGAGTGATATATATGCCGAGTATAGTATAACGGCTTAAGCTAGTATTGGGTAGAGGGAGAGTGTTTGATTGATCCTACCTCATCGACCAATTCCCGCACGCGCTCGCGCATCGGGTCTGGCTGGTCATCGTTGGTTGCGGAAGGGGGAAGATTCAGGTCCAATTTTTGCCGGGAGAGCGCGACTGTGTTGGCGTATAGATAGGTGAAATCGGCTGGGGATTGGAGCTCGACCTTGCGGTAGTGTGGTGCCGCCATGATGGTTGTTGCAGTATCGGTGGTGGTAGTGGGGGTGTGTGATGTTGGATTTGTTGATGGGACGCGTTGGAGAGTTTCGGCGGGTTTAGAGGTAGCGGGCTTGGCGATCGGGCCCAAGGGGAAAAGTGCTGCTGCAAGTCCCCGCAAACGATGTCATCGATGACTGCGCCACTGTTTCTGAAGACTTGGAGATTGACCTCCTGTTTGTCTTGGATTTTTCCTTGATAGATTGGACCTTCGAGGTCGTTTTGCTGGCTATTCGTTCATTCTAGTGCTTTCCAAGCGAATTCTTTTTTCTTTTCTTAACTCCCACTAATTCGAGTGCCTGGGTTTTGTCCGCGGTGGAGTGATGCGACCAACTCCAGGTTAAGCTCGTGGCCCTTGTCCATCGACCTATTCAACCCTATCACCAACTTCTACTATACCGAAGAACACCGAGAACGATATCACCAAGACATTTCCGATCACAACTATGGAGGATTCCACCGGTATCTCGCTCGTGGACAATACGGACCCCTCGCAACAACCTACGAGCGGAGCATCCTCACGACAGCAATCTACACTCGATCGCCAGAGCACCTTGACAAAACACCTCAGTCGAGCATCTGTGTCGGGCCAGCTTGCAAAGAGGAAATATGCCAAATGGCAACCGGAAAGACTCGGCCTCGCGTCCGACACGGAGCACTCGTTAAGCAGGGAATCGTCACGGGCACGAGGTTCGATCTCCGCAGGAAGCTCCGGAGGCCCAGCAAGTCGACAATCGTCACGTCAGAGGAATGGCACTTTCAGTTCAGGCGCCGGCGCTTCAGAAATTGACACGGCCGATTTTGCTCCCTTGCGAACACTCAGCACTACTAATGAGGATCTCACGCAAGCACCCACCACTGCCGAGGAACCAAAGATCCTCTCCGAACTAGACATTCTCTATGAAAACCAGCGCGGCTGGTTTTTCTTCGGTATTCCCCTTTACTCGCACAGCTCCCTCCTCAACTTCGACCCCTCCGCCTGGATGACCCAAGACAAGCGTGCTAGCGCTGTGAATATCACCAACGCACAAGTCCCCGATCCCAGCTGGGAATGGGCCTGGCGTACCTGGTACGTCGACATGTCCGGCGATGTCGATGAGCAAGGGTGGCAGTATGCGTTTTCGTTCTCTTCGTCGCAATGGCACGGCACACACCCCTGGTTCCACTCGTTCGTCCGGCGGCGTCGCTGGGTCCGTCTTCGGACGAAGATCTCTGAGAGGCGCCACCGTGGTCGGTCGGAGTTTGAAAGAGCTCATATGCTGAATGAGGATTATTTCACGATTCATTCATCCAAGGTGCGCAGTCGCGAGCAGAGTGTGAACGGGTTGTCGAGGGTGGAGTCGGGCTTTTTGAGCCGTGTTGGTTCGAAGGTGGAGGAGGAGACGCATATGGAGGAAATCGGGGATATCCCGAGTCTGCTACATGCGCTGAAGCAGACATCCATTGATCGGGAGAGGATTGATGCGTTAAAGAAGTTTATTGAGGAGGGTGGAGAAGAACTATATTATTTGAACGACAAGGTAAGAATGGCCTTAGATTTGAGATTCCTTGGCAGGTTGCTGATCGTACATGCTTTATGACATAGATCCCGGAGATCATGCCCATGTTTATCTTCCAAGCCTCCCGCTGGCAATTCGTTACTTATCTCGCAAAACAAACCGAGAATCTCACTCAACAACTCTCCGACGCGAACAGTGAAGACAAAGATAGGATCGAGCGCAGACGTGATAACCTCGCTCGTGCTGCCGAGTCTGGCAAGGCCCACATCACGGGCCCAGATGTCTTTACGGATACTTATGGCGAGTCGGGAACTGAGCTTTTGGATTTGACTCCTGTATCAAGACATGATACGTTATTGTCGAAACGGGCACATATGACCAATGAGCCATTGCATGTGTTGAAGAGCAGGGAAATCAAGGGAATTCCGAAGGCGGCGGAGGTTGGGAGGGAGGATCATATTTATTAATGCTGTCTTGACCTGTATGAACAGGTAGAGAAGTAGACTACTACTGCTATTCGGCGCTTTCATATCATCATATTCAAGTAAAACACGATGTCGATTGGAGAAGAACTAGCGGGACCAAAGATAGAAAAAGGAAGTATTGGTAGCAGGAAGAAGGTAGCCATGTATCTCCTCCATCGTGAGGTCCATACTGTATAGCTTCAAAATAGTCGCCATGATCATTTACGGTATAAGAAGCAGGGGCAGGTTGATAGCAAATAGCAGGGGTTATCAAAAACTCCCTCCCCCTCAAATGTTTGCCCTCCACCCTCGTATACTGTCGAAACCCGCCCCCCCTCCCCCTGTGGCCTAGTCGATAACCGTAACTCACCCTGGAGTGCTGCCAGACCGCGCCCCTTACACGGGGTATCAGGGCGGGACTGGTTCCTCTGGCGTCGGTAGGGCTGATCTCCGGAGAGGCTGACTCGGCGTACCTTTCGGCGTACCTTGTTGGATTGACTCCTCGCTGTGGGGCCAAGATATGGACTTGGGTCTTGGGCCTTTGGGTCCAGTCTGGGATTTTTTTTAAATTTATTTATGGTGGTGGCGGTATTAAAGGTTGTTGTAGGCTTTTATGATTTAGCCGTCGTACGCATCCTGACTACATACTATCCACATGAAAGAGTCACGTAATATTCGATCTGAATTGTTCTGACACGAACGAAGGTGGATGTTTCTAATGATATTGATTCCTCTTGTGTCACAAGTGAGGCTAGGTCCAATCCATTTGCTGAGCTTTCACGCATCGGAATTCCCTGCACAAATTTGATAGAAACCTAGATTGCGAGAGTTAACAAAAATCCGAGGGATGCCATCAAAGTTGACACACACGTACCGCATATGCCATCTGAACTCATCCATGAGTCCGTAAGTGTAATCCGCCCGTCCTGACAGACCCAAGCCACCCCAGAGCGAGAGTAAAAGGAATTATCCGCGAAACAGGCGCCACACTGGCGCTGGTGTCACTCAAACATGCCAATATCCTTGAAGGTCTGGGTTGTGCCGCATTTTCAATCTCTGATGCCACGTTCGAAGATCTGCCCAAATATGAGCCGGAGACTCTTCCAACAGTCTCGCCGGAGGACCATGCCTTCATTGTCTTTACCTCTGGTAGCACTGGCAAATCCAAAGGCATTATTGTTGAACACCGTAACCTGGCTACCTGTGCGAGAGATCAGTATGGGCCCATGGGTTACATTCCTGACTGCCGAGTTATTCATTTCGCCTCCTATACATTCGACTTGAGTATATATGAAACTGTGATCACCTCATTATTGGAGGCTGTGTCTGTGTCCCGTCAGAGGAGCAATGCCTCACAGACCTCGCCGGCTGCATGCAGCAGTACCACATCAATTGGACCTGCCTTACACCCTCGTCGCAGCGACTTTTCCGTCCCGAAGATGTTCCTGACCTGAAGATTTTCTGTGTCGGCGGAGAGTCACTCACACAAGCTCACGTGGATGTTGGGGCGAGCAAGGTCAAGTTCATCAATTCTTATGGTCCGGTAGAGAGCTGTTTCTGTACAGCTGGTGTCGTCGATCCTCAAAGATGGCAGCCGGGCGTTGTGGGTGACATGTTTGGCAGTCTTGCTTGGATCACAGTAATCAATGATCCCAACAACCTCGCCCCCATTGGGGCTATTGGGGAACTGGTTGTTGAGGGGCCTGCCATGGCTCGTAGTTATCTCAACAATGAAGAGTTGACTCGCGCCAGTTTTATTGATGTTCCGCCTTGGCTCCAGGATTGGCGGCCAAACAATCAGACTGGCAGATTATATCGGACTGGGGACATGGTTCGATATGGTGACAACAAATTATCTGCTTCGTTGGCCGACGCGATACACAGGTCAAGCTGTGCGGTCAACATGTGGAGCTGAGCGAGGTCGAAACCACCTGCACCGATGTTTCGATGGAGCTCAAGAAACCGCTGCGGAAGTCATTGTGCCTTCGGAAGGTGAAGCACGCGCAATTTTGGTCGCTTTTGTATTCACTGGGAAAGCCTACGAGAGTCGCGCGCTAGTTGCCTTGCTATTCCCAGTGAAAGCTTCATTGAGACGGCATCCCATGCACTTGCGCCAATCCGCGGGCGTGTGCCCGTGTACATGATTCCCACAGTCTTGCTGCCTCTGGTCACGATTCCCTTGACTGGAACCGGCAAGATCAATCGACGAGAGCTTCGTCAAGTTGCGGCTGGTCTGACTCGTGACGAGATCAATTCCTACGTCCCGACAAGCGACGATACACAAAGCAGTTTCAAGCGTCCGCCTGGCAATGAAATCGAGCGGCAGTTACACGTTATTTGCGCCCAGCTTCTCAACATTGACTTGAACACAATCGGAATCGATGATGACTTCTTCCGCTTGGGTGGTGACTCGATCAGTGCCATGCAGGTCGCAGCGAAAGCCAAAGCAGTCGGTCTTGCCATTACGGCGGCAGACATCTTGAGCCGCAAATCTATCGCTGGTATGGCATCCAGCAGTATTAAATCGCTCCCGGTGGTAGTGGCAGAGCAGGATTCGAAGCTCACTACTCCTTTTGACCTTTCGTCTATCCAATGTTTATTCTTTGAAACGATCCACGAGAATCACAGCTATTTCAACCAAAGCTTCTCTCTTCGCCTATCTGAGAATGTCGATATTGAAAAATTGGATGCTGCTCTACGGGCAGTGGTAGCGCACCACGCCATGCTTCGTGCTCAGTACCGCCGGGATGAGAATGATGGCTGGGTGCAGCAAGTGCAAAATGACATTGAGAAATCCTACGTCTTGGAGTCTCATTCGACCCAATCAACCGCTGACGCTGTTCAGATCATTTCTGATAGCCAGCAGTCTCTAGATATCTTCAATGGGCCCCTTCTTCGAGCTGACTTGATTGAAACACATGCTGAACAACAACATCTCTTTCTGGTAGCCCAACATCTCGTCATGGATCTGGTATCTTGGAGAATCATCCTTGCAGACCTGGAAAAAGCTCTGCGAACAGGAGGAGAGCTCTCGGCCTCGCCGTCTCTTCCCTTCTCGACTTGGTCTGGAATGCAAGCGGAATATGACACGAAGAAGCTCTTGCCAGCAGAGGTCTTTCCTTTTTGACCTTCTAACCACTGTAGATGGATTCTGGGGAGACGTGGAGAACAGGAACACCTGGGGAGACATTGCAAGTCTCTCATTTGCCCTGGATCAGAATAATACGGCTTCTTTGTACAACGGATTCTCATGCCTGGACGGGCTCCAAGTCACCCCTTTGGAGATATATCACGCTGCTCTGCTGGTGTCCTTCATCCACACTTTCAGGTCCCGTCCAGCCCCGAAAATCCACTGCGAGGGCCATGGCAGAGAGGTTTGGGATTCGTCACTTGATCTTTCTCGGACCGTGGGCTGGTTCACCACCATATGGCCTTGTCCAGTGCCTTGTGACGACACATCAGACTTGCGGTCAGTCCTTGAAGCTGTCCATGCAGCTCATGCTAGAATGCCGTTTCATGGTTGGGGGTACTTCACCTCTCGTTACAACAACCCCGAAGGCCAAGAGGCTTTCCACTCGCCCGCCACTCCTGAAATTGTGCTCAATTACTCTGGCCTTTACCAGCAGCTGGAGCGAAAGGGTGCGTTGCAACAGCAAACTGATGAGCTTGACGGAGCAATTTCAGACATAATCAAGTCTGCGCGCAGATTTGGGTTGATTGAAGTCTCAGTGGGAGTCCGGAAGGGATGCGTAGAGTTTGACATCTCCTACAATCGACACATGGAGAGGCAAGAGGATATCAGGCGCTGAGTGGAACTAACCCTCGAATTGCTGGTGGAGCTGGCTGTTTGAGTGTTTTCAACACTCGAATTATTTTTCCTGAAGTCTCTGTTTTGATAGAAGAATTTTCTTTCACCGTTTGTTCTCTCAGGTTGTAGAATGTATGAATGGAATGCATGATTCTCTGTTACAAACTTCCAATAAATGAGGTTCTTAACCTCATGCTGTATCAGATTGAAAGGCGCTGTGGCACAGTCCACTCACCGCCTTCCTAAAAGGCCACCGCGGCGCAACAATTTTCGGAGCAAGCATGCGGCCTTTAGTCCTTCATCCTCGAAATCTCTCCAAGCTCACACACTCCCCTTCTATGCCTTCGGATGCTATTGGGAGGCATCATTCCATATGATATCGCGTGGCCGCACGTGTCTAATAAGGCCTTTGTCTGCCGCCTTAGATACCATCGCGGCTGGCCCCGATGAACCGCTGCTCTTCCTTTACCCCCGATGGGCCGCATCGGCCTTCCGGCGAAGGCGCCCAATCTCGTCCTTAACGCGTTCTTCTGTCTCATCGAAGGATGGAAAGATTACTAGCTTGTGTCCCCGTACAAATACCCGTCCAACTGCATCAACATTCGCAACAACCCGCCGACACGCGAGCCGATGGATCTCCAACGAGACGATCTCTACTCAGACCGACGGTGACTCCTATATCAAACTACCTACCGGTCGCGCAGAATATGTGGTTGAAGACAATGGAAACGAAAATCATGCAGAAGATCTGATTGACTCGCGAAATGTGAGCCAGTCTACGTCAGCCTCGGAAGACTTAACGGCATCTACCACCCAACTCAGTGGCGTCTGCGTCCGAGCAGCAAAGAAACGAGATCGTTCAATACCCGAAGAGTTGAACTTGGTGCCAGTCACGCCTGGATCGAGTCAGCGTGTTCATAGGAGCGATTTCAGGAGGAACTTGTCGCCACGGAATCAGAAGCAGGTTCTATACGGCGAGTTTATCCTCGACAGGGAAAGGGAATTCGGGATATCACCGAATACAAAAAGCTGGATGGATTTGCGAGATTTGTTGTTGAACGTGCAGCGGCAGACCAAAGGTGCGAATCGGAGGGGCACAAAGTATAAAGAATTGCTTATCCCCGAAGAGACTATCGCCCTCATGTGTGGATCTACAACGCCAGGCAAAGCTATGGAGGAGAATATCTGGCATCTTCCAATCCGCCATGGATGTCTGGTACACGTTCTTCCTCCCGATAAGGGTGATGGAGTTTGTCGCAAGGTTGTCTTAATGGGGTCAGAAGGCACCCTGGAAATGGTTGAGGATGCCATCAAGCGGCAGCAAGATCTCCAAGCCAGTGGAGACCCTCTTATTGAAATTCAGAAATCGCCAGTCCCCATCATTGCTTCAATGGGAAGACTAAAACGACTGAAACGCCCAGTGCCATTGATCCGTGGAGTCTGGACGGCCCCCTTTGATGACAAAGAGCCAATATACTTGAGCAAACTCCTTGCAAGTGGGCATTCATTTGACTCAGTCAGGGAATTTGCGGATCACGTTGAAGATGTGATCAATTCGAAAAGAATGAACTTCGCCAAGGAGGCCAAGGAGGGTGAATCCAGTGAAATTCCCCAACGGGGCCGGGTTGCGAAGGAGCTCGTACGGCTGTTCCGACGGGAATCAAACCGCAAATTTTTTTCCACCGCCGCTATGAACAGCGCGCTCAGGTATCTCTACAAAACGGAATACCTCAGTTTCGCTCGCGAGGTGTTCATCGCAGCAGAGCATCTCGCGACGGTAGACTCATATAACATCTTGCTGCAATCTGCGGCCATTCGCCAGGATAAGCGGATGTTTGAGTACTTTTTGCAAGCAATGGCCCAAAAGCGTATTCGCCCTAATGCGCAAACCTGGCATACATTGTTGCAGGCTATGCTCACACAGAAGACCAAGGCCACAATCATCAAGGACATGGCCAAGAAGGGCTACATGAAGGACATCAACTCTATCCGCAGTGCGTTGCAGTTGACGATTTCGGATTCATTCTTTGTTCACTTGGAAAGCGGTCGGGACGTCCGCAGCTTCTTCAACCTCATGATCAAGACACATGGAGCAGACTGGTTCACTGCCTCGCTACTCAGCCAGATGTTCAATGTGACTTCGCGCTTGAAAAATCACGCGGCCATGCAAGAACTGCTTGATATTTGCGTTGAATATCATCTTGATATGAATAATGCCTGTCTCCTTCAAATTTTGTATACGGTCAAGGACGACATCTTCACTGCTCTCGAACATACTTTCAAGATCATGAAACGACTCATGTTCAAGCTCAACTTTGAGACTATCGAGATGCTTTTCTTCATCGCCTACCGAGGCTGTCACTACAATGTTTGCCGCGTGTTGTGGCATTACGCCTGCATGGAGGATATTGTGTCCTCTAGAATGTACAACAAAGTCCTGGACTCTCTCATTCGCAATGTGTCCTTGGAGACATCATCCGACGATGTCAGCAAGATCTGGCGTGTGTGTGCTGGCAAGGTGATCATCCGCCGTAATGCGCGGGCCAAATTCAAGACCACCCAGGAAGTTCTCGACCAACTGCCTCCTGAATTCCACCATGATCCCTTTCTCTACTTGGTATCTGGCTTCAAGGATACAGGTCCTGGACGAGCTTTGCAGCTTCAAATAGCCAAGGACTACGTCCATCGTGACATGCTCACTGAGGCACATCCTAAATATTCGCTGCCTCTGATGCTGGAGGCCGCTGCTGCATTGGATCAAGAGTGGCGTGGTAAACCATGGCCGTTGGCATGGATGCTTCAGAATTCCATTGGAATCCCAACCACGAGGCAGTCCTTGGAATTGGATTGACCTGTTTCTGTCCTTGGTCTATGTGCTCGTCAACCGCCTTTCCACATTTCTTCTGATGTTAGCGTGTTGCATTTGACATTCCGTTGTGCGGATTTGTCAAGACTTGTCATTTACCTTCACCTCACTCTTGTACTATTTTCTGTATATATATCCATCCCGTCCCTGTACAACATTGACAATATAGAGCATCTAGACTTCACATAATACCAGAACAAAACATTGCAAGAATATGACTTGTCTTAGATGAGCTCTTTTTTTGGGAGAAAAAAAAGGGGGGGGGGGGGGCGGGGTTGCACGGGCTTCTCGCGGACATCCTTCATTTAACGTCCAGCAACTTATCAACTACTTTACACGGCCTTGAAATAATCCTCATGATAAGTACTTGCACGATCACTCGTGTCGCTATGTGCCTGGACCGGGTTGCCTGGCTGAGAGCCGCTGATGATCCAATTTCCATGAAGCCCCGATAGTATGCTCCGATGAAGAGAATTTTCATCTCCAAAGATACTCACCATATGATCGTACTTTGAGAAAATATCGAATTCTCCTCACGTTCACCTGGCCAATCAGCATTGATCGAGTTTGCGGATAAAGCGGCCCATTACCAAACGCCTCAGTAGACCTCTGAGCCCCGCAGGATGAATTGCAACAAGCAGCTTCCTAATTCAAGTTGTGATCATCGCATTCTCAGCCCGTGGCAACTACCAAGCTTTGTCAAGCTTTTTGCCATGTGTCTTGGCGAGCATGTATAAGCAGCCCCGCTTCATTCCACCGGCTGTTGTCCAATCATTGCCTGTATGCCGATCATCGTGCGTCCCTGACTGGATGCCTGGACTGGTAATGATCGGAACTTCATGCGGGAATGAAATCACCTGGCGATTGTCGTCTGAGGACATGAGATTTGAGCAAAGACCTTCCATGCTGGGTCCATCAGGATGACAATGCATTGTGATTATTGCATGACTCGGCGTTTGAAAATGCTGAAGCAGATGCCCATCTGATAAGGCGACAAAGTGATATTCCAGCCGGTCGGAATGAGTCTTCAATGAGTTGTTGAGATATACAGAAGCGGCGTAAGCTCTGTTTTGGTAAAGCATTTAGGGGCTAGACTGGTCATCAGGAGTCATTATCATCATTCTTTAGCCGGCGGGATGAATCGGTTGTTTTCGTTAGCAAATTATTGTTCAATGGCACCAATCGCACCTGTAGCCGACAGCATATAAAAACGCGATGTCTTAGAAGAGTATGACTGTGCCGCATTGACCCTGAGACCCCCTGGTTAGCAAAGGCATAGTATGCTGATTGAAGTATAGCACTCCGTGAATGACCCGAGTAAAGACTCCGAAGTTCAGCCATGGATTCGGATCTCCGAGTTCAACTTCGATCGAGTGGTTAGTGGCGCGTGAAAACCAGACACGCGCATTTGGAAAAGGTCATGAAGCAGCTTATGAGGAGCTCGAGGAGGGGGGGCATGGGGCGATCCGGCGATCTTATTCGATAACGTTGGATGCAGCCTCCGCGGAGACTCCCGCTTACTTTGGACTGATTTCCACTGATTTGATGGGAGCACGGGGTAGAATTGGACCATCTAATTGGCCGAACGGAGTCAGTTTCAACGCGACATGTGCTGCTTTGCCCGAAGCGATGATAAATCTCATATTTTCCCCTTTGTTCTTGCTCCGGTTTCCTAATTAATCATTCTGATTTATGGAATGATCCACTGCTTGGCAGAACAAGCAATGCCCAGAAAATGCCCAGCCGGCCACCCAAGTCGGCGGCGTCGAGGGCGTTGCTTGTCTGTCGCAGAGTTTGATATGTCGCGATCGCGATAAAAACGAGCTATACGAGTATAGACTTAATCACTCTCTCATTCATATAACTAGACTTTCTATCGATGATTCCATGGCCACACCTCTGATTGAATTAGATTACCCTGCTTTTGTTCACTGGGCTAAACTAGTCATAGTATTCGAACCTAATACCTACCCGGGTTAGCAAAATATCCCCTCCGACCCAATCAGACTGACCCAATGACACTACGCAGTCACTCTTTCGTCTTGCAATAGCTGTTTGGCGTCGTTCTAGAAGTCCTTTTCTCCACTTATGACCACCACTTACCATTATCCATCACCTAAGTTCATACATGAAAGGAGTACGCTTTTCTCGCGTACTCGTCTCGTACTGCGCTGATGCAGGCACGAGCGGGCCTAAATTCCATCGCCTGGCCCGACAAACTCGTTTCACTGGTTCGGACTACCCATCGAGATATCCACTTGCGCGTGCCATATGGATCCCTCCCCTTCGGTCAGTGCACCCGAGATGTATACACCGACCTAGTGCTGGAACGGAAATTGCAAGGCTCCACTGGCGTCACCAGTCGTGCGCGCTCCTATGCATGCGATAGGATGATCAATCAGTGTCATGGTTGCAACTCTTTGGCTCTGACTGCGCTTAGACCTGGTTCGGATTCAGAACATGGCTTTCCTTGCTAAAGCGTGGTGCTGTCGCTAACTTTGTACCGTGTCTAGCGGATGGAAAGGCTGGTAGGATAAATACGATCAACTGTGCCGGTCCATAGACTTTTTTTCCTTTCCTTCGAGTCAAAGCAGTCCTTTCCTCCCTCGAGCTGATATCCTTTGTGGTTTTTGAACATTGAGTTCATTTGCTACCGTGATCCAATGGAGCCCACTAACAAGGAGGCACTCTCCTTCGAGGAGATGGAGGTCCACGAGAAGGCCGCCTTCGACGATGTCATTCGTCCTAAGGACTGTTACGCCGCCGATGGTACATACTGGGCTGATCTTCCCTTGAGCCAGCGTATCAGCTTCTGCTTGGAGCAGGACCGCACGGAGGCGAGCAAGGAGTTCTCTTGGCTCTGGACTGAGTTCAAGAAGGACCCCCTGTCCCCGGTTGCGCACTACTTCAGGAATTTTGTTCTTCCTGGTGCTGGTCTGGGTCTTGAGGGGTATGTGGAAGCTGTCAGCACCCAATTTTGATAAGAACATCAACTAACTAGAGAATGCTTGTGATAGTTACGTGCTGTTCTCCATCGGTAACAACACTGCTCTCTTCGATGCCTCCTTCAAGGACTGCTGGAAGGGCAAGACTTGCGACAAGAACTGGGTTTCCGCCATCAGCTACATGGAGGTTGTTGGTATCATTGTTGGCCAGATCCTCGTTGGTTACTTGGGTGACGCGTATGTGGCACTCTCACATGAGCCTCTCATTCAAGCAATGCTAACATCTTTACAGAATTGGTCGTCGCTGGGGTCTGATTCAGGATGCCGCTATCATGTTTGTCGGTCTCCTCATGCTGGTCGCCGCTTGGGGTCTCACTGAGAACGGCTGGGTCATCTGCTATGCTTGGTCTCTCTTCTTCTACTCTATCGGCGTCGGTGGTGAATACCCCATGACTGCTACTATCGGTATGGAGAATGGATACGGTTCTGGCAAGCTCGTCACTTCCCAGGATCGTCTGCACCGTGGTCGTTCCGTCGTCGGTGCATTCATGATGCAGGGTTGGGGCCAGTTCGCCAACCAGGCCATCCTCATCATTCTGCTCTTGATATTCCACCACGGCACGGGTGCGCTCCCTATCTCTACTACTGCTACCCAGTGGACTTACCGCGTGTCTTTCGCTATTCCTGCCGTCGGAACTGCCTGGCTTGTGTACTACCGTACCTACCACATGAAGGCTGCTAGCAATCAGCTCGAGGCTACCAAGAAGAAGGCCTCCGTCACTGGATATGACACAGAATCCCTGAAGCTCACCTTCCGTCACTTCACCCCTCGTGTTATCGCTACCGCTGGCGGCTGGTTCGCCAACGATGTCTTCTTCTACGGTAACAAGCTGTTCCAGGGCAAGTTCATCAAGGTCATCAGCCCGGCTAGCGGTAACGATGTTACTACTAACTGGCTGTGGAACTTGGCCAACATCGGTGTTAGCTTGGCTGGTTACTACTTCGCTACCTGGTTCGTCGATACTAAGCTCTACGGCCGCAAGTGGATGCAGATTGTCGGCTTCCTGATGTGCTTCATCCTCTTCGTCATCCCCGCCTTTAAGTTCGAATACTACCAGGAGCCCGCCCACATCCACTCTTTCCAGGCTATGTACTTCCTGAGTTCATTCTTCAACCAGTTCGGCCCGAACTGTATCACTTTCCTTGTCGCCGCCGAGTGCTTCCCTACCCCCATCCGCGGTACCGCCCACGGTATCTCCGCTGCCGCCGGTAAGGTCGGTGCTCTGATCATCGCCATCATCGGATCCTACACCACCACCCAGCAGCAATTCTACATTGTGCCCTGGTTCGGTCTCGCCGGTGTCCTGGTGACCTGGCTGTTCCTCCCCGACACCACCGGTCTGGATCTCCGCGAGCAGGAGCGTCGCTGGCGTTTCATCCGCGAGGGCCGTGAGCAGGATTACCACGGCCCCGCTGTTCACTCTAAGCACTTGTCTGTCTGGGAGCGCTGGACCGGCAAGGGCAAGCACTACGATGCTAACTTAGACTACAAGATGAAGGTTGAGGAGTTCCGCGCTGAGTGGGAGGCTGCTGTTGCTGCCCGTGGTGAGGAGCAGACTCTGTATGACATGGATGATGTTGATGAGAACATCCTGCACGGCTCCATGCACAACTACTTTGAGCGTACTAGCCCGGAGATCCGTGGCATGCGCAAGGAGGTTGAGCCCGTGTCCCTGCCCGCTGCTGCTGCTTATTCTGAGGACCAGAAGACTCTTGGAGAGCAGTAGATGCGTAGGTGTGAGGGGATGATGGAGTGTGCTGTGGAATGAAGATTGTTTATAGACTGTGTTGTATAATAATGTCGGGCTGGTGAAAGGAGTGGTTGGAAGCCCTGGATGGATGGAAATACCCCCAATAATCATAATTTCTTTTTGTTTATCAGAAATATCATCGTGAATCTCGACCTTGAAGAGGACTAGCGAAATACCAATGAATCTTTCTCCTTGGCTCAACTTTAATACATGCTGCTGTATACCTTTCAATAGTGTAGGCCTCCATCAGGACGGCACCTCAAACAGACTAATTAAGGCTGTCACAGTACAGTTTGTCAAAATGTGCTACATTTACAGGACCAGACAGTCATACTATGCCCATTACATAGTTTAACAGGGGAGAACAACTCAAAAACCCATTATGACAAAACAATTGTACTAAAAAAACAAACGACATCACCATTAAGTATTCGGCTTCGGTGATAGGCAGGAGGACATGTGACTGACTCCGGAATAACAGTATCTCCGAGCCCCCACATCCCAGCTTTCCGTCGCCTTCTGCCAGAAAATCCCCCCATCAGACGACCAGCCCCGATCATCTCCTGTGTCGCTGATGTCTTCCAGGACTTTGCCATCATGAAGTTTTTCGAAAACGTGTTCACCTATGACTACTCCTTCCCTGCCGTTTCCCTCGCCTACTTCCTCCGCTACCCTAATCCCTACTCCCGCCATGTCCTGACTACCGACGTGATCGACCGTTATGTCGATCCGGCCACCCAGCGCCTACACACCATCCGTCTACACTTGAAGAAATCTAAAGTCCCCTCTGGCATCCTCAAATTGCTGCCGAAGGGCATGAGTGGCTCCGACAGTTCCGGCCAGAGTTACATCCTCGAGACCACCGTGGTTGACCCCAATGAGGGTTGGATGGAAACCGAATCTCGGAACATGGAGTGGACCGGCATCCTTAGTGTTGTCGAGAAACAACGGTACCAGCGCCATCTGACCGAGGACAATACCCAGGCCCTCGATGGTCTGTCAATCGATAAGGAGCAGACCACCGTGCGGACCACTGTCACGTTCCGCTCCCGCCTTGGCCAGGGCAAGTTGCTCGGTCGCAAGAAGGCGGAGGCGATTGACCACGCGGACACTGAGGAGGAGGCTCCCAAGAAGGGCTTCTTCTCTTCCTTGTCCACTGCTGGTATCCAGCGCACTATTGAATTGATCGGTGTGAGCCGGACCCGCGACGCTATTTTGAAAAGCAAACAGGGCATGAACGTGGTCTTGGAACGTCTGCGCCATGGAGGCATTGTCGGCGTTCTCGAGGGCATGCGCAAAGACCGCGAGGCCATTGTTGGGCCAGAAGGCCCCTGGAAGCGCGTCTGGTTGCAAGGCAATGGCCTCAAGGAGCGGGTCTACGTCGATGACGATGACAAGTGATCTCCTGTGTTGTGATCCTTTTCTCTTCTCTTTTGTCTTTCTCGACCTTTTTTTCTCTGTGTTTTCTTCGCATCTCCGCGTCGTCGCGGTATGAGCGTATCTCCCTGCATCTTCTGATTTATCCAGCGTGGCGTTACTGGAGTTGGATGACTTTATCGATGGACACTCTCCCACGACATTCTTTGTTTATCTTTTTCTGTTGGATTCTTTGTTGGATATGTTTATGGCCTGACCAGGTCTACACTGAGGCTTCTGCTCCTCAATTGTGTATATTAGGTGACTGGGACGTGTTGGGTGATGAGGCACTGCTTATGGTGATGGAAGCATGTCAATTGTACAATTACGATATCTAACTTATCAATCTATCAATTTATTATTGACTGATGTACTAATCCTTCTTACCTTCCACCTTAAACGAGGTGACACAAGATTGGGCAAGCCGCCCCCAGTCCACTTTGGGTATGTCGACGCGGGGAATCAGCTTATCGCAGGGTATTTACTGGTCAACAGTACACTACGATAAGATGCTGCCAGTTTCAGGAGAGTACATGCGCGAGTAGTCTCATAAGGAATTCTATTTGAATTGGTCAATCGACCTAGATCATGCTTTGTTCTACAATTCTGTCCAGGTACAGTTTCAAGACTGGGTCATAATGGCAGTTTCCGACATCTTGACGGCGTGGGAGGAATGCTCCAAGATAGACACGCTCTTCATTTTGATCTGCTGCGTCTTCTGCTGGCTAATTATCCCCGCAGTTGGCCTCGGTTATTCGGGATACTCCATTCACCGTAATGGACTTGCATCCTTTTACCCAAGTCTGCTCGTCATTGCTATTTGTTCTATTCAATGGTGGATCATTGGGTACTCGATAGCCTATGGAACCGGGGGTGGCATTATTGGAGGCTTTGACAAAGCTTTCCACTTGGGTGTTCTTGCAAACCCAATAGGGACGATACCAGAAATTCTTTTCTCTGAGTTTCAGCTCATCTTTTGTGCTACGGTGTGCGTCATTTCTATTGGTGGAGCCTGTGAACGGGGAAGAATGCTTCCTTTGATCCCTTTCATCTTTGTATGTTTCAAGTCTCCAACCTACTTGATACACCTACTCAAAGACTACATCTGACTCGATTTCGCCTAGCTCTGGTGCACCTCACCTTTGTCTATGAACCTCTCGCACACATGGTCTGGTCCGAGACCGGATTTCTGGGTTCTCTGGGTGTCCTTGACTTCGCCGGTGGAACACCCGTTCATATCTGCAGTGGAGCATCAGCGACTGCTTTAAGTGTTTACCTATCCCATCCATTGTTTCGATCGAGACGATCCGCTTCTCGAACGCCACAGCACTTGAAACTCCACAGGCCGCATAATAGCATGTGCCAGCTTCTAGCCTTGATGATTATATGGAATGCCTGGCTTGCCTTTGACGCGGGCACAACCCTCGCTCTGAATTTCAAGAGTATAATGACTGCAGTGGTTACCAACATCTGCGCCTCATCAGGCGCCTTGACCTGGGCTTTCATCACGTATTACGAAACGGGGAAATGGAGTCTTGACAGTACTTTCATGGGCGCTATCGCTGGCTTGGTCATGATCACTCCAAGTGCTGGCTTCATTGACATGGTTACGGCTTTTTTCTTTGGAATCGCTGGAGCGGTGATTTGTCGACAGGCACTAAGAATTAATTTCACGAAACTGGCTGTGCGCTGGAGATGGGTCGATAATGGGGATACATTTGCGACGCATTGCATTGGTGGACTGGTCGGTACTATCGCTACCGGCTTGTTTGCTCGGAGAAATGTTGCTGCGTATGATGGAGCCACGGAGATACTTGGTGGATGCATATTCGATGGTAATTGGAGTCAACTCTGGATCCAGATCCTGGAGGCTGTTGTTGGCTTTGTCTGGAGCTTTGTTGGCAGTTATGCACTCTTTGCGTTGATTGATTGCATTCCGGGCTTCGAGGTCTTGGCTACAGATAGGTAAGTAATGAGTGATGGATATTCTTGGTGTCTGCTACAAGGTCTTGAATTAGAATGTCTGCTAATATGGTGACAGTGAGATTGTTCTCGGGATGGATGCCTCGCAAATGGGTGAATCGCTATATGAGGCACAATGGGCTGATGAGGAAGACTATTACCCTTTCTCGAGCGAGTGTCGGCTAGAGTAATCATCAAAGTGTTGATTGACAATCAACCCGTTACTTTAGGAAATTCCTATGACCAGCTAATTTTAGATATTTCACTGCCATAGAACAATCATGGTAGTGTATATAAAGAGTGTTGTATCTTAAGTTAAGTTAAGGTAAGGATTGTCGAGGCTTTTTTTACCTCCACGGTTCTTTTCTTCTATCTAAATTGAAGGTTATTGTCCGACAGAGAAGCGACAACAGGGCAAACTCTTCCAGCACACATACTCGTCAACAACTCCGTCGGGGTTATGTAATCAGCAGTTCATCAGTTAGTTAATGTTACCATTAGATCATTGACCCCAGTTTGCTGATAGCATGCCAAGGAGAAAAGAGAATTGCCACGAGCAGCAGACCGGAAATCAAAATACACAGAAAGTCTATGACAGCTGATCCGTTGTAAGTTTATGATCTAGTGGAGATTATTAGTTATTCGCTCTATGGTCTACTCGACTCGCAAAAGCTTCCAACTGATTCAAACACGATTCATCATAATGGTGTGCAAGACAGACGGAATGCGGCTATTGTTTCTGGCCTTGTATATCGCGTTCTTAGGAAAGCCACGGTTTCTTTAGAGCCTTTTACAAACATAATCATTATAGCGGATATGCGATACAATCCTGTATGATGTATACAGAGCCCCTTACCAGCGACTGCAAATGCAATGAAACCCTCCGAGTTAGACGGCGATTTTGGGGCAACACCCTCGATGCAATCGGACATACCACTCGGTCTCCTCATGTCCAGTATAAGCCAGTCTGTAGGACGCAGAGCGGTGTCTCTTAGCGCCTAGTCATAATTGCTCATTTAAACGTTAATGCCGTGGCTAGGAAGGACCTCGATCGAGTGGATTAGGGTTTTGATTATAAAGTCCGACGGAGTTTACAGTCCTGCCGTTTTTTTTCAGTCAAGTTCCGTCTATTCCAGATGCTGACTCAATATTGCAGCTTCGCTTGCGACAAGTTTACCTGTACGGAGTAGTAGTTCGGGGATTAATTAGTTAGGGCTAGTACGGATGGAGAGATGGTCGGCAAGTGGACTTCTTATTCTTGAGATATTATGTTCGCCTTAGGAAATTGAGTCCCATGTGTTACGCTTAGGTACGAGAGGAAGATAAATAACCAATGTAGTGGCATTTGACGAAATAACTAAGCATAGGGAAAGAACAAGGAAAGAAGAAGTGAGAGAACAAGAGACGGTAGTTGATAGAGCTTGTGAATGCCTGACGCACGAGGCACCAACAGGACGCATCTTACATGCATGATGCATCACAAATGTGAATCGTTCACAACATGTAGCAAAGAAACAAAACAACTCTTAACCCCGTATAGTTTCTATCCCTGATAAGCAACAATACCAACCCAACGGTACGGCGGGATATCGGTAAAATTCTTGACGTCTTCTCTCACAACATCGGCATCCTTCACGTTTTCAAGGGATGTCATGTTCTCCCAAACCAGCGTAGTTTGCACATAATACCCTGCGTCCTTCGCTCCAGTGGTGACAATGCAGCTTTGCAGGCCTTGTGGTCCCCAACGTTTTTTCACCATTGGGATGTGGCTGTTGAGGTAATAATCCATATTAAAGCTGGATGCAGCTGATGGGGGATAGATAACTTGGAGGACGACTTGCTGAGAGGACATTCTGGGGGGTGGTATAGGATTCAGAAACTGAAGGATACGGCCTGCCTGTAATAGAAGGTATTAATGACTGAAGGCTTCTCTGACTAGATAGTTATAAATGATTGGCAAGCGAGGTTATTTAACTGTGTCGAAGCAGTCGAAGCCAGGTGCTGACTAATGACCGGTAACGTAACTAGTCCGCGGCGGAGCAGATCTCATAGACGAGCCGATCACTCCGCTCCAAAACGCGTCGTCTGTCTGAGCAACCTAAAACAGTATTGAATTGTATGCATTTAGGTGGAGAAATCCTGCTAAATGGAACCAAGTGGCAAATGTTTACTTAATTTATTGAAAAATAAAACACTGGAAGGCGAGAGAGCGTGTTAAATATCCTTATACCTGTACGGAGTAGTAGTTCGGGGATTCTTTCAGCAAAGTCAATTTACTGGGCAATGCCTAGGCATTATCAGGGCCCACGGATGGGCCGAGGACTTTGGCCCATGTCTCAACCCCGAGAACAAAGGAGATCGGAAGGCATGGGAATAGCCTCAGACACTGGTATTGACGGGTGTCTGCCTCAGTAGTCTGTTCGTTTGCTTTGAGGACGTTGTGTAGGCTTCTTGGTCCATGGCGATCGTGTTTGTAGGGCCGCCTTTTGCCGCCGACGCCTTGATAGTAGTTTTGTGAGTGAGCATTTATTCGAACCAAATGACCGTCATCGTAACTTGATATATAGCCCCACCTTCGACCAATTCACGATCCGGTTATCACGGTGCGGGGGTTTTTTTGGCAGTGTTGTGTACCAGCGGACCAAGCCACATAACCAGGCATCACGGAATTGAGAATCCGTTGAGCATCGGCAGCACGCTTAACGTCCGCCATGATTGAGATCAACACGTTCAGACTGCCCTTACGACCCGTGCCAAGGGCCAGGATCTCCTTCTCATGGCCGGGATTGCGTATCACGCAGCACGCAGGTTACGTTCCAAGCGTGATTTAGGAGTAGGGTTAGGCACAGGGCAACTTTGTCGTGGCCGCCTAGGAGAAGCACTTGCATTTTGATATATATTGGTTGGTTTGGGAAAGGGACGGAGGGAAGTTAAGAGGTTCGAGAAAACATAAACAAAGCTCGATATGACGACAAGGCAGGAATATATTGTAATCCTTATCAGATATGGTGTGCGGAATTGGAGGTTTATTAATATATCTGGTTGCCTATTCTTCCGACAGGATCACTAAGCCAAGGTCGAAGAAGAGATGAAAAGAGTGGAAGATGCGAGGACACGTTAGGGTGTCCTTGCTAACTTTATAGGGAGAGGGGGGCTGAAAGTCCCCGATTCTCGGAGCGTTAAGAGTCCCCTAGTACAGAGAAAACACGACGTAGATGAAACTAAACTATTTTGAATGTATATTACTACCCCACTCTCCGCAACAATTTCTCTTTTCCATAGCCTAATATCCAAGTTCAAGTATAACCTTCGTTGCAACGAATGAATTGAAAAATGATCACGGAAGTCTGGAAACCTCCTTCAGCAGTGTCTCGGCAGCTAACTTGCCGAGGTTGTTGGACGCCAGCGGAGAATCGCCGGTAAGGACAAGCCGATCCCGATGGGTCTCACCACTGATGCTCCTATTGAGAGGCGTGACACCGAGCTTGCGGAGTCGTTCGCCAACATGCCACGCCATCTTCCCAGGTATGTAACCAATATCGATATTGGCCCCCTGGTCCAAAGAATCCGGAAAAACATCAATTTGGTATCCGTCGTAGATAAATTTGCTGCCTTCAGGCTTGCCAATGTCGGCGGCAAGCATGCATACCGGTCCATGGCACAGTGAAATGAGGAAACGCTGGTTCTCATGTGCCCAGCGAAGAATTTTGCCTACTGTCGCTGAAAAAGGGATGCCATTCAACACGCCGTGACCACCTGGAACGAAGACAGCGAGATAGGGTGTTTGCTGTGTGAAGCCTCTGCCCCATACGTCTTCGAGATTGAGTGGCTTGCGGATTTTGGCCTTGTATTTCTCGTATATTTCCTTGACCGCTTTGTCCTCCTGCGGGAAGGCCCACATTTCAAACTTCACTGGGTCACCAGAGAGAGTAGCAATGTCGATATCGAAGCCTGCAGCATCGAGGTGGTACATGGGCAGTAGCGTCTCTACCGGATGGTTACCAGTCGAAAAGAATTCGCCGCCAGCCATCTCGAGATAACGCTCTTGTGATCCAATCAGAAGGACCTTCCATTTGCCACCTTTGTAAGGGTTGGGGTAGTTTGCTCCATCGAAGTCCGTCTTGGGTGATGTATACTGGGAGAGCGAGTAAGGGGATGGGAACCAGGCATCGTCTTCCGCTTGGTCTCGTACGGGAGCTCGGTCAGATGAACTAGACATGGTAACTGCAAAGTTCTTCTGAATGGAAAGGACAAATAATGAGATGATCGTCTTTATTGAAGTTTGGTAACAAAACAACTCGAGTTCATGGACGCAGGGCAAGCGCAAAGCCTTTATATCATCGAATTGCCGCACGAATGCGGTCTACGTCCCCGCCCCTGGTGACGTCAAGTATATGGACTCTGACCGGCACAACCTGTGAAATTCAATTTTATCAGCCCAGAATTGGTAGTGGCCTACACATCGAGTCCATTCAATGGTACAGACGAGGTCGATTATTGAGTTCGGAACGATTGCAACTTCCTTATGGTCCGTAAGACTTGCGAATTGTGGTGCTCTAATGCCGATAAACCTTGTTGTGCGGGGTTCCTCTCTTTCAAAAGAGGAAATATGACTTCTCACCCGTAATTTCGAATACGGCAGCCGCTCAATGCAGCAAAAGGCGATGTTCTAGACTTGCAAAGCCCAAGTCCGATGGAAAACTCCGACGGACTTGGCTTTCCTACGGTATTTGAACCTACTGAATATCCATCTCCAGAACTTATGAATCGGCCTATTTTGCCACCGCCAATCAAACGGACGGCGCCATGTATCTCTGTCTGGAGCTACCCCGCTTCTACACTCTAGAGGTAAAGCTGAAGTAAAACAGGCACTAGCTAGCATGATGGTTTATGGATTGAGGTATGGTTATGTGCCAAGAGGAGGATTCAAATCCCACCTGTGCATTCAACGAGGGAAAAAAGACCAGAGAAAAAACGATGAAAAGGTGTGCATAGTGGGGGAAGTTGTTATGAACCCAAACATCCCAAATCCGACCATGTTTGCTCCCGTCATGATCAAACTGTGCAAACTCATCAGCCATCCGCCTAATCCCAGCGACGTCGATCGTCCCATTTGTAACAAGTAAGATAAAATTTGTGCATCAGCTAAGTTGTCAGATCTACGATTAAGCTCGGTCGTTCCCCGGAAAAGTGTCGGAAATGGCCGAAGTGGTACTAGCTACTGCAGATTAGAGTCGCTCCGTCATCTTGATCTTCCATTGATATGAATGAATTGACAAGCCCGTGAGCTTAGTTACGATTATGTATCCCCACTATGATTCCTTGCTCATTTATTCCACTAGATCACGTTCTGAAAATGGCCTTTCCCATGCCTCTGCCCGGCGCCACCATGCTTCTGTCTTAGGAGGAGCTACACTAGACTTGGCCAGTAAACCCGTCTTCACATACGTCATACTTGGATCCTCGGCGACGACCGACATGATAGCACTTTGTTTGTTGATAGTCAGAGATAGCCCAAAGCACTGTTTAGAACAGGATTTATACTTACGACCTTAATTATAAGCCCAGGTCGAGTCGGCATAAGCCATTAAATAAATGGTGACGTAAGTGGAATATGATACGCCAATGTATATGTGAACTGAAAATAATCGTCCGTTTGCAGAGGCAAAGTCCGCCGGAGGCTAACAGCTCTCTTGGCTCCGTCGGATACCAATCTAACTTGAAAATTCGAGGCTTAGCTGAAAGATCGTCCCCGATTAGTGGGAGAGATTTTGCCGAATGCGGCGGAAATTTTGGCGGGCATCTTACGGACGTCAGTCAAGCTGTGTTGACTCACTCTGCGTCTGTGTACCGTGATCATACACCAAAAGTACGACGAAGCCAGATAGCGACCTACTGTGTGCACAGGCGGCTCCACCAAACTAAGTTGAATATCTGGTGATGAAAGTGTCCAATACATGCTCACAATTTACTCATATTGTGGATTTGAACATCATTTCCTGTCTGGTTCTACACCCACCCTTCTCCCCACCGGCCTGTTACCTTGTGACGTGTTGCGGCTGTGACTTATAAACACGGCTGAATGTGCGCTGAGAGACAGAAGGACTTTCTCACTGTCACTGTGCTTTGCACTATCTATCCTTGACCTCCCTTGAATAAGTCTTAGATTCAACTCCAACCGTCCAAAATTGTTAAAGGAATTATTCCACTGCAATTGACACTATAGAACATCGAAATTCAACAACATGACCAGCAGCCAAGTACCCAAATTTGAAGGCTGGCTGGGTAACGACCCAACCTCCGCAGATGGAAATATGACATGGGGTCCATACACCGCCAAAGCATGGGATGAGACCGACATCGATATTAGAATCACACACTGCAGCGTTTGTGCCTCGGACCTAAGTACTCTGCGCAGCAGCTGGGTAAGCGTTCCCTGCTGAGGTTTTCCATCTACTACTCTGGCTTACAACCTTACAGTCACCAGCTGAGTATCCCTGTTGTGTCGGACATGAAATCGTTGGCGTAGCTATCCGCGTTGGGTCAGCGGTTACCAATGGTATTTCGGAGGGTGACAGGGTTGCTGTTGGTCCACAAAGCGACGCCTGCCTTGGTCGTCGAGGAGAATGTCGGGAGTGTGCAAGTGGGAAGGAAAACTACTGCCATGTACACCTAACTGGAACGTACAATGGTCGGTATCTGAGTGGCGAGAAGTCCTTCGGCGGATATGGACGGTACATTCGCGTGCCGTCGTACTTTGTCTTCCAGGTTCCGAATGGTTTACCTTCTGCACACGCAGCACCGATGATGTGTGCTGGTGTCACGACCTTCTCTGCGTTGAAGAGGAACGGTTGCGGTCCAGGGAAGAATGTGGGGATTATTGGGATTGGAGGATTGGGACATTTTGGGATTCTGTGGGCGAAGGCGCTCGGTGCAGAAAAGGTTGTTGCCATTTCCCGGAGGTCGAATAAGAGAGAGGACGCTATTCGTCTGGGAGCGGACGAATATATCGCCACCGAGGAAGACGAGGACTGGGTAGGGGCCTATAAGATGCGGATGGATGTGGTTATATGCACGGTTTCTTCCTCAAAGGTATGGCATTTGCAATTCCACCCAAAACAAGATAATTTGACCCATTGCTGATAACATCATAACTAATGTGCGCCAGATGCCACTGGAAGACTATTTGAGTTGCCTCCGCACGGATGGCTGTTTCGTCCAGATAGGATTGCCAGAAGACAAGTTCCCACCGTTCCGAGCAGGTCTACTGGCGTCCCGCTGTGCAAAAGTCGCAGGATCGTTCATCGGTGCACCGCACGAGATTCGAGAAATGCTGCAGCTGGCTGTGGACAAGAATGTGGTTCCGTGGGTGACCGAGAGGCCGATGAAGGACGCCAATGCGGCTATCGTTGATATGGCGAAAGGGAAGGCTAGATATCGATACGTCCTCGTCAATGACGGATAGCTGCTGATTTAGGGTTATTCAACCTAAGGCGACCGGAATGTCAAGCTATCCTTTTATTATTTATAAGACAATATAGTAAGACCGATATATGCTACCATTCTTTGACATCTGCTCTACATAATATCCATCCTCGACAAAGGCAAGGATCTTTGGAAGCTAGCCAGATCGGGCTCCGTCGGACTTACGGTTTGGATCGTATGCTGTTTGAAACTTTGAAGAGTGGGTTATCTTATTTACGTCATGGATTGTTTAGTAACTAACTAGTTAGTTACTATTTCGTAATGACTAAACAGCTACTTAATCCTATCACTCTCTATTATCTGAATTTAAAGTCATTTTGTCTCAATCTCGCATTTATATGCATTCTAATAAGACTAGTCACAGTGAGAAGGGCTGAAACACATCGTATGATGTCGCAAACCCGACGCTAGAGAAACAACTAAGCAATAGAGCCATGCAGCCAGCTGCTAAATCTCATCTACCAAGCCAAAACCTCACTCTGTGCTCCACAGCTGATAGCGGCACAAATCTCCTCATCCTTCTCACTAACTTTCGAGTTACATGCCAGTTTTTGTTTTGCCGGCCAGATTTCCCGACCTTCGGCCTTTTCGCGCTCAAAGTGCTCTGTGATAACCTCGCGAACTGTGCTCTGGAAGAAAATAGGGGCCTTTTCAAACTTTGGGTGGAGTTGGCCATTGATAAACACATTACGGTCCAGGTTTAGTTGTTGGTTGTTGCAAAGGACTTTGTCTTCGCCCATGACACGGGCGTACATTTCGCTGATGAGCTTGAAATCGGCATCTGAGGAGTTTCTGTTGCGGTAGACTTCGTATGCCATCTTGGAGCTATTGGCACTGCTGGGGAGGAACTTCTGAACCATGATGAAGTGTGGTCTGCAGATTCATGTCAGAAAGCTTTTTATGACAGACGCGGGCTGAGGGGGCTTACGAGACAACCATGGCAGTGACAGGGAAGTAGTATGTGCTGGCGGTATAGAGGCCCTTGGCAATCTGCTCTGGCGTGGAAACGCAGTGATGTTGGATGTGTCCGCCTTTGAGATCGCTGTCGAAGGAATCAAGGTTGAGGAATTCCGGGATATCCGCATGCGTCGTAGGACAGTGATAGCATTCGTTGAAATTATCAGCCAGAATCTTCCAGTTGTAGTGTCCTTCAAGCTCATAGGTGTGGTCAAGATCGTAATTGTCAAAATTGTAGGCCTTATATCGGTCTTGCTTGTCGACGTCGCGGAAGTGGTCTTCCCAAGATACTTCGGGGACTTCCTTTGCGTCCAAGTTAACCCAGATAAATCCATTGACATCGACCTTGACGTGAATGCGGAAGAGACTGTTCTGATCTTTGTCGATGCTATCCACGTCTTTGAATCCAGTAGCCTTGGCCAATTTGCCGTTCAATCCGTAGGACCAGCCATGATAGCGGCAAGACAAAATCTTCGAGTTTCCAGAGCCCTGCTTCTCAACCACTGGATACGCACGGTGTCTGCAAATATTGTGGAAAGCGTTGATATCTCCTTGTCGGTCACGGGTAATAATGAAGTCGAAGCCAGCCATCTCGTATCGGAGCCAGTCGCCAGCTTCCTTGACACGCGAGCTGTGGGTGAGGAAGATCCATCTCTTGGAGAAGATTGCACGACGCTCCAGCTCATACATCTCCGGCGATGTGTACCATGATGCTGGCAAAGCACGCACGTGTTCATTCTTCACTTCATCCTTGGCAGAGGGAGGGGCATTGTTGCCGAAGCCGAAATAATGCATCATCGAAGTCGCCATGGCGTTTGTGTCGATAGGAAGATCGTAAGATCCTTTGAAACAACGGTTCAATCGATTCTTTGATGATATGCTATCTAACATGAACGGCCGTCTCACTCCTTCATATATACCTAAACGCTCCCCAGGTGAATCAACGGGGTATACTATCTATTCCGATCAGGTGATTTGCCTTATACTCCAATTTGGTCAAGTAACCCAATGCTTAGCGCGTGAGATCGCCCAAATCAGGCACTGGAGCCGTCGAACCAGGCTAGGGTGCCAAAAAACCCAGCTACACCTTTGTGCTGATTGGGTTACCCTTCCTCGGCAGAGCCGAAACGCTGAAGGCTAGCATCTCAAAGGCTACAGTTGCCGCCACGAAGCCTGGACTAAGACAAACTGGCTACTATGAGATATCCAACGATGAACGAATGAGAGTCATGGAAATTGATGACGAGTTGACGTCCGGCCCCACATCCCCAGGATGATAAGCCCCCAATCCTTCGGCATCGAAGCCGAGCCCAACGTGGGGGGTTCGGCATCCCCGAGGTATAGCAATCGACACTCGTACAAACCATGGATAGTGGCGTTTGTCACCTGTTTGTTACACATGATCATCATCCGGCTCGGTGATAATGGCCGAACCGTCTTGGTGGACTTGGAAATGAATGATTGTTGCCAGGTTAATGGTATTATTGGGCGATAAAGGTCACACTTGTGCTTCATCTAGGTGCCACGTAACCACTGGGTAAGAAATGAATCATTATCTATTGTTGTGTCACTATCGGTTTAAAGATCAAACAATGAAAGCAATCTCTATGAGCAATCATGATTTTATTTGTTACCTCGATGCTTTAACAGTTCAATCACCCAAAGGAGAGACGATTTTCCTGTCTTCGGTCTGATGCCAGGATGATGGTTCTGTCCAAAGCTCCTAAAGAGTTTTCGAAAGTAAATAGTACTGATCTTGTACAATAATATCACGTCTGTCCAAGAAATTCACATGAATTATGGTGGGGAACGGAACATCGCCAACAAGGAGGTGGGGAGGGAATAATTTGGGTCGGTGCGGGGTTCCGACCAGAACTGCCACGGCCATAGCTTCCTCAACTTAAGACCTTCTCTTGTCGCATTGAGATCGATAGCTGTCCCATAATGCAGCCGGCACCGCGGTCAGATTCAATTGGTGCGAATCGGAAGCAAAGGAGAGCTGCTATCGCGTAAGATTCTAGTTGCTCCGTACGCAAACACGGCCGTTTGACATGGAAATGTGGGCAGATGTACCGCCTGCAGGCAGAGCAAGATCAAATGCTCTGGCGATGAGCCATGTGCCAATTGCCGAAGACGATCCCTGACTTGTCAGTTTGCAGAAGGAAACAACAAGATCCTGGTTTCTGAAAGGTTTGCTACCGCTTCTCCATCCCTATTCCCCCATTCGCAGTACTTGGCTGAACGCGGCGGAGACTCATGATAGATACCTTCGAGACTTGCAAAAACAGGCATATAACTGGCAACGAGCAACCGGTGTCAAGCGTCCGCGAGAAGATTGTTTCCGATTTGATGATGACCTCGACGTAGGACATATTGTGAATGATTTCGGTGCCACAGCGGAGCTTCTGGGCTCCGGGCCTGGAGGATCTCCTACTTCGCCTGCACCGGATCTGTCATGCACTATCTGGGCAAGTCCCTTCACCCTTCCAACAACCGTCATCAAGGACACACATCAAGAACAAAGGAATTGGAGTTAGTGGACACCCCGTCTCATTGTCTAGTCATATTTCACTGTTGGTCTTACATATGGCATAGTTTGGCTGGCCCCATCCTCGGCATGGTCCCTCACAGCTCGACTTATCGTCATGATGACAGAGAAACTAGAGGTTGATTCTTCTAAAGATCCGCCTCGGTTTTATTTGGACGGTGATATCTATCCCCTCGCATGGAACCGCGTTACGAATCAGGAACCCGTCGACACAAGCGGTTTACCTTCCCTCGATTACGCTCTCCATCTGTTCCAAATTGTTCAATTTCACCTCGGCCAAGCGTACAGATTTTTGGACCATGATTCATTCGTTGCTCGTATTCGCCAATTCTATAACAGCCCTTCCGATGGAACGGCTACCGAACCTCGGTTCTGGTTCGTTCAGTTCCTTATGGTTCTAGCCCTTGGGAACGCTTTTCTCTCGAGGCCTCGTAACCAGAAAGACCCTCCTGGCTCCAAATATTTTGCGCGTGCGATGTCGGCTATGCCGAACTATACGAGCACTGGGAAGGACAGCCTTCTAGCGATCGAGGCTCTCGCATTGGTCGGGCTATACTTGTACGCTATCGACCATCGGGAAGCAGCTCACGTTCACGTATGTATTGAGTGCCGTCCCAGCTCGAGGGACTCTTTCTGACTTATATTGATGCTCAACATAGGTCGGCCACGCGATACGGATAGCACAGCTAGAAGGGATGCATACTCAACTTCCTGAAGAGGTTCTTGGGGCTGCTACGGTTGCTCGGTGTCGCAATTTGTGGTGGTCTTTGTACACCATGGATCGTCACTTTTCGCCATCACTTGGACTTCCAATGACAACCAAAGACAGTGAAATTACCACTTTGATCAGCTCGTCAAGCTCCAATCCAGATCCAAAAGATCTTGCATTTAGTCTTCAAGTGAGGATCACGCGGATGCATTCATTCATCATTGGTAGTAAGTTTTGCTTCGCTATCTCTCTTGTCTGCCATTGAGTCTAACAGTCTCGCGACGAAGCTATCTACAAAACGGAAAAGACACCACTTGGTACATTTTTAGAAATAACTCGAAGTATCCTAGAGACTATGGCTAGGTATGCAGAGGAGATTGAGAAGATGATTCATGTCAGCTTTCAGGCCTCCATAGATAACGTGTCCGAGGAAACGCGTCACACAATACTATTGTATCATCAGGTAAGCAAATTCCTTGCTTCTCTTTTCCAGCCTCTATATCATCCGATTAAATTTATCTAGTGTGTCATCAGTGCCACAAGGCCCCTACTGCTCTCTGTGCTTAAGGAACGACTAGAAAAGCTTGGTCGGGCAGAAGAAGACTGGCAGAAATTCCTGGCTCTTCCCATATCCCTGATATCTATTGGCATCAAATCTGCCGAGAAAACACTTCGGATAATTGGTGATGAGAATGGCCTTCTTGGTATGAATGTTCTCTCTGATAAAAGACTTATGTCTGATCGCATCAACTAACTGGAGCTTAGAAACATTCCTACCATTTGACCTCGAGTTAACCTATGCAGCGGCTCTGCATCTAACCATGGCCAATGCACTCTTCCCTCCTGATCCAGACAGCCAATCTTACAGTCATGTTGCACATTCAATCCTGGACGAAATGGTCCTTTCAGGAAACCGAGTTGCCGAAGCACGAAAGCGAGAACTGATCCGTATCGAGGGCTTATTCCAGGAGCTTGCCAGACGAGTCGAACAGGAAGGTCTTCGAATTTTGACATTAGCAGATCAAGGGCTTACAGATCTTACGCCTCTGAATATCCCTGACGAGTCTCAACCGGGAGATGTACCTGTGACGGAGCCGTCGATTGGTTTCCAGCCTTCGGCACGAGAAAATCGGCCATCCTCTGCTGGCTCACTTGCTCCCGCCAACATTGAGTTCCTTGACAGTATTGGAATCTCTTCCAATGAGTTCCTTTCCATAGTTGATCAGATCAATAATCCAGGAATGCCGTACGGTGCCTTGGATGTCCGGCCAGATTGGGTATCAGGAGAAGATCCTCCGTCGTATTCGTTTGATTGAACCCAATTACTGCGTACTATCAGAACATAGAAGAAGTGCGGCTCTTTGGCATCTGCATCTCGATAATAACTACAGACAAGGATGTTTGAATGAATGTTCTTTCTGGAATATAAGAAAATCCATGATCACACCAGTATTCCTTGATTCTTAGTGTCTCGCAGAACTTTTATCTCTAGTCTACGTACCCGTAACTTAGGTAGATCTGGAGTTATCATCGCAAGAAAATGCAGCCGACCCCCCAGACTCTTTATAAGAATCTATGATCCCAACTATTGATCCATAAGTGCCAGCAACTGTAAGGAAGGATCCTAGAAGCACCACAAGCACACTCCAACAAACCATGAATATCCAGCCCCGTGAACTTCGCCTACCTTTAGCCCAGTTATCATACAGCCACATGCAACCCATCGGCTGAAAACACATCAGAGTTCCTAGTAAAGCACCAATGAGGGAAACCAAAGAGTCAAACACAGGGACAGAACTGGCGATAATATACGCGACCACGGCAATTCCCGAAGTGCAGCTGAGCCAAGTGACCCAATGGGTGATGCTGTTGCTATTCAAGTGCTGTGAGCCGCGTAGAATGTGGACAAAAATATACTTTGCTGGTATCTTCGCGTATAACTGTGTTAGCTGCCTTATCTAGAATCATTCTTGTAGGGGGCTTACATGTGAGCAGATTGTTATTGTGACAATCAATCCTGGCAGTGCGAAGCCATAGGCGATTTTCTTGATATTCCCTCCAGCTGATCCGAGTGCCGGAGAAGAGACGTTAGTACCACAGTAGTAGTAGACAACGCAGCCAATGGCCATGTATATCGCTGTCACACCAGACTGGCAGACTAGCAATGCTGGTGTGTATTTTCGGGGGTCGCGCATCTCCGAAACAATAGCGAAGAAACCCGGAGTGCCCGAGAATGCAAAAACAAGACTGCAGACGGCTGTTATTCCTTCGTTAAAGGATGGATTACCAATTAATTTGTAATCGGAGACCCAGGGCGCTTCGGTTTGTGGTGCTGCAGCAGGGCGGTCTTGTATACCCACAGCGATAGTCACGATCATGACTAGAAGCGTTTAGTCTGTTTAATCTCGTGATGACTGATGCTCAAGAATACTTACTGGCAGTTAGGATACAAGGAAGACCAACCCATGCGAGCCAGGTAATTCGTCCTAGTGTCCGCACGCTACTTAGCGTGAATCCTAGAATTGCGGCAACGGCTGAAAACACAGCAGTGCATGCACCATGGGTTGAGACAGCGTTGAATCCGATAGAGACACCAAGGATGCCGGAGCCGCTAACAAATACCCAATCTGCCAACTGTTAGAAGAGGGCCTTGATCTACTGCTTCGGATACTTACAGAGGCAAAATGCTACTGAGAGAACTCCTCGACCAGCTGGACCAAACATCAGAGCACCGGCATCATCAATTCCATATACCTCGCGATGATTCAATTTGAAGGTACCAATAATGTAGTTGGACCAGGTACAAATACACGCAATGATACATAGACAGATGACACCGGGTATCATGCCTAGAGAGTCCAGGGCAGTTGGTATCGAAAGTACTCCCAGACCAATCTGGGTTTTCATCATGAGAATGATGGTGCCCACAAAGCCCACCTAATAAATTGTTAGTTCCAGACTTTAGTGGCATTGATTAGTTTGCGATGCGCACATTGCGGTAATTGGGTCCGTCTTCGGTGATCTCGCCGAAGACAACATCATGTGTCGGTTCGTCAGGCAATTGTTTTGGATCAATCTCATCCGTGGTAGGGGGCAGCTCTGACACTGCCATGGTGTAGAATCAGTGTAGAACGAAAGCAAAAAGTCTACCGTGGTAAGTCCAGGGCTTTTATAAATGGCGATGCTCCAGCCATCCAATCAACGGTTGGAAATCTTGATGACAGCGACAGGATTGTCTTTACTTCTCCTTTTACAGCTAATAGGACCCCACAATAGTCGAATTGGAGTAATGTGAGGAGATGAGGGGGTGAAGATCCTCTAAAATGGAGGGGTGATGCCCTTCTTACAGGATCAAATTCGCTTTTTAGGACTAGGCCCCGAAGTCGGTTTATGTGAGATTTCTATTTACCCCATTCGTTTTCCAGATCGTCGAGATCACTCACTAGTGGGTTATCGCTGTCATTGTTTCAAATGCCCAGCAATCGGATCAAAGTAACCTGCACGCATTTGTTAGGAAGAAAATTTCCTATGTCCAAGATCTCAAAAGCATTCATGGGACCATGCAAACTTGCGGCTCTATGGAATAAACACGCCCATGAGTGCCCATCCCCTCCCATTGGTGCGAGTATGTTTTGAAACAAAGTTCGAATACGTCACTGGAACGCGGAATTTAATCTAGGGACGAGGACAAGGGTGATTGGAAGCTTCATGCTCATCGAGGTCGATCCCTGAGACGGGGGAGCCCTGAGGTGAAACAATCAATCGGAATGCAAACACCAAGTCTTGGATGCTACCTTAATATTCAGTCGCTCGCCTAGCCTTTACCAAAGAAAACTCAACCAATGTTTCTTTGATGCTTGGGCAGATATTGGAATGGCCACCTGGCAACTTTCAAATGATTCCTAAAGCGAGAATTGGCAAGACTTGCTCCAATACAAACCATAAGCCCGATATCGCAAGCTTGTGGGAATTTGTCCCGCAACTTCTTGTGGGGAAATGCCGGTAGGCTTGCCGTAGCGTGGAGGTGCAACATGCGGGGGGATCCATAGGCCATGACTCAGGCAGATTCAATCGAGATAGCTGAGCAAAATTACTAGTGGATGGGGATATTCGGCACTTCCATTATCTGGGCCCTGGCGGGTTCAAACGCCCTTTTAGGATAAGCCTTCCATAGTACGGGCATCGTTTGTCATTGGATAGCGATACAATTGGGGTTCTCTGCGATACGCCCAGCTTTGAAGATAAAGGATATGCGACCATACTTGCGGTGTCTTTGAGATAAGGATCATACAGTAGAGATCGTGGTGTCGGCCATTCGCTCGATCATAAACACACTTTAAGCCTTAGAAGTTAGATTAGGATCCCTGTCAGTGATCGGCAGCCACACCCGAACATAATATGGGGTCTCGGGACAGCCGAGCACACGATATGATTGGATCCTTGATAGGTCATGATAAAACAACGAACTATTCGATATTGTTGAGCGAACTATCTATTGTTCTTTTGGCTTTTCTGGAATAGCTGAATATGGCCAGATCGACTGCGCTCTTTTCTAGAATACAATTGTCGCGACCATACCCAGATATCAAAGGGTACCCTATACAAGGTGCATTTGCCTATGGCTCGGATAGATTAAAGGTCCCGTCTAAGGGAATTTGTTTGCCCAGAACCTGATAGGCCAGAAATACTGCCGACAATATATTTCCGTCATAACCTAGGCTTTGATGAACGAGAGAAGATAAGCCAGGCCCGTCACCTACCTCACCTCTTTTCCCGTCTTAACTGCCCACCATTCAGCCTAACCCCATGTCAAGTAACCGAAGTCAAGGTCTTACATGAACGTGGCTCGAGAGCGCGAGCTTATACACCGGATGATGGGATCCATTCAGGAGCCCCAGGCTGTGCCCAAGGCCAGCTGGAAATAGTCACAAAGAAATAGTGTTTGTTCGGCTCCTTACCTCCGTTTCGAATTTTAGCAGTTTACAGCCAAGAAAATGGTTGGACATACTTCTGATACAAGGTGTGAACAATGTCTCCGCTGAGTAAACTAAGCAGCGTAGCTGTATGCCCGCAAGCTGGATTAATATGCACATAGAGGAGTGCAAAACTCCTCGCAGACTCTCGGCCTGTCAGCTATGCTAAGCTCTAAAGATAGACGATTGCAATTATAGGGTACAAGATAGGCTTATCGTTGCGCTGGTCTCGTGCTGCTTACTCTGCGCACCCCAGTACTAAACAATACTTTACCAAGCTGACAGCAAAGGGTTTTGCCTAAATTGAATATAATTGAGGCTGGATTTGACCGCCAATCCATGAGCAATTTTCCGGATAAATTGTTCAAAATTTTGTCATTTTCGACCGGGTTTATATGGTTACGCAAGAAACATGGTCGAGTAGAAGAACTAGCTCGGCTGTGTCTGTCTGCCCTTTAAATCTCTTCCCTATACCGACCTTGGTTCTTGGCATCCTAAACAACATTGAAGTAAAAGATCAGAGCAACCAATGCTATTCTACAACCCAATCAACAAAATCCAGGGGTCTTGCTACACTGGCACCTTCCACCCGAGCCCGACAATCCGCTACAAAAAAAACCCTTGAAATGCCGACCGACTCCGTCCGTCTGGCGATGACGGCGATGGACCTAACGGCGCCTCATTGGTGGCGCCCCCACCAATCCACAGATCCTGAAGGGCTGTGGATTCGCGAGAGACATGTCGGGCAGCCAGTATCCAATAAGAAACGCTATCTGAGACTCCCAGTCCAACCTATGACGCAGGGCGACATTCACGATGCTCCTGTCGGAATGCTCCGATTCCACTTGATGGGCTCTTACGTCAGATGGGATTTGGCAGGGGTCCAGTATTACTGGATGTAGTAGTTACATCTTGGAGATTATAGTCCTTGTAGGTCTGTGATTCCGCGTAGGGCCGGGAGGGTGGATGATTGACAGGAGTAAATCACCTGGCAGTCGTCAATCTGGTTGATCATTCGTCTCGGATCTGATACAGCAGGGAGTTTGGGCATGCGAGAGGGAGAAATGCACCGATGGCGTATTATTGGTACGGAGTGCATTGCATATATGTGTGTATCTAAGTACTCGTCCCAATGAGTACACATATGGTGCAGTCAGTGGTCTATAATCGGATCTATCAGCGGCCTCTTGCAGGGTCTGAAATGCACCGCAAACAAGTGGAACGGTAAGATATGCAAAAAGCAACCTTATAAGGGTCGCGAGAATGGGATATTTCCGACATACTTTCCGTCTTTAGCCTAGTACAGTAGGAAAACAAACTCTGTACGGAGTACTGTGTCAGAGGTTGTAGCCCAAAGCGCAGTTTGCGACTAGGAAATGACCTAGTAACTTGGAATCTACAATCTTATCTCACGCTATGGTTGATGGTGTATCTGATGCAGCAGAATGCACCAATGGACGTGAGCTAAAGGAGTAATTCCGGTGATGCCCATTGTAGCCCCGTCAGTGGCCCGAGGTATGTGGCTGGTCCCTGCCTCTGGCAACCCCTGCAACCCTGAAAGGATCACCGCCTGTTACTTCCTCTTTGGGCGGGCGGTAATGCGGGGGGCCGAGTTATCAACTTGGGACTCGTGACTGTCTCGTGATTCGCCAGCCAAGATTCAACTGCGGAGCTCAACTTGATAGCAACTGCTTCTGACTCGTTCATAAGTCGACTCCATTTGTCTCCACTCCTCCACCCAATCCCTAGTCGCTTCTCTAGTGCGCTTTTTGCGCTTTCCTGCCAAGAGTCTAAAAAAGAAGAGGAGACAGATTCCAGATGATGCCTGTGAGACTGAGCAATGCTGTGAAGACCTTCTGGTGACATGCTAGGCCCCTACTTCGATAATACGAGCTGCAGGTAGCCCGCAAGTACGTGCTACCCACGGCCACCCGCCGGCCCTCCCTGTTTCACCGGCATCTCACGGTCGAATTGATGGATTGATGGAACGGCCTGAGAATGCGTCGGAGAAAAACAATATTATTTGGACTAATTTATCGCTTGCATCCCGGGTCAATATTAATGCTGGTACCACTGCCCACTCCCGACTCCTTGGCAATTTGTGCTGTCGAAACAAAATCCCTTTGACCTCGTTACAACCCAAGTCCAATCCCCCTTCCCTGGTTCATTATTCCCCTGCCCAAAGGCTCCATTCCTGTTTACTGTCGGGGACTTGGCTTGTCCATTGAGAACTGGTGATTTCCTTGATATCCACTCTTCAAGTCCCTTTTTCTTTATCTTTCTGCTGGGCGTTGCCTCTCCCGAGGACAGACTCCGCTCTCCGCTGCTGTCCATTGGATCGACCCTGCAAAAAAGAGGAACCCGTCGGAGATAGCCACAGGGACCCAAGGCCCCCAAAACAACGCCGTGTCCTTTAGTCCTGCGGGGACTGTTTCCCTGGCTTCCACTCTGGGACTTGCAGGGTCCTGGTACGTCCACTCCTCCTTAGCCGGTGGAATCGGGTTTGGTTTTTGCTGGGTCGATATTATTACTCCTTCCTTCGCCCTCCGATCGAACGACGAATCCCTTTTTGTGAAGATATACGCGGACGCCTGGCCACTCTCCCACAGCACGACCATTCTCGAGTCCAGATGATGAGTAGAGCATGAGAGAGGCTGGTCTGGCTCGTCATTCTCGCTCATTGTGGTACCTGTGAGGGCCTATCGCGGTCGCTCGTGTGGACCTTGACTCTGAGATCACCAAACAATCGCCGTGACGGTCCCCGGCCGATCGCGAATTATTTCGAACGCGATGGCTTCCCTTCTAGGGTCCAAGTCTATGGTCCAGCCTTGTATCCTGTTGATTGTGCTGGTCATGCTGCAACGCGCCTCCGCCCAGATGTGCTCCTTCTGGGAGTCCGGATGTATCGACCCCCTCGCCCAAACCGCCGTTCCGATGGACTTCTCGCCGCTATTCCCAGACCCGATCACCTTCTATTATGCCTTCGATGAACTTTCCTCGGGCAAGGGCAAGGGACCGATGACCAAAACCAGTTATTGGCTGCGATATCACGATCGGAAGATCAACAAGGATCAGGTGACGTCAAATCGGACGTCCGAGGTTGCCTTGCGTGTGGGCAATCTAACCGGTACACCGTCGGGAACTACAAACGGCTGTGACGGGATTTGGGGGAATCCTTGCTCTCAGGATATCAAAGGTGCTCTGCAGCATACCATCTTCCGGCTCGCTACGTCGGGCGAGTATTATTCGAAGCCTCTTGAGGCAAGCCTGGCGCTCATGATGGTGTATCCTCCTCACCTTCCAAATTGCGGAGCTCCCATCTTTGATGTAGCATCTATTCCTGTGCAGGGTATGTCCCTGATTCAATGTCTTCGGCCATTCGATCGTGTTTACTAACCAAGACTCCCAGATTTTGCCAAAGAGAGAATCCCAGGTCCCAATGTCACCGTCATGCCTCCGGGCTCGAGTAACCGCCCGTGGCAGGTTTTGTACATTGATGGCATGACCTCCCATCAGCAAGCTTCTCAAGTCGCAGTGGGAATTATTGCTCGCTCACCAACATATAATAGCCCGCCGCCGCTCACGCCTGATGAGATCCAGGTAGAGCTAGTGTGTCTTCAGGCTCCGCAAGGGCCGCCAGTCGGGCCTTCAAAGGGATCATGATAGAGGGGCTTCCTTAAAGGATGATCCCAGATCATTCATGACTCTCTTTTCTTTTATTCTCCGGCCTGTCAGCCGAGATTGAGATTGCGAACGTGGACGCTTTCGAGAATTTATTGGCCACATGTGCAATTCCCCTCGACCCTACAGCATGATCGTGCACATGATACACCCTCGAGCCAGCAACAGGGCCGCAAGATGGTGCTCTTCAGGCATGGCCAAATTGTTACCAAATGAGATTGACTATCTGAGGTCGTAATGTCTGTGTTCATGCGATCCAAGATGGGCTCTGTGGAGGTGTCAATATGGCTCGACTAATACACTCACTGGTCAATACACGGACTGGAGATGCAAGTCCTTTGGATAATATACATGGGGCAGCGACACCCAGAGCCCGGCGCTATCCTCTTGTTCCAACAGCCCTCCAGTCTCTGCCGGGAATACATCCATCTCACAAAGTCGGCCAACTATTATCAACAGGCTTCAAATCTCCCGGCCCCCGGAAATCCTCCAAAATATCCGCCTGCTCACTCAAAAGCACTCTCTCCGTCTGGATGCCAATCTTCGCGAGGCCTCTCCACCTCTCCAGATCCGCCGGATTCCTCTTGTCACCATGCGCATCCCCTGCCTTCTCCCAGTGACCCTTGGAAAACCCCAGCATTGTGGTGATCTTTTGCCGAGGGATGTCGAAGACGAGCGAGCACATTGTGCCTGTCTCTTCAAGCCAGTTGCATTGCCATAGCTCGCCTGGCCGGATGCATTGATATTCCGCAGCTTGGAAGTTGATGCGACCTGCCATTGGCCCGCCGTGGATTGCATAGTTGATGCGGTCTTCGTTTTGGAACCACATCTCATATCGCCATTTCTCGGGTTGCCCGGCGCTGTTTTGAGCGTCGTAGTCGTATATCAGGTGACGGTCGCGAAGGTCAGCGTCGAAGGTCGATCCTTCTAGAGAGGGGCGGACGGGCATCGTGAGGGCTGAGAGAGTGGTGTTTCAATTAACTTAAATTGAAAGCTCGGTTTCCGAGAGGGTACTACTTGAGCGAGGGACGTTTCGGATGTGCCGATTTATAGATTTGAGGATGGTGTCAAAATACCATCAATCGTACATAGTCTTGAGATGAATCCGGTTTTATCTGATCTATTATCGTATCCCATTCCAGTTTGTACGGGCCGACGGCTCTACGTAACTCCAACCCACTTTCATGCCCACCTTGTATGCCTCGTCTTGCCCAGTTCCTCGTTCCGTTTACGGAATCACGGGTATAGAATGAGGCTTGCTCGCATGACATCATGACTTGCAAAATATATTAGGTTCATTTGTGACTGTCCAATAGAATCTTTAATCACCGAGCATAAATAAAATACTACCAATCCCGGCCGGAATAACATTATTTGGCTACAAACCGTTGATCTTGGGAGTTGGTTGGCCCGTCAAAAAATAATCATGGGCCAGGGGAGGCTCGAACTCCCGATTTCGGCTAATATTATCATGACAACATCCCGTTAAGAGATTATCGCATAAGAGCCACGCCTTAACCAACTAGGCCACAAGCCCGTGTTGTACCTCTACTTTTTGTCTAGCTTCTCATAGCTCCCTAGTGTCATACCTACATCGGTGGTCTTGAAAGACCCACCCTTCAGTGTATTGGCTTGAAGCCGTTTGCACAAACGTCGTGCGAGTTCTTTCTCGCACTTTTCGGAATTGTACTTTCTGGGTGTTTGCAGGCGAGTGTTTGAGTCAATCGTACAAGAAGAAAAATCATAGGATAGTTGATGTAAAAGAGTTGGGCTTGGACTGTGAAGAAATTTTTGGTTGATAGTGTGGATCACGTGTGGAGGCGGGGGATTGTTGTTCCGGGGATGGTTAACTTTGACAGTAAGACTAGCCAATCAGATTGCTTTTATGGGGGAGTGTTTATTGTGTTCTATTGAACTCTTTCTTGCTGAAGTATTGGATGGTCCTTACTGCTCATATTGGTAGGGAGATGGACAGGAATTATGATCGTGCACTTTACAACTATCAATGCTTGTCATTGGAGTCTTTTGGCCGCAAAATTATTGATTCTGCAGCTTCTCACTGTGTAATCTGAGAAGCTGGGTGAAGAATAGGTTTGACATGGCTATCACCACATACCTCAGGGGGTGATGGAAACATTGTAAACAATCACTTCGCTTCTCGTGGTTTCCAATATTTACCCTTGTCGATCTTTCGCTTGCCCTCTCGCTTTCTCTCTCATCACCCTCCTTCCCTTCTTCCCCACGTGCACTACCCGTTCAGGACTGATCAACAGCGCTACCCACCACCAACAGCCACTCCCGTGTCCCTCCGAAATGGCGGTGTTCGCCTTTCAACTCCAGAGACTCTGGACTCTGATTACGCTGCTCATCATGCAGGCAGTCTTGGGAAATCTGGTTCCAAACGTCACGGCCTCCTCGCTCCCTGGCTTGTCCTCCTACGTCGCGGGGCCGGGATTCCCGACATCGGCTTTCGGGTAGGATTATCGGGAATCTTGGGTAATGATCCAAGTCTAAAGCTAATCTGATCTTATCCGCAGATCATACTATGTCGCCCCAGCGCTGCCAACCCGGGAACCGCAGCCTGTCATCTACGATCCAGTGCTGGACATCACGTTTCCCTACGAGCTGACAAACCCAGACATCATCCCCGAGAGCTCGGATGAGGTGTTTTACCCCGTGCCAAAGGGAAACCTCAACTCGCATCAGAAGCATGCCTTGATCGAGGATGTCAAGACAAATGTCTCTTCCATCATCAAGTCCGGGGTCTCGGAAACTCGCTGCTCAAAGTGCAAGAGGGCACTAGCAGCAGCCAAGCCGGCGGCCTTGTACGCCCCGCTTCTGGTGCCGGATGCCTTGATCAGCATGTGCAAGACATTCGGTTTCCGGTCTGAGGAAGCATGCGAGGAGAAATATGCTCCACGGGCATCTGGTGCTATCTGGACGCAGGTCCTGGCTTATGCTGATCTCGAGGGTCTGGATGGGCAGTATATCTGCCATTTCCTGAAGAATGACTTCTGCGAGCAGCCTCAGACTCAGGACTTGGATACGTCCAAGTTGTTCCCTAAGCCTAAGCCAGCATCTGTACAGGTGCCAAAGGCTAGTGGTGAGCGCGTCAAGGTCCTGCATATGTCGGACTTCCACCTTGATGCGCGGTATGCAGTCAGCGCGGAGGCCGATTGTACGGGTGGATTGTGCTGTCGTACGGACAAGCACCACAATGGCTCAGAGGGTCAGGTTGTGCTTCCGGCCTCTGCTTATGGGTCTTTCAGATGCGACACTCCATACGACCTGGGTCTGGCTGCTCTGCAGGCCGTGGGACCGTTGACCGGCACTGGGAAGGGCTGCAAACAAGAGTCTCTGGCCTGGACTCTCTACACTGGAGACCTGGTCTCCCACGATCCCGAGTCCCAAATGTCTCGTGAGTACGTGGAATACACCGAGACGAGCGTTTTCCACATGCTCAAGGAGTACCTCACCGGACCTGTCTTTGCGGCTTTGGGAAATCATGACTCCAGCCCGGAGAACATTGATGCCCCGCATAGCCTTCCGGGACGTCTTGGGGAGCAATTTTCTTGGAATCATCGGCATCTGGCTGGCCTGTGGCAGCACGAGGGATGGATCAGCAACCAGACTGCGGAAGAAGCGCGGACGCATTACGGCGGCTATTCCATCAAGACGCATTTCGGGCTGCGTGTCATTTCCTTCAACACGGGTAGGTTATTGATCCAATTCACAGGGGTTATTGGTAAGCTAACTTTGCACAAGACTTCTGGTATAAATCCAACATCCTCAATATGATCAACACGACCAACCCAGACAACTCGGGAATCTTCTCCTGGATGATCGAGGAACTCCAGAAAGCCGAAGACACACACGAACGCGTCTGGCTCGTCGGCCACGTCCCCAGCGGCTGGGACGGCGGCAACCCAATCCCAGATCCCACCAACCTCTTCTACCAAATCGTAGACCGCTACTCCCCACACGTCATCGCAAACATCTTCTTCGGCCACAACCACGAAGACCAATTCATGGTCTACTACGCCAACAACGGGACAATCCAAAACGCAAACACCGCCCTAATGACCGGCTGGATCGGACCCAGCGTCACACCCCTGACAAATATGAACAGCGGCTTCCGCCTGTACGAGGTGGACACGGGAGACTTCAACGTCTACGAAGCATACACTTTCTTCAGTAATACCTCCGAATACACGAGTCTCCGTGATACCGGACCGACGTATCGCTTCGAGTATTCTACTCGTGATACGTACGGTCCAGCTGCGGGGTGGGATAAGGATGCGCCGTTGAACGCGACGTTCTGGCATCGTGTTACTGAGGCTATGGAGAGGGATATTGGTCTTGTTACCCTCCAGACTCGCCTGCAGGGACGATTGAGTGTTAAGAGTCCTGTTTGTGATACGGTGGCTTGCCAGAAGGCGAAGATTTGTTACATGCGGAGTGGAAGCGTTGCTTTGGGTCGGCAGTGTCCTCAGGGGTGAGTTGTTGATTTTCTTTCCCTGTTGGATTTAGGATTTGCTTGCTGATATATGTTCTTAGCTATGCTTCTGTCCAGAGCGCTTTCAATCCGAAGTAGTCACTTCAGTCTTCGCAGAGTCTTGGAGTCTTTTTTCAATTGATGGTGTGCCCTTGGTTGGGCTCTACCCATATTTGTCGGCGTTTCTGAATTTTTTACATACCAACTAGGTAGTGAGGCATGATTTATGGGAATACGAGGTTGGATTGCCGTCGCAGGCATTTATCCATGCATATTCTATGGATTTGATTTTTCACATACCTACTCACCGTGAGATACTGCTCGGCCATGAGCCTTCTATCTCCCGGGTAACCTAGCGCCTGTCCCAAACTCCACCTACTTCCTGTATTAGGTGCCGGTGGTTGGTGAGGCTGTCGGTTGTTACCGGGCTGGGCGATTCTGGACTATCCCCCGGCTATCAACTAGATGGAATATTCTCTAAATCTGTGGCTTTGCGTTCGGTATTATTCATAAGATGACCGAACCCAGACTTACCTATGGCGGATTAATTTAAGGACGTTTCGTCTGGCACACTTGGCAGACGATATATATTTCGACGGGTATGCTTGGTCTGGCATCTAATGACACCAGGTTGTGATGAGCACTCCAAAAGGGTCCAATAAGACCTGTCAAGGCTGGCTAACAATCACGATTTCGTATGACATAGCAGTGGTAGTCAGTGCCAGCAATCTTCTCCCCAAACCTGAACAAGGACCGGTTTATGCTCTTGGAATGATGAGGGGGTTTAAGTACAGCAGAGCAGAATATAATTCATAATTAGCCGCGTCTGTTCAACAAGAAACGGTTCCATAACTCAGTTGGTTAGAGTGTGGTGCTAATAACGCCAAAGTCGAGGGTTCGACCCCCTCTGGGACCACTTTCTTTTTTGTCTTTGCCTTTTTTTTTGCTCCGCCCCTTGTGTAGGCATGTATGTATATATTCGTCTTCTTTTTAATATGGTTTTCTGGTTCTCGTTTACTTAATTTCCTCTCGTCTCTGATCTATCTAAATACGAATGGGATTTTCCCGGGCGCCCTTATTACAATTGAACAGTGCTACTTTGAGTCCTACTAACCCAAGTGTGCCATGCATGCATGATACAGGCTTTGTATCAACGGAAAGGCAATGATTTGCACACGGAGACGATCCCCCTCTTTTGCCGCAAAAATTGTAAAAGGTTAACAGCGGGCGCACCCCCTTTGTAACATTATACGGGCTTCATAATGAGCTGTCGCCTTAATTTTCTGCGAGGTATGCAGCTCTGTAGTATGGGGACAGCCGGCCCGTCCGAGGAACCACTCTCACAGCCCTCAATTAAGCTCATCGTCTCATCGTTGACGATGACCCGTTTCAACCAGTTCATTTGGTCATTGACCAAGCAGTCGCCCTATATTTTGCTGGTCGCATAGTTTTCAAACCTGATCATACCCCGATTTGCTCTGGTGCCGCCGGCTCCCGAGTGCGTCGATGCATGACGTAGCAAAGGTCTTCGTTAGCCTTTCTATATCGTCATCACCATCCTCCGGGCGATCCGCATCTTTTATAATCGCAGCGAGAGCCCTGAAGAATTTTAGGAATTGCTAAAGCCACTGCCACATCCCTGTCATACTCTCGACATCCCGCAGTACTTTTTTTCACCTCGACTCGGTGTCCATCCGCGACACTAACCTACAGCTCAAGGCTTGTATTCGATTTTCTTCGCGAACCGCGATCTACTCTATTTCCTCACTAGTTAATCAAGCTCCGCCTTAAAACTCACAATGGGTCTACGGGGTGTCCAGTTGGGCCTGCGTGTGTGGGAGGTATGCATCGAATTAAGCTATGGAGCTATGGCGCAAATATGCTTTTACTAACGCCCTTGTCTTTCGTTATAGTTCCTGTGGACTCTGCTCATCATGGCCCTCGTCGGTAACATGATCGCTGATTCGTTCGCGGGCAACCCAGCTACCGTCAACTACTCGATGTTTGTGTCGGCGTTCTCGATGTTTTCACTCATCTACCTGGTCCCGGCCTCGTTCAACTCGGACTGGGCACTGCACCCGATCATTATGGTCGTGGTCGACGCGCTCAACTGCGTGTTCTTCTTCTGCGCGGCTATCGCGCTCGCTGCGAAGCTGACCTGCCACTCTTGCAACAACCAGGTACTTTATCCTATCGCAGTTATATCGTTATTATCCTTCCCGTGAAAATATACTGATTTTCCCAGTCCTATCTGATCAGCAACGAAATTACCAATGGCTCGTTCAACATGACGAAGCGCTGCCGTGAGGCTCAAGCGTCAGTGGCTTTCCTGTGGTTCGGCTGGGCTGGATACATGGCCTCTGTCATCGTCTCCGTGTTCATGTCCCGGTCGTCTACTGTCAACCTCCGTGGCCGCAGCGGTAGCCGCCGCCGCCCTAACATGACCCAGGTTTAAGCTTGCAGACAAGACGAGATCAGGCTGGCAGATTCCTGGATGGAATCTCATACGAGGCTTCTCGTCTAGGAATCTAGTTCAGAAGCCTGTTTGCTTCTAAGGTGATACGATAGTGTTCTGGTGGCTTCGCACCAGTGACGCCACGCAACATGCTATGTGATTTCAAACGGCGTTGACGGCAATGGGCGGTTGAATGATTATATGACTTGACAATCCGGTTGAAGTGGAAATCATCAGGAGATATATACTCCGTACTGATGTCCACCTGTGGTTTCCTCCTGGATAATGGAAAACGGAAAACGAAAATTGGATGATGAAGACGCAGGCTCCCTTTTCTTAATTCTCTCCATGATACCGCGCAACAAGGTGCGAGATGGAATAATGCTTTTTGGATGCTGCTGTGCTATTACGATGTCATTAATAATATTGGTTAATTTTGGAGCTTTGATACCGATTGATTGGGCAATGTCAGAGTTTTTGAGAGGTTCTCTTACTTTTGAAAAGCTAGTAAGCCTTGTAAATAGTTTCTTTACTAGTCAGAATGGCGTTTCTACCTATGGAAGCTGGTTAAATGGGCTCGGCTGAGTGGTCCTTGGCGAGTTATATGCTCTGACTGTTTACACAAGGCGCGGCACTATATTCGCCGACCGTAAGAGTTGTCTATTGTGGGCTTACTATAGAATTCAACAAAGATTTAACCCTACTGATATTTATAATGTAATGCTGCTCTATTTTCGAGAAGCTGAAATGGTAACTAGAAGATTGCTCGCATGACGTACAAGTTGCTGGATTCTCATGAGCCATGGGGCGGCAGCCTTGACTCATTCATCCGTGCGCGGGAGAGACACAACATCCCAGTCCATTGACTTCACTAGAGATCCTCTTCATCTGATCAATACACCTGCTCTTCATCTTGTTCAACTATCTTCCAACACTCCCCAGTTGGCAGTTTCAAGCTAGGGCTCGGTAGCGGGGCATCTCCCCTCTGCTCCACTTGAAGAATTTCTCCAGAAGCTCGGGTCCGCCACGGCCTTGACAGCACCAACCTCCCGTTTCGCCATCCCCTTTCCACTTCCCAGAACTTCATCACAATGCCCATCAGGTGAGATCGTGAGATGAGCATTGCAATGAATCAATATCATCTAACATTAGTTCCAGCTACCTTATTCTCTTGTCCCGCCAGGGCAAAGTAGTGCGTGTTGAACCCCCTCGTCACCCACCCCGTTTCTCCAACCTGCTTGAGGTCCGACTGACCCAATTTTTCTCCCTCACAGCGTCTCGCCAAGTGGTTCACCACTCTCTCTCCCAAGGAGAAGGCCAAGATCATCAAGGATGTGACTCAACTTGTGCTCTCCCGTCGGACGCGGATGTGCAATTTCCTTGAATACAAAGGTGGCTTCTTCTCCGCGGTCCCGAACTACTACTCCCACAGCCCTGCTGACCAGGACATGACTGCCAGACTCCAAAGTCGTCTATCGCCGCTATGCCTCCCTCTTCTTCATCGCCGGTTGCGCATCGACCGATAACGAGCTGATCACCCTCGAGATCGTCCACCGTTACGTCGAGCAGATGGACAAATACTATGGGAACGTGTGCGAGCTGGATATCATCTTCAATTTCCAGAAAGCATATTTCATCCTTGACGAGCTATTACTAGCGGGCGAGATGCAAGAAAGCAGCAAGAAGAATGTGCTTCGCTGCATTAGCCAGCAGGACAGCCTGGAAGACATGGAGGTAAGTTCAACCATGCTTTGTCCCTGCTGCCCTTCTTCTTCTTCTCCCCAGGGAATACCCTGTCATGCGCTGTGCTACAGCCAGTGCCTGGCAGTTGGGATTCCCATCCCCCGTCTCTCATTGACCTTATACTCCTCCCCTTTCTCTCCCAGGCGCAATCGGGCTAATGCTCTCCGCCCCAGGTTGAGGAGGATGTGGTCACCAAGATCATGTAGCGACCGGGATTCGAGACTTCTTTTCTTTCTTTGGTTTTGTTTTGTGTTTCGTTTCTTTTGGCTCTTTGTCACAGGCGTAGCGTTTTTTTCCATTCTATTTTTACCTACTAATCAATATCACTGGCGCCCATTTTCAGGACTCAGAAGATGTGTCGCGCAACTTGGACCGAGTCGGGCTGTGAGAGCCAGGCTGGACCCATGGAACTCTGGCCCGAACCAGTCTTGACCAAGACTTGCCCACTTTGTCCCAGTCAGACCACTCAGACAGCATGCTGGTCCATGCTGGACCAATGCTGGAACCCACGGCCACTCATTCCACTCCGTCCACGCACTGCTAACAACGACGACTGGACACCCAAAAGGCTGATCCGCCCGTGAGGTCAGCGCGGGTTCTCACTGGCCCCCCGGATCCCAGCACGTGATCCCCGGTCGCAACGCATCTCCTCCCCCTCCTCCCTGGTCGTGGTCGATCGCATCGCATCAGTTTTCCGTTTCCTTATCGCTCTTGACTCGCTCCTTCCTCTTCGTTTTTGTTATATAAATCGAACTTACCCGGACTGGACGGTGTCGCGGAGATTCACTCCCCCCTTATCTGTCCTGTTTGCGGTTATCGCCGATCGGCCCCAGCACCTCCGTCTCCGGCGCGACTACCTCGCGTCATCATCCATCACCTCAGCACCAACGAGGTTATCGTGAGATCTCTCAATTAAGCAGGGGAATCACAATCTCAAAGCAGATTTCACCGACTCAGATCTCTGACAGTCACAGTGCTTGGACAGAATGAAGGTTGGTCCCCGTTCCTTCCCTCGGTCGCCGTGGTGATCTCGCCGAGATCCATCGTGCCATCATCACTTCAGTCGCAGTCACTTATCAATTCCTTTCTCTGCTTAGTTCCTACCTCTTCCCGAGTTCGAGGATGTCACGAGCTCGTTAAACTTCGATACAGCGGATTGTCACATCGTGGGGGGATGCGATTTGTACACAACCAAGGCTGCCCGATCCGATCGAAAACTCTACAATCACATCGAACAATCCCTTGAAGCCCAATATGAATCTATCCTACGTCTCTCGGCATCATTGTCCCCACCAAACGCTCACGATGCGGCCGAGACGCTGAACCTATCCCGATCGAGTCCATTTGGCCCCCTGAGCGAGCATTCCAGTCGGCGCACCTTTGCCTATCTCATCGCGACGCTAAATGCCAGCCATCCGGACTACGACTTCTCACATGTGCTGAGACCCACTGATTTCCGGCGGGAGCGACACATGAAGCGCGTGATGAACCAGGTCAACTCCACACTATTCAACCTCCGCCCTCGCGAGTCAATCGATCTCTCTCCATCATCGCCAGCCACCCTTTCTGGATCATACAATTCTAGCTCCCCAGCCTGGGGTCCTCGGATGTGGCAGATTATGGATGAGCACATGTCTTTGAAGGAGTGCTCGGTCTACTCGTACTCTCCCGAAGAGGACCCATCCGACGCCGATGACGGAGCGATCTGGAGCCTGCACTACTTCTTCTTCAACCCTTTGAGGAAGCGTGTTTGCTACCTCTATCTCCGTGCAATTCCAATTCTCAGCCACACACCTCCTGAAGATAGCGAGGTTGCTACTACGCCTACTGGCAAGCGGACATTCGACGACGGATACCTGACACCCGACTTGAGCTCGAGCAAGCGAGCCCGGTACTGGTTCGGGAATCGGGCTGAGTCCTCGTTGCATCATTCTGATAACGCGGATGATGACGATCAATACATCCTCAGTGATGAGGAATCTCGTTCGCGCAGAGGCAGCAAGGGCATGGTCCGTGCGATGAGTGAGGAGCTTGTGGATACCATGGAGATATGAGGCATCCACGACTGGTTTTTTTGAACTCTGCTTTCTTCATTATGTCTGATTTCTTGATTGTGTCTGATTCTTCCATTCCCGTTGATCGGTGATTTGGTCTGTCTTATCGTTCGTCTTTTTAGCTGGGGGCGTTGGGGTTCTGAGACTCGATGGACGGAGCATTTCAACCTGCATTATATGATTTCTGTCACGAGGGCGTTACGAACAAGCAAGACTGATATGAACCGCCGCCCCCTCCTGACTTTGATGCTGATACCTTTCTTTCTGCTCCTGTCTATATTCTCTAATAATCTACTATTTCTCTTGGACGTACACTAAATGATTCTACGTAATCGATTGCTTCAGCATTTTTTTGGTCCGACAGGGACGACTAGCTCAGACGACAGCAGTGTGGAAACTCAAAGTCTGTTCCAAGGATAGACATAATTTGCAGAAAGACATCATGATGATCGTAAGCAAAGATCCGTAGATCCGTAAGTGTATCCTTTTTTATCTACTTGCCCCATGTCTGGTGTATATCAGAGGTGGCCCGTGCGCCGAATGGGGAAAGCTGTCCATTCTCCATTCCCTTCCACTCCGACACAACTACTCCGCACCCATTGATACCCCTTGAACATTATAAAATGGCCGACGAGGAGGAGCGCATCAAGGCTGAGAAGCTCGCCGCCGCCAAGAAAAGGGTATGCTCGTTTCGCTGATAATGTTATTGCGTTCACTAACCACTCCCGTGCTATTGCAGGTGGCCCAGCTCCAGAAGCAAAAGAAGAAGGCCAGCAAGAAGGCCTCGACCGCCACAGATACACCCAAAGATGCCGAAGCTCCCAAAGAATCCGAGGCTACCACAGAGCCTGCGGCTACTATGGGTATTACCCCTCCCGTAGAAGATACCCCCGCCGATGAGAAGCCTCAAGAGGAGACCCTACCAGACGCCGCGACCCCGGAACAACCAGCAGAGCTAGAATCACAAGAAAAACCAAGTGAACCATCCGAACCTGTCGAGTCTCCTGTCGAGCCCATGCCCCCCGCTCCCACCTCTCCTGATCCAGAGGCCGAGCCGCAGCCTGCACGTCTGGATACCCCTCGCGCCGGGCACGGCCGCCAGCCGTCCCTGTCCATTCAGTCGAAGATGCGCTCGTCATCGTTCCGCAAGACCTCTATATCCCAGGGTAGCGCTCCATCTCCAGCGGCTCTCAAGTCCCCACCACAGTCCCTACCTCCCTTGACCGGGGACGGGGAGTCTGTCCACGAAGTGTTTCGGAAGCAGTCGACGAAGATCGAAGAACTGGAGAAGGATAATAAGAGGCTGGAGAAGGAGCTTTCAGATGCAACGGTTCGCTGGCGCAAAACAGAGGACCAGCTAGAGGATCTGCGGGAGGCTAGTGTGGATGGGGCGGAGTTGAGGGAGCAATTGAAGCAGGCTGAGGAGAAGGTTGCTAGTATTGAGGCTTTGGTATGGATTCATTGAAACTGTCGTACCGGGGAATAATTGAACTGACTTGCATGGCAGAAAGAGGAGATCGCCTCGCTACAACGGCAGAACTCACAGCTTCAGTCCCGGTCAAACCGCAATAATGCGAGTATCTCTGTACCAGGGCCGTCAGAATCACCGCCCGCAGATCTTGTGCGCCAGTTGGAATCCAAGTCTGCCACTATCGAGTCTATGGAACTGGAGATCTCTAACTTGCGCGCACAAATTACTTCGCAGACATCTTCGAACAGCGCGCATGAGGATCAGGTGGCTGCCCTAGAAGAGGAAATATCGGAGAGTAAGGCTGCCCTTGAGAAGTCACAGCGTGAGCTCAATGACACAAAGCAAGCCCTCACTCGTGCCTCCGAAAAAGCTGTCAAAGAAGGCGTGGACAAGACATCTACCGAAACCCTCATCAAATCACTACAGCGCGAAGTCGAAGAGCTGAAGAATGAAAAGATCGAGAGTGAAAAGAAGATCGAAACCCTAGACAAGAAACTCCAAGCATTGGGTAACCTACACAAAGAATCAGAAGCTCGACACCAGACCAGGCTACGCGAGAGCGAAAAAGCAGAGAAAGAAACCGCAGTCCTACGGAAGAAGCTCGCCAGCATTGAAAACGAGAACCTCCGTCTCCGCGAAGAGCGTGATCGCATGCGCAAGCGTGACGCCGGCGGCGCAGACGACGAGGCCCTCGACGAGCTCGAAGACGAAGAGCGCCAGCGTCTTGAGCGGCGGATCCGCGAGTTAGAAGGCGAAAACTTCGATCTGCGTCGCGGTGTCTGGCAGGACAAACGCTCAGAACTGGCTGGCCAGGGACACTCCGACGAAGGACCAGATTCTGCAGGTGACGCTGGTGCCAACGCCTTCGACGACGTCGACCTAGTCGGCGGGAGACCCGATCACTCCCGCCGTCGGAGCATGGCCCTACAGCAACAGCAGCAGCACTCGTCATTCTCAGATGTATTGTCTAGTGGCTTCGCGGCATTCACGGGAGGTAATCGCGCGCGCGCTGGCTCGTCGAACCCACCACACCCCCACGGCCCAGCTACACGCGGTAGTCTTGAACTCTTGTCCGAAGAGAATCTGGAAGAGGAATTCGATGAGGCGGAGTTTGCGCGCGCCCAGGCTGAAGAAGAGGCTCGCAAGCGGGTGGAGTGGGTGCGTGGGATTAAGGGCAAGTTGCGTGACTGGCAGGGTTGGCGTTTGGATTTGGTTGATAGTCGAGCTGGGGCTGAGGGTCCTGGCTTGGCTTTGGGGCAGATCTTTGAGGTTTGAGTTTGAAGCTTCGGTGTGTATTCTGCAGATGTATTCTCCAGTTGGTTAGGAGGGTATGGTATGGGGTATGGGTTGATGGGGTGGAGGCGTATTCAAGTTTTATATACCACGATGCTTGTTATAAAAGGTTTCATGAATTAAACTAGGTGCTCATGCTATGGTATAAGAGTTATGTGACAACATATAGACAGTTCAAAGCCCTTACAATTGAGCTCCAAAAGGTTTTATATCCACGGACTACAAATAGCTACCAGATGAGGTATACCCCACTGAGCGAGTATAGATTCTGAACCCGCAACTTCAAAACTAATATCAAATGCAATGAATTCCTATACTCAAGGCAATGCAGTAGAAAGAACAACGAAAAACTCAAATCAAAACAAAATATAAAAACTCCTCAATCCGAATAATGCTTCCCCGTCAAAACTCCCTCACTCTGCCTCCTCCTCTTCCCCATAAACTCCCCCACCCACCCCGAAATCTGATAAACCCAACCGCCCGTGACCAAAACCCCCGAGACAGTATTAATCACGCGAATCATCAAACTCAAAAACCCCGTCCGCTCCTCGCTGACCAGCAACAAGATCGGCTCAATGTTATACTTGAAGAAGATTCCCGGAATCAAGTACGGAGACTCGGGGATGGGCCCAGACTGGCTGGTTGCCGCGTATTGGTTTGTGAAGATTGTGTTGCGGGAGTGGCGGGCTTCGAGGGCGCCAGGGTTGGATGTGTAGGCGTCAAAGGCAGAGCGGCCTTTTGTGTAGAGGGTTGGTACGACGGAGAGGAAGTATTGGAATTTGTGGTAGTGGTTTTCGCTTTCGGCGATTGTTTTGTCGAGGGGGTTTAGGAGGCTTGGGTAGTGGGGGCCGAAGGAGAGTTCGGTTATCATGTGGGAGAAGTTGAATGCTGGATGGATAGTTAGTAGATGTTGAGGGGAGGGTGGATAGATGTAGATCGAGGGATTTGGGAAGACCATCGATCCAATTGCAATCGCAAACCCTTGAATAATCCGAAGTATAAACGAAAAACCAGGAAAGGACTCACCTTCATGAGACAAATGCTCCCCCAACTCCCGATATCCATGCCCACGCGCCGTAATATGGAAATCCCCCTGCACCTTATTTCCCTCCAAACTCCCATAAATGCGACAAGCATCCGCCTTCTCCCCCCACCGCATCCTTGGACCCTTCGCAAACTTCCTCCTCGGATTGCGCCTCACCTCACCCATAACATGGTGCACATGCGCGTCCTCCTCCTGCGCGCTCAACCGCTCCGTCTCCTCATGGTTTAGAGTCTGATACTCGTGCGAACCGTAGTTGCGCTTTTGCATCCACAGTTTCCAGGAGGTTTCTTCGCGTTGGAGGAGGTCGCCTGCCAGGATGCGGTCGCCGGCGGCGTCTTGGATGTTGACGCGGAGCGTGTCGCAGGTCATGTGCACGACTATGTCGAGGTTTAGCTGGAGTTGGTGGGAGACGCCTTTTTCAACGCTGAAGTGGTGTTGTTCTGTGCCGTGCCACCATGTTTTGAGCTCGTGGAAGCTGAAGAGCGTGCATATGGCGAGAATTAGGACTGTCCATTGGCCGCCGCGGGTGGTGGGTGTTGTATAGGATGCTTTGGTTTTAGCTGGTAGAGAATGGTTCTTAGTTAGCTTTATTCATTGATTCTATGACGAATTGGTGTTTATCAGAGTATAGAACGGTGTATTGTGTTGTGTCAAGGACATGTTCCTGGCTGTGTTCCTTGTTCCTGAATCGGGGACGTGTTTGTAAACTCACGAAAAGCATCAAAGGTCTTTAGCCCTGACAAGCTACCCTTGTCCCCAAAGGCATCCTCGTCGAGACCACTCTTTTCATAGCCATTCATTGCGAATGTGCAGGCCCAACAGCGACATGAAGGGAAGCAAACGTCGCCCAATTGCAGAAAGTTGGGGGAGGCTCGGGGGAGTGGAGTAATAAAGTCAGATAAGGCGATGAGGCCAAGTAGCCCGATTGCCGCGATCCGCCAGTTGATCATCGCCCCCTCGGTAGACTTGATGTGCCGAACAAAGCAAGAATGTCCTCCCAATCCAACAACTATCTACAATATGAAACAACCCAGAGGAACTGATTGTTGAATTATTATTGTACACACAATGGTAAAATGTCTTTTCAATAGCAAATGCAAGCTTAATTGCCAATCCGAATGCTCTCCATGAACGTCCACATCAGGAAGAAGCCAAGCTCTCGAGGAGAGATGCAAGGAGATAAAATAAGAGAACAAGAAAATGTACAGATAGCAGGACCAAAAAGAAAGTCCTGATGAAAGAGGGGGTCGTCATATAGCAAGAAAAAGCGAACGTGAGAATCGGAGGACATGGACGCAGTACCCTTGCAACAAAGAATCATATCAAGGCCCAGATGCAAATGCTTTCAACGAACATAAAATGGGTATAGGATGTATGTCGTCTCGATTCATCTCCATAGGTTCACCGAACCAGACCAACGTAAGCTGACATGACATACCACCTGATGCATGAGAATAAAACAGGCCAAAAAAAAACGAGAAATCAGAACAATTATGATTACAGGGCATTGAGGAGGAAAGGGGAAGGGGCATGGAATAATAAATATGGAAAACGGCGGAGAGAGGCGATAGAAACCGCTTATTTGCTCCTCTGTTGCTGGTCAGCATACTTCTTGTCTTGATTAGTGCTGGCATAGCTGGCAGCATCTTCAACTCACCAGACTGGTCGCAGCCGCCGCCGTGGCGAGGTCGGGCTTCCCACTGATACTGCGTGCAGAAGCACGAGGCAGGCCAGTCCCTGAGATAGTGGAAGTGTTTGACCCTCGCTTGGCAGGGCTAGATGGCGGCAGACCGGTGACCGTCGAGTGCCGCTTTCCACTGCTGCCCTTGACTGGGGAGGTGCCTGAAACATCACGAGTGCGAGCACTCTTCAGGGTACCACCAGGAGGCTCGGGAAGTGGGCGCGCACTGGAGGTTGTGGTTACTCTCTTGGAGGGTGACGCAGCAGCATACATCCGAGGTCGAGTAGCCAATTTGACGCCGGTGATAAACTCATGTTTCAAGGCGTCATGAGGGCTCAGTCGACGTGTGGGATCCCAGCGGAGACAACGGGAGAGGAAATCTAGGAAGGCTTCATCGTCACACTTGAGGACTTGCCGGAGGTCCTTGGAGCTTGGACGGCGACGGCGACCCTTGGACGAAACAGTCAGGCGTGGTTTGCCAAGAGAATCGAAGAACAACTTCTTGCGAGTGCTCTTTTCAATCAGATGCTTCTCGGGCGGACCAAAGACCTCCATAATGCAAGCCAGCTGTTCCTGTTCGTTCTCACCAGGGAAGATGGGATAACCGGTGAGCAATTCGGCCAGGATACAGCCCAAGCTCCACATGTCGATAGGCATGCCGTATGACATTCCAAGAATGACTTCCGGAGAGCGATAAAAACGACTCTGGATGTAGGTGTAGACCTTTTCATTCTCGAAACAGCTGGATCCGAAGTCGATCACGCGAATCTCCGAATTCAACGGGTGAACCAGAAGAATGTTCTCGGGCTTCAGATCACAGTGAATGACCTTTTTAGCATGCAACAGCACCAGACTGCTGAGCATCTGCTTGGTGAAACGGCGAATAAGCTTGAGCGAAAATCCGCGGAAGTCGTGTGCCTTGATAAACTCGTAAAGGTTCATGCCCAACAGTTCAGTGGAGATGCACAAATGACCGCGGAAGTAGAAACTCTGATCGAACGCAACCACACTGTGCCGGCGCTCAGAATCCCAATCCTTTAGCTTCTTGAGAAGGTTGACTTCGATGAGAGCTTGCTGGTGGAATCGCTTTTTGTTCCGAATGATCTTGACAGCGACCAAAGCACCAGTCTTGTGGTCAACACAGCGCACGACTTGTCCGAAACTTCCCTTGCCGAGGACATCCACAACCTCGTAGCGATAGGCAAGATGGTCGCCGATGACGATGTTGTAATCTCCACGATCATCGTCATAGCCAAAGTTTGCAGCGCCTGAGTGCAGGTCTCCCACATGCTTCTTCGCATTCTGGGTACCGCAGAAGAAGATATCACGGTAGTCAATGATCTCGCCACGCTCGAAGATGTTCAAGTTTGCCATCTTAAGCGCCTGGGCTGGACTGACACGATCCTTTGGACATGCCTTGCGACGCAGTTCATCCAATTGCCTAGCCGCAGTTTCAAAGTCCTTCCGCTTTGCGCCCAATCGCCTCATTTCTTCATCTGCAATGACGGTATCCGCGTCAACGCTGGCATCAGCCGACCGCGAATTAGCGGCCGCGCTGGATCGAGCAGAGCTGATAATCTTGTGAACAGGGGACACATAGTTGCCCGCAGCACGGTTGTGAGAATGGTCACTGCCCGTGGACTCATTGGTAGTAGTATGCTCAAGGGGGACACTACGATCACTACTGACACTCGGTTTCCGAGGAGCAGCCTGTTTCGTGATACTCGAGACGGATGACTGGCGTCGAGGCTTGAGATAGGAAGTCTTCGTAACAGGGCTGGTCGAGGTCACGGAAGAGAGATTATTCCATGTCGCAGAAGCCGGAAGCTTTGGTGGCGGCATGTTATCATACTTGACGCGGTCATTATCAGCTTCAGACGAAAGGTTTGCCTTGGAATTGCTGCGAAGGCGAGCCACATTCAGTCGGTCTTTCAGAGTAGAAGCAGGCACCACAGTGGTACTCTCGGGCTCAGATGGTGTCGAAATGTGGCTAAGCCTTTCAGCAGCTGGCGCGAAGATGGCGCTCTGTGTCTGAGGTCGAGGCCCAGTAAGTTTGTAAGATTGGGATACTCGGTTGGAGTAATCACCACTCGCCTGGTGACGGAGAGCATTGAACTCGGAGCTGGACTTCGGGAGCGTATATGAGGCATAGGGTGAGATGTTGCGAGTGCCATTGGGCGTATCTGTAGGGCCAAAGGCATCGGTGCTGCTGGCCGTGCGCAGTCCAGCTGTGGAGATGGAGCTTAGCGCGAAATGCGACGTGCTGCTGCGAACTTGGGTAGCTGGCCCCTTGTCATCCTCATCACGATACCAGAAGTTCGCCTTGGAGGCAGTCATGGGAGTACTGGGTGTCTTTGAGATGACTTGGTTTGAAGGGGTGTGGGCTTTCCTCTCTTCAGCTTCTCTGTCCCTCAACGCCTCAATCTTAGTCGTCATTGGAGTCCCCAGAGGAAGCAAGTTCAATGGCGGCAGCTTCAATGGCTGCAGGCCCTTGCGACCCAGCACCGTGGAAGTTCGCGTTCGCGACTCGGGGGTTTTCGTGACCCGCCCATTAGTGATGTCAGTATTGTCGGCTCCAGTAACACCAAGACCACCAAGACCACCAAGAGCGCCGAGGGCATCGGAATCAGAGTCTCGTGCAATGTTGAGAAGGCTGATATCAACCGGCAAGCTTGACTTTCTCGGCGCAGGAAAGACGGGCGCCTCAAGCTCACCCTTCGGAGATTCATAAGCCTTAGGAATTGCGGGAACAGGCGGTACCTCTTCCTCAGAATCCTTTGAGGTTTGTTCCGTGCGCGGTTTGGGGGTTGGTAGACGTGATGAAGAGAAATTCTGAGACAGACGAGGTTGGAGTGAAGTTCCAGAGTTTCGGACAGAGTTGTAGCTAGTGTTCGATGACAGCGAGAGCCCGGAGCTGTATGACTTGCGATTCGGGTCAGGAGTTGTTCGGTTGGAGGAAGGGGTGACGCTCTTCCTTGGGATAAATGATGGGGATTGATTTGTGGACACGGGTCGGGTGGGAAGAGGCTCCGTCTGCGTGGGAGGGGTATGTGGCATCGGTGGTGCAGGAGGCGCGATTGACATTCGTTTCATGCGTCGTGCATCTGTGGGACTAATGGTGCGCGCGCCCAAGCCGGTGGCATGCGGCATGGTAGACATGCGCTTGGATGATGAGGAAGGTGTTGTGTTTGCGACATTAGCCCCAGCGGGATTCTTGACTGGCGTACGAACCGCATTGGTAGAAGAAGATCTTGTATGATCCGTAGTCCTCGCTGCTGTTAAAAACGTGCTGCGTGGCTCGCGCGGAGACGGTTGGAAGGATTTCGCTTTCAGACTTCGCACCGATGATGGAACTTTGTAATCTTCTGGAGCTTGGTCTGGTTGCTGGGCCCGTGGGCGAAGGAAATTGTTCGTATCCATTCGCGTCGTGTCGACACTGATTTTGCGAGCGCTGAGACTAGCACGTCTAGCAGATGCGTTGGTAGGCGCGAATGCACCGGAGCTGATTGACTTGCGCGAGCCTCGCGCACTCGTGGCGGCCGCGGCGGGTGTTTGGGCAAGACTTTGGCGGCGGTTGCGGGAGTTAGCGGGGGCAGTCGATAGCCCCGAGTTCGTGGGCGTCTGGCCATTCAAGCGGTGGACTTCACTCTTCCGGCGAGATGCAGGGCCCCTTGCCCGTTCCGAAGCAGTGCTCTCGTAGCTATGAGTGGTCCAGGAGCTGTTTGTGGACAATCCAGAGTCCCGGTTTTCGATTCCCGCGCCGCCATTACCAGGCATGGGGAAATTATTGAGACTGGGCTCGGCCATGATACTATTGTGGAAGTCATCGAAACTGATCGGTGCCAGAAATTCCCCTTTCTCGCCTGTCGGGGTTTGGCTGGCCTCCGCTTTCGACAGGTTTCCCACACTGGTAGATCGAAGATTATAACCCCTGACCGAATCGTTTGTGGAATCAATTGAAGAGCTCTCGGAGTGGAAGTAGGTGGCGGAGGGTTTGCTATAAATTATTGGTAGTTAGCTTTTTGGTGATTGTTTGCAATTCCCCAACCCAACTCTGGTGCGGGCGAGATAGGGGGAGGGGTTGAAGGTTGTTGAAAAGTGGCGCCTACCTCCCGCGCGAAACATCTTGTGGGCGAGGCCCCTGAGGAGCCTTTGGACCTCTGATGGACAATCTTCTCCTACTTGTTTCCCCTGAGCGCGGGCCTGCAACGCCCCTTGAGGATTGTGAATCGAAATTGGTGGAGGTGTTCATATGGAAAGTAGTTGAGGCGGCCTTCTGCAAGCGTCTACGGGCCGGAGTTTCTGCTGTAAAGGATCATGTTAGCTGAGTATACCCCAATGCACTCAAGAGGGGTGATATCCTTACCCCCAGAGCCCGAGTCGTCGTGTCTAGATGGATTGGATCCCCGAGATTGGGATGTCCCCGTTAGACCCCTCCCCGTGGCCTGCGCCGGTTTTGTCGGCATTGTCCAGGAATCCATTTGGGCTGTGGGAAAAGGAGATCCGCGTCAAATTGACAGCCCACTTTACAGACGAAACCCAAACGTGTCAGGGTCCGACGGCAATGGCATTCAGGAGAGAGCGGGCCTCCTCGACGATCAAGAAATAAGGAAGAGCCCTAAGCACAGTTGCGCGACCCGTCGAGAGGCGGTTACCGGTCCATTTCGGGAGCAAGGCGAGAGAAATGGCCGATTTGCGGTGCCAGGAGAAGGTGTTTGGTGGGCTGCTTTTTTTGCTTGGGCTCCAGCACTGGGGAAATAATTTCGGCGTAGCTTTTAGTCGTGTTGCTGGGGCAAGAGCACAAGGCGGTCGCGATGGATACTATAGGGGGATCCACCACCAACAAACACCAACAATGGAGAGTGTAGATGAAATGGTGCAAAATATGGCAGAAGAAGGTAAAACAAGAGCTTCCAGTGGAGAGAGAGTGAGGTGACAATGAGAGGAAAAGAGTCAAAAGAGTAAACATGCCGCTTTCCTCGACTAACTAGTTCAAGTCCAAACTTCCCCTGATTGCGGACTGAAGGACCTTACTATACCATACCAGAATTACCAGCGTTAGTCCCGCTATTTTAGTCCCGTCGGTGATGATTTGACAATACGCGGTACCGCCCACCCCAGAAAAAGACCCTGGCCCGATTCAGCAGGCATCGACAGAAGCACATGTGCTTCGACAGCTCGCCGATTTTATTCCTCAGCTGCCTTTCCTCTGCTTCCTTCTCTTTGCTCTCTCTTTCACTTCCCCTCTTATTGTCCACCTATAGACCATGGTGACATCTTTTCAGCATGGATGAATACACCCCGGACGCCCTGGTGAACCGTGACGATCCTGTCCCCATGATAGACATCAAGAAGCCGAGGCGCCAGAGGAGCGGCTCTACAGACAGTGCGCATTCGCGATCATCGACGCAGTCGAAAAGCTCTATCCAAGATAGATTGTTCTCCAAGTAATATATTCACACCGCCAGATCTGGCTCCTATACAGGCGATCCGCTCATTTCTAACCGTGGCAATCACAGACTTCTACAGCAAGTCATTCCCGCCGACGACGAAGATGAAGCCAACTCCGGGGACGCCTTTGTGGCATCCCCCAAGCGGCCACCCTTTAGTCTACCAACTATGTCTAACAATTTCCGCCGTTTTAATGCAAGGTGAGCAGGAAGCCGAGTCATTAATCACTGGACTGCGTGACCGAGAAAAGCTAATCATGTGGTATAGAATTGGCGTAGTGTTTCTCTTTCAGACTCGAGCTGAACGTCTGCTAAGCTGGGAAACACCAACCCATACCATCTCTTTTCTATTTGTCTATTCCTTTATCTGCTTGGATCCGCACCTGGTTCTGATTCTACCCTTGGTGATTCTCCTCCTGTTCATCATGGTGCCGGCGTTTATAACTCGCCACCCTCCACCACCTTCTACATCTACGTCTAGTATCGTTCCATACTACTCCTATGAAGGACCGGCACTGGCACCGGCAAAAACGATCAAGCCGGCCTCGGAGACCTCGAAGGATTTCTTCCGCAATATGCGAGATCTCCAGAATGTCATGGCAGACTTTTCAGATGCTCATGATGCGATCATATCAGTGGTTGCTCCGCTAACGAATTTCTCCAACGAGAAGCTATCCTCGACTATCTTCCTCGGCGGTACAGTGGCCACAGCGGTGCTATTCCTCATGGCGCATCTTTTGCCTTTAAAGTTGATCATGCTCGCAGGCGGAAATGCGGCCGTTCTGTCCATTAATCCCAAAGTGCAGAGCTTTGTCAAGGGCTTACTGGAAGATGTAGGTGGTGGATTATCAGACCTGGACTCCGATGATGATGAGACCCACGGTGGATTTGGCGCCGCGATTCCCAAGGACCCGTCCGTAGCAATGTCTGCACTGGAACAGTTGGCAGAAATCTCACTTGACACCGACCCTGAAGAGCGTGAAGTTGAAATCTATGAGCTCCAGCATCGGGCACCAGGGACGTCAGAGTCTGGATGGGAGAATTTCCTCTTCAGCCCTCAACCATATGACCCTTTGTCGCCCTCACGCATTGCCGGAGACCGGCCTCGGGGATGCCGGTTCTTTGATGACGTCCAGGCTCCGTCTGGTTGGAGATGGAAGAGCAAGAAGTGGGAGCTTGATTTGGACTGTCGTGAGTGGGTCGTCGAGCGTATGATCACAGGTGTTGGGTTCGAGCTCCCCGGGGTCACCCCGGAGGGCAACGCCATCATTGACCAAGTTGGTGGTTGGGTGTGGGATCTGCCCTCTGAGCCAACCACTGCGCCTGGAGAAGAGGACGATGAAGTAACTCCTACGGCGTACGGTGATCTGGACGTGTCGACCCCCTCATCCAAATCAAAGGTTGCTTCGCCGGCAAAGGGCAAACATCGGGCGAAGTCATCTGGAGACTGGGAGGAAACATCACCTGCTGCGTATGAAGTAGGAGAGTGGCGACGTCGTCGGTGGGTGCGAATCGTGCAGCGAAAGAATCTCCCACCAGCTGGATCTGTCACTGTCACGTATTCAACGCTTGGCCATAATTGAATGTACGACTGCCTAACGATACCAATATTTGAAGAAGGATATGTATGTAGCAGACACCGATAGCTCTGACATGTGTTTTAATTATACACCGTCCAAGTACATCTTCCTGGTGAATATGTATAGAAAGAGATACTTTTCGTAAAAACAACCACCAGAGCAGAAGAAATTGGTGGTAAAAAAGACAAAACGCCGAACTCGCCCTAACCAAATGCTGAAATGAAACGAATTCCTCGGTATCATGCCTGGCCCTTCTTCCACTTGTTGATTCTCCTCCGAATATCGCCCTCACTCTGCTGCATGGGGTTCAACTTGCGGTCACGAACCATAGCCGAGATATTATCGCCATGCTTCTCAATCAACCGCGAAACCCACTCTCCCTCGCGCGTGCTCTGATGACGCGGCTTCTTGGCCTTCTCGCCCTGTCCCTCCATGTCTGCCTGGCGCTCCAACTGCTGGACGACCTTGGAGGCGGAAACCACGGGAGTATCCTCGTTGTCTGATAGGTCGTTCAGAGGGTCGTTGAGCGGGTTATTGCGCCGCCGCTTCTGGCCCGCAACCTCGATCTCATCGTAGTCGTGAATGACTCGCAGAATCTTGCCGGTCTCGGGGTCACGCTCGACCTTTGTCTCGCCGAGATCGATCTGCGCGGCGGCGACTGCGCTGCCGTTGATGAAGAGCGAGTTGGACTTCTCGGTGAGATCGCTGCGGCCGGGAATTCGCTCTTTACCACCGGTAGGGGCGTTGAGTTTGTGCAGCAGACCAAGTTTCTTGTAGTTTTGTGTAAGGGTCAAATCACGGTCCCTAGGGGTGGAAATTAATGTCAGCGAATATGATCTGATCTCTACTTTTTTTTTTTTTCGACGTGGGTTTTCCCGCATACCAGTTTTGAGCGATGATGGCGTTGCCCAGCACATTGATCTTCTTGTTACCGCTCTTGAGGCGGTTGTTCTTCGCCTTGGCCTTGGAGAGGCCGGAACGAGCCTTCTTTTTCTGTAGAATCTTGCCCATCTTTGCGAGTGTTGTTGTGGATGTTTGGTTTGGAGGAATCGTAGAATTCAATCAGTATCGGCGTTATCGAAACTTTTTTGTGTTTGCATCTCCTCGGTGCTGGGGTCTTGGCGTGTTTGTTCGAGGGTCCGATAAAGTAATCAGTTGGTGGCGATAAGCGGATGTTACCCACGCGGGCTGTTTATTCCCTTGTTGTTCGTTTACCGCATACGCCCTCGGTTTGTTCTTCACCAATGGCTTCGCGATTCATGCCTTCGCGCCGCATGGGCTTTGCCCTCATTGCTGGATGTCTTTTGTTCTCGGCGTTGGCCGCTGCTACTGCGAGCCCTGGCGATTTGTCTGTTGGTGAGATTGAGGAGCAATTGCAGGTAATACATCACGAGCTGGGGTCGACTTGAGCTTCCAGACCCTATTTGGCCCCCATTCCAGTTGTTGACACTCTGTATTAGAATTGCCCTCTGGTTGAAGCTCTCAATGAGCACAAGAGAGCTTCTGCGCCGGAGACTGCGAGTCTTACCTCGCAGATCTTCGCTGTCCTGTTCCCTGGAAGCCCAGCTGTGAACTCCCTCCTGGCCACGTTGTATATTTCCGGACCTCCCAGTATGTCTCCCATCTCGTTGACTATCTCGAAAGGCAAAATTGAACATTGTCTAACAATATCATCATGATATTCATAGATTTCCTCCTGGCATTATGCCCTCCCAACATCGACCCCTCATCGCTATCTGTCATGGTCGCCTTTGCCGTTGGAGGCTTGCTCGGTGACACCCTCTTCCACCTACTGCCAGAGATCTTCCTTGGCGAAGACTCCCCCGACCACGTGAGCTTCGTCATGGTCGAACCGAACAAGAACCTCCTGCTCGGTCTGGGCATTATGGTCGGCTTCTTCACCTTCGTTGCAATGGACAAGGCTCTGCGCATCGCCACAGGCGGCGAGGGCGGCCACGACCACTCCCACGGCCACTCCCACGCCGAATCAACAGCCGCAAGAACGACAAGCTCCGAAGCCAACGGCAAAAAGAGCGGCGAGCTGAAGCAGCGCAAGTCGGGCAAGTCTGGCAAGGAGGTCTCGGAGGATTCTACATCGGAGAAGGAAATCAACCCTAGCGTCAAGCTGGGCGGATATCTCAACCTTATCGCAGACTTCACCCACAACATCACCGACGGTCTCGCCCTGTCCTCATCCTTCTACGCGTCCCCCACCATCGGTGCAACGACCACCGTCGCCGTGTTCTTCCACGAAATCCCCCACGAGGTCGGCGACTTTGCCCTCCTCATCCAGTCCGGTTTCTCCAAGCGCAAGGCTATGGGCGCGCAATTTGTCACTGCCGTGGGTGCGTTCTTGGGAACTTTCATTGGTATTGCTGTCCAGGAGTTCGGGGGTAATAGCGCCGTTTCGGCCGCTGGCCCTGGTGCGGGACTTTGGGGTACCAGTCTCCAGTGGGGTGATATGTTGCTTCCTTTCACTGCGGGAACTTTCTTGTATGTGGGCACAGTAGCTGTTATCCCTGAGTTGTTGGAGACTGGTAAGGATAAGGGTGCAGAGATTCGGAAGACCCTTGTCCAGTTCTTGGCTGTTGCTGTTGGAGCGGGCATTATGCTTGTGTGAGTACATGCCACTCTACTTTCTGACGAGCGTCGTTACTGACTTAGATTTTAGTATCTCTTGGGACTAAAAGTCTTGATATATGTGAGAATTTATAATCAGAAGGTAATGGGTAGCCCGCGACCTAGTATATGGGGTAAAATAGTAGAATTCAATTTCGTTCTTGGCATTGATCTTGAGAGTTTGGCAATATACCTCAAGAGTCACCTATGCACCAATTGTCTGAATAGATGGTCTTTCTCATTCGTATATCTAGTGATCCCATGGTTCACACCAATCCCATCTAATTTGACGGTGAACCAACATCGTATGCAAGCGCCTTCCAACGTCTAACCAAAAATTCTAAACGCCAGACCAAAAACTGCCATGGAAACGACTTCTCAACCCAAGTTCGGTACCAGGTCTGTTCCCACGCGAGACCAGATACTCGGATTCAACTGCACCTGGGGCAACAAATCCAAGAAAGACGCGGAGACAGAGCACGAAACAAAAACGCACGAATCAGAAATAGAACAAAGATAATACCAAAAGAAAATCAAAGACGCCGAGTGATGTGGTGGTTGACATTGGAGGCGCGTCTCTCTCCCTGCGAATAGAAGATGCAGATCGAGCGCACAGCGCGCGATACATGCATTGCATGTTTAATCGGTCATCTTAAAATAGGAACACCTGCGAGTCCCGATTACTCGTTATAATGGTAGACCTATAGTTCTTCTGTTAGCAAGGTCTATCTTTCATAGAAACCCATTAGAAGAATACATACGAAATAATCCGGCAGTCCAAAGACCGCATATCCCAACCGCTTAGCCATCTTCGCGAAACCCTCCGTCTCAACAAGATTGTAGAACGGGAAAGCAGGGAACATGGCACCATCACGGTGAACATCTGCTTTAACCATAAGCGCCGTACCGCCGACGCCATCTAACGCGACTATCCGATGCGGATCTAAGGCCTTGAAATCGGGCAAATAGGCCATCAATGTGCGATAGGTTGGCATCTCTGCATACCCTTCTAGCAGAATCTCATCGGGACCCATTTCCGCAGCGAGATTCTGCGCTTCCTGGCTATCGATCCACGAGTTATAATCGTAGGGCCTGATATCCCATTTCTTGGACTTTGAGTCGTAGTACCGCTGATAACAATTCGGTACGATGACGGGTTGATTGTGTTTTGTGAGATCTTGGATTAGAGATGAAGGGGTCTCGACAATATCGCCATCTAACCAGAGAACCCATGATGTACTCGGTCCCATCGTGGTGAAAACGAGACTATTACGCGCGCGACTCATGGATTCGCGACGCTCTTTCTGTGCAGACATTTTATGCCGCACTTTTTCGTCTTGCGATTGAAGTGGCGGATCGAAGTCCTGGCGGAGAATCGAGATACTTGCGAAACGGTTATCGATGGGTCCGGACTGCGTGGTATGAATAGCTTTCTCGAGCGCGGAAACAGCAGCGTTCCCGTCTTTGGTCTTCGGTGCGATGAAGCCCAGGGAGATCAACTCGTGTGGGTAGCTCAGTTTGACCAGGTTATCCCAGTAACCCTGGTAGAAGCGGGCTAGTGGAGTGAGGATGAGGATGCGCTCGCGGTTGGCGATGGAGTCACTCGAGCTGGTTAGGTTGTTGAGGTTATAGTGGACGACTGGCGGGGCGGCCTGGATGCCATTGCGGAGGGACTGGGATTTGAGGAAGGGTTTTGTCGGTGGGGAGAGAGGGTGTTCGGCGGCGTCTTGTTGGCGCTGTTGTGAGGAGGCAGCTGTTGCGGATGCGGAGACGGTTGGCGTGGAGGGTGATAGCATGAAAACAATGAAGCCGAAGGCGAGCAGTGCAGCCAGCACGATGCTGATGGGACTCGTACGGCGCATCGAGCGTGCGACGGCCATGGCCGTTCCCCTATCAATTGCGATATGGTGGACTTGACAGGTTGAAGTTGCAGTAGTTGGACAGTTTGTAGAATTGCGGGAGCTCAGATCTGAAACGACGATCAGCGGCGCTGGTTGTTGGCCTTAGGCAGCCCAGCGTTGTCTTAGCAGGCGATCTCAATCTTGGCCCACCGAGTGACCAATTATCAATTGGTTAATTGAGTGGCTTCCTTGTCTACACGGACGGCCTGGTCCGGAGTCCGAAGGATTTGTGTTTGAAAGATGAGGATTTGAAGAGGAGAAAAAATACAATGATGTTCAAGTCTAATTTTCGAGTGTTCGGTTTTACAGGGCCGGAAAGAGAACTATGCCCAGAACTTGGCTTCACCTATGCAACTCTTGAATCGGGGACCCCTCCTTAAACAGCCACAATCTCGAACACGATGGACCTGCCCAATCGCTCACTTGTATGAACTCTCTGGGAATCAGTTTCCTGAACATCTTACCACGGGATGCCCGAAACAGCTGTCCGTCTGCCGGAAGCGGCTTGTCAACATTTCACATTCCTAAGCTCGGGATAAGCTCGGTGTATCTTTGAACATACGAACTGAACCTGCAGGCAAATGGACAGAGTCTCGTAGAGAATGAGTCTTTGAGAATATGGTTTCTATTCTCATTTCATAAGCTTCCCGTATATACCAAACCTTTTTATGTCTATGTACAAACTCAAGGAGCTATGAGCGGTCCTGATACAACCACGTCCTGTTCAAGACAAGGTACGCATTACAAGGTACGCATCACGCCCTCGAATGCAACCAAAGCCATTGCATTCGCCGGGAACGCCCTGAGGAAACACGGCACAAACCCGCGCCAATATCCTCTCCACCCACGCTCCCGCCAAACAGCCCGTGCAGCATCCTTCCAGCTATGGAACTGTCTTTGTCCATCATTAAGCGCGCCGCCCATTGGGTCTGTCATTAGGCGCTGCTTCACCACGTCGGAGGGGTATGATGTGAGCCAGAAGATTTGCGCGGAGATACCGCCGGCCCAGAAATTGATTAGCGGAGCGGACATGTTGGTGTTGTTGGTCATGTAGCGGGTGAGCACGTCGTAGGAGCCCCACCAGAAGAAGAAGAAGGAGCGGAAGAACATTGTGGCGAAGAGGCCGCGGTATACACCGCTGATACCATGTGTGCGGAGCTGGATTGAGTTGTTAGATTGTTTTGTTTGGTTGGAGGTTGAGGGGGTGGATTTGGAGGCTTACCAGTTTGCGAAGACAGTCGATTGGTCCGCTGTACATGCGCTTTGATTTATCTGCTGCATATTGCACTTGCAATCGAGCTTTGATGTGTTCGACCGGGGCTGCGATGAAACTGACTGTCGTGCCAGCCATGATACCTGCAATACCATGGCCGAAGGAGGGGAGTGTTGAGAGGTCTTGACTGCGAGAGAAGGGCATATATTGACGAAGATTGGGCTTTGAAAAGACGTTCTCCAGAAGCAATCGTCGGTATAATGTCAAAGATCCTAGCATACTGTTTCACATGGGGATTATTAGTGTCCGATATTTCGTAGATTATTCCCATTGATCCATCGGATTGAGGGGGATCGTCATGCCAAGGGATACTCACACAGAATCCATCATCATCCATCCGACCAGCGGAGGTGAAGCGCCCTTGTATAATCCCCGCACACCCTCCTTGCGCACAGTTTGCAAAGTACAATCCAACGGTCCCTTAAAGTGCGCATCCTTGCTGGTCTGCAATCGGACCTTGACGGTATCGAATCTATCCACAAAAACCAACTGTTATTAATCTCGATCCACAACTGGCGAGCACTAAGCGAAGGGACAAAGGGTCCTCAAATGACGTACGGATGTCCAACTAAAATATTCAAAAAGATTAGCACGTTGATCACAAAACTCTAAGACGACCAAACTCACCACTCAATTTCGCAATCCCTGAAAACACACCAGCCACAAACCCCTTGTAATTCGACTTGCTTGCCGCGACAGGCGCGTTACTCCCACTTCCCTTCCCGCTCTTTGTCACAACCGGTTTCTTCTCCGTCATCGTAGAAGTGGACAGAACCTCCAAGGGCGCCGGCGCCGATGACATCGTTATTTCTGAGGTAAGGCCGACGCGTGCGTCAGCGGCGCCAAATTAGGCCGGGAAATTGTTCGCTCGTCGCGGTAAGGATTCCAATAGTGGGGGCCGAGGTAGAAAAGCGGACGGACGTCTGGCACAGGCAGGCACTTGTGGCTAGCTAAACAGGTAAACAGGTTGTCGCGAGGTGCGATTAAGGGGGCGTTGTTTGTATAAAGAAGCAATTGAGAATGCGAGCGAGATCGGAAAGTCTTTAATGAAATCCGCCCCGCAACCCCCGGGGAGTTGTGTTCTTCCTCCGGGATCCGCTTTGGTGGATGCCTCAGTCATCAACGTCTTGGTTGAACGTTCATGATTCGTTGATATGAGGTTTTGATCGATCGATCGGTGATTAACTACAGTACAGTGAATGCATCTGGATATTAAAGTGAGGAACAGTGGATGAGATCGATGATCATCTTCGGGTGGTATGTGTGTATTCCGGTTTGGAGATCTTGAGATCTGAAGATCGATGGAGATTGGTGCCAAGGTTAGAGAGACCGGGCAGGGCCTTGGCATTGGTCCCCGCAATTCTCTTGTTCAATAGAACAACAATGACGAATATGGAAAAACGAAAATATAAGTAAGATAGGTAAAGGATTTTCGAGGGTAGAGAGAGGATCGTCTCTTGAGGATAGACTACTGCGACTGTTGGCATCTCACAGTGACAGGTAATATTATCGACTTGATGGCGTTGAATCGATTCTGGTTTACTTTACGTAGAATATACAAACAGAAACATAAGGTGGCAGAAGCCTTCAAGGAAATATGAAATTCAACAGAACAATGGTCAGACTAGTCTGAAACTGTAATGCTTATCGCTGTACTGTGGACCAGCGGGGGGTATAGATATGCTATCGTAATGCAAAAGAAAACAACCTGAAACACGAACTCTGCTCTGATCCGAAACCAAAGATATCCGACGGGAAGAAAACGACCAAAAGAAGAATTGGAAAGAAAAGAAAAGGGTAATCTAGAGGCATAATCCCATGCGCAGATGCTCGACCTCGAAGCGCTCGTAGGTCTTTGTTTTTATGCCCGGAACACCGTCAAGTAGAGAGAAACATAAGGATGGGACCAAGGAAAGAGAAGTTCAAAAGAAGAAGAAAAAAACACCGGTTCTGATGCAAGAGCAGAAAGAGGAGCCGTCGCTATAGTTGCGAGGCATGCCGTCCAACTGGCAACAGAAGGAGCGCTCGATCATCGGCCCTTAGCTGACAAACGGTTCTTCTGCCGAGCCTTTTCATTCTCGTGCGCAATCAACTTCTCCACCAAGTCCGGGGGCGGACCCGAATGCTGACCAGCAGCATGGGCCGCGTTACCGGCATTACCGGCAGCCAGATAGTCAGCGGACTCGAGCGCCAGCGGGGTGACAGGACCCGGGCTACGCAGGGGATCAAGGCGCGGAGCTGACGGACTTTGCGTTGCGCCATCCAGCAAGTCCCGGTACTGCCATTTAATGTCGCGTGACCCCGATGTCGTGCGGTAATTTTGTTGCCGGGACTGCCGGGGCGATGGCGGCTGACCGGTCACCGAGTGGCCGCCCGTGCTGGACTGGTAGACCGCTGGGTGAAAGCGAGGGAGGCTGCCGAGATGGAAGCCTGGCATGGACTTGGATGGGTTTTGGGTGCGCGAGCGCGAGGGTTGTGGAGAACTCGGGCGGCGGGGCGACATGGTGGGTGAAGCAACCGGGGAGTAGAAGGGGGAATGGTCGGCACGCATGCTGGAAGGAGGAGGAGGAGGAGGATTGTTGTAATATCGGCTCGGACGGGATGCCCGAGGCGGCGAACGTAGGTGTCTGGATTTGGCGGAGAGCGAGGCACGCTCCCAGTCTTCAAGGTAATCGTCGTGATCAAAGCGGCCCGTCAGCGGCGTCACAGGTAGATGATCGTCGAACTCTAGGCCGTGGCGGCGGCGAGGGATTGGAATGGGCCGGGTTGACGAGGCAGAGAGGGTCAGAGACTCAAAGGCGTCGATGGGAATTGAGTCCGATCGACGAGAGCGTCGTGGGTGAGGAGGGGTGGGCGGGTTATATGTGGAGGAGGTGGCCGTCAAATCCCGCAGGGAGGACAAGGAGACGGGAGTGGGGTAGCCGTGCTTGAGGATCAGATGCTCGAGATGGTCCCGCGGGCGGGAGGGGGAGAAACGAGAGTGCGATCCAGAGGAAAGACCTAAGGATGATCAGTTTTGGAATGAGAGGTGACGGAATGTCACACGTGTCGGAGCCAGAGAAATAGAGGAATTGAGGAATGTATCAGGATGGATTGGGGAAGGAGGGGCAGAGACACGGCAACCGGCAATCGGCAACGGTGCAAATGGGAAAACACAGAAAAGAAGGGCGGACATCCCTCCCCAATTATTGGTAGACCAGGCGTATCAAGACATGATAGGTGGGTAATGGGGATTATTGGGTATCAGGGGGGAAAGTATAAGGGAATAGAAGTCATTGGGTGTTGGGATGTAGCATGTGGAGTACATCACTCAGAGAACAATGTATGGAGAAAGAGTCTGTATAGGATATATCAGAAATGGGATGACTTACTGTCAGAATATGAGCTGCTGCTGAGGGAAGACGGATAGAAGGACGATGACGAGGAGGAAGAGTATGAAAAAGGGGAGGTGGATGCTGGTTTTAATTGTTTGCGGCGCATCGTCTGTTTCTCCCTCAAGTTGGTCTGTTAGTGCGTGTTCACCTTGCGGGGTGGCTCCACTCCCAACGAAGCGGCATGTCGTCATTTCATTTCTTTTTTTTTCCCAAGGGATTCGGGGACAACAAATTAGGGATTGACATTTATGGGGCCAGGAAATTTCATGGAACGCCTATTGAACAGGCGTTTGAAATGGATTTCTCTGGCGTATAGAAAGAACCACAGAATTACTCGGGCTCCACTGGGCGCCGCAATTCCACGGTTCTCAACGGATGGCATCGGTGTTCCTGGACCAAAGGAAAGATGGAAAAAGAAAGAAAGAAGAGAAAAGAAAAGAAAAGCCAAGCACGTACCATATTTGCGAGTAACACCACTCTAGGGTCTATAAACGTCTATACTGTTGAATCGAAGAATAACCGCTCTATAGGATCGGATCACCCTATAGTATCCTCCCGACAGGAGTCTCCCGTCCGAGCCCCTGCTGATTCGCTGTCGACAGCATACAGGGGATTTCGTAATCGCCTCTGCAATAATCTTTGCCCTTGGGAGTTGGGTCCGACTTTCAACGGGTAGAGTGGATCCAGGGTGGTTTCAAGCCAGTCTAGAACTTTGAAAGGGTTCCAGTCTCATATGGAATCGAGCGGAATATCGGGCTTTATCGACGTGTTTGAGGATCTGGTCGGAATAGAATCTTCAGCAGAGGGGGAAGCAAGGAGAGAGAACAGAATAGGAGAGAACAGCTGGTTTATAAGAGCTTCAGCTGGCCAGGCACCTGTGAAACTTCGTTAAACTCGTGTCTAAGGTTGGAGATACTACTTGTAGGTATACTGAGTCTATGTGTCCTCTAGGTAACTATGCACTTTTCCCTCTGGGTACAACACCCGATGTATTCCTCCACGCGGCGTCGCCTGGTGACCCGAGCCAGACGTTCGATCCAAGGCACAGCCCTGGTTAGAGTGTGGGTGGTTCTTCACAGATCACGTACCTGGGATGGGATCATCCACGTCGACCCGATCTCCAGAGTGGCGGGCAGCGGGCAACGGGGATGTCGATCTCCGACCAAGTCATGGGTGCCTGGTCATTTCCGTGATTCGTTTACAAGGGTTTCTGAAGCAAATCTGGAAATAGTCAGAAACAGTCCACCACCACCAGAACTGAATAATGTGGATTATAAAGATAATATTTATAATCCAGAATAAAATCTACATGATCGCTGCAAATCATCGGGAAGAGTTAGGGATGTTCAGCCGGCACTCACTTCCTGACCAACCAGGACCTTCTATTGTTAGCTCAGGCGATCAGCCGACACCCACATCTTCGGACACACCTGGGGGAAAACTTTCCCTCCTCTTCGTCCTGATTCAGTCCTATCAGTCAACTCAGAGGGAGGGTCCTAGTGCTTTTAAGTGGCTGAGATCGCTGACGAATCTCCTTCATTTTACTACTATCTCTGGCCGTTTGCTTTGCTTTTTGCTTTTTCGGGGAATGAGAGAGAGAGAGAGGGAGAGAGAGAGGGTCGGAGGGATGTCTCGGATGAGTGAGTCTGCGTTCTTTTTTTGGGGGGGGGGTGGTGACAACCCCGCTATCGAAGCTGGGAGGTGGTGAGTCAGGAGGTTCATTCTCCAGAGCTATCGAGGCTGCAGAATTGATTTTGAGGAATCCAGAGGGTCACGGCAAGCTCGCCTAGTCGAGATATGGAGATGTATGTGTGTCTGGAATGATATGCAGGATGCATATAGATATTGATTTTAGGTGTCCCCCCCCCCCCCCCTCCACCGGATGATCCCTGCTGGCTGCAGCGGGTACATGCTGGTTACACGGGAAGCTTTGCGGATGTTACCAGCGGACTATAACTGACTAGTCTCTCATTCTTCCAATGACGTCGATGCTGGAGGGGGATGGTGTCTTGGTAGCTCTCATGATTCTCCGGTCTAGAGGGGGGGACTAGCGATCGCGAAATAATTCAAATGCAACATACTTGAAGAATGCGGTTGGAAATAATGACTCACTGGTCTTAGAAGTGATTTAGTTACATCGTGTCCGAAGCCTGCTTCCATGATGGATGGCCAGCTGGTACATCGTCTGGTGGAGATGTGGCTCAGAGCAGACAAGATCGGTGCAGCCTTGCCGATGATGCCCCTGCATACTCCGTGCTCTTACTCCGTACTTACCCCGACTTAATGCATGTCATGCTGTCCTAGTGCCCCTCCATCGTCTTGCGCCATCCATATCACTCACTGTATACTTGATACTTTGCTCCACAGACTTACCGGAATATCCTAGAGAGATGGCTACCGATACTGGTTTCTGCTTCTTACTACAAGATTTATCGGATGAGACAGCCAGATGAATACTTTTTGATCTGAATGTGACCGACAGGGCAGCGCTGTTGCCTATATAATACGAAGTACGTGGTGACTAACCCGTCTCATGTTGACCATAGATACAGCGTATCTCTCGATGTGCTGGGATGACTGGCTAGTAGGGAAGAGACCATTTATAGTCCGCTATGTAGACCAAAATAACGGAAATGGGTGAAGAAATGAGATTAGAGGAAATATACGGAGTAGCCAGATTGTGGATAATCTAGCGAATCAGCAAGATCCTCCTGAACTATATGCACCGGAGCTTCGGTCGTATATTCGCACACTATCTCCAGAATTTCTATCTTCCAGCGTGGAAAATAGCCCTCCCACTACTATCGAAGCGCTGGAGAGGAATCACGCGAAGATATTAAGAGATCTTCAGGTCAATTCAGCGAAGTCTCAGCGAAATATCGCCAAAAATTTCAAACACCAGCTAGATAAGCAGGAGAAGCTTACTATAACGCAGTATTCACTTCGGCGCGTTCGGGCTGCGCAAGACCCCCAACGTCGAGTATATACTAAGCGGCAGGTTAAACCGCTTAGCCAGGATGGTATACTAAGAGCTCGTGATGCGAATCGGTCCATTAAAAAGAGAAAGGGGAAGGAGAACGCTGCTGAGAAGAAGAAGCTTGATCAATAGGTCGAAAGGGCGCTTGGGTTTAAACCCTCACAGCGCACTCAGGAGAGTATTCAAGGAGCAATTGATAATGAGAGAGAAGCGAGGGAGAAAGGAGAGCTCTTCTATATGGGTTAACAGTGTATTTAATTGATATTTGGCTAGTTTGGTGGATTAATTGCATGGTGTATTCGAAAATTGGGCATGAAAAGGTGGCGCACCCATACGCGGTAGCGGATGGGTGGGTCGCAGCGTAGCGAAGGGCACGGATATCAGAGAAAGCTCATAATACTTAGATATAGATGAAAGATTGTCTAGGTTTTAATTTTCGTAATGGGAATATTCTCATTATATTATTTTGTCCTACCGTAAGTACTCCGTAGCGGTCTGGCTATAGCGAATTGCTTAAGAAGTGGATACTGCCTAAAGAGTGGGGCGATCCGCGATCCTCCCCTATATTAATATAGCCAAGAAAGTCCAATATGATAGGGCGAAAATCGAGGCACGGAGTTATTCGGGGAAGGATATCGGGATCCACCTATCTTTCACTTAGGATAGACGAGATTCATTATCTAAAAGATAGCGTATCTGGGTAAGCGAAGTGAAGTAGGTGCGACCGAAGGGCACTCATTCTATAGGTAAAGAGCGCCTAGGACCCTACTTATATACTATCGATCGTCAGAATCATTAATCCACCCGTGCCGCTCTCTACTACCTAGTTCACTAAGCACAAAAGCATTCTGATTAAACTTTCTGTCGAATTTACGCCGTGTGCATAAACCCTAGGGGGTGTGCTTAGAGGCGCACACAGGTCGATCGAATACCACGGTTATGGAAGAGAGACGAAAGTGCAATAGAGGTGGGTCGGCAGCGAACAGGTTGAACAGTGAAAGGTTAACACAGTTTAATCAGAATTGCCTTGAGCTCTATTCGTGAGTGAAAATGGTGTCAAACTTATGACATTGTCGTCAAACTTATTCAATTTAATTAGGGAAACAGGCAGTATTTACAACTTTGGGTACATGGCAGAATGACACAGGAAAAGACTGATAAAAATCCGAAATAACATGGGGGCATACGAGAGTGTTAAGAAACTCGTTCTTTCTATCCGATGCAATAGTTGATAATCAGCATCGTATATCATGAAGCGGTGTATCGGGGATACAGAATTATGCGTCCGATTGCATTAGCGCGCATACGCATGCATGCGCTCGCTATTGCAGGGATATGCACACACACACATGTTGACACTTTCTACCTAGTAGAGCTAGGGAGTACGTGGTGTCGTTCGGATTCAGTACAGGGCACACAGAATTACATATCTATTATGCCAGTGAAGCTAGATGTCAGTACTTAGTTATGCCAGCGCCTTAGATAACTGATGCTATTAGAATCTAGCTTCGCTAGCGCACTCTTTGGAGCAGCCCACAAAGGCTTGACCAATACAGTATGGCCTTATACAAAATCTAAGTTTTAGGCAGAGAGATCACGTGGAGAATGTCTTCTTATTTTGCCTCTATATTAGAAATCAGGTGTAGCTAGTGCAAATAGTGGCGCAGTAACTAGTGAAGTTAGGCAACTTTTCATGTAATGGATGAGCGACTAGTGTTACCTCCATTCAATCTATCGGAATATAAATAGAGCTTCAGAAGCACGCTCCGTGTTCCCTTATCCCTACCATTCTTGTACTCTACTTTCTTATACTCTACTTTACCAAAACCAAACAAGATGGTCCTTATTGCTAAGCTTCTCTTTTTGGCATTAACTGCTGCCGCCACACCTATTTTTCGCCGCGATGTCGTTACTGTTGAGAACGATATTACCCAAAAAATCGGCCCTCAACTTACAACCCTTAACAACGACGTGAGAGGTTACCCCGCTAGTGGTTCATCTGGTGCACATGCTATTCACGGCGATTTTGAGACTCTTGTTACTATCGTGGATAGTACGATCCGCGATATCAAGAGCACCGGCTCTTTCGGCACTGTATCTGGAACTACTATTCTTGCCAACATCCAAGAATTACTCCCTACGTTTCTGGATATATTGGTTGAAATTGGACTTCAAGAACCTTCTTGGGCACTTGTTCAAGGGGGCAGAGAACTGGTTCTTAGCGATCTCCACTCTCTGAACACGGCCATGGACAATTTTATGAACGCTATAACAGCGGCTGAACCCTTTCTACTAAAAGCCGGGAGCCTCGCAGTCAAAGTTCAACTCGATGGTGGCTTCATTACTGCTATAGCCGCCTACTCTACCTAGAACTACTGGCTATCTTTTTTACCGAACAGCGGTCATTATACCGCTAGCAACGGGATTATTTATTGAAGTCCCTCGCTGAACTCGGTATTTTTTGTGTTATCGAAAGTAGGGAGCCCTTGCGGTCTCGATTTATTTGTCGCTTTTATGACCTACGATTCATTGGTTTCTGTATGTAATCCAGGGAATATACAGAACCTTGGACCAATTTACTCTTAAGTATCGCCGGATTCTCCCGGTCCTCCTTTCTAGCAATCGGTAGCTACAGATAGAACAATCTGTTTGATACAACTGTTTGCTTTTCTCTCTGTTAGTCTAATTGAATTGGTTCCTATATTCCTGAAGCGTTTGATAGATAGATTGTCGGCCACACCTAATTAGATAAGCTCAGTCCTAGCCCTTCACAGTCATCACTTCTCTTCTTTGCTTTTTTTATATAACCGGGGGATTTTGCGGTAAACCTTTAGAGTTACTCTTGGGTCCGGCGGTATTTGGCATAATTATAGGTATTCAACATACTAACTGCTTGTTACGAGGCAGACTGTCAGAAACCCGCGGGGACGACGACAGCCTACCAAACCTGCAAGAAAGACAACACCTGCAGGAAGTCACGTGCGACCAATGAGAAGCATTACACATATGCTTCCCAGGAGCAAAGTGGGTCCGTGTAAAAAGGCATTTTACATAACCACAATCAGCGATCAAGATAGACTTTGTCTAGAGTATAAATCTGCATACACTCCATCTCGGATAATGTCTGTCACTACGAATTACTCCCCTCAGAGGTCACGTGACCAAATCCTATCACCGACGGGATTATAGAAGCAGGACTCATCAGTGATGAGCCCTAGCGCATCGGCGATGAGTTCCAACTTCTCACCGGTAGGAAGGACTGGATATATAGAGACACTCATATAGCATTATGTATTTAGTTCTTCGCGATTAATTGCACATTTTTACTTAGTTACTACCTTTAGTACTTTACTTCACAGTTCACCTTCAAGACAACCTAACCTACAAGTACTGTAGAGGAGCTTACTCTGTGGTAACACTTAGTGACTCACTTACTTAGCGCGCACTCTGGCACGCTCTGCAAGATACTCAACAGGCCCGAACCCGACGGAAGGCTTTGTATAGCAACGGTACGGTTGCGAGACACTCTTGAAATCCGAAGCAATACGGAGCCATAATCGGCCGTTAGTTGGTAAACTTGGATTATCCGCGCTGTTCTCCGAAGTACCTGGATGCTGTTTTACTTACGCCTGTTCACACTGCTCCGAAAGACACGAACTGCCTCCCTCCACAGTATCGTTTCATGCTGCTAAGAGGCTTAGCCTAGACTTGCCAAACCTTGGACGACAGAACCCAAGATTCGTACGGAGCACTATCTGGACTTCGGAATTCCAGTAATGAAATAAATAAATGATATCATCGTGCGATCTTTCTTGATTAATTTTGGGGTAGCCAATAATGACAAGCTTACTCCCCTACACAGCTACCGTTATAGCAACGAGAAGAGGCAGTAGTTTCGGAAGATATCTAATGCAACTTGTGTATGCGTATCTATAAAAGTGCTGGTTTAATGGTTGTCCGGTAGATCATGTTTGTGAAAGATAACCTCTCTGTGAGCCTGCCCGGGGCAGCAGAGCAGGATAATCAGGATAATATTCAATCAGTCCTCCTTAACAGAGGAGCTAGAAGTTTTACCATAAGTAGCTTAGAGACGCTCTTTCGCTCTAGGGTCTGCTGGGATTTACCACTAGAAATGTCATCGCCGTTATCCCTGTGGCTATGCTCGTCGATAGAAAAGATAGTGCCTAACCAGCGATTCACAATACTATGTCTTCTTTAGGCAAGACTGCTCGGTAAGCTTCAAAAAGGCAAAAATCTGGAGAAATAATATACAGAAATCAAAAATTGTCTGGTCCTAGCTCCAGCCTGCAGCAATCAAGATTTCGTATACAAAACGTGCTCTGCCTAGTTATCTCTAATAGAACCGACTAAATAAGCTTAGGAAGAATGTAGCTTACTGAATATTGTTCTAGCAGGGCGCTCAATAATTCAAATGATTAGAAACGGCTAAGTTATAAAGAAACCGTGGTAGTATTTCAACCACTTAGCTATCCGAATATCTAGGCATTGTTCTGCCGATGACACCCTGAGGGTTACAATTATGATTTTAAGGTAGCTAGCTAAACGACCTCAAAACAACGCGATATCCACTCCGCTGTAGACAGTATACGTTTGGATAAAGACATTCGACGACTATTAGCATCTATATAACGCCACGGTACAATGGACTAGTACCTATCCTTATTTGAGGTCATAGTACTCAGAATCCGTTGTATCCCATAGAATATCCTTAGCCTCTCTGTATGTCCTATGCTTATCAGGTCCTTCCTTGAGAATCGGAGAATTAGAGCCGCCACACGAGCTGTAATTAGGGTAGCGAACGATGTCCCCTGCTAGGACTAAAAGGAATTTGTACCCTTTCTCCTAAGATAGCAAAACTGTCTTTGCTAAGAATTCCAGGAGGATTGTAGGTTGACCGACGGCCGACTCTATCGGTAAAGAAGATGCAGAAGACAAGACCGACTAACCGTGCGGGAAAGGTTATTAGATAGTCCAGCTTATCAAGCCTATTGTTCGAAGCGGCTACAGACATCAGAATACCTTCTATATACGCCTTTAATATAGCCTTATATACATTTTGGAACCACTCTCTGAAGCCGAAAGATATTGAGATAATGTCAACCTTCTAGCACTACGTCATATGTTCAATGGCCTTTTAAAGAGTTACTTTGAGACAACCCCCCTTTGCCAAGACAAAATTTTGCGTACCCAAGCCCCTAGTGGACCGGAATACCTTTAGGGGATCGTATGTGCGTAGATCAATACCCGCCCGCCCCGATATCGCTCGATGCGCTCCTGGATGAATAAGATCACCGCCGCTGTGTATATCCACTGGCTCGGGCCTCGCTCGCGCGCAGGAATCTCCGGCTGCTATACCTGGTATGTAACGTTGATACGCCGAGTGCGGCTACGATACAGATTGACCTCCCTCACCGGGACCTTTATCGCCTGCTATATCTGCGCCTCCCGGCTCGGGGGAGGCGTAGCTGTTGGAAATATTATCTGCGTCCTATATTGCGTCAATTGCCTAAGCCGCTGTATCTGCGGACGATATTGAGTGGACCCGTTGAGCATAATATAGCACTTATTAATGATAATCTGGTCCAACCGGTAGAAGCTCCGCTGCCGGTTTAGAAACTGCCTAAAATCTACACTAAGTGCTGGCTTAGGCGTTACGAGCACAATCCTCGCCTCGTCAGGCGGCCGACGGCTCTCCTACTTAACACACGAGATCCTAAGTGTATAGCAGCGCTGCTGTATATCGCTGCGTAGTGCTAGGAGCGGGATAACCACTACTGTAAGCCTACCCGCCGTAAACGCAGGAAGTACGGAGTTAGGGACGTACAGATTCCACGGGTCTATCCGAGTTGAGACCCATGGCTCGTCAGCACGTCACCCAGATGCCCTGACGCCCCTGCATCGTCATTCAGAACACCCACACTTTTGTTCTTTAACTGTTCAAGAATGACCTTCGATCCGAGAACCTTAGTAACTGTATATGCGGACCTATCAAGCGCAAAATTTTCTCTACTGTGTTCCAGGCAGCGCAAAGGACTAAATAGTGGACCCTATGGCGTTCCATACAAACTCCATCAATATCAACCTGAGAAATCGACACACTCTCAGCTGTCACTGTCAGCGACCGAACGGATCATGGAGCTACTCCCAGCTTGACCTGAACCGTTGTCTGGGTAATAATAACGGTATGTACCGCGCCAACGAAGAATCCTAGAACCTGAACTCTAACTCTACTCCGGAGGCGACTTGATCTGGGGAGGAGATAGCTTTGCACATAGCGCGACGGAGATTCGTATTTCTCTTGAGGGGCCCGACAAAGCTCCGTGGCTGCATGCCGAGCTGAACGATCATGATGGAACTCATCAGTGTGCCTCAGTAAGTGTTAATTGTGTGTACGAGAGACGGTCTCTGATTCAGGTACAGGTGAACCTATCCGAGTGTATCCATAATCATATCGGGGTATTGACATTTAAGCCTTGCGACGGGGGTATTCAAAGTAATGTAGGCGATGGTAAAATTGCTGCTTCGGGAACTAGGAGGTGATCGGAGTCTAGGATGAGTTAGTCGCCCCGCTGCCCTGAACAGCTACCGTAGCTTATGGAGCGAATGAGGAGCTTGCTAAGCAACCCTCGTGATGTCGGCGTCGATTTCGCTTGAAAAAAAAATAATAAAACTACTCCGTTTTGCCCCTGATCAAATATCTTCCTATGTAGCATCAATATGCCAGTGTCAACTTTCGATCCAGAATTATCGGCCCAGCTCCACAATGAGATTCTGTGTCGTGCATGGATCGGCGCAGGACGCGACTTAGCATCACTGCCGTCCACAACCTGCTGGGAAATATCATCCCCAGTCCCAGCCGAAATTGCTACGAAACTGAATCCAAATCTTATTTGCTTCCTCCGTCTCGCGAAAACGACAACATGGGACCCGGAATTTTACTTCTTCTACTTTCTGCATTCACTGCAAAGCAGTGGATACCTGCATTCGCTCCATACGTCTGATAGGTTTATCTATCTCTATAATCCCACGAGTGCTTACGGAGATGAGGAAGTAGGCATAATGTCAGTCCTGCTTCCTGGTATTGCCCTAACAGGTGTACTGATACCATGCTAGATTTGATCAAGAAACGGAATTAGCGGCCTATGTTGCTCATCACTATGACTTGATCGACGTCTTCCATGAGCCATGGGCATGGAAACCCCTGCAGGATATTCTTCAGGCATATCTAGAGATGATCGAAGAAGGAAAAGTGCAGGCGTCTCCAAATACGGCTGAAGAGCAAGAGGCCTGGCCAAGAACACCCCGATTCTTTCCATGGCAGTATAATCAGTATACGGCCCGAGATGTCAAAAAGACAAATAAGGCATTTACTCGACTTCTCGACGCAATCGAACATCGACTTCCTCAAACTACGCAAGATTCAGAATTGCATCTTCCATACTCACCCGCTATCCTCGACGAAGCTAGTATCCCTAATAATTCGTTCATTCGACCTTTCTTCTCGGAGATACCCCCTCGGACCTTGAACTTTCGTTACATCGCCCCGGGTATCAGTATTCAGTTACCTACACAGTTTGCTGCCCAGCCGTGGAAAGAGATATCCGATAACGAGTCGGAAGACGAAACAAACGAGGAAACCGAAGAAAAAGGTGGGCAGAGCAACCAGGTGCCCAGTCAAGAAGCTAGTCGAGACGCCGATCAGGGACGAGCTGAACAGTTCGACGAGAACCTCGATCTTCGGACCCCAGGGGAACGATATTTTGGGCCATTTTCCTCGTCCAGCGAATCTGACGAAGAAGTCTATTTTTTATCTGATGGAGATGAAGAAGAGCGAAGTGACGAGGATGATCATAGCGATGACGGCGAAAGCAGCAGAAGAAGTGGTGCCTTAAGGATTTTCTACAACGTTCCAGATATCGACAGCGATAAAGATGAATATCCTGGAAGGTTGCAAATACAAAACCACCCAGTCGGTCACGCAGTGCCATTCTTGCTATTCCGAGGTGACGAATCATCCTCACTGAGCTATAAGCGACTGTTTTTCCCTGATATAGAGGATAGTCACCAAGGCACTTCTACGGGGTTATATGTCCTCGCACCTGGCATAGGGGCAAACCAATTTGGGGACTCCTGCAGACTAATTCTGCCTTTTAATATCGGAGGTCGCGGGCATGCGCGGTTTAGCAATGGTCAGAGACTAATGAATGCCTGCGACTCCTATGTGCCTCAGGAAACCTCGTTTGAGCTTTACCAGGCAGGGCGAGAAAGTGGCTTTTTGGAATTTCATCCAGTACAGCTTCATAAAATCTTGCTGAACTGGGCGCAAAGAGTTGAGGCCGGTGATTGGGAAGTTGATGCGAATGGGGTTGTGGGTGGTATTGGGAAGTTTGAGGAAGCTGATACACCGGAACATTGGAAGAAATACCAGATTCCGCTGTCCTGGTGAGAGATATGATCGGCACACTGAGGCAGTGAATCCAAGCATTTCAGCAGATGGCGATCCCAACTCAAGCATCTTCCAAGTTCCCTTTCCACTCGGCAGACTCGTTGTAGTGCGTAATAGTCAGCCTGACTCTATCTTGAGCTGTGGTCCCGCATGGAAGATCTGCAGGCCCTGCATATACGAGGCCACTAGTGTTGTCCGAGGGTCTGAGCGATCATGGTTAATTTCTTACTCCCCGGGCATCTGTATTCTCAGTTGCTTGTTTCTAATAAAGTCCGGCGTTCTGATTGGATGGTGAAATTCAAAAGAAGCAATCTACTATTGCTTTCTCAGCATGGCTGGGGGATTTCCAGTGCTGGCTCATCGAATGCGATCAGCCCTGTCGAGCGGCAGTGCAACGCAGGGTCTCTCCGTATTGGCTGATGCCAAAATTTAAATATAGGCTGACTGAGTGGCTATAGTAGAGGCGAGGCTGTGATTCTCGGGGACCTCGATGATCGTCTCTTTACCTAGAGCAGTTCATGCTACGGCTAGCCATAACTGTAACACTGGGATGATGGATATCTCGACTGGCTCGGTTTCAACCTGATGCAACTAGCGCACAAAGAAAGTCAGGCCATTCGTGATTGATCGGAGTTGATAATTGGCTGGTCTGAGTGGGCATCCCTTGCCCCTTGCTGCAGAGGTCTAGAGGAGGCTTAGATATGTAAAGTGGCGTTAGGCACCGGTTCATATAGAGTCGATCGTTGCCAGTGTCCTGTTTCTTTGCACTTGCGCATTGACTAAGGCGAGCCTTCTTCGACAGACAGAAAGTATAGATAAAGGGTAGTAAAACGCCCGCCTCACTTGCCTCAATCCTACCTTCACCTCAAAATTTCACCCACGAAAAGCAGACCATCCATGACCCCATTATGGATGCAAATCTACTAAGAACACCCTCTGCCGAGCATACAACAGAATCGGATGACCAAATATCAACATCATCTGACTCAATCCAGAAAATGAAGCGGACGCGGTCGATCGAGACATGGATTTCAGATCGATTTGTGTGGGAAACGTTGGCCATCTCCGCATCTGTTAACCTGGTGGTCGCCATCTTGATTATCCTGATGCGTTTCGAGTCTCAGCCTACCTGGAAGTATGTGTCGTTGAACTCGCTTATTTCCTGGTTGTCCACTTTCTCGAAAGCATGCCTCTTATTCGCCGTCAGCGAGACTTTGGGTCAGTTGAAATGGGTGAGGTTTGCCAGCAAGTCACGGCCGATACAGGATCTTCGCACGTTCGACGCGGCCAGCCGAGGTCATTACGGCAGTGCATAGCTAATTTGGCGTCTTCGAACCAAGTAAGTAACTTTATATCAATCCAAGTTCTCAGGGAGTTAGATCGCTGGGTCAAGCGCTGATTAATTCAGACATTTCGCATTTTGGGGCAGTTTGGCCACCGTTCTCACAGTTGCGTTCAATCCTTTCACTCAAAACTTGATTAACATATATGCCAAAATGGTCTATGACGCCTCGCAAATTGCGACTGTGTCGAACAACTCTGTGTACGATGAAATAGATGTGTCAAGCCTCTCTCTCCCGCGTGGTTTAAGCATCCACTAACTTGAACGCTTGTCGACTACCAAGATGACCAGGCATTAAAGGCGAACGTCTATAACGCATTGATCAACATTAACGCGTCGAGAGCATGGTCTGTTCCGCAATGGACTTGTACATCTGGGAACTGCACTTGGGCCCCAATTGCTGCACTTGAAGCCACTGCTAAGTGTACGAACGTGACGGATCGGTTGCAGTCCCGCTGTTATCTCCTCACAAACTCCACCGAGCGAAGATGCAACATTACTCTTCCGAGTAGTAATGCTACAGCAAATGTCATCCAGGACACTTGCTGGGGCACTCCAGCAATCGTGGTCAAGAACCTCGCTTCCGGCATATACAATGCAGGCCCGCTTCCCCAGCCATTGGTGTACAAGAACACAGTATGGAGTCCTATTCAGTTCATTGGACCCAATGGGTTCTTTGATCTGAATTCATCCACAGTGGCGCCTACATGGCAGGCATGGGATGCGCTCTTAACCCATTTGTCCGCAATCCCATGCATCCGTCACTAATGGTGTTTATGATGAACAGACGTTGGCTACCTGGGAGGACGTCTCTTGGGGGAATTCTGACGACGGAACAGACGGGTATAACCTTTATCCTCCTTGGGGACCCGACCTGGGAATGAAGTATAACCGGAGGTTTACCGTAGATACGATGGCGCAACGCTCCATTGTCAGAGTCCTCGCAGCCCTCTTCTCTGGCGAGGTAGACAGCGATGGGGTAATCTATACGGAGGGCCATCTCCAACCAACAATCCATCCTAACGGAACCTACGCTGTGCCAGATACCCTACGGGCCCTCGCAGCGTTGAATATCACCGGATGTGATGTTATGACTGCCGAGAGACTTCAATGTGCCTTGATCAATGTCGCAGCAGCAATTTCCAAGACCTTCCGGGATACACCTTGGCTGAACGGCTCACACTTGGGAAGTCATCGAACGGCAGAACAAAAAGAACTAAAATCTTCGTCGCGGTGCGGTGGCAGTGGATTGCGCTCCTCCCCGTTTTCGACTGCTTGCTAGGTGTTGTGACGTTGGTAGGCACAATGTGGGAGAGCCCACGAGCCGATGTTCCCAACTTGGAAAACGATCCTGTACCATTACTGTTAAACCAGAATAGTAAACACAATGGTGCCTTGGATGACGAGCATGAAAAGGGAGATGCGAAAATAAGGTTATACAAAAGCGGAGATAGGGCGGTGTTGGGGATACGTCTTTAGCGACATATATTTTATCAAGATTGGAGTCGATAGAAAATAGTTCTGGTCGGATCTTTACTCATCTTGCAAACGTTCACGGAAAAAAGTACTTCGTGTCGAGGACAAATTTGTCTCAAACAAGTTTCCGCTCCCTTTACCAAGCTCGTATTTAACGACTCATCACTACCCCTCATTTACAACCACAACCACAACCTCAACAACGATCGAATCCACATACATCAAAACCTCAAACCCGCAAAAATGGGCATGAAAGGACGCTGCCAATGCTCCAAAATCGAATTCACCACTCCAACCGCAAAACCTCTCGCTCTATACGCCTGCCACTGCACAGAATGCCAACACCAAAGTTCCTCCGCCCACGGCATCACCGCCATCTTCCCCTACTTTGAGCTCTCGGACTCTGTCGCCGATCTCGTGGGAACATACACCCGCAACACACTTACGGGCCGACAAATGGAATGTGTGTTCTGCAAAAACTGCGGCGCGCGAATATTTCACCGTTTCCGGGATCTTATGCCGGCGCCCGGGGAGAAGCCGGGTCCTACGGCGACTACGAATGTTAAGGGTGGGTGTTTGGTGGGGTTGGATAAAGAGATGATGAAGAGTGCTGTTCATATTTGGACTCAGCATGCGATTGTGGATATCCCCGAGGGAGCGGAGAGATATGAGAGAGAGCCGCCGCAGGCGAATCCGCTTATATCTAAGAGCTGATTGAACATTAGATGTGAGTGTGGTATGTAAACATCTGCGCAAATGAAGAGTTTTTGAAGAAGCATCATGATTTGATGGCGATAATGTAGGTATGAACAGAAGCCGCTATTGGGATATGTACATGAATCCAAAAACCTAGGCTCCTCACTCGCTAAGTTGAAACAAGCAAAAACTCTAGCCAACAACGCAGGTCCAGCCGTTGTCGATGGCAATGCACGCGCCGTTGATGACACTGGCACCCTTGCCGTAGGTCAAGTTAACGCAGAAACCAGCAACCTCATCTAGGTCGCAGGGAGGGGCCTGGATGGACTCATAGACGGAATTCATCTTCTTATAGCCCTCCATGTGCATGCCGGTCTTGAACACATCGGCAATGTTGGTGTTCATAGCACCCATCATCATGGCGTTGCAGCGAATGCCCTTGTTGCCGTAGAAGGCAGCAGTGTTCTTGGTCAGACCAACCAGACCGTGCTTGCTGGCCGTATAAGCGGCACCTATTCGTGTTCAAGTTAGTACGAATGTCATCCACACAACGAGGTAAAAAGCAGCTTCAACATACCGGCGGCCCATCCAGCTCGACCGGCGACAGAGACAATGTTGATAATCCGGCCATCAGGCTTTGGCTGCTCAAGCATGTTACGAACAGCCATTTTGCTCAGAATCATGGGCGCAGTGAGGTTCAGGGCCATCACTCGCTCCCACTGTTCCACATCCAGATCGCCAACTGGAGCGAAATGATCCATGATTCCGGCGTTGTTCACCAAGACATCAATCTTGCCAAATTCCCGGATCAGCTCGTCAAACAGACTCTGCACCTCCTCCACTTTGGTGATATCTGCCTTGATGGCTCGCAGGGGTCCCTTTGAGGACAACTCGGCGGAGGCCTCTTGCAGACGCTCCTCGTTGATGTCGCAAATTACCACATTGGCGCCAGCGCCGAGGAAGTGAGTGGCAATCGCCTTGCCCAATCCACCAGCTCCACCGGTCACGAGACACGTCTTTCCTGCGAGAATTTGCTCAGACATTATGGAGTGTTGGTGTTGGGTTTGTATTAGGTGAAGAGTTGAACAGGAAATTTCTGTAGCTTGGCTCAATGCAAAGCAGCCATTCTTGATCTTAAGTATTTTTTGCTCCTAGCGACGGGAGCTACTGTATCCGCTCTCCGTTGTGAAGTGGTTCATCATGCTTCGCTTGGAGCGGGCTCGGTCGTTGCGATTCCGGGGAATGGGGATAGAGCTTCAGCCATCGAACCATTCTGCTGGTTGTTCATGCCGAGACGTATTCTCAGTACAAGTTGTTGTCAGCTAGCTTTTTACCATATATGAGGGCGCGAGCATGATATATTGCGTTCAGAGGTTATCAAAAGTGATTGAATGGGTAGAGGTAAGCACAAATTTAGACTTTTTTGTCTACTTGCCACGTGGTCATGGTTATTTCCTCGTCATTTGCATCTGGGGTTTGCAATCTCTCATGCATAGTTCTGCCGGAAACGATACGAGATCGCGTACCACCCAAAATTACATGGCAGTTGCTAGTCGGGACCTCCATCATCCGGAGCCCTAAGCCCTAACGCCTGTTTGGGAAGGACGTCTGGCTTTCCCTCGGCGGGAAGATGTTGGCCATCCGATTGGGGGCAGCTGTCTGGAGTACTCTCGCAGACTCGCAGCGGTATTCTACACAACATGATATTTCGGAGACATGCCGACTGAAAAAGAGGCTTGTGTCTTCTATTGCCGAGTTCTCAAGAGGAGAAAGTTGACCCTTGCATTGCCGACCACAACGTCCAAAAGGGCAACATCAGGAGATGAACAAGCATCCCCCGGCTTTTCTATTACCCAATTATCACGACAGATCCCTCACGGCCATCGATATCAGTCTCTGGGTCTCATGATGACTCGACAAATGACAGGCCAAGAAGGGCCGGTCTTGCTTATCGGCGAGAGGCCGATTTTGAGGCGTTGCTTGATTCCCCCGCAAGAATCCCGACTAAGTTTACTGGCCGGTCCGGACTGGCAGACTGGGCTCCACCGGCATCGCGCAAACCTTCTCAATAAGGAAATTATGGGAGTCCATCTATCTTATCACCCCGACAGCCCCGACTATGGTTATTTGGTCACTCCATGGGGCGTTAAAGATAGCATGGGGTAGGGATGGCAGGCTTCCGGCCCCTTTGCAGCGGTCTTTTTAAAGCATAGGTTTCGCCCACCTAGTGAGAAGTGACTGTTCTACCTGCCAAGAACAGCTTCAATCGCAGCCATGTCGAAAGAAGACGAGAGTTCACAGGTGTTCAAAGGCACCACAACCGAAGATGTTCGCCTTGAAAATTTGGGCTATGAGCAGGGTAAGTCTAACGAAAACACCCTGTTGATCGCTAAATTGTATTCTTGATGCTGACCTTTGGCGGAATCTTAGAGCTTAAACGTTCTTTTGGGTTGCTGTCTATGATTGGTTTCAGCTTCAGTGTTGTGACATCGTGAGTGCCCTTGCCGACGCCGAGAGCAAATAACTGTGTACCTAACACATTTCTAAGATGGACGGCACTGAGTGGTGTGTTCATCGTTGGAGTGACCTCGGGTGGTCCACCAGTGATGGTCTTTAGTTTCATCGGTGTCAGCTTGCTCACTCTGGCTGTTGCGATTCCCATGGCAGAGATGTGCTCCATGTACCCCGTCGCAGGGGGACAATACTCGTGGGTTGCTGCGCTTACGCCTCCCCGGTTCGCTCGAGGTTTATCATACGCCACTGGCTGGTTCATGCTTATCGGTATGTCTCCAACTTACTAACTGGCTGCACCATATCAAAGGAGTGCTAATCAAGTGAGCAAAAGGTCTCCTAGCAATGGGCGCCACGAACAACTCCATTGCCGCCAACTTTGTGCTGGGCATGGCAAATCTGGTTTTCCCGGAATATAATATTGAAAGATGGCAGACAGTACTGGTAGCCTACCTAGTGGCTATTCTATCTGCCGCTATCAATCTTTGGGGATCCCATTTACTGCACCGGATCTCCAAATTTATTCTAATCTGGAATGTCGGCTCTTTCGTTATAGTTACCGTTACCCTCCTTGCGATGAACGATCATAAGCAGCCCGCCTCTTTTGTTTTCTCAGACTTCCAGAACACCACAGGCTGGGGTACCGGGATGGCTGCTATTATCGGCGTCCTACAGGCATGCTTTGGAATGTGCTGCTACGATGCTCCCTCGCATATGACTGAAGAAATGAAGTCGGCCTCGAAGGAGGCACCCAAGGCTATTATTTTGGCCGTGATTTTGGGTGCGGTTACAGGATTTGCTTTCCTGCTCACACTTTGCTTCTGCATTGGCGATATCACAGAGACTGCCGAGAGCGCTACCGGCGTCCCCGTTATTCAGATTATCTACGACTCCACAGGAAGCAAAGTCGGCACCTGCATTTTGTCTAGCTTGATTGCCGTGATTGTTATTGTGGCTGGTGTCAACATCCTCGCTGAAGGATCTCGCTCTGTTTATGCTTTTGCTCGTGACAACGGACTGCCTTTCTCGAAGGTATTCAGCAAGGTCGAGAATAAGAGCCAGGTCCCGGTGAATGCCGTTCTTCTCACTCTGGCCGTCCAATTGGCCCTTGATGCCATTGAATTCGGCACTACGACAGGCTTTGAGACAGTCATCTCGATCTCAACCGAAGGCTTCTGTAAGTTCTCTAGCCTCCAGCTGGCATAGGAACAACTAACAACATTCTCAGATCTTTCCTACGCAATGGCTCTTTTCAGCCGTCTGATTGGATACCTCTCCGGCCATGTCACCAAGCTCGAGGGTCCTTATGCATTCTCTACCCCGGTGTCGATTGCTCTCAACGTCGTGGGCCTTGTTTTCCTTCTTTTCGCTTCCATCACTTTTAACTTCCCGAGCACTGCTCCTGTGAATGAGGAGTCGATGAACTACACTAGCGCTGCTGTTGGTGTTATCGGTCTCATTAGCATCGTTACTTGGTTCACCACTGGTCGGAAGAACTTCACAGGTCCGGGAGCTGTGAGCTTCCTCAAAGGACAGAATACCGCGCAGAACGCTACGCAAGCTGATGCTGCTGCTGTGGAAGTGGACGAGAAAAAGCGTTAGTTTTAAAGATTTTCAATTATGGAACACGACCCTGGTATCATCTAGGAAGGTATACCTTTGTTTATAATACATATGAGAAGAACAAATTGTTGCTAGGCGATGCCAGTCAATTTAAGTCAAGACCTGAGATACAGTACTATATTCGAAGCACACTTGTATAATTTCTCTCTCTGTTATCGCTGTTGCGTAATGTAGTTGACCCGAGTATGTAAAAGGTTGATTCTGGATACACTTTAAGCCTTACCTTCCCTCAGGGAAAGGTTGCAAATTCCAGGGCTAGGATAACAATTGGTCCAAGTAGGACTCAATCCTAGCCCCCGCAAGATAAAAGGCACACTATTAGTTCAATTGTTGGCACTTTGTTACAACTATAGCAACCGCAGCCTACAAATACCGTAGATGGCAAGGTTACATTTCAATTCTGTCTGCCACCAGACCTAGTCTTGAGTGAGGCTACAGATGAAGCCTCCCAAAAGCAAACATATGAAAGCACTCTGTGAGCCTCGTGGTAGCGAGGGGTAACTAGATTGTACATCCGATTGACATCCAGACCAGTTCATCATGATGTTTTACGAGCCATTGCCTTCCCTCAACGCCTCGAAGAGCATGCGGGGTCAGCGCTAGCTATATAAATTGTGCAGGTCACGGGAAGAGTCCAAGACAAAAGGTAGTAGATATTCCCCACAATCTAAGAATAGGTGCTCTCCGCCGTGAATGCCTAACCGCTCAAAAATTTACGACAGGAGGACATGGTTGCTTGGCTTCGCTTGTCTGCATACTCCACGCTGTCTGACGTAGCTGTTTCTCTTTACAGTCAAGTGTGATTCTTGAGTCAGGCGGGCTGGATAACCCGACTTGGCAAGGCGCCCCAGCTGAAAGCTACGGGAGCAACAGCCGTATAATACGAGCATGGTTCACTCCTAGTTCTAGACATCAAGCAAATGGTGATTACGAGAAGAAGAAACTTACAATGGATATTACCTAGTGACTTTTTCATGGCAATAATGTCTCACTCAAGCCCTGTTCATCGTATACTAAGCGGATGTTGGAAAAGGCCTCCAGCAGCATCTTGAGGCTCTTGGTGACACCCAGGTGACTCGCGTGCTCAAACATACGGATCTACAAGAGCCAAATCTTGTTCTTAACACCCGATACTATTCAATCGGCAATTCCGATAAGATTGCTAGCATCTAGCTTCTAGCTCATGCGTGTGATTTGAAATGCCGGTTGTAAGACCACGGAGAATAGGGCTGGACGAAGTCTTGGCGACATGAAGCAAAGGTGGGACAAGACCCCGCTGACTGGGATCTATGCATGTATACCAATTAGGGTTTAGATATTGACGTGGCTAGCCGTCGATGGTTCGCGATCTGTCCGATCGCTAGGTATCCACTGTCATGCATGACCATGTATGCCAGCCGGGATTTAGACAGCTTTTTCCCTACAAGTCACTCCACTGGTAAACAATGTATATTGGGCCTCGAGATACTAAAGCTAGCAAACTGGAGGCCTGCCAGTTGGTATTATCCGTAATAGCATTCGATGTATCACTATTAGATCACTCTCCTCTCATTTCATTATTGGCAAAACAACATGGAAGGCTTCTGTAGACATATGCAGACTACTGCACCACCAGTCAATTCCGCCCCCAAGTCCAAAAGCCGCTTTCCCCGCTCGTATTCTTGTCCAACACGGGAATGGTTCCCCAAGAACAAGCCATCTCAGACCTGACCTAGGCCAGGACAGATCCGGTGGAAGGCTCAATGGTCCTTAGAGTCACCAATGTCTGGGCTGTTCCTACCTGATCTGAGTTGCTCCATGACTACGTGTACCAGCCTTTGGCACCAGAAATAGGCTCAGCATAAAAGTTTGCTTCGTCTACTTTAGCCTTGACATAATGACCGTTGGTCCACCAAACATCGGTAAGTTTGTCTGCACTGTTCGGGGAGTTGAACCCAACCTCACCGGACCCTCCATCGGCCATGTAGAGAGGTTTGGTTGACCAGGTGGTATTTTCCGAGTCATCATGCGCAAGCCACATGCATTCATCTGTGCTTGAGACCGTAACTGGAGCGGGGTGGATTCTTAGCTTTCCATGGACGCCTGCGGGCTAGATTTAGATGAAGACTGCATTAGACTGCGTTGGGTCACCGTTTTTTGCTTTACCTGCAGATGAGAAGAGAGAAAGAGAGCAAAGTTAGTCAGTGTTCTACGGTCAAGGTAAGAGGGGAGAATTACCGTCCGCATAGAATACCTGTAGACCGCTAATATTGTCTCTGAACGCATAGATGTGGAATTGGCGCTCAGCACCACGGCCATTGCGCGGCGAAGCCGAGCAGGTGAAGCCCAAAGGGGCATGGAAAAGAATAAGACGACATGAACATGAAGTCAGCATGTTTCTCGTATGATGATTGCTTATTTTAAAGGACGTCGAGGGTCATTTGGTAAATATGTGATGGACGTTCAATCAAAAAGCAGATATACCGCAGAGTTAGCAATGGGATGATTATGGTTCAGATCCGGTGGTGGTGGTGTAGTTTGAATTATACCTATTTATCAGCTCAATCCACAGCCTCTTCGTAATCTCCCTGGGTGCGTTCGCAAAGAGATGCCTAAAATTCCGAGATGGTCTCACAAGTCCACGTGCCTGCAAACGTACCCAGAATTATCTCTTTACAACGCAAAGATTGAAGAAACGAAAGCTTCATGACCCATTGTACGGGGATGCTATGTGTATTCGGTGGATGCTGACCAGGTAACCTCGCCAGGTTAATAGATAGTCGACTCTATTAAGCGTTCAAATCTGTAAACAATACCGGTGGCTTTCTCTCGGGGTGTCTTACGACCCTCGTGCCTTGATATCATCTGCATCTTAGACTAGCGTGGTTGAATGAGGGGAAAAATACGCCACCGTTGGCGGCCTTGTTGATGCACTATACGCCCCAATTACGGACAACCCAGCCCGAGCCTCGCTCGTGAGATGACTCTGGAGCAATATATAGCTTTAGAGAATTGGACACCGGTTGTGAAGCAGAACTTCTCTTAAAGTGCCATTGATAGCCCTGTCAGCGTCGTCTTTCAGGCTTCATGGAAGCGAGTTATATCCTCCCCCTTCAAATCCTCCTCAGGTAGACAGCCATCATGAAGATTTTATACATAATATTCTTTGTCTTTGCATTGTGGACAGCTGCCTTTACTATTCCCGGCCTCGAGACTCGCAAGTCCAAACAATGTACAGGCAACGCAGCCCACACTCGGAAGAAGTGGTGTGATTATAACATCAACACTGATTACACCAATGTAGTTCCTAATACGGGTGCCACTCGTGAATATTGGTTTTCCATTGACGAAGTCACCGTCGCCCCTGACGGCGTTTCGCGCCCAGCAATGGCGGTCAATGGGACAATTCCTGGACCCACCCTCTATGCCAACTGGGGCGACGAGGTTGTTGTACATGTCACGAACCATCTCTTTGAATCGGAAAATGGGACAAGTATTCACTGGCACGAAATTCGTCAGAACTATACCAATTCAAACGACGGCGTGGTTTCAATCACCCAGTGTCCAACTGCGCCTGGATAGACGGTGACCTATAAATGGCGAGCTGTTCAGTATGGGACTTCCTGGTTACACTCACACATTGGACTTCAGGCGTGGGAGGGTGTCTTTGGGGGAATCATTATCAATAGCCCTGCTAGCTCGAACTATGATGTTCATAAGGGTGTTCTATTCCTCAATGACTGGTGCCATCAAACTGCGGACTAGCTATTCACGTACGCTCAAACGAAAGGTCCTCCAACACTCGACACTGGACTGATCAACAGGACCAATGTGTACAACTTCACTGGATCACGTTTTACAATGAGAGCCAACAAAGGGGAATCTTATCGTTTAAGACTAGTCAAAGCGGCAATTGATACGAATTGGAAGTATATGACTGACGATCATACACTTACTGTCATTGCTATGGATCTCGTGCCGATCCAGCCCTATACAACCAGATTCGAAAACATTGGAATGGGTAAGCTAAAGCACCTCCAGTATCATAGACCATAACTAACTTTAAATCTGCAGGTCAAAGATATGACGTGATAGTCACCGCCGACCAAGCTTCTGTGGCTCGAGACTTTTGGATTCGCGCAGTGCCGCAAACCCAATGCTCTGAGAACGACAATGTCAATAACATCAAGGACATCCTCCACTACCACGCCCAAATAGGGATTCCCAAACGAATGCTACACTTTTCGACGATGGCTGCGTCGATGAAAGTCTAAGCAATCTAGTTTCCATGGTGCCAAAATCAGTTTCCGCTGCAGACTAGAGGTCCATGGAAGATGTGACTGTCGCCAAGAACACACAGAATCATTTCCGCTGGTATCTGAACAGTACCAGTATGCAGGTCGCATGGGAAAATCCCACGTTAATTCAAATTCAGAATAAGGCTGTGAACTTCTCATCATATAGTGGTGTTATCGAAGTTCCGAATGCTAATTAATGGGTTTACTTGCTCATTAATACGTCGATTCCTGTCGCCCATCCGTTTCACTTGCATGGGCATGATTTTTTCATCTTGGCTCAGGGGGTGAACCCTTGGGATGGGACCACGATATACAAATCCTCCACGGAGAGATGCGGTAATGCTAGAGAGTTCGGGATATTTGCTTATCGCTTTTGAGACGGAAAATCCTGGCGCATGGTTGATGCATTGTCATACTGGTTGGCACACCTCGGAAGGATTTGCTCTGCAGTTCATTGAGCGTTATGATGAGATCAAAGATTTGATTGATTATCGGACTCTTGATGAGAATTGTGCTGCTTGGGCGGCATATGACTCAACATATGGAATCGAGCAGGAAGATTCGGGTATTTGATTCCCACAAAGATCGGATGTTCCATTTGTCTTTTTGTTGATCTGTGTGATGGAATATGGCGTCTTCGATAGTGTTTGTTTATAAACTTCTACCCAATTCGAGTGCCCTGTTCTTGCTGGGCGGTTAATACAATGATGGAGATTGACTGGTCGATTTATTCGTAGTTTGTCTGTCTCCAAAATCATTTAGTCAAGTAGATTCAAAGTATCTTGAACAGAACTAGCGACCTAATTATGACGTCTCACGTGATAGCTAGGTACCGATTACGACGCACATCATCCCCGCATGTAGATGGGTGGTATCGAGGCACGAATCAGACCCTTATGTTAGCACAAGGATTGCCCATCGTGACAGTTCATGCAACTTTATCAATGAAATTCACGTCCAAAGAAAGAGCGGCAAAGTAATGTCCTCGACATAGAACATGGCTCCTTATAATTGGCCATCTCTTTTGAACGACGGGGCTTGGTCCCCAGATCGGCGTCCATACAGTAGTTTCCCGCACCCCTCCACGTATGAGTTCTGTGTAACCTGTGTTGATGCCACAGTCTTTAGAAGTTAATACAAAGCGGGGGAATATTCAAGTCCAAGAATGAGAACACTGCAGCTTTTCAAAAGATCACAATAATCATAGGCCGGGCACTGAGAAGTCACTATTATGTAGCATGTCTTTAGACCTGATAACCTGAGGAATGCCTAAAATGATTGGCAGACCCCCAAGCTAATCCGCTGAGGCGCGGAACGAATCGAACCTAACCATATGCAGCATGACGTCTGGTAGTTAGCCTTTAGATGCATGGGCGTCTGACGGAAGATGATGTATCATAAATGCTCGGCAACGATGGACGAACCAAAATAGCGGTCTACATTTACGGTCTCAGAAACAGCCCACCCACCTCATAACTGAGGTTAGCGGTGATCAAAATTGTGCGTTGGAAGGAACTGTGAGACTCAAGATTGGTCCCATTCTACAAGAATTATAGCCAATCAAATCCACCAGAAGGAAGACTAGAAGCTCGTCATCTTGGGTTTCCGATGGATAAGTGGCGTGGGAGAGTTGACCAGCCAATGGCCAACCCATCACACATCGTTTATCATGAAAATGTGTTTGTGCCCTAGTACGTGATAATCTGTGAATACATTATGAGAAGTTGGTCCGTGTCCTGGGCTGAAGTGGTGATAGCCCTGGGAAGCGAATGTAGAGTCTAATTCCACAAATTCCGGGCTTTCTTCATCTCTTCGCCCGTGCGCGTTGGGTAATATGATGCTGGAATGATTTGGATGCAGTATCACCCACACCCATAAAGTCGGGGTCATAGCGTGAGAGTCTCGTGGAAGCTCGAGGCTGAGTGTCTTATTCTACTTATACGGCGTCTCTTCGTTCACAGCCTTGGAAATTCTGATCTTCCTTGACTAGCGTATAAGGTCAAGCATTGTCTGCTGTTAGCTGAAACCTCAAGGATAATCATTCATACAATGATAGCTTGGTTCTTGTTAGGAAGCGCCATAGCCTATGGCCTGCTCCTCACAATCTATCGCCTTCACATACACCCACTCAGCAGATTCCCGGGGCCTCGGCTGGCCGCATTGACCGGACTATACGAGCTCATTTGCAGTGCTTGGGGGGCTGGCTCCTTCGATGACGAAATCGATAGAATGCATCGGGTCTATGGTGGGATAGTACCCCCGAATTATACCGGATATCTGATGCTGTACTGACATGTTCGGGAAGGTCCCGTCGTCCGGATCACTCCCGACGAGGTTCATATCCAGGAGCAACTCTATAATCCCAACTATTCCGACAGTTGGATCAAGGGCAGCAAGGTTCTAGATGCTGACGGTCGCCAATCGGGAGACACCACCCATCGGTTCCAAATCAGGAAGCGATCGATTTGGCAGGTGCAGTCAATCCTTCAAGTCGAGTTCCATCAGATCATCCGCGGCCTGGTCCGGAAGCACCAAGTACATCGAGAGTTCAGGTCGCGAGTTCGGCCTCTGATCCCAATAACCGAGCACCGCGGGACTTCCACGGAAGGAAGCGATCTAGAGGATGGATCCGTAAGCGCCTCACATTCGGCGCGGGGCTGATCGATGTCCAGGTCCAGCCAGGAGGGCAAAGACCAGCTCCCCACGCCGGGTAACACAGGCCCACGGTCCTGGCGTTCGCGGGGCTTTAGCGGGCAAGCATGGTATTCGACAATGTAGGGGATGGGTGATCGAAGTCTTCCGTTTTGAGACCTGTTGGGACTCCACAGAGTTTCCAGACGAGAAAGACCCGGAGGGAAAGGATCTTGAGAGTTTTGCTTATTGGCACATGGCTCCCCGCGAGATGCTCAAGTTTGGTAAAAGGGGATTTCCTTGAACTGCCGGATGGAGGCGCTTTAAGGTTACCGAGCGGGGGATTGACCGGACTTGCGTTCGAATGGAATGAACAGCAATGACGGAGGAATTCACGAATATGATTCGGTCGGTGGACAAAGAGTCCGACGGGCATTTGTGTTCTCTCCGGAAGACTGATTATTGTCTAGGCGTCGAGGGAATATCCGTGCTATCAAGAATTACTTGAAACGGACAAAGGAGAAAAAGGTTGAGGGAAGAACAAAGGTGTCACGGAGGGGCTTTTGTTCGTCTTTTTGTCCCCGCCGGCCAACTTCCGATTTCTGCAATTCCGCACCTCTTCGTCCCTTAACAAGACTCTCCTCGACTCCCTCGCACGACACACCCGCAGAATTGCGCAATTGATCCCTTCTTATACCTTTGTCTCATCCAATTCTTCCCTACTACACGCCACAATGGTATGTTCTTCACCTGGTTGATCGCTCGTATGCGATTCGATGCGAGATCGTTGATCGCCGGAGCTGCAGATCTCTCAAGACAAGCTAACTCGATCGCATCTGCTAGCCTCACGCCGACTCCTCCTATTTTTACGGCCAGACCAAGGAAGAGGTCTACTCACAGCTTCTGGACCAAGCGAAAGGTCTTCTCGATGGACAGCGCAATTGGGTAAGTGCTGCTTGCCTGTGGTCCCAACACATCTCCATACACCTCCATAGGCCACTTCCGTACCCAAGACTATCATTGAAAAACAGCGAGCTAATGATGTATCACACAAATAGGTCAGGTGAGCACATTCACCTCCACATCACGCGACCACCTCGATGCGCTTGAATTGCGCCTTGCGACCCTATCAAGCGAGCAACAAGGAACTGACTCTTCCGCCAGCAACCTGTCGAACATCTCCTCCCTCCTCTGGCACGCCTACGCCGCTCTCCCCTCCCCATCTTCTGCAGTCAACTGGGCCGGCTTCTACATTCGTGATGACAAGTTCCCCGCTCTCGCCTCGCCAATTTCCTCGCCCCCGCTGCCCGGCGCACCGGGCCTTGGTGGTGTAACCATCTCGACGACCTACGCATCCCACGAAGACCAGATCTTGCTCCTCGGTCCCTTCCACGGCAAGCCCGCCTGCCAGCAGATTCGTTTTGGAAAGGGTGTGTGTGGCACCGCTGCCGCTAGCCAGAAGACTGTCATTGTCCCCGATGTATTGCAATTCCCAGGTCACATTGCCTGTGATGCCGATAGCCGGAGTGAGATTGTCGTGCCTATCATTATTCGCGGAGAGGTAAGTTCCTATCGTCTTGTTCATATGCCGATTGGTAAGTGGGACCGAGGCTAATTTGGCAATTGAAAGACCGTCGCCATCATTGACATCGACTGCACCCTCCCCTCTGGCTTCGACGAGGAAGACCAGAAGTACCTCGAGAAGCTTGCCGATCTCCTGGCCGAGAGCTGCGATTGGTGATCAACAAAAGAAAACAAAAGTTTGAAATGTTTATATGAGATACTGGGAAACTGCGTTATGTGATACGATTGGGATTGTAAAAGGGTTTGCTCTCGGGCTTGAGAGTTGGAATTTGTGCTGACAAAAGTTTGGGTTCTTTTTGGGACGAATATTGAATGCGATGTAACCTGCTACGGCCACAGGGTATCCAGTGAATATTTGAGGGGTTGAGATTTGCATCGTGCATTTGCGTGGTATATAATTCGATGAACATGTTATGTTACCTTCACGGCAATTGAGCAGCTACATGTATGCGACGTCGCCAAGAGGTCGATCCTGCAACGTTCGCCTATGTAATTGCGACGAACGCTTCATCTAGATGTTACCTTCTGGGTCGGTTAGATCGTCTGAAACGCAAGATCTGCAGTGTGGGGGGACCCTGAGACCCCTGCCAAGTGACATCGCGCATGTCTGAGCGTGAACTATTTTAGCTGGTCAAGCTAACCCACCGAAACAATAGCCTGTGGCAGTTCATGAAGCATCAATACTAGCGAGTAGTTGAGGGTATTGATTTTGAACCATAATGGACGGTTTCTGCCCCTGAATATACTCTGCATCTCATAATTCAAGGTACATGACATTTGAAATCCAAAATATTCACAAGCTCAGCTTAGATTCAAAATCAAGAGCCACATCCCCAGCGTCTTGCCTTCCTAGAGCTTAGAATCCAACATTGATCTCATAACCAGTACCGCTCTGCGTAGTCGAAAATCCAACCTGACCAACACAGTCACCATATTCATAAGGCTTCCCCAGACTTCCAGCGTTACCACTCGACGTAGTCGGGGCACCAAAAGTCACCGAAGTCTGAGGCAGCTCTCCACACGCATGACTGCCCGAGTTCCAAGGATAATATTCAACAAATCCAACTTGCGAGTTCGTAATTCCACCCGAGCCAGACGGCAGCGTATAAGAGCCAATATGAGTCTCGGTTCCAGTAACAGCATCCACCAAAGTTCCGGTCCAAGTTGTGCCCTGAGTGTTCTGGATCCTGAGCAGATATCCATGGTCATAAGTAGCCGCAACGTCGACGGCACAACTCACACCGGGACCGCCATCAGCTCCAGGGGTGCAGTTACTATCGCTCGTGGTAGTTCCGCTGACGAAGCTGGAGAAGACGCCGTGAACGATGGACTTGCCGTTCGAATCCGGGCGTGGCTGGAGGCCTGTATATCCGACGTCGCTTTGGCCGTTGAAGCTGAATTGCTGGGCGTAGTAGTATCCAGAATCGTGTTTGGCATTAGGCATTGAAATTGGGAAAGTAATGTCCGTCAATCCAGTGCTGGGGACGTCGGAGACACTCCATGAGAGGCCGACCAGAGCGTTGGAGGCTTGGAAGATGGAGGAAAGGAGGGCAGCACGGGAGAGGGTGGATGGAGTCTTCATTTTGGAGATTGTGGTGTACTTGTCTGGTTAAGAGTGAGTATTATCGCTCTTTAAATAATTCTCTCTTGTCTATAGGGGGCTTGTGCGCTTAATCAAGGTCAAACACGCGCTGTTTCAGTAGATTTTGATCCGCAAAGTCAATCGTTAATGCCGGCGACGAGGTTACATTGTATTGCCTAGCCATTAGATCTACCAAGGGCCCCTCCAAATCGCAAGCATTCCGCCTTATATTGATTGGAATGATGCTGCACTATTGAGAATCGGCATGTGGTTCATGTGATGTTTGCTCTATTTGTCTCACAAGAACAAGCAATAATGCCAATAGCGCACTTTTGACCCACTTATATTGAAGGTCCAGTAAATAGCTATATGGCGCACATTCTATGTCCCCCCGAGAGGCCCCTTACATCCATGTATGACACATTTGATTACACGAGGTCCTTATGGGGAAGCAGGTGTTTCGCCAGAACTCTCGAACAGAGGAAGTTTGTCCACCTTCCTATGACGGACGGATTCTAGAAGCTCGGGCGTGTGGGGCTGATAGTTCTGGGGTTACCATGGAGCTGTCCTAAGCTTCTAAGGTTCGCTTGACAACCAACCCCCAAAGTAATACGGCTGACATCATTACGTCTGAGGTAGACAGAAGTAGATGGGACTATGAGTACCTTCCTAACTTGAACCATTACCGAAAGTCAGACACCGTGATTCGTAGTGACTAGTATTACCAATCCCTCTCTAGGGAGTATGTGAATATCTACAAAATTACATGAGCAGGACAGACCGACAATTATAGACAAAATGAGTTATTGTGTCGCTATCTAAGGCTGAAGACTAAGAGTTCAAGCATCTCATTCAGTCCTTGAAAGCTCATCATTCTCAATGCACCATTTTATATGAGCAAACATTCTCCAATAGGTATCTTCGGCAGCTGATTTCCCAATAATGGGATCGATATGCCCATATCCTTCCGCCAAAAACCTGCGATAGTACTTCTCCCCAAATTGTCGTCGCAGCAACTCGTAGTCCTTTAGTGTAGATTCCGGATCAAACACTTGATTGTCTGTACCCGAGATGAACAAAATCGGCAACCCACGTAGCCGTTGCAAGCTCTGCGTTGAGAGCAGTGGTCGCAGATTATTATCTAAACAGACTCCTTTGGTTCCCATACGCACCAAATGCTTCATCATCTTCGTGTAGACATTTCCGAAAAATAGATGGATGTTCTCATGGATGTTGACGTCGAGATTGTCGTGGTTCCATAATAATCCAAATGCGAATGATGTTCGATGACACGATGTTGAAGTGCAAATATCTCGCGAGTGTCCGACCGGATAGAAGCGAAGGATCTGGTCGAGGATTCGCTGGAGTAGGCCATTGCTTTGATCACTTCCACACGGGAAAAAACTTCCGAAGATGGCCTCGTAGAATTGGATAATGAGGGTTGTTCTTCCTTTAAACCAATTCCAGTACCCAAACACTTGGCTCATGAATACTGAATTCGCAGTCACCCCGAGAAGTTGATCACGTCTGATTGTACCATCCAGTAGAGCCATGCCGAGAGAAACAGAGCCTTGACAGTGGGCTACTACGTATGGCTTTTGAGGTTCGTGCTTTCGAACGTATTGCACCGCTGCGGCAGTGTCAAGACGGGTGTCGAACACGGTTGATTCCTTGGCCACGGTGGCATCGCAGCTCCATCGAGGAGTTAAGATGTAGCAACGATGTCCGCGTTGAGTGAAATAGTCAACCAAATTGCAGCGTAGCAGTGGTAGAGCGAACAAAGTATGCGTCGTCATGGTTCCAGTGATACCCGGTAAGAAAAGGATTGGGGGAAGATTCGAGGTGTTGGAAGACTCCGCTTGATCCTGCAAAGGATGTGGCTCGTATATGTCCAAGATTGTGGATACACCGTCCCGAGCTTTGATCTTGCATGAAGTAGACACTGGCTGCTTTGCATCGACATTCTTCGGTGTCGATGTTCGAGGGAAGCGCATTGGAACGAATGGGCGGAAAAAGTAGCGACTAATATGATACGCGAAAGTGAAAAAAAAACTGATCAAAGCGAAGAGAAGTGTCCATTTGAAAGCTTCCGTAGTGCGGAATGTTTTCATCTGCTTCTGAAAATCTGCCAGTGAGATGTGAAGGACTCCTGATCCAACCTTGGCGCCGTCGTGCCGAGTGATGTTGACATTGATGGTTGTTGTTGCTTGCCAGGTTTTGCTGACAGAGAGGGCAATGGCTGAGTCGATAACTTTGTGTCCCTCAAGCTGATACTGCACACCTTCTACCGAGATCAGATCTAGGTGGTAATGAATACCCGACGCTTCAGCGTGCTCGGTAAATGGTGTGAAAAAGTCGACTGTTCCATTCACAATTCGGAGTGTGGATTTAGATAAAGCACGACACGAGACCGTCCCGGTGCATATGCCTTGATACTGTGACCCAAGTAGTCCTGTTCATGTCAGAATCTGTTGCTTCTAGGTCCTTTCAAGTTTCTTACCTTTTTCTTGACGCCAAAGTTGAATGGTAGCCAGAACTCGCATCGCACAAGAACTGCCCTTGCCTAAGCTCTCAGAAATCGAGAAATCTCGATCCCCAGATCTGTCACTGAAATACCCAAACAGATTCTCTGTAAACTGCCAGCCTGTTGATTTACATGTTACTCTGATGCTGATGTGAGGATCATGGCGGCTTCGAGATATTTTGGGCTTGCTGTTGGCTTCGAGAATGCCGTTTCTGCTTTCAAAATCGATCGTGAGGCCTGCTCTCTTGGTGATCAAGCTGAGTGATCGCTCTGAAAGTGCGGATATTGTTGCGAGTGGGTTGACACCTGCAAAATCAGCGCCCGAAGCGGTACAAAGTTTCGTATTCGGCATACCTAGTCCTGTCGGAATGATTGAGGCATCGCAGCACACGAGGCCTTCGTGTACTTTGTCACCGGAACCAGTAAAAACTTCTCCCATGTGATTTGTAACGCCTCCTTGTCCTGTTCCGTCACTACTCATGTTGGCTCCTCCTAAAAGATGGACTGTAACCTCCTCTTGATTTCGACCTGAAATTACGGTTAGCATTTCTCGTGTGATATTACCAACCGATCTTACCGTAAAAGTACGAAAATCCCATTTTGGCACCCGTAAGAACAAACAGCTCCTTCAAAAGCCCCTTTATCCACTGGAAATGTCTGGACCGACCTTCCTTGGGTGCACGCAAGCAAATCTGACCATCCTTCAACGTGAGAGTTATCTCATTACTGTCATGGGACATGATAAGATAAGCTGACGTTCGTTGTAATGCACCACCGATGGCGTAAGGACCAAGTAGGAAGGACTTTATGGAAGCCAATATTTCCATAATTCCAGATATTGGACTCGTGAAAACCGACAAGGCTTGACTCTTTATCGTCTGCGTGATGAGCATCATGTTGATGATAGGATTGAAGGGTTCCGGGATACAACCGTCTTGGATAACGAATCCAGATAAGGGGTTTCTTGAAGCTGGGCCGTTTCGATTATCGATCACGCCAGTGACTGTCGGCCCAGGCATATCTAATTGATGAGAATGAGGTTTCCGAGCGATTGCGTTGATTTCGTTGTTTCCATTGTAACCTGAAGCATTATTAGCAGCCGCCATGGATCTGCTCTGTGGCATACGTACCAAATAACAATAGATCACCGTTTCCAGAGAGATTCCTCCCAACGAGTGGAGACATCGAAAGCCCATGTTCTCTTGATCTGAGCAAGATAGAAGTAGTACCTAGCGCCCCTGCTCCTAGGAAACAAAATTCCTTCTAAACAGAAAAAAATTCTTGATGAGCTACATCACCACAACCCGTACGCTGAACCGAGCCAATACAAAGGGAAAAATAACATTGGCACTTACCGCTTTAATCCAGAATGATTGCTCTTTAAAATCATCCTTGAAACTCGACCTCCCGGGTCCATGCCACGAAAAGTGAATCGTATATCCAACTCCATCCGCCGAATTTTCCACATACTGCACCTCACATCCACAAAAGATCTCGGCGCCCCAATTCCAGGCATCGGCGAGATATGTTACCGCCACAGAGTTCTTGGATCCATCATTGAGACCTGTAGATTCGTGGCCAGAGCCACGGTTTGCCTGCATCGGGACACCGGCATTGTTCCGTCCATCGTGGAAGAATATGGTCAGTGGTGTTCGGTAGAAGTTTTTGCTTTTCCCTAGGAGCTTTGATTCGTGTCGGAGATGCTCTAGCTTTTTTAGTTTTGGGTAGTTCTTGGGATAGGGGGATGGTTGGAGCATAGTTTCTGCGCAAGAGTAGTCTGGAGCAATCTGTTAGAGGGGTTTTTTAAATATATGATGGAGAAGGATACTCACAGTCCTCTAATTCTGATGGATGGTTCCTGATTTCTGATGGCCACGGACTCGTACTCAGTGTTACCTCGTCTGCTTTGAGAAAAACACCGGCATTTATCAATGAACATCCTCCAAGTCCTACGAAATTCTCGAGTTAGTTATCCGTGATTATGAAAAGTTGAAAAGTTCCACCCTACCATGCGCAGAAAAAGCATGTTGTCCATCCCCCATAAACAACTGAAACAATTGCGTAGGATTCTCAAACGATATCCAATTCGGTAGGAACGAATTCCCGGACGAACATCCCGAAACACCCATCTCCCTCAAACACTGAGAGAAAGTACTCGGGAATGAACCAGCTATATCAAATCTCAGCTTGGACATGTCAATGCAGCTCTACCAACATCACAAAAACAAATCAATCCCGCAGATGAAATGCGATACAAGAAAATTAGACAGAGGCATACATACGTCTCCTTTCCCATCCCAATTCCAACACAGCAACACTCTTTCCCGCACGAGCCATTCGACTCGCCGCTACACCGGCCCCATACCCGGATCCTACAACGACAACATCATATTCCTCTCTCATGTCCTCAAAGGGAAGACTGAGTGTCGGGTAATTATCCACATTGCCCCTTGCGTCGGTGGTCGACATTGCGCTTGCGTTTACCCTTTGCCCCTTGTGACGACTCGTTGCGGAAAAGCGTTACAGTAATCTTATCGACGGTGCTCGTTCATGAGTCTGCGGGGTGGACTGGACAGGACTGGACGTGAGCCGGGAAAAAAAGAATCAACAAGCGGGATGGATCTAATAAGGATAAGACCAAGCTCGCCAACACATACTGATCTTGAACTAAAATGGCTAGTATCTCGTTTGTCGGCTGGCCTCGCCAAGCGAATCGCGATATCAGGTTGTACTTGTGCCAGTCGGGGTCGGTGTCGGTGTGGGGCGTGCATGGGTGCCAGGATGGTGTTTTCGTAATGGATTGGTTAGCGGTGGAAAAGTCAGTCTGGCATTGATGCAAGTCAGCAGTGCGTGTTGGACCTGTTGGTGTATCTGATTCTGATATTATACCGCTTAGGCCTAATTCCATGTTACTGCAGGTATGTACTGGAAAAAATTTTGATTGCTTGGCCGCTCTAATGTTCTTTAGACTAGCCTATTGGAGATCGTGTGAAGAAAATATACGCAGGCCACAAGGGATATCAAGATATCTCATGGTTGATCAGTTTTAAGGGCCCAGGGGATGTTTACGGAACACTGGAGTCGCTACAGTTCTTGGTCCCATTGCCCCTTGCTCCTGTTGTGTATCGACAAATTCGACACGTTGCGTGGCTCAGGTCCCGATGATAAGGCGTACCGACACAGGTTCCAATAGAAATAGAACCCATGCACGCTAGAATGCGCGTTAGTCTGAATATGGCATGGTATACTTGAAGGAATTTTGTCAACTAGTTATCTTTTCCCCCAGAATTCGTCCTAATCTGTGGGTCGGCATCTTCTTCCACTGCAGCGCTCATCTTACATCTAGCTTTGCTTCTCAGCCTCTTTGATAATTTCAGGTCGTGGTGGCTTGCTATGCCAAGCTGCTAGAGCTAAATTTGTTTGAAAAGAGACGAGGGAATGGGATCAACTGGGTTGTTCATTGGTCTTAACCGCGATGCTGTGTTTATCATCGTGTTCGCACAGCCGAGGTCTAAAGTCTTCTTCAACATTTATTCAAGAAATCCAATCAAGTCATGATTCATTCTTCCCATTCATAGCAAATCCACTTGCACCAAGCGCCCTCTACAAGCAAAATCTCTAGTGCAACAGGTAGAGACTGGACAGTCTAATCATAGCCAGCGTAACCCCCCCAAAAAAGATAAGAAAGAAGATAAGCAAGGCGTGGCCGAAAGTTATATGTAAAGACCGCTAAGCTTTCTCTAGACAAGGCGCGCGGTAGTAACCCGGAAAAAAGAAATCGTGAATCTATGTAGGAAATAGTCATGGCAGAATGAAACCCCAGTATTGCATATGTCGTGGAACGAGACGCTGACGAAAGCTGCGGTGGACGTCAGGCGTTGTATATCATCAGATCATGGCAAGATTATTTAGTTGATGAGCGTGTTGATGGGTACATATCACATGTTCAACAAGCTCATTTGGCGCCGCATGGGATTTGGCGACAGGGAGTCTCCATCTTCACTGGGACCGAGACCACTGTCTGTACCGGTGAATCCAGCATCGGTATCGATGTCCCAGTCATCTTCGGCACCGCCGGCCTCGCCATCGCCACCATCCCAGCTCTTTTGAACGGCACCCCGGGTGTTCCAGCGTAGAGCACGCTGAACGCTGGTAAACCACTCGCCGCTGTCAGAGACAACGGTGGGGAATGGGTACTGACTAGCTTCGACGGTGACGTAGTCACCTTGTCGAAGCTCGACACGCCCCTTACCATCGAACGAGCAGTAAGCGGTTGACCGCGAGGTATTGGGGACAGCGATGCGGAGGAGATGAGAGTCTGAGAGGACCATGGGACGGAATGAGAGGGTATGGGGACAGATGGGTGTGAGAAGGATGCCGGGAATCGATGGGTGCATGAGAGAGCCGCCAGCGGACAAAGAATATGCAGTCGAGCCGGTTGGGGTGGAGAAGATGCAACCGTCCGCTTGGACGACGGTCAGCAACTCGTTGTCGGCGTAGAGTTCTAGATTCGACACATAGGGAGAAGGGCCTCTATCAATGACCACCTCATTCAGAACCTCAAACTGCTCTCCCTCCTCTACCGCACCAGCCTCCGCACCTTTACTCCGGTCTTTCCGGAACACGGTACATGTGAAGCGCATTCGCAAATTGACGCGCATTCCAACATCGCCCATAACACCATTAAGATGCGATTTGTATTCGTTGAATTCGAAATTCGTCAAGAAGCCCAAGCTGCCAAGTGAGAAGCAGAGCACCGGGGGTACCACACGCTGGAAGAGCCAGGAAGTAAAGAGGACAGTGCCATCACCACCCAGCGTCAATACCAAATCGAATTTCTCCGGCGAGGTCCAGCAAAGATCTGGGGTCCAGAAATGGAGCATCTGTGCGAATCGCGGTTCTTTTTGGAGTAGACCCGCGGCGTCGAACCGCTTGGAATTCCGCAGCTTTGCATCGACGTAGACATTGACGCCTAGGTCACTTCCATACCGCGGGGTTGATAGCAACCACTCTGTCAGCTCGCGTGTCAGATGGACCAGGCTATTGTCTCGTGCTTTGGTCACGATCATGATAGTTCGTACGGCACGTTTGATCGGCCGCCTTTGCAATTGTTTTGAAACCTCGCGGACACCCGTTGCCGTCTGGACTAGCCGTGAATGAGACAACCACTCGTCATCCGCGATCTCCTCGAGCACCTTCTTGATATTAACGGCATCGTCAAACCGCTGGTGGAAGTAACATGGGGACTGAAGCATCAAGCGTGCCGTCGAGGGCGACCGCTCCAAATAACCTGTTAGTTGCAAGTTGGACAGCGCTGTAGATAACTTTTGAGAGGAGGCATTGCTAGACCGGCGCTCCTTGTCGTCTGGCGGCGACGACGCTGCTTCGCTCGTGCCATTGGCAATAAGACCGGACCAGGGATTTGTGAAAGGGGAATTCGTGTTATTGCTAGTCAGGCATGGGCGCGAAGCCAAGGCCTTCATGATGGTTTGCCGAGGTATGCAGTCGGTGGACAATGATCGGGGTCCGGAGATGGACTTTTGGCGGAAGCGACGAATGGTCGAAGAGGGTAGTGACCAGCCAGCAGTCTCCTCCTGGGGAAGACCGTTCTTCGACGCAGGTAGCATATCACTGCCAGGCGCTTGCGGAGCGGGGGTATGAGAAGGAATTTCGTTGTGTGTCTGGGAAGGTTCTATATGAAGGGCATAATCGCGGAGGAGGGCCGCGCCGACGGTTGAAGCAGATGGGGGAGGTGGGGCACTCGCGCTGGTCCTGGCGCTGGCCGTTGCTGGAGTTGTCGGGGATACGTGAGACGAGGATTTCGAGTCAAGCGCAGGTAGCGTCGCGGGAATGTCAGATCGGCGAGATTCACTGCCTGGCGACGCCATAGGGAAATGGGCAGAGGTGGGCTGGGATTGGCTATCGGCAGGATTTCAAAGCGAAGGATGACAGGAAAGTCGAGGGCTCGAGGGGGGAAAGTTGCGAAACCCGGGGAGCGGATGTAACGGGGTTTGCGGACCAGGACGAGTCAAGTTTCCTGAAGCGCAGGAGACCAAGCCAATTCTGGACTTCGTGTGGAGGTACCAATAGCCCGTGGGTCGCGCAGGGCCTCGGGGCCCGATTTTGGGGAATAATGGTAGTTGTTCCAACTTTTCTACCGTCTTCCACCGTTAGTTCTTCCCTTTAAGATCTGCCGACAGGGATACCAGAGTACGGAGGACGTGCCGGATAAACTGGGGGGGAGAGTGCTCCGATCGGTGGGGCGGGAAACTCTGGCGAGTTTGACTGATGTGATGATGGGAAGGTCACACAGGGTCATATATTAGAAATAGTGACAGAGAGATGAGGTGAAAATGAAGATTCTCCTGTTATCAACTTCTCGGAGAAGAAGGAGATGCTCCCCAGTTAGGTAGTCGAAACTTGAAAGGCACAAAATTTCTGAGCTTTTCCGAGTCCACGTCCAGCGGTCGGATAAATTGCTTTTTATCGCCGAAAATGATGACACTATCTCGATTATAAGGTAGTACAAATTATTAATAGCTGATGCCAACGCTCGGGGCATTATCACAGATCACAGATCACGGACTATCCACAGAAACAGTCCTGGTGCATAAGTAGTTTCTACACGAGAAGCCGCTAGCCCGCTGGAGAGACTCTGTCTATACACCCCCACGTTTACAATGATCTAATCTCACACAGCGCAATTGCGCTAACCAGGAAGCAGGAAGAGGAGTAGGTCTATTTCAATAGTTGGGTCTCATTACTATTTTCTACCTAAGCATGGCCCCGTGTGGGCGACTCCGTGTCCACCCCATTGGTACAGTGCAGCCGCGAGCAGGGACGGAGGGCTTGAGAACCGCTTCCTGATCGGAGCCCTAGCTCGGTCTCCATAATCCTGTCGCCTATTGACATCGGGGTCGCAGATCCTCACTTTCTCGTGTGCTACTTGAGTAAGATTGATTGCTCGATCAGGGGGTCAGCCGAGCCTCCTATGTCCACCTAGGCACAGCGAATGAAGTAGAACAACCATGAATGCAAGGCTGATCTCGATGCCCGTAAAAGTCCTCGTACATGCAGTGATAGTCAGGCGATAGTAGCATTGACTGAGCGTGACGGGCAGCCACCCAAGTCACCCCAGCCTCGGCGCCCACATCCGATCGATGGACTTGCGGGGGAAGTTCAAGGCTTGGGCAGAGTAAGCAGAGGACGGATGACGGGCTGCCCAGCCAGCTGCGGACCATAATCCAATATCTGTGGTCGTCCGAGCTGTATATCCTCTTCGCGCGATAATTAAACTCTTTATGTTCAAGCAGAGTCAATCTTCCAGGCGTAGTCACGGTGCAGATGGTCCTCCACAGTCTCGCGGATGAAGCCATTAGCACGACCTTCCTCGCCCTCCTCGCCCATTGCAATATCTCCGTCAGACCCAGCCACAATGGCGCCCCGGCAGGTAGAGTATGCGCGCTCTCGGACAAACTCCCAGGTGTCAAAATCGAATCGACCCTGGCTTTCGTTGAGCAGAAGGTGGCCCTTGGAGGAGAAGGCGAACACGTGCAGGGACGAGGCGGTCTTTGCATCGACTGGACAGGGATCGCTGATAATGTCACCTGATTTGGTCACAGCCAGCAGTGCAGTGGAAAAGGTCATGGACATGGGGACGGCAGCGGAGAGCAAGGCGAGCAAGGCGGTTTGAAGGAGGGTCGGCAGGAGGGTAAGGTACTGTGGTCAAGTTAGTATAACGACTTCACTTGGCTTTGCAGGATGTCAAGAGAAATATATCCCTGAACTTACCGAATCGCCGCGCTCTACCGCATCACCGCCGATAATTGCGAGTGTAATGACCACGCCGCGCCGAGCAAATCCACGCTCGCGCCCGAGGATCACCTTTTGCAGCATCGTCCGCAGAATGCCCTCCACATAGCGCTCACCAACTCCAGCAGTGGTATTTCCAGGCTTGACAAAAACTTCGACGGTTGCTTCCTCGGGTTTTAGGGCATCACGGCGAGCTGGGAGCTCAATGGGGGCATTGACTGAGCCCAGCACACTGCAGCCAGTAGTCGGACATTTGAAGGATGCCGAGCCGTCCGCACGGCTCAAGTTGGAGAGTGACGCAGTTGGACCGACCATTTTGTGTGAGACGGGCGATGGAGAGAGCGGTCGGGGAGAGTGGTGGGGTTTGCAATGAGTGGTGGTGGTGATCTTGAAGGGTTGACGGCGCTGGAGCTCCGGTGATTTTTTATCGATCATGCGGGCCGCACGCTAATTGGCTGAGAGTCCAGCATTTGTGTTGACACAACTGCTCCAAGAGAGTACTTCACAATCGATTGTCTTTTGATGGAAACTAAGAATTCGATACTTCTCTTGGTCACTAGAAATACAAGATACCCCTGAGTCATAAAAAGAGTCTATAGGTCTACCTTTGGCGCTTTTGGCGCTAACAATAATTCCAGAGCTACATCTACCTGCATGAATCTTCAAGTGCACGATAAATAACTTTCTGAAAGCCAATTTAGGTACCACAAACTTTGCATTATATTAGCTGTGTGTCTTGGATATAACCTCGATGTCTTCTATTGACAAGGTGATGTATACCCAGCCCTATTACCAGTTTACTACGTCGGCAGTCCATCCGAACCCATAGTCTAGATGTTGGTGATTGGCCGCGTGTTGAAACTACTGCCGAGAAACTAATTACGACCACGCGACAAGATTTTCAACATGCCGAGATCTTGGAACGTGGCACTGCAAAAGGTTGGCAAAGTGTTCAAGTCGATGCAGTCATGGAGACTTCGGAACCATGAAACCACGGCTGTGTGGCCAAACAACACCAACAAACAATAGTCAAACTGGTTTAAAGATGTCTTCTGACACTAGAAACTGCATATAACTCGATACCATACAGCCAAAGAATGCGAAATCTAGAACATGAAGCGATAAGACCTAGCAACTCACGATAGATTTATGCCAGAGGTGGCTAGAAATAGACAGGGATGAGCACGGAGAGAAGCCACCACCATCCGTACACCCAATCATGGATAGGCTCAGCCTTGGCCCCAAGACCGCTTTGTGCGTTGCCAACCAGCATCGTCGCAAGCGATGGGTTCCGGATCAGAACAGCCAAGCATCCGCCTGGAGATAACCCCCAATGATATCGTGGCTCGAGGTGGTGACAAGGAATCCCCCGCATCACGACTTGCTCTTTCCCCTCTTCTGGTGAAACTAGGGATACCGACCAGATCACCGTACAAATAAACACGTACTACCTACTTCTTCCAACACTCTTTACCTATTTACACTCTGGAGAAGACTTCCCCCTTTTTGGTGACACAGGGTATCTTCGGCTGGCTTATTAGATTCGTGAAAAAAAAAAAACCAAAAAAAACAAGAAGCTTTCTGTGACACGTCTCCTGTTTCTTCGCTCTCCTCCCCCTTCCCTTCCCTCCATCTATACTTGAATGGGCATAGAGACGCTTCCTGATGTCGAGGAATCGACAGAGCCTCCTATATGTGCCCTAAGGGAGTACACTTCGAATTCACAGGGAATTGCCGCCCTAAGCTTTGAGCCCTGCGACGCCAATGAAAAGCCAACACGGGTGCCGACCAGTCATAGTCTGCCCCTTAGTGTTGACCGACACGCATCAACTGGGCCCTTGCAAAGTCTTGAAGATCAAATCAGGAATACCCATCTTCTGGAGCCAGCTAGAATTGCTGAGCTCCTCAAAACAGACCTCAAGTATGTAGCCAATCATCATTCACCCATCATTCTATGTGCTGCTAAACGTTCTCCACAGCAATGGACTTTCTAACGCTGAGGCCAACGAGCGCCTCCAGAAGGATGGCCCAAATTCGGTCAGGGAAGCCAAGAGCATCTCCGTCTGGGGGATATTGTTAAGGCAGGTGTCCAACAGTCTGACTATAGTACGTCTTCCCTTATGTTGGACCCTTGCGGAGTGGTTCCTTGCTAACACTCCCAGGTTCTACTCATAACCATGGCACTATCCTTCGGAATCGATGATTACATCGAAGGTGGAGTCATAACAGCCGTGATTCTCCTGAATATAATCGTGGGGTAAGCCATCACTACCCCCTCTTTATCGACAGATATAGCTAACCCTATGTCCAGCTTCTTCCAAGACTACCGAGCGGAAAAGACCATCCTATCACTACATCGCCTCTCAGCACCAGTATGCAAGGTTATCCGCGATGGACGAGTGAATTCCGTCAAGGCCGAGTCATTGGTCGTTGGAGACATAGTCCGACTAGCCGTTGGAGACATTGTGCCTGCAGATTTGCGACTCTTCGAGGGAATGAATGCTTCCATGGACGAAGCTCTTCTCACGGGCGAGTCTCTGCCGGTCCTCAAGACGCCTAATACCACACTCGTATCCCCGGATATTCCCATCGGTGATCGCACAAATATGGCATATTCTGGGTGCAGCACTACTCAAGGTCGTGCTCTGGGTGTTGTTGTTGCCACGGGTATGAATACAGAGGTTGGAAAGATTGCGCAACTTCTTCAAGAGAATGGAAGTGCTCATGATGGAAGTCCATTGATGCGGGCATTGCAGAGAGTCAAAACCTCCGGTGCGAAGCTTCTCGGCCTTGTCGGCACTCCATTGCAGGTCAAGCTTAGCAAATTTGCGCTGCTGTTGTTCGCTCTTGCGATTCTACTGGCCATCATTGTCTTTTCGGTTAATCTGTGGGACGTCCAGGGCGAAGTCTTGATATACGGAATCTGTGTGGCGGTGGCTGTCATTCCAGAATCGTTGATCGCAGTGCTTACTATCACGATCGCAGTGGGTACAAAAGCCATGGCTAGGGGAAATGTCATCGTACGAAAACTGCAATGCTTGGAAGCAGTCGGTGGCGTCACAAATATTTGCTCTGATAAAACTGGCACCCTGACTCAGGGCAAGATGATCGCCCGTTCGGCATGGATCCCTGGTGCTGGAACTTTGTCAGTACGCCAGACGACTGATCCATACGACCCAACCAGTGGAGTAGTCCAGCTGGATGAGATTGATTGGAGTTCAAATTACCCTATTGACCAACATCCAGCGCTGCATACCTTTCTTTCGTCTATTTCACTTTGCAATTTATCGACTGTGCATCATGATAACAATGTTTGGACTGCTGTCGGGGAACCCACAGAAATTGCCCTCCACGTCCTCGCCATGCGCTTTGATTTTGGCAAGAGTGCCGTGATGGCCAGGCGTGAAATAGAGCTGCATACCGAGTATCCGTTTGACTCGGCGATTAAGAAGATGACAGTTGTCTACCAGAATAATCGGGAGAAAGTGAATGAAACATACACCAAGGGAGCACCCGAGGCGATCATACCGTCGTTGACAAGCTCCGATGATCAACTACGTGTTATTCGAGAAACTGCAGACAGAATGGCGGGTGAAGGTCTTCGCGTTCTCTGCATAGCCTACAAAAGATCATCTATTGATAATGACAACGAGGTCTCCCCACGCAGCGCCGCTGAATCGAACTTGCAATTTGGTGGTCTTGTTGGACTTTACGACCCCCCCTCGAGTTGAGACAGCTGCGGCAGTGCGCAAGTGCCAGATGGCAGGTATTACCGTCCACATGTTGACAGGTGATCATATCAAAACAGCCACGGCTATCGCCTCTGAAGTTGGGATCCTCGATCGGGTCTCTGCGATTGCAAAATCGAGACATTTAGTCATGGCTGCAGATGAGTTTGATAAGTTGACGGATGAGGAAGTTGACCAGATTGAAGAATTGCCTTTGGTCATTGCACGTTGCAGTCCAGCGACTAAGGTCCGCATGGTCGAAGCAATGCATCGCCGTCAGGCTTTCTGCGTGATGACAGGAGATGGAGTCAACGACTCACCTGCCCTGAAGAGAGCAGATGTCGGCATTGCCATGGGAAAAAACGGGAGTGACGTGGCTAAAGAGGCTGCGGATATGGTTCTCACGGATGACAACTTCTCGTCGATTGTCAAGGCAGTCGAAGAGGGAAGAAGATTGTTTGACAACATTCAGAAGGTATGATCTGCAACCTCACCACGCAATATATGGACCCATCAGCTAACTTGTGGTCCTAGTTTCTTATGCATTTGCTCATTTCGAACATTGCCCAAGTAATTCTGCTTCTCATTGCCCTGGCTTTCAAAGATACCGGAGGAGACTCTGTCTTCCCTCTCTCCCCACTCGAAATCCTATGGGCAAACCTAGTCACATCCTCATTCCTGGCCGTTGGCCTAGGCCTCGAAGAGTCTCAACCAGACATCATGTACCGCCCACCCCACAACCTCCGCGTCGGAGTATTCACCCGCGAACTCATCATCGACAAAATGATCTACGGAACATTCATGGGCTCACTCTGTCTCGTCGCATTCGTAGGTGTCATCTACGCCGCCGGAACGGGCACTTCAGATCTAGGCGATGGATGCAACCAAGGCTACAATCCAACCTGCGACACCGTCTTCCGAGCCCGCGCCACAACATACGCAACCCTAACCTTCCTCTTACTAGTCACAGCTTGGGAAGTCAAACATTTCTCGCGATCCTTATTCAACATGGATCCCATTCGATTCCCACAGCGTCTTTCTATTTTCCCAACTCTCTGGCAAAACCGGTTCTTGTTCTGGGCTGTCATGGCTGGGTTTGTCGTTGCGTTTCCCGTGATATACCTTCCTGTCGTGAATCAGCTAGTTTTCAAGCATCACGCTATTACTTGGGAGTGGGGTGTCGTGTTTGGCTGTACAGCTACTTACCTGCTTTGTGTGGAGAGCTGGAAGGCTCTCAAGCGAGCTTTTGGTATTGGAAGTGGTAAGAATGCTATTCTTACTTTGGAAGATGCAGAGACTCGGGCTGGTTTGAATACACCAACACCGCTGTCGATGAGTGCAAATACAAGTGTGGAGTTGAAGTGATGGTGATGAGATTGAAAGCTATACCCCGATTCATTCAACATGGAATCGGGTGCAAGGATAGTATTAAATTTCCAACTCACTCGGAAACGTTGAAGAATTCTTCCTTATTGTTATTTATTGTTTAGTTATTGCCCTCTAAATTGTTGAATCGGGCTGAATTTGAAGATTGTGATGAAAAATTCTTGATAGAACGCGATTAACGTGGAACTATCTAGTAGTAGAATGAGGGCATATTTTGGTTGGTCTCCTAGAAAGCCTAGATTACCCTAATCGGCTGATCCTTTCAGAAAGCATAGCACAGTGCTGGACTGTGTTCCTCCAGTTAGAATAGCAAGGGGAACCTTTAGAACAAATCAAAGCCTTGAAATCAATAGCTGGTGGAATAGATGTGACATACAGATCAGTCGCATCACGTGACCGATCGTCGGCAGGGCGGTTGACGGCAGCTCACTACTTGTTCCTTCGACTTCTTCCCCTGCCAATTGTCAATTTCCATTGGAGAAAATTGAAGCTACTCATAATTCATGTCTCCTGATAAATTGAAACCAGTAACTCTACGCTGTTCTTGTCAAGCCTGCATCAAGGGTAAACGGCGGTGCGACCAACGTTGGCCTAAGTGTACCAGATGTTTGAGCCGAGGACGCGATTGTGAATATGCCAACGCTCCTTTGACTGTTACGCGTGATACTCGGAGAAGCATGATAATGAACGTCCTATCCGATCGTCGAGTGGGAGGCTTGAAGTATCAGATATATGCACCCTTGCCACTGGAGATCGCGAAAGAATATGATCAATCTGCTATCCGATTTCTTGTCAATGGCCTACGAGAATACCCAACGGCTTTTGTGAAAGGCTACAAGACTGATTTTATACATCCGGATATTTACAAGTCTGGTCTCCCCGCTGCAATCCGAGATACTCACGCTATCTGCAAAGTTTATGCCCAACATGACCCACAGGGAGACAGTTGCGATATCTTTCGCTTGCTTCGGACGCAGTCAAACAAAATTCACCGTCAAATAGCTCGCTCCTCTACATTTGAGGAGCTTCTTGGCTGTACACAAGCCTTGATACTCATTCAGTGTATCCTGGCTTTGGATCGGGATCCGTTAACTCAATATTCCGAGACTACAAGTGCCATGCTGGAAAAACTTGCTAAGAGATTATGGGAGCAAGCACCCGTCCTGCTGCCTTCCACGCTTTCTCCACGACAGGCATGGTTGTTTGCTGAAAGTGTCCGGCGTACTATTATCGTGAGCTTGATGATCCGAAGTGCACATTCTTTGAAGACAAGGAACTACTCTGTTCGGACTCCGTTTGTGGACTCATTGCCATTTGATATCCGTACGGCTCTTTGGGATGCTACTTCTGATCATAGTTGGACTGAGCTGAATTCCGAGTCCCCTGATTCAATGATCTCGTTACATGGATATTCGTATGCCATGGAAAGGGCCCGTGTTCACGATATTGGCAACTTTGGTGCGTTAATTTTGGCTGCTTGCAGGGGCAAGGAAGTCTCGCGAATACCATATCCACCAATGAACTCCTACATGCCGACCTGAGAGAATTCGGGCTTGGTATAATGTTCAATCGAAACCCAACGACAACGGATGAAATTAGAAACCCTCCAAAAATGGCAAAATTTGGAGATGTTGCTATTGCTATGCTTGGGAACTACAGATACAATTCAGAAGACATACCACCATCAGCATCTACCGCAGGAATTGCTTGATCAACCCAGACAACATCTCAGTCATCTGCTGATAGATCTCCTGTCTTTTGACCTCAAAGTGATTGAAGATATCCTTCGCCGAACCAACCGCAATCTGATCTTCACCTTCAGATAGTCCAGCCCAGACCTCGTTGATAAACTCTTGAAGAGGCATACCGATAAGATGACCATTTTTCAGATCGGGCTGATGCTTGGCATCATGCAGCTCAGTCTGCACAGCTGGGGGGTAGATTTCCAACACCTTCACATTGCCGGGACCATCCTGCAGCTGCGTGCGCAGAGCGAGAATGAAATGGTGCAGAGCTGCCTTGGAAGCGCCATAGTTCGGGCAACGCATCATTGGAACAAGGGCCATTTGAGAAGTGGTGAATGCGAGGGCTGTTTGGGTGGGTTGCTTTTGGAGGTGTGGAATGAAAGTTTTTGCAAGACGTACGGCCGCGGTATAGTTGGTGACCAGCTCCTGGTCGAAGATGTCTAGATCGACAGATTCGGGCTTGGAAAAGTCGAAGGGCCGCTGAATACCCGAGTTGACGAACACACAATCAAGGTCGGAGTTCTCAGCAATGATCTCGGATGCGAATTGAGGAATCTTTTGTTTACTGTTAATTGATGCGTTTCAACCGACTACTTCAGTCCGAAAAATGGACAACTCACCTGGTCCAACTTCATAATGTCAAAGACCTTGCTCTTAACTTTATCGGAACCGTGGCGCTGCACAAACGCATCTAAGTTGTCCTTTCGTCGCCCTGAAATGATCACCTGCGTCTCATTCTCAACGAGTTTGGCCGCCAGCGCCTCTCCAATTCCGGAGGTGGCGCCGATGATGAGGACCTTCTTGTAGGCGAAAGGCATGGTGCGGAAGTTTTGGAGAAAGCGGTTGAGAAGAGACTGTACTGAGGAGGATTCTCTTATTTATATCTTCTGCTTTGATTCTTGATTCTTAAGCAAAGTGTACTCCGTATGTCTGTCATCGAATGCATCTCTACTTTGCGGAGACTAAACCCAATACGGCGATGAGGGGCTGAAATAAGGACTTTGATTGGTTCGTGAGTCAAAAATGCAGACTGCCGAGGTTTCTGCGCCACTGGTGGAGGTTAAACCATATTCAGAAAGTGTGGAAAAGGCAGGGTCCACTGAGAGCTTGGTCAGGTTTGCTCCCTTCGATTAACTTCTCGAATATCAAGGTATTTTTGGTAAACTACGCCTCTAAGGACTGTGCAACATAAACACAGAGGGACATTATGCGGAAGATTGGACGCGGGGAACTCGAGCGTATGATTATGTGAAGGGTTACTGTATAGATGGAATCTGAGCTATCAATTAAATTAACAGAGGGAGCAAAAGAGATTATTGAAATACATATGTAATTTAATTCTTTTGGCTAGGAGTATCATTAATCTAGGAAATTCATGGGGTCTCGGACACATTGTAGACCAGCTTCTCTCCGCTGACCTTATCCTCCTTCAACAGCTGCAGCCCCTCCAAAACACCCTTCAATCCATCCTTGCCCACATTAGGCTTGTGAACCTTGATCTTTCCTTGGGCGAGAATAGGCTCAGCAATGGCAATCCACTTCTCGGCAAATGCCCGATCCTCTGGCTTGGCGGGGAAAGGAATATCTCCAAACTTGAAAGCCTCGCCAACGGCAGTGTAGCCAAGAGTGAGGCGGCTGTTGATGTTCTCACGCTCCGTCTTGATACTCAGAAGAGTACTGTGATCACCACCCTCGGTGGAAATGGCTCCCTCGACGAACTTGGCGCTAGCCTCGACAGAGATACAATCGAAGGCAAGCTTGAGCTTGTTGTCGGTTTGCTTGCGGATCTCAGCGGGGGACTGGGGATCCTTGTAATCGAAGACGGCATCGGCGCCGAGGCTGCGGACGAGATCGAAGTTGCGTGGGGAGCAGGTGGTGATCACCTTGTAGCCGGACAGCTTGGCGAATTGAATAGCCAGGGTACCAGTGGCGGTCGAGCCGCCGTAGATGAGAATTGGTGTAGCGTCCTTGATAGGCTCGGTGGGATAAGCCAGCTTCAGGCTCTGGTAAAGACCCTGGCCGACGGTGATGATGCCGACACCAAGGGTAGCAGCCTCCTGGAAGCTCATGTTCTCGGGAATCTTCATCTGCAGATCGCCCTTGGCCACGATGTACTCGGCAAAAGCACCGTCTTCAGGCTGGACGGCATTGCCGCCGTGGACAAAGCCGCAGACACGGTCTCCCTTCTTGAATGACTTCTTCACGTCCTTGCCGACGGCCTCGACCACGCCGGCGTAGTCACAGCCAACCAGAACTCCTGGGGGAGAAAGGTAGGCGACGTGCTTCCAGTCGGTAGGGTTCAAGCCGACGCTGACGGTCTTGACGAGAATATAGTCATCGCGAAGAGTGGGAATGGGCCGGTCAGTGACCAGACCGTCCTTCTTGGGCTCAACGACGATAACAGCTTTTTGAGTGGCCATGATGAATGTGGTGGAATTGTGAGTTTGATGATGATAAAATACGAGAGCGGGAGGGAAGTAGGAGCAGTTATAAGTAATTCAATGCCTCGGATTTAGAGTTGAAACTACTGTACAAAATGGCAGGAAGACGCCCTGACAAATCAATGACCTACCGAAGTTGGAGCTGTCTCCGTCTTCGATGACGAAGTTTCTAGTCAAGCGGCGGTGGGCTGGTGGATCCCTTGCCGATTTCTTTTCCAGATAGTCTCTGGCCGATCTGCCGAGTCCTGGATCGAGAAGTCTCTGCAACCCGAATCAGTTCATACTGACATGGATGAATAATCAGGGTTTCTCTTGAATAAGGAACGTCCCACTTGGTATGGGGTGGAATTATGCTAGAAGTCATAAAATGGTTCTAACTATTTGGGCATCCTCCGACAGTCGACGATGAAAACCCCATTAACCGGGGAGACTTTAAGCCGACGGGTAGTTACCTTTTTCTCTTTCTCTCTAGTTGCCTCGGTAGTTATGAACAAGCTCTGACTAATTTAAGGCGAATTCATAAGCAATCTGCCTATTGATTCGATCTTCTTGATAATCTAATAATACGCCCAATAGCACCTAATAGCACGCTAGCGACTAACATCGGCAGAATTCTTGTCTATGACGTCATCAATATTTACAGTACGATTTCATGATGAAGCGATACACAACGGCCAGCATTTTCTATTTCCTAACAAGCTTTCAAAAAAGTCCAAATTGCCCTCATCATCCTCCCATCGTAATACTTGAGGGCGCAGTCTATTGCAGGCTGGACATGAGCCTCGCCCGGGGCTATGGCAAGAACAAAATCCGTTTTCTTCACCAGGTCAAGGCCGGGTTGACCATCGACATAAATGCTCTCAAATCCCATACAGTCCCGCCCAAAGCTCACGCAGGAATCAAAAAGAATTTCTGCAGTCCCTACTGCTAGAATTGCTTTGCGAGATATGGCATGTCCATTTCCACCAGGAAAGAGCCTCTTCCACACTGCGACCGCGTCCTGCGTCTCGCATTGATTGCTCCACACTTCGTTTGCACCTGGTCTGAACATATTCCAAAATCGGACGACACTCTCTTGGTTCAGGTAATCGTTATGCGCTCGTGGGAGATCCCTGATTTCCTCCTTTGTCATCGCCATCCAAGGAGACACCAGGAGGACAGCCTTGAATTGATGGCCACCAAGATCAATGGAAGGGGCGTATGGGGATGGGTGAATAATATGAGTTAACAGACTCGCTACCAAGTGGCCGCCTGCGCTATCGCCGCCGAGGATGATGTTCTCTGCCTGGATCGACTCTTGATCAAGAAGATACCGGAGGCCAGCCACTGCCTGGACTAGCTGACATGGATAATGCTGCTCGGGGCTGAAAGAATACTCCAAAAATACGACTTGCTGTGCTTTGCTGGCCGCCGCACATTGCAGTGTGAACGGAACGTGGCCTGCCGCTTTGATCGGGTTGTGGTACCCGCCACCGTGGAAGTAGAATATCGTCGGACCGCCTGGTTGTGGCACAGGGGGCGTAACAAAGTGTAGCACTGGGTTTGGGATATTGCGGTCATTGTAAAGAGATGCACTATCCACAGACACAGCTCTATGGTGCAAGCTATGTCTGCGACAATACTCCTGAATCCTGGGACCTGTCAAAACTTTGCGTGTTTGGGCCTGTTGCTTGCGCGTGAAGGTGACTCTAGATGCGAGTAGATAGCTGAGCGCAAGCTTTTGACGCCAATGAAGTCCAGCGACTTCATGAGTTGACAGACATAGTGAAGCAAAATTGCTTGCGCAACGGATGACTGTGCCCGGAGAAGTTAGTGCTTTCCAGTGTAAGGACTCAAATTGAAGGAACGCGTGAGACCCACCAAGTAAAGGGATACGCCACGCGAGGGAAAGCTTGTCAGAGATGCCTAATGGCTCGACGACCACCGCGGTTGTCGGAAGTCTTGACATGGAGTCAAAATTCAATTCCGAACAGAAGATTGCGGGTGAGCACTGAACCTCCAGTGTTGCCGGAGAGCGGAGGTAGCGGAGGAGCAGCTTAAGACTCACCAAGCACTATTAGGTAAGGACCTCGGCTTCACGGCCTATTGCTGAGAAGGTTGTTTGGTGATTGATAGAGCTAGGATCAGATTACAGAGAACTCAAATTGCAGGAATGTAACTGATACTATGGTCATTAGAAATAGAGGCAGTGTCTATAATCTATCATTGAGATGGGTTTCTGACAATGCGCCAGCTATCATCTGTACTCCTCGGTCGGAGAACCCCACGATGCTTCAAATGTCGGTCTGTACTTGCATCGTTGCAATTTTACGTCGTAACCATCTGCAAGTCATATTTTTTGCTTCTACAATTCAAGATCTCATTTCTCCAGAATCCACCTTATCGAAGAACGACATATCTCTGCAACCACCTATTTCGCCATACCTGGCCCCATACGTCAGCACTGCGCTTACTCGTATCATACAAACAGCATCACCCCGCCCCCAATCTAGTTCCCCTCCTTCACCGACTCTCATCCCCCAATCTTAGCCTCGCGATCAGCAATGAAGGTCCTTTGCCTCCATGGAAAGGGCACCAGTGGCGCCATTTTCCGATCGCAGACCTGTAAGATCCTCTGTCAACGTCAAACCCTCGAAAATGAGCTAGTCCTGATCTTACTACCCCGCAGCATCATTCCGCTCGAGATTGGCGGACCAGGACATCGAATTCGATTTCCTAGACGGTCCATTTGAAAGCAGCCCTGCTGCCGGAGTGGACTTGTTTTATGATCCGCCTTATTACTCTTGGTGGCAGCAGAATGGCTCAGCTGAGGAAGTCCGGGCCGCGGTCGCCGAGTTGAATGAATATATCGAAGAGAATGGCCCCTACGACGCGGCAATGATGTTTTCGCAGGGTTGTGTTCTTGGTTCTGCTGCTCTGCTTCTACATCAAGAAGAAACGCCGCATCTACCGGCGCCTTTCAAAACGGCTATCTTTATCTGTGGCGGTCCTTCTATGTCGATTCTCGAGGAACTTGGGTTCCACATTTCCGCCAAAGCGCGTGAGCGGGATGTGACATCTAGGGATGCATTGACGAAGCAGGCTGGCAATTCTGCAATCCTTACGCAGGGCGCTGCTCGTTGGTCGGGACTGGAGTCCCTGAATGGAGATCTCTCGGAACAGCAATTGCGGAATGAAATTGAATGCCCGTTCCGTATTGCGATACCTACGGTCCATATATATGGCTCTAGGGATCCTCGGTATGCCGCCGGAGTGCATCTGTCTGCGATCAGTACGCCTGAGAGAAGGAAGACATACAATCATGAAGGAGGGCATGAAATTCCTCGTGTTAAGGAAGTTAGTGATACTATTGCGGAGCTTGTGCGGTGGGCTTTGGCGGAAGAGCCAACTGCTGGCTGAAATGACGGGGGATGTGATGGGTCATGGGTTTCTCTTACTTTCAACATTTACCTCTTAAGGTCTGGGAAAACATGTACAGGGCTATATAAACATAGCATGCTCTAGATGATACTCAATAGAAAGCTTGGAGTTTGTTTTATGTCATCCTAGTGAACCTTGGCTGTGAGATGCTAAGAAGAAAATCAGATCTCAAAGGTGGATGGCCAGTTTTAAATTCACGATAGGCTTAAAACTCAATATATCGAATATTTAAACCTCCCAGAGGTCTCTGATTTGAGATCTATATCAACGTATCTCAGAAAATTACTATTAACACAGTAAAAACTATCTCTCGCATGATCACCACGTGAAAGTTTCCTCAAACAGATCAACTGTTTTCTCTCCCTGGACATGACGAACAGCATCACGGACACTATCCCCAAGTCCACCTGGACCGCATACACTGACAGCCAGCGCACCAACCTGCTCAGCTTTCTCATTCTCGAGGAGAGCACGGAAAGAGGGCTTTTCATGGTGAATATTGACAGGCACATTGAAAGGTGCACTATCGGTCCACATCGTATCTAGAGCAGAAATGTACTCTTCAGGATCATCCTTGTGACCAGTCACATGGATGCTGATGGAGAGCCTAAGCCCTGGGATTTGGAAATATGTATCTCCCTTGAGATTGTTGGTGCCATTCAATGAGTCGTGGCCGAATATATCGGTCATCCATGTTTGGATCCATGCGAGATGATCTAAACATCAATCAGGGTTAAAGAGTCAAAAGGTGATGTCGTTGGACTGGATCATACCTAGGTTGCGGATCATCCATACGAGATGCACCTTTCGTGTTGCCGTCTTTCGGGAGGCGAAGTTGGTGACCACCTCGTGCAAATAAGACATTGGGTGAGTAATGCCGATGCCACCTGCAACCAAAAGCAGAGTTCCATATGACGCAAGGGAGTGGATGCCACCTGAGTTTCAATGTTAGCAATGATTGTATCCTAGATAATTCGGAAACTTTTCATACCGAACGGTCCCTCGGCCAAAGCCGTAGCCTTGATTCTTCCATCAGGCGAGTCTTCGGCCTTTCGGAGAAGCTTTTTAGTAAAACCATCTTGACCCTTGATCAAAACCGACATAGTGGTCTTCTCAGAATCCCCCAGAAGCGAGGCGAAAGAATCGCTTGAGCTGCGCTTCTCAGCGGAGTCCAATGAATCGGATCCGGTTGAGGACCATGCGACTGTGAAAGGATGAGATGTCCAGAGGCCTAGACATGGAAGGTACAAGTACATGTACTGGCCAGGACGGAATTTCCAGGCTCGAGAAACCTCAATATCCACACGCGCAACAGAGCCCGGCAATGCTTCCACAGTCGCGGTGGTCCGTCGCTTACCACAGTTGCGCCAAATTAGAATTCCAAGTCGACCGACGCGCTGTGGCATGTCAGCATTTTTCAACATCTGAAGAGATTCAAGACGAATAGACGTACGTCAAGTCCCCAAAGAATCAACGTGCCCAGCAAGACCCGTTGTTGCAACAAGTTCTTGAGATGATACCACAACGCCACGAAAGACATGACGGCCAGAGCAATGTGGAGATGAAGGAAAAGCTCATAAAAGGCATGTCGAACCGGCGACGATGATTGCAGAACGATGAAAATAAAGCCAAGAAGCGCCACTAGGCCATAAACATAAAATGGCATCTGCCAAATAGTGTATAGAATATAGTTCGTTCCATCTGCATCAAGGTTAGAAGCGAAACGTCCCTGTTGCGTTAGATCATACGTACGCATGTAAGCCTGGTTCGCCAATACCGCGCTCATATGTACCACCGCATTTGCAGCGATCACGCGACCAACCCAACGATGCATAAAATTGAACGTGTCAAAGGGAAGTCCAAGCATTTGTACCAAAGGATTGTTCCGCCCTGCGCTCAGCACCAAACCCGGCGTGTTCATCACAGCCAAGTGGCCAGCAGCATATTTGAGTTGGAACATCTTATCAGAAAAGTCCTTCCACCAATCCACCATCACAACGACGAAAATGAAGTTCAGCAAGAGATAGATCACCAGCAGGATCATCTCGAGCCGCAAGGGGATCGTTCCCATGTGGAGCCTGAATAACCTAAACTCTCGGCTGTGGCGGGTGCCACAGGCGGGAGCGTAGAACACATGCTTCTTCAAGCTTGCGTTCAGGTTACTCGTCTGCGACAGCTGGGCCTGATCATCTACCTGTCCAGCCAATTTTGACCGACGACGGTGTCGAATACGAATGATTGTTCTCCAAAGGAATAGGACAGCGGCAAATCCTCCCACAGCGAAGAGAGGAACAGCCAGCGCAGGATTCATGGGCGGCTCTCCAGGGCCGTTTCCTTGGAGTTCGACACCCATTTTGCCATTCGTAAGTGACAATGGCAGGGGTATGTACCGGTTGAATGTTGGTAGGGATTCCGATCGTCCAAGTCGCCCAACAATGTGGATGTCAAACAACTCCTTTGGAGACACTCGGACCGGGGAGGAAGAAGAGGGAGAGGGAGACGGCGGAAATGCGGGTTTTCTTGAAGTCAAGAAGACAGATAGATACAAGGAGATTACATCAGGGGAGAAAAAGGCTAGACTATCGACATCACGGCGTTGTATTCGAGTCTCCATAGCCTGTCCCGCACATGGATGCCGTCATGGACCCCTGGCCCTGGGGTACAAGCGTGTGTGCGCCGAGATTGAATGAAAACATCGTCATTCTTAGAAGAGCGGGGATTCATCTCCTCGGAAGCGTGTCTTGGGGGTCAAGGGGGGGGGGGAAGGGTCTACGAGTGTAACCGGCCGAATTGGGCGAACGTCAGATCGCGGCTCTCTAAGCTTAAGCCCGTTAGCCCTTAAGCTTATCCGTTTTGTATGCGAGCGGCAAGTGGCTCGGGCGCTAAGAATCTCGGAAATCTAGATCTTAGCGCCCGCAAGCCTGATCTTTACCCAGGCACCATCGGTGTTGATGCATGGCTTGCGTAATTCTATGTTCAATGCTGGATTTCCGTCGTGACATTTGCGGGATACAGAATGGAGAATGAGGCGTTGGTCTAGACTGATCGACATTTTTTTCGACTCGTTTGACCCAAGTTGTTGTTGGCTATCCGAAAACGGATTTGTGTTGGATCAATTGGGACAGTCCTTCCTCCCCGATGCTCTCCCGTCTTCGGCAACTCGCCCAAGGGATGATCCCTCCCCCTTCTTTCTACCCTCCCGGAAACCCAAGAAAAAGACCTTGGCTGGCAGTACAGGACTATTAACTTGTTTGTGATCTACTGCCATTCCAATTGATGCTTATTGTCAAAAATATGGTATAGATACACATGTGTGTCATTGGCAAGATGTCTCGACGTCATGCTCATCCATCGTCCATGCCTTTGAGAGAGGTCTCTTCGCGGAACTTACAGCATGGTCCAATCCCGATCGTCTGGGACGCAACTGCAACGTTGGTCAAACAATAGTCAAGTTCGATCGTGTGGAGACAAGGTAGTACCGAATGACGCCATAGCTCTCATCCCACGTCAGATGGTGAAGCCCATATAGTCAAAGTTTGACAGAGTCGCCTCGGCGACCTCGTGGTTAATAGTTAGTGTAGGGTGTTGACCAGGAAGCCAAATGAGCAACCAGGACAGTATTTCTTGCCCGCAGACTGAGGACTAAAGCCGAGGCTCATTGCCGGCCCTTATCACATCGTTCTCGTGGGTTTTTGAATCGATCGGCTTGCAATAGATCGGAGTCAACCAGCGATCCCAGAATGCTATTTTCCTCTGCTTGTATTGAGTACTTTTGTACTTTTGCCCTGCGGGTCTGTCTAGTAGCCTCATACGAAGGCTAGAAGCGTATCGAGTCTCAATGCGTTGACCCCCATCGTATACAGTGACAGATCCGTCCACGATTCATTAGACCTCTCAGTAGTTCACTATACGAACCTACCACATTGACTAATATGCAAGGACCACCCGCTGTCCCATCTCCATGTAGAGAAATATGACCTTCCCCTCACTGTCCTGGATGCCACTATAGTATCGACAGATTGAGGAGTCTAGAAGCCTGTCGATGGAACGATACCCCTAAGTGGCGTCCAAGTGGCTTGAGTCAACCGCTGGAAAGACAAGAGTCGACCAATACTTGAGATACTCCCCTTCGGTTGTCCTCTTCGTTCAACTTTGACGACCGATCTGATGAGGTGCGGAACCGACATGAAGTACATCGACCAGATTTTCGGCCGTAATTCGGAACGCAACATCGGCAGATAGCCTAGATACTACCGGGGATGTCTTTGGATCGGATTTTACGAGTGAGAGGATGTATGCTGGGACTGCTACCGATCAGTGTAATGCATCACGACAGGGATAGATGGATGTTAGTAATATGTCCAACGGAGGGAGCACCAAGGCGATCAGCCAGAGCACAACTAGAGTAGAATAGCCAGGGTCAGGCTTTAACCAACGTTGGAATTTGCGGCTGTGGCGTATATCAGGATAAAATATCAGGACTTTCCTCCGTCACTGAAGGAAAAGGAGATCCGTCCAGGCCAGGCGATAGCGGCCGTGCTTAGTACGAGTTCGTGGTGAAGGGCAAACAACTCCGGCACTAGCACCTGAAACGACTGGTTCTGGCTGGGTTCACCATTCGTTCATGCAGGAATCTAATCGTGCTGACATAGAACCTTGTAGTCTATTATGTTTGCAGACGACTTTTTTCTAAGCGTCAATATCACGACAGAGGGAGAAAGAATTCGAATAGACGACTGGATCTTATTCATCTTCAGTTTGGACAAACGAGAGGAGTCCGGGAGGCAGCCACAATCCTCGAATGTATGCTGTATAGGCAGTAAAGTAGTATCGGGAATCTAAAAATGCCATAAACAAGAATAATTCTACAGGTTAGAAACGCCCCAATGCGCCTTGTAATATTTCCCTCCCGCTCGATTTCATCCAGGAAAAATCCAGAAACCCGTAATCCGGCGAAGCCGATAACGCCATGACCAATAATCAATATCCGTGTACACAAAAAGAGGGAGCGGAATCTAAGTCGGACATTCCAGCACTTTCTCAGGCACATTAGGAGCAGACTGGATTTCTTCCTCCAGACTGAGACTGCCATATCCAGTGTCATTACTCGCGGACCTCTCGTGTTGGAGGGGCTTGCCCATGCGCGGGTCTTTCGCATCGTGGTCTGCGTCACTCTGAATAGATTGCTGGGATCCTCCCTGGCGACGCCGATGACGACGTCTCCGGGAGGGGAGGGGCTCGGGCACAGCTTCCAGATAATCATCGACGTTGATGCCCGCGTCGGAGCAGACAGTCGTGCAGGACTTGACAATTATATCAACGAGACTAGAAGAAAAGCCGTAGAAGGCTGGATTGTAGGCATTCCGGGCCCAGTAAATGAGCTCCGCTGCTACGCGACCCAGGTTTGGAATGTCTCGAGGACAAATTGCAAGCCTACGTCCGACGGAGCGGGGCTTTTCCTCTGCCTCGTCATCCGCAGAGGAACCAGCCTCGGAGACTAGGGAGGATGAGGCTGAAGAGTCGGACGATGCGATATAGTCGACATCAGAGGCCAGCAGGTGCAAAAGATGGTAGACAGCGGAGAATCCGAGTAGACTCAGTTCGACCGGGTCAATTGGGAGCTGATTGAACCAGTTGATCGCCTTGTGGATGGTGAATGATGCAGGAAGACATGTCTCACCCGCAGAACGAGACGTCACGATCGCTGCAATCATTGCACAACGCACGGCGACAGAGATTTCATCGCGGACGGAGACGGGAAGCGAGGAATCAAGGAAGTTCGCAGCGTGGTTCTTCTCGCCTTTATCCTTTGGTAGCGCATCAAGAACGGCGCTGACATTCTGGACTCGGCCTTGTTCGAAGAAGACTGCCTTCATGACGAGAGCACGGGTATAAGCTGCGGAGAGTCGAGGGGCCGCATCGAGGGCCATCCGAATCTTCTCCTTGAAGCTGTCACGGCTCAACTTGGAGGTCGGGACACCTTCACTCGCTTCCAGGTACTTGAGGAGCGCATTCTGAAGGAGGTGGCTAGACCACCAGGCAGCAAGAGCATCGACGGAACATTGGATGGCCGGATCTTCTTCCACGACATCTAGCAGCACTTCGTCATCGGCGGTGCCCTCTTGCGTGGGTCTGTTCCAGGTGAGATTGACTGCGCGTTGGATGATACTGTCAATCATCACATCTTCGCAGTCGAGCTTGAGAAGGGCAGCCAGGTGACTGGGGAGTTGATCAGGGTGACCCTCCGGCAGTGCATCGTTGATATCCCTCGCAACCGCCCACTGGTATTTGGCCAGGGCGCGGGCAATATCGTTTGAGACATGGAAGGTCCAAGATCCAGGCTGACCGACTCGCCATAAAAGAATGCGAACGTGCAAAGCCTTGAGCATCATCCGCATGGGGCTTCGAGGCAGAGTACCGGCGGCGAAAATGGTCAGCACAAGACGACTCTTGCTGATCTCAATATCGCCACCCGTAAGCTGAGCATCAATAGCAATGTCCCATGTTTTGACACGGCCCTTCTCATCTTCCTCGGTGATACCGGTTGCCCACGAGTACAGCTTCCATCCCATGATGCATCGCAGAACGTACTCGAAGCATCTCGATGTCACCACGTACCACTCACGGAAGAACCTGTGACGTGGAACACCGACTCGTTGCATGCTTGTCAGCCAAGCCTGCCGGCGGAAGTCGCTAGATGATGACGGTGCATTTTTGCCCTCCGTAACAGCCTTCCCATGCGGGCGCTGGGTGATGGGCTGGGCATTGAAGAGGTAGACGAAGACGATGAAAGCACTCCCAACAACGAGAGTAGCAAGCAGAAGAACGTGGAAGATGGCTCGAGTGTGCCACGAGGACCAGAAGCTCTTCATGTAATACTCGATGTAGCGAATTTTAGGCAATTGCAAGCGACTGAGCAAATTCAACGGGACGGCAAGTAGCCCCTTCTGTTCACTCTCAGATTTGTCCGACCCAAAGCCCTCAAGAACCATCAGACCAGCAAGTGCCCCAAGCATGTACTTGTTAGGCATCTTCGACCGTCGGCGTGATCCCTCCTCGCGACCATATTCAGAGGCTCTGGGTGTAGACTGAATATAAGACTGAGAGAAGATTCCACCGCTCTTTGCACCCTCCTCTCGCATGCGTCTGAACGCATCAGGGACTTTGATGAGGCCCTCTGGTGGGTTTGTGGGGGTTGGGGAGGTCTCATTGATTTCCTCGGGGTTGGAGAATACACTGGGGGAGGTACCGGAATCGCTGGAAGCAGTGTAGTTGCTAGGCGAAGACACGGAGGCACTTGAGGTAACAGCCTGATCGGCTGCCTTGTCCACTTGACGGAGCCGGTTCTTCAGAGCTGTGTTTTCATCTTCCAGTCGTTTGTTCCGGATCTCGAGGTGTTTGATGTATTCGGTTGCCTTTGACAGGATGGAAGCTTTGTTTAGCTTGTTGGCGGGAGTGGCACCGTCGGCATCTTCGTCGTCCTCGTTGGAATCGCCGTTGGCATTCCTCGTCGCTCGAAGGCTCGGCACACTGTCACGTAACTCTGCAATTTTCTCGTTAAGGTTGGCTCGATATCGTTTCTCGATGACGTTGTGAGCGCGCTTCTTCGCAGGCATCTTTTTGCCCGACTCGACAGGGCCAGTAACTGTAGTGGCGTCGTCATCGCTACCAGTCTTTCGCTTCCGACTTGTGCCGACACTGGAGATTGGAGATACAAGGCCTAATTGCTGGTGGCCTGCGATAGTCGAAGAATGTGTGCCATTGATACTGCCATTGCGGTTCAGCCCGGTGTGATTACCGGATGGTATCTCCATAAGACCGAGTGGGAGGTTTGGAGAGAATTCTGCAGAGTGAATCTGACCGGGAGAGCTGGATGTGGTGGTTGGGGAGACGAAGGGGAGGTCCAATGCTCGGCCCATGTGCTTTTGGTTGCTTTCAGTGAACATGGGCTCATCCCATCGCATCCACTGGGTCCAATCTTGGCTGGGATCTTCTGATTGCGAATACATTGCTTGAGACTCATCCCCGCCCGAGTGACGGCGGGAAGAGAAGAGTTGAAAGTCATTGTCCATGCCTACAGACGCGGTGTCCGGGCATCTACGGCGAGATTCCTCGGCCGATGTGGATGCTGATTGAAATAGGATGGCGATGTATACGAGACAGGGTAGTCAAAACTAGGCAGCATGTTAATATCTAAGCCTGCAAGCAAGTCTTTGGACAGAATTTTTGGACAGAATTGAGTCTTCGGCTGTCAAGGTGCTGGGTATGATTGGGCCAGACACCTAGCAGATAACAGACAACTCGAGAAACTTACAAACCAATAGAAAAGCCCAGTTGATGGGCTTGGGATAACAGATATGATTCGGCGTGTAGGGACGTGTGAGATACAAAGTCTTGAAGGGGGAAGTGTCAGAGTCCAAGTTCAGGGCAAATCCATTTGGGACAGCAGGCAAGCAGTTAGTCAAGAGATACCCACCCAGTTCAGTCGCAGCCTAGGCGGGCCCTTGTAACGGGGGGGGGGAGGGTGGATTCTCAAGTCAATTGGACCTTCCCTGCAAAGGCGATCATCTCCAGGTGGTGATGTGGTTGTGGACCGGACGACTCGCACCAGGCAAGATCGGAACAGATATGAGGTACACAGAGTATAGAGGCCTTTGATAATTTCCTGTTCGTTGTTGAGTGAACGCGAAACGCGAAACAATGCTGGCAGCCACCAGCGAAGTTCGACGGTAGGCCGACTGGGGCAATTTGAGTCGTCGTATGATCGCGGCTCGCCGCAGTTCCGGCTGGCCGGCCAGTCGGTAAAAGTGTACGGTAACGGTAATGTGGCTGAGTAAGAGGGGAGATTGTGGGTAGGCTGTGCGTTCACCTTCGTTATCTGACTGTATATTACACCCTTTTCTGATTGGCCCCCTGGAAAGCCCCCACTCTCCCCTGATGACTCAGCTTTTCTCATGTGATTTTCTCGCCTGAGGATCATCCTTCAGCGCATCTAGGTGCATAGTTAATTAATGATTCCTTCCATCTTTCAATATTCAACCCAAGACTACAAACGAGATTGAAATTTTCGCTCGGAATTCGCTCACCGATCAGCAGGATGTTTTTTTTGGCTCTCCACTGGGTGCCACCCAAAGACCTCGAAAAATCAGAAGATGCCGCGTCTTGATCTTATCTGATCGTGCCAGTCCCCACTCTCCCTACGCTGGTAGGCCCGGAACTCGAAGGAACGGCGAGTCTCACCAATCCAATGCTCTTGTCCATTCTCAAGGAAAGTCCTTGTGGGTCGAGGATCCGGTGTCGGTGGATACATCACTCAAAAAGCCCCTCACTCGAAAGCAGACTAATGTAAAGGCGTTCGCCCGCACCTAGACAACTCTGCGTCATAGGGGCAGCAGCTTCTCCAGCCCCCAATCGGTCTTCGTTCGGCGAACAGAACCTTCAAAACTACGCAACACCATATCTCGAGCCATGGATCATCTTCTTTCGTTGGGCTGATTCTGAAACTATAGATACAACCCTATCGTCAACATGCTTTATAATGCTTTCTCGGTCACAGCTACCGCCCCCATCAGCTCCTCCACCGTCCTCTTAACCGCGTCCCCGGCCTCCTCGTACGGTGTGCGTGGCTTGAGTCGCTCCAGCGCTTTGTCGATCCCCGCTGCTGGTGCCGAATACAACGCCACCGCATATTTCGTCGATGCGATCCCACCCTTGCAAGGTGTCTCAGCTAGCGCCGAGGCCCGCTGCAGCTCCATGGCTTCAGCCAGCTTCCCAGCAGTGAAAAGTTCATACACCTTCGAGGCAGTCTTCGGGAAGACATTGGCGAAGGCGGAGATGCACCCAGCAGAGCCAACCGTTAGGCCAGCGATGAGGAAATCCGACTGTCCTCCAAAGATTGCAAACTCGGTCGGGCTGAATGTCGCAGCGAGGCGTGTGATTTTGCCCACTGAACCGCATGTCAATTTGACGCCGACAATGTTCGAGACTCCATTAGGGCTAGCGGCGGCGGATTCCCGGACGATCTCTGTGATGGTCTCCGAGTCAATGTCTACCCCGTTGCAGACCCCCGGGAAGTTATAAATGAGCACAGGTAAGGGGCTTTGCCGTGCCACGTCTGCGAAAAAGCGCTTGACGACATTCATATTGGTTGCTTTGCCGAAGTAGGCCGACGGCAGAACTAACAGATAGTTGGCGCCGGCAGCTGCTGCATCATGTGCTAGCTCGAGGGTTTGCTTGGTGGAGTGTGTACCCACGCCAGCCATGAGAGGGTAGTCGGGTCCAACTGCTTCGCGCGCAGTTGCAATCAACTGTGAACGCTCCTCGCGTGTCAAGAGGAAAGCCTCGGAGTTTGTGCCCATGATGACCAGGCCAGCCAAGCCACTGCGCGACAGGTATGCATAGTATTTCTTCTGTGATTCGAGGTCCAGGGTATCAGTGACTGGATCGAAGATGGTCACTGCCGGACACCAGACACCTGATTTGGGGATGCGAGGCTGTGAAAAAACTTGGGGTGCTTGTGATCCCATTGTGTCGACCTGGGGGGTTGACAATATATTTCTAGGCGTAGCTGTAGTAGGTCGAAATTTCTTGGCAGCTGTGTAACTGGCTCACTCTCGAGAAACGTAGCTTATTGCAAGAAAGAATTTGGATACTTGAAATAATTTAATTAAACAGTTTAATGTCTTTTATGGCAGATGTTGCTACTTAAGTTGGAATTCATGCGGGGTCAGGTAAGGTGGAAAAGTATCCGCGTCGGAGTGTCGCCGATAGCTTCTTGACCGGGCATGATGCCGAGTGCTCGAACTACCTAAGCGTGGAGAACAACGGCGAGTTCCCGAACTGATGTAGAATAACCTTGTTAATGACTGGAATACCTAACTATGCTATTTGAAAAGTGTGAAGACAGAAACAAGAACCAGAGTGAAAAAAAACTCGATCTCACAAATGCGATCAACGCACAGCTACCAATTCACTGAACCTTATAACAGAGGTCATTTCCGTATAGGCTATTGGTAGAAGCTGGGATGTGGAAACTAGTTAATTACCTACATTTGAAACCTGACATCCAATTTATGTAGCAGAATTGATCGTTCTCAGTGCTGCGATGCGTATTAGCTGACAACTCCCTAGCCCTTCCAGTGTTTCACATACCTCAATGTCCTCCCATTTCTCCCAGCCACGACCACGAACTTCGGCCAGTTCATCCATGGAAATCTGTTTACCGGTGGTGAAGTACCCAGCATTGATCTTGGCGTCAATCTCGACTCGCGAGTCACTGGGGATCATTTCATCGGGAATGGGAATACGCTCGAGGATCTTGATCCCGGAATCCACAATGGCATCATGCTTCATGTTGGACATGGATAGCATGCGATCGATCTTCTTGACACCGAGCCAGTGGAGGATATCTGGCATCAGCGCTTGGAATCGCATCTGGGAAGTGATGTGTTAGGGCAAATACTTGGAGAAAGGTGGAACACAAGGAAGTGATAGGTTGTACGTACATCCCGCACTCCGGCGATATTCTCAGTTCTCGTAAAGTACTTATCGGCAGTATCTCCGCCTCTCTTTCGGGCGTTATAGACGAGATATTTGATCACCTCACCAAGGGCACGGCCTTCCTTGCGGAAGTAGATGACCACGCCACTCCCGCCATTCTGTGCTTCGCGGATCGCTTCACGGATACCAAAGGCCAAGTATGGTCGACAGGTGCAGATATCGGACTGGAACACGTCGCTACCGTTGCACTCATCGTGAATACGAAGCGCCAGCTTAACATTCTCATCGGCCACTCGCTCGGGGGTCCGAAGATATAAACAGTAAGACCACCAATCGGTGGAAGGAATACCTTCAAGTCGGGACGGGTGATCAATTCGGGATAACTGCCACCTGTGTGCTCAAACAAGCTACGACGAAGAGTGCCTTCATCAACGCCGAATCGCTCGGCCACACCGGGCAAATACCAGACCGGCTCTACTGCAACCTTTGTCACTCGCACCTCGCCAGACGAGTCGACCACAATAGAGCCATCCACCTCGAGCTGCCCGTCACGCACAGAGTCCGCAATTTCCGCCAACTTCATGTTAGCTCGTGTCACCGCCATTGTGGGCCGAATGTCCCAGCCCGCCTCCAGCTCCTCCTTATACTGGTTGAGAATATCATGACCGTATGGGTCCATTGATACGATCTTGGTCTTGTCTGCCCACGCCTTTTGCCAGGGGAAGTCAAAGGTCGGCTGACTGTTGCGTAGATCGGGGCGGAAGGCCGCATCCAACTCGCCGGAAGCAACAGCCAACGCGTTGTAGATACTGTAGCTCCCGCCATGCGCACCGATGGCATTGCGGCGCTTCACGAGGTTACCGCTGCGAGAGACCACCACGGGGCCACGAGATTTGGCATCTCCAGCACCCCATTCCAAAGGCACAGGGTCAATACCACTTTGACCGGGGTATGTTGTCAACTATTGCCAGTTAGCGTCCCAAGCTCCCAGTAAAGCCCTCCAGGTAGTTCAGTCCTACAATGATATGCTTGCTGTAATGCGACTTGGGTGATTTAGGAGACGGCGGTGTTGGTTCCGGCATTTTGGCAATAATTTCAGATTCTAGCATTATGGAGGAAAAATGAAAAGAAGACTTTGTTGGGTCTTGAAGAAGCTGGGTGAATGTTGAAAGGGTCACACTGCAGGGGGGACCGGCCATGTGACTTCCCCCGCACGTTATCAGCTTATCTGCGGCGTTGGAAAGCGGCGGTCACCTAAAGTCGCGTTGTTATCTGCACGCTGCAATCTCCCTGCAGTTTATCTTGGCTAAGAGGGGTATCGATGGATGGATGCTACCTGTACGATGCAAGCTAGACAGGCAATGGTCCCTGATTATTGTTCTGGTCCCACCGCTATACAATCTCTCGGCTGCTATGGGGCGTCCGAGATGATCGACCCACACCCCGCTTAACTTCGGAATTCTCGGGGTTCCGCCAGACTTGCCGGACTGGTGAACACCGAGCAGGAATTGCCTAGCCAGCTCTGCGTTTCGCCCTGTGAGGACTCTCGCGGGCTGGACTTTGCGATCGAGAGGGTATGGAAAACATCAAGATTCATCTTTATCATCACTCATGAGGTTTGTAACCATACAAGTGCGAACGACTGGAAGCCCCGACGCTAACCTTGCTGTTAGTAGTGCGCGTCGTCGCAACGGCAAACCGGCCTCGTGCGAGCCCTGCCGACGCGACAAGGTGCGCTGTGATCATGCATTGCCCACATGTACTCGGTGCAAAGATCGCGGAATTGCGGCGCGTTGTTTCTATCACCCAGCGCCCCTGACCCGAACTAGAACGAGGCAGATTTTCCCACTGGCAGAAGGGGTTCCATTTGACCGTGCGGCCCAAAGCAGGTACGTCCCCACGTAGATCTAATCTGGAATGGTGTATTGGCCGTCGGGAACCTCCGATATCTGCATAATTGATCTTCAATTGCGAGATAATACAATGGTGCTAATCTAGGCCATGGCTGTGTTTAGGAATTCCCAGTCTGGCGAAACTTCCTCTAATTCGAATCTACCAAATACATCCAATGAGAATACATCGTCGCGAGAGGTAGGATCAAGGTCTAAACCGCTGCTTGCGGGGTATTTTGGTCCTACAAGTTTCGTGTCTCCTCTGACTGACGATGTGGACCTTGTATCTGCTGGCCAGGGCTTGGACGTCGTTGAAGGTACACAGCGTGTCCTGCCACCATACTGGGTTCAGAAGATTTCGGAGATCCTGTTGACTCTGGGGGATTTCTCCGCTATAGAGTCCCTGCTGCGCGAGTATTATGACCTGAGTCAGAGTGCCGCAATCCCTGCGCCATTCATCCTGAACAGCATTGGCCCTTTCAAGGCAATGTGTGAACAATGTCCCCGTGTAAGGAATATCGAGGACTTGACATCCTCAATCACTGTACGTATAATTCAGAACACAGCAGAGACATTTGAGGTCGCGCCAACTATGGCTGGAAAAGACTTCCATCAGCTCTTCACGGGTCCGGCTATCCGGCTAGAAATGATTGGAGTCATCTGTTCCATTGCTGGTAGAGCCCGGTATCTGGGACTAGCTCGTGATAAGTTTGACGGCCAATCGTCGCCTATCCAGTTCGCGCGAAAAATGCTGGCAGCTAGTGATGCTGCCATATACATTTGCAAGATTCTTACACCGCTGAACGATCTGACGATCTGGCTTGTGCATGAGAATCTTTTGCTTTCTGATTCGATCAATGGAGATTCTAGTGAGTGCCCTGCTCTCAGAAATCTATCCGTATATTTGCTAAGCTATTAATAGGCCCTCATTGTTGGAGCCGACTGGGCGACCTGTCGACAGACATCTTCGCACTGGGTCTGCACCGCGACGCGAAAAGCTCCGATCAGCTCCCAGAATTTCTACTCGAAGCGCGCCGTAGGCAATTTGCTGCCGCCTACCAACTTGATAAAAGCATTGCCACATTTCTAGGACGTCCTCCTAGGATTCCCTTACGCTATTCTGATTGCCGAATGCCTCTCGACATTAGCGATGATGCGCTTGCGCCTGAAGATACGAATCTTCAATATTGTCCCACCGATCTTGATGCCAACAATTGGAATGTTCATGGTGTGTTCCAACGCTCCTCGTGGATGAGAGTACGGTTCATTATTAGCATGTTTCGTGACGAGATCTTGGAGGTCTCGTTACAGAAGGTTACGCCACAAACAGCCCATCTGTTAAAGTGAGCAAGTCCTATCTTGATATGTGGAACAAGGGCTAATATTGTCTAGTGATATCTCTCACCGCTGTCATTTAGCGTGGGAGTCTTTACCTGCTCATCTGCGATATACACCACACTGCTGGGGGAACAAATACCCCGTAGCAGTGTGTCTTCTTTTGACTGTTTCCTATCTGGCATACTTGTACAACGATTTCCTCATCCAGAGGCTACTAGCAGGCAAGAAGAATCCTAGAGGAAGCACGGCTCTGCTCTCTGTGAGCGCTGGAATATTATCGTCTGTTCTCACTATTGGAGCACAGAGAGAGCAGATGGTAGACATTCGACCCGATTTTACTTGGACAGTGAGTTCGACCTTCACTATTACACTATGCTGTTCAAGACCACTAAAAGAGTGATCGCTGTTTCTAGATTCTCCTCTACGGGTTCCCGAGTGCCAGCCTCCTTATAAAAGCCCTTCAGCACCAAAAGCGGACTGGTGAACCGTTTCTCTACGAAGGCTCTCGATCAGCCCTTCTTCGCAACTTGAGCGTCTTTATCTCGCACCTCGAGACCATTGTCCGCCCAGATAACTCAAACTACGCACTATTTCAAAGGGCAAGTCAAGTGTTCTCCAAGATCATTGACGAAGTCCTTGAGCCCCAAGATACTATTGTGGATACCGAGATTAGCGATGCATCACTCTTTGACTTTGATCAGATGATCCCAGTGGACGGCCTGGACTTGTTCAACACCATGGATTTTGGGGTTGCCTTTAATCAATGGCTATTCTGATTACGATAAAATCCCATGAAAATTAAATGTATTAGGGTACTAGCAGTCATAAGATCCAATGAGACAGTATGCAAAGTCGCGAAAATGAGCAGTCGCTCGAAAAGAATACTGGGAAGCACATTCCACAATAGAGGTATCCAAAGTGTATCAACAAAATCACTATTGCAACTCATGACTTCTCTCAGTCTCATTCACAGAGACTGTCTTAGCCCGAGTGTCCGCACTGAGCTCCGTTGCCCGATCTGTCTGAGGTACGACATGCGCTGGCGGAGGAGAATATGCTTGGTGAGGGTATCCCTGTTCAGGCGGGGGATAGGCAGACATAGGCGGCGCACCGGGAGTACTTGGAGGAGGAGAGCCCGTAGGAGGATAATAAGGACCCTGAGGGTACTGTGCCTGAGCCTGAGGAGGCGGTACTGGCCCAGTGAAACCCAGAGCCTCAGCAGCAGGATCACGACGATTAAAGAACTTCTTCAACCACAATCCCACCTTTGCACCACCCGACATAGCCTTCCATCTCCCCTCCAGCCAAGTTTGTTGATCCGGCGTCTTGGCATCGTACTTCTTCACCGTGAGAAGGAGGAAACAAGACAGAATCGGAGCCAGGAATGCCCAGGCGTACGGCAATCCACGTCGAACCTTTTGACCGACCATGGCGCGCCGGAAAATGATCCAACTCTCGATAAAACCGATGATGAGGAAGAAGCCGAACCAGGAGAAGAAGATGGCTAGGACGAGGCCGACTGGTGAGATACCCCATGTATAATGGCAGCCGTCGGAGCAGCAGTATCCGCCTGAGAAGGCCGAGCCACCGATATACCAAGTGAATTCGTCACAGCCAGCATGGCTGCCACTACTGCTGCCACTGCTGGAAGAGCTACCGCTGGAAGAACCACCACTGTAATAGTTTCGCACGCAAGAAGTATATCGCGCCGGCTTGAACTGCGAGCTGACAGAAGCGAGGATGCTGCTGGGGACATCGCTGGGATTGAGCATCGCCCGGGTATAGGTGATCTGGTTGGTGATGTACTGGAATGTCTCCGTGCTGGTGACGACAGTCGTAGGACGGATCAATCGTTCCGCGTAGTAGTTCATATAAACCGGGATAGCTGTCGTAAGCGTCGCGCTTGCGGTATAGGAGCATGATGCAGGCGCCGTGTATGTTACATCGACATAGTATTGGTAATAGTCGTTGCTAGTGCCCACTGGAACGCCCGCTGTAGGGGCAACGACGAGGTTGATGGCCGTCACATCGGAGCTGTAGCCCTCGATTGTGGTGAAAGTGCTGATTACCGAGGGGTTGGTTGCAGTTGGATTAATGGGGATGAATGAGGTTTCGACGAGAGGAGCCCTCGTGAGATATGAACGGGTTAACCCCTCAACGACGGTTGTTTCGAATACCTCGACATATTGCGTTCCAATCCACGGAGTTGCGTTGGATCCCGCGAATAGTAGCGAGATCAATAGGGCGATCTCCGCGCCTGTGAATAGCCTCATCCTCATCAGGCCCGCTCTCGGTTGAGGGAGGGTGTTATTTTCAGATATCAAAGAGTGAAAAGGGGTCAGAAGGAAAATAAACCAGCAAGGTTTCTCGGAGGATCTAATCTTGTACATAAACCTTCCTCGTTTAGAACCTCTAGTTACGCTTTGCCCGATTAAGGTCCATGGTACGAGGGTGAGGGTCTGTCCAGAGAAGAGAATTCAAGAATAGCGTGCAAAGGAAATTAGGTCAAAGAGCCCAAACCATCAAAATAAGTAACTCTAATGCTTTAAGCCACTTTGATTGGCATATATTAAAGTAGACGCTATCCATATCTAGGCAAGGGTCTCGTATTTTGACCTTGGCGCTTGGTGGCCGAGAAGTTCTTGGCCCAAGCGCGGGTGAATACGAACTGGCCAAGGCTGTGAAGCCGCTAGTCACACAAATATGGAAATTGAGTGTGACCTTGAAGACCCTGAGGTTCTTCGCTTGGGGCTCATTTTGAATTTGTGTGCTTGCTCTGCGCCTGTCAGCCCCCAGGCAAGGAGAACTGTGGCTTCACTCAGACGCCCAGTGATCATAGGTGGAAAGGAGATTTCCACCACCTGTAGTGGTTTTCAAGTCCACGTCCTTCAGCATTCGATTTTATAGTTTAAAGCGTCTCAGTTATGTGATGAGGCATGCAGCTTTGAAATAATGGGTCCTATACAAAGTTTCCGTGTTATAATCCGTTGAGCACATTTCCCAAGAGGCATGGTGACTTTTCAACCTTCGAACCACAGAGAACTTCAGTGCTGGTGTCCACTTATCAGATCTATTTTGAAATCTACCCCTCCTCTTGCTTGGAATCTCGAGCATGGGTTTCATCGGGTCCACTGGTTGCCCGATAGATAAGACCCCGTACGCGGAAGATCAATCTTTGTCTTTACAGTAACTCGCAATGTTTGGCTAAGCGCGACAGCCTTGACAAGGCCTAGATTATCGGAGTGTGTCGATCATAATACTGAACACCCGGAAAATTGGAAAATGAACTGTTGATTTGGTATCTATTATCTCTGCTTCAGAAAGTCCCCAGATCATAAGCAAAACGCGGTGGGGAAAAAGAGGGATTCGTAAGTCTTTCGTGTATGATCATAGCCACAAAGCCCATCAGAGGGCACCCATCCTCCATAGCCATCTGGATCATTGCAGGTTTTCTTGGTGCCGGAACTGCGGTATCTCCATCACGCCTCACTGGTTCTGGGCGAACTGAGCCTGGGCACGAGAGTTCTTGATCGTCCGCTTGATGATCCGCTCGACCTCATCCCAATCGCTGGTGTCAATGCGCTCGATCTGGCAGGTGAAGTGCTGCTGGATCTGGCGGAGCATGTCCCACTCCTCCCGGTTGGACACAAAGGAGATGGCAACACCGATACGGCCGAATCGACCAGTACGACCGATACGGTGGAGGTATGTTTGGTAGTCGGGCTCACGCTTGCGGTTAGGACCAGAGACCTCTGGGATGTCGTAGTTGACAACAAGGGAAACGGTAGAAACGTCAATTCCACGGGCAAGGACGTTGGTCGTGATGAGAACCTTGGCCTCGCCATTGCGGAAGGCATCGATGACGGCATCACGCTGGGAGCCCTCAATACCACCAGTGAGGGAAGCGACTGTGTGTCCTTCGGCGGTCATGCGCTTCTCAATCTCAACGGCGGAAGCACGAGTCTAGTGAACATGAAGTTAGTGAATATACAAGGGCATGGTCAGGATACAAAATACGAACCCGGACGAAGATGATGGATGAGCCAACAGTCAGCAAGCCGTAGAGCTGGACGAGGTTGCTGTACTTCTCCTCATCGTTGCTGCAATCCATGTACAGTTGCTTGATACCCTCAACAGTCAACTCCTCGTGATGAAGGGTGATCTCATTTGCGTCTGGGGCAAACTTGGCAGCATAGCGGTGAACGTGGGCCGGGAACGTGGCGGAGAAGAGGACGACTTGGATAGTGCGAGGGAGCATCGACTTGACGCGGATACACTGGTCTCCAAGACCCTGCTGATCAAGCATGTTGTCGGCCTCATCCAGAACCAGCACCTGGAGGCGGGTGGGGTTCAGGATGCGTCTCTTGATCATATCCTGTACGGTACCGGGAGTTCCAACAACGACAGAGGCGGTCATCCGGTTGGGCCGAGCGGAAGCATCGGCGGGAACTGCAGTTCCAATGCTGAGGCCGTCAAGGAATTGACCCATCGAGTGCACGACACCGACAATCTGACGAGCCAGCTCACGGGTTGGAGCGAGGATCAGGGCTTGAGGAGTGGCCCGCATTTCTTCTGTGGAAAGGTCGACACGGCTCAGAACGTTCAGGACGAAGGCAGCAGTCTTTCCAGTTCCGGATTGGGACTGTCCCACAAGGTTCTTGGGGGGATTGTGCATCAACAGCGGGAGCGCACGCTCTTGCACTTTGGAAGGCTTGCGGAAGTTCATGGCGGAGAGACCCTTGAGGATCCGGGGGTCACTGCGATAGGTCATATTGTTAGACATGAATCTGTATTTCGGGTCGGTAATTAACTAACAGTCCAAGGTCCTCGAAGCTCTTGACAGAGAACAGGGGGTTGTTCGGGTCCGCCTGCAGGTCGCTGAGCTTGACCTCGACCTGGTAGTCGGGCTCCTGGAGGGATGATCCCTGGAGTGCAGTTCCGGCACCATCATCGGTCTGCTTCTCGGTGGATTCTGTGTTGCGATAAAGCATCAAGCGTCAGTGTACTGTTAAAGGCGATAAATGCGAATTCTGGGGCGGTTTGGGCGCATCTAAGCAAAAGGTGTCCTGACAGTCACGTAGGCTAACTGTCGCATTTCATTATGGTGTGATACCGCGTGATCCGTGAAATGGTATCAGCTGCCATGTGCCCAATGGAAGATTCTTTCGCGAAGAGGGGTCATGTAGATTGTAGAGAATGCGTAGCGACTGAGGATTTGAGCTCGTACCCGTGGTTGTGGTGGGCTGAGAAGGCTCATCTGGCTTGGTGATGCGGTCGGCCAAAGAGCCGCCGGTCTCATTGTTCTCAGCGGACATTGTGTGGGGTCGAGGAGCGGGTTGTCGAGATATTGAAGAAGTAAGGATGGGAATTAGATAAAGTAGGTTTGGAGAGGTGAGTTGGCACGTAGTAGTGGAAGCAGCAGAGAGGTAGAGGGGTGTCGCGGGGTAGTTGAGGAAGGAAGAAGGATTGAAGCTCGAATGCGAGGGAAGTGAATTTAAAAGGAAAAGAGAAAGCTGAAGGTGGAAGAAGGCAGCAGCTCGAGATGAGAGGCAGCAATCTAATCACCGAAAGAGGGTGCCTATGAGGAGAGGAATGAGATATTCAGTAGAAGTTGAGAGTTGCGGCGCAAAAACAGCAGAAATGACGCCGGCCGATGAGGCAGATACCGGACTAGTCCTATTTGGGCAAGAGTGGAAACTGTATGGTATTGGCCAAGATGAGTTGCTTGTGGTGACACCTACCCGCAAACGCAACGTGGACGTAAGGTATTGTCACAGGCACCGGCGATGCTCCCCGCCTTCTCCCCAACTTGGGCGTTGCGATCATCGTTCTTCTGTCCGAATTGGCTTCTTACTCGAACGAGTAGTCGCGTAACCTGTTTGCCCTTCAAAATACTACCAAGTGGTCTATTTGAGTCAGGCTACTCATCCAAGGCGACAATTTGTTCTCAGTATTCGAGACCCCATCATTAGCTCATGCGTGATTTGGTTGCGACCTCACTACGGCCATGGCGGCAGCTGACATTGCTCCCCAGTTTGGAGCGGAGCTAAAGGTAAGTCGCACTTGTGATATCGTTGAGGTGTTCTCTAGGCTGATCTCATATCTGGGAATAGGACAACTTCAAACCAGTCAATGCGTGGGTACGTTGCCCGCATCCGCTCCCTTCCCCGCAAAGAAGCGTCATCATACCTCGTGCCCGAGTCTGGAGTTAATGTATTTGCGTCGCACAGGTATCGAACGGCATATCGTGGCTAGACGAGATCCAACAATTCTATCGCGAGCGAAGCGCCATCGAAAAGGAATATGCGGCGAAGTTGTCGGCACTATGCAAGAAATACCATGACCGCAAATCCAAGAAGATCAGCTCTTTGAGTGTCGGCGACACCCCTTCCTTGACCCCCGGGTCCCTCGAAAGTGCTTCGTTGACGACGTGGACAACCCAACTGAATGCTGTCGAATCCCATGCCGCCGAGCGAGACAAATTTGCGACGGAATTGGTCGGACATGTGGCAGAACCGCTGAAACACGCTGCTGCTCAATTCGAGGAGATTCGCAAGTGTCATGCTGACTATCATACCAAACTGGAAAAGGAACGCGAGGCTTCTTATGGCGAATTGAAGAAGGCCAAGGGTAAATATGATGGTGCTTGCCAGGAGGTTGAATCTCGCCGGAAGAAGACGGAATCATCCTTCGACCATGGCAAAGTCAAGGCTCAGAATGCATATCAACAGCAGATTCTCGAGATGAATAACTATAAGGTGCTATTTTTCCGACTTTGAAACGGCCGTATCGCTGATTAATTGTTCGCGCAGAATCTCTATCTTATCAGCATCAATGTCACGAACAAGCTCAAGGAGAAATTCTACCACGAATACGTCCCTGAGGTCTTGGATGTAAGTCCGCCCTATATTCTTCTATCCTTTTCAACATATCTGAACAGTTCTGATTTTTTTTGGATAGGGATTGCAAGATCTGAACGAAACCCGAGTTCGAAGACTCAATGCATTGTGGTCCCTTGCTGCGGAACTCGAAAAGTCCTCCCTAACAAACTGCTTAAACCATTCCACCAATCTTCTGGCGGAGATTCCTCGCAATGATCCTCGACTTGACTCCATGATGTTCCTCCAGCACAATATCTCCCAATCACAGGAGCCTGCGAACATGGGCTTCGAGCCTTGTGCGGTGTGGCACGATGATGCATCCATTATTACCGACGAGTCAGCCAAGGTATTCTTGCGCAATGTACTTGGAAAGAGCAAGACGCAGGTACGCGAATTGCGGGTTGAGGCGGATAAGAAGAGACGCGAAGTAGAAAATGGCAAAAAGGCGCGCGAGGGCATTCAGCAAGGCAACGACAAGCGCAATGAGGTCGACGTCGTGCGAGGCATTTTCTATCTGCAGGAAGCTCTACATGAGGTGGAACGGAAGTGGGTCACTGCGGAGGTGGAAACATCCACTATCATATCCGTGGCAGGAGACTTGTCTCTAGGAGCCAAGAATCACAATTTCCGATCGCAAACCTTTAAAATCCCCACAAACTGTGATCTCTGTGGTGAGCGCATCTGGGGTCTTTCTGCCAAAGGCTTCGACTGCCGGGACTGTGGTTACACCTGCCACAGCAAATGTCAGATGAAGGTGCCTGCCGAGTGCCCTGGCGAGCAAACGAAGGAAGACAAGAAGAAGCTCAAGGTCCAGCGACAGGAGCAAGCTGGGTCCGTGCCGGCAGTCGATGGTGATTCCGCTACAGCATCCAGTGCTGCACCATCTCTTACTCGCCAGAACACCATGAACTCCCTCAGCTCGGGATACGCTGCCAGCACCGCTCGATCGGCCTCGGTCACCAATGTCGCAGCGCAAGCGACTCCCGAAAGCCCGGCAGAAGCTGCCCCTGCTCCTGTGGCAGACACAAAGCCCGCTGCAGCTAAACGTCACAGAGTCTTGGCTCCACCTCCAACTACATACGTGAGCCCGCCGCCTATCGCCGAGTCTCCAAGATCACAGGAGCCGCGGGGTAAGATGGTTTACGCATTCCAAGCGACTGGAGCCGATGAGGTGACAGTCCATGAAGGGGATGATGTGGCCATCGTCGAGCCGGATGGTAAGTATATTTCTCTTTTTCACTGTACTTGTAACGATACTGACCTTATTGCAGACGGATCTGGCTGGATGCGTGTTCGCGTGGGCTCGCAAGAAGGTCTCGTTCCATCCTCATATGTTGAGGCTGCGCCAACGCCATCACCCGCACCATCGGCAAGCCCGGCGTTCACCGACCGACCGGGCTCAATATACTCGAACTCCTCTGCCTCATTGGCAGGGAGTGCGGCGCCGAAACGCGTGGGCCCGGCAGTGGCGCCCCGCCGCGGCGCCAAGAAAGTTCAGTACGTCGAAGCCTTGTACGATTATGAGGCGCGCAGTGATGCAGAGTGGTCGATGGCAGAGGGCGATCGATTTGTTCTTGTGACTCGTGATAGTGGCGATGGGTGGGCAGATGTGGAGCGTGGTGGACTTACTAAGAGTGTTCCTGCAAACTACATCCAGGAGGTGTAGACCAGATCTCGTGATGTGTATAGAATAACCTGTAATACAGCACGGTCCACGATGGTGGTTTTGGGGGGATGCCAGTCATGCTGGCCTTTTTTTCATTCCATTTTGGTCTTTTAATTGGCGTTCTCGCGGGTCCTCCAGCGTGATTTGCATCAGCAAGGAGATATTAGTTTTTTGCAACGCATATTTGTGGTCATACTGATTGACTTTTGTCTTTCGAGCGCAATTCAGTCGGTAGTGGATTTGAAAAATTTTGCCAATGGCGCTATATGACTCACACCATGGACCCTTGAGCTAGTTCTCTCACGCCCATTCTGAAATAGAATGTAAACAAGATAGCGACATGCCTGGTCATCTCAATCTCACCAGCTAACATTTTCACAAGGATCCTCTCGATTTGATCATCACCCGCTTAAAACAACCCCAATCATAATCATCAGTCATAACATGGACTGCCACATCGGCAGGACTGCCAATGTTATTGGGACACAGCAGGGTAGCCTGTGTCTAAATGCTCGAATCCCGTCTCTGGCGACCACATATACCTTGACCAATCCTCCACATGGAAAACCTCATCGGTCAAACCCACATCCATATCATCCAGATACTCCAAAGCTCCCTCGTCAAGCGTCAGCGCCGGATCCAGCGGGAAATCAAACGGATTAACACCATCCAAGGGGCTTATCAAGGGCACATTCTGTACCAGGCTAGGCCCGGACACGGACGAAGACGCCGGAGCGAGGGAATACATGGGGTCAAACATATCTCCGCATACCACCGGGTCAAGCGTCAGATTCTCTAGCCCGGAGCGTGAAATACTCTGGCTAGATCCAGCACGACTAACCGCAGCTGAAACCGAAAGTCCAGCCATCGAGGAAGAAGTAGAAGGATGGGCATAACTGCCGCCGCAAGACTCATTTCCCGAACCCTCCGAACCCGACCACTCCCCCACACTACCACGGACCTTAGTGCGGCGCGAAGAAGATTGCGAACCGCGAACGGGGGTCTGAGACGACGACACAGAAGCCGCAGAAGTCGACCCGGAGCGCGAGACCTGCGCCGACGACGAGCCGGGCGTATCTTTGGCGCTACTGCTACTGCCCGAGGGTCGAGGCGCGATGGGGAGAAAGCCGTTGGAGCTATGATGGCGCGGGTATAGTCTTGCGTGGTTTGCTTTCTAAGAACCAAGAAGGAACATCAGCACCATGCCGTCTCGCATCTCTTCTTCGCTTTGATTTCGAAGATCTGCCCTTCCGGTGGTGGAAACGGCTGGCTTTTTTGTGTGTGTAGTTGCGTTACTTTTGAGGTTGGAGATTTGAGCTCCGCTTCGCGCTTGAGTCGCGCGTGTTCTGTGGGGGCCTCGCAGGGCGTGGCGTTGCAGATTGAGCAGGTTGCGAAGGGGCGGCCCTTGCGTTTGATGCGGATCAACGGTCGATCTGGTGAGGTTTTTGATTTGTAAGTTAAGAGAGTTTGAGGTTTTCTTTTGATGTGCTTGTGCTTGTGTTTGGTAGCGTTATGGTGGCGGAGTAGAAAGCATATTGAGTATAAAATCATAGTTTTTCGAATAAGGTGTATGGAGAGAAACTATGAGAAATTGAAATACTCACCATGATGTTTGCAACTGGTCACTCGGTGACCTCGAATGCAAGCTTCGCAAGCCCACTTCTGACCGTCGATGAGCATCCCTCGTTAAGATTAAAAATGAGCAAGCATAGTGAGGATGGGCTCATGAGCCTTTATACCTTTCACTGTCGCAATTGATCGGCTAGGCCCGCCATATTTTTTCCCTCAAATTCTGATTATCGGATTTCCGTTTCCCGTTATTATTTTTTTTCTTCATTTGATTATGATTTTCTGGGAGGGGGAAAGGTAGGATTTGGGAGGGGCCGTTTATGCGAGAGGGAGCTATGACATACACAACCACACTAAGATCAGTACGTGGAAGGTGTACCATGTACCTATCAGGTAGTGACTGGATTTCTGTCTCCAATTTGGCGGACCTGGCGCCGAGTGGTTCCTGCTGTGTCCAGCAAAGTCCATACTGGCTCTAGTAGTTGATTTGATTCGAGGCCACAGCCACAGGATCGACCTGGATGTGGGACTGGCTCGTGCATTCGAAGGGTTCCGTACGGTTAAAGTACTGTTTTGGTGGACGTTGACCATGGGAGCTTGGACCAGACATATTTTTCGGTGGCTTACGCTTGCGGTACTTTTGTCATTCGTCTTGTTATTGCATGGGAGATGTGGATCGTAGCCGAGCACCGAGCAGGTAGCTCGTGGCTCTTGGAACTATGACTTACAGGAGGGCGTTATACCAGCTACTCTATACCTGCTCTACACTATAGGGCTATAAGCGAATGATCCTAAATGAATTCTACGTGGTGAATAAGACGTTTTGGCTTTTGGGGAACCAGTTTTTTGGTCTTGATTTGCTTAGTCTTATCCGCTCTGGCTGCAACACCGTGAGGGATTTTTCTCACACCTCGGCTGCCTGGAGATTGGAACAGTTCAAATGTTCCCGCGCCAACAACGCAGTTTGATCACGACCAGAGTGGAAATTGAAACGACCGGGAATCCCCCTCCCTCTAGGGTCACTTTTACATAGAGTACAAAATGATAGGGCCTGGCTTATTATTATTACATAGTCGATAGGCCTTTTGTTGGATGCCGCTGACTCCCCCGGACTGCCAGATCGGTGCTAGATCTTAGCTACAGATAATGCCTCATACATATCCCGTGCAGCGGTTCGGGAAGGCTCAGTTTGTTGTACCGAGGTGGGACTTGGAACAATGAAGTGACCCTAGTCTCTGCATTAATCAAAGTCTTAGCTATCTAGTTCCAATTGAGGTGCCTAGGAAGAGATTGAGCCCCCTGACCATCATTTGACGATTATCTGCAAACTGTAGATGGCTGTTTGTAGGCAGGCAAGATGGTCGTCGCTCCATCAAAATAGGGCTGATAGATCAAGTCGAAAGATGTACCTATTGGTGCTTGTCCATGATCTCACACGTTGACTAGCTTGTTGCCAACACCCAATTTTTTCCTTGCATGAGCCCTGGTCAGCCATATCGGGCTAAATGCAAATGGAGGTGGCTGTGCCCGTAGCTTCGCTTAAGTGGCGTCGCACTGGTCTGTCTCAAACGGGATTTTTGCAACAGGCGCAGTAGCCTCAAGATTTCAATTCGGGGTATTTCTCGTGTTTCACAAGCTCTAAGGTTTATGTCTCGACACTGTGTTTTACATATGCAAAGCAATGATTGTCCTAAAGCTTCTCGGTTAACTTTCCGCGGCGTCCCTATAGATTAGGAACAAACGACCACAAAAAATAAGGCACTAGAATGGAAGAACAAAGCGGATTAATTTCGAGGCAAAATTAAAGAATATTAAGCTCTTTCACACCGAGCAAAACGCCCTGAAAATCGCCAGACGTGTACCGTTGGACCTGCCAACCTGGAAGTTTGGGCGGATCTCCACCCGCCTCTAGTATGCGCCATTTTGTATACCTGAGGCATTTTTCATTTCCAATTGTTCGGCTTCAGGTGAAAGAGATTCCCTCTCACCGTACTTCCTTTGTACCAAAAGATGCGACCGACTTGCTGTTGCTGTGCCTGTTGAATTGATCACTCCACTCACCAAATGACACGAACCAAGCTGAAAAGCATCTTGTCATGGTGAGGGGAGGAAAGGAGAGGGGGCAAATAGCCAGCCGCACGGGAATGTGGACTGTTCCCTACCACGCCATTCTTGCTTCGATAGCCATCGTACCTCGTTAGGTTGAAGGGGTACATGGGGTACTCTCAAGGCCCCCAGAATTACTCCTCTTTCTCAATCCAGATTTTCCTTTTATCACTTCCCCTGTTCATGGGCGACGACCTCCTGGCAAAACATCGCTTTCGGAGTCGAAACCCTGAAACCAAGAGAATGAAAATGTGTCGGAATCGCCATGATGGTGCCTTAATTTGATCCTTCCATAGCTTGAGCAGGCCATTTTCATCTTTATATCCTGGAGAATATCCACGACGCCTGCGAAGAACTTGCGACAATGCCAATATGACATGATCCCGATCTTGGAATTTTCCACCACTCATCAGAAACAGGCAGGGCGTCGCCAGCCAAAGTCATGCCAAATGATGCCAATCAACTCTAGTCGATGAAGAAAGGTCGTCATTAAGGAGCAAATTATTACTTGCTCCAAGCTTCAACGTCGCTAGGTATCGAATTTGATCATGGCGAGAATGCGCAACAAGACGGCGCACCACGACGAATTTATAGTCTCGAGTCTGGCCCGAAGCCAGGTCGGTGTCATGATGATCCTCCCAGCACAGACTCGTTCTTGTTCGCCAAGATATATTGCGCAACATCCCAGACCCTACCGTCGACCTAGTGCGACATGCCGGATGGATGGCTGCTAATATTCCCGCGCTCTGTCTGTGGCTGACCGCCACGACAGGGTTCTCCTGAAGGGCCGAACCGTCGTCTCCCGTGGCGGCACGGCTTTGATATCGCGTGTCTTTGACAAGCCGCGCCCGCAAAAAGCAACTAGAAAATATCCGAGGCACCTTATTCCGACATTGTCAGCATTTCAACATGCGACGCAGGCCATACATAGCCTCCCAACGCTCGGGCCATCATTGATCACCAGTGGGCATCACTGATCTGAGCAGGGGCCCGCAAAATTCGGCGAGGAATACATACTTGCTTATCACCTCCCATTCGGAGTGCACAGCATGCATGCAAAACATCCAATCTGCCTTGCAAACATGAAGAACGTTCAACAATAGGCCATTCATTGTGCCAGCTCATTGATATCCTTTTTCCTGGTTGCGCACAGTCTTCCTTCTCGAAGACGGCCCCCACTTCTCGTCTCTGGACTCTAGCACAGTCCCATCTAAGGATCGTTAATTGGGTGCTCAATTGTCTATCACATCGAACCAAGAGACAGTTCGTGCCCTGAAGATCGTCGCAACGAATTAGGGTACAATGCCGAGACCCAACGTCATGGCGCTAGGGGCCCTGTTTACCAGGGGCCAGATTGAGCTGAGGCTATGAAACATCTTTCAAACGCTGAATCTGCATTCGCGATTTCTCCTCGTTTCCCATCCTCTCCAGGTACTTTTTTGAAGTGGTCCCCTATCGCTGTCGTACCAGCAAAGCTCGCTTGATGACAATTGACGGCCGGGTGCATTTTCTGAAATTCAAATCGGTCGCACTGTTCTTTCCGACACTATGCTCCCCATTTTGCAGGTCATGCTCGCACTGAGTCTCATGCCAAAACCCAAAACTCGGATTTGCAGCAGCCGGCACCAATGGAACATGTTATTATCTGAACGGAGACGTTGCTTCTGACCATGTTCCATGCAAGAGCGGAGACAACGTGGTCAATTACTGTGACAGCAGGGCAGTCTGCCTAAGCAATGGATTGTGTCTCCTTCAGGGAGACATGGGGCTCAGTCTTGGACGTTGTACCTGTAATGACCCAAGCTGGAGCCCAGCATGCTGTGCACCATGTCGTACGTATCGACTTGACATCTTCGAACCCGCACCTTTTCGGCAGAGAGACCTAACAGCTTTCTTCCTTAGGCGATGCTTACCGTGAAGGCTGCGTCCCAATTTTTCCAGTGACTTGGAACGACGTGAAGAGTTGGATAGTCAGAATGAGCCCAAGCATATAGATTTCAGTGCGGAGGAACCAATCGAGAGTAAGAGGCATCATTGATCGGTGACACCTTTTCCTTGAATTATTCATAGGCCTTTCAGCCCTCTTTCGTTCTATGTTCTTCAGAAGCGTTGCATGGATAGGTAGCTCAGTCTACAGATTATCTTTGACTGCCAATCTATTCTGTTCTATTGCCCACTTCGCCCATTCTTGCTGGTGCTGGAACGAACGTCACTTTTCTTTCTGTTCTCATTCTAACCCAAGATCAACATTATCTCTCGAAGGAGGGCATAATTTCATGATATCCTGGCCCCCAACGGACATTAACAAGTTGCCCAGCGGTCCGCTTAAGTAGCAATCATTCCCCGGTTGGGAATCAGGTGGTCCACAACCAGAAATTTGGCCCCCAACCTCCAGTCTCTTGAGTCTACACCCACATTGATATTTTGGCGGTTTCGGAGCATCAATTAAAGGCTCGGTAGCAAGGGGTCGCATACATACGAAAGCAACTACGGGGTTGTCTGGTTAAAAAAGATGAACTCGGTCCCAATCGTCCATACATACTTTTGTCCATTTAGCACACAAAAGGCTGGCACTACCTGGACAAAGCTATACATTCGGTCTATCCACAGGTGACTGAATCCACTGTTTTGTGTGAGGATCAAGAGATTCCGCCTGTGCCTCCTTCCATTCTCGTGCCACCATTTCCGCCCGCTCCTTGGACCTAGGAGTGATGCGAGCAGGGAACTCCTCAGGCATACAAACAAACCCTTGCGTCAACCGATCAGGGTCTGGGATAATTGGCTTTCCTTGATCATCAAGCGCCGGCTCAATATTGAATGCCCACAAGACGCGCGACATACCAAGGAACAAACTTCGCTCGGCAACGTGGATTCCAGGGCAGATACGACGACCCGCTCCAAAAGTGAATGTGTCTCGCTTGGAAGGGTCGGGGTTGGCTGCCGCATCTCCCAAGCTCTGACGGTCTTTTTCATACCGTTCAGGATTGAAGACGCGTGGATTCGGGTGTCGCTTCGGATCCATGTGAATGCTCCACACGTTGTTCATGACTCCTGCTCCCTTGGGGATGAAATAGCCTTTGTATTCATCATCTTGTGTCACGGCATGCGGCACGGCGCCCAAGATGGTAGTTGGCATCCATCGAAGTGACTCTTTCATGCAGCCCCGGATGTACTGCAGATCAGCCAAGTCTTCCATGATAGGGAGACGGTTTGGCCCGATGACTCTGTCGATCTCTGCCTGTGCTTTCCGTTGGACTTCAGGAAATAGCAGCATAGCTTGCATGAATGCATAAAGTGTGCTTGAAGTTGTATCAGAGCCAGCCTCCAGCAGCGTTCCGGAGATATAGGCTGCCTGGTCATCGCTAAATCCATCGCGCTTCTGTGCCTCGTACATGCCTGCACAGAAGCAGGGATTAATGGTATTCTCCTGTGTTTGCTTCTTTGCCTTGAGCCAGTGGCCTCGATACAGGGCTTTCTCATGCTTGTGAAGCTCCTTGGCCTTCTTTTGGGTCGGCAGAAGGAAATCGGGCAACTGGCGCAAGAAAGGGAAGAAATCAATGAGCGCAGCCGCGCCTGTCTGATTGATGGTTGCAAATTCAGAGAAGCCGTCAAATAGTTGCATCATCTTCTCATCCTCGTATGTGGGTGTTCTCCATCCAAACACCATAGTAGTCGTAAGTGCATTGGAGTAGCGACGGATATGTTTGAGGAAGTCTTGGGGCTGTGTCAGGAACTCGTAGAGCATTTGTCGGTTTTCCAACATCTGATAGGTCACATATTTCTTCGAAGTCGTCACATTGAGCAGGCTGTGTACCATCTTGCGAAACTTCAAATTCGTTAGTTATACGTGCGAGTAAGTAGACAGGAATGCAGAACTTACGGCACGCCAAGTAGGCCCATATCCCTGTTGGTGAATAGCTCATTAGAAACATGCAACTTTATCGGCGGGAGTCATCCGGGACGTACCATCATCAATAATCTGAGATCACCACTGCACAACGTCTGACCAATGTACATCTCTTGTCTGTGGGAGTAGATGTTGCTCCGCTTGTCGAGCAACTCCTTCACAGCCTCTTCGTTCGAGAGCACGATGAGACACTTTGTACCGAGCATCAGACTGTAAACAGGACCGTATTCACGAGCCCATTTTTCAAATTGGAGGTGGACATCCTGCGAGGGCATCTAGCATATCCAGGCAGCTTAGTATCGCAAGTAATTAGGTCCATGATAGGCATACTGGGAACTCACTTGATGGATATTTCCCAAAATTGGAAGTGTAGGAGGACCTGGTGGGTAGTTCTTAGGTCGGCGACCAATCGACAGAATGCGTGAGATGATCACAACAGCGATAGCTGCCCCAAGAATTGATGATATGGCCAGCATGATGAGAGGCTTTTGACTGATCACAATAATCGAAGTTCAAAACTTCCTCACACACGTATATATTTCCACGGAACAGAACGCGGGGCTGAACATCGTCGATGTTGGAAACAGCTGTGATTTATAGAAAGATATGAGACAGATCTGACGGCAAATTTTCCAATGAGCGGCACCATTATGGTTGCGCGCATGTTCAAGCTACAGTATTGTGTGTCGGAGGTAGTGTGGGAGAGAGTTGGGGGGTGCGGATGTGGAGGTGGGGAGCCGGATCTGTGGGGGTTTGGATGGACTCCTGACCATGAAAAATGCTCACTCATTCATCCTGCACAGCCAGGATCAGCTAGTTGCCGATTGGATAGTCGAAAATGAAGGAATAGGATCGCTGTGGGCTATCGAGATTATTGGTCCCCATGAACCCAGATGAACAAACACATGCGTAAAAGTCCCGAGGCAAGATGGGAAGCAATTGAGTAGTCATTAAGCAATATAACAGTATTAAGGATCAACAAGTCTCGAAGAATGAATGTTGATGAAATCAGCTCTGAACTGGTATATTGACTAAGGCTCGTTATGGGTTATGAGCATATTTGATGAATTTCCCTAGTGTTGTCTCTAGATAGTGACCCCTTGGTGATGCTTATAGTATGAAAAGGCTTTAAAGCCGACTAGATGATCAGTCTACAGGCCAAAGAGTGATTATCATTAAATGCATTGTATTCCGTTATCTCATAGCTGAAATGTTTGAAACCCAACAATCAAGTTATTGACCTGTCGCATACTAGTCTGATCATACTTGTTTAGAATAGGATCCAAAGCACCATCATCGAGAGGAGCAAGATCATTTCCTTGCCGTAAATCTCCCAATACCCCCAGACGCTCCGTCATTAAACTCCCCAATAGCCAAAACTCAGGGCAATATCGACAGAACCCAACTCTCTTCCACATATCTTGAGTCCGGATGTTGTTATCATCGATAGTAACGTGTGGAGTTATTCCGTTTGATGACGTGGATGCGAAAAGCTGCCATGAATCGCACCAGTTCTGTAGTGTGTTGCGTATTGGTGTCAGGTTTTGAGAACTGCTAACTGAGCTGCGGTACTGGAATATTTGAGAATGGATAGCTAAGGGAGCTTCAGTGTCAGTATATGATGATATCCAATGAATTATTTCTCACGAAAGGCTGACCAGATGTAAGCGCAAACAGATTTAAGGGCCCTGATGCGGCGATGATCTGGCGCATGCTTGGTGAGAATGTGTCCTTCGCAAGTGCCTCAAATGCACCGCGGAAAGAGAGACTCCAGTAAGCACTTCCACAGGGAAGATGGGTTTGGATTTCCTGATGGCATTCATCGGCGGTCAATGCTTGGAAGCAGCTCTCCGGCGTTGCAAGGTGCATCCTCATCTCCTTTATTACCATGCGAGGAGGAAGGTTATTGAAAATGACGAAGGCAGTATCAAGAAGGAATATCCACGTGAAAATCCTGCCCAGAGTTAGTTTCAGAGACATATGTAGATTACATCGGTATCCGAACCGGATTAGTTCTTCGCGAGTCGCATATTCCTTCCACTCAAATTCATGTCGACCCATTTCGGCATAGTTCAAATGTGTTGCTGTTGTGATTCCAATGTCTCGCGCCGTCTATGAACTAATGAGTACAATCCTGATAGCAAGGGTAGATTGAGAACTTACAGATACCAAAGTCGCGAACCTGTTTCGGCGAATTCGACTTTTGCTCGAATCTGTGCCTTCCCAGTTCTGGTAAAGACAAACAATATACGCTGCCTGTAGGACTTGGACCTTTCGTCGATATATAGCCATGTTGTTAGAAACAGAGTAGATTGCGTCACTGTTAAAGTCGTCGTCTATGAAGACTATCTCCTCGACGCAATTGAACCATGTTCGAGCATCCTCGTTATCTGGCATGTCAGGGGAAACACACGCGCCTATCCCACGGTTAGCTTTTGACTTTCAGCGAGCAAGAAGCACGTTTCCATACCGATAATGGCCATGGCAGCCACAAGGGCAGGCTTTGCTGATATCGGATCAAAACTGGGTCGATGAATAAAATTCACATTCGGATGCCAAATCGCCCAATAAAACCCAAGGAATCGTCGCAGGTTTGCCGGCGAAAAGAATTGTAAAGAAGCATTTTTGAGTGCTGATGACCAATCTAGTGTCACCGCGCTGTTTCTCGGTTTAATTGTGACGACTTCTTCGATCAGCAGAAGTATCTCATGCGTCTTCAAAGAAAGTGGGTCACAAAGCCAGTTTATTGGAATACAGTCAATAGTACTAACGTCGCTTAGGTTGTCCAGTAGTGGAGGTGAATCCAAGCCTAGTGTTGTAGGATTGGTTGACGCATACGATTGTCCGATTTCTTGACGGCTCTCAACCTCTAATTGGGCAGCGACACTATCACGTTGCTCTTGAGTCCCACAGTCAAAGCTCAGAAGTAGTCCAGTGTTACTGGTAAACCGGTCGAGAAAGCGCAGTGACTGACTCCTGCCTGTATCCAAGAGGGGATTATCTCGAAGGACTTGACTCTCCGACGCCAGGAGAAGATAGTCTTGCCATGTAGGGCTAGCAGACTCAAAGAATGGTTGGCTAAACAGATTATTGAGCGGACTCACTCCGAAAGCTCCGCTGCTCTGTTGGGTCCAGGGTAACTGTATGGAAGTATCCGGTTCGATCGTTGGATCCATTAACATAGATGAAACTCCGTTCTGTCCCACAGAGTCCCCGGCAGAGCCATTACTACTCTTTGAAATAGCTTGACTGGGCCGTTGTTCCGTTTCTGGGGACGTTGAATAGAAACAAGCAACGCCTTTCTTTGAACAGTTTTGACATGGCTGATGGGCACTGCACGCCTTTTTCTGGCGAACACACCGATCGCAAGCCCGTCGACGACCACCCGACCTCGAGCTCCCACCATCGCAAGTTCGAAGGTGGCGTTTCAGAACATCCGCTCGCTGAAATGAACCATCACATGAGTCACAACGGTATGGGCGCTCCGATGTATGTGAGCTGGTATGCCGGAAAAGATGTTCGCGGCGCTTGTAGCGTTTGAAGCAGACTGGACATTGATACCTCGCCGGAAGCGAAGTCGTATCTTGCTCCGACCTTCGTGAAGGGGATACGGCCTCTGACGCCATTGTGTCTGCTGCGATGATCGAGGTTTGGAGGCTGGGAGAATCCCGGGGCCCCGGTGTCCCGAGAGTCGGTGAAATGAGGGGGGCCGACAATTTAAAGTTCGCCAGTTGCGCTGCGATCCGGACGGACGGAAACTAGATTCGGTACTTGCCGGTTTCAATATGTAATCGCCCCGGATCTGATTGGCACGGCAAATGAAGGCTGTTGAATATTCCTCTATGGGAAAAACAGCAGCGAGAACCTATCCCTTTGCTTGCCGGTCGGAAATATCTCTACAAACAAGGCCCTCTAGATCTTGTACATTGTTCATCACTGGTTGTTACTTTCAAATTATGTGATTTCATACAGATACAAGCTCGTAGCAGCGTAGTATAGACATTTCAAGATCATGGATAACCGGTTCCTAGGAGATGGGCCACTCAGGAAAAGGACCTCACATGATCAAAGTGGGAGCTAGCTTGGCGAGATTCTGAGTCCATCGACCCGAAGCTTGTTGTGACCAAATCGCTGGCAGAGACTGGATTCCTGCGGAGATGTTGTGAAATTTTGTTTTCGTAAAGACCCGGTTCATTCGATCAACGAAGAACCGGCGGTGTTCTGGATCAGTGCTATCCGCAGCGGCAATAAAGCAGACCCATACAAGAGCATGGGATCCCATTTGCTCAGGATCAATCTGAGAAACGAGTTGTTTGAGCTCTTCCAAAAGGGCCCACTGGTCTTGATTCGAAGTTACTCGCCCAAGATATATTTGTGAAGCTTTGATGAAAGCTATTCGAGATATGTGGAGGAGCTTATTGTGTTCAGAATCTGACGGGAGATCATAGTAGGTCCAATCCAGGTAGTGGTCCAGCGGCAAGCGAAGAGCTTGAACGCCATGGGCCTCTCCTAGCATCGGCTGACCCAAAAATTCAAACCTAAGATAGAAGTGTGAGAAAGGTAGAGAGCTAGGACAAATGGTATGGACTAACATATGGCTTTGCTGGTTGAGAAAATCGTGCGCCGCAGATGGTGCAATTTGTCCAACATTTTGAATGAGACACATCAATGTCTGCAGAAGGTGGGTATACTCCGAGCTTCCTGTGATGGTTTCTCCCACTAGAAGAACAATCAAGGTGGCCCAAGTAGATAGGTTGAATACCCGATCGGGTGATGCTTGTAATGAGTCTCGACGCAGCCGGGAGATGATAACCGCGCGGCCCTCATCAGCCGCACTCTGAAAACTCGGATTGTACAAAGCCAAATGTTGACTCGCAACAACCCCTACTGCTGTCCGTAACAATTCATCCTCACAGGCGAGAGGTAATAGAACATCACGGTACCCATTTGAGACATTGTCCAACACGACCATGACAGGAGCGACTTGATCGGCAACTGATTGGAATTAACAAGACACACTCACACGGGCCGACAAGAGCTAATACATACAGTGTGACATTAGCATGCGTGCTTGAGGTGACAGAGGCGCAATCCAAGGTTGGATTGCTCCATGCACAACAGGGACAGGAACTCGAGCCAGGTCCACAGCCTCCTCGACGGCTTCATCTGTCAGATCAACTTCGCTCAGGCTAGACTGAGGTTGCGGAGAAGTATCTGTGAGTCGGTCCCATAGATCGCCTTCTACAAAATGATTTCCGTCGAGTGGGTATGGACTAATGGGATCGTCGTGTGTAGGAGAGTTGTTAGCGCACGGGGTGGCTCGCGTCTCCGTGACTCCTTCATCTCTTTTCGCGCGTCGTTTCGCATTCTTGCGCCTCGCATCTGCTGATTGGTCGGCTTTCCACCTTATATTGCGGGGATGTGCAGCGGCAGCTGCAGCTTGTGCTTGCGTCTCGAGAGCAGATTCGGGCGAGAGATCGGCCACCGGAATGGTGCATCCCTTCAACTTCCCTCGACGCGCCACCCCATTGGAGAACCGAATCCGCCCCGACCCCGAGCACTCAATTCCTTTCTTCTGGCACTTGATACAGGAGGGCTCGGTATTATCGCAGACGATTCGACGTTTAGAACATTGGAAACAACCTGTATAGAGCGATCAAAGACAAGGACATTAGCTAGGACGACTAGTGCGGATTGGACGTAGAAATTGAAGAAACACACCCTTTCTCTTGCCAGGAGGAGCTGACATGAGCAGCGAACCAGGCCTCTCGTTGTGGATGCTCGTTACAGAGCGATCTTGGATTTCTCTATCGCTTTAGAGGTGCTGGTTGGCGAAACGAAGGAGGGAGGATGTTGGATGCCTGCAAGCGGGGCCCTCCCGCTTATCGCCCGGTGGCCGGACCGAAAACCCTCGTTAAATGACTAGAATGAGACCTACGAATTACACACAAAATGTAAGATGAGTCTTTCGTAGACACTGAAGGGGAGAGAGGAAAAATGAAAGAATTATGGGATTTAGGGATGTGTAGAAGGAATATTCATTGGAGGTCTGGGGCATCTGGATAGTTAGAGGTCATGTGACCCTTGGGCAGGATGACTAAGAGCGCAAACATTCTTGATTTAATATGGAGGTTCAAATAACTCTCTTGTCTTTAACTTGAATTTCCCTAACGATCATTCTCACTCCCCAGAGTGACCCAGACGGGGGCCATCGTATTTCTTCCGAGCATGAATCACCCAGTTCAACCCGCCAAATATGGCCATGACACCGAGTACCGCGGAGGTATAATTCATGTTGCTTCCGGTCACTGGCAACACAGTCGGCAAGTCATAGAAAACCAGGACCAACAAGGCGAATCCGATAGTGATAACATTCACTGTCCATCCAGCCAGATTGGGCAATCGGAATGACCGAGAGGCGGGAAGCCACTCTTCGGATCTCTTCCTGTACATTAGCAGTGCAGCTGGGAATGCGTATGAGATATGCTGCAGCACCAGCCCGGAGCCAATGAAGGCATTAAATGCTGAACTAGATCCAAGATAAATGCAGCCAATAATGAACATCACGACGAAATTGAAAAGAAGACTCCACACGGGCACTTCAAGCACTGGGTGAATTTCACTCAGCCATTGACTCCCGATGATGGCTCGGTCTCTAGCCAGTGACCAAGTAAGACGAGAGGCAGTTTGCTGGGCACCGATGAGTGCGAAAACAGCAGCGCAGCAGAGCAGCACGACGAAGACTGTAGCAGCCGTTTGAGACCTAGTGGCTTCGTACCACATCTCATAGATCGGAACACTGAAATATTGTCAGCAATGATACAATCGTACGTGCAGCTATCAGGAGAGAGGGTTTCATACCCGGTGTTTGAGGTAGCGATCGTGGCTAAATCACTGGTACAGTATAGCATGGCAATAACAAAACAGAATGATGTAACGAATCCGATGATCAAAGTGCTCATTAGAGCTCGAGGGACCACAACGCTTGCATTAACGCACTCTTCGGCCAAGTGCAAGGCTCCATCAATACCGGCGTACATGTAGTTCGGTGTGACCAGCCCAGTGAGAAAAGCGACGCCACCAGAGCTCCAACCACTATCATTGATGAAAGTCGCCCAGACACTTCTCGAAGACTCATAGTGAGAAGATGAGCGAGACACACAAGTGATGGTAATCACAAGAAAGGTAGCGAGTGTGATAAAGACTGTCGGGTAGGCGTCAGAAAACAAACAGCAAGGGGCTCCCACCGTGTGATTGAGTACTCACAAGATAGGTCGTGAATCCAGAGCGATCGCTTCAACAATGTAATGTTGTAAAGTAGAACACATCCGTTTATGGTTTGATATATGAGGAAATAGTGCCACGGCTGCGGGGTGTAGCTCGGATTGTAGAATAGGGCAATTCCCACAATCAGCTGGGCAGGAATAATAGCGATCCCTGTGCAGATGGCAATCCAGGAAAACACGTTTGTCATACCGCAACAGTAACTCTGGAGATGAAACAGTCAGACTCTGCCAGAAAATAAGATTCAAGAATGAACATACCAACGATCGATTGATACTCTTAGGGGCCAGAATAGACGTCCAGTGATACTGCCCGCCGGCCGTAGGATATACGCTTGCTAGCTCAGCTAATGTGAGAGCACAAGCACCGACGAGAAATAACATCAAGATCGGTCCATATATGAGAGTGATAGGCCCTCCTTGGGAGATAGCGAGGGCAATAGTTCCGGCCACGCCTGCCCAACTATCACAGATGACCCAGCTAGCAGAGATGGTCTGCAAATTTGTCATTTGCCGTGCTCCTTCGGCTTGCAAGTTGAGTCCCTTGAGCTGTATCTGCCCAATGAGGCCCTCGGTGTGAACTGATTTTATATCATGGTAAGTATAATTTTAGGAGAAGTCTTTTCTCAAATAATGAAGGGAACAGTAATATCGACGAGTGGAATAGTGACATAAGGAGGGGCACTCACGTCGCTCGACATCGAGGGAGGCTATTGATGCTAGTCAATGATAAGTGGGAAGCAGGGGTAAACACCGCAGATGAAATACTTACTTTGTTTTTCTTTCAGCTCTTTCGACTCCATCATGTGTATGTGCAAGTGCCGTTTCGAGGGTGGAAAAAAATAATTGCAATCCTCCCAATTACTGCCATCCAGTGCCTTTAAGTATACGAACATTCTCCCAATATGCTACTTGTTACTTGGATAAGCTTCAGCATGATACATCTTGATAGAGAAAGGATTGCGGTGATAAGAGGCGTTGTGCGGGGAAGGTTCTCAATATTACCTAAAAGGGTAAATAGGGAGAGAAAAGGCTGGATTGGATCGTATCTTCCCAGTGGCAACGGTCCGCATAGATAACAGTTCCCCGGATTTCAAGTCAAACTCTACATCAGCGGTCCGCCAAGAATGTACTATCGATTGGTTTAACGATGATAAAATTTGGTCACGATAACTTGTCTCTTTCCAAGGTTAGATTACAGACGGTCAATCGGCGCGGCTAATAAGCAGGGCAATAACGGGATGTGGAAATCTCCAAGACGGGGCCTACTTCGCTAAAATAAACCGTTGTCTTGGTTTTAAATTTTTCTTCTGAATGATCTACGCCTGATGTTTTTTGAGTACCTGTTTTACTAAATCTTGGAAGCTACTTTGGTGTGGAAAATCTCAATATGTACAATGGCTCAATTTAGGTCTACAGACGAAGCCGAGAAGCAGGGCTAGATTGCAGCTCCTCCTTTACAGTCATTGCCGCACGCGTGCCCTCTTCAATAGCCCCATCGATAAAGCTGCGCCAGCCAATAGCCCAGTCTGAGTTTGCAAATATAGTGTTTCCTTGGCGCCTACGCAATGCATCGAGTGAGGATGACAGCAGTCCGGGAGGTGAGAAGAACCAAGCACCCTTTGCAAATTCGTCCTTACTCCAGTTATGGAAGACCTAAAGAACTGTGAGTATCGTCCTCTGTTTCTAGATGAAGGGAACTCACCAGTCGTTCAATATCCATATTTCCAGGTGCCATGTTCTCAACGGCCTTCTTCGTCTCCTGGACGTCCTCTTCCGGGTGCATGTGGTTATTGAACCCACCAAAACAGACAATATGAGTGTTACCCGCGGGGGTTGTTCCATCGCCAATCGCATATGTGAGCTTGTTGAAGGGATAAGAGATTCCTGTCCATGAGCGCATGTCCTTGTTGGATATCTCAGCATGCACCTTCACACATTGGTTAACATGCCCCGTATTCGCGGCGGCCATGCGCTGGGGGTCCAGTGGAGGACTGAAGGAGATAGAGTTCAAGACATTCAATGGGATGGTGGACACAAGACGAGCGCCTGTATATTGGCGACCATCACGAGTCTTGAGGGTGACTTGGTTGCCTTCGTCGGTGATTGATTTGACAGGGCTGTTAAAGACATAGGAAAGATTGCCTGTAGAGAGGGCCTCTTTGAAGAACCTGATTGCAAAGGAAGACTGGCCTCCCTTGAATTTGTAGGAGATCAAAGAATCCATGCATCCTTGGTAGGTGTAGCCGCACAGTGCCCACCAGTGAAGAAACTCGAAGAAGCTTGTAGTCTCCAGGGTGCCACAGCTGCAAAGCAGAACAAAGCTCTCGAGTGCAGCACGTTCATTCGGTGTCAGGGACAGCGCGATGACATCCAATCGATCCTTCGCGGACATCCTATCGTATTCGCGAGCCTCGGGGACGTGGAAGGCATCGTGCGCGTATGGTATAATCTTCCGACCCAAGCTACCATCGACGTCGACAAACTTCTGAAGCGCAGTTGCAAGCAAAGCGTCCTAAATCGATAGTCAGCAATTTATCCCTGATACGGATCGAGGGCCTCTTTACTTACCTCGTCCTCATGGCTCATAATGCTCGTTCCTTCGTTGGTACGCAGCTGAAAATGGTTCACGCCCCGAGAGAAGTCAAAAGACTCTTCCATCTCGGTTCGCATTTGGTATCTGGAGATTTCTCGCCACACATGTGGCTGTCCCCAATGTACCCACGTCCCCCCAAGCTCGTAAGGATATCCAGCAATGTTAGAAGACCATGATCGTCCACCGATACGATCGCGTGCTTCTACAAGAAGAACTCGAAGTCCTGTATTTCATCAGTTAGATGAACCGGTCCAAAAGTTTAACAATCATTTTCTGGAATGCTTCATACCGGCTACGCACAAGTCGCGAGTTGCTGTCAATCCAGAGTACCCACCACCGACAACAATTACATCCCACGGCCCTGAGGTAGATGTGAGATTCGTAGGGGGTGATATGACACCAACGGAAGGGACTCCCTGTGTAAGTCCTTCTTCGGGTGTCCACTGAAAACCGTCACGAGAGGTCATGTTGATCAATTGGAGGCAACAGTCTCCTCAGAGGAAGTGTAGAAAGAGCTCGGAAGTCAAAAATCGGCAAAAAGGAAATTGCTGCCTTTATATGAGACTAATAGTAACTCCAAATTCATCTCCTCGTATTTCCTTCTTAATTAAGACGTCTTTTGCATCATCGTATGTTATCTACAAGATATCCAATAGCTATCGACTACTAAACTGGGCGGCGCGATAAGGGTGGGCTTAGACAAACTTACCGGAAAGGGTCAAAAATGGGAGATTCACAGATCTCGTTTTGGCTCGCTTGAATGGGGGTAACATTGCGCGCGTTTCGAGCATAGCAACGATAAGACCCAGCCATGCCGCTGAGTGGGTTCGCGGGAGGCGACATCAGAATTACCTGATTGGGGTAGTAATGCGAGAAATTTGTCCAAGTCTTCTTTCACCCAATATCTGCCCCTCCAATGTTTGCTCACAAGATTTTGGTCCTCAATCTAGGCTGAACCTGGAAAAGAAGCCAATGTTGGATACAAATATGGGCCAATCAGAGTTAGGTGAATTGGTTGACGCCAATTCTCCCCCGCTATGAGAGTTTATTGCCCAGCAAAACTAGCTTATGCTAGAAGCAGAGCTTGGCCAGTCACCACGGTCATCAGCACGTACCATAATTCCCAAATGTCAACCATATTATGTGAAATAACTGTCAGGATACAGATGGATCGCCAGGCTTCCCGTGGATAACACGGGGTCCGGGGAAAATGCCACCCCGGAAGTGGAAGAAGCTTCCAGCCTTCCTCGGGCCAAGGCCTCCTCTTCTTCCCCGCAACCCAGTTCTTCTCCAGTCAACATTGCGCTCCACTGCGGAATTTTTGGCAATCCTAGTCCTATATGCATGCTCTCTCAATTGCAAGTGAGGGGTTTGTTCCGTTATGGACATGAGCGTTGACTCTCTGCACGGGGGCGGTATTAGGCGCATCCGACAGGCATGTGCCAATTGCAGGTGCGTTTTAGATGGGGATTCAACTCGCCTCCGACCGAGACTGTGAACCAACCTTCATTTATCTAACAAAACCTCCTAGGCGCAAAAAGACCAAGTGTACAGGAGAGCGCCCAATTTGCTTTCACTGTCGCCGTAATCGCCTGAGTTGTGTCTACGAGCCATATTCTGCGACCGTGGGCGACGGGGCCCGGCCTGCCCCTCTGCCCACCTTGACCAACAACCTCAATAATGTTTGTCGCGAGCATAACCCGTATGCGCGATCAGGGAATATTAACTCATGAGCTCCAGGTTGAGCTTCTACAACGAATTAGCACTATAGAATCCCGCCTTGCTGAGCTTAGTGGACAACCCAGTCGAAATGAGTGAGCAATCATGAGGGACATTCAATTACTCCAAGCCCATTAACATTTCTAAGGCCTACCAACGATGTTTCAAGTTTTTCATTTGGTGAAGAACCCAGCTCACCCCTCCACGATACATCTGCTTCGCAACCCTTCCCATCAATACGAAACTCTCCCTTCGACAATTCGTGCGTCATGCTCTTCATGTCTTGCATATGCTCTTGTGTCACAATTCTGACAATTTTGATTGGCTAGAATATTTCCCCCTGCTCCTATTCTACGTTCGGTCATCGACACATATTTCGAACATGTCCACAACCAGCCATACTCCTACTTTCAAGAGATATCGTTCCGTCAAAAACTCGAATCAAACGCATTGCCCCGTTGTTTGATCTTGGCCGTGCTTTCTTCTGCCGTCAGATTTTCTGTCCATGAATATTATGCCGGAAAGACACGAGAGGCGTCTGAAAAATATGCCAGAGAGTCCTGGCTATCGGTGCTGGCAGATCATCTCACCGTAGAAGACAGTCTGAATGTACATGTCGTGCAAACGGTGAATCTGCTGGCTGTTGTGGACTACACTGGTAAGATAATTGTTCCAGCTTATTTCTCTCAGAACAGTGGTTAATAACCTATCTCTCTTGATTTAGCCGGTCGAGTCAGCTCAGGATGGCTAAAGATAGGCCTTGCCGCGCGCATCTCCCAAGATCTCCATCTTATGACAGAGCCCGAGGCCTGGCTGCCGCACTCCGAGCAGGAAGAGCGACGACGGGCGTTCTGGTCTGCCTATCTGATTGATAAGTTGATATCATGTGGTAAATCCAGACCACTGGTTATCCTAGATCAAGACTGCAATGTGCAGCTTCCGTGTGATGAAGAAACCTTCAACAGGGGGGAGTGGAAAAAGACCAACACTCTTGATCAACTACTAAACTGGAACACTGAAATTATCGATAACCCTAGCGGATTCGGTTTAGTCATCCTGATGGCTTCAATATTTGGTCGTTGCACAAGATATGTTCATCAAAATCGCAAGGCTGACGAAATTCCACCCTGGGACACGAAATCGGAATTTGCCGGCATCAACTCATCTTTGTTGCTGCTAGAGTCTTATTCAAAATTGGGCACGCAAAGAATCTCTGAAGTCGTTCTACAGAGCCATCACACCAACACTGACGTTGACCGACAGCAAATTGGGCATCTTATCTTCGCGCATACTTTGTATCATCTTTGCCATTGTCTCTTGAATCATCCTTTCCTGATGCGCCTCCGTCTCAAACCGTTTGGCCAGAAGGCCCCGGCCAGTTTTGCTACACGGGCTCTCCAGACTGGCTGTGACCATGCGAAGCAGCTGATGGATCTCATTCGCGACGCCACGGAGAGTGGTTGTCGTATAGAGTCTTCCTTCTATGCTTACTGTATTGCCGTAGCTGGCGGTATCCACTCTCTTGCATCACATCTCGAGCATCAGAATACTGCGCGTCGTCAATCAGATATCCTGCACTACTTCAACGAGAGTGTCGAATACCTGGAAAGATTGGCCAAGCTTTGGGTGCACGCATCAAATATGGTAGGTGGCTCCAACTCTGGCATCATTCTTCAGTACTAACGCTTCATGAATTCTAGGCTTTACGGCTGAGAGAGTTCCATACCATGTCTCACCGTTTCGCCAGCTTGCTGGATCCAAAGTGCCTGGCCGAAGATCTTGATCCATCCTGCGAAGAAGTGTGCTGGTCAATGATAGATTATGCTATTCTAGGTGCAGACCCGCGTAAGAAGCCACTCGTCTCCAAGACTGGGTTTTCCAACCTCCCGTCCCCAAGTCAAAGTCAATGGGCACTTGGAACCCTTGGTCCGGATACGCCACAATTTGATGGAAACGGCACGGATATCTTCAGCGGACTAACACCGAATATGCGATTGAATGATGTTGAATACCTCTTGAACTGTAGTCCGGGGACGAATGATATTGTCTAAGTGGATCTTCAGGCAAGATGCCAGTCCCTCGGTTTGAAATCCGGTCCGGGCGGTCCGAGGCTTCTTTCATCCGCTTACCCGAAATGGAGGCAGGTGTTTGATATATCATAACAATCAGCTATTTTGGGTCTGTAACTATGGTATCAGCACTAGCCTAGCGATCATGGTTGAGAAGAATCGATTGTCGCCCTGGAAGGGCGTGGTGTCAGGCACAACTGCGGCCATCCTTGCAAATGTACTCGTATACCCTCTAGATATGTAAGTGACGTGTTGTGAACGGGACTATCTATTCTGGAAATAAATAAGGCTAATTGTGTTTGCAGAGTTAAGACAAGACTACAGGTTCAAGTTCAGCAGCAAAAGTCCAATCACGAGAACGAGAAATCCGATCACGGCAAAATACAGGACCCTCAGTATACGGGTGCAGTTGATGCAATTCGCAAAATATTGCGACAGGATGGCATTTCCGGATTATATACTGGAATTGAAAGCTCCATCGCGGGCACGGCATCCATGAACTTTGCGTATTTCTACTGGTCTGCCGCCGCGCGAAGTGCATATCAACAAAGTCTTCAATATTACGGTATTGAGGATTTCAATAGCATCATTAAGGAGTTTGGTCTTGGAGCTGCCGGTGGAGCTCTTGCTCAATTGTGTACGACTCCTATTGCCGTGGTAGCCACAAGGCAGCAAACTCGCAAGGCAGATGATGAAAAACAGTCCATGTGGGAGACCATGATGGACATTGTCTCCAGCGGGGACGGATGGACCGGTCTATGGCGAGGATTTAAGGTCAACCTCATACTCGTGATCAATCCCATGATCACTTACGGCGTTTACCAGTGGCTGAGAGTTGGACTTGTTGGGTTGAAGAGGCAACTCGGATCTCTGGATGCCTTCTGTTCGTTTTTCATCCCCTCCGTCAAAATCGTCTTTGACTCTAATTATTCCAACTGAACACCAGTGCTTGGTGCCCTTTCAAAAGTTCTAGCGACTATTGCCACTCATCCTCTTATCGTCGCGAAGACTATGTTGCAATCAAAACCTCCATCGCAGCGCAAAGGTGTGCCTTTCCGGGGCTTTACCGAAGTCCTTCTCTACATAGTGAAGAATGAGGGAATCCTTCGGCTATACAAAGGTCTCATCCCGCAAATAGTCAAAGGCTTCATAGTGCAAGGGCTCATGATGATGTTAAAAGAAAGGTTGGTCTCTTTCATTGAGAACGTCTCAAAGGGAGGGGTTTGGTATTGACAGATAGCACCAGGACTGAAACTTTGATGTTGTTGCTTTTCTCACTTCATAAACGGCCATTATACCGGAGATTTGGAATCCAGAAAAAGTTATTCTAAATGGCCAGCGACAAGAAGTGGGCAGTTGTTGGGAATCTGGAGTTCAAATCAGGCGGGATATATATGTCGTTCTCTCTTTGTGTATCCCTCATCTTCAACGTTATGAAATGCATCTTAAGAATCCATTTTAAAAAGTTGGTTCTAATAATAATGGAAACGAGTCTAAATGCAAGGTAACGATACTCATGGCCAAATAGACATTCAGTCTGCCATTCTCGTGTCGAAACCTTTCAATCCACTCCCTTCCGGGCACTCTGGCCATGTCTGCATTCTCACACAAAAGAGTGGGCCCTAGTGAATTTTGAGCCAATGATCGAAGCTCCTGTGTCGGTCCTGACGGTCCGAGCCGCGTCGGCGCATGTTCGCCTCCAGCTCGGTCCGGCCATTTTAGCGCAAGCCGGACCTAGCGAATAGGTGGCTGCGGAGGAGATGAGCCTCTGGGAGGGTCTATAGACACGTGAACATTGGTTGCAACCTCAATATGGCCTTGTTGTTTACCCTAAAATAGACTTATTCTCCCGATGATAAACACGACGATTTGATTGTACTCATATTATCCGTCCTTACAATCATTTTCACAACCATGTCTTCCTCGGTCTCGACTGTCCCTTTCGCGGACCCTCTATGGCTTAACCGCTACTATAGTCCATATTACAACGACTCACATCGTCGGCTTCAGAAGGAAGTTCGCGAATATGTTGATACCTACATCACACCATTCTGCGAAGAATGGGAGAAACAGGGATTTGTACCCCCCGAGGTGAGCTTGCCTTTGCACTACAAAACTACACTGATGCATCAATAGATAGAGCAAATACTGAGAGTTTTGCTGACTTTATTTCTTATGCAGGTTCAACGGCGCCACGCAGAATTAGGATACACGGCTGTGGCATCCTTTCCCTTGGCGGCGGATTACCTCAATGGCCAGCGACTCCCAGGCGACGTCAACCCCCAAGAGTGGAATGGGTTCCACGATCTTGTTGTCATTGATGAGTTAGCTCGCTGCGGATACCTGGGAATTATCTGGGCACTTGGCTGCGGAAACTCGATTGGAGGACCGCCCGTTATCAACTTTGGCAATGCAGAGCAGAAGCAGCGATTCCTACCCGACATGTTGAGTGGAAAAGTTAGATTCTGCTTGGGAGTGACAGAACCAGATGGTGAGATATCCCTTTATAGCTCTCAAAATACCGGGATCCAAGTGCTAACTAGTTTCTCCAATTCACAGCTGGATCAGATGTCGCTGGCATTACTACAACCGCCGAGAGGAAGGGCGATGTGTATATCGTCAATGGCGCCAAGAAGTGGATCACCAACGGTATCTTTGCAGACTACTGTACGGCAGCTGTGCGGACTGGAGGGGAAGGGACACAGGGCATCTCTGCCTTGATCATTCCCATGAAGGCCCCCGGTGTTACATGCAAGAAGATTGATAATTCAGGTGTTCATGCCAGTGGTGAGTCACAACGGATATCAATTCCGTCTTGTGACGCATTATACTAATGACGGTCTCTCAAAGGGTCGACTTACATTGAATTTGACGAAGTCGAGGTGCCTGTAGCGAACTTGGTTGGCGTCGAGAACAAAGGATTCCCAGTTATCATGAACAGCGAGTCACACTTCTCTAAAAACTGAAATGTTCAATTATACTAACAATAACTGCAGACTTCAACCATGAACGTCTTTGGCTAGCATGCACATCTCTTCGTATGGCCCGAGTTTGTGCAGAGGATTCCTACAAGCACGCCATTTCACGTGAAACATTCGGCAAGAAGCTCATCGAGAACCAAGTCATTAGATCCAAATTCAGCGCTATGGCTCGTAGCCTGGATTCTACTTATGCCTGGATGGAACAGCTCGTTTACATCTCAGAAGAGGCAAAGCGGAATGGCACTGATGCCGGAATGGGCGGTTTGTTTGCAAATCTCAAAGTGCTCGCTGGTCAAACCTTGGAAAAGGTTAATCGAGAGGCTCAGCAAGTGATGGGTGGGCTTGGATATTCCAAGAATGGGCGCGGTGCAAGAATTGAACAAATCAGCCGTGATGTTCGCGTGATGGTTGTGGGTGGCGGCAGTGAAGAAATACTTTCTGAGTTGGCCGTTAACCAGGAAACTAAAGTGATGAAGAAGCTGCAGAGCAAGCTCTAGATTGTCTTCTGGTAGATTCCTGTATGTATTAGATAGCCCAAGGTGTGTTTGCATAGTCCATTCTCTTCGTTACCTAAACGGTAAATTTTTAGAGGACAGTCTGCAATTCAAACATTGTAAATATGAGACCAACCCTGGATTTTCCTTGTTTTTTAACAAAAAGCAGGTCAACAATAAGTCTTAGAACCAATATGAAGTCAGCTACAGAGCCGCTCGAAATCAGCTTCACTTTTTCTTTCTTTTCAAAAGTTTTCTGAACTTTATCTTACTTAACATTATACCGGTTCTAGTTAGGCTGCCCCTGGCCCGGTATTCGATGGTAATCCAGAACGACTGTAAATAAACGCCCAAAATAGTCATTGTAATGTCCTGTATGGGCGATTCGTCGTCTGCTGTAGAGCAGTACGGAGTAGTGATGGTGTAATTACAAAATTGGCCAACTCATTACGAAATATTGAAATTTCACTTTTTTTTCTCGTTTCAATTACATTTCAAGGGGCTGGTAGTTGCTGAGTAATCAAATCTGCAGCCAATAGGAGCCAACACATGATGGTCCCGCTGAATATCCTGAATACGTTGTAACTCATGGCAACAGGTAATGGAATATATATCTTTGAGATGTTTAGGATGCTCCTACCCCTTCGTAGCTATACGCCCTTGAATATGGCTAATCAGTCTTCTGGGAAATCTTCCTACACCGAGCTCGAGCTTCAGAGGTGTTTTGAAATCATACAGGGCGATAAAAAGGTAATACTTGATCCACGAGCTTATTCTGTACCCTCCTAATTAATTTCGGCTAGGTGCCTCAAGCAAAATGCCTCGGGTGCCTAAAGATTCGCGCTAAAAACACGACGCGTCAGAGTGAGCATGTTAACGTGCCCTCCATGCTCACCCTGCTCACCCACCTGCTAAGTGGGCAGATGAAATCATTTTCGTGAAAATCTTGGGGGATGCTCGGATATTGGGAACTGCACGTGACTTAAGGTATTTTTGGTTCCTGTGGACGGTGCTGGTAGGTACACCATCAGAAAAGTGCGGACGTTGATCAGTGCTAGCACTGAGCACCAAATGGCTCTACTTACCTCATAAAGGCATGCCTGCCGCTGTTGAGGAGGAGGAAAAATTGGTAGATTTGAAGTGATATAGGTCTATTTATACCCCGGATAGGGGATTGCGTTCTGAGAGTGCGAGGAATATGACACGACCTGATGAACAACCGATGGCCACCGTTTCTGCAGATATACGAAATGAAGAAGGGTTGGATGGTCGATAATCTGGAGGCAACCACAACAGGTGTGATCCATTAAAGGTTATCCAGGAAGAGCCGCCACTTAAGCCAAACCCATTCATTCCTAGCAAGGTCAAACGACAGGCGCTGGGCATAACAGGCTCAGTGGACCCTACGTTTAAGGTGCCAATTATTGTGTGAAGATGGGTGAGCGTGCTTATACCAAATTGGAGGTGACGGAAGGGAATATTAACGGTGGACACGCAATGGGCGGCGGCTGGATCCCAGATCCTGGCGGTCTTATCATAGGACGCCGATGCGAGCCGACTTCCATCTGGCGACCAGGCAATTAGGTTGACCCAGGCACTATGCCCCTCGAGGGTAGACGCGCACTGGCCGGTGGCTGGATCCCAGATCCTGACGGTCTTATCATTCGACGCCGATGCGAGTCGACTTCCATCTGGCGACCAGGCAATCGAGTCGACCCAGCTACTATGCCCCTCGAGGGTAGACACGCACTGGCCAGTCACCGGATCCCAGATCCTGACGGTCTTATCATAGGACGCTGATGCGAGTCGACTTCCATCTGGCGACCAGGCAATCGAGTTGACCCGGTCACTATGCCCCTCGAGGGTAGACACGCACTGGCCGGAGACGGGATCCCAGAACTTGACGGTCTTATCATAGGACGCTGATGCGAGTCGACTTCCATCTGGCGACCAGGCAATCGAGTTGACCAACTCAGTATGCCCCTCGAGCGTAGACGTGCCCTGCCTAGTGGCCGGATCCCAGATCCTAACAGTGTTATCATTCGACGCCGATGTGAGTCGACTTCCATCTGGCGACCAGGCAATCAAGTAGACCAAACCACTATGCCCCTTGAGGGTCGTCGTGCAATGGCCAGTCGCCGGATCCCAGATCCTGACGGTCTTATCATAGGACGCTGATGCGAGTTGGCTTCCATCTGGCGACCAGGTAATCGAGTCGACCCAGCCACTATGCCCCTCGAGGGTAGACGCGCACTGGCCGGTTGCTGGATCCCAGATCCTGACGGTGTGATCAGCCGACGCTGATGCGAGTTGGCTTCCATCTGGCGACCAGGCAATCGAGTTGACCTGGCCACTATGCCCCTCAAAGATAAACGCGCACTGGCCGGTCACCGGATCCCAGATCCTGACGGTCTTATCATTCGACGCCGATGCGAGTTGGCTTCCATCTGGCGACCAGGTAATCGAGTAGACCCAGCCGCTATGCCCCTCGAGGGTAGACGCGCACTGGCCGGTTGCTGGATCCCAGATCCTGACGGTGTGATCAGCCGACGCTGATGCGAGTTGGCTTCCATCTGGCGACCAGGCAATCGAGTTGACCCGGTCACTATGCCCCTCGAGGGTAGACACGCACTGGCCAGTCACCGGATCCCAGATCCTGACGGTCTTATCATTCGACGCCGATGCGAGTCGACTTCCATCTGGCGACCAGGCAATCGAGTTGACCTGGCCACTATGCCCCTCAAAGGTAAACGCGCACTGGCCGGTCACCGGATCCCAGATCCTGACGGTCTTATCATTCGACGCCGATGCGAGTCGGCTTCCATCTGGCGACCAGGCAATCGAGTTGACTTGGCCACTATGCCCCTCAAAGATAAACGCGCACTGGCCGGTCACCGGATCCCAGATCCTGACGGTCTTATCATTCGACGCCGATGCGAGTCGGCTTCCATTTGGCGGCCAGGCAATCGAGTTGACCCAGCCACTATGCCCCTCGAGGGTTTGAAGACATGAACTCCAGCTTTCATCTACCACCGGGCTGTTCAAGATCCAATCTGGTTTCTCTTTCTGATAACATGTCCTCGTGGTACTTTGAGTTGGGCTAAAGACAAGCCCTGAACTGTATACTTGAAGGGGACTGCTTTCGATTGCATGTCTGGAGTATCGAATGAATCGGGACGCGTCTTGAACTCGGTGTAGCAGATCCTGTGACACTCCTTTTTTCTATGAATTGTCTGGTTAAAATGGAAACATTTTCGTAATCTAAATAAACACTCACCTGGAGTAAGTCTTCCAGCTTCAGCATAGCGGTTATTCCTTCTGATACGCATCCCAAAATGCCGAGGCTTTCAAGCCAGTGAAGATATTTCTGTCGTAGAAACCTATCCACACATCCTCCATCCTCAAGGCTGTGATACTTGTCTTCACGACACCAACCTTCTAAAAGGTGGTCAACCCAATACACACACGCGTATTTTACAGCTGCCAGAGGATTCGAACGTGGTTGTGTGAATTCCTCGGTCGAAATTCCAACAAGCTTAATATCGAGGATATTATGCCGAAGTGTCTTAAGCATCGTTTGTAGAGATCGCGAGAACATTGCAAGATGTTCGGCTTCGTGGCCCTCCGGAAACACCTCGATTCGCGCCTTTTCGAGCAGAAATTCCTTTGCAGACTGATGGACGAAAACAATAACGTCCTCACGACAAGTAAGGAACGAGCCACAAATTGCGATAATTTCCAGTAAAGCTTCATCGTCATCGGAGAGACCATCAGGTATTTCAACTAGGGCAGTCAGTTCGGCAAGAGTGATAGGCCGATACGCAATTGACATAACAGCCAGTATTCGCTTACAGGCCTCAGCATCTTCAGACGTTCGAACCTGATCAATCATTCGACCATATAATGCATCCAGTCCAGGAGGGAACTCCTTTAGCTTTTTAAGGACATGCCTCCGGGATGTCCTGTTAAGGTCTTGACAAACCAGGGCGACCCAGAGGAAAGTGCCTTGTGAGTGTAACGACAAGTGACGGTAAACAGCATCACGGATTTCATCTTTATACTTTTTGACTTCTGCCAATTGGTAAACCTTATACCGAATGAACTGTCGCACAGCGTTAGATACGGATGTCTCATTCAGTTCTAATGAGATAGGCGCTGTCTCAGTTGCAGTATCCAGCCGCTCTTGGATACCAGGCCAGTTGCGGCTCGAGACAATCCACTTTACGTGTGAGTGGGTGGACGATTCCTGGACAACTAAGTCCAGAAGGAGAGGGAGATCCGTTGTGCATTCGTCTAACGCATCGATCACCAAATAAGTATTCTGTAAGGTCTGATCATTCATAATATTGTTGAAGACTTTTGAGAGCGCATTCCATGCGTTTACGTCCTCAAACAGCGTCTTTCCCGCTTGGTCGTACTGGCTCCGTACATGGGAGAGAAGTGATGGCTGCTTCTGGACCAGTGAATAAATCAAGCCACGTAGGACGGCCGTTGCATTATTGAGTCGTACGTCCGTAGCTTGGCAAAAAAAGAAGCAGATATTTGAATTACCCCCGATTACTCGGGTCAATTCATCGATAATCCCGCACAGTAGCATTGTCTTGCCTTTGCCAGGATCACCCTTGATCCAGAGGAGACGGCTGCTCTGGTTGTCTTGCCACTGTCTGAACTGCTCGTTGTCTAAAATCCACCGATACGAGTCTATGAGCAACCCTCCGTTGGTTTGTTCGATGCGGTCCTTGTCATCATGAGGACTGGTCGTTCGCAGATCCCGCAAGCACGCTTGATTCAATGACGCCTCCGGTTGTACTGGGGCAATCCAGCTATTAGCCACATTCTGTGAGAGTCGTGATTCCTACTACGTACCGAACTGAGCAGTAATATGGCCACGATTCTCTCCGATTTGAAGACCCGAGTTAGGGCCGCCATATGAAATATTGGTTCCCATAATAGTCCATAATAGTCTTCAAATCAGGTTGATGCTTGGTGGTACCAAAGTTAGCGTTGCCGACTTGGAAGTTTACCCCGCAATCAGGTGACCGATGAATTTGGTCAGGAGCCATTCTTTTCGATTTTACTCTTGATATATCCACAGAGGTTTATGCTGACGTAATGAGTGGTGACCACGCAGTGCCAGTTCAATCAGTACCCGTAAAGTGAAAGCGTTTTAGTTAATGATCAGACTATGCCACACATCGAGCAATGTATTTTATTTCAAGTACATTACATAAAAAACAATCAGGTGACTTTAACCACGAATACGTTTCACGATCTTACGAGAAATTAAGTTAAAAATAGACTAGCGTGTTTCAAAATAGAGTTCGAGAAAGAATCGAAAAGAACAAAGAGGTGAAACTGATTTCGAGCGGCCCTGTATGGCCGGTGGAAAATCTTTTTTATTTGCTCTCGATTATCAAGAGCTTGAAGAAAACGAGTAATACTGGGCGGGTAAGCGACGAGAACGCAGCGCCAACTTTCTCTTTCCTATTTCACCTTGAATAATCGAAGCCGGATGTTCATTTATTCAATCACTGTTCTTTGTTCGATATTGATATACACTCGACAAAGGTCAATATCAAGGTACATAATATTTGATCATGACTAACTGTATGCTAAATAACTGAGCATAGAACTCTTCCCTCTTCTACAGCATCTCCCGTCTTCCATTCTGATTCGAACTTGCCTGATGCGGCGACAGCAATACTAACCTCCATCTTCATACTTTCAATTACCATCACCGTCTCTCCAGACTTGACCTCATCGCCATTACTCTTCAAAACGGACAAGACTTTGCAAGGCATCGGTGCCGTGACTGTCTTTTGCTCAGGTCCATCCTTCTCCTTAACCATTGCCCGGGTGCTTTCAGCGAAGGACAATAAAGTATCACGTTTGAACTCAACGTGAGTTCCAAGTGATGGGAGATGGCAGAAGACCCTCTGGCTGCGGTCGGTCTGACCCGCTAAAGCATAAGGATGAACGGATGGTAAAGCCACATGTGCGAGGATTTTTGCTCCGTTTATTGAGAGCTCCAATGTTGATGCAAGCCACGACCCAGTCAAGGCAGGATTCCCTTCAGCAGGTCGCCATGATTCAATCTTGACCCTATGCGGCCTATCCGACAGGACATCTCTAGTTCTCAGTGCTTGACTGATACTGTTATATTGAGCGGAAACTTTCATCGCTGCTGAATTTGCTTTCTCCTGGCTTTCAGCTGCGTCTGGAACTGGGAACAAGTATGCTTCCTCACGCCCGGATGATGAAGCTGTATCTTGAGCCTTCCATACACACATGAACTTTGATGGACCGTCCCCCTTACTAGATGCTGTTTGAGGCCAGCTGAGTCTTGTCACAATGTCACATTGAATGCTGACAGGATCGGATCTCTGATTGCGGAATTGCTTGCGGATATTTCCAAATGGCTTGCGGTGTGAGGTGGATGGTATGTATTCAGGTAATCTCCGAGCTATCATGCTGGGAATAACTGAGAGGACTTTCTCTGCCTCTGGGAGACTTTGGCTCCAAGGCGACCGAAGAAGCTCATCAATGTGGGTCGGAATAAAGGAGGTAGTGTATGCAGGATCACGGAAGCCCTTGTTTAGTAGGCAAGCCTGCATGAACAGCTGGTTTGTCTTGACACCAACACAAGCTGTGTGTGCAAGAACTTTGGCCATCTTTTCCATGGCCAGTGCTCTTGACGGTGCCCATACAACGATCTTGGCGATCATGGAATCGAAATAAATGGATACCGAGGACCCAGATTCGATGGCAGTCTCATATCGAACATCCCGGCTAGGTGCAAGATCACCAGTTCCCGGAAGCCACAAATGAACTTTGCCATGTTCAGGAAAGAAGTTCTTCTCTGGGTCCTCAGCACACAAGCGACATTCAATTGCGTGCCCGACCTGGGTCACATCCTGGACAGCAGGGAGACTTTGAAGTCGCCCACCCGCTGCGACGAAAAGCTGCAGAGAGACAAGATCGACTCCGGTCACCTCTTCCGTGATAGGATGCTCAACTTGTAGTCGCGCGTTGACTTCAAGGAAGTAAAAGCGCCCAGTCTTGACATCAACGACGAATTCGACAGTACCAGCACTCTCGTATCCAATGAGCTTTGCAATGCGGACAGCGGTCGCGCTCATTTTCTGGCGTGTCTCGTCTGTCAAAAATGGACAGGGAGTTTCTTCAATCACCTTCTGATGACGCCTTTGTACGGAGCAGTCGCGATCAAAGAAGGAAACCACTTCACCATGCGAATCACCCATGATCTGAATTTCCACGTGTTTGCTGCTTTCAATATATTTTTCCAGGATACAGTCGCTTGAGCCGAATGAGCGCTGTGCTTCTGACTGAGCTCGTTCAAGCTCATCCTTCAACTGGCTCGATTCGCGTACGATACGCATACCCTTGCCGCCGCCTCCAGCAGATGCCTTGAGCATGACCGGGAATCCAATCTCCTCTGCAACTCGCTTCAATGCTTCGGCGTCTTGACTCGATCCGGCAAAACCAGGAATCAGAGGGACATCTGGTGCATGCTCTCCTAGATATGCTTTTGAAGATCGTTTATCACCCAGGGTAGACATAGCGCTCGCGCTTGGCCCAATGAAAATCAGTCCAGCCTCTCGGACGCTGTTGGCGAAGTCGGCATTTTCACTGAGATACCCATATCCGGGATGAATAGCATTCGCGCCAATAGTAACGGCCGTTCGAACCAGGAGTTCAGTATTGAGGAATGGGTTCCGATCGCTTGTGTCAATGCTACCAATATTGATAGCTTCATCTGCATCGCGAACATGGCGTGAAGTTGAGTCCCTATTCTGTGTGAGCTTCTACCATTCTCATAAGGGAATTAATGTACATACTCGTCAACGTAGACAGCGACCGACAATATGTTCAGCTTTCGGCAAGTCTGAATAATGCGACAGGCAATTTCGCCGCGGTTGGCGATTAGAACTTTCTGAATGATAGGTCGGCCATCTTCGCCGAGTGGAGGCTCAGCGACGAACAAGGGCTTGCGAAATGGCGAGCTAGTGCTCCCATTCGCACCCTGGTTGGAGGTGCTCGTAATTCCAGCCATCGTGATAGAGACAAGCACGCTCTTTTCTGATGAGATTCAGATGCCAATATTGTTAATAAGAAGTTATGGATTCTCAGTCCATATCATAGTAGATATCCATCTCCTTCACCTTGGTGGGTCCTTCATGCTCCAGGGAACCTCTTGTCCGGGGTTCATCACTTCGGTCCGGCCTCCGTCACAGGGGCTGTGGATCACGCCGGTCCGCAGGCAGAGCGCCGCCACGCTACACCCAAAGCCGAGGTTCCGCCTGGAAACAAACTATCGACCTTGAACGGGAAAGACAAATTAGCAGGGACGATGTTGTATACCATCCGAAAGCTATTGACCGTCTTAGAACAGCAAATAGCTATGTTATTGAAATTACTGATCATTAGAGACAATAATTTCCCCAGTGTTCAGAGTAACAAAGTGTATAACACGTTCAATTTAATTTACTCCAAAACTCGTACACAAGCTATATCAAATCCGCGCAAGCAAATTATGCGTTTCCGTACCCTTCACGCCTTGCAAAGTCACCGTCTCCAAGCACATTCCCAAGACATCACGCGTATCCCGCGGATCAATAATCCCATCATCGATGAGCATCGAGCTAGTGGAATAGCATTCTGCATCCCGTTCAACCCGATCCCTAAATCCCTTCACCTGCTTTTGCAACTTCTCTGGTGACAGAATCTGGCCCTTGGACTTGGCACTGGCTATCTGTACCTGCTCCATCACACCAGACAACTGATCGGGTCCCATCACGCTGCATCGACCGGTCGGCCAGGTAAATAGGAAACGGGGCTTGTAGGACCTGCCGCACATTGCATAGTTACCGGCGCCGTAAGATGCACCAAGGATGATTGAGATGTGAGGCACTGTGGAGCAGCTCACGGCGGAGACTAGCTGAGCGCCCGCCTTGATGATTCCTGCGTGCTCAGCTTTGGCGCCGACCATGAATCCGGTTACGTTATGTAGGAAGATGATGGGAGTGTTTCTGTGATGTCAGTAAAAATCCAGGTTTTCTAGGCTGTGGGATGGGACTTACTGTTGATTGCACATCCGAATGAATTGGGCGGCCTTTCCGGCTTCATTGGGGTTAATGACTGAGATCTGATTGGCGACGATACCGACAGGGAAACCTTGATAGTCATTGATTAGCTTCAGTATCGTATTTGCCAGATTGATATCTTTATTTACCCATGATATGAGCCCATGCAGTCACAATATTGGGACCGTATTTTGGTTTGAAGACTGAGAGCCGAGAGTCGTCTACGATACGCAGGAGAACCTCATTCATATCGAACGGTTTGCGGATATCAGGATTAACTAGCGATAATAGGTCTTCGATCGGGTATCGGGGTACGATCGGTTCGATCATGTCAAGTCTGGGAGGAGTTCGCATCTGTAGCGAAGCAACCCATTCTCTAGCCATTCGGATGGCATCGAATCTAGTCATCCATTAGTGGGACAGAGCTATGCAAAATTTTCCTGTTTCCATACTCATCGGTTGCAATCTGATCCGCGAGACCAGTCGTCACAGCATGGACTTTCGCACCTCCCAACTCCTCCGCTCCGATCACCTCACCAGTGGCCATCTTGACGAGCGGCGGACCACCGAGGAAGGCTTGGGCTTGATTTTCAACAAAGATAGTATAATCAGAGAGCGCAGGGTGATAGGCTCCTCCCGCAGTTGAAGATCCAAACACAATAGCACAGGAAGGCTTGCCATGTTGCGTCCTCACGGCAAGATCGTGGAAGAGCTGGCCACCCTTGTGAAAGACACGGAACTGTTGAGGCAAAAACACACCAGCCTACAGAAGGATTAATAAGAAACGGAGGAGTGAGACCTATGCGAGGCCACGGGTGGCTTACCGATTGAACCAGCGATATCAGAGGAAGGTCGTTTTCAAATGCAACCTCCATCATCCGGTTTACTTTCAGGACTTATAACCAGTTAGAATCCTGAAATCGTAAATGTATACTAAACTTACCAGTCATCTCATTCCAAGCCCCACCACTTTGTGTGGGGATATGCGACATGAGTAAACAAGGCCGTCCACTAGAAAATGTCAGAAGGTGAATTCTCTTGGCTTGTAATCCCGATTTTATTGAACGAACCAAACAGTTCCAATTCCCGAGATCAAGTTCGCGCAAGGCGTCGAGTCCTCATTTCTAAAGCCAGCAAACGCACCCAGTTCGAGGAATGGTGAATCTTGATCTAATAGTAATGCGACACGATCCCTTGCTGTGCACTGTGTCAGAAATTCAGAATCCCTTTTCATTATCAGGTTAAGACTTACGCAGTAGCTGGCCCCGAGTTTGATGTCTCCGCAAAGAAACATCATTTCCTTCAGCGGAAACCTGCTTCAAGGCATCCTCGAATTTTTCCAAAACAGGTATCCAGCTCTCTTTGTTAGCACGGAACTGTTCGCCTCGAAGATCAAGCTTGGCGCTCAGTGTTGGGTAGGAGGATTCAGTAGCCATGGTGGGCAATATGCAAAATCCTTCCTGAGAAAAGTTGAGTTTCACAATTGCGCAGCTCGAGTTCTGGACTTACTTCCTGAAGAAAGTTCCAGGTTGAGTAGCTTATGGATAAGTGGATGCTAACTGGTAAAGCATGACCGGTCCGAAGCCCGGGAGGCCTATCGGACGGGCTGTCCAGCCCCAGTGAGTACCCGCCCCCACAGTATACGGTGGTTATCCGGAGGAGCCCAAATAAATATGGTATGTCAAGGCAACAAGGAAATGAAATAGATTTTAAATTATTTTTCGGCAGATTCAAAGCCGAAGCTACTCTATCATTCTGACTCAAAGTCATAATGGACCCCAATCTTGCAATAGTCCACGGCCCCAAAGAGCCCGCCTTGTGGACGAAAACACTCGGGAATTTTATTGATGAGCAAGCCGCTTCGTTCGGCGAGCGACCCTGTGTCATATTTCCATGGCAATCCGTACGACTGTCATATGGCCAACTGGCCGATCGCAGCAAGGTGCTTGCCAAAGCCATGCTTGAGATGGGTCTTCGGCATGGAGACTGCGTTGGAATCATGGCTGGCAATTGCTATCAATACATCGAGGTTTTTCTTGGGGGTGCTAGGATTGGGTGTCCTGCTGTTGTATTGAACAATACATATACACCCAGTGAGCTTCAGAATGCCACGAGCAGGAGTGGTAAGTTTGTTGAGAATATGGCCTCATGTTTGTGCTGACAGTTTCGAAGCCTGCAAGCTTGTTTTTATCGCGTCAACGATTGGTAGCCGGGATTTGTCTGGCCATATCAAAGCCCTGGTCGGCAGTTCTTCACAAAAATCCATGCTACCGGAGCTGCGGCGAGTGGTCTACCTTGGAAATGGTGCTCTCGAGCAAGGTGGTGTTGAGATGCAGTCCTATAGCACATTCACCTCCAACGGACATTCCGTCTTTATGAATGATCGTGTCCTCAAGCGAGCGGAGAATGGGGTCACTCCAGAAGATGTTCTCAACTTACAATTCACTTCTGGTATTAGCCCCTATCCTTCAATTGAGCGAGATGAATTTACTAATCTTTCTCTCCAGGTACCACCGGTTCTCCCAAAGCGGCCATGTTGACGTCTAAGTGAGTGACCAGAACCCCTTCAGACTAGAGTTACAGCTAACGCCACTAGCAACCTGCTAAACGATGCTCGCTTCGTGGGCGATGCTATGGCACTCACTCCGGAAGACGTGATATGCTGCCCACCACCTCTGTTCCACTGCTTCGGCCTGGTCCTCGGATTCCTCGCATCATTCACCCATGGAAGTTCCATTGTCTTTCCATCAGACTTCTTCGATGTAAAGCGCGTCGTCGACGCTATCGTCGATGAAGATGCTACAGTCCTTCTAGGTGTTCCAACAATGTATGTCTCTGAACTAGAAGTCATGGCGAAAACCGGCCAACGACCACGCCGACTACGCACCGGGTTAGCCTCTGGATCAGCCGTATCACAAGGTCTGATGAATGAGTTGCGGGCCAAGATGGGTGTGGAGAAAATGCTGATTGCGTATGGAATGACTGAAACAAGTCCTGTTACGTTTATTACTTCGCTGGAGGATTCGGATGAGAAGGGGACTACGACTGTGGGGAGAGTCATTCCGCATACGGCGGCGAAGGTTATCGGAAAGGATGGAAGGGTTTTGCGAAGGGGTGAGAGGGGGGAACTTTGCACAAGTGGGTTTGCGTTGCAGAAGGGGTATTTGGGTAATGAGGCGAAGACAAGGGAAGTGATGAGGAGGGATGAAGATGGGGTGTTGTGGATGCACACTGGAGATGAGGCGTTGTTGGATAAGGATGGGTACGCGCAGATTACGGGTCGGATTAAGGATATTATTATTCGGGGTAAGACTTCCCTGGCTCCTTTCTTGGCTGCCACATCAGACGTGCTAATCAAGTTTTACAGGAGGGGAGAATATCTTCCCACGAGAAATTGAGGAACGCATTATGCTGCACCCCGCAATTAGTGAAGCAAGCGTTGTGGGTATCAAAGATGAGCGATACGGTGAAGTTGTGGGATGTTTCCTGAAAGGGGTCGAAAGAGCTTCTAGAGTCTCGGACTTAGAGGTGAAACAATGGGTCGGGCAACAGATGGGCCGTCATAAGACGCCGCAGTACATATTTTGGATTGGCGATGCTGGAGTTGGAGATGACTTTCCCAAGACAGGAAGTGGAAAGCACCAGAAGCACATTCTCCGGGATATTGGGAACAAGTTGATTGGGCTTGGTAGAGTCAAGGCAAAGCTATAGATCTATAGACTAAATTCAATCCAATGTTGTTCCAATTCTGTTGAAACAGCTCAACTTGCAAATTCTACGTAGAATTAAGGTGTATAGCTAATCTGATGAATTCATCATTATGTCTAGGTGTTGAAGCAAAATTGACACCAGGAAAGAGTTGCACCAGATCAACTGTCTGCCCTTCCAATCCTCTCCTCCATTTCCCGAAGAGTCGCCCCCAAACTGGGGCGGCCAAACTGGGGCGGAATTCCAACTTCCCCGGAGAATCACTACGGAGAATCACTAAGCTCTAAGCACTAAACACTACACTACTAAGCATCGGTCCGGCATCCGAGGGCCCCGTAAGCTTACCACCAAGTGGAGCGACTGCCATATGCGGGGGCGCCCTTCGGTCCGGGGCTCGGATTTCCGGAAACCAACCAACTAGCCCCCACCAAAGTACTCCCGGAGATGCCGAGGCTTAGAACAAGCTAGTAAAAGACAGAACTCGAGACTCAGCCAGCGAGTCCCATGCAAAGACACGCTGCTTACCCGCTATAGCAGTCTGAATAGCCATACTACCGTCATAATCACCACCATGACAATTCAAACGCCCCAAGTCCGAATCGTGGAAGTAGGACCCCGGGATGGCCTGCAAAATATCCGCGAAAAAGTACCCACGCCAACGAAGTTGGCGCTCATTCAACGTCTTCGTGATGCCGGATTACGCACGATCGAACTTACATCGGTCGTCTCGCCGCGTGCGATTCCACAATTGGCGGATTGTCGTGACGTACTCGGAAATTCGTCTGTGAAAGCACTTCTCCAGCATGATCAGGCGGGTCTGCGGTTTCCGGTGCTTGTGCCGAATGTCAAGGGTTTGGAAATTGCGACACAATATGGTGTGAAGGAAATTGCTGTTTTTATCAGTGCCACGGAGGGGTTTAGTAAAGCGAATATCAATTGCTCGGTCGAGCAGGGGATTACGAGGGCTAGGGAAGTTGCTGGGTTGGCGAGAAAGGCTGGTGTTGTTGTGAGAGGGTGAGTTAATGTTTCCGCAAACTGATTGATATCAGCTTTTTCGACGGCTGCAACTGTTTTAGCTGACCACCACAGATATGTATCTTGTATCTTTGCCGACCCATACGATGGTCCCACTCCTGAAGCTGCCGTTTTGCACTGTGTTACATCCCTGCTAGACGCAGGCTGCTATGAAGTCAGTCTCGGGGATACCCTGGGCGTTGGATCACCCGCAAACGTGCGCAGTCTTATCCAATACCTGACAAGCCACGGAATTCCCATGGAAAAGCTGGCTGGCCACTTCCATGATACATACGGGCAAGCCGTAGCCAATATCTGGGAGGCATACAGCTGCGGAATGCGAGTATTCGACAGTAGCGTCAGTGGACTAGGCGGCTGTCCCTTCGCGCCAGGTGCAAAGGGTAACGTCGCCTCTGAAGACTTGGTGTACATGTTCCAGAACGCTGGAATCAGCACAGGCGTGGATCTAGCCAAGCTAGTCCAGACAGGTGAATGGATATCCCAGCAACTCTCCCAGTCCAACTCTAGTCGAGCCGGGAAAGCTCTGTCCATCAAGTCGCAGCCCAAGAAGAACTCATCACCCACAAACATCAAATCTCCCAATTCTAGCGCCAAAAACACACCATTCCTAGAATGGACCCTGATCTCCTCCCCTGAAGGCCTGCACATTCACCGCAACGGCTCAAACCTCAAAATAACCCTCAACCGCCCCAAAAACGGCAACACCCTGACATCCACCATGCTCACAACCCTAACCGAAACAATTCAAACCGCCAACTCCGACTCCCTCACAACCCGCATAATCATAACCGCCACCGGCCGCTTCTTCTGTACAGGAATGGATCTCGGCAAGGGAACTTCACCCGTCGCACAAGGTGGTTCCGCATCAGACACACAATTCAACCGCCTCACAGCGCTCTTCGAAGCCATCGATACTTCGCCCAAGGTTACCATTGCGGCCATGAATGGGCCCGCATTTGGTGGGGGTGTCGGTCTTGCGTTTGCGTGTGACATACGTCTTTGTACGTCCACTGCAGGATGTACACTCAGTGAAGTTAAATTGGGACTTGCTCCGGCGACTATTTCGAAGTATGTCGTGAGGGAGTGGGGTGTTTCGTTTGCGAGGGAGGCGATGTTATCTGCTAGGAGTATTGGGGCGGAGGAGTTGGCTGCGAGGGGGTTGGTCAGTGGCGTGGGGGAGTTAGAAGGGTTGTTGGATGCGTTGTTGATTAGGTTGAAGGGTTGTTCGCCGGGAGGGTCAAGGATGTCGAAGGAGTTGGTTAAGTTGGCGTGGGTGCATGGGGGGCGGGAAGGTCAGGTTAGTGGGATTAAGGGGGTCTTTGATGAGATGATGAGGGCGGATGGGGAGGGAGCGGTTGGATTGAAAGAGTTTCAGGCGGGGAGGAAGATGGATTGGGATGCTTTTGTCCTTGGGCAGGGTCAGGCGAAGGCGAAATTGTAGATAACTCCGGCGTATAACGTAGCGTGGTTACACGTTTGGCTGGCACGGTTATTAAATCTCGTGCCATCTCTCTAACCACGCTCAGTTTTTCAACTCCGGCGTGTTTAGAAATCCTTGGTTATTTTAACAAAATATGAGCAATAAATATCGTTTTTCACCCCTGCCGAAACAGGGCGCACCCCTTGATGCCTGATTATGCCCGCCTTCCTGAAAATATACCAAGCAGTTTACTACGGGCTTAGCAGATTTCCCAAACAAATAAAAGTTCAGGCATAAATCGGGCAATAAGAGGTGCACGCCATCTTGGCTGGGTGTCAAAAGGTAACGAAGGAAAAGTGGAACCACAAGCCGCTGTTCCCCGACTGCGTGACTTCATGCGGAGATATGAGACTTTTAAAAGCATCGTATTTCAGGGAGAAGAGTATGAAATTATGGCCTACTGTACACTTGAAGCCACTCTGGGGGATATTCGAGACAAGGCCAGCTAGGTTCGTCAAGCTTGAAGCCAAACAGTGTAAAAAAAGAAGTCCAACTACCGACAAAAAAAGCCACGTCTGGCAAAGACAAATCCGACGTAGTATATAAAAATGACAAACAAGAAATATTCGGTTATGAAAGAACTCATAAAGGAGTTTACAGGAGGATCAGACCGGCACCGAACAGGGAGGACACAATAGTAACCAGGCTGACAGCAATGGGAGCCATGCTGATGGTGAAGGGCTTGACCAGGCCAGCAGCGGCACCAGAAGAGGTAGCACCCGAGCTGCCAGAAGAAGAGCTGCTCGAGCCGGAGCCAGAGCCAGAAGTAGCAACGGAAGTGGACTGGGTGCCCGCATTCTGAGAACCCTTGCCGTCGAAACCATCACCCTTGCCAGCACCATTCTTCAGGTACTTCTGGGCAGGGACAGGGATGGCAGGCAGAGCATCAGACGCATCAACGTCCCAGTTAGGAGCGTTCTTAACCGGGCATGGGTTGGAGCCACCGGTCTTGTTGTAGTTACCGTCGCCAGAGGGGTTGGAGGTCTTCTCAAAGGCAGTCTTGAGGGCATCGTAGTCCGCCAAGGTCTTGATATCGTTGTCATTGATCTCAACGAGCCCGTAATTGCTGCTCTCCTGCGAGTATTCATAGACCAATCCTCCGGAATAGACGCCAGTCATCTTAGTATCGTAAAGGGCACTGACTTCTTCGAACTTGCGGGTGTTGGTGTTGCAGCCGTACTCGGATAGGAAGAGCGGGAGGCCGTAACCAGTGAAATTCTTCACCTTCTGGTCCCAGCCAGATGTAGTGAAGGAAGAGGGATCACACCAGGAGTAATCGTTGAAAGCGAAGAAGTCGGAGCGCTCATCATCGGTACCACAGTTCATGTACTCGGCCATCTCGAGACGGTTGGTGTTAATATCAGCAGCAGAGTAACCAACGGGGACCTTGCGGAGCTTCTGCTCGCTTAGGTAAGAGCGAATATCACGAGTGACAGCCTTGACATAGGGGGCGGCCTTGGAAGAAGGACCGTCATTGATGACCTCGTTACCGGAGAAAAAGGCCAGGGTGTTGTCGTAGCGAGCGAACTTGTCGACGGTCGCAAAGATGTACTGGAGATAGACATCATTGTACGAGGGAGCGGGATCAGCACGGTTGAGAGAGTACTTGGGGGTGTTGACATCGAGCACCAAGTAGATACCGGCCGCGGCAAGGGCGTTCATGCACTCATCGTGGTCGGCAGAGTTGTCCACAGAGTAGACACGAATGGTGTTGAGGCCGAGTTCCTGGAACTTCTTGATATCACGCTTGCAGGTCTCGGCGTTGCCAATGGGGTCGCTCAGCTTGGAGGAGCCACCGGGCTGGTAGTCGACACCACGGATGTAGAAACGTTTGTCACCCTGGAAGAAAGCATTGCCTTTGACGGTGATGGGAGTGACGCTGCTGGCCCGCTTAGCCGCAGTTGTGGTAGATGAGGGAGCAGCCAGGACGGATTGAGCTCCCAAGGCGAGGGCAGCCGCCAAAGAAGCAACGGTTGCCTTCATGATGATGGTTGTGATGGTGGTTGAATAGGTGTAAACCGAGGGTGTATCGGTTTAATGGATCGACTTATGGGTAGGTAGTTGTTGATAATGTGTTAAATGCTGTCAACGAGTGTCTAAATGAGGGACAAGAAAAATATTAAAAGCGAATGGCGTCAAAAAAAGACGAAGAACGAGTGTGAGGAAAGAAGGCTGGTTGAGGAACGTAGGGATGGAAGAAGGGGGGAGGGGAGACAGTCCCAGCTTATACTTTCCCTCCAACTACAAACAATAATAATAATAATAATAATCGGCAGGTAAGAAAGTCCCTGAATCCCTGAAATGCCTAGACCAGAATCCCTGGCAAATCCCCTGTCCTGAAGACCTCTCCACTGGCCCTGATCGGCCGGTGGCGTTGTTGGTGGAGCTCCTTTCAGAACGGCAAGGATGGTCCACGGCCCAGTTGGTGTGTATTGAATGAATGATGATGATTGGCACTGCAGATGGCCAGGACTGGTTCCATGATGAGGTGCTTGAAAGCCTTTTACTCCGAATGGTCGATCCTCCTGGATATTACAGTATTGCAGTATCTGCCTATATTCCGGCGGTAAGGGGAGGGGTCTTTGCTGTAAGCCTTGACTGACTCTGTTTGACGCCGGATGGCTTTAACTGGGCCATTGATGATGCTCTGGATGGGTCCACGAAGCCCGGTGGAGCCTATTTGGGTTGACTAGTGGGGGATGGTTTGACCCTGAATCCCAATCATTTATCACACACTGGTAACATTTCCAAGACCCGCCAATACTTCCGAGGCCCTTGGCCGTTGAATCTTTGGGTCGGGGCTTCTGATGTTTCTAGTATTTATAGCGCTTCTATTCCGTTTTTTGGACTTCAGTGTACTTTCTAGGCACATTTGGCGGCTTGTGATTGTGCCGCTCCCATGTCCATGAACCTTCCTATTATTATTAACATTATTATAATGTACTCAGGACTATTTGTTCCCGATCTCCGCACGGTGTACATCATATCCATGGATAGGTCTGAGCCCTTGAAACAACCGTGGTTCCCCTGAAGGCTGCATTGAAGTCTTCACACTATACATACTACCAATAGAAGAGGATTGAATTTTAAACTGGAACCTTTCTTTTCAAATATTTCAATCAACCTACAACCTATTTTCTTGAAAAACGGATAGCAAAATTGGTTGCCCAAAGGAAATCTCATAATTCTTTAATCACTACTTGGCGATGACGCACTCTTCCTTCTCGGCAGTGGAGCAGCCTCGCTACTGATCGGCTTGTCAAATTTCAAATGACCAGGCATTATTATTGCGATCTCTGAAACAACTCATAGCAAATATCTCTCGATGGATATACCTCCAGACAAATACAAGGCTACGAGCACTGCTTCTTCACACCAATTGTGTAGAGTACATCTATATTTAATTCGGCGACAAGTGACGCTTTCGTGTTCAAGACTCGGCGCCCAGACCCTCATCTATCTCAAGTCACACCCATCCAATCCCACTTCCCCATCTCCTCGCTTCAACACCCGTGGACCCGTGGGCGTGGCTGTCGAACTGGTTCTCGATCCATCGATAACCCCTGCTCCACCACCAATCCAATCGCCCAGTCTCACCTACAGAGTACATATTGCTACATATTGCTGCACTCATTATTGCACAATAATGCCACAGGTGTTTAACTGAACTCGGGAAGATTGCTGTGTGCACTTTCCTCATGAGAACATATCTAGGCTTCTCATTCGCCTACAGGCCCGCTCTGCGCTATTCATAGGAACAGTTTATTGGCCACCGAGCGTAGCATTCTTAGGCAGCACTTTAATACTCGCGCAGTCGTGGGTAGAAATAGAAAATTTAAGACTCCCAGACACTGTCGCAACAAACAGTATTTAATTCAATCACTCATAGCCAAAAATTGATCCAATTCCCAAGCAATAACAAGTGCATCATATTCAAACAGGAGTCCGGAATACCTGCTACAACAAAATCCCGACCGAGTAAACTTCTTCACGCGGCGTCGCGAATCCCGGCAACTTTCTCCTTGCGACGGCCCAGCACAGCCTTCATATCGCCCCACAGACCACCCATAATGCTCCGCAATGCCCCCATACTTTCCACCTGGAATGCGAGTTAGCGTGTGATTGATGAGTCCCCGAGATTGACACGGAACACAGAGTATGGAGGTTGGCGATACATATTCACTTACCACTGGGTAAACAACGCAAATCATCACACTCGTCCAGATCCAAATGAACGAGACTACCACCCAGCCTGTGAAGAAGGGCTTGCTGTATATGTAGCTGGTGCCAAATAGTGTGAATGGCACCAGGATGACAGCCCCAAAGAAGAAGATCGTGTTGGCGACCACGGCAATACGCGTGCCTTTCCGGGCGAGCTCAGGGTCCATAGGCTCGATGGTGCTGGACTCGAGGTAGTCGACTAATTCGTTCCTGAAGGCAGGCAGTGACTGTGATTTCAACATATCGTCCGAGACTGGCTTCGCGACCTTCTCGTTCTCTTTCTCCGCGGTCGGAGGTGTCTGTTCTGGGCCGAGCGTCGGAGGCTCGATGCTCGCTGCAATACCAGTGATCGCATTCAGATCAGGAGATTCATGCTTCTTGGGAAATGCATAGCTCAATACCACAGCCATGATGAATCCGCCCCCGAAGGAGGCGATGTTCCCAGCAAGAGCATTAGTCGTATCTCCAGTGCTGGCGACACTAATCGACCCATTGCGCTTCCACGCTGTAATGAACCAGACGATGACACCGCATAAAAGGCCTATCCATGGCGCGCCAATAGCTGCAACAGTTGACATGGGCTTCCATAGGAGGATCATCCCGACAGGCAGAGCAGCACCGCCGACGATCACGCCTAGCACGGTCAACACCCAAGTCAAACTGATACCGACCGCATTGAGAACACAGCAGAATGCTGCAAGGACCAGTGCGTATACTACAATCGCCCAATGGCTTACCCTGACCAGATCAGTCGAGATTGTGTTTGGGCGAAAGTATGTCTTATACACGTCAAAGGTTAACAGTGACGAGACCGCAATTAGCTCTGCAGATGTCGAGCTAGTCACGGCCATGAACAACAGGATCAGCATCAATACCGCGCCACCTTTTCCAAGAAGTGCAATGGCTGTTGCTGGTGCAGACAGCCCTGCGCCAACTTGTTCGGCTGACAGTGGGTTTGGGTATGTAGGGAAACGCGGGTCACCAGTGAGAGCTGCGCAACCAAGGCCCATGACTGTCGCAAATCCAAACGGAATGCCTAATTCGTGATCAACTAAGAGAGCCTTCTTATAATCAGAGGGTACAGATGAACTCACCATACCACGCAATCCCACCGAGGATATAAGCCTTCACCGAGGTCTCCGGCTTCGAAGCAATCGCCCGCTGCCAATACGCCTGATCGAGCCAGACAGTAGTGAACCCGGCGACGAACAAATCAAATGCAAAGATCAACCCTCCCACCGAGCGAAACGCCAAATAAGAGCCATCAGTATTCCGCTCGATCGGCATCTTCCGCGAGGCCTCTTGCAGGAGATCATACAACCTGCCCGGGCTACCAACGAGATCACTCGTAGCAGTGATTAAAAAGCCAAAAACCAAAATCGCAATAAAAAGAATCACCGTGTGCGTATAATCCGCGATAAAAGTCGACCGCAATCCACCAGCAATCACATACGCCGCTACAACAGCAGGAATAAGGAACGTCGCCGCGTAGACATTCATCCCAGTCAACGCCTCGACGACCTGTGCACCGCCGAGGACCAGACACGCGCCGACAAGCATGTTAGTCGCCAGACCGTAGTACAGGTATGTTAGGTGTGCGATCTTCCCATGGCGCGCGAGTACGATCTCGGGCATTGTATGGGCCCCCGGCGCATTTGTTTTGATTTTGATTGCGATCAGTCCGAAGAGGAGGATTTGGAGGGTGCCCATGGCTGCATACCACATTGGTCCGCAGACACCGTATTCGTATGCGAAGGTTGAGCTTGTTAGGAGTGTGGCGGACCATGTCCAGGATGATACAATACCGGCACTGATGAGGCCTGGTTTGACGGATCGAGAGGCTGTGTTGAATTCTTCGGCGTGGTGGGTTGAGAATCGGGTGTATCGGTTTTGCAGCCAGGTTAGACTGAGCATGAATAGGGCGAATATGCCGCCGATCCCGATTACGATGCCATAGCCGACGCTTGCAGGGAGGACGCGGAGTTCGTTGCCCATGGCTAGGATTGATCTTGTGTGTGGGATATATATCTGTGGCAAACTACCCACGGCATGTGTCCATGCACTATCCTGAATTATTCTTCTTTATATATCTGCAAGACATCCTTGTTCAGTCTCCAATTGCACATTGCCTTGATCATCGTTGCATAGATAAGAAATCGTGAAGATGGGGTATAGTATCCTCGTCCCGCAACAGTTATACCTACCCCAACTTCTCCGTTGGGGTAGTCGATAAGGCTCGCTATATTTCATCCAGTGAACATCCTGCACGCGTTGGGATAATCAAGTCTACGCTGGTGATAAGAGACATGAATCCAAACTACCCCAAAATGAAGCCTTGCGTTGGGGTTGGGTAAAATACTTTATCCAGATGTACCTAATCCGCTTGATATTTGCGGAATAGTTCTTTCTATCATGTAGTAGACCACCTCGGTCAAACTCCGGGCTTGGAGCTATGTACATCATGAGAGCACCGATTAGATGCCTGGACCTTTCAAATAGTTATGGAGGCCAGATATCCAAGGTAGAAGGTGATTGGGCTAAACGGTTCAATCTAAATGCTTATCGGGGTGTCTCTGGCGGTGGCTACTATTTGGTGAATGGCTAAATACCCAGAGTATGATATTGGCAGTCAGAAATATGGAAAAAAGACTAAGTACTGGGCTCCTACAATCTTTGCCTCCTTTTTATCATTTTAATATAACTTTCTTCTTGATACTTTGCTGTGTTAATTCTAATTAAGGCATTTTTGAAGTTGTTGGAAGGTATAGAGGGGGGGGGGGGGACGGGGACTGTTTATTATGTGCAGCACCGGAATGGCACTGGGTGATGTTTTTTGGTGTCCTGGATCGGCGACGCAGTAACAGGGCGAAGAATATAGGGAACAAGAAGGCTGAAGGTTCGATTCATGGAAGAGGGAATCATATTTAATTTTGGATCTGACGTTTGAAGTATGGCGACTGGCTCCACTTAGCTCCCTGATCAACGTGCCAAAGAGAAAAGCCTCAATTGCCAGACTCGTCTGCCCCTGGTCTGACATTTGACAGGCTCGTTGTCGCAGATCTCGACAACGATGACCTTCCATGCACCTTTGTTGTGATTCTCCATCTACCCAAGAGAGGTTGCGTCCGCATAATTGTCCACCTGCGTGACCAGGCTTCGATGCACCACCCAGTGGGTAACTTTCCCAACTACTGAGATTTGTTGGCTCGGATTGGCGGTTTTACCTCAAGGGAAGACTTTAACACCACGCTCCCTTCTTCTTACTCGGAGTGTCGCTTCCCCAACTTATCAGTGCCATGTACCCAGTCAAGAAATCCAATTGACCCATAATTAAGATTGAACTTCTCATGGTGAAGGTCGTGCATCTTCGCCTTATTCCGGAAGAAATCGTACCCGCTGTGTACGGTCGCCGTATTAAACAACTCCCAAGCAAGGTATGCCCAGAAGGTTAGCACGTGGCTATGGAGCAGCTGCGGTGGCAGCGAGATTGGTAGCGCATTCGCGAAGATCTGTTCGATGGGATGCGCGAATTGCGCTGCTAGCGCGATGGGCGCAGTAAACTTGTGGTGCTTCTTGTGGATGCGTCGGTAGAGATAGGGGATATGAAGGAGTCGGTGGCTGTAGTAGAACATGGCTTCTCGGAGGAGCAGACTGAGCGCGAAGTCGCGTACGAATTCAAAGACCGATGGTAGCTCTGTGGTGACACGGTAGGCTGATCCCGATCCAGCTTTACTGGTAAGATAAATGAGGCTGAGGTGTAGCACTGAAGAGAGGATCTGGTTCTGAGTGACCACGACGAAACAGCGTATGATGTCGCTGCGAGTTGGCTGTTTTGGGGCCGGTTGGATTTTGTGCCGCTGGCTGAAGGTGGGCGCAATCACATCTAGGAAGAGATAGACGATCGACGGCAGCCAGAATGTGAAGACTTGAACGAGTAATGTCCCCACGAACTCGATTCGTTGCTCGGAGTAGGTTTCCACAATGTCAGTCCAGAAGGCCGAGGCTTGTTCAAGTAGCGGGCTGCCATAGTCGCTGAGGGCCTCCATAACTTCTGGCAGATGAGGGCTGTTCGCACTGCGAGCTCAGACAGCATCCAATTTGCAGCAGTCAAGATGCAAAAGTGGATCAGGGCGCCTTCTTCAATGTCTTGAAGGTCATCAGGGTCTGGCGTGAAACCTCGGTCGCCTCCCCGCAATGTTCTTTCCCGCGTCCCCGCAATGGCTTGACCGTCGCTAGCCATGGCCCCAATTGATCGGTGGATCTCGGCTATGCCCAGGGTCTGCCATGTGATGGTCATCCATGTTCGGTCATTGTTAACATACCATCGATGGGTTTGTAGTCTCAATTATATCTCAATTGACCCATTTGGCTCTTAAGGGAGTTCGGTCAAGAAATTGAGTGTTCGTCGTCATCGAACGAGGTAGACAGAGCAGTGGGTGATTCACTGCAAAGCTTCACAGCCCTGGACAAGTTAGCGATTTCAATATTATGCACCTGGACTTGTGCTATATCATAGCAATCAGCTTCCTCTGGGTGCTTTCTACTTGGAAGCTCGAGAATGCGAAATATATAAGATAATGCGAAAAAATTTAGCAAAAGGTCAGAGTTTCGAGATGATTGCCGTAAACGGCCCGGAAACGGCCCGATCAGGCGCGCTATCACAAAATCGCGACAACCTCTCCAGAGTCCAAACAACCTTCCTCGAACAGTTTTCCCTGACCAAGTCCGCACTCACTGGAAACGCTTTCATCAAAGCTGAGTACGACTCAAGGTATGCCACCCTCTGTCCTGGTGCAATTTAGCCTACAGCACCTGTTCTAGAGCCTCACTAACCCACGCCAAGATGAACTACATCGAATACGGCATCAGCCGTATCTTCGCCAACGCCAAGGGCCGCGACGCACGCCTTTTCACCAAGGGCCCTGCATTCGCGCAAAATTCCCGACCAACCCTCACCCTTGACTGCATCGAAGTTGGTCCGTCCGGATCACAAATGCACATCGACCTATCCGCCGAAGGCATCGGCCGCTTCCCAACTCTGAGCTGGAATGCGGCAACCGGGGATGTCAAGGAGTACCTACTCATCAGCGAGGACCCGGATGCTCCTCTGCCCTCTCCTATCATCCATGGCATTTACTACGGTATCCCTGCTAGTGTGACGGGTGTGACTGATGTGGATTTTGAAATTGCCGAGGGCGAGTACAAGCTTCAGGGTGGGTTTAAGTATGGCAAGAATCGACGGGGGACTGTTTATATCCCGCCTCGTCCGTTGTTGGGTCATGGTCCGCATCGGTACTTTTTTACTCTTGTCGCGCTCAGCCAGCCTGTTGATACGGCTAAGTTGAGCCCCCTGCCGACGGTTGAGGAGATGGCCAAGGAGATTGAGGGAAAGGTGTTGAGTTGGGGTGAATGGATTGGCGTTTATGAGCGTAAGTGGGAGTGAAGTGGGGAAGACACAGAACTGTGAATCCATGAAGCCAGTATCACTGCGCGTTTAACCCAGGGGAGGTGGCCATGCAAAGATCTTATGTTTCCGGTGCTGTTGCTGCACGTTGTTGCTATGATTATACCCAAGCTTAATATGGAGACGATGCACCTTTTGTTACATTTCCCTGGGATTTCATTCAAAGGAGTACACTAGAAATCATTAGTTCTGCGGTATGAGGTTCATGCTTGTCATGTTGCCTGCCCAATGGTAAAGAGATCCTGTAAACCATACATAGAGGCACTACGGATGTCTAAATAAGGGGGCAGACTGTGATAGACTACTTTGCTTTCCTTGATGTATCTTATGCAAACTTACTCTTGCTTGATACCCTATACTCACCTGGAATGTGGGAGATACATGGACTCACCTGACTCTTAACTTATTCACCCCACATCTTCTTCGGAGTGACTCCGTAGCAGTTCTCTGACATCTCCCAGACTTCCTCACCTCCTTCCATCTGCCTCACCATTTCAATTGTATCCTCGCTCATGTTCAAAGTCCCAGCCAAATAATGTAAAGCGGTGTTACCCTCTACATCCTTTGCCCTGACATCCACTCCACCCCATTCCAGTAGAACCCGGATTGTACCCTGTTGCGCTAACTGTTGAGCCTCTGTCATTGGAGATACCTTACACCCCAAGCCTATCAACTCTGCAGTGGAGAATTCCCTGTGTAGTGGACTCGGTAGGCGATGGGGTATCCATGTAGAATCCAAGGTGCGGGCGCTGTGTATACTCTTCGCAACATCTGGATTACGATCCACTATTTGGGTGGCTGTAAAAGGCAGAGCGGCTATATGAAGTAGCGTGTGTCCCAGACCTGTGACCCCTGCAGCTTCGTACCCACCTGGAATGAAAGTTTCCAGCCACGAGAGCAGGTCTGGGTCATGATGCGCAGTTGCAAAGTGAAGAGGGTGGATGTTGAAAATGGGTGTGCGCAGATTTACCTCCAGTTTAGGGTGAGACAGGAGATCCACTAGACATTTCTGTACACCAGGGTCACTTAGATTGCAACGAGCGATGGCGTAAGACAGTGGCGGGAGTGCGACGGTCGGAGCAGCGTATGGACGGTAATTGGGTGAATAGCCACTGGTAGACAACAAGTGACGAAGCATCGACTGCTGGCCTGCCGCAATAGCCTCATGTACAGGCGAAGAAGTCGAGAGATAAGAAAGATACCACTCTGCCTCATCGATTTGAAACTGCTTCTCGTCCAATGACACCTCCCGCACCCATGCAGACTCGTCCGCTCCAGCTGCACGTAGAATATCAAGGCTCTCCACATCACCCACCTGGGCAGCAACTTCCAGCGCTGTCAAGGCCCTCTCCATCCGCAGTCTCTGACCGGGTACATTCGGCTCAGTCCAGAATCGAGGAAAGCCATGACACCGCTCATCAAGTTCCTCCGATGTCAACGGACACAATTGATGAACGATACCTTTGCGTTCTGCATTCGCGAGAACAATAGCACGAGGCTTACACATAACGAAACTCGACACATCATCTTTAAAATTGCGGCCACGGATCCATCGCACAGAATAATCCGATATAGAGATTCGATCTATACCATCCGGGGATGCCCCTGCAGCCAAAAGGAGACGAAGATTGTGCGGCAGGTGGGCGCGGATGGCAGATTTGATAGGCGACACAAAGATATTGCACGCGGTTCCACACACAGTAGCACTAGGGCCCAGGCGTTCTAGCTGGGTGCGTTCCCTGTAAGAAAGATTTTCTTTTGCGCTGGCCTTTGCATGGTGAGCGAGGAGGGCTTCTAATATCGCGGGGTTGGGCTTAGCTGCTGCGCGGATAATGGGCGTGTCGTCGTCGCAGGAATCATCGAGATCTTCGATGGTGAGGTTATAAATGGCGCGAGCAACCATTTCAGTCAAGGGCGGGAATCTGATGGGTGCTTTTGGATGGAAGATTGTGTCAGAAGAGTTAAAACTTGAGGACTGGGGATGAGAAGTGGGGGTGAGGCTAACAAAATGTCGCTAAACTACATCGAGGGATCACTAACTACTTTTGCACATATTCTACTTGAACTACAATTTATTATTGATCAGAGATGATAGAAAGTCCCCGTAACTATTGCATGGAAGGGACATGGAATCTCGTATACATTTCATCTTCTACTGGTTTTTATAAGCTGTTTTGCGCGGATCTAAGACCCAGCCTCTCATGTTCTGAACCTCCAGCGACTCAGCCGCACCGCATTACCAAGCAGTTGCTCAGTCCTTCATATGAGAAAGCCAAGCTCCTTACTTCAACAAGACATCCTGGCAGAAAATAGAGGCCATGGTTTTGAACATGGTGTCCTGGTCTCATGCTTACTCGTATCTATCTGGCTACCTTGTTAATGATCGTGATCGTCTACTTTATACCCTCAGATGATTGGCTATTCTACGCTTACACATGCTACACGAAGTGAAAGACTATTATCACCGCGTTGGAATTGTTGAACTCAGTCAGCCTGAATTTTCAATTGGGCTTCAGCATTCATCACTGCTCGCAAATCTTGTTTTGGATAGTTTGACAGGCAGTCCCTTGAATGAGATCTATAGTAGTGGTACCGTTATAGAGAGCTGAAGAGGGCCTCGCAGGGCAATTGAAGGGGCTTTTGACAGCCATATATATGCCTCATAGTGTCTAGGTACTAGACAAAGCACAGCTATTAGAATAAAGACACTAGAGTCACGGTGTCGTTGGTGGTTGGCATGTTGATAGCAGCATGTTTTTCGTCAAATTTCTCGTGCAAATGCTATACCTCTCAGGCATTGTATTCTCCGTCCCACTGCACCCAAAACAGAAACCATGTGGGCTCCATGATATGCCTATACGAAGGGAGTGGTACGTTGCTTTCCTTCTTATCTATCCGTTGTCTGTCTTGCCATACGTCTTACCATTCAATGGCAAGGGGTGAAATGTTACCAGCAGAAAGGATTGGCTACACCAAAGCCGTCTTATGTCTGATGAATGCACAGCCTCGGCTTCCAACTATGGAGTATCCAGGCGTGCGAAGCCGGTTCGATGACTTTGTCGCGTAAGGTTTCACCGGAGCAAAATGTCGCATTCAATGTCAAATTCTTAGTGACGGTCTGTGTAGTACCCATATCAATTATACACTCAACACTCATTACAGTGGATTATTCCTACCATGGCACCGGTATTTTCTCTGGTTATTCGAGAAAGCCCTTCGAGAGGAATGCGGGTATAAAGGCTATCTTCCGTGAGTATTTCCATCTATTCCTGTCTCGTACCGCCTGTGAGCACCTCTTATTTACTCAATCAGCTACTGGAACTGGCCACTTTGGGCAGGAAATCTCCACGAAAGCCCACTCTTCGACGGCAGTGAGACATCCCTCTCCGGCGACGGTGAATACAACCCAGGCGAGGAAAGTTTATCCAGCGGCGCGGTAACAATACTTCGCGGTTCGGGCGGAGGCTGTGTCCGACGCGGACCATTCAAGGACATAACCATTCACTTCGGACCCTTCCCGCGAAGTCTCCTCTCCGCAACCGAGATTCCAGCACCTAGATTCGACTATAATCCAAGATGTCTCAATCGGAGCCTCAATAGCTTTGTTTCTACACACTTTACCAGCCAGACACAGGTCACCCGATTGCTAGCTGCTAAGAATATCGCTGACTTCCAAATGGTCATGGATCATTGGCCCGCCGCGCCCGACGGGGTCCTGGGTCTACATGGTGGTGGACACTTTAGTATCGGGTCGACTATGCAGGATCTCTTTTCTTCGCCGCAGGATCCGGCTTTTATGTTGCATCATGCTATGATTGATCGGTTGTGGGCGATTTGGCAGGCAGAGGATGAAGGGAATCGCCGGTATGCGGTTAATGGGACGAATCGGATATTGAACGCGCCCACAGCGGTGCTTGTCAGTTTGGATATGCAGATGGAATTTGGGGTTTTGGATGGGAATCGGATGGTTGGTGAGGTCATGAGTCCTGTGGAAAGTGGGTTATGTTATGCCTACACTTGATCATGATCAGGGTATGTTCTACATTGAGTTTTAGTGTGGTTTTGTGTTAGCTATTAGATAGAGTTTTGATGCGGCCGAAAGTAATAGTAATTGGGAGGAGCTTGGAACATGATCTTGAACTATCTCTACAGTAGATTACATACATAATCCAAAACCGTGGACTAATCATTAGCCAAGCTTGAAATATGATTTAGTGTGGTATGTCATCTTTGGTCATGATTGACTGCCGCTATTGGCGAATGAGTTCGGTAACAAGTGCCTGCGGGGTTTCGTGAGACACGAGGGGTTTGATGTCACTTTTATTGGAGATGGTGGGTTTGTTGGTGGCCTGGTGCGTTGTCCGGCAAATACGAATGACTGCATGACGAGGAAGATGATGCGAGACGGTGTCAATGCGACTGGAGAACAATGGTACGATAGTTGAAATCGCAATTGCTGCGATAGTAAATAAATAAACACCCCATAGAGATCTTACCACTATGTTGATGGGTTATCCATGGAACAGCTAGGAACCCGATGCACCTGGCTGTACTCCGTAACTCCGTCCTCAGAGAAAAAAAACGTATGACAACATGACTCCGAGTAGCCGAACACGACGCCGAGTCGGAGTGGGCCTGGCTATTTTCAGCCCTGAGAGTGTGAGACCGAACCAATGGTGAGTGGGGTAGCACTGCCTGCCTGGAGGCGCTGTGACTGGCGTACAGCATACATTTGAATGGATAAGAATGATGGAGGCATTGATTGGGTCTTTGTGGCAGAGGCTAGTGTCACGGAATCGCCGGGTCCTCGTGTCAGTCTATAAGTGAGTACGTAGTACGTATGGTGAGGATGGCTTGGGTGTAGAGATCGTAAGAATTCAAAATGGGCGAGGTACGCGCTGTATCAAAAAGGGGGTTCATTATTCTCCGATCGGAATGTGTCAAGGATTATTTTTTCACTAGCTAGACAAAGCTATCTGCTCTGGTCGATCCGATCGCCCGTCGATCTCCAAAAGTGAAATCAATTTTTTTATCCCTTTTCATTCGTTCAGCCACACCGAATGAACCGATAATAATACCAATTTGGCATTGCCAAGCCCCCCGAGCCCCGTTCATGAACGGTCAACTAATTATAATCCGAGGCTCATTCAGCCTCGAAAACCTATCAAGCTCTCTTAAACAATTTGATTCAAATGGGAACTCACAAACACTGTACTCCATCGCAATTATTCAAGCTATTCCAGAATTATGCCATGGCTCCATCATCGATACTAATTCTGTCCGCCGTTGATCCAAGCTCCCAGACTATTTAGTTTTAGGGATCGCGTCCACTAGTGTCGCTTTTCAACTGGGCGTAGTCGGCCTAAAACCGGGAAGCTGTCAACCTCAATTGCGTTGCCTCATCGGTCTCCATACGAGGATTTTTTTCTTCTTTTCCTTCTTCCCTCTTATCTTGTACTTTGTACCTTTGACCTGCAGATTCCCCATTTTCTCTTCTCTTTCGTACGACCGTCTTCCCTCCTCTTCTCTTTATCTTCGTACACACCCTCCCTCATCTCTACTCCCCCCACCGAATCTCCAACTTCTCAACCTATCCCAGCTTGGAGCAATCGGTGTCCGTCCTCCACTTCAGCCACAACCCCATCAATTAAATTTGATCGCCGCCAAAATGCTGCGAATCAATTTCCTCCAGCTGGTCTTCGTATCACTCATGCTTCTATCTCTCGCTTTCGCGACGAAGCAGCCAGTGATCAACCATGCCGTGCACCGTGAGTCCCAGTCTCTCCAGGACGTCCTGGCCGGCATCAACGTGAACTCCATTCACGAGGCCCTGCATGCCCTCTCTCGCAAGTTCCAGGACGGCATTTTCCCGACTGACATGAGTGCCGCCGAGGCCCTGCAAGGTGATGATGAGACTATCGCGAGCCTAGTCAGACTCGCCAAGCGGGATAGCAATTCCACCACGGCGTCGGTAGATTCTACCACTACTTCCGTGCCTGTCACAACAACCAGCTCCAGCAGTGAGACCCCCACCACTACGGTGCAGACTACTACTTCCAAGTCGACCACGGAGCCATCGACTACGTCTACTACCAGTTCGAGCTCGAGCTCGGTTCCGACTACTACCGCGGTGTCTACCACAACGACCACCAGCCAGAGCTCGTCTTCTTCGTCTTCGAGTGTGCCAAGTACTACTTCGACTACTAGCACGGTGCAGAGCACTCTCACCACCACCACCACGAGCCATTCCACCACTTCTTCATCAAAGACTACCTCTGCCCCTACCACCGACAGCTCTTATACTTCCACGTATAAGAGCACCACCACCTTGCCCGATGGCAGCTTGAGCACCATCACCTCAACCACTATCGTGCATGTCCACGCCACGGGCTCTTCTGGAAGCACGACCACCACAGGCTCTTCTCCAAGCCTACAGACCGGTGGAGCGGCCTTGACTACCACGGGCTTTACTCGTGAGGTTGTGGCTATGCTCGGTGGCGCCATCATGGTCGCCATGGCCCTGTGAGGAAGTCTAGCCCCGCCCATGGTTCAACTTCAATCAGAGTTGCTAGCCTCCATTCCGTCTATTTTCTTCCATGTTCGTTTTGCATCGATCAGCATGCAGCCGCATCTCGCATCCACCATATTCAGCGTTATCGATGATAATCATCACCTCACGATCCTTACGAGCCTACCACTCATGCCTCTCCTTTCTCACACATTGTCTCTTCGGCGTTCATCATATCTGGATTTGGGCTGTTGATCGGGATTTGTTTTCAATTGTTCTTTGGCTTTGGGCAGCATTTAGCGTGCACTGTCACGTTGTGATTTAGAAGGGGTCTTTTATCTGCGAAAGACAAAAATACAGCCTATCTTTCCGACCTTGGTGGTCGATGAAAGAGCTTTTATTTCTTCCACAGTTGCGTATCAATGCTGTTAAGAAGTAGTAAAGAATCATCGTTTATAGTAAGTCAATATATAGAGAACATCAGAATGTGCAGTGGGGTATGTATGCGCCACCAAGCGCGGCCGAAATTACTGTCCACCAAAAGAACCAATCACTTACATATCCCTCCTCGCAAATCCAATTCCCTCAATCCGCTATCAAACCCTCAGAATCGCAGTTATATCCATCGTGATTGACGTCTCACCGTCCCACGGCCGCACTACCCTGCCACCGCTCCTCACCAGTCCAATACCGCACCACGCTCTCCCACGCCGGTATATCGCCGTCACGCAGAAGCGCCGCAACATCCACGTTCAACGGCGAGTCCGGCTGCGGATCCGTCAGGAGCTGGTGGATAGCGGTCAGGGTGGACGAAAGTGTGTAGACGGGACTCCAGTGCTCCGTCGTAAGAAGGGTCAGACAGATCTCGCCGGTCGCGAAGGAGATGTTTGGGTGGGATATCCGCGTCGTGAAGTGGATTGTCGGTGGTGCGAGGGGGTAATTTGATGGGATTGCGATTCGGAGGTGCCAGAGGCCGCCTGGTGAGAAGCGTGGGATGTTAGTTGGAGGTCCCGTCGGTGTGGTGGATAGGGTGGGATGGTTAGTGGTTAGTGGTTGCCGCGGCGCATACCTTCGTACGGAGTCCCATTTACGCCCTTTAGGACGGCCTCCCAGCGGAGGATATCCTCGTCATTGACAGGTCCTAGGTGTAGGAGGTTTTCGTTGGGTGACTTGGCGTAGTCTTTCAACTCGCGCAGTAACCGCTGCGTGGTGTTGGATGATGGTCCGGCCATTGCTCCGAGGAATGTGTAATGAGCGCCTTGCAGGTGGAGGGGAGAGGAATGTAGTGGTCAATGAGGTCAGCTAATATGTACCACTGGTGTATGAGTAGAGGTGTGTGCTGGAGGTGTTTCTCCCCTCGGCGGGCAAGGCAAGGTTAGAGAAGGGAAGCAACTTGGCTGGCTGGGATCGTCACCGAGGCTGGGGAATCGCGGGAATCGGCACTTTTGCCCCAGACCGCATCCACGGGGTCCGAATCCACATGTGAAATTTCCTGGCCCCATCATTATCTTTCTACCTGTACCTCCATCTCTTCGTGGTTAAAGTATTTACAATGCGCACTTCTCGGGCCTCCAAGGAGACTGCAAAGGTTCTCCAGGCACTGTCGCCCCCTGCCCGACGCCAGACTCGCAGTGCAGCCCTCGGTACAGGCGCGCTCAGGAGTTTCGCCTACAATGCAGACTCCGCCATCAAGGGCGAGATCAATAGCGAGTTATTCTCGACGATAGGTACGATCCCTGCTACGCGAAGCGACGATGACTCCTCTCTTTCATCTGTCAATACCGCCGACATTGAAGACCTCGTTGAGGATGTCGAACCTCCGTCTAAGCGTCGGAAACGCAACGCCAGCCCCAGGGTTCTATCAGCTTCGAATCGCACTCCTCGCAAGCCTCTCCTGAAAAAGGAAGATTCCGATAAAAAATCAACACCTCCATCCAAGGCTCGGCGAATGCCTGCTCGCAAGACCCGCGATGCCGATGGAGCAATCGTCGTCGAACCGCCGTCCAACTGGGAGACCATGTATAATATTGTGAAGAAGATGCGCGCGGACAATCCAACCGCGCCGGTGGATACAATGGGCTGTTCAGAATTATACTGGAGGGCATCTTCTCCCCGAGATCGCCGCTTCCAGACTTTGATAGCATTAATGCTTTCGTCTCAAACCAAAGACACCGTGACAGCCGTCGCAATGCAACGACTGCACACCGAGCTCGGCGACGCACAGCCAGACCGCGTGAGCACCGTCAAGAAAGAAGACTTCGAATCCACCGACGATGTCAAAATCAAGCCCGAACCCGATGACACCCTCTCCACCGCTTCCCTCCCTATCAAAGACAGCACCTTAAACCTAGAAAACATCCTCGCCGTCACACCCACCCGCCTCAACACCCTCATCGAAAAAGTCGGCTTCCACAACAACAAAACAAAATACATCAAAGCCGCCGCCCTAATCCTCCGCGACGAATACAACGGTGACATCCCCTCCACACCAGAAGGCCTCATGAGCCTGCCCGGCGTGGGTCCCAAAATGGCTTATCTATGCATGAGCGCCGCATGGGGCAAACACGAAGGCATCGGTGTAGACGTTCACGTCCACCGCATCACCAATTTGTGGGGGTGGCATAAGACCAAGACACCAGAGGAAACGAGGATGGCGTTGCAGTCTTGGTTGCCGAGGGATAAGTGGCATGAGATTAATAAGTTGTTGGTGGGATTGGGGCAGACGGCTTGTCAGCCGGTAAAGAGGCGTTGTGGGGAGTGTTATTTGGCTGGGACGAAACTTTGTAAGAGTGAGATTAAGGGGTTGAGTCCGGTTAAGAGGGAGGGGGGTGCTACGGGGAGTCCTGGGCTTGATGAACCGAAGATTAAGATTGAGGCATTGTGAGAGAGGCGTGAGGGTCGAGAGTGGAGTTTTGGGACTTGATCTTTTCTGTATATTAAGCCATGGCTGGTGCAGTGTTTTATCATGGCCATCCATCTGATTCTCAGGCATCACTATAGATATCGCAGATGTGATACGATGTGAAATAGTAATCCAACACACGTGGAACATGGGCTCTCAATCAAGTTTCTCTGCCATGGGTAATTTTCTCTTTAAGATGTACTGAACGCGGTTTCTCATGCTACTCAAAATGTGTCCTTCAGCTCAGAAAGAGCGAATATATGGATCTTACCTGGGGGCAGTACACATTAGTACCATGTTGCCTCCTGCGATATATACCCCCGCCAAAGTCATCACCTGAGTAGCGCAGGGTTGCTCGAATATGGCAGATATGTCTCTGGAAAACTGCGGGAGGTGCAGCAAGGCCTTATCATTTAGTACCCATGTACCTGCCAATGGAAGAATATTGTTGAGAACTTCGCGATTGTAGAGTTCCATAGCCCTATCTGGTGATGGGCGGGGTTCCTGACTAAAGTGATCTCCGCGTAGGGCGGACATAGCTCCAGCTTCCAACTTTTATCCCCGAGAGCTTCACACGACACTGACATCATTTCTTCAATCATCCCAGCACAACAATTGATCGAGAAGCCAGTGTACATATTCCGCTCGTGAAGCTCCACATAAAATCCACGGCTGTTCTCCCTCTGCTGGCCACCATGGCCCCGCCAACGCCCATCTCCATCCCCACCTTTGCCGAAGCACAGCTCCAGCTCCTCCTCCAAGAGCACGAAGCTGAAGTCGCCTCTTCCTCACTAGCTTCAACCGCGGCATCCGTTTCGCCATCAACAAGACGAACCCTCCAAGCTACCGGCTACGCTTTGACAGGCTTGGTCCTTTCGCAATGCCGCACCGGCTTGGGAGGTCGCGTCGTGGGCGAATTCACACCCGATCCGGCTGTCGCGTCGACTGGGTCCAAGTCGCAAGATGGAGGTGACGCGAGGGCATCGGATGGGCAGCCTCGATTGGGGTCTCATGGTATGCGGGTTGGCGATGTGGTTCGCGTCAATGATGTCTCTGCAGGGTCGGCGAAGAAAGCGGGGAAGGATAAAGATAAGGGCAAGGATGGTGGTAAGGATGGGAGTAAAGGGGGTCCGGAGGGTGTTGTCACTAGAGTGAGTGATAAGGCTATCTGGATTGCTTTTGGGCAGAGAGGTGGTGGTGCTCGCTCGAAAGAGGATGATGAGGCGATCGAGGAATTATGGGGGAAGAAGCTTTGGGCGTGAGTGGACATGACAGAAGCTATTGATGGGATATCCCTGATGCTGACAATCAATTGCAGGATCAAGCTTGCAAATGATGTTACATATAGACGGTAAGTGTTATACTACTGCCAGGCGGTTGCTAAGCTGACTGTCCCCAGGATGAGGCAGACCATGGAGAAGATGGTCAAAATGACTGAAGGAGACCACTCGCATTTTATGCGGGTTGCTTTTGGTCATACCACTCCATTACAACCAGACTTTGAAGGTGCCGGAGATGTACAGTTCATCGATCCCACTCTGAACGACTCGCAGAAAGATGCCATTCGCTTTGCGTTGGCTGCTAAGGATATCGCTCTCATTCACGGTCCTCCCGGCACGGGCAAGACCCATACTCTCATTGAATTGATCATGCAGATGATTCAGCGAAAGAAACGCATCCTTGTGTGTGGCCCATCGAATATATCCGTGGACAACATTGTCGAACGTCTTGCTCCGAATAAAGTGCCCGTGGTCCGAATTGGACATCCGGCTCGTTTACTTCCTTCGGTGATGGAACATTCCCTCGAAGTTCTCACCCAGACTTCTGATGCCGCAAGCATCGTAAAAGATGTTCGGAAAGAGATGGATGAGAAGCAAGCCAGTATCCGCAAGACGAGAACTGGTCGGGAACGACGAGCTATCTATGATGACCTCAAACTATTACGAAAGGAGTTTCGAGAGCGCGAGTCTAAATGCGTCGATAACCTGGTGCGAGAGAGCAGCGTGGTTCTAGCGACCCTTCACGGTGCTGGAGGCCACCAATTGAAGAATCAAAAGTTCGATGTTGTGATCATTGACGAGGCCAGTCAAGCACTCGAGGCACAGTGCTGGATTCCACTCCTAGCGGCTGAGAAGGTAGTCCTGGCTGGTGATCATTTGCAACTGCCCCCGACTGTCAAATCAGCGAACCTCAAAAACAAGGAGAAAATTGGCAAAGACACTCAAAAGAAGGATGACAGTGACCCCGCCAAGAACGAGACCCTGAAGGGTGTTTCACTAGAGCGGACCCTGTTCGATCGGCTACTAGCGCTACACGGGTCAGGGATCAAACGAATGTTGACGACCCAGTATCGGATGCATGAGAAGATCATGCGATTCCCGTCCGACGAGCTCTACGAGTCCGAGTTGATCGCGGCCGATTCGGTTAAAGATAGACTGCTCGCCGACTTGCCCTACGAAGTCAAAGGGACAGATGATACCCAGGAACCCCTCGTCTTCTGGGACACGCAAGGCGGTGACTTTCCCGAAAAGACCGAGGATGATGATATCGGTAAGAAAGAGGCTCTTCTGGGAGAGAGCAAGAGTAACGAAATGGAGGCCCTGGTGGTCGCCCGACACGTTGACAATTTGATCGCGGCTGGGGTACGGCCCGAGAGCATCGCGGTTATTACCCCTTACAACGGCCAGCTAGCACTTCTGTCTCAGATGCTTCGCGAGAAATACCCTGGCCTAGAGCTAGGCAGTGTCGACGGCTTCCAGGGTCGCGAAAAAGAGGCTGTAGTAGTCAGTCTAGTGCGAAGCAATGCGGAGCATGAAGTGGGTTTCCTCGGCGAGAAAAGACGATTGAACGGTATGTCCACGTCTCCGATCTTTCATAACCGGCTATTCTATTTCATTCCCTTTTGCTCTTTCTGGACATTTGCGCCACATTTTGGGTCTTCCCTTTGCGCCTGAGATAAATTAACTCGGCTAATGGAGGCTAATTTGGGACCCTAACTAGTGGCCATGACACGCCCCAGACGGCATCTTTGTATCTGCGGGGACTCGGAGACTATCAGTCGGTAAGTAAAGTTTTGTCTGTGCGTCTCTGCAAAGCTTGAGGTTAATCAGTGTATCTTTTTGTGCGTGGTAGGGGTAGCGATTTTCTTAAACACTGGATGAGTTACTTGGAGGAACATGCTGATTTGCGGTACCCTGATGCGGGCGATCTTCTTTAGAGGACGTTGCCTCGTTACGAATTGGATATGGGGGACTGGGTTGCAATCACAGACGACTACCATGAAGAATCTTCGGTATTTGATTAGACGATCACGCTGATCTCAAAGTCTCGAACGAAATGCACGATAACGAGTCAGTCCCGAGTCTGGCCTGGTACACGGAGTACCGCATCAGGGCTAAGACATGCCCATCCCGTTCCTCAAACGAACCTCACCCGTCCCGTAATCTGAAGTAGTATACAGGCGATCCAGACCAGGAGATTGGTATCTTACGAGCTACCTCGCCAAACGGAGTTGATTCCCGAGACTCACGAGCCGTGTTGAAGCGAGACACGCAGGCGGTGAGGAGCAGCTGGAGAGCCGATGCTCCATGCCGCAAGGAACGTCTTGTTTCAACTTTCAACCTGCCGGGGACGATCGCACGGCAACGTCGGAGGAGCGTTACTTGAAGCGGCTATGCCGTGAGGGGCAATTGTCCAACTCAGCAATCAGCCGTGAGATTGCCAGCTCTTCAGCCCCGTTGATCCCTTGGTGAAGCTGGTAAATCTCCACGGCCAATGGCTGTTATGGTGGTCATCAACCTGAGGAGCGGACAACGCGATATGACAGCCCGACCGGTGTGAAGTTGCAAATATCCAATAACAATACCCTGAAAGCCCAAAGCCACAGCCAAACCCAATTCCTGAGCTCGCCTGACATCAGGCCAGATTTGCTCCTGTACCACGCTGTTCTACTCAATTAGGCTTTAATACGAGTCTTGACTAGCACGGTCTGTGCGGGCAGTTTGGGAATCCGCTGTACACCATTCTGTTGGTGCCATGTGGTGTTTCAGACCAGGATTGAGGCACGACTAACTGCAATATCTCACCCGGAAAAACAACCTGCAAAAGACTGCACGATGACGGACCATCGTCCGAAGATCCAGGTCCAGATCTGGACTTTTCTTTGCTCAGGCATTTTCTCCGTCCCGAGCGGGGTCTTCAGGGGGGGGTCTTTAGTTTAGCAGTTTACAAAGTTTGAGGGGTTGAAGTGGGCGGCCTCTTCTGGTCTTCTGGATGGGGCCTGGAAGCAGTTCAAAACGGCCGTTCATTCTACGGGGCTCCACTTCGTCTCGGCTCGTGGATCCAGCACGGCAGTCATTGGAAATGAGAGCCACCATTCGGTCGTCCATCTGATTCGGTTTACACAACCCCCTGGCAATGACCCTCCGATCTTTCTTGGACGATTCGCTCGGTGAGTTCGCTTCTTTCAGGCACTGGAGATCTAGGGCTGGGTCTTGGGCTGATCTGTGAGCTGGATGAGCTATGCTGTACAGTACTAACTGTACAGTACGTACCTCCGTGGCCTTGCCCTGTCGAATTAAGCCTGAACAGTGGTTATCGACATGGATTCTTCATTGGAAGATCCCTCGTTATCGTTAATAATCCTTGACTAAATTCCTAGCTAGCTATGTATTTAGTTAGCTTGTTCTTCCCGCTTTCCCTCTATACTGAACGGGGCCTGACTACTACGGTTGCGCTCGGGCGTACTCCAGAAACAGTATCGGGTCGAGTTTGAGGGAGCTATAAGTTATCAACATTTCTGTAACATCTTCCTACTTTTACTACTTCGATCAATTTGTTGATTGTTACTTTTTGTTACTTTCCAGTTCGCATTTCGGTTGTGGCGTGCAAAAGATCCCGACCGTCAACAAGTGTGGGGATTTTGGGAAGAATTCCAGATTTCATAGTTCCCAGTGCAGTTTAGCTCCAAAGTGGTTAGCTTTTTTAGTTCCCTTGGGATTTTCTTAGCTGGGATTAGCCTGAGTTGCAGTCTGACCTGTGGTTCTGGTTTGAGTTTGGTCGACTCTCCTAAATCTCCGCTAGGAGCTGCATGAAGCTCCCCTCTTCTCTCCCTATCTTCTCCGCCGACCGTCGACTCTCTTTCTGGTCCTTTTGCTCTGGCTCGTCGTCTTTTTTGATTCTTTCCCGACACTCGTTGTATTCACTCGTTTCTTTGCAGCTTCTTGGGACTCTTCCCGTGTGTTTATTCGTCCCTCACTCCTCTGTTCGCGGTGGTGACCTTGTTTGAATATCCCGAGACCTGGCAAACGCCCTTCCGTCACAAAGAGAGCTTCGTTGGCAACTATGATGATCCTGATCAAATTCTACTCGGTCAGTCATTCTACTTGCGTTTGTACGACCTTCACAAAACTGACTCCGTTTGGCAGCCCTTTTCATTAGACCCGCGACTCGACTAAACGTCGGCTTCTCCTGGCCTCGATTCGAACTCCTCCCGCTGTGCGGTCCTGACTGTTATACCTATTCGATACCCCTCGTACTTCGCTGTTCCTTCGTCTTGTCTCGCCCTTTCTTTTCTCGACATTCACTCGGTCTATTCACCTTCGATTTCTCAATCTGTCATTCGAACCCTTTTGTTCAACATCTTTTGCGACGACATATACCCCCAACGTGCCGCCACGGCATATCTTTTGTAATGAGCATCGACAACCACACAACCCTGACCAGTATTCACATGATCATCGCAACTTGAATTTCAAAAATCTTTTTCGTTTCACATCAAAATGTCGCGAACAACTACACGGTCCATTACCAGCGCCGGCAGCGAGTCGGCGCCCAGTCCGAGAGAACGCTCAACTTCAGCGCGTGGAGAGCGCTCGGCATCAAATCCAGCTTCCTTTTCCTTGGATACGAACCAATATGATACGGCCCTGCCCCCGATGCACTTTCACCAACCACCGACCATCGCACACCGCCGGACAGGGAGTACATTGAAAACGGTGATGCGCAAGATCTTCAACCGGAAGAGACAAAGTCAGGCTGATGGAGTAGAGGAGAATCCGAATGAGAGTTACTACTCGTCACCAGCAAGATCATCGGGCCCAATTGCGGGCAAGTCATTCTTGTCGGTCCCAACTTCGACAGAGTCCAAACGGAGCAGTCCCTTGTCAGAAGAGAACTTGCAACTAGCAGAGACTCATTTGTCTCCAACTAGTGCCACCGGCGGCTCTTTACCATCGCCCGGGATGGCCCCGCGCCGACGACGTGCGACCTTGCCCAGTGTGATTTTCTCCGACGACGAATCTAGATATGCAGTTGCATCAGCAGTCTCCGATCCCCAGGAGGATCGACCTGTTATCCCGGATCAAGAGCGCCAGCGAATAATGCTTCAGTCTCGACGCAGGTCCAGGAGTATTGGCGCATTGCAGGATCTGGTCGTCAAGCGGCCAATGTCACCCCCAGAATGGCCAACACGCACCGCTTCTCTTCATGATTCAGTTGCAGACTCAAAGTCTCCCCGTCCCGGAGGAGGCAGCTCTGCTAGCGACCATTCTGGCAGGCCCTCGACCGGCACCACAGTAACCAGCGTGACGAGAGCATCGGCAGCACCCTCCATGCAGGAATCAGACCCGCACGCAGACCAAATCAGTCTCCCACCCAACGTGGGCAATCTAATGCGCACAATGCAACAAGACGACAGTCTCACCCTCGAACAACGCCTCAACACAATCGAAGTCAAAATGATCGACCTCGAATTCGCCATCGCCCGAATGCAATCCAATTCCGTCGCCGACAACCCCCAAGACCGAGACAGATCCTCATTTCGCCGAAAAGAAGATTCCTTCCCACAAACCCGCAGCAAACCCTCATATCTAAGCTCCCTCGACCGCGAAGAATCCTCCCCAACACCACTATCAACAAGCCTCCCCACAGCCCGCCCAACAAGTACCAGCACAATCCGCGCAGACACACTAAACGCGCGCACTCTCCGCCCTGCACCATCCGCCTCCTCTCTCACAGAATATAACGCAATCTCCATCGAGCAATACAGCGCTCTAGTAACCCTCCTCCGGCGCGAACAAACCGCCCGCCGAAACCTGGAGAGCCAAGTATCCAGTTTGAAGGATGATATCCGGCATATTCAGCGGGCGGCGCTGCATTCGATGGAGAATGGTGGGACGATGTATCCTATTCATAGTGTTGATTCGCAGGAGTTTTTGCGGTTTAGGAGGGCGTTGGATGAGTCGGATTCTAGTTCGCCGGTGAGGGCGTTGGATGAGAAGGGGAATGCGGCTTTTGAGACGGAGTCTGATTATGATCCGTTTGGGCCGCCCAAGTGGGAGAGGGAGAGAGATAGAGATAGGGAGAGAGAGCTTGAGCTTGGGAATGGGAATGGGCTTGGGCATGGGCATGGGGGGAGGAGGGTTGTTACTGCGCCGATGATTTGAGGAAGTGCTTTGTTAGCGATGATATCCTTCCACTTGGAACTTCTTGACACATGAATGCATGCAATATGCATGCAGTATACATCATTGTCCACCGTCGATTGTTTTGACTTATTCCAGTCTCTCGGTCGAAAAACCCGAGTCACCTACTCGTGATTACCAGCGGCAACGGGACAAGCCTGGTGCATTTGCCTGATTCATTTCTTCGGACCGATCACATACATTGAACGATGTCTGTTGTTTCTTTTGTCGCCAGCAAGATATCTAAGAGCTTGTATTTGGTTCTCTGCTCTCTCTCTCTACGCGACAGGTTCGCGATTTTGTTTGGACCCGAAATGTCAACGACAAGTGTATTAGACACTGAAATTTACTTCAAATCTATGAGCTTCTTCAATTCAATATTATATGTTAAATGTCCAACCTGAGGGATCTTACTTAGGGCAGGTATCAATATCTCGTTTCTAAATGGTTGAATTGGTCTAATATGTCTCCGAGATGATGTATCCTTTCCCGCCCCAATGCTTCATGTAATAAAGATCGACTAGTCATGACGATCTTCACCTGTCAACGTCTTAGTTCCCCAAGCCCCAATGGTACGCCTGACAAGCAATGGCCCCCAATGCCAACCCCCGCAATAAAAACAAGTTAACCCCGATCCCCCCATCCTCAAACTCCCAAACAGCTCTGGGAATTAATCCCAAATCCAACATTCACCTACAGCAAGCCACTCCACCATGGGAAGCACAACCACACCCCCATCCAAAGACTTCACCGTCACAATAGTCGGTGGTGGAATCGGCGGTCTCACCCTCGCAGCCGGCCTTCTACGCCGCAACGTCCCCGTCCAAATCTACGAAGCCGCATCCGCATTCGCAGAAATCGGCCTCGGCCTCTCAATCGGACCAGCAGCGCACCGCGCCATGCCTCTTATTGACCCGCAAATCCGGGAAATCTACGACTCACTTGTTACCACGCACGCCGATAGCCCCGGCTACGAGAAGTATCGGCAGACTTGGTTTGAAATTATTTGGGCTAGTGGGGAAAAAGAGGGGGAGTTGTTGATGGATCTTAAGGCTTTGCCGAGTGGACAGACGACGTTGCGGAGGGCGAACTTTTTGGATGCGCTTGTTGGGTTGATTCCGGCTGAGATTGTGCATTTTGGGAAGAGATTGGAGAAGTTGGTTGAGAGTGATGAGGATGAGGGGGTTGAGTTGGTTTTTGATGATGGGTCCGTTGTGAGGGCTGATGTGGTTGTTGGTTGTGATGGGATTAAGTCAAAGGTTAAGGAGTCAATGCTTCCGGAGGAATCGAAGGAGACTCAACCGAGGTATAGTGGTATGTATGGGTATCGGGCTGTGTTGGATATGGAGGATATGATTGAGGCGGTTGGGGAGCAACGTGCGAGGGTTTCGACGATGTACATTGGAGAGGGAGCTTATGGGATATCTTATCCTATCATGCGGGCGAAGAAGGTTAATGTTGGACTTTATATTCTCAGCGAGAAATGGGATTGCGAGACTTGGGTGAGGCCTGCGAAGAGGGAGGATATGCAGCGTGATGCGAGTAATATGGGTCGATATGTGAAGTCTCTTATTGAAGTATGACCTCCCTATACACAATCAATTGGAGACTGTTGCTAACCAGGAGCTTCTAGCATATGCCCGATCCCTCTCAATGGGCTATCTTCGAGCACCCTCACATCTCCACATTCTGTCGCTCTCGAGTCGCAATCCTGGGAGATGCCGCGCATGCCTCGACACCCCATCAAGGCGCAGGCGCAGGTCAGGCGATAGAAGATGCACACGTCCTAGCTGAGTTACTTGGTGATTCCCGAGTACAAACAGCTCAGGACGTAATCGCTGCTTTCAAAGCATACGATGAAATTCGGCGCCCTCGGAGTCAAAGAGTTGTCACGAGTAGCAAGGAGAATGCCTATCTTCTTTGTCTATGTTTGGATGGAGTCGGAGACGATGAAACAAAGCTGAAAGAGACATGGCAGTCTCGGCTTCGTTGGCTTTGGGATTTGGATATTGAGGAGCAGGCTGAGCAAGCAAGGCAGTGTATGCTCAAGTTTTTGGAATCTGGAGGCGATTAATTGGGTAATCTCAAATAGACTATCAATCTATTAGCTTTCTGGTGGCCAATCCCAGGAAATCTATTATCCGCTCTCATCCGATCAGGTGCTTCGTACTGAAGCTAAGAATAATATAGTAGTCGTGGTTCTATTGCCTATAAGGGTCTCCTGCCTGACATAACCCCTGCCAGTCTTTTCATTAAGGCTGGTTTACAATCAGCCTACGACGCCATCACGTCTCAGGACAGCGTACGTAACCCTTCCTCAGACCCAAACCCCGCTTCAGCCAAATTGCGGAGTAAGCCATGTCTTTAGGAATGAAAAGAGGAGGTAAACTTAGTCTCATCTGAGACTGCCTCGGCTCCCTGTGCTTATTGCCGGCTCAACATCAAGGCTGAGAATTCCCACTCCATCTTGAATCAATCAACCCTCGCCGTGTATCACAATTACTCTTAAACAAGAACTGATCAGAATGGCAGAAGTTACCGCCTCCGAAGATATCCTGGCGAATATCAAAGACCAGGTTGTGCTGATCACCGGTAAGCATCACTGTTCTAGTTTGCCGTAACTCACGCTTACAAGTCAAGGCGGATCATCTGGTATTGGCAGAGCGACCGCACAACTATGTCTAGACCTGGGCGCCAAAGTGGTCATTGGAGATCTGAACCCTCCCAATCCCGAGTTCAAAGACACCGACAAAGTCCATTACTTGGAAGTAAACGTTACCTCCTGGGAAAGCCTTCGAAACATGTTCGATCAAGCGGATACGACATTCGGTGGCATTGATCACGTCTTCGCCAACGCAGGCGTTGGTCCGACCACAGACTTCTTGGGTATCAATCTCAATGAAGCCGGGCAACTTGAGCCTCCTCTTCTCCGAACAATCAATGTCAATCTGATCGGCCCACTGTACACAATCAATCTAGCACAGGCTTATATGAAGCAACTTGCAAGCCGTCGTCCTGTGAAGAAAACAGGCAGTATCGTCATCACGGCCTCGGCTTCTTCCTTCCAGAACTTCAGTTCCGGTGACTATACAATTGCCAAACACGGTGTCTTGGGCATGGTCCGTGGTCTAGTGCACAAGCTTGAAGCTGAAGGTCAAATCCGCTTGAACGCGGTCGCGCCTTCTTGGACTAGAACGGGGATGGTCCCCATTGAAACTATCCAGGCTATGGGTGTTCCAGTTCAGACACCCGAGGCTGTTGCGGAGAGCGTGGTGCTGCTGTTTGCTGATGAGACTCGACATGGAGAAGTCATCTACAGCTCGCAGGGCAAATTCAAGGAGATTAATAAAGCTGATGGGGGGCTTTTGTCCATGACGAAGGGGTTGCTTTATAATGAAGATAATTTGGAAGGTGTGATGCGAAATGTCAATGAGCAGGTGGCCAAGGCATAAATGCGTGATGGCTCCTCTTGAAGTCTGTCTTGAATCTTGAAATTGGGTGTATTTTGCGTTCTGAACATACTGCAATGAGAGATAGTGAAGAATCGTCGGTATTTTCTTTCAGACTTCTGACATTGAGGCGAGATTCGAAGAAATCATGTTCATTGTAGCATCACCAGTAGAATAAAATGCTGTAAATTCTAGCCGATATGCTCCATCAGCATTCGGCATCTGAGGATATCAGCCTTCCACAAGTGCTATCTCCTGGCATTTCAGTACATATTGACTCCTCCATCGTTTAACCTGCTATTGGCCGTGTAGCCATGATCAGCTCCCCGTCTTCAGTTATGCTATTTGGTCATCGTGCATAACATCTCTCGGCTTCCCCTCATTCTCCACATTTTGGATGTGGAATGACTCGCGTTGCCTGACTCGCTTAAACCAATCACATCGTATATAGACCTCGGCTTGTCTGTATATAAGACTTCTTCGAACAATCTTCTGGGATAAATTTAACCATCAAGTAAGCTCTGCTGGAATCTTGTCCGCTAGAGACTTCATCTACAAGCATCATGTCCGGCTTTCAACTTCAGCACCCCAAGGGCCGCGAATTGACAGGCGGCGATCTGTTAGCGCAGTCCTTGAAACACCTCGGCGTGGAGGTTGCGTTCGGACTTCATGGCCGTCATTTGGAAGCTTTTTTGATGGGATGTGAGGTTGTAGATATTCGTTTGGTGGATACTAGACATGAGACCGTCGCTGTGCAAGCAGCCGAAGGTTATTGCCGGATCAGTACAAAGCCTGGAGTCTGCTTTGTCACGGCAAACAGTGGGTGAGGTTCTCACCCTAGGTCTTTATCCATTCGATGGCTTCATTCTAACTCATGCATGTTATCAAATGGACTCCCTGGCTTGGCCACTGCCTACGCTGATCGGAGTCCGATCCTCTGTATAACGTCTTCGCCACCATTGCGGGATACAGAGAACAACTCGCTTCAGGGGTTTATCGATCAGGTGGTAGCGGCTCGACCAATTACAAAGTTTGCTCATAGGGTTGGGACTCCTGAGGAATGTCCAAGAATTGTATCTCATGCCCTTCGAGTTGCCCAGTCTGCCCCTCCGGGTAAGTGCTCATTCATGGTATTTCTGATATATTGTGTGCCACCTGGCTCATAGATGTCTTGAGGGCCTGTACTGCTCGACTTCCCAATCGATGTGCTCTTCTCCCCGGTTCATCCAAGCCTCATTGCCTGGGGATCAATTGCGTCACCCCCATCTTTCCCTCCGGGCCCTCATCCTGCGGCAGTTGAAGAGGCTGTAGGTTGCTCAGCGCAGCGAAGAGACCTGTCATTATTACCGGAACTGGAGCAAGGAGCCATAAGGTAGAACCTCTATCGATTATTGCAGCACTGATATGACATGCTGATACCCTTTAGGCACGCCATCAGCTCTTCAAGCTAGCCGAGGATTGCAACATTCCGATCTTCAACACCTCCAAACATGCATCTTTCAATCCATCGTCGCCCATGCTCTCCAGAAAGACAGCGGGAGTTCTAGCCATACTTCCGTTGGTAAAGGTCCCACGTCCAGACTTGGTGTTGCTTTTGGGTGCACGAACAGGAATGTTCCTAGGTGGTCGTAGCGGCGCTATAATTCCAGATAAAGATTGCAAGCTCGTGCAAGTTGATTGTGATGGCAGTGAAATTGGTCGCTCTCTTCCAGTCGACCTTGGTATTGTCTCGGATTCTGAAGCTTTCCTTTCAGCATTGAACGCCAATTTTAGTTCAACGCATCCAACAAGTGTCGACAAATAGTGGGTGCATGTCCTTGGATTGGCCTCTATGGAATCTCCATTTGAAAAGGAACCAGAGGTGACTGATTCCGGACGTCTCCATCCATACCATGCAGTGAAAAATTTCGGCTCCGGGATTGAGCCCGGTAGTATCATCGTCCTAGATGGTGGTGAAGCATCTGCTTGGGTGGGCGATCTTGCATCTCGTTATCAACCCCATACAGTCATGACTGCAACTGGATATCTGGCTTCCTGGGCAATGGCTTTGGGTATACCCTAGGCTGTGCCATTGCTGCCCCCGGTTGCAAAGTCATCAACGTACAGGGGGATGGCTCTGCTGGCTTTCATCTTATGGAGCTAGATACCTACAAGCGATTCAATTTGAATATCATGACAGTCGTCGTGAACAACTCAAACTGGGGTATGAGCTCTAATGGACAAGACCTCGTCTACGGAGCCGATCATTTTGCACGACCCATCAGCGCGCTGAGCTCGTCAACTGAATACGATGTTGTTGCTAAGGGCTTGCAAAATGCTGCTGCTAAAGTGTCTCGCGTGGGGGATATTCGGAGTACAGTCACCAAGTTCTAGGCACAATCGGGGCCAAGCTGCATCAATCTTATCGTGGATCGAAAGCCGGGTCATCCTATTACAACTGCCATGGTTGGGCTCACTGATGACCCTAATTTGGTGGTGGTGCCTTACTACGACAATATTCCTCGGGCATACTATAAGTTCTAGGGATTGTAACCAGTATCAAGTGGCTAAGAATGAAGGCCTTAAATACCAAGACAAATAATGGTCAATGCAAGTATGCAGTGTCTATAGGTCGAAACTTTTGTACCGAAATTTTGTGCAACTAGGTGAAATACCCCATAGTGGCCAGAACTCTGTGCTTCTCTCCCGCTATGAGCTCCGTATTTAGAAAGACGTCATCTCGCTTCATCATTCCTAGGCTTCTGCCTCGGCTCTGGCAGATATCTTGCTGCCACTGTAAGTCCAGAAGCAAGTACAAGCATGAGTATCCAGATAGCATGCCCTCCCGCCAACTGTGTCCTCGCTCCAATCGCGAAGAGACTGGTAAATAGGGCAGGGCAGAAAGCTCTCAGGCTGGCAACACTAGTCATCGCCAACGCGTTCAAAAGGCCCAGGACCCTCGGCGAAGGTGAGATATCGTTCAAAGAAAGCTGAATCGCTGTGAAGCTCATGCTGACTCCGCTTCCCATGGCTAGCATGATCGGCGCGAAGACCCAAAAGGCATTAACTGATGCTTCGGTTCCCCATCGGAGCAGCACATTGCCGATGGGGGAGCCTAAGAAGAACAACGGGTAGCCAAGAGCGCACAGTCGGATTACACCTTTCGTCCCGACTTTATGTTGCAATGGAGGGAAGACCAGAAGCAGCCACGCAGCTTGAGCAGCACCGTTCAAGCCCATCATCAGTGAAATTTGCAAGGGTGTGAAACCCCAACCACCAAGAGACACTGGGGTAAACCAGAAGACAGGGATAATGGCTGTGTAAGCAAAAGCGAGCACCATGATGTGTCCGTACACGTATAGTACCACACCTACTCCAGGCGACTTCAGAAGCTGCCTGGTCGAGAGGGTGTCGCGTCGACTCGGCGCGTCAAATGCAATCTCTCCACCGTTGTTTTCGGGTGCAGCTGGTTCCTTCTTCAAGGTCTCCTGAATGAAGAAAGCGCTAGTTATAGCAGCCGTGGCTCCAATCAGGGCAACTACTAGGCTGGACAGTGCATAAGGGTAGTCCTCAAAGAACTTCACACCTCCGAAGACACCTGGGTACTGGGTTGCAGGGGCAGCGAGAGCACCTCCCAACAAAGGCCCAATGAAGAGTCCCAAGTTTCCACTGAAAGCGAACCAACTGAATGCCCGAGCCTGAGTCTTGGGCGTGCTATGTTCCGCCACCATAGTACGAATAGTGACGATAGTTCCAGCGAAAATGCCAGCAAGGCATCTGAACAGAATCATCTGTGGGATCGACTTTGCAAATCCAAAGAGACCCGTAGCCAGTGTCACTCCGAACAACGAATAGACCAGGACTGGCTTGCGCCCGATGCGATCGGCTGCTCGCCCCCAGTATATCATAACCATGGCCTGCGTGAGAGAGAACAATGATTCGATAAGACCGCTATAAAAGCCTATGTCTGTGTCTTCAACACCCCCATTTTCTTGAACCATCTGGCTCACGTAGGGGAAGATTGAAAAGAATGCCAAAGGCTCTATCATCCGGGCATAGCAGAGTAGCAGAATCTGGGTTTTGGGAAGTGGCTTTTCCTCATCCTCAGCATCTGTGGCAGAATCACCGCTCTGGTTTTCTGACAAGGACTCATTCCCATAGGTAACTTTGGATGGCCCTAGAAGGGCCGTGGTCTCGTCTATATCATCGCTTGAGATTGCCCCGGTACGCGCCGTCACAGTCTGACCAGGGTGCTGTCTGTCCGTCTCCCGAGTGAGGACGACCATGTCTGGGTCTAGCAACTGACGAAGCTAGATCTATCTTCAAGAACAGAAGCACGCTCTCATCTGTCTTGAGCTGCAAATTGGAAAAAAATATATTGGCTTTGGAAGTTGGGGGCAAAACCCGCAAAACGAACGAGTAAGCAGAAGAGGGTCAAATTTTCGGATTTAAGTAATTCCCGCCCTGTTTTTCCGTTCCGATGTATGGAGATGGCGTGCGAGGAACTTCAAAGATGGCAATCTTATGGAGACTTGTCATTTGCGAGCTAGACTTCCAATTCTCCTGTTTTGAGCTTGTTCGCATCTCATTTGCTTGCTACTGGTATACTTATTGCCAAAGAGGATTCAACGCTTGTGAATTAGTCTATTTGGATCCACCCGGGAGATCCACTACGATAGAAACAAGCCTAAACAGGTACAAAGAAAGAACACAATTGAATGAGGTACAATGCATCGGCAGGATGGTATTGGCTGGTAGGGGATGTGGTAGATTATCTGATAGAGGATCTGTCAATGCAAAAATCGTAATCTAACAAAACAAATTGGGATTCAACAGAAAAATCAGATCTAACGAAAATGAAATCGAGATTCAACAAAAAAAACGGAGGCATCGGATTTTAACAACCTCTGTTGAACACTGCTTGTCTTGCGCGATAGCGGGGTAACAGTAGTGGATGGAGAATATGGTAGAGGATCTGATAATGCAAAAATCGTGATCCAATGAAAAGTCGGATCTAACGCAAAAATCGTCATATAACGAAAAACAATCGGGGTTCAACAACAAAACCGGAGGCATCGCATGTTATGAGACTCTGTTGGCCACTGCTTGTCAGATCGTTTTCTAGAAGATTTCCGCATGCTTCAACTCAAAGTGGGTTAATTGCCTTGCTTCTTGCGAATACCATACTTTAAGAAAAACTGCTCCATATAGAGAGTTTAACGAGACGATGTTTAAGGCACGCATAGGACCAATAGCATGATCAATTCTCGTTTCCGAGACAGAGGGCACTAATCCAAATCAGGTCCCCGCTTCAAATCACCAGCCCTGACGCGTCGCCTGCTGATCCCGATGGACTATGTACTTAAGCATTATACCCAAAGCTGTCGTAGTCAATCCTGCATTACTATCGCTCTTTCACTTCTTGTCCTAAGACCTAGTCTTGACGGACAGCAAAACTCACCCGTCCACCCTTCGCCCCGATACACAACGTGCCCATTGGAGGTACACGCCCAGTTTTCTACCACCCTCATGGACCTTACTCCAGAGGAAATCAAGCTGGTTGAGGTTGCCAAAGCCACTATTCAATCAATTTCCACCTCAGATACCTACAGTGTTGCCTCCGCCGCCCTCTCCGCCGACGGTCGAACTTTCTCAGGTGTCAACGTTTTCCATTTCACTGGTGGGCCCTGTGCCGAGCTCGTGGTGCTGGGTAGTGCTGCGGGGGCCAACGCCCAAAAGCTGAAGACAATTGTTGCTGTTGGCGATGATGGCGAAAAGGGGGTAGTTCTGAATCCTTGTGGTCGGTGTCGACAGGTCCTGCGGGATTTGCAGCCTAGTATCAACGTGGTGGTCGTGAAAGGTGGGAAGTTGAAGTCCATATCTATTAATGAACTTTTACCGTACGCATATGATACACGGGAATAGTTCACGTTGAAATCACTTTGGGGACAATATATTAATTGGCTTGGTTATATGTCAATGTCGACAGGGAGCTATTGTTCTTGTGACAGATTTTTTGTATTGGGATGCTTGGAAAAGTCCTGTAAACCGTTCTTTCCGCGTTTGAAACACAAGCTAGCAAAAATATCGCGATGCTTGTCCTTTCAATAGGATCAGCATTGCAACTCTCAAGCTCGTGTCTGAAGGGGGCCTTGATTACCTCTCTGGGTAGCGTGGATTTTGGCAAATAATGCTAGTAGTACCGAATGCGATGATAGGTATGAAAGGCACCCTCAGGACGCAGCATAACATGTTATGTACATTCTAAGTACCCCGTACAGTGACACAGGATACGTTTGAGGACTTTTTGCAAACCGCCTTCCTTTGAATAGCCTTATCGCCTGGCATCTTCAGTTCTTGATTCGTGGAGGCCTGACAGGCAGAATTAGTGGGGTTCAAATTATTAGTGTAAAGCCCCTACAGATTGAATAAAGGTCCGCGCCAATATCTAATATTTAGGTGGACCGTTACCTTTTGATAATTTTAGGGGAAGCATGCTCATACGCCCAGTCATTTGCCACCTAGAAAGATTTTAGTCATAGGCGGGCGAACCGGTCGAAACACGTGTCAAGTTATATACATCTGGTGGCTTAATGCCTGCTCTATTGCAGAAAAGCCACATCTCATACGTCAAACTTATCCTCTTCAAGGAGCCCTGTACTTGGGGCTGCCGTCCACCCTGATCTACAGTCTTCATGGAGACCACTATCGCTTCTCCCGGCATAACTCCAAAATTTCATCCAACCTACGGAGTCTCTCTCTCAAATGAGGCCATCACCAGTATCATTGAATGCCTTATTCCCGGATGCAACCTTTTGTCAATTGATCCTCTGGAACATGGAAAGTCATTCAACAATCGTATCTACTTCTTGCAAGTAGATGTTCCTGAGAGCACGCTGGTATATGGTTTGAACAAGGGAACTGTCAACAACCTGGTTTTGAAATTGAACGGACATTTTTTTGACCAATCGAAGAGCGAAAATGAGGTATCCTGCCTATCTCTCCTTGATGCCTTTGCGCCCGAAATACCCTCTCCAAAGGTTATATCCTGGTCCGACACAACCTTTCTTGTCCACAGAGTGACGCCCGAAGGAATTCCAACAAGAAGAGAATTCCGACTTGATTCCAAAGCCAACAAAAAACAACAGGGGTGGATTATTATGACTCTGGTTGCTGGGATTCCGCTGTCAACATTAAGCTTGGATACAGACAAGCTTAGAGCTATTGGCGAGCAACTGGCGGACATAGTCTTCCGCTGGAGAGAATCGCTGCCTGCTTGGCAGTCTGCTGGAAACCTTGAATGTGGAATTCCTCACGCGAAGCCACAAGGTTTGAATTTTTTAGATGTCGCTGGTCTGCGAGTGGCGTCATCTTCGAAAATGCCTGGTTTCGGCATTACAGTTGTTGAGCCTATTATGGACCTGCTCCAGTACTACCGATTAAAGCTCGAGACCCGGGTTGAAAAACTCCAAGAACTTGATATATTCGAAGCCAATAGGTATTTGATCACTTCAATTCGAAAGTTTATAACGTTTGGATTACCGCAGCTCGAAATTTGCAAAGCGGAGAGCACTTTCTTATTCACACATTATGATCTCTCACCACGCAATGTCTTAATATCTGTGAATCCCACGAAAATCACAGGTATAGTTGATTTTGAGTTTTCAGGCTTTTTTCCTGAATTAGATGAGTTTGTCAATGATTGCGTGGGAAATGAGGGTGACTGGCCTGACGCTCTCTACGACGCATACTTGGGTAAGCTCGAAGTCCTCGGAATGAAAACTCCAAGGAAAGGCATCAAAGAGCAATTGTGGAAAGAGGCTACAATGCTTTCTCGGTTGGAAGAAAACATAGCGCCCTGGTGGCTTGAGAATGTTGCACTAGGCGATAGAGCTCAATACTTGGAGGAGCTTCGGAAATCGGAGGAAAAGGTTATAGAAGCGATTCGGTCACTTGATCGTGAAGTATGAGATAAGATGTATTTTCTTTTGAAAAGCTATTTTCAACAGGAAATATTATTATGCAAATCGGATGCTGTTCTGGAAAGTGCCATGACGGAGGGCTACTGTTCATGGTACGGCACTGCGGAAGATCCTTCGACAGGAAGTCACAAAGCCACATTCGACAAGTCTTCCTCTGCCCTGCCACGATCGATACGCATGAGCGTCCAGTCCGGCAATGGCAACGACGCTGCATCGCGTGTAGCTACTACTATATAGTACCGATCGAGCTAATCATTAGACTGTCCTAAGCGTATACTATGAGCGTTTTAAGGGTAGAAAGAGGAGGGTAAATATAAAAAATTACTACTTAATAGTATAGTAAAACTATTAATTAGGTAAAGAAGTAAGGATCAAAGGCTACTAATTCAACTTAGAGACTTTAAGTAATAATATTATTATTATTTATAGTATAAGACTAAATCTTAATAGGTTTAGATTATGTTCCTCTCTTTAATCCTTTTAACTCTATGTAGAATAATAAGAAGGGAGAAGTCTTAACGTAATGAAGCTTATAGGTTATATAGTTATTAACGTAGATATCCCTATAGAGAAAGCTTCCAGACTTAGGAGTACTAAAGTTAAACCGTGAGATTCTCGGTTCGCTCCCGCGACAATACACACTCCTATACATAAGGCCTCTATGTCAATTTCTTTCCTATCCCCTACACCCTATACGTGATAATCCTATCTATTTTAAGCCAGTCGCAAATGCCTTAAGAATTTTAATTCGTAATAAAGAAAAATTGACTACTTTGCTATAAAAGCTTTCGCAGTGGTAAAGGTTAGATTTATGATTCGGCTTCAATTTAGTAATAGGCTTATCAGGAATTATGCATTTGTCCTTGTACTTAAAGTACCCGAAAATTAGACCATCCGAAAGGGGTAAAGCGTGGAGTGTGAGTACCTTTTTTGGAGTGCGAATAGCCCTAGCCTAGATCTATGATTGTCGTTGCATACGCGGCCCGTGAGTGGGGACTTACTCCCGCCAAAGACTGGGGTGAATTGAGAATGCACCACATTCCTTTCAACCATTCAGTGAGGTTTTGTGGCACCGCTTTGCATATCCTGCTAGACTTAGAATCGGATATCCCTTATCACCGAATACTTCTCCATGGATTCTTCTGTTGCCCCACGCGCTTCTAACGTTAAGGGAAGGAGTGCCTGCGATCTTTGTCGGTTCCGAAAGGTAATGAATGCAATTGAATACACGAGTATCGATCAATTTACCCCGGTGGCTGCTGATATTGACTCTTTGAGTTCTTGCTACACAGGTCCGCTGCGATAGAACCCAGCCCGCCTGTGAGAACTGTCATCTTGCGGGGCTGCCTTGTACATTCAGCCCACAGGTCCCCCAACAGCGGAAAAGCCTTCGCCAGTACGAACCAGCATATTTCCAATTTTGTTTGGAGCTTTGCTGATTGGTAGACAGAGAACTTGCCGAAGCTCAAGCCCGTATAAAGGAGTTAGAACGAGCGTTAGATACAGGTTTAACCCCTACGCTTGTCCGGAATGACGACGGCAAGTCAAAAACATCCACATCGCCTCCAAGTCAACAAACATCTCCAGCTCACTTGGAAACAAACTATATACCCGACACTCGGTCTTTAGATGCCGCCCTAGCATCCCTTCAAGCCCTCCTCGCATGGTGCGGGCTTGGAAATCGTCTTTCAACAGCTCGAGCAAATTTTTGCGCAACCGTCTACCAGCAGTGTGGCCATGCATTCGACTTGGATGATTTTTTAGTCGAAGCAGCGGCATCTTTTGAGAAAGAAGGCTTCACTTCTAAGAAAAAGACAACAGTCACGAAATGGCCATCTCCATCTCTGGCCAAGCGGTGTGTGGAATATTACGCACGATGTGGATTATATTCCATGTTTCCTTTTGCAGATCCTGAGGCATTGCAGGTGCTCGTCAATGCTGATGTCTTGAATCACCCGGACACGACTCGTGCTGCCAATCGTGCCTGCTTGGCTGCATTCACGGCGAATATCACTCAGATGCACCGTCATGATCCTGCCTTTTGCGATGCAGATCCTGATGCTTATGCCCAAGCGGCACTATCACTCGTTCCACAGATTCTTATGGAAGCTCCGGATTTGAGAACACTCGAAGCTATCATGATGTTGGTAAGCCAGCCATTGAGATCAACAACTATTAGAGAATTTGGTTTCTTACCATCTGCAGGCGGTTTACATTGCCCCCCTTGGCCAACCCGTATCCTCAGAATTCCTGCTAGGCATTGGAATACAAGTCCTATATAACCTCGGAGGTCACAAAATACGACCTACCCCCGAAACACCGGGTCGAATCCAGCAGAGCCAGCATCTCCGTGCACTCTTCTGGCTCTGCTACGGCATCGACAGCGAGTTTTCCATCCGAAAAGGTCAACCTCCAATGCTAAGCGAGGTACACTGCGATTTAGATCTACCAATCAACTACACACTGAAATCGTCCGAACACCATTTCTACTGGAAACCGCTTTCCTCGAAAGAACTCCTCTACCCATCCGATCTCCGGCTGAGTTTGATCAAAACCAAGATCTACAGTCTTCTTTATTCTGAGAAGAATGCGTCACACTCGGAAGCTCGAAGGATTCAACTTATCCGTGAATTAGATCATGATTTGAGTGTTTTAAGATCTGAGTTCCCCGTGGATTGTCGACCGGATTTATTCGCGACTGAAAACGCCCCGGATTACTTGTTTCATGACTTGAGTATACGGGGTGTCAGTATTCATTTGGAATATTACTATTGTCTGGGCAAGATTCACGGGGCGAATAATTCTTACAATATTCCTGCTTCGAAGTCCTGGTGGCCTCTGCCGTCCAGTGCGGAGATTTGTTATGAAGCGGGGCGTTCGACTTTGATATACATCGGTCGAGTTCAACATTATATCAACTATCACACTTTTTGGTAAGCTATCCACATTTCTCAATTCTCAAATCCCCATCACTTACATCAAACCACAGGATCCATGCTCAATTCGTTCTTACGGCTGTCCTTACACTTTTCCGATTCCTTATCACAGCTCCAACAGCGCCGAACTTCGCACGCGATATCAAAATACTGGATGATACAGCCAATCTCTTTGCGCAATTCACCCAATCGGATGACCCAGAGAGAAATTGTTTTCCACCGTTTTACTTGGCTCACGCATTTATCAAAAAGTTGGTGTTTCTGGCTAAGGAGTCGCATATCCGTTCCATGACCGCATAGATCCATGTACATAACTAGAAAATCTCATCGGTTGAGTCGGAAAGGAGAAGAAGAAGGGTATGGGCATGGGAGCATTAAAGAGTACAATAACTACATCACTGCAAAACGCAAATGGTATACAACAATCAAGAGCAATCCACCATCAACCATAACATAATCCAACAACCAACTACATCAACATCAACCACTTCCCCTCCCTATCTCCCTCTCACATCAACCCATCCCTCACAGCTTAAGTCCCAACTCCGCCAAAGCCCTAGTAACATTCAAATTAACCGTAAGATTATTCGAAGCCAGCGCCTGCGTGAAATAAGGCAATTGCTTGCCATTATACACGCTGGAGTTACCCGAGATAACGAAGGGCACGAGACCGTTCAGATCCTTGTACGGGTTCGAGCTGGAAGTGACCAGGCCGATGATGGCGCTTTGGTTGACGGTGGCGAACATGGGGATGGTGTTGTTGCCGGGTTTCAGGACGAGGTTGTCGAGGTAGGTGTAGCCCATTGGTGTGCCGCCGATGGAGAGGTCGAGGGTTACGTTGCCCTATAGAGAGGACGGGTTAGATGGATATTGTTTAGGGGTTAGAAGAAAGGGTGGAGGGTGGAGCCGTACCATGGTGATGGTCATCACGGAGGGATTGGGGATGTAAACGGTGCCGTTCATGTTGCGGCCGTTCTTGGGTTCGGTCATGATGTGGAATTCGGTGACGTCGAAGCCGGTGAGCTTGTTCAGGCCTGTCCTCATATATCAGTATATCCACATCCTCATCCAAAGAATTCGAATCCACTGCGCTAATGCAAAACTCACCCTTCATAGAAACAGTCTTATTATACGTAACCGTAGTCTTAGGCAAAGACCCCTCCCTCAACCCAGGCCTCCCATAAATGTTCAACTCAACATCCTCATTCAACATAACCGCCTGCGCAAAGTCACCAAACGCATCCGCATTGCTCAAATCAACAATCTGATCCACATTAACCTCAGCGCCATCCTTGGACTGGACTTCCGGCACCTGCACGGAGGTGAATGCATGGGCGGAACCGAGGAGGGAGACCGAGGCGAGGAAGGAGTAGATCTTGGGGTGGTAGGAGCTATGCGAGCCGATGACTTGGGTTTGCATTAGGTGGAAGGAGTCGGGGGTTGGGTCGGCGATGACCATGCTGGTGATGTTGAGGGTGGAGTCGGTGACTTGGTTTTGGGCGATGCGAGGGTAGCCCACGTAGATTCTGTGATAAAGGTTAGGAAGGGAGTTGGCTGAAATAGTGGATGTAGTTGATATGGGAATCTTGTATAGGAGAGTATACAGTCCGCGATGTCGGGGTTTGATATAGAACTTACACTGGCAACAAGATGACCAGCAGAACGGCGATGAAGATGATCAAATGCACCCACCACCACTTCTTGAAATGCGCACCCAGACGAGCACCAAAGCTGCGCTTCGCCGGGGGCAAGGCAGTGGTGGTCTCCACCTCAGTGACATCAGTCTTCGACATCTTGCAGTGATATAGGTATATGCCGAGTCTGAAGCAATAGATGAATAGTCAGTCAGTAGAGAATCGAATCAAGCACCAATCATCCACCCAATAAAACAACCCAAATAAAGTAAATGAACCTCAAGCCACCATTTTCAATCCGCCCAACTCGACTTACCGAAATAAATTAGATCAGATCCAGGACGAGTCGCGTGTTCGTCAAGATCGAAAGTCGAGAACAAGACAAACGGCAGTGGTACAACCAAAAGCCTTAACGCGAGAGGAGCGGGTCGAAACGAGCGACAAGAAGAGAAAAAAAGAGAAAGAAAGGGAGAAGCTGAAGGTTAATAGTAATAATAGAAATTGCCACAAACCTCAGTACACCTTACAGCAGCAGCCGGTGCAGCCGGGCCTGCAACGTGGGTAGCATTACTTTATATTAATTCGGTGTTCGGATTATTCTTGTCTTGGCTTATTCGCTAATACTATTGTGTATGACGGACTTCCAGCATAGAACAGTTAGACATCAGCTTTTAGTGTCTCTGCCAATGCTTTTGATTTGGAAAAAGGAAATTAGGGTCTCTCGCCGAGCATCACATGTCATGCAAGATACAATGCAGGTCTGATTCAAGGGGGACTATGAGGGAATCAATCAAGCCAGGCAGGAAGGAGTATAGTTGCGCCGCGAGTGGGGTACAGGGCGGAGATAGGGACATAGAACTAGGCCTATAGTAGGACTAGGACCAGGGTCGGATTCCAGAGTTATCATTTTTTTTCTTGGTCTTGTCTTGTTCGTTTCCGCTGTTGGGTTAGCTCGGTCTTTTGGTCTGGCCCTTCGAGTCTTTGGATGCGGGTGTAAGGTCAGGTAGTGGCCTTTGTCCCATCTCCATAGGCTGGTGGACTCCTTTTCCTGGGGAAAGTTCGGAGACTTCGGGGATTGGGGAATGCGGGGGGCGTTGCGCTGTTCCTGGATTGACTTTTGTTTCTTTCCAAGATGTTGTAAAACTATCGCGGACACACCGAGCACTGCTCCTGCAACTGCTATTATTATTGCTGGGTGATGTGCAGTGTCGATCGGATGATCCATGATCTCGATCTTCACTTAACAGTATGAGAAGAACTAGAGCGTTTCAGATTGAGTTTATGAGCCGTACAGACCTGCAAAAAGACACTATACGAGCAAAGCAACACACACGACTCACGAGGCTTGGATTCGCCTCCTGCGCCGTCGATGATAACGCAGTCTAGCTCTCGCCGCTAAGTCGCATACCTCGGGGGGCGTTGTGGCTAAGAAGATCCATCAGCTGCAGAAGCATGTGCAAATGCAATAAAACCAAAAAAATAAAATAAAATGAATACGCCATGGGGCCGGGCGTCGCCGTTAATCCTTCCTCCAGACTGGCTTCCAAGCCTATCATCGCATGGATGCAGTGTTAGTCCACACCCTCCACGAGTCACGACACAGAAAACACAGCGCTGTACGACAAGAACCCTACCTGTGTTGAACTTGAACATTGGTGGCAGGTGGGTCCAACCCCCCTTCTACCGTTGCACCGACCATCCGGGGTTCAATCTGCTAGAGGGGTGGTCATTGGTTACCCGCTGTATCTAGCAGACTAGCTGCAGGCGGGGCGGCTCGCCAAGGCGCTGGGAGCGACGAGTCGGGCTGGGGAAAAGAGAAAACATGTGGGCGGTGTCATGTTAGACTCCGGATCCATGGATGTCCGGTTTTTTTCGGTAGACTTTCGGGGATGGACTGGGCTAGTCAAGTCTCGCGACTCGCGTATTCCCCTGTGAGTGTTAAGAACTGCTGATAGTGTAATTGTAGAGTCCTGGTGGCGTCTAAGCGAGGGGTTCGTGCCGAAGATGTCTTGGACTGTGTTGTGGCTCTAGAACGAGTTGGGTCAAAGGTCCGGGGCTGGAGTCACGGGGAAATGATCCACTTTCTGGGGGAAAATTGGGGGCAGAATATAAAAGAATAAGAAACAGAACGAAAGAGAGTGACAATGGAAATGAGTCCTACTATACCCAGATTATTATCACAGGTTACAACATAGTCCTATCGAAGAGGTACACAGTACACATGTGACACAGTAGATACGAGCAGCTTGAAATAAGCCGATCCGATCAAATTTCTCAAGTAGACAGATCATCAGCCCTTCATACAGTAACTGGCTACACAAGGAAAACCAATCAAAACACCTGTCCAACCGGGTGGACTGAGTCCCCAAAGAAGAGCTCGATAGTCGACACCTCTTCAGAGAAAAATAGATAATTGACACTGATCAACAATAATGTCCACGCAAAAAATAGAAAAAAAAGAGAAAAAAGACACGGCCTCGGATAGAGTCATGACAGGTGATCGCGATTTCTCGCTCCATACAACGTGAGCGTCTGCCGAGAATGTAATTCACACAAGGGGAAAAGTATGAGAATGAGAAAGAATGTCCAAAAAAAATAACGGGGGATCAGCCCCAGTAAAAGATATGGCCAAGAAAGGAAAAAGGCAATGGTAATGATAAAGGGGAAGGATGAGAAGAGAAACTTAAAGCCATGGCGACAAATATAGAACAAATGGTAAAAAGAACAAATCGAAGGGTATCCATGGAGAATTGAAGTATTATGCCCGCGAGGCAGGTGGAAGGAATCAATGGTCCCGTCCACCATGCTCGATGAAAGCTGCCCAGGCGGCTGAGGTATAAATGGGGAAATGCCAGAAGTGAACAGATAGAAATAGGCAAGAAAATGGCAAGAAATGAAGAAAAAAAAAAAAAAGGATGAAGGAGTGGACGATAATCAAAAACAAATAACTCAAAAAAGCATCGCAGAAGAGGTTGAAGCAAACCAAGTGTTTCAGCTCAGAACGCTCCACAAACGCATTGCTTCAAAATGCAAAATGAATGCGGGACAATCCCCCAGGGGGGGGGGGGGGGGGGCGATATGCATATTGCACATGTCAACAGACAGAGATAGATAAGATTGGGGGCTCTTTCCAAGCATCAAAAGGCAATCTATGCCTCGGGAACAGACTTCTTCCGCTGGAAAAGACTGCGAGTGCGCGATTTGCTACGCGGCTTCTTGTCGCTGCTAACAGTTCGTCCGCGAGCGCGTCCACCACGGCTGTCATCTTCGGCCATATATTTGGACTTGTAGATCCTGTAAACGGGTTAGAGAGCTTCCAATGTCGAATGAGAGTGTTGCTAAAACGTACCAGCTGTTGCCAACCATGCTCATACCCTTAGACTCAGCCTCACGGTAGAACCGCGCAGCCTTCTTCATGTCTTTCTTACAACCCACACCCTCGGCGTAGCAGAATCCGGCTTCCGCCATGGCATCCACATCACCCCATTGACCGGCGATTTCGAAGCATCGCAGAGCCAGGGATTTATCCTGCTCGATACCCCAGCCGTTGAGATGGCTGACACCCAGCTCGTAGATACTAAGTGCGAACTGGGCCCGATAGGCCTTTTGCAACTCCTTGGCCTTAGAGGCACCTGGGGCGTCGGGGTTCTCGAGCATTTCCAAGCCAACAGAGTCCACCGCCTTGCGGAGCCATCGTACTCCTTCTTGCTGGTTGGGTCGCATGCCCCATCCGTGGCGCAAGGCAAGCGCGTAAAGCAGCATACCGGTGGGGTTGTTCTGCTTCGCAGCAATGCGCAGGTGATAGGTCGACTCGTTCAGCGAGCCTGCCTCGTGCAACTCAATACCCTTGGTGACATGATCATCAGCCGTGATAACAGTAGATGGTGTCTGGGTGGCCTGCGTGGTCGCTCTCTGTGGGCGAAGAGTACTGGCCGAGTCGGCAGATGAGACGGTCTCATCCCTGTCGCTGGTTCTCGGCCGCGTAGACTCGGTGGATGGTCGAGGAGCCCTTTCACTGGTCCTAGGTGTCCTAGGTCGAGCAGAGTCGGTGGATGGCCGGGGAGGTGTGACCACAGGAAGAGCTGGAGCGGGTCGAGGGGGTGAAATGGGTGCCGGTGGTGCAAGCTTAGTCTCATGGACTGGAGCTGGGCCGGGAGCAGAAACCTCATACATGGAATGGGGCTTGGGCGAGCTCTCCAAGCGGGAATGTGAGGGAGGGGGAGTTCGAGCAGAGCGTGGTGGCTCCTCTGAATGCCGCGGTGGAGAATTCTCAAACAATGGCTCTTGCCATTCAAAATGAGGTGTTTGTAGGCCAGCGAACACGACCGAGTCTCGTGAGACCATGCGGCCGCGTGGCAGAGAATATTTGGCATACACATAGGAGGACACCGCAGAGGAAGGCTCTCCGTCCTCTGCTTGAGTACCAGCCGCCTCCTCAGTAGCCAACGGTACCAGAATTGGCGTGGGTTTGCTCGGTCGATGCATATGATGCGACTGCCGATTCCACCGATGCTGCTGCTGAGGAGTCATGGCTGGTGTCGTGCTCGGTTCAGAGGTAGCAGACGGGCCCGGGGCAGACAGACTGGTGCTAGATCGGCTCAATGGCCGAGAAAAGTTGAACGAGGGCCGGGGAAGGTGGCCAGTAGCCGAAGTTTCTGAGCTCAGCGAGGGTGAACGAGGATGCATCCGAGCGGGATAGTTTGACATGGGCGAGTATGGTAACGAGACGGCACTCCCCGAGGACAACTTGCGCGGCTTGGAAAATGTCGAGCCCGCATTCGAGCTGCTGTAGTCGTCATCAGAGCTTTCTGGGTTCATCACCTTGGCGCTACTCGATGGACGGGAATGCGGGGACACTGGTGGTGCCAGGGTGCGCGGAATATGCAGTCGCGATACCGAGTCAGTCGAAGACTCGCGCGAAGGGTCGTCCATCGCCAATCCCATTGAACCACCCTCCGCGCCGCTTGCAATCGAGGGATCATCTTCGGGCGACTCCGCACGGGGTATGTCGTAGCTACTCGAGCTGGTCCGTATCATCGTCGTCCGCGGTGTAGAATCATCAGCATATGAAGAGTCGGCATTGCTGCTAGCGTGCGAGACGGAGCTGAAGCGGGGGTGCTCCGAGACAGGTCGATACTTGGGATCCTCGAAATCCGGGTGTGCTCTTATTGTCGGCTTTCGCGTAAGATTATCGACCTGGGACTCGCTCGACGGAGCGCGGAAATAGCCCGGGCGGGGGGTAGACAGCGATCGGGCGACGCTGGAAGGGGGCAGTCGGCTCATGCGCCGATCTCGTCGTCGGGATTCATCCAGTTGTTTGGCGAGGAATCGGCCTTGAGCGGCGAATGCATCCAAGGGAGACAGCGCCGGAGGGACTTCGCCATCGTAGTGTTCGATGCGCGGTGATGGAATGCCGCTTCGCAGGGTGTCGTGGGAGGTTGAGCGACAGTCGCTCAAGTTCCCGCGCGATGCCATCGTGGGAAGAGGGGGGCAATTCAAAACTTCCGTATGAACTCTGATCGGATCTAATCGTCGGTCGTCGTGCGTTCCTTAGGTCTCAATGAATCGACAGTCGAACAGGGGGACGGTTGGGGGTCTCGGTTGTCGGTTGTCGGGTCAAATCATCCAGACTCTGGGGTCATTCAAACCACACACAGGACGCATTTGAGACGAAGTGTTTCAAATCAGTATTCAGACACGCTGAAACGGCGTAATCACAATCGCAGCCTCGGTCGGAGGGAAGGAAGGAGGAGGGGCTAGACGGGGAATTCTCTGGGCGGGGGCGATGAGGCCAAAGGAATGACAGCCCAGAAAAGATGGGAGAGGGGGAATAAGGTCAGAAGTCGAGAGAGACCAGATGAGACATGGAGGAGAAGATGGAAAAAGACAACAATGGGCGGGACAGTGCGTCACAGGAGAAAGGAGGAAAGAAAAGCGGGCGAGGCCCTGACGATCACAATGCAACTGGAGAGAGACGGAGACTCAGAAAGAGTACAGTTAGGTAGTGAGTGGATGACTGGAGTCGCAGTCGTGGTCCAACAAGGGGCGCCCCGTGCACTTCACTGTGGACAATTGGGCTCCACTGCTGTTCTCGTCTGGATTATTTGTTCCCGTGGCCAAAATCGCATAAAAGAGAGCAGGAGAGAAGGATAGGAAGTGGTCACTTTGTTTAATTGTCACTTGTCATTGTCGACTATTGAAGGGGGGGCCAATAATGCAGGTTGGCTGGGCTGCATGGATGTACTCCGTAGTCCAACTCCGTCGTGAAGTCGTTCAGGGGGTCGCCAAGAATAACTCCAACAAGAAACCAACACGGAGGACAAGGATGGAGTAGTCACTGGTCAGTACTAACTACACTGTCTCCTCTATTGACGCCATCCGCCACGGGTTCCTATAGGTCTTACATATTCGGGAGGAGATGTCTTATACAGGTCTGAAGTGTATAAAGGAGGTTCTATGAGCTGGGATAGGCTCATGGGAGATATGATATCTCTAATGGAATCACGGATCTATGGATGAGAGGAAACAATGCTCTTTAATAGGTGATCAAGTCTCAAGAGGGCGTCCATGATCAGCAAGCCTTCTAGAATCCTGTCCGTACCGTCCCCTATTATTATTATTATTGTTGACTATCCACAGGACATTCGTGGCCCTCTCGTTAGTCCGTCTGCCTCGAACCAACGACAGAAGCAGTTTAACCCCATCGTCTCCCCACACGGGCGGTTTCATGCTGGTCTCCTCAAGCCGAGCAAGCCCACTACAGAGAGACCCATACACAGACTAAGGAGGAGTCCTTTCATCCAGAGGTTTGTTTATATACTGTAGTTGTTCCTCTCCTCCAAGCTAGTGGTCCGTCGCCTTGTCTGAATCAGTAGATTGAGACCTTAATACAAGTCAATCATTCGAGAATTATCGAGCATATTATTCCAGTCAAATTTGTACACACTGGCCCCTCTTAATACAACCTAAGCCTTGCCAAACTTTGTTCCTAATATAGGGCCGAAAAGTCTATCATGCAAATCTCCAAGCGATCGACTGTACATAGTACTGTACATATATCGCCAACAGCCTAACACCACACTCCAAGAATATCTCCGAGAATCTATCCCTTTCTCAATCTTCTTTCCTCATTCACAAACAATTCTGAATTCTCTCTCAACTCGGCCCTCTACAATCTGAGACTGTTCCCATTTCAGGAGGTTTCAGCCGGCCACAAGTCCTGGTAACCGTGGGAGGCCTAGCCGCAGTACAAGAAACTAACTACTTTTAGTATGTGGTAGTCACCCTAACAACAATTTCACCGTCGCTAAAAAACGGTCATTAAGTAATTCACTTAGCAAGTTAGCTTCTCTAGGTAAGTAAAGTTTGTGGCAGGAAGAAGCAATAATTTAACCAACTCTAATCATCAACTGTCAACTAGAACCGACCTGCTTGCGGGTCAACGTCAGCCCCCCTAATCCGTCCCAAAGCGACCGCGGCTGAGCTTCGACGATTTATAGTTGTCACCTGGAGACCTCATTTTTTACCTTCTTCCTCTCTTACTTAAGTACTTGGTACTCTCTTCACCTTTCATCTGCAGTTTGTCTGGGGGAGGACTACTGCCTTGGTAAATCCTTACTCTCCATCTCATCGACACTCATCCCCATATCCTCCTATCTCCACAGCTTCAACTGCAACCATCAGCAGAAATTTCACCATGCGCCGCGTCTCCTTCGCAACGCTCTTCGGAGCAGATCCCATCTACGACACCCTCCACCGGTTCGAAACCTCCTGGCTCCTCCCCCAACCATCCTCGCCGCTCTCCGCGGCCTAATCGCCCTGTACATCTTCACGACAATCTTCTTCATCTGGGGCTGGGATGGAACCCACGGTGACCGCAAGGCCATCGGTCAGTCGTTTAGCTACTTCACCTGGTTGACATACTGGGGTCTGGGCTTTTACCATCTCTTCGCGGCGATCCATACGGCATGTTATGCGCGGACGGGGCGCTCGGTGCTGTTTGAGAAGTGGCCGCGTGCTTGTCGCGTGTTGCATGGTTGGTTGTATGCGACTATCACTACGTTTCCGTTTTTGGTGACGATTGTCTTTTGGGTTATTCTTTTTAAGCCGCCGTTTTATAAGGAGACTTTCCTTGGTTGGTCGAATGTAAGTTATGGATTGTCCCGTGTGACTTTCAGCCCTATCGTGAAGGGGAAGTGTTTGAGTTCGTCTGAGGATGCATGTTTCACCCCCCTGCATTCCTCGAACTCGAACTCGAACTCAAACCTCGGACCTCATTTCCGAAGGAAAATATCAAAAGCTAACAACACAATCCAGATCTCCCAACACGGCCTCAACTCGCTCTACGCCCTCCTAGAAATTATCCTCCCCGCAACAGCCCCCCACCCGTGGATGACCATCCCCGTGCTCATCCTCCTCCTGGCGTTCTACCTGTGCGTCGCATACATCACCGTGCACACGGAGGGTTTCTACACCTACTCTTTCCTCAACCCAGCCGCCAATGGAAGCGGTATCGTCGCAGGCTACTGCTTCGGCATTCTCGCCGCGATTACCGTCATCTTTTTGATTTCTTGGTCGTTGATTCGTCTGCGTGTGTTTTTGACGGGTGATAAGAGGAAGCGCGCAGCAAGGGATCCGTTGCGTGGGCAGGATGGGTATTCGGGTGTTGAGACGGGGCTGCGGGAGGTGAAGCCTTGAAGCCTGCGCGGGTGTAATTGGGTGTGTTTGGGGATGGGGAGGGGAGATGATGATGGTGGGGGAAACTTTACATAGCTTACGCATTGACGAAACTTATTCGTTGATGGTTAAATGTCTACATGAAGTAATGTTAATCAGGGTGACCAATTCATTTGGTGCTATTAGAGCGAAGAGTATATGTTGATTGTATGTACAGAGTAGCGTAGCTCCGTCGATTAGGGTAGAGTTGAGACGGGGTCACTTTTGCGGCCCGGAAGACGGATAAGGAAATGGTCAGTCAGTTTGACTAACAAGACAGGAGGAGCTAGTTCACTATATCAAACTCGCTCCCAGCTGTTCTCACTGCCACTGCTAGAGCTGCCTGTTCCCACGGTTTGTCCGCTGCGGTAACCCATCATCAAGCCCACCAACCCACTGGGCATCCAATCGCCGATCAGACTGTACGACCGCGCACCTCGGCCAACATACAAAACAGATTTCTTATGCGCACGACGCCCGAAGATGTTCCGGGACGCTGGCTCCAAGGCATCCAGCACAGCGTGGTGAAGGACCCGCGCAGGAGAGCCGCGAATCGCAGCAGGTCCCGCAGAAGCAACTGGCCTCTGCTCCACGCTATTCAAATATTGAGGGCCATACAACGCCCTCTGTTGCACGCTCCATGCCAGAACTTCCGTCCCAGCAATATGGTTCTGCGCATTCCGGTACGATGGGCCCAGGTCGATATTTCCAAGCCGGAGCTCGACAACATCGACTTTTCCATTCTCCAGAAGACGGAGTTCCTGGCGGAGAGATGTTGCAAAGCCTGAAATAGCCCGGGTCGTGGTAACTTCGGGCCCGGCGAAGGGTGCGGACAGGGATGATGAGATGGATGGGTAGGCGAAGATGAGAGAGCTGCTGTTGCTGCGAAGGGTCAGGAGGGGGAGGAAGACCTGCGCGGTCAAGATGGGAGAGAGGAGTCGGGTGTTGACGGTGTCCGCCCATGATGATGCTGGGATGGTGGCAACTGGTCCGGCGGCGTAATTTGGCGAGGGTACAATGATAACACCGCTCAACTGGCAGGTATGCGGGGGCATCCCTGGGAGGGGAGACTGAGGTTGTGTGATCAGAGCGCGAAGCTCATGGAGCGAAGGGTGGAGTTCTGATTGATTTGACGAGGTCTAATTTGACGTTAACATCAATATCGTCTGGTTTTCTTGCTTTGAGTTGAGACGAACCGTTGTCAAATCCAGCCACAAGGGTTTGATGTCTGCCCGGTGCTCCGACTGAACGATATGTTCCTCCTCCGCAGACGATACCGTCACATACACAATATATCCCCGGCGCTCCAGATCTGCAGCGATAGCTCGTGTCATCGGTTCATGCGGCGATCCAGCAAGGACTGATATCGTTCGTTAGCAGCCCAATCTTCATGGCAAGTCTTGTCGGGTCTAAAGCATCCCCTCAACGTACCAACAATCTCCTTCCGTGACCCATTACCAGCCTTCCTAGCCTTCCTCCGCTTGCTATTCAACCTTTTGTTCCCATACAACAAAACACACCCAGTGCCGACGAACGCAACGATAGCCGCGGTCAGCGCACGATTCCGAGCCACCCAGTCCTGGACCCGATCAGTCAACCCACGCGGCGGCGAGCGCATATCCCGCATGCGCAGCGTCGGCCGAACAGCTGTCGGTAGCCATGATTGATGTGCGAGGGTTTCTCGGATCGTGGCTGCTGCCCAGTCGACCTGGCGATCGATTGAGTCGGCGACTTGCAACGAGTATCGCCTTACGTCATGCGGTATGGACGCGAGCTGAAGGGACAGAACCTGTTAGCACGGAGAAGATATATTGATCAAATTTCATTGTCATCACTCACGTAGTCAAGGAAGAACTGATCGTCGCTCGTCATGATGGTGTCTGGTTGGAAATCTTGAAAGGTGAAGATGGAAGACGATAAGCTCAAAGCAGCCGATAAGTCGAGACCATCTCCGCTTTATCTAAAAGTCACGTGCTCCGGTTGACGGTCTGCACGTAGGTCGGGTTACTTTGAATTGGAGTTTACAAATTTGGATTTTAGAACCACGTGGAAGTGACAAAAATGAACCATTAGGAAGACATTGCGAATCATCAATATGAAGGTGTGGTACTTTAGTCAAGGGGACTTTCACATGCTTCTTGAATGACCGCTTCGTAGACATATATTTTCTCAACCGGAACAGGAACTGTGGATGACGTTGAGAGTATACTAATCTTTGAAGAGGAGCATGACAATTAACAAGAAATTTCCGATAGTTAGGCCTAACAAATAGACTATCTATCTCTTTTACGGCCATAGTGAAACCTTATGGCCCAGGAGAGTCCCTTATTGCATTCACGTGAGTATTTCGGCCTGAGATTCAAGGCCAATACAAGGCCATCAACCAGGTTGATTATCAATTGCAAGTGCCACTGGTTCGCGCCATCCTGTTTTCCTACAGCTTACAGCATCCTTGTTTTCGCTTCTCTGTCAGTCTCCGATGTTTTAAATGGTGATTCCTTGACTTTGTACGATTTGAATACTCGGAGAATGATACCCCTGGCAGGCCTCAGCCTCAGTATCCCTTGACCTAGTTGGAGCCTCTCGTTTATCGTCACAGCCAATCCGATTCATTCATTTGCTTTCAAAATGCGAGAACTAGACGCCCTTATTTCCGAGTATCGCCATGAGAAGAAACGCCCCCGCGAATCGGAGGCGCTTTTTATCCTGCGCAAAGTTGCCTCCTTGGTTAAACCCATTATGCGTCAACGCGCGTGGAGAGTCGGCGCGCTATGCGAGTTCTACCCAACGCAGAAAAACCTCTTGGGGTTGAATGTCAACTATGGTCAGAAAATCTGCCTGAGGCTACGGTATCCTTCCGACCAGCGGCAATTTCTGCCCATCGAACAGGTCGTGGATACGATGCTGCACGAGTGGGTCACCCTAATATATGCTTCACGCAAGAGTCTTTCTAATGAATGTTTTAGATTGTGTCATATTGTGCATGGCCCGCATGACCGCCAGTTTCATGCACTTTGGAACCAACTTCGAGACGAGCATGAGGAACTCGTCATGAAGGGTTATACTGGCGAGGGCTTCCTATCTCAAGGCAAACGTCTTGGTGGAAGCAGAATCCCGCTCGATGAAGCCCGCCGTCAAGCGCGCGCAGCTGCTGAGCAACGAAGGGTTCTGACTAAGAACTCCGGCAAAAGACTCGGCGGTGCTCCCGTTCTCCGGGGTACAGACATGCGCAAGCTTCGTGCAGATGCTGCTCAACGACGTATCGAGGTTACTAATGGATGTGCCTCGGGAACCGACCGGAGCGAAGAGCTTGCCGAGGAGGCTTCTAGGAATGGGTTTAGGACACAGGCAGAAGAGGATGATGCGAACGAGCAAGCTATCTTGCAAGCCTTTATTGAACTGATCCAAGAAGAGGAACGAGAGAAATACGGGGACTCGTACATTGCTCCGAGTCAAGAGAATCCGGCCGGCCCGAGAACGCATGAACCACCGGACACATCTGATTCTACTGGGACAGCGAAGAAACCAGACCCCGGGGTACCCCCAGAGCCGACACCTGGCACTTTAAAATTCGCCGCAGACAACAACACGTACGAGTCACCGTGGACATGTACAACCTGTACCCTGGAAAACCCACCAAACTTCCTATGTTGTGATGTATGTGCTGCCGAACGGCCGGTCCCCTCAGTGGACAAGCCCGCTGTCATCCCACGGCAGCAAGCGCCAGCTGTACGTGCAAAACCAGAGCTGGAACGATCGAAGAAACGAGTCTTGCAAATCGACGGAGAGGAAGAGAAAAATGAAGCTACCCCCAGAAATAATTTTAATTTTAAGAACCGCACTCGGGCGTTGGATACACTTGCTTCAATCCACCGCGACGCGAGTAAACGACCACTGGGCTGGTTATGTGAGCAATGTGGGAGTTTCATGGAGAGCCAGTGGTGGACTTGCTCCTGTTGTGGGAAATTGAAGCCGTCATCTTGATTTCGGTTATTTTTAGACTTGCCGATGGGGAGCATCCTCATAATGAGAACCACGAACTTTATGATCTGTTAATACATGAATCTTTTAGCTCTATATCCTTCTATACAACGTTCTATCATTCTACACCCTAAACACCTGGATCCACTATAGATACCACGTGACATGATACTACATGACTAATCACCAGCTCCACCCACCCGATTAATTTTGCGGACTTTCATTTCTCTCACTTCTTCCTCCCGCACACGCGAACTCGCGATTTACAATCGACACTCGTCCAGCTTGGAAAGAGCCTAGTAATGCCCTAGGTGCTCTTCCATGCTGGATGTTAACACCCAATGGTACGTTCATCTACAACTCGTATTCCGCGAACGCCGCGAGGAACAACGCACGGAGTGAACAAAGCAAGCCGAAAAGCTTCAAATGATGAGACCTTGCAATGAACCGAATTTTTAGGAAGAGCCGGAAGAGGTATGACAAATAGGGCCCAAAAGAGGATTCCGTTTGTCGTCGATGCTTATAATGGTTCTGCTGAAGGAGTTTTTGAGGCTTGCTGTTCTTTTCTCTTGGTTCCTCGCTGTCGTGGGGATGAGAATGGAATGAAATATTGTGAGATGTGTTACTAATGCTGTCTCGCTGTATAGGACCTCGATCGTTGTTGAAGGTTGCAAGACACTTGTTTATGGATAGGATTGCTGGATTGAGTAGACTAGTTTTCTCATGAGAGACTTGCCGGCGATATCATCGATTGAAGTGGGTCATGACATAGAACTCCCATAAGGAATGAAGCTATATTCAGAGACTATTCTAGTATAATACATCCCTTGATCTTTCTCTTAACTCCCAAGGATATAGAACTTTTAGTAGAACAAAACCAAACATGCAAAAATTTCCAAAACAAAACAAGGTCAACGAAATGACCCACAACGCCCATTGACATGCTCAGAACAATTCCAATCCCCTCCATTAGGCGATGCTCCTGAATTGACGCTTTTTGCCGGTTCCCTTGCTCGCCTGTGCTGACGTGAAAGACTCCTCATCGATGTAATCCTTGGTGCTGTGCTCGCGAATCTGGTTGCCAATGATCTGCAGCGCAGACAGGTTGAAGCCCATCTCGTCCTTTTGGCGGGCCAGGACCCGGCGCAGCGAGGCGCGGATGCTATCCAACATCGGGCGCATCAACTTGCTGGTCACGATCTGGCGGTGGTGGGTCTTCAGCATGAAGAACAGGACGCGACAGGTAAGAGGCACGTTCCACTCGCGCTCAGCCCAGATGTTGAGGAAGGTGAAGAGCGATGGAAGCTTGGAGAAGGGGATAACCAAGAGCGCATCTTGAAGGGCCGCGGCGGGGATCTTTTGCACTGTGTTCAGGACGTGCTGCTCAGCAGAGATGTTTCCCAAGGCGATGTACGTCGGGTTGCGATCCGGAGGCGCAGCACCTGCTTTGGGGTTTCTGGCCTGGACTTTGCGCCATTCGCGCATGACTTCCAGATCCTCCATGCCCAGATCAAGAGCTTCCATGATCTTCTCACCGGCCATGAGGGTGCTGGTAGTCTGCTTGCCAGCATCGACAGCCTCTGCCTTCTCGCCGTCCTCGTTATCGTCGTCCTTCTCGAGAGAGGCAGTAAGAGTACTGTCATATGCCTCTTCCATCTCCTTCTCACGCTCTTCCTCAAGGAAAAGCTCCTCGTCGGTCTGCTTCCACACGCGAATGCTCTTGTCGTGACTAGCACTGACGATGAATTCACCATCGTGGCTGATTGCCAGCGCCCAGATTTCTCCGTGGTGGCCAGAGAGTTTCTGGATCTGCTCGAACTTGTCTCCATCCCAGTACTTGATCACCCGATCCTTACTAGCACTGAAGAAATTGTGACCGTTCTGCTCCCTGTTGGTGGGAACAAATGCCACTGCCATGACACTGTCCTCGTGGGCTAATAAAGCCTTGTGGCAGTCACCAAAGTCGAGGCCCCAGAGACGAGCGGTCTTGTCGGCAGAGCAGGTGACAATCATTTTGCTATCGTAAGAAATGTCCATGCTTAGGACGGGCAGCTTGTGGCCGTAGAGGTTGAGGAAGAGCTTCAAGGAGTCGACGAAGAAGACCTTGACGGTGTTGTCCAGCAAAGAGACCGCCAAGAGGCGTGCGTCGGGAGAGAATCGGAGACTGAGAATGTCGTCGTTGACCTTTAGCGTTCTTGTGTGCGCTAACTTGAGACGCGGTGTTGTGCGCTTGGTACCGGGAATCTCCTCCTGAACAACTTTGAACTCCCAGAATTTGGCCGTCTTATCCGCACTTCCACTGACCATAGACTTGCCATCGGGGTGCACATGGAGAGACCATACAGGACCATCGTGGGCCTTGATCGTGTCGAGCAAGGTTGAAGACGCAATATCAAACACTTCCAGCTCGCCGTTCTTGTTGCCAACCACGACGATCTTGTCACCAGGAAGGAAGGCAGAGCAGAGAGCGTAACCGCACTCGAGGGTACGCAGGCAAGTGCCCGTGCGAACATTCCAAATCTTCAGACTTCCATTTGATGCGGACGCAAGCATCCGATCCTCAGAGCTCAGTGCAATTGACCGGATATCTGCTCGGTGGCCGGGGAGATCGACGGCCAGGTTTCGGGTGTATTCAGAATCCTCCTCTTCCTTGTTCTTTTTGTTCGCTGTGACGACGCTGTAAGACTCTATCTGGTTGTTTGTCGTCGCGGCAAGAAGGCTGAGACCACCGCTAGACTTGGTAATCATCCAGTCAAAGGAGCGAACCTTTCCGCCGGTTCGCACAATGACATGGGGAATGAAAACCTCAGTGACTGGGGCGGACGAAGGATCCTCAGCCTTCTCCTTGTCGGCCTCTGCGTCATCTTCCTTGCCCTCACGCTTAGCCTCCTTCTCCTTTCTCCTCTTCAGCTTGCGAGCCATGGCCTTTTGGACTTCGGTCTGGGAACGAATGCGCCAAACCTCAACCGACCTCTCCGAGCCGTGGAAACCGACGTAGTCCGCACGAGGGTGGAATCGAATTCCAGTTGTGCGATCTTTGCCATTTCTGTAGAATGTACCTCGATCCGTGAGGATCCTCTGACCTTCCGCCGCAACCTTCTCCCTTGAGATCTCAAGCATGACGCTCTCATTAATCGACCAGACCTTCAGCTCGCCATCATTACCGGCCGTAATGCAACCACCTTGGTCAGGCGACAAACCCAGACTCCAGCACTCGCCATTTGTTTGCGCCACATGTGTCTCAATGCAGTGTTGCGACGCCAGATCCCAGACCTTGACCAAAGAGTCCTTGCCGGTAGTCAGTAGGAAGCCGGCGTGCTCGCTGAGCCCGGAGGCATTGAGAAGCTCGGTCGAGGGGAAAAGGAAGTTCAAGGAAGTAATTTGATCGGTGTGTCCGCGCAGTCTGAATATTCCGACCTCGGCGATCAGGTCCCATAGAATAATATCGGTATCCTTCGAGCCACTGGCGAGGCGCACACCGGCATTGTCGAAGACCAATTGCGTAACGGCAGTTTTGTGTCCATTGAATGAAATAATGATTGTGCAGGTTCTCGAGTCCCAAATTCGGATACTACCGTCTTCATAACTAGATGAGAGCAAAGTATATGTCAGTAATTGGATCCTATTGGCTTTGCGCTGGGGCATTTACCCAACGGCGAAGATATCTTCATCTGTCTGGCTCTGCACGACCACTGTCACCTGTGCCCTGCAAGCAGAATCACGCCAGCGGCCTAGCAATTCACCCTTCTTGACATCCCAGCACAATACTTCTTCACTCGCACCCACGATTGCCCGACCGGCGCCCGTCTGGCGAGCAGCACCGGGGGTCTGCTCATCCTTGGCCCAGATCGCATTTGACGACGCCGAGGCGATGAGCCCGAACGTCTCCGAGTGCTCAAATTTCCTAGGAGAAAACAAAGTCAGTCTGCAAATTAACCCATTCCCACGGAGTCGCACTCACAAGTACGATTTCACCATCGTCGCGAGTTGATGGGAAAATTTTTGGAGACTCCGATCTGCTATCGATAGCACAAAAATTAATACGGGCGGCGACAGCGACCTGTCCGGCTCCCCCACCGCCCATGACGACCGCAAAGGTGCCTCCTTCAACTACCAACATCGTCTCATTCCACTCCATTGTGTTGCCCACCATGCTTCTCTTGGACTATCAGAACGCTTTAATTCAATCTCTCCTCACAGAGCGGTTCTCAGGGTACAATTTCCTTTGCCTACTTGCTTGCGTCCTCCCTTTCCCCCTCAATGTATACACATCAACCCCTCAAGGCCCCCAAGCTAACGTTTGCCCGCAGTGCTGCCCCGGTTTCGATTGACCAAGTGGTCTCCGACTTTGATGGCGTGACCTTTCACCTTTCGACCCCCGAATCCAAGACCAAGATCCTTATCTCCATCAATGTGAAGTGTTTCAAGGAGCTCGTTCAGTATGGCGCCCAGGAGGTGTTGGAGCGCGAATATGGGCCGTACATCGTCTCCCCGGAGCCGGGCTATGACTTCTCAGTACAGATCGACCTCGAGAACCTCCCCGCGGAACAAGAAGCCAAGGATGAGCTGATCATGAAGCTTGCCTTGCTGAAGCGGAACGCCATGGCAGCTCCATTCGAACGGGCCTTTGATGAGTTCGCCAAGCTTGCGGAGGAGGCTTCCCGGTACACATCTGAGTCGGCGCCGCAGGGTATGAAGGAGGGTGGAGAGGTGATGGCTATTCATTACCGCGAGGAGGAAGCAATCTACATCAAGGCTAGCTACGACCGTGTTACAGTGATCTTCAGCACCGTGTTCCGGGAGGAGACGGATCGCATCTTTGGCAAGGTCTTCTTGCAGGTTCGTGTCATACACGCGATTGGAGAAGCCGCATACTTGAAATCGATGCTGATTTCTTGTAGGAATTCGTCGACGCCCGACGCCGTGTCGTGACCCTACAGAATGCGCCCCAGGTGCTCTTCCGCAACGAACCCCCTCTCGAGCTTGAGGCAGTGCCCGGACTCAATAATGCAGGCGAAGGCGAGATCAGCTACGTCACCTTTGGTGAGTGACGAGGGTTGAGATATACAAAGTTGAATGGGCAGTGTCACTAATCGTTGCATTCTAGTGCTGTTCCCTCGACACTTGACCCCTCAGCGCCGTTATGAAAACATCTCCCACATTCAGACCTTCCGTGACTACTTCCACTACCACATTAAGGCCTCTAAGGTATGGCAAGCTTGTTTGATGAAGTGCATCTCTTTGAGATCCATTAGTTGAGACCCGGTTACAGGCATACATTCACACTCGCATGAGGAAGCGCACGGCAGACTTCCTTCAAGGTATGTACACTGTAATGGCCTACGTTATCATTTCGCTAACATGTCATAGTACTCAACCGTGCCAGACCCGAGAACGAAGAGCGCGAGCGTAAGACGGCAAGCGGCCGGACATTCCGTGTCCAGAGCTAGATTTCTTGTGACTTTTATGTTGATATCACTGGAGGCGAGCGTTTACGAACTAGCAAAGCATTTTGATTTCCCCATCTTTCGTTTTACCTTGGTAGTATCACAAGCAGATTCGTATATTTGATCGGTCACCTACTGGAGAGATTGAGATGAGATCTCAATTGTTTGTGAGGGTTGCCCGGTAGGTTGCGATGAGAGGGCAGGCTGGCACCTGCCACTACCTTCTTGAGAACCAGCTTGACGCGTACCTTCCTCCCGTTTCATTTTCCCTTCACTTGAGTAACCTTCTCCTCAGCGTCGCGGTTTTTTCATCACAACACCATCACCAGCTTTACACTGTTGCGATCAAATTCCGACACACAAAAACACCACGCCTTCGACCCGCGAGTGTAAGATGAGCTCGCAGAGCAAGAAGAAGTTCTGGAGCGCTTCAGCGTGGAAAACGCGTCTGAAGCGTGAGAACAGCTCCGAGTCTGGAACGACCGGCCCCGCTGACTTTCGCTCTGCCCACTCCTCCTTCGCCACCAACCAGACAGACACGACGGAGGTCCTACCGGAGGAGCAGGCCGAGGTCCTCACTCGGTACTCGTCTTCTGTCTACTCAAAAGATGAGGACGTGTGTTCCGTGGTCCTGCCGCCCTCCGATGACAAGAAAGAGGACCTGGATGAGTACTATCTCGTGAGCTTACCCTGTCTTCCTTTCTCACTTGCCTCTCATATTCCCAACAGACAACCCAAAATGATACTTGGATGCTTGACTGACAAGAAGTAGATCGCGCCGAACCACCGCCACTCTCGTCCGTACGCAGTGAGCAGTGGTGAGTGGGTATTGGTGCCTTCCGACTCCTCCCTGAGTTCGGTCGGGAGGGTTCTGTCGCTGGACGACCTGAACGAGGTGCAGCTGGCGTATTCATTCGAGGGAGTAGTCAAGGTGTTCGTCAAGGTCTATGCGATGGCCAAAGTCACGCATGGTATCTTCCTCAACTTTGGTGCCGAGGTTCGTCAACATACCCTTTCCCTTATGCTGGAGCGAGCGAGTGCATCCATCCGCTAACCATATATCGTTGCCCAGCTTGATGACACTGAGACGGGCTTGTTGTACTGGATCAAGCGTGCGGAGGCAGAGGTCCGTACTGGTGACCTTGCTGTTCTGATCCAGATTGTGGAAAACCTCTTTTATGCGCTTTACTCACGAGTGATCATCGAGATGGCCGGCATCGAGCTCTGTGCTCTCTTCAAAGTCGAATTGCAGCCTCCTGCTGGCTCTCGAAAAATTCGCCTTCCCGACCCGGATCACATGTACCGAATTTTTCTCGCCTGCAAGGACAACCTCGACAATCACAATGTGTGCGAGATGCTCCAGGAAGCCATCGTCCACAGGTGGCAGGAAATCTTTCTTCGCCGTCTTGCAAAGACGGAGATTGAAAATGGGCTCAACCCCGACGACTTGCCAGGCTACCGTCAGTTCGCTAGGAATGTTCTCTCTGATCCATACTCCGCATACGTTGCCAAATGGTGCTATCTTGTCCCATTCTTCCCGTCCATTTCCAAGAAGATTCTGATTGGCATGTCCGAGAAATGGTTCACCGTCCTACCGAAGGCCGCACTTCCTGACGACGTCCCCTCTTCCCAATTGCCTTTCATTGACCTCAAGAGGTGCGATCCCAAGCAATGGGCGAAAGAATTAATTCAAGACTATCGAATGGCAAGTTTGGGCAAACTGGAAGGCAGGTCGATTGGAGACGAGCGTCGGGACGATCCCAAGATTCGACTTCTGAACCTGGCCAAGTGCCGCAAGTGTATCTGTGCATCGACCTGTCTGTGTGCTAGGGAGTGCACCCATTACGTGGAGAGTCCCTGCCCATGTTCTGAAAGATACGTCCGCCTCATGGCGGCCCGTCTTAGCAAAAGCCCCGGCCGGTTTGATTTTTCGACTCGTGCAAACACGGCTGCTCGTGCGTGTTGGGAAGGTCTTGCGAGGCTTCTGCGGGACGTTTCGGATGAGGAGATCCTCCTCGAGTGGAGTGAGGCCTTTGCGGTATTTGAGTTGGAGATTCAGAAGGAGCGCTGGGGTGGGCAGGCTTGAGGAGACTACTTTATGATTTTGCGATGGATGAAGATATGAGATATGACTATCACGGCTCACGAAACAGAAAGTGTTATTATGAATTGACACCTTGGGGGTAAAGGACTCTGGAATGGGGATCGATATCGATTGATCACCTAGCAACTTAGTTTGAATCCAGCATCTAACGTTCTATTTCCCTACGATTCAACGACTCCGACCCATCCTAGGTTCAAGTAGTGCCTGCGAAGTATCTCCTGTCTCTTCTCGGCCTTCACGAGTCTTTGACCACGTTAATGGAAAGCGCGCACCCAGATCCTCATGCGATCACATACATATGACTCTTCTGGGACCCTTGTCGGCGACTCGCTGAAATGATGCTTTGACAGGCTACCTGGTATGTTATTTCGACTACTTTGATAAGTTTTTGCTTTTTTTTCTTAACTCTGTTGTGCAAAAGTCCTGGGCATTATGGATCTCCTTGGCTAGACTGAACCTTCCAGCAATGGCAGAGGGTTGTTGTCATTGACAATGATGACCGACTTGTAGGTCTTTGACCCAGTAATGCAATAGTTAATAGGCATTTTGGGTATAATGTAGGCCATTAAATGTTTTCGAGGACTCGAGAGGCTTGGGTTCTTTTGGAGACGGATATACTTCCGTGGCAGTCGTGGGATGGTTAAAGATCTGCGATTCGTAGCTTTATAAAACAAGCGGACAGCTAGAATAATTCCCAACGGTAGTTACAAATATACCAGAATAACCTTCTAACAGCGGTGAAAATCGGGACTGGGCGCTGTGGCGTGTTTGTTTACGTACAGTGCCTGGCGGGCGTTGTATAGTTTTTGTTTAGTTTAAACGTTGAGGAAGTGGTAGCCGGATTCGGCTTCTTGGGCCTCGGTCATTTTCGGAGCGTCAATTAATTGGCAATAGAATGGATCACGATAATCGTTAGGAAGTGATAGACCAGTCCAGAGTGATCCGATTAAGTAGGAAGATCTGGGAATGTATGTCCCTGGAGGAGTCATCGTGCGGAGGCGGCCGCATCTCTTCATTATGACATGCGGTACTGTGTAGAGCAGAGCACAGGCGTCGGCGCTGTAGGCCAGTGAAACTTCGCGATACCTCGATCGGCCCCGGTGAACGACGAACCCTGGCCATTTTTCTCATTCTCTGATTTTCCCCAAGGAGTCATCCATCAGTCATCTTTCTTATCTCCCGTCAGCGATTATCCAACTTCCATTTTCCAACCTTCCAACCCCTCCTCATTCCCTGCGGAGAGGCCATGACTTAACGGCCCCCCGAGAACCCACCCTCCCTCTAACCCTCTGGCCTTTGGTGCGCGGAGAGGCGCCCAGTCAGGGATGGTCACCACGGCAGGGGTTCCACCTTCACTCCTTTCATCATTACCATGGGCATGCTCGACTAGACGGATAGCAGGAACAGCAGTCGGAGCAGGTGTGGGAGCGTCTGTACTTTTAAGTCGCAGAGGCGCTCTTACCACCCCGGTTCATTCGGTTCAGGGTCTGGCCCACCGACCGACGGCACGGCGATTGCACACGGCAGTGTGGCCCTCCTACGGCATCACGACCCCCGTCCCCGATCGCCAGCTTCTGGGTCTCGCGCAATCCCCCTTTCGCTTCGATACGGGCTATGCGCTCTGTGCTAAACGACCTCCGCGCCCGTTTCCTCCTCCTTTCTTATCGCTGCCGTCTTCGTCCTTTTCGGATCCCTTGACGACTCATTCACTCAGCCAGGATAAGAGATTATCCGTACGGGGCGAACTGGTTCGCGGTCTAAACAATGGAGACGATGCCATCATCGTTGCGGAGAACTTTTTGGGTGTGGACGACGGGGTAGGCGCATGGGCGACGAAGCCTCATGGCCATGCTGCGTGAGTCGATCCTGTTGAAATCAGCCTTATCTACGGAGTATATTTTTTGTATATGCTGACCTTTAGGCTTTCTTTTTTGCCTCTTTCTCTGCAGATTATGGTCCCGTCTCCTCTTACACTTTTGGGCTCTTGAAATCGAGCGCCGAGTCTCTTCAAATGCAACCACGCTTGACCCTATCGAGTACCTCCAGACCGCATACGAAGAAACTATTCGCGCGACGACCACCCCGACACAGTGGCTCGGCACGACAACGTCAGCTACTGCCCTTCTACACTGGACGCGCGAGCACAACGGTACACAGAAACCCCTCCTCTACGTGACAAATCTGGGCGACTGCAAGATACTCGTAATCCGGCCAAGCGAAGAGAAAGTCCTCTTCCGGACGACAGAGCAATGGCACTGGTTCGATTGTCCTATGCAACTGGGTACGAACAGCGTTGATACCCCGCGCAAGGACGCCGTGCTGTCCAAGGTGGCTCTGCAGGAAAACGATATCGTGCTTGCGCTGTCGGACGGTGTGATGGATAACCTCTGGGAACACGAGGTGCAGACGATCGTCCAGGATAGCTTGAAGAAATGGGACGCTGGACACGTTCAAGCCAAAGATCTGGCGCCTTCGCCAGAGTTATCGGATGATCGCATGGTCTACGTGGCTAGGGAGTTGCTTAATGCGGCTCTGAATATTGCCCAGGATCCTTTTGCGGAGAGTCCGTATATGGAGAAGGCGGTGGATGAGGGCATTGCCATTGAAGGTGGTGAGTTTGATACTGGATGGTCTATGTGCGTTGAGGGTATGGTACTAATTGTTTACAGGCAAAATGGACGATATCTCCGTTGTGGTTGCGTCCTGTCAGAAACGCACCTGATGATTAGCATCTTTACGACCATCTCCCGATAACCTTCGAGACTTTCGAGCCTCTCGCCTGATCTGGAAAGTCAGCCCATGACTGACAGGCACAGAAAGACAGCGCAGCATTTGATATGGGCCGTTTGAGGTCTACTTGGCAGTTCAATTTCCAACCGCCCAAAGAGACGGACGGCCCGGTTATTATGTCCCTATATCCTCGTATCACATATTGGCTTCATTGAACTTCCAAGCCTGTCATACTTGGGGTCATCCAAGCCTCGTGTTGGAGATGAATCTCGACTTGCCATGGTTGGGTGAACGCGACCACGCTTATATTGTCCACGGACAAAAATGCATATCTTGAAGCGGCATACACAGATTGTGCCCTCAACCTTACGACTCTACGAATCATTAATATTCCCTTTTTATGGACGGTGTTGGCGGAACTCCGGAGGCTTTACTCGTTTTGCATAGAACAAGGTGTACCTTGGTTGTCGGACTCTTTTCATATTTCAACATTGCTCTAGAATTCTGGAGATAAATAGCTAAATAATCTATTCATCTGAATTGTGTCAAAGTCTAAATCATAGGAGAACTAGAATCATGTACACCTCTCAGTGTCTTTCTCTGAAGTATACTTCAGTCCTCAGCACAGACCACATCACCGCCTCTGCCGCCGCCCGGCAATATGAAAAAAGTTTCGTCGTTACCGCAGCACAGCAACCTCCGCAATTCATCAACTCCAACATTCAATTCGTTGACTCCCACGATTCAAAATGAGGGCTAAGCGTTCTAAGAAGTATCGCAAACTCATGCACCAGTATGAGCTTACATTCGGCTTCCGTGGGCCGTACCAAGTCCTCGGTAGGACCAGTCTTTCAATGCGAATAGCGGGACGAGTATGCTAACATGCAGATAGTCGACTCGAATTTCCTGCAGCAGGTGCACAATTTCAAGATGGACTTGATGCTCGCTTTAGAGCGCACAGTTCAAGGCAAAGTAAAGCCATGTTAGTACCGCCCCTCTACCACTCGATCTTGTGCCCATCTCCTTGCGAAGTTCAATCTGTATCGGGACGTTTTAAGCTAACGAAACTTCATTAGTACTGACCAAGTGCTCTCTCGCTGCTATCACCGCCGCACAACCTATCAATCCCAAGACTGGCAAACCCTTCCGTCCCTACCACCTCCCCCCGCCAACAGTACTCCCCCTCCGCCACTGCTCGCACAACCCGGAGTCAGAGCCCATCGACGAGATCGACTGCCTTCTCTCGCTGCTCTCGCCAAACGCAGAAGTCAAGAAGAACAAGGAGCATTACATTCTTGCTACCGCCGACCCGGCCGTCAAGAAGTCAGACAACAACAATGACAACCAGCAGCGCAAGCGCAAGCGCGACGAAGAGCGCGAGGAGGAACAAGCTTTGCGTCGGGCCCGCAACCTGCGTGTTCGTGCGCGCTCTATTCCCGGTGTGCCAATTATCTACGTTAAGCGATCCGTCATGGTCCTGGAGCCGATGAGTACGCCGTCAGAGAACGTGCGCGAGGGTGTGGAGAGGGACAAGTTCCGCGTGGGCCTCCCTGAGCCCCAGCCAAAGGCTGAAGATGCTGCGGAAAGTGCTGCGAAGAAGAAGATTCCCGGATTGAAAAAGGCCAAGGGGCCGAACCCGCTTAGTATGAAGAAGCCGAAGAAGCGTACGGAGGAGTCTGGTGCTTCAAAGGCGCCTAAGAAGAGTGACGCTACGGAAGGTTCGAAGGGGAATTATACAGCTGACCAGCCGGATGGTGAAGATGCCGGTGCTCCTAAGAATAAGAGGAGAAGGCGGCACCATAAGAGTGGTCCTCGTGAGGAGAACGAGGATGGCGCGCCATCAGCTGAGGCTGGTCAGGCTATGGAGGTTGAGGCTTGATCACCTTCTCTTGGTTCGGCTATTCTTGCATTGGTACTGTTTCTATCATCCACGGCATGGCGTTTGGGCAGGGAATCTATATCTAAAAGTTCAATATCAACACTGTATCTACGTCTCATGACAAGCATGTTCAATGTAAATTGAGTCTCAGGTTCGATGCTTTGAATCCACATTATCCTACATCACTTAACCTAGTACGGAATCGACTGGAGAATTGCCATAGAGTTCATAGTTTGAAAGGAGTCGTTCATGTGAGAGACGGGTTACATAGCCCGTAGTATATATACAATCAATCCTTCAATATCGTACAGATGTCTCTTTTACACAGAATTGCCCATGAGTAGAGTGCGAAGAGGGGATGAAAAAAGGCTACTACCATAGCCCAACGGAAATGTAACACGCCAAACTCCAGTCCAAGTTCAAAGATAATCGTCACACCTCGAATTCCAATCACTGCTTGGCCGCACCCGAGTTCTCCGCGCCAGGACTTTGAGCAGGCTGATCCAAGGCCCGCTCTTTAGCCCAAATCTCCTCAATGCGCCGCCGGTTGTTGCGCGCATTATCCCGGTTGTTCTTAGCCCGATCGAACCGTTCCACCGAGAGACATTTGTTCACTTCGCGCTTGATATCGTTGCAGTTGCCGAGGGCTTTGTAGATGAATCCACGGGCGTGGCATTCGTCGAGGGCTGTCATGATCTCCTCGCAGTCTATATTGCGAGTGAATTAGCACGGATCATAGATCGTATGAGGTCGGTATCTTGCGGGGCTAATAGGCGTTGGGATTGAGGGTCTGACATACTGATATTGTATGGGGTATGAAGATGAGAATGCATTGTGACAGATTGCAAGCTATTAGCCGAATAGAAAGAACCTGGATGTCTGAATTCAACAATGGCAACTTCAAGAATGGAGTGTTTAGGTCTTTGGTGCAGAGCGACGGACAACCACAAAATCCCCGGGCGGTGAGTTAATCTCCTCAATTCTGCCGGGCGGAACGCCCCTCCCATCACACCGATAAAAAAAAATATCTCCGATAAAAAAAAGATACGGTGATGCTTTGGTGATTGTCGTTCACAATGTCTTCGATGATCACGACTACAGCCTGGGTGCGGCGAGGTGTCGCTGCCCAGTTCCCTACTAAATATGAGATTGACGAGGAGGAGATGAACCGGATATCTAAGCTTGCCCGCATGCAGCTTGAAGAGGCTCAGGATGATCTGAGTGCCGCCAAGGCGGGCAAGATGGATGATGGTGAGGATGATGCTGCTATGGATGAGGACAAGGAGGCCGATGCTACAGAGGAGGGTGAGAAGGAGGTTGCCAAGGATGGAAATGAGACTAAGTCTACGGAGTATGTGTATGCTCATTAGATTGAAACGAGGACAGTGGACTAACCGGGTGGTATAGTGACGACGATGTTTTGAAGGAGTTCGATATGGATCACTATGACAGCGATGATGTCGACGAGGAGGGCGAGAAGATTACCAGATTCGGCAATGTCCAGTCGCTGGCATATCACCAGCCCAACGAGGCCGACCCGTACCTTGTCATTCCCGAGGATGAGGAGGATGAGGACCGCGAAGAGCTTCAGATTCTGCCTACGGATAACCTGCTTCTTGCTGGAAAGGTCGAGGATGAGGTTGCCCATCTTGAGGTTTATGTTTACGAGGACCGCGCCGACAACCTCTACGTTCACCACGACATCATGCTTCCCGGCATTCCTCTCTGCGTGGAGTGGCTCGATATCCCCGTTGGCAAGGGTAGCGAGGGACGGGAAAGCGGCAACTTTGTTGCCGTCGGTACAATGGAGCCTGACATTGAGATCTGGGATCTGGATGTTGTCGACAGCATGTACCCCAACGCCATCCTGGGACAAGGCGGCCAGGATACTGGCAACCCTGCCCCAAAGAAGAAGTCGAAGAAGAAGTCCAAGGCGAACGACGAGTACCACATTGACTCAGTGCTGGCACTGGCTGCCAACCGACAGCACCGTAATCTGCTGGCATCTGCTTCTGCAGACCGCACCGTCAAGCTGTGGGATCTGTCCACCACCACCTGCGCCAAGTCCTACTCGCACCACACCGATAAGGTCTGCTCTCTCGACTGGCACCCCAAGGAGTCCACTATTCTCCTCAGCGGTTCCTACGACCGCACCGTGGTGGCCGCGGATATGCGTTCCCCTGACGCTACCGCCCGCTGGGGTGTTGACACCGATGTCGAGAATGTGCGCTGGGACCCGCACGACCCTAACTACTTCTACGTCACCACCGACGGCGGTATGGTCTACCGCTACGATATCCGCAACGTCCCCGCCACGCCCGCCGAGTCCAAGCCCGTCTGGTCGCTACAGGCCCACGATTCATCCGTCTCGTCCTTCGATATCAACCGCACTATCCCCGGCTTCCTGGTCACTGGTTCCACGGATAAGGAGGTCAAGCTGTGGAACGTCGAGAACGACAAGCCCAGTCTCGTTGTCTCCCGCAGGCTCGACGTCGGCAAGGTCTTCTCGACTGGCTTCGCTCCTGATGCTGAGGTTAGCTTCCGCTTGGCTGTTGCTGGTAGCAAGGGTACCGTCCAGATCTGGGATGCGTCTACTAACGGAGCTGTGCGTCGCGCTTTTGTCTCGCGCATGCCTGATTTGGCTGGTGATGTGCCTGAGCGCATTACTGGTGTTGGTGCGGACGATGAGGAGTCGGATGACGAGAATGTTGAGGAGGGCGGTGATGCTCCGGCTGATGGGCCTGATGGTTGGGAGTCTATGGATGAGGATTAGATGATCCGGATGAGGATGACAGATACCCGTGGATTCATGTCTTGATGTCTGAAAAAATAGATCTCCTATGTTATTTACCTTTACGTTTACCACATATTCATATTATTATGTTTCCTCCTCATGTGTTGTCCTCCCTCTTTCCTACGCTAGTGATATAGTATGTCGGGGGCTAAACAAAAACAAGAAGATTTCTAATTGAATCTATATCTAACACCGAATGTATGCTCGTAAAGTCCCAAAACTCCATAAAACCAGAATATTAAAACTGATCATGATGCCTCCTGGGCGTGGACCAAAGTCGTCAAATCAAGTAGACGATTCGAGTATCCCCACTCATTATCGTACCACGCCATAATCTTGAAGAACTATAGACAACGGTATTAGTATGACATTTCCATTTAAACGTGATAAGCAAGCCTTACCTGAGGGTTCAGCTCTGCACAAGCAGGAGCATCGATGACTGCGCTGTAGGGACTGCCGTTGTAGTCTGTGCTGACGAGCTCTTCATCGGTGACGCGGAGGATGCCGGCCATGTCTGACTTGGCGGCGACGCGGAATGCAGAGATGATTTCGGCTAGGGAGGTGGGCTTTTCAGTGCTGACGGTGAGGTCGATCATGGAGACATTGGGTCTGGAATGGGTTAGCCTTTTGTAGTTGGGGTTATGGTAAGTTGCAAGATGTGTGTATGCTTACGTTGGGACACGGATGGAAACGCCGGTCACCTTGCCCTTCAAGTCAGGAAGAACGGCAGCAACAGCTTTGGCAGCACCTGTGGTAGTAGGGATGATGTTGTTGAAGACGCCGCGACCTTTATGTAAGGGATTGTTGTTAGTTTTTGAGGTGATACTTGAACTTGGCAATGTCGGTCTTACCCAGACGACGGTTCTTCTTGCTATATCCATCCAACACCTGCTGAGACCGAGTGGCAGCATGGATCGTAGTCAAGAAACCCTGTGAGATACCAAAGGTCTCATGCAGCACCTTCAAAACAGGAGTCACACAGTTGGTTGTGCAGCTAGCATTGGACACAACGCGGCACTCTTCACCAGAAGTATACAAGTCCGAGTTCACACCGTAGACGAAAGTAGGCGAATCCGAGCTAGGCGCAGAGATAAGCACACGCTTAGCCGAGCCATAGGTGATATGATCCATGGCGAGGTCTCGCTTGGTGAATTTCCCTGTGCATTCGAGGACATAGTCGACACCTAGCGCGGCCCAGTTGAGCTTCTTCAGGTCACGCTCGGAGGTAAGTGCGATTCTGCGGCCGTCAATGGTGATGAGGCTATCAGAGACGATTTGGATATCGGTTCGCCCGTCGAGATCGCCCATTGAGGAGTCATAGCGGATGAGGTAGACGAGGTCTTCGACGGTGACGCAAGTGTGGTTGATGGCGACGACTTGGATGTCGGAGCGGACTAGGGCAGCACGAAGGACGTTGCGGCCTAGACAGGGGAATTGTGTAAGTACGAATGGACATCAACGTCTTGCAGTGTACTATGCAGGCTACCAACCAATACGACCGAAGCCATTGATGCCAACTTGGCAGACCGAGACTGAGACAGGCTGGCTGATGGAGACGTCGTTGATAGAAGGAGCCATGCCCGGATTATGATTTATCTTTCAAAGAGAATTGAAAATGAATAGTTGAAATAATGAGTTTTATTCCACTTGATACAAACTAAAATCTAAATAGAGACCCTCTACAAAACCATGCGGGACACCAGGATCTATAAGTATACACTCCGTCCAGCCCAACTTCAACTTCATTGCCGCGTTTACCACAATTATCATCGCGATAGCAAACTAACCCGAGACTTCCCGCACTCACCACGGATCAGACATCGGCTTGGATCAAGTCCGCCAGCAATAATCTACGCAATTCCCTTGAAGCTATCCACTCTGACCAGCCATACTGCCATAGCCATCAACCGAAGTATGCCCCTCGGCGGTACACTGGCCGGATACACGGAGGACCCATCACCCCGCCAGAACCAATAACAACTTCTCTTCCCGCCGAAAGTCCCGCGCCCACGACCCGATTCCAGCGAAGGTGGTCACCTCCGCCGAGTATTCATGACGCAGAAGCTGTGTATGGTCGGCTATAATACTATACTTCCAGGTTTCACTGGGGGCTGGGCTTGACTCCGGGGTAAAAGTACCGATAAACGGAGGAATCCGTGAGGCGGACGTCTAGCAAGCCCATTGGTTACAGTCTCCGGGGGTTTGTCAACTCTTACTCAATCGCGCTAGGGTCCACGGCTCGCATTCACGGCGGGATTTTAGTCATTCTAGTCGCGGCGTAAGTGGCCTATACCCGTGTTACCTGATCTTTGATTTGCGGAATAAACCTACTCCCGGCCTTCTCTTCCTCCGCATCGGCGTGCCGACGTGGCTTCGGCCCCCCTGCCAAGGTGCCGATTTCCGCCGAGAGAGCCTTGTGGGAATGATAGATCTAGGATTTGCCGTTGGAGATGGTTCAATTGGGCGTTGATTTTCATAAACACAGGAGAAACACTCGGCTGGAGGGAGGAGTGGGAGAGTAGATAGATTTATAGATCGAGATAGTTCGTAACACACATTAATTCACTAGTTAGTTCTTAAATTTGTCAATTTAAATCTTCTTTTGTTAAAGAAATCCTCGTTGCAACAGCTTGAGCTTTTCAATCACGATAATTTAACGAATTGCAACCTAGACATTGCAATGAGACATTTAGCTTGCTGGTGATATCTCTCCTTCTCATAAAGTGATTGGTGCCCAGCGCCGTTCTACTGCCGCGTTTGTCTATCAATAGACCCAGAACGGCAGAGTTTGCACGGTCCCACTTACTAAAGTCACAAAGAGTGCCAATCCTGAGACTCCAGACCTTTAAAGTCGCATTGGTGGCTTAGTCTTCGATAATGATTACGGCCAATTATCTACAGACCTTCATTTTCCAAACAGCACGAACGAAAATATTCAGGAAGAAAAATCTATCACCCAGCTGACCCGTCAAGTTGAACCCCATTGATGACACATTGTTTGATTGAAAATCTATGTTCTGATGCCTCTATATTTACATACACGAGAATTCGCCGGGGTATTGGTGGCTCTCACTTCCAGATCTGAAAATTTCGACATGACTGGATGGAAGACACCAGCGACGAAAATTTCGTACCTTTAAATCTAAATACTAGGTCCAAGTGGGTTGCACGCAGGCTGTCAACAGCTAGCGAATCTAAGCATTCTCCTTCATTTCAACTGAAGTCCCATCGCTTTTCTCGCTCTGTGCAAGAAAGTCCGCCTCGGTCACCTCGCCTTGTGGCAAGTGACGCGCCATAGAGACAATCTGCCAGGGCGACGATGCATCACGGAAAACATGATTGAGCAACTCCAGGTTGCGGTTCATGGTCTCGGGATAGAAGAAGTACACAAGAACCGGGATGCACACTGATAAAATCGCGTACATGATATAGTACCGGTATCCAATCGTATCCAATGCAACGGGGGTGACCATCACGACGACAAAGTTCCATAGCCAGCGGTTTGCTGTGGAAATTGATGCCATGGCAACCCGTAGGCGTACCGGTGCGACTTCAGTGCAGTATAGGAAATTTCCTCCAAGGAACCCGATCGGGTAGAAGAGATTGAACAAGAGGATAAAACATGCCAATGCGATTGAAACGTGCTTGTTATCGGCTGGGAAGCTGGTTGTCACGGCCATTGCTGCCATGCAGACAGCCATTGAAAAGTGCACGTCGACCCAAGCTATCAATTGCGAAGAATGAAATAAAACAGCAAAGGGATTTCCAAGTGAGGGCACACGCGGCAAGGATCTTGCAAAGACTAGTGCTCATGTGAAGATTTGATTCGAAGATGGTCGATGCGTAGACTGAGATGAGATTGCCTCCACACATCTGCTGGAAGAATTGAAGGACGATACACAGGCCGAATCGGTAGAGCAGGCGCTCGTCATCGCCCTTTGAGAACATCTTTCGGGGTACCACCCTTTGACTTGGCGGTGGCCTCAAGAGATAGCTCAATGCCGGCGATTTCAGCCTTGACTGCTTCATCGTCGGGAGCTACTCCCTTATATGCAGGAAGACTGGCAGATGCTTCCTCCACTCGGTTGACTCGAACCAGCCAACGAGGTGACTCTGGCATGATGAAAACTGAGGCCAGAATCACGAGGGATGGGAAGAAAGAGATAGCAAGAGGTCCATGCCATTGTCCGGTAGTCTGGTGTGGGAGCCTGCTGAATCCAAAGTCGACCCAATTGCAAAGTGCATATCCCAAGCACATAAAGATACCATCGGCAATAACATGCTTGCCACGATTCTCAGCAGCAGAGCTGCCAAACGGGAATTGTCCAATGCCCATACCCACAATGATTCGTCCTACTGTGAACTGGATTAAGGAGAAGGCCGATGTCTGCAGCAATTGACCGATCATAGTCAAGATCGCTCCACAGAAAATAGTCTTTCGACGACCAAGACGCTCGGAGATAAAAGTGCAAGGGAGCGCACCAATAAGTGCTCCAATCTGAAAGGCAGCTATCCCCGCGCCCTTGCCGGTGAAATTCTTCGCTTTGATAGCACCATGGGTATTGACCGTATCGATTTGAGGGAAGACTTTGACCCAGCTCTGGAGTGTAGCAAGAGGCCCAGCACCAGCCTGATTATAAACAAAGATGATAAAAGCCGGGGCAACGACGAGAATGACCTGGGCCATGCGCAAGGCCCGCCCGGAGAGACTTGTATGTCTGTACATAATGATGAAAATTGAACCAAGCTTTGCCAGGGTACTTGGAAAAGACAAAGCTAATGATTCTGCCAAGTGAGCCAAGTGAGCTCATTATATACATCTCTGGGTGAATCGTACCATTCCCTAATTGTTGCTCGTGTCTTCCTGTCAGCACTTGGGGTTGGTATTGAGATGAGTTGGCAAGACACGGGAGGGATTTCATTTCTTGCAAATTCTGTCGTTGAATGGTGGGTAGTGAATTCGGTTGAGCTATCTGGGTGCACCGTGGAGACGCTTTTGCCATCCATCAGGGGGCATTATAACGTAGCCAGGGCTCGACATGAGGGTATGAACCTAATAAAATCCTTGGCTATAGTCTCTATACACAACCCTATGCTCTAGAATGCATGTATAGTTCATTTATCGAGTAATGCAAGTAGTGAGGACCTAGGTTGAAATAGACTAGCCGCAAATATGTATAATTCAACCAAATATTGACCATATAAACTGTTGATATAGACCAGTGGTGCTTGATTGTAGTTCTTCATTCAATTACAAGTAATTCACAGATACTAATATTTATCATGAAGGGTGGCAATCATTGTTTTCTGAAATTCTCATCTTCATTTTACACCACAATGCTAGGTAACAGTAAGTTCGAAGCCAAAAACGGCTACTTTTGACGCTTTTTTAAGCGTCCTTTTTACCAAAATATTAGTCACCGGGCTTTCACGTGATCTGTTTCTGCTTCGAAGGGTTATACTTGCCTAGTTCCACTGCGGATTCTAAAAGTAGCTCGTAACCGTACTGTTGCCTCGTAAAACCTTACGACGGGTTCGGGCCCTGTTGAGTATCTTATAGAACGTGCCAGAAATGCACGCTAAGTAAGCCAGTTGCTAAGTATTTACTACCGAGTGAGCTCTCCTACTTGTAGGTTGGGTTGTCTTAAGGTGAATTGTGAAGTGTAAAGTACTAAAAGGTAGTAAACAAGTAATAATATAAGATTGATCGCGAAGAACTAAATACAAGATGCTGAATGAGTGTCCTGCCAGGTGCTCATCAAATCCAAGAAGCGAGCATATCGGTAATTAGCATCCCAAGACTCTTGAACCCTCATGCGTTAGCGATTGACCTCATACTTTTCAGCATTAAAGTATTTGACTGTTTCATATAACATCAAGGACTTGGTTCTGAGAATACCACGTGCCTCAATTATCGATGTAAATTCTTGAATTTAATACTTACGTCACAGCGTTCTCTTCCACAGAAGCTTCGACCATCTGATGTCGGACCTTGGCTCCCCTGGGCGCCAGGAAAGTAGTCAAGTGAAGGTAACCCAAGGATAAAAAAAGCAAAAGCAAAGCAGAGTATTATTCAAAGTAGAACTAAAGACTCCCGATTGCAATAATGAAATCACACAGTGCCGGGAGAACTTAAAAGGTAACTAATTCCATAAAAGTAGTGATCGAGTTACCGTTTCTCAAAACAGACAGTATCTCGCCATTGCGCTTGTCCAGATGGAAGTCCAAGTCTAGACTATGAACATGCTTAAAAGCAGCTATAGAGAGCTTCATAGAGGAACTCTCTTTCACTTCGTTCCAGAGAGTGGATCGCAGGGAACCCAGAAAACCATTACCTCCTTGTAGCCACTTATAGATGACGAATTTCAAGATGTGAAAACAGGGGAGCTCGGAGGACGAAGGAGAAAGCGTTTCTGTCACGACAGCTATCTGATATGGTAGGAGAGCGTTGACAGCTCGCTGACAGCCGGTAAGGCAGAGGCATACCACAGCCATGACTTGCAGGTAACGAGAACCGGATGGCCACATGTATAGAAAAAAGACTTTATAACCCATGACATACTTCCAGGCTCTGGGCAGAAACGGAAGCTCGGGGTACCCTGCTAGATCTCCCGACCCCGGAGCCTCAGCTGCAGCGTTTCCCGGGTCATCATCTGAGCTGCATGGAGTGAGAATCACCGATGCCCGATGAGAGCCAAACGCTGGATTACCTGCCACTCGATTTTGCATTCTCCGGGTATGCTTGCTAGCGTAGAGAACAATAAGAGCTAGGAGTGTAAGAATGCAAATACCACTGAGAGCCCTCTCTATTTCTGCCCTATATTCGCCAACTCTCCACATTCGGCTGCTCTCGGTGCTGTTGACAGGTGTTTTTTTGCTGAATCGAGAAATATGCTAACGCGGGCGCTTTTGGCCTAGCGAGCTCAATTGAAACAGTTCATAATCGGTGGATAAATTGAAGCATATTTATTGATGTGTCATTCCAGAGCAATCCCAATAGTACAGTTGCACAGAAGAAAAAGTAACCGATAGAATAGATCTGCATAGACTATTAGCAACAGGTGATCTCATGGGTTGACTGTAACACACGGGAACGTGCTATCGCTGTCCGTTCGTGCTGCCATTTCTCAATACTCGTATCAGCAGCCAACACGAAAAAGACTTCATGTTGCAAAGTACACTGCGAGTATTATAATCGAGAGCAGATTGAAATCCGCTTCTCAATCGCCGTGGTGACGAGACTAGTGAGTATTGGAACCCACCCAGGCCTGGGGTCGCTTGTTGAGCTCGTCAAGGCAGAATTTCTGGCAAATGAAACGAAAGCAAAGAGGGAAAAGATAAAGATTGAGGTGCAGAAATGCAGATGTCTTAGCATTAGCTTTTTGACTGCTGTCTTTGGTTGCATGCCGATCTGCTCTCTACCAGCAAGTTTGAACAAGTCCGGCAAAAGTTTTGTCGAGGTCCGAATAGAGCGGAGCCGCGATAGGTGAGCGGTGTAGAAACAAGGAGAGTGTATTCTTAGTTTGATTTTTGACACTCGGCTTCCTTTTATGTAGTACCAGCAGGAACCAGGTGCGAGAAGCCGGATTAGTCCTGGGGAAAATTGCCGTCGAACGCGGTTGGATCGGCGTGTTATGAAGATTCGTTTCTGTTAGCTTGCATGTATCAAAGAGTGCTAGATTAATGCGGTATGGTCCATAGCAGACCGTGCAGCCCCACTCTTAGCTTTACACAGCGTTACAATAGGGACTGTCACAATTCCTGGTGGGGCGGTCCCTTTCTATCCAATAAATTGCAAGAATTCTTTATGCCACCCCTCCTATATCATATAAATTTCTCAGAACACAAACACTAATCGTCTTTCCAATACGCATTGCGTTGCCACCAAGCCAGCGCGAATGCTTCATGCTAGTGACTGCATGCGGTATGGGCATGAGCAACTTCTTGCCCGCTGACTTGATAAAATAACGGACCTGTCCAGCGCAGAACTCAGAAAGCCTAAGCGTCTCCAAAGACTATCATAAGGAGCTTCTAATAACCTGACCTGAGTATCTCCTAAGAATCAGTCAAAACTGCTAATATGCGTTATTTCATGCGCACTTCACTCACGCCAATAAGCTAGGTAATGCGAATTCGCCATGATTAATTCGGCCCTACTGATGAGATACAAAATTCTAGCTTGAAATAAACACACATGATCGGTTGGCGAGCATCAATGATAGTACCAACAATCTCCGGAAAGCAGGGTTCGGAATATATAAAATGAGAGAGCCAGCCAAAGGTAGGAAGGAAATGTAGTAGCGTATTCTTACGATATTGACCGCCTCTTCGCCTTCAAGCAAGATCTAGTCACTATTCTATTGATCCATCCTACCGGCCCTGGCGACGTTTTTGTCTCACGTTGAAAGTTGAAAGATAGACTACGCAACTCCAAATGCCCAAAAGTGTGTCAAACATATTTCATGTTTATTTTTCCCTGCTGACTCTGCATTTTGTGCCAGGTACAGGACAGAAGATAAATCCTACTGGAAATCAATGCTCTGAACCTCAAATAATCGTATGTGAAGACCACACTGGGGTTGATGGTTCGCGCGATATGTTACCACAGCGAAATGGACTGAACGAATACAAAGAGCAATTGATACAGCTGGAAAAATCCTTTAAACAAGAACTTCAAAGACTAAAGAGTGGAATCAATTGATATCACACACAAGTATTAGCGCAGCCGCCACAACTAGCAATTAGGTGGAGTAAATCAGATTAGGTGGGGCGGGCATGCACCTCTTTTTTCACGGTAGTACTAACATCCAATCAGGATTGTTGATTACTTGTACCCAATCCGGCATGTCGTTCAGCAAGACACATGCAGAACCGATGTTTTGAAAAACTTCTATGTACTAGATTAGTTGGCGAAAATAAAAGTGCCATCTTAAAGAGTCACGGTGTATTGTTTTAACATATTCAAATCTTCATCGACCTCATTTGCGTGCGATAAGAGCCGTAAATGGTTTTGTCCATTTCGAGACTCTCACGATTCAGTAGTTCTCTACTCCGTATACTGACACATATACGCATTTCTCGTACTGTATCTGTCATAGCGTGTAGTTCTGTTTACTTTTCTGGAAGATCCACTATTTGGGATACCGAGTTTCCCGCGAGATGCCCTAATGGTTTAATCGACCGTGACATGCACGACGAGTAAATTCTACCGAGTTGAGCACACTGATTGCTTGAGACACAAAAGCATTTCCTATCAAATTTCTTGTCAATGAAGCTGCGGTCTAAATACGATAATCAAGGCTCCCCGCAAAATGGAATCTCCGCCACGAAACACCAAAGTCCCTGAAGACTTTGAGACTACCACGCAAGCTGAAGTGTCCGTGGGCGAATCTTCAGAAGCACAAGACAGGCCTGACCGCGTGCAATTTGAATTTGTGAACCTGATTTCAGATACCATCGCTCGCAGCCATGCGATGAAGATGTATTGGCGGCAGAAAAAAAGCGCTCGAGACAGAAGAGAGAAAAATTGGAGTGAGAATCAGCGTCCTTTCCGACCGTTATTACCTGCCAGAGACTCAGAAGTGCAGCCATCTGTCTCGGAGGGGCTGGAAGCTCAGATGGTGCCCCTGGGTGAATGTACGAACAGAGCCCAGTTCACGCAAGATGCGTCCTCAATGGGGCTTTCGGATCAACTTTGGGAGGGGCTTCAAGTTCCTTTCTCTAATATACCTTTTCGAGAGAAAAACAGCTCCCCATACCAAGTTACGGCAGAACATCGCAAACTATTCTATCATTGTCAGTGCTGTCATTCGTTCATATCAAGGGATTGCAAAAAAGCAAACACTAACAGTTTACCTTTTTTCATTCAGGGCTAGCCATGCATGCAGAAGATATCCATTCTAACCTTGGACCAGCGACATTTAGTCCATGCAGAGATATCTGGATGCCTCTCGATCTATCAAATCCTGCCTCCTTCAATGCAATCATGGCACACGCAGCTGCCCACTTGTCCAAAATCCAAGATAAAGAGAGCAACCCGGACACTTTGAGATTTAAAACAGAGGCTATCGAATTTGTCAACAAATGGCTTAGTGATCCAACTACTGCATTCAAAGACGAGGTATTTGCGGCTGTTCTGCGACTTTTCACATTTGAGGTATGTCGGAATAAGTCTCGCTTGCTTGTGCCTGCCGATTATCTAGGCGAACAACTCATATTGACATAAATTATCCTAGCGATACCAGGGAACCTCTGAGCGATCCAATTTGCACAAACGTGGCCTTCATCAAATGGTGGAAGCAAGAGGAGGCTACAAAACCTTTGATACCAACTGGAGGCTTCAGTTGGCTTTATCATTGTAAGTTGTGTGACGATAAGGCCAGGTCACAAAGATTTAATGTTAACTGGGATTCTTGTCGACAGAGTATATCTAACGCCGGAGTCAAGCTCGTTGGGCATTTCGGTCAAAGAGCTAGAAGATTTCTTTTGCGACGCACTTAGCCTTTCATATCCACCTCAGTCCACACAAAGTCCATTCTTCAAAAACTTGAATCCCTCCGGTCTGGTATCCTTGAGAAACGCCATTATGATATTGAGACAGAAACGCTTGGGGGTGGAACTATGTGATGGAGACGCTCTTTCAGTGGACGACCCGTTACTTCCCACTTTAGAAATCATCATCTTCATATGCGTCGCTTTTTTACAAGGGAGGTATGAAGATCATATGATCCTTGGGCGCATTGACCTGCTTTCCCTTGAATCTCTGCTCTTCGCATCTTACAGCAGCTGGGTGGACTCCGAAAAGATGCTTTCTGAACTTGTCTGGAATCAATTTGCCCATAGGGAACAGAATCTCCAGCTGAAGAATCAAATCGCTACAATAACAGGGTCTTTAAGTGGGATAAATCCGTTGGCACTACGCGGACTCGAGCTGTGTCTTTTGAACCGATTAATCAATGTCTTCAAACTGAGACAACTGTGAAACTTCATGATCGCGTAACACTAGAGTTCCTCGAAGTAGTATCTGCAGTCTGAGCCTCTTCCATACTGCTCGATTTAATGGGTCTGAAATATCACATATAAAGTGTAGATAACAATAGTTAAATTTGTCGTTTTCTATCTCTTGATTAGCCTAGAAAGCCAGTAGCTTATAAGGGTAGCTGTACCGATTACTACTTAGACTAGGAAGATAGGCTTCACAAAATTAAGCCAAGAGGTGAGACAATCGATCGTATTTGTAGCTATTCCAAGCCAGATTTTCCCGACTTGATAACTGCTTTTACTTCTGTCAGTGGCAATTACCAATATTTGATTTAAAACTGCTATATTAAACGTCGAACACCATACATTATTGCCTATTGGTAAGATGGACTCACTTCGACTTTGATAAAATAAGACTTGCCTAATTGAATAGCCTATATCGAAAAGGTCGCTACCTAATTCAACCTTCTTCTTACAGACCAGGCAAAGAGAGGATCAATTCGGTGCCATTCAACGAAGCAACTAAACCTAGGGGAGAAAAGAGGAAGAAGTTTAAAAGAGGAAGAAGTTCTATCTAACGCGTGGGAGCCTTTTTGTTATGGGCAAAGGGAATCTTCCACCAAACACCAAACGCCAGATGCCAGTTGGCTATTCGACCCCTTCCGCTCCAGTCCATCCTCTATCGTCACACTTCTTAATAAAACGCCTCTAAAAACACCACTCTTATCCACCTATAGCTTACCTCGAATTCTAAACCGATAAATTGGAAGATAATTAAGCTATATTAATAAATGTGTGGTTCAATCCTTTTTCTCTACTATTTAGACTAGACTAGACACCACATTCGTTAATTAGATACTAGTAAAATCGCTTACTCGCTATACCGAGACAAGTCCGGCTCCCAGAATGCCCTTTGATAGATACACGAGCTTCTGGCTGTCGTTTTCAATTTCTCATGCGTCCAACCCCCTTGACTATCATCCTTTAATAATCTGGCCACTCAGGATCCACCTGTTCTCGCCAGGAGCGCAATCCACCTTGGATATCACCGAGGAAGCTCTGTCCATTGCGATTCAGTCCTAGCTCCTTCAGTTTCTTGAGGGCAACTTGTGAATCATACCCAAGGTGGCAGATCACATACACCGGGTTGTCGTAATTGCGTGTAGCAAGTTCTGAAGGAATCCATGAAGGAGTTTGACCCGTTGCCGTCGAGGCAGGAATGGTCGAGATAGAAATCTTGATGCTGTTTTCCAAGCTGCATATTGCGAACTGGGCCTTGTCTCGAACATCAATCACAGTATGGGGCCTTGATGTGGATGCCTCCGTGTGCCACTTGCTATATTCTTGCGCAGAGATGCGTTCCTCTAGGCCTAAGAGTGATGGAGGATTTACCGAGCGGTCCGAGCCACATACCAATACATAATCAGTGGCCCTAGAGGCGATGGTGTCCAACGTGACCGTCGCTTCAGCAGAGCAAACAGCACAATTGGACCGACGAGAGAGGAGACGAATAGCGCGGGAAGGGAGGATTCGAATATGCAGAGAATATATGAAGAGCCGGAGAATCTCGAGCGCGCGTCACAGTTGTATGCGTGGTCACGACATTACAACTCGGTGCGGTGAGGACATTGATTGCCTTTAGCGCCTGTAATACCCCCATTGTTCCGACGACCGGGCCCAGAATGCCCCCATCCTCGCAGCTGAGCACACTGTTTATAGATGGCAGCTTTGGGAGCACGCATCGGTAGCATGGCGCCCCTTCTTTATCACCTGGGTGCCGGGGAGGGCGATTCAGCACCATCAGCTGGCCCTCCGTTCGTAACGCAGATGCGGAGACCAACGGCTTGTCTAATAGCACTGCAGTGTCCGAGATCAAGTAGCGCGTCGCGGGATTATCAGTGCAATCCAGGATAAAGTCATATTCTCGAAGATGGCGGGTGCCTCGTCGGGGGTGAATTCTGTGGGATGGGCAATGTACGTGGGATGTGGGTTTAATCTGTTTGAGAGAAAAACGTAACGTCAACTTTGGTCTCTTTGATCACTGCCCCGAGAATCATCACCCACTCTCGTAAAGATTCGATCGCGCTATCCACTTTGTATTCGCCTACAACCCGGCCTCGGTGCAGCACCTAGCGATGTAGGTTCGAGATCTCGACTGTATCTCCGTCAACGAGCCCGAGAGTGCCCACACCAGCACCCGCAAGGTATTGAGGCGCAGGACACCTGAGGCCACCTGCACCCACGCGAAGGACTTTGGCTGAGCGCAGCTTGAGCTGCCCTGTAGAAGTGACGATGCACCTGTTGTTAATCACGCGCTTAAGTCTCGCCAACATCGCCTCTCCACTGCAGGAACCCAGCTAATCTTCAAGACCGACTTGAGGCACGATCATCTGCCGCCCATATCGTGTATACTCTCCCAGCAATAACGGCCATCGACCTCCGCAGTCATTCACTGCGTCATTCTGGTTACCCGCCGCACCCGTGCCCTCCAAGTTCGCCTCAGCGACCTTCTCGGGGCTCGCAAGGTCGTGTTTCAATGCAACGAGCGGCGCCTCTGTGGTGGCAAGGTGCGCCTGCAGGGAGGCGTAATGTTTCTTCAAATCTCCCATCGAAAATGTCGCCGCGCTGGACAGGTGGCGCACCAAGGCCGGATCGTCTAAATTTGTGGGATGCTGTACATCTCCGCGACAATCTTACCTTGCTGGTTATCAATCTTTTAAGGAGAAAGCATTTCTGTAAAGAGGAACCTGCCAGCATCGCGGGGTTCCCCTTCCATTCTGCGAAAACCTTCTACTCTTACACCGCTTGGCAAGTTGGCAGTCCTGACTTTAGGTAGGAAAGTGGTTGATTATCTAGTTCACTATCAGCGGGTCCAAGTATCTAGAGTCAACATAAATTGCGTAGGTACGAGTCAAATCATACCCAACACAAAGGCAGGTGTCTCAGGTCTAGGTACCCGGGGCATACATATCATAAGTCATTTCCAGAGAGGATGTGCTTACCCACCAATCAGGATCATAGGCCGGTTCTTCATGTTCTCCAGTTTGCCCATGCCAGCATGCTTGGCCTTCTTGCGCTTCACAGTCATACCGATAAGATCAAGGAGTTCCCGTTCCTGGTCATTCACCCACCCGCCATCATTATGGATATGAGCTGCATCGTGCACCGTTTCCACCAGCCGCAGATTGCTCATTGTGCTCTCATCAATGGGCTGCCCGTCGTTCTCCTTGCGGATGATATCCCGCAAAGACACCTCGGTGTTCCCAAAAGACACACTTTTAGATTGCCGTTACTTAGTGATGCGCAGCCGGTTACAGGAGCCACAGAAGTTGTGTGTCATACTAGTGATAAACCCCACACGACCTTCGAAGCCTGGAGCCTGGTATGTCTTGCTAGTATCGTTCTTGTGACCGGTGACCTTCTCGAGTGAGGGATACTTCTCCCGGATCACGGCCAGCATCTCCTTATACGAAAACATCTTCTTCTGGTTCCACCTGTTCCCGTCAAAGGGCATGTACTCAATAAACCGCACTTCAATGGGGTTCTCACGGCCTAGTTCCACAAACGGGAGGATCTCACGATCATTCATCCCACGCATCACAACACAGTTGATCTTCAGCTTGATCCCCGCACCGGCTTCGTTCAGTGCCAAAATCTTATCGATGCTCTTCATGACTGCCTCAAATCCTTTGCGCCGCGTCATAATCTGGAACTGGAACGGATATAGCGTGGCGAGGCTGAGGTTGACCCCGGTTAGCCCGGCCTCAACCATGGGGTCGAGTTTTGGATGAAGCGAGATGCCATTAGTGGTCAGGCACAGCTCCTGTAGTCCGTGCCGTCGCAGCTCGCCAATCTCCCTCATCAACGGTACAATGTCCTTGCGAACTGTGGGTTCGCCTCCTGTCAACCGGATCTTCGTCACGCCCTGGGACACGAACAGGGATGAAAGATACACAATTTCCGGGGTCGTGAGTAGGCGGGCAGGCGGTGACAGCTCCACACCTTCCTCCGGCATGCAGTAGAGACACCGGAGGTTGCACCGCTCTGTCACGCTGATCCGGAGGTAGTCATGTTGGCGGTTGAAGATGTCGGTAAGGAAAGCTGAGAACGGCTTTGCGGATTGGAGTGGGGCGAGTCTAGGTGTTGTTGGCTCCTGGTGTGGAGAGAGTTCAATCGACGAGCTGTGGGCTTGATTGCTCTGTAGTCGAGTCGACAGAGGTGTGGCCAAACCCCAGGATCAGCGCGGGATCCGGGAGCAGGTCCAGATCCGCTTGCAAGATGTTCCCTTCGGGAAGCACAGGGTGGCCTTCTCCGAGACGAAAATGAATCCACAAAGACGAAATCTTGGGAGAAGGGAGCAGGGAGGGGCAGGCGTCCTGTTCGTGAGCCTTGATATCCCTTGAGTGGCTGCTCTGCTTGAGTCATCATATTGGTATCACCCTTGGATGGTGCCCCCTCATTGGTTGACGTAGTTGTTCCTCTCCAGGACTAGCTTTTGCCTCCCCGCATTTCTTAACTAAGTACTCTGTATTGTAACGTACTATGTATGTACAGTGACTACACAAAAGTAGTTGGAACTCGAGCCCCACTTTCCATGATTTTATAATATTCTGCCCGTCGCAAACTCTTACTAAACCTGGCCCTACTCTCAAATCCACTAAACTACTACCTGATACTACCTGGAGACCTGTCTTATCGAAAGGAAAAATATTCCTCTTTTTCATCAAATTTGTTATCATATCGTGTTAAACAAAGTTAGCATACCCGCACCAGAAGCTGCCCCCACCACCTGTAACGGTCAAGAAACATACTGCATTCCTGATATGCGACTGGCTCCTGTAATACTACATGGTGCTGCTCAGCTTACGGTTATTGAAATAGGATATAATTGGGAGGAAGCTGCACTTGGCCAGTAATTGAGTAATATTAAAGATGTCTGTTAAATCTAAGATAACCTCAGAATGGAAACCCGTAAAGCACACTTCCAGGATGTCAGCTTTTCCATTACAAGGATAGCATATGTCACAGAGGACCGGAGCAACAGAATTCCTCGCTCGGATGATATCTATTAAAGGGCTCCCGCAATATTTAAGACTGCGGAAATCTCAACAAGTATGAAAAAGGAGCTGCACCAGAAATATGTTGCCATAAATATGAGGGCCTGGACGGCATGGACAATCTTGATCATTGGCCCTCCGATTTCCTCGCTATAAGTTTGCTTTCAACCACAATCTTCGCCAACTAAATCTAAACTCCCATGGAAGCATATCGAGCTTGAATAATTGATGGCCCGTATATTTACATAGCTTCATCTTGAAATATCTTGTTTAACATCATTGTTGTCTGCTCTTGCCCTCATTGGGCACTGGCTGCCTTCGGTCTGTGATAACAGCTTCACTAGAAGAAGCTGGAGCTGCAGCAATTGCACCAGTGGTAGAAGAAAAAAGACCCAAAACAGTAACTTCAACAAAGGGGATAGATCCTGTGAAGCCGCAATGGCATAAGGCTTGGAAAAGCTTGCGATGGGTTATAGTCTGGTTTTGAAAGCCCATGCCTGTTCACAACTGCCACTTTGCAGAATAAACATATTCTTGCTTGGAAGAATTGCTTCACAGATAAGACGATGAAAAAGATCGAACTAGAATCTTTTTAAAATGCACTCTAGTCAATCTCCATATCCCTTCTAACCTTCCCCTCACGGCATCTCACAGAGATCCTAGCTTTGACAACGAGTTCAGTTCCATTCTCGTACCAAACGCACCAGCGCTCACACGCACAAGCCGCAGACCAAAGACAAGCATAATCAAGGCGACCAGAAGCCCAAGGACACCCAAAGTCACCATGGCACCAATTACACCTGCCACTGGAGGACTTATTCCGTTAGACGAGGAATCCGAGGGTAGAGGTCTTGCGCTCTCGTTGGCGGTCAAGGCGCAGATCCCCGTGCTGTTTCCACACGCCTGGCACCATTGCTGTTCAGATCTAAGAGCAAAGCGGTTGGTGCTCTCAACGAACTGCGTCCAGGGGAGCTCTATCGTAGACTGCCCAAATAGAGGATAGGCCTGCAGCTGTGCCGAGTTATTGATAGTTCCATTATGGAACACGAAACGCACACTGATGTCCGATTCAGAAGGTATGTCAGTGCCGGGAGCGTTAGTGATTAGCTCCCATGCCATTGAGGAAGAGTAATCGGGCATTCCAGTAAAATTCACATCATTTGAAGCAAGTCCAGCGAGGCCAAAATAGGATAGGAAAGTTGCGTAGGAGCCAAATTGGATGTTCAGCTTGGATTTGCCGCCAGACATGATTGTTTGGTTGAGGCTTGTCAGAACCTGGCCCGCGAGGGTCATGCCAGCCACAGCCCGAATCGTATCAGTGTTGTTGTAGGCCAGGTTGAATTCGTGCGTATTTGCCAGAACAAGAAGTTGTTGCATGATTTCGTCATTTAGTAGATCCGAGTTAGGGAAGTTGCTGGTCGAGTTGTGGATTAAGGCGACATGGAGCATGTCCCAGATGCCGAACGCATTCTTGAAGTTCATCTGGCTAGGCGTGTATGTGTGGCTAAGGAGAGGCTCGAGAGACTGATATAGGTCGTGTGTGGATGAAAGCAAATTGCTGTACAATGATGAGTAGTAGAAGTTGTTACTACTCAAGTCGGCATTGGTGCAGAGGGACGCGCTTTGTAGCCATGGGTTGTCCTCGCTGCCAGCGCCACTTTGGACATTCTCGATAGGAATGAGTTGGTAGCCGCTTAGCGGGGCATCGATTATAGATCCATTCCGGAGTGTCTCATTAGCACTGGATCCCGCTGCAGGGTACAGGCCCTGCAGAAAGGCTTGCCCTGAGATTTGGATGACCGTGTCCTGCGGCGCACTAGCCGTGATCTGTGCGAGATTGACCAGGTCGGTACTGATACCCTCAATCTGATTCGACGAGCCTGGGAGAATGTACCGGTCACGGAAAACAGTGCCAGCCACGTACTCTTCGTTATAACCCAGATAGGTCAACTTAGTCGGTGGCAGCTCCTTAGGGGTGCGATCTCCATGGCGCTGGAAGACATATGCTCCCAGAACACGCTCCGCATTAGCAAGATCTGCCAGAGGCAGAGTAATTGCCAGGAGTGCCGCGAGGATAGTCATTGTATGCCGATTCGTCTGCAGAGACCCTTCTGCTAGATAGAAAATAAATTTTGGGAAGTTTGGGATAAATCGGTTCACTTGCAGTATTTATTTGCGGGACATGCGGGGTCTACTGCATAGACACCCTTCCGGAATAGGAAATAACATTTTTGAGAGGAGGGGTGGGGGGTGGTGGTTGGTAGGCGAAATTTTTGTAAAGCCGTATCACTGCGGTAATTGTTTTCTATCTCATGTTAACTTTCCAATCAAGCCTAAGCGTACATATGTTGCGTTCGCCACTCATACTCCAAATCTACTCTGACTACGGATATTCTTCCCGGTTAGGATCCAGACTCAAAGCACCGCACCTCAAGTCTTTGAAAAGAGAACGACATGGGTTGGCATGAAAGAAGGTTCGATCGCGTAACGTGGCAGGTTCCCCAAATCACGCCTTAGATATTATTATTTACCTCGTCAAGCTAGAGGTAGGTAAATTTATACTAACTAGGCTTTGCTTCTTTGTGACGTTGCAAAGTAAAATTTAGGGAAGCTCATGTCCGTGCCCTAGGTCGGGCTTATACAATCGGCTAGGGCCGAAGGGACGATAGAGTTTGCCCCACAGTGTCTTAGATAGCGGACATATTCTTCTAGGGTTGCCTGCTATTGGACAACTACTATCTCCAAATATAGGAAAGGTAAACAGAGCTCAGCCAGCGCTTTTGGAAAAAGAAAAATAACGCCAGATGTGAGATATGACCGGCCAATAGACCATTCGCCCTCACCGAATAGATGTTTAAAAGGCAGACAAAAACCACCTACTTTCCTCTCCGAACATTCCTCCATTTTATCAAATTCACTGAGCACAATTCCCTTTCGTAAATTTCGTTCTATCCCAAACTGATTTGGTCTACAATGGAGATCAGAGAGAAGCTGGACATTAAGAATCGTCCCGATGAGTGGATGATTGAACAGGGCATGGCAGGCCACAAGCTGCCCATCATCGACCAGACTGGGGAGAAAACCGTCCACTTGTATCCTCCCCAGCCTTACAAGATCACCCAGGATAAAGAGGCGATCCGGGCGGTCGGCGATCGCAATAAGCTATTTGCCCGTGAAAGAGAAGGCTGGGTGGGGTACGTTGGTCCTCGCTGGAGATGACTTTGAGGAGGACAAGCTGACTGATGATGATCCTAGATATGTCGAGTGGGAAGATTACCCTGAGAAGAAGGCTAAGGCTCACAAGATCTTGGCTTCTCAGACCTTCCCACCCTGCCCTGATTTCCAATGGGGGCCCATCCCAGGGACCAATCCCGTACTTCCTGGGGATGATTTCAAAGCCTGGCATGCTGCCATCGGCGGAGAAATGACCCCCGTCGCCGACGACTCCTGGAAAATGGTGTTAAAGGAGAAGCACCCAGAAATGCTGCACCTTCTCCAGTTTCCTTATAACGGAGAGCCTCCTAAGCGACTGACGACTTCGAAGGCGATCACGCCAAACTCGCTCCACTTCGTCCGTAACCACGGCGGTATCCCACTCATCGATAAGGACAAGTTCGAATTGAAGTTGGACGGACTGGTGAAGAACCCGAAGAAGTACACCCTAGACGACCTTATGGATGAGTCTAGGTTTCCTCGCATGGAGAAGGCAATTACTATTCAGTGCTCGGGAACCCGTCGTATCGAGCAGATCTCACTCTATGGTGGCCAAGGTGACGAGGTTCCTCAGGCCCCATGGGCCGAGGGTGCTATTGGCACGGCCCGGTATGTGGGCATCAGCTTGAAGAAGGTGATCAAAGACTGTGGAGGTCTGATCGACGGCGCTAAACACCTTGAATTCTATGGCGCTGAAACCTATGTCAAGGACCTGGAAGTGGGCAACTATGTTGTTAGCGTTCCCTGGTCTAAGGTTAAGGCCAATGAGGTCATTCTCGCCTGGGAGATGAATGGCGAGCCGCTCCCTAAGATCCACGGTTATCCATTACGAGTCGTTGTGATGGGTTATATTGGGGCCCGGAGCGTTAAGTGGCTGTACCGCATCAAGGCTATTCAGAATCCGTCACTTGCCCCTGTCCAGGCCAGAGAATATCTATACTTCAACCAGCAGGTGGGTAAGTACAATCAGCGCCCTATCGACGGCATTCAGATCCAGGAAATGCCGGTCAGCTCGGCGATCATGTCCCCCTGGACTAAACAAACCATTTTCCATAATGGCAAGATCCATTGCAAGGGCTGGGCGTACTCCGGTGGTGGCCGGTGGCCCGAGCGTGTAGAGTTATCGGCGGACGGGGGTTTCACCTGGTACGCAGTACCGGAAGATCAGCTGTCTAAGAAGGGAAAATGGACCTGGCGGACGTGGGAAATGGATCTCCCATGCGATGTGGAAGGGTGGATTGAGATTGTCTGCAGGTGCTGGGATAACTCCCTTAACACACAACCGCTTAACGTCCGCGCGGCGTGGAACTGGGGTCTTCACGTTACGTCCTCGGCCCACCGCATCAAGGTGTACAGCGTTAACAAGACCCGGGAGATCACCCAGAAGCGCATTGCAAAGTTTGAGCAGATGGGTATTCCCTTGGCTCCTCTCACCCGCTATGACGCCGTCCCAGGCCTTACCGATGAGGAATTGGATGAGTACTGGAAGATTCACCCCCGCGATGTCGATGAGTGATTTCTGTCAAACTTGTTCCTTTATTTATTTAGCTCACTCCCTCACTTGATTGCAAACTTTACGCAACAGTTTACCTGCTACGGTCTAGAAATCAAGGGCAATGCTTCGCTAGGGATCAGTGTAGATAATTGGTTCTGGTTCAATAGACATAAATTGATTGAATTCTTGTCCTTTTGCTACAGAACATCATTCTTAGACACCTGGCTTTTGCGAGACCGAGGGGCGGCCATGGGTGTATTAACATGTTACTACAAATGAACTCGCACAAGCACGATTAGTATTAGCCCTTCAGTGAGCCCATTAGAGGACAACCCGCCTCCTCGAGCAACTCGGCAATTCACTGATCGTTCCCGAGGGCTTGTCTTCGAAAACATAATTTTAGCAAGAGGGAGAATCAAAGGTCCGCTACTGGCGGGTCGGTGGCCCTTACTAAGAACAAGTCTACAGAGAATGAACCCTAGTTATATGTCCCCATTTAATTATACTGTAATCCAGGACAGGGATCCTGTACTGTACTGACACCAAGGATTTGGACATGGACCTTAAGCTGAAGAGCGACTGGAATTGATCATATTTCATCCCTAAACTGAGGCGATTCGTGGCCTTGGTGTTTTGCTCACTCTCCAACTCCCGTAGCCGTTCCGAGCACGTGTAATGTTCTTCAGGCGACGGTCTATATATATATATATATACAAGCCTGCGCGGATACTCGAAGGAAAGGGGCGGCCGAGCGTATACATGTGACCATTCAGTAACCCGCGTTGTAGATCGCTGGATCAGAATAGAGAAAACAGATAGTTTCTATTCAGAAGTCTAGCGTGAAGGGGCTCTAAGATAAAAAGCTCTGATTAGCCGAATCGAAAGGGCACTTGTAGAAAAGTGAAGGAGTACGATAAGACCTGTAAGAGCCTTGTTTATAAGGTTGAGTGCCGTTTTTTCCTGAGATGGCCACTTTTGGCCTCCGTACAGTGCCCCAGGGCAGTCTTGTGTGATTGGAGAGATCGTAGCCGCCAGAGTCTAGCCCGTAGTCACTTCGAGGGCCGTGCGCACGGAATTATACTGCATGCTCCATATTACCTATTTATGGCCATTGCCGTCATAGATAATCGAGAATATTACGGCCTCTTGTAAGCCTCTTGTAAGGAAGGCATGGTGATTGGTTTTTTAGACCTGCTAAATCCGGTATGGTTGGACAAGTGGGTCTAGCTAGCTACCTGAGACTAAATCCATGCTGGGCTGAAAGGGCGGTTGGTGTGTACTCTCCCAATGTAGCGAACCCGGGAAAAAGGCCCTTTTTGTTGATCATAAAATTGATTCTCAATGCTCAAGTTTTATTGATCTATATATACCCTGGGAATATAACAGGAATCCTGGGAAGCACGTGGGTTCGAACAACCTAGAAGAGATCTATCTTATTCTTATATTCTTGAAGCGTTAATGATACGCAGAGATTTTCTTTCCCACAACTATTCGTGCAACCAATAAGAACAACTGAAAGGTTCAATTCTCGACACTCCCACGATCACAACACTCATGCATATGGGATGACTGCCGACGAAGCCTCCGTCCCAGCGCACCTGGACACAACCACTTACCCGCGCACCCAACATGACGTTGCAAGAAATATTCACTTAAGCCTTACATATTCTCCGCTCGACCCAAACACCTACTTCGCCCAAATTGCCTCGCCCGCTGCAGGTGCGAACGTTCTTTTTCTCGGTACTACACGGGACACCTTTGAAGGCCGGTCTGTCTCGCAATTGAGCTATACCTCATACCCATCACTCGTGTTCAAAACTCTGACAGCCATTGCGGAGGCCGCCGTCAAAGCCCATCAACTCAAAGGCGTGAGCATTTCGCACCGTCTGGGTGTAGTGCCAATTGGAGAAGCATCAATTGCGATTGCAGTGAGCTCAGGACACCGCGCTGCATCATGGAGGGCGGGTGAGGAGATCTTGGAGGCTTGCAAGGAGAAGGCGGAGATATGGAAGCGGGAGGAGTTTGTTGATGGCGGGAAGGAATGGAGGGCTAATGCTGACCGCGATGCCGAGGGCAATTTGATCCTCAAGGACAGGTCTTAATTAGAAAGAAATGAAGATAATAAAATGAAGAAATACTTTTGTGCATCACACCACGTATCTAATCAAACCTAACAGCTCCAGAAAGAATAGTCACCGGTGCTGCATTGCCGACGTATCGGTATCGCCCGCTCACATAGGTGGGTGGCGGTTACGACCACCCACCAGAGATCATCTCCCAGACTCTTGCCTGATTGGAAGCTTTATCGAGATAGCTAATATGCCATATCCGATACACCGCGGTGTATACTAAACCGACTGGTCTAGCGTCGATACCTCTCGCCGCAGACTTGACCCAACGTGGATTTCGCAGCACTCCCCAAACACCCATTCTTCCAGAACGAGAATAATACCTAGAGCAAAAATTCCGCAGAAAGCAATAATAGCTCCGTTAATACCGGGGGTACCCGCTATCAATAGTGGTCAAGCTACCCAAAGACACGGCGAAGTGGAGGTTTAGCCTAAGGAATGCTTATATAACGCAAGACCGATGAGGAAGCCGCGCGCCGGCTGACCCATCCCTTAGCCACGAGATATTCTCTAAGTAGCGGAATCAAGATCCGACCGCCGCCGAATGTGATGGTTCTAGCAAGATAAAGGTTAGCGAAGAGTTTGTACAGGAGCGGAGGATGAGGTAAGTCTCCTTGAAGAACCACGGTAATAATAAACCTAGAAGAAGATGCTGCAAGTATTGTTGTGTCATACTTTCAGGAGAAATTCAAATGACGGCCATGTGGTTTACTACATGGCTGAGTTTTCCGAGCAGGTTACCTATTCTGATCCTCGAGCGCTTCGCCGGGATTTAGTGGACTCGACAGCAGGACCGCTGTCATCTCTGTAGTGCTACCTCAACCTCCCTTGTCAAACAGGAGCTTCACCAGGTCGAACACCTAGAGGTGATTACGAACACTTAAAGACGCCAACGGTCCAGCCACTTCCGTCGCTGTGAATCCTCTTGCTTCCTGCCTCTGAGAGCCTTCGAACGATCAAAGACCGTCGTTGTCATCAGCATTCTCGTTTCACCGAGATCCTGATATATAAAGTAGTTGCAGCTTAGGAACGAAACCGTAACGTCTGAAAATTATTCCTAGACTATCTCTACGAAGACCAACTCCAATCAACTTGGTCTCCATGTTGTATACATAGCCTCTTTTCATTTATTCTATCAGAGACACACACACGCACAGAGAGAGAGAGAGAGAAAGAGAGAGAAGTGTGTGTGTGAAATCATTTACCCTGACCCCTCGCCAGTTCGTTTACCCAACTAGGCCAAAATACAATCAGTGTCGTACAGCTGTGGCTCGGGTAACTTATCACCCATTAGTAATGGAAACTTTTGGTGAAACCCCCCGGATTTTCTACCTGCTGAAGATCTAGTGCCCGTATCTCTGAGTTGATGATTGCAGCGTAGGGAAACTGTACTATCAGCCTTAAACTTAATCAGGCAAAGGATACCTCGAAATATGCTTGATTTGTGATACTGAATGATCCACCCATAAAATATTGGTCTCCTATGAGGCCCTCCAGCAAACCATTCAGTCAACTCAAATTGCGGCCAAAACTCTCAATTTTAACAGTAGGCAGTTGAATAGTCATCCCAAATCTGGACAAAGCACTGTTGTAGGAAAACCAGTCGATCAGAAAAATGGGTGCTAAAAGCCCAATACCCTTGGTGCCCCAGTCATGGACAATGAATCCAATCCTGTAAGCCGACTTCCAATCTAAGTTTGAGGAGAGAAATTCGAACTGCAAGAGAGATCGCAGTGCGCGCATAAGACCAGAGAAGCAATCAGAAAGAACTAGTGGCCAGCCACCAAAGCCTCAGTTGCCTGTTGGAGCCGCGATCCCAAATCCTTGTTGACCCGTGCAAACAAAGCTAAGAATATGTTAGTGAGGAACAACACGGTGGAGGGTCAGGGCTCTTGGAACAAACCGTAAACCTCACTGCGTAATTTGGTAGACGTGACTCCCTTCAGGTGAGCAGCAAGGTTGCCAATCAGCCGGTCCTGATGTCCTGCCTCCCGGCCGATGACCTCCCACAATGCAGCAGGCTGGACGAAATCCTCGTCTGTCACATGGCTCTCGTAGCTCGACACCTCTCCGACCCATTTTTCGTGCTCAGTCAGCAAGCTCAGTGCTTTAGGTTGGACACTCTTGACTTCAGGATAGAACTTGGTTGGCTTTAGGGACGATCCCACGTAGTTGGGATCAGCGCCATAATTATCATCAAACCTCATAAAGCCATCCCGCTGGAAAGGACAGTAGACCGGCACCTTGGCAGCATTGGTGGGAAGCTGCTGGTAATTGACACCAAGGCGATAACGAGCGGCATCAGGGTACGCGAAAAGGCGGGCTTGCAGAACTGCATAAGAAATCGAGTTAATATATGGGGACGCATTCATCCCAATTATTGGTATAACCTACTTGGGTCTGCCGAGGGCGCAAAGCCAGGTACCATGGTGGAGGGTGAAAAGGCCGCCTGTTCAATATCGGCAAAGTAGTTCCGAGGCTAAGAGATCCACCATTTAGTTCGTTCCCTGGTGTGTAGTGATAAAAAAACAGACAGGGGTATACGCACGTTACGATTCAGGGTCAGTTTGCCGATTTGTCTTAATGGGAAGTCCTTGTGTGGCCACACTTTGGTCATATCAAAGATATTCCATCTGTATCTCTCCGCTTCAGAGGGATCCATGACCTGAACATAAACATTCCAGGTAGGGTAGTCCCCTTTTTCGATTGCCTCAAACATGTCCTGGATGAGGAAGTCTGGATTCTGGCCAGCAATTCTGGTGGCTTCTTCGCGGGTAAAGTTCTTCACTCCCGCAGTTGCTTTGATATGAATTTTAATGTATTTGAATGAGCCGTCCTAGGGAGCGGTTAGTCTCAATTGTCCGCAATAGGAACTATGGCTAGAATGTCATACCTCTTTCGTGAACTTGTACGTGTGCCCACTGTAAGCATTCATAGTCCGGACGGACGCCGGGGTTCCGCGGTCGCTGAAGAGATGCAGGAGTTGATGTATTCCTTCGGGGTTACCAACGTGGAAACTGAAAAATGTTAATTCGGCAACCTAAATAACCGAGCAAGATCACCTACTCCCAGAACTGTAGACCAACATTAGTTTTACTCTATGTGATATCCATAGAATATAATTATCACTTACCATGTTCGCGTCAGGAAGATGTGTCTGCGGGTTTCTCTTGTGGGATCTGTTCACAGAGGGAAACTTGATGGGATCCCGGATGAAGAAGATGGGCTTTGACAATATGAGTTGCAGTGTTTGAGTGATCATTTAAATACCTACTCACCGTATTGTTGAAAACCCAGTCCTGGTTACCTTCATCGGTGTAAATTTTCATTGCCCAGCCATGAACGTCGCGAGCAGTATCGGCCGAGCCTGATTCCGGTCCAACGGTAGACACTCGAAGGAGAACAGGCGACTTTTTTCCAGCTTTGCTAAGAAAACTGGCCGAAGTGATATCAGAGCAATCGGCCGTGGCTTCAAACTCGCCGTAAGCCCTGCGTAAAAAGACGATTAGCCCAATGCGCACACTGTTCAAGGTCACTGTATTACATACCCAACGGCTTTGGCGTGAACAACGCTGAAGGACCCACGCAAAAAAAATGTCAGGACGACTAAAACATATTATCTCGGCTTGCGATTGTAGTTCTTACCGCTCTGGGATCCTCTCGCGAGAGAAATGCGCCAATGTTTCAATGAGCTGAGTGTCCTGAAGTAAACCAAGACCGCCGACACCCTGGCCACGACGCACTTGAACAGAGGTGCTGGCGCTGGCGAAAGGGCAGCCTGTTCAGCAGGTATATCAACATATATCCTAGACAGACAGTAATTCGAGACTCACCCTCAGCAAGCGTGTAGTATTTGTCGGTCATTCTGATTTGCTAGATCACTGGATACATAAAAAGGAAGAAAAGTTGATGTTTTGGTTCTGATCAACCTTTAATCCATTATATAGCCAGCACGGTTCATTTGCATTCAGAGCACGTTCCAGCTAGCTGACCTGTCATTATCTTAAAGTCGTTATTATTGGCTACTAGTGCCAGTGTAGGATAAAGCTTAAGTGGGGGGTGGGGGGGGGGCGGAGCTACTTGCTCGCCAAACCCTGGTTGGTAGTTCTCCTCTTCTGTCCTCACTCGTCATTTGAGGTTGCTTGAAAGTAAAGTATAGTGATTGGCTTGTTTAGTCCTACTCAATCTGGCGTGCTCCGACAAGTTAATCCACTGTCTCCAACGGGGTACGCCGGACCAAATCCCTTCGGAAAGCAGCAAACTCGGTGGATGGGCTGCTGTACATCACGAAATTGGTTTCTAAATGCAGTTTTCCATTGACTTATATATTCTCTTGGTATATAATAAATAATAATGGAGGGCAACATCGCCCTTAAAATCTCGGGGCCTTATCGATGTGTATGCCACGAAACAAGCAGTGTGAGCAATCTTGATGACTCGATCCCTTTGACCTCGATAGGGCTTGCAGGGTTTGTCGTCTTCTTTGGCCCTGCATGAAGCAAGCCGGTGATTTCCTGCCAGGTCCAGGCCTGTTCGTTCCCTTTGTGCTTTAGGCCTTTATAGGCCTTCTTCCTTTCCCGTCTTCTTCTTCTTCTCTTAGTCGTCTTCGTCTTCCTGTTCTAGATAGACCAATTGACTCAGTCTCCCTTCTCTCTTCGCTCCCTGTGCCAGCAGTGCCGTGCGCACTGTCAAATCTGAACCACCGAAATTCGCATACCCCACCATGCTTGGGCTGAGAACCTCCTGGGAAAATTTGCCGAGTATCAACCCACCTTAGGTAAGTTGAACCCGAAGAAGGGGAATTGATAGGGACATAACAGCTTTTTACTAGTTAACCTAGTTAACTAGTTAGTTAGTAAAAGCTGCTGTGTGTATAACAATTCCCCCCATCGAAATATCCGTCCAAGACTAGCCATTAGCTATTCTGGCGTGCTATTCATGCCAGAAACTTTCTGACTTGAAATTACCCCCTCTAGATTAAAATAAATTTCGAAGCACCGATTGAGACACTTTAGGAGCCTTATATCATGACATTGTGCGCAAATCAGTAGATCCTTGATGCGGGCGGTGTGACTGGTGGGTCCCGGGGCGTTGTTAAACCTTTTGCGTAATCACTGAGCTTCATTAAAGACCAAGCTCTGTACAAATATCCTTTTTCAATAGCACATTTTTTTAAGGTGGGAAGTAAACTCTCATTCTAGGTTGTCACTATGGCTTCTTCGTGATTCCCAGTTATACCGACTGATGGATATAATCTGACGCCCAATGAAGTTGGCCCAAAATTTCTTTAGAAATACCTCGCCATCTTTTCCGTAAATGGTAGTACTTCCTATTATAGAATAATCCTCGCTCATATTCCCTGCCTCAACTAAGCGGTCGGTGTATTTTGACATTTGGGGATAGGATTCTCAATATTGAAATAACAGAGTATAAACCGGGCAGTAAGGTTGAGGAACACGTATCTAAAATACACAAATCTCTCCCTTTTACTTTGGTACTAGTTCGTGCGTTGTTCAATGTCCTAAAGCTCATTCCCGTTATAACTGACGATATGCGCCCCCCTTAGGTAAATTGACAGAGATTCAACCATATGTCACAAGAGGCAAGATGCTCCTGGATTAAAAATCAACCGAAAGCCTTTGTCACGAGGTTGGCCCGCCTAGAATTCTTCACCAAACGTTCATTGTCCAGTTTTGGTTTCTCCCGTCACAGCTTTTACACGGCTTCTACACCATCGTTTCCCCCCTATTTTTCGGCTATAGGAGAAATGTTCGAAAAATCAATCTCAGCAAAGACATCGGGAAATTTCACTATTCACTACTTTGCTTCAGCAAGCAGCTTCACCTCTAAAAATACGGAAACGCTACCTGCACCTATGAAACTTTTGGAGCTATTTCCTGTACTAGAAAAAATGTACCCCGGCATCAAAGAGAAGGTGTTATACAGCTGCGGGGTCAGTCTCGACGGCGAGTATGTGAATGTTGAAGTTGATGAGGGAATGCTGATAGGGCATGGTGCCGAGGTTGCAATCATTCCGCCTGTCAGCTCGGGTTGACGTTCTTTTCCCGTGCCGTTTAGGTCTAGGGTTGGAGGCATCTGTGTGGAGAGCGCGGTTCTTGTACCTTAAACGTTGAATGATCTTAATCCATGCCCTATATAAACAGAAACAATAGATGGGAAGTGTTTCTCCTTGACTTATTAACCCAAAAAACAGTTCAGCGGTGTATAATCTTGCTATCTGTGAAGCCAGACGACGAAACGGAGACGTGGTACTTATTAGACAGCTTTGTATTCATATAAGTCCTCGCTGCAAATCTAACGTTTAGGTTGCTATATGGTTGTAGGAAATCACCAGTCAACATGGTGTTTTCGATTCCTTTGACTACTAAACCCAATAGAATAACTGAACAGAGATTTCTGGATTTATCGACCGACACCGGCAGTTTCGCAAGCATATATATCGTACTCGGATTCACCACCAAGTTCGATATCCGAGCCTTGATACTGACAACCGTGGTTCTGTTGAGAAGTTCGTGTTTCTATGAGCCGACGAGCTGACAATGTCTTCACATCAACCTAAATCGAAATGGAAAATCAAATTCATTTTGTAGATTCTTACTTGTCAACCCGAATGGATCGGCGCTCTTATCACAACATGCAACATGCAGAGTGACATCTACCTGCATGCATAAGATAACACTAAAGTATGTCTGCCCAACACAAATATGTTGCAATTGGGCATCCCGGATTTGTAACATCCGAGGATCCCCGTTATCGTGTAAGCTCATGGGTATTTCAACCCCCATGAGCACCCTCATTTCATATTCAATCAATCAATCAATTATTCAATCACTCAATTCAATATCAATCTCCCCTTTTGATTCCGTTGCCCTGATTGGCCCATTTCCAAGTACTCCGTAGCTGTCACGTTGTTGATATTACTCAAGCTCCGCATCATCAACTCCGTATCGAGGCGTGCCATACCATGCACTCAACTATTCGTTGTCTTTGAGATGAATCGCTGTGAAGCCATTAAAGTCGCCTCAAAGCAGGTGAAATCTTTCCCTTACTTGAACTCCGAGTGTATGATTCTCACGCCAGCACCCCAAGCTTTACCCATCGTAGTCAAATCCTGAAAGCATCATGGAAAGATGCAAATTGAGCATTGACGTATGCGATTCGAGGAATGAAAATGGTGATCTGTGATTTTTTTTTCCGGTGGGGATGCTGTATTTGATCACTTTTCTAGATCCATTGAACTCGGGGCCTGGTCTCAAGACATCTGGCCCGGGCGAGGGCTTCATTACGTCAAATGCACTCTTGGATCTTACTCCATGCCACATATTTGGGGCCTGACATCCATGCCTTTCCTAGAATCTGGCGAATACGGCATTCCCTTATAAAGATAATACGCATCCATCCATCGAAAGATTTGTGCAAACGCTGAGGTGGTAAAACCCCTCAACATTCATGCTCGGCGTTGAAGTCTCTCAGAATTGTGCTACGTGTCTTCCTATAGCTTGAAATCCAGATCAATTGTTTCGTGTTAAAAAAGTTTTTATTTGCAAACGATATCAAATTAAGAAGACTTCGAGAAGATTGACCCAAGTAGGTTGGTTGATGGGCACAGAATTCAGAACATTCCGTGCAACTTCCGAGCAGTACGCGTGCAGATGGGCATGGCTTCATTCCAGATGTCGCTAAGTGGCCGATAACATGCGGCTATAATGGTGGGATTGAAGGGCTGGTGGTTTCTGACGAGTCAATACAATGGCAGTATCCATTTGACCAGACAGGTTGCCTTGCAGGTTTTTGCAATTTCCGTGAACCCGGATTTCGGGATCAGTGAATCCGTTGATTGGTGTTCTACTCTTTCCCAATTGGAAATATTTCCGAGGGTTCCATGTTACTAATGGATGGTAAGCTCACATTTGTATCCAAAATTACATGGGCTGGGGTTCCCTTCTGGGGAGGCACCAACTGGAAAGAAAGAGTCTATGCATGCGCCTTCGCCTATTGTCGGGCTCTTTCCCGTGCGATACAGCCCCCGCAATACTGTCTAATATGTAAAGACCCTCAGGAGCTTGCAATTTTGAGAAGCCCCGACGCTCCTTCCCGCACTGCTCCCCTGTTAGCTTTCAAGTTCATGTGAACTCGTGGCCACAGCCATTTGTGACAGTCCCTTCCGAAAAATTAATCCGGGCAAGGAACCTCGAAACTCGCAAATGGCCATTCAAGGGCTACGAGAGCTCTCTTTGCACAGCCTACGCACCTTCAAGCATAACTATGTCTCTGAAATATCTGGATCACTGGGCGACCTGGGCACATTTCTGCCCATCGCAATCGCACTATCCGCGAATGGCACCGTGTCACTGGCCAGCACGCTAATATTTTCGGGTATATTCAATATCCTCACGGGCTTATTTTTCGGTATCCCGCTCCCCGTGCAACCCATGAAGGCGATCGCCGCGGTCGCGATCTCCCGCAGCTTCCCCAGTGGCTCGATCGCTGCAGCAGGGATCTTCGTTGGTGTCTGCGTTCTTGTTTTTAGCGTGACCGGTCTTCTACATTGGTTCGCCAATGTGATTCCTATCCCAGTGATCAAGGGTATTCAGGTTGGCGCGGGCTTGTCGCTGGTTATCTCTGCTTGCAATAGCATCCTCCGCCCGCTTAGTTGGATAGGGCCATCCTGGGCGGATAATCGTATCTGGGCGACTGTGGTATTCCTCGCCTTTATCGTCACCAATGTCTACCGCAAAGCCCCCTATATACTGGTCCTGTTTTCCATCGGTTTGGTATTTGCGATTATTCGAACGGCGGTGGCTGGTGATCTCCCTGCTTTCAGCATATGGCACCCTTGGCTGGTGGTTCCGACGCCCTCTCAATGGTGGGTTGGCACCGTGGATGCCGGTATTGGCCAAATTCCTTTGACCACGCTCAACTCGGTCGTGGCAGTGGTCCACTTGGCGAATGATCTGCTGCCTAATATCCAGACGCCGTCGATTACCCACATCGGCCTCAGTGTGGCCGGCATGAACCTTGTTGGATGCTGGTTCGGGGCAATGCCCGTCTGCCATGGATCGGGTGGTTTGGCAGCGCAGTACCGCTTCGGTGCTCGCTCGGGCGCAAGTGTGGTATTTCTAGGGGTCCTCAAACTAATAATTGGTTGTTTGTTTGGTGAGACTTTGGTGGACCTGCTCAAGAGCTTCCCAGCTGCCTTCCTAGGTGTCATGGTCATTGCAGCTGGACTGGAGCTTGTGGGCGTAGGCGAGAGTCTTAATACTCCTAGGGCTCGGGACCTACCTCAAACTGGCTGCATTTTGGATGACGCAGACCAGCACCTCGGCCCGATTTGCACTGATGAGGAGAGCAGGCGCCGGTGGACAGTCATGATGGTGACTGTTGGGATGTTGGTCGGATTTAAGAACGATGCGATTGGTTTCGCCGCCGGAATGGTGTGCCATTGGGTTTATGAGATTCCCAATTTGCGGGAGAAATATCTTAGCCATTGGTCGCAGGGATATCTTCGTCTGCGATAGATAAGACAGGATGAAGCATGCAAGATGTAGGATTAAGTGTTTTTCGGAAACATTCTTACACAAGTTCCATGAATCTCATCATGTGTTATAGAGAGGATGATGATGATGATAATTTCATTTACCCTGACTCCTCGCAATTTGAAAGCGATATGCAGGATACAACAACGAGATATATCCCTGTACGTACATGTAGAGTGTCCCACTTCCTAACAACGAAATTAGAGCCTCGTCACGGCATCTTACCACCCCACTGTTAAGCTGCCCTCGTGGCGCGGACTGCCAAACCGTTGTGACACCTCAGCGAAGTCTAAGCCGTCCTGATTCTGGACATATTCAGCTAAGCTTGTTATTGTACGCACCTATGGGAGAAGATCAGGCATGCATCATACCGCTGGCGTTTCGTCTATGCGTGATGCAGAGGCACAATTTTCATCATAAAGCGAAAAGAATGGGCTTTGTGATATCAATGTCACAACTTTATTTCCCCTTTGGCTCAAGACCCCAATCAGTTCCGCACTCGAATCAGTTTCTTGACGGTTCTTGGGTTCCAGACCAACGAGACTCATGTTGCGATCACATTCCAGAACTTCCTCGAAGGCTAAATGCTGTGAGAATATGGATTTCTACCCCAACCGTCTCCGAAATTGATATCGCAGAAGGTAAGCAATCCATAAACTCCTTTTTCCACCTCTGTTTGTCTATCCCCTGCCATCGACACTAGGTAAACTAACCTTGAGGCATAAAAAATAGCCAAGCTCAAGGGAGATTCAATGCCAGGGAAGCCCAGGAACTTCGCTCCAGGTCACAGCAGGGTTAGAAGATCTATCCGATTACGAGGTGATCCCGACGAAAGGCGGACCTGTTAGCGAAATCATGGCTGTGCAGCTTCCATGTTACTTTTTCGAGAAGCATCATCTGCCTGGGGAATGCTATGGTCGAGCCAATATCCTTGAGACTTTGCATGATATCTTGTTGCCACCTGCGGCGGAATTGACCTCAACGCACGCCTCTCGGTCGTTCGCTCTATGTGGCCCCGGGCAGATTGGGAAGACACAAATTGCGGCGGGGTTTGCCATGACTCGAAAGGAGGCATTCGATGCGGTATTCTGGATAAATGCAGAAAGTGAAATCAAGCTCACGGCCGACTTTACATTGATTGCGGCGCAAATGGAGTTGACCAACGAGCTCGACCGAGGGAACGCAGTTGACAGTCGAGACCGGCTCCTCCAATGGGTTAACCGGCCGTCCAGAGATGGGAGATGTATGTCCAACGAAGATTCGAGGCACATAGAGGACGTCCCCGATTGGCTTTTGGTATTCGACAATGCAGACAATCCGGAGCTCCTGGTGTATTACTGGCCGGGGGTCGATCTTGGTCACCAGTCGCGACCCAATGGCCAAGACACATTTCTTTTCCACATCGGGGGTGGACCTGGAACTATTTGACCGGGACTCAGCCGCTACATTTTTACAGACCCTGACGGGGTACCGAGCCGATGCCAATCACAAGGAAACGTTGATTTCGGCGGCCGATAGATGCCTTCCTCCAAAACTAATAGAACTGGCAGAAAAAGGCAGAATTTTCATCTAAGTTCAATTTCTAAATCTTCTGTCGGCATGTGTGGTTAAAGCATCTGAATTGCATATGCGGACATGTGGCTTTGTGCGTTTGAGATTCGACGAAGGACCCACTTTTCTTACCGCTCATCCCACCATACGGTTTATCAGATTAATCTTTAACGATCTTGCATACAATCGCCTACCTAATTTAATTACCTACCATGCCACTTGATGGAGATCCGATAGGGATCTCCCTCGAGGGAATCCCCGGTCGGGATTCTCCTGGAGGTTGATTCCAGGGCCAGTTGATTGCTTTGCTTTGCTTCGGCCTATTTAGGGCTTTTCCTTTCTTTGTTTCCTTTCTTCTTCTGCAGAGATAGTTCTCCATGTATTCGAACTAGATTTTTCCTCTCTCTTTGGCTTCCTTGCGTAGTGGCGATAGATCGCCATCACCACTAATTCGCACTGAATCTTCGCAGAAATCGGCCAATCAGGAGGGCAGGATTCTATTAGCCCTATCCGATATCAAAAGCGATCGTGTCAAATCTCTTTATGCAGCAGCAAAGCTATACGATATGTCAGGATGTGCGATACCCTGCACTAAGTGTGTGCATAAGCGATGCACATATCGGACCAACCGGATCAAACGCTATACATCCAGCAGACCGCTACACAATCTACGATGATGATTATCAACTATCACATCAGATGGAAAATGCAACGAGTTTCCTAACACTCTCGTATGCCCCATGTTATTTCGGATTTTTATTAGTCTTTTCCTGTGACATTCTGCCATGTACCTAAAGTTATAGATACTGCCTGTTTCCCTAGCTAAATCAAACAAGTTTGACACCCTTTGCATCACAAGTAGAGCTCAAGGCCTACCTGACTATAACAAGTGTTGACATGCCACTGTTCAACCGTTCTGTCTAATACTGCCGACCCCCTCTATTGTGTCTTAGTCATTCTTCCATAATCGTGGTATTCGATCGACCGTGTACGAACGCTTCGTGAACTCCCCAGGATTTATACGCACAGCGTAAATCCGACACGTATTACTTACCTTATAGATCAAAAGAAAGTATAGACTGAAAGTGATGAATTGGGAGAGGGCGATAAATCGGTAGAGCATATGAAATAATAGCCTACTAGCGTAGTGGACTTTTCTGAATCGGCTCTTGCTCTAAGTCGAAGTAACTCGTAATACAGAGCATGCAATGCAGTACAGTACGTTGCGAAACCGGTGCAACAACTCCACTCTCTCAATGGCTTTCTTGTCCCTTGAGCCAAGATATGCTAGTCCTGAACCGACACGTATGTATCTACTGGTAACGCGCGCTGTTGCACACTGTGGCCCTGAACGAATAAAGTACGAGAGTGGCCCTATACGTATACGAAAAGGCGCTTATTTTGTTAACACTGTGGACCTAAGATAGAGTCAACCTTCTCAAACTTATTTTAGGAATTTTGTTGACCCACACTAGCCATGGACAAGCCATCGCGGGTCTTACAGAATATTACTAATATACGACTTGATTCGAAAATAGCGAAAAAAGCTGCTAAGCGCCGCGCTATTTTAGGGCACTGCATGGCATTAGGAGAGTCAAAGACAAATTAGGCGGTGAACTGCCCGATGTTTCGAGATACTAAATACCCTCAGAGGCGACTCTTCGGAAAACTTCATGTTTAACTGTTGCTCCGGATTTTTGATATTGTACTTTCTATCTCCTGCCCCAATTTTTTTTCTTTTTTCTGCCTTTCAGTGCACAAAGATATGAGTGTTCATACTTCAGAGTCGATGATGAGCTCAGACGATGACAAGATGCTACAACGGACAAATTCCTCTGATGCATTCAGATCAAATCATGACGATTCTTTTTGTTACCGTCTTCAGGCCGAGATCCTAAAAGCCTCACCGTATTCTGGAATAGGGGAATGTGTACCGAACCCTGGAGGAAGTCATCATCCCCATTTAGAAGATGTGTTAGGAAGAACGTGTCTACATTATGCTGCTCAGACGAAAGAGCTACATCGAGCCTTCGGCAACGAAGAAGCTGTGGGGGATTTTTGGGCTGAGCTATTGGAGCACTTCGGCGACAAACTGACAGCCTGTGATAATGAGGGCCGTACCGCCCTTTCTTGGGCAGCAGAAGCTGGAAACAGTTCCGCTATAAGTAATTTGCTTGGCTCATTTAAGCAACCTGACCACACTCATCTGTTCTATGACGACAAAGACAAGAAAGGAAACACCCCCCTATTTTACCTGCTTCAATTCCGGAAAGACCAGCCCAGAAGGGACGGTAAACGCCCCACAAATGATTATGACGTCTCTGCCATTGCAGAAAAAGAAAATTGGCTTGTTGGACGGCTTATCTGGGAAATAGAATGGCATAGTTGGAGTGGATTTGTGTCGGAGCACTTAGAGGAGTCTTTCCTTTCTCAGGGCCCACTTCCTCCTCACTACTTTGGTAAAGAGGTCTTGAACAAAAGGTTTAATGGGCAGACTTTGTTATCCCGCGCCGTGGAGTTTAAGGACTACAGTTTCGTTCACGTTTTGTCCCTCGTCGATGGAATTGACGTGACAAAGGTAGATGTTGATGAGAACGGCGTGAAAGGGAAATCTCCTTTGCTACACGCTATAGACAATGGCGACAAGGATATGGTCAAATTATTGAAATGGAATGCTTTGAGAGGTCCTGAGAAAGACCTTTCAACGCTGCTTGATTCATTTATCGACAAAAGCAAAAATGAATCTAAAGAATCAGTGGAGCGTCTTGAGAGTCTTCTCGATTTGCAGGCTCTGAGAGAGGTTGGTGACCTGGAAGAGGAGGGAGTGGTGACGGAAGACATTGAAATTGGAAGACAGGAAGAGGAAGACCCGACAAGAGCATACCTTGTCAAAGTTCTTCGATGCTCCTGGAAGCTGAAAGCACTGCCTATGGTTCAATTTCTTCTTGAAAATGGCGCTTCACCACGGCCTCTGCAGCTCACGAAAAAGGCCTGGTTTGAATTCATAGACTCAAACCCCCACCTGGAAGATAAATCAAGACTGAGGAAGTTTTTACAGCTGACTGAGGTTGTGAGGGAAGGTAATACTTTACACATCCTCCGCACGCCGGAAACTATACCGGAAACAATACGAGAGCATGTGAGAGGAGATAAACGCAGCCAGATGAGGTGAGCAGAAATTCCATTCCATCTTCAAATTCACCTCAAGTATTAAAGGTTATAGATTTTTGCGCAGTGTGAAAGCCTGCCAGGAAGTTGAATTCGCACGATCCAGAAACCAATACGGATTTCATGAGGTCAAACTGCACGACGATGAGGTCGTTTGCAAGATGCTTATAAGGTTTCCTAATGAAACAGACATCTTCACAAAGCAAGGGAGGTCGCTTGAGGAAATGGAAGACCCCAAATGTACAACTCGATGGATTCAATGGACTACATCGAGAAACGGCTTTGTTTGCTACGAAAGCACACTTTCTTCAGGCCAGATTCCGGGATCAAGTTACGCTTTCGTAAAAGATCTCATATCTGATATAGAAGATGGGTGGATGCAGATTTTCAACACGGCAGAAGATCGCCTGAATACAAATGTAAGCTCAAAAGTTTTTCACAGCATATATAAACTAACATGAGAAGACTACGGACTATCAAAGACGTGATCAAAGTCGTGAGTTAGTTAGATATTTTGCCACGGAACGAAAATTCTTTGCAATACTCCGGCAAGCCCTCCGCCAACATTTAGGGTCGACGTTGCGGTTGATCAAAGAAAGTCATTCAAAGACTCAAGAGCTTCTTGAGAAAGAAGATATTGAGGACCCGAATGAAGTGACAGCCGCCCTAGAGAATGCGAGAAGACTTCTCAATGAGCATTTAGAAAGGCAAATCCAAGACATTCGTGACTCAGTTCAGGTGGTGAGTCCTGGAAGATAACCGTCGATACTGTACAGGTATCTCATACTCAGACTTATTAGGAGCTTGCTGAAATATCTGTTGGAGAGACTATCTTCATGAGAAGAATTGGTCTAGTCACGGTAAGTAACCTCATAAGACTTGGGTGTCTTCTAGCTAACTAGCCTCTTCGTTCACCCGTGCGTAGTTTATTTATTTACCATCAATGTTTGCCGCGGTATGATGCTGCTGATACCTACTAATCGTATACACATGCTTCAAATAATCGCTGACCTCAGCAGAGCCTTTTTGGAATGAATGTCAATGCTTTACAGAACAATCCTGACTGGAAATGGTATTTGCTTTTTTGCGCTGGACTACTCATGTTCACATATGCGCTCTGGGTGGTCTCAGACCCAGTAGGTTGATTCACCGTAAATATGGCTCGTCTCGCTAACTTTGATAGTCTTTCAGGAAAGCCAGGCCACGGGAATTGAATGTGGTCGAAATTTTATGTGGACGCCGTCGACAGAGAAAAGTGCAATGGGAAGCTTGATTACTCCTAATTTCAGCTAGCCTAACCATACTGGCTCCGGCCTAGTAGGGTTGCGCAAAATTTGGTCTTGGGCGGCCTGATCACAACGCGAGCCGCGTATCTAAACAGGTCAAATCTTGATGTATATTGATTAGGTCTACTGGATCTTTCAATTCTATAACCCAAACTACATTTTGTCGTAAATGATCATAAGATAGTCTAAAGGATAGAGCTTCCTGTAGCATAGCCCTCTGTCTGATGACTGGTGGGCGTATAGAGTTACACGGAGGCTGTGCTGTATGTGGCAAGAATGAAGGAAGTGGTAACCTTGGACTGGTAGGAAGGAGAGAATCAGGGCGGATAATATTATAAATCACTTGATCTACTTATAAGGTTCTCGGGGATTTGGTGTATCTTAACGGGATAGTTACGTCCTGAGAAGAGCTGGTCATTACCATTATCGTGTACCCACCTGATAGAGCCGTGATTATAGTAGATTTAGCTTCATTCAAATTTGTTGTTCCGGAATTAAGTCCAAAAAGTGCGGAGTCAAACTCATTTCGAAAACTTTTGGGACGTACAGAAGGTTTAGAAGACAACAGCCGAAGCCGATATTAATGTGGAATATGAATAGGCCAAAAAGTTGAGTCAAACTATAAAGCTAAGTAGCTATAACCAAAGTTCGAAAGTGCTCAGTGTGTTCTCACATGTCAATGAAGCCGTACAGGTTGCATACTGTAGAACCACGTGGAGCAGCGAATCGACGACGCGAACCACGGAAGTTAAAATCCATGGTTTAAGAAAAGTCAAGCGGCATCTCAGAAAGGAAAGCCCGACTAGGCAGAGGAAAAACGCTCGGTAGAGTGACCTATCTAGGCAGGAGACAGTTCAACACTCCAAGAATTTCGGGAATGCCTGCTCTGTTGTATTTATCATTCCGCCATGTACCTCGTGATATAAATATTGCTGTGTTTTCTAACTAAATTGAATCAAGTTTGACATCTCTTCATGACACAAGAAAGCTCCGGGCATACTTGACATACGTTTCTTGTCTAACAAGCCGATTCTGCCTTCTTGTGTCTAGTCTCTCTTCAATCCTCTCTTCTGCATACATACTCTTCTTGTGTGCATATAATATAACGGCGAGGTAAATTAAGACTAAATAAGACTAAATATACCGGTCAGCCTAAGCATTAGGGTGAGTAATCAGGTTGCCTAGGGAGCTGCTCATATTTACTCCGTAATCTACTTAGGGCGGCGAGGTGACCAACTCATTCTGTGCTACGGGAGCCGATCATTTTTCGAGGCGGTAGTTTTACCGTCACCTAGATTACGTTATATATGCATATCCTAAATTCTCACAAACTCAAAGTCCCAAGCACCAACAATCTCTATTTAGATGAAAGTTTCTTGATCTCAGCAACAACAGCATCAGTAACCTCCTTGGTCGTAGCCTGGCCACCGAGGTCACGGGTCAGAACACCCTGTTCGCAGACATTCTCAACGCAGTCAAGCAGCTTCTTAGAAGCTTCCTCCTCGCCCAACCAAGCGAGCATCTCAGCGGCAGTCCAGAAAGTAGCAACAGGGTTGGAGATACCCATGCCAGTAATGTCGAAGGCGGAACCGTGGATAGGCTCGAACATGCTGGGGTACTGGCGAGTAGGGTCGAGGTTGGAAGTAGGGGCAATACCGATGGAGCCGGCCAGGGCTGCGGCCAGATCGGACAGAATGTCGGCGTGCTAATATAGCGAGTCAGTAAATTGGACCAAATATATCAGATAGCATCGAGACTTAATTACCAGGTTGGTGGCAACAATAGTGTCCAGAGTCTCGGGCTTCAGAACCATGCGAGTAGTCATAGCATCGACCAGCATCTTGTCAACAGTGACCTCAGGGAAGTCCTCAGAAACGGCCTTGGCAACTTCATCCCAGAGAACCATGCCGTTACGCTGAGCATTGCTCTTGGTGACCACGGTCAAAAGCTTACGGGGACGCTTCTGAGCAGTCTCAAAGGCAAAACGCATGATTCTCTCAACACCGTGACGAGAGAAGATAGAAACCTCGGTAGCAACCTCCCAAGGCTTGCCGGTGTGAGAGCGACCACCCTGACCGGCGTACTCGCCTTCGCTGTTCTCGCGAATAATGACCCAGTCAAGGTCGCCGTCCTTGCACTTGCGCAGAGGCGACTCGGTGCCGCGGAAGACACGAGTGGGACGCACGTTGGCGTACTGCTGGAAGGGCTGGCAAATTGCAAGACGGAGACCCCAGAGGGAAATATGATCGGGGACGTCTAGTAAATATTGTGAGTGGGGATTTAACATCTGGAGATTTCGGGGGACTTACCAGGAGCGCCAACAGCACCGAAGAAGATAGCATCATGCTTCTTCAACTCCTCGAGACCGCCATCGGGAATATATTTGCCAGTCTTCTTGTAGGTCTCGGAGCTCCAGTCATAGTTCTTGAACTCGAGCTTGAAAGTCTTGAGGGTATCGGTAAGGGCGTTCAAAGCGGTGATACCGGCCTCGATGACCTCGGGACCAATGCCGTCGGCCGGGATGGACGCAATGCTATACGTCTTGTTGGAAACAACTGAAGGAGACATAGTGAAGGCAGGTTTGACACAAAACGGTATTGTGTTTGACAATGATAAAGTCAGATCGAAGAAGGGGTAAGGATTAAGTATATGCGGGGGTTTTTAAGGCTGTTTTCTCCAACACACCGAATCAGACTTGATTTGGTTCCTGGATGGGGGAATTGGAGATTGAGGCCCCTCATCGCAAATGTTCTCAACCAATGGCCACTTGACCAACACAGACGGCACTTTCTGCTGTGTGGATTGGGGTTTTCTATCTCCGGCGCTAGGAGAACGACATGTCCGATTGAAGGAATCGAGTATTCGGTGCGTTGAATTGGAGTATAGTACGAGGATTAAGATTTCGAATAAGAAAAGAACAGGAAATGTTGCTTTAAAATTTTGAACTTTCATGGATTGATCCAAAGATCTTGTGTGGCTGCCAGACCGGACTGCTTCTTGTCGTCTCTCCAAAACCTCACCCCTACATTGTTCAACCCTCTTTACCGCCTGATATATACCGCCTTTGTTGGAAAGTTTTGAACCAAAAGAAACACATATCAAAACTGGAGAATTCGATTTCTTCCCTTCAATCCTCTCAAACGAGACGTGCAATTGGAGATAGCGACAGCTTTTCCCAAAATTCAAGGATACTGGTGGAAATCTCGAAGTGTTTATGTCCGGCAGAATGTTATATAAGCAGAAGGTGGTCGGAGACTTTTGCGGTGCCACTGTACATGGAAGAGTGTAATACAATTACTACGCTAAACCAGAATAAGAGTTGTATCGTCGAATTAGCAATTCCCGAGTGGGGGTCACGTGGGAACGGTGACAACCCCAGACGAACCACCTCCTTGATGGTGATGAACGCTATCGAGATGATTTCGCATGAAGCCTTCTATTGTTGTGACTCAATGTATCGCAATCACCTTCAATGGAAGTTTCAGAAAATGTGATGTTACAGAGCCACCATGGCATCTCCATCTTCAGTCAGTACTCGTCTCGAGGAAAATGAATCAGACTGGCAATATGGACCTCGGTCGGCAAAGCGACGCCGGCGAGCATCTACAGCAGCCGCCTCAAGACCCTCCCCCCGTGAGGTCGGGTTCATGAGGGAGCCTCAGAATGAAGGCTCTGCTAGTTTCCTTGGCAGCTCCAGTGGGATTCATTTCATTCGGCATGTCTACAACGCCTTTGCTCGCCGGTCGGCAGACTTGCAGCAAAATCGAGCCCGGGATAAGAGCTCAGTTCCGGGAGAAGATGACCGGTTACAGCGCGGGAGTGAACGTGCTCATGACGCATTCTGGTTACCGGAGGAATTGAGCTTTGCTCGAAATGCTGTGTTCAGTTTCGAGGACCTTGTCAACTGGACACGTCGATATTTTGAGAATTGGCATCCATGTTTCCCCTGTCTTCATGCGCCGACCGTGTTGCAAGCTATGGAAAGACTTGCTCGTCAAGGGCCAGAGTCTGTTAGCCGCTTAGATATGATTGTGATCCGTTCCTTGATCTCGATATCTATTGGAGATGAGCGCCAAGCGAAGACTTCCGGCTCGGAGAAACGCCAAATCCCTGCAATACTCGTGTTTCAAAGCGTGCAGCATGTCATGCAAGAAATACAAAGCTTACTTGCAGAGCCCACAACGCTACCGCTGCTTCAGGCGGCCTTCACGGCCCAATTGGCTCTCACTTCGCTTCTCCGTTTGAATGCCGCCTCTCGGGTTGGAGGTGTCATCACTCGCACGGCATTCCATCTAGGCTTGCATCGCTGCCCTGGTCGATTTTCTTGTTTTAGTAATGAAGAGATCGGTATACGCAGGCGTCTTTTCTGGTCCATCTATTCACTGGAACGGTATCTCTCTCAAGCCCTTGGGATTCCTCTTGGTATACGAGACGATGACATCGACGTGTGTTATCCAGACGCCGAGAGGCATGTCACTCAAAATCCTTCAACACCCAATGATCAGCGCCTACGGTTGCTTTGTCATCTTGCAAAGTTTGCCAGAATCCGGGGGTTGATACTGGAGCTTCGAAACAAGTCTATCTTGCATAGTCATGCCGGTGCGCGGGAGGCGTCGCATGTTAATGGCGAACTCTCTCAGTGGTGGAATGAAGTCTACGACGATGTCAATCCGATCGAAGACTCTGCAGGCCCTGAATCAGAAGCAAGCGCCACGCTCACTCCCTATCATCGGTTATTGCTGATAATCCTCAGACATGACGCAATTATTGCAATGAATCGGCCACTACTTGCTGCGGAGAGGACTAATCCTGAATATAAACATGCTTTGCAAACATGTATTGCTTCCTCTCGATCGTCATTGGCTGCATTGAAGAGATACATGTCTTCTGAATCCTATGCACCACTCACCTGGCCATCCTTCACCTGGACGACATGGATGGCCTGCCTGGTCTTGATGTACGCCTCGTGGGAGGGAGAATTGCCTGTCGCCACAGCATTGAAATATGCGAAAATGGCTGTCCAGGTGTTGGAGAATCTTTCCTTGCGTGGAAATAGCTGGCCAGAGACATGCATCGAGGCAATCAAAAGCATGGAGTCTGCTCTGTCAACAAAAATGCCTGGGAGATATCCAAAGGGAAATCCTGCCGAGCCTGCGAGTTCCGAGAGAGGTGCAAATGCCAATCAGACCTCTCTGGAGAGCAATACTTCAAGTGGGGAAAACGAACTCATTAATCAAGATTCCGCCATCTTTTCGACGCCCAAGAATCCGGCAAACGATATCAATGAAATCACACACGGTGACCAGTTTTTGAATGCGCAAAACTCGGCCGGGCTTATCTTTGGCAATTTGGTCAACAACAGTGCTGCACCCTTCTACCCAGGGATTGCAGGCCAAGACCCATTTCCATTTTCAGATCCGTCCTCACTTCCCATGAATGATTTATGGAGTGTAGCTGATGGTCCATGGATGATTCATGGAGACTTTCTGTAATATATCCCAAAATTGTACAATTTCCTAGGCTGAGGCTAATCGTACGCCAACTTGTGCTTTCGCGCGACAAACTAATACATTTTCGGATATGGTGGATAACAGGTTCACCGAGTAGCTATATATTCTCATAATGCCTACTAAGTCCTTTCCCGAAGCTATTCAAAAGACTGTTCAAAAGACTGTTCAAAAGACTGTTCAAAAGACTGTTCAAAAGACTGTTCAAAAGACTGTTCAAAAGACTGTTCAAAAGACTGTTCAAAAGACTGTTCAAAAGACAGCTCAAAAGACATTTAGAAAGATCTTTCATAAAAGGGAAAGTTAAAGCATATATATTTACATTGCAAAACGGTTTTCCTAGTCTAGATATCAAGGATACAGTCTACCTGTTCTCCACTATGTCAATTTGGCGTGCGATTAGCCTCAGCCCTTATCTAACAGTGACGTGACATGCGGGTACTCTAACAACTGATATCCCAAACCGAACCTCACAATGAGATACCTGCCATTTCCACAACGATCCTTTCCTTATCTAGTATCGCACTCAATTGCCCCTTCTCCTTCTCTTCGCAACTCCCGAAGAAGCCGTCTCGCAATTGATCAAGATACAGCTCATACGCAGGCATGTAACCCTAGACAAACTTCGCAATTTCATCATCAGTCATACCTTGATTCTTCATCCGCCAAAGAGCCTGTTCCTGTTGGATACGCCACTCATAAACATTGCTTGAATCACCCGTATCAAGATGAATCGGGTAGTCAAAGTGCTGCGGCCCCATGAAAATTTCGCAGTATCGTGCAAGGTTATTGTTCACCTCCAACAAATTCTCAATCGCATGGTCCTTCAAAGTCCGAGTAGGATGTTTTGACCTCGCCTGTGTCTGCAATGTCTTACTCCATGTATCTTTGATGCCAATCGTCTCTCAATGGCTGAAACCCGACACACCGACCCTCAAACACGACAACATCAATACTCGTCCCGGCAGAAACACGTCGCCAGGGCTCCTGGGGTGCTCTACCACCTTCCCCATTGAATAGACTCTTATTAAATGACGGAATCAGAGTATCCTTCGAAGAATCCACCAAACTTTCGGAAAAGGCAAGCGAAAGATCTATATCGCGCGTGCCCGGTTGTCCTCTTGCTTGAAGGAGTTTACTCGATAGATTGTTTGTGCGAACGTTGACAAGTTCGTTATGGTCGAGATTTGAATCGTCGAGAGAGATGTTGATAGTGTTGTAGTTGAGTTTTTGTTGGAGGGCTGTTAATAGTGCGTCTGTCCAGTTAGATTTGCCGCTTCCTTGGGAGGCCTGCTAGGCCGAGAATGAAGGGGCGTTTGATTGACATAGATGATTGCGTATTGAGGTGTCGAGTTATGAAAGGCTGCACGTGAGATATGCCTCTTTCGATGTCTGCTTCGGGGATCTTTGGATCACGCATTGTGTTTTATCCTCAGAAAGTTGGGTATTGGGTGATTTCAGGTGGGTAGTCGGAAACTTTTGCGGTGCCACTGTACACTGGGGCTCCACATAAGTTTGAAACCCCAACAAATTCTCAAAAGCACCTGAGTAGTCACCACAGAAAGGATATCTGTGCTATCAAGAAAGATGATACGAAAGACATTTAGAAAGACCTCTCAAAAAAGAGTGATTGAAGCCTGTGTAGTTGGTCCGTTTCTCTGGTTTCTAGACTCGGACTTTTGAACAAATATAAGGATATCCTATACAAGAAGACTGTAATACAGTTACTACGCTAAACCCTAAATGGGTTATGATTAGCAATCTTGTATCGTCGTTTTAGCAATTCCTCCCAACACTCCGGAGGTTTCTTTGTCCGGCAACAATCTGCCATGCTAATCCCTCACCTTAAATCGACCATGGGCAAAGAAGACGATCGGGTTGTATCAAATTGATTACATCTCGAAACAACTTTATATTTGTCTATCTGATTCCCCGCAACTCGACCCGGCGATATCGGAGCAATGCGGTCCAAGCGAATTCGCGCATCTGATGCCATCATTCCCGGTAACCAAGAGGCCCCGCCTCTAGGGGAATCATGTGTGGATTTGCTGATGCGTGGTATACTACAGACAGCGAAAGCTTGAGCTCAATTTCATGTGAGCCATGTAGACAGCGAAAATGCAAGGTTGGTTTACTTAGGGTTCGTCTGGGGTATCAATCCAGTGCTGACCTCTGGTATAGTGTGACCGGAAACTGTACGAGCTACCTGAATATATCGTGGGTAAGTATGTTTAGAGGCAACATTGACCTAACCCGTTTGATAGCCCCTCCTGTGCGCAGTGCTCAAGTGAGCCATCAAAATGCATATACCCTGAAAGTGGCAAAAGGTAAATTTGAAGTTGAGCGAGATGAGATCTGAAAGGGAGACTAATATTCGTAGGGGCCTACCTCTCGGATACTTGAACCAACTAGAACAGAGACTGTCCGAGACCGAGACTGCGCTCTATAGTGCTCTGGTTACCTTACGCGCGATGCGACCAACGACCATGGTGCACGCATCTGCAAAACCGGGGTCGGTAAACAAACAAAAAGCTGCACGCATGGACGAATGGAACCAGCTACCACTCCGAGGATGGTCGGATATGGACCACTGGCTCGCGGGCATGTCCCATCAGTTCACCGTGGAGCCACCGCAAACCCCGAATGCACATTTCACAGAGCTATCGGAGGGCGGGTTTGTAATCCCACAGTTACCGAACCACCTCCACCCAAGTCACGGTAGCATCCATAGTCCTGGTGTGAATATAGATGCTAGGGAGGCATCGACTTCATATGCATGGCCCTCTCAAGAGAATATCTCCATGGGAAGCCCATATGAGACCCATCTCCGCCCACCGGGGATGGTATCCTCGCCTCTCTATTCGCGAGGTCAAGCCACTGGGGGGTCCGACGGGGTGGCGTCGCCGGCTGGAGGGGTACAGGAGTATACCAACGTCGCCATTTCGAGTGAAAGCGGAGCAGTAGGACCAGCAAGACCAGGCGAGAGCGCACCAGCGACAAGAGCAGAAGAGCTGTCAAAAAACAGACCTAGCATATATTTTTGATGATCAATCTTCAAAAAATCTTTGACCATATACCCTTCAAATAATTTCGTCCGATGGTGCCACCTATTTTCTACTAGATCCGAAAATGAATATACACTGAAAAGATTTATTATAGGAAGTCAAAGGTAAGTAAAGTGAACTTAGAGGAAATAACCTCAATATTCTTTTCTCATACTATTTTTGCGCCTTCCTTTATTATATCACGTCTGAAGTATTCCTCATAGCCCTGACTATCTCTCACTTCGCTCTGAGCTCTTATTCTATATCTCTTATCCTAAATTAATAAGATATTTATTGCTTACACTAGAAAAAGCTGATGAGTATAGGTCTAACAGGTGCTGAACTAAGCCTCGAGAATATGGAGATGATGTAGATATCACGTAGTCTTATCTTGCCGTGCGCCTTCCAGATTCGCTTTCCCTGATCTTTACTCTTTCCCTTCGTCTTCAAAAATCCAACCAAGAGTTTATACATCATGCAACTTCCACTTGACATGGTCGACTCAAACCACTGCCCAGCAGAAGATGTTTGCGCGGCTAGATAGGTACCACTCACAGCTATCGATAAAGACAGTTCAAAAGACATTTAGAAAGATATTTCATATAAGGGAAAATTAAAGCAAACATATTTGCATTATCAAACCGTTTCTCCAGTCTAGATATCAAAGATCTAGTGTACTTGATGGAGCAGCACTTTATGTGTGACGGACTAGACCAAAACTGCGACAATCACGTGATTAGCCCATTTTCAGCAGCGCAGGGGTAAAGAAGGAGAACCGAAATGATCGCAGGTCGTGTCACCCAACATCGGTACGGTCATCGAGCATGAAGGGTGACAATGGTGAGCTGGACAGGAACTCAATAACGATGATGATGATGACGATGATGTTATCAGTATCCTACTTTCCGTACGACTCTTCCATGCCACCTGGAGGGTGTTCGATCTGGCGCCCCACTCGCAGCCTATCCTCGTGTTATCGGTGGAGGCTGCCCCTCCCACAACCCATTAAGATTGTGAAGCATGGCCCACTCCGATACAACCAAGATGGGACCAAGCCCATGAGCGACGAGGCCTGACAGGCTGAGGAAGTCGAGCCAAATTGCCAGTGACCAGCGACAGCAAATCAGCTGGTGGTGTCCCTGCAGGCCTCCAAGCGCCGGTCGCACCAGGATCACACCCGCAGCATCGGCCACGTCGGAGGGGATCATGATTGGTGAGAAAATATCATGCCAGCCGTCTCTGGCCCTGTCGATCGGTGCAGTCACCGGGACACGGACTGCATTTAGCAAGGGACAGGATGGTCGCGGACTCGCGGGTTTTGTGGTGAAACGCGCTCCGTGCCAGGGCTGGTGTAGCCTTTTGCTAAACTCCTGGAGGCTGGAGGGCTTGGAGTCTTGGAGACTGGAGTGTATCGAGGGCGGGGGCAGTCGAAGCCCGGTTGTTTCATTGAAATTCTAATTGCGGAGCAGCGACAGAGTGCGACGCCACTCTGTCGGATGGGGGGCTTCTTTGTTGCGATCGAAGTTCACGTGGGGCATGCTGTTCACCAGGTCCTCCCTCCTGACAATAGTATGTATGCGATGCACCGTTTAGACTGAAGTGTCCTGTAGGATGATACATCAAGGACACGTCGAGTCTCTCTGGATTGGGTATCAGAGCATATGACTGGGATCGGGCGAAGGAGATCATCCCTCGTCCGTCCTCCATACCCAGGGAGGGCAACCTTTGCGCCTCGTCCGGGATATTCCCCCTCCTGCCCTAGGCACGGACAGGATGACCGTGTCACCGTGGTCCGGGCTCTATCATCGGAGTCTGGCCATGAGGATGGCAAATTTGATCATCGACTTAAAAATTGGTGCTGGGGGATAGCGAGTACATAGAAAATTCTGGATGAACTGTGGCGATAGGTCCCACAGAACATTGGGCCCTGGGCGCTGAAACGAACCTCTGTGACTGGAAGGACTAACAGTCCCTGAAGCGAACCTTGGGTGAAAGAGTTTTCTGTTTTTTTCACTTTCGCTGTCCCGGGTGCAGGACCGTGGATGTCACTGGGCAGACGGAGGGAAACCGAGTGGGGAATCGAAGCAACGGGGCCCAACGGCGTGTTTCCTCGCAGGTTAAGCGCCAGTGCCTCTCCACGGTTCAGCAGAAGTCCAGACTGCACACCCGTAACCCTTACACCCTTACGGGAAAGACTCACTCACTACTCATCCCTCCCCCTTCCTCTCTTTCCTTCCTCCTCTTACCACCGTCCTTCATTTCTTTGGGGTCCTTCATTCTTGCCCTTCCTTTCCCTTCAATTCTCTTCTATAGAGTCCTGGTTACAACGATCCGTGATCCTGGGCTCCTTTTTTTCTGTCGACTTTCGACTTTATACCTTCCTGGGAGTGCGTCCTGGTTGTTCGCCCCCATTCCTTCCCTATAGCCCTGGACTCCCAACCTCCACAAGAGGCCCAATTTTTCATCGTCCATTTTGCTGCGCAAAAATCATCGACGAGATCCTCGACATTCATTCTGAATCTGTGCCAGACACAGTGCGAACTCGACCGTTCGATTAAAATTCACACCAACGACACATCTGATACCGGACATTCCGGGCAGTGATCTCCATTCCTCGCTATCTCCGCATCCGCGATCGTCTCTCCACGCGAGATAAAACGTCGGATTAGATCGCAAAGAGAAGATAGGACTACTGAATCCTAAAAATAAATAGACAGTTTCCGGAGAACTGTCCAAAATCAACAAACAACGCCAAACACCGGCGAGCAAACCCCGACTACGTATTGTGTGACGAAAACAATCTACCTAACCCATCATGTCGACTCTCACCCGCGCCTTTACCAAGCGCAACAAGCGGCCGGAGGTGTCGGCGCCCATGCCGTATCGCGGCGAAGGCCATGTGCGATTTAACTCGGGCTCCATCAAACGAAGCAACATCTCGGGCCCGGTGCAGCTGATATCAACCACCAACATGCTCGCCTACAACGCACCCGACATTCACTCCTCCAACTCCTCCTCCGCCTCATCATTGCGTTCGGGGGACGATTTTGATGCGATCTCTCCGCATAGTTATTCGTCCTCCATCACCACCCCGGATGTGTCGCCCCACGAGTCACACCCCGTGGATGCGAACCCTGCGTCGTACTTCCCCAAGCGGTCGGTAACCATGACTAGCCACCCGCGCTCTTCCACCACCTCCTCGTCATCCAACGAGGCCCCGATGGTCCCCCAGCGGGCGCTGTCGCACACCAAGCGATCGCATCAAGAGCTGGCCCGGAAGCGCTCCCAGCACCGGATGTCGCCACCTCCATTGGCAGCTCCGCGCAGCAATCCTATCATTCGTGCCTCTCAGGACGTTTTCCTCCCCGAGACACATCCGTTTAGCAAGGAGCTGGAGCAGGTCAATGAGGTGGCGGAAGAGTTCGGTGCCACACACATGATGGACGAAGAAGAGATGGTACTGGTTCGCAAGGGATTGAAGAAGTTCACTGTTGACGATTACCTCACCGAAATTGAGGATCTCTATGGAAGCATCTTTGACGACAGACTAGGACCTATCAGCATGGGCCCCTGGCTGTGAGCGCATCGATTTCATCACACCCACCCACGCTTTTTTTTATTTGAGGGTGGGCATTACTCCGCCCGGTTGATCCGGGGTAATCTGCTCGACGACTATCTTATACGCCGACTTTGCGTAGGAACTGGATTTTCTCTCGCAAAGCCCGCCACGACTAACTCTTATACCTTCATTGACGACTCTTCGATTATTCCCCCTGCTTTGCACTATACCATGGGAGGAGCTCTGCAGTTCCTGTGTGCGGTTCTGATTTCCACGTTGTTCTTCTCTCACACACTGGACGGTTCTGATCGCCAGTTCATGCCATTTATAAATTGTTTGGATCTGCCTGGATTGAATGTTCCAGCTCTGATATAAGCATGTATGACACTTATCCACGCTAGAATTATCATTGATACTTTCACTTGGACCTTTCTATTTTATCAATTCTCAGTGGTGATCAATGTATGGTAAAGGCTGCCCTTAATTTCTTCCTCGGAAAGCTTCGTATTCTACATCGTACTGGTAAGCTGAAACGTGAAATCGTAAAGTGATCAACCGGGTGTGCCCCAGGCAGCAGGACGCGACTAGAAGAAGAGACCCGGCAGAACGCGAAGAGGACACGATGACATAATCTAATATTACCCTAAATGGTTTAGTGCCTCATTCACCGCTCAGTCCTGCTCAGTCACGGGTTCTCCGCAGCCCCACAGGTACGCAAGGGAAATTTTTTCGCTCAAGGCATCATCTCAATTAATCTCGAACCTCGACACACCGCTGCCTGCATCCTATTCATCGATTGTCCCGACCGAGTGAATGCCTTTCATGGGTGTAGACAAATACCTGCGGTCTCACCTTTTCAATCTGTAGCACAGTCACCAAATTTGACTATCCAGACGGTCGTGTGCTGGGTTGCCTTCTAGCTCCACCACTGTCAACACATCGAGCTGTCCCTCTGAGGTCTTCCGGAGGTACAGATCGTCAAATGTCACATCGCCTGTGACCTTTTTAGAGTTGATTCAACACATTTTCTCTGCCCTCAAACCCTTTGGCCATGGTCTCCGTCGCCACTATCCCTCAACCCCCGGCGCTCACAGCCACCCCCTCCTTGAAGCCATCATCAAAGATGCTCCCATCCTCGTCCCCCGTATCCATTCTCAAAACCTCCAAGTCCGCCGGCACGAAACGCAAAATGGCGGACCTCGACCGCAGTCTCTCCCCGGTCTCCTCCGTGTCGGATACCTTCGATGACGCCGCCCCTCCCGCGAAGAAGCGTGCCCGCGTCACGTTCAATGAAAACATCCAAACCCATTCCTGGAATCAAAATGATCCGGCAACTCAAACTGGGATGAGTGTGGCGATGGTTCGGGAGGAAATCCGTCGGGCAATCCATCGCCATGTTTCGTCCGGGGAGAGCGAGGCATACGACCAGATCAAGGAGATCTTCACTGCCGATCCGAAGAAGGCTGGCGATACCCTCTACTCATACGACCTTCCCACACATCCAACCTTGAAGAATCATCTGTTGGGTCTTCTTTCTCACATCGCCTCCCTGGATCGCGGCTGCAGCAGCCTTGTCCACGCTGTCCTCGAGAGCGAGTGGCTTGGTCGGGATGAGCCCTATGTAAAGCTTTTCATCCGGTTCTTGGGAAATCTCGCGGCCGCTCAAGGTACCTATCTCGGTGTTATTTTCAAGATGCTCGTCAGCAAACTCGCTGGCGTTGCTCGCGGCACTGGTAGCCTGCCTGGATACGCTGTGGTCCCTGTGTCCGAAATCTACGCTCGTGTCCACATGGCCCTGCGTCATATTGTCCGACTGATCCCGTCTGGCAGTGGAACTCTCTCTCCAGTCCTATCTCACACATTCCCCTACGAAGCGGACCCTGCCAAGTCTTATATCGCCTACACCCGCAACCTCATCCAGATCATCAGCTATGCTCCCGAGCTTCAGTCCGATATCCTCGCCCTCATCACCGAAAAACTGGTCAAGATCGATGTTCAAATCCAGGTCGATTTGGAAGATTTCGAGGATGAGCTTGGAGAGAACCTCCTTCATGGCGTTTCCAACGACCCCGACGAAGAGGTCGACGACGACGACGATGACGACGCGTCCATCTTGAGCGAAGATGAGGCCGATGAAGACCGACGGGTCGCCGAGATCAAGGACAATATTCACAAGGTGGATGGCATGATCGATATCCTTTTCGAGTTCTACAATTCTTCCTTCACCACGGGCACACTCGACGACCAGCGCAACAGTCTGGACCTTATTATCAGCCACTTCCAAAGCATCATTCTCCCCACATACAAGTCCCGCCACTCGCAATTCCTTCTCTTCCACTTCTCTCAATTACACCCGGATCTCCTCAGCAAGATGACCTCGTGCTTCTCAGACCTGATCTTTGGCAAAGTTCAGCCGGGTATCATTCGCCAGTCCGCTGCCGCATACCTGGCCAGTTTCATCGCCCGAGGAGCTCACATCCCCAGCAGCCTGGTTCGGAAAACTTTCAACGAGATGAGCGCGCAATTGGTCGAAATGCATGACAAGTATGACGCTGCGTGCCGCGGCCCCGATCTCCGCCGTTACGGCTCGTTCTACGCCACCGCCCAGGCCGTGCTGTACATCTTCTGCTTCCGCTGGCGCGATCTGACCACCGCTTCAATTGAGGGTGACAGCCCCCAGCAAGTGGACGAGCTGGAGCCGAGCCAAATTGCCTTCCCGCCCAATGTCAAGGACACACTGAGCAAGGTGATCTACTCGCGCCTGAACCCGCTCAAGATTTGCTCCTCGGGTATCGTCAACGAATTCGCCCGTATTGCACACCACTTCCAGCTGCTCTACGTCTACCCCCTCATTGAGAAGAACAAGCGTCTCCGTATCAGTGCCTTCCGAAGCATTGCCTCCTCTGGACTTGTCCAGATGGAGCGTGAGATTCGCGCTGGTGATCATCTCGGCTATCAGCTCGACGCCTACTTCCCCTTCGACCCATACCAGCTCCCACGCAGTCGTCGATGGCTAGAGGGTGACTACGTCGAGTGGCGCGGCATTCCTGGTCTTGACCAGGACGACGAGGACTCGGATAGTGGTGCCGAGGACGGCGACGAAGATGAAGACGGCACAGCTACTGACGAGGAATAACGCGTTTGTTTCCGCTTTCCCTCGCACATCTCTACATTGACATCTTTTCTGCCACTGAAAGCCAACTTTGGAACGGCTTAATAACGGCCTTATCTTCTTGCTATACATTTGTTATTTCAGCGCGGCGCCCCGGGTTTTGATTTTGATATGACATCTAGACGTCCCTTTTTTTTCAAAAGTTCGATACCAGTCTTCTTTTTATGCCCTGATGATGTGATATCGTGCTTTTGAGCGTGCATGGCATCTTACTGGAGCATTTTTACTACTTTTTTTTTCTATCTTGCTTGATTGATGGTCAGTGGATGACTGATTTAGCTAGGAATATGAGAGATCATCTTTTCTATGGATCAAGAGTTTACCTAGCCGTAGCATTGACTACCCCATCCCTTCCGGGTTATAAAGTCAAGGCCTCCTGTTTGATCGACACAGCTTTCCTTTCAAGGAACAGCACTGATTCTTCGTTTTAAGACCGTACTCATATGTTCCTCGAGTCAGGAGTACCTAGCGGCCGCTAAGTAAGAGTGACTGTGTGTAGATATTGATGTGTTGGTGAGTAGGAAGAATATTGGACCACAATATTTTGAATGAGAGTCCCGGGTCGTTGGCAATGAGTTTGATCTCCAACTTCTGGCTTTCAGAAACCTAGGCACTATCCGGGTTCTACGACAAGCACAATCGATCTCGATAACCAGTAAGCGGAATAGGGCAACTAGTAGACACTTGACATTCTGTTAGAATAATATCTTGATTGAATTGGACGCGCATAAAGGTCATCTCCTCTAGGTATAGATGATTTCAGATAAGAGGGAAAGTGACACGGTTTTCATAGTCGACGTTGGCTTTATGACCTTCAATGCGTTCACGACAGGTACCAAATATACGGTCCCAGAGACGGGTCTGCTTTCCATAGTTATGACTCTGTCTCCACCCATAGCGGTGGTGCAAGTCATGGTCTTCAATCACCAATTCTGCGTCAAAATATTCAAGCACCCAGTTAACAGTGGAGGGTGCGCCCCCGTGAATGCGTAGTCCGCTATGCCCAATGATCTCGGAAAAGACCACATATTGATAGCAAATATACCACTCATAAAATGACAAAGGCATACCCATCACCTTCAGAGTCCCATAGGCAAGAAGTGGGATACCAAGGATATCGAAAAACTCCTGCTCGTGGTCCGCGTATGCACCTAGCATCGGGTGAGGGTGTTTTGTCAGGTGGTGCGTACGGTGGAATTTCCATAGGGGATCCACGGAGTGCATCAAGCGGTGATACCAATAGAACCAAAAGTCCACGGTAATGCTGTAGAGTCCGATCTTCGCAGCTAGCCACGTCCAATCGAAAGAGAGTGGGAGCTTTTCCGGTTCATATGATAGGTAGATGGACATGGCCAGGCGAAGTGTAGGCACAGAAAGTAGTTCCGTCGCAACTTTTGCTACACCAACGTCAGGGATATCGTCTCGTCCATGCTTGTCTCCATCCAAGAAGCCGTAGATCCAACCGAGGCGACGAATTGTTTGTACGAGATGGATACCAGTCCCGTAGAATGTCGTGCTGTACAAAAAGAAAACAGCGATTGCGTTGAGGTTCTTTCCAGTGTAGGTTATGTAGATGTGTTGAAGTGCGTGAGGGATCAACGCATGAAGCATGATCCAGAGATGAAGAGTCCATTCCCGTACGGACGGTATCTTTTCGCTCTTGGAAAAGACAGGAACGTTACCGTCTTTAGGTGTGAGATGTGTGCCCAGTATATCAAGCAGCCAGTGGTGAAATGTCCATTGTGATCGGTCACCACGGCGCCAGGTAGATATCATAGAATCGCGAGGATTGCCTTTTGTAGTTTTTTCGTTCGCCATACTCTGTGACATTCTTCTGTTTTGAGAAATTTCAAGTAAGAAGATTCAAATAGCCGGACTTCCAGCGTCGTATCTTATATCTATGGGTCAGCCTAAAGCGACTCGGCAGATGTGTCTCGGCTACATCATGTGGGATCGACGATCATGATCCCCTCCATCTGTTGCTGTTGTATAGTCGCTTAAAGATTCACACCATGATCTACTACCAAAATACAGCGTAGGGAGCCTCTGGGTATTTCACACCTGTATTGCCTAGGGAAAAGAACGTCCATGCCTCTCTGCCTCGGCCCCGGAGGGATCGCCAGTGCGGGGAAGCCCCATGTTATTGGTTTATTACACAATCTTCACCACACAATTAAAGAACTTCGTCTGGCTCGTGTTTCTCTTCGGATCTCTTTCCCAAAGAGAAACGAAACGCTTATTCAATCGGTCTCTTAGCGTCTTGGCCTCTCCTTCTGTTGTTGCCGTCCATTGTACAGACATATATAGTTACCCAAGCAGCGATAGATGGCAAACCTTCTCAACCACACGACGCCAGCAAATTCCGTGGGGATGTAAACCTAGATTTGCGTCAAGTGCTAAACGGACCAGCTCCAAGATTTGCTGAGTGATTGAAGAAGAGTAAAAGCCCTTTTAGTACGTGAATGATACGAGAGCTACATAGAGCAGTAGTATACTTATCAATATACTCCTAATAGCCTGGTAACCAGCTTTCTCTGGTATCTGTGATATTATCCAGGAATTCCTTTCTTGATTTCAGATCTGTATCCAGTCTAAGGCAAGTTTCTGAAGCTGAGAGGATCATGTTTCTGTGCGATAGTATCAAAGCAAAATATGAGATATTGCCTTCATATAGTCAGTTGTATGACTGTTTTTCTAGAAGTTGCAGAAATCTTTGTTTAGATTGACATCTAGAACGGCTTCATGCTACAGGCCCAAGTAAATATACTTTTACTTCACCCAATGGTATTACTTTCAGGTTAAACAAGGATTATTTTGATCAGTTGCCCCATTGAACAGAGGCTGCCATTCGTCCCCACATTGGCTGAGCCAGGGCAGAGCTATATGCCGTTAATCACGATTATCTACTCCTCCACTAGCTACTCAAATTATGACAGGTCACCCAACACTCAGCGCACAGAGATCCCGATACAGCAGTAAAAAACCAACGCCTAGGCCGTTATCGACGGATTTAACCTGAGAGATTCTCGTAGAGCTTTCCGTTTTTCGCTCATGTGCTAGTATGCTGATAGCCATGATAGACATGGCTAACACCCAGTGGTCGAGGACGTGAGGAGCAACCGTTGCTGTGTTATGTTGATTACCATCCTACGGGCTTTATTTACGACGGGATGTTAAATACGATGAATCAGAGTAGCTGAAATTCCTGAAGCAAGGTCTCACGACATGTTGATATCCACGTGGTATTGGTGGCACCTCAACACTAAACACATTACTTCGGCCTAAGGTGACATTCAAGGCGATATGAAAATCAGCCTTGCCGTTAGTTAAGCCAATCCTAAAATGAAGTACCATGATATATGTCAGCGCTAATAGACCCAGTTTCAACCACATCGAGTTGAACTACAACAAAGCTTGAAGTCGCACCACTTGCGGGACGCACGGTGAGGCGGGAAATCACTAAAAGCAAAGAATAGATCGTAAATCAATAATAGTTCCGATCGTACGTGGCCCTGAACGAGAAGGCACTTTTCAAGACGAGTGTCAACTATATACGGTTGAATTGCTCATTTCTGTTTCTAGGGGATCAGTTAGAAGCCCAGGCCAATTTAGAGTTGACCTATGATATCATTCCAAACTGGTCGTTTCCAGGTACAAGGAACTCTCCTCATACAAAGACGTCTTGAAACAAAGTGGACTTCTCGATAATTCAAAATCCACAAAAATAGAGTAAACGCAATGTTGACGAACGTCCACGTGAGGACTCCGCTTTAGCTCCTCCCATGCCTTGTTTCCACTCTTCTTGCCACATTCCCACCCGCCCCGAACGATGGAGCCCCGCCAGCAAGCCCTTGACCTACGCGGAGAATTTACTACTATAGCAAGGAACAGGCAATCTTTCAAGATACATGCGACTTATATGACATCACATGTCCAAATAAGAGCAGTGACACTAAAGTACTCTACTTTTTGAAAACACACACATTGCATAACCCCAGGCTTGGTGACATGCAGATCTGCCGATCCCGAGGCTAGGGCGTTGGCTGGATGGAGATTAGTGTTGCTGAGCTTGTCATTGTCGGGTCGAGGGTCCAGCCAATTATGAGGTTGGTTATGACGGGTAGGGTGCATGCCTTGTGCGTTGTGTGACGAGATGCTGGATCTATGATGTGCCTGATAGGTTGGGAGTGTAGGTTGGTGGATGCATGGATATGTAGCCTGGATGTCAACCGAGGAATTTGCTTTTACGGCGGGAGGGATAGTGGAACTGTTTGTCAATAAGAATTGTTTATTGCTTGGTCAAGGAGGTAGAATGTCAAATGCCAGGTACAAAACGCTGTGGATGCCTGGAGACCGAACGCCAAAAAGAAAAAAGAAATGACTCCGCGCAGCGCTACCCGACATGCTTCTATAGGAAAAGAGGGACAAAAAAAGGAGGAAGGTGAAAAGGATGATCACCGATCGAAAATCGCCTTCATGTCTGCGCAGGCATCGCGGTACAGAACGTCTACACTGCCTTGGTCGCGGAAGGGATTGGCCGATTTGTCCCAGGCATGCTTAGCCTTTTCAATCATCATGGCTCGTACTCGCTTACCCAGACCTTCGAGGCGACGCACAAAGGTCTGACCTTCCTTCATGAGCATGTCCCACTCACAGATGAACAGGAAGATATCGCGGGGCAGGGCTTCGTTAAGAATACGGTCGGAGGCGCGCACGGGCGATGCAAAGGCCGAAGACCGGTCATTCAAGTCGGGGAGATATGCCTCGTCGAAAAGACTGGTGAAGAATTTAGGTAATGTCTTATCGGGGTTGATACTCTCCGCACGACGATGGGCGCGGGACTCGAGAAAGTCCAAAATGGGGTACCAACAGAACAACGCCACGATGTTAAGGTCGCTGGTCTGGTTGACTAGCTGTTGAGTCGAGTCCGCCCGGCCAAAGTACTCCTTGACCTCGGTCGAGATTCTACCTCGCAGCCGCAATGGCACAGTCACGGCTAGATTGCCGCCAGCTGAGAACCCGCTCAGTGCCACGCGACTCACATCCAGGCCTAGTTCTGCCGCATGTGCCGCCAGGTACAGCAGAGCCTCGACGCCGTCATCCACTGCCGCGGGGAAGGGATGCTCCGGTGCTCGCCGGTAACTCACACTGGCAACCACCGCGCCGACCTGTTCGACGACAGCAGCCGCCCAGCGGCCATCGTCAGTGGCGTGACCGAGTGTGAATCCTCCGCCGTGGAAATTGACGGCGACCGGGTAGCGGTGGCCCAGGCGGCGTTGCTCGTAGTAGTCAGGTGGACAGTAGAAATGGATCACGACGGAATGGAGGTGGACATCCTTGCTGACAGTCCGAGTGAATAACGGTCGGGGCGGACGGGGCGGCGCGAGGGTATGCAGGAACATGCCGATGCGCATGAGGAAGCGCCAGAATACGGCCTGGATGTAGAGCCACCAGCGCGAAGAGGCCATCTTTGGCGAGGGACAATCGGCACGGTACGGGCGATTGACGGGCTGCGTGACTGGTCTGGATGAGGAAAGATGTATGTCGGTCGGTCAATTCGGCGGTCCGGATGGTCGGCGGTCCGGGAAAGGCCGGGGAATGGCGATTTAAGGGTCGGGTAATTGATGGGATGGGATGGGAAGAGGATGAAAGAAGAGGGGAATGATAGAGGTGGAAGGATGAGAGAAGTCAGAAATGCGCCCTGACCTTCAAATTGGAATTAGCCTGATAAGTTGACCGAGGGAATCTGTCCAATGTGAGTAGTAGCATGATGTCTTGGAGGGTCGAGAGACGAGGCGTTGAGAGGCGTCATCATCCACCATATCGGTTCATCGGTGCCGGGGTGGACACCTCAGGCTGTTATCTGCCAAGTATCAGTAGCCTGGTCTATATATGTACTTGTAGAATGGTCTAGCATACTACTAGATGGTGTAAAATCTGCAGGTCAAGTCCCATTAGTAGTCCCCATTAGTACTCTGGTCTTCCATCGGGAATACGAGATGTAATCATGTACAAATCATTTGTAAGTAAGCCACAAAACAGCGTGCCTCGGTCATTGGCAATATGCTTTTATCACTCCTGTGGGTAGGACTAGGTTCATTCAAAGTGGAGAGGCATGAGCGCAGGTCCGCATCTAGCCAGCCAGTAGTCCCTAGCACGGTAATCATGTTTCCCACAACAAAAACAGGGTAAGGATCCAGCCCGAAATGATATTATTCACAAATCATCAAAACATCAAAATTGGGATTCTAATTGACCGGGAACAAGGCAATATTCACTTGTAGGATCCATAAGAATCCGGGAACTCGGGGTGTCCGCCATGATGTCATAACTCGACCCTTTGGGTTCAGGCCGAAACCACAAGAAAAGAAGGGTCTAGTTCAAGGTTCTGATTCATATTAATATTAGATTATTCAGTACCACAGCTTCATTAAAACTCTCTCCGACCCTCTCCGAACTCATCCATTCTCTTATTTATTTTCCTCCTTTGTCCCACCAGAATTGCTCGAGAAACTCCCAAGACCGACTTGTCGACTTAAGCCTTTATCAATCGGTGAGTTTGCCCCTCCTCATTCCAGCGCAAACAAGAAGGATCGCCGCTTGCAGCCTCCTTTCATTCCCCTCTCCCCACTGGCTCAGCTCCCCATCCGCGATTCGAATTAGGGAGACTTTTAAGCCTGTTCAGGTCATCCCGAAGCACCGAGCCCGCTTCACAAGCTCCAACCCCTCCTTCCCTTGGCGTGCTTATTTTCTTCCTTATCTTCACTACTTTTCCCCCTCCTCCCAACCTTTTGACCTACCTTGGGCTTATGCTTTAGAAAGAATAGAAGGCAATTGCCGGCCATGTCGATTAAACGGGCCCTCTCCAAGGCCATTCGGGGTCATGTCAATGACGATGACTCGTCGGGCTCCCACATTCGCACTTCGCTCTCTCTCGGCCCTTCCAAACCACGCACCTCGACCTCGCACGATTCGCATGCTCACCATTCCCCCACTGCATCTCCTCGGCGCAGCATTCTAGGCAACTTCTTCCGTGAGAAGGACTATGTCTCCTCCTCCGAGGACTTCTCCGATGATTCGTCGACGGGCAACCTGAGTAAGAACCAGCAGAAACGACTCGTGCGCCAGCAGCGTCGCAATGAGCGATCTCGCCTCAGCGAAGAGCAATTCTCCGAGTCGGATCATCGCCGGAAGGAGGAGGAGCTCGCAAAGGCCGCTGCGGAGGAGACGCCGGAAATGAAGGCCCGCTACGGCGAACTCCCTCTGATGCAGTCGCAGAGCCGCCCTCGTGAAGACCGTATCGCGCTGGATGATATCACCCCAGATATGGCGGGGCAGGAGGTGTACTTCACGGCACGCCTGCATGTTGTGCGTCGCATGAGTGCGAAGCTGGTCTTCCTCGTGTTCCGCCAGCAGCTAACCACCTTCCAAGGTGTGCTGCATGAGCTCCCAGGCGTTTCCTCCCTTGCCATGATCTCGTGGGCCGAACATCTCCGTGTGGGCTCCTTCCTGCGTGTCCGTGGCAAGATCCAGAAGCCCGATGTGCCTGTTCTCGGCTGCAGCATTCACGATGTCGAGCTGTCTATCGATTCTCTGCATCTGCTCGTCAAGCGCGAGGAGCCTGTCCCGTTCAGTGTCTACGAGGCTGAGATTCGCACCAACGAGGAGGACAAGGCTGAAGGACGCCGCAGCCATATCCCTGACCGTACCCGCCTCAGCAATCGCTTGCTGGACCTTCGGACAGCCACTTCTCAATCCATCTTCCGCTTGCAATCCGCCACTTGCAACCTCTTCCGTGGCGCCCTCGATGAACAAGGGTTCATTGAGATCCATACTCCCAAGCTGCAGGGTGCTGCCACCGAGTCCGGTGCCAGTGTCTTCAAAGTCGATTACTTTGGCCGCCCTGCCTTCCTGGCCCAGTCCCCCCAGCTGGCCAAGCAGATGGCCATTGCTGCCGACTTTGGTCGTGTGTATGAAATTGGTGCCGTCTTCCGTGCCGAGAACTCCAATACCCATCGTCATTTGACAGAGTATACCGGCCTGGATATCGAAATGGCTATCGAGGAGCACTACCATGAGATGCTCGAGACTCTGGATGCTACCATCAAGAACATCCTGAGCGGTGTTTATACCAAGTATCGCCGAGAGATTGACATGGTTAAGCACCAGTTCCCATCCGAGGATGTCGTGTGGTTGGAGAAGACACCTATCATCCGCTTCACTGATGGAATCCAAATGCTGAACGACTCGGGTTGGCGTGACGAGGAGGGCAAGCTTCTTCCCACGGATGAAGATTTGGCCACTCGTGACGAGATCCGCCTGGGCCAACTGGTCAAGGAGAAGTATGGCACCGACTACTACGTCCTTGACAAGTTCCCTCGCGGTGCCCGTCCCTTCTACACCATGCCGGATCCCGAGGATGACAAGTTCACCAACTCGTTCGACATGTTCATCCGCGGTCAGGAAATTGTGTCTGGTGGCCAGCGTATCCACGAGCCGCACATGCTCGAGGAGAACATGCGCAAGTGGGGCATCAACCCCGAGGATATGGAGGAGTATCTCGAGGCTTTCCGCTGGGGTGCGCCACCTCATGCCGGTGCCGGTGTTGGCCTCGAACGTTTGCTGATGCTCCTGCTTCAGGTGGGCAACATTCGTCTCACTTCACTCTTCCACCGTGACCCCAAGAGTCTGCCTGCCAAGCCCCCCGTTCACCAGCTTCGTCACCCCGAAGCCTCCACCATCGAGCCACCTTGGCAAGAGCGTTCCCGCGTGGCTACTGATGTCAGCGAGCTACAGCCGCTGGAGAAGCTGGTTGCCAACTACGGAGACGCCACCTCCACTTCCTGGTTCGATGAACGATTCAAGATCTGGCGCGATATGGCTACTGGTGCTGCCGTGGCTTACGTGCCCAGCAGCAGCAACTACGTCATCATTCCCGGTAACCCTGCGTGCGATCCTTCTCAGTACTCTCGCACCATTACACAGTTCCTCCAGTGGCTCCGCCGGGAAACCAAGTACAAGCCCGTCTGGATTCTCTGCTCTCCCGAGGTCGAGACTATTCTCGGCGAGCGTCTCGGTTGGCGCAGCTTGTCCTGCATTGCCGAAGAGCGTGTTGAACCCTCCCGCAACCAAGCCGCCTCCGACGGCGAGATTGCCCGCAAACTGCGCCGTGCCGAGAATGAAGGCATCAAGGTTGTCTCGTTCAGCCAGGGCGAGCTGCCCTCCGAAGAAATCCGCGGAAAGATCGATGAACGCATTGCCGAGTGGCTCGCCGGCCGTAAGGGCACTCAGGTGCATCTGTCCGAGATCCGCCCGTGGATCGACTCGGAGCACCGCTGGTACTTCTACGCCCTTGACAAGGAAGGCGTCATCTGTGCCTTTGTCGCGCTGGCCATGCTCTCCCCCGCCCACGGCATGCAGGTCAAGTACAGCTTGGACTTCCCCAACTCGCCAAGCGGTGTCATCGAGTACATTGTTACCCAGGCCATCCAGACCGCTTCCAAGGGTGGTGTCAGTGGTCTGACCTTCGGTGCCGGTGCTACCTCCAGACTCATTCCCGGCCACAACCTGCACGGCGCCAAGATCAAGATGCTGGAGCGCACCTACGAGACTCTGGCCAAGCAATTCCACCTTGTGCGGAAGAGCGAGTTCCGTGCCAAGCTGGGTGCTACCGAGGAGCCGCTTTATATCTCCTACCCTGCTCACGGCCTTGGCTCCAAGGGTATCCGTGCTGTGCTGAATTTCTTCGAGGATTAGATTCACTGCGTGTTTCATTGGCATGATTCAGATGCTTTCTCCGAAGCAGTTACGATCTCATGATAATTTATGAACTTGCCATCTCGGTGGGGTGTCTTCAGGTGGTTCTTTCTGGGGTTGCAGGATTGGAATATGCCAAAGACAGGCCTGGCTCATCATAGAGTACAGAGTGCAGGGGGCAGGAGTTGCAAGATGGACATTCAGAGGGCCGGAATTGGGAAAGAAAGATGAGATGAGAAAGAAGGGTTGAACTTGGCTTTTCCCAGCGCTGGAGTTGACCTTACCCGTTTTTATTTGTGGATTCTTCTCCCATGTTTGTTTTTGCACCTCACTGCCTGGCTTACGATTGCACATTGCTTGACTTGGACATATTATTCCCCCTCCTGTAGCTGCCCACCGCTATCTCCGATTGGCTTAATTGATGTTATTTAATGTTTATATGTCCATTGTTGAATTGGTATACATGGCTCGATCTACTGTGCATGACAGATCTGGATAGTAAATACTCGACAATCTAGTCGTATAAGCAGATGAGCTACATAAAGATGAGCACATATCACACTTCCCTTAGAAGCATACAAACCAGTCCTAAATTACACAGTGCAAGTCCATAAAAACGCCATAATCATTCCGACGCCCCTAATCATACAAAAAACCACATACATAAACCTACTTCTCCTTCTTCCCCTCCTCCTCTTCACTCCTCTCAACCCTCGCATCCTCAATAACCCTCCCCACCTCAGCCACCACCCACCTACCAACCACCCCGGCCAAAACCGCAACAACAACAATCCACCCCGCAGTCGGCACCAACGACCGCGGAAACACATTCCACAAAAACGGATCGAGAATCACATCGACCGCCACGGGCGGGACGTCGCGCATCAGCGTCTCGTTGAGTGAGAAGTAGTCTGCTGCGGCGCGGATGCGTAGGAAGAGGATTGAGTCGGTTGTTGGTGCGGAATCGACATTGCTGCGGCGAGTGAGGGTGTTGGGGTTGATTTGGAGTTGGGTGTCGGGGTTTGAGAGGCGAGATGAGGAGAATTTGCTGAGGGAGGTGAGGAGGATTGGGGAGGTTACTGTGTCGGGGAGGGGGTGGGTTGTTAGGGTGAAGGTTGTTGGTTGCTGGTTGTTTTGTTAGAGATTTGGATTTGGGGGAGGTGGATTAATGATAATGACAATAACAGTTCAATTCAATTTGTTGAAATTCAATAAAGACGAGGAGGTAACATACCGTGGCTAACCAACAAATCCGAACTTCATACCGCTGTCCAGGCGTGAGGTTCTCCAGAAAGAACCAAGAATCCGATCCATCGGGGGCCTCGGCCGTCGGAAATGACGCATTCAATTGGGTGCGTACGACTGCATTCTGAGGCGAGACTCGCTCCAAACCCAGATCGTCGAGATCGGGTGCGGCCGATGGAATCGTTGTAGCTGGCGGGCCCAGGAAAATTGTTTTCTCCACGTTGGCGTGGACGAGGCCTGTGAAGAGGGGGAGGAGTATGGCCAGGAGTGTGGTGGTGATGTGGTGCATGCTTGGGGGTTTTTTTTGCTTTTTGTTGTTGAGGGTTGTGCTTGGTAAGGGATTTATAGGTTTACACGGGGAATCAATATGATGGTGGTAGGGTAGTCGTGGTGTTATTCTTGGGTCATTCTGGTAGCATGAGGTTGATTTCATGTATCAGATATGGCCTTATAGGTCGAGATGGTATGGTGGAGATATATTTTGGCCGGGCTGTCAGTAGTCTGGTCTTAGTTAGCGCTGGGCTTCGGGTTTATCAGCAAGCAACTTGGCGGTGAGGGACTCGGATTGCTCGATTGGGAAGAGGGCGAAGTACGGAGTACATCAACACATATTGTGTACAATGTTTTTGTATGAAATGCATTGAATAGAATTGAATGCTGTTCATAATTGAAGATGTCTTTTGTTTTCTATCTGTATTTACCTTTCAATCCCTGGCAAGTCACATGTCCAGACTCCCCTCAGGTTTGTTGTTGATCTGAATCACGTGACATCATGCAGACCAGCAAAAGGCGGTGACCCGCGGCCAAGTCGCCCTTCCATCAGCCAATCACAACGAGCAACGCGACCCAACGAACGGATCAACAACGAACTCCCCCCTGCGGCAGCACAGACGCCCTCCTCCACAACATTTCTGCTCTTCTTCTTCGTCTCGAGAAGAGATTCCATTCCTCCCATTCTTGGTGTGTCCCTCCTCTATTCCCCCTCTATCACCCCCTGCCTGCAATTCCTCCCTCCAAAAACCCCTCCCCCTTCCGTGTCGACGTTGGTGGAAGCCCCAGGCAAAGAAACTAACCCCCTGAATCGTGTCCAGGTCCCTTGTTTGTTATTGGGTCCTGCCTCAACCCCTCCTTAATTTTCACATCTACCAAATCACCCACCCAACACAATGAGAGAGATTATCAGCTTGAACGGTATGTGCGGTCTTGAAGATGCCCGTCTTTATCGATTTCGGGTCTTTGATGGAAATCGAACGCGCTAACGTGTGTTGTGACTCTCCAGTCGGCCAGGCCGGTTGCCAGATTGCCAACTCCTGCTGGGAGGTAAAGAAAATCATCGTTCATCATCATGGCTACGAAGGACACGGAATACTAACATGACAATCGTATAGCTGTACTGTCTGGAGCACGGTATCCAGGTACGTTATAGATTCTAACCTCGTCGTGGCGCCCAATCTCGACTTGGGCAGCGTGACCCCCCTTTTTCTTGCTCGGGAAGCGAGTACCCGCGACTAACACTGTTGATAGCCCGATGGTCAGCTCACCGATGAGCGCAAGAAGGCCGACCCCGACCACGGCTTCAGCACTTTCTTCTCGGAGACTGGTACGTGAATTCTACAACTTGGGGGGTTCGATTTTTTAGGGGTCTTGGGGGGTGATGATGGCCAGCCATCAACGCCCCCTCATTCCCTTCTACCCCCCCCCCCTCCTCCCTTCCTCCCCCGCCTTTCGAATTGCTCGAAAGCTTCTCTAGCATGGTTCTTTTCTAACATTATTTCTGTCTCCACCTTGAACAGGCGCTGGCCGTTACGTTCCTCGCACCATCTACTGCGATCTTGAGCCCAATGTTGTCGATGAGGTCCGCACTGGTACCTACCGCTCGCTCTTCCACCCCGAGCAGATGATCACTGGCAAGGAGGATGCTTCCAACAACTACGCCCGTGGTCACTACACCGTCGGCAAGGAGATGATTGACCAGGTCCTTGACAAGGTTCGCCGTGTGGCCGACGCTTGCGCTGGTCTCCAGGGATTCCTGGTCTTCCACTCCTTCGGTGGTGGTACCGGTTCCGGTTTCGGTGCTCTCCTGATGGAGCGTCTGTCCGTCGACTACGGCAAGAAGTCCAAGCTGGAGTTCTGTGTCTACCCTGCTCCCCAGAACGCCACTTCCGTCGTTGAGCCCTACAACTCCATCCTGACCACTCACACCACCCTGGAGCACTCCGACTGCTCCTTCATGGTCGACAACGAGGCCATCTACGACATCTGCCGTCGTAACCTCGGCATTGAGCGCCCCAGCTACGAGAACCTGAACCGCCTGATTGCTCAGGTCGTCTCCTCCATCACTGCCTCGCTCCGCTTCGACGGTTCCCTCAACGTCGACCTGAACGAGTTCCAGACCAACCTGGTCCCCTACCCCCGTATTCACTTCCCTCTGGTCGCTTACTCGCCCGTCGTCTCTGCCGCCAAGGCCTCCCACGAGGCTAACTCGGTCACTGAGATCACCTCCAACTGCTTCGAGCCCAACAACCAGATGGTCAAGTGTGACCCCCGCAACGGCAAGTACATGGCCACCTGCCTGCTCTACCGTGGTGATGTCGTCCCCAAGGATGCCCACGCTGCCGTCGCTACCCTCAAGACCAAGCGCACCATCCAGTTCGTCGACTGGTGCCCTACTGGCTTCAAGCTCGGTATCTGCTACCAGCCTCCCCATCAGGTCCCCAACGGCGACCTCGCCAACCTCAACCGCGCTGTGTAAGTTTTTGATCCTGGAGGATTCTGAGAATCCTCCATATGACCTTTTTGAGGACGATTACTAATTCAATCATATAGCTGCATGCTTTCCAACACCACCGCCATCGCCGAGGCCTGGTCCGCTCTCGACCACAAGTTCGACCTCATGTACTCCAAGCGTGCCTTCGTTCACTGGTACGTTGGTGAGGGTATGGAGGAGGGTGAGTTCTCCGAGGCTCGTGAGGATCTCGCTGCTCTGGAGCGCGACTACGAGGAGGTCGCCAGCGACTCCCTTGAGGAGGAGGAGCTGGAGCCCGAGTACTAGATTAGTAGGTATGCCGTTTGATTGTTTGTGGAGGATGAGGGGTTTGGTTTCTGCTATTTGATTGGGACACGACCTCCGACCTTTACAGCTCAGTTTTGCTAGCCTGCCTACATCTATCGGACTCCTTGCAAATAGAAGGGAACATAGGTTTCAAAGTCCGTCGATGTTTACTGGTTTTGTTGTTCGATATATCTTTAATATCCCTGAAGCAGCGATAAGTTTTTCCACTCGTTCCTATCTTATTCTCTCTCTCTCTCTCTCTCTCTCTCTCTTTCTATTTCCCTGTGTCTCCTTTTCATTTGCTTCTCGATGATGCGTGTAACTACAAAAGTGAGCCCCTTACCCTTGAAAACATGGTTCTCCCTTGTCCGTTGAGCTATGAGATATCCACTTGTCTGGTATTTGGTCTTGGCCTGGTTGTGTTTACACCCCGAGGCCAGCCACCTTCCCCTGGAGGTAGTCTGCCATATGTACTCCGACTTCGTACTTCGTATTTGAACCCCATACTCCGTATCATAGCTCATATTCTGTCGCATGAGCGGACACCCCTTCCTGCACTAGAAAATCAAAGCTTCCATCGTATCTAGAGTTGATTCCATGCCATCTAATTGACATAAAATGATCCCATCCATGACATAAATCAAAGAATGGCGCTAATATAGACGAGGTGAGACCCTAACCTGGTCCGGGTGGAATGGACACTAAACCGACTGACCGCCTTGGGGGTGCCTTTACGACATCGACTCTCCCTCCAGCCACTCAGTAATCACCCTCCGAACATCATTCTACCCCCCCCTCGAAAGTTGTCCTTCTCTTGCAGCCCGTCGCTTGCCCTATATCGGCCGCGATTTCTACACCTCGAAGCTGCGCTTGGTCCAATCCATGCTCGTGGCCTCTTCCGGCTAAGCTTACGGCTTCCCCGTGCCTCTCCACCTTCGTACCCCCCAGGCTACCAACTATTCGGATCTGTTAGACCTGAGAGGGCATCTGCGCCTCTCAACACACAGCCATGACTGATACTCGTAAGTTCTTCTTTGTTGTTGAATATTCAGAGAGCTAGCAATGGCTTTCTGGTAGCTCTGGCGCAGCTCAGGAGGGCCGCCGGGAGCTCCGCCCATCATCCGCGAGCCCCCTCGTCGCGCATCCGGCGCTCTTTGTATAATCCACACATGGATATGGAATCGATAGAGACTGACTATGATATATTGAATAGCACAACGACACCCGAACCTGAATCTGACCGCCGAGGAAAAGCGCGTTTTCTACCAGCTCTTCCAGGCGGCGGATACTACCAACCTGGGCGTTATTACTGGCGAGATTGCTGTGCCGTTCTTTGAAAAGACACATCTTCCATCTGGTACCCTCGGAGAGGTATGTATACCGCGGGGTAACAATAGGCTAAATGTTCGACGACTAACCTCTCGGACGTGCCTTTCAGATCTGGCAGCTCGCGGATAAAGAGAACAGGGGTCTTTTGACTCCCTCTGGGTTTGGAATTGTTCTTCGATTGATTGGTCATGCACAGGCTGGCCGCACACCGTCTGATGAATTGGCTTTGCAGCGTGAGTGAATCCGAGATATGCGCGGTGTGTGCGTCGACCGCCAGTGGTAGTGTTCATGCTAACTATACTTCTTCCTGCTATAGCCGGCCCCCTGCCCCGATTTGATGGCATTGTCGTTGACAACACGCCCGCTCCCCCCGAGTCTGGCGCCGCAAGTCCCCCGCCAGGTGCCGGCCCTCCTATTCGAGTACCGCCGCTGCAACCCGAAGATGCCCTTAAATTCCTCTCGCTGTTCGAGAAGTCAGATACATCGAATGGCATGATCTCTGGTATGAATGCACCACTGGTACCTCTAGTCCAAGTATATGTCCTGATATACTAATGAATTGGTTTAATAGGCGAGATTGCGAAGCAAATATTCGAACGTGCGAGACTACCCAACGAGGTTCTTGGTCGGATATGGAACCTCGCAGACACAAAGCAGCGTGGCGCTCTCGATGCGACTGATTTCACCATTGCCATGCACCTCCTCACATCCTTCAAGTCTGGTGCTCTCCGTGGCATTCCTCAAACATTGCCTCCTGGGCTATACGAGGCCGCCGCTCGTCGAGGATCCGGCCGCGGCTCTTTCGGCGCTCGCGCAGATGTGCCTCCAGTCCCCTCTATTCCTAAGCAATTCACTGGTCCTCAGCGCACCGGTACTCCTATGAGCCCTAATCATACTGGTCGACCGGCGTTTGGCGGCCCGCTTTCGGCACAGTCAACTGGAGATTGGCTGATCAGCCCGCAAGAAAAGGCTCATTTCGATGGCATCTTTGAGACTGTCGATACCGGCAAGGTCGGACTGATCACTGGTGACCAGGCTGTTGGTTTCTTCATGAAGGCTCAGCTGCCCGAGGAAGTCCTCGCGCAGATCTGGGACCTTGCTGATATCGATGCCGATGGCCAGCTCAGCCGCGATGAGTTCGCGGTGGCCATGTACCTCGTGAGGCTTCAGCGTGGTGGAAAGGAGCCTCTTCCACAAGTGCTTCCTCCAGCCCTGATTCCGCCAACCATGCGCCGTCAAGCTCCTATTCCTGCTGTCGCAGCTGCACCTGTCCCGCCATCTGCGCCTGCACCTGTTCCACGCTCTGCTGCAGATGACTTGTTCGGCCTTGATTCTCCGGCACCCCCAGTCGCCCAGACTCAATTCCCTCAGTCTACTGGTGGCTCCAATCACGCATTCCATACGCCAGGCTCCCCTGTCTCCCGAGCTTCGCCGTCTGTTCCAGCTACATCATTCAAGCCTTTCATGCCCACATCGACTTTCGGGCAGAGCTTGCAGCCTCAAGTGACCGGTGCTTCGGCAGGAACACCAGGCGCGATTCGCTCGCCCCCGCCTCCATCCGATGACCTCCTGGGAGACAATGACCCCGAGGAGTCCAAGAAGCTCACTCAGGAGACCAGCGATCTTGCCAACCTTTCTAATCAGATTGGCTCTCTGGCGAAGGAGATGCACACCGTGCAAGAGAAGCGCACATCGGCCGAGCAGAGCATTTCGCAGACTTCCCAGCAGAAGCGTGACTTTGAGGCGCGCCTCGCACAGGCGCGTGCTATGTATGAAAAGGAGGTGGCAAACTTCAAAGCTCTGGAGGAGCGCCTCAGAGTTTCCAAAGCCGAGACCACCAAGTTGTCGCAAGAGTATGCTTTGATCGAGGGTAGCCGACAGGATCTGCACAACCAGTACACCCAGGTTTCGACCGCTCTGGCGTCCGATCAGCAGGAGAATGCTAGTCTGAAGGAGAAGATCCGCCAGGCCAATGCTGAAGTCGCTCAGCTGAAGCCGGCGCTGGAGAAGGCTCGCTCTGATGCTCGTCAGCAGAAGGGCCTTGTCGCTATCAACAAGAAGCAGCTGGCCACTGTGGAGGGCGAGCGTGACAAGATTCAGGGTGAAATCGATACCCTTGCCAAGGAAACCCCCCAGTATACCGAGAATGCCACGCCCGTCAGCTCTGTAGCTGAGGTGGCTAGCCCTGCTGTTTCCACTGCCAGTCAAAACACAAACCCATTCTTCCGCCGGACCGCCACTGGCAGTTCGAGTGAGCGTGCTCTGTCTCCAGAGGGTCCCACCGATCAGCAAAAGGCTTTCGATAACCTCTTTGGCCAGTCCTTTGCTGCTCCTTCTGTTGCTGGCCCTCCTCCAACCTCATTCCGCGCAGAGTCACCACTGGCTAGCTCCAAGTCGCCTATTACCTCCAATGTCCCAACCCCGTCCGCTTCACCAGTCCCTGCTGTCTCTGTGCCAGGCGCGTTCCCCGGTGTTGCATCTGAGATCCCGCCGCCTAGCCAGTCCCGCCAGATGACCCCAAACTTCCTCCCTTTCGGTGATGCCCAGTCCGTGACGTCGTCTACCATGGTCTCCCCGCCCGCTAGTCGGTTCGGTGGCCCTGATGCTTCGGGCATTGCGACCCCGTCACAAGACGCTAGCGACCAGGGTGGTCCTCCATCTGTAGCTGCATCAAGCGATTATAGCCGAGCACCCACTTTCGAGGGCACGCCTGCTCGTTCGCCGTTTGATGAAGTTCCGGCAGCCTTCGATGCGGCACCCATTGCTGCTGCTCCTACTACTGCGGTCGAGCAGCCCGCAGCTGCGCTCTCTCCTGCCTCCACCGGAAACCAGGAGCCGGCAAAGGACCTGTCTTTCGATGAGCTCTTCGGAAGCAAGGCTCACAAGCGATCTGAGTCCCAGAACCAGAATGATTTTGAGGAGGCATTCGCTACTATGAAGCAGCATTCGGACGACAAGACCAACGGTGGTGCTGCGGCTGCCCCTTCGTCCGAGTTCCCTCCTATTCAGGAGCTGCACCATGACGAGGAGGACGATGAGAGCTCGGATGACGAGGGTCCTTTGGGGTTCGATGATAACTTCACTCCGGTCTCTCCTACTTCCAAGAAGCAAGCCGACTCCATCGATGCTGCTCAACTTGCTGCTTTCCCTGTTCCGGGATCGGCTCAGCCGCCAGCTGCTGATGCGCAGGCAAGCCCTCCTCAGTATGAGGCCACCACTGCTGGAGATGCTAGCCACATGCCTCCTGAGTTTAGAGGTCTGCTGCCTGAGCGTGCTGATCCCACTATTGCTCCGGATGCCCCTCACTCTGTTGATTCCACCACTGGTGCACCAGTAATTGCCAACGAGTCTCAGCGGGAAGTCGTCTCAGAGGCGGCTGCTCCGGCCCTGACTGGTGGCGCCAAAACAGGCGGACCTGACTTTGAGGCTGCTTTTGCTGGACTCAACCTTGCCCCTGCGACGGAGGCTGATGACGACGACGAAGATGACGAGCACGAGGAGATCCACGATCACAAGAACACCTCAGACTTTGACTTTTCGTTCGACTCACCGTCCCAGGCCAAGCACGGTGCTTCTTCTAGCACCGATGCTGGCCAGGGTGGATCCTCTGATTTCTTCTCCTTCGACAACAATGTCACAGCTGCGACCGCCCAGTCCACCACCTCCCAAAACGGAGGTGATTCCAAGGCCGCAGGACCTGACTGGGACGCCCTCTTTGCTCCCCTCGAAGGTGCCAAGCCCGTTGCAGAGGAGCCTGCCAATGGCGCGAGTTCCAAGTCCCCCGGCTGGGCTCTCAACAACGACTCTGGCGAAGACGACCTGATTCTGCAGCGCTTAACAGGCATGGGCTTCCCGCGTGACGACTCGCTCGCGGCTTTGGAGAAGTTCGATTACAACATTGATAAGGTGAGATGATTTCTAGTTATGTGATTTTCTTTAGAATCCTCAAGAACGTCGTAACTGACTTCTTCTAGGCTGCGGACTATTTGACCTCAAAGTCTTAACTTTGAATCTGAATCTTAAACGTGACCCCTCATCCCAATCCCTCCTTTCTCTTCATCCCCTCGTGCACATATCATCCACACATATCTCTCTTTTGCCGTGATGTCTTTCCTCTATGACTCGTGTCTGCCTCTCCTATTTTTAAACCTCGCCTGGCCTACCTCCCGCATCGTCCTTCCTCCCTGTCTGTCCCCTTCAGCGCTGTGTACATTTTTTTTTTTCTTTTCCTTCGTCTCATTTGTCGTCATGTTGCGTCTGCTCTGATCTCATTCGAAACTGTTCTTTGCCGATGAGAGCCCGTTCTTGACGTGCACAGGAATCGAACCCTGGCAATTGTCTTTGCCCCAACTCAATGTGCCTGTCGCCCCCTGCTTGTTTGCAGTGTAGTGTAGTTTACGATAACCCTTAATTGATATAATTTCATGAATCGTCTTCGAGTAACGAGGTGTAGACTGTATTAGAATGAGCAGTTGCGCTGATAGTTTGCTGATGCCAAGACTTTTAAGTGTCATCACCCCGTCGGCATCCCATCGGTATCCCATTAACTGCCATCAATCCTGACCAACTATACAAAAGTCCCCAGACTCCCAACCCCATGACCCAGACAAAGCAAAATTGAACAGAATCTCTCTCGCCGGGCTCTTAAACTGGTCTCTCTCCCCCTTTCTTCTCTGCTCAAGCCTGTCATTCCAATGCCACCATCCCCTCCTTTCAAATGTCCCTTCCCAGGCTGTACCCTAAGCTACCAACGCAAAGAACACTTAACCCGCCATGCAAAAAGCCACTCTAAACAACTCGAGACTTTCAAATGCCTCTTCTGTGACCGCTCATTTTCTCGAAACGATACACTACGCCACCATGTTCGCTCCCACCATCAGGATAAAGATTTGAAATCATCCCGGACAATAAAAGCTTGTACCTATTGCCGTGGAAGGAGGTCGAAATGTGATGGACATGATCCTTGTGATAGGTGCTCTCGATTGGGGAAGGAATGTTCCTATTTGGAAAAATTGGTATCACGGAGTGGTACTCTGGATGGAGAGAGAGAATTGGCGTTTTCAAGGCCAGGAACGAGATTGGGTTCTTCGACACGATCGGAGGGACTTGAATATAGTCCTTGCAGAGTGAAATCTTATGTCCAGGCCTATTTTGATGTTTTTCATCCAAAGTGGCCATTTTTGCATCCGGCGACCTTTGATCATACGAGTGAACCAGCTTTTCTGCTTCAATCAGTGGTGATGATGGGGATGTGGGTGAGTAGGGAGAGTACTGTGCAAAAGAGGGCGAAAGATCTGCATCGTAGGTTAATCTTGTGCATATATGAGCAAATGGTAAGTAATATCTCTTCGCCTTCTGATCGAATAACACTAATTCAAACAATTCCAGGAAACTTGGGCCATCCCAGAGAATTATGACGCACTCTCTGGTCCTACACACTGGCCACTGGCAACATACCAAGGAATCTTGCTGCAAACAATCTTCTCCCTCCTCCGGGACCAGGATCCCATTGATCTGGGATTGACTACAGTTCTACCCGAAATACCTTCTCAGCTTCTCAAGGCTCTTGTCCACAGCTGTCTTAAGAGAAACATGCTTTTTTACCCCTCGATGTTATCCCAATTTAGACAGGGAGAAAGCCCTGAGGTATACGTCTGGGTTGGCGTTGAGGAAGTAAAGCGTTTCGCCCTATCGTTATACCGGGTGTGCCAGCGTGCTCGGCTTCAAGATCCTGGAGAGCTGGGAGGTGTGTCTTGTCAAAGCAATTGGGCCCCATCACGATTGGATGGGGTGAGTCTGTTATCTCTGGCTGACCTGCGATTTGCTCTGCCGGATAGTAATGAGCTTTGGCATTTGACATCGGGATTGGCTGACCGATTGACTGGGAAGTCAGAGGGTTATAGAGTGGCTAATAGCGAAGAGAATTGGATTTCTCAGGCCGTGAGGCTTTTGCAGCCGCAAGGAGAACAGTTTCGGTGGATATGATTTGGTGATAATTACCTTGTATGAGACCATGATAAGAACTCGGGGAATAGAACTACGCCAGAATCTACGTTGGGATTTGTAACTTGAATTATTCTAATAAAATATGCCTCTGGTAGAATATACTCCACATAAGAAAGACTAAAAGCTTCATTGGCAATTCCCGGTAGGAGATCAAGCATCTGTGATCGCCCCCACTTTTGCTGGAAGGAGTAATCGGAGTCTTCGGAGTTCCCAAAGGAGTAATCGAGGTGTAGCCTCATCTTAGACTACTGATTCGGGGCACGAATTTCGGAGCTTCTAGAGTTACCATCATCAAAGCTTGATCGCTAACCGATTTAGCACCGTATGCCAGGCGGATTTAACCTAACGCCGCTGTGGATTGCCGAATCGAATCTGAGGGGCCATATAAGGCTGTGGCTATAAAGCGTCTTGACTGCCTCTTACATCTGAGCCAAAGTCTCAAAATATTAATTTCATATACCAAAAACACAATCCTCGTGCAAAAAAACAATCTTTGTTGATTTTCAACCCATCACTATGACTCGAGTCCTTCTCACTGGCAAGTCCCCTTCAGTATTCATTCTGCCATGAGCTGGCGACTAACATCCAACAGGTGGTAGTGGCTTCATCGCTACCCATGTATTAGAGACTCTCCTCGCAAGAGGTCACTCTGTTGTCACTACCGTCCGCTCGCAGCAAAAGGCGCAAGCTATTCTGGATGCTCATCCAGAATTATCAAAGGATCAACTTGACTGTGTTATCGTGCAAGATATGGCCAAAGCCGATGGTAGGGAGTAACTACCCAGCGAAATTGTGTCATAAAGCTAATCATCGAGGCCAGCTTTTGACAGTGCTGTGATCTCAGAGCCTCCATTTGAGGCTGTTATTCATACAGCTAGCCCTTATCATTTTCATGCTAAGGATGCGAAAGAACTGCTGAATCCAGGTGAGCATCGGAGACTCCGAGACTCTTGAAAATTGAGCCTGACAAAGTGTGTCGAATAGCGATCATTGGAACAACGGGACTTCTCAAATCCGTGCAGAAGCATGCACCATCAGTCAAGCGTGTTGTTGTGACTTCTTCCTTCGCGGCGATCAATGATGTTTATGCCAAGGCCAAGGGCAAAGTTTACTCAGAGGTAATATCAATTTCTACCCTTTCTCTTTCTTCAACAAAGCTCATTAATTTATAGGCCGACTGGTGTCCTATCACCGAGGCTCAAGCCAACGAGAACCCTGCGAACGCCTATCGGGCTAGTAAGACATTTGCTGTGAGTTAACCTTGAAAAGCTTAACAAGTCAATGCAAAAACTGACAAACAAAAGGAACGAGCTGCTTGGGGCTTCATCAAGAACGAAAATACCTCATTCGACCTCGCGGTCATCAATCCACCACTGGTCATAGGCCCAATTGCCCACAATCTCGCTTCTTTAAGCGCCCTCAACACCTCCAACGAGCGCATTCGTGATCTCATCACCGGCGCGGCAAAGGATAGTTGTCCGCCAACAGGTAACTACCTTTACGTCGATGTACGTGACCTAGCACTGGCGCATGTCCTCGCGATCGAAAAGCCCGAAGCTGGCGGAAAACGTTTTTTCACGGTGTCGAGCCATTTCTCCAACAAGAATATCGCAGAAATTATCGGCCAGGAGTTTCCTCAATTCAAAGACAGGCTCCCATCCGGCGAGGCTCTCACTCCGGGAGATTATCCGGTTGATGGTGTGTATGGATTTGACAACTCACGAGCCCGTGAGATCCTAGGTGTGCCTTTTCGACCACTCAAGGAGAGTGTGGTAGATGCAGTGCATAGTCTGTTGTTGGTGGAGCCGCAAATTGCTGGTTAATAGTTTTGGTCTGGATTTGATAGATGGAATGGTCGATTTCGGCGTTAGGAAATAGCGTAATCCGAGTCGCGGGATTAGGCTAGGCAGATTCCGTATCAATCGCAAGGCTACTTCTTCAACCTTTTTATCCCTAACTTGCTGGCTCTGGAAATGTTTTCTAAATTTTCTGCTGACCCTGCAGGAGACAAAGTCCATCCACCTCGCCTAAAACGAAGGCAAGTCTCTCGCGCCTGCGACTGGTGCCGTTTGAACAGGATCAAGTGCAACGACTCGCAGCCTTGTCAGAATTGTCGCAAACGTGGGGGCCATTGCACCCGCAGCAAGGAAAAGGAGCATTTATCGTTGCCAACAGCTAATAGGTATCTCGAAGTGCTGCCGTTTTCGAAGAACTCAGCTGACAGTCAGTACAGAGAGATTCAAGAATTACGGCGACAGATCACCGACCTACAGCAGCAGCTCAAACTTGCAACCCAGAACACCAATGACCAGGTCTCTGCATACGCATCACCGGCCCAATCTAATGGCTCTGTTCAAGCTACCACGGCAAATCATGCGACATCTCATGAAGTTTCATCGCTTTCCCCTGGGAAGTGGGAGGGTATCAAACTTCCAGAAGGGAGAGCAGGGGCATTGATCTACTACGGTCCATTGTCATCCGCTTACTTCGCTGATCGCATGCGCCGCTATCTGCTAGAAGTGCTGAGAGGGTCCACTCCAGAACTTTCATTTTCTCTTTCACTTTCTCAGCTGAAACGACCAATCGGAAATCAGTTGTTTCCCAGTTCCCTTGATCAGGACCAACCATGGAAGACCAGCCTAGATCTTGATGGCGACCGGGAATCCGAGGAGCTTTCGCGGGCACAGGAAGAATATTTCCTCGATCTGCTCTGGCAGAGCTTTCATTGCATATATCCTGTCACCTTGGAAGACGAGTTTCGGGAGTACTACGACTCCCTATGGACCAACTCGGCAGATCAAACAAAGCGCCAGCCTTCGGCACTTGTTGACAGCATTTTGGCCGTTTGCATGCAATATGGAACCAGCTTCCTGACAAGCGATAGTCAGGGCAGTATGAATGGGTATCATGTTGAGGCTGGGTCAGCGACTAGCCGTGCACTCTACCGTCGGTCTCAAATACTCATTCTTGATGAACTTGAGAGGCCGTCACTAATGGCTTTGCAAAGCCAATTATACTCCATTGTGTTTCTTTATAACGAATCTTCAATGAGTTCAGCGCATATCTCTCTAGGGTCCACCGTGAGAACAGCTCAGATGTTAGGGCTACATTCAAAATCTAGCGATGAGCTCTCTTCTAGAGAAAAGCAGCTGCATCGCCGAATTTGGTCGACCCTAATCACGCTTGATAGCCAAATATCAATGGCTCTGGGTCAATCGCCACTCATACACAGTTGTGAGATTGATCACAGTTCTTTGAGAGATAGCCAAGAAGAAAGCCTACTCTCTGAATCAATGTTGATCAGTCCCAACAATAAAGACATCACATGGCTCAGCTATCATGCCCAATCTGTGCGCCTTGTCTCCCTCGCAAGATGCGTTCAAAGTGGCTTCCATGCCAAGTGCGCGGAGCTACTGGAAAGAAAAGCCTTGAAAACACTATATGACGATCCATTCTCACTTGAAGAGCTAGCGGGGGTTCTCGCTCGAAACGCTCGCGTTGTTTATGAGTGGGCATGCAATGTTCCTAAGTCTCTTAAAATCCCCAGGAAAGGCTCCGGAGAACCGTTTTCTACAGAGCGCACTCCACTCAACCTTGACCAGTTCAGTCCTCTCTGGCTCCAGCGACAAAGAATTCTGCTGGAAATCCTATACCATCATCTCCAGATGTCGAACTTCCGGAGTTTCCTGCGTCTCCCACCCGGATCCTCCTCAATTACGCCCCTGTCAGACTGTCACAGCATCAACTGTCTAAACCATGCCGTAGCTTTGACAAGCATTTTGCACCAGGTTTTGACTGAAACGGATCTACTGCGAGGATGGTCAGCGGCCTTTCAATACCAATGGGACGCCGCTCTTTGTATCCTTGGCTTCATTCTGGCAAATCCAGTCTGCCCTCCTACCCCGCAAGCTCGGAAATGCTTACAAACCGCGATTCAATGCTTGGAAATTATGGGCGATTATCTCCCTGTTGCTAAAAGGGCTGCTCAAAATATGCGCGAAACTGGTGCACAAGCTGAGATGCTTGCTGAAAAATTTCACAATACTTTGTCATTTCGCAGACCGGCCAAGCGAAACTATCTTGGTCAAAGCAAAGCGCCAGTTGCCCGATCAGTTACGAGTGCAACAGTACAGGACTTGGCAGCTCCGGCTTTGAGGCCTGAATACCTCCAATGTCTTTCCACGGAGCCTATGTTCGATCCTGTAAATTTTCTGGGTGGTCCTTTTCTGTCAACTGGAAATATGACTGACATGTTGAATGAGCCATCAGAGGAGTTTGTGGCAGTTGAAACAGATGGGATACTGGCTGGGATACAATCTTCATGGATACCATTTGGCGAGCGAGCGCTAGAGTCGTGAGAGGGTTAAATATGCATGTGCCTTTCCAACCTATCCCTACAACAGAACTACGATGTGACTTAGAGAATGGAACTTTACGTTTTCACCAAGTAATAGAGATATATGTACCTTAAGAGGAAGTAGATTGTGATTATCTTTAAATTAAATATACAGATTAGGAGATCATAAGAAAAAGAAGGCTGTCTGTGATGGCTTGTCACGTTGCAACTGGAAAGCTGAATTGCACCCATGGTTAATCCGATGGCGAACCAGACACCTCCATGTGGATTCGGTCTGGCGAGACACCCAAGCTCTCCAGACTCTTGCTCTGTGCCTTCATGAATGGCTGAGGCCCACAGATGTAGTAGTCTGCATCGGGCAAACGGCCTCGTTCTTGATTTGAGCCAAGTCCACACGGCCTACATGATCATAGTCCACACCCTTCTTGTCCTGAGCAGTTGCATCTTCATAGGATACCGCCTTACTAACGGATGGGTTCTCAGCAACAATCTTGGCCAGGTCTTCCTTCATTGCATGGACGTGACCGTTGCGCGCAGCGTGGATGAAGACGACCTTTCGCGCTTGGCCTTGCTGATCGACAATTGACTTCAACATGGACATCATTGGGGTCAATCCCACGCCTCCACTGATCAGCACGGCTGGAGTTGTGGCATTGATGTCGAGGACGAAGTCACCAAATGGATTGCTGACGTCCAACTTTGCACCCACTGGCAACGACTCGACTTCTCAAGAGTTTGAATGGGGTCGGCGAGAGATCTGACCATTACATCCCCGAATTACTGAATATTGCAGTGCCCCAATACTTCATCATCTTAGCGGATTGAAATACATGCATCTTCAGCAAAATTGCTTCTCTCTTTCTTGTATGACTACTTTCATTAAGCTTAACTTGGTATCCACTCTACTAGACGCCTCGGGGCCGGACTCCGAGTTACCTCCGGATGGTAGGATTGCCTTTGGAAGATCCCGACTTCGAGAACATTTACACAAAATCATACTCTAGTTATGGAATTGATGACTATCTGATGACTATTCATGCGTTCATGACGGTAAATGTCTACCAATCGCTAAGAAATGAATCAAGTTTATCTCGAATCAATTTCCTTCTAGGCTCACGCTCTCTTGCTATCTATCCCATCCCATTAAAGCGATGCAGGTCACACAATTTTGAGCTTCACAGCACAAGGAGAATAACCTAGGCCAGGGTTCGAGTGAGACTAGGCCCTTAGGAAGCTTACGCTACTAAATTGAGACCTATAATGTATACTAGTGCATGTCCAATACACAACATCATTCCTACGCTTATCTAATTTCTGCATGTCTTGACAGTAGAAACAGCGATTAAATGAACAGGAGCTAGCATTTCTTGGGCATGGAACCAGAGACGAAAACCCCTGGAATTATCACAAAATCAGTCTCGCTTTAGGATGTGACCATGCTATCTAGGTCATTTCTCACCAGCTTGTTGGTTTGTTGGTTAGGCTTACTAGGCTATGCACCGACCTTTGGTAGTACTACCATCCACGCTCGTATAAGGCGCACTTGGAGGCCCCATCAGGCGTCTCGCATACATCCTGGCCCCGATAATAGTGAGTCCGTATCTCTTCTCGAGACAGCCAATGACATTCGGAATAGTATCCGAGTGGGTCGTCTCGCCCCAAAGTGATCTTCCTTTTCCCCTTTCCTTTAGCCGCATGGTCAAGCATAGTAATACATTGCGGTTCGGCCAGTCCGTCCGAGTGCTTGAATGTCTTGCAGATCATGATCATTGTTGCCTGCATGCATGTCGGTTTTCATACGCGCCGAGGAGGAAGATCGGGCCCTTTTTTTCACAAGGCGACTTGGTAGAATCCGATACAGTATGTATGCCTCTCTCTCGACACTCGGGTCGTTTATGGCTACTCAAGTACTTCCCAGTCCCTGTGCCATTATCTCACACTCTACGATACGTGGATTAATGTCGACATGTCCCTCTTTTCCATCGCCATCCTCAAAGGCGGGGTTGCTTTATGCGACGTCTTGGCGGTTCCTTGGCTCAATAGAATGGGAGATTTAAGCCGGTCGCCTCTCATCAGTGATTTGTAGCATCTTGAACATTGGTTGGTGAGCCGCCAGCACTGGTACATTCGGCGGGATGTCCGAAGTATCTATCTGTCCTGTTTGAGTTCCTCCCTGGTACATTCGTTGGATTGCTCCTGGCCACGCTGGCGATACCTCGGACTAAGCTCAAAAAAATCAGGCTTGGTACATTGGCATGGCCCCCCTCGGGGCATTAAGCGTCGCTGGGCTGATGGAGCCGCTTATTACGGGGGCCGTGAGAGAGTATGGGTCGTACCATCTAGCGATCATGTTCGCCGGGGTATTGTTGAATCCACTTGAGGCAACAATCGTATTGGCAGCAGATGTTTTCTTTTTTTAATGTGCAGGACCGTTGCACGGGAGGGTTACCCTCTTTACTAAAAAGGGGAGTCTTAACTAGCTTGAAGGACACTGGACGGCACGCACATAGATTTTATTTGTAAAACTTTCTAAAGACAGGAAGCAATGAAAGTAATCAGACAAGACTAGTAGCCATGCACTACACTACTACAGTACTACTTCCTTAAAAAGAAAGACACTCGGATCAATCGCTCAACCAACCATTCAACCACGTTTTCATCTCCAGGAAAAGGGTCCGCCCGCGGATTTGGCGAGTTTGGCGAGTTTTCACAATTTCTGCAATTCTTCGCGAGGGGCTGCGGGTTTAGGCAACTTAATTTTACCTTCGCTCGGCCCCAACGAATGAGACAACTCGCTACGGTTCCTAGTTCCACAGTTTAATCCGCGGACAAAGTGGGCAAGCATTTTGTAGCATGAAATTCCCCCACGCCCAACCCCGAATAAATGTCGTGATCCGTGGGTGAATTGTCTTCTTAAAAGGTTTGGGTAAAAGGGGCGCGAGCACTACGGCCAATTGCTCCCCAATCCGTCCTTTCAAGAACCGAGCGGAAGATAATTCCAATGACAGGGAAGCCACAAAACAGCCTCCTATTTGTCCTAACTAAATACGTTGTTGCCTGTCCTCGTGTCAGATGGAGTAAGATGGGGGTATGAAACACTCGAGTCCAATTAGAAGAATTATCGACCGAGCGCGTTGACCCATGGACCCTGGACTAGCGGAGTCAGGAGCATAATATGCACCAATCTGCTTGCTCATAGGCCCTGGATAAGCTTTACCTGCCGTCGTAGGAAAGCTTGGCCCCCTTAATTGACCAAAGACACGCTCGTAACTGAGGATCTAAGGATCGATCGTCTTTCGCCCCGTTCCCCTTTCTAACTTTCCTTTGTGTTGGGAATTTCTATTATATTGTTTTTCGGACTATTTATCGGCAATCCAAAAAGGCAGATTGCCTCGCGACTCGTCGCCTGTTGTACATATTCCCACGCAAAAAGTATAAACTGGTTGAACGGTAAGACGAACTGATACACGAGATCAAATTCCCCGCTGGCAAAACCACTAGTCTACCAGGCTGCTTTCTCCTAAAATGGCAATGGAGCTTGTGGACACATGTTGGTTAAACTCACAGAATGTCACTCCTGGCCTAGCCCATTCAGGTGTCCCTTTTTTTGGTTGCTGTCGTGCTAAGGCTGAAAAGTTGCCTCGGGTGTGGATCACAGTATGAGCTTTCTGGGGCGTAAAATAATGGGGGCAAAGGGGCTATGAGCTTGAGCGCATTGCGTTTAAAATAAGCTAATTCCCTCGATTGCTTGCGAATCTTCTGTTCTTCTGTTCTTGCTGCTTCTGACTCTTTTTGCGTAATGCCTGTTTAACCTTCTCGTCACCCATTTCGACCTATACTCTACCTAATCAGCATGTTCATGATCTAGACTCCGTCAATCGACGAGTATTAGCTCGATTGCCATTCATTATTCTTCACCTTTTCTTCCTCTTCGTGTCTTACTTCGACTCTTCATCTTCCTCGCCCGAACACCCATCTGCATCTTCTCTTCGTCGTCTCCCCACCTTACGGTATTACTCGTTCCATCCTTCCTCGCCATTCGATCTGCTTCACGCTGAATACATGCCCATCACGCCTATCATGCCTGTCATTCAAGATCTTGCTGCTCGCCATGCGAGTCATGCGAGTGAAAACCTGCAAAAGAAGCCTCTTGAGCCAATCTCCAAGCTTGCGCCATTCTCAGCCCTAATCATCTCTATCACTATGGTCATCTTCTTCCTCATCCGCTACTACATCCTCGAGGGCTTCCTGATCAAGAAGATATATGGCCGGATCTACGCCGACCTTGATGAAGGGAACCGCCGTGGCTTCGTCAACCATCACATTGCTGGACTTACCAAGATCATCATCCTCGCGGTGGCTGCCAAGCCATTTGTGTGCGTCACTTTTGGCAAGGAGACGTTCGGAACGCCATATGATCCTCGCATGAGCTCAACGATCACCATGGGTGACATGCTTATCGTTGTCGCTCAGATGTTGATCGGCATGTACGTCTTTGAGCTTCTCTATCGGTCCAAACTGTCCCCGGTGGCGGTGACGCATCACATCGGCACCATCATCGTCGGACAGTCCGCGATTGCCATCAGCCTGAAACTGGCACGTGAGCCAGATGCTGATATTGAGTTTATCTTGTGCACCGTGTGGGGTAAGTAACATCAATATGTTTCAAATGATCCAATCAGCGTCAAGAATCCAAATACTAATATCTCGTTATAGGTGCTTTCGATATAGTGTCCGAATTCTTCCCACACGTGGCCATAATCCTCTATCGCATCTTTCCTCAACGTCACAACTTCCTCAAGTGGGTCTTTCTTCTCTCCTGCATTACGACCGCAACAGGCACCACTTGTGAGACGATTGTGACAATGTGGCTCTTCGGAAGTCTCTGGAATAGGTGGCAGATTGCCTTCAAAGTGGCCACACCATTGCTTCACCTTGCGTTCTCGGCGGCACAGATCCACGGCAGTATGGTCTTCTGGCGGATGTACAAGAAGCAGAAACGTCTGCTTCAAGAGCAAGTGGAAAGTGCCGATTTCCTCAAGGAAGAGAATATTGGCATCGCGTTGCAGTCATCCGCAGAGTCCATGCCGCCGGTCGTGCCGCCGAACGCAATGGTAGCCCGCGATAGATGAGCAGCTGGTGGTTTCCGTCGCCCGAAAACGCATGTTTGCGCTGGGTTTTTGCTTCTCTTTCTTTTTTTCCCGGGATTTGTTTTCTGGGGGCGTTTTTACTCTGCATCGGCGGAGTTTCTGCATTTGTCCGAGGCATACAACGGACAGTGGACTGGTCTGCTTTTTTTCCGGGAAGATAGGAAAGTATGGTGACATGTTTCTACCATACTCAATAATAAATTACAATGAGACTCTTTTAATAATTGTTTAAATTAGAATATTTAGAATATTTGTACATTCGTTCCGAATGCAAGGGGCTTTCAATCCGTAGAAATTGTATGTATTGGCCCGCGCCGAGAAAAGTCCGTAGATATCCCCGCACCAATAGCCAACCATCACAGTGGCTGATTCCCCCGCCGGCATCTTCCCACCAACACATCCCGACTTTGGAGTGACCCAATCGCACCAAAACTCCATATTCTTCTACTCTGGTACCTGTGCCAGATACAGCAAGACTAGAGCTATCAAAACCACCCACAATGGCATCCTCGGAAAAGCGCCCTGACTTAATAGCGCTCGCCCGCGATCTGCCCGGCGTCCCAATGAGTGACGATTACGAGAAGATGATATCGGGCATGCTGTACGTATCTAGCCCCGACGGTCTATCATCCTAATGAAATAAACATATCAAAGAATATTATCCGCTATCCTAAAGCAGACTGCCTAACCTTCTGCATTGACTAGTTACAATCCACTCCTCCCCAGCCTGGAGGAAGCCCGACACCGCTGCCGCATCTTAACCAATGACTACAACAATCTGGACCCACGTACCGTGCCCTCTGAGAAAATTAGGGACGTCCGTTTTGAACTTCTGCAGAAGCTGGTTGGACGAGTTGGCGAGGGGTCGTTTGTCGAGCCGCCGTTTCGGCCAGATTACGGATGTAATGTCGTCATTGGGCGGGATTGCTTTATCAACTGGAAGTAAGTCAGCGGAGCCCAGTTTGCGTTTACCATTCGTGAATTTCCATCTGTTTCTATGGTGATACGTATCTTGAACGTGTTCTGATGAGTCAATTGCAGTCTAAGTATCCTTGACACATCTCTGGTGATTCTGGGAGATCGCATTCAAATGGGCCCGAATGTGGGCATCTACACCGCTGGACATGAAACAAGTGTATTGTCCCGGCGGAAGTATATCGAGTTTGGTCATCCAGTCAGAATTGGTGATGATTGCTGGATTGGTGGTAATGTAGTGATCCTCCCCGGAGTAACTATCGGCGAGGGATGTACCATTGGAGCAGGCTCCGTTGTTACAAAGGATATCCCTCCCTTCTCGGTGGCCGTGGGAAGTCCATGCAAGGTGATCAAAACTATACAGTCTGCTGAGGAAGAGGAGAATGATCCCGAGAATCCCTACCGAAAAATGGAAAGAGAGCTGTAAGAAAGACAATTGCTATTAACTGGGCAAAATAGAAAGAGCATCTAAGTCTGCCACACAAGCCTACAAGCAGGTTAACTGCTGTTTTCGTCGTAAAACAAGCAGAGCTAAGAATAAAATGCACTCCCTGATGGTACACATGGTATGGCGGCCAGTGCTCGCCCGTAACTCTGCAACAGAATTAAAACTCATACCATCCCCCTTCTTTTCTCCCTCTGATTTACCCCACTGATTTCTTTGACGAGAGCCTGCTTTGCATGGCCCTCGTCCGCCAACGCCATTCGCCATCCCTTGAGAGTGAAAGTGCTCTGGGGGGGATTTTTCCCAGCCTCACTTCTCAAGTCGTCTTCTCGTGCTGGGTCGAAACCCGCTGCAGAGAGAGCACTGTGATCAGGTTAGTACAGATGTCGTTGATTAACTTTGAAAAGAAAAAGAGTTTAACTTACAGAAATCCTCCCAGGACCGCTCTCGAGTTCTGGCCCGCGGGCTACGACCATGCATCAGGTCGTCAAATGCCTGCGAGTTCTGCAGGAAGCTATACACAATGCCGAGTATAATGATAACACCAACCGAAAAGACCCAGACGCGGATCAGTGCCACGACTGAGGTGGGCTGGTGGCCAAACACGCCGAAAATGACCATCAGAGTCCCCGTGACATCGACAGCCAGAACCGCCGCAAGCAGTTGCAAGGAGGGCAGGTTCTTCCAAAAAGGTCCATCGATATGACGAGTGACAAGTATTAGCCAGTTCTGAGTGAGGGTAACCTCAACGAACAGCACCCCATCGCGATCTCCAAAGTTTTGCACCAGACCACCCGCCTCCCCATGCAGAAGGATGGTACCGAACGCGACCCAGGAACCAGCTGCCAGGATCAACCCGAGAATGATAGCAATCCCCCATAGCTTGGGCTGGTTCCATTTGACGGGGGAAATCGAGAACGGCGCATTGTCATATGCAATGGCCAGCGTGGCAATGTCGGCAAAAATGGCCAGCAGGACAACGTGACGGATATCCATAACTTCGGCCTTGATGCAAATCCACAAGCCGAAGAAGATCATCAAGTGCAGAGACAGCGCAATTCGATAGATCACATACGAGTACATGCGATGGAAGATTTGACGGGAGAGCTTGATCGCATCAATGATCGCAGAGAGTCCGGGAGCCATGAAGACGATGTCAGCAGCTGAACGAGCAGCATCGGAAGCACCTTCGACCGCAATCCCAGTATCGGCCTTCTTCAGCGACGCGGCATCATTTACACCATCGCCAGTCATGGCTACCAGGTGGCCTCGCTTTTGAAGAATCTCCACGACGCTGTACTTGTGCTCAGGGAATACCTCCGCAAACCCATCTGCGGCCTCAACGAAGTCATTGACTTCAGAGCCAGGCATTTCGCCCGCACCCGTGACACCCAGACGTTCCGCATTGTAGATATTGCTGCCAAGTCCGAGCTGGCGAGCGGTCTCGCGTGCAATACCCACAGCATCTCCAGTCAGCATCTTGATGGAAAGTCCAAGTCGCTGGGCCTCGGCAATGGTCTTTGCAGTGTCATGGCGAGGGGGATCCAAGCAGGGTACAATTCCCAGAATCTGCCAGGGCTGGTCACCAATCTTGCGAGCGACTCCGAGGGCACGGAATCCACGGCCGGCAAATTCAGTGACCTTCTCAAGGTATGCGGTCTCAACGTCCTCAGCAATCGGGTGATCCTCCTTAACCGTCCGCAGTACGGGAAGGGGAGCTCCCTTGACACAGATGATCCGCTCACCCTGAGGGGACTTGACAACAGCTGTGACCTTTTTGGAGACGGGATCGAATGGGTGGAACTCAATGACTTCGTATGATCCGATCGTTGCCTTGACTTCGGGATAGGCCTTTAGAGCTTTGAGAAAGACGCGATCGATGGCATCAAGTCCTTTTTTTTTGTGACTTGCGGCCAGGCAGGATGTCATCATGATATCGTTCTTGGTGACATTTGGGGTTGTGTACGGGTCACCGAGGGCAAGCTTGTTCCGGGTCAGAGTGCCGGTTTTGTCGGAACAGAGGATCTCAACTCCTGCCAGCGACTCAATTGCGGATAGTTTCTGCACGACCGCTTGTCGCTTGGCCAGATAAGATGCACCGACAGCCATGGTGGTTGTAACCACTGCCGGAAGACCAACTGGCACTCCAACGACGGTGATTGCCAGGGTAAACTGCAGAATGTCCAAGATTGGCTGCGACCGGTAGAAGGATGACACCCAGACCACAAACAGAGCGAGGCACACGAGACCCAGGAGAATCATGCTGATTCCATTGAGCACCATGGTGAAATGACCAGTTCCACTATCGGCAAGATTCACAAGCGCTGCAGCCCGTCCAACAGAAGTATTATCACCAATCGCAGTTGCAATCATACGGGCAGTCCCTCGCTTGACGGTGGAAGAGGTGAAACAAATGTCATCTTGATGCTTGTCAACTGCGAGTGATTCACCGGTGAGGGAAGACTGATCGACTTGTAGGTGGGCTCCTTCGCTGACCAGGACTCCATCAGCCGGAATGATTGTGCCCTGTAGTCAAGTTAATAAGCCGTTGCGCGTGGCTGACAGGTGTTTAGGAAGCAATTACATCCTCAAGGTGGATGACATCACCAGGAACCACTTCCTCTGCCTCTATCTCCAGCACATGTCCATTTCGGGTCACAGTAGCCTTCAGAGCCAGTGTCTGCTTGAGGCTATCGACGATGTTTCCAGCATGGTATTCCTGAGTGAAGCCAACGACTGCATTGAGGATCAGCAGAGCACAGATGACCCCGAAGTCGATCCAATCTCGCATTCCGGCAGCCAGGAGTGCGGAGGCCTGTTCAGGTTCTTAGTTAGTATGCTTTCACAGGCATAGCAGGAGGGAGTTGTTTGTGCATGAGCGTGGTCACAGACCTCCATGACAAACTGCACAGGGCCGACAAAGAGCTTGAGGAACTTCAACAGGTTGTTTTGGTGTTCCTGCTTCAGGCGGTTTCTTCCATACTTGCGGCGTGCGGCAATGATATCTGCATCATTGAGGCCCAGGTTGAGATCAGTCTCAAGTAGGCCAGCATGGTAGCCAGTGTCTTGAGCAATAGAAATGGTGATCACCTTTGGTTCAGGCTCGTTACCGTCCTCCTCTTCAAGCTCAGCGATGAGAAGGTCGATGTCTTCAGCAGTCTCACGGGAAGCAGACTGGTCAAGCTTGTCACCTGAAGAAGTGGTACGGCTAGGGCTGTCGGGGATTGCAGCAGTTGCTGGGGCATCCTTGTCCTCCTGGTCACTGTGGGGGCCTGGAGGGTGACTGCCGAGCGCCAGGTTGCGGGCATCAGAAAGATCCCACAACCTAATGGTTGAAGGCTTGGATACGTCCTTGGATGTCATTGAAGATATGTTTTTGATGGTGAAGAACAACACTGAAAGGAAGAGATGAAGGGGGTGTGTGGATGAAGTGATGGGAGAGAGGAAAAGGACGAAGTTGGATGGGGAGGTCACAGCAGGGAGAAAGATGTCCCCCAGGACTAGGGCACAACTTCCTTCAACAAAATGAGCAGGAACGACTACTCCTTCGGGCCAGCGTGACGCGTCTAACTGGAATTTACAGTGGGAAGGCCCGATGGAAGCCTCTGGTGGCCCGTGATGAGCTTGGGACCCGTGCCTAAAGTCAACAACCTTCGGCCAAAGCAAGAAAGAGCAAACCAGCAGAAAAATCAAAGATGCCAGAAGGGGAAACGCATGAGGCGCCTGAGTATCCAGGCGCCTAAGTCCTCGTGATTCCGCCTGGATGAGCTCTGTCCCGAAGGACCATTGGCCGAGTAAAGCAGCCTCGAAGGGACTCGAGCTCATTGATGTACCTAAGCCCTGCCGATCGCTGTTTCTCGACTCTGAAGAGAATTTTGGGGCATGTTGTAGCTCCATACACTACTTCTGATCAAGACAAACCTGGTACTTGAAAGCATTTGACCTGAAGTCAGACAGTGTTGAAACTGCTATTGAGCTAAGAGTCTATGTTCGTTCAAGCCGATTGATTCAATTGAGTGGCGGCAGCATTTTACATGCGGCATGCACTAAATCAAAATTCTGACCGATTTTCAACTCTGTCAAATGTTGCCAAGGTGATTCAATTGCATACGAACCCCTGAGGATGTGAAATACCTTTGGTCGTGCCGAAGCTAGATATACTTCGGGTATTGCGGCCCCACCCAGAGGTATTGGATATATCTTTTCCGGAACATGAGTGGCAAATACCTATGTAAATGAAGCTTACATTTACGTGTTGAAAGGCCCCGGAGCCCCCTTTTCCATTTCAACAGGCAACGATGAATTGAACACCATCGTCGTGGCAACTATGTTGAACCATGGTGACTAGTCAACGATCGATACAACTGCTATCCATGGTCCCTGGATTGTCGCCTCAGGCACCAGATTATGTAATTGCCTGGACGTCACCATCGCCATCGCAGAAAATCGAAGCCGCGGAAGAAGCCAGTCGACTGGGCGATGGTAGAATCAACCGGATACGTTTGCTTGCTTCAACAATAGCCTTGTGCTCACGCATGAACTGTGGGGCATGGTTGTCTTCACCGTTGCCTATCTGACGGTGCCGTGAGCCTGTTCTGTTAAAACGGCCATCAACCCGCCCAATCCAGCGCCCTCCACTTCCCATATCATGTTTCGCGCTCAAACAAGCGTCTTACGAGCTCTTTGATTTCTCGTTCTCTCGCATCTCAACCTGCTACGCCTCTCTGTCCCTTCATCACAGAACTTCATCAAGATGAATCCCGAAATTCCTGGCTTCTATTATGGTGAGTCTCCTTCCATCAACTGCAGATTCAATATGCACGCTCGACGCTTTCCACGGCTTCATTTCATGGCCTCGGATGTCTACTGGTGGCATGCTAACAGCATTTCATCTCAACCAGACCCTGAGAAGAAGAAATACTTCAAGATACAAGCCAACCATGTTGCGCCACCTGGTGCCCAGTATTCCCAGGCGTCCGTCAAGCGCAAGCGCAACGAGCAAGAGGTCAGTCGTCGATGTTTAACAGACTCACGCTTCTCAAACAAGTTGATGCTGACTCTTCACAGGAACAAGAGAGACAGGCGCACGTCAGTCAGCGGATCGCCCGCGAGACGGTCCACAAGCCAAGCTTCCTCCACCACCCTCTCGTCGGTGTGGACAGAGAGATTGGAGCCCGTCGTGTCTCCTCTTCTGAGCTGCAAGACCGCCAAGCCAGTGTCCACGTAAGCCAGTTAAGGTGCAAGAGGCTTCATGATTTTGAGCCGTGGCCTGGGCCTTGGAATATCCGCCATGTGCTGCGGAGTCCTCGCTCGGGTATCCTAATCACCAGTATGTACGCTGCTTCCATGTGATCTGGCAGATGGACTAATTACCATTCACTAGGTGGTGTTCACAGTCACCAATCTTCCGTCTCGTTAGTTCATTCTTTCTCTCAGATGGATAAGATCACTTACCAATTCTTCACAGGATCTGCTTCCCCGATCATGGCGAAGAGAAGTGGATTTACAACCAGACCATGGAGCGGATACTCTTTCAAGAGCCCTACAGAGTATGTCTTTTCATGCACGGGCCTGATCCTAGTTACTGACTGTCCATGTTTAGCTATCATCAGTCTCTCTTAGCCACACGGGCTATTTATTGTATGTACTCCCCTCCATCCGGAGCCTCCTTTGAACCCATCCACTCACCATCACAGGGCAACATTTGACAGCGGTCCCGGAGGCGACTCCTTCCTGGCTCCGCGGTTGCTTCCAAACCCAGATGAGAGTGGTGACTACCGCTGGCCTTCCGAATGTATGTCATCCTAACCATCCAGCAGGCAAGAAGTTTACGTTAACAAATAACAAACAGTCCTCCACCCCATCCGCATCCGCACCTTGCAGACCCTCTGGTGCTCCGCGGCATGTCCAACCGGAGACAAGGCTCTCTTCGCCATTGGAACCTCGGACGGACTCCACACCCTCGAGGGCTACAGCAGCCACTGGACGCTCTCGCAGAAGCCCTTCCCCAACGAGAAGGCCAACCAGACCCAAGGCTTCCGCCGTCACGGCAACTCCTCGCACGCAAGCGTGCAGGCGGTCGAGTGGCTCTCCTCGGACGTCATTGCCTCGGGACTGCGCAACTCGACCGTCTTCCTGTACGATGTGCGCACTGGCGACACTTCGCTGCGGCTGCAGCATTCGCAGTCGGTCACGAAGATCCGGAAGGTGGATCCGTGGCGGATTGTTGTTGGAGGCCATAACTCGGTAGGTTTTCGTGCTTTGCATGTACCAGGTGTAGTATCCCGCTCATGTTACGCCAGGTTGAAATGTACGACATCCGGTTCGTAGCCGAGGGCCTCCAACACAAGCCCAAACCCATGAGCGGCTCGCACATCTCGACCCGCCCATATCTTTCCTTCCAGGACTTCTCGCCCGAGGAGATCCCGGATCTCGATGTGAGCACCGAGTTGGGCCTGTTGGCATGCGGTAAGTTCTCGCTATTTTCCTTTTACACTGTTGTTGCCAATTTCTAATTACTCTCACTACTCAGCATCCAATGATAGAAAGGTGCGTCTCTTCTCGCTCAACACCGGCAAGCCTGTGCCCTCGCCGCTCTCGAAGTTTCATTATGCCCGTCCCATCACCGGCGTGTTCTTCGAGCCAACTGAGCCGATCACGAGCTCGCAGGGTCCGCAGACGCCCAGCTTGCTGGTTTCTGCTGAGGCTTCTGTCGATCAGTGGGTTTGGTAGGGGTGTTTTGGTCTTTGGGGGATTATTTTCTCATCTGGCGTAACTTTCTGCTCTTCTCGGGGATACCCTCTTGGATTTTGTCGGTGTTTCTTCTTTCTTTTCGCATCATCATCTTCATTTTGCTTCTCATCTCAGTGCTTGTTCTATTTTGAGCCGCATTTCCGGCCATATCTCCATTCTACGCATGATGAAACGAAGATAGCGTAATCAATAAAAAAAAAAGTTAGAAGATGACATCAAACGGCCAGTCTTAAGCACCTTAGATGAATCTCTCTAAAGCCAAGTCGCATACCATTGGCTGGCTTCGAAGTAATACCACCTCCAATGGAGTCACGTTCAAGAGTACTATCTTGCAAGTGAAGTTGATCTGTTTTCCTGCCTTAGCTTCGTCCAGGGATCTGATTTAGGGTGTACTAAGTTTCTAGCAATCCTCTCAGACTCACTGAGCGAAAAGCGGCAAGAAGGTGAATATGTATGTATGTCATTTGGATCCGAGGACGCAATGCTTTAAAATGCAAACAATAACCAAATTATAACGCCAATGCAAATAAAACAGTCAAATCGCCAATCCCATCTTCATACGCCAGTAGTGCACAAAACAAAACTACATTCCGAAATTAATCAAGTCCACCAGCAAGCCACTCTCCAACCTCGACACCGATTCCTTTCGCCAACTCCCCGATCCAATCGCCAGACACGTTCACGCACCATTTCTCGCCCGCGTCTGCACTGGTATTCCCGCTGCCTGTGCTGGCAAAGCCAACATGACCGGAGGCAGGTACCACGAGACGTAGACGGCGCAATGTCGCCAATTCAGCGTAGATTTGGTCTGCGACGGCGGCGGTATGGATGGGGTTCTCGGGTGGGTTTGGATCAACGGCGTGGTAAATTGCTAGTAGACGTTCTAGTGGAAACGGGCGAGCTGATAGAATGGTTGATGGGCCTGTGATGCCTGCGCCGCCGCCTACGGCAGATGTTGTTGCGGAGGATGTTGCGAAGGCGTTGGAGAGAGTGGACTTGGTGATACGGGTTTTCGTCCGCTTGCCCTTTCGCGGTGTAGAAGGGTCGTCGTTAGCAGCTGCTCTGTCCTCTGCTTGCGCCTGGGACAAGACCTTCAGTCGGCGACGATGGTGAGCACGCTTGTTACGTGCAGATAGTGAACTTGACGAGAACTTGGAAAAGAAGATGGTGTCCAGGCGTTGGGGGGTATGAGATGCCAGGTACGCCGATGTAAGAATCAACGTCGAGAAATAAGGAAGATGAGGTAGGGCGGATGGTGCCGCCGAGGTGGCCATTGGCTTGCGCAATGTCTTGCTCGGGGCTGAAGTGTCCTCGGGGACAATTCGATGCACCAGTGCAGACTCGCCCTGGTGCCGGAAAAGAGCTCTGTTCTTTACCAACAGACGGGTAAAGTCCCATTCCGTATTTCCACCAGGCGGTGTTTCGCCTTGAACCACTGGCGCAACGAACAGTGGCCAAAGTCGGTGGCATATAGATCGGAAAGTTGGAATTGAACCTGCCGTTGGCCCAACTAACGTGTCGTAAATTGTCGCAACAAAATGGGGATACACCCGCGACGAAGTTTCGTCTGGCAGGTTCTCCACAAATGGCATCGGCGCAGCCAGTAGAATATCAATTGCCTCTTTCCTTGTGTACGGAGGGAAGCTAACATGAGGAACAGCCGCATTCTGCAAGAAGAGTGGGCGAGGAGTCGAGCTCAGAACTAGAACAACACAAAGAGATGGGATCTGTAGAACCAACAAGTCAGTACTTGGCCACGAGCAGGCTACATCTCAGGTCTTCGAGACGGCAACTCACAATCTCTCCCAGTCGCGCCAAAGCAGACAGTAATGTCGGCGGCGCCTCACGCTGCCGATCAATCTCGTCCAGCACCAACACAAACTTTCCACCCCGTTCCTCCGCTCCGGCTGCTAGACACTCCTCCAGCAGGACCGCAAGGGTACTAACATGCTCGCATCGACCCTTACCATACTTCTCCCATTCATCTTTCTGACCCAGCGCCTCGAGGGTACTCCAAAGAATCTTGGTCAGAAGATGTCGCGCCGTAATACATTCCGAGCTGCGGACGAAGGCGTGCGGAACCTCGAGTGTTGATAGGATACCGCGAAGTATGGTAGATTTGCAAGTCGCAGACACGCCGTGCACGACTAATGTAGACAGGCTAGGGGTATTTGGCTATCGGAGAATCCCATGGTTAGCAAGCTGCAGAAGGAAGCTGTTTGATCTAATTCCAGTCGGCTGCGGAGATCTTGGAGACCTCCGAGAAATACTTACATGAAGCAGGCTGGCAAGCTGCCGCGCCTGTAGGTCCCGACAAGGCCATTGGGTGCTCAGGGAGCGAGCAACTTCCACGGGCTGCATGAGGTCCCGAGTCTCAGCTTCTTGGCTGTATAACGAAGCTGCTAACCAAGAGAAAGCTGATCTGGGGTGTGATCTCTCTTCTTTCGATCTGCGGCTTCCCGTCCGAGGCACCCCTTTGGTCACGTGCTCTCGCGACGCGTCCAAACTCGAAGGAAGCCACGAAAAAGTACAATCTTAAAGCTAATTTCACGCTTGATTTTACAAGGGGATGAGATAGAACATGCCTACGTATTTTGAAGACAATTTTTGTCAAAACCGAATTCGATTCCTGTGCTAGAGTACAAAATTGCAGAACGTGTGTGAATAGAGGGAAAAATGGAACATCCACTCAAACGACCCAAAGGTCGAAAAGGAATAAAGAAGAGACAAAGGATACGACTAAGATTACCAAGTCAGCCCAAAGGAGCCGTCTCAGCGGACATAGTTGTCCGATATCACATCATTCCTCCCATGGAATATGTTCTCGGGCCAGAAAGACCGACCCATCACGACACATGTGCGATTCAGAAAAGAAAATGAGGGGAAAGTACAGGGGGAAATAAAGATGAATGGAAAGTAAAGTGGTGGGAAACACAATGCTGGAAATGGAGATGGTTCTCTGCTGGCCTCAACCGACAAGGCCAAAACAACGACAAATGGCTTGCTTCTCCTTCGAGGAGGGAGTACCAAAGCCATCATCCGAAGTCGTGTAGGAAGACCATATAGATCGAGGCAAAGAAAAGACCATTGAGGGGAAAAGTACAGAAAAGGGCAGAAAGGGGGAACAAAAGCGAGGGAAGACTGAAGATGGACAATGCTTCCCAGCGCTGACTGCACCATGCGAGTTTCGCTGGATGAATGATGATGTATGCAGGATGCAATACGTGAATATTTGCCAGATGATGGAAGTGTCGTGACGCATTGCTTCATGCACGGGGAGAGAAAGTCAAAAGCAGGCGAAACAAGATGGAAAGGGGTAGATGAAATGCTGATGATGAAAAGATCATGGCAGTTGCAACTGGACCCAAGTATGATGGCAGTCTTGAATGTAAATCCGTTAAATCATCAAAGGTTCATGGCATCGTGTGAGTCGATATGGGTACAGGTTGTAGATAGTATGCACGTGGGTCAGAGGTATCCATCAACGGTAAGGGTAAAAAGGACCCTGGGCACCAGTGTGTCCGTTGGCGACAGACGAAGAGGGGCTGTAGATCTCGGTGCTTTCGCTGGGGGTCTCCGTGGCAGAAGGAGAAGCGACGCCACTGGAGAAACCATAGCTGCTAATCCCATTGGTGCCTTGGATAGAACTGGTGGCCGAGTGGAAAGCGGGGTAAGGCGGCTTCACGCCCGGAAGATGCTTCGGAAGCTGGAGAGCAGTTGGAACCTCGTTAGGGGTCACCTGTCCACTGCTCTGGGCACTGGACCGGCCAGATCCTTCCGCGGCCATCAGCTTGCTGGAAAGTCGGCGTCCGTGGGGGGTCGAACGAATCGACGGCAGGATGGGACGGACAGCGTCGGCAATGCGTTGACGAGTCTCGGCATCAGCAAAGTCCATGGCAGTCTGCACAACGTAGTTCGCGAATGAATCACGCAGCATCTTCTCCAGCTCGTTGCCACTCAGAATCTCGTCGATCATGTCACGGCGAGCAGGACCATCCGCAGTGCGCAGACACTTCTCGATCACATTGGAGCTGAACTTCTGCTTGGACAGAGAAGGGATGTTACCGGCAAAGGTCTGGCACAAAGGATTGGTGAAACGCGAATCGGCAAGATCCAGGATGTACTGAACAACATAGTTTCCGAAGGGGTCCTGGACGAGAGTGTACGAGTTCGCGGTGATCCGAGCGATCAGCTGAGCCTTCTGAGCACCAGAGGCATGATCAATGCAGCGCTGCAGAACACAGCATCCATGACGGTGAGTGCCGACAATGACACAATGAGCACCAACAGCCTCGTAAATGAACTCGGCCTCCTCGGCGTTCAGACGGTTCAAGCATTTCTGAATGACGTGGTTGCCATTCAGGTCCTGGACCAAATCGACGACATGGTGCTTGAGCGCATTGATGACAGTCTGGGTCTGCTCAGCAGTGGAGATGAACTCGATCATCTTCTGGAGAGCGCGGGTACCATGCTGGTTCAGCGCGATCTTAACGAGCTGGGGAGCCGCGTTGTCAATGAGGGCGGTGCGCTGCTCGTCGTTGGAGTACTCGAGAAGCTTCTGGCACAGGTAGTTGCCGAACGGATCTATATAGATGAAAAGAAGACAAATTAGCTTGCAAACTCAATATTGTGATGAAAAGGCAATGGGATAACATACCAGTCATCAGCTCGATCACATGCATGTAGACCTCGCTGAAGATGAGCTGGACATACTCGGGGTTGCGCTCCTCCAACTTTCGCTGCAGGTAACGGCATCCATGCTGGTCCTTGCAAAGGCTGTACAGCTGGCCCTTCCAGTACTCAAGGGGGTGGTTGGCGTAGCGAGTCGCCTGTCCCGCATCGCTCTCAGTCTGACGGCGCTGAGGAACGGTACCGCGAGTAGCAGCATCGTTGTAGCGATAGTTGTTGGCTGCAAAAGCTGGAGCAGGATAGGCGGCATAGTTGTTGGCCTGGCCGAAAGCCGCAATCTGGTTGTTCGCCGGGGTTGGCGGCGCGACGTATGGCTGGACTCCATAGCCATACAAAGGAGGGAATGGAACACCCCCAGGGGCAACCGAGCTTGTCATGCCGTTATTGGCAGCTGCAGAGGTCAACTGAGGACCAAAAGGCGCAGCACTAGCCTGAAGAATTGTCTGCGCAGGCAGGCTGCTCTTGATCACGTCAGTCTCGGGGGAACCCTTGCCAAAAGGAGAGGTGACTGCTCCAGCGGGGATGCGGCCCATGCTGGCATTGTGCTGGTGAAGGTGCTCAGCGTTGGTCTTGGGAGTGGTGATCGCCGCATCAAAGGGATCAAAGTCACTGCCTTTAACAGTTGGCAAATCGTTGGTTGAGTAGGAGGTCTGCAGTGAACTTGGGCGGCTAGTAGTCACTGGGGTGAAGACATCGGGGGTGCGCTCACTTGAGAAAGTGAGGCCTCCTTCAAGAGAGTGACGGGCAATGTGACGAGAGTGAGCCACACCACCACGCTCGTCCTTGACTGGGCTGGTCAACGAATCAAAGCGCATCGCACTGATCAAGTTCTGAGGCATGCTCTGGTGGCTGCTGCGATAACGGCTGTGGAAGGAATATGAATCTGGCACCGGAGTACGGGCGTTGGCGAGATCATGGGCATCAGGATTGGCCGAGAGCTGCGACGACATGGTCAGTCTGGTTTAGTCCCAGGTTTGAGATGAGGTGAGTCCAAGTAGTCATGAAACTTACGAGGTTGGAGCCATCTCGGCGAGACAGAGTGGGGAACTTGTCATCAGGCTCAGTCATCTTGATGTAGCTCTTGATGTCTGGGGTTGAGAGTCGGTTGAGTCGGTCGAGCTGCTCGAGCTGGCCGAGTCGATCGTCGTCCTTCAGGTTGTTCATCTTGTGTTCGTCACTGGGGAAGAGGTGTTTGGTAGCAGCGAAAGAATCAAGACCACCGTTGCTTTTATATCCAGAGGTGGAGCCGTTGGGTCGGTACGGGCTGCTGAAGTTGTTGCTAGGCAGAGAGTATCGGTGTAGCCTGAGAGGAAGAATAGGAAGAACCGTCAGACTGAATCGAGGCACGGGTTGAAGTGCGTGCTGCCTTGGGAGTCACCAGGCCCTCGCTTCACTTGCGAGCAAACACCGTCACTTGAGAGCAAACACCACCTTGGGGGATCCCAAGGCAAGCGCCATGAAGAAATGTTTGACTTACGAAGGTCCTGGTCGGAAAGGTGCACTCTCCATGACGAATTCGTCCTTCTCTGAGTTGCGGCGAGATGTGGGCATCGAGTGGCCAGCAAATCGATCAACTGGTTGATTGTTGGCTTGAGACGAATGCGAGTGCGGGGCGCCTTGAGGGGAAGTCAACTGCGAGGAAAGAGCAAACGCGGAGAAGAATCCGGGGGATGAAGTGACGCTGGAAGTTGAGAATCTGCCGGGACGAGAGACTGAAGAGACGGTTGGCTCTGCATGCTCAGGAGGGGTCGTCGGCTCACTCACTGGCCCGGAGAGGCCAGCCTTCGCCAGATCCCGAGCAAGCTGGTCCATTTCAATCTTCTCCTTCTCATGCTGCATATCTAGCAGTTTCATGTCTTCTTCGAAGCGCCGTTTCTGCTCTCTCATGTATTCGATATGCTGACGTTTTTTCTCAAACTAGGAAGAGTCAGGGAGTGTTTTTTTTCGAAGAGTGAACTGGGAAAGTGAGAGATATGTGCGAAAAAAGGTGCGAGAAAAGTGAGATCAATATGGGGAGAAGGGTGGAAAAGAGAAGTGCGCAAGAGGAAGATTTTATACAGAACGCCCGCGCGGGTCCGCGGGAATAGCACGACCAATGCTTACTCGAACGCCCAATTGGTCGCGAGGCAGGTTTGTGAGCGGTTCCATGAGCAACGCGACTTTCCGTCTTGTTCCACGAGAAGCCGGCTGACGTATGACCTTTATCCTAGGCACACCACCGGTACTTGGGCATGGAAACGCAGGAAAGCAAAAGCACATATGCAAGACTACAACAAAACATGATACTCACCGAGGACAGCAGATCCAGATGGTCTGGCATTTGCGTGGTGCCTCCCGGACTGAGATAGTTCCATGACGAAGTCAATTTACTCGAGTCCGTGGTGAAACGACGTTGCAAATTGGCGCGGACATCGCCTGATGGTCGTGAGAAGCCAGGGCCGAAGTTAGAGTGGCCGGGTGAGAGCGAAGTATATCCAGGAAAGACCGATTCGGAGGGTGGAGAGCGAGGAGAAGGGAAACGGAGCTCGTCGAGGCGTTCACTCAGCCCATTCTTGAAGGCCATGGTGGGCAAAGCAGCCGATAAGTCCAACTATGGTGAAAAAGCAGCATCGGTCAGCACAGATGGTCGATTAACATGTTGACCCAGATTTCCCAGAGCTTTTTAAGGCCACGCAGACCCAACCAAACACAACCGCAACGCACATCCTATCAAACTAGCCTTCCCAACGAGGTACCCCGCAAGCTGCAGTGGCAGGGCAAGGGCTAGGGCTATGTGCGGGCGTGTTGGTGGCGGGCTGGCGGTGTGGTTTTTGACGGCGTTTCCCCCTAAGTAAAGGGGAACCCAAGAGGGGCTGAGGGGTTCGATGATCGACGCGCAAAGGGAAAAAAAACCCGAAGGCCAGGGACATGCTCACACAATGAACGCCTCGAAGGGCAGAAGCGACACTAGTTGGATCAAGAACCACACAATGCGACGGTCGGGAAATTCATCGAGGGGGGGAAACCGCTGGGCTGCAAAATCGGCCGTGTTCCTGGCGAAGTGCGGAGATCAGCCGCAGGAAGAAGTCGTGCGTGGGATGGAGCACGACCTACCGCTTCTCTTGTTCTTTCTTCTCTCCACTTAGCGAAGGAACACCAAACCACGATCACAAACAAAAAACGAGAGTTTGTCCAGAGCACTTGCACACACAAGATGCAGAAAAAGACCGAGAACAAGCTGTTGTACAGAGATGGATAGGATCAAAGAAAGGTAGAAGGGGGGAGAAGAGGGGAGGAAAGGGGAAGAGGAGAGATTGGAACAGAAGGATGAATGGCTGGGAGAGGAGCGGGGAGACACTCAACCCTATTCGGTAATCTCCGTTACGAACATCTAGTTCGTTCTTCGATGGCTTTCGACTGCAATGATCTTCCCCCGTAGACTCGTTGGTTTTACAATATCTGATCATTTGGAATTGACGAGAAAGAATATCTAATCATTGACGGCTTTGACTTGAATTGTCTGGATCATCAAACCAAGGAACCAGCCGTTGTTCCCAATCATCCCCAGTCAGCCTCCCGAACCGCCACGACGGCCCCCAAAAAACTAGCTATCACGGCAACAAATTACCAAGATGACGCGGAGTCTATACCCATCCTTGATCCCGAAAGCCGTGAGATGATTCCCATTTTCTATGGACAATTTGATGGTCACAACAGATTGAACAGATGATCGCTCAACCTGGGAATCGATCGGGCCCTACAGACATGATTGGGGAGGCTCCGCCTGAACGCGCTGTACGACGAGGGATGCAGCTATTGCCCCGAGCAGTAATCGGCTGGGGTACTCCATGGCCGACAGCTTGCACACGAGGCTCGATCCCATAAGCTGTGGGATTGCCGAGTGGTCAATTGCACATCGGACTGGGACCTCCCTGACGAAGAGGTGTACGGAGAGACAGCGCATACGGGGAGGACACTATTATCTCCCTTGCGACTATAGATAGATCCCGGTCTCCCATACTTCGATGCCCTCTGACACGAATGATGGCCTACGAATACGACCAGGGCCCTCAACTACATCTGGGCACTGTACAGAGTACAGATGCAGGCCACTAATCTTTCATCTACTGATCTATCTAGGAGATTTTTGCAGGCACCGTGGAAATAGAGAGCCATTTCAACCCTACTGTAGAAACTATAGAGCAAAGAACCCCTGCAAACATCGGGATGCGCTGTTCGCGAGAAGCGTGGCAGCGGCAGCTGCAGGTCGACCACACCTAAATAGAGCAAATAGAACCGCCACTGTATCATTCTAGCCAAGTGGAGACCCGCCGAGTGGTGTGCAAGACCGAAGGGGTGGAAAGATGTGACAGCAGATCGCCCTCTAAGTCTCGAAGCTGGCTAGTCACCGCACGGGGCAGATGGGGGTATGTACCTGGATCGACCTAGCGTGATATGGGTATGTGATAGGTATCACTAGGGAAGGAAGGCAGCGAATGACAATTAGTGTAGAAGATAATCATCTTCGTCGTAGCTCTTGAGGACTTGAATAGTTCTTGTCAGCGGGTTGACTTGACTGTTGGCACTTACAGGAGTTTTGGGAGACACAACCCGTTTGCGCGGGTGCTTTCTGATAATTTATGGTTCGCGCCCGCGGGGCTTCGTTTCCGCGGTTCGCTTTATCGCCGACGTGGACAATCAGGGCCATCCATGGGTCTGCCAGAACTCAAAGAAACTCGGGTTAAGGACACTTTGGTACTTGTTTTGCTTCTTCCTGGAGTCATTGGTTCCTCTGAACTAGCGACTGAGTGATATTCTATTGATCTGAAAGAACGAAAGTCGATTTTTGATGATTAGGATGGTTGTCATAGATTAGGTTGTTCAACTATCCCAGCCGTCCTAGTCAATTCCCATATCTTCAGAGGGGTGTCAAGAATAGTGTCTTGCCTCCATCTTACCCTCTCTTTTTACATGGGCGACTGGTCAGACAAGCGGTGAAGGTGATACCAGCCATCCGTGCTGATCGTGTCGCTTGGAGGCCCTGATCCACCGAATGACGAGCATACCCTGATGTGGAGATCCTGCATGGCGAACCCCAGTCACCTTTGCTTTTGCCAATTTGGACAAAGCACAGCCAATCATGACTATCCACCTCGCTCTTTCCCCCTCATCTGTTTCTCGTCGTTTTGATGGGTCTCTCTTGTCGCGTTAGATTCTGGGCTCTGCTATCTTTTCCAGAATCTAGATCGGGTCTGTTCGTAGAATTAGACAGTGTGCGCTGCAAATAAGTACCCGCTCTGGTCGGCGATCTGTCCCCCTCCCTTCTTACTGTATACAGACTAAACAGTTGTAGTGACATCCTCAACAGTAGATTAGTAACCCCAGCAACTCTCCGCGATGCATTCTATATATACTGTATGTGCGATGATCTCAACACGCAGTGAAATGACACATCCAAGCTAAGCTCGAACTTGGGGCTAGCGTTCCTTACCATAGGGTTTCAAGTGGTCACTATGAAGCCCTGGCCCCATCTCTGATTTGGAGGCCCAAAAAAGAGCCAATGATTTAGTGATTATACATTGAAGGGGCAAAATGAGAAGCGCCGTTCATGCCCAACGCCAAAATTGCTCCTCGGCCAATTTGCAATATTAGTCTCGCCAATCATGCATGACTCAAAGAGCTTAGTACAATACTACTAGCTACTGTCCACCAGCTGAGACAGCCTTACCTGGAAAAGACTAATTGCCCTGCGATATTTCGGAATCGAGAGAGACAGTGGTGTCTAAAGTACTTCGTACCGAGTAACTACTGATCCAAGACACACATATACAAAGTCAAATATCCGACAGAGACTCTCGGCAAGTCCCTTCGTCCCTCATTTGTAAACCCTAAAATAGGAGCAACAAAAGTATGTATAAACGAGTGCCCCACTCATCGGCGGCTGCGGAGTATTATGGTCATTCTGCTGTGCTTAAGAATATGATCATCTTCACAGTCCGGTCTTGACTCTGGCGAGTTCATGGAGTACTGACGATATTCAAGCAAAAAAGTGCTGGCGCTGTACAGGACTTTCGTACTTTTGGCTCGGGTCAAATTGCAAAGCCCAAGCCCGTTCCATCCCTAGCCACGTGTATCGCATTCTTTGTCTACGATGTCCATCGCGGATGTCCTTAATTTACTCCATCCCACTAGTGGCCACCAGAATTGCAATGGAGTCGACGTTATCGGCTGCGGGGGCCACTCGGTTGGAGGGGCATTGGTGGGATCAAAGCCCCGCGCAAAACAACGACCAATTCCACGCAGTAGATAGTACGCGCCAGTGGCGATAATCTGTAATCGAAGAGTTGCGGTCAAGCCCTTATTATTTGCCACAAGTGTCTCGCTCGCTTCTTAATATTTTCGTTCGGATCTGATGATTATTTCAAGTCTCAGATGTTGCGGATAGAGATACACTAAAAAGCTTTGGATACATAGAGAGTGCCACGAGAGCAGAGCAGTGACCATCGTGTAACGAGCTATAAATACTCTGGATTCCGGTAGTGGTAATCTCATATACTTATCACCGTGAGCTTGTTTCTAATCAGTGGGTCTTCTTCAAATATATACAAGCAATTCTCCTTTCGCTCGATGTAAGAGCGCCATAGTCTGAGCGTAGCCACAAAAACCTCGAAGAGAATTAGTCTATACTGGAGTTCATTACGATCAGCCGAGCAATGAACATGTCAATCATGTACGACAGTGAAGACGTGTAGATTCGAAACTGGTCGTCCGTGCAGACCTCGACAACGTCGGGAGCGGCCACGCTGCATGTGCGAGAAAGTCCAGGGACCCACTGGAGTACCAACCCCAAGGGGTCGCACAGGTAGAAATAGCCCTAGAAGGACTTTGAATGAAGTTTATTCGGATTATGTATTGTTGGTTGATCTCTCCGTTCCGAACTGGTGGCGGGGTTGCTTGTTTGGTCCGTGTCCATGAGGTACGAATCCTTTGAATGACTTCCGATGTGAGGCGTAACTCCTACTGGGGGCAACGAGGTCAGCCAAACTACATTCTGCCTGTGAATATCGAAAAAAATATTCAATCTATGGCTGCCCTTATTTGGATATATTTGATGTAGGTCATGTATGAGGAATTAATTAATGAAGAATCGAGTTGTGTGGTGCTCCGGCAGGATATATAGTTCGCAAGATCCTAGTAAACTGCTTCAACCCGCTACCCGGCTGCATTGAGCGAGGAGCTCAATTATTGAGATTTGAGAAAACAAAATTACCACCTCATGACAATCGCACAACTGTCTCGAATGCAGAATCAACGACCAAGACCGCGCCTACAAACATGGAGCAAACAAGTTGATGCCTCAGGTGTCCTTCCTCGACCTAACCCGTTTGGAATAGCTGACTGATTAGATAAGCCATCTCCAAATTCTCTCGGCCTTCCCCTCCATCGGCGCATGTTTTTGGCGACGTCGATGAGCAGCGTTCATCACACTGACAACTGAGTGGCCTGGGTTCGCCGAGACAGAATCTCTCCAGACCTCAGAATATTAGCCACAATGCCGCCGCGCAAGAGGCCGCAGGCCCCTCCTGCAGCTAAACCCCGGCGTCCCTCGGAGGTAACAAAACTTTTTTTGTCGACGGCGCGAACCACTGAGCAGTCATGCTGATTTGATTTTCATATATCGGAACAGGCTGGTCCAAATGCTGCGACGGAACCCCTCAAGAGAAAGCGCTCTTCTATCGCGAAGGAAGCAACCCTCCCAGCGGAGCCCACTAGTGAACAAGCTCAGACTCAACCCCAAACCGATCAGACCGAAGAACCTGCGTCGAAATACCGCCACAAGGACCCTTTCGATGCGCTTCTGGAACCCTTCTACTACAACAAGTCCCTCACTGACCCCATCGATACCGCCAAGGACAAGTGGAATTTGCTGCCGGCATTCCTCAAAGTGAAGGGTCTGGTGAAACAGCACATTGACTCATACAACTACTTTGTCGAAGTCCAGTTGAAGAAGATTGTCGAGTCAAGCTCCACCATTCGCAGTGATGTGGATCACCAATTTTACATCAAATTCACGGATATCTACGTCGGTTCGCCGAGACGTGCGGACGAGACCCAGGATGCTGGAATCGAGTTCCAGTCCGACGTGACTCCTCAGGAGTGCAGACTTCGCGATACGACCTACGCCGCGCCAATCCTGGTCGACTTCGAATATGTTCGTGGCCGACAACGTGTTATTCGTCGAGGTGTCTCGATTGGTCGCATGCCGATCATGCTGCGCAGCTCCAAGTGTGTGCTTGCGAACAAAACCCCAGCGCAGATGACAGTGCTCAACGAATGTCCCCTCGACCCCGGTGGTTATTTCGTCGTCAACGGAACGGAGAAGGTTATTCTGGTCCAGGAGCAGTTGAGCAAGAACAGAATTATCGTTGAGACGGACCCGAAGAAGGAAATTGTCCAAGCTTCGGTAACCAGGTATGTTAGAAAATACGGTAACCCTAGATCTTGAATGTATCCACTGACTTGCGAACAGTTCTTCCAACGAGCGTAAATCGAAGAGTTACATCGTTCTCAAGAAAGATAGGCTCTACGTGAAGCACAACGTGTTGAGCGATGATATTCCAATTGTCGTGCTGCTCAAGGCCATGGGTATTCATACCGACAAGGAGATCCTGCAGCTGGTCGCTGGGTCCGACAGCTTATACCAGGATGACTTTGCCATCAACTTCGAGGAGGCGATCAACGTTGGCATTTACACCCAACAACAAGCCCTTGACTGGATCGGTTCCCGTATCAAGATCAACCGCAAGACAGGCGCATACCGCCGAACCCACGTGCAAGAGGCTGTCGAGGCCATCGCATCCGTCATTATCTCCCATATCGAGGTCAAGGACATGAACTTCAGGCCCAAGGCTATCTACGTTGCTCACATGGCTCGCCGTGTATTGATGGCGAAGAACGACCCGGCTCTGGTGGATGACCGTGACTACTTGGGTAACAAGCGTCTGGAACTGGCGGGTCAACTGCTGGCTTTGCTGTTCGAGGATCTTTTCAAGAAGTTCTGCTTTGATATCAAGATGAACATCGACAAGGTTCTGAACAAGCGGAACCGGGCGGAGCAATTTGATGCCTGGAGTGTTATGAGCATGCACGGCAATCACATCACGCAGGGCATGAACCGCGCCATTTCCACTGGTAACTGGAGCTTGAAGCGTTTCCGCATGGAGCGTGCCGGTGTCACTCACGTTCTCAGTCGGCTGAGTTACATTGCTGCTCTGGGTATGATGACCCGTATCAGCAGTCAGTTCGAGAAGACCCGAAAGGTTTCTGGTCCCCGTGCCTTGCAGCCGTCGCAATTTGGCATGTTGTGTCCTGCGGATACACCCGAAGGTGAAGCCTGTGGTTTGGTCAAAAACTTGGCTCTCATGACACACATTACCACCAACGATGAGGAGGGTCCGGTACGAAACCTGATTTTCATGCTGGGTGCCGAAGACATTTCGACTGTTAGCGGAATGCAGCTCTATGCTCCTGGCAGCTATACTATCTCCGTCAACGGTACGCCAACTGCGTTGACCCGACGGCCCAAGTATTTCCTCAATGCTTTCCGCCGGCTTCGCCGTATGGGTCGAATCTCGGAGTTTGTTAGTATCTACATCAATCACCACCAGCGGGCTGTCCACCTCGCGACCGATGACGGTCGAATTTGCCGACCTCTTATTATCGTTGAGAATGGAAAATCACGGGTCAGGCGACACCATTTGCAGAAACTGCGCGATGGGCGAATGCAATTCGACGATTTCCTCGCCCAAGGCCTAGTTGAGTACCTGGATGTCAACGAGGAGAACGACTCGTACATCTCCATCTACGAGAAGGACATCAACGAGGCTCACACTCATCTTGAAATCGAGCCTTTCACTGTTCTGGGAGCTGTCGCTGGTCTCATTCCCTACCCTCACCACAATCAGTCACCCCGTAACACTTACCAATGTGCCATGGGTAAACAAGCCATTGGCGCTATCGCTTCGAACCAGTTCCAGCGGATTGACTCCATTCTCTACCTTATGGTCTACCCTCAAAAGCCAATGGTCAAGTCTCGGACAATCGAGTTGGTCAAGTACGACCAGCTGCCCGCTGGTCAGAACGCCACTGTTGCTGTGATGAGTTACTCTGGTTACGATATTGAGGATGCTCTGGTCTTGAACAAGGGCTCCGTGGATCGTGGATTTGGTCGATGCCAGGTCTATCGCAAATATGTGACCAATCTCAAGAGTTACCCCAACGGCTTGAAGGACCGTCTCAACCCGCCAGAGTACGAGAACGATGCTCCGATTCGCAAGCACGCACTTCTGGAGAGCGATGGTCTTGCTGCGGTGGGTGAAGAAGTCAAGGCTGGCGAGGTCTACATCAACAAGGTCACTCCCGACTCGGCGCACACGACTGGTCTTGGCAGCGACTCGAGCAAGCCACTGACCTGGAACGCCGCACCCATGACATACAAGCTTCCCGACCCCGCCTACATCGACAAAGTCATGGTATCAGCTACCGAGGGGGAGACCCAGCTTCTCAAGATCTTGACCCGACAAACCCGCCGCCCCGAAGTTGGTGACAAGTTCTCTTCCCGTCACGGACAAAAGGGTGTTGTTGGTATCATCGCTGATCAGACCGATATGCCTTTCACCGACTCCGGCATCAATCCCGACATTATCATGAACCCCCATGGTTTCCCCTCTCGAATGACTGTCGGCAAGATGTTGGAGCTGGTTGCCGGTAAGGCAGGCGTTCTCTCCGGTCAGCACGGTTATGGTACTTGCTTCGGTGGAAGTCCCGTGCAGGAGATGTCCCAGATCCTGATTGACCACGGATTCAGCTACGGTGGCAAGGATATGCTCACCTCTGGTATCACTGGCGAGCCGCTGCCCTTCTACGTTTTCACCGGCCCCATCTACTACCAGAAGCTCAAGCACATGGTCCAGGACAAGATGCACTCGCGTGCCCGTGGTCCTAAAGCTACGCTTACTCGTCAGCCCACTGAGGGTCGTTCTAGGGATGGTGGTCTTCGTCTCGGTGAGATGGAGCGCGATTGTTTGATCGCTTACGGAACCAGTCAGCTCCTGCTGGAGCGTCTCATGATCTCGTCTGATATCCACGAAGTCGACATTTGCGAGAAATGTGGTTTCATGGGTTATCTGAATTGGTGCCCTGGCTGCAAGTCCTCTCGTTCGGTCGTGAAGATGTCTATTCCTTATGCAGCCAAGCTTTTGATTCAGGAGCTGATGAGTATGAATGTTGCTGCTCGTCTGAAGCTGGATGATGAATTCCCCGAGATGAAGGGCCGCTAAAGGACCTAGTTCATGGACTGAAGAATGGGTTGGTGTTCGGAACAAAAAATGGATTTAGGGTGCATGGTTTTCTCAGGATGTGAATAGTTTTCTACACGAATGGCATAGCGCGGCGATTTGAATATACGAGCCCCGACGAACTTCTCGTAGACCTTGTAGAGCTGAAGACGCATGTAGGTAAGAATATTGCATTTTGAAAGTCATAGTACAGTAAACCAGAAACTATCACAACCAGTAGAACAAGCATATTCTCCATCATTTTTTTCAAAGCATCACGAGCGGCGACTCAAACGCAACATGCTGATACTTAGTAAACTCAATAATTTCCTCCAAAAACTTATATCTTAACTCCAACGCCTCAGTTAACGACATCGGCATCGGCCCCTTCTTATCCTTATTATCCAGCGCCAGACTCGCCATGATAGACTTCAAATTCTCGTCCTCTGCTTTAATATCAAGCGTCCAGTCCAGTCTCTGCGGTGGAATATTGGCCGTGGAGATAATCCGGATATTGGGATCGACCAAGAAGAACGCAAGAGCACGCGTGTAGCCAGGCTTTGACTTGTCTTTCAGCTCGAAATGAGTCAAGCGATGCTGCACGGTACTGGGGAATATCACCGTGCGACCTACGGTGCATTTGATGGAGCCTGGGCATTGGACTGCGGGTTCGCCGTTTACTAGGCCGAAGACTTGCTTTAGCCAGATGAAGTCGTCCGGTTCGTGGTCGACTTCGCCGAGGGTTCCGGTTTCGACGATGTTGCGGAATTCCATGATGGGATCTTCCATGTTCTCATTGTCGTAGAGGAGGAATGCAGCGGCGGAAACGTGTTCGTTCTGCGTTGTGTTGTTAGAGTTGTTCACCAAAGGGGTTTGATAGAATTCGTTGTAATTTACCATTTGACCTTCGGTGTGCCAATCGGTTTGGAAACAGGGGTCTGCCGGTTCGAGATCTACACCGAGAATGCGTACAATGACCTGTAGGCCGCGGTCCTTGTAGTCCTTGTTGAGTGAGACTCCTCGTTCGATGCGCACAGCGCTGGGCAGGTCCTCGGGGAGCTTTCTCATCAAGCCCGGAGGTACAGCCCAAGGAATAAAGATGCCAACATCAGGCTGAACGGCTTTGAAGTTCTCATGTCTCCAGTTCTCATATTGCTCCTCGAATTCGCTCTGCGCCTCTTTAGGTCTGGATTGCGGCTCTTTATCAAGAGCCGACTTGGAGATGGGATGATATTCAGCCTTGTGGTATTCGATTCTCGCGCGCGAATGCAACATATCCTTGAGCGGGGTCATGGTCATGTTGAACTGTGGGACTACGCAGTTGAATGCTTCCTCGATGATTTTGTAGATGTTGCGATGTTTCACTGGGTGCAGATTGTTGATGTAGGAAACAATATGCCAGCGGTCATCGTCACCCAGCTCCAGATCCGCTGGCAGAGCCTGGAAGTTCCGACTAAACGGTCTGACCCGAATATCAGATCGTGCTGCTACTCGCCAGGACATGTCTTCACGAGTGATGCCCGTCTCTTTGGGTGCCTCAATCACTTCACCCTGACCAGCGTGTCGCAACGCGTCATCCAACCCGATAATCGTGTCTGATAGGATGCGAGTTTTGCCGTATACGAGAGGGTACAATGCCATGGCCAGGAGATCGCGTTCCTTTCGCATGGTTTCTGGAAGGAAGAATTGCAGCTCCGGGTGAGTGTAATCCAGAAGCTGGGTCTCTTTCTGCAATCTTGCAAGGAGTGGAGTGGGAATGTTTGTATCGGACTTGGTCATGTCCCCGTTATACAAACCGACAGCTTGGGTCATTTCGTAGATCATGGCCTTGAATTTGAGCTCGTCTATGATCCAGTTGGTCATGTTGGGGGTAATGTCGACACCACTGTTTAATGCCATCTGTTTCCAATCCTCTTGAATACCAGGATCGTAGACCTGACAGATGGAAAATCCAATTAATCACTCTCTTATACAAAAGTGTGGCTAAAATTCATACCTTCTTCCACCATTCAGGGATATCAGTCAAGTCTTCCATGACGCGGACCATGTAGATCTCGCGAAGTGTCTGAACAGGCAGTCTTTGTTGATGATATGAGTTAGCTTCCTTTCCTTCAACGGAACACAGTTCCATACTCTGTGAATCCATTCTTGATATCCCTGTCGTCCAGGGCGGATGGAAACATGCTCCGACTTTCCACGCCATAGATGTTCTTCTCTAATGGGGCAAAGTCTAATGGTCGGCCATATCCAGGAAGAAGGAAGCGAGAATCCTTGTTCTTGCAGGCTGCAAGAAACTCTTCTTCGTTTGCATGATGCTGGAACATTACTGCAATATTCAACGGATATGGCTGGAAGATTCTTGTGTTAATGAATGCTTTTGATGGGGGTGATGATAAATTTAATTTGCTGAAGCGGTGTTAAAACCGAACAAAATAGGCACCGCGGAGTAAAGAACAGTGACAAGGAGGATATTTGAGCCAGAAAACTGCGACGAGACGATAAAAATGGACCAGCCCAAATGGCCCAGTAAGTATATAAGGGTGGACTGCTGTCATCGCTACTCATACAATACGAGAGCATCCAATACTGCCCCAATGAAAGGCACGGAACTATCCTCCGGGCACGGATATGAACATTTTGGTGTGTGTTGACTTAGAACTAAGCTGTTGGTCATAGTGACTACATAGTCCAAGTTCCGTGGAAAGCAATTGCCAACCGAAGGTCTTGCGGCCAATAAATCGAATCAGTATTATTACTCGATTTATACTTTATACTAAAGCTGTAGAGAGTAAATTGCTGTCGCGGAATGTATTGACACAACGAATAAGTATGGACAGAGAATATGGTGTTTCCGAAATTCAATCACCCATTGGACGGCCAGCCACGCGATAGACGCCGGAATCACGAGGCGGCCTGCGCGGGTTCCAGATACTCCTTGACAATGGACCAATACCGCTCCGGCTGCGCTCTCATATGGCCAACATGCGGCGTTCCTTGGAATTTCTCACGGCGCACCACCCAGCCGGACGCTTCCGACTCCGAAGCATGCTTCTCCACGTCACGCCAATCCACTAGATCATCCGCATCGGAGTAGATATAGCACCGGGTGAGAACCCCCTTAGCATTGGCCGCTTGCACGAGACTGGTATCATTGATCGCCTTACGGGCGAGGCTGACTGCATCTGGAGACCGAGTGATAGTCTGGTAGATCTTAATCAGGACCAGTGTGATCCATAAGGCACTTTTGCCAAGCAAGCGGAAAATCCACAGCTTGGGCAGCGCATAAGAGAAGGCTTTCATTGCGGCAGAAGTGCTCGCAGTGCCTGGAGCACTATCGATGATCATTGAGGAGATCGGCAATGGCTTCCCTGTCGCCTGGCGATATGCTTTGAGCAAATGGGTAGTACCGAAGACACCGCCGTTCGAGAAGAGGTGCATGAACGCGGGAGTTTCAGGGGTCACAGAGGCGCGGAGAGCTGCCACCGCAGGCGCGACTCGGGCCTGTTGGGCGTTCGCTGTAGCACGGAAGAAGTCATTCGATGAGCTGCGGATGAAAATGATTCGTGCTGTGGGTATGATTCGTCTGTATTCGACGACATACTTGGCGAGCGCGCGGGGCGGGGCGTTCATCCAGAAGGCAATGAAGATCACTGGCCGACCATCTCGTAGTGTTGTATCTTTGGGGTCTTGTAGGTAGACTGAGGGTCCCAGCTTGGTGAATTGGGCTAGGGGATTCACCGGGTGATCTGTGGGGTCTGTTGCCATCATGGATGCCGCACACGACTGTTTGACGATGGTCTGCGTGGATGGGCTGAGAAGATGTCCTTGGCCGTAGCGATCGCCAGCCACCAAGCGGCTCAGGAGATCAATGTATACGAGCCGATGCACAGTTCTCTTATATCCCCCAAGTCTGAGGAAAGAATACCGGGGAGTAGAGATATTCGTCCAAGCAGTTATTGTCTCATATCTCAATTGGACTTCCTCAATATTCTATAGTTCAATCCTGGTTCATATGTGTTTCTTCCCCACACTTAAGCCGAGGCTCGGATGGCCTTGAACTGGAGTATTACAACCTCTATTTCGTTAGAGATGGCTTGAGATGACGAGATGGGATGATGGATAAGAAATGAAGGCTAGAAATATTTTGTAGACTGAAAATCAAATAATCCAAAAACGCCTGGTCCTCGCTATGCCAGCGTAATAAAACCCCCACCCGCGCGTTCTAGAGGCTCTCGTATCTAGAAGTTCTCGTTGTATCGTGCAATATGGATAATTCATGAGACGTTGCAAACCGCAAGCTGGATCAGCGCTTGGTGCTTCCCAGGGTGCGGCCGCTCGACTTGCCCTTCTGGCTGTCAGCTTCGCCCCCTGACGTGGGAGTCGCCGATCCACCAGTGTCCTTCTTCTTTCCACGTAGAGTCTGACCGATCCCCTGGAACTTGGGCTGGTCTTCGGGAACCACCTTTCCATTCTCGTCGCGAGGTTTGGCTGGCTTGATCGCGTACCCGAAGAATAGCTGGTTGGGAGGTAGCCGCAGAGGCTGAGGGCCGTTGGTTCTTCGAACAGGAGGAGGATGTTGAGGGTTTGCGGTACCGGGCGTGGGAGTGCTCGCCTTCGGGGTAGGGGCTTTGCTGCCCTTCTTTGCATTCAGTCGTTGACCCTCGGATAAGAAGTTAGAAGACACAGCCCGGGCACCCGCAGCGACATCGGTAGAGTCGGGCGCAATGGCGGCATAGTTGATGGACTGCGCCATACTTCCCTGAGGGTGCAACAGGCCACCCACGGGGAGCTTCCCTCCACTGATGGCACTGCCAGGTGTGCTGGTACCACTAGTCCGTTGCGGCTCTTCATATCCCACTGGCGCGGCGAAGTCAACCTCCAAGTCGGTTTCCAAAACCGATATAGCATTTTTCGTCCCAGAAGGCTTAGTTTCTAGCACGGCCATCTCGTAAACTTGATCATTATAGGAAAATGTGAACACGTCGCCCTTGGTAAGACATGAGAAGTTCCGGAACGCGTTCTCAAGAACGGCTTTCGGGTCGCTGATGTCGAGGAACGCGGTGGACTGAGCTTGGAGCTTGATGAACCGACCGGGAGGAAGATCCGTAGACTTTATTTGGAGAAGGTCGCCAGGCTCCAATAGCAGGGTTTGCATGAGCTGTAGAAATGAAGCTGTTGTCAGTACTCGGTGAGAGCTAGTAGGTCCTCGAATCAACCTAACTCACCCAGAATGGCAGGTAGATCTTCCCCTCTTCAGCGATAAACTCAAGAACACCTGCATGTGTCATTCTCTCTTTGGCACCATTGTGTAGCTCAAATAGCATAGGGTATGTAATGTGGAGGCGAGTAAGCTTGTCCAGAGCACTCGGCGGCATGATGACCTTGCCACCATGGTTCACGTTCTCACGCTCGGGGCCGGGCAGCATAGCGACAGGATAGCAGCGATAGTATTCATCGAAACGACGGGGTGCTGCACCCGGCCGCATCATGCCGCCGCCGAGGACACCGTCCATAGGGTCGTCTGGCCAATAGTCGGGTCGGAACTGTAGCTATTAGGAGGAGCTCACAGCAAGGGACAGAAAGGTAGAAAGAAGATTTAGAGCTCACCATTATGACGTAGTAATTATCTTGAGTTCAAGATGAGTGGAGTTCAAAGCTTGACGGAGGAAGAAGGTATGTCAAGATAGAAAGACCACTGTGGGGGAGGGCAAGTTGCGGCGTTAGACAGCTCGCCGGGAGTGACGCAAGTTCGCTCCGCTGTGATTTTCCGCTCCGACCCCAGACGCGGCAGTGGAATCAGTCAGTGTCGCAAGCTCAACAGCTACCACCCAATTTACTCTGCATTGTCATACCTTGTTTCAAACACCATGTCAAGTTCACATCCTCGCCCTAAGCGGGCTGGTGAAGATTTTACACGTACCAATCACGCTCAAGATGACCTCGGAGATGGTCCAGACAGCAAGAAACCCCGATTCGACATTCGCAACCCCTCCGCCCTTGCACCCGATACCCTCGATGAAGATCAATTCCTCGATGCCGATGAGATTGGAAAGAGAGGCCAGAAAGTGCGTCGCAAAGCTGTCAACATCGATGGTTACGACTCAGACAGCGAGAATGAGGGGTTCTCCGCACGCATGGAAGAAAAGTCAAAGCGCCAGCGCGAGAAGCATGACGCCGAGGACGACGATATGTTCGCCGAGTTGCAGGAGGACTTTGGCGAGGAAGATATTGACGCCGACGAAGCAATGCGCAAGAACAAGAAAAATGTCCGCTTCTTGCAAGACGATGAGATCGAGGGCCAAGAGGCATCCTCGAAGGGTGGAAGGGCGAGGCACGTGGACTTGACAAAAGAAGCCGAACCCGATGAAATCGTTATCGAGGAAGATGAAGAAAGTGAAAGTGAAGCAGGTGAGGAGGAGCGCGCTAAGATAGACACCGAACTGGACGAGGAGCTAGGTGCAGGCGCGAAGAAAAAGAATGCGCCTCTGATTGATGCTTTCAACATGAAATCTGAGCAGGAGGAGGGCCGGTTTGACGACCAGGGCAATTTCGTTCGCAAAGCTGTCGACCCAGATGCCGTCTATGACTCCTGGCTGGATGGAGTATCTAAGAAGGATATTCGAAAAGCAAAAGAAGCCGCTGAGAAGCGCGATGAGGAGAGGAAGGAAAAGGATCGCATTAACGACAGTGTTTTGACAGCGGATGTCTTGACAACAATTATCACACATCTTGAGCGCGGCGAGACGATACTGGAAGCCCTGGCTCGACTAGGAAAAGGCCTCCAACGAAAGCCCAAGTGGCAGAACAAGAAGAAGAAGAACAAGAAGCATGATACCTCGGAAGACACTGAAATGACCGATGAGAACCCCGACGAGGTCCGAAGGAGGACGGCGATTGACGCTCTTACCGGCGCTGCGGATATTCTTATGGGCCGAGGACAACCTGAAATCTACGACGCGGAGCGCGAGTTGTTGACTCGGCAATACCGGAATGAGACGGGCGAGAGTTGGGTTGATCCACCAGCTACTTCAGAAAATGCCGAGCCTGAACAAGGACCTACGATGTGGGAATTCCGGTGGGCAGATGCTCGCGATGGTGGTGATGCACATGGTCCCTACGATAGCGCCATGATGGAGTCATGGAAGGGTGCTGGCTACTTTGGAGAAGGCGTGGAATTCCGCCGAGTTGGAGATACAGGACCGTGGAGTCCAGCAGTAAGCTTTGTGTAAGACTAGATGAATGCGAACAGGGTTTCAATCCATTCCAAAAAAGCACAAATATCACCTCAACGAGCGCCAGTCCTATCATACATCATTTGATGTGGCAGAGAAAAAAACAGAAATAAAGCACCCAAATCCAGTGTAGTTTTTGTTGGGCCCGCTAAAGCATCCGCGTTGGTTCATATTAAGCCAGTGAAACACGCGTCGCAAAGAGAAGCTGGTTTCCCACATTATGAGATCTCCATCGCATCACCGTTGGCAGCAGCAGTGAAGTTGACCGCTCCTTGGTCACCAATGAAGCGTTGCTCGTATTGGCTCACAAACTTAACACTGCGGCCGGGGTCATAGAATAGCCGGAAGCTGCGCTGAACATCGTCAATGCTGACCTCCTTGGCCTTGCGCTTCTGGCTCAAAAGATGGGAGGTGGTGATGATGTTGCTGGCGTAGCGAAGATTTGATTCTTGGCCGATCTTAGTCAGAAGGGCCAGAGCATCCGGTGAAACATCAATCTCCTCCTCTTGAGCGCGAATGGCCAGAATTTGGCGAATCTCCTCGGCAGAGTAAGGCTGAGTGCTCACAATGACTACTCGATCAAGGAAGTCAAGGGGCAGTCCGTGAGGGGATGTGTATGTGGTACCACGAATCTTAGCCTGGCCGCGGTTGCTTGCCATAATAACGATGGGCGCGAGCTCAGCCTCAAGGGCACGGTTGATGTAGGAGAAGCATTCAATGTCCAACATGTGAACCTCATCGATAAACAGCACACCCGGGATAATCTCTGCCTTGCCCTCCTCCTTCCACTCTGCCACCTTGGTATTGATCTGGTCACGGACCTCACTGCGGATCTCACCAGTGTCGCCAGAGAACAGAGCCAAGAATCCTTGTGACCGTGAGTTGATCACATCAATCTCATGCAAGCTGACAGTGTGAACAATCTCCTTGCGGACCTGCAGCTCTCCCTCGGGGCACTGGACAAACTTGGTGTCGGCGCCCATCGCGTCGTAGTCGCGCGAGCGGGCGTATGATCGGCCGAGCTTGGTGATCTTGCCAGAGGATTTATCGATCGAGATGACATCGCCGGCCATCACCCGTTCCTTGGTCATTGAGTCGATCATCTTGGTTCCCATGTCGTAAATCGTTTCCATGTCGGTGGTCTTAATCGTGAGCTTCCCTTGTTTGTTGCCCTATGTCAGTCAGTATGCGCCAGTTATTCGGAGAGCTCAGAATTCAAGTCCCACGTACCCCAGTGACGCTACGGTCGATCTGAATCTCCACAACTTCGCCCTCAATGATCTCGCTCTCCTCCTTGATCCGCACGCCGATAGATTTCCGGAAGGCCTGCGTAAGAGCCTCTGTTTTGGACATCTCCATCGAGAAGATCTCCGACGACGCGAGCATTGTGAAAGGGACATCGGATCCCAATGACTGGGCCATACCCATTGCGATTGCAGTTTTACCAGTGCTAGGGGGTCCAGCAATCAGCACGGCGCGTCCCGCGATCTTGCCGTCCTTGACCATCTGCAAGATCACCGCGGCAGCTTTGCGGGCCTTCTCCTGGCCTACAAGACCCTGAGATGTACCGCGAGGCTGTAGAGAATCCATATCAACACCGAGACCTCTGATATGCGAATGGGCGGCGATGAGGTTCAGACCTCGGAGCTCCTTGCTCTCCGCAACGGTGGAAATGGGCTAAGCAAGACCGATAAATTAGCAAGGTTATCAAAAAGGCACAACAAAATACTCACAGCAGCCATTGTTATTGAGTCTCGAAATATTTGACTCTGAAGTGAGGATGGATGACCAGGATCAAAAAGCACCTGAGCTCCTCCGAAGAAACAAGAGACCCGCCGATCGGGAAGTGCACGGCCTCACCGCCCGGCAGTAAGTCTTTCAAAGAACTGATCTTCACTTCACCAGTCAACTTAGAGAGTTTCAGGTTACGCGTTTTCGCTACCGACCCGTTGTGACGAGTCGATTTTGATTCTCTTAGGTCCACCCCTGAAACTGACTGTACCCTGCCGGTTGCCGTCAAGTCCTGACTTCAAAGCCCTCACCGTATCGCGCATTTCTCAAGACGCGTTTGCGTTGTGGGCTCAGCGCGCCTCCATTTTACCGATAAGTAGTATCGTCAGCCGGCCTGGGTTTCTAGAGGCTTAAGGTGTTTTGTTTCTTCTGATCGCAGGCTGCTATGCGAGTATCATGAAGCCCACCACATCGTCTTCATGACCAGCTCAGTATCCAGACCATGGATATTGCCACGGCAGATCAACCTCCCTCAACCTCTACCCCCGGACCGGAACATACTTCAGGAGACCCTCGTTTGAGCCGTGTTGCTCAAAGAACATCCATCATCACCTCACACCCTCCTGTTCCTCGACAGGTACCCACACCAGCTGAAACCCCGAGCTCCTCGCGCGCCCTCGAACCCGTTAAACAACATGTACACCACACACCGAACACGGATGTCTCAAATCGGAGCGGTGGGTCCATTAACCATCATGGTTCCACCATCGATCATAGCAATATGGTGCCAATTCTGTTGAAGTTTTCGGAGCTCGCCGCCGTCATAGCACTCAAGGAAAAAGAGAAGGTACTATTGCTGGATGAAGATGTTTCCATCAAACGACGCTTGGAGAAGGCCAAATCGAAAGGCGCGTTTCCTATCGTGATTGAAAATATTGAGGCCGAGGAAGCAGAATCTCAGTCGAAATTACGCAAGCTTCAACAAGACATAGACGGGAATGAAAAGAGACGACAAAAAATGGCCGAGTCTCTTCGTGGCTTTTTGCGCCAAAAGCCCGTTCCTCCTACTCCGGCCCTGATATCCGAAGGAGTCTCCAACAACGAGAAAATTGCGAAATTAGAAGCCGAGAACCAAGAGATGAAGGCTGAACTCCAGGAGCTCAAAGAGCTGATCATGCAAAGAAAACCTGAAATTCCTAGCGGCATGCAGGCCCAACTATCCAAGCTTGAAAACTCCGTCTATAGTCAGTCCATGAGTAATCATGGCACCAACAAGAGGATTAGGAAACTCGAAGAATGGAAAGACGGAGTGGAGAACGGGTCTATCAAAACCTCTTCACATTCACCCGAGACGGTACCGGCTCAGGCTCCCGATCTGGAACCACTACGGCAAGACGTGGAGAAGGCGAATGGGAAAGCCGCTGAAGCGCAGGAAAGGGCTGCAGCTATAGGAGACCGCATCGCGGTCCTCCACCGAGACATTCAGTCTCTCCAAACCACCTTTGATAAAGACCAACTCTTCCGACAAGAACAGAAAATGAGGATCGAGTCCGCGGAATTGTCCCTGCGGCACGTTCCAGGTCTCAAGCAGCGACTGGAAGCCTTGGAGAAGGAGCGCCTCGAGTTCAAGAACGCAGTGCCTCTTGTCAGAGAGGCGAGAGCCAAACTTCAAGACTTGGACACGCGATATACAACATTGGCCGATAGATCCAACGGCAGGATAGCCCATCTGGAATCCACGGTTCGACAACTTCAAACGAGCGAGAAGACCTCGCCAAGTGTCGACCATTCCCAAGACAAAGAGGCACTTGCGGATGTCAAGCAGAGCGTCGAGAAGGTGGAAAATAGTCATCGTTCACTGTGGAATAATGTCAACAAGCTCATCCTTGACATGCCTCAGCTACTTGAATCTTCCAAGCAAGTACAGAAGTGCCTTTCTGTGAGTGAATCGCTGGTAGCTGCTGTTCGATCTTTGGAACTCCGATATTCCAATATCAACACCGAACATCTGGTGAAGAACATGGCCGCCGCAATGATGGAGATGTATCCATCCATGGCCCAAGCCCTAGAGCAAATCGCTGCGCTCAGGGGGTATTGTAACAAGGAGATTGCTGCGCTCAAGGAAAGCACAAAGAATGCCGACTCTGCATCTTTGGATGCGAAGATGAGCCAGCTCCGCGAACAAGTCGCCAATAAGCTACAACATCTCCAGACCTGTATTTCGGATCAAAGCAAGAGTCTCAATGACCAACTCGATGAAATCTGGGAGTTGAAAAACAAATTCCAAACCCAGTCTGATGCCTTCTCAGAACTCGGTGAATCTATTCCCCAGGCGCTACAACAAGTGGAACGGTGGACCGAGCTTGCGACAAAGCTGGAAGCCTTGTCCGAAGACCTCGCCACGCTGAGAGCCAACGTGGAAGGTCGGGACGTTACAGAGACGGTGACTGGGCTCGCGGAACAACTTGAAACATTATCTGGGAAAGTTGATTCCCTCGGCGTGGGACCAAGTGCTCAAGAGCAGGCTGAAAAAGCCACTGACATCTCGGGAAAACTCTTCGACTTGACTGCAAATTACCAACTTCTGGAGGACAGGCTGAAATCGCAAGAGCTATCTAAGTGGCAAGAGATGGATGAACTCAAAGCTGGCCATGGAAATCTTCTCGGAGAGCTCAAGTTGGTTAAAAACAGGTTGGAAAGTCGAGATGGCTCAAAGAAGGCTACGGAGCTCGCTGAAGAACTCAAAACGCTCTCTTGTGACTTCAAAACTTTACAGACCAAGTTTGACGAAGAGCTAGGATCACTGAAAGCCCGTGTGGATAGCTTGGGACCCAGTGAGGAGCTGAGCGAATTCAAGAGTGAGATACTTGCTCGGATTGAGAAATTTCAGTCGGCGGTTCAGTCAGGCTTAAACTGCAATCCTGCTGCCGGAGATGACGCGATTAACCGAGCAATTTCCAACCCTTCAAATATGTCCGGCTCTGTCGGTGATCATTATCGCATTCTTGGCAATGCAGCGCGAAATCAGACTGAACGTGGGCATGTCCAAAACAGGTCCTCCATCTCACATCCTGCGGCAGATGAACCGATATCGTCTGACTTTGGGTCGTCCAACCATAACTTCGACATCATGCCGAACGTGGACAACTTCAGTGATGTATCGGAGTTAGATTCTGTTTCACACCATTCCTCGGAAGACGAGCCCGGCAACGCCCCAGGCGTAACGGCTGACTTACCAATGGGCTTACGGATCTCGGAGAACGACAATGGTCATCACGACAGCCGGTCTGCCAACAAGCGTGCTCGTCAAGGGACTCTTTCGGGCGATAAGCACCCAGTCCAATCCGCGACGGTCGAAGTCCCCATGGCGTATCGGATCACTGAGAACGAGACTGGGCCGTCTAGGAAGCGTCCCCGTCAAGGAAGTTTCTCAGATGATGGACGTCGGCCTCGACCAGCGGCTCCTAGTCGTTTCGCCAATAGTACAGGGGCTTCAGCTGACTCCGAGTCGGCATCATCGGCGAAGGCTAGAAAAAGCAAGACAAAAAGGAGAGAAAGGAGCAAAGGAGAAAGCAGAGACAAAGTTTCCCGCACTGATTTTACATTCTCTTAGCTATGGGGGTTCTATTATTATGAAGGTCTCCTATACCCGCCTTCTTATTTTATGTTATATTATCTATGAGGAATTCATTGTAGATATCTTTCCACCACTGCTTTCTATCTTCTATGGTACATTGTACATGTCAAACTAGGAATGTCCTAGGAATTTGAGGACCGCTGCATATAATGTTAGACTAATATACTAATAAATAGGAACGGGAGTCACAATTACCTTGCCGGAAAGCCTCCGGGTTCTCAGAAATGAGCCAATGCCCAGCATCCACATCCGCAATCTGTGCATTCGGGAAGAATTTCTTGATCGCTGGGATGGTCTCGTCCGAGACATAACGGGATCTGGTACCTCGAACAAAGAGCGTGGGCCCGTGATATTGCTTGCCGTCCGCTTCGGAGAAAGGGAAATCAGCCATGTTGTCCAGCGAGTCTCCAATGACTGACAGTGGCACGCGGAACTTGAACGTATTGTCCTCCTCCGAGCGGACGAGGTTGGTTAGAAGGAATTGCCGAATTGGGAGTGACTAAGGTTTTCGTTAGTCAAGGTGGATGTCATCCTGATTCCTAATTATGGCTATTACCTCTTCGTATTCTTCGAGAATCTTGTTGGCGTCGGATTGCTTGGACACCTTCGCCTTTTCCACGTGCTGCATGCCACGAACATACTTGGGGAAGTCGCTCTTCAGCGCAGCATTGACAGGTGCATTGTCAACGGGGATCAAGCCGGACACGCGCTCAGGCGAGCGAAGTGCCACTGTCATGGCAGCTTTGGCACCCCTGATCAACGTTAGCATCGGGAAATGATAGATTGGTAATGATGCTATTCCGATTGCATAAAATATCAAGGGAAGACCTACATGGAGTGACCAATCAGAACGCATTTGTCTAGTTTCTGTTGCTCGATGAATTCTTGCACATCCTCAGCCATGACACTGTAATTGTGCTCTGGGGCATGGAAGGACTGTCCATGATTGCGAAGGTCCTACCAAGAACTTATTAGCATCGTCGATTCTTGCTGATATCATTTCCGGGAAAGAATCTGGACACACCAGAGTGTATATGCGGCACTTCAAGTCTCTGGCCAGGGCTCTATGTGTATGTTAGAAAGTAATTCTTGCCCAGCGGTTCCATTACAGACGTACTTGCTGATGCTCCGGTTGTTCTGCTTAGATCCGAATAATCCATGCAGGAACAGAATTGGATCCCGAGTCACGGCTTGCTCGTTCTCGGGCCCATAGACCTGATACGAAAGCTCAGCGCGGTAGACTCGCGCCGTTGAGAATGCGCGAAGCCCAATTGAGCTTCGTGCAGATGCTCGAGCAAAGAGCATGATGTGACTGGGGATGTTCAATGTTTATCGGAGAACGGAGAAGGGTGCGCCGTGGATATTCTTGCGATCGGGAAACCAGGCCGAGCTGACTAAGGGCTCCGATCGCGGGTTCTCCGTGCAACTATGGAAAATGAGATAATGAGGTTTGAGTCTCTGAATTGAGATTCTGATGAGCTGAAGGAGAAAGCTAGCATTAATACGTCTCACTAATGTAGATATGTATGCTCTATAGATGGGATGAGGTAGGTAGCACCCGGCACGGGCATGACAAGATCTGGGCCTTGTAAACAAATATATGTCCTGTCGCCGAGACTATTGGAGTAGAGTGTGACCACGGAAAAATGGATTTAAAGTCCATGAGCTATATTTTCATGATTGAACTATATTTTCATTTCTTGAAACAGGAAGTTAATCTTTTAACCATCCATGCACGAACTCATCTGCTTGCAAAACCTATAAAGCAGCTGGCTACAGCGTATACGCCAAGATACGGAGATGACGGTCTGTGCATGGGAGGAGAAACGGAGGATGATCTCCCGGATGACATCGACGATGACAAATGCCGTTCATGAGTTTTTAAAGGTACATGCAAGTAGGATGCTACTGAGAAAGTAAGCAACATCCACTTATCATCGTTTCCACTCTACAATATCTGACCAAATGCAGCCTTACACGATCGCAGTTCCCGATGAAGCCTTGCAGGATCTCAAACAACGCCTTCAACTGGCCAAGTTCCCATCTCAGCTTGAGTCGCCAGACCAAGACTCATGGGATTTCGGCGTACCAGCCAGCGAAGTACAGCGGGTCGTAAAATACTGGAAAGACGGCTTCGATTGGCGGAAGGCAGAATCTCGTCTGAATGAGCTGCCGCATTTTCATACTGATATTGAAGTTGATGGATTCGGTGTATTAGATATTCACTGTGAGAGTTCCACGAAGTATGGATCATTCAATTGATATACTGAAGCACTTTTATTGCAGTTATTCACCAGACAAGTCCTGTTAAGGGTGCTATCCCGCTTCTATTCAGTCATGGATGCAAGTCACCGCTTGCCCTGGAAACACTGCATATGCTAATTTAACGAACAGGGCCTGGGTCATTCATCGAAGTGACAAAGCTTTTGTCAAACCTGAAAGGTGATGATGGAAATCCTGCATTCCATGTCGTGGCTCCATCACTTCCAAACTTTGGTTTCTCCTCAGGAGTTAATCATCGCGGATTTGGCCTGGGCCAATACGCAGAGACTCTGCACAAATTGATGCTCAAGCTGGGCTACAATCAATATGGTCAGTCTCTTGAATTCAATTTTCGTCGCTCTTACGAGTACTTATGCCTTCTGCTATTGTAGTCACCCAAGGTGGAGACTGGGGCTTCTGGATCACACGAAGCATTGGTCTTCTCTATCCCGAGCACTGTAAAGCCTCACACGTCAACATGATCGTCGCGCGGCCACCTCAGTGGAATACTAGCCCTTTACTCGCTCTACAGCACGCCTTCACACCCTACACTACTCGGGAACGAGAAGGACGCAAGCGATCTGAATGGTTCGATCAAGAAGGATACGGTTACAATATGCTACAGAGCACCAAGCCGCAAACCATCGGTGCAGCGCTCGCAGACAGCCCAGTCGCTTTATTAACCTGGATCTACGAAAAGCTCCACGACTGGACAGATTCATACCCCTGGACAGATGACGAGATTTTGACCTGGGTTTCAATTTACTGGTTCTCCAAAGCGGGACCGGATGCGAGCGTTCGCATTTATTATGAAGCTTTGCATGCAGAATCTGTCTCCGGGATAACATATGATCAGTTGAGGTCTTATATCCCTGAGGTCAAACTTGGTCTTGTTCATCTACCGCGGGAAATCTCGGTTGTTCCGTCGACATGGGCTGCGGCACTGGGTCCGGTTGTTCGGCAGAGTGAGCATACTCATGGAGGTCATTTCGCGGCATGGGAAGTTCCAGATGCTATTATTGAGGATCTTCGGGCGATGTTCAGTGAGGGAGGTCCTTGTTACGGGGTGGTGCCCAACAGAAATGGGTATTGAATATACTATGCTTTGATCTGTTTACATGGGAGTGTTTGTTTGAACATCGCCAGCGCTAATGAGTTAAACCTCTCGAGCCCCTTATCAAATCAGATTCATAGTTGCAGATGGTAATGGTACTTTTGAGATTTCAGACTTGCCTTGGCAATGAGTCTAAGACACGGAGTGAGAGACTAGGAATATCACTGATGGGGACAGTGGCATATTTTGGCCGGAGGTTTACCCCAGGATCCACAACCGGTGTCAATGCTGATGTTGATCAGAGTATCTAACCTTCTTTGGTAGGAGTATCAGCAATTTTATGGAAGCCCTTGCATAAACCTGTATCTCCATTACTTCTGAGATGATGCCGTGTCTGCCGAGCCCTGTAGCTTAGACTCGGCAGTTGCAATTATTGATGTTGATCACGGCAAAAGAACAGGGGACCGAACAACCCGGCTTTCAAGCCCACTCAAGTGTGCAGCCAGGTATCATAATCTGATTCTCAATTGCATATGTCATAGCAAGTCGGACTTGTCAAATAGCGTGGGTGCTGGATCCGCTGCACATAGTGGACACACGCGAGGCGACGCCCAAAAGCGCATATGGCAACGGTCTGTCTAGGATGATCCTGTACATAGACAGAGATACCCCACTTCCATGAGGGATTTCCTTGCAGTGAGGCCATGCTGTCATGTCGCCATGGGGGTTCAAACGGTAAGGTTGGGCTGAACTTGTCTGCAAAGACACTCGATCGAGGAATTAGAGATCCACCATATTCTTCACCTTGCTGTTAATCTAAATCCTTTACCAATGTTAATTGAATAATAAAATATTCCTTCCCAAGCACCAAGGTTTATCCTCGAGACATGGCTCACTGAAGTTGATTGTAGCGGGGGCAGATCGACACAGCAGAAAGATCTACAACCGAACAACCAAACCTGATCGGGAGCGATCAAAGCATGGAATATTGATCTCATCAACGATTGCGGAAGATCGGGATCAATCCCGGGCGTGTAACGGCTTCTGCTCCCAATCCACTGCCATGCGATTGAGAGAGAGAGACTGCAGGGAACCCGAGGCCCAAATAAAAGATATGGGTGCGACCGAGGTGTCATATTTACAATTGTTACATTCGGACTGGTCGTCTTCGGTCGCACGGCTGAACTGGCCGAGCCCCAGCCACATTGACGCTTTGGTCAAGCTGCAGCTAAAATATTGCGGTCTCGAGATTTGATTGGCTCTCCGGTAAGCCCGAGATGCGATGCATAAACCTGCAACTTCGGTATTTGGCTGGGCTGTGGGGTATTGACAACCATAGGGCTTATGCGACTTATCGATCGATTCCGGTAGATCTTGTTGTGTACACATTAACCGGGAAATGTACATCGTGTTTAGAATTTGTTTCTGTATAGTTCTATTGGCCCCTTGCGGGATCTATTGTAGGGTGATATTCAGCAAGAACGGGGTCTGACCGTTAGATTAGGCTCTCTCCTTGCTTATTCATAGTTTGACATCCTGGCCATGGCCAGGATGCTTTGTTGCCTGCCTTTCGAGCTCACACAATTTTTTCGACTAGTCTATACCAAGATGAAAAGGAAAGAGTTATTAGCTGTCAACCTATGCACTATTTGCGCGATAAATGCGCACGAGAATACTGTGCAGCAAATTAATAAGTCTGCGATTCCATAATGTGATATATCGAAGAGCCGCAAGCGAGATGTCCCACAACTTGCATCATGACATGGCCATGAAAACAGGATAAGTAGTCCAAGGCCAAAGCATGCAGAATAATATAGAAGAAGAGATCCGTGTGGTCTTTCTATCGATCTTGAACTCTCCCTTGCAAAGTTTGTCTCCTCACCTCTGTCTAAGGTTCTGATCGGCTTGGTCGATTGGGCAAGTGGCGCCTTTTAGCAGTCCACCCTGATATGACAGATCTAGAAAACAACAATAGCCTTTATCCCCACCTTTCCCCTCCTCCTCTGAAGGCACCTTATTTATACTAAGCTTAAAGGATTCCAAATATCCTCGGGTGATTATTCCAAATCATTTCACTGTTTGCCCTTGCTCTATTTCCCTGGGTGCCTGTCATGTCGTCGTCTCAACAATCCTCCGGTCACACGTGGACTGAGGGTGATTTTGAACATCCTAATGAGAGAATTCGCCACTCGTTGATTGTGGCACTTGTTTTTGCGTTTACTCTGCCTACGGTCGCTGTTGGTTTGCGTCTTCTGGCGAGACGGATGACTGGAAATAGGCTGTTCCTGGACGATTATCTGATTCTTGTTGCTTTGGTATGGCTTCCAATTCTGTATCCCTGTCGAGAATGGTAACTGATTCTTGTCTCTGGTAGTTATTTAAATATGGATGCTCAACTGGCGTTGTCATTTGTGAGTAAAGCAATTGCTGCCTAATGACCCGAATTGCATACTGATCGAAAGAAATAGTGCTATTCAACGGCCTGGGTTCTCATATCGAGACAGTCCCAAAAGAAAATGTTGAGCGTTTCTTCAAGGTAAATTGTCACCAGTGTCACCAACCGCAAACGCAAAAATAGATCTAACTTTTTCTTAGATTGGGTGGGCAAACCCATTTGTCTACACTGCCAATGTGATGTTTATCAAATTATCCATTCTGGCTCTGTACCGACGCCTGTTTTCCACAAAGTACATGCTCTTTGGTGTCTACTTCATGGGCATGGTGGTCATTCTCTGGGCTGTGAGCATTTGGGTCGCTGCTGCGCTCAACTGCATCCCCATACCCAAGTTCTGGGACCGATCAATTGAGGGAGCCTGCATCGATCCCGACAAGTTTTACTACGGCACGCAGATTCCTAACATCGTCTCTGATGTGATTATTCTGCTTATGCCTCAGGGAGTTGTCTGGTCTCTCCCCGTTGCCAAGTCACAGAAGCTGCTTCTGTCTTGTGTGTTTATGGTTGGCGGACTGTATGTTTTGTGAACTTGATTTGCACGAGAGTAGAGGTTCTAACTTATACGCAGGGCTCTGATTTTCGATATTGTTCGACTGGTTGCTATGCTTCACTTGACCAAGCAGGGTAATGACATTACCTGTAAGTAATCCGCTGTGCGTGATCACCCGTTAGATTCGTGTTCTTACAATCCTGTTAGACTATCAAATGCCTGTCGTCATGTGGACCTGCACCGAGGCCGGCGTGGGTATCATCGCCGCATGCCTCCCGAATCTCCGACCACTGTTCAAGACCGGAGGCCGTGGTTTCTGGTCGCAGCTGCGATCTCTCACCCACGGATCATCCAAGGCGCATCTGAACAGCGCAAGTACGAGTACTACAAACTCGAGTGGGAGCCGGAGTTTGCAAAAGGGACCGGTCGATTCCTGCGTTGCCGAAGAGGGTATCGAGATTCATCGCTACAGCACTATCATCGGAGAAGCGGAAAAGTAAGATTTCAAGCAGGGTGAGCCCATTTTACCCATGTGATTCAGTGGAGGAAGCTGGCGCGACATTCAGGTCTGGAAAATATAGGCGGCGTTTATTTCGTTTATTCCTTCTTAAGATACTCCCTTAAGCAATACTGTTTTAATTCTTGTCAATCAATTTCGTTAGTTAGTCTAGTTACATCAAGTCTATTGATCAGTGCTCGATCTCCATCTTAGCAACATTATCACTGAAAAGGTCTAGCTGAACTAACCAAAGCCACCGCTCTTGGGTCGCCTTGTTCTTGATTCCCGCTGGAACGGGCTCATAGAAGAACCATCCGGGGCTTTGATGTTTGTTCTTGTCAAGGTATTGCAATATCCCATGGCGGTCAGCCTCCAGACATCCCACATGTCCCACAGGAAAATGCCCAGTTTTTGAAGAGGCACTGGGTCCTGAATATGCACTCGGTCCTGAAGCTCACGAGGATCTGATTCGAACAGTGTCGAATTTCTCTTGATGGCCTGGAAAACCTGACGCTGAATTCCTGCCGTGCAGGTACTGGATTTACTCCGCTTCCACGAATCCACACCATGGATAGTAGGCATTGGTAGCGCAGGCCATAGCGGGTGTGTTACTCCCTCTTTCATCTCCAAGGAAGGGAAGAAGGGAAGGTGGAGGTCCAACGGGGGTGGATGGACTTTCGTTGATGTCACCAAATCTTGGAGAATTTGGTCAACTGTTTCAACCTCCTCTCTCACAGTTTGTCGGATATCGCCTAGCGGGGCATAGAGTGGAATATCTAGAACCTCTGATTCATCCCAGCTCCATCCGCCCCAGGATAATTCCTGTGAGTTGTTCGGCTCCACGGGCTCAGAAGCCGTGGCGCGATGAAGGTCGGAATATACTTGCAAGACCCAGATCGCGCGATAAACACGATAGTCTTCTATCCACGAAGACAGTGCCAGCCCATATACCTCCCAACCTGGAGGCAGAACTGAGCTAGACTCCCCAGCGCGGCGCAAATTATCAAGCATCGTGGAAATAACTGCACAAGAAAGGCGCTGGACACGGGCGGCCACTCTAATCATGCTCCGGAGGGTCTTTGAATGCGAAAATTGGCCATCCTTCCACGCCTTGATGAAAGCAGAGTATCTCTCGTGCGTTTATCGAACTCGTGGAATGTACTGCATTGGAAAGCGGGGATACGCATCAAAGTTGACGTGCGGACGAGCGACTCAAGTCTCCAGGTATAGGGACAACCAGCGAGAATATCTTCGGTGATTCGAAGCGCGTATCCAAGGTGAAACATAAAAGAGACTGTCGATACCCACAAAATCAGTAGTGTGATGCAATACGCAAAGCACGATTTCGGTCGGCAATTTGTTGAAAGGATCCATGTCTGAAATGCACAGTTCACGTAAGATTCGAAGCCACTTCGGTCTTTCGCGATGCCATGAGTGGATTTCGATAAAGTGACTGTCGGGGAATGTATCGTGCAGGGAGTAGAGTTACCGATTCCCGAAATGGTTCACGGTCGGGAAATGCCCCCAGGCGAATAATTTGCTAGCAAACGACGAGTCTTGGCTTTGTGTCAAGCGAGTCGGAGCCTGGTTGGCGGTAAGTTCCTGTTGTTGGAGGCTAGTAAGCGCTTCCAAGCCATCATGGTCTTTGTTAGATGTAAGCTTCTGTGTTTGACCCGCCATCGAAGAGAATCTGATGCAAGTGCTCCGTGGTGGGTATAGATTAGCGTGGCGGTTTGATTTCAAATGGTGATTGGACATTTCTCGCTAGGAGATACCTTCACAGTAAACACGGACTGCGAGGCTCAATTAAGAGATGTTTCACGGAATTTATGTTCGGTTACCGAGGATTTTCATTGTCACATCGGCTTTAGTTGGATTCATAGAAAATCAAGCCCATGTAGCCCGTTTTGGCCCCCTGGTCGCGGACTTTTCGTGTCTCACGGAGATAATTTGGTGGTTTCGGTGAAATCGGAATTTATCTCCGCACGCGTGAGAGTTATAACGAAGCATCAAGTTGGAGCCTGAAATTACTTTAAAAACGTCATATTCCTTGGGGAATTTAGCATCTATTCTTTGAACTCTTATCTTTACATCAGTAGCCTCCTTTCTAGTTGCCTCTACGAACTTAAGTTTTTCTCTATCATGGCTTCCAACTATATCACCAACGTTGCCATCGTCGGAGTACGTCATGCCACTAACACTAATCATGATACAGCTCGATATTAAAACGCTAACATTCACTCAAATAACAGGCCGGTGGCAACAGTGGTAGCTTCATGGCCGAAGCTCTCCTAAAGACCGGCAAACACACTGTTACCGCTCTCACGAGAGAAGGTAGCACGACCAAGCTCCCAGAAGGAGTGATCTCCAAGCCCATCGACTATAGCAAGACCGAGACTATTGTAGAGGCCTTGAAAGGCCAAGAAGCTCTGATCATCACACTCCCCGGTCAGGCTCCTGAAGGAACTGAGCTGAACTTGGTCACTGCCGCTGCTGAGGCGGGCGTGAAGTGGATCTTGAACGACTGGTGCCCGGATACCCAGAATGAGGAGTTGGTTGCGGATGTTCCTATTTTCCAGCCTAAAGGTGAGCATCAAAGTACAAATACCTATTGAAAGTTGTTAACTAACGCTCTTGTTCGCAGTGGCTATCCGCAAGGCGATTGCCGAACTTGGAAAGAGTAACTATATCAGTATCTCGACTGGGTTCTGGTATGAATGGAGTTTGGCAATTCCGGCCGCTTTTGGCATTGACTTGCTCAATCGTACTGCCGTACTCTTCGATGAAGGTGATGTCAAGATCACGACATCCACCTGGCCCCAGGTATGGACATGATGTCCGAGAAACCCTGCATAGTATTGTTTTCTAACACGTCCTAGGTTGGTCGGGCCGTGGCTGGTATCTTGAGTCTACCAATCAAGGCCGAGGGCTCCGAGGCTTGTCTCGAAAACCTCAAGAATGAGGTCGTATATATCAAGTCTTTCACTGTCAGCCAGAAGGACATGCTGGAGTCCGTCTACCGGGTGACTGGTACCAAGGAAGCAGACTGGACCATCACCAAGGAGTCTTCCAGTGAGCGGTTTGCCAAGGGTACGCAGGAGATGTACGGGGGAAGTCGTGAGGGATTTGCAAAGATGCTGTATACTCGGGTGTTCTATCCGGATGGTTGCGGTGATATCGAGCACAAGGGTACTATTAATGACCTGCTCGGTTTGCCGACGGAGGATATCGATGCAGCGACGTGGGTTGCTTTGGACCGAGCTAAGTTCGTTCCCTGGCACTGAAGGGCCAATAGCTCAATAGACCAGGCTCGCGCTATGATGACATGAGAACAATTCGAGTCCCTCTGAAGGGATCCAAGCGGTAATGGTATCCGTGATGGATGTAAGCGGGAAAGGTTGTAATTTTTTTTTTTTGAGAAGCTCCTCTAAATCATCAGACATGGTATTCACAACAAATATACATCAATCGCATCTCTCTATAAATTTATGAAATGTCTGTCATCTAGCTGTCCAGCAGCGGGGGGACCTTCTCGCAGAGGTACTCGACAATGGCATCCGGGCCACGCTCGACCTGCAGGCCGGTAGGGATGGCGTGCAACTTGATGTTGGGGACGATGGAGCGGGCAATGTCGTGGATCTGCTTGGCCTCCTCGTCGGTCCACATGGAGGCACTGAACTATGTGGGGTTTTAGTCGGAGTTTCGCCGAGGGAAGGTTTATCGTGATCCGATCATCGGGACAATGGGGACCGTGGCTCGGATATTCCGAGTCAATTGGAGAATGGGGAGGGAAACATACCAGAACGTCCGGCTGGTGCTCCTTGACCTTGGCCTCGACCTCGTCGATCTCTGTGAAATTGTTAGTATGGATTATCGCAGATGATACAATTGGGTTTGTAGCTTGTGTAGCGGGCAATACTCACTGTCGCAGTTATCCACGTGGATAATAGTGTACTGGTCCTTCAGAGCCTCCGCGACACGGCCGATGAGACGCTTCGCGCGCTCGGGCGCTGTGTTGACGGTGACGAGACGGAATGGACCCTTGGGAGTAGACATGATGATGTGAAATGTAAAGAAAGAAAGATCATTGAGTGAGTTGCGACATCGCGGGGGGTTTTATTTCACAAGACCGATTGCGTCGCCACTTTTCCCCACGTTCCACTTTGTGGGTGGACTTGCCCCTCATTTTCTTCGGCTTTCCCAACTCGCCCCCGGGAATAGAAATACTCCGCACATCGTGATAAGAGTACTTTCTTTTCCTGTTCTTTCTTTCGTAATTCACTTTTCTATACATTTCTCAATCATGTCCAAGATCGCATCTACCTTTTCGCGTAAGTTGTGGCCTCAATGCCTCCGTTTATATAGCTACAACGATCTGTGAAACTGACTGTTGGATACAGGCCTGGTGCGCTTCGTCCCCAAGTCGAACCCCGCAAAGGTTCTGATCGGTGAGCCCGTCGATCCTCAGCTGGATGTGGGTTTGGCTGTGTATCAGGGCAAGGAGGTCGCTGTGCGTCCCTTCTCTGGCTCGTCCGTCCTGAACCCGGGCCAAGTCACCGGCTCGACTGAGACTATCGAGCGTATCCTGTCTCCTCTGGCCCAGAGCGAGGTCGGATCTATCCGATGTGTTGGTTTGAACGTAAGCGATATGAATTGAAACTGTACTTGAAGAGAAAACCGGAAAACCCAACTCATTCGACGACAGTATGTTTCCCACGCCAAGGAGATGTCCCTCCCCATCCCGGAAGTCCCGACCCTGTTCATTAAGCCTTCGACCGCTCTGGCCGACCCTTTCCCAGCGCCGACGGTGCTGCCCAAGATCACTCAGCAGGATGGCACTGGTGATTATGAATCTGAGATGGTTATTGTCCTTGGTCGCGATGCTAAGGACGTGCCTGAATCTGAGGCATTGGACTACGTTCTTGGCTACACTGCTGCCAATGATGTCTCCAGCCGAACTTTCCAGATGAACCAGAGCCAGTGGTGTTTCTCCAAGGGCTTTGACGGCTCATGCCCCATTGGTAAGAGCAAACAATAATCCTGATTGATGCGACTTTGACCAATTCGATAATTGTAGGCCCCGTTCTGGTCTCCGCTGCCCTGATCCCCGATGCGACTAAGCTGCACATCCGCGGTCTCAAGAGCGGCCGTGTTATGCAAGATTGCCCTCTCACGTACGTGACACCCTCATTCCCTGTCCCAAGTTACAGAAACTCCAAAAGGCGAAAGCTAATCCTAATCTCGATGCAGTGACCTGATCTTCAACGTCCCTCAACTCATCAGCTTCCTCTCCCAGGGTACCACTCTGCCCGCTGGTACCATTATCCTGACTGGTACTCCTCCCGGTGTCGGCGCCGCCAAGAACCCCAAGGAGTTTATCAAGGCTGGCGACGACTTTGCTGTCGAGCTACTGCCTCACATTGGTACCCTGATTAATAAGATCGAGCACCAATAAGAGAGATGATGAACTTGATTTAAGAGGGATGATGCATGGAGCGCAGCGCCAAACTTGTATATATTCAAATAAACTTGATAGATATTGGATCTAGAAAACAAATCCTCGGAAACTATCTTCTTGCTTCATAAATTGTATCTGCCTCGAGGTGTACCTACTTTAATACTTCGAACTACTCAAACACTAGAAACACCTCATTGAATCAGTTATCGGAAATGCCCTACATATTTACAAGTAACCATTACCGCTAACGGGCATGCCGAACATCGCACCATCCTCCCCCACAACCCACCTGATATAGCGGATGAGACTTGTTTCGTGCCTACTCTCTGCCATCCCGAACAACGCCTCTCACGTATAGAGCGCTACAAGCTAGAAAAGCGACATATAAAAACAGAGTCCAGGTGACGATGCACGTAGTAAGGAAAAGATGTCCGAGACACATCCACCAATCAGCAATGGACAAGGGATATAATATTTTCCGCTAGCGGAGTAAATCTGTTCCGGCTTTTCATCGCAAGTCAGCAAGCCAGCCGTCTTGGCAAATGCAAATTTTGCCAAGAGGAAGTACACACAAGGCAATCAATCACGTTACCGTGGGTTTTGGTAGTTCAGGTCAGCCATTATTTCTATGCTATTGTTATGAGCTCCTAAAGTTCAACAAATAATAGACTTTGGCATAGCTGTACAATAGGTATTTCTTTGCGTTCATAGAATTCATTCAATCCCAACCTAAATTAATCTCAGGACCAATCTACCTTACACATAAGCAGCTCATTTCCTCCTAATTTAACCAGCAATGCACCCCCTAGTCCTGTAATAGATACCGTTTCCTGCTCCGTGAACAAACAACCTACAGCGGTAAAAACCCGACCTCAAAAGCCGGGTGTCTCAAGTTAGACCAGCTCATAATTTCGTATGACCCATTCGGGACAAGTCTAGGCCAGGGGTTCTGCCCCGATGGGCGCTACGGCATGTTTTCGGCTTCTCCCGGTAGCTTGTCCCGATCGGCTTCGTTGCTAAGTGCTAAGGATGGTGCTGCGGGTTTTCATTTATGCCGGGGGTTGATTCCGGGTTTTTGTTTGCTCTATAGTTGTTGATTTTCTTTTTTTCAGGTGCATTTTCTGCTTTGCATTATAATTCTTCTTGATGGTCTGATTTTTTTCTTTCTTTCTTCTGTGCTTCGTGCTTGGTTCCGAGGCTTTGTGTGTCTGCAGGTTTTTGCAGATGATGAGAGCTCTTGACTGCAATATAATGCTGCTGACACTACTAATTCTACAGCTTCGAACTGAAGTTTCACTACACAGGTTTTTTGCAGGTTGCCATGAAGTTCCACGACACGTTATCTATTCACACCCATGCATCGATCTATATACAGTTGGCAGACTCAATCCCGAGCCACATCCCAATGTCCCAAGCCGAGTCCAGTCTATCCGTCCCGATGCCGAATCTATATGCAAATTCTATCCTCCGACCGACTCGTCTATAAACAGTCCAAAACAAAACACACATCACCTTCACGAGCTTCTTCGGAAAGACAACACCGAGATTATCAGTCGCCCCGAAGTCGATTTACAAAACGAACATACGTCGCCATTTACTCCTTGTCCTCTGCGTTGCGACGCCACAAGGCACCACGCCACTGCAGGATGGCGGTTGGCACAACGCTGACGGCAAAGACCAAGGCACAGCCAATTGCGGAACTGCGTGCGACACCGACAGTCTCGAACATGGGCGAGAACCTATAAAGGGGTTTGGTTAGTTACAATGTTGGAATACGAAGCACGGTCGGGGGAAGGACTTACCAGAAAGGACCGATGAATCCCCAAATCTGGCGAACAAAGGTGATAAACACACCCACGCTGGCGGCCTCTTGAGGGAAGCAGTCTACGGCATAGGTGATCATGACGGTGGTCACAAGCTGATTTCCAACGGCGCCAATAGCAGTACCAATGATGGGGGACACGTTCCAGTGGCCGGAAGGTGACTCCTGAGTGCACACCAAGAAGACAACGATACCGATGATGATCAAGGCGAAGCCAAAGTAGCTCAGCCACAGCCGGAACTCGGGATCGGGCTTACGGTTCATACGTCGCCCTCGCTGCTTCATCCAATAGTCGGACAGCGCACCACCCATCTGCTCACCGATGAGAGAACCAATGATGGGACCCAGGAATTGCAGGCCCAGCTGTTCGGCGTTAAGGTCAAATTTCTCCTGCAGCAGCTGGGGAACCTCGACGGTAGCAAGAATGTTACCCCACAGGAAGCACATAGCGTATGCGCAGGCAGGGATGACGATGGATGGATTGCGGACCATGGTCAACGGGCGCACAAACTCGTACCAGGTCAGAGGAGTGGGATCGATGCGGCGGAGAGACATGTATTCAGTCTTCCAGGTGGCCACCTCGCGATCGACACCACTGCCAACCCAACGAGTCTCGGGTCCGAAAAACAGATACAAGATGAACTGGCCACCGTTGATCTATCACTAATGTCAGCCACAAAAACGTCCACTAACACACTCTGTTGATGCAGCACTTACCATGGCCAGAATCCAATAGATCCAGGTATAGTTCAACCGGTATGTGACGAAGCCGAAGATGAACGGACCGATCGGGACTCCCAGGGTGACCATCAGAGTCCACACACCCATGTAGCGGGCGCGGTCCTTCTTGAAGGTAGTCTCCATCACGATGGCGCTACCAATGGCCGAGGCAGGTGAGATGAAGAAAGCCACCAAGGCACGGCATGCCGCTATGGATGCATAGGTCGTGCTCTTCGCACAGCCAATGTTACACACCAGACTGAGGATCAACGACAGCAAGAAGATGGGCCGACGGCCAAACCGGTTTGACAGGGGCTTCCAGAAAAGGGGTGCACCACCCAGGATGGCAATTTGCAGCGAAGTCAAGTAACTGGCCTGTTGCATGGTGACACCGAGGTCCTCTGCGATGTTAGCATAGGCGGGAATGATACCAGCGGCGGTGAAGGTGGCCATGCAGGCATGGAATGCCACCAGGATCAAATTGACCATTTTCTATCATGACAATGTATCAGCATTCTTGTTCATTCTCTTACCCCGGTTCTCCCGGATTGTCCCGTTGTATATAGGGTCGTTTATTGTGCCCTACCACTCGGCCAGGCCGGCAAGGTAAGAGGGGCTTTTACTCACCTTCCATTCAGGCCAGTTGTAAGGGTCGGCAGGCCCCATGCTGGGAATAGGGTCGAGCTCCAATGTGCCATGGCGTTCGAGCAGATAGTCACGATGAGCCTTGGGAAGACGAGCTGCCACAGACTCCTCGTAGGTGGCCGCCCGGCCAGCCCCTGCGCTCTCGACAAGATCAATGTCGGCCTTGGAACCTGGATTCTCCTCGACTTGGTTTACGGGCCGAGACGACGACGGCTGCAATTCGAGAGACGGCATGTTGGCGATGATCCGAAAAACGATGATCAGATAGGATCGGGATGCGGGCAAGCACTGGATGTGCCTGGAAGCCCTCTTGCACGGAGAAGATGAAAGGACGGCGTCGTCAAAGTTCCTCTAGCAGGTCGTGGTTCCCTCTTAGGGCTTGGGGGGTGAAGATCAAAATGAGGAAAAGTGAAGAAACTACTCCGAACAGAACCGGGGCCGAAGAAGAGGAAATGTCGGGGCCGGTGAACCAAAGAAGGGGATAGACGAGTAATGGCCTCGGAATTGAATTCAATGGGGTGAAATAGGTTGTATGAACTGCACAGGGCAGGGAGTCCTCCTGTAACGAAATGGTTGTTGGGAGTGAAAAAAACCAATGGCTTGGCGTGCCGTGAGTGGCCGGTGAGTGTGAATAAGCCTGTGTACGCAACAAACCAGTGGCCCGTCGGAGAAAACCTTCAACTCGGGCCTATCCCAGGCGTTCTCAGTAATCCGTAGTCATCCCGTCTCAGCATCACTCCACCCGAGGATATTCAGGATTGGGGTTTGCCCCGGGGGTATTTTTGCTGGTCCCAATGCCGTGCTCATCGGCTTTTCTGGAGAGAATGCGGAGGGTCTCCAGTGCTCCACGGCACCCCGGTGGACTCCTATCGGACTCGGCAAGTGACGGCGTCCATCAAGCGAGTCAAGCCACCTTCAACTGTCAGACAGATTAGTCAAGAGCCCCATCGGTGGTCCATCATGATCCATTCGGTGGCTCATCGGATCCATCCTGGCACTTGAGGACGGCTACCCGAATGCTTCAGTCGCCCGTTGGTACTGCCTTCCGGCATGACACACTCGGGTCAAGTACCGAAAATCTCCTTCAAAAGGGCCGTTCACGGGTCCTTTTCCATTCTCCGTACCCGAGAATCTTCAATTCTCCAGCTTTGCAGACCCTGTGCGGAATCGATGCGCACGCTTTTCTCTGGGGGTTTCTCCTAGGGTCTGGGTTCGGTGGATTCTCTTGACGTTCTCTGGGGGTATGTCCGGCTGTGAGACCACATGGTTGATTAGCTGAATTGCCGACTGGTAGTGGAACTGAAGCTGAATCTGAGGCTTATTGGTCATCTCGGGGAGGAATCGCGCCTCGGTCGTCTATGGCTGGTCACAGGAAAATGTACTATGTATTCTGAGTACAGTCCTTTAGTCCTTTGAATGCGAGGAGGCGAGGAGAAAAATCTTCGGACCACTCACTTTAGGCCGTTAATTCCACATCTCTGCCCTGTCCCCCAGTCACAGGATCCATAATGATTCATTATCGCCCTGGAGCTATTATTGGATCCGATAGTCCAGAATCTTTCCAATCTGAATTCCGTCGGGTCAGTCGTATGTAGTGATTCGTAAGTCTCGTCTGCCCCACGACTCGTGGGGAGATTTGAATGGAGGTCAACTGGAGTTGGTCTCACTAATCAACGGGGGTGCCACACCCCACAATTTGCCTCTCCACACGATCTCCTCCTCATCTCCTCTTTCCTTTTTCCCACATCTTTCCCCCTCGAAGATATGGCGTCGTTGGAGATCATGGCAGGGTCGCTTGCTACTTCTGCCTCGTCTGCAGGGGTCAAGAAATTGGCGTGTCGCGTGTGTCAAAAGGGATTCACCAAGGCTGAACATCTCCGAGTAAGTCGGTCCTAGATCTCTGATGTCCCCACGATTTTGAGGGGCCGCTATATCTCCATATGCCAAGGCGATGCAGGGCAATACCCAGGCGACACTTAGGCTAACACATAATTGAACAGAGACATGAGCGCTGTCGTAAGTCTTGCATTCCTGCCACTGCTATTCTTTTCTCCGGCGATTATATCTCAACCCCGGATACCCCCTCTTCCAGCAGGGAAAGTGCCATAGCAAATCAGCATGGCACCATGAACCCAACCGAATATCCCCCCATAGACTCCATCGGCTGACCGGAAGTATGACTTAGATACCGGCTCTAAGCCTTATGTCTGTAAAGAATGTCGCCGTCCCTTTGCCCGCCAGGATGCCCTTACCCGCCATGAGAAATTGCATCTGCGGGACATGAATGCAAAGCAGGGTCCATCACCACAGTCGGTGCCGCCTCCTTCAGCTTCATTAGATTCAATGACCTCGTGGGATGCCAGCAGTGCATCCACTGCCACGGGTCCGGCCTCGACGTCGGCGACTAGCCGATCCTGGGATGAGCCGCGGGCAGCTCAGCATCAGGATATGCACAATGTTGCTGCTGACCTCGACTTTGCCCTCGTCTGGCCGGATTCTGAGAATCTCTTCCAGAGCCTGATGTCATCTGATACCACTGATCAATGGCAAATGCCTCTGGGAACATTGCCCTTCCCGCCCGTTGTCCAAGATGTGAATGGCATGAATTTCGGGTCACCCAACTCGTTTGACGATCGGAGCTCTTCCGTGGGCGCCATCCCATCTGGCGGGGGGCATCAGGCTGTGCGTGATGTGACGGAGATGATTACTAGCTCGGTAAGTTGAGTATCCTCATAGGCATGTCATCAACCAGGCTCATAGAAGTCCTTGTTGGCAATGCTAGAACAAGAATGACCATACTAATATACACTTACCAGTCCTCGAGTGTTACCGCTGCTGTCAAAGCGACGTCAATCACATCAGTCTTCCTGGACGAATGCCTACACATGTTCTTCGTTCGATTCATCCCAACCTTCCCCATCTTGCATCGAGCTACCTTTGTCTTCCGCGAGTGTACCCATGCCCTTCTCCTTAATGCTATTGCCATTGGCTCTTTATACCTGGGTCCCTCCGACTCCGTCGCCAAAGGCGAGGCATTATGGCGCTTAGCCCACACAGCTGTTGCGACGTCATGGCAGTCCTTGATCACCCACAATGGACCTTATGATGCCTGCAAGGGAGTCCAGTTGATGATCACCGCATTGCTGGGTCAGGTCTACGGAGCACTCTCAAAGAACCGAGCGGTCCGCACCACTAGCCAAGTATTCCGACCCCTCGGCTTCTTCTGGGCTCGTCAGTGTGGCATGTACGACAGCGAGCCCTACTCGATGGAAAATCTTCCTTCTGCTGAGGCCCCACTGGCCGAGAAGGAACACCAATGGCGTATATGGGCTGCCCGGGAGATCCAACAGCGCGCTCTTTTGGCATACTACGTCCTTGATGGCCTCGTGGCACAGATGTCCGGTGATGGAGCATCGGCCCGCCATGTCTCCAATCCATTGAGTCTGCCCAGTAGTGAAGGTGCCTTTGACGCGAATACCGCCGACGAGTGGCTGGCGCATATGCACTCGCAACAGCCCAGTCAGTCGTCATTCCGTGTCGTCTTTCGATCTTTATTCCCACCGATCGGTAACTTCCGAGCCCTGGACTACCCATTTTCCGCCTTTGCTCTCCGTGTTGTCCTGGAAGGCCTTCAGTCGCTCATCTCCGACTGCGACGAACACGATCTCGCGGTTGGTGTCCCAGGACGCTCCGATGTACGCCGTGCGCTCGCTCAAGTGCACGAAACAATCTCAATGAGCATCCATTTCTCTGCGGCAGAGCGCTTGGAAATTCTCCTCCGTTGGCATACCGTCTGCCTGGACACCATGATCAATTCCACCGTTCTGTCTCGACATGTCTGCTCTCGGTATAACATCCCACAACACGTCTCAGGTGGTTGTCGATCAGTCCGGCCGGACTTTGACCTACTCAAATGGACCAAAACGGAGGACGCCCGTCGTGCCGTCCTCCATGCCGTCGCTATCCAAGATATTGTCGAGCAATTGCCCCGTGGACGAGCCCATGTCGTCCACATGCCCAGCTCCCTCTTTGCCGCTGCGACCGTGTACGTCGTCTTCTCCCTGGCCGGTGTAGCCACGGTCAGTCTCCCGCGCACGATTGTCTGGCAAGATGCGCTCCTCTCCCACTCGGATCACAATCTCGGTCATGATGATATTCGACCTGCCTCTGGATCAGAGACACGACGCTTCGTGGAGACTGAACAAGGAATCTCACAGGCCCCGATCGGCGGCACCGTTCGTAATCTGCTGTATGAGTTGAACTCGATGCAGAAGCTCTTCCGCTGTCTGTCATCACAGTGGGGCATTGCGCATGATATGGAAAATATTATTGCTCAGTGGATTCAATTGTGTCATTAGTCGTTGGACTGGAGCGGGACTGGAGCTGGCCTTGAGCTGGCCTGGAGCTAGACTTGAGCTGGACTCGATTTAAAAGGGCGTTTCCAAGGGGGGTTTGTTCTGTCATGTATAGTTTAGCGGCTGGGTATTGTGGGAATAATGAGAATATGAAGCGTGATCTAGTATTAGTTATGGAAACCTTCCATTTAACCTAGTCTTGCTAAGACCTGTGGAGAGGAACAGAAGAAAGAAACTACCTTCGCACTCTCTGCATTGGAGTCCCCAATCTTATATGAATTCTGACAGTAATCTCAGTTATATTTATGCTATTAACCTCTTATATTCTTACTTTTATGAGATCCTATATACTTATATTGTTGTATCTAAAACTGACAGGACACAGGCAGAGCACGTGAGTTAGAGGCTCTGCCAATATCCAGTCCCTTACCGCCTACACCCCATCACTGCCTATACCACTCACCGTCTTTATAATGCCGGCAGTCCCGTCGCATCGCTGTGCGGGCGGACGCTAAACTCAAAAGAATTAATTCCGCTCTCCAGAAGCTTTCCCCTGTTGATCTCCACCGACGCCAAGGCCTGACATTCCGATCGTCCAAAAGCTGTCTCGTTCGGTAAGTTTCTCGGATCCTTAGGTGGAAATCTGTCTTGATGAAGATCAGACTCTGACCAGGGCGCATATGTGATATAGTCACCATGTCGGACGACTCACAAATGTCCACCTCCACGCCTGTGTCTGCTGAACAATCCCAGAGCATTGCCGCCGCCCCTGCCGGTCCCCGTAGCGGCCGCGGTATACAGCTCACAGCACGGCAAGAGGCCATGCTCATCGAGCTTTGCGAGCAACAAAATGTGAGGGGTCGCTACGCTGATGAACCGAAAGCGTTCTGGCGTTGGATCTCCAACACTTTCAAGCATCATACTGGCCGTGACTATTCCTGGCAGTCCTGTCGCCGTCGCATGACCAAGTTTGAAGACGAGGCCCGTCCTCAGAACCCTCACGCTCCCTCGCCCATCTCATCCGTCGAAGCTGAGCCCTCTAGAGTTGAGCAGTCAGAAACCACCCCTGAGTACGACGAGGCCAGCGACGAGAGTGGCCATGGCCACGACGAAGAGGATGATGACCTTCCACCAGTCTCAGTTTCTGTTGTCAGAAGCACTAATCCTCCCGCCGGGCATGATCGTGAGAACGATGCCGATCTTCTCCATTATAAGCGTACCATCAATGAGGCTGTTAGAAACTTGGGGATACTCCTGAGCTGTTACGGCCACAAGCTCATCGAGGACAAGAATGACCTGCGCAACCTTTACAACACACTTGAGCGCTTCGATGATGATTTCAATAAGGCACTGAAGAAGGATAAGCGTGGGCAGGAGGAAGGCGGTCGGTGATTCGTCGGAATCCCCTATGATGCTGACGTCCCTCCAGTCCGACGAGAGATATATCCCGTTGGCGTCCACTCTATGATTCGATGATATGTATGACTTCAATGATTAATTGAGATACCATTTTAATGAAATGCAACCCCATGAGCCTTGCAATTGCTTTTAAGTGATGATGATAATTAAATCTTTCTTTGACGTTACTTTTCTTGGCTGCCCTTGCTGCAGTGCAAAGAGGATAGATATGTGCGGGAAGGTGTGCATTATCCCTTAGAAACATAACTATCAAATGGATGGACAAAACAAGAGCCAGGCTATTCCACAGCCCCTTTTGAGCATCATCCATATCACTGCCAAAGCGGCCAATGTCCCAAATGCATAAATGGCAAATCGTAGCATGCAAATCATAGAGACGGGTTGACCCGCCCACAAATGCAGCTATATGCTGAAAATCAGAAAGAAACAAAAAGAAAACCGCTTCCCGCAAACGCATTCATCATGTGCAACAAAACGCAATTGAGTTTTGTTCATGATCCATCCATCCTTCAAGCTTCATCGCTAAAGACTGCGTCGGAAGCTCCTGCACCGCGAACCAAGGTGCTCAGGCTCGCAAGGACATTCTCATGGGTGTCCTTCGGGGTGACAGGCGTAGTGGGAGGGGCAAGAACATAACTATTTGACTGGCTGTCAATTCGAGTTCCCTGTTCCGCCTTGAACGAAGGGAGCTTTGCGGGGGAAATATTCAAGTCCAGCTCCACTTTCATGCGCTTAGCGGCATGTCCATCAAGGACCTGAACATCGTCATCATCGGCATCACTGTCATCAAGTGCATAACTCTTGATGCCTAGCAGGGACCGGGTCTTTTCGTTCTCAATCTTGATCTCGGGCTTAATTGGGTTGGTGTTCTCGCCGGAGATGTCAATGATGGTGGCGGAGTTCTCCTCGACTGACTGCCCCGCGGCGTCCGAGGTATTAGCGGCCTCGGCATTTTTGGCGGCCTTGGGTCCCTTGGTGGTCTTGCTCTTGGACGGAGTTCCAGAATTCCTTCCACCGGTAGTGGGAGTACGGGGAGCCCGGGGAGCGTTCTGCGCCTGAACTTGCGGGCTCCCATCACCATCAGTAGCGCGCAAGGCCTCAGCCAACTTGCGCCAGCCTCGGAACTTGTGCTCCATGGTGTTGTACTTGGCGCCTTCCCCATACATTCTGGCAATAGCTCCGTAGTCGAGCTAATGGACATCTCTAAGTCAGTTTATATTCATTTCTCTTGAGTGGAATTGAGTATGCATACCTTCAGCTTAGGATTGGCAGCAATGATCGCTGCAATCACCCTCTCGGGATCGACTTTCATATTGGCGGTGGCCTTGGTGGGATTAATGATCTGAAAACTTAATTGTCAGTGACGATCAGGGGAGCCGATGAGCGAAATGAGAGGGTCTGACTGTACTGATTGTCGAGAGAATGAGAAGGTGGAAAGATTGATGAGACGGGCAGGTTGAGAAATGAAGGGCAAGCATCGGGGATGAGAGTGACGGGAAGATGACGGGAAGACCACGGGAAAGAGACGGAATACTCGATATTTCGGGCGCAAAGTGCGATATCCACTTACATTGACGAGGTTGAGGTTGAAAGGGAAGAGGAAACTCGAGGCTGTGAGACTTCGGAGTCGAGTAGGATTGATTGGGATTGGAGTTGTCAAGGGGAAATTGGAGCAGAGGATCTGGAAGAATCTTCTTTAGAGGGATCCGATACCCTTTCCTCTTTAGGAACTCTTGAGGAAATGCTATGTTGATGAGTTTTTCATGAATTGAGCTAATGGCATGGCATACTGTAGCAATGGCTTCTACTATATAAGCACGTAAGGATTGTTAGTATCAGAACAAGTCCAAGTCCAAGCCTGCGACCATCTCCTCTGATACTAGTTTAACTATTCATGGTAGACTGGATAATTTGATATCATACCAAGCCGAGTCAAGGAGAATACTAGGAATAAGATCCTACATTAACTATCAGAATAAGGCCGTGAAGGATACTGCAAAGCACGCCGCGGACCATGCTACTCTTACTTTCTATCCGACTTTCGGGAGCGTCTGTCTTCGGGCAGTGTTGCGTCAGGGTTGGGGGAGTGGTTGGCACCCTAGAGCGTAACGACAAATGTATTAAACTTGAGGTCTATTTCTCTAGAGTCTGCCAGATCCTGGGGTATTTGACGAGTAACAGTATAACTTCTTCTGCACTTCAGGGACTATACAGGTGTTATCTCAATCAAAAGATATTACATGCATATAAATGTCCAACATAAGGCGATCGAGGGTGACTGAGTATAGACGATGGATGGATTAGTAGTAAATGGGTAGCTATATTTGACATTTCCTTCCGTTTTGATGTATCAAGCAGGATTTCCCAAAATTTCAATACGGTTCCATCCATAAATCGACTCGACGCGGCACTGAATCTGCATTACATGAACTAACTTCGAAGTGTATACCATCAAAACCCCTATAGGCCGTTCATCTTGTTCGCCATAATCCCATTGTTATTGTGGCTGACTTGGAAAATTGATAATTGATGTTATTGGCTAAAGCTGAGATGGCCTAACTTCTTAGACGGATGATGCCCTACTTAACATGGAACAGAGTACAGTTTTCATGATGGCAATCAATTGCATGTGTTCCAAGGATGATTCTAGAGCATGTGTGTCCTCTTATAACCCGTCTAATTCTCGCGTCGTAAATACCTGTACACAGAGCAACGGGGGATCTTAATCCGAATATATTGTAGTAGTTGACTAGTTGTATATCAGCCGATTGGGGTGCCAAGTCTTCCTATAAGGCAAAACTAGTAATTCATCGGTCTGTAGTTAATCCAGTAGTGCTGAAATTAGCCCTTCGGTGTGTAAATTGGCGATATCGTGCTGGGATAGTTTCATCCTAACATTAAGTTCGCTATTTCTATTGGTCCGAGCCATGACGGAGCACGGATTCCGTCATATTTGGTGCTCCTGAGATTTTTGGTTAGTGTGCTAGGACAAAAGTCACACCATAATCATGTGGATGTGTGAGTACATAGTATTATTTCGGTTGACTTAGGGCCCTCTCATAGAGAAATTAGTGTCAATTTGTCGGGGCAGTCAGGGGCAGAATTAGACACCAAATTAGGAAATTGGAAGAAAAGATAGGGCTGGTTCTGGCATTGCATTGGCTCCTGCCGGATCTGGAACTGATGACTAAGAAAAACGGAAAAATATTTGTCCGAACTATACGTATGTATGCGCATTCGCCGGCATTTTCGAGGGCGATAGCTGGTTGACGGTTCGTTTGGGCGTTCAGGATAGATAATACACGTCCTAAAAATTGCAATTTTGATTATTTAAACACGGTTTCCTGCTACTCATCTCCTTATCTTTTACTCATCACTGCCTTAGCTCGATTATCTGACAAGCTCGCAAACAACTCGCACACATCTCTCAGATACCGCCCTGCATCAAAATCTAACGTTACAGACCTCCCAGAAAGCGCTCAGACCATCATACGGTCAAAATGCGTTGGACTCCCCTCGCCGATCAAATGGTGAGTCGTTCCTGCCGGATGAGCCCTCCCACAATTTCCCTATTTTCACGACCAATTCATTTTCAACTAACGATGTCGATACCTGTCTCCATAGCTCCTCCTCAAGCTCATCGAGACCCACGAGATCAACATCGACACCGCCAAAGTCGCGGCTGCATGGCGTAAGCTTTCTTCATGCCATCTTCGCGCCATCTTCGTGCGCAATTGCTAACTGAAGCAGCTACTGATCTCGGTGGTGAGGCGCCGCCCACTGCCCGAGCCATCAAGGAGCGACTGTCCAAAATCCGCGAGTTGATCAAGCAGTCGGGTGGCAGTACCTCCATCAGTGCTCCTACTGGCAAGCGCGGTCGTGTCAAGAAGAACACCTCCCCCAAGAGCACTTCTGCTTCTGGAACTAAGGCCCCAGCCCGCTCCCGCAAGACCAAGCAGCAGGGCACCGCGACCGTCAAGCAAGAGCAGGAGTCCCTCGATGCCGCCGATCAGGATGACGAACTGGACGAACTCCTGAATTTGCCTCAGTACAAGACCCACGCCCCTGATGTCGAGCTCACTGACATCCCGGAGTACCCCGCTCTGGCTCCTGATGCCGAGGAGGGGGTTCCCAGCCCTCACAACAACCCTGATGAGTTCGACAAGGAGGCCTAAGCTGCCATCTGGGCATTCGTGTCCATCGTGACACCTACAGGGAGCATGGGAGACCCGCGAACACACAATGGGAGAGGTCATGGAATTGCGATTTTGCTATGATTTGGGGGTTTGATAAATTTTGCATGGTTTAGTTTGCGGCTTTTAGTGAGCGCTCCTGCTGGAATAGCTGGCACTGGAGTCTGATGCCGCTGGATTTTTATTTTGCAAGGGGATTTCAGGTAGTACAGTGTGGCTTTTTCTGGGTTATCAGGCGCAAGTTTCGTTAGTTATGCGAGGAAGGGGCTTTGGTTGTCCTTTGGGCGTCCTCTGTTCCACTTTCTCTAAGGAATATCAACATCATGACCCCCCCAAACATTCCTTACAGTCCCGTAAGTCATTAATAACAGAAATTATCCTTATATAATAGACCTAACGGCTGGATCTGCAGTATTCCTTGTAGACCCAGGGATTTCTGGGGCCCAACATGAGTAACCAAATGGTCAAATTCTGTGGTAGGGACTCCCGACTCCCAAGCGCTAAGCATTTCTAGGCTCAAAGCACTTTAATGGCCAGTCTGAGCAAAAGACGGATTAAGTCTAGGCCAAGTGGCAATATTTGCCCGTCTATGCACATATACAAGTATCCTAATCAACTACGAGTGATGCTCCAGTAGGTCGAGACAGTAGAGAACAGGGGGCAAGTCCGAGGAGACCGGACTCGGCGCAATGAATCCCGATTATAAACCTAAGGAGATCTCATTTTGAGGGAAACTTTGAACACCGTAAGGGCAAAACAAATTTGGAATTATGGCAATGGAGCTCGTATGACATGGTCATTTCTAATGGAAGACAGAGACGACTGGCCCTCTACTTGAATCAATGCTCGCCAGAGGATGTGCACAAGAAACTAGGTACAGAAAAGAACTACAGTATTTCACTACGAGAATATTAGAATTTTCAAACTGGGATAAATTGCTATGATTTCTCTCTCCGAGCTGTGCTCCCCAAACGCAAATGAAACTAGCTAATAGCCATTATAATCATGCCAAAGGCAAGACTGAACAGAAAACACGCTTGGATCCAGAAGGCCAATGCCTATCTGATCATAAAACAGCAAGAACACATCAAACCAAAAGCCAAAATCCCAGTTTTGGTATATGCGTAAGAGCGAAAAAAAAGCAAATCCCATGTAAGTGTCAATGTGTCACCGGTGCCAAGAAACACAAGATCGAAGGAAGGGCCTCGAGTATTTAATACTCGGCCGAGGAATCAGCCTCGAGTCGCTCCTTGACTTCGCCATCGTTGCTGTCCTCAATATCGTCGGAGTTGTCATCGTCGAGGCTGACATTAGCCTTGGCCTTCTTATCACCCTTGGCCTTGGCCTTCGCGAGGTCGTCCTTAGACGCCTTCATGGAAGTGGTGCGCTTGGTCTTTCCGCCCTTGGTACGAGGAGTGGAGGGGACACCGGCCTTTTCCTTCAGGCGGGCGACACGGTGCTTGATGGCGCTAACCGTGCAGTCTGCAAGAACCCTTCAGTAAGTTTGCTCACATAACAACAAATTTGCAAGATGAGAGCAAATATCAAATCTCCAGATGCTGGTTTCATTGAATGCCAAGTTGGAATGAAATGCTTACCTTCACCGAGGAAAGAGGCTGCTGCGTCCCAGTTGATGTTCGAAGTGGTGTTGATAATGGCGATGAGGAGCTATTCACATTGTTAGACTGGAATTTGAAGTAAATGTAGGGAACAATGCGGATTCAGTGGAAGCAAAGTCAGGCGGGAGGATCGTGGGAGTCAAAGTCCCCAGCCTCTCCCAACACCGTTCCACGTCGCATCAAAATGAAACCAAAGCATGTGATACTTACCCGAGCGTCAGCCTCCGGACTCCAACTCATGGGCATAGTGGCGGTGGTATTGATGATGATTGTGTGAGTATGCGAGTAGGTGAGCAGTGTTTGGAATTGTAGTTGAAAATTCGGTATACGTCAAGCCGATTTTCAGAAGGTTTGCGGAAGGAAGATGGTTGAGGAGAAGAGAAGAGAAGATGAAGAATTTGGATCGAAGTCGGTATTTATAGGGAGACTTTTGGGTCAGAATAGGCGAGGGAAACACCATTCTCAAGCTCTCGAGTAGACCGTCAAATCGGGCAAGTATTGCCTCTTAAATACCTATATAGTATTTGATATAGATGATACGCACTCGCCCTCACCTTGTGCCTGTCTATGTCTCTGCAAAAACCGAAATAGTGTACGAAATAAGGCGATTTTAGCTTAGAAGTGAGAGACGGACGTGTGAATATTGTTGCACCTAACCTAGCTATGTTCTGACTGGTCACATTCCAAGAGCATTGACGAAATCGAGAGGAAGGAAGAAAGAGCAAGGAACGAACACAAAAAGATTAAGCTATCCCATAGCTGGCCACAAAGGATGAATTTCACGAATGGCAAAAAAGGAGAAAGGAGTTAACCACCAGCGGCATCGTGATAGCGGAAGCCAGAGATGGATCACGCCTCACCTCCGCGCTGGTAATTGTTCCAGAAGGTCCCCCGGTGGCGACTCTTACTGCGGGCTTCAATTTCCACCTGCAAAGCGGAGGCCTCCGCAGTCTCGTCGCCAGCCGGGTTCTTTCTCTTCTTGCCCTTCTGGCGAACCATACCGTTGCGGTCGTCTTTGACAGCAGGGGCATCGGCGGAGTCGGAGGGGGTGGTTTGTTTAGGACGGAGGACTAGAGTGGTCTTGGACTTGCTGCCGGCAGAGACATCGGAGTCATATCTCTGGCCCAACTCCTCGATACGCTTGAGGGCGGACCGGTTGTATCCCCATTTTCGTTTTGCCTTTCCCTTTGCCACGCTGGCGGCTCGGGCGGCATGGGCTTGGAGGAGGATCTCGCGCTGCTCACGGCGCCGTTCTGCGGCCTTGCGGGTGATGGTACGTAGGTGTTGCATGAGGGCTTCTGGGGTGCAAGCTGACGGAATTGTCAGGGACCAAACATCATTCATCTTGAGCGGGGATTCACTTACAGCCACCCATAATTTCCGCGGTGGTCTCCCAATCGAACTTGGAGCCACAGGTCTCCCAGATGGCGACGAGGAGCTAAAAAACGATTTCGTCAGCATTTTTCGCGCATTTTTCGCGCCCATAAGTGAGAGTATCAGGACTGACCTTGTTGTCCCACTCGGGGGTCCAGACGATGACCATGGCGATGACAAGTGAGTTTTGATAATACTGACGGGCGGATTCTTTGTTGGCGATTAAAGATAATGCGAATGCGGCGGAAAGTTGTGGGAGTGAGAATGAAAGGAAGCGGGATGTATCTGAAGTTTGGATTCTTCGGCTTCACAAGACGTTTGGATCGTTCGATGGGATCTGAGAGCCCTGTTGATATCTTTCTTTGTGATAAACAGATAGATGTGGCTCGCTGTATTGGTATCAATACGGAGTCAGTATAGTATCCTGGCCAATACCGGATAGATAGTCATATGAGACTTACAATGGCTTCTTATTTGAGACATAGATCAGGGAAAATTCGAGATAGCGTCTGGAGAGCACTATCTTAATGTCTTCCTAGTTCTAAGAGCAATGTCAGTGATGGTGGCTCTGCGCTAGGTACTCCACGCTAGTCTACTTTCTACATCTACTCTCTTCCAGTGCCAAGATTTTGGACTTTCTGTTTCGCGGACTTGGATACACTTTCTGAGACTTTCTCAATGCCTCCCGTTTGACACTCTCAACTTCGATATTAAGATGGTTGAATCTTCATCTTATTGTTTGTGTAACTCAAAAAACGTAATGGATACTTTCAATCTACATCTTCGGTACCTATATTTGTTCGCGCTAGCTGTCTTGCGGAACGACAGGACGGATTGCTGCAGGATGAATGATACTTTCACAAAAGAGTGACAGAAAGGGGTGGAGCACGAATGAATAGAAATATACGAATTTTTTGAGCATGAGAAGCTTGATTTGAATCTGATTAAGGCATACAAGCAGTGGTCTGCATTGTAGGATGGAGTTGGCTTGAGGTTAGATCTAAGTAGGTCACGTGGAGCCACGTGTGAGGAAGATGGACCATGACCATATGTACCAGAAGTATCTGGCTCTCAAGGCCCCGCCATACATAGGAGCTTGGGTAGTACATTGAGTTGATTGATGAGGTATTTTGAAACCAACAACTACCCGTGGCACTGACCACCCAACCCCTACCGGGATTGGATGGTCCAACTTCCAATGCAAAAAATCCCCCCATTTACCACTTTCGCACCCAATTTATCCGCCACCACCATGAGCAATTCGTATACAGAAGAAGAGGACCAGATTAGCAAGGCTTTAGAGGCCTATAAAAGTAATAAACATCAGAAACTTTTGCTTTGGCGCGCGAATATCGCGTATACTATTCGCGCGCCTAGAGAGCTAATCCCCCTATGCACCAATTATTTACACCCTTAGTGAGCTATCCCCTTCTCTATCTTCAAAAAAAATATCAAAGGGCTCGAACATACGATCAATATCACTGCTAGCAAGGGCTTTTCTCCTCAATTCGGCTAATTTCGCTGCAGCAGCCTCTTCTTCAGTAAGCTTCTTCGTATTCTCCCTACGCACCCGCTGCACCCACTGCTGATTCTCCCTTTTAGTGCGTATAGCAATGCGTGTATTAGTATCCTTAGTAGTGAGCACCTTGACCTTAGTAATCTGCCGCTTAGTGTAATTAGTATTTGTGTACTCGCTGCGGACCTTAGTGGACTTAGCAAGGAGATTATCCTTGATAATAACCTCCTCGAATTTAGTGACGGTCTTCGTTTCTAAGCGCATCTATCGCTGTTCTACCTTCTTAACTCTGCCAGGTCGATCTAGTGGGCTTTCGATAGCCTTTCGTAGCTTCTGCTAGCTTTTTTTAACACTTCTTAGGGTTTCCGGTTCCTCAATCGAGCTTGATAATAGAACAGGTAAGATAACCCGATTACCCTACGGAGGCTGCGGCTTAATTCTGCGCGTATTATCACTAAAGATTTTATCGAAGCCCGTAAGTAGTACAAATTCACTCTCCTCTCGCTCAGTAAGTGGTTTTACTACTAAATTAGGATTAAATAGGTAAATACCTCGCTTTCTAAAGCTTCTACGAATAATTTTTGATGTAAAGGCCTTATTGCGAATTTCACGAATCCCTTACAGGAATACTACTTTATCAGTCGGATCTCTACCCTATTGAGATACTATACGATTCCAGCTTCTAAATTTGGTCTTATACGTAAGGAACGTATCACTATCTAGAGGCTAGACGAGATACGTAGCGTACGAAATAAAGCAGAAGGGGAGAATTTTAGCTTACCCGCAGTACTCAAGGAATTCGGTAGTTAAGTGCGTAGTATACCTATCGAAGAGTAATAAGCGTAGCTCGTCTAATTAATAGTCCTTTATTAGTATAATCTTACTTTAAAAAGTACGGAGATTGTATATTACTTACTCTTTTCACCGCGATTTATAGTATATTTATCGAAATATTGAAGCTATTCAAATACAAGATCTGAATTTACATAGCTAGTCTTAGCCACTAATATAACCTAATCCGGATCTAGCGACTCGTCGAACTATCTCTTAAGCAGTACGCTGCCTCGAAAGATAAAGAAAGGTAGTAATACGAAGCCGTTAGCGGAGATACATTCGATCGCAGTAAGGCTCTCTCGCTTATCAACCTCCGCGCGAGCCCTCCTACGCCCAATTAATCGAGTACGAGAGGGCTACTGCCCTAGTATAAAGCCGGTCTCATCGAAATTGTAGATATTGCCGTGCTTAATCTGTTTAATCACCGGTTCTAAGCCGTCAAACTACTACTGCATTATCGCAGCAGACACCTTCGCTCTCTCCGATTCAATCTGCTTATCGGCAATTAGTAGAAGATTAGGGTCAATCCGCTTAATAAACGAATAAGCCCACTAGTGATTGACTAGCTTTAGCCCAGGGGGTCTATTTTCAGCATTAGCTAGCCGTAGAAGGATTGCTGAGGTTTTTGGCACGGTCGCATCAGGATAATCCCTTTCGTACTACCGCCAAAGCAGTAGAATTGCAAGATCCTCGATATCTCTACTATTCAGCTTGATATTAAGCTTGCTCAGGTTATCAATAGTGCGTACAATTGCACTCTCCTAGGCCTCAGTAAGCAGGCGTAGGCGATTCTGGTTACCAATCTTCGACGGTAACCCTTGAGACCTGCGGCGAAGGCGCCAGTAGGATACACCATATTCGCGCGCTAAAGCAGAAATATTGTGATTTTTACCGCTTTGGTAGGCCTCTAAAGCCTTGCTAATTCGATCCTCTTCTTCTGTATACGAATTGCTCATGGTGGTGGCGGATAAATTGGGTGCGAAAGTGGTAAATGGGGGGATTTTTTGCATTGGAAAATTTTTTGCATTGGAAGTTGGACCACCCAATCCCGGTAGGGGTTGGGTGGTCAGTGCCACGGGTACATGTGTTTAGGGAAAAGAAGAGTATGGAGCTTTACGATAGAAATAAAGTCATGAATTGCCTAACATCCATCAATCACAAAAATCAGGGAATCTATAATGGGAATAGTAGCACGCCAAACGTTCAAAAAAGTCGAAGTCCGTCGATCTTGCCAGGAGAAGAATCTCTCAGCTCATAGAATTCATCGTAACTCAATTAACTCAACCATAGTGAAGCTGCTGAGACGGCCCAGAGGTTGGTGGCGTCGAAGATGCCCAAGGACCGCTCACAAATTGAGGATCAGAGGCCGCTATACGGGAAGCGCTGGCCGAGGTCGTCCATTGGCCCTGAGGAACAGTGGATTGACTGGAATGCGGGTGATAATTCGCTCTGTGCTGGTTGGTCACATCGCTATGTGTGCTGTTCTGCGGCTGCTGGGACAGATAATGGTGCACTCCCGCTTGGACGACAGGGTTCTGATAGTGTTGGGGGCCTCCGTGGGCGCCCGGGGCCGTGGGGAAGACCATCGAGTTGAAACCAGGGCCACGTTGCGTCCGAGACATATCAGTGCTCTGATAAGAGCTCTGACCGTTGGACAGCTGAGGACCGTAATCATGCACCGAAGGCTGTGTGTGAGAACCAGCACCAAGACCGTCTTGTTGGTCGTGTTGAAATCCTGCGCTCTGGTGGGATTGAGACCGGGACAAGGGATGGCTCGCTATATTATTGCCTTGATTCGAATTACCATGCGATTGTGCGGAAAGTGAGCCGCGAGGCTGGTGCATTTCTACCTGGTTGCCACTGTGGGCGCTCCCCGTATGGTAGGGAATGGATGGCTGTGAGGATCTCGATGCAGGTTCTCCCGGATGCTGCCCACTGGTTTGGGGGATAGGCTGGGACCCATAGAAGGGTTGAGACAAGTTCGTTAGGCTATAATGATCGGACGAAGGTTGAGGCGGATGACTCGATTTGGTGTGATGTCCTCCGAGTTGCCATGCCGGCTGGGATGAAGAGAACACAGGTTGAACAAGTCCAGAGCGTTGACTCCCTGGGTATGCTATCGAGGTTGTATATGCCGACATCTGAGATGGTTGTTGCGCGTCCATGGGAAAGTTGTGATACTGCTCTGTGGTAGAGTTGGCGGTGGGCCCACCTGGGAGCATTTGTGTCATCTGGGCATGGCTACCCCAGGTCGGTTGTTGATGGTTTTGCACCGGATATTGTCCTTGGTCGGCATAGACTGGTCTATGATCGGGGTTTCCAGGGACACTTTGGTGAAATTGAGCCTGAGTATCCATCAGCAATGCGCAATAGTGTCAGTCTATAGATGTCTAACACACTGCTGCGTAAGCCCCACTACCAGATGGGAACGGCTGTGTATAGGATTGGGCTCCATGCTGGACATTATGAGCCGACTGCCATCCTGATGTTCCCAGTGACCCTTGCATGGAAGTGTTTGGTTGGTCATTGAGCTGAGAGCTTAGGGGGCTCTATTCCACCATCAGTGCCATTCTTCCAATTCTCTTGCAGACATTGTGAGCGCGATCCCGTACGGAAAATCTCGCCTTGTCCGCCGCCGATTCCATTCGTTCCACCAACGAGTTTCCGGTCGCCGTCACGCAGGGACTGTTGGTTGAGGGCCGAGAAAGGGGTGCTTGCGAGGGCCCTGTTCCGATGGACGTCGGGGTCGTAGAAGGCGTGAGGACGACCGGTTCGGTTGGTATGTCCCATTGTGACTTGCCGGTCGCTCGCTGGACATAGTACCACTGGCGCTGAACACCTTCCCACTGCGGTAGCCTGGACGCGCATTCGGTCAACATTGGGCAGTAAGATAACAATCATACGGGTCTACGTACCAACCATCGGGAAGTCGAGGCGGAGGGGATGATGGACCTGCGGTGTCCGCAGGAGCATCTTGCGGCATTCTGCACACAGTCACAGGATCGAAGGCAAGTTATAGGAGGACTGGAAGGGAGAAGAGGCCATGAGCGGGTTGGAGGGCGATCGTGTGGGGGCCCCCGGCCTTGGCTTGGCGATCACGTTCCATAAACGTGATCACAGAACAACCAGTCATCGAGACGGACAGACACAAGGTAACAAGAATGGAATTAGGCAACAGAAGGATAGGCTTGAGATGAATGATAATATATTTGCTGTAATTTCTAAGACAATACAAACGTGCATGGAGGAAATGCGCCTGAACCCCCCCGACCCACCATAGATTATAACTCCATATCCGTAACCGCGAGCCATCCTTTTCCGTAACCATAACGCTCCAGTGTTCCGCACCGATATCGATAAAATAGATGGAAAATATAAAATGAAAAACAGGAAGAAAATCAATAATGAAAAGCAATAATCGCCATCATAAAGCCCGTGAGAAATTACCAGGCATGCCGATCCGGGGGTTCCCAGTCAGCGCCCGCCCAGTCCTCATCACCACTGCGCTCATCATCGAGAAAGTCAGCCTCGTTGAACTGGGTTTCCGTGGGGCGCTGATTGTCAATGCGGATTTTGACCACGTTGCACATTCCCTGGCGGATTTCTCCATGCGACGATGGGGACGGGGATCGCGATGGTGAGTCCTTGAGCTGTGCAAGCCGGACACTCTGGCGCTTGGATGGAGTCGGGGGCTCACTCCCAGCAGAGCTGGGACGGGCCGGTTCTCCGCCAGCGAGCGGTTGGACAGGGTGAAGAGTGCGTTTGCGCAGGGACCGGAGATTAGGGTCGGGCGGTGCACTACGGCGCAAGAATGTTGTCTCTAGCCGATGGATCCATCGCTCACGGAAGGTAGCACGATCGCGCCAGCCAAGGTTGAGGATTACCTTGATGATCAAGCGTCGCAAGTGTGGCAGCTTGGGCGCAGCGTTGACCAGAGACATAAAAAATGACTCCATTGTTGTCCGGCTCAGCTTCTTAAGCTGGATCAGCTCGATTTCCCGAAGTGTTTCCGGCCACGTTGGAATTTGGGACTCGGTCAGAAGGTGGTCGCAATGCAGTTCCATATCATGGTAGCTTGACAAGTCGTGCATAGAAACATCCATCTTGAACCGCTCCAACTTCGGGCAATATTCACCAAGATGAGTGATGAATCCCATGTCGAGGTGGCGGTTATGACAGAGAATCAACTCTCGGAGCTCTCGCCCAGAGCATTCCAGATAAGACGTGAACCAGCCAGGAAAAACACGATTGCAATTAATCAGGGTAAGAGAGCGAAGCGTGGATGGCAAACGTGCTAGGCTGTGCTCAGCAATCAGGGAGCATTCGAAGAACTCCAAACGCTCGAGTAGAGGGAGTTCTCGTATGGACACGGCAAGCGCAAACTCGAGTGTAGGAGTGTCCTCTTTGATAAGATCATTCACATGGTATAGTCGAAGATGCTTCAAACGCTGGAAAGCCGCTCGTTGATGTTTCTCCAGCATGAATGGGAGAAGGGCAGGAGTGTCCAGCATGAATCGACCATTCCAGTCCCAGCTGCGCAGAACAATGCCTCTTTCATCAATAGCGGAGAACAAGCACTCGGGATAAACCCACTTGGAGGCGTTGATGGTGCGGGCAGGTATGCCGACGGTGAAGTCGTGTTTATGGAACAACCGAATCGTGTGCACCTGTGGAGCCGTCGCAATGAGCTTGCAAAGATCAAACCAGCCAAGCTGCGGTCCAGACTTGTAAACCAGGACATTTTGAACGTCCACATGAAGCTCTTTGACCTTTGGGGCATAGTTGATCGGTAGCGACTCTTGCGGCTTTGACAGCAGGTCTAGGAGGTCGAAGCTCTTGGATACTGGAACCAGTGGCGGGGAGTAATAAAGAGCCGCAAGCGCCGGTTCTAGGAATTGCCGACACAAAAGGCCCACGTCAAGAAGCCACTGAGTTGACTTCGACCGTTGCACCAGCTTTCCGTAAAAAAGAGGATAGGATGCTCGCCGGAAGATGTCGAAAAGGATATGATATGGAAGGGTTGCCCACGGCGGGATGACCCCCGAACGTATGAATATCTTCTCGCTCTCATCGATCCGAGCGCGCTTCTTTAGGGGCTGACCCAAAGCTTTTTTCGGGGCTTGCTCATTCGTTCTCTTGGTGCTTTTTGTCTGAGAAGGACGAGAAGGTCGATTGGTGTCACGGGGGCGGGTGTGGCTGGTGTGGTGGGAGGATGAGGTGGTAGGCGCTGGAGCGGGTTGAGATGAAGCAGGAACATTTTCCGGTGTTTGGATAGGCGGATGTGAATCCGGCGCAGTTGCACCGTTGTCATCAGATGAGTCTTCGAAGTTGACATCAGACGAGTCCTCACGATAAGACCGACGTATTCCGGATGAAGTGCGTGGGCGGAGAGAAACGGAAGATCGCCTTGATGCATTATCATTTATTGTCTCCTCCACATCCAAGTCATCATCAGCAGAGGTGTCTTCGTGGTAGGTCTCGACCTTGGTGCGTGTGGATCGGACAGGTCGAGTGCGGCTCGGACGTCCACCTGAGCGACTAGGTGCCATTACTGCCAAAGTCACCTAGATGCGGGCTGGGCGGACAGCCTGATCACATTTTTCGTATTGAATATTCGGTCGAGACGGAGGCGGTGAAGAGGTAGAGCAGAGGTAAGTCGATCGAGGGAAACAAAGGGGGTTGAAGGTGTAATGAATTCGACAGGAGCTCTTTGATGAGGCGATGGCAGGAGCGATCGACCTTATCGATAAGAAAAAGCAGCCCCAATACGCTAGTCCCAAATAGGATTAGTGGCTCAGGTGACTGCACCAGGCAATCAACCCCCGCCCTCAGGCAACAACACTAATCCCAATTAGGCACACTAGAGGAAGCCAAAATTAGAACTCAGCTTGAGCTAAGATGGCGCTTCCAGCCACCCTGGGGGGAATCCTCGTGGGTGGTTTCTTTCGTGAACTTCCATTTGATTAGATTCCAGTCTCCTAAGGCGTTGCTTCAGTTCAAGATTGACCAGCTGGGAACAATCATGGTGCCGACCGATTGATTACGTTCCATACAATCAGCCCAGGATCCCGAGTCAACAAAGCTAATCTGCTTTTCGCTGCGGTCGGGGGCTTGAACTTGTGAGGGGATTCAATGGAAAACACCTTCCCAGTCATGATGGACTCCAATGAGCGCTCCAATCAAACCGGCATCGGATCGTCTCAGATGGTGATCCAGCAGTATGCGCGATATCCTACAGCATTAGAGTCCACGCTGCAGAGCGCATCCTCTCTGGGGAGTGCTCGAAGCCAACTCGAAACCCACAGATCGCCTCCGCTCCATCGTAAAGGGACTCCTCGAAGCATACAGTCCTCTCCACGGGGAATGCGCTCAGCGCTACCGCCATCATCAACCGCTCGGTCTGGCCCGTCCATGTCTCCACCGGTCTTTGATGCCTTGCGTCACTCTCCGATGAAAGATGCAGCAGACCAGGCCGAGTCTCGAACTCTGCCATCACGAGAGATCACCGATGAGACGATTGACGATGCTTACGTTTTATTTATTTTATACTGCAATCCTAATGTACCTTCTTCTGTCGATACGTCAGAGCTTCGCAAGACATTTCGCTGCCCTCCGCGCAGTGATGGCAAAAGCTTCAGTGTTTTTACCCTATTCGAGCTTATTCGGAAGCTCGATAACAAAGAACTCAAGACCTGGATTCAATTGGCGATCGAGTTAGGCGTCGAACCACCTTCAATGGAAAAGAAACAGAGCACACAGAAAGTCCAGCAGTATGCTGTCCGACTAAAGGTAGGCGCCCATCTTCTCCGCCCGGCATATCGTATCTCTAATCGCATATCAGCGTTGGATGCGTGCTATGCACGTCGATGCTTTCTTCGAGTTCTGCTTGGGCCATCCCCATCCATACTACACCCAGCTTCCTCCCTCCGGAACGTTCGTCAGTGAATCCCGCGATGGCGTGCCGCTTGAGGAAGATCTTGCTCTTCGAGCCTTGGTTCCACAGTGGAAGCCCAAACGCGGCCGAAAACGAGCGGATGAACGAGAGCTCGAGGAGGACAAAGCAGCCAAGAGGCCACAGCTCGATACTTCGGTGGCTGGTTTGCAACCCCGCGGGTTTCCAAGTCATTCAATTCCATTCCCGCAAAGTGCCATTCCTTTCAGCGCCTATCCCACTGAGGAAGATCCTTGGATGACAGCATCGTCTTCATTTCCACCGCCTGGTGCCGCCGACCAACAAGGTCACGATCTACATTGGAGACTCCCGGAGCGTGAGACCTCGCCTGCGGGCTACCCCCAGTCTGCGATCATTCCCAGAGGAACTCAGCCCTCGGAAGCAATCATGTCGGCTGAGCCACGCTCTGCTGTCACTCCGTCGTCAGGGGAGAAGACACGCGCCCGGCGGCGACACGGACCTGCAGTGTCATCCGCTTGGCCAAACAGCAATGGCGCGATAGCTGGAAAGGGTCGCGGGAGACCACCCAACAAGGCCTCGACATCGGGTTCATTTTCCACCTTCCAAGTCAGCTCGAGTCGCGATTCATCCCAAGTTCCCCAGCCTAATGTCATTCAATCTTCCCCACTTGTTGTCCATGAGGACCCTCCCAATGCCTTGTCAAACTCGTCTTTCAGTCAGTCATCACTCCCTGCCAACCAGGGACGACCGGGTAAACTCCAGTTACAAGTCCCACAACATCAAGGCGCTCCAGTGCGGCTTGCTACCCCTCCAACACTTCTTGTGAACGGTGTCAATGGTGCGATCGTTCCCCAAGGTCAAGGGCCACATGAGCCCCACCCAGCCAACAGCCTTGATAGCGTCCGTCATATTGGTGCGTTCGCACAAACAGAAGCTGCTGCAACCGAAAACAGAATATCTCTAGAGGACATCATCCACACGCTGTCCAATGATCTTCTACGCATTCGCGTCACAGGACGACCGGCTCCTATCGCCCCTCAAGAGGCTCGGGTCCTAGCTTCAGCGTTGGTCATCAATATGACTAACATGTACTCGCATCTGCCTTGTTCTCTTCCCTCAACACTGCTGGCCTTTCAGCTTGGTATCGGGCATCATTTCGGCTTCCCTACGAATAGTCAGCACTCTATAACCGTGACCACTGAGCATGCTGCCAATAATACGACCGTAGCTGGTAGACCAGGCTCTACAGAGCCTCTACGTTCAACAAGATATACCGTGACGTTCGAGTATAATACCTCCTCTCGTTTCTCTCTGCAGGTAGTGCTCTCGAACAGCGATACTGGCACTGCACCCAGTCGGAACTTCAGCCAAGCGGCCGCGCCTTCCCACGCCTTGAATGAAGTCGATCACAATGATGATCTGTCTAATTTCGGGCTTGATGATGACGATCTGGATCACTCAGTCTCGGACGCTACATGGAAACAACGTTATATGAGGCTCCGAACTCAGATGCAGAAGAAGGAGCGGTCATTATCTCAGTACAAACGCAGGATTGTTGAGTCGGTGATGGCGGACATATGAATGACCTACACGATCACGATATCAGTATTTATACCCTGGTTTCAGATACCTTTGTCTACGAGCGTTATGCTTCTTTTTTGATACGATACCCATCTACATCTCGTTGTCAATTTCTACATGTATTTTTTTTGCGTGATACCTAATCTGACCTTACATTGTACTTGAAGTCCTTTCTGCATGGGAGTGTTTTTTGTAGAAGGCTGCGGTCTATCTCACCTAGAATCACTAAAACGCATGTCTACATGAAAGGACGGAATATGTCATGGTCCGATAAACTGCCAGAGTATCATAGCTATTTATTGAGCTCAATCTGCTAGTTACAACCATGAAAATGAAAATGAAAGAAAGCATAAGAGGGTAGATACCTAGTCATGGCTTGCCTGCGGTCCTCCTTTGTCGTTCATGACCGTGAAAGCGGCACATGAAGAGCCAAATAACTCAATCGTGAACGAGAAAGTCACGCGGCAATCACCATCCCTACTCCATCTTAGTTGCTGTAAAATCACGCCGCCGTACGTGCTTCTGAAAGTCGACTATCATCAATGGGCGCTGTGCTCTAAGCCTCGTCCAAGACTTCCTTGGCCTCGTCCTCTTCCTCGAGTTCGCTGCGCTTGCGCTTGGGAGCCCTCTTCTTCTTGGGAGTCGGAGTCTTGGGACCAGGTGTAGGTGGGACAATTCCATCCGCAGACGCTGCGCCGTCCCTTCGCTGGAACGATCTGTTCAGTCCGTAGGACTTGAGCAGACGTTCGTAGCGCTTGGCACTAGGTGGAGTCAGAAACTATGGATACTTCGATCTGGTTTTGGAAACCTACGCTGCTTCCTTGGAAATGCCCAGCTGATTCGCGAGTGTCGCCCAGTTAACCTGAAGTTGGGCAAATGTTAGTAACTGTCGGGTTGTTTCAGATTTGTGAGGGAAGCGTACCTTCTCGAGCTTCTTGCTCTCGGTATGCATGATCACGTTCATCAAGAACCAAGTCTGGTCTCTGCCCGGGTCATCGCTCGAGTCCTTGTCTTCTTTGGTCGAGGCCATAGTGATGGTTTTCAAAGTGTGGGTTTGTTTGTAGTATAATGTTTGGTATTGAGGAAGATGGAGGGTGGATGGTGGAGAATGAGAGAGTGGGAAGAATTCGAGAGTGGGAAAGAACTAAAAGCAAACCGATAAGCCAGATGGCCGGAGTATCGAGAGACCAGGCAAGATCACAAGCCAGGCACAAACCTCTGCCAGGTACATATGGTCATGTGTTGCAAGGCTTTATTGCTACATCTGGTGTTTCCACTATGTTACCCCTACTCGACGATCTTCACGGCCTATCTCAAGAGGTTATGTTCTGTCTTCTATTGGATACAATTCCCAGTCATGTTTAACTATCATCTGCCTTCTCCAGACAGCGCTCATATCCTCGTACTCCATGGAATCTGGCATTTGCTCGGTTGGGGCCTCTGAATTGTGATGTATCCAATCTTGACCTACGTCAAACACCAGTAGCAATTGTCTAAGTAGCAATTGTCTACAATCCCGGGAAACTCGTGTGGTATGCAATATTCCTTGTGCTAGATACAAACAATAAAAACGATCAATATCCAAGAGCCCACGAGCAAATGTACTAGCAAAAGCCTCTGCGGTCCCTTCCATATGGACTGGACGACGCACGCAAGCCACCAAATAAAACGGCTCCTGGGAGGCAAATTGTAACAACGAAAACGATAAACCAAATGTGATTCCCCGTCCCATATCAAATGTCAAGCAATCAATGGCAGAGTCGTGCGTGTCGGTCAATGCCGGCTCCAAGGATCATTTACGAGGGGTGCGAGGACCTACTCATTGTCCTTGGAATCCGGAACCCCCTCACTCTCCTCGACCTCAGCATGTTTGCGCTTGAGAGCCTTGCGTCTCGGCGGGGAGCTGCCTGGCCCTGCAGCAGAGCTCTCAGCCTGGGCAGAACACGCGGTTTGAGTACCGGGCTTAGGGAGGTAGGTGGTGTTCAAGCCATAGGAAGCCATGATGCGCTCGTACCGCTTCACACTAGGGCAAGTTAGCTTCAAAAATGTGTTCCGTCTCGGGTGACTGACGCGGCTCCTTTGCTCTTGATGCCCATCTCCTCGATGAAGCCATTCCAATCGATCTGGAGTTGTATGAAAATTAGTGTCCGTCAGATGAGTAGATCCTGTCAGGGTAGATAGGACGTGTCGTACCTTTTCCAGCTTCTTCGCCTCGGTGTGCATGATCAGGTTGATGAGGAACCAGGCGGGGTCCTTGTTCAGGTCGTTCTCGTCCTTGGTAGAAGACATCGTTGCGAGAGTTGATGGTGCTGTAGTTGATGTGGTTTTGATTCAAGTTCTTTGTGATGATGAATCGCGAGAGGTGTGAAGTGGTTGGAATGGAAGAGAGTGAAGGTGGTATAAAGAGAAGATGATAAGCGCGGTGATCGAGGAATGAAGGCGAAGCTAGATGCAGTGAAGGTCAGCGCTTTGTTCCCTAATTTCACTCAGGTCATTCTCTGTGCTTTTCCGTGTTTGCCTTTCTGGCTAGTGATTATGGCATGTTCTGTAGCTAGTGTAGGAAGCACAGACAGGTTGCGCCTTCTGTGCTGGATATAAACTTTGAGGATCGTGAGAATGAAGTGAAGAGAAAGAGATTACCGTAGACTACGCGAGAAGAATTATCCGTTATAAGCATCTGAGTCGTTCTTCAGATTTCTAGAAGAGTTTCTCGGATACCAGGGATCTTGGTTATTTGAGATAGTGCTACATTCAAAAAGAAGTTCGTGCCATAAATGTTCTCGCTGTTCTATCCTCATTCCCGTGCAAGTTACCAAGTCATGTCTCTCCCCATGTTGACTTCCTCTTGGAGCACCATTGTGGTCTAAATGTTGTCCACATCATCCTTGCCCTCGTCTTTGACCTCGGTCTTGCTGCGTTTGCGCTCTCTTCCCCCCTTCCGCTGCTCTGACATGTGGAGGCAATATGGGTCATGGGGGCGCTCGTGACTCTTAATCCTGGGTCTGGTTAGCTTGCTTGAATACTGGAATCTCCTTCAAGCAACCTTCATGGCACCCATGATCTTGATGCTAATTTTCTCGATGAACGCGTGTCATTCCACCTGCAGGGATTGGGTGTCAGTAGCAGTAACCAGGAGTGATCTGGGGAAAATGGGCTGGCTAGTAGGCGTCATACAGGCTGCCAGATTCAGCGTACATGATCACGCCCATCTAATGAAGCATTATCTGTGTCGAGGTTGGCTTTGTCCTGAGGGGCGAAGGATATGTCGAAGTTGCTAGAATGGTAGGTCCGTTCGTGGATATTGAGTCCAAGAAGGTTGTGGTGGGCTATCTCACACTAGCAAAGGAAGGAAGTGGAGAAGCAAGAGAAAGAGACGAATTTTGGATATAAAATATTGCTAAGCCAGGAAATTGAAGTTTGGATTCAAATCAGTCAGGCAGGGTGCCGTTGTTGATAGAGAAATATCTAGTATTGAACCGCTTCATATCCACCACAGGATACGTGACCGATGCCTCTCTCTCGGAGGATTTTATTACTGAAAATTGTCTCGAGGCTTTATTTAGATAATCATATTAGCATATTCTCAATAGAAAATTAGAGCAGTGTCAGGGAATTCAGGCGAGTTACCTTCGTGTCCACTGTTGATGATCTTTCTCTTGCCTGCCTGTTCACTCGATTGACAGAGGAATTGTTGTGTACATAAAAGAGTGTGAAGTAGCGAGCGTTTGGGAGCTCTCTAAGGAACAGTCTTGTTGGCGGGTGGCTGGAGTCCCCTTGTTTGGTGATTCTTATGTCGCTTTTTGGCCTTCTTTTGATGGCTTTGATTTAGGCTCCAGATGTGGAAAAAGCCATCGGTAAATACCGATGCACATCTACGGAAAGTTCGCGCCTCAGGGCTGGAAACTCCCGGTTTCTTGCTCTGAGAAAAGAGGGATGCACATTATTGAGGTAGTCGATGAGGACTCGAGTTGTAGAATGATTGAGATATTTAGCAAGTCAGAGTTGGCTACAAACATGGAGATTACCCGGTAAATGTAAACTTTTGCCCATCATGGATAGTATTTCCGTGCTAGATACATATCATGGCATGTATGGAGATGGACAGAACTGAAATGAAGGATCATCGCATAGGTATGGTACGCCCAAGCTCAACATTGCCGTTCAGGAGCTTGGAACGAATTCAAAGAAACACCAGAGGGCTTTGTAGTCGAAGATCCAAATGCAGAGCACAGGCAAATTCCCCAATTCACATGAAATCGCGAGGGTGTCGCGTCGTCCGCTTCACCGCCGAGTGCTAAGCTACTCCTCCTCTTCAGCATCATCGGCATTCTCGTCGTCCTTGACCTTGACCTTATCATCGTTAGCATCCTCGGCCTCAGTCTCGGGCTCAGGCTTGACCTCGGGCTCAGCCTCGGGATCCCGTCGCTTTCGCTTTGTGGACTTGCGCTTTTTGGTTGGGGTGGTCTTGTCTGAGGTGGTTTTGGCCGAGCTTTTCTTGGTTGAGGTTTTCTTGGCTGGAGTGGTCTTGACTGGAGTGTTTGGCTCCGACGCAGCCGAATCTCCAGCTGGAGCGGGGTCTGCAGCTTCCGCGCCCCTGAGGGTGTATGCGCTGTTCAGCCCATATGATTTCAGGAGACGCTGATAACGCATCGATCTTGGAAAAGTCAGCTTTTTTGGACACTGCACTTCATGTCAAATCGCTTACGCTGCAGTCCCGGTCTTGATGTTCAGTTTTTCTGCAATCACATCCCAGTTGATCTAGAGTGGAGTAAGTGTTAGCAGTTTTGTCTTGGAGTAGGAAGGGGTGCATTAGGTAGTAATGTAAGTAAGGCGTAGGGTCTCTTTGATGAGAGTCAGAATCATCATACCTTCTCAAGTCTGCCATGCTCGCTGTGCATGATGCAGTTGATCAGGAACCAAGTTGTATCGGTATCGGAGCCCTTCTCCTTCTCCTTGGTCTTGTCCTTGTTCGGGGAAGACATCTTGATGATTTTTGCTTGGGTGGAATTCGTAGTGAATAAGGTTATGAGGTTCAAGCAAACGCTCGGGGTTCAAGCGAAGTCGAGGTAGTGAAGAAGGAAAGAAGAAAAGAAAGAGAGAGAGAGCAAATAAATAGAGCGAGATGATCGGTGGAAAGTGGTTCTCGATGTTTGCTCTACCCCAGTGACTTCGTGTTTCAGTCCACTTCGATCTCGGAGGGTTTGAGGAGACCTCTAGCTTGACTTCTAACTTGCGAGGGTATATCAGCTCTTACATCAACGTACGTGTGTGTCAGTATCAGGATTCTTCTATTGGGTGCCAAAATCAATACACGGATCCAAAACTTAAACATCGTTAGATTATTCCTAGGCAGCACAGGCTCCTCAGTGTTAGATGGGCATTTTCGCTGAATGCTTCAACACCGCAAAATATCAGTCGCGCCTTCTAAGATTCTTTTATCGTTTTTTATCAGGAGGGTTTGTCTGAAGGAACCTGGGGAGAGAACAGTGAGTGACATTCATGAGCTTAACCAATCAGCACGAGAGCTTGGGGGGATTTTGGGGTGGTATCCATGTTTCACATTGGTGAAAGACATGCATGCTTAAGTACCAAGTGAATTTCATCGTTGAATATCATGGAGTGTGATATCAGGCTGCTGGAAGAAGAGGAAACTGAGACCGTATATCTAGGTTTTGTCATCGCACGTTGACCGTCAAACACACTCTGATAATTCCCAACCCTGTGCTTACTCCATAACATCCTTGGGTTATTCTTAAACTAGGCCTGGACAAGTTTACAGTCCTTGCCAGAATAGAAAAAGAGCATGGATAGACTGGGTAAATTTCGACTCCCTAAATGTATCTTGGCGTTGGAAGTAAATGACAACCACGGCTCACGATATTTCCATCATCACGTTCGCTCGTTGTGAATGCACTGCACCAGCGCTAAATTCCAGTCCTATCCTGTATCAACGCGAAACCAAGTGTGGGACCGCCGAGTATGCGGGTAATCTGCATCCATCAAGAGGTTAGTTGAAAGGGCCGGTATGAGGATCTTGTGGAAAGCAAGACTCACCGTGAGGAAGTAAGAAGTCTAAACTTCGTTCTCGCTGACCTTGTCATCATCGACCTTGAGATCCTCGATCTTGGCCTCCTCGGCCTTGGTCTCGTCGTCCTCAGCCTTTGGCTCAGATGCCTTGGCAGCCTTGGGCTTGCGGCCACGCTTCTTCTGGACCTTGTCCGGAGACACCTTGGGGCTCGCAGGAGCCTTGGGGCTGGTGGGACCCTTGGAGAATTTAGTTTTGTATTCTCAACATTGTATTTGGGCACTTACACCAGCGCGAGGAGGGTAGGACATTTCGACCCGGATGTCCTCGTACTTCTTCTTCATGGCGGACCAACGGTTGCCGAGGGACTTTGGGTTGGTATAACCCAGGGCCTCGGCAACGGCAGCGGCATCGATCTGGAATATCATTAGAAATTTTCTGTTATCAGGTTTTGTATCGGAATTAGCGAGTATCACGTACCTTGTGAGTATGAGGATCGATCTTGCGGAGGCACATGGCCATGATCGCATTGTCCTGCTGCTCAGTGGTAGAGGCAGAGTCGGAACCTGGAGCAGCCTTAGCAGCAGCCTTGGGAGCCATTTTGAAAGTTTGTGAAGTCTTTTCGAGTAGCAAGAGTGTGGCTTCGATGAGGGAATAAGGGAGTTTCGGGGAGCGAGGAGATGTGGAAGGGAGAAAGAGGAGGAAGCTCTGAGGCAAGGTCGCGGTGAGATTAAATTGTGCAGGCTCGTTATTGTGGGCGAGATCCAAGGGCAAACATATTTTCCGGGTTTTCCTTGGAGAGTTGCGTATATCTAGAGCTCCCGGCATAAATTGCGGATCAAACATTCAGTGTATATGAGGGTCGCAAACGACTAAGTATTCTGCCGCAGCCAATCACTAGAGCATCTCCTATGCTCTATGGACTCTATTGGCATAATAGAATGACTTTTACGGACCAAGAACTGTAGATAGGTAGAATGGGTATTGGAAACGATATGCACCCGACAATCATACTCTTGAGTGCTTAGCTGATAGTGCCCGTGAATGTGTTCATGATGTCCCTGGCTTCCAGTCTCACTTGCAGAGCCACCGTTACTCCATTAAACTTGACAATCAAACGGTGAGTATTCATTCTTGTCCCTCCAGTTGTACTATGTTTCAATGTGATACCTTTTGTTGAAATCCGCTGATTTAACAATATCCCTTTGGTGCTACCCAATTTGGGTCCCTCATGGTCTATGAGTGCGAATATTTTTGTCCGAATGAAGCACTTGTCAAAACCTCGTGAATATGCTTTTCCTACAATCATGAGGGGTGTCTATAAGAAGCTCATTCTATTTTTGCTGGTACAGACGACATACTATCTCACAATCTGAAATAATGCTAGAACTCAAAAGGATTGACAGTCGTACTACTCAATGCAGATCTTGTCGGTCGACACTTCCTCCGCTTTGATCACCACACTCTCAATACTTTTCTCACATGTTCCTGGTTCCTCCTTGATCCTCGCTGGGGAGGGAGCAGATTCGTTTTGCTGCTGTGGTACGAGCTCCCATGGTATGACCGGTCCGCTGTGGAAACTGGGTGTTTGGCTGTGGAAATCCTGCCTGTGGAAATCTTGTGGCATTGAAAAGGCCGGGTATGTTGTAAAAGCTGATGGATTGGATTTCAGGACGGGGGCGTACGTGCCCGATGCCAGAGAATATGGCCCACCGACCACAGCGTGTTGGGGCTGAGGTCCATACGAGACTGGGTCCAACTGCTCGATGTACCTGGGCGGCATCATTCGTGGGGACAACATGTTTTGTGCGGGAGACATGAGCTGTGTAAATGGAGAAAAGAAGCCTTCTTGGGGATTGGATGGGCCCTGCATGCCGTGGGCATCGGGGTTGCCGGGCTCGTATTTGACGACGAACGGGTTGGGATTGGGCTGGAACGGGGACTCTGTTGGCTCGAGTTTTGGCACGACTCCTGGTTCGGAGAATGGAGGGTGTGGCAATGTCTGTGGTGTCTGCAAATCGCCCTTCAGGTCGCCCTTTCCACCCTTCTTGGCATTCTTCTTTTTCGCTCTGGGGGTACTCGGGTCAATCTGGGATTTGAATCGCGAGTATCGCATGCGGGCGGCATGGCCGTTTGAAATTTCGAGATCTGATGCAACTTTGTTCCAATCAATCTGGCAAATGTGAGTATTTTGGCAGGCAAGATCGAAGTCAACGAAGATGATCCACTCACATCCTTCAAGTTCAACTGTTTGATAATGGCGTATAGAAACTTTGGCGTCGGACCTTCTATGTCCAACACTTTGCTCCGTTGACCCATGATGGAGGGCCTTGGGTCAGTGTCTGGCCAGGATGAAGGAAGTTCCCAGCCCTGGTAGATTCCCGGAAGGATGCTGAGTGAATAGGTCAGAAGATGGATGATATCTGTTCAGACTCAGCACATAGCTCTGCACACCAGGTGGATATATATCTGTCTCAGAGCATGATGACTTGACAAAGCCAGGACTACAATTCCCCAGACTGTGGAAATTGAGCCTCACTCTAAGAAACAGACTCCTCTGATAACAAGAAGAAACTCTGAGTTTGCTGGTTAGAAAGAAGTGCAGTTGGTGGGGCCTGCAATCAGCCAGCCTAGCTTCAACGGAGCCATCTGGATCCCACACATGGACCTCCTCCCCCACGTGCGATGATAAGGAAGAAGATTCAATTGTACATCAATGATGTGATGAAAACCTTCCATTATCTCCATGTATAGTTTCTTTGATCATTCCACCTGAGAATAAACGATTCCTTGTCATGAATCTGCATGCACTCACGTGCCTGCCCTTGCCCTACCGGCTGCATGAACAATCAGGCCTAGATACCGCTCAATGAGATGGCTTTGAAGCTCGTCGATATCAATGAGGTTAAACTTCTACAGTCTAGAGCAAACTACTTCAGAAGTAAAGAAAAGCAAAGGCGCGCGTAGGTTTGGGCCCATCATGGTTCACCACAGCCGAGCTGTCATTTCAAGACTGTTGATTGGCTGCCTTGGAGATGTGGTAATTACTGAAGTAGCATGAATGGCTGAAAAAAGGCATCAAACTTCAATGGAAGAGACCTGCTGCTGAGAAGATCAACGATCGCAAGGCATCTGCAGCGGTTAGACCGACCTGCCAGGTAACATTAAAGATGGATGGGGAAGCGATGACATCCTGACTAATCTGTGCGGATGGATGCCCCGCGGCAGGAAGTGGATCCTGATGCAGTATCATGGCCGAGTTGACCTTGCCGGATACTCGTACACTTTAGCGAATCAAAAGTTACTCTATTATCTGACCACAATTGGAATCATTGCAAAATCTAACAAGCATGTTGGTTGCGATCGGGGCATGTTATCTAGACACTATCCTCACGTACGTCGAGCACCCGGCGTTGCCAACTTGTGTTGGATGGTATCATCAATACTAACAAAACTATCCATCCTAGAACACCATATTATCCAGGAGAAGATGAAAAGCTACGAGCGACAAATGTGACTCGTCGGAGGGGTGGCAACTGCCCAAATACACTCGAAGTACTACAGCAACTGACATCCCACGAATCTACCGACGAAGAGCTTCCATTGGCCCTGATAACAATTTTGCCAGCCAAATCATCGATAACCTCGCAACAGATCAGATCTGCATTTAGATCACGCGTCAACTTGGACCACTGCATTTACCGAGATGGATTTGAAGAGCCGGCCTCATGCTACATTATTAAAAGCAAATCTACTGGCAGTCGCACTATCGTCAACTACAATGACCTCCCTGAGATGTCCTTGGAGGAATTTACTGGGATAGCCAATGAGCTTGGTCCAAAAGCAACTTGGGTTCACTTTGAGGTATGGATAGCATGGATTTCTCTAGATGCGCACTAATTTTAGTCGTGTAGGGCCGAACACCAGAGATGACCCTGCAATTTGTCCGTTATTTGCGAAAGCAATTCCCCTCCATCCAAGTGAGCGTCGAGATTGAAAAGCCTGGTCGACCGGGTCTTCAGGAACTGGCCGAGGAGGCTGATGTGGTGTTCTACGCGAAAACCTGGGCCCAGGTAAGCATAGCCTTTCTATGGCCTGGCTTTTAAGTGGTTCCTGACACCGGAATAGAACCTTGGATATAGAACGGCAGAGGAGTGCTTACGGGAGCAGTCCACACGGACACACGAGGCGTGAGTATCTCCCGATCCAAGCGAAGCCCGTGGACGAAGTATTGAGCGGGAATCTAGATCATTACTATGTTGTACTTGGGGTCAGGATGGCGCCTGTGCTTTAGAACGAGGTACTGAAGATTTCAAACATGTCGCGGCTTATACGACAGAGAACTTCCAAGTTGTCGAGTGAGTCGTGAAACTCCGAACTGGAGCGAAAGTATGCTAATGAGGGTCAGTCCGATTGGAGCTGGTGATACATTCATCGCAGGAATGCTGTATGCTTTGAATTGCAAAAGGAAGGACTGGGATCTTTCGAAAAGGTTGGCTTTTGCGAACCGTGTCGCGGGCATGAAGGTGTCTCAGGAGGGGTTCAAAGGTCTGGACCGTGCATTGCTGTCCTTCGGCTAGAGATAAGTTAGTGCCATGATGTTTGAGTTAGGTCCTGTCACTGAATGATATCCTGTGCCTCTTGATTAGTTCATTTCGTATTTGGAGATCGATCTTTGTTTTCATTTGCTTATTTTTCCAATTTTTTGGGTCTAGAAGCAGAGTGAAGTAAACATGTTGAATTGTGCCGATAACACCACGTGACCCTAGATTATTGCGGGTCTGGCGGTGAGAAACAAAAAATATTCTGCCACCAACTTTTCTCGGAAGCTTCTGCATCAACCATACCTGCTGCTCAGCATTCACATATCACCATGGCGGCAGTTTACAAGGCAGTTTCTAAGAAGAAGGCCCGGCAATTGACCGAGGATAGTGAAGAGGACTCAGATTTCCCCATGGATGAGCTCCTCGAGGATGCCGACGACACTACCGACAGTGAGGAGGAAGAGGAAGAGGGAATGGAGGATCGTATCGCTGAGGCGAGGAAGCAGCTTGCCGCTGGCTTCATGCCCAAGACTCGTGTCTTGATCTTGACGTCGCGTGGTGTCACACACCGGTTAGTATTTACGATCAATGCGATTGACCCAATCTACGGCACTTACTGACTATCATCTCTAGCCACCGACACTTGATGTCAGACCTTTGCGCTCTCCTCCCTCACACCCACAAAGAGACCAAACTCGACACTAAGAAGAAGACCGCCGGCTACAACCTCCTGCTGAACTCTCTCGCCGATCTCCACTCGTGCAACATGATTTTCTTCCTCGAGGCCCGCAAGAACGGCCAAGATCTCTACCTCTGGCTTTCGCGCCCGCCTAACGGTCCCACAATCAAATTCCACTTGAACAACTTGCACACTATGGGCGAGCTCGGTGCCGGTTTCGCCGGTAACTGTCTGAAGGGCGGACGTGGTATTGTGGTTTTCGATCGGTCATTCGACGAGCAGGGTCCGGATATGAGTGTCCCCGGTGCTGAGTACCGCGGCCTGGTCCGCGAGATGCTGCGCGGTATCTTCTGTGTTCCCAAGCGCGGCGTCAAGGGCATGAAGCCCTTCGTGGACCGCATTATCGGTGTCTTTGGTGTGGACGGCAAGATTTGGATCCGTGTCTACGAGATCCGCGAGGTTGAGGCTGGTTCCAAGAAGAAGGAGGACGAGGAGACTGCTAAGATTACCCCCAAGGGCAAGGACGCCCAGCCCGAGGTCTCTCTGGTTGAGATTGGTCCTCGTTTCGTGTTGACCCCCATTGTCATTCTGGAGGGCAGCTTCGGTGGTCCCGTCATCTACGAGAACAAGGAGTATGTCAGCCCCAACCAGGTCCGTCGTGAGGCTCGCATGGGCAAGGCCGGCCGGTATGCTCAGCGTCGGGAGGTGCAGACCGATCGTGTCACCAAGCGCACGGATCTGGGTCTTTCGGACAACTCGTCGCGGAAACCCGATGCGCTGGAGACGAGGAAGTTGTTTGCATAGAGGGGATAGAGAGGGATTGGCTATTTTCATGTGGGCCATTCTGATGGTTCGACTATTTTGTATATTTGGGCGACGATATCATTCATGGTCTGCTTAGGCGTCAGGGCAATATCTCGTAAAGTTTTATTTCAAAAAAGTATTTTGCACTTGATTTGAGTTCTTGATTATAGTATTGCACTCTCTTGTAAAGATAATACCATTCTACTTTATGTAGCTCGTGTTGCTCTGCAGATACTATGTATGTTCTTCTTGCCAAACTTTATCCGAGGCCTCAACGGGCAAGTCACCACCCGCGGTGGAGCTTTGCAGGTGGGCCCGAGGCGTCGTGGCAGCCATCTGGAACCACCGATACGACCAACGCCCCCCTGATGAGAACTGCAATACAACCTACCTAAAATAATTTCATTTACGCCAAGGATTGGTTAAAATATGTTGATTATCCAGAAAAGGCTTTCATACACAAAACCATGTAGCCATCATGACGCCCAAGCCAGTTCATTGCACCGGCGACCTTAACAGACCAACTGGAGGGAAAAGCGCAGAAACAAGTCTGGTGGAAAAGGAATCAATTTAGGTGGAACCACCCAGAGTACAAGCACGCAATAAGAAAAGAAGAGATGATGTAGGAGAAGAAGAAAAGGAGAAGCGGCAAAGATCCGAATGGTGGGAGCCATGTCCGGGGTTGGTAAACCTCCTGTCTCTTTCTCAAAGGTTTTCTACCGTATCCCAGAACCTGCCGGTGTAGCGTCTTCGCCCCCAAATTACAGACTCCATCACAGCTCATGGCCATTTCAAATTCACATTGTAAAAAGAAGAGTCGTTGCAGTCCGTTTCGTAGGCCCTTTAGCAGCAGCCCTGCTTCTGCTCGTTGGGCTGCGGGGTGAAGTCGATAGTGCGGCCCACAGGTGGGTTCGTGCTCGACTCGCCAGAGTCCAGAGCCTTGCTGGAAACAATGCGGTAGATTTCTGGGGGTAAATTCGAGTTAGTGGTTGCCTACGGAGGGGTCTCGTGCGCCGTGTTGAGATCTGGTGTTGACCTACCTGTGAGGATGTTCTGGAAGGCGAGCTCGACGTTGCTGGCGTCGAGGGCGGAAGTTTCGATGAAAGAAAGGTTGTTCTCGCCTGTTATGAATCAAGTCAGCTCTTGAGGTCCTCCGCACGCCTGGTCGTGGGAAATGAAACGTACTGGCAAATTGCTTGGCCTCCTCGGTGGGGACCGCACGCAGGTGTCGCAAATCGCTCTTGTTACCGACCAGCATGATGACGATGTTGGAATCGGCATGGTCCCGCAGCTCCTTCAACCACCGGTTGACATTCTCGTAGGTCTGGTGCTTGCTGATATCATAGACGAGGAGGGCGCCGACAGCGCCACGGTAGTAAGCGGAGGTAATGGCACGGTAGCGCTCCTGGCCAGCAGTATCCCAGATCTGTGCCTTGATGGTCTTGGAGTCGACCTGGATTGAGCGGGTCGCAAACTCCACACCGATGGTGGACTTGGAGTCCAGGTTGAACTCGTTGCGGGTGAAACGGCTCAGCAGGTTGGATTTACCGACACCCGAGTCTCCGATCAGCACCACTATTCAGGAGTCAGTATTTTTTGCTCTTGGGGTCGTTCATGTGCTGTCGTGTGTTGTGACCGAGGCGCGGGTGGGCGAGGGAAGGGAAGGGAGAGGCAAGACGATATCCGCGCGAGGCAACGTTACCTTTGAAGAGGAACTGGAGTCCCCGTCAGCAAACCGAATAAAACCCGCAGGCGTGTGGATAGGGAACTTACATCATATTCGTCGTTGGCCATTTTGGAGGTATCGGGGAATGAAAGTCGGTGGAATGAGGGGAAGGAGAAGGGAAAAAGAAACGGGAGAGGCGATGTATTGTAGACGATAGGAGAGGGAGATGATGCCTCCAGGGTGGAGTGCCTCCTTTACGTCCGAGTCACGTGCGAATGTTTGCCGCACGGCTCAACCAGCTTTCTAAACAATGCGGGATAAGTATTTGTGAACCTCTGGATAATACATGATTTTGTGATAAAGAGCTCAGGGATCATGGTTTCTGGTATTTAGATGTCAACTGTTAAGTGGCAATGACCTTAAGCTCCTTCCGGTCTGGAGATTTTTCTTTCGTCCTAGTCCTTGCCCAAACTTCAACCTCACAGCACTACGCGTCTTCTCGGTCATAGACTACATTCGCGTCTTCGCTTTTCTCTTCTTTCTCTGTCTCTTCCCTCTGTGGTGAGAAAGCTGCCGATGCCGCGGGCCTTGCTGCAATGGAGGTGGACGTGGAGATGAATGATGCAGGCAACCTCTCAGAGGCTGATTCCCTAGCATCTACTGTCCCAAGTGAACAAGGCTCAGAATATGAAGTGGAAGAGATTCTTGCGGAACGTGTATCAAAGCGGACCGGCAAGAAGAAGTTTCTGCTGAAATGGGCCAATTACCCCATATATCGAGCAACATGGGAGCCAGCAGAGATGTTCCTAGAGATGGAGGAAGCCATGCTCAAGTGGAATGAGAAAACCCGAAAGGTCAGAGCAGGCGCCGATCAACCGTTTGACGTCGATGCTTGGAAGAAGTCTCTCAAGGACCGTGAGCGTGAGACCCAAAGACGCAAGGAAGCTCGTCGCCAGAAACGGGCAGAAAGGGCCGCTCAGAAGAATAAGAAGCCACCTTCCCGGGATTCATCGTCAGACATTCCCCTAATGCAGGCATCTCCCCAGTCATCACCAGATGTGCCCTTGGCCCGGGTCAGCGCACATCGGGGTGCCTCGCTCGCCTCTGACATATCTTCTCTCTTTGTCTCGACAGATGATCCAGCGCCAAGCATTCCCACATCTCATGCAACGCCGACTACAAATCAGTCTCTCCAAGTCCCTTCTTCGAGTCCTGTACGGGCCACGTTAAATCCTCCGGATTCGTCTCAATCGAATGTATCAGAGAACCCGGAGAAGCTTTTACCACAGCCGCCCAAGGCCGCTACTGGTATTACATCGGATAAATCTCAACCTATTCCCCATCCCCGAGTCTCCGAATCTGCCAAACCGTCCCAGCCCTCTGAACATACTTTCGAGACCTCCAAGACTGCATCTTCGAAGCAAGATAAAGTCTCCCAGGGTACCGGCCAGACATCAGCAACTAGGACGAAGCCACCACAGAAATCTCGACGATCACTTCCCTCACAGCCGGCTTTAGGGCCCCTGTACACTGCGTTTGCATCCAGCAAAAAAGATCGAGAACCCGACATTAGCCAACTGGATCTTCGCAGGCCCTCTGAATTTCCTGCTAGGACAGCTGCTGGGGTGCCTGTGCCTTTTGCGAAAATGACGACTTCGGATACATTTCTACGAAGCTCCCAAAGTGGGACTAAACCTATTCCAACCTCGTCTGTGTCCCAGGTAGCTTCGTCAGGGTCATCTCGAAGGGGTTCGCCTGAGACCATGGGCCCTCCTAGTCGACCACGTGCACCGTCTCCTCGTGGTTTCTCTATGCTCAACGGAGGTGACTGCTACAGACCAGGGGAATCCTCCAGATCAGGGGACTACGACTCCTACAGACCAGGAGATTCTCTTGACCGTGACAATCCTCCCCCTCGGCGCCCTGACCGTGGACGATCGCTAGGGTCCCGCCGGAGATCTCCCGGGGCTCGCTCGAGATCCCCTAACCAACGGTATAGATCTCCAGACCGACGTCGGTCGCCAGCATCACGTCAGAGGTCTCCCTATCGGTCAGCCGACCCTCACCGGCCAAAGAACTCTTCACCTTTCGTTACCGTGACACGTCCGAAGTCTCTAACGCAAACACCCGTCACCCCGACCACGAGGCCATCTCCTTACGATACCGTCACTAATACACGGGATAACACCGGCTCTGCGAATGATCCCGTTTCCACGAATGACACCGATGCCCCAGCTATAGCGGCTAGACCTCCGAGTCCACCTAAAGCTCAAATGTCTGCAAAGGAGCAAATCGAGCGTATGCCGATAGGTGAACCCGGGCTTGGCTCTATGAAATTCAAAGGCACCCCCTATTTCGTGAATAAGGTGGAAGTCCTAGCGCACATTTATTTCGGGGCTGAAAAGCAGCTTATTGGGGCTGTACGGCTGTGTGGTTTATCGCCAGAAGTGAAGCAGGACCTTTTAGCAGCTAAGGGGGGACGATCCGGTAGATTCGAGATGTGGTTCGAGCATTTGTGCACGCCCGACCAGTATGCAACTCTTTGTCGAGAAGAGGCGGATCACGGGGGCTCCAATAGAGTCATACGCACTTGTTGGTTGGAGGGTTTTGCTGATACTAACCCCTACGTATTTCATATGTCGGAAGGTCTCTACTGGGAAAACAAGATTGGTATCTATTACCCTCCTGGAAACAAAGGCTTTGTGTGGCTAGCCTATTCCCCTAAGTCTCCGGACTTCGCCCACCTTACACAACCCTACCCCGAGATCAACCCTTGGGTCCCTATCCGCCTTGCCGTGCGAACACCCTTGGCACCCATTGATGCCCTACATAAACAGCAGACGGGACCACAACATCAACAACAGACAGGACCACAAGTTCAATCTACAGCGATGGCCATGGTGCCATATGACCCGTCAAACACGTCGATAATAGGGGCATCTGGCTCACTTGATGACGTCGTTAGACGCCTGGCACACGCATCTGGCCTAAGCAATTCACATACAACTGGTCATGTCAATTCAAACACGCCTGTTCAACCGCAAGGATCGTATGGTTCTTCCACGCAGAGCCCTATGGAACAATCACCGGAACAATACCCGCTCCCTAGTCTGGCCGCGCACTCCCTAGCAGACCCTCGCCTCGGGCGTCAATTATCCAAAGCAACAAGTACACGGCAGCCTAACGATCAACTTGTCAGTATGGAAGGGCTATCTGATTCCATGGATACGAGGCCAGATAATACAGTGCCTAACACGGCTCTCATAACGGCTGCTCACAATACCTCTATTCAACCACTCTCGGATCCCCAACCACCCTCGGATCATCAATCACTCTCTGATCCTAATTTAATGCTAGGCAAGTTCTTCGAATGCAACCTCAAAATGCGTTTCAAAGATCTCGCTTGTGTGAATGGGAAACAGGGTGGGCCTCAGGCAGATGTGTTCTACCTACATACCCCTGAAAGCGTGGAGGACCAAAACGACTGCACCCTCGTCAAGGCGTGGCTCGAGCTGAATGGGGCCATGGTTTGGTCTGATTGGGCCAAGTTTATCAAAAACAGCAAATGCGGCGTAATTCTGGTATGTCTCCTTTGTGCGGTTTAATCTTGGCTACTCTATATTCTATCATCTAACGGATCCTAAGTTTCACGAGTCCTTCGGAAAATACGAGGCCCTGCAGCCTAAGATTCGGGATATTCTAGGAAACGCCTTGATGGGCTTTTGGACCTTTCGGATTTCGAGGCCTCTTGACTACCCTGACGAACGGTACTGCCAAAAAGGGGTCTATTTTCAGCGTATCTTTGCCAGGGGTGGCGCTTATCTCCTGACCGAGGATGTTATTCACACCCTGAAGGAAACGGTCGCCATACTGTATTGGTTCTACGGCATTCAGAGAAGCAATTTGGGCCAGTGGAAATTGGTCTGTTGGCCAAGCCTAATGGAACGGCTTGAGGAAAAGCATGATGATCCTACTCTCTCCAAGGAGGAGCAGAAGCTGTATGGTTCAATCCTTCTCTTGATATCACGTCTGAATACTGACTTCATCTAGGCTCGGCGTGGTTATCCTTCTAATCAGAAAATGCAACTCCATCGATCCCCAACAGCCGCGCTTCAAACCCGATAGTCTCGATCCCGCGAACCTTGACGGGCCGAACAATAATGTCTTTTCTCTCAAAGTTGCAGGCTACGGACAGCGCTCCACGACCCCCGGGCATCTCACACAGGATGAGCGCAACGCTAATCATCTCGCCGAATCCTTTGCTGGCTGGACGATCGAGAACGCCGCCCGCCTTCGGAGGTCATACATAATCTCCAGCTGCAAGAACGAAGCCCTGCTCAAGCGATGGGCTTCCTGGGGCCACGTTCTTGTTTTCAGTGTGGAGGCCTTCATCGAAAAGTACAAAATCAACGTCGACAATTCGCTGGAGAAGATAGAGAAAAAGCTAAGCAAATCAAGCAAACCATCTCAACCGGGCGAATCGAATGGCCAATCGAGGGGCCAATTGAGTGACCAGCCTCACAATGACATGTCCTCGCCGATCCAAACCCCCCTGACCCCCCTAACCGCGGGGGCCGGCGGCGTCCCGACCCCGAGAGACGCTAATGGAGGAGATGTCTCGAGTCGTCCGAGGCCCAGTGAATGGAGACCGCCGCAGCCACAGGAGTCCCACCGGTACGGAGCGCCGTATCGTTGAGAAACTTTGTGCCCCCGTGGTTTCTACCTGTTTTTTGCTTTCGTTGCGATTCCATGGATTATCCCAATTGAGAACATGATTAACGCTGTTTCTTGGCGCAATTGAATCTGGTCAAACGATACCCGAAATCTTTGTGTACTTATGTATGTGGCGTTGTGAAGGTTAGCGGTAGTTGTATGCATAAGTCTTCTTAGGTCTTCCTTTAATTTTCGTATGCACATGCTTCTGAAGGTTCACGGCGATGTTTGAGGACGTTAGGTTTGAAGCTTTAGTTCACAAAACTCCAAGAAAAACAGTGAGGGCCCAAAGTACTACCTTGCCGTTGAATAGGTATATGCACATTTATCTACTTGATGCAAGAGAGATCGATATGAGGTTCAAGTTTATAATAGTGAAAGTCATGTACATTGGATATTTAATAAACAAACGCCCTCCCGCAGAAACAGACACACTGAGGCTAATCAAGTCCAACTAACCAATTGCTCGCTTGCGATATTCCTGAAAGTTCGATGCATGTTGCGCATTGTCAACATCAGCCTGGGGCTTGGCTTTCTTCTCCGTCTTCTTATCAGGCCGCATTTTCTCCTCCCACTCGCTTTCCTCCGCAGATATCATGGCGTGGAATTTACCTCCCTGGCCACGGGCAAGATATATCGGCTGCTCTTGGCGGTTGGCCACAGCCTCAGTTACCAGCACGAACTTTACGCTGGAACCGGGGGCCTCGAACATGGCGTCGCTGAGGATTGTTTCCATTTCTGTGCGTAAGGCGCGTGCTCCCGTGCCCATTTTGAAAGCATTGGCTGCGATCTTGTGTAACGCCGGCGTTGTAAAGCGTAGCTCGATGCCTGAGAGGGAGAAGAGGGTTGTGTATTGAGCTAGGAGGGAATTGCGGGGTTCGTTGAGGATGCGTAGAAGTAAGGGCTGTGTTAGTGTTGACAGAGCGGCGGTGACGGGAATCCTGCCAATCAGTTCGGGGATGAATCCGTAGCTTTGCAGGTCTGTGGGGGTCAGAAGGTCGAGGGCATTGAAATATGTGGGTTCGCTGTTTTGTGTGGTTGGAGATGCTGAGGTGAAGAAGGGCAGGTGTTTCTTGTATAATGCTTCCTCTTCGGATCCTGGTAAGATTGGCTGGGGCTGATCGGGTGATGCATCAGATGGTCCAGGGAGACCACCTAAAATTGATGATCCTCGAACTGGTTGGCCGAATCCCATCGAGCCACGCGAGATTCGGTCCATGACAACTTTGTGTAACCCCACGAATGCGCCCGAGAACACGAACAGGATGTTATCCGTGCGCACATTGTAGACCTCCCCCTTCGCTGCCGGAGTATTATTGTGCGGCTGAAAAGGAGTGGTACCCAGCGGGCTATTCGATGGGTAGGAGTTTGGAGGGCTGGTTGAACGAGGGTTCTTTTCTGGTTTGGCCTGCACTTGCACAGTGGTGCCCTCGATAATCTTGAGGAGAGCCTGCTGAACTCCCTCGCCACCCACATCCTTGCCGTGGCTCACTTTGGCCGCCGCGATCTTGTCCACTTCGTCAAGCACGATGATACCTCGCTCCGCCTGCTCGACGTCATAGTTCGCAGCGGCTAGAAGCCGATGGACGCATGTTTCGGCATCTTCGCCAATATATCCAGCCTGCGTAAACGGTGTGCAGTCCGAGATGCTAAATGGCACGGAAAGAACACGGGCAAGTGTTTTTGCCATCAACGTCTTGCCGACACCGGATGGCCCTAGAAGTAGGATGTTTGACTTGTCAAGTTGTAATGGGGATGTGTCGACCAGTTCGCCATGATCCAGCAGGCTGTTCTGGCGTGGTTTGGAGGTAGTAGGAACACCAACGGTTCGTTGCTGGCCGGGAAATTCATCTATATAATTCCAATTGTCTCGATTAGCACTTTTGCTTTGGGATTGTCATGTAAAGCACGAGAGACGTACCTTCCAAGGGATGACTCCCCAGTGCCTCCCTCCGCTGCCGTTTAGCCAGCAATTCTTCCGCTTCCTCCTCTCGACGCTGGATCTCCTGTACTCGCTGGTAGTGATTATAGACCGCCACACTCAGTACCTTCTTCGCACGATCCTGTCCCACGACATATTGATCCAAATACTGCTTCAACACCTTGGGAGTAATCCTCGGGGCACCAAACGCTGGTGTGGAGCCTAGGGGCCCAGTGGTCGGCAATCCAGTCTCATAGCTACCAGTGAATGGCTGAGTTGTGAAATCTGACCGGTTAAATTGTGAGAAGGTTGGGAATCTGGTGGAGGAACTAGAGAGCACGCGTGTCTGGCTGACGAACGATAGGCTCGGCCGACATCGGGCATATCGATCAGGCCGGACAGCCTCGCGATGCGCTTGGGCAAGAAGGAGTCGACGCTGGAGAGGCTGCCACAGCATGGCCTCAAAGAATAGCAGAGCTAGGACGGAGCGAGATTCAGGAACGGAGATAAATGCGACGAGGAGAGCGTGCGGAGGGATAAATCAGATACGGAGCTTTCCCCGCAGGACGGATAATCATGGATCTTATGGATCCCCATCTTATCGGCTGAGTCATGGCGCCATCCGTCATCCGCCTGTTCTCCGGCCCCGATCGGCTTCCGAGGCAGGACCAAAATCTATAAAAGGGGACGTTATTTTATGAAACTACCTAGTGACTGGCAATTGTCTAGAGGAAAGAAAAGACTAACAGCTTCTATTTGTACGCGTCTATATGAAAGATGGCAATTCGTGTATTCCCACTGAGACAAATGCAGATAAGCTTGACCACCAATCAATGGAGGTATAGGAAGCTCTAAGATTATTGAGTCTGGGGCCTTGCTTACCTGCTTTGCTTACCTGCAACTAGCATAGTTACTAGTATCCTAAGACAATTGATATAAATTGGGCCATTAATTAGGACATTCGATTCTCAAAGATGAGTATAGAGCAATGTTTCTGCAATATAGTAGATCAAGGTGAACATGAAGGGCATGTACTTCTACATTATTTTCTCAGTTAAGCAGAAACCAACTACATCAATTACCTCTGCTGGCCACTAATTCACTAACGTGCAAAAACTACGCGTGAGAAATAAGTGCTGTACTTTTGTCCAGTCCGGTTAGTCTAGATTTTGGCAGAGTTGCATTGTAGTAATCCCTAACCAAGCCACAATCCTTGAGGAATTTCTCGATGGATTTGTCGTGGCCATAGCTCGACTAAATTCCCCTGATTTTTTTATTCATCTCGCTCGTAATAATACTCTCCTCTAGTTCTTCAATTTGAGGTATTTTCATTGCCTGATTGGGTCAATCTCGCGAGATCCACTCCGGGCGCTCTGATGTCAACCATCCGACCAATACGAAGGAGATCTGCACGCTAAGCCATGTTCAACTTCATTGGATGCTCCACCACTAAATCGAGTAATTTCGTATTCGTTGTAGAGGAAATTATTCTGCACTGCCTGCTCAATGTAAAAACGGTTAGTGAGAACTAAGTATATAAAGAGCGAGGATCCCGGTCGACTCAGGAGTTGTGCTTGGAGTATTATTACCACAGCATGGGAGAATATTCACCATGATCAGCCCACTTTTACTTTCTCTCCTTGCAACTGCAGCCATTGCGGCACCACAACATCCAGTTGCCAAGTGCCGCTGTCGCCCCAGTGACAACTGTTGGCCTTCCACGAAGGAGTGGTCAGCTTTAAACAAGACCATTAACGGCAATCTGGTAGCAGTCCGTCCTGTCGCGTCGGTCTGTCACCAGGCCGAGTACAATGCCGATGCCTGCAAAGTCGTCACCGATAATTGGAAGGACTCTGTCTGGCGTTCCTCGCAACCAGGTGCTGGTCAATGGGAGAATTGGGAAGCCTGGCCAGATCGTAACGAGTCTTGCTATATCGAGTCTGCCCAAGATACTGTCTGTGGACAAGGCCGGATCTCGCTATACTCTGCGATAGCTCAAAGTGCTTCTGATATTCAGCATGCGGTTCGATTTGCCAGCCGGAATAACCTTCGTCTGGCTATCAAGAATACTGGCCATGATTTCTTGGGACGATCTACGGCTCCTCAGTCGTTGCAGATTCTCACGCATAACATGAAGGATATCAAGATCGTGGATGATTTTGTTCCGAAGGGTTCGTCGAAGAGTGAGGGGCCTGCGATTACGATTGGTGCTGGTGTACAGCTTCCAGAGTTGTATCAGGCGGTTGCCAAGCGCAATCGGACGGTGATCGCTGGTTCCTCACATACCGTGGGTGCCGCTGGAGGGTATATTCAGGGTGGTGGACACTCGCCATTTGGTCATTGGAAGGGTCTTGCGTCAGACAATGCATTGGAGTTCCAGGTGGTTACTGCCGATGTAAGTACCATTCATGATGAAATTGACGAAAATATTGTATCGGCATGGTTCAAGCTAAACCACTCTCTAGGGCACTCTCCTCACCGCAAACTCACACCAAAACAAAGACCTCTTCTGGGCCCTTCGGGGAGGTGGCGGTGGAACCTTTGGCGTGGTCACCAGCGTCACCCTGCGCACATTTGAAGAAGTACCCGTCGTCGTGTACAACTTCAACATCACTACTGTCGCTGGCGACCCTCGCTTCTGGGACGCATTCGCCGAATGGCATGCCGCACTCCCATCCATCAACGATGGCGGCGGCTCTGGTTATTACTTCGGTCTCCCGAATATGCCTGTCAGTGCTACTTTCAGCGTGTCAACCATCATCTCCCTTATGATGTTCCCCGAAAAGACAAGTATCGCCGAAGTCGACACCTTATACCAGCCACTAGCCGCGAAGCTACAACAGATTGGCGGAGTTCAAATCGCGAATGCATCCATTCCCTTCCCAACTATGAGCTCGACCATCTTCACTATGCTTATCGGCGGAACATCCGATAGCACCGGAGGAACCTCAATGCTGGCATCCCGACTGTATTCCAAAGACCTCATGTTATCTCCAGATGGTCCCGGCCGTCTAGCCAATGCTTTCAAGAGCATCAAGTGGAATCCTTTCTCCGAGTTCATCGGCCATGTAGTCGCGGGTGGTGCCGTTGCAGCCAACGGTGCCACTGTCGACAGTGCCGTCAACCCAGCCTGGCGCAAGGCCATATCGCACCTTCTCTTCTCCCGAACATGGACGGCTGGTACCACTCCGGCTGACCAGGCGGCAATCATCAAGAATATGACTGATGTGGAGATTCCCATTCTGCGGTCCGTTGAGGGCGAGAATCAGATGGGTGCTTATTTGAATGAGGCTAATGGGTATGAGCCTGGCTTCCAGGCTGCGTTCTGGGGGGCCAATTATCCGCGTCTGTATAGTATTAAGCAGAAGTGGGATCCTAAGGGGCTTTTCATTTCTCGCAAAGGGGTTGGGAGTGAGGACTGGGATGATGCGGGCTTGTGTCGTACTTCACCCAAGTAGAATGATTTGTGGGGTTGGTGTTAGATGGATAGTTTGATAGATGCGTTGAGATTTCAGTCTGGACATGTCAAATTCGAATTTCAGTTTGTAATCATGTATTTAAAGTTCTCATCTATGACTATTAACAGTATTATGTTGCTTGGAACAGTTGAACAAGCCTCCAGCGCCCGCAGTGCCAGCATACCCCCGCTAATTCAAGCCCATTATCCGGCGGAAGCCCACGTTATTCACCAAAACACTACTACCATGCATTTCCACACCCTCCCCCTTCAACTTCCCATCAAATGCACCCACCGGCAACCCAGCCAAGAATTCTCCTAGAGGACCAGTCGGGCTATGCATTCCCTTCCAAAGGCCTCGGGCGAGGGGCCCAAGGACACTGTCTCCCCAGCGCCTCGCAAGTGATAATTGCGGGATCCACGGATGAATAACCTGATGATCTTTCGGGTCGACATACGCCGGGCGAACGATCATAGCTTGGAATTTGGGGTTCTTGGCCTCCATCTCCATAAGAGCGATCTCCGTTTCGCCCTTGACGCGTCCGAAAATAGGTGTGAATCGACCTGGTTCGGGGGTAGCGCCTTCGCCGGATACAAAGACGAACCTGAAGTTGTCTGGCTCGTCTGATTTGAGTTGCTCGAAGACCTTGGCTGCTTCGAGGGTCATGGTCTTGGTGATGTGGATGTATTCCCTGTAGGCGTTGTCAGTGAATTTGAAAATATTGATTGGCGGTTGCGGTTGTGGAAGGAAATGCGTACTCTTTTGACACGGCGGTTTGACTGATTCCTAGGGCCCATACAACCCCTTGGGCATCTCGCAGGCGCTCCTTCAATGCATTATCGTAACCTTTGAAATCGTGGAGAATCACTTGAATGCGATCATCATTGTTGCCTTCCAGCATGGGTACTGGGCGACGACTGAGAATGGAGATCTTGGAGATGTCTGGCCTGGCTCGTAGTGCGACGAGGGCTGCAGAGCCAACGAGGCCCGTTGCGCCTGTGAGGATGATGTGCATGGTGGAGGTTGTGGATAAGATTATTGATGTCCTTGAGAAAAAAAAGAGTATAGAGTATAACAGGCTATGGACAGACAACGGAGGGAATCTCTGCTATTTATAATGACCCTCATCTTACTATTAAGCCACTAACCATGCGCCGAGCTTAATTCCAACCAGCAAAGTCATCAGCAACGACTGTAAAAATGCGACAAGTGGGGGCGGTTATCAGCCGCAGTCGTGTTGCTGACAGCAGTCTAGCCGAAAAGGGACACGCAGTTAAGGTTAACTAACTCCATCCTCGGAAATCGGGTCAATATACGGAGTAATTTCTATCGGTCGGATTAAACACGCCGAATCGCTGACGCTAATAAGGCTAACATCGGTAAACCCGAAACATGCGTGTAGGACAGCCTTGGGACCTGGGCAGCCTTGATAGAGCATTTTGGCAGGTTTGTAGCAATTTGATTCGCACCGGGGGGTTTTGTTTGTGGTTCCTTCCTTTTCCCTGAACGAGTCTCTAGATATCTGGACCATTCTTTCCATTTAACATTTACGTTGAGCGAGAGAGAAAAGATTCTCCACATCCATGAATCGAGCCGCCAACCTTGTCCTTCCCTATATACTTCGCCCCCGTTACTCCGTACTGCGTCGCTATCCCCAGACACCGATAAACATCACCAGTCCCCAGCGCCGTCTGATACAGCCCTTTACACCCTCTAAGACCGTTGAAAATGCTGCTTAACAATGCAGGTTAGTATAAAATAATAATATCAGATAAATTTCACGATTAAAAATTATTATTACCAAAAAAATCTCCAAAAGAATCTCCAAAAATAAGGAACCCCCCCCCCCCCCCCCGCCTAGCGGTGTGCCCGGCCGTCCGTGAAGCTCGAAGCGTCAACACTGGCCCAGTACTTCTTTCTCCTTTTGTTTGCCCTTTTCTCCAGGGCACACCAATGGTTCACCAATTTATGGTGGATACCAACTAGGCCATCGGAGGTGGGGGGGGGGGGAGTGATTGTTTGACCTGGAATCCGGTCATAACCTTGAAATGATGAAAACGAGACAAACATTTTCTGGTGCATTATTTTCTACACCAGACTGGCAGGGACAGGGAGTATGGTAATTCTCTCGGCACTCGATGAATTGATGTTTTGGATTTATCTCTAGCTGATCTGGTATATGCTCAACTGAGTACCACTCAGGAGCGAGCACTCGCTGGGTCTGGTATCTAGGATCCAGTCTCCATATTGTGATGCATTCGTGCCAATCTCGTGAAAGCACCAACAATTTCACTGGGAATGCGCATCCAGTCTGTTGTACTGGGGCTCCCATTCAGAGCTTGCCACTGCCACAGGGCTTCCATTAAGCCAGCGTAACGATAAGGACTTTTATTTTCGGTTCGTGGGTATCATATGGATATGCAATAGAGGTACATATGTAGTATTCAGTTTCGGTCGAGGACGGGTCGGGTCGGGTCCTTATTTGTTGTTTTTGAAGACAGGCTGCTGTTCCATCGTCTGTGAAATGAAATTGCGCAGCGCAGACCAGCGGTTGGCAGTCGGATTGGATTCGGGCACAGCCTCGCTCGCAGCAGCAGGAGCAGCAGGAGCAGCAGCGGACTGCATGCTCGCCATTTGAGCCATATTCTTCGCAAATCGGTCCCGTTCCACCTTCTCCAGCTTTTCGCGACGCTTCATCGCCCCGGGCTTGTGGCGGAGGGTCTTCTGTTTGATAATGTTCACTTGACTGGCGGCATCGTGGGAGTTATCGGCGGCGTCTGGGAGGGCATCGGCGAGGGATTCGAGGTTGGCGACCAATTTCTTCGAGGGGCGACGCTTCTTTTGAGTCTTGGAGCTTTTCGCGATCTTAGACATCAGAGTCGCATGCTTGATCTGCCGCTTGTCTTTCTTGCTGGTGCGGAACTCGTCCCCGAATGGGGTAGTAGCCTTGATGGGGCCAGTCCGCCCGACCTTTGTCTTCATTATTCGAAATGGTGGAGTGAGGAAGATCGCAACGAGAAAGAACCGGTTGAGTGAAGTCGTGTACAGAGAGGTATTTGTCGCAAAAGCGGTCGAGCATGTGAAGAGCAGATCAGATCGGGGGCTGCAAATTTGCCCATTGCCCACTTGTAACCGGCCCCACATGACCCTCTTCCTCGACTGGGCCTTTGTCCCTGTTGGGCTCACCCAACCATCCCAATCGAAGCACAGAAAAAAGTCAACCATCTTGGACCACTCAAAACACGAGAAATCAAAGTGTACGGAACTGTACACGAGAGATGCGTCGCCGCCCTGTGACGTGACCATCTCCCCGACATTCTGCACCAAGATCCACCTCCCCCTCGTTTTCCTTCTTCCCCGTGCAAACTACAACGACTCTGACATCAGAACGACGCTGGATACACCCACCCCTGCACAGCCCACACTGAGATCATTGGGAGAACAGCGAACCACAGTGCATGTCCTTGCCAACGCGCCTTTATCATCGGATCTCCTTTCCTGGCCAGTCTCTCGTGGGCCTTTTGCCTCGGTCGCCCCTAGCCACTCGGACCCAGACCCTAAGCTACTACTTCCCCCGGTCGCCCCCGTCGGCTTCCCTAGCGTTCTTTAAATCCGCTGCCCTCCCCGGTCAACTTGCCGTGTGCAGATCATTTTCCTCGGCCTCGCTTTCGAAAATGGGATCTCTCGGCCCGTATCAGCGCAAGCTCAAGGTGGCAGTCGTCGGTTCCGGCAACTGGTAAGTGGTCTCGTGGGCAACGGGAGGTCCTCCTCAACACAAACAATAACTAACCGTTTTCTTTCTTAAACCTGACAGGGGTACCGCCATTGCCAAGATTGTCGCCGAAAATGCAGCCGCCAACACCGATATCTTCGAGGAGAAGGTGGAAATGTGGGTATTTGAAGAGAATGTCGAGATCGCAAAGGACTCGCCGCACTACGATCCCGCTCTCACGGGACCTCAGAAGTTGACCGATGTGATTAACCGCACCCATGAGAACGTCAAGTACCTTCCAGGAATCCGGTTGCCGGCCAACCTGCACGCCAATCCCTCGATCGAAGACGCCGTCAAGGACAGCACCCTTCTGGTGTTCAACCTCCCCCACCAGTTTATCCTCAAGACCTGCCAGCAGATCAAGGGCAAGATCTTGCCCTACGCTCGAGGAATCTCGTGCATCAAGGGTGTCGATGTCAACGAGGAGGGCATCAGCCTATTCTCCGAGACTATTGGCAAGACTCTGGGCATCTACTGCGGTGCGCTCTCCGGTGCCAATATCGCCAACGAGGTCGCTCAAGAGAAGTGGTCGGAGACCTCCATCGCCTATGACCCTCCACACATGGACTCCAAGGCGCCCACACCCCAGCGCTCCCCAACTTCCTCTCAGGTCGACCTGGTGCAATTCCAGCACCGGGACACCTCGGGCGAGATTTCGAAGGTGAAGCTGCAGGCTCTGCCCTCCGACTACCCACCCATCAACCATGACGTCCTGAAGACTCTCTTCCACCGTCCCTACTTCCACGTCCGTGTGGTGAACGATGTCGCTGGTGTCTCCATCAGCGGTGCCTTGAAGAACGTCGTTGCGCTGGCCGCTGGTTGGGTGGACGGTATGGGCTGGGGTGACAATGCCAAGGCTGCCGTGATGCGCGTGGGTTTGATGGAGATGGTTCGCTTCGGAGATAAGTTCTTCGGCGCGACCATTGACCAGCACACCTTCACCGAGGAGAGTGCCGGTGTGGCCGATCTGATCACCAGCTGCAGCGGTGGCCGCAACTTCCGTTGCGCCAAGCACAGCGTCGAGCGCAACCTGCCCATTGAGGAGATCGAAAAGACCGAGCTCAATGGACAGAAGCTTCAAGGTACCTTGACTGCCGTCGAGGTCAACAGCTTCCTGAAGAAGCAGGGCATGGAGGATCAGTTCCCTCTGTTCACTGCCGTTTATCGTACGTTTCCCTAATATTACACATCTGATGCGTGAATATTTGCTAACTGGCTCATAGGCATCCTCGAGGGCACCATGCAAGTCAAGGAGATTCCTTCCTATATCGAGCGGTAATTTGATGATTCTAGTCTCTTTGTTCTTCGTGTCTATGGTGTTAATTTACCCGATGCGTTTCCCATCTAGCTCCCCAGTTTCTCGTACCCCGACTTCTACTTCCACTGTTGCTTCTCAAGGCGAGGATTGCGATGGCGCCCGGTATGCAAATGCGCGACTTTAAGCTTGAACTCTGATTTCTGGATTGGCGGGATTTGGCTTGTTGATAGATTCACGACTTGTACCTATGCATTGTATACGAAATGGAATTCCCTGACAACAATTAATACCGCCACCACTCGTAAACTCCCCTCAATTTTTCTTTCTGTCTAAAACCAAATAAATAATCTCAATTGAGTTTGATTTCGATCATTTCAGTCCAGGGCCGGTCCAAATGGTGTGAAACCCTGCTTTTGCGCCGGTGTGGTCCAGACTTGGCGCTAAAAATGCCCTGCCAAGGTGCCTCGAACGCCCGCATGCATGATGTCACCGGTGTACACAGCTTTAGCTTTGGGTGAGGGGATTTTGTCCTCCGCATTTCTCTTTTCTCTTCTCAACCCTCTCTTGCGGCCAAATCTCAGGCCTTTCGCTCGCTGAGAATACTCCAGCAGCATCATCACTGGGTTAAGCAGTTCTCGGTTCTTCGAGATTGTTGCGGCCGGCTATCATTCCTCCGCATCCCACCAACCCCATTCGTGCGTTGATCACCATGGGCCCCTCACGCCAGGTCTACCTGCTCCCATTGAAGGATGACGGCTCACCTGACGTACCCGGTGGGTACATATACCTACCACCTCCTGGCGACGAGGGATATGTGCTACGATTCATCATTGAGGGTACCAGCTCCATCTGTCGACAGGGGAGTCTGTGGGTCAACATCCCGGAGGAGGGCAAAGCGTTCGAGCGCCATTCGTTCCGCGAGTTCAGGTACCATTGCTCCTCTTCTATGGAGACTGTGAGGTTCTGCAAGGACGGCTACTGAACTCAAGTAGATTAAAGCCCGATTTCAATCGCAACATCCAGATCGATATCCCAGTGTCAAGTGCGGGCGCTTTCGCGTATTACACCACTTTCTCCCCGTTACCGGAGTTCTCGGTAGACCCTGTGCCTACCCCGGAGCCCACGCAGACTCCTATTCACTACATAGACGTTTCGCCCAAATTGACCCTTCAGGGCAAGCACCTGCCACTCAATGCGCTCTCGATTTTCTCGGTCATCTCCAAGTTCATGGGGGAGTATCCTGTGGACTGGGATAAGCATCTGAATGGCATTAGTCAACGGAACTATAACATGGTTCACTTTACTCCTCTCATGCAGCGCGGCGCCTCCAATTCCCCGTATAGTATCTATGATCAACTGTCCTTTGATCCGGCCCTGTTCCCGAAGGGAGAGGAAGATATTGCATCGCTTGTCTCGCGTATGGAGAAGGAGTACGGACTCCTGACTTTGACCGATGTTGTGTGGAACCATACCGCTCATAACAGCAAATGGTTGGAGGAACACCCCGAGGCAGGTTACAGTGTGGAAACTGCTCCCTGGCTTGAATCTGCCTTGGAATTGGATACCGCGCTGTTGAAGTTTGGCGAGGATCTCGAGAGCCTGGGTCTCCCCACAGAGTTTAAATCTACCGAGGATTTGGTGACTGTCATGAACGCCATGCGAAAGCAAGCCGTCGATGGTATTCGGCTGTGGGAGTATTATGCAATTGATGTGAAAGCCGACAAGAAAAAGATTCTCGATGCATGGACGAGTGGGAAGACAGACCCAGCAAGCATTCAACACACTGATCTGCACAAATTCGGTGGACTGACTCCGAAGGAACAAGGTCAACTTGTCCGCGAACACGGTATCCCAGCTTCCAAGCAAGTCTACGGACGATTCGGCCGTTCCGTGGATGCTACGTTTGGTGCCGCAATCCTGACGGTCCTCCACGGTGACTACGATCAGGATACCTCTGCAGCCGAGGCATCTTTGTCTAAACTTCTCGATGCTGTCAATTTGCCTCTCTACGAGGAGTATGACACAGATATTGCCGATATTATGGATCAACTCTTCAACCGCATCAAGTACCTCCGCATTGACGACCATGGCCCGAAGATGGGTCCTGTTAGCAAGGATAGCCCATTGATTGAGACATACTTCACCCGTCTTCCTCTCAACGAGACTACTAAGAAGCACAACCCCAAGGCACTTGCCTTGGTCAACAATGGCTGGATCTGGAACGCTGATGCCATGCGCGACAATGCTGGTCCCGACTCCAAAGCTTACTTGCGTCGCGAGGTCATCGTCTGGGGTGATTGCGTGAAACTTCGTTATGGAAAGTCGCCCGAGGACAACCCCTTCCTGTGGGACTTTATGACCAAATACACTCAGCTCATGGCCAAGTACTTCAATGGTTTCCGAATCGACAACTGCCACTCCACTCCTTTGGCTGTTGCGGAGTACCTGCTGGACAAGGCACGCAAGGTTCGACCTGACCTAACAGTCTTTGCGGAGCTCTTCACTGGCTCCGAGGAGGCCGATTATGTCTTCGTCAAACGTCTGGGTATCAACGCTCTCATTCGAGAGGCTATGCAGGCTTGGAGCACGGCGGAGTTGAGTCGACTCGTTCACCGTCACGGTGGGCGACCCATCGGTAGTTTCGACGTGGACCTACCCTCTGCCGGTAGCAGTCACGCTATTGCCTCTGCAGACGCTGGCGTAGCCGGCGAAGAAATCACCCATATTCGACCTTCTCCAGTTCCGGCATTGTTCATGGACTGCACCCATGACAACGAAGTTCCCGCTCAGAAGCGCGATGCTCGCGATACCCTTCCCAACGCCGCTCTCGTCGCGATGTGTGCCTCCGCCACAGGTAGTGTGATGGGCTATGACGAAATCTACCCCAAGCTCATCGATCTGGTTCACGAGAAGCGACAATATACTTCTCCGTTCTCTAGCGCCAACAAGTTGGAAGTTGGTGCTGGAGAGGGCGGCATCGGTGGCGTCAAGCGCCTGCTTAACGAGCTTCACACTATGATGGGTGTTGAGGGTTATGATGAAACTCACATCCACCACGATGGCGAATACATCACTGTCCATCGAGTTCACCCCAAGACAAGAAAGGGAATCTTCCTTATCGCCCACACTGCATTCCCTGGCAATGAAAGTGGCGCGATCCTGGCTCCGACGCACATCACGGGTACTCAGGCTAAACACATTGGATCTTGGGTTCTGGAAGTTGATGCCGGAGATGACACCAAGGCTAAGATCTCGGGTGATGACAAGTACCTCAAGGGTCTTCCCAGTCACACACGCGATATTGATGCAACCAAGATCGAAGGTGACGGCAAGGATGTGACCATCTCGGTTCTGGATACCCTGGTACCTGGAGCCATTGCGCTATATGAAACTTGGATTCCCGGCGCAGAGCATGCAAGTGGTTTGAACAAGTTCCTTTCCAGTGGAGCCGATGAGGCATTCTCAGGCCTCAGCTTGGTCGATTTGAACTTTGCACTGTACCGCTGCGATGCCGAGGAGAGAGACTCTAGTAACGGCGAGGACGGAGTTTACAATATCCCCAAGCATGGTCCTTTGGTCTATGCCGGTCTGCAGGGCTGGTGGAGTGTGCTGGAGGATATCATCAAGTATAACCAACTTGGACACCCACTTTGCGATCATCTTCGCGAGGGCCAATGGGCCTTGGACTATGTGGTTGGGCGGATGGAGAAGGTTGCCACCAAAGAAGGACATTCTGCTCTTGAAAAGCCCGCTGCATGGCTTCGTGAGAAATTTGATGCTGTCCGTGGCTTGCCTAGCTTCTTGCTCCCTCGCTACTTTGCGATCATCGTGCAAGTCGCGTACAATGCTGCATGGAAGACGGGTATCCACCTCTTTGGTGACAATGTCCGTCATGGTCAGGAATTCATTCACCAGCTGGCCATGGTCAGTGTTCAGCAAACCGGCTACGTCAATTCGGCCTCTCTGTGGCCCACGAAGCAAGTGCCCAGCCTGGCAGCTGGATTGCCCCATTTCGCCGTCGACTGGGCAAGATGCTGGGGCCGTGATGTATTCATTTCTATTCGTGGTCTCTTCCTCTGCACTGGTCGCTTCGACGATGCCAAGGAGCACATTCTTGCGTTTGCAAGCGTGCTTAAGCACGGAATGATTCCTAATCTTCTTAGCAGCGGCAAGTTGCCTCGCTATAACTCCCGTGACTCGGTGTGGTTCTTCCTGCAGGCCATTCAGGATTATACCAAGATGGCTCCCAACGGCAGCAGCCTGTTGCAGGAGAAGGTGCCTCGGAGATTCTTGCCTTACGATGATACCTGGTTCCCCTTCGATGACCCTCGAGCGTACTCGCAGTCTCCGACAGTCTTGGAGGTCATCCAAGAAGTCTTCCAGAGACATGCTCATGGCATGTCATTCAGGGAATACAATGCCGGACCGGATCTTGATGTTCAAATGAAGCCTGAGGGTTTCCAAATTGACATCAAGGTTGACTGGGACACTGGTATCATCTTCGGCGGTAGCCAGAACAACTGTGGCACGTGGCAGGACAAGATGGGCGAGAGCGAAAAGGCAGGCAGCAAGGGTGTTCCAGGAACGCCTCGTGATGGAGCCGCGATTGAAATCACTGGCCTCGTCTACAGTGCTCTTACATGGGTGGCGAAGCTACACGAATCCAATGCGTACCCCCACGCGGGAGTCGACATTGGCGATGGCAAATCGGTCACGTTCAAGGAATGGTCGGAGAAGATCAAGGCTAACTTTGAACGCTGTTATTATGTCCCCGTCGACGCCAAGGATGACAGCCAGTACGATGTCGATGCCAACGTTGTGAACCGCCGTGGTATCTACAAGGATCTGTACAAGTCCGGCAAGCCGTTCGAGGATTATCAGCTTCGTGGGAACTACCCCATCGCCATGTCCGTGGCACCAGAGCTGTTCACACCCGAAAAGGCCCTCTTGGCCCTCTCCATCGGTGACTCTGCCATCCTGGGGCCCGTCGGCGTTGCCACCCTAGACCCATCCGACCTCAATTACCGCCCATACTACAACAATTCAGAGGACTCCACGGATTTCGCAACCTCCAAGGGTCGAAACTACCACCAAGGTCCTGAATGGGTCTGGCAGCGGGGATACTTCCTCCGTGCGCTCCTCCACTTTGACCTCCTGCGTCGTAAGACGGCCGAGGAGCGAATCGAGTCGTTCCAGCAGATCACCCGGCGACTTGATGGGTGTAAGAAGGCTTTGCGGGAGAGTCCGTGGAAGGGACTGACGGAATTGACGAATAAGAATGGAGAGTATTGTGCAGATTCGGTATGTTGATCTATCATTTCTTGCATTTGTGAGAGAAAAGTTTACTAATGTTTTTTTTGGTTATTTGATAGTCGCCTACTCAGTCGTGGTCCGCTGGTTGCCTGCTTGATCTCTATTATGATGCTGCCAAACTTTCTTAGAGCTGCATGATGAGGGGGTTGACACAGGGACTGAGCATTAGTTAGACAGCGTCTCATTCTCCGATACCGTTCTCTTTTGTTGATTTTTAGGCATTTGCATACATAACACATTGTGATTTGAAATAATCTAATTGTTATCGATTAACTGGTGTTAACAATTGTCCATCTACAATTGGCTATCCAATTCAGCTTCTTGACCAGCACCTGGATACTGGGGCCATACTTGAGTTTTACTTGGGCTTGCCTCCTTTACAATCTAGATTTATTCCCTCCACGTGCCAAATAGCTCATACAAACTGAGTTTTGACACCTCATAGTTGGCCACATTCTTCGTGTTTCAGCTGCCACCGGTCCCAACGTGGCAGTGTTTGGTCCCAAAATGGGGAGGTCGTGTGATGATCTTCATAATGGGTAAGAATTTGCTGTAATTCAGAAGAAAATTTGTAGAATAATGGTAAATATTTAGTCGATAAACAGCAGTACGCTGTCAGTTGTACCGCAGTAACCTCCCAAGACCATTATCAGAAAGCGGCGAGGGATGCCTAGGTATGGTGCCTAGATGAGGCGGTGAGAAAGGCGGTGAGCCTCTTTTATATAGGATTTCCTGCTTTTGTGCCGCCCAGTGCGAACAGATGTACTCCCGGAACAATAGATTTTCCGAACCGGGCACTTGGCCTAATGGTCATGTATCTGGTTCGGACAACCTGGATATTCTTATGTACATACACTCCCTACATTTCTTATCCCCAGGTATATCCACAATCTTTGGAACCCCCCCGTTCGCTTCACAGCATGAGCGCCTTTTTTTTTCTTTTTCGAGGATGTGATAGACGCACACTTTTTTTAACTTGATGCAGCCCATATCATTATGTCACGTGATTATATACTCACTTTCACTCGTCTTCACGTGATTCACGACATTGTGTACAGTGGGAGTGACCACCAACCGGACATGCTTCAATTATTCTTATTTGAAAGTTCTTTCTAAATATCTTTCAATTCATCTTCTTGATGACACAGGTACCATCTTTTGGAACTATCTTTCAACTCATGGCTGCTAAGATGATTTTGAATACTTGTCGGGGTTCAAACTTATGGAACCCCACTGTATATGCAGAACAACACCGTCTGTTTCCATTGGAGTGAATACCTATTTGAAGAGGGTAGATACTTTGAAGACGGAAATACCTTGAATGTCCAATTTCATAAACAGCAAGATACATAGCTTCTAGAAAAACAGTCAATGGCAAATCCGGCTTCTCATGTGCTGGGCTTCCTCAAAGTCTTCCCAAGGCTCCCACGTTCAACCACTGGGACACTGTCCTTTGGCTCCCCAGCTGATGGTAGGCCCAACATACCAATTGAAGCGCCTCGCTGTATGCTTCTGGAAGGATCCCAAGAATTTCGGCAATACCTACAGAATCTCTGATCCTTTTCGAAAGGGGCCCACATGGCGGGTGCATGGATACGGTGATCCCCGCGCATTCCCTGGCCTTGCAGGACCTTGGGCTTGGGGTCTGGACAACCTTGCACGACACAATATACAACAACACAATCTCCCTCATCCAATGGACTCGACGGTCTGTGTTGTTTTTGCAGAGAGGATCAACTGTTGACGAGATGTCCCTTGAAACAGATGTTCCAGGAGTCTCCCCTTGATCATGATGTGTCTCATCTGGTGGAACCCCCTTTCCTCCCCAACCATCCAAACCACTCAGCTGCATCCGGTCGTCGGAGGCCACATTCTTCGCGCGGTTGGTTTCACCCCCCAAATCTCTCGATGGAATGCGCATGAACCGCGGGGGGCGACTACCACCAGACCACTCTTGATGCGATAGTCGCATTTCCATCGTCGCCAGATCCAGACGCAGTCTGCCGGGATGGCCTGGACATGAAGACTTTGCCCGTTGCCTTTCATTCCATGCGCTCCATCATGCTCAATTGAGAGTATACTCCGGTACGCCGCAGGTTGTACGCTGTCCGCGTCGCTGACTCGCTGACTCGCCAAGCATCCGCCCGTCATGCTGAGGACCCGTGGAACCGGGCGAGTCTATCGCCGCGAGAGCCTTTCCCATGGCCAAATTTTTGGCTGGAACGCCGCTGACAGCTCCACTAATGGCGCTCAGTCGCGAATACTTTCTGCCATCAACGTGGTCCATGTCTCACCAGACATGGCGACGTCAGGCCGCGATGTTAGACGATGGCGAATCAAAAAAGTTTCGCCCGAAGTATACGATCTGAGGCCCTTATGCAGCAGTAGAAAACCCTTGCCTCGCCGCTCATTTCCCACTCCATCCCCAGTTAGTTCCAATCTATCAGATTTTGTTTCTTTTTCCTGCTTTGCTCTCTTACTTGAACGGCTGGACCACCGCTTTCGCGCTTGATTTCAGTGACACCGTTTCTCTCCACTGCCGATACAACCTTGCACTTACACTTGGCACATTACACATACTTCGCTTGCCTGGTCAGACTCTGGCTACCAATTGTCGACATTCAAGCTCCATAGACCCGGTTTAGGGTAGCACCAACCCAATTCTCGACTCTCTGGGATTTTAGCCGACAGGTCAGATTGTATCGCTTGTTGCAGCGCAGTGAGTGGCCGACCGATGCGCCGTTAAGTTATCCCTACCGGCTTGTTCGATCAGCATCGGCCAAGTGGAGCCCGTTCCGATCATTCCGTCGTTAGTCTATTCTCTTGCCGGCCAATCTACGGAGAACTACAGACGCATTGGGCTTGGTAGACCACTTTTATCGACTGTTCCAATCTCAATTCTTGACAATCGAATCTTCTCGTTGTCGGGATTGATTTGCCATTCACATCTGGATTACCTACAACTTGAGGTCATCGTGGCAAAAACAATAGAGGGCTTTCATACATGTCGAGCCACTAAATTCCCTCGACATTTTGTCGACATGCCATCTTTGAGGTCTCGCAGCGACAGCCATGCCGGGCAGGCTCCCGGGGTTGAAGCTGCTAGAACTCGACAACTGCGACACCCAGATGTGGCAACTCCCATCACACAACAAGCTTGTCAACCCTCAATCAGCAACTCAATATCTGCTAGCGACCCAGAAGAACCGCTCACAGTATTCGCCCAACATGATACCTCGAAACTTGCGAGTGGCTCAATACCCCCAGCAGCCAACATCGCTCCCGCCGAAATTCTACTTCAAATCTACTCCATGTTAACCCCGCGGGACTTCGACAATGCACGACGAACATGCTCACAATGGATGCGAGTCAGTCTGAATCGCAAGCTGTTGGAGGGAATGCTGAGACGCGCTGGATGGTGGGATGCCTATAAGCAAGATGCCGAAAAGCAACGGGTTCATCGCCGCCCATCCAGCGAAGAAAGTGATGTTTGGAGAATGAGCAAGCGCTTTGCAACCGAATGTCTACTATCAGGGCGAAAAGCGAATGTCGAAAAATCGGGCTTCTTGAAATCGGAAATCATCGACTTTTCAGGACTATCTAAAGGAATGACCTCGAAGGCTCGAAGATATTCATCTAATGGATCATCGAAAGCTGCTCGAAATGGAAGTTCGCCTGTCTCTTCGACTTTCAGCATGAGCAGTTGCAGTAATTATATCCTGGCGACTACTGGCTGCATGATCTATGTGTTTCGATTACTTGGTAGGAGAGCGAAGTCAGTTCTCTCTGTGGATTTGGCAGATGTGGACCTCGAACCCATTTCCAGTATCGAATGCCCGTTCGAGGTTCTGTCTGCAACATTTGACACGACTACGCCGGGTTTCGTGGTCGCTGCATTGCTGCAGAATCGAGTTGGTATGGTCTGCGACGTGGAAATACCCGATCGTGCTTCGCGTGCTGCTGGTTCAGCAAGAACAAATCCCTCCTCTCCGCATTTCTATTACAATGTCTGCTCGGAAGATCACCCCCCACGAACAATTGCCCTCTGCCCCGGCCACCGATGCGTAGCATTTGGATGCGCGGGAGGTATCGAGATCCACTGGGTCGATGAAACAACCCGCAAAGACCAACGGAGACACTTTCCCATGTCCCAGCCCTCCGAAATCCTCCATTTCCTACCTAGCAACCAGGAAAATCCCACAGAACTGCGACTCATCTCATCTCTCGCTGGTCCGGGAGTCCATGAGTGCGCATGCCGACAATCCCCTTACCCTGATCACCCGAAGAAATGCCCATTCCACCTCCTCTCCGACGTACAATCTTTCAGTCGTCGCACTCCACCCAACGCCGCTTCCCTTAGTCTTGTCCGGGCTACTCACTGCCATCATTACCGCGCCGTCCCCATCAACGACGGCTTCCACATTATATTCGTGGAACCACGCACCGGCCTTCTCTGCATTGGATCCGACGCACCAATCGGTGGTCCAACAAGTCTAACCCGAGCCTTCGTATGTGTCCCACCCTTCGGCAAAGACCCAACAGAAAGCATCAAAGAAGCCCGCGTCCCGACCGTTTTCACCGTCGGCTCAGACCTAAGCTGGGGTCTCCGCGTCGTGGCCGCATATCAAGACCGCATCGTCCTATACTCCATACCTCTCGACGTCTTCAACGTGATTCGCAAAGAACGCGAACGCCAAGGTGAAGGCGTTATGGGTGATAGCGATCTCGCCCGAGACTGGTTCGTCGACTCAGAGCGGTTCCGCAAACGTCGCGAGAGTGTGGTCCAGAATCAGAATGGTGATTGGGAGTTCTTGTTAAGTGTCAGTTACCGACCCACTGCGATGATGTGGCCGTTTAAAATCTACGGCAAGGAGATCGGTCGTGTGGATAATGTGGTGGAACTCGCGCTGCAGTCTTCGAATGGTGGTGCGCGCATTTGGGCTTTCTCTGCATCGGGTGAAGCCCACGTCTTTGATATCGATACCCTCACATCGACTACAAAGACTACCACCGAGACACCGTGCAAAATCGTAACCGTTGGCTCGGACGGTAGTTTGGAGTCTTCCCGGCTCGTTGATCGCGCCGAGTTACGGACTTCGCCCCTTCAAGGCTCTCGCAAACGCAAGTTCACCGAACTACGTGATGAATTCGTCGGTCGATATGGCACGAGTCGCTTTGTTCCGAACATGACACTAGATGGCCTCGAGCCTACCAGTGTCGTGGCGGCGGCACTGGCCCCAAATGAAGATTCGTCGATTCGGCGCCCATCTTTTGCAGCGTGTATTGTCGATTTCAAGATTCCGGAGTTGGGGCCTCGAGAGGGTCGTTGGGGAGATGCTGGGGTAGAGAGGTAAATAGATCTCGTGCTTCGCTTTCGCAGTTTTTATGCATGCTGGTTGGGCTTTTTGATCTTTGCAAATAGCTGTCTGTCCCTCTCGTGGATCTGAACATAGATTTGTATTTACTGTCTCTGTATAGTGCGTTCTTCAATGGAATTTCCCGCTGATGTTGAAGCTAAGTGACTTGACGCTTTCTTGGCAGCATTAAGAAGAGATCACATCAATCCATACACTAAGTAGACTGGATGGGAAGTTACCCATTACAGAAAGTGCTTTTCGGAAGAAAAGTGGAGGCGATGAACATTAGACCTTTCCCTGTCAGGGCCTAATCTCCTAGACGCAGTTATCTCGAATAGTTTACATGCGATAAAGTAGGTTTGAGAAATGATTTTAGATTCTCATTTGAAGAAAAATTATGGAGACGCATCAAAACTTTTCCTTGATTCCCATGGCACAGTACGCTTGCAAAATGCCTCATCGTTACATCCGGGTGTCATAAAAGGCAGCAAAAAGACAAGAAACGCAGCAACGCTGTTTAGTTAGCGCCGCTGAGTTTTTGTCTCCGGGCCTTGACGGCTTGAGCCAATGTGTCCAATGTGGTCTCGGTGTCTTCCCAGTTGATGCAGGCATCTGTGATGCTGACACCGTACTTGAGGCCGGCCTTGCCCTCGGCGGGGACTTTCTGGTTGCCTATATTCACTTTGGTTAGTATAATTTCGGATAATATGCTTTTGTTTGCGGTTGTTGACTCACCCTCGTTAATGTTGCTTTCAATCATAACACCCATAATAGCGGTTTCACCGGCGGCAATTTGCTCGCTGAGGACAGCGGCAACCTTGGGCTGGTTCTTGTGGTTCTTCTCAGAGTTGCCGTGGCTGCAGTCCACCATCAAGCGGGGAGTCATGCCCTTGGCCTCCAGCTTGGCCTTGGCCTCCTTGATGCTGGCAGCATCGTAGTTGGGGCCCTTCTTGCCGCCACGCAGAATGACGAAGCAGTCGGGATTGCCGACAGTGCCGACAATGGAGGCAACACCGGGCTTGGTGACAGACAAGAAGTGGTGGGGGTGTCTGACGGCGCCAATGGCATCGACCGCAACGTCAAGCGAGCCGTCGGTGCCGTTCTTGAAACCGACAGGGAAAGACAGACCGGAGGCCAGCTCACGGTGAACCTGAGACTCGGTGGTACGGGCACCGACGGCACCGACGGACAGACAATCAGAGAAGAACTGGGGAGAGATGGTATCGAGCATCTCGCTGGCAATGGGCATGCCCTTGTCGGTCAGGTCGACGAAGAGCTTGCGGGAAACACGCAGACCCTTGTTAATCTGGAAGCTATTGTCGATATCGGGGTCGTTGATCAGACCCTTCCAGCCGACTGTGGTGCGAGGCTTCTCGAGGTACGACCGCATTACAATGAGCAGGTCATCGGCGTACTTCTCCTTCATCTTCATCAACCGATCGCAGTATTCCAGAGCCATGTCGGGATCGTGAATTGAGCAGGGACCGATGACGACCATCAGACGCTGCCTCTCGGCATCGGTGCCATGAACAATGGCCACGGCCTCCTTACGACCATTCAAGACGGTTGCCCGTGACTTTTCCGTCAATGCGATTTCATGCTGAAGGAGGTTGGGCGGAGTGAGGGGGTTGTAACCGCGAACTGTGTCGAGTGTGAGCTTGGAAATGCCATTGAGAATGGACAATCTGGGTTGAACGTACTCCTTGAGTCTTCGAGATTGTCGGTGTTTCCCACATTGGGGTTTTCAATGAAGAACTAACGATTGGTTAGGATCAATGGTGGCCACAAACATTGCGGGTTACACATGAGGGGTCAACTTACCGACATGGCGGGGTAAGGTGGGAGAGGGCAATTGGCTTGAAGAGAGAACTGGGCAGGGGAATATGGGAGTAATTGAAGGTCAATTGAGTATATTTGAGATGTATGAAGAAGAGAATAGAGCTCCGACTTTAAAAATAAGAAACAGAAAGTTCGCTGGCTCCGTCAAGGGAGGAATGACTCAACCCGAGAACCACCCAGACACGTGATCCTCGGTGAGCGGCGCCAATGTGCGTCACCGCAGACGAGGACAAAAAGGACGAAAGGACAAATCGACTACGAAACTAACGTCTATGGCTGTGAACTCATGCAGCTAAGATGGTCAACTCCGACGCCTGGGTCGCTTAAAGCACAAACATACTTTTACCTCCTTACAGTCCCTGTTGCACCCCATGGTCCAACTCTTGTAACCCCTGAATCATTTCCTGGCAGATTTGGGTGTGTTGCTCCTTGACGGACAACATCTGTTGGCGATACAACTGCATTCGCACTTCTTGTGCTCGGAACAGATCATCGAGGATACGATTGCATCCTTGTCGGTAGATATGCAACACTTGTCGAATGGTGTCCTGCTCGGCGGCAAGCTGGCTCGATAGATTCTGTCATACTTCTTAGCATTGGGCCCATATTGAAGCTCCCTAGCATTGCAACCCACCTGGTTAGTGGCCAACAAGAGGTTGTGAGCGCTCTGCTGAGCAACCTGTAAATCTGTGATCCAATTCATATTATTCAGATCGCCCTGCATGAGCGTAGACAGTCGCTTCTCAACGTTCTGCTCATCGTGACTGGCCTCCATTCTTGGAGCATCAATGGACCTCGGGAACGACCTAGACGGAATACCATATGCTCTGTCATTTCCGGTGGCGCCACTCCCCACAAGATTGTAGTCCCCACGCTTGTCTGCGCGTGGTAGCTCAGTGACATCTGCAGTAGTCGCCTTGCTGATTAGACCTGCACAAGAGGCAACTTTGACTGCATCGCCGAAGAGAGCCCGTCCGGTCAAATCCGTGGTCAGTTCTTCGGGACTAATTCCGTATTCCATGAACATGTCTCGCTGGTATTTGGACCATCCCCCTCCACTCTGGTGTTTGCTTTCAGAGTAATAACCATCAGAGTCTTCATCACATTCGCTGGAACTGGAGTCAGTGACTCTGATATTCTGTAGAAGGAAGTGGTCAATATTGAGGCGTGATTTCCCGGTCTTGATATCGTTTTGGGGGCGAAGTCGAGGACTGCCATTACGGTCAACAATGCTGCTCCGTGTAATTGACTTTGGAAGTGTAAGGGGAGCAATTTGTTGTAGACCGGTGTGTGCGCTCAGAAGTGGCTTCTGGGATTCTGGAGTATGCTCGCTTTCACCTCCTTCAACAGGCAACATCGTAATACCATCGGGCAGCGGGATCTCAGAGCTCAGGGATGAGGTCTCAAGCTCGTCTTCCAGGCGCTGTAGGTCTTCTTGCGGGTTATCTTGAGCTGCATGGGGCAGTTGCATCGGGTTCATCTCCATTGCGTCGGACAAATGTGCCACTGAACTGTCGTCGGGAATCACCATTGGGTTCTGAGGGTCATCGCCATCGCCCTTACGGTCCATGAGTCCGGCGATATGCAATTGCTTCTGCGTGTCCGATAGGTGTCGGGTAGGTGGAACCGCTGTCCTCAGAGAAATACTTGTCGTCTGGTGTGTGTGAGTGCCAGGGGCCGAGATCTCATCAGGTTCATTTAGATTCTTCTGCTCTCCAGCCGAAGATGTATCTGATGTTCCATCTTGCACCACCTCAAGCTCCGAGTTGAATGGACTCCGAGCCGCAGGAACCTTAGTTGGTTGTGTAAAATTGCCTCTTGGAATCCCGGAGGCTGTCCCGCCGACAGTGATCTGAGTAGGAGAGAATCGCGATTCAACCTCGGGAGAAAATTGGGAATTCAGTCCAGCCTCGCGAAGTGCATCGGTAAGTTTCTGCCCAAGAGTGACTCCCCTTCCATGCGAGTTTGCCATTGCTGTCTGTCCATTGATTCTCGGCGAACCTGTGCCTTGTCTCAGGCTTGACAGGTTGGATTGGAGCAAGGAGTCGCTTGAGAGCTCAACGATTTCATGACTTGAGCTCACCACTTCCAATTCGTCATCGTGCTTATCAATTATAGAGAAAGAGGCTGCTGGCATGTCAAGGGCATCCCGTATGCATGCATTGTCAGGCCGTTCATCTGGGAGTTCCAATACCGACTGAGCATCAACTTTGTCGGTCTCTGGCAGAGACTTGTCATTGATGTTAGTGGCCAAAGGAAGCTGGGCACTGATGCTACCCTTCTTCTTGGTGGCTTTCCGGCGTTTGGCCGAGTCTGATTTCGCCTTTGGTGCTTTGCGTTTCTTTCTTGAGCTTTTCTCTGATTCAGCGTCCGGAGAAAAGAGAGAGGTTCCTCTGGAGGCCCCTCCCTTGTCGGCTTCTTTCTTATCATTGGGGGATTTCTCGTCATCAGTCGGTCGGATGCCTTCACTCCAGTCAACCTCTGCTGTTGGGTGAGAAGTAGATGTTTTTCGAGCAGATCGCCACGGTCGGGACTGCTCCAAGGAAGCCCGCGCAGGTGGGTAAGATTTTCTTGGATTCCGACGAGTAGCCTTTAGCTTGATAATACAGCTTTGTGCAACCCTTGAGCTAGAATTGCCTTTGGGGCTGCTTTGTGGGGGGTTAGCATAGGTGTCGATGGAAGCCAGTGATTGACAGGGATCATTGTCTGACAAAACCAAGGTTGTAAATGACTCCGCGGTCTGGTTGTCTGCTGTTTTGATATCTTTTGTCGAGTCGCCGATACCTTCCAATTGGATCTGTCGGATGCCCGGTATGGCGTGCTCAGTGGTAGCCTCATTTGCGTTGGTGGCTCTGGCCAAGCGCGCGATCTTGGCTATCTGTGACGAATCGTCCTCAGGTGGGATGTTCTTATAAATCGGACCTGCTTCCTGCACGGGCTCTGGGTGTTTGCTCGACATCTCTGCTATCTTGTTGCCGGCGTGACTTGTGGAGGCTTGTCCTTGAACACCCGTTGAAGCACCACTCTCTCTTCTTTTGGGCCCTAGCCGCGCCATTGCTTGACGGTCTTTACCCCGAATCACATCCCCTGAATCCAGCTGGAAGACGGTAGTCGTGACTGTCTGGAACTGGGATGTCGACATCCGAGCAAAGGCTGTTTGTTCCATTGAGGATAGGAGAATTGCGCAGTCGACTCGTTCAATTCGGGGTCAATGGAAACACAGTTCCCTGGCCAGGTCGAGTCAATGAGGCAACTAAAAGCTGAAGTCTTTGTTAGAATGGAAACCCCATCGCTGAGCCTGGACATGGATCTGCTTGGCCATACACCATGAGCCTGTATTGACCTGAGTCCTCCAGCGCTTCTCCCCGTCACACCCAATTGGCCCGGCTGGATTCCGGTTGATGTCCGTTTCAGATCAAGAGAATGCACCTGCCCCTTTGAAGGGTGGTTTCTGATGCTGAGGCTGCTGGATGATGAAGTGAGGAAAGTCCGCAGCGACGACCTCGACGGCAACAACGAGCGTCACATGATTCCTCGCAATTCCAAGAAGTCACTGACCGGCAACAATCCTACTCGAATCTTAGGTCCCTGGCTCGTTTCTCAGCTTGTTGGGAAATCAAAACACCGATGCCACGAGCTTAGATGATTTGCTCTCACATCATATTTGCAAAGCTGACTACATCTATTTCTATGCAAATGCGAACCATATCACAGTGGTGGCTCCATCCATGTGGAGGGGCAGCAAGACATCTCAAGTTTGACGATTCAGCTTCAATTCTCCAGTTGAAGCATGACTCGATCAGCGTCACTCTGACTGTTCACTTAGATGTCCCGAGATTGGTCCACTTCTGAGACAAGGTTCAATAATATCAGTGGAGACATCGAACTAAACTTTCTCAAGAGCTGTCTTCATTTTCTCCCTAACCATTGACTGTCAGGAAGCGTAGCATCCCTCATGAAGCTCTGCCAACATCTTTCAAGCTCTCACAGTGACTCCTTATTTGCGGGCATCGGCCCGTCCAAACTCCGTTCGTTATGCCCGGGCGCCAGTTGCTCCGTCACCGCGATTATTAATCGCGGCGATCCGACTTAGCAATGCTTCTGGTTCGCTGCTGCGGATACGACGCATCAATTCGTCCGAACCAGGCGTCCACCGCTACATATTTAAACATGGGATCCCCCTTAACTCCCCCTTAACTAATCCGATCGACTAACTTCCAGCCTCTAGTTGTCATTTCCTGCATGAAGGCATACCTTCTTTCTCGTGATGACTGTGGACCACCCTCGACGAACGGGCGATGAGGAAGCGCTCCCAGAGACCGAAGGCCGCTTCGATGCGATCAAGCCACTGACCCGGCTACGTGGCGCTTTACCAACTGGCTTTGTTCGATCTACGAGTCCCGATACACGTCCTCTCCCTACCACCACCTCAGACCGCCGACGCGTGTCCATCGATGCGGCTTCCCTTGATCGAGATGCGCATCTCTCGGAGAGGGTCACAGAACAACAGGAGAGCGGGCAGGCGCTGACTGGAACGTCTGCAGAGGGAGAGACCGTCCTATACCTAGCGTATGGCTCTAATCTGGCATCCGAGACATTTCGTGGCATGCGTGGGATTAAGCCTCTCTCGCAGATTCCGGTGCTTGTACCAGAGCTCCGCCTGACCTTTGACCTCCCCGGAATCCCTTATGCCGAACCCTGTTTCGCGGGCACACAATACAGAGATCCCGGATTTGTCAATGGTGAAGAGACAGAATCTCAAGACGACGACCTTTCTATAATCGATGGGGACTTCTTATCAGAAAAGGAGCCACTGTTGGTGGAGACGCGGGACGTACAAGGCTCAGAGGCGAACAGGAACCGGTGGCATAAACCCCTTGTCGGTGTTGTTTATGAAGTGACTTTGGCCGATTATGCGAAGATCATTGCTACCGAGGGTGGTGGTCGCGGATACAGAGATGTGGTCATCGATTGCTACCCCTTTGCGAAGGGCTTCAAGCCAACCGACCCAGTCCCAGATCATCCTGAGACTACAGCATTCAAGGCCCACACCCTTCTATCACCGAGCACAGATGATGCTCGAAAGGCGAAGGAGGTTGCCAAACATGGTGATTCCTCAGTCACGTATAGTTCCTGCCCCAAATCTTCAATATTCGGCGACATGGGACCGCACATGCGTCCTGATCCTGAGTATGCGCAGCCCTCTGCCCGCTACTTGAATCTGCTTGTCACGGGCGCCGCCGAGCATGATCTCCCGATCGCATATCAGGACTACCTTTCTGGGATCCACACGTACAAGATCACCACAGTCCGGCAGACAATTGGCAAGGTCATCTTCCTTGGTCTATGGGGACCGGTTGTTCTCTCTCTTCTGGCGTTCTCAAAGAGATTTGCGGGTCCAGATGGACGAAGCCCGCCTTGGCTGGTGACCTGGTCGAATGTAGTATTTGCGGGGGTGTGGCACAGCTATGATTACTTCTTCAAGAGAGTGTTTGGAGATGGCGAGCGGACATTGGGAGATACCCCATCGATTTGAGATAAGAGATTTCTTAACATCTTGATACTTCCCATGCTTTATATACCCTACATTCAAATACATGGTAATTCAAAAGAACTTGTACCTCCTTTTTCATGGCTTCCGTATCGTTTCCATCTGATCCACCCAAGGACCAGGTTGTATTCCTGTACAGTTTGAGTGGAGACATCTTGCACCGGACGCATTCACAAAGGAAATTAAATTCAGTTGACTCCACGAGCACACAGTTTTCGGAAGGGCAAAAAAGAGATATATCTAGGATACAGATACACGTGTGCTGGGAGCGTTCTAACAAAACAAAGGGAGAGCGACCCTAGACACAAAAACAAGATGATGAAAGAGATCTTTCTTAGGCAAAAACCGACGGGGCAAAAATACAGGGTATGCCCAATGGGTCACGTAACCTCGTCAGCCTCTCCCATTTTCAAACTCATACAGGCCTCGATGCCATCACGTTTAGCGGCGGGGGCCGATTGGGGGGCTGTACACGATCTTCCGAGACTTGATTGGGGCCCACTTGTAGCGCTTGACCCAAATGCTGATGGCGAAGAGACCAGACAGGAGGGCAATAGCCTTGACACCCATCTTCTTGCGGTCGTCCATCTCGGGCTCGGCGGCCCAGTTCAGGAACTCGACAACGTCCTTGGCCATCTGGGAGGTGGTAGCGGGGGTGCCGTCCTCGTACTCGACGACACCGTCGAAGAGGACACGACCCATGGCGATACCTAGAACACCACATTCATGTTAGAGATGTCAACGGAGCCAAGTCTCAAATTCTAGTTCACATACCGGTACCAGGGAAGTAGGGGTTGAAGTTCATGCCCTCGGCAACGCTAGCACCCGCTGGGGGCTCATCGGGGTAACCAGTCAGGAGGTTGAAGACGTAGTCGCAGCCACCGTGACGGCCCTTGATGATCAAGCTGAGATCGGGGGGAAGAGCACCACCGTTGGCGGCACGAGCAGCCTCGTCGTTCTTGTACGGAGCGGGGATGTAGTCGGACAGCTTGCCGGGGCGCTTCTCGATGTCACCCTGGTCGTTGGGCTCGGTGTCGTACTCGTTCTCCTCGGCCATGGTCTTCATCTCATCGACGGTGTGCATGACACCGACGAACGAGCGCCAGGGAACACGGGTCAGGGAGTGGCAGCTGGCGCAGACTTCACGGTAAACCTGGAAACCACGGCGGAGGCTGTATGATGAAAATTCATGTCAGTGGATGCGCGATGGCGGTATGGCGGCATTGGGGAAGGTGAACACTCACGCAGCGTGGTCGAAGGTCTTGTTGAAGCGCTGGTGAACCCAGGGGTAGTGAGTAGCGTGCAGACTGGATTAAAAAGCGATTGTTAGTCCATTGGTCGTGCGCAGTCCGGATCGCACAATCCTCGGTTCGGGGTAGCGGAGCGACCATGCTAGTCACTCCCAAAGCTGGGAAGAAATTGAAGACTCACCCCTCCTCAGCAGGGGTCATGGCGAAGGCCTCCTGGCCATAGAGACGGTAGTACCAGGCGGCGGAACCGGCAGCCGCGGCGGTAGCGAGCGAGGCAGTGAGAGTGAGGTAGAAGGGGGAGCTGGCGGCATCGGCACCGGCGGCGGTGGACGAGGCACGCTGTCAGGATTCGTTAGCAAAACCCATATCTCCCACATCTTGAAGCCATATCAAAGCGATTGCCCTTTTCGGCGAGGTTCAATGGATTGGACGAGGGTGATGAGAGCGTACCGTGGACTTGCCGACAGGCTGGCGAGCAAAGGCCCGGGCGGCCACGCGCGGAATGGAACGGCCCAGCATGACGAATTCAGACCCTCCGATCGATTGGCGATGGATGTGAAAGGGCGGGATTCGCTTCGAGCGAGACGAAGGAGAGGGGGGGGAGGGGGGGTGGGTGCACAGGAGAGGCTGTCAAGAGGTGCGAGTTGAGGTCGAAGGTCAAGTTTCTCGCTGGGGGAGGATTGGGTAAAACCCTCACTCTGATTGGCTGCGCTGGGGCGGCCGAGCTGACTTCGGTGAAAACCGGCTGTGTTGATGGCCTGGTTTTACAGGCATCAATCACGTATTTCTTGTGATCTGAGATCCCCGGAGTAATGCGTTATGAATCAGAATCGTACATCAACAAGTCCCAGATACTAGATAAAGTACCAAACATTGCATCTATTAATTATTTCTGCTCAATGGCTTAGCATCACCATCTTCGTACTCATTAGTAGACATCACCACCAGATATCCCCGATCCCGTGACCAGGCCGAGGTCACGGGAACTTCCATGCTTCTTTTGTTTGACTATTGCTGTTCATGGACTGGTTGCTACTTATTTCAAATCGTAGATAAATAAATGACTAGGCCTTCCGAGGTCGGTAATAGAAGAACTTACAGAAGCTTGGTTGTTGTGTGTCATTACATCGATACTCAGGAGTCCACAGCTTGACCCCATCCATCTGATTAAGGTAGTGGTAAATTTATAGATCAGCTACTTGATAGAGCTTTGAGAACCCAATCTTGCTTTAGCACACTTAAACCTCTTTCCAACTCGATAGGCATTGATTATATGAGGTAATATGAGCTTAAGCCTGGTTATTGACAGCTTCCAATTTACCATGATGCGGTAGTCCATGACCTAAGATATATATCCGCGCCCTTATTGGAGCACATAGTAGAACATGAGCTATCACCACGTGTGAAGGCCAAGGCCATATTTGCATAGTGCTAGGCAGGTCTGAGAGGTAAAAAAATCTAGACAATTCCAAAGTGCACTAAATTCCAAAAACGTTAATAAACGGTACTCAACATCGTTCGGTTCTAGGTCACAGCCGGAGCGCTGGAGCAGTATGCTCCATTTCGTCGGTTATACTCTCGATCAAAATGCCCAAATACTAAACTCGGAGGATAAAACGCAATGGATATTCCAATCTTACCAATTGGCGCTGGAATGACTATCGCACTGGAAGTATCAAAGAGGTATGTGGTCAGGTGGGGCCTACTAAGCACCTCCACACACCATCAAGTGATTTATACAACAGCAGAACAGAGCCCAAAGGAGAATTTTCGTAATTGACGTAGCGTGAAAAATCTTGTCGTACAGTTTTTAGCCAATGCTTCCAATGTAGTATGTAAAAAACGGCTTTGTTCTGGCCTCGCCGCTATCGGACCCGGGGAAGATTCCCTTGAGTCATTTTGGTAAACCAAAGGGAGTTAAGGGGCCGATCCATCACCGTAAATCCGAAATATCAACAAATTGTATCTACTACTAGTGCATGAATGTATAATGAGGCGCTTGGTTAATGCCCCGATTGTAGCCGGGTAGAACAATGGACTTCTGGCATTGATATAAGTCGAGTATGTAGTAATTTGCGTCAAGCTAGATACTCTATTAGGGCATTGACCCCTTACCGGCTCTCATCGGACTAGCCTTTGCACAACCAGGCTCACAAGGATAAATTCGTTGGAGTGACTCATCTAGATCATTTTAAAACATCTCATTCCTCAGTTGGTCTTCGGTTTCTCAGGTGAACCAGTCACTGTTTGCAATTGTGCTTGCCACCCCGTCTTTTTCGACGCTATCCGATTCCCATACTTCAAGATGTTTGGAGTCATACGCGCAAGGCCAGGAAGCACAACAAGATGTTATTTTCAAACTTGTCACGCACGGCGAGCATTATCATCACAGGCTGTTGCAGCTGCTATACCCCAGCCTGCGATACCGACAGACCAATACAAGACACAATTGACTGAGTAAGCTCGAGTCGAGGGAACTTCTTGGATCAAGAAAATCTAACCAATGCTTCGATATAGTACCTTCACGTCTTCGTCCTCCACAAATTTGCCCCCAGCAGCTCGTGCAGTGTCAAAACCGTCACCAAATACCTCGTACGCTCTATATTATAATATCAACAATGCATTGATCGCTAATGCCCATCCTTCTCAGATTCCTCGGCAAAACAGGAGGTCAAATATTTCATGAGATGATGATTCACCACGGTGTCAAACATATTTGTCAGTCCTCTCTCCCCATTCACCCATACTGGCGCTGACTTTTAATTCTCTGCTAGTTGGCTACCCCGGCGGCGCAATTCTCCCGGTCTTCGACGCGATCTACAAATCCAAAGAATTTGACTTCATCTTGCCTCGCCACGAACAAGGAGCAGGTCATATGGCGCAAGGATACTCTCGAGTCACTGGAAAGCCAGGTGTTGTTCTGGTTACGTCTGGACCGGGTGCAACCAATCTGATCACTCCCATGATGGACGCGTTGGCGGACGGGACCCCAATGATTGTGTTTTGTGGACAGGTCAAAACAGGACTGATCGGATTGGATGCTTTCCAAGAAGCAGATATCTTGTCTATGTCCCGACCATGCACGAAATGGAACATTAGTGTTCGAAGCCCGGCAGAGCTCCCGAAACGGATAAATGAGGCCTTTGAAATTGCGACAAGTGGACGCCCAGGGCCGGTTCTGGTGGAGCTTCCCCAAGACGTCACGGCTGGAAAGCTGCAAGAGAATCTCCCTCTTTCACCGGTCTTGCCAAGGCACCTAGGAACAGCTAGGACAGCTATAAACCAGGTCAAAAAAGACGAGTTGATGCGTGCAATCAATGAAGTTGCACGACTGGTCAATGTGGCTAGAAGGCCTGTTTTGTATGTAGGCCAAGGTATCCTTGCAACACCCGAGGGCCCCCGGCTGCTGAAGGAATTTGCTGAAAAGGCAAGTATACCTGTGACAACTAGCCTCCAAGGTCTTGGGGCCTTTGACGAAGAAGACCCCAAAGCATTGCATATGTTGGGACTCCACGGGTCTGGATATGCTAATATGGCAATTCAAAGGGCCGACTTGATTATTGCCTTGGGCTCAAGGTTCGATGATCGAGTGACCGGAAATATTGCTAAGTTCGCACCAGAAGCCAAATTGGCCGCTGAACAGGGTCGTGGTGGAATTGTTCACTTTGATATTTCGCCGAAGAATATCAACAAAGTTGTGGAAGCCACAGTGCCCGTGGTGGGTGATTGTGCAGTGAACCTAAGGCTTCTTCTTCCACACATCCAGTCAGCACAGCGCCCGGAATGGCTCTCACAAATTCAAGAATGGAAGGCAAAGTATCCATTCCAAGCCTACAACCGCAGCGGCCGCAATGATCAAATTCTACCCCAGAGGTTCATTGAACGGCTTTGCCAAGCAGTGACTCCGATCAAGGATCGAACGATCATTACAACCGGTGTTGGACAACACCAGATGTGGGCAGCTCAACACTTTCGCTGGAGATACCCTCGGACAATGGTGACATCGGGGGGACTGGGGACAATGGGCTACGGGCTCCCCGCCGCGATAGGAGCCAAGGTTGCACGGCCTGATGCTCTGGTGATTGACATTGACGGTGATGCATCTTTCAATATGACCCTCAATGAGCTGCAAACTGCAAGTCAATTCAACATTGGCGTCAAGGTTATTTTACTTAATAATGAGGAGCAAGGCATGGTTACGCACCTTCAAACTGTGTACTATGACAATCGATTCTGCCATAGTCATAACCAGAATCCTGATTTCGTCGAAGCTGCTCGGGCAATGGGGGTGCAGGCACAGGCTTGTTCTGAAGTTACTGAGGTGGACGAGAAATTGAGGTGGTTGTTGGAAAGTAATGGTCCTGCCCTCCTGGAAGTCAAGGTAGCCCAAAAAGCATTGTCTCTACCTATGGTTCGATCTGGGAGTGCCCTTGACGATTTCCAATTCTACAGCGACTGATCAACCCTTCTTGGCTATGTCAAGGGGGTTAAGTATCATATCCGGATTGATTACAACTTAATTAGGAACGAATGTAAACCATTCCACATTGTTCTAAGCAGATAAGTCATCTTAATCTTATAGGTGCCATTACGGTTTTGGTAACGTTGGTCTGAGATTTTGTACTTAGAGATGTCATTGTAAGCTAAAAGATAACCACAATCAACGATCGCGAATTTACATAGCCCCCTCCCTCTCTGCTAATCATATTAGACAGTATGTTTTAGTTAAGCCTGCTCCCAACAAAGCAAAAATATCCACGCTATACATCCAAGTATAGCCATTGACGAAGTCAACGATCAATTGAGCGACGCAGGGATCGAACCTGCAATCTCTTGAGCCGAAATCAAGCGCCTTACCATTAGGCCAGCCGCCCCGATAAGAAATTCGTTCGTTAAAGCGGCTGGACCGCCTGCTGAGTCAAGAGAATTTAGAGATGCTACTCTCACCTCACTTCTGCCTCACTTCTAGTTTAATTTAATAGTTAAGTAATAGCTAAAAAGCCTATCTTTGGAAAGGTAGAAGCTCCTTTGTAATGTTTTTCAAAATAACTATATACTTATTTTTCTAAACATGCTTCCTACTTGTCATCTCTCATTAGTCTTATGATTTCTTAGCATTGTATTTGATATGTTAGAAAAAATAAAGTAACGAAGTTTGGATCCCTGATACACTTTTCAAAATTAGCCTAGTAGTTACCACATTTACTATAGAAATAGTATCTGTGCTATCGAGAAAGAGCATCCGAACAATATTTAGAAAGATCTTTTAAATGAGAGTGATCAAAGCATTTGCTAGTTAGTCTATTTCTCTGGTTTATAGACCTGAGACTTTGGAAATAACTGGCCCCTTACACAAATTACTATTTCTTCAGACCCTAACTTCTAAGCCGTTTTCGATACAATCAAAAGCTCAAACGTAGGTTTTCCCGCGCAAATCACCGCTGATCTCTGGCTACTCCTCCACAAGCACGCCGACATCCTCCGAGTCGCCAAGGACGATTACCACACTCGACTCAAGTCTTGGAACACTCTGCAAGGAGTCAAGGACAACTTAAAGTCTTCCGCCCGGAGGCCTAAGAGCTAGTTAACGACTAGAGCTAAAACCTCGAAGCTGAGCTCCGTACCACTAATCATTTAAATCGATCACAGCATCACAATAGCCATTGCCACAAGTTCGACTCTAGGTTTAGTATATTCCGAGGATCTTCACATTCGTCTGGTCCGCGCGTCCCAAATTCCCAATACATCCAACAAATTAACGTGACAGTCTTCGATCCCGCGGGCAAAACCAACAAAGTAGCCGACGCCCTCTCTTGTCTACCCAGCAAGGACCCCACAAGCCTGAATCCGACAAAGACCCCGACTCCCCATCGTGCAACCTAAGCACAACCGCAGGCGGTTCGGCCCTCGAGCATCCTCTCCCACAAGGACCTTTGGATGAAGGCAATTTTCGAGATGTACTCGATTCTTACTGCAATACTACGTCTATATGTTATGCTGAAGTATATCTAAGCGTAGAATTCTCTATCAAGATTCCTGTATATGCCTTTACCTTTACTTAACTCTGCGCCGTCTCGGGTTTATTGTGTCTATTGTGAAGTCTACTTTCAAGGTAATTCTTAGTGGTATATTATTTTGTTTTTGGGTAGACTCCTATAACTGAGGGCGGCTGGCCTAATGGTAAGGCGCTTGATTTCGGCTCAAGAGATTGCAGGTTCGATCCCTGCGTCGCTCAATCTTTTTTCCTCTCCTTTCCTTGGAGGGAGGTTTTCGATTGATCTTTCCTCGGAATGCTACTTTTTTCCCCCTCTTCCAAACTATTCTGCTGCTGATTTCGTATTTCCCGATCGTTTTTTTCAGGTCAGTTGGGAGGTGAGCTGGCCATATTTGCCGACGATGGACATACGCGGAAACACCAACGTACAAAACTTGTACTGTTGTTCCTAATTTCTTTCATGTGACTTCGAGTGTGAAACGAAGACAGCACTGCTGCATTACAAGAATGTATTCGACTTCGCCTCTCAAGTCATACGTTCAACGTACTTTTTACGAAGATCGCATCGCTCTCAACGGCCGCCCGAAGTAACCTTTTCCAAGGCAATCAACATCCATTAGTCGACGTCCTGCAATAATGCTTCCCTTGTCGAGTCCAAAAGCTATGAAGTTGGACTCCGCCCGCCTCTCTCCCCATTCAGCTCAATAATATCTTGCAGTCTCAAAACTACCAGACCTGAACCTACAGAGAGCTACAAAACTCGTCCAATATGGTCTTCAATAACCAAAGCCAGGAAACAAGACTTGTTGGCCCAGGTGTAAGAAACACAAAAGACGGCAATCAACTCATAGATACACCCTGTCATCTGGCAGGCTGAACCTCTAAGATTGTCATAACCTCTGTACAGTGTTTACTATGCTCACTTGTTTGCGTATCAGCGAGATGTCAGAATCGGCGATCCGTCTGGCCACTACTACTCGGCCGGCGAGCGAAATTGTTCTATTACGTAAAAGCTAACTACATCCAGCCAATGTTTCGAAACCCAAGACTACATTCTAACTGCTAGATGGCTTTTTACTGAAGGGATGTAAATATCCCTGAATCTGACGGAATTGAAGGTTTTCGTAGAGTTGGTTTTGGGAGGGCTCGAAGGGGACCTGTAAAATTGGTACAAGATGCTGAGTCGCCGTTCGGGTACCATAACGCCCAGCAAAAACCTCATTTTCAACACGCCCCCGAAGAATTTTGTGGTTCTGTGTGTCATTTGCCCCCATTCTCGGCCGACAATTTACTTTCTCAAACAATGTGTTCTAGAATGACTTTGATTATGGCTTTTGAGTCATCACAGTCTTCTTCCTTCATATACTAATACTCATCAGCGAGTACTCAAGCCTTGGGGAAGTATATTCTTCACTCATCCGACGGCACAAGGTGCAAACAACCAAAAATGATGGAGGCGAAAGATATTCAACCAGCTCAGTGCGGGCAGCAGGACTCAGCTCCTGTACCCAAACATGACCATGGTTGGCGTCGAGTTATTCGCAACTTTACACCAGCGTGAGTTTCCTTGAAACAGGCCTTTCAAAAGACTCATTGGTGCTAACAAACAATCAAGTTGGTTTTCCGTGAACATGGGGACAGGAATCGTTTCCATCTTGCTCAACACGTTGCCTTACAACGGGCGATGGCTATACTATATCTCCATCGTCGTTTTCGTCTTGAATGTGGTTTACTTTACAATCATCCTGGCCATCACGTTGCTACGATACATACTCTATCCGGAGATTTTCAGAGTCATGATTACCCACCCGGTGCAATCGCTATTCCTTGGCACGTTTCCGATGGGTCTTGCGACAATTATCAACATGTTCTGCTTCGTTTGTGTACCTGCATGGGGCGACGGAGCGGCCTATTTCATTTGGGCAACCTGGATTTTTGACGCAGTCGTATCAGTGCTGGTTGCAATCGGGATCCCCTTCCTACTGTATGCTGCCCTTCTTCCCAAGTTAAATCCATAATCTGGCTGACTTCATTCACAAGGACCACGAGCCAGAAGACCTTTGACCTTTCGTCAATGACGGCTGCCTGGCTGCTGCCCATTGTGTCGTGTGTTGTCGCGGCTGCATCGGGCGCGATTGTGGCGGACGTCTTGCCCAATGTCCACCTAGCGCTAGCTACCATCTTGGCTAGTTATATTCTGTGGGGAATTGGGGTTCCTCTGGCACTCATGGTGATCTGCATATATCTGCAGCGCCTGATGTTCTATAAGCTGCCACCAAAGGCGATGCTTGTCAGCGTCTTCCTTCCTCTAGGTCCTCTAGGCCAGGGTGGTTTTGGGTAAGTCTCGCAGATGGGAATTGAAGTTGCTTAAGAAGTGCTTGCATACTGACAAATTGATTAATTATCTAGTATCCAAAAACTTGGCAAAGTTGCACAAAAAGTCTTCCCCCAAACGAATACTCTCAGTGCCACCACTGGCGAAGTCTTTTATAGTGTTGGATTCATGATCGGAATCTTGCTATGGGCATTCGGCCTCGTGTGGCTTACATTCGCCGTGACCACATTGATTACGACGAGAAAATTCCCGTTCAACATGGGCTGGTGGGCGTTGACTTTCCCCTTGGGTGTTTTCACCACTTGTACATGTACCATGGGCAACGAGCTTCCCTCAAGATTTTTCTCGGTTCTTGGCACAGTGAGTGTTCATATTCATATTACCACTATCTTGTGGTCTTCGTTCAGCAGCTAATCCAACCATATATAGATATTCTCCGTTGCAGTCGTCCTGTTATGGCTGTTGGTCAGTTTCCACACCTTCCGGGGTATCGCTCGCGGTGACCTATTTGTTGCGCCATGCCTGAAAGACCTTGGAAATGCAAAGGCTCGGACCGGAGAGAATGTGTGAGGCGCCAGCGGATCGAAGCTGGTACGATAAAAAGTGACATTTAGATTACTATGTATTTTAATTATTGACAGTTTGACCGACGTCACCGAGGTAACTTAGACCTCAAAATTCAAAAAAAACTATCAAATCAGTATCGCTATCTAGTTGAAGCTTGCATTATTCGGTGTGGCCTATGTGCTTAAGGAGCGACATGACAATGGTGGCCGCCACGCCAAGACCTTGGTTTAATCGCCGATTGACAGGCCCGCCAATTTCATTGGATGATAAGACCCCCTTAAATGTACATAACAACCCTGCAGGATAGAAAGAATACAGGAAATTAGAATTCACAGACCTTCATTTCCAAACATGCGCATCAGCGGGGAATATGGGACGTGCGAGGATCCCTTCTGCATGTGCAATGAACCAAGTCCTTAGGCGGACTGAAGGTCGGGTTGTGTTGAATCCTTGAAACGCTATAATCGGGGGAGATCAACTAAATACTTGAAAATCTCCCATTATGAACCGAATAATTGCTATTCTTTCATTCCTCCCCTAAATCTCCCCAGGAAGCTCAAGATGGTCGTGGTAGCCTTTCATAACGACGGGGACGGGCTCATAGTTTTCAGTCCGGGCGAGTCTACCTCACCGAGCCCATCGGAACAGCTGCCAACACCCGAGTGCGACTTCTCCAACACCAACTTCGCCCTCCACTCTTCCCCGTTCATCATGGCCAGGACCAAGAGGAGTGGCTTGGCGTCACTGGCATGTACTGAGTGTCGGAAACAGCATCTGAAATGTGACGCGAACAAGCCGACGTGCTCGCGCTGCGTACAGCAAGGTTTCCTTTGCCAGTATCTCCCCTCGCGACGGGGCGGGCGCAGGAAACCCCGACAGGACTCCGATCGCCGGTCACTGCTATCCAACAACCCCGATGAGCTGAATATTACTACATCGCCCCATGATCTTGCGTCGGAGTTGATGAAAGAGATGCAGCCTGGGTATCAGGCTTCTCTCGCCTTGCCCGTACGTCGGTCAGAACAGCCCGATACGCCGGATAGCACCGCCCCCCAGCGCGGGACAGGACCAGGACCGGTCTCTTGGTCCTTGACTACTCCGAGGAGTGGGTTGAGTCAAGAGCACTTCCAGCCAACGCGGGACCTCTCGTCCCAAGATGATCGCTTTCTGCGACTCTTCTATGAAAACTTCCATGTCGCTCATCCGATTCTGGTGCCCAGTGCGGTCTATCATGATCGGCAATACCCGGAATTTCTGCAACTTGTCGTGAATTTTGTTGGATCTCACTATATCCCATCAAGCCCGACACAAGAACATAGGGATAAGGTTCTTGCCGAACTGAGTTGTCATACCGACCGATCACCATGTATGGTTCAGGCCTGGCTCATCTACTCAATTGCGATTTACGCACGCGGAGAATGGCAGGAGGCGCAGGACGCCTTCTCGCATAGCGTGGAGATTGCTTTGGAGATTGGCATGAACCGCCGCGAATTTGCCATTACTGGGCACCCTGAGAATAGCATTGAGGCTGAGAGCCTCCGGAGGACTTGGTGGGAGCTGTACGTGACAGACATATTTATCGCTGCTCCGTCCAAAAGCAACACCTTTCTGTGCAGCACCATGGCCCCAGAGGTGGGCTTGCCCTGTGAAGAATCGGTCTACACCGGAACATGCGAGATTCCGGAACCCCGGAAGATCCTTGATTTCAAGCGGCGCATTTTTGCGCCCGAAGAAACCGTCTTTTCTTCCTTCAGCTATCGCATCGAGGCCACTACCATTCTCTGCAGAGCTCTTGTCTTGAGTCGACTACGAGACTACCACCGCGATCATCTCCAAGCGGTTGAAAATGCCCTTGTCAGCTGGGTCAATCATTTGCCTCCTAGAAAATTGGACATTGTCGATTCGTACGGCAACATCGATGAGATGATGTTCCAAGCGCACGTAACAATCGGATATGCCACCATGCTCCTCCATCTTCCACGAAGTGATCTTCAACCTGTCTTATCTCAAACAAATGACCTATTCTGGCCCGTTGCTACTCGTCATATGGCATCGACGTTAAATCGACCCGTTCACAGCATCAAAGCAACCGAAGCTTCCAGGCGAATCTCCGATGCTATCTCCCTCTGTCCGAACGTTCTCAAACACTCCCCATTCGTGATCCCTGCATTAGCACTATGTGGGATGATCCAATTAGCCACCTCTATCAAACATACCGAAGAATGCTTTGACCACCACTACAACAGAGTCACTCTTATACTTGGATGCCTCAAAAGTACAAAACGAATATGGGGTCTCGCGGATGCTGCTTACAACCATCTACGCACTTCTGCAGCAGACGCATTATCAGACTCGATGGAGCGATGGAGCACGGAGCCGCTTCGAAAATTCTTCCCCGCAGATTCGACACCTAGTAGGGCAGAGCGTACGACAGCTCAGCCCACTCGGCCTACGTCAGCTATATCAGACGGACAGGATCTATTATTCCCCCCAATTATGCCTGCCTTTGTTGACCCCACATGTTATAATGACTCGTTCTTCACCACCCTTCCTGAGTTTGATATCAGCTGAGGGCAGATAGTAGTGATAGCACAGAATCCACGATAAGCTTACATCTTTCAATACTTCTTATCAATGCCGTTCAGTCCCTCAATCGGCGCTGTAACTATGGAATGGATATCGATGTAGATTCGCCACATCTTGCCAAGATCTGGCTTCCACTGGGCTGTTGTTTCTTGGTTTAATTTTAAAAGTGTGTCGGTCATAATAACACATTTATTAAGAATGGCCGACCGTAAGATTTAAATTACCCTATAGAAATCCCAAAATGGATGGTCGAAGGTGCGCGTGATACAGTTGATAGACAGGGGCTTATCTCGGAGATTGAACGAGCGGTCAGGTATGTAGGGTCAGTCGCCGATTGACCTCAACCGTCGGCATCCTCTGTCGGCGATTGCGCAACGGTTGCAATGTGTCCACCTCAATATCTTTCATAAATTGTCTTAACGTTGTACCAATCCCCTGATTGTCATAGCAAATTGATCAATCAATCAAGTGGTACCATTATTTCTTCCAACATGCTGCCTCTTATGCTTCCCGTGTCCACCACGAGCGCCACGATCGACAAAGGATCAGCCACACCTTATCTGCGATTTAAGGAGCGATACAACTTAGGAGAGCTTGTGCAAGATATCAAACAACATTTGGGTCACTCGGGGGGGATTTCATCTGAAGATGTCGATTCAGACTATCTACGGTCTTTACTGGAGAAGTACATATCAGACCCGAGCGATTGGATCCAATATTTCAACAACGACCGGAGCAAGAACTATACACGCAATGCGATTGAAAATATCAATCGTAAGGCAAATATTGTGAGTATACACCTAATCCTGAAGATAAATGATTAGGCTAATTCTTGCAGCTCCTTCTCGTGTGGAATCCTGGAAAGGGCTCCCCTATCCATGACCACGCAAACGCACATTGCATCATGAAAGTCCTTGCCGGGGAACTCCATGAGACCGTTTACAAATCGCCCGAGAATAAAACTGGGAAATCTAAGCCACTGGAGATCAAATCCTCAAATACTTTCGGCCTGAATGAGGTGACTTATATTTCTGATGATATCGGGCTTCATCGGGTTCATAACCCTAGCAGCGAGCAAATAGCCGTTTCACTACACTGTGAGTATATCGGTTCATATCACCTTGGGTAAATTGGTCTAATAACATCTATTTTAGTGTATACACCTCCAAATGCAGCTGACTATGGCTATCATATCTTCGATGAGGCTACCGGGTCTGCAAGCCACGTACCACAAGCACGCTCATATTTGAAGCCCCAAGAGGATTAGGGCGAGGGAATGCCAGCTGAACCAATCATTTGGCTTTTAGGCTCTCATCATATTCTTGTCATGGCATCTGCATGTGATGAGAAGTGTATCATTACAGGTCTTTTCTTTGCGTCTTCTTGAGCATTGATATCCCCATTTGCGTGTCACGGTTTTTGATGTTGGTATTGTTATTTCCTTCGTCATAGAATTTACAACAAATTGTATCCATTTAAATCAACCAATTCGCCCTTTACTGTGACCCAAGTTTGTAGTATAGCCTTCTGTATCGTCCTGTATCTTGTGTGATGGCCGTGATAGTGAAGCTTTATACTTCGAACTGTTTACTGGATACTGCCGAGTCTCGGGGAAGGCGGTGTGGCCACCGGACCCTGCTGATCGTCGCTGGAACCGGAGGCGATCGCTCATGTGCGCTCGCACTACTCAGAATTTCGGTGGATTGTTTCCCTAATTCTTGCTTCATCTGGCGACGGGGTCAAATAGCAGTGTGTCCCGTACTTGGATCTCGAATAGGGCGATATCCGGGGTCTCGAGAGCCGCCCCCACGCGCCCGTCACTATCTCGCCCCGCGGAGGTTCTGGTTATCTCCCGATGAAGATCCCAAGGAACCACAATGCCAAACGGGAAGAAAGGGACAACGCCTGCAGGGCCGCGCAGAGATGTGCTGGCCTCGCTGCGCATGGCGTCAATGGAGGAGATCGCGCGAGCTTCGCTGCCGGCTGGTACGTCGTGGGAATGTTGCGTTGCATGATCATACACTAATACCACTCGTTATAGAAATCATGTCGTCGATTTTAGATTATCTCGACCCCGTCGATCTTATCCGAGCTGCCCGATCGAGCAAGCTTCTACATGAAATGGCATATGATGACACCCGATGGGTGCAGCGATTGAAACGAATTGGGTGCTGGGACGAGGCAGACGCTCGGAGACACATTGAGGCAACTTATGGGACCGTTGCGAATCCGAACATTGTCGATAGCGAGGATATACCTGCGGAAACGAGTGGCACGGTACCTGTCATTACTGTCGAGAAGGCACCTTCTTCTGATATTCAAGGGCTGTCTGACGGTTTCGACAAGATCGAGTTGGTCAATACAAGCGTACTGCCCGAATCATCCACAACAGTCGAGGACGACCCCGACCTAGTTATCTTGAAGACCGCTAAATCCATACGGGGTGAGGCTCGTCAGGAATATGGGAGGATCCATGGTGCTCTGGCGCCATTCTACAATGACATTGTGAAGAAGGGGCCTTCAGTGGACAACTTGGTCTTCACCCAGTATAAAGATCCTCAAGCCCGGGCGCAAATGCTGTCGCAACTGGTGGCTTTCTCAAACTCCGATATGACAGACGGCTGGGATGATCGGACAAGTCGAGTTCAGAATACCGTTGCAATGTTTGAAACTACCGCACTGAACGAGTTCCGAAATGCATATGAGGCTGACGACATTGATGACACTATGCGAAAATACGCTCACGTACTCTGGACGCTCAACGGTGGCAAGGGGGCCGTTGATCATTTTATACGTCACAATCACCTTATGGCGCGCAAATCCCAGCTGGGAACAGTAGCGGACTGCATTGACGCCACGGGGAAAGTGAAGTTACAACATACACAGGCGTTCTTTACACGACTCAGTGTTGCCTACAATGAGGAGGTGACCGTTATGAATCGTGTTTTCCCTTCCGAGCTGGATGTGGCATCTCCCTTTATGGAAAAGGTTGGGCAAGATGTGCTCTATCCATTCCTCACTGCCATCTTCGACGAGCTGCATCGCACTAATCTGGAATCCTACCTCACAGCCGTCTCTGTTACATTTGTACAGTGTATGAACCTGTCTGAATCTCTCCTGCCAATACGCAACTCTGGCGACAAGTTTGATCAGTACCTGGATTCTGTTGTGATCAAAATCTATGAGCCACACATCGATTTGTACTTGGCAGAAGAGCTTGACTTCTTCCGAAAGGGATGCGAGGCTACAATTGACGACTGGGATCGCCAGCTTTCAGAGCAAGCGGCCTCGGCCGAGTCATTCTTGATGTCCAATGTCAATCGCCAGGCGGACAAGCGAGACTTCCTCACTTCGTTCAAAAAGGTAATCATGATGCCTGTTAACATTCTCCCGAGCTTCTCGGGCAACAAGGCTGCCGGTGACTCCAAAGCCGACTCTGGGGCAAATGGTAGTAACCCATCTGCTGCGAAGAATCCCCATCGGTTCTCTACTATTGCTTCACCAACAACGCCGTCATTAGAAGAGGCACCAACTACAGAATTGGCAGCTAAAGCCGCCATCATGAAAACCAAGATGGAAGGCATCAAGTCCTTGTTCAGTATTGAAATTGCCCTGAACCTTGTTCACTCGGCCAAGTCCAGTCTAGAGCGAGCTGCTCAATTTGTCCGGCTGGGAGGGGAGTATGGACGAGCTGCAAAGCAGCAGTGCGAGGCCATCTTTGTTGCCCTCCTTCGTCTCTTGGGCCTTCGCCATGTCATTGTGGGCTTCGATAAAGCCGTGGACCATCTCTCCAATTACCGTCCACGAGAGCAGGATGAGCGCGATTCTTCAGGTGTCGAGCCTCTGGTTACCTTCTTGGAGCTAGTGAACGTGGGCGATCTGATCCTGCAGATGGTGGACGTGTTCTACGAGCAGGAGCTGATTGGTACAAGACTGACGGACCGAAACGACTTCCTCGATCCGGCGGTCAAAGAAAAGAAGAAATTCGAGCAAATGCTTGATGAGCGTGTGGCGGCTGGTTTGAATAAGGGCATTGACGTGCTCATGGAGGAAGTGGACTATATTCTCGCCACGCGACAGCTCGCCACGGACTTTAATCCAGGCGTCTCGTCGGACCCCCATCGACAGACCATGGATGTGGGTATCAGTCAAGCAGCTGCGGCTGTGGTGGATGTGGTCTCGTCGCATACTCAGATGTTGGTTGGTAGTACCGACAAGAGCACGCTAGATGTGTTCAACCAAGAAGTCGGTATGCGCTTGTTCACTGCTCTTTGCAAACATCTGAAGCGACAGCGGATCAGTGTCGAGGGATCTCTAAAGCTGATCAGGTATGTACAACATCCATGTCTCTCCTCCATACTCCATTATCTGTACTAACTAAGGATTAGTGACATGAACCACTACTTCAAGTTCGTCCAAACCCTTAGAAACAACGAGCTTCTCCTCTACTTCAAGGCGTTCCGAGAACTAGCCCAGATCTACCTGATCGACCCATCTGACGCTAAGGAATTGGCGACGATCATCGCCGACGCCGACCGGTTCTCTGGAATCTGGCGAGTTGAGGAAGTCTCCGAGTTCGCAGAGCGCCGGGTGGACTGGTACCAAGTGAAAGGTGACGTGGAACGAGCCATGTACGGCATTGGATGCAGCGTGATGTAAGCAGTGATAGATACCCCCGAATTGCATAGCGAATTGGTTGGTTGGTTTGATTGGATGTATAGATATTGAGGATAAACCTAGACGTCGATCGTGTTCATAGGGCCGATCTCAGAGGCACAAGCTCCCCTCGGACTGAATATACTTTTTAAAAGAACTGGACTTTTCCTATTTTGTAGAACATCATCTTTCCTGGCCATGAGGGTTTCTCATTTTTGACTAGTGCTTTCTCTACTAGGACACAATTATCTACTATCCACTCTCTCTGCTCTTCCGACTCTTTCTGTTGCGCCGGCCCTTCCGCAAGGTAACATCTGACGTCAACGGGTCAACGGCGGCTACTGGAACATCCCACACCCTATAAAACAAAAATCCAGACTTTCAGAGCCAACACCCACCACCGTCCGGTTGCAGATTCAAACAATCTGAAAATCGACATGAAACCCATGGTTTTATTCGTTGCTTGTCCAGGCACTATGCCTTTGGCGGATGGACTAACCCAGATGTCGGTGGTGACGTGGAAATCTTCCTAGATAGGCAGTTTTGCAGACGCTATACCCCTGTGGGAACCACGGTTCTTGGGATACCAGGTCTTTAGCGAGTCTTTTTATTAGTTTAAGCAGGGGGTTGCTAGATACTATTTCACTGCAACTCCATGCAACTACAAGCCGGCGCGTATCGCTACTGTCTAACAGGTCGAATACTTTTGTATCAGAGATTCAGTCTGAATCAACAGTCTTGATTCATAGGAGATCGTCTGATCTACCCGATCTATAGTCGCTTCCTTTCTATTTGGTGGTAATTGATTCTAAGTGGAGTTGGGGTTCCCTTCGCTTATAAGGGATAGAAGATCGCCTCCCTCGCAACGACTATGGCCTCCAACTCCTGCAGGATCTGGTCTCTGCTATTACTTCCTGTGATATTCAACTGCTTCATTACGTCTGTCCAAGCCAAAACAATTGTGGTGACAGTTCACACTACCGTCTCAGTCCAAACGACGGCCACAGCTCCCAGTCCTGCATCATACACATCGACCCATGAGTTCAAAGATACAGTACTTCAGGTCACCAATGAATATCGAAAAGCACATGATGCAGAACCATTAGTCTGGAATGATACTTTAGTCAAATATTCTCACAAATGGGCGCAGACTTGTATCTGGAAACATTCCGTAAGGAAGACCCTTTTGACATATATCTTGCATAGACTTGGCTCTAACTATATACCAAACAGGATGGCCCATACGGGGAAAACCTAGCATTTGGTTTTCCCAACGCCTCTTCAGCAGTAGAAGCCTGGGGCGATGAAAGAGAATACTACAACTTTGACAAACCAACCGGGTTCAGTGAGAAGACTGGTCATTTCACGCAACTGGTGTGGAAGGCCACAACAGAAGTTGGATGCGCTGCGATTGATTGTGGCTATACCGAAGATGACAACAAGCAACGAAGAGATGTCAGGGATACCAGCGAGGCCGGGGGTCGGATTCTTCCTAGAGAGCTCGATGGTAGCACTCGAGCGCAGGGTTGGTATGTGGTATGTGAATATACGCCAGCTGGAAACATCGTCGGCAATCACGATGCATATTTCAAGAAGAATGTGAAGCCAGTCGATAAATCATCGTCCTCGACAACTACGGCTGCTACATCAAAGAGCCAGCCGACTGGCGGGGCTGGCAAAAAGATTGGGATGGATTCCATGACGTGGGCGATGTTGCTGGCTTTGGGGACTCTCGCTATTGGAACGAGCCTGTATACTTAGATCAAATGGATGAATAGCTACGAAAATACAAATACTCGATGAAGAAACAACAGCCATTGCGTTCGTAGGCATTTCTCATGCTTATCCACATTGCACATCAAGAGCTTCGTCGGACACACATAGCTCAATCTATTGATTTTTGAGAGTCCCCGATCCTCGGCACAGAAATATGGCCGGATCATAAAACTGGGGTACATAGAAGGCCGGGCCCGAAAGGCAGGGAACGCCGGTGAGAACAAAGGAAAAGAACAAGGAAACACATTATATGCGAAAGAAAAAGTGGGGGAAAAAGAAATGGGTCCGTCAACCAATGACCTCCTCGGTCTCCTCGATGATCTCCTCCACAATCTCCTCCACAATGGTGTCGCCCTCTTGCTGGTTGCCAGCACGAGCATCCTTGGCTAGCTTGGGGGAATCGGCATCTTCGGGCAGACCGAAGGCTTCCCGCTCCTCGGTTTGAATCTCCATCTCCCGGCGCAGCCAGGCGAGCCACTCGCTGAGCACGCGCTTGCGCTGCTCGACAACGGCGGTATTGGCGATATCCACGGCGTAACGGTCCTCCTCGTCGAACTCCTTGGAGTACTCACGCAGGTTCTTGCGCACCTGCTTCTGCTCTTCCTTGCTGAGCAAGGTAGGGGGGCGTGGGCGCCAGAGGAACTGCTTGAACTTCTCGGTAGGGTTCTCGGAAAGGGTGTTTCCGGAGAAAGTGTGCAAGTTCCAGCCGTTCTCCATCTGTAGATGATATTAGTTTTGATCCCATAAAGTTCAGAGTAAAAGAAAGGACAGAATCTTACAGAGTGAGTCCACACACTAGCACTGCTGACCACGTAGCGACCTGTGGGGTCCCACTCAATGTCGGTCACACCGTAGTGCTCAACGGTCTTCATCAACTGGAGGTTGGCGGCAAGATCCTTCTCAGCCTCGTTCTTCTCACCCTCAAAGTCCATGTCCCAGAAGTCGAGATCGAAGTTGGACTGGGAGTGAACGGTGGCGACAACGACGAAACGACCCTTGGGGGACCAGTATATACCGTTGCTGGTCTTCTTATCGACCGTCCGAACAAGCTTGAAGTTACCAGCAGTGTTGCCCTTCTTCTCAGGGGCGAAGAAGGAGACGGCGGTCTTGGGGGGAACGGCAACACCGGCAGGGGCCTCGCTGTTGGTAATGAGGACGAAACGAGAACCGTTAGGCTCCCAAGAGAAGTTGATGACAGTGTCCTTGAGACTGTCGACGACCTCGACAGGCACACCCTTCTCGCGAACCCGGAAGATCTCGAGGTTGGTGGCCATCGACTTCTTGGACTTGGAGTGACGGTCGACCTTGACGCAAACATAGGCACCCTGGGATTGCCAGTGGATCTTGACATCGGAAACGTTGAACAAGTTACGGGTGCGGACAATCTCCCTGGAGGGAACACTCATCATGGCGACACGGGCGGGGTTGCTACCGATCTCGGGAGTCCAGAAGCAGAGAAGCTGCTCGTATGTCTTGACACCCTCGCGGGTAACAGCGGCGGGGGACCACTCAAAGTCGTTGACACCCTCAACCTTCACGGATGTGCGGCCGAGCAGGTTCATGTTGGGCACCTCGTAGATGGAAATGGACTGGCCCTGGTGCATACGCGCGCAGTACTTCTCATCAGCAGACCATTTGAAAGCAGGCCACTGGACCTTCTTCTTAGGCTGAACTTCACCCTCGGCGGCGGCGGGAGCAGCCAGATCGTGGGAGACGAAGGAGCGCAGAGGCTTTCCAGACTCGATATCCCAGACAATAATGTTCTTTCCGTCTTCCTCGAAGGTCAGGATGGGCTGGCCCTCCTCGACCTGGATGGGGCGAGAGGACCATGTCGTCAAATAGCCCTCCAGAGGGGAAAACTCAACGAGTTGTACGAAGGGGTGAGGGAATTGTTTTTGCTTGGAGAAGGACGCGCCGCCCCAAAGCTGGACACCTTGAGGGTGGACGGAGGCAAGGAAGGTACCCTTGGGGGACCATTGGACGAAAAGTTGTGTCCAGTGAGCGCGATCGACGACGTTCTCTGGTGGGTTGGACTTGTTGTTCCAGAACACGCCGACCTTGTCGTTCCGGTAGAGGGCGAACTGATCACGAGCGTGGGCATCAGCCATCCAACAGCGCAGGTGCTCCTTCTCCTTGAAAGGCTCGAGCTCGGGAGCGTGGTATTCCTCCTCGATGCGTCCCTCACGACCATAGCGCTCAATATCCATCAACTTGTTCACAGCCAGGGTGTGCTTCTTATCGAGAGGAACACCGTGCAGCTGCTTGACGGCGGCGAGGGCCTGTTCGGGGGTCTCGTATTCAACAAAGGCGAATCTAGAAGAAGGATCACATTTCAGTCAATCATCTCGTCCAGCTCATGCGTTTGAAGTCGGTTTATCTTGTACGCACCCTTCGGACATGCCCTTGTCGTTCAAGGGCATGAAAACTGCATCTTCGGAGGTGTGTCCAATAGTGTTGAGTTTTCTCAACAAGAACTTGACGAGTTTCTGGCGGCTATCTTCGGGCACAACGGGGAGGCCATCGATGACGACGAAAGTGTCCAGGCCCTCCTCCAACTTGACTTCATATTGCTCCTTGAGATCTGCCGGGAAATTGATGTTAGAGAGGGGCACACACGCCTCAAAAAGTAGGGCTCCCAGGGCGTACCGGAGAAGTCAATCTCCTCCTCCTCCTCCTCGTGGAAATCCTGCTCGGTCAGGGTGTCGAAACTGGGCGCCATGATGGGTGGACTTGAGGCGACAGCCGTGGATCAGAGCGTTGCGTACTTGACTTTGAGGATTTTCGGCCAGAAACAAAACTCGCCGCCAAGCGGGTTCTTTGTGCGCGCTGACTCAGCCGTGAAGAGATCCAGCACGATCATGTCACGTGATGAGATAGCAAGTCAAGCCACGTCATGTGACTACGACTTCCAATGGCGTGGCTGAGTCAGCTGTTTCCCCGTCCCCGGGCGCGCATCGCAGGTCGAAGTTTAGTTGGAGTTTAGCAGCTTTCGGAGCTTCGGCCGACGCGGGGTTTCTGTTTGAGTTCTGGACCTTTACAGACTGTATGCTTTGTCGCTGCATAGATTAGCTGCGAGTATCACTGTTTCTTGTTACACCCTGGCTGTTTCTCTAGCTGCTCTCCGCCTTGCTCGCTTCACCCTCGGCTTGCCTGTCCTCCCCCGCCGCTATTAAGCGCCAGTGCGACTATGCCCACCTGACCTTCCTCGAAGTACCTACTTGCGCAATCGACACCGCCACGCAAATCAAGCAGCTGAAGCTGTATCCATAGCTGCCATTTACAGTTGAGACTCGAAAAGCATATCTTTGGAGGCGATTGGCAAGGATTGAATGCAGGCAAGATGTCGCGTAGGTTGTCTCGGGATTGTCCCGGCTTCAATTGCCGGCTCACAGCTAGGAGCTTCTATTCCATGTCTAACGAGGCGCATAGTCTCATCCGAAAAGCGCGATGAATATTCGGTGATCATTGACTCGATCCTCGCTAAGAGCGATCTCAATACCGTCTCCGAGAAACGCATTCGCAAGGGTCTCCAGGACGTCATTGGCCATGATCTCACTCCGCAGAAGGTCCGCATAACCTGTGGCTGTTGCTTGCCCTTATCTCCAGTTTCGAAAAGCTTGAATACCCGAGAAAAATTCGTGGCTGACAATGCATTTGCAGGCTGAAGTCAAGCAGCTCATCATGGAACGGTTTGACATCTTCGCGGGCAACAACGGCGTTCAATCACCCGAAGAAACCACCACCAGCAACGGCCATGCCAACACTGCCGCCGCAGTACCTTCTCCACACCCCTCCTCGTCGCCTGTGAAGCGTCAGACACATAGCGAAGAGGCATCCGAGGCCGCTAGTGCATCGCCGCCTCCAAAGAAGCGAAAGCCGGACACTGATGTCGATGCCGACGCCTTGTTCGCCGCGAAACTACAAGCGGAGGAGAATATGCGGGCACGACCCACAAGAGGCGCGAGCACACGTCGTGCTGCTCCATCTAAAAAGAAGAGCAAGGCCAAGACCGCCAAGCGCGTCAAGGCCGAGGATGACTCGGACGTTGACTCGGGATCAGAAACAAAGAAGGAGGTTAATCGGACTGGTGGCTTCCACGTAAGTTATAATTGTCGAGCTTTTGCTAGATACAGCGCTAATCTTCGTTTCATTAGAAACCGCTTAATCTATCTGCTCCTTTGTCTGCGCTGCTTGGTGGAGAGACTACTGTATGTCCGGTCGAGTCTCCATGCTTACCACGTACTAACCCATGCACCAGCTCTCGCGTCCACAGACTGTCAAGAAGGTATGGCAATACATCCGTGAGAAAGAACTACAAGATCCCAGCGATCGACGCCAGATCCGCTGCGATGACGCGATGCGCGCAGTGTTTAAGCAGGATCGGGTCCATATGTTTACCATGACCAAGATTCTCAATCAGAACTTGTATAACCCAGACGAATAGCCATGGTTTGCGCAAATAGCCCATGGGCTGTTCTTGAATGAAGGGGTTCTTGGTCCCCTTCAACGAATTCCGTCTTTGTTCCATCATTTGCTTTCTGCGTTGCATGGGGATGCTGGCGCGACGACTCCACCTTTGGTCGCCTTTTCAGGCTTTCTTTTCGGCGCCTTGTGCTTTCAAGATTTTGGTCTTTTTGTTACTCTCCAGCGGGAGTTGGTGCCGCCCTTGAATGGTGATATCTATCGTTCTCATAATTGCATCTTTGAATGTTTCATGGTCTCATTAAGTTTTGGTATATCCTTGTCGGCTTTGATGCAGGAAGCCTTCCAGTCCGGGTAGAGCTCGTGTACCCTCGAGTGTCAGATCAAGGTCATATCTTCAACAACGTCTTTTCGTAAAGATCCGTCAAAGAAATGTCTGATAACCAATTCTGAGACAGTAGAATAAACGAATCACTCCGAGATGAATGCACCGGCTCTGGGGGATGGCGTATAGAGTTGTCGAGTATTTGGCTCAGTCTGCAGCTATTCCAGTAAGTTCTTAGACCATTTGCCCACCCCCATCAACTCATTTGTCTTGTCAAAGAAGTTTCAGCATGCGCCGAGAAGTTGCTGCTTAGTCGTCGACAAAGGAAGATTCCAGCGTTTGTTGCTGGCCGCGGAGGTGATCAGTCAGCGAGATCTCACTTTTTCCCCATCTTCCCCCACCAACATTTAAATCCACAGAGAGCTCCGCAGCTCCCACCTTGTTGCCATTGACACGTAACTGCAGCGCCGATCTTGACTCCCACCGTCCCCCGCCATGGCTGACAACACCCAAACTGCTCCGTCAACAGGCCACGGTCGTGGTGGTGGCCGCCGTCGTGGCCGCGGAGGCGCCCCTCCCTCTGGTCGTTCGGATGAGCCGCGCAACGCTGGCGATGGAGCAAGCCGAGGAGGCAAGCCCCGCGGTCGCGGAGGTCGAGGCCCTGGTGGTCGCGACAAGCAACGAAATCAAGATGGACCGGAAGCTTCTGAGACTCAGCCCACACCGCAGGTTGCGACTGTAGGAACGAAAGAAGTCCCCGCCGCTACCGATGATGCCGATGATGGAGAGATCTGCTTCATTTGTGCATCGACTGTTGAACATACGTCTGTGTCGCCTTGCAACCATCGGACATGTCATATCTGTGCGCTTCGCTTGCGCGCGCTGTACAAGAACAGATGTTGCGCTCATTGTCGAGTAAGTCTGCTCCTTGCGTTTAAGTCGCTGTGGTAGTCGGCTTTGTTGTAAAAATAAATACTAACCTGGCCCTTCTGTATAGACCGAGTCCGCCTTTGTCATTTTCACCGATGATCCGGAGCGCCGATTCGAGGACTTTGAGAAGAAAGACTTTGCTCGGACCGATGATAACCTGGGAATACATTATGAGAAGGATGAAATCTTTGAAGACACCGTGTTGTTGCTGCGATACAACTGCCCGGATGAAGACTGTGATGTCGCCTGTCTTGGATGGCCAGACTTGCATCGTCATGTGAAGAGCAAGCATGGAAAGGTGATGTGGTAAGTTTTGATCTTGCCTTCCAGATGCGCATAAAATGCCACTTGACGACTAAGCGACTAACCTGGGCGGCTTTGTATGACATGACAGTGACCTTTGTACACGCAACAAAAAGGTATTCACGCACGAACACACCCTCTTCACGATGGCCGATTTGCGGAAACACGAGAAGCATGGCGATCACAAACCTGGTGCCATCGACCAGAGCGGCTTCAAGGGCCATCCCGAGTGTGGATTCTGTCGGCAGCGATTCTATGGCGACGACGAGCTCTACACCCACTGTCGAGACAAGCACGAGCGATGCCACATCTGCGACCGCCGGGCCTCCCATCGTCAACAACAATATTACATCGACTACCATGCTCTGGAGGCCCACTTCCAGAAAGACCATTTCGTTTGTCTTGACCAGGAATGCTTGGACAAGAAGTTCGTGGTATTTGAGTCGCAGATGGACCTGAAGGCTCACCAGATCGAGGCGCACCCGAATGGAGTCTCCAAGGATGTGAGACGAGATGCTCGGGTGGTTGATCTTGCCGAGTTTGATATTCGCAGCCCATATCAGCCCCAGCGTCAGCGCCGAGGTGCTGGTCGTGGTCGCGACCCCAATGCTGAGCCTCTACCAGTCTCCAGCGCACAACCCCTTGGACGCGCTGAGCAGGCATTCCAACGGCAGCAAGCTATTCAGAGCTCCCAGTCGGTGACCACCCGCAGCTTCGGCGGACAGCTCAGCCGAAATGATACTCAGACGGTACAAGCACCCGCTCGGTCAGCAGCAGCTACCCCGAACCCGGCAGCTCGTGCTCGACCTCCACCTACCGCAGAGCTGGAGAGCCTCAGCCTTGCAGCTAGCTCAGAACCGCTGAGCCCGCAAGATCAAGCCCGTCGCCTCCGTCATACCGCTGTCGTGGAGCGAGCATCCAACCTACTCCACAATGATGCCAATAAGCTCGCCGAGTTCCGGACGAGAGTGTCAAGTTACCGCACATCGTCTATTGGGGCTACCGAGCTCATCGATGCATTCTTCTCTCTGTTTGATACATCAAGCTCGGAGTTGGGCAAGCTCATCAAGGAGCTTGCCGATATCTACGAAGATCAGAGTAAGCGTACCAGCCTCCTCCAGGCGTGGAACGACTGGCGGGCTATCAACGAGGATTACCCTGCCCTTCCAGGTCCCGGTGGTCTCCTGCCTGGCATGTCTCCCGGCACAGTCAGCACCGGTGGCAGCCGTGTCTTGCGTCTGAAGTCTTCCACCGCGCAATCGTCTCGTTCGGCCGTTGGTAGAAGCGGCGCCATCTCATCCTCATCTGCCAATCCCTTCCCTCCTCTCTCCGCAGCTGTCGGCAGCTCATCTCGCCGCAACAACGCCGCCACTTCTACCCCCTGGGCCGCCGCCGCCCCTCCGCCCTCCATCAGTCGTCCAACCTACTCAACCCCTCCCAGCCGCGCCTCTCCAGCCATGGGGCCTAGCACTGCCCGTCCCGCTGCTGGCGCGGACGCTTTCCCTGCTCTTCCCATGGCCGCTAAGCCAAACGTCATGATGCCCGGAAAGACGCGTGGTTACGTCCGATGGGACGGCAGCAAGGCGCCCGCTGCTAATGCTTGGGGATCGAATCCTTCTTCTGGTCTCGCTTCTCCGGCAGAGCCAGTAGATGATTTTGATGATGAGCCTAGCGATGGAAAGAAGGGTAAAAAGAAGAAGGGCAAGCAGACCCTCTTCCACTTTGGTTAATACCCAACCCGATTTTCGGATTATTTGTGAGCGTTTTTGATAGATGAATGAGGAAATAAAGCGATTTGTTTGTGTAAAAACTGCTTTCATCTACTCACTTTTTAATTGTTTGTAAAGAACTATCATTTAGGACTGATACATGTACCTAATAGTCCAGTCATCTTCTATCAATGTAAGACATCAGATCGTCAACCGCAGGGTGTAAAGAGGATTCTCTCTTTGCCTTTCCACCGTATCATACAATGATCAAAACGCATACGAATGTAATAAAGCTCACATGAGACACCACTCCGGATCTCCAGAGACGTCCTCACACCAACACAACACTGTCATGTCCGACAGAGTCAGGCTCCGAATCGGAATCGACCAGCAAATGATCCGAAGGCAAGGGATTTCTAGTCGAATTCCTCTCAGATGCCCTATCGGTGCGGGAAGTCCGAGCAGTGCAGTCCGCCTGAGAACCATTCTCGTTCCTTTTTTGTTGGACGTCCAAGATCTCAGAATCAGAACCAGTTTCCAGATTCACCTTCTCATCGATTGCAGCCATGCGCAACACAATTTCATCCTGGAGCTTGACGAGATGTTGACGAAGAGATACGCTATCCATAGTGCCATTTCGAGCGAGTATAAGCTCCTCTCGCAAAGTGAGAAGCAACTTACGTTTCCGAGCTATGGCCACGGCACGCGAAGGGCTGTTCCGACGCTGAGTGAGGCGATCCATTGACTCGGAGACGGTTCTGGCTACCTGTAGTACTGCAGGTGGGAGGTCTACTAACTTCGCCAGCTCAAGGCCATATCGACGGTCCGGAACGGGTCCTTCGGCGATCTGGTATAGCATCGTCATCTTGTTCGCATAGGGGGTGATATCGGCTGCCAAATGGAGATTTATGACACCGCTTTGTTCTGAGAGAATGCGCGCGAGGTCATGAAAGTGTGTGGCGAACCATACTAATGCATTACTGGCGAGAAGGGCCTCGGCCAGTGCGATGGCGATCGCGAGACCGTCGGTCGTACTGGTGCCGCGCCCAAGTTCGTCAACTAGGACCATGGCTCGAGGCTGGACATGTCGCAGGATGAATGCCATCTCTCGCATTTCTGCGGCGAAAGTAGAAACATTCGCGTCGAGATCGTCACTGGTGGCTACACGGGCAAAGAGTTGGTGAACGATTGGGAACGAGGCGTATTGTGCTGGAACAAAGCATCCAATCTGTGCCATTACGGTCATGAGAGCGAGGGATCGGATGTATGTTGATTTGCCGCTCATGTTGCACCCGGTGATGATCTGAAGTCGAGTTTGTGGCGTGGCACAGGCATCGTTCGGAATGAACTTGTGGGAATGAATCCGTTCTCGGATAGGATGGCGTCCAGCCCTGATAACCAAACTAGCCATGAGCTCGGGACGGATATAATCGTGGCTTGTTGCGAGTTGTGCAAAGGCTGCTAGCATGTCCAGCATTGCGATTGCCTCACTGATACGAAAGAGTCCTGCGACGTCGGCGCATACTTCGTGGAGTAGGCCTTGAACTGTCTGGTCGCTCATGTTGATCACTTCGTTGTGCGCATCGGTGATCTTCTGGTTTAGTTTGACTAAATCCAGAGTTTGGCACTCGATCCGATTCTTTTTGCGATGGACATTGATGAAGATATCAGGAAGTGTTTCTGGATTTCCTATTGGAATGCAGATGTAGTATTGGCGTGCGGTGTCGAACTTGAGATCCAGAGTCATATCAAAGGCTTCTGCAAAAAATTAGCGAAGGGATTATAGCAAGAATCTAGCGTGGAATCTTGCCTTCCAGCTTGGTTACCAATTCTGCTGCATCGGCATTAGCCTCCTTGTAAGTTTGCCTCGCAACATCCAGAAGACTACTGACGCCGGCCTGGCGGAGTTAGCATCCTATTTAATGAGTAAGAAATTAATCATCACCTTCACACAGTAGATCCGTTGATTGCGAAGATCGAGGGGCTTGGTTTGGTATTTGATGTTTTCATTTATTGTTTTCTCGATGAGTTCCTCAACGGCGCGATGGCCCGCAGGCTGACACAACTGCTATATGTTAGCACTGAGGTTTGCAAGAGGGTTCATTGAGTGTGACATGCTGTTCGAATAGTAGTCAGAATCTCGCTCTGTGCCGCACCGAGCGCCTGATACACCTTCTTGATGGACGATACATAGATTTTGAGCATGATGACATGGTTGACAGACTGCTCGATATACTGGGCTGTTCGCTTGGTAGGCACAAGGATGATCTTCACTGTCAGCTGAGTACAATGCTTGAGTCAAGAGAACATACCGATGTCAAGACTTTATCTGCATCGAGGAATCCCTTCAAAGACTGGCGGACAGATACGAACATGTCTTCCTTTGTGGACAAATCCTCCACCGCATTGTATCTCGCGGTCAATTTGACCCTTTCGGTGGAAGGCTGAACGATGTTGGCTCGGAGTAGTCTGGCTCCCATCGGCGTTGTGGTTTCATTGAGTAAGCCATACAAGCTATCTTTGGATTTGGCATTGTGGAGATTTTGAATGAGTTCGAGAGAAACAATCGTGGCCAGATCGATGGTCATTGAGCCTTGCGAGGGTTCAAACTTGATCCGTAGAGAGTGGGAGGCGAAGATACGTTGCAGTTCAAACTCGATATACTTGAGAGCCTTCTCAGGATTAGGATAACTGTGTGAAAAAATCTCGGTGGGAGAATCGTACCGCCGCAAATGAGCACGCTGCAAAGTAGTTTCCTCCCAGTGTCACCTTCAGAGAATCGACCTCATCCGGGAAAGCAAGACGATCAAGGTATTCGTGACCAGCCTTATCTGACCAGCACCTTCGATCCACAAAGGTGAGAGTTGGTTCGCGCAGGTTCTCTGCGATGATGTAGTGCAACTTGGAGTCCTTGGCAGTACTCATGAACAGGATGTCACTGGGTTCGAAGACGCCAATTTTGGTAACAGTCTTGACGTACGTCTGACTGTCACAAATCTGGCACAGAACCACCTCAGCAGTGGCGAGGTTCACGAATGCCAGCCCAACGGTGGATGATACTCCTCGTGATTCACTGACAGCACAGACAATGTCCTGAGAGGCGACACTGGTGGCTGTGGTTGTGGGCCTTGCTGTTCCAGCCCGTCGGGTGCTGTTCCTGACGGTCAATGGAACGAAAGAATTAAGTGTGGACTGTCGTGACGATATAGACATTGTGTCAGTGGGGTGGGATGAAATGGGGAAGAGGTGAGGCGAGAGAAGAGGAAAGTGAACTGCATCTTCTGCACCTGATCACTGATAGCACTTTACGCTGGCCGACACCTCTCTAATATATTTTCTCACTATTGCGTCTACTTTAGTTCACTTAAATGGTCCTTTTTCCCTATGAATCATTCCAGACAATATGCTAACACGATATCAGATAAATGCTAACAATCGATTACATAGTCGAGTCCCAAATTTAGCCCGTGATAGAATCTTTTCACGGCAGATGAGAATCTGTCAGAATGGAGACGATGAAAAGAAATAGAATAAATTCCACTCAATTCTTTACTCAAATGCTTCCCTTCATATCTCAAACACAGTAGTGCTGTACCTAATGGTCATATAGACCGAGAGATTCAAGAAGCCCTAATCTGTTTTCCGATGTATATGGAGCGATAGCGTTTGCAGTTAGTACTAGGTGGTGGCTACTAATAATTTTGGCTACAATATCAAATTGACTGATATTTTAACGCTCGCTAATTAAGCATAAAGAGAAAAAAAAAGGATGTCTAATAGATAATAAATTTGACAAGAGTGATCCACCATAGGATCATCCGCGTGAGTGATCCCCGCCAGTTAGAAAATCCGCACCCGATAAGATAAGCCCTCCAAATCAAAATTTCTTCCTCCGTCAACTCCTCCAACCCAACAATGGCGACCCTCCTCCCCCTGCCCAGTAAGCGCCAAAAGCTGGCTCATGCCGAAAAGGCCCGGGAGCAGCAGGAGATCCAGAGTATTCCTACGGATTTGGGCAGCGTCCGCGTCCAATTCTACGACCAGGCTACTGGAAATGCTACCGGGCCTGCGGTGTCGGTCCCAGTGGCCGATGCGAATATTAAGAACCTTGAGACGCTGTTGAATACTCTGCAAGGGAATGTAAGGATTACTCTTTTGCAAAAAACCTGTCGTACTGAACTGAACTAATTGGTCGACTTCTGCTCTCTGCAGGACGACGATGATCGTGTGCCGTATCGATTCACCTACCAATCCGACAAGGAGGACGGACAGACCATCGATATCCTCGCCGATTTATACCACTCGCTCCTCCAGCCAGGGATCAAAACGACCGAAGATACGGTCTCGCTATTTTTCACCCCGCAAGCCGTCTTCCGAGTCAAGGCTGTTTCTCGCTGCGCCGCCTCGATCGCGGGTCACGGCGAGGCTATCCTTGCAACCTCTTTCTCCCCCGTCAACTCATCGACCATGGTCTCGGGCAGTGGCGATTCTACAGCTCGAGTCTGGGACTGTGAGACTGGTACCCCGTTGCACACACTCAAGGGACACACTAGCTGGGTTCTGGCGGTGGCATACTCGCCCAACGGCGCGATGATTGCGACAGGTAGTATGGATAACACTGTGCGGTTCTGGGATGCGAAGAAGGGACAGGCGCTGGGTGGACCGGTCAAGGGTCATTCCAAGTGGATCACCAGTCTGGCTTGGGAACCCTACCACGTGCAAGAGTCTGGACGGCCCCGTCTGGCATCTGCGTCGAAAGACTCGACCGTGCGGATCTGGGATGTAGTCTCGAAGCGCATTGAGCATGTTCTCACTGGACACAAGGGATCGGTCAGCTGCGTTCGGTGGGGTGGTACTGGACAGATTTATACGGCGTCGCACGATAAGACGATTAAGATTTGGAATCCCAAGGACGGTACGCTGATCCAGTCTCTGGCGGCGCATGCCCACCGTGTGAACCATCTGGCTCTCTCCACTGATTTTGCCCTGCGCACCGCCTACCATGATCACACTGGTAAGGTGCCGGGTACAGAGGCGGAGAAGGTGGCTGCTGCACGCAAGCGTTTCGAGGATGCGGCGACCGTGAACAACAAGATTGTCGAGCGATTGGTCTCGGCCAGTGACGATTTCACCATGTATCTGTGGGACCCGGCTGCGTCGAATAAACCCGTTGCGCGACTGTTGGGTCACCAGAAGGAGGTTAACCATGTCACTTTCTCGCCGGACATGGCATACATTGCATCTGCTGGGTTTGATAACCACGTCAAGCTTTGGAATGGACGTGACGGGAAGTGAGTTTTTTTTTTTTCGTTACTCGTATATCAATGCTTTTCGTCTTGCTAACCACTCGCGTTTCTATCGTTTCTAGGTTCATCACTACATTCCGCGGCCATGTCGGCGCTGTATACCAGTGCTGCTTCTCTGCCGATTCTCGGCTGCTGGTGTCTTCCTCCAAGGACACCACTCTGAAGGTCTGGGATGTTCGGACCGGCAAGTTGGCTACGGATCTGCCCGGACACAAGGACGAGGTCTTTGCCGTGGACTGGAGTCCTGATGGTCAAAAGGTCGGCAGTGGTGGCAAGGACAAGGCGATTCGAATCTGGCGGAACTAGAGGGTGTAGATAGTAGAGTCCTAGTCCTATATAGAATGATACCCATTACCTGTTCCTGCATGAGATAAACCTTACAAGAAATCTTAGTTAGAAGAATCAAGTAATGTAATCAATCATTATTAATTTGTATCAAGGTCTCCCTAATACTATACTCGCTCCCGCGAGAAAATAACCAACAAACAATATGCTCAAAGCTAAACGCAATCAGATCATGTCATAACAAAACAACATGCACCACAACCACTCCCCTCCCTCAACATCCATCCATCTAAATATACTGCCAAGCAGGAACATCCCCCTTATACGGCAACGCAATAGCCGAGAAACCCAGACAATCAGCGACATTTCCAGAAGGAACGGTGGCATTGCTCAAGGCAGCAAACACCTGCCAGCGGTTATCCGCGGTTGGACAGGCCATGAGACCAGTTGCACCCCAGCCATTGAAGGTGTAGTGGTTCCAGGGAGTACCGGGCTGGTAGGCTAGATTGCCGACGGAGGAACCGGCGGGGATGGAGGCGGAGTGGGCTTGGGTGAAGCTCAGGGCGCCGGTGGGGTCGACGTAGACTTGTTGGCCGCCGGGGACTTCGACGTCCTATAATTGATAGAATTAGTATTAGATCACTTTGGAAGAATGTAGTTTTGTGTTTGTTTGTTTGTTTGGTTGTTTGATGTGTAATGTGTGTTGTATGCAGTGTCACGTACCAAAGAGTTACCACCAGGAGCCAGGATAGTCTGGTTGCCCGGGGGGCAATTCTGCACTTGCTCAGGGCAGTAAGAAGAAGTCTGTCCACCCAACCAGAACTTTTGGCCTGCTGCGTTCAACTGGGCGTAGTGGATGGGCGAAGCAGAGCGGACGGCCATGACGCCAAAGGGCGGGTTGGCGTCGGTAGTGGCTTGGGGGTGGGAGCAGCCACAGCTAGTAGAGGGAGGGCGAGAGAAGCAATGAAGGTCTTCATTTTGGAGATGAGTGTGATTGAATGGAAAGGGTAGATTATAGTCAAAAGAGGAAGAGATGAACAGATGTTGATGATGAAAAGGTTAAAATCTCCGAAGAATGCAGGGTCTCTTTATAGTTCTCCAAGGGAGCAGAGAATAGAAGAGGCGATCATTCAGGGATCATCCATCAACATCAGCATCATCGGCTGAACCCCGCGAAAAGGAATCGGCCGTACCACTATACCACTATCAACAGAGGATCAAAGTGTCGCAGTGACGAAGTGAACAATTGGATAAGACACCAGAATAGCAAAAGGGACTCCACCAGTCTCCACCCAATTCCCCCGGGAACCGCTTGATGAGTTCATGGACGAACCACAATCTCACCATCTCACCCAGCGGAGATGCCGAGTGGCAACTCGATTGGGCGAGTTTGAGACACAACGGGCCGTTAGACTGATTATAGCGAGGTGATGATGCAACATCACTGTTGTTCAAGTTGTTCAAGGTGAACCAACTTCCGCAAGCGAAGCGACCGGAGAGGGGCAACTAAAGTGAGACATACTCGAGTGACTGAACTCAACACACCGTCGATGCAGAAGATGAGAATTTCTGGGTTTTATCATCCTTCCTCTTTCATCCGACTGCCAAGCAGAAAAGGCGAAAACGAGTCGGAGAGCCGCGGTCTTGGTGATGATCTGCACTTTCCATGTCTCACCTGGCTATTATTATGTCCTCCAGCCACTACTTGGTGTCTGTTCTGATCCACGAGCAGGTGGAGTTTTACCATAGAGAATGGAGCTTGAGTAGTGGAGTTTCCATTATGGGATCTTCGAAATGGAGACTACTACCATGGCCTGATGGTCATGCACCAGCACCAATATTCGGCTATGATGCTATGCTGGTTATGATGCTATTTCCTGCTGTCCTACACAGGTCTCACATTCTCATGCCGCCAGCCTGTGCCTGATGCAACTCTACCACCTTCCATCTGCGCAGCCCAACTCCCGTCACTATTATTACCTCGGACCTGCATGATCATTGAAATCCCATCCGGCTTCACGGCAAACCCTGCCGCACTTCACTCCGCTCATTCAACCCCCACGCCGAGCCACTCCCATCATGCACAGTTGCCCGTCGCATATCCCGTCGAAACTTGCCTTCGAAGCTGCCCCCGACCGCGCGATGCATCACACTCGTGTTGTCCCACAGAATCAAGTCTCCAGGCTGTTCCCAGCTAATGCGAAGCACATAGCGAGACTGGGTGGCGTGTTGAAAGAGTTTGTCGAACAAGGCCTGTGAATCCTCGGGCTCTAGCCCCTCGATATGGTGGATGTGTGCGGCGATATACATTGTCTCCCGTCCTGATGCCTCGTGTCGTTGGAACAGCCGATGTCGTCCCATCGGGTAATCGTCAGGATTGATGTGTGCAAATGTCGCGGGCGCGGCTGTCTTGCGTGAATGCCAGAGAGAGTGCGCTGCGATATAATCCTTTTCTCGAAGTTCATCCTTCAATGCAGACGGTAGTTCGTCAAAGGCTGTTCGTACATCGGCGAAATCAGTCTCTCCGCCCATCCCCGCTGGTGGTAGCTCATGCGCTCGGAGTAACGAGTATCCAGCTCGTCGGGGATTGAAACTCGAGTCTACATGGAATAGTCCATTGCCCTGTCTCATCTGAATCAGCGGAGAACCCTCCGCGAGATGACTGCAGCATGTCAGAAACATACTCACCTTATTCCACTCCCGCCGCACATTATCCAATGCAAACACCGTCCCATCCAACTCGATATTCCCCACATCAAACAACCGCACATCAGAAAGTCGATGCGCCCGACCACCAGCCGTGTAGGGCGTCACATCATCCAACTTGCCAAACTGCGCTGCAAACGCAACGTGACGTGCATCGTCCAGTCCCGTATTCCGAAACGCGCATACGCCAAACTAATTCGGTTCATGCAGGATGAGACATACTGATATCTTGCTTATGTGGTTTAGGCTATTTTATTCTGGGCAGGACCCACCTGGGTTATTGCAGTGAGGATCTCGTTAAAGACTTCTTGCGGAACGGGTTGGGAGAAGTCTACGCCGCTTATTTCGGCGCCGAAGGTTGGGTGTAGATTTTTGATGCTGATGTGGTTGAATATCGGGGAGGTAGAGAGGCCGGACATGATGATGATGATGATAATCTTGTTCTTGACAAGGTGAGTACATATACTCGGTTTGATGTCTTACTTTCCACCCCGTTCTCGAGTCTGTGCTCGCTTTAATAACGCCGAGACATCTGATAGTCCTCGGCATGAAGAGCGTAGATAGGCTGTTATGGTGCGGGGAAGACTCGGACTTCTGTCCAGATCATACCATAACATAACGTCACACAGGTATATGTGCTTGATAACTAGAAATCTTGGAAGGTACTTAGATAGTTGTTAAAGTACAAGACACTTGGTGTGTCGCATCTTTGTCTCTATCTGACTAGCATTGCAAACATTAGGCTCTCGCGATCAGCGTGGCTGGTCAAGTACCCCTTTATATCACTATGGACCCTGTCATTCCGAATATAGTTAGGGGTCCGGGCATGACGATAACTTGGCAAAGTAAGTGCATATATTCAATGCATATAGACGGGTGAACTTACACACCTTCTAGCAACGCTGGAGTGTTTGGACTAGTTGCACCTGCAAACAGAATGGGAACCTAAGGGTATTTCTTACTAAGTGGAAGCAGGCTCTCTCAGAACTCCTTTAGTGCCACAGTATTATCCTGCCACTACAGTTCTAATACGCCTACCTGTTCATCGAAGCTATCCGCGTGGAACCTTCCACTGAAAAATTTGTCACTAATTTCAAGCCTAATCTTGCCGATAGCCGCCTTACGGAAGATGCGTTCTTTGAATTTATGGCCTCCGAATCCTTTCGCCGCCACTACACGACTCTTATGCTACCCTCGTCATCCGTATCTGCCTCGAAGCTGTCTAATACCAAGAGGAAATATAGTTATTCGCCTCAGCCTCAGCCGTATGATTCGATGCTGACAGCCTCTTTTTCGATGATACATGAGCAAACCGGTTAGCGACCTGTACGACCACCTACCTAATTAGACAACTGCGTCTATTTGATTTTTATGTCGTTTTGGAGCATTTGGCCATGGAAAAGATAGGTCCTGTCATTCTGTGTGCTCTGCTAGTCATCCTGCCAAAAGGTCACATGACCACTGGTATTCTGCTAGATCTTCCTTCCTACAGCTATCTGAATCCCATGATCTTTTCTTACTTTCTCTTCTCCATTATCAACACAACTGACTGGCATAAATCTAATGGCTTCACTTGTCCCCTCGTCTGGGATGGCAGCCCAAAGCCCGTGGTTTCTGCGTTTCCCCTTAGAAATAATTTCATCCGTGTGTCCTTTCTGCCAAACAAAGAGGTCAAGTCCTTGCGTTTGACATGCAAAACCCTCGGCGAAAATTTCACCATTCTCTTCCTCGCACATTTTTCTTTCGGTCAACTCGTTGAACATCCAGGTTTTCCGAGCCGTAGCCGACCATCCAAAGTTTCGCCACGAAATCAGGGAGATCATCTGGGACGATACACGGTTGAATTGGCGCCGTTGATATAGGAATCCTTGCGCCCAATCATTGAACCTGAACGCATAGAAATCGACTCTCATAAGGGATGCCCCATTTAGTTTAAGGAGGAATACGAAGAGAACCCCTATAGGATAAAGCATCGGAAATACCGCGACGTGGACCGACCTGACCCGTATTGCACGTCAGCACCAGATAGATACGCAAACGCCGTTAAAAGTCTGCTGGGATTATTACCGGTATCTATAGGATAATCAGATGTCTGTGATCAGATCCGAAGCGCTCACTGAAGTTCTACACTGGTCTTGACCTCCTAGAAACTTTCGCCCCGACAATCTTCGAGCATCCCTCGTTCAATAGAGCACCGACCGCCATCTTACGCGCCCACTTCAATCGCTGGGCTCGTACTGCTATACATCAAGAATAAGGGCTTCTAGACTCAGAGTATTGCCCTCATTCGGGCAGATATCGGGTTTTCGTGATGGTTGACCAAGAGGCTCTTGAGTCTGTTTTAAATGCGCCGGATCCAAGTCGCTCTTGGACCTCGTTTGCTCGCATGGTCAATGGGGAGTGGGAGCCGGAGGTGCCAGATGAGGAAGAGTTGAGGCGTTGGGCGGACCGCCTGAGGAATTCGAGCCTTTGGAAGGGTGTACGCTGAGGGACGTTGGGTGGATGAAGGTGCCTTATGACGAAGTGGAATTCTCTGGCTTCGTGTATATGTGTGATGCTAATCATTGGGATTTGTTTTACTCGAGATCACCAAAGATTCAATCCCTACTGTGATATTATCTTGAAGGAAATGAATCGAATCTGACTAATAGATTTTGCTGTCGGGTCCTGGGAAGCCGTTTATAATGTGCATGTAGTGCGTTGATTTAATACTTTGGGGCTTCCGACGGTAGAAAAGAAGTGTAGCTACTAGAAGTGACCTCGGAGATTTTGAATATCCCTTTCACTTTCGATATCTACAACAGAGATCGCTTGTTAATCCATCAGATTACTTTATCAAGTAGCTATCTTCGAGAGTTAAAGCAAGCCGAGCTCCTCGTCTGCAGTGATACGGCTAGATAGTAAAACTCGCATCAATCCTTGAACCACCCCTAGCATGGTTCTGTATCATGCACAGCCTCCACAAATTTCCGCTCAAGCTTCGATATAGCAGAATATTTGAACGTAATTAGCAAGCAATGAATTCCATAGTGTATCTAATAGCTTACCTTCCACCTCCAGATCGTGGCTAGATTTCGTCTGCATAGATTTCCACTTTGATTCCCATCCAGTCGGCAGTTTCTCCACGAAGCCAATCATTTGGAAAACCATTACTTCATCTTCACCGAGATACCAAAACGGGTATGTTGTGAATAAGAAGGAATAGATCTGGAATTAGTAGACCAGACCGTTAGACCTGATTGCGGCACAGGTACAGTAGAAAACAGATGGGTGGAAACCTCACTTACCATACAACCTATCCGCCAAAGATCAACACGATAATCAAAGGAGTGCGTGAAAATAGTCTCGGGGACCCGTAATGTACCCGGCTGGTTTAATCGTTCAGGCTCTTTGCCCTGAAGAAAACTCTCTCCATAATCAAAGAGGCGAATATCTTCGTCGTCTTCATCGATCAAGTCGACCCATTCTGCGGCCTTGACTAGCTGTTTTGGCAATCCGGATTCTAAAGGCGTGCCATCTAGACGGGAAAAGGCTCGATTTCTGGAAATCTGAGAATTTCGAAAAGGTCCTCCTCGGTTTTGTTTAGTAGGTTTGTACAGCAGAATGCGATGTTTCAACCGCTGATGTCTGTCATGAAATAAGTATATATTGCTATTTGGCGAACAAAACACTGCTAGGAAAATGCGCTCACCACCATGAACATTCCAGAACCGTGGATAAATTTTACAGCTTTCAAAAGCTGGGTAGACACCCGGATGATAGTTTCCGCACAGAGCTTATCTCGACTCTCACGATAGTCCGCGAGGACTTGATCAACGGAAGGACCAAGTAATTCAAACACAAGGCATTGGTGAACTCCATTAGGACCGTCGTGGGTAAACCAATCAAGGAACTGCACAATATAGTTTGAAGATAGGTTCCCCCGGGGATGCCTTTCAAGGTTTCAAGGTGTTTCGAATTTTGTAATTCGCGAGTAGATAATCCCGAATCGGCGGTCATGATCTTTAACGAGACCCTTTATCCCTTGCAAGCCATACCGTCGAAAACCCACCCCATCCTAACTTGAGACGGACGTGGTAACGCCCATTCTTGAACGTATCTCCAAGGGTAACGGGATGGTAACCCCCAGGCTGGTACCGCGACAAGGCCTCCTGTGTGTAGAGTAGATTGCTTTGGTGGAATAGAGATAGTTCCATGTTAGAATCTAGTAGGAAGGTGCTGAGGAAAGGGAAATAGATGTGAGGAAGGCTTGATGACGAATATAAGGCTACGTCTTGGCGCTTAGGGTGATTGGCTAATTATAGCACACCACTTTGGGATCATGACCGCCCACAGAGATATGTTTGTTCGCTCTAGTGATTGAGTAGTTCAAGATCGAATCGATGAGGTACTTCTCCTGTCCTCAAAATTTCAATAGTTCTGTACTCGCCATGAAAACTAGCCCCACAAAGATAGTCATTGCGGACCTTTATTATTGAATCCCATCACGAGTATTTGAGTCAAGATCTTAAATCTCATCCATACCAACAAAACCACACGCCCATCTTTCCTTGACAAATCATATCATCCCTCACAATAAGACAATATTCCAACACCCGAATAGACGGGACCCGAACAAGACCCATCAATCCATGTCATTGGTCATCCGCATTACGGGGAAACCCTCCCTGCAGGATTCCGGGACAGTGGTCCAGTTTTAAGGTTACCTCCGCCACGGCCCTGGTCTGGGGTCCACCTGTGCGACCAGGTTGGCCCCCACGGTCATACGATATGAAGGAGGGTGAATCAAAGGCAAGAAGCAACAACCCCGTGTATTACAATGTATACGATAGTGTAAATAACTATCTCGACCCGAAAGAACAGGATATTGAAATCACCGAATAAAATATATACGAGCGGACGAGGTCACCGCCGAGGTATAAACATGGCCAGGCCAAAGAAGGCCAACGCGACAAAAACACAAAAACAAAGCCAGACACCTCCTGCACCGATCCGTGTAGCAATATGGAGATATAAAACGAAAATTCCTGGGGTAAAAGAGGAATAAAAAGAGAAGGCCGCCGTGAACACCGATAAAAGCCAACACGCCACCTTTTTCTACCCCCATACGTCTTGATCCGCCAACCCAAGCAATAGAACAAACACACACACAAAAAAAAAAAAAAACACACACCCATAGCCCATCAATCATCGTCTCCATGCGAGAGAGACGTGCGTCAACTCCAGGTGCGTGGGGACTCGGTTCGGAGTGGAGCGAGGTGTGTCAAACCGAGCCATTCCAATACATTAACATTCTTTTCGTCGTTTTCAGTCTAGTAGTCATCACCATCGTCATCGTCTCCGTCTCCGCCACGACCCCGGGGTCCCTTGACACCATCCTTTCGGATGGGTATCTTGATACCCTGTAGCGCAAAGCACTTGCTCAATTGGGTGCTTTCAATGACACCGGGGAATTTCTTGGCGGAGAAGACTTGGAAGGGTTCACTAAAGACCGAGGCCAGAACGGGGGCAGATCCATGGTTGATCACGGGCGCCCCGTTGCTGCTTTCAGTGGACTGGGTGCCCACATTGACGAAGCTCATTTTGAGACTATCGAATATTAGCATCCAGTTCATCTTTCAAGATTTGTATCTGATCTTACCGGAAAGTGCCCTCTGTGCGCACACTCAAATCCTGCAGAATGAACCACACGCCGATCTTGTTATCTGGGTCCGTTAGACGGAAAGCACTGGCACTGAGACTGCCAATCAAGTTCCGAGTGAACATGCCGCCCGGACCACCCGAGACTGGTGGCGCGGGAGACATGGCAGCGGGCATCTGTCCCCCCTGGGGATAGCCATAGGGTGGGTACCCCACTGCCTGACCGTATGGATTTTGGTACATCTGTTGTTGGCCATAATAGTTGCTCATGGGCGGGTATCCGACTGGTTGCCCATAGGCATTCTGACTATAGGCGGGGTAGGTAGGAGACATGCTCTGGGGCGGAGGTGGGTATGAGGAGGACATGGCGGTCGAGATGGAGGGGGAAGTGGCGGAATGCTTGACGAGGTTGACCTCGTTCGTACCATCGGCGTTCCACAGGTCGACGGTGAGTACGTAGAAGGATGTATCGATCTCACTAGAGCGCACGACGAGCAAGGTCAGAACGGGAGCCAACGTAGATCATAGACGGGGTCCAAGCATACTTGATATCAATCTCTTTCTCAGTGTGTTCATCTCGTACGATTAGGCGAATACATGGGGGTGGAGTGATCGGTCTCCGGTCCTGAAGAGCGATCCACGTCAGTCATGGAAAGTCACCCTTGAGATGAAGAACCACCCACCTTATCACCGAAACCACACATGCGAGCTCGAATAGGCTGCTGGACGACCTGTAAAGACCAAATCCGGCCCTCATGGCTGGTGGAGATGGGCGCGAGGTGATCGGACGACCGCAGCGGGCCTGTCCCTGGCGTGGGATACCCGGCAGACGGGCCAGAGATGCGGTCCATTGAGAGCGGTGGTGGTGGCGGCGGCACCGGATGGGCCCTTTCCTGTTCAAGAGCGTACATGGTTCGTGAAGTCGAGGAACCGAGGGCGAGTTTCACGATAGAAACGACGGGTCCCTCTGTCTGTATTTATCTATGAAAGGAGAAAAAAAAGAAAGATCTGCTTCGATCGTGGACCCTCGAGAGTGCTCAGGAGCGGGGGTCCAACGTGACATGCGACCCCGCGGAATCCAGACGTCACAGTTTAAGCATTGACTTCAGGCGGAAGCTGAAGCGGTCGCGAGCGGTCTTATCGCGTAGGAACAAGACCTGATCTCGTAAGCTTGGGCAAGTGTGATCGCCTGATCGAGGCTGCCGGCCGTGGGTCTGATGTTCAGCCGCAGGGGGGAGGGGGTTGTTCGTATTCGGGAAAGGTGGTGAGGGAGTCGATCGCGTTGGGCAAGAAGGTGAAAATTCGACCCAGACGAAGATGGTCGATGCCCCAGGCCAAACCAGCGAAATGAGTGCGGGAGTGGCGACTCGAGAACCGAGAACCGCGCTGTCGGGAGGTCGGCGTGGTCGGGGCGTGGAGGGGGAAGAGAGAGGTTCGTTCGGGAGGTTGATTCAGGAGGGGCTGGTTTTTATCTCTCCCCAATCAATCACTGCTGTATAACACAAGCTCCTGATTAGAATAACGGTGATTCCAACTCGGTCGCATCCATCGTGAGAGTAGGAATGGGTGAGCCACGAGACGGTAGCTGTCAGGGTGCGGGAGATTGGCTGGGCATCCACGGATCGCAGGTCCGAAGTCTGCGGTCCACACCGCGAGTCATTCAGGTTGATCGACTTACCGAGTAGACAGGCGGAGAACACGAAACCACCAATAGAAGAAAAAGAAAAGGGAAGGAGAAGAAGGCGAGAAGGTGGGGAGGAGAGTGGAAAAGGATGAAGGTTGGAGGTTGAAAAGCAGAAAGTGTGGAAGTTTGAGGGGAGGGGAGAGAAGAGGAAGAGAAAGAGGGAGAGTGAGTGACCGAGTGACGTTCTCGAACAGGCTGTCCACTCACTCAGTAAGTACTGTAGTCCAAACTAATTAACTTAATCATTTCAGTCCCAACTGAAAGTGTCAGAAAGGATCCGCGCTGCCGCCGCAGGAACCTCGACCCAGTCCGTCGGGTTGGTTTTTTTTTTTTTTTTTTTTTTGGGCTGTGACGAATGAGATTGGGCTCCTCTTTCAATCACCCCGATGCAACCGCCAACTTGCTCGCTTCAAAGCTCCAACAAACGGATGTAGACTGAACTACAGAGTCTACAATATTCCCTGCAGCACTAACAAGCATAAACCCGCTGATGGGCCCTGAACCCTCGACGCTTCTGGGGAGGCATTGGGCCGTTTGCGGAAATGGCAGTGCTGCGGGTCCCTCCGTCTGCGGCGCTGGACTCATCTTCACTTGTGAATTCTGCCAATTGGCTATGAATCACCGGCCATTCACCCAGAACCGGTCAAACATGGAATCTCTACCGGTCATCGGTTTGTCCGTTCATCACCCTCATCGGTCATCTACTCTCGGCAGATTCTCGGGGCCGTGCTCCACGGGCTGAGGGGATGGTGTGGCCCTAATGGCCGTGATAGCGCCCGAGATCTATACCGCCCCAAGATCTCGGTACGATCAAAGATCGAGCTTCTCGATCAATCACGATCGATGGAACTGATGCATAATGCAGTCTGCAATCCGCATAATTAGCTGCAGCTACTCTGCAGTGGATCTGGATCTCTTCTTCAATCCCTGTTCCTTTTGTTCCATTCTTCATGTCGACTCGGTGCCGCCCCCTGCCGCGGTACCAGAGGCTGACAACCCATGTTTTTTGGGGCGTGATGGGCCTGTCGGACCGTGAACACGCGAACCTGTCGGGTGTTCGGGTGGTACAGCCGGAGATGAGGCTTGGTAGCAGGGTCCGTCCGATCGGGAAGTAAACAATCCTGTCGAAGTCATGATATACAAGTAGTCGGGAGTGCCGAGCTCGGGTAGAGCCTAGTTGGTGGATAACCATATAAAGGCACAGATTTACGTCGAGGTTACCATTCTTTCTATTCTCCAGTCAGAAATTATGAAACACACGCAAGACAACCTGCGTTGGGATATACACTCATTGAGCGAGGTAGTCGACGAGTGAGATGTTCATCCTACACCACCACAATGATTTTTCGGTGGGTAAGCGTAAGATGTGTTGAGATATTACCCCGGACTATGCAAACTTATGCTATCTTCCCAGGTTCGGACTAACCACCTATACAGTATTCATCTAGTCGGTACATCCTCTATTCTGATAACGGCATTCAACATGCAACAACATAAACTCACAGGATGACAGCAGAATAAGAGCTTATGCTCTTCATTATGTAGAACCTTGACGGGAGAGATCATCTATGTTCTCTAGTCATTCTCGGCCCCCTGCAGCAACCTCTGACGCACAACTTGACATGGACATTCCATCCTTTATGCTAATTGATAAGTAGCCGACAGGTCGGCGTCGAGTGGTGACTGCCCAACGTCAGCAGTCGTCAGCAGATCTAGTTACATGCCCCTGATTACTTATCAACAAGAGCTTGGAAATTCATGCATATGGACCCACTGATAAGACATTGAGCACTAAGCACTTGATATGTCTGTCAAAATACGGATCAGGTTATATTCATGGCCGATGTTTGTAGTATCCTCTGAAGCCGACGAGACCGATGAATACTGATTGGATACTCTCAATTTGCAAAGAATACTGCCTAACTAGAGCTTTGACATACTCGGCTTTCAAATCCAAGGAAAGACAGGCATAAGTGGACCACTTGAACAGGCTCTTCTCAATACTTTACAAGTGCGACTGCTACTACGGCCGACACGGCTTACTTACCGAGCGGTTCAATTCCAAGTTCCAGCGGTCACCAGCGCATCTCGATTACCCAGTTAATGCAGTAGTCAATTTATCAGAAAAAAGGCACATGGCCCCCCAGGATCAGTTTAAAAGCACAGACAGTGAATTGGACCAGATGACCTCAGTTATGGCAAATGTGCCGTGCTCTGGTCATGATCCTCTTCTTGCAGAAGCCTGATTGGTGTGATTGGCTCGGCGGATGTGGGATGGATGGGTGCTTGGTATAGCCCCGCACCGGGAATAAGCAGTGACGGTCCACGAGGTTTGGGCGATGATATTGACAATATTTCAGGCTTGGTGAAGGACCGGGAAGAGAGATGGGCGATTTATGTATATTGAGAGGTGAAGTTATGTAAATTAAAATCTGTGTGGGAGATGTGCAGCGTAATAAGTCCGGTGGTCCGGGGTATCGACCCAATTATATGACTCCTCTGCTGGTATATCGCTATCGGGCCTCGTTCCGGGCGGACTACGAATACGAAGGTATCTTCAAGGTTCGTATTCTCATATCTTGAAAGGAGGACATGCTACTTTCAGGGAGGTACATTGAATTCTAATGGGTCTTCTTGACGAGGAAAGATGGGGTGGTAGAGACAAGGTGAACGGTGAGCTGCACTAAGGTTCATCTCATTCCATGCATTGTAACATCACGGGCATCGTCTATCTCATACTACCTAAAGGATGCTCCGGTACTTCCATAACGGGCGAGTGATCTTGATACCTAATGAGCCAAGCGAATCCTCGAATAGCATACCCATAGAATTTTCGGATGTTTCGAACATCGGAGTACTGTACCCACCAAACATATAAATATCGCTCATGCTGGAGAGGGAGGGTGTATACAGAGCCAGCCGGAGAGATTTTGTCTTACCGAGAAGCCAGACAAGATTATTTACTATCGTCAATGTAACAAGCTATAGTAACAAGCTATAGTAGCAAGCTTGTTTGACCCTTTCAACTCTGTTCAGTCAATCTCACCATGTCAATCCCCATGACGCCATCTGCGAGGTTCTTTGCGAGCCAACGTCTCCGCTCGGCTCTCGCCTGTCGACTATATCCTGCGGGCAAATGTGATTGGATAGGAAGGTAGGACTATGTAGTGAATCTTACCTTTCTCTACATTCAAACAGGGCCAAGGCTCACAAAGTCTACAATGGCGTGCTTATGGTTGCTAGCACGAGTGCCGAGCCGGAGTATAGGGATGTATGGTGGAGTATACTGATGGAAAGTATACCTCTGCCCTCGCATCCTAATGATTTGACTGGCAGTAGCGACAACAAATGTGACTCCACCACATCAACTGACATCCCACTATCCTTCCGATCTCACTCTCACCCCACCTTCAATCATATAATGGACATGGCTGATTTGTAGCAGGGCTTGTCTCGCGCAAAAAGCACCAGCCATGTTGTGATCGGAAAGTGCTCGACGGCCCCTGCAACCATGCAAGATGCATTCGCATCTCATCCATCGCGTGGGGAAAAGTTTTGAGTGGAAAAAGTATTTGAAGCAGTGAATTTCCCCCGTTTTCGGGGATAACATTCTTGTTTGGAGGGCCCTGCACGGGATAGCTCCTGTATATAGATAGGCTCTGTTATCCCTTGATTCGCATCGTGTGGCTATTCCCCCCGTTGTTCCCCCTCTGATCTACATACCTGGGCCTAATCGACAACGGTCATCAGTCTGGGACTTGACTGTTTGCATCATGTTGTGGTTTCGTGACTGGAAGGCCATTGCCCTGGTGGCATCGTGTTGGACGTCGACGAGTGATGCCATCACATACTCGCCATTGAAGCCGCCATCATATCCATTGGCGGTCCGGAGTCCATACTTGTCTGGTAAGTTCAAATCGCAAATCAATTGATCGACCAGGACGGACCGTTGGATCCTTGATCACTGATCGTCCTGCTTGTTTACCCCCCAAACCAAATTTCGAAGATTGACTGACCAAAATGATCGACAGCGTGGATCCCCGGCAATGAAGTCGCGTCACTCTCATCCAACAACGCGCAATTTTGGGCTGGCAACAAACTGATCTGGTCCGTCATTGCTCGAGTTGATGGAGTCGCGTACAACTTGTTTGGTGTGGCCAAACCTCCCAGTGGCACACAGTCAGCCACTGTCACCGAAGCGACATATACCTCCACTCATTCCACCTTCACCGTGACGACAGGATCGCGCGAATTCATACTCGATTTCTTCTCGCCGGTATCGCCCAAGAATTATCTGCGACAATCGCTGCCCTTTTCCTATCTCACGGTGACCCTTGCTGCCGGTGACTCGACATCGGTGCAGATCTACTCGGATATCGACTCGAGCTGGACCGGCCAGACCAGCGACTCCAGCTGGAGCTACTCCACCAGTGGATCGACGGGTGTCTTTCAGATCGAGTCGGTCGGCGCGGCCACCTACTCGCAGAATAGCGATGGCCAAGCTCTGTGGGGCAGCGCCGTCTACGCCACCCGTCCCTCCAACTCCTCCTCGCTCTCCACTGCCTCTGGCCCGTCCCTGAGCGTACGGGAGACGTTTGTAAACAATGGAAATCTCACGGGCGACCACGCTGACTGGAGTTCTACGGGGGTCGTCGCACTTGCGCATGACTTGGGAACGACTGCAGATGAGTCGGCGGTGACCTTTGCGATCGGTCACGTGCGGGAGGAGTCAATAAACTTTTTGGGCGCTGCGCAAACGGGTTACTATCGTGCCACTTATGCCGACACGGTGGAGGCTGTTGTGCACTTCTTGGATGACTATGACGGTGCCAAAGCCGAGTCAGCTCAGTTCGATAAACTGATCCAGGATACGGGTACTTCCAGCTATGGAACCAACTACTCGGACATTTTGGCGCTATCGGTGCGTCAAGTCTACGGGGGAATCGAGGTGACCATTCCCAATGACTCGCTGGATACGAGTGAAACGCGCGCCTTTATCAAGGAGATATCTAGCGATGGGAACATCAACACGGTCGATGTGATTTATGCGACGTTCCCGATATTCTACGTGTTGAGTCCGGAGATTATCAAGCTGCTCATTGGCCCCGTGTTCGAGTACATGGGCTCGAGTGCTTATACCAAGTCGTACGCTGTGCATGAGATTGGTGCCAACTACCCCAATGCCACAGGCCATCCGTCCGATGGCGAGGAGATGCCGATCGAAGAGAGCGGTAACGTGATTTTCCTCACTTACGCCTACCAGGCGGCCACGGGCAATACCGACCTGGCCACCACGTACTCTGCTCAGTTGAAGCAATACGCCGACTATCTCTATGAGAATGGACTTTACCCTGCGTCGCAGCTCTCCCTGAATGACGCGCTTGGTGAATTGGAAAATCAGACCAATCTGGCCGTCAAGGCCGCCGTGGGTCTGGCTACTTATGGTGCCCTGTCTGGCGAAAGTAACTACACTACTGCTGGCAAGGAATTTGCGGACAAGATTTGGACGGATCGTCTGGGCACGGATGCCGATGGCACCCACTTCTTGATCCAGTATGGAACCAACCCATGGTTCCTCGTTTATAATCACTATCCAGACCTGCTATTCAGCCTGAACGCCTTCCCCAACGAGGCATACAATGCCACTGCCGAGTTCTACCCAACCGTGCGAAGCGCGGCTGGTGTGCCCCTAGACGGGTCGATCGGCTGGGGTCAAACGAACTGGCAGTCCTTTGTCGCTGCCACTGTGAGTGGTGACACTCGGGATATTCTCATTAGTGACTTACACACTTACATATCTAATGGTCTGAATTCGGCGCCCTTCTGCGACCGATATTGGGTCGAGGATAGTGGTAGCTATGTGGCGGGTCAAGAATACTCGTTCCGCGCGCGGCCCACGCTGGGTAGTCATTTTGCGTTGGCGGCCTTATCCGGCGCTAATATTTGGTCTTGAGTTGAAATTTTTCATATCGAGAGAAGGTTGGGATAGGCTATGGCTGTATCTGTCAGGAGTTGACATTGCATACCTCGGTTTGATGGCATTTTCCTGGCTCTGAACACCGCATACATACTCTTGGGGTCCCGATCTTGCAGCTTCATCCTTCAATCAATCATATATACCCATTTACATCATACGCGGGCTGTTGACCCCTTCATCTCTAGTGCTGAGAATTATCTCCTCGCTTCATTGCCCCCTCATCTCGGGATATGGTCCAATCTTGGCCCTGCGGGCTGCAAAGTAGATTAAAAACCATGTGCTTACGTATGCCATCTTGGCATGAAGCTACAACAAGCTTAGTTAGATGGTGGAGATGTCCTCAATCATCCTCTCTCCTCAGGCGAAGCTTTTGTATAGTCGGGATGTGGGGGCCTCTCCCTGTGGTTGATCAAGTGGCCCACAAGAGCTCCCCCGCATTATCCAGCTAGCCCTGTCAATCTGGATCTCGACACGACGCTGGCAATGCCTGTGCTACTCCTGGATGTGATCTCGTTAGAATGCTCTCCACTTCCTTCCGACGATGATCATACCCCGGTTCATCAATGCGCGGGTACTCGTTCCCCATGGGGATGGACATTGCGCGTCCTTCACGGCTCTGCTTCAACTAGCAGCGCCAGGAATGAGTATTTAAAAAGTACATCCAGCCTAATAGATATCTTCATCACTGCTAAACAGTTCCAGAGACAGTTCACAGTTCTATCCTCGAGAAAATCCGCGAAAATGATTTCGCAATCACTCCTTCTCCTGTTCCCAGCACTTGCGCTGGCGTCGATTACCATTGAGGATCCCTCGGATGTGATCAAGCCCAAGTGGTGGACCAAAGACAATGCACTCCTCGCAAATTACGATATTGCGATGATCAGTACTCAGCCGTCGGACAGTAAGTAATCATTTCTATCAAGGATGAACTGTGAAGAAAATTGCGTCCCTGACGGTAGACAGTTGAGGCAATCCACAAGTATGACGGATCTAGCTCGAGTGCCAGCGTCGACCACGTTGCATGGTCTGCTACGGCGAATGATACCAGCGTCCTGCTCGTGGCGAATGGGGCCGAGTTCAATGGCTCATACATTGACTTCAAGAAGAGTGGATATTCGACCAATCTTAACACGGCCAGTTTTTGGGGATTCAATGCCGCAATCAACGTGGTGAGTATTTGATTGGAAGGTCATTGAGACTGAATTGAAGTTCTGACCATGCTCATCTCTATCTTTAGGCTAATGCCTCCACTGCCTACTTTGACAATGTCAATGTCACCGTCCATAACGGAGCTGCTCAAATTTACTCGTATGGAACCGACACTGTGGTCCACGTCAACAACTCTTGGCTGTACTCCTCTGGACCGGTCAGTCACGGCCTTTACGCCTCTGGCAATGGTACAATCGTCGGCCACAACCTTCAGGTTTACTCTGGTGGCTACCGATCTTCCAGCTTCTCTGGTGATTCCCCTGGCGGCTATATCTACGTTTACGACAGCGTTGCCCACGCAGCTGGCGTTGGATCTGCGACTTTCTACTCCCTGGGTCTGATTGATGCTCACAACGTGGTCAGCGTTTCCGAGAAAGGCCCCGTTGTTTTCTCCGATGGTGCCCAAACTACCAACCTGACAAACTGCGATGCCATTGCAGGACTACTGGGTGGAGTTGTGATCTTCAGCAGTTCCACTCGTGTTAGCGGCGCGGAGCTGAACTTGGTCAACACCAAGTTTACCACCCTCGGCAAGACGGTGCCCGGTCTATGGTTCGGTAATGTCATTGCCAGCGCAAACCTGAACAATGCCCGGCTTGACACCGCCTCTGGCATTCTGGTGGTAGCCAACTATTCCCAGGTTACTCAGGACTTTGACTACTACGCGGACTACGAGGACAACAGTAGCCTGTCCCCCGCCGAGGTGACTCTGACCGTCACCGAGTCCGACCTGGTGGGCGATTTGGTCGCTTACAACAAGAGCGTCATTAGCTGGACACTCAACGACTACAGCAGCTGGACTGGTTCTGCGTACTCTGGTTATGGGGAGGCCTACTTCGACGTTGCTCTGGACGCTACCAGCAACTGGACTCTGACCCGCGATACTACCCTGCAGAACTTCACCGATACCTTAACCAGTCTGTCCAACATCCACAGCAATGGTCACAACATCTACTACAACTCGAGCCTGAACAGCTGGTTGGGTGGTAAGACGGTTCGTCTGTCTGGTGGTGGTGTGGCGAAGCCAATCTCTTCGTCTAACAGCCGGGTCCACCGGGGGCTCACTGCTGGTCGCCGGCTGTGAATGAATACTGTTGAGCTGAGAGGATGGTCGATGTTGGGTTGATCTGTCAAAGGATAGTCTTGGTAATGCGGAGGACTAGTATATAGCATACATACATCGCTTGGTTAGATGGCACTGCTATACAATGGACCAATCTGTGATTATTGAACCTTGATGATCTACTAAGATTAGAGTAAATTAGGAGTGAGCCGGGTGCTCTGAAAGGACAATGGAAATGGGTTGGACTTACATTGTAGCCGATCGGTTCCGCTGGAATGGCTGGTTTGACCCCGCTGGCACTCTATACCTAGACTTATGTATGGAGCACTTTGGTACGCCCCTTCCTTGAATCGGAACCCAGTTGTAATTCATAGAGTTAGCACAACCTCAAAGATATAGTGAAATACGTCCATGAATCGGCTTCAGCTTCCCCGTGTTCGCATATCTTTCCACCGAGATTCTAGCACATTTGCCGAGTTTTTCTAGCGATATTCTAGAAATCGTAAACTAAGACATGCTCATTTATGCACCCCGCATTTGAGTTTCTTCTTCCGTGCCGAACCGTCAGGGCAGTTCTACGATCAAGGTTTATCTGCGTGTTTCGTATTCGAGCTCGGATTCTCGGATTCTCGTATCCCTACAATTCCCGCATGTTTATACCCACAAAAAAGGAAGACGGGATACGGATACGCCAGCCCCGCAAAATCCGTGAAGACTCAATGTCGGGGGTAAGCAAGTCAGCCACTCGCATGATGGTGTGTGGGCCATGACACGTTGGATAACTGGATAGTACTAGGATAAAGGGGTTTTAGGCTCATCGGTAGTCCGGGTTCCCCGCGAAGCCGGGGATTGTTCAGGAGTCCCTTCGGTCAAGCTCCTCCCGGAATAACCTCGGATGAATGATAATGTTGCCTAGCATGAATCAGTGTCCTGATTGCTCAAATTTCCTGCAACATTGCGTCGATTTGGGCCTTATAGCCACTCACGAAGATGCAAAATGGCGATCATCATTGCCGAGGAAGAACAACAGGAGGCCCCACGTCTAGGGACCCTACGTGGAACGAAAGCTGGGGATATCTCCACTCCCCCAGAGTGTTTCTGCTCGGTATGAAAAAGCCCGAAATCATGTCGTCAATCCGAAAGACTTGAGGGAAGTCGGATTTTCCGAATCCACTGATATATAGCTTTGATGGAAGCTGTCACTCAAAGGGTTCAAGCAGGGTTCAATCTCTTGTCCAGTTTTCCAAGATGTGGACACCTGCGATCAATCTTCTAAGTCTGTTGCTGCTTTGGCAGCCAGCAAGAGCAGACACCAATGATCAAACCTCCGCAAAGGTAGAGAGAGGTACTTTCGATGACCCCGCAGCCCGACTTCGTCCGCGTTTCCGATACTGGTTACCCGATGCTGGTGTCGATATACAGACAGTGCAGGATAATATCAAGTCTGCTGGTGCAATTGGAGCCGGTGGAGTGGAGTTTCTCCCATTCTACAACTATGGGGGTCAATTGAGCCCAGAGCCTACGGGTGCAGACTGGACCAAGGATGGCTTTGGAACGCCCACGTTCCACAAGATGTTTCTGGCCGCACTGGAGGCTCATAAGGAGGCTGGCTTGGTGATGGATTTTCCACTTGGGCCGAATCAAGGCCAGGGTGTGCCTGCTGATCCAAGCGATGAAGGATTGCAGTGGGATTTGGTATGTATATGCCGTATCGGAGGTCTCTACTCGAGCATTACTCTGACTTTGACCTCTTTTTCTAGAAACCCTTCTCTGCGGTTGTTACAAACGGCCAATTTGATGGGCAGATTCCAGGATGGGGTGCTGGTGAGCTGGTCGCTCTAGTCTCTGCTGAAGTACTGTCTACCAAGAACATCAGCCTGGGTACCGGCAGCTCGTCTTTCTTTGGATCATCTCAAAGTTCATACCTCTCTTTGGTGCTCAAAAATGGCACTCTAGTTGATTGGGCTAAGGATGTGTCCTCGACTGGACATGTTTCTCTCAAGTTCCCTTCTGAATCAACCCATCGCTTGTTTGCGTTCTATCAGTTCCTGAGCCAGGAAAAAAATCTGGAGTACAGCAGTGGCACTGGCAAGACTATCTGGGATAATGGCTCGTATGTCGTGGACCATTATAGTGCGAAAGGCGCACAGGTGGTGGCCAAGTTCTGGGAGAAGTATATCCTGCCTGAGGGAGTGAAAGAACTATTGATGGAGGTCGGAAACTACGGTAAAATGGGCTCTCGCTCATGTTGGACTGTGTCAACCATGCTAATCTATCTCTCACAGGATGGGAGGATAGTGTCGAGATCAGGTCAAACGTTTCCTGGACCCCATCGCTTCCTGAGATTTTCCAATCAAAGTATAGCTATGACCTGAAGCCATTCCTGCCATTGGTCACGTTCAGAGGCAACAACATCAACATTCAGAGCTCCAGTCCTGGTGAATTCTACTGTGTCCTCGACACTCCCGACCAGGGCCTTGGTTACCTCCATGATTTCCGCGGTGCGCTTGTGGAGGGATACCGTGATTACCTGGAAGGATTGACCAACTGGGTGAACAAAGAGCTCAACCTGCAGATGTCAGCTCAGGTTTCATACAACTTGCCAATGGATATGGAAGCCAATATTCCTTTCGTGAACGCCCCCGAATGCGAAAGCCTTCAGTTCGAAAGCAACATCGATGGGTACAGACAGTTCGCTGGCCCTGCCAACTTGGCCGGAAAGCGAGTCATTTCTAATGAGATGGGTGCTATTATGATGAAAGCGTACAACTTGCAACACCATGAGTTGTTGGGCTACATCAACCGGGCCTTTGTGGGCGGCGTTAATCAGATGATCCTTCACGGACAGTCATACACTGGTGATTACTACGGCACTACATGGCCGGGCTATACTGCGTTCGTGTACTTGTTCTCCGAGCTCTACTCTGATAAACAGCCCTCTTGGAACCATGGTCTTGGAGACGTCTTGAACTACACAGCTCGTGTGCAGTACCTTCAACAATCAGGTGTACCACGTACCGACGTTGTCATCTACAACAAGGTCTCCGGCACCAATCCCAGCTTCCCAACGCTATACTCATCAAACGACTTAATCGACGCTGGATATACCTATACATATCTCTCTCCAGATAACTTTGCCCTGCCCCAAGCAACGGTGAAGGGCAATACCCTTGGTCCTGATGGCCCCGCGTACAAAGCTATGGTCATCACAAGTAACAGCAACCTTACCCTGGATGGCGTGAATTATATCCAAAAGTATGCCCGCGCAGGACTGCCGGTGATTCTCAGTGGAGGTGACCCAGATGTATACGCAACACATGACAGCAGAGATGCGCCAGCTATCAAACAAGCTATCCAAACACTGAAGCAGTCCCGCAATGTCTACAGCGTCTCCACTGGAAAGGTTGCCGTCAAACTCCAGGCCCTCGGTATCCAGCCACGAGTTGCTCTGCAGAACAATGGGACGTGGTATGCAACCTGGAGAGAGGATGCACAGAACGGCATGGACCACGCCTTTTTGTTCTGCGATGGTAAAGCTTCGACTGGTACCGTTTCCATTGCCAGCAACAAGGCTCCAATCTTCTTGGATCCTTGGACTGGACAGACAAAGCCAGTACTCGAATATACTCGTCACGGAAACCAGGTTGTCATTCCACTCAGCTTGGCAGCAAACCGGACAGTCGTGATCGGCTTCATCGACAGTTCCTCCAAGTCCATTCAACACGTCACCCAGCTGCCCTCGTCTGTCGTTGGATATGACTATTCTCAAAAGTCTGGGATTGTGCTGCACCTCTCCGCTAGCGAGAACAGCCAGTCTCTGACCCTATCAGACGGTAAGCAGGTGAAGATCGCTGGTACGGAAGTAGCCAAGGCTTCCACCCTGTCCAACTGGACCCTCACGGCCGAACACTGGGAGGCACCCTCGAATGTCTCTGATGTTGACACGGTCGCCATCAAGCACAACACCACCCACCAGCTCTCTTCTCTTGTATCTTGGACGGAGATTGAAGCTCTGAGAAACGTGTCCGGCTTGGGCTACTACTCGGCCAGTATCAGCTGGCCCCCAACTGGTCATGGCTCCGCAGATGGAGCCTATCTCATACTTCCAGCCATTTCCCACGCTGCTCGGGTGTATGTAAATGGTCAGAAGGCTCCTGCAGTTGATTTCTCAGCTCCGCGGGTGGACCTTGGTCCATATCTGAAGAAAGGTTCCAACCAGATCACTGTTGTCGTTCCGACTACCATGTGGAATTACATTCGCAGCATTGCGGGTGAGGTTAAATCTGGGGGTACTCCGCTGGAGCTGCTTTTTTCGGCTTTTGGTACTGCTATTCCTCCCGTCACTGATAATGGCCTGGTTGGGACTATGACGCTGGTGCCTTATGTCAGCGTGCGTTTAGATTAGGTCTTGGTACAGTGCAGATCTTTTCAATGCAGTATAATTCATTACTTTGGTCCTGTCTTCACTTGTAATGACATTTGAAAAGGACAAGTGAGCTTGATAATGTGAAATTTGATACCCATTTCCACACCATAAGCCCCTGGACTCAAGCTTTGACGTTTTGGTAATCGTAGGAGCGTGAAAGTAATATTTTTTTCTGTTGTAGATCGTGATGAGCCCCGGCGGCTCTGAAAGGCCTCAATGTTATTTCCGAAAGTTCATTTGAATAAACCATCCGATGTGTTTTCTCTATCATCATTGTTTCTCAGAATCCTGAAAGCCTTAATTAAATCTGCTGGAAGGATGCCCGGTTGATACCGAGCCACGCGGTCAATCCTTAGCGAGTAGCCTTATTTGGGCAAAGCAGATCTCGGCGAGGCTTGATCGCCCTCGCACGGGGCCATATTGGCCGTGTGCGACATATCTAGAACCGTAGGTGCCACTGGGTGGAGGTTGAAGCACTAGCCACAATTAGGATCTGAGGGTGCGGAGGAGAAACTCTGAATATTGAAGGATTGGCCAAGGCTGGGAGAGTTCCAGTTTGAAATAAGTGGACAAAGTCTCCTGATCTGTGGATGCAAATCAAAGGATTCGTCATTGGCAATAATAATGCCGGCGACAGTAGGAAGGAGTAGTGCTGGTTATAATGTATGAAGCCGTCAAAGCAGATCAATGTGCTGTACAGTTCGCATTACCACATTCTACAATTAATCAACTCTAGTCTAGCTTGAATTGATACTGTAGCGAGACCAATGTTACTAACACTCAAACAGCCTCCAGTGTTTGGCAGAACAATGGCAAACTATGACATGTGGATGTCCCGAGCCAGCCCTTGAATACTCCTTCCATAGAGTGGATACTTTATGACTCCTTCCTAATAAGGAAAGAAGCAAACTACAATCTGTAGCGAGTCATGAAAGTGTTTGCTAGACAATGCTACTACCCGTATTTGAGACGTCTGTCAACAAGGAAGTTGAGAGGAATCCGGCAAATCATCGGGTAATGTTCGAGCTACGAATGGGATAAGTGGAGAGACAGATGGGACATCTGGAGATCTTCGGGGAAGGCTGATGAGGACCAATGAGAATGGAGATGGGTCAAGTCGCATTTACCTAAATCAGCACTGGAGCCGGACTGGGCTCGCTTGGATGGGGTGAGAAGCTCCGAGGCGTCCCATTATGAATGGGTGTATCCGCTATTGGTCCAATAATGCTGGTAGGTACTTACGTAGTTTGAATGCCAGATTTGGTAAACGCGGTTCTTGCGGTTCTTGCCATAGTATAATAAGAATTATGATCCTTTAATGATGAATATTCCTTTGATCCCATTATTCTACAATAGGTGGAGCAAGTTACGATCCATCAAGAAACGGAGTAAGATCGGATCTGAATAAGATCCGGGGGCTGGTCAGCAATCGATCGGATATAATTAGTCTTATCCGCGACGGCAATTTCTAGCGAGCAACAAAGCCGTTGTCAAACTTGTCACACAAGAGCCATCAATGTGGTAAGGCGTGTCCGGCTTCATCATGGAGATTGGACTGCGCTATCGTTGGCAATATTAACTACAGCTACGGAGTCAGCGACTATGCATCCCATTCGCGCTTAGAACATGTCTCCTAGGTATCTCGTCCGGGTTGTTAGCCTCGGCCCCCAAACAACCCGCAACAGAAAATGGATTTCACTTTTCAACGTGCCATTTCGTCTCGCTCGTTGAAATGTCCGATCCGGAGGGAAATCCATCTCTTGTCGTTGACTGGACAACACCGCCTCCGGAGCTCTTCAAGACAATCCTTACATATCTGGATATCGACTCAGTCAAGGCTCTCCGTTTAACCGACCGAAGATTCGCGGAACAGTGCATCGGACAGCGGTTTTTAGGCTTCATTCAGCAACCTATTCTCGATGTATCATTGCAGAATCTTCGTTCACTTCATGCCCTGGCACGAAATTCTGCCCTCAGCAAGATGATCCACTCTCTGACCTTTCTTGCCACAAGCCTGGATTCTTCTGGAGCTGAGAAGAACTTGAAATCAGGAGACCACATTGTGCGGGAAGTCCATGTGCGGATTTTCACAGCGACTACAAATTCTCCAGAGGAGCTTTCAAATGCCGAGTCCAATCTGAAATGGTTGAAAGAATAGCAAAAAGCAAGAGACAATGAGTCGTCGAGTGCGATGATTGAGCTTCTTGAAGGTGTGCTCACAAGATTTCGTGGATTGCATTCTATCCGGTTAGATAGTTCGTTTCTTATTGGACCTACGGAGAAAGTGTCGGCTTCGCAGGGGCAGTGGCATCCTCTCTGGATCCGAGCCTCGCAAGTATTCTTCTTGGTTGTCACGGCCATGGCGCAGAGCGGGGTCTCAGTGAGGAAATTCAATGTATATCGCCAGACCCCTGATGCTGTGTTACATCTTATGATATCACCAAATATGCTTCAGACCTCAACCAAAAGCAGCTAGAAATAGTGAGCAAGGGTCTGGAATCATTTGAGCTGAGTACGTCGGCTGAGGTACAGACGGCTGTCAACTCTGCCAAAGCTCGAAGGAAAGGCGCATGTGCGCAAAGGGGATACTTATCACCCAACGATCCTCGTGCATTATTAGCGGAGGGCACACCGGGAATTGTATCCCTACTCAAGTCCGCGCATGCTCTTCGAGAGCTGGATTTGTCTTTCCGTCATGCCCTGAGAGAAGGGTGCCCAGACAGCTACGACAAGATCATTGAAAGTATCGCCAACAAACCCAGTTCCCGATGCTGGAAAAATGTGCATTTTCTGGATTCCTAGCGAAAGGGGAGTCGATTTTGTTATTTCTCCAGAAACATCCAAGTCTCCGCTCTTTCACACTTCACGAGTGTGATTTGACCACTGGGTCATGGCCACCAATTTTTGCTCATCTAAGCGAATCAATGCCAAAGCTAGAGAGCGTCAGCTTCTCAAACTTGTATGGGAAATATGGGATGGAGGGAGAGCAAGAGGGAGGGGAGGGCCCGCAGGAACATTCTGAGATGGTGAATCTGCAACCGATTTGGGATACCAATCCACCACCACATTGGGATAGCTTCACAGAAGGTCCAGGGCGACAGGTGCACACTAGGACCTTCAATCGTGAAGACTTGAAAAAGGGGCTTGTGTTTCCGCCATTAGTTAAGTTGAGGGGACGACCTAAGGGCTCCGTGGAGCTCTTGCAGTGGATGCATACACGGAGAGAACTTTACGGAGCTCCATAGCGTGGGTTGCTTGGGGATTCTCCATCGTTGGATTATGGCCTCTTTGTTTTGTCTAATAAGTCTTGAACATGAACATCTGTGGTCAAGCCAAACCAACTTCTCGGTTGTTGATTACACGAATACCATTATTCCACAGGGTCGCCCTTGGAGAATATCAACGAGGGGCCAGATCTACCAAGTAAAAGAGCCTCAAAGGACAATCTCCATTAACATCGAGGACGATACCCAAAGTAGTAAATGGGGTTATCTTAGGGTGGGAAACTAGATGTGACGAGGCTGGTGCGAATAGCTCAATCCGGTTGCTGAATAGGGCTATCGGCTGCGAGACCCGAGGATGCCGTGGCGCGTGTCATGACGGTGCCGAGCTTTCTGGTAGCCGTACCTAGTTAGTCGCCGCGTACTCCGTGCTTCCTTTTCCGTCCGCTTTGGCTTGGCTTGCCATGATGTGTTTTCTGGTTGTGGTTTGTGGTCCAGCCTCGGTCGGCGCTTGGACGGGGACGCCGATGTACTGTAGTTCTAGAACACGGACTCCGGGTTATGGACTTGGGTGTTGGGGATGAGGCTGCAGAGTTGCAGTCGGTGTAAGGCTCGGAAATCGGGGAATCAAAAAAGGGGTGGTGGATAGATGCGTCGGTTAGGAAATACAGAGTATACTAAAGCTCTAGCGGCGAGGGGCTAGCAATGGAACAAGATTTGATGGCTGGAGCTATGAATCTTATTGTGATTTCAGTTTCGCTAAACGAATATTTGCTCTTTGTTGGGATACATTGTTTGTCCTAGGCTAGATCTATATCGTTGCATAACGGAGTTAATATGCAGGTATAAGACGGAATAGACGGTGTATCGTCAGCATTTACTCAGCACATTCTACCATATACAGAACTGGCTAGTCATGTACATGAAGTTAGTCCTGAACAGGTTAAAGACGTGTTATCCTCGCTAGTAAGCTCCATAATCATCGCTACCGTCCACCGCTAGACGCCTCGATAGTAACACTATTCCAATTCCCACGCCCAACTATGGAGTCCAAACTCGTATAACCCACCTCTCGTGAGATGAACCGGCCCTTTAACTCTTGAGATGTAAATCAATAATGTGCACTATTTGCCTGGAACCACCATCAGTCAAGACTAAAATCCCTCGTATGCCCCGATCGGGAAAACGCATGGCTCGTCTTGCTTTGCGCCCCTCCGCACTGTCCACCAATCATGATGGAGATATGGGGGTTTATAGAACCGCTGCAATCAGCAAGTTGCAATTGATGGCGGATACAGTTGAGTCCGGCCCCACATGCGCTAAGAGTCAATCGGGGAAGACGCGCCACATTTTGTGTTTTTCTTTTCTTTTTGCTGTCGGGGACTCGGGCTCCCCGCGTGGGATTGGGTGGACGCTTGGAAGGGTTCTGTAGTCGCTTGTTCTGTGTTCTTGAGCAGGAGAGCAGGATACCCTCCTATATACATACTTAGCTGTTAAGGAGAATAGTCTTTGTGCTTCGTGGAGTATATCTGATAGTCCTCAATAGTATGGGTAATAATTATCCAAAGTACATAGGATCAACCGCGGCTACAGAAGGCTGAGAATGATCAGAATGTTCGGCCAGGTCAACCTTCTCCCGCCAAAAAGTGGGACTTCCAATGATAATCTTCGACATAATGCATTAGGGGTTCATAATTATGTCATTGGGGGATCAACTAGCCTAGTGCATCTGCACCTGCATTTACCAATTCGGGCCATCCTGGTGCTTGTTCTCTTGGAAGTCTGGAATTGATTGATTATTATTTGTTTTCTGATCAAATAAACAGTTTTTGATTCATGCTCTCTTTCCTGTCTAAGTATTATGTCCCTTGAATAATCCATTCGATTACTCCACTCACTCTAGATACTGCAGATGACCGATAGTTAGTCTATGGGAGTACTTGCATACATCCTACAGTACTACTGTATCCGTAAATTGTACATGTACAGTCTTCTCAGCAAGTAGATGCCCCACTACCTAGCAGCCACCAGGGGGCCACAATCGAAGGTGATCTTTTCTTTTTCCCTTCGTGGGAGAAGGTGCGAGCTTCAGAATTTTCGATCACAAATTATCATAAGCGCCTCGTCGATTTATCAAAATGAGTCTTAGTCTTAACTCTTCCGTCCTGCCATTATTTCTATAGATCCAATACTCTACCCATCACCGGCTAAACCCAGAGCCTTAAGGCCCCTCACAACAAAACCTAATGACTTAATAAAGTCTATAATCACTGGATCTTCCCTTTCTACTCCTGTCTGTGTCCTTGATCTTTCTCGAAGCGCCGGTCTGAAAGGTCCGCCCCTCTTGTCGCATCTGTTTCCTGCCTTCCCCCTCCCTCTTGTCCCACCACGCTACAGCACCATATGCCATCCTGGCCGAATAAGCGACCCCGACAGGGTAGCCTGCATCGTGAGCCCCAGGTACGTGGTCCATTCTCCCCGGTTGATCCGAGATGCGAAGGATGCCCCGAAAAGAAAGAAATCCCAAAAAAGGCCCGCACCAAAAGCGGAATGGAGCCCCCCTCTCCAACCGCGCAAGCTAGCGGGCTCTCGGGATGTCCAGATAGGATAGAAGAGACTAAGAGACTAAGAGAGAGGGAGAGCTTCGGTCCCGTGTGGTTCCGTGGCGCCCATAGCTCCCTGCAGGGCCCCTCCTCTTTCTCTCTTTAGTCCTCTTCACGAGACCACTTTGTTGTCCGAATCCTGCTGACGCCCCGCTTCTAGTACTCTCAAGCGAGCTGCTCGCATTGTCTGGACTACAAGATGCTCAGTCGGTATCCGCCGCGTCCTCGCCTGACGCGGTTGGATACCAAGCCTCGCTCGACATCGTCTATTTCCAGCGTCTCGTCAGCGGATATGTCTGACGTTTCTGTCTCCCTACCACCACCAACAGCTGTAGTAGCAGCAGCGACAATGACCGACTTAGTGTCTACGTTAGATCAACCGGCGCCTAAAGAGGAAGGCTCGCCGTTAACTGCAGCGACGCGGTTTTCACCTAAGGGCGAAGAACCGCTGCATTTACTGGACCTTGAATTTATGATGCATTGGTGTACGACGACATATCGCTCCATGGCTCGAGATCATGCAGCCGAGACGTTATGGCAGATGGCCATTCCTCAATTATCCTTGCGGTTTCCCGCCCTGCGACATGGTCTATTGGCGTTGTCGGCGTTGCAACTAGCTCGAGATACGCCAAGTTCAACGCGGAAATGGCGATATATGGTTTCGGCGCGTGAGCATCAAACTCATGCTCTAGCGGGTGTTCAGTTCGACAGCGCGGAAGATCTCACAACGGCGCAATGTAATGCAGCGTTTGCGCTATGCTGTGTATTGGTGGTCTTCCCCTTTGCATATTGTCTGATTGATGACTCGGACGTGGAGGATGAGGACGAGCGACCTGAGGTGCTGGATGAATTTCTGGAAGTCTTTGAACTCACACGCTGGCTCGTGGGAGCCATGATGCTCATGATGGACCGGGTTGCCAGCGGCGAACTATACCCACTTGTACGACCGGAGCCAACTCGGCCAACAATGCCGGACATGTCTCAATTGGTTATCTCGGCGTTGAGGAGGCGCAATGTAGTGGAAGCAGAGCGAGATCCCTCCCATGAAACAGATGTATACGAGCAGGCCCTCGAGCATCTACGCTACTCTCTGGAACAATTGATGGGCGGAGGTGAACCCAAGGATTTCGCCTTTTGCTGGGCATTCCGTATACCCGTGCGATTCCAAGACTTGGTTCGGGAGAGGGAGCCTTTCGCTTTGGTTGTCCTGGCTCACTATGCTGTGGTTTTGCATCATATGCATCAGGCCTGGTGGATGGGGAATTGGGGAACCCGGATACTCAAGGAAATTGCCGACTATTTGGATCCTGAGTGGCGGGAGTTGATTCGCTGGCCTATCGATGCAACAGGTTGTTCGGTGCCAGAGGTATGAACCTGCACAAGTACAGGCGGCATGGCTCGTACCTGCCCAAACTGCGGAGTATCGTGGGGAAGTTGTTGATCAACGACCTCGGCATGCTCCCTGACCAACTGCCAGAACCGAGGAAAGATCTACCTCTAAGAGCAGTTCAGAGCCTATTGCTTGACGATAGCGAAGGTCGGTCCTTTTGGAGAGGAACCGCCAAGTAATAATAGGCTGCGACCGATCAAGGTCAGCCCTTGCATTCATATTCATATTCATATTCGCATTCGCATTTGCATTCGCGCCCGACGGAGCAGAAATCAGGGATTGCGACCATTGTCTACAACGAATCATGAGAGCGTGTCATTAGGATAAAAAAAATCCGCTATCAACAGAGAGGAGGGAGAATATGGCTTCTTCTGCACCAAAGTGCTATGCGCCAAGGGAATAGAACTAAAATTGAAGCCCAAAAACAGATCTCAAAAACTAAAGAAAAAAAGTGAAGACCCCAGTAACCCAAAACCCCCCAAACTTCCCGGAGTAACACCAAGCGCCAGTCTTTGATGGACGATAACCTCGGACGGACTTGTGGCCCGAGTCTAGTGAGGCCGTGCAGTAGCGCCAGACGAGAAAGATAGAGATAGGCCCAACCAAGAGGAAGAGATAAGAAAGAATGAAACATGAAAAAGCAAACAGCACCAGATAATAAGATAACCACGCACCCCCGCATTGCAAAGAATGTCTTTCGCAACTTTGTCAACTTCACATGTTGTCTACCGCAGGGTTTTGAGGCCATGCGAGGCACGTTGTGAGAGTCTTCGGTCGGCTGCTCCTGGGGAATCGCAAGATGAGTAGCGCACCCGATCGGTATGTTTCTTGCAGGGGGGTCGTGTCACTCTCGCTGACGGAGGATCGTTTCTAGGAAGACGGCGAATCTCGGCGCGTCTCCTGTCGCTTGAGCTCCATCTCCTTCATGCGATCCTTGGACTGGGTGCGCACTCGGATCAGCTCGGCTTCCTCCTTACGGGCGTGTTCTTCCTCCTCGGGCGTGGGGATGTAGGCATTGGCGGCACCACCTAGGAATTTCATGCTTGTCAGCGACTTCATCGAATACACCACCACTCTTTGCGCTCTACAACGCCGGAAATAATCCATCGCATACCTCGGCCCGTATGGTGGGGGTATTGTTCCGCCCGGAGCGGCGGCGACTCAACATCTTGACTCTCGCGCGCGATCTCTGGACGCTCCGGATCATTCAGGACCATATTCCCCGATCCTCCGCGGCCGGTGGTATAAATCTCTTGCTTGATCCTCGGCGTAGCGAGGTCCTTGGGGGTTGTGGGCGTTGTGGATTTCGGAGGAGGGGCGATGTTGCCTGCATTGAGGAGAGTGCTGGTCAGCCACCAGTCATGAGAAAGAGATGCTGGATCTGGATTGTCGTACCGGCGCCTCCCCGGCCGTACGAGATATTTCGGGAGAGATTGGGACCACTCATGGCGAGAGCAGATGAGGGTTTTGGATGTTGCGCTCGTTGGGAGATGGGAGAGCTTCTAATGTGAAGCGGGGAGTGCGGCAGATTCTGTTTCCGCCTGGCAGTCACGCGGTCGGTGTGATATTTCGAGGGTGGAAGGTGAATGAACAGTTCGCAATTGTTCTGTTTGGGGAAGGAAGACTGCAAGATGAGGGTGATTGTCAGGGGAAAAGAACGGTTGTCTCCTTTTTCTCTCACTTTCTTCTTTCTCTCTTTTCCCCCGGTTTTTGATCTCGTGGGGAACCGAAATCTTTTCCGCGCCAAGCAGCATGAGGTCATGGGACCGGCCGCATCGGGAATCTGTATCCATCGCGAACTCAACTAAGCAGCAGGTCTGCTGAACAGGTCTTGCTCCACATTAGTAGAATGAGTATAAAAGAGAAAGATTGATTGATCACGATATCTAGACTAAGAATGAAACGCCGCCAAAAACATGAACACAGATGAAGACAAGAGATAGACACAAAACCAATGGATATCATGTTCGCCATGCCCCAAACTCCAATGGAAGCCAAACAGATTCAAATCAAACAAGATCGCCCACCGCGGACATAAACAGAAAACACAACTAGACAAATGCTATCTCGCCACTACTGGCAACTGGAAGCCCCCGAGAACTGGCGCTTCTGAGAGGAGGCGGAGGCTCAAGTCCCATATTCCAGTGTTGATTCTCCCTCGCAGCAGCCGCTTTCTGCGGACTGGCTTTCCGAGACAGATGCTCTTCGAGATCAGACACAATTGACGAGCTCTGTGGAATACCCGAGTCGATATCCGCACGTAGTTGCTGTGGTGGTTTGGGGTGAGATCCCGATTCTAAACGGCGAGCACTGCTGAGACTGTTCTCACTCCAGAAGCGTGGAAGCGGAGAAATAACACCGCGATAGTCCTGTGCCAGACTCAGTTGGCTCTGACTCTTACCACCACCCTCGGTGAGAGGAAATAGACCAGGTGGTGGCTGTAGAGGCTGGTACTGGGATACCCGGTTCTCGTCGCCATACTCGGACACGGACATGGCTGTGGAATAAGGACGGCCTTGAATGGATTGGCGGTATTCGTCGCTAAAGGTGGACACGGAGACGGTGTCAGCACGGCTGCGCAGGCTGCGAGCTCGTTCGAGGGCCCGGAGTCCGGAAGATGTGCGGCGACTGATTTGAGCAGAGAAGAGTGGGTTCGATGAGTTGCGGTGCTTGGCCCGGCTGTGAACAAATGCCTCGAGGGAATCAGCCTCGGAGATGGTGGACTCATCTGGCTCGACGGCCCTCAATGTGACGCGCTTCGTGTTCTCGGGGATGCTCTCCGCGATACTGTGTCTAGCTCGGGCAGCAGCGGGGGGAGGTCGGGGGAACAAAGGGGTGATATTTCCAATACTGTCATCGCTCATGAATGAAGCCTTGGTGTTCTGCCATGACATGCGTACGAAGCCATGACCTGGAGGTCCGAAGCCACCGGCACCATGTCCAGCACCACTCATTCTCACAGGCAGACCCGAGGCGACGGTTGAGATTCCACTGGAACGCTTCGAGTATCGCTTTGAACGAGATGACTGAATAGATTCACGCTTCATGGCCCGTGGTTGAATGGACTTGAGTGGTTCTCGGCGGGAACGGTTGCTAGTTCGACGGCGTACACCGGGACTGGCGGAGAATGATAGGCGTTGATTCTGCTTTCGGGTGGGCGACTTGTTGACCGGCTTGTCCTCAATGCCTGAGTCTCGCAAAGGGACAAATGCGCGCTTAGGCGAACGAGGTGGCGGGCTAGGCTCCGGAATTGCCATCATGCTGTCCTCGGGTTTGTCGAAAGATGCCACATTCCAGGTAGGGCCGAGTTCAAGCTTGGGGAGGTCAGATGCAGGTGAAATCGGGCTCATCCAGTCATCAGAGTTGTCATCTTGCGAAGGCCTTCCAGTAGCACCTGGTTGGCAGTTGGGTAGGTCTGGCCGTGCAGGCCGCGGGGGAGGGACTTTGGCTTCTGGTGGCTCTTGGCCGTCTTCCACTGTCGTGGACTTTCTCCGACGACGCCAGCAGCAGAAGAGTATAATACTGCTCAGAATGACCGCCAAGGGGATGATCACGGAAATTGCGATAATCCCCGCCTTTTGGTGCGAAGGGCTAGAAGGATCCGAGGAGCCAGAGCCGCCTGAATGAGTCTCGGATGGCTCGAGAAGATCGAGTTCAAAGTCCCGTCGATTCTCAGTTGATCCTTGGGATGCCTTTAAATGAATGGTAAACGTCTGTGGCTGTGCATCTGATGGAACATGCCCCGAAAGTATCTTGTTGGCAGGATTATAGCTAAGCCAGGGAAGATCATCCCCCAGATCAACGTCAAGTTGCACCGAATCATCAGTCAATATTGACTGGTTGAAGACATATGAAAAGTCCTCGCCGATGGTTGCCTCGCAGCCTTTGACAGTCTCCAGGAAAAGTTCCAGAAACTCCAAGCGAACCATAAGCTTCGCCTCATCGTAATAAGTGTCTGTCACAGTGATGGTGACGTTCTTGTTGACAGCGTCTTTCGGCGGTGTGCCAATCAGAGAAATCGAATTCTTGTCAAGGCTCAACCAATCTGGAAGTTCAGCGTCAACCGAGGTCAAGCTTTTGCTCGAGATCGGCGAGCTGTCCATGGTAACGAAGCTTTCGAAACTGGGGCTATTGAACGTTTCGCCTCTGGTGAGGTTGAATGTTTGTACGGTCTCATTGAATGCTAAGATATGCGGTCCGATAGAGAGCTGAAAAGTCTGGTTGACGGCGCTGAAGCCTGCCACGTCCGAGGCAACCAACTGGAAAGTAAACTCCTGGGAGCCAGAGCCGGGGAATGCCGGGGTATTTCCAGCAAATTTGAGCAGTGAGGGATCAAAGCCGATCCATGATGGTAGTGGAGCATTGTTGGGCGAGGTTCCGTAGTAGATCGTTGACGGGTGGGTATTGTGAAAGGTACTCGGGTCGAATTCGATTGAGAACGGCTGACCGGGGTGTATGTATAAAGTGGCAGGATAGGAGACAGGACCTACGGTCTGAAGTTGCGATACAAGAGACGTACCCACTGTCGGACCTTGGTCCGATGTGACAATCAGAGTGACATCCATGCTGGCAGAATCCGAGCCATTTGACGCGACAAGTTTGAATGATTTTGATCCGCTATCCGTTGAGTCCGGCGTCCCTGAGAGGGTACGACTGGCGCTGTCGACTTCGAGCCATGACGGTGCGTTCTTGAGTGAATACTTGGTATCGGAATCGGTGTTTGAAAAAGTGCTAGCGGCAAACACGAATCTAAACGGTTGAGAGACACGCGCGACAGGTGGTAGTTGTGAGTTGACGGGATAGTTGGCGGCTAAAGCTGCAGCGTGAACTACAGCTGCCAGCGCCAACGTGATAACAAGAAAGAGAGCCATCGCTGGCCAACTCAATCCGGATCAGGTCCGAGACTGTGTATCTTGTGAGGAACACAGCTAGCACGACCAAGCTGGATCAGTATAGAAACTCAACGGCAGCACACCGCAAAACCTCAATCAGACGGTTGAATAGTTAGAAAACACGACCAGAGTGAATTGAAGGAGAGAGAAAGACCAAGATGAGGAGGTGGCTCGTCCATGATCTCCTTCCAGGACTCCGCTCCCTGGCACTCGTGCCAAAGGGACAAGGAGACATTCAAGGCGTGCCCCGTAGTAATAGCCATGCCTGGATATGCTGAGCGTCACCGAAGTATGTAGCAGAGTGACAGTCGAGAATGAGAGAGAGGGGGAGCGCGTCGGAGTTCAGATCGACGCTCACGTTTCGCCGGAGCCCCGACTCTAAGCAAGGGATGTCCATGCTCCTTCGGCAGCCAAGGAGATATGCCCAACCACAGCGATGCTTTCTGGCCCCTCGTAACATTTCCAGGAACAAGGGTCCAATGAAGTTGCAAGGCAATTGTCCCTTTAAGGAAAGGAAAAAATAGGCTCGCCTCATACTCGTATGAGGCCGTCGGATAGCCACAGGTGGCTTTTTTTGCTTCACCCGTCACGTTCTAAATCAAGGACCATTCTGATGCCCGTTCGCCCAGGGGCGTAGTAATCAGGGATCACCTCACGCTCCTCGAATCCACATCGGCGATACAGAGCCCGCGCAGGCTCCCTGGCCTGGTCCACCCATAGCTGAATGTACTGGCAGCCCTCCTTTCGCAGGCGCTCTTGAATGAAGGACATAAGCTGTTGACCGACGCCCTGGCGGCGATAGGCCTCGATCACGCAGACCTTGTGCAAGAGGGCAATGCCCTTTTGGCGCACGTACACAGCGTAGGCCACGAGACTGGGTCGCGTAGCATCGTCGTTGACGCGGGTCGAATACAGAACCCGCGTGTTGGGCTTTTTCCTCCATAGTTCCTCCCCGAATACGAAAGCTTCATTGGTCGGGAATGTCTTTTTCTCGACGCGTGAAATCTGGGCGAGAATCTCCAACGCTTCGTTTCTCTTTAAGGAATGAATGTCCGAATGGACCAGTGTGGAGGACATTCTTCTGTTCCACGCGTGGGATGATCACGAATGTGATCCCGGGTTGTCGGATCAAAGTTGTGATAAAAACTAGTTTTATATTGCAATTGCTAGCTGCTGACCTTGCCAGCGTCAATGATCGGAGTGAGGGCTTGGAAACTTGAATTTGGAGGTGGAGAGCTGGTAAAGCTGCAGCCCTGGATTTCAGGCACCAACTTAGGCCTCTGAGAGGAAGAGCCCAGTCCTACTGATCCCTTCAAAGGGCAGTCGTTTTCGCTTGTATTTTAGTCGCTGCTGAATGACCTCCTACGATTTATTCTTATTTATTCACAGAAGTGAAGGAATTCGGGTATCGATTTATTGACGCCCTCCCACAGGAGGGACTGTCACAAACAGAGCATTTGATTTGAGAGATGACCGTCTAAATGCCATCAAAACGCCACCAAAGGTTTGCTAATTCCCCAAATAAAAGGGGGCGCAATAGTTACAAGGAAGCCCCATTGTCGTGCGAGAAGCCTCGACTCGATTATATGTCCATAAATGCTGTACGGCTCGTTCAACTACAAGCCGTAGCTTCGTTTCCTCGCGGGTAATCTCAAGACGCACTCTCCTCAAAGATAATTTCCTTTCGAGAATCGCGACCCGTAGTCGCTCGCTTTGTTCACCATTTCCCGCCGTTGCGCACTTGTAATCTTTGACCCCACGGCCATATCCTTCTCTCGGTCAAAAGCACGCGCACTCGGATCATCTTCCTCCTCCTTACGAGCAGGTCGCTCTTTCTCGAGGCGGATGTTCTTTCCTGTTTCATCCTATAGAGAGTTTGATTAGCACGTGAGCTTTCAAGACAGGTCCAAGCAATGCAAGCCACTCCCTCGAGGCAAAACCTACATTAAATTTCTTGATCTGCTCTTCCATCGCTTTATTTCGCGTTGCGTCCTTCGTGTTCGAAGTACGTTGCTCTGCACGGTTTGGAGCGGCACCAACACCCATCATTTCATCTTGTAGTCGTCGCATCCTCTCTTCCGGAGTCTCAACCCATTTCGCATCTACCTGCTTCGAACCAGGTGCACGAGCAGACTTTCCAGTCTGGAACTTCCGATTCCGAAGCTGTGTCGGGTCGATTTTTGAGGCCCAGTCACTCTGGCTGGGTGGCAGTAGCATCCATTCGTCCCGCTGGGTCTCCTTCTTCTGGGTTTCTGATATTTGGGGAGCGGATTGGACGGATGTTTGCGTGGCTGGTTGTGCACCACCGAGGGATGGTGGTAGGCCTGGCCCGAAGTCGTTGTCGCTGTCGCTGTCGCTATCGCTGCCGGACTGGGAGTCTTTGTCGTTGCTATCATGGGCATCGGAGGGCTGGGGTGGGGGTAGTGAAGGGCCAATCACCCTTTTCTTGAGTGGCTCTTCGCCATCTGTTTCGGTATCGAGCTTGCGTTTCCCGGAGGGCTCCATCGTGTGGTAGGTGAGACGATGGATGGTCGTATGAGGGAGGAGTCGAGAACGGGTTGGCAGAAATGAAATGCGCGATAAGATATGCCCGTTGTCGATATGGGTTGATGTCATTGCGCCTGACCGCCTGCCTGGCCTAGTTATCAACAGTGATCTATATATACTTACCTTCACGCAGACTACGAGATTGATTTAACTTCTAATGTTGCAAATAAAAACCATCTTTTTTGTGAGCTTGGTCTACTCCCGATCTTTGATAACATTGTCCTATCTTTGTACATTTGATGCTTGATACCTCGTCATCTGTGCCCCGATCTACAGCGATGACTAAGCCATAAATCTTTCCAATCCCTTCGAACCCCACCAGGAATCAAAAAGTGTCTGAGACTTTGCCTGAACCCAGCAACGGAAGCTTACCCTGTCGCTACGTCAATCTCCTCTGGGCCGCCATGGTCTACTATTTCACATCCAACGCGGTCTCTCCCGCCGCGTTCATCTACGTCGGCAAGGACAAGTTTGAGAGTATGCTATCGATTGACTGGTTCCTCGAAGAAAGCTCCTGACAATTTGCGCTAGATGAGGATTTGATCAAGTTTGGATTGGACCACGATGTCTGGTCAGTGTGCATTCACGGTATCTGCATTGAATTGCCAGGCTAACTGTTCTCTACTATAGGGTCGGTCTCCAAGTTTCCGGTCATACATCATCACTCCCAGATCACTAATACACGCCAACACAGTTCCACGTTGACAACCTCTCGAGTGCTCACGTCTACCTACGTCTCCGCGAAGGCGAAACATGGGACAACATCCCCGAGCCCCTCCTCGAAGACTGCGCTCAACTGACAAAAGCGAACTCGATCGACGGTCGGTCCCCAATTACCTTATCCAAACACCACCAAGCCGCGCAAGGCTAACGCAATTGCGCAGGAAACAAAAAGGATAACATCACCATCATTTACACACCATGGTCCAACCTCCAAAAAGACGGCTCCATGGCCACAGGACAAGTCTCCTTCCACAACCAAAAGCTAGTCAAAAAGGTCCTCGTCCGAGTTCGCGAAAACCCCATCGTCAACCGCCTGAACAAGACCCGCGTTGAGAAATTCCCCGATCTCCGAGCCGAAAAGGAAGAGTTCCTCAAGAAGAAGCGCCATGATGAGCGCAAGTTGCGCGAGCAGCAGCAAACTCGGGACAAGCAGGAGAAGCGTGAGCGTGAGCAGCTTAAGTGGCAGAAGAGCCATGCGTATGACGATATGTTTAGTCCTGAGAATTTGGAGGCGAGCAGCAACCAGGACCGCGATGCGGATTTCTTGGACGATTTTATGTGATGAAGATTTGCGTCGCATTTTACTTCGACGATAGTACATGAAGATATGAACCCACCCGTTTTTCTCAATTCGGACCACCCCTAGGTAAAAGAATGAAAGTATGTGAATATGAGAGGTCCAATTGATAAACAAAGCACGTTCCCACCATCAGCATTTCTATCTATCATATCACTCGTCCCAGATCACACTGCTCAGGCCCTCGGCAGTGCCTACCTTGCCGGGCTCTCCAACTTGCAGTACGGCAATCTCCTCGCCCAGGTTACCCGTTTCCCGGTCCCGGCGGACAATTGCCACGGTCGACGTGGCCTGGTTTCCAATTGCAACCAGGTCGCCAGCCCGATTGATCGTGAACGTCCGCGGCACCTTGCCGTAAGATGAGGTCTTATTCCGGAGCATCACAGCGCCAGTACGTGGGTTCCGATCCAAAGTGACGATGCTATCATTCGGGGCGAAACCTTGATCAGTGCGAATGGAGACGTAGAGCGCATTCCCAACCATCCGAATCTCAGCCGGGGTCGCACCCTTGGGCATCGTGCTGTTGGTATACGGCACCATAGTCTGAGTCTTTTGGAAAGAAAGACATCCAGATCGTGCATAAGCCACCTCGAAGACATTCAAAGTGCCACCAATTTCGTTCGCAAGGTACAGCATCGTCTTACCGACGGCCGCGACCTGGCGCGAGTGCTCGGGCCGGCCATCCTGGCTTCCGGAATGCGTATCCCTGTTTGTGCCGTCTGTCCAGAATACACCGTGGCGAGGACCGCTGCCGAATGTAATGTTGACTGGTGGGCATTGTTGCAGCTTGCCGGATCCGCTGTCGATGGAGTATACGCGGAGCAGATCAGCGCCTAGATCGGGACTCACCACGAAGGAGCCGGTCGGGTCGAGGAAGACCTCGTGCGGGTGAGGTGAGTCTTGTTGCGCGACGGCACCTGGGCGGGTCATGTTGAAGTGGAATTCCTGGACGGCAGGCTCATTGTCGTGTAGAGGGAGGGCAAATGTTGAGATTGCAGAGCCCTCGCTATGGATCTGTTAGTTCTATATTCCATTTTCCTCTCTCATGATCAATGCAGTCGAGGAATAAGACTTACTAATGAGCAATGGCAAGATATTTCTCACCATCCCCATCCTCATAAATAACACTATTCACACCCCCACCAACGGTATTCGTCTTTGCAATCTGATGCAACTTCCCATCTTCTCCAGCCTGATACGCCCACAAGGAGCCATGCGTACTCGGGTCCGCCGTGCCATCCTCATCAGAACAGTAAACAGTGCGCGTCTCCGGATCAAAGGTCAACCAACTCGGCATGGCGCCGCAGGTCTTGGCCGTGTCGGCGAGGGACAGATCATGGCCATTGAAGGAGAGTGTGTAGACATTGCCATTGTAGTGAGTGGCCCAGAGACGGGCGGATGAGCGTGGGGGTGTCTGTTGCAGGGATGCGGTTGTGAGGGTGAGGAGAGACAGTAGGGGCGCGTGTGTGAGACGCATTGTGGTTGTGGGGAACTGGGATGAGTACCCAGTAGTTCAATGTGTATATAGATGGTTCTTATGGATTTCGATTCATCCGCGATGCGAAATGGAGATGCACAGTGTGGCAATGAGGAGTTTCTGAAGAGGGGAAGTACCGAGTACAAGTAGTAGTCCAGAGGCTAGTAGCAGATGGAGTAACAGTGCAGGACCCAAATTAACACGACACGCGGGATGATCGGCTGCAACCCTGAGAAATTCTCCAGGGTCCCAGGCACGGTCAACATGGACTGGCATCATGCCCAGTGACGAGTGCCTTCGGCCGTGTTTCGTGGATAATTGGAATGGATCGACGTGGGGGTTTACCCAAGTCAGGATGCAGGGTGGAGCCTGCATGGGAGGGGGTTGGGCAAGGGGGAGAGGTGGACGGGATGACGATATTATTTATTGAGGGTATTCTCTACATTGTTACTTCTAGAATAGCTAGATGTTGTAAGTTGTTTAGAGTCGTAGATGAGATAGGTGGTGAATTGTTGTTGTAGGTAGTGAAGAATCCGGGGTACAGGTATAATATAGTTGCCGACTGTCGGTTCTTAGCCGTGCTACCTTGCCACTTCTGCAGAAGACAGTAGCATTGGATTCAAATTAAGGCACGTGTGCTGATTATAAACAAAAGTCATACACCGATGGCCTTGGTAGGTATACCTCATAACCTCCTTCCGATTAACTTTACTTTCGCTACACTTAAACTTTAGTATATCAGGTACGGAGACAAAGCAAACACGGGGGCGCATATCTGCAGGAGTACGGAGTAGATCCCGAATCCTCACAATATCCGTCAAAACTTAAGGGGCGTATTTAGCGTGAGCTTATCCAGGTAGCCGGTGAAAAGCAAGTTTATTTCCCATTGAAAGCTCTGCGTAGCTCGTCCACATCCAGCTTCTCCATGCGCATCATAGCACTATACGCACGGTCCCGTTTCTCTGTCTCTGGGCTATTCAGCACTTCGGAGACCTCATCGGGCACGATCTGCCACGACAGGCCGAACTTGTCCGCCAGCCAGCCGCATTTCCTCTTGGTCTTATCGCCGCCCTCACCGAGCTTGTGCCAGTAGTAGTCGACCTCGGCCTGGTCCTTGCAGTTAATCATGATAGAGATTGCCTCGTTGAATTTAAAGTACGGGCCCCCGTTAAGGCCGACGAACTTCTGATCATTGAGCTCGAATTCGATCGTCATGAGGCTGCCTGTCTCACGCCCGTGTGTCTCCTGGCCAGCTTTGGAGTAATACTGGCGCTTCGTAATTTTGGAGTTCTTGAAAATGGAGGTATAGAACGAGGCAGCTTCTTCCGCTTGGCCGTCGAACCAGAGGCAAGTTGCGAGTTTGTTGACAGACATCAGGCTAGTAGCCGTGTGGTAGGAAGCAGTAGAATGAATTGCAATGCGTGGCCAGAATACGTCTTGCAGTATCAGCGTGGTAGAGACGACAGACTTATGATCGTTGCAACGTACTTGGTAAGTGCGGGGTTCGCAGGTGTCAGAATACTGCTCAGTGGGTCATACTGGTGCACCAGTAAAAGATCAACAGGATATCCACGGCTCCGGCAGCATGTATCCGAGCCCTCCATGATATTGCGGCCTACCCACCGCTTCCGTGTATGGGACCGGGTATGCCGACACCTGGGACGAGCTGGAAGATACTTTCCAGATCCTGGAGAGAAATGGTATCCTACCACCACTTGATCAGTTGAACGCGATTTTTAGTCATTCCTACGTATAACTAATCAAGTCTCCTGATTCTTTGACTATTGTTTTGCAATTACGATTACAATTACACCAGCTTAACTTATTCACGAAGTATCGTACATCAAAGGCGGGTGATACGTGGTCCTCCTTGTTGAACAGGGGGAGATTCGACCATGCCGAGGGCAGAAGTAGCAAGTGGCTCTCCACCGGGACATCGGGGTCGGCTTCGCGGTTTGTTTTTGCGTACACAATTTCCATTCAAACCTATTGTCGAGTGGACCCCGAACAACAACTCTGCAAGACAGGAGATCTCTCCACTGAGTCCCCGTGCACTCAAGTAGATACTTGACCGAGATTTATATCCATCCTAGTGATTGTTATATAGCTCAGATCTACAAGACGTGTTGAAAATAGCCTATCTTATAGGTTCAATCCTCTATGAAACATGTTGAACATCACCACCAATCATGCTTAACCTAATCCACTGTCAAAAGTTGCTCCGTGAATCCCCCAAACTGGCGCGCAGTATCATGCAGATGAATCTCCAAAATCCAATGCCGCTTAAACCCATCCGGCCCAACACAATTCATACTCTTATCATTGCCCTTGGTGATATACAAACTCGTCTTATCCCTCGGAATCCGCTCATGTGGAAAATCCCCAACAATATGGCCCGCAATATGAGCTCCAAACGTAAACCCATGCTTCTGCGCAATCCCACACGAGATATCATATAATTGCTCCCCCGTCATATCAGGATTCTCGCGATACTTGTCTTTAACAATTTCCCAAATGGGCTGCAGCGAATCCCGCAATTTCTTCTTGTGCGGATCCTCGCCCAACACGAACGTGCGCCCGAAATCGGCTTCCCATTCTTCGAAGACGGGGCCTAGGTCCACGATGAGGATATCGTCTTCTTGGATGACTCGATCGGGCGGATTATCGGCGTAGGGTGCTAGGGTGTTTGGTCCACTGCGAACAACGCGTTTGTGCCAATGGGTTCGCACGTTGTACCGTTCGGCGCCTAGTTTGTGTATTTCATCGGAGAGTGCCTTTTCGCTGATTCCGGGGCGGACTAGAGTTTGTTCGATTTCTTGGAAGAGGAGGATGGCTTTGTTTTGGGCGTCGAGCAGGAATGCTGCGCGCTCGGCTTCTTTGGCTTCCATGATGTTTGGATTATTCCTTGGAGAGATTGATGAAAATGAGGAGAGAATGAAGTGATTGTGAAATCAGCGGGGGAAGCGTCGTCACCTCGGCTGACCAATTGGGGTGGATGCGATAGTAAAACATCGAAACACCCCGCTGAGGAGTGAAACTGACTCATTTGTTGAAGAAGTGGGGGGATAATAGGTAGAATACTACGGTAAGCAGCCTTGGCTGTCGAAAATGGGTCCGAAAGTTCCTAGCTAGGACTGATTGAGGTGCTTTCTCGTATCTATCACGACGTGATGTTCACTACTTGCCGCTGCTCGGATTGTTTTGTCCTGGAAGCAGGCCTACCACCATCAATTATTCTGCATACTGAGGTCTGTCTACTGGTAGTTTCCACAAATCAATTCAATTCCAACAAGTCCAAACATTTACCAATGCAACATTGTAACAAACCATCAATAGAAACTCCATAGTTAACAATACAATTAATCCATCCATCACGAACTAAACCTGACCAATTTCCAACCCCACCAACTTCAATAACACTCACAGATACACATAACAAAAAGGCCCAGCAGTCGTACTCATAAGATCCCTCATAGCAATGGACCCCCTCTTAACAAAACCCACATTAACATGCGTATCAAGAGTCGTATTAGCCGAAACCGGCTCATTCAAAAAAGTCCCCGTCCCCGAAACCGCAAACTCTCTCTCCTCCAAATCCTCATACTGCCACATCCACCAAATCCGATCAATCATCGAATGATGATTCCAAAACCCCGGATCACCGGGGTTCGCATCTGCGTCACGCCCCGGATCACCGCCCATTGCTAAATGGCCGCCGCCGTGGATGCCGAGCAGCCCGCTGCCGGGTGCGCCTTGGGTGTTTGTTTCGAAGGACCAGATGTCGGGGCTGTTTTGGATGAGATTGAGGACTGTGCTGTGGTTGTTGTTAGAGCGCAGGATGGAGTTAGTTAGGTCTCGTTTTAGGCAGCGTGGGTTGTAGTCGAGTGGGTTACTCATTCGGGATACGTTTCCTCCGGGCATGTAGAGGAATGACGGGCCCATGTTGACTGTGTAGTTGGTCAAGGGCCCGCTGGTTACGCAACCGCCTCCTGTACCGGTTGGGAGGATCAGGGGTGGGATGTCGGTGTGGCCTAGGGGAATGCGGAGGTCTGGTTGGTTTGGGATGAAGGCGCCGTTGCCGGAAATGGATGTGTCGCTGCCATCGAAGAGGGGGGATTGTTCCATTGAGTCTATGTCAGAGCCCCAGTTCCAGTAACTAGAAGTGAAAGGTTCGTCAATGGAGATGTATTCGAAGATGTTGCTAGATTGGAAAGTGCAAGACTTACGGGAGATCACCGCTGTAACCACATTCATTCCGCAGAGCCTCTTCGAATGTATAGATGAAATACCGATGCCATGCTAGAAAAGTGCCCTAAGATTGATCAATATAACTCCCTTGAAACACACAGACTGAAAAATACATACCGTTCGGTGAATATGCCAAGTCTGATTGATATGCGTCGCCAAAAAGTCATCATACCGTGTCTTCGCCCCAGCCGCAAGCGCATCAGGTGTCTGAGGAGGTAGTTGTTGTAAACACAAGATCGAATCAATATAAGCTCGCCTTTCCCTTTCTGTGAGAGCTCTCCAGTCTCGACGGACTCGGAGGGTTTCCAAGGTACAACTTCCACGGTCATGATTCAAAGAACGATTCTCGAGACCGTGGAGCGTCAAGTCGAGCGCAGATCGAGCTAGCAAATTCATTTGATATAACGCTGTGTCTTCTGAGTTGAGTGTGCTATCTTGGTTTGAAACCATGGACATAGCCCAGGTCTGTGAGAATAGACATAGTAAAAAGCTGATGAAAAGAGCATCCATAAGGACGACTCGAGTACCGCCTCTAGCGTACATGGATGTTTGATGGGAAATGTCCACGCAAGCCCTTCTAGCAAGCCATTCACAGAAGATGAATCAAACAGCAAACTCGCACTTGAAGTATATGTATACTTCTAGAAAGCGTTTCAGTCGAAAAAAAACCTACCTTCCACTCGGATATCCGGCTGAGCGGATCGTATACTCGTCTCACCCTTCTACCAATTCCAAACCATACTCACCGGCTCGGCGGGTTCCAAATCCCAATTATACACGAGTCTTACATTAGACTCGTGATACCCTGATACCTCGTGGCTGAACTTCGCCGCCATGTCATGCAGGGGTTCGGCTGGTTCTGAGAACGAATGATACGTTCTAGATGGATAGATGCAGGACTTGTATCGTAGTCTGAACCAGATCAGTCCCTGCAGAGCCCGATCGATTGGGAATTCTCGATGCAACTTGCAGAGAATCTCGGAGCGGGCGTTTAGAGCTTGTCTTTTCCGATACGCTGGTATCAGCTTTGGTCAGCGGTTTGGGGCGAGGTTGTTTCATGCGTGGCCTGATGGCTGCTTGATGGCCTGTTGAAGGGTATCGCCATTACTCTACAAGGCGCCATTGACTCAGACTTGATATTATTACTTTCAAGCATGCTGACGACCGCGACTGCGAGCCAGCATACTCTTTTGGGGGTTCTTATTCCACATCCTCAGACCCTTGAGCTTAGTCAATGTTACCATGAATGATCGATGACCACGGGGCATTTAATGTTGGCTTTACCGGATAGTTTTTGAACTAAAGAGTGTCAATTTTTAAAGGTTATCCCTCTCCGGTTAAAGCGACAACATATATGTTTACTGCCGAATGCTTAAATGCGCTTACAATTGGGTAAGAAATACGTTAGCTGACGGCTGACAGGTTCATTCCGGTTGATTTCTCCATGAAAAATGGGCTTAGCATTTCTTGACAAGGTTTGCGACCAGCATTCATGAAATAAGTATAGTGTGGAGTAGACAGCCTCTCTGTACATTATTAAGTCTAACCACGGACTGACTGCGCACCATCGTGAAATGCGAGAATCCGAATACGAGTGGGCCTGGTTAGGCGAGGCCGCGGCATAGTAACGGCATTGCCGTGGTCTCGGCGTCGCTGTTCGGAAGCAGGATATCTCTCTGGATGAAGCCGTTGGTTTTCTGCTGAACCTCGTCAATAATCCTTCACCCATTCAAGGTTGGGAGGTAACTTCATATCCCACAGGCTGAGATATTTTGTTTCTGCCTCCGAAAAAATACAAATGTATTGATGTGGAACTAGTTTGTCCAAGGATGTTTGGGTTAATGGTGATGCTTCTTGAAGATTAATTACCGTTCAATATTGAATATATATGTTTAAAATGAAAATATAATGTCATTGACCATTTAAAGCCCTACTGTCATTCTCGGGCTTTACCAGTTCACATGAGATTTTCATTCCAGCCCCACCGCCAAGGCCTTAGCGCAGATCGTGTTTATTGAGCAGACCATCTTAAGTTGAGGGCTACTGTAAGTTGCGACTTCCACAGTACACTGACCCTTAAGGTTTATCGCCTATGAGCACTAGCAAATCAATCTGTACTTGAACAAATGAGTAGATTTGCCACAGAGAGGTTTGGCTGGTATGCAGCAGCGGGGCTAATCAATGACATCATACCAAGATAGATATAGTGAAGGACTGACCACTATGACGTTATATTATCAGCTGCAATATAAATGTCGAGTTGAAGACACGAAGTTTGCAATAACCTTAGCAGAAGATGGGGAGTTTTATAAGAAGACACCTTTTCACGAAATCCTTGTCGAACCTTTATTCATTACACCAAGCACAAACATCAAGCTCCACTATGCGCACAGCAAAATTTGTTAATGACAATATCACCGTGTCGAACGACTGCGATGTAAAGTTAACACTCTACGATGAGAAAGATACCAATGATCCTTTAACTTTACTTTGCCCTGGAGATACTAGAAAAAAGTTCACTGGAAGAATTGTTAGTATTGAACCCTGTCAGACCTATTCTACTAGGTCCTGGCAGCTTTCAGAGGATATGGAATTCGATGCCGATAAGGATGTTACTGTGACTAATCAGAGTGAGCAATTTAACTATCACTACAAAATGGTTAATGAGTGACCACTAATAGCCAAAAAAGCGATCGAACAAGGAAACAAGGTGGTCAGATTTAGTTGAGGGGAAGTTTATATAAGAAAATCTGTTATCGACTTTAGCTATATTGCGGTTTCCGAATCAGCTTCATTAGTACTCTCTTTCTTGGGTCCACTCCTTAGACCTCAGCGCATTATTTTACTGGGCAGACCTAGATCGTCCAAGATAGGAGAAAGAAAACAATCAATGTTGTGCATATACTACGGTAAAGCTTACATACAATCACCTGAGCATGATGGACTCCTAACACAACCCTAGATAAGTCGATTTTTTGAGCTTCATAAGCCTTTTATCTTAGTGGTCCACAGCCCTCATCCGAAGAGATTTAGCGGAGGGGAGCAATAGGCAAAAAGAAAATTTATTTAGTTAGCTCAAGGAGCGAACTCAATAGTTTCGCCATGCGTTACCCCGGATTGTGTTGTAGCTACCCACGTCAACTCGTCTGTCCACCATATACGGCGTGCAGACGAAGAAAATTAAGCAATATCGGTTGAAAATACCCCATACCCCGGAGTTAGTCATTCCATATATTGAATAACGTAGAGTTAGTTCTCTAGCCTGTACCTAGTTCAGTCATCCCCGCCCCAAACAAATCCCATCTTTCTTTCCTGGGGAATCCTCCGGCCTAACATGGTCCGTGAGATCGGTGGATGTTGCGCCGGAGATAGTCTTGGTGTGTTTATTTTTTTTCCGGGGGGCTAGCAGTAGCACTGAGGAAGAATGTGGGGTATATCTCCATGCGGAGAGAAAAGAAATCACTGCACAGGTGTCTCTTCTATAAAATCAAAGTATATAGTACCGTAATCACCACGACGAACTTCCACTCATTGTCACGAATAAATCAACGAACGGCAACCTGGTGCAGCTATTTGCGCATATCACCGTGCTTACCGTTTTGTCCTTGGTTACCAAAGCTTCGGCTTCCATCTTGCAATACAGTGTGCCTAGCAGTGTTCCTGCCAATGCAACACCTCTGGATTTTACTCCCATAGGAGTGTCGTGAGTGCAGGATAAATATGAATCGCTCTTCTCTACCCAGCCACCCATCCCTAACTGTACGTGGCCTGCCTAGGATGGAATTCCTCATATGGCGATCCTACGTGACCAACATCACGCCTCCCATGCAGTGTATGTCTCGTATCTCAGAGATTTACGATAAGAAAATGCTCATCCAAATCTGGGGTACTACTCAGGACCGTGCCACCTATGACCCGAACTACGATGGATAGGTATCTTACCATGTGTCGAGCCCTCTGGATGCCCCTGATATCTTGCCCTACGGGCCCAAATTCTGGGATTAAACCAGTTGGTTATTATATTGATACATAAAGATTTATTGTCCCTACTGACAAGCATGACTGTCTACAGATGTCTATGGTGGTGAAACTATGCTTGGTAGGATAGGTCCCTATCCGCATTTGAATGTATTACATTCCTAATTTCCCTAGGATTCAATCGGGGTAATCATAATCGAACTAATACCTATCTTGCCGTCCTTGAGGCAAAAAAACGTGTCCTCAGCCATCTGTGGAGCATTGAGCTAGGAAACGAGCCAGACGGTATGGAAGAGATACAGACAGTTCCCAGGCGCATAGATGTGATCCTAAGCTAACTCTTAAACCCTTATAGTCTATCTTTGGCAAAACAAGGCCGATGCCGTCATTCCATGGAATGCTAGTCAAGAGGGAGCAGATGCTGCCAATTGGGCTCAAGGCTTTATTGATGCGTGGAAGTCCCCCTCCCGATCCTCACTGCAGGCTCATACGCCGTCAGTTGTGCGAATTACAATGAATGGCCAAACACCGATTATCTCATCGACACGGCTTATAATGACACCCGTCTCAGATTAGCTATTTTCGCGGAAAGAGTCTTCATGGCTACCTTCGTCAACCGGTCGTTCATTCTTGGTAACGATTGACCCTTTATTCACTGTCTCTACGGGAAGAATAGACAAGACGATCAACTGACATTGGCCGTTCTGGAACAGGTGAAACGAACTTCCATCCTTACGACGTGGGAATGGATGAACCTTTTGGCGCTGCCTTGGCCACCCTAGATAAGTCTTTGCACGTTGTGACTTTAGGAATCCAGCGTTTGTATTTCCATCAGGGAACCATCAATCAAGGTACGCATCTATATCACCTCGGATCTTCAAACTCCTCCCCCTCGCCCATCCCGGGGAAGTTCTGGTCAACCCAGGGCAGACATTTTTCATGGGAGAGAATCTAACTCGCGTCTTCGCTTCATAGCTCTGTTCAATTGATGGTCCTATAACCGAATCAATGCACCTTTCTACGGCGGCTATTTCGTCTCGCTCGCGCTCGCGGGAGGAGAGCACATCGTTGAGCTGGACTCGGGAAACGGCTCCTACGCCCAGTACGTGATTTACAGCAAGGGTCGACCGACGAAAGCCGTACTCGTAAACACAGACTATTTCTCCGGTAGTGGTGTGCGAACTAAGAGCACGATCAGGCTCAATGGTCTGGTGAACTCCCGTGTCAAGGCTGTGCGAATGACGGCGGCGTCGAGCGAGGTGACCACGAATGGCACGGCCTCCTACCCTATCATTGGAGGTATGTGAAGGGCCATTAAGCTTCCAGTACCAGTGTGATCCAGCTAAATCGGTTCATATAGGCCAATTTTTCTCTAATGTCGACTGCTCTTCCATTGGTGCTTTGACGTATAAAAAGACCGCCGTGACCACTGGTAAAGTGACGATCACTGTCGCCGCCTCGGAAGCATTGTTACTATACTTGTAGTCGTTGCCGAGAAAATGGTCTAGATGCGTGTCACTGGTTACCCCTAACGGGAGAATGTTGTGTGGTTGGCAGGGAGGGTGTAGTACTCAGGGTTGTTCTGATTCTAAATGGTCGAGCTTCGAGCTCCTCAACTAGCTCGGCTCCTCGAACCAATCCAGATGGAATGCATGTATGGAGAAATCCTTTCTTCTTCATGTTCACTCAAACTGGTGCGCGTAGAGAGTCGTAGAAAATCGAAATTTAATCACATCAGATGCAGACCGGACCACGTTCGGCTTCCGTAGCAGCGGCAGTAACCTAATCATGTTTGGGCAGCTCAGATTGCCCAGAGGCGAGCACTAGAACGGCAGTAGAGCTCCTAGAATTGCTAGAAATCATGAGCCGGGATATAACCATGCAACATTACTGTCTATCATCCTCGGTCTATGCCTTTCCCCTTCATCACGTAACTCTAAAAATCATGTCATTCAACCCATTTCTAAACAAGTCTATACCATCACACCATCTACAGCCTAAACCAGGCTTCAATCTCTACCCTCACTGCTCCAGCGCCAACAAATCCGAAAGTTTATCCAAATAAGCCAAAGGCCTCACAGGCCCATCAACAAAATCCTCCTTCGAACTCACACCCGTAAGAACACCCAACGTCCCCCCCAGATTACCCTCCAGCCCAAACCGAATATCAGTATTAGCCCGATCACCAACCATACACGCGCGACTACGATCAAACTTGAATTTCCCCTCGATGGCATCCATCATGGCCTGGCTGGGTTTACCCAGTGCGACGGGATCTTGACCGAGCATCATAATAAGAGGCGCACTCATAGATCCCGCTCCGGGGAAGAGAGTGCCGGAATTCGGGAGTGTGGAGTCGATGTTCGTGGCGAGGAAGATGGCGCCGCGTTTCACGTAGTGGTATGCTAGTGCTAGTTTGAGGTAGTTTAGGTGGAAGTCCAGTCCGACCAGGACGACGCCGACTTCCGGGTCGAGGAGGGTGGGGTCCCCTGCGGCGATGCGCTTGTAGTCTTCTGGTTCTACGTCGCGACGGTAGGCTGGGTCTGTGCCGCCGATGAAGGGAACGTTCTCGGTGCGGAGTTCTTGTTCAATGCCTGATTCGCCGATCACGTAGACTTTGCGCTTGTTTGAGGGGAGTTGGAGTATGCGGGAGATGTATATCGAGGAGCTGTATGAGGAGGAGAAGATCTCTTCCTGTGCCGATGTTAGTTACAGTCGGTCTCGATGTTGCTCCAGGCCTGATATGGACTAACCACATTGCTGGGAATACCGAGACCCTCTAGTTTCTTGCGATAATCGGCGCGCGACTTGGTACTGTTATTTGTAACGAAGACGACTTGCTTGCCTAGAACATGGTTAGATCCTCCGTTGGCTGACTCGCAAAGGTTGCGCACCATTCTTCCGTAGCAATTCCAGGGTTTCGACCGTTCCGGGGAAGCAGTGATCTCCAGACCATAGCACACCTAATTGTCTAGTTAGCGCTCAGTAATTGGCATCGCTGGGTGTTGCTTCGCTCGCAGCGTAGCCAGTGCGGAGGGAAGGCCGAGATCGCAGGGATTGGGATGTCTACAGACCATCGCAGTCGAACAGGAAGACCTGGAAGAGGATGAAAAACATCAGTCAATCTGGCAATACATAGCCACTTCAATTAGGATGGGACTCACGTCGAACTTATCCAGGAACTCGCGCAGACCGGCCTTGTTTCCGGTCAGATATAGCGGGGTGGTAGTGGAGGCGGGGTGTGTTTGAGCCATGGCGATGCGCTGGGAGTAGTGAATTGCGCAAACGGCGGAGGATTAGAAGATTAGGGTGAGGGACGGCGAACAGGAAAGAGTGAAGAGTGAGGAAGATGGCTCCGGCTTAGAGCACTCCGAGGTAAAGAAAGCAGAAAGGAACTTGTACACCCCGACGGTCACCCGAAAGCGACTCGCCGGTGACTCGCCGACCGCGTGGGGCCGCAGGTAGTGGAGAGTCGGAAGTATGCGGCCATAGTAATCTTGTCCCTCTATTTTCTACAGTTTCATCTGACCATGTTTGATTCACATAGATATTTGTACAATGGAACGGAGATCCAACAGAAAAGCAGAGTAATGTGTCATTTTCCTGATAGCCATTGGGCCCAAATATCCAATACAAAAAATAACCATGTCCTAGCTAAAACACTCCGACCCAACTGCCATCACAACGCCAGCCAGAGATGGAGAGACTGAACTCCAGTAAAAAAAAGACAAGATAAGAAGAACACACTATATACCAATATTCCAGTAACCGTACTTGCATTACATTAGGATAAGACATTGCGCCGCCAGGACCGGACCCTCTTTTTATGCCGCCAGATCGCCAAAGCCCCCGTTGATGCCGAAGAATTGGAACCTAAACCACAATCAGTGAGCTGGAATCAATAGAGAAACAAGAGATTCAAACTTACCAGTCTTCCACGTTCAAGGTCGTTGGAGCAGTCGGTCCGCTACGCGAGCTGCTGCTCCAGTTGTCGTCCTGGCTGGCAGCGTCCAGCGCCGCACCGGTCATCGTCCCATCCAGTCCCTGCATAGGCCACGGTTGACCCTCCATGCCAAACATCTGCTGAGGTCCTCCAGGTCCCATTGCCATAGCACCGGGGACACCTGACATCATCTGTGGGCTACCCTGGGAGACAGACATGCTGCGTCCAGGTACCGGCTGCTGTGGGGTTCCCATCATGGGTCGCTGGCCCATATTGGGGGCATGCAGTTGAGATGGGATGTGCAATTGCGGATCGACCGTCGCGGGTGGAGGTGGGGAAGTCAGCTCGGGGAAGATGGCCGTTCCGTCGGGGAACAGCTGGTCCGGTTGGAAATTCTCCCACAGTGATGGCGAGAGATTGGGGGAATTACGGGTCACCAGGAAGAAGTCGGGCGGCGTAGCCGGCAGAGAGAACTGCGCGTTGAAAGGCGTAGTCGGCCGAGTATTTCCTCGAGAGGGTCCAGCGATTGGTTCTTGACGATGATTCGGTGATACGTGGCCCAGAGGAGGTTGGTTCAATTCACGCGACGGCGTCACGGCTGGAGTCTGTGGGCGTGACCGTTCGTACGAGACTGGGGGCGTGGGGCCACCGTTAGGCAGACCCAGATCCATGTCGTCGAACTTGCGCTTCGGAGGGTCTGGCCTAGTCGCCTTTGCAGGGGCCGCGCTGTCATGGGGGCGCCGTTGGTGACGCTTTCCAGCCGCCTTCTGCAGTCGTTCTTCAAGGACCTTGTTACCTAGGATGGATTCAAACAAAGTGTTGACCATCTTGGCCACAAGCCAGACCTTTGAGACGTCCTTCAAGGCCGACATACACACATTGATGCGTTCTTGACAGGTCGCGACAATCGATGGGACTGAGGAACGCATCTGATAGACGTGCATAATCAGGGCGGAGAACAAGCTGTAGACACTATAGGTAACAGTTAGTATTGGATCTGACGGGGGAGACGGGTTGAAAGGGAAAGTCCGGGATGAGAGGTCAGCATACATGAACGCAGGGGTATAGCGAATCTCGTTGTGGGCCTGAAGGCCCTCGATGATAGAAGTCATCATGCCGGCCGCCTGGAAGGCAATTGTTCGTGATGGATATGCCATCTCTTCCACCCGATAGCTATTTGGTGCCGAAGAGGCAGGTGGCATGTGGGCTCGATGTAACAGACAGAGGGTGGTACTATTGAATTGTTAGTCGTAGGTTCTGATGATAAACATCGCTTTGCTTCGGGAAAGCTCACTAGTAGTTAGAATGGAGAAGAGCCGCCCAGAAGTGATGGCGGGATCGCTGCCAGCAGACTTCCTTGGGGCAGTTCTGCAGCCAGTCGGCCAACGCCATGTCTGAATGCGTGAGGTCCATCGCATTCATGCGCCGTGACTTGGAAGCCACAGAGTATTGTTGTGACAACACGAGACCCATGATCTCACAAAGCTTCACGTATTGCAGGAAGAATTGTACATGCACCGGCTCCGGCGGGTATTCTGCCGGAATGTCCAGCTCATCCTCGATGAAGTCATCCTCAGTCACCATCTCGACGTCGGAATCATCGGTATTGATCCCGATCGGGCGTCCGAGAGCTACGGCGACTGATCGGTCGCGTGTGAAGAGCGTCCACCAGATTCGCTTCCATAGTCGCTTGTCGGGTTTGTTGAGTTGCGAGGTCTCGACACTGTTTTGTTGTTAGAGACGATTTCTATAAGAGTGAGTGAAATAGCTGACGTACCTGCGATGCATACCCGAACCCTGGGCAACGACCATCGCCACCCGGGTCCAGTAGAAGACGTTCTTCGTGACGTCTGTTATCAAGATAGGTTAGAAAGCAAACTCATTTACAGTGTTCAGTAGTTCAAACTCACCTTCGGGTCCCTCCCAATACCAACCCAGAAGCACCAAGGCCTGAACAATGGTGACCCGATCGTCTTCGTAGTTGGCATCGTACAGCGCCTTGGCCCGCTTGTAGAAAGTCATCGCTGCTGGAGTCGTCGAGCCGTTGGCGTCCATGAGCTGTGGGTTCGTGCACACCCTCGAGCCAGCCAGGAGAATAGCCTGCAAGAGAAGCAGTGACGGCGGGTTTTTGGGGTCACGGTAGTGGCGCATGAACCGGCTGCGGTTGATGATCGGAACGATGGGGGCCACCCATTTGAAGTAAGCATCGACCAGTTCATCACACAACGGCTTCGGGGGCAGTAGGAATGCACCCCGTTGATGAAGTATATCGATCTCGAGATTGTCCAAGTCAGTCAACCGCGCCCGCGACCCACGAATGTTCGGGGGCAGAGGATAATGCACGACATCGGTGGTGCCATGACGATCTTGGACCAGAAGTGACAAGTTGGAGGATTCACCCAGATATGCCACCCGGCCAGCTTCCTTGATCGGAGCACGAGCGAACTTGGGCTTCATGAATTGAGCGTAGGCGTTGTCGGTAGAGGCCTGCTGGGCAGCCTCCGACTCCGTCAGTGAGGTGATGGGCATTCCGGAATTGGCCATCCGGTCTTTGCGATATCCAAAGGAGGAATCTTCCCGATCTTCCGAGCTCGACTCGCGGGTTTTTCTGTCCGACGAATCCTGGTTGAGAGGGTCGTCCGGGTTGTCGGGTCGAAATTGAGCCACCGCCGCGTCGACCAGCGAGGAGGCGCTGTTGTGGGGTGGTGGACTATCGCCATACCGACTGTCATCCTTGGCCTTGGAGGAGTTCTTCTTGCGTTTGGGGGTGGGGATCTTGCATTCGATGGAGAAGGCGACGCAGTTGGTGCATGGAACTCCTAGACTGGCTGCATCACAGCGAACCTGATTGGGTGGTTAGAGGGGCGCCAGCGAGATGGGAGGAGGTTGCGACCGGGGCGAAAAGCTTACCTTGCGAGAGTGACAGGTCTATACCAAGATAAGAAGCTTATCGTTAGCAAAAATCACAATGATAAAGGCAATCGTAGGGGATTATGCGTGGCCATCTTGGGGCAGGGCTGGTCAACATGGCGATAAGAGCTGTGTGGCCAAAAGGGCCGAGGCACACCACCAGCCGAGGCTCTCACCCCCTCAAGCGCACCGAATCGCGTCTCCTCTCGAAACAAAAAGGACGTACCTCGCACGCGCGGGAAGCACGTTGTCTAAGAATTAGATCGATCACGTTAGCATGCGTCTATAAAGACTGGATTCCGTCGCAAAATAAATCCGGGGCAGTTTTCTAGGGGGCCATGGAGGGTGAAAACCCTGTCGATGGTCTCCCCCTCTTCTTCCTTTCCCCCCTCAAGGCCACACCACCCTCGCGACCACCAGTCGCATTTATCTCTCCACCGCACACATATGCATATCAGGACTCGGAGTTTCGCTCACCTTCTAAAGCTGAGCGGCTGACCCCCAGGGCCATTGCGCACCGTGATTCCGGATGTGCCTGTCGAACCCGTTGCACTAGGTGCCGGACTCGTCGGGTTGGGCGCAGGCGGTTCGGTGCGAGATTCGGTGGTGGTACTCATTGCGCGCAGTCCCTCCACGGGGGAGAACTCGATCGAGGGATGGTTCGAGGAGTCTCAGAGGTGGAGAGGAAAAAGGGAAGGAAGAGGATGGACGACGATGGCGGTGGAATTCGAGGTGGTACTGGTGTGGTGGTAGTAGGTGGTCGGTGCGGGCGATAATGTAATAAGGAACAATGGGGGGACGGTAGGTAGGAAGAGCCCGGAGTCTGGGGAAAGGCAAAGGGGGAATATGCCTCAGAAATGAGCCACGCGATCAATCCTGGGCTTTGACTGGGGAAGGCAAGACAAAGTACCGGAAGTAATAGGAAGAGGAGGGGGAAGCAAGAAAAAGAAGGGACGAGATGGATTGGATTGGAGGGTTGGAATTGGACTTGGTCTGATGGGAAGCGGGAGGATCATTCTGGGGAGAGACAGAGGCCCGTTGTAAGAAAGGGAGGGTGGCAATAGTCATACCCACGTAAAGAGAGTTATTAACGGGACGCCCCATATAAATGGTCTATATTGATGAGTGGACTTATATTATTCATGGAGATTCATGGCGATCCAGTCGTAATGCTTCTTTGGATATATTAGTTTTTGGTACTAAAAAAACTATACCGAACCAACACATCAGTTAGTTACTCACTATTCCGGACAGACTACTATTTGGTCTCTGTTGGATGCACTCAATTTCGTGCGGTCGGGAGGGGGAAGAATCAGCACGATTGTGACTGGCTGACGGCCCACGAGACTTGGGGGTAAAGCCCACCAAGAGTAAAGAGGGTCTTGGAAATGCCAATGAATAATCCATAGTCATGGAGCTTCGGACTGTTTCTACGCCCTATCCACTATCTATATGCCTACGGACTATCTAGACATTTTATAGAATGAGGCTACTTACAATGCCGAATCTTGACAAAATGATCCTCGTGGTGCATCGCCAGTTGCCCCGTTCATCGTCAGTGAGGACCCTCCGGCTCGGCCCAAGCTGCTCAATAAATCTACGACAGGATGGCCAAAGCCCGTAGCGTCGTCCATCGATCCCGCCAGAAGACCAATGAGCAGAGACAATTCTCCGCCGTCATCACTGTCAAAGCCATGAAGGATCAAGGTACAAGGATATGGCTGGGGTGGAGGTGGTCCCCGCGCACCGCTAGCACCGCTAACGACCAAGCCACCACACCACCTCCTGTCATCAGTCTGGGGAGAATTGACATCGCAAGGGGAATTCAGGTGTTGGTGGTTCATGCGCCCGGCCTCGGATTCACGCGCTCCACGTATTCGCCATATATAGAAAATTTTGTGTAGTCATAGTGTTGTGTAGAATCCAGGGAATCGCCAGATGATGCGAACCCGACCACTCGGCATCTTCGACTTCAACTTCAAATACATAGCACGTCAAGAGGCCCAGTGTCCCGGCCGCCGGGAGAGAGATCGACAGAGGGGGAGGCAAAGAAGAAGGGGCAAATAGTGGAGGGACCCAAATCTGGGACAGTGAGATCGTCCAAGAGGCTCCCGAGGAGAAGCTCAAACACAGGAGTGAACAGAGTCGAATTGTGAAGCACACTGGATCGGTCTGGCCTGGAGTCATGCAAGGTTTCCTCTGAAACGGTCACCACCTCAGAAGTGGAGGTGACGATGTGGTGTTCACCGTTGGTCGATGGGAGAGGGTCAGGTACGCTAGGCCGAAATACCCTAAACAGGAGGATCCGAGAAGGTTGCCCCAGTACGAAAGTGGTGCTGGGGCCACCGCGTGGAAATATCATCCCCTCCTCTCCTCTCCGTTCAGCCTCCTACTTAAGCCTTCAAGCCAGGCCGAACCAACAAGTCTCCGTGTCGGTCTCGGGTCGGAGGAATTTGATGGCCGTCACAGCATTTTAGCTACCTGCAGCCAACGTGGGCGCGGAGATTTCTTTCCTGTTTCGGTGGTTTCTGCCGGCTGTGGCCGCTGTCACGTGAGAGTATAAGTCACGGGACTGGGAGGTGTATAGAGAAGAGGAAATTGGAATAATTCTGGTTATGGACGAATCATAGCAGAGATTCAAACTAAATAGCCATCTAGCTCGAGAATTGAGAGCATTACTGAGAGCAATGATGCCCATTACTGGACAAAGTGTTAGAGACTACTATTGGTGCTTGGGGGCTAGACATGGACTGCAGAACCCACCCGTCAGCATGGCAGCTCGAAGCTCCCCAAGTTGACCACAACCAGCCAGGCATGTCAAAATCGCGCCTCTAGATACAGTGGATACCTCTATGTCTCCACGCTGATCTGATCTCCAGATCTATGTCCATCCCCAGATTTGAAGATACATTATTGAAAACCACTGCCGTTCACATGGAACCAACACTTTACATCAACGCATTTGGCGCATGCCTGACCCACTCACTAGTGGAAACTCTCCTGCGTCGTACTCGTACTACGTCCTCGGCCCCCCTCTCCAGCAAGCTCTCCACGATGGCCATAAAACAAGCTACGCGGCCACTGGCAGAGTCTACGTGAACCTTCAACAAACAATGGAATTCAAAGACATCGTCGCCACTAGTGGCTTTGCTGGCTACACCCTGCTACACCCTCTGGAAGGCTTTAGGGGCTTTGGGCCGACCCTCAGCGAAGCGACCTTTGGCCTGCTGGGTACGTCATTCAAGCCCGAGCGCGATGTCTCGGGGGTGGAGGGAAAGACGATTTTTGTGACTGGAGGTAACAATCCCCATATCCTGCGAAGTAATAGTAGCTAGGCTAACATCTTATTTGTATCTCCACAGGCAATGCAGGCATTGGCCGAGAGACCATCCTCCAACTCGCAAAGCACCGCCCAGCTCGTATATACCTCGGAGCGCGCACAGAAAGCAAAGCGCAACAAGCCATTGCATCCATCAAAGAACAAATTTCGTCCACAGTCGATATCCGATACATCCCGCTCGATCTATGCTCCTTCAAATCCATCCGCGCGGCGGCAGCCAAGTTCCAAGCCGACAGCGACCGGCTAGATATCCTCATTCTCAATGCAGGTACTATGGGAAACCCGCCCGTCACCACAGAAGATGGCTTTGAGATTCAACTCGGCACCAATCATGTCGGCCATTTCCTGCTCACGAAGCTACTCCTTCCAACACTGAAGAAAACCATCGCCCATCTCCAGGACAGCGGGGCGACACCTGATGTACGCGTCGTTACCGTGTCTTCTATGGCACATGTGACGAGCCCCAATACGCTGGAGGGTATTACCTCTACGCCTGGCCTTTTGGCTGCTAGTACCTGGACTCGATACGGAGCGTCAAAGGCAGCTAATATCCTCTTTGCGTCTGAGCTTGCGCGCCGTCATCCGGAGATCCTTTCAGTGTCCGTGCACCCGGGTGTGATTAATAGTGATTTGTACTCGTATACAAAATCGACGAGTGTCTTCATCAAGCAAGCACTGGGTTTGACTGCGTCTTGTTTCTTCCGCAGTATCGCGACTGGAGCGTTTAATTCTCTTTGGGCTGCTAGTACTGCTAGAGAGAATCTGGTTAATGGGGGTTACTATCTTCCGGTTGGGTATCGCAGTAATGGAACGGCGTTCGTTCAGGATGCTGACGTCGCGCGGGGACTTTGGGAATGGAGCGAGGCTCAGATTGCTGAGCGAGAGTGATCTAAGGTCATTTTTGGGGAAATATTCGAAATGATCTACTTAACTAATTTATTACCTTTGAAAAATGAGACATGCTGTTGAAAGCCTTGTAAAACTAATTTTTAGCAGATATAATGGACAATCATCAGCCTTGAAAGTAGTTAAGAAGCAAGCTGAGCCATCTGGTCGACTCCTCGAATAAAGCAGGTTCTCCCGCCGTGTACTGTCCCCTCTTTGTCCTTTTCATGTATACCATCAGCGCCCCTGTCTTGTCATCATCTATGATATCCTCAATGCCAGCGGTCTTCAATGCGTTGACGGTAAGTTTGACAAGCCTCCGCCAATAGCATTACTGAACTTCGACGGGCATCCGTTCAGGTACGAGGGTGTCGGATTTGCCCATGCCCTAGACCCCATCGATGCCGGCAACCCAGGTGCCATGCTTTGAGATTGGCATTGACACATCTTGCTTGGCGCAACACCCATCTGGTGCGAAAAGTCTTGCAGGCCGCAGTTCTCTAGCAGAGAAGAGGTTGCAGTGGACTCCATACCTGTAGATACTATGTCTGGTGGGACGAGAACGATGATCTTAGACTGAGGAGAGGCGGTGCTTAGGACTTGGAGGATTTGGGGTAATGCTGTTTCTGGATACGAGATTGGGTTTAGTCTTTTTAAGAATATTATCCAGATGGATTTGCAACATGGTTTCAGAGACTCACCATTCACGGCGTAGTATAATGGCTGGTTTACTGGAGTCGCAAAGCTCGCGGAAGAGTGTGGTGGACTCCATGTACTTGATAGGTCCGGGATTGGTTGTTCCTCACCACTCCCTAAGGATGATGGGTTTGTCGCATCACTCATCAGGTCACAAAGAGTCAAATTGGAATATGTTGTGTCCATTGGGGAGGATCCGATATTCCAGAGCCATGTCGAATCTTCAGATAAAAGGGTAGATGATTGTGCTGCAGCGATGGGCCAAGGCGATGTCATCGACAACCCATACGAAGAACTAAAGCTCAAGAAAGGCTCTGTCATTGATGAGGAAGTATCTGCGCCGCCGTTTCCCGGTCCACTATCCTGCTGAAATAGATTTCTAGACCCTAACAGAGGCGGAGGGGTGTAGGGCTGATCCCAGCCATTCAGGGCTGCCGCTGCTCGAAGTTCGTTGGCGATGACTCGTTCCTGAAGTTTGGCGATACGATCTCGAATCTTGCGGCCTGAAATAATGAGTTAGACTTCATAATGATCATGTTTGTAAAGGGTTATCGTACGGTGATTTCTTTGTGAAAGACGATTTTGCAGCCGCCGTCTCTCGAGGGGATCTTGCTTTTGATCTGATGCCCCTTCGCTATCGGGAGGCTCGGTGCTTTTCTTCACTCTCATGTTGAGTGGGGTTTTGTCTTATTGTCTTGGATCGTCGCTTCGTAAAGATCAAGGCGCTATATGATGCATGATAACTGAAAGAGTATTTAGATATACGGCCTCGCTGGTCTGTAAGCCGGCAATGGGGCACACCGATATTTCAGATTTATAAAACCAGTTAGCTCCTCCACGCACGGTTATTACAGAATAGCAAAGATTGAACAATACTTTCAATCTCACCGTCACACATATCTGTGCAACGGCACCAGAGACTCGGTCTGAAAGTAACGGGAAGTATCAAAGAAACCTTAAACATCATCAAATGCGGCTTACAACATGATATAGCCCCGAATACTTTCGATGAAAGTGATCTAAGCCTCGTGATACCCAGAACCATGCCCGCTCTGCCATATTCAGCTGCCTTGCCTTCTTTCCCGAAAAGGCTTTCGAAGAGTATAACCTGTTTTCGACTCGCTACCCGAAGATACTACGTTCGTTCCACAAGCAAGAGACACCAGATCTCTGCTTCGGGATCATCCATACTAACGAGACGGTTCATCACCCTAGATCCACGGTTACCAGCGGTCCGGGGCATAGCGTCACACGCTGAGCCGTCCTATAGAGCAGTGCTTAGCACGGTCTGAGTGTTGCTGGAGATAAAGAGGCGGCTTAGCGTGGCGAGACTGTACAACCTTCGGTCCTAGGATTATTCTCAGCTTGGATTCTGGCTAATCATGTGCCGTGTGAGAAACTCACGGTGAGGTCAAGGATGTGTCTGACCACCATGATACTTTCCATGAGATTGGGATTGTCGGTGTGTAAAGTGACATTTATTTTGGGTCTCCTCGAGAGTCTCCTTGAAGGGTTTGGGCCTCATACTGTCCATTTTACTAGAACTTGTTGAGTGAAAATGGTTTATGGAAGCCGAGTCAACGATATACCAGATTCCGAGGCGGTCCAGCAACACTTTGGTCAAGTTCTGCGGAAGGGGAGATGTGCCCGTTAAGTTAGTCCACTTCCTACAGACTTGGCTGTTCATCAAGTCAAGTCAATGAATGGAGATGACGAGATAGAATATGCTCTGGATAGACTGTCGCCAAGCTCCCAAAAACCGAAAGACAACGGACCACGCCACCATTTCTTTACGAAGCCAAGTTAAGGGAAGCGGTGTGAGCATAGTTTGAGTAGATGCTAAGCAGATCTTGGTAGACATTATCTCTGTCCAACGTTCTCCTCGGTTGGGGTCTCAACGAAGAACCCCACCTGGACGAGGGAGTCCTGGATGATTTCAATATCGCGCTTTGTCCTTTGTCCTTGTCGATGCCATGTGGATCATCCTTGGGAACCAATCTTGCTACCTCTAATTGGTTCAAGGGAAATGTGAAAATGATGATGCGCTGCGGAGAGACCGGTCTTATTTTCTGTGGCTAGGAGCCAGAAATCCCGACAGGTTGTGTGACCTGTGAGGCGGTTATTGATGGAAGGTATTTTTAGGTCACGATGGAGGAACAGGACTCGAGAAGTGAATCACCGAGGTAATGTACATTCTCTTATTCAATGGATCTCACATGATATGTTAGAGGAGAATCCAGGTGAATGTTCAAATGAACATGCCAGTAAAGAAGCGGCTTCCCGAAGAGCCTCTAAGCAAACCCTATGTGGTGAGGTCATTGTCAATAAGCACCTGTTATGTCAGAGTAGTGGTCAAATTAGCCCCTTCCCGTATTGAACAGCTTTATTGCTTGTTAACACCGAAAAATCACTCGTATCCATCTCCAATGACCAATCAAAAAAAACGGATTTTGGCATTTCCAACGGTCAAACACCACCAGCCTTGTTGCCTCCCGGCTCCAATAGAAATCACCTCAAAGCCCCACCAACGCGAATAATAAGCACACGGTAAGCACTCAGGCAACGAGATTAGGAACCTCAGAGTCCGCCTGTGTTTTCCGGCCATTTGGTGTAACCTCACCTCCCTTTTCTGAGCAGTCTCCCTGAAAAAACAACTCTCTTAACTGCAAAAACTCACCAAAGGAGACCCTAATAGCCTGAACTCTTTCAGTATCCCCTCCTCACAAGAAGCCGCACAATATGGGCGGCATTATGCACGCGGTTGGGAGCCTACTTCCCTACCACCTTCTCTCCTATGGCGCGCTACTCGGCACCGAGGTGTACCAGGTAAGTGATAGACCCTTGAGATGGAGAGGATTTCTCTCTCTCCCTCTCAATCTACGATGTTGAAATATTCACTTACTCTCCTGCGTCCTGCCCAGAGCTTTGTCAACACCAAGCTTTGCTTTCAGGCACTCCCGATGCGCGAGTTCCTTGCGCTACAGAAGCGACTCTTCCCAGTGTACTTCAAGTGCCAGGTTGGCTTGGCTGTCCTGACAGCTGCAACACATCCACCATATAGCCTTTTCTCGCTGGTCAAGGACCCATGGGGTGCATTGCCACTGGTGGTGGTTCTCATCACCGGTTCCTTGAACTGGTTTGTGTATGGTCCGCGAACCACGACTGCGTCTCTCGTTCGACGTGCCCTCGGTGGTGAGTAATTTGGTGTATCATATAGTCAATTGGTGTGGCTTTTTCGCCGAGGCTGACATGGTAATAGAAAACGAGGACAAGCCGGCAGAGAACGAGGGGAAGCTTCACCAGGCGAATCGAAATTTCACCATTAACCATGCCATGTCGATTCATCTAAACGCCATTTCCTTGGTTGCCACGATTTGGTATGCATTTTGGCTGTCGTCCAACCTTTTGCCTGAAGTTTGAAAGTCGCAATAGGGAGTGAGCTGGGAGCGGAAGATAGACCAGAGACCTAGATGCAATGAGGATCGGTCAACAGTGCTCGAAAAGGTAGTTTTTGTGTGTGGCTGGAACCTTGCAATTCCCCCACGTCAAAAATCCAAAGACCTTGAGAGTAAAAACAAATATCTGGTTTACACCACGGGGCATCTCCGAGTGGATCCCCGCACACTCGGCCGATGCAACTGGCTGCCTCAGGCATCCAGCCCCCCGCCCTGTCGCCTCGACTTGGCATGTGAGCAGCTTCGCTATTCGAAACCCGAGGGTTTGGCGACCCTATTAAGATATAATCGATAAAATTCTACGTGGTTATTTTATTGCTATAAAATACATGCTCCTATCTTATTTTACCGGGTATTTTGAGTTGGATTTACAACAGTAGCTTAACATAGCAAGCGTACAACCACCACCGAAGTATACACCATATAGATAGCCCCAAAACACAATGACAACCCCAACTACACTTACCCCCCGATTATAAGAAAACTATCTAGCACATAATTTCAAAATCCCACCAGGAAAAAACCCCGGTGATCCAAAAAAATCCCAATCCAGCCAGTGGATAGCCAAACGGCAGCTGGATTTCCCGTTGGCCCGCCTCTCGGGCCAGCAATGCCCCGAAGCGCCTCAGGGTTTCCCCTCGCCGCTCTTGTCCCGACTTGAAAAAGGTCGCGACACCCCCACGAATTCCCCGGATTCTTTTCTCTTTCTCTTCTTTCTATATTCTTGTCTATTGCATTCTGCATTGATTCTCTTGTATATTACAGATCCATCATGGGTTCTACTTCTGCATTCCCTCGTATCAAGGAGATCCGTACCTTCGTCATTGACGGAGTCGGCTCCGGCGGTGATTACCACAATGTAAGTTACGATGTGAATTTGGAACATGGGTATTATTGATTTTCTAACTCTCTTCACAGGTCAAGGGTGGTCACTGGCTGATCGATAGCAACATCTCCACCCCCATGACCAAGTGGGCAGAGTACCGTGGCTCGCGGACATCCTGGGGTATTAACGTGTTGGGCTCGTTCTGCGTCGAGATTGAGGCTACCGATGGAACAAAGGGTTTCGCGACTGGTTTCGGTGGACCCCCTGCTTGCTGGCTGGTGCACCAGCACTTTGAGCGTTTCCTGATCGGTGCCGGTATGTCTAGTCTCGAAGTCTGACGGGTAAATGAACTCGAAGCTGACATTTCTTCTAACAGACCCCCGCGATACGAACAACCTGTTTGAGAAGATGTACCGTGCTTCCATGTTCTACGGCCGCAAGGGTCTGCCAGTGGCCGTGATCTCGGTCATCGATTTGGCGCTGTGGGATCTGCAGGGCAAGATTCGCAACGAGCCTGTCTACAAGCTTATCGGAGGTGCTACTCGGGAGCGTCTGCACTTCTACTGCACTGGACCCCAGCCTGGCTACGCCAAGAACATGGGCTTTATCGGTGCCAAGGTTGCTTTGCCCCACGGTCCGGATGAGGGTACGGAAGGTCTGCTCAAGAACGTCGAGTACCTGCGTCTTCAGCGTGCCAGCGTTGGACCTGACTTCCCTCTCCGTGTTGACTGCTACATGTCCCTTACTGTCCCATACACCATTCAGTTGGTCAAGCGCTGCGAGGCTCTTGGTCTGGATATTGACTGGTGGGAGGAGTGCTTGTCCCCCGATGACTTTGACGGTCACGCCCTACTGAAGCGCGCCCACCCTACTGTCAAGTTCACCACTGGTGAGCACGAGTACTCCCGCTATGGCTTCCGCAAGCTGGTTGAGGGCCGCAACTTGGACATCATCCAGCCCGACGTGATGTGGGTGGGAGGTATGACCGAGCTCCTCAAGATCTCTGCCCTTGCCGCTGCCTACGACATCCCCGTTGTTCCTCACGCCTCCGGCCCTTACTCCTACCACTTTGTCGTCTCTCAATCTAACAGCCCCTTCCAGGAGTACCTGGCCAACTCCGCCGATGGCAAGGCCGTCGAGCCCGTCTTTGGCAACCTCTTCCTTAACGAACCCATCCCCGTCAACGGATACCTCGATGTCTCCGTTTTGGATAAGCCTGGATTCGGCCTGGAGCTGAACCCGGCTGCTCCTTTGATCCCTGCCTCTGCTCTCCTTACTCCTGCCCCTCAAAAGAGCTTGCGTGCTCCGGATGACCAGGCTCCTAATGGCTCGACCGAGGGACATTGAATTTAGAATTAGCGTAAATATTTTGCAGCTTTTGATGTTTTGTTTCTTTTTCTTCACGTCCCATATTTCATGATGACCCTTTTCCCCATCTTGCACTATGATGTCATGTACATAAATCGCATCGACTATTCAATCCAATAGACTGAAATGTTTCAAGGATGAGAAAATCTGTGTTAAGCTTAATCTCGCAGTCTAATAATCGTCGTGACGAACATACACCCTGTACATATTCGTATTCTCTGGATTTATCCGAATACAGTGACTGGACAACCTAACCACAGGCAAAATTCCACCAAACGCATCTCGTTGTGTCGGTCCTGTCGGGTGAATGTCGCTCGGAATTGCCGCCCACTCGGTACGTTTTGCCCCTCGTGGGGAAGTCCGAACCCCACACTCGGTCCAACATCATCGCGAGACCCCGAAAATCTTATCGCCCGAGGCAAAAGCAGCTTTTGGCGGGGTTTTTTTCTCTCCAACGGTGCCACGAAGACTACTTCACCGTTTTACCCCTTGGAAAGTCACCGTTTCATTAATTGAACACTGAACTTGGGATTTCGGAAGCCAACACCGGATATATTGCACGCATAGCATACTACACACGCGACATTATGCCTCTCCCTCAATTACTCGTAGGCAAGGTCGCTGCCATTACAGGTGGTCTCACTGGCATTGGACGGGTACGAAGGCCTTTATCCCAGTTGAATTACTCAAATAACCTCCTTGGATCTGCAAAACTAATCTCTTCTTTCTGGTGTGCAGGCAATTGCCTTGGAATATCTCCGCCATGGCGCCAAAGTCGCCATTAGCCACCTCGGCGGCCCCAAGGAGGACGACCTCTTGGAAGCTCTTCGCAAAGAGGTAAACGAGATTGAAGAAGGTGCTGATAAGACGAGATTTATCACCGTCACGGGAGATATTTCACAGCCCGAGACGGGCAAGAACTTCGTCGCCAAGACGGTGGAGGCATTTGGCCGTCTGGATGTGTTTGTTAGCAATGCTGGTGTTTGTCGATTCGCTGATTTCCTCGAGTAAGATCTATCCCCATTTCCACTATGGAATAAGAAGGAAGGGACTAACGGCCATCACAGACTTGAACCGTCCCTCCTCAACCACACAATCTCCACCAACCTCTCCGGTGCATTCTTCGCCACACAAGCCGCCGCCAGACAAATGGCCCTCGCCCAGTCACCACCCGGAGGCTCCATAATCGGCATCAGCTCTATCTCAGCACTCGTCGGCGGCGGCGAACAGACACACTACACCCCTACCAAGGCCGGTGTCCTGAGTCTGATGCAGTCGTGCGCAGTTGCACTGGGCAAATACGGAATCCGGTGCAATGCGCTCCTGCCGGGAACGATTCGTACTCAATTGAATGATGCTGATTTGGCGGATCCTGAGAAGAGGACGTATATGGAGGGTCGGATTCCTCTTGGTCGGTTGGGTCAGCCGCCGGATTTGGCGGGGCCGGCTGTTTTCTTGGCTTGTGAGGAGTTGAGTAACTATGTGGTAAGTCATGATCTTTGCATGAGTATTGCAGGGGATGTTTGTGTGTTTTGGTTGCATGATGCTAATATAGAAATTTGAATAGACTGGAGCCCAGATTCTGGTTGATGGTGGATTGTTCGTCAATCTCCAGTAAGAATATAATTGAGATAAATATTGAATGCATTATGTCGTCAGATTTCATTAAAATCACAATTTCATTTCGTTGCAGACATGTCCAGTCTCGCCCCGGTTTGCACATGTCACCTCTGATCACGATATGGGGATAATTGGAAGTGCATTCTCACTGCCAACGAGATGAACCATCTTTTTCCCCGTCGCCGTCCTGATATAATGGATCGCATTTCGACAAAGCGTCTTCTCCGCAGTGGTCGAAAGAGGACAGTCCACAGCCACTTGCATGGGCCAGTAAAGCGTGTTATTGGCAAATTTAGCACTTGACTTGGCATTCGGAACCAGGACTGAATTGTCCATGTGCATCCATTTCACCCACGTTGGACCTGACGGTGAAGCATATGATATTGATCAGATATCGTATTCGACTTTCAATCATTTGGCGATATTCCAGGGGCCGGGCTTCCAACGGCCAGCATTTAGACCCGGAGTCGAGATGCTCGATGGTATCAAGGCATTTAAGCACCTGCAGGTAAATATGACCTGTGTCGCATGATTGACTGCTAGAAATATCGTTGTCCACGGATCGGGTGGTGAGACATCGGGATCTGCGCGGTGTTCGGGGTGATATTGCCGCTTCCAGTGTCCTGGATTGGACGAGTGCCAGGCTTCGATATCCTCCATCAAAATTTCAGACTGCTTGATTAACGAATATAGCGAGACAATAGGCTCTTATTCTGCATCCCGTGTCCAGGCAGAATTGCAGACAGCGGTTGCTGATTGACAGAACCTGGCTATCTTGCTATTTACTATGCAAAGCCCTCGGCATTTTCCTCTGGGGACAAGCCCAATTTCTTGGTGATGGATGGAGGTGGGTTCAAATACATCTTTCTTCTTGAAGTCTTGGTTGAAAAGAGATACCTGTTTTGCTGTTATGTCTTCCAAGTTTGAAATACTTCATCAAATGTCCACATTTTCCGCACTCTTACTGGATCCTGTGTCCACCATAATTCCGAAATATATATTCGGTTTGCACAGGTAGTCGAACTCCTCTAGGTAGTTGATCAATCCCACTATTACATTCTAGGTAGCGTGTTCATTGGAGGCGAGGCTCACATATTCTACAGAGCGCCTGGATCTATCAAAATTGCAGCCGAGCCATTTGACCAATTGAATCCCATTGGATTCAAGATTGAGTTTGGTAGTGCTCAGGGTCTTGTGTTGTATCGAGCAGGCTCAAAGTCCGCTCCAACCTTAGTAACTAAAGATGTAATTTGGAGTTTTTATCCTTGAGTTAATGAGCAACCCATGTCTAGGATTAAATGAAAATTATACGCGACATAGAGTATTCAAGGCTATTCCGACTTAATCCTGAATGATTTTGCTATGTCTCCCTCTACCTCAGGAAGATCACTTTCTTTTGCTATACAAGCCAATTTGTCGTGATATATTATGACCCTGGAATCCGAAGGGTTCATCATAATTTAGCGGTGAATCATCAGGAACTTGCATGAGATTTCCAGGAAAGAGGACAGGGACGAGGCGAACGAGCACTGTTAGTCGGACTGAGTGAGTCATACGGGAATTGATGTCCTCGAAAGCCCGAGAAAGAAATCAAACTATGACATGCTTCGTATACCTCGCCTCGTGTGTGGCAAGCCACACCCTTCGGGTGAGGTTCATCGAATTAATACACACTGCAATTGAGGACCATGGCCTGCGAGTAGTTGTCTGGCAGGGACTGCGGAACCTCAATGATAAAGACGGGCGCGTTGGTAGTAAGCGTGCTAATATGAAGTACTCTGGGGATATTGCTGATTTATTTAGGCGCAAAGTTATTATACCTCACCTTAGCCAAGAGAGATACCGTTCATATAACGTCGCATCGGAACTCGGCGCCTGCATCCCACGCTCGGAGGAAGAGCGAGGCGACACGAGGCATGGTGACAGCCAGAGAGGGGTGTGTTGCAACGATCATCGTAAAGGACTCCGACGCGGCCAACGGGAATGGCTGGACTTGTCGTAAATTGGTCTAGCCTCGAGCAATTGACCCCGCTGGAACTCCGCTTATCGTTATTATCAAAGACCCCGCGCGGGGCATGCGACCCTGTCGGCTGTGAGCAGTGGAGTATTTGGAGAATCCCCGATGCGTGGGGGCTACACGGGATGACGATTTAAGATGCAAGGGGGTTGTAGTACAGTAGTCTCATCGAACGAGTCCAAACATTCCTGCCTCCCTTTAATCCTCTTTCCTCTCAGTAATCTTCTTTTTCACCGGCGTCATGTCTGTCCCTGGTGTCAATCAACCTCCATATCCCCTCCACGACTCGGTAAAGCACCTGCTGGACCCCGAGTATGTCGACTTTTATAATCAACATGTGATCAACAACCAACAGGTTCACCTGCAGCCCGTTGCCGCATCGCGCACTAGCGGTGTACTAATCCCTGGTGCGGGACCGATGCTGGAGGTGGGCAAGACGCAGGATATCACTGTCCAGCGCCAGGCGACTGAGGGTCCCTCGGTGCCTATTCGCGCTTTTACTCCCACGGGAGAGGTCCCTGCTGGCGGGTGGCCTGTGATGCTTTACTTCCACGGCGGTGGCTGGGTATTGGGAAACATTGACACTGAGAATGTCGTGTGCTCAAATTTGTGTGTCCGGGGGAACTGCGTGGTTGTGACGGTTGATTACCGGTATGATGCCTTTGTTGATTGTTGAGTTGTCCTTGTGGGGACTTTCGACAAGAGTGAAACAGTTCTAACAGATGATGATAGTCTCGCACCGGAAAACCCTTTCCCCGCCGCTGTCCATGACTGCTGGGAGGCTCTCCTCTGGCTGGTCCAGCAAGGCCCCTCCGCGCTATCAATCAATCCCTCGAGAATCGCAACTGGTGGCTCCTCAGCCGGTGGCAACCTGGCTGCGATTATGACACATAAGGCACTGACCTTGTCACCTCCCGTGCATTTCAAGGCCCAACTGCTCTCAGTCCCGGTAACTGATAACACCGCTCTCGTGTCCAACAACGAGTCATACCGTCAATATGAACATACACCTGCCCTGCCTGCTTTGAAAATGATCTGGTACCGCGATCACTATCTTCCCAATGAAGTCGATCGCACCAACCCCGAGGCGAGTCCGCTGTTTTACACTGGTGATTGGGCTCAGCTTCCTCCGGCACTGGTTATGGTCGGCGAGTTGGATGTGCTGCGGACAGAAGGCGAGCAATATGCCGAGAAACTTCAGAAGGCTGGAGTTGAGGTGGATCTCCAGGTTATGAAGGGAATGCCGCATCCTTTCTTGGCCATGGATGGGGTTTTGTCGGAGGGGGAAGAGGTGCATCACGCTTATGTGTGATGCCTTGCAGAAGGCTTTCTGGAGTTGAGTGTAGACACTGGTGGGAGTGATAGATTCATGATATGATATAGATACGGAATATAGACAATATCCATTTCTCGCATCATGTGCCCGGAAATAACATATCAGTGGTGGTAAAGGTGACCAAGGATTTCTTCATCGCGAATGGGCAGTAACCCTACTTCCAGGCGACTAGACTGTAGCCGGTGGTACCTAATCTTGGCCCAAAATGGTAGGGGTCGGATGTTTTAAAAGAGAAGATCACTGCTGCACAAATTGACAATTTGAAATAGAACGATTATCAAAGACTCAGATATCGGGAGTCTATACTAAGATTGAGAAAAAGTATCGAACACAAGGTTACACCTTCCATGGGTGCCATGTTTAAGCACTTAATCCAACCCCTTAAAAACCTCCTCAAAACGCAACTCATTCCATCTTACATCAGGTTTCAACCCAGCAAACTTCCACACGCCATCAACCTTACGGTAATAGTGCTCATTGGTAGCATGCGAGTGGCCCCGAAGCTTAACCTCTTCCAAGCCATCGTCCGTATAAACCTGGTGCGCAGCGCGGAGTTGGTGATGACCGATCACTTCGGTGTCGGAGATCTTCTCCCACCAGGTCTGGCCGAGGAGATGCTGGGTCTTGATGGTGGGATCGCCGAGGAATCCGGGGTGGGTTACCATGGCCATGTATTCGTCGGCGGCCATGTTGTCCCATCTTTTGAGGCCGATTTTGGTGTAGTCAACCTAAGGGGAATATTGAGTTAGCACTGAAATTGGGTTTGATGTGGATTTTGTGTAGGGACAGATGGGAGAACATGCCGTTAAGGTCGGGGCAATGATGCTGCGGAGACGATTCCAGTCCTATGATTCAATTAGTTAAAGTGAATCTCATTCCTCAATGTAGGTGGTGGGTTTACTTTGGCATCGTAGCTATCAGCCCAGTCGAACACTAGCTTTGACAGGATCAGGTAGTCTGTTATTGTCAGTGATAGATTTCCGATAGCTGAATCCTTCTTTACATACCCTGGAAGCTAATATCCAAATTGGGCTCGGCGTTGAGCTTGACAGCGGGCGACATGATCGAATTTCTTGAAGTTGGAAATAAGATTTGGCGGAATCTATAGACTTGGTCGCTGTGATGAAGCGGATGGCCGGGTATATCTTGCGAGTCAAAGACCTTTGTAATTAATGTAGGCCTTTGGAATCTCCGCATTCAGGTAAGGCCTCCCGTGGCAAGTCATGCTTTCCTTTGGAAGAGATGCTTGGAATGTATCAAAGACATCTCATCGATGCGACCGACGCCCGCAGCCATCTGCAGCATTCTGAGACATGCATCTTCCGCATGCGGTAATCGGAGGGGGATCTTGGGTGTGCAAACGGCTTCAACACATTCAAGCACTCTTTCAAAGGCCCAGAATTACTCCTGAATTTGTGTTTACAGGTGTTTATCTTCCTAATCCGGAAAACAGACCCTTTTCAGGAGGACTATTGTGTAGATTGGCAATGATGCGACCGAGTGTATATCTGATTTCAGCGCTCGGCGTTCTATTTGTTACTTTTCTTAAGAGCCAAATAAACTCCAGTCATCTTTCCAAATCCTAGAATTATAATTTGAATCCCATCACTCGGTCGCATTTCCAAACACCACCCCAAGCCAACCCCCTCAAACAAAGTCAACATGGTCATGGCCAACCCCAGCGCCGCTCCTGCCGAGCTCGCCGGCAAAGTCGCCCTAGTCACTGGTGGCAGCCGCGGCATCGGATCAGGAATCGCTCTCGAACTGGCCAAGAAAGGAGCCTCAGTGGCAATCAACTACGCCAAGGATCCCGCCTCCGCCGAGAAGATGGTCCACGAAATCAAAAGCCTAGGTGTCCACGCCGCCGCTTTCCAAGCTGATCTGACCAAACTCGAGGCCATCGAGAACCTGTTCAAAGAAGTCGTTTCTCATTTCGGTCAATTGGACATTGTGGTTTCAAACTCGGGAACTGAGAAGTTTGTCTCGTTGGCCGATACGACCATCCAAGACTTTAATGATGTCTTTGACTTGAATACCCGGGCTCAGTTCTTCGTTGCGAAGAACGCATACGATCATATCCAGCCTGGTGGACGTGTGGTGTTGATGTCTTCTATTGCTGCGGGCGTGGGTGTTCCCGGACACTCCCTGTATGCGGGTAGTAAGAGCGCTGTCGAGGGTTTCACGCGCTGCTTCGCTGCGGACTTTGGCAAGAAGCGCTGCACTGTGAATGCTATCGCTCCCGCTGGTGTCAAGAGCGACATGTGGTTGAAGAACTCGTGGCGGTATGCCCCGGGTTGTGACCAGAACTCTTCTCTCGAGGATATTGAGCAAGCTCTGGCCAATGGTAGCCCCTTGAAGCGGTGCGGTGTCCCGGCTGATATTGGCCGTGTTGTGGCATTCCTTGCAAGCCCTGCTGGAGAATGGATCAACGGTGAGTGTGGAATGTTTCATTGAGAAGATCTTTCGGAACGTTAGCTAATTTGCATACAGGACAAATCATCCCGCTCAATGGTGGTGCCAATATTTGAGGAGATTATTCGTTTGTTGTTTGTTCGGAGGAGGAGGTCGGTTGGGAGTTGCTTTTTTTAGATCCAGCGAAAGGCACATGGTGCATCATGTATAGAATGGAACTTTGATCTTTGTCCTAATAATATCATCAATTCATTGACTTGCTAGACCGGTATTGAGGTTACCATCAGCATCGTTCCATATGAAATTAGTGCTATAATTTCAAAAACCACTCATCCTTCCTTCTCCCATTTCATATATTTTTGAAAATATGCTCGAGAATACGTGAGGGAGGGAGGACCACGTGCCGCCAGTACATACACGGTGATTTTAGTATACAACACTTGTGACTCAAGATAGGGTATGTCAAGCCAGAAGAGTAGTAAAGATCGATATAGTATTCACATCATTAGAAGTATTATTCTTTTGGTGAAGGAAGTAAATAGGGTGGGTATTCGGTGTCATCATCATGCAGCGTCAAAAGATTCGTTGAATCAGTGTGTGTGGTTGTAGATCGATCTGGATGAGGATCACAACAGATATAATAAGAATCACCGATATTAGCTACGGGCATTAAATTGTTAGTCACCGAACAGAATTGTTTTCTTCATAAACCTTGCATCGGATCCCAGGAACCTAACTTACCAGACCGAGTAGAATCCCCACCCAATTAAGCTCCCATCCTCCAGCGTGCACTTTTCCTAAAGAAATCGCACTTTGCTGTCGCCAGAATCGATACGCTCCGATCAAAGCTACGATGACAGCCACACAGTGACAGGTCACGGCGAGTGGGATGCCGACTTCATGAAACCTCAGGCGATTAGGTTGGGGATTGGTGGGTCGTTGTAGGCGAAAGAGCTGCGCAATTAGAACTCCTTGCATGGCGATGACCACAGAAGTGCGGATGTATGCAAGGAATGTTCTTTCGAGGGCTGTATAGATGTATACAGATCGGTGTCAGTCTTATCCTGCTACTATACGGCTCAACAAGCTAATATGATAGCTTCACGTACCCAGGTGGTCGCGGTTGCTCTTCTGAGGCACCGTCAGAGTGACATTATGAGTCCAGAAACTGCAAACTTTCTTCCAAGCACCTTTGCGCTTCGGACGAGGGCGACGGACACTTGACCGTGATGCTGTGCGGGTGGTGACTCGGTATTCCTCGCCCGAGGAGGCCGATGCCGAGGAGTAATTCAATTGCTCATCATCTTCGCGCGTTTGAATCTCCTGGAGCTCCAGAGCTTCCGGGGGAGTCGGCGACCGATGATTGCGCACGAAAGCATTGGCCGGTGGTTCAGGGTCTACAGGTAGTTCTGATGATTCGGGCATGATCGAAGCGATTCAAAGAGGACCGCATTGAAGACCATTCCGATTGTAATTTTGACTTGGACGGAGAGGAAGAGGAGGGGGGCAAAAACACCGGACCTTGGTTATTTTTTCTCTTCGCGTGGGATCGGGGCAATCGGCGACGGCGCCGGTTCGGCTGGACCCGACTGGTGACGGGTCAAATGGCGGAAGCTGAATTGGTTGGTAGATAAACAGGGCCAAGCTGAATCAAGCAGGAAAAGCAGGATCAGACACAATCAATAAGAGCTAGGCACAGGAGTAGACAAGCTGGGAAAGTCCCCAAGGCCAATGAATTGACAGATTCAATGGATCTAAGCGGGGCCCGGTAGGGGTCCGGGGAAGTCGGGGGTCGGCCATTGACAGGTTGATGGGTCGGCGAGTGGTATAGATGGGAATATCTCAATATTCAACAGAGCATATCAACAGATTATACTACATGTACTAAAAATACTCTCTATATCAGACTCCATCCGGTCAATTAAGCTTAAAATTGATCGCAGCTGGCTTGTCGAGCTGTTCCCAACAGAGCTCCGCATGCAGCCAATCATCAATCGCCGAACGCGGATTGCATCATTTGAGGGCGCGATGTTGCCAGCTTCTGCCAATCACTATCCATCACGGACACCAATTTCGTTCCATAGAATCAACCATTGCAAATCAATAAGCAAATAAAGGACACTAAAGGGCATCCACATGGAGAAACAGTCCAATAGGGATATTACCATGAGAAAAGAAAATCAATATATTGATTTAAGTGCAGCTGCACAGTACTGTAGGGTGATCGGAGATTTCTAGTGTAACTACAGTAATTAGTTACAGTGCAGAGTGAACAATCAGCACAGATTGGGAGATAAAACTCAATGAACGTGATTCATAGTAGGAAATAAACTCCCAAACCGCATTGATAGGCTATTCTGAGGTGAAGGAAAGCACTGTAGAAAAGCCGGAAGCATCTTCGGGCAGCCTTCCAAACACACCCTGAAGTACGATTGAATATTGACTAACAACCTAGGCCTGACTATTTCCACCTATCGATATTTGGAATGCTAGAATCTCGACTACTAGTGCATACGAGAAACCTAGTGATGACATTCACGATATTGACCGACCGGGCAGCATGATCTCGGAGCACAGACCATGGCCAGGAAGATATTAGTGCTTTATTGTTACTAATTTACCATCTAGGTATTTTAGTATCAGCGATCCCACTAACAACTGTGTAAATAATCAATAAACAAAAGGGTGTTATGTGCAAATGCTCAACAGAGAAGACATATAGCCAATTGATGCCTTAGGCCACATAAATTACCTATCCGGGACTAGCTCCAACACGATCGGTCGGCGCATCGACATCGGCGCCTCGATTGAAGATTGTTGCGCTTTGCTATTCAGCGGTCATCATGCGGCGCCATCCTCGGAGTACACTTCTGGGGAACTGGCCCTCTTCGGCCCTCCAGCGACCCTTCATCCCATCATGTACACCATGGAGCAATGGGGTCAACGTGCGATTCCAAAGCTCCGACTCTGATAAACCATTCCCTCCCTCCGACGAATCCAACGAGTACACCCCCGTCGCCGTCGCCGCCAGTCCAAGAAAGAGCCGAGATCCCAGAGACTCCCTCTCAATGTGGACTCACTCGGAAAGCCGGGAGAGATCGTGGTCGTACCGTCGAAGCGCCCTCGAAGCTTGAAACAAAAGTTGCGGGAAATGCAAAAAACAACAACGACCACGGAGGATGCGCAGACAGTCACACTGAGGTCGATGCTGGGAGATCTAGAGGAAGAATATTCCCCTTTGACTTCAAGTGCAATTCATGAAAGAATTGAGAGCTACAGAGCATCTAAAGGACTGAATGGGAAAATGAACGAGACCGAGTGGGAGGCTGTACGAGACGGCCTAGCTTCGTCATTCACCTACAATCAATTATCGGACTACATTCTAGAGTATGGCCAGTTCGAGTCCCAGGGTGAAGGAAATGCGCCAAGATGGAGGCCTGGTACATCCGCGTTTTTGCACGCCAACCCAGATCTACACACGGGAGTGACAAAACGGGTGGCCACAACGCAAGACTTGAAGGGCAAGCCTTTGCTGGCAGAGCGGATCCTTCGCGATTGCTGGCAGATGTCTATTACTGACGAGATTGGCCAGTTGGATATCCGTCTATCGCCTGCCTTCATTGCCCTACTCCTCAATGCTGAGCACTTTTCGTTCGACGAAGTGGCCACTATGCACCAATCCAGCATTGACATCACCAGCTCCCTCGGCTTGGTGAGAATCACTGGGCGTCAGACTGCCTGTGATTCAATGGGGGACATTATCCTTGACGCCATCGCCAGAATCCGAGAGGAAGCGACTGGTATTGACACATCCCGTCCAGGACTGAATCAAATGTACACACCACACTTGTTGGAATGGATCAGCAAGACTTATGGTGTTACTCTGGAAAATGATGCCTCGGGGGTTCCGGAGAGAATCCTGTACCTTGCAGAAAACAAACCAGGCGCAGACAACGCGCGGAGGGTACTCAACCTCGCTCTTCAGGAGGTGACTCCCGCCTCAGTACCTTTCTCAACCTACTTCCCTGCTTCGGAGCCCGCAAACGTATACAACTACAACCCGGAAGGCAGCGTTTCATGGCTGGATCAGCAAAAACAATGGTTCCGATGGGCCATGCCATCTACACAGTCTACAGAGACTGAAAGCAATTCCACTCCTTTCTTCGACGGCCACCAAACTCGACTGTCAGACCATTTACTGAACCTTCTCCGCAAACCTCCTGTCCAGACATCAAGCCCGGATAACGGCTTAACTGTCCACGAGTCTGTGTCTGCTGCAGTAGGTCACTGTCTCTTCACACGCAAACCCTCTCTCGAAAACACCACCACCAGCGCCTCGCAACTGGGCAAACTATCTCTTCCAAGAACTTTCTCCACAGATATCCCTCGGGTCATAAACTTCCTGTCCTCACTTCGACCCATCACCCCGGCCGCTGGAATCCAATTCTACAACATCCGATTGACTCCTTCTTCTGCATTCGCCGGTGTTGCCCCAACTCTCGATGTCAAAATTGCATCCAGCCTAGGAAAAACCCTCGGAGACCCGGAAGATACATTCGACGTGCAAAGCATCAAGGTCATCCGTGGTTCAAACGCCGTTGATTATCTCTTACCAGAGAACAGCCTCGATCTACGCTTCACCCGCACAGTCTACCACGAACTCTCAGGCGATGCACTTGCAGACTCTGTCGAGTACCAACTTCTCACCAAGAGCATCAAATCATCCCTGCGGAACGTGGTCGGCTCCAAAGTAGAAACCAGGGGCTCAACAACCTTGTCGGCATTTTGTCAGATCTCTCTTCCAAACACCATCGTCCAGTCTCAGTCACCATTTGGCAACGGCCCCGCGCTCACGGCGGAGTACATCACGCCTTCTATTCAGAATATCCGCGGCGCCGCGATTTCACTATACGAATTTGAGAATCGAGAGTTGAGCTACGGTTACTACGAGAGTGGACCTTTCCTTCCTGCACGTACTATCGATGTTTCCCTGGATATGCAGATTCCAAGCACGTCCACCGATGTGGATGGCGAGCACTCGCAAACAGAGCTGGATACTGAATTCCATTCATTCTACAACGCGGCTTGTCGGATGGCATTCAACATTCATGATTTGAAGTTGTTGCGTTCTGAGGAGGTCATGTTCCAGCCTGAGACTATGTATTAATACTTTTCGTCTTCTTTTCGGGCGGTGTTCACACTTTTGCATATAGATGGGAAGCATGTCCTGGAGTTCAAGGGACCTTTGTACAATAGATAAAATGATATGGGATTACCCTTCCTCGTGTTTACCCACACAATCGAAACGCCAGTAGTATCAGTACAGTACATCGTAGTAGATCTCTTTCAATCTATCTATCTGCGACACTAACGCCAGGAAGAATCTAAGAACAAATCCCATCCAACCGGGCCTGTATCGTTTTTTCGTCGAACCGGCCACTTTCCCCTTCGTAGTTGCGGAGGACCTCCAGGGTCATTAGGCGACGCGGGGCTTTGCGGCCGGTCATCAATTCGAATTGGGCAATGCCTTGCTCGATAACATTTTCGAGTCCGTCTGATAGAACCCATGGTCGGCCGTTGTCGCTTCGGATTCGACGCATTTGTTTGAGTAGGGGTGTGTCCAGGGGTTTGTAGGCCAGCTATATCAGTGTATTAGTTTAGTGACTCGTTGCCATCTAGGGACTGTGTACTTGTTTGACTCACCTCTAATACTACACCCCCGGTTGGACTCCCGAGCCATTGCATTGGCATCTCAAAGTTGGCGGGGGGCTGGTCGCCGTCTGGATCGGCGGGTACACACGAGGCAATCAGACTAGGTGGACTGGCGTCGTCAGGCCAGTCATCCTGAAGTGACCTTAGTACTCGGACCACCTCTGCTGAGTCGGTCTGAACTGCGGCCCAGGAATTGAAGTGACGTGCTACCTCTTCCGCTCGAGATTGCGTTCGGTTGTAGATGAAGATCTTGCGACAGCCTAGGCGGAGCATGGCATAGATAGCTGACCGTGCCATACCACCAGCTCCGATGATAAGACCGGTAGTCTTCGCACTGATCGCATTACGAGGCGACAAATGACGAGTGATGCAGGTCATGATACCCACCCAGTCTGTGTTCTCACCATACCAACCCAACACAGGGCCTGCCTGGTTGCGTCGACTGGCTTGTTCTTGGAGGGAGTACATCGTTCCATCCGATGTACCTCGCAAAGGCATGATGGTGTTTATAGCGCCAATCGCCTCGGCGTGTCGGCTCTTCGCGGCCAGTTTATGATATAGCTCCACACGCCATGGTTGAACAACACTAGACCCGCCAAAGTTGGGATCTTTGCGAAGCTCATCCAAGACCGCGAGAGAAGGAGAGTCGGGAATTCGATAGACATGTCCCAAGCCGCAGTGCTGAATGGCGGCATTGTGCATGGCCGGGGACAGACTGTAGGCGACGCTCGCGCCGAGAATACAAAATTTCAGCGGGTCGAGCACGTAGCTTTGGACAAGGGCCTGGACCGCGTCGCGCGAAGTGATTTGCGCATCACGCTCATTCTCCGTCTCACGAGTGATTGCAGGATGTGTCACACTCGTGAGGATCGAGTTGAATACTTGTGATGTTCGTCCTAGACGGCCGATGTTGTAGGCAATCAGAGGTGGGTGGTCTCCTGGTAGAGAACGGATCCTGTTGGCAAACTCGAGGACACTGGCATTTTCCTCCCTGGATGTGGCTACTCGGAGGAGCCTCACTAGCTGACAGCCTAATTTTTCAGCTTCATTATACAATGACACGCACCCATCGTCCTCCCATTTCACACGGGATGTTGCTTCAAAAACGTGCTGCCCAATGATCTTGGTCTTGCCCCGAGCGCGGACGATCTGCGCTAATTGAGCCCGGTTCTGACCAAGGTTGACAACCAGGTACTCTACCGCCAAGCGAAGAGCATGTTCCAGGATATCGAAATATGTTGCAGATAGATCATGGTCTTTTCCGACTTTGAGTGATGACATGTCCACGGAGAGAATGATCGGAGTCCGCGCGTTACGACGAAGCACAGACACCTGCTTGCTAATCACATTGGGCATTTCAGGGCCCCAGCGGTCGACGCAGAGCTCAATGGCATCTCCGCCAGACTCCAGCTCTGGCAAGTTGACATTGTCTGCGAGAAGATCCGAGGACCTCACGAAGATGGCATGGGTGAAGGATCGAAGCTCAGGTGGTGTCTCTAACAGCACGAAGGGGGAATCATAACTGGAATGATTCACATCGACTCCGGTCACGAAGCGAACAAACCGGGTCAGGTCTTCCTTCACTTCTTGTAGTTTGAACGAGTACGCTGCCGAGCGAGGGTCGGGGGTTCCGTCGTCCGAGACAATCCTTGTACGATCCTCGACATTGTAGAATTCGAAATTGGAGCAGGTTCGATGTAGGGGGTCTCCCTCACGCAGGATCCGCACGGATTGGTCGTCTAGACCGAGGAGTTGCTGAATGCGATCGATGTCACGAACGAGGTGAACGACGGGGTTTGTCTTGACAATGCGCCGCAGATGATCCTGCACAGGTCGTGTGAGACTTCCCAATCCACATTCCACCACGCAACCGGTTCGGTGGTTGTCGAGCATCAATTTCAAAACCTCGATATCCCGGCGCTGGAATTCTTGGCTTCCATGTGTCTTTAGGTATTCCTGTCTCGTGACACCGGTGATTTCCTTGAAGTAATGGTCTTCTGTAATGAAGCGTCGCTTCAAGGCAGCCGCCGCGACGAATCCTAGTGAGCGCTTGCCGCAGCCACGAATACCGACAAGAACCAAGGAAGCATCGGGGGCGAACTTGCGCGGAGCGGTCGTCTCTGGGGGGTGCATTGCGGGGGAGGGTGAGTGTTTGGCCGAGTCGGCGCGTGAGGAGGAGGGACTGGAGTCGACGGACTCTAGGACGCAGGATTTCCAGTCAAGCATGGCGGGCGGACAGGTTCGGAAAGACGGAGGAGGTGATTTAGTTGCAAAGCACAAGTGCCATGACGGCGCACTTCATATGTTGCAGCTGTCGCATCAAGGGAAGGCAAACGAGGAGTAAGGCTGTCGGACAAGGGAACAGATAGGATAGGTTTCGGGTGCGCAGTCTGTGAATCAACTCCGATGATATACAGGGATAGGATCAGGTATACGGCAAAGGTATAGAATAATGGACTAGTCGGACGTGGAGGAAGAAAAGAAGGACGAGTGACCGGCGACAACTTTGAGACTTTCCCCGGATGAGGCACCCCAGTGGGGCAGCAACTATTCTTATCGCGCGTGTGATTAGTTGGAGGGCGGAGTGTCGGCAGAATCATTACCCTCGTCGGAGTTGCCACGGCAGAGAGGAACTGTGGGGGGTAAAGAGGCATGTTGAATCAGGAGAGCTGCTTGGGATGGAGATGACCTGAATCATACTGGCTATATTTGTTATAGCATGCTGGTTATAATCAAGAAAGCGCATGAAATGGGATATCTCTCCTATATTTTCAAATGTAGGGAATCATCAGAGTACAGTATATGCATAGAATAATCAACAATGTCGCACAAAGAACCCCTCTTTCTAGGTCTCCTTGAACTCATAACGACCAACTCGGTCCTGCACTTCCACTTGAATCCGACCCTCCTCAATCTCCTTGCCATTGACCTCGATCGAGGCGTGCATCACATCACCGGCCTTGACCTCACCCACACCCTTGGGGGTACCAGTGAGCACAATGTCGCCCTTCTCCAGAGTCATCACACGAGAGATCTGAGCCAGCTGCTGGGGGATGCGGTAGAGCATCAGACTTGTGGAATCAGCCTGGCGCTCGGTCTCGCCAACGCGCAGGCGGAGGAAGGCATCGTGCGGGTTGGGGATGCGCGACTTGGCAATCGCTTGGGAAATGGGCAGGAAAGTGTCGAAGCCCTTGGCGATTGACCAGGGGAGACCCTTCTTCTTGGCCTCTTCTTGAACATTGCGCGCGGTCATATCAATGGCAAGGACGTAGCCTGAGAACAGCAGTGGCGGTCGGTTAGTGGGATTGAAGGCATGCAGTTGCGTAGAAGCGCAATCACTCACTCTCAATGGCATCCAGCGCACCCTGCTCATCCTCCGGGTCCAGATCCCGAACAGTCTTGCCCATCACCAGACCCAATTCGACCTCATAGTGCAGACTGACGCCCTTGGGGCGGAGAACGGGGCCGCTGTTGGGGAGCAGGATGGAGGAGGCGGGCTTCAGGAAGAAGAAGGGCTGCTTGGGGGTAGTGTTGTTCAACTCGGTAATGTGATCGCTGTAAAACGGTATGTCAGCGCTGGTATTCAGACCGAAGAGGAACACAGTGACGGTAATTGACTGCGACCGAGATGGGTGTCGCGGGGAAGGGCTACGCACGCGTAGTTACGGCCGATGCACATAATCTTGCGGCAATTGGCACGGATGGAGGCCATGTTGGTAGTTTATTGGACTCAAACAGGGGATCAGAATCAATAAGGTGAGAATGTGGAGGGCAGAAAGGTGGATGCGCCGGGGAAGAAGCAGTTAAAGAAGCTGTCGGAAGTCTTCCGTGCTAAGCTCCGGTGATGGCGCAGGTAGTATTGGCGATTGCGGAGAAATGGCCGAGACGTCCGCTTGTATTCTTTTCCCGATTTACGGAGGAGTGGAAGGACTCAGAAGAAGAGGCGATTAAACAAATGCAAAATAAGATTGTTTAATTCTGTCTTTCAAGAACATATAGGTACACATATATCTATATACATAGATCTATATCTCTTATGCTGGTTCTCGAATTATGTGTGTCGGCCCAGCAGGCCGAGTCTCGGCTCGTCCGCCCGAGACGCTTTTCCATAAGAGTCGTTCTGAACTATTTAGTGGATGAGGCCTTTCTAATAAGATGAGAGCCATTCATTGGAATTGCTTTGATGGCTTCAAAAATTGTTCTACTAGTGTACTTTTTTTTGCTCCTTTTTGTGACATTTAGTTCCGAGTATAACCATGTGTATAACCATGAATATATACAGAACCTTTGTCCTTGTAGTCAAACATCGGTCTAGAAATGACACAACGTTCTATGTGATTGACACACCAAGATTGATATCCTGAAATGACATTCTAAATGCTGACCTGGACCCGTATACGAGATAAACCCGCACGACTATGTTACTGCAGCTCTCTCTGCATATCCATCCGAGCCCGGGGAGTTACAGGGCGTCTCCGATGCCCGACGATAAGCAGGTCGGCAACTGTGATAAGAGACTCCAATTGGACTGAGAGGAACAGAATCACGATGAACTCACCAGCAAATTGGAAATTGCTGTAATCGAACTGGCGGCTCCTCCCGACCCCAACTTCTCCAACTATTTCCATCCCTCCAATCGTGTCTCCAAGCGGGGGATTGCCCCTCTCCATTTCCTGTCTGAGAAGGTGCTCATTCGTGTTACTATCATTTGACATTTCCCGTTCGCATTGGTGTGACTCGAGCAACCTCGGCCGAGTGGAAAGATTTCATTAGAAGGCGTAGCCCGCCCAAGATAACAACTTATCCCTCTTCCTCTTTGTGATACCCCCCCATTTCGACACCCCTCTTCCTCCCTAAACTATGCCGCTCAACTCCAAGGCCGTCTACGCCAAATCGGACGCGGCCTATGTGCCCTTTGCTAGTCGGCGAAGCACCGTTCACAGCAAGAATGGCATTGTCTCGTGTACTCAACCACTCGCTGCCGCGGCCGGCCATAAGATCCTGAGCCAGGGAGGAAATGCGGCAGTACGTTTGAACTTGTTCTGTTTGGATGGCCTTGAATAAATTGTTATTTTGATGCTGATCGGAGATCTCCGCTTTTTAGGATGCCGCCGTTGCCGTTGGTAGGCGCCTCGATACTAGCAACGATGTACGATGATGTGATCTAACTTCTCTATCTGTATAGCTGCCGGTCTGAACATGACTGAGCCAGGCTCAACGGGAATTGGAGGTGACATGTTCTGCCTCTTCTACGATGCCAAGACGAAAAAGGTACATGCGCTGAACGGATCGGGCCGATATCCTGGTGGAGCGACTCTGGAGAAAGTCCGCGAGAAATTGAACCTCGCTCCTGGGGCTGAGGGTAGTATTCCCATGCTCAGTGCGCTGGCGACTACCACGCCTGGTGCAGCTGCGGGATGGGTCGATACGATTGAGAAATTCGGTAGCGGAAAGGTGTCCATGGAGCAGATCCTACAACCCGCTATTGACATGGGTGAGAATGGATTTCCCGTGTCGGAACTGTCATCCAATGGTGTAAGTATTGACCATTCTCCTTTTTTTTTGAGAATGGTGTCAGACAGCTAATTCGCTGATAGTGGCAAGAAAGCGAGAATGACATCCGTAATGCATCTCCCAATTTCCGTGAGATGCTTAAGATTGACCCCTCGGCCAAGGATGGCGTGCGAGCTCCGCTTCCCGGAGAAATTATGAAGAACCCCACCCTTGCAAAGACATTCCGCACTTTGGCTGCAGAGGGCAAGAAGGGCTTCTATCAAGGCCGCATTGCAGAGCAGATTGTCAAGGTCGTGAATGACTTGGGCGGTTTGATGACCCTCGAGGACCTGGCATATCACGCCAAGGTCGGCACTCAAGAGACGGAGGCTATCTCTCTCAAGTTCACTGGCCAGGATATCATCTCCAAGCAAAACCCAGGCACCGATGGAGAGGCCAACCAAGGTGTGGAGGTCTGGGAGCACCCACCAAATGGCCAAGGCATTGTCGCCTTGATGGCCCTGGGAATTATGGAGGAATTGGAGCGAACGGGCAAGATCCCTCGTTTCAGCCCAGCTCAGCACAACTCTGCCGAGTATCTCCATGCTGTGATCGAGAGTCTTCGAATTGCTTTTGCTGATGCAGCCTGGTGGGTGGCTGACCCGGATGCAGAGAAGGTGCCCTCAAAGGGCCTCTTAGAACGAGAGTACCTCGCTGAGCGAGCGAAGCTATTCTCCCCTGACCGCGCGGCCGACATCTTGGATCACGGTAGCCCTGCTCACAACCACTGCGATACGGTCTTCTTCGCCGTGACTGACAGTGAGGGCAATGGTATCTCCTTTATTAACAGCAACTACGCCGGCTTTGGTACAGCTATCATCCCTGCTGGCTGTGGTTTCACCCTTCAGAACCGTGGCGCCAATTTCTCCCTGGAGGCTGGACATCCCAATGCATTGGCTCCCCGCAAGCGTCCCTACCACACTATCATCCCGGCCCTAATTACGAACGTTGCGGATGGGTCTCTGCATTCCGTATACGGTGTGATGGGAGGCTTTATGCAGCCTCAAGGCCACGTGCAAGTGCTGCTGAACATGCTTGCTTTCGGATATCACCCCCAGGCTGCGCTGGATTCCCCACGAATCTGTATTGCTGCGCCCACATCGGAAAGTACCGATCGGACTATCTTTGTGGAAGAGGGTATCACCGATGAGGCTGTGGAGGGCTTGCGTCGCCTCGGACATAAGATTGAAGTTTTGACAGAGTGGAAACGGGCTATGTTTGGCCGGGGCCAAATTATTCGTCTCCACTATGATGAGGGGTCGCTTGTATACAGTGCGGGTAGTGATCCCAGAGGCGATGGCATGGCATTCCCTTTACTATAGGGAATGAAATGCATGGTTGATGAATTGATATGTTCCGAGCTCGGTAATATCAGAGCACGAAATTACGGCAGAACGTCCCCTAAATAGAGCATTTTATATAAGGACCATCCCCACAAGTTTATCCCCACATTGTCTTGATAGCTTGCACGGAGGAGACTGTGGAAGTAGCAAGTTAAGCTTAAGCAGCACCACATTTCGGAAACAGATTCCCCGGACATGCCGAATCCGCAAATTCCGAGCGATTGATAATAGGTTGTGGGTTGGCAATAATTGGAAACTGCCATCATTCGTGGATGTGACCTTGTCATGTCTCCACCCACGGTAGAAACATTGCTTTTAATATCCTCTCTGCGGTGTTACAGCCAGCTTATAGAGCAGGCTGGGAAAATAGAGTCGACTATTTCTTACAAAGTCTCTTCAGATCTCGAGTCATCCAATATTAACTTTTTATAAACATCTAGGTTTTGGTCGCATCAATAGTTAAACAGGGCGATGCAAATTAAAGTCGCGGATATACCCGCATCCCCAGAGCAATGGTACAGCTTATTTTGACTTTCCTCTTCTGGGTAGTATATGGGGATTGCAGAGCCGGCGGGATCCGATTCCGCACCTTTTCGCAAGTCAATTAGTGATCAATTACCATGACATGGGCATAGGGCTCGCCCGGAGTATAATTGCGACCTGTCGCTGGATCATCTCTCTCCGCAACGTACACAATGCGGAGACAAGGGGTCTCCAGATGAGTGACGCTGTCTTGGGTCATTATCCCCGGATGTCTACTCCACCAAGGGGGCCCACGCGAGGATGTTGGAAGGCACTGTTCGTTTCAATGGTGTCGGTCCCCGGACCAATCGGAAATTCTGGTTAGGATTTGGGGCAATTCTCGTGCATTTTGATTGACACCTGAGCATGGAGGGATGACAGGCAGTGGATCATGGAGAAAAGAATATTTAATGAGAGTTCGAACCCTCTCGCATATCCAACAAGATCATCGTCTCACGAGAATGGTGACCCTCTCTTATACTGGGTTTCATCTATTCATACCTCATCCTAAAACTCGTTGATTCTGACCACTCGAACCAATCGAGTATCCTTTATTTAAGATGTCTCAAGCACCCCTCGGAGATGGTGACGTGGAGAAACAAGAACCTGGTCCTAACGATCACTTCCGTTCCCACGGCGGTACTCCCCGCCCCAGCCACGAAGAAAAAGAAGGCACAGACGGCGCAGCGGATGGTGGCGCTGACGGCGCACCCCATCCCTCAGGAAAGAGGGAGCTCAAAGAATTGGAATGCTACGATAAACTGGGCTACTCGTTCCCCTGGTGGAAGAAATGGGGCGTGATATCTGTTATCTTCTGTGTCCAGGTCTCGATGAATTGGAACGCTGCATTTTATGCTAGTAGCATCTCGCTTTATGCGAAGCATTTCCATATCTCTGAGCAGGCTGCTCGAGTCGGACAAATGAGTTTCTTGATTGCTTATGCTTTTGGCTGTGAGTTCTGGGCTCCGTTCAGTGAGGAGTTTGGTCGGTGGCCGATTATGCAACTCAGTTTGTTCTTTGTCAATATCTGGCAGCTTCCGTGTGCATTGGCTCCGAATTTTGGAACTATTGTTGTTGCTCGTACACTGGGTGGTCTTTCCTCTGCTGGTGGTTCGGTTACTCTTGGTATGGTCGCTGATATGTGGGAGGCAGAAACTCAGCAGTGGGCTGTTGCTTATGTTGTTTTGTCTTCTGTTGCGGGGTCCGTGATGGCTCCTATTGTGGGAGGATTCGTGGCTACATACCTGGATTGGCACTGGAATTTCTGGATCCAGCTTATTCTGGGAGGATTTGTGCAGATTCTTCACTTCCCAATGCCGGAGACCAGATGCAGTATTCTGATCACTCGGGAGGCTCGACGACGACGAAAGAATGGCGAGATGGTCTGGAGCGGCGATGAGCTGAAAGGAAAGCGACTCTCTTTCCGATACCTCTTTATGGTGTGGGCGCGACCATTCATCATGTTCCTTCGAGAGCCAATTGTGTTGTGTTTGTCTCTGCTCAGTGGCTTTAGTGATGCTTTGATCTTCACTTTCCTGCAGTCGTATACACCGGTATATAAGCAGTGGGGGTTCAACACGATTGATATTGGGCTTTCGTTCATTCCGTGAGTTTTCCATTCTTCGATGCACCTTTTATTGCATCTTGACCTCTGCTAATCTGAGTCGTTAATTAGCATTCTCGTGGGATACATCCTTGCCTATTTGTCATTCTTACCGTGGATCCATCGCCATTGCAGAGTACAAGAAAGAGATCCGGATGGATTACTGCCCGAGGCTCGACTGCATTGGCTGTTATGGGGTACGCCGTTCGAAAATAATTCATAGTTGAAGTTGATTTCCAGCCACTGACTCATTCACAGTCGCACCTCTCTTATCAATCGGACTGTTTGGGTTCGCATGGACGAGCCTGGGGCCGCCTCACGTCCATTGGATAGCGCCCATGATATTCTCCACCTTGATTGCTATAGCTAATGTAAGTTGTCAAAGGACCATATGGGGGTATGACCCGTGATGACCATCAGTTTAGTTCTCCATTTACATGGCCACCATCGACTACATGATAGCATCTTATGGCCCATACTCAGCATCAGCAACCGGTGGCAACGGTTTTGCCCGCGACTTTCTCGCAGGCATCGCAGCCATGTACTCGGTACCCAGTAAGCTTTCTTCTGCTGCTAACAAGGTGGAATTCCACTACTGTCCGCGAATTATATCTAACAAACGACAGTGTATCAAAACATGGGAACGACACACAGATTGGAATGGCCGTCGACATTCTTGGGCATCATGGCAATCATATTCACGATCCCCATTTATATCTTTTACTTTTATGGACCCAAGATTCGGGAACGTTCCCCGTTCGCGCAGACTCTGGCTGCAGACAGGAAGAAGACTGGGCGGAGGGTTTCTCAGTGCGGTTCTGGCGATCCGGATCCTGTTCAGCGATATCTGTCTGGGGATTCGGCGTGAGTGTGTTGTTTGGAATGAAGTATGGGTGTTACAGAGGAGGTGGCAAAGCTGCGTTGCAGTTTTCAACATCAAAATTTGTTCGATTCAATTATTAGTTATCGAGGCCAGAATCGTCTGGGAAACACAGATCAGGTGTTGCACCCGTTTCCTACTTGTTCTGATGAGAACCGATGCCTTCATATGATGAAGCGCGGAGCGATTTTGTTGAGATTGTGTTCTATATCTATAAATGATGCTAGTGTCCACTCCATGGACAAGCCGGCAGGTGAAACAAGCTGTCTTGATGCTTGAGCTTACTCTGTTGCATTGTTGGTATTGAGGAATCTATTGCCGGGTCTCAACGGGCTCTCCGTCCTCACTTCAAGCAACCAACAATCTATCAAGAAATATTGTGAGCTAATTCTAACGCTTCCCGAGTGTCGTTAAAATAATTCGTAAGTTATTCAACGAGGCTGCCAGGAAATAGTCTTCGCAAGAGGCCCACCACGATCATAAGTGACCAGCGCAGTATGGTGATCCAGTGCCAGCACTCCTGGCCAGAAGCTGGAGGCCGGCGAAATAACCTGGGGCTCACTCCAACGAACCTGGCCATTTTGAGGTGGACCCGCGAAAACGGCCTTGATAGACGCATGCTTGACCCAGTCTACCTGATGTGAATCCTCATCAGTCATGAACACAACCACCATGGAGCCATCTGCAAATCCAGAAATCTGCGGTGACCCCGCATTATGTCCTTGGCGGGGTCGGAACACTTCATGCCGATTTTGCCAGGTTGCGCCATCGTCGTACGAGATCAAGGCTTCGACGTTAAAAGGTCCGTATCTAGTGGTCTCAAAGACCATGACCAATGCCTCGCGACCATTGTCAAAAGTAGTCGCGATTCCATTCATACCGTCGCGTAAGGGGTCTTGGTCCCCGTGTAGACAGACCGGCTGGCTCCATGTGCTACCTTGGTCATGTGTAACGACAAGCATGGTACATTGATTGTTGTGGGCGAACTCTTGCGAGTAGGTTAATTGCACCTCGCCCCGTCGACCGAGTCGCATGAAAGGCTCCCATATTCCAAATGGGGGGCTCTTCTCTGCTGCCTGGGCTGCGAATTGCCAGGTACGCCCTCCGTCCATGGACCTGCAGACGGTAATCCGGAAATGCGTGGGACCATTAGGACCTAGATCGTGATTGCGGAAAGCTGCCAGAACTACCCCGGGAGACGCCTCGAGGAGGAACATGTTGTCCACATCACCGGTCGCCCGCGTTACTTCGGAGAAGTTCTCAAAGGTGCGTCCATGGTCGGTGCTACGGGCAACACAAAGGGCATGTTGCCCATCCGGGAAGCGGGTGAAGGAGGATAGGATAGAGCCATCGGAGAGTCGAGCTAGGCGGGGATAGGTACCATTGTTGGGAGGTGAGGAGAGCGGGCGCTCATCGTCGTGAATGAACCCACAACCCGGTAGATGGTGGCCAGTCGGTGCAGGTGGGTAACCCTGTTGGCCTTGCTGGTCCTCATGGCCCACACCTAAGGCGTTCAGTACTTTCTGACGGAAATGTCCAGGCATCGTGATGATGGCGATATTGCTTGTGTTTAGGGGAGAGTGAGGGTGAAAAGAAGTTCTGAGATGCTGGAGGGTGAATGTTACGTCATGGCCGAGCCTTGTTGGAGAGTCTCTGTGGAGATGGTGGAGATGGAGACGGGAGAGATGAGATACCTGAAGAATGGACGCAGTCTGAAGAGTGTAAACAATCTCTGCGCAGTGAGGGATAACGGTGAATATATCAGTCAGCAATCATCTTGAGACTTGAAGTGATGATCCCTCTGCCTTGTTCTTCGTCCATCCCGAAACTCCGCTTCACCACCAACACCAAGACCAGCCAGGGTCCTCATCGTGGACAGTTTATTCCCACGGACAATTGATTGCACCGAACGACACGATAAGCAGGATCAACGTGACCAAAAAGGCTATTTTTCAGTCCGTATTTACGGTGTTAAGGAAGAAAAGGAGTTCGGTTTTTGCAGAGATCGAGGGTCCGGACTTATCGCCGTGTAATCTCCGCCCGTTCCCAATGGTTTGCACGTCACCATTTGACTACCTGGACAGAAAGTTTCGAAGAAGAATATAAAAAGAATGGAACAGTTCGTGGGTGAGGGTATTTGATTCAACTCAGACACTACTCAAACATCAACATCATGGGCTTCCTCTACTCTCAACTCTTTGTCCGACCGACATATCCCACCCGGTTATTCGAGGGCCAAACAGTCCTTGTCACTGGTGCCAATGTGGGACTGGGCCTCGAGGCTGCTCGCCATGTCGTCCGACTGGGTGCTGCTCGAGTGATTCTGGGGGTGCGCAATGTGCCTGCAGGAAATGTAGCCAAGGAAGAAATTGAGACTTCGACGCGCCGCCCTGGAGTCGTCGAAGTATGGGAGGTAGACTTGGCCTCTTACAGTTCGACCCTGGCCTTTGGCGATCGAATCGCCCAGTTGCCGCGCCTCGATGCTGCAATTCTCAATGCAGCTCTAGCCACGCCGACCTTCCAACTGGCTGAGGGCTATGAACGATCCATTACCGTGAACGTGATTAACACGCTACTTCTCGCACTCCTCATTCTTCCACGACTGAAGGCCACTGGACAAGAGTTCCCAACATCCCTGCCCCGTCTCGCCTTTGTGGTTAGTGAAGTCCATGCATGGGTGGAGTTCCCTGAGTGGAAAGACACAGACAAGGTCATGCAGATTCTGTCAGATCCTGCAAAGGCCAAGATGGCCGAGCGATATCCCCTGTCAAAGTTGCTGGAGGTGCTGCTCGTGCAGGAGCTGGCTGGTCGAACCCGCGGCTCCGATGTGATCATCACAATGGTCAATCCGGGCCTCTGTCATTCAGCTCTTGGTCGAGAGGCGGGCTGGGGACTTTTCATCATGAAGCTAGTACTTGCGCGATCGACTGAAGTGGGATCTCGCACCCTGGTCGCTGGAATCTCCACCGGTATCGAGGGTCACGGTGCCTACATGACGGATGCTACGGTAGATAATACCAGCTTGTCTCCATTTGTGCGCAGTGAAGATGGCCGCCTAGCTCGAGAAAAGCTTTGGAAGGAACTATCAGCCATCCTCGAACCGATTCGACCTGGGATTATGCAGAACATCTGAATTATGTCGGAAAGTTGAATCATGAACAGCATGGGTAATTGTGAATATGATTGTTTCTGTTATTAATGCGAGGAAGTTCCTCTTGTACCATAGTCATAATCAACTACACTTGATTTAGCAATTCTGAAAATTGAGACTCTGGGTTCATTGAACGACTTGGGCATACATACTGCAAGTTCAACCACGACGGGACTAGATCGGGGAATTTCAGCTTGTGCAATGCGGGAGACACGTTCGAGTCATAACCAATTAGCACCCCGAGTTCCCTCTCGGGGGATCTGCACCTGGTAGTCACCTAATTTAGAGCGGGGATTTTATCTGCATTGCTTCTCCATCGTTCGCTGTCATTGGCAGAGTTCGACCGGCAGGAGTTGCCCCGTTTGTGCTGCATGGTTTGTGACAGCTGCAGCTATCAGCCAGCCCGCTTACAAACAGAGCCGCTAAGAGCAAACAACACCTCGATCTGGACATCGCATGGCGCGAACGAGTGGGATATGTGAGTTCATGCTGAATTACGAGTCGTGGCGCCTGCGACTTAGGATATTCTGAATCCCCCCCTTGTTCATCAGGTCACAACAGGCACCAATACTCGTCACCATGACAGAGTCAACCTTAGCCAGCCATACCCGCCATACCCATGCCGGTGAAACGCCCCTTCAGCTGAAGAAATGTGGAGGTACAAGTTCATAATCCGCGAGTGTCCTAGTAGTTGCTGTGCGGATAATTTTGTTTTCTCTGTTCAAGCCTGATACAAACACTCAGCCACCATGGCTCCTATACTGTTAGACTCCAATAATGCTGATACTCAGAGCAATGGAGTGTCAAAGCTCCAGGAGCCACGGTCGGGACTGGAATTGGTGCTTAATGAACGCTGGCAAAGTCTTCTGTACTTGATCGAGGCGCTTGATGCTCCAACTGCCATCAAAGACGAGCATTTTGATGTTCAGCTTCAGCGAGTGCTACAATTGGCATGGGTTGTCACTATGCGCGCCTTTGCATCCTCTACAACACTCTATGTGGGACAGAAATACCTCAAAGGCCAGTGCTTTGTTGGCGAGACACAAGACTGTGCTGAATCTACGACTCAAATCCATGTCGATACTTATGAGACACTGCAGAATCTCTTCGCGCAGATGATCAAAAGTCTCGAAGCGATATCGCCAAAACTTTTGACAACCCATGTCAATGGATTTTCCAAGACCGTTGATGCCCGTGCCATGTTCAATACTACTATTATTTACCGGCAACAACCAATACGTGGGTCTGAAAACGGGGTTAAAGCCTGCATGAACCGATGCCACTCTTGCTGTCCACAAGCCATTTCTGAATACCTGGACGATGAGGTTCCTGTATCGGGACTTCGACTGGACATTCAACGAACCACCAACAATCATCTTGTCGCTCGACTCGACGGGGGCATCACTTTCAGTAACCCACCATTGGCCACTAGCTTACTACGTAGCTTCAACCAGGCCCTCTCGTCAATCGTGTCTCTCCCAAAACAATCTATTGGCACGGTTGAACTGTGCTCGATGCACGACCGTGAGCATATTAGTAGCTTTACTCGCTCGCTTGCACCGGCTCAAGATGCACTTCTGCATGACCTTTGCTTGCGACATGCCACAACAACCCCTGATGCACTTGCCGTTCGTTCCTGGGATGGCGATCTCACCTATCTCCAACTCAATGATTATGTCTGCAGACTAGCTCACTGGCTATCTGGGAAGGGAGTTGCACCGGGGGTCTTTGTCGCATGTACTTTCTACAAATCGACATGGGCGATTGTGGCCCGTCTAGCAATTCTCATGGCTGGGGGTGCCTATCTTTGTGTGGATGCCCGCGATCCACCCCCATACCTGGAGTCAGTCTTGGAGAGAAGCCGCATTCAAATCATGTTGACCTCGACGGGCTTTGCTCAGAAATATGCAAAAAAAGTGGATGTTCATTTTGAAGTGAGCGAGTCGTCTCTCCAGGCCCTTCCGTCGTTCCCTGATAATCCTAGCTCTACGGTCACACCGAATGATGCCTGTGTGGTACTTTTCACATCTGGCAGTACTGGTAATCCCAAGGGAATTATCCAAGAGCACCGGAGCTATGCATCTGCGCTCACTGATTACATCCGTGTCATGGGGATGGGACCGCACTCCCGACTGTTTCAATTCGATGCATACGCATTTGACATCAGCAATAATGACCTTCTCGCTCCTCTAATTGCCGGTGGCTGCTGTTGTGTACCCACCAAATCCATGACCATCCCTGCACTGATGAGGGACCTGGATGAGCTGGAGGCTAACATAATGTTTGTGACGCCATCAGTGGCGGTTGAGATGGATCCCGATCTCGTCCCAACACTTAAAACGATGTGCATTGGTGGAGAGCCTCTATCCGATACTGTTTTAACCAAGTGGATGAGCCGTGTCCGTGTGATCAATCAGTACGGAATGGGAGAAGTTGCATCTCTCTGTGCTCATAACCCCAATCTTCAGCTTGGTCGTGGAGCCGTCGTTGGGCGCCCGGCTAGTGGAGCTATCTGGATTGTTAGCCCTGACACTCCAGATCAACTTATGCCCGTCGGCGCCGTGGGAGAGCTTCTCATTGAAGGACCTCATATCTCGCGGGGGTATCTCGATCATGTATCGGGTAAATCGGAGAACTTTCTCGCTACACCTCCAACCTGGATGGCTCAGATTCATTCCGACCGCCCATCACATCGGTTCTATCGCTCAGGCGACCTAGGCCGGTACAACCACGACGGCACAATCGAGCTCATCGGCCGGAAAGACACTATGCTGAAACTTGACGGTGCGAGAGTAGAAGCCGGCCAGGTCGAATTCGTTCTTCGCAAGCACCTATCCACAGGCGACGTCGCATTGGTGGACGTTCTCGGCACCGTGGATGGAGTCAGCGAGCGCATTATCGGCGTCTATCTCTACCTCGCCAATAACCCAATGAATTTCGAAGAGGGCCCCGTGGAAGAAATGCAATTTCGGGCAATTAAGGACCGCCATGCCATCTCCTCTCTTACACAGGCTATGAGCAATGAAGTTCGACAGAGTCTGCCCCGGTATTATATTCCCAGTTTGTTTTTGCTTATTGAGCGTGTGCCGCGCACTAAATCGAAGAAGACTGATCGGCGAAAGCTCCATATGCTGGGGCAGGCTTATTATATGGCTCATCGGGAGGAGTTGAAAGATATTATTCACTGGCCTGAATGGGTTTGATTGTGAGATCCACGCGCGGCGCTCATTGGGATGGGAGTAATCAAGTATTCATGTTTTTATGCTTTTGAGTTTTTGTTTACGATGTCTACAATTTCTGAAATGCATCCCCTCATACTTAACCGATTAGGCTCCTGGCTCGTGTTGGATAGGTATCCTGATGACAGTCCTTCGGGGTCTTTTATCACGGATCCCTCAGCTATTAAGAAAGACGGTTCAAAAGATATTTAGAAAGATCTTTCACCAAAGGGAAAGTTAAAGGGTATAGATTTACATAGCAAACCTGTTTCTCCAGTCTAGATATCAAGGATGCTATGGATGTACCTATTCTTCACTTTGTCCAGAAGGGGTACAGTTACTAGTATGTCGTGCGAAAGCACAAGTTGCCGGGCGATTAGCTCCACCTTAAACCTCCATCCCCAGGGTTTGTGCCCTTCGCTCCATACATGTTGTCTTGAGGTTTTGTTACGAGATATTTGATAAATCCATATATTTTTTCGAGTATAAAGCATAGTCCACGTAATTGCCCCTTGTTCGTTTCTTATGTTAATCTGGTTCCATCTTGGCGTCCTTCCTGTCTGGTTCAGAAAAGGACGATCAAGAGCAATAATGAGACCAGAAACAATCAAGACCATGAGTCAAACTCTAAGATGGATCGGATACCAAGCCCACTCCACCCGGCCAGAGTTTCGTCGGACTTACCTTGGATATTCCGAGGTATTGCCTGACATGCTGAAATACACCTATCAATTCGATCGCTTTCGGAAAGGATCCTCTCCAGGAGGATATCACCTGCAGCTTATACGCACGTTGAACATGCAGCAGGTCGTTCCTTGTCTATAAAAGTCGAGGAGACCAACTCGAACCTATAGACATGGTTCTTAGGAATCAGTATCTCAGCACTCCACCCTGTGCTCACCCTTGAACAACGAAATGATATCATTCATCCCCCAAGGTGGGGCCCAACGTAGAACGAGTAGGCCACCCGGCGATCAGGGGGACTTTTTTTGGATATCATTCATGGATAATTCCACACTACTGCATACCCGGGAAATTTGCAGTAATAAAGTATGGATCTTCACAGAGAGCCTCATGTCTACTCAAGCTCAAACACAGCCAAGACCTATCCGCTATCGTACCTGCACCACCCGTCTCAAGTCGACGATCAATCCTGATCCATCCACAATGAGGGTATATAGCAAGCTCGGTCTCGCACCGAGAACATGCCTGTGTTCCAACATCATTCTTTCCCTGGCCATTGAGGGCACTTTCTTTTCATCACTCTCTACATTCGTTCTTTGATAGACTGCTGGTACAGTCATTTTCCCAGAGTATCATTCCTTATATCTATCTCATTTCTTTCTTTTCTACGATGACCCTCCAAAGAACCATCCTAGTAGCCTTTGCGCTCTTGGGAGCCACTGTTCAGGCTGCAGGCGTTTCCGGTACTGCCTTTGGTTTCGCGACAGGTACCACTGGCGGCGGCAATGCGACGCCCGCCACGCCCAGTGACATCTCGCAACTCACCGAGTAGTTGACCGACAGTACTCCTCGAGTCATCCTAATCGACAAGGAATTCAATTACCTGAACAGCCAGGGCAAATGCACTGACTGCAAATGCTGCATTCCAACTCGTGTGGTAGCTCGGGCCAGAATGCTATCGATCTGGACTCGTCGTCCTGGTGTGGAAGTATCCGACCACGCCTTGTGCCTATGACAAGGCTGCTATTGAGGGTATCAATGTGACCTCGAATAAGTCTATTGTGGGCGTTAGTAGTACCGGTGTCATTCGAGGCAAGGGTCTACGCCTGTTGAATGGTGTTAGCAGTGTGATCATTCAGAATATTCATATTACTGAGCTCAACCCCCAGTATATCAGGGGTGGTGATGCTATTATCCCGGGATGGCACCGACAAGATCTGAATTGACCATGTCAAGATCTCCTTGATTGGTCGCCAGATGTTTGTGGCTGGATTTGAGGCTAGTAAGTGCAAAAACTGGAATTCTTCCATTTGAGATATCGTTCACCGGGCATCGAGGTTAATCTTATACATTCAGGCGGGCGTGTCACTATCTCTAACAGTGAGTTTGACGGCCAGACAACTTGGTCTGCTTCCTGCGACGGTCACCACTACTGGACAGTGTATGTTTTCCATCACGGTTTTTTAGAGCTCTTTTGTCATCTCCTGATCTCGGCTAACTATGATCCCAGTTTGGGCTACGGTAAAAACGACAAGGTGACATTTACTGGCAACTACATCCATCATACCTCCGGCCGCTCCCCCAAGTTGGAGTTCAACAGCTACTGGCACGTCTACAACAACTTCTGGTTCAACAACACCGGCCATGCCTTCGACGTTGGTGAAGGTACCAAAGCTCTTATCGAAGGCAACGTCTTTCAACAAGTCAAGACTCCATTTTTGGAAGACAGCTCCCCCGGAAAGACCTTTGCCGTCACCTCGAGCGACAAGTCGACTTGTGATTCTAAGCTCGGTCGTACATGCGCTGTCAACACTTTTACTTCCTCCGGTACTCTATCTGCCGGCGATGAGACTGTCCTGTCTAGCTGGCCAAGTGGCGAGTCTGGTATCGACGTTCTGGACGCCGACCAAGTCAAGTCCTCAGTGCTAAGCAATGCTGGCATTGGAAAGCTCAGCAGCTCAAGCTCTTCCAGGAAGGTCCGTCAGTTCGATGTTCCTGCCCCATTGGCTCCTGTTCTCTCCTCTGCGGATCCTGGAGCTACTCCTTGTGCAACGCCCAGTGGTGCTGCACCCACCTAAGTGGACCTGGAAGACTATCGGTGTCACGCCTACTCCTCAGCCTAGTGGTCCTCCACCTCCTCCTGAGCCCAGCCACGGTGCTACTGGTAGTTCCTTTTTGGCTTCTTCTAGAGTGCTTACACTGTGGGGTCTAAGATGATCAGTCCTAGTATTGGGCAATGATCTCTACTCTACGTTATTGCCGTCATTCAGAAGTACGGTCTTGATTTTAATTTATCTTCTTTCGGTCAGGAATGCTTTCGAGGATTGATTTACGAGTCTATTCTTAGTCTCTGTTGAGAATCAGCCGGCTACCCGACTGATTTATTTACATTCTTGAGGCTACCCGGTGGCGGCCTCCTTTCTCATATGGCTCCCCATGTCGGCATGGTGCCTCGATCAACTTTTTGATCCATAGATGTGTAGAATCGTCTTCGATCACACCCAGAGTGATTTTTGCTATCACTTCCTTCTTTGATTTCCTCAACGTTCCCTGTTTCATCGCCTGTAGTGGCTTTTGCGGTGTTGAATCAACTCGCGCCAGTAGTAGCTCTCTGTATGCATGAGAACGCTCCCGCTGGAGCTCGGATGGGTGTAAGGTGAGCCCACCACCGGAATAAATGGCTGGCAATACTAGCCCGGCCCTGTGTGGTATAGGTGACTATGCATGCCGTGATCTTCACAGATTTCTGGCTGTCTGAATTTAGCCACCACAGTTCCCCGCCTTCTGGGAAGGACAGAGAGGACGATGGTCAATGAGGCGCGCTGGACTGTGTGTGCTTGATGAATATTTCCCAGATGAAATCTTTCTTCAGCGATACAGTCTTCATTGGTTGTATGTCCAACCGATCGGGTCTGCTGGGATGAAAGCGCCCTGCATCTCCCGAAAGTTGTGCATCTCATGTTCTCCTTGAGCGGGGCCAAGCTGGTCCGCGCCGATAGTGAACCCGGCACTTGCATCTACCGGCAGCCAGTTGGATGTTTGGCGGGTACTTCCGTCTGGCATTTCCAGAGTTGTCGGATACTCTTCGTCTTCAAAGTGACATGAAGAATTGGAATAGGCAAGCCTATCTGTCATTGTTGTATTTGTGTTGGGGGAGCCCGGCGATCGAGATGATTGCAAGTCTTCGGCGTCTTGGTCGGTCTCCCAGCGGCCAAATGAGGCATGGCTGGTCTCTGGTGTCCCGCACGGGTCGGAGATGGGAGACCCTGGGAAAGCTGGGAAATTTGTGGGCTGCACCGATGGGGTCATGAAGAGGGCTCGTTGAGTGGCCATCAGGGAATTCCACCGTTGTCGCTCTACATCGTGGACTAACGGGTCGGCATATAGTTGTTGTTGATCATAGACAGGGCTAGAGAAGTTAGCACCATACGAGACATTTAATTTCACACCGTCGAGCCCCCAGGTTGCTTAGTATTTACCTTGAGTCCTCCCAGTTCTCCCACTTGCCGCCAGCAGAGTGGATCGTCAGGCCCGCCTCCACCCACGATTGCGGATACCGTTGGGTCTCCGCCACTTTTGAGTATTCGCCCTTAGCATTCCAGCCCAGCTGGTCCGCCATCCATGGGTCAAGATCACCTTGCACAGCAAAGGGGAAGTCCTGATTTCCCATCATGAAGCTCGGACGGAGCTCTTCGTGGGCCACGATGGGTACCAGACCCTCCGTCTCATGGCTAGGAGCGTCCGTCACGCACCAGGGCTCCAATTCGTACCCAGAGGCCATGCTTGCGAGTTTGTATTCTCCAAGATTTGGAGAAAAGGTCGAACAAAGTGTTTGCGGTAGCGAGACAATGAAAATATGAGCGACAATGAAACTATTCACAATCACAAATAAAAAAGCAAATGTATAGACTTCAACGCGATGCGATCATCCCGCGCGTAGAAAAAACAAATTCCCCGCAAACCTGGGGACATCCTGGCCGACGGTTTAAGTAAAAAAAAAAAAAAACTCCAGAGAGCTAAAGACTAAAAGCGAAACTCGAAATTGCGGAGAACCTGCAAGCGACATGAGCAAAAGCTCCGAAGCGAACAGCTCGAGGCGGCAAATTGCAGTCATCGGCACGGCAGGATCCCTGGAAACCGATGCAAATGCTGCAAATACTGCAAAGGGGAAGTCAATTAACCGAGTTTCTCCCAGACTTCCCCGGATTGTGGCCCACGGATCGAACCGAGCGTTAATTGAACCCAATTCGATGCGCCAATCGGCGCATTCTACCACGGCTTCGGCAAGAACATGTTTTAACCGACCACAATCCCCCGCAAAGCAGAAGAAACCCTACCGAAGGGGCTGATGCGGAGTAACCATTGTTCAGGGATCAGGAACCCCAGAACGGCGAATCGACCGCTGGAGACCGGGGAAATGGAGAAAAATGAGCCCAGCTGGGCTCATAACGTGATCATCAACTGATCATGCTTGATCATACATGAGACCTTCCCTTCTTGGTACGGTGTTGACCCTCTTCACGCAAGGTACATTCATCTCCATGCGGAGAAGAAGCGCCCGGGGCCTGTCGATCGAATCTATGAATCCAACAGGGGATTTTAGCCAGCTGCCAGCCCTCGTGCAGGCTGGCATTTTACCGTGCAATTTTAATTCATTGCCGAGCGTGTATATTGACTTGCAGGCTTCTAAAGAGCTCTAGAAATGGGCTGAATAGTCGCTTTGGTAAAGAATAGCCGGTTGGGCCTCGACAGACAAGGCGTATACAACCTGAGACTATTAATCTTCAAGCATTTATTTAGAATCGTTCTCGCCCATGGGTGAGATCCTCTCTAGATCTCTCTCGATCAAACAGACCCACTCCTGTTAAGTTCTCTTGTACGGAGTAAAGTCTCTAAAGATCTGCACAACTGTGGACCAGAATGAACTGAACCACCTGACCAAGGCAAACCCATGAGAACAATTTTGTGGATTCAGCGATCGGTTCTAGAAAGGCTTAGTGGAACCTTTGCAGTGGCAAGCTCTCAGCTGGGAGTACTTGTGGCAATAAACAAGAGCACTTCGCAAGCCACTACTATGGCTGAAACGAGCTTTGCCTTACATGGACTACCATATGGTCGGTAACTTCAGCCGATGCCCCAGTATTTACTCGTGAGGAGTTGAGAACATGTTATGCAGACCCACTGCAGGATAGTTAAGATCACAACCTTACGCTCACCCTCAGTATTATCCTTTACGCTTTGCACGGAACAACAACCGTGTCGCATAAATTCTAGCATATATTGGGCTATATCTGTATACCTTGAGAGTATAGCCCTGGCACCTTGGTGGAATCGATGTTAGGTGAGTACCAGCCCCTAGCACTATGATTGGGATAGGTGCGCATTACATCCGTATATCGATGTTCAGAACGATGTTCAAAACGACTTATCCATTCAGATGTGATATACGACCAGCCTCTGATTTGTATGGGCAAGGACGACTCCCGTTCTATGGTCACCTGAACGTGGTCGAAAGCTTCCCCTCTGCGGGGAAGTTGAACGAATGCATGACACGCCATTTAATCTCCCGCCTACTCAAGGAACCACACTTCAGACAATCTGAGCCATTTTCTGGCCCTGTATACATCTACATAACAACATTGTATATTATAATCCTCATGATGCTATGAATGCAATTGCATAGCTGATTACAATACTTTGTTGATCAAGTGATCTTTGCGGGGTCCTCACGCTCCACCAGCCGAAGCCGAGGTCGAACATCTGCTTGCCGAACACCATCTATAAGCTCATATATCCCCAACCAACAATAGTTTCAAAGTTGGTATTGGTCAGAAAAATCAAAGAAATAACTTCTCTGTCTAATTTCAAGCTAGAAAATCTCATATCCGCACACCATGATCTTCGACCCAGCCCCCATCGAGCTCCCGGCCTCGTACGAGACTGTCCCAACGTCCGGTCATATCAAAATCTCGCATCACCCAGCTGGTGCACCATCAGTAACCCCAGTCATCGTCGTTACTCTCAACCGACCGGCCAATAACAATGCCTTCACTGGGCAGATGGTCTATGATTTCGAAAAGTTCTTCCCCATGTTCGACGTCGACGAACGGGTCAAGGTTATTGTCTTAACGGGCGCGGGCAAGATCTTCTGTGCCGGTGCGGACTTGGATATTGGCTTCAGTAGCAACCGAGAACGTCCAGCTGATCACCGTGATGGGTAGGTTGACACCTTGTTCCTTCGAAGGGGGCCATTAGGTGCTAATGAAACTAGCGGTGGACGTGTTGCACTAGCTATCCATCGCTGCCGCAAGCCAACTATCGCAGCTATGCAGGGCTCTGCTGTGGGAGTTGGGATGACCATGACTCTACCAGCTGTTATTCGGTGAGTCCCTCAAGCCGTCTTTGGCAACGACCTTGTCCGAGGCTAACGTGACTAGTATCGCCTACGAAAAAGGAAAGTACGGCTTCGTGTTCGGTCGGCGCGGCATCATCATGGAATCTTGTTCCTCCTATTTCCTGCCTCGCTTGATCGGCTTCTCGAATGCCAGCTATCTCGTGAGCACTGGTGGTGTCTTTCCACCCAATTCGAAGCATTTCGGCGATTTATTCAATGAAATTCTGCCCGATCCCTCACAGGTTCTACCCCGGGCGCTCGAACTAGCCTCGGAGATTGCAGAAAATGTCAGCCCGACGTCGCAGTATCTTAACCGTGCCCTGATGTGGCGCAATCCTGGGACTGCAGAGGAGGCTCATCTGTTGGAATCGGCTGTCATCTGTCACACTTTTGGCTCAGAGTATGTGGCCCCCGTTCTTGCCTAGGCAGCTTAGTTGTTGATATCTTGTTCCGCTGACAATGGTATAGGGATCAGAAAGAAGGTGTCAAGGCCTTTTTCGAGAAGCGTAAACCAACTTTCCGGGCGAATTTGGATGATGACCCGCCTGTTAATATGCCATGGTGGAGTGAAGTCGATACCGGGCGAAACCCAAAGGCAAAGGCTCCGTCAAAGTTGTAAATGTCTGGTTTCTGCAAAGACTGCTCTGGCTTTAACTGTCCAGGATTACGCACCTCGATATCACAATGCATTCGACATGATTAACAGGCTATAGTCAGCAAGTAGAACATCATTGGTCTCATAGATGCATGGGAAAAATATCATCTTAGTATCTTGCACTTGGATTCTGTATTTTGCGGTTTCGGAATAATCGTACCGCCACTAGGGATCGATTTACGGTTGGTGGCCGTGTTCGTTGCCAGCACAATATCTTGACTTAAATGACGAGGTCAAATACTATCACGAGGGAGGTAACAAGGGGAAATTACAAATAAAACCCCCAGGCATCACGAAATTTCAAACGAAAGAGATAAGAGAAATGGGAGTTCATTGACGGTGATACCAAAGATCATTTTCAAGTACATTGCAATCTCCCGGCTTGCCCGCGTCGCTAATGAGGTTAAAAATCAAAACACCGATTCCATAGAAAAGAGAAATTTGCCCTGCTTGGGCCAGAATCCGCCGAATCCAGGCAGTTTGAACCGTATACACACAAATAAAAGAGAAAGAGCTGATGCCTCTCCATCATCTCAAGGTAGGAGCGAAATTAGGCAATGAAGTTACGGCGCTTGCGGTTGTATGCTCGCTGATCCTTGAGCCACTGTCGGTATCCCTGCACGCTGCCAATCTTTTCGCCGTAGTAATCGGGGACAGGGTTCGCAATCGAGTTGGTGGACGGGTCAACTCGGAATCGCTTGATACGGTCGAAGAACTCTTTCTCTTTCTACGACAGCGGGAACAGGTTGTTAGTCCAACTTCAAGCTTCGATACGAGTTCGTGAAAAACTTACTGTTGCCACGGAAGGCTTATACCGGCGGTAAACCAAGCCCCAGACACCATTGCCAACAGCTGGGCCAACCAACCAGCCAATAGCACCACAGGCAGCGGTCGCCATACCGAGAACGACGAACGGATCCAGGCCCATCACCTGGGCACCCAGAGACTCCAAATCCTGCGATGAAAGAACCTGCACACCGACCGAGGTAGAGACGAGGGAGCTAATAATCGAGGACGACAGGGAGTAGCGACGGCGAGAAGCTCGGAGCTTGAAAAAGGAATCCCAGTCGAGCTTCACCTCATCCTTGGCCCCTGCAGAGGTGGACTGCGCACGCAGACCAGCTGGGCGGCTCTGTGAAAGGGTAGAAGCTCGAACATGAGGTCGGAGGTCCTGGTTTTGGATGGCACACGACGGACGGACGGCAGTCGAGTGGAGGCGAGCAAGTTGCGCCGATGCTCCTTGTGAGCCAATTTGAGAGGTACGGGCGACGGCACCGGCCGTAGAGAGGCCCATACGGCCAGTGAAAATTGAGCGAACGGACATGCTGACAGAACTCGAGTGTATCTTTTTCGCCGCGGAGTCGTTGCAAACCAGAGATTGCGTTGTTAGCAAGGGAAGTTGACAGAGCTGCCCTGGAACAGCGGTTACGTAATCTGACCCATGCGAGAGGGAATTGATAGGGACACAACAGCTTTTTACTACTGGCACAACAATTATGTAATACCCGCATCACATAATCAATTTTGCCAAGAATCTTTACCATACATTACCGCAGCAACTGCATTACTTACCACTATAGCAACTACATTCTATCAACTGCTACTACTATAAGAGCTTCTCTTTCACTGATTCCATTTCATATTATTTACATAGCCTATTATACCCTGCATGAACGAATTGTATGGCCAATTTCTCCGCAATTCGAGCACTTTGATGGCACTTTCTTTTTGATAACCCTTTGATCTGATGTGTTGTTGTCTTGGTTTTGTTTCCTTTGTGGCAGTGATAATATAGGCTCAAGTATTGGCAGATACTCTGATACCTCATTATCATAATCGATTCGCCAGAATTGATGAATATCGCTTAATGGAATTGGCTGATGTGTTGATAATAAGCTAGCGATTCGGTGAGCACATGGAAGGCCCATTGTCCTAGTGAATATATTAGTACAGTTAGATAGTGGTGCTTCAGGGGTAGCTCTCTTAGCTATATAAGCTTGATTAGAGATTAAGGATATTGAATATCGGGATGTTCTCTTTGTAATATTCGAATAGAGAAAGTGTGAGCAGAAATTTAGCGTTTTAATCCGATCTTCTGCAAGATCAGACGAAAGGTTATAATGTTGAGCTTCTAATGCATTGTTAATTCGTTCAAAAACAAAGAGTATATCACCTGTTGATCCCCCTATATACTTTTTTAAAATAGCATGAGAGCCTTCTACTCGTGAGGTTGCCCAATTTCCAAAATGAAGATATTGCCCTACCCACGCCCTAATAAACATCTCTTTATAGGTTAGCCAGGTATTTTTTACATATCGAAGAGCAGCAGGGGCAATTTGACTAAAATTAGTCTCAAACTTAGCTAGTTGATCTTGATATTCAAAAGTAGTGGATGAATTAATAAGGCTTTTCCACGATTGTATAAAAGCTTCAAATTCGTCATTCGAAGAGAAATACTGCTTCGTCTTTGCAAGCACATTCTTATTTATATGCCAAACGCAAAGTAAGTGTGGACTTTTCGGATAAATCACTTTAATTGCACCTAATAGAGCAAGGTCTCTGTCAGTGCAAAGGACTGGGGGAAAGGGTAAAGGATTAAGCCACGCAAAAAAGGTTTGTAGAGTCCACTTATAACTCTCTTCCTGCTCATTTTGCATAAAGCAAAAAGCAATACTAAAAGATAAATTCGACGGTGAAAGGCCGATAATATGTAAAAGAGGCATCTTATATCGATTCGTCTTATAAGTGCAGTCTAATAAAAAGACCCTATTATACTGGTTAGCAAGTCTAATTGATTCAGGGTGAGCGAATATAAAGAAAAGGATATGGCCATCACTATCCTGCTTAAATTTGTATCTCCAATTTTTCTGTTGAAGCGTTTCTCTTAGAAATTCGAGCGGTGTATAATTTCCAAGCTTCTTGCGTCTTAAGTCTGTTTGAATATTATAGATATCTCTTGGTGTAATTAGGACAGTAGGATCTTTTCGTATTAGACCAAGGATATGCTGTGGCTTTGATCCGATATCAGAAAGAGACTGGATAGTCTGGTTTTGATCTTTAGTTAACTGTCGACGTCGTGCTATAGAATGACCAATCATATTATCATCAGCTTCATGGTTATGAGTAGAGTTTCTGACCTGGATCTCCCATTGACCACTGTTAAGCTTCTTCGCATAGAGACGAAAAGGGCATCCAATTCGCTTAGTGCTTGTTTTCCGGCGCTTTGCACCGTCTGGAGCATTGATTCTATCACAGTAAACACCGCCTCTATCACAACCAAAGGTGGTATTCCTGCTTGGATTTGATGATATAGTAGTGATCGCGTAGCCATGAGATAGTGCATGCTGCTGTATAGAAGCAATTAGCTGCTCTCTAGTCTCAAAGACCTCTTCATTCGGTGGCTCCATTATTGAATGAAGAAGCAGATGAAGAAGCAGATGAAGAAGCAGATGAAGAAGCAGATGAAGAAGCAGATGAAGAAGCAGATGAAGAATGAATCGAAAGTGAGACTCAGTAGAAGAAAGTGAGACTCAGTAGAAGAAAGAGAGGCTCTTATAGTAGTAGTTGATAGAATGTAGTTGCTATAGTGGTAAGTAATGCAGTTGCTGCGGTAATGTATGGTAAAGATTCTTGGCAAAATTGATTATGTGATGCGGGTATTACATAATTGTTGTGCCAGTAGTAAAAAGCTGTTGTGTCCCTATCAATTCCCCATGCGAGATCCAGGTCCCGCCTAGACCCGACCTACATATTGGATAGAACCCAGTGCGATCTTACGCTCAGAAATTCGAAAACTTGGATGAACTCTCTCATAGATAAAAAATAGTCGACGGCGAATTTTTTTCCAGAGTAGAGTAAACTGACTGCCTTAGATTCTACCTGAGTGGGTACGAAAATTTTTGGATTTCGCAAACGGAGAATCGGGCTTTACCTACGTTGGATCCAAGATATATATCCGGCTGCTTTGCAGGTGGACAAACCTGGAGTGCCCTCGAAACAGGTAAACTTAGGCAAGAAATTCCATTGAAGATAATCTCAGACGAAATGGATTTTCATTCATCTAATCCACAATTCTAATTTATGTCCTTAGAGGCAGTCGACTTCAACTCCCTCCGTCTTTTTGATATCACCCGGGCGAGATTGAGGAGGCAAATCGTTGCCAAAGCCATTCACATGACCATACAGCCGCTTCAAGGTGACAGTGCTCAAGGCCATCACAATAGCACTCATAGTAAAGAGACCAATTCGTCCAAAAGTGGACAACTGTTCAAAGATGGGATATGGGTACCTTCAAGATAGTAAGTATAGCGATAGGGAATACCAGTCGACTGACTTACCAGCCATTATATGAGAAGCATTGCTCGACCCAGAACCAGTATCCAAAGGCAATGGTGCCAGACAAGCCCAAAGAGGGCAGTGCAGAAATGGTCCAAGGTGGGGAGAGTAGCAAAAGATCCACCAACATCACAATGGACGGGACTGCATGGAAGCCGAGATCTGTGGCAGGTGTTAGCGTGTGGTCCCCACCATTCTCGGCATGAGCCGCCATTAGTCTTGTCAACATACCAGCATGTAGTGGGATTACGGCCCATTCCGGGAGCACTAGACGTTCATCGATCTGAACATTCGGGGTTGTTCGGTTAGATGGGTTAATTAGGGTGAAACGATTATGTCTCCACTCACTAAGCGCAAACCCCAGTAGAGCACACTGATTAGCACCTCCAGAGGAGCACAGCACACCGACATGAGGTTCTTGATCAAAAACAGTCGCCGTGACATTGTCACATCAGCGAGGAAGGCCATGATGAATGTCAGTGTCGACAGGCTTAGCCCAATGACGGTGAGATACTGGAAGTGCCAGCCGTATGCCTCATTTCTGAAGTCGATTAGCCATGTTCAAGTGGCTGAGAAATTAATTAATCTCTCGCTCCGACGGGTTCAGAACTCACGCTTGGTTGGGGTTCTCATGCATGCTTTAGAAGCATTGTTAGCGCCGATTTTACGTAAATGAACGCCTTTGCTAGCCCCAGAAGCCACATGGAATGAACATACTATTTGAAAGACAAAAAGAAGCTCACCAGACCCGTTGCCTGCTCATGTTAGCCATGGATTCTCGAAAGGATGATCAGAAGGTAGAACCACGGGACGGGGGGTCATACATGGACCAGAGCAGAAAGGCCCCTGGAAGGACTGGGCCATCGCTGTAATGGATGATGGAGATGGAATGAATGAGCCATTTTCCTAGGGGTTTGTGCGGAAGAGGTCAATTAATTGAGTTTGAAAGTTGGCGTAGCTGGGAAGAACTACGGAGTAACACCAACCTGTCTAGGGAAGGCGGAGGCTATCGGGCCCAGCTAGGGACCCGATCACCGCTATGACGCACTGCACGTGACCGGCATGCCGCGGGATGCCGCCTCGGAGTTAGGGTTTTTCCGAATCACGGCTGATTCAGCTCTTATCTTTCGCTTCCCCACACTTTCCCACGAGGGCTAGATACGAATCCTTCTTTGCAACTCGTGCTCTGTTGCTTCGTTCTTTTCCCTCTGGCTGGAGGCTGAAGTGGTTGAAACAAGTGGGCCATCCCTGTACCCCGGATTTTTAATCCCTCAAAAACTTGGCCACGTGAGACTGTCCCCCGGATCGTCGCTGGCCTAACTGTTCCCTGCATTCTCCCCTGTAGATAAGGTGAACAAGCATCTCTGCTATTGATACCGCTGCAGCGGGACCCTGCTTTCCCTCGGGCACATCTCCCTCCCACACCTCGATGTGCTTGTATACTAGGTGTGGGTGTCTGATCGATTATCGTTTCGTTGCGACTTGGGGTCAACACAATTGCAAACGCCGGAAGCGAATCAATCGCAGGTCTTGACGTGTTCTGCATGGCTGTGGAATCGGACATACAACCCAGTGGCTGTCTCAAGCCTATCTCTTCTTCTTTAATCGCATCGTCGCCTGCATTTTAGATCGGCTTGGAGGTGCAATGCCTCGCCCTCGACGACCTGGCGCGCCAGAGCCTAAGCGGAGGAGCCGAAAAGGATGCTGGTGAGTTGCTTGCGTTTGAATGATCATCCCTGCTTGCCACAAGACTAATCATTCGTCAAGGCCATGCAAGGCTCGCAAAGTGAAATGGTAACGCAACGAAATGTGGACCTCCTCATCTCGACCCCGGCTAACAGACGATCATTGCAGCGGCGAAGAAAAGCCCTCTTGTCTCAACTGCCAAAGGCAAGGGGAGTCGTGCGACTACAGTGTCCGCCTCAACTGGGGCGGCCGAACCAAACGACCCTCCGTCGATTCTCCCACTTCTATTTCCAGGGGATATGGCGGTACGTTGATTGGCTTTGCTGATCCAATGCGGACCAGTGCGGTTGACTCGGCCGAGGCCCCCTCATCAATCCCACCAGGGAACAAGACCCCCGCAGATGGGTTCATCAATTTCAGATCCGGAGACCTTGGATCCCCCGGAGCCATATCACCTAATGGCGCTGCCACTTTTGGGGTCTTCGACTCCCCGAAGCCTCCAGTGCTATCGGAGAATGGGATTTCCCCCTCTCAAGGAGAGGTCCAATTTGCCGCGACATGGGCAGAGCATTCTCCCGTGACCCCAGCTTCATCAGGGTCCATGTCGCAGTACGCATTTGGGCAGAACTTTCATAGCTCATTTTCTCCTGCAGCAGACCAGGGGGTCGGTCTGCGATCCCTCTCTGCATTTGCATTTCATTCAAGCTCGGTCTCGCAGCCAGTATCCTTCCTGCGGAACTCAGTGGACATGACTAGCCATCTGTCGGATACGTCATCTCGCCCAAGTCAGAATGATGGCCAGATACCCGCAAGCCGTTCCTTGCCACATGATGACCATGGACTAAGCTTCTTATTGAATGATGTTTCTGGACAGGATGGCCCGTCTCATGAACCGACAGGCAACGGTGGGGTTTCGAGCTTGCTCCTTAATAGATCTCACCCATCCTCCTCTCCTGGGCATGATAGGCACACGCCTGCATCGACGCATGCTTCCAGGACTGATTCGCTTCGTTCATTCCATCATTCTGACAACCTGTGTGCCGAGGTCAGGGACAGTGATCATCCTAGGAATGAGTCCTTGGCAGCTCAAAGCAAATGGCAAGCCTATCTCACCAGTGTGACGGATAATTATGGCTTGGACAGCGGACGCCCGGATCATGACCTGGCCTTAAACAATGACCATGCTGCCATTGACATCAACTCTGCTGTCGAAAAAGTCAGCTCACAGGGTCGACAGGGCGGATCCTCATCGCCTACATCTATGCATAGCCTTCCGAGCCTGCAAAAGCCCGACTTCAGCGGGTATTATGCGTCTCCGGTTCCCGTTAATATCCCTCGATACCTGTCACCTCTTCCTTCGTCATTGTTGAAGAACCCGATCAACTTGTTGTATTTTCATCATTTCCTCAATCACACATCCAAAATGCTGGTCCCGCACGATTGTGATAACAATCCATTCGTGTCGGTTCTTCCGTCAAGTAAGCTTGCCAATCTCCCCTTTCTGGAAGAATTTCCGTCTTCGCTTCTTGTGCTGATTGAACAGTGGCAATCTCCGACCCGAACTTGCTGAATTTGGTGTTGGCATACTCAGCAAGTCACAGGGCACGATACCTGGGACATCCAGAACCTGCCAATCGTATAGCGCATTGGGTCAGCGATGTCTTTCCAGCATTGAGAGTTGCATTGGAAGCATCGAAAGAGGAAATTACCGACAGCCATCTGGCCACGGCTATCTTGCTATTGTCGTTGAAGATCGTTTGCCCTGGGACTTTTGAAGTTCCAATTCCCTGGCAGAGCCATCTCAAGCTCGCTCGAGATCTGTTCATTGCTCGAAGTGATCGTATTGCAAAGCCTGGGAATCGAATTGGCGCCTTCTTTGCCCGCTGGCTGGGGTATATCGACACCATGGGTGCCCTTTCATGCCGTCAGGCAGGTCCACCCTTGATGCTATACCACTCTGTTTTAGCAGAGTGTTGTCGCCCTCAAAGTCATGACGAGTATTGCGTTGACTGCTTCACCGGATTCAGTCCTCGCACTGGGTTCTTCCTCCTCCGTCTTGCTCAGCTGGTTCAACAATGCGATAATGAACGTTTCGACGAAATGGGTAATTTTCAACGGGGCTGGCACCCGTCTGCAGACATGGTAATGGAGGCTCAGGCCGTGCTTGGTGACTTTGATGACCTGAATGAAAGAGTTCATGCCGATCCGGACCATCATTTGGGAGTCGAGGGTGATGACATGATGGCCACAGAGGAAGCGTTTCGCTGTGCTGGGCTACTTCATCTTCACCGACGGGTACTTGAATCTTCTCCTGATTCCTTTCCTGTGCAAGACGCCCTTCGCAAGCTTGTCGGGGCTCTGGATCGCATGCGACTTGGTGCTTCAACCGAAGTTTGCTCGCTGCTCCCGTTGTTCACAGCTGGCTGCGAATCGCGTGATTCTTCCCAGCGGATGAAACTTCTCAACCGGTTCTTCGTTTTGGAGAAGTCGGGAATGAAGCAGGTTTGTTCCCTGTGAACCCCTTGTCTGCCATTTGATCTTGGAATCTAACACCTTTGAATAGATCCAAAATGCTCGGCAGCTGATGCAACACTGCTGGGATGACAATCTGCCATGGATTGCTATGGCTGAGGGAGAATTCCTTGGGTAGATCTTGACAGCCTTTGAAAGCTTTAATCGCATGCTACATCTTTTCAGCATTGTCGGTGTCTGGCAAATTGATTATGGCTGCACACTGAATGTGTATATGGTCCATGCTCTTGGCGTCTTTCAAAGTCTTCACTCTCTTCTCGTGTTAGCAATATTGTATTGACTTCTCTTGATTCTCTCTTACCTCTGATCTCATCAATCACCATTTCATCCTGATCACATTCTTTCTGATTCTTCTCCTCAGAAGCGCATTGGCACGAGAGGGAACATTCACCTGCAGTAGAAGCTGATCCTCCCACGTGATAAGCATAATCGCGACTTCCTTCTTATATCGCATCGTCTCCAGGCTCACCACCTGCTTAACCGCCTTGGGCCTCTGGGTCGTTTTCTTTTTCCCCTAATTTTCTTCCTCTCGCTCGACTTCTCCTCTTTTATCTCTTCAATCCCCCCTCCCTCTCTTCTTCTCTCCCCACCCTTCCTTGAGTTCGCCAGAAGAGAGTTCTCGCACCATGGACGAGCCACGTTCATCAACCGGAGCCTCGGCTCTGGTTACCGTGAACATCATGGACCAGCTCGACAATTTCGAATTTGCCGTGCTTCAGCCCACCAGGTACGCTCTCTACCATATCGTCAGAGTGGACTTTTGCGTCCGACCGTGACGTTATTCGGCTTCCAATATTCCATGTTATAAAGAACATTGGAACATCCGATACGCGAAATAATAATCTTTTTCTAACTCCACACTTTAGCAATGCCAACACCACTTCCACCCAGTTGCTCTCTGATGAACTGATCATTCGTGAGGTATGTGTTACTGTCAATGATTGTTTTGCTGAGACCTGGCAGTGCTGACTGCTCGAACAGGGCTCGCCAATTGATTTCGATGTGGACCTCGATGTGGACACGGCTGGCCTCACAGACTCTGTCGCTGTCGTCAACCTGGCCCAGTTCAATCTGCCCGAGACTGAACAGTCTCTTGGTATCTCCCACCGCGATGTCAATCTTGTGGCAGCCAAGACCACCCCCTCAACTGCGAATCCCCACCCCGAGGGGCTGAGATGGGTCATTCGCGAGTCCGGCGTCTTTGATACCCAGAAGGAAGAGATGTCCGCCGTGCATTACGGGAAGACTCACAACAGTCTCTTCAAGAACGTCCGCGACAATTCGTTCTTCCAGTGGGGTCTGCGATTTATCCCAAAGCCCGGCCAAGACAACATTTTCCGGACCCTGGTCATTGAGGATTTTCCAAATTCCGTCACCCTCGATCGGATTCTGCCTCAGATTCGCGGCGGTGCGGTCTTCTCGGCCTCGCTGATGAATACCTCGACCATCACTGGCTCTGCGACTGCATTGATCACTTTTGTTCATCAGGCGGGGGCACTGAACTTCCTCCGTCTCGTTTCGCGGGAGGGCTTTTTCATCGGGATCAGCCCCGCGAAGGTGCGCCCGGTCCCGACCCCGACTTACCTCATGTCCAAAGAAATCGAGACCCAGATCTATCATTTTGGCCGTACCCGCTGTGTCTTGGTTTCATCTCCCAGCCACAAGGCATTGAAGCAGGAGGTCTCCCGAGTGCTGAGCCAGTCTCGCGTGCGGCACAGCGTGGAGTGTTTTGGAGAACGGGACAATGACGGCGAAGTCACTGTTCGGTTCCATTCGGTTAAGTCGGCCTGGGCAGCGTGCATGACGCTGGCGAGTGACTCAAAGTTGCAGGGGGTTTCGATTAACCCTGCGTTCGACCCATGCTCGCTGCTGTGATCTACCCAATTTGATTTGCCTTATGAGGGCTTTGTTCATACCAATCGGCAACCCGGGGATGTGAAGCAGACAAGGAACCCACACCGGGGTATCATGGATGATTTTTTCTTGGGTCATCATATAATAGCTCATATTCAATGATGAATTTGCTTTGAATCAATGACCAGTAGTTGTAATCAGTAGCTCTCTACGTAGAGGGGAGAACATTAGATAGCGGAGTAATATCCCGGAGGTCTTCCCCGCTGTCGGAGCGGCGCCCGCGGTACGCGGGGCCGGCCGAAGAAGAAGAACGCGGACTGGAGAAAGACAATTCGACCTGTGATTAAAGCTATTTCAAACTCCATAATCGCTTCACCGCCTAAACTCAATGATCTTGAAGATATGGAGAAGAGACGAATACCGTGGGGCAGTTAGGGTTGGGAAGAGCCGTGCGGTGACGAAGACGGTGACGAAGATAGTCACTAGGTATAAGAAGTATAGATGTGAATGCGATGACATCCCGAGACCCTCCCTTGTTAAGTTCATTCGTCTCGTGATGGCTACCAAAGGACTATGGCGATTAGAAGACAATTTGATCAGCTATTCCACATCATCATTTCCAGATGCCAGCCCCTTGAACAATATTCACGAGAGATCCCACTCCAGAAGCCCCAGAATCATAACTTGGCATCATGATTCCAGCCTGGCATATCTGCGAGATCTTTGGCGGGAGCAGCCCGTCGAGACTTGAGAGCATCACCGCCAGGTCTCCACCTCCACTCCTTCGCCAGTTCTTGTGACAGAGACCCTTCGAGTACTTCGACGATGTGCTTGCCGATGTTCGGTAGAAGCTTGAAACTATGTCTATTTTGAACACCATGTCAGCAAAGTTGTATCTGTATAGACTTGTTGGAGTACCGTTCGTTCATGAACAAGATACTCACCCACTATCTCCCGTGGCCAAAATCAAGTTCTTCCATCGCGGGTGCTCGCAAATTAGCAGGTTGGCATCCACGGTATCTGTGCACCAGCACATGCTCCGGTTGAACAGTTCTGTATTCATGAATCGAGGAAGGAATCTCGCGATGGCTTTTCGAATGGTCTTTTCAGAGGCATCAGGATATGTATCTGTGGGATGTTTAGCATGAGACCGCGGGACAGATATCAGCTTTGGAGAGCTGGCTCCGTATGGCTGATGCAATTTGAAGCGAGAGAAACCAGGGAATTCGTCGCAGACTTTGATCACTCCGTGTCTGGAAGAACTGATGTTAGCAATGGCCTTGCAATTTGGAGGTAGTCATGCGTAATGACTGACTCGTTTGGTTCGAAGAAAAAGCCGTATTCTCCATCATATACGACAGGTGCATTCTTGTACTCTGCAGCTTCTTGTGATGTGAGTTGGATATGGGCAAAGACCCAGGCCTGGGCGTAGGAATCAGTAAGGATCAACGTTATTAGAAAGGTGCATTGGGATTTGCATAGATATGAACCATCAATTGACGAAACTTACCTTTGATACACACTGGCCCTCCAAATCAATCAATGTTGGACTCCAAGCGCCTGCTGCCAACACGATTTTATCTGCGAAATATTGGGTCCCGTCGGTGGTCTCCACGCCGACGCAGGTAAATCCATCTGCTCCAAACAACGGTCGTTTGAAGGTCCCAGCTCTATAGACCAGTGTCAGTAAAATGGAAATCTCCTAAACTTCAAACGCCGCGGTACGTACCCGCCGAATCCAAAATTGACTCCTTCTTGACGGAGAAACTCTCCAATAGCATTGATGGCTTTTGCCGCAGCTAGCCAGCCGCCATCACCGCAAAAGACACCCTTCCATCCCTGTTGAGCAAAACTTGATGAGCCTCTGCTAACAATTTACCTATGACAGGGCTTAGAATTACCTTGATCTGCTCCCGAGTAAAATGGGGTGCTTTTTCCAGAATTTCTTCCTCGCTATCCAGCCAGAAATTGGTTTTTTCCAGGCCAATACCCGCATCGAGCAACGACTGGTACTTTCGTCGAAGACTCGCAATTCCATCCTCTGATGACGAGCAGTCAATCTAGGCAAGTTGTCAACATTCCAACTGCCACAGTGTTGATTTGAGGATTCAATGACTAACCATGCCGACTTGGTGAAAGAATGACTTAAACAGAGGATCATTCTTCCACATATCCAGTGCCTCCAGAGACAATTGCAAATCTGGTGAATTTCGCAGTCGAATACTCATGATCTTATTCAAATCATGTCCCGCCGACTGCGCCGATGGAATGGGATATACATCCAGGACGGTGATGTTGGAAGGAGTATACCCGGACCGAAGCAAGTGCAGCGCGGTGGACGAGCCCATAGTACCACCTCCTCCGACCACGATGACCTTGGTGCTTGCACGGAGGTTTGCCATGTTTTTGCAATTGACCCAGATTGGGAATGTTCGGTCTTCTTGAAATACTGTGAACCAGATCACTGTAGCAGGTCAACACTTGTCGATAAGAGTTGGAGGAAACAGCTACGAAGAATGGACTGTGTGTAGACGAGGTTGAGTCGGTCCGGTCGATGAGACCATTCGGAGAGCCTCGTCATGTGAAGTCTTGTCTTGGGGTCGTCGGTGGAGCAGAAGATAGTGTAAAGGAGTAATCCATTCCGTGTAGGTCTATGCTGACAATCCGATATGCCAGGTTCGAGCTTCCGATTTCGCCATCCTCCGCCCTTGATACTCCAAATGGAGGAGAAGAGTCAGATCAATAACCATGCATTTCAAATGGTCAGACACTCGGTCGTGACTCCGGCGATTGCGATTGGTGTGAATGCCCCCACATCTTGCCGAGAATGTCGGATCAACGCGACGCTAATGCCGAGCCCGTTGGGGGATTTCGCTTGGACCTTCTGTCGGCCCCGAAACGAATTATTCAAAGCATCGAGACCCCCACAAGAGACCGTTCATGCTTGATAACGCCATTATATGAACATGTCGGACTCAGAGAACGCGGGGAATCGACCCGCCAACCAGTCCACAACTCTAGAGCCACGCGATAAGCGAATAGTCGGGGTTTATCGGTTAATTCAGGCTGATATGGATCTACCGACCAATCCTTCCAGGATGTCGCCCCAACGCGGCGGCTTGATCTCGGCATTGGCGTATGATTTCCGCCTGGACCTTCTGTCAATTTCAACATCGAGATAGATTGACCCCTGTCAGGTTCCCATATCACGTAGACAGACATACAGGGGTACTCCCAAAATCTGAATCGACCAGGGAAAACGCCCAACAGATATGCTCTCACTTATTGTTTTTTGAAAGGTTTTTCTATAGGTCTTCCAAAGGGTCTTCCTAAAGGTCATTTCATTTGCCTTTCTTGGTAGCTCAGGTATCATTTCTATTCTATAATTAACCTTGTGACTGGGAACATGATTCTAAACAATAGTTAATAGTTTCAACCTTATGAAACCCCACAGTAAGCGACAAGGGGAACTTTGGAGAACGTGGGGAACCTCCTCTCCGTCTCCACCCAAATGAACACGAGACTCTGGAGATAAGCTTAGGTGCCCAGAGACATTCGGAAATGATGGACATCACACCTTGAGCTGGATCTTGCGAGTGTACATAAGTAGCCGCTCTGGTGACATGACCCGACAATCCTTTCCTCGCTTCAAAGCTTACACCCGTCGAATTGCAATATTTCTCATCATGTCGGACATGAAATCCAAAGATCTTCCTCCCCCCGAGGAATCCCTTGATCCCTTGCCAACCAATGTCACAGATATCGCCCACGGGGTCAACATGGAGCATTATCGGGCAACTGTTCCCTTGTGGAAACGGGTGTGGCAGCACAGCTTGACACAGATGATGCTTCTGAGCATTCAGGCCTTTTGTGGCCCTGCCATGTCCGACGCAATCACTGGTAAGATATCTGAAAATATCCAACTGGCTGTCCCAATCTTCAGCTAATCATTCATTAGGTCTTGGTGGTGGTGGCCTGGCAACACCTCAAGTATCAAATACCACCAACGCCATCACGTACGCAATGCTGGCTATCTGTATGTATCTTACCAGCTGAACGGTCTGCGGCTTACTCCAGCTAATTTGGCAATTCGACATTCAGTTTGCTTCTTTGGCGGTCCTATCGTGAACAAGATTGGTGTTAAGTGGGCGCTTGTCATCGGTGCGGCCACATTCCCAATCCAGGGCTCAGCATACTATTGCAACAGCAAATTCGGAAACCAATGGGTGAGTTCCAAAGACCTTTTGAAGAACCTTTCTAGGAACAGCCCAAGAATCCTGACAGGGCCATCTTCCGGTAGTACCTCATTTTTAGTGGTGCCATCAGTGGCATTGGAACAGCCTGCTGGTATGTGGCCGAGGCGGGAGCCATTATGACTCTGGCGCCGTCAGGTGCTCGTGGAAAATATCTGGCCCTCTGGATCGTGTCACGAAATCTCGGGCAGTTGGTTGGCGGAGCTATCAAGTTAGTCAACCCCCTCGGAAACGAAGACGCCCATAAGGTAGTCTATGGATTGTGACTAATTTCGATTCGTGCAGTCTATCGAAAAACCACGTTAAAGGGGCCGACGGCGGAGTGACTCCGGATACCTACATCGCCTTTGTCATCATTGAGTGTATCGCGTCAGTCGACTCGGGTTCCTTTCTTGACAGACACATGCTTATTGACTCTATAGGCTGCCATTTGCTCTGCTGATCACCCCCTTCGAGCGGGTCGTTCGCTCAGATGGCACGAGAATTGTCACCGCTGAGACCCTTTCTACCAAGATGGAACTTAAGCGCATCGCTAAGACCATGACTTCAAAACTGGTCATGCTTTCGGCACTGTGGGCACTATGGTCGTTCTTTTATGGGTCAGTAAGCCCACCTAGAAATTGCCATAGTATGGAAAAGGCTGATAATTTGAACAGCGGGACCTGGTCGACCTACTTAGGAACATACTTCTCCGTTCGCGCGCGCGCCCTTTCTTCACTGATCTCGCCATTTTTCTGCATGTGTGTTTCCAAGATAGTTTATCCCCCGTGATTTCACATTGGCTAATCTCACTTGGTATCAACCAGCGTCGGCTGCTTTGGTCTTGGTTACGTCCTCGACATGAAGCACCTCAGCCAGCGTCGTCGTGCCCAGCTTGGCCTGTACACCGTCGTGATCCTCAATGTTGGCGTTTACATCTGGTCGATTATTATGCAGACCAAGTTCGACCGCCATAACCCCGGCCACATTGATTGGGAAGACGGACTTTACCCATCATCTTTCCTGCCATACTTCTTCGTGCAGACAACAGGCCCATTGTCTCAGTCATACATGTACTGGCTTATCTCATCATTTGCAACGGATGCCCAGGGTAAGTAACTCAAGTTATCATTTTCGTTTTTTGAATGTGACAGAACCCATTGGAGACTAACATAGCGATCAGAAAATGTGCGAAATGGCGCCGCCTTCAGATCTATCGAGGCAGTTGGTCAGGCCATTGCCTACGGCATGAATACCCAGACCACTAGTAACCCTCTGGTCGGCTTGTAAGTTCCCTCAATACCATGATACTACTCGTCGATGCACATTGAACTAACTGGAATACTAGCTGTGTGACCTTTGGTTTACTTGCTGCAGCCCTGGGCCCAATGATAATGCTTGTGAACACGACCCCTGATCGAATTCCTGCTGATGTCATCGCGGAGCAACAAGATGCGGTTCGAGAGAAGATTGAGCATGTATGAATCTAAAAAATGCTTGATATATACGAGAGGTAGAGAGGCGTGACTCCGAAAGAAATGTCTTGTGAACACTAGTTGAACAGATCAAGATGGAGGCTGATCGCACGCCAACTTATGCTTTCGCACGACAGACTATTCCCTTTTCGGATACAGTGGAGAATATCTTCATAATATATAAACTCAGACTGTTGTGGTTATATTCGTGATTAGAGTAGTCTAGCTGGTTATTACGTTTTTAGTAAAAGATCCTAAAATAGCAGATTTAGGAAGGTACACTGGATCCTTGATATCTGGACTGAAGAAACGGTTTTACAATGTAGATCTGTATGCTTTAACTTTCCCTTTTGTAAAAGATCTTTCCAAATGTCCTTTGAATCGTTTTCCCTTATAGCTAAAGTAGAAGGCTTGGTAGGTATTATGAGGATATCTAGGTAGTACCAGTTATCCATCATATCCGATATGGAATAGTCTGTCGTGCGAAAGCACAAGTTGACGTGCGACTAGCCTCAGCCTAGATCAATGCACGATTATCACTATAGCAGAAGTCCGTTTTTTACCTCTTTAGACCTACTGAAGGCAGTGAATGTAGATGAAGAAAGGTAAGAAAATATTATTTGGAGCCGCTAAATTAGGTCGGCTTAAAGGTGTGTCTGTAATCAAAATGACTAGTTACCCTCTATTGTCCTTTTTTTTGGAGTCCAGCTCCGTTTTACTGTAGAACGCACAGCCAACCACCACAAGGATGATTCCTGCCCCAGTTTGCAGATTCAAGTCGAAGTCTCCCAGGAACAGAATGCCCAGAATTAGAGTCAAAGTCTGGCGGACGTTTCCCCAGACTGTGATAGCCAGAGAGCCTGCAACCTTGTTTGCTTGGAAAGATGAAATGTTCAGGAAAAAGGCCAACAGGCCGTTTCCGAACAGCGCCCATGTGGTGGACGTAATTGGTAGAACTGATTCGCCTTCGGTATTCCAGAATGTTGATGGGTCCAGGTTGGAAAGTTCACCAGCATAGATCCCAATGACGATTGTTTGGATAGAGGCGTAAATGGACATTCGGTAAATCAGTTCCAATGAGGGGAGCGCAAGGGATCCAGTCATCAGACGGTTGGTGACAATAATCTATGGTAAGTAATCGTTAGATCGATCGTTCAAGGAAAATCGCAAGTTGAATAGGGCAAAGGAAATTTTTGACATACCTTAAGAACGCCCAAGAGAACACCGATTATGGAGACGATCGAGCCAAAGATGGTAAACTTGAAATCACCAGTGGCAGTGATGGCGGCACCGAGAACGATTGGTACCAGGGCGATGTAAGTAGCCATAGAGTAGGAACGAGCGAATAAGATCCGCTCCATAAGGACAGTGAAAATAGGCGATGTATTGCGAACGATTTGGAAGAATGCAAGGCTGACAAGGGAAAGTGAATAGTTGGAAAAGAAGATGTTGACGCTGAAGAGCACCGAGTAAGCGATCAGGATCAGGTGGTCGCGGTTGGAGAGTTTCGATAATTTGAAGTATCCGAGCTTGAGGAGTAGAAGTGTTCCTAATCCGGAGAATATGCTATGGATTCCAGTTAAGAGCCATGGGCATGGGAACTGTGTCTCGTTAGAACTTTCCAAGGTGAATGGACTCAACAGGGCAGAATGCATACCTTCTCCAGAATGAACTTATTGTGGACCGTTAACAACATGCCAAAAAGCAATAGAGCACACAGCCATCCATATTTGACAGTAATGGGAGTTTGGTACTCCAGCTCTATAGGAGTGGTATTGACCATCTCTTTGTTATTGGCTTCCAGGTCGTCTGCGGCCCGGGAGGAGGTCGAACCCCGAGGGGATGACTCGTTAAGCAGACTCATTCCAACTTCTCCATCTTCATGCTTGGAGTAACTCATTTTCTCATAAGCTGCATATAATAACAATCCGGGTGTTGTGGCCCTAAGATGATGACCAGAGGATGTTTGTTCAAAGGAATGGACGCATCAATAGAAGCAGGGTGATGCAAGACTTTGGTCAGACTAGGCAGGAGGGTACAGGGGCATTATAGGTGTTTTATTATGGATGTCAGATTCTAGTATTGTTGAAGACCCTTCCCAATGAGGTGATATGGTAAAAAATGGGGTCCGTGGAAGGATCTTGTGAAATAATACAGTATTGATCTCAGGGGGCTGAGCCCGTTGTTACCCACTGTAAGCCAGCAGCACATCCATCACAGCAAACACGGCTCGTTCAGGGTCCGATGGTCCTGGTAAAGCACTATAAGTGGGGCGAGTCAACGAGGTTGCAGGGATCGGGGGGCAAAAGCCGAACGAAAAACTGACAGGGGCTACCTGGACTAGTGGCTATGTACTTATTCGTACTCGTAGACTATGGCCCCGAAACTACAGTAGATGCAGCGTGCAGTACGTACATAATATAATAATATAATAATATAATACACTAACAAAGGACGATCTCCCAAATACAAGTGCAATGCGGAAAGTGGAGGATACATCGACTTCTCAAACTATTTAATTTAACACAGCACAAAGAATGGGCGCCTGAGCTGGCTGAGCTGTGGATGGAAGCCTAAGGGACTGGATTTACCCGATTAGGCTTAAGCATAGGTAAGCGTAGCATTGACTATTATTATTATGTGCGCCCTCCTAAAAAATTAGTTTTCCCTCTGGCGGCACTTCTTATCAGTCTCGGTATCTCTTCCCGAAAAATTCATCACTTATCACGGATCTCGCTCGCACATTTTTGATGGCATCTCCATGGTCTGCTTGCATAACTATTAGTGTACTCGACTTTTGCTTCAATTCTAAATTGTTGGAATTCTTGTCATGCAGTCCATTTTCTGGGCTGTCAGCAATGGTACTCAGCGGTGGCTGTTCAGGGTCCAATTCTCGGCACCGCCGGCTGCCCCTAAAATTACTTGGCGCAGTCCCAATCTTTTATGATACGATGTTCGCTTAGCATTTCTGTCAAAGCCCCACGAGTTGCCAAGAGCCGGGTTTGATTCGGGATTAGCGTAGATCACTAGCGGCTCTCGGACACTCCACGCACCACCCAACTGATCCATTGATGTCGGAATGTCTCAGTATTGTGGCTGGCCTAATTGCCAGAAAAAGAACGGTGAACCAGTCCCGTCACCCATCTCACCATGTGCCTGTCTTTGAGATGTATCGCCGGTATTTAAGTCATTGTGAGACCTGCATGTCGCCGAGAGAACCGCCAGCCACGCTACCGAAACGAAATGAACTAATGCTTCCCTGGAATGCTTCTGAATCGATAAGACCTCCCAATAATGGAGACATATTGCTTGTTCCATCTTAACATATTTCATTAGTACAAAAGGAAAGAGCCTAAAAATTTTGTTGATTGCTTTGACAAGCGTTCCTGGATTGGGTGGCGTTCAGTTTGTAAAGTGGACCAACCAATGATCACTCAACAATGTTCCGGTGGATATTTGTTAGTAAATCAGCCGAGAAGAAGCATGTACACAAGCCTACTGGACGTTTTGCAGTAAAGGTTAAATCGGACACTAAGTGGTAATTTATGAAAGCGTTGGTTAGTTAAATTAGTATCTAGCCAATCGCTCGAGGTGGCTCTTTTCGCCCTTTCCATTTCACTATACCAATACGAATTTTTCCAGAGGGCCCTATTTCCTCCTATTTTTAGTGGTCCAGGTTGACGCCTTCGATAAGGACAGGAAATGATTGAAATGACCCCCAACCCCGGGGGGGGCTAAGTCCTGTCTCACGGTCACAATTGTAACGCAGGTCAGCTTCGCGTAATTAATCAGTTGGACCTTCGAGTAATAAGGCTTCGACTGTTCCCCCCTGATGCCCTTCTTTTCTTCTCACGGACCGTGATTTTTGCTCGTCGCTTGCTGCTAGATTTTTGTATTCATTTTTGATTTTTGGGTGGTCCATTTCACCTGTCCACTCGTTCACCATGCATTCACCATCCTACAATCCACGCTGGCCTCGGAAGAAGACCTACTCGATTGTAGTAGGTGTGGCCATTGCCAGCATACTCCTCATATTTGCCTACCGCTCACCTTCAGTATCCTTGCGAGGCATCGTATCTACCTCTTCGTATGAATCCCGAGCTGACAGCGAAGAGAACTGTATTAACACCACTGATTAGCGATGACCCTTACTCGCCACATGCGAAGGCCACTTATACGAAACCTACACATCTATCTTCTTCAAAGACCTCAGCGCAAAACCCTTCATCATCATCGGTCTTCGACATTCCCGCCGGTCTCTATGAACTCATTGAGCCCCACTTTCATTCAATTACGGCGCAAAACTTCACCAGTCGCACTGGCAAGGTGTTCCAGCTCCCCAAAGCTGCCAGGTTCACGAAGCCGCTCGGAAAGCAGATCCTCATCATGGATGTCGAGAGTCGCGATATCAGTGGCCCCGGTGGTCTTCTTGATGATAGCGCGCCCAAGACCGGTGACATGCAAGGTCTCACTTTGGGCCGACTGAATCACTATATGTTTGGTCAGTATATCGATCGAGGATGATAATATACGAATCACTAACCCTCCGCAGCTATGCTTCACGGATATGATTACCAACTTGTGCAACTCCCCGAGGACCCCACGCTGCACGGAACATGGAACAAGGTTCCTGCGATGCGTGAGGCCATTAAGCACTACGAATATGTTGTCTTCCTTGATGGCGATGCCATCTTCACCCACCTTCATCTGCCTCTTGAATGGCTCCTCAACTACTGGGGCATCACCAACGACACCACCATGGCCTTGGCCGAGGATCCCAATGATCCCTTCTTCCTCAACGTCAAAAAGCTCAACATCAATTTGAACACCGGATTCGTCATCGCTCACCAGACCCCAAAGAGTGAAGAATTCTTCGACGCATGGATGACTTGTCCCGACGAGCATCGGTACCCGGGCTGCGCCATGTGGAAATTGACACACACCCACGAACAGGCCGTCGTCAATGAGTACCTTCGATACGACTACCCCGAGCAGCTCCACATCCTCCCTTGCAACGAAGCAAACCGCTACATGAACTCTGGTGATTGCGAGGGTGAATTCATCGGACACTATTGGCCATACAAGGAGGAGCTGCCAGGCGGTGTGAAAGAGGTCATGGACCAGTACTTCTGGCCACCTCTCCAGAAGGGCTACTCTCACGACCGTGACCACATCGTCAAGTCCATGAAGGGCCCGAAAGATCCATGAAGGAGATGACACCCTGCATACAAAGGAGCCGGACGCTTCAGGCACACGAGACAAGTTAATTGGGATAGGTGGAGTTAATGGGCATTTGGAAGAGCCGTCACATAGAGCCATTCTCTTTATGTAAATATATATTTTGCCGTTCTCTTAAGGATATTCATTCCATCAAATCTCTTATAATCGCTGCAGACTCTTTCGTAATTTCCTTCGTTATGATGATGGCAGTAGTCCTTGCTGAAGAGTTCTTCATACATGCAGGAGGTTATATTAGAAGATCCTCACTCATCCTAATATCTGACGGGAACAGCCCAATACCTGCATGAAACTGGCTCCAGGCACCCGCTTTGCACCTGAGGTGAATTTCTTCCTTCCAATATGTGGTTTAAGATGAGAACTTCTGGCACGAGGAAAGGCTGCCTAAAGGTCTCCATCCACCTGTATCTTTGGGCAGTGAGCAGCAGCTTGACCATCTGCTGATCTGTACGTACGGCCGGGTCTCCTATTCTAGCAATGTTCTTTATTCTCCTCCCGTCGGTCGTAAACGCCTGACTTCAAGAATTGTTTCTCCTAGTTCTACTGCAAGAATCAGTCAACATGGAAGCTCTAGTGGGGCGGGGCGGCTTCATCAAATCCTCTTCTCCGCTTTTTTTTTCTTTCCCTCTATCTCTTTATCCCGCTTGATGGGGCATCTAGACTGAAGGTGTAGCCCATTAAACAGTCTTGGCATATCTAAGCAATACAGTTGCATTTTGATACATTCCATTTTTTAGATTCTGATGGGGATAATGTCCGAGTCTGATGATCCACCTGAATCCCCCTCTAGGATATGCGGAAGACGCAGACAACTTCTTCTGAGCATCATCAAGCAAAACGACCTATCCCAACTGCATCAGTAGATCGCTTCATATTCCCCCGAGGCCATTCTCGCCCCAGGGGAAACCTACAGAGATGACACCTTCCTTGTAGCAGCCACGCACGGCAGCCCGGAGATTCTGCGGGTCCTCTTGGATGTGTACGCAGCTGCCCCGGAGGTCGTCGAGAGGTTCGACCGACGCCAGTTATATCTGCTCCATGATGCATGTAGCGCTGCAAATCTCGACATAGTGCACCTTTTTCTAGACAGCCATAACAGTCAAGACAGTCAATTGCCCCTTGAGACGGTGAATCTGCATGCCAGAGATGAAATCGGGAAGACGCCGATCCTCGAGGCTGCGGCGTCGCTGATAGATCTACACCGCGACGCAGACGAGGCAGAGGAAAATGAGGGCGCCGATTGGATTGAGTGGGTTCGGGATCGGATCGCTAGGGGCGAGCAGTTGATTCATTTCCTTCTGGACCGGGGATGTTCCGCCACAGATGACATTCCTCCTGCAGCTGACTTTGGTCCCTTCTTAAATGATACTGCTGTCGACAACGGCCAGCCGAGAGGGGGCGTGCTTGGTCTCGCTGTTTCTAGAGCCAGCGGCAGACTGGTCCAACGGCTCATTGATCTCGGAGCAGATGTCCACCTCAAGCACCACCAATTCCATGACGTTGTATCGTTGCACTTTCTAAATAGAGAGTTTTACAAGCACAACATCACAACACTTGATACAGCTAGTCTGTTCTGGAACTTCGAGGCAGTCAAATTGCTCCTGGACCATCTGAATCATCGAAGCAAAGTTCAAATCAGCACCGGTCCCGATCTCGTTTCCTTCCCCGACAGTACCGGCCGTTTTCCACTACATTTGGCTGCCCATGGTCCAGGAATTTCTGAATGTAGGCTTCCGGATGAGGAGATAAGCTTCAGAATTACAGAGACTTTCCGCCTCCTCCTTGAACACAGTCCCACGAGTATCAACCTCCCCGATGACGCTGGATCCATACCGCTGCATTACGTTGCTAGAACACACACCACCTGCGGGGGCAGCCAGCACGCCGAGCTTGCTATCCGCACTTTACTCGAGTATGGCGCCGATACCACTATCACCGATGACAGTGGCCGAACCGTTCTGCATATAGTAGGATACAGCAGCCTTGGCTGTGATCCCGTCGGTACTGGACTACTTGAACTCCTCGTGGCACATGGCATCAATATCAATCACGCTGACCAGAGGGGAAACACAGCCTTGCACGTCATGGCTGAAAATCTTTGTCATATCTCCACGGCAAGGTTTCTACTCGATAACGGGGCCGATATCCGAGCTACCAATGCTAAGGGAGAGACTCCCTTCCATGCCGGAGCGCGGGGAAAGCTCTTTGATCGCACGCATAGAGATGGCACTTTCGAGAAATTGACGATTGAGGACAGGATCAGGGCACATGAGGAGACGATGCGTATTTTGGAAGAGGCCGTTGGGCGAGATAACGCCACTATGATGATGAGCCAGCCAAATTTGGAGGGCAAGACTCCCCAAAAATTGCTTGAGGAGACTAGAGATCGCTGGCGCGAATTGAAGCAGCGAATGAGAGGCGGCGGGGGAAGGGGAAGAGGACGAGGCAGAGGGCCGCCACCAAGGGAATGACGCAAGAGAGCAATAAATTGAGGTGCCGAGTTAGGAATTGTTGTCTACTGATTATAGGTGCTGTGGTCTCATCCTATATTCGGTATCCTAAATTACAATAACAGCCCTATCATCATACCACGGGCCATCAAGTAAGCGCCTGGGGAGACTACATCAAGATCTCCCTTGAAAGGACAGCATTAGTAAAGATCATACTGCTTACATCAATGAGTCCAATGGTCGCATGATGGAGGGCAACTTCATTTGCCTTGAAATGACCATACAGCACGGCGCACAGGCTGTTGTAGAGCAGAGCGTCCATGACCTTGATTTGAGGAATTTGGAGGAGCCGATACAAGACAAACTACGCACCCAAATTGACCAGATATTGGCTACGATGTCTCCAGATGTCGTTTAAGGTTCCCAGCTTCAAGACATCAATGAACTAGAATGGGCACCTCTATTCAACACGGCCAGAGATATTGGCCAATCTCGCATCTTAGCCAAGTTAAATGAGCATACGGGATCCAATGTTGATGCAATAATTAACATCTGTAGAAGTAAAAACTTGAACACGCCCGTAGACTTTAATACCATCAAAGCTCGTGGTTTTGAGACTCTCACCACACCCCAAAGTGGTCAATTAGATGTCTCGGTTAATGGGGTCCCAGTTATCTCTCTGCGATAAGTTCGAGCTGTATCCTCAACGCCTCTATCCAAGGATGGCAGATGAACATTGCCGCTCTTCAACAGGATTTGGACAATACTGTTTTAAATGTCCAAGAAACTCAGTAAGAAGAGAAGGCAATCGGGGATGGACTACAAGCACCCAGGATGAGGCAAATGGTCCAACTCAATCCCCGGGGAAGCGAGCGCAAGCCGGCAAACTTCAGAAGAATGAGGTAGATGCCGAGGTTGCGCAAGAGCAAAAGTAAATTGAGAGTCGGTAAGCTTTGGATAATGAATATTAGCAAATGCAGGGTCTCAAGACCAGTCAAAATCCGACCTCGAGAATTCGGGGCAAGCAACTAAAGTAGCGATGGAGAGGGCATTTGAGGGTGATAAGAGCTAGTGGTCGATGCTTGAATCATCCCCTTTTTGCCTCTCTTTTTCGTTTATCTCGAGTTGGGCAGATTGTTGGAAAGCAGGTAACTTCCGGCAAAGATAGTATCCGAAAAGTGCTTACCAGGTCTCGCTTTTTCTTCTTTTGTATAGCACCGGAGGGCTAAATTGAGATATGCCCGTTTGAGCACAGTTTCCTCTTTCACTAGGAGCCATCATGTACGAGTTACGCAGTCTTCAAAACATGTAGAGCCGGTTCTGAGGTCGCCCGCTTTGGCGACTTTCATCAGGAAAGGGTCCAAAATCCACTCATCGCGCAGGCTTTCTCCTTTGTCTCGCGCAAAAGTGCCGAATCGCAGTTTCACACTGGATCTAATTCGATATCGTCGTGACATCGGAAGACTTACTGACTCAGATAACAAGGAAGCAGCATGTCCTCATCCCGCAGTATTAAGGTCAGTCACTTCACATTATTACCGTAGCCAAGGCCCTAGATGTTTATTTAGCTTTCACCCGAGGTTATCCAGAATTCTTCGCCCCCAACTTGCCCAGCTTGGTCACTGCCATGAGCCGACTCAGCGAGTGATATAGTCGATTAGCTTTCACTCTGGCATTGCTTTCTTCTCTTCCTCGATATTCTAGAAAACGACCGTTATGGTAACAGTTGACAAAGTATGCCATGTCTACAACTCCTCCATTTTTACCTCCGCTTCCATTGACCCGAGATCTGAAGTATAAGCAACATCAATACTATGGCTCCCTAACCCCGGCAAGTGGATCCCTTAAACCCAAACACCCCCGAACAAGACTCTCCGCTCCTCCCCCCACGCAGATCATAGCCAAATTGCGCATCCCACGATGCTGATCCTCGGGGATCAAGCCGTGGCCCCCAGGATTGACTGTTCCAGGGATTGATCGGCTCGTGTTTGTCCCCCGCGTTACTTTATACCCCTGTCTTTTCAACCACAATGCGCGACTCCATTGGCTCAATGCGACTCGTCCCTGCACAAACAACTGCAGATTTATAAGCTCGCTTCAAAGTGCGAGACCCCGCTCTGCATCTTTCTAGCTCGCTGTGACTCGGGGGATTTTCTCTTCTGTGTGTAGCCGCAGCTGGAGAGTTCTCATCCCTTGTTTACCGGGAGTCTTGCATTTTATCCCTGCGAGTATCGCGCTGAGTATCGACCATGGCAGCCACATCAGACGATAAACCAGCTGTCGCTAGTCTCTCGGATACCGAGAGGGAACTCGACTCGGCCGCACTAGATAAGTTTGCGGGCTTTGAGGATCCGGATGCTGGGTTGAGTGAGGAGGAGAAGGCCAAGATTGTACGTATGCACAATACAAACAACCAAGCAAATCATCCCTGCAATTCATGCATCTGGGCCCTGCTTTCATCATTCTGTCAATCATTGCGGCTACTGACTGCATCCCGGTGTTTCTTTTAGGACCGCAAGCTCCTCTGGAAGCTCGATTTACGGCTTGTACCATGGTTGAGTCTACTCTACCTCGTCTCCTTTCTCGATCGGTAAGTGCTCTTCGACTGGTATATCATGAATAACACACTAAAGGCTCGTCCCTTTGTGTCTCTATAGTACAAATATCGGAAATGCCAAAATTGACGGCCTCTCAAAGGATCTCGGGATGACGGCCGATCAATACAATGCGACATTGACCATTTTCTTCGTGTCATATTCCGTCTTTGAGCCGTTGACCAATATCCTACTCAAGCGACTGCGACCAAGTATCTTCATTCCATCTATCATGCTTGCCTGGGTATGATAGCCTTGTTCCCGGATAGTTCTGATAATCACATATCTAACTCGGCTATGTCATAGGGTATTTGCATGACCTGTATGGGGCTTGTCAAGAACTACTCCGGCCTCATGGCCGTTCGCTGGTTCCTCGGTCTCAGCGAAGCCGGTCTCTTCCCTGGAGTCGGCTACTTCCTCTCATGCTGGTACAAGCGCTCCGAGTTCGGTGTGCGAATGGCCATCTTCTTCTCCGCTGCTGCACTGGCCGGATCCTTCGGTGGCTTGCTTGCTGCCGCCATTGCGAAGATGGATGGTGTTGGTGGTAAGCCCGGTTGGGCCTGGATCTTCATTTTAGAGGGTCTGGTCACTATCGTGATCGGGTTTATTTCCTTTTGGTGTGTGTATGATTTCCCCGATCAGGCAACGTTCTTGTCACCGGCGGACCGGACCCGAGTGTTGCGCCGGCTTGCGGCCGATCAGCAGTCTAGCGCGGAACATGAGGAGTTCAAGATGTCGTATTTCTGGGCCAGTGTCAAGGACTGGAAGACTTGGACTGGGGCTATCATTTATATGGGTGCTGATGGATCGCTTTATGCATTCTCGCTGTTTGTGCCGACAATTATCAATGAACTAGTGAGTCGCCATGGAGAAAGATATACCAGATTGAGGACTGACTTTTGTGCAGGGTAAAACGAACCAAACCGAAATTCTTCAAGTGAAGACTATCTTTAGAGGACGTTGGCTGACATTCCTTTTTTGAACAGGTTACAGCTCAATCCGCGCTCAGCTGCTTAGTGTGCCGCCATATGCTGCCGCTGCCATCTTGACCATTTCGATTGGATTTATTGCGGATCGCACACGCCAGCGTGGTATCTGCAACATCGCCGTCTCCCTCCTCGGCATGGTCGGGTTTGGCATGCTCTTGGGATGCGAGTCTCCCGGCGCACGATATGCAGGCGTTTTCCTCGGCGCCATGGGTATTTATCCAGCCATTGCAAACACCATCTCCTGGTCAAGTAACAACATCGAAGGTACGTCGTGTATATCTCGTACTGCTTCAGCGCAGCAGCTCACATCATATCCCTCTTAGGTGTCTACAAGCGTGGTGTCTCCCTGGGCTTTATTATCGGATGGGGTAATCTCAACGGAATTGTCTCGTCCAATATCTACCGCGAGAAAGATAAGCCCCGCTTCTATCCTGGTCACGGAGTGGTGCTAGGCTACCTGGTCTTGTTCCTATTCGGTGGCTCAATCGTGCAGTATATGCTGCTGCGTCGGGAGAACAGCAAGCGCCGTCGCGGCGAACGTGATCAATGGATTGAGGGTTTGGATCGCAGTCAGATCGAGTTGCTGGGTGATAAACGCCCGGATTTCCTGTACACCCTGTGATGACTTTTTGGAGAAGAGTGGTTATAAAGACAGGATGGACGGGAATGTGATATGAATTTGACGTGATATATACGTGTGGTATCATAGTGCGAGTGTAGGTTCGGCTGAGTTGCATGATGTCGAAGCAAAAGGTAGCAAATAAGGAGATTCAAAGATGACGGAATTATTTTCGCAGTGGTAGGTAGCAGCTGTTTTCAGCTCGCTACCGCTTGGAGAGTGTACAGTCCTCGTCTCTCCAACTCATGCCGCCCTCTCGTAGCGATTGATAATGTCCTGGTTCTTCTTCGGGCCCCGAACGACATGTCGACTCGCCCAACTCAACACTTCGCCCGTTTCTGACTGGATCCGGAACGCGTAGGCTGTCCGATACATGTCATTGATGCAGAGGTGATTCCCGCGGGCCATGAGAACGGTCGTCTCAGCATCGGTCGTGGTAATCGCGGGGGGTGTTGGGGGAGTAATCAATTCAGCCTTGCCCTCTTCAGTTTCCTTACCCTGCTCTTCTCCCTGACTGGAAACCTCAGGCTTGATCGTCGCATCGGCGAAATCAAAGTTGTGAAAGAGGTAGTCGGCCTCGTCAGGTCCCGGAGCTATCTTGACGAACCATACACTAATGCGCCCCGCATCACCATCCCGCCAGATATATTTCTTCGTCCAGCGCAGACCGACCTGTGCAGCGCCTCCACTAACGGAAGAAGGGATCTCGCCTTCTTCGCTGTACACCCAGTCGCGGTCGGCCGTGTTGGGTATTGGGGTGAAGGTCGCTGTGCCACGCAATTCACCGTTAAGGTCAAGTGGGTTGTCGCTACGAAGTGTGCGGGTGAGAGCCCATCGTGAGCTGCCTAACGAGCTGAGGAGAGGGAGGAGTTGACGGGAAGGCGACATTGAGCTGGAGTTGGCTCTGGGTGATGGTGGTGAACGTGTTGCTTTGATTGCAATACAATTACTCGGGTGTCTCATCGGAGGTCGTCCAAGTGGCTGTGCTTGTGGCGGTGAATGTGGAGATCTTCCCCAAGTTTCCCCGAAGTGGGAGTCGGGCACCTTGAATAGCATCATTAATCAAGTGACTCATTTAGTTGACAATTCTTGTCAATTATCACTCTCCATACTTGACGTTTTGATCTATCAGCGCCCTGGGCCTATACTTACCAATTCCTTAGTCACCTGCCCTCAGCAGTCTAGGGAGGCAGATACGCCACTCCGGACTCCGTGCGGCATCCACATCATAATAGAATACATCGCAGTGGCAGACACAATTGAACCTTACTGCGATCATACGGATATGTTGCAAGCACATTTGAGTTGACTTTAATTGATTCATGTCAGGGGTAAGTTACTTGAAGACTACTCATACACCTAGCAGAAGATTGCCCCAAATGATCAGGTTGTCAACATCAGCATCCAAGCTCCACAAGTCTGAGAAGATAAGGAAAAGCAATATTCTTCATAATTTAACCGTTGTCGCCAGGCAACAGGCTTGATATAGACTATTGGTAGCCCTGGTGGGTCACCTCGGTATGATGCAAGCGAAGAAGACCCGCGAATGTAGATTTTGGGATTCCTCATTACTTCCGAAATAGGAAAAAGGATGAACTTCGGAAATGTATAATTACCATGGTCGGACTCAACAATAATAACAATGTCTTTGTTCCACTCCTTGCCTAGGATAATCGTAATCTTGCAGAAGAGGCTAAACGTGGATGAATGCTCCGACTCATTGCATCTATAAGCAATGATCCTTATTAGCCCCCTAGCTCCAGGTAACCTATTTCCATCAACTCGCCTTCCTCTTCAGTAGTAGAACGGGATCTGGATATGCATGTGGCTATGGATGAATGCCTAATCGTATTCGTTCAACGGAGTTAAACGCACTGCCCCATAGAAATCCGGAGAAGAAAATGTCATGTAACCTTAGACACGTCCCTAGATCGAAGATGACGATTTCAAGAGTAGAAACGATCGATGATATAAAAGTCGATCGATCCAGTTTGATTGGCGATGGACCAGGTTTTCAAGGTTTGGATTGACTAACCCAATTCCTCTGATTGCGGAGGAAATAGGTTCCTGGTAATAAGATTGTACGGAAGGTGTATTCGACTGGATGCACGCGTCTCGTACGGTACTTTACACCGCAAACTACATCCTCTACGCCTAGATGCTTCGCCAGGCATCGCGAGTGGTTGAGAAGGCCTCGCTTGGGCAGCTCAGGCTTAGACTAACCAGTGATCATCCTACATAGTGAGAGTATTCTTTCGGGACTATCGGCCATGCTCAAGACACTGCTTCCAGGGGCTGGGGGCTTTGTCTTGTCAGGGTTCAGTACTTAAGTCCATACAGTCCCCGACCAAGCTTTAGGACATTGCAGCTTTCAGTATAATAATTCAGCCTGATAAGTTGTACGTCATCACATCACGATGCGCTTTAACTCTGCTCTTCTTGCAGCAGCTGCTGCTGCCGGCACTGCCCTTGCCCAGCGTCCGACCAACACGTCCATCTGTGACTACTACACCATGGCCTTATTGAAGGAGAACAACGCTACCAACCAGTACACTCTCCTGACCCTGCTGGTCAACACCGCCATCATCGGTAACTACACTCAGCCCAACGTCGGTGTCAGCGTTCCTGGAATCTTGAACCCCAATGGCATGTACAACAACACCAAGGTCAACCTGGTCCCCTACTTCGATGGCGGTCTTGCTTCCACCAACGAGGGTGGCAGCATGGGTGTTGCTAAGAACTTCCTTGACGGCGGCGGTGCTGCTCCTCTGATGAAGAACATGCCTGCCGATGACATGACTTCCAACCAATAGTAAATTCCTCATGAAAACCATCTCATCAATGGCTTGGAAATGCTAACAATGGACACAGCAAGCTCCTGACTCACCTCTACGAGTTTTTTGGTAGCCTCCTCGGCTGCTCTGAGGTTGGCATGACCGGTTTCGCCGCTTACTCTGGCGATGCTAGCATGTACGAGGTTCACAAGTAAGTCATTCTTAGAAGCAATTCCCAAATTAACATCAACGAACATCTCAACTAACCACATCTCTTACAAGGTTCATGGTCCTCGACCCCTTTCAGATGGGCTACTTCATTGAGCAGGTCGCTCTCTCCGCTGCCTCCTTTGGAGTCGCCACGTCGGACATCGAGGCCGTCGGCCAAGCTCTCGGCTCGCTCTTCAACTACCGGTGCTCCCCCAAGACTACCGTCATCAAGGCCCAGGGTCCCCAGTACCAGAGCATCTGCACTGACCAGTCTTGTCCGCTCGCTGATAACGCGGTCTGCGATGCCCAGCCCGCCATGGATCAGCCCCTTGTTGCCAACGCGACTCTCGCCGATGGTGAGGGCCGTAATGCCACTGGCTCTGCCACTATGTCCGGGGGTGCTACCGGCACCGCTACTGGCACCGCGACCATGTCTGGGAGTGCTTCTGGGACTACCTCTGGTAAATCCTCCGCCACCGCCACTTTCAACGCTGCCTCCCACGCCGCTCCTGGGCTTACCGGTATGTTCGCGACGCTCGTGGCCTTCCTCGCTCTGTAAATTTGTTTACTCGAGGATTTGTGTGATGGGGCGGAGGGTGAGATCTATAGTGATGATCTGGTGAGCATATGATGGTGTCAATTATTCTATTCTATATGTCTTGTTAAGGACAATTAATTTACGGGTGACTTTTTCCATTGAATCCTCACGCCCACGAATGATCTTGTTGAAACACCTTGTAGTAGTAAGAACGTTCGTTTGAGTTCGTCCTCGTAATGCAGATAGCAGGTGTGCCATGAATTGAATTTCCAGTTAAGACAGGATTGTCTTTACAATTTTCCTGTGGAAAGCCTATGGTAACAATTAACCAAAAGTGAGAAAGCTCAGATAGCCTATTCTATTGTGCGTGGCTGCCATATACGTCATAATCTGGGGTATTCCGGATCGGGATAGCTAGCACAGCCCGCAGCTTGCTCTTTGCGACACGAATAAAACAAAAGAGGGGGAGACGTGTAGACCCTGACTGTCATTCGCAGACCTCCGCGGCTCGTTTAAAAATCGCCGAATGCTTATAGGTTTAGCTAGTTGTCACAGCTTATGGACCTACGGCCCGTGCGACCGCGATCGAGATCGTGAGCAAAGCAAACGATCGGTCTCGTTCTCGCTCGGAAACAACGGAATCCGATTGGTCAAAAGATAAGAGCACAACCATAATAGGAACATATCTACAGAAATGTATGGTATCAGTAATACAGAACATAACATACGATATACATTTCCCAGATATATTTCCTGCAGTGAGAGAAACCTAGAAACAGCCACCAGAAAGAGCTATCTGAAAAAAAGGTCAGAATACAGGATATGGAATTCTACTAGTCTATCGTGGCTTTTTTGGGGGGTTGTGTAAACCAGGGATCGAGTCTTGCGACGATGCTATCAAGAATGATGGTTCTTACGGAGGCAAGTGATTGATTAGGCTGTTTACTCAGCATGGAACTCGCTTGTTGGAGAAGGTAGAGCTGTTCTTCAGCGTTCAGGGGAATATGAGAAGTGCGACTAGTGTTTGGTTCTATAACCTCTCGTTAGACATCTGCCATTCCCACTCTCATTTTCTATCGATTTGCCCGCCATTTCTGGGCATCTCATCGCAATGGGGTCAACATCTATGTCTGTGGCCGTCAGAAAGAAGATCTTGAAGACTTTGTTTGTCTCGCTGCTCCTTGACTTGGTAATTCCCCTCGTGCAAGTAATTCATTACCGCTGTTTGCTCATTGCTAACTACCAATTCTTGTACGAAAATCATAGATATCCTTCACCTTCATCCTCCCCCTCTTTCCATCAGTACTCAGTTACTACCGCGCCAAAGATGAAGCTCCAAACAGCCTCTTGAATGGCATCTTTCACTACTTGAACGCGTATAAAAACTCATTCTCAAAGCCAATCGACTCTCGCTATGATATCATTTTGCTTGGCGGGGCATTTGGCTCGCTCTTCTCTCTTTTGCAAGCCCTGGCTGCACCATTTATCGGTCGATTGTCAGATATCTATGGTCGACGCCAAGCGATGTTGTTGTCAATGGCTGGTAATATCCTCAGTGTGTCACTGTGGGTTGGCGCAACGGATTTCCGGACGTTCCTTGCGAGTCGCATCGTTGGTGGGTTGACCGAAGGAAATGTACAACTTGCCAATGCGATTGTGTCGGATATTAGTGATGAAAGTCAACGTGGGTCTGCGATGGCTCTTGTCGGCGCATGCTTTAGTATTGCCTTTACTTGTGGTCCTATGCTCGGTGCCGCGCTGTCTACAATTGACATGATGGCTTCGAACAAATTTGCCGTTGCGGCGGGTGTGTCTCTGCTTTTGGTCGTTGCCGAGACGCTCTACATTTATGTTTTTTTGCCGGAGACTCATCTGCAACTGCGGAACCTACCAGGTGCCAGTGATGACACTGCCGAAAAGAGCAATGGACAACCGAAAACAAACGGCGTGGCCTCCATGGATGGACATTCTAAGCCTCTGATGAACGGGCACACCAAAAACGCCAAAGCAAAGGGCGAGACCAACAATTTGACCGTCTTGAAGATCACCCATTTCCTATTCCTGATTTCCTTCTCCGGCCTGGAATTCTCGCTCCCGTTCATCACGGCTGCATTTTACGGCCGCCGACACGAGAACAGCATATCCATCCGCCTTGAATGGTCGACTTCTATCTATGATGGGCCTGATTGCTTCTTTGCTTCAAGGGACCATTGTGCGCCGCTTACCTCCACTTGTAGTGATTCGAGTCGGAGTCATCTCGTGCGCCCTATCATTTTTCCTGCTTGCGCAAGCCTCCTTGATCACGGGGCTTTATAGCGCTGGAGCGTTGCTCGCCGCGACATCGGCGACGGTGGTGATGAATATCAACAGTCTTGGTAGCTTAGAGGCACGGGAAGCTGAGCGTGGGGCCGTCCTTGGCCATCTTCGAAGCTGGGGACAGGTTGGTCGGGCTTTGGGGCCGATGCTGTTTTGCTCGTTGTTTTGGTGGGCTGGAAGAGAGGTTGCATATACCACGGGAGGTGCGATGATGGTTGGAGTTGGCGTGATTGTCTTTGGTTTACTTCGTTCTCCTGTAAGGACATCATCCAGGGCTTAATGGAAGGATGGCTATTCCTGTTAATGGTATATCGGTGCTTCTGTAATATACACGCATGCAAGTCAATGAAGTTGTTGACTGAGATTACACGACGATGGTCACCAGGGCCGGCGATTCCTTCCGTAACCCTGCCGAAGGGGATTTGTTAAGTGATTGAGCAACTTGACATTAATCAGTCAACTTGATTCAGTTGAATTCAACTTTGAACCCGATTCTCGCCAATCGGATCAGACCCATAAAGCAAGCTTTTTGGTATAATGAATGGGGCGGCCCGCCGTGGTGGTTACGATTGAGGATTGATATGGTCGCGACTAGTCCATACATCCGGCTTTCTTGATGCCAACAGAGCCCTTTTCGAGCATGCTCAGAAGCATTGATGTATCTGAGGTTTGTAATTTGCAAAATTGAAAATATATATTTGATCTGTATGGACGATGGACCTGAGGTCATGGGTATGTTTAGATATCAGTTTGGGTGGCAGTTAGAAAATATATATGTTTCCAGTGGTCGGGGATGAGTATTGGGCTGTTAGCAACAGGTCTAACTTGAGTTCAAGGAAACGCTAGCCTCTTTGAGTGGGTTATTTTTCGCTATTTCTGTGATGATTTGAATGTTAGATACAGCCCATGAAGCTGAAACTTATATCTAGTCTCACAAAAACAGCTAGAACATCGAAGTCCGATCTCGTGGATTTCACACGTGGCGGGTGGTGGGTAAGTTTTAGATTCCAGGATCGGCAGTCCAGCTCCGCTCAACAAAAGCTTGAGTGCCGTGTGCCTGAATGATTATTTTCAGTGGCGATGGAGGCTTTCAGCCTTCAGCTCTGCATGTCATTTGTTTCTGGTGGAATAATTTCAAGGGGACCCGGGCGCAAATGGATGATTCATCCGAGCTTATTGTTTAGTTAGTTAGTTAGTTGACGTTAGTTACTTATTGGAGGAGGCACATAACCGAGTTTCCGCGATTCATCTGAAGGGAAAATCCTGGCGAGGTGAAGGAGCCAATCCGGTGTCGCCCTCGGGCGCTATTGAGTTGGGCCCCCACGCGTAGGGCGTTAGAGCCATTTCTTTAGCGACCTAGAAGATTACACCTGGACTGAGATTCAAGAGATGAATTATTGTGAATACTGTATAGATATGATTGATAAGTTATGAACTGTTTTCTGTATGATAGACTGTTCCATCCATAGTTGCCCGACTAAGTAGTCACATATTTCATTTCGCCAGGGCCTGGAACTGCAACGGTCGGATCGGCGGTGGGCCCGCGTTTGAAGTACAGGGAATAATAAGATGATATGAGATTTGGTAGCCTATCTCAGCTCGGATGAATAGACTGACTTTACTGGGATATTATCGAGTCTTGCGATATGATAGGTACGGAGGATAACCAGTTCCTGACTAAATCTGTACCTCGTATCCGCGGCAGTAAACTGGCGAGTCTACTTAGAGTAACGAACTATGTTACATAGTAGTAGTATGTCACTCGGGACAATCGTTACCGTTTCCAGCAGGCGGATCTGACAGCTAATCTCCCTTGTCCTTTAACTCGATCACCTCTCTCTCTTCATCGGATAATTGAGAAATTCTCAATTCTTAACTACTGTATTCTATCTATGTAGTCAATTCTATACATCTCTCAATGACTGAATGCAGCAAGGTCCAGTCCATGATTCAATCCCAGCCTGGACCCTGTCCCGGTGGAGTTTATTGGCCGAGTGCGGCCAGAACCCGAACAAGAAGAACAAGACCAGGCTCCTTTTTTTAAACTTCGGATGAATTCCAGGAAGAAGAAGAATAAAATATCATGATTCTAGTTGAACTTAGTAGTGATTATGATTCCTTGATTACATGATGATTATTCTTTACTGTTAGTTCCTTTTTAGTTTTGGTCCCTGTCACAATACTCCGTACTAATAATCATTATTAAGTTACCCTTTTTAGGTGGTTCTCCTCCACTTTTCATCTCCTCATTTCTTCTTTAGTTTCCCTTTTCCACTTTCCCCCCCCCCTCTTTTTTCTCTTCTTCATCTCATCACAACGCCCTTATTCATTCCCATCATGGACTGCCCACCTTGATCCCGCCATCCCCTCTATCGTTCGATTCCGCCACATTCCGCACGGATACTTTCCTCTCGACTCTCGCTTGCTCTTTTACTACTATCGCTCATCTCGACTGCTTCCTTCTCCGGACTTATCCCCAGTCATGACACTCACTATCGGGCGTGGCCGTCGGCTGGGCCTCTTCCTCCTCTCGCTTTACGCCTCCACCAGCGCTGCCGCCAGCATTCTTCCCTCCGCGGCCTCCTCCTCGTTCCCCCAATGTGGTCTGTCTTGTACGGCCCTGACTCAGGCGCAGAGTAGCTGCGAGGCCGCCGCCGAATCGACCTGGGTCTCCTGCTTCTGCCAGTCGTCCCTCCTCACCACCCTCAAGACCTCCGGCAGTCTATGTTCCTCGTGTACCTCGTCCTCCGACCAGACTCTGCTTTCTACTTGGTATAACAATTACTGCAATTCCAATGGCAGGGATACGGGCAGTAGCGACACCAGCACCACAACCGACACGACCACGGCCACCAATTCGGCGTCAACGGGCACCGCGACGCCCGTGAAAAGCACCAGCAATACCTCCGCCGCGGACGAAAATAAGTCTTGGTATGTCTCAGATTTGCCCCTCCACTTTAAACTCAGACATATCTCTTCTCCCCCCTCCCCGCATTTCCACGCTTCCATCTTACCCGAGACCTGACTAACCCGTTTATCTCTCCCTTTCCAGGTGGAGCACTCACTACCAATGGGTGATCATGTTGATCGTCCTCGCCATTGGCTTCAGTGCCATCGCTGCTGGTGGTATCTGGCTCAAGCGCCGCTACGATGCTAAACGACCGGGCCTGTATCACGGTGGAAGTGCGGCAGGCAGCTCGGGTGTTCTCAGTGGAAACCCCGTCTCCAACTCGAATTCGGGAGTCTTGAGTCCCCCGCCGCCAGCCTGGGCATCGTCCACGGGGCCTAATCAGTCCCAGTCTCTGGCGAGTAGCTCGCTTACAGACATGGCTGCTACTCGGGGGAATAATGCGGCTCCCCCGCCAGGGAGTCGCACGCGTCTGCCCAAGCCCTCGCAACCTTCATCAGATGTGGAGATTCGACATGTTTCTCTACAATAGACCAACTATCTGTTGTGTTTTTTTATGTTTGTTTTTATTCTCCGATTCCCATGTTGGTATCTTTTTTGAGCTTTATAAGTTTTATGTTGATGAATCGGACATCTGTGACTTAATGTCTGACGCGATAGCACGGGTGACTTGTGCTGTCCGTGGTGTGAAGTCATGCTGTCTATCCTTGTGGAGGTACTTCTTTACCTTGTGCGTCTATTTTGTCCCATCTTGCATTTTCTCGGCGTTCACGGTGTGTGGGAATATTATTTCTGGGAGGATTCGAGTCTACATAGCTCTCCCCCATTTCTTGGTCTTTTCAAGCTTTGTCCTAAAGCGCAAGGACAAACCCCAGTCTGTCATATGATGGGCTGTGGGCTATTTGCCTCCAATCTTGAATCCTTGGATTGCTTATCTGGTTGAATTTACTTGATGTCTGATGTCCCTCTCCTGGGCGGGTTTCGTATTTAGGTACATCCGGGGCGTGGCTTGGTCCCGTTTGAAACTTTGAATTTTATATCCGTGAGCTTAACAAACTATAATCTTGATATTCAGAGCTCAATGCCAACGAGGGCTCGCTGTTTGGGGACTCGTGATCTCGTATAAAAAGAAGATGAAGGGAAAAAACTATAGATGCTCATGGTAATGTACATATCCTGAAGCTATGCGGATCCTCATCAAGAAATGCTGATACTCACAATCTTGACGTCCACCTCGGGCTTCTCCTTATGCGTCTTCACATTTTCAATCTTATGCACCACGTCTAGACCTTGGACGGCACGACCAAAGACGGTGTGTTTATTATCAAGCCATGGGGTCTTCTCTGTTGTGATAAAGAATTGACTTCCGTTCGTGTTTGGTCCGGCATTCGCCATCGACAGGGTATATGGCTTGTCGTGGCGCAGACTCGAGAACTCATCGGGAAATTCTCCACCCCAGATGGACTCGCCGCCGGTGCCGTCACCTTGAGGGTCACCGCCCTGAATCATGAACTTGCGGATTACTCGATGGAAGATCGTGTTATTGTAGTATCCTTGTCGGGCGTGGGTAACAAAGTTCTCAACAGTGCGAGGGGCAGCAGTGGGGAACAGGCGGAGGTGGATATCACCCATGGTGGTGTGCAGAACTGCAGCGGTACCAGTCTCCTGAGGCTTGGCTGCGCCTGCATCAGAGGCACCGACAACTTGAGTAGGTTTCTCGTTCTGTACGTCACGGCTGCTCTTGGAAATATCGGTTTCATTGGTGAATAGGTAGAACCGGACCTTGGCGAATCCGGTGCTGACAAGGATGGCATCACGCTCCTCGGCCTCCTGTAGCAGAGGGTTACTGCTAGCAGCCATGGACACAGTCACTACGCCCTTACGCTGCGGCTGGCCCTGGTACAGAGCCAGGTTCAAGGCTCGGAAAGGCTCCTCCCGCCCAAATACTCGCACCACGCGATTCGTATACGTGTTGATGCACTTGATGCCGTACAATGATCCATAAAGCAAGAAGTGGCCGGACTCGTCGAAGGAAACATTGAACTTGCTCCGGGTGGCTTCTCCTTCCAATTCTCGTTCGACTGCAAGCCTGCGCCCGAATTCCACTTCCTCCAGCTGATACGGCGCGGTGCCCGCCTGTTGCATTTCCATGATAGTCGCAATGGACTCGTCGTATGTGCGGTAGAGTTTACCCGTCGCGAATTCAAACACGCGGATCTGGCGATCGGGGAAAGACACCGTAGCGAAATGCTCCCCAGAGGGCGAGATTGTGATCGCAGTAGCGGTGGATTTGGCCTTCTTAAAGGCAAACAAGTTGGTGGACGATTTGAGCTCGAAGACATTATCCGGTTTCTCAAAAGATCCGTCTCCTGTGCGCCAATACTCAATCATGCCTGATTCGTCGGCGGAGACCACGCAGTCGAACGCATTGTTGAACGCCATCGAGACGATTGGAGAGCGATGAACCGACTTCACCGTGTGTAGAGGCTGCGGGTTCTCGCCGCGTCCATCAAATACTTGGAAGGTACTGCTAGACTCATCGGTTACAGCAAGCAATGGTAGGGATGCTCCTCGTCGATGCACCCAGCATACACATCGAGGGACGAATTCGAGGGTGTACATGGCCAATAGATCTGTCACACCGTTAGTAAATACCCCGGGAGAAAATCTCGAGTTGCAATCTTACCAAAGGTAATAACATCAAAGATCTTAACCGTCTTGTCCACACCCGCCGTCGCAAAACTACGACCATCGGCACTGACGTTGACACTGCGGATCTCACCTGGATGGGCGCGGAACTCCTTCACAAACTCAATGCCGTCCGCCATTTTCTTCCAGAACTTGACTACACCATCCACCGAGCTGGTAATCACAAAATCTGTGAAAGGAGTGACCGTCACAAAGGACAATTGGTCCTTGTGCATCAGCGACTTGGAGTATCGCGCCGAGGCGGGCAGCGCATTGATGTACACCTTCTCGAAGGGCAGCTTTCGTCTTTTCTTCTTCGGAGCTGCCTCGGAGGGCAGTGCGGGACCGAAGTCATCGTCTGAGGAGGAATCGTCGCCTGCACAAGAATGTATACACGGTCAGTCGATTGCGCGCAAAGGCTTCCGGAGCTCTAGGGCGCGGGGAGGGTTGTCCTCACCATTGTCGGCGGCATCGACCTCGGAGTGGGGGCGCTTGTTAACAGTGGCCGCTGCGGCCTCGTCAGAACCAGCCATTTTCTGCACAATTGATCCCAGAGATAAGGAAGTAAGCGTCTTCTTTGGGATGAAGGAGGAGGAAGAGCTTTGGGCTCATCGCGAGCGGCGGGCGGTGGGCGGCCATTCGGGCAGAAGCTCGGACCACCCAACTTTTCTCCTTTCTCGCCGTGATTCCCCCCCCACTGTTGACGAAGCTGCACCTTTCAGCAGTCGACACCTTTATTTGATCACTAGTTCGACTGTTCGTTCCTAGCTGATTATCATGGTATGATAACGATTGTCTTTTTGGGGATTTGGCATGATTATGTGCTAACTCTACCTTTAACAGTCGTCATTTGGCAATCCCACACAGATCTTTGCCGACGATGTTACTGAGGAGAAGGGTGAGAATGCCCGTCTGTCGGCCTTTGTCGGTGCCATCGCAGTCGGTGATCTCGTGAAGAGCACTCTGGGTCCCAAGGGAATGGATAAGATTCTGCAGTCTGCGTACGTGGCGGGGTGTTCTGGATACCATTGGTGGGGGTTATCATCATTGTCATATGCTAACGCTGGTCTCTTGTAGTTCCACCGGAGACATTCTCGTGACGAACGACGGTGCTACCATCCTGAAATCGATCGCTCTGGACAACGCGGCGGCGAAGGTGCTGGTCAACATCTCCAAGGTTCAGGACGATGAGGTGGGTGACGGTACTACATCCGTCACCGTGTTGGCTGCTGAGCTGCTCCGCGAGGCCGAGAAGCTGGTGAACTCCAAGATTCATCCCCAGACTATCATTGAGGGTTACCGGATAGCTAGCCGTGCCGCTCTCATTGCTCTTGAGAACTCCGCCGTCGACCGCAGCCAGGACCCGGAGGCCTTCCGCAAGGACCTGCACGCAATTGCACGCACAACGCTCAGCTCCAAGGTGCTGGCACAGGACCGAGACCACTTTGCCCGTCTGGCCTGTGAGGCTGTCCTCCGCCTGAAGGGCTCCACCGACCTGAGCCACATCCAGATCATTAAGAAGGCCGGCGGCAAGCTGCAGGATTCCTACCTGGACGAGGGCTTCATCCTCGACAAGAAGATTGGTGTCAACCAGCCCAAGCGCTTGGAGAATGCCAAGATCCTCGTGGCCAACACTGCGATGGATACGGATAAGGTTAAGATTTTCGGCGCTCGGGTCAAGGTCGAGTCGACGGGTAAGCTGGCCGATCTTGAGAAGGCTGAGCGGGAGAAGATGCGGGCCAAGGTTGAGCGGATCAAGTCTCACGGAATTAATTGCTTCGTCAACCGGCAATTGATCTACAACTGGCCCGAGCAGCTCTTCACTGAGGCTGGTATCGTGTCCATTGAGCACGCCGACTTTGATGGTATTGAGCGTCTCGCCTTGGTGACTGGCGGTGAGATTGCCTCCACATTCGACCACCCCGACCAAGTGAAGCTGGGCTCTTGCGATCTGATTGAGGAGGTGATTATTGGCGAGGACACTTTGATCAAGTTCTCCGGCGTGGCTGCTGGCCAGGCCTGCACCATTGTGCTGCGCGGTGCTACCGAGCAGCTGCTCGACGAAGCCGAGCGCTCCCTGCACGATGCCCTTGCTGTTCTCTCTCAGACTGTCAAGGATCCCCGTGTTACTCTCGGCGGTGGTTGTGCCGAGATGGTGATGTCCAAGGCAGTGGAACAGGCTGCTCAGAACACCACTGGTAAGAAGCAGCTGGCCGTGGACTCCTTCGCACACGCCCTCAAGCAATTGCCGACCATTCTGGCCGACAACGCTGGTCTGGACTCCAGCGACCTGGTCACTCGGCTGCGCCAGGCCGTGAACAACGGCATGACCAGCTCGGGTCTGGACCTGTTGACACCCGGCGGTGGCATTGCCGACATGCGGGATCTCGGTGTTGTGGAGGCGTATAAGCTGAAGAAGGCCGTTGTGTCATCGGCTTCTGAGGCTGCTGAGGTATGTTTCTCGAAGTTTCCTTTCTCTACTTTGTTTGTGGTTCACTTTACTGACTGGTCTTGTATAGTTGCTTCTGCGTGTGGACAACATCATCCGGGCTGCCCCTCGCCATCGGGATCGGATGTGAAATGATTGATGCGATATGGATTGTTGGGTTGTCCCTGATTATGGCGGGGGCTCTTTGCAAAAAAAAAGAGACACTATTCATACTGTTTAAATATCCAATACATTCAATCTATCCAAGCTACTTATCACGTGCCATATCGACTGGTTTGTGGCCTTACTGCCTTGTTGCCTTTGGCCTCAATTATCACGTGAGTGGCTCTTCAGTGCCTGATGAGTCAGCACCGCTTTGAGTACTGTGACTCCCGTCCATGGAAAAGACCCTCGTCGACCCTCGCAGACCCTGACCGAGACCTTGCGGGACCCTCCCCAAAAGCGTCAGCTTCGGTTCTTAGGAGTGGTACTGTCCAGTCACATTCTTGATCTAAAAGCAACGGGATTTGACCAAGGGAATGATTAGATAACAGTTTAATCTGTAGAGTAGGTGATCACGAGTAATTATTATTATCTGAGCATCGAAACAGAGTTTAAATGGGATCATCGGACATGACGACGAAACCCTGCCCATTCGCATGGAGATCGGCGTGGGCCCCGTCAATGAGCGTAGTGGCTGTCGTGACCGATCCGAGGAATGCGGGCAGTTCTTCTTTTTCTTTGAGACAATTCATCTCATGATGTGTTTAGGTTGTAAATAGATCTTGAGACCAGGCGAGGGGTCTGAGTTGCCAAGGGCGCATGAGTGTCTCATTTGAGTAGGAGTACGGAGTAGTTAGTACATACTAACATAGTAGACTAAGTACATACAGTAGCTTCCGCCCACTGCCGCCCAGGCACCCAAGAAACAGTTGAGCCTGTCATCGGGGTTATTTTTAGTGGCAGAGACCCCCTGAGATTAAAAAAAATAAAGAACAAGATTCAAAAGGGAGCCTTTAGCAGTGAAATGTGATATTTGATATAGAGTACATTATTTGCAATATTATAATTCTAGTTCTCTTCTATACAAAATTGTAGGCTGTCCCTGTATCCGGTAGACCCTAGGCCCTTTGGTAGTGGCTCCATCCCAGTCCGTGGCGGAGTCTCTCTTCTTGTCTTCCCCCCACCTAAAGAACCAACCGAACCGGCGTTTAGGCGCACCCTCCCAGTTACCCTCCCAGTTACCAGACGGTCATCATTGGCACACTGACACACTCCCGCTGCCACTTTCACTGCCACACTCTCTCCTCCTCCTCCGGTTCTCCCGTACCTCGTTTCCCTCACTCTCTCGCCTTCTCTCCTCTCCAACGCCCAGCCCGGCTCTGGACTTTTTCCCTTGTCCCCACCGTCTTTCGTCCTCCACCCTGAAGATTTGTCCCTGATCGTCAACTCCCATCTTCGCCCCAAACCCCCCTGCTTCTCCAGCTCGTTCGCGCGCTGCTTCCTCTCCCGCGCGCTCTCTCCATTTCGATGCTGTATACCCGTCCACTCGTTTAAACTCTCCATGATCTTCTCCCACTGGCTAGCCACCCTGGTGGGTGGCTCCCTCGCTGTCCATGGCGCTCTCGGTGCCATCACCCTTAATGTCGATGATGAAAGTCAGTCTCCTGGATCTCCTTAGTCCCTCTGGCCTCGTCCCAAATGGATGGCTCCTTATGGCCAGTCCCTACGCTTGCTGGCGGGCTCCCGGCTGGTATGCTGACAATGCGCTCCTCCTAGACTCCCTCAAAACGGCGGCCAAGACGGTCGCCTCCGACATGATCGATTACTACAATGCTCGAGATTCCAAAGATATTCCCGGAAAGTTTGACGGCACTTGGTGGGAAGGTGGTTCGATGTTCATGGTTCTTATTCAGTACTGGTGGTTGACTGGCGATTCACAATTCAACGCCGCCATCCAGGAGGGCATGTACTGGCAGAAGGGCGACGACGATTTCTTCCCATCCAACTACAGTCAGTATTTGGGTAATGACGATCAGGTTTTCTGGGGTCTCGCCGCTATCACCGCGGCCGAGCTCAACTTCCCCGAACAAACCAACCAGCCATCCTGGGTGTCTCTCGCCCAGGGTGTCTTCAACACCCAGGTCCCGCGTTGGGATACCAGCAGCTGCCACGGCGGTATGCGCTGGCAGATCTGGCCCTACCAAAGTGGTTACACTACTAAGAACGCTATCTCCAACGGTGGTCTTTTCCAACTGGCTGCCCGCCTCGCGCTCTACACCAAGAATGCTACATACGCCGAATGGGCCGAGCGCATCTGGGATTGGAGTGCCACCACTCCGCTTCTGAAGCAGAAGAACTGGAACATTGCCGATTCCACCACCTGCGAAACCCAGTGTACCGACCACGGTGATTGGCAATGGACCTACAACTACGCTACCTATATCAGTGGTGCTGGTTACATGTACAACTATGTATGGTGACCCCGATTCTTTCTGTGGTATTTTTATCTCGCTAACCTAAAATCATTAAGACCAACGGAACTGCCTCCAAGTGGAAGGAGGGCATTGACGGCTTGATCGGTACCTCCAGTCAGTTCTATCCCACCCAGGGCTACAATGGCGCCGCTGGCAACGTCCTGGTGGAGATCACCTGCGAACCGATCGAGAAATGTGATCGCAACCAAATCACTTTCAAGGCGTACTTCTCCAGTTGGCTGGCCTTCCTGACTACGATCGTGCCCGGATCCTCGGATACCATTCTGCCCAAACTAAAGACTTCGGCGCAGGCCGCGATCAAGACTTGCACGGCGGGTACAGGTGGTAACCTCTGCGGTACCAAATGGTATGCGCAGGCCGCTGACGGCTCCACTGGTCTGGAGCAGCAGATGGCGGTGCTGGGAGTACTCAATGCCAACCTCGTTCCCTTCAAGGGCGGGGCGCCCCTCACCTCGGAGACTGGTGGTACCTCGAAGAGTAATCCCAATGCTGGTACCAACAGCTCGAACCAGCAGGTGCCTGTCCTGAACAACATTACCACGGGTGACCGCGCGGGTGCTGGAATCCTCACCGTCATCTTCGTGACTGGATGGGCGGTTGCCGTCACCTGGATGATCCGGGGTGGTTAGACTTGTGTTTTTTTTCAATTTCTGTTCGGTGTTCTCCCAATGGCCCCCCAGTGGGGGTTGCCTTTCTGTTCTTATATATTCCCTTGACTTGGCCATGTCTGTACTTCTCTTTGCTCGGCTTCTGACTTTCCTTCTCTGTATCTATCTGGGCCTTTTCTTTCCCATTTTCTATGTTTTTTTTTTCGTCCTCGTCTCTGCTGCTTGACCAGAGTCTATCTTTGGCAGCGGTATGTACGTGGTTGGGTGCTACGGCGTTTGGAGACACACTGCGATTTGGGACGTCTTTACTACATCATCTTGCCCATTGCTTTGACATGGAAACCAATGGATTTCAAAATTTCTCGGGTTAACGAGGATCGACACTGCCGTTCGCTTGTTCTTTTTTGTATATTCTGTGGGGCGCCTAAGGCTGTGCTGATGTAGGTGCATGCTTAGTTGAAATATTACGCCATCTTAATAATTCTTACTGTACTGGCCCCTTGGGTCCAGAATTGTGAGTGTTTTTGGGGTCGAGAACTGATTGTGGAATCGAGGTACATACATGCATGTCTTCATGTTACATGAGAGGTTTGTTCTGTCCTTTTCAATGACAGGGTAAATTGACCAATTAACCATCGTTACCTATTACGAAGTACACCATTTATCCGAAATGACTCCTTCGTTTTCATTGTTTCTCCTCTTCTCCACATGCAAAGTACAGGGGCGGACGTGCGTGGGCCCCGTATTGTTTGATATTGTTTGATACCTTCCCGGTACAGCCACTTTACTGGGGCCGAAGGCTGGAAGGGGCTGGGCACTGCCCGTAAAGTACACCGGCTATACACTTGTAATCTTACACAAAATCCTGTGGCCTCCCCTAGGACTTTCGACTTCCTCCCCTTTCCACGACTTCTCTCACTTTCTCTCCTGATTCTCATCCTCTTGCTTTGATCCCATCGCATTCATTTCCATCCCATCCCTCGCTGATTGTCCCTTTCTGCTCCCTCTGTACAGCGCTCGTTGCATCACTCGAACCCATCCACAACCTTGAATGTGGGGGAATGATCCGCGATCCGGATTCTCGACTCGCTCCACACTAAAGCCATCCGCCCGTCCGCACACACACACACGACACTCGACCCAACTCGAACCCATCCTACCCCTAGCCCATGAGCTGGTTACCGGCCTCCCCATTGACCTTTCTATCCTCGAACCTCGCACAGTGCTGAAGTTTCCACAATGCGGTGGCGGCTGTCGGGCGCCCGTTCGACCATCCCCGCCAGCGTCGCCCTCCTCCTCCTTCCGGTCCTGGTTGCTCCGCAGCAGCACCCAGAATCCCATGATTTCTCCATCCCCCAGGTCTCCGTGCCGTCAGCGCCGGCGGGAGCAGACCCAATTCATGCAAGTGCGGCAACACTAGCCGTACCACCCATCGTGAAATCCAACGATGCGAGCGCCCTAGCAACTCTGGCTCTGGCAGGCTCCGGCCGCGCCGTTCGAGCCCCTCCCGTCCGGGCTAGCAGTACCGCTGCTGGCCTGGCTTCGCAGCTTCACGCGCGGTCCCTACAGGACTGGGAGGTTGAGGACTTTGTGCTGTTGGCGACCGTCGACGGAACCATTCACGCGAGAGACCGGAAAACCGGCTCTTCTCGCTGGGCCCTCGAGGTGCCCAGCAGTCCTCTTGTGGAGAGTATCTATCATCGTGCCAATCGCTCGAGCTTTGATGAGACCCAGCCCGAGGATGACTTTTTATGGATCGTCGAGCCCAGCCAAGATGGCAGCTTGTATGTTTACAGCCCGGGTCCCGAGGCTGGACTGCAGAAGCTCGGCTTGACGGTCAAGCAACTGGTGGACCAAACCCCTTATTCCGGTATTCAGCCTGCTGTGACGTATACTGCTCGCAAGGAGACGACTTTGTATACGATCGATGCCCGGACTGGTAGCATCTTGCGGGTGTTTAGCTCTCGGGGTCCATACACCACGGGACAGGAATGCCGGAAGGTGGATGGTCTGGAGACAGACTCTGACGAGTGTGAGACCACTTCTGGTACCCTTGTACTCGGTCGTGTAGAGTATGCCGTGGCAATTCAGAACACCGAGACGGGGGACCCAATCTGCACACTGAAATACTCCGAATGGGCCCCGAATAATCGGGATATTGACCTTCAAAGTCAGTATTACCGCACAATGGACTCGAGCCACATTTATAGCATGCATGATGGAGTTGTGTTGGGATTTGATCATTCTCGGATGGACCGGCCTCGGTACACGCAACGTTTTTCATCTCCAGTGGCCCGTGTTTTTGATGTGGTTCGTCCTGTCAACAAGGATGCCCCGGATGCATCAACGCCTCTGGTGCTCCTTTCCCAACCACTTCAACCTCCTGACCCGGACTATGGCACATTAGATGACCGCGACACTCGTGTCTTCATTGATTCGACCAACGCGGGTGGGTGGTATGCGTTGTCCGAAGAGACGTACCCTCTAGTCACAGGCCGAGCCCCAATGGCTCAATGTTACGACAAGGACTTCTTCCGCAAAGGACAGTTGCTCATGAGTCTGACTCCAAGTCAACAACGAGACGCTTTGGCTGGTGTGCACTCCTTGAATGGCCCACGCATCACTCCATCCATTCCCCGACTGGGCAGCTCCCCGACCACCGAAATATCCAACGACACCCCACGTGATGTCTTGCGCAGCCCATCGGAACTTGCGCTACCCCCTGCCCTTCGGCACAGCGCCATCATCCGCAAAAGTTGGGACAACGCGTTGGACATTGTTGTTACATTGATCTTGTTGTTCATTGGCACGTTCATCTACTTCAACTCGCATCATATTCGGGATCTCGCCAAGCAGAAGCTGGACATCAAGAACATCATCAACATCAATGACAAATCTGCACTGTCGACTCCTGCCACTCCCATTGTCGGTTCGGCCCCGGACATGAAGCGACCATCTGCACCGACTCGACAACTTCCCGGCGTGACTGTGGATGTTGACCTCGGAGATAGCACTCCGGATGGTGAAGCCACTCCTCGTCCCTCGCGGGAGCACAGTGCACCGCCTATTTCGACGCCCCGCGTGCAAATTCGTGAGCCATCTCGTGAAACCGATGATGGCGAAGCGGATGATGGCGCTCAAGATCCTGACAAGCCGGCGAAGAAGGGCAAGCGCAAGCGTGGTACTCGTGGTGGAAAATCACACCGCAAGGGCAAGAAGCCCGGCACCGAGGGAGATGCCAACCAGGCTGACCGGGTTGTGGAGCAAGTCAACAATATGGCTCCACAGTCTCGTCTGGAACCCGATGTGCAAATGACTCGTACCGTCTCCAACGAGATTGTGGAGATGGACGGTGTGATCCGTATTGGTCGATTGGAAGTCTTCACCGATGTTGTACTCGGACATGGCAGTCACGGTACCGTGGTGTATCGGGGCGTGTTTGATGGGCGCAACGTGGCTGTCAAGCGTATGCTGATGGAGTTTTATGATATTGCCTCTCACGAAGTTGGGTTGTTGCAAGAGAGCGATGACCACCACAACGTTATTCGGTACTTCTGCCGTGAACAGGCGGCAGGGTTCCTGTACATTGGTCTGGAACTGTGTCCTGGGTCGCTGCAGGATGTTATTGAACGCCCCTCACAACACCCCGACTTGGTCCAAGGCGGCCTTGACATGCCGGATATTCTGAAGCAGATCACCCAGGGTGTGCGCTATCTGCATTCCCTCAAGATCGTTCACCGTGATCTGAAACCTCAGAATATTCTGGTTGCCATGTCTCGTGGTCGAACCTCAGTTCGGTCTCTCCGGTTGCTCATCTCCGATTTTGGACTGTGCAAGAAGCTTGAGGATAACCAGAGTTCTTTCCGAGCCACCACTGCTCACGCCGCCGGTACATCGGGATGGCGTGCGCCGGAGCTGTTGGTGGATGATGACAATATGGCCATGAGCTCTGAGTCGCAGCATACCGAATCATCGGAGCCCGCAGTTGTGGACCCGCAGACCAACCGCCGTGCCACTCGTGCCATCGACATCTTCTCCCTGGGCTGTGTGTTTTACTACGTTTTGACTCGTGGTAGCCACCCCTTCGACAAGAATGGCAAGTTTATGCGAGAGGCCAACATTGTCAAGGGCCAATTTGACCTGGAGGAGTTGAGTCGCCTGGGTGATTATGCCTTTGAGGCTGATGATCTCATTCGCTCGATGCTGTCTTTTGATCCTCGACAACGCCCCGATGCCAGTCAGGTCCTCATGCACCCCTTTTTCTGGCCCCCCTCGGACCGTCTCAGCTTCCTCTGCGACGTCTCCGATCACTTTGAGTTTGAGCCCCGTGATCCACCCTCGGATGCCCTGCTCTGCTTGGAGTCGGTTGCAGAGCGAGTCATGGGTCCAGAGATGGACTTTTTGCGTCTGCTTCCTCGTGATTTCAAGGACAACTTGGGCAAGCAGCGCAAGTACACCGGTGACCGGATGTTGGATCTGTTGCGTGCGCTGCGTAACAAGCGCAACCATTACAATGACATGCCTGAGTACTTGAAGGCGCATATCGGTGGACTGCCCGAAGGCTACCTGAACTTTTGGACGGTGCGCTTCCCCAGTCTGTTGATGAGCTGCCACGAGGTGATTGTAGAGTTGGGTCTTACAGATATCGATCGTTTCCAGCGGTACTTTACTCCTCCTGAGTAGAGTGGTGGAGTTGAGGGTTGGTGATGGTATATGGTCCATAGTTTTGTATCTAAATTTGAATCTAACTGATATTTTCTGTTTCCACTTTTTACTTCGCTTTCTGGTCTATGTCTTCGACTTGCTCCAGTCTGATGTAGTTCGTTGGTTGTTGGACGCTAAGAGGGCGCTGCTGCCATCCTGTCCTTCTTTGTTTGCGGTTCCCTGCGTCTGCCTCTTGTTGACTTCCCTTTTCATCTCTTCTTCGCCCATCGCTTCTCACCCTCCGCGACTCTCTTTTCTTCTCTCTTCCCCCACCGCGTCTTGAGGATTTTTTTTTCTTTTGCTCCCACTCCACGCTCCCTTTAACTTCCCAACTCCCCATTCCCTCACTCGACAGTGTCACACCCTCATAACTCCGTCCTCTCATCTCCCGACTCTCCACACACCCATCATTTCATCATTCCCCTTCAATCCAGTCATGCCCTCCGCGCCGAATCTCAGACTGACCGTCCTGGTCACCCGGGAACAGGCCTCAGCACACCCCAGCAGAAACAGTACTGATGGACAGCACCAGCCGGAAGCTGCCACAGACCAGTCTCGCAGCTTTCTCCTGGTGATCAAGGACCCCGAGAACGTGTCAGTTGGAGACCTGGCCAATCGAATCAAAGAGCAGTGGCAGGAGCTATGGCCAACCGAGAAGTGAGCTCTCTCCCGCCCCAGACTGGATCTCAATCCACAGAGCATATACTAACCTTCACCTGCGACAGGCCTCTCCAGATCAAGCAACTGGTGAATGGCGCTTACCCTGACACGGCCTTTACAGTCCGCTGTTCCGTCGCGGATATTTGGGTGGATAGTGGACGCCGTGAAAGAGAGGGATTCGATCAGCATGGTATTGTCCGTGTGATCCCAGTCCCCTCCTCGTCTACTTCTACTCCCACTCCGAGACACCAACGTGCTGCCTCGGTCTTCCAGGACGTGGAAGGCGCCGCGAGGGAGGCCAAGCGCAAGTTCCTTGACACTGAAATCAGCGCAAATGACTCGTTGCCCAGGCCGGGTGCGACCACTCCCTCTCAGAACAAAGAACAAACAGACCCGCAGCACAATCAATCAAAGCGGCCCTGATTGACAGCGCAGACGGACCCTCAGTCTCCCAGTCCTCCTCAGAGATTTCACACAACAACCTCTTCTCCCGTGTACTTCAATGGCGGACGACCTCCAGCTTTTGCTCTCCCCAAGGGCCACAGACGCCATCTCACCAATACCTCACCCGGTTCTCCCGAGTTAGGTCTGGGCCTGGGTATCACGGCTAGTCCCGCCAGGGACCACATTACCAGGGACAAGTTTTCGGCCGATCGAATTCAGAAACCAAGTTCTATACCGCCACCGCCGCTGCCTCGTTATTCACTGCGTGGATCTACCAATTCCTCACCACCGGAGGGAAGCTCACAGGATGACTCCCCGCTGGGTGCCAGAAAGCTCGCAGAACGGCCATATAACTCAGTTCCTCGGGAGACCTCTCGCAATGACGATAGACGCCCTCGGACTAGGGCAGCCCTGAAGGCTTCGGGCTCTAGCAAAAGATCCCATCATGCCAGGGCTTCAAGGGATCCGAATGCTACCCCAAAGCCCACACCAACCACGGAAAAGTATCTCGAAAAAGACAGAGCTGAGATTCGGGAAGTCGAAAAGTTGCTCAGAGACCCCAAAACAAACCCGGAGTGTCTAATCGTTCTCCGGGAGATCTCTGGTCTCCACAACGAGATAACAACCCTCAAAGCGGGCTCGGGTGGAAGGGAGCGACGACGACTCTTAGGCATGGCTCGCAAGCGACTTAGCCGACGCCGAAAGGCGCTTGAGAAATTTAAAAGCAATGAGCAGTTGTACGATGATGGTGACGCACGTACTATCACGAGCCAGGAGGGGAATGCCGGAAATGGACCTAATGAAGGCCCCGACGAGAACAGCGATGAGGATCTGCTCAAGAAGAAAAAGAACCACAAGCGACCCGGAATCGAGAAGAGGGATCTATCGGCTGATTTTGTCGCTGCTCGTAGGATCTCGTTCCTTCGTGCATATTCCTCGAGTGTGAAGACTGGGGACAGTCCACAAAGCCAGAGGAACAAGGAACCAGACGGGCATGGGATCCAAGTTTTGATCGGGGATAATGGAATCGAGCAGGCTTCTCCGTCAACCAGAGCTTCTAGTACCCGCGCTTCCCAGTCGAATGATGCCCTTCCTGAAGATGCAGCCATCAAAGAAAATGAGAACGAGAACGAGAACGACACGACGGATAGTGAAGGCGAGGACATTCAGTCTGAGGCTGAGATCCCCACGATCAAGCATAGCTCTCCCATCCGCAAATCTACTGCCTCCCAGAGAACTTCACCACGAAAGGCCCCTCCCCCTGGAGCCGATCCGGGAGAAGAAGGGAATGGGGTTAATGGGATTTATTCTACTGCAAAGTAAGTCTAGACCTGGCTCTCGTTTTGGTATCCAAGATTCGTGCTAACCGAATGAATTAGGGAGGTTGACCCATCTGAAGTGGCGCAGCTTGCCGCTGCCCTCGAACAAGTCCCTGAACAGCAACACTCACCACCTGGTAAGGTCGGTCTTCTAGGTCAGCTTCTTCAGCAGGGGAGCTGGGAAGCTCTGGCCAAATATCCTCCATTTTGCTTGAAGGGACAAACAAAGGACGAGTCATCGGCCGATGATACATCGGAGGACGAGACATCAGATGATGATAGCAGCGACTCCGATGGTGATTACAAGATGGGAGGTGTTGATATGTGATGTTTTCTCCGACAGTCGATTGGAAGAGATGTATGCCTGTGTTTCAATGTCGAGTCTGGGGTTATGTTGCCTTTGTTCAGCTGGATGTGATCGAATGCAGGCTTGATACTGTCTTGTTGTCTCTCTACACGCTGTTCTCCTCTCTATGTACGAGTTCTAGTGAATGATATCATGTCTCAAGCAAGAGCAGTTTTCGCTTTTATTCTGTCTGATTATTTGAAAAGAACACATTATTACCAGATTCATGGCACCGTAGATCCACTCTGGTCAACCTTCTCGGCTGAACCCTCTTCAATCCATTCCTTTGGAGGAGCAGTCACTTCGTAGTTCCAGCCCATTGAGTCCTCAATAGATCCAGACTGAATGCCCCGCAGGGTCTTGAGAAGCTTAACACAGACCTCGCCACCCTGTGCCTGGTCTCCGCAGCGATACTCGAACTTGTCATTCTTGGAACGCATCGTAATGCTTCGCACCGGTACCAGTGCAGCTGCCGTGCCTGCAGCAACGACCTCATCGAAGGAGCTCAATTCCTCATATCCAACTCGGCGTTTCTCAACCTTGTAGCCGAGATAAAGGGCGATATCAGCGACCGAGGAAGCCGTAACCGAATCAATAGCGTTGCGACTATCCGGCAGCACGACGGTGATATTATCCCCATCACGCTTCACACCGATGAAAGCAGAGGTAGAAAACTCGTCAATCTCGCTCCGTGTCGCACTGTCCAGATGCAAGGTAATACCGAATCCCTCCTGACGAGCACGATCACTGTGTCGCAGCACAGGAGCATAATTACCTCCCACCTTAGCATTCCCCGTTCCAAACGGCGCCGAACGATCGAAATCCTCCAAAATCAACGCATCCACAGCACTAGCCCCATGATAAACACCGGTCGGCATCACAAACACAACCAACGTATACCCATCAGGCGGACTCAACCCCAACTGCGCCGAAGACCCAAACAACAATGGTCGGACATACATCGCCGCACCAGACTCAAACGGGGGAACAAACTCGGCATTCCCACCAACAGCCAGTCGCACACAATCGAGGAAGAGATCCTCGGGAACGGGCGGGATCGAGACAACTTCGGCGGATTTCTGCATGCGCTTTGCGTTGCGGTCCGGTCGGAAAATGGTGATTTTGCTATTTTCTGCGTGGCGGAATGCTTTAAGGCCTTCGTAGACTTGTTGGCCGTAGTTTAGACCGGGGGCCATGCCGTGGATGGAGAGGTAGGGCGAGTGCACGAAGCGTGGGGTCGACCATTGGCCGTTGCCGGATGTTGAGTAGTGGCATTCGACATGGCCGTTGACTGGGTGATTGTCAGTGGAATTGATGGTAGGTTCTGGGGTAATTGGATAACTTACCATCGCGCACTTTGAAGCCAATGTCGTTCCAGTCGAGGGCTGCTGGGGGAGGAGGGAACATGATGATGGTGGAGGTGTGTAAGTGTAAGTTAATTGTGGATCGGCGGATCTGCGGGGAGAAAATGAGGTCAAGTGAGGGGCAGTTGAGATGCTTTTTATACTTCCAGCAAGTTACATGCTTACTACACGTTGACTCATGTACTCCAAATGGCGGTGACTCTAATTCTTATCCAAGGTCATTGCTAGGAACGGTGGGTTTCTAACTGGATCGAATTCCAATCAGACCATTGTGAATCTTTTGCTTATTGCTCTTGATTACTAGCTGAGTTTCTCCGGTTTCGGAGTCAATAATTGGTATTACTGGGGCTGACAGTAGACCTAACTACGGAATAGGTATATGCTTGGTACATCTCAGTCCGATCTAACTATCTTTAGTTCTTACAGTAACTACCCAATCTCAGCTGCGGTACTATTAATTCAATCAATAGCGTCATCTATAACTACAACTCAGTCAACATCCTTCACTTTTTTTCAAAAGTCGAAAAATTTTCAATTTTTGAAAGAGATTACAGTCTATCTTACTTACAGATCTATTGCGCTCTCTCGATCTATAATTATATCACTCGTCGGCTGCTCACTGCGTCCAAATGCCGTCACCAGAACCACCTTCAATCCACCGGGTTCCTCGTGCTCCGCAAATCGCCGGTAGTGATCGGCGATATTCTCAAAATGATCTTCGTATGTGAACATCCACGATGGATCCAATCGGCCCGAGATAACGAGATCAAGGAGAAACGGTTGATACTGTTCGATATCCGTTAGCTCAAGCATATGTTGAACGCAGCCATAGTCTTTCTCTTCATACCCTCTGTGGAATCGATTGTCCTCCACGAACAGTCAACGCCTTCTGCGTGAATGGTCCGATCGGAAAATCATGCGTCGTGAAGAAAAAGTCCCCCACCAGAGCAATATTGCCGCCCTTACGCGTTGCCTTGATGATAGCCGACACGGGGTCAGTAATCTCTCGTCCGAGCCCGGAAGCTCTCATAGCAGCCAGAGACGGCTGTTGTGTGCTTCGATATCCACTGGCTTCTATCGCTTTGTCCACTCCCTGCGGCCGGATCGAGAGAAGATACTCGCGAATATCAGGGTGAGCCGCCACATCAATAGGGATCATCCCGAATTCTTCGGCCCGTTGCAGTCGTCGCGGATCGCTGTCTATCGCGTATACCATACTGGCGCCGCGTAGCTTGGCAAGTCGCTGGATGGACAATCCGATGGGACCACAGCCCCAGACACCGACGACGTCTCCGTCTCGCACCTCTGCTAGTTCGAGTGCATGCCACGCAGTGGAATCTACATCGGACAAGCTGAGAAGTTTCCAAGCATCAACATCGTGGGGCGCTTTGAGACATGTGAAGTCAGCATTCGGTACTCGGCAGAACTCAGCTTGATTCCCTGGATATCCACCACGGAGCTGAGTATGCCCCAAAATACCAGCCACGCGATGTCCGTACGCGATTTGCATCTCTTTGGATGGATTGCTCACATCACACAGCGAATATTCTTTTCGTTTGCAATAGTCGCAATGCCCACATGCTCTCACTGGTAAGATGATCACTCGGTCGCCGATTTCGAGGGATTTCACATTCGGTCCAACTTCATCGACTACGCCGATGGCTTCTCGTCCCATGATGTCGCCTTTTCACATGATATATCCTAGATCTCCTTCGTATAGATGTAGATCGGAGCCGGAGATCGTGCAGTGGGTTACTTGGATGATGGCGTCGCTGGGGTCGGTAATGGTCGGTTTGGGAACGAGACCGATCTCGACATCTCGTCTGCCCATCCACCGAGCTGCTTTCATTTTGTTCGTGGGATGGGGGACATAGCCTGTGCTTGTAATGGGGCTAGGTCTGTGAGTAATTGTTGTGTATGCGTGGTTCAGTGCTAACGAATTGCTTACCTTGTAAGACGGCTGCCATGGCGATCGATGAATACGACTGATATACAAAAAGGCGTTTCAATATGGGAATATATGACTGATTCAGCTCTTGATAATTCAGTTGCGAGAGTGAACGGCTACTTAGTTTTAATAACCGACAAAGATTTCTCCGGGTTGCACTGATCTCAATATGATGGGCTCAATGGCAATGAACCACGGGATTCTTACCCTACAGTGCCTTTATATCTGGCGAGCCAAACTTCTCTGTCTCAATTTAGTTACTGAATGTTTCTACTGTCACCACCGAATGATGTCATAGCCTGGAATGATCTCTAACGCTGCAAAAGGAATTAGAGGGGAGAATGTTTAGCAGGATCGATATTCGATTCACATGCTTCAAGATTTAATATGAGCTGCGTTGCAGAAGAGAATAATGTAGATAAGAGTGTGCAAAGAAAATTTGGTGTGAAGACCTGACACCCCGGTATCTATGAGCCGCTCACGCTCACTTCTTAGCCTTCCCCATCATCGACTTGGATGTCCTCACTCGGAACAGATAATACAAGGCAATTGCCCCAAAGATATTGAAAACAAAGTAGCACCAGAAGATGCCATAGTTGCGCCATCGATCACCATAGTAGATCTCCCGAGCTGCCAGATACTGGTCTGCAGAGCTCATGCTGCAGTATTCGCAATTGGACGTGGCATTCTTGTTGTATACTGAGCCACCGGCCATGTCGACGTATTTCTCCATGTAATCCCAGCATGTTTGGCCGGATGGGGGATCGAAGACGCTGAGCTCGGCTGCGTTGCATTCGACCTTGCGGCCGTGCAGTGCAGTACCGGCAATGCCGCTGATGTAGTATGTGAATGGGGAGACACGATACATGAAAATCCAGAATCCTGTTGAAGAAATATCAGTCAAAAGCCGTTAGCATACCAGAGGGGGAAGAAGCTCACGAGGTAAAACACTGGGTGGCTGCAGAACACCATTGAAAATGAAAGACAGACCAAACATGAGAGTGGCGAGCATAGCGCCCAGGGTGGGCTCTGGAATGGCGGACACGACAAATTGAGCCATACTGGCCGCGTAAATGTAGAATTGCACGATAAACAGCATGATCAATCCACGGCTCTCGGAGTCTTGACCGGTGCCAAAGACAGACCAGTAGAAAGATGCCCAGGAGCAGACACCTAGGCAAACTTGCCAGGGAACCTCTACAAGGATCTGCGAGAGGATGAACACTTTCCACGAGTAGATACGTGATGGGCGCTCGCGAACTTCGTACAGCGATCGCTGGGTGACAAAGCGAGGCATTATCTGGTTAACGAGGGTGTTGAAAATAGTACACAATAGGAAAATGCTGAAGAGCACGTTTTGGAAGCCTTGCTGAGTGTTATCAGCTTTCCAGAAGGAGAATCCAATGAATAGACCCGATGCAATACCGAGAATAAACTTGGCATAGATGTAGTCAGGTTGGCGATAGTAGCCCTGGAAGCATCGGCCAAGAACAACTGCCAGTTGGGTGGACAATGGCATGGCAAATTCAGAATTATCGTCGCCCAATAGTTGATCATGACTAGAGTTCTTGCGCATGGAATGTAACTGGTCGAGCTCAGAGATGACATCTTGATATTCCTGGCTCGAATTCCAAGCCTGGGGCCAATCAACACCAAGGCAGCCTTCTCCGGCGACCATATCGAGGATGTATTCGGCTGGATTCTCAAGCTCCTCGCATGGTCGGGCTCCCTTGTGCTCGAAGTACTTCAACAGAGTAGAAGACTGTTCACCGATGTCACCAAAATAGACAGTCTTTCCACCTTTGGCTAGGAAGAGTAGACGGTCGAATGTCTGGAATAGAGTGGCACTGGGCTGGTGGATCGTTGCCAAAACAGCCTGGCCATGATCCGCAAGTCGTCGAAGGAATTGGCAAATTGTCCATGAACTCTGAGAGTCTAGTCCACTGGTGGGTTCATCCAGGAATATCAGTAGGGTGGGCTTCGCGGCAAGCTCAACCCCGATACTGAGAAGCTTGCGCTGTTCAACATTCAAACCCTCCCCAAGAGATCCAACAACCGCCTCGGCGAAATCTTCCATGCCAAGGAGCTTGACAACCTCCTCCACATACTGATACTTCTCCTCCTTGGAGACACTCCTTGGCTGGCGAAGCAAGGCACTGAAGCGTAGCGCTTCGCGGACCGTGGTTGTCTCGAGGTGAAGATCTTGCTGCTGGACATATCCAGTGCGACGAGGGAAGTTTGGCAACAAAGGCTGACCGTTCACCAGGATGTCACCAGATACGACACCAATGGAGACCCGCTGGGCGAGAACATCCAACAGAGTTGTCTTACCGGCACCAGACACACCCATGAGTGCAGTCAGGCTGCCAGGTTTGACCCAGCCGTTGACATTGTCGAGGAGACGCCGGGTGCCTTCCTTCACCGGGATATCGTAATTGACGGCCTTCCAGGAAAAGATGTCCTTCTGTTCGGGCAGGTGGATCGTGTCATTGGTTTGTGTCGGTTCAAGCCTAGTGACGGCCACAGCTCCGCCTTCTGCGTCGTGTCCAGACTGGAGGTGTGCCGGGGCATGGCCGGGACGGAAGACCAGGGCCTCAGCCTTTGACTTGTCGCTGGAAATGAATTCGGTGGCAACCAAGTAGAGTGTGTTGAAGAATAACATGAATGCGATAAGAATTCCTGTGTAGAAGGTCAATACTTATATGACGGAAGGTTACAGTGACAACCACTGGGATCGGATCACTTGTCGGTACATACCAAAGTTCCGCCACAGGTGAGAGTAATGGTAATAGTAGTTCTGTTCGATGAACGCGTCCCCAGAGACGAATCTCTCGCCAGCCACCGCGCCAAGGGAAGAGCAGATGAAAGACGTGCCCGTTCCATAACTCGGAACTACCGACGTGCAAGGGTAGTTCTTGCCGTGGAATTCATTGGCGATGAGGGCTTCGAAGGTGTAATAGATCGGGTTGATCCAGCGAATCCAGGACAGCCACGGGTGCATATAAGGCTCTGGCAGCGTGAATCCAGTATAGACAACGATGCACAGGACTAAGATGCCCGCGAGTGCCATCGCCTGACCGACCGACCTGGTCAATGCTCCAAGGCTGCGGAACAGGCCAGACATGGTCAAGACAGCGAAGATCAGAAACAAGTAGAAGATGAAAAATTGAGCTGGCTCCCGACGAAGATTGGCCATGAAGTACAGAACAATGCTGAAAATGGATATTCGCACGATTTTGATCGGCAAGTCCACGATAATGCTGGCTAATGCCTCTGTGAACGGATGGACAAAGGCATACCCAGACTGTTTTTCGACAATCGGTCGTTGACTGTAGAGTTGCATGATTTCGTTAATTGTGAGAAGCGCGTTCATCAGCACGGCAAAGTAGCACACTGCGCCCTTTTGGAAAAAGTACGAAGAGGTATCAGGGGTGTTGTAGAAGACGGATCCGATAATCAAGGACAGGATCAATTGAACGATAAGGGGGGATAAGGCAGTGGGTAGATCGTTGAGCATACGCTGGTAGGCTCTTCGAGTACAAAGGCGGATTTGCATCGGCACGGACAGGATGTATGGACTGCGAGAGCGGGTGTGTTTAGCCTGTTGGTGGACATGGCTTTCCTGGAATTTTCTGGCATCCTCGCCATTGGGAGGGTGTTGTTGGTCGAAGTCGGTGATTTGCTTGCGCAGACTCTGGTACTCGGGGCTACGCTTCCAATGCTCGGCAAATTCCTTCGCTGTGCGAGGCACCTTGCTTTCCATTCCTGGAAGTGCCTGGCGCTCGTTTGGGTTGGTAATGGCCGTCAAAAAATCACCGCTCACTTGGCGCTCTGGTCTGGCCCATCCCATGTCCTGGAAGTAAGCCACTGCTCGATCACGGGGGCCATAGTAAATTTGGTAGCCCTCGTAGAGCACCACAACCTTATCAAACAGGTCGTACATTGATTGGGATGCTTGATAGGCGGCGACGGCATGGCAAGATTGGCCCATGTCGGCAGCAAGACGTAAAGCCCGGACAAACTTCAAAGCAGAAGCGGCGTCCAGTCCTCGGGTACTGTTATCCCACGCACCGATGCGACAGCGGGCAATAAACATCTCCGCGATACTGACTCTCTTGCGTTCACCACCACTGACGCCTCGAACAAACTCGCTACCAACCTTGGTATTGGAGGTATGAGACAACCCGAAGACTGACATGACCACTTGGGTCAAAGTCTCCACGTACTCATCTCGGGTCATGTCTTCGATGCGTTGATGGGGAGCACGAGCGTAAGCGGCAAACGAGAGGGTCTGGCCCACCGACAAATGGGGGAAATGCAGATCGACTTCCTTATTGTATGCCACATCGCCACGGTGGTGTTTGATCATCTGGTCGAAATCGATTCCTTCGAAGTGAATTGAGCTGCCGGGTTCCATGGTAAGACCGCCCAAATGTCCACAAAGGGTTTTGAGGAAGGTGGTGCAGCCACTTCCAGGACGTCCCAAAACCAAGAGGAGCTCTCCGCCCTCTAGCAGACCATCAAAGCTGTGTATAATTCTCCTCGGAGGGGATAGACGACCCGCGAGGGCTTTAGAGGCGAACCGAAATGGGAGAGTGAGGCTCGATATCAGGGTCTCCTGAAACTGTAGTGCTGAACCGGAGCCGCTGATGGAGAGATTAGAAAAGACCACGCTTTGAGATGGGATCTCAATGCCGGCTTCATGCACCTGGCTGAGGACATGCTGAGCCCATCTGTGGTGATCAAACTCGGGGCTATTGGGATCTAGCCTTAGATCTTGAGAGTCCTTGCGACTAGCAGAAGCGGACAATTTTTGGCCAAGTTTGCTGGAAGCAATGCGGCCCAGAGATGCAATCTCGCGCTCGTCGATCACGGTTGGAGTACGCTCAGTGATGGGCATAAACTCCATCTCGTACTCGTCCTTGTCCATGATGGGCAACTTGGGGTTTTCCACCCTGTAGGCAAGACTGGGATGGTTGTCAAAGATATCAAAACAGTCTCTGCTTCTGGTGCCTTAACAGAGGGCCAGATCGCCCTCATAAGAGCGTAAAATCCGGAGCATATTCTTGACTCTGATCGGAGAAGAATCATGTTAACACCGATCAAGTGGATAACTTTCGTCAAGTTATGCTCATTGATCTCGGAGCCTCACCAGCCGGGCCACACTCAGGCCAATTCAGGCATCCATCGGTCCGTTCATTATCGAATTCAGCCAATCACATCGTTTCATCGGAGCTTTTCAGCGCCGACTTGCCGACTCGTTGGTCATCATGGACCCACTTGCCTATTTCGGTAACCAGCGCGCATCAACTTTTTACGAATTCCGTGCGCATAAGTCCGCCTTCGTTGGCTTTCCTCCGGGATACACAAATAGAATACATGGCTAGGGGCATTAAAAATGAATTTTGTCATGCAAAATCTGAGCAAGCAATAGATTATCGGCAGACAAGTTGGGCCATGGTCGTCTCAATTTAATGTGGGTGTTGATCCTCCAGCAAGCTAGCAAGCCAGCCCAGGCCCTTCAAATGCAAATTCTACCAAATGCACCCAATTACGTATACTTGACGCTATTGACAAGACTAATGCCCTGTAGGTAACTAAGCTTTTCTTTACTAAGTATTGTTTTACCAGCTCAGTTTTCACAGATTCTCATCCGCGAACTGGCCAAGCACCACCATCCCGCATCATCCCATCGCAAAACTTTCCTCAGGCGTCTGATTATTAGAAGGCCTCTTGTCTGACTACCTAAGGAAGATTTTCTGGAGCCTCTACCCGACATGGGTTAGAATATCGGAGCTCTGCAGCCTTCTGGTCTGTCCAAGTTGTGGGGGCACAGGTCTGTGCTTGGGTGAATCGAAGATGTAACTGAACAAACCCACCTTTGTAAGGAACTCTCCAAGGCGAAGAGCCTATATGGTTTCCTAGGTTACGCCCATCTGCTCTCATTCATCCGTAACCTAAGTGACATCTATCGTGCAAAGATTTCTGGTGCTCTGCGCAGCTATCGCCGGACGGTATCTTTTCATTGAGGCTTTACCCTTTAAATATATCTTCCGACATGACTTGGGTCATAGATCATGTCCATATTTTCAAGATTGGCCAGGTAATTACAAGACTAAAAATTCTGAAGCCTGTCATAGTATGGCACTACTCATAGATCGGTGGACATATACACACCTACTTTGTGATGCTTGTCTAGATCCATCTTGATCCATGGATGTTGCACGTGACCAGCTGATTGATTGGAGTACCGTTTTATCTAGCCGGAGTCACCTGACGGCGCTACGGCGAATTTCCATTTTCCACGTTGTGGCCGTTAACCGAAAACGGCTTAGGGCGTACTTAATCTTTTCCCCTCCGAAACCGAAGCCATTGATTGCTTTAATTACCGCAGCTGACGTTTGCCCCCCGTGACCCAATCCGCGACCGCTCCCATGAAGCCATGGCGCCAAGATCCGGGCAAGGTCAAGTGGATCAGACTGGATCGTTGGTGAGCCAGTCTGACTGGCCCTCTCCCTTCGTGGCTGGATGGGGGCCGTCATGGAGTGCTTTGCGTTTCTTGGGTTCTTTCTTTCTCACCCCCCTAGCTGAGCTGCTCTTTCTCCTCTCTTCACCATGGCGACTGGAACTACCACGGCGACGGCTGCGGCCACCAGTGCGGTGAAGGTGAGCCCTCAAGGCGGGATCCTTGAGGGAGGGAATCCGACCCATTATGACTCCAAGAACCCGCTGGTTCTGTTTATCATTCAGGTATGGAGACTGTCAACTTTACCTCCTGACCCCGCTTCAGCTCTGCAATAGCTGACCTTCTACACTCCAGGCTGTAATCATCATCGTGCTCTGTCGCCTGATTCATTGGCCCCTTTCAAAGATTCGTCAACCTCGAGTTATTGCAGAGGTTATCGGTGGCATCGTGCTGGGTCCCTCGGTGATGGGCCGGATTCCAGGCTTCACCGATACCATCTTCCCCACTGCCAGCATCCCAAGCCTCAATGTCGTTGCAAACCTGGGTCTTGTCCTCTTCCTGTTCCTGGTGGGACTGGAGACGGATCTCCGATTCCTGGTGAGCAACTGGCGTGTGGCGTTGAGTGTTTCGGCTGCTGGTATGATTCTACCATTCGGTCTGGGAAGTGCCATTTCCTACGGTCTATACCATGAGTTTCATGATGACCCCAGCACGGTGCCCATTCAATTTGGTACCTATCTGCTGTTTATTGGTATTGCGATGGCCATTACCGCCTTCCCAGTCCTGTGCCGTATCTTGACCGAGCTGAAACTTCTCGGGACTCGGGTCGGTGTCATCGTTCTGTCCGCTGGCGTTGGAAACGATGTCGTCGGTTGGATTCTGCTCGCTCTTTGCGTGGCTCTTGTAAATGCGGGAAGTGGAATCACCGCCCTCTGGGTCCTACTGGTTTGTACAGGATACATGCTTTTCCTCTTTATTGTCTTCAAGCCGCTCTTCTATCGCTTCCTTGAGCGTACAGGAAGCTTGCAGAAGGGGCCTAGCCAGTCGGTCGTGACCTTGACGTTGCTTATTGCCCTTGCATCTGCCTTCTTCACGCAGGCAATTGGTGTCCACGCCATCTTCGGCGGCTTCGTCATTGGGCTAATCTGCCCCCACGAAGGTGGCTTTGCCATCAAATTGACAGAGAAGATTGAAGATCTTGTTGCAGCCCTTTTTTACCCCTGTATTTCACACTTTCTGGTCTAAGTACAAACTTGGGACTGTTGAACAGCGGCATCGTCTGGGGCTATGTGGTTGGTGTTATTGCCATTGCTTTCATTGCTAAGGTGGCAGGAGGTGCTCTTGCATCCCGCTGGTGTGGACTGTTGTGGCGCGAGAGTTTCTCCATTGGTGTTTTGATGAGTTGTAAGGGTCTTGTTGAGCTGATTGTCCTGGTTCGTACCCATCTGTTATCGCCAAGGCTCATCATTAGATGTCGAGGAAAGACAAAAGGACAAGGAAATACTGACATTTGCATGATAGAACATTGGCCTGCAAGCCAAGATTTTGAGCACCCGCACCTTTACCATTTTCGTGGTGATGGCCCTGGTCACCACCTTTTTGACTACCCCGCTCACCACGATTCTCTATCCATCCTGGTATCAACTCAAGGTGGCGCGATGGCGACGTGGGGAAATCGATTGGGACGGCAACCCTGTTCATCAGGATAGCCGCGCCGATAGTGTCTCTGCTGTGAAGGATCAATTGAAGACTGTTCCCGTTCGAAAGCTTCTGGTCTATCTTCGCTTAGATGGGCTTTCAGGAATCTGCACCCTGGCGGCTCTTTTGAGCTCTAACCGAAAAGTGGCGCTATCATCGCCCCAGGTGCACCCGTCAAAGAAGCAGAAGCAGTCCGAGCAATCCGTTGAAGACGCAGTCTCCACGGAAGATGACAAGGAGACCACCCTCCGCGTTCATGGTGTGCGGCTCATGGAGTTGACCGATCGTGACTCGAGTGTCATGAAAGTTTCCGCCGGAGAGCATGCTATGTGGGACCCAGTGGTGAACACCTTCCGTGCCTTTGGCGAGTGGCAAGACGTGTCTCTCATGGCGGGCGTGTCAGTGGTGCCTGAATATTCATACGCAGAGACTGTTATCAACATGGCCCGCCAGGACACGGCAGATCTTCTTCTTCTTCCATGGAGCGAAACTGGAATATTGACTGACCGCCAGAATGGTCTTGAAGTTGACACTGCAAGTCGTTTTGCCAATGGTCCCTACACTGATTTTGTTTCCAACATTCTCACGCGGGTTCCAGGTCATGTGGGTATCTTGATCGAGCTCAGCCCAGAGTCTCATTCTGCCAAACGGCCCACCCCCCAGCGCTCGACCAGTGGGTTGAGTATTCATTCTGCTTGGTCACGACCGGCTTCTGGAAGTCGTTCCCGTCATATTGTTCTTCCATTCTTCGGTGGTGATGATGACCGTTTCGCTCTTCGTCTTGTTCTGCAACTTGCTCAGAACGACCAGGTCACCGCCACGATCATCCAGGTCGCTGGGCTGTACCCAGACTCGACTAAAGCCGGTATCTCGACATCCATTTCCTCTGGGACGCATGCTGGAACACCAAGTAGCCAGTCGGATATCGTGTTCTTCGAAACTCTGCGTGACTCTATTCCGGAGGATCTGAAAGACCGTGTCATTTTCCAACAAACTAGTGCTCAGGAGACGATCAGTGACCCGGTCCAGCTGGCTCTGGCTGCCGTGCAACATGATCTCGACCGCACTCCTAACAAGCGTGGTAGTATCGTCGTGGTTGGAAGACGCAGTGGTCCTAGTGATGCTAGCATTTCCATTGATCTGGGCCCGCACAGCGTCGGTTCCGATACCCAACGTGCCCTGGGACCCGTGGCCTCGGCGATGGTGCAGCCGGAGAACAAGGTCTTTGGTAGCGTGTTGGTGCTACAGGCTGGCGTCAGCTCTGACGTGCTCGATAGTTATCGGTGAATTTGAGATGCCTACGGGCACTTGGTGATTTTTGGGAGTTTTGTTACATCAGGATATGCATCTTTTGTTACAGTTCCGTTTCTTAGAATGTGGAATGAAGTCATGAAGCCTTTTCCCTCTTATTATACATAGCTGGAAAACCGAGACTGGCGTAGGGTACATTGCTTTTGCTTCAGAGTAGAAAATGACAAATGAGAAATTAGTATGATATGTATAGCCCGATGGGGAAGGGACGCCAGGCTTATGAAATGCAGGCGTTCGCGTGTGGGTATATTCACACCACATTGTATGAACGTGTCGGATCATGTTCAACCACCAAGACCCATTCATTATACATCCCTCTGTACATTCATATCCCTGATGACGTGCAAATGGACTGATGAGAATTCTCCCAAAACCACGGAAAATTGTACATGCGACGCGGATGTTGAGCAAATCCCGGCCGGGGCGGCGTTTCCTGCGAAGACGGGAAGGAATTGATCTCGCGCGTGCTGGAGGGTAACTCGTCGTCATTGTAGGTCTGAGCACCCTGGGCGATGGCTACTAGTTTACCGAGGATGGCGTATTCGAGTTTGAGTTTGATACTATACGCGACGGGTTTGAACATGACTTGAACCGCGTAGTAGCCGACGTATTCGATGACGACGATGGCGATGTCGAGGAGGAGGATGATGATGTTAATTGTGAGGAGTTGATGGAGGATCCCGTTTGGTCGACCTTGTGGTCGGAGTCGCAGCAGCTTCACCGTTTCCCAAACGTAGATTCCCGATATGATCAGCTCCTGGATGCAGAATCCCACAAGCTGTATGTGCTCCATTGTACTGTATCCACGCGACCAGACACTGATGGGGGCTGCGACGGTCCCGTATAGTAGGGCGGTAGTCGGAACATGGAAGAGTATCGCATCCACTATGATCATCCACAGCACTCCGTAAAGCACTTTGGTATTTTGCAAGACCAGATGTAGGCGTGACCAGAGCACCATCGATTGACCCGTCACCATGCCGTACCAACTGAAGACGACGAGCGTGACGCAGATGTACGGGGATACCCCCGTGGGAAAGAAAAGAAGGACATAGCCCAGACAGTGTGGGACGATACAAGATGACGCGACTAGCAGACTCCAGAAATAACAGCCGCGGCGACGTTTGAAGGAGACGAAACACAAGATGATGAGCTCAATGGCATTGTACCAGGCAATAGCGGCAAAGGCCGCAAAGATCTCGATGCGGACGGGAGTTTTGGACGAGTCTGGATGAAGCAGCGAGTCCGCGGCACCAGAGGCTTTCGAGGACATGGATGGAGGGGGCACATTGCTCAGAGGAAGCTTCGAAAGGAAAGAGAGAAAGACAGAGCTTAGTGATAGAGATAAAATCTTTTTTTTTTCGTTCTTGGAGGAAGGGCGGTAGGGATAGATGGAGTGTGGCTTGGAGAGGAAAAAAGGCTGTTGCTCCTTGCGCGGGACAACTGCGGGCGAACACGGCGTGGGCGATCACGTCGATCAACAAAAATGGTTCCTCGCCAATGATGAAGAGGGCCGTGCTTGGATTGGAGGAGGGGAGGTGTATTCAAAGTTTTAAAAGCATCGCAGGCAATTCTCGGTGTGAGGTTTAGTTAGTTGAGTATAATCTTAATCTCGGGATGATCATCTGGTGGTCGGAGCTTGTGTGTGTGGGGTGAAGATGGAGATCGGACGTGGAGTTGTAAGGACGTCCGAGGTTACAAATAAGATCCGTCATGATCGTGACCATGACTATGATTATTATGATTGAACTTTGATCCTGGCGAGGAACCGATACTCTGGACCGAAAAGTGAGGCGTTCCATGGATGCAAGGTTCAATGTGACAGGACATGGAGAACGGGAACCATGGATCTGGGATCTCTCAAAAAGTCTGCAATTTAGGTGATACGAATATGAATCGGAGTATGTAGTCCTCTGTACTCCGGAATCAGTTTCATTATTCTCATAAGTAACAGCGAAGAAGCAGATCCGGGGCGAAACTACCTTGATTGTACAGTAGTCGACTTTGTAGTTAAACCTCCAGTAGTTAGGCTAGTGGGACTGCGTCGATCCCTGGGGAAGATCCATATCCACCTTTTTAAGATCCGCCCCTTAATGAGCCGTGACTATTGTTTTGATCTACTACCACAGCATGAATCTTCAAAGATGTCCGTTATACGGAGTAGAGCAGTACACACTAATGCTAATTCTGAGTTCATGGTACGGTGGTTCGCATAGTTCGCATGCAAACAATCGAGTCTGAAATGCGGGAGAATGGGAATTTGAGACTGCTGTATATCGATGTGGTATGTCTGAATATCGAGTCATCAAGAATTTTTAATTTCCTGCAAATTAGCTCCTGGCATATTCCTCGTAGGTCACTCTAGATCAACCCTGCTACAGTAGGTACTCTCTATATATCCTCCACTGGGTATACTCCTCTCCATCTTGTTGGAGGGTCACGTGCGGTCCGTGCGTATCACGATCGTCGCCTTACTGAAGTTGGAGATCTTTTGACTTTCACCAGATCTGGAATCTCTCGACTCTGGCCAACGAGACACGGAGGAACACATAAGTATGAACCATTCACCCCGTAGGCCGAGAAAGGAACGCGAACTTAATGATGATCCTCAGCAAAGTCGAGGCTCCAGCCTGGTTTGCTGGACATACACATTGCGATCCTCCCCCGATCGGGTGACGTCAGGAATCTCGATCGCTCCGATCGATGACCATCGACGCGTTTGCGCGCCCTGAAATATGGAGAAAGCCCGCGCTAAACATGACTGTACAACGCGATGGGTGTTCTGCGTCTTGCTCGTCGCTGCGACTGCTTTTTTCTGTTCTGTCACTCCCTTCCTCATTTTCAGATTTCCCCAAGCGCTCTCGCCTCTCCATCACGAAGATCGCTCGCATTACTGCCAGCAAGACCAAGTCGATTTCTGCACACTCTCCCCCTAATGGCGCCCAAACGCAAAATGTCCAACTCGAACGGCGACAGCTCGCCTAAGACTGCTCCTGAGAGCAAAAAAGCGAAGCCCCAGGATCTACGCCAACCACATCCCAACGCACAACAGACCGAGGAATTTGGCATCGTCTTACGCGACTTTTATCCCCCAGAGATGAGCAATGACCGATGCAAGGCCTACAATGATGGTACCATTGAACGACCCATCGATACGTTGGAGAAGGCATGCAAAGACACAGCAGACAAGCGACGAGCCGTGACACCGGGCAAGGCGGTCGTCCATTGGTTCAAGACCGACTTACGACTCCAGGACAATCGTGCGCTCAGCACTGCCTTTCAAATTGCCAAAGACAATCAGATTCCTGTGATTGGAGTCTACATCGTGTCTCCAGAAGACTTTGAGGCTCATCTGACGAGTCCCGCCCGCGTCGACTTTACGTTACGAACATTGAAACAGCTTCAAAAAGATTTGTCCGAGCTGGACATTCCGTTGTACGTCGAGACGCAGGAGAAGAGGAAGAACATCCCAACCCGCATCGTGGAGTTGTGTCAGCAGTGGGAGGCGAAGCACCTGTGTGCGAATCTCGAGTATGAAGTGGATGAACTGCGACGGGATGCCAAGGTGGTTCGTCGATGTGCGGATCACGATATTGACTTCACCCCCTCGCACGATACTTGTGTTGTCACGCCGGGCCTGTTGATCACCGGGGCCGGCAAGCAGTATGCAGTCTATACCCCGTGGTTCCGCTCGTGGTTACGTTTCCTCAAGGAGAACCCAGATTATTTGGAGATGTCCGAAGACCCAGGGACCAACCCGGGGGACGCGAGAAAGCAATTCGCCGATCTCTTCGACTGCAAGATCCCGGACATGCCAAGCAGTAAATCGCTGTCTGAAAAGGAAAAGAAACGATTCGAAGAGCTCTATCCGGCAGGGGAACATGAAGCCACTCGTCGATTGGAAAAGTTTCTGAAGGAGAAATGTGGCGACTATGACAAGAATCGCAGTATGCTGCCCGGAGAGAACACCTCCGCGCTGAGCCCCTACTTCGCATCTGGGGCGATCAGTGCTCGCACGGCCGTGGTGACGGCGAAGCGGGCCAACAAGAACCATCTGGATCGGTATGATCAGGGCCATATGACTTGGATCAGTGAGGTGGCCTGGCGTGATTTCTATCGCCATGTCCTTGTGCACTGGCCGTTTATTTGGTATGGTGTCCTTTATTACTTGCTTCCTCCGCCTTCCATACATTCTAGAAAGTCAGGACTAACAGACCCCCCAGCATGAACAAGTGCTTCAAGCCCGAAGCGACCAACATTGAATGGGAGTACGATGCGGATCAGTTCCAGGCCTGGTCCGAGGGCAAGACCGGGTTCCCCATTGTCGATGCTGCAATGCGACAGCTGAAGCACTGTGCCTGGATGCATAATCGCACACGTATGGTGGTCTCGTCCTTTTTGTCCAAGGACCTGATGATCGACTGGCGTCGAGGCGAGCGATTCTTCATGGAGCATCTGATTGACGGCGACTTTGCGTCTAACCACGGCGGATGGGGATTTGGATCGAGTACTGGGGTGGACCCCCAGCCGTATTTCCGCATCTTCAACCCACTGCGACAAAGCGAGCGATTTGATCCCGATGGAGAATACATTCGACACTGGGTGCCGGAGCTGCGTGATGTCAAGGGTAATGCCATCCACGAGCCCTACAGTCGGGGTGCCGGGGCGATCGCCCAGAAAAATGGATACCCCCGACCGATCGTGGAACATGCGGCGAGTCGAGATCGGGCGCTGGCTCGGTACAAGAGTGCACTCCAGGGGTGAGACGGGATGTTTTAGGAAGATGGGAAGATAAGATGATCATGAATGACTCGGATCGTCAGGGGTTTCCAGTGTTCTGTTATCCTGCCGAATCGGCGCATCTGGGGGGATCTGGGGATTTAGTGGGGACCCCAAGCCTAAAAACCGTCCCACTATGTACTTCTACTATTTCTACTTTAATGTACTCCGTACACGTAGTTAATTGATTGCCATGGCAATTAACCTGCAAATGAGAATCATCTTCGGCTCTTCCCCCTCATCGCTTAAGGTCACTTGGTCCATTGCAAGCGAACCTCGTGAGTGGCCCGCAAGCGTAAGACATTCGGGGCGCCACAATTTCCCCGCGCTGGTCGGTCGTATTTCCCGAAACTCTTTTTCTCCTCGTGAACAACTCGACTTCTTCCTCCCATCTCTCTTCCCCGAGGCTTCCTGTCCTTTTCGAGATTTTCAATCTACCATCCTCCCCTTTCTTCCTCTCCATCCCCCCTCTCTCCTCAATGCCGTCTTGAAAATTCTCACCATGGAATCCCAGCCCGGGGACCCTGATGCGACGACTCCTGGTCCGGTCGACCTGCCCAATGGCAAGCGCCGCTGGCGGCGGAATCGAGTTGCTTGCGATTCATGCCACACTCGTCGCGTCCGATGCGACCGCGCGTTTCCCTGCTCTCGATGTCTACGCAGCGACACCCATTGCGAATTTACTCGCGAGCGTCGCAAGCGTGGGCGCATTGCGCGTGCCAAATTGGTGAATGGGTCGACTGGGGCGGGTGAAGCTCCTCCACACTATTCGCCCCGGAAAGACTCTCAGGACCAGAAACCCCCCGGACAGCTGGCTCTATCACCACAGCAGCAACATAGCTCGCCAGAATCAACTTTCCACCAGCAATCACCCACCACAAACGATATCAGCTTATCTGCGCCGAGCGTGGATGGCCTGCATTCGGCGGTCGACAGCTCTCGATCGCAGCGACCAGCTCTACCACCGGTACCCGGACCCCGCCCAGAAGGGAATGCCACGGAAGAATGGCTCTCAACTGCACATTTATCTCCCGAGTCTTATGATATCCTGGGAGGAGTACACGGAGGTGATGGACCACTACCGAGGCTGTGGGATATTTGGACACCGGGGGATCTGGCAGGCCATCATCCCCCAAAGCGGGCGTCGCAGATCCCGCCGGTACCTGCGCAACCCCATGCAGGACAGGGAGCGCCCACCAACAAACGGTCGGGGTTGAAGTACCCCGTGCTAGAACCGATTATGCCATTCTTGGAGTCCAACCTTCCACGCCGTTTAGTATGCGATCTACTGGAACTGTACTTTACTAGCTCATTCTCGACTCATATGCACCCGGTCTGTCATCACATCCACTGTTATGTCCTACGAAAAGCTTCATTCTTGAGTACCGACCGCCCACGACCCAGCAGCCCAGCCTTGCTGGCGAGTATGCTCTGGGTAGCGGCGGTGGATGACCGTGCCTTTTCTTTATCAATTTCTCCTCTGCAACGCCGGAAAATTTGTCAATTTCTGTGCGCATTGACTATCCGTTTGCTTCGGCCCTTGATTCATGTTTCATTCAAGGATCAGGAACCCTCAGAAGGTTCTAATGCGCCCCAAGATTATTCAGCCGCGTCAGCTCACCATCCGTTTGAGGGAGTCGGCGATGATAAGGGTCTCGTGGGTCCTGCAGGATCCCTAGACGATGTCATTACCTATATTCATGTCGCGTCGATCATCTCGTCAAGTGAACAGAAGGCTGCGAGTATGCGATGGTAAGTCCCACTTGGGAAGCGTTTACGTGCCGTTCATCTTCTATTTCTCTTCCAGTCCCACTGACCCCATTTGTACAGGTGGCATGCAGCATTCACTCTAGCCCGAGAGCTCAAATTGAATCAAGAGATCGAGGTCATGCCCAATATTGACAGTCACTCGGATGGATCTAGTCCGGCTTTTGGCTATACCTTGGGTGGCTGGGCGAGCTCGCCTGGAGGTCCTGTCTTTGATTATTCAAATCCATCCCGACCGAGCTTGAATTGCGTCTGTGAGGATAAACATGAGCCGCAGCACAGCGCACCTGTCACGGAGGAGCATCGCGAGGAGCGCCGACGCACTTGGTGGCTATTGTATATCATGGACCGTCATCTGGCTTTGTGTTACAATCGGCCACTCGCCCTGCTGGATGCGGAGAGTGAAGATTTGTTGCTACCACTGGACGAAGCCGCTTGGCAAGCTGGAAACATCCACAGCAATAGCCCCCGTGCAGATGGTCCTCAGTGCATTCGATCAGGCGATCGTAACAAGCGACGCGTCTTCCCGAATTTCATCTGTCATGATCACTCTATCCTCGGCTTCTTCTTACCATTGATGACCATTACCGGCGAATTGATCGACTTGAATCAAGCTCGGAATCACCCTACACTCGGACTCCGGCTGCAAGGAAAGGAGGCGTGGGAGGTGCATGTCTCCGAGGTCCTCCGACAGCTTGAGATCTATAAAGCCAGTCTAACAACCTTTGCCGCAGCGGACTCCGAGAACGCGCTGCAGTATGCTAACAAGGATCAACCACCCGATGCGTCCTTATCGCAGGCTTATTCATGGCACACGCAAACTGTAATCGCGTATTCATCTTACCTGGTCCACGTCCTCCACATTCTCTTGGTTGGAAAATGGGACCCGGTCTCCCTCATCGAAGACAAAGACTTTTGGACATCATCTCCGGCCTTTGCATCAACCATCTCGCATGCTCTGGAGGCGGCCGATGCCGTCCAGCAGATCCTCCGATTTGACCCGGACATCAGCTTCATGCCATACTTCTTTGGTATCCAGCTGTTGCAGGGCAGCTTCCTTTTGCTTCTGATTGTGGAGCGTCTCCAGAAGGAAGCTGGTGATGGCATTCTGAATGCCTGTGAAACCATGATTCGAGCGACGGAGTCGTGCGTGGTGACGTTGAACACGGAATATCAACGCAGCTTCCGGCAAGTCATGCGTAGTGCAGTCGCGCAAGCGCGCGGTCGGCCCGTGAATCCCAGCGAGATCAGACATCGTCGGAAAGCGGTGTTGGCATTGTATCGATGGACGCGTAAGGGCACTGGGTTGGCCCTTTGAAAGCCTCTCTGGCTTCTTCCCTCTCTGGCTTCTTCATGCTTGATTTTGTGTTAGCGTTGTATATGGAGGAATCCCTGATTGTTTATATGGGTCGGGGCTGGCGTTAGGCGACTTTGAGTGGTTGATTGGGAGACTTGCACATAGTAAGTGTGTGCTGCTTGCACGCACCGTTCTCCAATCGGATCTTCACAGAGGTCAGCGGATGTATAGTATAGCCACCATGTTCCATGAAACTTCCATGATAATGCCTCAAGTTACCACCATTGTTCGGGTTCAATAGAGCAGGAGAAGTCCATCCATGTGTAGCACACGAAGGTGTATAGGATGTAGATAAGCCCATACAGGGTACACAATGCCGGGGATCGCTCTAATCGGACCCGGATCTTCCGAACTAGACCGGGCATAGTGATAGCTATGGATTCATGATGTACAACCAGCTAAAGCTACTGACTAGCTAAGGACGCTTATTGCCAAAGCTATGGCGACAGTCTTTTGCCAGAGCTTTACTATCACCAGATAGGCAAGGCGATCATGGGCAGCCAGTACCTTGGAGGAAAAAAAAAACGATTATCAATTCAACAATTAAGTAGCGAATCATCCAATCAAACAATATTTCCCTTTGAAGGCTCATTCGGAGTGTCAAGCACGCCATGTCCCCGGCCCGACCCACTCGGCAGATGGGAGCCGTTAACGGGGTAGTTCTTTGCTTTTGGATGTCCTGCTTAAGCGACGACTACAGTACTTGGAACCTAGATACCACCATTAGTTAGAAAGTAATATGGAATATTGTATGTTAATTGTGTTCACGGTATTTCCAGCCCTGTTTGGAGCTACTAGACCATACCAGCACTAGGATTGCCAGCCCTTTGCCGGAGTATGGAATCGAGAAATGACAGTGTCCGCCACGGAGTCCTCCGTAAATCCTTGTTATCATGACAGATATCTAAATCCGAAGTTGCTGCTCGGCAAAGACTGCATACTGCGCCATCGAGTCGGACGATGGCATCATTTAGCTTTTCCCCACAGTCGGACCCCGTCGCATCGCGTTTTTACCGACCGCCGGACGCTAGTCAGTTTATTGAGCAAGGTGCAGCGTGGAGCTTGCCTGCTGGAACATACAATAGCAAATGGTATAAATTAGAGAAAAATAAAAAGAAATAGCAAATATGATGCCATGATCTCTCCACGTCTTGTATCACCTCCAAAAAATCAATCATCAATACATAAAACTGATCGATTCCCCGATTCTCCTACTTCCACTCTTTCCTCGTCTCCTCCGCTTCTCTTCCTTCACCACTGCGAACTTTCTCCATGAAGCTCCTCGCCGTGGTCGCTGGCTTGATAGTCGCTGCCGAAAGCGCGGCTCTTGCTCCCTTGGGCCCTCAATTGCAAAATGCTCTACAGTCAGTGTTGGGTCTAGGCAAATCAAATCCGTCAAAGCCGCCAAGCATTCTTTTTGTAATCACCGATGATCAGGACCTCGAGCTGGACTCGATCTCTTATACACCGTTGATTGAGAAGCACTTGCGCCATAAGGGCACCTTCTTCCGCAATCATTTTGTGACGACAGCTTTGTGCTGCCCCTCGCGCGTGAGCTTGTGGACCGGTCGCCAGGCGCATAATACCAATGTCACAGACGTGAACCCGCCATACGGTGAGTGCCCGTACTCAATTACTCCATCATCCCATAATTGAATGCTAGTTCTGACACCAAGTCTTTCTCACTCTCAGGTGGCTACCCCAAATTCGTTGATAGGGGGTTTAACGATAATTTCTTGCCTGTCTGGCTTCAAGAAGCCGGCTATGACACCTACTACACCGGCAAACTCTTCAATTCTCACACTGTCGACAACTATCACAGCCCCCATGTGAATGGATTCAATGGCTCCGATTTCCTCATGGATCCATGGACATATTCTTATATGAACTCGACTTATCAGCGACATAGAGAGGCCCCTGTGAGCTATGAAGGACGGCATACGACAGATGTGATCACCGGGAAAGCCCTGGGCTTCCTTGATGATGCATTGAACGGGGAGCGACCCTTTTTTGTGGCGGTAGCCCCCATCGCACCGCACTCTAATGTTGATCCGCGGGATCTGGAGGAGGGCAAGATCAAGATGACCGCTCCTATTCCGCTAGAGCGCCATGCACACCTATTCAAGGATGTGAAGGTGCCTCGAACCCCCAATTTCAATCCAGACAAGGTACGTAATAATTGAAGTGCCGTGATTCCCGACCCGATCTAACGAATTTTTAGCCGAGCGGAGCCAGTTGGGTTCGCAATCTCCCTAAGCAGAACCAGACTGAGATTGACTATAACGACCATTATTACCGTTCTCGCCTGCGTGCTCTGCAAGGCGTGGATGAATTGGTGGACTCGCTGATTACTCGACTAGAGGAGAGTGGCCAGCTGGAGAACACCTACATTATATATACCTCGGACAATGGGTTCCATATCGGTCAACATCGGTTGCCGCCGGGCAAGACCTGCGGCTTCGAGGAAGATATCCGCGTCCCCCTTTTCATTCGGGGACCCGGAGTCCCAGAAGGATATGTACAGGATTCGGTCACCACGCACATTGATCTGGCACCCACCATCTTTAACTTGGCGGGCATTCCACCTCGATCGGATTTCGATGGCACGGCAATCCCCGTGACGCCTGATTTTGGTGGAACTCGGCATGAGCATGTCACCGTGGAGTTCTGGGGAAGAGCTGTCATGGAAGGAACCTATAGTGAGCTTGGTATGTGACAGCGTTTCCAGATGCGCTGCATGATCTTTATTATTTTGTGATCAGAGTGCTCATATTTTCCATCTTTACAGGTCCTGGTGGGTCGACCATCATTCCAAACAACACATACAAGTCTGTTCGCCTTTTGGGAGAAGGGTACAATCTCTATTACTCGGTCTGGTGCAACAACGAGCACGAGCTCTACGATCTCTCGGTAAGTCGAACATCGATTACATCTATGAGTTTATCGGTCGCACTAACAAGCTGCCAGACGGATCCCTATCAATTGCATAACCTTTATACCACCAGAACCCAGGAGGATGGGCCCCAAATACTCGGCCGTAGCTTGACACAGGCTATTGCTCGTCTTGATGCTCTACTCCTCGTGTTGAAGTCCTGCCAGGGAGCGACCTGTATCGATCCCTGGAATGTTCTTCATCCCGAGGAGCCCGTCCGGGGTCTCCGTGATGCCCTGGACAAGGAGCATGACTCTTTCTATCGAGCACAGCCGCAGGTGTCGTTTGACTGGTGTGATGCCGGGTATATTATTGAAGCTGAAGGGCCTCAAGTGCCATTGACTAGCCGCTATGGAGTCTCCTGGGATGTTTGGGTGTAGATTGGATATCTAGAAACAGCTTCATGACTTTGTATACCCCATTCTACTTCGATGGCGGATGAGAATTTGAGCTTAATGGAAAATAACGATAATTTGCAATAACACTCTTTCTGCACAACCATCGTTGAATTTTCTTTGTTCGTAAACTGGTTAGGACAATATTTCAAGCATTCTTCATGACGTGCAAATGCCGTCGATCGCGATTGGCTCTCGCATAGTTCTGCAACTTCCAGAGGTACCACTTCTAGAGGTACACACGCACAGGCATCAGCCGACGTCAACAACGGATAGTCAATTGCCGATAATCAGAGAGCTTAATTGTCGAATAAGAATAAAAAGAACCTACCATTGGTTATCGACTAACGAGATTATTCCAGACTGTATGGATGATCCCCTCAAAGAAAACGGGGCCTTGGCGAGAGCTCGTCAATCGATCCATGATTGCGCCATCCGTCTCCGCCGTGTCGCGAAGCATCGGGCGGGCCACTTTGACACCAAAACACGTTGATCCGATTTATTTTGTGGAGGAGAGCTTGCGTCGAGATGTTTCTAATTTCTAGCGCCCACGCAATCCTCCCCGATAAGCGATTGGGAATTCGGACTCATAAATCTTATAAAATCCCCAAGTTGCCCACGTAGCTTCGAGGTTGAATTCAATACATCCACACGGAAAACACCGTCTTGATACCTTGTCGAATTTATCTTGTTTTTGAAATTCTCTTCATCTTGCCCACGAGCAGCTCACGGTCCAATTCTTAGCCGGGCTCCCTTTCCCTCTCATACCTAGTCCATAATGGCTGGGTCCACACAAGATCCCAGGATATCCGATGGGGATATTCTGTCTGAGAAGCATATTGTGGAGGAGAATGTTATTCATTCTCCACCCAGTGAACTTGACCAGCCGGGCATCGTTCAAGATTGGGATAGCGGCGAAGAGACCTCTGTGAAGCGCAAGTGAGTCTCAACATCAATGGGATCGACAAGTGCCTCTCCAAGGGTGTGTGGCTAACATGTTGCGTCTATAGAATCGACTTTATCCTCATCCCCACCCTCGCCCTTGCCTTCTTCTCTCTGCAGATGGATCGCGGTAACATCAGTGCCGTCCTCACATCAACGATAACGAAAGACCTGAACATAACGACCAATCAAATAAATATCGGCACACAGCTACTGTCGGCTGGAATCGTGCTCTCCGAAATTCCCTCCAATATTATCATGCAACGCCTTGGGCCTCGGGTGTGGTTGTCCGGTCAGCTGTTTGCATGGGGCCTTGTTGCAACCTTCCAAGCCTTTGTGCAGTCATATCCTGCATACTTGGTAACACGAATTCTCTTGGGTTTCTGTGAGGGTGGTTTCATCCCTGGTAAGTAGAGAACGGCCCAAACGTTGTGATCGCCAGGATCTAACATGGAGAGTTTTAGGTGCCTTGTACTACCTATCCACCTGGTATAAAAAGGATGAGACTAGTCTTCGAACAAGTCTGTTCTTCTATGGTCAGATGTTTGCCTCTGCCACATCGAGCCTGATCTCAGCTGGTCTGCTACGACTCTCTGGTAGCCACGGCTTGGAGGGATGGCGTTGGATTTTCCTTGGTATGGTCAACCCATTCAGCACTTTGTGTTCATCTCTTGCTGTTGTTTCGCGACTCGGTGCTAACATTTCATTAGTTGAGGGACTTCTCACACTACTCATTGGAATTGTGTTCACCCTCTTGGTTCCACCCAATGTAGGGGACGGTCGGCCTCTGATCAGCTTTGGTCGCTGGAGCTATTTTACCGAACGTGAATCACACATTATGCGGAATCGTGTGCTTCTGGATGACCCTCGCAAGGCCAAGGGCCATATTCAGATCTCGCGCTCCGATATCTGGAAGACCCTCAAGCAGCCTCGAATCATGCAGCATGTATTCTTGACGCTCGTGTCCATGTCTGGCTTCCAGGGCTTGACACAATATACCCCTAGCCTGATTAAGTCGTTGGGCTTCAGCGCAATTCGTGCCAATGCGCTCGCCTCTGTACCCGTGTACTGCAGTATTGTGTGGCTGACAATTTTGTCTGTTGGATCGTATGTTCATATTTCACCTCAACCTCGATAAAAAGGGTTTGACTGATCAAAAATAGGGATCTGACAAAACATCGTGGCCCGTTTGTGCTTCTCTCTATCACGTGGAACGTCATCTCCTATGCCTGCCTACGGGCAACACCATATACCTCGTCGAAGTGGCATCGATACGGAGTCATTGCAGTGGCAAACATATCTTATTGCAGCATGCAGTATGTTCAATATCCTCAATCACTGCCAAAATTTGACGGCTAACATGACAATAGCATTCTCAATGTGGGCTGGCTGTCGGTCTATTGCCGTACACCGCAAGAGCGAAGTGTTGCTATGGCCCTAGTTGTCATGGCGGCGAACTGTGCAGGAATCTCAGGTTCGCAAATCTTCCGAACATCGGATGCCCCCAAGTATGTACATGGCCTCACCGCCATCTGTGCTATCGCGGGTGCCTCGTGGGCTCTGGCGGCGATTATTTGCGTGCTGTATTATATTCGACGGCACAAGGAGATCCCTGGGCCTAGCACGAAGCCTGAAACAGTGGCTTAAATAGTGTTTTGATGTTAAATAAGTGATTTTAATTCATTCTTGGAACCATCAATGTCCACATTGGAACATGAGGATATGCCTACAAGATATAACCACCCTTTTCGTACACTCGTGTGATCTTATCCCTGTAGTCCGCTACTTACGCTCAACCCATGACTAGGGAAACCAATCCAAGACGTTGCCCGCCCGACAGAAGAACCACTAAGGATGGGTCATCTCTATTTAGCAAACATCATTATATCCTCCGATATCCATTTGTTGGAGTCATATTGTAGTTCTTTGTTTTCCAGGACCAATCAGATGTTATTTGAATCCCCCTGAGCCCCACCCCTAATGAGGGGGCCACTTGCAGTGTGAATCACCAACCACCCCGACTACCTCAGCCGCACTCAACCAGACCACCGGGTTTCATCAGCGACAGCCTTGCTGAAGGTTCCAAATCCTCCGTCGCAATCATTTGAGGTACAAGGGAAACGATGCTGGGTTGAGCTGATTCAACCAGGCAGGATTCGATCCCCACGAGTTGGCCCAGACGAGACGAACTTAGGTAGTCGCCACAGTGTTTGTAACGTTGCCCCACGCACGCTGGACTCAACGAGGCTCGCTGACCTTTTTTCCGGGTGCAAATCCCAGTGAGCAACTCACCTGCATAAGCTTAATAAGCTTAAGTTTTATATCTGCCCACCCCAGTCCTTAGCCATGTCTTCAAAGAAAATGGATTCGGCCTGGAGGCCCGTCCCGAATGCCCCTCAGTCTCGGCAGGTGGCCCAGTCTGCTTCTACCGACTTTCTATGGGTAGACTGTCATGACGGGAAGTCACAGGATGGCGGAGTGGCCAGGACCACGCAGGCATTTCTACAGACGAAGTATCACAAGCAGCGCCGCAAGACACAGTTACAACAGTTGAAGGCGTCTATGAAAGCACTTCCGCCCGCGCGATCTCCGCCAGTCTCCACCCCCGGAACTGAGAGTACTTTGGAGAAAGAGGACCAGGATGTCGACGAAGAAAGAGCCCATCAGCTCCTCATCCATCAGAATGATCACCGAATGCATAACTCCCTTCAATCAAAGGTCGAGGATCTTATTCCTGTTACATCGCAACGCTTGAAACAGAGTGCGGACTTTTATTTTGATTATTGTGAGTTTCATGCCTAACAGATATGACATCTAAGATCCTCAATGCCACAGGCTATGATACTGATTATTACGACAGTCAGGGCTCAAGGCTCACGCAGATGGTACCCGAGGGGCCAAAGTGAAATGCTTAAAGTTATCCTCCGCCAATCTTTCGACCATCCTTCTCTAATGAAGGTTATCGTTTCAATGAGTGCCCATGACTATGCTATGAACTTCAAAGCACAGGGTGCCTCGACTCAGCTTGTGCAGAGGTCTTTACAAGATGCATTTTACATCCGGTCCCACATTATCAGATCCATTCAAGCGCTACTGAATAAGCCAAATGAGATATACTCCGAAGCTGCAGTCCTGTTGATAGGGCACCTGTTCGTTACAGAGGTTCGACTGAATATCTTTCCGATACTACTGAACTCTCTGACCGATTTTCTAGGCCCTCGAGGGGAATCTAAAAGCTGTCGAGGCACATACCGATGGTCTCCGAAGAATCCTTCATGCTTTGGGAGGCGTGGAAAATCTGGGGAACTGGCCTCTAGCAAATATCTATTCGTGAGTGAGGGATCGCGGACGTTAGTACATCCACTAAGAATGCGGCTAGGTGTGACCCAATAAGAGGCCTTTTCGGAGAGTCCCCGCTGGCCTTTGATATACCGAATGACTGGGAGAAACAGGTTCTCCAAGCAGTTGCTGTTCGGGCAAAATTCGTTCGCAGAAAATATCCTGCGCTGGGTACATGCTTCTTCACCTCTTCTTGGTCTGAAGCCATTCATCCTCGCATGAAAACCATCATTCAATCATTTCGAGATGTTCTCTCTATATATGAGGAAACTATTCGCTTAAACACAGATTTGCCCATGACCGACCACAACTGCGCCCTACTTCTAGTCAACCGCCTCCATGCTGTGCCGTACGATTATAATATCTCACCTTTTAACGAAACAATCCGACTTACGATCATGGTCTACATTCTTACACGGGTATGGGAATTTCAAGCAAGTGTGGAGAACCTTGTGAGACAACTTCGCGGTCGCATAGAGGAAAATCTCGACTTCCTTGAGAAGTCGGCCTCTAATCTTTTCTTCTGGATCCTCTTCAATGGTGCCTTTGGCTCAACAGGATTTGAATGCCACGCGTGGTTTATCTCACGGCTGAGATCTCTTGCTCTGGAATTATCCATTGAAGAATGGGAGGAAGTGGCATCAGCATTGGAGGGATTCTTTTTCATTCGTCGGCCTTCGAAAGACTCTGCCAAAGAATTCTGGGAAAATGTGGTACTTGACGCAGAAATTGACTGTGTCGAAGTGGATAGAATAATTGAATAATTACACGCCCATGGATGGCAGCCCATTTGCCGCCGAGATCTGTCAATTTCAAAGTAAAACTTGTTGGCGACAACCAGACTTCAATAGTCTCTTGAATCATACCAGACCAGGTTGTATACGGAAATTGATAGAAATGAATTAGAAATACGTGCTGCAACAACACCGCCCAGCTCTTGAGCAACACTAGTGAACGCGATGGCGAGCTTCACCCACGCCGAGGTCATGGAAGATGACGGGGAATTGGGAATACGACCCCTTCGTGGTGCTTAATACGTAGATGAGGTCATCTCATCCGGACAGCCACTAGTCGACTGGTCGCGCAGATTTACATTTCATGGCTTTTGATTCTGATATAGTTAATAGTCAAACATCGTTGACTGGGAGTTTATGCACAATAGAAATTCAACAGCGTAGATACCAGCGAGGCAGGAAATACATGCAGCCTGAAAAATACCTGGCCGCAAAACTCCCAGTAGTATACAGATGATGATTCTGTTGCAAGCTAAGAGGAAAGTCCGGAAAATTACTTGTGAATTTTACGAGGGTATCAAAACCAAGGAGGAACAACGAAGAGAAAACTATCTGGTGGGAAAATGTTTAATATGATCCACGATGCGGTGTCTTCAGTGCCCATTCGGCCATGTCTGGTCCCGTCGTCAAATTTGTTCTTCCATCTGCGTCCAGATCGTTATAGCCATTGGCCTGCGCAAGGCCACGTCTAGGACATGTGTTAGTTTGCCTCTGCAGCGGCGTTTAAACTATCGTCGGCAGCACTAGCCTAACCGAGTGTGGCGAGCTACGATACGATTATAGCAGCGCTGTATACTAGGCAATTATAACCTGTTCTATATAGTGCGAGTGACTGGCCCCTCGGAGCTCTTAAGACTTTGTTCCTGCAGTCAGGGCATACATGTGGGTCGTACTCCGCGTTTTCTACTGCCCGAATGCGTCATGAATTTAAGTTGCAGAAATGGCACTTGGCCATCTAGCCCCATTCTGTCTAAATTAAGCGATCGCAAACATACGGTGACCGGAGAAGTAGACAGTGAAGACTGTATGTGGCCAGATTTGGGTTTGATGGCTGTCTCGACCTGAGCAATTCCCCCCTCTCTACCGGGCTCTGATTGGCCCTACCATCTTTCAGCAGAGCCAGAGCATGAGCTCACTTTCGTGTTTGTGTACCCCTCATCTGCAAAAGCCCCACAGTTTGAGACAGACGGGGGCCACAGATAGAGATTAAGTAGTGAGTAGTGTAAACCAGTGACTGCTAAGACAAGGCTAGTGCTAAAACCTTGCTCTGATTGGTATTAGTAGGAGCAAGGCTGGTCAAATTTTATACTCTGTGTTTACCAGTCCAACTGAAAGCTCCAGCCAAATATGGACCTCTGAGATCTCATGAAAACGACTCCGCATAAATTCAGATCTGCCCAGATGAACTCAGATGAGTCCAGTGACTCCAGGTCAGCAAGGATTTTCATCATCTGGCCGCCGGCTCCGAAGCTGTAAGGCGCCAAAGTCAAAAGCAAATTCTGGCTCTGCTGTCTTTCTTTTCCCAGAAGAAACAGCGCAGGCTGTATCTTATCGCTTTTTTCTTTTTTTTTCGGAAGGATAAAGCTCAGATCAAGTTGCCCAGAACCAGCGATCGCTTGAGATGTGGTGGTCAAGGGCAAACAAAGCGAACCATCGGGATCTACGACTGGACTTGTTGCTGGGATACGATTGTGGCGGCACCTGGGCTCGGTAACCTTAGCCAGCTGTAGGATGAACGGATCATAGATACCAATCATGCCATCGAGCTCTGCTGTGAATTAGCTAACAGATCTACCAAGTCGTCACCGTAAGTTGTGTTTTTGCTACGCAAAATGAGCCGTGGTCAATGTATATGTCACTAGAGCCATCGCCTGTCTCTCCTTACTCTTGTGTAGACATCCGTGTCATCCACTTGAGGTTTTCACAATCCTTGATACTCCAATTCTAAGCTTCAATCAAGCATTCAAGCCTTGCATCATGCACTGGTCCACCGCGCTGGTCTCTCTCGCTGGTCTCTGCCCTCGTCGGGCGAGCCCTTGCCACCACACCAGGTGTCTCGCCGGCCTCAGTTAGCCGGTCCCAGAATCCTGGCACGTCGTTCAACATCCAAAAGACCATCAACACTCCAGAGATCCCTCCAACACCGGATATTGTGCTCCTGGTGGATAAGACTGGTAGTATGGGTGGTGCCATTGCCGACATCAGAACGAACCTGAAGAATGTCATCAGCTCGATCACCAGCTCCCAGCCGACCGCCGAGTTCGCCGTGGTCGAATTCGGCGACGATCGGGGCGCAAGCTCTGTCCAGTTCTGGGTGGACATTGGGTTGAGTTCAGATGTCACTGCCCTTCAGAACGCGGTCAACGGCCTGACGGCCGGTGGTTTCGGGGACACTCCGGAGGATTGGATAAATGCGCTCTACCAGATCGCCAGTGGCGATATCAGCTTCCGCAGCGGCAGCAGCCGGGTCGTGGTCCGGGTTGGTGATGCGCCTAGCCACGACCCCAGCGGCGGACACACCCTCAACGACGCTATTAGCGCCCTGAAGGCCGCAAACATCCGTGTCATCGCTGTCGATGTTGGCTATAACTACCCCCCTTCACCAGGCAAAGGAGCTATCGATACCAATGGCCAGGCCTCCTCCGTGACCAGCGCCACCGGGGGTTCACTCCTTCCTGTAGGCAGCGGCGCCTCGGGTGTCACAGACGCAATCACTAACGGTCTCTATGACTTCCCTGTTGATATCACCACCTCTATCACCTGCGGCGCAAGCTTGAGTCTGTCGTTTAGCCCCACGAACTCTACAGTGCAGAGTGGCACTGCCGCCATCTTCACCGAGACGGTGAACGTGGCCAGCAATGCAGCGAAAGGCGCCACGATAAGCTGCTCCGTTGGCTTCTTTCTGAACGGTGCGCCGGCGCCAAGTTCGGCCCGTACCCAACCAGCACAAACATCAAACTGGTCCAGGCCCCCGGTGCGACACCCAAGGCCGTGCCAGGCGAGGGTGCGGTCACCTGGCAGATCAGGGTCAAGGGATGTGCCCAGCTCATTACCACGGACGACGCTGGTAACAATGCGACACCAATCAATTGCTGCGCCCGGCCATAAATCGCCTGCAAATTTGGCAGATTCGCATGTTAAAAATTTCGGAAGGATAGGGTAGAGGTGCCAGAACACAGCAGGTGGGCAGATGGACAGAAAAGGGGGATACTAGTTAGTTATCTCCTTGCTAAATTAGTTATGTATTTTAAGCCAACCCAAATTGTCAGGCCTTCATAGCAATTCAAACCTGTTGTCCATCTTATTGGTGTACCTATATGACCCTGAGGAGGCAGCAATATCGGATGAGCCTCAAGACATTTTCGTACTAGTCGCTCAACTCGGGAGTGTGAGCATGGAAGACAGTGAGCCGATAACCCATTGTGCCATGGAAAGTGAAAAGTACAAGTTTGCAAAGTGCATCCAAGTTCTTGAGACCAACGTCAATTCAATGCCTGAGTCGGAAATGCTGCTTAGTAAAACGTGGTGCGCACCAATTGGATATCAACCAGTCTAAATTGCTATAAAGCCCCTATCTGGCAGTTTATGTGGGCATAATAATGACTAATACATGCGGGTTTAAGTTAAGTTAACTAACTTACAATATCCCTTCTCCGGGATCCACTGCTGCTTCTGTTCCGTCAGCCTGTGATATATACTGTCAATCAGTTGCTCAGTCACTCAAGGTACCCAAGTATATTCTCCATACTCTCTATACTTCTCATGTCGCAAACTGATTAACTCCAGTCCTGCCAAGACTTTTTAAAGTGCCCTTGTCTGGGTAGAGTCTCACCGGCTGATTCACCGCCTTTTTATCATCGTTGAGATCAAACGGTGCTTCCATATTTGGATGTTTGCATTATCTGCAAACCACCCGCTCTTCCATACAGTGGTTCCATTTGGCCATGAGATTAGGTGATCAAAATGTTGTCTTGGGTACCTCGTAGCACCTGAGGCGTCATTGGTTGGTCTCGGGGTCATAAAGACGGTCTATGAACCAGGGGCAGAATTTAAACCCGTGATCTGAGCCACGGTCGGCGCCATCACCCTTCTTGTCTGCTTCATCCAACACATTATTGTCATTGATTGATGGATATGAAACTCTCAAAGGTACCCTTCAGAGGGAAGGTGAAGCTGGATTTCAAAAATGTTTCGAGAGGTTGTTGCGATTCAATCAATGAGACTAATTCTTCAGTGGCCGGGTAGACTTACATTCGCCAGGAACGGCCTCTGCAGACCGTTTTGGCCAAGCTCGCAAAGGCTGCGCCGTTATTGGTGGACATTTTCTTCCCCGGATTCTCCGCACATTAGCCAAGGGACTGATGGAAAGCTTCCCCAAAAAAGTTCAAGCTAACGTGGACAGGCGAATTTGTGATTGATGGAACCTCCTGCTCATGTATCACTTGGTTCCTGGGAGACCAAATCTGGGGAAATGACACCCCGGGGAATCTCAATTATCTGGAGCTCCTCATGGAGGTTGACAATTATATAAACCCGGGGAGCCTGCCCTGGCCTCCTACAAATTTCGGTCCGTAGCTCGTGGATCTTCACGAATCCTGTTTCTTCAACATGTTGAGCTCTATTTACCTCGTCTTCGCGGCGTCTTTGGGCGTGACGCAGGCCCTTCCGGGCGCTCCGTCTACTCATAAGACCTGTTCGGACCCATGGGCAAGAGTCTCTCCTGCCAAAGGTGCCGTCGTGGTGGACAACAGTGCCAGTCCGTACCCAGGCTCGTTCTCCACTGTCCAGGCCGGAGTGAATGCTTTGAACACGACGACCACTACCCCGCAGAATCTCTTTGTATTCCCTGGGACCTACGTTGAACAGGTTTATATTCCACGTCTTGCATCCAACTTGACTGTCCAAGGATATACCTGTAATTCTAAGGGATATGAGCACAACGAGGCTACGATTACCTATAATCTGGCCCTCATTAACACCACCAGCGACGACAAGACTGCAACTCTGCGCCAATGGAACCCCAACACCAAAGTGTATAATATGAACATTGTGAACACCTTTGGCCATATCCCCAAAAACGGTCAAAATCTTGCCGTCTCTGCAGAGACTACCGGTCAGGGCTACTACGGTTGCCAGCTGATCGGCTATCAGGACACTCTCCTCGCAGAGACTGGTAAGTTGACTTTGTTGAGAGCTCTGTGAATAGAGTATGTATAGTAACTTAGCCTTCGTCCAGGATCCCAGCTCTACGCCAAAAGTCTGATCGTCGGGGCTGTCGACTTCATTTTTGGCCAAACTGCCTTGGCCTGGTTCGAAAGCATTGACATTCGCACCATTGCTACCGGCTGCATCACTGCCTCTGGCCGTAGCAGCGCTACCAACCCGTCATGGTACGTGATCAGCCGCTCGAGCGTCTCGGGAATCAACGATACGATCCCCGCCGGCACTAACAACCTTGGTCGTCCGTGGGGATCCTTTGCTCGTGTGGTCTTTCAGGAGACCTACCTAGGCAATGTTATTGCTGCGGCAGGCTGGAAGCAATGGTCGACCAGCACTCCCAATATCGGCAACGTTACCTTTTCCGAGTACAACAACTATGGCCCGGGATCTGTGCTCGAGGAAGGACCGCGAGCAAATTTCAGCGAGCAGTTGACTGCGCCCATTTCAATTCAGTCTATTCTCGGCGAGAACTTCAAGAATGAATGGTGGATCGACACCAGCTATCTTGACCCGAGTGACTTGAAGGTCTCCAAAACCCACACCACCGCTGTGGCATCCACCTCCACTTCCACTTCCACCGCCACTGTCACGGCCACCACTGCGGTTGCTTCATCTACCGTGGCCGCTTCAACTACTCCTGCAGCAGCCTTGACTACCACTGTATCAACCTCTGCCCCTGTCGCAAGCTCATCTTCAGCTGCTACATTGACTACATCCTCCACAACCTCATCTGTTACTTTAGGCACCCCGTGCGTGTGCACTGCCTACTCTCAGATCTCAGCTGCTGTCGCCTCGTGCACCAATATCGTTTTGTCTAACATCGCTGCTCCCAATGGATCTGCCATAGACCTCTCAGGACTTCAGGCTGGGACGACCGTGACGTTTGATGGACTTACGACATTCGGGTTCACCAATTCATCCAGCTTCAACCCCATGACCGTTAGTGGTGCAGGTATCACAATCACTGCCAACCCGGGGGCGGTCATTGACGGCAATGGACAAGCATACTGGGACGGCCTAGGCTCCAACGGAGGTGTACCAAAACCAGACCATTTCATCGTTGTCAAGAAGGTGACGGGGAATTCCGTAATCAAGAACCTGAACATCCAGAACTGGCCTGTCCATCTCTTCACCATCTCCGGTTGCTCTGATCTTGTTTTCCAGGATTTACTCCTGAACAATACCGCAGGCAATGCTCCCAACAGCAGGAGTGGCAGCCTAGCTGCTGCGCACAACTCAGACGGTTTCGATGTCAGCAGCTCAAGCAATATCGTGATTCAGCGCAGTGTTGTCTACAATCAGGACGACTGTGTGGCGATTACCAGCGGAAACAACATGACCGTTTCCAACCTCGAATGCCACGGTGGTCACGGCCTCTCCATCGGGTCTGTAGGCTTAAAATCCAATAACAACGTGACCAACATTTTGGTGAGCTTGCCCCGAAACCTGTGTCCGCAAACAAAGTATGGAGGAGAAACGGAGGTGGGCCAACAATCGAAAACTCAAAGCCGTCATTCTCCTCCTCTACCTCTTGCTCTTGCAAAACCCAAAATCGTGTTATATGCCGCATACTGACTTGAGATTTTCATGCCTGTAGTTTACCGATTCATCTGTCCTTGATTCGTCAAACGGGTGCCGGATCAAGACTAACTACAACGCAACTGGTTTTGTCGCCAACATTACCTACTCCAACATCGCCCTCCAGGGCATTTCAACCTATGGTATTGATGTACAACAAGACTACCTTAACGGTGGCCCAACCGGAAACCCCTCTAACGGCGTCCTTATCGAGAACTTGCTGTTCCAGAACGTGAGCGGAACTGCCACCTCCACTGCACAGGACTATTACGTCCTCTGTGGAGATGGGTCTTGTTCCGACATCACCTTTACCGATGTTTCCATTACAGGCGGTTCCGTGGCCAGTAGTTGCAACTACCCGGCTAGTGGCTGCCCAGCCTGAGAATATCCCTCCTTGACAATGGTCTCTTGTTCAATAAAGATTTCTTCTGTATAACTGCTCGCTTAGATTCTGTCCCACATGTCCATATATCTCATTCTAGTGAAAGCCTCCATACCTGGTCTGTTTCCAGCTCCTCCTCTAAAGCGTCTATATGGGGACGCTCGCTCTGAACTTAGAAAATATGGCTGTCTTTTGCCTGAGAGGAATCTGAGTTGTGATGATTCTACAAGGATTTCAGAAGATTTAATTTGCTAAATTTAGTGTGTTACATTTGGCATGCAAAAAATCCATTCGCACAACCCCCTGTTTTCCTTCCCAACAGGATAGTGCAAGATACGAGTTTGCTGAGCTTTGCTGATGAAAGGGACGAAATCCAGGAAAGGAGAAGCTCATACTGTCGAGTTGAGAAAGCAGAGGGTGAGTCACTAGCTCGCCAAGACAGTCTGATCGATACTGATTGGATACATCGCGAGCCTTGTCGAGGAGGTTAGCCGGTTAAGTACTTCCACGCAACCTAGTGGTACCCAGCTAGCCCCTCCCGAGATCCCCCATTGCTCACCTGTCATTCCTGGGTAAATCTACTCGAATTTCAACGCTGCTCATTCTTCACCCAACAGACCGACCAAACACAAGATGGAAGTGCATGTTGTATCAAAATCTAAGAATCAGGTAAATGCCGTTGCAACTCTCGATCGCCTGGAATACGAGCAACACGGGCTAGCTGCTTCAAGTGTGCGTGTTCAGCCGCTGCTGATTACCCTCTGCTCGAACAATCTCAGTTATGCTCGTGGTGGGGATTTGTTGCACGGGTAGGAGACCCAGCTTTTCCACATACATTTTGATTTCTGATGTCTATCGTCTGTATCTGTTTCGGAAATTCATGAACTTATAGGTGGGATACATATCCTGTTCCTGCAGGGCTCCCCAAGCCATACAACGACCGGAAATCCTGGGGCATTGTCCCCGCATGGGGCTACGGAGTTGTGACTGAATCAATGACGCAAATTTCCCCGGGAACTCTGCTCTGGGGGTTCTGGCCAACCGCAAGCCTTCCCGTAGTACTTAAACTGCATCCCTCTGAGCCAAAGGGCAGAGATCAGCGAGTCCCGACAGCGCCTTATGACAATTATAACAGCTACTCCGAAGAAGGCCAAAATTGAATATCCAGATTTTATGTCCGGGATAAAGACTTGGACCAGCCTCTCATCTCTTGTCGACGCGAAAGAACTCAAGCGCATGTCGTGGGTGTCGCTGTTCCGTCCTACCTGGCAAACGGGGTATCTCCTCAGCCACCACACCTTTACCTCAGATACTACATCGCGGTCTCCAATTCACCCACTGGGCATTGATCTCCCCTGGACTCCCGCGGATGCGGACATCTCTGCTGCAGTTGTAATCAGTCTCTCTGCGGCGGGCAAGACTGCCCGAGCATTCGCCTATCATATGTTCTGGCGAAACGCTGCAAAAGAGGGACCCATATGGTTTCTCCAGATATCGCAGACACCAGAACTTTTGGAATCAGTGCCGAGAATCCTGGGTACCGATATACCTACCAAGGCAGTGAGGTATGACCTTGTGGGTGGGTCAGCAGAGTTGATCGAGGGGTTGGATCCGAAGAGGATTGTACTTGTCGATTTTGGCGGGCGGGCGGGTACGCTTGCCCAGTTGATTGAGAGTATTAAGAGCCACTCCGCTCTCGGAGAAGTTCAGACAACTATTATTCATGTTGGCTCGGAGCAGAACGTCAGTGATAAGAGAAACCGTTTTCACCATAGACACTAAAGATTCTTTAAAAAGTACAGGTCTACTCTGCCGACGAAATCAAAGGAAACTGTCAGACCATGCAAACAGTTGGGGAAGTTCAGTTCAACACCTGTGGTGTTCGCGACGCCGTCATTGAATAGGGCATTGCGCAAGGTTTCTACGACCAGGTCCAGCTGGTGTGGGACGATTGGATAGCCGTTAGCCATGGGATTATGACTGATATTCAGGTCAGCCTTGGGTCGAGGTGTATCTGGCGATCAAGGGATTGAAAACGCACGGAAAAGGTTGTGCCAGGGTGCTGTGGGCATTCAAGAAGGATTGGTGTATGTAATGTGTTAGACAGTCGGGTCTGATATATGGTCAAATGGTCAGGTCAAATTCGACTTCGACTTCGAATCCTGGGCATCGAGTTGGAAGTGGCGTTGGATTCTGCCTGTTGTATGGCTGGAGGGTGAGTGACAGTTGTACTGGAGAAAAAGAATGAAGCACGAAAGAAACTGACTCACATGGGAGCCTCTGGGCGCCTCCAATCATGATTATGAGAGACGATCAGGAAGAATGAGGTTAGGCACCGAGGCAATGGGCCAATTGCATGTAGTGTCTAGCAAGTAAAGTCCGTAGGGCAGGTCCCACCAATGGTCACTAGTACTGTACACAGTTTGAGATAGACGCTAATTTGCTTTGAAAATATTGAAGACTTTGGGGGGGGGGTGGTAGTAAACTGACCGTTAGACCAAAAATGCTCCATGGGCTACATTCTCAGTTCTCACCGTCATTTATTCTGTGACAAAAAACAACCGAGACTCCTTGAACCCAACTGAGCTTTTTTGTTGGAACTGGGTCGGTCTTACGAGCTACTTGGTGTGCAGGGCGATTGTACGCCTAAGGCCGCGAGGCCGCCCACCACATCCGAGAAGTAATAAAGAGAACAAACTCTCGGTCATACACTAAACACCATTCAACGGCACCATTGGTCGTTCCTGTACCCTTGATCACACAGCAAAACTTCGTATTCATAATTCTGTTGGTTATTTGCTTCTCAGTGGCTTTCTCCTCCTTCTCCCTTTCCCTCGGGTTGAACCTGGCGCCACCTATGCGTAACAATGTGAATAAGCGACTGATGAGGGGACTCTTACATATATCTATGCTCTATGTCGGTCTTCATGGTTACCTAACGATGAAAGACAGCCCTAGGCCAGGGCCAGTAATTGAATTTCTACTTCAATAAGTCTACATACTACGTTTCGCATGGAGATCTAATCACTTAATGGTGCTTCTCATATCTCATCTTACAAGCGCAAATCTTTGAGAGATCAAACTGCCGAAGGTGGCCGTTGCCCTACCTTACCATCGACATCTCACTTGCCCGCATGAAGTATGAAGATCAGGCCCCTTTCATCTTGGCTCCTGCTCTAGTGCCACTCAGCTCGCCAATTAAAATCTTTCGTGAACTCCACAGTCCTTCACGGGACTTCGCTTGAATCAGACACGCGGAGAAGCGGGGATTTATCGGCTTGAATATGCACGAAACCCCTATGGGATTGAGAAGATTGATCGAAGGTCCGAAGATTGTGATTCTTGGCTTCACCATGTAACGTTGTTCTCTGTCTGTCGGATAATTATCGGGCTATGGGCAATATCAAGCTGAAAGGACCACAAATGAGAGACTCGCCAAGAGGCGCCCAGACTTTTAGGTCAGCGGAATCCCGTAGTTGGGGACTAGCTGAGTACTAGGTACTGTACTACGAGAGATGGCATTTTTTTTGTTTCGTGGATGAAATGATCACGGAATTGTCAATAGAAGAGAGATTAAAAAGCCATACCAATCAGAAAAAGATATATAAATCAGCGATGGTGGCTCTCGTCAAAGGCCCTGCGGTCTACATCCAGTCTCTAGCTTCTTGTTTAGGAGCTGCACCTTAGCAATATGAAGGCTGCGTTTATTTCAACCCTGCAATGCCTGCTATCCTTGTCAACGCCCATGGGTACTTGACCATTCCATCAAGTCGTACCCGGCTTGGATTCGAGGTATCTTCTGACACGCCGGATCCATGAACATCATGTACCAGACTAACATCGATAGGCTGGCATTGATACCTGCCCCGAATGCTCCATTCTAGAACCAGTCACTGCTTGGCCCGACCTTGAAGCCGCCCAGGTTGGCCGAAGTGGGCCATGTGGATACAATGCACGAGTCAGTGTTGACTACAACCAGCCCGGGGATTACTGGGGCAACTCTGTGGTCGCCACGTATACAGCAAATGACATCGTCGAAGTACAATGGTGTGTTGACAACAACGGTGACCACGGTGGCATGTTCACCTACGGAATCTGTCAAAACCAAACTCTAGTTGACTTGTTTTTGACTCCCGGTTATCTTCCAACCACCGAGGAGAAACAAGCTGCCGAGGACTGTTTCTTGGAAGGTGAATTGAAGTGTACGGATGTTAGCGGACAGACTTGTGGCTACAGTCCTGATTGCACTTCGGATCAAGCATGCTACCGCAATGACTGGTTCACTTGCAATGCTTTCAACGCCGACACTAATCGTGCCTGTCAAGGTGTGGATAGTGCTGCGCTAAACTCCTGCACTACAACAATCGCTGGTGGCTATACAGTTACAAAAAAGATCAAGATCCCGGATTACAGCTCCGATCACACTCTCCTACGCTTCCGGTGGAACTCATACCAGACAGCCCAGGTGTATCTTCACTGTGCTGATATTGCTATTTCGGCCTCAGGGCCGGGGTCAAGTTCGAGTTCTAGCACAGTGTCCACCAGTCGGACTGCAACAACCTCCACTGCCACCAAGACGAGAACAACCACCGCTTCGACAACTTGTACTGCTGCCACCACCGTCTCAGTGGTCTTCAACGAATTAGTCACGACAACATATGGTGAGAATATCTTTATCACCGGGTCGATCAGTCAGTTGAGCTCTTGGTCAACCTCATCGGCGATTGCTCTGTCTGCAAGCTCATACACGTCGTCCAACCCATTGTGGACGGTCGCTATTGACCTGCCCGCTGGTACCACTTTCGAGTACAAGCTTATCAAGAAAGAGACGGATGGCAGCATTATTTGGGAAAGCGATCCTAACCGGTCCTATACTGTACCAACTGGCTGTTCTGGGCTCACGGCTACTGCTAGCGCAACTTGGCGTTAGAGATGTTCTGCAAGAGTGAATATTGGAGAAAGAAGGCCGGGGGGCGAGAAAGGTTATTTTATTGAGTATTTTCAAATTGGTATTACCGTTTAACAGGTTCAATTATGAATCGTAAGTCGTCCGATGGTAGAAATCGGGTGCGATCGTAGTGTTACAAACCCAGGTTTTATCTAGACGAGAAAGCAATTATTTGAACTTTTTATGAGATGAGTTCTGTGTCGAGATCGGAATTCTAGGCGGGCCCTTGCAGGCTGCGGAGAGAGTAAGGAGGAAAGGATTATGGAACTCAGAAATGATGACTCGATCCCCTTTGACCTCGATAGGGTTTGCAGGGTTTGTCGTCCTCTTTGGCCCTGCATGAAGCAGGCGGGTGATTTCCTGCCAGGTCCAGGCCTGTTTCCGTTCCCTTTGTGCTTTAGGCCTTTATGGGCCTTCTTCCTTTCCTGTCTTCTTCTTCTTCTTCTTCTTCTTCTCTTGGTCGTCTTCGTCTTCCTGTTCTAGATAGGCCAATTGACTCAGTCTCCCTCTTCTCTCTTCGCTTCCTGTGCCAGCAGCTCCGTGGGCACTGTCAAGAAATGTGCATAAGAAAAGGCCTGGCGGAGGTCTTCTGGATGCCTGAAAGCAATAGAATAGAATAGATGCGGATCCATGAGAACCTCATACGTATAAACTGTCGGAATTTCAGTCCTTAGGTACTCTTGCTAAGATACATTCAGCAAGGAAAGGCCCCCGGCCGTCCTGGTCACCTGGGGTAGCAGCAAATCTGTGATAATATTGAAGGGGGGTTATAGTGACGGGTGAGAGAGACAATAGAAACGAGTCATCAGTATTTGATCTAGAATCGGTCACTTGGCAGTTTCACTCTTTTCTCAATCTCTGCATGGCCAAGAAAAAAGATATTTGAGGACCCTAAATCCATTCACTAGGGCTATACCGGATACTCGAAAAATCATTTCTCATTAAGCGAATGCAGCTATACTACAGTGTCCATGGGCCCGAAATTAGTTTCGACACACTCCATAGCCCGCACGAGCCAGCGCCTGCTCATATCGATCATCTTTGATCGGGTACTCCCGGGCAAGGCATTTTACTCGAGCAATTTATCAGCCTTACCAGGCTGACAAAAAACCCACTGGCAGGTATACAGGAAGGTCGGAAAGATGGGCGAGGCTGAATTCCTGTAGCCTTCGACAGATGGCTCCCAATCGCCTACTTTGATGTCAAGCGCCGTGAAAGGTGGCCGCGGAACACTCTTTGAACCTGGGATCCGTTCATAGTACAGCTTTTCCCCTGCAACGTAGCGGAACGCTTCTTCGACGACAACTGGGTTGAGCCATAAGTCTACCAAAGGTACATGGCCGTTTGCTCCGGTTGGACTATAGGGGAACATCGTGTTGAGCTCTATAGATACTCAAGGCTAGGAAAACATACCGCTCCACTGAGTATGTCGTAGGACTAGGATGGTCAGTTAGGGAATCTGTGTCATAGTAGTCAGTGGCCTACGGCTTCCACATACCAAGTGACCCTTGAACCGCAAGTCAATGCCGAGTCTTTGCAGATAGGGAAGCGCATTAGCGAGGTTCTAGAGTTCTTCGAAGGTGAAGGGGCATCTGATCTGCTCCTAGTCCCTCGTCTTAAAGTAAGTTCCAAAATTATTGTTAAGTGAAATTAAGGATGTTTTTTCTTTTGAAACAATCAGGAAATAGTCCGCCGAAATCGCAGACGGCGAAGGTGCGGGCCATAGCGGGATACCAAAAGGGGGAGGCTACCCTTTAGCAAATCGTATCTAGCAAAAGCCACTAGGGCATTAACGCTCTGCAGAAACTTGTCTGGCCGACTGTATAGGTCGTCGCGGATACCCAGAGATATTCCAACTCGGAATCGTATTATTAGCGATATCATATCTCGAATCTTGCCTGTAAAAAGCGTAAGAAGCCGGAGCGATTCCGCCCGTTATCTAAGACCTAGATATCTTAGGTGCCGACACTGGGACCATTCATTCACGTTTTCGGAATCGAAATTGGGATTGGTCAGGCACAGAGTGCGAAGTAAGGGCCTACTGTCCTCAGGGCGAAGAGAGAATATCAGCGCTAAATCACATTGCGAGCGGAGTGTATATTTCAGATCGAGCCGATCCAGACATAGTAAAGCCAGCACTACAAGCTTCAATCTATATAGATGTTCTTTTATAAGGAAGCAACGTTGAGAGAGCGAATGTAATGCAATCCATCTTTGAACGGAGCGACAGAGAGGTTAGACTACCAGCCTTCAAAGTAGAGGCCAGGCACCAATTTACGAGCATTCAGATACTGCAACAAACTATTAGGAATCAGAAAGTGTCCGCGCCATCTGTTCCCTAATTAGCTCCCAGGCTCAGGTTTAGGGCATTTCAGCGAGACTTCACCTAAGAACTAGCAGTCGTGGCAGCTTCTCCAAGAGAGACACCAGTAACAGCGACAGAAGTGACGGGATATCCTCTGTGGGGTTGTACGGAAAGTAACCTGATGCGATCAAGATACGAACACAGCAGAACAGCTCGTCCCCCACTCCCTGAAGGTCCTGTAGCATTCGACGTCCCGTGTCATGCTTTAGACGGAAGTGGAGATAGAGGTTTTCGAACAGCACAGGCAGTGCTAGGCGGCGTGACCCTCGGCAGGTCAAATTGAGTGCCTGTAGAGTCGAATGAGAGTTCCATCGTAGCTGCATGGATTGAAAAAACTAAGTACTGTTTTCTTGCCATTTAAGACGGAACCCATTGGAACTGACACAGTTGAGTATGCATTCCCATACTAGTGTTGGCATTGGCGGGATGGCCCCCAAACTCTCGTTCATCATAGTCTGAGACGGTCTTCAGCAAATCGGTGCACGCATGGGACTGGGCCGGAGGTTGGATTTCGGCATTTCGGCACCATCAAGAACACGGCGCATGTTTGAATTCAGGGGTGATGGGCGAGGCTCGTCATATTTTGCTTGGTTTGTGGGCGAGGTCCTCAGGGGCATGTCGCAGATGGGATGATGCGACCCGAAGAAGGGCAGATCGTAACGGCCCCGGCTAATGTATGGCCTTGCCAAGGTATTGTCAAGGACTGCCAAGGGTTGCCAGGGCCCTTGACCCGATACACCCCTTGAAATGGCTGAATCGAAACCAAAAATCTAGCTGACAAAATGCATCCAAAGTTCATGCCAAGACGGAGAAAATAACATGGCATTCTGTACCCCGCGATCTCGGCATAGTACAGACCGACAGCGGCTGCGGCGAGTGTTATAAATACATCTCAATTAAATGACGCTATACCCGGCTGACACTTGGTACAAACGACACGAACAGAATGAGAGTGCTTTACGCAATACTAGCGACCCTACTGGCGGCGCCTGCGAATAGCAAGTACATTGTGCCCGGAGGTAGATGGCATGACACAAACGGGACCTTGATTAACGCACATGGAGCCGGGATTACCTTTGACCAGAAAACTGGCCGTTTCTGGTGGTTCGGCGAGTACAAAACCCAAGCGCAGCCGGAAGGTGGCGGAGTTTCCGTTTACAGTTCTGAAGACTTGTGTACTTGGACTTGGGGTGGGCTAGCTATAAGTATTTGCTTCCCCTTTACACGGTTTATTTGGAGTGGCATGTTTATGAAAGACATTAATATTCTAATATATGTAGGCCCGATTGATAGCCATCCTTATATCTCCCCCGATAACATAATTCAGCGACCGAAAGTAGCCTACAGCCCCGAGACCGATGATTACCACGTTTGTAGACATTTTCTTCCTCGGTCTAGTTATCACTTGAACAGAAGCTAACCTTGTTGCAAAGATGTGGTGGCATGCCGATAATTCAACTTACGGGCTTCTTCTCCAAGGCCATGCTGTGTCCTCCACGATCGGTGGGCCATATACCTTTGTGGACGCGACCGCACCCCTTGGAAATTGGTCGCAGGACTTTGGCATGTTTACCGACTATAAAGATGGCAGATCATATGCTCTCTACTCGAACGGGGATAGTGTGAATGGGCGGGATGTGTATATCTCAAGCATGAACGATAATCTCACAGCACTCGAGAAAGCCGTGTATCGCTTCCCGAAATTCGACCTCGAGGCACCATCTATCATGCAGACTGAGAAGAGTTACTGGGCGCTGATGAGTCACAAGACGGGATACCGGCCAAATAGTAAGTCGTGACTCTGTATCAGCACAGTATGAGTGAGACTAGTTAGCTAATGGCACAGACGTGGTGGCATTTCGGGCCGACTCATTGAGTGGTCCTTGGTCCCAACCATTTATTGCTGCGCCGTTAAACACACGTACATTTAACTCACAGTCTGGATTCGTGCTCAGAATACCAGGAAGTAAGAAGACGACATATCTGTATATCGGAGATCAATGGGACTCGAATACTATATGGGAGAGTCGGTATATATGGTTGCCAATTACGATTGATGAGAAAGAGGAGAATCTTGAGTTGGCCTGGCACGATGTTTATGATCTTGATAGGTACGTCCGTCTACTTATACAGTTTCATCGACTAATAGTCACATTTTCCCGCAGCAAAACTGGCGAATGGACACCAATCAAGGGTACAACGTACACTGCGCAAAACGCGAAGACATCCGGTGATGCATACAAGCAAGAAGCTGTAAGTAAAGCCACATATCGAGCAGAAAATGCGTAGCAGCTGAATGCCCCACAGAACTTTGCCACCGACGGCGTCATTATCACTGGAGTATATGGAAATGACAGCACTGTTACTTTCGAGGGTATCGAGGGGTCTGGCGAACCACAATGGGTGTCATTCTACTATCAAAGTACGTTTGGGCTCTACATGTTCAGCATGCATTTCTCACCATCTCTTTAGACACCGATGACATGGGCTTCGGCGATCAACGTAAGTTTACGAACCCGGGATCAAGGCACAGTTCTGATTATTTAATAGCTGGTGGAACCCCGGACAGAATCGGTGGTTCGTGGCGGCTACGGCGAATCAGTAGCGTGGTGGTCAATGGAGACACGTCAAATGTACAAACACTCTACCAGAGAGATACGCATAAGGGTATAATCCTCTCCACTCCACTACAGTTAACTTTGAAGAAGGGAAAGGCCAACACCATCACGGTTGGGGGGTTGTATAATGGCTTTGACTTCAAGGGCGCTGATCTTGATCGGATTATAATCTATCCCCCTGAGGCGAAGGGGAAATAGACAAGCGGGAGAGGACGAGGGAGAGGACAAGGAGGGGTAAAGAGGATTCTGCTAGCACAGCTTTCAGAAGCTTCATTCCATAGGAAGGCTTTTTCTCTTTTCTTCTTCTTCTTGCTTGAGTTTATTGGCTACATTAAATGGTACAGCACGTTTTAAATCTTGCTTTTAATCAACATTCCATACAACTAAAAGTGCCCAATTTGATTGAATTTCGTACAATATTTGTCGTTATCAAAATTCACATTTTAGGCATGCTCCGCTTCGCGCGCAATAAGGTTCAAATAGCAAATAGTTTTTTGTCAACATTTTCCATACAACTACAAGATTCAGAACGGCTCAGTGACTTCACACCTATGTATTAGTCTACTGTACGTCAAACCCGGGTCCGTCACCCCTGGATATACGTGCACTCGAAGTCACCACATCCTCAATCCACAACGCTTCACCCAGCTCCCCAGGCTGATCGGTGTAAAAGAACTCCCTGAGTAGGTGTCGTGCCTGATTCCTGTCACTGAGGCCAAGACGCCGCGCCACATGCGCAGAGTGAAGAACAAACCATGAGTGAGTGTTTTTGTTACCCTTGGACGCCAACACTCCTATAACAAGCATCCAGAGTAGTAAGTCAGGCGCGGCCACAAGGAGGCAATGAACTCGGGGTGCAAGAATGTGCTTGAAGGTTTCCACCATGTGGCGCACGATGGGCAGAGATTGGAGATTGGAGACACAGGCCCATAAGTACAAAATAATGCAGTAGCGGAGAGGCGGGTTAATATAATCATTCATCTCGTGTGATGTTGGATTGTTGGCAGGAATAGCGGAGAGGAAGTCGTGTTGAAAGATGGGGAAAAGATCATTGTCGGTGGGCCCTACGATTTCTGGATATGCTTTGCCAAGCTCGAAATGCTGGATGAGCCTTGTGAAGATCGTGAGAAAGACCTTTAGAGATGTAGAAACCTCTGTGTGCCAGGGGGAGCTAGCAGCAAAGCGAGAGCCGAGAGTAGCGATATAGGGTGGGATTACGAAGCCGATTTCGTAATCATCATCAGGCCTTGGATGAAAAATGGCGGGCTCATGAAGTACCTGGCTGCGAAACTTCGCCGACATTGGGATGATCGGCGGTTTGTTCTGCAGGGCAGCATACCCCGAGACAGCGCTGGTCACATTAGCCACGAACACAACAGGCGTTAAAAGGGGATTTGTACTGGTATACGCTGGAAAGTGTCATGTACTCGAATGCATCAAGACCGCCAGCTAGCTCTATAAGCATAGCCAGGCCTTTCATATGCGTCTGCAGAGCCGCAAATTCAGCATTGATATTCTAAGCAGACTAGTTAGCAACCAGAAGTGTCTCAAACATGACTCATCAATCGGTCAGAACTCTATACCTCGATTGTCACGATTGAACCAACAGTTAACAGTGTAGACTCTGCTACTGCAGTTACGGGATTCTGCAGTAAACCGTTCAAGGCCTTGATGGCGTTTGTTCGAAATTTTATGCAATCTCGGAGTGACTTTTGGCTTGCTACAGAAGTAACACCATTGCGAGATTCAAGAGCCGCCTTGTGTCCAGCCCCGATACAGAGTTTGGTGTAGAGGAGCGCCGGGGAAATGAGCGACCTTTCAGTCCACCAGGTGTTCATCCGGTCAACATTAAATGGATACGATTTGGGAATCACGTAGAATCGGTCTGAGAACATTTTCAGCACCAGCGACGAATATGAGAAAGTTAGTAGTAAGCAGACGACCTACAATGGCGAAAATATACATGCATGGCGTTGCTCATTGGCACAGGGTAGGAGTGAAAAGGGTCGGCATGGTTCTGGCTGATGACGGTGGATGCTCTGACTGGCAACATCCTATTGTCATATGTCGGATAAGGAATCTGTGTCTTCTTCCGGTGAACGTTTTCTATCCCTTTCACTTCTCGCTGCGGCGTACGGGCACTGAACGGCTGGAATGATTTCAACCGATCAATAGCCTCTTTTTTCCTTCGCTGATCGGCTTTTTTCGCAACAAATGACTTTATTTCCCTTCTCATACTGACAAATGGCGAAACATCAGCCTGGGTATTCACAAACATAAACCCACGATGCCCCGGCTGAGGTATGGGGCGCCGGGTCCCGTTATCTATCGGGGTCGATGTTTCCTGTGAACGAAATATTAGAGACAGAGCTTATCTTGGACACATATACAAATACAGGCATGGAAAATTTGTCCTCGGGCGTCTCTTCGAAGTGCATGACCTTTTGACAACTGCCGAGTGATGGTAAAATATTTCGCGATTGTGTGGGGGTGGGTCGATGGGCGATAAGAAGGCAAGCGTTAGGAGAAGGGACTAATCATAATCTTCATAGCCCCGATTCGTAAACCGAGCTTTCTGGTTCAAGCTTGGGGCTCAAATCTATCAAAGTGATGATCCGGGATGGTTTCAGACCAGAGAAGGAATGCGGGAGGAATGCGGGAGAAGGGGAGAGAAGTGCTAATGGGGCCACGACTGCCAATAAGAGTTTCCACAAGCGTCCCTAACCGAGCGGGGCTATGCAAATCGTGTCTAAACAAGCGATATGTCGGGAAATCCTCCGGCCAACTGTCCCTGACTCGTGTATCTTCAGAACTAGGCAGTAACCCTCATTTTATCAAGCACCCGCTGGATCCCTCAATCTTCCGCGCCTTTCAGAGATTGCTGGCATCCGTGGAGGGGCTTCCTCTGGACGTTTGGGGGCCTGATAATGAGAGATGTAAATCAGCTTCGGGATAATTGATCTTGGGCCGCCTATAGTACCTGTCAGTTCTAGTTGGCAGTCAGAATTGAGCTAAGATTACATAAACCCTTGGTCGTCATTGGAGGCTCAAAATAGTCAACCCCAATAAGAACCTTAAATCCTATCCGAAGTACGGAGTAGGGTGTTTACAAAGCCGGCTCACACATGCGGCAGTTGCTTAGCTCACACATGTAATTTCCGGAACGACGCCAAGCTCACACTTCTCCACCCCCTACGGCATTTAATAGCGGCCATTCTCCAGTGCATAGATATTGTACAGATTGTAAGGATATACTCTATAAGTCAGGATAGAGGCCTGTCAATCAGGTAGGAGAAATGGAGCCAAGTCAATAGTGTAGAAAGGTCAAGAACTGTTTCTTGAGGATCGCAAAACCTCTTCAACATGGGTCAATTTATATACAGTCTCATCACTCAAACAGGAAGGAGATGTATCCTTGGTAGGGAAATGGGAGCGAGGTGAAACACGAGGCTTGTGCAACCTCTGTCAAGGGTGTTCCCTGCAGGAGTTCGTACACGTACTGATGCCGAAGCCCTAGCGAACCTCCACAGAAAGCCTGACGGCTTATCAGGTCCGGGAAGCCTGATGCACTAACACATGGGGAAGGCCTGCCGGCTTATTAGGCCCGGGAAGCCTGAGGCACTAACACTTGGGAATAACCTTATGCTAGGATATATTATAACAATTATCCTCCCTCTAAGGATCGCTTGCCCTTAAGCGAGGTAAACAGACGCGTAAACAATTATAAAGAGTAGCAGTTAAATAAGGAAGGAGCGTGTAGTGTCACGGGTTAGACCCGCTTCTTACTATGTGGCCCTGCCACATAGCCTTCCCCGCACGTTCCGTTCTGCCACCGCCCTGTCTGCTTACTTCTATTGTTGTTCCGCTTGATCCACTCCTTCTCTTCTCCAAGCTTTTTGTAAACAGCATGTTGGCCTAGTTAGATTGAATCTAAGTCTTGCTTCAGCCTTTCACATACAAAAAGCTTCCTTCTCGTGATCGAGTCGTACTAGCCAGCCAGCCAGAATTTCGTTTTCCCCTAGCCAGACCCCCGATTCCCCGCCGAAATGGACCAGAACCAGCCTTTCACATACAAAAAGCTTCCTTCTCGTGATCGAGTCGTACTAGCCAGCCAGCCAGAATTTCGTTTTCCCCTAGCCAGACCCCCGATTCCCCGCCGAAATGGACCAGAACCAGCCCCTTTTTGCTTTAATTCAGCAACTCCAGCAACAACTCGTCGACCAGCAACGCCAGCTAGAGACCCTCGCGCCTACTCGCTCGCATTTCAGACTACCAGACCCGCCTAGATTCGACGGCCGACCATTTAGTCTAAAGACGTGGCTTCCAGCTGTTCAAGCAAAGCTACGGTCGGACGGCTTAGCCGGTCAACAAGCATTCGACTACGTATACGATCGCCTTGAGCCACCCCAGCAAGCCTCAGTCTTACATCTTCGCGAAACCAACCCGACACCCGAAGCAGTCTTCCAGTATTTCGAACGTCTTTGTCATAATCCTCGTGAGAAACAAGATGCAGTTCTCCGATTCGCCAATATCCGCCAGAAAGACGACGAAAGCCTAGTTGCCTACCTCGCCCGATTCGAACGTCTATCGCACGAAGCTAAGGTTCACCAGCAGGATCTACTTCGTACGATTACGCTACACCGCGGACTACGCCCCGCGTTACGCCAGATTCTTGAGCAGTCGTATGACACTCTATTCGATCTCGAATACGATGATTATATAGAACTACTCCAACGTCATGACCGCCGCCAGCAGCGCCCGGTCACCCAACGCCAGAACCAGACTAGCCAGAACCAGACTAGCCAGAACCAGACTAGCCAGAACCAGACTAGCCAGAACCAAACTCGCCAGACTCAGACTCGCCAAAGCCAGCTAGACCTAATGGACCTTGACCCAGTTCGTATAAACGCCGCCCAATCATCACCAGTTCGAGTGAAATCAAACCGCGTGCGCCTATCAAAACCGCCACTCCCACTAGGCTTTAATAACCCCGCTAATATCGCCGAGCGCGCGAAGCACGGGCTTTGCTACTACTGCGGTGCATGTAGTCACTGGATATCTGCGTGTCCTTTTCGACTTGCCGCGAATAAACGGTCTAAATCCCTCAGTTTAGATTCAGCAACGGACCAGTCCCGAAACGACCCCGATTCGTCGCCGTTTTGGAATTCAGACGGTTACGACTCAGATCACCCTTCTGA